AGTATGGGTTGTACGGTAAGTTCGTGCAATTATTTTATTGCTTTGTTTCACAAGGATTGTTTGTTGTTTGGCAAAGAGTAACATATTGCTCCTTGTTAACCGTGGAGTTATTTTCAAGCATTTCCCGATGCACCATGCCTTCTCAATTCCACCAAACGCAGATCATGGCCGTTTTTTGGGTGGAGATCTTGCGTAACTGTTGGCTTCGGCGTGTCTCCTGACAAGGGCTCGGCAAAACCTCGTCCCCTGGTTTCTTCTTGAAACATATACCATTTGAAAGAGCGTAAAAAACTGGTCTAGGATCACCTCGAATTAGCTGCTATTATTCACTTACACGCTGGCTAGCGAGCATTTTTTAGTTCTAGGCTTGTCTCACCCTTCTTTTGAGAAAAGAAACGCAATCGATTTCAAAAGCACAGCGGAGCAGTGCTTCGGTGGCCTAGTGGGGTAAGGCGCTTCACAAGGAGGACCTGCAGATCAGGTTCGAATCCCCTTTTGATTTTTTAAACTTTTTTAACTATTATGGAACGATAAGGCCAGAAAGTTGTCTTTAATTTTTAAATAGACTTTTGTGTATACTCGCCTCCGTTTTAAAAGCAAAAACGGCAACTTTTTTTGATCTTTTTGATTTTGGCGTTTTTGACCTTGCAATGGGACATCCTGGATGGTTGAAACTTTCAAAGGCTTTCATCTTTTTACGAGAAATTCCCGCAAATAAAAAGTACATAAAAATTGAGTGTGAAAACGTCTTACATGTTTGAAACCTCCTAGTTTCTCTTGGGTTACAGGACCTACAACATCGCGCAATCGCTCATTGAGTACATCGACCTGAATGTCTCCAACGCAAAAAAATGTTTATATTTTTTGACGTACGTTGAAGCGTTCAATCCCATAGGTAACTAATATTTATATGAAAAGTGTTTATTCGGTCCCGTTCGACCCTCAGAAGCAAAGAATTACAAAATCCAACTTGAAAATCTTAAAAAATGCTCGCTAGCCAACACGTAAATGGATAATAGCAGCTAATTCAAGGTGATCCTAGACCAGTTTTTTACGCTCTTTCAAATGGTATATGTTTCAAGATAAAACCAGGGGACAAGGTTTTGCCGAGCCCTTGTGAGGCCATCTACTCCTATACTTATATACCTTCTCCATACACGCTGCAAGTGTCTCGAACAGCTTCGGCTGCTCTTTGTCCTCGATGAAAAGCGAAAAAGGCATGTGTCGAAAACGCAAATTTTCCATCCTGGATGGTTTATTTGTAAGCCCAAAAAATAATAAAAAATTTAATTTTCATAAAAAATTAAAAGCACAGTTTTGTAGAGGGGAAAAAACTGTATCAAATAAATATATACCCTTTGCCAAGCAACAAACAATACTATAATAGTAAAACAAGGCAATAAAAGTTGCACAAACTTACCGTACAACCCAATACATACAATAACGAATTTGCATGAAGAGAAATGGGATGTCGGGATCTGAGATCGGGGTTTCTTCTATATACCTCATCAGCATGTCGCCGATTTCAGTCTGGCTAGACTAGTATCGGTGCAATTGCGGCATCTTTGAAAGCTTAAAATTTTAGTCTGACGGCATAATGCTTCTGTGTATTTCGAGTCTATTTATTAATCATGATTCTCGAGTTTTGATTGAAGCGCATCTCCTCTACTCCATATGCACACATATATCAAGGCTTTTCCTGGTCCTGAAGTTCACCCTGACTTCAATACGTTTACAACATTATAGTTGATGTTTCCATAAAATTATTGTTTTATTGGGCTGCAGTTTTAAATTAAAGTCAAAAAGTGTATGCTTGAGAAATGGAAATGGTAATTGTTGTATATACAAAAGCCTCAAAAGCGTTTTATTTCGATCGAGACCATAAAAACAATCGGAGGGCCTGATTTGAGATGCAAATGAAGCAGAATGAGAAAGAGACTGGACTGGATGCCAAACAGGTTGAAGAAACTGTTGAGAAAGGGGGAAAGGGGAGAAGGAACGTCGGGGAATCTGAAGAAGAAGGACGCTGAAATCACAACAAAAACTGCGCACGTTTCATTTGGCTGCAGGAAAAGTTCCTTTGATGTTGCCGCCATCTTTCTTTTACCCAGCGGCGTTTTCTCTAGGAATTTCTGTGCCCCCTGGGCGTGTTACGACCACCCAGAAGGGCCGAACAAGAAGCGGATGCCTTTAATAGACGACGATGACCATCTTATTTCCGATCAGGAACGGTAGTTGTTCCTCCTTTATCTCCGTCTGCCACAAAACACTAATCATGATGCGTCAATTTGTAATGGCCGCTGATCAAAGCCAATCCCCCACGCCCCCCCCCCTTGCCCCGAAGCCGAATCTCTTAATCAGCTCGGGTTTCGAATCAGTTTTGTGTCTCAGAGCCCCCCCCCCTCCCTAATTTACGACTTTTTCACGAGCTCTCGCTTGAATTATGACTGAGCGGCGGCATCCTTTTGTCCGTCCGTGTTATGTTGACCAGGGCAGAATTCCCCGCTTTGGAGTCGTTTTTTGTGGCAATTGTTCTGACATTAAGTCTTGGGGATCCTATTTTTCGAAAATCCGAGATAAGATGCGCAGCCCCGAATGGGGATTCCAAGTTCGAGCAGTACTCGCACCCAGCGTAATTGATTTATGGACTAGCGAACGGTGCCTCCGCTTTGATCTCGCCGCCCCACTGATAACTGATCGGAACGGCCCACCCAGTCTCAGCCGGCTTTCCGTCCCAGCGCGTCCGGATCAGGCCAAAAAAACGAGGCCACCCCGATCGCCGCATCCAGAAGCCTCGAATGGATCTTCTTTTTTGCATATTCGAGGAAGATAAGGCGTCGGCACCACACTTTTTTGCATATATAACAGCTGTGCCGTTCCCCCTCGAGTTTTATGGATTCAGAAGGGAGGGTTGGGGGAAGAGGTACGGTCAGGTGTGCGCAGTTTTATTGGCTTTGAATGGGATTTTTATAGGCTCTGGAAATGGGCCCTTGCTCCGATCTTGCAGTCGAATATGAATCCAATAAAAGTTGTCGTGGTTATCGGGCAAAGTGCTAATCTAATTGATACTTGTAACTGCTCTTGGCGATGATTGATTTAATTGGTGTGTTGTCTAAATGTTTCTTTTTTATTGTATTTTTTGAATGCCGCATTCAGATTTAACAGTACATTTTAAGCCCTTTTCAAGAGTTGTTTTATCCATTTCCTTAACCTTTCCATTTAAGGAGAATTCAAGATTTATCCGGATTCTTTTCAAATTAAACGCAGATCCGTCCTCTTTTTGAGTTTTATGGCCCTTTCTTGACCGCAAAACTTGTCGCTTTCAGACCCCGCAGCGGAAGTCTAACTCGCAGTGAGACGTCTTTCTCCCCAACGAAGGACATATGCAAATTTCGCGTATTTATTTTACGAGCCAATCAGCGGATTTCCGAGATTTTCTTGTTTTGTACGCTTCGAATTGGGCGCTCCCCGGCTTACGGTCGCAATAAAAGGGCTCTTGGCAACAATCAACCAGTCGTTTTATGTCCCAATAATTGAGTCGTAAAGGCCCCTTGTCTTTAATTACTTTTCCTGAACACAAATTCGAAGAAAGTCCGAATGCGCGATCGTAAATTTTAGGGGGCCGAGAGTGAACGGGAAAAGTGTGAAACTATTGCTGTACTTTTGTTCCATAACTTTGTTTCTCTTCTTTTATCATCATAATGGGCGAATCATTATAACTACGGCATCATATTGATGTCCATTCCATTGTCACTTACAGTTAATCGATTGCATGAACTTTTCATTTATTTTTTAATGTCAATTTCATTTCAAATCTATTTTGCTATGACTTTTAAACGTTTTTTGACGCTTGTAATTTTTAATGTGTGATTTGTTGACTTTTTATTACCAAAACTAATCTCGATGTATTCCAGAAAGCTCCTGATCTCACCGTTCCTTCCGTAAGTTTAAGAAATTGTTACTGTGAAACTTGTTAGTTTAGATTTAAATCGTCGGATAGTAAGCTTGTTTTGAAGCTAATGCTTGATGTAAGAACAAAAATTGCTAAATTGCCTTGTGTGATAGTTTAAAGTCCTTGCTCAAACTCACCAACTTCTCATCCAGTACTGTACATCTTGAAGTCTCTAAACTTCTACAGCTTTTTTATTCCTTCTTTAGTCCACCTTTTCTGAACAAATCTCACATCCAAAATCTTGGCCAGCCCTCTATGAAAAGCCTACTGTATCTTTATGCAATAAAAATATTTCGGGCCGGAAGTTTCTTTTATCCCGGTCAGGTGTAGCGGACTTGTTTTATGTACCCGGCGGCAGGTCAAAGACCCGATAAAAGTGTCGCGCTCGATGCCGATTTGATTGCGGACAGGTGAGAACCCGATTTATGAGGATAATATAACTTTACGCCAACTTCTGGAAAATCTCGTCACAATTATATTTATTATACCATAGTAATGTAAATTGAAACCAAAAAAATAAAAGTCTCGATCAAAAATAGATGAGTCATTAACTTTGGAATTAGGGAACGAAAAAAAAGTGGACGGTCGAAGTCAGAAATGCATGAGTGCACAAAAATTGAGAATCGGAGTAAAAACAAGCCGAGCCGGGGATACTGTAGCCAAAAGTGCGCTGGTTTCCGGAAAAAGGGAGAAGGTAACCACAGCCAAACACAAGGCCCAGTCTCTCGCCGTCTTCCATGAATTCCATTCTTTTTCATCATGCACGCAACCCCCAGCCTCTCTCTGCTGGCCCTCCGGGCTCTTCGATTTTTGGGATTCCGCTGACGGAAGCAATCGAAACTCAGCCTAATGTGCTTTTTGTCTCCTACTATTACATTTGGAAACCATCGGATTTGGTTTGTATAGCTCGGGGCATTGTAAACCCATTGTTGTTAATGAAAAACAGTATTCTTATTTAGGATTTTTAGATGTAAAAAGTCAAAGAATTTTTTTGTGTAAACGAATTCTAATATGCGCGATCTTGAATGCCTTGTCTTCATAAATAGATTCATCTAAAATCAAAGTTAAAAAGTAATTGATCGTCGTAAAAGGGTACCGTTTTGAAATCCTTTTTCTTTACCTGTACCAACTGTAAAGTCTGATTGGCACTCCCATAATCAGTTCCCTGAACGCCCGACCCCACTTATCTGCCAATTGCAGCCACATGTGGAGCTGAAGCTGATCAGATCCAGATGTGGGCCAAGACGGGACCTCCTCGTCTGGGCCGTCCTTCTCCAGGTGGGCTCTGCAAACGGGGATATAAGAGACACGGGTTCTGTTTATCGCTCCCTCCCCTACCGTAACCCTTCTTGGTCTATGAATAACCGATAAAATTGCCGGAGGGGTGGTGCCACGGAAACGCGGAGCCGTGGGCCAGGGCCGGCGCTCCACACTTGGGAACGGGACTCGACTGAGCCGTCTGCTTTTCCGTTTTCAGTTTTGGGCGAATTATCCAATAACAATTCCGAAGTAGTAGTATTCAAATGGAATTGCCTTTCGGGTTGTCGTCGGTCGCGTCTTTCCTCCCTCCGCCTTCAGATCTTTTCTCTTCCCAGCTGTCTAGTTGTCATGAAGCCGCAATCCCTCCACTACCTTGGAAAAGCATCATTAATAGCATAATTAAATTTTATGGTATTGCAGCGCGAAATTAGCATAGGGGGGAAGGGATGATTCGACCTTCCACTCCCACCCCCCCTTCTTGAGCTCCAGAAAAGCGAAAGCGAAGACAAACAACGCGTTACGGTGTCTGAACACAAAAAGATTTCACCTGGAGGTCATGCCCGAATTGATTTGCATAGATCCTCGGTCCTTTGTCTCTCCCTTTCATCTTTGAAGCCAAGACTTCTGAAGAGAGCTGCGAGCAGGAAACTAGCGTGATTGCTCGAGAGTGCGGGTGGTCGTCTTATAAATTTAGAATCAGTTTAAATCGAGAACAATACAATTAACAGGGCCGAAAAGTAAAACAAACTTCTAATTGTAAAATAAATTGGAAAGGCGCGGCAAAGCGACTTCGTTTTACTTTCAGAAACTGAATATAAATTTATGGATCGTCACGAATTCCCCAGTCCCCAAATCTCCCTATTATATGAACCTTGCCGCAAACTTTCCTCGTCTTTTAAACCCAAATATCCAGTAAAAATTAATTTTATGCTAATGTCCATTGCGTTGATTTATAGCCTCTTAATAATAACGAGATTGTAAATTGTACTCGGATGGGAGTAGCCTTGTTTTATCATGCTCTGATCACTGTTTCCCAGGTGATGAGAGGTCGCGCTCCCAGGACGGAAGGCATCTCCCAAATGTCGTAAAATCAAATTGTATTACTTTCTCATAGCGGGCCGCTCTCCGAACATCTGATCGCCACATTTTTTGACGGGCCCATTCAACTTAAAGAAAATATGCGCGTTTAATTGTTTTTGGAGTTCATAATTCAAAAAAATGAGTTTCACGAAATTTGGCGCGAGTTTTGATAAAGTAGTCGAAAAAGGGGTCAAACAGAAAGTTGTGATGAGACGAATACGGTAGTCCCGACTGAAAACACAGTACATCCCTGTGTGCGGTAGCCACATCCGGCCCGTCTGTGGCGTAATGTCAGCACAATGTTGGAGCCAATCACCGTCCCGCCGAGTCTTTTTTCGTTCAGGTTCTCCCCAAAAAAATTATCGTATCCCTTTTCCCGGCTGTTCCTCTCGAGCGGTCCGAAGTGTTTCGTCGGTCTCTGTATCTTTTCCATCCAGCTCCGACTTTTTTTCGTGTTTCTTCAGCCCCGGCCAGCCTTGAGGGAGCGTGTTTTAGAAGGGAGGGAGGCTGTCGGAAGGAGTTTTGCGGTCGGAAAAAATTGGGGAGGGAGAAGGAGAAAGACTTGGAGCCCCACAAAACTAATCGCTAACATGCAATTGTGGCGTGCTTTAACGTGAAAGGCCCTTCTGTTGTCAAATTATAATTATCCCCGTCCTTTTCAGGTATTTCCGGCCGTCAAGGTTGATTCCTCCAGGTCTCGGCTTGTCATCGGATTTGGGTCCACCCCTCCCATCTACCGTAACCATCAGATCAGACTATCAACGAGATCAGTGGCGACGTCTGATCGGAGCCCGAGTTGAGTGAATGAACCACAACTCGGCTTCGACGACGCCTAGGAACGCGGGCGTTCCGTCCAACGAATCCTCGTCGACCAGCTCGCCCTATCCCGATTACATGAACGCGACATCGACGAGTCGACCACCCACCTCCTCCACCAATACCGCCTCTACCTCCACCACCGCCTTGAGGACAAGTTCCTCGGAATCGACGCCAAATCTCAGTCTCCTTGGAGTCGCTGATCCCAACGATCATCTCCAACAACTCAAGCAGATGACTCAAGGCGTGGGGCTGATGAAAGTGGATGCAGGCAAGTCGGGCTTGCATATTAATGGCAGGGATGCCTTTTGAACGTCTTCCGAAGCAGTTAAAGCGCCTTTTATGGACCCTAACTGTTCTCCTATGATTTATATATATGATCCCACTGTCACCGCCCATTCTAACGCCATTATGCCGGTTTACTAGCTCATAACTCATTTAGACCATCAACTAACCTTTAGAGGCTTTAAATGACTCCGGAGGCGCATCTTCTTTTTCCCTTACCTTACCCGAATGAGGTTATGGATATGGCGATTCTGAAGGGAATTTAGCGTCGTTAGGGGCGGTTAATGGTATTTAGGGAATTTGTCAAACGTTTTAATTAGATTTTGATGATTTTATTTGATAATTTGAGGGTTATCAAAATTAATAGCCAAGATTTGAACGCAAATACAGAAGTGCCGAAAAGAATGAAATAGTTCAGAAGCCACCTGACAGCAGCAACTTCAGCCCCTGGTTAATGTTTTTGTGCTTTGAAATCTTGGGTTGATAAGAGCTGATTTATAGATAATGAGGCGGCGGCTTGTGTCTTTCATCTAGTCCCCTCCCAATTGATTCCTGTGTGGTTGCAGATGCCAATGTCTCATCCAGTAATCCGATGGTCGCCTCCAATTTTTCACCTGAACTTTACACAACGTATGGGACCTGGCAGTACTACCAGCAGTTCGCACCCATGGGACAAGCCGGCTTCTCTGCCTGGCCTCCACACGCCTACACCGGAACCCCTTGGCAAAACTACGGTAAGTTGGGCGTCGAATGGCGGGGCCGGCTCTCCACTCTCCCATTCTCCTTCTTCGGACATTTATTCGAAGCCTCTTGACGAGTTCGGAATGGGCAAAACCTGCGGGATGTCTTCCAAAAAGGCTTCAAGGGCCTTCTGAAGCCGATTAGAAACGCCTTTTAGTTAGACATTGAGAATCCTGTCTTTATGCAAACTAAGAGGGGTTCCAGATGCCTGAGATTACTGTCAATCCATCGAAAACAAATTCAGTTTCAGCACAGAGCAAGAAAGGACGACAGACGTATCAAAGGTACCAGACGACGATACTAGAAGGAAAATTCCAACAGAATTCTTACGTCAGCAAGAAGCAGCGAGAGGAACTCCGGAATCAGACTGGACTCTCGGATCGACAAATCAAGATCTGGTTCCAGAATCGGCGGATGAAAGCGAAGAAAGAGAAGCACCGCTGTGACGAGCAGACTGTCGACCATCAGAGCATCGCCCTGCCTAGCAGCACTTCCAAACCGCTGAACTCGGCGCTACAACGGGTGGGCAACGGATTACACAATGGAATGGGAGGTAACCTCGGTTTAGCTGGACATCAGCTCGATCTCGGAATTATAGACCAGGATGACAAAAAGAGTCTCTCCAATTCGATGTCGCCTGTGGGAGCACCCATGTGGCCAATGTCGACGATGGGAATGCATGCAGCCATGACGGGGATGCAGCCGTTGCACGGCGACAACATGGCCTGGACACAAAACAACCTGATGTTGCCTCAGGGTAACTTCATAGCCCCACATCAACCGGGCGGTCTCACTCCTATCAACACATACAACTGCCAAGGCTTTAACCCCTACTCCGAAACTACTTAAGCCACTTGGGTACTATAGGAAGATTATGTGAAATATCAATTTAGTTCGAAGTGTTCCACAGTATCCGGATTTGTACCCGAACCAGATCGGTCTCGTTGTTTTGTCTATATCACATATCCAGGCCAATTCCTCTACCTTCTCAATTCTCTAGGATCCCGAGCTTCGGCCTTTTGGCTAATTGTACAGAGTAGGCCGCTCGAAGCTTCCTCCCTCTTTCTTTGAATTCCTTCGCCGACACTCCGCCGATTTTCCTAAAATTTAGATTTTTGCGGAGCTGGAATTCACCATTTTCAACCGGGTGAATGTAGAAAAAAATATCTTGAATTGACATTTGTGCCCTCCGAAAGTTTTGAAAAATTATTTTCGAGGCTGCCCGCCCGAAATTAAAACATTTTGGAATGATCTTCAATTGACTTTCTCAGACTTTTGGCTTATTGGTGAAACCTCGGAGTAAAAAGTCGCGTGTGCCCTCCCCGAAACTTTTTCTGTATTGCCATTAGGGCATAAACTATCAAAAAAAAATTCCAGAAGATTGAAAAGTGCACTTCATTGGCTACCGAGCCGGCGGCCCTTGTGCGAGTCTGGGATCCCGGCCCGGCTGAAGCTTAACCTTGTTCGCAATATAAAAATCCAAATTTTAGGAAAATCGGCGGAATCTCGGCGGAGAAATTCGAAGAAAGAGGAAGGACCCGCTTCGAGCGGCTCACCCGGTATGTCTTGCAATGGTAATGCTGGAATATAACCCTAAGATATTAATAAGAAGGGTCTGTTTGAATATTGTAACCAAATTTATTTCAGGCAAAAAAATCAATAATTTTGGAAAACATTTTATGACGAGTTCGGAAAAAATTCAGAAATTCAAACAGATTCCCAACATTTTTGCTTTTGTGATTACGAAATCTGCATGAAATTCGTGACGTTGCAGGAAAGGTCTCATCAATTCAGATTGTTCTTCATAGTTATCCATCGGTTGTAATTATGTACTTTGATTTCCGTAAAAATAAATATAATTTAAATGCGTCTGTAAAGTAAGTTCGCGATTGAACCATTAGTGTTGCCAGTGACAAGGAGATAACAGTGAAGAGCGACCGAATCCAGGTGGTTCCCTCAGAGGTCCCAGCAAGTTTAATAATGAGACAATTGGATGTGGATGTCACTCACAAGATCCGGGTTGATTTCTCTAGCGAAGAAATCGAAGAAGCCAATAGGAGAAAAGAGACCGGAGCTCGAGTTGGGATGGATTCTGATGATGATTCATACTTCTCTGATGCAAAAGAGTCGGATTCAACTGAAGCTATTGATGAAAAAAGCGTAGACCGGTCAATAGTTGACGAACCTGAAAACAAACATGAGGTAGAAGTTAATGTGTCCCAGAATGGACCACAAAATTTAATTTCCTCTCCTGAACCCTGTGGGCTCCAATCTCTATTTTCTGACAAAGTAAGTTACAGTATGGTCAAATGAGGTAACCCACTTTAGGTTATGGGTGATTTCTTCGCTGATTTGGTAAAGCAATGAAAAAGGAATTCTTGGACGTCAAAACCATAATATTATTGTGATAAAATTGTAATTCTAATTGTTATTGAAAGAAGCTTTGGTCGTATAAGTTGTCTTCTTTGCCGCGATTTTATTTTTTTGAAAATAAATTGAAAAAAAATCGAATTTTTCGTTTGTTTTTGTTGACCGATGAATATCCATCTTTATTTAGATGGGAATTAAAGGCCTTTTGCCGTTTGTGGAGAGAGCTTGTCGACCTGTAAGTTCTTTTACTCTGTATATTTTGTTGTTTAGAGCCATGTCCAAGAATTTAAGGGGAAACGAGTAGCTATCGATGTAAGCTGCCTTCTTCATCGGGGAGTTTTTGGTTGCGTCGAGAGTATTGCTCAAGGCTTAAAAACGGATTTGTGAGTTAATAAAAAAGTTAAAGTGACTTTTTTAGTTGTATGAAATACGTTGAGAAGTATCTGAAAGTATTCTTTCACTTCGAATGTGAAGTTTACTTGATCTTTGATGGGAAAAGGCTCCAAGCAAAACAAGTGGGTTGTGTTTTTTTATTATTGTACATATTTTAGATTGTTAATGATGAAAGAAAAGAAAAAAGAGATAGCATCAAAAGAACTGGAGAAGAATTAATGTCTGTTGGTCTGGAGAATGAAGCTTATAAAGTGTTTCGTCAAGGCATTGGAGTTCCCAAGGAGATTCAAGACGATGCCATCACATACTTCACATCTCTAGATACTGTTAACGTGATGGTTTCTCCTTATGAGGCGGATGCTCAGATGGCCTTTATGATTCAGAACAACATCGTCGATGTAGTTGTTACTGAAGACTCTGATCTGATTGTGTTTGGAGCGTCAAAGGTAATTTACTTTTCCTTGTCTATTTCCAGATTTAGATTATATTCAAATTGAAAGAAAACGGCGCTTGTCTTCTCTTTGAACAAACAAAATTACCCAGATGTCTTTGTCCTGCATTAGCCAAGAACTTCAAGTTGGAGACGTTCAGAAGGATGTGCATTATGAGTGGTTGTGATTATCTTCCCTCCGGTCTGAATGGCGTCGGACTCAAAAAGGCGGAGGCAGTTTTATCCAAGACTTCTATTACGGATATCAAAATAGTAAGTGTATTTTGATATCCGTAAGTAACTTTATGTGGTACGTGTTTTAGTTGTTGCGAAGAGTTCCTTCACTTTTGAATAACCGATCGATCAAGGTTACCCCAGACCTCATCGAGTCTTTCATACAAGCTGAGAAGACTTTTATGTATCAAATTGTCTATGATCCATTGTGAGTAATCGGCGGTTTTAAGTATTCTTGCAGGATGAAATGTCAGCGACCCCTTAACTTTTATCCCGGTACAGTCGAGGAGGATTACCGGAATGTAAGTTGACATTCATATTTCACTGATTCTCTCAGTACACGCCATCAATGTTGGAAATAGCGAATGAATACGAGTTTGCTGGAACCATTGCATCTCCATCCGAAGCGGAGCAAATGTCCAAGGGGATTCGTAAGGACTCTGTTGATTGTCCTGAGTCAAGTACACAGGAGGTTAGCACTCCGAAGAACCGTGTTCTAACCTCGTCACAAACTGTCAACATTAATATCAACTCCCAGTCTCCGAGGCTAGTCTCTCCGAAGATCTCTTCCCTCAAATTACCCTTAAGACCGTCATCCCAGCCTCTTCAAACCTCCTCGAGTTCAATCAACTACAATATGAAAAGATCTCGGTCCTCAGGAATGTTCTCCCCAAAGGTGACAAAACGGCGAATAACGATTGATGAGAAGGGAGGGATCACATTCAATGTGACGGGCTCTTCAGAAATCTCATCGTCATCTAATTCCTCCAAGAGCACTGAAAAAAGGCCTGTGAATGAGGAGAAAATTGATTTATCGAAGGTTAATGCAAAGTAAGTATTATAGTACCTAATATAAAACAAAATCATATTATTACACAGTTAGTTACAACAAAGATACCAGTGTGACTCAAAATATAAGAGGCATATGATATGAAGTTGAGGGAGGGGTGGTGATATCAATTTAGAATTCAATTTCAGAAAGATCGTGAACCCGTCGTTGTCCGTCTCTTACACCAAGATTAATATAACAAATGTCGGCGTGAATCGACGTTTTGTGTCGCCACTGGTCCGACGTCCGTTTGTCGCCCGTTCTCCCGTGACTCCGCCGGCATTTCTGTAATTAGCTTATTGTATTTATTTGAACTAAATTGTTACCCGAATCCGAAGTAATCTCTTCATAGGAAGGAAGTCTCACGTCCAAGGGCTGAGGTAATTGTAAAGTCGAAGAATCGGTTATACACGTACTGAAAGAGTTATACATCGTTGTTGTCATCTACCTTCTGCGATTCGAATAAGCTGGCGGACCATAGATGGATTCGGGTAAAGCGTAAGTGCTGTCTGATACAGTATGACACCTTCGATTGGAAGTATGTCTGCTTCTTCCTTCTCGAGGAACTCCAGATTCCAACTGACTTAACGCCCGTCTTTCGTATTTCATAGTATCGTCGTATGATGGAGGCGGAGCCCTCATAAATATCTCCCGGAAAGATGCTAAACACTTAAATCCAATGTAAAGGGACTTACAAGGAAAAGCCCCAGAGGCCATTTCCAGCTCATTTATTGGCGCAGAGGGTCTTTCTGGACTGATGCTGTTGCGACGAGGTCTAAAAATCAACGATGATGACAAATGACGTCATCCATTAAGCTACGTTTTTGCATCATAAAACATACTAATCATAGATACAGGATTTAAATTAGACTTAATTTCCGTACCCCCACCTGATTTGCATGTAATAAACCAATGCAATCCGGAAGCAGCAGAACAGGATCGCGGCGACCAAAGCTGCCGGAGCCACGTAATAAACAATCCGGTCGTATCCTTGTGGTCCTCCGGGCGGATTAAACTCCTTCTCACTCATAACTATGGCTAATCAATCAGTTCACATGTGGAAGTCGATTCTTTTACGAAACCAATATTTGGGATGGCCAAGGTGAAAGGGAAGCCCCTGCTCCCTCTCCCCAATCACTGATAAGGGGTGGTAGGGTTGAGGAGGCATCCTGGAAGAAGCCGGAACGTTTTGTGTTCAGCTCATCTCCGTTTCGAACTGTCTTTGGGGAACGATTTCGTAAAAATTATTTATATCCGGAGGCAAGAAATTAGTGATAACAAGGAGCCGCTGCAGACAACGTAGCTGACATTGGGTAACGGGGAATGAGTGATATAAGCAAGATTAGATATTGTTCATGGTTCTGTATCGCTGAGTTCACCGGGATTCAAAATAGCATCGATCGAGGCCCTTCTCGAAGTAGAAATTAACCAAAGAATGAACATTCAATTTAAAGTCCTTGATGTGATCTCCCATATGTTGGATACAGTATTCGTCATAACCTTCTTTACCGTACGCCACTGTCTTTAGAAGCGTATGCCGAGAAGGGGCGGCAGCCAAAACAACTTTAAATAATTGGCGGGAAATGAAATTGTGATGATGTTTGAGGGTCTTCTGATAACTTTCGCTGAGGAGATTGTAGAGAGATTCGCTTTTTTCCTTTCGATTATATGCCTCCACCAGCCCAAACAACATTTCCAACATGAATTCAAGTCCTCTGCAAACCCAATGTAACTTTTTTTGAAATGACTTCCGTTAGTTGCTTACCTTTTCAGCCACAACAACCCTTCTGTTGGTATGCCCATATTGCCTCCATGTTGTTCCAGATCAGATTCTACCATGTCTTGCAGATACTTGTACTTCTCCGGGTCCTTCTCGTACATTGTCCTAACCTTGTTCACATTTCCGAGGACATCGTTCTTCACGGGGATAAAAGCCGTTCCTAGGAATGCCACGAATTCTCCAATTCCTTGACAGGCCGAAATAAACTGGGCTGTTGGGATCTTGCCATCTTCCAGGTGAGGGAAGAGCCGTTCTTTGGCCGAGAAATAAGTCTCTGGCTCCGACATCTGAAGTTACAAAAGTTGTAATCAATTAGGAAACAACCGTTTCAAACCAACAAAAATTTGATTTCGATTTCAAGAAACTCATAAAACTCGCAGAAAAGAAGGTTTTAAAAAAATATGCGTCATCGCAACGTCACTCGAATTAAAGGTATTCAACGGTAAAACTAAAAGCCGAAAAAAGACATCGACCGAGGGAATACGTTTATTGAAGCAATTAAAGCTTTACCCTGTAATTATGGAATGTAAAGAGGACGTTTGGACTACTTGACGGCCAATGAGGGCCTCTCACAATGTGAATATAGATAATTAAAGTAAAATACCCATAAGAAGAGACAAAATAAGCGGACACCGGGACGTTTTATATACAAAGAAATACAATATCACTTTGGAAGATTGTGCTCAGAGTTCTGTTCGAAGGTCCCCACCATCGATTTCACAAAACTTCGGTGGATATCGGACTGGTTGGATTTGGCACAGCGGCGATTTGGCACTTTTAAAGAGAGGATCCCAAACTTTTTCGCAATTTCGGTCTGAAACTGATAAGATAAGCCTTAAAAAGAAGAGATCAATAAAAACCCAACATCATTAAGCAATAATGTCTAAATTCAAAATCGAAAACTTGCCAACGATGACGTCTTCCCTTCCACACGAGGTTTCGCATTTTTGGAATCAGAATTCCCAATTATGGCCTTCAAATATCCTTCGCAAATCGATCTAGATCCCCTTGGCCGAGTTTTCTTTGGTCTTGAAGACACGTCGGAAGCCGATCTGTTCGGACTACACCCGTTAAAGACTGCACTCTGCCGATTTCTACTTGCACTCAACATTCCTCCAAACGTCTGCAACTGATTCATGAAGCCAGAGTTCGGTGTTATACAATTCCTTTTGGCTTTTACATAATCCAGAGCTCGGCTTAGATTCCATCCATACTCTTTCATTATATATGAGATTACAGTAGACGAAGATCGACTGATCCCTTTTTTGCAATGCACTAATACTGCCGATTCTTCCATTCTGCAATTAACTCAAAAAAGTATATTCACTTACTTGGCCTTCTTGATAAACTCATAAGTCCGGTTCCAATGCATTAGCAGTTCGGTGTTTGCTTCATCTGATACGAAGATCTTCATATACACAAAATGGGAAGGGAAGAAGTTGTCAACCTCTCTGGTCATATTCAAAATATACCGCACCCTGAATCTCATAAATAAATAAATCCTTTAACTTACTTGTTTTCGTGCAGTTCATCCCAATTTGATGCATTCCATTCTGTACCCAAATACAAATAATCGAATATTTTTGATGGTTTCTCCATCTGCCCCAAAATGACGAGCATTTCCCTGTCGATGAACTCCTTGTAAGCCTTGACGGACACATTAATTTCCCGATCGAGCCTTCTTCTGATATCTCCACTGGTCACATCATCCAGGTCCACAGTCTGCATTATTTGTTTCAGAGAATCTCTGATCCGCCTTTCCGTTGCATCCTCCACGTTGTGATAACTGACTCTTTTGGCATTAATATCATCTCGAGCTGCATCATCAACAAAAGAAACATGCCTAAAAAACAAATAACACAATTCCGTCAGTCGTACCATTGAGCGGAAATGCCTGGGATTTGAGTCGTCCTCTCAGCGTCCCGATAGAAATTCAGCCATTCCTCGGGTTTATCCAGCGTTGGATATTTATTCACCAGTTCTAGTTCTTTGTGAAGACATTGGAAAACAAGCCACATCGATTGGATTGAGACGGGTTTAAAGAAATAAAAGCTGGCTGAGATCCCGACCAGAATCCCACCATCTCCATCCAATTCCACCCGGGTTGTTGTGAGGATAGGGACTGATACGCCGATCCTGAAATCAGCTGATGTATTTCACACTACCTCCTACGAGCATCAAATAAAAAATATTAAAATAACATACGACACTCTCTTATCATAGAAATCGAACCCAATTAAAGCCGATTCCCTTGCACCTGTCAAGAGTTGAGTGGGTGAGGTCACCACAGCCAGGTATCTTGTGTGTTTGGTTAGAGGAGACTGCAGTTGTACAACAATCGAGAGTCTGTCGGTCGGCCTGAGAACATTCAGCATCTGTTGAAGGTGTAACTCAATTTCATCCAAAAAGACTAAAAGAAAGTAAAGTTATTTGTTATAGGAATCGCTCCGCCCGAAAGGCTTACTCATTTAGCCATACATACCTGTTTCAGAACTTCGGTGTCTTGAAAGTATTTGTTGTGAATGCGACAGCACCATGGCGGCGCCCTTAACAGTAAAGTAATATTCATTACCGTCGGTGCTTGATCCTGGCGGGGACAACGAACTATCTGAGCAAATTGCGGCCTGAAAACCAAGAATAAAATGTAGTTCAACAACGGCAATATAAAAACTGATAGCTCACCTCATCTTGACCAACCGAGCTAGGCCTTCTAACGCTAATCAAAGACATACTAAATTGACAGAGGCAGCCACTTCCCTACTGGAATGCTCTGAAGCCCATCTTACTCTTGGATCGATGAAAATAAAAATCTTTTCCGATTAAACCTGAACCGATACAATGTAAACGAAATGTCACAAAGAATTTCTTTTTTCGACTTTTTTATTGTACACGAATATCGAGTAGATGAACAAATAGAAGGAAGATGGTGGAACAAGAAGAGAGTCCCAGCAGTTCTAATGACCTCCAACTGGAATTGAAGGTGAGTTGTTACTTTAATCGAATTTATTCTTTTCCAGGAGAAGTTAGAAGCGGCCAAACAGCTCACTGACCGTTATGAAAAGATGTTGCAAGAAGAAAGAACGTACCGCCAGGAACTGGAACGAGTATTTGAAAAAAAATCAAAAGAAGCAGAGACCTCAACTTTTCAATTAAATGAACAAATTCAATCTTTGGAGAGACTTTTAGATAACCTATCGGCTAAATTCAACAACGAAATGAAAATCGTTGAGGAGAAGTTTGACGAACTTTTGTCCATCAACCAATCTCGTTTAGACGACTTTAATACTGTGAATGAAAAGTAAGGCACTCTAGTATCACTCACATTTTAGGTATCAAAAATTGCTTGGACTGTATCGAAAGAACGCAAGTAATATGCGAGAAGATAACATATCCCTACCTCAAACTGTCGATGAGTTGCAATTCGAATGTCTAAAGTTGAGAGAAGAGATAATAGAGACCAGATCCGCCAAGGAGCATATAGAAGAAGAAAAGGCAAGTGCTGTGGCCGCTCTGAACAGCGAGTTGGAACAAGCAAGAGCAATGTCAGGACGTATGGTAACTTTTCGTCGGGTTAGTAGTTTATTATTAGATGAGAACTCAAGAGAATGAAGAGTTGAGACAAACAATTTGTGACCTTGAAAAGAGATTATCCGAATCTCAGGCAGAGGCTGGTGCCATGGCCAAATCTTTGGAAGAATTCCGCCAACGATGTAGTCAACTACAAGTTGAACTTGACAACTCTGAAGCCGTCCAAAAAGATTTCGTCCGACTCTCGCAGAACCTCCAGATCCAATTAGAGAAGATCAGATCGACTGAACAAGAAGTAAGCCTTGATGTTTTAGTATTCGTCGTTTAGGTACGATGGCAGTTCGCCGAAGACGTGGCCAAATGCAATTCATGTGAGGCAGACATTAGACGGACTACTCAGAAAGGGAACTGTTTACACTGTGGAAAAGTATTCTGCACGAATTGCATAAAACAACAAATATCTACTGGTCCAAACAACAGAATTGCCAAAGTATGCTCCGTATGTCACACACTACTCAACAGGTAACGAATGGGGAAAGAGAGTCAATGATTTTTAGGAATTCTGCGCCATTCTTCTCGAAAACGTTCACTTCTCCATCATAAGTTGGTCACAAAATTCAACCCTTGGTGTAAGCACGGATTTCTATTATCAGATCCAGGGATTGTCGTTGTAATATATAAAATATTTATAAGATAGAAGATAAAATAGTTTCTATGCTGTGCTAATATAAAAAGAAATAAATTATATACGGACCCGGCTATCATTGGGCCTCTTGAGGAGGGTTCTGGAGTTGTTCATCATCGTCGTTATCAGGAGCTCCCCAATTGAATCCCCCAGGCCGTTCCTGGATATCGACCGTGGGCAGTGGGGCGGGATCAAACAACCATTTCATAAAAGCCGGAGTTTCCAATATCCGGAACCCATTCGGCAGAGTGGGAAACACGTCTTCCAGGAAGTAGTAAAGATGACCACAGGCAATTCCTGAACAGAAATGTTGTTTTATCAAGGACCTTACCAAACACATCTACCAATGCATTGTTACCCAGTAAGAGAGAAAAAAAGAGAAGCACCCAAGGCAAGTACGGGGCGTTGAAAGAGATGACTCCGAAGAAATTCATGCGAATCTGAGGGTTTCTTCTGCTCCACACATATACCAGCATGATGGTAAATGCTTGTCCGAGAAACAAGAGGTGTACGAAACACGCACAAATTATCTAGAATCTACTTTTACACAAGACTGGATGCACATACCATAAATACACCGCCAAAGAGGAACATGAACACGAAATCTGCGGTCCTATCCCTGAAGGAACCCTCCTCCAAGATCTGGCAATGTCGATATGTGAAGATAATATTGAATAAGAATGTAAAACCAAGTGACCCAAAGTAGCAGAATGAAGTGAGAAGTCTCCACCACTGAAATGAGTTGTACATTCATTAAAAATAGAACTGACCTGGAAGTCATACAAGATGAGATGCCAGTTAAAGTAGAGGTCGAAGGGAGTTACCAGTTCAAATTGCTAAAATATAATATCACTCACATTACTCAGACGCCCTTACCACCGCCAGTGTGGTCAGCACACACGCGGTCATGTAAACCCGTGTGACCGGGGGCATCTGTTCATATGTCTGGAGGAGATGTTGCATCCTGAACACATAAACTATATACGGCACCAATAACATAATATAAACGACGCAACGTCAACAGTATTTAGAGATAAAAACATCTCACAATCAGAATCGATTTAGAATGACCTAATATATTTAACAACCGGATAAGTGGCAACAACAATATAACTAGACCCTTATGGCGTGAGGATTGTGGAGGAGTTCCCTTCATTTAGAAGATCACCCAAGATCTTGTTGATTCGAGGAACAAAGGCAGAGGTGTCGCCGATCAAACCAGCTGTCACCAAGGCATTGTCATATACCTAAAATTGCATAAAGCCAAACAGCGAAGAGTTCATACCTGTTCAATGACATCTTTAGCCAACTTTTCATTCTTCCTTTTAAGTTTGGGCAATCCTTTGATGACTGGATGGGAAAAGTTGACATGAAGGACAGGCTTCACATTGATCAAATGCTCTGATTGTTTGGGATTATTGATACGAAGAACATGTCTCATGGCGCTGTGATTAATGGCGGTAATAACAAACGGATGGGAAGAGGGACTCTGCATCGGATGGATTTCAAACACTTTCACAGATCCCAGAGAATCCCTGATGTAATCCAACAACTGTTTTTTATCAGAATCTCTTGTCATTTCTGCAACCAGTTCAAATTAATTTAGACAACTATTATGTACCTGTCTTTTCATGCTCAGATTGCAATCCCTGTTCCTTCAGATACGCCTCAACGGATACGATCTTCTTCCCTTTAAACTCGTTCATCATCAAAAGAACCATTTCATCAGCAGCATCATGGAGGAAAAGTACTTCCTTATTCTGTTGTTTAAATGATTCGTAATAAGGGGAATTCTCAGCCAGTTGACGTCTAAAAAGAATTAATATTTGTCATAATAACTTACGAAGGACTGTAAAGGTAGTAAATCGCATCTTGATCCTTTTGCATCCTCTCCACATACTCTTCCAAGCTCGTAGTTGTCCCCGGTTTGAAGTTAGAGGTATCAAAAAGTAAGAGTTGCGCAATTTGTTCCTAAACATAGACGATCAATCGAGCATTCCGTTACCTTAACACCAAAATCTTGTTCGACAACAATTCCTTCTTTAAAGAACATCGAATACCCATTATAGAAGTCAGTGTACTTGATCCTGTCCTTCTTCATCTCCTTCGTTAAGAATCTGATGATCCTTTCGGTTATAACTCTTCGCAACTTTCTGAAAAAGATTTAATAAAACCGTGCAATGTCTTACACAATAACAGCATCTTTTTGAAGCATTTCTCGACTCAAATTCAAAGGGACATCTTCGGAATCGACCACTCCAATCACAAATCTCAAGTATCTAGGCAACAATTCCTTGGCGTGAGCTTTAATAAGGACTTTACGAGCATACAGAGACACTCCAGAGTCTTCAAAATCAGTAGTAAATTCGACTTGATTCACTTTGTGGGAAGGAATGTATAACAAAACTCTCAGATTTAATGGAGCATCGGTCTAAAAATTTTAGGTAACAGTTTTATAGAAATAATTTCAAACTCAACCTACTTTATACTGCAACGTGTATCTGGGTCTATCATGAATCAAATGAGCGTGATGAGTCTTCGCGAGTTGTCGAAAGAACGTCTCGTGCATTTCAGGAGTAACATCCTTTGAATCCATAGTCCAGATAGCATTCATAGTATTGACTCTCTCCCCATTCACAAATATGGGCACTGTCACGAAGTAGGAGTACTTGCTAATCACTTCAATCAACCTTTCAGGCAAAGCGAATTGACTTTGATCTCCATCCCTCAATTCCAACTCGATTCGACAACCAGGTTTTGCATTAGGATCTTCAACAATTTCATAAGAAGAATCTCCACTCCAGCTCCATCTGTATCCAATAGAATTATCATCGTGTTTCTTGGTGATTACGCTGACCTTATCAGCCACCATAAACGCCGAGTAGAAACCAACACCAAATTGACCTAAAAATAGAAGGAAAACTATGACACAATTACACAACTGACCTATGATCGACTCCGCGGACTTTGCGTCATTAGTTCGAAACTCCTTGGATCCAGATTTGGCAATTGTCCCCAAGAGATTAACCAACTCATTCCTGTCCATTCCGCAGCCGGTATCTTCAATGATAATTTTCCCTCCTTCTGTTTTTATCCGAATTTCATACGGAATTTGATCACCAGCGGCAGTAACCGCCATGTCCTTTGAGATCTCGTTATATCTCCGCTTTTCCAAGGCATCGCTGCTGTTACTAACCAACTCTCGAAGAAACACCTAGACATTAGATACAATTCAAAGAAAAAAAACTCACCTCCTGCTCAGAGTACAATGATTTAGCTACAATGTCCAAGAGGTTTTTAGTTTCCGCCTGAAACTCATGCTTTTCGGCTTTGACTTCTTGAGAATAATTTCTGAATCCAAAGGTGTTCCCAGCTCCAGCAGCCACAGCTCGATTGAATAATCTTGGTGAAGAACGGGATAACGATCGGCCAATCAAACAAACAACGGCACGCCGATACATTACCTACAAGGTACACGTTAAAAACAATCTTCCACTTTTTCTACTTGTAATTATTTTTGCGGAACACGGAATGCCAAGAACTGTTTTCGTTGAAGGACGAAAATAAAAAATTTTAAAATTTTTTCGACATTTTTTTTATTTTTTGACTTACGGAACATCGATGTTAAAAGAAACAGACAGCGATGTAAGGCCTGAATCATCTATTTACGTTTCTTGCAGAAGCTTGCAGCGGTTCATCAAATATTTGTGAAGGTTGGTCTCAGGAAATACACTGTGTACTTAGACAAATGCGACTCGGATTCAAATGTCGTCGTTCTTTGCATCGACCTCTGCGCTGCTGGTCTTGTGGATTCAAAAGTTTTCAGAAGTCTGATTAAGCAGGTGTTTTCTCTACTTAAGCCATCTTCAGAGTTCCTGGTAAAGGTAAATTCGATTTTTTATAACTAAAATTTTAGCTTCTCGACCGTTTTCTGGAGAAGGATTCATACAAACCAGGCTTTGTGGTGGTTCCAGTGATTTTGAACCGAGTTGGAAACGCTGTGTTGACGTTAGATAGAATAAAAAAGATGGTTCACTGGATTAATGAGGGTGCAAAACATGGGGCACACATCCGACATCTTTGCGATAAACCGTGTGAAGCAACATTGAAGGCCATTCTGGGTATGGATAATTCGAGAGAATTATTAAACGAAACTTTGGAATTTGCTAATTTGTAAGTATCCATAGTTTTATAATATTTCTTATATTCAGATTGGGGAATTTGGAGAATTGGAGGTCAGGATGGAGAGATTTGAAGGATAAGAGAAAGCCAATGTACAATGATGTTTTTGATCGTTTTTATGCTGAAACGGCCAATGTTCAAGACGATATTTCTAGCCTCAATGATGAAAATCAATTTGAAAAAGTTGCAAAGGATGAAGATGAAGAATTGGTAATTCAATTGAAAACTTGGATGGTTGATGCCGAAAAATGTAAGGCAGGTTCTGTTTTGACGATGGCCGACATTATGGAAACCTTAAGTTACGAAGAAAAACGACCTGGAAATCATGAAATGCCCAGAGATAAGATTAACAAGTTCTATAAATCTGTAAGAGTAGGTATTCTTTTCAGGAACATGAGATAAACATGTTATTTCAGGACCATGTGTATAAGTTAGCAGAGGACGAGAGTATGTCATCTTTGTTAGTGGTTATGAATATTGTATTGAATACACACTCCAAGAAGTTGATTGATCTCGGTAATACTGCGCTCATACGATTAGCCGTATCTTTGAAAGATGATGCTACGAAAGAAATGGTAAAATCTAAGGTAAGTATAAGATTTGCAAGTTTACTATCTGTTCTTAGGTGTTTGATATACTCAACTCAGAGTCTTGTTTAAGACTGCGACCATACGCATTGTCCACAGTACTAACAACCCTGAGCAGATATGGATTTCTCGATCCTCAATGTGTTATTGAACACTTCCTAAGCCAGGCTTCTCTTCGTAAGTCCTCCGTGAAGTGAGCTAATGTAACTTTAGCGTCGAAGTCAGTGATCTGGTTTAATGACAGTACATTATCGAGGTTGTTTGAAGTCCGGATGATTCCTCTTAATTATTTGAGCCTTTTAAAAATGTTCTACTCTAGGAAAGCATACTCTTACGTCAGGAGCTTCTGTATGTGCCGTTTTCACTTTTTTTCGAGATTTTAGATCAATTATCTTCTGCTGTGTTTTGCAATGGTTCTGTATCGTTGAGTTACTTTTACTATGCCGATCAAGGCCTTTTGGAGATTATTTTTGAAGTTTTGGATGAATTGTGCGACATGAAGATGAATTATACAAGCCTAGAAATGTTGCAGAGCTGTTTATTGGTTCTTGAAGTGGTAGATCCGTTTGAATTCCCTGAATCATTAGCTTCCAGATATACGGAGAAGTAAGTTATTATAATTTCTTTTCAATTATATTACGCTTGTAGACACCGGAAGCTTCTGAACGAGAAACTGACTTGTCTATTCCAAATTGTTCCCGACTTCTCCTTCAAAATAAGACTCCAAAAAATGCTAAAAACCTTTTCTTGTTCTTGTTAAGTTTGTTGTTAGTAAAGTTGAGCAAAGAGGATCGTTGAATATACTGGTTGGAACCCACATACATGTGTAAAAGACGATATTGAGGCATTCCGATCTATTTTTAGGAAGTTATGGCACATGAATACGCTGATCTGTTGTCCGACTACGAACATAAAGGAACTGTTGGAGCTCCAGAAGTAGGGTATATATAAAGGTCACTATATTTTAGTTTTATGACACGGACGAGGAATCAGATAGCAAACTTATGACACTCGCTGAGTGGATTCAACAGGCACAAACGATACTAGTCATCACTGGCGCTGGGATCAGGTAAAGCTGAGACCCTTCTCTTCATCTTTCTAGTACGTCAGCCGGCATCGCAGATTTCCGGGGCCCTAGGGGCATCTGGACATTGGAAAAGGAGAGGAAATCAAAGCCTGCAGGAGAAATGGACGAGCACTCGCTTGGATCATTTGATGAAGCGAAGCCAACAATAACACACGATGCCCTTAGAATACTCGAAGAAAACGGGAAATTGGCATATCTGATATCGCAAAACGTTGATGGGCTGCATTCAAGGTACGGATTCCCTATGGACAGACTTTCCGAAATCCACGGAAACGTGTTTCAGAAAAGATGTAATAGATGTAACAGGTAATTTGAGTCAAATGTTATTTTTATGACTTTTAAGGATTGAATTCAACAATTCTCCTTTGAAGTCCGTTGGACGAAAACCAATTGGGCAGAGGTGTTTGGATGTCCCGAAGCCAAGGAACAGATGTACAGGGGAGTTCTGCGACTTCTTGTTGGATTGGGATGATGAACTGCCTGAACCTGATTATACTCGGGCATTAAAAGTTGCCAATTCGGCCGATCTTGTCTTATGTTTGGGTAGTTCTCTTCAAATTGAACCTGTGGGAAGTCTGCCTCTAAAATGCAAGAAGAAAGGAGCGAAAATAGTAACGGTTAATCTTCAGAACACAAGAATTGTAAGTACAGTATGTAATATACATGGTAACTTTGCATTAGGAAAAGAAAGTAGACCTTCCAATTCATCGTAAAGTTGACGAAGTGATGTCTCGCCTTCTCAACCACCTCAATTTAACCCTCACGCGACAACAGGAGACTCTAATCATCTGGCACTCATCTCAGCCGGCCCACGAAACTCCCAAAAAACGACGAAAACTTACAAAATAATGAATTATATAAAATAAAGGCCTAATTAATTTTTGTAATGGGAGAGACGGAGAGCTGGAGGGAGGGACTGATACTCGTGCAGTGAGGGAAAGAGTCCGTCGAGACCAATGGAAGAGACCACGCACCCGGAGCAGAGAAACGAACGCCCGACAGAAAAAAAGAAGCTGGCGGGTCGACTCTTTTCTCCCTTTGCCCGAACCATGTTTTTGACAACTACAACCCTTTTTTGGTAACTTCCAATATCAACGATTACCCATCCTAAGCAAAATACCGCAGAACATCAATCGTCTTGTTTCTGCCAATTTTGGCACGGTTTTCCCAATTGATTTTCTTCAATTTTTTGTTTGTTTATGGCTTTTCATTTTTTTCTTATAGACTTCGTCACATCAATTTGGGTCACATAGCCAAACATCATGTCAGTCTTTGGCAACGATCATATTCCTCCACGTAAGTCCTGCCTCGGGAGATTATTTGTTTTCCCAGAAGCTCCAAGCGGATCTAGACTGGCACAATATCTGAATGGGAGGAATCAACAGCAGCCTCAACAGCCACAATTTATGGATCAAGTAAATTAATTAAAGTTTGATTTATGAAGGTTTTTTAGGGTCGATTTAATAGTAATGCGATGAACGGGTTCAATTCAACTGGTGAGTGAAAAATAGAGCATTACACTCGTGTGTTACCTAAAATAATATTTTTCTTTCCAGAATCTTTTGATCCTAATCGAGGATACGGAAACGCTTATATTCCCACGATATCAAACGAGGATGCGCCTCTGAATAAAGCAGATCTTGCTATGTTAACTGTACGTTTACAACGTTTATGATAGTTGTAAATGTTTAGACCAACATACCTTTGGTGGGTCTACAGGTATCCAATGAGGACACATTAAAACAACGATGGGCCAATGCTGGTCATGGCTCATTCTTCACCGAGCCGGATATACGGAATGTGAGTTAAACCATGACTTTAAAATATTTATAATTATAGGAACTAATGCAACGTCAAGTTGCAATGCAATGCCATCAGAGCTCTTCGGCAGGCGAGCCGGCTGTTGTGGAGCATTTGAGGAATCTAAGACAGATCGGAAGGACCCCAGTGATGCGATATGGGCCTACATGTATGGAATATACGTACAAAGGGATGAACGTAAATGATGGACTCACATATTCCGTCCATCGAATCAGCGGTACGACTTATTAGTTGATTATATTAGTTCATTTAACATTGATTTCAGGTGTGCGGCAGATCAGCCCTTACGCCATGACACAACTGGAGAATTGGAGACGGATCTCGAACTCGAATATCGTCCGATTTCATGAGGTCTTGCAAACGTGTGCTTGGAATGATAATTGTAAAGTTTGGTGAAGAATTAATGCAACTTTTTTATTATGGTAATATGTTGCTGATTTCAGCGGTCTTATTCATCTACGAGTTCCAACCTTTGGCCGAAACTATCCTTAAACATTTTTTCCATTCAAATGGAACGTTAAAGTCAAAATACAGTGGTCAAGGAGTCCCTGGGTTGTCAGAACAGTTGGCCTGGTCCTTTATTATTCAGATTTCGTCGGCAATTCGTACGATACATTCGGCACAAATGGCTTCACGGTGCATCGATGTGAACAGGATCATGGTCAATGCCTCTGGAAGGTAATCCGGACACAACAGAATAATTAATGTTGTCTTAAGGTTTGTAATTACTGGTTCTGGCATCCCTGATGCGATGAATGAGCCCAACAAGAACATCATGTCCCTCCAGATAGAGGATCTTCGTATGTTCGGCGCGGTTCTCTGTGCCCTGCTGAATGGATCCATCAATGGTCATTCAAATGTAAATATCGACATGCATTACTCCCCAGATCTTCGGAATGTGATTAAGTAAGTTCTAAAATACTGTGAGCACTCTGTTTTTAGAGTTTTATGTAACGCCCATGCCAGTCCTAGTCGAGTTACATCCGTCAATGAGATCATGCCAATGGTCGGAGCCAGGTTTTACGCTCAAGTGGAGGCCCTTCAGATTAGAATAGATCTTCTGGAGAACGATTTGGTCAAGGAACTTCAGAATGGTCGTCTCTTCAGATTACTTTGCATGTTGTGCACTGTAACTGACAGGAATCTGTAAGTTTTTATTTTTTGGGATTATAAAGTTCTTGTTTTAGACCAAAGGAACCTTTTTGGTCAGAACAAAGCGAGAGGTACATGCTTAAGTTGTTCCGGGACTATGTTTTCCATCAGGTGGATCCCTATGGCCGTCCAGTTATGGACCTAGAACATGTTGTTCTGTCGTTGAATAAGGTTTGAGTTGGTTCGTTTCTAAAGTCGTGTTGTAGCTGGACAGTGGAGTTGAAGAGATGGTTCAATTAGCTTCCAGTGACAATGAGAATATCCTCCTTAACTCCTACAAACAATTGAGGCAGTATCTGGAGAGTTCTTTCGACTATCTGAAGCGAGAAATGGAGAACCCGATCACTCCAGATCTCTCCAAACCCGGTCCCCCGATGATTGGCCCTGACGGGCAGCCGCTGGTGTCCGATGCAGCGATGGGGATGCCCCCGGACGCCTTTGGTGATATGCCTCCAGGCTATGTTCTGCCGTTCGCTCCTAATGTTCCCCCGCCCGGTCCATCGAGACGATAGTCAGTCCCGAGAAGTCTCACTTCGGCTCTTTTAATCTCATTGTTCTCTCGTTCACAGTTTACCTAACGGATGTTGTATTCTTAACATTGTTTTGTTTCGTTTTACAAATAAATGTAATATTTGAATTCCCCGTCCAAATGCGGAAAGAATGGGCCCGTGTTCCCCCACTTTTTTTTAACCTTTTCCCCAGGCCGACCTCGTCCCCAGGGCGTTTTTGTCCCCAAGCCGTTTGCGATCACATTGTAGTTTATGATCACAGGTATAGATCAGAGTTTTACAGACTACAAAGTAATGAGGTACTTTTCACACGTGGTAATATATAGTACGAGGTAAAAATTAGGTCAGAAGGTGTTAATGCTTTTGGTTTGGTAACCAGTACTGCCCAAAAACACGTCTTTAGCGCTTTGTACTACATATGTAGTACGAGGTACTATTTAGCACAAAATAAAAATTAGGCCAAGAATCATTAATGCTGCTTGGATACCCAGCACATATAGGTATGGTGACATGCGCATCAAATCCAGAGGCCTAACAGACAAGAAATCGCGGTTTCTGGCCACGACACCCAATTTGATGCGTATGTCATCATCCCGTACGTGCAGGTGCAGAACAACTTTCCTCATTAGACTTGTTTATTCGGTCCCAATCTGATAGCAAAAAAAACTAGTCGGAATAACGAGTTGAATCAGAGGGCAAGGGAACGGTCTCTCCGATTAAGAACCCAGTGCCAGTTCACTCATCAGAGTTTACCCCCTGTTGAGTGTTGAATTATAACTGTTTCAGCCCACCCAAAAAATGTCGGGAAATTTGCACAATGATTATTTATTGTTGGATGGGAGACTCCATGTCGTGGTAAGAGCCGATACTATGCATTTAACAACCTTAAGAATGCGTCGTATGGCGTCCTTGTTGTTAATCTGGTAGTCTCATTGTTCTCCGTTCCGTTCTTCCCAGGAGCCATGAAGGCTGTACCAGTTGTCCTCATCCCCTTGGCTCACATTATCATTGCACTGGGTATCTACAAGAAGATCTCACACATCGTCCATGCTGCTATGGGACTTTTCGTAAGCTTTGATACACTTACGCAAATTTTCAGATTGTATCGTACCTAGGCGGTTTGATCACCTCAATTATCTTGCTTTTCATGGAAGTTTCTGCTCCGCGCCGAGGAAGTTACAAACTTTACTTACTACATGTGAGTACACTATCAGCTGTACTCACCAACACCCTGATTATTCTGCTCTATCTTCTGAGGAAAGTCAGTAATTACATCCGAGAAGATTACAATACTCTTCGAAGTGAGCCCATCTAATCCTACACTTCTTATCCACACAGAATTGTAAAACCTACGGGAAGGCTTCCAAGTGCGACGCTCAGATTTTCTCTAAACTCTGCACACACATCAAAGTACATGCCACACATCAGTTTCCGAAATTTTTAGCTCGCGCTTTGCAGGCGCAGGAGGGATATTCAACTATCTTTGCGGTCAATTTGTAGTTTTACGCGGAAAAAAAAAATATTTTTTGTGGAAACATTACTACTAGTCGCGCCATAAAGTCCCGACACTTTTGCACGGTGCATTTTTTCTCCGTTTTGGGCCCGCCGTGGTGATTCCCCTTTTTGCATTAGCGGCATGCACTTTCGCGTGAGCCTACTCCAATTTTCTCGCGCGACAAATGTATCGCGACTTTATGGTCCCGATACTAGTATTCTCTGCGGTAGAAATAGGCAAAACTTTTCATGCTAAAAATCCATAAAAACCGTCAAATTTTTTCACTTTCGACCAAAAAATCTCAGTCATTTTTGAAAAGCGCGAGCTAGGGATCTCGCACAGGTCTTATCTTTAAAAAAATAATTTAAATTTGTGTCAAATATAATCAAAATCTGAGTGTCGCGCTTGAAGTACTTCCCTAACAGGGCCCTGATAATAATGTAATAAAATCAAAAAGTATATCTGTGAGAATCGTAACCGCTAGCAAACTAATCTTTATTTTTAAAATCGATCGCTTTTCCATTGAAACCATGCGATTGGCATAATAAAAAGGCGATAGTCCCGTCTGTTACGTAATAGACATATACACGGCGAAGATGAGCAAATGACAGCAAACATTCTGCGAAACCCTTAGAATCACAGGAGATTTTAGACAAAAAATTACATATTAACGGACACAATATAATATACCCAAACAGAATTCAAAAGAATATATATTACAATATAAAAGCCATAACAAATGTAAAATTTAACAGCGTAGAAATTCTACCGGATAGTGAAAGCAAAGGAAACCCATTATATTAGTAAAAATCTGACCCCGTGTTTTACATATACAGAGAAGGAATGTCACAGCGACAATAGGCGTCGCTGAATGTCTTAGAGACAAACAAAAACTACATCGGCGCTATACAATTGACATGCACGGGTGTTGCAAACTATGAGAAAGAATATAACAGTAAGAGAAAAAAACATCCCAGAAGATATAAAATGTGTCATGATGACGCCATTCGGGGAAAAACCTCATGCGTTCGGACTAGCCTCCGGGGCCGAGTCCTTGTTGATATTGAGATTAGACACTTCCTGCTCCAGAGACGATTCGTTTGAACCCTGAGGCTGTTGTTGCTGTGCTTGGAGCTGCTGAATATGGGTTTGCTGGAGATGATGCAAATGTTGTGGAGGGCTTTGGCCATAAACAAATTGACCTGTGTTGTCCATCATATATGGAGAAGTAATGTAAGGAACCGAAGATGCTCCCTGCAAATTAAACATTAAAAACCAAAGTAGATAATGTCTCATAAAACGTCCTCGCTTACCTCCTGTGGCTGAAAATTAGATTGAACATATTGTTGAGGATCTTGCTGAGCATTTTGAGGGACCACCTGGCCGTAAGGATAAGGATAAAAGGGCTGGTTGAACTTGTAAGCCTCCTTTTGTGGATAATAGTCGATGTTCTGAGGTGGCGAGTAAATGATTGGACCCGAACCAGAAACTGGGGGACGTTGAGGAGGCGTCTGATTAAGAGGAGACTGAGGGCCTTGACTGTAAACAGGAGAGGCATACATATTAACCGGCAACTGAGTGGGATATTGAGGATAAGTGCCAAGTTGAGGCTCGAAAACTTGATAAAATGGAACGAATTGACCGCCCGGGGGGCTGTAAGCGACTCCATTTCCCTGATAATAAGAAGGTGAGAGAACGGATTGCTCTTCTTCCGAGTATGAATTGTAAGGTGGCGTAGATTGCCAATGACCAATCCCTGACTAAAATAAAAACAAAGATTATACAACAAAAAATACGTACCTGATCGCCCATACCCGTGTTAGGAGGCGGCGGAGGAGGCTTGCTTCTACGAGAACCCGAATCGGCCAATTTAACTACCAAATTTTCCGTATGCCCTTCCAACGGCTTTCCATGATAACGCTACAAATATTACCTCAAACATATACACCACCTACATTGATAATAAATTCGCAAGTCTCCTTGCTGTCCATTCGAGCAAATCCTACACATCTACTGGAACCATCGTCAAAACGGAGAACTCTGGTACTAATGACAACTCCATGGCGGCTAAACAAATCTCTTATATTGACCTCCTCAAAATCCTTCGGAAGGTTTGCAATATACAGATTCGTTGGATCTTGTACCGCATGAGGAAATGTCTAAAATTAATAAAATAAACTTTCCTTTATGAATCTCTTACTCTCTCAGGCCGTGGTCTAATCTCTTTCGCTATTTGAGCTTGATATCTGCCTTCTTTGTTGATTCCGTCAATCGCTCTAGCAGCAGATTCTGGATCCTCGAAGGCAACAAACCCATATCCCTTACATTTCTTTGTGTCTTGATCAACAACTGCTTTGGTTGAGGTGATATTGCCATACTTCTGGCATAAGTTGAAAAGTTCTTCAGGAACACAAGAAGGAGTCAGGCCTCTAATATAAATGTTTGTCTAAAGAAATAATAATCAAAGAATTCCTGCCTTACTTTACTCATATCAGTATCACGTCGCCTTCTCGAGGCCCTTTGAGACTCTGTGAATCCGTCGCCCTAAAACGAATCCTTTCGATAACCTCATTATCAAAAAATGAGTCATATACAGAAACGAAAACACCTACCTGACCGTCACCATATCCACCATTGGCAGGAGTTGAGGCCTGACCTTTTCCTCGGGGTGACACCGATTCCCGGCTCATGGCCTCGGTCTGGTTGGAGGAAGAAGGTGATATTACCCAGCGATAATGTCACAAAGAGCACCCTCTTTGCTGCAATTACATTCTCATGAAAAGACACGAGAAGGAAACGTGAAAAAAAACTTATTTGTAAACAAGTCAAAACAGGACCGCGACATTTCGACGGGGAATATTCAAATTTACGGGTCGAACAGAGATTGGAAAGCGAAATAAACAAAAGCAAATAATTAGGAAAAGTGTGGGGAAACGGCCGAACGGAGTTAGAAACAATCCGTCCGACCTCTGGGTGGTTTTTTAACCGGAAAAGTGAAAATCGATTGTTTTGTGGAAGAGCGGGAAGAAGAAAAGATTGCAACCGACGGCCGAATTCGCTCGTAATATCTAATCTAACAGAAAGAGAACGGACCTACATGTTTTAACACAACAAAAAAGTTGCAACGTCCTTGCAACCTCTAAAATAGGAAACTACGGCATTAGAAGGAAGAGATAAAGAATTGCGAGCGCATAACCCCCTAAAACACCTGATGAACTGATTTCCCATAAAAACACGGAAAAGTTTCACACTTCTAACGAGTCCAAAAAATGTTTTTGCAGAGCCAGAGGAACAAGGAGGGAACCGGGCTGTTCGCTCGCTGCTGTTTCGCTCGCCTTTTCGGCGTTCCTCCGTGCCCCGGGTCAGCTGACAAACACAGAAAAAGTAACCAGTGGAGCCGGAGTTCTTTCTTCTTCCTCTCTAAACAAATAAAAAGGTCAAAACCGTCGCGGAATTATCCTCAAACACGCAATTATGACCCCTACATGACATCTCCGCCTGCGTTGTATCATGTTCGGTTCTGCTTCCATGAAGGTTAATCTTGCTAATCTTTTCGGGAGTAAACCCGCAAAGAAAGCCCTACTGCCATTTTGTAGCCTACAAGTGCCTTACGTTAACAAAAATTGAATCTGCCTATGAGGCGTTTCGTACCCCAAATTTGCTAGTATTTATACAGAGTACAAACAAGACCGAACCCAACAATAAAGAAAAGAAGGAATTGACCATTCCAATCTTGGCCCGATCAAGATCGGTCGGTACAATGATGAAACTGTTGGATCTTCGCCGTTTTGGAGTTCTCTCAAATACCAGAAGAATCACCAGGGTCAGCTACGAGCATGGCCCCAGCCCTGTTCCACTAGTTCATGGGCTAGTGGGCCAGATATTCGCCGATGCTGCAGAACATTGCCCAGACAAAGAGGCCCTCGTCTTCAGTCAACAAAATGTCAGGAAAACGTATGCAGAGTTCTATGAGGACTCAAGACATTTTGCCAAGGCATTGTTGGGATTGGGATTACGACCCGGGGATCGCGTCGGCATCTGGGGACCCAATTATTATGAATGGGCCGTCACCAGTTGCGCAACAGCGATGGCAGGAATTATTTCCGTAGGTGTAAAGACAAACAGTATATTGCTCTAGGTGACCGTAAACCCCGCTTACAAAACGGACGAGTTACATCATGCCCTCACAAGAGTCGGGGTCAAGGCCTTGGTTACACCGCACAATTTTAGACGTTCCAATTATTACGAGTAAGAGAGGAAACATAATTAAAATATTCGCCAGAATTTGAATCGGCGGTGGCGGTAGAATTTTACTATACCATTTTTTGAGTTAAAATAATACAGTGATCACCCACTCACTAGTGAGCCATATTGAACCACTCGGTAAAATATTTTCGAAAAATGTCATAATCGGATTTATGACAAATTTACGGATTTTGGTACCGAAAATTCGCAAAAAATCGATTTTTCCGAACCGAGAGTACCCCCCATTTCATGGAATATTTTTGTACATGCTGCTACTATGAAAGCTAGAAAGTATAGCCATGTCGGTACCTCATGTCTATATTACAGTTACTTCTTTTTTTTCACCCTCAAAGGTTAGACAGATTGACAAATTCTAATAAAACGAAAGCAGGTCGCCTTATACGTGCTGGTGGAGCTGGAAATCGTATTACTGTGGTGCAGCCGTTTATCCTAGCCATGGTTGTATAAAAATTTTCCATGAAATGGGGCACGCCTCGGAAATCGATTTTTTTTCGAGTTCCCGGCGAACAAATAAAAATCTATGTTACCGTAACCCTAAATCTTATCCAATTACAAAAGGTGCTTTTACATTATTTATACATAATACTAAACACGGTACTTTTTACCGAGTTATTAAGGTCCAAGCGGCCGCCATGTTACAACTAGGGAAAGGAGGGTGTAGAAATATGCAAACTTTGTCGGAAAGACCATGAAATCGCGTTAAATCAGAGACAACATGACGATTTTTCTTGTTTGATGTGCATACTTCCAAAAACATCGTGTTACAGTAATCCTGACCAAATTGTATCAACAAGAAAAATGACGACCATCGTTCAAAACAAATTTTGAGAAGGTTTCGGCTCCCTCATTGCAGAAGTATGGGCTTTGTACACCGTTTTCGTCAAGTCAGTAAATTTGTCATAAATCCGTCATCATGACAAATTTTAAAGACATTGTATTATTTTAATTCAAAAAATGGTATAGTAGAATTCTACCGCACACCACTGTTGCCGGCTGATTGAACTTCTCGTCTCTTTAAAATTGTATTACAGAACCATCGCGGAATTGGTGCCGGAAATGAAGAACAAGAATGTCGGCGAAGGTAGTATCGAAAGTAAAGAACTTCCCGATCTCAAACACCTTATCATCTTTGACCACGAAAGGAAATCATACGAGTAAGTAATCGCTTAGTAAAATACACGTCTTCCTTAGAGGGGCCTGGAATTACAGAGACCTAATGAGAGGGACCGGGTCAAAGGAAAGGAAGATTCTGGAAAATATTCAACCACATCTCAAAACCGACGACCCCATCAACATTCAATACACAAGTGTAAGATACACTAGCAGAACACTATTCTTCCTTGTAGGGTACCACTGGACGTCCAAAACCAGCTACCCTTTCCCATCACAATCTCGTGAATAATGTCAAGTTCCTTGGAATTTGGATGGGATACGACAAGGGATGTATTAGTCTCTGCTTGCCTTGTCCTTTATATCACTGCTTCGGCGTTGTGATGGGTCTGATCGCCTCGGCCTTCTACAAACAGACCTGTGTTTTCCCGTCTCCCTGGTTTGATCCAGGCGCCGTGATCGCTTCAGTTAAGGCAGAAAAATGTAACGTGATCTACGGCACTCCCACCATGTTCGTTGATATTCTATCACACCCAGATTACACACCGGCGGACATGCAATCACTCAAAAAAGGTAAAGACCAAATTCCTTTATCCTAATGTAAAATATTTTCTAGGAATTATGGCTGGATCGCCCTGTCCGGAGGCCCTTTGTAACCGTCTCGTCGAAGAAATCGGTATGGATGAGATCGCGATCGCATATGGAGGAACCGAACTGAGTCCACTGGCTACCTTTTCCAAGCTCACAGAACCCCCCCTGGAGAGAATCAAAAGTGTTGGATATGCATTCTCACATTGTGAAGTGTGCATTGTTGATGACAAGGGACAGATTGTCGAGAGAGATGAAAAGGGAGAAGTTCTAGCCCGAGGATACAATGTTATGAAAGGATATTGGGGAGATGACGAAGCTACGAAACAAGCTGTCGACAAGGATGGATGGTACCATACTGGGTAAGGAGACATGAGAGCTAAAACAGAAAACATTACAGGGATATTGGTCTAATGAGAGAGAATGGAAGCATTGTGATCTGTGGCCGGATTAAAGAGATGATCATTCGAGGGGGAGAGAACATTTACCCCGCGGAGATTGAGGCGTACATATTCAAACACCCCAGCATCAGCATTGTCCAGGTAAGCAACCGCAAGACATGCGTTCTAACGAGTGAAAATTCCTGATCAAATGTTATTAAGGTCGTGGGAATACCGGATGCCAGATATGGAGAAGAGATATGCGCCGTGATTGTCCTCAAAAAAGGTCATCACCTGACGGAAAAAGAAGTTCGTGAATTCTGCACTGGAAAAATTTCCCATTACAAGATTCCGAAATTCATCTTGTTCAAAGAAGAGAGTTTCTTGCCACTTACGGCAACTGGAAAAGTCATGAAAAACGTTCTCAGCAAGTCGTGTCAAGAAGAATTGGAAAAGAACAAAACTGATTAAAGAAATCTCAAAAATAAACGGATACACTGAGAATACAACAATTACTTTACAGCCCCGAAAAAATACAGAATTCTTTTCTGCAGAAAACTTTTTATTCCCGCCGAAGAATGGAGACTTGACAAATCAATTGTTGCATTGCGCCGAATATAAAAATATTGAATGACGTTTTTATTTTTTGGGTGGAAAACGAGCCCTTTTTTAAAAATTCCAGGTCCGGTAAAATTACTAGTAATGCTGGGGAGGGTACAATTTATCTATTTGTTATTGCTTCATTTTTTACTTTAAGGTTAATAAATATCTTTATGTAATTCTATTTGCAATTTGTTCAAAAATACAGCGTCTGTACTAAGGTATTACAGCTTATGGCTTTTTTCTAGGGTGGTTTTTCAGCTAACTTTCAGTTAGCACATTGGCCGCGGGCCGGAAATCGGGAAAAAAACGTGTCGCTGACCGCCGCTATGAATAACTTCAGGGTACTTGAAGGATAATGGAACCTAGAGACGACGGTTTGTCTCGAAGGCTGAATGGGTTATTGGAAAAACGAAAGTTTGAGGAAGAACGGCGAAAATTGATTAGTGAATCTTTACGAAATGGATCCAGCGCAAACAAGAAGATTGTGTTTAAAGATTCCGACGATGATGTAGGTAGTAATGCATTGATCTTACCTTATTCAGGATTATGAGCCGCAGTCAAAAAAGCTCACTTTGTTCGAGAAAGATGATGAAGACCCACAACTTAATAAGCAAAACCCTGCCGATTTGCTTAAAAACCGATTTACGGGTTACAAAAGTGAGAAGTTAACAGAAATGGAGACCCGCTTTAACTATGATGAGCGATTCAAAGTAGACGAACGGTTTTTGGAGGGTTCTGTTGATGAGATTGACAAAGAGGTAAGTTTGAGGGGTTTTATTATGTGTTCTCTTTGTAGACCGGGGAAATGACATCGCTAGCGGAGAAAAAGAGTCAGTTTGCTATTCTGTCCTCTGTTCTTGGCCATGAAGTTAGTAGCTTGTTAACATCGAAGAAGAAGGTGAAGAATAATGTCGTCAGACCTTTCCAACGTTTTGATCCGGATAATCCTAATCACGTGGAATGGATGGAAACCCAGAAGCAACATGTAAAAGTGCAAAATAAGCCTTTGATAGATGCCGAACAGTTTAACCGGGTATGTCTGGTGAATTAGTTTGATGGTGGTTTCAGGAAGTGGATAAGGAAGTGACAAAAGTCGTGGAAGGACACTTTTACGAAATGGATCAAGACTTTGCAAAAGAGCTTCACAAGAATCTCAGTACGTTTAGTTTGCTTACTTATTGTTGTTATATTTTAGATGAAAAGAAGTCTGGGGAAGCATTCAGTTTTTTGTCGTTGATAGGAAGGTCTTCAAATGAGGAAGAAAAGCCCGATGTTTCCATTTTTGACAAATTGTTGCATGCCGAAAAGACAGAAGAAACTCCAAAGATCGAAAAAGTAATTTGGCATTTTTTTCAACATTTTGATTTAGATAACCCCTCTAAATGACAACGTAAACGCATCTGATATAATAGAGAAACCCTTCTTCTTTATTTATCCGTTTGACGAAGGGTCCAAGAAAGTTTTGAATACGTTTCGAAGACAGCAGGATATGGCAAAAGTGAAACAAGCATGGCAAACACATCGTGATAAAACTGAAGTGGTATGTTTACCTATGTGAATAAATTACTAACGTCTTGTTTTAGTTTTATAAATCCTTGGTAAAAACCAATTGGCGGTTGAAGGAAAAGGAGAAGAAGCAGCACTTGAGAAATAAACATGCAAAATCTTCTCAGAAGGTAGCTGGAAAGGGAGATTCATAGCTTTTAATTATCGTACTTTTCGTTGTTATTGTTGTCTGTTATATAAAAATACATCGTTGGTGAGTACCGTTTCATACACCGGTTTGGTCCAATATTATTGTCAAATGATTAAGGTGTTAGTGTAGGAATATTTTAGAATGAATAAGGAAGATTTATACAGTATCCTTGGATGCACGTCCGCCGCTACTGTAAGCTCAATAATCGCGACAACCTTCGGTTTAGACAGAGCAAATACTCACTGAATACAAAGCACGGGTCCGTCAATTCCACCCTGATAAGAAAGATGGCACTGATTCAGAGTTCTGCAGACTCCAAAGAGCTAAAGAGATATTAACAGATCCAAGTAAAAGAAGGCATTATGACACGTATCTGGCTATGGGAACGGGAATGCCTTTAGATGAGTGGATGGAACACCGAGAACGTCTTCAGCAGGTGGGGTGATGATTAGATCTCTTTCTTCTCTTTCTTATTACGATTTAGCCTTCTGATATTACAGACTTTACATTGGGCGAATCCTTCTAGTCCGACCCCTGCTATTGAACTCAAGGAAAAGGCGGGTGTGGAGGCAGAACAACCTGTTGACTGGAAGAGACATGAAACTTCTACAATCAACGCGTTTCGGAATTACCGAATATGATGGTCCGCAATTATACAAACGACTTACACTAACTTCACTTAGCATAATATGAAACAACTGGTTCTTGCATTCCAAAAAGATATAGATTCGCTTAGTGTTGACTGATGAATAAATTAGAGTTTTAAGGTTTTACTTCTATTGTTCAGTCTAAATCTGCGTAAATATCTAATGTTTTATTGAGTACACTCGTGTGTAAATAAGCATTTTTTAAAGATCGCTCGAAATGGCTCAGCACAAAATGAAGAAGAAGGTAAGCCGTAAATTAATATACGATTAACACGTTTAAAGACTTCTGTTCCTGTTGGCGTAAAACAAAAAGTGAAGAAGCAGAAGCAACAACAAGGACATCCCAGGAAAGGTTCTAATGTCATCCTGCCAGCAAAGAAGTCTGGGAAAGTGTTGGAACATAAGGTTAGCTCGAATGTTTCGAAGACCATCAACCAGAAGAACGAGGACATGGTCAGAGGAAGGGCCGACAAAGATCAGGGGCGTGTATCCAAGAAGAAGAAGTAATGGTTTTTGTTGTTTAAATAAAATTTTTTAAGCGAATTCGCCTTGGAGGTTTTGAAAGTTTATTTGAACATTGGGTTTATTATACTCTGTCTAAGAGATGACCTATGTAGTAGTATCATTATGCCTTGTTATTCTGTTTTCTTGGAAGCATCTAATTTCGCTTCTGCATGGCCATGGCTGATAATCTTTTCAATGGCAAGATGAGCCACAATGGGTGATATCCAGTAAACCACGAAGTGATCTAAATGAGGAACACCGCCACAGTTGAAAGTACAAGCCCATGCAACAATTGGATTCGCATACATGCCAGTGTAGAATATTCCTAGAAACATTTATGTTTTCTTTTTATCCTACCTAAGACGGTAACCAAGGCGGCAACAAGCGCAATTGCAAATTGAAGAATCCTTTGGGTAACGATTTTCCCCTCGAGATAAACTTCGGCCAATTTGTTTGCAATTAATCCTCCAGCCTCCACCAAAGAGCCAAATAACATGGTCACCTAAAGCACTTATGCATTTCAGATGACCTTACCGATAAGTCAGATTCACAATCTTCGTGTAGGAATTCCGAATGCTTTGGATGCATTCCTAACTTCCAGAATCCCAGAACGAAGACATACGACAGATAAGCTGCAAGGAATTGAATTCCCACAAAGGCGAATAACTTTTGAGCCGACACTTGTTTCTTGATGAAACCGATAATCTGGCCGAAAGTTTATGGATTTGTCACATAAACTTACAAATGGGCAGGGATCGGCAGAAGCATCTCGTAGCAAAACCAAGTTCATCAATTCAATGAACGTGATTTCAATTACAACGCCTTGGATACCATAGGTTTGGAGAACAATGTTTACATCAAACATAGGAGCACATACTTGAACTGTTCCTATGAACTACAACGAATTGAATTCTGTGATATGACCTACTTCCAGCACCAAGGGCAAGTATTTTTCGTTGACATTGAGTATCTTCCGTCCCAATAGAAATCGGAATAACTCACAAATAATGTAAACGGAGCAATAGAGTATCAGAGACGCAACCCAGACCCTCATCCCGGACTTTCAAGTTTTACATGACCTCTCAGCCCACCTAAGAGACCTTGGCAAAAAAATCTGGGAGGGGAAGAGTCTTATTTCCGAACGCACTAGAAAAAACGAAAGACAAGAGGAGAACACCGCTGATAAAAACAAAGGCAGGTTTATTTCAGTAAATGATAGTACAACAACAAAATTAACAACATCGATATAATCAATATTTGTATCGGTACGGAAAGTCATACTGAATAATTATTTGTCCACAAAAAATGTGAAAAAGTATAGTTGACTTTTCATGTATACAACATCAATTTCATCGGGTCCTACAAAAAAGTCAAAGCCTAATTAAACAAGTCGTCCGTAGCAGACTTCTCCTTTACAAATTTGTGAGATCCATCGCAAAACGGCCGATTTTTGGTCTGCTTACAATTACAGAACCACACCTCCATGTCTTCTTCTGGGATGAATCTAACCGGCTTTAGTTTGGTGTCGGGCAACTTCAAGTTATTGTGTGAACCATCGCACAACGGCTGGTTCCCGCTATACCCGCATGAGCACCAAGCGTAAACCTTGTCCTTCTTCAAAAAAGCTCGAGTCGGCAGCTTGTCGGCCACTTTTCCAACCTGAGGTTGCAAATGATTGTTTCCTTGAATACCATATGGCTCATTGGGTCTCTTGTCGTGTATCTAAAATAATAAGAGGAAAACGTGATTTAACTTACATGATGGTACTTTAAGACAGAAGGCTCCGTTCCGACGAAAAATGTTCCTTTGCGATGCAGACGATAAGGGCCGAATCCTGTCTTATTGCTTTGTAAAACTGAGGAAAATGAAGCAGACAACACCCGCGTTTGCCGCATCTTATAAACTACATTCAATAATCTCGTCTCCTTCGTCGAATTCGAAATGTGAAAAAAAAAATTCGAATTGGTAACGCCAAGCTGCGCCCGAGAAAATAATTTTGCGCACCTATGCAATTTATTGATAATGCCAGCGGGCCCCCAGGAGTATGTATGTGTTCATTTCATGTATTTCGACATTTATTTACAATTTTTTCTGAAGAGCGAAAAAACTTTCAGAGTTCTGAGATGGCGGCCAGCGCATTGTCCCCTGATTTTTACTCGGTCAAATTTTAAGGCGGGCCGTCCTCATGCCTGAAACCGAAAAGAGATCCGGTTGCCACCCTTTTCCGTTACATTCCTGGCGTACCATTGTTAGAAATATTGATGTAACGTATTTATTTTTATTATTTGAGGAATAAGAGAAAACAATGAAAAAACTGGGATAAAGAAGGAAACAAAAAATGCGTAAAACGGAAAACAAGAGGCATGTCATCAAAGGAACTATGTATAAGGGTTTGGAATTGGGAGAAGTTGAATATTCTTAGAATCTGGTGAAGAGACATTAGCAACGAGGACTATTTCAAGTAATTATTTGCCGTTTATCACTGATAATACGTCACGTGTTGATGACCGGGGCCATTTGGAGGTTGAGTTTGTTGTTGGATTATATGGGCACCTACTGTTTGGCCGTTCCCTGACATCGTGACAGGGACTTGGGTGACAGTGGCGCCAGGAGGGAGGGTTTGAAGTATGGTGGTACCCGGAGGATACTGTCCTTGTCTTTGTCTCAGCAATACCTGAAAATATTTTGTTAAATTTATATTAACGATTATACCGGTATCATAAGAACGAAACTTACTTGCTGTGCCTGTTGAGTTCTTTTTAACACATCCCGCTCTAAAGACGAAAGCGCGTCATATTCTTCTTCCTTCTTCTGTTGAGGGCTTCCTTCATCAATATGGCCCATAAGCTGACCGCTGGTATCCATCTGTCGTTTTCTCTTAGGGGTATATCTCTTCTGATTGTAGGCCTTTCTTTGCTCCGGAGTCATCCGTTGGTATCTTAATCTCGCGGCTTCTGCCCGTTTCGCATTTCTGACCACAATTTGTTGCGCCCGATCCAAGGCTTCCCCGTTGATTCGGCCAATTGGCATGGCTAGAAGTTGCTCTTCTTCCATTCGCCGTTTCCTGAATGCTTCTGTTCTTCGCTGGTTATATAACTTCTTCTCATCTGGATTCATGCGATGGTAGCGAAGACGGGCAGCTTCAGCTTTCTTGGCATTACGCTCCTTCACTTTTTCTCTGATTGCATCTTCATCTTTAATCAGTTCTCCTTTTTCGTTTTTCAGAGTTATTTGCCGCATTCTTCTTTTCTGATTATGCGCCTTTCTTTCCTCTGACGTCATTCGTTGATATCGACTTCTGGCAGCTTCGGCCCATCTGGCCCTCATCCTCTTTTCTCTTAACTGTTCAATAACTTCCGGGTCGTCTACAATATCATTGGAAGCTCGAAGAATAGATTCTAATTCCGCCAACTCTCGTTCCCGCTGACGTTTTCTTTTCTGGGCCAGTGTTCTCTTTAAATTCAATGCCTTCTTGTCTTCTGCGCTGAGTCGATGGTAACGGAGTCGGGCAGCTTCGGCTTGTTTTTTCCGTTTAGCAGCTTCTTTTTCTATTTTATCTGGCGATTCGATGACCACTGGCTTAGAACTGCTCTTCTGGTATCTGAAAACGCCACAATAAATTGTATTATATTCGAATAATCTTACCTATTTCCCGGAGTTGTTACCAATTGCCCTTGGATTGCTCCTTGATAAGGCGCAGTGCTGATGATAGTAGCTGGCTGTTCTACAAAATACTCGGCAAAGGCAACTCTGCGACTGTCATCCTGATCTGGAGTGGGAGCACTGCCTACTGGCTGAGTGGTAATTAGAATATGCTGAGGTTGAGAGGACTGTACCCCCGAGCTCGGGATCTGCACCACTTGGATCTGACTGTTTTGGGGGATTTGCAGTTCCTGCAAAGGGATGTATTAAAAAGTACCATTAACTTTTACCTGTCCGTTGCTCGTGATAAAAGTGGTATTACTGTTATGGTATTGCCCAGATGACGGAGTATATTGAGCCACAGAGGTCGGATGGAATTCAATCGCTTGGGTCTCATATTGTATGATGTTCCCCTGACTGTAAGGCGGCTGTCGATGATCGAATTGTTGCACGTATGTGATATTATCATTCATCTTGAAGGATGATGGAACCCTGTAGTGCAAGTGTTTCACTCTAGTTATTCAAATACAGATTACGGTAAACACGAACCCGAGTGAAGAAGGGTGAAGATACGGAGTGGAAAGAGAGGAAAGCAGGGGAAATAGCAGTAGATCTGGCACGAGACATACAGAAGAGGGCGCTAATCAAAGCCAGACAAAAGTGGATCGAAAATCGGCGCCTAAAATGTAAGAGAAAGGAGAACGACAGAACCGAAAAGAACAAGGCAGGAAAGGGGACCGACTCTCCGCTCTCTCAACCGGCAAAAGAAACGACGAGAGTGAGTTAAAAGCAATCGGAGAACATGTGAGAGCGCTGCGACCTTCAGAACAGCCCGCTGCAGCACGGCGATAGAGGAGAGGGGAGTGCAGCAGAGATGGAAATACGCTTCGCGACGACCCCTTCCCCTCTCTGCCCCCCTCCCCCCAACGCCGCCCTCTTTATCCCACTCTGTCCGCGTTCCCGATAAATTCTCCACTAGACCCTTCTCTCTTACATTCCCCATGAGTTCAGCCCTCTCTCCCCATCAATCGCTGACGACAGGAATGCGCACGCTCTCTTCCGACTCCATACTTCCTCCATTTTCTCTACTCATAGTCAAAAACAGTGTGGTCGAAAGCGGAGTGTGCAGTGGAAGGCGTGGGGCCCGCCAAATTTCTGGTCTATCCCAGAGAGTCGTTGTGTTTGGAATGGATGGGAAAGAGAGAGTGCAGTCGCATGACCAGCAGAGCATCCACGACATCTTGGAAAGGGGAAACGAAAATAGAAAAGACCGAATCGATGGGAGCGGATGAATACGACAGAGAGGTCCAGAGTTTTTATATTGCTTTAGACCTAGAAAAGCTCTAGAGAAATCGGACAGGGAAGCAAACCCCTAAATAATAAAAACAGGGAAGAAAAATATAATCTTTATTATTTTTTTAAAAATTATCCTAATTTGCTTCATTTTGTGCTCGTTTTTCCGCACGTCGCTGCTCCGTTCGTCGTTTATAAAATTCAAAGGTGTCCATCGACTTGTTACTTGCAAAGAATGGGATGTACAAGTTGCTGCCTAAAAAAACTTAAATTACTGGAAACAAGGGGGAAACGAGTAAAATAAGTTTAGCGTACCGTAACGAGCTCGATCCAAAGTAATCGCGTCGTGTTGTGCTTTGAAGTCAATATAGTCTTCACGATCTAATATAAGGTAGGCATAAAATCCAGTAAATATGGGCCACGTAAACACAAGGCCGAGAATACCAAGTGTTGTGTATACCGGCGACATCGGATATTGATATACGAATTTCCTAAGCTGTAGATAAAAAAGGATATAACAATCTTACTTACCTCACAGATGTTGGGACCCATGATCCCTTCCCTCGAGGTTCATAATAAGACGCTCTAGACCTCTGCCCAATCTTCGATGGCAGACTTGGACGAAGAAATTTGCTGATCATATTGTAGAGTAAACGAAGACTGCGTGAAAATGCCCACTAAAACCGCAATGAACATGAGTGTTGGATCGTATTTTTGCTCGAAGATGTGATCCTTCGCTTGATTGTGTATTCGTCTTCTGAAGGAAATTATTATTCTCGGATTTTTTTATAAAGAAAAGATCCAGCACAACCCATTATTTTATCTTTACAGTGGGTCTCGGAGATGATAAACTATATTTTAGCTAAAATTAGGCATGAAAAAAAATCGCAAAATAAATAAAAATTTAGCACAAGGGCGCGATCTGCCTAACCGGTTCCGTAATTTTTGCGAAACAGTTATACGAAAGAGTGGTCATCGAGCCTGGCCGAACCCTAACGCTTCTGGAGGGACATACCTGAACTAGCTCACGAGCTAGGCCACGACCAAGTGGTTGAGTCCGAACACTCCTCCGGGGTGAACATTCCCCCCTCATTTTGAAAAATGAAAAAGCTGTTACATCTTATCCGATAAAATATGTTTTTCCCAATTATGTGATCTGCAGCTACAGATCGCATAATTTGTAGTTATTCCTGTTTTATATACGCCAAAATCGGTTTCAAACGTCCCTCGTATAAAGTAGCACTGATGTGAGATAAAGTCTCGGGCGCAGCTCCAGCTCTTGACAAAAATATTGGCGTGCAACCAAGCTCGCGCTTTGCAGAAAAAACCGATATTTTTAGATCGAAAGTCGGCGAAAATGTGAGACTTTTTGCCGCATTTTGGCGCGAAAATTTTCATACCTATTTCTACCCTAAAGGGTAATGTTTCTAAAAAAAAAATAAAATTTTTCCGCGTAAAACTGGCAAAGTTATGGCCAAAAAGCGTTTTTCTCTCTGACCGCTCTCCGCGTTAAGCGTAATCTCTCGACGGCAAAGATCGTTCGATATCCCGGCTGCGCCTGCAAAGCGCGAGCTAAAACTTTCAGGAATTGATATCTAGTCTATGCCCGACGCGTCGCGACGTGTCCGCAAAATTTAAAGAAAATCTGAGCGCCGCACTTGGGGTACTTCCCCTGTTAGTTTTACCATTATAAAAAACGGTGAAACTTCCGGCTTCATGGAAACTCGACAGCATGAAATTGGACAGAGTGAAACTCAACCGAGGGAAACTGGACAGATTTTTTTCACAGTAATGGTACGAGATATGGGCTTTGAAAATTTTGAACAGGGCCGGGCCCAATTTTTTCCGGGCTTGGCTGAGGGCCAAGGAATCTAACGGGCCTCTTGGGCGCGGCCCCTCTTCACAAGGATCGACAAATAGTTTTACCCTGCTTTCTTAACGAAACCTGTATCATTTGAAAGAGCGTGAAAAGTTTTGTACAAAGAAAAAAAGTAGCTGCCCAATTTCACTTTGGACAAAGTTATGGCCAAAATAGGGATTAATAAAAATATAAAACGCAGAGCCAAGCACTGATTTTTTGAAGTACTTTAGGCAATGGTTGGTAATTTTTTGTTTTGAAAATTTATTGTCGATTTGCGATCTTGTACAAGGTGTTCAGAGAATTATGGAAAAAACTATTCATTAATAACTTTGCCCTCGGTGGTGCAATCCGAAAATTTTTTTTGTATTTTACAGAAAAACCTTGGAGTTTTTAGAATCTAAACAAAAATTTTTCTTTTATCGGCGGAGACTTCCGTAATCCGCGTTGAATTCGGCGGAGCGTTTTTTTTACAAAATGAGGCTGTAAATCGTTGAATGTGTAAAGAGAATGGGCGGAAAAGGATCCAGAAGATACAAGACGACATTTCTTCCAAATTTCTATGCTCCGGCGGAGACATTTTTTAATCTCGGCGGACGATTTTTTTCGACTCCGGATAGTCAAAATTGGCTAAAACCAAAGCGTATGGCATCCCTGGTGGCATGGCGCCTAAAAACGACTTATTACCTCTTCAGCCGGTTGGCAGATGAAAAAACGGCAATTCGGCGAAGAAATCGTCGAAGAAAAAATGAACGTATTTAAAAAATTACGCAAATTTATCCGCCGAGCATCCGCCAATAAGAAGAATCATATTTTTGGTTGATCAGGGCCGTATAGACCCACAATTTTAGTTTTCCCATCATAATTTCTTAAATGGGTTAATTTTTTTCTCCGCCGAATTGTCTTTTTTTCATCTGCCAGCCGGCTGAAGACGTATTAAGTCGTTTTTAGGTGCCATGCCACCAGGGATTTGGTTTTAGCCAATTTTGACTATCCGGAGTCGAAGAAAAATCGTCCGCTGAGGTGAAAAATGTCTCCGCCGAAGCATAGAAATTTGAAAGAAATGTCATATTGTATCTTCTGGATCCTTTTCCGCCCATTTTCTTTACACATACAACGATTTACAGCCTTATTTTGTGAAAAAAAACACTCCGCCGAATTCAACGCGGATTACGGAAGTCTCCGCCGATAAAAGAAATTTTTTTTTTAGATTCTAAAGGTTTTTCTGTAAAATGCAAAAAATTTTTTTCGGATTGGAGCACCGAGCGCAAAGTTATTAATGAATAGTTTTTTCCATAATTCTCTGAACACCCTGTATATTATTTTAGGTAATTCAGAAAATTGTGTGTGGGATTTAGCTGGGGTTTCCTAAAAATGAGGTCCAAAATATTAATTTTTCTGTGCTAACTGAGTTTTGCGTGACCAGAAGTCTTCACAGAATGGGAGGCCCATCAGCCATGTGTCTTTGATGTCTATAACAAGTTTAATGCAAAAAGAACAAAAAACAAATATATTTGAAAGTATGAAACATTAAGATTTAATACTCGGCGTGATCTTTTTGTATACCCAGGCTGCGTCGATGCCTTCTCCTTCTGAGCCCACAAGCTTCCAATTAGGCTCATTCTCATCCAATGGGAATCTACAAAGGATCAAATGGGATTCTTGTTTCATTTCATTCAGTTTGGGGGTCAACAGGGTAACCTTAAGTAGCCGTTAAATAAATTCAGCATAGTCAAATGAATAATACCATTTGCTCGGCTCCAAACATCACGGTGGTGTTATACTTTTTCATGTCGACTTTGAAGATGTTCTTTTTATAAAACTTCACATTCTGATGAGTTCCGTTTCTGTAGGAATTGAGGATCGAGTACAACACCAGGGGTCCGTTCAATTCAATTCCATCGGCCTTGAGTCCCATCCGTGCCATTTCAGTGACCTTCAAATAAATGTATAAACGTCATAACTCGGTGCTTAATGAATATTCAAATTGAATCTGGCAAATATGTCATGACATTTATTAATATAGGATCACGGGTAAATGTTATTCAGTTAAAAGAAGGAACATCAGCACTATACAGTATATATAACAACTTCAGGCCGTGTTTTGCAACAAGTTGTGACATGAATGAAGATTGGAAAGAAGATCATCGCCCGGAGACTAGAGTGAAATCAAATAAATGAGAAAATAAAATGGAATCATGGCTAAGATCAGTGAGCTGTTTCGACTAGTTGACCAGTAGTGGCACTGGGATGGATGGGGAGAGCTATCCGAGCGATTCTATTGCGCTTTAGAATCTGACGCTTCTCACGGGCGGCCTTTTTCTGTTTCTTGACTCGTTCCTGCAGATCCTGTCCTCGATGGGTAACTCCATCCATTTGATCCATCTTGGACAAGAGAGAGTCGAGGTCTCCCTTCCTGATTGGCTTCACCGAAATATCACGAACGGCACGGAATTGACCGCAGTTATTGACATGTTCATTCTCTAGTCGAAGGTAATTCCAAACAAATCTTCGGAATACTTCCAATGGACTCATTATGCACATCAGCAGATCTCCATGCAGCATCCATGCTTCGGCCAGGGAAACGTTCATTACCCATGACAGTCGGAGGATAAAGTCTTCTACAATGGCAAAGTAGTAGTACCATTTACTGCCGTAGATCATTTCTTCTCTGAGCAACGGCGCTTCTTTAGGAGCTCTTGGATCTATGAGACCCCAATCCATAAAAACGTCCCACAGGAAGGTGTACGTGAAGGAAATTACGTATGAAATTACCCAGAAGTAGAAAAAGACGTAGCCATAATCGGGCAGTTGAGTCTCGGCCCATTTGTTAAGGGAGTTGCTGGTCACAACCAAGTACGTTGTAGCATATTTTCCTGCGTTGACAAGATGCGGATGCCATCTATGAGTGTCGCGATAACGTCGCAAACATTGAAGGAAACGGACCGTGGCAGGGATGGCAGTCACTATAATCCTTATCCACGAGAATGAAGCACACATATCTTGCCCAGTGTTTATGTCCACATAGCCCCAGGGCACAACTCCGTCTGTCACGTTCAGGGTCCGGGCCTCAAATTTGAAGTTAGAGTAGTCGACTTCAGTCGCGTAGAAGCAAATAAAATATTGGAGATCCAAAAAGCATGTGGCCAGCGAATTCATTTGATCGCCGAGCCAGAAATCGGTGAAGGTAACAAAGTGGAATGGAGCGGTAAAACAGTTGAAACAATGCTTCAGAAGCCAGAATCGACTATTCCTGTAGAAAACATTCTCTGGTTTGTTGAAGGGATTTAGAAGGAAAACAACGCAGATGAACATCAGAACAAGTGGGAAGAGGAATGGCGGTAGCCCCACAGTATGTGCATATAAGTATCCGAGAACGCATAGTGCCCATAACATCAGCATGAAGGAGGCCAACTGCATCACCGTCTGATATGTCAGATGATTGCGAGGGTCCATCTCGAAGATGAGCACATGATTCACGCCGGCCGCTGCCCACCCATACATATTCAGTCCACATAACCATACGCTCAGGAAGAACAGGAAGAAGCCTCGGAATAGTCGAACAGCCACCCATTTTGGCTCATGCGGTCGGGCGGTAAAGCTGTACCAAGAAAGGATAATTACAATACCCAGGACAGCGAAGACGCCAAGGAAAAAGCCGAGTGAAAAAGTGGTTCCAGAATGTTGCTTCTCAGTCAATGGAGGCACCTTCAGTCGCTTCATGGCTGCTTGTCGATTTCCTCCTTCCAACTCGTTGATTACAGCTGTCTCCACATTGTTGATTAGGGTCTCGATGTCTCTATTCAAGAAGAACGACGACTTTTCCACTCGATTTATCCTCCAATCGAGACCTGCTTCGTTCATCAACAATTTGTCATGCTTTTTCAAAATCTTCCTAAACCCCGTTCCATTCAGTTGTTGGAAGTTCTGGAGAAGAACCAAGTTCAAGTAAAACTCCGAAAAGGCCAGTTTCAGTTGTTGACCCGTTTTGGACTGTTCCTTCTGAAGTTTGCTGGGCTTACTGTTAAACGGATGTCGAAGAGATGTTCTTCTTTGGCTGAGCATATTTCGAGAAGTAATGGCTTCCTTGAAAGTGATGAGTTCGGCATTCAGTTCGTGGTATTTCCCTTGCGCTTCAGCAATTTTTTGACTGAAGAAGAGGTTGATCTTCGTAAGTTCCCTCTCACATTCGGCAAAGAACTGTTCGTCCATCTGAGACACGTATTGCTCTCTCGCTTCTGGTTCCGTCGGAGCTTCGAGCATGATCTGATAGAGGATTCCCTTGAGCTCTTCATACCGGATATATTGTTTTCGCCATTCAGGAGTCAGATGGCTGGCCAATTGCTCACCAAATTTCATTATTTCACCATTTACGAAGGAAGGAAAAGCTAAAAAATTTCAAATTAGTTTGCTTACAATTCGACCGTCCCCACTGCCTAGATCGACAGCTGGAGATTTTGGTTCGGGACACAAGTTGATCAAGCGTTTTACATTCTCTATCTGCTTGGGGGAGGCGGGAACATAAGGGATGCAAACACGGCGGAATGCTGGGGCAACAAATGGAATAGCCAGCAAAGAAATCGTAACGGCCGATCCTCCGATTAAGCCGACGAGTGCCCCACCCAGACCCATATCTGAAACATAGATAATAAGCCGGGATCTTCTACTAATTTTACCTAGTAAGAATTTAGAGAATCTAGCGAGCGGAACATCACACTTGTGCAACCACTTGCTTAGAAATCATTTTTTGACCAAACAATAGGACAAGATAAAAAAGATGATAACAGATTCTCCAAATATTAACGGCTTATCATCCATGTCTCTAACGCTTAGCCCAGCCAGTATATTTTTTAACGTGTTTACTCAGCGCGGTTAAATGGTAAAAATATAAAAGAGACTCACTTTTTACAACTTTGAAAATAAAGGACCGGGAGGCGTGAAAACGGAGCCTGAAAACGAAAAATGGTTTTGTGATAATGGGAAAACGCGGGTGAGAGATCAAACACTGTCAGATAGCACACAGACTGTCAGCCTGACATCAATATGCAAATAATAGTCAGGAGCCGAGAACCTGTTTAGCAGAAATCCCCTCAACATTAACAACTTTATTGAAATTTGAGCAAAAACGTAATTATTAATGAGATCTGATCATATGGTGATATTAGTCATCAGCCAAAAGATGGGCCAGGTTCAGGCCTTTCCGGTCGATCCGCATGTCACCCAAATAACCTCCATTGTTCTTCGCACAGTGATTCAGGAACAAGTAGATGGCAGCAAACATGTTATGAGGGCCTGCCGGTGGACTGTAGATATCAGCGCCACCATTGCAGACAAATTCAAATAAGAATGCAGGCTGTTGATGTTTCTTAATAACAAAAGTCGTACAATGTCGAATGAAATGCGAGAAAATTTGTAAAAAACATCACTTACCTGCCTGATGTAAAAGGCGGTTGGGAGTTTCTGAGTAAACGCCAATTGGCTAGGCTCTTTGTACACATAAAGTGATGAGAATGGACGTGTAGGAATTCTGGCAAGAGATTCGGGAACAATGCAGTGATCCATGTACAAACAGAAAATCCCGAACAAGATCTCTGCGTCTGTTGGAAACTCTGTACTCCATTTGTCATCAACAGCTAAAATTGGATTGAGAACATGATACGTACGACCTACAAGAAGAATCATCGGTATTCTGTTCTCCCACTTTGTCATATTGATAACCATGCAGAATAGAACTCTTGTTCAAATCTCTGAGTCTTTTCACGAGATAATGTTGATTTGAGTGAATCTTGAGAAAAGGTAACAAAAACGGAAGCTGAGTTCCATAGAGCTCGGGTCTTTGGTCGAGATGAAACTGAAGATCCTCCAACTTTGTGGTACCCACCGCAATATTCAAATTGAATTTCTTTAGCGACTTGTTCGCTTCGTCAACCCCGTCAATAAAAGGTTTTATCACCGATTCGTGCATGAAAAACCGGAACTTGAGGGAGAATTTGGTAAGCCCGAGGAGTTCTTGGTCACTAAAATAAGTTGATCTATAAAGTTAATATAACGCTTACTGAATATTGAGTTTGTGGACTACACTCAGAGCGAAGGGATTCTCCTTGTGCGGACTTTTCTTTGTTTTGTCACCAGAAAAGAGTTGATTAAGTGAGTAATTTGAACTGAACGAAGATGAGGCTTCCCTCAATTTTTCTGCATTTTTCTGGAAGGACGAGGACGACTCTTCCTTGGAAACACTGTCCCGCCTCTTTAACGAAGGCTTTAGGTTAGTACTGTTCGGCTCATTGCCGGAGCTGGGAACTTCATCCACTTCCGTTTCAGCTTTCTGATACATATTCAGGAGCATGTCTAAACAATTATAACATTTTAACACAAATAACTCCTTACCATCCAATTTCCGCTCTTCGCCTTTATGATATCCCAGTTGATATCCTGTTGAATTCAATTCTCCAAAAGAACTTCGGCCACTTGTAAAAACAAAATCAATTTTCCTGACAAAACTGCTATCATTCAAACTTGAGTCCAACTCTGAATCCTTTTTGAAACGTAGTCTTTCATATTGCCCTTCAGTGTATACGGAATGATGTGGAGAAGAGAAAGAACTCAGTTCTAGGGAATTGGGCCCTGTTGATTGAATCGGAAATGACCTAGGAGATTGGTTGAGACTTGAATCTTTTGAGTAATTAATTCCTGAGGAGCTGTCCGAAAAGATTTGCGACCAATTAGCCTTGTCAATGGAGGTATTTCCATTGTCATCGACAACTCGGAAGCGGAAATCACACAAACTACTACTGTTGAAAGACTTGTTGAATGTGCGGTTCAGTTTGCTTTGATTCAAACTCTCCAGAACATCTTAAACGAAACATATAATTCGAATAAAAGGCTCACTTTTGGTTTTAGTATCCGTAGACTTCTGAAATGCGGCAAATACGCTCTCTCCACAAATCCAATAATAAATCAAAGATAAGAAGTTCAACAATTCACAAAATCCAAGCAATGCACAAAACTGGATCGCTTGTTCACGGGAGAGGAATAAAGCAAATACCGTTGTTGAGATTGCGAATTTGAACAGGATTGACTAAAACACGAAGATAAAAAAAGAAAAATCAAAAAAACTTACGTCAATTGCCGAAAATATTAGAAATCCACATGAAAGGGAGAAAGGGCTAAAAGGAAGTTTCAATCGTGATACGAATCGAAAATGCGGCCATTCCCCGGCCGACAAAATAAAAAAGAAAGAAAATCCGGCTCACCTCCTCGCTAAGTCCATAGCGAAATTTGTGAAAAAGATGGTTGATATGTTCCAGAAGACAATCGGGAAGGGAACCTAGAATAAAAAAGTCAGACGGCATTTTTGAAATTTCCAATATTTTAGCAAAGAAACCCCGTGGTCCGAAGCGAAAATATAGAAAATACGAAAACCGTATGAGTGAAACAATAACCCGGGTAAAAAATTTATTAACAGACAAAAGCATTTATTTTATTGTTAGATCAGAAAATTCCGACGATGCATCGCGACGCGGATGGCGGGAAAAATAAAAGTTTCACGTATAAAATAGGGTCACAATATGAAAACTTCAGGGCGCAGGTCGGTGGAATAAATAAAATATTTTATTATTTTTTTGTTATACAATGTTGAATAAAAAGACGTTGTTACCCGGACGACGAAGACTGTGTTCTATCTGATAATAGTATATTATTTTTTTAAAAGTTATGAAATGGCGTCTAGGAGCCGTTACTTTTAATTTATGTGGAAAACCTGCGCAGACTGAGAAGGTTAAACAATTGATTGACGATTTAATCTCGAGACATGAAATCCCTTTAGACGGGATTGCAATATCCTTACAGGTAAGCGAACCAGGTCTGATTTTTATTTGTTTTAGGAGGTGAATATGGCTGAAAGAACGAACGTTTCCCCTGATGCTTGGAAAGAGAAGTTCCACGAGCTTCTATGGGAAAGGGGGTATATTTATGCCGCTTCTTCTTATATGATGACTAACTTCTTGGCTTTCTTCGTATTAAAGGAATATGGAAAGATGGTTCGTTTATCTCTTCATAATAACTGGTCATTAAACAGATTGCCAAAAGCACTTTCGAATACATCAAAGACCGATATTACGGTGTCAAAGGTTCGATTTGTCTGAGCGTGGACTTAAAAGACAATATTAGATTTATTTTTGTTGGTTCGCATCTTCTCCATGGTCCAGAAGCCGTTGATAGAAGGGTTATTCAAGCCAAGAGTGTCAAAGATTATGTTTCCAAACAACTCGAGAACAAAGTAGTCGGAGCGATTCTTTGGTTGGGTGATTTTAACTTCAGAATAACAGGAGTTGGAGCAGTGGAATTTGTTCAGACTTTGAGAAGCGATGAGTTCATTGCTGGCGAAGTATTGCAGAAGCATGACCAATTGACTGAAGCGCGTTTCTTTTATGATATTTTCGATACCTGGAGTGAAGCTGATATCACCTTCAAGCCAACTTACCGATTTCATGTATGAGTTTGTATAGTAGTACTTACTTTGTTCATTTTATAGTCACAAAACGTGTATTATTTTCAGATTGGATCCCTTCAATACGATATGAACCGAGTGCCCGCATGGACTGATCGTATTCTCTTTAACAAACTCAGTTGTCTTCATTATGATTCAATGACCAATATCAACATAAGTGATCATATCCCAGTTTTCGGAATATTCGAAACACCCGAGCTTGACGTTCTGGAAGAGGCAGATTGGGAAATCAAATTCGATCCTATCGACTATTGGTACATCAATTTACCTTTACGCGTTCTCTTCAAAGGAGCCAACTTCTGGCAAAAGGCTGGCTCAGTTTGGGATTGGCTTGGTGTTTACAAAGTACCCGATTGCAGTGATCGGAGATTTGTGACACAAGCGTCGATCATGAGTGCAGTGGAAACGGGGAATACCTACCAAGTGGAGTTTGTCCCTTTACCAGTTGGAGATTACTTCGTAGCTTACCACAGTTACAATAGAGGATGTATCCAAGGAATGACTAATGTATTTTCTATCAAAGAAATTTAGTTATATATTTGTACATACGAAATTAGACTAACAATTTAGAGTTTCTTCTGGATGGTATTTAAAGATCTCTTTTAGTATAAGACATTAATAAAGGTGACATTTAATTCGTTCTTTGGCCTTTTCGGGATGTGAATCGTACAAGGAGAAGTGTTCTTTCGGGATCGCTTTCCCATTAAATGTTTTGACTTTATCTAGGAGATTCCCTTTTTGTAATCGGACATTGTTTTGTTGAATTTATCAGATAACAAACTTGGGTGGACTTTAAAATCTGGTGGGGGATATAAAATATTATGTCATTCTGTTGCGGCTTAACGTGGGCGACTTGACGGATATACCCACGAGGAAGCTCACGGGGGTTTTTGTCTGATAGATCGCGGAGAACCCTGAGGTGACGCGAAGAGGAAAGGAGGTTTCCATCAAGTCCGCTGGATGACATTGTCCAGAGCAATGAGAATGTTTATCCTCTTGTCCGTGGGATCAATCGGTAACCGGTAGCGGAAGTCTAGGTCGCGACCTCTTGAACGAAGTGGGTGGCGAAGTGGCCTCAGGGCTTCAGCCTCTGGCGCTGGTCTGGTGGTTTGGAGACGCGGCGGTCACTCGTCACGCATGTCACTTATCAGCTCATATGTGTCGAATAGAAGATCACGTCATGTGCTCCGACCAGCTGAGTGCCCGCGGGCATGAAGAAGCGGTCATTCGGACGTCCTTGACTCAGTTTTCCCTTTGATTAGGTAATATGTTTTTGGGTGTGATTCACGTGTGGAGGAGTTGAGGAGAACCGGTTTCGTGCCAGTCACTTCTCAATCTCTTCAGGAGCCTCAACTCTAGGCGGGTTTTCCATTCGCCTCACAAAAAACAGAAGAATCTGAGCTCATCCCTCCATTCGCCTTTTTTTATGATTTTTTGTGCGTCTACAGTGTTCCCTTAGCGAAGCGGCTCGGTTCGTGAGGAGTTGCGTGAGACGTCTCTCGTCGTTCGGGTCACGCTGAATATCTCCTCAAGTGTTTCAGGATTAGAGGATCGAAGGCCCGGGTCTACCTCCCTCAAGGCCCTTATGCGTCTGAGCGTCGGGATCACGGGTTGGTCGACGACGACGACAAGAACCCGGAAGCATCTTGGACGGTTGTGGTGATGAGTGAAACCGTTCGGGGCCTTAGGTTCACTCAACTTGGCCACAAGTTTATTTTGATTAGTTGTTTAATAATAGCCTTTCTTCCGTCTCATTCTTGCCTTATTATCGAGAGATTAGATGTGTTAAACGCAGAAGATTTTAAGAATGCAGATAATTTGCAAAAAGGTGAGAATCGAAAAAACGTCGCCTTGCTTGATTTTGATCTGGATTTGTATGAGCAACTTCGTTCCAGATGATGTTTACCGAGATTCGATTCCAATCGAAACCGTCAACGATTACAAGTCCGATATTCGGGGTCCTGTGGCAAACAAAAAACGATTTAAAAGAAATGGGGTCAGCAGAGTGACAAAACTATGGCCTCAGGGGAAGATTCCCTATGCCATTTCTCCCCATTACACGACCCATGAAAGAGCTCTTTTGGCAAGGGCTGTAAAACAGGTGAGTTACCATCTTCCTTAACATATTTCGTCTTTTGTAATTAAACTATCATCTTTCAATAAAAGTAATTGCAGTACCACGAAAAGACCTGCATCAGATTTGTTCCGAGAGTCGGCGGGGAGGGAGATTACTTATTTATTGGAAAGGTTGACGGGTAAGTTGTCATTAATCTCGGGATAATTTATTTCAGATGTTTCTCGGAGGTCGGACGAACCAGTGGAGTCCAAGTACTGTCATTGGACAACGGCTGTATGGAATACCCGACCATTATCCATGAGATGATGCATGTAGTTGGGTTTTATCATGAACATGAACGATGGGATCGCGATGCATTCATCGATATTATATGGCAAAATATCGATAGAGGTGGGTGATATCACCACTCCTTACTTTTTTAGGAGCTCTTGATCAATTTGGAAAGGTGGATCTGAGCAAAACGTCATATTATGGACAACCCTATGATTACAAGTCAATTTTGCATTACGACAGCCTGGCATTCAGCAAAAATGGATTCCCCACGATGCTACCCAAGAAGTCAGGTACGCCGCCGTTACCGTAACCCTCGATTTCAGGCCTAGCTACTACTATTGGAAACGCCAAAGACTTCAGTGAAGTCGACCTGGCGAAGATCAACCGAATGTACAAATGTGAGCACCGACGACCTTTGAATGCGTTGTTTGGCTCTGCAACGAACAGCCATGTAGCTCCCATATACAGCCAGTCATACGCACGAGGCTCCAGTCGGCCCTCATCGGTGGAAGGGAATCTGATTTATGAGACTCGAAGACCCCAGACGCCGGTCGGTAAGTGAATAAAATACCCGTAGATTGCGTCGCCGTTGACGGGGAACACGACGCAATCGTTATGCGATCTCCCCCTTCCGAAATGGTTTGTTTTTCTGATCCGAGTTATACTTTACTTACTTGAAAAAGATCTCAGAAGAAAGCCCCCCAAACAATAACATCGCCTTGTGCTTTTCTCAAAGCGAATCCTCTTCCATAACAAATAAATATTACTTAAAAAAATAAATCCGTAATGAGATTTCCCTTACTTACAGTATGCGAAGACAAGATCACCGTCTGCTGGTGGACGCAAGACCGATGTTTGTCGCCCAACATCTATGCGATGATGAAGACTTTATGCGCTAAAACATGTAAATTCTGCTAGTTATTGCTTTAAAATGATACTCCGTTATTGTCTGTGAATAAACGATGTTGTTATACTGTAGAACCGGTCGGAAGAGAAGACATTTTTCTCCGTCTTCTGTGGCTTCACTGTGCGGATCTGAACAAATGTCATTGCTCGAGGCGAAGAGAGCCGCAGCCGGCTTCGAAAAGGGCGCCGAAACAGCGGACGCATTGGAGAGACGGCGGAAGAAGCCAGAGTCCGGGATCCGAGCCGGTTCTCCCGTCTGGTCTCTCCCCTTGACCACTGTCCATTTCCGAGGGATTGAGAGGGCGAGAGCAGCGACTGAATGAGGCCGGTCTTCGTTTTTTCCCTGCTAAAAATACTTCTGACCTAAGGGTGTCTCGCTCAACCTTTGCACTTTTTTTATTGTAACAGTCACGATCTCGGAGGACTTGTCCCACCGACCGCTCCAACTGACACGAGCCGAGCACTGGCCTCAGCTTGTCAGACATGTCCTGGAACCCAGCCGAACTCCACCGCCAACTCCTGGAAAGTACGTTTATCTTTTATTTTATGATCTCTTCGCCTTCCAAAGGGCAGGGTTTTCTTCCAGAGAGATTTCCACTCTGATTCTGGGTCAGGCGTGACAGCTATTCCGGGTTGGGTTAGTCTGTCTGAAAATGCCGTCGGCGGTATTCCTTCCTTTTATTTGCTCCCCATACTCTTTTGTGTGTAACCTTTCTTACTTTTAATGCAAACTAATTAATTGGGTTAATTCATTTAAATCCGGGATAATCCCCCTCCGGGCTTGCAGCGGCATCGGAAAGGGCAGCGACATGTTTTCTTGGGTAATCGTTTGGTTGGCTGGTATCATCTATTTGAATAAATTTTCTTTCTTTATGACTGCACTCTAAGGAATTATTTGATCTCGAACTTGACAGTTTTGTGGTGAGTAGTGCTGCTCTATTTCCCAACGATTCTTTCGCGGCAGAGAGTGCATTCATGCGATGACCTATATACGTCACAGTTGTCCGTCTCTTTACTTCGGATTGTGCCCTTAGGAGGGCTCAGACATTAAGTACTTTTTAGTAAATCCTAGTGATCAAAATTTTATTTCCCTTTTGCAGAAGTATGACTAACTTTTTACAGCTGTTTTTTCAAATCCCCGGATAAAAAGTACAGTAATCGGTGCGCAATCTATTTGGCGGGACCTTTGGCCGATCACCTGCCACCGGCTCGCTTCGGCTTTTCTCCGTTTCTGCTCGCTTCTTTCGTACCAGTCCTCCACTATTTTGCAGATCGTGACTCCCATTCCTCTGATCAGCCGAAAAAAGTCTTGAGGGGCGGTCAACCTTTTGGTGACCCCTTTTATTCATTTCAATTCAACAAAGCTGCGATTCCCTCACTGTGGCATCCTTTAATTTATGGCATATTCGTTTAAACTTGGTACTTTTTGCTCCATCTTATACCATTTCCTACCATAATATTAGCCATTTGTTTCCTTCTTATATTGACTCTTAATTCGTGTCATGCAGATCGGGTCATGCCAATCCCATACATATAATTTCTAACGGCGGCTGGTAGTGACGCACTCTGTCCGGACTTTCCGTCCGTTTTTTTCGAATTTCGCTTAACTGACCACTTGCCACGGCGCATCTCTGCCGCCCTTTTTTCTTTTTTGTTGTCCAGTGCAGAACAGGCACAGAACGAGGAGCATGCCTTTCTCCTGAGTCTCAAAGCAGAATTGGGCTTCATTTTCTGCTTGGGATTACCAAACACATGGACAGTCGCCCATTCCAGGTTTATGATGACATATGTCGGATGTTCAGGCTGGAGTTTTATTTATCGTTTTTGGCTTTTTTTCCTGGTCTTTTTGAAATGTTTGATGGTCATTAAGTTTCAGGCTAGATGTTTTTTCCAACCAATAATTAATAACTGCAGACACTTTTTCCTGACCGGGTTTATAAGGATTAGTGGAACCATTTACCGTATCGTAGAGGAGTCATAGCTGATTGTAACTCGTCAGTCTGGTTGTGTTTCCTTTCCTTCCTCATTCCCACTTCTCTGAACGGTCTCGTGCGTTCGTTTTGCAAGGATCTCCAGAGCGTTAATTTGTGCGCGATCCGGTCTGTTGCGATGTTGCGGCTTTCCCCGTTTCATCTATCTCCGTTCTGCGGAGCAGCAGCGTGATTGTGGATGGGGAATCGATTAGCCTTTAAGGGTTTTTTGCGGGTGAGTTCTCGAGTTCGAAGTCGGGGTTTTCTGGAAGGGGCCCCGTCTCCCCGTCCCCTTTTTTGTATTGTTTTTGTATTATGTCTGAATGTTTTTGGAGGTCAGTGCTGGTCAGCGCGAGGTGTGGGGTGAGAGAGTGGATCGCACCGTGCGGTTTTTTGTCTGTCCATTGCCGCTCAGCTCCCCGCTTCTTGCTCCCCGCGCCGGCCTCCTCGCCCCCTGCCGCTTGGTCTTTTCTCTCGCCTCGTGGTGGACGGACCCGCCAGTCCGTACCGTCTCGCGACAACGTCCTCATCGCGTATAAACAAAAAAAATACGAAGAAACGCATCGCGCGCGCCACGGCTCGTCTCGACTTGCGCCACCCGCGCCTCCCATTTCAGTTCAATGCGCCCTACTGACCCCGAAGATTGCAATTCACACAACCTCCGACGGGTTGGGTCTCGAGATTTGTTCTGAAATTGTAAGAGGGCGGAGGAGGGTGATGGCATGGTAGTGGACGGTAATTCAGATCTATTCGGACCGGCTAAGGCCATTTTGGGTTGATCCGAGGGTTTGGTTTTATAAAAGTGTACCTTGTTTTGTTTATACTATCAGTCGTATCGCCATTTGTTCTTTGGTTGCCTAAACATTCCGAGATTTGAATGCCTGAGGCGTGAGAGCCTACAACTTTTTTGTGAATCGCTTTCGTATCGTTGCTCCTCCGTCAGTCATCACTGCGTTGTCTCCGTTTCTTTTCTTTACAATAGCGAGGAATTATCGATCTCTGAGTCTCGAGTGTTTCTTAACCAGTTTTTGTTATTACCTGGAGACAATCCAAGTTATTCGTTGTTTTATATCGATCGATTCATCCCTCTTAAACAAGTTTTTTGTCGTTGTAAAAGGGGGGGGGGGATGGGATCAGCGCAGTTCGAATCGTGATTTTTTGGATGGAAAAATCCTTAAGCGGAGGGGGAAATGAGGAGTCGGAGTTTCCTTCTCTAACGTATTCTTCGTCGAATCTCCGTTTATTTCGTTCGCTTTCGTTGTTAATATCTGATGACTGCTTGATTTCAGGGGGCATGGCTTTGGTGTCACATCCATCTGGGGCACCCCAAATGTACAAAGACCAAGATAGCATGCCTAACAATAAGCCCGGAAGCAGTGGAAGTGGGGGTTCCAGTGGGAGTGATGTGGTCTCCTCATTGAGTGGCTCCAGTGGGTCAACGGGCAGCAATATCCATCATCATCAGCCTCGGGAGTACTCCTGCCCTACTGGATTGGTAAGGCTTGATCCGTAAATAATAATCTTTGTATGCCTTTAGTCTGATCCCAATCATCTGATCAAAGCGATGGTGCCCAATAACTCTTACATCTCGCCTGTCTCCCCTAAAAGGAGCAATGAAGTTGACCGGCCTATTGGTTATGGTGCTTTTGGTGTTGTGTGGTAAGTTTTTGTTTGTTTTGTCTGAAATCCTCTTACGTCGCACGTTTACACAATCGATTCCAGGTCCGTAACAGATCCACGTGACAAGAGACGCGTCGCTTTGAAGAAGATGCCGAATGTTTTCCAGAACCTGGCATCTTGCAAACGTGTGTTCCGCGAGATTCGGATGTTGTCATCGTTCAGTCATGACAACGTTCTTGGGTTACTAGACATCCTTCAGCCAACACATCCCCACTTCTTTCAGGAGATGTAAGCTTTTTTTCTTTGCGGGTCATCGGTAATATTCGCCCAGTTATTTTTTGCCCCTCGCTCGCAAAGGGACCCTGATCTCGGCACAAAAGCCGCGTTTTGTATCGCGAGGTGCCATCCACCCGCATCTCATAATTTCGCGCACCGATTTGTGGCCTTGTTAATACCGGCACCGATTGGAACCGGCCGGTACGCGCCGTAGCCTCTTGTCCCGATTGACCTTGCCTCTGACATACGGCACTCAATAGCGCCTTTTAAACTAATTTCCTTTTGTTTTGCAGCTACGTTCTAACGGAATTGATGCAAAGTGATCTCCACAAGATCATCGTTTCCGCCCAGCCACTGACCGTCGACCATATCAAGGTTTTTGTCTATCAAATCCTCAGGGGACTCAAGTATTTACACAGTGCCAATATCCTTCATCGTGATATCAAGCCCGGAAACCTCTTGGTGAACAGTAATTGCATCCTCAAGATCTGTGACTTCGGGTTGGCCCGTATCTGGGACTCGTCCGAGAACATAAACATGACTCATGAAGTTGTAACACAATACTACAGAGCTCCCGAACTCCTAATGGGAGCCCGGAAATACACAGGGGCCGTTGATATCTGGAGTGTGGGCTGCATCTTCGCCGAACTGGTCAACCGAAGAATTCTTTTCCAAGCTTCTGGCCCAGTTGAACAACTAAATATGATCATTGATTTATTCGGAACGCCCCTCCTGGAAGATATGCGATTTGCATCTGAAGGAGCTAAGAATCACGTGCTTTCTATGCCTCGGCGAAGTCAAGATAACCGACGATTCATCGATAAGTTTTCCAGCTTAGACCCTGAGGCATTACTTCTTCTCCGGAATCTTCTTCATTTCGACCCGTCTAAACGATACAACGTCTTTCAAGCATTGTCCAGTCCTTACTTGGATGAAGGACGAATGAGATTCCATTCTTGTATGTGCACGTGTTGCACTCACAAACGGGATCAGCGAATGGTCAGGGATTTGGATCCAGAGGTGAGTCTCAACTTCTGTTTAGAGATAGTCTAATATGTTTTTTAACTTTTTGGAACGACTGGATGTTTAGTCATTCTTCAGCTGGGATTGGTGATTCTTTTGTTTTTTTCAGCACAAGATGCCATTCTGCTCACAGTGGGAGAAGGATCTGTCTCGATTCTCGATGTTCGAACTTCGCGAACAATTATTTAAATACGTAACGGAGAGGAAGCCCATGTTCGGGATCCCGTTATGCATCAACACCACTGCTTTGGCCTACAACGAATTCATGAACTCGAGTGTCGCCCAGCCTTCGGAGCTGCCGCCTCAGCCACAGAACTGGGACTGTGCTGCATAATCTAACTTATCCGCCTCGTTTCTTCTTGCTCAGTCGACATTTATAGATGAATGTTTGTATCCGGGTTTATTTCTTCGTACTTTCTCTGGTCCCCGTGTCTTTCGGACTTAATCAAGGTATTCAGCTGGCCTCCCCCATCCCCCCGTCCCCCCTGATCCTCGTTCCGCGCCGTCTTTCATCGTTCTAGGTCGCTACACCCTTCTTTGTATAGTCTTGCTACCACATCCTATATTAACATAACCTGTTGGTAACCCGTTTTTCGGCGAAAAACGTCATCTGGTCTTTCAGCTAGCCGCAGGTGTTGCGGCAACTTATTTAATTAATGGAAATACAATACAAATCCGTGCCTATTTTACTTCTCGAGATGAAAACAATGAGTGTATGTGATTATTTGGTATATAAATATTGATTTATTTGTTGGGAATTAAACCTTTTCATCAATTTCTCGGGGTATACCTACAGTATATGTAATATAAATAACTAGCTCCTACGATTTATTTTACAGATTTCTCCAACAGATTAATGAAAGTAAATGCAAATTTTGAATACGTAAGAATGGTGTTATGTTTGCTCAGAACTTTTAAAAAATCCGTCGCCTTTCCTCGACACCAGTAACTCTAAACCGCCGCTTGTTATATCCGACTTTAAAGGTTTACCTTTGGCATAGGAAATGAGAAAGGTACACCGCCATGCCCTCGGGGTTTCAAACTTGTCTGATGTTGGACGACTTTCTCACCGCATTGGTTCCCACGAAATCATTTACCTGGAACGAAACATTCAGTAACTTTGTTTTTGGATTACTTTAATGGGTAGGTCCAAATAAGGGGTTACTGTAGTTTTCAGGAAGATCGACTCCCGCTTCTGTCGTCTGTCAAATCTGCGGAGACAAGAGTTACGGTAGACATTACGGACTGTGGACATGTGATGGATGTGCCTGTTTCTTCAAGCGGACGATCAGACGGAAAATTAATTACAGATGTATTTGTGGGTTTATGTCATCAAAAATGACATCGAATTATTATTCTGTTTCAGCTGGTGATAATAAGTGTCCCGTTGATAAGACAAGAAGAAATTGGTGTCCAGCATGCAGATTAAAGAAATGTTTTGAAATGCAAATGAATAAAGATGGTAAGTGAAGCTACAGTAATCCTAAATTAATTTTTAAAGCAGTTCAAAAAGAGAGAGGGCCAAGGACAAAGAAAATGACTCAGAAATTATACAAAACGGATAATGAAAGTACAAATCAGAGTAGGTTCTCAAATCGAAGGACCATCTTTAGAGATCGACCTGGTTGTTTATACCATGAAGAGCGTCCTCAATAATGCGGTGATCGTATTTTTGACTACGGAACAGAAAAAGAATCTTATGGCACGTTTGTGGCCGATCTTTACTTTGGCTATTCTTCCACATACCAAAAGTAAAATCGAAATAAAAACGGTAGAAGTGAGTAATAAGAACGTCATCGTGATCTCCTTTAAGGTTAACAATCTAATTTCCGACTTTTCACAAAAAGTGGGCAAAGTTGATGAGGAAGAGACAAGATTGTTATGTTCGTGGTTGCTGTGCAATCTCGGTAAGTGGCTCTTTCCTAAACCACCAATTATTTGAAGGAGGAGAAATATCAATTATTGACTTTGCGCCCTCATTATTGGATACTTACACGTCTTGGCTTAGAAAACATTGTGATTCGAATTATCCGGATGAAAATGATCGGGCCGATCGAATAATCGATTATGGGAAGGCCTTACTCGGCTTCAATGGGTACACTTCTTTTATCGCTGAATTCTCCTTCCTACACCATGACAAATCATCGTTGTTATAAACATTTAAATCACTTACAATTTCTCGCCTCTCCCCTTTTTTTATTACATATTTATTTAGGTTAAATAACTAATTAACAAAGGTACTAATTAATCATTTACTTAACACATTCGCAGCTTTTCGCATAATTTGGCTGCAGATTGAAACCTTGGGGCATAATGTGGGCGGTATATTTTGGCGGGATAATTGAAGGGCGTATTTCGAAGGCCTTCGTTGATATCCAGAAGCGAGGGATTCTGGCCCGTGATCAGTTTGATCCCTTCTTTGTCGGCCAGCGACTTCATTGCTTCAAAATAAGAATCCTTGATCTGACTCTCCGAATTCGCAATATTTCCATTTTTGGGTAAAATAACACGGCCAGGAAGAAGGAAAGAGTCCGGGTCGTTCGAGAGTCGTTCATTAAACATCCCTAAACCAGAACATGAATTCAAATAAAGAGATGATCGTGCAATAAAAAGGAGTTACTTACTTGCTGATTCTAATACAGTAGCCTTGACTCCAACTCCCAATAAAACGAAGACCCAGAACAGAAGATTCCTCATCCCAGTTTGATCTTAAAAAATTCTCAATTCATTCTGAATTGCTGATAACTGTTACAGGCGTCAAAAAACACGACGTCATACTTGTTTATGGATTCGTTAAGGTTTCCTTACAAAAAAATAGAGGCGAGACGTAAATTCCGCTTTTAATTGTAGGCCTAATCATAAATCCTTCTTGAATTTGGATGGCGGGAAAACTGTCTGTACAAAATAAATAATTTCCAAAAGGAGGACTGTAAATTTTAAGGACGACTGGAAAAACTGCACCATTATACATATAAGAAAGATCCAGAGATAGAAACGTGCGACACCCCGCAAAAATTAAACCTCCAGGAATCATACACCGGAAGAAAAAAGTCCTTTGACCTTACTGTTGGATTCGTCATAACGCTGTAGCTGCACAATTCATGGTAAAAAACAATACAGGGCAGGAGTTAAGAGGCTGATAAAGTATTCATAAATCCCAAACAAAGAACCCCACCCTCTAAGGCCATTAGACAAGTTCTCCACAGAAAAGGCGGCACAATGAGAACTCCTTAATTTAGAATTTACCAGGACATTCGTTACAAGTTTAGGGCCAAATCTGATAAGGAGATTTGGTTGGGACAGACAATACTTTTGGGTGATTTTGAATATTACTGTGAATACAAAATACGGAGAAGATGACCAAACGTGAATAAACAAGTTTTTAACTCGCCAATTAATCAGAGAAATCGACGTACAAAACAAAGCTGTAATTTGGAAGGTAAATTTAAAATTATAATTAAAGTGAGCGCGACAGCTTAGACAGGTATACATATTACATATAAACAGGTGGAATGTGACTCAAGTCGTAAACGTTAAAAGACGATTTCCACAGGAAGAGAAGTCCCACCACCCCCGAGATTGCAAGACCACAAATATGTAACGAGAACACTGCAAGTTGCCGGATCCACTCTCGGCTTCTTAAATTACCTTATTTATGTCATCACACAGAAACAAAATACAAACAGAGCCTCGAAGACGCCGGTTATAATATGTAATATTACGCAACCTCAGCAGTCCGCACATAACAGGAGTAATTTGAACAAATTACAGCGTTGATGTCATCGCAGAAAAAGTCGCCCTCGTCCTCATGATTCGACCCAAGAAAACAATTATTTCCCAGAGAAGATACGAAGCATAGTAATTAACCGAACTTAAAAAAGTTTGGACCCGAAAAGTGATGTAGATGTGGGGATTAGACAAAATGTTACTTTCAAAGAATTTTACTTTACCCGGCCACGGCCATTGTTCAGCGACATCCCAAAACTCTCTGACTCAGACCACAGAACTTTCTCAATTTGGGGGCAAACATGAATGACATGATTATCTTGCTTTCTTTCAACGCCCGTCCTCCCTCCCAAAAACATTTTAAAATTAATTTTTATGGCCCGGCATTTTCGATCAATGGCCGACTCTGTTTTAGCATTGACCAGGTCTTGAGTTGAGACCCGCTTTAATAAAAAAATAGGCAGAAAATGAGAACCTAAAACAAGTCATAATGAATACAAATACTTTGTCATACCGTCATGAATATTCAACCTCAATTACACGTCCAGGTATTACGTGCATTCTTATCTATTAGTGCAATTCAAGCATGAAAACAGTGTTGAATGATACGATTATTCGTTTTAATGGACATGCCACGTAATACGTCTACTTGTGGAAAAATACCTGTGAGGATGGGAATCTTCTTTACATACTGCATCTCATATAAGCCCTTTTATAATACATAAGTACATTTTTTGAATTCAAAATATATCCCAAATTTTGGCAACAAGAGAAAGGCTGGGCGCAGCTTGCCAAAAAATAAATAATTTTTTATTCGCAATTGGAGGAAGTTCTAACCCTGCGGGTTGCGATGTATTGGCGCTAGCGTAGATGTAAAAAGTACAATGAGCGGGACAACTCACGTACCCAGTGATTTGACATTAACATCATTTCCTTTCGAGGTTAGAGAAGATGAGCAACCAGAAACGGGTTCCAAGTCGTTTATGGGATTTATTTCAAGATTTTTCAACGAAAATCATGCTCAACCCGAAGAACCCGTGCCCACTCAATTACCCAGCATCTCAGAGACTTCCACAGTTGAGATCAAGGCACCCCAAATTAGTCCTAGTTCAGGTTTGTTAGCCTTGCATTTATTATGTTGTTCATTATTATCATTTACCGTTATTGTTGTCTAGATGAAGCGTCTTCCCTTCCAAACAGCCGAAAAGTTTCTAAAATAACAAGGTTGTTAAAAGCCGGATCAGACAAAGATCTGGTTGATTATAATGGGACCGTCTTCAAGAGGTATTGGATGCCTGATGCTGCTGTTCAAGAATGTTATGAATGCCATGAAAGGTTTACGGCGTTTCGGAGAAAGCATCATTGCCGGTTTTGTGGACAGATTTTTTGCAGCAAATGTTGTTGTCGGCAAGTTTCTGGGGCGGAATTAGGTATGTTTTGGCACATATTTTATTATACTTTAGGTTACTCTGGTCTCCTTCGGTTGTGCAATTATTGTTTTGAGCGAGTTGCAATGCATTTTAGCACTTCTGATAGGCAATCACGAGCTCAGACCCCAGTCCAAGGGTCGCCGAGCAGTAAAAGAAAAGTTTCCAACGCTGCCGGGGCTTCAAGCATGGGTCAATCAACCGAAAATATTCTAAACGGAGATGAAGATCTTCCTGATATTTTAAGTAACGCCGAGAAACCGAATGTTGGTGTTGAGGGTGAGTCTTGTTGTTTTGCATTACTTATTTGTAGAAGTTCGCTTGCCTGAGTTGGATGCATATTCTTCTTCATATGAACCTCGAGCTGATGAAAACGAGCCCGACTGGGTAAAAAATCTTCGGAACAAAGACGACAATCCCACAAGTATTTTTGCACCGACATCTATTCCCATGAATACGACCACGGTTTCTGAAAAAGATCCAGTTTTAACTCCTTCAACCCACTTTGAAGTCAAAACGAGATGGGATTCTTTTCTGGGCAGTGAGTCTGGCCGCCCGTCCAATGCTCAACTATTCGAAGCCAAAACAAATGCTCTTCTTGATTATTTATTTGAGTATGAACAGGTATCCATGGCTGTTTGGAAACCATTACTGGTGACTTTGGCTCAAGAAATTGTTAATGCCATTAATGTGGACACGAATGCAAGGCCGAAGTTGATTAATATTCTGGACTATGTTCATATCAAAAAATTATGTGTGAATGGGGAAAGATCGATAGAAGTGAGTCTAAAGATGTTATTCTCGATATTTAATTTGAACTTCTTCCCATATAAATAAAATTTCTAGAAAGTAAATGGTGTTGTGTTCTCGAAGGCCTTGCATCACCGGTCAATGGCGAGATATGGTGAAAACGCTTCGGTCTTATTACTTGCCGGAAATATCACATACGAAAGGGTGTTGGAGAAGATGTCGTCATTAGAACCCATCTTGCAACAAGAGAATGAATTTCTGAAAAACCAAGGTAGACTGAATGCATAGACTTAATATTGTCTTTCTTAATAGTTGAGAGAATCTCTGCCCGGAAAGTTAACTTGGTATTCGTGGAGCACAGTATCTCTACAATAGCCATGGATCTTTTCCTCGAAGCACAGATTGGAGTTTGTACTGACTTGAAACCAGTTGTTTTGGAAAGATTGTCTAGATGCACAGGCGCCGATATCATTAATTCATTGGACGCCCAATTTCTACAACCAAGGATCGGGTTCTGTCCTCGGTTTTATGAGAGAACTGTCAGGTTGGCTAATGGAAAGGAGAAGCAGTTGATTGTAAGTTATAACTAAATATCTTTTTATGTACCATACCTAATTTATTGGGTTTCGGGAGGGTTTACATGTACTAGCTGCCAAAAGCTGGCAATTTTTTTGTTTCTTGTTTAACTCTGCTCAATGTGGATGGTTTAAACGAAACGAATATCAGCCGCCAGAAGATCTATGGTTTTCCGCGGCATTTGCAAGCGTGGATTTTTTTTTTGAAAGGATCAAGAGTTTTTTTTTGTGTTTCAAGAATTTTACATTGACAGTTGTACCATTGATAGCGGCAAGAATTCTCTACAAAATGGTATTTGTTTGGTTTAAAGTCGTCCACGTTGAGCATGGTTTACGCAAGAAAAAAAATCGACAGCTTTTTTGGTAACTACTGTACGTTTAGGTTCTTGATGAATGTGATGGCTCCTTGGGTATGTCGGTCGTTATTCGAGCCGAGTCGGAAAGAGAATTAAAGGCGGTAAAGAGGATCCTCAAGTTGTTATTGCAAATATATTACTCTAACAAATGTGAAATTGCTTTTCTTCAATTGTTTAACTCATCCGGTCCTTTGTCAACATCATCTTGTGATATTTGTGCAGAAAATCAGTCGGATGACTCTGATCGAAATGAAGAATCCGAGTTTGGAATTGCTTTGAAAGAATGCCAGCTCACAAATACCCCGCTTATTCGTATAGTGGCTCCATATTTGGAAAGGGAAGAGGGCAAGAAATGCTTCTTACTTGATTATATTAAAAAGGTAAGACTTTGTGGGAAGATGCATAATATATTGTATTTTTAGCCTGCGTTTCATTTCTACAAGCATGAAGAGTTGATTGAAATGGCCAAAGCCGAGTGCGATGTAGAGCACAAAATTAAGCAATTGGAAACAGAGATAAAAGAAAATAAAGTGGCCTTGGAAAAGAAGCATGTCCATTCAATATTGAAGAACAAGCATCTCAGATCAACCAATCTCGAACTCTCCGAATATAGAGTTCGATCGGCTTTTCTGTCTCGGAGATTGGTGGAAGTGAAGAAGGAAATGGACGAGAAGAGGTAGGAAATTGATATAACCTGAGAGGATTTCAGTCTCGAACAAAAATGTCTCTTCTCGAAGCAAGCCTTCCAAAAGTTTGAAAAGCCCTCTAGTCGAAATGTGGATGTTCTGAATCCTTACAAACATCAACGAAGAGCGTTTCTTTATTGTGCCGAAGGGGTGTCTCGACGATGGCAAAATTGTGGATCCTTTTGCTCGGGCCCTTCTGTTCTCGTTTGGAGATTTTACAGTGGAGGTGAAGACTTGACACTAGGGAACTTCCTAAGAAGGTTCTGCTTTAATGTTGAGTACAAATGCAAGGAATGTGACAAAGGAATGGTGGAACACTTTAGGAAGATCATTCATCATAATTCCTGCATCGAAATCACTACACAGAACTTGGGTCAAAAGAATTCACTGGCCGAGTTTTGCGAGTTCGATGAGGTCAACGAATTTGACAGCGACATTCTTATTTCGTGGAGACAATGTGCTCAATGCAATGCCCGAACCAAGGTAACTTTCATTATGAAATAACTTTATGTCTGCTCAAGGTATGGCCCGTTAATGAACTTGTCCAGAACCTCAGCTTTGCCAAATTTGTTGATTATCTTTCGAATGCGGTTCATTGGATATCCGAAACCAACAAGGAATGTCAACACTGTACCTTCCATGAACATCGTCATCTCTTTGCTTCTCATAATATGGTGACCATGTTCTCCGTATCAACAGTAAGGCCTCTTCATGTCCTCTTCGCTCCAATGTTATGTCAGATCAAGCCAAGATTGGTCCCTTCTAGAAGTTTGATCACTGAATTTAATGAGACCTGCCGTTTGTCTCAAGAGATTTTTAAACACATCCAGGAGTCCTGCAACGATCAACAATCCACAAATTACCTCAGACAGCTGGAAGAATATTTAAAGTAAGTGAAATTGTTTGACCCAAATTCCTTTCAGTAAATTAACTGATGGGTTTGATGAGGACGGATCTATTGGGACTTCTGACGAGATGTATACGGACGATCCAGTCGTTATCAAATCGGAAGGCAACCTTATTTTAATAAGACATTTCTTGAATGCTGTAATTGAAGAATGGAACGACCGCCGAAGTCAGCCCACCCAAATTGAGCTTGATCCCATGGCCAAATTGAAGAATCTATGTGCTAAATTCAATCTTTCATTAACGGTACCTCTTGAGGAAAAGGAAGATCTATCACAATTAGATACGCAAACCTTGGTAAGAAGTCGGGATTCAGAATCCAAGGAAATGGACGGATTGGCCAAGAACCAACCCAATCAGCTGCCTAATCCCTTTGAAAAGGATTATCATCTTGAATTCCCTATTCATAAGTCGACAACACCGATCGTTGTGAGGGATTCGAGCGACGGAAAGAGTCCGGATATTGGTTCAGTAAGTCACATAAATGTAATCGAGATTTCCCAATAGATGATTGCGTTTGCTTTGTCGTCACGGGATTATAACGAGAAGAAGAAGTTTATGGTTTCGAAGGGCACCTTTAATCGACCGCAATCCCGGACTCCATCCGCCAGTTCGTTCTCCAGTTGGTCTAATCTCAGCAACACTGCTGCTTTTCCACAAATCCCAGCTCAACCCTTAGGTTCACCGAAGTTGGAAACGATTCCAGTACAAGATCCCGCTTCTACTTCAATCGAAGTGGAGTTTGCAGATTCCAAGGCCCATTATTACGTAAAGGTAAACTGGTTTCGACAGCACTTACTCTTTCAGATTTACTTTGCCGAGAGTTTCCATTTTCTCCGGGAAAAGATCTTCCCGGCCGGCGAATCAGCATTTTTGAGATCACTTTCAAAGTCCGAAAGTTGGTCCCCTCAAGGCGGCAAATCAGGGGCATCTTTCTTCAGAACCAAAGACGAGCGATTTGTATTCAAGCAAATGTCATGGGTAGAGATGGAGTCCTTCAAGAAATGCGCCCCCAAATATTTTGAATACATCAATAAGGCGTTGAATGAAAAGAAACTGACAGCTCTATGCAAAGTAAGTGATCGCCATTAATTTCCCAATGTTTTAGATATATGGAGTTTTCAGAGTTGGCTACACTTCCAAGAAAGGAAGCCAGTTGAAGATGGATCTCCTTGTCATGGAGTACTTGTTTTATGAAAAGAAAGTAAAACAAATGTGGGACTTAAAAGGATCCCTCCGAAATAGATGTGCTTCTACCAAAACGGACATGCCTGTCCTCTTGGATGAAAACCTGGTGTCAGACTTATGGGGGAATCAACTTTACGTTCAACATCACTCAAAAGTCGCCCTCAAACAGGCGATTACGAATGATAGTCACTTTCTAAGCAGCCAAGTAACTTTATTTGCCATTGAATCAATATTAACTTAATTTAGGGCATCATGGATTATAGTTTACTGGCTGGAATCTGCGAAGACACTAATGAAGTTGTCGTGGGTATTGTTGACTACATGAGAACATATACCTTGGACAAAAAAGTAGAAAGCTTTGTAAAAACGGCTTTACCGAACCCCCACCTCCCTACTGTAATAAGTCCTGAGAATTATTGTAAAAGATTCTGTGATGCAATCGATTGCTACTTCGCTATGGCTCCAGATCAATGGACCTGTCTGGATTCCACTGTCGCTTAAGCTTTTTGCACTTAATAATTTAATAATAGATTTTACTTGATCATATTTATATTCTTTGTACACATATCATTCGCAATTTTTAAATTATACAGTTAGTGATAATAAAGTGGAATTTACCGGTTATGAAACACAACATCTTTCTGCTTGTGGGGTTCGCGTACGTTGCGAAAACCTTCTGAAAACAATCATTACTATGCCATCGGTGAGCAAACATACTGGTCTTCCTGCAATTGCAGTTGACGAGCCAGCTGAAAGTCCAGGTCTTCGTCATTGATTTGTCGCCCTCTTACCGACTTCACACCAGTACAATCGTGATCTGCGCCGTGTCGATGTCCCACACAAAAGTTAGCCCCGCAATCCGGACATGTAAATGGGACAACTTCTCGTTTTTTACAACCTTTCTTCGAACATCGATTCTTATAAGCTCGTTTTTGTCTGGCTGGATCCGATTTGCAATCATTATCGATATGACTTCCAACAATTAGATCCGGCGACTCGTTTTTTCCCACGGGAACGGGTTGTTCGCATAATGGACATATAGGCACACGGACGTCCTTTATCCCACATTCATGTTCTTCAGCCTTGAAATGTTCCGCACTAAACAAAGACGTCAAAAAAATGGTAAAACTCACCAAAACTCCTTCTCGCATTTAAAACACTTGTAAGGTAGGAAATCTAAAGCATTTCCAACTAGAACACGTGATATTAGACTTACCGAGAAGATTACAACTTGAAACAGCACAATGGCTCCCAAGATTTGGAAATTCCGCCATTATATATGACTGAGAACAAATGAATAAAGAAACTAGACGTAGACTAACGCTGTATAATACCTAAAATCTTTTCATAAGAAAAAATTCGTGACAAAAGATTAAGAAATTGCAGAATGCCAGGGTTCTACTAAAATTGTTTTCGTTTCGGGGCGAAAATAAAATAAATAAAGAAAATGTTGTTGGCAACGAGCCTCTGGATGGTCAGGAGGTGTAGTAGTGAAACACGCTTCTTTTTCCATTGTTTTTTTTATATTCCCGGAACCATATTGACGTTGTTTAATTAGCCGCGCGCCGCGTTGAATATGACAATTGAGATTGTTATCTTTTCATTCAAAGTCCGAGTTTTAGATTCTTCCAAGATACGCAAATAAAACCAGAAAGGAAGGAGAAGTGTTTGAACTCGCGTTTTCATTAATTAACTCGCATGGCCGACATTGACGGCGCTTTTGTCTCCGTTAAATTATGGTCGAGGTAAGGAAGGCTTTCTCCTATCATATAACGACTTTTTAGAAGAGAGTCACGATTATGGACAATAAACTTCTTCATGGGCACATGCGCATTATATGCGTCTAGAGTAGCGTTGCCAATATGCGCATCTGTGATGGCTCAGGAATATGGATGGAACAAAACAGATTCGGTAAGGCAGTTTTTCTAGATTACTTATTTTTTAGGGAACGATAATGTCATGCTTCTTTTGGGGCTACACGATAACACAGATAATAGCCGGAAATGTTGCCGATAAGTATGGGGGAGAGAAAATCTTAAGCCCGACCACTTTATCTTGGGCACTGCTCACATTCCTGACTCCTCAGCTTTTTGACTTTGCTTATTGGACTGACTCTCCACTTTTCTTCTTGTTGTTGATAAGAGTGGCCACTGGAATTGGACAGGGATTCCACTTGCCGAGTATGGCCAGCATTGTTTCCCGCCATTTGACAGCTGCTGACAAAGGTCGGGTCTTCGGAATTTGTTTGGCAGGATCCCATTTCGGGTAAGTATTATTAATATAATAAAAGAATAATCGAATGTTTAAATATAATTAAGTTTTCAAAGTTGACTGTGTTTCAGATCTGTAGTTGCTGGAGGATTCGGATCCATTTTACTTGATTGGTTTGGATGGCGAAGTCTTTTTCAATTCGTTGGTGAGTTATCTTTGCTATTGTGTTTACTCTTTAGGCATATTGAGTATAATTTGGTGGGCCTTTTTTAAATGGCTAAGTGAGAGCTCGGTACGAGGGATTGAGAAAAGAGGGCTGACAAAGGCGAAAAACTCTGAAGAATCGCTTCTTCCGATAGAGAATCTGAAGAAAAAGACAGATCAAGGTGTGCCTTGGAAAACATTATTTTCACATCCCTCATTTTGGTGAGTCATGACATTATTATTTTCATGATATGTTTGTTTTTCTATTTTTGTATTTTTCACGTGGGTGTACTTTTTAGGGCAGCATCAGTTGCGCAGTACTGTGGTGCCAATGCTTACTTTACAATGTTCAGCTGGTTACCCTCGTACTTTTCGGATAATTTCCCAACGGCCAAGGTTAGTTTTAAAGTTTATTTTTTATTGTTCTGGATCAAAGTTTTTGCCGGATTATCCGGCTTTCAAGAGTGGATGAAGGAAAGTTATGCCGGATGTATTTACGTAATATGATGGCTTACGTTTCCAGGGTATTATCTACAATGTCGTACCATATTTGGCGATCGTGGTTACATCTTTGGCGGCTCCGTTCATGGCGAGTCGTCTGCTGAGTAGTGGGAAGAGTGTAACATTTACTCGTCGTTTTATGGAAGGCTGTTCCTTGACATTAACAGCTCTCTGTCTTCTGACCGTCTCCTTCTCGGGCTCCTTCTACTGGTCGTTAATCGTGTTCACGCTGGCGATGGCTTCTCGGGGATTACATCATGGAGGAGTTTCGGTTAATCCCCATGACTTTGCTCCAAACCATACCGGCGCGGTGTTCGGTGAGTATTGTGGAAGCGTGTTAATTAAACGGGCGGCCCATGTTTTAATGGGTCTTTCGAGTTTGTTTTTATGAAATGCGATCTCCCACGGCCCATCCCCGCCATTTATGGGAGTCTCATATTATATTAGCCTCCTATCAAATTAACTAAAGTGTTAATTGAAATATTTCCAGGGATCTTCAACGCCTTCTCGGCAGTGACTGGGTTCATCGGAGTGTACGTGGCGGGATGGATCCTCCAACTTAGCAACAATAACTGGATTTATGTTTTTCTAATCACCGCCGTGCAATGTCTGTTCGGGGCTGTAGTTTTTTGTCTTCTGGGAACCGGAAACAAAATAATTTAGTCTTCAGAATGCGGGTCTTTTGTTCGGTTGCATGTAATATAGTCGCTAATATAATATAATATGATTCGCGGTGCCTTATTTCCCTTATCTGGCCTTTTTCCTTCTTTTAGTACCGGTTCCGTCCCTGAGGACCTTGGTCTTCATCTCCCCATTCGAAAGAAAACAGCCTCAGGGTTTCCTCGATCGCGCCATGCTTGATCTCCCTTACTGTACCCTTTCCCCAATTCAATGATTGTGATCCCCTACGTTTATATAATTTAATATCAATGTCATCATTTTGAGCAATATACGATACTTTGAGGTATGACTTAACTAACGGGCGCTTCACTGTCACGTTTTACACACATCCAAGACCATACGATTGTGTTTGTTATATAAACATGATTTATTCAAGGAGTAATAAAAATTAATTCAACCCCCTTTGCTGTGACAGGTGTATATGTGCCAAGGAAGGCCTCGCGGCCTGTAGCCAAGGGTGGGGCATGGCGTGTTCCAATATCAGGTCGTTATCCAAACTAAAGCAAACAAAACAGGGACCGAGAATTGTTGGACAATCACTTTTCGAAAATCTATTTATTTATATTTTCTGTTTGTTCCGCAAGAAGATGCCTGAGGGAATGGGCGGAATCAGCCCGCCTTTTTCGCTTCTTCACCACCTTCTGTGCCTCCCAGCCCCTCTGCGTCTTAAGTCTTGCCCTTTGACCCGTCGGGCATGTTGTTTTAATTATGCGATTTCAGCGATGGTTCCTGCTCTTATGGACGACGGGCTCGGGTTTCAGTCAGCTTCCATTTAAGGAATCTCGGGATGAGTGAATGAAGCCAGACCAGTTGCCATTACTCTTTTGTTCTGCCTCTTAGTTGAAGAAGATGGGCCAAGTACCGGAAGAGCATGTCTCCACCTTCGAGTTCTACTTTTATCTGCTTAATGGATGTCTGGGCACCATCCTCAACAGTGCAGTTCTGTTCATCGCCTTCAAGTATGTGGACACGAGGGACAAACCCCGTCAAGTAAGTCGGTTCTGTTATGTGCTTTGACGCTACTAACATCTGCGGAAGTACTCTTTTATTTTGTTGTGCATAGCAAATGAAAGTGTGACAGACCGTAAAGCGAGGGGATCCCTGTACTCGTAAGGTATAATTCAAATGCTCTCAAGTTTCAACAATAACATGTTATTAGCCGACCAATTGCGCAAAGAAGCTTCGTTTACGTGTGTGATGACCTTAGGAAGAAGAACAAAACATTTAATTATAGATCCTGGTTATGAACATGACTTTGGCGGATCTGTTCACGTGCACAATATACATGTTGACCAGACCATATCTGAATCGTTTTGATGAACGATTATGCTATCCTTATTACATCATCATATTCACATCTCAACTCGCCAGCTGCGTGTTCTTGTTGTGCATTAACCTGGACAAGTTCATATTCATCGTGTATCCTTTGCATTACTACGAGATGGTCACGCGAAAACGAGTGCTCATTGTAATGGTTACAATCTGGGTGACTCTTCTCAATCTGGGCGCTCTCGCCTATAGTCAATTGACCGTTTCAGTAAGTGTAATTGTATGCTCTCGAATATTGTATCCCTGTCTGAATGTTTGCATCTTGTGTAAAAGTCGGGTTAATAACAACAACATGTTTTCAGAGTCCCTGTAATATCGTCGGAATCAACCCGTATGTATATCTGACCATCATCGTGATATACGTTCTTGTCATCACCAGCAGTTTTGTCATATCTTCTATCATTTATTACATTGCTCGGAACTCCCAAAGAAGAGAAAACACGCACAGTAATGTAAGTCGACCATGTCCGTATATATTACCACTACATTTCACACCCCATTCTCTTTGTATATTCTACCTTTTTGGGGTTTGTGCACTTCACGGCCCGTTTTCGTGCTTGTTTGCTTAGCTTTTCACTTTTTGGCTTTCATTTACTTTTCGGCTGATTGAGCTACTTAGAGGTCTTTTAAAGTATATATTATTCACACGACCAGAGTCTCCTCACAAATCATGATAACGACCTGATAACAGCGAAAAAGCTTTGTTTCTCGGAAGCCTTAACTAATTATGGTACAAAAACACCTGTGAAATGCCCGACAGCATCCATTCGACCCATTTCTCTGGGGACAATAACAGTTACTTAGCACTTAGCACATCATTTCCTTAGGGAGTCTTGGAATTAAAGAATTAAAGGCCAATGATCTGTTTCAGAAGGCCTTCAAACGTCTCTTCTTCGTGTTCAGCAGCACTTTGTGGACGTTCTGCACCTGCCTGCCATATCGAGTGTGTTTCCTGATCAGCGCCATCCTGATCCCATGTTATCGGACCACTGATAGCGAGGAGTCCTTTTTTTGCACTTTGACCGCCATCTTCTTTTACATGATAGTGGTGGGCATTGTGTTCAATGCTCTGATTACGGTGGTCACTCAAAGAGTCTACCGTCAGCATGTCCTCAAATGTTTCCCTTTCCTCTCCAAATTGATGCAGCCTGCCGAAAGAACCGTCGGATTCAGAAGGCCAAGTCAACCCATCTCCAAATCCGAAGGTCTCAAGTTAACCTTGAGAGAATAAAAATATGATTAATCGACAAAAAGACGGGTAACTGGAGGAATCCAGTAGATGGAGGTGACTGAGAACCTATCGGGAACCAAGTCTCCCCCTTCAGATGTGAATTCCGGGGACTGACAGAGAGAATGCCCTCAGTCGTTGTCACTCAACTTGCCGGCCGATGTGTTTTATTTGAAATAAAAACATTTTTATTGATCCAACATGTTCCAATAATAAAACTTTTTCAACTTGATGGGATTTCGGATGCGATCAGGGATATAATCTTATAAATTTGTTTGGGGTGCGTAATATTACACATTGTTATCGTAATCTTCCAGAATCACACCTTTGGATTAAAGTCCTCTCTTTTGAAACAAATCCGTGATAAAGGAATTCCAGATGATTACATAAGCTTTCCCCATTAAATCCCTCACTTTATGCGACATTTCAGGATGAGACGGAAAAAGTGGCCCAACCTGTGCTAATACCTCCAACTTGAGCCCAAAAAAGAGCCGATTAGGGGAAGAGGAGTCCTGACTGCTGCACTCCCGGACATAAAGACATCTACCTTGGTATATAGCGTGTCCCTCAGCCCCCGGCTCTCGGGCCGATGGAGATTGCCGTAGCGTTTTAATCCGTTCGGAGGCTTTTGTCACCAGTTTCGTGCTCGGGCTTTACCCGGAGGGGATATATTTATCTAAAATTATTTGCTGGATTTGTTTGTTATTCTCCATGTTCTTGTCCCCCGAACAGTTCGTAAGACTCACCGAGTATGCGTCATGTAAGTCCTGAGGTAAAACGCGTTAGTCATTTATCTCTGAAGTCTTACTTAAAAAAACAGTAAGCCTTAATTTAATTCTAGATTCAAGTCACAAACTGGTGGATATGCTTCCAGAGTTCCAGCCAGACGGAATGTTCTTCAAATATCTTTCTGATGATCTTCAGGTAGGTCGTCCTCTTACATAAAGTTGTCGATTTAGACCATTGACTTTGCTGGATTTGTTCAATTCATCAACTGCTATTTCGGCGCTGAACTTCCCTTAGATCTAACTCAACAATTCTTCCTGTCATTTGTTCAAGGAAGTGAGCAAGGCAAGAATTTTGTACTATTCCAATCACATTACAGATGTAAAAGCGAACCAACAGACATTTCGGAGGCCATCTTTTATGACTCATAAGCTGAGTACAGTAGCCAGTCCTTCCACCTCCAATAATCGAAAGAAATCCACCATACAAACACAAAATAATGTGCAGACTGTAAGGTCATCCACTTGATCTGATCATTTTTAGTTTAATATTGATGCCTCTAAAAGGGTTCCATTAAAACCATTGGTATGCTATCTTTCCTTATTGGAAGGGGCACCTCCCGAAGATAAACTCGAGTTTGTTTTCCATGTATATGACTCGGATGACAATGGATTCTTGGATAATAAGGCAAGTGGATCATCAGATCAAACAAAAAATAAGTAAATAGGGTTTAACAGGATTGTTTCAGGAGATGGAAGGGATAATCGAACAGATGATGAATGTGGCCAGATATCAGCAATGGGATACGATTGAATTGGAACCGGTAAACCATAAAACCAGAGAATTTATTTTAGATCTTACGTCAAATGATGCACGAAATCGATTATGACAATGATGGAATCGTTTCCTTAGAAGGTGAGGTGCCAATAATAAGAATAATTACAATTTCAGAATGGAAACGCGGAGGTCTTACAACAATCCCCTTACTAGTACTCTTAGGAATTGATACGGTAAGTGCTGATTAGGTCGGTAACCCTGGAAAGAATTACTCAGAACTTGTTTTCTACTCCTTTTCTTCCTTCGACGTCTTTAAGAAGAACGTCGACGGATGGAACTGTTCGCCCAACTAATCAAAACATTTGTCTGATTTCAATTCCTTTTCAATTAAGCGGAACTAAAACACATTTAAATACGTTTCAGGAGATGAAAGAAGATGGATGCCATATTTGGAGACTCCGCCATTTCAGTAAACCCACTTACTGTAATGTTTGTTTGAACGTGTTGGTCGGATGGGGAGGGAAACAAGGGCTAGCATGTTCCTGTAAGTTTCCTTTTTACTAAAAATATTGTTCCCGGAAACAAGCTAATAAAAATAATTTTTAGTATGTAAATATACTGTACACGAAAGATGCGTCCGATCAGCCCAGAATTCCTGTATTCACACCTACAATTCGAATCCATCAAAGGAACAGATTATGGCCCATCATTGGATCGAATCAAACAGTGCTGCCAAATGTGTGAGATGCAAAAGTACAGTATCCATATTTCAAGGGAAACGGTGTAGATGGTGTAAGAACGTGGTAAGGCCATTTTTTTATTTCATCCAGAGTTTAGTTACATAACAAATGTCTGGACCAATGGCCTAAGGAATGTGATTTTGGAGCACTCTCATACCACGTCCTGCCACCGGTCAATATCATCCCTACTTTCTTGGACAGATCCCAACAACAGAATCATGGCCATTTATTACAATTGACTCCTCCCAAAGGGAATAAAAGACCGTTGTTGGTGCTAATTAATCCAAAAAGTGGAGGAAGGCAAGGAGAGAGGATATACAGGAAATTACAGTATCTCCTGAATCCACGACAAGTCTACGATCTCTGCAAAGACGGCCCCGAAGTGGGGTGAGTCGTCTTAAAGGTTTAATTTAACTCATCTTTAGTCTGAATCTGTTCAAATCCATCAAAAATGTTAATATCCTTGTATGTGGAGGAGACGGAACAGTAGGCTGGGTTCTTGAGAAGATGGGTAGGTTGATACTCACTAATTCAAAAAGTCACAGATAAAATTGACTACGGGGATAACCGTCCACCAGTGGCCGTTCTTCCTCTGGGAACAGGAAACGATCTGGCACGTTGTCTAAAGTGGGGAGGCGGTTACGAGAATGAACCTCTTCTCAAGATTCTACAGAGTATAGAAAAATCAACTCAGGTAAATTAATCAATAACTGAATGAACCAAGGTTTAGGTAATGATGGACAGATGGCAGATTACAATAGAACAGACAAAGAAATGCGAGAAGGGAGATCCACAACCTTATCATATCATTAACAATTATTTTTCGATTGGAGTTGTAAGTAGAAATGGCGATTAATTAATGTGAAGTAGGACGCTTCAATTGCTCATCGATTTCACGTGATGAGAGAGAAATACCCCGAAAAATTCAACAGTAGGATGAGAAATAAGCTATGGTATTTTGAATTGGGGACCAGTGAGACTTTGTCCAGCACATGCAAGAAACTGCACGAACAAATTGATATACTGGTAGGTCCATTTGGACATCCCAATTTAAAATTTCAGTGTGACGGAGAGACAATTGATCTTGGAAATGGCCCTAATTTGGAAGGAATCGCCCTACTTAACATTGCCTCAATTTATGGAGGAAGTAATCTCTGGGGAAGCAGTAGAAAACCTTCATCTTGGCATATTCCTTTCCTCTTTCCCAAGATCGTGAGTAGTTCAGCTCAACTCCAAAACCGAGTGCAGGACATCGGCGACAAATTAGTTGAAGTAGTTGGTTTAGAATCGGCCATTCAGATGGGGCAGATAAAAGCAGGCGTGAGAGGCGCGGCGAGAAGACTATCACAATGCTCTACCGTGGTTATACAGTAGGCCTCCATCCTATGTACAATATAATATTCAGAACTCATAAACCATTCCCCATGCAAATTGATGGAGAACCTTGGATGCAGCCCCCTTGCATTATTCAGATCATTCACAAAAATCAGGTGCCCATGTTGGTTGGGACGTCAGGTAAGAAAATATATAAGGAAACAAAGATTTCCAGGAAAACGAAAGAAGAGCTCGTGGAATATATTAAAACGTCAACCAACGGATGATAGTTAAATTTGTTTTGACACCAATAAAAACATTTTATTCCTAATCGGTAACAAAAAACAACTAACAAGTGAAGTACCCCCATTGCGACGCTCAGATTTTAATGAAACGTGGTACAAATTTAGACAAATTTTTTCTAACAATAAGACATATACGATATTCCTAACTCGCGCTTGCAGAAACGTATTCTAGATCGCAAGTCGGCAAAACTTCGGCACTTTTGCGAATTTTGGTATGAAAAGTTGGGGCTAAGGTAGTTCTCACGGCTGCGATCATCGTTGCCTGAACCACAAGAACGAATTTGGACGGTAACTGGGGGTTTCAGCTAAAACGCCGGGGGTCATTTTACTCTAATTTGCATTCTTTGTATTATTCTAATTTTTTCATTTCATTATGGTGGTGCGAAATGGGCAGAACAGCGGAGGTTTGAACTACCTTTCGTGGGGGGCTGAACTACCAAAGCCCAGAAAAGTTTCATGCCTACTTCTACCGTAAATGGTAATGTTTCCAAAAAAAATTTTTCCGCAACAAACTGACAAAAATATGTCTTGAAAGTGTTTTTTTCTTTTATCACTCTCCGCGTTTCGCGAACTTGGCGGCAAATATATATCTATATCTAGGATGTGCCTGCAAAGCGCTATCTGAAACTTTCAGGAATTGATGTGACCTATGCCCTAAGTGTGTACAAAACTTTAAAAAACCCTAGCGTCGCACTTGGGTATTTCCCTTGTAAATTATATTAGAAAACAGGCATTCTCTGCTCACAAGTTATCCAAATATTCGGAGAAAAAAAACTAATGCCTAAAGAGCTGACGCTGACTTCTGTTCCTCTTCATTTACTTCGATATTATCGTGGATCTGCGTCACGTCCTCGAGCTCGCCTAGTTGTTCATAAAGCTTATCAATAAGTGCCATTTCTTCCGGACTGACAGGGATAGCATGTTGGGGGATTAGTCTGACTTGGCTGTTCTCCACCACATATCCTCGATCTGTTAATGCTTGCTCCACCTTATTAAGGTTTCGAGTCTCAACAGTCAGCTCAACTGCGATTCCATCATCTCTTTTCTCAAGTTCGACCACCTCTTCGCAGTCCAATTCAATTCCTATCTCCTCCATTTCATCTAGTGTAATTTGTGATCCATCAGATTTCTTTGGCTCCACGACCACAAATCCCTTTTCGTCAAAGCGGGTCCTCAAATTTGAGTCCGAGAATCGGAAGCCACCGCCAACCTAAACCAAACTTTCGCGTAAAATTATGTAACTTGCCTTTTTTATAGCCCTCTGAACAGCTCCTTTCGTCCGATTAGAACTATCCGTTTCCGCCTCCACAATAATAAAAGCTCCAGAAGGCCCAATCAGGTCAAAAAAGCATGTAACATCTGGTGTCTCCTAAAGATCATTGAAAGTTGCAGCAAATGTGAACTACCTTTAATCTAGTCAAAAATCTGTTTAGCGTGTCAGCTGGAAGGGACTTTGCTTTATACTCCAAATGTAACTTTTCCAAGTCTTTGTTGAACTTCGGATCGAAACCACCGTTTTTGCATGCCGTCCTGAATTTACCGAGATAGAAGCTGATCTTCGCAGAACGCATTGCATCGTTCTTGCCCTTTACTTCTTTTATATTTTGCCATTTCGAATGTCCCTTCAACAACTGAGGACTAGTAGAGAATCTTTGCAGCTGACTTCGAAGTGGATTGAACAAGCGGAAGAGAGGAATCATCGATATGAATAACAGATAACAGTATAATTCACAAATCCACTAAAAGTCCAAAAAAAATGAACCCAAAAATTGCAAAAACATTTTGAGAAAGAGAACACTTGACTTGAGCCAGGTGTTTCTCTCAATTATGCTCGTTACTCATGCGACACCCATTGTTCAACAGTGGGTTTCCGAATATGGAATTGACTTCTTTTTCGCATCCGCGACCTTCATCTCGTGGATCGCTGTTTATATTTATGATTTTTGGCGTGTGGCGTCCAGTTTTAGTCCATGAATAATATAAATATTAATTAAAATGTTTCTTTTGCAGCTTCATCTATCCCGTTTTGTTGGATGTTCATAGGGGAAACGAAACATCCGGTAGGCATAACGCTCAAGGGCATGGATGGGCAATGAAACAAGACCGTGCGAAAAAAAGCGACCAATGGCGCCGAACCGACTTCTGGAGAGTACGACGACGGGTCGCGCGGCCCAACGGCCGGTCCCGCCGCCTCGAACAAGTCTCAACAAAAATGGGAAATCCGTGCAGAAAGACGGCACTGAAGAAGAAGAGGACTCCGAGGCCGGGTCCTATCCCCAGAGTATCGTCTTCGCCAAAAACAAAGCCAGCTCGAGTGAGGAATGTCTCCAGAATCCCCCGCCCTCCAGCAACTCGCCCGTCTCCTCCACCAGCACAATCGGTGATCTCAACCCCATACCTCGACCAGTCCCAAAGCTACGCAACACCTTGACCCCGCCCCTTCCCCGGCCTCTGATCCCCCCGCCGCCTCCACCACCCCGACCTTATAATAGACACAAGAAGTCGATGGACAACGGCCATGTCCATCAACCGTCACCCCCTTCTTCATCTCCGGAGGGATCTTCTTTTGACCTCAGCAAACTTTCTTTAAGATTTGCGGATGATGACGAGGCAGCTTCGAGGTTAAAATTGAGGACACTTCGGGGGTCCAGGTCGGATGATGAAGATGATGAATACCGACTCTCAGTTTTGGACACAAATAATGAGGCGTTTTTGGATCCAAATGAAACCGATGATGAGATGCTTTGCTTTTGTGGATGGGTTACGATCTACAACTTGGAAAAGAAAAAGACAAAAAGGAATTGGGCATCGCTCAGAGGAGATGACTTGGCATTTTATTTCGATGATGTGGTGAGTGTTTATGCAATTTTTAAAATTTAGTATGTGCTTTTAATAAAATTAATTTCAGAGAGATGTTCTCAACTTTGAATGTAAATCCGAAAACATTTACTTTGTGGGGCTAATCGATGATAAGATCAATGTCGTGTGTCGTCCTACTACCAAACGGAGTTCAATTGTTTTTAGTTTTGTCCCAGATAGTAACATCGACTTCTGGTTGTTATCTCTGTCAAAAGTAAGGATTATTTTTATATTGTCTAGCTTTTTAGGCCACATGTCAGAATCAAAAGTTTGTTCGCAATGTAATTACATCCGCCACAGCCGGAGGAAAGATTGTGTTGCAACAAGCGACAACGGATGAGTGGAATCTGGGTTGGGGATTCGTTCAGAATCGAGTGTTCAAGTATTATTTGCCGATATTGGATTCCTTCTTCGAGATTGACCTTCGAAGGGCCATTATGATCAAAAAAGTGAATAACAGGGACACTCCTTCTGTCTCCACATCGAGTTCGCAGTTTGGATCTATTCAGATTTCTGTTCCTGAAAGGTAAGGCGGTTAATTAAGTATTACGTGTGGCTTATATAATAATCACTTTTACAGTTCTATTCGTTTTCAATCGCTGAATGATCAAGCAACAGAATCCTGGCTGGACTTTTTGTTCAGTTTATTCAGGAATGCCAAGGATCTGGATGACTACTCGTTAACCTCAGATGGAGTGCCTGTAATTGTAGAACGGTGTATCGAATACGTGTCTCTGAATGGCCTTAATATTAAAGGATTATATCGAAAGAATGCTTCATCATCGGCCTGTCGTACTCTCCTCAAAGATTTCAAGGAAAGTGAGTAAATTCATCCAAGATAAAGTTGTTTTTAGACCCTTTTACATTCAAAATAATGCGAATGAATGACGAAACGGCCAATGTCGCTGCAGATGTGATGCGATCTTTCTTCCGCCAACTTCCCGAGCCTTTGATTTGTACCTCTGTACATTCCTTGTTGTATAAAATAAAAAGTAAGGGAGCAGATTTTATTAAACCGTTTTTGGTTTAGATGACATCCATGACGTCACTCAAAAGAATAATGCATATCGATCGGTCTTATCCCAGCTCCCAGATGTAAATTACAAAACATTGCGTCGATTACTGCAACATCTTGTCGAAGTTTCAAAACATTCCTCGGAGAACTTGGCCTCAACCGAAAACTTGGCCAAAGTTTTTGCTCCAACAAGTTTCCAAGTGGACGGGAATGGTGGCGGACAAGCTGAACTGCAGGCTTTCATGAGTAATATCCAGGTTCAAATTGGTGTTATGATGGATCTTCTTCTCCATTTTGACACTGTTTTCCCTAAAACATCCCAACAAATAATAGCTGATACCAGACTCGAACAAATTAGAACTAATGCTATTCCAAAGGTAAGATAACATCAAACTGATTACGTTATGTTTTAGGCAACAAGCAATTCAAGACTTGTGTCTGTGGTCTTCAAGGACCAAAGTTTTCGAGTTCCATCCAACTACACAATCGGTCATGTTCTCCAGTATTTTATCGAGGAATTGAGAAAGGGGGATCCAAACAAAGCATATGGAGTATTCGAGAACCACGCTGACGGAAGGTTAAGGAGGAGGTGCAGACAGGACGAAATCGTCGAGGACGTTTTGGTCGACAAGTGGCACAAATTACCTGCTTTTGTGACGGATTCTTTGTTAATCACCGAAATTCCGGGGGAAACTGCAGATAAAGTAATTTGTTGTTCCATTGCTTTAGTTGGCTTTTTTTATGACTAACTATATGATTTCAGAAGACGATTGCCTTCTTATCCGACGTTTTATTCTCTGAAGCCGGTTCCAAAAAGTTCAAGTCATGCAGTTTCAAGATCGAATCCGGGGTTCGAGTTGTCTGCTTTTCTACAGTAGGTTCATTCCGGGGTTTACCCATATTTTTAGCGGATGAAAGAGCTCTACAGATGGGAGTTGGAGGATACAATATGGTTTGAAGGATGTGATGAACGCTCTCCTCCCACCGATCATGCGCTCACTTTCTTCTGCACGCGTGGGATTCATGAGCATAAGCAAAAACACAAATTCCTGGGATTCTGCCTTGCTTTCAAGTCCAGAGATGACCTAAAACTCTGGCTCAATTGTGTTCGCATCTGTCAGGGAGAACAAGATTAGAGGATTCTAACTTCACGGTGTTTCCAGCATCTTAACGGGTTACTGTATTTATATCGGCATTCACTCACTTTGTTTATTATTTATGCAGGTTGAATAAATTTCTGTAAACTAAAAGTTATTTCATTTTATTTATCACATTTCTTTATATACAGTAAACTTATCCAGGGTACGTCAATAAAAATGGAGACTTTTTTCATGGATCCTGACGAAAAAGTATTTAAATCTGGCCAAATGATTTTTTTACTATTAAATTTTCAAACATTTACTGTTAAATGTTGCAGCTCTGCAACGCCGCCAAGGGAAGTCACACTTTGAAACAGGTTGGATATATTGTTTCTAGAACTCCATGTTAATGGTAGCGATCGTTACTTTTGTGTCAAATTTCGTTTTAAAAAATATGGCTATTAATATGAAATCCATTTTTCTTGACGCACCCTGTAATATATACACAAAAAATACATTTCATTTAACACACCAAAAGTCTTGATCGGTGGCCAAATTGAAGATCAATTCAAATCCTTGAGGTTTCGGACTGGATTCGTAGAAATGGTAATACATTCCGTCTTTTGTTACCGCCATTAGATCTACTTTGGAAGGAGACACACTCTCGGACAAGAAGGCACATTCGGCAATCTGTTCTGGATGAGGCATTGTAAATTGAAAAGCACTTCGTCGTTCATCTTTCATCATGACATGGTCAATTCTAAATTCAAATAAAATTTAAAACACGGTTCTCTTACATTTTCTTTGTGTTTTTGATAGTATCATCAATTTGGCGAGTCAATGGGAAAACGTGAATGGTACCTTTATCGCTGCAGCAGGCTAGATATGATGATGAAGGGGAGAATCGGAAACTAAACTCTGTACTATACCATGCAAATGATGACCTACCAAAAAAGTTGAACAGCATGAGCACCTCTTCTCAATTCAAATATTTTGGCTTTTGAATGTGTATCAAAGATACGTATTACAGTTCCCTAGAACGTAAAGCTGTTTACTATAAAAATATTCTCACCTTCACACTCCCAGTAGCAATTTTCGTGGCTTGATTATCTATGGCAATCTTGCTGATTGCGCTTTCGTGAGCGAATATGGTGGAGGGAGCAGATGACCTCTTTTGGCTGGCAAATTGTAAATTGACAACCTGAATACTGCCGGGCTTTAAACTTGGGAAAACAAGATATTCATTCTTTGGAGAGGGGCTCAAAGCGACCAGTCCACCAGGATTTTGACCCGTTTCTTCATGCCTGATCAAGGAAAAGTTGGACTCCAGGTTGAAGACATGAATATGTTGGGCTTGTACCACCACTAATCTAAAAAAACCGAATTAACAATGGAGATTACTTACTTTGTTGAAGATATGGCAAGATTTAGAACTGGAGATCCAACGGTTAATTCGGCGATAAATTTTTCCTTGAGGGCATCATATACCATCACTAAAGAATAAAGGACTCAGTCAATGTCTTACCTGTCTTGTTCGAGAACTTCGCTCGCGGTTCGGCTGACACCATGGCAATCAAATTGGAACGTCCGAGTAAAGCCACGCATTTTATTGATCCCACCAAATCAACTTCTACGTTAAGAAAAAATAAGATAAAGAAGCGTAAACAAGATCACTTACTCAAATTCAACAAAGCAACCAACGGTCTACAATTAAAAACCTGAATTCCCTGGTCCGTGGCAACAGCAAAGCAATCTAAAATTATAATTATACCACAAAAAATAAACTGGATTAATATGTTAAACTAGGTAAAAAGTTTAATTACCTTGATAGGAATTGAATACGATTTGCCGTATTTGGGTCATTGATTATATACAAAGAAGACAACAAGAAGACGAGTAAAAAATCAGCTGATTGAAGAAAAATCTTTGGAAAAAAATTGATCTCAACTATTGATTTGTGAGGCGAATCGCCACGAATGTTTAAAGTGATCCGTTGCAGTCGCAGACCTCAAAAACAAATCGGTCAGTGGCTGACGAGCGCAGGTATACAACAAGTTGACCTCAGAATTGATTTAAATGTCCTCAGGTAGGTTGGAGCTGTTTGTCAGTACCAAAATTCAGATTTTGAACTGGAAGATGAAGTCGAGGAAGTCAGGGAGTTGTTGTATGACATTGTAAAGAAGGCTGGGCCCCATGGAATCGAAACCAGCCTACTGGCAAAGGAATATGAGAAACAATTTGTTGATTGCGGCATTGGACAGCCCCTTCCATCAGCTTGGTTGAGGTACATCAAGGTCGCTGATGAATTTGATATGAGAAATGAGGGGGATAAGATATATATCAGTGTCATCCAGCGAGATAATGTACCGTTACAACAAAAAGTAAGACGTCTTTGTTCTTGTAATAATTTTTAGGTGGCATCGATTGTCAAAGAGACCCTCAGTCTTGATGATGAAGAAATTGTGGATCAAGATATAAAACTAAAGCCGCTTCCACTGTCAGGGATGCCGCAATGCAAGACAAAAGTTCATATTCTGGCAGCTACAGATCCCAACAACATTAGTATTCGGTTATGCGCATGGGATCCAATGCCCGACTATTTATATTCAGCCTTGGCAAAAGACTTTTCTGATGAGAGTAAGAAACGAAAGAGGATCAAGACTGTGCAGGGCAGGATATGTGTTGCTAAATTACCCAACGGATCGTGGGAAAGAGTGCAGATTGTTAAACCGAGTGTAACGATGGGTCATAAGGGCTACTGGGTGGTATTCGCAGTTGATGTTGGAGTATTCCACTTGGCACACGAAAAATATCTTCAACCACTTAGCGATAGTGTTTGTGCTTTTGACAAGGTTTTACTCGCCAAATGTGAAGTAAGTTGATTGAAGTATCCAGGGATGTTATAATTACGTATTAGCTGACAGGAATAAAGCCGAATAATGAGACCGGGATCTGGTCCAGGAATGCCCAACAGGCCATTAACAATTGGCTCAGCGAAGTCCAAGGGACAGAGATCGATCTGGAGCCGGTGTCAGAATGGAAAATGTCCAAAGAAGAAGTTCCTGTTGTAAATGCCCGCCTTTCAGTCAATGGTGAAGATCTGGCCAAGAAATTAATTGAAAACGGCTATGCTCAAGCGTCAGAATGAAAACATTTAATATCATCAACAGCAACAAATAACAAAGCACTTAATATTTACTTCTTCCTCTCAAATTTCCATTTGAAACAGGCGGGTTTTTCATTTGTAGCCTTACTTATCAACTTGGGTTTGTCCATCCTATTAGTCATCTGAACGGCTTTCTTCAATTCCAACTTCTGAAGAACAATGTTCAGTTCACGCTCTCTCTTTACTCTCTTATCCAACTCTTCATACATCGCATGACGTTGTTTTTCGATTTCCTAAGTACAAGGTAAATAATATTATTCATGACATACCATGGCCGATGCCTTATCTGCTACTGCAATTGCCTGAGACCTTAACTTCTCTTCTGGAATCCTATTGCTTTTTCTGTCAATCAGGCTCGATGAGATGCCAAAAAGCTTTTCTGTTGTTAATTCAGAAACTAAAAAACTCATTATTCAATTATCACTATCATTTAAAACAATAAAGAATTACCTTCCTGGTCATCCTCGACAAAGAATGTATGTGTATTCCGCTTTGCATTTGAATCCGTCATGTGCAACACCGATTTCAGTTTGTCAATTTTCTAAACACGTTAATTAAATTACTTTCGTACCAATACCTACTTTTCTTTCCAAGGCAAGTTTATGGCGAACATAATTGATATCGGTGACATCATTCAAGAGATTTTGAACAAAACTCTCCTCCGGGTCTGTATGTTTCGCTTCTCTATGAATTCCATCAAACTGAAAAAATAAAAATTCTTATGTCTAACGTACCCCGACTTGGCTGTTAACCATGTGGAAATCAAACTCATCTTGATTCCTCTCCAGAGCTTTGGTCCGTAATTTCTTTAACTTGTTTGACTTTTTCTGGTGAGCTCTGGTCCTTTGTATCCAGTCTTTCTTCTTCTCCAGTAGGCCTAGATGTTTCCGGTCAATCAGCTAAAACACTATGGGCAGTAAGGTCTAAAACTTACTTGACCTCGTTCCCTGTGCTCTCTGCCAACAGCCTTTTGGGCTCTGTTGAACGACATTGTTGTATACAAAGTTAGAGTTGCTAAAAACTTGGAATGATCGCACAATTTTTTTTCCAAAGTCGAAAATGTCCGGGTCGACTGTTCCTCTCTCCCTTGCGTCAACTGTTTTTTACTTTTCGTGTCAGCAGGGGTGGTCAGCGGGCCGGGCCGGCCCGGCCCAAACGGGCCGGCCGGCCTCAAAAATGGAAAATTACAAACGGGCCGGGCCCGTCACGGGCCGGGCCGGGCCGGGCCGCGGGCCTGGGGTTTTTCCGGCCCGGCCCGGCCCGTCTAAATTACAATGCCAAACCGTTGGCATTCATTGTTTTCGCGCCGGGAAAATTAATTGATGTTGTTATAGTTGCTGTTTCTCAAGTTCTAACACGTTTACAAGTCTATAGTTCCATTATAGAACCACAAAACTATCACATTGATCCTTTACTAGCTAGATCAACGCCTTTTTTGCCTCAGTTTAGATCCCGAGCCTGGGCGCAGTTCGCAGAACCCTCTATAGACGGGCCTGGAAAAAGACTAGACGGGCCGGGCCGGTGATTAGACGGGCCGGGCCGCGGGCCGAAAATCGGAAAAATAGGGTCTGCTGACCACCCCTGCGTGTCAGTCACAGTCAGGGGTGGTCAGCGGCACGCCACGAAAAAAGTGGAAATAGAGAAATTCGCGGGAAAATGTTTTCGACATTTCATACGCTGAAACCTTTACAAATAAATAATAAAAATGATCCCAAAGTTCTAACAAAACAACAATTTACGTGTGAAACCAACGAGAAAGCATCGAAAGGCTTTAAGGAGATGCAACCCGAACTTCTCAGATTGATCGAAGAAGAGAAAAGAAATTATATTGTACTAGGCAAAATTGGATCAGAATCGACGAATCTGACCGAATTCGAGCTTTCCGGGGGTAAACAAGACTAGCAGGGCTTTTATATTGCTACAAAACACCCCTACTAAATTGAAATTCATCAAATCTTCTTTATTTCCACCTAAATATCAAACCAACAAGAATAATTAAAATTACATAAGTTTTCGACAATCCATCGAATTTGCCGGATGCAATCTGAACTCGGAATTCCATCTCCACACCCTTTGGTACGTTATGCTGGCCTTCACATTCTACTTCAGCATGGACCGGCTGAAATATCAATTATATTATTTTAGGTAACACCAGAGAAAATTGTTAGCTCAATGGCCTAGAAAAACAAAAAAATCAAAAAGGCAACGTCATAAACTTACCTTGAAATGTTCTGAATCGTCTGCTTCCTTTGATCCAGCTTTCCTCACGCCTTCTCCAGCCCTTTCTCGCATTTCTCCATCAGTCCTGCAAAATGATGCAATTACCCATTGACAAGTGCCCTTTTTCCATTGTCAAATTTCGAGATTTCTTCTTTATAACGTGCAAGGATGTTTTACACAAAAGGATTGGCTAATTTGATCCTAATCTGGATGCAAAAAGAGAAATCTTACATTTTCTGGGACACTATCAGCTGATGCAAAATGATGTATATAATCTATTGACAAGTGCCCTTTTGCTATTGTCAAATTTCCAGATTTCTTCTTTACAACGTCCGCTGGGATGTTTCGCACAAAGCAGATCAACTCCTTTGTCCCTAAACCGGATGAAAAAAGAGAAAACTTACATTTTCTGGAGACGCCATCAGCTACTGCAAAATGATGCATTAATGAACTAGGAAGTGACCTTTTTCAACTACGAAATTTCCTAATTTCTTCTTTAAAACATCCGCTAGGATGTTTCACACAAATGAATTGGCTACGTTGTTCCTAAACCGGATGCAAAAAGAGAAATCTTACCTTTTCTATAGACACATCAATAGCTGGAGAATCATTTTTGTGTCAGAGCGCAATGGGCTGGCCTCCATGAACTCATCCATTATATTCAACACTTGAAACTGACAAAAACGTAATTTTTGACATACTATTCATCTCTAAATTATTCCAACTCTCAGAGTTACAATAATATCTACCACAATATTCATGCGCTCAAAAAAGATTAAAAATATTGGGCGCAGCTCGAAATCTCTATTTCCAATTTTGCCTTACGTTTTTCGTGGCGTGCAGCGGACCCTATTTTTCCGATTTTCGGCCCGCGGCCCGGCCCGTCTAATCACCGGCCCGGCCCGTCTAGTCTTTTTCCAGGCCCGGCCCGGCCCGTGACGGGCCTGGCCCGGCCCGGCCCGGCCCGTGCAGGCCCGTTTATAGAGGGTTCTGCGAACTGCGCCCAAGCTTGGGATCTAAACTTAGGCAAAAAAGGCGTTGATATAGCTAGTAAAGGATCAATGTGATAGTTTTGTGGTTTTATAATGGAACTATAGACTTGTAAACGTTTTAGAACTTGGGAAACAGCAACTATAACAACATCAATTAATTTTCCCGGCGCGAAAACAATGAATGCCAACGGTTTGGCATTGTAATTTAGACGGGCCGGGCCGGGCCGGAAAAACCCCAGGCCCGCGGCCCGGCCCGGCCCGTCACGGGCCGGCCCGGCCCACTGACCACCCCTGGTCACAGTTCGGGTCAACGATACTATGGATCGCGTCGGTTCGTCGTTTATGCATGCGGGAGGCTACGAGAAGCTTATTTAATAGAAATAATAAGATTGATCGGGTCCTACGATGGCTTAACACCTATTTTGAGGTAATTTGCGTGTACTCACATCAATAACATCTAGATAAAAGTTACGGATCTTTGTTTTTTCCGCAAATTTTGGTCTTTTATATGTTACCATAACTCAGGGTAAAGAAAACTAACGTTAGTAATAGCTAAAGTTCCAAAAAGTGGACATATATGGGCGATGATTTTTAAATTTCACGTCCGAACCCTGCAAATTTAGTCCAAAATTAGAAGTTGCGCAATTTGACACAACTTTGAGCATATGATTTTCATTGCTTGACAAGGGAAGTACTTGAAGTGTGACGCTCAGATTTTGATGAAACTTGGCACAAATTTAGAATAATTTTTTCTAAGATATATGCGGGAATCCTAGCTCGCGCTTTGCAGAAACAACCGAGATTTTTAGATCGAAAGTCGGCGAAAATTTGGGACTTTTTGCCGAATTTCGGCACGAAAAGATTCATGCCTATTTCAACCGTAAAGAATAATGTTTCTACAAAAAATCAAATTTTTCCGCACGAAACTGCCAAAGTTATGGCCAAAAAGCGGTTTTCTCTCTGACCGCTCTCCACGTTGAGCGTGCTCTCTCGGCGGCAAAAATCGTTCAATATCTCGGCGGCGCCCGCAAAGCGCGAGCTAAAACTTTCAGGAATTGATATTTAGTCCATACCCGATGTGTGTGCAAAATTTAAAGAAAATCTGAGCGTCACACTTGAAGTACTTCCCCTGTGAGTAGATTTTTGACATCTTCTAAACTATTTATAATATAACTTTTATATATAATGTATGGCGCTAATTACTCCCTCATTTTTCGAGGAATTGGGCCATTCCAATGGCATTAATTTGTTTATTGGGATAACCATGTTCAACAACAACATCTCTAGAACGTTGAAGACCCATATGACGTAGTATTTGCGAGATCAACAAAGGTTTTAGCTCAAAATAGTTGCAATTCCATTACTATAATGTTTACCCTGACTAGAGGATTTGGAAGATGGCCGGAGGGCGTTAAATAGACCTCCAAGTCTGTCATGAGATCGCCGCATATCCTTTTGGGATCTGGCAAGGTTCTGCTCTTTGCCTTTTGTATCCGCACTTTGAGCTCTTTCTACAAATGCATTTTTATTGATCATTTAGGAACTGCTTTACCTCGAGGATGAGAATATTTTGCTACTCCATTTTGCTTTGCACCTTGAGTTTGAGGTCTTTCATTGGCATCTGCTACTTGTTTTTGTTTCTCTTGAAGTCTCGCTGATCGGGCGGAGTCAAAATCAGTATCACTACATTCAGCCTGGGCTATTGGGGCTGCTCTGTAATCAGGCTGAGTGTAATGTTGACTGTGCGGTCGAGAGACGTTTCTTTGGGGGTTTGCTGGTGGTATCTTCCCATTTGATGATGATATAGGTCTTCTGCAATAATATTTCTACTATTTGTTGTTATTTTGGCCGATACTCACATCCGTCTCAGACTCACCTTTTGATTTCATCACTTTTTTCTATGTTTCCCCTCCTTAATGGCTGAGCGGAGTCCACTGGTTTTCTCTCGTGTCCATTGCTGAGCGGTTCGTTGTTATAACTCTTACTTCGAGGGACTTCGTTAATTTCTGGTGGAGTATTGGAGTTGGATCCTCTCCTTTGACGATACTGAATCGGTTTCTGTTCTTCTGGTTTCACATATCCATTAACCTTTTTCTGATTACTCGGTTGTCCATCGTCCTGTGGATAGATGGTTTGTTGGGCTTGAGGTCGAATGGGCTTATCGTGTTGGATTCTTCTGATATGAGTCTTTTTGGATACAATCATGTCATATAATTTGTCCCGGTATTCTTGAACAGTGAGCTGAATGTGATCGGGAAGGGGAAGGGTGACGTCATAATGCAAAGCTGGTTCCTCTGCAGGATTATGGAACTGCAGAACATAAGGATGCACAAGACATTGCTCGACGTTCAATCTTTTGTGAGGAGCGAAGAGAAGGAGTCGGTTAACCAGATCAATGGCATGAGGATTGGGACAATGTAGGAGGATTTCTAGAGGTTTCTTGGGACGTTGAGGCATTTTCTCGAGCACGGATTGGGCATAATGGGAGCCGATACTATCAATGTCGGCCTGAAGAGTGAGGTCCTCTTTGGATATTCCACTTACCTTGCTCGGCTTGTTTATTGAATTCATTATACGCTCTATTTGATTTATGGTCGAACTGCCGGGAAAGAGCGCCCGCCCAAGCAGCATTTCCGCTAAAATGCACCCAAGACTCCACATGTCCACCCCTTTCGTGTATCGTTTTGCAGCCAGCAGAATCTCGGGTGATCTGTACCATCGTGTAGCAACGTATTCCTGCAAATTGCATCAATAAAATCACTGTAAGAGTAGTCTCTTACCGTTAATTCGGGCATATTTTGTCCCTCTGGGTAGTCCTCCAGCTGAAAAAGTAATGGTGAGAATAACAAAGTTAAAATTTAAACGTTTAATTATAATACCATTTATAAACATGATGGTAGAACCCACCTGACTTAAAGATCTGGCCAATCCAAAGTCGGCTAATTTTACGCGACAATCAGCATCCAACAAGACATTCGAAGGCTTCAAATCTCTATGCAAAACATTCCCAGAATGCAAGTATCTTACAGCACGAAACAATTGGCACATTATATATTGTTTGTGTATGTCCTTGAGGATTGTCATCTTTTTTATGACATTGTGCAAATCGGCCTCCATGTATTCGAAGACCAGATAAATGTCCCTATAAAGTTGAATCAGATACAATAAAGGCTTACTTGTCGTTTTCGGCTCGTAGGATGTTGAATAGTTTGACGATATTGGGATGCCGGCCAAACTCTTGAAGGAACATAATCTCACGGAACGTTCTTTGAGCATCGGTCTGGTTCCGGAAGGCGTCAAAGATCTTCTTCAAGGCGACGGTGTCCTTGGTCCTCTTATCTGTCGCCTTCCAAACGATACCATAAGCACCCTTTCCCAGTCGTTTGTGAAGATCGTACTTCTCACGGATCTGTGGCTCCACATCGTCGGACATGACTGTTAACCCTGAAAGGATGATAGTCCTGTCAGTCGGTTTTGCAAGCCCAGCACGCCGTCCGATTATTTCCAAACAATGCGAAGGGGAAAACGGCATTTCTTTCACCTTTTCCGCGCCTGGGGCGTGGTCGAGGCCGACTTTGGATTTTAAAGCGAACCGAGGCCAGGGTCAAGTTGGATGGGCCGGGTTACGCGCCATATTATCATAAAAACTGTTAAAGTTCAAAGAATAACTGAAATTGGGAACGGAATAAATTCTTTGCAGATGACCGGCTCTGGTCCTAATACTCTCTGGCAAAAAAAGGAAATGGGGTTACGGAAATCGCAGCATGAGGTTCTGACAGGAAAATGGTTCTGCAAAAATACATAACAAACGGTAATTATTAGCCGAATATTCCAATTCCCGATCGAGTTTTCCGGTATTAATCCCTGTTTACGTAATGCTAACAGTCCCGAGGAGTTATCGACGTCATTGCCGCTCCAGACTTTTGGATAATTCTAAAGAGAAGCATGCTTGTTGCGATCGAGAGCGAAATAAGAGTTAAACTGAATGTAAACCGAATCTGTCCCCGAGGAGGAATAAGTCAAGTTCATTCGAACGACATTTGGCGAGACAAGCGCGTCGGCCCAACGGATTCCGACTCTCGAATTAGGGCATTACAAAGTCGATCCCCATTTATCATTCATTGGGAAAACAAGGCCCCAAAATCTCCTTAAGGTGTTCCCGGGACTTCTGGCCATCTCCGTCATCCGCGGCCTTCTCGTTCCCAACCTGCTTTCCCTTATAAATACCACTTCGAGGCCTATTTGGCCTCTACGTTGCGTCGCTATAACAACCAAAAAAAGCCACAAAAAAGAGAGCCTCGAGGGATATGGGGTGGGGTGCGCAGACCTGCATTTACTGCAAGCGGGACAGGTGAGTGGGGCCAGTAAGATATATTATGTCCCCATAAGATGGGTTCTGGCATCTGAATGGCCGGTCATACCTCAGGGGAATTAAAATTATCTAAAAATATAAGAAAACTGAATTGCCGACTCATAATGATGATAAAATAAAGTAAAGAAAATACGGAGATGCACAAGATATTATGAAGAGAATGATTTACAAGGAAAGTAGCCCAAGTGTTATTCTCAGATTTCCTTCACATTTTGCGCACATGCCAGGCAACCTATCAATTGATGAAAGTCTTTGCTCGCGTTTTGCAGAAAAATCTAACGAGCCGAGAGAGTAGTCACATAGAAAACACTTTTTGGCCGTTCTTTGCCAGTTTCATGCGGAGAAAAACTGATCTTTTTTGTAGTCGCCTTCTCTGGCAGAATCAGGAATAAAACTTTTCACGCCAAAATTCGCAAAAAAGTCACATTTTTGACGACTTTCGATCTAAAAGTCTCTTGTGAAAATTTATCATACATCTTGCAAAAAATTAGTCTAAATTTGTGCAAAGTTTCATCAAAATTGGGGTACTTCTCCTACAAGATCTTATTGTACTTGGAAAATATCAAATTTTGGTTTAAAGTGGATTGTCAAGTTGTTCAAACCAGTTTGGATCGAACGAGATGCGAAGATCGATGATGGACATGGTAATTACTGACGACTTGGGATTAATTACTTTTGTATTTGCATTTGTTTTATTCAGTTTTGATTTGACAACCCCGAAGTGGGATCCGTCTCTTTTTTTTATTGCCTTCTCCGATGACGATGACACAAGTGATGAAACCATCGCCCGCGATGCCGAACGGACCCTTCTTTCCAATTAAACGGGTCACGGCTTTACAGGGCGAGGGCATCTGGAAACGATGACAAAAGGGCTTGTAATTAGACGGAGGCTAACCCACATTTCATGCCATTATGCATATTTTTATTGAAAAAAGAAGCCCGGATTTATGTCATCCAACCTTTCTCCGAGCGAAACTTCTGGCGTCAATGTTTTTTGACATCTTTGAAGGTGCGGTAAAAATTGGTTTCAACATATGAAAATTTTTTTAATGACTAGTCGTATTACTGTAATAGATTTGAATCTTTTTTACAAACGGGGTTGTCGGTTGGTTTCATGTTTATGAAGCCTTGTTATACTGAATGCAACAGCAAATTTTTGCCGCACTTGTCACAAGACTAGGCTTTGCCTAGGCCATTCCAAAAAAAATCCAAAATATCCCGCTTTCTCGCAGTAAACATAAACATCGTGTAATTTCGGAGTTGCAGCAGATATCGTGATGATAAGTGAGCTCCACCCCTCCCTCAATCCTCCTTCCCTCTTTGGCGCCGCCGGTTTTCTTGAAACCATCTTCCTTTAGCCGCTGGCATTTTGCGCGCAAGGTTCTAGATGACCCTTCGAACTCGATGACAGATCTCGGGTTGGGTCTCGCGATCACCCTTTTCCCGGCGCTCTGAGACGTTTTTTCCGTGGATGTTAACCTTGAGTCGCGTAATTACTTAATCTTTTTTCTGTTTCAGATGGGGGTTTTTTTCCGAACTCGGATCCCGGGACTTCTGATATTTGCATATTACATCAGTTTGCTGTCATCTGCAGATCCCACGAAAGGTAAATTTGCCGCTCATTCCTTAAAAGTTTTGTTGATGGATGGTGATCTTGGGGGAGATAAGAGTGACATGGAGTTTACCGCATTCTTCGCCCTTAATTTGACCCGACAAACCGAGATGAGGTTCGAAATGAAATTCAGGATCCGTTTTTACCCTTTCTGAAGGGATAATGGCAGGGCTCTCCTTTCCTTCGCCTTCCCTCAGAGTAATGATCTTAATGAGCACATTTAAGTAAATCTCCTGAGGGAAAGTCCGGTCTCGCGGCTGGTTTGCACTTTGTTTGTACAACCTCAAAATCCAGTGATCCGACACTTTCTCTCCTCGGTTCTTCGAGGATGGGAATACTTTCGCCATTCTCAGAAATCAAATAAATTAGATTCGAATCAAGGGAAAACACACATCGGCTTCCAAATTTATTAGATGGGGTCACCAATTCTCAGGGAAAGCGGAAGAATGTCAGCGAGTCAGTTAAAAACATTACTTACTCCTCCGTGGGAGGTTTATAGAGCTAAGTCACCAACATCCAATTTTCCTTAAATTTTGGAAAAAATAAGATCATTTAGATCGAATACGGCTGCGACGACAATTTAATGGCCACGGACCCCAGATTGACCTAAACATTACGGTGCCCTATATATTCAGTGCTCGTTTATATCCCTATGGACAATCGAAGGGAGATCACATCACACAATTAGATCCTCAACCAATAGACCTTCATACTCCATTAAAATTGTTTGGACGAAATTATGAGACATTGCTCATCCATAAAGATGGATACCTAAGTCTTTCCCCATCCAGTAACTTCTTTCCCACTGATAACGAACGACCAGTTATTGCATTGTTTTGGATGCCGTCAAAAGGCGGAAGGGTGTATTTTAGAGAGACTACGGAAACTTCCATTCTGTCATTGGTGCAAAACGAAGTTAATATTCAATATCGGTATGGAAAAGAATTTAAACCGAGTTCTGTGCTAATCGTAACTTGGGAAGGGACGTTTAGTGTGGCCGATGAGGTAAAATACGATTCAAAAATTATCAATTCTAAATTGTAGAGAACAGAAGGGAATATTTTCCAAGTTGCCATTGTTCTCTCTAATCAAGGTACCTTTGCACATTTTGTTTACAGCAGACTGGTATCCAACAACAACGCCGCTGTAAGTGGTTTAAAGTTTATTTTTATCATCATCAATTTCAATAAGAATTTATTGTTTTTTAGGCCGGCTTCAGCGGTTCTCCCTTTACAGAAGCTCATTTTTATCTTCCCGGTTCTGGCACTCCAACATCATCACATCTGGTTGAGAAATCGAATATTGGAATTCCAGGAGAATGGCTCTTCAGAATCGATGACTCCCAGATATATTTGTGTGGAGCCGGCTTCAAAGGGCTCGAATGTGTGGATTCCTGTAGTCCCAATCAATGGTATCTGGACTGTTCTCGGGAATGTCATTGCCATTCTGGAGTGGCTTGTAATACCGAGACTGGTGTCTGTCCCAATAATCAATGCAGTCCTGGTTGGACAAATGCTCCGAGATGTGATGAGGATGTGGATGAATGTCTCGACTCTCTCCATATTTGTCCCGAGGAGCAGCCTGATTGTGTGAACACAGCCGGATCTTATCTATGTCTATGTTTTGAATACGATAACACAACAAACTCCTGCCGATCTAAACAAAGCGGTAATCGGATTCCGACGGAGAAGATCCCGGTCTCAGTCATGCCACTGGTCCCTCAAATTGCCCAGAAGGCCACGCCGAAACAGTCGATTAAGTCGAGGGATTCGTTGACAACTTCATTCTCCGTAGATTCCTTTGGCCCATCAATGACATCAGTGTCCCAATTGCAGACTATTGCTCCCATATTTGCTCAAACAGATCATCCGTTGACAATCCAGCCAGTGTTGGGCACAAGGGCGAGATCCCCATCAAGTTCAACTACCCTGATTACCCCTCCACCAGCACCCATTTGCCCTCAATGTGATCAGAATGGTCATTGTGAAGGGAATGAATGTGTCTGCAACACTGGATGGACTGGAAATGGAATTGTAAGGATGATTATTGATCATAGACGTCAAGAAATTCTTTTCAGGAATGCATCGATCTCAATGAGTGTGCTCAAGATGGCATCTGTGGAGCCAATGCTCTGTGCCAAAATACCCTAGGATCATACCAATGTGTTTGTGACGTGGGATTTGTGGCCACAGGGCAAGGATGCGTAGATTTGGATGAATGCTCGGAGGGATTGGTGACTTGTAGAGGGGGAGTTACAGCCAGATGTGTCAATAAACCAGGAGGGTTTGAATGTCAATGTGCTCCAGGGTACACTGGCTCGCCTGAGGGTCCTCAAGGTTGTCAAGGTGAGCAATATTGCGACAATTTAGTAATCATTACATCATCTCCACTAAATGAAATTCTTCTAAAACCAATGACTAAACTTTCAGACATCAATGAATGTGACACCCCTGAACTCTACTGTGGAAATAAGGCCAAATGTAAAAACAATCCGGGTTCGTACTCTTGCGAATGCTTCGAGGGATACGAAAAAGCTCACAATTCGACGACATGCGTGGACATAAACGAATGCCTTTTAAGCCCATGTGATTCATCAGCTGTTTGTACTAACCTGGATGGCACATTTCAATGTAAATGTGTTGATGGATTCGTTGGAAACGGAATTGAATGTAGAGGTAATCTTAGGAGTCATAATGTCATCATTTTGTAGAAACAATTCTATTCCCCACTGGAAGACAGACTTCGGCTTTGCCTCAAACGGATAATGCAGTCATGCCTTATCGACTGGAACAACCACTTAAGGTGTTCGGAAAGGAATTCGAAGTGGTTTTTGTAGGTTTCAACAACCATCCGGCCATACAAAATATATTCAGATATCAGCCAACGGACTTGTGAGCTTTGATCGGGCTTTCAGTGAGCCTGTTCTGAACCCGGAGTCATTGAGATCTATTGTTTTTTATCCGCTGCACGACTCATACAAGTCAAAGCCCGAGAGTTCTGTCACCTTTAAAGAAATAACTGGTATGAAAATATTAAACGTCATGGTTTAAACATTCAATTTCAGAATCCGACGCTACAAACTACGGTCTCTTAAGCCGAGCATCTCTTCTGGTCCAGAATAAATTCAATATGCTCAGGTTTCATGCTAATCGTTTATTGGTCGTGACCTACGAAAAACTGTCGGTTTTAAATTCTTTCAACCAAAATACTTTCCAACTTGTGATTGCGCAATCGAATGACGCATCATTTGTCATCTATCTCTATGAGAATGTCGATGAGGACAGTAACTCAGCGATTGTTGGCTTCTCTTATCCCAATGGTATGGTCTCAGTCCCCGCCAAAACAATCGCCAAGACCTCTAACGTAGGACAGAAGGGGAAATGGATCTGGAAGATCGATAATCCCCACAGAATCGAGAATTGCCCGGCAGGAAAAAGGGAGCCCCCTTTCTGCGAAGATGGTAAGTGATAATGAAAATTTGTACAGTATGTTAGCCTTCATTAAACAAAATATTTTTTTAAAGACTGTACCCCAGGACGATGGGGATTCTCTTGCGAAAAAAAATGCAAATGTGCCGACGGAATGCCCTGCGATTTTGGAAGTGGATTTTGTGCAAATGGAAAGTGCGCTTCAGGGTTTGAAGGTCCGAGTTGCGGAAACGGTAAGTCCAGGATATTTGGTCTTCTAATCACTGTATGTAGATATTGATGAATGTCAAAGAGAAATACACAATTGTCATGTCGACGCTGTTTGCACAAATACATATGGCTCTTTCACTTGTAAATGTCGTCCTTTGTTTGCCGGAGACGGTGTGTCTGTTTGCAAAGGTATGTTGTTCATAATTTGTGTACGTCACACATCAATATAACGGTGGTCATCATATAAGTTCTGGAATTTTTTTCGAAATCACAATTTTCGGTGCACAAAAAAGTCGACTCGGAAATTGAAAAATCGGCGTCGACTTAAGCTGGTCTAGCATTTGGCGGGGTACACCAACCTTGAATTTTGTCCATTTTATGGACCATCCTTTATGTACCCACCGGTATATGAATATCGTAATAATCAATTTTTTCAGAGATCGATGAATGTTTCAAACGCTTCAACAAGAGTTGTGCCCCCCACAGTCGATGTGATACCACAAATCCCGATTACCCGGAATGTGTGTGCATAGACAGATATCACGGAGATGGAAGACGACTGTGTCAGCCAGATCTAACAACCACTACTCCATTATCCACATTACCAACGACTACTACTGTAGTGCCAAAAATCATCGTTCCCAAAGAATCAGAGGAAGACATACCATTCAACATGAGGACATGGACCTCAGTAGAGAGTAAGGCGGAAGTTACTCAGCCTATTAAGACAACTGAGGCTACAACAACTAAGAAGATACCACAACGACCCAAAGTAGACGTGGCCAAAGATTATGATGACACGGATAATGATATCACGGTCGGATCCAAATTGGAGGATACGATAGAAACATCAAGTAGTAAGTGATTAAATATTATAAATCCAACCGACCTTGTTCTAGTACTCTTCCTGATCGTCCCAGGTGTAGTAGTCGGAGTGTGGCTAGTTCTGGTGATGGTCGTCCTAGTCCAGTGTTGTCGAAGGCGGAGGAATGTCCGCCTAACCAAATATTCGCCGCAAATGATGAGCTATGGCCAACATGGCGCCAATACAACGTCATCATATTTCGGACCCAATCTCAATTGACCTCAGATGTTTGTAAATTGTCGTTGTACTTATTATATCGTTAATAAAAGGCACAAAACTGACCTCGCCCTCATTCCTAGCGCCACCTCGTCGGAGATCAGATCACTGGAGGGCATCTCCTCGTTAATTCGGGCCTCCGCACCGCCAAACGATGAGACCCTTTTTATTTTCTTACCTCAGACTATGCCATCGACATGTTCCCAGAATTTCCTTGTTATTCCAAAACCAATGTTTTCGTCTGCTCTTAATTCTAGCTGGGGTACTACTAGGGGCTTCAATGTGGTACAGGACGACAAACTTATGGACTCTAAAGAACATGGCCGATAATTTTATCGGAAAAGCACATTTAAGAAGGGAGATTGTGATAGGGGCATTCCATCGACTAACAGAAGAGCAGAATATCAGGGGAAATTATGTTGTAAGTGGCGATGCCCTCACGCTTACTTATTATATTGTTTAGATAATCCAATTCATCGGGGATACTCTCATTCCCCATGATCTCTATTGTACTAGCTACAACAAAAATGGTGATAAACATACCTCGAGGGCTTTAATTCAAAGGATCCACCAAGGAAAACGAGGGGCCAATAATGTTTGTGCATGGGCAGGACATCTGGCAGAATGCGAAGTTATATCCTCAAATCTGGAGACGGTCAGGTATGGCACTCTGAATTCTATAAGTCGTTTTTTAGCCTCTCTACAATACCCTCTCCCGATCAGAATGAACAACTTCCCATTTCAATAGAAAAAGTTCACAAAGAGGCTAAAAAGCATAAACTAGTCGTATGTGTGGCTCCAATGTATATCTACACCGACTGGAAGATCATGGTTACCGGAATTGAAACCTGGTTAGCGTTGGGGGCCACTAAACTGGTATTCCCAATTCAATCAATCTCGAGGACGTCAATGGAAATCCTGAGAAGATATGAGCTTAAAGGGATTGTCATCACCCGACCTTGGCCTAAATGGCCAGTTCTGTCAGACACTAACCCCAATGGACTTGTCTTATCCCGAGGGATCGAGGAATCTCATGTTAATTGCCTTCATTTCGTTAAATCTTTTGCTGAAATGGTCGCATTCACTGACATTGATGACATGCTTATTCCCCCAGAGCCGTCGAAAGTTACTCCAGGAATAAACGTTGGACTTTTAGAGGTAAAAAGAATCAACAGTAAACGTAATAGTACTTTAGGGATTATTCAAAGAGCATCCGCAAGCCGGCTCTCTGCTCTTCGAACACCGTGATGTGCAATTTGTTTTACCCGAAGAGAAAGCAAATGAGACTTTAAGGTCATTCAACTTCCGTTTTCTACATAATACGAAATGGAAACAAAATTGTTTTATCTGGAGGATGAAAACTAGAGTGGTAGTGAATGCAAGTAAGTATAGGATTTAGAAAAACTTTCTAGTGATGACTATAAAATTCAAAAAAATTTCTTAAGGTCGTGTGGACACTGTTAACATGCATGAAACCGGGATCCATCGACTTGGCTATGTTCAGATCAGGGTACCCTGTCGAAAAGGACATTTCTATCATTTGAGGCATTCCTACAAAAACATGGCCTCAAATCAATGGAAACTGGATATGAATCCCTTGTCGAACATGCTAGATAACCAATGGCAACGAAGGTTAACAGACACTTTCCACGATCTCTCAAATATTACATTAGAACAGTCCTCGATTGATTCGTTCGAGGACCTAGATCAATGTGTAATGAAGGTCACAGAAGAGCATTTTACTCTTAGGGTGTCCAGATGTATGACTCCTCATGTCTGTTTCACTCGGAAAGCCACGTAAGATAACGAATAGAAAGAGGTATCTGAGATCTTTACAGAAACAGCACATGTGTAGCGGCAGATGCAAACTACGGATTTGCACGATCGGGAGAAGACTTCATTATAGCGCCATTAAATACACAACTAGTAAACAGTGCCAGCAATTGCGACGCGCCAATGCCCAAGTTTACCTCCGGTTCTCATTTTTACTTACCGTAATTGGTATGAATAGATGGTATACATTAGGTGTAAAGATAGCAGAATCGAAAGTTCAAACATGGAGAATAAACCAAGCAAAAAAATTCAACAATCCATTAAGATTTTGTATTGTGGATTACTGTAACGTTACAGTAATCTGTAACCCAACAAAAATATTTATCCCGTTCAACGGGAAGACTTGACACATAAATAGAACGAGTCAAGTGTTTCCCTTCGTTATCATGCACACACGCTCATGCTCAATCTCCCTTGCACCTTTTTGTGCTGCACATTGTGGAATTCTTTTTTGACTTTATGCACAACCATTAAATACTATTTTGTTTTTATCAGTTTAAAATTTTGCGACCGGTTTTTAGTGGAATCTTTTGGCCAAAAAATACTAAGAACTTGTTTTTTGTTTCCTAGAATAAAGTGCGAAGATGTTTATGGGACTATCAGATGGCATTATGACTCTATTTTTCTAGATATATGTGACACTATGTGCATTGCCGCTAATAATTTTTGAAGTGAGATAAGAAAAATCTTTGAAAAACCTATTCTCGAAACATTTACATTACTGGCTACTTTTGTTTGTTTTTTACTTCATCGGAGTTTACTGCTTAGCTATTCGTTGCATTTCATACCTTTTGAATGACTCAGCGATTCTTTTTGGTCTTTCCTCCGATGTTTAATTCTTGTTTTTCAGAGTTTTCTTAATCTCCAGTGGAAGATTTTAGAAGGGAATGAGTCGAAGCGCTCTCGTGGCCGATGACCGAGAGACATTTGTAAAATCACAAGTGAGTGTTTTGTTATTTATTTATTTTTAGGACGTTTGAATCGAGAATCCGAAGTTTAATACCTAAAAAGTTCAGATAATCGCTGTGCAAAAAGTTTTGAACAAGGCCGAGGCCCCGCTGAAGCAGAAACATGTTCGATCCCTTATTGTGGGTACCCACAAAGAGCGGTCTGCTTCTTTATTCTGGAGCACAGTTTCCAGAATTCCATTGGAAAAGAGTCCGATAATAACGTGGAAGTTCTGCAATCTCCTCCACAAACTGATACGTGATGGCCATCGAAAAGTTCCAGATGACTGCGCTCGTCATATCAGCAAACTGGTACATCTGGGAAACTTTTGGCAGCATCTTCGAGCCAGTGGTTACGGGAATGCGGACGCCGTTTATTGTAGATTACTAACGAAAAGGCTACAATTCCATCAGAAAGTAAGGCTCGAAAATAATTTTACTGCATTGTTGTAGTATCCTCAAATCCCTGGGAGCGTCCAGTTAACAGAACAACAAATAAACACGATCAGTTCAGATATGAATCTCAGCTTCGAGCTTGGAATTGATCTTCTGGATCAACTCGACGAACTTCTTGGCTTTCGGAATGCAGGTATGTAATTGTTTTGCTTACGATTATTTTATTTTAGTGACAACCTTGGTCGATGGATACCGATGGACGTCTATGGTTCCACAATGCCAATGTTTACTGGCCCCGTTGATCTTGGTTGTATTAGACACATCTTTATTTTACGATATCTTGGTTAAGATCATCTTCAAATTGCACAGTGAATTACCGGAGGATGTATTGATGGGTCATAGACAGCGATTTATGACTACGTTTAAGAAGCTCAAGGAGTTTTACGAGGCTGCGTCAAATCTTCAGTATTTTAGGTACCTAGTCTCGGTACCAACTTTACCAGCTGTAAGTCGTCTTAAAAGTTTATATCTCTTTTCAGAATCCTCCAAACTTCTTACAATCTTCTGATCTGGATACTTACCGCACTCCTCATGCTTACCTTCGAGATGAAAATGGGTCTGACGGAACTGAAACACCACCTGATGCTCAATCAGTTCAGGAAGAAAGCAATTTAATCATAGATCTCGATATCCCCGAGACGTCTTCTCATGTTCAAAGCAATTTAGGAGTGTCGCCGACAAGAGAATTAGAGCAGTGGGTTTAAAATTATGTTTAATTGAAATCATGTTCAATTTTAGAATGCAAATGATGGAGAAGATGGCAGAGTTGAGAAGAGCCTTAGAAAGTGAAATGAAAGCAAAAGATGACATTGTGCTTGAAGCAAGGAGCAGAATTGAGCAGTATGAAGCGAGGTTGGTCGAGATGAAGGAAGAAAGCGACGCCTACAAAGAACAATCAGAGCAGCTTACTGTTCAACTTCAACAACTCAAAGATACTGCAAATGCGACTGAACAACAGGCTGAAATACAACGACAGACCGAAGAAAAAGCAGCTGAATTTGAAAGAAAATATACCAAATTGAAGACAGCTTATGAGACTTTCAGAGGAGAACATATACAGGCATTAACTGAGCTCCGAGATCTCCGTAAATTCAAAACCGAGAGATCTTCGGAGATTGACGAACTGAAAGTTGAATTGGAAAATGAAAGGAGAAAGGCAGATGAAGGGATTCAGAGGAGTTCCGATGCCGTACAGGAACTTAATCAACAGTTACAGCAATTGAACATTGATCTACAGAATCAGAAGAACGAAGAAGTGGACAAACAGCTGAGTAAGTACTTGTTTGAATATTTTTATTTTTTAGGGGTCATTTCGGAATCAGCGGAGGGAATTCTTTCCCATTGCAGAGAAGAGCTCCAGAACTCTTCCACGATTTCTTATCCGCCGCATCTGGCTGAGGCTGAACTCAAATTTGCGCAGAATAGTCTTCAACAACTGCATGACTGTGCAAAAGGAGGTGCATTTGATGAAAGATTCAGGAGAGAAGCCATTTTATTTCTGCACTACCTATGCAATTCACTCGTTCCATGTGCGGCTGCAGCCTACACATCCAGCATCGAACATTATGAACGTAAGTCCGCTCGGTATCGTAGTCGTATTGAAATATTCGCGCCCTTGGCCCAAAAATATTATGGGCCCGAACTTTCGCTGCCCACCGAAAAATCGCAGTGCCGAAGTATTTTTTTTTCTTTCAGCAGTCTTAAATGTGTGTAAGAATGTTGTAACAGAAGTGTCGACTGCGTATGAAGAGCTCAGCAAGGACAAGATGTCTCAACTCGCTTCTCAACAACTCCCAAAAGTGATTGATCTTTTGAATAACCTAGAAGATATGATTGTCGCTCTTCCAACGTCATCTGGCGACATTGATCTAGAAGTTGTGGGGGTACAATTACAAGAAGAAATGGAAAGAATGAACAACGCCATCAAACAAGCGGCCGAGAGGATGAAGGAACTGCAAGAAAAATCGAAATCCAAGAATACAGGCACCAGACTGGCTGTTAATGATAAGATCCTCGACCATTGTAACCAACTGATGGCTGCGGTTTATGAATTGGTTGAGAAATCTAGAGATCTTCAACAAGAGATCGTGGATTCTGGTAGGGGATCGGCTTCCCCGAATGAGTTCTATAAAAGAAATCACCAGTGGACCAAAGGTTTATTATCGGCCGCTCAAGCTGTTGGAGTGGCTGCATTAGAACTAATGTAGGTATAAATCGTCTACACAAGTTATTCGTTTTTTAGGAATTCCGCTGACAAGGTTGTTCTCAATGAAGGGAAACTGGAATATTTGATGGTTTCGGCCCAAGAAATCTCGGCCAGTGTCGCTCAATTGTTCGTTTCATCTCGGGTAAAGGCTGACAGAGAGTCGGAGAAGATGACGAAACTTGGCAAAGCCTCAAAACGAGTCAACGAATGCACTGGAGCTGTGTTGGCTGCTGTGAAAGATGGCAAGCAAACACTGGAGGAAGAACGTAAGATATTGTTGCCTATTACTACCAGAATATAAGCGAGTATATTAGAATTTATATTTTTTAGAACTATTCGACTTCTCTCATTATTCCTTGCACGATGCTAAGAAAGCGGAGATGGAATCGCAAGTGAGAGCACTCGAATTAGAGAGTCTTCTTAGTCAGGAACGATCCAAGCTCGCCAATCTCAGGAAACAGCATTACCACATGGCGGCTCTGGTTGATAATGAAAATACGTCTTAATCTCTTATGCAAAATTATTTACTTTCTAGTCACTTGGTCTTTTTTACTTTTCTTAACTTGTACCATTCCTCCCGAGTATCTTAACGCTTGAAAATATTATATTTATCATGTAAATTGTTAGAATAAATGGATCTTCCAGCTTAAATGATTACAAAGTTCAGTAAAAATTTGAACTAAGTGATTCAATGGCCATGGTTTTTGCGTAAATCAGGTTTTAAAAAACCTCTTATGGCCTCTAGAGGCCTCTGGATAAAACAAAGGTTTGCAAAGTTTGTGCACAAACCTTTTTTTCTAGCGGAACAGTTGACATAATAGTATGTGCCAACTTTTTCTCTCTCCATGAATCGGTGAATTTTTTTATAGATTTTTCCAAAACACAGTTCTCTCAATTTTATTGAATGCGTGTTTAATTATGACTAATTAATGGTGCATTATTATCTTCCAGGTTTGTTTAATGGAACGTCGTTGAAGAAAAATGGAATCGACTCAGGAAAGAGTCAGAACCTCCGTGGATCAGTTGGTCGATGAGCTGGACAAGAAATACCTTCGCGATATTCAGAGGAAGATGTTTTTATGTTCGTCGAAGTGTTGTGAGAACAAGAACGTATCAAGAGATCGGTTGGACACCTGCATTGAGAAATGTAATAGAGGAACGGAGAAGGCTCAAGATGCCATTGATAAAGAACTAGGATTATTACAGCAGAACTTGACCGCGTGCCTGCCTTCTTGCCACGATAGAGTCGTGCAGAAACTAGGACTAGACTTGGAGAAGGTGGATGAACGGCAGTTAAAGCAATTTAAGCAGCATTTATATGATTGTGTAGATAAGTGTTCCAATGAACAACTCAAGACTTTACCTCAGATACGTGATAGGATTCTAAAGTCCCTGTCTAAATAAAACCTGCCTCAATTTCTTTATATGGGTATTATATGTTTTGTTTTTGTTGACCAACTTTATATGTTACACTTCATAAACACATTACTTATGCTTTTGATTTGACTTGTTCATGTTAAGACATTTGAATATCTTTGATTTTTTGCGACTTCAATTAGTATTATTTTTGATTTAAATTTTAGGTATTTTGATGTCAATCAGAGAAACGAATCCTTCGACTCTATGAATCTACTGTCGCTAATATTATTTTCATGGATTTCTCCTTTAACTGGCGGAGTTTCATTAACAATTGGAGATGACCATGTGCCTGATCCACAGTTAGGCCGAATATGTGCGTATGGTGACGTAAACAAAGACAGATACACTGATTTAATCGTCCAGAAGTCAGAAAAACTTGTGTTCTTGTTACAGTCCGAGGAAGGAAAATTTAAATCAAGTCAGAGGCATGGACCCATTGATCTCAATGTCAAGAAAGATGTGTTTTGCGCTACGGGGGATTTCAACGGGGATGCCGCTTTGGATGTTATGGTTATAACTGTGAGTTTAAGTAGTTTGATAACCGGAGAAAAGGACCCAGTTTGAAAAATAGTGTAAAATATTTGATGATGTTGTCATACGTCAATGTAAGAGTAAAAAGGTAAATTTAGGTGTATATTGTATCCAAAAGGCCTGATATAAGAACTTTAGGAGAGAGGCGATATTTACATGTATGCTTTAATGTAAGTGTAATCTTTGGAAAGAGTTAAATTCTGATGTAAGCCTGTTAGAAGTGAAGTCTTCAAAACTATTTATAAAAATTTGGTCAGGGATTCTCAGGGATTGGGTCTTTTTCTCTGGAAGCGTAGTAGTTATGTTTAACTTCATTTTTATTTAGCCAAATGGAGACGGGGAGGATTTTGATGTTGTTGTTTACCTAAACCGTGAAGGGTCATTCCAAATGTTGCCCAATCCTATCACTCAGAAGTTTGTTGAGCCACCTGCTGTTATGGATGTAAATGGGGATGGAATATCTGATATATTGGGGATGGTCAAGAAGTCTGGTGATGTCCATTACTCTTTACATTGTTTGTCGGGAAGTCGTTCTGCAACTTTCGAAGAGTGCCAGAATAAATTCCGCGGCGGAGATTTCTCTCCGGGACCGTATCCATATTTCCCTCATATCTTCGTTGATTTGGACGGAGATCTCAGTGCCGAAATTGTTTTTGGAATGAAGAATTCGAAGGTGCCTCTCAAGTTTATGGTCTTCAAGAGAATGGGAAGGTAGATATAATTTTGTTTTATACGATTTCTTTCCTTAGTTCCCAATGGAATGTGAAGAGCGACTTGGTCCCAGATCTTCCAGACAGCCCAGAACTGCAAGAGTTTGCTGCTCCTCTCATTGCTGACTTCAATTCGGATTCGAAGATTGATATTGTACTTCCCGTGTGTCGCGCAAAGAATGATTGTACCCACATTGATAAGTTCTTGGTTTGGTTTGATGGAATGGTCAAATGGGAGCAATTCCAGATGGATATGAAAGAACTGGCGTTTGTCGTCGAACCAAACTCGAAGACTGTCTTCAGAGTTGGGGAATTCAAATTGGACGGGTATCCGGACTTAATTGCCACTTCTGTTTATACTAACAACAGGAAGACCGAGACCAGAGCGCCCCTGATTGTTTCAAATGAACCAGGAGATGGAAACTTTTCTAGGTATGTTGTTACGTCATGTTTTTTTTATGTTTTTAGGAAGTTTGAATTCAATCTTCAAAAAGATCTTCACCTTGTACTCCCCGAGGCCATCGCTGGTGCTAATATCTCTGCCAGTTCCTTCTTTGACCTGAAAGAAGATGGAAATCTCGACGTTCTTGTGGAATATAAGGACAAACATGTTGGTGGAACGATGATTGATTTTATCAAATGTGATGACAAAGGGGATACCACCTTCCTCAAGGTCCAAATCTTTTCCAATGTTTGTTCGAATGACTGTCCTGGGACTCCAAGCAGTGATAGCGGTAAGCTTTGTAATGGTTTGGGGATTATATTCTTGCAGGGAGCGGCATTGCATGGAGTGGGGCTTGTGTGTCTTACTCAATGGATACTTCTTATGGTCGTCCTCAAGTCGCGGTCCAGTGTCAGCTTCCTCAGACTACATACCGCACTCTTCATGCTCCCTTTGTGTTATTTGGACTTGGTCGATCCCCTAATTTTGTGGATATTGTGACATTGGGAAGTCCCCGGGATCCAGAAAGGAAGGAGAATCAGCAACATATCCTCAAACAGATCGTTCCGAACAGTCGGGTAATTGTGGTTCCTCCAGAAAGAGACGAAGCTCATTGGCAGAGTCGTCTATATCTGACCCCGAGCACTCTGATTATCCAATCTCTGATGGTTCAAGTGACCGTATGTCTGATTTTGCTCGGTCTTGTTGTTGGTCTCCATATGAGAGAACGTCGGCATGATCGTCGGGAAAGGCAGTCACAGTCACATCGCTTCCACTTTGACGCTATGTAAAGAAGCGTTCGGAATATGGGTATAAACTTTTACTGCTGGGTCTTCTGTCATTGTAATATACGTTGTGCTAATTCTAGTGTGGATAACATGTACATCTACCGGTTTCTTTAGTAATCTTTCTATATCGTTAATGTGTTATTTTCCCAAATCTGTCGGCTTTAATTTTTCACATGTTAAATAAAAAAATAAATTCTGATATCTAAACGAGGTAACGGTATATTGACGTTTAAACGCAATGTCTTACTGTAAGGGTCCCTTTTTTGCTAGGAGGAATATCCAGTTAAGGGTAACATGGCTCGACGTCTTTATGTGGTCCGACATGCTGAAAGGGAAGATAATGTTAATCATAATTGGAGAAAAAAATACCCGGGGTTCACAGAAGATAACACTCCTCTGAGCGATCGTGGAAGAAGTCAAGCCAATGAACTCAAGGAGTTGTAAGTTTCTTTTTGTTGCATCGAAAATATTATAGCTTTCGTGATATCGAGATCTCAAATATTTATGTTTCCCCATTCGATCGGACGATGGAGACAGCCACGATATTGTTGGACGGGCATGAAAATAAAATCAACGTGGAACCGGGAATTTGCGAGGTAAATTTATTATATGAGTTTATTTCTTATCTTATTGTTAGGCTTTATATCTATGCGAAAAACCCGCTGGCTTCTGGGGAGTAGAGAAGCTAAAGGAGAAGTTTACAAGGGTAGATCTCGCATATTGTCCCGCCTTCTCACATCCAATGCCCGAAGAAGGTTGTGGGGATTCGGCTTGTACTCCCAGGGTCAGGAAAACAATAGAACATATACTAGACCTCAATCCTGGCTCAGGTAAATTGAAATTCTATGCTCAAGTAATGGATCCATTTGTAGGAAATATAGTGTTGGTTGGGCACGGTGCATCGATTGGCGGTGTCCATTCAGCTTTAGGACACGGCTTCCAATACGTTGGACAAGCTACCGTATCCATATTTGATGAGACGGCGCCGAATTCAAGGAAGTTTAAACTGGTTGAGAGCAGTGGGGCCTCTCATCTTTCGCCCTCTAACCGAAAAAATCTAAGAGCTTATTAGGAAGAGAATTACTTTAATAAAAATACTATCTATTTTTATAAATTGGAGTCAGAATATCCTTTGAGTATACAGTTTTCAGTGGTTTCAACATATTGAAAAGCGATGAAACTAAGTCTTTTATTACAAGGCGGGGTATTTGCATGTCTATCTTCCGGTGAGACAAGCGTGGGAGGGGAAGGAATTTGTTTTATCTCTTTATTTATATTCTCTGATCGGATGCTGATTGTTGATCGTGGGGATGGGATTCCTCTCAAGGCCACTTCTTCTGGCCATACTACTGTCGCTGCTCCATATAACAATATCAGAGGAGTCCGTTAAGAAACAATGCTCGTTTTATTGTTTCACATTTCCCCAAAAGGTAATTTTGTTTATTTTTCTTTGTAACACTGATCTTCAATTTTTTTTAGGACGAAACTATCGCTTCTTTGAACAAATCCATCTCTTCGGTACTTAACATCGGCTGTTCTCATCTTGTCTATGGCCATGCTCTTGTCGATTCTATGGGTAGAATTAAGAATCCGACAGACAATGACATTGTCCTTGACAGTTATTATGGAAATTACAAAAATTTGAAAACGTAAGTCACGATTTACACAATGTAAAGTCATCGTTTCCGTCGAATTCATTTTACTTTTTAATTTACAGATTGCAGATGAAGAACCCAAAAGTTAAGGTTCTTGTGGGTCTTCGTGAAGATGTTGGAGTCAATTTCCTTGATCAATCTGTTGTGAGAGAAACCGTAATCCGGAATATTATCACCCTCATTGATGATAACAAATTTGATGGCGTTTTTCTCGATCTGAAAAGCCCTCGATTCGCCTCATTCCATTTCCGTCGATTTTTAATGGAACTCAGAAAAGAGACCATGGGTATGGAAGGAGAAGAGAACCCTGTTCTTGTGGCCCTGTCCGTCGATGCAGCTGAAGTTTACGGAGCAGCAGAAAATCTGAAAGAAATTGAGAAGCTGGTTGATGTGTTTTATATCAAGGCTGACAATGTTATTGGATCCCAAGCAGACACAGAAACTCTTCTTATGACACCACTGGATCATGCTAACGTCATTCCAAAAGAGGTCACCCTGAATGATGTCTCTGATGCTTTGGATGACATCATGTTGGAAAGACAAAAGATCGTGGTGGGACTGAGTGGATGGGCCCGAGGATATGTCTTGGATGATCCCAAGAAGCCCGGTCCTCTGGTCGATGCTTTGGGGTTTGCCCGGCGCCCCAATTCGACAAGAAAGGACGGACGATTTTCTTACCAAGAAGCAAGCATATATACAAAGTTCTTAGATAGATGAAATTTTCAGATATGTGATCTCGCTGTTCCCGACGACTACCACTTCGAGAATATAATGGGGTCCGTCTGGTTCCAGGGTTCAGATGCCAATTGGTACTCCTTCCTCCCTCCCGGTCATGAAACCGTCGATCGAATTCTGACTTGGGTTGCCAACAAACATTATGGCGGCATTGGACTGATGCAACTTGAGGCTGATGATCCCAAAGGAGATTGCGGAGAACCTTATCCTTTGCATAGGGATATCCAAAAGAAACTCAAATGTGCCCCTCGAGAACAAGTTCGTGGTAATACGGCTCCTTGTAATCGGTTCTGCACATTGAGAACGGCCTCTTCCGATGTGACTTTAGACTTTGATTTGTTTGATCCGGAATGGTGCTCCCATTATATCATCTCTTCCATCGATTTTACATCAACCGGCTTACTGAAGATTGATGATAAATTTAATGTTGTAATTGGAAAGTACAATGATTGGGCACCAAAGATTAAGCCGAATCTCCTCGTCTCCATTGGAGATACTGTTGATTCAAAGACCTGGAAGTTTGTCATGAAATCCGAGGTTCTTCGGAAACTCCTGGTCAGCAACGTTAAACAGGTGAGGAATATGGAGGGTTACTGTATGACTAAATGGTTTAGTTTTACGAACGCAGGAATCTGGATGGTTTAGTGATTTCTTGGCTCTCTGGATCGATGGGAAACAAGGATAATTCCGACAGTCAATCTTTCCATCTGTTTTTGAAGGAGTTGAAGGACGCTCTGCCTAAGGCGTTGTTGGTTGTAACGGCCACAGCCGAGGGTACCTTTGACCAAGGATATGATATCAAGGTTTTGAACCAGTGAGTGATCACGACTTGTCGTTGATTTTGCGTTTATTCCAGAACGGCTAATTATCTGTTGGTGGAGATGTTCCGTTTCCACGACTCTTCGATGGGTTCCACAGGACATCCTTCGCCCCTGCTAGGTAATTCCGAGTTGATTGAAGATGGGTCGAGGACAGTTGTAAGTCATCTTATTACATGTCGTTGGAAAAGAAATTGAGTCGATAACCAAATATGATCCCCCTTTAGGAGGCTATGGCCAATGAGTGGATTAGCCGCGGATTCCCAAGAAAGCGGCTTATCCCTCAATTCTCACCCCAAGTTCTCTATTTTGGATTGGCTAAGGGCGTTGAGTACCGTGCAGACAGTCCGGTTGGACAGAAAGTGGATCAGAGTAGGGCTGTCAAGAACCGATCCAACAAAGAATTCATCACTCAAACCGAACTCTGTCACATTCTGAACAGCACGGAGGCCAAGTCCCATTTCATCCCTGAGATGGCTGTTCCCACTGCTGTTAAGGGAAACGAGTTCTTCGCCTATGATGACAAGAGAAGTATCAAAGTGAAGACTATTTGGACATCGTTAAGTCAATTTGGAGGAATCGCTTTGACTGGTCTCGAGATGGACAACGTTCAAGGACAATGTCCGGCTGGTCAACCATATCCCATTTTGAAGACAATCGTGGATAGTCAGGTAAGAGATTGTACACAAATTTGGGAGAGTAATCGTTTTTAGACGTGTGATCTTTGTGTGAAAGAGCGGGAAATTCCCAACAACATCCAGCCAGAGTGTGCTGGTGATCCCTTCCGAGTTGTCTGCAGCTACCGTCTCCCCGATGTAAATGACAAAAAGAATCCTCTACGTCCTGATAAGATCCCCTTCGGCCAATGCTCTGAGATCGTAGTGGAGGAGACGTTGATGGAAAAGAATGGAGATCTCAAATTCAGAGATTCCACGGCCCTCGAGAATATGAAAATTTTGAAGAAGCACGATCGACAAGGGAAGAGATTGATTGCGGCGATCAGGTGCCCTTCTGCAAATCCAGATGAATTCAAAAATCTGATGAAGAATGGTGAGTCAGCGAAGCATTAATTTATACTGTTACAGGTCGAGATAAGCTGATAAAAAATATCTTCGCTCATATGAATGAATTTGGGTTCGAGGGAATTGAGCTGAGATGCGATGACATGTTAACTCCTGAGGTGAAAGCCAATTTTGGAAATACTTTAAGGACACTTTTAAACAAGATCAGAAATGAAGAAGGAACGCAATGCCGGAAAACATTGAGTATCAGGTAAGAAGAAACTTGAAACTAAAATTTTCTTTCAGAATCCCTGTTTGGCAACAAGAACTGGGTTCGGTCTACGATACTGGAGTCTTCAGATATCTCCATCAAGTTGTTCTCGAGCCCTTCCAGATCGAATCCAATCAGACTCAACTGATTAGTCCCCTCTTTGCCGTGGACACTAAGAGCTTTACTCAAAATAGTATTGACTCTACTCTGAAGGCCTGGGTGAAGGCAGGAGTCCCTCAATCCAAGATTCTGCTTCATATCCCAGCTTATGGAATCAAACAAGATTTGGCAAAGGCATCCGAAACCCCGGAATTGGGCGCTCAAGTGCGCGGGGGAATCCGGGTCTTGAGCCAAGGAGAAGTCTGCCAGACTGTGAAGAAGCCCGGTGTCGTCACCCAGATGATGTATGACATGGTGGCCGCTTTCTCGACCACTCCTGCCAATGAATTCATCAGTTACGAAACTCAACAAACTATCCATTACAAGGTTAGCAAATCTTATCACGGCTTGCAAGATTACCGGATGTTAAAAGTATCTCTTTTCAGATAAAGTATGCAGTCCGTGAGCAACTGGCCGGTGTTGGTCTCCTCACAATCAATGAAGACGATCACATGGATGTATGTAGACAAGGAAAGTTCCCACTGCTAAAGGAAATTCATTCAGCCATCTGTTAAATATATATTAATCATTATTTTATTTTGTAAAAAGCATGGATAGATAAATCTCTGAAGCTGGATCACATTTACATTCAGGATGACTCGGGTAAATCAGCAACTCGTTTCTCGGGTTTCGGGAGTTCGTAGAGAAATCGTCGCCAGATCTCGCGATGTTGTTCCTCAATCATCTCGAAATCTATATGAGCCAATTCGATGTTGGTCATGGAGCGTTGTAATTTACAGCGAAGTTGAATTAGTTCAATCTGGAAGAGCATATAGCATGCGTTTCATATTTTTTCTTACATCCAACTTTGTACGATCACTACTGATCTCTGCAAGATCCTTCATCCAGCAATCAACTTGATTCTCAACAGCTTGAATATCTTGATGAAGTTGTCTTAAGAGCTCAGGATCGCCTAAACGAAGGGCTTTATGCAAGATCAATCTCGAAGAAACAACCCACCTCTTCGGAGAGCCAAAGTCTCAGCCAGAATCTCTTGACGGGCTCTAAGAACGGCAGCAGTCTCATTCAAAATCTCGAGTTGACAATCATTCTGAAGGATAGATTAATCCAAGAGAAGCTGGGGGCTTACTTTGGCGATGGAATTCTTCCAATGGGAGAATTTACGGTAGAGACGTTCATGTTTAGCACATAGATTTTTGATGGCATTCAACTCATTCCTCATGTCATCACAGCTTTGAAGATCGTCACAGGATTGGCACTGGACCTCGTTTTATCAATTAAGTCACGATGGGCACTCACCTTGGCCAAATCACAACTCCCAACCATGATTAACTTAACAATCAACCAACAAAACAAAACTTAACAGTGAAAGTCAGATAGGGTATAAGAACAAAAAGGAACGGAAGGCAGTGTCGTGGGTGCCCGAGGCTGTTTTACTGTGTAATTAAACCATTTGCAGGCTTCCAAGTCGCTCAAGTCCAAGGCCGCCCAGGTCCCGAGAGAGGATGGGCACGGTGGGATTGATGGGCGGGTCTGTAAAGTCATTAATGATGTCTCCTTATACTCGCGTCACAACTTTTAGTCCACGCAAAAACAAAAAACGCAAAGCGAATAGTGCACGTATGTATATAGAAGAAGTCAACGGGAATTACTGTAATGTAGGGAGGGGAATGTCGGAGGATTCCAAAGATATTCTCTTTTCTCGTATAGCCCAAAGCTCGAGGGTCAAATAACTCAGGAAAAACTCGAACGATGAACATAATAACCAGCATCTATACGATGAAATAAGAGCTAGCGGCGACTCTCTCCATCAAGTTGTCCTTTACGAAACGGAAGAAAGGAACGGACGACAATCGAATTATGGCCACAAGTACAATGACCCGAATATATACATAGTGGCATACACTTTGTTTGCAACACGAGAAGAAGAGGAGACAAATCCCTCGACAGACTTTCCACCGGACATGACTTTTTGTGGAACGACCCCGGCGTTTTTTTTCTCTCCGTTCCGGCCGTTCCTGGCAGGGATTTGGGTGCGGGCCTTTTCTAGACTCGTTAAAATGTAAAACCTCTTATTCGAGTGTCCATTTCCAGAACACAAATACTCCGACTAATGAAGCCGGACATTCAATGGACATTCCACTGGCACTGGACATCCGTTTTAATTCCAAATGGGGAAAGGGTTGTAAAACGGAGGAGGGGTTGTTCCTAAATTACTTTTCTCTTCGAATCCACTCTAAATATAGTTTACTCGTTTAGTAAAAACTCTTGAGTACGGCGCGAAAAGTAATCGGGGCTGACATGAAGAGATCGAAAACCAAATTAAGAATAAAACAAGAATAGAAAGGGTCCTGATGACTATAATAAGAATCATGATTACTATAATACGATGACATTAAATTCCTGGACTTACCTTGCAAGGTGATAAAAAAACTACCGAATCGACTCAAAGAAACAAAGCAAGATCGATCAGGAACTTGACTGACCAGAGAATTAATCCCTGTTCTCATCAATCTAATGTCCCTATCTTCTCCACAATGTTTCCGAATGTAATCTGTCATTTGTTCCAGACGAACAGGCATGTACATGACCAAAGGACGTCTGCCGTCTCTCTCCAATAAAACTGCTGTCAACCACACTGTAAATTCCTCATAAATTCACCCCACTGCAGCGTCTACTGCTCGGCGAGAGATGAATGACCAAGTCGAATATAATTAATTCAAAATTCAACCATTTCCCTCTAACAATTGCAGATGTAACTAGGTGTAAACAAAACTTGGTTGTCATACCATCAGTTTATTATGCGTATTCAAATACCGCCCACAATTAGGGTGACACTCGATGACACCGGGAGAACAAAAGAGTCCGCCTGTTGTCCATCCATAAATCAAGGATATCAGCCATGAAAAACGCGAGAATAAATGGATGTTCTGGCATGCTGTCCTGCCCTCGGGCAATCCCTTTGAAAAAACGGGTGTCCTCTTTAAAAACGCAATAAAAAATAAAAAACTGAAAGAAACCCGAAAAAGGTCAGGGTTAGAAACTGTTGGACTCGATTCGATTAAAAATGGAAATTACGCAAAGACAATGTAACACCCAGAGGAAGAGAGATATCTAGAACAAAGATGGAAAGAACTCAACGTCGGCATCAATGTGACAATCCGAGGCCAAGAGGCCAAAGAATACAAAGATGTCATGCTCTTAAAGATTACATTCAAAAATAGAACTATTGTAAGTGTAATTGCATTTTACTTTTCAAATAATGTCTTTTATCAGTCTGTCGGGAAAATAACGGCAGGTCGTCGCAGCAAAATGTCTCGCCTCGCCGCTATCGCGGACCAAATCCACAGTCGCGGCTTGCAGTCGCAAAGCGATTATGGGCGATTCCGAGGCCCGACGATCCGCCGTTATTTTCCCGACAAACTGATACAGAGTTGAAAGTTAGATGAAATATAATGTCATTGACAGTTGCAAGCATTTCTCGGTCTTTATTCTCATCGAACTTTGTCTTATTTCATTTATTTAGTAACAATTCTGAGGCAATTGATAAGAGAGATTCCAACAGACGTGAGTGAGGGTCGTTTCTTATCAAGTCAACGCCCTTGAAATGACATTTGAATTCCCCGGAAATGGGCGCGTGTGAATAAATCAGGCCATCAATTTCCACGGAGCTTTTTGGTTTCTTGATTTGTGGGACTCTTAAAATTAAAAACCAGCTTTGTTAAAATACCATATCGTTGTTTGCTGATGCATAAAAAAGACATTTTGGTAGGCAAAAACCTCTTGATCTCATAGTTTACAAACCTCGTATATTGCGTCTGTGATTCACTTTTTTATCAGTCATTGTTCCAAGAGTAAAGACCCTGAGGGGCGAAACATTTAAAACATGGAATTAGAAGCCCTAGGCCTTCATTTTATTTATTTTTTGCAAAATTGTTTTATTGCCTCTTCAAAAGGCCGAATCCAATTTATAAAAAAATTACAAAACCGAAAAATTACTGTAATCAATTGGGGCCATTTTTTATCTTTATCTGCGTTCTCTAAATGCTCTTATTTTTTTGTTTTCGGTACGTTTGCTCCTAAACTAATATAACAAAAGAAAACGAAAAATTCTCTAATTACAGCTGATTTGCAAATAATTGGAGCGATGGGCCCGGTGACCCTGTCATTATTTCGCCTTCTTTTCTCGAATAAAATCATTTTCTCCTGGTCTTTTGAAATATTTTGTTTTGAGATCGGAGGGTTTTATGAAATGGAAATGTTTACCGAGCATTTTTCTACATTTCTTGAGGGTATTTATAGGTCTTTCTGCCAGTTCTTTGTCACTTTCGTATTTCGATTTCTCGCTTCATGTGATCATTGCATGATTACAATTTTTATCATCCCATTTTGACTCGTTAAGAGTACTTTTTGTTTATGATGTTTTATTTGATTCACGGGGAAATTGATTCCGGTATTTCCCCATGAGTAATATTTTTTAGGAATTAAATTCCTTCCATTTAAGAATGTCTTCCGTGTGCAAAACAGGGTTACCCTCAGATCATCATGAGTTGATAAGAGCAAGAAACGCGGGAGAAGAGTCTTACGCTACCATTGCCTAGTTTTATGTACGAATCTTTATCATTATTGATCTGAGCTATACGTATATATAATAATTCAAGTAGTAATTATAGTCTTCAACCCACGTTGTAAACTAAACTATCTTCCCGTCTTTTTCCATTTTAGTTTTCCTCAAAAACTCAGAGTGCATATATCTGATTGATAAGTAATCGTTAGCCAAACAGGAAATAGTATTATTTTTGATTTAAATTCTGTTTCCGGTTATTTTGATGACAGAAATTTTTACCAACTGTAACCCACCCGACTTTTTGTCTGCAAATCGCGGTGTTTTTTTAATTGTATTTGGAAATACTCTCCCGATTCATCAATTGTATTTCCTATATAAGACCCTGGAACAAAAATAATCATAAAATCCTTCAGATTTAACGCTTCCTTAACACTACAATGAATAACAACGAAAAGGCGAAAAGAGTCTGGTGTGATGGGTGGTGCGTTTTTTTAATTAAGTGGGTAAATAGTGTTTTAGTTATGATATGGTCCACTTTGGACATGCAAATCAGCTGAGACAAGCAAAAGAAATGGGCCAGAAACTGGTGGTGGGAGTACACAACGATGAAGAGATCACAAAACACAAGGGACCTCCAGTTTTCAATCAAAATGAGAGGTATAGAATGGTCCGGGGGATCAAATGGGTCGACGAGGTAAGGCGAAAATAAGTTTGGACCCACAGCAAAAACTTGTTTTCATGAGTTTCCAGAAATATTTTAAAAAATGCAACTTCAGATCGTCGAAGATGCCCCTTATTCCACCACAATCGAGACTCTCGACAAATATGACTGTGATTTCTGTGTCCATGGAAGTAAGTGTGTATTATATCTATACTAAATGAACCCTTAGATGACATTACATTAACCGCAGATGGGGTTGACACGTATGCTGAAGTAAAGGAAGCGGGAAGATACCGGGAATGCGAGAGGACAGCAGGAGTTTCTACAACGGTAGGTTGAGGAGCTGTCGTGTAAAATAAGATTTCAGGATCTGGTGGGAAGGATGCTATTGATGACAAGAAGTCATCACAGCCAGTGTGAAGATATGACTCCAGATCACGAGCAGAAGGCCCACAAGCTGAGCACAGTAAGAAAAAGAAAATATTCTTTATTTGAAGTGGTTTGTTTTTGTGAAACTTTAATAAGGTTGTGGAAAGTAACTGTTCTATTGTATATTAAAACACTAACCGTATTTCTTCAGGATCACGGAGCCGGTTCCCCATGGACCAGAGTCTCCAAGTTCATGCCTTCAACTCAGACCATTCTCCAATTCGCTGATGGAAAAGCCCCAGCGCCCGGAGATACGATCGTTTATGTCTGTGGAGCTTTTGATCTCTTCCACGTTGGTCATCTCTGTTTTCTGGAAGAGGCCAGGAAACTGGGAGATTATTTGATTGTGGGAATCTATCCAGATCAAGTTGTAAACAGCTACAAAGGGAGAAACAATCCGATCATGACATTACACGAACGAGTTCTCAGTGTTCTTGCTTACAAAGTAAGGTTTTAGGGTAATTCGCGGAGTTTTATTTTTTGATTATTTTAAGCCGGTCAGTGAAGTTGTTATCGGTGCTCCGTATGAGGTGACCCGTGAACTGATTGACAGATTCCGGATTGATATTGTCGTGAACGGAGTCCGAGGGCATCATCAACATGATGGAATCGACCGCTTCCATGTCCCAAAGACACTGGGAATCTACCGGGAAATTGAAAGTGGAAACAGAATGACTACAGACAAGATCGTCGAGAGAATCATCGCCCATCGTCAGGCATTCGAATCCAGGAATCAAAAGAAGGAACGGAAGGAAATAGCTGCCTTTGAAGCATTGAAAAGGCTGCAGCAACGTCAGGGATTGTTTTGCACCAATCAAGTTATTTCGATCCACGAACAAAACTAGCTCACTAATAAATAATCAAAAAAAAAACAAATAAATTTTATTTCGAATAAAAGCTCATAAACAATATAAAATGATACGAATCATCTCTTAAAAGACTTGTCTCAGATCTCGCCGGTCGTACTGATCTTGTGCTTCATCTGTAGAATAAGTTTGTCGACGAGAAAAGGGAAGTCTCGGGAGATTGACAATTTCTTCTTCAACTTCTAGAAGATTACGGTTCTTGGTCTCCGGAAGGAAATAATAAAAGAATACGAAGCAATAGGCCATTGGGAGGACAAACAAAACGAGATAAGAATAATCTGAGCCAATGGCATTACTCAGAGGCAAATAAATCACCAAGATCAAGGTTCGACTAAACATAGAATAAACGTATTTATAAACAATTACAGCGCTTACCAAGACATTTGAACAAAGGCGGCCCAACTCTGTCCTGCTGACCTGGCATGCTGGACAATCATTTCTGATGTAATAAAGTAACATAAAGGACCAGGACCGACAGTAAACGCCACGAGGAAAACGGAAATCGCAAATATCAGACAATATCCGATCCATGGGGCTTGATAAACGTTGTATGCTCGCATAAACGCAAATATTAAAATATTGATGATGACAATTAAGAATACGGTATTAAGAAGTAAGGGCCGTCTGCCGTACTTGTCAATAATTGAGGCAGAGAATAAAGCTCCGATCTAAGAAAAGTAAAAATAAATTTCGGACTTACTAATGTGAGCAAAGAGAGCCCAGCATTGGCTATAGAGGCTTCAAATACAGAAAGCCCAGTGTCTCGCAGAATGGTAACAGCGAACGCGTTAATAACTGCCACTCCACTAAAAGTCATGGCGAAAGCGGTTGTAGCTCCCACCAGAGTGGCTCGTCTTGTTCTAGGATCTTTTAAGACCTCTATCATGTTAACATTTCTCATGTTAGCTTGCATATTCTCCTTGATCTCCTTTAAATTCTTGTCCACTAAGTAATCTGGACAATTGTAATATAATTTAACAGAATCTCGGGCAGAGTCTTCGTATCCTTTGAACAATAAATAACTAAACGAATCCAAGGGTTATAACATCACCTACCAAGGGCTTTCAGGAAAGAATGTAAACAATAGCATCACTACGGACACCACCAACGTCTCAGCCAGGTAAATCATCCACCAAGTGTCAGATCGACCGAAGATATCCGGCATTCCAATCAGAGATCCCGTGAATAAACCAAGCTGGACAAAGATCCCAGTAGTCATTCCAATCATACCCCGGCATGCTTTAGGACTGAAGAATAAATTTTCGAGGTACATATCAGTCCGTCGGGAAAATAACGGCGGTTCGTCGCAGCAAAACGTTTCGCCTCGTCGCAGAAAGGGTGTAGTCGCGCACCAATCCCCATCCGCGGCTAGCCGTCGCAATGCGATGATGGGCGATTCCAAGGCGCAACGATCCGCCGTTATTTTCCCGACAGACTGATACTGTATAAAGCCAATATACCTGCACTCCGTCAGAAAAAGTCCACTCATTCCTAATCCCATACACATCGATATACCCATAGTAAATCTTGACAATGCATACACTTCAAAACTGTCAATCTAAAACTTGAAGAAACAAGGAGAGAAAAACCCACAAGGAAAGCGCATATCGACAGCAACGACGACACCAGAATACCGAAGAAAGAAACCAGTAAACCTTTTTTTCGGCCCAGCCAATCAGCAAAGAATCTTAAAATTAAAGATCCGATGATGCCTCCGGCGAAAAGAATCGCGATGATAAAACTCCATAACGCCTAGATGACGTCATTAAAAGCTAGATGTCTAAACTTACATCGAGTTGATACTTTTCCAGAACAACTCCGTAATGATCGGAATAGGACCGATTCACAAAACTGGTCAAGGCCAACTGTGCGGGATTGGTAAGAGTAATCTGATATCCGAAATGGAACGAGCCTCCAAGACCCGTCAGCAATGAGGTAAATACTAACTTTTTACCTGGACGGGTCGCTGTGTAATACGACGACATGCCGAATGAACTGAAAGCCAAACGAAAGGCCACTGCCCGTCAGATTTGCATAATCAGCATAGAGCCTTTCGAGCGCACTAAGAGTTCGAGAGCCGGTGATTGTTTGTTTTTGATGTAATATAAAGCAGTTTCAATATAATTAAGATTTCATAACTTATAAACCATGGAGCATAGCATACTGAAATGAAGTCACGTCGTTTGTGTCACACTTTCCAAGCATTCTTGCAGACCCGTGACTGTATTTAGGGTTACTACTAGTCCTTCCGTAAAGTCGCTGGAATGATTTCGGCGACGCGCACTGTGCAAGAAAACTCAGGGTGCGAGCGACAGCTCGAAAAAGCTTATTGCACAGTGCAAAAAGCCAAAAATTGCACAGTGCAAAGTGAACTTTCGTTTTCGCGGAGTGCATGTCGCCGAAAACATTCCAGCGACTTTACGGAAGGACTAGTACCTTAGTCAAACACATTTGCCAAATTATATCTGTTTTCCAAAGAAAAATCTACTGTGAAGAGATCACGCAAGGTCAAGTATCAATGTCCATCCTCGTAATTTCGGTGCCTTTTTTAAACATTCTTAGGCGACTAGTGCCAACAACAGCTCTTGAATGGAGTAGTTTTTATGCTCCTTCAGTCCTTTTTGTGAAAGGGAGCGCCTGAGGGGCGAGTTCTTTTTTGGCCATTCTTTGGGTCATGTGGCCGAAAATACGCAGGAGAGTGACTTCTATTTGCGATACTCCCTCTCCATGTTCTCTATCTTTTGTCATATAATAAAACAATTACTTCTGAAAGGCTTTGCAGAATTGGATTGTTTCATTTTAATTAATCATTAAAATTTTAATACCGTGTTGTATATCTCTTCTTCTAATAAAATTCTGTCATTAATATTTCAGATCACACTTATAATGTTGCGTTTTGTAAATCGTGAAGACGTAGATGCTGACATAAGAAGGCATGAATCTGAGAGACTAGTTCCCGAACCATCGCCTCCCATGCCTGCATTCGTACCTGACTACCATGATGACGAAATCGGAATGGAAGACTACTATCTGGACACCTATTATCCTCTTCTTCAGCATGAACACAATCGTTTTCGGGGGCTCTTTGAAATGGCCGAAGTTCCAGTAAAGCCGAGGCCGCCTCTTCCGTGCCATGGCAACATGTTGATTGCTGAGAGCAACAAGTCTCAATTCTCGGTTGGTTTTTATGTTATAGCCACGATTCTGCTTCCTCTTTAACAATAGCAATATGTAAGGGAAAGTTTACCTTCGGAGATTCCTTACGAGTTTTATAATTTTTTTGAGGCTTCTAAATAAGGTTTCCCATGAAAAGCATGCCTTTGTCATTGGTTTTACGCATTCCGCCGTCTGCGATTACTTTCCTAATATTTTTCTTTTGATAAATTCAAGATTTTGTAGTCGAAACTTCCACCCAAATTAGAGGTTTCAAAGATTAAAGAGAATAACACTACGGTGGAAGGGGATGGACACTAAAGACATGAGCACCTTTAAAAAAGAAAGTGCGGGAGAGCCGGCCTTGAGAGATGGGAAGGGGGCGAGCAGAAAGAGACTAGAACAAGACGAAGAAGACCCTCAGATGCTCGAATTGCGGCTCTTTTCTGAAATCAAATGGTCAAATCGGCCACGTGCGTTGCTTAAATTCCCATAGTTCTAATTTTTTCAGCATCGAATCCATCGGCTTCAACCGGCGACTCCACAAGAGATGCGGTTGAACTCAAGAAAAAGACATGTGGTTGGCGCCTCGGCTCAATTCGGGGTTAACACGGTCCATCCGACGATCCAAGCAAAGCAGAACCAGGTAATTGTTTTCCTTAATTTTTTCACCTCATTCATCAGCCGCTCTCGTTTTGCTGTCCTTAGATAACCATAAATTTATAAAAAGTGCCCTTCCCCGGCACCGACTGGTTTGTACTTGAAATGCACTTTCGAAGCGTCTGCAGGAAGGGGGTCTTGACGTTAAAGACAAAAAATCTGTTACCGGACTGGTGGGAAACACTCCGGCTTTGAAAGTTTAATCACATTTTGGCCGCGGGGAATTAGCTTTATCATTCATCCTATTACGTTCTTATTGTGTCGAAAGCAGATCAAACATTACACTTGTCCGAGCCTTTATCAACCATTTTTCTCGGAAAATAATTATTTTTGGGTCATCGCTGTAAACTCTCCTTGCGACCTTCCACTCCGTTATCAATTCTATGATTATTTTTAAATATTTAATCGAAGAGTATCAATGGCTTTCCAACAGAATTACAAGTTTATTATTAGCTCGTTACACCTCCAAGCCAGTATATCTAACTCTCCAAAAATGGGAGGAATTGTTGGTTTAGTGCAGTCGATAACGGCGGAAAAGGGGTGTGAATGTTTTTGGCCAGAAAAGAGCCTGTGCTTCGGGAGTGTTTCGATTCCTGAAAAAAAGACCACACGGCCGTTCGCTGAGCGTTCCACGCGAACGGCCTCACGACCCATCGTGCCGTCTCTCTTTTCTCTCCACAAACGCTGTGCACACTTGTTTTTACCTTCTGCTTGTCAGCTGACTGACCATCCAAAAGCGCTCCTTCTTTTCTCGGTCCTACGGGCGTTTTTGGGGGCATTTTCTTCTTGTTTTCCGAACATTTGAAACTCCACATACCAAAACGGTTCGGATTATCCGTAACGAATCTTTAAAATACTCAAATAAATGTTGAAAGTTGTTCTTTCAATGCGAAAAAGGTACTCCTTCATGTCCACTTTCCAGTCAAAAAACATTCGTTGATGCGTGATTTATTCTGACAGTTATGTTTTCATTGGCAGCGGTTTTCATTCTTAAATAAAAGGTTCGAATCGATGAATGGCCCGAACCGTGGATGAAAAAACGCCTCTGAAAGTGAAGTCGGGTCTGCGGTCTGGTTGCAAAGTTGGCGCTATGAACCGGGATGTGAGTTAAATTTAATTGGAATATTGGGAAACGCTTTAATGTAAAGCATCGGTCTGTAAAACAGGTAACCGAGAGCTGCCTAAAGACCATTGAGCTGAGAACGAACACCAATCCGATGCGAAAAGGCGAAAGATTTCTGAGCCAGGCGGTGTCTTTGTTTTGGATTCTGCGCGCTCTCTTATTCCCGCAGTCTTTTCTTTTCAGTAAATAATAAAAAGCTAAAAAATATTTTGGTGTTCACCAAAAGCCTAATATCCCGTGTTTATTTTTAGATGTACCTGATCACCAGCTTACTTCCTTCACAAGGAGATCAGCCAGCCCTCATCAATCGTGTCTTGCCCAAAGAATTGCTTTTAAGGTAAAAAAAGGGACCTCTGATTAAATAAATTCCTGTCATCTTCAGAATATTCTCTTATCTGGACATTGTGACATTATGCAAATGCGCTCAAGTGTGCCGCGTATGGAATCGATTAGCCATGGATGGCAGCAATTGGCAACAAGTCGACCTGTTTGACTTCCAAAAAGATATCAAAGTAAGTCCCAAGGCCTTCGGCTTCATAGATTTGCTAGCGTAACCATAAAGTAAAAAACAAATTATCACATCATTTCCAGGCTTCTGTGGTTGAAAGCCTCGCCCTCAGATGTGGCGGCTTTTTGAAGGAACTCAGCTTGAAAGGGTGCGAGAATGTCCAAGATTCCGCGATGAGATCTTTCGCTGCCAAGTGTCCAAACATCGAGGCCCTTGTGTTAAGTAAATGCAAATATATCACCGACGCGTAAGAGATCCTTGAGAAGACTTATCTCTATTTGCAGTACGAGTGATTATTTGGGAAGATATTGTCATAAGATCAGTTATCTGGACCTAGAGAATTGCACGGCAATAACAGATCGATCACTCAAAGCATTAAGGTAATCACAATCTCAAGTTACAAAACAATCAATAACTCCTTTAGTGAGGGGTGCCACCGCCTAACTGAGTTGAACATCAGTTGGTGTATCAATGTATCAGACGACGGCATTCGGCATGTTCTTGAAAATTGTCCAAATCTTGAGACTTTGATCTGCAAAGGGTGTCGAGGGGTAAGTCTCAGACCAAAGTTTGCTAATCACTTGTCTATAGCTGTCTCCTAATTGCTTCGATGACTTGAAAGACAAGATGAACAGTATAAAGACATTGAATTTGCTGTCCTGTGTCTTTCTGAATGATGTAACTGTAGAAGCGATTGCTCAATCATGCCCTCTTCTCGAATATCTATGTTTATCCAATTGTTCTGATATCACGGACCGATCTTTGCAAGCGCTTTCACATGGCTGCCCTCTTCTGAAAGACCTCGAGCTGGCCTCGTGCGTTAATCTGACTGACGTCGGTTTCATTGGACTGTCCAAAAATTGTCATGAATTGGAACGAATGGATCTCGAGGATTGCGTACAGATTACTGATACTGCCATCGTTAATCTGAACAGTGGATGTCCGAATCTGAATTCCCTGGCGCTTTCCCATTGTGATCATTTGACGGATAACGGGTTGGCCGAGTTATGTCAGAGTCATAAAGACATCATGAAAGTCTTGGAATTGGATAATTGCTCTCAGCTGACTGACGCTGCATTAGATTTGATGAAACCCATGCAGAATCTGGAGCGAGTCGACTTGTACGATTGTCAACACATAACAAAGGATGCCATTAGAAAGTTCAAGGTAAAATTACTCGCATTTTACTGGCTTACCGCTTATCCAAAATATTTTTAGCAAGTTCGTCCAGATGTCGATGTTCATGCCTATTTCGCACCAGCGTCTCCACCAGCCCAAGCGCAGCCACAACGTCGGGGTATCTGCAAATGTTGTGCCATTCTCTGAATTCTTATAGTTTCCATTTGATTCCTTCCGCACGAGTCCTGAAGCCGGTCCATTCTCAACAAAAATATGCCGGCCCCAACAGACCTGAAGACAACTCGAGAGAAAAGAAAACCTCCGCGACGGCCTTATGACCAGAACTTTAATTTATTGTCCCTTATAACGAGTACTACTTTATTTGTTTCTTTCGGCCTTCTAACTTTGTGTTAATAACCTCCAACGTGTATCCTAAGCGTGTTTCGACTCCTATTTATTATGTTTATCTTTCATTGACTCGATTTTCGGTCTGAATTTATGTTCTTTTCCGCACGGGTCCAAGAGGATATTGATTTAGATCAACCAAAAAAAAGCGTTTATTCATGTCTCATATTACAACATACTTTCTTGACCTGTTAATGGCCGAGATCCTAGGACTGAGGTACCTGCCAATTTGGCGGATCTAAATTAATCTCTCTAGCACCTATTCGGGAGTCTCTATACCTAATTTCCGGGTCATCCATTATGTGTTTTCGTGTAACCCGCGGAAATACGAGTAGTTATTTGGTGAGAACGAGAGGTTCTCATTGCTCCGGGTAACCATACTCATCTCCTGTACATGTATGTAAATAGAAATGCTATTAAAACCAACTGAGAATAACCTTGACACTATCTCCGACCTTAACACACAATTAACTTTATTGTCTCCGGCATTCACCACGCAACTAAAGTGGTGACCCATCTGATTATACTCGAATCATACCTTTCATTTCGACCAATAAAACTATTATTACTTTTATTTTTAGCTTTTATTATTTGATCTGACTTACTAATCAGATCTGGGATAACCTCCACAATTTAGATGGAGTGTGGACATTATACGTAAGCATGCCCAACCTTTTGCCAGACGAAAAAACTTGACATTTCGTTTCCCAAACCGTAAAAAGCGCGATTTAAAATCCGGTGTTTTGGCCCTTTTAAAGATACGACTTTTCACCCGATAATCCAGAGTGTATCGAATCGGTAAAGGGTGAATTTGAAAGAGCAGAAGTTCAGCTATCAGTTAGAGGGTCAACAAATCTTCAGTTTTATTCCGTCTTCGAGATACTCGCCTTAAAATTTCTTAAAATCGTGAGCTTTTGCAGTGATCTAGCGGGCGACTGTTATCGAGGAATCTTACAAAACTTACCGTTAAACATTGAAACATTCCCTGTCAATCATCATACGAAAAAACGGAAACATTCTCGCACCCGGAGTTATCGAATTATCCAGTCAGGAATTGTTCATATTTTCTCCAAGAGCAAACGCAGTTTGCGCCCGAGAATTTGAAAGTTATAAATTATAATATGTACAAAAAATTTGGAATTTTTTGTGATCTGAGATTATTGTCCGATCGAACAATCAGCATGGAATAATCTCCAGATATTATCCAAAGACACGCTCCGAATTAGAATAATAAGATTAAAGACGCACTTTTGATTGACATTTGGTTGCGCAACAGGAAAGAGAATATTGTTGACCAGGATTTCTGACATTTAATTAACTAATTAAGCCTACAGTCTGCATGTATAGTTATAACAAGAAAGTGTGCTTACTTGGCCAAGTTGTTATTATGATGGCCGTTAATTACGGTAACCTTCAGACGCGTCAAGTACAAGATGGCGGTTGATTACGGAATTAGAGCGCTCACAGCGTCAACAAGTGGCCGAATTGTAGATGGATGAGCTAAAAAACAAGGGCATATTGTGTAATCAATGCTCATTAAAAGCTGCTGAGATGTTCCTTGAGTAAACACGACCACCTTTCGGCATCATCTTCCAGCTCTCTAATGCAATATCCGGTGAGAAGAGGGCTGAGTTAATATGTGATGGGAAGATACCCGAAGCAATCGGGGTCATTGCATTAAGTGAATGAAGACCCGACTGCTCCTTAATAATCCCTTTTTGGCATACGGTAATTCGAATAAATAAATCAATTACTTTGGGCCTAAGGCGCGGAAATGTCATTCTCGGTTATTCAGAGGAGAGCTTTAAGTAAAGTAATGCCCAAGTTTTATTCAATCAACTACGGTTGGAGTTCAAGCGGCGTCATCATCGCGGAGGTTAATCCCAGCTCAGAGAAATTGGAGCTTCGCGATTCGACAGGTCGCAATTAAATTAGCGAAGACGGGCCTAATTGACATCCATGCGGGCCAATTTGTCTTGGGGAATGATATCTGTGGAGTTGCAAGCATATATTGTTCCAAAGTTTCTTAGTTTTTTTTATACTTATGATAAGTCATCAAAAATGTTGATTTCGTTTTAACGTTAATATCTGTAAAGTCAGGCACCATTCCCCCAACATTTACAATGGCCCTAAAGCAGATTACATTGGTAGAAATTAGGCAATTTCTCTAATTTAAATCTATTTACTTTAAGTTATTAAAATCACGGAATCTAATCCTTTTTTGGATTTGTAAAAATAAAATAAATTTCTAAATCCAGACTTACAACGACATTAGTAGAATTGCCCGATCTAAGTCGCCCTTGTATAATATTTCACGGAATCTGAGTGTTATTTGCAAAGTAATCATCGTTGTTTTGATTTCTATATGAAATGTTATGTTTTAATAAAGTAAATGTTTGTTAAAGTAATGTTTACTGTATATCATTGCTGTCTTTGCCTGCAATCAGACCCCCATTTAAGAGCTTACCGTATTTTCAAATTTCTTTCAGTTTCATTCTCTCATTCAATCAGCCCCCCTCTAATTTTAATTAACTGTTAACTGGCTTCTGAATCGAGGTCACAATCAGCCGATGGAAATACGGTTGGGGAGAAACGAAAACTCGAATTAGTTGAATTGAATTGCCCTAAATGTGCAATTCTTTTCCCTTTTCGGAGGCTTTTAAAACTTTTCTCCGAGCACTTCGATTGGTCGATTCCAGTGATAATGGTCGCGCGAGGTCGAGGCGGAGAGAAGCCGTCATTAACAGCTCATGCAATCGAATAATTCCATTACTTGGTTTGAGTGGGGAAAAGAGAAGTGAAATTAATCTCTGGTTTCCTTCTACTGTATCCCTATTTTATAGTCGATTAAAAGTAAAATATATTTAAAGTAATCTTAATTACCGTAATCTCTCCCTCGCCACTCAATTAATTAGCCCTCGAATTACTGTTGGAATGTAATGCTAGGCCCAATTGGCCGTTTCCTTTTCCCTGGCCACGCCCATTTCCTTTCATGTCCAAATCACCCCTTCGCAGTCAATATGGGAAGTGAACTAGAATTGTGTGGGGCGGTCCTTAATATGTGTCGATATCCGCTTGCCGGTTATTACACAGTTTAATTGTGATGGATTTACACTTCGTGTTTGGTTTACATCTTTTTATCACTTATATTAGTATTTTTGACTACAATAGATATTTCAGGAAATGTCTGATTCCCTCAAAGAGAGCCCCATTCCGAGCAAAAGCCCTAGTCCAATGGCCAGTCCCAGACTCGAGAACAATTTATTTTCAGTAGCCAATCTTTTGGGAGACAAGAAGTAAGTATAATTACCCTCTTTCTATTATTATAATACACCCATTTTCATGGTATGGCTTATTAAAAGATTTTGTGCCGCAGGCGAAAAGGCGGTTGCGGATCGGATTTGAAGGCTTTCACAATAATTTAAACCTACTCTCCACTAATCCGCCGCTCTTTCTAGACACCCCGAGGACAGCGAGAAGATGAAGAACAACATGATCGACCAGTTGAACGAGTACTTCAAGAAGGTCCCTGCTCAGAATCTGGAGTTCAATCCCTTCCTTCTCTGGGGCCAATTGGGAGCGAGGATGTTCAATTCTGGTAAGCATAATTAAGAGCAAAACGAAACTTTAATCAAAATCGTCTTTTCCTGGTCTTCTTTTTTTGATCTATTGGTAAATGTTATGGTAATACCCAAAACAAAGCGATGCGCAAGAAAGGGATGCGCCGATCTCTTTTTGTCCTGTTAATAAACTCATTGGGCCGAGCAAATCGGGGACAAAAGATTCCTGGGGACAGCTGTTATTCAATCTGTTCAAAGGATCCGAAGCCGCCGTAATAGAACAGGTAGATCGTATCTTGTTAATCTTGTTGGAACAACTAATTAGGGGGCTCGGTGGGATGTCCAGGAAGAGTTATGGGATTTACTTTGAAGTTGGGCTTAGTTCACATTTGCATTGCTTTATTTTACGTTGGAGATTATATTCCACTTAATTTATCAATTTTCGCAAGTTAGTGTGAATTGTGAATTGGGAACTGTCTTGGCAAAGATCCTTGTCCTAAGGCGATTTCATTTCGAGAAATCCTATTTCCAATATTCACATTGATAAGCCGGCTCGCAATCAAAGAAATGGATTCTTCCACACCAATGTAACCCGCTTTGTCAGTCACGGCCATCATGAGATAAAAACAAAACCCTGAGGGCAGAAGGAATGCGGTTAAGTGCATTCAAACCTTTTACAGTAGACAATTTACTTAGACCGAATTAATTCCGCCTTTCAATGCCTGCTTTGGCCATTGTTTTCGTAATGGATATTGCCCAATAGACTCGGAGAAATTGGCCTTTCCCTCCGCCGAATAAATGATTAACTTGTTCTAATTAAGTGTTAATTAGTTAATTAAAACGCCTTCCAATTCAAACACCGACCACGATCGGAATGCCCAGGATACGGTAGGGAAAGCAACAATGCATAATTAGCAGGTCCTTTAAGAGCGGCGCGCAATAAGTTTGGCGCTCTTTAAACCCATCATCAGAGAGTGGCCCGATCTCTTTCATTAGAATAGGTGTCGTATAATAATGTCAAGTGTGTCTCCGATTTCAAAGATTTGGGCAAAACGTCTTATGAATAATTATCCCCGATCTTCTTGCAGGTGGACTGGCCCCCAATCTGTTGGAAGAATCCAAACGACTTGGCCATCTCAATTCCCTGGCCTTCGCCCATCTGAACAATGCCTCAGGCTCTTCTTCTGGCACCAGTGATCCGGGGAAATTGAGCCGGGAATCTTCGAATGCATCTCCAGTTCATTCAGATCACAGTTCCGAACAGAATGATGACGATGGAAGACATGGTCATTTGAATGGCATCAGGAAAAAGAAAACTCGGACAGTCTTCTCCAGAAGTCAGGTCTCCCAATTGGAGATGACCTTTAATCAGCACAAGTATTTGAATACTCCCCAAAGAAGCAGCTTGGCAGCTCAGCTGGGATTAACGGATGTCCAGGTGAAGATCTGGTTCCAAAATCGTCGCAACAAATGGAAGAGGACCAATAATGGGGAAGATATCAATGCCTCGGCACAGAGACCCCAGAATGGAAGCACAATTATGAGTCCGCTAAACAGTATTGGGAGCAGGGACGAGGCCATGAGATTGCTATTGCAACAACAAAGTCCATTTGCGCAGAATCAGTGAGTTACTTTTATTATAAAGTAGGATAGGGATCAGAAGTCATGTGAGGATGACAAATGTAAAAAAACAATTCATTAATAGAGATTATTGGGCACGAGGATCCAATCTTACAGATGAATGCCAATTTGAGTAGAGTGACTTTGGAACCAGATTTTTTTTCGTTTCATAATATGTACAGAAATTAAGTGTAACTGCCCCAAATGGGATTCTAAGAGTATTACAGTTAAAACACTTTCTAAATCATTTTTTTAGATTCCTCAGTCAACAAAGCCCTCTTTTATCAGCACTCCCTTTCTTCAATCAGCTTCGGAATCTGACGGTGGATTCAGAAGAAGGGAATCTAGATGTGGCTCGGTTCTTTGCTCTACAAGCACAAAATTTTATGAATACGGCCTCAGGCAGTCAATCGAATGGGAACTCCAGTCCAGCCGGGGAATCAGCCGATCGAAAAGAGAAATGGAATGAGTAACAAATGGTACTACTTACAACCGTAGATAGTAAAAAGTAGTACCCTTGCGATCCAAGTGTTATAAATTAAGTTCAGAGATCTTCCTTTAATAGTATTATGCTGTTTGCTCTTTATTTGTAAAGTTTTTTGTATTCTTATGTCATCAAAATTTACTTTCGAGTGCAATTATATTGTAATTGTACCCCATTTTCTTAATGTAATTGTACGTTGCCCTTTAGAATAGTAGCCAGACTTCCTGATTAATTAATGTTCGTCTCGTAGATCGCCTTATCGAATGCCTCATTAGGTGTCACTTATGTCTACAGTAATCCTCTAGAAGTTACAGTAATCCGGTCGTTTCATTCAACCATTCCTGATATTCAACCATTTACTCGAATAAAATTATTTTAATGCGGAATTGTTATGTTACAGTATGCCTGGAATAGACAACCAAGAAGAACTGGCTTTGGAAGGATTCGGATTCACGGGAATCTTAAGAAGCGGGAATTCTGTCATGTGGAATATTCAAACTAGAAACACTGGGATTTGTTACAGAGGAAATTCGACTGGAGTACTGCAATTTCACAGAAAGCTGACTGTAAATTGCCTGATTCAAACTACAGTAATCCCAATCGACTCCCCTCAGACCGGAACCGGCTATAATGGACTAGAAATATAAATTATGAGAAGACTATCTACAACGGAATAATTAGACCTTGAGCTAGCTAATATTAAAAAATTATGTTTTCTTTTCTCACAAACTGACTTCTGGAGGGAACCCTTGGAATTGGTTATCGGTCAGCATCAGATCCTGGTAGATGGCATTGGTCGCTTGCACACATTCGGAGTCATCTACAGGAGGCTTATTCTCTGAAAATGTACACTTAGATACAACTACTAAAATATAATTTTAATAAAGAAAGGAACTCACTCTCCCCATTCTTAATCAGATCCATAATGTCATCAAAATCGGTATGATTTCCATTGGTCTCAAAGTCATAAACACACAATTCGTTGAGTTGTTGGAAATCCTCTGAACTCTCCACATACTCGTTGAACGGGTTGTTCATCTCTCTTTCCTGCATATCAATCTGTTCCAGCTGTTGACAAAGTGTTCGTCTTTTCTCGGCCAATTTCATCAGATACGACTCCTTTTCGTAGTTGTAATTCTCTTCTGGAGAAGGCTGAGATCTTGGTGGATGGATGACTGGCGGATGATTGACCTGCACTTCATTGCGAGGGACATATTCATAGTTATTGTAAATGATGACTGGTTGATTGGAATAGGTCACATCTGGAGTTGGGACTGAGAATTGGTTAGAGTGATAGACTTTGATCTCTTCCGGATGATACACAGAGTTGGAGACGTTGCAATAGATGGGATGATATTCTGGGGCCGTCATTTGATTGGAATAAGATTCTTCGGGGGTCACCACTTCAGTGGATTCCTCAGGCTCTTTCTTCTCTTCACTTTCAGAGTCAGCATTTCCATTGTCGCTGATCACAGTCTGGAATATGTCCTCCATAACAGCAGCAAAGTTCTTGTCCTTGTTGGTGCTCTTCTTGATGATTGTCTTGGGTTTCTTTGGCTTCGTTACTTTAGATTTCTTTTTCTTCTCACTCTCTTTTGCAATATCATCTTCGGATTCATCGATTACAACAACTTCAGCACTCTTTTCGGGAGTTTGTTTGACTTCTTTTGGTCTCACATCAACTCGAATGATCTCTTTTGTATCCTTCATCCGATCACATTGAAATTTGTGGATCAGTTGAACGATCAGAAGGGCGGTTTTTCGATTGGTTTTCAATAATCTGACGACATCTTCTACGGCTTGAGCAATGTGAATTTCCTCTTGAATTTCGAATTCTTTTCGAGTCAATTTCCGTTGATTTGATGAGATTTTCTGAAAGAAACAACATGTTGTACGTAGTAATTTTATCACTTGAATTTCAAAAATAAAACCACAAATTCGAGCTTCCGATCTCTCTCGAGTTGTATCGGAAGCAATGAAAGTTTAGAGTTTTATATAAATCTCTTTTTTGTCCCATGTTTTTTATTCCCAAGTCCCGCGACGAAAGTCTTTTTTCATGGTTATTCTTACTTGTTCGATGGTTTGGAGGTTCTTGAGATTTGCACTCTGCTGCAGGTGTTGTTTTTCATTGTCCTGAAGGGACTCGATCGGGTCGACCTTCTAGAAACAACTGTTTTACACAAAACATTAACAAACCGAGCATTTCTTTGCAGTTTCCAGCAATTTTTGTTGACAATAAAGCGCCTTCTGCGAGTGCTGCAGGGCTTGTACAAGGTCCTGGATCTTTTTCTGCTGCAGAGCAATCAATTTCTCGTGCTGACTCAGCATTTGGGCGGTCACTCTGCAAAAAAAAACATTTGGTTTTAGACCGCAAAAAAGAAGGGTAATATAAATTAATCAAAGAGATTACAAGGGTTTATCACTCAGATCTTGTGCCTGAGGCAATGATTTGGTAACATCTTTCAGCTCATCGACAGTGCATTTGGCTTCAGTTAATTTAAGTTCATCTTCACAAGATCCACATTCGGAACGGGATACTGTAGCATGCACATATTGGGTAGTATTCAGGTCAGAACATTCGAGAGTGAACTGTAAACAATCAAAATAATCTTCGAAAAACACAAGTTGTAGTCACAAATCTTATAAAATATATCTGACGCAAGGTATTATATAATTTTCCAGACTGGTCTCAAAATCAGTGTTCCTTTTGCAACGGAATGATTGATTTGAAATCAATAACTGTATTGACCGGAAGAGCTTCACTAAGCGAGAGAACAGCCCTTTCGCTGAGAACAGGGGCAATTAGTTACAAGGCCAATGACCTGCTGGAAAGATTAAAGGCCAGTTGTTTGTTCAAAATAACCATGGAGAGGATGGGTGGCATCTTCTCCATGAGCGTCATCCCATCAACAAAACCCCGTTTCCCTGTTTTTTCGTTTACCTCACGGATGCCATGAAGGTCATTTCCGGTGCTATTTCCAGGCTGCCCGACTCAAGACAACAGGTGTGGATTGGAAGTCTTTGAGAGGGAAGGGAAAGGAGAAGATATTTATCAAATTCCTAACTCAAAAAAAGAAAAGAAAAAACTAATAATTCGATTACCGTATAAATAGAGTTGAAGCTAAGCGGAAGTAACTTAATTCGACAAATAAAAGTTCAGAATACCTCGTATTATACTGTAACACTCACCTGTCCTCCCGATCCCATCTGGGCATAGCTGAATGTAGCCCCATTATTACTCGGTGGAGGCAATTTGATGACACTATGCATCATCTGCGGCCTATTGGCCTTGTTGCTGAGAAGAAAAGTCTTGGTTGTGGATGAAGCTGAGCAGCTGCACGCTGAGCACGAACTTGTCTTTTGTTTGTTCTCAATCTGCTTCTGATTCTGCATCAAATAATCAGAGATGGCCACGTCGAATTTGTTGGTCTTCTCCTTAATCTTAGGGGTGGTTGGGACCTCCCTGACTTCCTCGATGGCATTATTTTCCTCTTCATTTATGGCATCCATCAGTATCCCGATTATATCCAATTGATCTTCTATAGGTTGAAGCCGACGGAATAGATCGGCCTTGGTCCCAGAGATGGCAAAGTTGTGTCTTCGGCAGATGACCTTCAGGTCTTCCACTGTCAGCTCTGCCAATGGGAGTTTGAAGTCATCGGAATCGTCATCGCTCTTGATCTTGCGGTTCTGAAGAAACGTTTTACGCGATTCCTTCATAACTTACCTTCAATCTTCGTTTTGTAATTGCCGAAACAACAGATTTTGCCTGAGGCTTTGTTTGCGGGTTCTCTCCCTTAGACTCCACTTTCTTGACCTTCTTTTTGGTCGCTGGATTCGCTTCTTTCTTCTTTTTCGGAGATGGTTCAGAGTTGGAGATGATATTATCTGAGTAATTATGGACAAATGGGGACGCGGCCTTGACTGCATTCATGTCCGATGGATCTGCGATTACGGTATGCATACTGAAATGGGATGGAGGATGAGAGGAGTAGGGTCTCTTTAATGTAGAAGTTTCGTTGAAAGATGGACTGGAATAGTAGTGAGGGTCGTTGGCGAAGGACTTTTCAGACCAGGAGCAGTCCATCGGATCAAAGGTTGAGGTAAAGTTGCAGAAGTCATTGGACTGTAAACGATAACGTCATATAAGATCATGAACAACAAAACAAATTACAAAACTTCCGCTTACATGTTGAATACAGTGGTCCAAAGGTGAAGCACTTCCACTAGATGGACCCACTGAACTTGGGGTGGACGTGGAGCCTTGAACACTGTACTGGGGATGACTGTGGATGTAAGTCTGATCGAATTGAGTGGAAGATCGTCGCCGGAAATGCTTTTCTTCCATTTCCGGAGAGAAAGAGCCGGTCAGAAGATCACTCATGGTTGAATCCACCGAGCTGAGCGGGGTCTGAGTCCAAGTCGGATCAACGGCCATCTCTTTTCCATGCACTTGCCCTCAGGGAATATTCAAAAAGGCCTGCCCTGAGATGCCGCAGCGTACAAGCCCGGAAGGCAGCTGGCCCCGAAAAAACTCAAGGACCGCGAAAAAATCAGGTTGGCCCAAGCAGATCAAAAGTCTCTCGAAAGAATCCGGAAAAAACGAAAAAAGAGATCCTCCACTCCGTTCTTGTTTGAGGCCTGAAGCGAGAAAAAGTTGAAAGCCTGAGGTGCTGGGACTCGGCCCAGTCAAATCAACGCTTTTTTATGTTACAACGGCAAAAACGACGAATCGAGATCAACAAAACGTCGGGCGATTTGCAAGGATATATGAAATCGAGAAGATGAGTAATGGAAGATGGCTATTATACATCTGTTAATGGATATGAGGACGAATAATCACAGTGTTTGAATTGAAATTAATCTAAGCATAATGTGTTAGACACCTCTGAAAAGGATGTACACTAAGCCTGGACATAGTAATCATATCAATTTATAAAATAAAGTAATAAATAAAAGACCTATAGAGATAAATAACTCCAAGAAATAAATAAGGGACCATCCAAATCAAAATAAAAATGCCCAAGTTGTTAATTAAGATCCATCAATCAGCGGACAAAAGATTGGCGAAGTGAATAAAAAAGGAAGGCCTCTCTCCATTGATCCAGAAAATAGCCCGGCCCCGTTTTTCGGTCGAGAAATGGGAATCAAGAATGGCCTAAGAATCAAGACATTTGGAATCGATTATCAGCGCAGACCGAGTTGCAGATATCCTGAAGCAAAGGAGGGATGTAATTAGTTCCGAAAACAAACACAAGACTTGTCAAGGGCCCGTTGAGAGGTCCTTTGCAAGTGTTGCGCGGAAGGAATCGACAATGTTCAATAAGCGCTTTAGCAAGTCTTCGCAAAGGTCAAACTGACTCGAGATCCCCGACCAACGTGATCAGTACGAGAAGATCCAGAAACAACAAAAATACAAACTTGTGCAAAACTCCGAAGCAAAATAAATACAAAAATATTCAAAGCTGGGGATACTGTAATGGAAGTCAATAATTCATATATATGTATATGAGCCCATTCTCCCAGCAGTCGGGCAAAGTGATATGTCGCAAAAAGATAAAAATAAAGCAAGAGAACATGAACTTCCGTTCCGCAGCCCCATCATATCACACATCTGGCCCTCCTCACCAGATGGACGATCAAGTTCATGTCGAGCCCAGAAAACATAAAACGAACAAAAAACAACACGGATCCGAAATACGGGTCCAACGGGCGGATCAGGCCGCACTGTGCGACGACAGCCGCGTCCGTCCATGCATGGCGGACAGGCGGCCCAATCAAGGAAGAACACTTGCTTTCGACGTCAAAAACTGTTGTTTACTCTCCTCCTGGCCGGGGAATGTCCCCAGATTACCTTCACCCACCCCCACCCACCCCCTCGGGTCATATTTCTTCTGCGTTTGTGTAATATCAGGTATTCCGAAAAAAATGAATCATTCCAAGCCACCTATGACATGATCTGATCGGATCAGAGAGAAGAAGCCAATAAAAGAAAGGAAGGCCACAGTTCTCTTTATTTTCAAAGTATTATAACAACTTCTCGGTTACAATAATATTAAAATTTCGTTGAAAACGAAATTCTCAGACATCGGATCAAAGGAATGCTGGGATGCAGTCAATCTTAATCCGAGATTAGAATGTGAGGAAAGCCTTGTCTAAAGTCCGGCCATGTGACTCCCTCATGGCCAGGCGCCTTGTTTATCGCAGAGAACAGTAAGAAAGTGATCAGACTGGAAACTTATCTCCATCCTGAAACTCGGGAAGATGACAAACAAAAAAAAAATTCAACTATTGGTTGGGCAAAAATCCGATAAAAAAGTTATGATCAACACACTATTTACTTGATTGAATGGATATAACAATAATAAATACTGTGGAAATTGGAAGCCCGGAGATTTTATTTTAGGTCCAAGTGAACCCTCTGGGTTCAGTTTATCACGAAATTGGTCGTGGAGAAAGTAAACGGAAAAAATTCCTGGCGAAAACTGCACGCGGATGCTTCAGGTATGTTGATAATATTATATTCACCTGGACCTAGTAAAGCAGGACAATAATGATACCTCAAAATTTCATTGCCAAATTTCTGAATTTCAAACATTTTTTCGGGATGATAAAAAACACAATCCAGTTCAAAAAACTATCTCCAAAATCCTTATCATCTTTATTAACCACGATGTATACACAAAAATCTAGAAAGCCTAGATTACTTTACAAAGAAATTCGGGAAACCCGGAAAGTTGCACTTATCAGTCTTCCGAGAAAATAGTGGCGGAATGTCGCCCGTTGGAACCGCCCGTCATCGCCGGCTAGCCGCAGCTGGAAATTTAATGGCGACTGCACCCCTTTTTCGACTAGGCGAAACATTTTGCTGCGACGCGTCGAATCGCGACGACCCGCCAATATTTTCCCGACAGACTGATGGAAGAAAATCCGAGATTACTGTGTATTCAAACAAAATAATTTCTTCACACGATGTGCCCAGTTTACTTCGAATTGATGTCCTTTCGGTGCTCGACGTATATCTTTCGTATCATAAAATTGCAAAGTAATCATTTTATACCGGCTATTACAGTCGAATGCTCGTCTATCGTTACCTGCAGACTTTCCGAAATCCCTCAAAATCCATTTTAGTCCTTTCCTTTTTTTCTGTCTCGATCTCGGTTCGCTTAGATGAAGAAGGGATGAGACGGTCATTCCATTCCCCGTTGGACTCGTTGTAATAAATGTTTGAACTTGTTGCTCGGGCCAGTCCAAACAGTTATTGACCCTTCTTACAGCCACGGCTAAGAGTTTACAATATGTGGCCGAATCGGCCGACTAATTTCCCACCTTTGTGCATAATCTTTCTGATTCGCACAACTCTTATTTCTTGTACAATTTTATGCGAAATAGGTGACAAATGTGAAGAGTGCTCTCTATTTAAAGTCGGAGATCATTGTTCCTATCCCACAGACACTACACAATTATTATATTGCGATCAGAAAACAAAGTAAGTCTTCCTTATCTGAATTATTTTTGAAAATTCTGAGTTTTGATGACAAAAATTACAGAAGGATCGATATCCATGAACATGCACATTTACTATGCAATCAGTCCTATTCATGGAGTAGAGTTGACTGCCAAGCAGATGAAACTCTTATTCACAACGAATGTAGGAAAATCCATTATCGATATAAACGACAAGGAATCTCCGGATCAGGGAGAGTGGGCGATTTCTGTTCCTTTAACACTGACTGTCTTACTGTAAGCGATAATTTACTGGATTTAAAAATTGTTTTTATAATTTAATTAAAATTTACAGGGAATGTTTTGCTCAACTGGCACTTGCACTTGTCTCAGTAATTTCGTGGCCATTCAAGGATATTGTTATCTAAGTATGTTATCCTTTACAGTATTTAACTTGATTCAGAAAAAAACCCCGGCGAATCTGGATGTCATTATCCAGAACAATGTAGTGCTGTATGGCCTGAAAGTCGATGTGAAAAGAATCGATGTGAGTGTCCAGAAGATGTGAATGGGATCCATTATGTGATGTCCAAGACCCGAGATGGAGTAGTTTGTATTTTAAACTCTGGAGAAGATGGAGATCCGGTCCCCAAATGCCCCCTTCCTGAATATGACGACGATCTCCTGACGATGCCGGTCTCCCAATTACGTAATGCAGCCATGACAGATCCGGACGATCAAGAAGTGCAGATGGGAGAACACATTAATCCCCTGCAGTTCTGCACTTCTTCTTCCACAGATTACACAAATTTTATGGCCAATGGTGGAGGGGCTTGCGTGTATGGGCAAGAGCCTTTTAACAGTGGAAATGGTATCTTCATTGGGGATGTCTATGATTGCGTGACAGCCCCTCAGGCCATGAGCAGTGTGAAGGGAGCCATGGAAGGAGTTTACGACATCCATCCTTCAGCTGATGGTATCTGCTGTCCGAACAGAGGTGGGAATACGGTGTGCGGTCATGTTGTTTGTCCTCTTGTTGTCTTAAACTTATGAAAGATTCCTCACCCTTTCAATTATCGTAAAGTGCAAATAATGCGCAGTCACGAAAATAGAGAACGTTTCAAACGAAATGGAAATCTATACCGAGCACCTTATAATACGGAGTCTGAGCACAAAACAAAAACCAAAAATTGCTAATCAACTTGCGATTACAGCCTTCACATGCATCCAACCAAAAAGGGAAGCCGATGGTGGAGCTGCAGCGCCCGCTGGAGTCAGACCTCGGTGGTGGTATAATGCAGTGACTGGGATGTGTGAGCAGTTCATGTGGGATCCTTGGGATGAGACCGAAATGCAAAGTCCCAACAACTTTAAGACAAGAGAGCATTGTGAAAGTTATTGCAGAGACAGTAAGTGGTAACGAAAATTACAATTGTCATAAATAGCCTGCAAAAGAGGCCCTCCTCAATATCGAGCTGGCACAAGTCAAAATGATGATGAACCAGTCTCCAATTGCCAGACAGCCTCTTCTTGCGCCAATAATTACGAATGCACTCCGGTTGGATCAATGCAATTATGCTGTCCAACAGTCACATCAATCTGCTCTGTAGCCGGCGGAAGACCTCAAGATCATTCCAGATCTACTCCATATGACAACGGAATCTCCATGAAGAGGACTTTCACCATGACTTACAGTTCGTCCAGTCGGTATTACTATGATCCGGAACAAGGTCGATGCACGGCTTTCATTTATAATGGAGCACTCGGAAACTTTAACAACTTTAAATCATCAGCTGAATGTGAATTGTTCTGTGCAAAATTGCAATGTACGTACGGAACGCCTTTGAAGATCGGGAATAACAATCAGCGATGTCAAACGAACACTGATTGTCCGAGCACCCATGAATGTGAAAGCGATCATAATGTCTGTTGCCCTCGACCACGTGAGTTGTATAAAAAACTGTTTATTTATTATTTTAGAGGCTATCTGTTCGCAACCGTTGCGGTTAGGAGACTGCAAACAAAGTGTAAGGCGATATTGGTATAACGCAGTAACTCGAGCGTGTGAGATTTTTGACTACACTGGCTGTCAAGGGAACGACAACAACTTTGAGACGTTACTCGAGTGCCAAAATACTTGTGAGAATATCATTCCAGAACCCCAATGCCCTCAGGGCGATGCCTACAAAGATTATCAAGGGAATTACTATGTTTGTTCCAACTCTGGTAATGGAAATGTTTGTCCAGTCAACTACGAATGTTACTTTGATGGATATGTGTGGGGATGCTGTCCAACTAAAGGTAACTATAAAGTGATGGTAAGATTTCCGTACGCCGTCCCACTTTCTTGGCTTCCCATTGCGAAGGTCGCAAAAGATCTTCCAAAGCGTGAACTGATGGATGAATAAACTTTAGCTCTAACAACAAGCAACAAAAAATTAAAAGCTAAACCCCGACGGCACGGCGTACCGAAGTACAGCCAAAGTGATTATCATAGCGTAACTAAACCGTTTAGCATACACATGTAGCCTGAGTGCGAATAAGGGAGTTACGTGTGGATCCGGATCATCCTATCGATACTTTTACAACAGCCAAACCCAAGAATGCGAGAGTTTCCAATACAATGGATGTGATGGAAACTCCAACAACTTTGCGACTCGGGATGATTGTGAAAGCTATTGTGGGGTTGGAGGATGCCCGAATGGAGGTACCCCCGAAAGAAATGAATTTGGTCAGCTGATGGTGTGCTCTTCCACCAATTCTTGTCCGTCTACTCATGAATGCACATCTGTGACTTCAGGAAGTTCAATTGTGAATCGTTGTTGTCCCACTAGAGGTGAGTATAGGAGGGGTTGAGGGTAACTTCAAATTTGTTGCTCACCCACGAGTTTCGACCATACCGATTTTTTCCTGCAATATGAGAACCCAAAACAGGATAAAACTTACGCAATAACTATTATGCAATCATGACACTGATTCTATAAAAAATCACCGGGCCGGCGAGAGGCCCGTCGCCTAAAGCGGGTCTGTCAAATTTTGCCTGAAATTTGCCGTAAAAAGCGCAAACCCGGCCCGGTTGCCTTGAGTCGCCTGGCGTTCATTTTTGTTTTCACGCTGGTAAATTTTATCGATTGGGATTATATGTATATATATATTTGGGCGGGCCCACACTTGCGGGCAACCTCTTTGCGGGCAGCTAACAGAACCACGGGGATTCTCCGAGTATGTTTGGAAATAAGCCAAGATTCGTTTACAACAGGAAATTCTAACGATGGATTTGGCGGTTACATGTTGCGAATCAAGTTTTCAAGTGTGTAAGTGGCTTGAATAGTTACCATAAGGTTGTGCAAGCATTTTTAGAGGTTCAGAAACCATCTTTTTGAAAGCAAACTCTCCTAACTTTGAAAGCGATGGATGAATTCAATAGATTCTTTTACTTACCTGTACTAGGGAGTTACCAATGCAAAATTTCTGCCGCGATTACGGTAGGAAAATCGTCATTCTTCTATTTGGTAAATCTCGGCTGCCAGCAAAGTCGTTACCGCAAGAGTCGTGACGCCTCTATTTGTAATATCTTAAAGTACGCGCTTCCGTATGACTACGTACACACTTGGCAAAAATGCAATAAGCAACAATTTACCACTGTAGTACCTTTTTAAATCGTTTTTATATGATATACACTGCTGGACAAAATGATATGACCACCGCAATTTTGCGCTGACAATTTGTCCATGGTAAATGAATTGCTTTAATATTTGGTGAAAGTGAGTATGGAGCAATGTAACATGTACCCAAAAAGTATCAAAGGATTTCAAAAAGTGCAAGGTGAGTAAAATTTGCAAAAACGCGAAACCGCCAAAAATCGGCTGGACAAAATGATATGACCACGTGGTTTAATTCAATCTTTTACTAAATAAACACAATTTAACAAACAATCCTAGTAATGAGTGATTCCTCCACTGATTACTAGGACTGGTATGGGGACACTTTCGGCCAAGTTTAGACGGGTTTGAACGCGTTAAGCCATGTTTGATGCAGAGCAACCCAAACTGGTGACTATCTTCGATTAACGCTTTCCAAAACTTTTAAATGACGTTTTTATCATGTGATCTAGACGTGTAATCACCAGTGCAAGCCTTCGCTTTTCGTACGAACTCCATGGTGGTCTGGTAGTGTGGATTCAGCAAACATCCGGTTACCATGTCCAGCTTTGGCGACCCATTTGCTATTTGACCCTGGGGATAGATGTGCTCCTTAGGTTTAAAATGAAACCCGGAATATCTCTAGAAACCGGCGAAGCCAAGAAAAGTCCCCGCAGACACGATCACAGATTTTCAGATGCAACTTTGCCGACCTTCACCTTATCCAGCAAAACCGAGTTTTTCAAATGGATTTTTAGCGATGCAAAACGGCTTTTATTCGATGGCCCATGTAATTTTAGAAGCTACAGCACACCTCATGCAACCTGGGCCATCAAATGAACTGTTTTTTGTCGCTAACGATCCCTTTGAAAAACTTGGGTTTTCTGGTTAAGGGGCAGATCGATGCAGTTGCATCTGCAAAGCTGTGATCGTGTCAGCGGGGACTTTCTTTGGCTTCGCCGGTTTCTAGAGAGATTCAGGGTTACATTTTAAACCTAAGGAGCACATCTATCCCCAGGGTCAAATAGCAAATGGGTCGCCAAAGCTGGACATGGTAACCGGATGTTTGCTGAATCCACACTACCAGACCACCATGGAGTTCGTACGAAAAGCGAAGGCTTGCACTGGTGATTACACGTCTAGATCACATGATAAAAACGTCATTTAAAAGTTTTGGAAAGCGTTAATGGAAGATAGTCACCAGTTTGGGTTGCTCTGCATCAAACATGGCTTAACGCGTTCAAACCCGTCTAAACTTGGCCGAAAGTGTCCCCATACCAGTCCTAGTAATCAGTGGAGGAATCACTCATTACTAGGATTGTTTGTTAAATTGTGTTTATTTAGTAAAAGATTGAATTAAACCACGTGGTCATATCATTTTGTCCAGCCGATTTTTGGCGGTTTCGCGTTTTTGCAAATTTTACTCACCTTGCACTTTTTGAAATCCTTTGATACTTTTTGGGTACATGTTACATTGCTCCATACTCACTTTCACCAAATATTAAAGCAATTCATTTACCATGGACAAATTGTCAGCGCAAAATTGCGGTGGTCATATCATTTTGTCCAGCAGTGTAGTTCCGGCCTGGGGCCTGAAGTTGAAGGAAGAGTGATGGTAAGACCCCTGATCCTTGTGTTTCAGCTTACATCTGCTCTCTTCCCCCGCAACAAGGATCATCCTGCAGTTCATCAGCTGCTGCCAGATATTATTTTAACATTGTAACAAAAGAATGTACTCAGTTTACTTACAATGGATGCAGTGGAAATCTCAACAACTTTGCCACCATGGAAAGATGCAACAATTTCTGTTTATCGGCAGCGTGTTCGCCCGGGGATGTAGCTTATGTAAATCCGAATACAAATCTTCCGTACGAGTGCAATGCCGCTTTAAGTAACAGTTGTCCCAATAATTTCGTTTGCACTTACGATCCCTTGTCGACGAACAGTGTTTGTTGTGGTGCTACAAGTATGGGTAAGTATTGAATTTTCTGTTTCGTATTTCTGGTAATTTTAGAGGTGTGTCCTGAAGGCGAGAAAGCGTACGTGAATGCAGCAGATATGAGTGTCAGAGAATGCTTGATCAATGTCGACGGAAGTTGTCCATCCAATTATTTATGTCGATTCAACGCTGGAAAAAATCGATATTACTGTTGTGCTTCTATTTCTGGAGGTATGTTTATTTTGTTTTGGCTACCCGATATGTTCGCTCAAAAGCGTTAAGGTCCGGGCAACATGATGAAATCCGTGTTTTCGGGGAAAAAAGTTAGGTCAGGATTAATGTTCAAAATCCTCTTAAAAACATCCTTCGAGTTGATCCAGACGGTTTTGGAACTTTAATTAAGGCAGGTCACAACGACACTGACAATGGTCACCTAAGTCGTGAGCTTGGTGACGACATCTAAAGGTGTCATGAACATCCTATTCATGCACGGAGGTAGCTCTTAAGTAATTTTATGCAACCACCTTGATGCCGCATCAGGACATTTCCGGAATTTGGACACTTCCGGAATGGCGGAATAGTGACACTTCCGGAATGGCGGAACAGTGACACTTCCGGAACCGGGGAAAAATCAAAGAAGAGGCTTAGACCTGCCATCTGAACCATCTGACTGGATTTATTGTTATTAATCTCAAAAATTTTGTTATTTTTTTTCTGATTGTTACTTTTTTCTTAAGTAGTAGTGTTAAAAAGTAATTTTTCGATTTTTTTCTAAAAATACTCGATTTAGGGGTTTTCAAGGTTGCTGATTTCGAATATCGGGTTCATTTTTTCTGAACTTTACTAGTTTTCCTTAAGCAGTAGTGTTATAAAGTAATTTTTTGAAAATTTTTTAAGAATACTCGATTTAGGGGTTTTCGAAGGTGCTGATTTCGAAAATCATGTTAGCTTTTCTCTTTATAGTACTATCTGGTACTATACAGTACGAGGTGAAAATATGGCTTTTGGCGTTAATGGTGTTGTTTTGATGCTTAGTACTCCTCAAAAACACGTTTTAAATAACTGGTACTGTTTAGTACTGTCTGGTACTATGTAGTACATGGTAAAAATAGGAGTACTAAGCAACAGAACAACACCACTAACGCCTAAAGGCCAAATTTTTACCTTGTACTACATAGTACCAGACAGTACTAAACAGTACCAATTATTTAAAACGTGTTTTTGAGGAGTACCAAGCATCAAAACAACACCATTAACGCCAAAAGCCATATTTTCACCTCGTACTGTATAGTACCAGATAGTACTATAAAGAGAAAAGCTAACATGATTTTCGAAATCAGCACCTTCGAAAACCCCTAAATCGAGTATTCTTAAAAAATTTTCAAAAAATTACTTTATAACACTACTGCTTAAGGAAAACTAGTAAAGTTCAGAAAAAATGAACCCGATATTCGAAATCAGCAACCTTGAAAACCCCTAAATCGAGTATTTTTAGAAAAGAATCGAAAAATTACTTTTTAACACTACTACTTAAGAAAAAAGTAACAATCAGAAAAAAATAACAAAATTTTTGAGATTAATAACAATAAATCCAGTCAGATGGTTCAGATGGCAGGTCTAACGAGCCTCATCTTTGATTTTTCCCCGGTTCCGGAAGTGTCACTGTTCCGCCATTCCGGAAGTGTCACTATTCCGCCATTCCGGAAGTGTCCAAATTCCGGAAATGTCGTGGTGCCCTTGATGCCCGATCCGCCCCAAATAAAGGATTGCGTTTGTATTGATTAATATTCTAATCTTTCCAGATCTCTGTCCCGTTGGCAAAGCACTTTACCGAGATCCTTCGTCTAAGAGTGCCGTTCGTTGTACGATCAGTAGTAGTAGTCAATGTCCCACTGGCTTCTCATGTCAATCAGATATTCCTGGCGCTTTCCAAGGGCATTGTTGTTCTGCCAGTTATCTCTGTCCAAATAAGGCCGACTTTTTCATCGAAGAAAGCTCGCAGATGCCGCGGTCATGCACGGTGGGAGCATTTATTACTTGTCCCAATGGATATACATGTCAAAGTACACAGTCGGAGTTTACAACCGGTCATTGTTGCAAAGGAGATATTATTTCTGTGTCCGGTAAGTAATACCTTCGTTTTTTACAATTGATTCTCAGATGGATGCCCGCCAAATGAATATGTGTTTATGAAGGATGGGCAGATAGCGACTTGTGATCCTTTTAATCCCCCCAATGCTCCTTGTCCTTCTGGTTATTCATGTCAATGGTCTTTATCCAATCAGAGATACCAATGTTGTGGTGCTACGGCAATCACAACTCCCAAGTCTATGGCCGCAATGGGATGTCCGAATAGTCAAGTTGCCTTCAGAGATCCCTTGACCAGTTCTCCGAAGATCTGTACGGCTGCTGCTCAGAATTGTCCGGTCGGTTACTTCTGTCAGTTTTCTACGACTAACAACCAATTCCAATGTTGTGGAATGGATGGGGGATGCCCGAATGATCAGGTTGCTTTTATTGGGATCAGTGGGGAACCTCAGACTTGTGCCATTGGCCAGAGCACGTGTCCCAATGGATTTTCTTGCCAAAGAACTATCAGCGGACAACAGATTTGTTGTACCACGGGAATCCCGAGTAAGTGATCAAATTAATGATAACAAAATCATCTTTAGCGTGTGGTGATAATCAAGTTAACGTGGATGGAGTCTGTCTTAACAAGGCTTTGTTGGGAGACACATGTGTCTCTCCCCTTCAGTGTCCCGAGATGTCGACTTGCGAAGAAAGTAAATGCGTTTGCCAATCTGGATACGAAGATATCGATTCAATTTGTGTGAAGGCCTGTGATGAAGATGAACTAAGAATCCGGGGAGTCTGTTTGAAGAGGGTTCGGATCGGCGAAGGATGCGAAGATTCTCAGCAATGCCAAGGAGGGTCAAGTTGTGTGGATAACACTTGCATCTGCCCTGAAGGAATGGAAGAGAGTGATGGAGTTTGTATCAAGAAGATGAAACGCCCAAAGAACAGTATGGAGAGTAGCGAGGCACCTGGCTTCTGTCCTAACCGTGATCAAGAGCCTTATCTCGAGGCTCGAACCAAAAAGTTACGGTTCTGTTCTCCTTCGAAGAAAGGGGCTTGTCCGCGAGCTTACACATGCCAATTCTCCCCTGCATTGAAGAAAAATATTTGTTGTGGAAGGAGTCGACGGGGAGCTGTGATTAGTGGCGGTGTTCGTGAAATTGTTCAGACAGCTGTGAGTATCCGACCAACAGGAAATGAGGGAGGCGGTAAGAATTGACTACGTAATCATTAAATGAGTCCTGTTTATTTCCAGGAATTGGTCCAATTGCCCCTCTATCAGTCAGCACAAATGAAGTGTGTGAACAGGGAGAGCCTTATATGTTAGGGGGAATCCCTCAGACTTGTACCTCTTCTGTTTGTCCCCAGAAATACAAGTGTATATTTTCGAAGCGAGCCAAGAATTATTTCTGTTGTTCGAAAGAGAATGTTGTTGTTCAAGGAGCTCATGGATGTCCCAGTGGTACGGCCTTACTGTTCCCGTCAACAGGAACGCCTGTTCAGTGTAGTCCTGAGGGTACCAACTCTTGCCCAAGTGGCTTTGAATGTCTGAAAAATGTGAATTCCGGTGCTTTTCAATGCTGTTCTGCTGAGGCTCAGGCTTTCAAAAAGTATAAGAAGAAACGTGAGTAATAACATTATGTTTTTGTGGGGAGTAATGAGTGAATCGGTTGATGCGATTGCTTGCAGATTGCCCATCCAACCAAGTACAAGTTCGTCGAGTCATCAAGGGCCGTGTCGTGAAGCGCTGCGAATCCAGATGTCCTCCCAAACAAGTGCCCGTGCGGGGCGTTTGCCGCGATCTCAACCGACAGAAACAGCTAGCCGAGAAGGAAATGGCATGATGATGTTGGACACACTCTCTCGAGTACGGGCCTTGCTTTGATATTGCACTTGTTAACTGACCTCAGTCTTTCTGTTCTTGTTTGCAATAAATTATGTAAATCGTATGGTTGTAATTTAATGTAAACGGTTGCAAACGAATTCCGTCCGTTCCACCGTCCGAGCTGTCGCGGCCGCTAATTAGGTTAATCAAAAAAGAAATCCGGACGGTCAAAGAGGAAGGGATTCACGGCGGCTTTATCAAGTTTGGGGGATGTTCTCGACGCCTTCCGCAGGTCCCATTATGTGAAGGGGAGGAGAAGGAAGGCCAAGGAGGTTCTCCACAAAAGTCGTTCCTTTCAGAAGGCCGTGCTCCGTGGCCGGAAGTGCTTAGACTTCAGGTCGGACACACATAATCTATTGGATTCTGTGCGGGATGCACTTTGATTGTTGCGACAATGTATCCAAAGTAGATTTAGTCATTCGGTTGACTCCCCGACCTTTTCGCTCTTACTTATGCCGAGAAAAAACGTTTTTTGGGGCCCGCGATGCATCGGCCGCTCTCAAATTAATCCACAAACACCGGGGTTTAGATTACTCCGTTCGTGTTACCGTAATCCGCTCTCTTCTCGGCTTTCGCCGACTGGAACAGTGCGATTGACGTCCGCGCCTTTCCCCTCTTCTTGCAGATCCCGTCTGGATTCCGGGCACGATGACAGGTGAGGCGCCGGTCCCCCGCCGCCTTCCCTCCGGACGCTTGTTGTCGGGAGTTGTTTTTGGGTCTTGATTTGCATCGATTGTCGATTTCATGTCTTTCGCTCAATTTCATCCCTTTTTGTCGTAGCGCTGCGTCAAGGAAGAGAGAAGCCGGACCCTTTGCCAACTTTAAATTGGGTTTCGGAATTAATTTGGCGTCCGTGGCTCAGGAATCGCTGAGTCGAGCGAGGAGGAGAAGGTCCCAGGTTGGAGCCGAATTGGAGTCAGTGGGGCCGAAAAAAAGAAGTTACCGATTATCAAAGTACTTTTCCAGAACAACGACTTTGTGTCTGTCGTCGAGAACAATGCGATGACTCCATGCGGAAATGTTCGCACTTTCTCGAACCCGAGTTGGAGGGCTCATCCGTCGGCCTCAGGAGTTTTTGCGCTGGAGGGTGCCGAGATTCTGAATGCAATTTTGTTTTTGAAACAAGGTTAAATTGGAATGAAACTACGGGGCCGGAACTCTTTCCCGCTGCAAGGGAGAAGAAGTAAACGAAGGCCCAAGGCGACGGGCCGAGAAGAACGGTGGGACGACGCCCTTGGTCAACTGTCTTATAAAAAGTTTGCTGGTCGGAAGTCTCAATTAATTGTGTTGATTCTTCGGCGGGAAGGGGTACATGCCCTCAGAAAATGTCTTTTTCGGCGGGATTCGAATCGGTCCAATGTCAGTTCCCATTTGGAATTCGGAAGCCGAGACTCCTAATAAAACTTGTTTCCCGCACGTGTTTTTAAGGAAGAGAACCTAGTAATAGACACACTTTAAGACGTCTCCGAGCTCTGTTGACGGTCGGATTTGGGCCTTAGGAGAGTCGTCGCCCGGGCCGGCTAATCATTCGACGGGTCAACGACTCCCTCGAGGCCGCTTCTCCCTCAAAATCTCGGTTAATCATTTCAATCCCGGGTTGGCGCGGTCTTTCCGTCGTTCTGATATCTCCTTTGTTTTCGTCTTCCATTTTTGATTCGCTTTCCGACATTCCCCGATATGAATTTTTATGATGCGTTGCAAAATTTATAACTCAACTGACAAGGGGATCCGAATAAAAAGCGGAGGGAACGTCTGAAAAACGAAATGAATCGGCTTCGGCTTCATTGAGATTTTCCCCGAGTTCTCCGAGGAAACCGCGTCATTGTCGGCCCCAAAATAGTCGTGTGTATCAGGGTATCCAAGTTCTTGGCGCTTCCCCAAATGTTTGAGTTACGTCCGGGCCATCAATTAGACGAAGGGTCTGTCCCGCTACCTGCAACTAATCATCCTTATTAAATTGACATCTGTTTCTTTTCTCCACCGGGCCTGCTCTCGTTTTTTGTCGCATTTCGTGGCCTGAGGGCATTCAGAGTTTGGCCTGGTTTCAAACATTTATTCTGAATTACGCGCGCATTATTCATCAAGAGTGGGAATGCAGATTCATTGTGTTAATGAGGCGAAAAGTAGAAACGGGAGATCGTACCATGAGTTTCATTCCTCCATTATCTCACAAGATGTTCTCTGTGTCATTCTTTTGTTCCGTAATTAATTACTGATGATTTGTGATTACTCATGTATTTATTGTACTCTTATTTATAGGGAGCCAGCTCCATCGGGACTCACTCTCAAATCATGCTCAGGATGAGATAGGCCTTTCCTTTACTATGGTGGCGTTGCAGACGTTAAGCAAGAATCTGAGCGAAGAGGCGCTCCGATTGGGGGTGGAGGATGTGCTGGTCTTCCTGGGCCTCGAGATGTTGGGGACCCTGGCCATCATCGGGAACTTGTGTCTCATCCTGGTGCTGCTCAAAAATAAATACCTCCAAAGAGCCAGGTGAGTTCACCAATAATAAATAAATTCAAGATAGGTTGGAGTGATTATGAAATCTGTCGAAATGGACTGTCTTTTCAGCTTCATCCTGATGCTGAGCTTGGCCATTGCAGACGTCGTGCACGGGTTTGTAACGACCTGCTTTTTCTACCCTCCTATCATCCTCAAATACAATTACGTTCCAGATGTCGGGGTGCGGGCCTTCAACGTCTTCGATTGGACGGCATGGAGTATCTCGTTAACGTATGTCCTCCACACTTATTCATTAGCCAATTGCAGACACATGTCAGGTATTTGTTTGGATCGTCTGATCGCCATAATGTTGTACGGAAGATATAATCTGATTGTCACTGTGAAACGGGTCCGTTGTTTTACCATTTTCTGTTGGACCACCTTCACCTCCATCAACGTGTTGTATATTCTGATGCGGGTCTGCTGTCTGATCACTCCTTTGCGCAATAATCACTTTTATACGTTTGGTTACGGAGAGTTCGAGGATGAAAGTAGGTTGAAAATAAACGTTGAGGATTCCTTTAATGGCTAAATATTTATAAAAAGACTCGGGGGACAAGGTGTTTTTAATGGATGGACTTTAAAAGATCCAATTAAGGCCAATATTTAGATGCCAAACAAGCGAGTATTTTTGGTCCGACGAACCTTTTTACGTTCACCTACTCCCCCCTTGAGTTGACCACAATCGCCATCTTGTCGATCAGTAATCCCATAACTCTGGTCCAGCTATATCGTCGGCACAAAAGGAAGGTTGCCCTGAGAATGTAAGTTGTTCTCGCCGGGTCTATGGGAATGAATCTACTGTTTCCATTTTTTAAGACAACATCCCCCTCGGCCCACCCAACAACAATCGGTCTCGGTTAAAGCGCGCACTCAATGGCAGAGGTATTCCGGCGGTTTTTTGTGTTTTTGGTTGAGTAGTTGGCCTGGACTAGCTGGTGGTTTTCCATTTTCGGGTTGCTCTTGTTTTTGTCACCACATTCCCGTTTTTTTATTTTGGGCATTGAATCAAGACAAATTAGCACTGTTAATTTGCATCAAAGTTCGTTTACTTAAAAAAAATTAATTGACTCATTCCAAGCTTAAATCAGCAGCCATTCCAGCCACGCCAATCCCCCGATCCTCCATAATTCTCGTATTTTTAGCTTTCGTGGGCTTAAAGCGGCTACCGTACATCGCGAAGGGTTTGCGCTTTTCAAATTGACAGTTTTTGAGTGGTCTTGCGCACTTGCGGTTCTTGTTTTGGATTGCTGTTATAACATTAGCATGCTGTTTTGCACCTCACCTTGTTTTTTGATTGGTTTCCCGCTTTCTTTTGTTGTTTATCCCAGCCGAGTGATAGAATGCTTGATTGTCATTTTTTTGATCGGTTCAAACAAATGCCGGAGATGCATCAGGATGATGGATTTCCAATCATCCGATGACGTCTCTAAGGCAAACCTAGTGAGCTTGTTTCATTTAATTTGGTTTTAGGGCATCTACAATGTTATTGGAGATGTCGATGAGAATGGGTTCGAAGCATCTAAACAATGACGTCAGGGAGCTGGCCTCTCGGAGGGCAAGCCGACAGCAGCAACGGATTCTACTCCAGGTATTGTAACCGATTTTTTTAGCTTACTGTCAAAACAGTCTGGAGATGACATGAAAAATGATTTTGTTGTAGATATCGGTGGTGGCTGTCATCTTCTACCTGTACATGTCAACATATTACATGGTATATCACGTATTCGAGATTACCAACAAATGGGTGGTGTTGTTCAATTCCTTCTTCTACTCGACCACTCACATGATCAATCCAGTCATCTACTTTTCGTTGAACAAAGAGATGAGGAACCAGCTGGCGAATGTGGTCAATGAGATCTTAACCAAAGTGTGCCGAGTCAAGCCCAACGATGATGATGCCATACGAAAAAATTCATCGGGGCAAAGGTAATTCGCCGGAGTAGTGTGGAGAAGCGTTGCTTATTGTGATTATGTGGTCGTGCGTTGTGGTTTCCATGGTAATTGCAAATACCATTCTATTTACAATTTTGTATAGGTCATCGAATACGAAAGGCGGAGAGAATTCGGTGACGGAGACCTCTCCACTGTGTGCCTCGAGTCATAACAACACCGGGTCATGTGCCCCCATGTCGATGGTCGAGCGGTTGAAACGTCAAGAAATAAATAAACAGATCCAACATAACAATTCCGTCGCCTCGACCACTTCTCACACAAACGGATTTGTAAAAGCGACCAGAAAAGAGTCGGGGACACCCGTAGAAGAAAGGAAAATATCTCTGGAGGAAGCTCAGCCATTGATTTCGTCGAAAGAACCACGAAGATCGCTTCTAGAAAGTATTCTACAAGCTATGAAACGGATGGCCGCTTTGGAAAGGATGACAAATAGAACCGAGAATGGGCCAATTACATTAGCCATGCCGTCTCAGAGCCGTTCCATGGATGTGATCGGCGATTTTCATGAGACAAAGTAAACATTCACTGTTTACACATAAAATACAACACATTTTGGCTTTAACAGAAAGGTAATTACACTTTGTTTTTAGGTTCGTGATGAAATCATCGACGGTGCACGGGCTTTCAGACATCGAGAATTACAGTCAAATTGAAACTACCATCAAGGAGAGTCTGGTCACCCTCCTTGATCAGAATACAGTCATCAATAGCCACCAAAACGGGGATTCCGACCACGTTGAGGACGATATTATCTTTCTCTGATCATATTCACACGGGTAAACAAAAAACAATAAATTTTTAATTCCCTTGTTCGGGATGCTTGTATATGAATTTAACTTTATTTTGCTACAAATACAATTAGATGACAATATAAGTTTAGGCGTTATTAGATACAACGATCTGCATTAGAAACTTAGGACACAATCACAGAAAATAAATAATTAATCGGGATACCCTGGAACAAGTGAGTTTGGAGGGCATAAGTAACACAACAATTAACGAGGGAAGAATGGCGCCTGATAGCCTCCGGGGGCCGCAGGAGGAACTCCATAAACGCCTGGGGCCGGGGGCATTTGGTTTGCTGGAGCATAGGCCAGCATGGGTTGAGTCTCCATCACCGAGCCCGCTCTTTCCACCGTCTCCTTCAACTCCTGTTTCCTTTCTTCGTTTGCTTTCTCAAGATTATCAATCTGAAAAATGTAAAGTAATCCAAAGAATCCAGTACATTTAATCTTAGATAATAAAATTCAACCTACTCGTTTGCTATAATCGTGCATAATCTGGATCATGTATGGCATAACATTGTCCATGATTTTGTGTTTCCATGCAAGTTCCAAAACAATGTCAGGTTTCAAAAGATCGTAACACTTTACAAGAGCAGCAGTGAAGCATTCCTTGTTGTCATTCTCGAGGAAGAACTTGAGAAGATCCTCGACAATTTCTGGTTTGCGACTCTCAGAGGCATATTCCATGGCGTCCTAGAACAAAGATTACTGAAACTGACAACCACTTACCTTGAACAACTTGTCTCTTTTGCAGAGTTCCACCGACTGTTTCCACCTGTTGTTTCCTTTGAAGAGATAGGCCGAGATCCTTCTGAACTCTGTCAATTCGTGGTTCTCCAGTTGCTGAGCTAAGGCAATGTTGTCGAAGTTGTCATAGGAATCAATACTGGCCCTCAATGACTCGTAATCCTCCTCATCAATGTACATTTGGTTCAGGCATTCATTCAGAGCCTTGTTGTTCATGTTCTGGACTTGTTTGAGGAAGGGTTGAACAAGTTTCAAATGACCTCCTAAACAGAATTTTAATTTCCTGAAAGGACACTTACCCTTTTCAAAGATCTGGACAGTCCGTGATAAATCGAGTCGTGGAGAAAGGACCACCAGCAAATCATTGAGCAGAGTTGGTTTGTAATCCAAGTAGAATTGAATAGCCTTGTAATAAAGCTCAACATTGGCAACCTTGGGGATAATCTCCTTGAAGTGCTGTTCTCTCCATGCGACAGTGGGGTGGTTAATCATGGTCAAGATGGCGTTATCATACTCCTCATATTTGTCATACAAAAAGACCAATTCAGCCCAAAGATGGGATTGTTCGGCGGCCTTGAGGACTTTCGGGATATTAACTCTCGACCAGAACAGTTCCAAATGTTCGCGCATCTTCTCCGGCTTGTACTTGGAGTAAAGAATGGCCAATTCAGTGAACATTCCCATATGAGCTCTTTCGAGTCCGAGTGCAGCTTCGAGAAGGCTAATCAGCTGCTCGAAGTGGCCGGCCTTCTGATAATAATTGATCAATTCCTCCAATTCGTCAGCATGAACAACAATATGAAGACCACAGATCTGAGCCAACCGGAATTCCTCTTGATCAACACAAGCAAAGCAGATCTCCTTCCATGTTTTGGTTGAGTTGGCCTTTCTTCCAGCATCAACGGCACCTAAATGAACATAAAAAAACAGTTTCATTCACCTACCTTGGTAATCTCCCATCTTAACCACAGTAATGGCAAGTTTGGCGTAATTGGAAATGCTGTTGTAGAGGATTTTGGCAGCTGGATACATAGCCTCCTCGAAGCATCGATCACCAACTTGCTGGATGGCGGCGTGATTGGGCTCATGGACAAATTGTTCCAGATCTTGGAGCCGGTTGGTCTTGGCATAAGCAAAGCAGAGCTCTGTTTCGATGAACGACTCTCTAGACTTCTTCCTAGCCATCTGTAAAAATCGAACAAGATCTTCCCAATGACCAGTGTCCGAGCATTTCTTCACAACGTCAATGAAAGCCCGAGGGTCGTTAGCCTTAATGTAGGAGTCCACAGATTCTTTGATTAAACCTTCTTCAAGCTGAGCTCTGGCCAACTGTCCCCAGACAGCTGGTTCGTTTACTTTCTCCGCAAATTCGTAAGCACGATCCAACTTCTTAATGTTGTCGATAAGAACCTAAAAAAAATTTAATTCCCTTATTAAATTAATGAAACTCACTTGAATTGCAGAAGCATTCACATCGAACTTTCTAAAGATCTCAAATGCCTCTTCATACAACTCGCTGGAAATGCAAATGTTGGCAATATCAGGTGCATCATAGTTATCCAGTTTCTGGATATATTCCATGACCCGGCTAGCTTCCGATTTGACAGCGGTCAAGATGAGGAGATTCTGTAGATTCCTGTGCTGACCAAAGTTAGAGCTATCCAAGACAATTTTCTCCAATAATTCGATAAGTTCATGTGGCAGATTAGCAGACATGAAAGCCTTGACGGTAACGGAAATATCTTCTGGATCCTGAGTTTCAGCAAATGCAGTTTGAACGACTTGATCAATTAAAGAACGACGGTGGGCGGTATCTTCGGTAAGAACGGAGCCCCAAAGTGTTGCATCTCTCCTTCTGACCAAGTACCTGGCCAGATTCTTGAAGAGCGAGTTCTCATTACAGACCTTGATGATCTCTTGATCGCAATTTCCTCTTTCGTAGGCCACGAGAGCATAATGGGGATCCCTTTTTTCGCAGTACTTTCCGATCACTGCAGAGTCGTAGTATTGGTTTTCTTTCAGGAATCTCTCGGGGTTGTTGTTGGCATCAATGTGAATCTTGGCCAAGGCATTGTGAGTAGCGGCATCGGTGGCACCCTCGTGAACTCGGCCTTCCAACCAATTAGCCAACAATTTCAGTCTAAAAATAATCCAAAAACAAAAGCAAGTAGATTACCTGTTCCTTCTCTCCACTTCCTCGACCAAAGCATCGATATCAAACTTTCCTCGACAATTTGAGATGAGCTGTTTGATGGCCTCTTCACTGCAATCTACATCCAAAAGAGCTCCGACGACGACAGGGAGTCTTGCTGCATTAACTTTGTTCACAAATACCTCAATGGACTTATGGAGATTGTTTCGGAAGAGATAAAGAACAAGATCGTGCACCATGTCATGTCGGTCACATACAATCATCAAAGCCTGTTGGTCACTCAGTTTGGCTTCCTTCAAGTAATTCTTGACCATCTCTGCGTTGTAGACATTTGATTCTCGGCAAATTCTTTCGACTTCCTTCAATTGGCCGGTTCTGGTGGCGGCTTGAATATAAGCAAAGTGAACATCGGGATCTTGCGAGAAGTTGACAATCGATCCCAAGAAGTAGTAAAGACCTTCAAATGATTTGAACGATTCGAACAGCTCGATGATTGGCTGTGTTTGCAGTTGTTCAGCGTACCTCGAGGCAATCTGTACAACGATATTCAAATTCTGTCGAAGATTTGCTTGGAGCATGGCTTTCAAACATTCCATGGTATCGCTAACACTTAGACGACCAAAGTAAGTGATCAACCACTAAAAACAAAATGATTTATGAATTATGAGACTTACATCAGGCTGGAATTGATGAGTATGAACCACGGTCCTCTTGATGTCGTAGATATCCGTAAAGTGCTCTAGGGCTCTCTGCAAGAGGCCAGCCTTTTCGCACAGTTGTCCAATGGCAGCTCTGTCGTAATCCTTGAGTACATTATTACCCAAAATCGCATCAGCGACTGGTGGATTCATAGTAAGGTTCATTTCCAAAAGCCGTGTTTGAAGATTGGGCTCCAAGGTGACACCCTTGTTGACAAGCTCCAACAAGAATTTAGTGCACTGTTGAACGGCATTGACATCAGAGAAGCAATCAACGATCTAAAACATCAAATTATTGTCATTTTGAAAACACTCACTTGATGAAGATCGACTAATCCTTTCTCATCAGGCCCCTCGGTAGCCAATCTAATTGCGAAAGCGACGGCGGCATCTGGATTGGAACGCAATACCTGTCTCAGTTGGAAGAGATAGTCAGGTTCAAATCCAACTTTCTTCGAGTACAATATGATCTTCTCGAATTGTCCGGTCTCAGCAAAACATTGAACGACCTTGTGTGGAACATTTCCTCTCAGGTAGATGCTCAATGCGAGTGTTGGGTCGATAGTCTTGACAAGATCTCCAAGATCTTCCGAGCATTCCAATTTGTTTTCGGATAACCATTTTTCCACCAACTGTTTTTTGTTTTGGGCAATGGCTGGTCGACACAGCTCCAAGGATTCGTATTTGTTGAGCTGGCCGGATTCCAAGAGAACGTTGAAATACTTCAACAGAGGCGTTGCACTCTGACCAGGGACGGCAGGCGCCTGTTGAAACTTCTGGAGGGTACCTGGAGTTCTGAGAATGTTGTTGGGAGCATTGACGGCGACTCGGGCAGCTTCCTCATACTGGCCGTTTCCGAAGAGGAGGTTAAACTTTCTTACAAACAGATCTTCCGCTCCTTCCAATTTACATCTGGTTGCCATCTTCAGCGCCAAATCAGGATTTTGAAGTTGGTTCTTCAGATAAGAAACAATGGCCTGATCATCGATTCCAATGGCCAAGACTTGCCCTGGTCTGTTGATTCCCAAAAATCCATTCAAACTCTTATGCTCGGCAGTCACAAAAATGGTTTCAGAAGAAACCCTTAGGGTGTAGATGGAAGTTCCAGTTTCGACATCAAATACTTGCACAAATCCGTGTTTGGTGATCATGAAGACCACGCCGTGGGTATCAGAGGCCTAGAGAAGAATATTCAAAATCAATTTACACCATACCTGCATGGAGATGGGGAAATCATTGGCGGCTTCAGCAGCAAACTGTATCTCTACTTGTTTCTTGCTGAAGGGTTGATTTCCAGCTGGAGGAGTGGAAACTTCGATGATATGAAGTCGAGAGTTTGTGGCCGTCCTGGCAGCAAAGCAGAACAGATTGGAGGGATGGGGATTACCCTCCTGTGTAAATTGAAGGAAGCATGAAGCATGTGCTTCGATTGGCTGGGCGAGCTTTTTCTCCTCGCTGTACAACTGCATAGACCCGACGACTCTATTTTCCTAAACAAATAATTATTATAAATCATAAAGCACATACCTTGACGGCAATTCCTTGAAGCAGCAACAACTTAGCGGTGTGGTCGCACTTGTATGAGATTATCTGACAGTCTTTGAGGTTAGTGTGTCTGTCAAACGCCTTCACCGGAGCATTCTGACCTTCCAAATGCCAATGAAAAACACTAGTTTCAGTGACAAGACCGACAGTCTTCTCGTTGATCCATTTCCAGAAAACCACGTCCTCTGTACTCAAATGAGACTTCAGCTTCGCCCTCTGGTCAATATCAAACATCTGCAGTTGTCTCTGGGCTAAACAGAAAAAATTTATAAAAAACAATGTAACCTTACACTTGAGAGCAATGATCTTGCGAGTAGGATGCATGATCACCGAGTCTGCGGTGATAGGTCTTCTCAAGATGTCGTTGGGTCTGTTAACGTCAACGATAACAACTTGATTAGAGCCTCCAACCTGCTCTCTGACCACAATGAATTTATCCGATTCCATTGTGACATTGGTGAAATTGATGGCTTGGCTACTAATCCCAAGATTCGGGAGCTGAAATTAATTTTTCTATAGCTATTTAAAAAGTTTTTGAACCGTTACATACACTTTCTGGTCATATTCACCATGATTCATCGTCCCAATTACAAAAAAACCTAGATTTTAAAAACTTTATGTGTACTACAGTAAAAAACACGGGACTTACGGTAAAGAGTTCATGAAAGCGTATGGGAACGATCGCCGACATGATGAGAACGCTAGAATAAAAAGATCAGGGCGACAACTGGATGTTCCAACTTCTCGACTAGTGCGGAACTGAAATAAAAAATACAAAAGGATGCGCGAAATGCCAGGAAAGGTATAATTCCACGTGTCACGACATTAGATAAAATCCCAAATCAGAAAATTGCGGCATCAGAAGGGGCACCCGGATTCTGAGACTTCAGAGTCTCCGAACGTTGAAACGTGGAAGGGGCGAAGAGAAAAACGCGAAAACTCCGCAAGACTCCGAAGGGCGAGAGACGGCCAGCCAGTCAGCCGGGCAGTGGTCTTTCCTCTCTCGACCAGCGCGACAGACAAGGCCAAATATTCCTCTTGGCCAAAACAAATGACGACGTCATTCCAATGAGGATTTTTTCCGCGTTGGTTCATAAAAATTGGAATGAGTCACCCAGAGGTGCGCAAAGGTGACCTTGGAAGCTTCAAACGAGCTGGAAGAATTCGATTTGTGAAGAGTCGCCATCTCTCTCGTTCTACAGCATAGAGAAAAAATGTTAATTATCAAAGATATGACCGCCTTCGTAACGCGCACAACTCCACCGACCACGTAAAAATGACCACTTTTTTCTTCAAAAAATATGTCTATAAAATAAGTCGTAACGACTGTTCTTTTGGTTGAAAATTCCGGCTGATTAGACATTGAAAATTCGAAAAACCGTTAGAGAGCTAATTCGAATAAAGGACTACACTGACCGCAATTGATGAAAGAATTCGTCAAGCCTGTAAGAAGATCGGATGATACTTTTTTCGGAATTCACAAAATTGCAAACAGGTCCCAGACAGAATTATTGCGATCTCGAATCATCAAAGGAAATTAAACCGCAGTCAGTAATCTTTATTCGGTTTGTTTATACATGTATGTATATCAATAGCCGTTGTATCCCAATCGTTTCGAAATGAATTTGCTGACAACATTGAAAGGTCGCATTTCGAACTCTTTGTAATCATTTTCCGCGAGTGTAACTTGATCCCCCAACATCCGATTCACCAGAGTAACACAGATGATGACGGCTGAAAATGGTGAAGTTAATAAGTTCAGAACTTCATTACTAATCATTTATTCCAAGAGGAAGATTATTAATGATGTCACCTTTACATCCTGCCCGCTTTGTCATTGCAGCAAAGCAAGTTGATTCCATCTCGATATTTTTCACCCCCATTGATGCCAACTTCTTCAGGTACTCGACTTTCTCGTTCAAAGCGGCGTCACAAAAGGCTCCATCCAATCTCATCTGGCCTAGATGCATCGTTTATTAATCAACGACCACCCACCTTCATAGAAATCATTGGCACACATTGTGGTACCCATATCAGCCGCATAGTTCATTTCCTTTGCAACGTTATAGAATTCTTTGGCCAGGTCTTTATCGAGGGAACAATCAAAGCACAGCGTCTTCCCGGCGATGTCCAGAATGTAATCATTTCTGAGTTTAGAGTCCATGGTGTTGTCAGCCACGACCACAGTGCCTGGGGCAACATCAATTCCGCCACTGGTCCCTAATCTGATGAAGATGACATCTGTGGCTCCAGCATAATAGAGTAACTTGGTGATCTCGTTCAACATAATGCTCAACGAAGGGACACCCATTCCATGCTGAATAGGAATTAATATTATATCACAGTAGCTTACATTCACCCACATGACATAACCCGTTTTGTATAGACAGAAACGATCTGACTTCGAAATATTTTCAGAGCAAGGGAGGCCAGCCTTCTTGGCAAACAAAGCGGCGTACATTTGTAACCGAGTGTAGCTGCCGCCGCAACAAACAAACTAAAAATAATTGTCACAGACATACTCAACTTACTTTCACATCGCCAAACTGGGTAAAATCAGTGGTGCTTTTCTTGAGTCCGAAGTGATACAAAGTATCATCTTCCATACACAGTAAATGCGGGTTGTCGATACGTACCTTCGACATGACCAAAAATGACTAAAAGAGGGAGGATACGGCGATATCAAAAAAGAAGACAGATAATCTAGTCAATGATCTTACCGAGGGAAACTTGAGACCGACCTCCCCACTCGATCGAATCGACAAATAATTACTTTATGATTCTGATATTACAACGAAGGCGTCTCTCATTCTCGTGATTTCTGACGTCCCCCAAGGCTAAAGAATAACGAGACAACAAATTAAATGAATTTGTAACAAACGTGAATGCATTATTAAGAAGAATAGGAGTTCAATATTATTTTCTTGCTGAGATCTTATTCCGCAACTTTTCGTAAGACGACATTTATTCATCAAAACAATCAACAGTCAACAATAGGTAACTTCCATTTCAAATGAAGTAAAGAATGGTTTACACTTCCCTCATCTGTCATAACTACAGTAACATCAAATAGATTCTTTTCGGTTACAAACTCAAGAAACGGCAGGATCCCTCCATCATTTCCAAAATAGAGATCCTTTCCACTTAAATATCTGACAAAGAGGTACTTTTCTCACGTAATTAACTTACATTGAGGCGTCTTTTGTCTTCTTGAGGTATCGCTGAAAGACCAAATGAAGATTTTCGAAGTTCTTGATGCGATAAACGGTATCGGAACTGACAATTAAATCGAAACTGCAATGTTTTCATTGAAATAATATATGCAGTAATTGGACCCTACCTAGTCTCTTCTAAGTCTTGGAAACAATCAGGCCACGGTCCAGCCACGAAGGAATATTTAGATTTATGAATTCCGTTTACGTCGAGATTTGGTTGTGTGGTATCGGAAAGAACATCTTCGTTCTTAAAGCAACGTCTCTAAGCGTATATATCCTTACCAAGTCTTGAAACACAACATGTTGAACATCATTATACTTGGCCAAGAAAATACCAAGTAATCCGTTCCCACAGCCAACCTAAAAAATTAGACGTAAAGAATATAAAACTTACGTCCATAACATTTGTGATCTTAAACTCCGCTTGCTGAGCTAGAAAAGATAATTGAAGCAGTGTGCCTTGCCATAACTGATGCCCTCCTAAACAGAAATTACAATTAAATAATGTCCCTTACCTTCATATTGATCTTCTACAACATCAGCATCCTTCGACTTCAAATATCTGACACTTTTTTGCGCTAGCCGTATCTCCCTAAGCTTTCCAGATTCCCAAACTTCGTGCAACTTCTTTTTGGACAAGCAATTCCAAGATTCCGTCATTTTGCAAAAAAAATTATTTTATTTTTGGCGAACTGCGGCCGGAAATGTGCGTTTTGCGTGGTTCTAGCCCCAAAGCATTGCGCAAATTCTACGGTTTGAATATTGTCATCAGGCAAAATTTTCGTTTTTCCGCGAGAAGATAGGCTTACGAGTGTATATATGCAAAACCGTTAAATTTCTCGTTGTATATTTTTAGGTTAATATTTTCCACCTCCAAACCCAATGGCCGCACTCTCTTCTTCTAAATTGGATGAATTGGGAAGAGCGATTAGTGTCGAGGAATTCGTTAAACTCATCGATCTTCAATTGCCATATAATGTTGAGCACTTGAAGCTGTCCGAGTTTATTAAATATGATTATGGGAACTTAATGGTACGCAATTTTTTTACGGAAGGATTATATTTTTATGCATTATTACCTAAACCTTGCATAACTGATTTTTAGCTTCTAGACTTCACCGAGTCCCAGGCAGACTACTTGATTGAGGTTTTCGATCAGGTCTTGAAGCACAAAGAGAAGAAACAAAACCCAAGTATGAACTTTGTTAACAAATTCTGCAATGCCCTGAGGATAAACAAGGACCGAGTGGACAAGCATGAGAGTATTATGAAAAAAAAGAAGAGGGAAGACTACTTTGGAAGTGTGATTACGGATCTCCAGAGTCGTCTGAGGCACTATGTTCCCAATGAGATTCAGATTGGTGAAGAAGAAGGCTTCTCCCTAGTCTCTGCTGTGATCACTGGACATCAGGAGTGCATTGAGGTATGTGTTAGGAGTCTGTTCTCTGTATTTTTTAGAAGATGATAAAGATGGATCCAAAAGCGGTTAATCGAGCTAACTCGAAGGGATGGACACCTTTGATGTATTCATTGGCCCAAGGATGTTCTGATGGAACCACCACTCTCTTGAGAGCAGGAGCTGATCCCAAAACGACCAACAAGGATGGAATGAATGCTCTTGGATTGGGGGCATCGTATGGCCACAGATCAACCGTATGTCTCTTTCACAAAAATGGTTATTTTCTTGTTCAGCTCCGGAACTTCCTGAGATTCTGTCGAGAGAAAAATGGATCTGCCGCGTCCAAAATGATGATCAACGAGCCTGATAAAAAAGGTAGAATCGCTCTTCATTATGCGGCCGAAAATCGTCAATGGGAAGCTTGTGAGGTTCTCTTGAATTTCGGGGCAGATCCAAATCTTAAGGACAAGGAAGGGAATACACCAATGTTGATTGCTTGCAAGGGCAAGAATTCCGCAACCGTCCGAGCAATATTTACAAAAGGTGGCAATCCCGAGATTGCGAACAACCAAGGGGAGACTGGAGCTTCTTTATTGGGCGAGAAGAGAAGATATCTGATCGAGGACGACAAGAACAGCAAGTGAATTTAACAAGTTGCCATGTGTTATATTTATTTAGCCTTCAATATTTACTGTTTTACACTTACTCACGTTTCTAGAATTTTAATTTTTCTGGTCTGAATAAGGTGATAAGAAGCAATGATCATCAGGGTCGTAGTCTGTTGTACTAATTATTGTATGTAAACTTTTTTCCTCTGACGATGGACATTGTTTTTACTACCTTTTGATAACTCTTTTATGTTGCTCGGTTATTTTTGTACATTCTTTTATACTTGAATAAACTATGTTTTTACACTACTTTCACTGTTTTCACCTCAACTGATCCTTATGTTATCTCTTGAGATCTCTTCTGGATGATTTGATTCCCGAATTTACTTTTCTTCACTTTCAATTTTCGATTGTGGGTATTGATGACCCGCTTGTTAAATAGAGCGAACATTATTAAAAATATATGACGAGAAGAAAATTTTAGAAGAAACCAGTAGACTTGGAGAACTAATGAGTAGTTTGGATAATCTCAGAAAAACTTATTGCTAAACTAGTTGTTCATGGTGATTTTGTAGATTACAAAAGGTAGCTTCTGGAAAAAGGGATTGCCGGCTTCGTTTCTGCTGAGGGTTTCAGCTCTTTTCCTCTTTCAGATGCCTCCTTCTGATATGAATCGGAGCGAGTTCGTCGTGGAGGTGAGGGTGCTTATTTAAGCGGTTCCTCGCCGATCCTCCCATCATTCGCTTCTGATTGATTACTGTAGCCATTATGCTGGCAACCCAGCCTCTTCATCAGCTAGTCCAGGATTCGAAGGCCTCGAGGGCTTTCAATGGGAATCTGCTGCCCTCTAACAACAATGCGTCCGTTCTCGACTTGGAAAACCTTCGATCGATTACGGTAGTGGAAGATGACTCGAAGCAATCTGTTCCCGTGGCTGTTGGTATCTTCCATTCCTACACTCCCAACCAGTATTATTGTTCGGCTGTTGCCACTTCCGACAAATACAATGACGTCTTTGTGAATTTGGCACCAATAAAGAGAAAGGCAGGAGAAATTGGAGTTTCTGAAGATGTCGCTGACAACCATTACGTCTACAAGGTGGCTGAGAAAAAGACAGAACTAAAGGATCTATCAGGCTTCTCCCCGTACTACTCAGTTTTCGGTAAGCCCGAGGCCACTCCGCTCTTACAAAGCGTCATCGATGAACTTATTGACAACGCTGGGCACAAAAACTTTGACATGAAAAAGAATATTACGGTAGATCTATACGTTGGTGAAAAGTCGTAAGTGTATATTTTGTAATTTATGTCCCATGCGGCTTCGTGGAATTTATTTTTTTCTTTAGGAACGATGAATCAATTGATTTATGGAGAGATAAAAGTGGTTTCGTTGTTTCAGACAAGTACAGGTTCTTGGAATACGAAGTTGAAAGGTGAGGAGACACAATTCTGTCTGTAGAATGAACTTTTTCTTTAGGCCCAAACTGCTCTCACTTCTCGAGTCATCAGCGAAGCCGTCAGAATATAAATTCGAATCCCTTTCCGCCAAGACGGCGGTCCTTTTCTTGGATTACGATTCCAATATCACGGTGATCGACCGTCAAGAGTATCTGGAATTTCTTTTCGGCCTTCAAGGTGTAAGTAATCTCCGAATAATCTGCCGCGAAACAAAAATGGGCTATCTTGACATGCAATTCCTTAATTCTGTTTCCTTTATCTGATTTGAATCTTCTTTAGGTAAGAGGAACCGTCGCTATCGACGCTGAAAATCAACCGGTCGGTTACGTGTTGACCCTCGGCGAAAGAGTGCTTCAGTTGTATGCTGACACCGAAGAGATCGCAGAGTAAGTGACATATTTTATGAAGATTCATTATATATTTGGGATGACTTCAAAAATGCACGGACTTTTGAACGATGACATAAGACCTTTTTGTTTGCTTACAGTCGCCACCCTTATCGGCCGTGAAGATCGTATTATGAACAGAGGATGGGGCTGATAGCAAAACGGGTTCACCAATTGATTACGTAACATTACAGTAATACTTCTTTTCAGGTCAATCCTTCTTCACCATCTCCGAAGTGAAACCGTTCCCATTCTGCAATTTTTTGTCATCTCCAATAACGAATTGTTCAAGAAGATCTCAGCGATCGCCTCAAATGAGAAGCGGGTCAATCGCTACCATACCAGAATCCTCCCTTCAAATGTAAAATGGGGCAATGTCTTCTTCTTGAACATGGGAGCTCATCTCTATTAAGCAGTTCTAATTTATGTAAAAAGTGCTGGGTATTATTAATTTTTTGCTTTATTGAATGACGTAGGATTTATAGAAATTGTCATAGCTAATAAATAAAGCCGAAGCATACATAATCAAATGCTCAACCCAAATTTATAACGAAAAACAAACGTGCTGAACTCTATTCTATCATAATACACTTTTTCAACACAAAATATGCAAAGGTATTCCCCACTGCGCCACTTTCCTTAATGCGTTTTGCGGGAGACACTGTATATTTTGACATCACATGATACCTTTTATGTTAAACGGAATCAAACCAAAATTGGCGACTTTCCAGAAGGACTAGTATTAGTCCATCCGGGAAGTCGCTGTGGACTATACGTGGGTATTTGTGTAGATATTCGGGTATATACCCCGTCCGAACCCCACATGACTGACGCGTCAAGTTGACGACTTGACTACCCTAATAATATCTCTGCTCTGCGCCTAGAAATTAATGATACGTCATGCTAAGGTATCCCTAATTCGTTGTTTTAAGCTTTATTGGATGATGCTATATTTACAGACATTGTCATAAATAATAAATAAATCTCGTGACAGTCATAAACGGGTGATTCTTATTCTTCAATCTTACTTGAAAAGGATTGATTTAAAGACATCTATGGATTCGCATATCGAAGGATCGTTTAGGCATTTTTCAAGGAAATCTTTTTTCGTTATAACTCCATCAGAATTGGGATTAAATCTCTGAAAGACTTCTTGTGCACACTTGACATCAATTTCAGGACGACTCGGCTTTCTTTTGTGGGTTCCCAGAAGATCGGCAACCGAGGTCATCACATGTTGAACTCGCTCACAGCTTACGTAGCCTTTCCCCAACGGATCATAGATGTTATAAATCCATTCAATCTTTTCTTCCATCGATCCTCTGCATAAAACCGAAAGGCACTTTAAGTACTCCTTAAATTCGTATGACTAATATTTTAAGCCGTACCTACCGAGAAGGTGATAGAACCGGTATGAGAAACATTGATGGCATTGAAAACAAGATCCGCGTAATGCTCAACATCTCCCCGTCTGAAGAACTCTCTGAATATGCTCCGAAGAAGGTCCCGATGAATAACAGTACTCGGTGCGGTGGCCTTAAATGCCCGATATAAAGTCTTTATCTCCGCGGCGTTGAAACGTGTCGTATTTTGGAGCTAAAATTGGTTCTTAAACAGGAACTTCGCAAACCCCATAAAAGGATACTCGTGTAAAGAGTGCTTACCTCGGCCGGGCCCACTTTCTTCTGCAAGTACGGTCCAATAATCAGGGCTTCCGCGTCATTCTCTTCTGAAGAAAACAGGACTGGATTTTCGATTTCGTACATTTTGGTAAGGTGGCCAAAATTATTATATTCGACGGCCCTCTTTGTCCAATCTGCACACTTTTAAATACTTTGTCTGAGTACTTTGGGTAGATTACATAATACTAGTTACGCAACAAAGCCGCACTTTAAACGAATTTCCCGAACAAGAAAGTTTGGAAGAGACGAAGTGCCACACTATAATAATTTACTTACTCAGAGAGAAGGCCATACTCTTCTTCTGGCTTGCGTCCATGACCACCGCCTCTCGGCGCCGTAATCCCCGCATCGCTGGAAGTGGGCCAAATCTTGTCTTTGTTTCTTTTTCTTGGCTTTAATTTTGTTATGATAAGTAATTTAATACGCAGTAATATGACGCGTAATTATTTATAGGAAAGCGGCTGGACAGTTTTCACTTATCTGGCACCTTTCTTTATGGAAACGTTAGGTTAGAGCATTAGAAATCATGATAACGTAACGTATCTAATTTGCCAGGGATTGATTTCAAAGTGTTAATAAAAACGGATAAGAATGAAGCGGAAAGAGTCACCTAAATCTGATAAAGGGCACGTAAATATCATATCGCAGCATTTCGAACCCAGGGATAATTGATAAAAAGAGAGCAAAGGGCCTCATAAATTCCTCTGATCTCAGAGAGTCATCAATTGTATAATCATCCTAACCGTAAACACGGCTTTATCCAAGGAATAAAGGGACCAGGTGCCATTTTACGCTTCCGGTCATTAAGCGAGTCTCGTTGCAAAAGGGCATGCAGACACGTGAAATCCGGAAACAAGCTCTTACAACAGACGCAAAATAAAGGCGACAGTTGTTTTATCTGCCTTCTAATCATTCCTAACTCAATATAATCAGACATAAGGATGGCCGTAAGAGTTTCCTCATCCTTCATTTCAGCAAATTTCGATATCCCGCTGCGCTTGAATGAATCGAGAAGAGTAATGTTACCAGTTCTGAGACCAAAAAAAGCATCAGGCCAGACAAGGTCGGCTAAACGATTCCTTCTAGATGGGCTGGAAGACGAAGAAGTGTCATCAGAAATTAGAAACTTTCAAGGAAATTGGGTTAGCTTTGGGTTTGGCCAATATAACATCAAAAGGAGACATGGGGAACAAACAAAACAAAGTTGCCATTGGAAGACAACGGATTCATGGCAAAGAAATAATTCGGAACTGACACTTGAAGGTTGAAGCCTGATGGTCCAATGTTGGGCCTCGGCGGCATAAAGCTGTGGTCTTTCTATCCTGCCATTACTTTTAATGTGAAGCTCAAACGCATCAAGATTTAAGAAAAAAGAAATTTTATGATTCTCCTTTCGGAATATTCAATAAGTACCAGATATTATTTGTCTCTGTATCGAATTTCAGATCGTTTTCATAAAAGTTTTTTTTGTACTTTCCTTGTCTGGGTTTTGAATTCGTAGCTGATTAAATAATGGATCTAATAGTTTAATTGGAAAAGGAATAAACTATGGAAACAAACGGCGCATTAGAGAGTGCAGTAATGAGTTGGTCAAGCTCGGGATAAACTCGTTTCATGGAGTTTCCCTTCGACTGATAACCACCCCCGCTCGAATGACCAGCTTCTGCGAGAGACGAGGAGGAATAGGAACCCTCAGGGCAAGCAATCGCACGAAAAACGATGGCCATCCATCGATCCTTCAAAAGGCGCTTGATCCACGCTCACGCGGACATTCCCCCTAACAACGATGCGCGCCGTTACTGCGATCTTCTGTGCGGTCGTCACCCTTGCTTCTGCCCGTAAGTTTTGCATACCATATCTTTTGAAGAAATTTTTGAATTCTAAACATTGCGGTACAATTACAGAAGGCTACGATACCACCGCCCCATCTCCACCACATAATGGATACGGAGAGGCCGCCACTCCAGCACCAGTTCCTCAAAGTGGATATGATGCGCCAGCTCCAACCTCGCCACCAGCCAGTGGCTATGACGTACCCCCAACCAGTGCACCAGCAGATGAATATTCCCAACCCCGCAACCCTGCAGAAGGAGGTATGTTGTGTAACGATAGGCCCAAATTAACGCTCTTTTAGCCAAAACTATTCAATTCCCTCTGAAGAGTTGTTATTTGAACGATGACGGATTCATGTGCTGCAATAAAGTAAGTCGCCAGTATAAATGGGTTCAATGTGGATTGTAGGAGCTTGAAAAGCTGATGTCCGACACATATGACCAACTATCGAAATCCAGAAATGGAAAGTGGAAGAAATGTAACATACACCAAGTCACAGTCGCCGTCCAAAGGGCAGCTGAGCAGAGATTTGATGTCCAGTTCGAGGCTGTCACTGGAGCTGGTGACTTCGCTTCCAAGAACAACTTCTCCGGAGATTTGGTTTGTAAGATCAAGAGAGAGGCATCGTAAGTTTGGAATGTTCGTAACACCATAAATGTATTGCAGGTACATTCTCGCCTATGCTACTCCAAACTTCTAGACTTAGCCTAATTTAATCCTACTACAAGTGCAATCTCCCCATCAATCTCATATTAATTCTTATAATTAAATCAATAAAAAGAATTATAATTCAACCCAAAGATCAATGGAGACATAAAAAAATATGTCGTATCTGTATTTTTTAAATATATAACTTTCAAATTAGCATCAGGGATCTTTCGCTTTCTTAGTACGATCTACCTTATCCATAAAACAACGTTATGACTGGGGGCTATTCACGACCCGAGGTAATGGATAAAAATATAGATGTATGTATTATATACAATGCGCGATATGAAAACAGGAGAAATCAACGGGCAATTAGCTAAACAAACTAACCAAAATAAACAATCAAAAGCGTTTCATTTCTTGAATCCTTTGAGAATCGGGTAAATCTGATTGAATGCTTCATCAATATCCCTCTTAAACTTGGCACCAGTGATAACAACCTTTCCAGAAACGAAAATCAAAAGTACCACGCGAGGCTTGACCATTCGGTAAATGAGACCTGGGAATAATTCGGGTTCGTATGTTGAGAACTGAGAGTGCTTGATGCAGAGGGCTTCCAACAAGATGGGGAACTTGACATCACAAGAACCAACCATGTTTTGCACTTTGAATTCGGTAAATTTTGCATCAAACCCCAATTTTTGAATAATCCTAGCGTATTTCCGAGCAGCTAGCCTAATAAAATACATAAATTTATTATGTAATACTTACCGACTGGCTTCCTCTGACTTGGCTCCTGTACAAACCATCTTTCCGGATGAAAAGATGAGTGCTGTTGTCCTTGGTTCCCGAATCCTCATAATAACAGCAGCAAAACGTTTTGGATTATATTCCGCATTACGCGCATGAAGGGCAATCTTTTTCAAATCCAGTTGAACTCCTAGATTCACTGTCGATACAATATTTTGAAGGGTGGGAGAAGGAACATCAATGGCTACACTCATCGGGGTTGCCGGCATTGCCGTTGTCGGGATGTTTGAGGCTGGCATTAGGTCTCTATTACCCAAGAAATCTGCTTGAAGTGGAGTCATTGGAACAGCCAGAGGCATTACCGAAGGAGGCGCGTCGCCATACTGAGGAATACCGTTCAAATTCATCACCGAAGCAGGTTCTCTTTCCGCGTATACTGAACCGGGACCATTCTGACTATTTATGACGGAATCTAAAAAAATTTAATAAACCTCAAGCCACCTTACCTGGTCCTCGAACACTTGCTAGAACCGATGGCGGATTATTTAGACTGTTGAGAACTGATCCGGGACCATTTAAAACAGACGAAGGATTCAACATGGAACCGGGACCATTGCCGGAACTGCTCAATCCGCCGAGAATAGATCCTGGCCCATGATTTAGAGCATTTGATTGCGGCGTCTGCCCGATGACTGATTGAGGATTTAACCCAAAGACTGAGCCTGGACCGGTGCCACTCATAAGCGAACCGGGACCCAAGATAGAATTTCCCCCCATTATTAAGTTTGAGTTCAAGATCGAGTTTGCTCCTAAAAGAGTAAAGTTTCATAAGGACAAGACGTACCATGGGTCTGGTTAGATGCTGGCGTCTGTCCTCCGGCTCCAAACAAGGAACTCATCACCGAGCCCGGCTGCGCAGGCGATTGTCCAAAAGGGTCCATACTCAAGTCTGAAACAAGATTGTAAGAAATGCGAACGGAATATCCAAGAAAGCAGTTCATGAAATTGCGATATAAAATAATGATTGGCTGGGCGTAGGACTTCTTCTTCACGGACCGATTCCCCCGAACCGATCTAACCTCGGCAGGGGTGGTCAGCGACACGTTTTATCGGATTTTCGGCCAGGCACGTGGCCCATCTAGCGTTTTTCAGGCCCGGCCAGAGGAATCGGCAGGGAGAAGAATCCGCACCATATTTCGCTGATCAAAATTGCGAAACGACGAAATACCAATTGATTTTTAAAACATTTCGTGTATTTTGGAAGACAATTTCGATCGCACAAATTTTTTTCTCGGCGAGCTGCGCCCTTTTTGCGTTCTGTTTTTCTATTGATTTGTAAGCGTTTTTCTCCTTCCGAGACTTTGTCCGGGTATGTTCGAGATGTAAGGCGTCTGATACTGGATAGCCCGAGGTTTTGCAACGTGATAACCTTATGATAAAACAGTTTTACGTGCTTGCATGGCGTTTTTCTTTTTATAGTTTGAACCTTTAGCAAGCAATTCAAAATGTCTGGTGGAATGGCAATGGAAACAACCCCTTCATTCCCACATGAAAACGAAGAGCAAGCAATCAGCTATCTTACAAAATTCGGTAAGTTCTAAATCTTTTTTGAAAAATTTTAGGAATGTTCATTCGAATTTTTTTGACAGGAGTTTGTAATTTTAGTCACTAGTCCAATCAGAGGCGATGAGGATATCAGAGAAAGAGAAGACTCCATCATCAAGTTGGGGAATTTACTGGCATCAAGCAAAAGGACACACGAATTGAGGCAAATGATTGAAGAGACCAGACCCTTCTTAGTTGCTCTCGGCAAGGCAAAAGCAGCTAAATTGGTCAGAGATCTGGTAGATATGTGTCTGAAGATCGACCAAGATGGTGACATAAAGGTTGAATTGGTCCAGGAATCAATCCAATGGGCTTCAGCGCAGAATCGGAACTTCTTGAGACAAACTCTCCAGGGTCGGCTAGTCAGACTTTACAACGATCTTGGAAGATATCCCCAGGCTCTTCAACAAGGTATGCTGCAATCGTAGAGCACCTGACGTTTAATATTTTTAGCAACCGAACTTGTTCGAGAGTTGAAGAAGGTGGATGATAAGGACCTGATCGTTGAAGTCCAATTGGAGGAGTCTAAGGCTTGCTATCACCTCTCCAGTTTGGCCAAGGCTCGAGCTGCTCTGACATCTGCAAGAACAACAGCTAACTCTATGTATATCAGTCCAGCGATGCAGGCCGACTTGGACATGCAATCCGGAATCCTTCATGCTGCTGACGAACGAGACTTCCAAACGGCGTATTCGTATTTTTACGAAGCTTTCGAAGGTTACAACATGATTGAAAGCCAGAAAGATGCCACCAGAGCTTTGAAATACATGTTATTGAGTAAAGTAAGTGTTTTTTTATTTGATGTGTTTTATTTTCACCCTTTTCTTTAGGTCATGCTGGATGCGTCTGATGAAGCTACAAATGTTTTGGCACATAAAAACATCGTCAAGTATCACGGAGAGGATGTTACCGCGATGTTGGCCATTGCTACAGCAGCCAAAAACAGATCTCTGAAACAATTTAACGAAGCGTTTGGACATTATAGACAAGAACTCCAATGTGATCCTGTTGTCAGAAAGCATTTCAATGCTCTGTCTGATGCCATGTTGGAGAAGGAGTTGTGCCGTTTGATTGAACCCTATTCTTTTGTCCAGATCTCACACATTTCCGAGAGAATTGGTCTTCCTATCGAGAAGGTCGAGAAAAAGTTGGCCCAGATGATTTTGGACCAGAAATTTTCGGGATCTCTTCATCAAGGAGATGGAATGTTGGTTGTGTATGACGCCGAGGTAGAAGATCGCACGTACGACCTTGCTGTTCAAACGATCAGAGCCATGGGCGAGGTGGTCGATGTGCTGTACACTAGGGCGAAGAATATCCGCTAATTGATACCGGTGTCTCTTTGTAAAGTAATCTATGATATGGATTCTCGTTGTAACCAATCCTTTCATCTATTGTTAAAATCGATTCTTTTGAATAAATCTTTACCCTTTGTTGTAAACCAACGTCTCTAGTGGTCCGGACCTATCCTGATATCTGCACCAGTCTATCTCTTATTTACGGTTATTCAGTTCGGGGAGATGGACGAGACTGAAGAAAGTAAAGGTAATCGTGCATACTAATTCCCTGAAATAAACATTTGCTGTGAACGATTGGTTTTACTCTGAATGAATGACGGGACGAGTGTTTTACTCTTTTGTCTAACGCGCGTCCAAAAAATAATGTCTGTTCGGAACTTTTCGCTTCGAAAAGGCGAAATGAGATATAATAGATGGAAGGGAGTGGAAATGAGAAATCACATCTTATATATCTTCTCCTGTGAAGGGACCTTCGCTGCATTTCTCGCCAAATCGCCTGGCTAATCGGTAGTACTGCTAACTTTATTTGGGACAGTATTTATTCCGGGGCTGAGCTGTCTCCTGTCCGCCTCGTTTTTGCACTGAGTGGGCCGAAAACCAGTCCAACGGGGCTCTGACCTCCTTCCCGGTTTTCTCTTCCCCTCCGTCCGATCGCCATGTCGCGTTTCTGCAGTGATTTCCTTATAATATTTATTACATTGTCGGTGTTATCCGTAATTTTACTTTTTTTAGAACAAAAAAATCTTGTTACTCCGGCGGCCTCGACATCGAAGCCGAAAAACCTTGATCCAAACCCTTCGCCGTTTTCAATCCATCAGGCGGAGGGGTTAGACCAGTTGAACTATTCAGTAAGTAAAAATTTTAAAGTTAATATTTAAATTTTTAGAGTGAATACGGGTCTTTCACGGGTCAGAATCGGTTCGAGGAAGCTACAGTTTCGGTCATATTCTTGAGATCAGAAGACGAAGGCCTTGTTACATCTTCGAACCTTTGTCCAGCTGTTTTAGCGGGCAATTCGTTTCAGATCGAACACTTAGTGCCTTTTTATGCTAATGATACGGGTATGACGAATACTTCCAAACATGCCAAAGGAATCGCTGTAAGTTCTAATTTAAAATTAGGTATGAAAAATAATTTGCAGGTGCTCGGTGAAAATTTTACCCGATCAGTTCCGGAATGTCAGAGAAAAGTGGAGGAATTATTTGGAACTGGGGACATCCAACCCTTCAAGATATCCCAAATATTAACCATGATGGTTATCAGCGATCATAGTGATGATCATCCCCTAACCGATCCCGAAAATTTCCCATGGGATCCAAACGTCTTCTATGAGACAATAAATATGATGGTAATAGTTTCTTAACGGTATCCGTAATGTCTTCAGCTCCCCGGTCTAAATTGGAAAGATGTCCTGGAAGGAATGGACAATCCCTATTTTACTGTAAAGTCTAACGGAAGCTTCCGGTTTTTGTTCACATTATTCAAGTTGGCCTTCACCGACAAGGAGTTCCCAATCAATGTGTTGTATACACCTTGGAAAAACAACAAAGCTGGTCATGTAAGAAATTAGTTGTTTGAGTAGTATTTTTAGTTGTCGTGTCTAAACAAGATCATCTACCATCGACACATCTTCGATCTTCGAGATTATCCCCATACTTTGACTAACATTTCGTGTCTGAAAGTAATGCCAGATGAGAATGACCGAGAGGTTCTTGTTTGGAGGATGATCGAGTTGGTGGACTGTCTTTTCCAGCTTGGGGAGAACACTAGTCTTTCCCAACTGATCTTTGCTATGTTTAAAACCCCTGTGAATGTGTGTCCCGATATATTTTGTTTGACGGTGGCCCAACTCCAATCCCATTCCACCCAATTTAGGGTCTATGTTTTGAAGTTAGCAGTCACCCAGCTGTTGTCCGGTCATCAGAATGCTGTGCCTGTTCTAAATTTTATTTGGACTTGCGAAAACATGGACGCGTTTAAATCAATGCTGTTGTCTGCCTTTACGGAGTATTACACATCACAACCAGAAGATCAAAGTAGACTGACGAAGATTCTGGAAATTGCACATGAACTGAAACCGAATGGCCTCGGAGAACTGTTCAAGACAAATCATTACACGTTTCTCATCGATTTGGCTTGTTTGGCCGCAAGAAGAGACTTCTTAAAGCTGGATAAATTCCTAGACGACAAATTGAATGAAGTTGGAGTAAGTTTACAGTTGATTATTTTTCTACCCTATTTCAGGATCCCTTTGCCCAACATTTACTGCACTTCTTGCGCAGAAAATGTACACTGGTAAATTCGGAGATCTCACAGATTATTTTCACGGCTCTCTATGCACGTGTAAACACTATGTCTTGGCTCCTAAATGACATGAATTCTCTGCTCAATAAGAATTTGCTGCCTGCCAGCGTTCGCGTCTATTATAATTCAAATGGTAAGCTGGGAGAATTTTTTTCGTTTTGATAATCTAGTCAGCTCGCCCGTTGTATTTTTTAAAGTGAATACTGATAAGGGTCATGTTTAAAATTATATACAGAGGAAAGGCGGCATACTATTTTGACAGTCCGGCTAGTAAGGTAAAAGTGTGCTATATTGTCTAATTCTCATGATTTGGTGCGGAGAAACGGCGGGTATTAAAAAGACGCGGACGAGGCGGGGAGTGGGGAAAAGAACACGAAAAGAGTGTGGCGCCACTGCCAAAACGAAGGGGGAATGTGTTGAGAGTGGAGCGCGAGAGAAGCGACTACGCACCTCGGAAAGGGTCGGTCCTGCTCGCTCAGTTCTTGCCCGGCTTTGTCTGACCCAGCCATCCACTCTCTTTGCCCTTTCCTTATTTCCCTTACTTTCTTCGCCTTCTCATCACTTTTTTTGATGTCTGTTCGGTGGCTGAGCTTCATCCCTGCATGTGTTTGGTTGTTTTGTCCGTCGTCAACACCTTGGTCGATGAAAACGCTACATCCAACGCATGGGTTTAACTCTCTGTTTACAACTTGTCTGGCACCTGACACTTCAAAAAGAGAATCCATGTCAGAGGGGAACATGATAGGGATACTTTTTGCCTCCCAACTAAAAATTTCTCTCTCTTTGGAATAAAAATGGGGTTAGAATAATTATGAACGGTTATTCTTGTAGACTTAATTTTTCTGCCAATCGGGGATAATGTTTGCTCTGATTTTGGAGTCTTTTTCAGATCATTTGACATGTAAAGAGTTATATCTTTCGCCACGTGTTTTCGTATAAAACATCCCGTCATTACGAAATATCTAAATTTTGTTTTAAAATTTTTTGCTCGTTTTTATATCTATTTTTTCAGAAATTCGAATGTTTTTTATCTCGTGATTTTCCAGGATTATTAACAAGATCAACTCCGAGTGTGCCAAATTCTATGGACTTCCGGCCGACAGGCCGAGACATAGGCCAGGGTGGGGGAGGGCCCACCCCTGCCCCGAGTATGGCCACTCCTTATGCGGCCGAAGACGATCTCACGAACGCCGTCTTTTCGGATACCATCCAAACCCAAGCTAACACATATTTCCAACAGATCTACGACTGTAACAATCCTCTGCAGGTTAACGAGTTTCTAAGGACGATGAAGAGGTTCTCCATCTCTAACAACACACAGGAAAAGGTATGGGAAGCGTTTAATTAGACTTTATGTTTTTAGGAGCTTCTTTCGTGTCTTCTGAAGAATCTGTTTGATGAATTCCGTTTCTTTGCTGAGTATCCTGAGCGAGAACTCAAAACAACGGCAAAAGTATACGGTGGTATCATCAGGGAAGGGATTGTTTTGAATATGAAGTTTGCCACGGCCATCAGGAGAATTTTGGAAGCTCTTCATGCTCCCAGAGCTACTCTTTTGAACATGTTTGGAATCGTTGCAATCAATGAATGTCGGGCAATTCTTCATAAATACACAAAAATCTGCCAGACAATCCATGCAATGCCCGCGTTTGAGTGGTTTCCAGAAGATCTGAAGGAGTACATTGTGAGCGGGATCCAGGGAGTCCTTCCGCCGAATCATGTTGCCCAAAATGAACTCCAGTTAATCAACGAGAATGCTAGGACAACGCCATCCAACAACCACGGGCAAGCGACCACTCCTGTTGCCGGCATGAGGTTTGCCCCAAGGAATAACACTGTAAGATTAGAGTACCTTTAAAATATTTGTTTGTTTTTTCTTTTGTAATTTTATCTCTGTTGCAGGGACAATCCTTGGGTGTAACGAATTGTGAGTCTCTGATTCAAGCAACGCGGGCAGAAGGGCGTGAAATCGAAGCACCGGACAGCACGGTCGAAGAACGAGTATCATTCCTCTGCAACAATTTAACTTTGTCAACAATGCCAGCAAAGTGCGAAGAGATGAAAGAGCTGATCCGATCTCAAAACCGCGATATCCTGATTCCTTGGCTGGCCCAATATCTTGTGATGAAACGTGTATCAATGGAACCAAATCTGCAGAACGTGTACAATTCCTTCTTGATCTCTGTAAAGGACGAAAAATTAGATGAGGCAATTCTGACTGAGACATACAGATCTATCAACGTACTGTTGCGATCTGATATGAGAAGAGCCGCATCTAATTTCACGGACCGGATGTTGTTGAAGAATCTCGGCTTCTGGCTGGGCTTCATTACCATTGCCAGAGACGAACCCATCTTATATGACGAACTAAATATAAAGGGACTTCTGATGGATGCCTTTTTCCGAGGGCAACACGAGCTTCTTTATGTTGTTCCGTTCGTCACAAAGGTCTTGATTTCAACAGCAAAGTCAGTGGCTTTCTCGCCCCGGTGTACATGGATTAATGGAATTTTAAAGGTCTTGGCAGAAATTCACAACGAACCCGACCTTAAATTAAATCTGAAGTTTGAGATAGAAGTTTTGTGCAAGGATCTCCAACTTCATCTCAAAGATATCGAAATCACGGGTGTATTAAAGGACCAGAGTCGGTTGCCCAACCTGTTCCCTCAACGAACTGGATTTGGCGATGTCTCTCCAACCATCAACGGATTCGGGTCTCATTATCGTACTCCGACAGAAGGTCTCGAAACCCAACGGATTCAAATGTCTTGTCAGTTTGCGTTATCTTAATCAATCTTGTTTTAGCGATTATGTCGAATACGATTCCAAGTAGTTCCGCCAATGGTACGTTCTCCCAAACACCTGGTCATGGAATGCCGAGTTTCCCGGCTGGCTCTGCTCCAACACCCTCTAGTCTCCAAAGCACCTTTGTGTCGTCAAGCAGCAACCATTATGGTCCGTATGTGGATCAGGGCGACACTGATTGGACTCAGTTCTTGAACACTTTGGATATGATTATCGGGCAAATGCAAGCTCCCACCCATCTTAAGGCCATGATCAGACATGCAGTTAGCCACGCGGTTAGAGAAATGGTTGGAGGAATCACCGATCGCGCAATTGCAGTTGCGGTCACAGCTACAGAGGCTTTGGTGAAGAAAGATTTTGCCTTGAATCCGGACGAACTTCAAATGCGACGAGCGGCGCAGCAGATGATGAGGAATATGACCGCTGGAATGGCCATGATCAGCTGCCGTGATCCACTGTTACAAGCAATGCAGGCGTATCTCCGGAATCTCTTGGCCCAGAACAATCAACAGATCGACCTTCCGAAGACTGCCGAAGAAATTTTGACGGCTTCGACTGAAGCTACCATCGAATGCGCTACCAACTATGTGGTTAAATGTGCGTGTGAAAAGGGACTTCGAGAGATCGACAGAAGAATGGAGAAAGAATATATGACCAGAAGGTTGTGTCGACAAGAAGGCCGGCCATATAAAGCAGACCCTTCACTTGTCGCCCTAAATCCTTCTCTACCAGAGCCTTTGAGGCGTCTTCCCGGAACAAATGATGAAGCTAGCTTCAAAGTTTATGAAGATTTCCACAAACCGCTTTCTCTCTCTTTGTCGGAGACTCCATCCGAAATGATCGAAGAGTTCAGAAGACCAGTTCAGGTATCATAATATTTAATTTTTATAAATTTTTATGTTTAGCAGTTTGACCGGGCTCCGTCCGCCAACCAAATGGAGTATGCCAACCGTCTAGTCAGTCAGCCAGCTGTTGTTCGGCCTCGCCCAGCTTCAGTTGAGAATCTTGGTAGTTTTCCCAATGGCAATGGAGACGTCGGAAATCTCTCCAGCCGTCCTTCTTCATTCATTAACCCCATTGAACAACGTCGCGGGGGCGATGAGTTCCAAGGAAAGGTCGAGAGTATCCTCAGGGAATGGATTAACATGTGTTATCAACCAAACATTGCCCGTGATCCTCAGCCAGCCCTTACGAGCATCGTCAACATGATGCGAGAGAATGGAATTTTGGTGACTGATGAGATGATCACACAATTCTTTAAGGTGTGCGCCGACATTTGTTTCGACGTGGCCTATCGTCTCCTGAGAAATGAGAACAGTGGAAATCTGAACGTGAAACAACGATGCTACTTCACTTTGGACGCTTTCGTTAGACTCACCTGCTTGATGATCAAGTACTCCGCAGATGGAAACCATTCAACTAAGTTGAACCTTCTCAAAAGAGTACTGGCCATAATCACTCAAGCTGTTATGTCCGATCACGATCATAAACAGACTGACTTCAATGGAATGCCGTTCATGAGAATTATTATCCAGATGTTCAACGAACTGACCACTGAAGATCCAGCCCTCGACCCCATCTCTTGGGATATTGTTGAATGTTTCTTCCAGGCGTTGTTCATCATCCAGCCTCGTCGTGTCCCCGGATTCGTCTTCCATTGGCTGGAAATCATTGGCCACAGGATTGTACTGACTCGCCTGTTCCAAGGGCGATACGATTTCCAACGGTCGACTGCTGTCTACATCCAACTTCTGGTTTCCCATCTTCGTTTCTTGGGTCCATTCCTCCGATCTTCCAGAATTCATCCCAACATCCATGAACTTTACAAGGGTACATTGAGGATTATGTTTGTCATCCTGCATGATTTCCCTGAGATCTTATGCGAATACCATTATGTATTGTGCGATGTCATTCAGCCCAACTGTATTCAATTGAGGAATTTGGTGCTCTCAGCATATCCGAAGGATCTCATGATCCCAGATCCAATCAGTTTGTCGAAGGAAAGCGTATGTCTTTCATACTTTTTGCGTTTTTTAGAAGAATTTTTTAATCGAAAGTATTTTAGATCGAGAAACTTCCGGAAATGAACGAAGATCCGAAATTACACAGAGAAATGTCGTCCTTGGTGTCTAAAGAAATCGGAGAAAAACTGGACGAGTATCTGAAACGGCGGGTCCAAGTCAGTTTCCTGACCGAACTCCCCAGCATTTTGATGCTAAACCCATCCCAAGGATGCAAATATAACATCTCGACGGTAAATGCGGTCGTTGTTCATGTCGGCACACGAGCCATTGACCAACTGCACGAGAAGTCTCTGAGCATCAATATGACCAACGTGATGAACACCGCTTTCATGGACATTTTCCAGAGTTTGGCCGCCAGTTTATGTACTCAGGGTCGGTATTTGCTTTTCAACGCGATTGCCAATCAATTGAGATACCCCAACTCTCACACAAATTACTTCTCTTGTGTCATTTTGGTCCTCTTCCTTCACGCTCACAACAGTGAAGTTCAAGAACAAATTACAAGGTATGTCGTGTCTGTGTAAAATTTAATCGAACCTTCTTTAGGACCTTGTTCGAGAGGTTAGTAGCACAGAAGCCCCATCCATGGGGACTCTTGATCACCTTTGTAGAGCTGATTAGAAACCCGCAATACAACTTCTGGAAGCATAACTTTGTCCATTGTGCTACCGACATTGAAGGGTAAGTATCGTATTTAACCCTTTCCGGACGAGTCGGCACCTCCATGCAGAAATGAAAGAGGGTACCCTACTGAGTAACGGCATAATAGTGGTTCAGCCCATCGAAGCGTTATTTGGGACTTATGACAAAAAATGTCCTAAAAAGTACCCCCAGTTGACATAACCCTTATAAAATTTTGCTAACGACCTGTAAATTAGAAACTACCGCTAAGTTAAAGTCTAACACTCCTACTACTGTTACATCCAAGAACTGTCCAAATCGGACCACTACGGGATTAGTTATCGACTTTTGGAAATTGAATTTTAAACTTCGACCAATTTTTGGCCCAAAATTGAGTATATCTTCCGCCGGAATCAACCATTTCAGTCTAAATGTGGTTTTTCTGAATCTAGAGTGACGCTAGCTTCTTCCCAGAATGTTTCCAGAAAAAACCTATAGAGCACGTTTCTGTAAAAAGCAAAAAAGTTGAAAACGTAAAGGTTTCGCCGTATAAAATGTCGCCGCAAGCCGAAAAGGGTCGGGCGCAGCTCGAAAGGCGAAAATAATATTTTTTCTTCGAAAAATATTATTTTAGTGTCGACAAGCTGAATTCAGATGAAATACAGACAGACAGAGCACGCAAACATTAACTCAATGTCATTTTAATATTTTTAATGCGTTTTCAGGCAATTTCATTGGATTTTGCTTTAGTTTCACACTAAAATAGTATTTCTCAAAAAAATATATATTATTTTCGCCTTTCGAGCTGCGCCCGACCCTTCTCGGCTTGCGGCGACATTTTATACGATGAAACCTTTACGCTTTCAACCTTTTCGCTTTTTACAGAAACGTGCCCTGTAGGTTTTTTCTGGAAACATTCTGGGAAGAAGCTAGCGTCACTCTAGATTCAGAAAAACCACATTTAGACTGAAATGGTTGATTCCGGCGGAAGATATACTCAATTTTGGGCCAAAAATTGGTCGAAATTTAAAATTCAATTTCCAAAAGTCGATAACTAATCCCGTAGTGGTCCGATTTGGACAGTTCTTGGATGTAACAGTAGTAGGAGTGTTAGACTTTAACTTAGCGGTAGTTTCTAATTTACAGGTCGTTAGCAAAATTTTATAAGGGTTATGTCAACTGGGGGTACTTTTTAGGACATTTTTTGTCATAAGTCCCAAATAACGCTTCGATGGGCTGAACCACTATTATGCCGTTACTCAGTAGGGTACCCTCTTTCATTTCTGCATGGAGGTGCCGACTCGTCCGGAAAGGGTTAAAGACTTATCTGTTTCCTCTAGAATGTTAATTGGGGTAGCTAATTGGGTTCAAGCAGACCAGGCCGGCCGTCTAACGGGCCCTTTGATGGCGAATCGACCCGCTCGTCCCCAGTAGATTACCCTATCCCCAAACGAATATCCGGTGCAGACGACGATGTTCTCAGCCATCGTCCGGATTTGTTGATTTTCGGTGGATGGATGCCTTTACTCATATTCTTATGTTCTCATCTTCTCAACCACTTCGTATCATGATCGTGTATAGTCTCATGCATCTGTTTCCACTCACGTCCTATGGGTAGCTTGGTTATCTAATACTTGTAATTTTGCAGTTTAAACTGTTGTTTTGTTGTCGTCATTTTGTTTATTTCAATGCCCTCCCTAGCATGCTGTACTACACTTTTATTAATTTAACTTGATGATAGAATAACTAACAACTAACTAAAGAGTTATATCACGAGTTTTTTTTCCCTATTATTATTTCGAATGTTCGTAATTTTGTAAATTTCATAGTTTTTCAATAAAGCCAGAGATGAAAGGTGACGTATTATGACATTAATCTTTCAGTGCAAATTTATAACTTATTAGCAATTTAAAAATAAACAACAAAAAACGAATAGAATAAACCTAATTGCATCCAACGCCTAGTTATTCTTCGTCTTCTTTCGTTTTTCCACCGTTGAAGTGGAGTCCCGACGAACTAGTTCAATGGCTCGATCGTAGAGGTCCAGAGCGACATCCTTGCTCTAAAGATTCAGAAATAAAAATAAGCACCGTCGGACTTACATTATTCAGGTTCATGCAAACGACGGTCACAAAAATGACAAAGAATATTCCCAGGATATTGGACTTGGAAGTTTCGATTTCGGCCTTTTTCGGTAGCGGTGTGACCACCAAAGTTACTTGCTTGATCAAATCCAGTCCGCCATTCTGCGGGATTTGGAACGAAACAGAACTGGAGACGGCGTTAACACCCTTGAGCTGTTTGTCTGAGATCTTCACTTGATATTCTTTTCCTTCAGCAAGACGATCATTGAAAACAAATAGATTGTTAGTGGACCCCAAATTATCAGAAGCTATCTTCTTTCCGTCTTCATAGAGGTCCACAATCAGAGTCTTTGGTCTTTGCAATCCGTTTAATTGTAACACTCCAAGAAGTTGATTTTGTGAAGCAGTAACCAACAAAGTGAATTCGAGATTCTTCAGATCTTCTTGTTTAGCCTGCAGATATGAGTATTCTGATGTTACATACCTTATGATTGATGAACGGGGGGATTGCTCTAACTCTCTGGCCATTCCTCGACTTGGCCACCAATTTATATTCGCATCCGGGTTTCAATCCTCTGACTCTGAACTGTCCTTCCTTATCAGTAACATCTTCTTCAAGAAGATTTCCACAAGATTCTGACAATGCCTGGACAACCACCTGATCCAAAGGGAGACCACCAGCAGCAACCACCTTTCCAAACGCACTAACGCAAACATTTTATATTAAAAATAACAAACCTATAGGCGAATCGTTTTCCGTAAATCTTTCTTTCGACAGTTTCTCCTTCTTTGATCGACACAGATGTCTGATCAGGGACAAATTGATACTCTCGGAGAACGGATGAGATGAAATATTCTCCAGCAGGCTAAAACCCGAAATAAAAAACATTATTTTTCTGAATACTCACCACTCCAACAAAACTTTTTCTTCCAGATTTGTCCACGATGACATTGTTTCTGTAGTCAACTCCTCCACTAACCGAGACCAACACTTCTCCAAGAGGTTCCTGCGTCTTCTCATCAAAGTAGTAAACAACCAATTTCGACAATTTAATGGCTTTGAATTTGTTAGATCCGACTTTTGAGAACTTGTAGCCTTCCAATTCCAAAGCTACATCGTATTCAGAAGGATCGAACACTAGTCCAATTCTAAACATTTTACGGGGCTAAGGTAGTACAGCCCCCCAGTCCAGTTTAGCCCCCCATAACCCAGTACAACCCCCCTCGTCCATTCTGAACCCCAAAATTTATTTCAAAGAATTAATCCAAGTTGTATGGTCCAGCACGAGCCCCCTACGTTTTAGATGAAGCCCCCTACGTTTTAGATCAAGCCCCCTCCGTTTTAGAAAAAGCCCCCTACGTTTTAGATCAAACCTCCAACGTAGTAGATCAAACCCCCACTTACATTTTTTGTATTATTCTAATTTGTTCATTATGTGGGGTGTGAAACGGGCAAAACAGTGGGGGTTTGAACTACCTTTCGTGGGGGGCTGAACTACCGAAGCCCCCATTTTACATTACCGGAAGGAAGAAGAAATCATCTATAATGTCCAAAACAATTACTTAAATCTTCCGTAAGAATCGGTCTTGCCAACCAATGTTTCCGCTGATTTTTTGTTCACCGCTCTCACCTCCACATCTTTCAACGCTGGTTCAACGAAACCTTCGACATACTTGCCTTGAAAGGCCTCAACAGTCACCAGGTTGGGATCACATTCACCTAAATGGATCTAAGTGGAAACAAAACACTCTCACCGTCAAAATTAAATGAATAGGAATTTGGTTTGAAGAGAAGGGTCGTCGAAGTAGGGATAAGTTCTACCTTGGAGCCACTGTCTTGAACTCCAAGATCAAATTCAAAGCGTAAATTGTTCAGTTCCGCCTGTTGTGAGAAGATAATCTCTTCGCCACTCACGCTTCTGAAATAAATTATTATATTGAAAATGGAACCTTTTGTGTATTACTCAATTCTCTTAAATACGAGTAATTCACGCGATAGGCAGTCATTCTGGATAGAAAATGTTTTTTCCCTGCTATTAGAATGATTGAAATAGTTTCCCGGGTTTTTGGCAAAATCCTTGGCATTCCGCAACTAGAAAGATTTTAATTATCAAACCTATAAAATATGGTGTTTTCGAACGATAAAGCAGAAAAAATCGGACTATTAAGGTTCACCCGTAATCAAATTTGATATTTTGTTAATTTTTACATATTCTTGTTCTGCGAAGTTTTGATATATGTTTCAACCTGTAACTCCATACCCCATAGAAGTACTTTCCTTGAAAGAACCAAAAAAAATTATTTAACAATTTCGGTGAAAAAACGGTGTGTAAAACCTTACTTACTTTACAGTAACAGCGACATCCTTCACATTCAGCTTTAAACTGCTCTTTACATTCAATCCAACTCTCGCCGTCTTCACTCTCAAAACAATCTCATCCTTTGGTAATTCCTTCGAAAATCTCTTTCCCTCCTCAAAATCATAACAAGACTCTACGCTCAGATTGTACACTCCCTTCTTTGGGACACAGAATCTCGTCTTCCCGGTTTGCAAGTCAACAATTCCATGAGAGCCGCCTCCATTCCAAGCCTAAAGTCGTAATAAAAACCGTTTAACAATTCTTACCAATTTGGCTTGTTTGGCAGAATCAATAACAACTTTGTAGCCAGTCTGTTTGATAACAATACCTTCGACATTCTTAGATTCTACTTGCAAACTGTACTCTTCTTTCTCCCAGCATCTTCCGACATTGTCATGAACAACCACTAAAAGAGAAATTTATAAACATCAAGATGGATCTTTTACTTACATTTATAACTACCAGGGGATATATCCTCAAATAAAAACTTGTTATCCGTAACTTTTGAAGTTTGAATAGCCTCCCCATTTACTTCAAGATCAATCTTAACGTTCGGGCAAGCGTCTAGGCAGGAAACGGAACCTTCAACTTTGGCTTTGAATTCAGTAAAGACAAGATTATCGATCGCATCTGAATGTACATCCACAGAAAACGATTTTGGATGGACAACAGGCGATGAAAACTCGGGCTAAAACAAATAAAGTACATGTGTTATTCCATACCTTCACGTTGTATTTTCCCGGCGCCAAATAAATACAGTACTTTCCATCAGAGCTGCCCACATCCACAGAAGAGACTCTCTTATTTTCTGAATCATATATTCCAATGGAAAATCGGCTCCGTCCGAGTTTCTGAGGGTCATCGAAAATAAGTTGTCCACAAATCTCTACTCTAAAGAGCAATGCGTATTATCAAAATGACCTACTCCAACAGCTCAATGGGCTTGATCTCGCCGCCATCTGAGTTGACTTCAAATGTTTTCTCGTCGAATCTCAGCCGCTCCTTCTCCGCTTTTACTCTGTAAGATCCCTTTGTAAGACCCTTAGCCACAAAGTTTCCGTCTTTATCAGTTGTCCCAATGAGTTTATACTTTTCATTCGACTTCTTTAAAGAAACAAGCACATTAGCAAGCGGTTTAGGCCCATGGATGACTTTTCCGTTGAGTGTAAATCCAGCAGATTCGAAGCTAACCTAAAGAAAAAATATTTAACAAGAAATGCCACTACCTCTTCCAACTTCGAATTTATCGTCACCAATTTCTCCTCCGGTGAAAAAACCAAGGAACCCTTCTCGGTTTTCAAGGAGGCCTTTACCCGGAATGCTCCTGGCGGAAGACACGAGAAGGTAACGACTCCTTTGTTGGACGTCTTTAAGCTGTACACATATCCATTGCCAGACTTCGCGGAAACTGGCATTTGTGCATTAACTTGCTTTTCGAACTAAAATTAAATGTTCTTATTACCTCAACCAACTTACTGGAATGCTGACATCGGAGAAAAGTGAGATCTCGACATCTCGAATTGGTTCGCTTGATTCGGAAACAACAGCAACGTTAAGATTCTGCCCTGATATCTTAAGATCCGTCGCAACAACAACTGGTTTGTCTACAACTTCAACCGGAACGGATCCGCGCTCCACACATTGGTTGGTCCTTTCTAGAGTTGATACCACGTATTTTCCTGGGGCGGCCTCAAAACTGTAGACTCCTTTGCTGTCAGTGGTTGTCGTCGCAACTTGTTTTCCTTGCTCAGTATACAATCCTAATTCCAACTTGCTTGGACCACTTCCTTTTCCGCTCAAAATCTTTCCTGTTACTTGGAATGCGGATAATTGGAAGTTGATATCCTTCCCAGAACAACAGTCATTGTCTTCGCCGTTTATGTTCACAACCTTTTCAGATGGATCTAAAAGGGTTTATAAATATTTGTAAAAATGTCCTCCGCAGTTCCTGGATTGAGAAGTTTAGCGGCTATCTTTCATTTCCAATTTCTCATGATATTACTTGAGACGATTTCTTTAAAATAGCCACGAAAGGCCACGGACATTCAGATAAACCTGGTTAAATTTTTTACCTGCAGACGCTTTTTAACGTCATATAAAGCCGAAAGGATACCCATTATTCACCCAAAAAATTATACCCTGTACTGGTTACAACTACAAAACAAAAGTTACTGCTAAGAACAATTTTAAATTTTTTGCACTACTCTTTACTATAAGCTTATCTTTTCTGCGTAAAAATAATCTCCTTCTGGAGAAAAATATTTTTTCCGATCTAAAGTCCGGAATGGTCATTCATTCGTATCTCTTACCGAAAATAAATCCATCTGGTCCTGCCACCCGAATTCTGTAGATGCCCCGTGTGTAGACTGGAATCATATAATAGCCATTGGTTGGATTGCAGGCAGTCTCATACTTCAAATGTCCCTCATCTGACAAGAATTGAACCTAAAGAAGGTATAATATTTTCGGTAACGCTGGAATACTTACCTTCACTTTCTGAAGAATTGACGGAACTGAAGAACGGACGAATCCACCACAACTGAATACATCACAAGAGATACCCGTAATAAGTAAAGCTATTACTGCCTGAAAAAGCAGCCTCATATTTGCAAGATCAGTGAACAATTTACACGAGCTATTTAGCTTGCCCAAATAGAGAAAAAACGTCAAAAGAAAAATTAGCGACATTTTATACGATAAAATGTTTCTAATCTTTTTTGTTATCCACATCAGCACGAATCTTTAGTTTCGGAGGTTACCGTATACGCCATATCCAGCAATGCTGGATTGGTGTGTAAAAACGGAAATAAAAACCGTGTGAATGTTGATCTTACAGTACATCTCTATTAAACACCTTCTATTGAATTTTTTTGTAAACAATAACTACAGTCAAGTCTCGTGTGCCGTTCTATGGGACGTTAGCATCACAATGTGTAGTACGGGTAACATTCAAGCCACCATAATACGTATTTTATTAAATGCAAATCACAAAAAATAAGGTTCTCAACTTATATGTACACTACAAAATACGCCCTATGCAGTTTACACTTCCACACGAGCATTCGATGACTTTCCCGGGAACTGATCCAGCGACATATCCATAATTCCAACACAGCTCCTAAAACAAATATCATCAACAAAAAAGTACACTTACTGTGCCTGCTTCCACATCACACGAAGTAAAGAAAGCAATCATTGGAAGTCTAATGTCATGGGTATCCGAAAACACCATCTGCACTTCCATGTTGGGGTCGCATGAGTGGTTGAAGAATCGCCCCAGATTGCCTCGTTCCTGAGCGTCCACCACGAAGAGTCTGGACTCCCCAAATAGATGATGTAACAGCGTTTTCTCATCGGTTATGACAGGGGACCTTCCTCTTTTTTGATGGGTCCACTTGTTTCTCTTCCTTTTCTTTTTTCTATTCTTCTTTTCTTCCACTTCAATACCCTCGTCATCCGGGTAAGGTATATTCAGGTTCATTTTCATTCCTTCCACTGAGTCGAATAAATCCACGTCAGCAAAATACATATCACTTCCTTGTCCTTTTCGGACATGCTCATCAGCTTTCACATCCGTAAACATCTGGCCAGAATATGTGCAAACAAATTGTCCTTGAGGAATATCAACCAAGGTTCTCACTCCCCATCCTTTCTTTGCCGTCTTGAACAACTATAACAAGCCATCTTACAATACATATATCACGTACCTGCATGGGAACACAAATATCCCGCTGAACCACACGATTCAGACAATTTGTAGAACAAGAACAGCCCATATTACATTCGTATACCCCAGAGAACAATTTTCTCTCCAGCCTTCTGAACTTGTACCCATCTGGAATTTCGGATCGTATCCTTTCATCCAATCTTTGATGAGTTTCTTTTGTTAACAATTGGCATTCGCATGTGTCAGAGTTCAAGCAATCATCTTTAAAAGTAATTCTTTTTTCATTTACACTTACCAGTACATGAACAGCAAGAAGTAAACTCCATTTGAGTTTCCAGAAGCGGTTCATCCATACATCTGCTGCTCTGATACAGCATCTAAAATGAACGATTGGACGATAAGTATTCAACACTTACCAGAGGTGGTCCTTCGTCGTCAACTGAATTCACTGTAGGTATGGTAATGGCCTCCTTGCAGTGCGCAAAGTCAGGATCAACAAGATATTTTGGATCAGACCGATAAATGAAGTTAGGTCGATCCCAAATCCTAAATGTAAATTGATCGATTGAGATGAGTTCGGACTTCGTAACGTGTAAATAGAAAGCAACTTCATCCAACGACCGGAGTAATCTTCCACATGGGGCCTCATAAACAAATACAGTTTCCACATTCTTCTCCTCATCGTTGTCGTCGCGAACTTCTACGTCAAAGTAAACCAAAGAAATTCTTCTGAAGCCATAAAGAAATGGTCGAAAGAAGGCAGGGACATCTTTGTACGCGTGCTTCCCAACTAAATGACAATTTCTAATTTCAAGCAGACATTCCGACGAGCAAGTAGAATGTGGCCGACGGTGTAGGTGATCCCAGTTGGGGTATTCCAGATATTCAGGAATCAACTGATCTTTGCTGCACCCTTCTCCATCCCCAACATTTTTTCTCTGATCCACGTTTATGTGATGATTTTTGGCATTGTTGAAGAAGTCAAAGAAACTGGGTTCCTTCTTATTTCCAGTCTTCCTCGCCGTGTTTTTCACTTTACACTTGTCCAAAATTGAGAATTCCTTAACATCATCCACTTCGTACTTAGGGTATAACATCTCGATGTATTCTCGCACCTTCTCAGGATATGTGTTTAAATCCGTCGCCGTTTCTACTTTCTAAAGAAGAAACTACAACCTCACGAAACGATTAACATACCGCCAAAATATTCTTCAAAGTGGGTATCCTCATGGTATCCCCAGCAAAGATCCATTCATCCTGATGAGAATGATCCGAACAAGGGTACTCTTTACATTCCTTGTACTCATCAAATTCAGTCAAAAAACGAACTAATAAAAGACAACGGTCTTTCTGGATTACCATCGCTTTTACCGCAGTTTTCTTTTTGCCAACCTCTCGGTTCACCAACATCTTAAAATGTACAATAAAAGCAAGTCGAATCAATACTTACACTGGTATTCAATTGAACATTCATCAAGGGCCAGCTGGGATATAACGAGAAATAGTGCTTCAGGAAAGCAGATCTCACTCCCTTAACATACTTGTAGGCAAAAACGGGGCTAAAATCATCCGAGTTTGGAGCTTTTGGCTGGACTATGCACAAATAAAGATTTTTTGGACGAATAAATTGGACTGTCCCGTCATCAAAGAAGACCAGATAATGGAAACGATACTCCTTTATGGGAAATGTTCCTAACGTCCCCCATTTCCACTTATTCTCATCAATTCCTTTGTATTTTGCAAGGACTCTTGTGCCAGCGTTACACATTGCCCCAACGGGACTCGCTCTTGCAACTCTTGACGCGTCCACTTCCCTCACAATTTTGCGACTTCTGACTTTGATTTCCACTTTGACATGAGTAATCCTGTCTTCTTCTTCATCGTGTAACCAAGAATGGAGATGCCCTTCATGAAACTTTTCATCCATCTCTACCCAAAGTTTCTCATGTCTTCCAATATTCATTTTCTTTTCGTAATCAAGAGAAATGTGGTCACAAAGTTTATATTCGGTCATCTTTTTGAAAACTTCCATATTGGACGAAGACTTAAAGAATAATTATTGCATTACTATTATTAACAAGGGAGGCTTCCAAGTGCGAAGCTCCAATTTTGTCTAAATCTTGCATAGACGTGGGGCATGGCCTACCAATTCCTACAAGTTTTTGCTCGCTTTCCTAGGCATTCAACGATCTTTGCACGCAAAATGCGGAATGTAGAAAAAAAATATATTTTTTAGCAAACATTAAAAAAATGTCCATTTTTGCCAACTTTTCGACCTAAAAATCTTGGTCTTTTCTGCAACGCGCGAGCTAAGAATCTCGCATATGTATTAGAGAAACTTTATCTTAATTTGTGCTAAGTTTCATCAAAACCTGAGCGTCGCACTTCGAACACTTCTCTTTAAGCTTACCGATTCACCGACCAAATCCAGCTCAGGAATTGAATGTAATTCAAAGTCATCTAAAGCTGCCTCCTCCATCTCCTTTACCAATGCCTTCTTCGATTCCAGAAAAGCATCCTTGTTCACATTGAGGGCGCTAAACATCTGTGCCAGCTCGGGCAAAACATAATTTTCCACTCTAAATTCAAAATTCATCTTAAACTCTATAACAACATACTGTAATTGGAAATATTTTGGATCGATCGTTTCCAAAATTCGTTTTGTGTTTTCAAGGCCTCCCAAAGTTTCGTATAAAACGTTTGTCAAAGAGGGCTTATGCAACTTGTCGTATTCCAAGAATTTAAATTTTTCGAGATCATAGATGTGACCAGGCCTGTGGATTCCTACGTGGATGTACGTACAGAACAAAAGTATTCTCTGAGGATCCCAGAGATGATTCTAAACAAATAAAACATAAATAAATTTTTATCTTACCAGATACATCTTTTCCAGCGAAAGTTCGCCGTCATCTGTGGCTTCCAACAATAAGACAACAAAATCCATGAGATCATTCTGAGAAATATACAGTTGTCTTGCAATGCTATAGAAGTCGACCGTAATGTCATCAACATGTTCGACTAAGTTGTTGAAGAAAAAGTCACAAAATGCAGAAACAATGTCAAAAATGTCCATTTCATAATGTCTCTGTACTTCGTGGACCCCAAATTCCGATAATTTGGAGACAATATCTTTTGACAGCTCAAAGGGAAATTCAGTTCTCTAAATCATACATCATAACAATTATGTTCACCAACATTTCCATTGTTTTGAACAACATTTCCCTTCATACATCTGGCATTCCAGTAAATCGATGTTATCCTCGCATCCAATTCGTTTTTTGAATCCAAAGATAATTTGTCTAGTAAGTTTAAAAAAGAAGTGTTAATTGGCACATCCATTAACACAATAACTTCAAACAAAAAAACACCGAATAAAATCTAGAAAAAACATTTATTTTTTTTCTGTTAGATTAAAACGCCAAAATCAAAAAATCGTTGTGGGAATAAATGATAGAAATGACAAAATAATTAGCACAAAAAAATCACATGTCTAACGCTACTTAATTTTAGCGCGGTTCGGTTCTCCAAGACCATGAGTTAAAACTGTCAAAATCGATATTGTTGTAGTATGTCTTGGACCTTTTAATAGCTTCATTGTAAGAATATCTCGGCTTGAAATCGAAGAATAGACGTAGACGATAGTTGCTAAGGACGGTCCATTGCCTGCACAACATGTAGAAATGTCCAGTACTAGGGATCTAAAAAACTAAAAACAGGTCACCAGAACTTACCGGAAAATCTATTTTCAAAATCTGTAAGACCCAGCAGATAAGGAAGAATATTGGATAGGCCAGCCAGAACGGGACCGAATGACTTGGAGTGTCCCCCATCAAGTCCTTCAGCACCCCATCATACAGACTATTGATGGGGGTATCATCTACAATATTGACAGTCTCATGTTCTTCGCCTTTTTCTTCCATTGTCGTTTTACACTTGATCAGAGCTGCGGAGACGTTCCCAACGTACGCCATCTGAAAATATGTAAGGCGACGTATGTGTAAATTCAAATTTTTGCCGGCCGCTGGCTGGAAAACGCAGCTAAATTCACTTTTGGGGGCTGTAGATTTTTTCTTACAGCTTCTTTCTGAAGACAAATATTTTCTATAATAGATAAGCTGAACCCGTATATTATGTTTCTGAAGCACTGGTCCAGACAATAATCATAAGTGAGTAAATTACGTTTTTAGATCAAAAGTCTTCAAAAAGCGACACTTTTTGGCGAACTTCGACATGAAATGTTTGCTACCTATTTCTATTTTAATGGTCACCCGAGGTAATTTAAAGAAAATCTGAGAGTCGCACTTCCCTTGTAATTTTTTTAAGACACCCCAGATTTCTAGCTCGCACTTTGCACAAACGACCAACCGAGATTTTTAGATGAAAAAAGCGGCAAAATGTTACTCTTTTGTGATTTTTGGTATCAAAAAAAATTCCGTACAAAAATGCCGAAGATATCGCCTGTTTTTCTCTCTAACCGCTATCCGCCTTTCACTTTCAGGAATTAATATATGGCCTACGCCTGACATGTTTGCAAAACTTCAAGAAATAAGCCTTCGATTGCTAGCAACGTTGGACAACCATTCGCTGACAGAAAATTTGATTTTACAATGTTTCAACTGTACTTCAATTAGAAAAGATAATTGAAAAAAGTAAACGTAACATACCTGCACAGCCCCTTTATTGTCTCCAATGATTGGAATCCATTTCAACTTCTTTTGGACCTTAATCATATCGCAGATAATTCCGTTCTCATCTCCTTCTCCATAGATGTAGCCTACTCGCGCTGCCAGGGTCTTCACACCAGGACAACTTTTGAGTAATTCCTCAGCCAAGGCCTTTGATTTGGAATATTTTGGATAAGGATTGTCGAAAACAAAATCTTTGTGATCTTTCTCTCTATTACCAACATTCGGCCACTTTCCAGAACATTGGACAAAACTGGATGAAAGGTGGATAATAACCTTCGTTCCCTCTTCTTTGCACATGTTCATGAGGTCGCGCACGACTGAAATGATATAAATATTTAGAGTTAATACCTAAAATTGCTCAAAGTTTCAAAAATAACTCACACTTCACATTGTGCTCGTATAATTTCTTCTCATCGGGCAAATTAGACAAATCCGTGTATTCGTGAAGGTTGTAAACTACATCACAATCTTTTATAGCCGACGCAATCTCACTGGTTCCCGAGAAAATACTCACATTTTGAGGTACAACATTTTGGTTACCTAAAATACGTCATTCAAAATAATTAATGCCTACTCTCTAGCCGATCCTGGAATTTATCTTGCAAGGTCCATAAATTCAATTTTGCTCCACATCCGACCAACTGGGTGTAGAGATGTTGTCCGATCAAGGAATTGGCGCCGAGAATACAGATCGGCGACATCATCCGACAAACACAAGACAGACTGTTTCCGACATCGGTGGCCAAGAAACGTATTCATTACGTGATAAAGATCAAAAGGATGACTTCGGGGCAGGAAATTTGCCAAAGGAGGAATCTGACTAACTGTAAGAAATTTTTGCAAAAAGTTTTCAATCATTTTTTAATCAATAGTTGAAATTATCTGCAAAATTTCTATTATGGATTTTGATTACTTCCATTTTGTACAATATTTTAACTTATAAATATTAGGTTGTCCCATAAATAATGTACCTCTTCGAGAGGGGCAAAGTGAAAGGTCTATAAAACACGTAAGCAACAACCAAATTTCGCAATATTATACCATTTTGTAGCCGAGGTCTTAGGCTTTCGTTTAATGTATCATCTGCCATATTTGGATGAAATTACGGTAATTTGGCCCCTCATGGAAAACAGTCGATTCGTACTGCCAACTTGCGAAAACTGGGTATGAAGGTTTCAGAAGCTACACGAACTATCCACGCCATGTTTGGTCAGTGCGCTGTGTATCCGGTCATACGATCGTTAAAAAAAAAAAAAAAAACTCGACCTGGCCACAAGGACCCCGAAGCTAAAATACGTCGTTACAGCTTTGCGAATTCTCCCTGAGGTGATTGGTCGATGAAAATCCTGGAATCAACATCCGAAGCCTTTCTGGTATCGTGGTGGTATCAAATTCATTGGCGGCTAACGGTTCAATGTCGATAGATTCGAGAAAAAGCTCGACGAGATTTGCTCAATGAAGTCCCCCGGGGTACCACCACAGTACTTCCCAAATTTCCCCTTGAAGCCGGTTACGGTCACTTTGCCCGGTCAGGCCTGGTTATAAATACAACGTACTTGTTAGTTATAAGCTATGGTCTGAATGAACACTTTATTGTTTTAACGAAACTTGGATACTGGGCACGGGCAAGTGAGCAGGTAGATATAAATTACAATCATTATTGAAGATATAAAACGGCCCCATCTCTTGGCAAACACGTGCCCGTATTTTACAAAAACTCAGATAAAGCAGATCATATTAAAAATGAAAGATTTGCAGGGGCAGGCAATTAAACCAACAACAAGATTATTACTGGACTAGACTAGCCTTTTCTCCCATTCTGCAGCCCACTCTACAAAGAATTCCAGAGTCGCACTAGGTATCGATTAATTAAGTTGAAGAAGTAGAACAAATTTAAATAATAGTTGGCCACAGTTGGTCTCAATTGTCACAAGAGATCGCACTTGGACTTCTCAGCCCAGGGATTGACTCGTTTGTCCACGGGATTCACGAGGGGATCTTGGTCTTGTTGATTTTCTATGTATCTCTTTAATCTGGAAATAAAAGACAATAAAAAATTGATTATTGTATAAACTCAATTGTCATAAAAATTTTAAAATTTACTCTGCAGCCGACTGTGAGATGGGGGACCTTTGAATGTTGAGCTGATGTCTCAGACTCTCGACATTCCTCTGAACGTCTGCCTTATCCATGAGTGGCTGAAAAAGAGAAAAGGTAAATGGCCTACGGTAATTATTTCATTGGCCGCGGCAGGTGTAAAACGAAGGGAAAGAAGGTAATTGTATGGTAAAACAAGGTCGGTTAATGGTTATACGGAATCAATAAGTACGCGGAGAGAGTGTATAACACCCAATCGATGCCCAGAATGGCGGCCGCTTTCTTTTTTCGGCCGCAGCCCTCCTTTTTTCGGCCTCAAAAAGTGCCCAAACGCCCTCTGGACCCCAGAATGGAGATATTTCTCGGGCATCCAAACAGTCTCTCGATAAATGCCTGACCCCGCGTAATGAACTTTAATTTAATCAGGGCGATGTTCTTAAGATTTACTGTTTTCAAACCACTTACGGTCTTGGGGGTAACAATCATACTTTACTTCAGCATGCTTTTACAAAAGCTAAAACCAGGTGTAGTCTAGCACAAACTGCTTTCAAACCGTAAACGCTTGAATTATCCCTATGATTTAAATAAAAATGCCTATTGTTACGAAAAATTGATACATAAAGGAATGTCATCATCTAGCAAGCCACAAAATACATGATGGCCTGCTAGACGATGAGATGAAGAAGATAGTTCATCACAACAATTGGGTACAGTACCAAAAAACATGACATTTTATTGAAAAGACAATATACATTTTTGAAAAAAATAGCATTAACTAGAAACAGAACGCATAAAATGATGTACCGAAAAAAGCGGCTCGAGCTTAAGGTTGGGATAGAAGAAGAAGCACTGGGACATAAAAGAGGCCAGGCTGGTGGGAGGAGGACGATCCCTCTCTCGGGCCCTCCGGATTTGCGCCGCTTTGGTCAGAAAAGAAAAACTCGAAACCAGGCTTAATCTTCCCAAACTTATACATCCTATTTTAATTTTTATGACATGAAATGATGGTAAAAGGAAGGATAGAAAAAGTAAGGTAATTGACTGGCTGTTCGTTTAGTACATTATGGATATTGACAATACACAGGGTCAAGCAAGCTTATACAGTACTCTGAAACATTTAAAATTCATTTTGGTATCAGTATCTCTTTTCAAAAGAGGTTACAGTACCCCAAGATTGATAAGGATAAGTGTTCCACAGTGAGGAAACCAATTCCAATCCTGTTGATATCTAAAAATTTCTATTTGCTGTCCTGGGAAGCGACACACCACCTTCAAAGAGGTATGCAGTGATGTCTTCGGTTTCTCGCTGACCATTCTCTCTAGAGTTGTTTCGTATTTTCTCCCTTTATTTTTCGCTGTGTGTCCTTTTCAATTCGGATCATTCGGAAGGAGAGAAGAGACGCACTCGCCCGTTCAGTCAGCCGTCTCCCATTTTCACACGTTCTTTTTGGGACACGGGCGCACACTGCATCATGAGAAAATAGCCCGCATTTATTTTCGAAGGAGAGTGCAGGAATGATCAGCCATCTTTTTGTTGCAGAATGCGTGTTCACCTTGTTGCAATGGTTCTGGGGTTGGTTTGGGAGAGCGAAGGCTTAGACACGAGGTCCTTCAAATCTAAAAAACCCGCGTTTCTCTCATTTCTTTTGTTTTTATGAGAGTGGAATAAAGACAGTTGCTGGGTCAATATATTTCCGTTGATGAGAGCAAGTCGATCTTCCAGCACCTAGCGGAGGTTCTTGGTTGGACGAAGTCCAACAAGCCTCTTACTTTCCCACCGCAAATTGGTGGTTTCGATTCGAAAATCGCGCGTTTTCATTGAAATGATCACTCAGCGGGTGGGAGCAAGCCATTCGATCCACAGCCCTTCCCCAACCTTTAACTTTCCTCTGACTCACACGATAACTAACATATTTTGTGGAAGATGGATCCCATTTTAAGGATAATATTATTTTACATAATTTTTTATTCGAGTAGGGTTCCGTTTTGTTGTGGATTGTTGTCTTATCGTCTCTGATAAAAACGGGCGTCCCTTTGTTGGGTTCCATTCCGTTGATATGGTTCTCCATGGATTGTTTCGGAGTTCCACCTGTTTTGGGATTATTTTTTGTTTTTATTCTGCAAAACGGTTTATGGATAATCTTCGAGAAACCTTGTTTTTATGCCCACGGCTTGTAATTTACAGCCTTCTCTATTTTTATCACCGCTGTTTTTTTGGGTATTTCTGTAGTAGAGCTCTTTATTAAGGACGAGTTTAATATTTGTGGTTCACAACTGGTGTAATATGAATATGAAAAAATGCATAACGGAAGGGTGTGTGTTCCGTTTATTGTGGTTGTAGTGGTGTCTTAGTGATTCAAACGACTGTTGTCTCTTATTTACCGCTTCTTTCAATTTGTTTTTTCGGCTTATCAGACTTGAGAAGAGAGAGCCTAAAAACAATTGTACCGGGGGTTTTTTGATAGACACGTGAGCTGCTAGACACTAGTTTAATACGATTTTGGAGTTTTAGTTTTGAAGAAACATCAATTTATTATCCGAATTGTGATAATAATAATTTATGCGTGTACCGTCGTATTTGATCAGATAGTTAACATTAGTAATAATTTGAAGGCATCCATCGACCGTTTGTTGTCTAATTTACTCACTCTTTCACATTATCGCCGTTTCCCTTCTATCACGTGTTTGGGTTCATTTTTTATTTTTCCAGTACACCTTTTTTATAAAGCGTTACTGTTACAGATAAATCATAGTAATACTAATTGAAAGGGTGAAAATTGCTAACTTCCCAGCCCCAATTACTGGTACAAAAAACTGGTGATATATGTAAGTCCTTCCTTCATATATATAACCTTGCTGCTTAGATATATAATGCCCTGTAAAGGTGAAGAACTCTGCGATGAAGTAACTACAGAGCAGGGTCATCACGAGGAGGTCAGTGTGGCATCAAGACCGGAGCATCCTTCGTCTCCGATTGCATTGAAACCCACGCAACCAATTACAATTCCAGGATCAGAGTTGTCTCCTTCTTTGGATGATACCTTGAACAGTTTTGTTGATATGAGTTTACGGAATATGAATCCCAGTGAGAATGGAGGCAGTGTCAGAAGTAATGATCTTGAGAAAAGGCCAAAAGAAAATGGATCTTCAATTTCGGATATGGTAAGTTTTCTTTTTATTCGATTATTGTTTGTTTAAACTTCCTATTTGTTTTGTTTACAGAATAGAACTACTTTAACCTGGGAGTCGGTTAATTCACTGCCTGGCGAAGAACTCAGGCCCGAACATGTCTGGGATATGGCTCATGTCCGAGTTTTCATGTCCAATTATCGATTGGTGATCATTACTTATAATAAGCAAGGTGTTACATCCATTCCCAACAATTGTATCGACTTGATTGAGATTTCTAATGATGATGTGTTGAAGCTTTTGACGAGGGATGGAAGAATATTTACGTAAGTTTTAGGTCGTTTATAATGTTTTTGTTCAGTTTTAAAGCTGCAGCATCTGATGTCGCTCTACATTTCTACAAGACTATTCTTCCCTTGACATGTGGTGGTCAGAGAATTGAGGATTCATTTGCTTATCGATTCGCAGTCGCTTGCCAATCTAAGAAGCCAACTTTCCTGAGGAGAACCCTTTGTAACCACGAAATGTCGTATACGAATGTCTTAAAAGAATATAATAATTGTGGTTTCAAACCGGATGATTGGAGGGTCACCCGGATCAACGAGGACTTCAGGTATGTGTAGCTTTTAACTATAAATTCGCGTATGATTTTAGTGTATGCGCCTCATATCCACAGTTTCTGATTGTTCCCAGCGAAACTTCTGATCAAGAATTCCGAGATTTCAAGAGAGGCAGATTCTTTGACAGATTTCCTACGGCTGTTTGGAGGTCCAAGAAGACTGGGGCTGTGTTGATGAGGAGTGCTCAGCCGGAAACGAGTTTCTTCGGATCCCAGCCTGAAGGAGATGCCAGGTTATTCGATGCTATTAGGAAGAGCTGCATAAGAGACCGCCCGGAGAAACAACGGAAGGTGTTGATTGTTGATGCTCGCTCATACACTGCAGCATGGGCTAATCGAGCAAAAGGCGGAGGTTTTGAAAGTGGAGGTATGTTTATATTATGGTTTTATATTGTCTTTTAGATGCTTATGCAATGACGGAGGTTTTATTCATGGGATTACCAAACATCCACGCCCTTCGGTATAGTTTTCATCAACTCCGACAACTACTCCACGGCCCGGAGAACTTGAATTTCTTCCAAAATCTTCAACAAACGAATTGGTTCCAATATCTTTATAGTCTGATCTTGTCAGCTCAAAGATGTGTCGATGCTTTGTGTATTGAAGGAATTTCTGCATTAGTACATTGTTCAGATGGATGGGACCGAACCAGCCAGATTGTTTCCCTGACCAAGTTAATTGCTGATCCTTTTTATCGAACATTCGAGGGCTTTGAGTATTTGATTAATCGAGAGTGGGTCGAGTTTGGTCATAAATTCCACGACCGAAATGGGCTGTGTCCCGATACAAATGAGAAGGCGCCCGTCTTTCTCCAATTCCTCGACGCTGTCCATCAATTGTGGCTGAAGAATCCCGACAGATTCGAATTCAATCAGAGATACCTCGTAAGTTCTTTTTCTCATTATTTGTTTGTTCATTATGATGTGTCAACCATTATTTTAGATGAAAATAGCCCAACACCACCACTCAGCTCTCTTCGGAACGTTTATTTTCAACAATTTCCAAGAGTCGGTGAATGGATACATCTGCAACGCCAACAACTCTTTCATGACTCCATTCCAAGTCGGATCCCCCGATGATGAGAGTATTGTGAATCTCGGTCGAGTATCCATGTTATCAGTGTTTGATTACGTTGGAAAACATAATCCTTGTTTCATCAATCCTGTGTATGTGAGCGGCAAACGGGGTCGACTGATGTGTCCCAAAGGTATGTGGGAATTGAATGTGTGGAGAGAAGTGTACTGTTGCACGGATGTGGAATCGGTTATCAATTGTCCCGAGAGAGCTACAGAGACGCCAAATCAAGAAGAAATCAAGGTGAACGGCATGTCAAGAAGTCAATCTGCAGCCAGTTTGAACTCCCTGGAACAGGCCAATGGACATCATGTGTCCCATGGGTCAGCGCATAATACATCCACGGGTTCCCAGCCGGTCCCGTTGTCATCCACCCCTGTCTCGAACACGTTTCTTCCCACTCTTCCTTCATCCACATTCTACATGAGGAAAGATCATATGAGCTGGAAACATTACTTGGATCATGATGGACTGTCTCGGGTCCCCATTGATTATGAAGACCGATTTATCGAACTTCATCGTCATTATCAAGTAAGTTGTGTTTCGTTTTAAACACTGTTTGTTTAGAATACGGATGCCGTTCGGGTCTCCGAGTCCAGTTCTTCAGGCCGTGAAAATTATCGGTCTGAGAGTTCAGTAAGTATTTCATAGTTGTTAAACAAATAGAGTAGGCTTTAAGATGTCGAGTAGAAAGCAGTGATTCTACTATCAGTTATGACATGTGTGAAGACGATGTATTGGCCAGAAAAAAGAGAGATTCTGTTTCTTCAAATCTTCTTTTTCCGGTTGAAATGAACTCTGGCTCCTCTCACTTCGGATCGTTGGATGAAGAGATTACTCGCAAATGCCGCATTTGGTATGTGTTTTTTTGTTTTGTTTTTTTAAATGCGTATTTTGTTCCTAAAATAGAACACTTTTAGCAACACCTCCGTCACCTTTGAAGGTTCCAATTCTCCGATGACCACTTCCAACACGACTCTTGTCAACGGTTCATCTACGGCGTCTTCTCCATCCAAAATGAAGAACGGAACTTGTGCTCGATGTGCCGCTAACCAGGTTCCAATCCACACCCCCACTGGTAGCAATAGACTAATAATGAGTTGATGAAAACGCTTGACTTCGTCTCTATGATGGCCATGTGCCCTTGAATGTACAGTATTTTTTTGTTTTTTTTTATTTGCAGATCACTTCCGATTTAGCTCAACTTTTAGTGACTTAGAAATTGGGTTCATTTTGTTCTGAACGGGGTATGTTCTTTTGTCTCGTTTGCCCTTAGGGTCTTTGATTGTTTCTCATACTAACCGGGTACTTTTTTTTGATTACCGACCGCCCCTTATTTAACTATTTCTATTTGGATTTTTAACTGGATTATTTGAAGGAATTTGATTTCGAGTCATGTACAGAATTGGATGTCTGATTGGTTGATGGTAGAGAGCAAGTTTGCCGCAGTTACCGTGATATGTTAGATAGGTATAGGACCAATCTATCCAAAGAAAGTGTTTTACGACAAATAAACCCTTTTATTAATCGGACGGCTGTCGTTTGATCGTTTTATAGCGAAAGCTCGGTTTAAGGAAAAGGAAGAATGGTGGATTTCCATGAAATTCAGGTCAAATGTGGTGCGGCTTTCAAATTGGTTGTGGCGCTGTCGTTTTCTTTTGCCCTTCTTCCAGCGTAAAACGCTACTAAACGCCCTCCTTTTATGAAAGTTTTTTTAAATCCGTTTTTTATTGAAAAGGTGTTCTCGACTAATATATGCTGGGATGAGAGAAATTAATTCCCTTCTCGATCTGATTTTCAGTTCTCCAACTTTTCGCGAACCGGAATCGCGGAAGGGTCGACGAAGTCTTCTGTAAACCGGATTTGATTTCAATTAACTTTGGTTGATATGATCGCGGTTTGTGGTCGCGACCTCTCGATCATGCTGACGTCATTGTCTAGCCATTTGTTCTACAGAACTTGGGGATGGGACGAAGTTCTCCTGAGATGGCAGATCCCCAAATTAACTGCCTGGAGCGGCGTTCTTCGCCCTACGTTCAGGAATCGGTTTTCGCTTTCACGAATCGGCGCTGCGGTCGCCTTCCTGGATGTCATCCGACCCATCTCGCGTTTGCTCTTTCTCAGAACAGCCTCTGGCATCGTATTCGGCGCGGGTAGCATCTCGCGGTTTCGACCGCTACGGCTTTTCTCTTGTTTAATGACCTGCCACTTTTGATGCTTCCCTCGTCTTGCCTCCTTTGTACTCCAAACGTATCTGAGTTAATAATCATCAAAGAAAAGCTTCTAGTATTTCTTCCGAAGATGAGCATCTCCGCGGTCAAATCACTCGGAAAACATCCTTATACCGCGGTAGATTGTGAGAAGAGATCGTTGAGGTTATTCACACCTATACTTTATTTGCTCTTTCTTCGCGAACCTTTCTGTTGCTTAGCTAAAGAAGACGTTTAGATGAACATATCAAGGTTAATTAGCCTAACGCTTAGTGTGATCGTCTTGATCAACGCCCAGCAGCCTCCTCCTTCCACTCCAAACGATGCCGAGATTGTCGAGAAACCGGCCGAAATTCCCTCGGAACCTGTGAAACTTGTAAACTTTGACGATTTTTCTATTGAAGAGATTGATGACGCTTTGGAACCAGTAAGATTTTATGAAGCGGTTCGGCATGTAAGAATTATTTAGGTTGGTCCTGCTGATGTCGATAATGACGTCATCCAAAAGTTGGTTGACAAGTTCTTAAATGAAGGCACTCTTGAAGAAAAAAAGGATGAGAAGGTTAACAAAGAAGCCCAGAAATTGGTAAATTCGTCGCCTTATTGGGAAACGGCCAATCTCAAGGTAATTTTAATCGCCCATTTTAATGCAGAGGTGTTTTAGCCAGAACATTCCATCAAAGATTCCAAATTGATCTCTGACTGGTTAGTCGGTTACAACGAGGAGTTAGAAAAAGTACTTCAACAAGTAAATACCGCCGCCTGGAACTATTTTACCGCCGCCTCTCCACTTACAAAACAATATCTGGATGAGGCTGAGGACGTGGCTCGTCAGTTTCTGAAGGCAGCCGCCAAACAATCCATTCAATTTGATCCCGAGATGCTGGAGAGTGTGATTGAAAAGAAGGAATTGAGTATCATTTCTGAACAAGGCATCAATGTGCTTCCTCCAAAAGATTTGAACAAGTACAACAACATTCTCTCCAAAATCAACAAATTATACACGACTACGGATGTCTGCGAACAGAAGGATCAGAAGATGTGTATTACCAAATATTCCGATTTGATCTCCACAATTCAGACCACATCCAATCCGGAGAAAGCACTGAATATCTGGAAGGCATGGAGAGCAGCAGTTGGAGCCAATCTGACCACTGCTTATGACGATTTAGTTAAAGTAACTAACCAAGCGGCCAAAGCCAATGGATTCGAGGATGCTGGAAAGATGTGGAAATCTGCTTTTGATGACAAGTTCAGCCAGAAAGAAAGATATGACATTTCGGAGAACGCGAAGATGTTGTATCAACAAGTCCTTCCATTCTACAGCCAACTTCATGCTTATTTTAGAAGACAATTGGCCGGGATTTATAAGGATGACAAAAATCTGAAGAGAGATGTCTCTATCCCCGTTTATCTATTGCGTATGGTTATCTAATCGAACGAACTTGTCTTTGATCTTATAAAATAATATTGCTTTTGATTTCAGGCAGTGGATCCGGTGAGGATTGGAGTAATCTTTATGACGAAACAAAACCTTTTGATCAGATGGATACAACCGAAGACGAGGTCATGGAGAATCTCCACAAACAGAACGTCACCGCCCGTAATATGTTTGTGAAGGCATTCAAATTCATGAAGTATCTCGGATTTGAAAATCTTCCAAAGACTTTCTGGACGCATTCCGTTTTTACCAGAAATTATGGAAAAGAGATGATCTGTAACCCTGCGGCCGCTTATGACATGTTAAATGGGACCGATTACAGAGTAAAAATGTGTGCCCAGACTGTGCAATCCGATTTCACCGTGGCTCACAAACTCCTTGCCCAATTGTACTACAAAATTTTGAGTAAAGATCAGCCACTCATTTTAAGAGATGCCCCAAGTCAGAGTCTGAGTACTGCTGTGGCTGGGGCTTTTGGAATTTTGGCCCAGAATGCTGATTACTTGAAGAGTCAGGTAAGATCTATAATATACATCAACAAGGGAAGTACCCCAAGTGCGACGCTCAGATTTTCTTTAGATTTTAGACACACTTCGGGCATAGACTAAGTATCAATTCCTCAAAGTTTTAGCTCGCGCTTTGAAGGCGAAGCCGAGATATTCAACGATCTTTGCGGCCGAGAGAGTACGCTAAACGCGGAGAGCGGTCAGAGAAAAAAAACTTTTTGGCCATAACATTGCCAGCTTCGTGCGGAAAAAAGTTCATTTCTTGTGGAAACATTAACCTTTACGGTAGAAATAGGGATGCAACTTTTCGTGCCGAAATTCGACAAGAAGTCTTAAATTTTCGTCGACTTGCGACCTAAAAATCTCGATGGTTTCTGCAAAGCGCGAGCTAGGATTCTCGCATATATTTTAGAAAAAATTATTCTAAATTTGTGCCAAGTTTCATCAAAATCGTCGCACTTGAGGTACTTCCCCTGTAAGCATTTTATTTACTAATAAAACAAATTTGATGATTTTAGAAACTGATCCAAACGGATTACCGTCTCGAACAGTACAATCTAATCAACCGTCTCTACCGAGAATCCCTCTCTGACTTTGTTAAATTGCCTTTTAATATTGTCGCTGATGAATGGAGATATCAAGTTTTCAATGGTTCCACAGACTCTTCCAAATGGTCTGATGTCTGGTGGAATCTCCGGAATAAATATCAAGGAGTATCTGCGCCAAAGGAGGTTGATGAAGCCAAATACGACGCTGTTATTGCGCCAGAGATTGTACAACAACATGCGCCCGCTTCCCGTCACGTTGTCTCTTATATTGCTCAATTTCAAATTCTGAAGGCCCTTTGTGGAGCTAATTCCACTTTGGTAAGCGATCGTTAACGCACGTATAATTATGCTACAGAGTGATGGTTGCGTCCCCGAAAAGAATGCAGCTGACAAATTGATGTTTTTAATGAAGAAAGGAGCTTCCATTAGTTGGTTGGATGTTTTGGAAGAGCTAACTGGACAAAGAAAACTCGATGCTCAGCCGTTGTTGGAGTACTACGAACCTTTATTGGACTGGTTGAGAAGGGCCAATGAGCAATCTAACGTGTTTATTGGATGGAATGGGGAAGGCGAGGCCTTTGCTGCTGATGAAATCCCGGTGATCAACATGGACAGTGGAAAGGAGAAACCAGCAATCCCATCAGATGATCAGATCGCTTATCCGGGTAAGAGTTGACGTTATTATAACCATTGGAATGTTAAAAATTATAATACTTTATAATACTAACATCCTTTTTAGGTCAAGACTGTTCTCGAGGCCAGGAATGTCTCCTAGATTCGAGTTGCAACGGCACCATCTGTGCTTGCAACGACGGCCTGTTCACTCTGCAGATAGCTGACACCTACAATTGCGTGCCAAGTGATCCCTCCAAGGCAGGGTTCACGGATGGCGATGGAGGTCTGGTTATCGCATTAAATCCTAATGAGAGAAAGGGGACTCGGCCCAGCTCAGATCCTGATGAAATTGAGGCCGGCGAAGTCAAGAAGGAACACAAGGCCGATGAGAAGAAGACCGTCAAAAGTGGGGGAACCCTTCTTCTTGCGTCGCCCCTTACTATCGGTCTCATCTGCTTACTGCGGTATCTTTTCTGAAACCAGTCATTCCTTGCCATCCCAAACGTGTGTAATAGATCCATCCGCTCAAATTATCTAGTGTGAATTTGTGTATAAATTATTTTAAATCATAAATTATGTACTTGTTCCATCGTTTTTCGTCCCGAGTCATTGGAGATGTCATCCCCCAAGTTCGGATTAATTATTCGAATTAAACGGCAGACCTAACTCAAGTTGGGATCCCAATTCTGGCGCTTAATGACACCCTTTCTTAAACAATGGCGCTTGATTGCGTCCGACACGCGGACGGGGGCGGCCGTTGACCCCGACTCTCGGGAAGTTCCCTTGACTCCGCGCTGGAAGCGCTAGAAGAATGCCCTAATGCCTTTTGGGCCGGCGCAGTCAAGCAAATCAGATTAGGATTATGATAATGTTTTTCTTTTCTGCCGCGCCAAATCTCGTTCGCTTAAACGGCCGGTGCTTTGGCCGCTTTCAATTTTTTCTGCCTCGTGTCCGCGTGTGATTGTCGTTGGGTTCTGTCCACCTATGGTGAGCAATGACATCGCCCTCCATCATCTACATATCCCACTGACAAAGACAAAAGTTTTTTACTGCCAAACAGCCCTTTTAAACCAACAAAATTCTTTGGCGCCTTTGAAGGGCGGCTCTCAAAACAAAGGCCCAGAATCTGAAATTAGCCTCAGAATCCCAAGCTCAAAGTTATCTTTCCTGAGTCCTCTGGAGGCTAATAATCGAAGTTGGGGCATCTGTAACTGTTGTTCTTGGTGTTCCTCCAAGTCGCGCCTTCAGGGATATTGGAGGAGGCGGGGGAGGGAAGTGGAGACGAGTTCTGCCACGATAAGTCTCGGACCCTCAGGCCATAAAAGGCTTTTCTCCCTTCTATTATTTAAACGGACTCGCGCTTTCAACAGGTTCTGATTCCATAAGTGCGTCGCCTGATGTGTTACGGTTTATATTTCCGGCAATCTATTTACTTTCGAATATTACATCATAATTCATTTTCTGCTCAAAAAAGATTTTTTTCTGGATATTGTGACTTAAAATTTAATTTAATATTTTTGAGAGCACAAAGCCCTGAGGTTTTGTTTGAGGTGTCGGGTTTGACAAGTCTCTTTTTTTGATCTCACTCACTTTCAGAGAGACAATGCCCGACTCTAAGGTAATCATGCGATGATGAATATCTTCACTTTGCTCGTCTTCTTGGCCATTCTTCATCTGGTTTGGAGTTGTCCTGACTTTTGTACATGTAGGGGTAAGAGTTTCTTCTACAAGTTCTTATCTTAAATTTTTAAAATAGTAAAAATTTTTATTTTCAGAAGAGCGTTCAATTAAATGTCAGAACCTTAACACAATACAATTCAAATCAGTCAACGATTACTTTAAAAGCCATAACTCAAGCAGATTAATCAACCTCAGCCTTATAAATTGTAGCATCTTTGACGTGAATTCGATTCCTCCTCATGTTTTCAACGGGTTACTGTACTTAGACTTGTCCTACAACCATTTAAATGACTTTAATTTTAATTCCAATAACCTAATGCCCCTTTTGGTGATTCTCAAATTGACTGGCAACCATTTAATTGTAAGTTAAATTATTTGTATTTCTATTTACAGAGTGTCCAAAGATCTTTTTTTGCGTCCGTTCCTAACATCGAGGAGATTTATTTGAATTACAATTCAATCTTTGTCATCGATTGGGAAGCCTTTAGACTGTATAAATTGAAGAAGTTATTTCTGGATCACAATCATTTACTGGTAAGATTTATTTGCCTCAAAGTAGTAGTATATACAGGCCATCAACGAGCACATCCTCCGCTTTATTCCCAATCTCGAGACTCTCGACTTGTCGTTCAATCAACTGGTCTCTGTCCAAAGCTCCAGCTTCTTTGCTGCCAGAAAGTTGTCAACCTTGGACTTGAGTCACAATCGTCTTCAGCGGATTGATTACGATTCTTTTGTGCCTTTACATCAGCTGCAACAATTGGATTTATCTTCCAATAATCTGAGTGTTGTTCCGTCTGGATTGGGTCAATTCATGGGGTTAAGATCTCTCAATTTCAGTGAAAATCCCCTCACAATTATTCATTCTGGTGATTTCAGTTTGCCCATGCTTCAGGTAATTTATTTTGATTCTCTACATACCTACATATTGCAATTTCAGGTGCTATCCATCACAGATTGCCCGTTTTTAAAGTTGATCGAGGTGAATTCGTTTTTGGAAATGCCCAATCTCCAGACTCTGATCATTCGGAATAACCCTCTTTTATCTTACGTTTCACCTCGCGCATTGGTTAATTCAACCTCAATTTTTGAGTAAGGAGTTTTGTATCATCATTTATTTTTGCGTGAGTAATAAGACGTGTGCTTGTAGATTGGACTTGCGCAACAATTCCCTGCATTCTATCTTCTTCCCCGACATAACCCCCTCCAAAATTTGGTTATCCGGTAATCCCCTGGACTGCGAATGTATGTTTTCCAATTTGGAAACATTGGACGAACGACTCCGCGATAAACAAGATCTAAAATGTATTACCGGCACTGGTAAGAGTTGTCCGACGCAAAGTCTGACTCCTCTGGGAGACCAATTGGAGGCGGTTGTGGGTCAACAGATAGCTATATATTGTCAGGGAAGGATGGAGAACGACCGGATATCCTGGAGTTACAACCAGTATCCTCGAAATCCGGTGGACGGACATCATTTGAGAGCTCTGCATGCATTAAGTATGCAGCCAATAGATCAATTAGAGACTGCTCATAATGACAGAACCAGGCAGATCAAAGGGGAACAACTAGTCATCGAAGCAGTCATCCAAGAAGACGAACAAGATTACATTTGTAAATTGGAGAGGGAGAACAGGACCGTCAGTGAGAAGAAAATCCATCTGACTGTCCACAAACCCAATATAAAATTATTCCCGATCGATGTGGGATCCCATTATGTTGCCTTAGGCTGGAATTCGTCGTTGAATATAAAATGGACAGTCAATATTCGTTTAATGCTGGCTGTCAAAGACAATAATAACAGTACTCTGCGGGTAATCCAGCTAAATGTGCTGAATCCATGGTATGGCTACAATGTTATTCGATTACGACCTGAACAGGTACTGATTTTAATTACTGTGTTTGACTAACAGATCAGAATAATAACTAGACTTACTTTCAGAATTACACCTTTTGCCTCTTCTACGAGTTTATCTACAATTACCCAGGAGTCATTTACGAGACTTGCACGAAAGTTCGGACCCTCCCAAGCATAAATTTCTGGAGTTCTCTCCATCCTTCTACCATCATAATCATCACGGGGATCTCCTTCACCCTGTTCATTATGTTGTGTTTCCGCGGATTTTATATTAGGTTTTACATCTGGCATCAGACAAAACAGAGGGCAAGAATGAATCAGAGTATCAGTGGACAGAGTTTCCTCTCCCATTCTGTCTCCAGAAGTGAAACAACCATCATGGACCGATCTCTTCATATTGAAAACAGTAATGCGGTATGTCATATTACTCACAACTCAAAGTATTTTTATTTTAGATGCGAATGTCGAGGATAGAATCATCTCACACGGAAGATACGGAAGTCTCTTTATTAGATAGTGCTTAAAATACGGGTTTTGTGCCATAAAAATGAATAAAAGACTTATTTGGTTAATGCTTTCAATCTAAAATCCACTCAAGATGTCGACTGATCCGTCTTTTTTATTCTCAGGACCCCAAAACCATATCCCGAGGGGCCGAAGAGGTTACTGTAACAGAAATTGCAATAAATCTAGGACTAATTTTGTCAACATTAACTTACCGAGTTCTCGTGATCGTTCACGGATCTACTGTCCAATCTTTTCCCACAGGTATCTAAATTTTATTTTGCAAAGGTTCACGGGGCGGGGCATTTTTGTGGCTCGATTCGAATTGGCTATAACTTCTTTATGTTTTTGGCCAACTGTAAAATTGGCGCTATGGCGTTTCGGGTCGGGGACAGAAAAGAAAGATTTTTTTGTGGAAAACTGATCCGAATGTTACAATTTTGTTTTACAGAGTAATATAAAAATGTTATTTTTGGAATTTTTTAGTTGATTTAGGGGTAATTGAGATTTTTCTTTTCATTTTTTTAAGAAAATAATGTTTTTAAGCACGCCAATTTATTTTCTTCTGCAAAAAGTATCGGGCAAATAAGAAAACCGTAGCCACAAAAAAAAATATTTTTTCTACCGTACACATACAAATTCAAATCCCTTTTTGGGTCCCGACGGGAATTAATTTGCAGGTGGCCAAGTGTATTGCTAGGCCTCCAGAAGTGCGTACTTTAACTATAAACATCGGATTTAAACACAGATAGGGCCATAGAAGATAGGCACAACTGTTCGGACCTAATCCCCTGATTACCTATAAAACGGTACCGTTGACCCGAACTGTGTCTGATCCGAAAAGTCGGAAAGCCTTAAAATTCTTTTTTTCATGAATCTTGAGAATCTCATTTATTTGATGCCGAAAAATGCCCCACCCTACCGTCGTTTGAAATGAAGATTTTTGAAGTAATCTTAAACTTAGTACATGAAAAACAACCTGAATGATACAATTTCCCAGCAGCCATCACCTTTTCTGCATGATAGACAGGCTGAAAACAGGACTGACATCTTTTGTGAAGCATCACGGAAGGGGATTCCTGTGGTGGCACTTGCAGAATTTGAACATTTGCGGAATTGCGGAAAAGCGACACTTGCGGAATTCGAAACAAATGCTTTATAAATTCCGGCTTCAACCCTGTCTTCTTCATCTGGTTGTATATTTTGAGCCCTAGATGTGTATATGCACGTTACATTTTTTTTAACATTTTTACACATTTCACTCCATATAGTCGATTTCTCTTTCGGCCCGAATCAACTGTTTTTGAGTTGAAGGTCTGAAAAATAAATTTTTGTACCAAAACTTATTTCTTACGTCTTATAAACACATTTTTTTAAGCTAAAATAAAATGGACGGCTAATTTTTACATATTTCTTAAACATGATTTTACGTCTTTTTTGAGAAACATCCCGTCAAAAAGTATGAGCCCCCATAAAAGTACTTTCCTCATGAAAATATGCATCAAGTTGAAGGGAAGTGAACACAGAAATTTATAAACCGTTTGTTCCCGATTCCGCAAGTGTAACTTTTCCACAATTCCGCAAATGTCGCAGGGGATTTTGATGATGGAAAGACGGGGCACTCCTTGATTACAAAGGGAAATCCGGTTTCGCAAGGTAAAACAGAAAGAAGTCTTTTCCGAACGACCTTTGAATGACATGAAGGTTCCAGAAAGCCAGAGATTTTCAAGAGCAAGGGTCTCAAAATTAAAAAAAAGACATTAGCATTCAAAAAATTGCATAAAAATGTGAAAAAATTCAAAAATAAATTTCTTATTTTCATTTTTTAAAATCGAACGAAGATGGCTGATGATCAATACGAATCGCTGGTAAACCTTGGTGCTGGATTGGTTTCTCCACCCACCTCTGTTAAAGCTCGGCCAGTCCCGAAAACAAGCAAATCTCAGGAAAGTAAGAAGATGACAAAAGATATCATCAAACTCAAAAGATTCGCGCCATGTGTAAAAGCTGTGATGCAGGATTTTTGAGAAAAAAGGCAAATGTTTCTGTTTTTTTAAACAACAAAATTATGCCTCTTTTTCTCATAAATAGGGTTGTTAAAGTCATCAAAGTTGTCAAATTGCCGTCATTTTCGTCGAATGTCAAATTGATTTTTTTTTTTGGATTTTTATTGTTTAGATTTTTACTAAAAAAGGAATTTAAAATTTTAGGAACTAAATTTCCCCTTTTCAAAACGACGAGTGAAATAAGCAGTAAAACTAATTGCCACTAATATTAACGGTGTCCATCATAGTTAAACTCGCAAAGCTTCGTATATCAGGATTTTCAACGACGAAAATGACGCTCATTTGACGGAAACTTGACATCGGATTGAAATAATCCGTCAAATCAAATAACCCTACTCATAAATCATGTATCACGGCTTGTAATGTAAAGCTATAGATCTGCAGTCCGTGGCTCCAACGTCCACTCAGTCCAGATCAAAGAATGTCAGCCAGCAAAAGACGGCAAATCCAGTTCCTGCACTCAAATATTACGGTAATAATGGGATTCCTACACTTGAGGAAATTAGCCAAAAAACACTTGAAATTGATGACGAAGAGAAGGTCGAGATAACTGAATGGACCAACGATGGAAGTTTTAACACATAAAAAATATTTTTTTATTTCTGAAAGACTATACAAAACATGATTTTAGTTATCCGATGTCAGCGATTTTTTTGATCGGAAGGTTTTGTTTTCGGCCTCCATGGGATCAACCACCCAGCATTTGAGGAACTTTCTGAACTTGAATTACTTGTCCCATCACTTGTCTATCATTTTTCTGGGAATTCTGAATCTGCTTATATTTATTTTGATAGCAATTTTGGTGATGGTTTGTGTCACTTATTTTTTTATGGCCACACCGATTGTTTCAAAAGTAAGTTATATCTGCAATGGAATACCTTTATCTTATAGTACAATCAAATGATTGGCGAGAGTCGCCCTTGTTATTACGAATGGGGCCCTTGGTCTCCGTGTACGGGCACTTGTCGACCTCACGGACAAGATCCTCCAATCAGAGTCCGGAAGATTATTGCAGGGCTCACAATCATGCCTCGAGGCCTTTTTCGGACAAAAAATCTTCTGAATCATTGTAGAAGTATTGCGAATTATACGGTAGGTTGGGGCACTGTACGCTGTTTCCGATTTTTTTAATAGAAGTGGCTTCCATAATTTTATGTTGTTTTAGGATTCAGCTCCTTGTAATGTCGCCGAATGCCCAGTGTCCTTGAGATCATTCCCATTCGGAAAATGTGTAGGCAAAAAAAGATTTAGACTGATCCCACGGATTTCGCAACATGTAGGTTATCAATTAGAATACGAATCGGCACTTTCAGTTAATTATTATTTATACCGTTTTTTACCAAAATAGGTGTACCGTTCTCGAGAAATGTGGACGAATCTCAAAAAGGCTCCGCATTTCGTAAATCCAGCTTCTGTCGTGGAGATGTTTGATGGACTCCTTGTGAGAAGCTGGGTCGGTCGACAGTTATACGGGGCTTGGAAACAACTTGGCTTTTAAACGTTGATTGAAGAATGTAAAAAATTTTTCTTAAAAAATGACGTCATTATGTATTTATGAGAAAATTAAGATTCTTTAAAAGTGACGTTTACCATGAGCCAGCGGAAAATCGATCAAAGCTAAAATTGGCCTGTTACCATTTTCGAGCAAGGGGAACAATGATCGAGTTGAAAAGTAAGCGGGTTACTGTAACCTGACGAAACCGAATTTTTGACGATTCCATGTCTCTTTTAGGACATATTCAAGCTAAGGCCAGTCCAGTCAACCAAACTGCATGGGCGAATTTACAAAATGTAATTTTTTCGACTGCATTGTTCGAAAACCGTGATTCGCATTTCATAAATGAAAACTGTTGGCCCAGTAAATAACTTTAAACCTGAAACTGCCGATTCGTGTCCTGAGTCAAAAAAAAATAAAATATTTGCCTTTGATTTTAGATAAATCTGGGCGAAGATCAGTTCTACATGGCTTGTGATTAATAGGAAATTATAGGTTTTAACTTAACATCTATATACTACTACTTTAAAAAATAAATAAATCAAAGAGAAATTGATTACGTCACAGAAAAGTAATTCATATATTTATTTTACCCGTATTTCAAATATCTCAATTAAAATCAGAGTGGCGTTGCCTTAGGCTTAAAGAAATAATAATTCCCTATTTTCCGCCCAATAATTAAGATCACTGGAATGAAGAATAGCACGAAATAAATGTAATTTGCATTTGTATTGGTGTCCTTGTCATGGATTCCCATCACATTCATCTCCTTGGCCCTTCGAACCCAGAGTTCATTGAACGTTTTAAAGTTGCTGGGTCGGTGGAAAGGCCTGCTAAATGTGTAACTTCTTGAGCCTTTCTTGCCTTACCTGATATCCGTATCTTCTTCTACTTTTTCGATCTTATATCCATATCCCTGCAAGACATTGATCAAACTGAATGGCCCATGGAAATGGCCAGCTCCCACGGCAAACAAGAAGGTTTCCTGCGGATGTTCTTGGATGAGATGATGTGTCCTCAAGGCCATTCTCATGTTCCGATGTTCAATTATATCCCATTTTAATCTCTCATCGATTTCCTTGGCCTTTCGATCAAAGGCTTCGTTCAAAGTGAAGCCGGCTTCAGTAAATGGTTCGCTCTCGAAGTTGGTGACTTGTTCGTCTCCACAGTTGTATAACTTGATTAATCGATCGATCGCGGATTCCCTTTTCCTTTTCTCCCTGTTCTCAGCCCATTCCATATATGACAAAGTATAATTTATAGCAAATATAATCTAAAATAAGGTATTTGCATAAGCATGAATAAACGTTGTCTAATTATTAATTAATTGTCAGACATACCTGTTGTTTGTTTACTCTAATTAGAGGATTACATTGTTCTGTGGGACTTTCGATAGAATATAATTTCTTTCCCTTTTCTTTGGCCGAATGGGCCAAGTAGGCGTCGAACATGGGGACCGATAAGCTATCAGATTCCTTATAGTATTCTTGTTCATTTAGTTGGTATAACAAGAATAGTAGCCAGACTGGACGACGGGATTCCCAGGAGCCGATCAAATGGTTTATCTGACTCCAGATCTCTTTTTTGGATTTTTTGGAATCAGAATTCCTTATTAATCTCTGCTTTTTCCTTTTGATGTCTGCAACTTGTCATACTTGATAAATTATTACATAAATTGACAGCTTAAAAAGTTCTTAAAGCGATTACATTGTTTTAATCGTTGAAACATGGACTGTGGGAGTATTGTTTTCAAACTTTTTCCATATTCCAGTTGTTTGCAGTCGATTAATCCATTCACAGTTTCGGGATCATGCAAAGCCAATTCGAATACCACTCCTTGAACTTGGTTTAAGGCTTCTTTCACCTTTGCTGAGACTAGAAATGACCTTAATTAGAGCGTGCAATTAGGGACAGCTCCCGTATTTGTTTTGCAATCTGTTCGGTCAGTATGGCAGCTTATTAGAGACTTTGCGCACCTAGGTCAACAACTCGCGCGATGGCCTCCTTTGTTCGCGCTCTTCTCTTTTTTAAACAAAACAGGCCCAATATGTTTTGAAATTCTTTTTAAGCCCGGAGGGGCTTTTCACACCTATGGAGCGATTAAAAGCCCTTAGGGATTCGAGGCCATCCGGTCTCCCACATATTTGATTGCTTCCGTTTAGATGCCTGAGGCAAGACTCACCTGAATCCCAGACTTGATCATAAGCAACATGGATGGTGCCAAACAGAAAATTATGAGTGTTGGTCTTTGGTGATGTCACTGACCATAAATAAGTGGATCTCTAAAGTATAAATATTACATTTACTATATGAAAAACTGACCTGATGGGTTTTACAATCATCGTTGGCGACTATCTGACTGATTAGGAACACAGATAATAGATTGTACAAAAACATTGGTTGAGCTGCATTAGCGACGGCAATATTTTTAGTGGGACTGAATCTTCGCTACGGTAAATCGCGTGCAAAAAGAGGGGCGGAGTCTGTGTGACCAAAGGAGAAGAACATTGTCCTCAGCCACAATGTTTACATAGATTCCGAGCCTGTTGACGAAACGGCATTAAGAAGTTGAGCAGGCTAAATGGTTGTTGCAAGACATCGACACCTCTATAATATTATAATTAGAGATGGGGGATGTTGACCTTGAAAAGATCCATGGAGAAGAGTCAGGCAGTGGAATTAAATGGTGTTTTGTGGAAAGTAACTAGTCGGCAAGAGTAATCCGCAAAGTATGGAGACTCTGTCACGACTCTAAACAAACGGTAAACAAGAAAAGCAGGACTCTGAAGTGTTAACTGAGGTCGCGACAAACCCCTTTGGACATCTTGTTCTGAATCCATAAATTTGGAGCCTCGTGTGCGGTTTTTTTGATGTTTGCCGCCGCGAATCCATCATCAGAGGGACCTTATCGACTGATAAACCTCAAAGGAAATGCCGCCAATCTTTCCCATTGTATTTATATAACCAAAACAATAGAAAGTTCAATTAAAAGAGTGAAATTGGTGACAGATGTACAGCTAGTGCCAGTTCTAGTGGTTTACAACTCTTTCTTTGAGCGTTTTGTTTTCGGGGCCGCCTTCACTGGCTCCGGTTCTGGCTCGTCATCATCGTCAAGATCGATGTTTCCTGCCATGATCTGATCAATCCAAGTTTGGAGGGCCTCGAAGTTGCTGTCGGAATGCTTCTTGGGATCATCCAGATTGAGTTGACTCATGTCGAACCAGAGAGAATCCTTGTCGGAGATATCCACAAGCCCAATTTGAGGGCCTTCCTCAATATCAATGCCGAACATCCCTTCCCAAACATCGACCATCAATGGGAATTCATCTAAATTATTTGTTATTACATACAAATTGATGGCTTTATTTTAAAATGCCTACCAGGGTCGATGAGGACCAGTTCCAAAGTTCCAGCATGCTCCTGGTTTTCGTCAGCAATCTTTCGAAGAAGCTTGTAAAGAGCTCTTCCCTCTCGGGTTTCCTCGTCACAGAAAGCCAAGATCATCTTCTCGTCATCATCAGAATCCCTCTGTAAATAAAAAACCAATTACACTGCAGAAAAAAGCATTTTACGCACCCAGACATTGAAGTAGTTCTCTAATGACAGTTTCTGCATTACGGGCTCACGGTGTTTCTCCACCCAATCTTCGAATTCATCTTCAGTATCCACGTTCAATGGAGCATAGATTGGATCGTCCTCGAAGGGATGGAACAGCTGGACTTCCCCAACCCTTTTCAACCCTAATTTGCGGGCCCACTGGAATCAGTTTTATGATTATGTAATTAAACGATACTTACATAACTGGTGACCACAGCAAAGAATTCGATCTCTCCCATGAAATCCTCCGCAGCTTCTTCGAATTCTTTTAAAGCTGCGCTGCCAGGCTCAAAGTATCCAATAATCCTAACAGCCTCATCCTCAAGATCTTCGAACTCATCCAGATCGAACTGATCGTTAATGATGGTAACTGGATCGTCTGGAATGTCCATGAGCCACGAAACAAAGGTCTCTGGATCTCGGACGCCATTGTATTCGATCTTGTAGCCATCCTTGTAAACATGGATCGTATCTTCGCCCTTCTCAACCTCTTCTTGATTCCGTAATTTTACTTCTTTTGTTGTGTTTACGGTGTAGAAATTATAACCTCTTTTGGTCATAACTTGTGCTGACAACTGATGAGGTGAATTACCCGGGGTATCTCAACTTACTTGCAAGAAACATTCATACTGATCGAACTCTGGATCGTCATCTTCCACATCGTTGAAGAAGACAACAGACTTGGCATCCTCAGCAAACACAGTTCGGTTGAAATTCTTGTCCGTCAAAGGCTCGGTTCTGTCGAATCCGTCATATTCGAGATCCGGATAACCCAAAAACATGCATTCCAGATCCAAAGTTTTGGGAGCCGCAGCCCATGAGTGGACAAGGAAGAGGCTGATTAGGCCTCCAAGCAGCAGAACCCGGGCCATGGGTCTGGAATTAAAGATAAAAGGAGATATAAGGGCGAATTAACATCTGGAGGAGGGCGGAGTACCGTATAAAAAAGAAATGTAGTTTTATGAGCAACCTTAGGATCAACAATGTGATAAGAAAAAAAAGCAAAAAAACTGTTGAAATGTAAATGCAACCTCTTATCCTGCTCTTGGACTCGGTCCGCGCAAAAGTGAGAGAGTCCAGACTGATTATGTGGATAAGTTTAGGCCGCGTTCAAGTGGAGTGAGAGGGAGAAAGAGTAGGTGATTTCTTTTCTTTCTCTCCTTCCGTCCAAGCACATGCACTGCCGACAGGCGGCCTTAGCTTGAGAAATATATAACTCGGAAGGCATGTTACTCTGATTCCTCGGAGAGTGTACTTGATTCGAAGAGATACAAACAAAAAAACGGGCAGAACGGAGGTCTGAACACATCGTCGCCTACCTTTAGAACAATCCATCCATCTCTCATGGCCTTCCAACCCACTCCTCCTGCCCTCAGGGCTAATTCAGACCCGGGTTTGTGACATACGGCCAAATCAAATAATTCTAGAACTTTAAAGAGGGCACGAAAGGTGCCAAGCAGAAAGAAGAACACTCTGAAAGTCACTTAGAATTAGAATAGTCAAATTTCCGTTCCCGCAAAAAATTTAAACCTAAACCATTATAGCATAATTGCCGTAAATTATTGCCTAAGGGATTTTTGTGAAAAAAAATATATTATAACAAAAAAATAACTTGTTTTGTATTTCTATCCTTTTTTGGAGGGAACCCACTATTCGTAAGAGATACTTCGCGTTTACCAGAACGTGTGAACGCAAAATTGCCGAAAAAAGGTACTATTAAAGGTGTATATCCCAAAACACCGGACTTGTGACAGCCTTGAAATGACCAAACTTTGAAGCGTTGAGTAAAAAATGCAGACATAGAAGTCTTTTTGCTCGTATTGGATCAAGCTTTGCAAAATTTGGCTTATTAATTTAAAAAAATTAGGCCAAATTGGAGCAAGTTATGCCGTAAGGCGGGATAAAGCTGCGCCAAATCTTAGGAGAATGTATCAGACAACAGCTACTTTTGCACAATTTTAACTTCGAATATTATACTCTTGGCCATGTTTTACAAACCTTTGGTACACGCGAAGTGGGAACTGCGCCACACGCGAAGTGTCCCTCGCGCGAAGTGGGTAACACTCTCTTTTTTGTTTCCATTTTTGCAATAGACTTTTTTTACCTGCAAAAAATATTTTAATTTAATGAAAGCTGAAAAAAATACGATGTGAAGAAAATTTTGATGGAACTCCACTTACAAGCACTTATCATCATCCACTGAATTTAAATTTTTATACTGTGACCTAAAACGGAAGACTTGCGGTTGAGAGATACACTTGACCCAAACTATTCGGGTCGCATAATTTCGCGAAACTCCAAGTACACAATTACATATTGAGGAAAGGGTTCATGAAGGTTGAGGCTTGTAAAAGTCGAAATTACTCAAAATTTTATATTGCTCTTTTAGAAGTAGAATACCATGGCCGAACCACAGTCCGCCCTCTTGTTGAGAAAACAACTAGCTGGTAAGAATAAAATTTTTTATACGTTTTTCTAAGATTTATGCCGATCTCCTGTCGATGGATTCTCAGCCGGATTAGTAGACGACGACAACATATACAAGTGGGAAGTCTTGATCATCGGACCACCAGACACTTTATAGTATGTTTTTTTTTGTTTTCATATTTTTGTGAGAAGTTTTAGCCTCCAATAACGGATGTTTTTTTAGCGAGGGAGGTTTCTTCAAGGCACATTTAGAGTTTCCCAAGGATTACCCGGTTAGGCCACCAAAGATGAAGTTCATTTCAGACATTTTCCATCCAAATAGTAAGTCTTTTGTAGAGCATTCATTTGCTTTTAGTTGATTCAAAAGGAGGAGTTTGTATTTCCATTCTTCACGAACCCGGGGATGATCATTATGGATATGAGAAAGCCGAGGAGCGTTGGTTGCCTGTCCACACGGTAGAGACCATTCTTTTATCCGTGATTTCAATGCTGGCCGATCCTAACTTTGAATCTCCTGCCAATGTTGACGCTGCAGTATGTTCTTGGCTTATTTTCGTCTTTGTTTTGTCGTGCCCGTCCATAAATGGGCACAAACCACAATGGGAAGATGCCATAATGGGCAGATTTTGAGAACCCGCTCGAATGTTACAGGTACCCTTATATATTTGTAAAAAAATGTTCGGAAAGAAGTATGAATTGTGTTTGACAAATTTGTTGGAAGTGTAAGTGCAAAATTTGTTTAAAAAAGAGTAATTTCGGAAACGTGTAGGTTCTGAAATAAGATTGTTAGATTCAGTCTTCAAAATTACACTTAAAAATTTTACACTTGCAACAAATTCGCCAATATAACATAATTTCTAACAGCGTTGCATCAAAATTAACACTTTTCTAATCACAGTTTTTACAAATTCTCTGAAATTTGAACGGGTTATCGAAATCTGCTCATTTTGGCGTACCCATTATGGACCGTTGCCGTTTTCGCTACGTAGTTTTATTTCTCAATTACTTGTAGAAACTTCAACGTGAAAACTATCCCGAATTTAAAAAACGAGTCGCCGCTTGTGTAAGGAAAAGCCAGGAATCCTTCTGAAGCCCTCCGACAACAACAATCCTTCAACGAATACTGGTCCCGGATTAAACATTGTTCTTGTGAAGTTGTTTTATATTCATTAAAATATTTTTTGTACAGACTTGTTAAATATTCGAATAAGTGAAGTTATCTCAGACCTCGGAGCTTGCTGGAGTCGTATTCTGAGAAGGTGAAGAGACTGATGAAGACATTGAATGTTCTCGCCCGTCCACTGGTAAGGTTGGCCTGCTTTCGAAATTGTCATTGGCGCGACGGCTTGGTCGGGTAATGCTGGTGAACCTGGGAGTCACAGGGATTGTGGCAACAAGGACTCGTTTTGATTTCTGAAATTTAAGAGTGAGAAAAACCTTACTAGACTAAAAATCAAAAGCTAAAGGCTCAAAATACGGAACTTGCATGCATTTGAGTTCAAGTTTGGCAAGAAATACATTTAAAAACGACTTACAATAGAATCATACTGCCGTAGTTGCCTGGCAAACGCTTCTTGTGGGGTGTTTCCACCAACTGCCGGCGTCAGATCGGTCTTCCGGAGTGGATGCCTTTCTTCAGAGACACCTGGTTTTTGCGACATCTGAAATAAAGGATAACAAATATTGAGAAGAAAGAACGATCGGAATTTTGCGCAGTAATTCGGGGTTAGAAGGCGAAAACGATCCTTCCCGGAGGACGGAAATGGAGAAACTCGGTTGGATGGCTCGGAAATTGTGAAATTGAACAAATTCTTTTATCTCCACTTGTTTTTTCGCGACCGAAAAAAAACCGCGGCGGTTTTATCAACGGAAGGAAGGAACGTTCGCCCGAATGAAACAAAGTCACAAAAAATAGACGAAGGAATACCTGCTGCTGAAAGGTAACGTTCTAAAATAAACTTTGCGTGATTCAGAATTCGGGCCAGATGACGCCCTTCCGATTCTGAGGAGGCTCCACAGTTTGTGTAAGAATTAACGTTATTCTCATTGACTCTCACACCAAATAGCACGGGGAGAAAAGGTGAAACATTCTTTTGCGGGAAAACTACAGTATAAATATAAAGTACCTTTCGCAATCGATTTTGTTCCACATGGAAAACTTCACTTTATACAAATATGGAGAAAAATGCAACATGAACCATGTGAGGAATGTATTGTACATTAAAAAAGTTTGAGTTAAATTACGTAAGTAAACAAAGTTGGAGGAAAAGAAGGATAAGAATGATCTGTAAACCTATAAGCATAATAAAACAGCCGTTTTATTAAGCCGATTTATTGTTGTCACTTGAAAAACTCCAATCCTTTTTCGGACCATGTGGCATTCGAAAAACTTATGAATGACATTTTGCGGAGAAAGCGACAACAAAAGCCCAAACAAACCCCTAAACCTCTCTTATCATGCTGACTTCCGCATCGGATATCATGAGAGATCACTCTGCCTTGTCTGTCTATTGATATTTGATCTGAGGTTCGAAACACTCAAATAAGGACGAAAGGGGGTAGAGAGCCTGGGCTCTCTCTGTTTTAAAATCCCTTGGACTTTCGGGTCTCGCTTTGCCGCAGAGTCAGCCCGAATTTGCATAAAAGATCTCCAAATGAGGGAAAATGGCGAGGCCATTCATGCAAATAACTTAATTAGGGTTTGCAGACCAATAACAGCATCCCAAAAGCCGCCGACCGATTAGCGACTAAGTAACGGGATGAGAGAGTAATCCGTCAACGGATCACTTTACTCCACATAGAATCCTATTTCTGATCATAAAACGACGTTCTGTGATGTTTACTAATTGCTGGATGACTAAAAAAGAAAAGGAGAATTATATGAGCAGTAAATTGCAAATTCCATTAATTTATGTAGGCCAAAAAAAGCTGAAAATTCAAGACATGTCAGCGTTTTATGCATTTTTTCTGGCAGTTGCAATGTTACATTAATTCGTTAATTTTTTATTATTCTTCATAAATAAACTTTGCTGGCCGAGGTCTTGAATGCTGGATTTGAAGGCAAGGAGTTGGAAAGGCCAAGACTGACCGCCCCCTCAGTTCTGATCGGCACCTGTTCCGAGTGAAGGCCAGGCTGCAGATCGCTTTCCCACCCACTAATATTATCGATTCCTTGTCTCGGAGAGTTTTGCTGCCGGTTTTGGCCACAAAGCGATTCTCTTATGGAAGTGATGGATGAATCACCTTCCTTCTTCCCGCTCTCCGATCCCACGACTTTACACTTGATATTACGTTTGTTTATGGGCTCCTTTAGATTTGCATATTAGAAGGCCGCGGGTCCAAAATATTCATTCTTTTTTCTAACTCTCGCTGTCGTGCTGCGCCCTCAGAGTGAATGCGCTCTTGCCGAATTCAGGCGAAATGTTCCGCTTTCTGTTTTCATACGATTTCAACTTTTTACCAAGTCTTATTACTGCCGGTTTGGCGTTAAGTTATAAACGACAAGATGTGTATAATAGTTTAGTTAATTATTAATCGCCATATCGCTTTAATATCGCACAGTCGAAACCCCGGAAGAATTTATAAGAGCTCTCTTTCAGATCAGACAAACCTCTGCCCGCTCTGACTTATTTTAAACCGTTAAGTGGCCTCCGGGCCTTCGAAAAAAGCGGCAAAAGACACCCCGACGTTTAAACGGGAAGCATTTAAGCAGGGCTCGTCATGTCGATCGCCAGCCATTACCATGCGCATAAGCCCAATGTGCCCATTATTATGGAAGATGTGTTTGGATGGGTCAAGGAAGGAAATGCTTTTCAAGTCCGAGTATGGCTTGACGATTCAGAACACGATCTGAATATTGGGTAGGAAGCCTTCTTTAAACATTACGATGGATTTAGTGACGATCACGCCTTTTCGCTTTTGCACTGGGCTTCCAAAGAAGGACATCTCAGTATAGTCGATCTGTTACTGGCCAGAGGCGCCCGAGTCAATGCTACAAATATGGGAGATGACACCGCACTTCATCTGGCTTCGGCCCATGGACATCGACAAATTGTGGTCCGACTCATTACTAAAAAGGCCGATGTGAATGCAGCTAATGAGCACGGTATGACACCATTGCATTACGCAGCATTCTGGGGATTCGAGCAGATTTGCGAGGATCTTATTCGGGCAGGCGCATACGTCAATATTTGCAACAAACGGAATCTAACCCCTCTCGATGTATGTCAGCCACAGATCCGACAAGCTGTATACGGTAGGATTAAATTCTTAAAATTTCTAACTTCAGATGTACAGAAATTGCTCTCGAAAATGGACAAAACGCAAATCAAAAGGTTCCATTCAGAGACGATGGATGGAAGAATACAAAGACACGAACCAGAGAAGCAACTCTCTCACGATACACAGGAGTTGACATTCAGAGTCTCGCTTTCCAGAAACCAATTGCACAATCTCATTCCGGAACTTTGTATCGAGGAAAATGGCAGGACAATGATATTGTGGCCAGAGTTCTTAACGTTGCCGAAGTAACCGCCAGAATCTCCAGAGACTTCTCCACCGAATTCCCATCACTAAGGTAAAACAGATTAAGCACACACATACCCCTTGTATATCTTCAAAAGAACCTAAAACTTTCAGAATCTTCGCATGTCCCCAAATTTGCCCACTCCTGGCCGCCGTCAACCAACCTCCTCAATTAATTCTAATCAGCCAATACATGGAGTTTGGTTCCCTTTACAATGTTCTTCATGAGCAGACAAATGTTGTCATCGATCATACACAAGCTATCAGATTTGCCCTGGATATTGCCAAAGGAATGAGTTTTCTGCACTCTCTGGGCTCTCCAATTCTCAGGTACTACCTCAGCTCTAAGCACGTTGTAGTAGATGGGGAATTAAATGCCAAAATAAATATGGCTGACACCAAATTCTCATTCCAAGAAGTCGGCAGACTCTATTCTCCAGCATGGATGAGTCCCGAGGGTAAGCGGTCACACAAAAACACAATGAACTGATTTCAGCACTACAACGGGCACCAGAAGATCTAAACATTCGTGCAGCTGATATGTGGAGCTTTGGTATCCTTTTATGGGAATTAAATACTCGAGAAGTCCCATTCGCCGACCTATCCCCGATGGAAACTGGAATGAAAATAGCTCTAGAAGGCCTTCGAGTGATGATCCCGCCTGGGATCTCAAGGAATATGTTCCGATTGATCAACATTTGTCTGAACGAAGACCCGGGCCGTCGGCCCAACTTCGATCAAATCATTCCAATCCTCGAAAAGATGGCCTGATCCTCATACTTGGTGCTATTTTATTAAGTTCTTGGAAGTGCCTTCCCCCGTTTACAGCTGTAATTATAAAACACTGCCAAAGATTGAGAATGACCAGAAGTTTGTTGACAATATATATCAGCTATATAATAAACGTTTAAACCTTTAGTCTTCTATTACACATATTTGAATCTCCTACTTGGTTACCACGACAACGAAAAGCGTTTCACGAACAAAAATGAAAATTCGACATAAACGATGATTGTGCTCTATTCCAATGCCTCTAATTTAATATTTTCAGCATCAATCATTTGTTATAGTGTCTTTGTATTTTTATTTTATATGATCCTAAAAGCATGTAAAGTGAGTTGTTTTCATACAGTCACACTATTCAATTTAGCCCGAACTTTTCGCAAACACTTCCGATAATGAAGTTGAAGGTCTAGAGTTCGGTGAAACTGGCTTCCAGGACTGTTCGTTCCTATTAAAATGTTTTCCATGTAATACTTGTTCCTTCCGCAATTGTTGGAGGAACACTTTACCAACTACAGTAAGTGAAAAAAAATATAAAAACGACAACCTTCTACTCGTTTAGAAATTATCTTTGCGAGAACTTGCCAATTGTGAATGTATTCGCCCGACAATCCACGGGAGTGCTCCATACAAAATCGACCTCATTTGTTGCAGAGTATAACTTTAATCAAGTAAAAACAACAACAAATCTAATAAATCTAATGACCTTGACACTTCAATTCCTACTTTTTGACGACTCCAACTTGAGCCGGTCTGATAGGACGTTCATGAAGATAATATCCAATCTTCATAACTTCAGCAATATGCCCTGGGGCATGTTCACTCTAAATTCAAAATAATAAGCCTTTAAATCTCTTACCGCTTCTTTTGGAACTTGAAAAACCGCATCGTGAAGGTTGGGATCAAACTTTTCCCCTTCAGGAGAAACCTTTTTTAGCCCATGACGAGCAAACGTCTTCTGTAATACCGTGCTGGTCATATCAATTCCGTCATAAAGGTTCTTTAATTGAGGATCCTTCTCTAAGTCCTCTTTCTTCACAGAATCCAAGGCCAGATTCAAAACATCCGCAACTTCCAAGAGATCCTTGCAAAACGACTGAATGGCAAAAACTTTAGCGTCTTCAACTTGTTTTTGTCCTCTCCTCCTAACGTTCTCTGTTTCCGCCAGCGCCCTCTTGTATTTGTCATTAAGCTCATTACATTCTTCTCTCAATGCATCATATTCAGCTGCTAGAACGTCAAAAGCTGCCCTTGACGGCTGAAACTGTTCAATAGGAATGCCCTTTGCGCCTTCTGTCTGATCTTTTACTTTCTGAAGGTATTCAGCACCTAAAAGCAAAATGCGTAGAAAATTTTTGTGGCGTTAAAAATGGTGTAAAAAACAAAGAACCCGAAAATTCTTACTTGATATCCGCTGGCCGTTCGTCGACTTGATGGCTAACTCTTGGGGGTTTGTCGCTGAGTACAACCGAATAAGACTTATGCACGCCTGTTTGCGGCAACGTGAGGCAAGACGAAACATTCTGAAAAAACCAAATAGAGTAAAAAGCAAACAAGTCACACAACGTTTAGAAACAACTAGAAAAGCGGAAGTCGAGCTCTAATTGCGCCATTATCGATCGAATTTTTGTGACACTTCGCTCCAAAAAGGTGGTCTTAAAGATACGATATTTTCACCCGATCATCCAAAATTGAGCGACTTGATAAATGGTGAATTGGAAAGAGTAGACAGTTATCTCTCTGTTAGAGGTTCAGAAATTTGTATGTGTTATTCAGTCTTTGAGATATTCGACTTCAAACTTCCCAAAATTGAGAACTTTGCAATCGCCTAGCGGGCGACGTTTAGTCACGAATCCTACAAAAATGGGCGATCAGCACTACAACATCATTCTCAATCATCATGCAAAGTTTCAGAACTTTTTCTGGCTCGATACTCGACTTATTGAGCCATCTTTCCTGCTATATTATAATGATTGAAATCGTTGCCCGGGCTTTTCGCAAAATGACAAAATCCTTGGCATTCCGCAACTAGAGATATTTTAATTATCAAACTCATCAAACATGGTGTTTTTGAAAGACAAACCAGACCTACTATAACAAGAAAAATTCACTGATAGGGTCTATAGCTTTTTTTTGTCAAGATTTTGTTCAATACTGGGCTAAATTACAATTTTTGTAATTTCTCGAAGAAGCCAAAAAAACATTATTTAACAGTACGCCAAACATTTGTTTTCGTGGCGTGACGTGACCAGAATTCCATGAAAAAACGTTGTGTCAAGCAAGCAGTGAATAATTGCGATTTCGCGAGTAATGATACAATATCAGATTTTCTAGAATTGTCGAAAAAGTTGCAAGCTGCGCCCACGTTTTTCCTTTATGCGATCCATTTTATAAGATTGGGCAGGTTCCATCGTATAAAATGGCTCAAATTTGTTATAGAATAAAAAAAAATCTGTAGTAAATAGTTAGACCTATGTTATAGATCGTTACGCGTTTTGTGTGTGAGGTTGTGGTATATTCATGAATTTGATTTCTTTGTTTTTCTAACACCTTACAACAGCATCCACAGAATGTCTCTCGTTTCGAAAACTCAGCGAATGAAGTCGATAGGTAAATGCCTTGAGCTTTACATCCGGAAAGCGAAGGATCATGCAATATTGATGGAAAAGGAGAGAGCTGAGTTCGAAAATGGGAAAAGACATCTTGCAAACATCATGGGATGGCCTCCAGAAATGAAAATTGGCCAAGAAGAAGTTGATCGCGCCGTTGAATACCTTTTTCCCTCAGGTTTGACTTGCGAACGAGCAAGACCTGTAATGAAGCCACCAGAGGACATAATGGTAAAATTCAACAAGTTCAGTTTTGACGACGAAGGCAGACCATCAGACCATTTGTTCTTTACCCTCAGGCCGAGATTCTATGGATTATTATCCGTAAGTTTATCTTCCCGTCGATCGAAAATCCTTTATTTTAGGATATTGGGTTGAAGACGCAACGTCTCAACAATTATCATGATGAACGACTTCTGAAGGGCCTTCCATTGAGTGAAGATAAAGGAGAACTGAATCTGACCGGCTCCATGTGGCTTCTGAAAGACGATCTGGCAAAGAAGTTGAGCGAACGCTTAAGTGATGATATGGTAAGATTATTTGGGTTGAATAGTTATTATTTTTAGTATGCCCAATTGTTACTGGCGTTTGAAAACTTGGCCAGTCTTCCCTTGGCTCATCTGGAAAAAGGATTCATTATGGAATACAGAACCGGGTTAAGTGGAGGGTCAAAGCCAGAACTGTTTGGTCCAGGAGTTCCGGCTGTAAAATTGGATGCTGAAAATAATATTAGATTTGCGGTGGGCATTGGGAAAGTGAAGAGCACGAGAGTTACAGCGAAAGTGTCAGATGCGGGAACTGGGCTTTATACTGTGAATGACCTCCCTCTCAGTGGATTTCAAGCGTTAGTGTCTCGGTATGTGTGTTCTTTTATTTAATTCTATTAATTTAGAGAGAACTTTATTGCACCTCTGATTATTACTGGCAGACTCGGAAAGGTGGATGTTGCTGTGAAGATCGAAGAAGGTCCTGGTGGAATCTCGGCTGTCCCTAGGGCGGCAAGACATGCGCTTTCTCTTGGACTTGCTGCTTTATATCCTAACACAAAAAATATGTTACGATTGGGTATGGTGCCTTTTTCAAACTTTTACCTTATTTTAGCCGGTTTGCTAACCCAAGATCCTCGACGTAAAGAGAGAAATAAGGTTAATCAGCCTGGCGCTAGAGCAAAATGGATTTGGTATGTATTTTCGTATAAAATAATATTTTTTTTTTCAATTTTAGGAAGCGTCGATAAACTATTCCAATATCGTAGGTTTTGTTTGTTTTTGTTAATAAATTGCTATAATATTGCCAGTGGTTCTTGATTGCGCCGGAAAATGTCTACTCGCAGAAGGAAATCCTTTCCCGTTTCGTGCCAAAAATTGATTTTTTATGGGGAAATTACCCTATACAGTAGGAATAGGCATAAAACTTACCATTCTAAAATTTGCGAAAAGTGCCACGCTTATTCCAATTGTCGATCTACAAACCTCGGCCGTTTCAGCAAGTTGCGAGCTAGGAGCCGCATGTCTTAGAAAAATTATTCTAAATTTGTGCCAATTTTCATCAAATTGTAAGCGTCACACTTGGAATTCTTTCCCTGCCAGTTAAATACTTTATTCGCTGTAAATTATTACTGAGCCATGCAATATTTTCAAGAGTTTTCGTGGAGCTGAGCATGATAACTATTCGATGAGAAGCGATTATGGATGGGTTATGTATGTATAGCGCGAGAGTTCGTTGTGGGCTAATAAACAAGATGACAAACAATAGGAGCGAACAAATCAACGGGTTCTCTAAAGAGTAATGAGCAAATCTGACGGGTGACAACGGATGAGGACAATAGATACTACTTTTTATATGTGTTGATGGTCGGAGGTGCTGAGGGAGGAAGGCATGTTGATGCGGAACTATTAAATACCTGAGGGCATTACAAAATATGGAACTCCTGCTTTTAATAACGGACCAGGAAAAGCGGCTAATAGATTACTATCAATGTTTTCAGGACAACTAAAGTAATGTTCTAATTCTGGGAAGCTAAAACGGAACTATTTGGTAGATTATGTCTTCTGAATTGCTGAGGAATAATTAGAAATAGACATTAGATACAAAGCGTTGAGATTCTAGGAAATAGAAACTTCCGGACATGAACTTAGGCGTTTAGAGGCCTCGACTTTATTTCTGGGGGTTCACATTCGTAATTGAGAGCCTCGATCCTCTCCAGTTGCATCCTCTGAAGATGGGATTCGGGGCCAAGAGTTCGGATCAAGGCACACCAGTTGACGGCTCTGGCTCTAATCACACATTTGGTAACGTTAACGAGGGCTTCAACGAGGTTTGCTGATTCTGAAAGGATTTGTGTTATTAACCATGGATTTAGGACGTCTTCCGTGCTTTAACAAATTAGTCAACTTACCTCGCTCTTCGTCGTATGATCCCATATCTCCTCGAAGGTGACTGAGAATGGCGTTTCTCTCGCTCAGCCGTCGTTGTTGTAACAGTCTCACTGCGTCCAGTAATTCTCGCAAACTTTCATGCACTTTTTGACCGAACTCGATGCCTCTGAGTTGTTCCATTCGACCAATCAGAGTCACCACTCGAGCATGCTCTCTGAAGAAGTCGACCACCAATCGGTCGACTCGAGATGGAGCGGGTGGGAGACGAGGAATGGGCAGATTGTTGGCCGAACTTATCTTCTTTCCCAAATTATGCTTGGCCAATTCAGCCTCTGTCTTTTTTCTCTCTTTTTCCAAGGATCTGTATTGGTCGGTGCACAACTCCAACTTGGTCTGCAACTCCATTTGACTTCGTCTTGGTTGTTCGAAAGCGACATTGTGGCTGCTTGGAGGTGAGATCGGGGCTGGAGGGCTTTGTCGTTGATAGGAATTCTGCTTATTCGCGCGGTCTGCCTTTCTGGTCCCATTTCTGTTTTGCATCGGCATTTGTCCCGAAAGCAACATCCCATAAATATGGTTGTAAACGTTTTGCTGGAGTTCCAGATGTTGATGGTACCATTGCATTTCCGCTTCATCATACGCCACACCATTCCGGCCCGCTTTCGGCAACGTCTGATAAGATGGAGGTGATGGATTTAATGGCTGGAAGGCATGCCGCTGACCGTACTGGTTGTAAGTATCCTGCGTCCTTTGATTGGAAAAATATTTGTCTTGTGGAGCTTCCTGAGACCAGATTTGGGAGTGAGATTGATGCAGAAGTCGAGGGTCTTTTTGAGGAGTAATGTCGGATAAAGCATATTGTTCAATCAAGTCGGTTATATCTCTGGGTTTGTTCATTGTGTAGGCTGCGTAGTTACTTGGGTAATGCACTGAAGGAGACTGGTGGGGAGCAGGAGTGTCCTCAGTACTCCATTTCCTACTGTTTGGTGATCTGGGACTGTTAAGGGAAAGATTTAACATCTGATTGAGAACGTTCTCATCATTCGGTCTAATGGCATGAGGTTGATGAAAAGCTGGGGCTGAAGTTGAAGACGGGAGGCGGGCGGTTGAAGTGAAGGTGGGAAGAGGCTCATCCTCTGCCGTGGACCAGGGATTAGAGATCGGGGCCTGAGGGGACAACTGGAGCATGGATTCTGCACTAGATTGTGTACTCTCATTGCACTCCTCGCTGCTTGAGTTCTGCAATTTGAGGCGTACATTACTTTGAAGGCTGTTATTGTTTTTTTGCAATCTCAATTCGTTTTCTTTTTCTGATCTATTCCCCGTGCCAGAGCGTACCCCTTCCTTTATTTTTTATGCCTGATGAAGTCATTTGTCTACTATTTTATAACCCCCTATCCCCACCACCTTAAGTCGCATCAGGTCGGAGCTGAGACTCGGGTCAGAAGCTTTTTTCCGGTCTCTGTCCACAAAAAACACACACAAAGACGTTTTTTTTGAAGAGCGGCGTGCAGAAGGAAAGTGCAACACCCGGGCGAAAACGGTCTATGAAAAAAGAACAACGCAAAAAGGACGGCCGGGGAGAGCGGGGAACGACGACGTTCCACTCCGTACCAGGCACCTCCCCGGCTCTTTTTCCGTCGGTTCGAGGACACATAAAAGAAAGCAAAAAAGATGGAATTGCCCGCCAAAAAGGTCGAAGCCCAGTACAAAAGTACTTTCGATGCCCTTAAGGGGATTTGGGTTGGCCTCTCGACCAAAATAACTACAAGTACAAGGCCCATTCGGTAAACAATGTTTCCGGATTTAAATTAAAAGATTGCATTTGCTAATTACCGTAAACGCGTATTCATCGTCACCCTTTTAACCCTAAAAAAATGCACTCTTAGCACAAAGAACGACTCAATTGCTACTAATATACGTACATTACACTTGTGCCATCAATCCTATTCCAGGAATTTTTTATGGCCCAAGTGAACCTGATCAGTCCCGTCGTTTCCCGCTTCTCACCGTCCCAGCCTGTGCTTGGGCGTTTTTTTCGAGAACGTCTTTCTTTCACAGCTTTTTTGTGTGGTGACACGAGAAGCGCAAAAAATAGATGGGAAAAAGTTTAAACAAATATGAAAAGGTCACTGTTTAAAATAACAAAATCGTCTGAAAGTCAGGTAACCCATTATCCGTAATGGTACAAGCCCCTTTCACTATTAAAGCGTTGATTAAATATCTGGGACCTACCTCTGACGAGCTCTGCATCCAATTGTAAACGTTGGACCAAACGGCCTCTCTGGACTTGTCGACTTTCTCGTCCATTATTGGGCTCCAACAACTGAACATGTTGTTGGTTTCGATTTTGCCTGAGTTGGGGGGAGTGGAGGATTGACTGTTCTGTTCCTGAAGTCCAAAAAAGACCTGTTGGCGGGTATTAGACCGATTGAACGTAATGCAATTCTGGTGCCCCATCCCTTGAGTGCTTGGCTGTTCGGTGGCAGTCCAAAATTCCGACATAGCCGGTCTTATCAATCCCGATGAGTCGACGCAATCAACGGCCATAAACTTAAAAGAGCAGCTGATAATTTGGGCTGATAACAAACTCCGCGACATCAGACGACAGCGCGTGAATAATTGGCTCTCGATAACAAAGATGACTAAAACCCGCTCCAGCCAACCCAGTCTGCGTAAAAAGTGGCCATGAATGATGGATCGCATAACTTTTATAAAGGGTTAAATCCGCGATACCCGCTCCGACGTTCCCCACTGGAACGTCGACGCAAAAAGAGGGATTGGCTTCTCAGAGTTTGCGCGCCAAGGACAGAGCGCGCTGAATTTAGGCGGGTTTCCAAGTTCAGTGACATTCCACGACCTCGGTGAAATATCCGGGGGTCGATGAAACGACCGACATCGGCGAAGATCGGGACTTTCTTTGGGAATTGCAAACCTCAGGAGCACGCATAAAAGGGGCGGGAACGGTTCTGGCGGGAGTCTGGGATGCACTCTCACTCACGTTCGTTTCATTTAAAAGAAAAAAAGAAACGTTGTTCGGAACAGCGGGAACGAGACTCCTGACCCCGCCCTCTTTCTCGTTTGCAAGCGAGCAAAAACCCGCAGGCCAAAGAACGCCGCACCGAGTGGACATCTTTTTTCGCCCGCCTGGTGTGCCAGCAGCTCCTTGCCGTACCAGGCTCGGCGGACTCGCCGGTGCGAGGAGCAGCGGGAGCACGCCATAAAGAGTAAGCAAAAACAAACTGGAGAAAAGGAAACATTGCCGGGGGTCGACGACCAGCCGGCTTCCCCAAAACAACAAAAACAATGGCTCTGCCGGTCAGTTCCATGCCCGCCCCGTCGGATAAAAGATTAGGAATTTGGGAGTTGTTTTTGAAAGCATTTTGTTTTGTTTTTCGAATGTTGCAGGAAAAGAAAACAACTTTATTCCCCGGCGTTTTGCATGTTTCCTAAAGCCGGTGACGATCATAGATTATAGCTCATAAATTGTCTCGGTGGTTTTGAGTTAGGAAAAAAGCTTATGGTAAGGTGAAACTCAATAGGCATTGCTGGCCATAGATATTTTATACAGATGTCCATCTCAGAGAGTGAAGATGATTGAACTTTAGATGACCATCAAGCACAAAAACACTTTTTATAGTAATGCGACGCCCTTTATAAGCAAGGTGGTCGGACATAATCCTGAATATTAATCGGGTCCGGCATGGAACAATTGTAATATCGTAAGACCAGAATACTCGCAGTTCAGCCAAAATGGGGGTGAAACGTATTCTGGACCTAACCGACGCACGCAGAACAGACGGCGGTATTTGTTGGCACGGAAATTTAGCTGGAAAAATGACATTTATGCCCTTACTCAGAGATTCTAATTTCTGCCATAATATTCTCTATGGAAGTGACCGAAAAGAAGAAATAATCGGATCAATTTTACTAATATCCCTCGAATTATGTTTCAATTTATGCTGTAAAAAAGTTTACTGTAACGAGTGGACAGCCGGTTTGATAAACGATAATTTTTCCATCTACCAAGATCACGAACCCTGAGAGAAATTTTGTCCCAAGCAAGCGCCGCCCTTTTCTGATTTTTACGTGATCGTCTTCTCGAAGAGCAAAAAAAACGACGGAACGCCAGACACGACCTGACACCTGTACTCTTATGCGAGGGTTCACACAACCCCACAAAACAAATAGTTTTTTTACTTCTTTTTTGACCTCTGCGCACTTTTTCCAACGTGCTCCGAGCTTCAGACAAAAAAGAAAATAGAACAAAAAATGCCTGGAACCCCCCAGACATTATATTACGCCTCCTCTTCGGACAATTCGGCAATCGATTTGGCACTGCTCAGAGGGTATAACCTTATAAGAATTACAAATCTCCGACGATGACAAATATTAATTAATCTGTAAAGCTGATTATTATTTTGTCCACACTTTCACTGTTAAAAGGATATGTTCATTGCTTAAAAGTCACGTTAAAACTTAGAAGAGTTATTATCTTGGAGTTACAATTTGTTTCGGTGGTTTGTAAACAATGATCCATATTTTTTTCTTGTTTTCGATTACAAATTTTGAAACAAAGCAGGAAGAAAATTTTAAAAAATTAAACCCTTGTAATTCCTACTGAAAACTTTGCACAGCTGTGTCATATTTAGATATAATAATTGATAAGAAAAACCGCAACCTTTCATTTGGGGCAGATCGGGTATCGGCCCAATGTGTAAAGCCAACGTTGCAAAATTCTTCCACCAAACAGCCAGCCACTTGAAATCATAACTAAATTTTTTAATGGCTAGCCAAAAAACCTGGGTCGGCAAGCCAACGTGTCGAAATGGGTTTGAAATCTCGCAAAAAGCTAGCCAAAGGGTTGGAATAGGTGTAAAAATGGGTATAACAAATTTTTTTTAATGGCTAGCTAAAAAGTTCAATTGGATAGCCAAGCTATTAGAATGCCTTCACATATAATAACCATGGTAGAAGACACCTTTAACAGCCATTCTGACACGTTGGCTAGCTGATCCAGGTTTTTTGACTAGCCATAAAAAATTTAGTTGTGATTTCAACTCACTGGCTGGCTGGTCAAAGAATTTTGCAACATCGACTATACATATTGGGAAATACCCGATCTGCCCCAAATGAAAAGCCCGAATCAAGGGTAGCCGAAAAAAATGTTTTCGGAGTTACGGTAGGAAATTCCCAAAATCAATATTAGAAACGCGCAATGTCACTATCAAATAAAAAATAAATTTTTTTCTTTATTTTACAAAATTTTGTGAATTTGACTGTGACATGACCGTTGAGATTGGAAGATGGCGAGTATTATCAAGAAAGTTTCGAGAAGAGCTTCTCATGTGATTGTATCTGGGATTCAACCGACAGGTTCCCTTCATATTGGAAATTATCTTGGTTTTGTGAAAAACTTTGTCAAGCTTCAAGATGTAATGGTATTTTTATTACACGTACCCTGTTTTAGAGTAATACAGAGGCTGAGAAGTTCTTATTTGTTGCCGATCTGCATTCCAATTCAGTAAAACCGAAGCATGAAAACGTATGTTTTTTATTTCTTCAGATCTACCTTCTTGGTTTAGTTTCGATATCAATGCCGTAAACTTGTGGCTTCTCTTATAGCATGTGGGGTGAATCCTTCTGATACATTATTGTTCTACCAAAGCCAAGTTCCTGAACATGCAGAATTGGCCTGGCACTTAGGATCAGTCGTTACGATAAATCGTCTCTCAAAATTGCCTCAGTTTAGGGAGAAATCAAATGAGTAAGACAAACTGAGATAACGCAGACTCTTATTGTTTGTGCAGGGATTTAGATGGAGTATCGCCCAATCTTTTGACTTATCCAGTACTCCAGGCAGCGGACATTCTTCTTTACAAATGCACCAAGATTCCTGTGGGGGAAGATCAAGTGATGCATGTCAATCTCACATTCCACATAATTGAGGTTCTCAAGGGATTGTTCAAAAAGCAATGTTTTCCCAAACCGGAACTTGTGAGTCACGGCTTTCACTTATGCTTTCTTTTTGTTTACGAGGTGATTTATTCATTTCAGATCTTGTCCAGAAGTCCGAGAATAAAAAGTTTATCTGATCCTGCAAAGAAGATGAGTAAGTCAGATCCAAATCAACATGCCGCTGTGTTCTTGGATGATTCAGAGGCCCAAGTTTTGAAGAAAGTTAAAAGGGCCATGACTGATAGTACTGGAGAAAAAGTCAGGTACGACCGCGAGAATCGACCGGGGGTTTGTAATCTGGTATGTTTAAGACTGTAAGCATCATAATTTTTGTAGTTGGAGATTGTTGCCGAATTAGAAGAGAAGACAGTTGAGGATGTTGCGCAAGAATGCTCGGGTCTTGATTCTCTCGGATTAAAGTTGAGATTAGCGGAATTAATCAACGAAACTTTCCGGCCGATCCAACGAAGGATGAAGGAGATCGAAGAAGATGAACAATATTTGGACACTGTTCTAGTAAGGAATGCTGAGATTGCGAGAGAAACAGCGGTAAACACGCTAAAAGAATTCAAGGAAATCATCGGATATGATCAGCCACAAGTTTATTTTAATAAACTTCAAGGTTCCGGGTGAACTCAACCGAATACAGATCAGTAGGAGTTGTTGTTAATAGTTCTGGAATATAAAGTTGTTTCGAGGCTCTAAATTGGCTGCAATGTGTCGAAGATAATTGCCCAAAAGTGTGGAAGATATGATCTGGAGCACATATATGTGAATTATTTAACCTCGGGCTGTTTGTTCTCTCCTCTAAGAGTGGTGAAAATCTTAACCTGTCAATACAAGTAGTATGGCCACTAATTCTGGCAGCAAAGTCACAGTCTTCGAATGATTTTCTTCAGTCCTCCGGCTTGGCCAAGCTTTCTGGACCGTGATTCCGGCCCACCTCTTCGGGAAACGTCTTGTTGCGGTCGAATAGCCATGACCTGACCTTTTATAAAATCTGTCCTCATTTGGCGGCAGGTCCCGGCTCCCGGTCGGTCCGTATCTTTTAGCGCAAACGAGTGGCAAAACGTTGGAATCTGTGGGGTCGTTTTGTTCGCTGGTTTGCGTTGAAGGATGGGCACCGATCACAATATAAACTATCCAATAAACAAAACTGATTCAGCGATTGTCTGCCTGCAGCCAAACTATTTGATTCCGCCATGATTTGGGTCAGGCTATTCGTGGTCGGGTTTCTTTGGACTAGAGCCCAAGCTCAACTTTCCGCTGTCGATGTTGAAGCGACGGATCCCAAGGAAGATGAAGCTGGTGGTATGTGATGTTAATAATTAGCAAAACTAACTTTATTTCTATTTCCGTTTGATCAATAATTTTACAAAAATCATCACGTGCACTAGTCGCGCCACAAAGTCCCGACACATTTATCGCGGATGCATGAAAATTGGAGCGAACTCGCGCTAAAGTGCATGTCGCTAGTGCAAAAACGGGGAATTGCCGCCACGGGTCCGAAAAAAAAGAAAAACGCACTGTGCAAAAGTGTTGGGACTTTACGTCGTGATTAGTATTCACTTAATTCAAAATCGTTTAAGCAATTGCCAACAAAACGTACGCCGAAGAGCACACTTCCCTCCAACGGGACATCTTCATGAATTACAATCGGAATCTTCGGCCAATCAAGAATCAATCCATGCCTCTAAAGGCCCAAGCTCATGTTTACATAATGCATTTCTCGGTTCAGGAACAGCAACAGAGCATGAAATTATATGGTCACATTTACATGGTATGGTACAATCCAGATCATAAATAATTTTAGACATGGTTTGATGAGATGGCTGTGTGGGAGCCATCAAATTACACTAATGTGAGGTCAACAATGGTCAGCCAGTGGCAGTTGTGGCAACCCGAAATTAAAGTGGCCAACAGGTAGTTATATTGTTTGGGTTCTTCTAAAAACATTAATTTTATGACGTGTTGTTGATTTTTTTCTTAATTTGTGATAACTTTAGTATTGCTGGATCTGGTCAATATTTCGAAATTTCGAAACGATCTCACGCCGCCCTCACTTCCATTACTTCCACTATGACAAAAGTCGAGATATATCCTACCTTTTCGATCTCCATTGGATGCAATTTCGATTTCAGGTGAGTTCAACATGCAGTATCTTACTATATTTTAATAGTGATTACCCGTTCGACGAACAAGAATGCGCCCTGAGGTTCTATAATTCAAATCCAATGAGTGAAGTCGAGTTACTGGTCTATTATGAGCTGAAACCGAGTGTGATGTTGGCCTGGAATGATACAAATAAAAAGTTTATCAGCAATTGGATGCTGGAAAATGCAACTGCCAATATCTCCTATTATTATAATCGGGAATATAATGACACGAGGCCGGAGACGGCGGCAGAGAAGGAATTAACTTGGTAAATTATAAGTTTTAGATTTATCTATTACATGGCTGAGACCAATATTTATTTTCAGGTCAATATTGGTGACCAAAATCAAGTTGATCAGGAATTGTCAGCATTATTGGGTGACCTTGGCCATCCCGGCCTTCTGTTCCATGATGGTTAATGCGTTTTCTTTCCTTTTCTACAAGTCCGAACTCTCTATTCTCACTGTGATTGCCAACTTTTTTATCCAGCTGATCTTTATGTTCAACGAGCTCGTCGAATTGCCTCCATCGGCCGGGGAACCTCCAAGAATCGGTAAGTAAACAATATTTGTAAAATCATCCTTTTCTTGCAGTCAGATACAGCAGTTATTTGTTGTTTATGACAACTCTGGCGTTGATTTTACACTTGTTGATACGGAGGTTGAGATATAAAAAAATCCCTGTTCCCGCTGAATATGTGAAAAGATTCAAGGGGACCCTCGCGAGGATCAAACGGCTTGAACAAAGTCAGTTTCTGCCCACGTGTGTAATTTCAAAATTTATTTTTAGAAGAAAACGAGCCTTCAGAAGTGCTGGAAGGATCCTCGGAATCCCTGGATTCGGATTCTTTTTTGTATGCTGATCTCACACGGAATCTCTGCATTATTTTATATTTTGTTATCGGGATTTTCTTGTCCTTCTTCTTGCTAGTTTTGTAATACTTTAGATTAAAATATTTAAGACAATGTTAATTTATTTGTTTCTCAATCACAGTTGTATTTAATAAATCAAGATTAGAGAATATAAAACGCTGGTTTCTAAGATATTCAAATACAGGAAGTACAATAAAATTAGAGACAAAACACTCGGCAAGAGTTGGGAACAAGAAAAGACGTCACAAAATAGGTCATCATGACATAATTAATGGATTTTGTAAGCACCAATCCATGTCATTTTTTAAAATAAAACTTTACAGACTATAACAAAGCAAACAAAGGACGCCTTCTACGAAGGCTTTTCTCCGTGTTTTGCCAATAACTGTAATTGTAATTGGAATAAAAGGGGATTCAAATGGCCAGCATTGAATTGGCCAGGATCTCCTATATTCAAATTGTGAAAATTATTAGGAAGATAGGGGGGACTGGGGAAAGGAATGCCCTGAGGGGGACTCAGATTACTCATATTCATCTGATGGAGAATGTTGAGGAAGTTCTGGGAGTTCCGCGATATCTGATCGATGTAAGTGTTCGGATAGTCATGATTAATCTGGCTTGATGGAGAGGCGAAAGTCAGATGGGAATTCCGATGGCGGTTAGGTTTTCGTCGAAGCTTCCCGGTATTTGGCCCTATATAAATCTCATCTTTGCAGTTCTTATCCAAAGTCCAATAGTTCCCTTTGCCTGGATCATCGTAGTTCCTGGGGACTTTGACAAAAAATTTATTCAAAGAGAGGTTGTGACGGATACTGTTCTGCCATCCGCGTTTGTTGGCCCTGAAACGAAAGCTGGCTGATGAAGTCAGTAAAAAATGATTAGATAAACAAGAATAAGATTTAATCTCACCTATAAAAAGGGAATCTGTCCATAATGTATTCGTAGATTCCATTCAGCGTTAACTTCCCACTTTGGCTGTCCTTCAATGCCATCGTGATCAAGGCATTGTAGCTGAACTTGGGTTTCCCATCTTTGTCCGGCTTCGCTGCTTCCATGTTTGCATAATCTCCCAGAAAACTGGGTTCATCTGGAGAAGTGGAGATTGTGTCCGATTCTGAATCCGCTCGAGGAGAATTGGAGTTGTCCAGGTTGGAAGGGGCGTCGGCTGAGATATTCAACGACATACTGAACTCCTCGGAAGTTGTCGGACTGTTTTCTGGGCATTCTGAAAACGAACAATGAAGCAGAAAAAAGTAAGGAAAAATGGATCCTGAAGGCTTTCAAAAGAGCCGACAAAGAAAGCAAAAGTTGCGCATAAGAGAAAGGCATATAATATACATAACAACAGTGATATCTAAGGATAATTATTGGGGGTCATGCCCTCAAAACAACGGTCTCTTCAAAGAAAGTTCAGCCAGTTTATGTGATTGGCAAGCGCCGGCTAATTTAAACAGGCTTTATTGCGTAAAAGTAAAGGATATCTTGGAAAACGAATGAGCAGATCTAGTATAACATCAGTTCAAATTAACCTACCGTTTTTCAACGACGCCGACTGAAGAATACTCGCAATATTGAACATGGATTCTAAAACATAAAAGTTAAAAAATGATTTCATTAAATACGGTATACATAATTATCAACACGAAATAAAAGGAGTGAAAAAATAAAAGATGATTTTCCCAGAGTTTACAAGTCGATTTGCAAACCGCTTTGATCAACAATGGATACAGTCCTTCCGGACTGTATCCTCAACACAAAAAATATTCCAATTTCAATTTGCAACGCCCCAAAAAACAACAATAAAGGGGAAGCGCGACCGCCCTCTCCGCTCGCCCCTCCGACCAACCAGTGCGAGGGATTACGGTAGCGGGAGGCCGGGTTTTTTGGGCCATTCCTCAAATTAATATTAAGACAAAATGATTCCGGAAAGAGGGAGCGCACCTTTTTGTCAATCAATCAGCCCGGCCCGGTTGACAAGCCTCAAAATCAATGTTGGGCCAAGTCTTTTGTTTCAGGCCCCTCCGGCCAAGGGGCCAATAATATCACGAACGTCAAAACTTGGCAAAACATCTCTGTCATGGAAGAGGATCACAATACGGTGGTTGAGAGACTCATAAATATAGCAACTGTACAAGCCAGATATTGCTCCACGACACCACAGCCAGCCAATTAATTCCCGACTCAAATAACAAGCACATTAAAGCGCGACAATTAAGAAAACTGAACGTCTAATCCCTCGATGAGAGGCATAACCGAGTAAAGGAGCTGCTAATTGTTTCCCAACCCATTAAACCAACACCTTCAAAGATGCCGCGGAATGTGAAAAATTATGCAATAAAGGCGGGAAAAGTAAACAGAGCCGAGTGATTTCGCCTGAGGTCAATATTTGGAATTTGTGATTTGAAAAAAGAAAGCGCGCAAGAAAATGATAAAGCAAATGCAGAAAATTTGCATAAATAGTTAATGGGTAAGAAATTTAACTAAATTTTTACAGTAATCCCATAAATCCGATGTCCGTGTTCTTATCCTTCCACACTTCTAAAACCATTCCTCTCATTGACCTTCTTTCAGAGTTTTATGAACAAAAGATGGAACGGAACATTACTGCTATTGCCAGCCATAATAGACAAAGGTCGACTCAATTTCGATTTCCGTTTTTCATCCCATTCGCGCCTCATTTGAAGGGATTAAACCAAACTCTCCGCTCATCAACTCCTTCCGCCGAAATTGGCTTAGAAATTTGCATGAATTTAATGGAGATGAACAGTTGTAATTGGTCATTGCCAGTCATGATCATTAAAGAATCTACATACTTAAAAAGGATGATTTTTATCCCAAAATTGACAAAACATGACTTTACAAACACCAATTAATTAATTTACGGTTCATTTACAAACCATTTAGGTCCCCCCTTCAATCTATGAGGACTTCTGTTAATTTACGATCACCTCCCTAATCATCTCCTAATTACATCCGACTGGCCTCTCTCTTAATATCTATTACACCACGTAACATTTCCTTGGGTGTTGGAAGCCTGTCAATTTACGATCGCCTCCGAGAATGATGGGCTTCTGGTTTTTTTATTGGCCAAAACTTTTAAACAAAAATTCCGGGGCTTAGAATCGGGTGCCAATAAATAATTGCGGCGGATTGTTTAGCACGATTAATCCCCAACACTGTGCTTTGTATATTACATACATACATCCTGACTGCATCTCTCTGGTCGTTGATGGAACGGCTGAAGTTGCGCGATCTTCCGCTGACATTGATCCCCTTTTCCGGAAGCCATCCCTTCAAGACATCAAGTCTAATATAATACAATATAATCCCCGAATTGGATAACCGTGCTTGTGGTCATGACTCCCAATAGATCCGGATTAACCTCACCCATCTTTGCCCTCTCTTATTCACATTATACACCTTCAAACATGACACAATAAGCACGAGAGGAAGCAGTCCACAGAACACAAAACTATTTTAATGACCTTTTCATTGCAACAACGCCTCGTTTCAACTGTTTGGAGACACTCTTTGTCCTCCTGCCAAACCCTCAAATATTGTAGTACCCGAAAATAGTCTCAAATATAATGGATTTGTGTAAATACGGGCACACGGTCACATTACACACACCCAACATATAAACACGCGATCACAAATGTAATCTTACAAATAAAGACGGTAAAAAGTAATGACCAAAGTATTGAACTGGTCAGATGACAATAAAAAAGACTGATCAATGGAGGAGGAGAGGAAGGCGAAGATATAGAGCCAAGATTACAGTAATCCGCGCAATAAAAGGAGTCGATAAGCGAGCACTTGACTACCAAAACAATAAGCCCGCTCTTCGGAACGACCAGGTGCCATCACTTTGTGGACATACCGAAAGACACGAGCCGCTAATCCCGCAAATCTGGTGACTTTTGAACGTCAGAACCTACCACAATATATGGCAACCTAAAGATTATAAACTTTATAACCCATTGTTATCCCTGACCATCGAATTAACAAAATTTGTGATCAATAATTTCTCGGTCGTCTATTTTAAAGACTTTATTTATGCAGTTTCTTTGATTTCAGACGGATTCTCGCCCCCGTGGGCCTTGTAAATATTGTCTTTCGTCTATTAAAAAATATCCGATATTACAGTACAAAAGTTGGGAGCGGTCAAGGATTATATTTTTATTAAAACATTCCCTGAAATTGACCCGATTACTGTCTCTTCAGCTGTAATAAAATCCGAATACAAGAGCGGCCGAAACTTTTAACTTTCCGCGGATTTGCAGCTAATCTCGCGTCGGCCACTTTCTGCGCACATTACAGCCATTCAGTGGATATCCGGCGACAGTGGCCGACAGCTGATTTTTGCCGACCTTTCTTTGCCCCGATCCGATTTCAATCTGATCGTATTTTTATTATTTTTTTCATAACAGAAGGCCATAAAAGTGTAAGTTTGAGGAAGTTACAGTAAACTGAAGTCAAAATGATCACAATTATCTCGCTTTTACAACAAAACATGGAGATTTTGTGTTATTTTAATCGACAAACTGGGGGTTTTATTTATCCAGAAAAGTCTGGCCAAGTTTATGTCCAAATAAGGTCACGATCTAAATAAAGATCTCGGATTACTGGGGTCTGGCTAAATATTTGAAAACAAAACTACAAGATTGCTGCTGCCCGAAACGTTGGATCCTTCCATCCTTCGTCTGATTGAAGATGACATGATTTTGTGGCATTCCAAACAAAAGGAGGACATCAGGTGGTGGAAAGAGGACCGAGTCCATTCTCGTTGCATCACCCATGTCTCATGAATAGCAGCGTGAAATGGTTGGGGTCATGCAATCTCTAATTAGGGTAGCTCTTTTTTCGGGTTGTCTTAATCTCTCTGTTGCGCAATCAAATAACAAGTTCCTCACTTCTTCGGACTGCTGTTGTTATTTTTTGCGGGCGATAGAGTGCCGACAATCAAAAACAACTTCGGCTCAAGTGATCGTATTTTACTCTTCTATTGTGAAAAAATATTATTATTCAAATGTAATGATGACCATATAGTGTACAGTATTGCAGCTATCATTGAGTGCTAAAGCCAAGAGTTGATGGAATGTGATGTTTATGCAGAATAAAGTTCCTTTCTGTTTTCCAAAAACCATGATAACCCATACAAAAGACTGGGCGGACAGTTGTGGACTTCTTTGAGGAGAGTTCGGACTTCTTCGATGGTCAAGTACTTCTAACAAGGAAAGTACTTCTATGGGGTGTGGAGTTACATATATCCGAAAATCGTAAATTTTTTCTGTCACAGAATAGGTAAAACTTAGCTGCCCAATTTTTGTTTATTAAACAAGCTGTATCGAAAAATGTATTTCTCGAGGAAAAAATGAATCCGGTGGCCTCGAGGAAAAAATGAAGTCCGGTTCGACGTCTTTTGGCGCATAAATCTTTTTTTTACACTGGAACCACTTTTATGATGTACCCTTACTCAAAATTGGTATTTTAAGCCTTGTCAAAGTTTATTTTAGCCCAAAAAATGGTTTTTCGCCCTTAAAAAATTGGGCAGCTAACTTTTACATCAGAAAAATTTTGCGCTTTTTTGATATACGTATCGACTTGTAACTCCATATCCCATAGAAGTCCCTTCCTTGCAAAATTAAAAAAGCTAAAAGTAACACTTACGATCTCAATAAACTCCCCTTCACTAGGATTTCCCCCGCCTTCCGAGACTTTCTGTTCATCGGTTACCGTACCAAAAAAGATTGTATGTTCAGCACCCGAGATCCCCACTCCATCGCTAAAAAATAACTATTAAAAATTCGAGGACTCAAACCCTTACACGAAGCTCTTCACCAGTTCAAGATCATCAACTTTGTATCCGCATTCCTCCAATACTTCTTCCATGGCAATTTCCTTCAACCCTAAGGGCTTATCTACAATTCCAGCACATAATTCCATGGTTTCCCCAATCTGGACATCGTATTCATGGAAGTTAATATCGTTGTAGGACTTTCCTTTGTTTTCAGGCAATCTCAAAATATTTCGGAAGAAGACCACTAAAAAAGAAATAAACAGAATTGGTCATCAAAAAGATAACACATTATATTCTACTTTCATAGTCTGAAACATACCAGCTCTAAACTGTTTGACCAATACAATTTTCTTGAGTTTTGTATGGAAAAGAACAATGGAAACACTATCATTCTCGAAGGCCATGTCCCAAGTCAATCTACTACCATTCTAAAGTTACGAATGTAATCACCAGACAAAACAATAAGGTAATATTCGGCCCCAATTATCTTACTAATTCATAAGTTGCCCTCATTGGCCTCACATATTTTGAGTCCTTAACATTCTCTTCAAAACAAATATTCTTCAGTTTCTTGGCCATTTATAATGTCTGAAATCCTAGTTTCGTCTTTTGGCTATGTATTGAACCGAAAATAAAAGGCCAAAAAACCGTTAAAATGCGTTTACAACATGATGTCAGTAGTTTATTAACGGTATCACAGAGCGAAGATAGAATTGGAATCTACATTGAGGACACTGTCCCTTGTTGGCGTCGAGATCAGAATTTTCGGAATGGAAGACGATGCAGTCGAAGCAGAACACATGCCCGCAGGGGGTACTTACTGGTTCCCCATTCTCGAGACAAATATCACAGAAAAAAGCACCATCCTGAACAGAAGATTAATTTCATGGGCTTAAAAAATAAATTTTGAAATCTTACTTTAGGTGGGAGGTTTAGATCTTCGGAATCTGACCGCGTCCGTTGCCGTTTCAGAATCTCTCTTCTGACGGAGAAGGCCACATTCAAAGAAAATGCCAATAAAGCTGTTCCTCCAATTATTTTGAAAATTATGTGCATCTAGAGCCGAGTTTTAATTATTGTCATCAACTCACCTTGGAATTGGTCTCGGCGTTTAAAGTCATGAAATGGATCTGCGAAACCCTCTTCCAAATACTGTAAAAGTTACTTCCGAATAAGTAAAATACGGCCCAATGTAACCGTTGGATCGATGCAAAGGATAATATTTTGATGAGTGTCGAGAGAACAACTCGGCCAAAGGGAATCTTCCCAGATGTACTCCGTTGTCGATAATATTCTTCGTCCATGTCTCTGAACTTCTCCAATTTCTTGTCTATAAAAACAGGTCCCAGCGCCTCTCCCACAACGAATGCTACTCTCTGGATGATATTTGTTTCGGTTACATTGCTCTGAGATCCAACTGGAATGAGTCCCATGTATTCTTCCCCCAAGGTCTGAACTCCTTTTATGGAGGTGGATGAGTAATACAAGGCTTTAGTGATGGGCATCAGCCACTTGTAGGATCTGATCCACACCTGATCCCCACATAATCTCTTGACAGTGTCCGATATTCGTATATACAATTCCTGAATATATTCTTCATCTTTCCGCTCTCCTCTAAGAATTTCGGTTCGTTCAGCTGGAAATAAAGACATTCTGACACATTAATCTTTACTTTCCAACAATAAACATGCGAATCGACGCCAAAAAATAGAAAGAGAGCTTAGAATTAGACTTTATTTAGCAATATTTTCCTTTACAAGATATCCCCGTCCGACATAACTGAGAAGTTGAGAATCATCGTTATCACTATTGTGCTCATGGAACCTCACAAAATAAGATTCTCCACCCTTGTTTTGCACATCAGTTCCCATGACAAGCCTACCGCGCCTCACCACCACACACCATTCGTACCACATTCCTTGGTCATTCACTTTGCGTTCGATCAAAACATCAACCGTTGATCCTTTCGGACAATCCAGTGGGTAGCTTAATGGAAAATAGGCGGGAAACCAGGATTTTTTGATATCAGTGAACTGGTTAATGTCCTTGGGCACTGTTGATATGGTATTGGACTTCAACTTGGCCTCAAAAAATCCAGCTAATCCATTTATCTAAAATCAAAATTGTTAAATTACACTTACTAATGGTACTGTAATTACCTGGCAGTCCACACTGATCTTAAAGTGAGTCTGGCTTCTCCATTGCATCAAATTTGATGCCTTTGCATGATGCTTATAGGTGCAGACAGGTTGAGGAGCATCAATAATGTAAGCGCTGTTCAGTGTTGAGACGTAAAGTTGGTCGAGATTGCTGTAATTGTTTGAATCGATCGCTCGGATACCATCACGACCACAGAAGTTGGACAATCTTTGATAAAAATCGGGACGTCCGCCTTGTATAATGTTATTCAATCGAAAACTGAAGCATGGAGAAATGAAATTTGTATAATATTGAGGTAGGAACACAGTTTTGTTATCAATCAAAGGCTCCAAGGTGGTCAAGAGATCTGGACTGAGTTCGTTACAGGCAAAAGAACCCAGTAATTCGGAGATTACAAGGTACGGAACGTGGCCATCCAAGGCCTTTTTGATGAGCTTATGCTCCCGGAGATCCGCGTTGACAAGTTTGATGAAGTAGTCCCACCTAAAACTATTAATTGCTATGTATAAAAACTTACATTTTTTTGTTTTTGTGGACCAGAGATCGAAATGCAAAAGGATTCTTCTCAACAGCTACAACAATACTATCAGATACGATGTCAGTCTTCCGTAGCGCCTTCATTATACTCTCAACCAAGCCTCCTCGTCCTGCTCCGACCAATAGAATGACCATCTTCTTCTTTTCGAATTTACAACCTTTTTGCCAATCCAAGATTACTTCAGTAATGGCCTCCTCATAAATCTGATATTTGGATCTGTTGTCTTCGAATGTTTTGTATATGGATGATGTGAGATTATCTTCGGTTGGTCTCAATGGGCGTTGGGGAACATCTTCAATAAAAGTATTGTTGATCATGGGCATTTTGCGACAATTATTCTTCAGGACATCTTTCATCATCTCAAAGTTTTTCATCTGGTTTTCAATATCGGCACAGCATTCCTTTGATGACTTTGGTAGATTACACATGAAATATTCACATTCTGGCGTTATATATTCCCTCAAGAACGCCATTAAGTACCTAAAGAAACCCATACGGCCTGAAAATTTAAACTCACTGATTTTTCTCTTTCTCTAACAGGGATTGGCCTGCCGCAATCAATTTAACCTGTAGGAATATTCATTAAGAATATTATTCTCGTCACTTACCGGTTCTCCTTTCCATCTCTGTAAGGCAGCCGCATCGTTAAATTCTTTGCTAACCTTATCCACAAAATGAATTCCAACACCCAACTTATCATAGCAAGCATTGCAAAGACCTTCTCTGATATCTTTCCAGGTATCCCAGACACAATCACTGGATGGCAAAAGAATGATAATATAAGGAATAAAAGTTTTCAAATACAAATATTTCCTGAGTAATTTCAAAAACGATTTAGTTGGTCGAGAGCGGACATCTACACAGACGACTCCGATTCCAAGGTAATTAGCGTTGTCGAAATCCTAAACAGACAATTACAAAAAGGATAAACCTTACTTCCTGGATCTGATTAATACTCTTCTCTCCTTTATACCAGGTTACCCCAGTAAATCTTTCGAATCCAGAGTGGCACCTCCTAGATAACAAATTTTCATCTAGAAGTTTCACAGATCCATCGCTTCCTTTGTGCCGAAGATATGCAGCTTGCGCAGTATCTCCCAGTTCAAATCTTTCCCACTCCGAATTGAAAAAGCTTTGATCAAACCACAAAGGGTTTACCTTGGTTCCCAGAGACATCCAACTACAAATAATATAGCTTCTATAAAAACAAAAGAGAATACAAGAAGTATAGAGAAAATAAAACCTCTTCGACTTCATGATAGATTCAGCGCCAATAAACGGCTACTTTATTATCACGAAGCCCTACAAGAACGCAATAAAAGAAGTAATATGGAACATTTATTCCTATTTTATAACTAAAAACATTATCAGCTAATTTAGAGCTTAGCCAACTCCTCGGCTTTCTTGTGGACATCATCAATGGCTCCTTGCATATAGAAAGCAACTTCGGGAATGTGGTCTAGCTCTCCTAAACAGAAAATATCAGAATTCAAGAAGAAAGCCCTACCCTTGAGCACTGATTCGAATCCGTCGATGGTCTGTTCTAGGGTAACAAACTTTCCTTGATGGCCAGTGAAGACTTCGGCTACTTGGAAGGGCTGAGACAAGAAACGTTGGATCTTTCTGGCACGCGATACAACCAATTTATCGTCTTCAGATAACTCGTCCATACCCAAGATAGCAATGATATCTTGGAGCGATTTGTAGTCTTGGAGAATCTTCTGGACACCACGAGCGATGTTGTAATGACGCTCTCCGACGACATTTGGGTCCATGATACGGCTGGTAGAATCAAGGGGATCGACAGCAGGATAGATAGCCAACTCCGCGATACCACGAGACAACACAGTGGTGGCGTCCAAGTGAGCGAATGTCGTGGCTGGGGCAGGGTCAGTCAAATCATCAGCAGGCACGTAGATAGCCTGCACGGAGGTAATGGATCCCTTCTTGGTGGTTGTAATACGCTCTTGCATACCACCCATGTCAGTGGCCAAAGTTGGTTGATAACCGACAGCAGATGGGATACGACCGAGCAGAGCAGACACTTCAGAACCGGCCTGGGTGAAACGGAAGATGTTGTCAATGAAGAGAAGCACATCTTGACCTTCTTGATCACGGAAGTACTCAGCGACGGTCAAACCAGTCAAACAGACACGAGCACGGGCTCCTGGGGGCTCGTTCATCTGACCGTACACAAGAGATACCTTCGAGTTCTTGCCCTTTAGGTCGATGACACCTCCCTCAATCATTTCGTGATACAAATCGTTTCCTTCACGAGTTCTTTCTCCGACACCAGCAAACACGGAGTAACCACCATGGGCCTTGGCAACGTTGTTAATCAATTCCATAATCAATACAGTCTTACCGACACCGGCACCACCGAAGAGACCTAAAATAGAAAATAATATAAATCAACACAAAGAAAAAGGTTAACACAAAAACACGAACCAATCTTTCCTCCCTTGGCATAAGGGGCCAGCAAGTCGACGACTTTAATACCAGTAACCAAAATCTCCTGTTCAACACTCATTTCGACGAATTCTGGAGCATCAGCGTGAATTGGAGCAAAGTTCTGAGTAGGGATGGGACCACGTTCATCGATGGGTTCCCCGATGACATTGATAATACGGCCAAGAGTCTCAGCTCCGACGGGAATGGTGATCGGGTTTCCAGTGTCGATGACTTCCTGACCACGAATCAAACCTTCGGTACCATCCATAGCAATAGTACGAACAACATTGTCACCTAAAGAATAATATGAATACACGGCCGTTTGAAATCCAGACACGAAGCAGTTTGCACGCCAAAAATGGATCTAAAACCTGAACAAAGCGGCAAAGAACGTACCCAAATGTTGTGAAACCTCAAGGATCAGTCTAGAGGAACGGCCCGACACCTGCAAAGCGTTCAGAATTGGTGGAAGGTTCTCATCGAATTGAACGTCGACGACAGCACCGATAACAGCGACGATCCTTCCCTTGGATCCGGGGATGCTGGCCTTCGTTGAGCTCTTAGAAGCGGCGGCAGCGGCAGCACGGGCAACCGGGCTAGAGTTGAAATTACGAACTTGCTTCTGTTGGGGACCTGAAGGTAAAAAATCCCTGAACAATCAAAAAGTAAATGATATTAAAAGACGGGGTTGACATTAGGAATACTTACCAGCCAGAGAAGACAAGGATCTTGCCACAGTAATTGGGCGGAAAACCCGGCTGACCGACTTTGAACCGAGGTTCAACAAAGTCCGAGAAGCCATCTAAAAAATAAACAACAATAAAAAGGCAAAAAAGTAACACGAGAAGGTAATTCAGCGATCAAACTCCCCAAAACATTATGAAACTACAACTCTACTTTCGATTCGAATATATAAAAAAATAATTCTGAACGGTCATTTGAATAATATAAGTATTTTACGTGTATAAGATCAAGAAAAAGAGTTCACGGCCATCTTTTTACCGTACATTTTTGCTTTTGAATTTTCGAGACAGAGGTCTTGAATGGAAATGGACATGATGAAGATCTTGGCGCGGTTTTTAAAACGTTAATTCATGCGCAGCCTGCGCCCTAATATCCGATTTGTATGTTTTTTTACACGCTTTTCTTGCAAAATTTCTTGCAGATATCGCGATATTTGCCAGAATAAAGTTGAATTTATTTTAAAATTGGCAAGAAGGGTTTAATATTACACTCGACAATATTTTAGATTCTCCGTGAGTATTTTTGATATTTATATGGATCGCATTTAGAGCAGGCTGAGGCAATTGACGCCGTATAGTTGGAAGACAGACTTTCCATCGATGAAACTCGATTTGCGGATAGGAAGGGTAATCCCAGGGTCTCCAGATGTCTCCAATATCCTTTCAGATTAATGACATCCCATTCATTGTTTTCGACTTTATCCAAAAACCTATAGATCTCCTTCTAAAATCGTTGGTTGTTACCTTCTTTTTATCCTGTCCAATACTCTGATTTCCTTAGATTGCAAGGCTCCTTCATTCCACATGGCAGTGAGAGTAACCACAAGTTGGGGGAGGGTTTCAATGCTGACGAGGCAACTTGTTATCCCAGGAAATCTCATGGAATATGATAAGGCCAATTTCTCAATTCTGATATCTTTGCTCTAAACGAATTAAAGTGCTCGCTCTTCCTTACTTTGCAATAATTTACTGCGTCTTTTGATAATTGTCGAGCTTTGAAGTTGGCTGGATGCCATAAAGGAGGTCCTTTTTCTGTTAGCATTCCCATTGAAAAGCATCCGCCATTGAGGATACCTATTTTATGCTCCTAAAATAATATTTTAGAGATTATTGACACTTGCCTGAAAGTATTTGACATGTTCAGCGAGAGTGTTATCCATTAGCGTTGCTCGGCAATAATTTAAACATACATTTATGCGAATATTCGACTTGTCGATTATAGTTCTGGATGTTTACATTATTTTGGCAATGGTCCGTAATGGATAGAAACCACAATCGGCAGATTTCCGAAATCCTTGCAATATAATTTTTGGACTGATCTTTTTTTTAGGTAGTACTGTTAAAGTAGTAATTTTTTGATTTTTTTCTGCGAATACTCGATTTAGCGATTTTCGATGATACTGGTAACGAAAATCGCTTTGATTTTTTTAAAACTTTTACGGAGCTCCGCATAGTAATGTAGAAATTTTTATTTTTTCTTACAAATACTCGATTTAGGGGCTTTTGAGCAATGGTTATTCTCGGATCCGGAGGATGGAGGTATGAAAACCCCTGAACAAGCAGGCGCCGTCGCTGATCATAGGTTTTACAGTAGCTGTCAGAAACTTTCATTTGTTTTGTTTCTTGTGTAACTCTCAACGGTGGGCGGATTTAGTCGAAACAAATATAATTTTGTATAGAATTCGTGCTGTTATCTAAAAGGGTAGCCACTGGACCGCTTCTAAGAATTACAGGGTATTGTTATTGCCAAAAAAAAGATTCATTTGGAAACTCGGATAGGCTATTGGAAACGTAAATTGTGATTATTTTTTTTGTGCACCATCGAAAACCTCTAAATCTGGTCATTTCATCGCCACGGCCAAATGCTTAAAAACATCCAAAATATTGCTACTTTTGACAGTGACACTTAATAAAAAGGCGCTACGACTTTTCGGGTTTTTAGAGAAGGTTCCAAAAATTACATTACTCTGTAAAAAACGTAAAAATCACGTAAAATGCACGGCGTTGAGGATATTTGCAAGGATTCCATAACCTGCCCATTGTGGTTCATACACGGTTATCTTAGGCACCTCCTTACCTCATTTTATTTAGATTATATCCAGCCAAGCCAATATATCGTATTTTATTGCTGTTCTGAGCAATTCTAAGAGCAGGTAATGTCTCCTCAATAATTGTGTTCAGATTGTGCTCCCAATCCATGTCCGCTATCTACATAATTTTACTGTTATAACTGTCCACACCTACTTGTAGAAAACAAATATCAGCGTTTTTCTGTTGTAATCGGGAAAGACTTTTTGTTAATGAGGTTAGGATCTTGTCGGCCCGATAATCAAAAGGCCGAGCGTAGTCCAATTCGAATCTTCCCACTCGAATACATAGGTAATATACATTACGGGGAATGTTTTTCAGGGCCTGCAAATACATGTGTCTTGAGTATGACCTTACTTTCCCAAGGACTTCCTCTGATCTCCTTTGCCCATACCAATAACCAGTGTCGATTAGATTGATCCCATTTACCAAACTTGTTCTGACGATTTCTTCTGGATCTGAAGGAATCGGACCATAAATTTCACCAAAAGAAGCCACTCCTGAATTAAGCTTGTATTATACGTAATTGTTCACCTTACCGAGACCTAACGTAGATACCACCATGTCCGTGTCCCCTAATCTTTTATAATTTGTTTTTGCCACAGAATCCAGTGAATGAAACTTGGGATCAATAGTTTTGATAGTCTTAATCTTAAATATAAACTAATTATCAGTCGACTTACTTTATTAACTGTCTTGGAACCTCCAGTGTTATGGTCTTTTTCTTCGAGTTCCACTCCTCTGACATGACTCAATGTCCCGTGCATCTTCACTGGCACCCAAAGCGAGGGATCTGGCTTGAAATAAGTATTCGAATAATTTAAAATGCATTTATCGCGTTCTTTCCTCCACTTCGGTTCATTCCACTATCTTTTAGGTGTAAAAGATGACCCAAACTTCACAAAATACGGGGTTCAGAAGACTGACTAATGAAACGGGATGCACAAGAGAGGTTAGTTGAATTAGTTGAAGACTATAAAGTATGATTTAGGAATGGTGCTCATGGCCTCACCAGAACTACGATCAGATGGAAAGTACCCTGGCTGTCCATCAATACATTCAACAAGCCATCAGGGAGAACTACAAGGACATTGAAAACATCTTGACACCTCCAAAAGGAGTTGACGAAGGGGTCTGGAAATACGAACATCTTCGTCAATTCTGCATGGAATTGAATGGTCTGGCTGTTTTGTTGCAAGAGGAATGCACTCAAGAGACCTGTGCCAGTATGAATGCTACTCAAAGTTGGATATTCCTTTGCGCTTCGCATAAAAATCCAAAGGAATGTGCAGCCATCGAGTACACGATGCACACTCTGGATGGAGCCTCTGCTTTGTTAAATAGTAATCGGTATTTCCCAAGCAGAGTTACTTTGAAAGATGCGTCATTGATGAAGATTGGATCTGTTTGCAGAAGAGTCTACAGGATATTTGCCCATGCTTACTTTGAACATCGCAAATTATTCGATCAATTTGAGGTAATTTCTGCCTTTTCTTGGATGATTTTCATTTTTACTTTTGTTAAATTTGGTTATTTTAGGAGGAGACGTGTTTATGCCGCCGTTTCACCAAATTCGTGACCAAGTACTCGTTGATGGGCAGTGAACATCTCCTTGTTCCTATTGATGAACAAGAGGAACCTACAAATTCATGATCTTTTCACTGTTTTTATAATTAATTTACTAACATTATTCTTGTTGTTTGTGTACATTTTCCTCGTAACGATAATTTTATTCGTATTATACTTAGCTGTGTCAGTATTGAATAAAAATTAATTTTAGAATGGCTGAGATTTCATTAATCAAAGGGATAAAAGAGTCAGGAAAGTTGAACTTCGGCTCAATTTTTGATTCCGATGATAGTTTTATTAGGAATTTTATGCAATCAGGAAGCATTGTTGAACTGTATGGTCAAAGAAACGGAGGGAAGCTTCTGGTAAGTAGGGACATGTGAAAATAAGGTATTCCAGTTCACCCATTCTGTGATCGCGGAGATTCTTCTTGATGATCAGAAGAGGAATGCATTCAATGTGACAGTGTTTGATTACGCAAAGCAGTTCTCGGCTCAATTGCTTGCGGACCTCATTCGGAAGAAGCGAGATTTATCAGTGAGCCGTGTTCTAATTTTTATTTTAATTTTTAAGGATTCTGAACTTACCGAACTTCTGAATTCAGTCCAAATCCTGAACCCAATCACTTACGAACATGCAATCAAGGCCCTCCGTGCCATGTCTTACAGGATAATGTCTTCAAGATGGGAGGTCTACAAAAAGAAGATCCCCAAGTCAACTCCGATCATAATCTTCATGGACGTTGGATCTCTGTTATATTATTCTGGTGGAGATCTTGCTGGGCATTACCGTCAAAGCGAGATGTTTAAATGCTTGGACTCTATTCGGCGCTGTGGATCCCTCATTATTCTTCTGAATCATTGTAAATCCGTTGATGAGAAATGTTTCGAACCAGCCTTGGGAAGGAATTGGAGAACCATGGTAACCACGAGATTTTACTTCCAGAAGGATGACACTGGCTACTTCTATGTCCCCATTATGAGAGATCAAGTGCCTAGAAAATACTGCTATTATCATCCGTAATTTTTATTTTTTGGTTACTAATACACTTGAAATCTGTAATCTATTATGAAGATTAAAGGAATGTTTAATGCGCGGCATAATAAACGCCTTGCGTCAAATTTCCTCTAGCGAATATTGTCTTTTGAGTCGAAACATCCGCCAAATCTGAGAAAGCATAAAAAGTTGACTCAACCCCGAAACAATTGGCCTAAGGGCCGAAGCGAGAGAGCTCATGTTTCACCCCACCCGCCCGTACTTGACCATTACCTGCATCAACATTATGGAATCGCGGAGTCTCGGACATCTGGGTTGATCTGTTTTTTGGTTATGGCATTTAATATCCTGACCCCGCCTTCGGCGTCTGGCCGAGGAAGAGCTCAACTTTCCTTCTTTTTTATTAAAGTGCCGCCAACTTTTAGCTGCTGTCAAATCCGGAAAAGCAGTTGATCTGGCGGCTCGAAGTGATCTGCGCGCATCTCCCGTTTCCATTTTTCTTTTTTCCAAATCGAGGACTGACTTTAGGCCAAGCCGCTCATTTTGGTCATTAAGCAAAGGCCTGGCGCCTGTTCCACCTTCGGCCCGTTTCCCCATCACTCATTTCGCTTTTTTGACGTTTTCCATTATTCAGTATTATCCAACCTTCAGAATGACGGCAGTATCGACGCGAGTTCTTCTGGCCGCCGTTGTTGTCACCCTACTGGTTGGCGGGATCATCGTTTTTCTCTTAAGTGGACCCAAGAGTCCTGTTGTCACTTCTCTGGATGATCTCAATAACACCTTTGCCTCCTCTTCTGATGAATTGTTGTTTGAAGGCTCGGGTCAAGGGCTAACCTCGGCGGAAGTGAGGTCCACAAAAGGCACAATAACATCAGCAGAGACTACACAACTCATAGAAGGGGTCGTTGCAACAGCAGCAACCACAGCGTTTGTTCCGATAGAAGATGATGAGAAACAAGATCTTCCTCAGTGCTCTTCTACAATCGTTGACACAAAACCCCAATGTAATGTGGACACGTAAGTCATTAATCACTGTTTTTAGAATTAAATTAATTGCAGCCCCCTTCCAAGAGAGGTTATCGACCGTTGGACCAAGCCTGAATTCTCGTCTCAACTTCCCGACCTTCTGAATGATCTCCATCCCATTCATTATGACGTTAACATCTCTGTTTCCCATCTAGACATTCGATTATTGAAGGCGTCCGTTGAAGCATTTGTCAAGTTGCCTGAGGGTGGATCAGTTTTGCCATTGCATCTACATCGAACAGTCATCAATCTGGCCAAGGATAAGACTTGGGTGCGGGAATGTGAGACTGGTAAGTGTTCAAAGACGCCGTTTATAACAAATCTCCTCGTAAAACGAGGGAAAATAAAATATTTTTGCCGATTCTCACAGTCGGGATGGCAGACGGCAGGGCGGTGACACTCATTAATGGACGCATCTCCGCGTTAATTACTTTGGTACCCTTCCCTGTGCCAACTCACAATTTATGTCATCTTTTTTGTCAAGAAGTAAATTTTTTCAGGCCGGTTTGTTTGTGTGTCATCATTGACTCATCTAAATGACCAAAGGATTTTGTTAATTGGACTTAATGAAACTCTGCCCGCAGGGGCTTTAGTCTCTGTTTATTTCCAAGACTTTGAAGTCCAAGTTCATTCCAATATTGGCCTTGTTCTTCAAGCGCCCTCTTTGTGGGAGAAACAGCGTGCCTGGATTCTGGCGACTTTATTTGGTGAAACCGGAGCAAGGACTGTGTTCCCGGTTGTGGATCAGAGTGGGGCAAAGGCTTCATGGAGGCTGTGTCTGGAACATTTGAAGAATATGACATCAAGGTAGTCTTTGCAATTTTTTCTCATCAAATTTATCCTTTACAGAAGTAATATGCCGTCTGAAAAAGTATCAGAATCTGGAGTAGACCGTATCCAACAATGTTTCAAGACTTCGCCGACCCTTCGTTCTGATCAGTTTGCATTCGTTATATTCGACAATTTGACCCCCATTCATTCCGACAGCAGTGATCCTCGACTCGAAGTGTTTGTGGCCAAACATATCTCCGAGACAAAATGGATCGTATTAGAGGTCCAAACTGCCTTAAAACGGATGGCTGATTTGACAGGAATCCCTTACCCCTTAGAGAAGCTAACAGTTCTCTCTACTCCTCTATCTGTTGATGGAACTCACGATCTTGGATTGATCCAAGTTAAGGACACGTGGGTGGAGTACCCAAAATATGTTCTGACTCATTCGATTTTGATCAGTCAGGTCGTTCAACAATGGATTTCAAATGTGTTTACCATCTGTGATAGTTGTATCCAGGTAAGAATCCAAGATCATGAGTATTTTATGGGATGAGAAGGGCATGTTTCTTTACGAAAATGCATTGTTTTAACGTAATGTTAAGCGTAATCTTAGGTTTCTTGATTTAAAAGCAATTTTGATGAATGTTTTATGAGTGATTAGTATTGTTCGCACTTCTATATATCTCCCATCACGTTGACGGCTTATCATTTATCTCTCCCAGACCAAATGTTTATTTTTTAAAAGTTCTTTGTTTAACGATCTCATTACTCTCAAAGACCTTGTCCTTCTCTCCTTTCTCTGGCATTCCATCAGTTCAAATATAACCTAGTCGCTAAGTGAATCGAGGTCCAAAAAACAGTTGCCCTTTTCCGTTGCGTAATCCCGATGGAAATATTTCTAAAAATCCGAGTTTTAAAGCGGAGATTGTAACTGGATGCCTATGACTTTTTAACTCCGATTCGTTGTAAAAAGCAAACAAATCCTGACAAATTGAAATCGAATATCAGTTTGATAGGGCCTTTTCTAATTGACATCTCTTTTTCAGGATGGATTGGCCGCATATATCGAATGGATTGTGGGATCAGAATATGAATCCATCGGGATGGATGTCCACAAAAGGGCTTTTGATGCCAGAAATCGGCTACTCAAATATCAGAATGACAAGACTCCACTGATCGCATTACAAATCGTACCAACAAAACCAGAAAAGGAGTGTGTTACGAAAAACGCATTACTTTTTGCATCGATTGGAGAGATCTTTGGAAGCGACGCCATTAAAAGGTTCCTCGGGACTATTGCCAGTGCCAAGCAATGGGGAGGATGCTTGACAAATGAGGAGATCGGAAATGCTCTCTTTGGAGCTACCAACTCGCTTGTGTCAAGTATGTTATGACGATATAAGCATGATATTGTTCTAGAACGGATGTTTGATTCTTTTGCCAATTCACCGGATTACCCAACTCTCAAGTTCAAGATGTCCGGTCATCATCTGTCAGTTCAATTAGAAAACGAGGCCGGAGAAGTAAAGAAACTTGATATGACAGTTCCCTTCGGCCTTTTGGACAACCGCGGACGTCATCTCACACTGGTTCACAATGGATCGGAAATCGAAGAGGATCTGGAGGGCATCACCGTCTTGGCCAATCCGAACACAACCACGCTCTTCAGGTCCTTATATGATGTAAGATTTGAATTATTCCCAATACTCGTGATCGTCTAACGATAAGCAATGTCACCATCATCTGACGTCAATCTTGTTTTAGGTTGAAAACTATGATCGTTTAGCCAATTGCGCATTGGACAGTGCCTGCCAGGACTTCTCCCAAGACTTAGTAGCTCAAGCTTTTAGTGATTTATGCTGGGCTCATCTTCATAACAAGTTAAAAACAAATGGACGTGATCAGCAATGGCAGCAGCTCTTCAGAAAGTTGGCCAAGAGCTCTCTAGTCCATCCTGATTGTGCTTGTTGTATGCAGACTCGAACAGAAGCCAGCTCCAAGTGTAAATGGACATGGAAAAGTAAATGCTCTTCATTGAGTTTGAAGATGGAGAAGTTCTGAAAGAGAGACTCACCATAATCTACACATCAAAACGGGATTTCTAATAGAAAACATTAGCCTTTACTTTCATTGCCGTTTATTTTGGTAAGTTTTTGTATTTATAACAACATTTCCACAAAGTTTATTCAACAAATAAAGTGACGTCATTCTTGCGCAAGGTTAAGCAACTTGAAGTACCAATTAAATAATAATGGTTTATTGAATAGATATGTGTATAAACAATCACTGGGCTACGATTACAACTTTTGATACACTAACATTCTCAGAATTGCACAGGACAATCGAAAGTAGGCGGAGTTTGGCAGCACAAAAATAATTAATTGTAAGCAGTAGGGAAACCGTAGTAGCTGGAAGATATGAGAGATACCAGACATTCGATACTAAACATGCAGACTAGAAAGTTTCGAATCGATGGACGAAAGAAGGCGCATTCCTGACTCGATTCGCGTCTTGACAAGCATTTCTGATCTGCTTGTTAATCGAGTTGGGGCCACAACTGAACACGCCAATGTCATTCACCTAAAAAAATGTTTTTTGTCTTACATTCCAACAGAAAATTATTTAATAAGTATTTGATAAAGTTACCTCTTGATGTCTCTTCTGAAGGAATGTAAAGAAGGCATCAAAGTTGGGCCTTCCGAAATGATTTGTGGCGCTGAGACCAGTGAACATACTCTTTCCTCGGTTATTTCCTCGGAAATGTTTCTCACAAATATACTGAAACAAAATCATTATCATCACTGATACTACCCTTACCAGCATGGTCGTTCTAAGATCAAATTTGTGGAAGAATTGAGTGACGAACACATGAATTTCAAGAAGATTATTCCGGTCGAGACTCTCCACTTCCTTCAGAACATCCACAAACCATTCAAAGTTCTTATGGGTGGGACAGATCCAAAGGAAATAAACCTTCTTGCATCTGATATTACAATGTTTATCCGCCGAAGTCTCCATCACCAGATCCATCAAGGTTGATGCATATGGAGTGACTCCAATACCTCCACCAACCATCACACATACATCGTAGTTGTGCCATTCTTGGTTACCATCTCCAAAGGGACCATTCAAATTGATGGCTGGGTAGTTGGTGTCTCCAGTCGTAAGACATTCACTGATCTCATTCCTTAATTGCCAAGTCCAAGGACCGACAGCTTTGATGTAGAGTTCAACAAATTTGGATTGAGGGGCCGAGGCAATGGAGAAGGCGTGATTTGTGTTAAAGGAACAACTGAAATTGGGACACGAAACACGAACCCATTGGCCAGAACGGAATTTGAAGGAATGGGGACGATGGAATTTGATATAGATGATATCTAAATAAAAACCGTAGGGCAATTAGTTTAATGATGACAATAAAAACAAAAATATAACTCACCAGATGGATAGATATCAGCATACAAGATCTGCAGTTGCTTGTATTGCTGTCTCATTCCAATTATCTTGTCAATTATGAAGATTATTATTGGGCCGATAACATAATACCAAAATTTGGGAGACTAAAAACAAGAATACTTTACATACATAAATAGTCTCACATCCAGCAGCCGGGGTAATCCATGGAGAATTGTAAGAGCATAGAGCAAGATGTTGAGCAAATGGGTTAACCTGAATGCATGATAAGCTCTCTTCAGGACAGCGGGCATTGCAAACACATAGATGACGCACATAATGGCCACTAGTAATATTCCAGTAATGCCAGTCAAAGTCCCAAAGAACCAATAACTGATCGAAGGAAGAAAATTGGATCCAAAAACGGCTTCCTGGAACAAACAGGCCAATCCTTCTTGACTCTGTGTGGCCACATGGTAGAAATTAATGCAATGACCAACTGTGTGAATCGCTGAAAAAACCCCAGCACTGATGGCAACGATTTTGTGGAAGGTAATTGCGGAATCCAGAGGAAGATATTCGCCCAGAGGAGTCTCTCGGATTATGGTTAACACATTTCTGCAGACAGTCAGTAGAACTATCGCCATATCAAACGATAACGCAGCTGCAGCGCCTCTTGTAATCGCGATTCCAACTCCCATGACACGTCGAAGATCTCGATGTTCGGTTTCGTATCTATAGTCTGAAAATGGTTTTAATTACACTACAAAAGTTGCATTACTTACGCCAGAATCTTTCAGTAAAAAGAATGGCATTAATCGCGAAGAAGATGAACAAGATCACAACGTGCTGACGATTGGATTCCAAATACGAAGAAAGCCACGAAAACCAACCCAGATTGGCTCCATTGTCTCCTTCTGGGGTCACTGCGAAACTGTTAAGACTCTCGGTTCTGAAGAAGTTGCCTTTGTACACACTTTACTTACTCATCACACTTAACCTTAAGATGTCTTCCTCTCAAGTGCATTCCCAAGGGTCTTCGCTGATCATCCGTTTGACTGAAGATGGCTTCAAAGTCCTTTTCCGTTAAGAATTTTCGATCTTCAATTCCGGCACGATGAAGGACGGAACTGATAACTCTTTCCTGCTCTTCTTCATCAATCTTGACTCCAGCAGCAACGTTAAGTGACATGACGAAGTCAGCGAATTCATGGGCCTGTACCTTTCCATCTTGATTTGTGTCGCACATATTAAACACCAACTTCAATTTCTCTTTCAAGTCATCACTACTGAACTTTCTGAGAACTTCGAGCATTTGTTGGAAAGTGACGTCATCTGAGTCGTCTCCACTGTCCTTCTTCATACAGGCATACATTCTCTCCACAAACATATCGTTCTCCTTCATTCCCAAGGCTTCGGCGAACTCGGCTTTACTTAATTTCATCTCCAGAACTTCATCCGTAGTCATGGCATCATATTCATGATCTTTGCTTCTTAATTTCGGCACATTGAATGCTTTGGAATAGGCTTCCCTGAAGAAGAAATCAAGTTTGTGCTGTCGTTTTTCTTTTGTCTCTGCTGCCTCTAGAAGAACATCAGTCTCCACTTGATGACCATGTAAAGTGATTCTGTTAGTGGCCAAGACAGATGAGAAAGATCTATGGAATTGATCAAAATCTTCCACTTTTCTGAACCTGACCACGATGTCGTTATGTTTCCTCACAGATATGGCCACAAACGGTCCACTGATTGAGCCCGATGCTTTTGTCCCAATATTCATGAGGATCACTTGGGAATCGAATAATGGAACTCGTCGCAAAACTCCTCCTCGAGGTTTTTCCAGACTAATACTGGGTGATTTGGGTTCGATGACTAGAAGAACTGATCGGTAGTAGGTCTCATTGATCCATTCGATCACCGGGAATGAATAATTGGACGCCTTGACAGCTCCCTTGTTAAAGGTGCTACTCTTTTCCATGGCCTTATTAAACTGATTGGACTGTCTTCGGCTAGGTTCATACAACAAACCCAGCTTTCTTCTTCGTTGGATATAAAGATATCCAATTCCAATACAGACTAAAATGACGTAGTTTAAGGTTGGTAGTTAAAGGCATCGATTTTGGTCTGGGAAGGGGTCAAGGGTGGGAGTGGGAGTCTACACCACAACGCGCTCGCTTCCACTCCCCAAAATCCGCCAAAAAACTATCTTGGTCCAACAGTAATGTTTTCCCCCACCTTCCCAACTCTGGGGATGGGATTACCCTTCCCCTGGCGTGCGCCTCTGATAGTTGCACTTACTTAGCGGAACACAGCCTAAGGCAATACAAGTGTAGATGTAAGTAACCTCGTTTCCAGTGAAATGATCAAATCTCATGAACGGAACACATCTCTCGAGATTAGTGGTGTTCACTTGAAAGGGCTGAGGACAAGGATCTTTCTCTGTATGAAAGAAAACGTCATCTTGAAGATAGTTTTCTTGGATTTCAGTCGTTTTTACAATGATATCTTTCATGGTTATATTGTGAATTGCTGCGATTTCTTCCTTCGTGAATATTCTAAAGCAAATCTACTAAGTATGTGATTAATCTTCGTACCCATTATCAGCGTTTTCGAACCAGAATCGATCTCCATCTCTGAGCCTTTTGAACTGGTCTTTGATTATGACCGCGAATAATTCCCCGGGTCCCTTTCCGTCAGTTTCCAACATTCCCCCCACATACGCGTCCAATTTGTTGATGTCGCCATGATACATATTTTTCAGCGCCGCAAACATCTATAAACAGGATAATGATGTGTTTTTAAGGACTCACTTCAGGCTTCTCCGTATACATCTTGTCATTAATTGTTTCCCAAGTCCTCTCTGGAAGACCGTACACTTTTCTGAGTCGATTATAAGGTAATATTCCGTTATCCCGAGCTCTCATTATCGAAGTAGAGACCACATCTAATCGAGTGAAGTGCATTGGGCCAAAGATAAAATCTAAAACAAAATATGAATTGTCATCAATTTCAAAAACTCACCCCTCAGATCTTCCACGACAATATTATCCTCGGCTTCGGCTAATTGGCTAGCCATTCCAAGGACAATTTCATCCACAGTATATCCTCTCACAATGTCCTGGGCGTTCCACCAATTCTGGCACAGCCTGAGGGCAGGATATCCTCCGACTTCATCCCTGAATTTACACTTCTCTGATTTGATTCTAAATAACATTCCAGGTGGGACAATTGTGTGAGGAAATCTGAAGGCGGTGGTGGCAAAGGAATGGGAAATCCCTGGGGGCAAAAAAGGCTTGTATCCCGTATATTCGTAATCAGCTCGGTTTCCATATTCTCCTCCCAGTAAAGCGGGCAGATAATCGTAGTATATGATTTTCTGAAGATTCAACATTAACAGGGAAGCACCCCGAGTGCGACGTTCAGATTTTAATAAAACTTGACCAAGGATAATTTCTGGCCACCCCTCATTTGGAGCGAATCGGGCATCAGACCAATATTTATATCCAATATTGCAAAATGGGTTAACTAGCTAGCACAAGTTGAAAATCCTTACTTGTAAAGTGGCGATAACCATCCGTCGGGCTCCTTGGAACAACTCTTCATCTGTCCAATCAGCATGTTGCTCGGCGAGGTCTTTAGCCTGGATATTATGCCAACGGAACAAAATCAGTCCAAAACTCAGTAATCCGGGATTTTCATTAACTCTCGGATCTCCCAGAACTAAGATACATGAAGCATAAAAATAAGAAGCACTTACTGAATAGCCTCTCGGGTCTCATCAATCGATGAATCTGAGGTGGCGGGGGATTGATGAGAGGGATATGCGGGTTGTTGAAAGGGGGGTACCCTTTCATAACATCGTGCTCCTTGAGAGTTCCGTTCACATATGATCGAAGAGCTGCCACCCAAGGTTCCTGGGTACTGTAGAGGAAAGAGGCATCGATCCAGGCGGTTCTGTCATTAACCTAAACAATAATAATGCAAAATATATTCTTGTGTCATACTGTCATACCTGTTCTCTTGGCGAATTAAGTCCATGACCGGTGGTTTTATCGTATTTGGCACGAGTAAATGGGATCTGGGTTTCTCCTTTACAATGACTATCAAAGACCGTATCGCATTTTGGGACGGGGATCTTATGCATTTCCAAGGGACAGCTGATCTGGGTTGATTGCATGATCTCATACGCAACTACTTGACCTAAAAATATTTGGTTTACAGTGAAATATTATTTAGCAGGTACTTACTGAAGAAGGCCATCATTGTCGTGAGATTCCTAGCATTTGGGATCCCATCAGGCCCTTTGAAGACGAGATCTAAATTTGATTTATACATGTCAGTCTGTCGGGAAAATAATGAGCACAACGTCGCATCAGAGAAAATCAGTTGTGTCGCAGCAAAATTAAATTGCTCTTCACTTCAGCGACGCGATTGGCACAGTGACATTGTGCTCATTATTTTCCCGACAGGCTGATATTTACTATAAGTTTTTTTTCAACAAACGTGACTTACTTGAAATATTTCTAGCTGACGGTAAATCCTTTTCCCAAAGTTTATAGACCCCGTCTTCGTAAGAACTGGGCGCGTCCCTGTGCAGTCTACTGTTTATCGTCCCCCATTGGGGATTGGCCAGATTATTGTACCAACCATCGTATCTTTGATACTCGTGGACTCTTTCTAGTGCTAAAGTTGTCCAAATTACTTTCTTATCCTTCATTTCTGGATTACAGTAAACAAAAAGCAGTAAAATAATGTTTGCTTACCAGTAGTCGTATTTGCTGAGAGTATGAGAGAAGCGAGGGTAGTTAACAGTAATCGATTAATCGAAGTTTTCATAATCTTCGTTTTCGGTCCGTATGTTTTTTGACTTGACGTTTCAAAATTTTGAAACGTCTCCTTGGAAGGTGTGAAGTTGTCTGACGGGGGTGTACTGGTTGACGGAACCGGGTCCTTCTGCCATAATCGACGTCGAGGGTGCATGCCGGGAGTGCACGCTACTCCAGAAGTCGATCAAATCTGATGTTGTTCACGCTAAAGGCAAACGAATTGCGTAAATATTCCACCGATTTCTTTATTCAAGGCTCGAACATGACGCGGAAAAGATCCTTCAACTCCATGGATTTAAACGCAAAATTAACGGACACGATAACTCAAAGCAACGTCTCCAGGTAATAAAGGAAGACAAACTTTTGATGGGAACATCCACAGATTTCACGCAATCAAACGGCGGATCAAATTCCCCCAATCGCCGCAGGATAAAAAGGTTTAGAACGATCGACCCACAAAGACTTTGGTCCTTGAAATCCGAGCATTGAAAAAAAAACAATTCGTTGACCAGATTTCCGACAAGTTACCTGCATTTCGGCGACTTCTGGGGATTACAAAAGAAGTGTTCAAAGTCGATTCAAGCTCCAAACCCAATTTGGAGGAAGGCGAAAAAAGAAATCGGAAAAAGTCAGCGGAAGAGTCGCCGTCGCTCCATGACTTCTGCGTCTCCGCTTCCTTTCTTCTCGCGCTCTTTTCTTAAGCCTTGAGGCATCCCATGAAATCCACCATAAACACCGCAACTCTTTATCTTGCTTTTTCATAACTTTTTTAGAGCGAAAATTCCTTCCAAAAAAGTAAAAATATTGCAGGAGAATGGTCAGGAGTATGATGACTATTCACATGAATAAGATGCGCGAGCAAATCTTTTCTTTGTATATTAATAAAAGAATGACAATTTTTTATAAAGGAAATTGCAAAAACCACAGAAAAGACCCAGTTAGAGAGGGTCAAGAATTAAGGAATGACGTCATCGAAGTCTCTTTCAGACTCCAAACATTCTCAATTTAGACATTTGCAATCGAGAAGAAGCTTCACAGACATTAAGAAAAACAACTTTAAAACAGTAAAACATCGCCGATCATAAAATCGGGTTGGAAATTGGGGAAAAGGAAAGCGTTTTCTGTAAAGATGGCAAAAAGGGGATGATAAATTAATGTAAAGGCGCGGTTAAAGCAAGGTAAACCCCCTTCGAACATCTTGAACGCAAAAAACAGATGTCGTGGTCAACGAGTCAACGCGTTGGACCGCGCCCCCACCCCGACCAGTTATTAAAAGAACAATCAATCGGCCGCTCGGTAAACCGGACGGATCGGGAAGAAAGGAAAGGCCTATTTGTCAGTTCCTTCTACCTCATTCCTCACCTCCGAACCACTTAAAGCAACTTGTAGCCCATCAAAGAAAGGTCGGCTGCCCCATTATGAAAGAACACGCCAATAAAAGAAGGCAATCAACCCCTATAAATAAGTTTTTGTCCCAATTACGCAATGACTTTTGATTATTTTTAGACTTTGCGCAACCTCAAGCAAGAAAACATGCACCCGATCAACTACTGCGTGCATCTGGACTTTGAACGTGGGAAAATACCGAATAACGGTATTAAAAATAAACACATAAAACGACGACGAAGCACGTTTCCAAAGGAGTTATAACAGCGACCGTGATAACCATCTGACGGGAAAGAATCCAAAAAAGGCCTCCGCTCCTCCACTAAGGCGAGTATTGATGGCATTCTGATCGTATCTTGAGATGAAAAAGTGAGGGTGTCAGACAAAGGGAGCGAATTGGAGGAAAAGTACACCAATCCGACTTCCACCACATAGAACTATTCGATGATCGGATTAACCAACTTCCAAGACAGGAATTCGGAACACCTTGAGCCACTCGACCGGGCCTAGTCATCCCTCCACTCAAATATCATTAATTCGGCCCCAAAATGTGACTAATTTTATAGTCAGGCCACCAGTGATTAACAGTTTGCATAACTAAGTGATTAAACATTCTGAGTCTTTTATTGTATTACTCATTGCAACAATAAGATTGCAGGTATTCCAGAGAATAAAGCGTGCTTTCAGGCAAAACCAATTACTTTTTCTTTTCGGCAGTAATGTTGAGAACTCCACGAGATGTCAGATGAGACTTCAGGGTGGAGGCATCCACATCAGTTGGCAATTTGTAAGCACGATGGATCTCGCGGGTTACTGTACCGTGCTGATCTGTCCGGCTTTCGTGACGGCAATTAATAAGGATTTCGTTTCCAGCCACCTTCACCTAAAGTAAAGTAATTAATATTATCTTTATAGTAGAAAGTAAAAGTCATTTCCCTCAATAAAAAACACACTTCGATTTCATTTGGAGTAAAGTATTGGACATCAAGTCCAACTTCGAACTTGTCCTTTGTGTTGTGAACCTTGACAATCCCATCATTGTGCTGAAGAGGCCAATCCCAGGACTCTCCAGTCCATTCATGTCCAACTGGTACACTAGTCATGGCAGAATGTACAAGAATCTGGAAAAAGGAAGAACAAATTAACTGATTTCAAGAGTCTTTAACAGTTTACAAAAATTGTTGTGTGGGACGCGAGAGGAGAGTAACCCGAGGCTTGGCCACAGACACTGGCCAAGAAGATCGAAGCGCTGCTGTTTAAATAATTTTAAAATCCGCGGAAATCTTTTCAAATCCAAAGATCTGCGCGGAGAGGGAAGGAGATCCGATTTGTCGTGGATTCTCGGCCATTTGAATGGACAAGCAAGAATAAGACAGGTCTTTTCTATAATATAAGACCCGAGGAGCAGCTGGCCTCGCCAACACCTGATCGGACCAATGGATTCGGGCCAGGGGTCAGTTGGAGTTGTTTTGAATGTTTTAAACAATAAAGAATCGAGAGAATGGATGGGCCTAGCTGGAAAGCACTGGAAAGATTTCTGCACGTTTCTTCCCGAAGATCCATGGATAATATTAGGAAATCGGAGGACTGGTCCAGAAAGTTGAGGAAAGATGTTGAACATTTGGATCTTTTGGAAAGTTCTTTGATCTCCGAATAAAAAAGCAGTGGGGTCCTTTGGGTGTCAGCCAAAGAAGCTATGATTGGCAAGTCTCAAACCATATCTTATGATATTTCATCTTAATGATTCAAATGATAAACCTCGCTTTGTCATAAAATCTACAGATGCTTCGTTTAAATGTTTGCCTTTTCCGGAATCTTTATTGTATAAATTGAGTCGTCATATTTTGGGGCAGATTTCATACACATCATGAATTCATAACATTGGCCGGACTTCAACGCTTTTGGAGGGGGGCGTACCTGAACTACCAAAGTGACTCTAGCACCCTAGTCATCTAGTTTGGCCATTTGAGAATGTTTTGGACATCCATCTTGACCTCGGTCACCATCGCGAGCTTGGTCGATTGCGATTTGTTTTATAAAACTGTTTTACAATAAATAAGAAAGAGGCGAAAGGTATGTACACAGAATTTTGTTTAAGTTTAGTACATGTATCTGCTGATAATTTTCAATTGCGCTTTTTACGGCTTGGGAAACAAAATGTCAAAAAAGTTGTGCTGTCTCCCGCAACGAAAAAAAGTCTTCGAAATTGCAAATAGTAAAATAATTATTAGTATACTAATTATCAGTCTGTCGGGAAAATAACGGCGGATCGTCGCAGCAAAATGTCTCGCCTCGCCGCTATCGCGCACCAAATCCCAAGCCGCGGCTTGCAGTCGCAAAGCGATGATGAGCGATTCCGAGGCGCGACGATCCGTCGCTATTTTCCCGACAGACTGATAGTATACATGCATGTAGAACGTCAATCGAGCGTAGTTGAAGCCATTCCTGACAATGATTTAACGTGGCGTTTCGTCACAAATAGAATTTTGGGGAAGGTCTTTGGCTGTTTTTTGGCCAGCGGTGACAAAACTTCGCTTTCGAAGAGATAAAGTTTTAAATTTTTCTTGATTTTTTAAGATTTGATCCACCAAAAATTCTTCCGAAAGAACTTTGATAATTAAAATCTTTTGGTCAGTCGATAGTGGGTGGACGAAACGTCTAAACGATTCAGGAAATGCGATGGATCGAGGTTGAACCTGCACTGCCGTGCATCTTCAACAAGTTTAATGTTTGTTGTGGAGCCTCAAAGGTCTCCATAATTCCCAGGGAAATTCCGATTTTTTAAAAAAATCATTGTTTTCACCACATCTGGGGTTTACGACAATTTACCGCACATTCACACGGATTTGGAAAATAAGTTTATGTAATACTGCGTGAATGCCAAAGAACATGAAGATGCTTGTCCAAGGGCCATAAACAACAATGAGTTCACCTGAAACTCCCGTCGATTGAATAAGGATGACGAAAACTTTCGCTATTAATAAATCGCCAATTGTTATGTTTCGATGGATTACCCAGCTGTTTCTCTCAAAGAACAGACAAAAATAACCTTAGGCACTCTGCTTTTTAATTATTCGATATGATTACTACGCAATAATTACATTGAAAAAAGAAGGTACAGAAGATGGCTTTGATTAATCGAGTTTTTTTACTTTTTTTTATCGGCGGTGATCTGGAGAACACCACGAGTCGTCAAATGGGACTTCAAGGTGGATGGGTCGACGTCAGCGGGCAAGTGGTAGGAACGGTTGATCTCACGTTTCACGGCACCGTGAGCATCTTGACGTTCTTCGTGAACACAGTGGATGCTGAGGGTGTCATTGATGACTTTGACCTGTAACAAAAAGATTAGACAGGTGAGACAGCCCTATAATTCAAATTCCAATATCTACGCTTACCTCAATCTCCTTAGGTGTAAAGAAGGAGGCATCGAGTCCAACTTCCCACTTGTCATTGGTGTTGTGAACCTTGACGATGCCATCATTGTGCTGGAGAGGCCAGTCCCAGTTCTCCGCCGACCAGTCGTGAGTCAATGGAACGGACATGTTGTAAGAAGTATCTGAAATGCTCTAAATAAAAAAAATACACAGCTCGACAGTGACTAAAGCGATTTCGAAAAGCAGAAATGTTTCGGGCCCGGGATCACTGACTTTAAATCCCCTCAGGCCAAGGTGGGATGACCATATGGCCAAACCCTGCAGGGTTCCGGGTTTCCACAAACAACTTCGGCCTTGCATCTCAACCCCGCCCAGAACTTCAAAAAACGTCCGAAAGACAGTTGCGGCACTATCGAGACAACTAGCCAAAGGGCATTAGGTTCCAAAAAACACGTCCGCTGGCCTGAGGTCGACGGGTGTGCACTTTAGACATGCTGGTAGAGGGAGAGAACCCACCGGCACAGCATTTCATTCAGGGAATCTTGTGGAAAAAAGCAGGGATATGTAAGAGGTCGTAAACAAGTTGATCAACGTCGGGAGGGAAAGTGGAAGCCGACCGAGAGAGTGCGCCTCTTATGAATGCGGCCGATCATGGGACACTTCTGAAATCCGCCCAGGGTTCCGTGAGAAAGGCCCGATCTCGGGTGCGGGGTTAACTGGAGACCGAAGAGGTTTATCCCATGTAGTGGGAGAGAAGAGCGTCTTGGGGGTAGTCGAGAGGCCACATTTGCTTGGAACGATCGGATTTATCTTTCCTTCTCGCGCATTTCCAATCATCCCCGTTCTGTGTTTACAAATCACCTGCTACTTGGAAAGAAACAAACATACGTGATAAAAACAAAAAGTTTACTCGTAATTATTTTGAAATCACATCCCAAGAGATATTTCAAGACTTTGAGGGCGAAGTTTCCAGAGCTGGCCGGAAAGTTAAGACAAACAACTTGATATGAAAAGATGGATAGTTGAAACTCTCTAAAAATGAAAGGAGGTTGAGAACTGACGCTGTGAATAACTGCAAGTCATTCTAATAAATTAAGAACACTAATTATTAATTGATTACAACTCTTCCTTTGTTTTGAAACTGTTCACGGAATGTTTTTTCATAAAGTCGATCAGGTCATTAATATCGCGATTTCCGGTATATTTAATGGGTTTCTTTTCAAGACCACCAGGGGCAAAGTAGATTGTTGGGAAACCTTCTACTTTAAAGTCATCATGGGGATCATTGGCAGTGGCGTCGAATTGGGCGAGCACCAGGGACTTTTGTCCCTTCAATTTATTGGCCAATTCAATGTATTTTGATTCAAATTTCTGAAAAATCATAATAATTATGGTCATGGATGTCTTCAGACCCGTATTCTTTCAAAAACGCACCTTGCAATGTCCACACCATGGTGCATAGAATTCGATCAGATAGTCTTTGCTCTTATCCCCCAAAACCTTTTCAAAATTGGATGCAACCAAAGTTTTGATAGGACCCTTGTCATCCTTGGGCACTGGTGCTGACTTGACATAAGGTTTTACCTTCCCAGCACTGATATCTTTCATAAATGCTTCCAAATTTTCCTCCAACTCTTCATCATAGATTTCTGGCCTCATCGGGTACTTCTTTCCATCGAAGCCAAAGCAGATCACATTGTGTTCAAGGCCGCTGTCCCCTAGTCCAACTTCTTGAAGTTCTCGGGCAAATTCCTCTTCGTGTGAAACCGCAAAACGGAACTTTTGACGGATATACTAAATCAAATAAAAGTATTAAAACTTCAAAAAATCAACGTCATCTTTAAAAGGCGTTGTTGGTCAAAATTAACGCTTACTTTCTTCGCAATAGGGACGATCTTCTGTCTCCAATATTGAGATTCCTTTCTACCTTCAGGCGAGAAATCAGCGGAGTAATAGACAACAACCAAAGGATTTCTGGCAAACTTTGTGGCCACATTCTTCATGGTCCTCAATCCCACCAAAGTAGCCGAATTTTCCCTCCAGAAGCTGAGCAGATCCTCTGTAGAGAAGTTGGGACTGTTCAGTTTTTTCCGCTTATCCTCAACGTCGGACAAGAACAATTCTGGGTAGAAGATGACAACGTCGTTAGGTACAGCTCCAAAGTGTTTGAAAACGGAGGGATCGGTGGTGTAGCCAACAAATTGAAATTCTGGACGTGTTCTCTCGGCAGCATCTTGGAAAGCCTCGAACTGTGGGGATTCTGTAGATGCAAAGAAGCCGATAATTGTAACATCATCTTTGGAGAAGAACTTCTTGGCTTCGGAAACAATTCGGAGTTCTTTAGCCGCTGGTTGAGATTGATCGAGCATGAAGTTGACAATCCCATCAGCCTCTCGGGGACCTTCGTAGTCGAATCGACGCCCATATCGAAGGATTTTTAAGGTGGGATATCCAGTGATTCCGAATTTATCGGACAAAGACTTCTCAACAGTAGCGTCGACCTTGGCCAATGGGATCTTGTGGCTCTAAAAAAATTTATAATTTAGATTATCAGAAAATTGTGCAACACCCTGTATAAACCTTACAAGGGAGCGGCAAATACTTGTCATCAGGTTTCTTAACGAAACCTATATCATATGAAATAACAGTGTACAAGCCAAAAAATGGCTGCTCAATTTGCCTAGGAAAAAGTTATGGTCAAAATACAGGTTTTAACCTATTTTCCGGCGTCACTTATCAGTCTGTCGGTCTGAAAAAACCGACAGACTGAAAAAAAATAGTGGCGGGTCGTCGCGCATAGGAAATCGACGGCTAGCCGCAGCTGGAAATTTGGCGCGCGGCTGCACCCTTTTCCGGCGAGACGAAGCATTCTGCTGCGATGAGCCGCCACTATTTTTCCGACAGATTGATATAAGCTCTTATAAGTGATCAAAAGTTGTGACCGTTACTGTTTGCAATCTTGCCGGCTATGTTTTCGCGGTAGTACATAAAAACTTTTTTGACATTTCGTTTCCCAAGCCGTAAAAAGTGCTGTTCAAAACTAGCTGGACCGAAAAAATACTGTGCCACGCGTTGCACGGAGACATCAAAAAAATTTTTTCTTCGTTTACCTTTAGTTTCTTCGCCGCTTTTTCATATTCCGGTGCCAGTTTTTTGCAATGTCCACACCAGGGAGCATAGAATTCCACCAACATCAATGGCTTGTCCTTGCTGAACTCTTCGAATGTCTCCACTGTCAAAGTAACTACTTCTTCTGGTGGAGGTTTGTAATTTGGATCCGTTTTTTGCTTGATCCATTGCTCGATTGCTATAAAAATGAATAAAATTTTAGATTTTGCTAGATGCACAAGTGAGGACAGTCTGTTTGTTTAAAGAAAAACCTTGCAAGGCCTTGTACCAAGCCGCACGACTCACTCACTACCAAGGTCCACAAGAAAAGGAAAAATTAAATACCCCAATTTGAGGAGTAGTTGTACTACAAAAAACTTACATTCGGCATCACGTTGTCCGTCATAATCAATTACATCTTTCCCATCACTGAAGAATTTGAGGGTAGGGTACCCCTCCACATTAAATCTTTTTCCTAACTTTACTTCCACAGTTGCATCGACCTTGGCCAAGGGGATTTCCAGTTTCTTGGCTGCCTTTTCGTACTCCGGAGCAAGCGTTTTGCAATGTCCACACCTAAAGGAAATAATAAATTAATAAAACACTTACCAAGGTGCATAAAACTTGACCAAGGTGGTGGGATTTTCTTTTAAAAAGTCGTCGAAATCATTTTCTGACAAAACATAAACATCTCCATCCTTTAGATATTCACTGGATCCATGTGCGAACACAAGGAATAATAAACAGAGGGATAACATTCCTGCAAAAAGACAAATTATAAGACATGGAACTCTTTATAAATGGAAAAAAGGAACGAAAAATATCCAACAAGGCTCCTAAAACATAATTTTTGCCGGCTAAATCAACAGACCACTTTTCAAACACAAAATTTTAACGTAAAGTCATGTTTACATCTCAGACCAACATAAAAAATTGTTAGCTTTAATTACTCTACACTGAAAAAGCAGCGAGGGAAATCGGACAGAGGTCAAGAGATGACGTGTCCCCAACAGAAAGGTCGCCGCGGAAAAGGTGGGCCTCCGAAAGTATTATTTGACGCGCGGAATGTTCGGGTAAATAAAGAGTTAGCGTTTGTTTGACTTTTTGAAATACGCAAAACCTCAACTGTAATGTAAAGATTGCTTTTGATGTCACAGACTGTTAGGATGACAGGAAGAAAGCAGTAAAACTCCTGGGAAAAAAATAAAACTGAATTCTGAATTTCGATGTCAGCATGGACGTACCTTGAAGTTACCATGGATCTTATAATAAATACAGCCAACGTAATTTCTTAAAACGGCATCATAAATATTGCCTTCGGGAATTTAAGTTTCTCTTTCGACACAGCTCAGTTATGGTAACACACGCATCTGATCAGTGTAAATAGAGATGCCAGAGCACACCTTACCCATCTTTCAAAGTTTCATTCCTCCAAACACCCTCAGAATACGTGTGTTTGCCATAGGAACAATGCTCCGGCCCGTAGGCATTATCCAATATTTTTTCCATTTCCGGTAGTTGTGAATGGCCTCAGGGTATGTTCTTTCAGAGCAGATTGATGCTCTCAAACCTTGCTCATGTCATCGAAGTACCTTTTTATGACCAATATTAATCCTTTCCTTCCACGTCCGGATTGATCTAAACGATTTATGAGTAAATTCAATGGGAGCTCGAGTTAAAACTGTCTCGAAAACACAGAGAATATGCCCGGAGGGACATTTTGATGGAAATCCGATGAGGTTTTCGCACCATCGGACACTTTTTGAGCAAGGTTTATATTGGTGGTCAGTCTTTGGGGGGTTGACCAGAAGTTTTTTATTTTAATCCTTTATATAAATTTTTTGTCATCCTTGCGGTATACGACGTGCATATGCATCTATAACTCCATAGTTTGGTCGATGAATCTGTAAATTAAAGTCCTTCAATTTACCAGATATCTGTGACATTTTTTAATTTTTAACATTGTTTTTAAACTTGTTATTGTTCATTTATTTCTCCGACTTTGCCCTCGAGGCTTCCATAATCTCTGGAATGCCAATTGTTTCCGTTTCAAACGTTTTGTGGCAAGAAAAAGATGGACCACAAATCTTTGCGGTTTTTAAATATTTTGTGTCACAAAAAGTCATTTTCTTCATTCTTCGAAGCTCTCGGAATGTTTATATTATCTTTGGAGGATTTGAAATTGAACTTGGCCACATTCCTGGCCATGATCTCAGGCCAGAGTCGTCATCGTCGTCCACTTCTGGCCGGGGCCAAGCCTAAGAAGTTGGTTTTGGTTAACCCAGGGGCCTATAATCCTGTCTCATTCGTCCATTTAAGAATGTTTGGTAAGACTTATAAACCTTATCTAATAACAACACTATACTACAGAAAGGGCCAAGGATTACTTGGAGAAAACTCTTGGGCACACTGTGATTGAAGGGATCTTTTCTCCATTCTCAGATAAGAACATAAAACCAGATCTAATAACATCAAGGCATCGCCTGAAGATGTTGCAATTGGCAACTCAAAACAGTCATTGGATACGGTAGGATGGCTGACGCCTTTAGTGACATTAGATACAGGGTAGATGACTGGCAAACCCGTCAATTCGATGAGCCGAGTACATTAGAAGTCCTAGATCATTTCCAAACATATTACAATAAACTTCATGGTCCTTCCGAGGTTCATGTAATGCTCTTATGTGGAGCTGACATTGTAGAATCATTCGCTTCAAACTTGCCCTATTACGATCAAACCAGCAAGATCAGCGATGAAGACGTGAGTAATCAGAAAACCGCATTACATCATAGTTTTCAGTTAGAATTAATTCTATCCAAGTTTGGAGTTGTATCCATCTGCAGACCTTTAACGAATCCGTTGAGAGCCATATATTCTGTCGACGTTTTGAGGAGATTCGAGGTGAATTAGTAATTTATAAAAGCAAGGATAAATTTAGAAAAACATTTACATAATTGATGACGAAACAAGCCCATCAACACTATCCTCAACCCGATTACGGACAGCCCTTCGGAGGAATGAATCGATTCGTTATTGTACGCCTGATGCCATAATTGAATACATCCGAGAGCATGGGTTGTATAAGTGAGTTCCTTAACTTGAGTATGATCAACATATTTCTTATGAAGATCGTTAGGGGAGAGTCTAATGGAAGAAAAGGAACGCCCAGAAAGTCTAACGCTGGATGAATTATACGATCTCTCAACAAGATGGGCTGACTATTTTACAACCGAGTTGGAGAAGCAGTACATGACAGAGTCTACCCAAAGTCTTCCGATGCCCACAACTCGAGACATATCTCCCCCTAAATCCCCCAAATCCAAATCTGTGTCTTTTGCCATGGAACAACAAAGAACATCAAGTGCTTTATCGGAGCCAAATTTGACTGGGAAGGGCGGGATGACATTGAAATTCCGGCAATATAATCTCTCATCCACACCGGAAACCACGGTTTAGATTGTAATCATCCTAGACATCTTATATAAAATCGTCAGTGTTCCTTTGGCCTGTAGCTATTATATTTTAGATTTAATTTCCTCTATTTTACAATGTAAATTCATTCTTTTGTACCTGAAATTCTATGAATCCTCGTCAACGTTCTTTCATTCACTTGAGTTTACTTCAATTTTTATTTCCACTGCCCTGTTTCATTTTGCAACTGTTTTTTTCAAGTAAAATTTTGAGAAAACGGATGTGGGGCATTTCCCAAAACAATGACCAACCTATCCCACCAACGAATGACCTCAACAAACAAAGCCCTGAGGGTCACGACCGATTGCCCACTCGGCCAAGCTCTCGTATCTCACTTAAGACGGAAGATGAGACGATTAAAAGAGTGCGCGCTCTTCCCGTTCGGTCACGCCAGGTTGTTTGTCCACTCTCGAGAGACCAGGTGAGGGCGGACGTTCGATGTCACGCCTGGGGGCAGCACTTTCTCCTCTTCCTTCCGTGAGCCAAGGATTCGGACGTCGTGACGGTGGGTGAAAGAAAGAAGAGTAAGAAGACGGTCAAGTGAGGGTTCACTTGTTCTCTCTTTCATCCCAAGACTTTCCTCTTCCTCACTTTCACTTCGATTGTGGATTACGGTGGTTGTTTGGGAGTCGTGTTACTTTTATTCCTTAATTTGGATCAAGTCATTTCTGCTAATATGAACCTATTACATCATCCTTTGCATCAGTATCCCACAATCGCAGAGGAAAATAACAACAATGATCAAAAGTCATCAACGCTACTGCCTGTGGATGACAATTTGAGAATTTACAATAATCTGCCCACAATGGCAGGCCCTGATGTCCCCGATTCCTTTCCAATCAACCTCCCATGTGACACTACAGAAGAACCTCAAGGTCTTTTAACCTTCCTGGAGACTGCTCAGAAACGCCAAAGACTCGAAGCGGACCGTATTCGTGCCCTCTACCCTCAGGCGGACTCGCGACGGACTTCGGCACCGGCATGTTTGTTTGACCCTAGCCAGGTAATTAACTGTAATTGATCTTATCGGGAGATCTGCCTAGTTCCGCGGGGTGTTCGGAAGGCGATAGCCATCAGACGGCGATCACACTTCCCGGCTATCGCGCAGCCGGCACCGGGGATCTCGAGGATGCCCATCACTTCTTCTCCCACTAGTTTTTACCCATTAATTTGACCTAAATTTTTATGAAAATGCAAATTTTCCGCTGCCTGAAATCAAGTGGGCGGGTGGAGAAGGTGGGGGCATGGATCGCCGTGCGTGGAATAGACCGCGGCGCCCGGTGTTAAGCGGGGATACGGATTGCCTCCGGCTGATTGTTTGTTGTTTACTCATCGGCATTCATTTCGAGATAAAATTATTCGGAAGGCCGGTAAACAATACGACGCGATCTTCCGTTCATCGGATACGGTAGACCTTGACGAAGTCGATTTTTTCAATAAAAGCTTCATTTTCAGAATAGCGCCTTCAACGCCCAGCTCCAGAAATTGGCCGAGAGTATGGGAACAAAAACGGAATCCAATTCGTCAAGTCCGGATTCTGGATTGGGACACGATGGCCATGAATATAACGAGAAATCTTCGCCTGATCAAACTCTCTTATTGCTCCATTTGCTAGGACAGCACGTTCAATTTGGTGTCTTCCCCTCAACATCCACGACAGTTCCACCGAATATGATGAATGAGGTTCATGACAACGTCTTGCGGAATCAGTGTAAGTGACAACGTTCGTCCCGGGCTACTAACAGTCTAGTTTGCACCTTCTCTATCCGGCTAGTCTGTTCCTCGTTTCGACTTCAAATGTGCCGTTTTTAATTCGATCGGTGGAAAAAAGAAAACAGCATCGGAACGTCTTTGGAATGACCACAAACCAATGGGTTTTTAATAATTTGCACCCTCGAGTCGTTCGTTTTGTTTGGATTGCCGGGGGGCAGAAGGAGTCCGGATCTCGAATCCCAATAACCGGCTCATGTAGATTTTCAGAAGATGAGCAACTTCTTCTCTTCTGCCGGACTCACATTCCCCTGCCTGTTTCTGCACCGGAAAGTTTTTTATTTGTCAACGTTTCTCACTTTCACTTTTACATTTCTGAGTGAAGATTGAGGATGAGCTTGATTCAGCAACCTTGGCTTGAGGTGGCGCACAAGTCCTACGGTAATCTACTCTATTCTTACCACAATATTTTATCACTCTGCATGTCTTATCTTCCACATTACCGTATCAAAGAAATTTATGCCTTTTTCAGATTCTGAAAATGCCAGATTAACCAACTGGATGAACCTGCTCTATCCCCACTTCCAACCTCCTCCTCAGCCGTTGAAGCCAGTGCAAGATGAACTCAATGATATTTTAACGATCTTCAAGACAAATGCTCAACTTTTCAACAATATTAAAGCAGATGAAAGCAATACAGACTGCGCCCAGTTCTACGAATTGTTACAAAATCAACTTAGGCATCGACAGAACCTTATCCTTCAAGCACAGTTAAGAAGTCATCCATATCTGAATCAACTAGGCCACTGTGGAAATAATCTCCAGAGCACAACAAAAACACCGGAAAAATCAGGTGCCCCACAATATACGCCATATGATGGGGGAAGACGTTACAGTGAGCCGGCCATTTTATCGGCAACAACAATAAACGCTCGGAGGAAAAGCAGAGAGAGTAAGTACCTCATTGACTTTTAATTTCATCGCTATGATTACTTTTAAATAATTTGTTTTAGTTACTGGTCAATCTTCATATCTTTGGGAATTCCTGTTAAAATTACTGCAAGATAAGGATTACTGCCCGAAATACATTAAGTGGCTCGATCACAAGAAAGGAATATTCAAATTAGTCGATTCGAAGGCCGTTAGTCGACTATGGGGAATGCATAAAAATAAGCCTGGAATGAATTACGAAACCATGGGAAGGGCACTACGGTAAGGATTATTTTATTGCTACTTATTATGTAGATAACAATAAGGTTAATTTTTATTTTACAGTTACTATTATCAACGAGGAATCCTGCAAAAGGTGGAAGGCCAACGTCTAGTCTATCAATTCATGGACGTTCCCAGAGAATTGTTTGATCCCAAGGACACAAGTTACGATGAGAACACCGAACTCATCGAAACTACAGTGACCCAGCAGTTCCACAACACATCTATTAAGGCTGATGTCAATTAGATCTTTTTAACGCGGTACCTTTTTGATGCAAGTCTTTTAATTTCTAAATTTGTATATTTTTATCATTTTTTACAAACTCCGATTAAAAGTTTTTCACGTGAATAGGTATGATTTCTCTGAAATTTTGCAATGGTTTACGTCAGATCTAGACCCAAAAAAAGCTTCTTTTTATGTCTGAACAGTGCAGCGTTATCAGAAAGGGAAATTTCAGAGGATGTTCATGTGAAGTCTGATAAGGAAACCTTTCGAAATCATCCCGGAACTACAGTAGAAAAGGGAATTCCTCACAAAAGAGAGAGGAAAATAGGTGAAAATTAACATTAACCGAATTGATCCGGTTAAAAAGGAGTGACAAAAGTTAGTAACTGTACAAGTAGATTCCTATTTACAATACAGCTTCGTATGACCAAAAATATGAACGTAATTTTGCCATGACGCAACAGATAAGGCTCTATTTGGTTCTATATTTAGACTTGTGTAATAAAAGTAGCTTGTTGGAAACTCTGATAAGTGCCAGCTCTGTGAAATCCGAAATAATTATTTACCAAAGTTATATGGAACAATAAAAAAATTTAATAAAAGGTCAGACAGCCTTCATGCTTTGACGCCGAACTTCTATCATTCATGTTAAATCCTCATGAATAACACAATTCAAATGAACTTGAGCATTATCAGTTTCGGCGACACAGTTTTCGTAAAAACGTTCTCTGCCCCCGTGGAGTGATTATTCTTTGGAAGGAGGCGCGTCCAATCACTCGGAACGGGACATTGGGAGGCGCTTCAACTTTGACCTCATAAAAGCCGGTTATATAAGTAGTGCAAATCGGAGAAGGATCATCGAAGTGTTCAGTCCGTACACTCACACAGAGCAAAATCTCCCCTTTGGAATAATTTTATGGTAGTTGCATTGAACCCTTTTCGAGCAGTTTACCCGCAGGATAAAAATTTCGTTTTTAACATGGCCACTATAAAGACCTTTTCAGAGTTTTCTATGTCCTACACTGTGAATACAATGCTTTTGCAACTCGAAAATGACCTTCTTCAACTAGAGCCTGGTCAAGAATGTCATGGAGCCCTCAAGATCCATTGCACTCGACCAGAGCATGTCGAGAAAATCTTCATTCAGTTCATTGGTGTGGCCAAGACGGAATGGAAGCTGGGTGAGACATACCTCGTTGGGAATTCTGCCATAGTAGACAAAGTTCCTTATACTTCTGAACGTCACTACTCTGGTGATGAAGTTGTTCTGCCCAGTAAAACGCTTACTTCTGGAATGAATATTCTTCCCTTCAACATGACTGTACCGGTCGAGGTTCCCCCGTCTTTTGAGAACAATTTAGGATGTATTCGTTATTGGATAAAGGCAAGTGTTCAAAGAGGATCAGGGAACTCCACCATTGCCATTCCCATTGAAATATCTACGAATCCTGTTGTCAAATGTTCCGATTTTCTGACAAAGCCAATCAGAAAGGAGTCGAGACGAGACTTGGGAAAGCTGTTCTTCAAGAATGGACATGTCCGTGCTGCCATTGGAGTTCAAAAAGCAACCTTTAGTGTGGGAGAATCCATGGAAGTAAACGTGGAAGTGGACAATGAATCCGAGAAGAAGATAACCGACATTCAGTTCCAATTGGTTCAACTCAGCCATTTTTCTGCTCAAAGAGATTGCACAAGGCCGAGTCTGAAGAGAAATCACAAAGAAGTGGAGTTCAAGCAGGACGAATTTGTCGTCAAAGAATGGTGTGATGTGGTGAAGATTGAGAAGCACGAAAGGGCCACGTACCAAGACGTACTCCGCGTTCCAGAAGTGATTCCAAGTTTCAACAACTGTCAGATTGTTCAAGTCAATTACGTTCTTCGAGTATGTATTTTATCGGACATTGTGTTTTGTAATTTCCCTATTTTACAACCAATTTTCAGACCAAAATCGTCACCAAAACCAATAAGACCTTGTTATGCTGTGACATCCCCGTTCAAATCAGAGGAGTTTCCTCTGAATATTCGGCCAACACTTCTCCAAGATCAAGTCTTTCAGTCGAAATCAACGCCTACCAGCATCCAGTTAACGCGCCGCAACCCATCCTTACATTCTAAGGCCCAAAACCATGGTCAAGTTACATCACAGGCAGCATTTATTTATCCCAACACTCATGCAAGCATAACTTCATTAATCCTCATATTTTCACGTAAGATTAAGAATTAGCGTAATAAAGTTTCACATCAGTAACTTTTGGGTCATAAATGATCACGACGTTGGTTTATCTATTGCGCGTGTTCTGATGCACTCTTCGAGAATTTATTGATAAATAAATGACGCTGACGTCTTAAACAATAAAATAAACCCTAAGGCATCCACCACGCAAAGCTTTTTTTATTTGATGGAGCTGAAAATAACTTTAACTGAACCAACGAAAGGATTCGTTTTCTGCGGCCTAGCTCTTCATGGCGTTGTTGAAGTTTCCTCTCCACGAAACACTCTTGTTAATTATATTGTAATTGAGTTAATGGGGAAAGAACGAACAGAAGTCCAAAAGATAAGGTGAGGCGATAAAAAGGGAGGGGTTTTCTTATAACGATTATGTCTGATACCACATTCTATTATAGTCCATCAAAAACAAAACAGACTATTGGAAATGAGAACGAGTTGATCAAAGATGCATTATGCCTCTGGGAAGAAAAGACCCTGAGCAGTGGCCGAACGGTGATCCCTTTCTCTTTCACCGTACCTGAGAAACTTCCACCGTCCTTCGAAGGTAAGGGTCATCCGACTTCTAGACTAAGGCCAGTCCAAATTCTAAAACAATCCGGATACACAGAAAAAGCACGGACTTATTTTTAAAGTCATGGGTGCCCTGTCTACATCAGCTTTTTGTTAAAAAAAATAATAATTATTACCGTTTTCGAGAAATGTCGACAAATTCCAAAAAAGTGACACTTCAAAGCTAAAATATTTCTTGGCGTGTGGCGGACTCTTTACAGTAATTTATGGGGCAACGTAATGTTAGATTTGTGGTTTCCAACAGTATAACAACCGAAGTTGAGGATTCAAAGTTAAAAGAACGAAGTCGATTATGACCCAAAGTCGAAAAAAGACGTCCGAGAAAATGGCTAGCCAAACCCCTGAACTGATAGCCAAATGGCCCACGTGCCTAGCCAAGGAACTCGGCCAGTGGCCGTTTTACATTTTTCCTTAATTGGTAGTTTAGTAGTCTTTTTTTGATTTTTTTCTGAAAATACTTGGCTTATTTTTAGGGTTTTCGATGATGCTGATTTCGAAAATTATATTCATTTTTTATAACTGCCAGGTACAATGGTTTAATATGTGGAACCGTGATTTTGATTTTTTAATGTAAAGAATTAGAATATCTGACACTTATTGTCAGAATTCATGCTGAAGTTTGAGATTAATTTGCTGACGACATCTGATGTTCTTTTTATATAATCCGCGATAATTTTGACCAAACTGAGACCAATTTGGCAGCGGAAAAATGTGCTGACAGGTGGAAATTTAGCAGAAATCCGAAAAACGCCCAAGGTCTGAAGATTCCGAAATGATCGTCACCATTTTTTAAATTTTTCACTTTTTGGTGGGAAAATCAAAAAAAATCTTCTTGAGTAGGAAGTCCTGACATTGTGAGTCAAAAACGGTGATAATTATTTTTTTACTATAAAAACTTGGTAACACCGATCTAGATGTCTAGTAGACCATAAATTCTTATGTGCCTATTCGTCCGCTAGTGTTAATTGATTTTCATTAGGCGAATATGGATTTATTCGATATCAGCTGAGACTTCGGGTCGTCAGGCCTACCCCTTTCATTGACCAATTTGTCACAAGACCTTTGTCAATTACACCAATCTACGATCTAAAATCCCTACCTTATACCTCATACAGAACAAGAAGGGTGATTAATGAGAAAAGAGAAAAAATTCTCAAAAATGGATATCTGAAGGCCATAATCAACATCAACAAAAGCGGATTCGTGTGCGGTGAGAAAGTGGATATCTTGGTTGACATAAACAATGAAAGTCCTGCAATAATCAGAGGAATAAAGGGGGTTCTACGACAACACATAACATACTTCAGCTATGATGAATGTGAACCAAAAACTAGGATAAAAATAGCACAATGCTCATACAACATAATTGAGTTCGATCAACGATATGAAGTGAGTCCGAAGGAAAGAAGTATATACCGCGGAAAGAGCCCACAATTACCCCCAGTGTCACCAAGCATCCGACGAAAACGAATACATATTGACTATGATATTCAGGTGAGTCCAAGCACAATAGGCAGAGGTTTAGTTTGAAATCTATCTAGAACAATGCCCCTCGGCATTCGCTTCGATCCCCATCATAATCGGAAACGTACCTTGTAATCACTCTGTAGACCCACCGACCGTCGCTTTCCATCGACTGGACCGACTCACCCCGCCATCTCCATCAAGTGTAACATCCATTCTAAGCAAGTCTGAACCAATTGTATTGATTAAGTTTCAGATGAAAACATTCTGCATTTGGAGCAAAAGTGCGGAAAACGGTCTCAAATAAAGGATTCATTGTACAACTTCAATCGGCGGTACCTCTCGCCTCTCACCCTTTATTATGATTTTTAATAAAATTATCAGTGAAACTGTGACCGTGGTGTTGGCAGCTTTACCACATGGCACGTAAATATGAAGCTTTCGGTGACCGGAGTCATAATAATTGTTGTTTTTGAGGCGGATTTCCAATGCCTCCACCGCATTTAGTCTGTCCCAGTTTGAGGTGCGCGCACGCGTGAATGGTTCGAATTCTTTCTATCAAAAATTTCCTATGACTTTATTTTGGAAATCCTCTGGCAAGCTTTTGGCGTATAAAACGACCCTACCGTAAACCTCTTGGGCGCAGTTTGCGGCTGGAAAAATTTTTATTATATTTTGGGTTTCTGGTAACTACTTGTACGTACTTGTAAGGGTGGTCCACGAAGTTCTCCGTAGTTTGTTTTTGGAATAACTCGGCAAGGGCTTTGCAGAACTTCCTAAACTTATATTTATATAATCCTCAGCCTCCACCCCCACACTTTGTATGACATTTTCATAAGGGTTCGGCTGACCGAGGATTTTTGTATAAATCCTTAAATTTCAATTCCGTATCCGGTAACAAATACTAGGGTGGTTAATTTGACTTTTTGGACCACACAAGACCAGATTGCTCAACAATGGCGTCCAAGTTAGCTGGCAAAGCTAAGAAAAAGGACTTGGTAAAGGTCATTCACCCGCCTTTTATAAAAACGAATATTCGGTAAGGACTGATTCGGTATTCAGCTTAACTTTTCTTTACAGGGCTCAAATGGCATCCGCAGCGCCGCCTTTGGGACCCCAACTGGGTCAAAGAGGTCTCAACGTCGCCAATTTTTGCAAAGACTTCAATGCAAAGACCAGCCATATAAAACCTGGGGCTCTTTTGCCTACAAGAATTTATATTAAGCCTGATCGAACATACGACCTCGAAATTTGCAGCCCAATGTCTACATGGCTAATAAAGAAGGCTGCTGGAGTTAACAGAGCCGCGGAAAATCCAGGTACCTATCGGATTTTATTTATTTGTAGTCGCGGATTAATTGTATCTTTTTTAGGGGAAATTTGTGGTTTTCTTTCCGTAAAGCATATTTATGAAATCGCGAAAGTAAAATCTGCAGATCGGGCTTTAACAGGTGTTCCACTGAAGGTACGTCTAGTCATTATTTTAATTGTTGGTTTAGGAAATTTGCGAAATGTTAATCAAGACCTGCCGGACATGCGGAGTCAAGGTGCAGAAAGAAGACTTGGATCCCGAGGTGTTAGGTCCTTTTTTGGAAAGTCGAAAAGAAATTGTAGCTCAGCAGTTACAAGCATGGGCCGATAAGAAGGCTGCGAAGATGCTTAGAGGATAATTGTATTGTACATGGTTATTGTTTTTATTGAAATTGTTTTAGGTCGAATAAATTTACATTGAATTTGCGGCCAATTGTTGATGGTTGTTTTCCTTTGCTTACTTTGGCTCTGGTCTTCTCCTTTTTTATACTACTTTTAGGTGGAAACCATGACGGTTTGATTACGGGTAGAGATGTCCGAGGAGGATGTGCTACTTACAGTATCCCAGAAGAAATCGTTAGCTGATTTTTATGTTCATCGCGAACTCGGAAGTGGATCGTATTCCAACGTGTACTATGCGACGGCCAAGTCAGATGGCAAGAAATACGCACTGAAAGTTTGTGATAAACACAGGATTCTCAGAGAGAAGAAGGTACCTTAATATCCAGAAAACCGTTAGATCCGTTTTTAGACTAAGGCAGTTTTCCGAGAGAAAGATGCTTTGATGCAACTGTCGACGGCGGAGAAACGACGGCCATTTATTGTCATGTTATACTGCACCTTCCAAGACGAATCGTCTCTTTATTTTGTTCTCAGTTATGCTGAACATAGAGATCTTGCCGAGAAAATGCTCAAACAGAAAACCTTGGATCTGGAGACAACCAAGTTCATTATTTCTGAATTGGTGACGGCGATTGGTAGGAGGACGAATAAGTATAAGTACGAATAAATTTTCAGCTTATTGTCATTCTAATGGAATTCTTCATCGAGATATAAAGCCTGGTAATATGCTGATTAAAGAGGATTTCCATATGATGTTGGGCGATTTCGGAGAGTGTATTACAATCGCTGAGAACGAAAAAGTGATTTCATCAGACGCCAAAAGGAAATGCTCATTTGTGGGATCTCATCTTTATGTCTCGCCCGAAGTAAGTTATTGCTGATTTATTAATTAACCGGAATTTAATAAATCCATGTATGTTTCTTATAGGTACTAAGAGGACAAGGTGTGGATGAAACTTGTGATTATTTTGCAGTTGGATCTATTCTGTTTGAATTCGTCACGGGAAAGGCCCCCTACCATGATCTCTCCGAACATCTAGTCTTCCAACGGATCATCAAGAATTTATTTTCTTTTCCTGACGACTTTCCATGCCCTAAAGCCAAGTCTGCCGTTCTCGAATTTCTGGAACCAAAGAAGGAGAATCGATTGGGATCAAAAGCTAAAAACGGATTCGATGGCATCAAAAATCATTGTTTCTTTGAAGGTGTGGATTGGGAAAATTTGTTTAATTTAAAGTCACCCTTGGCCAAATATTACTCTAAAACCGAAGCGACGAGAGAGGAAGTTGAATGTGATGACCTTCTGAAAAATTTTTAATTTTATAGATACAGAGAGGAGAAATTTTTGAAACTTTGATTACATTAATCACTTATTTAATTTGTATTAATTACTGTAATTATAATAAATGCTTTTTTGAACATTTTTTTTGATGGGTACTGCGCGCGGCATTCTGTCTTCTCCGCGAATTTTTCAATTTTTTTTCGGGGTGCATTTCCTTTCGCAGCAACCAATACTACTCAAAAATGACCTGCAGGTCGATGCTTATGTCGCCGCAGCAACTAATCTCCACGATGATGGCAAATATTCGCACGCTCCGTTTTGCGCGAAAAGGGACAGACTTGTCCCGAGAGACAGTTCTCTCTCTCTGAGAAAATAGGAGGGAGCCACATGAATTCATGCATGATGGTTACAGCGCTATCGTACTGTCTGTCCTTGATGGTTCATGCTTTGCTAATTCCGTTTCTGGACGAAACACAGAATGCCGTGCTGCCGCGGGGTATGATTTTGCCTGAGAATAAACTGAACTATTTTATTTTTTATCCACTGTTATGAGTCGGTCGACTTTGAAGTAATGTTTTGGTTTGAGCATGTGATCGAGTATATTAGCCCAACTCCCTCGGTGTATTTGGGCTTTTTTGATCCTCCTCGTCTTGATGATGTCGAAATTGATCTTCTAATTGGTGGAAGTATTCTTATTCTTCTTGGACTGACCATCAACTTTATTTTGTTTGTTTATAATCATGTAAGTGTCATTTTACTCATATTAATCTGCAGTTCAACGAGATCTCGACAAGAAAAAGGGCTCTTCGACTTCGTGATGCCATGATAATACCACCAAGATGTGATTCGAAAGGTCGAGAATTGGGAATGATGACTGGGAGAGACTGGAGAGATTACTTTATAAGAGAAGAACCCTTTGTTGAAGAGTAATATAAATGGTTTTACATATTTTGGAATCCTTATTTTGTGTGAGTGACACCCTACATGGGTATTCTACATTACGTTTGACTAGTATTACTGCGAAAATAAAGTCTAGATTTTTTTTGAGCTTTGTTTTTTATTTTCTTTACACTATTGTTGCGATCTAAAGAATGATGATTGAGAATTGAAGGAATTCCTTTTTATTCGAACCAGGCGAATTGAAATCTCATCTTGAATGCGGCGTTGTCTGTTTCAATGTTTGAAAACATTGAAATTAGTTATATTTTACTATAATTATATTGATTAAGCCTAATGTAGTCGTAATCCAATCGGTTATCTCAAATTCAACTTGTAACTCGCCTAAGATTGCCCCGGTAGAAGCCCATTTCTCTTCCTCGACCCTGTCCTTGATTTAATTCCCTGACCTCGAAAGGCGCGTTTAAAGTAACCGACCGATTTTTCTATCGGCCGAACTTTTCTCTCCCCGTTTCCTTCAGTCCCAACGATGTCTAATGCCTTCGTATAACAGCTGTCTGATCGCCATTCTCTTTTCGGATTCCTTTGCATCGAATGATTCACCTCAATTTTTGCCATGTTTGCTTTGCCCCAGGGTGTTAATGATTAACCAAATGTTTTGTTAATTGAGTAAGGTGGTATTCTTATTGTTTTGTCTCATTGAATAATTGTATAAATAATTTGAGGGCTCATTTTTATCAGTTCTATCATTTTTCCAGCAATTATTTATTTTCCAAAGGACCCTTTTCTTTTATTGTGCACTTGAATGCAAAAACTCGCATTTCGAAAAGGACTTGTACTTCGGTGATGAGGGGTTCCCAAGTCGATCCATCATCCACTTTACTTCTCCTTCATCCCGTTTTCGTTTTTGTTAACTTTTTAATCAACAACATTTTTTTGAATTTCACAATCGTCTTTATTGGGGGTATAATTAGCATTTTTTTTGAAATAATAAATGCCTACGAGTATTTAGGGTTTACTACAGAGATGGCGACAACCAAACGACCACCAGAGGGTGCCATTCTCCCCAATTATAAGATGGTTGTAATAGGAGAAGGCGGAGTGGGGAAGTCATCCCTGACTATCCAGTTCTTCCAGGTACTCTTTAAATCATTTACTTATTATTTTTATGAATATCGCTGAAGTAATATTATTTTCAGAAACAATTCTTGGACTACTATGACCCAACCATAGAGGACCAATATATTCAGCATTGTGAAGTGGATGGACAATGGGTTATGTTGGATGGTGAGTCCATCCAAATAATCAATGGCGTCGCGACTCTTGCGGGCAACCACTTTAAGCAAACGTTGGCCGATTAGCCCGCAAAATCTCCATGATTCTTCTAGCTCCCTTCAAAGTGGTTGCCCGCAAAAGTGCGGGCCCGCCTAATAAATAAATGTCATTGCGCAATTACAGTGCTCGACACTGCCGGACAAGAGGAGTTCTCGGCAATGAGAGAGCAATACATGAGGAATGGCCGAGGATTTATGTTGGTTTACTCAGTAACTGACGAACAGAGCTTTGAGAACGCCCGCAAATTGTATCATCAGGTGTTGAGGGTGAAGGATAAAACCGAATATCCAGTATTACTGGTCGCGAACAAGGTGGATCTGATCAATCACAGGAAAGTCAGCGAGCAAAGAGGAAGGGCTTTGGCTGATGAATTGAAGTTACCGTATATAGAAACGTCGGCCAAAGACCCTCCAGTCAATGTAGATTCTGCGTTCCACGAACTGGTCAGGATTATGAAAAGCTTCCCGAGTGATGAAGACAGTACGGAGGTGAGTTGCACCCAAAATTATTTAAATTAATGTATTCAGAAGACCGAGGTACCCGGGAATGCAAATACCAAACAAAAAGGACGCAAGACCAAGGACAAGAAGTGTTCGGTAATGTAATTCCTGTTCCCCTTATTGTTATACACTATTGTTTCCCTGGTCTCGATCTTCCGTCGATTGTCCAGAGAGTTCTTTTTGTCTTATTTACGACCGTTTTTGGCCATAATTGCATTCATTTCGACGGTGTTTAAATTATTCCGACTTGTAAAAATGATGACATTACGGAGATATATTATTGTTTTTGGTTTAATAAACATAGAGTACAAGAACAGGTATTTACTTCGATCTGAACATATATCTGATGAACATTTGGACAAGAACTGGCCAGATTAAAAGGAAAATAAATAAAGGCCAAGTGATGATTCGATAGTGGTTCTGGAAAGGAATATAGTTTCGTTAGAGTACCCACCAGTTTGTCAAACAATCTCTGAAGTACCTTGTTCTGCTGATTAAAGGCAGAATTCAAAGTCTGGATCTGCTGAGTAATTAGATTTGTTGTCATTTGGAAGGAATTCAGAAGATCTGAAGTCAAACTTCTGCTCATTGGATCCTCTGGAGCCGCACCGCTACTCAAGGGTGAGTGACTGTAAAGAAGACCACTTTGGATACAAAAATAATCAAATATACCTCAATTCCGATCGCGTAACAACGACTGGTGATTCTCCACGAGCATCCACGTATTCATCGTCACTGACAACATTACTTCCCGGATTTGAGATTAAGGCCTCCGAGTAGGCACTCTCCGTCACAGACTCTTCCCCTACTGAAATTACTTCGTAATTAAAATATTTTGATACCATTGGAAGATGAGCATGGCTTGCTTGAACTATCGGCTCCGCCAGGCCCGTCAATCGTCCTGCCAAGGATCTTAAACTTGGGTTCAACAATTGGTCGAATATGAAGCCATCTTGGGTCAGATAACAATTCATGCACCGTTCTATTTTCCAACACTTTATCCATTACATTCTGGAGGTTATGTACATAAATTGACTTGGCTTTGCTGGGTTCCAGACTTCCCAATGCTGACCAGGCATCCCTAAAAGTTAGGGAATAACAAATAAGTTATAAATAACAATGAGTACAAAGAACATTGCAATTATTTCTTAAACAGGCATACCACTTGTAGCGTTCCACGACATGCCATATTCCGGGGCTAGATGATCTGCATTGTCCAAGAGTCGCTTGTTTGAAGAGTCCATAGAACGATAACTTTTCTTCGTTTGATAAGACAACATCGCCTAAAACAAATGCGTTCATTATCGATCATTTTAGAAATCCAATCAGATAATCTTTACCATCCTTGGGCATGTTTTGCACCAATTCAACGGCAGCGTTGAAGACCTCGTCGCTGACGGGAGTCAGATTCTTCTCAAAGTCTTGAATCGAGCTCATTCCAAATTAACTATTTTGGTGGAGAAAGGCAGTTTTACTCCTCGAATTCCCCGAGAAGACAGAAAAAGGAGAGTCGACGGTTTGCGGTTATCAAAAATGTGTTCGGAGACAGAAAAAGTTAAAAACATTGCGAATTGGCTGCTTTGAAGAAAACAAATTAGATTTAGTGACGGGATCAAGTGTTTTGTGTCGTCAAGACAGTAATTGTAAATAATCACACATTATTTGTAGCACGAGATTGTATGACAAAAATTAGGAAATTCGTGTGTAGTAGCAATCCGTCCATGTACTATTGACTTCCTTTGGCGCGGAATGTCCGTTTAAAAAATTAAAATTTTTCGCAAAATTTGCAAGTTTGCGCGTTTTGCAGAAAAAATGTACTGCATGCAGCTGCATGCAGAGAATTTTCAACGAATAAAAACATAGCGACTTGTCGTGCGTGGATGTTTTTTGTTAGCATCCAAGTATCTTGAGCTTGAGCCTTGAGTTCGAGTTCTTGCAATGGTTTTTGTTTTGGTTGATCTGCTCCAAAGTTCATCGAACAGTCAATGTTTCTTTTTTCCATCCATCTCTTCTTTAAAATGCGCTTTCATTGCATTTGTTAGCCCAGGGTTGCGAGAGCTACTTCGTTGCTCTTAGTATAAAAAAATTTGCAGGAATGACAATCGTCAGTCGACTTATTCGGCCCAATTTGACTGGGGTAAGTTCCTATTCTTGTTTCAGACAGGGTTTTAGATGGTTCGCCGTATTTCCAGTCAAACCGATGAGGTTCTTATCAATCATAATAAGAATAAGGTCGTGATTACATTGAATCGACCAAAAGCACTGAATGCTTTGAACATCCCAATGGTTCGAGAATTGTACAGGGTGCTAAGGGTACGGTGCACGCGGTGTGCATCATCTTTGATGATTTTTTAGGATGTTCACGAAAATAAATCAGCAGATCTTGTTTTGGTAAAGTCGAATAGCGACAAAGCCTTCTGTGCTGGTGGTGATGTTCTTGGTAAGTTGTTTTTATTATTTATTTATTGTTTTAGCTGTAAGCAAATCTGCAAAGGAAGGAGGAGAAGTTCACAAACAGTTCTTTTACGAAGAGTACATTGTAAATAACCTGATTGGCAATTGTCCGGTTCCTTATGTCGCTCTTATTCATGGGATTACAATGGGTGGTGTAAGTCCTTTTTCTTATAGATGTTATCTTCTAGGGTTGTGGGATCTCGATTCCAGGTAAATTCAGAGTCGCCACTGAGAAAACCCTGCTTGCCATGCCCGAGACAGCATTGGGGTTGTTCCCTGATGTTGGCGGATCTTATTTTTTGTCTCGGCTCAAGAATAATTATGGAATGTTCTTGGCTCTGACTGGACATCGATTGAAGGGGGCTGATGTTTTCCACACTGGACTCGCCACTCATTTTGTAAGTTTATCTTGAATAACAATGCTATTGGCAGGTGAACTCCACTGATCTGGCCAGTCTGCAGAATGAATTGTTGTCCTTGTCCGTTGTCAATGACAGCTCAGTTGACTCTGTTTTAAGGAAATATCAACCAAAAGAATTGCCCAAATTTAGCCTGGAATCGAATGTGAAGACGATTGACAGATGTTTTGATGGAGAGAGATACGAGGACATTGTGGAAAACTTAAACAAAGATGGTTCTGACTTTGCTTTAGCTCAAATCAAAGAGTTAAATAAAATGGTGAGTAAGAAGTTGATATGATTATGTTTTTAGAGTCCAACATCACTGAAGGTGACTTTTCGACAACTTAAAAAGGGAGCTAAAATGACGTTGTCAGAGGTGTTGCCAATGGAATACAGATTGAGTCAGAGGTTTTGTGAAGACCATGACTTTCATGAAGGATGTCGAGCCAGTATGTATTTGATTAATTTATCTAAATCTTTTAGTCCTGATCGACAAGGATCGTAATCCGAAATGGAAGCCGGCAACTGTAGCCGAAGTTACGGACGACATTGTAGATCGTTATTTTTCCAAATTGCCAAAGGAAAGAGAGCTAAATATTTATGCTAAGTTATAAATTTCTAGGTTTTCATCAATAAACACGGTTACTAGTTCATATTGGTAAATTTTGAGATCCGTCGTCACGGGGTCAGCTTATCTCAAGATCAATATTAACCTCATATAATTTATCATTAAAAATTTATTTTAACCTGAGCTTTGGAACAGGTCTCGGAGGTGTGTGCTCTGTCCTTCTCGTTTGATTTGTTTTATATGAAACCGCGCTAACCGGGGGTCGAAGACTTTTGGCTCGATATTTCTCGGGAATTTGTTGGGGATAATATTGATATGGATATCCATAGGGGATTGTCTTCTTCTTGTCTCTAAGCATCATTCCAATAGCCACACCGATTGAGATCAACTTAATACCGTATAATATTAGAATGGATGACTTACTTGTGCTAATATAACAATGAGAAAAATTACAATGGCCACCGAAAAGCCAATCCTGAGAGCCAGCCATATCCGGTAATGACAGCCATCACATCTTATATCACAGGTCCGTGGAGGATCTTGGCGAAATGCGCGGAAGTCTGAGCAACCGGCGTTACCTAAAGTTGTATAAAAGATGATGCGATAAGTAGATCTACTTACCACAGCATCGGAAGGCCTGTTGAAGTCGATCCAAACTTTCCTGGACAACTCCAGCACCTTGATAGTAATGCTGGACCATATAATTTAAGGCATCAGACAATTCCACATCTATTCCGTCCTTTTTGTAGAGAATATAGATAATACTGCTTACAGTGCACACTAATAGGACGAATAATAATATCACATAAAACAGTAAACTGAGGGTTCCACCCGCTCCAACTCCACAACATCCCATTATTCCAGCGATGATCATAAAGGATCCCATAATAATTAAAATATAACTGAAGGTGTACAAAGTTGGTGCTTCCCAGAAGGCCTCGTCGACTGCTTGGCGGTATCTCTCGCTCAAAAAATCTCGAAACCGGCTGTCCACTCGAAGCCAAACCCCGAGGGTAAGAGTGGCCATTCCCACCAAAATAAATAAAATATTCGCTCCATAAATGGCATATTTGGAGAAGTTGGTGCAATTGTCTGGTTCGTCATACTCATCGTATAACACTCGTCTAAACAGATAATTTCTAGATGAGTCATCCCATATATTTGTGCAATAATATGAAAATTAAATTGAAAATACCTGGATTTGTGATAGGGATGCTGATAATTCTTGTGGTACCCTCGATTGTAGTTGTCCACAAATGGAGGCGGCTCGCCCCGATTATACATTCGAGAAGAAGAAATCGATTGAAAGCCTCGAGGGGACAGTGCAAAAATAAAAGGGAGGGGGCTTGAGTCAGCACGAAAGCGCCTCACGTGGACAGGTAAGGGAGCGCGGGAAGGGGAGAATGGACATCGCCTCGAGCCACCCCGCCCCTCTCGGGTCACTCGGGGTTAGCAAGGGCTCATATTCGATATAACGAGAGAGGAATTACATTTATTTCTACCCGGTTTCTGAAAGTAAATTTATCTACAATGAGTGTTTGGTGTAAACGACTCGAGTGTGCTCGAGGTAACCCGTCTTTGGATGTGTGGCCGTTCTCATTTCGATGATCTGCTCCATATAAGTGTCATCGTGCATTATAAATGTTCGGCGTAACTGAAATTGAAAAAAAATGATGATTATGTGTTACACAATATCCAGAAAACTTTATTACAAAACCTTACATCCTCAACAGGAAGGTCTCTGGAGAAAGATATCCTCCCAATATCCTTGAGAACCAGTTGAACACTTTTGGTCTTAACCTGTCCAACCTCATAGGTTGTGAATCCGTTATTTCCTGCTGTCATCAAGGTCGCATTTCCATTTGGATCTACTGTTAAGAATCCCCATTCGTCGTGGAAATGATCTTTGGTGGAATGAGACCATGCTCGAGCTCTAAAATTACTAAATTATTCCGTAGATATATTCAGCTTATTCTCCATTAAAATAACTGACGTGAAGTTCATGAACTGAACGTTGGTGGATCTAGCCTGAGGGGCTTCCAGAATAATTAATTCTTCGCCGAAAGTCATGGTCGGAACTGTCGGCCAGACAACTTTCCCCGAGAATTCTGACCTCCATTTCCCCACCAACCATCCAAGTTTCGAATTGTGCTGATTTAAGGAGGCATTAACTGTTGTTAACGAGAGTAAAAATAACAGTAAATACATCTGAAACTAAACAAAATAAATATAAAAATTTATTCTATATAATAAGCCTATTGCGCAATTCTCGTATGTCGTCTCTTTTTCACTCACGAATTTGTACAATAATTATTAATTACGAGAAATCGGACACGGAAGAGAGGAATCAAGCTCCCCTCCCAAGAACGGTTCAACGCCGTGATTTACAACGTCTCTGTTTTCAGGAAACGTCTAAAAAAATTTTTTTGGTTCCACCCACGCTAAGGTAGCTCGCCTTGCGATCCCCTCAGGGAAAACACATTTTTGGGTATAAATTTCAGAGAAAGAAAACAAAAAGATCTCATTCTTCTGATCGGAACCCATTTTTCTTTCCTGCTCACATTACTGGTTTCGATTCGAGGATACGACAACGTTATGAAAAAGAGTCGTTTATTCGAAGAGATCATGGAGAGAGACTGTAAGCAATCGATGGCAGACGGTAGTCTGATGCTCTTACATAGCCAATGTTATTATTGTTTTCCATATTATGGCTGGAGATCCCGGCAATTACGAAGGTTGGCGGTTAACAATTTCCGTCAAGTTTTCCGTTTCTTCGTTTTGAGATTTATTCGTCTGATGGAAAGCGAAACTCAGATCTAAGGATCGGATGTTTCTGATTTCAGGAGCTGAGGTTGGATTCACATCTAAAAATTTCGTCATCATTGAGTTTCTTTGACGTAAATTACTGATGAAAACAAAATATTTACCTTCGTTCACTTGCCCGAGATTCGCCAGCAAGTCGTCTACACTCTCGCAGTTCCCATTTCCGTATAATTCATGATACCTTTCATTAGTTCTGGCCACCAATTTCATGGCCCAAGTGGTCTTCAGATTTATGGGACCTCCATTCTCTTCCAATAAACTTGGTTGTTTGCTGGCAATATAGCCTCGGGCAACTTCCAATGCATAAGAAGCAGTCAGATGTCCTCGAGGGACCCTTTTCTTGACCCCAACCATGTGTTCGACAAGTTCAGCATCTAGATCATCACCAATTAATTTCGGCCTTCCCCTTCCTCGACCTCTTAACTGAGGATTTGAAAGGAATCCAGTAGTTGAAACAGATGGGGAGGCGGGATTAAACGAACCAGAAATCCTTTCTTTTTGGTCTTCGTATGATCCGTTCTGTGGGGGGTTCATTGATTTGAGACTGTTGAAGACCTCGTCATCCCCGATTACAATTTTCCTCAGTTTTCGATGATAATAAGCGGAGACAGCAGCGGGAATTCCGAAGGCTTTCGAGGCAGCAGTAGCGCCGTACAGCTCAGCATAAGCAGCCACTTGTTTCTTCCTTTCTGGAGTACAATACTTTGATTTTCGTCCTCTTTTCACCGTTCCATCTTCCAGATATTCCACTTCATCAGTATCTTTCTTTTGATATGTCTTAACCATATTATTCATCAAGTCGAAGGCAAGTGGATTAGGCGTGCATGGAACGGAGTTTCCTCTCGATGAAGACTGCTCTGAATCTGGGAGGTATTTGTGGATACATTTGAGACAGTCGTGGCAAGCGCATGGCTTCTGTCCAATCCCATTAAGAAGTTTGATCAAATTGTGGCTTACAAAAGAGAGTTGCTTGGTCAATTCGAAGGCTACATCCCCGCTAATATTGACTGGAGATTGTGTGGTTCGACCATTCTCAGAGGTCCCGTTGTATTTACTGGAAGTTGAGGCACTTTCTGCTTGTTCATCATGATGGTCATTTTCTGAAACAGAAATGACTGTCATTTATGACCAGTGATACTGTCGTAGACCTAAAAATTGCCTTACCTTCTTCAGCATCATTGGGATATCGATCAAGAAGAGTTTGGAGCAAAATATTTTCTTTGGCTTGGGGATTTTGAGGATCCAACATAATCTTAACACTCAACGGACCATCCGTGCCATTTCGCAAATTTCGATTGAACTCTACTCACTGTTAGAGGATTTTGTAATTACACTGCTCAAAAGTTTACGGTAACTGAGATATACTGTAACTTTCTCCGTAAAACTGGTGTAAAGAGTATTCCTAGTTGTACAAGTACAATTTTTTGTGTGCCCCTTAAGGCATCACTTCCTCCTTTTAAAAAATTCGCAACGAAAAAAGCCAAAAAATCAAGTTTTTTGCAAAAAAAAGGGTAGAAGTTGGTAAGGTCTTATAAAATGGCACGGACGGTCCTGTTAAAGTGCCAAAAAGCGATTATTCGAATACTGTTATAAGCAATGAGATAACGCAACAAAGAAATTGATTAAGATTCCTCAACTCAGTAAATCGCTGAGCTTTATAATTTTCAACCCAAACGGCATCAATTTACACATCCCTTTCGGTCGTGTGGCGACGATAAAACCGCCAAAAAGACGTCAAAAGGCAATAAACCTTCTGTTTTCTGGGGATCCCCATCGTCCGGGTGGTCCCTGAGGACTAAAAAAAACGGTAAGAGATCAGGAAGGAACGGAACGAACGCTTGGCCAGTAAATAAATCTAAAAAATGTAAGCCTATAACGCCGTTGCTTGACCGCCCTTTAAATTTCGTTTACAAAACGAATAATCGAAAGTGAAGGTGTTGTTATAAAGACGAAGAAGCTGGATGAAAAAGCGTAAAAAGAGAAAGGAGCGTTCAGAGGAAACGAGTGTGGTTAAGTCTGCCGGAAATGAGTAAAAAACAAAAACGAGAGACAGGGAAAGTAAGACCAGACAGAGTTCAAAGATTTATGCGGCCATAAAATGGTTAATGGACATAGAAAATGGAGATTCAGCGTAACGTTGGGGCTGCAAGATTGTTGAGCACTGTTTTTGTCAAGAGAAAGGTTACAATTTTTGAGGTTATACTATGTATTACTTTCTGTAAAGATTAGCCTTCTATAAAAAAGCCCGTTCAAAACTGACCACTTGGCCTCTTTTGGCTCCGTATATGCCCCTTCTACTCAATGACCGAAAAACAAGCCAGTCCCTTCGCTCTTGAGTGACCACAACCTTTCTCGGAGCAGAGCCGAGATTTGCTCTACCTCTCTCTTTTCTCTGTCCGCTCCAATCCTACAATTAGTCATCTTTGAGTGAAATCTAAGGCTGACGGAAGAAATAGGATATAAAAAATAATTTCGCAACTAATGCTTAGTGAAAGAAGACTACAAAAGCCTATAGTTTCTCGAGGCTAACCTAAAATTCGAACCGTGTGATACTTTTGTAAACATTCTTGACTTCGATTATGTAATCATTCGCATAACATTGAAAAACACACGTAACCGATCCTTATCTGATAACAAATGTTTATTCCTTTCCAGATTCGTATCCTAAAGTCATCAATAAGATGGGATAGATATAATTTGGAGCTTAGGATTTCACATCTTCCGAATCTGAAGAATGGGAAGAAGTGCTCTGACAAGATGAAGATGATGTCACTGTACTGGCCGAACTGCGACGACGACGGCATTTTACAGGCAGAGAGTCAAGGAAACGAAGATTCGGAAGGAAATTACTTACAGAACGCCTGAAAAGATAAAATATACACCTGGGGCAAAACTTACTGATATTTGTAATATTTTCGATCTGTAGAATGAAGGACTGGATGTGGCCAGCCGGGATTACCAATCAGACTGAGGAATCGAAGCTTAGGGCATTGATGAGCCAGTGATTGAATGAAGACTCCAATGTTCGCAATCTGATTCCCGTTGATACTTAAAGTTTCAAGTTCGGAGAAACGAACGGGAAGACTTTGGAAAACGAGCTCGTTGAAGAGATTGCCATCCAAGATTAGGTGCTTCAAATAGTTCGAGTTCTGGACCACTGCTTCGGGTAACTGGCTTAAATCCGAGCAAACAAATTAGACATTGAAACGAACGAAAGACCTAACAAAAGACCGGTCCTCGGCTTTATCATGGGCTATTTAGGCTGCATATTTTAAATAGCCGGTCCATAGTCTAGGTCGAGGGCCTGGTCATTCCTTAGCAGGGCCATCTTCAGGTTCATGGTGGGTGCCTGACAAAAGGTCCATCGGGGACTGCCGAACTCACCTCAAATCACGGTCGGACAAGTCCAACAAACTCAGCTCGGGGTCAACTACTGCTGCCACAAACGGTTTCTGTGCTCGGCTGGCAGCGCAATAAGTGCTGATCATCGATTGTAAGGAAGGCCTGGGGTTACAACTTCTCTCTCTCAACAGACGAGAAGAATGAGGCTCTCGGTGGTGACTCGCGCTTTATAAGTATTCCCGCTGAGGCAATTATTGATAAGAGATAGTGTTTGGAAAGAGTCGCGTCATCAGTTAAGGCACAGGGAAGGGATTGCCCGAGCCATGAGATACGAGGGAAGAGGGCAGAACGTCAGACGAAGAATTCCCTCCTGATAAGAACATTCTCCTCTCGAGAACGAGGTTGTTATTCCCGCGTTTCTAAGAACCTTCTCGGCTTCTTGATTCCGTTCTTGACTTGAGCCAGTATTTGTCCAAAATCAGCTATTGACCGTTTTTTCTCCGACCAGAATCGTTCAAATTCGATAAAACTGGCTCGATAAAGTCGGTTAAGGTAAGGAAGGGGGTCAGAATTGAGTCTGAAAACAGAAGGTCAAGTGCACAAAGTCCGAATAAGTAATATAACATCAACATCGGTTATCTTACCCATCAAAACCGCCTTTCCGCAGACGATTCAGCAGAAGGAATGTAAAATTAATACCGACAACAGCCAGCGGAAAACCCTGGAAATGATGATTAGTATTATCAGAAAGAACAAAGAATTTTGTACTAAACGATAAAACAGGTAATTATAGAATCTTTACATTGTTTTCTTCATTTGCGAAGTCTTTGAGTCGTTGCAATCTCTCCTTATCAATGCCTTCGGTAACCAAATAGAATAATTGACAGAGGCCGAACAAACCCGCTCCCCGCAAGTCGGTTGCAGGATCCTCACCTAAAAATAATGTAGAGCATGTGAGCAAAACATAAGTGCGACAACAAGTAAAAAAACCAAATAAATAGCAGGACCAGCTAAAAATAGAAAACCTAATCAAGACAATCAGTACCTTGAAAGCCGACTTTTTCCCAGTGTTTACCATATCTCGCTGGCTCATCGTCTGTGACCATAACTTCCTGATAAATACGTTTCAACAACAGCCAATGTATTTCGTTTCCTTCTGAATACTTAACTAAACTAATAAAATTTAAAAAATATAAGTTTTAGGTACCTACTTTTACTAACGGCCACGATAAAATGCTTCTGGGCAGAAAACTCCCGTCCTCTAAACCGTTTCTGAATCCTCTGTGGTGTACACAATAAACGTTGAAGCTTCCGGCCTGTCTTTGCTAACTTTAAGGATTCGCTTGCTTCTTCCTAAACGGCATCTTTATGAAAATAAATTTTGTTACCTTTTCCGCACTTAGATCATGTTCCTTCAATGCATTCCATATATTAGTAAACTCGTTGTTTTGAAGCCCCAACTCCATGTTAGCCATTACACGAGCTTGTAAAAAGCCTCTAAATTTATAAAAATGTCAGCAATGGTCAGATTTTAACACAAAGAACTCAAATTTACTTATACTTACGAATAAGTAATTTCAGAATTTATCAAAAATTTATATCAACATCAAGTAGATATAAGTAAATCCGTGTTCCGTGTGATACGAAGGCTGTGATAAACGGAGTTTTCGAAGGCTGTGATAAACGGAGTTTTTATTTATCTTCCTGTTGCAACGATTCGTACCATTGATTTTGACACTTCGTCTCTTCTAAAATAAAATAAACCAACAAAAATTGACACGTTTGCATAGAATTTCGAGATCGGAGTTGCATATATTGCGCATCGTTGGTCTCAAGACCATCGGATACGATGTCCAATGGCTACTTTGTTGTATATGGAGAAGCTGGGGCTGTTACGACCTTATTAAAATTGAGTCAAAGAGATGCCTCGTCTGCCGTTTCGGAGGACATTCTTCGATTGCTTCAGTCTTTTGCAGATCTCAGAGATGTTTTAACTACGGTGAATTTTTACAATTTATGTTTATAATGTTACTGATGGCTAAGCTTATTACTTTATTCTTTTTTAGTTGTATGATCTGGCCGCTATGAAGCCAAATGCCTTTTTACAACCATTCTTAGATGTGATAAAATCTCAGAACACAAATGATGTGGTAACTTCGCGTGCCTTGTTGTCCATTAACAAGTTTATCAAGTGGAATTTGATTCCTTCGGATGAGTAAGCTTTTTCTGAAGTAGGTAATATACGTGGTTAAGATTGTGGGCTCCCAATGCAGCAGAATCCATTGCATTGGCCGTCACTGAGACCAAATTTGCCGATAGTGAGTACAACAAAGGAGATGGGGTTGTCTTTAGAATGATTGATGTAAGTTTTATTGTTTTTCTGGATTTGCATTTTAGGTATTGCATTCTCTCCTTACTGCACCATGCGGCCGTTTCTTGACGAATGAGAGAGTTTGTAACATGCTGCACTGTCTCTTTCGAGTATCATTTGATGTGAATCTCAGTCAGTTATTGCGCATGGCTGCTGAAACAGCTTTGGTTGATATGACAAAGACTATCTTTCAACGGATTCCTACTTTTACTTACGATTCAAATCATCCTTATATGAAGAGACTGGTTGTTGATAAGAAGAAAGAAGGAAGTCCAGCTTTAATTGAAGCAAATGTTAAACCAGTTACCGAAGAAGAGGCGATTTCTGAAGCCACACAACCAGAGAAAAGTGCTGCGGAAATTACGAAAACGGATTTACAGGAACGGTCTTATGAGGGGGATCAAGTTAACATCAATGATGTGCCGAAAGCCGAGGTTGTTCGACCAACTCCTGCTTCTTCACCAAGTAAGTTATTTTAAGATTATGACATTTATCTTTAGGTAATCATGTTGTAATTGATCTTGGATTTGTCGATTGTTCAGCAGAAATTGAAAGGGAAAAAAGAGATGCCATGGGAGAAGGCAAACCTCTGTTAGAACAGCCTTTGGAACAAAAAGAGGAGTCAACAAAAGCTGGTGGTGAGCCAACTGAGTTGGCCAGAGATGAGAACGAAGAGTTGCTCTCTGCCAGTTCCTCGGAAAATGATTTATCATCTCAGTCCTTTATACCATACGGTCTTCCCTGCGCTAGGGAATTATTACGGTATTTTTTATTTTTTAGATTCAAATATCTGCGATTTTAGTTTCTCTGTTTCGTTAACAAACCCCTTGGACGATACGAATCAAGAACACATGATTATCGTTGGTCTGAATTTGGTTACTGTAGCTCTTGAAACATCGGTCGACTTTATCGGCAACTTTAGTCTTCTGATGCCATTGCTAAAAGATGATTTGTGTAAAGCTTTGGTTCAGGTAAGATAAACAAATGATGATTACATGTTTTCAGCTTTTGAACTCGTCGAAGATCTACGTTTTTACAATGGCGAATCGAATTTGTTTCCTGTTATTTGAAAGTCTACGACAACATCTTAAATTCCAAATGGAGTCCTACTTCCGGGTATTGATGCAAATTGTTGGAAGCGAAAATGTATGTTACTATCACGATTATTTTTTATTGATCTAGGCAAAGTACGACCGAAAAGAAATGGCATTGGAGAGCATCGTTCATCTGTTCAGAGTTCCTAATTTGGCCGGAGAACTGTATTTAAATTATGATTGTGGTCTATACTGCAGGTATGCCCGGATACCTTGAGACATACGTATTTTTAGTAATTTGTTCGAGGATTTGACCAAATTGTTGTCCGAGAATTCATTCCCGACCAACGGTATTATCCAATCCACTCACATGTTGAGCCTTGAGGCCCTGTTGACTGTTATAAACAAGATCTGTGCTAATTCCTTTCCGAGTTTGGACTCAGATTACTTGAAACAGGGAATTCATGGTTGGTTTTGCAGAGTCCTGTATAATCGTTTCCAGGACGTCATTCCAGTCGCTGTCCAGCCGATGCTATAAGAGTTCCGTCGATGTCTGAGTTGATTGATCAGAAAAAACAAAAAAGGTTAATAAACGAAGGAACCGAACTGTTCAACAAGAATCCCAAAAAAGGGATCGAATTTCTTTGTGAACACGGTATTCTGAAGAGTCCGCCTGATCCCAAAGAAATCGCCCGTTTCCTGCGAGAAAATCCGCATCTGGATAAAATGAAAATAGCGGATTGTATCTGCAAGTAAGTTTTTTTTGTATTGTTGAATGTTGCCTACACTGATTAATATCAGCGTTTAGTCGCCAGAATTCTGAAGTTTTGGCTGCTTTTGTTCAGTCGTTTCCCTTCGAAAATACCCGCCTTGATGTCGCCCTGAGGATGTTATTGGAGGCATTCCGATTGCCTGGAGAGTCGGCCGAAATCGCGAAGATTATGCAACATTTTGCAGGTATTTTAATTTTACCCTCAGATTATTTATATTTATGTTTATACAATGTTACAATCTATGGGTTTCAGACTACTGGTTTAAGGTCAACAACGAGCCATTCGGAGATTCGGATGCTGCATTTACCCTTGCATATGCCGTCATCATGCTGAACACAGATCAGCATAACCCTCAAGCGCAGAGAAATCAGAAGCCAATGACAATTGAATCCTTCAGAAGAAATGTGTCTGGAACAAATGCCGGAGGGGACTTTGATCCCGACATGTTGCAAGAGATCTACAATGAGATCAAACATAATGAAATTGTGATGCCTGCTGAACAGACTGGAGCCGTCAGGGAAAACTACATGTGGAAGGTGTTAATGAAGAGGTCAGAGTCATCAGAGGGCACTTATATCGTGGCTAGACTGGGATGCAATGACAGGGATCTCTTCAACACTGTTTGGGGACCTGCGACTGCCGCTTTGAGTTACATATTTGAAAGGTCGGAAGAGAAGTCTACACTTTCTGTAAGTCGTACTCTAGTGTAATACCTGTTTGTTCAAATTTTAGAGAACTTTGAATGGATACAGTAACTGCGCCACTGTGGCTGCATATTATGGGATGACCGATGTCTTTGACAACCTTATTATCCATCTGTGCAAGTTCAGCACATTGATGTCGTCGATTGAAACTCGCGCGTTGAATGGAGACGCTGAGTCAGATTACAGAAAATCCTTATCCGATTCTCCAGATCAAGCAGTTTACGCCTTTGGAGAAAACTTCAAGGCGCAGTTGTCTACTAAATTGATGTTTGATCTTATTCATAAACATGGAGACCATCTGAGGGCCGGCTGGAAGAATGTAATCGACTGTCTGCTTAAACTCTTCCGGATGCAAATCCTCCCTCAAAGCTTGACAATGGTAGAAGATTTCGTGGACCCACGAGGCGTAATCTCTGTCCAGAGACCCAAAATAAAGTAAGAAAGCAACAGAATATTGATATCGGCTTTAGGAAAAGTGCCAGTAAACAAGAGACGTCTCTCATGAGATGGCTGGGAGGATTCTACGCTTCGGATAGCGGAAATTCAAAGAATCCGACACCAGAACAGGAACAGTTAAAGAAAGCGGTCATCAATCTAATTCAAGAATGCCATCCAGAACAACTTATTGCTGGCGGACGGACTCTTACATCCTCCGCTTTGGATGAATTGGTGGCCAGTTTAGTCCATTGGTCCTTCAATATTTGTGGCGGAGCTTCAAGAGAAGACCAGTCCGCACAACCGGCCTCAACTGAATCCTTCACCGAATTAGATGCAAAATCCATTGTTTTGAGTCAACAAGATGAAGATGCTGTAGTCTTTTTGTTGGAGTTCATGATAAGCATTGTGCTGGAGAACAAGTACAGATTGAATCAAGTCTGGCCCATAGCTGAACGACACTTTCGTTGGATTCTTTCTGGATTCGGGCGGAATCTTCTGATCTTGGAGAGAACTGCTGTCGGATTAATTAGAATCGCAAACAAGAACCTATTCCGATTAAAGGATGATGAACCCATCGCTCAAGAAGTTCTCTGCGCCTTGTCTATGTTGGTCGATCTTCCCCCACCAGCCTTGTTCTTCTTTTCAAGACAAATTGCATTTGGATTACATCAATTACTGCACACTAATGCCGCCAATCTTCATGAATGCGTCCATTGGAAGTTATTATTTACATTGGAGCAAGCCGCCGGAGCTGCGTGTTACGTCGATGTCGAAAAGGTTGGTCGAATGATCGCCGCGAATTTTAATTTTGAATATTTAGAAGGGAGAAGATGGATCTCACGATCTTCCCTTAAGCCAATTGCTGCTTCAGAAGGACAACCCTGTCCTTATGTGGAGAGCGAAGAACCTTGGCCTCAATTTAAGTCATAATCCTGCCGAATTTTTTGAGTCGACAACCTTAAATCTGGTCCCAAATATCTCTCGACATGACACTGATGCCTTCTTGAAAGTTGTGGAGACATTGTCTTTTCTGATCCAAGACGCTGTTCACATTACTCCATTCAATTTCGATTCATGCACTGAATGCCTTAGGGCAATGGTAGAAGCTTCTATTGATGGCGCCCAAGCAGCTTCTGTTCCCTTATCATCTGTCCTCTCGGTCGGGGGATCTGGAGCTGCCAGTTCGCATACAAGTCGACCATCAAGTCCATCCAGCTTTGTGCACACTTCTGTTTCCGAGATAGAAAACATTACAGTAGAACAACAACAACTGTTATTGGAACAACAGGAAAGGGAGACCAAGTACGAGCTTGCGTCCAGACAGTTGGCCGCTCTTTGTGCAACAATGATATCCAAGGGAAATAAGATTCAGGAACAATCAGCGGACGGATCAGAGAACTCTTATGCAATGTGTGTTTTGCCCATTTATTCGGAGGCATTCCGCATGAGGATTATTCCCTTACTACAAGCCCTGGCCAGGTTAACTTGCGATCAGCGGAAGAAGGTTAGGGACACGGCATTTGCCGAACTCCAAGCCGTCTGTCGTTGGTTCTTCTATAGCGAAATGAGGTTGATTGATGTCGAACATTTCTTTGCATACGTCGTATTTCCTCTTCTCAGAGGACTACAGACGGTCAATGGACCTTTAACTGAAGCCCTGGCCTTGGAGGAACTTAAGGTCCGAGCAATGCAATGGGCCATCAGAATGGTTTTGAATCAACTAGAGTAAGTTGGTTGATAGTCCTAACTTTATCTTTTTAGCATGCTCTCGTCCCTTCCATCATTCCCCATATTGATCATGAGGCTGATCATGCATATGGAGAACTATCTGAAGACGGCGCAGTCAGAGCTTCCGGCGGAAGCCATACCTCAGTCCTTGAAGAATATGATCCAGGTTCTTGATAACTCCAAATTGTTTGAAGTGCAACCAATCTTAAAAGAAGAGATCAAGAAAAGGATGACGTTATTTGCACCCGATCTTGCTCAGGAAGTCTTCGTTCCCATTAAAGTGCCAATTAATACATCTCCGGCTCCATTAGCTGAAGCTCCTCACCCTCAGACACCGCCTCCAATGCCGGTTACAACAACACCGGTCGGATTCCGGGCAAACCCGCCAGTTCCACCGCACCGGCACCCATCGGACGGAACCGAACCAATTATTCCAGGCATTCCAGTCGCGTCGCATCTTCCTGGATCACCCCTTCCTCAATCTACATCGTCACCAAGTCAAATCCCTGCTAATTTGGTACCAATGCAACTTCCTCCAGCTAATCCATCTTCTGATCCGAATAGATCGACTAGTCTCTAACTACACTACAATTCCCTGTTTATAATTATTTTCGGTTATATTAATTTATTGAACTGTGATAGAAAGAAATTTGCCTGATATAATTAGGTGATGTGGAAATAAAACCTAAAACAAATGGCTACCCTTCGTTTGGTGCAGATCGTGTATCGGACCAATATTTACAGCAGATAGTTCATGACCAATCTTGCGACCGAGGTCGAAATATTCTCAAATATAAAAAAGTAATCTTTTGAATTTTTCTGAAAGTTCTTGATGAGGGGTTGTCGATGGTGATAATTTTGAAAATCGTGTAGTTATTTTCTAAACTTAGAAGTACTGTTACATTGGCAAGTTTATTGTTTTGGTCAAAATGACGTTCATTTGACGCAATTTGACGTCAGATTGAAAAAGAATTGTCAAATTAACAGCTATCAAATTTAGACTGATTCCTCAAAATTACACTTATCAGAAAAAAAAATTTTTTCAAAATCAGCGCCATCGGAAACCCCTCGAGTATTTGTGAAAAACGTTTGAAAAGTTACTGTAATAATTTACGGTATTGCTTAAGAAGAAAAGTAACGCGTAGATAAAATGCACATTTTTTACAAAGGTACGGAAGTGTTAAGGATATTTGCAAGGATTTCAGAAATCTGCCTATAAAGACATAATGGCCTTCGCCCTCGTATTTTATGGCGATTTTTTCAATCTTGGGTGTGAAAACCCTGGATTGGCGTCGTTTTATTTATCCGTTGTCTTAATTTACATTTGTTATTAATTGCCACATATATTATAGTGTTTGAAAAGATTTTAGCACGTTTTGCACGTCTTTGGGCATTCCTGTTTCATGAAAGCACGGTAAACCTGTAAAATACACGGCTTGAGTGAGCTTCTACCCGCGACACTTCGGGTTAACGACACCTCGGGTCAACGACATTCCGGTCAACGATACCGTTTATTATTTTCGCTTCGGGTCTGGGAAAAAAGAATTATTTGGTGAATTTGAAAAAATTTTTGAAATGTTTTCGCCTCGGGACTTGGAAAAAAGCATTTTTTCGAGAATTGAAATTTATTTTATAATTTTTTTAAGAAGTGTTTGTAAGCGACAAGCAAATAAGAAAATCGTATCCATTGTTTATGTTTTTAGCTGGAAGCACGGGATTCTTAAAAATCAAATTCTCCAAAAAATCCTTTATCCCAAGTCCCGAAGCGAAAAAATTTCCAAATTTTGTTCAAATTCTCCAAAAAATTCCTTCTCTTAAGTCTCGAAGCGAAAACATTTCAAAAATTTGTTCAAATTCTTGAAAAAATCCTTTTTCCCAGTCCCGAAGCGAAAATATTAAACGGTATCGTTGACCCGAAATGTCGTTGACCCGAAGTGTCGCGACCCGAGTTGTCCCTGACCCGAAATGTCGTAGCGCGCAATAGCGCCGCTTCTACCTACTGAATTGTCGCAGAGATATTTCAGTTTCGGGCAGTCGTTGCCATTATCAGTGCATTCTTTATCTTCTCCTTCTGCTTCTCTATTCGTGTCTTCACAAATTCCACAAGCAACTGGACATTGGTCAGCCATGATGTCTTTGTAATTATTGTTATCACAGAGATATTTGAGTCGATTACAGTCAGGTCCTTTGTCATAACAATCGGGACTACTGGTGGTTCTGGTTCCCTTTGACTCTTTTTCTGTGTCCGTCTCGTTCTTCTCGCTCTTTTCAACCTTAGATGTTATGACTGCTGGCTTTTTACTGGGATCAACGGCACCTGGAATAGTTTTTTCGCTATCGGAAAAGAAACTTACAGCAAAAATGGACTCCATTTATCTGTTCGCATCCCAGAGAGCTGTCTCCTGTGCACTTGTACTGCCCGCTCTTCTTGACGCATTCTGCAAGTACAAGAAGTCTTATTGTTTAACACTTACCAAATGCTGCCGGAATTCCATCAGGGCATATCTGAGCAAGAGTTGTCGACAAAAGACACAAAAGAGAAAAGTAGATGAGCATTTTTTCTGATCAACGTTGTGTTATACAGGGTTTTTAAACCAGCCGTGCTTAATGTTTGTCCGAAACATAAGGGGATGAATAGCCTTTGTTAACAGTTAGCCTGGGATGTCAATACAGAAAGGGGTAGTATCAATAGAGGTGGCGAAGAACATGAATAATACTACCATTTTAAAAAGATTAAACGGAAAAGACATTAAAATAACTAAACATTCGTGAGCAAACAAGTACATCAGTTGCATTGTTTATTGAGATCATTTTTTAAGCATCATAAATTTGGTTTTCGATTTATCACTAAATTTCATGGTTAATGAGTTTTTTTAATTCACATGTCTTTGGCTATATCGATGATTTCATCGATAAGGAAATCGAGATCTTCTTCTGTGATGGCCTGACTGGAGATGACCATTCTGAAGAAATTGGGGCGTTGTTTATCCGGCTGATATCCAACCATAGTGGTTCCTCTCTCCATCATCTTCGCCTTGATTTTGGGAGCAATCTTTTCCAATCTCAGCATTTTTTCTTTCTGCTCATAACCTCGAAGGGATGGTGGAACATACCAGAAGCAAATATTCAGAAACTCTGGCTGCAAGTATGTAGATTTATTATATGAACAGTTAACCTACTTTTTCAACCACCATCTCAAAACCGGGTGTACTTTTGATTCTTTGTGTGAAATACGCAGTCAGTTCCATAAGTCGGTTCACTTGTCTTCTGTAGCCTTCCATTCCCTTGGATCTCCACATCAGCCACAATTTAAAGATGTCATTGTGACGTCCACATTGGATGGCCTTGTCACCGGTGTCGTAACTGACATCGTACGGTTTGTCCTGTTGGAAAAGATAATCAGCAGACATTTGATTACACTGGAACAACAGTCCCTAAATATATATTTTGTTTATCGTTTGTTTTTTTTACTTGCCTCATGACGAACAAAACAAGCGCTGCATTGGAGCAGACATCCCATCAACTTATGTGGATTCCAAGTGACTGAATTGGCTCGATCAATTCCACTTAATTTGTATCTGAATTCGGGACTCAACAGAAGCCCGCCTCCCCAAGCAGCCTTTAAAGAAATATAATGAAGAGTGCTCACACTTACATCAACATGGAACCAGATCTTATGTCTCTCGCAGATATCGGCAATCTGATGCAATGGATCAAAGGCCCCATAGACGGTGGTTCCGCCAGTAGCGCACACAAAGAAGGGATGAAGACCCTCCTTTTTGGCCTCGAGGATCTTCTTTTCCAGGGCTTCCGGAATCATTCTGCCAACACTGTCGGACTCAATGCAGTAACAGTTATCCACTCCAATACCAAGAAGTGCTGCTGCCCCTTTTATAGAATAATGGCTCTGCCAATTTTAATAACATTCGCGCCTTATCTTACATTTTCCGAGGTAAAACAACACAATGTTGGGATTGAATTCATGCCAAGGGGTTTCGCCCTGGGCCAAATGTGATGTCTGGCAGCATTCATGGCATACATATTAGCAATTGCACCGCCTGGACTTTATATACAGTGGCGGTCAAAAAAAACGGCCACCCCAAGATGATGCGCTCTAACGCAGAAGAGAGTGGTCGTAGGAAGATAAATATGGTATCATTGCAAAGCTTATGGAATACTAAGACGTGTGACTATACGCTTGTGGTACTGTAGTGCTGGCCTAGCACGTACTGGGGCAATATGTTCTTTTGGCCTGGTCAAAAAAATGGCCACCCATAATTATTTTGCTTTAAACGCGGTGTATGTTAGAAATTGCCACCATATGGGACTGGAATAGGATAGCTATATCAATACACACCAATTCCAGTATTTTTTACTTTGTACCTATGCCCTCAGGCATCAGTCAAGGTTGATGACCTTGTTCATGGTTAAGGCCCGGCCAAATTTTTTTCGGGTTTGTGACGTTGTTTTGATAATCCGAGGCAATACTGCAGACGGTATTGATCGTATTCGTGTGTAAGACTGCCCACTTTTGTTAAAATTGTGCCCCTTCTGATAAGAAAACTCAAAAAATGGAATTTTTTGACCTAATTTTCTCCAAAAATCCGTTTTGGAGGCCGCTAAACAATGAATGTAGAATATTAAACAGGTTTTATTTGTACAACAACATCATGGACATTTGTTTTAGCACGGCACCGGTTAAAGGAAACGACCGTCCGAAACGACAGATACCGTTTTGTTACAGTTTTCGACTTCAGGAAATAGTCATAATCTTTGTCAAGGTCTGCAACCCGAATTTCCACTTTAGGGGCTCATATTTATTTTTAAATGATTAAGTGGTATCTCAACTATGCCACAAATGCGATACTATATTCTAATTTCTATTCAACGAGGTTTCGGAACCGGACAAAATTCATGATTACTTCATGAAGTCGAAAACTGTAACAAAACGGTATCTGTCGTTTCGGACGGTCGTTTCCTTTAACCGGTGCCGTGCTAAAACAAATGTCCATGATGTTGTTGTACAAATAAAACCTGTTTAATATTCTACATTCATTGTTTAGCGGCCTCCAAAACGGATTTTTGGAGAAAATTAGGTCAAAAAATTCCATTTTTTGAGTTTTCTTATCAGAAGGGGCACAATTTTAACAAAAGTGGGCAGTCTTACACACGAATACGATCAATACCGTCTGCAGTATTGCCTCGGATTATCAAAACAACGTCACAAACCCGAAAAAAAATTTGGCCGGGCCTTAACCATGAACAAGGTCATCAACCTTGACTGATGCCTGAGGGCATAGGTACAAAGTAAAAAATACTGGAATTGGTGTGTATTGATATAGCTATCCTATTCCAGTCCCATATGGTGGCAATTTCTAACATACACCGCGTTTAAAGCAAAATAATTATGGGTGGCCATTTTTTTTGACCAGGCCAAAAGAACATATTGCCCCAGTACGTGCTAGGCCAGCACTACAGTACCACAAGCGTATAGTCACACGTCTTAGTATTCCATAAGCTTTACAATGATACCATATTTATCTTCCTACGACCACTCTCTTCTGCGTTAGAGCGCATCATCTTGGGGTGGCCGTTTTTTTTGACCGCCACTGTAGTATTACAGTCATTCATACCTGGAGTAAAAATGCCATCACCCACATCAGAAGGCCATCCGATAAGGTCTATCATCTTCTTCATGACCTCCTTCTCCATTAAAATGAAGACTGGTGCGATCTCATAAGTGAACCTTTAAAGAAGTAAATTGTAGATGTTAGTCTTACATATTCGTATTGGCCGTAGCCGTAAGCCATTCCCCGGCCATGGAAACCAGATCCAATCCACAAGAGATTTGATTGAAAAAGCGGGGATGACCGGTCTTTACCCCGAGTTTGAGGACTTTCTTACAAGACTGAATGCGACACTTATCAATGTCCTTGGGTACTTACTTCAACCAAATCCGCTAAAGGAACTGGATTTTCAGGAATGGACAAGTCGATCAGTTTCTTCATCTCTTCCGGGTGATGGAAGTCCAGGATTTTAGAATCCCGATCATTTAATTCTCTAATATAGTCCAAAAGAACATCCACAACTTGAAGAAGGAATGTTCTTGTCTCATTCCACCGTTCCGTGTTTTGAGGGAGTATATCTGTAAAAGTTTATATGACACGTAATCTCCTCACCGGTAGCCTTCAGCTTCTCCAATTCCTTAACCAATTGGTTGACATCATTATTATTACTAGTATTAGTAGGCATACTTCTTCAAAGCGTCTGGCGCTTCTGAAGCGGGGAACTTCACAAATAAATTCTTTGTACGCTGTTCTGAAGATGGCGTAAGCCCCGCGTTTTTTGATTTGTGTGCAGGGATTACGGTGGAGAGACAAATAGTCGTGGAAATATTTGAAGGCATAAGACGCCAATAACGACTATACAAATAAGATGGCCTCAGGGCTTGAGCGTGAAGAATTAAGGCGCTTCGCTCGCGTGTCCCAACAAAAGATGGCACTTCACATATGACATCAGCAAAAGTTTCCAACGTTTATTTTTAAACTGATTAGATAAATAATGGAAAGTCCCTGAGGGCCAAACAATATAAATTAATGGTCGATTATTCCGCTTTCACTCCCCGTTTGCGATCGAAGAGCCGTTTGTGGAAGGACTGAGCAAGTGAATTGACTATGGAGATAAGGAAGGTTAAGATCATCAAGGAAACCAAAGCTGTGATCGCTGATTGAATCATGGAATGACTCTGAAAAACGATGACATATAAGGTAAACGTGTGAATTAACGTCCACAGATAAAGAAAAAGCCAAACTTACTTGTTCTTCAACGGGATCACCAGGATTTCTGTGCAATTTACGTTTTTGTTCTTGTAAAAACTCTTTGAATGGCGCTTGGAGGATTGGCCCATACTTCGGGATCTTCTTCATCAAAGCAACGAGATCATCAACATGATGCTCACTGAATGTGATGATGACAAACAACATCTAAAGAATATTATAACAAAAAGCTGCAATACAGTTTCAAGAAATATTCAAATAAGTTTTTGTGAATATGACTGTGCTCTTTTCAGCTAGACCCATTTCTTCTGCCAAGAAATCGGTATTTTTGCTAGTCAAGTAGACGAAACATTTTAGACCGCACCTTATATGCAAAAGAATTTTTTCTCGTGCCGGCGGAGATTTTTTTCGGCGGTGCATTTGACGTATTTTTTTTTGAAAATTACAACTCGTTACAAAGCCCGTATTTCTTCACTACAAAAATGAAATTCGGTTTGCCACATCTTTTAGGATGTAATCTGTTATTCTCGGTAGCTTGCTGGGTGTTTCACATATTGGTGAAGGCTCGGTGGAAACTTTTTTACCGGCAGAGGCACCTCAATCCAGCTTATTGAAGCTATTTCCTGACCACGATTTAATCGATGATGCTCTCGTCGCACATAGAAATCCAGGAGGAAGATTTTTTTACCTTGGCTAGCCGGGACAAAAGCTTGTTCTCTTTCAGAAACGAATGGTTTAATTTTTGAGACCACTTCCGCCCACAAAAAATTCTTCCAAAAGAACCTTGACATCTAAAATCTTTTCGTCAGTCGATAGTGTGCGGACGGCATGCCTAAACAGTCAAGGAAATGCGTTGGATTAACGTGAGAGCCCGTTTGGGGGCTTGGCTCTTGCGAATCGGACTAGAAAGGAGCTGAGGACTTTTTTGCTAATCACTTCACATTATCGTTTATCCTCTTTTGATCTTTTTTTTCTTATGTTTAAAGGCTGCGTAGGATTCGGCGGAGGTCTTTCAGAGTGGGAAAGAAGGACTGCAAAATACCTTTCATCAAGAATGATACATTTTTAGGCCCGATTGACTCACCTTACTCCGGAGAAGCCATCATAAGATAACCTAAAGCGAAGCCCTAGCCGTTTTTTCTCGCTAGCCGTTTGCTCTAGCGAATTTAGCGTCTTTTTTCGAAGTCCCAAAATCGGTCTTATTTTTTCCCTCTTATATTCTAACAACGCTCGACTTCGACCTTTTACAAACAATTTTAACTTCTTGGATAGCCGCAAAAAGCACTAGATATTCGCAAAAACCTTTTCGAATATTTCATGAAACACCCTGTATTACCTGCACATGCATTTTAACCACTGCTTTTCCTATCAAAGTGGCACCAAAGAAAGTCCAAAAAGGGATCAATGAATGTCCGCAGATTATACCGGCTAGATCAAACAAAGGATTTGGGATGGACGCGAATATTAGAATCCCAAAGAAGCCAACCCTGGTCACCAATTTCTCAGTCCAAAGTTTCGAGCGGTCGAATAGAGACTAAATATGAATATTATTCAAGTTCTTCCTTACTAATTCCACATTCTTCTTTTTGGTTTCTTCCTTGAAAGCAACAAATTCAGCAATTTCTTCATCCTCGGGAACTTGTCCACTCTGTCTTGCTGCTCTAGCCATAAAATAAGGTGGAAGCTCACCGATAGCAGTTCCCATTCCCCAGAACAGGGCTTCCCACCGTACCTTGTTAACGATAGACCATAAAGTTATTGGGAAAGAACTTTGAGATCCATCCGTGGGACAAGTGACCCTAAAAGAAAAAGACACCAACTACTATCAAAGGAATAAATGCTGACGAAAAAAACAAAACAACACACTCCAGTGGATACGGAGGCTCGGGGAAGTCCAAAGAATTGCATTCATAAGCTGCCAATGTCACCTTAGCGATGTGAGGACCGAGATAAATCAAAAAGGTATGCAGTCCCGTTCCCAACCCCACTGAAGACAAAATCCCCAGTCCAATCCACCAAAGATACCACAAACAGACTTTCTCGAACGCTTGGATATGTTGTTGGTGCGGTCCAGGAGTGATGTATCCATAAACACTCAATCCCAATAAAGCTACACACAAGGAAAGTAATAACAGATGATTTGTCAAGCTGAAATGCGTGGGTTTAATTAGGAATAAGAAATAATAATTAGATTTCAAGTTGTTGAAAAAAATTTACAACTTACCCAACAAATACATCAAATAATTTGGCAACTAACTCTCGTGAAGCGTAATACAAAGTCAAAACAGGACTTTTCAACAGGACGATGTCATCCCTTTCGGCTCTCTCTGCCCGTCTTTGTTCAGAAAGTTTGTCATCTTTCCTAAAAGTGGAGATATACAATAAACTTAAGCTATAGCTCACTTCTCGGTTCCATTGCTCATCGCTGAAACGTTCTTTGATGAAGTTGGGACCTTTTCCGCCTTTTTAGGGACCTTCTTATCGACGGTTCCGCTCTTCTTTCTCGCCCTAGCCATCTTGTCCTAAAAAACAAAACGAAAAGGATAAATAACTTCAAACAGTTCGAACCATCAAACAGAGGTCCAACAAGAAAGTGTCGACCTCCACTCGACCTCTCGCCCAGACATTTTCATGATTTTCTCCACAAAGCGTATGAATCTATATTTGCAATTCGTCTTTTGACACTTCGCCAAAGAAGAGAGACTGACAGAAAAGTACATGGCAAAGGCTGCGCTGATTCTGCATGCCATCTTTTGCATCAATATTCTCCTTGGCAAGTACCGTTAACCCTTTGAACCGCTCTAAAATTTAATAAACTCTCAGTTTTGGTTGGAGGAACATTGTCAAAAAATGTATTCAGCACTATAAAATTACCAGTCTGATGACAATAGTGCCTAACAGCCCCATTTTATGGCACAACAACGCATCACGTTGAAGCCGGGCAATGGACAGAATCGTCGTAAATATATTGCTTACAATGACGATACCAATGCATCTGACCCACTCCCGACTTTCTGGGATGTCCCAGAAAGAGCTAAAAAAATCGCGGTTAAACTACAGTATACGTATCTTAACAGAGGAAGTACCCCAAGTGCGACGCTCAGATTTTGATGAAGCTTGGCACAAATTTAGAATAATTTTTTCTAAGATATATGCGAGAATCCTAGCTCGCGCTTTGCAGAAACAACCGAGATTTTTAGATCGAAAGTCGGCGAAAATTTAGGACTTTTTGCCGAAGTTCGGCACCAAAAGTTTCATGCCTATTTCTACCGTAAAGGATAATGTTTGTACAAAAAATCAAATTTTTCCGCACGAAACTGCCAAAGTTATAGCCAAAAAGCGTTTTTCTCTCTGACCTCTCTCCACGTTTAGCGTGCTCTCTCGGCGGCATAAATCGTCCGATATCTCGGCGGCGCCTGCAAAGCGCGAGCTAAAACTTTCAGGAATTGATATTTAGTCTATTCCCGACGTGTGTGCAAAATTTTAAAGAAAATCTGAGCGTCGCACTTGGGGTACTTCCCTTGTAAGTCTAAATTCAATCAAAATCCCAAAAATCGGTCTTATTTCTTCCTTTATACCGAAAATTTTGTTTGTTAGTACACTCAGCATGCGTAATTTGAGAGTTGTAGGTTCAACTTACAATTAGTAAAAATTTGCCGCCCTTATTTCGCTTGTCAAAAACCCAAACTGACAATTAAATATTTATTTACATCATTATTATTCATCGACAATTTTACTGCCGAAATTTGCAATTCAGTGTTTGCGCTTCCTGAATGTCCAAAATATCGCTCTGAAGTCGAATCTGATCTTGAGAAAGGACTGATAGGAGTTCGGGATCAAGCTGTGTTGGTCCTTCTTGTCCACTGCCCTCAACTATTTGGTCTTGGAAAGGATCTTCTGTAATGGAGCTCTTGTCGTGGCTGTCCTTATTCAAATGGCTACAATCTAGAGCGCGGCATGGAGCTTTGGTTGCAGGAACTGGTTCTACCGGAATTTCCGACGCAGGCGAGATATTTTGACTTGCAAAGGCTATATTGAATGCGTTGATGGCTCTGTCGACCTCTAGTTCCTCACTTGATTCTATTTTTACTTCCTTCTGCGCTTCTCGGATCTTTTCGAAGTCGACTTCTCTTGCTTTTTCCATCTCTGGAGTTATTATGAATGGTTTTCTACCAATTGAAACCGCTGGTTTAGCGTGCAGGACCTTGTCTGGTTTAAGTTCCGTGGTAGGGAACGAGTCGGCGACTGGCAAAACATTATCCGATGCGAGTTCTTTGAGTGTGCTGATCTCTTTCGCTAGGACGGGGTCATCGATTTGCATAAAGTTCTGTGTTTGCACTTTGACATCCACTGGAGTCGGCACACGACGTCTAGTGTCGCTGAACAGAGAGAGTAATTTTTGCGTGAGAAATAGTAATTTAAGCCTCACCTTTCCTTTGTGATTACGTGAGCATAAACGCTTTGCTCGATCCCTCCGCGCCTTCGAACGTTGAATTTCTCTAAAAGAGATTGAATTACGCACGATTACAAAAGACTTGATAACATACTATGCTTCTCCTGCTGTCTGAAGGTGACCAGAGGCTGAGAATCGTCATTAGCTACTGACAGAGGCCTTAGAGCAGCACGGAATCCTGCTTGTCGTTTTATATGAGTTGATGCTTTATCACATTTGGGTGGCTATAGGTTTTGTTAAGTAGCCAGGCTCACAAACTTACAATGATCATGTCACATTCTGTCATTAACTTGTCACAAAATTGAATTTCGCATTGGATTCGAACCTGTCTTGCGTCTGGGAATCTGAAGGCGACTCCGTCAGCAATAGCTTTCATTGGGGATTGATACACTGGAGTAGAAAAAAGAGCCGGCTCTGTAGAACATCCATTATGATCGACAAGTTGTCTTGAATTGTTAGTCTTTAGGTCAATCAGATCGCATGAGTGGACCAATATGTTTTGATAGGCATCGAATCTTTCTGCAAACAGATTACAGTTAGTAATCTTCCTCCCTGTAACATACCCGACAGACACTCAAATTTATGTTGCACCATTTCTCCGAGGTACAAAACTTGGTTGGAAACGCAAACATCATTTTGTTTCCGCTCAATGGTTTCTATCGTATATTTACATGGCAAGGACTCATCTCTGGTGCTAAAAAGGAGTATGATTATACAAATATGAGTTACTCGTGCTTCCGCTGAGTGTGTTCTTTGATCAAGTCCCAATCAAGGTTCTGGAATTCATTTTTGTCCTGATAGAAACAATGCGCCTTTATCTTTCGATCCTTAGCTGTTCTATATAACGGGTGAAATTGCAAAATAAGGTTCGCTTCAAATGCATGCCCTTTTGGATTGACCTAAAATAAAATGTGACACAGTAGATTAAGTCTTACAAAAGCAGTTAATAGACTTACTGTGAATTGATGTTTAATATTGCAATTTGTCAAAGGAATGTTCAGTTGCAGGTCGGTAGAGTTATTCGAAATGTAACATCCACTTTCTTCGCTCTTTCCGTCTACGTAAAGTTTTCCATAAAAGTCCTTTTCCATTGTAACGGAGACCTTGATGCTATCGCTGAAACAATCGATCTCTGCTCCTTGTTCACCCCTCAAGAATTCACATTGCTCTCCCACTGCGGCTTCCTTAAATGTTTTAAGGAAACGGTCAACTACAGAATCGATTGTAATGTTGTCAAATGCCAGGTTGGAATCTCCTGTAATCAATTCCAGCTCTTCTTTGTTGATGTGAGGTCCGACACCGAGAGTTATTACTTCAATTCCGGCATTTCTGAGCTTCAACGCAGGCTTTAAAGGATCATCGTGGCTATGCCCATCGCAAACAATAACTGCCAACTAAACTTTTTGATGATTGAGGTATTACCGTACCTGTTTGACACCTTTTTGGCCAAACCGAGAACCAGAGCTTTTGCTGGCGAATACCGTTAGGGCTTTTTCCAAGGCTTTTCCGGTTTTTGTGGTTCCACTTCGATGCTTCAGTTTGCCAACCACTTCTTTAATCGTATCTCGATTAGTATACTGTTTAAAGGGGAACTCGACATAGGTGTAGGTAGAGTACTGCATTACTGAAATTTGGACATCTTGAGGTCCAATTTCAGCAACGTCGATGATTCTGTTCAAGACTTCCAGTTGGCGATCAAAGGTTGGACCACCTACAGAACCGGATCCGTCCAAAATAAACATCAAATCCACGGGGAGTGCTACTGGATGGCATGCTTAAAGCAAAATGTGTTTGAATACAAACGATGAAATAAGAACAGAATTATGAACGAAAAACTACTTTTTGCCATAGAATTGTCAAAGTAATCGATGGCATGAATACCCGAAGCCAAGGTCAGCAAGATTGCACACAACATCATCGTTCGGATATCATATATCCGTTGACCGAAAAGATCTCAGTTCGGAAGAAAGCGAGAGTTAATGGAAGCGCAAACCAGTAAAAGTCGACTCTTCCGGTATAACGGATTCTTGTTTTTTGATAAACGCATAACATTACTCCCGATGTTCTTTCCATCTGGATATTTATGATGTGATGTTTTCTTCATGCGCCAAATTTTACAACTGCCTGCGATCTTTCCACGCCTCTTCTACAGTATTTATGGAGGAAAGCTCTTCGTTTGTCTTCACTGATTTCCGAAAAGCACACCCGACTTTAACAATATTTATTTATTTTACAAAACTAAGTATGGAGTACTACTCAAAATCCTAAAACCGGTAAATTGTAGTTCAACCAACCGCATAATGAGTCAAGAAAATACTAGATTACAAAGAACGACCTTCTAACAATCTTAGGCACAATTTTATAAAAAGGATTAACTTACAAAATTAATCAAGTATGGACGGGTGAGGAAACTCAGGCTAATAATTATCGTTCATTAAAATCAAAATAAAATTGTCAACGAAATAATTTCCGAAAAAAAGAACAGCAACATCTAAAGGAATGGCCTGTAAAAAAGGATTAAAAATTCAACTACTACAAAAAAACCCGCATTTGACAAGGATGAGGGATGAATCTATCCATGGGATCAATTGGTCTTCGCTTCTTCCTTCTCAGCTTCTGGAACTCTAAACTCAGATGGAGGAGCATCATCGGCTAAAATAAGCAAGTCAACTTGTTCTAAAAATAAGATAAACCTACAAGAACGTCCTTCTGCAGAGCTCTTTTCGGGAGATTCAGGAGATTGAGAAGGAGTAACAAAGTTCTCCTTACTCTGTCTTGAGTCTTCAGATTTCGGATCCTTCTCATCAGTCTTGTCGTCATCAACTTCTTCCACCCCTCCCTTACTCGCATGCTCTTCTTCATCTCCTTCGTCATCGTCTTCGAAATCTACACCTACACCGCCCATTAACTGCATCCTTATCTGATCATGAAGACTCTTCAGGAGCTCGGCCTGGTTGTTGGATACTCCGCTTGAAGAAGACTGATGGTAAATTTCTCCAAACTCCTCTTCCTCCACAATAGACTTGCGCTGGACACGCTCCAGATACTGTTCGGGAGTGTCACCTTGCAAAAGGCAAACCAAAACCACAGTCATGTTGTCACAACCAACTCCGGAGAGCTCGCAGTCAGGGGCCAAACAGCGATTCAACAATTCCTCGCAGATCTAAATCCAAAAGATAAAACAATTTTAGACTTCATACCTTGTCTGGAGTAACTCCAGAAGCCAAACGACTACGAACAAACCAAACAACTTGTTCGTTTGTCAGAACATCCCAAACACCGTCGCAGGCAAGAACAATGAATTCATGATCGCGGGTCAGCTCTACTTCAATAACATCCGGATATGCTGAAAAAATACATTAGGTCAAAAACGATGTGAGAAAGGACTTCAATTGCATCCTCCAAAATCCTTACCAGTGACGATTTGTTCCTCCGGCTTAATATCTTCTCCAGTCTTGAATATAAAGTCACCAAGAGCTCGAGACAAAGCAAGGTTTCCATTAACACGACCAGACTCGACCCATCCTCCAGCAGAAACAATTCGCTGAACCTCGGGTTCATTGGTTGGCTTATGATCAAAGGACAAAGGCACTGCCTTTCCTTGTTCACAAAGAACGGCACGCGAATCACCAGCATTTCCACAGTAGATCTTTCCATCTCTTATCAAAACAGTCACAGCTGTTGTTCCAGACATCTGCTCCTTGGTTTCTTCGTCATTTCTAAGATCTTCATCAATCTTCAGAAAACCGCTTTTTATGGCATTTGGAATATCTCCTTTTGCTGAAACATCAAAAAATAAGTTTTAGAACCGTGTAGAGTTTACAACATTTGAAAAGGTGCCTACCAAATTGTTCGTTTCCAACTACACGTTTATGCAAATGCATTCCAGCAAATTGAGCAACCCGCGCACCACCATGACCATCATAAACAGCGAAGAAGGCCGTTTTTTCATCATCAGGACAGCTGAGGAGCTGGGTATGTGAGTCCTCCATGGCTAAAATTATAAATGAAGATGTTTCCATACAAGAACGACTTGTTGTCTAAACACATAACAGAAGTGCTAAAGTCTTACAAATTCTCCATCCCTGCATAGCACAAGAAGCGACGTTGTACTCGCTTGATTGACAGACCGATCCCTCCTTCGTTACAACTGGCTCACTGAGTGTTTGTCCCATTTCTGAAAGAAAAATAAATAAATCCAAGGATCAAAACGCATGTTATCAAGCACGTAAAATTCATAGATAATTAAAAGCAAGACCAGCGCGCGGGTCTCTTCAAACACTTTTTAAAAGAATTAAGTCAAAAGGAACTTTCGAAAATGCATTTAGCCGCAACCTCGTAAGATCTGAGACCTTGAATGCATAAGTAAATATATTTTTCAACGACATAATAACGCAAGATTAAAGTCTGAAAAATGATACTTTATCAGGCCACTCTCCCACAAATTACAAATTCAAAAAACCTAAAATACTATAAAGGGAGCATAAAACATTTAAAAGTGGATTAACTCCTCATAAATAACAGTTATGACCCTAAAAGCGAAAAAATTAGTTTCATAAAACGAAAAGCAAAAAAGCAAATCATGTTCATCTACCATCTTCATCGGAAGAGTGTCCCAACACTTTTTGCGAAAAACGTTTTGTGTTCAGCGGTTTCCCACGAGCAAATGTGATTACTCGAGTCTCAAAAAGGTAGATTAACGACAGGCCCTCGGGACAGCTCTTTCCGGTTTAAGAATTAAAACCGCATCGAGAACCAATAATCCTGAACAATCCAAAAAAGTCAAGACATCCAAACACGTCACTCTTAGAAAGACCTTATACAGCGGCCCATAATGTTATTATTTGGGCAAGGCGTTCGCCCAAACGGAAAAATGATTTTAAGCTCAAGTTTCAGTCCAATTTCACGCCAGAACCGAACGTTTCTATAAAAAAGGATCCAACTCAACGTTTCCTAATAAAAAAGTGTCTGCTAAAACCAATCTCAGCAGAATGATGAAAGAGCAAGAGCGAAAAGATGTTCCAAACACTCCACAAATTATGCTGATGCACCAAAATCTCTTTACAACTTTCAATATTCACGGAAAAAAGAGTCATAGGTAAAATTAAGGACAAAAGAGTCAGAGCTATAATTATATAACCATCCAAAGTAATTCACAACGATTCCACAAATCGATTATCTTTAGTGGGCGCAACTCGAAAGTCAGCTAAAAACAAGACTTTTGTAACCCCTTGAACACGAGTTTTAGAAAACAATCGCTAAAAAATATAACCGTATGGTAAAATAAAAGAAATTCGCGTTATTCTACAGAGCCAAAATGAATCAACGCATCTCCAGTCTGCGAAGCATGCGTTTTACAAGTTCGAAAAAAAAGCGAACCGAACATCCAAGCCGCCATTTTCCAGCCTAAATTAGAATGAGTCGAGTCTTTCTCTCAGGTAGCGTGGCAGACTTGACCAAATAACATTTATTGTCGTGTCATTTTTGCTCTGGATTACAACTGGAGAGAGTCCCGAAATGAAATTTTAGGGCCTGAATTTGACGCGGTTTTTAGCTATATTGAATGTGTTTGCTTTTTTCGTCAGTGTTGTTTCTAATGGTCAATATATTTCTCTTGAATTAGGGCCTTGCCCGAGACGATTTAAATTATTGTGTAATTGCCGTGCTTGAGTAATGCCCGATTTCAATTTCAAAGATCTTATCGTGTCTGACTTTATTTTACGTGTTTCGTGACGTGGATACTGCGAAATACTTTTATATGCTTTATGGAGCCTACAACAGTATTATAGCAATCTCTCATTTCAGAGCTTTGCCTCGACTTGGCTTCGAACGGATGAGATTTTAATTGGTCTTCAGGTTTAAAATGATTTGGTTACAGCGTTTGGCTCTCTTTTCTTTATTCTGTCTTGTAATTGCTCAAGATCATGTTGATCTGGGCGATATAAAAGTAAAAGATACCAAAGACGCTGTTGAAACGGATAATGGAAGCACGAAACTTGATTCGGTATGTTTGTATTTGGTTTATTCAACAGGTCTTTTCAACAAGGCAAATTTTTCGTTTTCAGAACACAATCACTTTTTATCACGCATTCATCGCTTCGCTCTCAGTAATTATTGTAAGCGAGATAGGCGACAAAACATGGTTTATTGCGGCCATCATGGCTATGAGACACTCGAGGATGGCCGTATTTATCGGCGCTATTGCTGCTCTCGGGTTGATGACCGTCTTGTCAGGCAAGTTTTCTGAATTTTGTTCATGCTTTGAATTTTAGCTTATTTGGGATGGATCACTCAACTAATTCCACGAAAGTTTACGTTTTACATTTCGACGGGCCTTTTCGCTTTCTTTGGGCTCAAGATGCTACATGAAGGGTATCATATGAGTCCGAACGAATCGCAAGAAGGATATGAAGAAGCTCAAGCCGAAGTTCAGAAGACTGATGCCGATTTGGAGACGAAAAAGTTTAGTGATCTGGAGTCTGGCGGAAGCAGTGATTCGTATGTTTCTTTGAGAAATCTTACCAGTTTTTATTCATAGTTAGTGCGTAATTTTTATATTCTTTTTACAGGAATTCGACTTGGAATGTCTTATCATTTGTGTCAACCATATTTCTGAAGTCATTTACTCTAACATTTTTGGCAGAGTGGGGAGATCGAAGTCAGTTGACCACTATTATTTTGGGAGCCAGAGAAGATGTGACTGGAGTAATACTGGGAGGTGTTCTTGGCCATGCTATCTGTACGGGTATAGCTGTCATTTTCGGAAGATTATTAGCACAACAGATCTCTGTTCGAACTGGTAAGCTGATCGGATTACACGACAAAAATTGCTTTTTTTTACCTAAATTTCTTTTTTCAGTGACTTTAATTGGCGGCGTCGTTTTCATAGGATTTGCGCTTTCTGCGCTTTTCTTGGACATTGAACCAGACGCCTGAGGAGACCGGTATATTCCCATTGTTTACATAGAGTAGAAATAAAACTCGATGGAATTCGGTGGCAATATTTTTTATCCGATTTGTAATAATATTCTTATTACCCGGTCTATTCTGAGACTGGTTAGTTTTTATAAGCTTTTTTTAATCGTCTAATTTAATTATCAAGGTATCAGATGAGTAAAACACTGTCATGGTTAGATCATTTGAGTTATGATTACCTATGGAAATAATAGTAATATGTGTAGCGAGCGTGGTTAAGCCGTCAACATGATATGATGTCTCAGTCACACTGTCAAATTGACGTCATGTCAAATTGACAAGGGAAAATGCATCGCAAGCGCGAAACTCAGATTTCCATTAAATTTTGCACTCTCTTTGGGTATCGGCCACATCAATCTCTGAAATTTTTAGCTTGCGTTTTCCGCGGTCTAATAGTAAGTAGTAATTTTTTGAAATTTTTTCAAAAATATTCGATTTAGCGGTTCTCGAGGGTGTTGGTTATGACACCACGCGGGAAAACTTTTTACTTCTCCGAGTTTGGTGCAGCCCAGACAATCATCATGGATACTATCGGACAAAAACCAAAACAAACCGGTAAAAACCCCATTTTCAGTATGCTCTTTCAATCATACAAGCCTTATGGACGAAGAATTCTGAACATTTTATACCAAAAATTGGAAAAACAACTTTTCTACCGTAACCCGCTTACTAAACGTAAAATTTTCTATGGAAAGGGTCAAAATTTTGCACGAAGAGTTCGTTTATGTCAGATAAAAAATTCTGCAGTTTTGTCCAACTACATCACCCTGTTCCAGAGTTATAGGGGATTATTTGTTCCCAAAACCCCTTTCTCGAACCTCTAAAATCGCATTTTCAACTTTACAGCATCCAATGGGCATTTTCTGGAAGCCGTAAACTTCGTGGTGTTGCTTGCAGTACCCATTAGTTACTAAATATACAAATAATCTTCTATAACTCTGGAACCGGTCGCTGGATGTGGATGAAACTTGGTGTAATTATGTTTCAGATTATGCAGATTCGCAGTGCAAAATTTCAAGTCTTTCCGACCGTCATATGTTTTACCGTAGTAAGTGAATTACGGTAGAAAAATCGGAATTCTAATTTTTGGTGTGAAACGTCCAGCAGTATTTGAGTAATAAGAATGTGTGATTTAGACCTCATACTGAAGTTAAATATTGGTTTTTTGACGATTTTCTGATTTTTTCCATACATTATCCACGATGATTGTGTAAGACTAGTTTGGCTGCGAAAGATTAAGATGTTGGAAACAATCTGAAACACATCAAAAGTTTGCGGATCTATAGAAAATTATGATCACGATTCTTAAACATTTTTGAAATCTTTGATAATTGGAAGGCCGAAAATTGAATCACAGGTATGCGATTTAAAACTTCAAATAGGCCATTTGAGTGCCAAATCCACCATCAGAAACCCGGAAAAAGCAAAAGAAAAAATTTGAGAGGGAAAATTAGTCGGTCAAATGAGTTGAGCTAGGGGTATATTCGGACTCTCCATATTCGGAAATTTGTTTCAAGTTTCATCAAAATCGGAGCGTCGCGCGCGTTGCACTTGGGATGTCAGAAAAATCCGCCAAATTAACAACCCTTATTGTAGCTGTTAGCAATGGTTTTCGCGGCGTTGCAACAGTTTTATCAACTGGATTGACTGCATTAAGTAAAGCTCACAGCGTAAACGGCGGGGCGAATGAATATTTCGGTTCATGTTAGTATTATCCACAGAACACAAATTGAATTTAGGATGCCCGGAGGCGGCTCTGTGATTGAATTCTTCGGCCCAAACTAAGGCTAAAAAATTATAAACTGTTTTCAAATTGAATTTCCGTTTGATGTTACACTTTTCCTATGTCTGCAGAATTCCTTTTTCTTGTTTACAGAGTATATTTACGGTAACTCTAGGATACTGCAATGGAGTAAATTTGCGCATCGTTGGGGCTGTTGTTGTATTGGATTGAATGATTAATAACAACATCCAAAACGCACGACCAAATGATTGGTTTTCCCCTAGGGGCGATGGATCTTTCTCCTTCTTATCCTTTTTTATTTTGGTGTTTTTTATATTCAAATCCATGATTTTTTGATGCATTATTTTAAGAGAAAGTGTCTCAATTTCCGGATGTAATTAACACCCGGAATAAGAACACATTGAGTGGTAAAAGCCCTCGGAAACAATTTGGAACCTCGCTTTGACTTAGAAGAAAGAGGAAAATGCCCGGCTTTCTACTCTCGGGCTCTTTTCCTCGTATTTTTCGGCTTTTTTAGGAACAAAAACCGCAAGAGTGTAATTTATATAAAAAGTTTTGTCATGTTTTTACCTCCTAGCCGGTGTTAGAATTAAAAGATGCAACTTCCGTTTTCTAACGCCGGGGTTTCTAAACCTGCTGATAAGTTTTCTTTGGGGATTTGTTCAAAAAGTCGTAGTATTAAATTTTTTAAAACTATTGTTCCTTATTTATATTTGTCATACATATATTTGGGGAATGTACTCGTCCGAAAAGCTTAGTTCTCGAGTTTCGGATCTTTTTTGAGCAACACGAATACCTCACTTCCCATTGAAGGTCGATTACCTTCCAGCGGAAGCGACGCAACCCCACATTCCGGTCTGGACATTCACATGGATCCCCTGGTCCTCCGATTAAATGGGAAATGAACATTCCAGTTCCAAGTCCGTCGACTTCAATGCCAGTTCCTTGGTAAGGCTGTTGTGATGTATAATGATGGACGATGACATACTCGTGTCAGCTTTTCGATTTCCATTTTTGACATTATTGCAGGATGATGATTTGGAGGCCTCGCCTCCACCAAAAAAGCGCACGAAGCTCCTCCGCGGAAGTTTTTCCCTTCGGTCGATTGCATCATTTGCCAGTTCGGCCAGATCATCCGACCAGAAATCGAGTGATCCTGAGAAAACGTTTCGAAAAAGAAAGCACACGAGTATTCCACGGTCACCATCCACTCCAACCAGTAAGATTTCCATATTAGGACTTCTAGATCTCTTGTTCAGGGGTTTTGGGATTCGAAAGACATTGGCCGAGTCTTCTAGGACACGGATTTGAGCCTGAATTCCCATGGAGGAGTGACATAACTGAAAGCGACTTCTTGGTAAGTTTCGGGCGTGATATCACACATTATCAGATATTAAATTCTGTTGGGAATGGCCGCTTTGGAGATGTGTACCGGGCCTGCCGCAGAACAAACCCAGGTCAGCAGGTTGCCCTAAAGGTTCAGAATAAAACGGATATTCTAAAGACCGAAGCAGAAGAACAAATTTGCAATGAAGTGAGAGTACTAGTAAGTATATCTGATTCTAGATCGAGTAACTTTTAATCTCACTATTTTCAGAAATCGCTTGGTTCTCATCAATTTATTGCCGCCTTTTTGGACTCCTGGCAGACACAAACTGAACTGTTTACTGTAATGGAATATGTGGATGGATACGGGGATTTATTCACACTTTGGAGTGATTATGGCCAATTCTCTGAGGAGCTGGTGAGGTTGTATGGAGCGGAGCTTGCTCTGGGATTAGGTAAATTTAATGACTTTTAAGTGGACCAATTATTTTTGGATTATTTACATAACCGGAACATTATTCATCGAGACATAAAGATGGAAAACATTGCCTTGGATATCAAAATGCATGTCAAATTTGTGGATTTCGGGTTTTCGAAGTTCTTGGCACCCAAAGACCGAACAAATACCATATGTGGTACTCTCCAATACATGGCTCCGGAGGTGGCTCGGGGACGTCCTTACGATTCGGCTGTGGATTGGTGGAGTCTCGGAGTGTCGTTGTTTGTGATGAGAACAGGAACATATCCATTTGCGAACAGCAACGCGCTAAATCATCGTGAATTGGTATTTGATCAACGTGATTTCCCAGAAACGTGCACTCAAGAATTCAAAGATGTCATGAAAATGGTATGTAGGATTTTAATATTAACATTTAAAAGTCTGTTCGTGTCAATGTAAGGTGTCGGTAGCATGGCATGAAGACATTCCGTATTGGGTATCTATGGGGCTCAATTTGCTACGCTAATACAGTGGAAAATGGTGATTCAAAAAAAATGAAAGATACAGCAGAAAAGCAAAAACGCTGATAATAAATATTTTAATACCGCTCCAGCAGTTTTCGCAAGAGATCCATCCAGACAGTTCTAGATTTTTTTTTCGGGTCAACCCGTAGGAGGGTTCTGATTTCAAGCAACATATTATTTTATTTGAATAACACGCACAGTCTTAATGAGGGCTAAATTCTTTTTAGCTTTTGGCAATTGACCCGAACCAAAGGCTTCGAAGTTCTCAAGCCCTTTTTGCGCACAATTTCTTCTACAATGTGAATATTGAAGGCATTTACAAACAAGATGTAAGTTGTTCCTATTCTTACCAATGCTTTATAGGTATGTCCATGGGAACTCTTGAAGAATGAATGTAAAACAAGAAATTGGGAAGGACGGGAATTGCCTCAGGGTGGCTATTCCGAGCATTACTCACGGGTCTTGTCTAACTTCTCGGGGTTTGAAGGTCGATTTGACGGAATGGAAACGGATTGACAACCGCCCATGTACATATTTACACTCATAGAACCTTGTGTTTTTCCAATCCCCTTGTAAGCCGAATAAATTTCTTTCATGGGGAAAGATAGTTTTTATTTTTGTTCTGGGCGAAAAATGTAAACCCAATTTGATTCGTTCGTTTATAAAGTATTCGATTGGATTCGAAACCGGTGCGATTACAATTTTTAGGGCGAGATATCAGACACGAAAAAACTAAATACAACATACCTGCATAAAGCTCAAACAAAATACAACAATTGAGGCATAGGAAGATTAGACAGACGACACCTGGAGCAGTAAAAGCATTGGATAGAGATCAATTAGCCGGACGATAGAACACAAATTCGGCTCTTCCATTCTCCAACTGACCATCTTCAGAATCACTGTATTCGTAGACATCGTCGTCAGAAAGCGATGACTGAAATAAAATCCAATGAATCATACCAAGAAAACAGTGAAACGTATCAGAAACAACGTACTTGGTGACTAGTTTGGTGAGGAACGGAGGTAAAAACTTTTTTGTATTGTCGCAACAATTGAGTATTGGCACGGTGTAATTGGAAGACCGTTTTCTGACCAGGCTTCAAAACATTAAAGTCGGGATTGGAGTATCTTCGCATTTTAGATGGTGGTCTGTCTGGAGGGTGTTGAAGTTGTTCATCAATTTCATCAACTGCTTCAGCCGCCTTGGCCTCGTCCGCATTCGTAATTCGTGCGGGGTCCTAAAAATTGTTTATGTACTTCAAACAATACAACAAGCAACATACCTTCACCCATTTCTCAGCCAATAATTCACGGGCTTTTAGACGTTTCTTAGGATAACGTAACAATAGTTTTTTAAGGAGTAATTTCGCCGACCAAGACACTTCAGTCAGATAATCATCACTCAAGGGAACCTTTGCTTCAAGGATTTGATCAAACAACTCTCCTTGATCATCGTTTTGGGTATAGAAGGGAGGAAAGCCGGCTAACAATAAGTACATAATAATTCCAGAAGACCAGCTGTCACACTCAAAGGAATATCTAAAGAATAAAGGTCTATCAACGAAACGAGATTCCTTACCCTTCTTTGGCCACAACTTCTGGAGCCACATATGTTGGTGTTCCACAGACAGTAAACAACATCTGTCCTTTCACAATGCGCGTCGCCAATCCAAGATCAGTAACCTTTACTTTGCAAAGCTGATTCTCATCAAAATATACTAGAAGATTCTCAGGTTTGATGTCTCGATGAACCACACTGTTTGCATGCATGAAAGTTAATGCTGACGCAAGGCAGGACATCACACTAGCACAGTTATATTCATCCAAGACTTTGTTAACCTTCATGTAGTCAAAAAGATCTCCAGCAGGAATGTATTCCAACTCGATTATTTGTCCGACATTGGGCTGTTCGTATGTTTTAAACATCTTCACGATGTGGTCACATCTTAGGGCTTTCATTAATTCAATCTCACGTGCAACGAACTCGGCCATATTATTGTTCTTCATGGAAATTATTTTGACAGCAAAAAGTTTTCCTTTTCTAAAAATAGGATACAATTATTAAAGACTCCATGGACGCAGCTAGCGGCCCCCTTAATCGTTTCGTGTTTATTGGATTTTAGGCAAGGGAAACATTTTAGGGGTACCTTGGCAGGGGGCGACCCCCCTCCTAATTTCTGGTCTACTGCGTCTCTCAAAAACTCAAAATGACATACGCATTTCTTGCTTTGAACACTTCAGCACTATGTCCACGACCCAGAAATCCAACAATATCAGTATTGGGGAGTTGTGGAACTTCATCACTTCTGGTGGCATTCAATCCATCTTGATCTCCACATTCTGAAGGCATTGAGGATTGTCGACTTCTCTTTACATGGCATTTGTAGCGTGTTACAGAAGGCCGTTGAAGCGGGCGAGATTGTTTATTCAACGTGGATGTCCATTTAGGTACCCCAACTTGATCGTAGTTCAATGGAACAAATTTTGCGGTACTAAAATAAAAACTATCATATAAAACATACAGCTAAAATATATTTCCCCTTAATTTAGACCCAAAAGTCGTCCAAACGTTCGAAAGCACTAACCAAACGTCTTACCAAACAGTGAGTTAAGGTTGTATAAACAAACAAATCCTTTTCTTTTATACTACTTTTTACTAAAATCCCGTTCGACGCATTTGCTGACTCCTGACGATGAGATAAAAAACCCAAACAGTAAATGAATTTCGGTCACTAAGGTCTTCTTTTGAATGTTTTAAAGTATTTTTGATCTTACCTCGCGCACACATAGGTTTCGTTATGTCTCATGTCATCCAATGCGGTAATGAGTACTCCATTTGTTGAAAATATATTTCGTGCACCATATAAAAGCGCTGCATGCCGTCCAACTTTCGAATTTACATCTTCTAGGAATGCGTCAAAGGTTTTAAAGGCTGAGATTGAATAGGCAACCGGCTAAAAATTGAAGTAAGAATAAACCTCAAATGTTCTTACCTTTGAGAAGCGATCTCCATTAAAGCATAGTCTGATTCGCTTCCCTTGTATTGGAAAGTACATGTTATAATGCCTGATTGAACGCCTGAAAAAAGAAACAAATATTATTTTTCAGTCCAAACCCAAATTTAAAGTATATTTCAAGCTACGGGACCAAACCCATAAATAGTTTTATAAAAGCCTGCCTTGACTTTGATCCACAACCAGCAGTTTTTGGAGGTTCTGTTCCATTTTCCTGTTTGTGGAGCTCCTTGAATGGTACCCCAGTCGCAGTGCTCGGTGCATTTCTCTTGGCCGGGGAGTCTGGGGAGCCCGTTGACTGAATATTATCTTCTCGAAAGCAGACCCGAGCGGACATCGTGTCCAGATCACGGTCAGAGGCGACCATTTCGCGGCTGGCTCGTAAAGGCGGGACTTATCACTAGTGATTGGTGTCCTTGTGGGACCGCAGACCATTCCCCACGACTGCTGTTCGAGGTGGAGGGTCGGTCTTGTGCCAATCAGCCGAGCTAAAAAGAAACAGCCTTTATTTAACCAGGGATGAACTTAAAATAAAACGCGGATTTGAGTGACGTTTAGGGGGACGGTTCGGAGAAAGCACATTCCGCGAAAATGAACACCACAAAATACGTTAATTTCGTATTACAAAACGGGAACGGAAAGCAAATGCGTAAAAATGGGATCTAAAAAACTCCTGACCCATTCTTTGAAAAATAACTCGTCGAAAACACCTCCAAGTCTCATTTCGGCATGGGTTACCTGTTTAACTGCGCTCCGTTCCCGACTTTTTCGATCATTTATGGAGCGAATTCCCTCAAAAAGAGAATTCGAACGAACAAACCATAGAGGTGACTAAACATTTCTTCAACAAACACAGCTCTGTTATACACGATGGGTTTTACACAAAATTACATTTTAAAACTGACATAAAACATTTTTTTAAGTCAAAGCGACAAGAACTAGACTCGGCCTTTTTTAATCGCGCAAAACACAATGACAGTGTAATTTTCGATTGAATAAAATAGCAATGTCAAGTAAAAAAAGGAATTGGTTTGTTACATCAAAAATACTGGCCAAAATAGTAACAATGCCTATAAATATTCTTTAACTGACCACCACCCGCGTGAAGAAGCATTTCCAGACCCCTTGAGCGCGCTTCATTTTGGCCGAGGAGAGTCAAAAAGAAACGAATGGACATCGAGCTCAGAGGTAATCCCTTCTGGAACCGCGCAGCGCTCCATCTAGCCGATGCTATGAAAAGCGCTGCATTCGAATGCCGGCTGACAAATCTCCGAAATCTTCGCCGTCTTTCGTTTCATTAGCCGAAACCCCCTAGGGCAAGGCGAAACCACGGTTGCGATGGCGACCTTCGCCCCTTTTCTCTGACATGAACTCCATGTACGTGATCTACTGCTACCAAGTATCATACAGAACTTCCTACAGGAAAGTGGATGATTGTATTTTTCCTATTCTACGTACAATAGATTATAAAAAAATGTTTCCTGTGATTTAGACTTTAAAATACGTAATCTTCCAGATTTTATATCGAATATCCAAAATAATGCTCACATAAACTTATACATCAAAGCGAAAAAGACGATTTCGACAAGGCGGCGGAAAAATAATTTGCTTTTCCTTCTATGGAAAGTGTCCCCAAAAGCTAATACATCTCAAAATTGACAATTGCAAATTGTAAACGACATAGAAAAAAGTTTATTCAAGCTCTGTAATGAATAAACTTACAACTCAAAATTCTAACAATAAAAAAAACACATTTCTATTGGTGTAATTAGAGTCTCGCCACGAAAACAAAAAATCCGAAAAAGTTGGCATATCGCAATAAAATTAGAAAACTAAAAATGTGAAAATGGTCGACTGGTGGTTTGAATAGGACAAAATTTTTTTCTTGATTGCTAGTTGTCATTTTACTTTTGGAGCTTCGAAGGAAATACTCCAGGTGTAATTAAAGCCGTTTGGATATCGCGGGAATCCGTCGGGTTTTGGCTGATTTCCCGGCGATAAGAGATCGAGAACAACGCGTCTGTGTGACCGGAAAATTTTAGACGACTCATTGAGTGCTTATAGGGTGTTTCTAAAATGACATCGATTCCGTCGCCCCAATTAGTGGCTTCTACTTCCAACATTCCTTCGGTGAGTATAATACGTTGAAATTTATATTTATATTTAGGAGCATGTGACTATTAATGTTGAGGGGGAAGGGAGTGCAAATCATAGTTTAACGCGACAGGACTCAGCTGGGGAGAGAAGGGCAAGATTCTCAGCTTCAGATGTTGTTGACAGTGTAACTCAAGCCGGAATTCCTCTTTCTGATGACGATGCCGCTACTTTGATCGACTTGTTGGGAAGATTCTCGTTGACACGTCCGGCCGGTTTTTTACTGTTTGTAAGTTGGTTACGGTTATATTTGTTCCTGCCGGCCCGTCGGTTTTCAGATTATGATTTTTTGTTTCTGATGCTTGTTTTATTGTTAGTGTGAATTAGACTTGGGCATAATCTGAGTCTGTAGTTCGCCTCCCGGGCAGGTTGAGATAATAGAGACATACCAACTTCCCGCATACGGAAGTTTACCAAGGTTGCTAAATTCAATGTTACTATTACTTTTTTTAGTTACCGGACTATCATTTCCTCAACGTAACGATATTATTCCTGGTGGTTGGACTTCTGGCTCTTTTTCGAATAGTTTATGTCTATATATTCGAATTGATACTTTTCATATTCCACGCCCTTTATTACCGAGACTTTGTTCGCTTGTCCGTGATGCAAGTACGACCGTTCTGGAAGACATTTTCTCAGTTCGTGATACGATGTTCTATTCTTGGTATATTTTGTGATCACTCGGAATTCATAAACGTATTGTGTTTTGGAATGGTCAAAACAGAAAGCTTCTTTTATCTCATCTATGTGATTTCGATAGCGAATTTTATCGTTATGGATATTTGTCTATTCATTGAGTGCTTAGTAAGTTAATTTTTTTGGGTACCTAAAATCTACGATTCATTAATTTTTAGTTGAACAATCTTGAAGTTCTGGACAAGACTCTGCGAATGCAAGCGATAAAGATGATTGAATATGTGTTTGTTTGTTACCTTTCGTTGTTGCCTATAATCCAATGGCAACGGTTTTTTGAGTCTATGTGGCTATTTATCCCGTATCTTTCATTAAGGGTAGGATTGTTAGCAGGTTTTATATCTCCACGATTTTAGACAGTGATTCTCATCCGCCTGTTTATCCAAACCTTGAAGTTGATGAAACAAAATCTCTCCTCGACTCATATTGGACTAAACGTTTCTTCAAATGAGATCGAAGATGACAATTGTGCAATTTGTCTAAACACAATGACCAGTGGCGTAAAGGTAGGATTAAAAATCAATATTTTGATTCTGGAAACTTTCTCCCTTACAATTAATCCCTAAATGTTTATAATGTGTTTCAGTTGCCTTGTGGACACATCTTCGAAGAATTATGTGTACGGAAATGGCTCGAGGAACGTAATGAATGTCCCCTATGCAGGAAATCGGTGGTTCCAAACTTTACTAAATATGACAGGGTGCCTCTTTTTCCGCCTTATATCATCTAAGACGGGTTAGAATGTGAAATTCTATACGGGTCGTTAAATTATACGGTTACTCAAAACACTGTGTCAGTTGTATATAATTAGATAAATTTTAATAGAAACGTATGACGAAGCCACAATTTCTGTCGTATCTCCGTTTTTGTAAATGTAAGGGAGCTGTAATTAAGAGGGCGCGAGGTCATCCAGCAATTAGTGGCTCTTGAGATTTCGAGGTATCGTAAAGGCTTGCGCAATATCAGTGTAAGCTAGAGGGTATTTTGGTTTCTACATTATGCAGCCTAAAGGTTTCTGCAGGGGAATTAGGTAATCGGTACCATTATTGGTATAAATTTTAATTATTTTAACTTGATGACGCTTGGTAAAAACAAAGACGATTTGAAACTTGGGAACTGTGAGGCTTCTCCTCGGTATGTCAAAGAGACTTTTCACTAAAGAAATGACATCATAATAAGTGTTGGATTCTTTAATCGCGCAACCAATTCTTTGTTCAGACTTCATTGTCTAATTTGAATTTTGTTTCGGTAACCTTGCAGAAGAAGAACATTCTCCTAGAGCGCTTTGATGAAACGCTTTCCTTTAGGTCAGCACATTTAAGGGTAACTTCAGTTCGCTGAAGAAGCCCTCGAGGACTTACAGTATACGGATAAAGAGATACGAATATTTCGAAAGGGTGATCTCGGCTGGGTAAGATTGGTGTCTATTAAATTGTCGGCCTTTCTTTGGCAGCTTGGATCACCAATTAAACCATAAGTTGCCATAGGAAAGACGGAAAATCTAATACATCCGGGAACAGTAACTTTATCAGAAGAGAAGTGAATCAGGTTCTAAATTATGTCGTTTCTGGCTGGCTCTGCATTTATATATTTCTAATGTTATAAACAAATTTACAGTGGAATAAACAGTGCCTCGGATATTTACTGGAAAGGTTCGTTGAAATTTGAGAAAATCACTTTGATTGACGACGGGGGCTTCACGGCCTAAAAATTATGGACGAACTTTTTTCACAAGAAATTTGAATTCTTTGGCGAGTTTCGTCTGAAACGAGGTGTCACAATTGCCTTAAAAAATAAAATAATTACAAAAAAGATTGAGAAAATTGTGAAAAAGTACGATTGCAATAAGCTGTAAATCGGGAAGGTCCACAAATGGCCTCCTTTTTTGCTGGGAGGTTGGCATGTAAAATTTGACGCTAAGGCGGAACTAAAATGGGTATCGTATGCACGGTGCACCGCGGTGATATTGTTTCGTAGTTTTTATTTTATTTTTTTTACTCCAAGCTTCTTATTGGTCGCGTGAAATTTAAATTTTCTGTCGTGTCTTGAAAGCGAGGTTTACGTCGCACAGTAGGAGAGAATTTGACCTTATAACCCTTTGGCCTGAGGTAAATCTTACGCGATCAATTTCCAAACAATGGATTAGTTTGGGTGGGATGCGTCTGCAAATTGTGCAATTCTGAAAAAGAGTTTACCTTATTAAGGTGGTCTTTACATTTTCTGCACTCCCGCCCTGTTATTTTGTAGAGGTTGTTCGATCATTTAGACTTCTGTTCTGATCGGGGGTGGTGGGATCTAAAATATTATTTTTGGGTCTTCCGTCGACTTATGTAAAATTATTGTTTTGTTTTCAGGATTTCAAGAAGCTGGAATATTCTATTATTGTTTATTTTTATTTATTATGGACAATTCTCAGATGTACCAGATGTATAATCAATGCAACACTTTCTCGCCTTGCATGCCTGCAATGTTCAATGTGAATATGCCAATTAATCCATCCTACCCTTCATATTCCAATCAAACGGCCAATATGTCGATGAATTCAACGTTGACAAACGAATCAGGATATTTTACATCACCTAATACTACAAATTTCAGTGGAATATCAGGTAACGAGAATATTTTGGGATACTGTTTGAAACTAGTCAATAGAGTAATATGAATTTGTTTTAGACGTGTCCCAGGATGATAAAGAAATGGAGAAAGGAGAACACGTGATCTCTGGAAGGTTGGGCCTCCTCAACGAGAACAAACAGTACATTGTGAAGATGGACGAATTGAAGAGAAGACTGCAAACACCTGAGAATTTGAATATTAGCTACATAAATGCAATTCTAAGAAGGTAAAGTGCTAAAAAAGTAGTATAGGTTGAAAAGAAGTTTTCTTTAGTGACATCACATTACATGATTATTTTCAGAGCCAAGGGTCGTCCTCATGCTAATCGGCTTCGTAACATTTTTAAAAGACATGGGGTTACGGTCCCCCCAAACAAACGAACTGAGAGTAAAGCAACGTGCTTCACAGCATTGTGCGAAGAAGAGTCCCTGACAATAGTGAAGGATGTGGGCCGAGTTCTCAATGAGCACTTCCCCAAGGATGCGTTCGAAAAAGAATTAACACGTAGAATACAAGTGAATTCAGATCAGTTGATGCGGGGAATCCACTCATTCAATAATGATATTCAAAGAAGACAGATCACAACCGGATCTCTTCAAAATATGCTCAGAGCCGTTGGACAGACAGTATTAGAAGTCCTGGAAACCGATAAGACGTTTGAATATCAGAGTAATGGTCAGACTCCCAAGAATTTGGACCCTCTCCAGAAAGGCTTATGGGATCTCAATTTGGCAAGTTTATTACATCATCAGGCTTACCAAATGCCTTCAATCTTTAAATAAGCATCTTTATTTAGGTTACCCACAACTTTGGTGTACGCGCTATGATGTCAGCAGTGGCGACAACGACGGGATTAACCGAGTACAACTTGCCCGCCGTTCACAAACCATCAACAGATTCGCATATCAATTCTTATATGACACAAAACAAACTGTGAATTCGCTTTGTTAGAGATTATAAATGCGAGATTTTTACTTAATAAATTTGTACATATCAACTTGGGTTTGTTTGTAGAAAATCATTTAGTTGGAATCCCCGTTCTTAAAAGGAAAGTCATGGATTTTCAGAGTAAATACAAAAGGCCCCGAGCCTTTTGTGTTTAAAATTTGGATAAAATTCAAAAACTAAAAATTACAAGCATACATAGTAAAAAATAGGGGGCCCGCAGGGGCCTGCTAATTTCTTTTAAATTACGAATGCGGAACGATGATTACAGAAAGCTGATCATTGATTAAGAAATGCATTTTTTCCAGCAATTATTTTTATTGAAATGGAACTTCATGGTACAAGTAGTTGCCACATTGAAACAAACCTTTTAAGTAAACAAATAACTTCACAATTTTGACTCCTGACAAAAGTTGACAGAAGATGTCAAACTATGAATAGAGTGTGACACTGAACGCGGCATCGTATTCATGTGTCATGAGGACCTTGGCCGGATGCCGAACAAATAAAAGTGACGGCCAAAAACACGGTGAGAGTGATTGATCCTCAAGTCCCCGAATCCGAACCGGACCCCGATCACTCCCCTTCCGCGTCGCGTTTAGTTTTAAAACAACTGGCTCTCTTCGGCCGGGGAAACGTGCCATTACTTTCACCTTTTTCTCGACACAACATCCCACCAAGTGCCGCATTTAGTTGTTGACGTGATCCCGAGGAACGGCCTCATCGTTTATTTAATTCCCCTCTAAACACTTGCTGATCGTTCATTTCGAAAATGGCTGAGCTTGTTACGTGGTGCACCAGTCGATTGGCTATCCTCAAATGGCTTCAAATTGTAAGGGATCGTATGATTTGTATCGCTTAATTTTAAATACTTTCAGTTGTGCGCTTTAGTGGCAGTTCTGTTCTTGATAGATGGTCGATTCCAATGGAAATTGTATACTTTCATCTTTGTCGCCTGCATTGTCCTGGCCGCTCTTTCGTTCTTGACATTGGCCTTGTACTTCTTCCGAGTTCACAGTCAAAACAAACAATTACCATGGGTTCAAACCGTACGTGTGCTTGATTAGTCATCATAAGTATACGTTTATTTCAAAAATGCTTCAAAGGAAACATTCCTTTATAGGAGATTGCTTTCAATTCAGTCGCAGTGGTGGTGTGTCTTCTGACTTGCGGTATCCTAATTTATGACCTGGCCAATTTGGCGAACGGGCATCACAACCATCATCGTTACACTGCTCCAGCCAACATTGGAAACGACGGCTGGTTCAATCGAGTTATTGTCGTATTGGTAAGACAAGCGATGACCAATACAATATTACTTTATTACAGGCTACTCAAGTGCTAAATACGGTATTTTACCTCGCCTCCTTGGTTAGAACGAAGCGATATGGCATCAAGTAGATTGCCAACATTTTCATTATTAATGTTCATGAACATTATATAGTATTTCTAATCTAGTTTTCCCGAATTAAACCCGGTTACAATAAGCGAAGAGACGACGCAGCCTTCGTATATCTTGTCCGCTCAATCGCAAAGGCCCATTTCTTAACAAATTAGTGAATTATTTTATTACATAAAGCGCTTTAACGTACCTATAAATCGAGTTCATAATAGACTTGGGCTCTTCGGAATGCTTTAAACCTAACACGTGTCCCAGTTCGTGAAGCGCCACCTGTTTCGTAACTTTTTTGCTGTGGAAATCGGGACTTACATAGCTCAGATTGAGATTATCCCCATCCAACGACCAGACCTCTTCGGCATCGAAATGAAGAATTCCGTGAGGGGGATAGGCGGAGTGAGCAACTATCCCTCCAGGGCCATCAAAGCTTTCTGTACAATTGTGATCTCTCAGGGCAAAAGTAATATCAATATCAGGTTGTTGCTGATCATCGTGAACTTCATAAAGTTTAATAATCTTGACCTCTGTGGCCCATAAATTTAATGCTTTTAGTATGGCTTCCCTAAAGTTATTAATATAAAAAAATGAAAATGTCCTCACTTTGAATCCAGAAAGTCTTGGCTGTTCTTAAATAGATGATATTTATCATGTATCCCATAGGAGAATGCACACTTTTTCCAGCTTTTGTCTTTGATGGAATCTAAGATACAGCTAATAAAGAGCCACACAAACATACCGTATTGCTTGTGGATTGGCAGAGAAGTTCCGAAAGTGAGAAATAACATGACCCCGAGAATCGCGCGCATCCTGACCGTGACTTTCACCAACTGAACTGACCATCTCTGGATACCGGAAAACTAGTCCGTTCCGAACTCTTATCCGGATTTTTTATTCCTCGGATGTGATAAAGGAATAATAAACAGAGAGCGCCTTTACAACGCTTTAATCGTTTTTTGGTCAATTTATACTGTGTGAAATGATGATTACACTTACATTATTTTTAAAACAAGCCTAATGTAAGATGTTTCGAACATTTGACGGAAAGGGGAACCAACATCAACTGAACAAACAGTTTTTATATCAACAAACATAAGGCCTCATTTCAAAAAAAAAGAATTTTATTGTAGGAAAATTGAGAAGGTGTCTTAATCCGCCCCCACATTCGGCCATTTGCTGTTATATATTATATTTAATCTTCAAATTTATCTCTTCACAATTTTTCCGATGGTGTGGAGGTCATCCTCGACCCTAATCATCGTGGCAATGCCGTTCCGTTGCAATGTTTGAAGAGCTTCCTGGGAAAATAACCAATTTATGCTATTGTTCTTTTTTTTTGGTTCGGAACTCATTTCTCGCAAAAGGTAGCAGAGACAAAACCGATTTTCTATCGGCTTTCGAGAGTCCGTTTGTTCTCGACTTTTGTCCTTTTTCGGGCCCAGAATTCTTTGGTGGGGATGTGAGGTTGGCGGCCGAAAAAATTTGGAAAATGTTCGGTCGTGGTGAATGGAACCAAGAAGTAAGTAAGCATGGCGGCCACCACCACCACACTCAACGACAACACCCTGGGCCCCTTCGCCTTCCAAATATTTCTTCGGGGCCATTTCCCTCCATTTCTTTTGCTTCTTCGTCTTCCTTCAGGCCATGACCAAGAAACGGAACAAGGCGACAGCAAAGAGTAACCGGCGTGAGAAGTCGGGGGGCCAAGGGATCTCCGGGGCACCCTTTCCCTCTCCGTCGGCGCCCACCAGACCTGTCGTCCATCAAGCGCGGTCCTGGATTTGATCCCCCCTCATGTTCGATGTAATAATATCATTTCAATGGTTTCGCTTTAAGAGGGAATAACTGCTGGGTTCGCGTGAAATGACGGGGGGAAACGTCGGAGAGAGAGACGGCATTCCAAAATATGGGGTTTTCAGGAAGCGGGGATCCGGGAGGGGCTATTCGGCGTGTTTTTATTTAGAGTTTACAATTTATTTTATTATGTTGCATTTTTTGCATGCCTTTGTTGTTTATTTTAATTTCGAACTTGTTTAAGCAAAGGTCATTTGTTCCATAATTAATTTCCCTTGAAATTAAATTGTATTTGTCATTGTATTGTGCACATTCTCGAGGAAGGGGATTCTTTTATTAAAAGTGTCTGCAAGACCTCTACCATACATGGGACTTCACTTTCATTGATTACCTGTTGTTATGCAGCAGGGCTCTCGGTCGGGACAAGGAGCAATTATCCGTTCCAATTACAGGGAATTTTTGGCTTTTTTGCGTGTGGAGAAGCACCCAGCCCTAAAATAAACTCGAGAGTGGCATCATAAAAAGCGGCCGAAGCTGTGGCCGGCTCGGTTAAGTAATTTGATGGACGTCGAACTGTCTTCGTGTCCGAATGAGGTGAAAGCGAAATAAATTTAAGTCAAACAACCAAGTTTCGGATTCCTTTTTCTGGAAGCAGAGCCGGACGCAACAGCCAGCCGGTTTCGTTCCACGTTCCATTTTGAATAGCCAGGCGCTGACTATCAAATTTCCATGCCAAAATAACCCAACGGGCATGAAAAAACCTTTGTTGGGTTGGAGTCGGGGTCCGTAGGTCTGAGTACGCATCACCTCTCACCCTCCCCTGCGCTTTCATGGGCGGGCGCGCCAAGGAAATGCTGGGCTATGGTCAGAACTTATTGCTGCTACTGCTTTCCCTCCTCTTTGCTAAGTATTGTTCACTTTTATATTGCGTTTTTTTGGAATGTTTCTTTGTAAACAGAAGTAAACAGTAAAGAAAGTAAATAGAATCGGAAAACTGGCACTGGTGGGTCGAGTTGGCCACGCGTCTGACTGGCCCATTCCCGCATAAGGCTTTTTTCTAGGTTTTTTATTGCCCTAAGCGTTTTAAAAAATATATTTCTCTTTTTATCTCCATCACAACCTCATCCAAAAGCGGGGGATTTATGACCGGCTATGGACGTGCAAAAGGACCGACGACGGTTTCATCTTTTATTTCGTTTGGATCTTATTTTTGGCGTTTCCTTTTCTATACCTCCAGCTTAATTTATGTTTTTTATAACTTTTTAAGGCGGAGATCGCACTAAATCAAATAAATTTGAATATGGAGCCCCAACCAACCCATAAACTAAACTTTTTGTTTATTTTATAGCAACACGCAAGCATTATTTACGAAATCAATCTCACAAAAATCCGCTGACTTAATATACACGAAGATTTTTGCCAGTTTCTCATTCATTCAATACCTCTGGCGTTGTGTGTCAACTCCGAATGTGTATAGATGAATACCGCGACCGTCGTTTCAAGCCTTTCCAACCCTTATGTTTGTTTAATGCTCTGAAATAATTTTCGCCCCTTTTTGTCCCCCGGGCTTTCATTTGAGGCCTGAGGGAACGTTCCCTCGGTATTAATGCATATCACTGTTGTGACTCATTGCTCTCGTTACGGTTTAAATGCGAAGATAATCATTGGAATCTCGGTTACACAACCTTGGCCGTTCCCATTGATTTTATGGCCTTGGCATTGTCTTTGGCCCATGTCCTTAGGGGATTCTGTGAAGAAGATAAACTTCGAAACGCAGAATCAATGGCCGTCTAGTCCTATTATTCTTATATTCTCGGGATTTTTTGTGCTGTTTTTTGTTTCTTCATATTTCCGTTTTCGATTTTTAAATTTCGGAAACCTTTACAACTATTGGAATATTCGTATTATCCAAACTTGTTTCGTGGAATGACTCGTTTGTTAATATTATCATCATACTGAGTGCTTGTTTTTAGTTGGACGCGTCCCACACGCGGTCCCCGACCGCATTCCAATCATGAAAGACCGGTTGGGAGCCTTAAAAGCGGTAAAATTATTTGCCTGCTACTTAACATTAATACAAAATTGAATTTGTATAAAACTCAATCACTTTTTGTAGGCTCAAAACCAAGGGGATGAAGACCACGAGGACGACGCCAGCACATTGGATGCGGCCCAAGGCCAATTTATGGAGGAATTCTTCGAACAGGTAGAAGAAATTAGGGGGAGCATCGATCTGATCGCTTCGAATGTCGAGGAAGTCAAGAAAAAACACTCTGCCATCCTCTCTAATCCGGTTAATGACCCAAGTAAGTCGCCCTTCCCCTCAATTCATTATTCTGGTTTTAGAAACCAAAGAAGAATTGGATGAATTAATGGCCGAGATCAAAAAAACTGCCAATAAAGTGAGGCGGAAACTAAAATGTAAGCAAATTTGCTGAAAATTTGTAAGACTATCACAACGCGATATAAGGCGTCTATGCTTTCAGTAATTGAGAACAGTATCGAACACGATGAGAGTGGTGGGACCTCAGGGGCAGATCTCCGAATTAGGAAAACACAACATTCAACGTTGTCTCGGAAGTTCGTGGAGGTCATGACTGACTACAACAAAACACAGACAGACTACAGAGAAAGATGTAAAGGTCGGATCCAACGACAACTTGACATTGGTATGTAAATTTTAAAATATTAAATTTTATTTGGCGATCTTTAATGCATTGTGTCATATTTGATTTGGGCTATTCCAGCGGGTAAACAAGTAGGGGACGAAGACTTGGAGGAGATGATCGAATCAGGGACGCCAGGGGTTTTCACTCAAGGAATCATAACAGACACACAACAGGCCAAACAGACCTTGGCTGATATTGAAGCAAGGCATAATGACATCATGAAGTTAGAGTCAAGCATACGAGAATTACACGACATGTTCATGGACATGGCCATGTTAGTAGAGTCACAAGTATGTACAGGGTCATGTTTGCAACAAGGTCAACTATCTTATTTTAGGGAGAGATGGTTGATCGAATAGAGTATAATGTTGAACATGCCAAGGAATTCGTGGATCGAGCCGTCGCCGACACCAAGAAGGCTGTACAATATCAGAGCAAAGCACGAAAGGTATGTTCAAAACTATTTCGTAAAATGTACGTAACGTCGTATGTTTCGTTTCTTTTGTTGCCATTTTTGTTTCGACTAACCAAACGATCTCCAGAAGAAGATAATCTGTATTATAATAATGGTGGTGCTTATCGTGTTAGTGATTGTGGGTATCATTGTGTATGTATCCGTGAACACATCTGTCGTCAGTGGTGGTGGAGGGAATAAGAGCAATGACAATAACGGCAACAATAATAACAATAACAGCAATGGAAACAATAATGTCCAGAACAACCAGGAGTCCGCGGCGGTCGACCAGTAACACCCGCTATAGAAGCGATAATCTAACACACTAACATTTATTGCATGGTCTTTCTGGTGTTATTTTAGTCATATCAAAGTAGGGTAACCCTCCGATGTATGTATCGTAGCAACTCACAGAAGACGGGAATCTCCATTCCCGCGCCGTAATTTAAAGTCTAGTTATCGTACCAGATACCGGTTGTCGTTCAGTAAAAAGCGGTTGTAAATATCGTAATGTAGAGTTTGAAAGCGCACTTGAAATAAACTTTTATCTGTTTAGAAGAAGATCATGATCTTGATCTGCGTGGTGATACTGATAGTGGTGGTCGGAGTGATGGTTCTCAACTTCATCCCCATGCCTTTTTAGATGTCGATAGTATTGGATATCAGAAGAAAAACAAAACTTTTGGCTATTTTACATCGATATTACAGTATCACTTTCCCCTCGTATCGATTACACAACACGTTTCGAGTCCTCGGGAGCTCTGGAATACGATTTATGGCAGCAATAACTCTAGGTGTACCTTGATCTCTGTAATACTTTCGATCTCAGCACTAATATCCCGATTAACAACAAGCTTATATTAATAAACTGATGTTGCAGTAGATGAGCGATGATAATAAAAGTCGCGAGAGTTCTTGAGAATCCAAAACATAGATGGTGATTACTATAAAACGTTTATCAAGCACAATTTTTTGATATTAGTCATAACTATTATTTTGAAACCTCAACCCCGATAACACTTTTTATCAGATATTCTACTGTAACATTAGAGGTCTTGTATCTTGCAACTGCCATTTTGACAATATATTAATTGACAGCTTTACCGGCCGCCGTGGCCTGTTAGATTCTTGAATTAAAGTGTATTTAACATTGTTATGGGCTTGGTTTTAAATAAAAGTTTCTCAAACTTTCAGCTAAAAATCATAATCTGTTTGGTGGTTACTGTACTCATCGTGCTGGTCCTGATGTTTGTCGGGTTTTACATAAAGGCAATATTATAAGAAAAACGGGTATCATCAGCAAATTCCTCGAACGCAAATGGTAATACATATCAACGCCTACTACATCTATTCACCTGCCAAAAGAATCGCTCTAAGAAAAAAATATTAATATAATAAATATTCGAATTCCAAAGAAATAAAGAATTTTAGCGTACTGCGAATAAACATTATATATTTATATTATTGTCAAGTTAAAAATAAACACCGTATTAAGACTCTGCATATGGAAGATCTATACAATCAGTAGAGTTTGGAATTACCAGTTATGCAAAAAACATTAAAATCGCAGCCATTAGGACTAGAGCTATCAACCACATTAATTCGGAAACGATGAAATTATTTAGAGAATAAAACTTGATATCGTTTGACCATATTTGCGAAGATTTCGGCAACTTTATCAGGAGAATCCTCATGTAGAGCGTGTCCCACGTTATGCAGCACTTCGTATTGAAAAGAACCTTGCATTTGACCTATCTGAACCAATCATTTTTTTTATATTTTTAATCGCTTTTAACACTCAAAGCAAACTAACCATGAGTTCCTTATCGAGCCTATCCACATTGGCCAACAACAGAATCTTGACGGGTTTGCAGCCAAGAAACATCTTGGACAGTCCTTTGAACCACCCTATCCAAAAATCTTGAGTCTTCCCGAGATTTACTCTCCATTTATATTCCTAAAGAAGAAAATTATTTACTATATGAAAACCTACAATTTTTCCGTTCTCCTCGATCTTTACTAGTTGAGAAGGCATGGATACCCTTGCGGCTCGTAAGTTCTTGGTCATACCAGTATCCACACACCATTTAATGGCCTTTTCAAAAGTTGTAAAATGCCTTGGTCGATTTCTTAGAACTTGATTCATTAGACTTAAGTTTCCCATAGCTGATCCTTCAACAACATCAATAACGGCCAGACATTGCACATTAGGCAAGAGGTTAGCATCAACCGCCCTTACTGCTAACGCTCCTCCCATAGAATGCCCAATCACTATCAACGGTGGCTTCTTTTCGACAGATTCAAAAATCTTATAATAGATTCCTGATATATCCCTACAATAAAAACATCGGGAACCACACACTTACTTTATTTGTCTATCAGATGAAAGATCTAACGGCTCAGCAGTTGTCAATCCATGCCCTCTGAGATCTGGAGCAATCACGCGGCATTTTACTTTTTTCGTCAATGATTCCTAAAAAGAGAAATAAATTCAATAATTGAGTACCTACCACAAAAACTGCCCAAGTAAGACCACTATATCCACCTCCATGTAGCAAATAGAAGACTGGACCTTCATTGCCTTTGAAATACACGTTAAAAGATTCTCCATCGAGCTCAATATTGAGTTTTCTGTCAAAGAAATCGGTGAATTCTAGAGGTGAAAAGTCGCGGAATGCGGTAGTTGCTTCTTTTTCGCTTGTATGATTTTCCGATATCATAACAAAATATTATGTCGATCACCTTCGATCTTTTACAACCGAAATTACAATTGTGTAATCTTCCGACGTTGGGAGAGTCGCGACTTATTTTATTGAAATATATAGCTTCATGGGAATTAGGCAGAGTGAAATTGGACTGAATTTCAAGGAAGGACACATGTGTGCGTACGCATGACAGAGAAAAAGAGAGATACAAGAAATCAGTCAAATTTCCCCCTGTCCAATTCCTTTCAGTCGAAATTCACCCTGTCCAATTTCTTTTTGCCCAATTTTGATTGGTTTTCCGCCAAAACGTTTTCTTTCTGAGACCAGATCAAAGGCTGCCGCATTTTTTGTTTGTTGCAAAAATTTGTAGACTACTTTTCCACAAATTATATTAAAATTTTGACTGTTTTGCGATGTAAGCTGTAATATTGTAAAATCTTTCTTTTTTGCTTTTTTAAAATAGTTTTCTACCAGCAAACTGATTTATTTGCCGTTGTGAAGCTGTAAAAGTTGTGAAGCCAATTAGGTATCGCTAAAGATATTTTTGCTGTGCACATTGGATGAAAACCGCGCAAAACGGTTATATTATAGTCGATTTTTGATGGAGATGTTTGTGTTTGCATTGGAGTGGTTTTACGGCTCTCTTCCCCTCCTATTTCCGAGCGTTATTCCACTTTCTGACCGTTGTTTGTTAATTGTACAGTTAAAATCGGGCATTATAGGCGTCACAATCCTTTATGCTGATAATTTTTCTATACTAATATCTGTTTTGCATGATTCTGTAAGGTATCGCACATTTGGGAAGTGGTTTTTATTTGACATTTGACCTTCTAAACCTTTATTTCCCCAATTTTAAGTGATCTAAGACATGGTCTCTGCCCTTTGCGAACTTGTACAATTATTACCCAAGTATAATATAGCCGGCTGTTTGTTGGTCTCCCCGCTGCAAAACAGCCAACTGACCGACCTTTTAGTGGCGAAAGGGTGACGACAAGGGAGTGGAGAAGGAGGGGAGAGCCGTTCTTCACTTCTTATGCCCGATTTGCGACCTGCGCCCCGCCAAAAACGTGTAATAGATGGTCGGCACATTTAATCCCTGTATAATATTTTCAGTTTCTGTCTGAGGCTGCTACAATAATAGGCAAAACGACCAATTAAACAAGTTGCTAAGGTTTGTGTCTTTTAATTGGCTGTAAAGCTACGTTCTGTCAATAATTTTGCGTATTTGGTGAGTAATAACATTGTTTCTCTGTTTTTAGGTAATGGCATTGCCCATTGATCGCAATTTGTTGAATTCGGAGGTGTTGAGTCTTGTTGAAACTGTTGATTTGAAAGAACTTACAAGCAAATATGTGCGCAATAGTCTCGAGAAGAAGCATGCCGTTGCTTTGAAGGCCTTTAAAACAATAATTGATGATGTTATCCGTGAATCCATTAAACAAGTTTACCCCAGAGGGCCTGATGGACCAAAAATTTTGACACAGGCGGAGAGCAAAAATGGAGATAAGAAACGGAAGGCGCAGAGTTCAGATGGCTCCGATTCGGATGTGGAACCTCGGCCCAGTACATCTCGGGGAGAGAACAAGAAGGTGAAGGTTGATGATGATTTCCCGATGGAATTTGTGGATAAATATGAACAAATTAAACTGAGAAGAGCAGCACAAAGGAATCAGAGACGACGGCCTCAGAAGAAAGAGAACGGTGATGCGCCAAAGAAGTCAGCGTTCTCCAAGATATGTTTGCTCTCGGATGAATTGTATGATGTCTTGAATCAACGATATATGTGCAGATCTCAGGTTGTTAAAGGAATGTGGGATTACTTCAGAGAACACAGTTTGATTGATCAAAACAACAAGCGATTTGTAATTCCAGATGATAAAACTCGGGCAATTTTTGGGCCGAAAAAGTTTCTTGTAAGTGTTGCAATCGGTATTTTTATTTTTAGGTTAAGAAGGATTGTGCTTCTTGGGTTTTGAAATGGTAAAAATGTTTTCTGATTTGGATATATGATTTTTATAGTTAACTGAATTAATTTCAGGCTTTCGGAATGATGAAGACATTGAAGAATCACATCCATGATCTCGAATTCTTGGACAGTGAAGCTCGGGATAATGCTGTTATCGAAATCAAGGACCTCTCGGCTGCAGGTGTTCTTGATCTTTCTACTGTGAAGTTGCCATCGTTTTTTGATGCTCCTATTAAGAATTCCAAAAACAACAAGGAAAAGAAGAAAGCGAATTCGGTCAAAGAATCTAAACCAAAGCGAAATAATGTCAAAAATTCAAAAGACATCGTGGAGGATTCAGATGACGACGACTCGGATGAAGAGGTGGTTGAGAAAAAGTCGCAGAATAATAATGATAATGGCACGGGAATAAAGCGGACGGAGACGATTGAAGCGCAGAAAGAGGAGCGCCCCAAATTGGTGCTTAGAATTTCGAAAAAGAACGAGCGGGTAAGCTAGAGGCGGAGAGAGTGAAAAACCACCTTTTCAGATGGTTTCGGTGAGTGTGAATGAGAGCGATGGGCAGTTGAAAAGGAGCGCGGAGGACAGTGACCAGTTCACGACCCCGTCAGCGACGACCACCCCTCTTGCAAACGACCTCCCCGATGATTCATCCGAGTCCAACAACGACGCCCCACCAACCCTCCAACCAGAAATGCCTCAAGCTAACGAAATAGGTCAACAGGACTCAAGTTCGAGCAGTTCGAGCTCCTCGAGCTCTGGATCTTCATCTTCTTCGGACAGTTCGTCCAGCGATTCGGATTCAGACGATGATGGCAAGAAAAAAGATGACTTGAAACTTAGTGAATCCGACTCCGATTAGGGGCGCTTGCTTACCCGTTTTCTTCGGCCACTCAGCGCTGTTCTCCTTGTTATTTTCTGATCTCCCGGATACCTTTAAATATTCTCTTATGCCTATTCCTCATGCGACCTACACTTTCTCCAAAAGTTGTTTTTTCTTCTTTGTTCGTTGACTGGGCGTATCAGATATTATCTCTGTTTATTGTTTCGTATGTTGTTGTTCCGTTTACAGCCGGGTATTTTGTTTCATTTTTTGTTCCCTCATTCCAATAATTTTGATACAAGAATTTTAAATTCCTTTTGCTCAGCAGGATATTTAAGGCCTTTATTATTTCTTATTTTTGGTTTCTGGATAAATGTTAAGTCTTTACGAACTTGTAAGGGCTATACGAAAAGTCAACAGACTTTGGAATACCTTTAGTTTTATTTGTATTACAAGGTGTGTTTATTTGTGGATTTGTTTGACTTCTGTTAACAGGCGTTTTATTTAGATACCTCACCTTAATTGACAACTGGCACAAAATGAAGGTCTTGGATTGGTTGTGCGGGTAAGTAACATATATTAATTTAATTGTTAAAAATTAATGTGTCGGGGAAAACAGCTTATTAGATTTTGCAGATGCGATGCACCGAACCGGGACGAGAGTGCTGCCTACCTCGCAGACACCAAGAGTGCTGGAGATCTTCCTCAGAAGAAACCAGTGGTGTTATGCACGGACCAGCCCCGCTCTGATTGCCCCGTCGTCCCGCTGAAAACTCAGTTGCAAGCCACGTTGGAGGGAAAGGAAACCAGAAAGGGAAACGATGCAAACGAGGTAAGGAAGGTGTGTTGTCCTCTGTGGGATATTTCAATACTCCGGATCGTTTGTTTTGTTTTTTAGGGCCTTTCATTTTGTTAAGTAAATTTTTATTTTTTGTTCCTCTGTTGATTTTCCTTTTTTATTGTCACTGGTACTCCATTTTATCTAGTTTTGTGTTCGGTTTATGGCTTTATGAATGCGAATATGCATACGAAATTGAGACCGGGACAGGAAACGGAAGGCACCCGGTTCTGAGTGGACTTTCTCTTCATTTGCGATCTTCCTTATAGCGCCATCTGACGTCGGTACAGCGTAGTTGAAGCTATTTGCTGACGCAGCGGCGTTTTGTCACAGATAAATATTTTGGAGAAAATCTGTGACCGTTTTTTCTTGGCTAGCTGGAACAAAAACTTGTTTTCTGGGCAGAAAATAACGTTTAAAAATTTTCCTGCTTTTTGAGAGCAATTTCGTCCTTTAAAAATTGCTCCGAAAGAATTTTGCTTTCTAAAATCAGTGCTGGACAAAATTATAAACGCAGTTTAAAAATTTCTGTAACTGTTTTTGTCGATAGAAATCATATTTGGCACCAATGTGAATTAGTGTCCTACAAATCTTGTGCCAAAAAATTATTTCGTGAAATTTCGAAAATTTGGAAAACTATTTTTGAAAATTTTTCTTTGCGACAAGATTTTAACCGCATTCAAAATCGGAATCTCTTCGAAATATCGTATACTTTTCTGTTGCAGACATCGAAAACGGACATCAAGTTTCCACTCCCTGAACAGAGAGAGATGATGAAACCCCTGAGTGTAATCACTTTCTCATCGATCGAACATAGTGTAAATGCCTACAGAGAATTATGCCAAAATGTTAATAACGTGCTCAGCGATCGGGTTCGTCGAATGGAAACCCTTCTAGAGGACGAAACAGGCCTGCCAGAGGAAGTTGAAGATGATATTCGGTTGGCTAGGGGCAAGATGATGGTCATTATGAAGAATAATCTCACGAAGTTTAGTAAATTGGTTGATGTAAGCATTCCAAAATACCGTTTTGTTATTTGTGGAGAGTTCTAAAATAAAGTTTTAGGTTGCTGAAGATACAGAACAAGGAATTGCCGACCTCACTGGATTCTGGGGCCTGGTTCATGCTGAATTAGAAGATATAAAAAGAGCTTGTGGCCGAGTTGAGGCGGCCAGACTGAACGCATGGCAAGCGGTACCGAGACCTTCGCCACCAACGTCCAGAACTCCAGCCATGAAGAGAGTTCAGACAGCCAACAAAAGTGGTACATCTACTCCAACTAACAGAACACCTAAACCAACTCCTAAGACAAATCCCAAGTTGAGGGAATTTATGGCACAGAAAAGAAAGGAAATGCAAGATAGTATGGTCAACGGCGAGCCACAAACAGTTGCCTGACATGAGGAGTGGAAGGGGAACACCGTGAGGGTATCTTGAAGAAAGTGATAGACAACTCTTTAACTGAGATAATTGCTGTATTTATTTTGTATCTTCTTGTGATTTGGATGTGGAATGTGCTTTACCCACGGGAGAGTGGACATATGATCGAACTCATTCATGTCTTGTGGGTTATTCTTTTCCCCATTAACGTTTCTTTCCGACTAAATCCTAACAGTTTGTCTTTAATAGTAAGTTGTGTAATAATACCAACGGGTTTCTTCCTCCTCTGTCGATTGCTCCATGTTTTGTTTGTATTCAAATTTAATGGGATTCGAAGCAAAGTTGTGCTCGCCCATTAAAAATAGTACGACCTCCCTTCCTATTATATTATATATGAATATAGTATCGCTCAGACTCGAATTTCATTGTACAAACCAACCAGGCCAAGGTATTTTTTCGTCGTGTGCCAACTTTTTTCTCGCGGCCTTAATTTCTCCGTAAACCTCGACGTTTCCGTCCCCCAATCGATTGCGCAATCTTCTTTTTTCTATAATTTAAATGTCCTTGTGTTGCAGATTGAAGATTGAATTTTCACAAACGATATCTTATTATAGAATTTCATAATATATATAGTGCTTTCGAATATAAAATAAAACAAATAAGTTGTATTTCCAGAGGTATTGGTTGTATAAATTATCATAAGACTGATTGCCTGAGTTCATTCCTGAGTCTCTCGATGTGAAGATTCTCCCTGAGTGCCCCGAGAGCTTGGTTTCCATTGGAATAAATATATTTCTGTCTCAACATCTCATTTATCATTGTATCCGGAGTCGTTCTGCTGGTATCAATTTGGTTTCCATCGTCATCAAACTCGAATTCTGTGCCGTTTTGATCAGTGGAATATAAAGCTTCGGATTCCCAGTAACAAGGGCCATTGCCGTTTTTATAGGCGAATTGGTTGGCTATAACATCGCTGTTGAGAAAAGGATTATTCAAACTTACTCGAATATATTGGATTCTTCTTCTGTTTGTTTTTCTTACAATAATTCTTGCCGAAAATATAAAGAATGATCGAGAGCATGCAAACGGCCATGATTACCACTGAGGAATGGGTGTATATTGCTGTTGGTGGCACTAAAAGGATTAAGTTTACCAAGCTTTTAGTTTACTGAGTTGTTTGAAAGTAATCACTTCTGACGGCTGGGATGGTGGATAATGAGGGCGAACTGATTGTACAAAGAAGTTGGTGGAGGCCATTTCATCCAACGCTTCTGGCTTCAAATGGATTCGGTTGTCGATTACTTCTCCCTTAATATTAACTTATAGACCATATGTACATTCTAAAACACACCATGACTTTATATTCACCGTTTGGATTTGCTTGGTACGAAACTCGATAAGACATGGCATAAGGCACTTCATTCCATTCTAAATATTCATTTGACGCCCGAAGCGACGATGGTGGGTTCAAGGAAGAGCATGCTAGAGCGGAGGAAGTGAGTTCAAGGACGTGTTTGTGTGTGGTACAAATGCCAAGAAAACTTACTAAATTTGTCAGTTGCCGTGCAGTTTACACTTCCGAGTTCATTTGATGGGCTGATTACCAAGCGATATCTTGTGAAGGGTCTTAAATCAGTCAGTGCTACACTTGAGTCCGCGAATTCATCACTTCGATACCATTCTCCCAAAACCTCAGCTCCACTTATATTTTGGACTTCCGTATAAAAAAGACGGAATTTCTGTTCGTGTCCTCCGTCAAACCCCGGATCAAAATCAATCCGGAATCCATTTTCAGTTAGACAATTCAGCCTCAGATTATTAATACATTGAGGTTTCGTATTGCGGACGGTAACCGACATGTTCCGAGTGACTGCGACCACTTCATTGAGCAGAACACATTGATAATCCCCATGGTCGGAGTGGGAGGCACTTGTAATTTTCAGGTTCTTCCCTTCAATTCTTTTCTAAAAGAAGTAAAGTTGTTTGTGATCTAGATACCATATTGTGGAGCCAATATTGAGAAGGTGGAGGATCTCCGTATCCATCGCATACGGTTTCAAAATCTTCCCCCTTTTCTAGTTTCACTTCTGACGGGGGCTCTTTTCTGAATACTGGTGGAGCTGTTACGATGACTGCAATAACATAATAAAATACTGTAGAATCATGCTTACCATGCATTTCGTAGACCTCACTTCTCCCAACCACATTTTCTGACCAGCAAGCGTACATTCCAGAGTCCTCCAATGTAGCATTTGAGAAAAATAAATTAGTCCCATTAATTCTAAACCGAGACGTTTGGTTTGTGTCAGTTAAGACCAATCCATTTTTTGACCAGTAAACATTAGTGGGAGGTGGATTAGCCACCATATTACATGGTACTTGGCCGTCTGATCCTTCGCCCAAGACATACATGGTCTTACTTTCAGAGCCAAGTTCAGGCTTGTCTAAAAACATGACTTTAACACAACATGGCCCTTACATTGGACACTCAAAAAAGCCGAACTCTTGGCAGATGGTGGAAACCCGTTGGAGACTTCACATTCATACCAACCTTCATCTTCTCGGTGAACTTTGCTGATTCCAAAATCAGCATCCTAAACAAGATTGTTTCCTTTGATTCTCAATTACCTGAACATGGGCCCTTAATCCTAATGCGATGGTGTTAATAGCTACACCTTCCTTTGTCCATCGATAGGTCATATTCTGAGGATTGGCTGAAGCGGCACAATGCCAGAAAACATTGGACCCTTCAATGACCGTCTTGTTGGTCAATGGGTAATCGATGATGGGACCTTCTGAAAAATTTTAGGGATTATCAAATTTGATCCTTTTTATTTTTCCGATGAGCAGTGGTAATCTAATGAACAGAGGGTTATAGCAGAGCACCCTCTTTCTTAAGTTATGATTCAAATGGTTTACGCAACTTTCTACACGCTTAAAAGACATGATCATAAATCAGCGCTTTGACAAATGGCCGGCCGATATGGTCGGTAAAGGGAAAGCCTTTTTCTTCCCATCGTCCATCAACAAATCGGAGCCCCAAGACTTACGTGAAAAGTGGAGAAGCGTGGCGGAACGATCGGTTCCTTCCACGTTCGAGGCATGACAAACGTATTTTCCCTGTAATATTTCGAACTGTTTGGTCACTTTTTTATTCTCTCACCTGGTCCGTGATCTTCAAGTTTTCCAAATGCAGAATCGGGTTTTGGCCAACAACACGTCCAGACTGCAAAAATAAATTTTTTGTTTACTTACCGGATTTTTTTTGTTCTAAATTACTATAAATTTTGCAGATTTCACACCTTTTCGGAGCTTATTCTGTTATTTATTTAATTTTACAAATGTGCCCTAAGGGACCTCTGACGTCCGTCTTTTGTATATCCTTTACTTAATTACTAGAGTTGTTAGACACTAATTACGGCACTTACCTTGGTCCAGATTATGTCGGGCGGAGGAATTCCTTGTGCTTTGCAATGTAATTTTATGTTCTGACCCAATTGGGCGAACTGTTCTTGATCATCGGTTGGGCTTGTTATTCGTGGGGGTGCTGGAAATGTCATTAATTAATAGTTCAAGTTTAAACTAATGTTTTCTTTGTTTTAGATTATCTCTGATGATTTATTTACACTTATTTCATAACATTGACCTACTTCTTTCAGTCTTGAGAGTCTCTTCTGTTTTGCAAATTGGTTAATTTAAAATCAAAATTAAACGACCTTTGCAGAAGATGGAGGCACGTGCCTACGGCGATTAACCTTGTTATGATCACAAAATGTCTTTTTTTATGTAGACTTGTTTTGTTGCCCATTGACGACCGAATTTTTTTTTATCAAGTACTCAACCGATGTGTTAGTCAGAACGTTAAGGAATCACAAAAATGCAAGATTACACGGAATATTTGGCATGTTTCCTATGTGGCTGACAATGTACAATATAGTTATGTAGATGGCAAGGTGTGATGTTTAAAAAACGAGTCTACGCGTGAGGAACGGCAGCCTTTTACACCGACAACTGACCTTTAAAGGGTTATTGTCGAGAAGGCTGGCGCCGATCGGGTTACGGCTGTTTTGTACTTTTTAAGCGCAACAAAACTACATTCGAAAGTTGCGGTTCAACAAATGGGTCAGCGTTCGTTCAAGGAACAGTCGGTGTCCCAAAGTCCAGAGTAATGACGTCAGATGACGGGGAGTCGTCGCACAATCCTTGAACTTTCCCGCGGCTGACCCAGTTCCGTTTTCTTTTTCTTTTGTATGTTTTCGTTGATCCTTTCCGGTCCCCCCTCCATTTTTTTTATCGCCACCTCCAACCCCCCCCCCTCTCATATTTTTACCGTTTCTTTGGTTTGTAAAAAAATTAATTGATTGTGAGCTGACGCTTCAAGAGCGAACTTTATAGCGTTTTTTTTGGAATTCGTTCCGGTCATTCCAAAAGCCATCAACCCATCTAAGTTTTCATACTGTTTAATTAACTTTCAAACAAGTTTTCGCTGTTATTTTTGTTAACTTGAACGGTAAAAAAACGTGAGAAATAGGGCGACGGCCTCGGCTTGGACTCTACAAACTATAAGCCTCGAAAAATCACAACATAACCAAACAGACTACTGTATTTTTATATAATTGGTTCTCAACCTATTTGCCCATCATATCAATGAAAAGATTTCCTTTTTGCTAAGCTGTTTTCCGATTAAAATCGCTTTCTCCGAATAACTACACGTGAACATTCAAAGGAAAAATTATCACCAAGATCGATAAAAAGTCAGTTCAAAAAATCTAGGATCTTTTCCTCTTTCTAATCAAAATTACTCTTCAAGGAACTTCCCGATAATATTATCAGTGCAGAGTATAAAAGTACAACCATCTGTTGCTCTTTGTTACTGTCTCTTCAAGATCCTAAACACCCAAAAATAAAAAATATTTAATTTGTGATATTTATCTATCGGTCTAGTCTCCCGCAATGCATGCTGTTTCCGTCCCGTTTAATCCTAGTGATCTCTTAGACATCAAACGTTTTAAACTCTTTGCTCATGTCGTATTAAACCAAGAATGCCGGACTAAAAATGCTTAGTCCGAGACGAAACCTCTCTCCACCCTTGTCTTATTAATGGGGATTGATGAGAGAAACGGGCCGGTGAAATGTCTGGGCACAGCGAAAAAAAGTGACGGGTCGGAGATTTGTGATTCTGATTATGAGGTCAGGGCTACACGCTGATTACAAGTCAGCACTTGTTCTGAACTCTTAGTTGCCCAAGTTCGAAACCTGGGGGAGAAAAGGAGGAATGCTCCGTTCTTCGCTAAGTATTTTATTTATATCGTACAGTGCGGTTGTCTTTGTGCTGAGTCATTGTCGCGTGATGTTCTGGTTATTGCGTCACCTCCGCCCGTTCCCTGGATCCCTCAAACAGAGGTTCGACGAACCTCAATTGAGTCATTTGACAAATATTTTGTACCGTATACCCCATGTTATACTATATTGTTGTGGGAAGGGCGGGGGCCGGCCTGATCAGTGAAGGTCATGACGGCTTTCGAGACGGCGGATGGATGGACGGACTGCACTTTGCATGCACTTGGTCGCGCGGATCCCACTATTTTTGTACGTCTGCCGATTGGAGCATTACAACAACTGCTTTTTGGAATTCACGTTAACTCTGGTTTTTGTGTTAATTTATAGCCAATGAGTCAATCAACTGACCTTAATTAACTGAAATTATTCAGAATGTTTTCGAGTGTAAATAATACTAGAAATAGGGACGCGCGTAGGCCGGGCGGGTGCAAAGGCTGCGTCCATTGATCCGGAATCTGAGTGTAAGGCTTACCTTTTGAAACAAACTCTTCCAAAAGTGATGACGTTCCTAGTAACATCCGCATCAGAATCGCTAGTACTATATAGTATTGGTGGGTGGAATTGGAGAGAAAACCATGGATGAACTTTTAACACTCAAAATAGAGCCTTTTGGTGGACTTCCCGGGTCGGATGATTAAACTTTGTCCATGTAACGGGCACTTCAATTAATCCGTTAATTTAGAAATTTAGCAAAAATTGACAAGTAAGAAAAATGATCATGATAATAAGAGTATGAGAAGTAACACTTGAACTAGAATTTTTTCCAGAATTATGCAGATTAGGAATCCAGGTCCGGCCTGAATAAAGGTTAAAGGAACAAAAAAGGGATTCCGAAAGTGAGGAAATGTTTCTGAAATCAAAAAACGAACGGGGTCGGAGTGTTCCGTCCCCCGTCCCTTACCCCGGTGATTCTGGTCCCTTGTCTTTGTCTCTAATTTTTAAACTGACATAGCGCTTTTTTCAAATTTTGAAATTCGTATTCATTTACGGTAGAATTTATATTAAATCCCACGCATTCATCCCTTTTCTCTCGCTAAAGCTGTGATCGGACATCTAAGTAACACAACATAATTCAAATTCAACTCTGCTTGTTTCATTGTGCTGTTAGATCTGCATGTAAATGACCTTTTATGGGATAGCACGGAATTAAGCCTAAGGTTTAGAATGACTAAATATTGAAGTGCAAACATCCGCGACGGTTTTAATAGGGTTTGATTGTCAAATATTTTTTAGATCTTTAGTAATGCTAATATTCTTAAAGATCTTACCGTTCCTACTTTCAAGCTTCCGTTCTCAGCAGCAGAGAATTCGACATTTACTTATAACGAAGCTATTTTGGGTGCAAGTACATACTGTTGACAGTCGTAATTAATTGTTCCCTTTATTGGGAGTGTCAAAGTGCTTTTTGGGTGGTCTTTGTCCTGCCTTGAGGGACGTTCTCCAGACTCGACAAGAAAGAATCTGTGGCCTAACTTGTGCAAAGAGCGTGTTTCTGGGCCCGGATCCACGTTATCGTTTATTTTTTATCATCGGCTAAGGGTACCCCAGAGCTCTTTTCTTTTCAACTTATTCATTTCATTTTGTATTTTTCGTCGCGTCTTTTAATTCACTCGTTTTTTGTCGACCTTCCCATAACCCGGGTGTTCTTGTCTTCTATCCCCCATCTCTACAAACGGGTCACTGACCGGCATTTGCACTCTTGTTTAGCCCCCACTTACCTCGAACGACCAGTCGGAGAAGGGTCCCTTTTTTGGTATTCAATTTGATGGGTCCTTGGAATTCGGTTACAGTACATTGGAATGTTCCTTGATCGGCAGATGTGACCGAATGTATGGTCAGTCCGAGGCCTTTTGCTCGAACAATGCGACCTGAAATTGGGATCAGATTAAGTTTTTTGTAAGTCCATTTGCATTGATTTCTATAAGTCCATTTCCACTTTTATGACCCATAAAGTAAGTGTCTTTACGAAAAGTACACACAAATTCAAACACTCAACATTAAACTATCAGATAGTTGGATGAATTTTAATAATAGGCCTAAAACCTACTCATAAGTAAAGAATTGATATCACGGTTTAATCTGTACAGGTCCAGAGATTTTTGAGATCTACCTGTTTGCTTATAACTTTTTACCCAATGCATAGCAAGTTGATTTTCAGGAATGATGTCGCTTGGAGGCAAGAAAGATTTAGCGTTCTCGTCACCCGATCGACCGGGCAATCATTCAAAATTGTTTGACTAGCTAGCCGATGAATTGAAATGAAAGCCAATTTTTCTTACGGTAAAAAATGGCCTGTCCCAAATGAAATCTGCGCTAAATGAAGGGTAGCAGTGCAAAGAGCGTTTCACAATTTACATAAATCCTATTTTTTATTTCAACAAGAAAGATAAGCGTTTGTTAAGAGATAAGCGTTACGTGTGCTCGCAATAAATAAAGATATTGGCTGAATAGGATTTAGACCGGATGGAGAGCGAGGATTAACGATATCACTTTATTCTAATGTAAATAAATACAATAGAGCCGTGGGACCACATAATATTATGTAATCGATCAAAGGTTGTATCCTTATTGCAAATGATTTGATATTTTGTTGCGCAACCCCTATTCTTCCTACCTTAAGCAGTTGTCTTTCTGTATTTACACCCACCTACACATCTCAGTCGACAATCTGTTTTTTTATATTTTCGTTTTATAGTTATCTGTTTTTTCTTGTTATTACTTGTTTCTGAATGCAGTAACATTATTAAGTAATGGTTCCATTTGTTTGCGAATCTCTATGTCCTTGTTTTATTTACATTAGTGCTTATTCAATAATTATCGTAGAGATTGTCAAAAGTCAATGCTGTCATAAACTGGATTTGTTTTGTTGTCAACCACTCCTTCTTTAAAAGTTTTTTGATGCCCAAGATGGTTTTTCGGCCGTTATCTTTCATCCTAGCCTTTTGTGTTGCCAAAAAACTATTGTTGAGTATACTTTAGGGGTCTTTTGGACTAGTTTTGAGTAGCTTTTTGTCTGTTTTGTCGCTTTGGCCTTGGGATGGGATGAAGAAACTACCTGTCATCCTAGATGTTACAAGAATCGTGTTGCCCCCCTCCCCTTTCCTCTTTATCCTAAATATCTGCACATTGTATACATAATGTAATTGCCTTCAAGGTATTAGCAAATGGGGGCGGAGTCAGTTGCCGTGGCAAGCCTTTTCGAAATAATAACAATATAAATAGCGTAAACCGGTAATTTCTGAAAGAACAGAGCTTTTACAGATTCAGCCACAAATCTGCTTTTTCCGTGGAATTTTCCGTCCGCCGAGGCCTTGACCCGGTTGTCGACGAGGGGCACCCATCGGTAAATAATAATTGGTGGTAGATTCTTTGTGGATATTTATGTCAGCCAAAGAGATCCGCGGGTTTTGCCTTTCAACTTGACCGTTTCCCATATTTCCGAGTGTAACTTTACAAATGTTTATCGCTTCGTCATACTTTGATATATACGTGCGTAATTGCAAAGTAGTTTGGATTTCACAAGATATTCACATTTTTCTGAATTCGTTGACGAGTTATCATCTGCCTAACACGTCCTCCTCCTTGTACGTTCCAACCCGACTTTTGATTATATCGCATTGCATTCAGGGGTTACCCGTGAGAGGGGCTCGGCGCGAGTGATTTTTGTAAAAGTGATTTATTTCCGTACTTAGATTAATTGTGTGCTACTTGCAGATAAAGTGGTCGACTATCGTCCGTGCGTCGACCCAGCTCGAGGCCGACCCTGGATTCGAATAATCAATCGGTGAACGTGTGGGTGCACCAGACACCTTCTCTGGCCGGGTATTGTTCATTTTGTAAGACCATTGCTCGACCTCCCCGCCAGGAGCCCGGTGACCGTCGATTCGTACCTCTTTCCAGACTCCACAAACGACGGAAGAAGACATCCATCACGTGTGGTGGAACGTCGCGAACTCGGTGACCCGGTGTGCTGATCCGCGCCTCCCGAATCCGGCGCTTTCGCAACCACCGACTAATCTCGAAGCATAATCATCATAACACTCAGTCATTCTCCACATCATGCTTATATCACAACGCTTTTTGGTTCTTCTTATCTACAGTTTTATGGTTCACGCAAATCGAGTAGATCAGTGTTGCCGATCTAATGGAGTTCCTGAGAATTGTGTGAAAACGCTGTGCTATCCGTTAAATCCACCCGGCGACTTTGCTATCTACGACATATTCCAGAAGAAGAATAATTGTTCGAAACATCTGCCTCAGATCGCTGAATGCCTCTCTGATGGTCGTGACCACTCACATTGTTGTCGGTCTGAGGCAAAGGACATGGACGAGACAGCTTGTTTTGGGCTCTGCGAGGGCTCGGGGTATACGACTAAGAATCTGAAGAATTATCAGACTTGTTTAGCCATCAATTTGGCCAGTATGTTCAGTTGCTTTCAACGAGGCTACGAGAAGAGTCCAAGTCAGCCGACAAATGTGAGGATGGAAGATGTCGGAACGACCAGCATAACGATAGCATGGGACGAACCTGAGCACAATTCGGATGCTGTTGCCAACTATATTTTGTTTGTGCAAGAGAAGATCCTTGACGCCCCGGACAACGCCAGCTTTGTTAAAGGGCTCGAACCAAAAGAAATTACGATGGAAGTCGATCGTACTCAAATAACAGTGACCGATCTTGAACCCGGTACAAGCTATAATGTTCACGTAACAGCTGTCGGTGCCTCCTCCGAAGAAAGGTCCTTATCGACGGATGTTTTGGCAATTCAAACTACAGGCGTGGCCCCGAAGATCCATGGCTATAACGACGTTGTTCATTCGCCCGAGAAAGCGCCAAGTGTTGTTTTAGCATGCAGCATCCACATGAGCAGCATCTCGAAGGAGTCTACCAAGTTTCAATGGTATCACAAAGCTCCTGGCGGTAGTGTGAAATCGTTGGACAACAGTTCCAAATACAACGTCTCGTACTACGTATTCTCTTACGAACGCCCACGGGAGTACGTAACCACATTGGAAATTAAAGATTTAAAAGATGCTGACTTCGGGTTGTATCAATGTTCTGTTTCTGACAAGTATGGCAGCGCAGAAGCCGAGGTCCAATTGGCTTTATCATCGGACCCTACTACTGCCAACCAACAGCCTCCGGAAACACCGCTGGAATGTTGTAAAAGGCGCGGCGTTGACAATCGATGTCTTCCAATGTGCGGTGCCGGCCATGACTCGACAGATACAAAACGATATATACCACGGCCATATATGCCTTCAAACTGTGGAAGTATGATCGGAAAGGTATTGTCATGTGCCATGCCAGGCGTCAACGACGGCGGATGTTGTCTTCGAGAGCACGTTCCTAGAGCGTGTATGTATCTTTGCGACTCGAGCATTACACCAATTAACCAAATGGACCCAATGTGCATACAACATATGAGTTCAGTCGAGAAATGCCGCGTTTTTGGTGTTCAACAACGCCCGACTCTACCTGACGCTAATCTGGAAACGGCTGGGCCAGACACAGTTACTCTCAAATGGGACACAAAACCGAATGCCTTAGTATACCATATTTATTGGCGATCTGGCAATGGGGAATGGCAGAAGAAGACGAGCAAAGGCACCACTGAGAAAGTGGTCAGTGCCGAGGAGATCGTTCTGGTCGCGGCCAATACGTTTGGCCTTTCTCAGGCCGTGCGCTTTGGCCAAGAGAACGGGAAGTGGAATCGGTCCGGCTGAGTAGCCGACCTACCCGGCGGGCAATCAAGTGCAACATAATAAATGGGTGGCGGAGCCGGCTCCGCATAATTTTTCTTATTCTCTGAATCTCGGGTCTAAATCAAGTTATGATCTCAATTTCCTAGCCATATGTGACTTTTAAAAGTATGTGTTCAAACATTTAATCCTATTTAACTTATGCATTGTAAATATACTCTGAGCTTGCTTTTACTCATATCCACACAGTCCATATTATTGATCGGTTGCAATTACCAATTCCAAGCCAAATACATATAACAAGTCTTTTTCAAATTTGACTACCGTTTGTTACAAGCTTTACGCCCTCCAAAAAGATATTTGCATAGTATAAATGTCGTAATAGTTGCTAATCATAGTCTTTGAATCACATTTAGTCCGCGTTCCTATAACATCGGCTGATACGAGTTTACTGTATTCTGTTATGTTCATATCAACCATACAATAACGGTTAATACATTTCTTCCCATTTTCTGTGTACATTTTCGTTGTTGCCTTGTTTTTTGTTTGTATAGACTTTATGCGCATTAATAAATTTTTGAATATGATGGCTGATAAAATAGAAAAAATTGCAATAAGTCTAATCTAAATCATCGACTGTCAGAATCTACCAAATTTGAATAAAACTTTTGATCATGATTTAATATTAGGATTTATAACAATACAAAGATGAAGAAATACGCGTATCAAGTGGGGGTAAACACACTATTACAAAGATCCGGGGGTAAAATTAAAAACACCAAAACCAACAACCCCCTTCGAGTCTCGTTTGGGTACGCAAAGGTCCGCTGAAATAAAAGGTCCGGTGGAAAAAAGAGTTGACCATCCTGATTTCGAAAATGACAGCGCGAGTCACTTTGGTTATGCTTGGTCGTGACCTAGCTCGTGAGCTAGTTCAGGTATGCCTCTCCAAAAGCGTTAAAGTTCGGTCAACGTCATGAATCCATCATGAAATCTATGTTTTTTGGGAAAAACAAGTTAGCTCGCGCTCGCGACCTAGGTCGCGAGCTTGGTAACGACCTGACCTAAAGAAAGGGTCTTGACCATCATAGTCAAGCATTGAGATCATTTTCGGGTAATTTTTGGCAACCTCCTTGACCTCGGTCACGACCTAGATCGCGAGCTAGCAAAGTGCAGAAAAAATGGACTTGATTTTCGAAAATGAGCAACCTCCAAAACCCCTAAATCTAAATGTTAGAAAAATTTTAAAAACTTACTTTTTAACATTACCACATAAGACAAAAGTAACAACCAGAAAAAAACCCGAAGTTAATAACGGTCAGTCTATTCAGTTGGTTCAGATGATAATTCTAAGCCTTAACTACGATTTTGCCCGGTTCCGGAAGTGTCCAAATTCCGGAAATGTCTTGACGCGGTTTCGACAGAAAATGGTTAGCCAAACAAGTGAACTGATAGCGAAGTGGCTAGCCAAGGACCTCGGCCGGTGAGTGTTCAAACACCACAGGCGGTATGAAAAAATTCAAAAATTTACATTTATGCTTGACTCTGTAAAATAAAAATTGACCCAGGGGGGGGGGGATTTAATACCCGCTAGCTGTTGTGCAGTTAGAGTATGGTTTTTTGTCGACATTTAAGTAATCTAAGAGATGCTTTAGTACACGCTGATTACCCCGAATAAGAAAAAGATTTTTGACATACCCTGCATATTTGGGGCCGCATTTCCTGTCTCATTACCAAACACATTATATATCAAGACGGCGTCTTTTCTCCATTCCAACGAAACTTTTGTCGCTTCCGGATCAGTTTCCACGCCGCAAGGGAGAGTGATCGGTTGCTGGATCCTGGCCCAGGCGGTCTTAATCATCTAAAACTTTAAAAAATTTTCTGATTAAAATATTATTGTATGACCCGGACGTTCTGTATGACTTCTTAAAGCCGGAGTTCTATATTTTGGAGACACGTTTCGTCAAAACAATTAAAAAATAAACAAAATAAAAAAGATTGGCTGGGTTTGGACGAACCATAAGGGCCCTTCAACTGCAGAAATCCTTTAAAAAATTTGAATATGGCTGCAGAAGACGGACGGGCAAGTTTAGGTCCCGGGCTGGCAGTCCATCTCATCGGAGCGCGGAACAAAAGGTTAAAGGGCGATTAATCAGAGCCGGTGTGGAGGCCTCTCTCCGGCCGCGCTCGTTGCCCGACCCCTTCTCGGATGGCCTTATTTTTTGCGGTTTTAAACCACAAGACAATAGTGCCTAAGGGCATTCAGAAGAACAGGCGTCGTTATGCGTCTTCTTTTCTCTCGTTTGGCTTTGGACAACCAAGATTTTCATTCCGGTTTATTTGGATACCGGAAGGAACAACGTCAAGCTTTCCACCGACAACGTTTACATTTTTACAGTATGACCACAGTATTTCACTATTCCAATTTGCACGAAAGAAGGAGACTTCCTGAAACGATCAGTACAATGGTACTAATTGTAGCCACATAAACAAAAAACAATGTAATTACTACAATTTCCCAATTATAATATCATCTTCTCTCTTTTGCGAAAGGATTTGTACAAAAATAAATATGCATTGTAGTAGGGAGAAAAATAAGTCGACGTAAAAAAGAACGCGTCGCGACTTTTCGGGTCGACGACTGTTCGGGTCAACTCAAAATCGACCTGTACGAGGCATATGACAGGCGGAGACCCGCAAAAAATTGTACGAGGTACGTACAAGGCCTGAAAAAGCCGTTGGATGCTCGGCGAACGGTCGACGAAGGTTCGGCGAAGACTCGGCGAAGATTATCAGTGACTACTTCTTCTAACTTTTTCCTGTCAGAAAAAGGCTTGTGGCGTGGCTCAGGTACAATCCCTAGCCTGGGCAAAGTAATTTGTTCACGAGCTCGGTGTCAAAAAATCGGCTTTTCTTAAAACGCGGTTTGGTACACTTTGAAGGTCTAACATAACAGATGGCGGACATCATTAAAATCGGTATCCTAGAATTAAACGAGAATTGGGCGACTAAATCACCACTAGACAGAACATTCGCTTACTCTGGTCTTGCCCAAAGTTACCATATCACAGATTACTGTAACACTTTTTCTTAAAAAGATATAACCTAATCAAGAAAACGGAGCGATATTTTTGCGTAAATCGAGCTCAGGTCTGTTTTCGACCAGGTAGAACATCCTTGTAATTACGACCTAAAAAAGATCTAAAAATTTTTAAAAAATCCGGAGAAGGCATGTCTTAAAAAAATTCCAGAGAACATAGCCATGTTATCTTATAATAGGCAAAATGACAGACCATCATGAGAATTCCTTCGATATGTTTACTGAAGTAATATCGGTGTAACGACTAAGAGTCGACTTGATTTAATTTAAATCATGGCACTGTAACGGCTTCGCTAACTTAACAGTAGTTATCCGAGTAATCGCATAAAAATGTCATCATATTACATGGGCCTCACTTTATGGCCAACGTTGGGCGGTTTAAAATATTCATATCGAAAAAAGTTTTGCGTTTCGAATTTCGGCGAGCCAACTGACAGCCGGCCAAGTTCGGTAGCTCTTTTCTCCATGTGATATTATCTCAAGTGAGGCCTTTCAAAGTTCAAACAATTAAGGAAAGAATTCTATTTTTTAAAAAACGACTGCACTTCGTTATGTTCGGTAGATCCTTGAAATTTAATCTTTTAAAACCATTATTGAGTCTGTTCTGGATATTTCATTTTCTTACTTGGATGAGCTGTTTCTCCACATGTACACATAGTATCTGGCCTGTTTGCCTAAAATTAAATTCGAATACATAAAAGAGAGGCATAATTTGAACCAAAATCTTCTGGAGAGCCCCACCCTTTCTTGACACCATTTCAGGGTTTCTCTTTTTACAAGGAAAGTACTTCTATGGGGTGTGGAATTACCGGTCAAGATATATATCAAAAAATTCGCAAAAAATTTCTGATTCAGAATATATAAAAATTAGCTGCCTAATTTTGGTCTATTAACGAGTTTTATCAATAAATGTATTTCTCGAGGAAACAAATCTGCGGCAACAAAAGCGAGCTCGGTCTCTTCCCTCGGAAGAGAGCGGTGTGGCCGAGTGGTTAGAGCGCTAGATTGGGAATCCGAAGGGGACGGGTTCGATTCTTTTTGCCACACTAGAACCCATTTTTTACATTGGAACTACTTTTAAGGTGTAGTTGTAATCCAATTTGATATTTTAAGGCTTGTCAAGGCCTCAAAATTTATTTTAGCACAAAACAAAATTTTTTTATTGGTAAAAACACGGTCAAAAAGACACTTGCATTGTGTCGCGAGAAAACTTCTGAGGACAAAAACATGTCATCAGACCAAAATTAGGCAGCTAATTTATATATATTCTGAATCAGAAAATTTTTGCGAATTTTTTGATATATATCTCGACCGGTAATTCCACACCCCATAGAAGTACTTTCCTTGTTAGAATTGTTTTTCTAATCACAGGAATTGGGAGATCGTTCCGGGCTTGATATACTCAAGCACATTAGGCGTGATGTCGACATTATATTATGTATAATGGGGTTAGCGATGCCGTTTTCACTACTTCCTCTCGATTCCTCAAGTTTATTCTCTTAAGCATTTTCTCATGTTTAAACTTGGGCTGGTCAAGTTCCTGAGGGCATGGCTAGGTTTGGTGGAAAATTAATTGGCCTCTGGGCATATGACTAGTTCAAGTGGACAAATATAAGCATTGTGTCCACAAAACTTCTTGAAATTGCCAAGGAGATTTAGGTTCAAGAATTATTCAAATATTCCAGAGAGAAGCTTTTGTTGTAAAAGTCCCAAGAAAGCCGGCCAAACTTGTTAAGGGACTTCGAAAGTCTTGTTCTGTACTTTTACACGGTTTACAAACAAGGCCGGGAGGAATTCGGGAAGTTCGGGAAAGACTTTTAATGGAAATCGAATGAGTAAACATTGGGTATGTGTAATCGTATCTGGTCCTTGTGATTTTCGGACTTAATTACTGGCCTACGGGGTTGAGCCCTTCGATTCCACTTCATGTTTCTTATCTAAGCTTTATGACGGTGCTGCTTTTTTGATCGAGGTTCTAAAAAGGTTATGCACATGAACCTTTCCTAGATATATTTGAAATGCCGCTGAATTCGGGATTTTTTTGCATTTATCAATTTGAGAATCGTTTAATATTTCTTTTCCTGTTCGTAGATGCGGAATGGCAGGATTCTGGTGGCGAGTTGGCCCGGAAAGTGCGCTTCCCGGTGACTTTTAATAGGCATCGGGTAGCCTGTCCCCTTTCCTGTCTTCCCATTTCTTTAAGCAGATATCACATCCCCAAGACAGGAAGCGCGGCAAGGCACCGAAAACGGCGGGTCGTTCCACGAACTGAACTTACCGTTCTCTTGGTTTCCTCCCCTTGTCCTGGAACTTGTGATTGTGGGTTTGTGCGTGGGCTTTGCATCTGACTTGTCATCGTAACAAGAACTGTTTCCACAACAATGGAGCCGGCGGTTTTATTATGACTTTCGTATTTTGGAGCTGTTAAAATTGCATTTTCCGCCAATTTATTTGCATTTCGGCATCCATCAAAACACCGGGATACAAGCCTTGGTCTGAATTCCGGCGCCCACTTGAAGCCCGAGGCTGAGAATCTCGTCGACGGATACATTCTCGAGATGCTCGACTTTCACATGCTAGAAACGGCGCCCCCAAGTTGTTTCGCCCCACCAACCACGCACTCTTTGTTTATCACCGCTTCTGGAGAGTGGTTCAGAAGGATTTGCATAACTCACCTGAGGCTCGAGCTCAGCCACATCATCTTTGATAGTCGGTTTTGTCTGGAAACAAGGTCGATTAAGGTCCTCTTCTACCTTTTCTCTCAAAACTTGCGGTAGTAGTGGATCCACAATTAATTATTCTTTGAAGATCAGTGTTGAAACTTTCGAAAAGAAGTCCTAAAACCCGCCTTTTCCGCAAAACCGCTTCCTGAGTAGGATCTGTTTGTTTGTTTTTTATAGTCATGCTATTAAATATAGATCGAGACCCATGTCCAGTTATACGCTTAATGACGTTATTCAATGTGCGGTTAAGAGCGTATTATTAACTTAACGGCGTCTACGTTCACTTCGAACACCTTACTTATCCGTAAATATTGCAGCCATGACAGAAGCATCGGAGCCAGATGCCTTGAATCTGACGGATCTGTTGACACCGTCTCCTCCGATCATATCACTACCCATCCTTGAGGCATCCGTTTTGATGACTGTTGTGGCCTTCCTCGCCTTGGTCATCAATCTATATTTGCTGAATGTAAGTGCACAATAACTTTGTTATCATCTGCTTTCAGTGCTCGCGTTTTCTCCGGAAACCAATTGGTGTTAACCTCCGGCTTTGTGTCAGTTTGACAGCTTCCAATGCGGCTTGTGCCCAGTTTTATATATTAAGCAATGTCATCAATGTTCTCCTTCCCGCAGCCATGAATTCCGATGGTGTTATATCAAACTGTTTCACTATTCTGATAGAAGTAAGTGTCGTCAATCTGATTGCATTGGATTTGGTTACAGATTCTGAAGATTGGAACTTTCTTCGCATCAGTTTTTACACTCCTGTCATTGGCTCTAAATCATTACGTTGGAGTGGTTTATCCCCTCAGGCGACATGCAATTACCTCAAAGACTGTGCGAATAGCCATCACACTAGCTCATTGCGTTCCAATTATGGCATTTTTGGTTCTTTTTACAGTGGTTCCGGGTGGTTTCAGGGCTGGGAAACCTTTCGCTTTCTTTTCGAAACAAGGATGCCAAGGCGGGAATATCTTCAGTGAGTTCTTCTGAATTATAAATCACATACTATAAACAACTCAAACAGTTTAATTCCTGCTTTCAGAGCGGTTCTCAGTAAGGATAGCCATTGCTTTGCCCTTCATTGTATTTGTTTTGATAATCTCGGCACTGTACATTCATATATTAATTCACATGCATTCTAATACATCTGACCCCATCTTGGCTAGTGCGCATACGAAAGCCAAGAAGAACTCGAACAGACGTTTGTTGAGCACAATAATGCTCCTGGTTGGATCAGCAGTGTTGGGTATGGAATTCTGATGAGATTTAAGAAAAATTATCTTTTACTTGACATTATGACAACCAGTTATTAATTTCATTGATTTAGGATGGCTTCCAACACTAATGCAATACATCTTGTTTTGTTCCGGCTGCATATTTCAGCTTCAACTGACACATGCATTCTATGTTAGTGTGATCTCTCAGTTAGTGAACGTGCTCAAACTTTTGGCAGATGCTTTTATTTATGCAAATCGCCTAATTGAGATTAGATATGCTATGTGGATATTTCATCGAAAAATCCTAGGCGGGATTCCAGGTGAGTAAATGCCGTGATTCAAGCTCGTTTAATGTACATATTAGTTTGCTACTTATGAGTTTTTGGCCATTAATATTAAAAAAACTTTCTTTTTACAGGTATCCGAAATAAGTCAGCCCAAGTTGAGCCTCCGGCAGAATTCGCTCGCTATATCAAGAGTACTACTGCATATCACACTCTAACAAGTACAACCCGATTAATGAATAAGCGAAACAACTCTGCAGACTTCAATGAAGCCAATGGCAGTTTAAATAAGGCCCTTGTTAAGACGTAAAAGTTGACGAGAAAGTCTCTTCCTACAGATCTCACGGTTTATGGAACCGAAAACTCGGAATTGAGTCGACGTATTATGTGCCATTTAGGAGTTATATCCACAACCAATTAAACGAATAAAAAAGAAATTATTTTGCGATACGATAAAAGAGCGATACATCAAAGAAAAACAAGGAAAGCAGGTCATATGACCCAGATATAAACAAGATTTGTGTTCAAGAATCGGAATCAGATTCTCAGAATTGATGACTAGCCTAGCGTGTGTCTTTCTAGGTAAGTACAGCAAGGAGAACACTACGATCTTGCAGCCTTTCTCCCGGTGATATGCCAGTCTGCATATTTTGGTGTGTATCTAGGGGATCTGACTGACAATGACAAGATCCTTGCAAAAGCATACATCGCTAATCGCACAGTTGTGCAATTGAGTAACGTCAACATCTCGGAAGGTAAATAGATTGATGATTTAAAGTAACCCATCCTTAAGGACTAAAGTATTCCTTCATTCTTCAACGCGGAGATGAAACGGAGAAGGTAAAAAAACTGTATGTCGTACAAGGGAAAGGAAGGAAAGCGTTCTCAAAGCGAGTGTAGGTCTTCAATAAAAAACCAACAACACTTTAGTAAGGAAGATACAGAAGTCCCTGCTGATGGCCGCCTGGTTCTCAGAATTCCTAAAGGAATTGAGAACTGGGAGAAGCTGGGGGTCTTTGACGAGGATAAACAGGTAAACGCGATACTGTAGCGTCGCAGCGTGATGTTCAAAAATTTCAGACCGTCGTAGCCAGTATTACTCTTGACAAACCGGCCCCAGAGCCATACTGTTGTTTACAGTCTTCTGAAAATAGAGGAGTTATTGGGAAACATTACAATGTTTCAACCGGGCCTGTCACGATCTTGGACTCACACACCTTCCGAATCCCACAATTCGCCTTCGATGGCACAAAGGCGCCAGGTAAGTGACATATGGATAAAACCTCAATACGATACTCATTAGATGGTTGGATATTTGCCGGAAAAGGACCTGTGAACCAAGAGACGGGACATAAATTGCAAATCCTTGGACGAGATGAGGAAAGGTAAGAAAAAAGTTGAAAAAACAAATCTCGTTTAGTCATTGTGCTCTTCATGAACAATATGTGGGGAACACTGAACTAATCGCTCGTCTTCCACCAAACGTTTCTGTCTATGACATAAATTATTTCGCGGTATTCTGTTATCAATACGACGTAGACTTCGGTCATTTGGATGTAAATCTAACCCCAGAACACAACCCTCTTCCAGCTTATATTCCCCCAATTTCATCTGAACCACTCATACTGCCTAAGAAATGTGACTAATCTCAAAATAAGAAAGCCGTTCAAATAAAGTATATTTTTACGAGAAAACATACGAATAATTCCTTTTTTATTTCTAACTCAAGAAAAGATCTATCATTTACTTGGCGAGAACTCCTGGTTGCTTTAGACGGTAACTCTCTGGCTTGGCAATGGCCCTGTAGGCAAAGACATCATCGTAGATAGCCTGGAATAGCATTATTAGACCATTCTCCGCTAAGGTTAACTTTTCTAAATAACAAAAAGCAATTTAACACTTACCAAAGCAAACGCGGAAACGACAAAGATAGAAGCACCAATCAAATAAGTGTTGAATTTGCGCTGGAGTTCACCATAAACAACTCCGTACGAGTGCTGGGGAATAGGCAAATAGTCAAGGGTAATTGGTGGGCCAGGGTTCACAATCTCATGATGTCCACCAGAGGCTTGACGCTTAGATTGAATGCGAGTCAGACGAGAAATAGCGGTGGATACGCGGAGACGCGCCACAAAACTCATGGTCCTAAAATAACAACAATTTTAATTATTCAATTATAAAACATATGTCATACACAGAGATATAAACATAAAAATACAAACGGATATCTCTATGAAATGTGTAAACTCACGTATACGTATACTCAAGTTGCAGCGAAATGCCACGAACGGACGAAGTGTCATTATTGAATTATTGGATTCTTAATTTTGTAAAAGAGATTTTAGTTCTAAAAATTTTAGATGTTTCGTTTTAGTCTACACTATATGTAGATATAGTGAGTGTCTGGTATTTATGTAGATATAGTGTGTGTCTGGTGTAATTAATTTTTATTACGGATTATTTTCGTTTGTATTTCTGCAAAAAACGTCACAAGCTTTCTATAAAAACAGGCAACAACATGTTATTTTGGTTGCGTTTTTTATCCTGCTCTTTAGAGGCAACCTCTGAGTGGTACTTCTTATTTATCAGCCGATTAATGACCGAAACTTGTTTATTAAATCCGCATGCGTTTTTTTTCTGGGGAAGAACGGTGAACGCCTCCGTGCAGGAAATAAAGGGGACACGCGAAGTTTAGGATCAGGTGATGGGGTCAGAAGAGCTCTTTAATTTTTGTGTGTTTTGACCTGATTTTGTCAGTTGGCTGGCTGTGAGGAGGAGGATGCGGCTCTTACCTAAACATTTCTTGCAGACATATTTTGGAATATACTCAGATGTCATGAAATCGCCCTATTATTCTGAAGTGCTTGGTCTTTACAAGACGGTGAGTTGTTGCTGGTATTTTTGAAGCCATACCTCTGTACAGGTATAAATTTTAAAGCTCTATTCTTTTATTTACAGCTTCGCTTCATGGGTCGAGATTATCCACGGGGGGCTGACTACTTCCACAAGAAACTAAGAAATGCCTTCGAGAAACAAAAGGATGTGTCTGATCCAAAGGAGATCAAGAGATTGCTCGATCGAGGAAATTACGTTGTAAAAGAATTAGAAGCTCTTTATAAACTCCGGTGCTATCGAGCCATGAAGAATCGATATTATGACGACGAACCCCCAAGAATTGCCACAGAACATTAATTGTGGTTTACATAATTCTATTGTATGTACAGTACTTTTACAGTAATCCGGTAATCTCACTTGTTAATTCACATATAAATATTTCTTCTCTGAGGAAGAGCTATGGTTGAAGAAAGGTCTTATTTAAATACCCGTTTATTTACTGAGTTTTGGGATGGCCGTAAAAATGACTCGAGGCAATAATTTAGGCGTGGATTTTAGAACACAGTACTCTGTTGATGTAGTTTTTTGACACTCATTGTCCGTCGATGAGTTTGAACACACCCAAAACCGAGGAGGTCACGAAAACATCGACGGAAGTCTCCGTTGTACATGGTGTAGATGATTGGGTTGAGTACCTTAAAAATACGAAACAATGCGCTAAGGGCTGGAAATTATGAGAGAAACATTAAAAAAGCTATTTTAAAGTTTAAAAAACTTACAGAGTTTGAATAACCAAGCCAAAGAAAAAATTCGCTGAGAATTTTGAATGAATATGTTGTATGTACATGCTGGATGAAGACTTCAGCCAAATAGATCACAAAGAACGGCATCCAACAAATTATGAAACCTGAAGGCAGTGTTTACAGATCTGATTTTATTAACGAAGAATTAAGAACACCAGAAACGCTTACCTAAAACAACGATGCCGATGGTTTTGAGAGCTTTTCTCTCCCTCATGTACACTATCTTCTCCTTTGATCCTCGGATTGCCTTACCCGGACCATGGGTATTATAGTGTTTTTGAGCTTTTGCGACAAGATTCGTTGGTTGGAGATCATTGGAACTATTATTAGCAGTGTTGTTATTGTTATTATTCAGTGTCGTTTGATGGCTGTTGTTTTCCACTAATGCAACTTCTGTTGTTTTCCGCTTGGGTGGTGTCTAAAAATGTTTTAGTTCATTTACAATTGAGAAATAATTACCATTGCGGTTTCGTTAAGATTTAGTAGAGATTTGCTTTCCCGATTGTCATTGTTGTTATTTGGAGTTTCCAGTGTCCTTTGACACGTTGGCGACTGGGAGTCCGTGTCCTCACTCAGGTCTATGACTGTTGGCAGATTGGTCGGGCGTTTTTTCTCGATATCGCTAAAACGTATTCTTTCATTGAATGAGTAATATACTTAATATACTAAGAACGTCGCTGAATATGTAATCAGCAGAATAAAAAAGAAAACGGGCAATTCAAGCGACAGAACTGTTTGAGTGGGGGAGGATACAGCCATCAAGCAGATGCAGAATTCATGACATTAATATATCAACTGCCTAATTATAGCCTTAGGGTACATCCTACTGTGAGAAGAGAGGACGTGGAAGGAGAACATGAAGAATTTACTTTTTTTCGAGATGGAGGGAATGATTGAGTCTGGGAGAGTTTGTTCCACTTTCCGACCACTGATCTCTCGCTCGGTTTGTGGGGGCACTGGCACATCTGAATCTATATGTGGGTGAGTCGATGTTCATAACGTTTATGCAGTAAATAATACCTGTTATGGTTGTTCGCTTGTAGTAGTTGTTGTCTTCTCCTGTGCTTATCGACACGGCGACTTAATCGACAGGTCCCCAGGTTCTGCCGCATAAGTTTTTCTCGTTCCGACGCAACTCGGAATATTTTAAAATACACGGAGAGCATGATCTGAAGAATAATTGAGTGCGTTACATGTCTGGAGGTGGACTTACCAATAATGGAATATAGAAACTACACAAAGCACTGTAAATTCGATAGGGAATGGAGACTGGATACCCGCAGACAAAGGCATTGGTGTCAGTTATGGTCCGCTGATTGAAGATTCCCCAACTGGGAATAATCCAAGGGGGAGAGCAAACAACCACGGAGATGAACCATACAGAACTCAGAAGGACGATCGCCATCAGGCGACTTCTGAATGAGTTTTAATTAACCACAGTATTAATAAAGCTTATGTGTGAAAGATTAAAGGTCGTTACAAACATTTTCTCCTCTAAAAATTCACTTACCGTGTTCGCGGGTACTTTAATGGTGATGTGATAGCCATGTACCTGTCTAATGAAATCACACAGAGGTTCAAGATAGATGCCGTGCATAACAATACGTCTGTTGTCGCCCAAACCGAACATAGAAATCTTCCAAATTGCCAATGATGATCGTAGAGAAGATCAACTAGGGCTAGAGGCATCACTACCAAGCCGACCAGTAGATCTGGAGGATTTAACCTTTATATTTTTTTTTATTTTCTTACCTGCAGTGGCCAAAGAAGTCAGTAAAATATTTGTAAAAGTTCGCATTCTTTTGTAGAGAAACACCGAAAGAACAACGAGGATGTTACCAAAGATAGTCATCAAAATTAGAATTATCTGAAATCATGCTTTTATTGTTATCCTTCTTTGCTTTGCGTTGTTACTGATAGAAAGAATCCTTGCTTCTACAATTTTTAATGTACAAATGGCATCCCCGAAAAGTTTTGGGATGGAACGTTAAAAGGATAAACGCCATAACATGAAATAAAGGTCCGGCCAAACATTAACGTCATCATAATTCCCGGTGACGCTAGTCCCAATACAAAACATAATATTTGATAACAATGCAATGTCAAAACAGCCAAGAAAGTGTTGGAAGTAAAACGCTATTAATAATTTCGTATATACTTCAAGCAGTAAGTGCGGTTGAACGTACCAAAAATAAGGCGATGAAAACGTCCTCCAGGCCGAGACAGAGTTGAGGATTTGTGGACGAGAGGAGGTCGGAGACACGCCGGGCGGGTTGTTCCTGTCGCGACGAAGTGGTGTACCGTTGTTCCTGGCCAGGGCCGGGTCCTAGCTGAACAGTCCGTGCCAACAGCAACAACAGGTCTTGGTTTTCGGCGTTTTGGATGGGGATTTTCTCCGCTTGCACTCCCGCATTGATCGACTGGCTGATTATAAGTGCGAACTGCCATGCCATACTGCAAAAGGAAGGCAAATGTCATTCGGATATCAGAATAGAACCCCCAGGCAGTGCGGTCGATGACGATGACGTGCTTTTCAGATAATAGAAAACTAATTGGATCCTAGTTCAGACGCCAGAAGGCGCCTCTACAATGTCGCGAATGCAGATTAGACGGCGAGCGACTACCCAAGATATGTAGAATATATGGAAATGAATCAGAAGGAAGACCGACCGACAATTGCACTCCTTCCCAAGTATTATAGTTGCTTTATCTCCAATAATTGGCAAGGCTAGGGCTGAGACTTACTTGTTTGGATAAAAGATAATGCTGTTATTATAATAGTACATCAAAGTGTAATTTAATCACTACGACGGTGCCGGTCAGGGACAGCTCGGGTCAGCGATCTGTGGTGCGAACTCGGCATTATTTTTGATGTTGTGGATGGTATTGTACGAAAAACACATTCGCTTTCATGTTAAAACAGCTTAGAGATTATTAAAATTCGGTGTTATGGACGAACGTCAACCGGAGACTTTTACACCTATTAGAAAAACGTCCTTCACTTAAAAGCACCGACCGCCGAGTCTTCGCCGAGTTACCAGGTTTCCGCAGAGCCTTCACCGGTCTCTTTCTGGTGTCCTAAGCAAATGTATCGTTGACCCGAAACGTCGCTGACACGACGTGTCGTTTGCCCGAGTTGTCGTCGTCCCGAACTGTCGAAACCCGAACGGTCCCCAAGCAGAAAGAGATTCTAGCAAGGGAAATAACCTACAGGAATGACCATGCCATTTGGAGATTTCGTGCGCATCAGATCGACGCTGGCGGCAACCATTCGCTTGAAGCCCTCAGCGCCCGGGATTCATGCTGTTTTTAATTTAGACTTTTTAAACACTTTTACTCGTCTCTGTGTACAATGAGTGGGCTATAAAACAGAATAGTATTAAGCGCTCTCGACCTCGCACTTTTCAACACGTTCGGCGCGATTAAAACAAAAAATTCAGACCGGAGGATACAACAAAACAGAATTCGAGGGGGAGGTTAAAAATAAATTAAATTGGACAAAAAATGCTTCAGGATTTGCGGCCCATAGAGAAGAAAATCTACCTGTTTGGTATGAAAAGGACTTCTAATTGAAGAACTTATTTATGTGTCATCATAGTGCATGAACGTCTACCGGAAAGATGCAATTTACTCAACGATTCATATATCATTCGTTTAGGAGTAAAGGGAGACAGAAAAAGTCCCAAATTTTGTCAAAGTCCATGTCAGCGGTGTCAACGTTTGATATTTAAATAAAGACATCCCTCTTATGCATCTCTCTTCAGATGTTTACGAGGCTCCAAAAATGGTAACAGAAGAAGAACAAGTTCCGACAGGCCTCCCAATTCCCCACTCCTACTCCTCCTTCCGTCGTTGAACGATATTAAGTTACACGGGGCCGCGGGGCCGCGTTTTTCATTTCGATAATCATAATAAAAGTTCGACGAACCGAATCCGACCAGAACTTGGCCTGGGGCCGTAACGTCCTTAAAACCCGGTGTTAAGGTTTCGATTCGCTGGCACTAATCCGGAAATGAACAGGATATTGTAGGCTGGCCAAGGTAATTGCGATTGCACTGGGAGCCCGCAAACTTCAAGAATGAAACGGCTAGCCCTTGAAACGAAGACAGAAGTGTTCCTTTACCTTCCGGGGCTCTCGGATTCAGGCTCAATGGAAAAGCCTGCGCGAACTCCCATAATCTGATTTTAGGTTTCCTGGCAAAGTTTTTCCCTCTCTGGACTTGTTTTAGAAAATTCGGAACTGATTAGCTTTTGATAAGAGCGGAAAGAAAAGGCCAAAAGTAATAATAAATGTTTTTACTGATTATTGGAAAGGGTAGCAAAGAACAAGTCGTCTGACTGCAACCAAACAAGATTATTATCAACGGCTTAAGAATGGGTTGACTGCTTCACGTAATCTTTGGTGTCCTCAATCCCCAAAAAGTCACGGCTTAAAGTCAAACGTTTTGTGAATCAAACCAAAATTTCACGGGAACGAGCCGGATTCCATTCATGACGACGGTGTCCACCGGACAACGTGTTAGGAATAAATTCCGATGCCGCTTTTGAATGCAACACCTTTTTTAATACAGGAATAGAGGCCGGCCAAAGACGGCCGAAGGGCACAGTTTTCCGCTTCTTTTCATCCCGAACATACCTGCACTTCCAGGACCCGGGAGGTGTGACTTTACTAACTTGGACCTCGGAATGACGGCTCAACGGCTTTTCGACACTTATCCCGACCGTTATGACAATTGTGGGAGATGACAGCTAATTGGGGCCGAGTCCCCATTAATCTGTTTAAAATCACCGGAAACGCGGCTATGACGCCGAGCCGTCACGACCTGTCAAAAGTCCAACATTCAAAGGCACTTCTGCCTATAACGTACTAGCTGGCCTCATTAAGCCATTAGTGTCCTGCGCTTGGGTCCTAGAAAAAAGATCTAAAGCCATGGAAGGGAGGGGGAGTCAAAATCCAGTGAAGATGAACATAAAATCTTCCTTTGCTCGGCCATTGTGCCTGCTTTGGCTGCGGAACTTTGAGAGGAAAAACAAAAATTCCTCAATTTGAGTTCATTAAATCAGGAATGTAAAGGTTGTTTTGCCTGCGGGAACACGAATTTCCTAAGGCGATAAAAGGGAAAAAAACGAAATTCCCCTCGGGTCAGACAATCCCACAACTTAGGAACCGGAAATTGGACAAATCTAGAGAGCCGTCGTCAGTTAATCGGTCAGGTAAACGGCGCCTAAGGCGACGTCCTCCGTCTCGGCCGTTAAACACCGAAAAGTGTCACAAGAAATGAAGACAATTAAATGACTTTAGGACAGGCTAATCCCCGGCTTCGATTGTTTTGAGACCTATTTCCGGGAACCGCAACAGAAATAGAACCCTCACTCAACTTCACTGGACCAATTGCACAAAAAAGACCACGTATAATATTTATGTAAATTCACAATGAACGGACAAACACAGGAAGATGAATAAAAAGGAATTATAGGGATTGGTAAGAAGACGGGAGGGCTGAGACTCTTGATGTAATTTCTTTGATTAACATCTGACACAGGTCAGCAAAAACTATTTGTTATGCCAAAAAGGAAATAATCAGTTTTGATGATGAATCTTTGTATGAGAAGCCCTCGAGAATAAGCTCCATCCAAATTTATTAATGCCAAATCCCGCAAGATTGAAGGAAAAACAGATTCGAATGTAACGCCGGGATGACACTAAAACATCATGCCGTTCTCTACTTTTACGTCGCTAATTTATCGACAAAATTGCTCTCACTATTTTCAGGACTTGAAAAAAGTACAGACATTAAATTCAAATACCTACCACCCTCACTATTGACGTGAAATCAGCAAAGGAAAAGTAACATCGAGGATCTCCTGGCAGCGTCATGAAATTCATATATACCTGTAGTGGGCTGGAACGTGGAATTCGAATACCCGTCAGACAAAACATGTTCGGGGCGTAATTGCACTGACTTTTTAACAAGCGTAATATTTGGGAAAGGGGAATTGATGAATAATTCACCCATTCCCCTCACAACTTAAGGCATCAAGGTAAAATTGTGCGTTTCCCGACTATTACATTACAATTCCCCCAGGGCATTTATCTGCGAAATGTGCGGCCATCGAGACAGATAGCTTCAGTGCTTTCCAGAGATTTGGTTGAAAGGGGACTTACCCAATCATGGCGACGCCATCAACATTCGAGAAGCTGCGATGCCGGAGATAAGGACAAATGGCTTCAATCCATTCTCGTACTCGATTCTTTGGCCATCCTTTAATTGCAATTTTCTTAAGCAATTCTAGCCATCTCACGCATTCAAATATATGCACAATTAACGGATTCACGATGCCCCTCCTGCCTGATATCATCATGGTCAAAAAGACCATCTCCAAAAGATTCCCTCTTTCGTTGGAGAAAAAGTAACATCACCGTTTTCGTGATTAACATTATTTCTTTTTAGATGAGGAGTCTGTTTGAGTCAGCCAAGAAAATGTATCGAGGATGTAAATGGAATGATTCGGAAGATCGTCTTGGCAAAACTAATGGGCCCGAGGTAAAAAGATTTATATAAACAAAAGCGCATGGATATATCCCCAAGTCTGAGAAAACGCATCGCCTGAGGATATAAACCGAGTTTATTAATGTCGAAACAAGGAGAAGAAGGGGTCCTAGTGCAACATTCTAATAAAAACTGATGGTTTTTTAGGTTAAATAAACAAAATGCTGACTATTATGCGAAAGTTACATAACAAGTAATTGCTATTTGGCCACGGTGATGGACAGATCGAGCAATCCAATTGTCCCAAATACGATTTAATTGAGTGTTTATCCGCCCTCAACGTCTCAACGTGTTGGCCATCTCCTCCGTCACATCTCTTGGCTCTTCCTTTTTGACTTTTGGGAATTTCGCGGCCGACTGGAAATCGACCGGATTTGGAGAGCAGATTGAATAAAACCTTGATGTTCTGGACTCTCTCTTCTCGCCTATCACGTCTGTTGTTGCACTGTCTGTAAACGTTCCGGCTCCTTCTTTGGCTCAGCTTCCGTTCTTGGGAAGAGAATTCTCTTTGTTAAGGACCTGCCCTTAGGCAGCAATATCCTCGATATGCTTAAAATAGTTTCATATTAAGCAATAATTTATAAAAGATGGGAAATAAAGGTTGCGTTTAACCGTAATTGCGCAATTTTTATGTATACATAGCTTGCAAACGTTTTAATTTCTTGACCTTGCAAAAATTGCTGTATTCCTATGACCCGTACACATGCATAGTTCAAAATTTTTTATCGCTGTATGTAGTGAATTTGAATATACAGAAAAATCGAAATAAATTTTACTAGAAACAAAGAATAAACAAATATCGGTTATCAGATTTCAAAGGCGATTGCAAATAAATTATCAATCATCGAACGAAAGGCCCGACTCCGGAGGAAAGGGAATTATTACACCCTGCTGCCTAAACAGAATTCCACGAATAAAGGGACTTACATCTTCTTTATGATCCACTTGTGACCACATTTGTTTCTCATTTGGGACTCGAATACCCTAAAACCTTTGATCTCATTCTTTCTTCTTCAAAATGATATCAATGGCTCCAGGGAGTCGAATACTGAGAGAGTAATCATATATGGTAGGTGGAAAAAATAAGAATTTTAAGAAAAATAATCAAATCACAGCAGTTCCAAATAGAAGTTGAACACAATAAATCATTCCGAAAAACCGGCTTAATAGCGGCGATATGCAAAAGAAAAAAATGGCGAATAAAAAATACGGTCTCTTTTGTAAGCAAGGGATCCCGAAAATTCCTCCCCGGTACCCTAAATCTATGATCTCATCAACCAAAACCCTCGATGAAATACACAGATTAAGGGTACCGAGGAAGAGATCGAGCGCATAATGGAAGAAAGAGGTGATGGACCGGTCAGTCCGGAACGAAAGTGCAAAAGGTATCGAGGTGGAAGGGGGGGGGTGAGGTGTTGTCGGGGTTGAGAGCTAGTGGTGGAATGCGACTGGCGGACGGGGAGAAGACTGGGATGAGTGAATCAGGGCGGTGGGGTCGCGTTCCGTCCGACCGTCAGGGGCCCTGTTGTCCGTTCATTGCAGTTCAGCTCAAACTGCCTGCCCCTTCTCGCTGCGTCTTGCAAGGTCTGCATTCGGTGTGCGACGATGGACCGGTCGGCCGGTCGGGCGCCCTCTTCCACGGGCGCCCCTTCCCCGTCAAACGCCCCGCCCCGCTCCCGACTGATTGGATGTGCGCCGATCCCAACGCCAAGCAGAGACTCAATTTAAAGGGTTCCCAAACTGTTAATCCACCAAAAACAAAGTGCTGCTTCTGATTTGCATAAGCCCGAAAAAACAGACTCAAGTGAAGGTCGAGATCAGACCGAAGTTTGGGAGTCGAGAGTGGGACGAACGAAACGACTCCAAGCGACCAACGCTGGTGAACATACAAATTTAGAAAAGAGCAGACCTAAATATATATATACGGGCTGATCAGGCTAATATATGTAATAAGGCAGACATATCAAACAGACATCTCCAAGTCTGCAAGGAAAGTCAAAGCCCAGAAATTCAGAAGGAGATGGACAGCAGAAATAACAACTGTTGGATCAGAGGCAAAGACAAATGACAACAGCAATAAACAAGAGTAGGTAAGCGATACATGTGTCTACACACCTTTGTCTGGAGACACGACTAATTAGATCGGGAGTGCAATATGCGATTGGAAGCGAGAGGAAGGGAAGGGACGAGACTTCCCCTCTTTTATTTTACAACAAAAAATGGCGTTTGATATCAGTCTTGATTGGAAGGGGCAAGAATTCGGGAGAAATAACTCATACAAATTCATGCACTCTCCCTTTCGCCCTTTGATCTTCAGTAGAGACGTTTACAACATAGTCGATAAGAGATATAAGATCATATCATTTGAAGAATATGGTTTGAGATCAGGGCGTTGCATGCCTTTAATAAAGAGCTCATTAAAAGCTTGTACGATCTTAGGCAATTTACGAACAGCAATGTTGCATAGTCGAATAACAAAAAGTTTATTGCAAGGTTGAGGCGGCATGTAGTTACGATCAAGCTCAGCAAGCTCAAGAAGAGAATGAAATCATTTTGATGGACTCCTTGTTCATCTACTTTAACTGGCCGGTTTCCATCATCAAAGGAGAGAAATCGTTTATGGGCTGAGAGACGCGAGATCCTTGGATCAAACCTCTTCTCGATATCCGGCGAAAATTCCCCGGCGGGGTTTTTGACGCTTTCGGTTCGAGGCATCGCCGAGAGCGGTCTTCAGTGCTCGAGGAGTTTAACGCCACCATTCCCCTACGGCGTTCAACCGCTGATATGCATTCCCGAAGACGAAGTCCATGCCCGATCTCCTTTTTATTGTGCTTCCACCTTCAAAGTACTACTTTATTTTTGGTTGGTTTGTTATGTGTTTCGTATGGAAGCGAGAACGAAACTGATGTTACGGTAGACCTTGTGGTATCTTCAACACACGGATTGGAAACTTTGCAAGGAAGATTTGACGATCATTTTAACATTGATGAAGCCAATGGTAACAACTTTTTTCAAAAGAATGTATCTGTCATGACTTATGCAACTTTGTAATTTGTAGATCATGATTTGGCTGCGTACAAAGATTACTTAGAATCCAGGCTTATCTTGGTCAGTCGGGCTCAGAATCGGTCTTCGGATGCAGAAAGTCCCAAGTCAAAACGTTTCATCCCCATCCCGATCTCGGCGTCTCTCCCCGACCACGGATCCGATTATGTGCGCTCTCGAGTTGCTGTTGTCGCCAAACAAAACGATGAAAGTGAAAACGAGCTGCCTGAGCAAAAGACTAATGATGAATTCATCAGTGAATCCAAGATCCTTAAAGATTCCACTTCAATGCCTCAGGCAGTAGATGATGAGAATTGGACTTACGCAAATAACTCAACAGAAATCGAAGCAAGTACTCCAACTCAGGATCAAAGAAGCTCTGTCAAAGGAAACGACGAGAAACAAGCCAAGAACGCCACGGAGATATTGAAGCAATCAGAGTCACAGAGAGCTCATATTCATCATCCGAAGGCCTTCTCTTCGGCTACTGTACATTTCTCTCATTCGGATGGACCTTCGTTCAACCCAACTGTAAGAGAGTTTGACATTCAGTTAACTATCCGTTTAGCAAAACCATACAGCTGAAGAGTGTAAAAGATTGTCGCAGCAAGAGTTGGTTAAAGAATTGAAACAAAAAGGAACTTATAATCCGGATCTGATGGCCTGGGATGCGACAGGAGTATTCAGATTTCTAGATCGGTCTATCCTTGACCAATATGAGGTAAGACAGAGTGAGAACTTATATATATATACAACTCCCGAACTTGATTCACATTTTTGAATTTAGCGGCAGGTAAGAGCGCAAACCTCAAATCAACAGGCAGTGGAAAGAAATGTCTTGGCTTTGGAGAGAATCCTCTCCGAACTCAACTTGAAATGTCAAGTTAGGTCTCCCGAGGTCCTTTCAAAGATCAGCAATTTGACAATGTAAGTTGTCTATATGTAACATTACTTTAGCCATTCAGATTTGAACCAAGGAGAACTGTAATGTCTCCTTCTTTACGTATGAATAACGAAGAGATCACTCGGTTCAAACGCAGTTCAGTTGCTGATGATCTTCTGAAGACTTTCAATAAATCTAGAAGTCAAGACACCATCAGCGATAGTCATCAAAAGTTGGTTGGCGAAGTCCATGTGGTCCCATTTGGGTGTGACAAACGTGGGGAGAGAGAAGATGGATATCTGAGATTGTGTGGTGCCTGTCAGGCCATTAGAAAATTGCCAGACTCCTTCTTCCCTCCCTTTATCAACGAAGTGATGTGTGACGAAGACAAAGCGTGTCTCTACTTTTATGATTACCGTAAGGAATTTTAACACCTACCCAATTCGATTATAGCTCATGGGAAATGCAAACAAAAGCACATGAACTTTGTTGTTCTGAGGAATATTGGGACTCCTCATTGCCAAATTTGGCAAAAATTTAATTTGAATGTGAGAGTGTCCTGCGAATGTTTTGTTGGTAAGCTGCATTATACTTCACTTCCATAATTTTAACCTTACATCTAATTTCAGACGAAATGTCATTCTTTTCCAAATACGTGTAACCCCTACTTGTACCATAAGCAACCAGAACCCGGTCTCTCGTATGTCTGTAAATAAAGCCCCGATTTTTAAAGAGTATTATATATATATATCTTTAACGTAGTGTAATTATACGTAAAACCGGTGAAGAATAATAAATATGTTATACCAAACGACCCGTGCTTTAATGAAATGGAGTGTGGGGAGTATCCTCGTCATCAGAATTCATGGCAACAGCGATTAACATGTCATACTCGTCGTTTTCAGCTCCCGAAGATCCATTACTCAACGTTCGATGAACCATAAGATCACTGCTAAAGAACTTTCTGTACGAACTGGTAGGCCAAAAGATGTGAACGAGACAGGCCAATGCAACAAAGTTGGCAAAGGTGGTGACAGCTAAAATAATCAGTTACCCCGGGCAGTTACGTATTCAAAAAACCTGCGAAAACCTTACATATAACAAATTTTATCCTCCAAAATTCAGAAACTGCCATGGAAACCAGTACCAGGAGAATATAATATGTAAACCAGACCATATAAGCGGCACCAAAATGGACGAGGAAATTTGAGCGATCTCGGCTTGTCTCTCTAAACAATTAAACAATACTTACCCCACTTACATCCTCAAAGTTCTTTTCATTTCCACCAAAAACCAGATTCCTTGCACCAGGCGGAGTCCAACGATGACATGGAGGACCTTCGAATCCACAAAATCAAAGTAGTTTCGGCCTGCTTCCATAAAGACCTAAAAAAGGTAAAAAATAAATAAACAAACACTAAACTTACGTAATCATAAGTGAACACAAGGAGATGAGCAAAGGAGAAAATGAGCCAGACATTGAAGACGTAGTATCCCTTTATAGAAACACCCGTTTTCCTCAACGACCAGCCACTACTAAGCAGCAGCAATAGTAAACACAACAAACACACGCTCAGGTTTCTTATCAACTAAAAATATGTAATTAAAAAAGTGGATAGACATACCTCTGCAAAATAGTTCAATATCGAAAACGCCGATCCGTGCAGAGCGTATATAGACATGTTAAACAACTGAATACCCAATCTTAGCACCTCTAGATTAATAATCCATAAAAGCAATCGACTTCGTAAATGCAAAATGTGATATTTCGATTTGACTTGGGATCTTCCTTGAACGATGGACAACATTCCAAAACACACGAAACCAAGGAAGATCACTTCCAATATATTCTAAATCTGAATAAAACAAAATATCGGTCATTATTACCTGTTCTTCAAAAGAAAATTGATTTGTCAACCAGTTCCCGTAAACAGGATGCCCGTTCGTAAGTGTAATGTCATATTCGATTGGTTCCAATCTCTCGGATTCCACCCAAGAGCAATTCTCATCTAATCTACAAGCCACTAAAATAATGTGCCAGTACTCCGGAACGTAAGGTTCATCGATCCTGAAGGTGAATTGACTTCCTTTGATCACTTGTGAGGGCTTGTCTTCATCAATGCAATATTTTCCCTTAGGGCATGGAATCCATCGCATGTGATCTCCACGTCTGCCATTACGTAAACACCTCGGCTCGAAGAGTATTCCACTTATATTCTGAAAATATCGATGTTAATTGAGTTAAATCTTACCTCCATTAGTGCGGGACAAGAAAACTGCCAGAAATCAGAATGTCTGAAGCTGTGAAAACGGGTTTCTGGTATCACTAGAAGAGCAACATCACCTAAAATACGGTATTCAACGTAAAAATCACAAACTCACTCTTCTCATCGGTTTTGGCAGTCGCATTACCAAAAAGGAATCCTCTGGTTAACTCTGGCTCAATTTTATTAAAAGGTTGTACCCCAAATGTCGTGATAATCTTCAATTTTTCATCCGAAACTTTCCACGTTCCCCATGATCGTCTTGAATGGACAGCACTTACCAAAATTAGTAAAAACAAAAGTCGCATTACTTCCTTACATTACTGAAAAAAAGTAATTATTTAAAAAAATGCTTATAAGATTACATTATCGCAGGTATACCTACCAATAGCCAACCAACTCAAAACTTTCAAACAAAAACGAAAAAATTTATGAAAGCAACAACAAACAACTAGAACCCCGAGAGTTGTTCTCTAACAAAGTTGATGACGTCTGTGACCGAATTTTGCTTCTGAAGTTCCATTCTTTGGCTTTTCGTGAACAACGAATTAGACATGAAGGCAGTATGTCTGTGCAATAATGTGTAGTGAACATCCATATCCGTTGCGATCGAAAACTAAATTAATCATGAATAAAAACATATAATCTCACCCAATCCTTGATACAATCGACTGGTGTTTTTTGATGGCCTCCAAATAATGCCGGATTCGAGAGAAGTCCCTCTCCTACCATTATACCTAAACAAAGAATAAATTAACGATAATAGAAACAAACCATCAGCGCCAGTTATCGACGCTATCTCCAGAGCTTGTCGATAACTTGTGCATCCTCCATTCGCGTAAACGGGAACTTGAACAGATGCCTTTACGTGACCGATAGCTTCAAAATCCGGACTTTCTGCACGTTGCGAAACTGTTCTTCCGTGTACTGCTATATGGGAAACCCCAGCTGACTCAAACTAAAAATTTCAGTATCCAATATCATTGATCCTCACTTTTCTACACATATCCACAGTTTCACTTAATGGATGACGAATGCGTATTTTTACTGAGATGGTGAAGTCAGGGTCAGATATTCTGTTTCTCGTCTGTTTAACTATATCCGATATTAATTCCGGGTTTTCTAACATCTTTGAACCAAACCCTTCACTTCGAACATCACTTTTTGGACATCCACAATTCAGGTCAATTCCTTTTACATCTCTAAACATGAAGGTAGGATACAGACTGAAAACATACCCGTACACTAACTCGGCCGCCCTGGCGAAGTCTTCAGGTTTATTGGCCGCGAATTGGACAATAGGCCAGTCCCCTTCGTCTGTCGTGAATTCGTTGGCTCGACATTTCTCTGAGGCCACAAAACAATGAGCATAAATCATCGGGGTATATGCCAACTCACATCCATATAGCGAAACCAACCTCCGAAAGTGTAGCCTGCAAAAAAAAGCAATAGCTTTGTAAATTGTAACAATATTGTTGTTGTTCTAACTTACTTTGAGTAACGCACCATTGGAGCACAAATGAATAATGGTGGATCGATTCCCAACTTCTTACAATCCTCATCTTTGTTCTAAAAACAAACGTAACTATTATTCATTGAATTAATCAACTTGCCACAACGATTCGCCGCCGAATTTCCGAATATTCCGACTCACTATCTGTTGAGCATGATGCAGATGCAGGAGGGTTTCCCGTGTCCTCAATGGCCTGTAAAAGACGTCGTAAAATTATAAATTCTTTACCATTTCTAATGCGACAAGACAAAGACACCAACAAAACCCAAAAAAACATTTTGTATGAGAATTTATGAGATACGTTTCGTCGTATAATGTATCCCCATTTCTTTTTTATTATCTTTTTTGGAAGTTTTGATTTTGATGTGGAGTTCAAGGTGGATGAAATGTCGTTGACCTCAAAGTTAACGCTGCTGGGACGTCAAAATGCTTATGCATTATCTGCTAATATTATTCATGAACGAGGTGTCCACCATCACATGGAAAGGAGCGACATTCTTCGATATCTCGGTATAAAACGGTCTAATACAGCAAAAGCGAATAGGAATACGCATGTTAATGAGAAGAAGTTTAGGCAGGTAAGATTTATTTTATCCGTTAAACTTATTTTTTTGTTTAGTTGATGTTAATATTCATTTTAGTTGAGAGGCAGAAAAAATGTGATGATTGAGCTACCGGATTATGAATTTGAAAGGAAAGGAAAGGACATGTATGCAGATGATATGCGTATTGCCATGTTAAAGAAAGGCATTAATGTAAACAAAGATGTGGCGGCTAGGCAGTGGAATGAATCCCAACTGACAATGCAGACGTTCGGTAAGCATTAGCAGGGAATCTTTATGATTTTAGGTATGTCAATTGATAATTATATTCCACCCGAAGACCCGCTGCCTCTTCTTCCGGAGGTCAGTCAGATTATTTCCGGGACCAAAGCGAAGGCGTCTGAAGTTGGGGAAAGAGTAAAACATCGATGGCACAACTATTTCAACGGTCTCAGGATAATCAAAAAGAAGGAGGGGCTCCAAAATTTTAAGACAAAGGTATTCCTTTGTCGAAAGCATTACCCTTGATAAAATTTGCTCTTTAACTTATTTTGCTTTTAGAATTTCGTCCGTGATGCTGAAAGAATCTACATTGATGCCTTCAAGGCACTGTCTGAGAGAAACAAGTTGAGGTTGTTGGGATTAATAACCGAGCATTGTTTTGAGGTAAAGTTTATGTAATTTTTTATTGAATCCTTTCAGAAAATGTGGCCGGATGTGGAGAATAGATCTCTCGTCTGGGAGTTCGTTGAATTCTCGCAGCCTTCGCAGGTAGTGGCTATTCGCGCCGGAGATTTCCCGTATAAATCCGGGAATTACATTGCTCAGATTACAGTGAAGATGCATCCAGTGATTGTAAGTTTTCTTTATTGTTGTTCTAGTTTATGCGATGTTTTGTTTCGTTGTTATCCAAATGACTGAACGAATAGTAAAATAAATTTTTATAGAAACGGGCGGTCTATGACAGGTTTGGTCGCGTTTTGTTGGGACACCCAGAGGAAACGAAAAGTAATGTGGAATATGTTCTCTTTGAGAATCACATATCGAATATTGACGGAGTCTGGAGAATGCATGACAAAGTGTATCCGTCATGGACTCAGACCAAAGATTCTATTCACCGGCATGATCTTCTGGCTCGATTAGAAGACGAAGAAGACATCGACAGACCGGCTGGACCTAAAAAGTTCGAATTGGGAATCGAAGACAGATTAAGGAGGGAGGAAAAGAAACAGCGGGAGAAGGAGGCCGAGCAGGACAAGGCCTAGACTGGATCCCTTTTTTTGTTGTTTTAGGATAAACTTGTTATTTCTTTCTTGTTTTTTGTGGCATAACGGTTAATACTGCCGTTGCTATATTCGTTGATGCACTTTTCACGTTATTATTTATGAGTCACGGTTAGGGTTGCTTTTGTGTGTTCTTAAGCACTGTTTTCAACTTGCGGGGCTTCTAGTGGTGTGAAAAAGTATAAGGGAATTTTAGTATAATTATAGGGTTGGCGCCGTTTATTTCCTTTATTTTTTCAAGGTGCTATGGATCCGTAAAAATGGCCAGAAAGGAGGTTGGATATTATAATTGCTAAGAGACCGGACCGTGGAACTTGGTTGCCAAAGCCCGGGGTTTGCGGGAGGAATAAGTCCCAAAAAGGGCTTTCTAAAACGATCCAACTCTGCATCATTTACATTATCAGTGCATTGATTGCGGGTCGGAGAGAGAAAGCGAGAAGGGAACACAACACGTTTGTGGATAAGGATAGTAACACTCCCTGAGGCTCTCTTATCACTATTTATTTTCATAAAATTCCAACATTTTTTAAAGTTTATTAAGCAAGCTTTTCCTGAACAGTGATTTATCATTTTATTTCAGGTCCATTTCCCGTTGTTTATGTCTTGAACCAGTAATTTATGTATGCCTGAGGAGATTCGGCTTCGAGATATACCAAGAATGGCTAGAAGTTGGCTGGGTCGGCGTCTCAGCGGCCGAAGATTGATTTATTTCCTCATCTCGCTTTCTCTACTATCATTTGTGGCCGTTCAGTTTACTTTTGGTAGACCAGTAGGTTAATATTTTTTTGTATTATGGGCTTAGAACGATGTAATTGCAAGCAGAAGGCATCCTCAAGACGGCTTTAATGATGATCCACCATATAAAGCTGGTGGTCCTCAAGAAGCAAGGTTACATGCGGATGTTGTAAAGGTCCCCCCGAGAGACGGATTCCTCAATAATGTGGCTGATGCTATTAAACCGACATTTTTGGGGAAAGGGAAGTTTATTCCAGAAAAAAGGATCGTTCATCTGGATCTAAAAGGAGGAGCGTATAGAGTAAGTAAATTAACTTTAGACTACAAATCGGCATCTTTAAAGGCGATCTACACGCCTATGAGATTACAATAATAATATAAAAAGCCACGATTTTCGAGAAATTTGGATGAGTCTCAAAAAATGTTCGCTTTTGTAAATCCCGGGTTTTAAAAAATCGAACTGCATTCCAGCTGTATATTGCATTAGGCAATGCTAGATATGCTGCTCGATCTGATGATATAGAAACTTACTGTGACGTTGCAATTCTGAGTCATCGATGTCAAAAATGTCCGCTCCAAGCAACGATTTGTATTAGAACGCATTAAAAACTGTTGTTATGATATACTATACATGTAGATCGCTTTAAATTGAAAGGGCCGATTTATAGTCTGAGTGTAAATAACTATAGAGATTTTTACTTTAGCCTTCTTTCTTCCCTCGACTGTTTGATTTTTTTGTAAAAACTCAATTCACGGGTATTTTATTGGAATGGGAAGACATGTTTCCATACGAAGGAACTCTGAAAACAGCTATAAACGGAGATGCTTACAGTATGCAGGACGTAGGTAAAATACTTAAATTCTATTTGGTATTAGGTACGCGATATTCTCCAAGCAGCGAAGGATCGCAAGCTGGAAGTAATCCCTCTTGTCCAGACTTTTGGCCATCTGGAATGGGTCCTGAAATTGGACGGATTTGCGCGGCTTCGGGAAGATCCCAGACATCCAACTGTCATTTGTTTTGGAAAGAACGAGAGCTTTGACATCATTAAGGATATGGTTGATCAGGTGGCCGGAGTCCATAAAGAATTTGGAATGTCTTCTTTCCACATGGGTGCAGATGAGGTTTTTATATTGGGAGTTTGTAACGAATCCGTCAAGAAAATGCAAGAACATGGGGGAAAGGATCGGGCAATGCTGTGGCATATGTCCAGAGTGGCCAAATACATCAAGGAGACCCATAAGGTGGACGTTCTAGCATGGCATGATATGTTTGCCCACATAATCGAGGAAGACCTCCGGACATACGAAATGACAACGTTGGTCGAACCCATGCTCTGGAGTTATGCTGAGGATCTGGATTATTTCCTTCCATTCTCAACCTGGCTTTCGTTGAAACCATTTGGAAAAGCATGGGCAGCTTCGGCTTTCAAAGGTGCAGACGGCCCAGGGAGGTATATCTCTAATCCGATGCATTATGTGAAGAATCATGAGAGTTGGGTAAAACAGTTTGATCGGGCAAAGAATGAACTGAAAATCCGAGGCCTGGTCTACACTGGATGGAGCAGATACGATCATATGGCCACGTTGTGTGAGCTGGTACCAACTGCTCTTCCTCAGCTTTTAATGTCTCAAGAAACAATCCTGGAAGGGAAACCGATGAATGGGAATTATGAGATGACTCGCAAATGGTTGGAATGCACTCCAGTCACCGGTCTGGGGGAAGTTTCTTATGGTTGCAAATTTCCTGGAAGTGAAGTAAGAAGTTATTATATTATCCTGAAAACGTTATTGTAGGTCTACGAGGTCATCAACCAGTATTACAATAAACGGCTAGCTGTGGAGAAATATATTGCTGAGGATTACGACTTTAATGGATGGTTGACCAGGATTGCGGAGGTTTACGATGTCTCTTCTCCATTGGCTGTCGAGGTAACGGAGACCTTAATTGACTTATGGCTTCCTTGTTTAGAAAATAATTCCTGTTCTGGATCAACATTTATCCGATCTTAAAGCCTCAGAGAAAGCCTTCAGAAATGCGATGAAATTAATTTATTTCCAAGAAACCATCGATGAATACGTTTATGTTTACATGGCTGACATCATAGAAAAGTTGCAACGTCGGAGAGAAGCAGCGATAAAACAGTCGACCGGGGTGAACACATATCCCAAGCGACCGTTTATTAAATACCCAAAAGAGCTCTGAATCCATTTGATGACTGATATCACTTATTCCAGCTGATTTTTGCTGTTGTAATTTTATGTTTCTTACCTTATCTTCCGGCAGCCCATATCCCTGATTTCTCAGTTATGTTGTTCGGGTTTAGTAACGTTAATTCAGTGTACTTTTATAGGCATTTTTTATGACCATCATTTTTTATATTACTTTGTTTAAACTCCACTTGCCCATATTGTGGTCGGTGTCTTCACAGTCATTGTATATTCCCTCACCGATCGGTCTGGCCCCAAGGGCATCAAACTTCTGGCTCTCAGGGCCCAATAACGCACTCAGACAATTGTGATATTATTTATTGCGCAATAACGATAAAAATAATCTGACCCGGTTGTTTGGTTTTGTTTCAGGCGGTGCCTGTTCTCCGTTTCAAGGTTAGGTTCTCCTTGTCGCTGTTGTTTCCCCGCCGGTAATTAACCGGGCCGTTTAAATCTTTCATTTCTTCCCCGACTTCCTCGATTCCAACGGTCTCCGATCTCCTTGACCCAGAACGTGATGATTACGGCGAGCGAATACCGAAAAACAAACCTCCAACCTCATCACTTATGAGCCTTGACATTCTTCTGTAATACACTGACAATAAAGATCGTATCTTCTGTACGGAAACGCTTGCAAAAGCCCTAAAGAATAGGATAAATCCGGATGGACAGGTGAAGGACGTCGAGGGCAATTGGAACGCTCAGAGAACATCGTTCCGGAGCGGTTGCAAAGCTATCAGTTGTCCGATTACCCTTTTACCCTTGACACCGAACGAAAAGCGATACGATGAAAGTCTCGGGTGTTGGTGGAAATGGCATCGTTGAATGATTTTGGAAGGGAGAGTAATTAGTCTTACTTAGGGTCTATAAAGATTGTTGCATTTTCCAAACTTTTGCTGTGCTTAAAGGTTTTGGTGACTAATTGGAATATATGGCTTTTTTGTTTTGAGTTTGGCGTTTTCATACCGTACCCTTGTAGACTAATAATTGTAGTTTTGTTTTCCCAACCACATTTGCATCGTTTTTTCGGCGTCGACGCCTTCAGATGCCATTACGCAATCAAGTCCGGAGGGGTTTTACGAGGATTTAGCGGGTTACCGGCGCAATGTTCACGCTTAATTAATTCGAATACGGCATCGCCTTGAGATGCCTGCAAGTCGAATCTACATCAAAATTTTCCTCAACAACTAAAATGTGTCAAAAGTTGCGATCAGCCGGAAATGCTATGAGATGCGTCAAATGACCGGGATCTGTCACATAAATTGAAAGGTTGGCACAAAGTTGCGTATTCCGAAAGGAGAGGGACGATGTTTGCTTAGGATGGTGGGGTTTAGCGTGGGTTGTCATCAATGACAAGGTCAGATTTTAAACGGAAACTACTGTATTTCGAATACTTTCTTTGGAAGGATCCCTTCTACAATGAGATCTGTAACTTTCACTGCCATTCTTGGATTCACTGATTGCGTGATGTTTTGCCGCCACCATTTTGAAAAAAAGGCGTCGGATGCGTGTTTTCGGTGTCGCCCGGGGTTTTCAGAAGTTCCTGATCTCGGCACCCGGAGGGGTCTTTTACAACCACCTCTTGACCGAGAGCCCTAAACAAAAAAAAGTTTCGGTAATCCAGGGTTTGCTTCCTTATAATGATTGCGCAATAAGGTTATGCCCGTAGGGTGTCATCGTTATTAAGAACGGGGTCAGGAATGTGACGCTCTCGCGTTGTCATTAATCCCTGGTTCATATCTCGAACGGCTGTTGATTTAATTATTTTTATATGATAATATTATTCTTGTAGATTTTATTTCGCCGTTCTTACTTGCATGGCTAAGCCGACAACGGCTGGACATGTTACCTTGAACCATTTATTTGATCACCCCGTATCCAAATTGGATTCCCTTGTATTCGAATTGAAACTTTTTTGCACTTTTTCCCTCCTGAACCCATTAATGGGATCTTTATTTAAATTCGTGGCGACCTCTCTCCTCTCTGACCTAACCATTTCAGGATTTGGCGTTAGTCGTTTCATTGTCAAAGTAAATGTCACACAAGTAGGCGAGAAGATGGTCATATGGCTTGTGTCTATTCTATTTTCTGTTGTATTAAAGAGTTGTGATGGAGTCAGTCAGAGTTTTGTTAACAGTTCTGTTCTCCATGAACGGCCCACTTTTGTTGTTAATTTTGATATGGCCACAGTAATCTGTCAGCATTCGAAAGACCCCGAAGATTTGCATTTGCATGACATTAGCGTCCTGTGTGATGGTCATGTTGATTGTTACAGTAGTGTGGCCATGAATGATGAGAGTTTCCCTTACTGTGGTATGATTTCCCCTTTTTACTTTATTTATTTATTTTAAACAGTCTTAAGATGGTGCTTATTTATTTCAGAAAAGAAGTGTAATTCAACTTGTTCTCATCACGGTGCTTGTCTTTTTGATGGGAGGAGGGCGCAATGTTACTGTAACTCCGGATTCCAAGGACCAAGTTGTGAATTAACAGGTGTGAAATTACGGTTACTTTTTAAAATGACTAATTTAGATACTAATGAATGTAACGACAAGCCGTGCCATTGGATGGCCAAGTGTCAGAACACTTTCGGATCTTATCGATGCGAATGTTACCCTGGATTTGAAGGAAACGGATACGAATGCACAGGTTGGTCTTCTTCTAAAAGGTGTCCCGACGAAAATGTTTTTAAAATATTTTCTTTCCAGATATTGATGAATGTGCCGACGGTCTGGCCGACTGTCCCTCCAATTCCGTTTGTGTTAATCTCCCGGGAACTTACATGTGTAATTGTTCTCAAGGTTACATTCCCAAAGGAGCGCCAGTTGATAAATGTGTGGATATTGATGAATGTGATCTGGGATTGGCTAAATGTGGCCACAAACTTTGTCAGAATTTGATTGGAGGTTACAAATGTGTTGATGAATGTGAAGATGGATATGATCTGAAGGATGGAAAGTGTGTGGATCTGGATGAATGTGTGAATGGACAGAATAATTGCGACGCCCGGGCCGTGTGCCGCAATAAACCCGGAGGCTATGATTGTTTTTGTGATGATGGATTTGTTGGAGATGGGCGATCTTGTTCTCGTAAGCAATTGTATTAATCTCTGCAAATATATTTCCTGTTACAGCAATCTATGATTGCACCCAGAATGAAGGAATATGCGACAGGCATGCTTATTGCCTCAGCTCTCTTAAGATGTGTGTCTGTCAGAGTGGATACGCAGGAGATGGACATAGCTGTAGAGATGTAAATGAATGCAGTGGAAGTATGAATCCATGTGCTCAGCAAGAAAACAATAAGTGTGTGAATGTGGAAGGGGGTTACATCTGTTGTAATCAAGTGGAGAATGAAGAGAAATGTCTGAAAGATTCGGGGCTCTACTGTTCTGGTGGGTGTGGAGTAAATGCGGTCTGTTTTAATCAGACTTGTACTTGTGTTCCCGGATATGAAGGAGATCCGAAGGTTAGGTGTTCAGGTAAGACACTGTAACATTTTAAAAATTCATTATAATACTGTGTAGAGGCCAGTTATATGCAAGTATTAAAGTTCCTTTAGATGTAAATGAATGCCATCAAGACAACATTTGTACCGGAGCAGGACAATGGTGTGTGAATCTACCCGGAGGGCATATTTGCTGTACTCCCGACTCCGATTATCCAGAATGCCGTGGATTGGAGTTGGTTCCAGATGTCTTAGATCCCAAAGCCATCGCCATTTCCGATGCAAATGCAAGGAATAAAAACGCTAATGGAAATAACGCTGAAGCCAATTCCTTTGCTCAGGTGAATGGAGTCAGAGGTGGAGCTGAGGGAGATCTTGAAGAAACTGAATTAGCAACTCAAGAAAAGGTCAAAAGAAGGAGATTCAGAACAAGTAAGTGCTGTAATCTGATTCACTTCACTGTCCTATGTGATATGGTTTATCAAATCATTACTTCAGAGACAGTTCACATCGGAAGACAATTAAAAACACATTCTGGAGGTTTTGTCTTAATCAGAAGACCGAAAGAGCGGCTTTTTAGAAACGAAACTACAGGAGAATTTGATATAAAAGGTAGGTGGTTACTGTAAGTGTACGCCTTTCTTTCAGAGATTCCAGATTGTCCCAATGGCCAAGATTCAGAATGTCCCGAGCATTCCGTCTGCTTCAATCATCGTTGCCGATGCCGTCTCGGATTCGAATGGAGTCGGCTCAAGGGAACCTGCGAAGGTCAGTTTACAGTACTCTTAACGTCTTCAAATTCACAATTTTTCACTTCAATTTTGCATTTTTGGCAATTTTTCCATTCTTCCAACATTTTTATTGTTCCACTAACATTTTTTGGAATTGCTTTCTTGAAGATGTAAACGAATGTCTGGGCCAGAATCCATGTCCCAATTCTCCAAAACACAAGGAATCTTGGTGTGTGAATACAATTGGTGGATATCATTGTTGCCACACTGGAATGGACATGGAAGAATGTGATGGGATGGCCATAACCCAAATGGAGCCAAGCGTTCCAGTAGATGTTACCGAGAGTGACAATAAACATGACATCTTCAAGACTGCCAGTTACGGAGAATTACGCAAGAAAGTGTCCAAACACATTATCTTTGGCCGAGGAAGGATACCCGCTCAGAAATTGTGGGGATTAGAGTTGACTGGGAAGGGACTCTTCGCCGGATTACCGGGATTCCCCGGATCAGAAGAAGGGCCCACGGATCAAGGTAAGTCATCAAGCAAAGTTCACAATCCTTTAAGCACCTTTAAAACCCTCGGTGAGCACCACTTTATTCACCACTGTCTCAATTGCACCGCTTGGAGGACCGATGGTCGGTCCGCGTTTGCCCTCAGGGCATGAATTGGCAGAGAAATCACACGTTTCACCTATGAGCACTGGCACCGAACTCACAAATAGAAAAGTTGTTCAGATACCAGTCGATAAGACAGGGAATGTTCAGGGAGAATTTACTCCATCTGTTTTTAATTCTTCTGGCATTGGAGATGATGGCCAATTCCGTTTTTTCAACCGGACTGAAGGGACTTTCGGATTTGTGGCCAAACCAAAAGAGGGACTCAAGGTGCCTGAAGATATATTTCTGAATCCTCAGAAACCATTTGTAATCCCGTCACCAGATTTTGGAATACCCCACATTAATCCAAATGATTTCCCTGAGATTTTAGTAGACGAAAAAGGAGGGAAAAGGAAAGAATTCAGAAGTTTCAATCAGACTTCGGGATCAGTTGGACTGGTACTTGGACCAAATGGGGTATCGGACAAAAAACAACCGTTTGTGTTGCCCCATGGCGTGAAATTTACACCAATTCATTTACAAAATCCAAATGAAATTTTTAACAGAAAATCCAAAGGCAGAAAAGGCGAGGGAGTTGAGGGGCGAGAGATGACTAAAAATGCGGAAGGAGAATTCGGCCTTGTACTGCGTCCAGTAAAGCCAGATTCCATTAGATCTCCTACAAAATCAATTCCGGAATCGGTTAGAACCACGGAACCCTCGGACGTAACACGTTCAATATTTGAGTCATCAAGGGGCGCGGAGACTACAACAAGAAAAGTTGATTCAGATAGGATTGAAGTCGACATCACCCCTGAAGAATTCGACCAAAAAAATCTCAAAGAAGAAATCATCCCACAAACTCCTCCGGCCATCGAAAACACCAGATTAAATCACACTGTTAATGAAGAAGAGTGGGTGATAGAACATGGAGGGAAGGGAAAGAACATCCAGATACCTGAGAGTCAAGAAACCCTCGTCTTAACTGCTCAGCTTGGATTCCAGAAGTCCACAAAAGTTCCTAAAACAATAATATCTGATGCAAAGTCAACATATGTTGCGTCAAATGGGACCGAAGATAAATTGAGACCCTCCCCGACACCGAATGAACCGGTCGAAACAACCACTTTGATCTCCGCTAAAACAACCGGACAGGCTGCAACATCGCTGACAACTGAACCCATGACCGCTATAATTACATCAAACGAACCTTCAAATAATGTGGAAATTGACCAAACTTGGACACCAACTAGCACTGGCACTGTTAATTTAAGCGTGCCAGAGGGCCTGCAGACCAATGAAGGGACAACAGTCACATCCGTGATGACATCAACAGCTAAACAAAACGAACTGACAGTAACACCAGCCCAAATGACAAAAAACGAAACTCCCAACGAGCTTCGCAAGACCACGGCAGATAATACAGAAATGGCAGTACCCGCAGAAGAATCGTCAACTGGAAGTACACCGACTTCATCGAATCATGGCTTCCCTTTGAAAAAAGACTTCGGTGTGACAGAAACTGAGCCTACCACCGAAATTATAACAGGAAACAAAAAATTGGTAACCTCAACATCATCTTCGATAGGATTTGAAGGTCCAGTGGCAGAAACGGAAAATGTTTCCAGTAAAACTAAAGTAATTACACCAACGAGTAAAATTACTACGAAGAAGATTACGATTCTTGAAGCAGCTACGGCAACAACTCTTGCAGTAACTTCAAAGATTACGACGGAAAATAACACACCTTTGAGGAGTTCCAGCGCAGAAACGACTACTACGGCTATGCGATTGTCAAAGGCGAAGGTGGAAAATAAAATCACTACTGGATCCGCGCATTTCAGGCAACCAACGACAATTCGACCTAATCCAAATGAAGAGATGACAAACGAAAGTTCAACGACTGGTAGAACTCCGGACCAGATAAGTGCCGACACAGCAACTGCAAGTACATTAAGAGACGGCGTTAATCCTAACAAGGGAATTCAAACTTCACCTCCAAACGCATCTCGTGAAACTGAAAAGCCTAAAATTGAGCCAGAAGAGCTAACGACAAGAATTGGCCAAGATTTCGAACACCCTGTATCCTTGTCCTCAGCACCTGCCATGATGCCAACCGACACCGAAGTCCATGAAGATACTACAAGTAATAGAGATATTCAGAGGGAGTCAACTGAGTTCCAAGGTATTGTAAATAGAATAGTTAGCTCATCAACACACACACCTGATACCACGTCAACACAAGCCGTTACGCCAGAGCCGAGTACAATGCCGGAGGGAGTCACTAGTCACAAATTTACGCAAACTCGGACCATTTCAACACCAGACGAAGGATCTGGATTAGAACTAAGTGGCAATGGGCTTGAAAGTATAAATATCACAGTGTCATCGCTCGGCTCCAATAAAGTCAAGACGATAACAGCCAAGCCAAAGTCTGAAATCAGAGGTGAAACATCGGCCACAAAAAAGTTCGAATCAACGGAACTGGTTCTGAACGGCGGCGGATTCAAATTGAACGGACATGGCACAAAAGCGAACAAAAAGGAGCAAGAAGTTGAACACTCCTTGGCTCCGCCTATTGTTCATGAAGACAGAAGAAACCAAAAAAGTTATCCAAATCGAGCACATCAGGAGCTCAATAATCAAACGAAGGATGAAACAGTAAAAGAATCAGTTAAGAAGATTGAAAATCGGCAAAAAGAAATTGTTGAAAACACCGTTATCATCACAGTTCCAGAACAGAAAGTGCTGACAAAGGAGGAAAACCGGTCACAGAATGCAAAACATTCTGGAGAAAGGAGTTCAACCAGTTCCAACGGAAAAACATCGCAAAGGGAAGGTCCACCGTCGTTGCCAGAAACTGCTACAATAAAAAATGGTGCTGAAAGAGTACCAGCGACGCAACCTAAAAAAACTACAACGCCTTCAACCACTACAGTACCCCCCAAAAAAATTGAAATTACTTCGGAGAACAAAAGTTTGATTTCTGTTGCACCAGAAGCAGGTGAGTACCCATCCAGTACAACCCCGACGACATTCGAAACGCATAAGCCTGGAAGCAGTAGTCCCTCTAGCTCAACAACAGCGGCTAAGCAAGTGGAAAACGATGAGCATACAGAAACCGCGGAGAAAAAATCAACCTTAATCTCTGGTATTCAAACAAAATACAGATTGTGGACGAGCGCTCCTGAACGTGGCCTAGAAATATTTGGTTCAGACATCCAGCCAATCAAAGGCATCACACCATCTGTGTTTGTTGATGAGGAAGCTTCGATCAAGAAAACTCATAATGTTTTTAATCATCCTGAGATTAGAACATCGTCTCACAAGAAAAAGATAACCGGCAAAGTTGAGTTGATTCAAACGAAAAATGAAAGTTCTGGGGAAGAAACGTTCGTTATAACAAGGAATGATGCTTTCGAAAGAATCACAAAGGTTATAAATCTGAGCAGATACCCCACCACTATAGCTCCGAGACTTTCAACGGACCAGCCTTTGAACTCAGTGACCGCTACAAGTCCGGCCGACGTTGAACATTTCAAAACAACCAAAAGCTTTACTGAAGACCTTGAACGCATTAATAACACCGATCTTCCAATTGCTGGCGGCAACATTCGGACATCACTGCCACCGGATCAAAATTTCAATACTTTGGGTCCCACAAGAGCGACCGTCGCGGAAGATTCCACAATCAGAGAAGCCGATGATTCCACTGAAAAACCAGAAAGTCGAGAACCAAAAGATAGTAAAGACCTTCCATTAACCACTGTGTCTGTTAACAACGGGCCGAAAGCTATCACCGATGATGGGATAAAGACGGAAGTTTACAGCTCGACTTCAACAACAGCTTCAAAAAACGAACTTACCGACGCTGGTTTTAACCTCGGCAAGAAGAAAACATTTGCTGCAAGTGAAATAACATCGACTTCAGCATCTCTCGAACTTCTCACACCGACATCTGTTTCTTCATTGGAAACACCAAAACCCACAGAAAGAGAAGACTTGTTTACAGTAAGATCAACACAAGACTTTGGTGGGAAAATAGTCGGAAATACAACCGAGAAGGAAAAGGAGGAGGTCGGAGGTCTAAGAGGCGCAAAAAAGATGTCATCGTTTGAGTCCATGTTCCAAAATAAAACGAAAAAATATACTTTGAATCCACTTGAAATTAATCCGTCATATATGAAGATAACAAGCAAATTTGAGCGGATCCAAACGAAAAACAAAACTTCTGGAGAAGGGATGTTTATTCTGACAAAGAACGCTACGTTTGGTCATATTACGAAGACAATCAGCCAAAACGGACACATCACCACTACTGCTCCGAAATTGTTTACAGATGAGACCTTAACAAGCCCGGAAAACGGAGATTTCACAGCAACAGAAGCAGAGAGCTCTACTGAAAGCCGACAACTGACTAGTGGTACTGATGTTCCACCTAGAGCGACCGGTGACACCATTCGGCCATCACTTAAAGTCAAGACCAAGGAAGCAGTGCCAACAAAAACACAAAGTTCCACTCTAGCTACAGACAAGCCGGGTAGCAGTAATTCCAACAAAAATAAACAGCATACATCGGCCGAGATTGGACAGATGTCAACTTCAACTTTATTAAACCCTGCAGCTTCAAAATCCACCCCGAAATACCAAGTGTCCGAGAAAATAACCGAAAGCCTAAGTGAAGAACCGTCATCAACAACGCGAGGGTTGGATGATCAACCAGAGGAAGTAACAACAGGATATTCAAAGAAGATGTTTAAAGCTGACGCGGTGATAGAGAGAACAAAGATTGTGCCTTCTGAGACAACATTTCAAACTCCAACACAAACTGATGTTACAGAGACTGTCACTGAATCCACCAGGATGAAAAGCAGTCTGCGAACCGCAAAGCTAAAAGTAGCTGACAAGGACACAGCGGTAGATATCGACATAAGAACCACAGAACCGAACGATTTTAGCACAAGAACGTCGGCGCCAGAGGAAGGGCTTAGTGGTCACACAAAGGAAACCACAACTCCGGCTTCTAAGAAGAAGCTTGAGAGTCGTGGTGAGATGATAACAAAGCAGTCCGAGACCACAGTGAAAAGTCAAAACAAAATGGTTTTTACAGAGGTCTCCACTGAATCCATCACGGTGGTTACCGATCTTACAACAACAGAAAAGCCACCATCGCAAACGAAAAAGAATTCCTTTTCTACGCCTTCTGCAAACCCAGGAAGGAGTACAATCACAGAGACTTCATTAGAAAGCCTGGGGTTTAAAAAGCCAGACGCTAGGGCTGCTTTCACAAGTCAAGAGCTAGAGCGATTAAGAACTAGTACACCAGCCGGAAAAATCTCCACACAACCCTCGTCTAGTCATCAGCAAGGGACAACAGAGTTTGACAGTACATCCATTGAATCCCCGTACAATCAAACAACGGCATCAAATAACTTAGAGACCAATCAGCCTTTTAAGGCATCGACTTTGGAAAGCAAGACTGAGCTAAGCCATACCGAAAAGCCGACCGAAGCTGAGACAATAAGAACGCAACAGCTCAATCACATTCAAAGATTTCAACCAACAGGAAGTGCGAAAACACAGCTCTCGGATACATCAGTTACAAGCCCCTCTCAGAGACTCACTTCTGCAGTCGATCAAAATAAAAAAGAATTCATAAATCTCCATAGGTCCAGCACAAAACAAACTGAAGTGCAGACGATTTTGGGAACAAATAAAGAAGATATCCGGGTCACAACATTTCCCAGTATTACACAAATATCAAACGTAACTAACAGTGTTGGCGGGGATGAAGTTACCATAATGCCATCCGATGCAACAAGTGAAAAAAATGTCGAACAGTCGCCCACATTGTCTAATTCTCAACCCAAAACCTCAACCAATCCAAAATTACGGGTTACACTGTTCACAGATTCAGCAGTTGACACACGGACAGTCTCAACGACGCCGGCAACAGGTTTAACAGATTCCATAGAAATGGGGGTGAAAGAATCGACGATAATGCCGGCCATGACTAAACAATATAACAGACACAGCACAATACGAGGAGTTAAAACAGTTATTCCAATCTTGACATCCAGGCATTTGGACCACAGGAAAACGACAGCGCCTTATTCAACGGCAAAGACCCTAATAAACTCGGAGTCAAGTTTAACCCCGGAAGAAATGGCAACAACTGAAGGAGAACAGAGTACAAGCATACTCCCCAATGAGTTTGAATCTACCTGGAAAACTCAGCCAACCTTCAGATCAACAGAACTAACAGATAATCCCATGGAAAGCAGTTCGCCCAAGACGACTTCTCCTCAAGAATCGAAAAATACCTCTCCAACAACAACAGTTGACTTCGAAACTTCTAAAAGAAGTTCCTCTGCCTCTAAACGACTGAAAGGAAAAGTCGAGATAATTCAGCAGAAAAATGAAACTTGGGGAGAGAAAACAGTCGTCGTAAAACCGGGGAAAGGGACAATCGAAATAGATAACCTGAGTGTCGAGGGGAACAATCCTACAATTTTGTCAATCAACCCATCTAGAAAACCAAACCCATCAGTTGATGTTGTGATTCTGGATAAAGGGAATAGTGAAATACCATATATAAAAACCAAACAGCAAAGCTCAGAGATAAAAGTTGACGCACTTACCAGTCATACATCTACAGTATCAAAGACATTAGCGAGGAAAACAACGGCGGCATCTTCAGAGAATAAGCCACCAGCTGAAATTGGATTAGAAATCTTCGGTTCCGACATCAGCCAGAAAAGTCAGCAAAAACCCCCCAAAAACAACGGAGGAAGGGAGAGGAACGGGAGCAAAGTTGCAGGGAATAAAGCTAACTCCTCACCGGAATCTGGCTTAGAAATTATAGGATCAGATATTCTACTTACTCCAACTGCAACTCCCTCAACAGTTCCAAGAAATTTGAAGGGAGGTTTGCCATCACCTTCAGCAGAAGTTAAGTCCGCTACTTTCCCTACGACCAATATTGACATGGTTACAGAAAGTAGCGAGAAAGTAGTTGACGGCTCTACCACAAGACCTTTAAGAATTTACACTTCTGAACCGAGTCCCAGAACAACTCCTGCTCTGAAGACCACCACGGAAAGAATCACAGGACAAATTTCCGTGACAACGGATTCGCCGACGCTAAATTCATTTGAACCCAATAAAGTAACTACAGAGAAAGACGGCTTAGAGTTAAGCACTGGCAATCCGGTTGAGACATCATCATTAATGGAGGGAAGAACAATTTTGGTTACAGAAGACGCTCTTAGCCCGACAAGAGCGCCAGACAGAAAACTGGATGAAGCCACAACGACCTCAGACGGTTTGCACCCATCTATAAGTCATCCGCGTTCAAATCAAAGCTCGCAAAGCAATGCTATAAAATCAAATGCACCTTCAGCCACACCAATCGTTTCAATTGTCACCCCCATTGGACCATCCACCGTAACGGCTACTACCAGAATTACGCAATGGGTAGATGAATCAACATCGGTTACCGATTCGATGAGATATACAGCTCCAGATTTGAATTCGTTATCTCCTATAGCTCCCCAAGGTGTAAATGAGGGCGAACACACAAGAACCGTTCACCCATTAAAATTCACTTCTGAAATCCACACCTCCAATTTCAAAGAATTGGGCGGCTTAACAACACCTTCAACAACCAAAAAAGATTTGACTGAAGATATTGAAGACATTCAGAGCACCGGTAAGACTGGTTCTACAGCGGCTGATGAATCGACAAGCCGTTCCGAAAAGTTTAAAACCAGATTTACACCCACTGCGGTTTCAACGAATACAAATGATACAGCTAAAGCCAAAACAGAAAGGCAGGGGATGAGAGAGCTGTCAACGGCGAAGAGTGAGATTCAACATCCTACCATGTCATCCGCCGATTCAGTATTGCGGACCAGAGAATATGCGACGTCTAAACCCGGTGTTACTTCCATGCCGGACAGAGAAACAACAATCTCCCGGTCGCCTAATCAACATATTGAAATTGATTCAGAAAGAGAGAATGTAAAAGAAGGGAATGAACAAACACTACCGGGCCAATCAGTTACAAAACAAGAAACAAAGAGACTTTACAGTACCGGTAATCCCGACTTGACATCAAGCGAGCATCCGACCAAGTATTCCGCTGCAGCGACCCCTTCAAGGAATGACAAGCCACAAGAAAACTTTGAGTCATCTCAAGGCAGTTCCATACCAAGGACCGTTGCAAAACAAACCGCAACCTCGGAAGAGAATCCAAAAAGTTATACAAAATATTCAGAGAAGCCGCAAATTATAAATGTTAAAATGCCCGAGGCTATGGCCAAAAATGAAATTGTTGGGGTTACGCAACTTCCACCAACCAACACTACCCAGGAAACTGAGAAAGATATGCGCCAATCTCATGAAATTGAGAACTCCACACCAGCGAGTACAGAAGAAAAAGAAAATGTGACCTCAGGAAAAGTAATTGCTAAGACAACAACGAGAAAGGGCACAACAGAATTCCCTGAAAAGACTTTAAAGAGGACTAAAACGACTACAGTTCCTCATCATCTGCAAACGCAAACTTCCCGAAACAAAGCGGAAAAGTCGGAAGAAATTGGCCTGGAGATAACCGGGAAAGGCTTAAAGAAAAATGACTTGAGAAATAAAATAAGATCAAGTCATGAAGTGAACGGAAAATCTGGAGAACATGACGGATTAGAAGAAGGTCTTGAAATAGTGGTCAAAGGAATTCAGTCGGCACAACAAAACGTCAGGGGAAAGGGAAAGAAGTTTGCCAGCAAGACTCCAGATGTGGTTGACGGAAACACGAAAGACTACGGACACACAGAAACCCCATTTGTAAGCGTTTCAACCTCAAAAAAGTCTACAGGAAAAGAATTAAAATGGTCAGAAGAAAGATTCAAGATGAAAAATGAGAGGAAAGAAAATGCCCATACAGTAATTATCAATCCAAAAGTGACCCCCAACGAGTCTGTCAAAGAAGTTGGATTGGAAATCCATGGGATTGGCCTTTTTCCAAAACAAACAGGACGCTTTGAGACTGAATTGACGACAGTTCCCTCAGAGAAAACCAGAACAACGACAGAATCAACGCCGGGAATGTCGGACTCAACCGTAAGACAAATGAAAAAGGACAAATATATTGGAGTGGCCTCCACAACAGAGCCCGATGAAACATTTGTAACTCGACTGACGGAGCTATACGGAGATGTATCAACGAGTTCAGCCCGGGAAGAGTCAAGTTCAGCTTTTCCGAATGAATCGAGTTCCGAGAATACGGAAAGACCACAGCTAACGCACGAAAGGATAAGAAATGTATCCACGTCTTTAACAGAACTCGAAAAGTTAGCTACGAATCCACCAACTGAACAAAACATCCCTTATAAGCATTATCGTTCCAAGGTAGCCGTGCATAACATCACCCAGAATACTGGTCTCGGAAATCAAGAAAACACAACTGTAGTAAACACAACAACGGAGAAGGTTATCGTTGTTAAAACTGGATATAAGATTAATCAATCAAAGTCATCAATTTCAAAGACAACCTCAGGTAAATTCAACCACACGTCGGAGAAAAGCTCCATTGTGCCACAAACTACTACTGAAGAGACAGAAGATTCCAGCAGGACCGAAACCCCCAAAGCGCAGTCAACAGAAAGAAGCGTATCGATTATTTCGTACAAGACATCAAAGAAGGAAAATGCTAAAGAAGAAACAACCTCACATGAAACGACTGATCCCCCAGGCTTTACGTCAAACACAGGTATTGTAGAAGATGGCACTACAACACTGACAACTAAAATATCGTTTCCCAGTCGATCAGATCGAAAAACTTCTAGTGAAAACTATTCAATCAAAACCCTGACATATTCGCCAACCACAACTTCAAAGGCTGAATTACCGGAAGCTCTGACCTCCCTAACAGAGACAGGATGGACTACCCTTAGATACTCTGAAACCCGACAAAGTAAAGAAAAAAGTTTGACAGGCTCACCGACAGATGCAAACGTGGGTCACGAAACAATCCAAAGAACTTTCTCTGAAGAAACTGCACGCCCTAGCCTGCCTCAAACAATCTCTGAGGCGACTGAAGCCGGCCAAATTAAAACAAGCACTGCTGAGATTGAGAATGTAAAGACAGCGGAAGAAGGATTCAGCTCAACCGCAATTATTCCTGATGCCGCTGCTGTAACTGCTACTGTAGCCCCTGAAATCACAGTTATCTCGACAACCAAATCCGAAAGCCATCCAAGAGTTTCAACTACTCCGAAGAGTTTGGTAGAACAGGAGACATTGGAACCTTCGACTGCAAATATTCGACAATCCGTGACGTCATCCACAGCAACGGGTCAGGGATTCAAAACGACTATAAAAGCGCATTGGGAAGAAACATCTAAGAATACTGAGAAATCAGGACCTCCGGTGACAACCAATGCAACAGAAATTGGTGAAACAGTACATGATAAATTAATGCCGGCTGATAATAAGACTACCGTCCAGGAAGAGATCATTACTGAAGCTGCTACCGGCAAGCCGATTCCCACAATAACCACACAAATAGGCTTCAAGGAACCCATGAACCTACCACCTCAAACTACCCTTGAAGATATCCTAACGCCCGAAAACACAAAAAGAAATACCAGTACTACTAGCAGAACAACTTTGCCGTCTGTTGTTGAAGCCACGACAGAAGCTAAAAAGGATTTAATCACCGTTTCGACGAGGTTAGTAGAAATGAGTACTGGCAACCCAGTTGATACCCCCTCCAGCGATGAACTAGTTCCGGCAATTATAACAACTGAATCCGGTTTTAAAAAGAAGGTTCAACAAGAAGTTTCGACGCCAGATGATCTGCCTAAAATTCCTTTAAGGAATGATTCTTTTGTGATGTCATTCGAATCACCGACAACCTCAACAGGTTATCCGCCAAATACAGCATCGTTGAGACAGGAAGTAACCTCGGTTATAACATCTCGAAGTCCAGCAACCACTCCACAAGCATTATCTACAATGGAAACGGTCGCGGCTTGGACCGTGACCAACACAAGATCGCCAATTGAAACTGGAGCAATTCCTACAGAAGAAATGAATAGTTTTACATCCCAATCACCATTGTTTGACTCTTCGAGAAGTCCTGCAAAATTTCCTACCAACGTAAAACAAAGACCGGAAATGAACCTACAAACGCTGGGGGTGCCACCTTCTAGGATGTCCACTTCTCCGCCTCCATCACCCACAGTGCCACCGTCACCCCACTCTACACACTCACTGAATTTTGCACCCAAAACAAACCTGAGTATTCCACCAGAAGATGGTGATTATCCTGAAAGGATTGATCTCTCAGACACGATTCACTCACAGATCATTTCCAAGAATCCCACTAGTACTGCAATTCCAGAGTTCAGTGACATTTTTCCAACTAATTCCAACAACAGAAAAGCTGAGGAACGTCTAACTACGGTACCTCCCATTCGTAAGTTTAGAGAAAATCAATAATCAAGAACATTTCAGAGATTTCTGGCTTTTTATTTTTCTATTTTTAGTAACATTTTTACAATTTTAGCTTACAATTAGACTTTGAACAAAATTCTGATAAAACTTTTTTCAGATTATACTAAACTCCAACGGGAGACGACTTTTGATGGAGATCACGAGACTGAAAGCGCTCTAAAGAACTCTTTTGGACTTGTGATTTCTGGTCATCCAGAAGCCACGACAGCAGAAGTTGGTCTAGTGATTGGCCGTTTGACTCCCATAGAAGATAATTCTCCACCAGAGGGAGAAGAAGAGGCACCCGAGATCTCTCCTCCACAAAGTGCATCATCTGAAGTAGTCGAAATCGACGAAGCGACGGAATCTCCGGTAGATCTCCTCAAGAAGGTGAATGATTTACTTATCAGACAAGGACATCAAAAAATTACTCCTGAAGTGGCTGTTCCTGAAGATGAGTTAACTAGGAAGACTGTCAATCCGATCGTGTTTACTTCTCCATTAGAAAAACATGGTCTTGAACTTAAAGGAGGAGTACCTCTTGAAGGAGATGTGGGCTTAGACCTAAACCAAAAAGGAAGAAAGGTCCAGTGGAAGAATAGGACAATTGAGAAAGGAAAAAGGATTAATCTGGCATATCCACCATCAACCATACAACCGTTAGTAATCACTCTTCCTGAAAATGAAGTTGAAGAAACAACGCCCAAATCAGGAAATATGGGACTTGAAATAAATGGAGGGTCCATCATAAGAGAGAACAGTACCCAGTATACATCTACTACACAAAATCCTGACATTACAATCGGTGAAACTGACTTCGAGACGTTGAACAGGGAGCAACTTTTAAAACGGGTAAAGGCGTTGACAACGCCCAAAGATAAGATCGAAATATCAACTGCTCCGTCCAAAGAAAGAACTAGTACTGAGCCAGAAGTTTTTATTGAAGGAGAAGATGTTGAAAAGATGGACAGAGATGAATTGATTCAGAAACTAAAGGAATTAAAGCTTACAAGTATCAAGACGACCGGTTCACTGCCTAATATTCAAACGACTACTGAAGGTGTCGATATTGTCCCAGATCGAGGTGCAACTGAAGTAATCGAGAAAGAGGGGCGGCCAAAGAAACCGAGAAAACGACCCGAGGTTCACGATGAACTCGGTCTGGAGCTTACGGGTAAAGATTTAGAGACTACGAAGTTACCATCTCCAACAAAACCAACTACATCAAGCAATAAAAAACTGGACATTACGATGGAGACTCCACAACCTGGCGAACATGGATTAGCCATCAGTGGGTCAGATCTTAAAACACCTGGCGAAGAGAAAAGTTCACCAACACCCGAAGATTTAAGAACAGATAATAAAGAACCAACGAGGACAACAGTCCCAATCCCTGAGACCCCACGTCCGGATGAGCAAGGACTGGTTATATCTGGTAGAGGAATTGAAACTGTTAGTACAAAAAGAACCAGCACAGAGAATCCAACGTCAACAAGTCAGCCGAAAAGCGAGAAATCACCTGAGCCACTAACACTGGAGACTCCAATTCCAAATGAGAAAGGTCTGGTAATCTCTGGTGAGGATCTCAAGACTACAGGAAGACCCTCTAAGCCAACGAAAATCACGGTCAAACAAGCAACATTGGAGAAAAAAACAACAGAAGCGACAACCACTTTGCTGACTGAACAGTTTCTGCAACAAAAAACAGACCCTACATTCGAAACTCCAAGGCCGGATGAACAAGGATTAATGATTTCTGGAAAGGATATTGAGACAATAAGACCAGACCACCCTGAAGCATCTACTCTTGTAACGACTACAGTTACCCAGCCTCTTACGGCCGAGACTCCGAAGCCAACGGCAAGGATTTCCGAAAAGGACATTGAGACACCAAAAACGGATTTGGATTTGTCGTCATCTACAGCTTCTACCTTAACGCCAGAACCATCATCTAGTCATTCAAGGGGTCCATCTACCCTGGAGACACCACAGCCCGAAGAACAAGGGCTTATGATTTCTGGAAAGGATATTGAGACACCAAAAACTGACTTGGATTTGTCGTCATCTACCGCTTCTACTTTAACACCAGAACCATCGTCTAGTCATTCAAATGGTCCATCTACCCTGGAGACACCACAGCCCGAAGAACAAGGGTTAATGATTTCTGGAAAGGATATTCAGACAATAAGACCAGAAAACCCTGAAACATCTACTCTTGTAACGACTACAGTTACCCAACCCCTTTCTTCCGAGATCCCGTTTCCAACCGGACAAAGGGTAGTGATTTCCGAAAAGGACATTGAGACACCAAAGACGGATTTGGATTTGTCGTCATCTACCGCTTCTACTTTAACACCAGAACCATCGTCTAGTCATTCAAGGGGTCCATCTACCCTGGAGACACCACAGCCCGAAGAACAAGGGCTTATGATTTCTGGAAAGGATATTGAGACAATAAGACCAGACAACCCTGAAGCATCTACTCTTGTAACGACTACAGTTACCCAGCCTCTTACGGCCGAGACTCCGAAGCCAACGGCAAGGATTTCCGAAAAGGACATTGAGACACCAAAAACTGACTTGGATTTGTCGTCATCTACCGCTTCTAGCTTAACACCAGAACCATCGTCTAGTCATTCAAAGGGTCCATCTACCCTGGAGACACCATGGCCCGAAGAACAAGGGCTTATGATTTCTGGAAAGGATATCAAACCGTTCAGTGCTGAACCAAGTTCATCACCGCCAACAACACCCGAAACGTCAAAGGAGACGGAAACGCCGGTAGTAACGCAGCCAACAGCAATTTCCATTTCGGTTACGAACGAAGGTTCGATGATAAATGGAGCTGATATCCAAGCAATTCAACCTGGCTCCACAACAGAATCGAGTAAACTAGATGAGAAGACAGTAACGCCAACAGAGTCGACAAGTAAGCACACGGATCAGAGGACATCTGAAAACCCATCAATTGAAATTGATGAGGAAGGTTCGGAAAATATTGGCAAAGAAGATTCTCCGAAGACTGTCCCGTCTGAAACACCACCCGTTTTGCTAAGTACCCCCGAAAGCATCGTATCTGAAAGTTCGACCAAGCAGAATATTCCAACGCTTGAAGTCACTGCAACTCACACTGCCGAATTAATTCCCGAAAGTGAAGGGGATGCGGTCACCGAACCTGAAGAGCCCTTGCAATCCACGACAGTTGCTACACCTCCGAGAGAGACTTCTTCCACTAGTGAGGCAACCACGACAGTTCAAGAAATAGCTCGCTCCACCGAAGCTGAGCTTTCCACTCTCACAGAATCCATAATTCCTGAGAGTATCACGACAAGCATCCATTCGACTACGGAGAAAACCAAGGAAAGTATCACAACATCCGATACTCCCGCTTTACCCGCTGACACATCACCAACTCTCCTCACAACTCTGGAAACTTCATCGGCCAAATCTACCGTGCCATCTGAGGATACTGTAGGACCCACGAAGACTGAGAATGAGTCGATTCAAACGCCTACTGAAACCCCAGAATCACCTCATCTAGCCACAACAACAAATACAGAAGAAGTGGTTTCCACAAAGAGTCCTGAAAAAACAGTTACATCTGAAACTACGGAAGACCTCAAACCCGAACTCCCATCAACCGCTGAATTCCCACAATCACCTCAGCTAGCCACAACAACAAATACAGAAGAAGTGGTTTCCACAAAGAGTCCTGAAAAAACAGTTACATCTGAAACTACGGAAGACCTCAAACCTGAAATCCCAACAACGGTTGAATCAGCTGCAGCAGAAACCTCAGCCACTTCTGCTCCGACAACAGCAGAAAATACAGTACCTTTGGACGAAAATCGGACCGAAACGTCACCGTCAGTTCCGTCGGATGCGACAACTTTTTCAACAAATCCAGGCGAAAAGACTCAGTCGTCGAGCACTAGTCCAGTTGAAACTACAGGGGAGCCGCTATATAGACTAAAGGATACACCTGGTACTACATTGCTGCCACAAGTTGCACTTACTCAAAGCACGACAGTAAAGAAAGAAGATGACAAGACAGAACCATCAGAAAAAGAAGAAACAACTGCCAAATTAACATCAGAAGATGCAATTCTTCTGAGTACCACTCCTAAAGAACCTGCGCTAACGGAGGAAATCACAACCCAGATTTTGGAAACAGCGACTGATGGAGTTACATCTCCCTCTACAGCACGCTCCGCACCTGCGGAGAAAGAAGCCTCAGAGGAAATCGAGAGAGCAACTCAGACAGAAGAAAGCGTCACACAAAAGGCGGTGAAAGTCGATGCAACGACCGAGAAATTGGTCGAAGAAAATACGACTGCCCAAGGAATAACCTCATCGTCTGAATTGGCTTCAACCACTAACAGTTTTGTTGAGACAACACAGCTTTCACTTTCAACTGTAAATGCGATAGAACAGACCAGCTCAACCTCAGAGGAATTGAAAGTGGTTACAACAACAACTGTTGAGACTACTATTGTGGCTGAATCGACAATCCAATCAGATGACGCCACAGCTGAGATGAGCGCTTCGACACCGCAACAACCAGCTAGACTTCTTCCAAAAACCACAACTGAAGAAGATAGACCCGTAGTAAGCAATAGAAGTCCAGAAATGGTGAATGAATTCACCCCAGCTACACGTGAAGCACCTGTGACATCTGAAACTACAACATCAGCTGATAGAGGAAGCCATGTTTCAACAACGGAAGTGTTACCTGAACCTACCACATTGGCCATTGAATCGACCACGGTATTGACTTGCAGTGACGACTGGAAAAATTATTGTGAATCAATTAACCGAACTTGTTTTGTAAACTTGAAGAGCGAACATTTGGAATGTGGAGAATGTTTGAGTGGATTTAAAATGATTGAAGGGCAGTGCATTAAGGAAACAGATGCAGAGCCGACAGCAACCGACGTTGTCAGCACAACAGCTGTAATTCAAGAAGAGAAAACGGGTTCACCAAAGGTTGATAAAACGATGGAAGCAACTACTGAAGCCACAATCACTTCCTCGACATCAAGCATTATTTCGAATACAGAATCTTCTGAAAGACCAATAATCCATGAGGTTGTACAAATTACGGAGAGTTCAAATACTCCTCCAATTTCATCTACAGAAATAGGATCCGCAGCAACACCAACATTGATGGCCAAACAGGGAACGATCAGGCCTGAATCTACTGTTACGCCATCAGGAGTTTCTCCTACAGAACCTGTAGAAACGACAACCGAACATATTTCAGTTGATATTACAACTCCATCATCGACTGAAGGAAGGGTGATGACCGAAGAAATATTCTCAACCAAAATAATGATGGTGTCCTCCACAATTCCTATTGATGTTCCCGAAAAGGAAACGACGGAAACTGCATCAACCACAAAACTAAAACCAACAATTACAAGGAAGACAACAAAGAAATCGACTAAAACAACCAGCACGACCACAACTGCAAGTACCTCTTTGGTTACAGAAGGACCTCAGATCACTAAAGGAATAGTCACAAAGATGCCAGAAGTCATCAGGACAGAAGAACCTCCAATAAATGTTGATGATGGAGAAGAGATTCAAGAGGCCCAGAAAGAAGAGCCATTTACAACAACAACTGTAGGTGAACTAAAATAAAATAAATGATTTTGCAGATATCGACCGCAACATCGACCATCTCCATCCCAACCATGCCTTCTCATTCTCAATGTTTATCGTCAGATGAATGCGGAGTTGACTCACATTGTAGTAGAAGACTCGGTAAATGTGAATGTGATGATGGATTCCGATTAAAGGGCGATAAATGTGAAGGTACGCCAATCTAAGAGATTCATGTAAATTAAATAAACGTACCGTCAATAACAAGAAATATAATATATTCCTCTTTTTTAGATGTCAACGAATGTCGAGAGAACTCTCACAAATGTCATAAAAGTTCAGTTTGCCGGAATTACATCGGCGGTTACGCCTGTGATTGTCCCATCGGATGGAGATTAAACTATCTTAATCAATGCATCGAGATCGATGAGTGCAATGAGAGAAACAATACTTTATGTCATCCTAGAGCCAGTTGCATCAATCTTCAAGGAAATTACACTTGCCAATGTGATGATGGTTACATCGGAGATGGATATACTTGTTTCGAAGATGCCTTCAGGCATTGTAATGAAAAAGAATTAAAGATGACGTCATGCAATGAAGGGCATCTGTGTTTAATTAATGCGAATGGACAAGAGAATTGCGAGAAATGTAAATCTGGCTATGAAATGATTAATGGAACATGTCTGGATGTAAATGAATGTATTAATCCGGATACAAACAAGTGTAACATTAATGCGTTGTGTATAAATACTCGTGGAGGTTACATCTGTGAATGTCAAAATGGATATAAAGGAGATGGAGTTTACTGTGAAGATGTGGATGAATGTTCCTCAATCAAACCTTGCCATCCCCTGGCCAGATGTTCTAATCTCAATGGAACTTATATGTGTACATGCCCTGAGGGTTGGATGGGGGATGGAAGATATAAATGTGTGAATCCATTGGATAGAAGATGTGAACATAAGGAGTATTTGTGTAGTAGTGAGAAGTTCCATTCTTGTCTGAGTGTAAATGTGACAGCAGATCTTATGTCGTTCTGTGAGTGTGAAAAGGGATATCGATATAACGCTACTACAAGGCAATGCGATGGTAGGCTTTTTTTAAAATGATCTGATTGAAAATTTTAAAATTTACAACGATTTATTTTAGATATTGACGAATGTATGGAAGGACGCTCTAAATGTAATTCAACAACATCTACGTGCCTCAATTATATGGGTGGATATTCGTGTGATTGCAGGCAAGGGTTTGAGGGAAATGGCGGGGTTTGTGTGGATGTAGATGAATGCCAACGGGGAATTCATGGATGTCATCAAACCAGTAATTGCTACAACGAGATTGGAAGTTATCGATGTAAATGCCCAGCTGGATATGCGATGGGAGAGAATGGTTTCTGCGAATTGATCACCGATGCGTCAACAACTGCTGTTGTGGAACTAACAACTACTCAGAAATTTAACCTTGAAACAACAACTGAGTTCGAGAGAGAGGAAGTGACAACATCAGAGGTGCCTACCAGTTACCGTAAGACAAGTGAAGCTGCTTTTGATCCTGAAATAACTTCGACCTCACTGCCATCGACATCTGGAGAGTCAACAACCATTTCATCGACGCCTTCAGAATCTTCTGAAACTCTACCACCTTCAGTTACAGTAGCCGTCACCCAATCCCCAACTACATTATCTTCATCCTCTACCAAACCAACTCCAATTCCCGTCAAGACAACTCAAACGGCAAAACTACAGTCATCTGCAACTCCAGAATTTTTAACTTCAGAAAACCCAATTCCCCGACGAAATGAATGCACGGATGACTGGAAGGATTACTGTAAGGGGCTGAATAAAGTCTGTTTTGTGGATTCTGAAGATCTTCTGCAATGTGGAGAGTGTCTGAAGGGATACATGCACGAAAATGGAGAATGTATTCGTAAGTCTTGGAGTGAAACATAAATATTTTTCAATTTAGCTCAATTAGGAGTTGGAAATTGCACTGAAAATAACAATTGTCATCCAAATGCGGACTGCATCGACAGTATTTGGACAGCATCTGTTCGAAATACGCACAGTTGTGTGTGCAAAAAGGGATATGTTGGCGATGGAAATCATTGTGAAGGTAAGTTTCAGTCGAATATTTTCATATTTACATTGCTTTTTCAGATGTAAACGAATGTAATACGATCCCCGGGCTGTGTGACATCAATGCTGAGTGTCTGAATACAGATGGATCTTTCGAATGTAATTGCAACTCTGGGTATATTGGAAATGGGTTCTACTGTTTACAACATATTACTCATGGGAATCACACCAATTGTAAGACAAATGCGCGATTATGTCATCCAAATGCCTGGTGTTTAATCGATGGGTTATGTCAATGTCAACCGGGATATTTTGGAGATGGAATCGAGAGATGTGATCTAGGTATGGTTACAGATGTTTACAACAATATTTTTTAGTTAAATTATCTACAAATCAACCAGTCTCAGCATATGATGCGACTGAGAAACCTCCAGAAACCATACCATCAACACCCACATCAACCATTTTAGTTTCGGCTTCTTTCCCATCCATTATATCAGGCTCATCTCCATCCGAATCCCCTGCTACCGCCACCCGGGCCTCTCCTTCTTTTGCCTGGTCTCTCCCTCCTCATTCCTCTTTTCCTCCTCACGAGCAAACTTATATTATTCCTGAATCCTCCCCATCCAGGTTCGTTCCAAACTGTGTATTGGACAAAGAGATAAGATGTCATCCAATGGCCAGTTGTAATACATTTAGTGGCCAATGCAAATGTCGTCCTGGATATGAAGGAGATGGATTTACACATTGCAGGTGAGAGATATTCGAATATTTACTGTAACGGTGTTTATCTAACAATAAATTTTTCTTTCAGTCGAGTTTGGGAAGACTGTCGCTCTGATTCCCACCTCTGTGACTTCAATGCCAAGTGTAATTCCACATTTGGCCAATGTGAATGTAACCCCGGCTACATTGGAGATGGTCTTTCCTGTACTCCAGATCGTCTCGATTGCTCTGCTCATGATGATTTATGCAGTGAATTCGCAGACTGTATTGGAAAGAGATGCCAATGCAAAGAAGGTTATACTGGAGATGGGATGATGTGCTTCTCGATGACTGCGAAACTCTCCCGCCACGATTGTCTTAACTGTCATTGCAGAGCCAATTGTGTCGAAGGAGAATGCGTATGTCAGCCAGGATTCAATGGAAATGGCCTGGTTTGTCTGCCAGATCCGTATGATTGCATTAATTATCCCGGAGTCTGTCATATGAACGGCTACTGTAACAATGCTACCAGGAAATGTGAATGTCATCAAGAATATGTTGGAAATGGGTATGATTGTACCCTCAGGAAATCCTGCACTCAATTCCCAGCTCTCTGCCATCCAGATGCCGATTGTTTGGAATCTGGGCAGTGTCAATGCAGATTTGGATTTTATGGGGATGGTATTTACTGTAAGAAAGACATCTCGTACAGGGAACTGACACAAGTAAAACTTATGGAGACTTCCTCAGTTGAGTGCGCTACTTATTGTGGATACAATCAGGAGTGTTTTAATGGCGCCTGCAAGTGCAAGACTGGATTCAGTGCGAATATAAATGGGGTCTGCATTGGTACGTTGATGAGTCGACTTTTTACACTTGAGGCTTAGAGGGGCTGACACTAAAATAATTTTAGATGTGGATGAATGTCTTACCGGAGCAAATTCTTGTTCTCCGCATGCCAAATGTCATAACTCTGAAGGTTCGTATCAGTGTTCTTGTCCGCGAGGAATGGAAGGCGATGGCCATACCTGCCGAACATTACAATATACATCTCCCGGAGTCCAAGTTGAATGTCTGGGAGACGGCATGAGGGTCATGTTCTCCAATCTTCCCCATCCTTTCTCTGGCCGTGTTTATGTGAAAGGACAGACGGATAATGAATATTGTGCAAAGACATATAATGGGGACTCCGGCCAGAACATTGTGTTTGACGTGAATCTCGCTCATTGCAATATGTATATGAGATCCAACAATACATTGACCACAACTCTAATTGTTCAACGGCACCCAACTTTTGTGACTTCAGAAGCCGAATCTTACAATGTCCAATGTAGTTATCCCTTGGCCGAGAGAATAGTTGAGGCCAAGTATAATATCCATGATCTGGAGCCAAGAGAATCGATCGCTCAGAATGGATCCTCTCCAGTTTGTCAATTTAATGTGAAAAATTTGGAAGACATCAGAGTGGATCAGGCACTGGTCGGGCAGATACTCAAACTCACTCTTTCCGTATCTCCCGAACCCGAAAACGCGATCCTGCCAAGGAGTTGTTATGCAATTAACCTGGAAAGTAATGATCGATATCAATTAACAGATCAGTCCGGATGTGCCATTGACACAGAGTTGTTTCCGGAATGGAAGAGAATCTCCAAAACTCAACTTCAAGCAATATTTAGGACATTTAAATGGCCAGAGAGTACAATGATCAGGTTCGAATGTTACTGTACTCCTTGTGATGAAGGATGCTTGGAGATGAAGTGTGGAAAGAGAAAACAGAGATTGTCGAGACATATAAAGAAGCAGAATGAGGAGGTTATGCTCGATAACGGAACTCTCACTTTCTCTCAAGTTGTGACCATAAATGAGGATGAAGAAGAAAGAAAAGTCCAGAAGGAATTTGAGAGATGGCTGGCTGGAGGTAAGGAAATGGTTTATAAAACACACTTTTTATAGAAGGGTCCCCGACCACCTCGATCATCACCAATGACTATGTGTGCATGAGTTCCCTCTGGTTCTTGTCCACTCTGATGGCCAGTATCCTCTCTATAATCACCCTGATTACTGTATTTATTTTATATTATAAAAAGATGCGGGTCTTATCCAAACAGAAATTTTTGGAATCCCATTTGGATGACAATCTTTCGTACATTCAATTTTAGTCATAATTACTTTTAATTTATTTTTTATATTGTTCATGACGCCATCCAAAAATCTTATTCCGCCACATTCCCGTTAGTAATAAGTATAATATTAATATTTGAAGTAGCTTAACTCTAGTCTTTTCAGACATTCTAAAGATCCTCATTTTCTTTTCTTATGGTTATTTTCTGTTATAAATTAAGCATTTTTATCATTGATTGCTTTGATGAATCAACGTTTGTATATTTCGTAGTAACTGGTCAGAGTAACAAGCTAAAGAAGTCGAATAGTCATTGAATCGTGCAAATGAGTACCCAGAAATCTTGTGAAATTGGTAATACTACTTAAACATCGAGACAAATCAAGTTGTGCTCGTCCAATTAAGCATTTCTCCCGATTGACAAACGAGGAACGGTCTCTGGCAATTTAATTAAAAACTCTAATTGCGTCACAGGCCACGTGAGATTGAGCACGGACATTTAGGACTTGCAAAAATTAACTCTTATACACTCAGTCCTTGCACCCAACAAGTGCGGAAGAATGTAAATAATAAAAGCGCCTCTTTCAGCAATTTTATTCGAATCTTTTGTAAATGGAAGGTAATGTACAATAAGGAAAGTACCGAGATCGATATGTTGATGGCCTGAGGACACGTTCGGTGGCCAGAGATAGAAGTTTGAATACTCGTATTTAGAAGACGGTCTCCCGAACCGCGAAGAGGTACCTTTGATGTTTCCGGAGCTGACGAAACAAGGCCCGTTTAAACTCCCGATTGAAAACTGTGTAGATCACTGGGTTGATGCCGCTGTTGCCTAAACAAAACAAAGAAATAAATTTAGAAATCAAACAGGAATTCTGTTTCATTTACGCACCTCCCCCCTGTACACATCAACTGTGTATTCGGTGACGTCTTTCTGAATTTGGATATGGAAATTACTGCCTTATATGTAACTGAAGTTCGCCCTCCTACTCCCTCAGGGAATGCGCAGTAAACGAGTTTTCAACGGCAAAACAAAAGTATCCCCACAATTTAGCCAAGAATAACTTCTCCATCGCCATATTTAATGGATTCTTTAAGAGTATTCTTTGTTTCGAAAAAAAAGTTAAAAAAGTGCACTCAACAACGATTAAGGACATTTTTTTGAGTACTAATTAATTCCAAAATCCTTTTCAATTGTGGGCTCTCATTTCTGTAATTTGGGACTAATCGTAAGAAAAGTTTAAATTATCCAAATTTGGAGGAAGCGTTACATTTTCAGAATCTTAAAGCACACCCAAGTATTCGAATATTTTTATAACTTTATATGGTCAGGTAAAAAAACACAAAACTTACAGTAACCCAGCCAAAAAAAGAATTTGAAAACCAATTCTGGAGCTGAGAATCCAAAGGCAGCAAGTACATACATGACCTGAAAAAGATGAAACATTGTTTTGTAGTTTTAAAGTAACTTACAAAGAAAGGCAGCCAGCTGGCAATAAAAGCTGTTAAAATCAGTCCCAGAAGTAAAGTGGCTTGTCTTTCTTTGATCTTGAGCAGTCTCCGCCGTTTCTCCGTGCTCTTTTTACTCTCACAAGTCTCTTCCATCTTCTCCAATGACATGGCCACCCATTTACCCCGGGTTTTACCGTATCCATTCTAAAAACATTCGATTATATAACTGCAAGAAACCCTCCGATTCGACCTCTATAAAACATCGCAATGGAAACTGAGAAAGTTTAATGATGAGGAATAAAATGCTAAAAAAAGGTTTAAATCATTGAAAACGTCACCAAACACATGGTTAATTGGCAACTCTATCTATTTTTCATCATACATGACCGTGCTTACATCATCCCTCCCAAATCTTGCAAATTCAAGAGTTCTGCATATTAAATGGCTAACAAAAAATGTTTGTTTCCATGTGGGACTTGTCAATATATAATAAACTAACTTACCATGAGTTCTGGAGGACTGCCGACTTTGTTTCCGTTAGAAGGAGGTGTGAACACAGCACTGTTTCCATTAGACCCCGATGTAACATGAGCATGAGTTGCAGCAGCCAGCTGGCATAACGTCTGATCAGTCCGCTGGGTTTCCTTTAATCGCTGACGACTGTGATGTTTGGTGATTGTGTAGATCCGCCAATATACGATGATTAAGATGATGACGGGAATGTAAAAAGAGCCACAGGCCGAGTAGATGACATAACCAACTTCAGAACTGACTGTGCACTTCCCCGGCTCCCGGATTGGCCGCCAACCAAGGATCGGGGGAAGGCATATCAACAACGACACCAGCCATGCGACCCCTGCAAGTGACGTATAAATATTAACAAGTCCCTTTCGTAACAAAGAATTCTAAGACGTTAATTTCGAAGTTCTCTTTGACTATGGCCTCACCTATCATGATGGCCATTCTGGCTGGCGTTCTTTTGCTGGGATAGGTTAATGGCTGGGTCACTGACCAGTATCTGTCCAGCGAGATAATACAAATGTGGAGGATCGAGGCGGTCACAAAAAGGACATCCAGGGCCAAATACAACTCGCATAGAATATCGCCTAAAACAATTATTTTACACTTATGAAACAGGAATAAATTTTATATGTACTTCACACTCGGGAAGGACTTTACCTAGAACCCAAACTCCAATGATCTCATAAGTCATGGTCAAAGGCATCACCAGAAGTCCGACCAGAAGATCGGCTACAGCTAGCGATACGATCAGCCAATTCTGCCGTTGACTTCTCAGTTTGTGATCATTGTTTACAGTCAAGACCACCAACAAGTTGCCGCAGACAATCACCTGAAATAATGACTTGGGTTGTAACTATGTATAATATTTATAATGCAGAAAACGTCATCTTTATCTCATTCTCCTTACCAACATGACAATCAGCATGAAGGCAATGGTGACAAATGCGGTGGACAGGGACAGACATGAGGGCCATGGGGAATCGCACGAGGCGTTCAGGAAGGGCGCCAACGATCCCAGACTAGAGATGTTGTTGTTCATGTGGCCTCATCAACATCACGCTCAGTCAGGTGTACACAACCCTGCAATTGGCGTCGGTTGTACTCTTAACAGCTGAAAGAAGAGATAGAGGAAGGCCCGGAATGCATTCAAAAAATGTTAGGAAAGTTTTGAATCACGTAATTAAACACGCTTTCTCGGGACATAACCTCCGGCTACGGTAGACGCCATCTTGTTCCGGAGACAGGGTGATCGACCACATATACGCGCTTTTATAAAGCGTCATCAAAATTTTGTTTTGGCGCCCTTAAACGAGTAGATTCACAAAAAAAAATATTTTTTAGAGGTCTTGCCCTAAGAGTGAATCCCGTAATTTGGTTGAAGGTTTGAGGGGCTGGAGTGAAGTGAAGAAGTAACGCCAAATGTAATTGAAATGTTGCGGAGGGAATTCTAGGGTCCAAGCAACGCTACGGCGGGCCATAAAACGAGGTCTGTAATTTGAATAATGACTACTCGAACCCTGTGAATAAAAATGTCAAGCTAATGGAACTCCCGTCCACGTGAGATTAGACAGTCCCTTGGGCCAAATATTTTTGTGTAATCTACATAAAACGCAGGGACATCGTCGTATAATGGCACCATCAAAACAGGGCCTTAACATTTTTAACACTTGTTTATGCCCCAAGGGCATTTTAAGAGACGAATACTGAAGGCAAGAAATTAACCCAGATAACTCCGGTTTATGAAGGGATTAAGCTTTACCTTATATGAACTCCCTCAAGGGTCCAATCGGCGGAAACATTGGACTTGACCCGTTTTGCGTCATTATTCTTTTCTCTGCCGGACAACAAATTAATTAAAGACTAGTCACACTTTTTCATCCGCAAAATGCGGCCAACCACGTAATGGCATTAAATGCCCGGTGTTCAAGATTAGGACCTCAAACCCTCCCTTTCTCTTGCCCTAAGGCCTTCTGAACCCAATTCAGTTATGCCTTTAATATAACGTCCATTCAGTATACGGAATAAATGGCCTTGGAAAGACAAAGAAAGAGGAGGGGAGAGTGTGAAACGAAGTAAAATTGGGAAGAAAAGTTAACCAAATTACGTAAGAAATACAGGTGAGAGAAGCATATGCAGACCAAACAACCCAGAACTTACCATTTGGACTGGCACATATTTACATAATTAATCTTCCGAATACCAGACATTGGAAATGAAGGCGGAAAGATTAGCAATTCAGAGTTTAAAGTCTTGAGAAAATTGAAATTGTTCTCTGTGTTTAAGCCAAATAAATGCGAGAGTCCAATAATCATGCACCGTGCAAATATTGGAGCGTTTAATTCCTGGAAAGCCCCGGATTTGACACCAGACCCGTCAACATCCTTGTATGTAACCACCTCACAACTCTCTACTCACACTAAATGATGTTCTACCGTCTCAAAAGGCCAACCGTTCCCATTCTGTGGGTACGATGGCCACTTCAGATGACACAAAACAGAATGGCCCAGGTAAAAGCCTCAAGGCGGTTCATGGAAAGACAATTAAGTGATGCCACTGAAAAGACTTTATCTCCCTTATAACGAATTAGTTAAAGGGCTGGGGCTAAGTGCAAAGCCGCAAAAGAAAATAAGCCCTCAGGTCTTGAAGACATTGCTCCGGTCTTCTGGCCCTCAGGCATTCAGGCACACAAACCGCGGCATATTAAATAAATAAACAAAAGAAATAAATAAAAAATATTGAGATGGACACCAAGGCATGTGAAAGAACCAGTCCTATTACGCAACGGTCTTACAAAGTCTCAAAAACGGACTAAAGGGATGAAAATGATTAGGTTCGAGGACGGAGCCCAAAACAGGCCAGGGGTGGGGCACAAAAGGAACGGATTGATTAACCAAGAAGACCGTGCATAATATGGCTTCGCTTATGAGCCCGGTTATTTTGAAAGTATAAACAAAGACTCAGATGACAAAACTACTCAAAAACGAAGCACTCTTGTGTAATCATCACCTCGCTCCTCAGAAGACAAAATATCAGAAATTATTCCCCATTTTAAATTTCCGAAATTCTTTTAGTACCCACGAGGCTTGACTGTTGTTAAGCACGCAACAACAGTGCATCTAGTCAGCGGATCCTCATCCCCCTCACCTCTTCCCTTTTTCACACCAATTTCATATACATTGCGTTTCGTCTTTCGTCCCCCCTCCCCCCTTCCAGGCCTCTTCAGTTGCCGAGGCTGCATCGTTGACATGTCGGAGTCGTCGGTTCCTGACAATTCTCGGACAAGACGGATGGATTGACGCCGGATTTAATGAAAACAGTCCCCCCTTCCCTTCAAATTCATTTTTGCGCATATGCCAGAGAAAGTTCGAGTTATGGGACAGCCTCCGAGACAGTTCCGGTGCCAAATCAAATTTTAAGCTTCCGGCACCGAATCATCAACCGGCCTTCAGACGTACCCAGAACGGTGATGGGAGAGACCGTGGGAACGGAAGGCAGCCCACGAATCCCAAAAGTCATCAATCCCTAGTCTCTCTGTTTGACCAAGTGGCTCTAAATAATAATAATAAAAGCCGCTAAATGCAAACAAATCATTTCAAACTTGGATAAAAAGTTTAAAAAATGATTAGGGAACGCGAAATATAATATGCAAGACGTCTGAAGGGCCAAGAAGTGGAAATTCAAGATTGTTTGACCTCGGGGCAAGACCAGGACAAGTATGGATTAAGGCGACGACAACAAGACCACAGGCGTCTGATGCGGATTGGAGGTTTGTTTGCCAATCACAATCATCCAAATTCAGTCAATTCCCTCTTTCGCAGACGACGATCCTCGCAATCAACGTGATGGATAACACATAAAACAGACGCTCAAAAGAAAATGTATATAATAAATACTACAGCTGCGTAATGGAAAGTTATAACTCGGCCCTACGAACTTCCTGGACATATTTCCTTGGTTCCCCGAACAACTTTAATTGTGTTGTGGAGCTCTCCTCGGTCCCCCCACTCTCTCAGTCCAATCGACCTCTCATTCTCCAAATTGAGTTGTGTCTGCCTAATTGCCCCAAACCCCGGATGCTTCTTGGTTTGAGTCCGACCGTGCTTCCCGATGTTCCCAGAGTCCTTAGAAATGTAAAACAATCTTGATACGGTTCCCACGGAAAGGACAAAGCATTTAGAGAAGGTAGTAAGTAAGCGGGCACACGCGTTATGTTCAGGATGTTCAGCGAAATGTGAGATATGATTAAACGAGCAATGACGTCGAATGTAGACTGTTCAAAGACTATGTAAAAGTAGATTCAAAGAAGAGTAAACGAAGTCTTTGGACGAACGGGACCAACTCTTCTTCCACAAAATATGAACATAACCCCCGACGAAGTTATATGGCTTAACAAACCGAACCCTGGGCACCCAATCTTAAATTATTTGGGGCCTTTGACCTTTTTCGGATGACTTATATCACGGTGTCTAGACCCATTTTCAATTCTGGAATTATTAGTGAGCCTGCGACAAACAAAAAAGGATTTTGCTTTCAAAAAAGTAACTTTTCCCAAAAAAAAACATCAGAATATGAGAAAGGGATCGTCAACAGCTCCCAAACCAGAAATCTGCAGCTGAAGGCCCAAAAACAATCTTCCATGTAAATCTGGCCTGTGCGAGCTCTGTTACTGGCATCTTGAGGCATGTTCTCCTCTTCCCTTCCATTGCCACCACACGTAATTGGAGTTTTGAAGTCTTGTTTAAAACGAAGAGTGGGGTCAACCCCTCCCTGTCTTTTTCGGCCGTTCCTAGACAACACCTCGCGGCCCCAACGGCCCTGAGGCCTTAAGTCGTCATTATCATAGATCCCAGTAATTAAAATTGGGCGCAAAACTTCTCTGCTTGTCGTTTTCAATTTACAGACCGCCCACACGCAAGTGGAAAGACAAGCCCGGCCTAACTGACCTGTCCAAACATTTACTACAACACGCTGACGATGCACGTAAAGAGCTTCAAATTGGCTGAATGGTCTCAAATTAGCGGCACCCAACAAACCGCATAACGACCTCTTTAACGCCAAGTACAAGCCCTCCTCCCTTCGCCATGCCCTCAGGTCATCAGTCAAAAACAGTTGGCCTGAAGCCTCAAATTACTATTTCTACTTTGAACGGGACTTGATAAAAATTTATCATAACCGAAGGAATGAGAGCGACCGCTCCGGGATCTACATCCCCATACGTATGAGAGATTAGCTGGTGATGAATCAAGGAAAACGACATGAATTGCACTAATCCTTGTCTCAAATAGAATACCAACTACGTGCTGTCATGTCATGAACATAGAGAAGGAAGTTTCAGGATATAATCTGGAGAAGACTACAATTGTTTGGGATTATGGGATATGTTAAGACAAGCAGATAGTCGTATATACAAGAGGAAAGCCGCTTAAAATATAATACAAAATAATGACTGATTACATGATCTTTTCGCATAAACATCCTTGCACAAAAGAGGAACTGCCATTATAATTTGAGCTATAAATACAATAAGATGGATAGACAGACGTTTTTGACAGACATTTGAGAACGTATTTCCTTGATTCCACAAACAGATAAAGCCGAAAAGAAAAAAACTATGAATGACATCTCGGGCTATTTACACTTCTGCAGGAAGTTTTCGAGGTCTGATGCATTAAAAAACATTCGGTTATTATAATACAGGGTGCGGCAAAAAATGGAAACTTATTCTTATAGCTATATTTTTCCTAGCAATCAAAATGCCGCAAAAGTAACGGTCATCATCAATAACATAGAGCATTATTTATAACATATTCAACCCGTTTCACCGTAGGTGCTTTTGGTGGCGATATGGAGCTCCAAACGTGACTTAAAATTTTAGGCTTTTGGCCGCAGGTTTTTCCGGGGAAATCGGTCCCGTTCTTGGCGCAACATTTACTTTGCGACTCCAAACTTTTGTGCCGTGTAGTAAAGATACTGGCCTCCAACTGAAAAAAAATATAGCATATTGGATCCATACCCGACGAGCAGGCTCACTTTTCGCAGACGGGGTGAAATCGGGAAAATCGGCCCCATAACTGGTCTTGACTCGCTTTTTCCCTATGAGCCGGCGCTGAGTCTAGTTGGAATGCCAAATTTGAGCTGCCAAGGTTCTACTGAGTCAACAGAAGCATGAGGAAATCGAGGTTAACCCGGCACTAGAATTTTGCCCTCTTGATCCACGAAAATCTCGGAATTCTTGCCGCTGGCACAAATTCCGCCTTAGGCGATGACGGCCCGGATTTTGACGGTGTTCATCGTTAGCCCACGTGCAGAGGGCCTCACCGGATCGGATTCTGGCGCTATGTTGGTTATGCACCCGCCAAACTTTGCACCGCGAAGGGAATCGCGGACCTGCGGCCCGACGTCTGAATTTTCGGCATTTTTTCAGGCGTACGGGCTTGATCTTGCCGATGAGGAGTTAGGCATTTTAGACCTTGTATGGGGAGACCTTGAGTTGATTTTTAGCTATTTGACCGACTGGTCAGTTGCTGATGCCGGTCTCACGGGCAATTTTTTCTGGAAATCGACGGATTTCGCTGTTGATGACCTCCCGGCTGGAAAAAGTGTTGGCGGTGCGTTTTCTTTCACTTAATGGACGCTTAAAATTGTTAACAAGCTCCTTGCATTGCGTGATTACTTTGGACACAACGTCGTTTCTATACCGGTCAAATTAGCACTTCGAACGGCTTAAAAAACAGGTCCAAAATCGAGATCCCTTTATTTGACATTCAAATAAAGAATGTTAATAAACCGATATGGACATGAAATTAAAAGGTCTAGGAGAGAAAACTACGCAGAATTTAACGGTATGAAAATAATTTTGCTGCACTTAAAAATTTTCGCGTAAGGACCCAATGAAAAAAAGTTTCCATTTTTTTGCCGCACCCTGTATTATTAATGATAGTCATATATGTATACATAATATGTAAGTCCAAGACTCTTTTTTCCGAAATCGCGATTTCGAAATTGGAAAATCGGCGTCAATTTAATTTTTGCTGGGTGCCGAATTCTGAAATCCGGTGCATTTTTGTAAAATCAGCACCGGAATTCTTTGCACTTCCACCAAATCAGCACCTATTTTCGAACCCGATGTCAAGTTAATCCTAAAACCCGAAAAGTGTTTGTAATTTTTGAGAAACCGGTGCACACCAAAGAAGAATCGGAAAAATCATTGCGCCGATTTTTCAATTTGGGTATCCTTCTTCTTTTTTTGTGCACCGAAAATTGTGATATTTCTCGGACATATACATGACCAACAATGCGTAAAACTAACTATCACTAAATATTAAACTGCGGGTTTTTACTCGCAACAAATGAGAAACACTATGACATCAACAATACGCAATACGTCGTCTGACATGAACGTAACGACGGTATCAACTTCCTCCTTTGTCTCCAATTCCCAGATGTATTGGACCAAAAACATATTTGATTCCCAACTCTGAGATTATTCTTTTTTGCAGCCCCATAATCACAGGGTTCAAACTTGCCTGCAGGCTGTGAATGAAACCGCGTATCCAGGGAATTATGGATTCCGTAATTCCCCCATTAACTCTACATTTTTCTCAATTATCTGATTGCTTCACAATAAAAAAACTTAATTTGAATCAGAGGAACTTTTACAATAAGGCAGTGTACAATAAAATCCCGGAGGGCCTAAATCTTTTCCTGTTTTTTCTAGAGTCACCGTTGAATTGTCATCAAATGAATTTTCACGGGCTTAAAAATGAAAACAACAAATTGGTCGCTGAATTAGCAGAATTCTATAAATTTATCACAAACTATTTTATAACAAAATTGTTGACTCAAAAAACATTCTTTTGGGATTACAACCTTCTTATGGATCGGTTTTACAATTCTCTAAAATATTCTGATGACTTAAATTTCTTAAAAATTTTATTATAAAGGATAAGTAACAATGAAGATTACATAATAAGTTCACCTTCGACACAACGCGGGAAGACCGGTTCATTGGGCGCAGTATGGGGAGCGCTGCAGGACTTTTTTAAAAGTTTCCGTTCAAATTATCAGTGACTGTGTTCTCCCAAACCGTTTTCTTTTTTACGACAATCTGCTTAGGTTTCCTAATCAGAAAACAACAGGTAAATGAAGAAGCTGTACTTTGGTTCTCCCTCAAGCAGCAGCGTTGATAATTCGTTAAGAAAAAGAGGAGCCCACGAGGGGCAGGAGAAGAAGCGGAGAATCAGCGTTTTTCTTCCAATGCCTTCTTTTTATTAATATCGCGATCAAAAACCGAAACGTGCTTTGGTTCCGGGGGTTTTGGGCAGCATGTTGATTTGAGTGTAACCCAAGTAAATGTAAATGCTGATGGTTTGCCTGATTCGGTTGTCTTTTTGTTTTTTACCGATCATTTTGCTTTGATTTTGCCTTAATTATTGTGCTTCAAACTTTGCGCGATCAATTTCTGAACTAAGAAAGATAGAAAATAAATTTGTTATCTTCTGGTCTGCCACCTGGGTTTGTTTTGATCCAAAACACCTGAGGGCCGATTAGTCTGGCCTTCTTTTGTTTTCAGCATTTCTTTTCAGCCTTTTTTACACTGCTCGTTTCTTCCCCGAGCCTCTCTAGAACTGACGGAACAAGATATTTCTTGGCCACGGAATGTTTGCGCAAAAGATCAGTGAGAGAGGGGGTTTGGGTCGAACAAGATTGTTTCAGAAAATGTGCTGTACAATCAGCTTAAGAATATTAGTCTTTGTTCGGCGATCTAGAACAAGCCAGCTTTTCTAACTCACTTTGTTTGAGCTCTTTTGGAGAGTTATTTAACTTTAATAATTTTCACAGCTGCTGACTCTTCTTTGTCGTATAACTCGCTTCTTCCAAAAATGTAAATGTGAGAGCAAATAACAACTCCAAAAACCTTGATCGTTCTTTACTTGTTTCGAAAGCGTGGTTAGTTGATCTTATCATTCTCATTTCGTCGACAGTTCGCTTTACAAATTTCTTTTATTCTGGTTATAAGATCATATTAAAAATGTGTTACTTATTATTTTTTATTGCCTTTACTATAATTAATGCAAAATTTTTCTTATGATTTCTTGTAAAATAAAGCAATTAGTGATTTAGACGAGCAACTGTCCCCCTTTCGGCAGATCAAGTTGTGAGGACCAGTTGGCAGGAGGGGAATGCCAGTGTCTCTTTTTTGAAGGCCAAACCTTATCCCTTTTCGGCGCTGTCCCTTCCTGTCCCATCGCTTATACATAATATCTATGACCGGTGTCATTTTTAGCATTTTTTAGGTTTGTAACATCAAGTCTTCCGCTCCAAAAATATTGCATGACAAATATGTATGTACAATACATATATTTTAATTTTCTGATTAATTTTTTTCTTTACTAAGATTTCAAAAAAAAACTTATTGTTTGAAATTTAAATTCCTGCGCATCATATTAAATAGTTCTTCCGGAAAGTCGCCGGACTGAAATCGATTACACGCACTGTGAGAAAACGATATTTCACTTTGCACTGTGCGATTTCTTGCTTTTTGCACCGTGCACGGTGCAACAGGCTTTTTTCGGCTGTCGCTCGCACCTGACTTTTTTGCACAGCTCAAGCGCCCGAAATCAGTCCGCGACTTTCCGGAAGGACTAGTAAATGGAAATTTTTTTTGATGATAATGTTTCCGTGACCCTATAAAGTTCTTTTCCCATCCCGAGGCATCTTTAAAATGGATCTTCGCCCATGGTTAGCCATTTTTTTGCAGATGGCTCTAACACTTCCATTGCAAATTTTCGAGACCATTTACAAATGTTGTGCTGGAGAAGAAAGCTCTTCCAAACATTGTAATTATCGATTGGCCGAACGATTACTCGAACACGCAACTCTGATGGATCTAATCAAATGGAGAAGGGTTTCGAAGGCCTTCAGAAGAGCCGCCGACAACAGAATCAAGGCATTTACTCGGATCGACGTAAGAGTCTATCCAGGGCTCAATGAAATTCATAATCACCAACGGGAGACAGGTAAGCTATTGCTCGATATTGACAATGTACAGAAAACATTATGTAATCGATTTTCGTAATTTAAAAGAAATGAAAGGTCTTATGTTCAGCAAGGAGTTCGTGGATGAGAGAGAAACGAAAAGTGACTTCTGATCTTGAAGAAAGCACTCCCCTACATCTCCTATGCTTTCAGATTGTTATTCCTGGCATCCAAGAGCACCAATTATGATGATTGAATCGGCTCCAAATCAAGTAGGAATAGCCATCGATTCAAATATGAAGACTGTAAATGTGCGAGCGCTTCTCGAAGTGCTCTCCGTGTTCAGAAACTCGGCCCAGCAATTGTTTATGGACAGCCCAGTAATCGATTTATTTGTATCCCAGATCAATAAGGAGCAATTGTATTCGTTAATCGAATTACTACGGAAGAATCGCACCTTGAAGAGGACCTCGGCTTTCTTTGATTCCAATGTAAAAATCCTTGATATGCCTCCTCAGAAGTCTCTAATGCCCTACGGGCCTTTCTTCCCGAACCTCAAGAAGTTTACTGTTACCTCTACTGTAGGTTTTAATGTTTTAATTCCTATTATCTATATGTATATTTATATTTTTTTAAAAGTTTAAAATTACTTTTTTTCAGTCCAATCAACTCGAACATCTCTCTCGTCTCTGCACATACGCAGTTGGAGTGGAACTGTTGTACCATCGCGAGAACATAGACATCCTCTGTCTTCGGATTATCCTCGGAGGTCGGTGGTTTCGGAAACCACATGTCCGGATGTTCAAGCACGTCGCTCGATTCCGGCAATGGACCGAGGCCAACTCATTGGGCGAGAGGTACTTCCAGCAGTTTACTCCCAACACCAAAAGCAACCGGTCGATTGTCTGAGTGCACTCGTTTCGTTCCTTGTGGTCATTGTTGTTAGATATTTATGTAGACAACTCTCCTCATGAGGCATTGTTCCTTATATTTGTTACAACCTCCAATGATTGTGCTTCCATTAGGCCTTCTTTTATACTGCTTATGTATATCTAATGTTTTCTCATAATCATATTAAACGGGTACAAATCTGCCCTAAGGGTCTTACGAATAACTCGGGTGAATAAACAGAGATAGCTGAGTGTTGGCTGAGTGTTTGATCAAGGTGAACGGAACGTGTGATTGGCATCTGTTCCCTCGGGGCCTGGAATTCGCAGTCGAAAACAGCTGTGGCATAAAATCAAAGAGAAAGAGAAACGAAAAAACGTAAAATCCCCGGATCCAAGGTCGATTTCTTTTTAGTCGGCTGAGGGGGAGGCTCCAAGTGATCTGTGAAAGGTACCCACCATGTCCTCGGATATAATAAAAGAGACTTTCGAAGTGAGCCCAGCACATCCGGTAAGCCCAAACAAGGAAATTTTAGAGTTTTAGGACAAAGTAGTTGTAAACGGATGTGATCTTGTCAATCGGACTCAACTTTCTAATTCCCAAAACCGAGAACTTCAACGTTTTATCGATCGAAATAACCATCGACTCGGCTTTTACGATCGTCCACAAGGTATGTATACAATACAATTTATTATTTTTTTGTGGTAAGTTTTTTTGTTTTGGTTCCACATTTGCTGTGCTGAAACCTACAGATTTAGTTGAATTGACATTTTCTTACCTCCGGTAATCGTGTAATTTTGTTTCACGCAATTTTGTCTGATTTTTCATAGAAATTAGCAATGCCTTAGTAATCGTGCGTAACGTAACGTCGAGCAGATGTAACGGTTTCTAATTTTAAGACGAGAAGGAAGAGGCTCCTCCAGGACGCTATGCTTCCCTTGGGTTCGGGACTCTAAACAGTAGTCGTCCTTATGGCTATGATGGAGCGGATCACGCGAGTAAAGAGAGAGTAGAAAGTCCGTTTTCTGAATATGGAACTTATGGAAGCAAGAGGTATCCAAACTTTGCATCTCTAAATAATATTTATTTTCACTTACAGAAAGGGTGTAAAATTTGCTGACGGCGTTGACTCCTCTCGTGCTCAATCTGCCAATCCATTTGGAAGTGGATATAAAAGTGGAACTGGAAGTGGAAATGAGGGAAATGACGGATTTGGACGAAGAGGATCTACTTCTGGATATGGCCAAGGAAATCAAGGAATTGGAGATAATTACGGCAAGAACAGAGGAGGAAGCGGGAAACAGGCTCATCCCGACAATTATGATCCTTACGGGACAAACAGAGGGAACAAGAATCCTAGAAGTCGAACGCAAAGCCCGGCAGCAGATGCCTTCAAGGTAATGGTTTTACTGTTCAAAGAAAATACAAAATATGAGGCATAGCGAAACTTCGCAAAGTTTAATTTAAAATTATTTCAGTGGCGTCCGTACCAGAGTTACGAATACGACGGAAAGAAGAATACTGTAGCTCCACCCATTCCTCAATGGCTCAAAGATCGCAGCATTACCCCGGCTTATTCCACACTCCAGAAACACCCTGTAAGTATTATTTTTCTCAGTACATAAGTACAAAATTACCAAATTTTGATTAGAAATATGTATGCAGAAGAGAAATATAACTATATATAATATAATATTTCTGGAAAACTTTTTAAGAAACGTGAAAACTTACTGAAGCCCTAGGAATAGAAAAGCGCCTTACAGTAACCTGACTTCAAATTTTATTTACTTTGTTCCTTCTATTCATCTTTTTATCATCGCAGGGTCCAATCTCACTGATAAACCCACCGGTCTTTACCGTATTCTGTTTAGGATAATTATAACAAGTACGATACCGAGAAACATCGGCATCAGTTGGCCAGACAATCTCAAGAAAGGGACGAAGAAATAAAATTCTATGGCTTTGGAGATCGTCTTGGATCCGGAATTGAATTAACCAGGAAACGGTGGACTGGCGGGGAACTGATTACTGATCCCACTTTTATCACCAAATCCATTAAACCAAGAACAATCTTCTACTCTCCCATTGGTGATGGTGTGGTCGCTGCGGATGGGATTGAGTTGAGAAGAGGACCACCCGATCTGACCCCCAAGAGATACGAATATCACGAGAAAGTGATCGAAAAGGGAGATCAAGGACGTGGGGGATTGAGAGTTACTGAGCAAAGATGGGACGGTAAGCTCATTGCGACCTGGTATTTACTTATTATGAAACTATATATACATACAATACGATTTACTCATAAATTTAGACGGAAACCGCGGTCTTGGAGACGAGGACGATGGCCGTGGTCGTGGTGAATGGCCAGATAATGGAGACGACGGCAGAGGACGAAAGGGACCCTTCGGAGATGAGGATGGAAGACGCAAAGGATGGCCAGATGACGGAGGATGGCCAAACAAAGAAGCCGGCGATCCATTTGGAACCTTGGGATCTGCGGACGGTGGATATCCTAGGTCTTTCAGCCGTAAGTTGGAGAAGAGCTAGCTCCCAAAGTCTACTACTTTCATTTAACCATTGAAATCTTCAGCGCTTTCTATTGGCACTGATGGATTCCCTCGAGAAGGATGGACTAAGACTTTTATTACAAACCCCAGAGAATTAATCAACCAGTATGGAAGCGAGACATTGACAACCATCTTCGACCTCAAGGATCACACTCCAAAGACGATGACAACTGTTAAGGAGACCATCAGTCCTGTCCCTTGAATATATTTTCCGAATAAAGCTTTTGATTCTTCGATTGTCTTTGTCGAAGGTATGAATTGCATGGTAACTTCCAAATATTCGAGTCACTATGCACCCCAAACCTTGACCAGGGCAACCAAAAAATTACAGTATACGGTAATTTACCATGTAAATAATAGTAGTTAGGTATAAAGGAAATTGTAGTAACGGCATCAGCAATGCGTAATATAGTCAGAAGTAGATTGTAGATGACGTTGGGGTAAACAGTAATCGTTATCCATGAACTCACACCATCTACAATTTGGGACCTCGAAAATTGCGTAACCTTTATTGAATCATAAAATAAACCCGGTTTATTGCCCAGTCCATTCACGGTCATCCTCGCCCATCCAAATTCGTTTCTTGAAATTGGAAAGGTCAAGAAGAACATAAACTTACCATATTCATTTGTGTCATTCCATTTCTAACATCTTATTATTTGTAACTGTCGAAAGTACTCAATTAGAGGTTGCATAAAACCCATCAAATATTAAATTCAGCAATAGATTTGTTTTAAAAGAAAGCTAAACTGTTCTACAGTAATTTGTATTTTTCCCACGATTTGAATATCATTCTCACGGCGCTTTGATGCACCAAAATCCCTCAAAAATTATGTAAAATTGAGCATTGAACAGTGGCCTTTCGCTCCATATCATACCGGACGATTAATCCACCTTTTGTAAGTTGCGAAGTCCTAAAAACAAATAAATTAAGAAAAACATCTTTACACGAACCATATTGATTCGAGGCAGCGATTGCAGCAGACTGAGAGGAGTCGAACACCCAGCGAATAATGATAAAAAAACTGGAATGGCGACCGACGCCTCAGGGCACCCACATACGCACCATGACACCGCCAACCAGCGGCGACTTATCATGATCGCACTGAACACCATAAGTCCCTGAGGGGCGAAGAGCCGACCCAGTGCGTCGCCCCTCGCTTATTGGTCGGTTCAAGGCTGGCAAAGGGGCGGAGTCCAAAAGGGACTGCTCAACTCAATTTACAGTCCCTGTCATCCCATTTACGAACTGTAAAAAGTTGTAATTTTTAACTCTCAATCACTGACCATGTTAATTATTTTAGTTTAATTCAAATACTACTAAAATCCTTAAAGCTCGCCACGGTCCAACCCTTAACTTTTTTGTTTTCCCGGTTTTGCCATTGCGGCGGATCTATTCACAAAACGCGGCCTAGATAAAGAAACTAGCAGAGCCCCATTTCTCACGATATCAAACGTTACGGGTTATGGCTCGCGTTTAGAAAAACACGGAAACATCCAGGCCCTACGTGACTTGCTTACCTACATACAATTTCAAATATTATAAAGTTTTTAAAATATAATTTGACATAAACTTAAAAACATCAACTATTCAAATTTTTTAAAATCTATATTTTACCTTTCGGTTATATTTTACATTGATTTTTAATTTGTAGATCAAGGGTCGAAAAAAAACTAAAACGATATAAGAATTCAGCACGTTCCTTGAGAGATAATTTCCAAATCCAGTAAAAACCTTTACTTTTCCTAACTGTTTATCTAAAAAAAGACGCTAAAACTAACCGTAAATTGCAAAGAAATGGCATTATGGCGGAGGACGCGGCATAAATCAAGACTGAATAAGAACGCCGTCGAGAATGGCAACGTTTCTGCCTTCCTCCCCTCGATGACAACGTCGAACTCACTTTGAATGATCGGCCCTCCTTTGTGCAAGATCCTGTTTTTAAACCCAACCTTTCTCGAGAAGTGCCAAAAGTGCTGTTTGATTGACATCGAGAATTTCGGCGCCAAAATCTTAACAATTGGGCCGTGCCGTTTTCGGAACGCCGTTCTCTCTTTTCTCGCATCAAGGTCGCGGCAAAATCAGACTGAATCAGACCCCGAGATGTTCCGTTTTTTGTGGCCTTGAGAACAAAAAACAAACGAAGCACATCCAGCGAGAACATCGACCGTCACGGTAAATCCTTGTACCGTAACCCAAAAAACAAAGACTTCTTCATAACCGGTAAAACATTCCTTATCAGTGGAACGAGGGCACTCTGCAAACGATCAGGAAATTTGAATATGCTAATTACATAAGGCCTTAGTATCACTACTTATCAGTCAATAAATTTGAATATTGGTGATAACACGATCGCGTTGACGCTTTAGGGCAGAAATGCCCTTAATTTGAATAGAAGAACCATCGTAAAATAGAAAAACAAAAAAGATCGTGGCAAGAATTAAAACAAACACTACGGCAATTACAAACGTTTGTGTGGACGGACATTATATGAAACTTTTGGTAGTAAAATACTTATGGCCCAAATATCAAATGTTTTATATTGCAAAGAACTTAGAACTAGATGTAAACGCAATGAAGTAATGACCCCGAAAATTAACGTTTAACATTGTTTCACATAGATATTTTTTTCTAGAATAATTGTTAATGGTGCTTCACAGTAAAAAATTTTTATGGTCGTTCAAGGAAAATCAAAAAAATCCAAAAACTTTGGAAAAGGATCTAACTAATATTCCCTGATGACATACGCAAGATGGCACGTTCCCATTACATGGCATGCCATGCAACATAGCGTCCTGGAGGAGCCTCTGCCATGGCACCCAACAAAATATACTCACCTTATAGTTATGTCATCATCTTCACGTCAGTATAAAATAAATTAGAAAAGAAACCGCAGAATTTAGAAAATGTTCCCGAAGTTCCAGCGTCCCGGAAAAAAGGGCTGGCACTCAACAGAAAGAAATAAACAAAAGGCATATGCAAAAGGCACGATCGGAGTAATTTATCACAATGCGGATGAACAAAGGGACCACTAATCATCGCACCCCTTAGATCAAGAGCTGACTCGGAGATCTTACGATTACAGTAGGCCCTTGGAAACATAATAAGGCAAATTAAAATGAACTGGTTGACATCAGAAGACGTCCCATAATTTTAAATTGCTCTAAAAAGAGTACTTTTTACATTTTGAGTATAATAATATCGCATTACTGACGACGTATGGATGACGAGGGAAAGCGATGAAAAAAAGGGAAAGGGTAACCTGTAGTTATTAGATAATAGTAATTATTGATGACGCTTCTAAATCTAGAAACCCCCAAACTTTGGGCGTGCTAATTAAATTAAACTTGTAATATCGGTATAATAACTCGGTTTAGGAAAAAATCTGAAATTAAGACTAGTATCAAAAGCTTGGCTCATCTACTTGTTTTTACGTGTAATTGCTCGAATTATCTATTTTTACAATGAAAGACAGCTGTTTTTTATACGGAAAAAATGCGCAGAGAAGTCTATCAATTTTGAATAGAAATGTATATTGAATTTCACACTTTTCAATGAGACATTAATTTGAAGTATAGAAAACAAATCAACAGAAAATTTTAAAACCTTCTACGCATACTACCACCTTTGCAAGCATTATAATCAACAACTCTCCTAATATAGAAAACAAAGCAAATAATTAGATCACAGACATACGAAAATAGTCGCATTAACTCTGCAAACTACCCACAAACTTTCCCATTTTCTTCCAGCCATAACCACCTGGCTACCGTAAATCCAGTTACCATAGAGCGCTACAATAAAAGATTTCCATGAAAAATGATTTATTACGCAATAAAATGGGAATTAAAAGACAGCGACTACCGTAACCCTAACTATAAAACCTTCTATAAAGAAACGCAGTTATTAAACGATAAACCAGGTAATTGGTCCGTACTCTGGAGATCTGAGAACAAAAAAACCGGTAAAAAAAGGACAGGAACACCGGCCCGAAGGGGGCGGAGCCACAGGAAAAGATTTTCGTGGAACCCCGACCAGTCGTACCGTAGCGGACCAACCGATAAGCCGTTTGAAAACCCACGCCGACCCAGAAAATTCAAATTTTTTGTTTGCCTGAGGCGTTTGTTAGAGATAGCATCCAGTTCAATGTTTGTCAACAGTCCAGCGAAAGATAATCGTCGGCGAAGAGAGTCAAGAATTATGTACCTATAAATGGTCAAGACGTTTTTTTCTCCAAGAAGAAGCAAGGAATTCAGATTATTTCTAAATTTACATAATTTTAACACCTAAACTATTACTTTTAATTCATTAAGGAAAAGTTTAACTAATATCACGCCAAAATCAACAAAATCCTGAATTTATGGAGTAGTATATAAAAACACAGAGTTTAGCACATCTGATGTAACCATTGTAAGTATTATAATTGCAAGTAAATCATCATTTGTAATATCAACCTCTTTCTGTAAGTTCTCTCCAGCTAACGTAAACCTCAGGAGTTTTTAGAAATTCAATTTAGACTAACGCCAAGGCAACGTCTAATACAATCAGCCTAAATCTTGTCAATTGTAATTTCCGCGCTTTTTCATTTTTGTGACACTTCGTCTACCAAAGTCAATAATTGAAATCCTACGCTTACGTAGTCTTTTTCTGGAAAATTGGGACGATTTCTCGAAGGTTTATGCTGGTTTACGTGTTATTGGATTGTAGATGCAGTTTTAATAACGTTAGTTTTGCTAAGGATTCGCATTCTTGTCTAACTCAACGTATTCTAGTTATTTTGAACCGTTAAAGTGCCTTGAATCAAGAGCAGAGGTGGAAGAAAAGAAATGCGTTCTAGTTATACGCTGCTTTTTGCAGTCGTACAACTGGCAGGTCTTGGCAGCGTCAGCAGTAAGTTTTAAATTACACTCGATTTATCATTTTAGATGCCCAATTGGCGGCTATGTCTGTTGATCTCGGGGACGAATTCCTCAAATTTGGCTTAGTCAAGCCTGGGGTTCCGATGGAAACGGTAATTAACAAGGAATCTCGACGGAAGACGCCGAATATAGTAGCAATTAGAAATGGCGAAAGATTCTTCGGTGACATTGCTGCGCAAATGGTAAAACCAGTCGCTTAACGTAAATCAATTTGTTTAGAGCATAAAATTTCCGGCCAATGCCATCACTTCATACAATGATCTGATCGGAAAACAATTTAATCATCCTTTGGTGGAAGAATATCAACGGAGGTTCCCATATCACAAGCTGAGTGCTCATCCTGAGAGAAACACGGTTGTCTTTGAGATTGAGTATGTCATTTTGTATCTAAAAATACATTTTTTAACCTTGAAGTTTATGAAACTGTTATTTTAGTGGGGCTTCGTACCCTATAGAGACCATCTTAGCCATGGCATTGTGGAATGCCCAGGAACAAACTTCAGCTCATGCCGGGCAGTTCGTGAAGAATGTTGTGATCTCAATCCCTTCCTACTTTAACCATTCAGAACGAGTTGCTGTTGCGAATGCCACTCAAATTGCCGGTCTCAATCTCCTTTCGCTGATTTATGATGGATCTGCTGCTGCTTTAAACTACGGTGTTTTTAGAAGAAAGGAAATCACAGAAAAACCACAAACTCTTCTAATTTACGATATTGGGGCTCGAAAAACTGTCGCTACATTGGCTGAATACAAGCTGGTTGAAGAGAAAGAGGGTTCTAAGGAGAAGATCCCACTTATTAAGACCATTGGAGTTGCATTTGATCGAACTTTGGGAGGGCAGTTGGTTACGGCACGATTGAGAGATCATTTGGTGAATGCATTCAAGGAGCAATTTAAAGCTCTTGATAAAGACATCACCCAAAACCAAAGGGCTATGGCCAAGATGTGGAAAGAAGCAGACAGAGTCAAACAAGTAAGAAAGGTTTGGATAAATGGTTATGTGGAATTTAGGTATTGTCAGCAAATGCAGAATGCTTTGCGCAGGTTGAAAGCGTTTTTGAAGACAAGGACTTCAAGGTGAAAGTGTCTAGAGACTTAGTGGATGAAATCATTGAAGAGAACAAAGACAGACTTGTTAAACTGTTGAATCAAGTTCTAGAACAGTCTGGACTTGACATCACTGCCGTTGATCAAGTGGTACTGATGGGAGCGGGAACCAGAATCCCTAAAATCCAGAAGATTCTCTCCGAAGCGATTAGCGGGCAAGTTTTTTATTGATTTTATTATTTTTTTAATAGGAAGGAACTAGCTCGTTTCTTGAACACGGATGAAGCCATTGCTCTTGGAGCCGTGTACGAAGCCGCATCAAGAAGCAAGGGATTCAGGGTAAAACCATTCAGAATCGAGGAAAAACCTGTTTACCCAACCACCGAAGAGGAAGCCGCGTTCACTGGGCTTACCGCCACTCAGGTCACCGAGGCAAAGAGAGTTCTGGCCGAGTTTGAGAATATTGAAAAGTTGAAAGTAGAGAAGGAAACCGCCCTCAACTCCTTGGAATCCCTTGTTTATGATGTGACTGCGAAACTTGATGATGAGACCTACAACAAATTTGTAAACGAAGAAGAGAGTGCTGCCATTAGAGGCAAAGCGGAGGCTATCAGAGCTTGGCTGGAGGATGAAGTTACACCTGACACAGATGCTAAGGCTTTGAAGGACAAGCGATCTGAATTGGTGGGAGAGTCAAAGAAAATGAACTACAGGAAAAGGCAGTTTGAGGAGAGGCCAAAACATTATGTTAAGATCGCGGACAGCTTGGGAAAGGCGAAAGATCTCCTTCCTTTGTTTAACAACAGCACCAAGGAAAATGCGACCATCTTCACTGAGGAGGAGGTAAAGAAGTACGAAGACGAGATCAACAAGGTTGAGATGTGGTTCAGTGAGAAGAAGAAAATTCAAGAAGGAAAAGGATTGGATGAAGAGCCTGTGATCACTGTGAAAGAAATCACTGAAAAGGTAGGTGTCAAAAATATAACAATATCTTTTTTAGATTAAATTGGTGAACAACGAAGTTAGTTTAATGAAATCTAAGGTGTATCTCTATCAAGTAAAGGTAGCTAAGGAAAAGAGGGAAGCCGAAGAAAAGGAAAAGAAAGAAAAAGGTCTGTTTTTTAATCATAAGTGTTATTTATTTAACAACAATTCATAAATCTGTAATTTCAGAAGCCGCAGGGAAGGCGGCAAAGAATGAAACCGTAATTGAAACTCCACCAACTACGAACGAGAATGAGTCGTCCGCCCAACAACCAGAGGCCGAGGAAACGTCAACTGAAGCTCCCACTGATTCATCAACTGAAACACCAAACAACAAAGAGGCCGAAAACTCAGAGAAGGACGAGAAAACGGAACTATAATATGTTCAAAATTATAAGTAAAACTACCTAAAACTGGTCATTAATTCGCTTTTTAAATGTTTAATTTATTCATTTATGTGATATAAATATATTTACTGTTCTTGTTATTGACATAAATTATAGCTGTGGTTTAATAAACGTTACAAAATTTTAATCCTTTTATTCGATTAAAACACGCTTTCTGAGTCAGTGAAGCAGCCTTTAGTTAGGCCGTGACATAGAAAATTTCGATCTCGGGTTTTTTGCCTTAATGTGACCGACATCATCCTAAAAACTTATTGGCAAAACAGTTTTGCCTACTTCTGCCGTTAACATAGTTGTTTTTACAATTTATTGTTTATACAGTAATCCACAATAATTCAGTAATGACCACACAGATATTCATGAAATTGTGTATACTGATGTTTTCGAACTCGTAGATTTCAAAAAAAGTGGTTTTGACTCATTAGGATTACTGTAACATACCAAACTGCCGATTCGGCCGCCAAAAATCGGCCGTAAAAACTTTGTTTCTGAAAACCCACAGCTGATTTTTACATATGTTAATCAGCATAAAATTCTGCCCTATAAACGTTAAAAAAAAGTCCAAAAAGTGGGGCGGCATTTTTCATGGTATAGTGGTTTTGGGTCAGAACTACCTATCCAGCGTCCCGAGTTCGAGTCCGCCTGGATGCAAAAACTAAAAATAAAGCGTAAATTAGCTTTGATGTGGTCTTGGGGTCTGTATGAGGGAGACTGAATAATTTTAGGCATAGATGATACCCCTATTTGAGATAAAAATGGATTTTATATAATTTTAGATGATAAATTCGTGAAAAATAAAACGTCTTCAAATCATTTGAAATTGATACCAGCTCTTCTAGGAATAATTCTAAGAAACTTTTCCGTTAGCTTTTTTTGATTGCTTACTGTACCATGGAATACTGTAACATAAAACTTTTTTTCCTTAACCGTGGTTTTCTTCTAAATTCTTCAAATGAAATTTTGATTTTTTTTGGTTAGCTTTTCTAAACGGTCGAAACCATACGCGCTGGATATTTAAAATAAAATTCCATCTCTATTCCAGTGTGTATTCATATCATCGTTAATTGGTGAAACTTCGGGAGATTTCTCAGGTCTTTTGAATCGTACGGCCATAGAAACATTTTGGTGTTCCAACCGACTCATTCTTAACCATTTCTATCATTATAGTGATAGTCCGACGTCTCTGCGCTCTGTGGTATGTGAAAAACTAAATCGGGTTTAATGTTACAGTACTCCATGGTACAGTAAGCAATCAAAAAAAGCTAACGGAAAAGTTTCTTAGAATTATTCCTAGAAGAGCTGGATCAATTTCAAACGATTTGAAAACGTTTTATTTTTTCGCGAATTTATCATCCAAAATTATATAAAATCCATTTTTATCTCAAATAGGGGTATCATCTATGCCTAAAATTATTCAGTCTCCGTCATACAGACCCCAAGACCACATCAAAGCTAATTTACGCTTTATTTTTGGTTTTTGCATCCAGGCGGACTCGAACTCGGGACGCTGGATTGGTAGTTCTGACCCAAAACCACTATACCATGAAAAATGCCGCCCCACTTTTTGGACTTTTTTTTAACGTTTATAGGGCAGAATTTTATGCTGATTAACATATGTAAAAATCAGCTGTGGGTTTTCAGAAACAAAGTTTTTACGGCCGATTTTTGGCGGCCGAATCGGCAGTTTGGTATGTTACAGTAATCCTAATGAGTCAAAACCACTTTTTTGAAATCTACGAGTTCGAAAACATCAGTATACACAATTTCATGAATATCTGTGTGGTCATTACTGAATTATTGTGGATTACTGTATAAACAATAAATTGTAAAAACAACTATGTTAACGGCGGAAGTAGGCAAAACCGTTTTGCCAATAAGTTTTTAGGATGATGTCGGTCACATTAAGGCAAAAAACCCAAGGTCGAAATTTTCTATGTCAAGGGCTGCTACACTCACTCAGAAATCGTGTTTTAAAACATTTTATCCGTATTATATTGGGAGTTCGTCCAATTATTTGGAGCCTACCTTTTCGACACGATTATGGTCGACTCTTGAAAAGGTCAGGTCGATGATCTCTTCCCACCTGAGGTGTTCTCGCAGCGATCGCTCGAAGCGCGATTGAGTGGCCATTTCTCTCAGCTTTCTGGTCACATTTGTTTGGAAACGAAAAAAACGTCCGCGCACCTCAGGCTCTGTTGTGCAGCACTTAATTTGATTGGGAATACAAAAAACAATAAAACCGGATCGATTCGGCCGTTGGAACTTTGCGGCCCGTTCTCTCCCCGTGCTATTTTTAGAGTGCTCCTTGGCGTTAAATCGAGCGGAAGAATAGTTTTGAGGGCTTGGGGCATGACGATTTATGCCGTAACTTTTTTGTATGCATGTTTTTAACTTATGGTTCGCTGGATTATTTTTGGTTATAAGATAATTGAAAGAATTCCAAATATTTTATTCATCTTGCAATGTTACGTAATATAAATCATTCATTTTCGTTCACTTGCCGGCCTGAAAATTTATTTGAAACGGAATATTTCTTGATGACTAATCAAATATGATAAAATAGAATATAAATAACATCCGTTCGTAGACCAAAGGCGTCATTGATAATTCAACAGAGCTCAGATATAAAACCCAAGGATTGAATGGACACATATTTCATTCATCATGCTTAAACTACTCTATCTCTTCACTTTTGAACTACTGACTATCCTTGCTGCTGGTAAGTTCGACTCATCCGCCTTTTTTAGTCCACATTGTTTCTAACAATATTACTTATTGTAGGAGAGTATCTCAGACCATGTTATTTTACAAATTGGGCTCAATATCGACAAGGTCGTGGAAAGTATTTGCCTGAAGATTATGTTCCCGGCCTTTGCACTCACATTCTCTTTGCCTTCGGATGGATGAATGAAGATTTCACAGCAAAGTAACCACTTTCCATTTACGTATTACTTGTTTCTATTTTTTACAACATATAACCGCTCTTTTAGAGCATACGATCCTGCCGATCTACCCAATGATTGGGCGGGACCTGGAATGTATTCTCGGGTAAATGCCCTCAAACAAAGAGATCCCAAACTGAAGACATTACTCTCGTTTGGAGGATGGAGTTTCGGCACAAGACTCTTCCAAGGAATGACCGCCACAACTCAGACGAGAGATAAATTCATAAAATCATCTATAGAATTCGTTCGAAAATATGGATTTGATGGGATTGACATTGATTGGGAGTACCCTAAGGGCGATACAGATAAACAGAACTTCAATCTGTTCTTACAGGTGAGAATTTATGAGCTAAACACTAATACGGGACTTCTTTAGGAACTGAAACACGCGTGTGAGCAGGAAGCGACAAGCACAGGAAGAAATCGCCTCCTTATAACCGCCGCTGTTGCTGCTGGGGTGAATAATATACAAAATGGATACGACATTCCCACTATCTCACGGTAAGTTACCAAACTAATAATCCCGGCAACAAATTTTACCACTATTCTCCTGCTTACAGGTTGTTAGACTTCATCTTACTGATGAGTTATGATTTCCATGGAGCTTGGGAGCAGAAAACAGGCATGAACGCCCCTTTGTATGGTCAGATTGGCGACGAACCAGAGTGGAATGTGGTAGGTATCAAGCCCAGCCGATTGTTTAGTTAAATGTAAAATGATTTTTTCCAGGCTGGAGCAGCCACCTATTGGACTGACCATGGAATGCCCAAACACAAGCTCGTCATTGGTGTTCCCACTTATGGCCGAGGGTGGACTTTGACAAACACAGCAGACTATTCGATTGGTGCAGCTGGATCTACAGCCAGAACAACGAAATATGTTGGAGAAGCTGGGACTGCGGCTTATTACGAATTCTGTGAGATGTTGGCAGAGGGCGGAGTACGATATTTTGATGACAAAACAAAAGTGCCATATTTGGTGAAAGGCGACCAATGGTTCAGTTACGATGACAAGGCTTCAATCAAAGCTAAAGTTGATTGGATCAAGGAAAATGAATATGGGGGAGCGTTTGTGTGGACCTTGGATATGGACGACTTCAATGGACAATGTTCCACTGGATATGGAGAAAAATATCCACTAATTGGGACCATTGCCAAGGAATTAGCTGGAGTTGTTATTCCAGCAGGATCAGGAACAGTCGTTAGTCGCATTATTCAATGAAAATATATATTATTTTAGACTCCAGAACCACCACCTTATATTCCTTCGTATACCACAGCTTCAATTTATCCTTGGTCCACTTCTTCTGTTGCCCCCAATGATCTTGATCATGCCTGTCTCGGACAAGGGGATGGTTTTAAAGCGATCCATGGTGTTTGTACAGAGTTTGTTTTGTGTCTATCAGGAAAGGGAATGGTGATGACATGCCCTCAAGGCACCGAATTCAGTCGGGGATTGGGTTATTGCACATATGTAAGTCAATTTAAGAAAAACCGCGCAACTTTCGCATGTTTCATTTTTTTTAGGCGACCCAGTCAGGATGTAACACTTCTCGACCTTACAGTTGGATATCGACGAGCACATACCAGCCAGGCTCCACTACGGTAGACACTGGATCAAAAAAAGGTAAATGACAACAGGGAATGTGTTCAATTAATAACAGATTTCACTTGCCAAAACCAAAAGGATGGCTTCTATCCAGACCCCAATAGCTGTTATCAATTTTACCGCTGTGTAAATGGTATCTCGTACCATTTCGATTGTCCAATCGGCCTCAAGTTCAGTAAAGAAACTTCTATGTGTAATCATCCTAATTCCGTAAATTGCCAGTGATTTCGATGTCAGGTAAAATGTGAATTTCATATTGGAAACATATCTTTCACTTTACTGCAACATCCCATTTTACCAACTCATTCCCAATAGAATAATCTTAGTGCCTCCAGGAGGTCTTTCTCATGTATAATAATATCAATTGTACGTTAGAAACGAATAAACTTTATGAAAAGAAGATGTGGCCACATTAGGCCTCCCCAATCTTGCAGTCTCTAATTACCGACACTTTAATTCAAAGCGACATTTAATGACTCCGGCCCTTAGGGCGTTGCCAGAGCAACTGAGAAAGGGGAGACATGTACTGTACTGGTAGAGTAATGACCACCGTCCATTCGAAAGAGGCCAGGTGAGACCATCTGTTCTCGCGGAAAATTATTTCGAGTAGGGAAAATATATTACTCGGCAAGCTAGAAAAGCGCGAGTAATTTAGTGTACATGCACATTTTCTTTCCATTATTTTGAGGGGTTAACCCGCACGTGTAATTGCCCTTCTGTACTACATCTAATTGTATTAGCATTCAGTACTGCCCCAGAAAACTTTTCCGTCATTTTACTGCAACATCCTCGCTATTTTGAAAAAAATGGATGATAAACCGGTAAATCTGACATGGTTGATGAAGACTAAGACTTATCCGTTCCCAATTCCTACTTATTCGGAAGCTAAGCCACGCAAATTAGTGAAAGAAAAGACGGGGAGGCCTTCCCAGAGTCTGGCCGTCCTTATCTATGAAGCGTTCAGAGAGTATCGATGTCAACTTACTGTTTCTCAAATTTCTGAGAGCATCGCAAAGAAATACGAGTATTACAGAATTAGGAAGCAATGGACCGTAAGTATTTACTAAATAAGGGTTTAAAACTGGATTCAGATTACCGGAACCATCAGAAATGCGTTAAGTAAGGACACCCGATTTCTTAAACTGCCAAAAGACCCGAGTTTAGGACGACGATCAAACTACTGGATAATAAACAATAAGTGCCTGTAAGTAATCCGTGAGGAGCAAAAATAAAAACTTCAGATGGCAAGAAATCCAAAAAGGAACAGCCCCATTCATCAAAAACGAAGACGAATTTAAATCAGAGCTTGGGAGAAGGCATGAAAGTTTCGCCGAAATAAAACAAAGTTACGAAAGATTTGAAAATCAGGACGTCAAAAGCAAACCCTATGAAGACAGTAAACCGACCCATCTAGACGACATAATTGACTGGATCGATGTCGAAGTTTGTAAATTTGGTGATGATGTGGACAAAGAAGTTGAGCAGATCCTAGTTAGCAACGATTTTTTGCCTCAACGACAGCACCCCTGGGCTGAAGATACGAATACGGAATGTGAATGGATCTTCTGAACCCCTACATCTCTAATATACAAAACCCAAGTGCTCCCTCTGTACAAAACATTTATCATTTGTAATATCATTTCTTGTATTTACAGTAACATCTTTAGCTCCCTTTTCCAAACTTATCTAAAACCCCCGCTTCTTTCCCCAGCTCCACCATTTGTTGTACATATGACGCGACAATTCCATCGCGGTCATGGAGAGCAGAGAAGTGCTGGAAGAACTCAGTTCTCATCAGCTCCTCAAAAGTCGGCCGATCTTTGTACTCCTTGGTTAAACTGGAAACTTTAGTCTTTCATTAAGAGCCACATACCATCGATTGATAAAATATACTGTGTATGGTTCGTAATTGTCTCCTGGATTCAGGAAGTTAGGATCACCATGAACGACTAACTCGATCTGGGCGAAAAGACATTTGTTGTTGAAGTCAGGGTATGGGAATACACCCCTCGCAGTCTCTACCTAGACGACGAATAAAAAGCGTAAAGTTATACATACCAAGGTGATACCAAGACTCCATACGTCTGATCTTGTATCATATCCCTCAATACTCGCCATTAATCTCTCTGGCTGTAAAATACGTTACCCGCCTACATCAACCTTACAGCCATATATGGACGACAGCCAACGTCTTTCGTTTTGGCCATCGAATCCTCAAGATAACCCGATATTCCGAAGTCACAAATCTTAATTTTCCCACGGCAGTTGAGAAGAATATTGGAAGGTTTTACATCTTAAGCAACCGTAATTTTGAGATAAGAACGTAACGAGTACCTCTATGAATGATATGCTTGAGTTTCTTGAGGCAGTCCAAAGCTTTGAGTACCGTAACCCCTACGGATCCGAGAACATTTTCGTCAAAAGAGGTCCGTGCCACCTGATGGACAATATTATAAAGACGGTCCAATGAGATATCCATCAGCTCCATGCATATTAAACAGTCTCCCTAATCTATTATTAACGAATGAAACAAATCAATCTTACCTCATGGAAAGTGACGCCATAAAACCGAACAACTTCAGGGCATGTGGAAGCTTCTTTTATCATTTGGACTTCATTTTGAAGCTGGCGCATCCTCCTCTGATCTTCGATGTCTTCATATAAATTGGATATCAGTCTGACTCTCTAAAGTGATCTCATCCTAGAGTCTTCAAAGCAAAGAAGAAAAATGTTTTCTTAAATTTACCTTCACCGCCATGATAAACTTGCTAGGAACATGGCGCATTTTACATACGATTCCAAATCTTCCAGCCCCAATCTCTCCTATGTTTTCGAGGTCCTCGTAACCAAACGTCATTTCACGATCTCGGCAGGGCAACATCAACTTTCCCGACATAAACATTTGAACAAACCGACTAAAAAAATCGTAAAATACTCAATAACGGACCTGTTAGAGATAAATTGTATGTCTTTGGATCCATCTGGAACCACATGGTCGTCACATTCAAGATTCGAAGTTCCAGGAAAGGTAGTCCTGTTCATCATCGATGTAATTTTAAAAAATAAACAGTTTGAAGTAATGAAGCGAAATATTCTAATTTTTATAGGTACACTTTTCGAACATAATAACTGCCCTATGTAGTCTGCAATTTATTTGTTATTTTTGTTTCACGAGTGCGTTTTTTTCGGTTGTCGCAAAATGCCACATAATTTTTTGAATGCCAAGGATTACAAGTTTGAATTTGCAGGCTGCAGAAAAAACTAATGTAGATGTCGGGCGCACCAAGAAAATAAATATTATTCAAAGGAAAGACGTTCATTCAAATTGGGAGGAATGTTAGGAGTGCTGCGGATAGCTCGTAATTTGTCGACAAAGCCAGAGCGTCCTTTGTTTCGGCTAAACAAGAGTAATCCATTCGTTGCAATTCCTCAAACATGGGTCACGAAATTGAGCGACGTTATAACAGAACAATCTGAGATCTTGGAATTGCACCCTGGTATGTTTTGTGTTTTATTATTATTCTGGATGTTTAGATGTGTTCCGCGTGAACCCACGGCTGGATCTTATTCACAGAAACGTGGTCTGGCAAGCAAATTATAAAAATCTTCAATTGACTAAACAACTTTCCAAGGCAGAGATGCCGGGAGGTGGCCGGAAACCGTGGCCTCAAAAAAGAATGGGAAGGCATCATGCAGGCTCCATAAGGTCGCCTCATTTCATTAGAGGTGGCTTTGCTCACGGAGTTAGAGGTCCGAGAACTTGGTTCTATATGTTACCTGACTCCTGCAGAATTCATGGTCTCACATCTGCGTTGACTGTTAAGCATCAACAGGACGACCTAGTTGTGGTGGAAAATTTTGAGGATATTCCAAACTCCGATCCCCAAGTAAGTTAGTTGTATTAGCAGTCTGGTTTTATGTATTAATTGCTGGCCAGGTAGTTTTTTGTTATCGAAAATACTTATTGGTGTTGATTTCGTTGTTTTTAGTTTCTTCATGACTTGGCAGAAGAAAGGAATTGGGGATATTCGGTTCTATTCGTGGCTGAAGATTTTGAGACGTCTTCCAATCTGTTGGACGCTGTTGAACGCATCCCCAGCTTTAATGTGATGTCATATTTTGGCATCAGTCCTTATTCATTGTTGAAATATGAAACCGTTGTGTTCACGAAGGAAGCGATTCTGAGGTTGGAAGATGCCGTTTTGAAAAGGTTGCATTGTCCAGAGAGCCTAAATACGTCGTATGAGTATATAAAACTTAAGAAGACGTTGTTGGACGAATCTATTTATGAGGAGGATTCCAAGTATTCACCATTCGTCTAGATTTATATCTTTTAGGAAGTTGTTGTTGTTGAATAAAGGTTTCTTTTTTGCATATTGCGATTTACTCTATGTTGTGCGGTCGCTGTTTATATTTAACGTGTTTTTTTCGCTTTATTTGCAATATTTCTATATCTGATTTTAGAACTATGGGTAATATTCTCAGGCGGCATCGTAACCCAGTAGATGAGTTGGACCAGATTGTAAAGAACTTGCAATCATATCAGAAACGATTGCAAAGTCTACGAAGAGGCCGCTACAATGCAATGTGGTACTTCACCGCCGTTCTTTTTTTCTCAGTCACGGTATACTCTGCAGTGAGTTGTCTCGAAGCCGGTGATTCGAAGTCCATGTACCAGAGGATTGGTTTGGCATGGTTCACCGGCATTCTGGTGTTCATTACGTTTAGATTCATATCTGGTCGATGCTTTGACTTCCTTTTGAACAGAAATGAGAGGAATATCGAGACGTTGAATACAAGAAGAACAGCTATTTTGGAAAATGTTAAAGAAAATGAGAAGTTCAAAGTCGCGAAGGATATCATCGAAAAATACGGTTCAGAACAGGATTTGGCCGAAATTGGGGTTAAGAGAGGTAAAATAGTCTGAAAATTTTTTTGTTGACAATTTGTTTTTTCCCTACTTGTTATTTTTCAGAGTCTCCTCCAAGATTGAACGAATCCAGACTTATAAATTCAGAACAGGCTACCGTAAAGCAGCCGATTTCCGCTAAACCAGCAGAGCCAGAGAATCTTCTAGAATTCGCTCGTCCATTAACCCCAGAGATACCACAGGCAGGATCTAGTACGGACGTGGTGTTGCGAACTCCATCGATACCTATGAACAGGGCAATTGGACTGAGAACACCCATGCAAAGACAACCGATTCGACCATTTGTTCAGGTCAGCCGAACTCCCATCGACAAGATCATTGATTATATTATTGGCGATGGACCATCGAACCGGTAGGTGGTTGAAAAGTCTTCTTTGACATGGCTTTAGTTTTGCCTTGATATGTAAACAATGCCATGCTCATAATGGAATGGCCCTTAGAGAAGAGTTTGATGGTATTTCATTTGTTTGTTACAATTGCGCGTTTTACAATCCGGCCAGGAATGCACAGCCGTTGCGTACTCCTCGAAGATTAAAAATTCCGGCGATTGAAGAGAGCAAGCCCTTTATTAGGACGGCCACCAATACGGACTCCTCGGTAACAAACATTTCTGATTTTTTTTTATTTCTAATCTTCATTTTTCAGGACAATGATGACGCCGAATCAAGCGCCGGGCAACCTTGGGTTGCGGAAACGGAATCGCCTGAGGACGTCGAAAAGCCCATCCAATCTTAGCCATTTTCGGAACGATGCTGGGTAACAATTTAATAACTTATTTTTACATTTTTCTATCTGGAACTGGTATTTGTACATGTGTTTATCTGGAACTGGTATTTGTACATGTGTTTCTATAAAGTCTCAACTCGTAATCAGTCGGCATTCGCCTCCAACCAAGTGTGAGATTTATGTCTAAGTTGGGATCCATGCTTAGAACCTATTTGTTAGCTTTGTGGGTTCCGTTTTCTTCGGAAAAGCTTGACAAATGGGTTCTAATCTCGGAATGTGGGGTAAGACATGATGGAATGATTTCCTGATTTGCCTTGGGCATCGGCGAGTTATAAAAAACTTTGATTTGGCCTAACTGGTAGAATTAAAACAGTTTTTTATTATCACCCTAACAAACAAATCTATGGTTATCAAAGGTATTTAAACTTTATTTACTCTCCAAATGTGATTAACGAGACCGTTTCGCTTTGACTGATTAGTTGAAAAGAAAGATTGGCACAGTAAAGAGGGGCTCAAGACGTTATTATGGGGGTTGGCGTCGGATGCTGACAATTAAGAAATGAGGGTATGTGGAGCAACACTATCTTTGTAAGGCGGATCAACGTCTTCCGAATCGGATGAATTCGAATTTATTTCTTCTTTTTTCCGTGAATTTCATTTGGCTAGGCGAGATTCCGACAACTTGGGGGGTTTCTGGTCCTGAAAGTATCATATTAATGATGCTTAGCGTTCAATACTGAAGTTACAGACAAAATTTCTCACCTTCTTGGTATACTTGCAGCATCTCTAGTGCATTCAGTAGCTGACCCTGTATTCTGGCAAGCATCTCATCGTTCGATTCGACCAGTTCGCCTTTTCTGGCTGTAATAAAAACATACATTTAGACGCTTTATGGGACAAACTTTTCCGTGAAAGGATGACAACTCTTATGGGTATACGTCATAGGACCCTGACTGTCGTAACATTTACGAAAAACTTTGTAAACAAGTTTATGAAATGTGTGGTAATTTTAGACAGGATTTGAAGACTTTATAGTATTCGCGATGCATTGTTGTAATCTAATCGGGAATAATTAATTAGCAGTTATTGAGCATTTATACGATTCTACACGCCTCATAAGAAAACAAGAGGACCATGGAATATTCAAAGTTATTATCTGTTGTGAAGCTTACCGTGGGGTTTCTGTGCAGAGCAAAGGCTAGTGATGACCATGACTGCCAGGAGGGAAGCGACCACACTCTTCATAGTTACAGTAATCTTCGGAGAGAAAAAAGTTGTGAAGGCCGAAAGAAAGCGATTCGGCCATGCTTTCGGCCGTTTTAAAAGTCGGCCAAGGATCCGCCCCGGATATCTTGACGCCATTTTTAGGGAAGCGGGATCATTACGACGGCATTGACGCGACGACAAACGACTTCGGGAATCGACCGGAAGTACTGGTCGACTCCAATTATTCGGCGGATTTCGAACTCTGCGGGATTTTGACTCAGAGTGACGACATCTTTCTGGAAATGAGCAAATTTAAAATCAACTGAACTTTACGTCGACGAAATCGCACGTGTAATACATTGTTTCTTCGCGATAATAGTTTCCTTATTTATCGTACTTAGGTCATCATAGTTGAAGTATTAATTTTGTGAAATGATTTCATGCAAGATTGTAAAAAATTCGTTTGTTTTCACATTTAAAGACATCCGGCATTACTCTAGTCGTAAATTTTAAGCTGCAATAACTGTTAGGCATCTTTTGTCATACGAACATAAAACGGATCTAAAAGTTTCTCTAAAGTTTCTATTCTTTTTCTAAAAAGGGTTTTATTGTTAATAATTTTTGCAATCATGGCAATTTGTGTTGGGCTCAGCAATTCTCTTCGATTTATTACTATCTTGGTGTTTCTCTTTTTCTTACATCCTCCTGCGAAGCTTTATTTTCTCTTTGTTGAACCGGAAGAATCGGGGCTGAGACAAGCCAATCCGCTTTCAGAAATTGAATTCCGACTTCCCTTATGCAATATAAATGATGACAAGGATTATCTAACAATTTAAAGGCAATTTATTTTTCATTACAATACGAATGGAAATATGCCGTGTGATGGGCGGATGACTTCTTTATCCGAATCGGATGAATTCGTTCTTTCTCTTGACTAAAGTGAATAATTTAGGTAATCTGGGCTTGGATGGATACCTACCCATAGAAAGAGATCGAAGGGCATTGTCGGAATGGGGATTCCATCTGCAATAACATAAATAAGCCCACTAAAGTAATCAGAAGGGCAAGAAACTATTTATTTTAATTGATTATGCACTGATAAGTACAGTATTTTTTATCTAGTCTAAGCGTGAAGTTCTAAAAAAAAATAAAATTGTCATACCTGCTGTGAGGCATATGGTCTAATACGGTAGCGAGGGATCTCTTCCCAAATCTGATAAATTCATTCTTCCTTTTGGCGACCTCTCCTTTCACGTGTACGTGGTTTCCCTGACTCATGACAGTATCCTCAATCTCTCGAATCTTGTTCTCCAATTCTGCAATCCTTCCCTGATAGAGCAATTAGTATTAATGTCATTTTCCTTACCTCCAATTCACATTTGGACAAACTTAAAGTCTCGAGATCAGTCAACTCGCAGACCCTGAGCTCGTCTTCTGGATACGCCTTCTGCCCGACAGTAATTCCTACCATGACAACAAGAAGCAGCGAAGGAAGTACGGACGACATGACTCTCACCTTGTTTGATATACCTTGAGGATTAATTGGACTCTCGCGTACCTTAAATAGGCTTGTCCGAAGACACGCGATTTGCCGATGAATCCCGCCTCAAATTATCCGAAATGCGAATAAAATATGAATCCGAATACTAATCAACAGCGCGGAAATGATTAAGCCTAAGATATGAAGTTGATGTCACCTGGCGGATGATGGAAATGATTACGGAAAAACTTAAGAAAAAATTCAAAAACCAAAAAATGAATACAATATGTATTCAAATTCAACGCAATCGATTTACTATAAAACGGCAAATTCCCAAAAATATCAGTCTGTCGGAAAAATAACGGCGGATCGTCGCGGCAAAATGTCTCGCATCGCCGCTATCGCGCACCAAATCCCAAGCCGCGACTTGCAGTCGCAAAGCGATGATGAGCGACTCCGAGGCGCGACAATCCGCCGTTTTTTTCCCGACAGACCGGTAGTTCAAAAAATTAATTACGCAACAACTCAAAAAAAAGTTAAAAACAAAAAATGATTGCGATTTTCGAAATCAATGCCACCAACTACCCATAAATCCACTATTCGATGAAAAAAATGAAAAATTACTACTTTACAGTACTACTTGAGCGAAATTGGAATAATCATAAAAAATGAATATCATTTTTGAAATCAGCGCCATCGATTACCCTATATCCGATATTTCGTCATAACCTTAGAATTTTTACTTACCACTAAGAATTTTCAAATTTTTCGGCCCGAGGTGTGATTACCAGCCTAAAATATGGCCCCTTTTGTATTTGGGGGCACAGTAGGAATATTTTGGGGGCAGCTTCCAAACTCGTACTTGAGAGCCTGTGTTTGGGGGTAGAATGGTAGAAATTTGGTTCAGCTTTTGGGACAAAATGCGACTGCTTTTACAGGAGACAAATTCTTTGGCAAAAGAGAATCAGCTTCATTCGCAAGAATTTTCTGGTTTCGCAAGAACGAATTCTATCGCAAGAATTGCCTTCTATTGACGAAAATGTTTTTTCAAAATCACTGTCAATCCCCTTTTGCACTGAAATTCGACCCATCAGCAAAAATAAAAGCCGATAATTGTTGTTATCAGGGTTTTATGTTTTGATCCGGAATAAGAAATGTAACCCTAATCTGGAGAGATGACACCACAAAATTTAGAAACCCCGCATGCTCCAAATGTCTTCTTAATGAGGTTTTTGTGGAAACCAAAACCTCGAAACCATTAGCGCCTTCGGGATTTTCAAAATTTATTTATCTTGTTATGGGTTCTTGTTGGCCCCAAAACTATAATGGATGTTCAGTTGGGCGAAACAATGGTTTATAGAAACACTTTCTTTTACGACTGTAGGTCGGTACACCGTCCCGTCGTATCTTGCTCTATGATTTTTGGTTGCTTAAACGCCATAAAGCTTAAAGTTTGACGTAGCTACGCGTAGTGGAGATTTTTGAGAATTTCTTTCCTTGTTTTCGTTTAGAGAAAAATTTAAATTGATAATTATTTTGAAAATTGAATAAATCGCAGGAATACCTACGTCCCACCACGAAAACAAGGAAAAAACTCTCAACTACGTGAACGGCCTTTAATTGCAACTAAAAATAACTTTCCCACCACAAAATTTTCCAATTAATCCAAGGCCTTCATGTGAGGTCAAACCTCGGTCTAAAACATGGCAACGAATCCGACTGACGACATCTCCAAAAGGCCGGCAAAATGAATCCGACCCCATAAACCCGAAGCCTTTGTGCAGGTGTTGAAGCGCGATAAAGGGCTACGATTTATTGAATAGACACAACATTAGAAGATTAAAAAACTGCTCGAATAAATTAAGATGCTATAAAATGGTCATACTGGAGATGCTTGTGTTGATTATTGTGCCTCCGTATTTTAATGATCAGAGATCTCGTTAAACGGATTAATTTTATATCAAGGTTCCGCCGGTGTTTCAATAGGCGCTGTTTGAGCCGCAGATTCGGGAACAGTTTCCTGAGATTCTGATTCCATCTTAACTGGCGCCTCTTCTAAAAACTAGATTAGTGATTTTTGACTGTATTTACTCACCATCTGCTGGTTTCTCGTTTCCTTCCACTTCCATCTTCTCTTCTTTCTCTGATGTCTCCTCATCCTCTACAATCTCTACATTCTCATCGTTTGGCGGCTTTACAAAAACAGGCTGGATTTCAGTAAAGCCACAATGGGGTGTGGGGGTTACAAACGGACCAGGTGGGGGAAGAGGGCTCCCTTTTGGTACTGCGTTGGAATCCTTGTTTGTGAGTCTGCTCAAGATCAATCTTTCGGTCAGACCCAATTTCTCCGTCACCGGTTTCTGTCTGGCCATTGCTGCTGGTAATCGAGTGAGATCTCCCTTGATTTCATTGAGGAGATCTTCCACCATATTCAGGTTCTTGTGAAGAACTGCAGCAGCCCATTTGTGACCGGACGTGGCTTCCCTAGCCAGACTGTGATGACTATCGGTCAGACATTCAATCTCGGAAAAGCGGTCGTTCAGTTGACCACTGATATCCTTCTCTCCCGGGACGGGATTAACCAAGTTGACAGACGAATCGATGTTTTCCTCTCCCATATTCTTGCCCAAATTTAAATATGCGGCTCTTCGAAGCTGTTCTTCAGAGATCAAAGCCTGCTCCAAGAGTTTGTATCTTCTTTGAAGGAACTTGTTCTTGATTTCAGCAAAGTTTGGCTTTCCTTGTTCCTTTTCAAATGGTTTGTTAATAATGGCAAAGCGGGGATCTATTTGGATATCCTGGTACCTGGTATAACCATGCCTAAAAAATGCATCAAGATATTTTTTTCAAGACAGGATCCAAAGACATCAATACAACTACGTACATAGCGATTCCGGCCAACAACCAGTAGTCGTGACGCCTATGCCAGATCTCACGTATATTGTTTGCCAAGGCAGCCTTTTCTTCATTAGCCCATAATGTATGCAATTCCGTGTATCCTCCATCGGCAATGTTGAACATAAACTTCTGTTTGACTGGTTTATCGTCGTTATCATTTAGAGACGGCGTGTCTTCTGATCTCTGTAATGTCTTTTCGTCAATCTCCATCTTCTCTTCTTCATCCTTAGCCTCCTCTTTCACACTCCCTTCTCTGACTATCGGAGTCCCATCCCGCGAAGTGGTTTCTGAATTCGGAATAGAGCTCTCAACTGACTCTGCTGTCTTGAGTTCGGGCAATTGATCCTTCAACTCGGGCATCGACCATTCACCGTTTACCATTTCAAATTCCTGCAATGAATAAAACTAACCCAAACCAATGACTCTTACCTGGACCTTCTTTCTAATGAGAGACATCAAACCGATTCTATTCAGAACATGGTTTCTGTTGATTCCCTCCCTCGGACAGCCGTCATTGAAGGTATCTACACCAGATTCAGGCTCACACAAATGTCTCAAAAACAATGCAGAGTATGCTTTAAAAGCCCTCTCAGACTTCGCCTTGATATCTCTGACCAGCCACTGGGCTTGATACGCATCCTGGGGAGGTAATCCCCACCTGGTGACAGCATTCAAAAACCCTCTTCGTTGTCTTGCCGTAAATCCGAGAACCTCAATCTGACCATTAACTCTGGCCAAAAGGGGAGGAAGCTTTTCCCCATCATCTCTCTTCTTTCTTCGGCGTTCTTCTCTGGCGGCATCAAATTCTTCATCCTGATTCTCATCATCCGAAGGATTCTCGTCTTCCGAGAATGAGTCATCAAATTCTTGTCCTTCTCCGGCTGTAAGTTGCCAGCTGTCTGATGGCATTTGGTCGTTGGCATAATTGACTTGTTTTCGGACTCTCTTTCCTTTACCCAGTTTCTGTGCTTCGGTGTACTGTTCCTGTTCATAGTGATGTCTCAATAACTTCTCCCAAAATTCAGGATCAGCCTCTTGCATGTCTTCCTTGATGACCTCAGTATCATCATCTTCTTCCTCCTCCTCATCGGCTTCTCGTGTCACATATTGTGCCACCTTGAAGGAACTGAGATATTCATTGGTCCAATGTTCCTTCTTCTCCCCGGTTGGCTCATCTGCTGGTCCTCCTCGGTCCAGAAGAGCACCCACGGCATCGTCATCCCAAACAATCTCGTGGTCATCTTTCTTATCTTTGTCCTCATTCTCATCGTCTTTGAATAGTGCTTCCGTTCCCCACCTGAGGACGTCATCCAGCTCTGTTTTAGACATTGACGGTCCCTTCTGCCCAATTCCAGCACGTACCACCAAGTGAGTCAACAGCATCTTCTTCTTTGCGACTGTTGTGATCCTTTCTTCAACCGAATTCCTTGTCACAAATCGATAAATCATCACTTTATTCTGTTGGCCAATACGGTGAGCACGAGAGAAAGCTTGGATATCATTGTGGGGATTCCAGTCAGAGTCGTAGATAATAACAGTATCAGCAGTAGCCAAGTTGATTCCAAGACCTCCGGCACGGGTAGACAAGAGGAAGATAAACTGTTGTGCCCCGGGAGCTGGAAAGTACATAACGTAAACTGTCATTTTTAAACATCCAAGTCTTTAAACTGAATGGAAAGCATACCATTGAAGCGATCGATGGCATCTTGACGGCATTGTCCGGTGATTCCACCATCAATTCTTTCGTATTTATACCCTTCAACTTCGCACAAGTCTTCCAGAATATCCAACATCCTTGTCATCTGAGAGAATATAAGCACTCGATGGCCTTCTTGTTTCAATTTTTGCAGCATTTTCTGGAGTAAGACGAACTTTCCAGCCGCTTTCACCAAAGCATTTCCCTCATAAACACCGCTTGGGAGCTTTGGAGCTTCCAGGCTGGCCTTTGTGAACAAATAGGGATGATTGCAGCATTTCTTCAGTTCCATGATGATATTCACCAATGACACCTGTGTTCCTCCACTTTTGACACTAAGCGCCTCAAAGTTTCTAGTCAAAATATTTCGGTAATATTTCTTCTGCATCGGACTCAATTCCACGCGAACAATCAATTCGCTTTTAGATGGCATTCCGGTCAAGACGTCAGCCTTCAATCTTCGCAACATGTGGGGGCCCAGCATACTGTGCAACTTTTGAATCTGATCTTCTTTGGAGATCTCCGCAAATTCTCGAGTAAACGATTCCAGATCACTAAAAATACGCATGAGAATAAGCGATTAAATAATAAAAATATAAATACTTACAAGAATCGGTCTGGACTCAAAAAGTTGAGAAGATGGAACAATTCTTCAAGATTGTTTTGCAAAGGAGTACCGGTTAATAAAAGACGATAGTTTATCTTGAACTCTCGGAGAGTTCTAAAGAACAATGACTGGTTATTCTTAAGACGATGCGCTTCATCGACTACCAATGCGCCCCATTCGATACTGGATAAGATTGCTTTGTCCATATTAATCAATTCATATGATGTGAGAAGGACATGGAATTTGATTCCTTGTTCAGTTTTAATTCTTTGAGCCTTGGGCCCTCCTCGGACAGCTCCTTCGACGAAAGAGAATTCATGTTCCCTAAAATAAAAAACGTATCTAACCAAGTAAGTGTATAAACTGACCCTCACCAACCATCAGTGATTATACCGTTGGAAAGCCCTTGATTAGAAAATATCTTCAGTTTTTGCAGAATGCATAGATGCAGAAAATTATCAGCGGCTGATTTGTTCCTTTAGCAGTTAAAAAATCTGATAAGGGACAAAACAGATGTAATTTCTGAACGCAAAATGGGAGGGTCAGTTTGCACACTTCCCTAGTAAAACCCTACGACTCATTATGTTTGCATTAGAAGCCCCGACTTAATTCCACGGTTTAAGTATGCGTTGAAAAACGAAGGGATCTTAATCACTTGAGCGGCATGAAACTGATGGAGTCTCACTAAAACACCTTTCAAAAAGTATCACTAAAAAGTTATTGTCCTGGTTTTAGAAACACGAAAGAACCAAAGCGCAGTCCAATAAAAGGAAAAAACTAACGGAGGAAGTGCTCCAAGTTCGACGGTCATTGATGAAAGTTGACGAAATTTTAGAATAATTTTTGGTTTCCTTCAAAAGAGACCCCGAGTTGAAAGAGACGCCCGATTCGGGGATTTCTCTTCGATGTTGCCCGGAAAGGCCGAAAAAGATGTAAAATCGCTCAAGTGGCTACACCATTAGATGGCAGCAAACATTCTTTTCATAATATTTTTTTCGTTTAAAAAATTTAAACCAAAGTCAAAATTCTAAAGCTATTAACTTACCGGATTACAGTACGACTTTCTTTGTCTCCCACGTAAGTTACAACATAGAAATCGGGAGCCCAGAATTCAGCTTCTCTTTCCCAATTGATTAATGTTGACAATGGAGCAGCAACCAAGAACGGCCCTTTGGAATGACCCTCCTTCATCAATGAATATAAAAAGGTCGTTGACTGAATCGTTTTTCCGAGACCCATCTCATCGGCCAAGATAGCATCAGTTCCATGTGCCCAACAATGTCTGAGCCAATTGATTCCTTCCAGTTGATATGGATGTAACTTGCCGCCAGTCTCGGAGATATAACTTGGTTGTTCTTCATATTTCTTTTTAGGGTCTTGAACACTGGCTTTTGCCTCTTCCTTTTTATGTTTCTTATCATCTTCCAAACTTGGAAGCCCTTTCTCCGCTCTGTACGCGTTTATTCTTTTGGCCACATGTTTCGGAATGGGCTCATTGATCATCCTCTCTCGGTGCATCCAATACTTCATAATGGCTTCGTCAAAATTGGGAATAGCACAATCATCGCTTTCCCAGGTAGCTTGTTCATAAACCAATTCTCTCCATTTAATTAAGTAATCAAACTGGTTCTTAGTAAACATAGAATGATTGATAATCCGATGAATTTGCATCCATTCTGGTTTAATTCCATACCGATAAAAACGGTACTCCAAACACATGGGATCTTTATCAGTGGGAGTTGAAGGGATATCCTCCACTTCTGGTGGATTCTCCGGGTCCACCTTTCTCCAAAACATCCGAAGAGCCTGCACATAGTAAACCTCCAAAACATACTCAGGAACCCATTCACAATGCCAGTAACTCATATACTTCCACTTCACGAATAATTCTCTGTCCTTTCTCGGTTCCAACTTCTTCAAAGGTTGTAGCATCAGACGGGTTCTGCGATCTTTGTCGATCGTCTCCATCGTCTCTTCCTCTTTTAGAAGATCCTCTTCCATCACAGGTTCAGGGTATTCATGCAATTTCCATCGCCAAGATAAAAACTTCTCAGGACGATTCTTTGGTTCAGGTGCTGTACATCTTGGACATGCCCAATGTTCTTCAGAATCAGGCAACTGGGTTAAAGGAGGATCGATACAATAGGCGTGATAGGAACTGGGACAAGAATCGCAACACAAAAGGTATCCACCATCTTTGCAGGCTCTGCAGTACTCCATATTGCCTTTCTTTTCCTCAATTTCCTTTTTTGGAACACCTTCAGTCTCACAGTGGGGACAAGACCATTCTCCTACTGGGGCTTCAGACATATCTGGATCAACACAAATGATGTGATAAGCCCGAGGACAAGTGTCGCACAAAAGCAGTTCTCCGCCCTGTTGACAAATTTCACAATAATCTTGTTCTGGCTAAAATAAACCCATAAACGTCCTTCACGATTAACCTACCATATCATCGGGTCGTTTCTTTTTCTTCTTAGCAGCCTGTGCTGCTTTCCGGGCTGCTTTTCGTTCTTCTTTTTCTCTCTCCGCTTCATCCAGTTGTTTTTCATGCGCTTTTAGAAGATGTTCGAACTCTTTGTCGCTGTCCACTAAAGAACAATCATGATGGAGTGAAAAAACTTACAGTCGTCCTCATTGGTTTTTCTGGATTTCCTTGAAGATATCCTGATCTTCAAGGGAGCAACCTTCTCATCCTTTGGCTTCTCCTTCTTATTGCTTGTTCTCAAACTTCCAATCTCTTTAAACTGATTGTACTTTGCTGTGATAAACGGATTCATTTTAGTTACTGTCCATGTCGGATTGGCTTCCAAAAACTTCCCTCTAAATCGTTGTGCATAGATCTAAGAACGAAGATAATTAAACTTAAGGCATCCTTACTTTTCCGTTTGTGATCTCAACAAAATCTTCCTCCGAATATTCGAGATTAACATCAACCAGGCCAGTCTGTTCGCATATCTCGGAAACAGATTGTGAACCTAGTTCAAGAGCTCCTTTCTTTGCTCGACCCTTCTTCTTTTTAGGCTTCCGGCCTCGTGTACTAGTTGGTTTTATATCTAAAATTTGAAATATAAGAGAAACAATTAGTACCTTGTTCGATTGATTCCCCACCTTCCTCTCCAACGTCATTGCCACCATCTTGATCTCCATCGTGGCTTAAGGTTTCGTCCAGCTGATCCAAAGATTCTTCTTGCAGAGAAGTCTCACTGTTTTCCACAGGCTCTTCAGACATCTGCAAAAAGGGTAAATCTTAGGAAAGAAAATACAACAAAATCCCGAATAAACGTTGGAACGCCCTAACAAAACAAAGCAATGGCATTGAAAAAGGCGTTCGCGCGAGTAAAAGCAGAAAATCTAGACCAAAGATTCAATTAACTGCGACGGTCAGATTTTGATGAAAACACAAAATTAAAGTAATGTTTTATAAGATATATGAGATAATAATAGCTCGCGCTTTGCAGAAACGGCGGGGATTTTTAGATCGAAAATCTGCGGTAAAAAAGTGATGCTTTTTTGCAAATTTTAGAATGAAAAGTTTCCTGCGTATTTCAACCGTGGAGGATAAAGTTTCCACAAAAAAAATCGTACAAAACAGGAAAATTTACGGCGAAGTGTTCCGCTCTCCGCGTTTCCTGGCTTCTCGGGGCAAAGATCGTGCTGATGGAAAGTCGGTTCTTTGCGACACTAGTCGTTTCCCCACCTCCCTTTCCCAAGGTTTCCCCTGTTCCCGGAAAGAAATGGGTCCCTTTTCGGGCAAGAGAGTGATTGCGAGGGTCCGCTGTTTTCTTCTCCGGAAAGTAAATTTTGAGTTTAATTCCTGAGTTTACTTCCCAAGCTCGAAAATGGGAAGTAAAACGAGTCTTCACCTTCTTTTGGCATCTCTGGGGAGTAATTCTAAAAGATTTATTCCTTTTTAAAAAAGTCAATTCAAAAAAGGTTTAATTTTTTCTCAAAAATCGCAAAAAGCTGTTTTCTCTTAAAAAAATTATACTCGGATCTGGTGGGAAGGCTTATAAGCCATGCAGGATGTAAAAGGAATCCATTTCCAAAAGTAATATCTCTTAATTCCTCAAGTCATGATTAGAGATTGGTAGATTCCGTAAAATTGAACGAACAACCAAGAGACGTTGACGCGCCCAGCAGAAAGCATATAAACGCCGGCCGGTCTAAATAGAGTTCAGTCCCGCATCCTCACTCCGACGCGCCACCTCGGTCCCACAACCTTTCATCTTATTGCATGCTCTCCGAACATTCGTCCGTTCCTTTTCCTCTTGTCTTTAAGAATATTCTCCTGGCGCTTCCAAAAAAGCTCCAAACTGAATTCTTTATCTGCATAAACAAACAGTGATTAGCAGCGGGGGTGGCCACCCGCCTGGTCAGGTGAGGCCGATCGGGTCGGGCCGGACAAGTTTTAAAACGGGCCGGGTCTAATTTTTGCCGGTCCGAGCCTGCGCCATTTCCAGTCCACCCCGGTGGTCTTGGAATGCCAGGCGTTGGCATTTAATGTTTTCACGCCGGTAAAATTTTTTGATGCGATTGTATTTCTATACAATATATTGTATCTCAAGTTCTACAGGGTGGTTCAGCCGAAGCTTCCATCCTTATTTCAAGTATTTCTCCGTCAATAATGCACCAATTTCTATAAAATTTATATCAAATTGAAGCTGAGGGTCCCCATTTTCTGTCGACCAAATATGACAGGCCCAAGTTGACGGGGGCTCCCGTACTGACCCTTGACATTTTCATTCCAAATTTTGGAGCCCGAAATCGGTGAAACTTAGAAAATTTTTGGAATCATTTTCAATTGAGTTTCTCGGACTTGGAAAAATTTTGGATTTCCGGCAAAGACAAAGTCGCCAAATCCGATGAAATTTTTTTTAACGGTAAGGTTCACAGAAGTACCAAGCGCCTAAGAAGCGTATTTCACTCCGACGTGGTACCAAATCGAACAAATGAAACGAAAGCTCTTTTCTCGGACAATCTAGGCCTTACAACTTGTTATTTATCTTCGGGTGGATGTCGTCATGCATGTAGACAGTCTCGCCCATTTGTTCGCATCTTTTAAAATTTCGATTAACGAAGCCTGTTACCCCAGAACACAAGAGCAATGCCTTGAAAATTAATTACGAGTATTCTGTTCGCTGCCGTCAATTTTTTCAGCTTCTTCTAGATGTCTTATTTAGGCAAAGACTCGATTATTTTCCAAGTCCGAGAAACTCAATTGAAAATCATTCCAAAAATTTTCTAAGTTTCACCGATTTCGGGCTCCAAAATTTGGAATGAAAATGTCAAAGGTCAGTACGGGAAACCCCGTCAACTTGGGCCTGTCATATTTGGTCGACAAAAAATGGGGACCCTCAGCGTCAATTTGATATAAATTTTATAGAAATTGGTGCATTATTGGCGGAGAAATGCTTGAAATAAGGATGGAAGCTTCGGCTGAACCACCCTGTACTACAGGTTACTACTTGTCCAAAAGGCCACAGGAAACGTTATAAAAACAAGATTACGCGAAGGGGCCCTTTGACATAGCTAGGATTTGGCCGAAGAAGTCCCCAAACGAAGTAGCCGTTAGAATCTAGAGAAAAGATGTGTTGAGTTTCAGAACTTTCTCTACGCGATTTTTTTCAATTCCCGCATAATGTTATACTAAGAGTGGTATCGCCGGATATCAGATAAATAAGATTATTAGTATTTTAGACGCTCCTTCATTTTCGGCAAAAAATGTTTTTGTGCTGGAACAGGCAAAAATTGTTAGCTTCGCAAGCTGAAAAAACTTTAAAGCACTACGCCAAAAACTTGCTTTTCGTGGTGGGACAGACCATGATTAGCAGAAAAAAGGGTACTCGACCGAAAGATCTTTCGAACCCCTTTTTGAAAAAAATGCAAAATTTTTTACAAAATGAATGGTGGTGGCATGTTATAATAGTCGCGACATCAACTCCTGACACGTTTGCACGGTGCGTTTTTGTTTTTATTTCGGACGCGTCGCGGCAATTCCCCGTTTTTGCACTAGCAACATGCACTTTCGCGCGAGCTCGCCAATTTTCGCGCGTGACACCCGCGACAAAATCCGTCAGGACTTTATGGCGCGACTAGTACGATGGGAAACTTTTTGTATATTTTCAGATTTCAAGGTGACAAATTATTTTATATTTTCATCGTATACCATGCCACCTTTCATTTTGATTTTTTTTTTTTATTTTTTCGGGAAGGGGGTGCTCCTTCTCCGGAGAGGCCCCCGGGGGCAACTTCAGACATTTCGTGTAAATGAGAAAAACGGGCCCCTTCGGCTTTTAAGGGGCCAAGGTAGGTCAAGGGGCCTCTTCGTCTGCAACTTAAAGTCCGAGGTTCTCCAAGCCAAGGCGCAAATAAGGAATGTTCCCGCTGTGGGACCCAACACGGCGGGTCTCTCTCGCAAAAAAATAAAAAAAAATATTTTTTTATTGTTTGAAATGGTACAAAGAAGGTGAAAGATGAGTGACGATCACTGAAAAAAGGTATGTTTTTTGTGTTTTCTGATTTAGGGCAGCTCGGCAAAAATTTTTACGACACCTGATCCAAGATTTTTTGTGTTTTGGGCGAATGAAGGTAATTTTGGACATTCCTAAGCATGAAAATGGGTGTAGCTTTCCAAAGAACCATCCAGGAGTGATGTTGATCGAGTTTTTGCCAAGTTAGAGTCAATCCCTTCAGCAAACTACCTAGTATAATATAATTTTTTCCAGGATTTTGAATTGGAATGCAGCCAGACGGCTAAATTTCACCGCAAGGACTCGCTGAAGCCAGAAGAAGAGACGACACCATTCAAATTCCATGTGGAATGGCTTTTGCCGAAGCTGATGTCAACATCGAAAAGGTGGGTTTTTCTTGGTTTTCACTTTTTAGGTCGGGAAATCCATTGCTCCTTGAGCAAGGCAATGGGTTTAGCTTCCCAAACATGCTATCTGGAATGCGGCTGCTTCATCTTGCGCCACATCAGGCCCACTGTTGTTTCTAGTGTAATATAATTTTTGCAGGTGAGAACGCTCCCCGACCGCGAAGCTTCGACGATGCGAAACGTCTGGGACAGTATATGGGCGATAAAGAAGGTCTCATCGATGGCAAACACTGAGGAGAACCAAATCAATTTATTATTGTAAAAACACACCAAATGTTTTGATATTAATCATAAAATATTATACCGTTGACCTGGATATTGTTGAACCTGTCTTTACTGAGCTCTTTAGATGAGGCTGGCGGGCATGGGAGGCGAATGGGCCGGTTTTCCTGTAAAAATTATATATAAGAAACATTGGGTCTGATGTGGCGCAAGATGAAGCAACCGCAATCTAGATAGCATGATTGGGAGGCCATACCCATTGCCTTGCTCAAGGAGCAATGAGTTTCCCTACCTAGAAGGTGAAAACCAAGAAAAAACTCACCTTTTCGACGTTGACATCAGCTTCGGAAAAAGCCATCCACATGGAATTTGAATGGCGTCGTCTCTTCTTCTGGCTTCAGCGAGTCCTTGCGGTGAAATTTAGCCGTCTGGCTGCATTCCAATTCAAAATCCTGGAAAAAATTATATTATACTAGGTAGTTTGCTGAAGGGATTGACTCTAACTTGGCAAAAACTCGATCAACATCACTCCTGGATGGTTCTTTGGAAAGCTACACCCATTTTCATGCTTAGGAATGTCCAAAATTACCTTCATTCGCCCAAAGCACAAAAAATCTTGGATCAGCTGTCGTAAAAATTTTTGCCGAGCTGCCCTAAATCAGAAAACACAAAAAACATACCTTTTTTAGTGATCGTCACTCATCTTTCACCTTCTTTGTACCATTTCAAACAATAAAAAAATATTTTTTTATTTTTTAGCGAGAGAGACCCGCCGTGTTGGGTCCCACAGCGGGAACATTCCTTATTTGCGCCTTGGCTTGGAGAACCTCGGACTTTAAAAACAACACTGAAATATAAAAATTTATGACAAAATTTTTTATTATGACATTGAACTGGATGTATAAGGCCCGTGTTAAAATTCTAAAACGAGCAATAGAAAATAATAAAAATCCGATTAAAAGCCGTAAGCATTAGACATGTTCGTTTCGGCCGCGTTCTCTTCCAGAATTCGAATTCTGCGTTCGTGTTGTCTGATGACCGCTTTCATACGTTCAATTGTTTGAACAAGCTCTTCCAAGGAGCCAGGAATCTAAAAGTATCAAAAAAAATATTGTCGATATGACACCATTAGTCTCATTGCGAATGTGAGGATAGAAAGAGAAGAACCGCACCTCAGATCCGCCTTGTGTTTGACTAGAGGTCATACTCTCGCGTCTAGATCCTGTGGGAGTTGCGCTAGCTCTACTCGAAGACGTGGTGCTAGGAGTGAGAGTTGATCGAGGACGTGGAGGAGGCTCGTCGTCCGCGTCATGTTCGTGTCTTGCCTGTTCACGTCGGATACGGTCTAGCTCAGCAGCTGCTCGTTTCTGACCGGCCGTGTTCGAGCCGCCCATCATATCGTCACGGTGTTCGCGTGACCTTAGTTGAACCTGGAGTTAAAATGGTTAGTCAGAAAAGGATTATAAGAACTCAGCTCTTCGACCTTACAACAAGGATTATTTTAGAAGACTTAAGGCGAAAAGAGAAGTTTTCAAATGAAATGTATTGTCTTTCTCGCGTGTTTTGGTTGTTTTATAATGGAAGAAATATTTGGTTAGGGTTGTGCAACTTACTTGTTGCCGCGGAACCATTGGATTGGCTTCTTCTTTTGGGGCTTCTCTTTCAACTCGCCGAGCTGTAGTGGCTTCTCTTTGAACAGGCACTATTCCAGTGTCGTCATCGTTCCTCGGAGCCGATCTCTGTGGAGCCGGTTGTCTCTGAACTGGAGGGGCCAGGGGCGCCTCATTTTGACTGGGTGGGAGTTGGTCCAAAATATTGGCTTTTTTGGCTACTTGTATCTTGGGTTTCGCCACGGCGGCCTCAGGGTTGACGGGCACCAACTTGGGTGGGACGTTCTTCCCCTCAGCCCATTCTTCGGCCGAAAGCGAAGGTTCAGTACTCCTAGTATCAGGATAAAGGTCGGCTTGCCACAAATCACTTTTGCGTGGAACGAAGAATTGAAGGATATCAACTACTCCCTTTGTTGTTATCTTGTACATTCTATTGGACAGAAATTGTCATCGTTTCCTTTTCTTACCTTGTGATCTCATTTTCCTTGTGGTTAAGACCTCTTTTTGGCATAAACCCAATTCCTCGTTGAGGTTCGTTAGTGCTGTACGTATTTATATAATGAACAAATGGCGGTTCTTCATTGATTTCATAATATAGAATAGCGCTTCCACCCTAAATTTAGCGGTTTGGTTATACTAGAAATAATTATTTGAAGGGTGAAATCTTGAAGAAAATGGATACATACCTTTCCTGCTACATACATAATGCTGCTGTCCTCATCGTAATAGGGAAACAGGACCCCATTACTAGTATCGATCTCCTCCTCAATAAGAGGAGCGGACAGATTCTCCTGAGTCCTCAGGGCATACAGCCGTTCGGATCTCTTAGTGAATCCAGTGGTAAAAATCCTATCTCCTTTTACAAAAACGGCTCGTTGAGGACGGATACCCTCATGACCCTCTCCTTCGTGAAGGATCTGGCCAGAATGCGAGTCCATTACACGAAGTTTACGATCCTTGCATGTGGTCACAAACCGGCTTCCATCGTAATTAAAGGCAATGCTCCAAATTTGATCGGGATGACCGGCGATTTCGATCAAGGCTTCTCCGGTACCGACATTCCAAACAAGAATGGTATTCTCTCCACCTGTAAATATGCAATAACGTAACTTTTCGCCCATTATTACCTGCAGTAAACAAGACGTTATTAGCAGTCGGATGCCATTCAATGGTGTTGACCCTCTTCTGATGACCGGCCAACTCCACAACTGGTTCACTTAAGGTACGAATCAATCCCCCTTTTGGAATCAACCATACTTTGGCAGTCGTATCTTCCGAACAACTTGCGATGACATGATCGTTAAATGGACTCCATTTGACTTCTAAGCATGGTGCTTTATGGGCATCCACGAACGGGCAGTCCATGTCAATTCTTCCAACCTATAAAATGATGTCATCTTACTAACATAATATGTAGTGACACTTTACTTGTCTTTATTTTTGTTCCCACGGTTCGCTTTTTTCAAAAACAGCTGCTGTTTTTGTTGTGTCGACTTTTATTTTTATACACAGTATCGGAACTTCGTAGCAGACAATGTGTGATTACAAATAAAAACTGTATTATTGGCACAATCGCAATCTTACTTTGAAGATGGTTATTTAAAACTACTGTACCGTCTACGCAATCTCTAGTTTCTAATCATAAAATTTTTACATCAGCCATTGTATATTTTTGCTGGTATACAACGCCGTTATCATGCTGATGTAAGAATAACGCACCTTGTTCACGGGTAATACCAAGAAAGGACCTCCAGATCCTTTATGAATGATGGCGATGAATACTGGGTTAACAGCACAGAATGGTGAATCCCACGTGATCTCCGTGATCCGAATGTCGGACATACAGTTTTCATGCTTGACCGGCTTACAGAATACATGGCGAAACTTGCTTTGCCGTACAATGTTCATGGCAAAACCAAGCTTAACGGCCGAAGAGGGAAGAGCGGATAATAACGCGAGCAAAAGAGCGCCGACTCTTCAAGCCGGTGGGCGGTCGGGCGGCCGAGTCGATCTGGCCCGAGGGGATATAAGGTGGGGGTGATTGAGGAAAGGGGGAGTCTTGCACTTCTGATCCCCCAGGGCTCTTCTGCAATCATCACCCGTTCTCTTGTCTCTGATTCGAAGTTCCCTCTATCTCTGTCTCCCTTTAATCTCTTTTCTCCTTTTCCTTGATCCAGACGAACAACGAAAGGCTTTACGTTCGGCCACAACACCGGCTCTGACTGCCCTTTTCTTGAACGTACCAAAAACAAGAAAAGCAGCATCTCCGGCCGTTCCTTCTCGTTTCATATCTACTTGAAGTGACCGTTGAGTGGATAAGCGTTTGCTCGATCGGAAAAGCTCTCTATTTGTACCAAGAATAGTTGGTACAATATACAAGAAGGAACACGTCTGTCCAATGCATAGTAATGAGAGCATCACGCGGTTGCGCATACTTTCTTATTGTCATCGAATGAACAGGGCAAGCTCCGCTCTTCACAAAGGCCAGCCCCGAGGTCGCTCCTCGAATGACCTGAGGTCCATGTTCATTCGGCTCTCTTGACCTTCATATTTCGCGATGCGGTTTATTCAAACAATCTTAATTCTTCTCTCCTCGTCGGCAGCCCATGCTAGTCGGTGCTATTTGTGTTCGAATATTGATGTAAAGGACGTCATCAGTAACATCCAGGATACCGGATGGAGGACTTGGTTAAGCCAGGCCGTCTCAGATCCCCGAATTATTGAATGTACTGATCCATTTCTGGTAAGAAAAGACCACGTTATCGCTTTACTTTAGCTAGCCGGAAGCAGCATTGAGATCTGGAGCCAAAAGTCAAGAATGTGAAGCAGGAGTTTGTCTAAAGATGAGTATCAAGGAGAAGGCAGGAAAAAGTTTTGTTTGGAGAAGTTGCATACCAGAATCAAACAACGAAATTGCAGCTGATTGCACAAAGGTTATAACGGCGACTGGACAACTGGAGCTTTGCACTTGCTATGGGAATCTCTGTAATTTTACATCAAGGGTAAATTATTGCCCGACTCTCTCACTGCTTGCGTTATTAGTACTTATATTTCAATTATAGAAGAAACAATAAAATACGACTTTATTAATACATTAGATGAGTAATTCAAAACTCTTTTTAAACGAATACGATAAATGAAGTATCGGATATCTTCTCACAGATCAATGGAATATCACTTTTCCTTTTTGGTTTCTTTGGCACCTTCTAAAGCTTTCTTTTCTTTGTCATCGGCCGCTTTCTCTTGGTCTTCTGTAACTCCTTCTGGGTGATCGGCTGAGGTTCCAAATTCATTAACCCTGGTTGGGTCTACCCGGTATATCCATCGCTGGTATATGTATATCTGAATAGAAACTTATAATCTCTCATACCCAGGTTTGGAATACAAACAAAGAAAATACCTACCAGGAAGATAATGTCATCCCTGAAACATCCCAAACGATAAAGAGTCGGCATTCTTATAACGAATGCGAAGAGATCGTCGATGAATGTGTTTATAAACTTGTAAGTCAGCATCCGCCATGGAAGATGCGCGACGGACTTGAGTTTGTAGTTGATAAATAGCTGAGGTGTCATCATAATAAAACCAAACGTTAACAAAAATCCGTACAGCATGTTCAACACCCAACTGTACCAACCTCGTTGTTCTTCGTATACCAAGGAATATATAGCATAACATCCGAGAAGAGGAAACAAGGCCCAGGAAAGATACTTGAAAGCCAATTGATCATATTCTTTTGTGTCTGATTCAACATATGATCCCTTGTCTGAAAACTTGATTTTGGGGAACAATCCAAGGATCTTCTCGTCATGCTTAATCTCGACGTTAAGGCATTTTGGGATCTTCCAAAGTTCAATCAGTAATCCAAACCCAATTGACATCTTAATGACAAAACTGGAGTCATTGTCGCAGATGTAGAGAAAAACAATAACCGATTGGAACACGTTGAATAAAACGGATCTAACGGATAAACCTTCAAGCGATTTACGGGTCCTCCAGAATTGAATATCGTTTTTGAAGGCCAGAAATTCGAGGACTGTATGAAGTACGGAAACAACTACTGTTATTCCTAGAAGCCATGGAGACGTCTCTAGTAACGCTTGTTTTATGGTGTCCTGATCGTCATCATTCTCTTCATGTTGTTCCCCGAGAAGATGGGTCCATTTACTTTGTTGCTAAAAGAAGATAAGACATAAAAAGCATTTAAAACAAACCTTCTGGGAAGCATACAATTGAAGTTTAAACAACGACAGCGGAGCATAAGTAATAGTTAGGTTGAGCGTCTTTACAGTGTCGTTGATGGGTTGGTATTCGCTTCCCAGATTCCAATAATCATTAAAATACAAACTGGGGTAGTAGTTCAAGCCTTCAGGCGTAAATTTTATATATTGGTCCAACGGTGGAGGGACCTGTCCCTTATTCCATTTCGTATAATCATAAACCACAGCAATCGTGATATTAGGATGCCAGAAATTGAGTACCTCGTATTTAAGTTGGGCTGCCTTCTTTTGATCTTCCTCGCTTTGTTCGGTCCTCCCGGTAATCAAATTGGTCGTCTGCTTGTAGTGCTTCTTTTTGTATCTGTTGAGGCGGAAAACAGAATGGACAACTTCTTTTCCTCCATAGTTACTATCCTTCGGATTTATCGACTTCCCTGCTTTGACTATAAACGCATGCATGTAAATCGATTGATTTCTTAGCAAGTACTCAGGAGTGGGAAAACTGAGACTCTTTATCCTTGAACCATCACTATTCTCTCCTGATGTCCAATCCCCAAAAATAATGTCTCGCTGAAACCAAACTAGAGAGTCGGCATTGTCAAAATTTCGGAATCGTTCTTCATGAGGTGACAAATAGACAAAAAGATCAAATGGTTGTCCTGGAGTGTAAAGATTTCCAGCTGGCGGAAATACTTGCGTTGACCCGCTTGTTGGAGAAGAAGGGGACGTATCTGTTGGACCCTTATTACCACCCATAAAGCTTTTTATGGCGGTTGTAATGAAGTAGAAAAATATAATTCGTTGAATGGTTTGTTTTATCATGGAGCCAAATCCAACATTCTAAACCACAAATAAGGAGAAAATAGTAGTAACTTACATTTCCTTCGTGATTTTCTGCTCCCACTGCCGGCTGGACTTCCCCGGGCGCATTATCTCCCATTTCCACAATACGTAATTGAATAAAGCAAAATTATTATTCCAAAAGGGCAATTTACAACTCCAAAAGGGAAAACTTTACAATACGGAGGCCAACGTCGACAGAAACCAGAAATCCACTTTTCTTCTCCGTGTCCGTTACCCAAGGCTGTTTCACACAGAACAAAAGTTGACCCTTCGTTTTGTTCTTTTCTGAAGCGGAGGCGCAGCTTGCGCAGGGCAAAAATGATTACTTCCACAGCAGGCCTACTGTAACTTTTAAACTAAAAATAAGGTTGAAATAAAAATCGCCCAGACGATGTAAAATTTTAATTTGTCTTTGAACTTGTGTACACACAAAAAATGGATTTTTTTCATCAAAAGCGACATGTTTTTATTATTTACTTTGGTTCCTCTTTATTCTAGCATAGGCTTTCATAAATCGTGCAAATTTTCAAAGTCCTTTATTTATATTTAGGGAAAATTTCGATTTAATTCAGGCCCCAGAGGGATCATTCTTGTTATTTTTTTGCTTGATTTATTTTACGCCACGCTTGGAGACAGTAATCTCAAAATAACATTTTGCGACAAAGCCACGGCTTTAGTCAGTTTTACTAATATTACAGTATCCCAGGATGATGACAATTTTGGCGTTGCGCCAAAATCGGCATGTTTTACTTTGGATCCTTTTCATTTTTTCCTTTAAAAAAGAAAAAGAAAAATGCACAGTGAAAAAGTGTCAGGACTTTGTGCAACTAGTGCATTCCTAAAATGAAGAGGATCCAAAGTGAAAAAACATGTCGATTTTGACTAAAATTCCATTTTGCAAAAAATCAATTTTTTTGGCTGTAGACAAATTGTCAGTCATTAGGCCAAATTGCAATTTTCCATCGTCTGAGCGATTTTACTTCGACTGTTAGTTTAGAAGCTACACACACACACAAATAATCTTTCCGGCCTCCGCGAGCTGCGCTTCTCTTCAAAAGAAAAGAAAAAGGTGACCACTTTTCCTCTGTTTGAAACAGCCGTGCCTAATCAATATTGTCGTTTCGTCTACAGTCGGAATGCCACAAAAAATAAAAATAGAAGTTCTGCAATTTTTACGGTTTTTTGCAAATGGTGTTGCGAAATGTGGCTAAGATTGTCTTGGCCGCCGGTGAAGCAGTTGGAAAAGCCTTCACTCGCGCTGTGAAACAAGAAATGGACGGTAAGCAACAGCTCTTGCTGGAACTCCGAATTACGCATATTTTAACCTCTTTTTAGCATCAAAACGCACGGCACAAGCTGCAGCGTCTAGCTCTACAGGTTCTCGACAACATTCTTCTGCAAAAAACGAAACTAAAACAAATGCCAGGTTAGGAATATCTCTTCAGGTAACAAATCTTCATTTTCTGTTTTTAGGTATAAAATCATTTCAATTTCTACGTTTAGGAAGCTCTTCAAATTCTTGACGTTAAAGCTCCTTTGAAAACGGAAGAAGTGCAAAAGAAGTACGATCATTTGTTCAAAGTCAACGACAAAGCGAATGGAGGAACTTTATACCTACAGTCGAAAGTGTATCGGGCGAAAGAAAGGATAGATGCAGAATTGTCAAATGAGACGCCAAAAGAACCCGAAGAATTGAAAAAGGAATAGTGAGTCAGTCTAGGTTCTCTTTTTTGTTGAAAATTTATTGTTGAAACAGTGTAGGGAATAAATAAATTTATTGAGTTTGCGTCAATTGAGGCTCAAAAGATGTACAAAATAGGATTTTAACCAAATTCATAATATTTCGTCGGCGTAGTTATCGGGATAAAGACCTGTCACTCCGTCCAAAACACCCTCATTCCAACCGTCATCATTCTTTCTTATGATGAAGATAATAGCACCAGCAACCAGATTGAGTTCATCTGGTCGAGCAGCCGTATAATCGTACAAAGCGCGAGCTAAATTTAATATGATAAACTAGTTTTTAATAGTTTTACCTTTCGCTATGTACATTGGTGGGGCGTTATTCGTAACCGAGGGGATGCTGGACACGGCAGGAGGCGGGGAAGGCAGACGGTCATCGTCTCTGTTGCTTTCCACAGCAATAGAACTCCCAGCTGAAAAGGGAACCACCCCGAGTGCGACGCTCAGATTTTCTTTAAATTTCGCACACAAGGGCATGTCAAGAAAAAATAAAAGAAAAACGGGCGTAGATTAAAAAAAAAGAACAGGGGGAGGGAAAGGTAATTTTCCCTTTTAACGGGCATAGGCCACATTTCAATTCCTGAAAGTTTCCGCGCGCTTTTCAGGGACGGTCTAAACATTCAACGATAGCGGAACCCCTTTTTTGGCCAGACCTTTGTCATTTTCGTGTGAAAAAGTTCTACGGCAGAAATATTCATGAAGCTCATCATAATTCGCAAATCGCGTATCTTAAAAAAATTTATCATAATTTGAGCCAGGTTGCATTAAAAAGTGTCGCACTTGAGGTACTTCCCTTGTGAATCAAACAAAAATTTGAAACGGTAGGCTTCGAACTTACAGTGATATATTGACTGTAATGGGGCCCGTGAGTTCAATGTTGAGCTCATGTAAATACCAGTGTTATTGTTATATCCTCCAGCACTATGTTGTGGTTGGTGCCTTTTCAACGTAGAACATGCATAGGTTCCGTACTGATCTTTTCCGGGTCTTAAAGTGTCTTGACTATACATTCCGTGAGGTATTTGCGATGGCATCCATCTCTCATATATACCGCCAGAACTATTGAGATGAGTAGTTCCGTATGCTACACTGTCTCCTGAGATCATCGAATGCGTTCGGTTTACTGTTCCGGCTCGTAATGTCTGATCATGCGACGTGACTCCATGGCCTCGTTCATCTAGCGCGTTGAAGTCAATGGCCGTTCGTTGATATCTCGGGGCTTTTTCCTAATCGTATGAAAAAAATATTTTGCCTAATACCACTTACAATTGTGTTAGGCGCGATTACTTTCTCCGTTGAATCACTGGGACGGTGCTCCGCCAATCTTCCAATCTCCCTTCTCGCTGCTTTTTCTCGGTTTATGTTTATTACCTATAAAAAACACCTTTTATTAGTCCACCAATGTATGACTTCTGTATACCTATTATGGTACTACAGTGAACAAATAATATTGATCCATGGGGAATATGACTCACTGTTTTGAGATTTTTGAGATTGCTCTGCCTACTTGTCAGCTTATCAGATTCAATAGCCATGGCTTTCCATAAATTGCTTGAGATGGCGTTTACATTCGTCGCTACTGATGCTAAACTTTGGATTGTAATTCGCTTGGTTTCTTCGAGGACTGCATTCTGATTTCGGTCTGGCTAAACAAAAAATAATAACAGAATTATAAAACTTACGTTAGTGTAGACATATTCACAATAACTGGCTGCTTTCTCCAAATTTTCAGTTCCGCGAGACAAGGAGGAAATGTCTTCAGGAAGTTCTTGAGCGATTGTTTGATGAAGAAGAATTTCTGGATCTTCCATCCTGAGAGAAATGAGTGGCAAACTATTGACACAACTTTGCCCAAAACGACAAAAAAAAGACGCACGAAAAGATTTTTTTGTTTTTGCGAAAACCATTTTATACGATAAAAGTTTCAGAGAACTAACTGCGATGTTGACCTTGCAAGGCATTCTAAGCGTTACTGTAGAGTGTGATTACTATTCTTAGGATATTTTCTAGGCAGAAAGTTGTGTTACACATCAATTTCCAACTACTTTTTGTACCGTTCAGTGTGCTTCAGAAAATGACCCTTCAAAATTCACCAAATTGCATTTTTATGTAGTGCTTTTGCGGGCCATTTCAGACCTTGTACATGAGGTTAATGTTAATCTCAAACTATTTCTTGACTAGGCTGCTTTGTTGGTGGAAAAACTACATTACCTGTCACATTATACACCAGATTAGTCTGTCGGGAAAATAACGGCGGGTCGTCGCGCCTTTGAATCGCCCATCATCGCTTTGCGACTGCAAGTCGCGGTTGGAAATTTGATGCGCGATAGCGGCGAGGCGGAAAATTTTGCTGCGACGACCCGCCGTTATTTTCCCGACAGACTGATAGCTCACTGTGAGTAAATAAAACAGCTTACTAAAAATTTACGAGCATTATCTCGTCATATCATCTACAAGGAGCAGCTACCGTAACACTTTAGGCTCCGAATGGACGAGGATCACAAAATTTGGTACGCCGATTCAGACTTAGCACGTCGGAGAACATATCTCCTCAATCCCACGCTCTTGCAGAATAGACGCAGCCTAGGATTATGGATGTACTGAGTTTGATTTTCCGGTCAAAATTTTTCTATCGACACTTACCTTTTTGTGTTTTTAGGCTTTTGAAGGTTACTGTAGAAAGTGTGCGGGAATTTATCTCTCAAGCAGATGGCTATAATTTAATGCTGGTTTGACATAATATTATTATCTTTTATAAGAGACATTTAGGTTGTTTTTTGGGGAAGCAAAAACATCCATGCAGAAATTTTTTGAACATTTGCGGGCAGCTGGAACATTTGCGGGCAGCCTGGGACATTTGCGGGCAACCGACATTTGCGGGCAACCGGCACTTGAGGGTAACATGGTGGAGATGGAAATATTACTGCGATAATTTGGAAATTTGCCGACATTTGCGGGCAGCCGATAACCGACATTTGCGGGCAACAGGAAAAAACAATCACACAGATTGTATTGGAACTTTTGGAACTGTTGCCCGCAAATGTCGGCTTCCCGCAAGTATTGCCTGCCCGCAAATGTCGGAAAACTTCCAAAATATCGCAGTAATTTTTCGACCTCCACCTTGTTATCCTCAAGTGCCGGTTGCCCGCAAATGGCGGCAAATTTCCAAAATATCATAGTAATTTTTTTTTTTTTACCTCCACCTACCCTCACAATCAGGTGTCGGTTTCCCGCAAATGTCGGCTGCCCGCAAATCTTCCGGTGCTGGCCGCAAATGTCGGCTGCCCGCAAAGTGGCTGCCCGCAAAAAATTTGCCCGCAAAGTGGTTGCCCGCAAGTGTGCGCCCGCCAAAGTGGGCTTCTGGCAGATACAGGCCACATTGCACAAAATGGAGAGATATATGCACTTCCGCGAAAATTGTACGAAAATCTGGGCATTTTGAGCTCGATAAAGTCCAGCAGACAGTTGTAATACAGTCATTAATAACTTCAGGCACTACCATATTCGCAAGTGTTTAGCAAAGAATGACAGACGTATCTAATATCATTTCGAAACACCAAAACTTGGAAAATCTTTTGTGTAAACTGCAATTACAGTGCAATAAGAAAAATTATTTTTGGTGTAGGTTTTCAAACCTCCTCATTCAATCCGTAGATGTTTGGTATCAGTCAATTAAACCCAGGCACCGCAATTGCAGATTTTATAGGCGTGTCTGTCGTTTTGAAACCGAGTGTATGTACATATAAAACCTTTCATTTTGAAAATTAAAAAAAAGAGACTCTTCGTATAAACCGGACTCCAGTTTTTTCTCGTGAAAAAATCGGACTCTTCGCCTGCGACGGTAAAATCCACAGGAAAAAAGTAAACAACAATTGAAAAGTCTCTTTGATTTATATTTATTGTATACAAGGCCTATTTGCCAGACTGCGCCTGTGATTTTTGGCGGGAAATTTGAAGTTTAAATTTATCAAGATTTTTATGGCGTACCCTGTAAATTCAGTACGGCGGCATTTAGCGTTCCTGCGGATTCCATATGTCATCATAAATATCCAATAGTGTCAAAATTGGCTTTGAATGGACAAATGGAGCTTTCAAAGTTATGCAAAAGTTGAAATCTATTGAATGTAAGCACTTTATTAATCATATGTATGAACTTCCTCGCTGATTTTACCTTCGAAAGAACAAAAATAAAGTAATTAATACAAGTAGTAGACACAGGTTTATGGAATTGGCATTGTTCTGGACTTCGTCTGAATTGCAAAGATTCCCCGTACATGAGCACATTAACACCTGTAGATAGAGTAAATTAATAATAAACCGGCCTTTAATCTTATATTTTTACCAAAAATAATCTGGTTATGTACAATAACCCGAGAAAAAACAGAGTGGAATTAACGAATAATTTCATTTAGTTTACGGTAAGATCGCACTCACCAAAGGCACATTGTCGCTAAGGGATACAAGATTGAGCAAATGACGATCAATGGTCCTGCAAGATCGCTGTCCCAGAGTGGAAATAGCAGTTTTGATGTCATCATCCAAGCCGAATAACAGTAATCGGTCAATGCACCCACGTATGACTGCTTCCTGATTTGCTGAAATGACCAGTAATTGATTTTTTGGGAATCTTACTATGTCCGAATATTTCTTCCACGATTGTGAAACAGGCAGTGCTACAAGTGTGGACCCCCACCTCTGAAGTTGGATTCCAACAACTCTCTGTGAAGTTCTTTGGTGGAAAATAATGCCCTAATAAATGCTGATTCCATATCTGGAGATACGAGGTGGACGCACAACTATAACACATGAACCCGAGTCTGTTCACGTTGTTGGAATTCTCTACTGCATATCGAAGAGCGCTCCTCGTAAGAGTTGCCATGGTTGTGAGGAGAAGAAGGACGGGAGCGGGCATCGAGACCAGAATGGTCGACCCGTCCCCAAGGAGGTCAATGAGATGAAATGTGTGACACTGTCAATGTATTCTGAAAAGGCGATAAACCAAAGAAAACGGCGAAAACGATGGGCAACGGTAAGATCACACAAAATAGATCAGTGAACTTGCAAAAACATAAATAAAATGCTGATAATACTGTATAAGAAAATTGCCTTTTACTTGTCAAAATGATGATATTTTGCCGAATAATAACATAACTAAAAACGGCCATCTTTCTCCAGATTCCCACATGAAACATTAGTCATGTATAAAATGTCGCGCAGTCCCTCCTCCCCACTTCCTCTAACAATAGCCAGTTCAGGTGCTGGAAGGTCAGAACTAACCTTCCTTTGTGGTTCAGCGCACTTCTCCACCCGGCTCCATAGGGCCTCAAGGCTCTAATTTTTTGACTTTGCCCAATTTTCCGTGTGTCCCCAAAAAACGGACGAAGAAGACGAGCCTCAGGAAAATACGCCTTAAGAAATTCTGCGCTCTCATTTTCATAGCCTCAGGGGCCGGGCGACTAAACGATAAAACAATGCGCGCGAAATAATTCCGGTGCGTAATGAAGCCCGGCGGCTCCGCATAAATTGTTATGGCCACAGCTGTTGACGAACGGGGCCGGAGCGATTTGTAATTGGAAACGAATCCAGGGGCACGCGTTCCTTTTGTGTCATAAACTTAGAAGGAAACAGGTTTTGTTAGTATTTTGATCTGTCAAGAATTGCGCGTAAATGTCAAGGGCAAAATCTTTCAAATGCCAATTAAACCCGACCAAAAAACGTTCACCACAACCTCATGCAAGGGTCCGGATATTTTCATAATTTTAAACCAAAAAGGCCAAACATTGCGTAGTAGAAGTATGGTTTTTCAGGGTTAGCAGTACAAAACCAACTAGATCCCTTTTCGCGCCTCAAACTTTAATGGAAAGGCGGCCTCTAAATCGACGAAATTCACGAAAAACCATTTAAAATTCGGAATGTTCTCATGGCCAAAACATTCTTTTTTCCATTTTTGAAACGCCGTGTCGCGCTCAAGGTAAACGTAGGCCCGGGCACCGTCTTCGGGCCGCCTGAAACCGGTCCAAATTAAATATTAAAAGTCACCGGTGAAAGGGCGGTGCGTGATTGGGGTGGGGCCTCGATTAGAGCGGTGAGTGGCCGTAGCAGAGGCCGATGTCTCCAAACAAACGTTTGGCTCATAACCCGGCTTATAATTCAATTAAAGTCACCCGAAATGGAGCAAGGAACCCAGCACGCTGGTACTCCGGCAAGGCATTCAATTGCTAATTTACTTGGCTTCTCGTTTTTTACATTGGTCCGAAACAATAGGTCTCAACCGGAATGTAGAATCAATACAAACTTTTTAAGGTCACTTGTGTGGTAACAACTTTTAAGTGGGTAATTAATATGCATAGGGCTGATTCAAAGACAACTGCGATATAGAGTCGTTAAACAGAAGTTCAAAGAAGGACACAAACTCAAGTTGATAAACAATACCGACAAAGATTACAAATCAATAACTAAAGACCAAGAAGCGGGAGCAACAATAAGTTTATCTCAAAATCAGTGATACAAAATATAAATTATTGAGCCTATCGATTCTATAAAGAATTTGGCGACTTGTTGAGAGAGTTGAGGCTTAGTTCAGCGAGGTCTAATGCCTTGCTCACTGAAATTTAATGACGTTGAAATGATCAAGGCTTAACCAAACCCATTTAAAATCAACTTACATGCAGATATTGTGTTCAGACTGGACCCGACATTATTGCCTAATGGAATTCCAATAAAAGCATCACACGCATTTGTCAAGTCCGCCTTGGCGGACGGATCAAGATTCGAAAGTCGGAAAAGTAGTAACGCAATTACTTTGCTGACTCTGGTCAGAACTGGAGGCTTAGAAGCTACTCCATTAGAGGTCCCATTTGGTTCTAGAAAACTCAATAATGACAAAAAACGATAAACCAACCTGTCGAATCCTCCTTTAGAATTCCAAGCCCTTGGAGAACACTTTTAAATTCATCCCTTTCAAAACTGATAGAATCCAATTCGACCTTGAGGGCTTCTAACTGAGATTCCAGCTGAGATGCCTGTGCTTGACTCTCTTCTGCCTTCCGAACAACATCTCGTTGTTCCTGTTCTAATGTTTTATTTTCCTTGGAAAGGTCATCGATCACGTTTCTCAACGAATCCATCTCCAATTTTGTGAACGAGTTCTGTCGCTGAGTAGTGACGGAAGGCCGTGGACCTCCGTTAACCCTCATCCGCAACGGAGTTGGAGAGAACGCTGCGATTGTAGACCCTGGAGACCTGAATGGAATTCTGGATGGCGGAGCAATGCAGCTTCCGGGACGACGATCGGTGGCAACGGAATTGATTGACCGACACTAGAATTAAAAACATTAATAAGTCTATTATTTATACAATGTACAATAAGGATCACTTACAGAAGGCTGTCTGCTCAACGTCCCAAAGGTTCCTGTTTTCGTCCGCGACGTTTCATGAAGGCGGACTTCGAAGTTTTCAACAAACACACCAAATCCATATTCACAAATAAAATGACGCACACCCTAAAATCAAAGCTAATTATTTTAATGATAAGTACCATATAGCTTCCATCACAATCTCCTCGTTTTCGATCAAGCAGAACTCCAACCATGATTGGTTTGTTGACTTGCCGATCGTTAGCCGACCAGCGGAAAATGGTCATAACTATTCCAACACGAGATCCCTCCACAATAACTCGATCCCCGACATCAAGACTAAAAAATTACAATGAACGTAATAAACAATAAGCGAAAGATATCAAAAGACTAACTTTTTCAACAACTTTGACCAAATTCCTCCGCGAGGTGGAGGTGTATCTCGAACTTTAAGTAGGCGATAATTCTTCACAAATAAACCATGCATCGACGGGCACTGAAAATAAATGCAAGCGTTAATACCAAAAAACTTCGTACCTAAAAAATAATAATAAACAAAAGACACCAACCTCAAAGTAAGACCTTCCATCGACGCTGCCATTGTTCATTCCCAAAGGCTTATTGAACTGAACGCCATAATAAATACCGCTTTTACCTTCAATAGGACCAACGTATCTCACAACACAAGCGGCACACATGGCATGTCCATAATAAACACATTCATCTTCTACATTTATAGGTGTTACTAGAAACAAATAATTAATAACATAATTATGTTATGCATAATAATAAAAAAAATAATAATATTAACCAAAGGCGCCTCAAAAAATATTCATACCTTCGTCGTCGTCGATAGCCGACATGATCCAAGCAGGGTGTTTGAGGGAACCCGGAGCTCACCTTCCTTCCCTTTATCCGATAAAAACTTGTTCAAAAGGCTCAGAAGCCCTTTCACACAGGCTTTCTCTTCTCTTGTTGCAATCGTGTACTTGACCACCAGGTTTATGCAAAAAATTCGGCAAAAGTAAAATCGTATTTTTTCGTTGCCAAATGTCAATATCGGTTTTTGACATTCCGTTACGAAAGAAAAACCCATTGGAATTTGAACGGATTTGCGGAGGATATGTTACCCCGAGAATAGGTTACCCACCGGATAGGTTACCCCAAAAAACACATCACCCGGAGGATAGGTTACCCCACGGATAGGTTACACTACCGGATAGGTTACCTAGAGGATAGGTTACCCTTTATCAAAAAAAGAAAAAATTTTTTTTTGAAATGTTTTCGCTTCGGGACTGGGAAAAAAAGGGTTTTTTGTGAGATTTGAATAAGATTTGAAATGTTTTCGCTTCGGGACTGGGAAACAAAAGAATTTTTTTGGAAAATTCAACAAAATTTTTCATGTTTTCTCTTTGTGAGTGGGAAAAACGGATTCTTTGGAAAATTCAACAAAATTTTGAAATCTTTTCGCATCGGGAGTAGAAAAAAGGGCGTCTGACTGAATATGAACTGCGGTGCCGCCAGCACTAAAATTTTGTCTAAAACTAAATTTTTTTTCAATTTTCACAAAAAATCCTTTTTTTTTCCAAGTCCCGAAGCGAAAACATTTCAAAAAAAAATTTTTTTTTCAGAAAAAGGGTAACCTATCCTCAGGGTGACCTATCCTCCGAGGTAACCTATCCGAAACTTGGGGTAACCTATCCGGTGGGGCAACCTATCCGCCGGGCTAACCTATTGGCTAGGGTAACCTATCCTCCGTGAACGATTTGAACGAAATAAAATTCCGAAAAGGTGCACTTAAGTGTGATACACGGGGCAGTGCGGTTGCAGAGTGTTGTCGTTGGGTAAACCGACCTCTTACGGTAGTTCGATTCTACAGAGACTATTGTTTATGACTCTCAGGAGCTTTGAGAGTCATGAACAGCTCGAATTGCAGATCGTGGACATGGTTTAACTTCAATCGGGCCGGGCTCCAAGCCTCAGTGTCCCCAGCCCGGGCTCGTAGCCAATGATGTTGACTTTTTCCATCTTGTTGAAATCATTCTTTGAAAGTTCGTGCCCTAACGGTAATGCAGACAACACACTTTTTGCTTTTAACTTGCTTTACAAGGAAAGTACTTTTATGGGGGCTCCTACTTTTTGACGGGACATATCTCAAAAAATCAGAATAAATGTGCCGATCAATGGCGGTCTCAGCTTCAGAAAAATCTAAATTTAAAAAAATCGGCGGAGTATCCGCGGAGAAATCCAAAGAAGAAAGTTGTTAGTTTCGAGCGGCCCACCCTGTATATGTCTCGACCTGTAACTCCATAGAAGTACCTTCCTTTGTAAAAAAACACTCACAGTTCTTATTCATTCCTTACAATTAGTATCATAGGTAAGGACACAAGAGTTTATTGCAAAATGAAACACAAATGAGATTTGGCTAGTATTTAGCAGTTTTCAGGCAAATTGATAGGATACAGTTGAGGAAGAATGTCCAGTGAATCTATCTGATGATAAGTGAACATTTTTTGAATGATAGACTATCAGTCTGTCGGGAAAGTAGTGACGGATAGTCGTACCTTGGAAGCATGAGTTCATCGCTTTACGACGGCAAAGTTGGTGCGCTACTGCATTTTTTCGACGAGGCTAGGAATTTTGCTGCGACGACCCGACACTATTTTCCCGACAGACTGAGAATGAGAGGGGACAATATGATGGCTTCTGGTCATTCTTTGTAACAAAAGTGAATAGAAATTTATAAAAATTTTAATTGGAAACATTGTAGTAACAAAAAACTTCACAGAGTAGCTGTGAAAACAGGAAAGGAAAGTGAATTAACAGGTAAATGACGTGGCTTATCGGCGGATTATTTCTTCTGAAAAAAGTTAATGTTCACGCTTGTAGACTTACTTTTCCCGGGTCTTTCTTTACAGCTTGTGATTGTTTTCTGACATTGTTGGCGACGTTATTTCCCTTTGCCGGATCCGACTTCTTGGCACCCGTTTTGTTTACCATACCCGTTTGTCCTGCACCCGAAGAACTCTTTGGCTTTGTATTTGCTATCGTTGGACCAGTTGGACCGGCGGTCTTGACTGAAGTCTGGCTAGTTTGTCGCATCGGAGGGGTTTTTTTCGCCAAGTCGCTGAAGGCGACTCCTTTCGGTCTTTGTTCGGTCGTTCCTGTAGGTCCGTATGCTCCAACTGGACCCGCCATAATGCCCGGAGGTGGTTGTTGTGCTTGTTGAGGGACGTTTGATGCGGTTAAAGAGTTACCGATAGGTTGAAGGAAATTTGATGGCACAAGACCGCGAACTCCGTTCAATTCACCGATAAAGAACCCATCTTCGTCAACATCTCCATATAGGGTTATGAGGTCTCCTTCCCGGAAACTTAGCTCAACTTGTTCTGCATCTACATTCGGACTAAGCCTTCTAGAGTCATAGTCGTACTTAGCGATCATTTTGGTGGTAGGCAGCATGTCGATATTTTTCAGAGTTTCTTCGAAACTTGACATTGCTTGAGATGTTTGTTGCTGAACTGGCTGAGGCTGCTGTTGATGTTGTTGTGTTTGTGGCCCCACATGGTTCCCTTGGTACTTTTGTTGTTGAGATTGCGTTGTAATTTGTTGGGGAGGAACTTGATGTTGCTGTTGGCTATATCCCTGTGGTGTTTCCTGTGATCCTTGCTTTTGATATTGATGTTCTTGTGGTAGTCGAGAAGTCGAAGGAGGATACGTATCGTCCGAATACTCTGCCCTTCCCTTGTCATATCTGTCGACGTATTCATGCTTACGCGGTGGATAAACAGAAGATGGTTTTTCACCGGGATGTTCAAATCTCTCTCCTCCTCTCACTGTCGCTCCTTCTCTCCGGTACTCATGCTCGTAAGCTTCACGCCTAGCTGGTGCCTCTCGTCGAGAATAGGGATCCCATGTATCCCTTGAATCACGGTAATCCCTTTCCCTATACTCTTGATCTCGTGGGTCCCTGATGTCTCTTGAATCACGTATATCTCTACCCTCTCTTAACTCTTTTGGTAAACCTCCTCGGGGCTCATAGCTGGCTGATCGCTCATATCCATTCCGAGCTTTTGAATATCTGGGAGCATATCCACCTGGTCTAACGGATCCTCCTGGTTGGGCATGCACGTCATAATAGTCGTAATGACGTCCACGAATGTACTGGTCGCGTCTGTCTAATGACGAGTATTGGTCGGTTTCATGGCCCACCGAATGGTATGGCCTCCTGTCAGGGTAGTCATAGCTTCGCGATTTTATTGATCCCCAACGGCTTCTTCGAGTTGCCGGATCAAGACTTCTTTCCATCGGACGCTCCAAGCTTCTTTCCAGTGTTCTAGGCAAGGTTCCTTTATACTCAACTTCAGGAGGAAGTCTTCGTGGATGTGATGCAATATCATCCTTTGCTATTTCGATTACCATGTTTGAGGGGACGAGTCCGTAACGACGCCCGATTTGACCTTTATAGAAGCCATCTTGATCGACTTCACCGAAGACCTGAAATATTATTTATCTTTTTTTTATTCCTTACTTTAATCAGCTGGTGTTTTCTGAACGACAGTTCTTCCTGTGCTGCATTTGGATTTGGAGACATATGGTGATCGTAATTAAACAATGCAACGAACCATCTACAATTCTCATCATCTAACGGAGTCGGGCGTAAATCGGGTTCACTCCTTGTTCCTAACATTTCTTCTGACTTGACTCTGTTTAGCCTGGGCTCAAAATTACTCGCGCTCATGATGTTCCCAGCTCTCCTTCCTGTTTGTAACACCCGTCCTCTGGAAGCAGGATCGTGCCTACTGTATGTGTCATATCGGGGATCCCATGTTTCATACGCGGGGGTCTTGTTAAGCTGCTGTTGTTGCCTGTGCCTTAGTAAGTAGTTATTCTCCATCTCAAGAACACTAGGTTTCTCTTCTGTGGTGTTGTAATCCTTATATAGCGCTTTAGGATGAAAGGTGTAGTATTGTTGCTGATTTTGTTGCGGTTGTTTCCACTGAAAAAGGTAATACATAACAATAACCTTGAAAAACGACGCAGCTAAAGGACAACGGCAGTTAAAGGCAGCCCACAATTACCCACTTGAGATAAATTAGAAGACCTACCTCGTACATGGATGCATACTTAGGCAGGCTGAGAGATCCATTATTTTGGAGAAGAGCACTTGTACTCTGTCGTCCAAGTAATTTATGAGGATGGGGCCGTGTTATCTGCGGCCGGAAAGTTATCGGTGTTTCCGTTTGGAATTGTTTGAACCCGTCGAACATTGCTGGCTGGTAAACTGAAACGTTGGATGGATCATTGGGATCGAGGATGGCCTGAGGTTGATTTGTAAAGTGCGATGGCATGTTATACGAGGAATAATTAGGGTGAGAGTTGAGAGGAGGGCAGTTCGCTGTTGCACCTTGTTGAGGCATCATAGTTAACAATCCACCGTCATGCATGACACTTCCACTGACCGCTATATTTTGATTGTGTTCATATCCGCATGGACCAATAACACCATTTAAAGCGACAGGCGGTGGTTGGCCTGGTTGGGGATTATACACCGGGATTTTCTGAACTCCATAAGGCATTGTGTCCGGTAGATCGGCCGTTGATGTAGTGGGTCCGAACGGTAAACCAAGCACGTTCCTCGGAACTCGAACGACGTTTGAATCCGCGGATATAGCACCTTCTTTCGTCCGTGTTCTAACGGTGATGAAAATTGGCGGGTCGTCCGAGAAATCGGACAATCGAAGGAGGACGTGATCGGCTAAAAGCAAAAAGTACAGATATTTTTTTGTATTTTTAGTTTACTATTCTATATCGCATACCTGTAACGGACGGAACCTGCGCGATGTTTTGACCGTCGGCGTAGATCAAATATGAATGAACGGCAGCGCGGCTGGGTGGACGTGGTTGTGTTGTAACCGGCCTCCAGGAGACCAGTAACGTGCCCGGTTGAGGTCCTGAATCCACTTGTACATTCGAGGGCGGATCCGGAAGTCCAACTGCAAATCGTTGAAGAATTATGACTTTCTGTTCAATGTTGCAGAATGGATGATGAAATCAAGGTTCTTATACCCACTAATTGTAAGTAGCGGAATTCTTATCTAATAAAGGGGTTTAATCATCCTAAGTACGTCCCCATTGTTCTTGACCTCGGGCGGTGGAGCAGTGCCAGCTTACGCAACTCAAAAAGCTCTCACACAACTATTAAAACGGAAGGCTTAGTGCCGGAAACGGCGTCAAAGATAAGCGTGTTCAGGTCCGAACACGAAGAAAAGAAGAAGGCATAGCCCTCTGCCTTCTTTCGTGTTTCCCTTTTGGACTTTGCCAACCACTGGGCCTTGTCCAGACTGGCCAGAAATCGAACGACAGGCCGGATGGAACAACAGAATATAGGCCTTCTCTCTTTCGTTCCCTCCACACTGTCACTATTTGGTTAAAAAATCTCATTAATACTGTTTAAACACTAAGCGGAAGGCGTAGGACTTTTTTCTTTTTTAAAACCATCTTAAGAAGGAGGAGAAGTAATGAAATTCAATAAATGATTTGAGCATCCAACGACAATTATAAGAGCTCTTACTTTTAGGGAGAGTTTTAAAGTCGACGCAACGCTCCACGGGTCTTTGCTCCAGGACGGCTTTGGGATGTTTAGTTCGAACGGAGATGCGGTAAATAGTTGATGGAGATAATCCAAATAATTGGACCTGAGTAATGAGATGATTAGATAAACACAAATTCTTCATGATCAATCCGTTTTTACAAAAAAATTGTATTGCCATGGCTATGGCAAGCTTACTTGGTAAACAGCCGGGGGACAAACCCCGATCTTAATTGCGTTCAGGAGCAAGATGTGTTCCGCGTTGCTGTTGGATGGGTACCAGCTGATACAAGCCGAGACAGGAGTGATTTTTGCCACTCGTACGTGTTGCGGAGCCACGGGGGCTTCAGCTCCGACAGCTAGGGTACACGCTGCGTCTGCACTATGTCCTTGGTCGGTGACAGATCTCACAGAAACATTTACCGCCTTGTCGAGGTTCAGGTCTTCAATCAACGCTTTGCATTTGTAAGTTCCAGGGACAACAGCTTTCACCACTCCTTCCACACAGACGTGGTATTGTGAGACGGCGGTGAGTTGGTCATCTGGTGGCAGCCAGGATAATACAACACTCCGGCTGAGCTTCTTCTCAACTGTAAGTTCGCGGGGCGCTGATACTGAAAACAAGAAGTAGAAAGACAAGAAATGTAAAAAAATTTAAATCAAATTACACATTTCGAAGCTTTTGATGGTCACTGTAAGGATGTTGACAAAGAGCGGATAGAAGCCTCGCGAGGCAAACGGCTCTCTGATAATGCAAAAAATTGAATCAAAAATCTCAGTGGAAAACGATAGTCTAATTGTAAGTAATCTCGTTGCTATAGTCACCACAACTCCTTCTTTACGCTTCGATCAGTTCGCATAAGGACGTAACAAACCGGCCGAACTCTCAAGTCTGGGAAAGTGGTAACGCAAAGTGGCAAAACAAAAAAAGTTTCCTATACTCGTACTCTCCGGCCTCAAGGCATTGACAGCTCCGGCTTAATTCCACGGGTAAAATATGCGTTAAGAGAAAAAGAGGAGATCCTAATAACTTGAGCGGTATGAAACCGATGCGGTCTCAATAAAAACCCTTTCAAAAAGTACCACTAAAAAGTAATTTTCCTAGTTTTAGAAACACGAAAAACCAAAGCATTTCAATAAAAGATAAAACTGACATAGGAAGTACTCCATGTTCATTGATGAAAGTTGAAGAAAATTTAGAATAATTTTTTCTTACAATTAGACGTATGAGACTCTTAGTCCGCGGTGTGCAGAAACGGCCGAAATCTTTTGGTCCAAAGTTGGAAAAAATGAGACGCTTTCTTTGCGAACTTTGGTACGAAACATTTCATGCCTAGTTCTACCGAAAAGGGTAATGTTTCTACAAAAAATGTTTCCACACGAAGCTATAATATAATATAATAGCAAAGACGTGACCAAAAAGTGTTTTTGCTGTGATGGATCGTTGTATATCTGGACTGCCCCTTGAAAGCACGAGTAAAACTTCCAGGAATCGATATGTGGGCTATGCCCCACGCGTTCATAATTTTTCGAGAAAATCCGTTTTAACAAGAATTTCCTTGTAGGTTAAAACAATGCTTACTTTTTGGTTTATCCGGTTGCTTTATTTCTTGAACGCTGACTTTGGACACATCAACCGGCGGATATGGACAAATAGAATCGGGCAACTGCGTTTCTGATGAATTAACCGTAAAGTCATGATTAATTTGGGTCAAATGAGGTGGTACATTAAGTGTGAAAGACGGGGATGATGGACGACTAAGTTGATCTATTATGGGAGCCCCGGAGTCCATCAAGAGGGGTTCCATATTCCTAGGACTGTGTTGGCGAGGCTCAAACACAACACTTCGCGGAGAGCCAGGTCTAGATGCTTGGACGGAAGCTGTTCGAGATGGGGGCCGTGAACCCGGGTTCGATCGATGAGAAACCGGCATCATGCCCAGCGGCAAGAATAACTCTGGGTCGTTGGTTGATGTCACAGCACTTTCTGGACACTCATATCCAGAGCTCGTGGACGCGACATTGAAGTTGCATTGCGGGCTTGGGGCTCGTGATGCATTCTGGAGAAGAACGTGGTCTGGGATTCGTTCCACATAATTGGACGGGACCAATCCAGTTCGACCAGAGAGTGTCTCGCCGAAATAGAATTGATCCTCGTCCATCTGCCCATGTACCAGCAAGTAATCGCCCGCTTGCAACGGCAACTCCAGGTGGGGGTTGTCGTTGGGGCTATCGCGCAACGGGATGTATTGAAAGAGCACCCGGAACAGTCTGAAATAGTATAGAATAAATCAAGTTAGGTTATCTGATAAAGCAAAAAACGATACGGGTAATCAAAGTGTATTACATTAAATTAAAAAGGCTTTCAATTTGTAAATTAGACTTGCAGAACAAGCTTAGGTGAAGACAAAGTATCAGATTCTGAAATCGAGATGAAACTTTTTGGGACTCAGAGTAACTGGTTTGATAGAATTACCCACTGCCGAAAAGCGCCCGCTTTTGGCCGATCCCTCGAGGGCAAGAGAGACGCATACTCCATACATTTGTTGGCCACCACGGAGTACGCGTTGAACTTGGCGCGTCGGCAGCGCCTTCCATCCCATTTTTTGACCAGCGCGAGGTCCGGCCCTAAGGGGATGACCCAACTTTTCTTCCTTTCGGCCAAAAAACGCAGAGTTAGAGAGCGGGAGGTAGGGCCGTCTGCGAGACGGAACATTGCGTTGAATCCCTTGCCGTAAAACGACGCATGCACCGTTTTCGTGCTCCTTTTCCGAAAAGAGATGCACTGCCATCAGACGCGGGCATAAATAGCAGAGGGGGCGGAGGTCGAGTTCTTCGGCCAAAATTAGTGTCCAACTTTTTATAATCATTTTTGGACAAAGGACTCGTAAAATACGCCACTTTCTAAATAAAAACCATGTTCTCGAAGTTGTGCTCAAAAGAAATCATTGAGAAACATAGAAAGGAATAGCGGAAACCGGCAGAAGTAATTTGCGCCCATTTCCGGGTAGACTCGTTCCCAGCCTTAACCTAAATGCGCCCTCGGCAAAATTGTTCATTTCATATTTGACTCAAAAGTGGCCTCCGTTTTCTGTTATTGTTTTAAGAGAAGCCCAAAAGAAATGAGAAAACCGCCTCAGGCTTCGGAGGGGGGGGGTAATAAATGCCTTCTTCATGCCCATTTTCATTACCTTCAATTTTCCGGCCAAATTTTCGAAAATTCGGATCATAAATTCTCCCACCAATAATTTTGACTAGAAAATAAATTTGAAAAGACATCTTCGGTATAGGGAATAAAACCGCAGTTGACCCCAAGAGGCTGCCTATGTCTGGTATCAGATATGTGACTACATCATGATGAGAAACTGTAATTAATAACTTTGAGTGCTTTATGCAAGCTTGACGACCTATGAAATTACTCCGGACTTTCAGTCACCAGGAAACCCATTTCTTCGGACGAACTCAAGCGTTATAAGGACACATAAACATGAAGAATTGAGTAGTATGTCAATAACCAATAAAAGAATATATGGATGTTTTATTATCTTGAGAACAACCCGGCAGACTGAGACAAACATTTATAATTAATTGGAACATGGATATACTTACCTCGTATTCGGCCGGCTTCGTCGTAGAGCTAGTAAGAGAGCATCACTCAACGATGAATTCGTGGAGTTCTGTTGATTTTCGGCTGGACGACGATAGCCGGTTGAAACGGGCGGCTGTGGAGAACATTGGACACCCGTGGAATGGAGCCGGTCGCTGTAACCGCAAAAGAAATCGGAACTCAAGGCTGAAGAAATGCTGGGGTTATGCTCTTCGTGATGACGCGCTCTATAGGACATTAGTTGACACCTGAAGGGTCAATCCAGCAAGACCCTCTCTTGGTCCGTTGCCCCAATGCGACTGTTCGGTCCACAAGCCAATGCAGTCTATGAGGCCTACCCAATGAAATGCCTGAGTGTTGTGTTGCCGAATCGAAACAGCAGCTCGTTGAAATCCCTGAGTTAATTGAGGTCGAGCCGGTGGCAGTGATGCCAACCGGCTCCGTAGAGAGTCCGGCACTGCAAGTTTGGCCACTCTTTTCGTTGCTCCAATCGAATTGACGAGCTTCAGCGGAAGAAGCTTGATGTTGAACAGTTTGGGGAACACGTTGCGGCTCTCCAGGTTGTTTGCGAGATACAAATGGCAGTGGAAGTTGTTTGAGAAGTACTTTACTCAACGCTGTTCATGTTTTGCTCACATGCAAACCTCTCTGTAACGATTCAAATATACTAATTTTCCTTATGATTAAAGCGGTTATTTAAAAAGGCAAGTAACGAAAACGGGGGAAATGAGCAAGAAAATATTAGGATGACTTTTCTTAATTGCAGACGTACAATAATGTAAATTCGGGATGACCTTTACCAGTTTGTCGGGAAAACAATGAGCACAATGTCGCAGTCAAAATAGCAGCCGTGAAAATTAACTTTGTTGATCAAATTTCATTTCACTTCAGCGACGCAATCGGCTCAGCGACATACATAGCTCCTATTATTTCCCCAACAGACTGATAAAGGAAGTTGGTGCTTGATAAATATAATTTCAAATGACTTCTGACATAAGTGGAAACATTGATTCCCTATTAAAAGATTACTCTAAGGTTGGCAGACAACCACTACCTCATGAAATAAATGGCGTTGAAGAGATGCCTTCAGGGTATATCAGTTAATAAACAATCCGTTAGACGAGCCACTTAAGAGCAAAGCGTGCACAAGAAAGGCGGTTAAAGAGTATTTGAGTATACTGGAGAAGTAAAAAGTGTTGGGTGAACGAGAACTGCGCTGAAGAGACGAATACTGGGTGAAAACTTTGTAGCATCACATTCCTTTTTTCAGAAAAGGAGAACCACAAAAATGACAAGAGAAGACGAGCACCCGCCGGGCCAGAAACGGCCCAGCGGATAACCGGAGGCGCCGAAAACGGGTTGATATTCCCTGAGAAGCGGTGAAGTTGCCGAACAATGGGATTAAATGTCATTTTTGTTAGGTAATATGCTTAGAACGGTATGCAGACGGAACTCCCAAATGATGAAACCATGAAACATTTGAAGGTTTAAATGTCTTGGTTAAACGTTGGTCTTATTTACTATTTTAACAGCATTTGGGTGTTCGATCAGACATACATCGCATCATATATAAGATACATGGTGGACTTTTACTTTGATAAGAGAATATTTGAGATGGAATTGGGAGCAATTTGTAATCAAAAATATAAAGATTATCGTTCAAAAAAGATGACAATGGTATTCTCAGAGATCCCGGCATACCATCGTTATGTGACGGTCAAGATGCAAGTCAAATTGAAATGTGGTTACGGGATGGGTGGTCTTTAGCTGGGCCATAAACCCCAAAACATCCACCTCTCTCGCTCTCGCGTTCCATCCGCTTTCTCATTATGTCATGCCATTCTATAGCTAATTACGCGGACCCACCCGCTGACATGTTTTATGTACAGGTGTGGAAACCAGAATAAAAAACAAAATCCTTTTCTTGCGGTAAAATTGGAATATTAAGGACCGAAAAGAAAGCCAAGGCGCTGTTTCTCCGCTTTCGAGCAAACGCCCCTTGCTTCTCGGCGGGCCGGTCCTTCAGGGGTCGATTCTGGTGGTGGGGGCAACAGCGTCAGGTCGTCGTCTCCACCTTCATAGTCTTCTTGGCCGTCTTCTTCGTTTTTTTGTCTTCGCTGCGCCCCCATTTTTTGTGTCCAAATTCTACTTCTTTACTACTACTTTTGCGGGCCGACGCCGTGTCACTCCTGGCCCCGCCGTCCTTCTTTTTTTGCGGCCTCGATTCGCGCCACTTTTACCACAACGTGCCCGAAAGGGAGAGTCTGTGTTAAAAGCCGTCCTGTCCTCACAGTGCACCCCCACACACACGGAGGCATACACATATCGGCGCTTTTTTGTGAAACGAAAAACTAAGCCTTACACTTTTGGAACGGGAACTGGAATGGGGTCATGTTCAGGCGGCTCACCCAATGCACAGAACGGACACATGATTTATGAAAACCATTATCCTAAATGAGAGTAGTACAATTCGTAATTTGGAATCTGGCAGGATTGAATTAAGGCCGTATAGAAGTCGGAGATTTCCAAATACAAAAATGATAAACAAAAATGCTGAGAAAAAGAAGATTCCATTATTTGTAAATAAATCGGTGACTTTTATTCCCTTAACCTCCCTGGCCCTTTCCCCGAGAGTCGACGAACCGCCAACTGGCTAGGCGGAGGGAGCTCTATTAGCCGCCCAATAAAGCAGGTCCTTCCCCTTTCTTTTGGCCGCTGATTTCAGTTGAATGAGCTCAATTTGGGCATGTCCAATCCTTTTATGGGTAAAGCCAAAACTTTTTTGGGCCAATTAAAGGCTCGGCGAAATCTCCGTCGTTTCCAATTATTATCAGGTCCCAATTTCTCTGTTTTACGTTTGCAGATATCGCTGCTTTAATAAACTTACATCAGAATCACAAAATGTCTAAAAACATATATATTTTTAATTCCCGTGTAGGTCCGTCCTTGCACCTACTAATTAGCCCTGCCAAAGCAATAAAAATTTGTGAGGAAATGATAAGATTCAAAGGCGTTAAAATGCTGACACGACAACCTGAGGTCGTTAAAGATGGGACAGTCCGGTCAGGCGATGGATTTGCTGGATAGATTTATCAAAAACCTCTCCAATCAGGACATTATGGCGCTTCTCAATCCGATCAGATGCCAACTTATTTCCGAAGATTCTATCTTTACATTGAATGCAGTGTAAGTTTATAAAAGTTGCAGAGAATTAAGAGATTCTCTTTCTTTTAAGAAACGGCTCAACGGATTCGATGAATAATCGGTTTACAATTCGTGAATTTCTGAATAGATTGGGGCCTAATTGGAAACGATGGATTCATCGATGTAAGAACAAAAAATATTAATCGATTCTTATCTCCATGCATACCAGTATGAAGTTTTAGATCGATATTCCCTGGCTGAAGTCCAAGTCAGCACTCACACTCCGATGGAAACGACCCCTCACATAAAAATGGGAGGATTTGACTCTATCGATATCCCCCCAACAGATTTTGTGGTTGACTTCATCGAGAAAATGGATAAATATAAAAAGCGGAGATTACTGTACTGTGCCAGAGAGGGGTTACTGAGCGACGAAAGTTTCCTAAATGTAAATACATATCTGGGGCCAGATCGAGTTCAGGTAAAAAACAACATCAAACAGGTCGAAAAATATTCGGTTCAGGTATCGATGAAGAAAGTGGTGGAGACGATGAAAACTTGGGAGTTGGGCGAAGCCGCCCTTTTCGAATCGAGGCCTTTGGTCTACAAGATCTGCAAACTCAGTTTCCTGAGTTCCGCCAATTTTGACAAAGCCAAGAAAGCGGATCTGGACGTAAGGCAATTACAATCTGGAAGATGCAAATTGTCAGTTTTTTATTCGATTTTTTTTCTTTTGATGACATTATCAACATTCGGAGGACATGTTTGGTCGAATATTGTGAATTACGAGGACATGGAAGAGCTGAATATTCATTTGAGTGTAACCATAGTGGTCATTGCAAGGTAATAAGCGACGTTTAGATACGGTCTTATTTTAGTATTGCAATTGGAGCCCTTTTATATCTCTGTCTTCAAACAACTGCCTTCCTCGGATGTTGTGAGACCAATCTCCATCAATTGTCTGTCATCAAACCTTGCTGGACTAGATTTCAATCATACTTTGGAATACTTTTGTATTTCAAATACCGTATTTGGGTGATCAAATGTCTCCATCTTTTCTTGCTCTTCTACACGATCGGGCTTGTGATTTATGCCAGAGAGTTTGAACTAGACATCTATCCATCGATCCTCTGTATCCTCACAAATGGATTCGGATTTATATTTTTTAATCGAATTGCCAGATTTCTAAAAGAATGTCGTCGAGACTCTGAAGATGGAACTACATTATACGCACGATAATCCAGAAAAACTAGTTATGACGTCATCATTGCATCATTTTTTTACTTTGATGACTATTGGCCATATTTTCGGACACAAGTCTACCACTGACCCAACAAGATGTACGACCAGCGTTTTATAACAATCTGTGAATAGTCCGAACATTTGGTGACAATAAAATGGAGCAAAAATGTCAAAATAGATGGACTAACCGGTCTCCGGGTGTGGTTTGGGATCTCTTTTCGTTATATTTAAAGCCCAAACAGTTGCTCGGGGAAAAAGAAAACATGAGGAAACGTGGGCGGTCGATATCATCTCAGAGCCCATAAGATCTCATAAGTACCTTCTCGGATCTAACGTGCGAACAGAGTTTTTGGAATATGATCAAGGTTCCGTTGAACCCATTTCTCATCTTTGCTTTGGCGGTTCTGTGTCTTCTTTAGCCTTGGCGAAAGATACTGCAGTTGTAATAAGTGTTTTAAAAATAAATTAAAAATACGTTTACATCTTGATTATATACTTCATAATCGGGTTGGAACCACGGGTTTATAATAAAATAAGAGCTTGAAACCCCTTTGGGGATCAACAGAATCCTTTTGTTTCTTGGATGATTTTCTATCTGTAAGAAATCGTAATATACGGAACAAATCGCTGTCGCTTTTTTGGTTTCTATGCATATATAACTTGAAAGCGTAATATTATTCACCGTGCTCTTCATTCAGATGGCCCCTCCCAGCATCGTCGGAGATCCCAAGATTACTCAGGATGAGAGCTCAGGCTCCGTCTTCCTTGATGTGGTTGTAGCCAACGTTGATCCAGCCAAAACAAAATGGTTCAAAGGAGATGATGAGCTTGCCGCTTCTAACACCTACAAGTTTAGTCACAGCGACGAAGCCGGAAAGAAAAAACTGCGATGTGAAATTAAGGTAAATAGATATGCTTTTCGGGTTTTAATAATTTTAGAACTTTGATAAGACCTTGTCCGGAACTTACAAGGCCTTGTTCTTTGCTCCAGATGGCACTGAAAACCATGCCACCTTCACTGTTCAGTCTGGAAGTAAGGGTTTTAGATGATTTTAATCTTAAAAAAATGTTTTAGATGCCCCCGAATTCACCGACAAGCCAAAGATTGTCCAGAGAGATGGAGGGAACGTGATTGTCATCAAGGTCCGAGGAAAATCTCACATTGAAGCCAAGGCTGAATGGTTCAAAGTAAGAATAAAATTGCTTGCCCCGTTGAATTCAAACCGAGAGTTGTATTGAGAATTTTAGGATGACAAGCCCTTGAAGAGCACCGACAGAGTCAAGGTTGTGCAGAAAGCGGACGACAAGGACAAGGATGCTGTTCAGTATCTTCTGGAGATCACTGGACCTCAGAAGAGCGACGAAGCCAAATACAAATGTGTACTCAAGAATGCGGAGGGTTCCAACCAACAATCTCTCAACCTTGTTTTCGATTAAGCACAGTATGTAAATCTTTAACACATTGGAAATAAACTTTACAAATTATGATGATTTTACTTTAATCAGAAATAAGCAATTCTTTCCGTTGGGAGAGTGCTAATCCCAGTGAATATAACTTTTAGCTAATCTAAGTTTGAACACCGACGTTTTTATTATTATTTACTAAAACATTTTCTCGTAGTAATTTGACAGATATATTAGGTTGGACGGAAAGTTCGTACGATTTTTTACTGCTGCTATTTTTTCTTGCACTGATGGAAAAAGGCAAACACTAATATATGGTGTTGGTAGCGGACAGGCATCCCTATCTGACAGTACAACCCTCAGCCATCTTAAGCATGTACGAACTGAGAACTTAATTTAGACATTTACCCATCTTTGGTCTACAAGTAGAGATCCTTGGCTGGTTTGTATAACAAGGTATAATAAGAAACTGTTTTAACACTGCTAAAAAGCTTCCTTTTGATGCTCTTAATATGCGTGAAGTAGTCGGGGATTAAATCAAAACATAGCCAGAAAACTTGACTTTAGCAAGACCCACCAAGTTTGAATATATTTTACAACAGTCGCTTGTCGATGTATTCCTATGGGTCTAACTATGATATGCCAAAACTAAAGACACTTCCTTACACTTAGCTACCTGTCCTTAGCCAATGTATATATAGTACACAAATATGAGGGAATATACAACATTTTCAGACAAACATTTTTAAAGATTTTTGAGCTTGGAATGCAAAAACGACTTTTACTTCTCATTTTTGACTAAGGAGTTAACTCCAAAAAGTTTAGGAGTAAATCGCTAAACCACTTGCCATGACACTCACTTTAAAAGGCAAAACCGATTTTGGGTGATTCTTTAATTTTTTCGAGGTGGATACAAGATCGGTTCCCTGCCCTACCAGTCGCTTTCCCACCTCCCGTTGTGAAAATTTCCCTCTTCCAAAAAGAAATGGAGACCTTGGGAAACTTCTTTTTAGCTCCTTCGTCTTCTTTTCCCGGGAAGTAAATTTTGGGTTTGCCTTTCTTTTCGTTTCTTCGTAGTAATGGCAATACTTCCTTTAAAAAACTAAATTTAAAACAAATTCAACTTTTTTTCTGAAAATGTTGTATCTTCACTCTCATATGACAAGAGATCGGCTCAAAAAATAAACCATTTATCATCCTATTAAAGCATCCACATATCTTATGAATTAAAAAAACGTTTGTATTGTGAATAAAGCTGTTTTTGAATGGAATCAATTACGATACACTGTTTGACGAAACCGGTAAATTCAAGGGCTATAATCGTTAGCCAAAAGGATTACCAAGCAATTTTAGTTAGAGATTTAGCCGTTTCCGATTGGCATCGGAATTCTGTTGCTCGAATAATTGTGAATTTTACATAATAAAACATAATCGGGTTGTTAAGTCGTCAACTTGACGCGTCGGTCACGTTGTCAAATTGCCGCCATTTTCGTCATACCAAATTTCTCTGTCATTTTGATTGTCAAATTGAACTTTTTTTTAAAAAATTTTTGAAATTTCTGCTAAGAAATCGTAAGAATAAAATTTTTTTAGGCACTAAATTGCTCCTTGTGGTCTTACCAAAAATATTAACGGTATTCATTATAGTCTATGTTAAACTCGCATGTGAAAGCTTTGTATCTCAGAATTCCTAATTTTGCCAAAATGACGAAAATTACGGCAATTTCATTTTTACGTAATTTTGAAAAATTCTGTCAAATTAACAACCCTAACACATAATTTGAAATTTTATAAATATTTTTTGCATATTCAAAACACGATCCGAAGAAATAGTCTGATCCATTCGAGGTTGGAACCCTTCCGTCATTCTGCTTTTTGTTTGTTTTCATCCAAATTATGACGGTGTGAAAGATCAAGGGCGCGCATGGAAGAGCAATGGCCAAGAGACGGGATTTGGGGACACGGATCCCTCCCTTCCCCTCAGGCCAGAGAGGGAGGAACGCAAGGAAAGCGGCTGTTAAGCGATAAAAAACACAAAATCAAAAAAAAAGATCTCCCTGTCCTGATCCTGCAGAAAAGTCTCCTGCTTGGCCCATTTTTTGGCTTTCATGAGAATTTGAGAGGATTCATCGACTCTTAATTTATTGATTATTATTCGAATCCATGGATTGAGAACGAACGATTATTGATTATGTGGTGGCAGTGCTTCATTCTGCTCGGTTTGACAGGAATTTGTCTTGGAACAGGTAATGTTTTGATGTAATTCTTTATTTATTTCTGTCTTTTCAGAGAGAAATACTGTTGTTTTGCTTGGATCTGACACCCAGAACCAGTTTAAGCGAGTACTTTTGAATCTTTTAGTTTCCGAAATCGACGATTCTCTTGATTGTAAGTTGTTTGGCTCGGTTCTTTCCCAATACAATCTTAGTGTCATATGTCGTTGTCTCCGTGAAGTCTCCAAAATTGATGGATTTGGACGTACTTTGACACTAAAAAATCCAGTTTTCCTTGTAATTTGATGCCGATGTTGCATTTGCTTGACTAAAAACAAAAAAACAAGTCATTCTTTTTTGTATATTTTTGTGCTTTTGGAATTTTAATTTTGATTTAATTTAAGACAATGGCTACAGTTTTGTTGTGTATCAAAACGAAAGGAATTCTGATCACCTGCGGTCATTGGAGTCGCCTTTTATCCGAAGAATTCCCATTGATTGCGGTCAACTTACAGTAATTCTGGCCACAAAGGGCACTGATCAAATGAGCTTAGAGGAGATTCGATTGTTTACTGAGATTATCTACCAAATAAATGGCGGCATTGCGCTGATTAATGCCGGTAAGGGTTGCCGAGTTTTTAATTATGAATTCTTTTTAAATCCTTGACTTTGTCTTCCCTTTAGGCTCTCAGAACGTTCTTACCCAAACTGTGATCGAGCAGAGTGTTTTCTGCTGGGGAACCGCCAGAATTCGAGCAGATTTGGCAGTTGGAGAGCATCAAGTGCAACTATGCAATGGAATCAAGGCCTCAGAGCTTTCCATTCTGGATAGCCGAATGACTCCCTTGCATGAGCACGTTGATGAAATCGCCCTTCCTTCGATGATCCAACATCGCTTCTGGCCAAGCATGTTTGCTTCCGCCGAACCAGCTAATCAGAAGGCCAAATCCAAACATACAGATCAGCCAAACGCTCGGAAGGAAAGGATTTATGGAAAAGACAAGAAAAAGGCATCGTCTGACGGCCAACAGCACGTAGAATATAAGAAGGAAGAGAAGAAGATTGAGAGGAAAATAAAGAAAGAAAAGCCGAAGAAACAGGAAATCAAAGAAGAAAAAGTCGAAAAAGTGGAAAACAAATTGGATTGTAAGTACAGAAAGAGTTGCTACGAAGGAAAGGAACCGCCCACTGCTGAAGAAATAAAAAAACAACATACGAAGAAGGTTACTAATACAGTCAGCACCCATGTTACGGTAAATCAGCAGGCTTCAGAAGTCGACAAGAAGTTGGAATGTAAATACCGGACCTCTTGTTATAAAAATAATGGGATCCAGCTGTCCGAGGCCAACGAGAAAAAGGCTCATCAGCATATTTTGACATCAAAACACGGGGAGGTAGTGCACGCTCAGACGAAAGAAACATTAAAAGCCGCAGCTGAGAAGGCGATTAAAGATGTGAAGAGACAAGAGAAATACGCAAAGGAACATCCAGCTGAACCCAATTACGAGACAGTCTTAAGAGAAAGCCATCGGAAGTTGAAGAGTAAAGAAGAATGCAAGTATCGAAAGTCATGTTATGATACAGGGATTCTGACAGAAGATACGATCAGAGGCATTCAATCGTCTCAGGCAGCTATCCCTCAATCACACACTCATATTGACGTCAAGGACCTAAAAGAAGACGAAGTAAAATTGAAATGTAAATATCGGAAGAGCTGTTACGAAACGGGAAACATTGATATTGATGACAAAAGACCTAATCCCCCTCCAGTTTATATCCCGCCGGAAGAGAAACGTCACGTCAATATTGAGGAATTGAAGGAAGATGATAAGAAATTGAAGTGTAAATACAGAAAGTCATGCTACGAAACTGGGGATTTGGATCCTGAGGTTATCAAGGCCGAGCAAAAGAAGTATGTGGAGCCCCGTCGAAGCGAAGAGTTCCACAAACTAGATGTCATGGACAAAAAACTCAAGTGTAAATATAGAACATCTTGTTACGAAAGCGGAGTGTTGCCGGATTTGGATGCGAATTACGTGGAAGTGACGATCGAAAAGCCCGCGGCCGAACAAAACGGTCATTACAGTAAAGAACTTCGCTGCAAATACAGGAAATCTTGTTATGACACGGGCCATCTCAACGTCGAGAACGAACAGGAAACCCAAATTCTCAACCATGGTGAGCCCGTCCCAACTTCTAAGGCCGAGCTAAAATTACGTTGTAAGTACCGGCCGAGTTGTTATCAAAAATTGGCACAGGAAGCGGGGGAGTATGCGAATTTGATTGAAGGAAATGAAGATGACGAAAGTGATGAAGAGGAAGAAGAAGAAGATAGACAGGATGTGGAGGCGATTGTGGAGGAACCAGAGGACGAAGATGAAGAAGCAGAGGAAACGGATAATGATGAAGGGCCATTAATAGTCGAAATTGAACAGAATGAAAAGGAAGAAGAAACGCCCGAGGAATCTGATGATACTCAAGCTGAAGAGGAAGTGAAGGAACCGGAAAACTCAGACGTTACTTTAGCATCTTCAACCAAGAAATCAAAGAAGTACAAGGTAGAGCCAAAAATCGAGGGCGAACAAGTTCCAGAAAGACCAGAACACATGAAATTAAAAGAAAAGAAAGCTCCGGCTGAAGAAAAAGTGGAGGAAGAAAGACCAGCCAAGAAAGACGTGGAGAGGATGAAGAAGAATCCAGATAAAAGGTTTGTCAGCAAATTCAAAAAAGTGGGAAATTATGAGAAGCTCCCAAAAAATGAAGATGAGGAAGAAGAACACGTTGACGAAGAACTGAATGATGTGCCTCAAGAAGATGAGGAAGAGGAAGAAGAAAACAAAGAAGAACTTAATGAAGTGCTTCAAGAAGATGAGGAAGAGGAAGAAGAAGTGGAGCCAACACCAGCATTTGTTGCCATTACACAAGACGAGGACAAAGATTCAGAAGGTGGAGAAGAAGGGCAACAAAATTACAATGATGACGAGTTTGCTCGACCTGCCGACCCGCTGCAGTGTAAATACCGGAAATCATGTTATCGTACTGGAGTTCTTGACTTGAGCCATGTTCCCGTCTATATTAATCCTTCAGAGACTTCTAAATCCTCTAAAAAATGGGAGGAATTAAAAGAATCGGATAGAAAATTGGCCTGCAAGTACCGTAAACACTGTTATGACGCGGGAGTTCTGTCGGAAGAGCATCTGGAGCAGCCTACTGTATCCCATAAATATGATGACGGGGAGGAGAAAAGCGAAGCTGACCGTAAATTGGAGTGTAAGTACAGAAAATCATGTTACGACGAGAAGAACGAGAAATCTCATAAATCAGATGAAAGAAAGGGCAAAGGCCATAAAACGCCTATGCTAGTGGTAGATAACGTTCAAGAGAAACCAGACCATGATGACGACAATGACAAGGACGACGACACGGACGACGAGAAACCCGAAAATAAAACTGTCGACCCGAATTCAATCCCCAGAGAGGCTAGATTGATATGCAAATATCGACATTCGTGTTACAGTAATGTTGAGGAGGTAGTGACAACCAATCCAAAGATGGCTATGAAAATGCGTGGGGAGAAGTGCAACACGTATTGGAAGTCATGCAGAGACAAATTGGGCCTTCCTGTTATTGAGAGGGCGCCCGTCGATAAACAAGGACGGAAACTCTGCCGGAAGACAAAGAAGGAGTAATCACCACTTCGATAGAATATAACTACTCTTTCAGTATGACATTACACTTGTTACAGGTCATTTTATATTATAATAGGATCCTAAATACTGGTCGCAGAAAAAAGTCCTGGGAATCTTCTGCTATGTACTCTGCACTGTGCATGAACCCGAAAAGTGCTTTTGCACAGTGCAATTTTCTTGTTTTTGCCTTATTGTCGCGCGCGATTCCTGCTACAAATCAACTTTTCGGAGCGCGACGGAATTTGGGGGCGCGAGAAATTCCCTGGACTTTTTTCCGCGACTAGTAGTTGTGTCTCTCATTTACGTTTTCTTTTTCTTGTCTTTTGTAAAATTATTTTCACTCGCACCGATTCAGTTGGTTACAGTATTCTTACTCTGAAAATAAAAATAAGGATGAAAAAAGTATAAGCGTATTCAACGGTTGGTCTCAAGGGATTGGAAGTCTCTGCTATCGGCGATCGTTTATCTGCACGGCATGACGTGTATCCATATGGAGATGTATGGAAGGAGTATACCCTGGAGGCCGGATATTTCGGAACATACGCGGTATGGTTTTGAGGTCAGTAGTTTGCAAGATAGATGCATCATGACCCTAAATTGTTGATTGGAGGGTTCTGTCTGCTCTTTTCTTATTTTCCAAAGGTCTATTAGGTTCATTGCCTAAGGGAAATTTACCAGATAATGGGCCAAATATCCAAACTATTCCGAAGTATGTAGCATAGGCCAAAAACACCCATTCCACATTCCCTGAGGCCTTTAAGTTAACAAACAGACTTCTCCGAGTTTAATATGCAAATCGCCAAAATACGAGGCCATTATCTTTACACTTTACTCAGACAAATAAATAAATAATCGTTAATTAGGTTGGAACATCAAATAATTGTTTATTTTCTGTGCCGAAGCGTCTCTCCAAAAATATTGAGAACAAGGATAAGGTCGCATCAAATCTACACAAATACAGACCGGAGAATACGATAATTGGGACTTGGATTAGGTACATTATTTGGGACTGGTGAAGCGGCTGAGAGTTAGTTCAGGTACTCCTTGGGATCTCGTTATTGCCCTATGTTTTCTGGTAAGCCCGTTTGTTCGGAACGATGTATATCTTCAAATGGTTCTGAAAAAGGACAGGATAAGATGATTTGCATGCAAAATGGGATTGAAAAGCCTTGAGTTGCCCGACGAAGAATTTTATTACATGTCGAGAACTCTATGAATTCATAGAATTCGAATAACAAAATGTCTGGCGACTGGAAATACTAGTCGCGGAAAAAAGTCCTGGGATTTTCTCGCGCCCCCCAAACTCCATCGCGCTCCGAAAAGTTGATTTGTCGCGGGAATTGCGCGCGACAATAAGCCAAAATCAACAAAATTGCACTGTGCAAATGCACTTTTCGGGTTCATGCACAGTGCAGAGTCGCAGAAAAATCCCAGGACTTTTTTCCGCGACTAGTACTATGCCAAAGGACCCCGGAAAGCGTAAGCTGGAAGGAGGAAGCGACAGAAAAGTGAGAACACAGGGATCTAATCAGATCCCCTGAAACTACGATACCCAACCTGCTGTCTGCTTGCTCTTCCAGCATTCGCTTTTCTTTGGATTCGTCGCTAATCGGGAAACTGCGACCACCAGCCCGCTTGGTTTGGTCAACATACCAGAAGTAGGGATCATAGTATTTGGGTTGGAACGCCCGACCGCCCGCTCGTTTCATCTCTGTAAGATAGTACGGTACGTAGTCAGCCTTCTTTTCGTAGCTCAGCGGGAAGCTGGGCGCATACAGCGAACCGTAATTGAAGCCCCCATAGAAGGAACGGCCCCCGCCTCGCTTGTTCAGAAGATAGTAGTTACCGCCATTGAAGCCGCTGAAGGCTCGTCCACCTCCACGTTTGTAATCAATCGGAGCGAAAGCACGCGCTCCTCCTCGCTTAACGTCCACGGGAGCAAAGGCACGAGCTCCTCCCCGTTTGTCATTGAACTGGAAGGCCCGGCCTCCGCCGCGTTTGTCATCTGTGTTCAGGAATGCCCTTCCACCTCCTCTTTTGTCTTCTTCATCTGCAAAATTTAATCATTAAGATTGTTTTCAATATTCAAACATAAAAGTTGCTTTCTCTTACTTAATTCGGCATCTTCAAGATTCTGAACAAATGATGCACCATAGACAATTTGTGTAAGGATACCTGAAATGAAAGGGGTTACTGGTTGCGGGTATGGCGGGTAACCCAATAACTTAAATGAGTTCCGTAAATACTTTATGCTGCTCCCATTTTGGAATCAAATTTCTGAGAAACTGAAACTGTTCTCCGATTATACGGTCCCTCCCCCTCTGTTTCTTCAGCGCCAAATCCCCAATGGCTATATATCGGGAATTGGGAGGAATTCAGCCAAGACATTCCACGAAAAACAAATCGCCGACCGAACCGAACCTCAGGGCATGAAACCGTTCCTGGGGAGAATTAATTTGCATCGGTCTCGTGGTTTCATTACACTCCCAAGATTTGATTTATTCCGAATACCATGGTAAAAGAAATGATTGATGACTACAGCTGTACTATTTATGGACAACATGTGCAAGTTGTGAAAAAACAAGGAACTGCCCTTTTCCCATGTCATATTTACTGAGGGAAAGTGATTTTGTCATCCGAAATAGACTCATTCAAAGTTCAGAATATTTGATTACGCAACTGAATAAGCCTGTCGGAAGTTATTCGCGCCGTAAGGAACGGGGAAATTACCATGCAATAAAGCCCCATTCTCATGTTTTTGCATTAAAGTTATCGTTTTCCGAGGAACTACTGATTTGTCACATTATCGGCATCCGCTATCAGATTCCCGTTTTGTTTCGAAAAGAACAAAAACGCGGTATGTTAAGGAGGGGGATGAATACGCATTGTTAAGTAGTACCCGAGGGATCTTCATGACAACTTTTGTTTCTAAGGGCCACGAGAAAAGATGGAATGTGACCCCAAAAGAATGTGGCCAAGCTTTGATCTACAAGTTGACGTGATTCAGTGGCTTGGCTTTGGAATTCGGAAAGCTATTTCTTGGTTCTTGACGTATGGTTTGTTCAAATTGGGTCAACAACAAATCCTGTTACACAGGCCCGTCAGCTTTTTTAACACGATTTCAGTCCCAGAAATTGACATAAAAATGCGAATTTCGATAGCTTCGTCATCAACAAGTCTACTTGTGTCTGCCATGAAAAGATTCCTTCTTCAAAAGGATAGCAAAAAATATTTCAAAAACAGAGATGTTTCCGGATTGACGCGGTAATATTCATTATTTTTGGATAAAAAAACGGAACTCATAAATCAACAAACCCGATAGCGTACGAGCATAATAAATGGCCGTAACCAAAACTGTCGATTCGAAAAGAAAACGTCATCCATTAAAGCCCATCAACTTACCGAACAGGGAAACCCAAAGGAAGAGGTCAATCGTCCTTACTCCTAGATTCATAATCGACGCAATTTTACAAACAACGCCTGGCCAGCTTCGGTCTGTGGCCACAATACTGAAGCCAAGTTCGCTGACTTTTTCGCGTCCCTTCTTGACTCCGCCCCTCGGCCGAGTCCCCACCAATCGCTCTCCGTTCGGCATTGGCTTCTGAGTGACGTCCATTGTTCCAGAAGCCCGGAAACCTTGTTTTCTTTGCAAGTTGGCTTTGAACATGACGCGACAAGTGTTTCTCACTCAACTTAACTTAACTCGCTTTTTTGACGCACACTCGGCCCTCATTGTCTACATCGAGAAGTTGTCTGTTACATCAGAGCATTCAGAACAAAGTTTTGTCATACTAAAAGGTCATAAAGTTCAAGTCGTCGTCTCTGGTTATCGTGTAGATAAAGGGCATGAAGCTTGATTTTATCACAAAAATTATCATTCGAGATGACATATCTTGAGAATATGACACTACATTCCTTTGTGTACCCAGTTTCTTTTCCAAACAGAGCTGACCGCCTTTCCCACGGTCCACGTCAGTTCACAAAACGCTTAACAAGTAAATATTTATCAATTTCCTGGAGCCCACCAAGAAACTTCACTTGGAAACTGAAGATAATTAACCGGAGGGCTCAATTTAGAATTGAAAGAAGTAGGTTTCGAACATAAAAAGAAAGCTCCTTGAGGCCTGGCCTAACAAAACTAATTTTGCTTCGGGAGGGCTGGATGACGTTCATGTTGTTATAAGTGTCTGTAATTGGGTTTTGATTCGGCAAGTTCAATCCTGTGGGAGGCCAAGACATCTGCGAACATGACCTTTTCATACATTTCAGCTTGCAAATACTCATCTAATTGCGTGTGAATCGGCATCCAAATATTACCGTTTACTCCTTCCATTGACTGGAACACCATTGGATGCCAATAAAATAATTTGAACCCATTCTTTCAGCGCTTTGACCTTCTCTTAGACCACGAAATTGAAACTCCGGAAACGCCAAAATTGTAAAACATCCGGGAGATCCGGAAAAAACAACTGAATCCGTTTACCGTTTATGTGATGACAAAAGAAAATTACAGAGTCTTGCAGAATTTGGATCTCTTTTTTAAACTTTTTTTTTTTTAAACTGCCATTAAAAAAGGAACTTTTTGGATTTATTTTAGTTTAAAACGGGTGGATGACTAACAAAAATAAAATTGACAGGAACTCTGGAATCAGTGCAGAATGAGCTCAGCGTCAGGGAAGATTGTCAACGTCTTATTTCGTCCCTCGAAGAGGCGAAATTCCGGAAAATGGGAGGGGGCGCTGAGATCAGCGCCGAGGAGAGCCGAGATTTGGAGATAACAATCAACCTGAAGAAATTATTTTTTCCAATTTCTCTCGAAAAAGGTGAGACATTGCGGGCTTAATCCACGACCTTATAGCATCATGGTAAACAAGCGTATCAGGCCTCTTTTTACTGCCATCCTCGACCTTTACGAATGCAAATTTCCATGCGAAAAGAGCCCCCAAAAAAGATCTTGGTCACCGGTTTTATTCCTGCACTTCAAAAACGGTCTTTTAAGGGGACGATACCGTGAATACAACGCGCCGTATTTAAATTAGACAATTCAAGTAATTCAGTCGGGTATTCTCTTTCGTGCCATTCAATTCCCGTTGTTCAGCGACTTTGAAGAACTTGAAAGGGGAATATGCTTGTGATTGTGTTTACCTATTTACATAATCGTTGATTGTTTTGTATAAACAGGGGCATTGATCTTCTTCCTTCTTTTTCACTTCTTCGAAATTCTTTTTGGATTCTATCTAGATTATTTTTGATGACTAATAATTAATTTTAAGCAGATGGGTGTGACAATTTAAAACACCAAACGATTTTTTTCATTCGCTGGAGCTTCATACCATTTACAGAAATTTTCGTCCACTTGAAAGTGACGAAGGACCTTGTAAATAATCCCTTAACACTACTTTTATCCACTCGAGAATGCTTGGTTCATGGCCTGAACGCTCTCTTGAGGAGGATCTGACGCCCCTTCCACAAACAAACAGCGTCCACTATAGTCCAGAAAGTGTTGGTCATGTTGCGAGATATTTTATCACCCTTAGGCTGGGCTTTCGGATAGTTACTTTTATTCGGGGGATCCTACTATTTATCTAAATAATAAGTAAATGCAAAATAGAGTCCATTTTAATTTAGTATTTATCCGTCTTCAAATCAAGCATGATTTTTAATTTAAACACAAAGTTTCCCCTCGGCTTGATATGACATAAACCTGGATCAATGCCTCCCCTTGCAACGAACGTGACCTCGCGTTTTAATACCATTTAGAGGACAAAAGAGATGTCGCACCCTTAAAGCCGTGTTCCCTCGTTTCAGGATCATTTCATTTCTGTTTGTTGAATATTGTTGTTTTATAATTGGTGACATGACGAATTGAGGAGATGGAAATCAACCAAGACTTAATCCTGGCCATACTCGATAACCCCAATCAAAATTTCACCAGCTTTTTGTTCGGTAATTTCAGCTTTATCGTCATCAATGGCTGTCTTTATTAAACTATATTTTAGAGTCGGATGCAGCTTCAACGATTAAACTTTTATCAGAGACAGTCTCCAGAAAGAATGGCCATAAAGTTGTGATACAATGCCTGAGTATTTGGCAAGATTTCCAGCAATCAGATCACCCTCTCTCAGTAATCCTGGATGAATTACAACATGCGAATAAAGTGGACTCTGTTGAGGGGATTCTTCGTCTACTTAACGGTCTTCTAGAACATTCTCCCGATCCCATTGCCAAGATCAGAGTTAGGCGTGAGCTTGAAGGTAACACATCTCCTCTTTTGTTGCTCTTGTTACCACCAATACTAAGATTAGTCGTTTCAGAATTGGAATTTGACCGTCATCTGAAGAATGTCTGGTGAGAATCTGTTTTGTAATCATTCCCCAAACACATCTGTTACCTGCTCTTTATTGTATTTGAGGGGAGAAAGACGCTGGGAACGTTGGATGCCGTTCCTCGTCATGATTTCTGACTCATAGCCTTAGGGATTCTGGTTTCTTTCCGTTTTTTTATTTTTATTTATGGCCCAATTTTAGTCAGAGGTTCGATTCGAATGTTCTGGACCAATTAATTAGCAACTTCTTCCTTTTATTTTCTGGTGTTCAGAAAGAGAATAACATCAGTGTGATCCCCGTGGTTAGATGTAGACACAACGACGCTGACTCTGGAACCTTTTCCAGTGAAGACGAAGATATGAACAGTCAGCATGACTCTATCATTAAGGTCGGTAATATAAATTATTTGATAAATAAACTACTTTCAGAATCCAGAAATTGCGGAAGACCTCAATTCTTTACTCTTGGCATTAGATGATCACGAACAACTTAAATTGCTGATTAAGCAGCTAAAGAGCGTTAAGAATGTTCCTGACGTCCTAAAGAATATCAACGAAAATTTAAAGAAGCCTTTAACTTCGGCAACTCCACCACCTCCCCCTCCCCCGCCCCTTCCTTCCACATCTTCTCCATCCAACCCTCCGCCTCTACCTGCTCCTGTTCCTGTTCCTCCACCTCCCCCACCATCCTTAAATGGTGTGAGAAATGGTCCTCTCCCACCTCCGCCTCCTCTTGGCAAACCTGGTCCTGGCTTACCGCCTCCAGGGCCTCCGCCTGTTAACGGAATTTTCAAGCCACCACAGAAACAAAAGGTGGAGATCCCAGCCTCACTTAAGCCAAAGATTCTGCCGGCTGAAGGGAAGAAGTTAAGGCATTTGCAATGGACAAAGATCCCGGTCAACGGACTCCAGAACGAGTCTAACATCTGGCTGAACATGAGCGTTTTCGGAACTGACTTGAGTAAGTTTGAATGTGGCTGGTTTTATGGAGAATAAAGGACGCCGTTTTATGGGTATTAAAACATTTCAAATTTCAGTCTCCAAACTCAACTTCAAAGACCTTGACCAGTATTTCGAAGTATCCGAGACAACCTCCGAACTCCAGCAGCCAAAAGAAGAGAAGGAAAACAAGTCAAATACAGTATCCCTTCTTAATTCGAAGCGATCGTTGAGTGTGAATGTCTTCTTGAGAGCCTCCAAAGGTGTTGAGAATTTAACTGAGTTCTTCAAAAAAGGAGAATCAGAAGCTATTGGCGTCGAACAACTCAAGATGCTGGTACCACTTCTTCCCACTGAAGAAGAATGCCAGACTTTAAACAATTATACAGGGGACAGAGAACAGCTGGGGTCAGCAGAACAGTTTCTTTTACAAATAATGGGAGTTCCCTTTTACAAGACGAAGTTGGATTGTATGATTCTAAAAGAAGAATTTGCTGGATTCATCGACAATGTTCAGCCAGAACTCGAATTACTGATTAGGGCTGGGAAAGGTAAGAAAATGAGGTAATTTTAAGTCGACTTTTTTTAGACTTGAAATCATCAGCGTCTCTCAAAAAAGTACTCTACATACTTCTTCACATGGGCAATTATTTGAATCATGGGGCTGGAGTTGGAAACGCCGTTGCATTTAAATTGACGTCACTATGGAAGATTGATGAACTTAAGGCCAAGAAATCAGATAGAACTTTGTTAAATCTTGTGGCGCAAGTAGGTTATAGTAGTCGCAGTGGATTAAAATTCTGTTCCAGGAAGCGCAGAAATTAGATATTCATTTGGAAGAATTAAGTTTTGTTCAAGATGCAGCTAAGTAAGTTCTGTTTTACATATATTAACCGTTCAATTTCAGAGTTTCTTTTGAATTATTGAAAAGTGAAGTTAAAAGTTCTATGGATAGAATTCAACGTCTGGAGAATCAGCTGACAAATAAAAATGATGCATTCTTTAACGAATTTCGACTCTTTTTAGAGGTAAAACAAAATAATTTTTAAATTTTGATGACTATTCTTATTTCAGCGATCCAAAGAAAAGGTGAAGAAGGCGAATTCCCTCTTAGAAAACATCGAACTTCTTCGTAAGGAGCTAGCCATTTATTTTTGTGAGAATGAGAAAACGTTCAGTCTGGAGGAGTGCTTTAAAATCTTGGCCAACTTCCTAACTAAATATAAGAATGCGATGAATGTAAGGCAATATCATCAATAATGACTTTTTCTTAGGAAAATATGCAAAGAGAAGAAAGGCAAAGCAGAATGCAAGAAAGGGGTCTCCCTTCAGTACCATCTACTCCAATCACTGTGTCAGCCCCGTCGACGCCAAGAGTAACATCGCCCTCTTCAAGTCGGAAGCCCTCGATTATAACAGAACAGGACCGGGGCCGGGAATCATTCCCATTGACCCCTTATAATCAAAGAAGAAAGTCGTCGGCGAGAAGAGAATCCGTCTTTAACAATGTCGGCTCTGGCTGTGATCTTGGAGTTTTCATTGATGGGGCGTTGAACTCTCGGAAATCTTCAAGAGTCAGCCAATCTCCTGTTTTCAATGGCCTGAGGGAAAATACTGAAGAGAAATGTAGTGAAGAAATTATTTCGGAAATCCCCCAGAAGATTGTAAATTTTATGAATAACAAGGACGTCAGAGTTATTAATGAGAAGCCACCTGTTCAACCAGAGATGAAGTCAACGTCATGCTCGTTAATAACCCAACCATCTGCTTCTATTTCCGAGTCTTCAGTTAAAGGTATTCCCAGAAAGAGCACTACCGTTCCATCAAAGAGTCCTCCTGTGGCAAGAAAATCATCATCTTCGCCCGTTACTTCTAATGATACTAGACAGCCAAATGCAACAACATCAAAGACCTTACCAGCAACAAAGAATTTGAATATAAAACAAAAGGAGCCAGGCAATAAACCACCTGCGGCACCAAATTCGAGTACATCAAGCAGGACAGTGCTTAGACGCGTGCCAGATAAACTAATGCTGAAGGAAAATGAAGACGGAGAAGAGATTAAGAGCGTCTCCGGACGGAGAATGAACATGTCCAAGATCAGAACGAAGAGTAGTACGGCTGGTTCCCCTCAAACTGAGAGAAGACATCTTCCCACTTGTCCAGTCAAACCCTCGGATATCAGAGCGAACCGAATTGGCAATTCTCCGTCGTCTCCTAGTTGGGCAAGACAATCAGCAGCTACTCCTTTACAGAAAACCACTCTGGAAAGCATACCGAGCAGATCAACAATATCACCTAGATTATCCAAGACAATTAGTGTGTCGAGACCAGTTCCCGCTTCGAATACCTCTCCCAGAACTTCAACAACAACTTCCAGACAAAACTCAACGGTTGCAACATCTAGGGTAGCTGCAGCTGCAGAAAGGCTGAGCAATGCAAATGTGAAACCATTACAATCAGCGTCTTCGGTAGCTTCAAAAGCGAGATCAGGGATGAATGCAGCTGAAAGAAGAAGCGTGTTCAAGAAGACGGATTCGGTTAGCACCGCCTCAAGACCTGCTCTCATCAAGACCGGATCAATCAGTGACAAACCAAGATGGCTTGGATAAAACTTGTATCTATATATTGTAGAATGGGTAAAAATATGTTTGAAATCATGGATCAAGAATAACAACCTGTAACTGCATATCCTTTCGAATAAATCAGATTTTTAATCACTTTAAAATCCTTTGTTTTTTATTCCAATCTTTGAAACATGGGGGATCCAAGGAAAGCAGATGGCTTCGATTTGCATTGAATCCCACTTACTAGTGTTTTAAAAGCCCCGTTGAGAACATGTCCTCATTTAGTTGGGACAAAGGAGAGTTAATATTCAGAACTCTTTCGGCCTTCCCTCACAGCACAGCCCAATCATTAATCTATCGTTCGAGTCCCAGGCCAATCTATAAATCGTCAGCTGGTTTGTCGTTTTTTGCAATTTCGTTTCGCATTCAAATCCCTTCAAGGCCCCGTTCTGTCCATTCTTACAGTCGTTTTCGTATCTTCTACATGCGATTGGAATTCGTAGATCATCCTTGAAGATGGAAAACACTTTTTTTACCGTCCAGTTACGCTGACCCATTCATTCCGTCAGACATTTCAAAAGTCGAGCTCTCGTAAACATGCCCGGAGGGACGTCATTCCATTTTGGAAAATTCTAGGGGACGATTAGAAATGCACTTGTAGCAACCTTTCGAGGTCTTGTTGTTGCCGCCCGAAGGTCCTAATTCCCCCTTCAGAAGTCCGATCTACGGGGTTGTAAATAAGGGGACAGGGGACGACCAGTCATATTTCTGGAATTGTATAAGTCCCCGCTCAAATTGAGTTACTCTGCACCCTGAATTAGTTCCCTCTTCTCATCCCCTCCGCTCCTTTCATTGCAAAAAATAGCCAAAAGGGAAAAGCCCAAGAAATGAAATCCCTTCTTACGCAATGACCTCAGGGCATTTTTCGTTCGGACATTCGGACAAATCCCCCTGGCCGTTTAATTTGGCCGTCTCGGGTAACGTTATTCGGAATAAGAACTTTTTTGTTTGAAATTTGGCGTTTCTGTCGCAGTAAATGAATAATTAAGTAATGGCCGTTGTTCGGGCCCACTGATGTGTCTCTTCGTGGGCAGTCCATTTTGGAGGCGGTTTTTTGCTGCCAAGCTTGTCGGAAATCAGTTTTTTTACCATGTCGCCGAATTTGTAACAATTTGGACTCTTTTAAAAGTTAATCGAAACGATTTAGTTGTAATGAATTCGAGCATTATACCGGTTGTCATAGTTGCCTTGCCTTTTCTCAGTATAATCCAAAGTGCTTTGTTTAAGATTAGAATGGGTAAACAATCAAATGAATGTATCTTCGGTTGGATATGTACTTTTCAATCCATTATTTATACTCTTTTCTTCTTTTAAGTACACTTCTCCATCTTTCTTCCAAACCATCCTGAAAAAGTCTTAATCACGCTCACTGGATTGTAATCATGTTGTTAGAGTCGTGCCTTTTTCGCCGGAGGAAATGTCTGTCTTCCACTTGTGATAGCGCCATTAGGACCCGGATTCAGAAGTTTTGAGAAAGGATGTCTTTCTGGGGATAGCATGTTGATTGGAGCCTTATTGGAGGCATTGGTAGGTAGTCGACCCTTCATTACTGCTTTGCTCCTCGAATTGAGAAATCCAGGAAGTCAATAAAGGAGGTTCATGAATAAAATAAAGAGCGCTCCATTTCGAGACTTTGATGCGATAGACATGTCGGCCAAATTATCTCATACTCGCGTCCAAGTGTTACGTTGTTTTTGTTGTTGGCTTCATTGTCACCCTTTATTGATTACCAATCTAAATGGTTGCTGGAGAGCCGGGAGATTTAGGGATTCCTCTCATAGTCGTATGTGGAAGAAAGTGTCTAATTCTGTTGCAGGTAATGAGAAATTGGAGTCCTTTCCCTAAGGCAGAAAAGGATTCCGCGGGCATCAGTTTCAGAAGTTCCGGAACACAAATTCCAACCAGAGGGCTTCCTTCCAAAGTTTTCTCCCACTCCCACCTCGTATCTTTTCCTACAGTTACCAACCTTCTTTAAGATGCCTGAATATATAATAATATACTACTGTCGCTGTTTCTCTGTCATTTACTGAGTATTTGTATTTCCGAGTACTACTTTATTACCTTTACACATATCCTTTAATTGTGTTTGAAGTTTGCTGTCTTCGCTTTTGTGCCCTAAGGATATGTCCTTTCCAATTAGTCCCTTGGTCGTACTTGGTGGTGTTTTGGTTGTTCTCCTTGACTTCCGGTTCTAGATTCATTTTTAGAATGCGCGATTATTTTGAGTATAAATGATGCCTTCGTCCCCGCAGATGGTTTTATCGCTGGTCTCTTTAATTGACAATGATGACAGTCCAATGAGACGCTTGTGTCGCTGCGTCGTAAAATGCTTAAGGCATTGCGGAATTCAGAATACCATTTTTTGTTTTAAAACAGATTTTAACCTTATTCTTTAGTGTTTTAGAAGCAATGTCTTAAATTTCCGTAACATTTTTTGTGTAGTTCTTATCTTATTTTGACCTATGTCATGAAGGATAATCAATCCCGATATTTTTGTTGTCATATAATTCTTTGCACAAGTATTGGCCAAGGTTCTATTCTGCCATTTACAATTATAATTTGTCCGATATTTCGCTGACTCTCAACGGGAGCGTTAAGAGTTTCGAGTTGTGTTTTGATGTTAATGTAAGTGCTGTGTCCACCCACCCTGAGGGGTCTTTTCCCGGTTTGTGCGTCCGTTCCATTCTCCAATTGGCCTGAGATAACGTGTGGCCTTGGACCCGCTCATTACACCGCCCCTAATCACGACTTTTATTTATTTCCAGTGTTTTTAATTGTCGACCAGAATGGGTTTGGATCCAACGGAGAGCACACTTTAATCTCCAATATAAATTGCAATATAACTGTTTGTCCAAAGTCATGATGGCATGTGTGACGGTCTCCTCGTCGGCAGAGAAGAGGTTCCACCGTTCCCTGTCGACCCCAGACCTTATCTCTTCCACTTCTTCTGCAAGTAAGAGGTCTCTCATCCTTGATCCGACCCCATTACAACCCTTGGATATGGAGCTGTTATCTCGGCGTCAATCCTCTCTCAATTCTTCTACTGAAAACGCCGTCACCTTCTCTCCAGAAGAGAGGCCACACTCGCGTTCCAATGAACTTACAGTCCCCATTCAAGAGACCCAGAACGGGTCCATTATCTCATTCGGGAATGTGGAATTGATGCGTTCCAACTCGGAGATGAATGTAGAGACTTACATTGATGAAAATGGTCACAAGGTCAGCGTGCACAGTACTCCACCAGAAGACTTTCGACAAACTTTGCTGAATGTTGGAAGGACGCTACAGAAAACACACAGTCATCTAAAAAGGACCAGACTATTACACATGTTCTATTTCCTGGCTTTGCCTGTTTATACGGTTATTGGGGCCGTCATCTTCCATGTAAGTATTTTGGGTTTAACATATTTTATATTGTATGTATTATAATTTCAGGCACTTGAGAGTGGGCATGACGAGAGGGTGGCCGAGCATTACAAGGTCCGCTGTCTCACAAATAGATCTCAAAAGTTATTACAATTAGAAGAGCTTTGTGTTGCCTCAGGCGCAAATTGTTACAACCATTTTAAAGAGCTCCTGAACTCCGTGGATCGATGTTACAGAGAATGGCAGCCAGACAATCAAACAGTCATGCATCCCATGTCTGACTTTACTAATGCCATTGTTTATGCTTTCAGGCAAGTCAAGATTGTAAACGTAGTTAAATTACATATTATATAAATGACGTCAATTTCATAATTCATTCATTCGTTTGCAGTGTTTACACGTCGATTGGCTATGGCACGGTCTCAGCTAGCACGGTCCCGGCTCGGGTGGCTACTGTGATCTATGCGGCACTCGGAATTCCACTGTTTTTTGCATTTGTGAAAGAAGAGGGCAATCAATGCAGGATCTGGTTCATCCGGGTCTACAATTATCTCAAACGTTGGAAACGCCGTCAGCGGAGGAAATGTTGTTGGGGTGCGTTGAATATTTATTAGGGCACAATTCATGGCCTTCAGATATTTATAATCGTTCTAAAGTTTGTATTTTAGTCCTGAAAGGAGATGAAAAGAAGATGAATGATGAAGCGATGACATTACGGGACTGTGATCATGACAATCCCGAAAACGGGAAGCCCTTCTTCGCCCAGACCATGTCCATGTTCGGTAAATATTTATTGTTTAGTCTTACCAGCTCATTAAGATTCGATTCTTATAGATAATCATTCTTGTCCGAATCCATGCAGTTTTCCTTAGCAAAGGAATTAAATTTATGATACTCTCGGGAAAACTTCACTTCCGTCTTCGATTTTTATTCCAGCCTTTTATTTTGAAATCGTATTTTCAGACACCCAGTATATTACATGTTCCGACCAACGTCGCGTGTTCGTGGCCAGTGTCCTAGTGTTTGTAATATATCTCCTTTTGGCTAGCTATATCTACTCAGTCATGGCTCAATGGGATTACTTTACTTCTTTTTACTTCACTTTTAGCAGTGTCGCCTTGATCGGTGAGTAATTATTATAATTAAAACTGTACCTAACACCTTTTCAATCATACTGTCCCTCATTTACAGGATTTGGTGATGTTTATCCGAGTGATCCGCGAATAATTCTGGCCAATATGGTGTTCATTGTGATCGGGGTGGTGCTGTTTAGTATGTGTTACTTCATTCTCCAAGAGGAGATCAGAGTGAAGGCCTTTGAGGCCTCTAGAAGAGCCAGGATGAGTATCTCCAAGTACTCCCATTCTCTGATGTTACACAAACCCCCATGGTCAAGGAGAAATTCCCCTGCCTTTGATCAGAACTCATCAAACTCCTCATCAAAGAAGTTTCAACAGAATAGAAAGAGACGGCAGAGTGCTCCGGCCATCACAGTGCAGATGGATCGATGACAAAAAGTAAGACGGTCTTGTCTTATGGTATCTCACTTCGCCACTATTAATGTGAACAGCGAGTTTCAATCAACTTATTTATTTGATTCAACCACTCAAGATATCTCTGATTGTAATTCCGGGTACCTTCTTTTTAAAATTATTTTTTAATAAATATAATTCTGATTCTAAGATCAGTCCAATTGATCTGTACATAAACTAGCAAAATAATTATTTATTTACGATACGCAACACTTGAGATGTGTGAGAGAGGAAATAAACCTCTTGCCACTTCCCCGGGGGCAGAGGCAAAACAAAAAACAAACAATAAATTGCGCTTTCCCATTGCCATGTCGTGTCGGGGATGTTGCCGCAGATTCAGTAGATGCTCCTTGATTATTCTAAACGCCATTCTTACCCTGTTTGGACTGGCTTTGATTGCTGTAGCCTTGTGGGTCAGATTCGATGTAAATTTCGAGAAAGATTTAAGGATGAATATATTAAACAGTACCCCCAATCCACCAGAGATGTATCGGACCAAGAGCACCATTAGGGAAAGCGTAAGTCTGCATTACCAGACCGTCGGAAAAATAGTGACGGGTCGTCACAGCAAAATGTTTCGTCTCGTCGGAAAGGGTGCAGTCTCGCGTGGTCGAGAATATTCGGTTGGTGCACACTCGGATGGTGAAAGCTCGGATATACGCTCCTTCGGGTGATCGCTTATTCGGGTGGTGCAAATTCAGATGGCGTATATTCGGGTATATTCGGGCGCATATTCGGATGATGGACTTTTGGGGTGTGAACTGGTTTTCCTCGAAAGAGACCCCGAGTTGAAAGAGACCCCGAGTTGAAAGAGACCCCGGAATCGGGGGTCTCTTTCGATGTTTCCCCGAAATGGCCGAAAAGGTCAAAAATAGGGTAATCGATGGCGTAGATTCCAAAAATCATACTCGCTTTTTCTGATTCTTACTTTTTTGCTTAAGTAGTAATGTTAAAAAGTAATTTTTTGAATTTTTTCTAAAAATAGTCGATTTAGGGGTTTTCGAGGGTGCTGATTTCGAAAATCATGTTAGCTTTCCTCTTTATAGTACTATCTGGTACTATACAGTACGAGGTGAAAATTGGATTTTGGCGTTAATGGTGTTGGTTTGAAGCCCTGCACTTCTCAAAAAATGTGTTTTTAGCACTTGGTACTGTATAGTATAAGGTGGTACTATATAGCACGAGGTAAAAATTAAGCTATAACGCGTGAATGAAGTTGTTTTGGTATGCAGTACTGATCAGACGTTCATTTTGTGCAAAAACAAATTCGTGCTATATAGTACCATGTGGCAAAACACATTTTTGAGAAGTACTGGGCTTCAAACCCATAGCATTGAGGTGTTACGGCTTAATTTTTACCTCGTACTATATAGTACCACCTCGTACTAAACAGTACCAAGCGCTAAGAACAAGTTGTTTGAGCAGTACTGTGCACCAAACCAACAGCATTAACATCTGAATGCATAATTTTTAATCGTACTATCCAGCTTGGGGACAAAAACGTCCTGGGGACAAAACCGCCTTGGGGACAAAACTGGGACAAATCGTCCACTACGCTCAAAAACACGTTTTAAATAACTGGTACTGTTTAGTACTGTCTGGTACTATGTAGTACGAGGTGAAAATAGGAGTACTAAGCAACAGAACAACACTACTAACGCCTAAAGGCCAAATTTTTACCTTGTACTACATAGTACCAGACAGTGCTAAACAGTACCAGTTATTTAAAACGTGTTTTTGAGGAGTACTAAGCATCAAAACAACACCATTAACGCCAAAATCCATATTTTCACCTCGTACTGTATAGTACCAGGTAGTACTATAAAGAGGAAAGCTAACATGATTTTCGAAATCAGCACCCTCGAAAACCCCTAAATCGACTATTTTTAGAAAAATTTAAAAAATTACTTTTTAACATTACAAAGTAAGAATCAGAAAAAACGAATATGATTTTTGGAATCTACGCCATCGATTACCTTTCGGGGTCTCTTTCAACTCGGGGTCTCTTTCAACTCGGGGTCTCTTTCGATGGCTTTCGTGTGAACTCTCGGGTGACGAAGAAAATCCTTTATTGAGGGCTACTACATAAGTAAGATTTTTACATAACACTGTAAAAAATAAAAAAAATTTTATCTTGCAATTTTTTTCATTTTTAGGGAGTTCGACCATCAGGCCCAAAAACTGTATATTTTGAGCGTAATCCTTTTTTTATTCAGGTGATAATCTAGCAGCCAGCATTTCAACATTGTCCATAATTATCAACCAAGAAATCCTCCACTCCAAAACGGACTTCATTTTTGAATTACTCATGCGAGATAAAAAATTAGGATTATTCTCAAAATCTACAGTAATTTTCAGTATTACTTACAATTGTAACAGTAATAAAATAAGAGTAATGCTTGCCCGAAGCAGATTTCATTTTTGGGTTCCTCATGGCCGAAATCCCTAAAAATGAATAAAAATTTCAAAACTTTAACAGTGTTATGTCGTACTTAGTAGCCATAAGTACAATATTTACTTCATCACCCGAGAATTCACTCACCCCAAAAATCCATCACCCGTAAATGCATCTCCCAAATACCATCGAAACCCAATAAATCGAGTATTAAAAAAATTAGTGCTGTACATCTGGTAACCAATGAGTTGAAATCACAACCAAGTTTTTCAATGGATAGCCCAAAACCTGGATCGGCAAGCCAAAGTGTCAAGATAGCTTTGAAATCTCGAAAAAACGAGCGAAAAGGGATTTCGACAGTTTGGCAAGCCGACCGAGGTTTTTGGTTTGCCATTAAAAAAATTTGTCATGCCCATTTTTTACACTTATTCCAACCTTCAGTCATTTTAAAACTAAAAACTCAAAATCCTTTTCGTACGTCCATGGCTGATCCAACTCAGAAATCGTGTTTTAAAAAATGATGACTTTAACTGTAGGCAGCGCTCACAATCTGGACCCTTGTTGGATGGTCGGTGGCGATGACTTTGGTCGGATTATGGGGAATTCTTTGTGGCGTCATCTACAAACGCAACATGACATTATCTTACATTGTTGTCAAGACGATTTTAATTGTTGCAGAGATTGGCGTCGCCGTCTTTTTATTTATTTTTAAATCTAAAGTATGTTATGTACTTTAATTATGTTGTAATCCGCTTATTTAGATCAAGCATTTGATTCAAGATTATGTCAAATGGGCGTTTGCTTTCTCGACGACAGACACCAAAAGTTTGGTTGAAAGAGTAAGTGAAATTTTGAACTGAAATAATAGAGACATACATATGAACACATGTATGATTGTTATATTTAAACATTTTTATATTTTAATTTCAGTTTAATTGTTGTGGTGATGATACCGACAATCTTTACAATACAACCTACTGCTCTAAAGTGGGAAACAGTTATCAAGTAAGTTTACAGCGACATTTAAAATCTAATTTTAGTTCGAAAATTGTACTGACGCTGTTTGGCAAAGGTTTGAATTTGTACTGACGATAGCTGGACTGACCTTAATCGGAGTCCTCTTAGTCCAAGGGTTGGCCGTCGTCGTTGGTTTTATTGTTACATGCACTTTTGAAAAATTAAGATAAGGTTGTACTAGTCCTTCCGGAAAGTCGCCGGACGGAAATCGGCGACATGCACTGTGAGAAAAAACTCAGGGTGCGAGCGACAGCTCGAAAAGGCTTATTGCACAGTGCAAAAAGCCAAAAATTGCACAGTGCAAAGTGAACTTTCGATTTCGCAGAGTGCATGTCGCCGATTTCCGTCCGGCGACTTTCCGGAAGGACTAGTATTAGCTATGAAAAATAAACAATAAATATGTATGAACGTATCGGTCTGTCGGGAAAAAAACGGCGGATCGGCGCGCCTCGGAATCGCCCATCATCGCTTTGCGACTGCAAGCCGCGGCTGGGGATTTGGTGCGCGACAGCGGCGAGGCGAGACATTTTGCTGCGACGATCCGCCGTTATTTTTCCGACAGACTGATAGTATAATAATTTCGATAGTCCAAGGTCGCTATCGTTTTATATGTCCATATGTGCATATCTAATATGCCAGCTTCCGGTTTTCTAATTAACTTCCCTACTTTTTAGTCTAATTAATTCCCGGCTCTCCCAAAATCTAGAAAAAACATCTTGCCCTAAGGGCATGTGTGACCGATAATTTGAAGCCACCAAACATTTGGTGAGGTTACTGGTTTATTTTTTTCGTCGCGAGAATTAAAAATGGGGTATTTGAGGTAGAAAAGGTCGCGCTCTCAATTCAAATACGCTATCAGAGGCTGGGTTTACTAGTCCAACATGTAGTCGTTTTGTTTTGCAAATTTCTTTTGCAGAGTTCTCCTGTCCGCGTGACCGATTACCTTTACACAAAACTCATAAATTTTATTCAACTAACAATAAGAGTTCCTTTCCAACAGATTTATGACCTCCGTTTGTTGCCAAAACCAGGCCTTTCATACTCAAAAGTCGTAAAAAATGCCAATCTTGTGTGTCGGCCGATAGGTTGTCTTGCGTTTATTCTATTTACTCTGAAGAAGAACACCTCGGCTAATAAGAATAATCCCCTTAACCAACCACGGCAATCTCTCTCGTTTTGTTCGAACTGGTTGTTTATCTCATGTCTGGAACTGACATCTGTCATCTCAAGGTTGTAAAATCAGAATATTCAGACGGAGACAACGGCATCATTACTCCTGGCGCCCTTTCTCTCGGTAATATGATCAAAAGAAAACAGTCGTGTAGTTTTTTGGCCGTTCGGCCCGCTTTCTGACCGGACCGGCCCGTCGGCTGTAAAGAGAGAGAGAGACAGACATTTTAGGTCCCTCGTGCCCTCAAAAAATCTAGTCTCTCCCCCCTTTTTCTCTTTCGATCCAACTGCCACTAATCCGAGAAATTCCCTTAGGGTAGAACATCTTCATCTTTTCGATCAAGGTTCTGCCTTCTTGACCCACCCGGCTTTTGTTATCATTATTTTCCGCAGATTTTTTTGATCTACTGACCCCGGAAGGCAATTTCGGTCGTATCTGCCTAAACCCCGTTTTTCATTTCGGCCGAAATCTCATTAAGCCCGACATTAAGGGAAGATCGCGCGAAGAGAAGGCCGAGTTGGATGGATGTGCTCCGGGGAGGGCGCGGGCCCTGGTTTCCCGCATTTCTTTCCATTGGCAGCCTCGAGTGGTGGCCGCGGTCTAATCGATGTTGTCCAAAAAAGGGGAGAATATAGAATAGCTCTCTCTCTCCCTCCCGCAGTCGCCTTCACTATTTCTTCCCGTTTCATTCCCTAAGGCAAACGTCAATGCGGCCGTCTTCTGTTTTTGGGAAGAATACACGGCCCGATTCTGACGTTTCCTAGTAGTTTTCGTTGGCAAAAAAACACTCCCGTCGTATCACCCAGCTTGGGCGTTCCTATTCCCGTTTTCAAACTATTCCCACTCGGTTTCTCATTGATTTTCAACCTTCTACAATGTTCTTATGGGAAGTTTCCAAAAATCGGGAATTTTCATCTCGTGGTAATATCGTGGTATATACTCGGGATCTACCCAAAATTTCGATTGCGGATACTGGGATCGGAATTTTATAGAGTTGGACTTCGCAGGAATTTGTATATACGGGTGTATACACCGTGGGGCCCTGTCGACCTCTACTGCAAGTAAGCAGCTACTTGAGCCAGTATTTCACCTGGGCGCAGCCTGCGTCATCGTAAAGATTTTTTTTCTTTTTTTGGTAAAATAAAATTCATGTGACAGGGTTTATTGGAAGATGTCAAGCTTAGTGATATCTTTGATTGTTATGCGTATTAGCCGGAGAATTTTTGTTTTCGAGAACAGTCGCCCCAAGACTTTGGATTGAATTTCAACCCGATTTGATTTCTATTTCCGACCTTTGAGAAAATTGATTTTTCGAATATAATATTGTTCGTTTCAATTTTTTCCCCGATAATTTTGTTAGTATTTCTACCGCGAAAGTCTGACAGAATCCGTTGCTCATATGTCGTCCCTTATCACGAGTCCTTATCAATTTTATTCGAAGTTCTGTTTTCATTAAATAATCTAATGCGTGTATAGGAATAGGGTATTCAGCCGGAAATGGAGGAGTTCGGCGATGATTATTATTATTACAAGAAGGACATGCTGGGCCATGGGGCCTTTGCCGCTGTTTACAAAGGAAGGCAGAAATCGGTAAGTTTCTGCACTTTGCTTTTATTTTCGTTGTTTTTAATTTTTACGAATTGTATTTCTTCAGGACAATAAAGAGATTGCCGTTAAAGCAATTCTGAAGAAGAATCTGAATAAGGCCAAAGATCTGTTGAAAAAGGAGATTAAGATCCTCAATGTAAGTGTATATTTAATATTTTCTTTATTGCGATTTAGGAGTTGAGTAGTCTCAAACACGAAAACTTGGTGTCTCTGCTCGATTGTGTGGAGAACACGACCAGTGTGTTTCTTGTAATGGAGTTTTGCAATGGAGGAGACTTATCCGATTATCTCCAAGCAAATGGAGTTCTCGAAGATGTTGTTATTCAACATTTCTTCAAACAGATAGGTAAGAATTTGAAAGAATTTCTTGGAAATTATTTGTTGCAGCTAAATCATTGGAAGCAATTAACAAAAAAGGAATTGTCCATCGAGATCTCAAGCCCCAAAACATTCTTTTATGTAATCCTCCAAAAAAGAAAGAGTTTTCTTACCATGAGGTTGTCATTAAGTTAGCTGACTTCGGGTTTGCCAGAGTGTTGGGTGAGGGAACCATGGCCGGAACTTTATGTGGGTCTCCTATGTATATGGCCCCTGAGGTCATTATGAGTCAGAAGTATGATGCAAAGGCCGATTTATGGTCAATTGGAACTATAATGTACCAATGCCGAGTTGGAAGAGCTCCTTTCCAGGTTTGTTGTCGAGATCTATTTTTTCTTTACTATTTTTTTTTATTTTAGGCAAAAACACCCCAGGGTCTTCGCACTTATTACGAAAAGAATCGGGACCTTCAGCCCAATATCCCCCTAAATTGCCCCGAAACGCTTAGAGATCTCCTTCTTCGGCTCCTGAAGCGAAACGCTGTAAACAGAATTGAATTCCGTACGTTATAATCAAATATTATCTATGACTGTTTTTAGGTGACTTCTTTAATCACCCCTTTTTCCATGAGCCGATTGTTGAAGTTTCGTCGAAGAGAGTCTTAGAACAGATGTCAAGTCAAAGGGTACACTCTCCTGGGCCTTATAGAAGGGCTCAGGCAGCAGATACACAGATGAAGAGGGTCGGTTCGGAACAAATAAGTCACCGGAATATCCCTTCATCTGCTAACCTCGCTCGTCCATCAACAGTCGCTCGAATTCAGCCAGCCACTTACACGACTAGTCCATTAAAACGACGAACAGAACAGTCTCCAGCGATGTTGTCTCCTAGAATTACAGTACCCAGAAGTATTGGAGGAGGACCATCAGAACCGCTAAGGTCGAATGAACCTCCGCCTAGACCTCCGAAAAATTCTCAACAACAAAATCAGATGACGGATTCGGGGGAATTTACTTTCCTTCCTCCATTAAATCAGCCCAATCAGAGACCTTTATCACGACAAGGATCGGCTTCTAACCGGTCTTTGGAACGTCAAGGATCGGCCCAATCGCAGACTCATACCGCCAATTCTAGGGCAGTCCCTGTTCCCAGCCAACGTCTCAATTTTGCCATTATGGAACAAGAAAGACAGAAGGAACTGGCTAATAAAATACAATCAACTGCCAGTACTGTAAGAAAGGTCGAGGCTTCTCACAGTGGTCATGCTGCCGTTAACTTTGACGAGATGGGTCCTCGGATCGATGAAGTAAATCCCCCAAGAAGTAAGTGATGTCTGTTTACCTTTTTAACGATGATCGTTATAGCAAAATATGTTATCAAAGAGTTGCCGAAGAGTCGATTGCCAGCCCGGTCGGAATCCCGACTTCGTAAGCCGCGTTCTTTGGTGTCTCCGGAAGAAGGTTCCGAGAACGCGGAACCGGTAAAAAGTCTCCGATCAACGTCAAAGTCGGGTATTCCAAGGTCCGACGGAGTCAGAAGTCCCAGCCCGACCAAACCATCTGTTGATAACATCCGGTATCTGAGCACATCTCCTCTTCGTAAGCCCCAAACTTCCCTGAAAACGAGTCCAACGGAGAGCAATAAGAAAATGGAAGGGTAAGTTTTCAGAGGAGTTTTTGGTGGAAGGTGGATGAGTTTTATGTAATTGTCATGTTTTAGTGCTGCGGATGTTGAGCCAGATGAAGTTGATGACATGTTAAACGAGTTTACTGGAGCTGTTCCCTTTGCTTCAGGACTTTCGGTGGAGTCTTCGGACTCGCAAATGGTTGATAGTGTCTCGGGAGATGAAAATCAACAGCCATCAACGTCGGCTGTTTATGATAAGCAAGGAAAGGATGTCGAGGCGACTCCCCCCTCTTTGGCCAATGGTCCTAGTTGCTCCAAGCTAGCATCGGCCCCATCGGCAGAAAAAGATTGGGATGAAGAAGGACCGGGAAGCTCGAAAGAAAAGCTTGATCCAGTCATCGATGCACCTCCCGAACTTGAAGATGAGACTTTGATGGACGAGGAACACAAGATGGTACTCACAAAGCTTAACTTCGTTCTGGAATTAACCGAGACGTTGATCAATGTTGCCGAATTCAATGGAAGTACCATTAGTTTTAATATGGAAAGCACGAAAAGAGCCGTAAGTTTTGTTTAGAATCCCCGGATTTCTTGTCTGTGTGGCGCTAGGTGGAGTTAGGAATTATTTTGCAGCGTGGCTTTTACCATCTTCATTATCCATCTGAAAAAAACGTGTAAATTTAAAGGTTTTTATCTGTAGTGATTTGAGAACATCTTCTAACAAAATAGCTTCCAAAAGTTTATTATGAAGATATAAGGGATGGTGACATACGCGTCAAATCGGGTGTCGTGGCCATAAACGGCGATTTCTTGTCTGTTAGGCCTCTAGAACGGAAATGCGCAATTCTTGTCTCATTATCAAATTGCGTAACAAGGCGCAATATTGTACAAATTTTTGCTCTTCCCGTGAAGATTTTTTCTCTTTTCTCCATCAAGAAATTTGTCTAGGGGCCTAACAGACAAGAAATCACGGTTTCTGGCCACGACACCCATTTTGATGCGTACGTCACCGTCCTTATATATATGTTTCAAACTGGAAAAACTCAAAGCTTTTTTGCTCAAGGCGGGGTTCAGACAAGTTTTGCGATTTTTATCTAATTTTTGGACAGAAACCACGCAGAGCTAGCGGGCCCACAGACAAGAAATTCGGGTCGGGTTAAAGTAGAATACACACGCCTTATATTACAGAAAGACACAGCAAGTGACGCGGTTACGAATCGACGGTCCGAACAGTTGGTGTTGTACATAAAAGTGATGCATATCATTTCATCGAGTCTTGTGATGGCTCAACGACACCGAGATTCCGCGACTCTTCAGCCATCTCCAGCGGTTCAACATGTCCTCAATCAACTGAATGACAAGTATCATCAGTGTTTGGTAAGTCTTTAATGAGCATTGATAATGAGTTTTACGCTTCATGGATGATTTGATGGCATTTATATCATTTTAGACTCGTTCTCAAGAGCTGGCTTCACTCGGAATTTCATCGAGCGCGGATCCTTCATCAACGGTTGTCTCAGCTGAACGGTTGATGTACAAACATGCCATCGAGATGTGTCAGTCGGCCGCTCTGGACGAGCTCTATGGTAATCCACATCTCTGTCCAAGCCGATACAAACAAGCATACATGATGCTTCATGTTCTTTCGGAACAAGTAAGTATAATATTATACATAATTTTGGATTTTTATTTCTTCAGAAATGAATACTAAAATGTTTTAGGTACAATCAGATCAAGACCGAAGCATTCTCGCCAAGTATAAGGATGCTGTTGAGAAGAGGCTGAGGATTCTGGAGAATCAAGGATACGTCATCTCAGTGTCCAACAAATGAGATGGTGATCCCTTCCATAGATACGAAATGTATAAAAAATAAACTTATATATTGTTTGATTGTGAACTTTTTAAACGCCCGGACGGCTGCGGACTGGAGCGTTACAACTTTCTCTTTTCTGTCGTGCCCTTTCTTGAAGCACCTCTCACCGCGGCACTATAAAGCATCAACAATTTCATTTCAAAGTTTCAATAGTTTTTAAAATGCCTCTGCATACAATATGTACTTCTTCTTTCAATGCTCGTTGGTAGTAAATTCAACAAAACGCTAGCTTTCGCGGATGAGAGTTTACTGACGAACTCTGTATGCAATTTTCATTGCAATGATCTGTCCTCGTTTTGATTTATTGCGTCCTTAAATCCTTGGGAGGTTACAGAGGGCATCCTTTTAATCGTGGGTAAGGGGGTTGATCATAGTTTTGTGTCCCGCATTCCATTTCATGATTGCTGTTTTAGTTCTCAAAAAATCCCTGTCCCGTTATTGTATTATTTCAGTTTATATAATTGTTATCTCACCTTTCTTCTTCCATGTTAAACTTCTTCCCGTGTTTCTCTAGAATTTCCAATCCCCGCCACTTTAATTCCGGGGTCAAGACGGAATAAGTCCTGGGGCGAATAAAGGCAGTGCTGGGGATAAGAATGGATTCGTCCCTCTCTCCGAGATCCGCACTTATCGTCTGCCTACGTCCATAAACAACCCGCCAAATGAGTTCTTAAATTATCAGATCCGGATTGGAATGGGCCTTTCGGGGCCAAACATCTATCTCCACATTACCATTTTTTCAGCCGAAGTCTTTGCAATGATCAAGTTCCATTTTCTATTAGTAAGGTTCATGATCGGTCAAATTAATGTACTCTTTTTTTGAGCCTGACAGTCACCTTTAAATGAAGCTTGTTGTGTCCAGGGACTGTTTCCCGTCCATTGTTTATGTTTGTCTGTATTAAAGGGGTTATGGTGCAGTATGGGAGGTCTCTAGCATACCAACAATGGCCGGAATTAATGCGACAACGGAATTAATAAGTTCGGCATATCTGCACAATGCAGGGAAACAGTAGGAAAGTGCACTTATTCAGATGTCTGGGAAATGTTTTGGCATGAAAGGTTACTTTTAACTTAATTAAATTCAAAATCTCCGTTCCGAGGGGGGATTCTGGATGACATTTTTGTCTTGTCATAGCTTTCCAGGAATCTGACGCCGAGAATTGGTCCTTGAATAATTTATGATTCTCGGAGACCAATTATCGAAGTAGTCTTTATAAAATTAAAATTTATGTCGTTTGCAAGAGCCAAGATCTTCGCTGACTTTTAGATCTTTTTTTGAACTTTTTGTAATTTTCACGAAAGTTGGTTTGGTTGTGGAAGTCGTTTGTCATCCTTAAAGTCTCCTCGAATTTGTTTTGGCCTCATTTAAGCACTCTGCAACCGATGTTCGTCAACTTATATTTACTGTCTCGGGTTGTCCTGGAAGCGCTCTAGACAATTGTTTAACAAAAGGAGATATTCTTTGGGATCTTAATATTGTAATCGAAATACTAGATATGTTTGCATGATTCCCTATAAAATAAAACGCATTTATTTTCCTCCAAAATAATTAAATTATCCTACATTCTTCAAAAATAGTCCTTTGCAGATTTGGGATCCTCAAATTAACCTCCGCTTATTAATCTGAGAATACCCCAGCATTCCCCATTCGTCCTAATCTCCGTGTAACTTTTCCATTTTTTTGTTGACAACGCCCTCAAAATTGCAAATTAATTTTTTGGACCTTAAGGTAAATATTTTTTGAATACAAATTAGGGTTTGTCTGCAAACAACTTTTAACTTCTCCATTTGACGTACTGATTAGATTATTTACACTATGACTTGTACAATACAGTAATCTTTAAGTTCATAGTTATCCATTTTTACTTCAGTAAATTTATTCAGAACTCTTATTTTTAACTTCCAGAGACCCTGAGGCACTAGCTACATAAGGATCTGGGCCTGTTTTCGATAAACAAGAAGATATATCCTCCTTCTTTATCTACTGTCACTGGTTGTTATGACTTGCAGTCATAAATTAAAGTCTCCTTTTCCTTCCTTTATGGTATATGCCTGTTCACATATTGGAGATAAAGTTTTAAAGTTGTTTTGTAAAGGCGTTGTGTTGGCAATGCCTCAAGAGTGAAATCTTTTGTTGTTTAATCGTTGTGTAGGTTGGATAGCAATTGAGGTGAGGACTAATGTAAAATTATCCCCGAAGGTCAGCTGGATACCTACAAAAGTATTATAATGACTTTATTCTTGAGAATTGCGTGTTTTCCTCTTTTTATGACCGCTCTTTACAATTCTTGGATGCGAAAGTCTCAGCCACACACAGCTTTCGATGGCGGATTTTCAAATTTAATGATTTTAGGATAATTTTTTGATCTTAAATTGCTTTTAAGATATCAACCTTGGAATGTGATAACAGCCGACATTGTTTCTGACTAATCTTTTTTTATTTGCTTGTTTTAATGCAAGCTCAGTAATAGAACCCACTATGAAGTTTGTCCCACTTTATTCCCAGAAGTTTGCTTCTGTATTCTTTTCTCGAGCAATCAGATTACGGGCCCCAGGGAAGGGCTTAAACAAATTTTACACAAATTTGAGGGGACTGGCTGTTCACAAATTCTGCAGACATCTACATTATATTTACGATCTCACAATTTGCAACCTCTCTTCAGAACCATTTTGTTGCTTAACAAAGCATAAGTAATCCGTATCTTTAATATCTTTTTTTCTCACATTGATATGCTTCACAGATATTTTATAGTGTGCTTCGATTGTCACCGGATTCCTGTTATTGATTACAGGAAAAGGTCTTAATTTATTTTATGACAGAAAAGTTTAGCGAATTATTAATCGAACCCTGGGGGCATTTTCAAATCAGGAATTATTAAAAACAGGAATACAATGGAGAAGGAGATGAACGTTGCCCTCAGAGTGTGCTGTTTGTAGGCTGAATGGATGTTTTCTATTCCATAAATTTGTATCCATCTCTTTCTAATGAGTAGCTTTCCGTCATGTATTCCGTGTCTCGGATAACTTGTAATCGCCTGATTTCTGGTGAGAAATTTTATTTCATGAGCCTGTTAATCCGCGGAGATATCTTTCAATTTCTCTCGGATGTTAAGTTATAGGTCCCAAAAATACAATATTTGCTGCAATCTGTGCGCATTGTAATGTCCCGTGTAACCAACGACGCCTTTCAAACGTGGCCTTTCACTCACAAGCAGTTTACAATTTTGAGAAGATATTTGTTTTTATTGAGCTCTTCCTTAGTTTTTCTTGGCGTATAGGTCATCAAATTATTATTCAGTACACTTACGATGGATTTAAAAACTTTATTTTCCTTATACTTACATGTTGTATTTTTGTACTCTGATTATGCATGACCCCTTTGTTTCCCTTTAATTCCCCATTCTGTTTTGTTGCATTTCTTAAAATCAAACCTATAAAATTACTATGACTTTCGACAATAAATGTTGTGCTGTTCATGTCTATTTTCGTTTTATTTTTTAATATTTTGCCGTCTGACTTTGCTTTTACTGTTAAGGTTAAAAATAATAACACTTAAATTTGAGAAAGCTGTCAGATATAAAGACGTCAGTGTCTTAGAATTATTTGAAATGTAATATATTTGTTTTTTACATCTGAATGTTGCGATGTAAAAGCCTCATTATCCGCTGGATAATTTATTCGATGGTCTTTTTGATCCACTAATGGAGCTGTGCCTTCAAATTATGATGCCGTATACAGACTTATGGCGTCTCTCCTTCCTCATTCATCGTCAGAAATAGCAGAATAAATTCTCTCATTATTTTTTTTTGCATTCCAATGGAAGGCAGTCCTACCATAATATATACTTGTTTACCGGCGCCTATTGTCTTCTGAACTTGTGGGTTGGGCGTACATATGTCTGCAGAAAGCGCGAGTAAATATTGTTTTGTAGATACACTCAGAGTGCAGGAAAGTGTATATCCAAATTGCAATGACCTTCTCCTTCCTCGAGTCATAAACACCCCTTAAAAAATTGTGATTTATCTTTCCATTTTTGTAAAAGTAGCATATGTGTGTACTCGTCGCAAAAAGTGGTTGGAAGAAACGATCTGTCGTTGCGAAGAATAAGAATCGCGCGCGACGCCCGACGTAGTGCAAAAATAAACAAAATTCTTCAAGCTGTCTTTTTGGGCCATGCACGGTGCAAAATATTTTTTCGAAATATGTTGCACTTATTATCGCACAAAATGCACAGGCAGAGTCTCAGAAAATTCCAAAAATCTTTTGACGCAACCTATTGTAGACTTTAACTTTACTACCGTATTTGTCATCCCATCTTAATCTTTTGTTTTCATTTTCTCGAAATTGGAAAGTTTTAAAGTCGAAGCTTGCACAAAAAAGTAGACATCTCAGACTTAAAGTAACGTGTGTGGCGATGTCAGGTTGATTGGCCTTTAATTTATTTTCCCCATTCCGCACGCTACTTGTTTGCATCACTTTTTGTTGACAATTTTACAACAGTTCTTACATTTTCAATGCAATTGTTTTAATGTCATCTCTACATCCGACTTCCCCATTTCACAAATCGGAGCCTTTCTTGTAGACATTGTTCTTCCTCTTCCTTTACATCAGCCCTGGCCTTGATTGCAGTTTCTCTTCTCTCTTCTAAAACAATTTTATTGGTCAAGCGTGAGGAGCTCATAATTCCCTGTGGCTTTTATGGGGATAATGGCGCGAATGGATTTTGTATGAACTTCCGGACCTCACATTATCCCTTCCTCTAGGCTATTTTTGCTCTTCAAAATTACTTTTACTTAAATTTCTCCGGCAAAAAACCAAATCCACCAGCTTTTTTAGGGTTTTATTACAACACGTCTAATAAAGCTTATTGGGGTAAAGCAGAATGTTAATATGATCACCATAAATTCGTGATCATGAGCTTGTGTTTGCAACCAATTACGTGATCTTTAAGTGTTTCCAGGATCTGCAAAGAACGAACAAAATAATTAATTTAGTTTAACCTCTGTGCGAGAATTGTCTCCAGATTTTCTTCTTGCTTCGGGATTTCCCTTTGTAAATCACTTACTTTTTTATAAAGCAATTATCCAACTTTACGGCCCTCTAGATTTTAATGGGTTAATTCTGATGACAAATGGCAACAAACCGAATGAATTTCTAAAACCGAGTTCCTTCCAAATTCTCTGTCTGAATTCATTCATTTTATGGCCATTCCTGGACTCTACTTACTTTAATGAATTTATTCTAACTTCCTATAATGCCGTGATCTATTTTTAACCTAGCCAATTCGGCCGAGGCTATTGTTCATTGCTTGAGTGTGATTTCTGAGTAATCCAATCCATTAGAAGTACTGTTACTTTCTCTGTTTACTCTTCACAATTCTGTCTCTCAAACTTATCTTCAAAACATTTGATGACGTCCTCGGAACGGGTGGTCTGAATGGTTGGAACAATCGAATTTAGTCTTCCATTCGGCCGTTCTCTTACGAATTAATTTGGGAGATCTGGACGTTTTGGATTACGGAACATAGTCGAAACGTACAAATCACGGTGGTTTCATACTTCTGTTACTAGAAACACAAGTGAATCTATTGTTTAAAAGAGCATTAGCCCGTTTTTTATTTTTGTTATTTTTAGTAATCAAAGTAATATTTTTTTTAAAAGTTCACCGTTTTACGTATTTACACCTTTCCGAATTTCTATTTCGGTCCCCTTGACATCTTACTGTCACGATGTTCCTAAAAAACCTCAGGGTATAAACTTCATTTCCTCGAATGACATCATTCCTTTTGTGGATCACATATTTCCCAAGATTTTCCTTCCTTCATTGTAGTATCACCGTCTGAAAGTGAGCGCCAGCGCCCAATTAAAAGTGCTTTATTTAAATTGTTGCGTTCTTCCCAGAAGTTTCCCCCTTTTCTTTACATTTTTCGGGCCCTCCGGGTATATTTTCTTGACGTAAATTGCTTTTAAACTATCTTGCTCAGACTTCCTTCGAATTCAATTAATTTTCGTATTTTTTCAACTCTGCATTTGTTGCTATATAACACATAATGTGTACTTGGTTGCACTTATTGTTAGGTGATCCAAAACGTAGTTTTGAGTTTACCCATTGGGAATTGCAAAGTACTCAAAAATTCAGTTTCTGTGTCATTATGTCAACTATGTACACATATATTACACTTGAAATTCACATGTTAATCGTGAACGTGTTAAATGCTTACAATTTATTTTTTAGTTACCGTAATATTACAGAAATTAGACAAATCAAGTGATGACCAACACATTGGCCGAGTTACTAGTCACATATTCTAATCAAAGCACAGAGATTGCAGACTATGTTTGTACAAATATTGGTGGTCTAAAGGATCTATATTGCGGGGAATTCCCAATAAAACATTCCCGGTAAGTTGCATTAGATTGCATTTACTCTCCCAGAGATTTCACAGCCTTGTTTTAGATCCGTAGAATGGTTTGTTTGGATTTCATTCAGCTCTTTGATATCCGTCGCTCTGATTGGGAATGCCAGTGTAATGTGGATCATTATCAACAACAAAGCGATGCATTACTCGTTTAATTATTTTTTGTTCAACATGGCCGTTGCAGATTTTTTGATGGCTCTTTTGAACACAGGGACCACCTGGACCTTCAACTTTTATTATGATTGGTGGTACGGGAGCTTCTGTCATTTTAACAACTTTTTTGGAGTCGCCCCGACTTGTATCTCCGTTTTCACAATGATGATTGTCAGTCATGATCGGTAAGTTTTCTTCTGAAATCACTACATTTCATCTTTTTACAGGGGAAGTATTGCATGTGCGACGATCACATTTTGATGAAACTTGGCACAAGTTTAGAATATTTTTTTAATTTGCGAGAATACTAGCTCGCGCTTTGCAGAAACACTGACATTTTTATCGAACATTTGAGGCTTTTCGCCGAATTTCGTTGTTAGTCTATGCCCGACATGTGTGCAAAAGTTAAAGAAAACCTGAGCGTCGCACTTGCGGTACTTCTCTCGTTAATAACACATTCGTTTTTACAAGGAAAGTACTTTTATGGGGGCTCCTACTTTTTGACGGGACATATCTCAAAAAATCAGAAAAAATGTGCTGACCAAGGATATATAAATCTTAGCTGCCCATTTTAGGTTTTTAGGGGTGAAAACTCAATCGGAAGGTGGCTTAAAGTCCTATATATGAACCCATTTTCGCTTAATTTTTCACAGGTTTACAATTTTTATTTTGGCTTAAAATGATGTTTATTGAGTTTCTAAGACGTAATAAATCAGTCTTGGCCCAAAAATTTATTTTTCCGACCTTCAACTTCAAAAAAAGTTGATTCAGCCCAAAAGGGAAATCGAACCCGTGCGGCGTCCTCCCTCTTGATTCCCAGACTACGGCACTAGCCACTCGGCCACACCGCTCTCTTCCGAAGGAGGAGACCGACTGCGCTTTTTATCGTTTCGAATGTCTGCCCCTTTTGTAGGGAAATAAGCCTGTTTTTGGGCATTTTCACCCCTAAAAACCTAAAATGGGCAGCTAAGATTTATATATCCTTGATCAGCACATTTTTTCTGATTTTTTGAGATATGTCCCGTCAAAAAGTAGGAGCCCCATAAAAGTACTTTCCTTGTTAGATGTACTGCAATTGTTGATCCACTGGGAAAATTCGCGATGAGTAGGAGACGAACTCTAAGTTTAATCGTCGCAATTTGGCTGGCTGCTGCTTTGGTCAGTCTACCGAATGTGTTGGCGTCAAGGGTTGAGACCAGATATTACTACTCAAAGATGAGCAAAAGTTTAACCACCACTTATCTCTGTAAAAATGAATACGATTACAAGTTCGTATACGATGACGCTTTGTTCGTGGTGCAATATGCAATACCTTTGCTGGTTCTCACGTACACTTTTGCAAGGATTCTGTTTGCTTTGAGGAGAAACAACTTCCCATCTTCATCCAGAATCTCTCAGCCACGGAATTTAGAGCGAGACAAACGAAAGGTACGGGCAGCATTATTCATGGATGAGACTACTTACATTCATGTTTCAGATTGTAAAAATGTTGGCTTTGGTGGTGATCATCTTCATGGTCTGTTGGTTGCCGTATCAATTATATCACATGTTTCCCGAGTTCTTCATGGGCAAAGATGACACAAACTTCGGGACTTACCGTTATCTCTTCTTCTATTGGCTCGCGATGAGTGCTTGTATGTATAACCCAATTATTTATTGCGTTTTCAGTGCCCGGTAAGACCTTTGTTTAGACACTTTTAATGTCTTCAAATGTAATCAATCCTCTTTCAGATTTCGTGTCGGATTTGTCTACCTCTTCAGATGGCTGCCTTTCATTGACTTCGACGCTTCTTCTGATCAATATCCACCATCTGAATTTTCAAGAACCAAGGCCCAATCGATTCGGGTTCACAACAAAACGTCCAACTGTTCAGCCGCATCTCCCTTGACCAAGAGCTCAACTCCTCCGCCAACTTTCTTCACTGATCCCTGATATTTATTTCGTAATATTTACTTGCGGAAGGTAGTTTTCATCTCAGAAACACAATTTCTGAGTCAAGCCCTACCACTGGATGTTTTTAATATTTAATAGATACCCTTACATCTTTGTAAAAAAGTGTAAAAAAGAATGAATTGTAAGGCAAAAATTTTCCAAGAAGTTTAGCTCTGAAAAAAAGTGTTAATTGTGATGTAGCACTGTTAGAAATGCTTTTATATTGGCAAATTTGTTGTAAGCGTAAAAACGTGTAATTTTATACAAGTGTAATGTCGAAGAAATTGTTTTAAAGACTGAACTCCTAAAAACCTTAGGTCAGAATATTAGACTTTTTTAAAACAATTTGCACTTACACTTATGACAAATATGCCAGTGTAACATCATTTCTGACAGTGTTACATCAAAATTAACACTTTTTTCAGGGTTACACCTTTTTGAATAATTTACACTTACAATTCATACTTTCCTTTTACAAACATCAAAATCTCTCCTTTATGGCACCTACCCATTGCGGACGGGCACGCCGTGAATCCTAGCCTAACTACGGCTTACTTCAGCGACTCAAAAATTTTTAAGAATTGTGCGATCGATAATCTAACCGTGTCCCCACGGTCGTTTTCTCATCGAATTTCACCTTGCTGTATCCAAGTCTGTTTTCTCAGCATTTCAGCTTATCTCAAATACCGGTATTCTCACCTAAATATTAATATCTCAGGAATTTGACTAATATTGAAAATAAATCAAGAAATTAGTAAAACTTTTAAGATTACATTTTTATTACTGAAAGGGGCACAAGTAATTATAAATGTACAATAAATTGTGCTATCTTGAGCTCGTAACATTTCTTAAAGTCTGTATATTTTTGACAAAGAGAACATAGTTAATGACTAAAAGAAGGCGGAGACAATCTTGTAATGATAAAACCATATTTTATCCAAAAATAACTTGTAAGGCGTGTTCGGGGCTAAATGAGGTCTTCGATTGGTCGAATCACGATGTTTTGAGTCAAGCATGGGGGAGATGTGACCAAAGGGTGCGCAAAATATGAAAAACAGTCTCAAAATAATTTTAGGTTATACTGTATTACCACCCATCTCGGCCCAAAACATTCTGAAAGGCACTACAACGACAAGCTTGAATTTTTAACCCCAAAAAGAATCGGAGAGTGTGACAGCCAGAAAAAATTGCTCTACTTTATAGTGCTAAGGTGAGAGGTCCTTCAAGAAGCGGCGGACACAAAGTTAGAAGAGAATTATGTTATTTCCAAGTTTAAAGCCGTTCTGGAGATTGAAAAGATTGAAACAACGATGTAAAACCATATAAATAATTAAATTCAGCTATGCGAGTCGAGGAAACATATTCCCCGACCCCATTCAGAGTTCCTGATAGACGAGGCCATTGCTGTTATTAGTGTTGCTCTTCATGGGAGCAACTCGACGTGGAGGATCGGTCCCTCCTAATGAATAATAACGCTGAAGGTAGAACTCTGGCGAGAGACATTCAGGTTCTCCAGTCTGTTTCGAAGGGAATTGCAATTGGACCAGGGAACGATAGTAGAGTTCACGATACAATTCGACGGATTCCGGTTCGTAGACAGGTTCCGGAGGATCTGAATAAGAGATGGCGAAGGGATTCCGAACGAGGTTTTGGGAGGGATCCCGTGGGTTCGGGATGATGTGACCTTGCGGCTGGGCAGGATAATAAGCATTCGTGGGGTAGTTTGCGGGAATTCCATTTCCATTCTGATACCCGTAATTGTGTTGAACTGAAAATTACAATGTGAAATCAGGTCACAAGAGCTCAAACTGTGTCAATTCAAAAACGTCTCATGAACCACAAAAACCTACCATATCGAACCTGAGATTGCTGAGTGTATTGTTGAGGAGGGTATTGGTAGACCCCATTCTGAACTGGCTGTCGATATTCATAAGGCTGGGAGTAAGGAGGTTGTTGGTAGTGAGTATTTGGCGTCCTCACAATCGTTGCTGGTTGTGGATAAGGCCCTGGCCGTGTGTTCTCAACAACATTCTGATGCACTAAAAGTAAAAAATAAAGAAATTACACTTTCTAATATCAGAATCATGGAATAAGTCCTTACAAGGTCGAGTACCGTTGGTGATTGGTGAAGCACTGGGGGTGGGATAAGGTGACTGCTCGCTCTTCTCCTCCTTGTGCTCCTCTTCTTTTTTATCTATCTTTTTGTGTTTCTTTTTACTGGGAACGTAAGCCAACTTTGGGTTCAATTCCAGTGCTTTCTTGTGTTTAGCGGCTGCCTTCCGGGCCATCAAGAAGAACGGTTTTTTGTCGTCATCAGGGAGCTTCTTCCACATCTCACCCATCTACAAACACCAATTTAAAAAACTAAAATTCCTATCGATATCTAAATATTCAGCAAAGAACAATAAACGTAAAACTTACGGTTTTTGAGACCTCATTCATCTTGAGATGAGGATTCTTTTTTAGAATATCATCTCGGGCATGCCTTGTCCAGATCATGTACGCATTGAGCGGCCTCTTGATGAACTGCCTCGACGCATCTGGAATAAATTGATTTTCAACAAAAGAATCTAAATTTTGACTGAAAATTTTGAAAAATCGTCCCGACTTTTCGTATAGTATAGCAGTAACTTTTAGGTTTAGGGTTTTAAGTAACATTTTGCATTTTTTAGGTAACATTTTAGCGTTATTGGTAACATCTCCTTCTATTATGTTTTATACAGTCTAAAATTAACATGAACATTCCAAAATTTGGGACAAAAAACGAAGATCCGCATCTTTATCTTGATATTATTGATTCCAGCACATGCAAAATACCTCAAAATAGGTGATAAGCTGTCCTAGGACCCGATCAATCTTATTATTTCTACTAACTAAGCCTTCTCCTAGCCTCCCCATGCATACAACGACGAACCGACACGACCCATAGTATCATTGACCCGAAAAGACTTTGAAAATAGGTTATGAAAAATTCAAAGTCATAAACAACTAAACTTATGTAATATGTCTGGTCTATACCTTAACTGAGACATAACTTACCATTCCCTGCCAATATCGAATGCTGCGGATGGACTTCTATTTCTTCATCAAGCTCAATTCCACCTTCCTCTTCTTTCAATCCCGAGAAATCAGTAGGTTCGTGCCTAAAAAGAAGCAGAATGAAAAAAAACGAATCTAACAATATCGAAATAAAGAAATTACCTCCTGCGACATCTCGCATTCTCCTTATTATTGTTTCGACTTTTGGTCATTTTGCGGGGAAAAATTGGGGGGAAAGAAAAAAATAAATTAAAAAAAATCTAAATTGACCGAAGCCCGGTAGTTTGACGTCATTTCATAATTTTTTCAAACAAAACACTTTTATTTAACTATTGAACTAAACGCTAAGCGCAAGAATAGCGTCTAAATTCACAATTTTGATGCAAAACACAAAAAAATCGTTTTTTTCCAAAAAAAAAAAGATATTTTGTTTTGGAACCGGGCCTAAATCCAAATCTCAAGCCCGGCCCGGTTGCCCTGGAACGAACTAAGGGCTCAGACTAAGCCTAATCAAAACGAAAACTAAACTGGAGTTTATTAAAGGCTTAGAGTATCGCCCGATCTTATTGAATACCCATCAGTAGGAATGATGAAGTAAAAAATGTTTATCGTTGTTTGGAATGCCTTTAAATCCACCCTCTCTTCTCCTGTTTCTAATTAATCCCATAATTAGTTTGGGATTAATCTAAAGTCTTACGTCGAGGATCCGGTCTCAGTCATCGGAGAGCCGGGCATGGTCCCATCTGCCGCGGAGATGTGCGACTCGTTCATGGAAGACCGGCTGATCTCATCGGAAACTGAGTCGGTCGAGACCCCAACGGCGGGCGCCTCGACCTTGGGGGTTTTCGGTTTGCGCGGCGTCTTGAAGGAGTTCGGGAGCGGGTTTGCTCAAGGGACGGGGTCACGGTGAACAAGTACAAGTCCGTCACCGTTGCTGCTCGGCCCGGTTAGCTTCTCTGTGGCCTCTGAAATCCAAAACATTTCCGGTGGACGCAAAATTTATCGGCACAACATGAATAATATCGGGGCATCTGGTTTCAGACCCATATGTCTCGATAGGAGGTTTGAAAAGCAACTTGGGAACCGAACACGAGCTAATTAGACATGAAACAAATCGACACAGAAATTGGCAGAGCCAACGCGGTCAGAAAGACGGATTCTCCCTGTGACGCAGAAAAGGTTACTGGAAAAGAATTCAAAATTTAGGTATTATAATATTACTTATGAAACTCTGAAAAAAAACATGGATTAGCCAGAACGAAAACAGATAATAACGATTACCAAATAAAACTAGATAAAGTATTACGGGTTGTTTTTTTAAAGCAGGAGATTCAGATAAAGGAATCTCTAAACAATATAATTAGCGCAGAACCCTGGCACGATGGATCCCCGGTACCGTGCAATTGCTTATTTCTGCGAGAAAAAGGGGGGGGGGCGCATTACCACGGTTTTTAAGCAATGTAGATGAGAGACGACCGTGTATACAGTAGAGTGTAGTAGAACCGGAAAATCACGCAATGAGAGGAATCGGAGGACGCGATTAGAGTGTGCGCCGGGGCTGCAGATCACAGACCCACCAGCGACAAGGCTGTTTACATTTAATCCGGCGGGCGGCCGACCAGAACGACTGACCCTGACGAGCTTGACGAACGGCCCGGCTTGCTGATTCGAAAAAAGGGGAAAAAACATGATGAAACAATGTGTGAAACATATCCAGTACACACTGTTAACATATACATGTATGTAGTTATTTTTCACGAATCAGAATCGTAGACCATTTACCGCCACACTAGAGATAAACAAGAAAACAACAGGAAACCTCGGAAACCCCGACCCGATCCCGACCAAACCCTCCAGATGCCAAGTTTTGCGGCGGTCTTAAGGCACGGGAGATAGGACTTCGACGCAGCTAGGGGTGGGCGAGGAGAAGCCGAGGCCCCGAAGCTGTCGTAAATTGGAAATGTCAGGTCGGGTGAATTTACTGCAGTGCTCGAGGCAAGGGTGAGGGTTTATTATAAAATAACCAACCTGATTTAATAACTTTGTTACTGTGCGCATAGTTGTATACAGGATTAGTTTTTAGTGATTGCAATTCTTTTTTACTCGAACTTCAAACACCTTACAGCCAAAAACATATGCCTCATGAACGAAATCTTTTTGTTTTGAATTCGGACAATTAAAAAACAAGCGCAGAGGTCACTCGTTCATTAGTTCGCAATTGCAGGCCACAAAGGGCGACAAAAAAGGGAAGAGAGGGGAACGGTCAACTTAAACCTCGCTTTCCCCCTTCCTCTTTTCCCGTCACCCCGTGGCGGTTCGTGGTGGCCAATGGGTCTGTTCGGAGCAGGGCCCAGTCTCGTGACGGGGGAAAGGAGAGCGGAGAGAGTCGGTCACGGCCTCGCCGTCCCTAGCCCTCAGCGCGTTTTGCCGAGTCGGCGCCGCAGGGCTTGCACTCAGTGCGAATGCATTAAGGGCCACGCACAACTTTTGCTCCTCGAGAGAAAAGTCCCGTGGAAGCGCTAATTGTTTCAGACAACCACTGCCAACTTGTTAAGGGACCCTGAGCAATTCAAATTGCGGGCGCTCGTAAACTGGCTTCCACCCAGCGCTGTCATTGTCGTCGTATTTCCCCTCCGGCGACAGTGCGGAAGCAATAATTTGTGTGGGAAGGGTGGAGGGACGACAATCGGTCGCTCAAGTGGATTCGAATTATTATCGATCTCAGGGCGCTTCGAGCACAGGTTAGAGTACCCGCGTAATGAGTGTAATTAAAGCCGAATTACCGTATTCGCCCCAGGACTTGAAGCAAATCGGCCTCATGGGAACATGACGCGAGGGCAATTAAGCCACAAATTCAGCCAGAAATTAGTTCAGAAGGCTTAAAATTAAACAAATCTAGCCCAAAAAGATAGGAGCTAACTAAAACTTTAGCAAAAAATAACTTGATACCGCTAGACAACCAACCCTTGTAATTCATTTTGATTATTGAAAACTGTAACAGACCTATAAGAATATTCAGAATTTACTGTAAAACTCAGACCAGAATGGGTCAAAACGACCACGGAAGGGCAAGAAATGTTAATGGCCGCTCTGTGCCACCTGTAAACCCTTGTATTCAAATCGATCTGAACCGATAGGAAAGAACAATGCAAAGAATTCTCTCTCCGACGATTCGTCCGAAAATTCAGTGCGCGAACGAATAGTTCGGCAAGGGGGGCGGCGGGTGGGGTAGAGGGCAATCAGACTGGTGCTCAGAGACTACTCGCTCGGCAGGGAGAAGGCGACGGGGAGCAACCAAGAGAGAAAAAAAGGGGAACGGATGGCTAGGAGAGGGGGGTGGGGGTCGCTGTCGCTCGAAATCGGCGCGTTTCGGTTGGGGGAAGGCAAGGCAGAAAAAGAGAGGGCAGGGGAAAGGGAAGAAACGGAGCGTCCGATGCGCTGCGAACAATAATGCAACCATCGGTACATAGAGCTAACAGTCAGGGCAAACGAGTTTAGGGGAGGGGATGGGGGCACCCCAGAGGGAGGGCCCGATACCTGTAAAACACTCAGCCCTTGCAGAGAAGTATGGCAATCAGATCCCGACCTGATTATAACGCGTGTTGTAATAATGACGAGTTTACTTCAACGGAAACTCTAATTCTAAACATCTCTCCTGCTGGGCACCAAAAATATGGAATGCGGGTCTGCCATCACCCATTAACCTCAACATCAGTCGACTAGAAGGCTTTATTTCTAATACGCGTTATCTACAATTGTTCACAAAAATTGATGCAAGACTTTGAAACCGCAAATATGGGATTTCATTTTAAAATAAACCATTTTACGACAACATTATAAAGTTCTTGACATTTACCGACATGTGAGCAAAACCGAAGGCAGCTTCAATCCTCTGGATTTCGGTCTTCACATATCTACCTCTTACAACTTGCCATGAACCAAAAAATTTAGACAATATTACATGCAATAGAAAAAATAATGATATAGAGATTTGCCACGGAATACAATTGGGTACCCTTAAGAAGGAAAAATATGACAGAGAGCGGGAAAAATTAAAAACACCGCTCTGAACCTGTTGAAACATCGTAGGAATATCTGATAAATTTTATACTAGAGAGTGAGCCATCACAACTTTGTCTTTGATTTGGATTGAATTTATTTGTTCTAGTCCAAATTTGGAGTATAATTGAACCAGATGTTCATCAGCCGACGGAATAATAATAAAAAATCCGGACGAACCTGAAATCAATTAATTAGACTAATTATTGCCCCCAATAACTCAATATTCACAACATAACATTGGCCCTGAATCACGTTCAAAGGGCATACCATTCATGGCCAGGGCTGCGGCTGCAGTGTGAATCAATCTTCGCACCCAAGCCGACTCCGGGATGAATTCCCTCCATCTGACCTCCATATAACTCGGGAATAGAGTTAGGAACTCTTCCGTTAAATGGAACAGAGGCCATTCATCAATGTCCCTGACAAACTTGAGGGCAGCCTAAAACAAAGACAATACGTTTTTCACAAATATTTTGAATCATGACTTTACTTACTTCTTTATCGTCCCCGTCTTCTAGCATGTCCATGTATTTCTCTCTGTATTCATTTACAAACTCGTCCTTTATTTTTTGAAGCGTTGAGGGAACGGATATAATGGAGGTCAACAATGCAAACATACTCCGCTTCCCGTTATATTCGATATCCTCAATAGTGAAATGGTGAGGAGGACGACCGTATTTGAAGTGAAAAGCGAAGGTTTTGTCAAAAAATATATCTGTTGAAGCCTTCGGTGAGATCTGGCTCAAAAATTCTCGCTCGGCCTCCAAGGAAAAGTATTCAAACACTTTTTGCTGCAAATTAACTACCGTGAATAAAACATCTCGTAAGATAGTATCAATTAAAATTGTACTTACAAAGTCTAGCTCTGTATAAGTGACAGGCTTAATCGTATAAGACGAAATAGGCAATGGAATTGGGACTTTAAATACCAGCAGGTCAGCCAACGCAGGACTCGAGATGATTAACTTCTGGAGATCAACCAAGATCCCATTTCCAAACGACCAGGGCTCCACATCAGCTCGTCGATATAACCACCAACTCTCCATATTAGTTGGTTCCACCATCAATCCACCATCTTTCATCCATTGGAGAAGTGCTGAGAGTACTGTTGTGATGGCATGGGCTTCAGCCAAATATGGAAAGATCTCCTGAACTAGACTTCTATTTGGAGCTTCCAAGAATACTCGGAACAAAAGTTCTAACTGTTTCTGGAAGTTGATAAAACTCTTGAAACGACGGCTGAATTCTAACTCAGTGGCCTTGTCCTGAGAAATTCCATCAATCTGAAAAGCGTGCTTGTGGATCCATTGAAAGTTTTCAAGAAGTTGGACTCCCTTTTCCCCATAATCAAATGGAAGATAGAAAAGGTCAACAAGAAGGGCCAATTGGGAAGAATCGATCCTAAAAATAAGCCTCAGCTTTCATATACACAACTTTCGAAACTAACGCGGCCGGGATCATGGAGTCGTTTGAATCCTGCTCCATTGGTAGTTCTGAATCCGTGGCGCTCACAAGATTCTCGACAGATTGATTTACTCTGCACGCTTCAACTGGAGTTTCACTGTATTCAGAACACAACGAGTTTACTGTCAAAGGTACATCATGCTATAAGAAAGTAAACATTTGTTTATAGTAACTTACAGTCTCGGCAACCCCCACAACAGTCTCATTTATCGGGAATGCTTGAACTGTGACTGTGGTCGCATTCCCAACCGGTGACGTGTAAACGGGAGCCGGGGATTCCAAAGTGTCCGGGATCATGTCGTTTCCTTCGCAGGTTCGAATCGTCGGCGGAGGGACGATGATTGAGGGCGCAGGAGCGCTCGGATCGATGATTGGAGCCATTGTACTTTCTACCTGACTAATTGGAGGAATCGCCGGTCCAGGCCCTCGGGTATACAGGTCTCTCCACCGATCAAGAGCATCAGCCAAGGCTCGTTGAGGCCTGTAGACATTAAGTCCGTTTAGTTCATCCATCCCCTCCTCATCTCTTTCACTTTGGTTCCACATGGCCAATGTGTAGAACGGAATAAAATTAGCTTCGTATTTACAATTGGGGTTAAGTAGCATTCCAGAAATCTCATTTTTTAATGCAACTGAGCGGCCCTTAAATGGACCTAAAAAAACCCGCTTCGGATCATAATCATTGGCGTGAAGATTGTCCCAAATCAACGGTTTCCGTTTCATCACCTTGGCCACATCTTGTGCATGCTCCACCGTCAATTCAGGGGATACGACCTAAATGATAGAATAAAAACGTTTTGGCATGACATACCTGAGGCCCGGTCCACATAATATGAATCGACGGGAGCAATTTATCCCCAAGTGTATTCAAATAGCTAGAATTTGGGAGGTTGGGAATACATCTTGATGAACAATATTCAGTAGGACAAAAGAAAAAAGTTGGACACCCCATATAATTGTAGACTGCATTAGTAACAGTGAGCTGAGCCATCACAAACGAGTCGAAAACTTCGGCATCCTTCTTGTTCATGCAGTTCTCTATGTCGTCGAATAATAAAGCAAAGGCAGAACATCCCATTTCTCTGACTTGGCATAACTTCTCCTGAATCGCTTCGATTTCTTTGCCATCAGAATAGATGATATCGATTCCCGGGGACAAAGAATACACAAATGTGACATTGTTTTTATTAGCTGACTGTATTAATTCAGTGAGGAGACCTAAATGAAAATTATTTTCTTGATACCTAAAAAATGCAAAAAATTTAAAGACAAACAAACCCTTTTCCTCCTCATTGTACAACGACCTCCATTCGAATCGATGTTTAAGATCATCTTTAGGAGCATAAAGATATGTGTTCAGTCCGAGGGTTTTAAACCTTTCAAACAAGTCTTTCCTCTGCTCTGTTGTCCATGGTCGACCATAAAAACCTAACAGTTGAAAGTTTAATAAACTTCATGTCACTCATGCACACATTGGTAAAACTTGCACTAGAAATTCTGCAAGATCATCGCTTACCTTCTACAGCACCACAAATAAACGCAGAAGCTTCAAGTCTAAAAATAAAAAATACGATAATTAGACCAACTTGTTGTGTCCATCTTTATTGTTCAATTCCATCTGGATTAGTCCCCGGCTTCCATCCGATATATCTCTGTTCAGTTCTCAGTATTCCTTCGAGTTGGTTGCCAGATCGCTCTTCCGAAACAAACGACCATGTATTAAAAAACGGTTACAAGACCCAAATATACGGAAAAACACTTCTTTCATTGCAACGGAATGCCACAAATTATTTTTTGTTAAAAAAGGCGGGAACTTCAGGCGTTTAAAGTACGCACTTCTGGAAGCCTAGCAATACACTTGGCCAAATACAGATTATTTCCCGTCGGGACCCGTGAAATATGAATTTTTTCCCACGACCCCCCCTCGAATTTTTTTTTTGCTGGCGAGAATCGCGAGAATGTTTTACGGGGACTAGCTGGTTGCATTTTTTTATTATACTTGATGAAGCTTTGACTAATTTTCTCCGTCCCGCTGGTGAGATGCGCGTTTTTGTTGAACCCCATCCAGTGCAAGATCCCCAACTTGTTCCTAAACAGACTAAAGGATGGCAGATACATCAAAGTGAGTTCCGTTTCTCTTTGTTTTGTTAGTTTTAGGTAAAAAAAGCTTAGCTGGAAACAATAGGATGCGTTTTGTATTATACTTGATGAAGTTGCGACCAATTTTTTAGGGTATCTTCACTGTTCTCGACCCAAAGCTCCGTGACGTTTTGGAACGCATAGAGATCTGTCCTCACCGTGGTCTCCGTCACTATTGGGGTCTTCATGTTCACGGTCAGCACACCAAGAACGTCGGCTGTAAGGGACGTACTGTCTGTCGTTGTATCCAAGAAGAAGGGAGGATAGGCCGACCTGGCGCCGTTTTCATTGGTTTCCCATCTTTAAGTTATCCTTTATGTTGTTCATGTTAATGAGAAGGAGAAAAATAAACTTATTATTATATTATTCCTGTTTAATCTTTTAGGAAGTAATAATCTATTCTTTTTTTGAAGGTTTTTGTTTAGAATAGGTAATAAAAGGTAATGAATATATGTCAAACATGTGCAGGTTATTAAAGATGAATGTTAGTTATAGCGATCATAACGTCTCTCTTAGTGTCAATGTTGCTACTCCTTCCAGAAAGTAGCCGGACCAATTTCTGGCGCTTGAACTGTGCGAAAAAGGTGTCCGAGCGACAGCCCGAAAAAGCCTTGCACGGTGCAAAAGGAAAGAAATTGCACAGGTGCAAAGGAAAGTTTTGTCTTCGCACAGTGCGTGTCACCGATTTCAGTCTGGCGACCTTCCGGAAGGACTTGTAATAATGAACTGTTATTAATCCTGAAATCATGCCGGCACCTCGAAAATGTTTTACACGCAGTAAGGAAAAGCCGTGAAAAAATATTGCCGAAAAACTATTCTCGCCAGCAAAAAAAAATTCGAGGGGGGTCGTGGGAAAAAATTCATATTTCACGGGTCCCGACGGGAAATAATCTGTATTTGGCCAAGTGTATTGCTAGGCTTCCAGAAGTGCGTACTTTAATTTTAGGCCAGTGGGTCCTTCCAAGGCCCTGGGGTGGTCAGCGACACGTTTTTTTTCGGATTTCGGTCCGCGGCCCGGCCGTCGAAAAACAAGCCCGACCATCTAGGCAATCAGTTCACTTCCGGAGAGGTTTAAAATGAACTTTTCCCATCCTACCGCCTTTTTTAAAAGCACTTAAAAGTGCCAAAATGTGCTATGAATGGCACTACGACTTTTCGGGTCAGCGACAGTTCGGGTAAACGATATTATGAATCGCGTCGGTATCGCCGTTGTATGCATGGGGGAGGCTAGGAGAAGGTTTCGTTAGTATAAAAAATAAGATTGATCGCGTTCTAGGATAGCTTATCACCTATTTTGAGTTTCTCTGAGATACTTCATGTCACGAACTTCTCGGCTATGTCTGATAAATTTTTTGACCCAATCAACGCTTTTTTGGTCCTAGAACTTTGGAAGGACATCGGAGAATTATGTATAAATTTGGTTATCTGTAACACTTAACAACTTTGTAGTTGATCCAAAGTCATTTCTGTAGTTTCGTAACCATCCTGCGTCAATAAATCGTAATGGACGTTTTTTTCCCCAGGACGCTTTTCCCCAAGATTATGTTTTTGAAAGTTAATGAGAGTACAAGTAAAAGGTTTTAAAATTCAACGTGCCGAACGACCTCAGAATCGACATTTTTTCAACCATTTTTTCAAAAATTTTACAAGATTGCTTTATAAAAAGTGGTCACTAGTTGAAAAAATAAAATTATTAATGCTCCGGGGCCCGGCAACCCTAGTATTTGCCTTGACCCCGTAAGGGCGGCCCCGTAAGGGCCTGTTTCCGGCCGGTAGTATCGACACCGACCTGTCGATATCGATATTTCGATACATATGAAAATCGCAATAAAGGGTCCCCAAAATTATATTTTCGCTTTGTCGAGACTTATCAATTTATCTTTTGTAAAAAACGAAGACAAAACTGTTGTTATAATTATGAGATTTGCTAAATCGTAAGCTCCATCGCCAAAAATCTTTTGTGAAAAAATATTTCAAGAATGCCAATCATCTTCCAACAAAGATTTTTCCTGTTCAAAGATTTCAAACGCGTCCGACATTTCGGGTCAGGGACAGGTCGGGTCAACGATACCGTTTAATATTTTCGCTTCGGGACTAGACATGGCTAGTGGGCCGGGCCGAACGAGTTTTAAAGGCCCCGGGGCCGGGCCGACCTCTTCCGGCCCCCGGGCCGGGCCGGCCGGGGCCCCCCGCCAGGCCCCCAATCGGCCCCCAATGACTAAAATTCCCAGTCTCAAAGCGAAAATTAGGGTTGCCAATAAAAATAAAACGCAGAGCCAAGAACCGATTGGGTCTTTTGAAGTATATACATCGCAATGGTTGGTAATTTTTTGTTTCAAAAACTTTTTTTTTCGATTTTTATAACAAAAAAATGGGGGCTAAGATAGTACAACCCCCAGTCCAGTTCAGCCCCCCTTGGCCCAGTATAAGCCCCCTCATCCAATCTGAAGCGCTTGCTCGGGATGGGGTTCTCTCGGCTACGATCATCGTTGCCTGAACCACAAGAACGAATTTGGACGGTGACTGGGGGTCTCAGCTAAAACGCCGGGTGTCATTTTACTCTAATTTCCATTTTTTGTATTATTCTAATTTTTTACTTATGGGGTGTGTGAAATGGACAAAACAGTGGGGGTTTGAACTACCAAAGCCCCAAAAAAATGTGTTATATCTCGTAATGAATGCAGTATTTATATTTACAGTTCGGCCCCCGGTCGGCTCCCGGCCCGGCCCGGCCCCCAGGGGCCGGGCCGGGCCGGGCCGAGAAAATTTGAAGGGGGCCGGGGCCGGGCCGACCTCTTCCGGCCCCCGGGCCGGGCCGCGATTTTCGGCCCGGCCCGGCCCCCCAGCCATGTCTATTCGGGACGGGGAAAAAGGATTTTTTGAAGAACTTGAACAAATTTTTGAAATGTTTTCGCCTCGGGACTTAGGAAAAAGAATTTTTTGGAGAATTTGAACAAATTTTTGAAATGTTTTCGCTTTTATTTGCATACAATAATTACGACTATCTTCTTACTCCACTCTTTGGCACTGTCTGTGTTTTTAAAAATCCCGTGCTTCCAGTTCAAAACATAAACAATGGATACGATTTTCTTATTTGCACGTCGCTTATAAACGTTATTTTCCTAAAAAAATTGAAAAATAAACCTCAATTCTCCAAAAAGTCCTTTTTCCCCAGTCCCGGAACGAAAACATTTTAAAATTTTGTTCATATTTTCCAAAAAATTGTTTTTCCCAAGTCCCGAAGCGAAAAAAATACAAAATTTGTTCCAATTCTTCAAAAAACCCTTTTTCCCGAGTCACGAAGCGAAAATATTAAACGGTATCGTTGACCCGAAGTGTCGTTGACCCGACCTGTCGCGACCCGAAACGCCGTAGCACCGTTTCAAATGCCTCTATTTATACGTACTACTTCATATGTAACGGTAGATATCGATATTTTTTACCAGAATATCGGCGATACGGTAGGCATCGACTCCCATCCTTGGTCTGGACGATATGCGGCGAGGGTTCGAGGATTCTCTGTCTCGCTTGGAAATCCATTGAAATAACAGATGGAGCTGTGGAAACTCGAACTGCCCTTGTATTACTTACGGTTCTCTACCAGTCCGGGAAAAGCTGAAAAGCCATAAGACGGTCATAAATAATTAGACAACTTTATTGAGAAGTTTATTCATATAATCCGAAAGGCACCTGAGTTGAGTGAGAATCGAGGCATTAAGACCGGTAAAACGTTTGAGGGGAGCTGAGATCAACAAAATGAATCGTCGAATGTCTAAATAACTTAGGGAGAAGGACTCATGGACAACAAACATAGAATCTCTTTAAATAAAGCGAAAATCATGATGAGAGAGCACTTTCAGGGGGCTGTTCCCAGAGCTGAGTTATCGACACCAACTGGGCAAAGACAATGTTCAGAGGTGTTTTTATCGCCTTCCTGGTCGGCTTTTCGCGTTGACAGGTGAGAATCTGCTTGAAAGCTTTACGGAAATCCCTCGAGAACCGGGAATAGATCAATGGATTTAGCATTGAGTTGATGTGACCAGCCCAAGTGATCAAGGAGAAGATCAATTCGTGGTTCCCAACACACTGAAAAACGATTTTATTACTGTTCAGTTTTTAGGGTATTCCAATCTAAACACTGGAGGACCCATGAGCCAACCTATAGATGACTTCGGTGCGTGAAGTCATCTCCAATGTGAAAAGTTTACAAAAAAAGAGGAGGGGATGGGAAGGCGGCAGAGAAAGGCAGAAATTTGATAAAGAGAGATTGCGCAACGTTGCGTCAGACAACTTTTAACTTTGGACTAATTAACCTCGTTATATCGTTTTTTTTGAACAATTATGAATACAAATGAATATCGAAACTTATGAAAACGGTTTTCTACATAGCGCGCTACAGCGTATCGACAAGACGCCATATTGATTAAACATTGGTCAGGAAAAAGCTTCAACTACGCATTATCGACGTGCACTGGCAAAGAATTTTAAACGTCGTGACACATTTTCTGGGCATACAAATATTTAGAAATGGCTCGGCTTATATATATGCCATTTTCTGACGTGGTTCTCCATTGAAAGTAGGGATTATGGCTAAAATTGACAACTTACAGATGGGCATACAGCTATGAACGGTGAAACAATGAAGAAGGGCAGCCAGCACAAGATAAATGCCCCGACAATGATAGATAAGGTCCGGGCGGCCCGTTGTTCATGAACGTACTTCATCATCTGTCTCGACTTCTCACGCATCCCGGTTTTCTTCTTGTCCTTCGCCATTTGTTGCGCCAGAAGGCAGGTTTTGACGTCTGCGTTCTAAAGATCATTTCAACTTATAATACCGTTCTGATTTATGTAAAATTTTTGTAATCCAAAGCACGTCCAACTCAGAAGTAATCATAATATTATGCATGCATATATGTCCCCGGACCTAAATTTTTGACAACCCATATCTCAAATGAAAATAACTCCATCACTTTGAAACTTGTCATGTACACTAGTCATTGCAGCCAGAATTTTCCGCGAATTTTTTTCGTATGTCTTCCCGAGAATTATGATCAGCCATCGAGGGCAACGCCGATTTTTTTGTTTTCGATGTGATGAACGGAAACTGACTACATGTGATCAATTACGTGAAGCGGTGCACCGCGGTGCGCTCGTTGTCCTTCTAGCCCACCTCTAGCAGTCGTATAGAGCAGTTTTAGCCCGTGGCCAAGATTTATCAGCAGTTTCGAATAATTTACCTAGGTGATCAGAATTTTTTTCCCTTAATTTCTGGAAAAGATCCAAAAAATTGCACTGACCAGTGAAGCGAAAATTGGCAGTTAAATTTTGGAACGTGTAGCCCGATTAACAACGGAGCTAAAGGATGGTCAGGAATACATGTTAGAGAGGATGAGTGAGGATACAAGACTTCCGGAAAAAATTGAAATTTTTTCTGAATACTTGTTTTGAAAAGTATGTAAATTGAAAAAATTGAAGATTTTTATTGCTCGTGGTTTAAAAACCACTTTTTACTCATCATTATTGACTTTGAGATGTTATGATTTTTTCACTCCCCAAAGTCGAGTTTGGGCCTAAGGCTACTTCCCATAACAAGAATTCACTTTAAGACGGAGCCTATTTTGGAGGATTCTTCGTTTTTCTGGGCTGGTGAAAGATCAGTCCTCCGTGCTATCAGTCACTTTTCCCACCCAAACTCAAAACTGGGAGAGCAAATTCAGAAAAACTTTTACTTTCTCTCTGAAAGTTCTGTTTCTTCGCTCTTACCTAAACGAATTTTTTTCAAGCACTAACCTTATTAAGAACAACCATGGAGGCTTCTTTCTTCATGTTGTTGATTCCAATCATATCTGCATCATTCTCTCTTCGAGTCGTTCCGACTGTCGAATTAGACTTATTTATATGGCGGTACAAGGTCTTTGGAACGCTCTCGGCCGCTTTAACGCAACTTTCCGAGGACTTGGTCCTTTCGATTTCCCCTTGAGAGCTGGAGCTCCTTTCAGACGCCTGGGCAATTAGATTACCCGGTTTGTCAACGACTTACTGTTTTCTGTATAGAGGGACTATTCTCGGAACGGGAGAGGATAACCCGGCTTCCCTCTTCCTTCTGTTGGATCCGTTGCGTGTTCACGGCAGCTCCGTTTGCCGCCAGAATCACATTAGCGATCGCCGATGTTTTGGGTCGGGCGCGGCCGAAATGAATGCGGAGTTGAGCGGCCGTGTCGTCAAAACCGGGTCGCCAATTCTTGTTTTTTACCTGGAATTAAACAATTAACCACCCTTAATTGGTGTTTCTGGGGAGCTTGAGGAAATGTGAGTGTGGAATTAGCAAGAAAATTATTTGACTTTTTTGTGTTTTTCTGTATGCTCTTTATTTTAAAAAAACACAGGGGGCACAATCGAGATTTGTTAAATTTTTCTATTATACATGATGATAGCGCAATTCATGTTTTCCTAAAAGATTTTAAATGTGTTCTTTTCTCATGCTCAGAAAAGAAATCTACAGTGCTGTCTATGCGTGAAATAGAGAACCGCCTTTATTTATTCAAGGTAATCTCACCTTCTTAACCCCGTCTTTCATTTGCCTGGAATGTCTTGTAGCAATCAAAAACACACGTCCATAAGCGAAGAGGATTAATATCATTGGAATGTAAAAGGAAACGAGGGACGAGAAAGCGACGTAGATCCAGTTATCGGTGAAAACACATTGATATTGGTCCTTGTAGAGATGCGGGGAGGTCTTGCGCCACCAGATTATCGCCGGAAAAGCAAGACCTGTAATGCTTTTGTGTACAGATTTTAAAATTTTCTTTTTGTATTGTGAACAAAATCCTAAAAAATCCTAATTCTCCATTTAAATTTTGAAGTGGAATTTTAACTTACAGGCAGACATTACCCATACAAAAACAATGGCGATTAGAATCCGTCTCTTGGAAACCTTGTCTCTGTATCCGATGGGATCTTGGCCAGCCATGTACCTGTCTAGACTGATGACACAGAGATTCCAAATAGAACTGGTCGATGCCAAGATATCGAGAGCATGAAAAATATCGCACATGGTGAGACCTTGAATGTGTTAATGGGTGACATTAAATCAGACCACTCACCTAATAGCCAAACATGTCGGGTCATCTCAAACAAACTGTTCAAGGGCATCACGACCATGCCTACTACGAGATCGGCAAAAGCTAATGACACAATCAAATAACCTGTAGGATTCCGGAGGTATTTCTTGGTGCACACTGCCACCACAACAAGGACGTTACCCGAGACTGTCAACAGACAAAGCCCGGCCAACAACACGCCCATCAAGGGATGCCGCCACTCCGGGTCCGGTGGAGCAGTCCGGTTCTGCTGATCCAGAAGAGCAATGGCCCCCATGAACGTCGGCGGAACCAGTCCGTGTGTGGCATTGCGCATAGCCTGAGAGGAAATAGGGGATTAGTGAACGCACAAACACAGAGGGGTGATATAAAACACATGAGCCGGATCCGGGCCCGGGTTTCAACACGGACAAAGTGGGATATCTGGAGACGACCAGCTCAGCGCGAACACCGCCTCCTCCCTCTTCCAAAATAGAACGCACCTTTAATTGCCAGAACTGCATTCTCAAAACGCCCTTTGACACGCCAAGTAATAACTTATAAGTTCTTTATTAACCCACCAGCCAGAACGATTTCCCGCGAAGCCCGTAGGATATAGCTTCGGATTAAAAAACGACGGGAATTACTGGAGAATGCGTCATACCGAGATATGGGGATAATTATTTCGCGGTTGGGATAAGCTACCGTGAAAAGCCCTTTTCGGTTAAAAGGGTCCTTTGGTTATGGAATAATTAAATGCATAAAACAAGACCACTTAAAACTGAATCTCTACGATCGATAAGTTTATATGTTAAACATCTCCAGCCTCCCCTTAAAATCAGGAAAACACGGCAATACACTGCCGTCCTTGGCGATGACGACCACGGCCCCAGCTGGAAGTTGGCCCATTTTGGCCGATCACCCGCGGGCCTTGTTCTCAAACAAAGCCTATTAGGGCAGCGTTGTGACAAAGGAATGCATAAACGCTCTCCCAAAACGGTGAAAACGTCGAGACTGAAACAATTGCCCTGCCCGTCCACAGAATTCGCGCGGGTAATTGATGCTAGAATCAATTAGAATGGCCATACAGGTCTTCGGAAGCCTTGGGTGGGGGCGGCACGATAAAAAGCAGGGAAAGAAAGTAAACTTCGGCGCGAAGCTGGTCCTCGATAAAAACGAACTTAGTAAAGGAATAAAGAAGTAACTCAAAATGCCCTCAAGGCATGTTAAGCCAATGGGAAAATCGAGGATTTCCATGGTTTTGCATAAAATCGGTGATTACCCGGCCCCGTTTTCCGGCCCACCGGCGTCTCCAAAAAGCCTGAAGCACCTCGATTAGCGGATTCAGAAGTTGGGAGACTTCAAGCGAACTGCCGGCCCTCCATTTACATATTACCCTTTGGATTGGCACAGATAAAAGACAGTGACAAAAATACGCGGGGCGGGGCACCTGGCCAAGTTGCAGTAAGTTCGTTGCCTGCTCTCAAGGCACGTCCAAGTCGTGAGAAACATGACGGACATCCCCTCGATCAAGTCCGGCGATTAGATTTCCGGAGGCAACGGCCAGAAAAAGAGAAAAATGGGAATTGGAAGGGCCGCAGACAGGGTGCGGGGAAGGGCTGAAACGAGGCGGAATGTAATAAAAAGTTCCGGTACATCATAATGCCTATATTATAGTTTTGGAATTACAAGACAAAGTGGATCTCTCAAGAAGGCGGACACATACGGAACGCGCCTCGAGGCGTCGCTCCAAACAAAGCCCGGCCCGAGGGAGTTTCGGCCGCGAACATTCCGGCAATAAATATTGCTTAAGACCTATTTGGGCCGAGACTTGGTTTTTTCGTATTTCCGGAGTTCGGATCAGGCAATTTTACGGGGCCAGATCAGAGAGCGGATCAAGGGAAAGAGTCTCTTCACTGGATTCGACTCTGATTAATGGGTCCCAACCAAAACATCCGTCCTCACCTCACCTCTCCATCCATCTCAAGTAAACCTGTCATTCGAAATGACACTTCGAATTACTGAAGAAAGTAGAGTGGCGACAAAATTATTTTTTTCGTAATTCAAAAGAACAAATTTTTTTAAATCTTTAAAGTTTTAACTCAATAAACCCTGCTACGTGAATATGAAGTAGACCTCACACTAAGTGCACGAATACGGGCCCTACAGCCTCATCCGAATAGATCTGCAAAAGCATAGGCAAGGATGGAAAAAAATTCTAAGAAACACAAGGATACCGTTTAAGATATGTCTACACTGCAATGGAGTTAATACGGTTCAAGCATTGCATAGCATTATTTAAAATATAAGAGCCTAATTAAACAGTGGAAAAATATGTAGACAAAAGATTATCAAAACTGAAATATTGAGTTACTGAGAGTAAAGGGAAACCTGAGAAATGTGATTACCAAACTTAATGTACTTTCAAACAAACGTCAGGCCTTAATAACACGGCGGATTTATAAAATTACCATAACTTGCGTAAAAAACGGCCAAGTAATTATATTCTTTCTGAAAGATCCAGCAATTTGTGCTGTTTAGGAATCCGGGGTCAAGAAATTATGGATGACGTGGGGTCTGGCGGTGCAGGTTCGGGAGAGCCCTTCCGGGTGATCGCATTTTCGGTCGATGCAAATTCGGGTGGCGCATATTCGGGTGATTTTTGAAATGGATGAATTCCCGGGTGATGAAAAAATACATATTGTACCGATGGCGACAAAGTATGACGTAAGTTTGTTAAAATTTTAATTTTTTTTTCATCATCATTTTCTGTTTTATTTTTTGATTTCTGATGGTAGAAACCCCCAGAACAAATAAAAAATTATCAAATAAAAAATTATTCATAAAATTTACAGTGATTTTTAGTATTACTTAAAATTAACTAACAGCAATTTTTGAGCAACATGGATTCCATTTTCGGGTTCCTGATGGTACTTATTTCATATAAAGGTGGTCATATAAGATCTCGGAATTTTTTTTCCCCAAATCGCGATTTTCGGTGCACAAAAAAGTCGACGCCCAAATCGTAAAATTGGCGTCGACTTATTTTTTTCTCGGCACCGAATTCTGAAATTCGGTAAATTTTTCTAAGTTTTTCGAAATCAGTGCACAAAGTCTTAAGTCTGCACCGAAGACTTAAGTGCTTAAGTCAGCACCGCATTTCGGAATTCGGTGCTGAAAAAATTAAGTTGACGCCAATTTTTCGATTTGGGCGTCGACTTTTTTGTGCACCGAAAATCGCGATTTGGGGAAAAAAATTTCGAGATCTTATATGACCACCTTTATATTTAGTAGCCATAAGTACAATATTTTCTTCACCACCCGAGAATTCAAAAGCCCCAAAAAAATCCATCACCCGAAAATGCGATCACCCGAAAGAGCTCACTCTAACTTGCACCACCCGACCCTGCGTCACCCATTTTTTCAGTCACCCCTTGAATCCAACCTATGTTTTCCCTATTGTCTGAAGTCAACGGACCACGTAAACTTCCATAAAAGCATAGAAGTCTTTTTATAACAGAAATAATTTTTTTTGCTTCTTATGACGGATGAAATGAATTAAAAGCTTTACAGTCTTACCCATATCAATAATACATTCCTGCACTCTTCAAAGATTGCTCCCTTCCCGACGACTGGATTCTTAATTTATGATGTAATTTTGATTCTCAGATTTTACAGGGTGCGCCAAATCCCCTACGGGCTATCAGTCTGTCGGAAAAATAACGGCGGATCGTCGCATCAAAATGTCTCGGCTCGCCGCTGTCGCGCACCAAATCCCAAGCCGCAGCTTGCAGTCGCAAAGCGATGATGGGCGATTCCGAAGGGCAACGATCCGCCGTTATTTTCCCGACAGACTCATATAATGGTACAAAAGCAAACTGGACAAGCTTCCAAGAAGCTAACAAGGTTCCAGACAAAATTAATCGTATACGGCACTTTTCTCGCCGCTCGCAACTAAGGCCCTTGAAACATTGACCCCGAATTAAAAATTGGAAATACTATCTTTGCCGTCGCATGCTCTGAGCTAAAGTTAATTTTTGATGCAACAGCGGTCGAATTTATATACTGGAATTGATTGAAATCAATGATTTATGTGCAAGTTTCTATGCGTGATTCCCAGAATCTTAGGCATCACTTTTACACATATAGTAAAAGCAACTAGAGTCTGACTAGTCGTTCTTGAAAAAGTATTTTTTTATCTGCTGCCTCTGGTGGATGAAAGTGTGTCTGTGGTGGCAGAGTTTACTTTAATGTTGCTCTTCGAGTGATCTTGGACTAGAGATTGCTAAAGTTATTATATTCGCCTGTGTCAGCATGTATCTATACAGCGCTATATTTATTTTTTCGCTTTCCAATCTGTGGTAACCTGAAACATTTCAAGTTTTGAAGGACCGTGTCTTCGATTCCCGCATGAACTTTTACATACAGGGTCTTACAAAAAACGTGAAGGAAAGTCGGAGGCTATAACTTCCGAATGTGCAGATTTTTTAGTATTCCAATTGCCCACTGTGTAGCCATGGAATTTTAGAGCAACATTGTCATGACCATTTCATGTCAATAGCAAAATTTCAAAAAATAAGGAAACCCCTGTCAGTGCAAGCAAGGATCAGACAAAATGAAAATTTAACTTAAGGTGATCAGTAAGAAACAATCGACAACAAACGGACAAGTCAAGATCGGAGTACGAAAGTAATAGAGGCAACCTTCAGAACAGTCATCTATTGATGACTTGTACCTCCATGGAGATGAAAGGTTGATTACAATGTAAATAATAAGCTACAGAATTTCGTAGGTAATGACATAAAAAACTACTACACTTTTTCGGCTTTTTTTCGCGGCATACATTTTTCCACGTTTTGCATTGTGCAAAGTCTGCCGCAAAATTTGCGGTGACCCTATATCAGTCTGTCGGGAAAATAACGGCGGATCGTCGCAGAAAAATGTCTCGCCTCGCCTCTATCGCGCGACAAATCTTCAGCTTCGGCAGCCGTCGCAAAGCGATGACGGGCGATTCCGAGGCGCGATGATCCGCCGTTATTTTTCCGACAGACTGATACAAAAAAATGCGCCGCGGCGATTTTTCGATTGAGAAGTGCAAAAGATCGAACGCACATTGCGGAAAGTTTGCGACAAAAAGTCTACGCACTTTTGAGAAAGCGTGATGCTCGCGGCAAAAAGTCGGTAGAATTTGCACAGTGCGTTTTTCTCTGACTGTTTTGCCGCTGCTTGGCAAAAGGCGGGATAAACGGGAGTATATGGTAAGATTTTAAAAACAACAAATTTGTTAGATAAACTTTGGAAACTAATGCAGTTCTGGGTAAACTACTCGTTATCCAAGTGAGCTTAGCCAAAAATTTTATAGTTAACATGGTCACAAAACGAGGAACAAAATTATCCGACATACATATAAACGTTCTTAGCAAGAAAGGATCATTAGTGCGAGATTGCAGATTTAGTCCCCCCGGGATATGAACAACATGGTCCCTTACTGTTTCATGCTCAGAGACTGCGCGGAAGCTACTTTTATTCTCTCACCGATTCTTTATGGACCAAAATGATGAACATGAACAAAGTTTTGTGGGAAATTGCTGCAATTTATGAATGTTTGTATGACCAAGTAAAATATTTTATGACTTTCCTGAAGGGCCAACATCATGTTTGTTCATAGCCCAAGCTCTCCATGTTTCCTGAGAGCACTAATTGGATTTTTGTTCCTCTAGAAGTAATCAAAGCTCCCCAGTTTTTAATAATTACACCTTCGTAAATTCGAAGTGCATTCGTTTCCCAGACCCGACTACAATTTTAGCATTTTTTGCCTCACATACTCGGTTGTAGTTCTAAATGTTGAGTTAAATTTTCTTGTCTTAATTTGACCAGTGAGGAAACAATTTTTTTTAAATAATTTCAAGTTGTTTAAACTATGTTCTTTTAATGTCACACCGTTAGAATTCTTTGTTTGTTTTGAGTATCCGATTTATGTATGACAATTTCCTCCGAAAATAAGACTCGAATAAACTGAAACCAATTCTTCAACCGCCTTTGTTTGTACTTGACCAATTAAAAGGTCGCCTCCTATACCGTTTACATTCGTTCCTGTTGGCTCTTACACCTGTCGGCCACATCGATGGCTTCAGCAAAAGCGGAAGCCGGGAGGAGTCACATTTGCGACATTGGATCTATGCCCTCAGGGGTTTGGGGGCTAATTTGTGGCTCGCTTGAAATAAACTTGTTGTACTTTCTCGCCGAGGGATAGATGGCCATGAATCAAGGGGCTTTGATTGAATTTATTTTGAATTCGAGGCTTCGTGCTCGGCGTGGAGGGCCGGCCAAGGAAAACGTCCGACGTGCGGGATCAGAGCGGAGGAAGCGGATTCTGGGAGCGACGGTAATCCAATCTGAGGCTTTCTTTCGCGCATGGCTCCTGATGCACACGAAACGGACCTGTCCCGTGTACAACTTGCCAAATTGCTCGGGCTTCGTGTTGGCGTGTCCTGAGGCCTAAACGAAGAAGGAGGGAAATAGAGGAAGCGGGCGAATTCCTTGCTTAAATTGACCTGAGACCGGCCGTTTATTTTCCTGACCCTGTTGATGAACGGAACCCCAACTTTTACCTTTCCTCCGCCGGGTCAGCGTTGAAGCCTGGCCCCGCCTCAGATTCGGAACCCTCTCACGGCTTCGGAGCCGGTGTCTCTGCCGAAGAACAGCGCCCGCCTTTATTTTTCGCGTTCATCCAACCAAAAATGCGTACGAAGACGGGCGACGGCTCCTTCTTTTTCTGTTTCTGGTACGATCCTGTCATCTCCCTTCAAACATTTTGGCTTTATCCGATTTTGAGACTATCCCCACTTAATGTCAATAAACCCTTTTTTAGAGTAAGTGGCTCCCTCGACCAATGGACCTCCGGCTATTGTCCAGCCACAGGCCGCGTATAGCGTGATCATGAACGACAGCACGGCGGGCCTGGCGCCACTCCCGGTCTGGCATTCTCCTTACCATCCGGCATTGCAGGTCAGTTCTTTTTTGGACTTACGATCCGTCATAATGAAAGGAAACGCCATTTGGTTGAGATTTCAACTCATAATTAAGCAGGCCGGCATACGAATGCCCTTAAGTCTCATTTGATTAAGGCCTCTGAGAATAACATGAATAGAGGCTTTTATTCAATAATTCCCGTTTTCAGGCCCTTATATGGATTGTAGCAACCTTGCTGTGCCTCGAAACAATCGTAGGGAATGCCATGGTTATAATCGCGTACAAACTGGAGAGATCGATCAGCAAGCAGGTACACAAGTGTCGAAATAAATATACCTTTCAAGGTCAACAACAGATATATAGTCTCTCTGGCAGTATCCGACCTAATCATTGGTCTTGAAGGAATCCCTTTGTTCACAGTGTATGTTGTCAATGGGGATCGCTGGCCTTTAGGATCAATCGCCTGCGAGACTTGGCTCTTTCTCGACTACACTTTATGTCTGGTCTCCATCCTGACCGTGTTACTGATAACTGCTGATCGTTACATGAGTGTTTGCCATACAGCCAAGTATTTGAAATGGCAGAGTCCAACCAAGACGCAAGTCCTGATTATCTTCTCTTGGGTTTTGCCGGCTCTTATCTTTGGAGTCATGATTTACGGGTGGTCCATACTCAGCGGAGAGGAAGCTCGAGCTGAGGACAGCACTGAATGTTCCGCTCCTTTCCTTTCAAACCCATACGTAAACATGGGGATGTATGTGGCCTATTACTGGACTACCTTAATTGCCATGCTCATCCTGTACAAGGTAGGAGCATTTATTTGTTCTCATGCTTTGTCTGAAGCGGACAAGTCACGCAATGCCCGCGAAGGGCGTCACCTTTGCCGGAAAGAAAATTGTGCCGCAAAGAGAAGTATTATGTTACCAAGAATCTTTGCGCTTAATGATTCTCTTCCAGGGTATTCACAAAGCCGCCAAGAACCTCGAGAAAAAGGCCAAAGCCAAGGAACATCGACACATCGCGCTGCTTCTGACTCAACGTCTTGGCACTCAGGTTGTTACTTGTTCCCAATTTTGTCCCTGTTCCCTTTTTAGCTTTGCCTTCTTAAGCTTCGCCTGATCCGCTTTTTCGTTCTTTGAGCTTTGTTCCTTTAATTAAAAGCTTCAGGTCGGCGTTAGTTTAATGCTTCAATCGAAACGAAGCGATTCCGAAAGTCCCAAAAATCATCCGGCGGCATATTCGAAGAAACTGGAGGCTTCATCGTTGACAAATCCACCGTCCCATGCCAAGACCGAGACGGAGAATCCAAATGTGAGCATGTTTTAGTTTGTTTTGTGCTCGGCTAATTATAATTTCGCTTCTTAACACCGCCCAAAGGCGCCTATGCTCACGCCATTAAGGCACGGTTATCGTTATCGTCTCCTCTAATTGAATCTTCGTACTCAAACGATTGGATTTCGTACAACCGACGGAAAAACAGTCGCCTCATAGCATCTTTAACATGGACCCAACGTGACCGATTGACATGTCGGCGTCCAAATCCCGGCGGGTTTATAAATCCAGAATGAGCAGGATCCCTGCGGCCCAGCTAAATTAATTTTTTAAATCAAATCAGAGGACACCTGAATATCGAGCTTCTTTCTCGTCCTATAGGGGAGGAAATCGCCAAAAAATGAGCCACAATTCGCGGAAGAATTGCACGCTCCATCGGCCGCGGCCTATTATGCAATGCCGAAGAGAAAACATAACCACATTCATAGGAAACGTCTTCCAATACATTTCCAGACATAACCACGTGTTTTCAGAATCCTGAAAACCTCAATGAACAAGAACTCACGCAACTCATCGAGGAGGTCCGGACTGAAGCCGGGCTCACCAAGCATACTCACATTGTAAAGCGGGAACCTCTCGCCTTCAAAAGATTCACTTCGCCCACCATGTCATTCAGACGGAAGTCGAGGAAGCATTCCTCCGTCAGATCAGTCAAGTCGAATCCCCTCCACAGTACGGGTCCCGAGTCTTCTGGCCAACCTCAGCAATCAGCTGAGCCCCTCAAGACTGTAACAAATGCAAATCAGGTAACTAAATTACAACGAGTGTGATGGCCTCTTGCCGTGTGGTGTGGTCCAATTTTAGAAGCTTCATTGCCTACGTAAAGTCATTTTACCTTTATTTAACCCAGTTTACAGTACCCAGATTCCACGGTAATGGCTCAATCATACTCTAGAATGTTTCATGACGAAAGCTTAAGCTCAATTTTGCAGTTCAATCAGGCCATTACAATAGAAACCGAAGAAAAAGTGTTGATCGAAACTGGTCAAGAAGATCCACCGAGGGTATGCCTAATGCAAACATGATATTTTTTGATAGATTAAGGAGAGCTGTAAACACGAATGGGGAGAAATGCGAGAAAGTGTGGTACCAATGGCTACAGCAGAAACGGTGGAGACGCCATTAGAAAACGGGTTCAAAACATATAAAGTTCAGATTACACACAATGAACATACACAGATACCTTGGTACACAATCATATTCAGGAGGATGAGGAGAATGACGAGTAGACCCACAAAGTTTCGATCAAGGACAAGTTCAAGGAGGAAGAGCAGCAAGAAATTCTCCAGATCACAAAGTGTCTCCAGTTCGGATAGGTATGTTTCCAAGGACAATAATTCTTATTTTCAGTGAATTCTCATCATGCGATTCTCCGAAGAAAGAGCACAAGAATTCTAACCATGCAATCAAAGATCGAAAGAATAAAACTTCCATGGACTCCCAACAAAGCCCCATTCAAAGCGGGGGCGATCTTCTGGGACCAAGTTTAACGTAAGTTGCAAAGGAAGATATAATTTGTAGACCTAATAGAAAGATCTCTAACATCTCAGCATTCACAAAAGACACAAAGGACCGGATGTTATCTTCGTTGTTCTCTCCCATTTCCACTGCCTTGAATCGATCGAGAAAACGAACAAAGGCCGAGAGAAGAGCCCATAAGGCCTTCAGAACCATTACTTTCATCGTGGGCTTATTCGCCATCCTTTGGTCTCCGTATTATGTTGTGGTGAGTTATTCGGCCGGCGCCATTCACACAAATCACGGACCCTCGGGCAGTAAACTGTTCCATGACTTCATAGGCCGCTGGAATATCTTTTTTTGCCCTCCTGATTGTAGTTGCATTCCTCGCGGGATACATTCGACTGTTTTCCTACCCACAATTCCCAAAAGAATCCCCGAATTGGCTCGGTCTAAAACTTTTCCGAACAAAAAATCTTTTTTGGCCGAAAGTTATGAGACAAGTGATTGAATAAATAAACATTTTCAGGCGACCGTCTACGGCTTCTGCAAGGGAGAATGCATTCCTTCGGTGTTGTACAACCTCTCATATTACATGTGCTATCTAAATAGCAGTGGAAATCCGTTTGCCTACGCTCTGGCCAATCGCCAATTTCGTTCGGCTTTCCTTAGAATGCTACGCGGAAACTTCCGTCGGGTACCCTAGACATGGGGTCTTTGCCTACACATTCCTCGTTCCCTGTAATTATTATGTTCCCAGTGCCATCGATTACTTATGCCTCGGTTTCTCTAAAAAGACGCAATAAAATATTCTAAACGCTGGATTTCCCAGAGATTTCCGCGGCTCATAACTTAATTTGGACAGAGTTTCGTTAGACCGAACTTGTTTCCGAAACCGAATTACATTATCGTATTTATTACCGTAAGAAAAAAGAAAACGCTGGGGGTCTTAGCGGGACCCACCAGCCACCTGTCTCGAACCATTTGTACAAAAAGGCAATTCATGATAGCAAATGTACAATTAATGTACAAGTCCTTGTGTTAGACTATACATATGACAAGACAAGGGTCACAGAGCCCTGAACTGAACAAAGAACAACCGCTCAAGGCCGTGTCACCTCTTCCCGGGCATCTTGAATGTTCTGGGGACTAGCAGAAGTCTTCGAAGGAGCCGCCGAGATCTGAAGTGTTAACCCGGCCATCGTGGCAGGCATGGGCGCCACATCGACTCGGTAGAAACGGGTGTTCGCAGCCAAGTTGTATCTAAAGGAGGGAATCATCAAGTACTACACAAAGTACATTACGACAGCTTTCAAACAATTTACCTGTTTGGAGCCTTCTTCGTTTCACACAACTCAACTCCGAGTACACGAGCAAAGAGTAAAGTAAACTTGGGTGCCGGGTTATTCTGATCGATTCCCAACCGCCGAAGACTTCTTGGCTTGACAAAATAAAGAGTGCCAGTAGTACTGAAGACCATAAAACTGGCATGAACGTCGTTGTAAACCAACAGTACACCACTTCCCTCTCTCACTTCATGCAAGGATATCATCATTTTCATATCACTCATCTTCAACTTAGTTTGGGTATTCACTTCGTTAGTTGACATGTCCGAATTCATATTCACATCCATATTCAAATCAGGGGAAATCACAGGAGATTGATAAGGAGAACTGGAACCCTTGTCAGTCGGATCGCTGCTATCCCCATCATTAGTATCATTTTGAGACAAAGTGGAAGAAGAGGCCTTTATGTTAATAACATCTTCGTCCACAACCATGCATGACTGTTCCATTATAGACTCATCCATTGGGATTATTTGAGTCGCTGATGTAGAAATAGGAAGCGATGACTTTTCATAGAATTTGACTTTCTCTTCCAGTTCACTAATTCTCGCTTTCTGAAAAAATGGTAACTTCAGGAGCAGGTACTAAGGAGGAGACTGTAAAATAATAATCAGACATACCATCCTGGCCGTATAAGTCTCGTACTCTTCTCTTATATCCTTCTCCATTTCTTCTCGTATTTTTGATATCTCAGCATTTTTTTTCTCCTCGATTCCCTTTAATAAAAAGGCCATCTTGTTCTTGTAGGCGTTCTCATATTCCTTCCTCAGAGGATCTTCTTCACTTGAACGTTCTGCATCAGTTTTCCTCATATTCTTTCTCTTCTCTATTTCGGTTTTCATCCATTCAATCTCATCCTCCTAAAAGATCTTTGATTAATACGTTTAACTTACAGAAAGATCTCTCTTCAACAATTCCTTGGCTACATCCAATTCAATATTAAGGCAGTCCTCATTGGAATCATGTTCAATGCTCGCCTTGAGGTTCTTAATCTCTTCGCTCAATCTTAGAATCTCTGAATGTCCCTCTTCTTTCTCTCTGATAACTACCAGCATCTGTTCATTTAGAACCTTCAACCTTCTTTCCCTCTCATTGGCTTCACTTTCTTTCTCCTTTCTAAAGTGTTTCTCGTGCTCGACCAACTTCTTGAGTTCAGTAACCTCATCCTCCAACTTCTGATTTCTAACTTCGATCTCTTCTTTCTGTTTGCTGACTTCGTCCACCTTCAATTCGAACTGCTGAACAATCCCATTGTACTTTTCGTTCCCGGAGATTTTCTCGATGATATATCTGATATTCTCTTCGAATTCTCTTTTCATTCCTTCCAAATCACTGTTATTTTCCGTCTTCACATTTAATAATGCCTAAAAACTAAGTATTTATTTAAAAACAAACCTACTTACCTCTTTGATGCTCAGGATATCACTCCTTGTATTCTTCATCACTTGGATGATGTCATCTCCTAAACGCTCGGAAATACTAATCTCATCAGTCTGGCATTCATCAGATTGGACATCGAGAATAAATTGAGTACCAACGTTTTCTCCGGAGAAGTTAGCTTGTGTGTCAATGGATTGAAAATGGTCTGAATGATATTCGAATTGAGTGGACGAGTCTAATCTTTGCCGACCAATCTGAGTGGATGCATGCTCAGAACTTCCATACATAGTTTGGCACGACTTCTCCTCAATCTCTGCTTTGCTTTTGACAGGAGAAAGGTTGGGGGTGTACAATGGAGTCTCCTGTTCATTCTGCTGATGGGCGGATTGCAATTCGTCATCAGGCATAAAGACACCATCCTCTGGCGGACTGTCTACAGGAACACCTTCCTCAAAGATAGGCTTTGGATATTCTCGATCCAGTGATGGAAAAGACGGAGTGGATCCTCTTGAAGCTTTTCGAATTTTCATCGGACTTGTTACTTTTGGAAAACGATCTGGATGGATCGACATCGGACAGGTCAAATCAACAGAGGAGGGTCCAATCTCCAAAGCTGAACTATCTCTTCTAAGCACATTAATCTGATCCAAAGATGGGACCAGGTCTGAAGGAGTGGTTACTTGACTGTCACCGGCATTCAATGAAGTTGTGGATCCCAAAGTCCTTGATAAGAATGACTGAGTAGATGGGGAATGTTCAACTTGTCCTTCCTCGGACAGCCAATTTGTCGAAGGGAACTTGTTACCCATGTCTTGTATGTTACGTGTCTGTTCTTTAGTGAAGAAAGAGGCTTCTCTGTGAAGAGATGAATGGGTTCGAGACAACCCTGGATTTGATGGATCATCAACCGCCAGTCGAGTGAAGACTTGAGGTGTGGTCACTTTGAAAAGGTCATTCATCTCCAGGCAGTCTTTTAAGGTTTCCCTCAATGCCCGTAATTCATCATGACTGAGTTGAGGTATATTGGAATCAAATTTGTGTTTAGTAGGGATAAAGTTGGGGAGCTCATCGGCCATTCCTGAGAATATTTCTCTAAGGAAATGTTTCTCTAATTTGACGTAGAATTCTGCGCGTACCGTATTTTCTTCTTTCAAAAACTCCGACGCTTTCTGAGAAAAAATGTTGAGCCATAGATCGAACTCGGTCTTGAATTTGTTCCGCCGTATAACTTCGGCCACACTTGCGACGTAAAGGATAGGAGCTTCTCGAATCTGTCGGACCAAATCCAACCGTTGCCGGAACCCAGAAAACTTCTGTTCGAACACAATAAGGTCGGTGTTTGACACTTGTAGTCGATCGTATCCTTGTTTAATCCATCCCCCTAATCGTTGTCGCACGTTCTTTAAAAGTTCCATCTTCGATCCTAAGAATAAATGAGCATTGCTTGTGAAGTCTTCGACCTGAGTTGTCAACTTAGATATATGCTCCTTCTCTTCTGCAATAACAACCTAAAAATAAAGTCAATCAAGAAAAATAAGAAACTTACTCTGAAGTTATGAGTATCAGCCTGGGCTTTGGACATCTTGTCCTTCAGATACTCCTTTAATCTGCTATGACTTTCTTCCAACTCGGTTAACTTGTTGTCCAAGGTCGCTAAGCGTTTATCAATCCCTCTTATATCCCGATAATCCTTCCTTTTCACCAAATCTTTTACAACTTTCAAAGCTGCCCCTGCTTTCGCAAGGTTAGTATCGTCCAGTTTATCAATCTGATCAGACACATGCTCAATTAATTGTTCAAGCGTTGACTCTGAGTCATGGCTGGATATCCAATCGTATAATGACATAGGTTCAGACGTGGATGAGTTCGATAGTAATGACGACGGGATTTTTATCTAAATATAAGAATAAAACAAGACATTCATAGCCATACCTTGAGGAGAGCGTTGAACACCAGTTCGAAATCTGTTACCCATAACTTTGCCTTTTTCTTGATTGTCGGCAATCTCTGTGCAATTCTTGAGGCCTTGCTGTACCTTGTTGCTAGTTGATTAACATTCTCATCTAGATTCCGTGTAACCGCATTCCATCCTTGATTCAGATACTGGTGTTCAGCAACACTCTTCGCACAGAAACGGATCAGTGTTTCAGAAACGCGAGTTCCATCTTCGGCTAATTGCACATACTGAGAGACAAGCGTGGATTTCTGCGGCTGCTGATTTACTCTCTCGACATCCCGTTTCCAATCTAATATGGTTCAAATATTAAACTAAATTTAGGTACCTACTTTCCAGTAAATTGTTTATTCCTTCCTTTTCACGGGAATTTATCGGATCTTTCTCGCTGGTGACCCGTTTGATAAAATACACCGGATTTGTCTCAGTACCCGCATCAGAATATGTGGAAAGAAGGTAATCTCCGATAAGAGCCTCTCCGCCACTCAAGAAGAATACCTAAAAGAAAAAATACAGATCCATAGCTTTGTTTTACCTGCTCCTTTGGCTGAACTCCTGTCTTCACTCTTATTTCCTCATGCAGGTCACGAAAACATCCGACTGGTGCCAAATCCAATGCTAGCATGTACCCATCATTTACGTAGAATACATAATACATGTTGGAAACGCGGATTTAACTGGATCACCATAGGTGGATGGGGATGGATGGGGCTTTCCCGTTAGATCTAATTTAACTCGTCTGAAGTTTAAATTCAATAGAAATACATACATGTACGAATTTGCATCGATAAAGATTTCCAAAAAAAATCAATCTACGCGTCGAAAAACTATTTTTGATTTTTTCGGGCTATAAAAAAGGTGTATGAAAATTGGGCTGATTGTGAGTGAAATTGGGCTGAATTCAAGGAAGGACACACACATGTGTGTACGCAATGTGCGCATGGCAGAAAAACAAGAATTCAGTCCAATTTCCATGATGTCACAATCAAATTGCTGTATCCGGAAATCACATGGAGTTTTGAAGGGTTTAGATTATCGCTAAAAATAGTACTTGGCGTAGAATTCCTTGACAGAGAATTGAGTTATGCACCAAGTTCGAGCATATTTTTTGCAGGTTGAATTATGTGTCGTGTGACTATAACACGGTGTACTTTAATCGTCCTCAGAATTGGAACATAATTAAAGAATGTTGTTTTGGAAATAATAAGAAGGACAATCACCTTTTTCTTTCCCAACTAAAACAGTCATGTGCACCCAAGGATACCAATAAATGACTTACATTTTCGGCAATTTTAAGCCTCCAAAATCATAATTTTAGTCTGAAAATAGTGTAGAGTAGAGGTATATGCTTGGGGACGATCAGAACGCGTCAATTGGCCCCTCAAAAAGACAGAAAAAAACTGAACGTAAAATGTCTGGAGCTCGTGAGCCGAGGAAAAGAGCATGGAGAAGAGAAGAGAGCGGTCACGCGCTCATTTATCGCTTTTCTCAGATCGCCTGCAGGGTTTGAAAACAGATGCTAACGGACTTAACCCGGTCTTATCATCTTGGTATCAACATGTGATATTCACAGGAGGACCCGCCCTTCTGAACGACACACTTTCTTCCCATTTTTTACAATCTTTTCAACAACAAAACATTAAAATACTTTTTGGCTGACTTCCATTTACATAAAGCCAGCTATTTTTCAGAAACATGTTCAACAACTGGTTCGGAAATCAAAAAATTTTGGATCAGTATACTCGGATTGCAAGACCTGTATCAATCAGAGCAGGGAGAAGAATAAATTAAAATTTGAAAATGAAAAATCAAAGTTATCAAAAAGCAAATCAAGACGGAGAATAATTACAAAATCCATTATGATGACATCTGCATGTTTTAATTGAGCAGGGAGTATTTATTTTACTGCGGGAATCAATAAAAGCCCTGAGGGCCGGCTTCCCCTTTCTGCCATTTCTTTTATTTTTCGGCTTCAGAGCCAGGGGATAATTCCAAGAAATGAAGATATGAGGAGTGGCTACAAAACCGGTAAGAAAATATTTTATTGTAATTGTGAATAGGTGACGACGCAAAGAATGTTGTTGTACATGGCGAGTCCGAGGATGAAAGCGAAAGCGCCGATGTGAAACTAGAATCAGAACTTACCGTTGGGAAGGCGTATATTAAGACAAACGGAGCGCCATTGAGTGGGATACATCCAAAAATTAAGCCAAAGTACTTTCAAGAACCATGCGAAGAGTAAGTTTGGGTGTCTTTGATGATTACAATTTAGTTACGATGAACTCGGATTTAAAAAGGAAGGCCCTGATTCTTTATTTGGTCCGTTAGAGGTGGAAAGTAATCGGTAAGATTTATTCTTATATTAAAAATTAAAAAAAAAAAACACTGTAACTTTTAAATCGTTATAGTCTCCAATGGATTGCACATATCCAATTTAAAAACGGGGATGTGAATAAAGATATCACCTGGGATGATGTGGATGGAGATCTTTTCAAAGACCAGAAGAGCATAGAGTTGGTCAAGAAGTCTGGCATCCCCCACTCCTTCAGATCTTTTATGTGGCCCAGATTTTGTGGAGCGACTTCTCGGAGGATATCTTCCCCATATAAATTTGATGATATCTTCCGCGAAGCTGATGAAGAAGTTCTGAATGCGGCTACTCAGATAGAGCGGGATCTCCTCCGCACTCTCCCCAACCACTATTGTTTCTCCAAGATGGATTCTTTTGGGACCAAATCTCTTCGGCGGGTTTTAAAGGCATTGGCTTACTTTTACCCCGAGCTTGGCTATTGTCAGGTAAGGTAATTAAGCCTATCAGGCATCTTTTAGGGCATGGGGACAGTTGTGGCAACACTGTTACTTTTGTGCGATGAAGAAAATGTGTTCTGGATCATGTGTAAGATGATCGAAAACTTCCTTCCAGTCAACTTCTATGGTGATAATTTAATTGGCCTGCAAGCAGAGGTTAAAGTCGTTGAGCATTTGATCGAAGTGCACATGCCCGAGGTCTCGAATGTGCTGAAAAATGCAGATTCCGAGGTCTCTTTGATCATTGCCAATTGGTTGTTAACTTTGGGATCTTCCGTCTTGCCGATGCCTTTACTCTTCAGAATATGGGACATCCTTTTTCAACAAGGAATCGTCGTCTTTTATAGAGTAATATTTTGAGTTATTATGGGTGGTTGATGTTTATTTTCTACTTCTAGATGTTGATCTCCATGTTCAAGATGAACGAAGAGCGAATTATATCGGAATTGACTGATCGACCGGTTGCTGTATTTGGATTTATCCAAGCCCTGCCCTCTTCCCTCCACGATGTTGATGATCTGATTGAACACATGTCTTCGTTTGAGTTTTCAATTACCGATCAAACAATAACGACTCTTCGGAAAGCCCATCAAGTATGTCATCGTTTATTTGTAGTGTAATTTAAGGGTAATATTATGAGTGAAAATGGTCTGATTTACCAGTCGGATGCCCCTTTACCTTATCAGACTACCAATTCGAGGAAATTAACTAAAAGCAAAAGCATAATTGAGAATATTTTCAAGTCAGCGGAAGTTGTAAGTGTCAGAAATTATTACAAATACCGTCATCCCCAGCCAAATGACCCGAAAACCAAGAATGTTCGTGTTACCGAGTTGATTGTGGCGCTCAGAAGTTCGATTTATCAAGTTTGTGATCATTTTCGAACATGTCCAGAAAGTCATCAAATCACGATACAAGTAAGTAATGGCAAGAATGATAATTTTATGTAACGTTCTCAGGCCACCTATGCCGTGGATGAATGTGTGAGGGACCGGGAAGAATTCAAAAATGCCCGCAGGAAAGGACAGAAACATGCGCGGGCTCTTTTGGATTTTGATACAGAAGAGAAAGACGAACTCTCCTTCAAAAAGAATGACATAATTACAGTACTCTCGGAAAGAGATGAGCATTGTTGGGTGGGAGAACTGAACGGAGAAAGGGGATGGTTTCCAGCCAAATTTGTGCAAATTGTGGATGAAAGATCCAAGAAATATTGTGCGTTTGGCGATGAAATGCTGACCCCAAAGATCGGTAATCTGGTCAGGAACTCTCTGTTCAACTCTTTGTATGCAATTCTCAGTTACGGCCTTCGTCCCACTGGCATTGTCACGTCAAAAACACACCCCTGGCATTACATTGAGGCCTTGGCAGACGCTCTAATGGAGGCTCACAATAATATAACTCATTCTAAACTTACTTTATGCGATACATTCAATCTGGATCAAGATGGGAAGGTAAGATCAACTTTCTTTTTGCGTGACGCTTTAGTACCGCGTTTCATGTGACCGCCTACCGGAAGTTCGAAAAACCCCAAGTTCGACAACCAAAAGTTCGAATGCCGCAAGTTCGAATGCCGCAAGTTCGAATACTAGAAGTTCGAAAAACCTCAAATTAGAAAAACCAAAAGATCGAAAACCGGAAGTTCGAAATATGAAAATATAAAAAATGCAGAATGAAAAAAAAGAATCGAACTTGCGGTGGGTCTCCGAACGCCTACCGCAAGTTCGAAAAACCCCAAGTTTAAATCTGCCTCACACGCGATTTTTTTGCCCTGTGAAAAAAAACTGCTGCTCTGCTCGCAAAGCCGTTTTTTTTTGGTATCCAAAAAACGGTTACCCACCGCAAGTTCGAATCAGCAAGTTCGAAAGCCTAAAGTTCGAATGACTAAAGTTCGAACGACCTCCAGTTCGACAAACCTAATCCAGTTCGACAAACCCAAACCGAGAAAGACACAGTTGGATTGGCTCCATGACGAATATTGACCAGGTCGACATGAAGAACAGCGCGTTCGTTGCCGGTCAGAGTGTTCGGACAACCAACCTCCATCGTAAAGGATGAATGAATGATTGAAGAGGAAGTGTATTTTGCAAAATAATTATATGCAAATTATAATTTAAATATTAATTAACTTTTTTTTCATTTTCGAACTTTAGTCATTCGAACTTTAGGTCATTCAAAGTTACGGTCATTCGAAGATTAGGTAGTTCGAACTGGAGGTCGTTCGAACTTTAGTCATTCGAACTTTAGGCATTCGAACTTGAGGATTCGAACTTGCGGTATGTCTCCGTTTCATGTGTTGTAATCTTACTTACTGGAGATTTTACGTCTCTGATTGTTTTATGATTACTCAAATTTATTTACGAAAACTTTCTCTAGATTCTGAGTCCAGAAGAACTTTTATTCCGTGCAGTCCACGCAATCATCAGTTCCCACACTCTTCAGAATATCAAGGACGACACTCGACTGAGATCTCTGATTTCTTTTGGGCTCAACGAACAATGCCTGCATCTCTGGTTTGAGGTGTTATGTGATGCAAAGGGGCATGAAACACTTCGGAAGAGTTATTATCACACCTGGTCCTTTGTGCGGTCACCCGTTTGGAAGCAGGTGGGTCTAGGCGACTGAAGCAATACGTCTTGTTCAGATCATGTGCGAGCTCAGACTGCTCAGCCAGTTTTGCTTCAATCTGAACACTGATTTCGAAGTGCAACAAGCTCTGGAAATTGATCGATTGCGCAACCAAGAACAACATCAGAAAGCGCGAAAAATCGCGAAGAATGTGGGACCGAGTGAACTACGGTTCACAAGTGACGGCGGTGCCTGGAATCAAGCTGGACAGCCGCTGAAAGAAGGCGTTAGAGATATGCTAATCAAACATCATCTCTTCAGTTGGGATCTCTGACATTAATCATCATTACTTAAACTTGTAAAACCCCTACAAAGAGTGCAATTAAAAGTATTTATTAAATTATTTTGGTATAAGACCTAATCCCGTAAGAGCCTTTGGCATCTATTGTAAGACCATAAGCATTCGAATACACCGGAAAGAAACAAAACAATAAAATTTACATATACGATGGTAAAACTTTTCAGTGAAATTGAGTTTAGAACAGATATCAGATACAAATACTTCAGGGGCTCGTTTCATTTACGGCACTTACTTGTGTTGGCGAAACCGCACAAAAAGCGGAGAGTGAGAAAAATGGAGAAGTGGTAAATAGGAAAAAGGTGGTAACTAAAAATTTTCCCTTTTGATTGGTGAATCGGGCGACCTTTTAGGGAAATCGGCCGAACATGTTGGGCCATAAGTTTAGACAGAGTGGACCCATTTACGTCATTCCAAAACATTGAAACTGACAGTGCTCAGAATAAACGGATATAAATTTTTAAATTTATATTTCTGAAGTATGCAAAAATTTTTTCTTGTAATGTGGAAGACAAGATACGGCAAAACGTTTGAAACAGCCGCACGCAACGCGGTCCTAGGTTCTTTTTTTCAATTTACAAATTGGTTCACTTGGCAAAAGTTACGACCAGAAGATTCTCGACACCAGGAAAAAACTGCATATCTGAGAACAAAAATTTAAAAATTTATGTCTACGTATGTATTCAGTGTACTGTCAGCATTAATACTTCTTAATAAGGGCGTAAATTTCCACTGTTTCAAAAGTTATGGTCCAAAATATTCGGCCGATGTTCCTAAAAGGTCGCCTGACCCATCAATCAAAAGGGAAAAGAGGTCACTCGGGTTACCACTTTCCTTTTTCTCACGCTCTCTCCACTTTTTACTAGATTTCGCTAACTCTAGTTAGTGCCTGTTTTGTACGTGAAACAAACCGGTGGTTAAAATAACTGCCCTCACAAAAGTTAATGGAAACCATTTTCAAGATAAATATGATGTTAAACATCGGTATCCAAAAAGTGTAAAAAAAGTTTAAAAACAATTTTCAGTACAGGGTGTTTCAAGAAATTCCGCGGAAAGTCGTCGTCGATTTCTCGTCGCTCAGCCACGATATCCAAAAAATTTTTTTTGCAGTAGAAAGAATGTAGTGGGCGGTTTTTTGCCTAAAAAGATTTTTTTCTTCGCCGACGCGGAACGCAATGTATTCGGCGGAGACATTTGATAGCTTTTTTGCCAATCCCACTTATCTCAAACGCTTTATTACGAATTTTGACGGTTCAAAAGAGGATGAATCTTGATGATTGAAGGAGGATTTGCATATTTCTATGTTTTTCAAGCATTCGGCGAAGGTATGGCGGACGCTTTCCATATCGGCGTAGGCCATAACTCATCTTCGGACAAAGACACGGAGCTGGGAAATGGCTCGAAATGATTCCTGTGCTCTGGTTAACATCATCCTTCATCATTTCTTATGAAAATCAAATTTTTTCTCAGTTTGGCGGAGGAATCGGCGGAGGCTATAACACATCTTTGGACAAAGATACAGAGCTGGGGAATTGCTCAAAATGACTCATGTGCTCTGATTAACCCCATCCCTTGTCATTTCTTATGAAAATCACACTTTTTTTTAATCTGGCGGAGGAATCGGCGGAGGTCATAACTCACCTTCGGACAAAGATACAGAGCTGGGGAATGGCTGACAATGACTCATTTGCTCTGAATAACCCCAGTGTGGAGCGCATGAATCATTTTGAGCAATTCCCCAGCTCTGTATCTTTGTCCAAAGATGTGTTATGGCCTCCGCCGATTCCTCCGCCAAACTGAGAAAAAATTTTATTTTCATAAGAAATGATGAAGGATGGTGTTAACCAGAGCACAGGAATCATTTCGAGCCATTTCCCAGCTCCGTGTCTTTGTCCGAAGATGAGTTATGGCCTCCGCCGATATGGAAAGCGTCCGCCATACCTTCGCCGAATGCTTGAAAAACATAGAAATATGCAAATCCTCCTTCAATCATCAAGATTCATCCTCTTTTGAACCGTCAAAATTCGTAATAAAGCGTTTGAGATAAGTGGGATTGGCAAAAAAGCTATCAAATGTCTCCGCCGAATACACTGCATTCCGCGTCGGCGTAGAAAAAAATCTTTTTAGGCAAAAAACCGCCCACTACATTCTTTCTACTGCAAAAAAAATTTTTTTGGATATCGTGGCTGAGCGTCGAGAAATCGACGACGACTTTCCGCGGAATTTCTTGAAACACCCTGTAGTAATGAGGTCTTATATTGTCATAATAACAAAGGATGGCAAGAAAGGAAAAAATATATGAGATACCGTTATATGGAATATGTCATGCATTCTCGAGTCTGAAATACTTGTTCACGTTTTCGACTAGTACTGAAAGAGCACCGTCAATACTTGAATTTGAGTTGCTTAAAGAGTTCTGTGGATGTTTGTTTGGACAATTCGATCTGGCAGAAGAATCGTCATAAAGATCTTCTTCTTCCTCGGAGACTACTCCAATAAACCCTAAAAATAATATGCTTGTTTCTTAATTCATATTTACCTATGACATTGTTAGGCACTTTGGTGTTGCGTTGGGTCGATGATTTGTGGCTAGTTTCCCCCCGATGACAATCTGTGCCCAGCGATCTTCTACCTTCTCCATGAGGCTTTCCAATATTGAGACCGCAGAAAGCTCGAGTGAATTCCTCAAATTCAGGAACCGTTGCTTTCAAACAAAGAGCTCCATTCTCCAGATTACAGTAACCTGTGGCCACAGACGTGTTATAATAAGTGGGAATACTTTGACCGGGATGGTTTTGTTGCCCAGAAAAGTTATTAATGCCGGAGGACTTGCGCGCAGTGAATTGTTTGATGATGTCCGCGTAATGCGGTGTATTTTCTGAAATTATCTTTCTTGTATGATGCCAAACAAAATTATTTTTCAATTAAAATTTCACTTACCATGAGCTTTGTTTTCCTTTATTTCATCCTTCATATCCCCATTTAGATTGATCATATCAGAAGGAGAGACACTTCCGTTGCTCCCCTTGCCCACCTCCTGTTTCAAGGGTAATTCGTTCTGAGGAATGAATCCATAATTCCCTCCTCTCCCATTCTGTTGCTTATTTTTCTTAGCCACTTCGTATGCTTCTTCTCCATGAACTGTTTTGATGTGTTTTCTGAGTGAGCTGGGATCAGTGTAACTTTTGAAACAATTCTCAACAGGACATGCATATGGTTTCTGCAGAGATTACGGTAAGATTAGATTCAACAGAAAACTAATTACTTTATTGGAATGGGTTCGGTTGAGATGTTTGGCCCGGTCGGAAGCATTGCTAAAGGCCTTCGTACATCCCTCAAAATCACATTTATAAGGCCTTTCTCCAGTATGAGTTCTCAGATGCGTCTTCAGATTCTCCAAACGAGAATATGCCTTCGGGCAGAACTGAAATAATATTTATCACCAAGGCATGTAACACTTATAAAATGGGTTGTAATGTCAACTTACTTGGCATTGATTAGGTTTTTCGCCGGTATGTTTCCTCATATGCAAAACCAGCATATACAGTGCTGAAAAGGCCCTGTCCCGATCGCATCCGTTCCATCTACACCAATATTGTTCTTGATTGTGGAGGTGTTCACCTAGATGGTCAACCAGAGCTTGCTGACTTCTAAATTCCTTTGCACAAAGTATCTGACTTTTGGGGTCTTTCCATTCGCAGATCATTTCCACATCAGAATTCATTTGTTGGGGCGGCACGGAGCGAAAAGGGGGAACCAAAAATGCATTTTGGTGATATTGTGGCATATTCGCACTGAATCTACAGATAGAATTATTAAGTGTAATAAGTATATAAGATGTATATAAGATCTTTTTCACGGGTACCTGCGGTCCAAAAACCACCCTCCACAGACCCAGGCATCACAAGATTACAAAATTTGATGAGCTATCCAAAAAGAAAAACGGTTAACCTAGGCGTCACGGACAGTTTGAGCAAGTTCCAAGCTGTCCCCATATTGCACGAACGTGGGAAAAATAAATTCTTCTCAAGTAGGAAATGCTGGTTCAAGCGTGCCTCCGATGGCTGGGAAGTCAAAACGGCTTTCTACTCACCAGCACAAATCGATTAGCGAAACCTCGTTTCAACTTCCCAAAATCAAGAATTGGGAATAAGAAATCGTTCTGAATCCCCGAAATCGAAAATTTTACAAAACTTATTTTTTCCAAAAAAATGTAAAGACATAAAAATTTCGTCTTTTTTGGAAACCCTGCGTCTTCACTCTTATACATTATGATGAAAATATCCGCTGATTTCAAGCCCTAAGCTTTTGCTAGGGCATGAAAACACTGTATGCATTGGGAAGGCTTGGAGAAGACTTAGTTAATAGAAACAATTAGACTGAAAAGTCGTAGCGCCTTTTTCAATAATATTCAGATATATTATTTCTACTTACGTGTCAGCGCTATGTCTAGGCGGGACCAATGCTTGATTTGCCGGGGGTTTCGACCAATTGGGAAACATTCCGGGCTTGGCATTGTCAATTCTAGGTGGCATCTGGGCGTTGGAAACATACGGCGGTTGCATTTGGGGGGTTCCGCCAAAGGTCCCACTAGGGAAGTTCATGGAAGTACTGGTAAAGGCCTCACAACCAGGCAGGGTCGCTAAAAATATTAAAATTACTCACAAATAGTTAATGAATTAGTATCATAGATTCCAAAACATACAAGACCCCGATGACGAATCGCTTTTAGGCTTCTTGGGCTTCTCATTGGACGACGATGCTTCTGTTCCAAAGGATGCCGGATGCGTTTGGAAGTTCTGGATAACCGGTGGAACAGGCTGGAATCCTGTAGATGGGGTGCTCTGGCTCGGCATTTGGGGATGGGATGGCATAAACCTGAAGGATGTATATTAAAAAGATAGCATTCTTAAAACACATACTGTGGAAACTGCGACGATGAAGCCCCACTTTGATTTGCTATCATCATTAACACCTGCTGATTAACAGGAAACGGCCAGCGAATTGCCTTGGACAGGTAATCCATCCAAATTTGGGAATCTTTTTGTGCTGTTCTCTTTCCGGAGACTCGGCTACTGGAAGATGGGGCGCTAGATACACCGGAATCTGTCGTTGAACCGTCATCATTACAATTCAGATTTGCATGGAAATTATTGGCAAAATCGACAACATTCAAAGAAGCGATCGACGATTTCGGAGAAAGTCCATTTAGGGATTGTAAAGAGTCGGGCGTTCTTTTTAATTGGCCAGGCGAAAGTTTGCCTGAGGCTAGCCCCGTTTGGGTGGCTAGAGACCTTGAATTGGATCGCTCTTCTTTCGTTGCTCTTGAACCCCTTCCTGAGGAGACGGATTCATTTTTGGAGATGGGAGTGCTAGCACTTGACTCCCGGACTTCCTTTGAAACCCCAACTGATATTTCTTCAACCAAATCATTGGAAATGTCATCATCGCTCCAGTGCTCTACATCAATTGATTCGTCATCAGAATCAGATTGAACTACCACAATTTGTTGGTCTCGGTAATCACGGTCGTTGCTCCTCTCTCCCTCCGCCATCCTTTGTCCATTTAAATTCCTGAAGAGGCCATTAAATAAAGAGGAACGACCTAAAAAAGCCAGAAAATGCTCGGACATCGCAACAAATACCGTAATCACTGTATTGAAAGCAGGTGGGTCGAGGTCGATGGCGAAATCTGTTTGCAAATTAGCATTCTCCGAATTTCTTTTTTTGTAGGAAACCTTTCCTTACCAAATCACAATCAGAGTATGATATTAGGAATAAGAAAGCCGAAGTCGTGCACCTAATGCAGTATTCCCCACATAGAAAGCTGAGGGCAAATTTATTTACTCCACAAAGACATCATACTTTTACATTGACGCGTATGAAGGTCACTAAGACTTTGTAGGTGACATGAGAATCCCAGATGGTCACATCTCCCTTCTTTAAGTTTATCCGTCAGAAATAAGTCATCCGTTTACAAGTCTTTAAAAATAATTACAGTTCCGGGGTTTCTTTGTCGGATTCTTAAATTCAAAATGTTTCCAATAAAAATCTAAGTCAGCTTTAAGGCCGCAAAAAACGGCTGGGTTCCCAAAAGTACAAAAGAAAAGCCGCCAAATTTATCGCCGACCGACCCGGGCCTTGAACACGAGAACGGAGAGAGAACAGTCAACGGAGAGTGGGGCAGTAGTCTTGCCGAAAAGGAGCGGACCACCAGGGCTGTGATGAAAAACCGAAACAATCACAAGAAAAAACAACCAAACCTCTAGTCTATTAATTAATCCGGGTGTGAAGGGTGATACGAAGGAAAGGGGAGGGGCCGGGGAAAGTCGCCAAAAGCCACGGTCATGCACTCTCGGGTTACGGTAGCGCCAATGATAAAAACCCTTCCGTGGTTAACCGACATGCAAAACCGAAATTATAAAGGAAATTCGCAGAAGTCAACACATCCATAAAACACCCTGTCTGGGAATGAAGCTTGGCCAAGAAAAATAAAATCCTCGCGCCTCTTTAAGTGCCTTCCACCTCCGAGTCCGGTACCCAGAAATCGCTCGTCTTGTCGTCTAAAAAAAGGCGCGACCCTTCGAAGAAGAAATTCCTGGCGACCGCACAGTGCAACAGAAGAGTTAAAGTCGGCTGCGCTCTTTCACTCCTTGCCCCCCCCCCCCCCCCAATCCCAGCCTTTTTTACTTCTTTTGCATTGCACCGCCCGTTCCGAACAACCAGCCGTTTTTTACACGTGCAATTCTGTCGGGGAGGGAACGGAGCTATCTTTTCTGACCACCCAGTTCACTGCACTCCACACTTGAAAGAGGAAAGAGCTTGTTCAGGCGGGAGACAGACGAGAAATGACCGAGTATGCGAAACAAGGAGACCTCAGAGATCTGATAACAGACTGCATGTCCCACAGAGTGTGCCCCGGCGAATATGAAAAAGCCCTTTTAATGATTCTCCAGCTATTTTTGTCGGCGCCTCACTCTCGCGTCTCTGATAGTCAGCCGCCTACGAAAAACACGTTCACTCTGGACTCTCGAGACGTCATGTCTCTGCGAACAGTCGTCCCGGATTAGTTTTTACGTGTGTGGTCCTTCCTTCCAGCCGAAAAACGAGTGCAACTGAACGAATAAAAAATTCCGAAAGAATGCCTCGGGAGGGAAATTAAAATCTTTTTTTTTGCCAAATTGGCCACCACTTTCCAACATGCGCAGGCCATAAATAGTAAGGTGGAAGGAAAACGGGCCGATCCCCGTGACTGCCCGATTTATGGCCTCTTCTGTTTGCCCTTTTTTGGGTTGGCAGTAGATATAACTCTCCGAAGACATGGCGAAACGGGTTATCACAAGAACTCGGAATCTGATAAGCCCTCGAGGAAAAAACAGTTGGGCAACTAGAAGGTCATGCGACAACACAGAGTGATGTCGTAAAAAACATTTACGACTTGGTCCCCAAGAAATCGGATAGGGAAAGTGATCAAACGAACCCGACCGTAACGCCCTGAGGCATCACGACAAGACCGTCAAATTGCATGCACTTTTACCTTGTTTGTAACATAAATGCCCCGGATGGAAATCAAAAAACTTCGCATGTTAGATGATTAAGTACATTGAAAAAAGTCTTGAAAGTAAAGCTTTGATGGCTACCAAATATAAAAGTACAAAACTTTTTTTCATCCCTTCTCTCTCTCCCGGCCCACCCAATCTGCATGATAAAAAAGGCACCTAAACCAGGACCGATAATTCCCGATGCTTTTGCAAAAATAGTAAGTGTCGGATAAGCGGAAAGATGGAATTCAGATGACAAAGAACCCCCTCGCCCGTCGTCATCTTCGAAAGGATATCTCAAAATCATTTATCAAATACGATAGTAGAGTGCAAAGGACAGACGTTAATTCTTACATAAAACATCATCCTATCGGAATTTTTTTTTTTAATAAAACCAGATTACACCTTGAAGTTAATACCTGCGAGTTATTTACTAGAAACAATACCCAACACCAGCATTGCCATGAGCTAGTTCGAGACTACACTCTAAACATTACAAAACGGCGTAAATCTGACGTATCCAAATTTTTATGCTGTCTCGCGCAATTTTTGTCTAATTCTAGCGCTAGAGAAAAGATGAAAAGTCGTAAAAGAATAAAAATGCCGAAATAACATCGATCCTTGCGTCAAAGACAATAAATGACGAGTTAAAGGCGACCACTTGGCCTCCCGCTGGGATCGCAAAGTATCGACAGCTCGGTAAAGAGGAAACAAAATCAGCGAATCAAACAAGAAATAAACCCCGAGCCAAATTCAATCAATTTCAGCGCTTAAACATCGGGAATTGCCATCAGTGAAGTAAAGAAAGAGAATTTGTCGCGAGAAATCCTGCATCAAATGGAGAAAACGCAAAAAATGGGCCATTAAAAGTCACATAAACCCCGAGCCCATAAACCCAACTTAGGGCGTTCGATCCGTCCGAAAAAAAGGCTGTTTTACTTTTAATTGCCGTACTTTTTCGCTACAGACATCCATCCCATCGTAAAACCAATTGAGTTCGGCCTAACATATACAATCCCTGTTTACAATTGGGAAGGTACTCACTCACAAAAAGCGCTCTTTAAAATTTTTTTATTCATTAATTTTTGAATTGATAAATTGAGATTAGAGATTAAGCCTTTTTACGAAAGGATTACGGCAACAAGAAGTGGATCACCGTACACTAGCATCCTCATTTGCAAAAAAAAGCCAGTTGACTTATGTGGAAAAGGAAACTTTACTCATTAGAATATGGGCTGTTTTGTAGAGAGTACAACAGTAATTTTCCCTCGATACCCAGAGCCTCTAACCAACCGACCTTTACACAAGAAACACAAATTAAGAAGATACCACATATGTTACACTCAATATGCTCTTAATAAGACCACCCAGGTTGAAAAGCCTCGAGTGCAGCTTTTTATAAGACGTATTCAGGCTTGTGTAATAAGAGAACTATCAAAAATACAATTTGGTTGCTAAAATAAAAATTAAACTTACAAATTGTATTTATAAGGGGTAAAGGAATAACTACTCTTTTCGTAGGACATCCAAAGTAATCTGATTGGAGAATTGGGTTTCACAACGAAATTCAGAATGTGCATAAAATAAATTCAAACGACAAAAACCACCGAAAAATAATAAATAAATACTTTTTTAATTTTTTGGATTACGATTTTTCTCTAATTCTAGATACGGGCTGAGGGTTGGCCGTCGCTTTCGTCATGTCAACTTGTGCTGTCCTTTTTGATTGTCAAATTGAACTTTTTTGGTAAATTTTTGTTAAAAAATCGTAAGAATTTTAATTTTTTGGTACTGCTGGTCAAAACGGCCAATGAAATAATCTGTAAAACTAGTTACCCAAGATTAACCGTATTCATCATAGTCTATGTTAAGCTCGCGTGTGAGGGTGGAAGCTTCATATATCAGAAGTTTCAATTTACAGGGGAAGTACCCCAAGTGCGACGCTCAGATTTTGATGAAGCTTGGCACAAATTTAGAATAAGGTTTTCTAAGATATATGCGAGAATCCTAGCTCGCGCTTTGCAGAAACAACCGAGATTTTTAGATCGAAAGTTGGCGAAAATTTAGGACTTTTTGCCGAATTTCGGTACGAAAAGTTTCTTGCCTATTTCTACCGTAAAGGATAATTTTTCTACAAAAAATCAAATTTTTCCGCACAAAACTGCCAAAGTTATGGCCAAAAAACGTTTTCCTCTCTGACCGCTCTCCACGTGTAGCGTGCTCTCTCGGCGGCATAAATCGTCCGATATCTCGGCGGCGCCTGCAAAGCGCGAGCTAAAACTTTCAGGAATTGATATTTAGTCCATTCCCGACGTGTGTGCAAAATATAAAGAAAATCTGAGCGTCGCACTTGGGGTACTTCTCTTGTTAGCTGAAATGACGGCAATTTGACGTCATTTTGAAAAATTCTGTCAAATTAACAAGCCTGTACGGACTATCCGCGGATAGCTTTCTTCTGAGCCACATTCAGATCAAATTTTTCGTATTTGTGAAAAAAATGGTGTTCTTGTTGCTCTTGACGATATCTAATATCTTGTTGTTGTAAGTGCGTTGTTAACTTTTGTTCTGACAGTAAGGTAAATTTCTATTTTTTTCTTAATTTTTGCTTTGAGGGATTACTTTTTTTATGGAGTTGCGTTGAGGTTCGAATTCAATGTCTTCGTTAACTTCTTTCTTGCATTAATTTCTTATCGCATCGGTAATGTTGACAAGGAGATCAACATTACCGATGCACTATTAAAAAAACTTTTTGATGTTACATTCTTCTCAATTTAGTCTCTTTTTTGATAGTTTATACCGGATGTGCCAATATAGAGTTTAAATCGGGAACGAACTTATCACAGGAAAGGTCGTTGATTACCCAATTTATGAGTCATATTTTAGGTCCGTCCAATGTATTTAAAAGGGAAAAGACTCGTCCGAATTAACGCTGCCTGGATGAAGAAGGAATTGGGCGGGAGGGGGACTGGCAGTCCGTTTGTTGATTATCTGATTCCTTCCTATCAACTCTGCAAATCATGCGAAAACTTATGGAGAAGACGACGTTTTGTCTTTCTTTTGTGATCACGAGCCGTGTTCATGTTGTTTTTTTTTTTGAGCTTGGGGGGGGGGCAGATGTCACATTCCATATCAGACGCGGAAAGCCGCGCGCTGCCTAGTGATTCCTCTAGATTTCGGTGGCAGTCATCTGGCCCTGGAATCTGTTTCGGGCTGACCAGTCGATCGGCCTTTCTTCTTTCTTTTCGCTTTTACTGGGAATCGGCGCGCACTTAAAGACGGCGTCCTGTTCTCCATGGAATGAGAGGTTATGCACACAAACTCAACCATTAAGACCACGTTTTTGACGCGATTATTTTCCACCTCGCTTATTACAATATCTTTGCGCTTCTCAAACGTTGTTAGTCTTCTCGCAGGATAATCAAAACACTTTGGCTATGATTTGTGATGGCTATTTCATAGATTTGTTGCGTTATAATTTCCTTTTATTACCTTGTTCTTTAACACTGATGGATCCGTTTTATGTGAAGTCGCGCCTCTTCGGGCCTTTCAAAGTCCGGTTGTGTTGTCCATCTGTACCTATATTCGCCTTCTCAAATGCCCCCAAAAAGGAAATTTGTTTGATCTGGGTAACTGGAAAGCGGGCAAAGGGAGACGATTTTGTGTAAATTTAGCCCCCCAAGTATGAGAGCTCTTCCCGTAGGAACAAACTTGATCCTTTTAATGTGTTTCGTGGACATCTGGGAGTAATGTATACGCTTATCACCGAGATAAGCCTCTTTTTCTCCGATTTTTATGTCTCCAGCCGGTTCGATTCCTTTTTTTGGTGGGTTACCTAAGGGGGTGACGGGTTCTCTTGTGTTCGCGACTTCGAATTACACGCAATTACCGATAAAAACACTTCTTTTCCTTCAGGACGTTGAACGTTTAATTCGACTGGATGATGTTTACCACCAAGTAAGTCATGGATGCCATGGGGCGTTTGGACGAGTGCCTAGAGCAGCTGAACCTAGGCGAGAGCCCTTGCAAGTCTTCTTCTGAACCGACTTACAGATCGAGGGTTGAGTGAGTTTTTTCGGATCTTGTTCTACTCGGCTTTCGACCTTGTAAGAGTAATTTCTTTGATTTATCGAGCTTTTCTTCCCTTTGCGACTCGATCTTTGCCTTAAAATTATATTACAATCGTATTTTCAGTGACATTGTGGCATATTATGAGAAGATGTTGTTGGCGAATGCGGAGCAGTTGATGAATTTGGCGAAGGAAGAACAATATTCATCGGCGCTACGCTCTTCTCGAAATATATCTCCGTTTTCATCTCCAACTACTCGCCGTCTCCCTGCATCTCGTTTCCCTTGTTATCGTTGGGAATGTTCGATATCTGATAACACTGTCAATCGTTCTACTGTTCCTTCTCCCAACCGCTCAAAAAACATTGCCTTTATTGAAGATCTCAGTCCTCCAGAGTCGACTTTTCTTTCCAATGTTTCCACTTTCAACTCATCTGGATCGTCACCATATGTGAGTTGTTAAGTGACAATAAAAGCATTGCTTTAGTATGGGTATTATGGCAACACTCCCCCGCATTCGGCTGGGAGTACATGGAGTGATCTGAGTGAAGTGTTATTTGATCCAGAAGATGAAGACAGCAGTGCCTATCAAGTCCAACGAATAACCCGAGCGTATCGAACTCCTAATCACTACCCTTTGTAAGTTTCTTTGTTTATTTAATTTATTCTGTTTCTTGATTTTATAGGCCCGAATGTCGAGAGGAATCTTCGTTCGACACCACTGCTTCTACTGTTACTAATTTGAATACCTCTTCCTTTTCCGAGTCTTCTTGGAGCTTTTGGGGTTTGGATATTCCAGCAGATGAGGAGTTTTTAAGTGTAGAAGATACCTGCGAAGCCTCCTCGTCTAGTGTACAAGGAGACATCAGCCCATCTGTTCTTGGTCGAATATTCCAGTTCAAAATAAAAGACGAAGTTATTAATATTGATTTTAATGACGTAACAAATGGAGTTATCTACGATTACTCATGGAGATTGGATCTTTACGCTCCTCAATTTAGGGTAGGTCCAATAAACCTTACAGGGGAAATACTCCAAGTGCGACGCTCAGATTTTCTCTAAATTTTGCACACACATCGGGTATGGACTAAATATCAATTCCTGAAAGTTTTAGCTCGCGCTTTGCGGGCGCCGACGAGATATCGAACGATTTTTGCCGCCGAGAGAGCACGCTAAACGTGGAAAGCGGTCAGAGAGAAAACACCTTTTTGGCCATAACTTTGGCAGTTTCGAGCGGAAAAATTTGATTTTTTGTAGAAATCCTTTACTTTACGGTTGAAATAGGCATGAAACTTTTCGAGCCGAAATTCGGCAAAAAGTCCTAAATTTTGGCCGACTTTTGGTCTAAAAATCTCGGTTGTTTCTGCAAAGCGCGAACTAGAATTCTCGCATACATCTTATAAAAAATTATTCTAAATTTGTGCCAAGTTTCATCAAAATCTGAGCGTCGCACTTGGAGTACTTCCCCTGTTATTTGTAAACCTCATGGGGCGAATTGGAACCACTTTGTTCGTTATTTCCCACATATGTGCTACACCTATCTTCGACCGTTTCCAATATACAATAGTTTTCTGGTATCAAAAAACGGGAAATATGTGGATTAAGGGAAAACAACGAATTTGAACCTTTGGCCAAAAATATTCAAATGGTCCACGAAAATGAACCACCGCGAAAGTCTGTCCTCACTTTGACGGGCATTCCCTCAAACATAAGTATGCTCAATTTAAGCCATTTCTGATAAGTAGTCATGTTTTAATAAGTAGTACAGTGTTGTGAAAACATGAAATTGTGAATTACAGTAGGTTAATGAGAGAATTAGGCAGACGTGTTAAAGCCATATGTTATTGGGTGCTTACAGTCATTTTAAAAACAAAAACTCAAAATCGGTTTTTTCCTAGCTGGCGGCTAGCCGCGGCTGATAAAGTGATTCAGTACTCGCGTTTTAATCGTTTTTGGTCTTTTGTAGAATGCTTTAATCGAACTAACCTTACGAAACCTATCCAAGATGTTGGACCAGAATATTACCCACGCTGACGTCATCGAGAAGCCATCCGGATTGCGAAAAAGGTAAAAAGTCGGATTGGATTGTATATGTAGGTTAACGTGAAAAATACGATTTTTTTTTGAATAGATATAAGGATGAATACATATAAGGAGCTCTCGAGAGCTCCCTGTCAAGAAATCGGGAGTTATTGCCTGTCAAGACGAAAAATATTAGATCGCTCTGTCGTTATATTAAATGCATAGGCTTTGTTTTAGGTAGCATAAATAACTAGATGAGGAGTCTTGTTCATGTTTTACGTGTAACAAACAAATATTTAGATTGGCTAATTCCATTCGTTCTCTGAAATTAAAAAAAGAACAAAGGAAAGGGACGTTCCAACGGAATCTGAAGGAAATCCGCAACCGAAGTGACATCAACTCCCCACTCCCAGTTTTCATTCACTGTATTATGGATGCGATCTTAAACCAAGCCTCCCAGGCCGCTAATACGGGATTATTCCGAACGGCCGCTCTCAAGACTCGAGTCGAAGAATTGAGAAAAACTTGCGAAAATCTAGATGCGAATGACGTACTGCCATTAACCTTGGCTGATTCCAGCAATTTGATTATCTTGGCCGACATCTTCAAACAATTTATTCGGGAGATCCCTGGTCAATTACTTTCAAAGCCCATTTGGCAGTTGATGATGAAATGTGTAAATAAGAAGTGGTGTAATCAGGATGAACAATTCGATGCCCTCAGGGCGTGCATTGCGTTGATTGATCTCGACAAAAGAGATGCCTTGTGTATCATCATGTTCTTTCTGAAACGATTGTCAAAATATTCGGACGTTACTTTGGTAAGTTGAAGTGTGTTTAAACGTGAAATTATACTAATCTTCCTGTAACATGATTGTAAATTTTATAGATGACTGTTGACAATTTGGTCTCTGTGTTTATGCCCACCATCTGCAAGCTTCAGAATGATAATAACGATACCCCAGACGACTACCTCGCGAATTGTAAATCTCTGACAGCCCTCCTGTCACTCCTAATTTCTGAAGCTGATGATTTTTTCAAGTTGCCGACGGTGATACTTGTTGAATTAGAGAGCCCTCTTTCTTCGAAACGAAAGCGTAACATGAATGACCATCTCAAATATGATCAAAGACAGTTATCGCATTCCGGTATTATATCGTCCTACTCTTTGAAAACAAACCAGGAATATCGTTCTGATGCTGTCCTGGAGATGAATACCGTTGATTTGTTTCGATTTCTGATAGAAAACAGAACCTGGGACCCGACATTTACTTCGTATCAGTATTTAAAAACCGTCAGTGACGATATTGAACTAATATCAGCGCGAACGAAATGGTGCCCTTCGGATGCCGAAGCCATTTGTATTTCACGGCAAGTCTTTTGCTGATCGACAAGTTTATGATTAATTTAAATTAGTAAAAACTTAATTTCAGGATGTCCACTAGACATTACGCCAAGATCATTCGGAAGCACACTTTCATCTTGATTGAACGATCAGCCCCGCTGGCTGTTTACAACTCGAACTCCACGGTCATCCTCCGAAAACTTCATTTTATCCTCAGAAGAATCGATGCTCATCGAACGAATGTCACTTTTGTTTTAGGAATAGATTTTAGGTATTTTTTTGTTATTTTCGGTACCAGATGTGCCATGGGAATCCTTTTCATGAGACTTATTTCAGAAACTCGAACAAGCAAGTATCATGCGACGATCTCATAAAACACACCTGTGATGTCATGGAAGCCCTAAAGGGTCGATTTCATACAGATCCAATATATTGTTAGCGGGTTATCTTCCTTCAAGCCAGTGTTGTAAATTTGTATCAAAGATTTATTAAATTAATTAACGTCTTGAAGGCCTTACATACAGTTTTATGTATCAAGCCAATTATATGCAGGTGACGTCAATTTGACGCCATTTTGAAAAATTCTGTCAAATTAACATAACAACCATAGTAAAAATCCACAACAATTTTCCAAAAAACGTTCAATTTGACCATCAAAATGACAGCAAAATTTGGCAAGACGAAAATCACGGTAATTTGACAACGTGACTAACGCGTGAAGTTGACGAGTTAACAACCCTATTTGCAGTACTCTAAAGCGGAGGATAGGTTACCCCAAAAAACACATCACCCGGAGGATAGGTTGGTTACCCTTTACCAAAAAAAGAAAAAAAAATTTTTTGAAATGTTTTCTCTTCGGGAGTGGGAAAAAAGGATTTTTTGTAAAATTCAACAAAAAGGTGTCTCACTGAATATGAACTGTTGTGCCGCCAGCACTAAAATTATGTCTAAAATCGATGGTACCACCTGGTACTATATAGTACCGCGTGTTTTTGGGCTCTACTGCACCAAACCTCGAAAACATTTCAAATTTTGTTCAATTTTCACAAAAAAATTTCTTTTTCCCACTCCTGAAGCGAAAACATGACAAAAAAAAATTTTTGTTCAGTAAAAGGCTAACGCGTCCTCCTTGATAACCTATCCGAAACTTGGGGTAACCTATTGGCTAGGGGTAACCTATCCTCCGAGGACGAAATAATAATCGATGCGGATGTGGAAATCAACGGACAAAAAAACATGGAGAATAAAAAAAATCAAAAAGAACAAAAAACATGGAGAATTAAAAAATCGGAAAGTTTGAATAAACTATCTTCGCGGCGGCACACACGGAAAAAGTTGCATTTCTTTTGTCACCCTGCATAAAAAATACGATTCATGTTAGTAGGAATAAAGTTTACAGACAAAAGGGAAATCAGTCATCATTGTTGAACTTGTTCAGCTCCTCCTGGCTGATGTAGGACGCGGTGGCACAGCTGTTGTCATCTGAAGTCACGGGTCCCCTCATCATATAACTATAATGGGTATTACCTTATTGTAATAATCATCTCACCGGACTTTATTTCAACTTACGGAGTGTTTCTCAGCCATTCTGAACCGATAATTTGATGCAGATTTACTCTCTTTCTGGGGTCTGGATGGAGCATACGGTAGATCAACTTCCGGGCGGGGTCTGACGGGCACGAATGGGGAAATCGGACGCGGTGATCTCTCTGCATTGAAATCATTTCCTGCGGCTTCCGATCATCAAAGGGCATGATCCCTGTCAACATGACGTACAACACAACTCCAGCACTCCAGATGTCCACGGCGTTGTCCGCGTACTCAATCGATTGCATAATCTCCAGAGCAACGTAAGCTTTGGAACCACAATAGGTCCGGGAAACTTCCCCATCTCTAAAATATTTAAGTGGCGTGTACAAATCACTAACACACTTACTGCATAAATCTGGCAAAGCCAAAGTCACCGATCTTCAAATTGTTGTGTTCGTCCAAGAAAAGATTCTCACATTTGAGATCCCGATGAAGAATCTTCATAGTCTCCAGATATCTGAGGCCTTCCACAAATTGGCGGAACAGAAGACGACCCTCCAATTCATCGATCCTCTTCTTACTTTTGATCAAACGAAGGAGATCTCCATTTCCAGCATACTCCTCCACCATACATATGTACTCGTTGGTTTTAATGACCTTATCGTCAAGTTGCTTTCACATAGCACACTTACCTCGAAAACCTTGATCACATTGGGATGATCGAGTTGGACGACGAGTTTGATTTCCCTTGGCAGAAAACGACGAGTGTACTCATTCTTCTGTCGTCGGTCAATCTTTTTCACAGCGACCAACTTGTTCAATTTGTTGGAATAGGCGACCAGAACTTTGGAGTATGATCCCGTCCCAAGAACTCGATTGCGGAGAACGACTTTGTTGTTGAGGAGGAGTTCCCTCATGTGGAATGAGGCTGAGCTTTCACTAGTTTCTGCTTGAGCCATAGGTAACAAACGCAGAACCAGAAAAGACAGCCGGGCAACCGAACCCACCAACTCCCAAAATAACAAATAATTTTACTCGTACGCCTTTCCGGGCTGGCTACATTCCGGGCATGACTAAACCGGGCTATAGTGTTTCTTAATTACCGCATATGATGTTGCCATAGTTTTGTACTGTACGATCGTATCATACTCTCATGCTACTACTACATACACGTACCCATAAGTCTTGCCAATTTTTTCGTCGTCGATTTGTGCGAACCCCTGTGAGGATTGGAACGCATTACACAAAAACGTACATGACAAGGCTACATAAAATCCACTTGCTTTTCACACTAGCATTAAAAAATTGGCTGCTGATTAAAATGGATATATTCTTTGGAAAATTAGGTGTGTAAGCCCACTAAACGTGAAAATACGACGCAGGAGAGCTTTGGCAATAATTCCAGTCAGCGCTGCGACGCAGCGACACAAGCGCCATAACGATGATATAACCAACATGAAAACTGTGCACTCATATTTTTCAGATCCAATTTCACAAGAAAGTGTTGGATGTCATTGTGTATCATAAGTAATCTGCGCTTGTTTATAAATATAATGGTGCAAAAATCACCGCCTGTGCCAGTTGTGTCTTGAGATAAACACATTCAAAAATTTCCCAACTAAAAAATTACGCAAGCTTAAATAAAATGCGCATGTGATTTAGAACGGAACTCACTCGTAATGGGACTTTAATCCTCAAACCCGAAAATGATCAAGGCTTATGGACCCCCAATAAAGGCAAAACGATTTTTTATGTGTCGATCAAACATTATAACCGACTAGTATAAATTAGAGGTGGCAATCGGGCCGGGCCGGGCCGATTTTTGCGGCCCGGCCCGCGGGCCGAAGTGACCAGGCCGGCAGGGCTTTTTCAAATTTGCTCAGGCCCGGCCCGGCCCGATGAAAGCCCAGGCCGGCCCGGCCCGGCCCGGTTTGGCCCGCTAATACAGAAAAGTTGGATGAAAGTCTTTGCACTTTCTACTGGAAGTTCTTATGCTTTCCAGAAGGTTTTTACGTGTGTCTGCGCGAAATTAAAAAGTCTAGTCGGATGACTGGAACATCCGTACAGGTAGCTAAAACCTATAAGGGAATGGTCTGAACTTCCCCCAGCGTTAGCCAAAAAGTTGGATTGTGTTAAATTTTTAAATCCTATAGGAAGTTAGCTATAGTATAAAAGTATGGACGTTATAAGGTACATGGTTAACCAAAAAATGTTTAAACACTTTCATTTACATCAAGGAATCAAAAGTACAGTGAAATTTTTAAATTTATCATAAAAAATTCGAAGATTTTTGCCCGATCCTTGCATATTTGGGTGGGATTTTACATATACATAATAAGTTACATATACATATACATAATTTTAAAAAGTAGTAAAACAGCGTATAAGTCAAAAAAGGTTTAATCTAATTTCCATCCATTCTACAAAGCATTTGTGCTTTATTTTGCTGGTTTAGCATTAAAAATTTTTTACTTATCTACCTTCGGGCCGGGCCGGGCCGAAAGCGTCGGCCCGGCCCGCGGGCCGAAGCGGTCAGGCCGGCCCAGGGCTTTTTCAAATCTGCTCAGGCCCGGCCCGGCCCGGCCCAGCCCGATTGCCACCTCTAGTATAAATAATATGTAGTAGCGAAAAAACTGTGGGGTTATTGTTCAACGAATATGAAGAAGTCGATTTTTTCATAAAAAAATTGATTCGCTTTGAAACAGTTTAACGTTATACATATTTACATGGTAAGTATATGTACATAAGGAACGCTATAGGCCGGTTTACTCAGGCCCGGAATGTCGGCGTGCCTTAATCCTTGATATTTTATCTTGTAAATCTTAAAACGGTGCATCATAGTGAAAACATGCTTTGCTTTTGTTCTTTATAGAGCTCTATATAGAGATCTATCTCTTTCACGCGTTTGAAATTCAAATTTTAGCCAAGGGTTTTGAGTCCTAAGACGACATTGGCATTATGTTTGTGTGTCAGAAATTTATATTTTATGAAACAAAAAAGATCGAATTGTTGGAAGAGAAAGAATTCAAGTTCTTTATAGATGTTGTCGCAATCAGTATTGATTTTCGTGGTTGTACATAATTTTTAATCTCGGAATACTTAATATCGATTGTAATATTTATTTTCAGAACATATGAGTCTGCATGGAAGACTATAAATATCTTTTTAAGGTGGTATTGGTTGGAAATGCAGGTGTTGGAAAGACTTGCTTGGTCAGGAAGTTTACTCAGGTAAGAATCGATGGCTGATTGTTATTGAACTGACTTTTAGGGAATCTTTCCTCCAGGGCAAAGTGCAACGATTGGAGTCGATTTCATGATAAAAACTGTCAAAGTAGACGAGGATAAAATCAAGGTTTGTTCGTCATGTGTTATTGCTTATATTTTTAGCTTCAAATTTGGGACACTGCTGGCCAGGAGCGATTCAGATCGATCACTCAGAGTTATTACAGATCAGCACATGCTATAGTGTTGGTGTACGATGTAGCATGCCAACCAAGCTTTGATTGTCTACCAGAATGGCTTGGAGAAATCGAACAATATGCGAATCGAAGAGTTTTAAAGATATTAGTGGGTAAGTGTTGTGGTTTATCCATGTTTTTTATTTTTTTATTTATTTTAGGTAACAAAGTGGATAAAGAAGAAGAAAGGGAAGTGCCCGAGAGGATTGGGAAGAACTTTGCTGATGCCAACGGGTTCGATTACTTTTTAGAGACGTCGGCATTAGACGCTACGAACGTGGACACACTCTTTCAGGAAGTCGCCTCAAGGTTGACAAATGATATGAAAAATAGTGATGAACAGTGAGTTTCGACGTCTTTTATTTATCTGATTTTAGGTATCACGGCGCCAAGAATAACAGTGCCAATGGGAGTATCACACTACTTGACAGGGCCCAGCAACAGGTCAACAATTGTTGTGGGCGATCGTGAGAACTTGTATAATATCACAATATGTAAATTGCTTGGGGTGGGTTATGTTTATATTGTTTCACTTTACACATTGAAGCCTGTGATACTTTTTTAAATATTTTACACAAGTATTATAATAAACGTGATATCATGAAATTTGTCTTGGCAGATGAAGGTATATTCCGTCATTTTGGTACTGATTGTAAAACACTTCCATAATAATATTTAGATGTCACGTAATCCGGAACGCCCTTCAAAGAGAGCAGCCCAGAAGTCGGATGCCTCGGAAGATGATTATGTAATGAAACGTCAGAGAAATAATGCCGCCGTAAACAAAACAAGGCAGAAGAAACGACAAGAAGAAGTTGAAACTATCCAGAGGGTCCAGGAACTTCGAGAAGAAAACAAAAACCTGGAGAGGACAGTGGAATCTCTGAGGAATGAGCTCAATCTTCTAAAGGAGATGGTTCTATCATTTGCTTCTCAAAATAAAACAAATAAATAATTATCTTTATTTGAGCAACTACTACTCCTTATCCCGCCCTTGTAAAGTGTGCCACTTGACCACCGGTCTTCTTGTAATCATCATCTCAGCCCATTGCTCTTGACTTATTAGGCTACATGAACTCATGTTCAGGTGAGGAGAACTGAGAACAACAGCTCCAATGAAGTCGTTCTTGCTCATCTTGTCATAATCCCACACACTCACTACCATGTGTACCCTCTAAACAGTAAGTCATTACGGATAAATGTACTTACTTCCATTTGTTCTGGTGGGATTTTAAATTGGAAACTCTCGTTGTAATATGGATTTAATGTCTTGAATTTAATTGATGTCTTCTTTTTATGTACCAGCTTTTTTTGTTCATATATATACAATTTAACATACGGATCTGAAAGCATAAATAATTGACAGTGACAGCCTTAAGGCAGTGTATCGTTTTCCTCAACAAACATACCCGAGGAGCCCCCCATGTCCATCTTTTTAAGGTTTCTGGCCTCCATAATAGTAACAGTTAGGGTACTGGTGGCTGGCCTGTATCTCATGGAGAAACAAATGTCTCCTAGCCGGGATTCCTAAACAATGTATTTCCATGCGACAAAAGCAATGAATATAAAAAGTATCCGAAATGCACTTACCATGTCACTATCATTATCAGGCTTCTGCAAGTGCATAACTTGGTCGCTGACGTCGCCGAAGTCATAATTCTCCAGAGGAATCGAAATTTGTCCAATTCGGTCGTCCTTGCTGAGTCTGTCAAAGTCATAGACAACTATCTGCAGGGTCTTCCGCTGGAGCTCATTAAAGTTGAGGCTGAAGAGGAAGGTCTCATTGAAGACCGGGTTTAGAGAATTCCGTTTTATTTTTGTTTCGAACTTTGGTTTTCGATCTGGGATTAATGTTAATTTAACATAAGGATCAGACATCCCATTTCTGTCCATTGCTGGCAGATCTCGACATTCCAGGATGGTGACGGCCAGCTGAAAGAGATGTCCATCTTAATTAACATACTGTTTTGCCTGTTCGCAGCTTTCGAGGTTCTTAGATATTCTGGGAGATTTGTCATCACAAATAAATTCTTCAGTTCCCATGCCTATTTGTTTTTCCCCGCACCATAAAGTCTGTAGAATTTTGCCCAGTGCGTTCATCCCTCTTCTACGGACTTTACGATTATACCTTCGTATAATTTACTGGGAAATTCAGAAAGAGATAAAATTCAAAACATCCGGTGAATTTGAGGGATTAGAGCACTCTTTTATGTGTACTATAGCTAGCGTTCCATCCTTTCTATTTTTTAACATGCTGCTAGTTCTTTTCTAGAAGCGCCTGTGACAAGATTAACAAGATGTTCGCAAGAAGTGTAAAGAGATGTTCAGAACGCGTGAATCTAGCCGGAAAGGGCTGGATTGCGGGCCGGAACCAAGAGCCGCCTCGTCTCAACTCAATCCCCCCGAATCACTGCTTTCTGAGAACCTGAAGCAATAATATTTGTTGTTGAAATATTCAGAAATCTTGGGATTATAATAAATAATGCATAACCTAAGGCCACTCACAGTACAGCCCAATCGGATTAAGCACATCGCCCGAGTCCTGGGAAGCACGCGACACTTACTTTGTTACTGGCAAAATCGTATTCCAGATTGAAATGGATGGTACCGTAGTTCATATGTTCGATGAATGTTTTGCTCGCCGATTCTCGTGGAATGGAATCAAAACTTTGAACCGAGGCATCACTGAGAAGACTTCCGGCTCCATTTAGTTTCTCGAGTATCTGCAGATGACATTTATTACATTCATTTTTTTCTTTCGGCCGTTTTCGATATTTCGATTAGGCCCTATTAACAACGAGTCAAAGGAAAGCTTTCTCCCTCACAGTGGGCGCAAAGCGTTCAGAAAAATTCTCGTTGCTATGAACCCTCGAACACGTCGAGAAAAGGAATAAGATGAATAAACCGAGGGGAAACCTCTTCAACTTACCCGTTGTGTATCGCCGCTTCGACTGGTAGATGTAGAAGAAGTCTGCTTGCGAGGAATGCAGACAGTGAAGTAACGGAAAATTGGGTTACAGGAGAGAAGAACGTGATCGATCCAGAGCAGTCGACGTCTCATTGGGCGCTCTTGACTGGTGCCTGGATCGGTCTGTAATAAGCTCATCAAAGGAGAAGGTCAGTCTTTAGCACGAAGGCCTTTCGAGTGCACAGAACGGTCTGTCCCGACGCTCCTTCAACCCCCCAGATCCCGCCCGTCTTTCCGTTTTTTCCTAGACAGAAAAGTTGCCCGTTTCAGAAGAAGGCACCTCTTTTTGGCACACTGCCATCTCTAAAACAAAGAATACAATTAGTACGGAACTTCTTCTTTCCCCTTGTAAGGTCACTGCAAAATTGTCATCCATGCAAAAACGTTTCTGAAATTCCCAGCGGGGATAGGTGAGAAAGATGGCTTTGCATAGGACCCCTTATCAGTCGGAAATAATAGAAAATGCACAAAAACAAATGATGGAAATAAAGAACATGCGAAAACCGTAGAGGACGGGAAGTCGTTAAAGCCAAGCCTTACTCTCTTGCTTAATCCGCTCTAAACAAATTAGGAGATTTTCGTCTGAACACGGCCTTGTCCTGAGGGCCTTTTATTGTAGCATGTGAGAGAATGGACATAGCAACAAGATATCCAGACAAATGGAACGGAATAACATAATTGGTGGATAACGGAAAGAAATAAATCAAGTAATCTCCTCACTTTCGCTAAGAAAGTAATCCAAAGCACATTCCCCGGCATAGAATAGAACGGTGACTAATGTTAATGCTCTCTCTCCCTCTTATTATTGTGGGCTTTCCCCCCCAAATTATGACGCCATTCAAGGCACAGAAGAAAGCCCGGCGCCATTCCAGGGCTTACTGGATTCGAATAATAGACTTGAACATGGAAATAAGGATTCACCTGAGAACATAACGAGATCTTTCCTCAAATGAGGCCTACTCTTTGCATTTACACCCATGGGCCCTCCCACTTTATCCAACAGGAAGATTAAATTATTTAAAACACATTAAAAATGATCCAATATATGTGGATTTTATCTAAAGTAAGATATATTAAGGCCATTCATGTACAGTAATAGACATGTCTTCTACTTCTTTATTAAACGAGCGTACATTGCGGCGAACAAGGCGGGAATGAGCTGAAATGGAATAAAAATTAGAGTAATTGTAATTATATAATCTGATGACTAAAACATAAATCATCAAACTGGTGTGAACGAAACCGAGCCATCTTACCAGAACGCCGCTTTCCACAATCGAGAGCCAGCTGGCCGTATTCACCACAAACAGAAGACGCTCTTTCAGCGGCTTATAACATGTTTTGCTGAAGATGGGAGTGCCCTCGATGGATGTGAGATGTGAGTTTCGGCAATGCTCTTCACTCCCAATTGGGCAACTGAAATGGACATCGAAATTTATGCTTTTACCTTCTAGTAGTTGAATAATGCCGAGATAAATATCCAAACTGGCACCCGGCTAATGGTCGTCAAAAAATATGAGGCTAACGAATTTTGTGGTCCCAATTATAAGGGAACAATCGGACAGTGATAAATTATGTTTCTTGCATTTCAAAAGATCAAGTGTTTTTTTGGTGATTACGGTAACTGACGAAACTAGGAATGGCCTTTGGCTGGATTGTGGCCTGCGAGTCGCCACGGCAAGTTGAGCTTACTGCCAAAAAGGAAAGTTGCAGTATTGAAATTGAAAAAAATAGGGAACATTTTTCGTAAATGCACCAAATGATTGCCCATATAAAGGCGGGCTGAATTAGCATCCGTTTTCTTAGTTTTTAAACTTTTTTGGACTTTTTTAGCCTGCTAATACCACTTCCTGTCATCTAATATTATGTTATAGAAAAAACTTGGGGGTGCAACCGGGCCGGGCCTGACTTCTACTTAGCCGGGCCGAGGAAAACTTAAAACGGGCCGGCGCCCTCCGGCCCGCGATTTTCGGCTCGGCCAAAAAGCCACTATGGCTGACAAAACATACCAGGAATCCGGCATCTTTGCCTTCTCTGCATTCCCCTCAACCTTGAAGTGCATATGCCATTTCGATTGGCCCCAGATTGTCCAACCATCAGTTCCATTCACTCCGCAACATTGGAACTAACTCGTTAAATAATTTACTCTTTTGCACTTACATTCGTCTGGAGAGAATCCCATGCTTTGGTGACATCAGGCCATTCCTCGTTGCCATATAATTCCCTTAATGAAGTATACATCTTCATGTCTAAAGGAATTTGATGACGGAGTTTATACTGAAAGACGAAGCCCATGACTCCGCCAATAAACAACATAATGAAGATGATGACACTTGCAATGGAAAACTAAACCAGATGATCAACGCCAAAACAGAGCAAAATTACCGAGTAAATCATACACCTCAGTTCTTTAAATACTCCATATGTCGATATGACAGAATTAAAGATGGCTAGCAACGTAACCACAATCATGATCCTGCTCACATCGACGTATAAACTGGGAGCTAAAAGCTCTGCGTATTCTGAATAATTGTGATACATCCAACACCCGTACACAAACACGGCACATGCCAGCATCTAGACAAAGTCACTACACGAGGTCAACCTACCACTGACAAGAGGTTCGTGCTGAGATAAAGGAGCCGAAGACATCGACCACCGGACCCGTACGCTGACCATCGGCTGAACGATCCCATGCCTCAAGATGTGCAAACACTTTGGCTCAAGGAAACATAACCGATTAAATGTATTCAAGCGACGTCGCAAATCGATGCGACGGAAAATCTTTTCTCTCTGTTCCAGGAGAGACGGAGTCTAAGAATAAAAGGAAATAGAATGGAAGCGCGCGAATCTTGACGCGGAAACCCAGAATTTCTGACCTCAAAAAACTCCCGGGTTCGACTTGATTATGAGATGGGAAAAGGAAGGGAATTAATGGAAATAAACTGGAACCAGCATAATCACCAAACTATTAGCAAGTCACTTAGTCAAATCAGCGTCTTTAGAGCAAAAGTCATCGAATTCCAAAGGTCTGACTTCAGACCCTCAAATGTCAAACAATGAACCACCCCCAACTCCTTCGCTCCCGACCACCGCCGGCAGTTGTTCGTTGCGCGAAACCCGAGAAACCTATGGCCTTCCAATCACACGCACACAGTTATACATGTTTGTCTGCTTATCGAACTGGTTCCGATTGAATTGTTCTTGTCATGTTCATCTACTCCAAGTCATGTATACCTACTTGAAGTGATTAATATAATTTATATCATAATGCAACGCAGATACTTGACCCTTCGGGTTATTGTCCAACGGTTCATTGAATACATTTATTGTTTAATACATCACACAAAGACCTTGTATTTGCATTAGTCGTTGTTGGACATTAACTCCATGAAAGTACTGATGATTCCAGAGAGCGCAAACTAGGACGGCAAGGCGAGATGGATCTCTGTCCCTGCAATCCTCGAGTTTCTGTGTCCAAAGAAAGGGACCGCTCGATGAGAGAACAACAAAGAAACGAGAGAGCAGGGAGAGGATAACAACAGCGAAAAAAGTGCGAAAGCATGGCAGCCCGCAAGAGACCGACCCATCTCAGATGCAGTCGGTTATGTTGGGGGGCGAGGGAAGGAAGGGAAGAGGCTCGGCCGACCAGCGAGATGAGCAACCAAACCCGTTTACCCGGGCTTTGTCTCCAGATATTTATTGTTATGATCACATATGTATTGGTCGATTTGGCGGTCGTATTGCGTCCATCCAATCCTCCAAACAATTAATGTTTATTTCGGTACATTCCCCCGTCCGAACGGTCCCTAATCAATAATTCTTAGCGCTCTTATTACAACGAGAACTTTTATAATCAATTATCTTAATTATTTTAAGAGCCGGAGGGTATTCAAACAACAAGATCTGGCGTTTATGAATCCAAATCTGGCTTTTCTCCTATAAGAAGCTGAATCCGGGTTCAAAGCAGGAGGTAAGCAAATGATTTTTGATGATGGATGTTTTAATTTCCATTTAATCTGTCAGTTCTTTTTCCAGAAGTGGTCTAGTATTTATAAGCAACTTACTCTCTGAGTTTGACCTTTAATTTGTACCATACGCGGCTGAATGTTAATTTAATTTTTATTCCTTTGAAAAATAGCTAGCAATAAGTAAGACGTTGCTATCGTTTCACATTGCATTGTCTTTTCGATTATTAAAGAATGTCATTCTAAACTTATTAGCCGGATCTATGCATTTCCAAACAGAATGCCAAAACCCGCGAAGTTCAAAGTTTTTTGGTTTTCGTTGCAAAGTTTTCCGAACGAAGTTTTTCCGAAGTAAAATAAATTCTTTTATCTATAAAAATTGTGGTGAGTCTTGACGTTTTAGCCTCTGGGTTTGTTATATGTTTGTAACTTAGTTTATCGTCTATATTACACTTTCTTACGGATGCATTGTTTCGTTATTTAGCCCTTTGTCGGTAACAACAAAATTGATATTTCTATCACGTTTCTTTTGTTAGACTAGTCACTTTTTCATCTTTCAATAATTATGTTTGTAGGGAACGATGAATAAGGAGTTATTTTCCAAGGAAGGGAGGAGCCTTACAGTAAGTGTCGCGTTACCAAGTGGAGAGCCAGACCGAGAGCTTGAATTGCAATATGCAGATGGACGAATAATTGGAAACGGATCCTTTGGTGTGGTCTACATGGCCAAAGTGGTCAATACGAATGAACATGTTGCTATTAAAAAGGTTTTGCAAGATAAACGGTTCAAGGTAAGTCTGTTATGATACCCATATCATGGGTTTTAGAATCGAGAGCTTCAAATAATGCGCCGATTGAATCATCAGAATGTTGTCAAGCTCAAATATTTTTTTTATACGACCGGTGATAAAGTATGTTGAGTTTGTTATTTCCGAATACAAATTGGATTTTAGAAAGACGATTTATTCTTAAATCTGATACTGGAATACATTCCCGAGACAGTTTATCGGGTATCGCGACACTTCAACAAACAAAGACAGAATATTCCAATGATCTATGTAAAGGTAAGCATCTTTTGTTAATATTATTTGTTTTTTAGACATACATGTACCAAGTATTCCGTGCATTAGCCTATATCCACAGTTTGGGCATCTGTCATAGAGATATTAAACCGCAGAATCTGCTTCTCAACTCAAAGACCAGTGTTGTTAAACTGTGCGATTTCGGGTCGGCCAAAGTTTTGACTCCCGGCGAGCCGAACGTCGCATATATCTGTTCGCGGTATTATAGAGCACCTGAACTTATATTCGGCGCCACTGATTACACTACAAGTATTGGTAAGTTTTGTCCGTTGATTTGCGGGTTTCTTTGCAGATTGTACTAATCTACCCTAATTTAGATGTTTGGTCGGCGGGAACAGTACTGGCCGAGTTACTACTGGGCCAACCATTCTTCCCTGGTGATTCTGGAGTGGATCAGCTAGTTGAGATCATCAAAGTTCTTGGAACACCCACTCGGGAAGAGATTAACAAGATGAATCCGAACTACACCACGTTCAGGTTCCCGTCAATTCGGCCTCATCCATGGCAAAGGGTAAGGGTAAAGAAGCAATATCAGTCTTTTTCTGTTAGGTTTTCCGTCCTAGAACTCCAAATGAAGCCACTGATTTGGTCTCAAAGATCTTGAAATACACTCCGACAAGCAGACTGACGCCTCTCGAAGCGATGGCCCATGAATTCTTCGATGAGTTGAGACAACCTGGTTGTGTTCTGCCAACGAAGACGTCACTCCCGCCTCTCTTTGACTTCACGGAGGACGAATTACAATACATCGGCGAACTGAAGGAGAAACTGCTACCAAATACGAACGGCGAAACATCGAGCACGCCTTCAACATCAGAGGTCATCCAGAAGGGGGGAGAAGCCTGAGAAAAAAGACAACGTTACCAAATTTATTCAGTTCTTTCCTTCATTTTGTCTTAGGTAATGTTCAGAGGTCTGTCCTTGTCTGAACGTTCACTTATTCTTACTCTGGCGACATTCTTTCTACCTCCGGTCGCTCTAATCTAGTATGTATCAATTTCTTTTTTGTTTTCCATAAATTTTATCTTTTGCCCGGTACAGTCTCTTTTCACTGTCCGTCACCGGTGCATTCTGACCTGGACGGGCATGGCGGATGGGCTTTGAGGTACTTAATGTCGGCCGCCTGGCCCAGTTCGTATTTGTTACGGGTGTGCTTGCTTGGAAGGTGGGCCAGACTCAGCCTCCCAGCAACGCCACGGCCTCTTTTGTATCTTTTAGTTGTCTCGTAATATAATTTTATTTGTTCGTTTTCATCAACTTGCCATTAAGTTGTTCATAGCTTTTCTACGTTTCTAAGATGTTACTTATTAGCCAATATATCATTTTTACTAATGTTGTTTTTCTGATGCGTTAGTGTGAATAAATGGTAAAACTAGAACGCATTACTATTCCGGGGTTATGTAAGGGTGAAGAAATGATACAGGCGGGGGAAAGAGTTGGCACTTCTCGTGATCAGGAGAACACTTGACGCGTTTAAAAATTTTCTTATTTTTTGTTGAAAAAGCTTCATGGAGATTGGGCTGGGGCCAATGCGCTATCTGAAAGTTTGCTGAAAGTTAGCTGAAAATGGTAGGGCGCAGCTTGGAAAACAACGTTTCGCAGCTCGCCGGAGCTATGTTTCGGCTTGTTTTCGAGCTGCGCCCAAGACGCGAGCTGCGCCCGTGCAAATTCTCCGAGCTGCGCCCTATGATTTTCAGCAAACTTTCAGATAGCGCATTGGCCCCTGCGTGAAATTGGGCTGATTTCTTGTAACTTTCTTTTTTATCTGCTAAGCGCACGTTGCGTACATACATGTGTGTCCTTCCAATTTCCGTGAAGCCGTTGGAAACATTTTTTCTTGTTTTTTACTCACAGGGGAAGTACTTCAAGTGTGACGCTCAGATTTTCTTTAAATTTTGCACACACATCGGGTATGGACTAAATATCAATTCCTGAAAGTTTTAGCTCGCGCTTTGCGGGCGCCGCCGAGATATTGAACGATTTTTGCCGCCGAGAGAGCACGCTCAACGTGGAGAGCGGTCAGAGAGAAACCCGCTTTTTGGCCATAACTTTGGCAGTTTCGTGCGGAAAAATTTGATTTTTTGTAGAAACATTATTCTTTACGGTTGAAATAGGCATGAAACTTTTCGTGCCGAAATTCGGCAAAAAGTCCCAAATTTTCGCCGACTTTCGATCTAAAAATCTCGGTTGTTTCTGCAAAGCGCGAGCTAGGATTCCCGCATATATCTTAGAAAAAATTATTCTAAATTTGTGCCAAGTTTCATCAAAATCTGAGCGTCACACTTCAAGTACTTCCCTTGTCAGATTAGGGTCGGAATATTCGGGTATATTCACCACGTAGATATACCCGAAATCTTGGGCGTATTGGGGTATTTATAAAATTGTCCCATTATAGGACCAATATGAACGTTTGTAACCCCATTCATTAACTTAAATCACGTTTGGAGCGATATTCTTTATTTTCCCAACTACAACAAACAAAACAGGTACTTTAACAATGAGGCAATCCAATATTTCGCAGTCAAATTTTGATTTTTTTCCCTTTCATCTCCGGCAACTGGCCAACTTGTTTTCGACCTCAAACCCAAGTTTTTTTCATTTGTATGGCAAAATACAAATTATGACAAAATGTCAACATTCATTTATTTTTGTGACCAAATTCCACTTTTTTACGCGTCTTGAATGCAAAAGTCCTTTGAAACTTCCCATAAATACCCCAAAATACCCAGCTTCTCGGGTTTTTCGGTATATACCCCATCCGAACCCTAACTTTCGGATTTAAAATAATCGTTTTCAATATATATTTAATCAAGTTTTGCTTCTGTTGTCAACCTTAATTTTAGAATGTTGGCCTCTTCTTTGGCTTGCCGATCGTTGATGGGACTGAGGAGCTCGGCAATGCCGAGTGTCAGAGCCTTCCGTACTTGCGCCCCTTTAAATGGGGCGGCATTGGTTAGCCCAGCTAGACCAACCAAGACGATTCCTTCGGCCGCTGGCCCCTTCAAATTAGAACGTCAGGTATTCATCGCCACTCTCCCATTGCTTCCCCTTTCGTACTTTGTTCACGGTTCGGCGATGGATTGGATTGTCACTGCTGCCATTGTTGCTAATTGCCATTTGTGAGTTCATTCTATCATATTTTTTACGTTTTAGTGGTGGACATGCTGTTGTCACAGATTATGCCCGTCCGATTGTTGTTGGAGAAGGTTTCGCGAAAGCCGCTCATTACCTTTCATACGTTGGAACGGCCCTTTTGGCCATTGTATTGGTCAACTTTAACATCAACGACGTTGGAATCACCCGTGCCTTCGAACTTGTCTTTAGCTTGTAATGAGTAGCTGATTGGGTATAGGTTTAAATGACTATAAATACAACACATTTAAAGTTTCGAATCTTTATTCTGAATAATTTTGATTACCGAGAATTTCGTTGATGGTGAACTTTTTGCGAGGTCTTTGCGTTTCAATAATGTCCTGGAGGGATTTAACCCGGAAAGGGGACGGATCCGCGGACTTAACCGTTTTCTCTTTCAGTTGATCTAAGAAACAAATTTTATTGATCTGAGAGGCTTCTCACCTTTCTTCTGTACAACATATACTTCGGTTAATGCGTATAAACGGTGGATCTGTCTGAGATGACGCTGAAACTCGAGGATGGCTTCGATCAGAAGGGAATCGACTTGGGGATCCTCACACTTGAAGTCTGAATGCTTTGTTTTGAATTCCTTGAGAAGCTGAAACGACAGACACATGTAATCATGCCGAAGTATGCATATTCTCTCACCGTCCACCGTTACTGGGTTTGTTGACTTTAGCGGCTTTAAAGGTGGACGAGTTCCGCGCTCTCTCCTGCTTTACTCCGTTTTTTACTTTTCACCGTGCAATTGCCTTTTCGTATACAAACTGTAATGGTCTCTAATTGAACGACTTCCCCGATCAAAAATAATATTTTCCGAGTCCACATCCTTCAAATAGCTATAAGTGAGGATGTTCCTCTTCATCCTATTATATAATTTGGTAAGTTCTTGTTCAGAATAACGGTATTTTTGATAGCTAGGGACGGTAAAAAGTAATGCATGTGGTTGTGTTGTGCCTTGCTGCAACTACGCTATGTCCGTACCAGTATATCAAATGCAGCCAATTACAAATCAAATGGACGCAAAGTAAGCATAGTAAGCTAGTCATCGATTACATCCTTAACAGAAATAAGAAATTCGGGAAGAATGACATGGAAGTTTCATTGAAGAAAGCATACGATCAGACAAATAACGAGGAGACCATCTACGTTATCCCAACCTTGAACAAGCAGAACAAATTACCGAGCTTTCCAATGTTGGGAGTTAAATTACCCGAATACATCAACACCCCAGGAATGGAACACTCTGGTTACCGTCCCTTCTTTCCGCCTCGATTGGATCCTTCACCGGCCCCTGCTATCCCTATGCGAAATTCCCCCACGCCCCAACAACCTCCTACAACTTCCCCGGCCACAGGATTGGATACTTTAGATGTATTGGTGGGATTACACAACAATACTCAGACATTGAAAGAAGCACAAGACCTTTTACATCAGATTTTGGACATTCTGAGTCAGCGAGTGATCTCTGAACCCTTTAAAGCTTTTGATGAACAATCGGGCAATCTGACGTCGCTAGGCACTGAATCCTCGCAAAACGAAACCGCGGATGTAATGACAGAATTAGAGGCAACTAACAGTAGCGAGATCACCTCCAAAAGCGAAGGAGAGAAGACGATAGCCTTGCACTCTCGTTCTACGGCTAATACTAAGAGTGAGTCAGCTCCAATGGAAGAGCCAGAATCAGAGGAAGACGATGACAGTGAAGATGAGACCACGGTTCGCACGGAGTTTTCTACCAAGTCTGCCAAATGTCCGGGTATTTTGATATTTATGTATATTTTGTTAATTAGCTTTGTTTGTGCCATGAATTAAAAGTAACTAAACATACCTCGATCACATTGCTGATGTCTGTGTTATAATCGCCATTCCAAAGTGCGTCTTCACATTTCTGAACTAAGAGCTAAATAAATAGTTTTACCAAAATTATAATAACAATTACCGTAACGATCCTGAAAAGGGGATGGGAACGGATCGCTTTAGAAATATCCGAGTCAGAATGGTCGGCCATCATCAAACAGAATTTGAATGTCAGTGAACTTATTCACCTTATCAGAACTCATAAAAGTGGTAAAGGCGCTGATAATCGGAAGGAAAATATAACAGAAAGGAAAGCAAATCGTCAAGCGGCAGTCACACTCCGAGGAATTATACCGTTATAATTCGATCCATTCCCATAATAACCATTTAGGGAATTGCTAATCAAAAAAGGAATGAAACCCGCATAAATCAGCTCCACCTGGGATCCAATTAGAGGACGAATTTGTCGAGAAATATTTATGGCAGCGGCTCAAACGCGAGAATAAAGGTGGGACGGTAATTGGGTCAACCGAGGTGATAAAAGCGCCGGAAGTCCCTTTGCGCAAAAAAGAGGAACCGTGCCATCAACTGAAGTCGAGAGATAACATCAGATCATAAACAAAACCGACGACAAGTGTCATGTTTATACACACGAGTTATTAAAAGGAGTTAATATGAACAGTCTGTTAGCTATCGTATTTTTCTGTGAATGGTGGACTGTCGAGAGAAGGCGGCGGCCAATTCGGCGAATTTACCACAGAATCCCGAATTGTCGAAGAGAAACCCGAGGCATAGCCGATTGTATGCTGACAAAACATAGGGCTGGCACCAATGGAGAACGACGCGGTAAGCGAACAAGTATTGAAGGTTGTTGGCGACCGCGTTCCGCCGTTGCAACCGCAAGAAGATCGCCGAAGTCAACATTGGATTGGCAAAGTTATTTGAGCCTCTGAGCAATTGCATCAGCATAATTTCGATGAGAACAAGAGTGCCCGACCGACCACACCCATCCAAGCAATGGATTACTGAGGGATTCGGAGAAGTGCGCGTCCTGTCGAATTTGAAATAAAAGAAGCGACACATACCTTCGCAGAATCCGCAAAGGCCATTGAACATCCGTGTAATCCTTCCAGTCATATTGCCAATGCTGAAGTCGGTGAACCTCGGTCGGATCATCACTTCTCCACATACTTAGTGACGTCACTGAAAACAGTGGATCCATTGTCATACAAATAGAATCATTTCTTATCACAAAGCTCCCGACAGTTAGGATACTTCCCTGAACTCTAAAAGCAGGAACATGTAGTCTCACGGCACGGACCTAAACTTATGTAATTGTAGATGATACTACAACCTTCTAATAACGTTCGTTGAACTTACTTTGGCCAATAATACGGGCAATAATTAGAAGGTTTGTCAGTTCCCAACATGGTCATATTATCTGTGTCCATCGCCCCACACAGCATGACCACATATTCACTCTTCTCTTGCCAAACCATTCTCCAAAAATCAATTGTAGTACTGGACATGGGAGCTTGTGTCAAGATGAATTTGTTAATCAACGGTCCTCCAAATACGTAATTCGCGTGAATGAAATCACTTTCACCCCTAAAATTAGGTAACAATTTAAAAGAAATCTGACTGTCCTCTTACCCATCCTCTTGATATTTTACACTTGGACAATCAAAATCTCCGAAGACGTCGATTGGCCTGAGAAGCGTTCGGTTTCCGTTACCATCTTCTTTATCTAACTTCAGGACCACTCGATTCAGATCTCCGCAAACAATCCCTTCAACTGATGTTTTTAATAATTTTAGATGGAACTTACTGCGATTGCGTGCTTTAGTTGCGTAATTTGCATCAAATGCAGACTGTGACATCTCATTGCGAGATAATTCGGAATTCTCAAAGAAACCTTCCACAACTTCGAATTCAACGAAGAATTCCTGTAAATAAAAGAAAACAAAACTACAAACTAAGTTTTTCAGTCAAATTTTTCTGTCATTTTGATTGTCAAAACGAACTTTGGAAAATTTTTGTAGATTCTCGCGTGTGAAAACTTCGTATATCAGAGTTTTCAATTTAGAGAAAATAACGAAAATTACGGTAAGTTGACGTCATTTTATCAGATCAACAATCCTACAACATCCCCAAAAACAAGTAAATAAGACGAAGATCCCACTCACGGAAAGATCAGTCCTCGGGCGTCCCGGTTCAATTAGAAATGACCATCTGATCATTCCCACAACAAAGGTTGCAAACTCCTGTATCCGCTGAATTATCCGATCTGCAGCTTCACTGTGGAAATCGCACCAATTACTTAGTGGATCTTTACTCTTGTAGGTCTCTATGTGTTGAAGAGCGTCAACCATAGCAACGCCCATCTTGCTGACATGGGTATGGTTCGCAAAGATCTCCTTCAAATGTTTCGCAGCTCTCTTACAATTAGGTGGAAGCTTGTTCAGCCAAGTCGTTAGATCTTCCCTATTAAAACAGGAAGTTAGGTTTTTTTACGTCAAAAAGTTCAGGTATACCTAAAAATGAAAGTGGAATATATTTACCCATATTTTATCCTAAACAGCTCCATTCTTGCGTTTACATCTGTATTTCGCTGGCTAGGATTTCGTATCAAGAAGTCGTAGACAGTCATCTCTAGTTTCTGATCATGGAGAATCTTGTCCACCTTGAGACACATCTGTTTTAGGAAAGACATCGCTTCCTTCTTTTCAAAATCTTTCTAGAACAAAATATGGAAACTCTGAATAACTTACGATTCGCTTCCTAAGCAGATGGATATTCCAGTATCCCGATATTCCACCAAAATATCCATTTTGGCGCTTTGGAACCATCGGCATCTCCAAAGTGTGAAAATCGCCCTTTTTCCGCATGTAAATCCCGTGATGGTAGTATTCCGGATCAGTCCCATCATCCTAAAAAGGTAGAAATAAATGAATGCAAAAAAAAACAACAAAATAAGGGTAAGAATATTATCCAGCCAGAAGCATACCTGATACTCGACACTACCGACGGAACTTCGTTGATTTTGAGCTTTTTTTTGCTGCTTTTGGTGCCCGGGTATAGCACCATCATCGGGCCGCATTTCAATACACGGTTCAACCAAAAAAAGCCAGACGTTCCCGAAAAAACATTAGCGCAACTTTTTTGACAGAAATTGCCAGAGGCGGATCAAAAATCATTTGATTCACCGGGTGGAGCGATTTTTTTATTGGACAACAAGGCTCACGAAGTAAGTGAGATACACTAAAATAAAGTAACGTTTCGTGTAGATCCATGTTTGTCCACCTCGAAAAAGGTCGCGGTTTGTTTCTTAGTCGAGTGGAATTTAGGTCATTATGAGTTTGTTCAATTCCTGTGAGGATTGTGTGATTCATGCACCTTATAACAACAACGATTGCAAGACCGAGAATCACTTTGAGACCGCTGTAAGTATGTCTTTGTCATCGTCTTGATAAGAGCTCGACCAAGAAGCCCCAAAATTTTTTGGGACTTTGGAGGACGTTGCAAAACTACGATATATTTTTTTGCCCATTTACAGTTTGGTCGACGAGGCTGCATAAAAATCTGGTGCACTATTAAAAAGATATATAAAAAAACACTGCGCCAAATTTCCGTGCAGTATTCCACCAAATCTTCCCTAGTGTGTAGGTCGTCAACTTGACGTCAGTCGCGTTGTCAAATTGCCGTCAGTTTCGTCATGTCAAATTTTGTTCTGTCATTTTGATTGTCAAATTGATTTTTTTGGGAAAAGTTCTGTAGATTTTTTATCTAAAAAGTCGTAAGAATCTAAACTTTTTAGGAACTTTTGTTCTCGTCAAAACAACGAATGAAATAAGCATTAAAACTTTAATATTAACGGTATTCATCAGGATGGATTCGCCAGCCGCACCAGGTCAGCGCTGACTGCCATCCTCATTCGGATAGAAGATATCTACATAAGAGTCAGCTACTAGTATGAGGGTTTATTTCTCCGCCCTGAGGCGAGGTACGTTAGTATGCACGCGATTATTTTAAACTACTGGATCCTTTAGGTCTTACCTTATTGGCCTTCCTCGTGGACATCCTTTGATGTTATTGTAAGATAATTAACATACCCGCTCGTAATGATTAACACGCCCGGTCATATTGATTAACACACTAAGCTTAGTAGCAGATTTCTGATATCTTTGCAAATATCCTCAACGCCTCTGTATCTTTGTGCAATACTCGGCTTTTTGCACAGTGCAATAGGTTTTTTGGGATGTCGCTCGCATCTTTACTTTTCCTGCTCAATGCAAACCCCAAAAAACACTCCAGCGACTTTGCGAACAGACTAGTGGACACAAAAATAATGTTTCTGGAAGAAAACTTCTGATTTTCTCATTTCGAGCCGCTTCCAACGCTTCTTGGCTTGCGGCGACATTTTGTACGATGAAACCCTTTTTTCAACATTTCGCATTTTAATAGTACCTGTAGGTATACTTCATTTTAGGTCAAAAATTAACCAAAATGCAATTTTAAATAATTGATGACACCTTTTGTACCTTTTAGGAAATTTTTTGTCATAAGTTGAACCACTATGTATTGTTATTCCGTAGGGTACCCTCTTTCATTTCTACCAGAACGTGCCAATTCGTCTGGAAAGGGTTAAAAACGTAGTGGGAAGAATTTCGTAGACTACACTGTAGATTTTACAAAATCGTTTAGAATTCTTCTACGCGGAAGGTAAAACGACGAACGGGTCTGGTGTTCATCATAGTTTTGCTGTTAGTTTTGTTGGGAACAGCAGCAGTATTCATATTCTCCGGGAGATGTGAGTTTTTTAAAGGAATGAAATGGACTATTTATAGTCAACACTTTATCGTTTGGTTCAACGAAACATAACAGATCGATTTCACATTTGCCATTACATCTGACGGCTTTGAACGAAGGTCCAAAACCTAAAAGACATAAAGTTCATTATGAAGATTATTCGATCACTTTCAAACAAATTGAGTCGCCAAAAGTGTTCTGGGAATCAGATGCCTCGTTTATATACACGGATTCCTCTGGAGATCTCATTGTAAGAAAAGATGGTGGTGATTCTTATAAAATCTTAGAAGTTCACGATTCTCCCAAATGGAAGCTTGGCCAAACCTGAGATGTTTTTATTGAAAAAGCAATTGGAAGACGAACTTCCGTTGTTTAATTCTGACGCCTCATATGTTGCTTTGAAGAAACAAATAGCGAAAACACCTTTTGAACAGTTTACTGTTCGGGTGGCTTCAGTTCAAGATAATAATGTGGGGTATGTAATTGAAGAAAATGGGAAACAAGAAGCATGTTGTGTTTTAGCGTCTTCCACAGTGTCGGAATAAGTCATGGATCAGATCCCCTACAATATTTTGAATGGTCTCCTGTCCGAGAAAGTTCTGATTTCATTTTTATTCATTCAAATAATATGTTTTATCAACCTGGGATTGGTCAGAAAGATGGGCTGATACAATTGAGCGACAGCAGATCTGCATTTCTCTCCTTTGGGGTTGCAGATTACATGTCGTCAGGTAAGTTTCTTTGTTGCTTCCTTAGTTTAAATAGAGTCGATTTACGGAGAATCGAAACCTATTTGGTGGTCTTCATCTGGAAGATTCATCGCCTATGCCTCGTTTGATGTCAGAAATGTATCAGTGACATGGGTTCCTTATTATAGAGATGATGTTTCCCAACCGCAGTAAGCCCTATCCAAGTAATAGTAGACTTTTAAAGTATGCACCCATTGCGTTGTGCACGTCCTGGTGACTCTGAATTGCCTCAAGTTCTGTTGTGGATTTGGGATAAGGTTGAACAAACGAAACAATTTGCGATGCCTTCTGAAAGATTCTTCAATGATGGACCCACGTCGTATGTTTCATGATATAAGGGTTGGGAATTTTATTTATTTTCTAGTACTATAAAAGTTCAGTTTTCTGTCTGGCAAAAGCGGGGAGCGACAATTGGGGAAACTGAAAAAAACATTATTTGTCTTACGTGCGAGTTTCGAACTCAGGATAATCGTTGGCCTTTGATTTCAAAAATCGTATTCATTGTTTTTTGTTTGTAACTTTTCTACTCTAAAGTAGTAATTTTTCAAATTTTTGTCACAAATACTCGATTTGGGGGTTGATTTGAATTGAAATCAGCACCACCGGAAACCCCTAAATCGATTATTTGCGAAAAAAGCAAAAAAAAATACTGATTTACAGTACTACTTAAGAAAAAAGTAATGGTCAGAAAAAATTAATACAATTTTTGAAATCAACGCCACGGATTATCCTAATTTCGACACTTACATGCAAGAAAAATAATATTTTTCATTTTCGTTGTTTTTTCCCCAATTGTCTACGTTCCGTCCACCGTAACCTATCTTCCGGGGTAACCTATCCGTGGGGTTCCATTATATCATGTGCATTTTTAAAGATTGAAGTACCTTGTATGGGCACAATGGGCAACAATAGAGCCCTTCGGAGAGTTCCTCTTGACCGTCTGGACCAATCGTGTCCAGAATTTTATCGCTGCGATGATTTGCATGATGAATGAGCCATGTTTTAGAGTAAGAGTTGGTACTTTTTTGAAAATTTCCAGTTTTTTAAATTCAAATACACTGTAAGTGGGAAGAATTTGTGGTTAGAGCCAACGAAACGTCTCCAAATAAAGTACACCACCAAGACCGGCTTCTTTCTGATACTTCCGAGACAGCATTCTAATGGCGAAATATACGATGGAATAGCTCATATCGACATTGTAAGTGGTTATGAAAGTTCTTCTAAAGCATTCTCAGAGCCAAGTGCAAGTCGGACGACCTCGTTATAATGTCAGATTTCATAATGGGGCCTTTGATGTTCACGAAATTGTGGGATATGATGCAGAGCAGGATGACTTGTGAGGGTTTATGTCAAGTTCACAAAAAGTTTTAGATTCTTTACCGCACAGGGCGGTATTATAGGGGAGATGCATTTATTCCGAGTTCCCACTGCCTCAGGGGCCAATGGAATTGTCCCTCAATGTATAACATGTCCGATTGAGGAGTGCAAATTTACTACAGTAATATTTTCGCCCAGTTCGAGGAGGATGTTATTGAATTGTGAACGGGCCTTCATGCCGAGTGTAATGATTGTAAAGTCTACAGACCAGGTTGTTAGCAGTGAGTTTAATTTGGTATGAATTAAATTAATTTTACTGTCTAGATGTTAAGGTAAAATACATTCAATCAGAGATTAACCTGTCAAATGAACAATCAACAATCAAATATGAGGTAGTTAAATTGCCGAATGGAATGCGTAAGGAGAGTTATGCGTATAAGACTTTTTGATGTTGTAGTAGCCAATGTCCAGCTCATAATGCCACCGAATTTTGACTCAGAATTGGTTTATCCGGTGATATTGGATATCGACGGAGATCCGGGATCTAATAATGTATGGAAAAAAACTCCCCATTCGTATCTACTGTTCTTATCTATGAATTATCATGCAATTGTCATTAAAATTGACGCCCGAGGATCGAGTTTAAGAGGATGGCGGTTGAAGAGTTCGGTCTTGCATAATCTTGGAGGTCCAGATGTAGACGATAAATTGGAATGTCTGGGGTATTTAAAGTAATTATTGAGTCAACTTTATTTAGACGCTTAATGAAACGATTTCCTTATTTGGACTCAACCAGGGTTACTGTGATGGGAAGAGGCTACGGTGGCTTCATTGCTCTTCAAATGGCGGCCAAAGACGGCGGAGCCATGATTAAATGTTTGGCACTTAGATCACCAATTACCAGCTTTATGTATCAGGGTAAGAGGGTAACCTTTGATGATATTCTTCAGGTGCTGCCTTTTCCGAGAGATATTTGCATATGCCCAGCGATAATGAAGAAGGATACGAAACGAGTTCAATGATTAATAAGAATCGAATCGATTCAATAAAGGATATAAAGATATTCTTGGCTCATGGTGGCAGTGACCGACATGTGCAATATCAGAATTCTGCGTTACTGGCAAAGCATTTGCAGAAAATCAATGTTCATTTTGTACAAGTGGTAGGAAAACAAGTTTTTTTCATAATTTATGTAATTTAGATTTATCCGAACGAAGACTATGATCTGGACGGAGTTCTCTCGCATTTTTACAATGAACAAGAAAACTTCCTGGCCTCGGAATGTTTTTCGTAACAAAATTAATATACGTATGTTTGGAGGGGGAGGTGACTAAGAATAACGAGGGATTTTATGATTCAAACCGGAGATTCTTTTTCCTATTGAGGTTCAGGGTGGCTAACACTACTCCCTATTGATTGCTTTACTTTACACTATCAGACGTTCCGATCTCGGTTCCATCTGTTATTTCCCCCACTCTTTTCAGACCAGACGGTTAAAGATTACAAAACCTTGAAAGAGTCCATTTTTTTACCGAAAGGGCTTAGGATATGTTTATGGACGACCAAATAGGATTTAATACTATAATTTCTTTTGTGATAGATGCTTGTCGTGGTAGATAACACTGTGGTAGAACCGTTAAAACTTCTTTATACGGCGTTATATTTATGGTTTTTTGACCTTTTATTGAAGTTATATACTCCCCGTACAATGTTTTGACCCCCCTCCTAACTCGGTCCAGGGTGTACTAATTCGGACCAAATTTGGTATGTAGTATACTCACAGGCTAGTAACAAAAAATAACATAGCTGGACCTACCTTATAGTTGAATATCAAAATCTAGGAGCAATTTTCAAAAATCACCTTAACAAATCGAGGAAAAAGTTTTGACCCCCCTTAAAAAAACGTTAGATATCGCCAGCGGATGCCACGCAAACCTATTGTAATCGACGTCCCATACCTGAATACAGGTTAATAAATGGTTTTCCGTTGAATGCTTCGTTGCATTTGAGGATTCAACGCGTTAAACCGTTTTTGATGTAGAGCTGCCCAGAATTGTAAAAATCTTGCCCTAGCGCTTTCCTAGAGCTCTAAATTGAGTTTATATTATGTGCTTTAGACCTGTATTTACCTTCTCCTTTCAATAAAAGTGCATGGTGGCCTGGCGGTGTAGATTCGGCAGATACCCTCTTGTCATGCCCAGCCTTGGTGAGCCATTTGCTCTTTGACTCAAGGTCGAGATGTGGTCGTTATGTCCTCAATGTAATCCTGAGACTCCTAGTTACTCTCAAACAAAGAACAAACTCCGGCTGACACGGTTTCATATGGTTTTCAGGCGCAACTTCGCTGATCTGCACCTTAACGAAAAACCCGCGTTTTTCAAATGGATTTTTAGCCACCAAAAACGGCTTTCATTTGATGGACCAGGTAATTTAAGACGCTACAGCACCCACCATACTGATTTGAGACGTATGAAACGCCAAATGGGAGGTTGGGATGTAATAGTACTCGGGGTCATCTACAGTAACGGCAAACTTCAGATTAAGGTGAATGAAACCCATTACAAAACGTGTTAAATCGAAACATTTTACATTACTCAGAGTAAATAGGAGTCTCAGGATTACATTGAGGACCAAACGACCACATCTCGACCTTGAGTCAAAGAGCAAATGGCTCACCAAGGCTGGGCATGACAAGAGGGTATCTGCCGAATCTACACCGCCAGGCCACCATGCACTTTTATTGAAAGGAGAAGGTAAATACAGGTCTAAAGCACATAATATAAACTCAATTTAGAGCTCTAGGAAAGCGCTAGGGCAAGATTTTTACAATTCTGGGCAGCTCTACATCAAAAACGGTTTAACGCGTTGAATCCTCAAATGCAACAAAGCATTCAACGGAAAACCATTTATTAACCTGTATTCAGGTATGGGACGTCGATTACAATAGGTTTGCGTGGCATCCGCTGGCGATATCTAACGTTTTTTTAAGGGGGGTCAAAACTTTTTCCTCGATTTTTTAAGGTGATTTTTGAAAATTGCTCCTAGATTTTGATATTCAACTATAAGGTAGGTCCAGCTATGTTATTTTTTGTTACTAGCCTGTGAGTATACTACATACCAAATTTGGTCCGAATTAGTACACCCTGGACCGAGTTAGGAGGGGGGTCAAAACATTGTACGGGGAGTATAGTTACAGATGCAGTTGATTCGGCTTCTGCATCCTCGCAGAAGGGATCGTCGTCGATTTTTCATCTCCAATCCCGAACATTGGCTCGACCACGAACGGATTCGATTAATGGCTACCTCTATCCTGTATATAGCATCGTTGTGCGGAGTATTTATCTACAGATGACAAACATTTTATTTAGTTTTTCTTTGCTATTTGTAAGTCGGTCAGTAAACTGTTTATATATCTTACAGTATTTGGCAAGTAATCCCGGGAATACAGAAAAGCACGGGGTCGAATAATGGATAATATTACATTCAAGAAAATTTTGTTTAAAAATAGATAATACTTTGCATAATTGTTGCCTATAACAACCTAATACTAAAAACAAATAAAAGCAAATGATGCTTTTTAAGAGTAATCTCTATAACTCTAAATTTAAATTAAAAATCTACAAAATGTTACCTAAAACAACGTAATACTATAATCAATTGATGTTTTTTGTGTAATTCTTTATACTTTCTACACGTAGCTACAGATTGCTGCTTGTGAAGTTGAAGCTTATAATAAAAACAATCAGTTTCGTCCCCTTCTCGACGTACTGACTGTTTATAAGCTATAAAGATAAGCTAAAGGCGCGGGGACTCGTCAGCGACGAACACCCTTAGCCACTTTACATTACTTCTCTACAAGCTCCTACTTCTCCTAAACATAGAAACAAAAATAAAAGCTTCAACACTTACATTCATGTTTCCGTTTGATTGTTTTCAAAATTGATGGAACTTCTGTGTCCTTCGTACTGCTCTTTTGTCCGGTCTTTATTCTGCAGAGTCCTCCGATGATATGGGTCTTGTTCAAATGTAGCTGTAAAATTCAACAACTATTATTGCGTATCCAAAATACACGATTTTATTAATATTTCCACGAAAAAATCACAGTCAAAATAAAAATAAAAATAAAGTTTATGGATTTATGGTGTCTGAAAACATATAAATTTAATCCACAAAGTCCTATTCATCCCGGATTGCGGCAAAACGTTTACAGTCACCTTTGTAGCTGCAAAAAAGTTTCCATCGGAATTTTCGCGGTTTTTTGACATTTCGCTCCATTTTGACACATCGTTCTATTATTGATTGATTGATGTTTGTTTGATTTGCTTGAATAATTACTATGTAATTTACAACTGACGTTTTCCCGTCTAGCCCAACATTGTTCTCAATAAGAATATTATTGTAACTTTTGAATTGCATCAGACCTACTTATTGACATATTGCATAAGAGAAAAAATACAATTATTGACATGTTACATAAGAGTAGAAATACATATATGCAAATGAATACATTGGTTTGAAGAATTAAGTAAAGCTAGAATTGGTTTAGTGGATTGAGTTTAATATTCTAACTCGTTGGAAGATCTGTAGATTATCTCCATAACATCAAACGCAATGTTATGGTATATATCTCCATCTATCCTCACAATTGCTTGTTCAATGTCCTGTTTAGTGTAACCGTTATTTATGCAGTTGTCAAATAGTATCTTATAATTGTATTTGAGTGTTTCATAATTACTATTGGTCTTATTAAACCTCTTCATTTCGTTGGCAATAGTATTTATCATCACCCTTTTACTAATACACGAGTCGGCTTGTATTCCTTTGATTACTCTGAAACTGTAACTCCTTGTCTTGTCGTACGTTTCCATGGTAAATTTTCCATTTTCTATATTTAATGTGAGGTCAAGGTATTCTGTTTTGTTGTCTCTACTGGTTTTTTCCACATTTAGTGATTCATGGTAAATTTGACTAATTCTATTCTCAAACTCCTTGTCATTTATGACCAGTATGTCGTCTATGTATCTGCATACTACCGTGTTCCTTCCCATAAGATGCTGATTTTTCCTCATATATCTATACTCCATACTTATTAGCGTTAGATCAGCTATCAGTGGGCTTGTGATCCCTCCCATCGGCACTCCTTTTATTTGCTTGTATATGTTATTACCAACTTCAATGTAATTGTTATAAATCAGTGTCTTAACTATGTTTTTAAGCTCAATTTGGCTCATAGTTCTCATGCCATCTTTAGTGTGAACTGAGGCGTACTTGGTATTGAAATATATATGCAACCTATGTTTGAAAGCAATGTGTATTACCTCGTTAATGCATTCTTCTATTACTTTTAATGGAAGGTTAGTGTATAAACTACTGAAGTCCCCCGAATATACCTCCTGAATATTACCAACGTTTCTAATCTTGTCTATAACCTCTTCGGTTGACTTAACGGTCCAGTACCAGTTGTAACCTGTCCTTTCTTTAATCTTGTTACAGTGGAAATACAGTTGATCTTTAACCCATTTCAGTAAAATAATGCCTATTTCTTGTATTTTGGTGTTATACACTTGAACCGCTGCTGTTATGAATCTAAATTTAACCGGGTTCTTGTGTAATTTTGGGATACCATAAAAATGTGGTAATTTTTGGTTTAACCTGTCCTTGGCGTCTACTCTGCGATATTTGGTCAACTCATTGAGCCCCTCGGCCAGTATAGATTCTTTGCTGTAACCCGTGATCTCGTATGTGTTATCCGAATTACTGGTTTGTCTTAACTCATGTTTTATTGTTTCTATGTAATATTGTTTACATATTACTACAAAGTTATTACTCGCTTTATCAACGTATGTAATTACCCATTTACTTTGTTCTTTCAAGATTTGTTGACGTATTCTCTCTATATCATTCTGTGGTCTTGCTTTAACTGGACTTACGTCTTTTTTAATTAGCGTTTCTATTAGGGTTTCTAATGCTTTTACCTCTTCATCTCTGTATAGGTTACCATGCTTTCTGCCTATACATATTAATGCATTCGTTAGATCTTTAGCAATGTTACTGAGACTATATTCTTCATCTAGCCTGAATTTTGTGCCCTTTTTCATGAGCCGTCGCAGTTTACGGTCTCTGATTATGTCTAAGTTACCTGTTATTACGTGACCATGCTTGTCATCTATGTACTTACTGTGCCCCTTTTCGTTACATATGCATTTGTACAAGTTATTAATGTTTTTGATGGTGGTTTTGTGGTTAAAAAGTTCCATTCCAATGGTCTTGTTGTATCTATAACATTGTATTATCTTGTACTTTGCATAGTCAATATTTATAATCTGCTTAACGTTTCTATTATTTATTATACGATTAAAGTTAATTTGTTCCAACATTTTATTTTTAAACGGGATAACAGCGTATTGATTGACTTTGTCGGATTTTCTTTTCTCTCGCCTGGGTCTATTTCTCAACATTTTGATGCATTCCCATATGCTGAGTATTCTCGGATCGTTTATAACACTGTTAATTTTTTTGTTTACCTCTATAAACTCCTTGGCTTTTATGTTCTTAAGGGCTATATTAAACGGTGTTATTGTGTCTTGTATAAATTTAATGTTAGTTATGTCCTTACTTAGTTTAGTTAGGTGTGCCGAGCTATGATTTTTCGCATTATTTTTCCGTTGGCCTGACTTTTTCTTGAGTGTTTTAACTTTATAATCAAAGAATTCTTCACTATTCTTAATTTTATTCATATTCCATTCATGGTTATGACCGTTATTCAATAACCAGTCGTTAAGGCCCCACGGTGTAAAGGTTCTTAACTGTTTGATCCAGAAGTCCTCAACTATCTCTCTTTCTTTCTCGCTGACTTTTTGCTCTAATACATGTAATATTTTAAATGTCATATCATTTGTAGAGTGGTCTTCCTTATTGAAATGGTTTACCAGTTGTGTCTTGAGTTTCTTTGTTTTAACTGCATAAACGTGTTCATATATCCTTCTACCAAAGTTTCTACCCGTCTGTCCCACATACTGCATGCTGCACTTATTACAGCTAACTGAATATATTACATTTGCAGTACGACATGTGACCCTTTCGTTTGTGTCATTGACTAAGGTGAACTTATGTTTTTTGTCCGCCATGGTATATGCATGTCTGCTATTGTATTGGTTACATGCTATGCATTTATCCCTTTGACATTTTTCATATTCGAATATTCTCAATGGGCCCTCTTTATTATAATTAACTAATCTATAATTGCTGCTTTTGTGTACTGTTTGCCTTTGGTTCATGTCATTCCTCACTGCCAAAATTAAATCTTTGGTGTTTTTGGATTGTTAGACCGAATTATTTTTAAGAAGTGGCAGCATGGCCTACTGCGCCACTCCTGAGTTGTAAACTTTGAATTTTTTAAAAAACTATGTACATACTCAGTGCTTTGATGGAAGTGTTAGCTGACAATTCAGCTGAATCTGTGGTTGATATCCCGGCTCCGGCGAGGACACATGATGATAGTACACTCACACACTTTTTTGAACAATAAATGATGGCAAAAAATGTTAAAAATTTAAAATCCCTTTGTTTATTTGATTAGCATTATAGATCTGATATATTAAATCTTCAAATTACATAAAAATTAGTAATCAGTTATACAATCAAAATTATTATTCTACTGGCTCTTGCCCACTTCTCTGTCTCTTACTCTGATCCTGCTGCTCGACGTTTCTAGGTCTCTTGTGTCCCAGTAACGATGGTCCCGTCCATCCAGATGTGCTCGCAATCTTCTCATTCAAGCTTCTATGGTTGCCATATTCCTTCAGGGTCTCTTCCACTTCAACCGCATATGGTACTGGTCCTCTGGTTCTAGCTTCCGGCAGATTATGGATTGTCTCCACGTACTCCGTGACCACTTCCACAAGCGCATCGAGGAAGTTCTTTGGACCATCAAGAACGGTCTTGGGTATGCTGTTCTTATTCCTTTTGAGGAATAGCCTCATCATCCACTCCATACATTCAGCCACGCTCCTATTAATCATCTTGTTATCAATTCGAAGTCTCAGACCATTGACTCCATTTCTCAGTGGTTCGTTCTTTTCCAGACCCAATTCCATTGTTTTAATGAGGTTCCTGACTTTGTCCAGCCACTGCTTCACTTTCATTTCGTTCTTGGTAAGAAGTGGGTTGATATAAATGGAACCATATTTCTTAAAGTTACGGAGGTTGGGTCCAGCCTTCAGTAGTCTCCTTCTCCACTCTTTACCCACGTCAAGTATCATGGTTGTTCTCCCAGACCTCTGGATCAATGTAGATTCTTTCAGTGAGTGTTCAAGGAAATCCTTCACCAGTAATCCCCTTTTGATAACTTCCAGAGCAATATCTCGTTTTGACCCCGCATCCTTCTGCCCCGCCAGGTCCATGCCACTGATGATTACGTATCTCTTGAGCTTATCCTTTTCTAGCATATTAATACGTTCTTCGTGCTCCTTTAGCTTCATATCAATCTTCTCGTTCCTATCGCTAGCGTTTTGCATTTGCTGTTGGAGAGTTGTAATCGCCTTTACAATGTCCGCTTCGCTCCAGTTCTCAGTTCCGTCCTGTAATCAATCGATAAATATAATGATTATATAATGAAATAATGTAAGTGTTCAGTTTGTATTAAAAAAAAAAAAAAAAAAAAATATGGTTTGTCCCACAAGGGACTAGTTAATCACTACATAGTAGTGTAGGTTGATCACCCATGAGGGTGTACCCCGAAGGGCTAAGGCAATCACCCCGTAGGGTGTACCCCGAAGGGCTAAGGCAATCACCCCGTGGGGTGTACCCCGAAGGGCTAAGTCAATCACCGCACCAGGCAGTGTTTTTGCTCGAGACGAGCTCTCCCAAAGTATGGATTCCAAAAAGTATTTTGGCGTTATAACAATAGTCAGAGTATCGAACACCATAAAGTGTTTCAATAGTCTCTGCTACTGCTAGAATACTATTCAAGAAAATTTTGTTTAAAAATAGATAATACTTTGCATAATTGTTGCCTATAACAACCTAATACTAAAAACAAATAAAAGCAAATGATGCTTTTTAAGAGTAATCTCTATAACTCTAAATTTAAATTAAAAATCTACAAAATGTTACCTAAAACAACGTAATACTATAATCAATTGATGTTTTTTGTGTAATTCTTTATACTTTCTACACGTAGCTACAGATTGCTGCTTGTGAAGTTGAAGCTTATAATAAAAACAATCAGTTTCGTCCCCTTCTCGACGTACTGACTGTTTATAAGCTATAAAGATAAGCTAAAGGCGCGGGGACTCGTCAGCGACGAACACCCTTAGCCACTTTACATTACTTCTCTACAAGCTCCTACTTCTTAAGAACAAACTCCGGCTGACACGGTTTCATATGGTTTTCAGGCGCAACTTCGCTGATCTGCACCTTAACGAAAAACCCGCGTTTTTCAAATGGATTTTTAGCCACCAAAAACGGCTTTCATTTGATGGACCAGGTAATTTAAGACGCTACAGCACCCACCATACTGATTTGAGACGTATGAAACGCCAAATGGGAGGTTGGGATGTAATAGTACTCGGGGTCATCTACAGTAACGGCAAACTTCAGATTAAGGTGAATGAAACCCATTACAAAACGTGTTAAATCGAAACATTTTACATTACTCAGAGTAAATAGGAGTCTCAGGATTACATTGAGGACCAAACGACCACATCTCGACCTTGAGTCAAAGAGCAAATGGCTCACCAAGGCTGGGCATGACAAGAGGGTATCTGCCGAATCTACACCGCCAGGCCACCATGCACTTTTATTGAAAGGAGAAGGTAAATACAGGTCTAAAGCACATAATATAAACTCAATTTAGAGCTCTAGGAAAGCGCTAGGGCAAGATTTTTACAATTCTGGGCAGCTCTACATCAAAAACGGTTTAACGCGTTGAATCCTCAAATGCAACAAAGCATTCAACGGAAAACCATTTATTAACCTGTATTCAGGTATGGGACGTCGATTACAATAGGTTTGCGTGGCATCCGCTGGCGATATCTAACGTTTTTTTAAGGGGGGTCAAAACTTTTTCCTCGATTTTTTAAGGTGATTTTTGAAAATTGCTCCTAGATTTTGATATTCAACTATAAGGTAGGTCCAGCTATGTTATTTTTTGTTACTAGCCTGTGAGTATACTACATACCAAATTTGGTCCGAATTAGTACACCCTGGACCGAGTTAGGAGGGGGGTCAAAACATTGTACGGGGAGTATAGTTACAGATGCAGTTGATTCGGCTTCTGCATCCTCGCAGAAGGGATCGTCGTCGATTTTTCATCTCCAATCCCGAACATTGGCTCGACCACGAACGGATTCGATTAATGGCTACCTCTATCCTGTATATAGCATCGTTGTGCGGAGTATTTATCTACAGATGACAAACATTTTATTTAGTTTTTCTTTGCTATTTGTAAGTCGGTCAGTAAACTGTTTATATATCTTACAGTATTTGGCAAGTAATCCCGGGAATACAGAAAAGCACGGGGTCGAATAATGGATAATATTACATAACACATTCAACTAAAATACCGGCAGACAAGCGTAAGTGCGTAGTTCGGAGAACATGTCCAAGAAGAATGTGGTCGAAGTGTTCAGCCTCAACATATCTTCGCTGTGCTCATTAATCAGCTGGATACATCGATTCCAAAATTTGCGTCGATTCTGAAAGTAAAGAGCCTCATGCCAAGTTCCGGTTAAACAAACCTCGGTGGCCGAGATAAAAGGCTTTAACGGATAAGAGATCTCGTTTCCCAGATAGCTGTAACTGACGTAAAGGCATGTTCGAATCAGAGACTGCAACTCTGTAGTGGTTCGAATGTCATCCACTTCCTTTTCCAATTGTTCTCTCACCAAGAAATAGACGAAGACGAGGTTGGCGGGGTTCACAAAGGCTACATCTTGCCACCCCTAAATTAATTCATTAAAATGTGGCTTAGATTTAACTTTTTTTTGTAATATTAATTTCTGTACCTGTAACATAAGTGATCTGTCGATGGAACGAAGCCACATAACTAGTTGCGCCGGCTCGAACTGAGAAACTCGGCATTTTTTGGCCACAAACTTTCCCAATCCAAGCAGAAGCTCGGCCGTGGATGAATGTATAATGTCATTCTTATCGCAATATCCCTGATCTGATATACAGGAGTAAGATGATTCGGAAGAGGGCAGTAAAGAACTCTGGAAATTACTCTGGGACACCAATGTAAACGATTGCGCGGATTCCGTGGATGCTGTAGAAGAGGTGGCACTTGAAGAGGTGGATAAAGAACATCGCTTATCGCTCTTGCTCTGACCAAACTTTGTTAGAATTCTTTGAAGTCCCTGAGGCGGCGACAGATTATAGCTCCAATTGTTATTATTCTTGATGTCCTAAAAGAAGATGATATTCAAGCTCATGAACCTTACTTCATTTGACGAGGTTTTACGACAGAATTCAGGTTCAAGTCGAAGATGGTTTGCGTAGAGAGTCGAGTTTTCTGATTTGAGGGGCTTCAGAGGTTTTATGGGCTCTGAGACATAGTTGAAATTGTCATCGAGATCTTCGGACAGTGGAGAGAGAATGGACGATTGAGATCGGCTTGGGTTAAGAGATCTGAAGGATTTCTCGTTCTTCTTCTTATTCGACACCTCCGAGGACCCGGATTGAATCACATTTGGAAGGACTGAGTTCGCTGTTTTCTTAGCAAAATTCCATCCTTGAGTGAGGATCGAAGATTTCCTCCTCAGCGTCCGTGTGATTGGGAATTCCGGGATATTATTGTTTCCAGTGTGTCTGAGATGCACAGTCCTCGTTCCCGTACTTACAGAGTAATTGCGCACATTAATCGGTGAGGACTGAACTCCACCCATAGTATTATTCTAAGTCATCTTTTCATTGGAACATGTTCTGAAAAGATGGATGTGTAAAAACGTTTTAAAACGACGTTTCAACTCGTCGGAAAAGGAATGTACTTGGGCCAAAACAACATGCTAAAAGTTTTTTCGATACAACAAAGAAGCGATGGCAAAAACGGTGCATGAAAAGCGAGGCCAGTGCGTCCCTAACGGCCGCGAGGGTTGAGTAAAGGAAACCCTCCTACTCGAAACCCGGTAATCTAACACCCCGAAGGTTTAGATGACATTAATCCTAATTTGAATATCGAAATGAAATAGTCATCTGAAATGGGTCCGGCATGGATTCGAAGCCGTTGTGCCGGCTTCTCCCCGCAGTCTTCTCTACCCGGACTCAGAACTCGTCAAAAAGAGCAGTTGCCCAATTGGGACGACTCCCATGGCCAAGACCGAGCCAAAAAAAGAGTGCGCCCCCTCTGTCTCTTTTCGGCCTCAGGGAAAACAACTTGACTCTCTTCAGATTTTGTGAAATATTTTGAAATCGTCTTCGCCCCGAGAGGATTTACCCGTCATGTCTCCTTCCCGAATAACCGAACACATAAAAATTTCTGTCACACATTAGCGTGGTGTGGATTCTCTGGGAACAACGATAAAGAACCCCAAAACTCAATGATTTGAAAAGTCTCCGCTTTGTGCGGTAAAACTTTAAGGCCTTGAAACTAGGTTCACTGAAGTAAGGGACGCTTTTCCGGCAACGACAACGTTGCCACTTGTCAAACATTAAAGTGTAAGAAATGGTTACAAAATCAATAATCCCCCTGACATTCACCTTCTTTTGGCACAAGAAAATATTTTCAACTTCTTTCTTTTCACGATTCCTTCTCCATTACTCAACTATGTAACAATAATTGCAAAAGTAAACTTTATTGTGACATTATCAACATGAGGATAGCTTCAAACAAATGAACAAAATCCTGGTCCTGAGAGAAAGCGGAATTGTGAAAGCAGAGATGTTTTACCATGATAAGAGCGGCCGAGGACGCTAGCGCCCTGCGGGCACATCGGATGATTCCCTGAGAAAATGCGAATATTTTAATTATATAGTTGATTAGATGAACAGATCCCTGATATCGGATAAGAGAGAGAGAGAAAAAAAATTCCTGAATAGCGCTAATCCCTGAGTACGTTGACTTATTGCGGTATGTTCAGAGAATGAAATAGAATAGTTAAATATATATTATGTACAAAAAGAGGTAGTTCGGTGTGGAGCTGAAAGAATCGAAGGGTCTGGAATCGGAGGGATAAGGCAGCGGGAATAAAATTACAAATTATCCTTGAAAGACTGCGGCCACGAGGGAACGGCGGAGTTGAAAGACCTGTAGGTACTCGGTGAGATACGGTAGCACTACAACTAGATGTCATGTGAATTGTGGAGCATAATAAGGCGATCTATCCTGGACTAACTAGCGTTCTGAGCAGATATAAGTTATGTGACACAACAACAATTAATTAATTCTCCGGCTTTATCGAGGACGAGGGAGTAGGAGTCGAGCTCGAGTTCCGGGAAGAGGAAGATAAAGGAGTGTCCGGCTCAGGTGAGACCGGGTTGTTGGCATCGATGTCCATGGGATCAATCTCCGGCTTGAAAAGGGTCAATGCCGAGATGTTGTTGCGTTGATGGAGAAGATCAAAGTGCTGGATGTTGGAGGCCTCGGAGATCTTTGGAGATCTTACTTTCTTTGCATGTCTCACTCGACGACATCTAGCGGCTAATTTGCGCATGGCTTCACGGAAAGATTCCCAGAATTCTTCGTCGTCGGACACACGATTTCCCAACACTTTCCGACAGACATCTGAAGTAGAGAATTTCACCTTGTTGAAGACGACAACTTACGTTGTATATATATGATCCCACTGACTGGAAGGTTACTGTAATTTGAATGATTTGGAGCAGCTACAGTAGTCTGAGCCATTAAACGAGATCCAAAGACACGTTTCTCCGCCAGCTTCTTGCATAACTGAGCCATGGTCTCTGACACATTTACATTTTCGTACTTCTTATTTTGCATAACTTGCTGAATTACTTGTTCCTCGGGTAATGGGCGGAAATCTTAAAGTATTCATGGTAAAAGTGGTTCTCTCAACTCACTCGGATCAACTTCCAGAGCTTGGGAAACAGGGATCTGAATGGTCTCGACATTTGCCTCGGAGAGATCGTGCTCCTTGATGAGTCTAACGTAGTCATCGCTGGCCGCTCGAGGGAAACCGTGCATCTGGAAAAAAGCTGATCATTTGGCAATCACGACTTACTCTCCGTTCTCCATTCCGATCCATTGTTACACTCTGTTTGGGCGAAGATTCTTGTTGTTTGGCGTTGAAAAGGGTACTTCTGGCTTGCTGAATCTGCCTTTGTTGGACTGCTTGTTGTGCCAATTGTTGTTGTTGAGCTGCTTGTTGCTGGAGATGTTCTCTTTGCTGTTGTTGGAGAGATGGGTTGAAAAGGAGGTTCTGTTGAAGCTGAGGCAACGATGAAATCGCTGAACTTAACGAACTTAAGGCCTGATTGGAGACTTGAGCCGGTTGTTGAGGATTCTGAGGTTGAACTTTTTGTTGAGTCAGCTGGTTGATCAACATTTGATAGAGAGCCGGGTTGTTTGAAGCAATTGTAAGAAGACTACTTAAGGTCTGACTTTGAGGAATGTTTGAATTGGAAGTGGCTGAGAGATTGTTGGATTGCAAAGAGTTGAACATGGCTGGTTGACGGACTTGTTGAGGGGGACTCATCATCACAAACTAGAAATAAGACATTAGTTGATTTAATTTCACCAATTATGTAGACAGTGAGGTGAATTAAATAGAATTGTAAATCAAGATACACAGGCGTGCTGTTTGTTTTAAGTCCAACACGTACCTGCGCATTGCTAGAGGAGGCTGAAGAAGACGTCTCGCTATGGTCATTACAAACCTGTTCAATAAAATTGTTGTCGTTTTTGATCTGCATGTTGTTACTGTTTAATGTGCCGACATTTTGAGGTAATTCAACGGTCGTCGAACTGTTTGGTATCACCGGATTTGAATTCCAGAATCCTTGAAGAGCATTATTGCTCCGAGGATCCAGATTCTCCAGCAATTTATTGCTTGGACTAGCTGGACTGGTTCCATTTATCTGGTTGATCATGTGCTGAAGCAGAGCGGGCGAGTTATTCAGCTGTTGTAGAGGCAACTCAGCTGCCACCAAGCGCTGTAACTCGGGAGTTCTGAGGTTCTGAAGGCCAATTAAATGACGGCCAACAAGCAGACTGAATATCTGACGGAGTTCCACAACTTCTCTGAAATTGGAAAAAAGTCTGTGCTAATGACAAAAGGGACGTTATATATTTAAGACAAGAGTTCAGAAATCGTATCTTCCCAATGTCATTTGTTTTGCATTTGCACTTTTTGAATGAGCAAACAGGAAAGGAAGAAAGGTCGGCGTCGAAGGAACGTCTCATGCCCCGTTCCTCCAATCAGGGAACACCCAAAAACACCCCGGGACGAATCGCTGATGAAAAAAAACTTGCACTTTGCGCCACGCGGACAGGTACGACGGATAAGAGGGGGACTTAGTCTACCTCCTCCAAAGTGCAACAACATCACCGTCCTATTCGGAAAGGGCATTCCTCGGACCAAAATGGACCGAGTTTAGCTTTTCGGAGTAGACAGGAGTCCTGCCCTCAAGAAAACACCGTATTCTTTTTAAAACACAGTGGTTGAGCGCAGTGCAAGTCGCCACCGCCCTCCCCTCAACAGTGCAAATGATTCGGCCGTTCGGCCGCCGTTCGGAAATAAATTAGGAACAGGGCTGTGGTCTTTGTCTTCCTCAGCCGTTCGATCAATCCAAACAAATGATGCCAGGAATCCCATTTACATACTTTAGAAATTTTTTCGGGAATCCTTTCAAAAACCTATAGTTATTATTACATACTGAGATTGCGTAACAGTCGCGCAATAATTGTAATCATAATTTGGGAAATCAGATGGGCCGCCTGCATGATTATGAAAAAAATGTCAAACAATAACGGAATAACCATTTAAAAATTTACCGTTTAAGTTCGGCGCAGCTAGAACAATTGGGATCAGGAATATTATTTTGATTGGGCACTCGATTATTGTTGACCTGACTGTCGCCGACGGCTTGGCTATTTAGATTTCCATTGCTTGAGTTTCCATTATTTGTACCATTCGTGCCCGGGAGGCCCACTATACGCTCGTCTTTCATGCGATAGTCTTCAGCTCCGCTGCGAAGATGCTGAAAGCAGAAGATTATGTCCTGTTAGGTGTTTCGGTATTAAGTTACAAAAAACAAAGGAAAAGTGCAAAACGATCAGTCATCGGGTGGAAGTTCCTAAAAACACAGACACCACGGTATTCGGCGGGTCGATAAACGCCATCGTTCCTTCGGCCGTTTTTTTAGACATCGATTGCGCGAACGCCGTCCACCCCACCCAAACCCGAGGAAACGACGACGGAAAAAAAGCACGCGACTCCAAAATAGCAACTCCTCATAGAACAAAAGCGCTTGGAATAGCGCCTGCGGCGTGAGGAAAAAAATAAAATAAGGCGGGAGATGTCACGTGAACCTCAAGAGAGAGAACAGGGTTACTCGGGACTCTTAAATCAACGACAAAATGAGCTTAAGACAACGACATTGGGAAGAGACCGATCATAGGAACGGCGACGAGAACTCCCCCCTCCCTCAGGGTCCAGAAACCCCCAGAAACGTCCAGTACAATGTTGTGAAAGTGAATAAAAATAGGACGAGACGAATGGACGTTCTCTCGTTCCACGCGTATGACCTTGTTTTTAAAGAAATAACGATTTCCACATAACAATGTCTGCACGGAAAATGGTGGTGGTGTATTCAAATAAGGAATTAATGTCATAATTTCACCGAATACAGAACATCCCAGGATTACAATAAAACAAAACAACAACTCAAGTCTGACAGTTACTCTTCCAGAAAACGAAAACACAAGGAATGAGGAATTGTTGCTGTCCCCGGGAGAGAACGGTCCGTTTGGATAGGACGCGCGACCGTTCCCGAGACAGATGTGAGAACAGGACATGGCCGACTGGTCAGTTGCTTGGAGTTAAAAAAGAGGAGGCCGGAGAGGAAGACGAATATTGGCGAGCGGAGGGCTCGTTCTGCCCCCGGGCTGACCAAAAACAAACGCTCGCTGGTGCCAATTTACATCCCCAGAAATCACATGTACATGTTTACGCGAGCCCAATGTCGAAACCGCAGGGCCGAACGTTCCTCAGAAAAATAAAAACAGAAAATTGGAAGTCTGAACACACGCGACAGAGTGGAAGTGCACGTGCCCTTGTCCAGGTCATTCGATCCCTGGGTCGAGCCAGAGGAACGATGGGGACGGCCGCCTTTTGGGCGACGTGCCAAGAACAAGTCTGGCCACGCCCCCGTCCGTTCTGTCCCCGAGCAAAAGAAGCGCCTTTCTAGTTGTGTTGTTGTGAAAGAAGAGGCAGTTCGGAACGTTCTTCCCCCACCGCCCGTTCTGTTTCCCTCCCTTTGTGTCGTTATGGATTTCGGCCGTTTGGCAAGCAGCCAACGAAATGAATAGGGCGAGGGGGGCTGCAGGAAGGGGCTGCTCCGTTCCGTTCAGTCCGTTTTTTGTTCTTCATATCATATCGATTGCAGACAGATTGCCCAATGATGACGACGCGAGGAACGCATTCCTTTGCACTTTATCATCTACTATATTTACACGTCTATCTCACCCGGGTAACTGAACACTCTGGTGATTCGTAGTCGGGTGGTGCATTCGGGCGCTGCAAACTGTGGTGATGCATTTTTGGGGTGGGTGAATTCTCGGGTGGTGAAGCAAATATTGCATTGATGGCTACTAAATACGACGTAACATTGCAAAGATTTCGAAATCTTTTAATTTTATTGCAATTTTATTAATTTTTAGACCACTGTTGGTCCTTTTATTAATGTTATATTTATTGCAAGTCGCCGAAACATTTCATTTGGGGGCGGATCCCGCAACTAGAGATATAATGTTGCAAAATTGGTGACAATCTAGCCAATGAGTTGAAATGAAAGTGAAATTGTTTAAATGGCAAAGGAAACATAGAAAAAGTCAAGAACTAGGGCTATATCCGGGTAATTAACCACGAGGCAGATTTCTTTATTGTTCAATGTTAACAATGTCAACGTTCCTCGACTCCAAACCGGGTTTCATTTTTGAATGCTCCTGCTCGAAAATCCCACAGCAAATCAAAAATTAAGATTATTCTTAAAATTTACAGTGCCCTACAATTATCGTAATATTAACAGTACTGATAATGATGTTTTTTTGGATTCCTCATAGCCGAAACCCCTAAAAATTAAAACTTTTGCAAACAATAAAAAAATTTTTAAATTTTTTACAGTCATACTTCGTAGCCATCAGTACAATATTTGCATCGCGCGAGAATTCACCCACCTCAAAAATCCATCACCCGAATTTGCACCACCGGAATGCGGGATACCCGTGTATTCCCGATCCGATCATCATTTACATGTACATGGGTGTTCCACGCAGTTACAGATCTACTTGTCGTTACTCTGATGGGAAGAACAATTCGGTTTAATCAATCAATACTCTACTCTATCAATTCTCCGAAAATGGTCCGCGGGAGCGAGTTGCGCGACGAAAGTTATGAGGAGCATTGCGACAGTGGTTGCAGCGTCAAGGTCGAGCGATTTAGTCTCTTTTTTGGAAACGACGGGTTGTTTCCCTTGAGGGCCTCTCCGCTGATAACCTTTATCACTCGCAAAAACCATTTCGAACACATTTTTTGTCTCCCTCACATTTCCTATCACTTACCCAAAGCAGATTTAGGAACGGCCGAGGCTGATCCCAACTGGGATCGGAGCTCATAACCAAACAATGACGATTGTAAACTTTAGGGTTGAAATTAGAGACGCCTGAATTCAACTGGCAGGAATAAACTGCATGACTTCTAATTCCAAAAGGGAGAATCTGGCATTCCTCGGGTCTTTCGGAGAGCCGGGAGTGACCAAGGCCTCAGGGCAAGAGCAAGAGGTTCGCTCGTTCCACGTCTTCCATCTTCAGTTGTTCATGCATTTTTTTGAGCGGCGTGTGCGGAGGGCGGAGAGAGAGAGAGCAGGAGATGAGGAGCCAGCAAAGCGGCTCAAAAAAAAAAAACGACCGGAGGGCATAAAGGGACACCGAATGGACATTCTCTGTCCGTTTCGTTCCCCTCTTCGAATGGACCGAGCAGGCCCACGGCCCATGTCAAACAAAAAGTTTCCGAATGCTGGAAGGGGGACGTGAAGACCCGACCACCACGAGTTCGCCGAGCCGCTAATGCCTCTAGGCACTTGCTGGCACGTCTCCAAAGGTCTGACCCAGACGACGCATGCGTGAGCCGGCCAAGTCCGCAGCTGGTTTAAAAAAGTGGACGGCGGTCCATGGCGAAGATTGATGACACAAATCATAAAAGTCTCGTAAACGTTAGAGTACTTTAGGATCAGATGACCTAACAATACCGTTAAGACAAATCAAACGACACGGTGTAAATAAAAAACATTTCCAAAAACTTAAGGCCAAAAATGCACAATGCATTTCAAAGTTTACAGCCCCATCTCCCTAAAAGCATAAGTCCGAAACGGTTCTTTAAAAAAGTTTGAATTGGTTTAAATGCGAAGACACCTATTGAAAAGTGAGCTCGTCGAGTCTGATTTCGATTTCGGCAAAAATTGCGCGGAGATTTAGAAGGAAGAAAGAGCGCTACAGGAGAGGAAAGTGAAAGTGGAGGCTCGTCTTACCTTGATGTACTCGAGAACGTCTTGACAATTGAGTCCGCCGAACAACTGGGAGACGAACCCGGGATCGGACGCCGTGCCGCAGTCGTGCGGCGTGGGGTTGTGGGATGCCGTGGTGGACCCAATTGTGACTGGGTGTTGGACTAGCCGCGACCTGAAACAAGGAAGAGTGAAAGTGAGGCCAAATGGGAGAGGCCACGTCTCCAGAGTTGAACCCGGAGGTAAACCCGATCAAAGCGCTCGAGGCGAAAAGCATGAGTCTGGGCGGACAGCGAACAAACAAGGCCAAACCCCGACCGACTGCCTCTAAAAACCCCCTTCCCCTCGTCCAGCGGTCATTCTTCCCCCGGCGGATGTTTAGTTGCGTAAAAGCGAATGCCTGCACACGCAAAGGGACGAGAACTTGGCTTTGCGAAACGGCGTCCGGTTGCGTCGGACCCGAGCCGTCCGCCTTCCCTCCGCTCCGTCCGTAACCGGCCGGGCGGCTGGTTTTTGTCGCCGTGTGCACCTTTTTCCGCAGCTCTCGGACCTCTTGCCCCGAGGCGATCGAGCTCCCTAGGTGCATGAGAATGACCTCTTACGCCACGTCCATTCTCACTCTCCCTTTCGGCGCGCACTTTCTTCTTTCACGCAGACCTCCTCCCGCTCTCCGTTTCGCCATGAAAAAAGGAGGTCTTTAAATGAGGAGAGCTCCACGCCCTTGAAACTTGCATTCCGCTCCCTCAGCCGGTCACTCCGGGCCGCTCTCTGTTCCCCATTCCATTCCTTTTCGAGTGCTGCTTCTACGAAATTCAGCCGAGCGAAAAGGAGCCCCGGACAGCCGCGTCCATCCAGCACGGCCACTTCTTACGTGCCCTTTGTTTACACAAGGTGTGAGAAGATGCGGGCTCTTCTACAGTTCCATCCCAATTTGAATATTATGCAAATAGAGGCATCCGGCTGCGCGAATGGACGCGCGACAATCTTGGCATAATTACGCAAAAATTGAAAGTAGCGGCGATTATCCGCTTAAATTGGTAAAACAACCATAAAAAACAAAATATTGAACAATTACGGTAGTATGTAAAGTTACCCTTAAGAAGTTGAAAAAAGAAAGATTCGAATATCATATCATATGTATAAAGCACATTCAGATTGTTCACATCTCATCGCTTGAGGGTCCAATGGAAGCAGAATGATTTTGCATATAGGTGGCGGAATAATGAATACAAAAAAGGATGAATGACCTCTCTGTATTGCCCTTTCCCATTTCCCTGAGGGTAAAATTCATAAGACGTCTTTCGAGGCCAGCCTCTGTCCGTCCAAGGCCCGGAAACGTAAAAAAAAGCCGATGGACGATGGTCAGAAGCGAAAAAAGAACGGGCCTTCTGGCTGGCGGTGTCCGAAGCAGAGGAAGAGATGGGAACGAGGCCATCTGCGAAGGAATTGCATGTCCAGTCCCCCTCTCTTCTTGTTTTAACCCCCGCTGGACTGAGCGTTGGATGCAAAATTTCAAAAAAAAAACGGGGAAATGAGAGAAATCAGAGAAGACCGCCGATGTCCGAGGTTCGAGAAGTAGGGAATGGACACCGTTCTCCCTCCGTCTTCCTGCAATTAGAGCTTCTTCATGTTGTTCTCCAAGGCCGTCCGGCTCAACAACATTCGCCAGCAATGTTCTGAAATTCGCCGCAGGTAAACTGGTTTCCGGCTACGTTTGCATTGTTGCCGTCGGCGCGAGATTCTAGGCTGGACGAAGGTCATTCGGCGTCACACGGGACCTGACGTTCCACCTGAAATCCCCCTCCCACCACTCTCTTGCGCAACAGATCAAGTTGGGCAACATGTTTTATTTAACTGAGAGATCAGAGCTGAATGAACATTTTTGTGTACACAAGGCATGAAAGGAGTGGACAAAGCGAATTCACGTAAAGACAAACAGAAGAGGTCAGAAGAAGTGATGGCGCTCGAATTCCAGATATTCCGAGCCCTTGGGTAAAACGTTTTGATTCAATTTGTAGGGCTCGGCCCAGGTCTTGGAGAGTGTTGGGCTAGCTGGGGGGCGAGGTAAAGGATCTTCGAATTCTCGAATCAAATAAGAATAAAACTTGAAGGAAAGTTGAACCATCCAGATCAGCACTGATGTTATACTCCATACTAATAAGAGGGTATTCAGACTTTGCCAAGTGCATTTAGATTTCTGAAAAATGTTTGTTATGCAATTGTTATTGTACTTTATAATGATCGCCTACCCTTTGCAACGGAAACATAATATTATATCGACTAGTATTCTTGAGCATCACCATTGTGATACTTTGATCCAATTGATTTAAAACGATGTCGTCCACCTTCAGATCTCGCTGATTTACTTTGATTAAGCTTTCTGAAAAATCAAATAAAGATTATTGCTGTTACCTGAACTGTTAAGCACAGCGTTGTCCAGCAGATCCAGAATAGATTCGGTTGAATTATTCGATTTATCGAATGGTTCTAACTCCTGATTAATCAGGAGATTTGGACAAGTCAGGATTTCATTTCCAAGTTTGGGCAGATCATCGTCTAAATACAGTCTGGTGAACAACTTTGATCTTACATGTCTCTACAGTAATCCAATCTGTTAAAGTAGTGGTTAAGACTGCTCCAATGTAATTTGTATAAAATCCCAAATGTGGATCCGAACAATCAAAGTACTGCAACAAAAATGCAATAATTATAAAACTTACCGGTACCACTTGATTGTTAATAATCCTGGGGACCAATACTATACTTGTTTTAATCCGAAACAGATTATCCATGGGGAATGCAAAGAATTGACTCAACGCCGTGATTTTTTGAACTCCAGTCAAAGAAGGATGGAGATTGGAGATGATGGACTCGTCCTTGAGACACCCGTTGTTGCTGATTACTGTAACTTCTTGTTTTTTCTTTGAGATTACAGTAACCTCTTTGATCCACATTATAAAATCCTCGATCCCGTATTGTTCCGAACATCTCCATTCATGAAATACAATCTCTTCGAATCGTTTCTCTTTCCCCGAAGTCTTCACATGATGCTGGCATACTGTATTTACTGAGGGGTTGCTAATTCCAAACAGATTTGTTTTATTGATTCCAGAACATTCCAGATGAAATTCCTTACTGCCTCCAGTTATTAAAACCTGAAAGAACAGAACTGCTCTTTAATTTTGAACTTTAAAGAATTGGAATTGCTGTTTAGATTGGTTACAGTAACCTGTTTTTACAATTCCTTTAAATGTTTACTAATATATTGCGCAACCTTTTTTTGCTTTTGAACTTTTTGAAATTTATTGAAGAGTCGAGTTTTCGCCGAATGAAAAAAACAATTCAAATTAGTTCCCGAAACGTTCGATCGTAAAATAAATAAATGAGGCAGGGGGGGGGGACCTACCGGATGGGGACTGACTCTGATGTAGACGTTAACCTTGACGGGCCCATTGTTATCATTGTTCAGGGGGTCGAGGTCTGCACAATGAAGAAGGGGGATGTCTACGTGCAGTGCATCCTTCGATTTAAACTCCAAATTGCAACGCTCACTCTCCTCATGACCAACAACATAAACACGGCCCTTGGAGAGGGTTGATCTCGCCGTATTTGCGAATGTGACTCTCATCAAATCATCCAAACATATCACTTCCGGCAGCTCTGTAAGCAAATTGATGTCTCATTACTGCGAGAAATCGACGAGAGCGCCTCAGGCGATCACGGAACGGTTATGTAATCAGAGTGTAAAAAGAAGAAAGAAGGTCCATTTGGGTGATCATAAATAATAGTCAATCTTACCAATCTCATCAGCCATGGAAACAGTGAGTAAAAGTACATAACACCAGAGGATCATGACATATTCTGGAGTCTCTGGAGCCGGCTGAGTCAGCGACTTCTGGAGAGCCCTCGAGCCGCCACTGGATACCCATTAAGCGAACAAAGTTGTTTATTACTTTTAATTCTCCCTTAATTCCATCTTTTATTCGGTTTTTTGTGAAGGGGTCATCTCAAAAGGGGCCTTTGTACCTAATAATATTATACTTTCCACTTCAGTGGATGCTCACAAAACATGGCTTGGTCTGTCAAAGGTGATCAAGATTTTTTTGATATTGTCATCGAACTGGAGGGTGTTGAAACCAGAAAAACTGGATCAAAGGTCATTCCGCCCCTTAAATAGACCTCAGGAATTTTACAATCGTTTTTTACAATAGAAAAGATGACAAAAATACTTTTCTTCATATATTTTCTTTGGAGTAATGTTGTGATTCTTGTCCATGTTTCGAATGACACCTACAGTTAACTGGTTTGAGGGAGCGATGCCTTCTGACGATGAAAACAGGCTTTTTTGAGCACCGTTCCATCGCTTTTTGTTGTTGAATCTCGCGAGAAGACTCTCCTTCGGACTTCTTCTCCTCCATTTTCCACCTCCCCCACTTGTTTCTGACCCTCTGAGGTTTTCACGAATTCGATCTTCTTTTTTCAAGGCTCCAGATGACACTTTATATTTAAATAGGAACGTTTTCCATTCCCAGCAGTGTCTTGATGCCTTCAGAAAACAATCCCAGAGAGTGACTACTTACTTTACTTCTCTGTTAACTTCATTTCCACGCCTTTCGCTTCTGTTTAAAAGACCTGCGCGAGTGGTTGGGGCTCTTTATTAACCACAAATTTGTTTTAGAGGGTTATGTGTCAAAGAATCGCGTTTCTATTGCTCCTCCTCTGGGGCTTCTGTGTATCCGAGCAGCCAGGTAAGGCAGTCTAAATTACTTTTGATTACTGTATTTAAATATTTTATTTCACATTTGTTCATTTGTTAGGTCCCAAATTAATCGACGAAACCACTCGATGGAGCAAATGTAATGGAGTTAACCAGTCCATTTATGACTTTAATGTAGAGACTCTTCAAGGGGAATTCACGGATCTCTCGCAATACAAAGGACAAGTTCTCTTGGTCATCAATGTCGCTACCTTCTGTGGTATGTTTCTTATTTGTTTTTGTTATTCTTTCAGCCTACACCCAACAATACACTGACTTTAATCCCCTGATCGAGAAGAACCGCGCCAATGGAAATGATTTCACCATCCTGGCCTTCCCTTGCAACCAATTCTATCTTCAAGAGCCAGCTGAAAACCACGAGCTTTTGAATGGTTGGTTAAAAGACAAACGATCATCAATGTAGTATTTTGCTTTTTAAAACCATTTATTTTTAAGGAATCATGCACGTCCGCCCTGGAAACGGCTGGAGACCTCACAGGAATCTGCATATCTACGGGAAAGTGGAGGTGAATGGAGCCAACCATCATCCCCTATATGAATTCTTGAAGGATACTTGCCCTCAGACAGTTGTCCAGATCGGAAAGAGAGACGAACTCATCTACAATCCTATCCGAGTAAATGACATCACCTGGAACTTTGAGAAGTTCTTGATCGATCGTCAAGGCCGTCCTCGTTATCGTTTCCATCCAACGGCCTGGTCTCATGGCGAAGTTGTGCAACCTTTTGTGGAGAAACTTCTCAAGGAAAAGGCCGAATTATGATTCATTAATTATTTGTAAATAGCCAACATTTCCTGCCTTTTAGGGCCCGATAATAAATATTTGAACGGAAAGTTTATTTTGTGATAAGAGAAGGGACGTTAGATATACAGGAGAGGGCGATTCAGCCTTGTTTTGGACTCTTTTTGTGATGAGATTGCTGTTCTTTTCGATTCTCATTCAGGCATCTTTTTCTGATACCATTGACTTGAGTGCCCTGCCATGGTATTTTACGAATGCACTTCAATTCTTTCCCGTTCGAATCCCCAACGATATCTTTACTGATTTCTTTGACAACAAGTTAATTCCCGATCCTTATTTTGGAACAAACGATGAATGGAGAGTCTTGTCCAGGAACAACAATACCTATATGACCATCTTTAATTTAACCCATGGTCAGTTAAACGTATGATATCTTAATGGTTAATAATGTTAATCAGGAGACAGTAGTATTGGAATTGAAAGGTCTGGATACGATAGCTTCAATATATCTGGCGTCGAATGAGACTTTCATTGGGAAGACGGAGAATATGTTTAGAAGTTACTCTTTTCTGGTCGATAACTCAATGTTGATGGAAAAAGAGAACGGAATCATTGTTTTATTCGAATCCGCGGTCGATTATGCACAGAAAAAATACGATGAGTACCAGGTACTGTGACATTACTTTTTTCAACGAAAATCTTTAAAATATATTCCATAAAATTTATTTGCCATTAGAATGCCACAGGAAATAAGATCCCGCCAGTTGAATCCCCAAAGGCCCAAAAGGGAGATCCCCACGTTAATTTTATCCGGAAAACCCAATCCAGTTTTAGCTGGGATTGGGGACCGTCCTGGCCCACCCAGGGATTTTATCAGCCAGTTTATCTGCATACTTTCACTCATTTCAAATTATCATCATTCTCTCCTTATATCTACTTTAAAGATGGTGGTAAGAATCGGCTACCATAATAATAATTTCTTCTTTTAGGGTTTCAAATAAATGTCCAAATTAATTATTTTTGTAATCCAAATCTCCATTTCGATTTACAAGCTCATATTGAAATTGATGAGCTAAAATTTGCCAGGAGTTACGTCAAAAATGAAAAATGCAACACGTTTGAAGGTTATGTTAGAGTAACGGAACACATTAGAGATCGGAACATCAAATTATGGTATCCTCGGGGATATGGAGAACAAAAACTGTATAATATTACTCTCACAATGGCCAGTGAACAAGGATCCGAGTCTATTTCTAAGCTGGTTGGATTCAAGAAAGTTAGATTGGAGCAGAATTTAATCGATGAAACGGATCCAAAAAAGGGAAAGGAGTTTGCATATTATGTAAATGATATACCCATATTCCTAAAAGGTATTCTCTTTTCAAACTACCGGCAATATTTAGGTGCGAATATGATCCCGGCTTCTCTCTTCCCGTCAAAATTCACGCAAAAAGATCTGGATTTCCTAATTCTCTCAGTTAAAGAGGCCAATATGAATACCCTGAGGGTATGGGGTGGGGGCGAATGGCTCAGAGAAGAGTTCATTGCTGCCACTGATGAGGCCGGAATACTCGTTTTCCACGATCTAACCTTTGCTTGTGCTTTATATCCAACTGATGATGACTTTATTGGAAATATAAAAGAAGAAATTACAGAGCAGGTAGAACAATACACGACGCATAGATGTTTTCAGGTGTTGAGATTAAGATCCCATGCTTCTTTATTAACTTTCTCAGGAAATAATGAGATCGAGACAGCCATAAGATCACAATGGTGGCCATCGGAAACATATAACGAAACGAAACAAGTAAAAGATTACTTAAAATTGATGAAAGTAGCGCTGGAAACTGTAAATGAAGTATATCCAAATGGAATTATCACCAGATCCAGTCCTTCGAATGGAGGTGCAAAGCTGTAAGTCGCTCTAAATATTCCAAAAATTGATTGTTGGCGACTCTCTCAACCTCCAATTCTTTCCCTCGAACTTACATAGAATCAAAGTACAAAGTCTTCACCAGATCAGTTTCTCCTGTTCATTCGGCGTCTACCGCACTCATGTCTGAGCCAACAAACTATTCTACTTTATTTCGTCTACTTCTTCTATACATCGCATTGTCTTCTCATGATTAAAATGACTTTAGAGAAGTGGATCGAGATCCAAACAGTGATTTCTTCGGGGATATCCACTTTTACAACGAGCTCACCAATCTTTGGAAGCCCTATAATCTCCCGACTCCTCGCTGTGCCACTGAATTCGGTGTTCCTTCATTCCCACTGTCCACGACCATGAAGAAATACGTTGAAGAGAGTGAATACACCTACTTCAGCAAGTCGATGATGGCCAGGAATCGTCACTTCCTGGGGCTATTTACCCTGCCCTTGATGGTGGCCAATCATTTTACATTCGATGTCTCTGATTCCCTTGGATCTTTCTCCTTTCTCTCCCAAATCCATCAAGCGATCACTCTGAAGACACAAATTGAACATTATAGAAGTCAAAGAAGTGTCCTGGAAAGGAATGGGAAGGGGAAAACAATGTGTGCATTGTACTGGCAACTGAATGATGTGTGGAGTGGGATCACCTGGAGTACCCTCGACTTTGATCAGCGATGGAAAGTGGCTCATTATTATGTTAAGAAGGCCTTCGATGAAGTAATTGTCAGCATGGTAAGGAGACTTTTGCAGAGAACTTTGTTTTCAGTATATTGACAAAGATGGAAGTCTCAAATTATTTGTGATCAACGATCTTCTGACCCCCTTACATGACGCCAAACTGATAATTCGAGGAACCAAATTGAATTCCAAATTTTCGAAAAGGGTCTTGTCGGAAAGCACTATTAATGTTCCCCCATTATCGTCCCAGAAGATAACCATATCCACCGATGCGGCGCTTGCCAGTTACTTTATTGAGGCGTCTTTGATGACAAATAACATCAGCAAAGTCAGCGTTCTCCCACCGAATTACTTATCCCAATATTCGATTGGGAATGTGGATATCTCCATAAATGGGATTGTTAAAACGACGGAGAATACCTACAAATTAAAGCTCAGGTCGTCTGATGTGGTTCCTTATGTTTGGTTGGATCTAAGGCCCGAATTGCTGACAAAGGATATCCGATATTACTTTAGTGACAATGGATTTATCGTGTTGGACACCTTGGTAACAGTAACGCTGACAGTGACAGCAGGGAATATAACCGAGATCACCGAAAAGGACATTACTCTCTGCTGGATATACAAATGCAATTAAGAAACGGAGCATAATACCTTTAAAGGGCATTTAAAAGGTCCGCAACTGACTGATAATTTATTTGAATTCCCAATAAAAATGATTTAATCGAATTGGTGAGTGTTTCGAGAGAGGGGGGTGTATCTCACTCACGATTCCCTTCCCCCAAATATTTTAATTTTTGGTCCGAACACTGCCTTTTTGTCGCCGGAGGTTATTCGGCCAGGAATACGTTCTCCAGGCCGTTTTCATTCGCATTAACGTTGCTGTTTCCTTGAAGTGCATATTTCCTTTATTCCCTCTCTAATTGTAATTTAGATTCGGTCCACGCAAATTTGATTTGAAAATGGAAAAAAGTAAGAAAAGCACTGTGACAATTCCGGAATTGCGATAATTTCGGAATTGTCATGGTACGAGAAAATGGGCGTACAATGGATAAATGCAATTTCAGATAGCGAAATCTTGAGAGGAATCGACATTAATGAAGTCAAAGTGTTTGAAGACTCCCAATATGAGCATGCCCGGTACCTGGCCGAATCCAATGAGGGATGGGATTTGGTTTATCAGAAGAAATCGGCCGAAGTTTGGACAAAAGAGATGCCGGAATCTTATTTCAAGATGATTAAGGTACTTGTTTCTTCATTACAATCGATGCTTAGGCCGCAACAACACTCAATGTCTCGGCTGATGTTGTTTATGATGTTCTCCATGACCCCGATTATCGATCTTCTTGGGATAAATACATGGTAAAGGCAGAAGACATCGGGGTCCTCAATCCGAACAACGATCTCTGTTATTATGCCCGTATGTTCTCATTAGATTCCAAATAACAATATGATAATCTCCAGTCGCTTCCGTGCCGCCCATAAAAAGTCGGGATTTTGTTATGCAGAGATCCTGGCTAGACATTGGAAACGAAAAGTTCATTTGTACAAGATCTGTTTGGCACGATGTAAGTCTTTTGCCCTTAGGGAATCTCCTGTTTTTATGAATACTCAGGATTTTTATTTTCTTGTTTGCATTGGGCGAGGATTCTGTTTGTTTTTTTATTAAATTTATGATGGGCGTTGGATTACAATGTCTTAATTGACAGTTAATTAAAGAATTGCTTGATTCTCCTCTTGTACTGACGTCTGTCATACACATCCCCTTAATTAATGTCATCAATAACGTCCCAGGTCCATCTTATTTCAGGATTATCCCCCCACCCGATCTTTCATCCGCGGCTTCATCTATTTAACCGTTTATTTTATCAAATTCATCGACGAAAACTCGTGCCAAGTCACGTACTTAACGTATTCGGACCCTAAAGGTAAGAAGACTAACCCAAATTATAAAATGGCAGGGAAATTACCCAGCTGGCTGATAAACCGGATCACCAAAATCATCGCCCCGAAAGTCCTCAAAAAACTGCACAAGGCGTGCCTTAATTACGAAGCCTGGAAACGAAGCCATAACCCCCTTCAGAAGCCTTGGAGATATCCAGAACAATTGGAAGGAGCTCCTCGAGTAGATCTCAGCAAATGTGTGCCCAAACATGTCGTGCAGGACATTGTGGACGAGACCAGTTTACAATTAGATTGTGATGAGATAAAGGAAGATTAATAAACAAATGAAATAACAATTCCCCTCTCCTATATCCATGTTGGACCGGAAAGCGGTGAGGCAGAATAAAGTAATTTCCGGTATCATAATGGATGGGGCCGCGTGGAGAAAGAGGGCAGTGGAGCATTTAAACAAAAGAGTAAAATGTCATTAGTAAGTGTGGCCAAAGGGCATGCCGGAGGCCAGAAAAGGAGGACATTAAACCTGGATGTGCGTTTTGGTCCGATGTTCTCGCTTATTTTCGGGTCGACTTAGTAAACAGAACTTGTTTTCGGTCAGGTAGGAGCACTCTCGAGACCGCTTTGTCTTGGCCGCCTTTCTTTACTTCCTCCAATCGCGTTTTTTTCGCCTTCTACTACAACTACTGCTTTCTTGAATGCCTGTGAGACCAATCTGGACGGAAAGGCCCGTCCCCCATTCCCTCCCGTCTCCCGTCTCCTTCATCTCGACCATTTATGGCCACAACCTTGGCCACCTTTCTCCTAACCTTTACAGCTTGACTTCAATGAAAGTCCCGATTCGCGGCCTTTATATTCATTGCCATTTATCATTTTCTTTTATTATTTTTTATAATCTCTTTTTTTGTAGAAACCTCATCTAATGGCGCGATTCACTTAAAGGATGACATTACTTTTGACCCTGATCCCATTATTGCAATGGACGGGGGGTCATTCTAAGGAGATAGACGAGTACAGCAAGCTCGGTAGTATGTCTGTTCTTTCGAGTTCCTCAGTTGGATGGGGTGTCAGAGCTCTGGAAAGCGAGGAGCCTCCGGTCGTTTCAATCGACGACCCGAAACAAAGACAGCTGGCCTTTCAAGGGAAGCTTTTGTTTCAAGAGGACTTGGAGACTTTTAATGAGACCGACCCAGAATACGATTGGGATGACTTTGAACAAGTCTCGGCTCATCGCCGGCTGGTCGAAGATCTCCTCGATCCAGAATATTATGAAAGCACCGTGCATCCCGCGATGGATTTCAGGGATTCCGTCCGAGTTAACCTGAGTATGAGTTTGTATCAGATATTGCAAGTTGACGAGAGATCTCAGAGCCTGACTGTGAGTGTGTGGATGGTCCAGGATTGGTAAGGACCCATGCAAGACCATCTCACATTACAGGTACGACCAGTTTTTGGATTGGGATCCTCATGATTACGAAGGAATTAATAAAACCATCCTCCCATACAATGAGATATGGATACCCGATACTTTTCTTTACAATTCAGAATCTATGGAACAGAAGAGAACGGAAGCATTGATGAATGGAATCATCGAAACAGGGTACTGGAGGAATGACAGTAGAGGAGCATACGTCCAGTTAATGTTCCCGGCCATTTACAAACTGAGCTGTCGAATGAATGTGTAAGGAAGTAATAATTCATATCTTTAAGCACGTTTCCTCGGGAAAGGTAAAAAAGAAAAAGCAGCTGAAGTTTTTGTTCAATGCCCTAAGGGGTTTTAAAATTCAAAACATTTAGAAGGGATTGGCTTATTTGATTCTTTTAAAATTATAATACATAATGCACATGCATTATAGGACCAACTGTTACAAAAAATACAAAATTTAATATTAATCGATTCTGTTAATTTTGTTTTTTTAATTGCAGTCGATTCTTTCCCTACGACCAGCAGAATTGCACTTTCATCATATCCTCTTGGACTCACGACTCGAGTACAATAAATTACTTCCCGAAAACAGAGCATGTCAATATGAGGAACTTTGCTCAAAATGTGGAATGGGCCGTGGTCAGCTTCAAGTTTAATCGAGTCGAGCAGTACTTCAAGTGTTGCGAGAAGCCGTGGGTGATGATCTATGCTCATCTGGTGATCCAAAGGAAGCCTCTCTATTACATCATCAACCTGGTTATCCCCACTTCCATCATTACTGTGGTCGCTGTCACTGGATTCTTCACTCCATCGTCCACCTCCTCCGAACGAGATGAGAAATTATATCTCGGGATTAACACTGTAAGTCGTTGAAACCATTTTTAAGGTCCATTAACGACTTTTTTAGCTCTTGACCATGGCCATTATGTTGTTAATGATCAGTAATAAAATGCCGAGCACTTCTACTTATGTCCCTTTAATGGGCTGGTATTACATGGGGATCATATTTGTGATTGTGGTGGGTACCCTGCTAGCTACAGTAGTGTTGTTTGTGCACAGTAGAAAGGTCCATTTGAAGCCAGTGCCTTCTTTATTGCGAGGTATATTGACACGGACCGTTGTTTGGAAAGTAATTCTGGAACCACCGACGCAATTACTGGAGATATGGACTGAGTTCGGGATTCTCCACGAGATGAGAATTGATCCCAAGGAATTGGATCCACTGGTACTCGAAAAGTTGGGACCTAATAAGGTAGAATTACCACAGACAATGTACATATAATATTTTTATTACATTAATACGTGTTAAAATACTTTCTTTCAGAATGCGAATCCCCTGAACTTTTTCTCGTCGATCTCATCTCAAGTCAGTGCCCAAAGTGCATATAGATATGAGAGAAGATTACATTCAGTCACTAAACAATATGCAGATCAGGTGAAATTGAGAGAGCGCAGAGAAAGAAAGAGACGGGAAACTCTCAGAAATGCCGCTGATTTCTTGACTTATGGAACTACTGACGTCGAATTAAACAACTCGAGGATCGAAAAGAAGAAGAAACTCATGAGACGGTGAGTGTAATCCAAAAATAAAAACAATTTAATCGCAGATGTGCCTTGGAATGGGAATATCTGGCGAATGTGATCGACCGGATATTGTTATTTATATTCTGTCTGATCACAATCGGATTCTTCGTCCTTCTCGCTTTCTTCGACGGATTTTACACAGTTGGAGGGGAGAAGGAGCCGTGAATATTATGATAAATATTACCTTAAGAAGATGTGATGACTCAAAAAAAAAACGGGTTTTTGTTGGCAGAATAAAAATGTATTTCTTCGGCTCAGTTGTTACAATAAATAACTATTTCTTATTTCTCGAGACTTCCTTGCGCTTTGAACTTTTTTTCGAATTTTTAATCCGGGAGTCCACCTTGGATATTGCAATTGGATCTCGATAAAGTCTAACTTTTCTGTTGCTTCTGGTTTCTTTCACATTCTTCGGCCGTTCCACCGTTTTCTGTCTATCCATGGTTACTTTGTCGGTTGTCCTTTTATTAGCAATTACCTCCACCTTTCCTCTGAATTGACTGTTCATTAAAGTGCTCAGTTTTTGAATGGTCTGTTCTTCTTCTTCCGTCCATTCGATGTCACATTTTTTCTAAACCGAGTTATCACGCCGTTGAGTACTTACTTGAATGTTTGGCCGAGTATATCCTCTCTTCCTCTTTCGTAATTGTAATTGCGTATCATTGCACAAAACATCAGGTATATCTTCATTTATATCTAACCTATTTTCTGCATAACCCCATCCAATCTTAACATTACCTCTCTTCCCGCATTTTCTCCTTTCTTTCCTTGATCCAGGCAAAACATTTTGTCCATAAATTGTAATCCTCGGACATAGTAAATTGCCAATGATTTGTTAGAGAAACGAATGATTCCGAGATCTGACTTTGCTTTCTTTATAACGACACCGAGTTTGTCTAGGACTTTTCATTTCAAGTGCTTTGATATATGTCAATATTTGTATTGAAGTAAAATATTTACAGAATAAAGCTTTCTCCACAAGGAATGATTACGTAACACGGGATTAATGACAAAAGGATATCGAGAGCCCGTTATGTCCGGAAAGAAGTAGTAAGAATGTAATTCCTGACTAAAATTTTAATATCTTGAGACAAAATAAAACCGAGAAGAAGAGATTGAACCCGTATGGAAGGGGCCCTCGGGGGATGAGGAAACCGCAATCAGTCCGAGAAGGAGGGCTGATATGATTATAAATCGGAAGGAATGAATGTCAACACCAAATTTACAGAACATTGAGCGAGAATCAGTCCGCGTTCTCGGAGGACGGCGAACACGATTCTTGGGCACTGACCCGGTCCAGGACCTTCTTTTCGAGATCATCGTCCTTCAGGTAGTTTAAACCTTCTTGAGGAACCCCCTCCTCTTGAAGAATGTGGTCCAACTCGGCCCAACACGATCGATTATGCTTGAATGACTCATATGTTATCATTGTTTCGGGAAGAAGTTTTCCTAGATATCTGTAACAAGAAAACAATATAATTGATTTTAAGCCGCAAGTAAAATAATAGAACAGAACCTACTCAAAAACTGGCAAGGCGACAGTGTCCATGAAGTCAAGTTGGATTTTGGGAACACACGCCCGTTCTCTGTCCATCATCTCCAGGGGTCGGTTCCCCATCTGTTTCTCGAGATCTCCTTGAGAGAAAAACTCTTTGTAAATGTTCTCCTGAAATGGGGTAATATGATGTTGGTCTTGGAGAAACATACGGCAATGGCTTTGGAGTTCCTGAAGTCCTTGCTTTGATCTGAAAGGTCACTGGCTGTCATCAACAGGCACATGAACAGATAATGATGTTCTCCGGAACTGAAGTCATACCCGATATCAACCATATCTCGGATCCTCTGGACTTTTCGGAGATGAGCAGCAATATCTGTGGCTAAGATGACTTCTCGGATATTATCCAGCACAGTCTGATACTGCTGCCTTGTCAGTGTCTCGAATATATTACATTCATCCATGCCGAGGATCGTAACTGTCTGGGCAAAGTGATGTCTCTCCAAAACAGAACCTTCACTGCTGTATAATTGAGCCAGAGGGGTTTTCTGAATACGTTGATTTACTACTGAGATGACCGTGATACTTACAGATTGTAATTGGAAAGCATTTGTTGTCCCTCTATGATCAATGTCATGGCATAAACAGGCAACCAACAAGGACAGCCTTTCGAGATCACCTAACGCGTCTTTCACTTTTTGTATCCGACACAGAAGATAACAGAAGTGCGCAACAGCAAAGGCATGACTCCAGTTGTGGTAAGGAACATCGCGATATCCCTTCTGGACCATCAAGATGAATCGGGCAAGGGTTCGTCGCCTAAGGCGATATTTTTCGATAAATCCTAATTCCTAAAAACGAAGGGATTAAAGACAATCGTAAGAGCCAGACATTAAGAAGTCTATAAATAACACGTTTGACACATACCTGGAACATGCTAAGTGATGCCTCCACATAGGTATCTCCGGTTCCAATGGATCGAGGAACAAAACAAAGATCGCTGAAGTTGGGATGGAAGGATTCTGGAGAAGGAATCTCCCGCACTGTCAGCCGTAGGATATCTTCCGGAGCGATGGAAAGGGTCGAGCCTTGAACAAGGACTTCTGCTGCCATATGGGATCTTCGATGAGCTTCTTGTAGTTTCCGATATAACAAACACTAAAGAAATTATAATTAGCGTTGCAAAAAAAATATTTAATATTTAACTATACCTACATGAGAAATACTAATAGCACAGTACACAGCAAATGTCATGGCAACTTGTTCGTCGTGGAGAGTAAACGCAGGCTTGTCGATCTTGTTGCACAACTCAGCCACCCCAACCAGATTCCCGGAACTGTCCTTTATCGGAAAGCAGAGGATATTTCGAGTCTTGAAGCCCGTCTTCTGATCCACATTTGGATAGAAATAAGGATGACTGAAAAACGATTACTTCCTTATAAGACCAATTACTTGTACACATCTTTGACATTCATTAGCTGACCAGTCGTAGCAACATGACCCACAATCCCTTGATTTAGAGGCATTCGGATCTCCTGAAGATATTCATCTGAATTCCCCTTCTGCTCGAATACTTCCGCCACCAATTCATCATGCTCTGAGTCAAGTAAGAACAACGAACAGCTGAAACGAAACAGAATTGACAATAGAGACATGCACTTACATTTCGGCCGAAACCAGCATCTTTGCCTCCTTCGTTATATTATTCACCAAGAGATTCATATCCTCTGAAACCAAAAATAAATGAATAATTAGGGAATTAGTGAAATTAATCTGAGACTTTTATTACTTTCGATGGTGGCAACCACATCCCCGTTCTCATCGACTCCGAAAGAAGGCTGGAATCCAGAGAGTTTCCTCTCGTCGAGGATCCTCCTGACTTCATTAGTATAATGCTCTCGAGATGGGGCGATCATCGCACAGAACAACAAGGTATGTCTTTCCATCCGAGGAAACTCTCCCGTGGTCAGTTCTTTTCGTCTGTTCTTGGTCCGGGGCTCATCGCACTCGTCTCCAGAACAGGACTTACAAGGGAATGGTCCCAACGATCCGTGGGATCCACAAATGAAACCTAGATATTCTGAAAGAGCAGGTAAAATTTAGTAGGAATCCGTTTTTTCTACTTGCCGAATAAGTCTGTGCGACGAGAAATATCGTCGAAAAGATCCGACCAAAAAATCGAAAGAGAGAAAAGACGAACCGAAAGGCCTTGGAGGGCGTCACCAAATAGTCTAGTGGAAAAAGTTCCACGCACAATTCTTTTGGGGGAGGGAGGCTTTGGAAGTTCGAGTCCACCCGGAGCGGATATCTCCGGATTTGAACCTACGTGTTCATTACTGTATTCTACATTTATACAAAAAAAATTTTTTTGTTTATTTACCTGTTTTGCAAGGTTTGTTGCAAAATTTTAAGAAAAGCTGACACTTCGGCAATATTTTTGATAAGCCCGATGTCGACATAGTGGTATTTTCAAGACACTTCTACTGATTCTGGAAGGTTGTGTAGGATCTTGCAGATCTTTTTCGGTTTCCCAAAAAGGATGTTGCCAAAATCTCACCTTTTCATAAAATTTTGCAAGAAAAGTTGAAAAGAGAATTTTTGGGTCCTTGCATCAGCGTGCAGTAGACCCCGTGAATATTTACGAAAAAATCTATTTTGAGTTTTTTGGTTTAAAATGGCCGTGGACATGTGTTTAACAAATGCCCAAATTATTTTTGTCAAATTCTGCCCAGAAGGTATAAATTTGCATAAATTTGTCTTCTTTGGAACTTCGGACCTGGCGGCATCATAAAAAGAGGTAATGACCAGTGATTGCCACGCCTTCGGATGCAAACAACCTTGTAAAACAGGTTAAACAAAAAAATTTTTTTTGTATAACTGTAGAATACAGTAATGAACACGTACGTTCAAATCCGGAGATGTCCGGCTCCGGGTGGACTCGAACCTCCAAGGCCTCCCTCCCCCAAAAGATTTGTGCGTGGAACTTTTTCCACTAGACTATTTGGTGACGCCTTCCAAGGCCTTTCGGTTCGTCTTTTCTCTCTTTCGATTTTTTGGTCGGATCTTTTCGACGATATTTCTCGTCGCACAGACTTATTCGGCAAGTAGAAAAAACGGATTCCTACTAAATTTTACCTGCTCTTTCAGAATATCTAGGTTTCATTTGTGGATCCCACGGATCGTTGGGACCATTCCCTTGTTAGAGCTCGACGGAATGTCAGCGCCTTCTTGACCGTTCGAGTCCATCCCGAACGGAGGAAAGCGTCGGGACTTGCGGTAAGCCAGTTTAAAACTTGGAACGTTTAGTATGGAAGAACTCCCACTCACGCTCGCGAAGGCCAAGAGCTCGAAGGATACCAAATTAAATACAAAACTAAGTGGAACATCGAAATAACACCTCCGAAAGAAAACGTCGGCACTCTCATTCCCACGGTCCCCAAAAGGTGTGAGTGAGGCCCCAGAGACGGTGTGCGAGGCTTTGAAGAAGGCCCCCTCCACTCTTTCAAATGCTTGGCGGCACAGCCAACGCTCGCCGTCTTGTCTCCCCGTCCCCCCAGGGCATGGCCCTCCCCTCTTCTCCATACACACAAAAACTCCTTTTCCCAATTTCACATCACCCTCTGTTTGGGTCTACATTAAGGGAACAACATGACTTTGCCATCATCCCCGTCACACCTATAACAACATTCAAAGGAATTAATCGTCGTATATCATTAAAACAGACGTCAAAATTCCCCCACACTCAAAGAATACAACCAGAAACAGAGGACTTGACTGTTATGCCCGACTGAGCTCCTGAGTGGGAGTGGGACAAGTGTGGCCTAATATAATACCAGTCCCGAAGTCGGGCATTCTCACGCTAGATTAAGCACAAATAAATCAATACATGAACTTTTCACGTTTCGAGTTAAGTCCAGCTGAAATTCTGAATGACAAGCTCAGGGAAGACGGGAGAACAAAGCTCGGGTGAACAACTACTAACCATAAAAATATCCCAAAACAAACTGTTGAGAAGAACTTTTTGAAAAGATTAAAGAATCATGAGGCATAAAGAAGAATGAAGGAAGTATATAATAAAGGTTTAAAGGGCCTCGAATGGCCGAGTCGGCCGAATCCCGTCGCTCAATAACACAATTCAACAAACAGTATTGAATAAGAAGCTTTAGACGGATTATCCGTTTAACTAATCCCCCAAATCGCCCTTTAAAATGACGAGGAAGAAAATGCTGGTCAGCTCCCAAATAAATCAAAACGAATAGATACTTGAGAAGGGAGCGGGGAGGGGGACAAACACAAAAAAAGGGAACACGTGGCCCCCAAATCCACCATTTCTAAACAAACACACTTAATTGGGCGGGTACGGGCTGGACTGGACCGGTCCACGGACTCTGCCCATGTTTTCCTGCTTAACGACTGGCAACGCCCCTGAGGGAGTGGCATTAAAGTTCTCTTAAGCAACACTCGAGTACTCCGAAAACACGGAATTATATCCGATTTCAAGTCGAAACTCAGTCACGGAACGGTGACGTGATTGCCTTATTCATCTTTTGTGGTAATACCCTCCGGCTTTATGAGTTTCCTGGAACGGCGTTCTGCCCGAATCCAATTATTCGAAGAATTTGTAAAGCCCAAATTAAATTGGCGAGTAATTATAATTGTTATATGACACGAAAACACTTACGAATACTTGCAAAAACACTCTGAGTGGTCGAAAGTACGATCTCGGACTGATGGGCGATCCGACGTTGTTCTTCAACGTTCCAGGCAACTGAAGTCAGCGAGGCAATCATCCCGAAGTGATGAAGAAGGGCTTTTAACTCGTCGTTCCGTTTACTGAAATCGTCGTGACGTAATGTAAACAACGTTTTAGCCCACCTTTCTGATTGATGTACTAGTAACAATGCTGTAACAAACCCACAACCGGTCATAACTCCACACACCGAGGCAGCTGGAGCACCCGTTTCTCTGGCCGAGGAGTGGCTGGCAATAATATTAACAATCTTCCACAAGGGCTCAGAGATCTCCTGTAAACATTATTTTATTTATGCTAATTCAAAAATGATGGACTGTTCTTTGCAGTCTCAAATGTACCTCATTAAATTCTCTGATGTCGATCATCACCGGACCGATGACTTTGGATGTGCTGGGGGTCTGATCTTGATCATGAACGCTCTCTGCCGCGCTTGTTGCAAACCCCAATGCCTCTGTGAACTTTTCCGAGTCGCCCTATAAAAGGTAATCGATTAAGAAAAAAAGAATTCACACGAATTGTCTTCTTAAGGGGGTTCAGATCAAATGAAGTTGACCTTTCCGCGTAATTATTTATCCACACGATTACAGTTAATTCAAGTTTACAACTACTTACACAAGAAATGGGCTCCTCGAGGACTTCGGAATCACAGACCTGAAAGCAGAGACTAACGCTATTTATTATGCATGTGCACCCAGCATATGTCTATGTGATACCAGAAGTAACTTACATGGCATACACTGCAGTCGTATTCTGACGAGTTGATTATGAAGGCCGATCCTCTACATCCGGTCTCGCCTTTGATCTGAAACACTTAAATCTCGAGTTTCCGCACTTACCCAATCGTTGAACACTATTTGAAATTGTTGGAAATCGTAATTTTCCGACGCCAGGCCTAAAATAATATGTTAAAAAGAATGGATTACAATTCAGTGGACTTCTTGCAAGCACTTACTTGAAGTGGTATGCCTCACGAAACGTGTATCCCCTTCGGACATAGATTGTTGGAAACTGGGGGGCAGAGCGACAGACACATCCTCAAAAGACAACGAAGAGTTCAGCTGCTGCGACTTCTTAACTCTGACCTTCAAGGCCGGTACCCCTCTACAAGAACATGAGACACTATGTTTTTGAATACCTGGGAATGCGTTCATCTCTCTTCCCAAAGGGCAATCGGGTTTTGACATCTTTGATTAGCATCTTCTCCTTAGAATCATAGGGTGGAGGAGATGGGGAAGTGGGGGTGCTGCAGACAGGGACACAGAACCTAGAGGCGAAGTCTTCACCGAACACCTGGGCCACGGAAATGGGGTCTCTATGGGCTAGTCCAGACAGCCGAAGGTCCTCTTCCGTCACCATGGGCATCAACGAAACTTTCCGTCGTTGGGCGATGGAAGGAACCTCCAATTTGTCATCGGATTCCGGTGTCATCACTGCTCCGTTCACTAGAATGGTTGCTCCACACGGCGGTGAACTGTCCACAAACACATTGGTAACAAATCGACTGTCTGTGGCCGAGGGATTGGTCGGTGAAATCCGGTCAGTCATTAACAGAAGCAGGGAAAAAGAAAGGCCCTTCTCCCAGAAGACACTTGCGTGAAACTTAAAGGTTTTAATGTTTACGTTATTTTTATTTGAAAAGGGGTAAATAGTCGCGTGAAATCAAAATGAGAAAAGAAATCTAAGACCAAGCAAGAAGGATGACAAAGAAATCCTTTAAGCTTGCCGGAAAAGTGTGAATCGAATCATTTCCTGCGGGAGGGGAAGGAGCCTGGGAACAACCCCCTTGCAAACAACCTATAGAACTAACGGGGGAAACCTTGGATGGAGATAATTCTCGGCTCGGCGCGTCCGTAATTATATTTTACGAAAGCAAATTGCGAATAATCGTATTTTTATGTGACATTTAAGAGTACATCCCAGGGAAAAGTAGAAAGACCCACACTTCAAATACCACGCTCATCTCTTCAGGCCATGAAATAAACCGTTTAGGACAAGAAATAAATCCAACGCATACACATATGACAGACACAATGAACTGCCAGCGCATCGTTCCGGGGCGCTGTATCACTGGCTGAGTCAGCTCTCCGTCCGTAAGGAATTTTGTAAGCATGGATCCCCGCAGTAGAAACAGGTCAATGAAAGTTCCATTTTAATCAGTTGCGTCCCCTCCGTTTGTCAATAGGAATCCCCAAAACTACACAAGCTAGAAAACAACCCTTTCCCCCAGAGAAACGCCGGAGGGAAAAGAAAAGCGAAAAGGGAAAGTCGTCAAAAGGCCACAAAGCCTAAATCGATCTCCCTTTTTCCGGTTCAATCTCGAATAATGGATGGTCCAATTCAGAGATTTTAAAAAACAGGTCGTTCCCAAACCCATATAAGATTAACTTCATAACTTTTTTAGCCATAAATTTTCACACTCAAAAACAATGAGGAAATGTAGGAATTTTAATGGCCAAAAAATTTAGTTGACGATGAGAAAGGTTGAAATTCAAATAAGTCTTTGAAGACCTGTGAAATTCAACTGCTCTAATAAATCACTAAAAATATAATAAAATCCATAAACGGCAAATATCCGGACCGTAAACAAAACCAGACGCCGTCTTCAAGAATTTCGTCGATGCTCTTGACATCTCAATCAGAAAAGAACGAGCCCTCAGGGAAAAGCAGGCTCCCGCCTATTAACGCCAACGGAAGTTCGCAGAAACAGAAAAGTAAGGCACTAGCAATAAAATAAGCGCTCGAACCGACGTATAAATAATCGAAAAGTAAAACGTATTTACAGCCATTTAAATCTCAAAAACAGCAAACTAAACGAAGGCAGCGTTATCAAGATATCACCTCCGCGTCAGATTGGATGTTGCCAAAGCGGCCATAATGGGTGGCAGCCAGAACACCCAGTCCCATCCCCTCAGGGGAATTGAGAGAATCCAACTGCCCGCAGAATCGCCGGTGTCAAACCGACACTGCTGGTGTGGAGTCGGTAGAGGACGCCCTTTCCTCTAATTCCCGTAATACGGAGACTAAACCGGCCGGTTTCCGGCCTTTGGAACTATTCACTCACTAGTCGCCGTCTACCCATGTCCCGGAGAAAAGCCTGGAACCATGAACTGGCGCAATAAAACTCGAGTGTAAAAAACAAGTTCCTGGAGTTCTGGGTCAGCCGAAAACTGAGAGGAAAACAGATTGATAAGAATGGGGTTAAAAACGTGGAAGTCCTATCAAACGATGGGCAAGTACAAACAGGGATCCCGACTTCCGCGTCCTCAGACCTGTCTCGGAATGCCACACATGTAAGAACACTGACCCTCGAGTGCTTGCAAGAGTCCATTAAAACGTCGGAACTTACGGAGGACATCAACGGTGTCCGGTTCGACTGTTTCTTCTTCCAGCTGCTCCATAGGGCAGCTGTTCTCCGGCTTAACGTAGCTCTGGAGTGCATAAGTAGGTGAGATGAAAGATCGTGAAGAGGGTAGGGACTGGGTGTCCCGAGGTGAAAACACCGCCGGAGGTTTCGACCGCTGTTCCACCAGCGAGAACTTGTGATGGACCGTCCGGTTGTTCCTAAAGTCCAACGGTTGTGAGGTTTTCCGACATTCTGTTGAGCTGAGAGAGGGAGGGGATGTGATTGAATACCCGTTGCTGTTGATCACATAACTCCGGCAGAATTCGAGGTCTTCGGACTGCGTAGTACTAAGTACTGTAAGTTTTCGATTCGCTGTCATCGCATCAAACTTCTGCCGAAGAACTGCATGGTCGACCCCAAGTCGATGCTGTATAACGGGCGAGATTTTCCTGCTGTTCTTTCCACTGAGTGCGGGAGAACGCCCCTCGGTTGTGTGGACAGTGGGGTCGACCACTGTGCTGGGATGGGCATCTTCAAATAAAATAACCGTTTTCCCTCCCTTACTTGTCTCGTTGACAACTTCATAGACCGAATGACAGGAGGACCGGCTTCGGTTTCGCGACGAGTTTTCTGTCGATTCGGCTGCGCGTTGTCCACTACTGCTGGACGCGCAGCAGAGCCAATCGCAAGCGGACCAAAACACCGTTGTTGCTGTAATGGGATAAAGTTATTAAACGTCATGCATCGCTTCCACATTGGCCCTCGAAATAAAAGACTGCGAGATTTAGCAAAAAGAATGAAATAATGGGCCAGTAAAAGTGGTGGGTAAACGGGTAAGTGAATATAAAATGTGTTTGTTACTATAAATGGGCTACGTAGCCGAGGTATGAGTCGGCTGATTGGTGAGGGCCTCAAGTGGTGTGGAAGATAAAACATGAATGCGCAACCCCCATCCCCACCCCTGCCCTCGAAAATGAAGGCCCAGGGGGGCATAAACCGCGTAATTAGTCTTTTTTGGACCAAGAAAAATGAGGAAAAATAGTAAAAAAACTCACCGCGGTTTCTCTCCCGGTTCCGCCGCATTTCCAGCCGGGACGCCGCTTGCTCAACAACCCATTCAGGCCTGGGGGTTAGCGGTGGACACCCTTTGGATTGGCCCCCGCCGTTACCTCGAAGCCGGCTAGTTAGGCGACGATTCAGCCAGTCCGTCTTTTACCTTAAAAAAGCGTCAAATCTCCACCAATTTACAACAGTTGTTCTACTACAGCAATAAGGCTCGATGCAAACGCCAACTGGCCACGTATACATGGAAGGGAGACTACAATTTCATGCGAAAACTCGTAGGATTTCATGGTAACTACAAAAACATCGGCCCTTTAATAAACAGACTCGATAATTAGTCTCAGAAGCATCGCCGAGCAACTCATAAAATCGAGAAAAGGAAGAAAAAACGTGATCGGTTTAAAAAAGGGCATTGGTTTCAAGGGAAAATCTTATAAGAAAACAGAAGTGTAAAAAAACAGTTTTGAAACAGCTGATTGCTCAGGAAAGCATCCGAATCGTGGACTTTCGAAAAGCCTTCCCCTTCCACGACCCCAATTTTGATCTGCTCTTTGGGAAAAAGGGCCACCGAATCCCCAAATTTGTTTTATGAAAACTGTCAGTTCAATTTTGTCAATTAAATCAGTTGAGATAGTGCAACAACGGCATTCAAGACAACAGAATTGCGTTTGTTTTTTGAAAGAATCCCAAAAAGCCGGGGTTCTGGAACCAAAAGAAAGGTCGGATTATTTGGCTAGGGGAAATAAATGAGGGTTTAAAGATCTCTCCCCTCCCCACACCCTTCCATTCTCAGTTGAAGAGAAGCCGCCGATTTAAATAATTTCCCTGACCATTCACAACAGGGTTTCCTTCAGGAAGTGTCGTCATTACGTCATCAAAGATAACATTTTATTTTAGGAGTCGATAAATATTACCCCGAAGATAACTGCAATTCTGGTACTTTAGCGTATTAAGTCAGTTAAAAAAGCGCCCATTGTCTAAATCTGTGACCAAAGCACGACTCCTTCCAGGAATTACTGTCCGATTGCAAAATATTTTGCTTATAAAAAGATTGGAAGAGTTCGTTTCAACTCTTCCAATCCCCTTGTGAATATGAAAATGTTAACTTTTTTCTATTTAACAACAATCCCAAAAGCGGCCAAACCGGGCAAGAGGAGATTAAAGGATATAACCAAGACGTGGATATCCGGATGCCGGAATTGCTTCTGCCAATATGGGATTTTAAATGAGCTTGGTAAAAGAAGGGGTTCTGGTCGCATGAAAAATATGGGAGGAGGTTAAAGCGAAGAAAACGTTAAAATTGCAAGTCCAAAAGAGGCCGGCAAACTTTATCATTTCATTTTTACTGTGGTCCTTCGAGCTGCTCCTTAAACTCGTTTGGTGTGATAAGCAGGTCCCCTCTCTTCACAGTCCCAATTTCTATGTCTGGGAAATGGAATGAACTATAGGTCGAAGCCCTCTTTCGGCCACCACTTTGGGGCTTCGGTTGCTCAAACGCGCACTTAAGCTTCTTCCTGGTGAGGCCGTCCTTCTTTCTCCGGGGGTTTTTTTGACGAACAGCTGGACATGCTATCCATTCCCACCCCCACTCCTCCCAAATCAGAAAGACGTTCGATCCTGGGCTAGAACAACTTTATTTATAATATAGTTTTACAATTTGGTGTCGAATAATTCGATCGAACAACGGAGATCTTCGTCTTGAAGGCATGCCTCCACGAATTCGCTTCGGGAAATAAATGGTTTACTTCCATTCCCGGTCAGCCTCTGAAGTTTCTTAATTAATATTAATTAATGAAAGTGTTCCGTCTTGATTAATATTTTGTATTTAAAACTATACAATTTATAACCCTTACACCGGTTCTAAAAAAGTGGAAGTTTAAAAATAAAAATTAATTGTTACCTCGAATGCATGTTGTGCATGTGCATGAATATCCTCCCTTTTGGGTGTAGAATGGATCTGTTTGCTAAGCAGATCATACATAGACAATGTGACCAAAGAGAGTTCCTGTTGCCCTATCATTCCCCGTTGGTGGATGTCGTACAAAGAGAAGACCCATCCTAATTTCTCTTCGGTCGATCCCCGTGTCATCGCTGATAAACCCATAACAAATTCCTAAAGAACTTTAAGAAACGGGATCATCTCTTACTTCAAAAGTAATGTGGCCATTGGTGTCTCGATCCAATGTTCTGAAGACCAGCTCGGAATATCGCTTAGTGTTACCGTGTGGAAAGAATTGAGCATATATTTCTTGAAATGTAGATTTGGTTATGATACCGGAAGGACAAAGCTAAAAAATGTAAAAATAGTTTTCTTTCAATGGGCTAATTTACTGCTTTAATTATTCGTGGGAGATTGAAACTCCCTCCCAAAAAAATACAAATATTCCCAGCCAAGAATCTTGACTCCATGGTTACCTGCTTGAAGGAGCGATATATCATCTGAATTTCGCGTTTTGAGAATTTTGTCTTAACAATAATATCATCAAGACTGCGAGGTCGGTAAGTTGGTGGCGGAGGTTGGTCTAGATCTTCTGAAAGTAAAACATTGATATATAATAATGGGGTTTGTAGATGTAAAGTCTAAAGTCTTAAGCAAGCTCACCCCTACTAGGCCATATAATTGGAGCGTGATGATAAGGGTCTTCGTTGATTGGAATCGCCATCTCCTCGCCGCATATTCTCGATTCATCACCTTTCTTCCCAGCTCGTTGTCATCCAGTTAGCCTGAGCGCATTTTATCAAATAAATGGATAAACAAGTATTCGAATTGACGTGACCGAATAAAACAAGAACAATTGTCTTCATTGACGTTGATAAGAGAGATTTATTGTTCGGAAAATCCAGAAAGCACCTGACTCAAAATTAACACATAAAGCCCGCTTATTAGGACCCGCAAAAGTATTAAATACTAACAAGAGGGAGAGACAACACGGCCCAAAAAGGTGTTGAACATCTGCGTATCTCTCGCAGAAGCACTCTTTAATTCCCCCAACATGCAAAGCACGGCATGAATAAAAGATGCCGGCTGTTCCCAGGTCACAAATTGCCGGCCTACCTCACTCATCCTTGGTCTTCCCATGCGTCCGGAGATGGATATAAAAAGGGAAACTCAGCTGGCCTATGATCGGAAACAAGCGGCCCAAACGTCTTTTAAAATTTTGGTTTGAGGAAGGGGCAAACACAATAACCAAAACTTTCTAAATTCTAGAAATCCGCAGTCCATTTCCAGCTCACTGCCTTCGGCACGACGTATAAATTGTTATGCTCATTTGTAAGCACTATTAAGGAATCCATTGGCCGGTGAAATACTTTATTCTTACATGCAAATATGGGGTAGAAAGAGAACTAGTTAGGAAGGGAGGGATCTCTGGGACGTATCATGCAAGTGTCGCCTCACAATTAACGGGATCCCAGGCCGAGCACCATTGGCAAGACCGAGAAGAAGAATGATGTGCAAAAAGAAAGGGCAAAAAGTCGGGTTCGACCTCGAGGACCTCAGAAAACCATAAAAGGAAAATGGGTTTCCCCTAACTACAACTATCCATCGGAATCTTTAACTGTCCAAACAGAAGTTGGTTTACAGTTACAATTTAAAAACTTGTAAAACTTGAAAGCAAGCTAAAAATATTTATATAACTCATTGAATAACGGCCATATTTTTCGCCAATTTTAAACTTTTCTATCCTTAAGGATTTTACTTCTGTGTTTTATAATGTCATGTCATCTTATGACATATCCGACATTGTTGAATATCCTTCCAAGATTATATAAAACTCATATTCTCCATCGCCTTTAAGCGAATGACTCCTTCCAAGTGCGCGATCGAAAAAGTCTCATCAAGTTGTGTCGGTAGGAAGGAGAAAAAGACTGGAATGGAAAGGCTTTTTTCTCCGATCGTTCCATTCAAAACCCTTCTCGAGATGTCCTCACCGTTCTGTTTTAGGCATCGCTCCTTGATCACTGATAAGAAAAATATTTCGATATTTTAATAGTTTCCTTTCCCGATGACTAGCTGTTTTTTGCATGCAATTATTACCATTAAATTTACTTTTCAGACGTTGTATGAACATATTTGCAACGTTAGATCCGGCGGTAAAAAAGTTATTGGGATGGAAGTTAGGTGACGAAGAAGAGAAATGGGCCTTCAAAGCAGTTGAGTCGTTGGTGAAGAAGCTTAGAAAGAAGAAGACCGGGGTTGGAACAGTGGAGGATCTTGAGTTCGCCCTGTCCCATCCAGGAATCAGAAGTAAATGCGTCACCATCCCTAGATCACTGGATGGAAGACTGCAGGTTTGTAACCATGGTCATTCATCGTTTATGTTTAGGTTTCTCATCGAAAAGGCCTCCCACATGTCATCTATTGTCGTGTGTGGAGATGGCCGACCATCCAGTCTCATCATGAAGTCAGACCGATCCCGGATTGTCGATATCCTTATGACAGTCGCGGGGATAATATTTGCATAAATCCATATCACTACCAAAGAGTCGACCAGCACCCAACGACATCCAGCTTGCCCCCGTACACAAGTCAAATGAACATGTCACAGAATTACATTCCTCCCTTTACCTCAACTTCGGTCCCCATTTCCCATTCAAATCATGAACTCATAAGACCTACAAATTACAGTCTTCCTGAGGTCATGGAAGTACAGTATCCCTCTCCATACTCTTCCTCAACCACAATACAATCTCCAATCAATAGTAATTCGATTGCTTCACCATCGGCATTAAGTGATGATGATGATTTCACTAGTTTTCAACCAAATGAGGATAAGATAGCTGAAGGTCCCCACAGTTGGAACGAACCCGATTACTGGTGTACAATCTGTTATTACGAACTCAATTCTCGAGTTGGAGAACCATTCAAAGTAATTTTTTACTTATTTTACGCAACTTTAACCTATTTAGCTCGCCTGTAATAATGTGGTGGTGGATGGATTCACGGATCCCAGCCAAGAAGAAGGAAGGATTTGCCTGGGATTACTCTCGAATGTCAACAGGAATATCACAATCGAGAATACAAGGCGGCATATTGGAAAAGGTATGATTGCATTCTCAATTACCAAAGAACAGTTACTTCAGGCGTTCGATTTGTTTGTACGGAGAACTGTGTAACCGTATTCAACTTCTCCCAATCCCCGGTTTTTGTCCAGTCAAGGAACAGTAACTTTAAATACAATTTGCAGTCAACTGCAGTCTGCCGAGTTCCTTCCAATTCTAATATGATCGCCTTCGACTATCAATTGTTCATTGAGGTAATTCTTTTCCTTTAGAGAACCCCGTTTAGATGTTAAACAAAGCAAAAACTGAAGGTTATCAACATGTCTATGAACTGCAGAAGATGTGCTTTATTCGGATGTCGTTTGTGAAAGGATGGGGAGCTGACTATCATCGGCAGGATGTTACATCTACGCCATGTTGGATAGAAATTCAGTTACACCAACCTTTATCGGTAAGTGTCATACAAATAGAAGACTAGTACTTTCAGTGGATCGACTCTGTAATATCTCCAATGGACCCTCCCGACCAAAATAATATAACCTCCGTCTCATAATTACTATGATTGTTAATTTGACAAATGTTTTACAGTCTGACGTAAAATTGACGTGATTTTGGTCAAACAGAAAATTATGACTTAATTTTTCAAATGTGAATTTAACATAGACTGTGACTTATCCCACACATTAAAAATCTGGATCGTCTAGCCAGTGTCATAATAGCTGCGAAGCCCCAAAAAAAGCTAGCCAAAAAATTGGATCCAGGTTTTTACTAGGCATTTTAATAATTTGGCTGGTATTTGCAACTTGTTCACACCCATTCCAAGGTTTTAGCTAGCTTTTTTGAGGCTTTAACGTAGGGGCAAAAACAGGCCCAATCATACTGTTCTGTCAAGAATGCCATCGATAAAAACCCCGCGTCGGGAAAAACCCCCAAGTATACTGCGCGTCAAAAGTTTGGAACAGGCCAGATCTTCTTTGCGGCTTGAGATGGGAGTTTCATTTCTTTTTTGTTAGAAGCTCCATGTATTAAGAACCTCAATGAATACATAGCCATGGAAATCAGAAAGCTCGTTCGAGTTTAAAAAAATTTTTAATTAAGTGGGTCAAAAGTTTGGAACAGCCTTTGGAAGGTGACTATAAACTTCGGGATGGAGGCAGGTATCCTCGCATTTAGTATTTTTGGATGATGCAAGGAATCGGAATGCCAATGACATACGGAAGCAGGCCCTTTCGGGGTGGGCCCTTTCGGGGTGGGCTTTTCGGGGTCGCCCTTCCGGGGTGAGCCCTTTCGGGGTGGGGCCTTCCGGGGTGGGCCCTTTCGGGGTCAAGGCAAATACTGGGGTTTCCGGGTCCCGGAGCATAAATAATTTTATTTTTTTGAAACTACTGATTAATTTTATGACGTAATCTTGTAAAATTTTTGAAAAAAATGATAGAACAAACACCGAGATTGAAAATGTTAAAAATGACATTTGATAAAAGTTGGAAACAACCGACTCGTGGGGTGTGTCAACGGCGCTGAATTCGAAAATCACATTCATTTTTTGAGATTTTTTATTAAAGATACAATATTTTTATTGCAGAAATTCTTGATTGCATTGCGCCGAATCTGGCGTTCAAAGAATTTAACTTTTTAATATGCATACAAGGAAACTTTTATCAAATGTCATTTTTAACATTTTCAATCTCGGTGTTTGTTTTATCATCTTTTTTCAAAAATTTTACAAGATTACGTCATAAAATTAATCAGTAGTTTAAAAAAATATAATTATTTCTGCTCCGGGACACGGAAACCCCAGTATTTGCCTTGACCCCGAAAGGGCCCACCCCGGAAGGCCCCACCCCGAAAGGGCTCACCCCGGAAGGGCGACCCCGAAAAGCCCACCCCGAAAGGGCCCACCCCGAAAGGGCAGTAACCCCAATGACATACACCTTTTTATTCCACGATAACTATGAGAAAGCCAATTAGCCTCCAAGCAACGCTATAAAAATATAAAATACATAAAATTAAGAATTAAAGCAAAACTCAAAATATTCATAAATTATGCCGTGCGGATATGGTCCCTATGCAAAGATCTGAGTGCCCTATACAATTGTGCGCCCATATTAAATATTTTAGAACGCATACACACCGATAACATAGAGAACCCAAACCAAAAAATTCATTTTTTTCGCAAATTTGACCGTAATTTTTGGCTTAATAAGCATTTTTTTTCTCATTGAGTTTATCGATGAAAATCAGTATGTCATTGGCATTCCGATTCCTTGCATCATCCAAAAATACTAAATGCGAGGATACCTGCCTCCATCCCGAAGTTTATAGTCACCTTCCAAAGGCTGTTCCAAACTTTTGACGCACTTAATTTAAAATTTTTTTTTAAACTCGAACGAGCTTTCTGATTTCCATGGCTATGTATTCAAAATACCCAAATTTTCCAAACCCTAGTCCCACCCTTTTTCCAATTTTCAAGAATTTTTTTATGTCACTCAAAGAGGCCGAGAGGTCTCCAGGTCAGGGGCCTATTCGGGCTCAATCGTATATACTTGTATTAACTTGCGGAATAAAGAATTGGTATAAAGTCGTTCATGTACGTCGCGACATAAGGTCCTTAGAATTTGCGCAGTGCATTTTTTCGCCCTCGCCGCGACTTCCCGTTTTTGCACTAGCGACATGCACTTTTCGGCGATTGCACCCGCGATGTTGGCGAAAAAAATTCTACGGACTTTATGGCGCGAGGTATATGCAAGAAAGTAATAAAACCACAAAAGGTTCTTCAACGAAGAAACCTACACTGTTTGCAATCAAAAAAACGCGGTCCGACATTTCGGGTCAACAACAGCTCGGGCCAGCATAAAATCAAATGGAATGTTACGTAAAAAACATCGCTAACATTAGATGTAATTTTAAGTTTTTGGTCGTAACTACAAAAATTTTCTACGTGGTCGAAAACATAAAGTGGTGTCGACAAAATACGGCTTTATTTTTGAAGAAAATGCAATCCTTTTCTCCGAAAGAAAGTTACAGTAATCCTCGATATAACGACTGTGGTCCAAAAAACCCCAAGCGATGGCTCCATACCAATTGGTGATCCAGCTGACCCATTTTGGTTTAATTCTGAGACACCGACTCAACAATGTTCGGGCCAATCTACGATTTGCAGTAAAACGCGTTTTAAAAGACAATTTTCGGTTCGCTGCGTCAGCTGAGTGCATTCAAAATTATGCCCGGAAGGTGGAAATTTGCGTTACCATCATCCTGAGCCCTGCTATTGCCGTTTCAATAAAGAAAACTTCACAAAATCGACTGTCTATATGTTTTAGAGAACGGCGACTTCAGATCTCGCAATTTCAAACTGGTAGGATTACTGTAAGATACTGTTTCTGATCTCCGGCCGATAAAAGTCGACCATATCTCCTTCAAATCAAAAATCCCACTAAATTTTATTGCGGATTTGGAATCAGCGTAGAATTCTGGTCTTAGAACATGTAATTTGCATCCTTCATTCCGTGGCAGACGTTTCATGGCGCAGTGGATTTTGATGAAACTACTTATTATATTAATCTGACGACCAACGGGTTCGATCCCCGCTGGAGACAAATTTCGGAAAAGAGATGGAAATGACATTTAACAAGGAAAGTACTTTTATGGGGGCTCCTACTTTTTGACGCGACATATCTCAAAAAATCAGAAAAAATGTGCTGATCGAGGATATATAAATCTTAGCTGCCCATTTTAGGTTTTTATGGGTGAAAATGCCCAAAAATTGGCTTAATTTCCCTACAAAAGGCGCAGGCATTCGAAACGATAAAAAGCGCAGTCGGTCTCTTCCTTCGGAAGAGAGCGGTGTGGCCGAGTGGTTAGTGCCGTAGTCTGGGAATCAAGAGGGGGAACGCCGCACGGGTTCGATTCCCCTTTTGGGCTGAATCAACTTTTTTTGAAGTTGAAGGTCGGAAAAATAAATTTTTGGGCCAAGACTGATTTATTCCGTCTTAGAAACTCAATAAACATCATTTAAAGCCAAAATAAAAATTGTAAACCTGTGAAAAATTAAGCGAAAAGGGGTTCATATAGGACTTTAAGTCAACTTCCGATTGAGTTTTCACCCCTAAAAACCTAAAATGGGCAGCTAAGATTTACATATCCTTTATCAGCACATTTTTTCTGATTGTTTGAGACATGTCCCGTCAAAAAGTAGGAGTCCCCATAAAAGTACTTTCCTTGTAAGGTAATTCGGAGGGTTATCTGAGCAACGTTGACTATTTTTAGGCATTAATGGTACCTGAATTGAAGATTAGAAAAAGGTTTATATTATTTTGGTCTCGGAATCCGTAAAAAATAAAACTGTTTCAGACGGGCTGAAATTAATAACATATATTCTAGGCCTAATTTTTTGAAACTTTTGTGTCAACTTTTTTTGCTAGAATACTTTATCATGGCTTGCTGCAACATAAAACTTTGACGTCATCATCCCTTGGTGAAATTGTGTTGGATAACTCACGTATTTCGTACGGCCATAAACAAACTTGCGTAAACCAACTCGTTCTTAACCATTCCTATAATATTCGTGATACTCCGATAACTCTGCGCCCTGTGGTATACGAAAAAAGAAATTGGGGTTTATGTTACAGTAAACCATGATAAAGTATTCTAGCAAAAAAAAAGTTAACGCCAAAATCTCTAAGCATTAGGCTTAGAACATGTGTTATCAATTTCAGCCCGTCTGAAGCAGTTTTATTTTTTACGGATTCCGAGACTAAAATAATATAAACCTTTTTCTAATCTCCAATTCAGTTACCATAAATGCCTAAAAATAAATCCACTGCGCCATGAAACGTCTGCCACGGAATGAAGGATGCAAATTACATGTTCTAAGACCAGAATTCTACGCTGATTCCAAATCCGCAATAAAATCTAGTGGGATTTTTGATTTGAAGAAGATATGATCAGAAACAGTATCTTACAGTAATCCTACCAGTTTGAAATTGCGATTTTTTAAGTCACCGTCCTCCAAACCTAATTGTCGATTTTGCGAAATTTTCTTCATTTCAACGGCAACAGCAGAGCTCAGAAGGACGGTAAAAAATTCTTTTAAATTATCGTTGACCCGAACGTCGCTGATCCGAAAGCAGTGACAGCAAAAAACTGCATTTTACCTGTCCAGAAAATAAGTCGGGATGACCGGTTATCGGGAATTTTTGGGACTTCCCGTGTTTTTCTTTTTTTGGGTCGTGTCTAGATCGAGTTGTTGATTTATGGTTAGGAAGAGATGAATGCTTCTTCTTCTACATATCCGTCGTCATCAATTCGGATTTCTGAAGCTCCCAAGTTACCAATGCCCAATCTTTCTCTTGAAGTCTCGCCGGAACTTCTCCCAATTCATGTGTTTACTCATATAACTCAGCAGACGGCGATGGTTTGTTATTTAACATGTTTATTATGCAATTTAGACTCTCAACGCAGTTCGCCGCCAACGAGATACCTGCTTTAATCAAATGCGTCATGATGAACAAGAATACTTGGAGAGGACAAGAATAGTGGCGCCTTTGTCAAGAGTAGGATACATTCTTCGTTAAGGCAATGTTGCTTGCAGTTTAATCTTCCGAAAGAAGTTATATTCATTTTGGAAATTCATGCGAATGAGTTTTCCTACTTGATTGCCAAGCAGGACACCTGGGGAAGGATGCTGTGGAAATTGTTGTATGACATTCAGGCCGATACTAGCACACAGATAATGTTGGCGGATCAAATTTGTGACCGAGAAAAGTCAGAATTCAATAGAGCAAGTTTTTGCTGTACCAAGTTTACTCCAAAATATTTAGATAACTATTACTGGGCCTGTGGAAACCGTGGATTCAGCAAGAAAGCGACTGTTTGTAAGTAAAAAACTGTGATTGGAGTCTTCTAGGAAGTTTTACCGATTCAACTTGGAATGAAATTGAGTGGTATCAAGCCTGGTTTGAACCCCGACCTACGCGAGCAAGTTTCCGAATGGATAATGGAGGGAATCTTTGAATTCCCCACGATCTCTTTACACTTCATACTGAATCCTAATAGAACGAAAGAGGATGGAATGGTTTGTATAGAAGTTTATATTATGGATATGTTTTAGTTCTCTTACATTTTGTTCAGAGCCGCTCCCCATGACGAGGAGCAGTTGGCCAACTGCGTCAAGAAATTGTCATCAATGGTCCTGGCAGAGGTAATCTTTTAGTCTCTTATTCTCTGTTTTCAACTTTTAGCCAGAAGAAGCCCAATTTTCCGAAGGGTTCGTTATTCCAAAGATAAACCGAGAGTGGTATATTGGACCAAATGCACAGTTGATTAAAGATATCTCGAAGAAAAATGACGTAATGATATCGTATCCTCTTTCCGCCGCCCCAGGCGCCGAACACAACTACATTGTTCACGGACGTGTAACTAATATTATTCAGGCATCAAAGGCATTCAGGGTAAGAAGGCAAAAGCAAGTATATTATAGCTTTAGGCTATATCTCCGATCTCGCTGACTTTTGATGTTGAAGAAGACGAACTGAAAAGAATCCCGAAGTTCAGAAAACGAGATATCGACTATTACGATGACGCCCTTAATGTTGTTGTATCATTTCGAAGGAGTCCTTATGAAGGAGATTTTGTAAGATCCGACGAAACTTTGAGGCATCGCATCACAATTTCAACCTCATACGAAAACCGGGAAATGGCATTCGAAGCACGAAAGAAACTTCTGAAAGGATATGTGGAGAATCTCGAGAACAGACCCAAAATAATGTTCGGAGAACACCTCAGATCAATCCTCTCAGCGTATGCCCGAGGGAATAGAACCTTTGTACCAGATGCTAACAATTAATTCTTTCCATTCATTCATTGCTAATAATAGTCTTAAATTTTAGATCTTCCAAATAATAAATTATTTTTGCATGTATAATTTTATCGTCTTACCGCATACAAAATACAGAACAATATTATGTTACGTTTAGCTACTGTTCTGGGCATTCTGCGCCCTTCTAACGGCATGGGCTCTGATGTCGGCCATGATCTGATCCCAGGTCTTGCGTAAATGATCGCCATCATCCTATAATAACAAAGTTATATCATAATGAAAACATTTGATGGATCACACCTTTGGTCCTTCCTTCTGAGAGTTGTTCCCGCCTTTTTGTTTCTCCACCTTGATCGGAATCTAAACGACGCTTTAGTAATACATCACGTTACCTCAGATTCATTTTTAGCAAATAAATTTTTTGGCAGTGGTGGAGGAGGAGGAGCAGAGGTCGAAGGTCTGACAACGTTAACAAGTAGGGTTCGCCCCACGACTGGAGGTTGAGGCCTTTTTTCCACACTTTCTTCGGCCTCCGAATTGTCTTCCGATGCTTCGAAGATGGTGTGAAGTGGATTTGGAGGTGAAAGAAGCCCAATGGAAGTGTCCTCACATTCAGATGACGCTTCGGCTTCGTTTAATAACAACTTCACTGACACCGGTATTGGTTCTTCGATGGACGAGTCAAATTCTACAGGTTCTAATTCAACCTTCAGTTTGCTCTGCCAGTTTGATTGGTTTTTTGGCATTGGACCTGAGGTTTCCTCAGATCTCTGAGCGGCAGGCTAAAAAGACATAAAAAACCAATTTACAACGTATCTTACTAAGTCCTTGAAGGATGGCTTCGTCTCATTCTGGATTTCATTCCGTTGTGCCAAGCTTGAAATAATCCAAGTTTTGGGAGTCGCGAATGAAGAAGCCCGTTCCTTATTACTGTAGATATTAGGCGCCTTCTTTACCTTGTCTACTGTATTGCTATCTTCTTTTTTGATCTCTTTATGGTTGCTCGGTTTATCATGAAATGTTCGCAAGGCAACATCTTTTTTGGGGATTTCCTTAGTTGAGACCACATTCCCCGGGACGTCGATATTGTTCAGACTGTCGTCCTTCAGGTCTTCCTTATTTTTCTCCAATTCAAATGTTCGCATTCCACTTGATCTTTTGAATTTCGATGGAGTTTGCTGCTTAGCCGGTGATTTCAAGGTATCCCTCCAATTGTAAGTTCCGTTATATCCATCCCCATTTCCATTCTGGGTGTTAATATTGGATTTTACTACTTGCGGTGATCTTATATTCGGGTCAGACTTCATGATGTTGATGTTGTGGTTACGTTCGTTGTCTCGAGGAAATCGACTTTCTTCCAGACTAAGTGTTCCGTTTCTCCCTTCCACTTCTAATTGGCTGCATGATTCAGACTTCTTTATTTTCTCTTTCAAACAATTGTACTTGAAAAGATCGTCAATTAATTGAATCTGCTTGACCACTTTCTTCTTAAAAAAAATCGGATACAAACAAACGAAACAACAAAAAAAAAAATAAAAAAATCCACTCACCTGAAGGTCGACAATCTTATCGCTTGAATCGTCCAGCCTTAACTTGTTCCAATCAAACAACAACTGCCCCAACCGTGCATATTCTTTGTTCAAGTGTAAATAAACTTGATCAGTCTTTCTGAAAACAAAAAAGTTAAATTTTCAACATCTACTTACAATTCATCAGTATCATTGATATTCTGAACATTATAATTAACATTTTGGCCCAATACTTTGTCAGTATTATCAAAGAACTTCAACGGAGACTCCGTATTTCGCTTTCTCTCCTGGTCCTCTAATTCCGTTGACCCCGATTCGGTGGACTGAATTGAACCTCTATTACTTCCTCGGTCTTGCGACTCTTTTCCTTTATGTTCCAGTCTTGCTTCAACTTTCTTACGCAGAGTGTCATAAGAAGAGTGATTAGCTAAAAAATTATTTACATATATTACAACTGGAACTTACTTTCTACGACCTTTCGCAAAATCCTTTCATTATAGTCATTAATTACAGTTTTTGAGTCTTCAAACCCGATCAGTCGAACTTGTGACTGCGAGTCTTCGTTTGAAAATAGTCGCCTACCATTTGAAAAAGCCCTTTCATCTCTCCGAGGCGTCTCTTGTGGCCCCGAATTTCCATGTTGAAAATGTTTCTTCTCAACCGTATCATGATGGTAGGTCCTTATAACAACGTTCTCCACAAATTCTGGTTCCGACCCAGGTGGCGCTGGTGCTGTCCGCCTCTTCTGCGACGTAAACCCTCTAGACGAATATGAAATACTCGAGGTTACCGAATTCAAAGACTGAGAGCTCGGAGACGCTGAAGGCTGAGGAGTTGAAACACAGCGAGACATCGATCGAGGAGTTGAAGAATTGTTTTTCGCCGGTTTACGTCCGAAATGAATCCTCTGAAAAGAAAATATTCCCGAGATGTTTAAACTCACAGATCTGATGCTCTCTAAAGCCGCTTTGGGTGAAAATCTCTCTTTGGCCAGCTGAAAACAAATTAGTCTTATTAGAAATGCCGATGCAACCTTACTGCTGAATTCGACATAACCAACACCGTGCCAATTGTATAAAAAATGAATTTGGCAACAATGCGAGAAATGCCAAGTCCATCGCTACTATTGATTTTTGTAAAGTGTGGTAACGATAAAACGCCTTATATTTTGTGAATACATCGTTATCAGCGTTTTATAACTTTGATAATTTATTTTTAAAACAACAACCGTTAGTTTCGCTTTTCTAAACAAAAAACTTACAAAAACAAAAAATGGAGATGGAAATGAACTGTTTCAGACCTCCCTCCATATTGATGTGGCCTGTTTTCTTTCTGATTCATGAACACCGAAAGTCTCGGAACTTAGAGAAAGATTGTTTGGTGTGTCTTCATCCTGTTTGCCTTCCATAAAAGAATTTGAAGCAACTTATTTAAATAAGGCGACAAACGCGTTTGTTTGAGGAATATTCATTGCAGCCCTGATTTGCATAATTTTACGCAATATGCGTCAAATGAATCCCGCCACCCGCTTTTGTAAACACGAAATGAGATTAGACGAAACGATCCCAAAACTTGGCCACCTTAGCGCCTCAAGGCAGCCGACAAAGAGAGTTGGATAAGGAAAGTGAATCAACGAGGAAGGGAGCATGGCTTGGGTCTTAGTAAGGCCCAATCAGTTCGTGGCTTATCCAATGAACAGAAGTCCGCCCCAAGGTCGCGGACCAAAGGAAGTCTCCGTCTCGTAAAATCCGGCGGGTGTTGCAAATCGAAGGGAATAGCGGCACTCGGCTGGGCTGAGTCCCGGTTTAATTGGTGCTGCACCCGAGAGTGGACCCAGTATCAATAAAAGACTTCCTTTGATCGTGCCGATGTTACTGTTAGGAGCAAGGAGAGGCGTCTTATCATGACACTTGGAACGGTCGAGACCGCACTGCCTGTTTTTTATTCATTTCATCGCCATATTGGACTCTTCCGGCGAGATTGGGTGGGCCAGGTGTCCCAGCCCTTTTGAATACGAGATGAGTTTTCATTCGTTTGCCCGGAGGTCTCGACGAGGATCTTTTGAATCGGTTTGTCCGTCACTGTATCCGAAATGAGGGTGATGACTTGCCGCGCGCCTTTTGGGGCTTGACACGCCTTTGCTGCGATAGAATCAGGACTGGTTCGGATGACATTGTTCTGTGTCCTGATCGACAAGATCGTTAAAATAAATTATTTTTTGGGGTTTTCTCGTCTTGAGTTACTTACGATTTATGACTTCTGTTACAAACCCCACATTCGCGCATTAAATGTTCCATAAACTCAGGTTTCGGCCAATTTGGCCACCCATTAAGTGCGAGGGAGGGACCTCTAGATCAAGATAAAAAGTTGACGAAAGCGGCAAAACGGGAGGAGGGAGATCAGCCATTGTCTTGGGCGGCCTTCCTTTATTATCCATGGCATTATTGTGGGGGAAATCGACCGGACAATCGGGGTGTAGATAACAGAGTTGCGTGGCCTTTTGTCGCCTTTATTTCCTCACCTTAAGCGACAAAAACTTTCGTCTTCATAAATTGGATTGGAATTTCGTTGGCGCACTTCTGCATTGATACTCTTTTATGAGCTGATAAGAGCGTTGGGTGAGAGCCTTGGAATAACACTATGTCAATGTTTGTTTAATTTAATTGGTTTAGAGGGAATTAGCTGGGTCAAGTAGATTGATAATAAAACTATCAGACTTTTTGGCGTTAAGTGAACTTAATATAATCATAACCTGTAAATATTTTAAATAAGAAAAATTGTATTAGGGTTGTTCATAACAGTGAAATTTTGAAGGTTTGAATTTCGATTACAAAGTTTAAGATTTTCGGAAATTAATTTGAATAAATTACAATAAAATCTGCCATTGGGATGATTAAATAGATTGGTTAAGCAAGTTGTTTCAGAAGCCCCACCAGATTACCCATTACTTTTATTTATCACTCACCTCAGGTCCTCATAAATTACAAGAATCGATAGTAAATGTTGTTCCGAAACGCTTATAACAATTTTACGATCAATTTTGGCCATACGGAAATCAAAAAACAATTGGAGTGCCTGAGGGCGAGGTTACCCTCCCGCCGCCACTCGTCGCTAATTGGTCGCCTACGGTCCCTAGGCTCCGCCCCTTTGCACCCCTCTTGTCAATCTTACACCGACTGCCGCACCTTTCCACCACTGCCTTCAACGACTGTGTTCCGGGGGTTTGGGCCGGGTTGAGAGGTCGATCTTGTTTATATAGAGCTCCCCCGTTATCCGTCGATTACTAACACGTATCCCATTGTCGTGTAATTAAAGGAGATTGATGTCTTTCGCTGATATGCCGAGGACTTGACGCCTTTATTTCCAATGTCCGGTTTTATTAGTCACAATTAAAGTTTTTACTATCGACGCGGTCATGTTTGCGGCCCGGAGGGTGGGAGAGAATCGAGTGATGGTAAAATTCAATTTATGACATTACGCGGAATAATTTGTGTGGGTCATTAATCAAACCCGGATTTATTGAGAAGAGTCACTTAATAGCGTAAAAGCGGAGCTGTTAATTATATAAGCCTGTCATAATTAGAATAATATGGTTAACTTGATTAAAATTTGTTGAAACTCATGTTTGACTTACATATTTCCCATTTAAGATTTGTCATAAGTTATAATACCGTAGTTCTTCATCCCGAATTGCCCGAAGAAGGCCAAGAATTCCCGTCCAGGTGTGCATTGTCTCCTCTTTTATGACTTTGACATCTGTCTTTCCTGGTTGTTCGTTGGTTGGACAAGGCGTTTCATGCAAAAAAAATTCTCGACGAGTCAAATTGATAACCAATTTCCATTCCAACTTCACACCTTTCTGTTTACAGTCATTACGGAAGTGTAGTTCTGGTATGCACCGACTAGTATGCTAATGGTGATGAACATGAATTTTAACGATGCTTCCGAAGGGAGAGACGAATCAGCTAACTCCAGCATCAAGATGTCCTCACCTTCCACCCACACCATGCCCACCATGCCATTCGCACCGTTTGCAGCGTCCTTTAGTTCCGGGAAGATTGGTTACGGTAAGAATAACGGCACAGCGAACTTCTGGCAGTCAGCTCCATTCCAGCCATTCTCAATGCCCACTGATGGTGAGTAAAACACAAAATAATCTTACTCAAGTTCACAAGTTTGCTAGAAGACCCCTATTTCAGATAACCGATCTACCGAAAATGGCGAGCAGAAACCCGCACTGAACAATGGAATCCAAGGGAGGATATCCCCTACACAGAATCTCTTCCAGACTCCTAACAGGTATGTTCGAAGTAGTTAATCTGCTTGTAAAAGGAGTCTTCCCTTCGCCGTGTGATTGGTCTTTTCTTCACGGTATAATTTTTTTTTGAGTTGGGTGATTTATTTGTTTTATCGATTTCAGCTACGGCTCCTTCTCCCATCCCATGTTCAATCATATGTCCCAGAGTTATTACAACGACTGGAGTCATATGCAACAACGACAACTTCAGCAGAACATGAATCTGTCTGCTCAATTTAACGCGAATCAAGGGTCAACTTCTGAAAACGGAGACCATCAGAATGGGGGCCAGGCTCAAGAGCAGAACTCAACTTGTTCGTCGAGCAACACATCTCTTCCGAATAATCATCAGAAGACCGATTCTTCGTTAGAAGAAACGACAACTTCCCCCTCCACAACAATCGGTGAGGTCTCCACAACAAAGGAGAACAATTCTTCGACCAATCCCTTCAACACTTCCACTGATGCCTACAATGCAATGTCCCAAATGCAATCTCGATTAGGATTCGAAATGGGCGCCACAATGCCTACGGACGTCTACAATGTCGGGATCCAAGCAGCGTCGATGGCAACAAATCCATGGAGTTACAATTACCCCAGCTATGGTCTCCCTTATGCCAATAATATGACTGATATGGTCGGGTTCGGAGGTAAGGATTAGCGCATCTTTTTTATTGCCCTTCTTCCATCAAAACTTTGGCATTGGGGTCGCTTTCCTACCTACCGTAATGTTTTAATCCAGATGATTAGGATGTGTTCTGCTGACAGCTGGGGCACCAGAATAAAGTCATAAAAATTAGGGAAGGCCAACATGTCTCGAGGCTTTGAAGGATGCCGCCGGATCCGGGAATCTCGTCTGCCGAATGTTACCGTATTGTTTTTTGTACTCATTTTGACTGCTTGTCATAGTTTAGTTTTGAATCCGTTACAGTAATCTTTTGGTGGGCGTCGTTGGGAGTGCTTGTGACGCAACCGGGTTTTGATAAGACTCCGGCCTTTCACCTGGCCGCGTTTCTTTGGCGGTCCCTAAATTTTATTACTGCGCGACCCAAAACATCTTTACGACAACACTGGCTAGGGTGTGTGGCCTTTCTGTACCTCTGAATATTTCCGCCTTGGTATCCATCAACGCGTCCCCGGGTTTTTAATTACTGAAAACGGAAACGGACCACGAATTCTCGGTGAAGGTCGGCTACAGTAGTCAACGAAGAGGGCGTGGGTATTTCCACACAGAAGCAAACCAATTTGCTCAAAAATTTACTTTAACTCTCGTCGAGAGCTGCCTGCTTTTTCAAGAACGCGCAGCCTGACCGTCTCATCTCGTCGTCCGGTTTTACGATCGCTCGTAAAACGGTGCAGAGAGAGGTGGAAAGGGAGATGAGATATGTTTGGGCTTTGAGTCATGCCTGTCCTGTATCACAAACAAGTCCCATCCTAAAGCAGATTTGTTCTACAAGAAAGATCTTGTAACTGGACTTTGAGATAAGAAAAATATTAAGAAATACTTTATTGACGCCTAACATCGTGATTACAGCACTTGCAGACTCTCAGCTGGAGTGGACTACCAGTGCATCTCAGCGGAAAAAACGGAAACCTTATACAAAGCAGCAGACCATTCATTTAGAACAAGAGTTCCGGGGAAATCAGTATGTCACCAAACAGAAGCGATACGAACTTTCGATGACCCTCAACCTATCTGAACGACAAGTAAAAATTTGGTTTCAGGTAGGTATTCTTTTCTTTACAATTCCCTCAGTTTCCGTATGTCTTTGGCATCGAAGATTACTGTAGCTCTCATTTGAATACAACAGGTTACTTTTCGCTGTCTTATTCATAAACCTGATGGGTTTTTTATTTTTGTTGACAACTTTAATCATTCTCCAACTAATTTCTTATTTTCTTGTTGCAATCTTTGCAAGTATAATCCTTGCTTTGTTCCAGAATCGGCGGATGAAAGACAAAAAGCAAAGAACCCGTGGTGACGTTACAGTAGGCCATCAACCCCACCACAATGGCCTGATGTAATGTAAAAGATATGGTTAGAGTCAATGGTCTCTATTGTAATATAAAAATTGTTTCCACAGTTAAAAAGAAAACTAAAAGTATTAATAAAATTAGAATTTACTTACAAGTCTCGGTTAGTACATATAATGATTTTCTGATTTGTTATGTCAACTCTCCATTTTGGCGGTCAGATTTACAGGTTTGTGGTTGGACTCTTGCCTTCGTCGAGCTGGCAAATTTAATTTTTACTAAATGGCAATTTGAATACTCGTAATTCTAAAAAATGTGAATAAAAATTCATAATAAATATTACAGTAACTGACTGAAAATGAATATGGTTCAGTCACTTCAAATTCTGTCGTCGTTTGCTACCAAGTGGCTAGCCAGAATGGCCAACTTGTAGCCAAATCATCCAGCTCATTTTTTACGCAACTCCAATCATGCAGCTCGCCATTCAGATGAATTGGCTACAAATCTAACTCTTTCGCAAGCAGCTTATGATGTCTTTGGGCCAGTCCAACTATTTGGCTAGCCACTTGACGGTCAGATAAGTGTATTACCAGCAATAAATTCCGAAATAAAATTCCAATTACGTCAAATTTGTAACATTGGAAAAATTATTCAAATTCGAGATAATTAGAGGAATGCTTGATTGGACCCCATGAAAATTGATCTCTATAATGTTTTGGGTCCAATCGTGGGGGGTCTGGCCTCCTCACCCGTTACAGAAGTCTATAAGGTGCCGGTAAAAGCCACCACAGTTAATGCAGTTTTAAAAACCTTTCCAAAAAATTACTTGCACTTTCCTCACACAGATTCGCAAAGCTGCGTTCATCGTTCAATTCGTAGAACATCGAAAGTCCTTTTATCAGGGCTGATGAAAAATCATCCTGAAATAACAAGAAAAATGTGCGACCTATTCGAAAATAATATTTTCACATATTATGTAAAGATCCCGGTAACTCAGAAAACGATCAATTGAACACCATTTGGGAGAATTTTTTTCGATTTTTATGCAACAAGGTTTCAAAGCGGATTTGCAGTTTAAAGAGTTAGTATTTTACAAGTTGATAAGCTAACTTCTTTGAAACTAAACTTCCAGAATTTCTTTTTTGAAAAATTTATCCAATAATTTCACAAAAACGGTATAACCAAACTAAAGAATAATTTACTAATAAGAAAATCCATCAATTGTTTTGTTTCGCATTCTTAAAAAAGATGACCCGAGAACATTGAAAAAGACCTTAGGTGGGGAACTGGGCCCTCTGGGTGTTTGAATCAATGGCATGCTCTCTTTTGGCAGCCCTGAATGCCCGGCTTGGGGACCTTCCTTTTTTGTGCTGTTTTTTCCCCTTTTTGCCTGAGGAGAAAGAGAAGGCCGCTTTTTGAAGCCGAGGCCGCAATCCACCGCACGGCACACTCGTGTCCCTCTAGAATATCAAAATGTAACAGCGAAGGTGTTCGAAGCGATCGGCGTGTTTTCCAATCAAAATAATCACATTTACATTTCCTGACCCCCGGGCTATTTATTTCCTTCCCACACTTGTATTATAATTCGTGTCTCGGCCCCGCATTGATCTGAATGCTTTCTTTCGATTATCACTTTAAATTTTCAGGTATTACGTCTTTCTCTTCCGTAATAACCCGCCTAGCCCCATCTTTTTGCGTTTTAACTAGGATTTGGTTATCAGTGTGGGGCTTAGAGCCGAGTAGAAATATCTTTTGTCTTACTCGTACTTGTCACTGATGACGTCCTTTTAGAAGCATAAAGGTTGTTCGATTGGTTAGTTGCCTCATTTTCATTTGATTCGGGTCGTTTTTTGATGATTATTAATAGGACGGTTGGGCAATATCCCGCGATATTTACCCAAGTGATCACCCACGTAATGACTCACTTACCGGGTTCTAAACCACGATAAACAGTTTTTAACTGAATTGATCTTAAATAGTTAAGTAAATAAGAGGAAAACCTCACTCCTGCGCGCTAACGTGGGAGTGCGGAGAAACACCACGTTATCTCGCGTAAAGTGACCCGGGAATTAGATCTGCGACGCCATTATTTATACGTAAATCCCTAATTTATTAGCAAAGATGTTGTTCAACACCTCTCCCTACAATTCGTCGCTCTTTTCCTCATTTTATGGACAAGGGATGGCGGGGAAAAACTTGGGGTAAGTGAGAGGAGGGGGCTTGATCCGTTTCCACCGAAATCCCATGGCTTTAATCCGTTGCGCAAAAATCCAAAAAAATATATATCGACCGAGTTCAATCCAGGTCCAATCAATCATAACACAGACCTTAAATGTGGTGCGGGCAGATTAGTGTGTTTCGTTTTTCTTGTCCTTGTTTTAATGTCATCTGGGATGCAAAGTAGGCTGACTACTTTTTCAAAATTTTGCGAAAAAAATTTCATGATTCAGACGCGTTTCATCCTTTAATAATAACGAACATAAACTGAATCTGGGCCGCATTCCTTAACATTTCTTCTTCCTATATCCATTTTGTATATTTGAACCAATTAAAACCTGGATTTGATTTAAAATGGAGAACACTGTGATTGCCCCAGGAAATCCCGAATCTAAGTCCACACGATACAAGTTTGGCTCAATTATCAGGTTAGGGAGTCTACTTCGATCGTTTGTCTAAAATATTTTGTTAAAATACGCCCTCTTTACCCGTCCAAAATCACCATCTCTAAACAAACTATAATAGACTCGATTAATGACTTTTTTGGCCCTTATGAATTTATTTTAAAGTTTGTATTAAAATCATTAAATATTTATTAATTAACAGGAAGTTTCCTCGACTTCTCTTCCAAATGGCTGGGAAGTACAACATCGAAGACAAAGAGAAGATGGTCGCATCTTCCCCAACGCCTGATTTGGATCGATATCAACTGTCCCGACAAGATGCGTCAGTCAGTGCACGAAAGAGTCCTTTGGGCAGGTAAGCGATCTTATTCTTAGCCATTTAAATGTGTATTCAGGACCGATGAATTATTGGTGGAATTAGACGATGAAGAAGACACAGACTTGCGTCATCTTACAGGTCGACCGCAAAGTGTGCTCTCGATGCCAATGAGTCCCAGCAGTTTTGATGAGACAACGGAGAACGATCCAATAGCCCCATTGAAATGTAAAACATCACTGGGGGTGTATGGATCAAAAAGTCAGCCTTTAACCAACAATGGGAAGATAAATGACAGAAGCAACAACTATTCGAATGGTCATGTGCTAGTGAATGGATCGTCCTCTATTCCTGAACTTCAGTTCTCGTCGTCAGATCAGAATGTATCACACTCAACATCCGTTAATTTTACCGGTCATGCTTGGAAAAGTGCTTCATTTCGACCCACCTCGGCCTTAAATGGAAGATCCAATGGGTTTAAGGTCCAAAAAAACGTTGATGAGAATCACTTCAACCGAACATTTAGTCTTAGGGTTGATTGTCCAGCCGAGGAGTCCCGCAGTCTTACGCACACTCCCTCTTTGAGTCAATCAGCTTCTAGGAACGGCTTCATGAGCGCAAATGGGAGTATGGAATCGCATGATTCTAATGGATATGGTAATAACTTGGTTTATCACGGTCCCGACTCACGACTCCAACCTTCACTTTCGACGCCCGTGCCTGGCGAGAACGGTACGACAATTAGGAAGGAGGAATATCGACGATTCAAGAGCGAAGGTGAGTCCATAATTCGCCTCTTTCCCGTCATTCGAGTTAATTTATCTAATAACTGACGCAAATTACAGGGAGTCAGGACTTTTCGGTCCCCCCACTTTCGGTCCCCGCCTTTTCGGGCCCGCCTTTTGGGGTGGGAGACTTTTCGGTCCCCGTCCTTTCGGCTGGCGCCTTTTCGGTCCCTGGGCTTTTCGGGCGGGGACTTTTCGGGTGATGAGTAAAAAATTGTACAACAAGATACTACTGATGATGCAATATTGTAAATAATTTTTAAAAAAACTTTTTCATCCGGTTTTGGGGTTTTCGACCAAAAAACAGATTCTTTTAGATAAGCGTCCGAGAAGAATCCGAAAAAGAAGTTTACATTTGCCAAAAAGTATTTGAAAAATTAATTATTAATAATTTTTAATTAACGAATTACAAAAGAAAAAAACGGAAAATAACAGTAATAACACAATTCGTAAGTGATAAGATTACTAGTAATGAATTTTCCGATTTAATGCAGGATTTTATGCCAATTTCAATTAGAAATTCAGCTTCTTCATGGACGATTTGATAATGTTAAACTTTTATCACTTCTTCTAATGTTATTTTGAAGTTTTGTATTGAAAATGTCGCAGGGTGGGTGGGTGATTCTAACTCGAAACCCCCAAAAAAAAACGGATGAAAAAGTTTTTTTAAAAATTATTTACAATATTGCATCATCAGTAGTATCTTATTTTACAATTTTTTACTCATCACCCGAAAAGTCCCCACCCGAAAAGCCCAGGGACCGAAAAGGCGACAGCCGAATGGACGGGGACCGAAAAGTCTCCCACCCCAAAAGGCGGGCCCGAAAAGGCGCCACCCGAAAGAGGGGGGACCGTAAAGTCAGTCTCCCAATTACAGAGCCTTTTGGCATCCGTTATCTGTTTTGTAGTTTCCCTTGTAAATGTAGTCTTTTTGCCTGAGGCAGTTAAGCGCCTTAAAAATACATCCCTCCTAACAAAGTAATGTATTTGGTTAGGGTCGACGGGCGGTAACGGGCACATGCCTTCCACGGACATGGATATTCCCCTGGATGACCTATCTCCCATCGCGGATCGAGCCTCTCCCTCAGGTCGGATCAATCTTTTCCAGGTAAATTTCACCTCATTGTCGCAAAGAATCCCCATGCATAAAATCAAGATAACAGAAACAATTGCAGAAATCTCTTCTCCAAATACAAGATTCCGTAGTAAATGGCCCCGTTCCCAAACAATCCCAAACCGAGCAAGTCATGATGATGCACGTCTTCAAGACCAAACTACAGAAATATCAGACATTCATTGACAGGGCCTTCGAATCTATCCAGAAAGAGCCAAGCGAGCAGATCTTCGAAGGATGTGCAATTGTCGCTAAAGTAATGACAAAAGCATGGCTAACACCCAAGATCTCCCACGATCTCGCTTACGCGTTATGTGACTATCTTAGGGAACAGAATTATTTCGATGTACTCATAGAACTGTTCATCAAGCAAGGCGTATGCGACTCGAGTAAGTTTGCGAATATAATTTAAATACCTTACACCTACTTACTGAATGTAAATTTTTTAGTTAGACTATGTTGCGGACGTGTACTAGAAGAGTGTATGTCCCTCAACAACCGCGATTACATCGTCACTAAAGGCTACTTAATGAAAGTTGCAAAAACTGCAGAAAAACTTAATAAAAATCAGGAAGAACAACGAATGTCATTATCAATTCTTGAGAACCTATTTAAGCATTCAACGTTGACAACCACCAAGTGAGTCCAGCTGATTAAGATTCACCTTATTACCATGTTCAGGTTGATCGAGTTCGGTCTTCTCGACCATATTTTGTTGACCTGTAAGAAGGCAACAGACAACAAAATCACCCTCAGGCATGCGGCTCTGGCTTTAGCCAATCTTTCCCTCTATAGCAGTGTGGAATCCAAGAAAAAAATTATTCAGAAAAAGGTAGGGAAAAAACTTTTGTTGGTTATTCGAAACAATTCAGTTGCCGGACTGGCTTTTCTTGCTGGCTTCTCAGACGGACGACATCACCAGGTATTATGCCTGTCTGGCCATCTGCACTCTAGGCACCTCGAAGGAGATGGAAAGCGCCGTCTCAAACTCGGGTACATTGTCCCTGGTGGAGCCCTTTCTGTTAGAACATCAACCCAGTACTTTCGCCATTCATGATTATAAACACGCACAGGGTCGACCCAAAGAATGGTTGCAGATGTAAGAGAAACATTTTTCAATTTTTTCCCATGGAGAAGAAACACACGAAGGGCTGAAATTTGTGTTGCAGGTTGTTGCCGATGCTTAAGTCTAAATGCCGGGAGGCCAAAAGTATCGCCGCATTCCATTTTGCTATGGAAGCTGCCATTAAGAAGGACCAGCAGAAACTCGAAATTCTTCAAGAAATCAAAGCCATCGAAGCCCTCAAAGAAGTCGCCTCGAGTCCGGACGAAGTTGCGGCCAAATTTGCAAGCGAAGCACTTACTATAATTGGAGAAGAGGTCCCCTACAAACTTTCTCAACAAGTTCCCATCTGGACAAACAATGATGTTCAATATTGGGTGGAGAAAGTAAGTTTTATTACCTAAAATTTTAATTTTTACCCGAAAAATTCGTTGCGACGACAGTTTTTTTGACGTGTAATATAATTTGACAAAATGTAAGGCGACATTTTTTGCGTGTAAATTTGAGCTGGAATGTGTTTGTATAAGTACTTTACAACCATTTACACGTTATTTTTAGATTGGATTTGGAGAGTTTCGCCAAGAATTTGCAAAGAATATGGTTGATGGAGATCTCCTTTTGTTACTTTCTGAAAAAGAGCTGGAAGAAGATCTAAATATGAAGTCAGGTATCCTAAGAAAACGGTTTATGCGAGAGCTGGAAAGTTTGAAGGTCAGTTTTGTGCGAAAATTATCTCAGATTTTAGAAATTATTTACTTTTGACACTATAACATTTGCTTTAGATCGCAGCAGATTACTCATCAGTTGATGAAAGCCAGCTCGATCAGTTTCTAATGTCTTTGGGACCAGAGCTTTCGGTTTACACATATCAAATGCTGGGAATTGGGCTTAACAGGAATTTGTTGCCTCATCTAACCAACGACATGATGAAAGATGTGTGTGGAATTCAGAATCCTATTCATCGGTTAAAACTTCGTCAAGCCTTACAAGGTAAAAATGCAGTCACTTGTAGAAAATTTTTGATTTAGATAGCAAACACATTGATGATATCGAGGTGGCGATTCTTAGTAAACACATCGACGTATTTATCAGCTACCGAAGAAGCACTGGAAATCAGCTTGCCAGTTTGATCAAGGTCCTTCTTCAACTTAGAGGATATAAGGTCTGTTTTAATTAACGCTTGAGTTACGCAAATTTAGGTATTTATTGATGTTGACAAACTCTACGCCGGGAAATTTGATTCACATCTTCTGAAAAACATCCAAGCAGCCAAGCATTTTGTTTTGGTTTTGACTCCACATTCCCTTGATCGCCTTTTAAATGACAATAATTGTGAAGACTGGATTCACAAAGAGGTAAACCATTTCCGTAGACCATTTTTAACCTCCTCACGAATACACACAACCTGATGCAATTTAGTTGCGATGTGCATTTGAACATCAGAAAAACGTGATTCCAATCTTTGACCAGCATTTTGAATTCCCAGCAGTTGAATCAGAGCTGCCAAGTGACATCAGGCAGATAACAAAATTCAATGGCGTCAGATGGGTCCACGATTATCAAGAAGCCTGTATTGATAAAGTGGAAAGATTTATCAAAGGAGAACTCAATAGGACACCCAGCATCGACCCCCAACAAGTAAATTATTTTTCTTGATTTTTTAGTTGTAGTAATGATCACTAGCCAAATTTTTTATTTCAGCTTCAAGCATCACCCACATCAGGTCAAAAGAAAAACTTTAAGCTCAACGGATCGTCAACGAATTCAACCCGACCGACGGTCGCTTCACTCAACCGATCGAAACACCCGGCTGTCGAACAGACCAGTCCATCCAACACCACCGTCAGCACTTTCAAACTCAATTCTCCCACCTCTTCCAAACTTACAAGTCGTCGTTTGCCCAGTAGATCAACTTCGGTGGACAAGCAACGACGGAAAGTATTTTCTTCGGCCAGTACCGTATGTTCCGAGAAGTAGTCTTGTATATTTTATACCCCTCTTATTTTGTCAGGTCTTATCATTGTTTAATTTATCCAAAACGTGTACAAACTATGGGTCTATAATGCCTTTTCTTGTTTCCTTTGTATCTCACAACATGTTACATTTCACTTGCAATTACTTACGTTACTTAATATTATACTTATATTATGTTTGTGTCCGGGTTGTCACCGAATTGTTAGTCCTTTTCGACGTCTCCTGGTTATATTAATGAAGTCTAGTCTCCTTTTGTTAGGATTGTTGATTGTTTCAGAGCTTTTCATTAGAACAGGTCACCTCATTGTTGATAATATAAGGCCCTGCCTTCATTACGTATTCTGTTTTAAATTTTCTTTGGAGGTCATAAAGGTAATAAAACACTGTCTTCCTCTTCAGCCTCCGGGATTATTTAAGGGCTCAACGAAGGCCCTTGAGCGGCGTCGGATCGTGGCGCTGCTCTCTTTGGGCGCGGAAGGTGGCGAAGGATTTGCTGACAGGCGCGATTACGCGGCATTTCCCCCCGCGGAATTAGAATTGAAAAAAAATAAATTCCCATACCTGAGGCACGAAAAAGTCGCGCGAGATTTGCCGTTTTCGTGCCGATATTTGCATATTCAAATGGAAGATTACCGAAGGTCTTTGATTGCTTGTGTGCTCTCAAATTAGAATTGTTTAAAACATTGCTGTTTATTTTCCTCGCATTCCTCGACGATTCATTTTCCTCGGTGTTGTTGAGTAGTCTCGTTTATAGATGGAGAAGATCGATACCCTCTCGGCGTCTTTGTTTTTAAGCCGAGTGAAGTGCTGGTCATCCCAGCTACCTTCATTCGCCTCAAGGTCAACTGGCTAGCTAGTGGGCAGCCTGTTCGGCCTCGGTTTTATTTTTTGTTTTATATTGCGCAAACGCTTTCTGGATCGATCTTAGGATGAATCAGATGCCTTAAAGAACAGGTTTCTAGGCCCTTTTCCGTTAACAAAACTTCCTTTCCTTTACTTTTAAAAATTTACAGAGAAGAGAAACTTCGAGGAACTAAAAAACAGAGAGTTAACTGTTGTGACTACCCGATGGAACCGCAGAGAGTTGTGGAGCAGTTCGAAGTTATCGAACGCTATGTAACAGAGGGCAGAAGACCTCTGTCTTCTAAAGGTAATCTTTTAATCTTCTTACCGGTGATCTCTGCGGTGTAGCCTTGATCTTAAATAGTGAATGTAAAGCAAATGCACAGTATAGCTCACCGAGAGATGAAGGTCATGATTTTTTATGGTTATTTTTGCATGGAGATTCGTTCTAGGAATAACTCTTTTTTAATCACAGCGTACTTTCAGAAGCCCTAAACTATATTCCAACTGCAGAAGTTCACACAACTGGAGACAGCTACGTGGTAACCGGTAACGAAGCGGATCGTGTGTTCAGAGATGAGGCTGAAAAAAGGCATATTTTTAAATAATGATACTTAATCCATTGCGTAATTTTTTTTGACAATGACATTTACAGGTACCAAGTGACTGGAGAGCGAGACACTAGTCGAAACGCGTCATTCTTTGACCGGAGTAGGTGTTTTAATGCATACAGTAAAAAATTGTTTAGGCGGCCCATATCCTGATCAAATCCTTGCCCCTGAGAATATAAACCAATATGGTTATGATGAACATGTAGTACGAACAACAAGTGGAGGGGCCAGGATCGTTGAGACTCATGGAGGAGGGAGGATATTCGATGACCCACGTCTCAACTCGAGCTCCCTGGTCTTCCAGGACAGAAGCTTAGACACCTCCGGACGTCCGATCGAAGTAATCGAACCGACCATCATCCATTCGAGCAGCTCGCGCATACACAACCAGCCCAATGCTCCCCAATCAATTCTCAAGAACTCCGATTCACGCCATTTCTCGTCGTTTGAAGACAAGTAAGGGCATGGGCAAACATTTTGAGCGGAGGGGAAAAACTTCTTTCCTTAGGTAAACCCATCTTTGGGCATAGTCGAAAATATTTTTGGTGTATTCCCTAAAACATGCTACCGAATGCCGAAATCATTCCTGCTTACAGCTCGTTGACAAGGAAAGATAGCTATAAACAAATGCAGGAAAGTCAGGCTGACAACATGTCTTTTGAAGTAAGTTCCTGGATGTAGATTGTTTTTATTTATAGCCGGCTTCTGATGCCACGATGATCAGTAGAGACTCCAAACGGAATGCGTGGAAAAAAAGATCAGTTCAAGGAGGATTCTGCCTTCAATTTAAAAACTACTTTGGAGATCTTGTCAATGAAATACGGTAATGAGAAATCTTTTTACATTTTCTTTTTTCAAGCCTAAGCTTAATGACTATTGCAGCCATGCTGAAATGACTCCAGCGATGATATGCGGCCTTTTGTTGATACTGTTGTTCCTCTTGTTCTTAATCATATTGTTCATTATCATCCTCCGCTCAGCTTTTGCTCCCTACTCAGTCCATTCTTTCCTCTTATTTCCACCCAGATGTGAAGAATGTATCAAGAAGAATCCAGCTCTGAGTACATACCGAGCTCCCAGCAAAGTCTACGTTCATGTTCAGAGTCCATCAAGAATAGATCTGGAGATGATTGGGAATCGTCCATTCTTAAGCAATTCTTTCACGGCATTAGATTTCAGTTCTGTGAGTTAATGTTTTCTTTGATCAAGTGTCATGTTCAGGGTTATGTGGCGTATGCGGATCACTCGCTCACCAACGACCATGGAAGACATACGACCTGTTTCCTAATGGAGTTGGACAGGAACGTCTTGCCCTCCCATGCAGTTGTCTTGGATGCTGTTAGCAATACTCCCCATGAAGTTATGACTGACTTTGGTTGGCAAGAGTATTGGCAATACAAGACCCAGCCAATCGATGCCAACCAGGCTATGTCCCACTTCCAAGGGACGGTTGAAGATTGTGTTGGTGCTCAGTGGTATCTCCTAACCCATACTGTTCATCCTCGTGGCACGTTTAATCTGCCAACTTGATTAATACTGTTACGTCGCTTTTCAGATGGATCTTGCTATGACTGTTACGACTTTTGCTTACCCGACTACGCAATTCAAAGAACCCACAAATATGCAGATGACGCCACTCTTGGAATCAGACGTCTCAATTGTTTCCGGCATTACGTCCCAGAGTGGAGCAAATATCGAGTAGATCCTGATGAAGAAGGTGGACATTGGAATTATCCAAGAAAACAAATCAACACTCAGAGAGACGAACGGGGACAATGGGTCAACTGGACACCCGTCAGCATTGTTGGACAACCCGGATTCAGGATTCGACGGCGATAAATTAAATCTCAAACATTTTTACATTGCCAAGAATCAATTATTCAGGGAGTTTTTAAAATAAATATTTTATTATGTAAAAAAATTGCTATAAATTTTGATATAAAAAAATGGGTTAATTTAAACTTGCGAGTATGGTTATAAAAATATTAATACTGTTGGTGGTTACTACAGAGAAACTTCCCTCATGGGTAAGGAATCTTTATACCTCTCATTGTCTCGAAGTGCTTCGTTAATCCAATTTACATCCGTAAGAACACATTGCCACATCCTCGACTCGAGAAATGACATCACCTTCAGCCTATCGTCTTTAAAATCATACCTAAAAAATTGAAGAATAGTATCACAAAAATCCTACCGTTTCGTGAATACAATATGGGTTACGCCTTTATTCAAATGCCGAAGGACATTTCCTCCATTGTTCTCGATCAAATCACGGACTTTGTCATCCGAGAATGGCATAAAGAAGTTTAGTTCTTGGAAGACATGACTTTCATCTAACTGCGGGTACTCTTCTAACGTCATATCTTCCATCTGTTTTGAGTTATCATCCTCTAATTGGTCCAATGTTATTTCGCGGACACAATCTTGTGCTTCGGAAAACTGATCATGAGCATATTCATCCTCAATGTCATCATAATTAATCGTTTCTCTGGCGGATTCTATCACTGTTTCCTCGTCTATTTCACCAATATTGTCCAGTTGGTACCGAGGGTTTTCGGATTTAAGGAAATAGTCATGACTTCCCCTAAATCGAATGTTAAACTCAACCCTTAAAACACGATTTTTGAGACACTGAATCAGCCGCCAGTTAGGCCTGGATATAGGAAAACCCCGATTTTGAGTTTTTATCTTTAAAATAGCTGTTGGCATCCGATAAACGATAACTGAAATATTTTTGCCCAATTCTCTCATTAACCTCCTGTAATTTACAATTTAACGGTTTTACAGTAATGTTTCAGAAAAATATTTTTTTCGTAGTGGTCGATCATTGTAAAACCATTAAATTGAAAATCACAGGAGGTTAATGAGAGAATTGGGCAAAACTATTTGAGTAATACCTTTATTGGAAGCCAACAGTCATTTTAAAACTAAAAAATCAAAATAGGTTTTTGTCCTGTGTCCATGGCTGACCCAGTGACTCAAACATCGTATTTTAACAATTATAAAACGAACCATTCCACTACTCTTCCGGCCTCTCTGCATTTTGTTGCCCATTGATCTTTAATTATATTCAAATCTTCGAGTTGCATTAATTTTTGACTCTTCCTTGAATCTGTCCCCAACGAAACGACAAAGTTAACAGATTCCGCTAAAATTTTGTCAATTCGAGATCCCATTCTTACTGTAGTTTTGAATGACATTAAATCCGAATCCTTTGAGCGTCTCCTTCGATTCTCGAATCCTTTTTGAGTCCCGAAAATCATCGACAACATAAACCTTTACCTGGTTGTATGTAGAGGTCACTTTCGTGGTTTCAATTCCCTCCGAGCCTGGGACAACGCGTTTCTTTTTATTCTTTGTCAATGTGAATGTCTCATCCACCGCATGCCTTTTGTTTTCTCTCAAATCCTTCAACTTTCCAAAAGATTACGCAAACTTACGACTTCGTATGACATAACGTCAGAATAAAAGTTGATCTCATCCACAAACTTGTCCGTCCTCAATGCAGTTATCGCGGGAAATTGTAAACGTCCATTTATTAGCCCTGAGGCCTTTACCTCAACCACTTGAACATTGTCCGAATTAACATAAAGAATGGTCTTATCCTGGGAAAATCCTTGGATCCAATGGGGTCGGGTGGCAGAGCTTGACTTTTTGAGGTCAAGTAATTGAATAAGTTGATCGAAATCATTTCTTTTCAAAGAACATTGAACACCGCCAACAATTCTTAATTGGCCATCACCTAAATAAATGAAAACGCTTTATTACTTATTAGGGCAGAACTCCGCCGTTTTTTACGCATAGCCTTTCTGCTACAATTCAAGCCTATTTCTTGTTCTATATGATCCCCACGGATGGTGGAGTAAGAAGCACGGCGGATTTATTCGCCTTTGCCCTACTGCAGTGGTACACTTTTTTGCCAGAACGTTTAGATGTGCTTGTTATAGCATTCTGGGTTAGTCAAATAGTTCCTCGCAACTCGGTCTGCACGGCCTAACTGAGAAGAAATCTGGTTTCCGATTCTGGAAAAGTATTAGCCAAAAGAGGTTAAAAGCTATAAGCTATCCCATAGTATTCCCGACTGTTTAATAGACGTTATTGAAGCCTCAGGCATCGTAACTAAACATTAGTGTTTGTTATTAAGTGGTTTAATTAGGCTAATAAACCAAATTCGTAAGCGCGGTTATAATTTTGTCCAGCACCGTCACAAATTTCCAGTAATTTTTTCACCCGTTACCAACAGTAATTAACGAGATTGAACGTATAGTAACGGTTAAAAAAATCGTAATTTTTTGCATAAGGACACCCTAGAACAACTTAAGTAGAAGCCTTGCCCCATCCGCTATACACTCCTGATGCAGCAGCCTTAGATTATCATTTGTTTTCAATCGAGGCACACGGTCTGTCGAAGTAGCGCTTTGCTGAATACAACGATGTCAAAGATTGGCTTGATATTTGTTTAAAACCCCCAAAACAAAATTATTTGATGATGTTTGAAAGTTGCCCGGATTATGCGAAAATTTTGCAATTATTAATAGAAATAAAAATTGAAAATGGTTTGGTGCATATGTAAATTTTTTTAATTTTATCAAAATCATGAGCAGCAAAAACCGCGGAGTTATACTTTTAGACCTAATAAATGGGTTGAATAGCAACAAGATAAATAAATTGCTTACCCATACTTGCCGCGATGATAAATGACTTAATCTTGCTATGTTTTACATCATCATATTTTATACCAACCAACGCCAGATCCAGGGTCAAGCGAACTCCATAATCAGGTTTAACTTTAAACCAGCCATTTGCTATTGCCCGTTGGCCAAATCGATAAAGAGTGTTCTTACCCTGGACAAAACATACAGAGAATTTAAATTTTGAGCTTACCTTAACCACGACCCCTTCTTCTCCATTCTCCATATGAGATTTGTAAAACTGAAAAAAATCGGAGACTTTGGATATTTCGGTTGGTTTGGAGATCATTAGAACCCCTTGTACTGTCCTTTTGAACACCTCCTTATTTAAAACCTCCTGCCTCTCAACTAAAGGGACTTCCATCAACCCTTTGCCGTTCAATAATAAGACATCGAAGACCACAAGACATCGTTGGAAGTTGGGGTTGTCCTCCAAATACTTAACATCCAGCACATTTCCTTCGGAAGTTCGGCGGTTCTTTCCGACTAATTTAAGTTTCCTATTACCAAGCTTGACCTTACCTATCACGTTATTCTTCACATCCCAGATAACAAACTCGCAATCCAGAACACAATCAGAAACTGCGTCCTTGAATAATTCGTGAATCTTGGCGGAAAATCCAGAGAAACAATCAAATCCAAAGTTTTCGGAGAAATCATTTCCTTTCCGGCTGTAATACATGTAACTCTCCCTTTCGATTCTGTGGACAATAAAGTGTTCTCCATCAAACTTTGTTTCGACATAAAACGGACGGCCACAATTTCTAATGATCTACGGGAAATCTTGTTGTTCTCTGACCGCTTACCTTCAAAACACCCTCGTTAGTACTGCACACCCGCGACAACAGCATTGGTCTGATTGGCTTCCCCAATATTAAAAAATTTGCCAAGTTCTTTGCATTTCCATCATCTTCATCTATTCCCTCGCAAATATCCTTCAGGCTGAATCCAGAACTTAGAAGCTGTTTAGCAAATGGTGATATGAATTGTAATATTGTGTTCGCGCCATTCTTTTTACCGGTCACAAATTCCGTAATGTCACCAAGTATAATGTTGAAGAAGTAAAGCAATTCCAGTCGACCCAAGCTGCTGCCAATCCGATGAAATATCTGCCCTCCTAAACGAAGGTTTTCGTTATCTACGGATCGACATACTTTTAGATCTTCGTATTTCCAAAACATCAAGGAATCTGTTTATTTTCACTAAACTAATCGTCCCATCCATAACATGAAATTCTTGAAACAAAGCGTTAGCAAATATCTCAGCATTCGGATTGTAACTCGTAATCGGAGAATGAAGAACAGAATTTAAAACCTTTTTCAGTCCCTTCTGGAATATTCATTGTCGTTTAAAAATTTTAAATTACTTACAGAAGTCACATAAAATTTCCTATTATCTTGAGCCGGTAACAGCAATCGAACCAAAGGGTAAACAGAAGGGGCACCAGATGCTTTAAATTGTTGTAGAAGGCCGGAAAAAGCCTCCAAATTCAAGTTTTTGTGTTTTTCTAAATATTCGCAGAAAGACAGGAATGTAAATTTTACAGAGACATCATCCGTATCGTCTATTCCTTGTAAAACATCTTCTGAATCGCTCATTCCTCCTAGGAGGTCTTCCTTTTTGAAACCCTTCAGAACTCCAAAAAATAAATTTATTTAAAACAAAATGCCAATGATGCTTACGCTGTGAAACCGCAAAAGAGGTCCCGTGTATTAGTGAATTCAAGTCTTCTATCTGTAATTAGGGTTGAAATTGCTCCATCTTGTTAAAACGATCCAGGAAATAAGCATATTCGGGAATCCTAGCTCGCGCTTTGCAGAAACGACTGAGATTTTTAGATCGAAAGTCGGCGAAAATTTGTCACTTTTTTCCGACTTCGGCACGAAAAGTGTCATGCCGATTTTTACCATAGAGGGTAATGTTTCCACAAGAAATCATTTTTTTCCGCGAAAAACTAGTGAAGTTATGGCCAAAAAGTGTTTTTCTTGACAGTAATTTGACGAAATTTGATGTCATTTTGAAAAATTCTGTGAAATTAACAACCCTAGTAATCAGGCAGTATGAGTTTGGACAAATGTACTGCCATCTGAACTATAAAGATAATTTTGGCAACGTATTTATTATATTTTATATTATATTTTTTCTAGTTTATTTTCATCCTCATTCTCATAAAGGATGTTCCTAGAATTATGGAAAAAACTATTCTTTAATAACTTTGTACTCGGTGGTCCAATCCGATTTTTTTTTTGCATTTTACAGAAAAGCCTTGGAGTTTTTTGAATCAGAAAAAAAAATTTTTTTTATCGGCGGAGACTTCCGCAATCCGCCTTGAATCGGCGGAGTGCTTTTTTCACAAACGAGGGTGTAAATTGTTGTATGTGGGAAGAAAATTGGCGGGAAAGAATTCAGAAGATACAATATTTCATTTATTTCAAATTTTTGATATTCGGCGGAGACATTTTTTAACCTCGCTATAAAAATGGCTGTAAAAATGGGTTCATTTTTTCCGCCGATTTCTCCGCCTAATTGCCTTTTTTTCTTCTCCCAGTAAGCCGAAGACGTAATATAAATGACATATTGTATCTTCTGAATTCTTTCCCGCCCATTTTCTTCCCACATACAACAATTTACAGCCTCATTTGTGAAAAAAAACATTCCGCCGAATTCAAGGAGGATTACAGAAGTCTCCGCCGATCAAAGATTTTTTTTGATTCTAAAAACTCAAAGGTGTTCCTGTAAAATGCAAAAAAAATTCGGATTGGACCACCGAGCACAAAGTTATTAATGAATAGTTTTTTCCATAATTCTAGGAACACCCTGTAGGTTTTCCTCGAGAGGAACCCCTCGTTGAGAGGAACCCCTCGTCGAGAGGAACCCCTCATCGAGAGGAACCCCTCGCGAGGGGTTCCTCTCGATTTTTCCGAATATGGAGGAAATTTGTCGATGCATCCTCGAAAACCCCTAAATCGAGTATTTTTAGAAAAAATTCCAAAAATTACTTTTTAACACTACTACTTAAGAAAAAAGTAACAATCAGAAAAAATTAACATCATTTTCGAAATCCCCGTCATCGATTACCTCTATATCCAACATTTCCTACTCGGGGGTTCCTCTCGACGAGGGGTTCCTCTCAACAAGGGGTTCCTCTCGACGAGGGGTTCCTTTCGATGGCATTCCACCCTGTACTGTAAAAATCATGTAATATAATTTAGAATTCAGGAATGTGAAAAATTTAAATAATAAGATTTACAATTAGATAAAAAATTCTTAGTGTTTCAGTAAAGTTTCAAAACCTTATTTTCATCATCACCTTGGCAGACTGGAAAAAATTTCAATTTTTTCGAGTGAAAAATTTCGCTCTGTCTCTCTAAAATTATATTGGCGACAATCATGATGTTTAAGATATCAGCGTGAGATTTTATCCTAATTATTATTGCGTCGGATGTCACTTTTACTATCATCTTGAGAAACATCACTCGACTCGAGTTTAATGCGTTCCCTTCGAGCCACTCATTTGGTCCCCGAGCTTGACGTTTATGGCGAACAAATTACCCAATCTCATTTAAAACTCTGGCGCGGAATTGATGTCGACGGAGCGATTATAGCCGGAGGCGTTTCCAGTGATTAAACCCCTCCGGAAGATTTAAATTCGATTGGACGTTGCGTGTGTGGCGCCGGCTTCCCAATTAAAGGATTTCCGAAGCCGGGAAGGGCTATTAAACTCTGCATTGAACTGGCCATTGGATGGTCATTACTTGATGCGGGTTACTCTCAAGATTAACTACTTAGTTTCGAAAACCTTTTAAGATCGGACTAAATAAGGCTGCTCGCTTTCAGTTTATATTATTTTATTTTACGTGCCCCCTTAATATCTCGTCGGCCATGCCAGTAAATGAGGAAATTGGACGCGTCTGCATATTTGTGGAGTGGCTGATTTGGCCTTCCAAAAACCTCTTTAAAATGCACGCTCAAACTTCCGTGAATCTCTGGGTCCTTTGAATGGTCAGGCATTCAAATAATGGACATTCCTCATTTATGAAACATCTTAACATTAATGGGCCGGCTCTCCATTACCTCACCTATAAATGGCCTCTCAGCGCGCGGAAAAATTATAATTTTTACGGTAACCGAGAGGCTTTTAGGCATGAGAACGAAAAGAAAATTATCCTAGGTTTTACCTTGTAATCCGATATTATTGCTCTTTTCGGATCGGTTAACAAAAACTTCTATTATGCTTCGATTGGCCAAGAAATTTACGAAATTCTCATAATTTGAATCTCTCCCGCAATTATTTACTGGCTTTCTGATCAAGAAAAGTTTGCGTGCCGAGATTTGGCACCATGTTTGGCGTTACCTTTTGTCCAAAAAATCCGTCATCCAATTTTTTCTTTGAAAAGTTTTTGGAAGGCGAAAATGTTGCAGTTATACAATGATACCAAATTTCTTAACAAAATGGTATTATTTCCTTGGTTTATACTATCTGACAATTTTAGGTTTCAATAGGAAGAGTGGCTTCGTATCCACCATGTAAATAGTCGGATATTTGGTGTTTTTATGGGGTGTTTTATCTAGTCTATTTCCTCCAATTACTCTTGTTCTAGTTGGTTCGGTGTTAGTTTGGCTTGTAAATCAGAGAAAGGCCTGAATTGTATGGCTGTTTGCCTTTTGGTAGCTTGTTTGTCGAGGGTTTAGGCGGACTAGATTCCTTTAGTCGGGCTGGCTTATGCCTCAGATTGTTTTACAGTGTCTCTGTGTTCTGACCAGCCACATATGGCCGCGATTACCTTGTTTATGTGCATTGCGCAAGCCACAGACCTTGTTAGGCGGCTCTCTGTGGGCGCCAATTATTATATGTTTTGCAGGGATTGGCTTTGATCTTGTCAAGGACGAACGTCGTTCCGGTAATTGGCACTGCCCATGGCCGGCCGTCGAACCCGCTCATTTTGTTTGGATTGGGAGATTTCTAATTTTGATTTGCGAAGAAAGTGGTGGGATAATCCCCCCTTATGAGGAGTTATGTTTCGGTGGGAGAATAGATGGGGAAGCACTTTTTATGGTCTTCATGTTTGTCGCGGTTACCTGGATGCTTTGTCTTGTCCAGAAATATTTGGACATTGGGTTGATGTGGACCATTCTGTTGAGTTAGTGATGGGCGCGTGTTGTCGCCCCTATTATTCGATTTGGGAGTCAATGGGAGATCCGGCATTTTGTTTCATTGGCACCCTTGCGCGGATTTCCTGTGGTGTGGGTAAACAGTTTTTGGAATGGACACCGCCGGATGGGAATGGCCAGTCCTAAGTGGGCCCACTTCCTTAAAGTTTTATCCCAAGGCCTCGCACTTCGGGACAATTTGCCACAATAGAGTATGTATGAGAGGGTTTTAACGTAAATGGAAGAGGGGGACGACGAGAAGTGACATAAACTCGTATGTCATAACATGGTCGCGCAGTTAGAGAACGAGACTGACGGCACTTCTCGCCGTTTGAGTCTTTTATTTTATTCAATTTGTTTTATTATTTAAAAAACTTTGTTTTATATATATTTAGTGTTTGCCGTGATGTCATGTGGACGTTTATTGTAATTATTTCGTCGAGACACTTCAAGCTGAACACTTAATTAGAGTGTGTGGGGCTTTATCTCATAATTACACGGATTTGAATGCGTGTTTTTTGGGAGTGACCGTCCTTTAAAGGCCCAGGTGGTTTTCGTGCCCTTATCGGCCCTTCCAAGACATTTCCTCTCCTAAACGTTGTGGACAAGTCCGTTGGCGTGTTTTTATTTTGCCCAGAGGACAGGATGAAGCATTTTGCCAGTCGTTTTTGCTAATTGTTGTGCGAGTGAATTGGTTTTGTCTTGATTCTGAGCTCGAGTCAGGTAGAGCGTAAAATTTCGTTTCGCGAATTCCAGGACTTTTAAAATGCCACTTTGTTTTATTTGGTAGCTTGTTTTGGCGGGTGCAAAGCGTCAAATGCCAAGTGGCCGGAACACGAAAACTCGAGAGAATTCCGTTGCGCGGTTTTTATGACTGGATTTGGCTCCGGCATTGTTTTTGAGGCCGGAGCGCAGATTTCTGACATCTCGATTTCTGTGAGATGTGCCCCGTGGAACTGTTTCGGAAGGCCGAAAAGAAACTTTTGGTTCGAATTTCCGGCCTCCATTCTTTTTTTGGAATGCGCACACGAGTGGACTTGCGATTTTACTGCCAGAGGCAATCTGATAGGACATAAATTCCGAGAGTTTCACCCGCTTCGGTGTCAGGCATCCGACTCTTAACACTTTTACGCTTCATTGACTTTGTCTCAGCTTCTCGGCTATCCCTCTACCTTGGCCATGGAACCTGGTTTGAAGATTCTTCTGCCAAAGGCCGGTGGGCAAGGGAGAGCCTCGATGCAGCTGTTGCGGTGTGTCTGTCCTGAGATAAGGGTCATTCCTGTTTCTGCCCTCAGGGCCGAATCGAACGCCACTTTTATTCGGCTTATTGAATCGCCTTCCCGAGATTTGTTTTTGAAACGTCCATAATTATGAGCGGGCATTGAAGCGTGAGGTCTTATTGCCTGCCCGAAAAGTGATGTCCCTTTATTCGATTAGAAGGCCGCTGGCTCCAGCAGCGAGCGGTTGTGTTGCGATTATAATTAATGTCGCTTGCGGCGAGATGTCCTCGATTGGATCCTGATTTTAGCTGTCCGTGTCCTCTTTTGTTGTTCCGTTATTTTCCGATATTCTTCTCGCCTTATAACCTCACTCTCCATTATCCGTGTCCTACAAAATTCAATTTGTTTGTATCTTCGCCGTATGAAGGATTTATAGTTCCTTTATAATTCGCCATATATATTACACTTGGCTTCTCACCTTTTTTCGACACCTGTTTCGGTTTCCATTTTGCGCTGTCGCTATTATTGGACCTCAAAACTTAAGATTCTGTCACTTTACACTTATGAATAATTCGCAAAGAGCGGAGACCTGACTTCGGACCGTTAAATTGTTTTTATAATCTTTTTTCTTGTCCTAATTTCGGGAGTTTCGGGTAGTAGAGAGCTCATAACGGATGATTTTATATATCGGCCTCGCAAATGGCCAAAACATCATTTGGTAGGTCAGTTGGCAGAGTCGTGGCCGGATGTCTTGAGGGTGTCGCGGCCCAAAAGGGCGATCAGATTGATGGAGGACAGGCCAGTTGGCACCCAGATCGGGCCATTCCCGCGGGATTGGGGTGAACAGGTTGCTCCTCGTTTCCCCCCGCCGCTTCTCCTTTTGATTCCGTCGCTTCATTTACTCACCACAAACACTTTCGCGCTTATTGTCACCCATATGCCCATAAGATGACATTTGGCTCGCGTCGTAAATTAACTCAAGTCATGTCTGTTGCGCCCATTTCGCTAATCCGAAACATTTTAGACGTCATGAAATGAGGTCTCAATGTTACAGTATACCCAGGATGTTATGGTTTCTGGTATGTGGCGTGGTTTTCACGGAAGCCAAGCGATTATCTGACAAAGAATTCAAGGAGAAGCCGAGGAGTCAACCAGTCAAACTGGGGGATGATGTCACTTTTAGATGTTCTGCCGACAATGCCGTTTCAACATACAGTCAGTGGCGGCACAGCAGTGGAGTTCTGCTGGGATCCAATCTGAATATCAATGGATTTCAAAATCGGTTGTCGTACATACAGGAGAATGGCTCAGAGCTCCATCTTCATATAAAAAACGTCACATTGGAAGATGATGGAACCTTTGAATGTCAAATGGTTACAACAGATTCCAAGCCTATTCGTGCAAAAGCAACCTTAACTGTTTTGGGTAATTTTTATAACTTAAATTTTCCTTCTTCATATATGCTTTTATTTTTTAGTCGCACCACAGAAGGTATACTTCGAACATTACGATGCCAATTCTCGGATCGATGTAAATGAAGGATCCGCGCTGAATGTAACTTGTGTCTCTCGAAATGCCAAGCCAGCTGGTGTTATTAGATGGTTCGTTAATGGAAAACAAGTGGAGGAATCTGTCCAACGGTGGTCTGAGTACAATAGCAACAACACCGAGTCTTCCTTTGCCGCCTTGTCATGGAAGCCGAGCAGAAATGACCACGAGAAGTTGTTAACTTGTGAGATAAAACACGAAAAGACTGGGTTTGATGAACGTATAAGTCTTACCATGGATGTCAGATGTAAGCAATGAAATGTCTTCTTTCTATATTCTTGACAGCCATCATCTATCTATTTTTACAGATTCTTCTGAGCGTCCGGTGATTGAAGTGGTCAGGGAAGGCGAACGAACTAAAGCTGGACACAATGTCACTCTCGTCTGTGTTGCAGAAGGTGGAAATCCTGTACCGAGGCTTACGTGGAAACTAAATGATCGTCCAATAAAGGCGGCTTTTGAATATGATATTCCACACAAGGTAATTTACTTCCTAATATTTTTAAGGGTCTTATTTTTGGCTTTAATTATCGAAAAACTTTAGTTAACCCGTAATGTGTTGTCCCTTGCCGCCGAGCCTTCTGATAACGGCGCTGTTTACGTTTGTTCATCAGAAAATAGAGAAGACATCCCTCCACTGAAATCTTCGGTTGTTTTGGAAGTCGATTGTAAGTTTTTACGTTTTTTAAAAGTATTAAAATATACAAAAGTTTAATTTCTTGTTCAGATCCGCCATCTTCCGTGTCTTTTGTAAACGTTTCGACATCCGTTAAATACGGTGAATCGATTACAATTACCTGTCGATCCGAGCCGTCTCATCCCCCGGCCACAATTCACTGGGTCATGGATGGACAGCCTTTTGGGTCGTCGCCAGCCAAGCAATTCAAGGAACGATATGGAACGGTGTCCGAATCTTCGCTGACAATCGACACAAAGAGTCTTCTCATTGACAAACAGCAACTTACTATCGATTGCACTGCAATTAATTCCGAGGGATCAGCTACAAAACAACATACAGTAAGGGTCTACTCTCCTCCCATGCCTCCGGTCATCAAGACTTCTTCCTCGGGCCCTTATTTGGAAGGAGAAAGTTTGAATTTGACTTGTGAATCTGAAGGTGGAAATCCCTTGGCAACCCTGACTTGGTACCGGCCGAAAGTAAGTTTAGTTTGGTCACTACTAACCTAATTAAAGAAACATAAATCAGCGGGTCACAGAAATAAGATAAGATGGAAGCAGGTATAGTATATGTAGTATTAGTGGTTTGTCGCTATGAGATGGTTGTATTTTTTTTTTTATTCTACTGTAATGGCGAATTATAGATCGAAAAAGCACAAACTCAAATTGATGGAAATAAAAGTCGAAGTCTTCTCCAGCTTCGGATTGACCGTTCCATGAATAATTTACCCATTAAATGTCAAAGTGAGAACCCTGCCTTAGAACATCCCTTAAATGACACGGTAACCCTTACCGTATATTGTAAGTTTTTTATGCAGTGAGTAGTATTTTTGTAGTCCCACCAAGTCGAATGGCTATTGTAAAATACGCGGGCGATGGTAATGAAGACAGAGGCGAGATCATTGCGGGAAAGGACACAAGACTTAAATGTCTGATTCCATCATCTAATCCACCAGCTGAGATCAATTGGGAAATCGAAATGGGAGATGATAAACCCCTTCAACTCACTGGGGAGAGTATTTTCAACGAACAAACCGAGGAAAATTACGGGTTTAAGGTAGAGAATGTAGTCACCTTTACACCTATGATGGAGATGAATGGTCGTGTTGCCAGATGTATTGCTTCAAGTCCTGTTTGGAATTCAACTGTCAAAGCCGAATTTAACATGGACGTCTACTGTGAGTTCTTTGATATTTTATTATATTTTTCCCTTTAAGATCCTCCAAAGCTTGAAGTTGAATCCCCTCTGACCATCACTGTAACTGAAGGTGACACTTTCAAAGAGGAGATCGCCATCTCGGCCAATCCCCCCGTTCACAATTATTACTGGAAGAAAAATGGAGTTCCTTTCACAGATACCGTCGGAAATGTTTATATACGGGGTAATATTATTGGAGGAAGGAATATAAAGAAGGAAGACAGTGGAACATATGTCCTAATTGCATCCAACAAACGAGGAGATGTCATGCTGACGATTAGGTAATGCCTTACAATTTTTAATTTTTTCTGTGATGTTTTACTGCTCTTTGCGCACGATTTTCAGTGTCAGCAATGAAACTTTTTGCTGCTGCAAATAAAAAATTCTTACTGTCAGCAAATGAAATAATTAGGAGGAATCCAATTGGTGTCATGCGTTATGTATATTCATAATAGAGTTGTAAACACCGTATAAAGGAATTAGTTTTAAAAATTTCACCACGTTCGGCAGAAAATATTTTTTTCAGAAAGCGACCAAAGGATGGTTGAATTCCCGATTGTCTAACTTCTGCTGCCTATTTTTGTATTTTCCGAAAAGCTTGGGTAAAATCCTTTTATGGTCTCAGAGAACAAGCCTCTTTGTTTCGCTTAGACCGCTTGACATGTCTCTGTAACAGTTCTAAAAAAATTAGGAGCAGAAACTTGGGAAATTTTTCCGCGGGAAGACTCACTTGCTGACAATGAGAAGTGTTTTTGCGGACGATAAAGCAATTCCTTAATGTTTTTGTTTTAGATTAGAAGTAAAGTACGGAGCGAAGATCACTTATATTACGACCCCTATATATGCTGATGAAAAGGACTCTGTGGTGCTTGAATGTGAAGCCGACGCTTTCCCTATTTTTCCCAAAATGGTAAAATGGACAAAAGCGGGTCAAGAAGTGGGAGAAAGCCAAGATCGTCGAGCAGTTCTCAAAGTAACAGCGTCACAGTACAACAGCGGTGCTTATGTCTGCATTGCGGATAACGGTGTTGGACAACCGAATGAATCTACCGCTTATCTGTTGCTGAAGAGTGCACCGGTCCTGGCAAAAGGAAAAGGTAAAGACCGTGCGGCTGGGCCGATCCACGGCAAGGCAAAAGCCAGGTGTTTGGCTCAAGCTATCCCCGATGTTCAGTTCGTATGGTCAACTGAAGATGGTCACCCAATAATAAACGGTTCGAAGTATATTATTCATGAAAGACCGGTCGACCAAACGACCTTCGAAAGTGTGCTCACGATCACCAATTTGACTCAGAGAGATTACAGTAAACGGTTGAGATGTCTTGCGTCCAATCGGAAAGGAAGTGACTTCAATCATATAACGATCGGCGATCTCACCAAACCGGACACCCCCGAGCGTTTGACTGTTTATGAAAGTGGAACAAACACTGCCATTTTGACGTGGCTTGCTGGATTTGATGGTGGAAGTGAGCAGTTCTTTCAGGTTCGGTATGGAAGCAAGGGAGATTCATCTTCTTCTAATGGAAACACCTCTGAAACTGTAGGTTGGCCAATTTTATCTTGTGGGAACGTAACATTGTCTTCTTTCAGCGCTTTAACTTGAGTGGATTAGAACCTTCTCGGATATACTTTGCCCAAGTTCGTGCGATAAACGAACGAGGATGGGTTTCGGACTGGTCCGATTGGATCCAGGTCCGAACTCTTAATGCCAATGGAACTGCCCATCTTGAAGAAACTGATGATAACATGTTTGCCAACAACTGGATCTTATTCTTTTTGATCATTATGGGCGGATTACTACTCGTTAATTGCGGGGTGTTCGCCTATATTTATATTCAACATCGCCGTCGACTTCAAGCGGAGAAGACTCAGTTCGTTAGGCAATCGAATTATGGAAACGAAAGACGGCCTCTGCAATTATATGGTACAATAGGAGCTGGTGGCGGGCTCAGTCCAGCTACCCTGATTAGAAGGCCCGAGTCCAACAATACTAATAAATCCGACCTCTTAAATGAACCCATCAGTGAGGATGAGCAGTCGGTTCGGACAATGATTGTAAGTTGCCACATATATGGTGAAGCTTGTCCCTTTTAAGCAAGTTAGTCCGAATGGTATAATTCAAAGACAAAATCTACCAGTAAACCGGTTTTACGACGGAAATTTCGTAATCGATGAGGAAAACGATCGTAAGTAAATTCTCATAGTACTGACCGCATCGTTTTTAGCTAGTTGTTACTCGGTGATTAACAAGAACGGGACCTTGAGGTCCAACTATGCACACTTCAGAGGACCGGAGCCATATCCATTAAATGGAAATGGATCTCCATCCCTTACTTATGCTGATGCTGGTGGTGGATCCCTGAAGAGAACCGGTTTCGAATCGCCGAGAAGATTCGGCTCGGTTAGCGGAGGTATAAATGAAGATCCGAGATACTCAGCAACGGGAACGCTCTCACATCGAACACATCAGCCATCGTTTACTACATTCGGAACCAACCCTAGGATAGTTGGCAACCCTGATGGAGATTTGGTCTAACATTCTTATGCAAGATATATTGTGATGGGCATGTATCTTTTGTGCCCTTCCCAGGAATCACGGGTCTTTAACAGTCTCAGTCATCACAACTCAGGAAATGCATAATATTTATATTACACTAACCTTTCAGCCTCGCACGGGTACTTCCAGCTCATTTGAGCCTAAAGTTTTATCTTTCAGAAGTAACGATTACCTTTAGATGAATTATTTGCCAAATGTATTGAGTGATTATTGTAGAGTAATTTATACTTTAGGGATTTGTTGTATAAATGGTTTCAAATCATTCTTCGGATTTAAATTGTTTTGAAAGTGCGCCATTTCATAAAAGACAGCGACCCTGTGCGTTTTGTGGAGATCAGAATTTTGTAGTTAATAGAGTGAAATCTGAAGACAAGAGCGGAATACGGTTAACTAGCCGGCTCGAACACTCGTGAAAGATACAAGTTTATCTCACGCAAGTCAAGGCAACTTAAACAGGAAAACGGGGCTAGAAAAGGAGCTTGATGCTCAGCAGACTCCAGTCGGGAAACCTCGAAGGATCGATCTCGTTTAAAGGGTAGGCGGCCTTATACAGGGCCGGCTTTCATCATAAATTTTTGCCATTCTCACAGTCGAATCTCATTATCCTGATTGCTTTTATGACTGATTTCGCCATGGTTTCTTCAGAGGTGGCATAATGGTCTCATTTGCATCCGGACGATTAATGGGATTTTATCGGAAATGTGATCGCAACATTTCAACGTCTTTTGGGCAGGATGTGGTTGGGAGGGTTACAGAATCAATAATGCACCAATTTCTATAAAATTTGTATCAGATTGAAGCTGAGGCACCCCATTTTTTGTCCACCAAATATGACGGGTTCAAGTTCACGAAGGCCCCCGTACTTACAAGGGAATGGACTTTATGTGTAAATCGATTTTGGCTTGGGACATAGTCAGATCAAAAGGTGTGTGGTAGTCGATAATTCACTTGGGGGGAAATCTCTGCGCGGGGCTTCAAAGCCGAGAAAATCGGCTTCAAAGTTTGGACGAAAATCAAAGGATAGGGATCCCGGAAAAGGAGCGGTGGAAAGTGTGAAGCAGTGGCCGAGTGGTCAGTGCTCTCGCTTTTTGCGCAAAAGGTCGCAATTTCGAGTCTGCTCCCATTCATAACTTTTTTAGACAAAAACTTCTATTAATTTTTTGGCGCTACGACATTTCGGGTCAGGGACAACTCGGGTCGCGACAACTCGGGTCAACGACAACTCGGGTCAACGACACTTCGGGTCAACGACACCTCGGGTCAACGACATTTCGGGTCAACGATGCCGTTTAATATTTTCGCTTCGGGACTGGGAAAAAAGAATTTTTTGGTGAATTTGAAAAATTTTTGAAATGTTTTCGCTTCGGGACTTGGAAAAAAGAATTTTTTGGCAAATTTGAAAAATTTTTGAAATGTTTTCGCTTCGGGACTTGGAAAAAAGATTTTTTTGAAGAATTTGAACAAAATTCTTAAATTTTTTCGCTTCGGGACTTGGAAAAAAGAATTTTTTGAAGAATTTGAACAAAATTTTTAAATGTTTTCGCTTTGGAACTTGGGAAAAAGAATTTTTTGAGAGTTTGAACAAATTTTTGAAATGTTTTCGCTTCGGGACTGGGGAAAAAGAATGTTTTGAAGAACTAAGGTTTATTTTTAAAATTTTTTAGGGAAATAGTGTATAAGCGACGAGAAAATAAAAAAATCGTATCCATTGTCTATGTTTATAACTGGAAGCACGGGATTTAAACGCAGACAGTGCCAGAGATGGAGTAAGAAGATAGTCGTAACGATTGTATGCACATAACGATTTTTTTATTTGCTCGTCGCTTATAAACACCATTTTCCCAAACAAATTTTATAATAAACCTCAATTACCCCTAAAATAACTATTAAACTAAAAAATTAACGAAATAACATTCGTACCTTATAAATTGTAACATTCAGAACAAAAAATCCTTTTCCCACGTCCCGAAGCGAAAACATTTCAAAAATTTGTTCAAACTCTCCAAAAAATTCTTTTTTCCAAGTCCCGAAGCGAAAACATTTCAAAAATTTTTCAAATTCACCAAAAAATTCTTTTTTCCCAGGCCCGAAGCGAAAATATTAAACGGCATCGTTGACCCGAAACGTCGTTGACCCGAAGTGTCGTTGACCCGAATTGTCGTTGACCCGAGTTGTCGCGACCCGAGTTGTCCCTGACCCGAAATGTCGGGACGCGAATTTTTTCCCCCTGAACTCGATTATCGATGCAAGAAGTATATTTTAAACGGAACCTTTCCATTTTCAGCGGCTTTGCACCTTCCCTTTACAGTTTTAGAGCGAAGGGCACACCGTCAACCTGGTGTATTCAAAAACAACTTTCCATTATGTTAACTTTTTTTATCTATACCCCTTTTTAAATGTACAGCCGGATTAGCATGAAGAAAGCAAAAGTAAAAACGATAAATGATGGTTTGAGCTTGGAAAGACTCGTACCTGCTACCTTTTGCGCAAAAAGCGAGCGCACTGACTACTCGGCCACTGCTTCACACTCGGGATCCCTATCCTTTGATTTTCGTCCAAACTTTGAGGCCGATTTTCTCGGCTTTGAAGCCCCGCGCAGAGATTTCCCCCAAAGTGAATAATCGACTACCACACACCTTTCGATCTGACTATGTCCCAAGCCAAAATCGGTTTACACATAAAGTCCATTCCCTTGTTAGGCATGACTCAAGGCTTCCAAAATTTTTCGGGCCGATCAATTTTGCGGCCCGGCTCCGCGGAGCTCCGGGCGTTGATTTTCAGGGCCGGTTTTATGGGAATTTCGTATTTTCGAGGAATTCTCAAAAGAATGGCAGAATTTTTTTTAAATCGCTCGAAAGTACTACAGTAAGAAAACAAAAAATATCTGTTCGTCCTACAGATAGCAAAACAGATTTCCAAGAGTCCCTTGGCATCCAAAAAATCCCGGTTAAGATTTTCAAACTCGATAGATTACACAAGAAATTTTACCCGGGCCGGCCCGGATTGCGGCCACGGTTACCCGTACTGACCTTTGACATTTTCATTCCAAATTTTTGAGCCCGAAATCGGTGAAGTTTACAAGGAAAGTACTTTTATGGGGTCTCCTAGTCTTGAAAGCGACACTCAAAAAATGCATAAAATCATGCTGATTCAGAATATGTAAAAATTAGCTTTTTTCTAGACTTCGGCACTAGCCACTCGGCCACACCGCTCTCTTCTGGTGGAAGAGACCGATCGCACTTTTCATCGTTTGCAATGCCTACGCATTTTGCCATTTTTTGGGGATTTTCGACCCTAAATTGGGCAGTATTCTTGATCAGCACCATTTTTGGAATTTTTGAGATATGTCCCGTCTAAAAGTAGGAGCCCCCTTAAAAGTCGGAAGAAGAACTATCCGGCCGGGGCAACTTTTTTGTCAAACTTGCTGGTCGATTATCTCGGCTCCTAGAGGCCGGTGGACGTAGCGGTTTCCAGATTCAATATCGCCTTTCCACCCTCTCCATCCCCGTAGAATGACGATGCGAATCCATTCGAAACACTCTCGACTCTCTGCGACGTCTAGTTTTTTCTGCAGGATGAATTCAAATGACTAGCCCACTTTATAATACCTTTCCCCGAGTAGAATAAAGCGGGTGGTCAGAAAATTCTACAGCTTAAAAGTTCAATCTCATTACCCACGCAAAGATTAATTTTGATTTCAAACGGTCTCTTTGCCCCACGTGTGGGGAAATTCAGCGAAAATGGTGTGTTTATAAAGTGAATGAAGATGATGGCATACAATTCTTGCGTCATCATGATGTTTACGCCTTCCAAAGTCTAAAAATCAGAAAGAATTCAACGAAATTGATAAACACGATTTCCGGTCTAGTTATGGTAAAGGAGAATGCGGAATACTTTGATTTAAAGTAAGCATCCCCATCCGCGGCTTGCCGTCGCGACGACGGCCGTCGCAAAAGCGATGATGGGTGATTCCAAGGCACGACGACCCGCCGTTATTTTCCAGACGGACTGATAATTTACAACAAAAACATAAGCTAATGTAACTTCAAAGAACACACCTTATGGTATTTATTTTGTTTACCATCGCCATTATACTGCACTTTATAACCAATCCTTGCGCTCGAGCTCATGAGAGAGCGCTTATTTCCCTCTCCGCTTTTCTCGAGTTATAAATTCATCCGCACTGACGCCTTTTCCAGACGCTTTTTCTGTTTTTCCATCCAACTTTTCATTGCATCTGATCCGGAGTCTGGGGTAGATCCTTCTCATTTCACGGTGTAGAAATATGCCTGATGAGTCATATTCTTGGCTAATTGTATTCTGAGAATTCCGTCTGTTGGACCCGGACCTATTTTCCTGACGGGATCTCTCGTGTTCTCTTTTGAAATCCGGAAAGCGGTGGAAAGTGCGGGCAAAAACGTCCGGGCGGGCCCAATTTCCGAATCGAATTTTTGGTTGAATACTTCCACTTTCCGACGTAAATTCAAATTTTGACCTTGAAAGTATAATTATTCGACCAAAAATTCTATTAGGAAATTGGACTCTGCTCTCTGGGTCCTCACGTATTCTCGAATATCGATTTTCATGACGAAGTTTTGTAGCTTTTCTTACCTTGGAAAGTTATATTCAAAAAATATTTCTCCAATGCCGCTTTATTCTGAATGTCTTGCCCATTTTCTGTGTGTTATTTCATTTTTTTTAGGTCGCTGAGTGGATCCCAAACAGAAAAACCCAGAGGAGCGTCATCTGACATTATCCTTGTGAGTTTTCCACATCTTTGTCATTTCGGCTTTTAGTACTTTTAAACAGGTGAAGAGGGTGTAACGGAGCGGAGAAGGTTGGTTGAGACTGGTTCCTGATCTCGTTACGTTCCGAAAACAGACAGGGTTCTGTTTTTTTGAGGTCTTTTGGTTTGGGAGTGATGGAGAAGGAGCGCCGCTTTATATTTCTTTAGGTTCAGCGAATGGGGAGAAATTGGGGAAAAGCACAACAGCAGTGAGCAGGCCTCGCCACAATTACCTTTATCATATATTTCTCAAGAGACCCGACGCGCTTTTTGCGAGAAATAAGTCTCTTTTGATACCTAAACCTTGTACGCAGTCTGCATTCAGAATGGACCAGCCAACTTTGGGATGTAAATTCCCGACTATTATAAACGCGTCGGAGTCAGAGATTCCATCGGCCAACAGACCTTCTCTGCTTCGTCGCGTCTCTCAAAGCGATCCTCATTTGGATATCCCACATTTTTTAAGTGTTCAGGATAAAGGTGTGTTCCCCTCCCTTCCTTTACCAGCTTATCCCGGGGGTTATTATGAATGTATTTAATCCCTTCTTTTCAGGTCTGGGCTTCCATCCAACGCTTACTGGGCTGCTGGAGAACTCGGTCAATTTCAAGATTGGACAGAGCTCCGAGAAACTTGAACTCATGGATTCTGTTCCCAGTCTTCCACAGTAAGTTTAGTCGCGTTGCTTCTCTTCCGGTTAGACTGGCTGCAATTCGAATGTTCTTTTGGGCGGCCCCACTTTGTATTTTGGAAGGTCCTCCCTCATAAATTACCTAAAATGGGAGAAGTCGCATTCCAAAATCGCGTGTTGCGAACATTGAGTGCAGAACATATGACGTCTCCCTATTCCAGAAACACGTGAGAGAAACAGAGTTTGAAAGTAGAACGAGGCACGTAGTCGGCTGTCTTTCCCCTCTTCTCACGCCCGCTTCGGGGATTAGGAAGGCCACAACTGGCCGTTTGAGGTCTTTCGAGAATGATTCTTCCGTTTTAAAAGCCATGGTGTTCTTGTTTTGTATTTGGGTTCTTGATTTGAATTCATCGACCTCTGGTCTTACCAGTTGCTATTATTTACGTTTTTGTGGGAGGAGAGAGAGAAACGTGCCCCATTTTATTTCTTTTTTGATTTTTAATTTTTTCAGAGATTTGAAGGTACCGAAGTCCAGCCTGGATCGTAATAAGAGCGCCTTTGAATTATGCTCTAGTAGCCAAGCCGAGGAAACTCCGCTTCGCAAGTCGTCCAGCGTTGCGAACTACCAATTGGACCCTTGTATTCGCAAAGAAACTGGCGGTTTTCTTTCTTCCTTCTCCTCGGCTCTTCATCTCTCAGCGGGCCAGTCACATCAACAGCAGTTGTCTAAATCACCAGAAGATCAAGGAGGTCTCACAATGTCCGTCAAATCGTCGCCGTTTTCTGGAAGTTCATCTTCTTCTTCCACCCCAGCTCCCGCTACCTCAGAAACGGCCTCAGCTACGGATCCGGCTTTGAATCGCAACAAATCCGGACTAATGGGTGTCTTCAACCGCGGATTTTTTGCGAAGCCGGTTATGTGTAATCAAGAAGAGAACTACCGTTATATTATGGCGCTGGATCGTTAAACTCTACGTTCGATGTACTTTATTTCAAGTTGTATACTCCCAAATACTGGTTCATATCACTTACCCTTAATTATTTATATTATGTTATCCGTTTACTTTTCTTTTCTGTTTTAGGTACATTGTAATCAATATCTCGTAACTAGTTACCTGATCAGTTCTAGGGTCGCATCCATGTAGTTACGATGGGCAAAATGCATGTGTAAGCGAATAAAAAATGTAGTTGTTAGACGGAAGGTATCTTTGTTTCAATAGCGGAAAAAGATGAATAAATTCATTGAATTTAAGTGGTCGATGGGCGAGAGCAGCTGCTGTTGTTTACCTTTGTTGACGCTCGTGGTATCGTTTGTGATCCATTGGAATTAACAGGAAACAATTTTTTTTTTCGCTAAAAGAAAATTTTGGCAAAATTGGTGCAATTCTTTCGTCGATAAGGTCACTACAATCATCCATGCGTCGCTAGCCCATCCTCACAAAGGCTCCATTTGTAGTCGCTTTCAGCTGTCCGTGCCCTTAATTGACCATGAAAAGGTTTTAATCTCTGCAGAAGGCTTGAATTTTGGGAAACGGCACAAAGCATGTGCTTCAAAGGTAGGGTGGACCAACTAACCAGGGAAGTGTACGAACTGACCCTCACCAAATGAAAAGTGACATACATCATTGAAGAGCCCTTGAAAAGTGGTACAAGACACCATTTTCATTTTTTTACAGAATGCCTTTATGTGATTTTGCAAAAAAATCTTTCTTTATCGCGCGCGGAGAAAAACTTTGGAGAGGGTTGCTTCTATATAGTGCAGTGGTTGCAAAGCATTTTGCTTTTTTACAATTAATAAAATATTTGCGTTAAACTTTTACAAACGCTTTAATTTTGCTAGAAAACGGTCCATCCGCGGATAAGACCATCAAAAGGTTGCAACCGCGGTTGTGTCCGAACAGTGCACCTGGGCGAACAGTGCACCTTGAAAAAAAAGATTTTTTTGTGAACAATTGAACAAAATTTGAAATGTTTTCGCTTCGGGACAGGGAAAAAGGAATTTTGTGGAAAATTTTTAAAAAACTTGAAAGGTTTTCGCTTCGGTACAGGGAAAAAGGAATTTTTTGGAAAATTTTAACAAAATTTGAAAGGTTTTCGCTTCGTGACAAGGAAAAAACAATTTTTTGTTTGTGAAAAGCTAAATATGACAAGGTAGATCAAAGCAAGTTTTTTGACTGATTTTTTTTTGTGTGTGAAAGGATAAATATGACAAGGGGGGGGATCAAGGCAAGCCGTTTTTACCAATTTTTTTGTTTGTGAAGAACTAAATATGACAAGGGGAGATCAAGACGGCTTACCTTGATCCCCTCTTATTATATTTATCTTTTCACAAAGAAAAAAATCGGTCAAAAGAATTTGCCTTGATCTACCCTTGTCGTATTTATCTTTTTACAACCCAAAAAAATCCTTTTTCCCTGAGGGGCGTAAAATTTTTTTTGCCGTTTTTAGTTTAACCTGCCCCTGTCGATCATTATGAGGCTAATTTGGCCCGGGGTTTTAATTAACTTACTCCAACTTTATTTAGTTGACTGCAAAATTTTGACCAGAAAATGAAACTCAGCATATCCTTAAGTTTACTTGTTATTGAAGAACGAATAAAGTCCATGAGCTCAGGGCCCTGAGACTAATGAAGCAACAAGAAGATAGATGTTAGAGCCATTAACGTTTTGATTGTTGTTCGGGCACTTCAAAATGACCCTCATACACAATATATTACATATAAACTGCGCATCTAATAAAGGTATAAAAGTATATAGAATCATGAAACTAAATTAAAAGTACTACTTCAAATTTGCCATTCTCTAATTTATCAACGCATAATCAAGTGTTATATGATCAGAACATCCCCTCTCTCCCTTCTCGGGCGATCACATGGCTCTGAAAGATCGTAATCAATTGCGCAATGGCGTCGAAAAGAGTCCTGACCCCCAAAAACACCCACTTTCATTTTATTCTGGTCTTTAAACACTGATTTCCATTTATTTCATCAATTACTGAGATGGCGACTCTCATCGGTGGAAAACTGATCTCCCAGGATGTTCTCAGAGAGGTGTCTGAAGAGCTGCAGAAGGTCAAGGAAACCCATCCCGAGTTTACTCCCGGTCTCGCAATAGTTCAGGTAAGAGGAATAGTAGTGATGTGTTTAATTTACAATTAATTGGTAGAAGTGATGTGTTTTCGTCATCTAATATTTTAGATTATCGGACTGATAGTTACGGGTTTGGAATTATAAATTATTATATTAAATAAGTTCTCAGTTATTCGGAGTATAAAAAATATAATCGTTTAATTTTGGCGAATTTCTCCAACTACTTCAAATCTCGTTTCAATAATATGCCATTGGATTTTTACACTTTCCCTTGTTTCTGTTGACAAATTTTGTTATGTAAACACAATGTGGATGCTCGATGAGTGTAAAAATTGGCTGAAGTACGTATTAAAGAATCCTTCGATTTCAGGTTGGAGATCGAAGCGATTCCAATGTTTACATCAGAAACAAGATGGCCAGATCTGCGGAAGTTGGAATATCGGCCCGTCTGATTAAACTGGATCGATCCACAACTCAGGATCAACTGGAAGCCAAGATTCGAGAGCTGAATGAAGACAATACGGTTGACGGGATCATCGTTCAGGTAATTCTGATAATAATTACATATAGTAGCATCTATTTCGATTTACAGCTTCCTCTTGATACCGAGAGTAAAATCGACGAGGACCATGTCATCGACGTTATCGATCAACAAAAAGATGTGGATGGGTTGACCCGGGAGAATGCTGGCCGTCTGATGAGAGGAGAATTGGAGAGGACCATCTTCCCATGCACCCCGTATGGCTGTCTTTATCTCGTCCAGAAGGCTACTGGCGATCCTAACTTCGTTTCGGGGAAGAGAGTAGTTGTAATCGGCCGTTCCAAGATCGTCGGATCGCCTGCCGCCGCCCTCTTCATGTGGCATCACGGGACTACCACCATTTGTCATTCCCGAACCAAAAATCTGCCCGAGATCTGCAGAGAAGCAGATATCTTGATAGTAGCCATTGGGAAGGCGAAATACGTCCAAAAAGATTGGGTAAAACCCGGAGCCGTCGTCATCGATTGTGGCATTAATGTGGAAGAAACGCCTGAAGGAAAGCGACGGCTCTTGGGAGATGTTGATTTCGATGGGGTCAAGGAAGTTGCTGGGTATATCACCCCTGTTCCTGGCGGAGTGGGCCCAATGACTGTGGCCATGCTGGTCCGCAATACCTTCCAACAGGGTGTAAGACGGAGAATCCAGAAGTGATCTTCATCCGTCATCTCTTAATTTTTATGTTTATTTCCGCGTCTCAACTTGTCTGTGACAGTTCGGGTTTAAACAAAATTACATTTTTACATTACTCCTCAAAGTAAATGCATTGTAAAAGTATAAAAAAGGAGAAGCATGTAAAAATCAAGAAGATTGGATAATTTTCGAAATCAACACCATTGATTACCTTTAAATAATGTATCGTTGACGAGAACTGTCTTGACCCGAACTGTCCCCGACCCGAAAAGCCGTAACGCCTTTATTTCAAATGCGCGTAAAAGTAAACTTTATTTCCGTGAAATCAAAGTACGTTCTTGTGACGCTTTACAATAAAATGGAGATCCAGCGGTCTTTTGGACATCGAGAAAGTGCAGACCAATTCTAATGTTGCGCAAGAATTCTCTTTTACAAAATTTTGGAGTAAAATTGATTACTCCGAATTAGGAAATGCAAGGATGAAATGTCATTGACAAAGGCTGGTTTCAAATGCATCCTCAATTGGAGTGGCCCTTTTTGGACTCTGGGTTATTGCCAAAAAAATGTTTTACGATGAAACGAACAGGGAGAAGCCAATTTTGAATGAAACAAATTGGAAGTTCGGAGGATTAATCGGGTTGGAACTGACAGGAAGTGAGACAAGAGGAAGGTCCTTCTGGACCGTTGGAACATATAATTAGAATTGGAGATCGGAAAAGGAACAATCAAAGCGTTCGAAAATAATTGGACCAGTGATACCAGACAACACAAACAAATCAAACAGAATGACAGCCTCAGGCTGACGAATGGACATTTGGCACGAGATCTAACCGCCCTTTCCGCCTTCCGACCTCAGACCCTGAGGACAGGTAAACCCATTGCTTGTTGTTGTTTTGAAACAAGTCATGTCCACACCATGTTATGTTCCCATCTCTCAACATAGCATTATAGGGCACTTGATTCCTCCATTTATCCGGCATCCGTCCGGACTCGGCGCACCAAGGACCCTGAGGCCGTTCTAAACAAAATTCGTTTAAGGAAAAAATAAATAGCCCACGAATAGTTCCGAATTTGATTTATTCTTCCAAACTCTCTCATCTGCAGCGTGTAATTCGGTTAATCGTTTGTTGTCCACGACTTGGCCGGAAGGCCCGCTTTGGATCCGCTCGGCTCGTCGTTCTGATGTTGATATGCGGTTGAGTGGTGCAGAGGATCTATGACCTCGGGCGGAAATTAATCATGGTTTCGGTTTTCTGGAGTAGATTTAATCGCATGAAATGGTCACTTCCTAGGTCTTCGTCTCATTTTAATTCAGTGATTCTTACATTTAATATTCAACTTATCGAGCCCATATTAAAGATTTTCGGAGAAAGAGTCATTTTGCGGTAATCTCTAGAGAGTACGAGATCCTATCCAGGCTATTAAAACCTCCTGGGCCATATACTCCACTTGAAGGGAGGCTCAAGGAGCATTCAGATTAGGTGAGAGACCGGGACGAGGACTCAGAAGCCTCCTCTTCGCAGGATCCTTATCATATTCAGAGGGCTGGGACATCATTTTTACTTTATCGACTCGTTTTATAACTGTTTTGGTATCTCAATTTACATCAACGTTATATTGTTTTAGTCATCAAAAAAAAATTTTTTTTCTGATCTTTCAGGGGTTCAGTCTTTTATTTCGCTTTTGACGATCACTATCCTCATTTTTAAAGATTAATATTGTATTGAACAACAGACATGGATAAAACACTATCAAAATATTTACCGAGTTACAAGGGTAAAAAGACCGTTTATTAGATTCAGCGAATCCCAAAAAGGGGTCCTTTGTTCTCTACTTATCGAAGAAGAACTATTATGTGCGATGTCGGGTAGCCAATAAAACAGTTATAACAGATGACATGAGTAAGATGAGTCCGGGACTGTGCTCTCGAATAAGTCAGCAGATATTAGTGTTAATGTGAGACCGACTTTTCTATTTCTGGTTTTCTTTTTGTGTCCCCAAGGCCTCTCCTTAGGGTCTCCGTAGTCGTCTCGGCGCATTTCGAAGGAAAAAGAATTGTAATTGAAAGTCTTGAGAGCTAAGCTGCGACACATCAGTTTATAAATTTGTGGCCGGTAGATGTTTCTGAATGTCCCATTACAGAGATCTTTGGCCGTTTCTGATTGGCCAGATGAACTATGATGACCCGCCTGAATGTCTGAACACCAGCCAATGTCGGGAGGTCATCATCAACGCTCAGGTGAGGAGATTCTTTCCTCTGACCTTAATTCAGGTCCCCCTGGAATGGGCATTGCCTTTATATGGCTATGCCATGCCCTTTATTGTGGCCCTGACCTTGTTGACCAATAGTTTCATCGTCCTCGTTCTCTCCCAGCGATATCTCCGAACTCCAACCAATTATGTTCTTCTTGCCATGGCAGTTACAGAGCTACTGACTGGATTATCCTGTTTGCCATGGCTCTTATATTATTATACATTCAACGGTAGAGTTGTCGTATATTAATCATCAGATTCCAGGTTATCGAACTGATATTCAGTACGGGTTATCACAGTTGTGGTGCTTTTCCTTTCCTTACATGGCCACAATTTGCCCTTCAATCTTCCATACTGCCGCTATTTGGTTAACAGTCTATCTTGCTGCTCAACGTTATATTTATATCTGCATGCCAAAAATGGTCAGAAATCATTGTACCATCCATCGGAGTAAACAAGTAGGTCAAGTTACTTGGGGATTCCATTTTTCCGCCTTTTTTACTTTAACAACGATTTTGTCTCAGGCTATTGTTGCGATCTGTGTATGTTCACTATCGATCTATGCCCCCGAGTTCTTCGCCACATACAATGGCTCTTACACATTGTATAATCCAAAGTTTAATGGCAAGTTATGACGTCATTTTTTCTATAATTTTGATTGCGATATGTTTTTAGCCAGCAGACGAATCTGTCTGCGGATTCGAACGAAATTTATCCAGACAGTGGGGAATGATATCTACTACTATTCTCTCTACGGTCTGCACACCTTGCTGTCTCACACTTTACCGTGTATTTTATTAGTTTGCTTCACATGGAAATTGATCTCAGCGATAAGTGTGGCTGACAGAAGACATGCCTTCTTAGTGGCCCGGTCAGTTTTATTTATTTATTTTTTTGAACTGATGGATCAGTATTCGAACTCTTATTGGCCTCATTTCAGAACAGCGACCCGGAAATACACGATCGAATCGAGTGAAACTCTCGAATTGGACCCGGAAAAAAGAAAAGGCTTCAAACTTAAAAGTCGAGAGAGTTTCAGTGAATCGAAGAGACTTCAGGGACTGAAACAAGTAAAAGTTACAATCAAATCACAGTATTATAATTGTAGAATACTCGGATGTTGATCGCCGTCATCATCTTGTTCCTGGTCACCGAAATCCCAGCTGCTCTCATCTTCTCAGTGCATGTCAGTGCCGTCGCGTTTCAGATAAACTTCATCCAACGACATTATAACATCCTAAACAAACTTCTGATAATCCGGTATGTTATTTATTTTCTTAAAAACTTGATGAAACTTCTTTCAGGAATGTCTTAATTGTAATGTCATATCCCTTTCGATTCGCCATCTATTGTGGAATGTCTCAACAATTCCGAGAAGTTGTTCGTATCCTTCTGACCCATCGAATCTTCTTTCCATGCAGTAAACGTGCCCACGAGATCCTTCGAAGTATGCATCATGGACCCCATGCTCGTCTCCTGCAAAACAATCTTCCCGGTGGCACAAACACCCTCAACGAGCCGACCCAATTCAGCGATGACAGAAAGTACAGCGCTTGCGAGTTCTAATCTTTCGAAATAACAACATCTTCACTCTGCGTGCCGTCCCTATATTCTTCTTCCACTTTCACTTTACTCTTTCCGTTCTCTGTGTGCTATAATATACTGCTGTGATATGATGGTTACCTCCTTCCAGATACCCCTACGATCTTCAGTTGGAAGAATGGAACCAGAGTCGTATGGCCTCTCCTCGCTCTTCCTTCTTGAATGTCCAGTCTGAAGTCCTCATGAAAGTCATCCAGACAACCACACCTCGCTTTCTGCTCAACGGTTCTGATTGAATTCTATAAAATACGGGTTGAATAAACAGGATCTGAGTGACCAGGTGTGAATTGATCTCATCTTAAAGCGGACTTCAATAAAAGGGACCAGATGTGAACGGGGAAGGGCCAAGTGGGGAAGGTCGGTAGTCCCCAGATCAGAGGGCAGTTGGTCTCTCTGCCCTCGATCGAACAGCCCTTCTTCCTTCTTTTAGGCCACAACCAATGTCCCTAAGTCAGATCTGATCGTGAGGCGCGCAAGTCTTTTCTTTCTGTTATAATCGGTAAAGACGCCTCGTTTCATAATCGGCGATAAAGTTTGGCGCCAAATATGGGTCCATAGCCGCTCGTTGATGATTCCGTTATTGTTTAATCCATGCTTCTTTACCATTAGACGATCTTATCCCATTTTATATTAGGGAATGCCAAACTTTGCCGTATAAATTTTGAATGACAACCGTAATTTCAGCATTTTGCTCATGAGGATTTCTACAGTCCTCTTGTTGTTAATAACGACAACAAATGCTGTATTGGTCCCTCCGAGTAAAAACCTGGCATTGGGCCGACATATAACAGCCAGTTCAACATGTGGAGAAGTGAATGGAGTTCCCATCAAGGAACTGTATTGCACAATTGCCGGAGCTCAGCCTTATTCACCCCATAATCAGTACTCGTACAGTCTGTTCAACAACACCAGGCATATCCAAGAAATGAGGGCCGAACATTCGTTCCTCAAGGTATGAAACCACTAGTGATAACCAAAATCTTACAATTGTAGAATGGTCAAAACTGCGACTATTGCGAAGCCAACTCGAATATGGAACATCCAGCCCAATTTATGGTGGACGGAAGTCACTCCTGGTGGATGAGTCCTCCATTGTCTCGAGGAATGCAATATCATGAAGTCAACATTACCATCGACCTTGGACAAGAGTTTCATATCGCTTATGTGTGGGTTCAGATGGCTAACAGTCCTCGTCCTGCTGCTTGGATTCTAGAGAGATCAACCGATAACGGACAGACTTTCCAACCTTGGCAATACTTCGCTTCGACCGCCAAAGATTGTGCTAGGGTGGGTTGAACAATCTTAGTTAGATAAACAACAACGTGAAAAAAAAGGAAACACAAAAATTGTTTTTTTAAAAGCGGTCATGGTGATTTTAAAAATGCGAGATAAGGCGCGCATCCTAGGCGACTACATATGATACCTAGGATGGTATCATACGTCTTTTTCTTCGATGCAAGTGGTCAACGACATTTCGGGTCAACGATACCGTTTAATATTTTCGCTTCGGGACTGGGAAAAAAGAATTTTTTGGTGAATTTGAAAAATTTTTGAAATGTTTTCGCTTCGGGACTTGGGAAAAAGAATATTTTACAAAGAGTCCAAAATTAAATTTTTTTGTGTAGATTCAGAATCTCTGATCAGAATTGTAACGCGTCTCGTAGTTTTCGCGTTTTTTTTTGCGCTTTTAGCGGTGCAAAGTCTCATCGGACAAAAGTCGAGGCTTTGCAATCCGCGAAATTTTTGGAATCTCAAATTTCGGCGGTGCAATGCAGTTCAAAATCAGTTAGCGATGGAAGAGGGTTATGCTTTTAGAAAGATTGAAGTTTTAGTTTTACTTCGTCTTATAGCGCAAAGATTTATATTATTTTAACAGTGTACCGGTAGTTTTTGCAGAGCTCTGGCTAAAGCTGATAATAATGAGTTTTGCAGTTGTTCCATGTCCCCGCTTACCTCGTCAACAATGCGATCAGTGATGATGAAGAAGTCATCTGCACCACCGATTACTCCGCGATTCATCCCATGGAAAATGGCGAGATGATGATCAACTTGCTCGAAGGACGTCCAGGGAAGAATAGTTTCGGCCATTCTCCCAGACTGCAGGAGTTTCTCACTGCCACTAACGTTAGACTCCGCTTCCTCAGAGCGAATACAATGTACGCCCAATTGATGGATTATAAGAGTCCGAACGATGCAACTGTCACCAGAAGGTATTACTATGCAATCAAGGAGATTTATATGGGAGGAAAGTGTATTTGCAACGGCCATGCGTCAGCCTGCAGTGAACTTGATCCAAGTCGTAGCCAAACGTTGATCTGTCAATGTGAACATAACACTTGTGGGGACAATTGTGATAAATGTTGTGAGGGATTCCAGCAGAAGAAGTGGGAGCCATCCGCCGAGACAGAGTTTGTTTGTGAACGTAAGTATATATTTTTATCCCGGAAACTTTTATAGCATGCAATTGCCATGGACATTCCGACGAATGTATCTACGAAGCTGAACTGGATGAGAAGAAGCTGAGTTTGGACATTCACGGGAAATACGAAGGTGGTGGGAGATGTTTGAATTGCAGAGACCGGACTACGGGCATCAATTGTAATGAATGTATTGATGGGTTTTATCGGCCAGAATCTAAATTGTGGAATGAGACTGATGTGTGTCAACGTAAGTGTCTTTTTTGTATGTCGACAGCGTCCTCCAAGTTTTTTGCATTAGATAAAAAAAGGTTTGTGTCCGAACACTCCCCCTCAAAACGTCGATGAAATAAGCAGTAAAATTAATTACGAGTAATATTAACGGTATTCATCATAGTCTAAATTTGACGTCATTTTGAAAAATTTTGTCAAATTAACAACCCGAATCTGTAGGATTGTAGTGTTTTTCTGTGCTTACATAAATAATTTTTAGCTTGTGATTGCGACCCAGGAAAACATACCCACCGATGTGCCGAAAAGACCGGGAAATGTGAATGCCTTCCTCAATTTACCGGAGAAAACTGTGACCAATGTGCTCCCGGATATCATCATCCACCTGAATGCAATCCCTGTGCTTGTAATGTGAATGGAACGTCGGATGGAGCTTGTCTTCCGGTTGAAGAAAAATGTAATTGCAAAGAGGGATTTAGTGGATCTTTTTGCGATAAGTGTGCACTTGGATTTACGAACCTAACGGCTGGATGTGTGTCTTGTAATTGTGATGGAGAAGGTTCAATCAGTCCTGAATGTGATTTGGAGACTGGGAACTGTCAGTGCAAGAGCAATTTTATGGGAAAGGAATGCAACGCTTGTGCAAAGGGATACTTTAATTATCCGGAGTGTAAATGTGGGTTTAGGTTCATTTTCCTATTGGTGAATATTTAGTTTGTGACTGTGATGCCAGCGGGACTGATGATGAAGTTTGCGATAAAGAAAGTGGTCAATGTCTGTGCAAGACAGGTTACTCTGGCAAAAGATGTGATAAATGTGACATCAACTATTTTGGATATCCAAACTGCCAACCCTGTAATTGTAGTGAACCTGGGTCAACATCGGCCAAGTGCGATGAAAATACTGGTCAATGTAGTTGCCATGTGAACTTCACATCTCCTAAGTGTGATCGATGTGCTATTGGATATTACAAATTCCCAGAATGTTTGAGTTGTGATTGTCATCCAAGGACTTCAAAGAGCAAAGCGTGTGATCATGATGGAAAGGTGGGTACCTTAAATTATATCCATTGTCACAATCAATTGTTATTTGATTTGGCTTTTTTTTCAGTGCTATTGTAAAGAAAACGTGGACGGAGAGAAGTGTGATCGATGCAAACCGAAGCTTTACAACTTCCCCTTGTGCGAAGAATGTAATTGCAATCCGAATGGTGTTGTCGATGGATTCTCTGGATGTGACACTGTAAAAGAGGGAGAGTTATGTGCATGCAAAGAGAACGTTGATGGTCGGACATGCTCCGAATGCAAGCCTACCTTCTGGGACTTGAATGTCAGACATCCTCAGGGTTGTGTTGGTAAGTGAACATGATATTTGGCATGCTCAATTGTAGATTGTAATTGTAATATGACGGGTGTGGTATCCTTCCTGAACACTTGTGATCTGAAGAATGGCCAATGCTTCTGCAAGCCCTTTGTGGCCGGTCAGAAATGCGATGGTTGTGCTGATGGTTATCATAGCATCGACGGATCTCTCCAAAATGGCTGTGAACCTTGCGATTGTGATGCTGGAGGAGCTGTCGATGACACCTGTAACCCTCACAGTGGACAATGTAGATGTCGTCCAAGAGTTGAGGGAATTCGCTGTGATAAACCCATAAAAGACCATTACTTCCCCACTTTGTGGCAACTCAAATACGAAGCTGAGAGTGGGAAACAAGTTGATGGAAAGAATGTTCGATATGCGATCGACAAAGAAGAGTTCCCGGACTATTCTTATCGTGGCTATGCTGTGTTCAGTCCAATTCAAGACGAAATTATTTTGGATGTGGACGTGAAGAAGGCCTCGCTTTATCGCTTACTGGTCCATTACCGTAACCCGATCGATATGTTTATCCCGTTAACAGCTCGGATCTCTCCAGTCAACACTCAGACCCATGACACCAACTTCTCGGCATCCGTCAATCTTCCTTTCCACAAGGAACCCACTTCTATCTTCATGAATAACGATGAGAATGCCTTTGTTCTGAATCCTGGGAAATGGCGTCTGTCCTTGTCGACGTCCAAGAGACTTCTGGTTGATTACGTGGTATTCCTTCCAGCCGAATATTACACTGCTACGGCCTTACAAAGCCCGGTGAATCAGCCCTGTCCAGCTATTGAAGATCCGAACACTCCTTGTATGGACTATCTCTACCCTCCTATCAAATATTCATCGAGAGTGGAAGGAACGGACAAAGACAGTATTAGAACATTCGATCAAGACGGAGCGATCCGGCTGTTGAAGAAGGTCGGTCCTGATGTTCTGCCCGCAATCGTTGGTCAGGCAGGTCATGTGGAAGATAAGGATTACACCAGAAGCCTTGAAGTTGATCTGGAAGTCCCGTCTGATGGCAATTACTACATGGTAGTGGAATACATCAACCCCAGCAATGTTTCTGGTCCTCTTCGACTTCGAGTAGAGCAAGACACCGGGTCTCCTTTCAATGAAGGAACGATTTACATTGGGCACAGTCCATACAATGTGTTCAGAAGAGAGATTGTTACGAAGAATGGAGAACATGGCCTAATTCCTCTCAAAAAGAGCCCGCCAAAGGCTCTGGCCGTCTTCAGTGTCCCACCTGGCTTGGACTTTGGGGTTTCTTCAGTCAATTTGATTGCCGCTGACGACTGGGATGATGACTTCCTAAAACAAGTCCCAGTTTGCATCAGAAAAGACGGAGAATGCATTGGCCTTCAATATCCCGTCCCTGCCAATTCCATCACAACTTCTGCTGCTGGAAGCAATCCAAATGAAGTTGTGACTGGGGAGAAACTGCCGTTCAAAGTTTACAATGCTAAAGATGTTAAGGTCATCCCTCTCGACCCCAACGCTGCTGGAACCGTTGATATCAATGGAGTGGTTGATCGTCCTGGACATTACGTCTTTGTCGTCCACTACTACAATAATGACAATGGGCCCTTGTCGATTGAAGGAATGTTTCAGAATGAGGTCTTTGGGAAGGCGGACTTCAAGTATTGTCCATCCACTTCGGGTTGTCGAACTGAAGTCGTGAATATGAGGAAGGTCCCAATTGAGAACTTCTTCCCTGTTAATGACAATTACAAATGGAGTTTCTATGCGAATCCGAAGCAGAAAGGCCCCCTCTACATTGAATCCATTACTGCAATTCCAGTCCAGACATACAATGCGGAACTTTTGAGACACAAACCTTTGGATAGAACTTCCGACTTCTTCAAGTATTGTGCCCAGCAGCATTTTAAGAATCATCCCTCGAACGTCTCGGATTATTGTAGACAACAAGTCTTCTCTTTGACTTCTGAATTCAACAACGGTGCCCTTCCGTGTAACTGTAATCCTAAAGGATCAGTCGACTTTTGTTGTGAGGAGTATGGTGGAGAATGTAAATGTAAGCCCAACATCATCGGAAGAACATGTGATCGCTGCGCCCCGGGCTTCCACAGTTATCCCGAATGCCGTCCCTGTACGTGTGGAGAAAGAGAACTCTGCGACGAAAGCAATGGCCAATGTTTCTGCCCCAATCATGTTGAAGGCTCTGGGTGTGATCGATGTGTCAAATACGCATATGGATTTGATCCACTGATTGGATGCCAGCTCTGTGGTTGCAACCAAGAAGGCTCTTTGAATGGAGAATTGCAATGTGATTCAAATAACGGTCAATGTTTGTGCAAGGAAGGAGTCGGCGGTAGAAGATGTGAGAAATGTCTTCCTGGCTATTTCGGATTCCCGGAATGCAAAAAGTGTTCTTGTAATGTAGCTGGAACTGTTGCCGAAATATGTGACCCCGTATCATCTGAATGTAAATGTAAAAAGGGAGTGACGGGCGTGAATTGTGATGCATGCAAAGAAGGAACCTTTGATCTTCAACCCAGTCATCCAAGTGGATGCTCCGATTGTTTCTGTTTTGGAGTTACAGACAAATGCCAGTCATTGTTTTACCCCGTGGAAACTGTGTTCATCCCCACTGATGGATGGAGTTCCAATGATACGAATGGAGTTGTTACATCGTCCGAGAATGAAGTCATCTATGAAGCAGGTGCGGAATCAAACAGCAGAAATGTCTACCTGGAACCTCGCTTGACTAAGTCAGACTTTACCGCTTCTTATGGACTTCATATGTCATTCAAGATTTCTTCAATTCCTCCAGATTCTGAGAAGAAGAAACTTACTTCAGAAGCAGATGTTCGACTGATCTCTGGCTCTACAATATTGGAACTGTGGGCTAGAGAACAACCAAAAGATCCGTCTGTTATGTTCGAGGTTGTAGTCACCTTCTCACCTGACTTCTGGCTGTTATCGACTGGAGAACCAGTGAATCGACAGACTCTGATGATGGTGCTCTTCAAACTGGACAAGATCCAGTTCAAGGCGTCGTACTACGAATACCCGAAGAAGGCTGTGTTTACCGAAGCTGAGATCGCGCAAGTCGTGCAACGCCAACAGAACTCCTACGACATTGTGGCGACCTCCGTGGAGAAATGTTCTTGTCCTGTAGGTTACGCTGGATTCTCGTGTCAGACTTGTGCCACTGGATATTATCGTCTCAAGACAGACGATGACAGTTTTCTGGGTTCCTGCGTCCCTTGCAATTGCCATGGTCATGCAGGAAGTTGTGATCCGGTCACTGGGGTGTGCATTGACTGTCAACATAACACAGAGGGCTCTCACTGTGAGCGGTGTATTGAAGGGTACAATGGAAATGCCACAAACATGTCCCCCAACGCATGCTTAGCTTGTCCCTGTCCCCGTCCATCAGCCACTGGAAACTTTGGAAAGTCCTGTATTATTGGGGATAAGGGAGATCTCGAAAAATGTGAATGCCGGGAAGGATTCACCGGGAGATTCTGTGAGCAATGCGCCGTCGGGTTCTTTGGACAGCCAACAAATGAAGTGGCCTGCCAAAAATGTTACTGTAATGAAAACAACGACCTTTCACTCCCAGACTCTTGTAATCCCGAGACTGGCGAATGCAGCAACTGTGAACATAACACCGATGGACGCTATTGCGATTCCTGTGAGCCTTGGTACTTTGGAGATGCGTTAACCAAGACCTGTCAAAGTGAGTCGACCAATGTTATCTACTTTGACTAATTAATTTTCAGATTGTTCTTGCAATCAGTGCGGAAGCGAATTCTGTGATAACCGATCAGGTCAGTGCCATTGCAAAGGTCTGGTAGAGGGTCAGAATTGTGACAAGTGCGCTGAGAATTCCTGGGGCTTTGAGAGTTGTAATGGATGCCGCCCTTGTGATTGCGCGGCCGCAACTTCGAACAGTCAATGTGATCTGAAGACTGGCCAATGCACTTGTATGCCTGGAGCTGATGGAAAACAGTGCGACACTTGTGCTTACGGATACTGGGATTACAGTCCTCAAGGATGTAAAAGTAAGGAATGACTACTTTTTTCAGCGTTTTCCTTTCGATAATAAATAAACAAAATTTTGCAGAATGTGACTGCGAGGCGGATTTATCTATGGGGACTGTTTGTAATGTGAAGACAGGACAATGTCAATGTCAAGAAGGAGCAACTGGACCCAGATGTGACACTTGTCTTCCTGGATATCTTCGCATTCCAGAGCATGGCTGTCGTCAATGCAGTGAATGTGCTCTGGCCTTGAATAGTGAACTTGATGATGACTTCCTCTCCCTTTCTGCCATCCAGAACACCTTGGGGAACCTTTCAAGCGTCGCTTTGAACGGTGCGCGTTTGAACAGGATCAATAAGGAAGTCAACAAACTAAATGTAAGAGTTATACTAGAATGTAACTATTTTCCTTTAGCCTTTGGTGAACTTTGTCAGCGAATTGTCGGCTGGGGAAATTGTCAAGAAATTGAAAGACGAGGCTTATAATCAAACCAATCAAGCCAACGCATTGACTGTCAGATCGGACAGAATCAAGAAGAATCTTGTGGAGAGCCAAGAAAAGATTCAGAAATTACTTGACGATCTAAAAGTAGCCAGAAGAGAAGCTAACGATCTTATTGGAACTGCGAGTTTGGTATTAGAAAAGGCAAAAGGAATTCGCATGGAGCTCGAATCAGCTACTCCCATCGAAAACGAAGATGTTTTGGTCAAGGAGGCGGAGTTACTTCTTCATCAAGTCAAGGAGATCAACAAAAAGTAAGTGAATTCAAATCACACAAGTTAATTCTTTTGTAGAATCGAGGCTCACAATGTTGATGAACTCAGAAAGAAATTGGAAATTGAACCAGAAGTCGTATCATTGATTAAAGAAAAGGACAATCAGCGAAGAGATATGGTTGTGAACCTCCAAAATAAGATTATAAGCCTCAACAATGCCAGTGGAGAATATGGAAGGACCATTGACGAAGCCAAGGAAGTGGTTGCAAATGCAAGAAAGACTATCGGAAACTTGAATTTGAATAGTTTCTCCACTCTCCTCGCCGGGGTTGAAAAGGATATCAAAAAGAAAAAAGAGAACGAAGGAAGCCTGGTCACCAAGAAGAATGAAATTCAAAGTTCTTTGGAAAACTTGACAAGTCTTGCCCAAGAACTCGACGAATTGAGAAAGCAGCTGGTCGAGGAGAAAGAGGCCTTGCTAAATAAGAACGAAAAGAACAAAAGACTTCGAAGGAACGTCGAAAATGAGAAACTGGTTCAACATGCAAAGCAGAAGGCCCAAGAATTACAAGTGAAGGAAAAGGCATTGTCAACCATATACCGAAGTGCGACTGGGGACGTTACTAAAGATATTGAAGCTGCTACCATTTACAAAAAGATCACGGACCTTATGATAAATGCCAAGAATAGCTCCGATTCGGCTGTTTTGAATGCCAAAACTACCGAAAACGTGGTGAACAACCTAAGTGAGGAAGCTAAGTCCAAGTTGAAAACAGCCAAGGAACTTGAGGAAAAGGTGAGAAGATCACAGAATGAATACGCAAAACATCAACCAAGAATACAAGAAAGCATCAGGAAGATCGAAGAACAAGGAAATCAGCTCGAGAAAATCGGAGAAATCGTCGCAAAGATTCAAACTCCAAATTCGGTGTCAGAAGACCTCGAGAAATTAAATGAGAAGATCGAAAGGTCGAAGGAGCACATAAATCAACAGAAAAAGGCTACTGAGGAACTGCTGGAGAGAGTCCGGAAGACCAGTGAAAGTGTGGATGACACCGCAAAACTGTTCACTGGGCTTGCTCAAGCCACGGCTTCAGCTAAGAATAACCTCCAGGCGATTAATGAAGCCATTCCGTCAACTTATGACAGCTTAAAAGACGTCAAGAAGAAGGTGGAGAAGGCCACAAAAGGGGTTGACGAACTTAAGAACAAGTTAAACATGCTCAAGGAAAAGGTTGCCGTTATCCGAGGAAAGGTGAACCAAGTCACCGTTGGAGTTAAATTCGATCAAGGAAGTCTTCTAGAGTTGCCATTGCCGGAATCTGGTGCCGAATTGAGTCTGTTGACCAATGTGAAAACGTTCTTCAGAACTCGAAGGGACACCGGACTCCTCTTTTATCTTGGAAACGAAGATTCTGGAAGATCCACGGATTTCTTTGCTGTTGAGATTGACCAACGGAAACCGAAGTTGATTGGAAGCCTTGGCCGAGATGTTATTGAAGTTGTGTTAGATGAGATTGTCACGGATGACCAATGGAGACAGATCGTATTGGATCGAAAGGGGAAGAACGTTGAGTTTAAGATTTCTATCCCCAACAATGACACCGTCTCTTCTTCCAAGAATGTTACTCTTCCTGGCAACAAGAATGTCTTCAATCTTTATGATGACACTCGGCATCTATTTGTGGGTGGATCCGGTAATGTGAAGTTACCCAAACAAATCAAGGCAACCAATTTTGATGGAGCTGTTGAAGGTTTCCAATTGAATGGTGAAAATCTTGGTCTTTGGAATGGTGAGAAGATCGAGAGAATCAGAGGAGCCATCCCCAGAAAGACCGTTAGAGAAGAGGGAAAAGATTTAGGGATCACTTATAATGGCAAGGGATACTCGAAGGTGAATGTGGGAACCTGGAATCCGAGAAAGAGGACTTCTCTTCTGGTCAAGTTTATGACGCATTCCTCAGATGGGCTGCTTTTCTTCATTGGGAAAGGAGTAAGTGACAGAAACAACTTTGATATTGTTTAATTTGCAGTCGTATAATTACAAATTTATTTTTAGAATGATCAAATGGCTATTAAACTGGAGGAAGGCTTCGTTAAACTCGCCTTTGATCTCGGCTCTGGCCTTGGACAGCTTGTCTCGAACAAGAATACCTACAGTGATGGTCAATGGCATCTGATTCATCTCCGCCGGGATGGTCGCCAAGCAAAGCTGACTGTCGATAATGATGATATGGCAGAGGGAGAGTCCCCCGGAGTGATGTTTGAGATGAGTGTACCCGAATATTTTTATCTGGGAGGGCTTCCTCAGGGTGTAACTACCAGATTTGTTGTCACTCCTTACCGCGGATGTCTGAAGAACCTTCGCTTGGATACCGAATACATCAATCTCCGCGCTCTGGATGGAAAGGGATTGGCCCCGTCATGTCCTAGTCAAGAAGTCAGAATGGCTTCTTTTGTATCTGACCGATCCTTTGTAAAGATTGATCAGATTGATCTCGACAAAAACCTGGAGATCTCTCTCAGATTTAAAACCCGAGAGTCCTCTGGCCAGATCGCGACTTTCACAATTAACGATGAGAATGCTTTGGGTCTGAGGTTAAGAGATGATCATCTGGAGATCAGTGTGAATGGAGAAAAGATTGAGAGCTCCTTCTCGTTCACATCTCCCTTTGCCAACAGATGGCATTACATATACATTGTACAGACCGATGGAAAGTTAAAGTTGTTGTTAGATGATACAGTATCCGGTGAAATTGATTCGGATCTGAGTGAATTACTGCCCAGTCAGAATACAGCGATGTATCTGGGAAGATATAACGATGAAAGCCCCATCATTGGTTGCATTGGAGACGTCTTGGTCAATAATAAAAACCTCAAATTCTCTTACGTAAGTTTGTTTATTTTAGTAATCATTAACCTTACTTTTAGTCGGATGGTAAAGAAGTCCAGCTTGCGCGATGTTTGGCAGATGGTGATTCAAATAGTTTGGAGGTAGCCCCAACAGCCGACATTCCTGCTGAACCTAAACCAAAGGAAGAAGAGCAGTCAGAAGAGGAAGAAGAGAAAGAAGAAGCGCCCAAAGAAAAAGAAAAGTCGAATCCCCGACCTCCAGGATCGTGTGCTTTGCCTTTGGAACCCCATGGAGAAAGAGAGGACATCAGAGGAACCAGATTCGGATTCCATCCTCAATCCAGAATCGAATTCAAGAAGCTTCCGGATTCTCATCAAAGGAATCTTCAGATTGGAGTGGCTTTGCGAGCCAATGCTGCCAATGGAGTTATTCTTTTTGCCACTAACGAGAAACACACGGATCACGTGGCACTTTACCTCCTGGATGGGAAAGTTTGCCTATCCTACGGGGCAGCCAATGCCAGAGTAAGTCGTGTTTCTTTTGCATAACCATTTCATACAACACTTAACTTATTCCTTTTCAGTTGATCATTCAAAGTGCTGATAGTATTTTGGACGACGAATGGCACACCGTCAGAGCCGAGAAGGAGGGATCAGCTGCAGTTTTATTTGTGGATGATGAGCAAGTGGCCCATGATCAAGTTGAGAATGCCGAAATTATTAACATTGAAGTTCCCTTGTACGTTGGAGGAGCTCCAAAGAATCTCCAAAGTTTTATTGGCCGTCTTTTGCCTGGAGTGAAACCAGAGTTTGGAGGATGTCTTCGGGATCTTAAGATTAATGATCAAGAATATCCGGATGAAGAAGGGGAAAGTCATGGAGTTGTTCCTTGTTCTCGACTATCCGAAGACGGAATTTTCTTCGGAAGGGATGGGGGCTATGCCATGCTCCCTGAATTTGTGGCCAACAAGCAATTCAACTTTGAGATGGAGATCAAACCAAGACTCAAGACTTCCGTCCTTTTGTCAGTTGGAGTCATCGACTTTGTAACGATTCAATTGGTTAACGGCAGTGTCAAATTGACGGTTGATGATGGCGCTGGACCGATGAACGTCATTTATAGCCCGCCTCAGGGCAGTTCGATTTGCGATGGCAATTGGCATAAGATAAAAGTGTTGAGGAAGAAAAGCATCGTTACTCTGAATGTGGATGGCAAGTCGAATCTGCTGATCATCAAGAAGAAACCACTTGTGGAATCCACGTTGAAAGATCCCATCTACTTTGGAGGAGTGCCTAAGGACAGAAGACTCAAGGGATTGGACACCGTCGGTAAGTCCAAACAGCACTCTTAAAGTGGAGGAGGGTAATATAAGTACTGTTTCCTTATTTCCAGAATCATATGTTGGATGTATGAGAATCGTCGAAGTCACATCAAACCCTAAAAGAAAGCGTCGCGAACTTGATCTGAGTGGAATGGTCTTATTCGGAAATCTGGATAGAAACAGTTGTCCCTTGAATTAACTCATGGGTTTTATTCTCTCCTCGTAATAAAAATTGTCAGCTATATACAAACAATGTCTAAATACAACTAATGTGAGCTGGGGTACCCTTGTAACAAAAATAGTGAATTAAGTTTGTTCAAAATACTAAAATACGGCCTTGTGAGGAATGTAAAGTATCAAACACGACTCGTGGAAGCAGATTTGTGACAATTTTGAGCGGGGTTGTTGATATCTGAACGGCTAATTCCTCCTACGATTAATGTGCCGGAGAGCGACTTTTCCTTTTCTCTAGCAGTCCGTTCTTGGCATGACTCAAATGTTTGACTCTGACGTCATCGATCCGCATCGAAGCCAACGCTTTGTCCATCTCTGCCTGTAAAGTAGAGGCGGAGATATTCGTATCATTCCAACAACCCACCGCCACTTCGGGCCAATTCTGTCGCTCCTCTAGCAGCACTTCACGTGTAGCCAGGGGGGTTTTAGGGTTCTTGTTGTAATGCGTGATCCACTTGTGTTTCATAACCTGGTCGATCGTACTCCGTTCTGCGGGATCGGTCTTTAGACATCCTCTGATGAGATCCTTGGCTGCAAAGAAATGGATTACCACACCTATTTCTTGCCTTGGAGATTAGAGGGCGGATGAAATCATTGCGGATAATCCGGACCTACCTGCTTCGGAAACTCTGTCCCATTCGGGAGCGGGAAAGTCATACTGACCAGCCCGGATCCGTGATTTCATTCCTGGACTGATGGGAAGGCCATGGGTTGAGAAGAACGGAGGATATCCACACAAAAGAATATAAGTTATAATCCCGATGGCCCAGACATCACAGGCCTCGTCATACGGTTTAGTTCCAAGAACTTCGGGGGCTACGTAGTAACTAGAAAGCATAAAGAACGATGAATCTCATCTTACGGAGTGTAACACGGTGTATCCAGGGGTTTCTCTACCGTTCCGTCAAACTTTCTGGCAAATCCAAAATCAGTCAGTTTCAAAACCGCGTCATCGTCTTTGGTACTGTACAAAAGATTCTCCGGTTTTATATCTCGATGCACTATGTCCATGCTATGCAAATGCTGGATGGCCGAACAAATGGCGTACATAATATTGGAGGCTTCCCTCTCCGTGAAAGCGGACCTGGCTCTTTCCTGTAATTAAATATTTAAGAGCACGGAACTCTCGTTACCTGGATCCTGGAAAACAACTCCCCACCCGTCATCCGTTCCATTACAATCAGCAAGCAGTGCGTCCCGTTATGTATATTCTCGTAGACATCAAAGATCTTCACAATATGGGGGTGGTTACATGCACTCATATGAATTTCCACCTCCCGTCTCGCCTTAGGCACATCCCTCAACACTTTCAGTGCGAACACCTCTTTCGTTGCGATTTTAACACACTCAATCACCTTCCCATTCACTCCAATACCCAAAACTTGGCTCCCCAAGTGGTAATCTTGTTGTATCGGATGATTTTTAAAGGAAACCATTGCCTAAAACCCCAAAAAAATAACTCCGAATGGCCAAATCTTGGACTCGAATGGGGAGGGCCGCGAAAAGTACAGGTATAAAACAAAAAACGGGCTTCAGGATGGAAATGCAAGCAAAATAAGGCCGCATGTCTGATAAAAAGAGCCACAGATGGGTGGGACGAGGGCCCACTGGAAGGGCCGCTTTTGGCTCCTTCTTTCTATTCGTCTTCACGTCACCTATACACCCGTCTTTCGGGACGACACTCATACCCCGAACGTCATGATGAACCATGTCAGAGATCTCAGTCTTCACCATTGCCCCCCGATTCTTCAAAATCAGTTCAGAATGCATCTTGTTAACGAATAAAAGGATCCGCAAAAACTCATTATCGAAGAAAAAAGGAAGAGGAGGCGCCCAATCTCGCTATAGTTCCGCCGTTGTCTTTTCTGGCCCTCCGGGCCTATTCTTTATTAGGTTTTGGTTCCGAAAATGTAACGGGAAGGGGAGATTCGTGGGGAATCATGTTCTATATGACTCCAAAATGGTCCAGAATAGAAGGACGTCCGTGATATTTTAAGTAGAAATCATTGATTATCATCTCCTAAGATACTATAGATAATTCGGAAGTATCCTTTCTGCGAAATTAAAAAAAAATATATTATGATACAACATAGCGTTGGTTTCGATCACAGAAAACTGGCAGCCGTCCCGGATATTTACACACAATTTACAGGTCCTTTTCTTAACTGCCTTATCACCTGCTGATTTCACTTGGTGGGGTCACACGTAAGAGAAACACTTGACACATTAGGGTCAAGTCTCTCTCTTTGCAGCTGAATTTTTCCCTTTGAAAAAATCGAAGGGTATTTTGGAGCGCTAACAGCGCTAAATCTTATTGGAATTGGTTATTGAAATGGATGGCGTTAATAAAATCTCAGTAACTCTTTCTGGTACACAAGCAGAGGAATTGTAAGCTCTTCACGTTAATTACATCTTATTTTCTTTTAGAAATTCCGCACTTGCCGAATATTTACAACGAAATGGCTACCAGAAAACCTTTGAGACATTCGTAGATGAATCAGGAGCGGTACGGTTTTATCCATTGAATATTTTGATTTTTAGACCGTGAAAAATGATGTTCAACATGTTGGATTAATGGAAAAGAAATGGTCAATGACCCTACGTTTGCAACAACGGATAATCAACCTGGAGAAGAGGATACAAGAACTTGAAAGCGGAGGAATTATTGCCCCTAGGCATAAGTATGTTTTTTGTAATGGCTAATTTTAGACAATATAGTATATTAAGACATTTGGAAGTACAAGACGAAGAATATGCATATTCGATAATTCAAGCCTTATGCTTTTTCATTCCTCCGTCATGAAGTTTTAGGCCGCTTTAAGGCATATTGTTCGCATAGAAGTCCATCGAATTTTATATTATAAAAAATTGTTTAAGGGATCTGAAATCTTCTGCCACTTGGATTCCTCGGCCGCCAGAGAAGTTGACTCTTAATGGGCATCGCGATTCTGTTATGAAGGTCGTTTTTCACCCTACTTACAGTGTGCTTCTATCTTGCAGTGAGGATCATACAATCAAGGTAATCATGAAAATATGGACTAAACATTTATGTAGATATGGGATCTTGAAACTGGTCAATTAGAACGCTCATTTAAAGCCCATTTAAGTACTATTCAAGACTTGTGCTTTGATGCCACTGGAAACAGATTTGGTAAGATACCTAAAATATGATTTATGATAAAAAGTTTAGCTAGTTGCTCTGCCGATGCTTCAATAAAGATTTGGGACTTTGGAGATTCTTATGATTGTCTTAAGACCTTGAGAGGACACTCTCATACAGTCTCATCCGTTGTTTTTGTCCCAAACAGTAAGTTGTTGACGTGTGTATTATTACTTCTTATGTCTATATCGCCTTATTCTCTATTTTCTTCTCAGAATCATGGATTTTGTCCGCTTCGCGAGATGGAACTATTAGATTGTGGGATACAACCACGGGTTTCTGTACTCAAACCTTTGAAGAACACGAAGATTGGGTGCGGAGAGTCTGCATCGATCAACAAGGCCAATTGTTTGCAAGTTGCAGCAACGATAAGGTGAGTTTTTTTCTAAATTCTCTACTTTGCTTTTAGTCAATTATTGTTTGGTGTCTAAACACAAAGAAGCCGCTGTCCAAGTTGATTGGACACACCCATGTCATCGAATGTGTTTTATTTGTTCCCCAAGAACACAATAATAAGATTGCCGGTGATCATATGAAGAAGTATGCTAATGAGCATGATGTAAAGCCAACTTTGATCATCTCGGCAGGCAGAGATCGGGTGATCAAGATATGGGATGCCCTGAGTGGGGCTTGTTTGATGGATCTGGAAGGACATGACAATTGGATCAGAGACATGGTGCTGCATCCATCGGGTGCTTATCTCATATCAGTCGCTGACGATAAATGCATGCGGGTCTGGTCAATGGAAGAGACCCAACGTTGCCGTGTCATCAATGCTCACGACCATTTTATTTATTCTGTTGGTAGGTGGTTCGACGCCATTGTGGATGAGTTAATTTAGATTTCCACAAAAGACTTCCTTATGTGGCCACGGGATGCACAGACTCGACAATCAAGGTGTGGGAATGTCGATAACTGGACGGATTTCTACTTTTTTTCTCTATTTGATAACTCCCGCGTCGCTGGCTGCCTGTCCCCATCCAGTTCCGCATCATTCCTTTGCATTTGGCTCGCGTCAGAATGCTACTATTATTGTTTGTTACGCCTTGTAAAGAACACTTCAGTAATAAATAAAATAGAGCTTTGCCTTTTGTTGATATTCAGTGGTCGGCTCCCTATTTTATCGATTATCGTTCCTTCGTTTCCTTTATGCACCGATGTTTTACAGATGGCCTCATTCAGAAAAGGAGCTTTGCTAATGGGGACGGTGGTAAAGATCAATCGGATTGGATTAAAACAGATACCTTGTGCTCAGATCAGATGTCGGCAGAACCAATTCAGCGAACATCTCAAGATGTATTTCGCAAAGCCCAACGATTTGTGGGCGTTGGACAAAGATGTGAATGTAAAGTTGGGAGATACTGTACTGATTGGACCCATCGAACACAAAGACCGCCCAACAACGACGGTGAGTCATGTAGTGAAAAGAGTGGTCATGCCCTACGGGAATACGATGGATCCAATCACGAAAAAGAGAATTTATCAAAGCGAATTTGTGGAAGATCAGAAGATCCGGCGAGATTTGATCAATGAAGCCACGGAGCCGTATGAACAAGATTCGATTGGATTCGAAACCCGACATTTGGAGACGAAAGAGAAAGTGGAACGATTAAAACAACAGTAGGGAGTGTTGTGAAACTTGTTGATTATTAGGATTTGTTTGGCGATTTGTTGTTTCAAATAAATTTATTGTTTTACAGTAAGAAGAGAATACTTGTACGCGAACAAGGGCAAACAATACATAAAGAAGTAACTAGTTGATGTCATGGTCATTAAGTGATGTTCTCCAACACACCGAGAATGCAGATCTTTTCAAATGGGGTTAATTACTGACGCCAATAGGACTGGGTGGGGTCATGATGAGAATCGGATAAGTCCTGGAGATGGGCGGTCTGGTTGTCGATGCCCAGCACCGAGAGGCTCAGACTTGGCGGGGCTGCTAGCCAGTTGCGAGTGTAGTCACTGGACACGGAAGCATTCGCGATGGGACTTGTGTTTGCAAACGAAGTGGCTGGTGGAACCTGACGAGAATACTGTAAGAAATTGAATTGCCGAACCAATACTTACATTGAAGTCGTATCTGGCAGACTGGAACATCTGATACGAGTTGAAATCTTGAGCGGGCATACTAAAGCTGAAATGACATACGTTTTAATCTGGTGTGCATATATTGTTTTAAATAGGATAATGACATACTTGTACTGATCCATGTGATTAGGCAATCCATAGCCCATGGTTGGCTGCATGAAAGTGGAAGCGGACATCTGCTGATTGTATCTGACGATTCCATTCGTGGCCGAGTTCTGATCAGTTCCATTCAGATCATTGGGCTGACTAGAGACAACTGAGAGGTTATGTTGTGGATCGAGGTTGTTGGGAATCATCCCTCCAATGGCCGCAATCTGGCCATTGGAGCCATTGATCGCCGATGTGCTCGAAGGTGGGGTCATGACACCCCCTACCCCAGCACTTCCCAGAGAGGAGCCCGAAGAGGCCGAGGAGACCGAACTACTTGGAGTAGGTGCATTGCCTGGGGGCTGCATGTTGGAGGGGGGCAGTTCCCCGTTCTTCTGCTTTCGCATCTTCTCTTCTCGCCGATATTTGGCCCGTCGATTCGAAAACCAAACCTGGAAACCAGAAGAACATGAGTTTACTCGTTTTCTCTGACGAAACACAATTAGTTCAACCACGCGAGAATGATAGTAGTAGTGATAGAGCGGGAGACATTGACGAGAAGTGATCGGCAGTGCCGGTTACAAGATGGTGGAGGAAATGAGTAATCGAAGCAGTAGCTCACCTGAATCCGGGCTTCTGGAAGATTGATTCTTTGGGCCAGGTTCTCCCTTGTATAAACATCAGGATAGTGACTATTCTCGAATTCTGAAAGAAGAGGATGAGGGGCCGTCTTCCACTCACCTCTTTCCAAATTCTCGATCTGTTCCTGAGTAAAAGAAGTACGATTTCTTTGTAATTTCCTCTTCAGACACATCCTGCGGGACGCTTCTTCGTCCGGATCCATCGGCGGTTTGTGGTCCTCTTCTAAAACAATACAAATTATGATCATAACAAAAAGTTTTAATCCAGCCACAATCTACAAGAGACTAATTAATGGGGAAAAGGGTAATTAACTGCCTACTCTCGGCCTCCAGACACGTACAGCAACATTCGATCGCGAGGTCTTACAACCCGCGCAAGAGTTATCTCCGCTCAGATCTCCTTGCCTCTCTCTTATCGCCCCTCCATGCCACCACACCTTCCGCTTCCCATCTCACCCTCGCCCCTCGACAACCTTAACGACAGGTTTTAAGACTCCGAAGCTAATAAATCATCATTAACAAATTACTTTAACACCCTTCAGTTACGGTAACCGCAGTGATTCCTATCAAGCTTTTCCCTACCGTATTTTACAATCTTGCCTCGAGGGTTCAGTGAGGCCAGACTGTAGTTTGGACTGCTGTGATTGGATTGTCGTTTGGACGGAGAATTGGACGGATTGAGGGGGGAATGGATGGACGGGATTACTGTATTCATATGGTGGAAAGTATCCATTTCTACAGAAGTAGACAAAATTAGTATATTCACTGCAGATTTCGTAGAATACGGTGATTTCACGCGTTTAAATCGGAGAAACTATCCAGAGGTACAGTACCCGTTTGATAAAAGAAGGAAAGATATAAACCGAGGTCATCACCATCGCTCTTCTCTTCCGGCGGTCAGAACGGCTAAATGGAAGGAAGGCCTCTCAATTAAGCCTCATTACCATATAAGTAACCGCGAAACGTTAATTCGACTTGACCCGAGACTGTTTTTTATTTAAAATTAGAAGCCAAACATTGGGGAGGGATCCTCCATCGACGGAGCCCGCCGACTGGAGTGATAAACAAGGTCTCGAGGTAGAAACCGCCATCTCCGCCTTCTGCACTCTCTTCTTGTGCTCGCCCAGATCCCCTCTCCCCACCCCCCTCAGGCGACGGTACTCGCGCTCGTGATCACCATCTCCATCCATCGAAGGAAAACGTTTTTATAAGGAAACCGCAAATCAGTCAGCTGAGGCGGAAACCGAAAAATGTTGATTAAAGCAGCTACTTCTACTACTTCCAAAGACACAGTAACCCGGAGCTTTGAACCGACCCAAAACTTGTAGCAATGGAGTGTTAATGGACTCATGAAAAAGGGGGAACACAGATAAGCACATATTATGCTATGATATAAGACAGTGGCCCCAAACTGACTGCAAGATGACAAACAGAACCTCTATTCTCTGAGCGACCTTCAACTTTAGAAAACGATGGACACCCGATGAAAGAGACGCGGTTGGGAGTCATCACCACTGTCAACCGAAGAGCAAACCGGGTGTCGATCATCACAGTCACGCACTCAAACCTCTTCCTTCCCAGAATGTCCTCAATCCTCGCGTGTTTTATCATCCCATAATTACAGGTGGCCTCTTTTCAAGTAATTAAAGACCAGATTGGTTGGCCCGTTGCCAACAACGAATATTCTTGGAACGCTTTAAACAAAAATAATTTTTTGTGGAAAAATCCTGGATCATGTTATTTTTAAAGCGAAAACCATCACATTTGGCGCACTGTCATACCGGAAACTAAGAATATTCAATTTGGCTTATCCATACCCTTAATTATTACGGAGACTAGTGTAATATCATATCAAACAACTTACCGGGTTCCTTCTTGGTGTCCATTGTGATACTCGGAATAGGAAAGTTTCCTAAGGGCACAGTCCCCGGGACATGCATCTGCCATGGCTGACACCATTGCTGGACACTGTATCTGGAACGAGAGAATGGTGTAAATAACCTGATGCCCGCAAGTCGTCCTTCCCTTATATATAAACCTCACCCAAATTAGATGAATGCCGCATTTAAATCGCATTAAGGCCTGCTAACGGGACCACCTACTTTCTTTCTGATCGCTGACTTTATCGCATTAACTATTAATTTAATTATCACTATGATTGTTATAATTAAATCTACGATGATTGGGAAAGAAAAAAAAAATATAATTGAATTTGGATTCCGGAGAAGGAGGAGGCTTACCTTAAAGCCCCGCGGAAGTAGTCTTGTTGGGCTTGTTGCTGGTCTTTTCTTGAAGCCAAATTCCTCAGAACGCGATTGATTGAGGACACCTAAAGAAATAAACATTAAAACTACAAATGAAGTTGTGGAAAAAGACCTCAAGATCATGTTTATTCTAACGTTGCTTTGTTACAAGATCTCATCGCCTTAATCTTTTTGGAATGAACGCTAAAGTTAACTTGATTAGCCTTGTTAAGTGATCTGTTTTAACTGCAAAAAATCTAACGAACTTTAAATTTCAGACGAAAACGAAGATTAATGTGAAAAAGGGAATTTACAGAAGAGTAAATAAAGACTATAACACTGGAACATACAGGATGTCGAACAAAGATTTGTCAAATCTCAGACTCCTAAAGTGATTATACAAGTTAAAAGAGACTTACACTAGGGATGGAGTCGTCGGTGCAAACCCCCTCACTCATCAGCTTGTCTCTGATCTCCCATGCAAATATAGACGGCTGTTCCCGTTTATATTGTTCTATCTTATCGCAAACTTGGACTGTTGCAACTCGAGGTTTCGATCCTCCAATTGCCCGAGGGCGAATTGATCCGGATTCATAGTATCGACCGAGGATCTTGGAGACACATCTAAAATGAGAATTGCATATAAGAGTACTGATTAACAAGCTATTAATTTCAATTATCCGTACCCATTCGAAACCCGCAACATCCTCGAAATGTCACATGGCCTCATTCCCTTGACGGCCAAGTCCACGATCTTCTGTCTGGTCGCATCGGGGAGAGGTCGGCCATTCACAAATTCACCCCCAAGTTGGTTTACACCTGTGTGACCTAAAAATATTCATCGTTGTACTTATTAGACCAGCAAGTAAGTTTTTTCTTTACTTAAATATTGTAAGCACCAACCTCAGAGGAGATTTTTCGACATAAAAAGATTTTTTTGTCATAATCTTTGCTAAGAAATATGCCAGTTTCAATTTAGAACCTACTTTTCACTTTTATTTCACCTTACTGCAAAGTAAAAAATTTTATTTTCATAATCTAAATATATACTTCATATTTACTTTGACTACTTCATTATAAAAGCATCTATATCTGGCATTTGACTTTAAAGACGCTAGGGCCGGAATTAATCCCTTCATATCGGGGTTACCCTCCATTTTGAATACGAATTACGCTCTATTGTCTCAACGATCAACTGATGCATAAATAATTGAGTTTAACAAGGTACGGGGCGAGAACCTTGACAGTCAAGAACAAGATCTCTCCAATGATATTCGACTAATTTGCGATGATTGATAAGATCTTGGAAGGATACTGTAACAAAATATTCTTGAGGTTCTTCTGTTGACTCTTATTAAAAATAGATCTATCTAAAACATAATAATATGATCCCGAAAGTCTGCTAATCTGACGCAACAATTGCCGCCAAGAGTGTCCATGATCCGTCAATTCACAGTTGGGGATCCTCAATGAAGAGGAGATCTCTTGTTACGCAACATTCGGGAAGGGGCCATCACAATTAAGCTCATTTACGAAAACAAAGTGTCCGTTTGTGACTCTCAAGAGCGATATTCAAATTATGAATCCATTCGGGATGGCAGGTGGGATTACTGTATTTTTTTGAAATGAAGCCTGCAATTACCCCGAGCAGAGATTGGGCACTAAAATTATGATTGGATAGATACGGTAAGCTGTTCATTAACATATTTTGGTGCCCCAGATTCCATGAGATGTGGAGTGGGAGCGGAGTCGTCAGTCATGCCCTGGATCCGACAAAAAAGTTTTCGAAAAAAACCGTTAAAAGCGCGGTGGTCGATGCACGGGGATGACTTTGACTTTCCCAGCCCTTCTTTGTCGCTTCGAGGCCATACATCCCCATTACATTAACCTCTATCTAGCCTCTCTTTAAAGTTGTCGTCGCTTCCGAAATTAGAATAACCTTCCTAATGATTTTAAAAGCGCCTCCTCATTTCGAAAGGAGAAGGTTGAAAACCAAAAAAAAAACATGAATAAGGCATTTAAAAGAATCGTAAGTTCCTCACCGGTGTCCTGGGACATACCTCTTTGGGTAGGCATGGCGTTCTGATCTTGTTCTTGGCACGGCTGGAGCTGGAAATGGCCCAGACCTGAGACCGAGGCCCCGAGGTCCGTGAACTGACTCAGCTCGTGCTTCGAATGCCCGAAGTCGTTCTTGGGAACGGCCGAATTCTCGGTCTCCTCTTGATTGGAATGCATCCAAAGATCGAGCCCCTAAGGCAACAATTAAGCCGAGAGATATGAATCGTCTCTGAAAATGGAAATAAAGAAAAGGTACTCAGAAAACAACATTTAAAAGCGTCAAACATACAACATTAATAACTTCGTTGAAGATGTTATAATACTGAAATAAGACTTGACTTGGATCGAGGTATCGATGGGCTTACCTTGATCATAACTCGAGAGAACGAAGACGGGGCCAGAAAGAAAATGGACAACGATGTGAGAAGGAATATGGGGAGGAGAAGGAATATAGATTCGAGGAGTTGAGGCGTAAAATCAAATGATTCTACTAAACCGAGCAACAACGCGAGAGTCCAAACTAATCAGGCGTTAGCATAATGCTTTAGAAAAGCCGGAAAGTGAGGGGGATGGTGGTGGCGACGCCGGGAGTGCTGTTACTGGCACTTGTAGAATATTTGGGGTTGGCGGAAGGTCGAGGAAAGGGGCCGATGCCTGAGGCCGTCTGCTGATGACATCGGCATCAATTTGTCAGTCGGATCCCCACCCGATCACATTTCTTGCGCGTGTGACTTAACTAGTGATCCCCGCGTTCATTGGATGCCCCACAACGATGGGAGGGGCGGTCCCCCGACAAAGAAGGAGCAGATCCGAGTTCCCCAAAAGAAAGGAAGGAAGTGTGGCCCCATTTGTGGCCGTTTCTCCTCAACAATTTGGGCAGGTAAGGGCTCCTCCAAGTATACAATTTTCGCATCCTATAAACGGAAAAGGCCGCCTTGACCTTTTCCTTGGGCCAGATAAATGGCTTGGCCAAATTAATTCAATGGACTAGATCAGGCCGGATAACACCGTTCCCCCAGGGACTGCCCGACTAATGGGCATAAAGAGGTGTCAACGGAAAGGAAATGTAAATGAAACAGCCCGAGGCATGGCATTCGGGTTTACTCGCCCCTTGGAGAGGAGAGTAACCGATCAGTCAGTTTATAGTTTTGTTCGGAGTCAGGTTAACACGTAGCAGAAGACAGGCCCTAAGGGTGACCAATCCCACACGCGACTCCACCGTACTCTGTTTGATTGCATTCCGAAAGCAGAGAGAGGAGGGGGGTCTGCTCTCGACCTTTTCTCCCTAAAAACATTCGAGAGAAAATGGAATCCGCCAGAGTCTGTTCTCTTCGATTGCTTTAAATTAATTATGGTATCCGCAAACAGTGTTACTGTCATTTCCGTTTCGACCCGACTTTTGTGCCGATTACAATTTACAATCATGTACCATAAAAGTTGCTCATAATCCCCGATCCAGACCAATCACATTCCCAGTGTTATTAGGACTCGGTGATTGGCAGCTGACCCCTCAGTCTCTGCGATAAGATGTAATCAAGAAACAAATGGGCGTCGAATTATTTCCGGTAGATCTTGATGGGGACGTAATTGTCGATGGCCCCGCATGTCCGACTTGTCGCGTACGCAATATTTTATATCAATAACCATCTCGTTGCGCGAGATTAAAATTGTTCGGGGAAAGTTAATCAAAAATTAATCCAACTAGGAATTATTAGCCAAAAAATGAGGACAGCCATAAATTCGTACTTAGATCCATCGACAAATATTGTTTCCATATCTGGCCACCGTTTGAGATTATTTTCAAAATATATAGAGTTACTAAAATCACCGTAATCCTGGACATTTTGTTTGCCTTTCGCTTCCCAAGTCCAATTAAAGAATTACAGGCCATCAAAGAGAAAGGCGGCTTGGCTAACAGGTAGTTCTCGAATCAGAGCACAGTCCACTGATGTAATTAACTCCCGTTTCGGCGCGACTTCGGCTCGCTTTTAGGCAGAGGATTAGCCGGAAATTTGCATGTAGCTTCTGAATACCACATGTTACATTGTTTGGGGGATTAGAGGGCCTGGAACATAAGGTCTGGACAATAGACTTGTAATGGATACCAACTTGGGTGGGAAGGGGGGATGCTGGTCTCAACCCGACAGTTAAAATAGGCGAACAAAGTAGAAAAAATAATAATATTACTCACAGAACCCAAACTTAGAGAAATCCCACCTTAAGTTAAAGGTCAAAAATTTGTGACTTCTGAATTATATGAGAAACAATGGCCTTTTCGGCCTGAAAAAAAGAGTTTGTTTAATAATTGGATAAGGAGAGGTCATGGAACTCGGTCATTGCGCGAAAGCGCGGATCAAGGGACACACCGGCAGGGCATCGAATATCAAAATTACAGAGGAAACGAAGCAAAACAAAAGGAGCGAGCTCTCGATTAATAAACAAAAAGAAAAACAACAAATTAATTACTGTAATGCCCTTAAAAAGTTCATCATAGTTAATTTGAAACTCGGTTGATAAGTAAGGCAACAGTAATCGATAAGCGCTCTCATCTTGGCCGGGATTAATTTCACGGCCATGGATGACTGACGCATCAAATGAACGGTGAAGATTCCTGTCACGGCCCCATGAACACGCTAGCCGGGGAGGGTGATACAACCCGAACGGCCCGTTTGACTAATTTGGCACGGCCAACCGGTCATTTCGGGCCAAGAAGTCGAGTGGAATCGGGACTGATCAGCAAAGTTAGGGACTGGCAAACTAAAACAATAACGCGTCGGCAGGCTTCACTTCACGCATGGGACAAACCCGACAAATGGGTTCGGCAAAGTCGGACTAGGAAGGGGCGGTCCCGGCCTTGGCCATGCTTCAATTGTCGCGAACAACCTCATCAACAACTTCATTCCACTTCCGGCCTCACTTGGCCACCTGTGTCCCCAAAATCAGACCGGAAGCCGGCTTACCGTAGCCTCTGACTCCTGGCTTCATCCAACTCCGAATTTGGAGTTGGCTTGAGGATTGGAGAGAGGACAAAACGATGACTTTAGAGTGGGGGTACTCGGATGGAGGCTACCATACCTACTACTCGCATATTCCCGCTCTATTATGGAGGTTCGTTAGAGAGAATCGGCATCCAAATCCAGTTAAAACAAAGCCCATGGATTACTGTACCGAATCAATTACGAAGGCCGTGTACAAACAGAGTAATAATCGGGGGATCCAACAAATTGGTGTCTCTCGCGAGGTCTCCATCCAGATTGACTGGATCCCGCCCTCCCTCGTCTGGATACGGTGATGGCCTCTTTCCCTGGATTGCGCCTTTTGTAATTTTCGTGAGAATACAAAATTTTTGGAGGGGAACCGGTCAGTTGGAAAACGCTCGCTTTCAAGGCGTTGGGAACGGAGGATTCATAAATCTACACCCATTTATTTATTATTCTTGACCTCAAGAAAATTAAATACTCGCCCCAGAATTCATGGGACGGAATTTATGACTTGAAAGACTATTTATGGACATTCCCAAAACCAATCTAAATTTGTCCATTTAAAAACAACATTTTTATATAACGACTTAATATTATAGATGAAACACATAAACTAACTCAAAGTCATCCAGACAACTGAACCCCGTAAAAATATATTAAGCTGATTCAGAAATGTCTCTTTAAAAATTTTATAAATACCACCAATGCCAATGCGCCAAATAATATATATTGTCAGAAAGAGAATTGCTTGCCGATTACCTAGATTAACAACTTTTTGCAACTTAGGAATTTAAAGTAGTAACGCCGTGTTAAAACCTAACTACTGGAAGTAAGAAACAGTAAACCTTCGGCGTTGCGTCTAAAGCGGCTGTACCTTCTAAGTAGTGGTGAATATGGTGGGTCTATATCTAACCTATATGGCATAACGATCTTGGGCTTTCGCAAAACTTGGTAGTGCCTATAACCGCACTATTAGAAGCTCTAAGAGATATAGTTTTCTGGCATAGAATATAGGTACAAGGCCAAATAAATATTCCCTAAAATTTACCTTTGTTCGACAGACTTTACGGGGGACTTTATGGGACGCTACAAAAAATGCCAGAGTAGATATTACCAAAGCAATAAATTCACAAGAAACTACAGCCATCCCAAGTACGAATAACGCCTAACCCAAGATTTTATAGTAAGCTGGGAAATTTCTAGGCCTCGGGATATTCATCACGACGAACGGAGATTTTTTTTATATTCTTGAAGTATTCTGAAAGGAGGTTCTTAGAAAATAGAATAGTTCCAATCAAAAATGTTGTGAAACGCTGTCCCATACATTTATACAGTTTTAATATACATTCAACCAGATCCGGGAATTTTGTATTGAAGAAAACACTTCGGGAAACTTTTGAATCAACCTAATATGTCATGGCTGAGGTGGCTAAGAAGGCATGGTCAAAGTGGAACTGTAAAATCAAAAGCTCGGTGCTCCAGTAATCTGGCGAATCTTCTCATAAGACACCCAAAAAGTGAGAGACCAAGGAGCCTGAAAGGTAAAATCAGTTTGAAAATTGAACTTCTTACCATCCTGACGTATGTCGGCAAGAAACCTCTGTATAACGCCCAAAAGCCTTCGGTCCGAACAATTATCCTTAGGCAATGAAGAGATCCTTTATATCGTCGTTTAAAAGCACTGAAGTAATACGTAAGTCACTACAGTTTGTAAAATACCTTCCACCATCGAATTCTTGCCGTATCTGATCCATAATCCTGGTCTTCACCACATCAGCAGGTGTTGAGACAATAGCCGCAGCCAGTCCCGACGAAGCACTAGCACAAACATGAGTCATCCAATTATCTTCGAGGCTAGTGTTGTCAAGGATAAAACGTTTTGTACGATCATAAGTTGCAAGATCTGAAGCATGATCGTAAAAATTCGAGGAAAGAATATTCCTGATATCCGCTATCACTGTGTTAGGCATGGCTCCGGGCCGGGCTTTCCAAATTTTTCCGGCCCAGTCCCGGGCTTTGATTTTTCGGAAGCTCTCAAAGGAATGGCCGAATTTGAAAAAATCACACGAAAATATTGCAAAATTACAAACAGACAACAATGTTTCCGGTCTTCCTCCAGAAACAGTAAAATAGAATACCAAAACTTTCTTGGAATCCAAAAAAATCGGCTTAGACGTTTTTCACAGAATGAAAATGTTCCTCTCAATACTTAGGCAAGAAATGCAGCCCGGATTGCATTTGTTAGCATAACTTTCGACATGCTTACCAGCCATATTCAGTAACGCAGCACGCTGACAGTTAGGTACCCACCCAAGCCAGAGTCCTCTGATCCCATTAGTTCTATATAAATGGAGAAACGCATCAAATGCCCCCTTATATCTGAAAACGTTATATTAAAATAAGTACACCTACCTTGGAGGAAGTCCTTGTCTCTTCCGCAGACCCTCTGTTTGCATTTGAACTTTGACCAAATCGGCTGGACTGGAAACAAATTGGCCCACCGCTCCAGATACCAATCCAGAAATTAGGGCTTTCCTGAAGGCTCCCAGATATCTGGCTAAGACTCTAACTCCCTTACCACACTGGAAACCTCTTCTCCTTTTTGGGATCGTACCAATTATTCCGTATTAATTCGTAAAGCCCTGTTCGTACACCAGTATAAACTAAAATCATTTGACTAGGAAAACATCAAATGTACTCACCATAATGCCTACAAATCGCCGGCCACACTCCCAACCACAAACTTGACATACCCTCCTTCTTTGCTATGTTATAACTCATTCGAATCATACTTCGTCGCCTTCCCGTCGTTCTTGTAGACACTTGTAGCCTTGTCTTAGTGATGTCCAATGGGTATGTAACTAAAGACATAAAAACGAGCAGCACTAATACTTACCTGTTTCGGCAAAAGTTGCCGCTGTGCAAGAAAGCCCATATTTGATAACAAAAGCGAAGATTGGATGATTCGGCTGAACTGTTACCGTGGGCTGTTGGGACTGCATGACCACCATCTTGAACTAGACCATCAAACCCTACTGAACACAAGTGCGGTCACCCCAGAAATCCGGAAGTTATTAAAAAAGGTCCATCGAGCTCCCGTTTGTTTTTGGCATACCGTCACAGACAATCGGGGGTGGTCAGCGGTCACCGGGCCGGCCCAAAGGGGCTGCTAGCCTTTAATCATTGAAACACCCTTGTCAATCACCATGGAAGGTCTCAAAACTTTTTCGTACTCGTAACTTGACTTATTAACCGCTTCCTGTTATTAGAATGGTTGTAATATTATAGTTTCCCGGGCTTTTGGCAAAACGGAGAAATCCTTGGCATTCCGCAACTGTAAAGAGTTTAATTATCAAACTCATCAAATATGGTGTTTTCGAAGCATAAAATAGACCTGCTATAACACGAAAAACTCACTGTTAGGGTCTAAAGCTTTTTTCTGTCAAGATTTTACTCGATACTAGGCTAAGTTACAATTTTTCTCATTTATCCAAGACGCCAAAACGGTTATTTAACAGTACGCCAAATGTTTGTTTTCGTGGCGTGACGCGGCGAGAGTTCCGTGAAAATACGTTGTATGGGATCTCGAGGGCGGACCTCAATAATTTATTTTACGGGCTGGGTTATACTCGTCCATTCCGGGACGTTCGACTTTTTTTTATACGGTCTTGTCAACGGGTTTTTGCTCTGTGAACCAAAAGGATTAACAAACAGTAAACTGATCAAGCCACCTTGACCTGAAAAAGAAACACATTTTGGACTCTCTCTTGCAATTTTGAGGATTTCATTTTAAAGATGATTGATTTTGGTTTTGCTGGTACAACACTTGTTATTCTATTGGTTTGTCTCGTTTCTTCTCCTTTTTTCCCCTTCGATCCGTTCTTTTTTTCAATCGTGATGTGCCGCGATTTTTTTAAGCCTATTGGAATGTTTTGAATAAGACTTCGGTTGATAAGATTTGTGTTGCGTTGCAATTTTTTTTTCTATTATTTGTTTTCAGGTCTCCAAGACGAATGAAAACACTAACAATTATATCAATTTTTGGATTAACCTTTGCTTTCTCTCAGTATGTGTATGAATATTCCCATGCATCTTTTAACCCTCTGAATCGAGTAAAAAGGGACTTCTTGGATTCGGAATGGACTGAAAAATTACCTGAAGATATTTCAGTAGAACCGGATTCTTCGGTAAGTAAATTCTATACGAGTTTTTATTTTTTAGACGAACCACACCTACTATAAGATGCATATTTATTCAAATCGGACCGATCTTATGTCGCAGTATTATATTGACGTCAAAAAATGGCTAAACAGTTCGGTTCCTGGTTTAAATGGAACAGAGAATCACGAGCATCTGGACGGTGCTTACCGTAAGGCTGCCGGTGCAAATATTGGATTCGAATTTCCATTCTACGGTCATGAGATGGATAATTTGACCGTAGCGACAGGTGGATTCTGTTATGTGGGGGATCAGACCCATAGCTGGCTTGCGGCGACACAGTATATTGCTCCTTTGATGGCCAACTTCGACACTACGGCTCCCAATTCGGTGATTATGTATGCCACTAACAGCTCTCGCATGGTTATCACCTGGGAATCTGTGCGTCTGAGAGACAATCCAAAGGCCGGAAATTGGACCTTCCAGGTTTCTCTATTCAAAAACGGAGACATATGGTTTGTATACAAAGATGTAAGTTATTATTGTAGTTTTAATACTCGTTTAGATCCCTATTCCTGTTACTTTGATCAGTGATAACAATCATCCTTGTAAATTAGGAATCAGTGATGCTTACTTGTTCACACATCAATATGGAGATAAAGGTGGGTTTTGAATTTTTGTTACCTAAAACTCTTTTTAGCTCCGATTCAAACAAAGAAAGTGATCCATGAATACCATAGGATCGTGGTTCCTCCGGAGAAAGTGGTCAATAACACCATTATTGTTCTCGAAGCATTGCCAAGTCCGTTTTTCTTGTTTATTTATCTCATTTTTAAACATGTTTGATCATCCTAGTTTTAGCGTGTTTGCAATTCAAGACTTGTTCTGATTGTTCTTCGGGGAAATTGACTAACTTCAATTGCTCATGGTGTGCCCCTAAGCAAAGCCATATTGAACCATTTTGTTCTGATTTTGCTGGGTAAGTTTTATTGTTTTGGTTTGTATTATTTTATGTTTAGACTTCATCGACGTCGCCAGCATTGGGTGGAGGGAGATTGTGCCCGAACTCCAGCTCCTGATCAATGCAGCCCTCGATCAACAACAATGGAGCCTTCAACCGAACCGTCAGTCACAGCCCCGGCTGTGGATATTGAAGAGTTCCACCAAAAACAGACTGGTGGGTTTGGTACTCGTATTAGTAATAATGATCTAGGCGTGGAAACGAGGAAGTCTGGAGGCTTTGGACGTATTCTTTTCGCAGTATTCATTCTTTTCTTGATCTCAGCCTGTGGTTGGATAGTTTACGCTTTCTATAATCCTCATACTCCGTCAGGACAGCTACTTATTAAGGTTTGTTTTTTTTACTGAAATCAGTTAACTATTCTTCTAAATTACATTTCCATTTCTTTCGCAAAATTACTAAAATTTAACGCTTGACGCCTGTTTTAATGAATGCTTCTCTTTAGTACCGACCTTCTAAATGGCAGATCCCAAGTAGCCATGTCAGGTACAGCGCTTCAGTCCACATGTGACTTAAAACTCTTTCTTCAGCGGGTAATCAACTAATCAATACTCATCTTCTCAACTTTATTTAAATATTTTGTATAGTCCCAGTGGTCTTACGATGATTTGGCATAATAAAAGGCCTTTAAATGAAAGAGTTTCGATTTATTTATATTCCCGTCGATTTGAGAGCTGAAGGTAAGTGGATCAAGTCAGAAGACAATATTAATTTAGCAGAAACAGATTCGAGCAGAGAAACAAATTAGACCGCAAAATTACTAAACAAAAGCAGATTATTATTGACTTAGAGGCATGTGAGATTACTCGTCAACCTTGCGGACAACTCGTTTCCTTGGTTTTGGACTTTTACTAGCTTCCTTTTCCGCTTCACCCTTCTGGATCTCTCCTTCTTCCTCCACATCGTCTTCCAACTCTCCCTCCTCGGGTTCGGCATCTTCTGGTTCATCTTTCTTGGTCTCAGTATAAGTAGGTTGAGATTTGTGGCCGAAGAAATAAGCGGATAAAGCGATCACTGGTATCAGGACCACCAAAATGTAAACAGCCCAAAGATATGGCTTTTCATTTGTGGCGTCGACGAGATTTTGGAAGAACCCGACGTTTGGAGATTCAAATCGTTCCAGGGTTTCCTCGTACTTCTTCTTGACTTCAAACGTAGCAGCAGCGAATTCAGCAGCCAGCGCTTCATCGGACGTGATCAGAATGTTATCGAAGATTATGTTTTTGTCGATGGTCCACAATTCGAAACCAAGCGCAGTAATGGTTTTTAGTTGTTGATAAGGATTTGCCTCGAAATAGTTCGGGTTTTTGATGATTCTAGGGAACCATTTTCCCTTGAAATTTGGGTTGGCAATTTTTGGAGGAGACCAAGGACCCTAGAAGATTAAAAATCAGACCGTTTTAGTTGATCACAAAAAAATCTTACTTTGTACGCTGGGTTGGGAATAATTGGTTTCTCCCATTTTCCACAACCACTAACCCCCTCACATTTCGGATTAGCCAGCAGCTTGGGCTCATATTCTCCATCCATTTCGTCATCCCAATCCTCTGGCTTCTGAGCAGTAGGATCTGGGACTAGAGGTTGCTCATCTTGAAGCCAATCAGAAGGTTTTACAGCATTCTCATCAACGATCTCTTTTGGCGCAGCTTCGTCCCAATCGTCGGGTTTCTTGGCTTCGGGATCATTGATAAATTCCCTTTCATCCCAATCTTCTGGTTTCTTATCATCGGGATCAGCGATTTCTTCTGGAGGTTGGACCGGCGGTTGAAGATCCTAAAAGCAAAACATTCTAGCTCGGAATTGTTATACTCACCCTCATCATACTTCCATAATAAAGTGAGTTCCCATCCAAAAGAACTTCATAATCGTTATTTTTTCTCAATTTGAGGGTAAAAAGATGAGTTTTCTTGTCGGTAACATCCGGAATATTCTTTGGTTGAGGCGCGTGGTGCTCCTAAAAACTCATCAAGGCAAGGGCCAACCTACACTGACAGTTCCGTTAATCGGGTTTGCGACCTTTAAAATGAAATGGATCTTGCTTTGAGGCCCACATTTATCTGGACCAAACATAATGGTGTAGTCAGTTCGGTCAGTGAAGCTAGAGATGTCCTTTTCCGCTCCTTCGGACAACAATTTAACGTATCCCCCACCGCATTCTTGTCCTTCCTCATATTTGACCTCATACTGGATCACAATCACATCATCTTCAAACTTAACGGGCTTTTGAAGGATGGCAGCAATTGCATGATGCCGAGCTTTCGATCGAACAATCAATCCGAGGTCTCCCTCCAACACTATCTTCGATGGAGAAGCAACTTCCCAGATACCATCATACTTAGCCAACGACTCATCTGCACCTTCCTTCTTAGCTTGAGATTTCTTCCAAATTGTGTTAAACCCGTCAACTTCTTCGAAAACTTCAACAAAGTGGACTTTTTCAGATTTCAATTGAGGTATTTCGAATGTTCCAGGTTCAAATTTCTGTAAAAATAAAACCACAATAAATTTTTACTTACGGCTTCCTCTTCATTTCCTCGAGATATCGAAATTAATGAAACAAAAATGCCCAACTTTAGAATGGACTTCATGTCCACTAAAGCAGTCCAAACAAAAAAGATTTTTATTTTCCTCTGACCACTTTTTCGATTTACATCGGAAAGAGCACAATTTTGCGTGTTGAGACCAAAAATAAACTTAAAAATTTTACTTTTTAATTTTCAGCGTAAGATTACTGGCTTCTGTATGTATAAGATAAAAGCTCATTTGAATTTGCAAATCCAGGGAAACCCCTTTATATGATTCAAACGAAAATTGTGAATTTCATTGGCGCCTTTGAGCCCTGAGGAGAACAGATAAATGAAAGGAAAGAGCGTGCGGCCTTTCTTTACGTGGAAACGTTCCCCCACACTCTCGACCACGCACAGCGGCGTTTTCTCTTTTATTTTTAGAAGAATTTTTTTCTTCCGACGTTCCAAGCTATTAACTGATATTGGATATTATGATCGGCGCCATCACAAATCCGGCTCAGCAGCCATTCTTGGCCACAGGAAATGGAAATGGAAACAAGATGAATCTAAAGGTGGAAATCCTCGAGAATCTGCTCAAAGCCAGTGGGGATGGGAATTCAGCTAAGATAAATTCGCTGAGACAAGCGATCCAGAGGAGTAAAACAGATATGGCAGAGAGCTTGGCTGATTCTCTGGATCTCCTGAGGCAAGTGTTCCAATCGGAGATGACTGAGGAGATCAAACAAGTAATCGACCGGCATTTGAGGACAACGTTCGCTCCGGCATTCGAAAATCTAAAGCGTAATGGGCATTCGGTAAGCTTTAAAAACATTATCTGCACGGATTTGTATTTTTTTGCCATTTATAGGACATTTCTCGTGATTGTATAAATGAGTTGTGTTTAAACATACTCAATGGGGCCAAAGAACCATTTGTAGCCAAGCCAGATCCAAGTGTCAAGACGTGTATCCCCTCAGGGTCCCTTTTGAAAAGAAGAAAAGACAATGTAGATGATGACAGGAAATACGAAAGTGACGAAAACGAGAGTGATACCAGCATGGCTAGCTTCAGTACAAACAGGACGAACACTGGACGAGGTACTTTATTCAGTCTGTTGTAATACATATACTGTTCGCGCCATTCTAAGTCCGTAAAATGTGCACGGTGCGTTTTTCTCTTTTTCTTCGCGCGCGCGAAAAAAGCGAAATTCATTTTTTCGCAAGCGTAAATGCGAAAACTCCGCGACGTCAACGAAAAAAATCGCGTCCCTACTTTTCATGTCAACACTTCGGGGTCAACAATACCGTTTCATAGGTAATTGAGGCTGCTGATTTCGAATATCATATTCATTTTATCTGAATGTTACATTTTTAAACGGTAATTGATGGTGCTCATTTCGAACATAATCATTTGTGTTTTTAAATGTTACAATTTGGCTTAAAAAGTGAAAATTATTAAAATTTCTTGAAGAGTCGTCGTCGTCGTCCTTAAAAAAAGTTGTAAAATTGTGATAACACGAATAATCGAATATAATATTATTATATTCGAACAGTCGATTACCCCTAAATCCACTATCAAAAAATCCAAGAATTACATTTTTACATTATTCGGTAAAATAAAATTGTAACGTTCAGATAAAATTAATGTGATATTCGAAATCAGCACCCTCGATTACCTATAAAATGCTACCGTTGACCCGAAAAGGCGCAAAATTGTACGGACTTTATGGCGGCAGTTGCATAATATCCTTGACTACAGATCTTGGAAATCTCTCGGATTCACAGCGGCCAAAGAAAAGGGGACGGCCAAGGAAAGTCAATGTAGATACCGGACGTTGCGGAACTCCCATCTTGAAGGGGACCACTCCAGTTTCATTTTTGGAAGTTTGTAAAGTAAGCGTTTTGAAATTTTAAACATAAAAAAGATGCTGGGATGACTGACTCTTACTTTACCACAGGTGAAATTTTGACAATATTTGCAAAGAAGCGAGTTACGTATTTTTCAGTGGAATCCTGATCGTATAACCCCGGAAGTGAAGTTTGTTTTGGGATCAAAAGTCAGCAAACTTTTGAATATGGGACATCGGGGACACATCTTTGTGAAGTACCCTAGGGTCTTCAGATATGTGTGTGATGATGAAGACAAGACCTGGTTGTTTGACAGAAATATTTCCACCAGAATGAGCGGGAAGGTGTTCTTTGTTGTATTGGAAGATGCCCTGGAGATTGCAACTCTTGAGAACGCTCCGTAAGTGTTTATAATATACGGAATAATGAATATCAACTATCATTTCCAGGTTGAATATCCAATCGGAATTTTACCGCTATGCTTTCCACGTTCCTGAAAGGGTGATGTTAAAGATGAAGAAGTTGATGTTTAAACCCTTCGAAAGTCTTAAGACTCGAGTTGCCCAGACCGCCTCCCCAATGCAGATGTCCCCCTTGTCGATGAATTCGATCAACCGTCCCTTCCCCACTACGCCCAATCTTAATTTAAATCTGAGTAGTATGATTAATATGATCCAACCTCAATCCGTAAATCCCGCTGGGGCAAACATCAGTCGACTGATCGAAGATGACAAGTCGTTTCCCTTTAATTGATCTCGGTTTTATTAATAAGATTGAATAAAAGATTATACGTTTTTACTATTGCATCTTTTCGAACGCTTTTTAACAACAAGTGGAGAGCTACATATGATTCTGGGCGAGGGATCAGAGAGGAAGCTCAGGAGGTCGGTCACGGTATGAGAAGCGTACTCAAGCGTCTTCTGATGGCCGATAATCGGTGTCGACGCTGGAGACATAAGTCCAAAACTTTTTTGAGTGCTTTGACAAGAAAGACATCTTCCGGTAGTTATGCGGTCCCCTTTCCCTTTTCGGAATGATATGCAACCGTTTCTCTTTCTTTCCGAGATTTAAGCACTATTGGACAAAGGTGCTATGGATGAAGCCTTCTGAGCATTAGGGGCTCGTTTGTTCATCATCATCTTCTCCTGGTCTTATGATGCCTCAATCGGAGCGAGTTGGAGCAATTTGGAGGGAGAATGAGAATCACGTAAAGAGTCAGGATGGTAAGTTATCAGGAAGGAGGGGATGACGACCTCTGCTTCAGTCTCTTCCAACAACTCCTTTCGGCCCAACTTTACCAGTATCGCCGAGTTGGATACCGACAATAACAATGTGATCTCCAAACCATTAATAATCCCGCGACAAGATGGACTCGAGCCCGCGGGGCCGGAGAGGGAACAGTGGGCTGGAAAGGTGGACTTCCTTCTGTCAGTCATCGGGTTCGCGGTCGATTTGGCAAATGTGTGGCGTTTTCCTTATCTTTGTTTCAAGAATGGTGGAGGCGCTTTTCTGATTCCTTACACCTTGATGCTCGTTTTGGCCGGCATTCCCTTGTTTTATATGGAATTGGCACTTGGCCAATATTACCGGAAAGGGGCCATTTCGACCTGGGGACGGATCTGCCCGTTGTTTAAGGGCATCGGATACTGTGTGATCATGACCGCCTTCTACACTGACTTCTTTTATAACGTCATCATCGCCTATGCCCTCCATTATTTCTTTTCTTCATTCAGACCGGAACTACCGTGGACCTCTTGCAAGAATGATTTCAATAGTCCGGCATGTTATGAGCCGAGTTGGAATCGAGATCTTGGCCAAGAATGTAGTTCGACACCCATCTTCCTCAACTCCTCTCACAAATATCTCAAGCCAGTGTCAGCGGCCGAAGAATATTTTTAGTAAGTGGTCGTAATTAATGAAAAATAAGTATTCAGCAAGGCTTTTCTTGGTGTCCATGCGACCAAAGAGCCAAATGCCCATATAATCAGAAGCATGACAGAGCTGGGGGATATGAATTGGGGTCTGGTTGCTTGCACTCTGATCGTCTATCTTATATGTTACTTCTCTCTTTGGAAGGGCATCTCCACATCAGGGAAGGTTGTCTGGTTTACAGCGATCTTCCCTTACGTTGTACTCGGCATTCTATTGATCCGTGGTGTTACTCTTCCCGGCTCTTTGAAAGGAATCCAGTATTATTTGACCCCAGATTTGGAAAGACTAAAAGAACCCGCAGTTTGGCAAGATGCGGCCACTCAGATATTCTTCTCCTTGGGCCCTGGATTCGGAGTTTTGATGGCCTACTCGAGTTACAATGACTTCCATAACAATGTCTACTTGTAAGTTGTAAAAAGTACTGTATTATTACTCTATGGCGTATTAAAATCTGTGCTTTCAAGCGATGCTTTGCTCACGAGTCTAATTAATTGCGGTACCAGTTTTCTGTCCGGGTTTGTGATATTCTCGGTAAGTGGTCTTTTTTATTTTTTCCATATGTGAACATGTTATCCAGGTACTGGGTTATATGTCTTGTAAAAGTGGAAAGCCAATCCATGAAGTCGCTCAAGAAGGTCCTGGCCTCGTCTTTGTCGTTTACCCTGAGGCATTGTCCACAATGCCCGGCTCCCGATTCTGGTGTATCATCTTTTTCTTGATGCTTCTGACGCTAGGATTGGACAGTTCGGTAAGTTCAGTGCAATTTTAAAGTCAACCTTCAGTTCGGCGGATCCGAGGCTATTATAACTGGGCTCAGCGATGAGTATCCGATCCTAAAAAGACATCGGGAAGTGTTCGTGGGATGTCTCTTCTCCTTTTATATGATTGTAGCATTATTTCTATGTACAGAGGTAGGTTAACAAAGCACGAAAAGTAACAATCGAAGGGGGGCATTCTGGTAATGGAATGGCTGATTGTTTATGGGACCACCTGGGGTCTTCTGATAGCTGTCTTCACGGAAGCCATGGTCATCTCCTTTATCTATGGGATCGACCAGTTCAGCGCTGATATCCAGGAGATGATGGGATTCCGGCCAGGCTGGTATTGGCGTCTTTGCTGGAAGTTCTTTGCTCCAATTTTCCTTTTAGTAAGCAATAGATTGCTAATTTTCGATGAGAATTTGTATCATGTTTAGGTGATGATTATGAGTAGTTTCATCAATTATCAGCGTCATCAGTATCAGGATTATGTATACCCCGACTGGGCGAATGCTCTAGGAATAACGTTTGCTCTGACCTCAGCTTCGGCTATCCCCATTATGGCTGTGATCGTGCTCATCAAGCAGAAGGGAGATAGCTGGTCTCAGAAGTTGACCAACAGTCTGACCCCAGTCAAACGACAGCTCGCCAGAAATGAACATCAAACTCAGTTAAACGCAAGTGACGTCATGCTCTGAGCTGGGGAATTAGGTGAATGAGAATTGCTTTTACTCGAATAAATCTCTTGATCACTCATTTTATAAGCAGAATAAATAAATAAATAAACAATTATGTCAACTAAGTTTTCAGCTCGAGTGTCCTCACAAAACGCCGTTTGCACCAGAAGAGGATGGTGATACTCATGAGTAACAGGTTGATCAGGGTCACCCCCACCAAACTGATCACCATTGTCCATTCAGACCTCCGTTCCGAGATCTGGACAGGACAATCGGCCAGCTTGGCAAAGTTGTCATCCACCACCATCAAGGGCTTTGTGAACACATCCAAAGTATCGGCCGGATCATACCTCGGCCCGGGGACCAGATCTCTCTTCGATTTCCGACGACGTTGATGATCGTGGATATGAGAATGGGCTTGCGTTTCAGGACATTTGGGTGGAGTTATGCCTGCACAACCTCCATCGTATTTCAGACATAGTGTTAGTTGACATTGGAATTGGAGAACCGGCCGGTCCGCGTATTTGAAGACGTGATACGGTTTGTGAGCCAACCGCAAAGACTGGTCGTAATCGGGAGTTGAAAGTAAAACTGCATCAAGACCACATCTAAATAGATTAAGTGATCAGAAATTAATCTGAGCTCAGTTACCCATTGGCATCGATTATATCCACTCGATCTCCGAAACCGTTATCCACGTAACAAGAGTGTACCAACATTCCAAAAGTGTCCTTATTATTCTCTTCTATGCATTCCCATCTATGGTACACACTCTGGCCAAGAGTGGCATATTGAACAATGGGGCCATTAGGGTGGTCTTTCCTCAAGGTGTACTCACAGACTGGCATTTGGTAGACCTTTTCTCGAAATTGGGTGGTAATCATGCTGGAACCAAAGAGATCAAACGAGTTTCGAAGAGAGAGGAGAATCTCGACTCGTTCCCGAATTATTCTTACCTCACTTCCATGGGGACAGAAACTGGTTTCTCAGCCTCCATGTAGAAGCATTGGATTTTCACCATCTGATCTACTTTGGTCATAAACACTGAATGGAACATAAACACGACTGTCATCTCGACGAAAATGCCGCGGGGATTTAACTGAAAACAAAATATTTTGAACAGGAATCGGGAATGGAAATGACGTCAAAGGATTCCATCAAAAAATGCTCACCGAACGATACCGGTGCACATTGCAATTGTTGAATGGAATGGTTATTCCGATACTCTTGGAGTCGGAGAATTGTTCTGGCCCTGCTCGGCATTCTTCTTGATGGAAATGGTCGGCGACGAAGACGTAGCCATCAAACGGTTTCTTGGTCGACGCCCTCACTCCAATCCTATCTGGAGCACAGATAATATCCGGGGTTCCGGGCCCTGCAAATACATGCACGATGATATAAAACTCTCCACAACAAAGAATATTGACTTTTTTTCATTAACCAAAAATTATCTCACGAATTATTGACTTTAAAAATAAATCAAACATACTGAATTCAGTCTTGCACATGTCCCATGTCAAAGAATCGGCCAGTGACTTGTCGAGTTGTTCAAAAGACTCCACGGTAAATACCCTCAGGGCATTCCCAGTTATCTAAAGTCTTATAAAATCGTCCAGAATTTCCCTACTTGATGAAGCTGATGGACATTTACAAGATTCGTGACACCAATTGCATATACCATCACATGGGCGTCCTTCAATCGTTGAGCAGCTTCAGCCACATCATCTTGAGATTGGCCATCAGTGACAACGATCACAACCTTGGGGACATGTCCCCCTCTAGCCCCTTGGAATCCATTCTCCAGGGCCAATTGCAAGGCTTTGCCGGTGTTCGTAGCGCCGCTTTGATATTTTATTCTTTGAATTGCCCAATCCAACTAAATGCACAGTACAGCCGATCCAAAATATTTTTTTCAAGTTTTACCTGGTTGGGGTTGGTATACTGACTGAGTGAGATCTCGAGTTGAGGTGTTTCCGAGTACTGAATTACAGCCAGATGGCTTCCTTGGGCCGAAACGTTTAATCTGTTCGCAAGATGAGATGCAAAGTTGAGTTGGAGTTGGAAAGTGTCACCTCCCACGGACCCCGAGGCATCCAACAACAAGACCAGATCAACCGAGTTGTTGTTAACACATTCCTTCACCAATTCAGAATCTATCAATCCATTGTCAACATGAACAGCCAAGCCAGGCTTGAGGCCGAGCAAAAACAAATAACTCTAGAAGAACGCCATGAATGGGGCCAGAGGACTCACCAGAACCACTAATTGTAGCACCTCTGCCGGATTCATAGCATCTCTGTAAACGTGTTAACAAACAAAAATATGAAACATGGAAGAGGCCGTTCGACGATGAAGATAAGGGATCACTGTTCCAGTCTCGTCTCTCCTCCCAAGATCAGCGAGAAAAGGGAAAAGTTACGATGATCCCCAGAGCAATTATTCTTGATAGAACGAGTAATCAGAATCAAAAAAAAAACCGGCGCCTCCGAAAAAATGAAAAAGTTGTCAAGGGATCGGACTGCGGATATTGGTGGGGAACCTTTGGCTTCTGATATAAAGGAAGGCGCTAGATCCAGCGAAACAGATCACTGATGGATCGTCGACCTAGATCGAGGAATGCATAAAAACAGCTTTATTTTGGAGTGTAAATCCATAACATCAGTCCAGCTAAGTTTATTGATCTAATCAGATTGGTGCGAGTGTGGTAGTAACAATATATCATATCAGTCAAATAAAAAACAACCTGACGCGAACCCGGATGATCCAAAAAGTAGAAAACAAAGGGAGAACAAGTGAATCAAGGAACCGGCTGGCTAAGCTGAGGAAAGGACACCGGCTTGACGCTGGCTTTTGTTACTGTAGCTCAATGCGTGCCAAAACATACTTGCAAATATTGCAGGCTATTAAAAACGGACAGTTAAAAATCATATATGACTAAATCTAAGACCACAAAGGCCAGACAACAAGTGACAATACTCTAACCGACTCTTTAGACTATAAAGTTAGACTTTATCTACAATATAATGAGTTGAAAAGATGTTCTAGAAGATCTGAACGCATTTTGACCAGTCTTGTTTTTCTTTACATGACCAGTATTGATTCTTGTATACATGGATAACAGAACCCGTACATTCATCCTGCGTCTTTTCAAACCATGACGGTTCATATTCAGGATACGCCTTTCCTAAAATCATGCTCATGAGCCAAGGAAACAAAAATTATTGTTACAGTTCCTCCTTTCCCTACCTTCCCGCATGGCTTGTTCCGCTTCCTGTTCCCTGATCTTCCTCTTGACCCTTTGTTTCTCCTCCAATTTTTCCTTTTCCTCGTTGGCTTCGTCCCATTTCCCGTCTTCCATAAGTCGTTGATCAGGTCTTAATCGGGAATCGGTGGGGGCGACACCTTCCTCTGGTTCATTCAATTCTATCGCCAATTGAGTGAAATTGTGCATATTCTCACTATTCGGACTAAAAAATACTTCAAAACACCAATAATAACGTACTATGGAGGATTCACCGTCCACAATCTCTGAGAACATCCCGTTCCGAGGCTGTTCTTATCACTCTTGGTCACCTTGGCCAGATCAATGTGCTTGTCCCAATGTCCTTGGACCACAAAGCGAGGGTTTCCGGACGCATCCTTAATGATTCCGCTCACTTTTCTTGCTTTATCCGGAGAGAAATAACTGTAGGCATGGAACTTAATGACGCCCTTATCCTTCGTATTATGGTTCTCAATCACCATTTCTCCATGGTTATCGATCCACAACTTTCCAACTATAATGTTATGCACGGTGGTCGTAATCTTCCGGTAAGTGTAATGATTATTAGAATTCTTGAACTTGATATGTGTGAACCCAGTCGGTGTTACTGATAAATATTTTCCCCGGAATCTGGAGGTCATGTTAAAGTCCTGGAACATTACCCATTCGCGACCTTCAGCATGATGAGCTGTGGCTGGAGGGTGATGTGAGACCTGCAATCAAATGACTACAGTAGAGTGGGCGTGCAATAAGACGTTAGTTTCCTCCATTTTGGCATTATATACCAAGCCCACCTGTTCCACTTGAAAGTATTTTCACCTTGTAAATTTGCTTTGTTTTACAGAATTAGCCGAGAAAGTGATGCGCTTATAGGGATCTGCCAACTTTGGTTGAATTAGACGGTGTCATCATAAGGAAAACCCCAATACCGTGCTTTTCAGTGGTGTTTTACAAAACGCATTTTTTAAATGAAACCGCAATTTTTGTTACTGATTAGAAAACATTGCCCACCACCAACATTCTCGTATAACTCTAGGCGCTCTTATTTTCTTTATCTGACGAAACTCGAGGGTGAACTCTGGATTTTTATTTCTAAGGGACGCCTCACAGGAATCGGCAAATACTTGTCAAGACGTTTCATAACGAAACCTATATCATTTGAAAGGGCAGTAAAAATAGTGTACAACGGAAAAAAATAGCTGTCCAATTTCCTTTAGGGCATATATGACTCCTTTTTAAAATGGGTCATACACGGCCGAAGCGCCGGTTTGCTATGTTACAGTAACACTGGCGGATTGAAATAGTTTCCGTTGATCTCCTAACACCTAAAAACGTTTCTGGTAGTCGTTTTATAGTTTTGCCAATCCTCGGTTCTGACAAGGGAATGGTGTGAATTGCCCGTGAGCCTTTAACACGAGACTTTGGTTGATTTTTGTATGCGCTTTCGAAAGACCGTACAAAATGTATTAGTTTTGGCTTAGAAATCATGTGTAGGCTTGGTATATAATGTCAAATGCCAAAAGTATTACCGGCAGTCATGTCAAATTCCAGGGTAATTGGCAAAACAGGGGTAGCTAAACGAAAAAAGTCGGCCGGTTAATACTTTTGGCCGCCTTTGTACTTCACAAACTATAGAAGTCAGATCCATAAAGCAAAATAGTCTGACCTGCTCTGTTAAGGACCACCAGCCTCGATCGGCCGTTCGATCACATTCGAAAGTCTCTCCCAACAAGGGATTAAAAGGCTTGGTCGTTCTATTCCCTGTAGTAGAATAACAGCTGATGGCATAAGCAGCAATGTAACACATCTGTTCAGCAGGGTCCTTGCACTTGGCTGCAGCGTCTAAGAGATCGGCATATTCAAGATCCTCTGTGATCCTTTGAAGAACTGACAGCGGTTCGTTAAAATTGACCTAAGAAGAGCATATTCAATATCTCTTTCAGCTTACGGGCATGGGGATTTTCGTAAGTTCTTTCCCGATACAGTTCTTCATAATCGACCAAAGATTCACGGAACATTGAGGTCTCGTTGGAATGGTGGATCGCCGTCTTTTGGAGGATTTAGGGAACGAAAACGGAGTAACTGCACCGTCCTCATTTGTCATTGACGCCTGAATATTACACCGCTTAACATAACATTTACTCCGTTCGAAAAAATAAAAAATAAAATTGCGCAAAAAAGAAAGCGAATTTGCTCATAACAGTCCTACATGGAGAATGCTTTCCCGCCGTGATTCCAAAAAGAGTTAAAAGCCCTGATTGAGAGAGGGGGCCTGCAACGAGACAGTGCACGAGGAGAGAGCCCCCTTCCAAATCTTTTCAATAAATATTCGACTTCCCTATAAGGTAATACTCCGATCATGATAAATAGATCATTTTAAACACAACTCCCATCAAAAATAGAAAACTTTGAGCCCCGTTTAGAATGTAATTCTTGTCACTCGACTGTAATTTTCTTAACCAGTTTTCAGAAACTTACAATACCAGAAGAGGGAACTTTCCGGGAGAATTGAGAGGAAGAATGACTGGCGGTGTCGGTATCTTCTAATACATTACTGATCCCCGAGGAAATATCACTGTTCTGAACTTCTCCATTGTCCTCAAAATCATCATTCATAGTTACCTCGAAGTCTGGTTCCTCGGGTGCATCGTGAAATATCTCGTCATCACTGTCATCATACGCTAAAAAGTGTAAAACTTCAATTTTTCAGATAAGTGAAACCGTTTCTGCTCAAAGCATAAAAAATATTTAGGATAAGTAATATCGTTTCTGCTCAAAACATAATAGGATAGGTAATATCCTTTCTGCTCAAAACTTACGAGATTTCTGCTGTAGATTTGAGGAAGATGGATTCAAAAATGCGGCGTTCTCCAAATTACTGTGCTGCTTGGCCAAGGTTTCTATCTGTTCCTGTAAGAGACACCGCTGATCACGTTCGTTCGTGAAGAGACGATATAAATCTTGAGTTCCCTTCTTATTTAATTCCACCAAATCTTCAAGGCTCTAAACAAGAAACTAAGTCTCCAATAACACTAACACACCTTCATCAAAGCCTCCATTTGTTCTTTTAAATTGATCATATGAGCCTGCACTTTTTTGTTTTCATAACCAGATAAAACATGATGTAAATCATTGTAGGATTTGCCTAAAAATTTAGCAAATAACCATTCCGATTCACAAATTTACCTACTCAAACTATCCTCCGACTTTCGAACTTCCTCCAGTTTTAGATTCAATGAACTTTTTATATCCTCGACCATTTTGTCCATATCTTCTTCCGTAGTGGCGTTATTACAATCCTCGTCGTCCAAATCGGCCTTCTTGCATGCCCTGTGGCGAGCGTACTCGAGAGCGTTTAGCCAATTATTCCTATCAATCTCATTGTTAGCCTTTAGATGAAAACTTTGGGAAGTTCCGCTGATTGTCTAAATCAATAAACCAGAATTCAGATAACGCTTACGATACTATTCGAAGCAGGGTCCGAGTGAATCCGGCTCTCCTTCAGATTAACGCTTCCTCGACAAGCCACTCCGACCTCCGCTTGATTTCTGAAAAGAACAGGTAAGAAGAACGTGAGAGATACCCGCACCTGATAGAACGGCCCTTAGGGTAACAGTTGACAGTCTTTAGAGTCTTCCGGAGTCGTTTCTTCCAAGACATGACTATGCTTATCAAATGACGCGTGGTCTAAGACAATCCTGCTTAGGAGTGGTTATAAAGTGCGGAGTGAAACAAAAAAAGAGTTGGTAGCTGCCTCGTCTCTATTACATTCCCTCGTTTTTTCACGCGACCGCAGCGATTTTTTTGAAGAACGCTTGCACTTCCTTAAAGGCAGGCAATTCTATATTGAATACAAATAACGCAATATAATTCTAGTTAAGGTCAGAAGAGAAATAAAAAAAAAACTATTCACCTGTTAACCAAGAGCAATAAACGAACAAGGCCTCTTCACCTACCTGTAATAGCTCAACGTCCCTTCCGAATCGAGTACGAACCATCGTTGTCGATATCCCTTTATGTAATTGGTCCATTTTTGAAGCCAACCCGCCTTTTCTGTTGTGGTGGCCTCATTGGACTCAGGTAGAAAGCCCCGATCATCCGATGAGACACTCCCAGAATGATTCGATCGATTTCCTAACTTCATCAGAAGTCGATTCGAACGGCCGATCCACTTGTTTCTCAACGCCCGTGGTCGAAAATCTTGGCGGACTTGATGATGCACCAGATCCCCGAGACTCTGAAAAGAGGAAAAATAAAGATTCAGAATTCGGAATACAATCAGATAAGGAATTTACCTAAAAGATCATTTTAGATAATCGTCGCAATTCGGAAACGGAGAATGTAAGTCTTAAATGAAAGGAGAGACAACAACTAAGAAAAACACAGACCCTAAGGCGGAAAAGCGGCCAGCCTCCACGCGTGAGGCCTGGAAACCCGAATCTCAAATCAATTTTCCGCCCTCAAAACATAAACAAAATTATTCAAAAAAATAACTTCGTACAAGCTGATTCACCGAACAAAACATAACCGATAGTTCCGAAAATTCCGTCACATAATCTTTTCCACAAAAATAAAAAATTATTGAGAAAAGCATAGTTGACTCGGGCCGAGCTCGGGCCAAGCCATTCTCTTTGTTTTGGCCACAGCCAGGGGTGGTCAGTGGGCCGGGCCGGGATCAAAACGGAAATCTGACAAACGGGCCGGGCCTGTCCTTAGACGGGCCGGGCCGCGGGCATGGGGTTTTTGGCTTCGTGGAAATTGGACAGAGTGAAACTCGACAGATTTTTTTCACTGCAAAAAAATAATTATTTGATGATTCAATAGTGACATTTCGTACGATTGCAGCGAAAAAAATTCTGTCCAATTTCACCCTGTCCAATTTCCGCGCTCTGTCCAAATTATTTCTGTCCAATTTCAACGAAGCCGGGTTTTTTCCGCCCGACCCGTCTATATTACAATGCCAACCCGTTGGCATTCGTTGTTTTCGCACCGGGAAAATTAATTGATGTTGTTGTATCAGTCTGTCGGGAAAATAACGGCGAGTCGTCGCAGCGAAATGTCTCGCCTCGTTGAAAAAAGGATGCAGTCGCACACCAAATCCACAGCTTCGGCTTGCCGTCGCAAAGCGATTAACCCGACAGACTGATAGTTGCAGTTTCTCAAGTTCTAAAACGTTTACATGTCTATTTGTGACGTTTCGTTTCGTCACAAATAGAGTTTTGGAGAAATTTTTTTCTTGTCTAACCGGGCAAAATCTTTTCTTTCTGGTCCGAAGTGACGTTCTAAACCTTTCTTAATTATTCAAGACCAATTTTATCTTCCAAAAATTTTAAAAAATCTTCCGAAAGAATTTTGGTACCTAAAATCCCTTTCAATCGATAGTGTGTGGACGGAACGTCTAAACGGTTCAGGAAATGAGCTAGCTTGAAGTGCGTACTATAATAAGAATTTGATGAGAAAGATCAAACCCTAATATACCAAAAAATAGTTTACCATTTTTATACGTTTGATAGGGAAGGGAATCGTCAAAAAAAAATGGTTTTTTTGGATGTTTCGAGGCTCAAATTTCGCATACTGAGTACACTAACAAAATAAAAATTTCTGGCACTTTTATTTTTTCGAGATTTGGCTTACTGTAGGCGTACTGTTATTTTACCGCTCTCTGCAACGCAGTTGTCAGTATGCGTTGAAGCTTGGGGCTTGTTTTATTGGATTCTTGACATCATACTGAGCACAACGGTTAAAAGTCCATTTGAGTTTGAAAAAACACAGCTTTTAGTAAAATTTTTTACAGTTACTTAGTTTTTCCAAAATTTTGCATAACCAAAAAAGTTCTTATTTGATCCAAATAACTGCTGTTTATTGTGGTTACAACAAGACTATAACCACGTCTCTGAACGGTCGCCTGGCCGAGATACGAGGATTTTTTAGGCAAAGTCTATTTGGACTGTTTGACAATTTCCTACGATAATTTTTTCTATTGGGCCAAACAGGTATACCGACATAAGCGGATATTCTAGATTTTGTTTTGCCTGCAGCCCGAATCCTTTCTATCTCTCATGTAAACATATTCGGAGGAGTAATACTCTGTGGTGGTAATTTTCCCGAGAGCACAGCCCTTTAAAAATTCGATAAATTGAAGGAGTCCTGGCCTTTTTTATTAAAAAACGTTATGTATTAGCGTTATGTCATTCGAGTTCTAAACTTATTTTATGGCACTGCAAAATGACCACTCAAAATGGCTCTTCTTCAAATTCAAAGTAATGCAACAACGCGCGAGCTGCGAGTTCGATGCCTCTTGGTTTGACAGTAGTCTTACCCTGCTACGGTTGGGATAGGGTGATACTAGCCAGACTCGTTTAAGAACGCCTAACTATTAGAGCTCTAATGTCGAGAAATCTGGATTACTGTAACTTCGGATTCAAAATCAATTTTTTCTGGCCTTGTGCAAAAGTTTAGAAAAAAGTTGTCATCAAGTAACTTGCTTAGAATGACGATACATCCGAACCGCTCCCGACTCCCTGGACGTCTGGGTTTTGCGATACAAAATTTTAAGTAAAAGTACAGTAAGCCGAATCTGGAAAAAATATGTGCCAAAAATTTTTATTTTGTTAGTGTACTCAGTATGCGAAATTTGAGCCCCGTAGGACCAACTTGATAAAAATGTGCCGAGGGGTTCTTGAGTCTCTCGCGAACCTTGTTTTAAGCAGTAGAATATGAACAAAAGATCTAAGCCTGGCGTGATTTCTTAATATCAATCGTTTCTAAGTTTATCTAATCAACTAAACCAACTTACTGGTGAAAAAACGGACATTGTATGACAACCATAAATCTAAAACACTCGCCTTAAAAACGGTAAACAATTACCCATCCAATTATGAAACCATCATTTTTCTCTGATTGTACCGACAGCCTGTGAAGCAAAACGAAGGCCAAAAAGGCGATTACTTTATTACGGGGTTATATATATACATCGTAGTAAAGCTCATAATGACTAGAATAGGAATGTATTTAAAAAAACTAAGTGAGCGTGTGGACCGCGAATGTAGTTGATCACCTTGACTTGCATCAGTGGAGGAGGTAAATTTGAAGGATCACACGGATTCCGTAATCGTAAGATGATAGGGCCAAGAACTGGCATAGAGCATTAACAAACAAAAAGAGAAGAACCATGGCCATAGTTATCGGGTGGAGATGGAACTCTGACTGCTCTTCTTGTTTTGGTGATTGAAGCTGCCATATTTTCCACTCCGGGGTGTGAATGAATGCGTTCTTTGGACATAATTCCTGAAGAGAGGTCTTGATCGACAAACAACGGACCTTGACTGCTGCGGAAGAGCAGTGAAGAAGTTGTTCTCGATCACCAGCGCCGAGTTCGAAGACACAGTCTGAGCGATGGGTATGCGACCTGAATGGAGGTCGTGCAAATGTTGCACATAGCCATCTTCCAGACTTATGCATCCTCGCCTCTTATTACCGTGGACTTTGAAAATATGATCGCCATCGATCCCGGCGGCCGAATAAACCCCAATATCCTTTCCACTTCCATAAGCTGCCTGTACTTTAACACCCATGTCCACCAGATGACGGAGATGCTGTGTTTTGTACCTGCAATGATGATTTTCTAACCTTTCCTTCCTTTAAATCTCACCGTAAGGGATCCGTAGATATAGATGGAGTGAAAAAGAGCAGGCCATGAGGGAAATTATGCTGCGCCAACCAGGAACCAACAACTCGTTGTTGCATGTCCGGACGAGCAGTCACGTAAATGATAATGTAGCCCTAGGGGGAGTAATTCAAAGTTAGTGATTAACTAATTACCTTCTGTTGCCAGAATCTAACAACATCGACAGCTCCTGGGCGGACTCTAGGATCTCGTCCAGTCACTGAGACCGAGGCTGTCAGACTTCCGTCAATGCTAAACACAACACAAGGAGTCTTCGGAGGTACAATTGCTATATACATGTTGAGGAAGGAATGGTCTCCTTTAACAATCATTTTCACTGAATGAATGCCAACAGGTAATTTAGAATTATTCATGTTGACCACAAGACGGCCATGGGAATCAGTAGTCCCGGTACTGTGCTCATACCAATCCCCGCCATACGGACACACATAAATAACAACGTCCTCCCTTGATAGGGCTACAAGATCCATAGGACCATAACAAAAACGGGCATTAATAACTTGTTCCAGTCCTTCTATCGTGATCAGATCATTCGCCCGATGATTTGGAGATAGATTGGCAACCTGAGAGTATGTAGAACAAACGCCCTTTAATTTACCTTAAACCGTGTTCTCCTACGAGACCAGACAGGATTTGGGAGATCTACATTCAAAGGACTCATCGATGCAGCATTGGTCGAGAAAGCAGCAAATATGTGATTGTCTTCGCTTCTCACAAATTGTCTCAAGATGAAGGCCCCGACGTCCTTACTCTCCCAATAAGAGGCATGCAATATGTTAGGGAGGGCCGAGGCTGCGACTGCAATCATATCTGGTGGGCAGTAGAGTTCATGATCAACTCTCCTCGAACCCCACAACATAGACGTCTCGAGGGCATTATCAAATAGGATATGTCGGCCATCCCCCAATGGATATCGTTGATACCGAGGCACAGTCAGACAGGGTAAGAGAGAGAGCTGAGGATTAAGGACTGGCTCCAGTCGAGCACCACACGTATCCAGAGAGTAGAACAAGTTGAACAATTGGTTACATTCCAGAGCACCCACATCTACAGACTTAACGCTCTCTGTCTACGCCCTTACCTTTTCCATGCATTTTTCGTTGAGCTAGAATTAAAGCTAATGGACATCCTAAAAGAAAGGCTGTTGTAGGTCTGAATGACAGCGAGGCCGTGTAAAAAGTTGGTACTGTAAAGTCAGCAGTGTCCATTGAAGAAATGGACATCTTCTTTCGGTTAAATGAAGCTGATGGCGGGGCCGACAAATTCCTGATAAAGCTTCTTTGGTTACCATGATCTTGATGGTAAGTCTCGGTACGGGTCTCATTAAGTTCTCCTTGAGACGCAGATGACTCTTTATTCTAAGGATATTATAAAACGATGATTACGCATAACTTACGTCAGTCTCTAGACCTTCTGGAATGGCGCCTTTCGAGTGCGTGGAGACCGAAGAGGAATGTCGTGAGATCGGAAGGTGAAATTTGGATTGCTTGAGTAATGCCTCGTACATAAGAATGCCTCCAATACAATCCCCGATTGCAAATATCTCTCCATTAAAGTTATGTCCAGCTTCACAATTGTAAAATTCATCCACGACTTGATTAGCCCGAGTAATTGTAGCATTGACTGCCTGAGAAAATTAAAATAGAAAAATCTCCTTACATCAAAGAATGCTGGTTGACTTGAAGCTAATAAAAGAGCCAACGAAGGATGAAATGACCCAAAAGATGGACAGATCCCATTCAAAGATGAGACTGTCTGACACAGCTCTTGGCCACAGGTAACCCTCTGCACATAAACTCGGCCCTTAAGCTGGGGATAATGCCCGGTGATGAGAGTATCGAGGGTCGATTTTAATGTATTTGCATCCGTTGTTTTGGAGTCGGCCGGCGACTAAAATAAAAACTGTTGCTACAGTGGGGTTCAATGGGAGCCTCCAACCTTATTGCAAGTGTATCTCCCCGCAGATAATGATTAAAGTACATAACGAAGGCTACGATCACTCACCTCCGGATATATGTCACCATGAAAAACAAGGATAAGAAGTGAGGAATTGGGATCAGGACGCGGGGTATGGGGCGGACTCTCATCGCTTTCCCCCACCAACAACTCTGAACTCCATCGAATCAGAGAAGGTTTGTTCGAGCAGGGCGGACTCTGATCACAACAATCGAAGAAGACATCGGATGAATTGTCGTCCTCATCCGAGTCTGTGCGATCATGAACATTTTCCTCGGCCGGCTGCATAACCTGCGAAAGATAGGCGGCAACTTCTTGTTCGAGAGCCCGGATGTCAGCAATAGTCAAGCCGACCCATTCATCCTGCCACGCCCAAGCTTGCCGATGGGCGGTTAGAAGAGTACGCTATAAAGACAAGTATTTTATGACTACATGGAAAAAAATCAAAATTAGGTCCAAACATTACTCAGTCCGGACAATTTGTCGCCGACATCGCGCACAAAAATTCGGGTTGTCGCGCGAAAAAATGCACGTCCCTAAGTGCAAAAACGGGAAGTTGCCGCGGCAAATTCAGAAAAATGCACAGTGCGGATTGTCGGCTTTTGAGCGCGATTAGTATATCAGTATGTCGGGAAAGTATAGTGGCGGGTCCTTGGAATCGCTCATCACCGCTTTGCAACGGCATAAATTCCGCAACTGTTTTGCCGTTGCAAAGCGATGATGGGCGATTGGTGCGCGACTGCATCTTTTTTCGACGAGGCGAAACATTTTGCTGCGACGACCCGCCGTTATCTTCCCGACAGACTGATATCATGAACGAATTGTGGTAAGACGATTTTTGTGTTTCTCACCCGAAATGCAAGATCGTGGATCCACCGTTCAGCCCGTGTCTGCATTCCCCAATATCTGAATTCGACCCGACATAATTTGTAAGCACACATTATTGGCTTTCCATCTTTCAGGCATTCCTCAACCCAATTCTCTTTAAGGGGGCCTCGGCCAGTCCGTCGACTCACATAGAGTCTGGGATCTTCCTCGGCGGTATAATCATGACTTGAGATTGGATCATTCACAAAGTCCATTACGTCTGAAAAATAATCAACTTCCTTGATTGACTTAGTATTACCAATTTGCCGTTGTTTCAATTCGGATTCACTCAAATTAAAAACATTGTCCTGAACTCCGGCGTCATTACAGTAAATTGTCTCCATATCGACACTGATTCTATCCAACATAGGACAAGAATACCTGGTCTTAGTATACGGGTACGCATTCCAAGCCTCTTCGTGGGCCTCCATCGCCGACGATGGGAGAATATTCCTGATCCATGCTATAATATGTTCAACAGTTTGTTGTTCCCTTAATTCCGTGTTATCTGACGTTTCAAAGCGAGCGTTCAGAAAATTACGGGGTATTCAGCGAATAAAAATGTCTTACTTGGTATCTTGTTCCCAACGTGATATATCTTAAAAGTATATTGCCCCTTTCCACCAGGTCCGTCCTCGTAGGGCTCATTGGTTAGAATCTCGACTCCACTTCCGGCTCCAGAACTATCCAACCGAGATTTCTTCTAAACGGACCTAAAGGGAATCTAGTTCCTGCTTACCTGTATCATATATAATTGGGCAATCTGGTATTCTTCGACCGTTAACGGCAAAAGAATACGATATTCCTTGATCAACATCCTCAGTCCTCCGAGCCGTTCACAGTCACATTATCGAGTCCAAAAGCGAGACATGTTGGGCCAAATGCCGTCTGGACACTTTCTTTTGAAATATACAGAAAAATTAAATGCAAATCTTAATTGAAGCGAACAGAACGGCCGGAGGGTGTGCCCCCGGGAAATGTCAAGGTTGAAAAGCATTCCAATTCCAGATCTCAACAAATCTGGAGGAAGCCGGAGGAAAATAAAACAAAGCAAACACGTTCCAATAATCTGGGAAAACAATGTGTCCGCAAGTTAAAACCGTTCAGAACCGTTTAGACTCGTTCGGGATGTTAATAAGGTTAAAAATTTAAGCTGTGGTCTTAAACAAAATCCGAAAGCTCGGAATGTTGGCCATGATGAACACTCATAAAAGATAAAGGAACGGGTATCTAAAAGAATTTACTTTTAAAGAGACGGCCATGTGTGTCTATATTTATTCCTTTTGCTCCATGCAGGCCAGATACATCCATCCAACGCCAGAAGAGACTTCTTCCAGCTAATTTCTTCTATTCCTAAGAGCCGCCTCACGCTTAAAACAACGAATCCGCAGTAAAAACCAAACACAATATACAAATTAAACTTATGAGCAAATATCTACGAAGCTGCCGACTCAAAATCTTTTTATTTTTAGTGCCAGCCGATAAGTCCGCAAGTTGCGCCCTAGCTTGGAAAATATTTGGGTTGAGTTTGATCCGGACGATCGGGAGCTTCTCCTTTCTTCTGTAAAGCTATGGGAAGTCTCATTACAACGCGTTATACACTCCTTTTTTCTCCATATTCCATCTTATTCTAAACGCAAGCATGACGTTAAAAACTTCCGAACTGATATTTCCGTTTTGTTTCCTTTCTTCATTGACTATCCCTCAAGAGTAGGGGTTGGACGGGGTATATACCCAAATTAATTTTTGCCCAAATTTCCACAACATGGGAACTTTTCGGGTATTTGTGGGAGTTTTCAAGATGGCCGAAAAAACAGACGGTAAGGGGGAGTCAAATTCTATAAAATTTTCAACTCAATACCCGGAGCTACTACAGAACGTGGAAGAAACTAGAATATGTATCATTAATACTTTTTCTGCTTGTTTAGTTGAAAAAAAAAATATTTTATAAATATCCCAATATACCCAAAATTTCGCAGGTGTATACCCACGAGGTGAAAATACCCGAATTTTCCGAACCCTACTCAAGAGTAAAACAAAGAACTGTTTCAGGTAAAAATGGAAGAGGATGAAAACATGAACGACACATATTGGAAGCATAATCTTTATCTTCTGCAAGAAAAAGCACCTAAACCAAAAGTAGTACCCTGTTCAAGGAGGATAATAAACAGACCCGCTCATTATGGAATAGAATACCATGGGCTAATAGAAAGGACGGAGGCTGAAGAGGTAAATTTCTTTATTTGACTTTAAAATGGATGTTTTACGGTTTTAGACATATGCGCTTTAATCGTGCTATTTCATACCTAAAATCTTTCAGAAACTCCGTGAGAACGGCGAAGGGGCGTTCCTCGTGCGGGCATCAAAAAGATCTCCTGATGCTAACACACTGTGCATGCTTTTCGATGGGAACGTTATGAATTACAAGTTATACTACGATGGATGTCACTTTGTGGCTGAAAAAAGGTAGCCGCAAAAAATGTTTTCTGATGTTTTAGGTTTGATGAATTAAGTCTCTTGGTGGCTGATGGGCTTATTTCTATGTACATAGATAAATATGCGTCGGAGTATATCCGTAAGATGGCCGACGAAGCCGTTTACGAACAAAGTCCATATTCCCAGTACACCAAGTTCAACGAGAATCAATCTCGATCTGTGGCTTCTCCAGTTCCACGACAGCCCCACGATTTCATATCTTTTACTTTCAAGATGCCCCATTACTGTGATTACTGCAGGAATTTCCTTTGGGGCTTAGTTCAACAGGTGAGGTAATATATTTTTCTCGTGATCCACTTTTAGGGTGTTCGGTGTAATAATTGTGGGTTCGCTGCCCATCGGAAATGCAGCGACAGAGCACTGGATGATTGTCGCCCAGATTGTAAATACGTGAAAAGGATGTTTGCTGTAGATCTAACGACTTTATGTATGGCCCATGGCGTCTCCGTCCCTCCAGTTATAACGCAATGTATAAATGAAGTTGAAAAGAGAGGTCTAAATGTGGAAGGGATCTATCGTGTCAGTGGATCACATGATCAAATGGAGAAACTGAGACGTCAGTTTGATCTCGGAACGGCGGTTGACTTAAATGCAATTGACGATATTCATACTGTGGCAGGACTGCTTAAATTATACCTCAGGTTGTTGCCTCAGCAATTGGTGCCATTTACAGTGTTTAGTAGTCTTCTTAATGCGTTCAATTCAACCCGAAGTACAAGAGAGCGAACCCTCCGCTGTCGGTACGCGCATTTTACTTCTTTTTGTTATTATAGCTTTAATTAATAAGCATTATTTTATATTCAGACAAGCCCTCGAGGCCCTCACTAGTGTCAACTTGCGGACCTTGAGTGAGATCTTAGGCCATCTCCGTGTGGTCGCCTCGTATGCCGAGTCGAACAAGATGTCAGAAGAGAATCTGGCGACGATATTTTCGCCGACCATCTTTTGCACAGGGACGGTTCCTTCTTTGCCTCAACAGCAACATGTTCTTCTTCATTTCTTGATTGTTACGCCTAAAGTTACTGATGCCAATTAATTCCCCTATACCTCTCATCAGATCTCTACAGGTACTTTTTTTATAATGTGCTTTTTCTTAACTCACAAGTTTGTGTAATATAGTTTTACAAAAGAATATTTTGATAATGAAACTATTGTTTGTTGTCCAAAAGACTTCTCACTGTCAACAATCATTTTGTCTATAAGGCAACATTTAGCAGCCAATTTGATGCAAATTTTTCGAATATTATTTTTAAACGGGTATTCTACTCGTACCCCTCAATATTTCACAAGATAAACGGGCATTTTGGATAGAAGTACTGTACGTGATATGTCGAATGGGATTCCTTCCATCTTGGATACCTTTCTAAAACTTATCCATTTGCGGACAGTGAGAAGTTTTTATTTGCAGTCAGCGAGAAGCGCATCCTTCTGGTAAATAAATTTCAATGCTTTTACTCTATAGCTTTATCGGTAGTTGTAATATTATGAATCATCTATTTACACAGTTAGTACAGATATTTTCTTTCCCCACATACCACCCACCAGTATCTTCAACCTAAATTTATACGTAAAAGTTTTCGTCCCTCGCTTTTTGTATTACACGTCTCACTCTATATGGCATGTGGTCAGCGAGAATTGCACCAGTCAGCTGGACTTCAGAGAGGTATTCGTGTTGTAACCAGTTTAATTCCACTTCAGAACCTTGAGGGACAAGATGAAGTAGTCGTCCAGGTGGATATAACTGAGTTCGAGGCTCTTCAAGCCCTCGGTCTGGTATATTATAACTGCTCGAGTCAATTAATCGACGGCTTGACCTTATACTCGGCGTTGTTTCTAAACCGTAACATTTCTGATCCGTTGACGTACCAGAGTGTAGATCCCATGGGGAGGAGAAAAACAATTTGAATATCCCTTTGATTAGGATCTCGTATTTTGCACGATTGGTGGAATAGATTTGCTCGTCGATGGATTTTTTTAACTTCATCAAAGACTGAAACGTATTTAAAAGCTGTCGGAGTTTACCTGATATGATATCCTGGGAACAAGGTCGTCGCCAACAATTACGCTTAAAACATGGGATTCCATTTCCGCCAGTCCATGTTCGCTGATAACACATCCTGGAGGAGAGAACGAGTAGCAACGGACATCTGGGTCGGTCTGCCTGAAAACTTTGTTTTGCGAAAGGCTGCCTACTTCAGAAGTAACGTTAATAATGATGCGACGCCAGCACCAAGCGAATGCCCGCAAACAATAAGGCCGTAATCTGGATGTAAATCCTTCAAATCTTCCAGAACTTGGTACTTCTTCAACGTATTAAACACATATCGCGCCGAATTCAGCATTCCTCGATGAACCCGGACATCTCCAGTACTATCCAGTTCCCGATCTTCCTTTAGAATGGGGTCAGAATCCACGTCCACTGAAAACACTTCTTCTGATAACGACAAATCCGTAACCAGATCCAAAACTGACGCTGATCCTCGTATTGTAATCACAATAGAATTGGTTCTATGGTCCGCAAGGACCACAAATGGGACCTGATAAAGCCGATTTCTGAAGGAGGCAAAGAAAACATCTGCTTCTTCAAGGCACGACTCTATTCGGAATGCAGCCGAATGACAGGAACAGCAGTTATCCTCCACTACCACCACTTCTTTAATGTCACATCGACGACAGCATCTCAGTTGGCGATATAACCCATACCAGGCGACACAAGTGCAATTATTCAACATGTAGTTTGGCCAGCCGTAAACGGCGACGACAAAATCACATATCCTGGCGACAAATCCCAAAGACGAAGGAAGAGACATCCAAGCAGGTACATCGAGTTCGTTGGAAGGAATGGTCAAATATCTCGGAGGACTATGATCTGGGCAATGCACCAATAGTAATAATCCAGCCACAATATCCGATAAAACGAGATCTTGGTCGGCAAAGAACGTAGCCAGTAATGAAGCTATTTCGTCTATGGCTTCTCTCATCTCTCCTGTTTGCATTACTTTACACTAAATCCATAAAAAATAAAGATAGCCGACTTACCAAACGTAATCTCGAATGCCAATATGTTCGCTCTACCATCACATTTCTGTCGACATTGTAGCCACCCAATGGGTTGAAAACAATAACAACGCCAAAGAAAACACAAATTATCAAGAAACACTCCAATACTACTGTGAATTGGAGTGTAACTCTTGAAAAGCAAGTCTCATAAGCTGTCACAGATCCTAGAATACAGGTATATACGTGCACGTAACATTAGAGAAAATTTAAAAACTTTGAATCTTACTTACCAAAAGCAAAAATGGCACTTAAAATAGTAAAGATTATCTCGGCGATGAACAGAGGCACTCTAACGTAAATCATATTAACTATCCGTTTTCGCAATTGCATGTCCAGAATCGACCCACGGGCGCTAATCTTTGCAATGGAAAGGCATAAAAAGACGGTTACCACATTGCCAACGATAAGCAAACATAAATACACCAACCACTCAAGGGACGTGCAATGCAAAGGCTTATGGAATATAAACAAGATAAGTGTGATCAGAACCCTAAATATTTTGCTATAATACAATTGCACTTACCAAGCCGAGCGAACCAACGCCTCACTAAGACCAGGGAACACAAAATCATCGCTGGATATATTCCAACGGCGACCGAAGGCCACCAAAGAAGGCATTCAACTTTCGGCTACCACATTTACTACTACTTTGCACCTAGTCCGGGCAACGCCAACGAAATTTACATTCCGGAAAAAATCTTCACAATGCAACGAATCACTAATATTGATTAATTAAATAAATTTTCTGCGGATTAATACTCGACAATTCGACAAAGTATGGAAATCGGATAAAAAAAAATCTGGTAACTTGCAAAAATTTAATCTAATTTATTCTCAACTCAATAATTATGAGGATAAAATAACGTTGTTAATAACATTATTTATCCTGATCGGAGAATTTGCTCTTAATTCCGTGACTTTGGAACATCTCCGTCAGCTCCCCGTCCTTGTGCATTTGAAGCAGGATATCTGATCCACCCACAAATTGTCCCTTTACGTATAATTGCGGGATTGTTGGCCAGTCGCTGTATTCCTTGATTCCATTCCGTACATCCTCATCAACCAGCACATCAACCGATTTGAATGGGATTTGGTGGAACTCAAGGATCTATAAGAAAAAAATCCATCATCAAAAGCAACCCTACCATCTTTGCCGTCTTCGAGAAGCCACACATGGGTTGTTCAGGCGATCCTTTCATGAACAAAACAACATCCCCTTGATCAACTAATCCTTGTATCTTAGACTTGAGCTGCGGGCTCAAGTTCCCCAACAATTGTGGAGTTGTTGCAAAGCGTCTTCCTTGGGAAACCGCGATTGAAAAGAGTTGTCGAAGCATCTAAAAGAGCAATAAAGTCTTTCCAGTTTGTTTGTGACCATGTCACGGCCGGCAAGGTAGAATCGGGAAAAACCGTAAAGAAATTTGAGATGAATACCAAACCATTTATTAACGGATTTCAATAAATACATTAAGATGATATCCTTATCCCCACCTAGATTTCTTTTTTGCAGGTCCTGTTGGATTAGGTTGTAATCGGGAAGGCGTGGGATCAGTGTAAGAAATGGTGGGAGATTCATCCGTGCTTGCTCTAGTGAAACTACCTTTATAAGACGAGCTGAGATAGTGCCTCATCGTAGCCAATCTGGTTAAGCCTAACCCAGTGGAACTGCTAGCCACGTTCTTCGCCTTCTCAATTTGATGAGTAACGTTATCCTTAGGCTTGGTAAAATCAGAAGGCACATCTCTGTGTTTGCTGCTCCCTGTGAACCCCAATCCTACTCGGGTTTTCCCCTGCTGTTGACCAGACCCGTTTTCAATATACCATTTGGATGTTTTTGCCAGTTCTATCAATTCGGGAGGAGCCTCTTGTCCAGCATTTTCGAGATTTTGGATTAAGGGACCTGCAAATTCTTTGTCTTCTGACGTCATCAAGGTAAATGCATCTCCCTTCTGTCCGGCTCTGCCTGTTCTTCCAATTCTATGAACGTGTGTATTTATATCCCTCGCAATATCAAAATTGACGACAGTTTTAACTTCAGGAATGTCCAATCCTCTGGCTAAACGAGTAATTATTTACTTATTTTAAAACAGACGAAATATAGGCTGCTAACGAACTAGGTGATTTTTTTAATTTTTTAATTCGTCATCATGACCGAGATATGACGTATTTATTTAATTTCGTTTAATGTGATATGTTGTCCTAATTTCTCCGTATGGTGGAAAACATGAGTATCCTGCTCTGAATGACGTTGCTTCGGTTTACTGGGTTCTGGCAGGGCTCTCCGATTAAAACAAAAAAGTACCACAAAAGCTCAGAAGTGAACGAAAATCTTTCAGTAATAGCCTTTCTATGAGCCCTCCGACGTTTTGGCAATATATTAGGACAATATATCACATTAACCAAAATTCAATAAATACGTCATATCTCGGTCACGATGACGATTTTTTCGAAAAAATTACCAATTTCTTTATCAACCTACATGCCATTAGTTAAGACAAAAAAGTGGAGGTCAAATTCTATGGCATACCCCGATTTGAGCCTGCTTCAACTTCTCGCGAAGTCTCCTTTAACAATAGTTGATCTTACCTGCAACGTCAGTGGCAACGAGACAAGGAACGGAGCTTCTGAAAGTTTTCAAACGCTCGCTTCTTTCTGCTTGAAGCATATCTCCGTGAAGAAGAACAAGGTCGACGTTATTTTGCTTCAGCTTCTCGGCAACAATCTCCGCATTTAATTTTTTGGTGACAAACACTATCACTTTTCCATCCGCACAAAACTTGATTATATTTAAGCAGAGCCATTGCCATTTCTGTTCCACAGAAGGCAAAAACAGAACATGTTGCATTACATCAGCATTAGCTTCGCCTACGTCTCCACACACAATCTTTACAGGATGACTGAGGGCATACGAAGTTAGTTTTTCTATCTTTGAGGGAAAAGTGGCACTAAACATGAGACATTGTCGGTCTGGACGGACATGATCAGCAATCGACTTAACTTGCGCCTCTAAATCATAGAGGGTTTAGAAAACGTAACATTCCACTTACCAAATCCCATGTCAAACATCCGATCTGCCTCATCGAATACTAAGAAACTTGTTCGTATCAGATCTGTGGATTCACTTTTTACAAAATCGATCATCCTGCCCTAAAATAAATAAACATGGTGCTAGTTTGTAAGTACCGGAGTTGCAATGCAGATGTCACACCCAGTTTTTAGAGCCTTCCCTTGTTCGTATTTGTTGCCTCCACCATGTGCACAAACAATACTCAACTCATAAGGACGAGCATAAAATCTAAATTCCTCATATACTTGAAGTGCCAGCTCTCTTGTGGGAACAATCACAACCGCAATTGGACCCCTGCTGCTACAGCCATGGTACGACTGTGAAACAACATGAACAACCGCCGGGATGACATAGGCCAAAGTCTTCCCACTTCCCTAAACGAAATATATAAAACCAAGAAGTAAGCTTACTGTTTTCGCAAGCCCAAGAACATCGCGGCCTGACAGAGCCGTTGGGATAGCCTAAAAAACGTTGTTTTCATTTCATGACAAAAACATCAAACTCGGTTTACGACTGTGCTATATTTGAGGCAGAGCGAGCATTCACATCCACAAGTTAAATCTCCTCACAAATGGAAAACCAAAAAGATGAATTGGCTTAGTTAATGCGCTACAATGCATATTCAACCCTGAGAATGGCTAGCCAAAAGGTTAGGATGGCTGTCAAATCATATAAAGGTGATTTAATCACTTCTGCTAACCATTCTCATCGGCTAACTACTCACGCAATTATACACTTGACTACGACCATTCGCCCTGCCTCAAATACCGGGTGGCCGTACTTTCCTGGCTCCGGCATTCTCACTATTCCGTTATTACTTAATAGTCGCAATTCAGGCTTGTCGCGGCGCGCCAATACTATTTAGAAAAAATCTAAAAAGACTGACCTGTGCCTGAATAGACGTTGGCTTTGAAAATTCGGACTTTCTCAAACGACTCATTAACTTATCATCTAGATTAAAATGGGCAAAGCTGACACAAGGCTTTGGAGGATCTGCACCATATACTTTTATATCCAATGAATTCCTCAGCTCAAAAACTTGGACTGGGGTCAACTTTGATATGTCTTCATGTTCTTTGTAAAAACAGGCTTTGAACTCGGGATATTGAAATTTGGAGTGATCACACGAAGGAAGAGGATCGATCACTTTCTTCCAAGTCCAAATCACGTTTCCATCCTCATCGTACTCAAAATTATCTTCGTCCTCTTCTGGGTGACGCTCTTTGTAATCTTCGAGGAATCTAGTTTCACATTTAAACGAAAAAATGAAGAACTTACTTGAAATAACTTTCTTGCATATCTTCTGCGTCAATATCTTCTCTACCTGTACCACCTCCTGCAATATTTCCACTTGATTCTTTTTCCTTGCTCTTTTCTACATCTTTCTTTGCTTGCTGTTCAATCTCTGCCATAAAGAGTTCAAGTTCATCTACTTCCTCCTCCTCATTTGACTCATCTTTCTTTTTGCTCGTTCTTGGTTTTCTTTCGTCTTCATCGTCATTGAAATATTCCTCGTCGCTCTGGTCATCCCTTGGATGAGCACTATCAGATTTTCGCCCCTTTTTACACAAAGAATCGTACTAAAACGGATAAAAATAGAAATACTTCGTTCCCCTTACCTTCTGCGTGTCCTCGTCTTGATCTCGATCATAACTTGTATAGCCTTGTGTTCTTCCTAATAAAGACTTCGGAGGCGGAACGTTGCTGTAGCTCATTTCTGAATATTATTACCAAAATTCTTAAAAATAAAAAATGTTTCAAAACAAAATAACGAAATGTCACACGAATTATCAAATTATCGTTTATTTTTTGAAACAGATCGACAAAACATTCTGATATTTACAAACAATTCAGAGATATTGTACACGACGCACCAGAGCATCAATATCGGGGATGGAATCCTTGTCCGAGTCCTCGTTATGAGCTACACTTAAAGTGGAGCTGAAGGTGGAGTTGCTTCCACTAGGTAAAAGATTCTCTTTTTCTGTAGAAAACGGTCGGACTCCTTTGGAACTACTCGTCAACCGGAAGGAATCCTTTGAGTTTTCCAACATTGCGGATGACAGTTGAGCAAAAAGATCTACTTCATTTTGCCGGGTATCTAAAACATAAATGTAAGCGGATTATGTCACATACTTCTTTTAACACTCCTCTTGGATCTCGAATTGGCTAGTACGTTCTCAAGCTCGTCAAGACATCCGTTTTGTATATTTAGTCTCGCTTTCTTTTCATCCGCCTTCTTGATTATATTCTTTGCTTGGGATGCTAGAGGAATCGTTTCCTTTGGTTTGGTCTTCATCCTAATATAAGAAGCCTAAGACAAATAATAAAATATATTAATCTAAGACCTACTTCATACTGCCCAGCAAAGTTGGAAATATCGGTAAAAAGATTTTCCAATTTGTATTTCTTTGGGTCGTAGGAAAAGAAGACCTCCACTTCTGCTGCCTTTTCTTCCACGCTTTTCTTTAACTGAAACAGTAAGCATCATCTGAAATAGAAAACTCTTACCTCGACTAACGTATCCATAACAGCAATTCCATCAGGCAAAAACTTCGACAATTCCTCTCCCATTCTATCATATGGAACTTGTTTTATGAACTTTGCATTGTAACCAGATAATACCTTCAACCTCTTCTGTAAATCATCCACTTGTGCCGCTTCGTGACTCAGCATTAATCGCTTGGCCTTGTAGACATGGAAAAAGTCTTTCATTGCGAATTCGGTGAACTGTCCATTCGTTTTTTTATCAAACAAGATGACCAAGTTGTCCAAAAGTGTCGCCTTGTTGCTGACATCCTTTGTTTCCGACAACTAAAAATCGATGATAAAATGAACAGTTCTTACCTTCGTTAACAAGTTCATCGTGTATCCATACCAATCCTTGTTTTGTTTGTCATTTTTCATGAGGAAGTTTCCACAAGCTAAAACAAGGGAAACGAAATGACCAAGGCCAAGGGAATGCATAACCTCGTCGCAAGCTTCGGCAATGATGGACAGATTACTCTTGACTTCCTGCGATATTTTAGGGAAGGATAACAACATCGATATGGCTCTCAAACGATTCGGGAGGTCTTTCACATGGGACAGACATGCAAGCAGCTTAAGTCAAGCTCTTAAAGACATCAGCTTTACCTACCTTTTCCCCCTCAGGGGCATCTTTAAAGGCTTCTATAGGTTTCTCCCGGAGTTTCTTGAACAGCTCTGGTTCCAGAAGCTTTTCTTGGACTGCCGATAACAAATCCTCGTTCAAAACATTCATGTCCAATTCGTAGAGTGCCCGTTTAAATGCTTCGTAATCCTTTATTAGTCTGGCACTCAAAATATCTAAAAGACATATCTATTCTCATGCCGTATCTTACCCCATTTCTTCAATTTGTTGTTGTCCTTCACAATCACCGGTTCCTTGATTTTTGCTTTGAAAACAGGTGCCTTTGACTTGGTTTCAGGTCTACCAAACTTCTCAGTTAATGTAGAATAAAACTCTTCATCCGTGAATTTCTCTTCAGTTTTCTGATACTTTGTCCATATAGAATTGTCCCGGATGTTTTTAGGGATTAACTTTAAAATGCGAACGATTAAATTTCAGCTTGTTCTTACTGTAAGTTCTTCCCACTGTGGAATTCTTCTCATCGGAAACTTTGGCATAACCGGTCGTTTGATGAGAAGATAGCTGGGTAATGACGGCCCAACAGGCTTGGCCTTATGTCCACCATGTAAAGGAGGCGGGGGGAGTCCTTTAAGACCTCCTATGGGTGGTGGTGGGGGTGGAACAGGCCCTTTTAGTGATGGAGGAGGGGGCGGAGGAGGGGGAACCGGAGGAACCCCTCCAGTCTTAATCATATTTGGTGGCAAAGGAGGAGGAGGGGGAATATTTGAACCAGTAGGTGCTGCTTCAGGTCGCAAGTTCTTGGCATTGGGAGGTTTACTTGATGCCGGAGAATTCGCCGGTGTGTTTCCTCTCAACTTTGGTGGTGCCACATCGATCACAGTTAACGGAGGTAGCGGAATTTCCGGGTTCCGTATCTTAAAATCCAGCGTATCCAAGATTAAAAGGAGTTCTTACATGTTCTCTAAGTTTTCCAACCTCATCATGCAATTCATTTATTTTGTTAAAGTAGGAAACCTGTTGAGCATAGGCCTCTTGCTTCTCATTAACCGCCGTTTGGAGCCTTTCATTTAGCCGTTTTAAATCTTGACTTGCATATACATCATTTACCAAACGTCCTGAAAGAAAACATACAAAAAACAAAATAAAAGTTAATGCCATTTATGGCGCACTTCACAGTCACTTCACTCCTAAAGCTGAAAATTTTTTGTGGGGTTAAGGTAACGGAGGTACTGTAACTTTTGTTTCAAAAAGACGGGGACTTTCAGAAAAATTTACTTCGCATTGAAAAGTTATGGCGTCGTTTTTTAGGCCTATATTTTTTATGACTTTTTGGTTTATCAAGCATTTCTCATGAACGGCTTGGCCTCAGGCCACAAGTAATATATGTCTGTGTAGACCTGTGAAAACCCTTTGCAAACGACAGTAACGACTTTTCTGCGTTGGAAATTTTTGAAAATTCCCAATTACAGCACACCCACGTTACCGTAACACACCACCAATTTATCACCCGCAGAAATGATGTCACTGTAAACTGTGGTATTTAATCACTTAAGATCGCACGCATGGACGAAGTGTTAATGAGTGGAAACGTACCAAAGTTGGATGGTCGAATATCCCTCTCGTTCTTTGTTGGTTCATCTTTGTAGGACAAGAAAGAAATGAAGTTTCGTAGAGCAAGAAGGTAATCAAAGCTGAAAGCGTTTCAAGCCCTGTAAAATGACCTACTCAGGCGTTGATTTATCCATAAGCATCAATAGTCTCGTCAAGATATCATACCATATAAATTCACATTTTGTCTTCGCAAACTTTTTACAAAGCTTATTCAGTAACTCCTCCGGTTCCGAACAAAACTTAGAGCTTTTTGATGTCTCATGGCAAACCAGATCTTCAGAATCGGCCTTCATCGTATCATGAAAGTGATCCAGCTCTCGTCGAAGTTCGGGAAGATCTTTGGCTACTTTCTCAACTTCCTACAGTGAATAGTGATTTCTTTCAGACTGTAAACTTACTCTCATAAGAGGTTGCAGACCAGCATGGATTAATTCTTGTCTCATAATAACCCTGTGCCTGTAATCTTTGGGGATCGACAACAACTGGTTAATAAACTCGAAAGTTCTAAACTAAAATTAAAAGGTATAAGGTAGTGTAACGACTTACCATAGTGTTGGCACTGGCATATTTAAGAGAAGAAATGATCGGACAGAACCTACAAATCTTTCGACTCCGTTCGAATGCATCGAAGCCAGAAATCAAGAGTTCCACTCTAAAAAATAACGTAATTCAAAAAACAAATTATCTATTATTCATACCCACTAATTTTGCAAAATTTATGGACGACGAACGAGACATTGAAAAATCTGAATATTTCGGCTTTTACAGAATCCAGAGCCTTTTCGTTGACCTGATTGAGGACATGTAGCATATCAATTAACTTCATAAACAATCCCAATCCAGAATTCAAACATTGTTTTAAACCACGCTAAAACCTGAGATAATTTTTTGGCAACATCAACCTACATCGGTGTTCATCAAGGCCCTCAGGCATTTGACAACCTCGGGAATAGTGGCGACAAGATTCAAATACTGATCCTTGTCCCGGGCACCTTGAAGACATCGTTCCAGGTTTTGCGTACACCATGTTAAGACAGTCATCAGGCATACATGACCACCAGCATCACAAAACCAATCTATCCATTCGATTGTGGCCGTTCCAATTCGGACTCTAAGAGTAACCAACTTTTGGGCAGCTTGAGCTCCGTATTTCTCGTTGGTAATATTCATTAAATTGTCCATTGCCGCGTTGACGTCCTGACAGAATGACTCATTCGAAGAGCTCTTACCTCTTTGCTACCAGAATCCACATCCGCAGAAAGCTTGATCAAAAACTCTTCTTTCTTTTTCCTATCCATATTATCCAGCTTAACTTTATCTTGAAGATTCCGATTCACCTAAAAATAAGAATAAATACCCAAAAAATAACCTACCAAAGAAATTTTAAGTCGACTGTCAAGTTCATTGTCGGTCAGATGTTTTAACTGCTGTAAAGATTAAATACAGGTCTCAAAAACAACAAAAAACAATATATAATATTAATTACCTTTTTGAGGGGCTTATCTGGCCCTTTACTTTTACCGCCCATCCCCCCGATTGAAAAAAATCGAAAGCGGAATTGATTTGAATGGGTATTCCTTGCTCCTTCTAACCATCAAACGGCGTCCAATTGAATTATTTTGGAACGATGGGAAGGCCAATCGGAATGCGGAGACAATGGCGGTCACTTTATATCTCCAAGTAAAATTTTTTTTTCTCTCGCAAAAAAATAAAAAAGTCATGAATTCAAATCCCGAAATTGTGCAATTCGATAATTCCTGTTTTCGTTGCGGGAGCAAAAACTAATGTTTTCTAACAATGACAATGTTTAGCGGAACGCGTTTCCGTTAAACATTCTTCCGGAAAATGGTTTTGGGACTTGTTTTTGTAAACTAGTCGAAGCCTCTAGCACGACTGGAACAATATTCATGATTTTTGTCATCTGTTGTGGAGCCTTAAGAGTCTAAATTCAGTTTTGCTTATTTTCTCGAAAATTTTAATCAGCCTGTCGGTAAAATAGTGGCGGGTCGTCGCAACAAAATGTTTCGCCTCGTCGAAAAAAGGTGCAGTCGAATTTCCAGCTGCGGCGATTCCAAGGCGCGACGATCCGCCTTCCCGGTAGACTGCTAAATTTTCAGTGTTTTTTTCTGGATTCTGAAACTAGAGCTCATTGCGGTTCGAATGAGCATAAAAAATCCAAAACCTGATTCGACACGGTTGCCAACATGCATTTTGCATTGTGCTATCGAGTGGTACCATTTTTTGAAAGTTATGCACTCTTAAAATCCATGAATAAACAAAAATTGAAATTTTGTAGGATAAATAAATCGTTGCAGAGAGATAATATAATGGTAAGAACTTCTCCTAGCGACAGCTAGCAACTCGTCCTAGCTTATATTCCCTATTGCAATATTCGCTTACTTAATACAAACGTTTGCATTTACAAGAACAGACTGACAGTAGGATTCCGGCGAAATAAATTCCTGGGAATATTCCCGTAAATTTTAGTCGCGCGAATCAAGAATATCACTTCTTCAACTACTTCTCTTGTTATTCATCTGGTAATCATAATTTCCTCAAAACTTGACTCCTTCGATAAAACACCCAAAAATTGTAATTTTTATACAAACAAAACAACGAAATCTCGAGAAATCAGCTGAGTGGGATGCGGCGGCGTCGCGCTCGTTGAGGCCGGTAGGTGGAGTGGTTGTTAGTCCATGGACCCAAGGAGTCAAAGGCATAGAAATCCATGGGGTATGTTTTGTCAGCTACTTCAACGTAATTCAACGCCCATGAAAGTTCGAATGGTGTAAGAAGAGGCCTTTCAAACGACATACCCCAATCAATTGACAAACGAGGACAAGCGACTTGGGCCCAGCTAAAAATAACCTTTCTTAAACGAGCACTACCTTACCATTCTACCTGATTAAACAACTTGAGCTTTGGGGAAAAGATTTCTGACATCAGGATTCTGACGAACTTGAGGTCTTTCTCCTTCAGCTTGTTTTCCATATCATTAAAGATTTTGGCATTTCCCTGACGTCCTAAAGTTCCCTGAATAATCCCAAAAACTTTGGATAATCGGGCAATGCGAACGGCTTCTTTCCTTCGCTCTAACATCATATCAAATCCATATTCTTCTGCAGATAATATCCTACTGTAAGGGTTATATTGAAGTGCTTTGATCCTAGGGTTTTGAATCATAATTGATTCCAAGTGGAACCTTCCATCTCCAACATATCTGAAGCCATAATACACAAGAAAGTTGCTTACAGGATGTAATCAGTATCCTCAGAAAGCTTCGGAGAAGTACATCCAAGAATTTCACCAGGGCTTAGAGGACTGCATTGAGGGACATAAACAGAGAAGTTCATCGATTCTAACTGCTTTTTTAACGCCTGAACAACAACTTTAAATTAAATCTCTAAACATACATTCAATGAAGTAACAAACTGCACAGTGCTCACTAATGCCATCTTCTTTTCCTTCTCAACATTGGCCACCACCGAGTCAATGGCGTGACTGAGATTGATGTTTATATTCACAAATATATACAACAGATGTATTCCCTGTGTGTCTTGAATGGGAACGAGGCAACTATGACCATAATGAACTAACAAAGTGCATCCCAATGCACGGGCAGTATAATCATCAACACAACAGGCACCATAAGTAACATCACCCATGATGAAAACTTCACATCCCGTGTGTTTCGTCAATATATCACTTATGATACATGCATACAGCAGCAAACCCTCTGGTAGCTGCAACGCCACATATTTTGATCCTGTTGTCCTTATCTTCCATATTGTTTTAGGAATTTCAAAAGTGTAATTCTTTGGCAACTAAAAAATACATCGAGTAGCAGAAACAAACTCACCAAGGAAATGTCTTTTAGGAGAATAGGGTCGTCTGAAATAGCGTCAAGTTCTTCTCTTAATTTGGCGTGTGCCATTGGTTTACGGAATTTTACGCCGCTCAAAAAAGGTCCGCTGCACGTCAATCCAGCGCGCGCCAATTTATTTTCTTCTACAAAAAATCAAAAAAATAATTCGTGTCAAGTGTCTCCCTGGCCCGTTTGGTCAACTGTTTCCCTCCGCTTAAAACCTACCGTATACGGTTAATCATCGCATAAATGGATAAATACTGTGTTTCGTAGCTATCTAAAAACAAAAATACCTTTAAAAAAACCAATTGTGTCTTGACATTATTTTCATTAACAAGCCCAATTTTCGTTTTGAGATTCTGGATTTTAACTATTCCGGGCCGGTCCGAAATTTCCCGGAAGCCATGTCTATTTTTCCCGAAAAGTTTTTTTCTAGAGAAAAAGAGAACAAAAAATCAATTTTTTCCGCACGAAACTGGCAATGTTATGGCCAAAAAGCGGTTTTCTCTCTAACCGCTCTCCGCGTTAAGCGTACTCTCTCGGCGGTAAAGATGGTTCAATATCTCGGTGACGCTTGCAAAGCGCGAGCTAAAACTCTCAGGAATTCATATTTAGTTAATGCCCCACGTGTGTGCAAAATTCTTCGACACGCATTTCTCGTTTGGATAGTTAGTCTAATTTTGTGGTTCAAAAAACGGGTAGCAAACATTATAAATAAAGCCGCAGTCGTTAATTATTTTTACCGAAACGCTTCCTTTTATCATAATAACAAACAAAATAATACAAAAGTAGGCAAACATGAGATCCATTTGAGAATAACAAAATATACCGACACCGTACGAAGTTTACAATCACAGAAACACCCGTCAATAGACAATCCGATATGAATAAGACAACGTTACAGTAAAGTACAGGGTGACAAAAAATGCTTATTTAACATGTTTTTTGAATGTCAAACAGAGGGACCTCGATTTGGACCAGTTTCGGTATGAAAAAGGACAGTGTGATGCTAAATTGCTCGGTGTAGCAGAATCTGTGGAAGATGACGGAAACTCGAGCGTCGCGCGATGCGAGATGATCCTGTTTGCAGACTGAGAAGTCTACGTGGACTCAGCATCTTGGCAATGCATTTGACGTTCCAAAAGGATTCCGCCCTGACTTACAAAACAAAAAAAGACTCAAGGAAAAGGCTACGAATGGGACCGATTTCTCCGATTTTATTCCGTCTGCGAAATGACCGCTACTCGCCCGACCTGAATCCGATGGACTATATTATTTCAATTGGGGGCCAGCATCTATACTATACGCCACAAAAGGTTGGGGTCGCTGAGTAATCGTTACACCAACAACGGGGCTTTTCCCAAAAAAAATTGCGGCGGATCGCCCAAAATTTTAAGTCACATTTGGACCGCTGTATCTAGTGGAAGGCACTTTGAAACTGGTTAGATATATATGGTTACTAGAGCTCTATGTTACTGATATTGATCGTTGCTCTGTGTAAAATTGGGTTGTCAAATAAAACATAGCTATAAATATGAGTGGCATTTTTTTGTCATCCTGTATTAACTGCAAGAGGGAAACCTAAAGAAACTATGCAATCTCCTAAAGCCCTTGAAATTTTGTTATGAAAGAGTTCCACTTTCAAAGGTCTTGGTAAGTCCACGAAGCAAGTCGCCTGAGATTCCAATAAAGAAAGGTCTCCTATGATGGTTTTGAAGGCTCAGTTTTCGGTTTAAACCGGGTCGAACGTTGCATCCAGAAGGTGACAGTGAAGATGGCATCGCCTAAAGCCGATGATGAGCATTCTAAATCGAACTTCATATCACGCAATCGACGCAAAAAGCCCTGCTCTTGCAGTTCCAGCTCATTTCGGGCCATTGTATTTGCCAGTAAGGCCTGCTCAGCTAGTCTTGAATAGGCATTCTCCTCCATCATACACTTATAAAGAACTCTAGGGATCGTAACCTAAACAGATATTTAAAGAAGGAAATCTATTAATACCGTATCAGATGCAGCCATCTGGCTTACAAGATTTTTATTGTTATCGGTGACCAGGCGTTCCAGGAAATCGCTGTCTAGTATTTCGCCATCTTCCAAGTGACCAGTTGGTCGAAGGATTTCTTCGTAAACTTTCAGGAAGGCACGTCTTTTCTTAGAAGGCTGTAAAGAGATTGACAGAATGTAACGAAAGAAGTAACATGGTCTTACATTATAGTTTTCTTGATATAACTTCGTGCATACAAGAGCCTCCGCTAAACACAAAAGTCCTTTGACAATATGCTTGTTCTTCGGTAATGCTGAATGGCCATTGAAAAGTTTCCCGGTGACGGATCTAAATTTTGTGTGAAAAGAATACGCATGCCTTAATTATTACCTTAACAAGGCCAGTGCCTGACGAAGATCACTTTCTGTCGTCGTATGACTTGGTGACAACGAATATAACAGCAATCCTATCGAATACAAAGACCGAGTCATACATCCAAGAGATATTACATTTGGCGGAATACTACGAATGAACTGACGGACCGATGACAACAGCTCTTGATGGTTAGGGATCTTCCTTCTGTTCATAAATACACATTGATCAGGCAGGTCCATCCTGCTGGGACAAGGAAAATCGTATCCTTCATATTCGCCAATGGCAAAACTCGGAGGTTTTATAACCCTGAAGGTGGGCTTGTTCGAGTTGAGGCGACTACTTGGACGAAGATCAGGCGTCGACACATTTCTCTCAGATGCACATGGCTTTACATCCAATTTCACTGGCTTCTCGAGCGGTCGCTTTTCAGGACTCTTGGTTCTCGACTTTGATTTCTCTTTATCGTCATGACTGGGTCGGTAATCCTTTGAACTGCTCTTCTTCTCCGACCTATCTCTGTGCTTGTTGTCTCGATCGTTACTTCTTTGTTCGAACTTTTTATCTAAACCGAAACATTAAATAAAAACCAAAAATTTACTCTTATCCGACTTTGAGTCTGTGGATTTGCCCTTATGATCTCTTTGTTTTCTTCCAAAGTCTGCCGTTTCAGCAGCTAATTTAGGCATTTTCTTCGGTGGTGAGTGATTTCTCGAACTCTTTCGATCTTCACCAAATCTGTCTATAGCAGAATCCCGCCTTGATTCTAGGTCGCTCAAATGTGCTGGCAACTCAAGCTTCACTTTCTTCACGGCCGCGCTTTCGACCATTGCCCCTGAATCACTGAATTCTGGGAGCCTTTGGTTGTCTACGCATCTCTGTTTTACAGAAAACTGAACATATTGCATCTCACTAGAGCCAATCTACCTACCTTAATATTTTCTTGTTCTGGGGATTTGGGGGAACTCTTCAAAGTTGCCGAATTCAACGGTGATACTGGCTTTTCCAGCAATGACATCACGTCGACGATGCCCTCAACCGACATTCCATTCTTTCGAATTTCGTAGCTGCCATCCCCTTTGATTTTGTCCTAAAGACTTATAGATATAGATGGAAAAATTACATTATCAATCTTCTCCGGCAGTGATCTCATTTTTCCATTCTGATTGGGTCTTCCAGAATCGATGCGTTCAATTAATGGAGGGATATCAGTCATCTCCTAAGAAATGCAGTATTAAATCATTTGGCGACATACTTCAATAATTTTTTCCACTTCTTTCAGAATCACAGGGTTTGTGTTGGACTTTGCATTGTGCGGATTATCATCGTTATAGGAGTATTCTTGGAGATTTCCCAAAGCAATCCCTTCTGGTTGCTTCCCATTGAAGTCGTTAAACGACCCAAGAACATCTACATTTTCTACTTAATTAATGAATAAGCGAACTCACTTCTAAGTTCATTAACAATGAAGGCGGTCTTCTCATCTGTGGAATTAAGGTGTGTCCTTAGATGCGTCATACACTAATATTTATCTTACCATTTCTGTCGAATATCCCTCCGTGCATTCTCAGAAGTCATTTGTCCGAACCCAACAACGCATCACCCAAATAACCAAAAACTGAAAGGGAGAGTTATAATACTTCAAAGATCGATTGATTGCTGCTTGATCTAAAAGAATCTTTCTTGATTTACCCAACCTTCTTGGGTTTGCGGCATTCAGAAAAAACTTCTGTTCGCGGGTCGCGCCCGAGCTTTATCGACATTATAAAAAAGGTGCTGATTGACAGGTAAAAATTGCGTATACGTATATCCCATTTCCTTTTTTCTGCAATCTGACTCAAAACTTGGTAAAACCCACAGCGTCAAATTCTGTTACTATAAATAAGCCGGCAAAAAGGCGAAATTAAAAGAACTGCACATAACCAGGGGTACGGACCGGACCGGCCCGGGCCGAAAAATGGAAATTTGAAAACGAACCGTGCCTGAATTTGACGGGCCGAGTCTCTCAATAAAAACGTTTACTAGTCTATAGATCCATTTTAGACATTCGCTGTCCAAATATAGAGAACTCGTAGTAACGTATTACATGTATTAATGTTTCTCTTTACTTATTATTGCTTCACAGGTTTTGCGGGAGACTCGAGCAAGCTGTGCACAAAAAGCAAGATGTTACGGTAGAGACGTGATATACCTACCACATTTATTTAGTAAATCCTGTATTAAAATGGGCAGGTCAATTTTTTTATTTTTGTCTTACTGTAGGTATACTGTACATTTTAATAATTTTCGTTGCTCTTCGTTCAGCAATTCAGGATAAGTGCCGAGGGTTGAAAAAAATTACAGTGGTAGCCGTAGCCGACACGATTTTTTTCTGAAATTGAATCTAGTTTTTGAGAAAAAAATCAAGCTACTTTCCAAACTTCCAAAAAAATCTTGAATAACTAAAATAAGAAAAGCGACAAAGACAAAAGTTATACGGCCCTAGGGTAAGGTTATAATGGAGCTAAATTCTGTCCCGATATCTCACGCGTACAACTTTGCCACAAAAGAAGTTCTGTAAGCCAAAAATAAAAAATTTGACCTGCCCATTTTAACACATGAGTTACTAAATAACTATGGTAGGCTTATAACGTGTCTACTGTAACATTTTATTTTTTGTGGAGGTTCAAAGGAATTTTCTCCGGCCTATAAAATTTTGAAACGGGTGCCGGGCCCCGGGCCTGAGCAAAACAAGTACTTTACAATGAAAACGTTTAACGATCAAATATTTCGCAGACAGATTTAGAATTTTTCCCCTTTCGTCTTCCGACTCAACTGCAGCTGCAACTGGCTAACTAGTTTTCGACCTCAAAACCAAGTTTTGAACAGGGAAAAAAAACAAATTATGACAAAATGTCAACATTCATTGATTTTTTATGACCAAATTCCTCTTTTTTTTACATTTTTTAAATGTAAAAGTCTTTTGGAAATTCCCATAAATACTCGAAAATACCTGACTTCGCGGGTATTTGGGTATATACCCCGTCCGAACCCTACCTGCAGGTAATACCTGTGGCTAGACATTTCTCGTTTATTAGGATACTAGTTGACTCTTGGGTCAACTGTGCTCATAATTGTTTGCATACGGCAAAAAGGGGAAGGGAATTCAGATCTTTTTTCTTTTGTGTCTGAAGGGGCATCTGGACGATTATTTGTCAGTTCGTTCTTCTCTCGTTCTGTTAGTTGTTCTAAAAAGGGATGTGGATCCCGATCCATATTTTCTTTTTCGTCGTATCCAGTGTAATATCGCAGAAAACATCCAAACGTTCGTTCTTTTTTTTTATAAACTTGTGTTGTTTAGAGGTGGTTGTGACATCATCAGATGAGAAGAGACGGGATCCGGAGGGCTTTGCGGCCATAAGAGAGCTCCATTCGCTCCTAGATGATGATAAATCTGGATCTATTGACCGGTCGGAGTCGGCCGATGTATGTTTTGCATTCTATTTGATATTAGTTAAAGTTTTAGTTCTTAAAAGAGGATTTAAAAGTCATGGGGACAGACAAGACCGTTAGAGAGAACGCTTTCCACCACAAAACTGATGAATCAGTTACTGTAGATGATCTTTGGGACAGCTGGTTTGATTCCCCCGAACGAGAATGGACTACCTCTGAGATGGTCAGCTGGCTTACAAATGTAGTTAGGCTTCCACAATATGCAGAACACTTTGTCAATGCAAAGCTTACTGGAATAGCATTCCCCAGGTTGGTTTTTCAGAAATATTACCTGACTGTTTTTTTAATTAAGGATGGCGGTTCCAAACAACTCGTACATTGTCGAAGTTCTTAAAATAAAGAATTCTGTTCACCGTCAAAAGCTACAATTAAAGGCTTTGGATGTCGTTCTTTTCGGAGTTCACGACAGCACTTCACTTAAAGATGTTGCGCTGGCCATCTTGGCAGCTTCTTTTATAGTTCTAGCAGTTGTGTTTATCTCACATCGCAACAAATCTCACAAACAACTCGAAGAGTTGTCCACCCAGCTGAGTGAATTGAACACTATGGAAAGAAATTTTGGAGCGGAAAACAACGAAGATTTGGAGCAGGTAACAAGAAAAGGATGTGTGATTTTTTCCTTTATAGTTACAATCAAAACTTCGAGAAATGGAGCAGCAATTGGACGCACGATCCAACTATGATCCTTCTTCCGTTCTTAGCGATCTCCAACCGCTTTTAAGGATAACATACGAAAAGGAATTGTGTTATATTCATTTCACCAAGGCGCGGTGTCTGGAAGAAATGAAGGAAGCGCGGGAATACGTCGACAAACTGAGAAAGAAACAGACGAACTTATTCAATTCGATTAAACTGGCAACCGGAGCAACGAGTGGGACCGATTCTATCGACTTTAAAATTTTCAAATTAAAGTAAGCCATCTCAAAGAAAAAATTACCGTTCAGGGAGCGAATGGAGAAGATCCGAACTGATTTCACCGAGCTTCATAATCGATATGCTCAAATGGAGAATATAATGGGCATGCAGATAATGGGACCCACAGGTATACAAAAATTCAACAACTATTTCGTTTTTTAGATAGTCCGTATGAGCACCCGGCAATGACGACCAACGCTTCTTCTTCATATCTACCGTCATTGATAAGTCAAGGTTGTTTTTTTATAGTTGAGGATTCGCCGTCCCCTGTTTCTTCTTCTTCTGGCGAGGATATTTGAATTCTTTCTCTAAATCCGTACATTCCAGGATCCTTTTGAACATAACGTGCCCTCACTTCGCATGAACATATCTCATTAATTCGCCATAAATTTTCTCCGTGATGGGTACCATTCTAACTATGGAATTTCCCAAACTATCCATGGCCAAATTGCATGTGTTATATACCGTTCGAAAGCCCTTGAAAAGTTTTCACGGAACCGGTTTCAAAACTTGCGAACAGTTGACTGGTTTGGGGAAATCGACCGCCGGAAATTTAGATTAATTTGTTCTAAGATGCATGCGGGCCTCCTAGGTCGCGGTTTTCAGATACTACCGAGATTTTTAGATCGAAAGTCTGCAAAAATGCGACGTTTTTTGGCGGGCTTTTGCACTATTTATACTTTAAAAGGTAATTTTTTCACAAAAAATATTTTCCATGCGAAACTAGTAAAGAAACGACCAAAAAGTGTTTTGATATCTGACCGCACTCAACGTTTCGCGTACTCTCTCGGTGAAAAAGATCGTTCAATATCTCGGCAGCGCCTGCAAATCGCGAGCTAAAACTTTCAGGCTTTGATATGTGACCATGTCCAAGGTGTGCGCAAAAATTTTAAAAAATCTGAGCGTTGCGCTTCAAATACTTCCCTTATTAGAAGGATTTGATGGGCTTTTAAGTGTAGCGGGTAATTATTTATGCTTTTAAGTACCTCTGTTAATTGAAAAAAGAACCCTGTCTAATGCCGTCAACAAAATTTTTGGCTTAAGTGATGACTTAACTTAGAAATGTTTATAAAAATTGAAGCCTAAGATTAATTATCATATGATTGTCGGGAAAGTAATGAGCACAATTTATCATCCCAAATCGCATCGCCGCCGAAAATATTAATTGTGTCGCTGCAAACTCAAATTTCTTTGTACTACAGCTACGCGATCGGCGCTGCGATATTGCGCTCATTGTTTTTCCGACAGACTGACGTAAAAATTTTTTGTTCTATTAGTATTGCGAAGAGCTGTACATCTTTTATATATACATCTGCAACTTTTTTCATTTTCGGACAGTGAGAAGTTTTTATTTGCGGACAGCGAAAAGCGCGTCCCTCATATCCAAAGTAGACTGATGCTGGCTAGTTCTCTGTCCAGAAGATATGTGGCCCGAGTTGCTGTAAATAATCTAATCCGGTCCAAACTGTCGCATTGTTTTTTTAAAAAGATCAGCTTTGGGGCGTGATCGGCATTATAACCTTCTACGAAGGTCCCCGGGTCGGAAACAAATCAGAGGGATACACTTGAAATAAATTGAAGCCTTCTCCGTAGCCAAATTCCTTTTGCAATTTTTGAAACCCGTTCCGGACCTCTCCCAAAGGCTGTTGAATGGTATGTAGCACATTTCATTCGACCATCCATAGTTTGTGGTATTTCCTTGTAAGTCAGCTCAATTCTAAAACGCGATGTAGAAGAAATAAATATTATTAAATTTTTATTCAATCGTAACATAATTAAGAGGCCGGCTTCATTAAAAACAAAGACATTCCTGAACAGAATTGGCGGCTTGACTGAAGGTCGTAACAAAACATTCCACGATCGGAAAGGCTATCAAACAAGTTAGGTATAAAAATAAACCCTCAGAAGACGTTAGCTACACAAAAATAGTCGGTGGGACCGTTAGTGTTAAGAAAAGTATTCAGAGACTTACTCTGCAATATATTTACAATAAATACAAACAATAAATGTGCTGAAAAGGAAGGATACCGTGCCTCAAAACAATAAACATCTAGAAAATCGAGGGGAAACAGCCAACAAACGGGATAGGCGCTCTCTATGTACAATTATGTTACAGTGCTTGAAGATAGAAACTATTGTAAGACCCGTAGTGCTATGAAACGTATAAACAAGGCCAACACCCATCAAAGATAACACAGATAATAACAATACGGAGGTGATGGATCAATTAAAAGGTTAGGGTAAGAAGATCAGATGCATGAGACTCCGACATCGATACACACAAACAGAGATACATTGAGCAGCAACTTAAAACTACAACAAGTTGAATAAGTGAAGAGGAAATTAGAAACTGATAAATGAAAGACAATGCAAGATGGGTGGACACGATCAATTCCGTGCTGGATCCTCTAGGTCCTGGTCTGCCTTTATCTGGTTCGCCAGCGAAGGATCTATGTTAGAATTGGTTCGGTTCATGGTGTTCGGTCGTATTTTGAGGAAAGCGGCAAGGAGATGAGGGGTCTTCTTGAGATCAGCAAAGAGGGCGGTCCGCTCTTCGGAAGATTTCACCTTCTGTAGGCGATGGAAAATCTGCTGGAGTTGAGGATCCATCGGTTGTTTTGGTATTCGGGATGATCTCGAGTCTCGTTGGGTCGCACCAGGCGAATCTTAAACTTTAAACTAATTATTATCTGCGTCTCGATCACCTACCTCGAGGGGGTGGCGCTGATTGACGCATCTGGCTAGCTGGAGGAGGGCCGCCTTGTTGCTGCGGGCCAGGCCCTCCCATTCCTGGCCGTTGTTGTTGCCCGGGTCCGTTCTGCGACATCATTCCTTGATTCATCCCCATCTGCGGCTGACCATAACCTTGTCCTTGCTGATAGAAGCCTTGATGCTGACCAGTTTGGTGGTGCATTGGCTGGGGATTCCGATTATAGGGAGGTGGATTGATCTGCCCTTGGTGGTGCATTCCTTGCCCGCCCATCATCTGCTGCTGCATCCTTGGATTATGCATTTGTTGAGGGTTCATGTTCATTGGCTGCTGTCCCGGTTGATACTAAAAATCAAAATCACACCAAAAGATATTGCTTACTTGATTCATTCTGTTCATCATGTGCGGCTGCTGTGACATATGCATTCCGTGTCCTTGAGGGCCCGGCATATTCCCAACAGATTGCTGCGCATGGTATTGCTGCTGCGGATGTTGTTGCACATGCGAGGGGTTTAACTTGCTTGGCATTTGCCCTAAATACAAAAATATTTTTTCTTTTAAAAAAAATACCTTGATAACTGCTAGGAGGTCCGTTGATAACATTAGGATGGGACCCCGAACTCATCATAGGCTTCATGTTCTGACCATGCATTGATGTGACGGACGGAGGGTTAGACATTGGCTGCATCTGACCTTGTTGTTGCATCGGGGTGCTGGGAGTCGATGGTTGTTGTGAGGTGGAAGGTTGTTGTTGCACCACAGAACTAGGACCAGCCCCACCGCCTCCTGCATGCGAAAGTTTTTCGATACGCCGTCGCATCATCCTGTCGGCATGTCTGTTCTGCAACCGCTTCTGCTCTGCCAACTTCTGCCTTATATTGGGACAAAACGGAACATTACATATGGCCAACGTACAATGCTTTGCATGGTAGCAGCAGAGAGCGATAAGTTGTTTACAAACTTGGCAACTGCTATTCTGTCGCCTCTTGCAGAGTTTTGTGTGTTGGACAACCTTCTTCATCTTATGACACGTTGTCCGCCGACAGTTAGAATCCCGACATTGAACTGCATGTACAAGAGACTGGATGCACCGCTTAACGGACTCGTTATTGCGGCTATTTGAGGCATCGTTAGATTTGTTATCCACATCAATGAGACTGTTAATCTTCTCCATTTTGTGTTCATGTTGTACTTCTCCATGACATGTGTGACAGAGATCGTAGTCTTCACAGACTGTACAATGCCAGGTGGCCGTGTTCCCACTACAATTATTACAAGTGTAGGTCATGTCCTTATTGTCTTGTGTATGTAGAGCATGACAGAAGTTAAGAGTACTGTATTTGGCACGTCTAAGCGAAGAGAACTCCCAATGTTCTTCTCTGGCACGGTTGAGGAAAATATCGCGCCCATCCATCAATTCGCTCGCTATCAATGGATCCGTGTCTGTAATTTCCTTGGAGTTGACTGTGCATTCCTGTTGTTGGGAGAACAATCTGATCGTGAAGAAAACCTCCTTGTGTTTCTCGAGGACATTGTACAGCTTATCGGTGACGTGATTTCCAGTCCCTGTCGCATTCTTCTTCTTCTGCTTACTTAATTTCTTAAGGTTGTTCTTCTTGTTTTTGTTTGTTTTGTTGTTCTTTTTCCTGACCCCATCATCGGTCGAAAATAAATCTTCGTCATCGTCGTCGTGAAGAGTCTGTTCCAGCATTTTTCGATCATTTTCTTCCTTTTCAGCGTCTCTGATACAATCCTCTATAATATTTGGCCAGAAATCTCCTTCAAAATATGGAAGCTCTTTCGGTGTTTGGAGATTGTCATCTTTGGCCTAAACATGAAATTAAAACCACCTTTCAAAAGACATACCTGTTTAAAAATGTCCTTATACTCATGAACCGTCTCCTCTTTTTGTCCTTTCTCCAACATTCTCTTATACCAATCTTGCAGTCTCTTTGGTTTTGGGATTTTTTGTTCTGGGGGATGACAATGGAAAATGTAATCATCGCCTTCGGAAGGTGGACACGCCCAAATGTGAGCCATTGTATATCCTTGTAGCTTCACATATTGCATATAACCCAACAAAATCTCGTGATAAACATCAGTCCTAAGTTCGCGCGGTTGAAAGAAATGAACAGAATCGAGATATGCAATGTAAACCCTTCGTTTGTTGGGTGCAGGACAATTACTCCCGTATTCCTGGACATGAAGACCGAAGAAGCAAACCTCGTATCCATCCAAAATCTCAAAAGCAAAGATGGCTTTTGTTCGGTAAGGGAATTTCTCCGGAAAACCTTCAACGCCATACCTAAAAACGACAAACAGTGACAACAGTTGTAAAACTTACTTCTGCTTCATCATGGGTTTCACTTCAACTTCTTTATCCGCAGCTGCCAAGACACGAATAACAACTTCGTAAGGACCCTTCGTTTTCGATGGAAGACTGGATGTGATATAGGTATTCACCCGGTCTTCAATATACCTCGACAATTTGCAATGAGGTAATTTCTTCGCCGTAAATTTGTTCTCCGGCAATGGAAGATTCTTCTCTTTTCGGCAGTGATTACAAATGAATCCTTCGTTGTATACTTTCTTGCTGTACACGGCACAAATCCTGTGCCATTTTCGTTTGCACAACTTGCAATGCTCGAAAGGCTCTGGATCAATTTGATCGTTTTTCAACATTTGGAACTTTTCTTTCGGTACCATACTAAAAATTTAACATTCAGTAAAAATTCTCATAGAAGAAATGACAAATATAAATCTTACTTTGGTGGGTCCGACGGATTTTCATTGAGGTTAATTCCTTCTGGAGGTAATGCCTCAAAACACTTGGGACAATAAATGTACTTTTCGGACACAGTAACACCATATTGCGAAGAACCGGTCTCGTACATATGATACGGTTGATCTCTGGCAATTACACACATCGATTGACCGAAGCAAAACAGTGCTAACGGTGTGAAGGAAAGCTTTTGGCCGCAACAGTACCCCATTTGTTGCATTACAGGGTCAATCATTTCAATGAAAAGTTCGCTTAACTTTGAGCAATACTTGTAGACTTTAGAATTCTTTCGGTTGTACAACCAGGCATTGGCGAACATAAGATGCATATCGTCGCAGAACTCCCACGGATTTTTATATTTTCCACTATCCAGCTTAGTCGATATTGTGTGTAGATCCATCGGCTTTTTTATAATTTCAAAGTAATCGGGGATCTTCAACATTTCGGCATCAACGGGAACTCGGAAGGGCACGGCTTCTTCACAGGCATACATTCTATCCCACACAGGCTTGAGAAAACTCCGAAGCTCATCTGGATTGAAAGTCTTCTCTTCGACCTGAGGCTCTTCTTTCGGTTCTGACTTTGACGGAAATATTGTTTTTGATGAACTCGGTGCTGGTTCTGTGTCCTTAGTTGACTCCTCTTTTACAGGACGACTCTGTGCGGCAGCAATTGCTGGAGCTGTGACAGCCTCCATGGGTTCTTGCTTACATTCCACTTTGGGATGTAAATTTCCGAACTGGTTCGACGACGGTTGCGTATTCACATTGGATTGAATTGAGGCTTGCGAGGTTGATGGAATCTGTTGGGAACTTTGCGGCCTTGATGGCATACTGGTAGTCTAAAAGAAGATATAAAAACGCCTCAAAAGTTCCAATTACCTGATTTGATCCGACTTGAGGGTTCAAACCTAGTCCGGCCATCAGGTTTTGACTCGAATGCTGAGCTGAGAGGATGCCCGGCCTCATGTCGATCGTTCCTCCTTGCTCATTAAGCCTTCGATTCTTTTTTTCCTGCAGCTCTTTCTGGATTTTGTATATCTTTTCTGCCAACAAATGGTAGTACTCTTCCTTATCATCAGCAGATTCGAACATTTCTTTCTCTACCTTCCTGGCATAGGAAATGAGATCCTTAATCCTCTGATCTTGTATGGCAGCTGGATCAGGAGAGGGAAATATGGCTTTCACCAACTTTCCAACCAAGTGATTTCTCAAGTCGAGAGTAATAGACGAATGCCATTCTTTCTCATTCTGAGGTGGATCTGGGGTCGGTAAATTTCCAATCCCATCGCCCGGGGCTCCCACTGAACTCCGACCATTGGACATTTGCGGTGCGATTTTGTTTGGTGGATTGGCTGATCGAAACGGATCGCTAAATTGAAAAATCACAAGTTCATAAAAAAAAACGAACCCTGGGGTGGGGTTGAAATCCATGAGAAGACTATTTGCCCCCACACTCGGGTCGAATCCTTGAAGATTCATACCATTGGGCCCATTCATTGCACCATTCCCGTTTATTCCGTTACCATTGCCTAAAATACACACATAATTTGAAGTTGTTTCTCAACTTACGACTAAAATTTTTCAGGGGTTTACACACCGGACAATCTTCTTTTTTACAATTCTTCCAGTGAGTAATTATCTGCCTGGAAGATGCGCAGTGAGCAAATTGACATTGTCTCCCGTTATTACAATTGATCATATGATCTAGAACACTTTTCATGGTTGAGCAATGAGGCAGATTGCATTGGGTTCGATTAGCAGGTTCTTGACGTTCCCTCTGTTGACATTTGTGAGCATGAAGTAACAACACCAACTGCTGTTGAATAAGTTTTCGCTTTTCAGGATCTTGTTGCTGTTGTTGCGACAACGTCATTGGTGGTTGAGATCTCATATGGTTACCCATCCCCAACATCGGAGAGTCCATCGGCATCACACCCGAGTTTGAGGGAGGCTGTTGTTGTGGTGGCACAGGGCCGGGTCCCATCTGGGGATGCATTTGAGGAGACGGGTTGTAACCCATCGGTTGTTGTTGTCCTTGCGGCCTTGACGGAATTCCTTGCTGGTTCACATACATAGGATGCTGGCCATTCCATTGAGAGCCAGGGGCTCCCGGCATCTAAAAAATGTCAGTTAGAATTTCGGAAAATAAACAGCCCGAAAATTGCATAAATTTAAGCCTTACGATCATCGGTTGCCTGGGGCGCATCTGTTGAGTTCGATAGCCAGGAGGGATGTTTGGAGGCATTGTACCGTTGGGCATATTGGGCCGTATGTGTGGATTCATTCTCGCTTGCATGGGCATCCCATTTGGTGGTGGAGACATCATACTTTGCCCAGAGGCATTCGTCGCCGGGCTTCGGATATCTCGGTTGCTATACTGCTGTGTATTTGCATACTGTGTTCGTGGACTGTTATTGGATCCATTTGGATTGCTCAGTAATAACTCCTGAAGTATGGACGGCTGCGATGGTTGTCCGGGCTGTTGTGACGACATCTGCATCATCTGCGGGCCATTTGACGGTGTTGGTTGTCCATGATATGGGTGCATCTGGGGCTGACTTTGATTCATTGTCATCCCCACGCCTCCATTACCATTCTGCATACCAACATGCTGCCCTTGATCGTGCGGCATGCCACCTACTTCGTTCCCATAGCCTTCCATCTCGCCATCTAAACCGAGTTATCAATTAAAACATGTTGTTAACTTACTATTTTGATTCGATAATCGAGCCTTTTTTCGAGGCTGCTGGTCGTCCATAGTTTCTAGTTACATACGATATCTAAAAGATTTTGAGTATAAAATTCAAATCAATACCCTTACACGTTGGCCTTAACAAAGACTCAAGAAAAAATTTATCAAACTTACATTTAAATAATACGAAATATAACACAGTCAACGTATAATTGATCCAGATGCGGATCGGCCCAAAAATAAGGGATTTCTGAAAGATATTATTATTTATTCCATCAGACAAAAGGAACATTCAACGCCGAAGATTACGACGGCATATATCGCATACGGTAACAACGGGCACCGTGGATAAAATATACAAATCGATCGCTTCGGCACAAACTTGGATTCACGCAAAAATCGATGGAAGAAGACAAGACTTTTCGGATAAATATCTCCAGGGGGTCAAGATTGGGTACAAAAGTACAAAAAAGTTCACACTGATCAACTACTTTAATATAAATATGCTAGTTTTTTTGTGTTCTGCAACGGCGCCGAGTGGAAAGATTGAGAGTGTGGGTGCATTCTCCTCGGTTAAAGAGAGTTCTGCAAATGGCGAGATGCAGAGAAGGAGTGCACCGGCGCCTCCATTCCACAACCAATCAGCTTGCAGTAGAGGCGGTTCTTCTACCCGACTGCGGAGCCCCGAGACAGCCATGACGCGAAATTAGTAAGGGCTGTCTCTTCAAAGGGATCGGGGTCTTGTTCAGAAAACAAAGCGAATTTAAACCATATTCAACTGAAAAGTGCCAGTTTTGCATGGAATAAACCACTAAAGTCGAAGGTTTTAGTTTCCGAAAATCTTCGACAAAAAATAAAAATGTTTTCTGACGTTTTGGAATTTGTAAACGTAGAATCCGAATCGATAAAACAAAATGTCCAAAAAATATACAGTAAATTCTTTGGCATTTCGTTTCAAGCATAATTCCAGTATTCGAAAACTTGCTAAAAGAGGAATCCCTGTATTCATGAAAATATTACAGTAGCAAGCTTTTACAACTTTTGTTTGAAATACAGTGCTGGACAAGATTTTGTATATTTCACTTTAAAAATTGCTGTTACTTTTGTGGTCGTCAATAAAACTGTCATATTTGACACCAATATGCATTAGTATTCTGGCTAGTACTGTTCCAGAATCGGAAAAAGCCTCTATCATCTCAGCTACGGTTCAATACTGCTTTTTATTGTCGTATACTTCATGAACCGGGAGGTCCCACAACTGTTCTATCGGATTTAAATCCCGGGAACATGCTTGCCGATGCATGATAGCAATGCCTTGCTGTTCACGGAAAAGATTGTCCACATGCTACGATAGACGCGGGAAACGTCCTGCATGAACTCGTAGCCTGCCAATACTTCACCAAATGTTTTCATAAGTCGTCCTGGTACTCAAGGTTATTCATTTGAGTTGATATGGCCGCCAACGGAAGCACTCCGGATTATTCGAAGGCGCTCCGCATCATCAACGAGCCCCCTCCAAAATTACGGCGTGAGAAGTAACGCGGTTCTTTTCTAATATCACGCCAGTCCCATCAGGGCCCTCCAGGCTGAATTTTTTTCGCTGTACCATACAATTTCCAAGGAATATGGTACTGTAACGATGCGAAGCTGACCGTTCAACAATTAACCTCATGTCAATGGAAAACTTTATCTGCGCGTTGATGTGAGCCGGGAGAAACTTGGGGTACATCCATTCACATGACGCCTAGTGATGACGTCACCGTGTTTTAGAACTCTTAATATTGTGCGCCTGCTACAAATGAGGTCTAATTCTTGCTTTAATTGAGCCCCAGAGATGGTGGAGTTGGAAACTCGGCGGATTATTACTCTTTCCTCCTTTGGAGTGGTGCACTTTTTTCTGCCGTAGCTTTTTAATTTTGGATGGTGGTACCTTCTCAAAAAATTAATGGCACAGGATTTATGGGTACAATAATGCATATTGGTACCAAATATAACACATGTATATTGACAACCACAAAAGTTACAAAGTTTTTTAAAGTGAATTTATAATTTTGTCGAGCATTGTACATACATCATTGTTCGAGGAAATTAAGATCGGCATAAATTCCAATAGTATTTTTGCTGAGCTCGATTCTGCTGTTGTTCTTTAGTGTCATGTTCTCAACCATCGGAATAGGAAGTCCAATACGAAGAAGGGAGTCCGCGCTTACCTTAAACATGGGGGTCAAGAAGAGCTCCAAAGTCTGAAGGAAAGTGTCGCTGATGTTCCCAACTCGAGAGAAGTCTTCAACGAATTTCAGTTTGGTGCCATTTACTTCTCCGCATATTCTGTTGTTATAAAGTGCAGGAATTACACTAAGAATAGATTCCATTTCTGCAATGGTGTGAATAACATGCGATGTTTAGTTGTGTGCTTACCCAGTCTAGCTAGAACATCACGAACATCGGGTTTTCCTTTTTCAGGTTGTATCTTCATGTCGATGTAAAAAGTAGAGTTAACGGTTGCCATGTCGTCGATGGAGAGGATCGGACGTTCGGCTGTGTAGAACTCAAGTTCAATGTGACGACGAGGGTATCTCTCCTCCAGCGTGGGCAAAAGCTTGCCAACACAGACTTTATACCATTTGCAACTGAAATAATTCAATTATTAAAATATACATCTATGATGTTGGCTTCGCGGAACCAACTAAATAAATCACCTTGTCTGGAAAAATGTGCTTAATTTTGAATAAAGGTCCTTGGTTAGAGTGAAGTGCAGCATCTGATTGTAATGAGCGCTGAGGAGAAGACAGTTTCCGACTTGACTTGAAAACCAGATATTGGCCATGTAACTGTCGTCTACTTGCCCTAGAAGTACCGGCTCTTCGGGTAAACGGCACGTTAGATTCAATAACATTACGTCAACGTTTGCCTGTCCGACAACATCATCACTAAATATTATACAGGGTGTTCCGAGAATTGTGGAAAAAACTATTCATTAATAACTTTGCGCTCAGTGGTCCAATCCGAAAATTTTTTTTTGCATTTTACAGAAAAGCCTCGGAGTTTTTCGAATCTAAAAATTTTTTTTCTTTTATCGGCGGTAACTTCCGTAATCCGCCTTGAATTCGGCGGAGTGTTTTTTTTAGAAATGAGGTTGTAAATCGATGTATGTGGAAAAAAAATAAGCGGAAAAAGATCCAGAGGATGCAATATGACATTTATTTCAAATTTTCGCGATTTGGCGGAGACATTTTTTTATCTCGGCGGACGATTTTTCTTCGACTTCGGAGAGTCAAAATTGGCTAAAACAAAAACGTATGGTTTCCCTGGTGGCATGGCGCTTAAATAACACTTATTACGTCCTCGGCTGACTGGCAGATGAAAAAACGGCAATTCGGCGGAGAAATCGGCGTAGAAAAAATGAACCCATTTAAGAAATTATGATGATAAAACTAAAATTCTAGGTCTTATGCGGCCCTGATCAACTAAAAAATATGATTCTTCTTATCGGCGGATGCTCGGCGGATAATTTTCATAATTACATAAATGGGTTAATTTTTTTCTCCGCCGATTTCTCCGCCAAATTGCCGTTTCTTCATCTGCTATTCCGCCGAGGACGTAATAAATCTTATTTAAGCGCCATGCCACCAGGGAAACCATACGTTTTTGTTTTAGCCAATTTTGACTCTCCGAAAAATCGTCCGCCGAGGTTAAAAAATGTCTCCGCCAAATCATGAAAATTTGAAATAAATGTCATATTGCATCCTCTGGATCTTTTTCCGCTCATTTTCTTTCCACATACATCGATTTACAGCCTCATTTCTGGAAAAAAACACTCCGCCGAATTCAAGGCGGATTACGGAAGTCTCCGCCGATAAAAGAAAAAATTTTTTCTGATTCGAAAAACTCCAAGGCTTTTCTGTAAAATGCAAAAAAATTTTTCGGATTGGACCACCGAGCGCAAAGTTATTAGTGAATAGTTTTTTCCACAATTCTCGGAACACCCTGTATACTCCGCGTACAATGTTTTGACCCCCCTCCTAACTCGGCCCAAAGTGTACCAATTCGGACCAAATTTGGTATATAGTCTACTCACAGGCTGGTAACAAAAAATAACATAGCAGGACATACCTCATTGTTGAATTTCAAAATCCAGGGGCAATTTTCAAAAATCACCTTAAAAAATCGAGGAAAAAGTTTTGACCCCCCCTAAAAAAAGTTAGATATCGCCAGCGTATGCTACCCAAACCTATCGTAATCGACGTCCCATACCTGAATACAGGTTAATAAATGGTTTCCCGTTGAATGCTTCGTTGCATTTGAAGATTCAACGCGTTAACCCGTTTTTGATGTAGAACTGCCCAAAATGGTAGAAATCTTGTACTAGCGCCTTCCAAAAGTTCTAAATTATGTTTAAATCATGTAATTTTGACGTGTAATCACCTGCATTAACCTTTTTCTTTCGAAAAAAAGTCCATGATGGCCCAGCGATGTCGATTCTGCCGATATCCGGTTGTCATGCCCAGCCTTGGTGAGCCATTTGCTCTTTGACTCAAGGTCTTGAAGTGGTCGTTAGGCCCTCAATATAATTCTGAGACTCCTATTTACTCTCAGTAATGTAAATTTTTTCGATTTGACACGTTTTGTAATGGGTTTCATTCACCTTAATCTTGAGTTTGTCGTTACTGTAGATGCCCCCGAGGACGATGACATCCCCACCGCCCATTTGGCGTTCCGTACGTCTCAAATGGGTATGGAGGGTGCTGTAGCGTCTTAGATTACCTGGTCCATCAAATGAAAGCCGTTTTTGGTGGCTAAAAATCCATTTGAAAAACGCGGGTTTTTCGTTAAGGTGCAGATCGGCGAAGTTGCGCCTGAAAACCATATGAGATCGTGTCAGCCGGAGTTTATTCTTTTTCTGAGAGTAAGTATGGGTCTCAGAATTACATTGAGAATCTAACGACCATATCTAGCCCTTCGGTCAAAGAGCTAATGGGTCGCCAAAGCTCGGCATGACAAGAGGGTATCTGTCGAATCTACACCCCCAGGCCACCATGCACTTTTATCGAAAGAAGAAGGTAAATACAGGTGTAAATCACATAATATAAACCAAATTTAGAGGTCTTGGAAAGCGCTAGGACAAGATTTTTACCATTTTGGGCAGCTCTGCATCAAAAACGGTTTAACGCGTTGAATCTTCAAATGCAACGAAGCATTCAACGGGAAACCATTTATTAACCTGTATTCAGGTATGGGACGTCGATTACGATAGGTTTGGGTAGCATCCGCTGGCGATATCTAACTTTTTTTAGGGGGGGTCAAAACTTTTTCCTCGATTTTTTAAGGTGATTTTTGAAAATTGCCCCTGGATTTTGAAATTCAACAATGAGGTATGTCCTGCTATGTTATTTTTTGTTACCAGCCTGTGAGTAGACTATATACCAAATTTGGTCCGAATTGGTACACTTTGGGCCGAGTTAGGAGGGGGGTCAAAACATTGTACGCGGAGTATATTTGATGAGATCATGTTTACTAGGTGGTTGTCAATTTGACAAAACTTCTCAAAATGACGTCCCATTGCGCCACGTTACTGTCATTTTGGCTAACAAGGGAAGTACCCCAAGTGCGACGCTCAGATTTTTTTTTGATTTTGCACACACGTCGGAAATAGACTAAATATCAATTCCTGAAAGTTTTAGCTCGCGCTTTGCGGGTGCCGCCGAGATATTGAACGATCTTTGCCGCCGAGAGAGCACACTAAACGTGGAGAGCGGTCAAAGAGAAAAACAGTTTTTGGCCATAACTTCGCTAGTTTTGCGTGGAAAAATTGATTTTTTGTGGAAACATTACCCTCTATGATAGAAATAGGCATGAAACTTTTCGTCCCGAAATTCGGCAAAAAGTCTCAAATTTTTGCCGACTTTCGATCTAAAAATCTCCGTTGTTTCTGCAAAGCGCGAGCTAAGATTCTCGCTTGTATCCTAAAAAAATTGGCGCTACGACATTTCGGGTCAGGGACAACTCGGGTCGCGACAACTCGGGTCAACGACAACTCGGGTCAACGACAACTCGGGTCAACGACACTTCGGGTCAACGACATTTCGGGTCAACGATACCGTTTAATATTTTCGCTTCGGGACTTGGAAAAAAGAATTTTTTGGTGAATTTAAAAAATTTTTCAAATGTTTTCGCTTCGGGACTTGGAAAAAAAGGATTTTTTGTGAAATTTGAATAAAATTTGAAATGTTTTCGCTTCGGGACTTTTAACAAAAGGATTTTTTGTGAAAATTGAAAAAAATTTGAAAGGTTTTCGAGCTGACTGAGTATGAACTGACTGAATATGAAAACTGGGTTTCTGTTACCTTACTGCCTTTAGGGATTCTTTTTGAAAATTTTTCGACTTATAGCACTTTTAGACGTTAATGGTGTTGTTTTGGTGCCTAGTACTGCTTAAAAAACACATTTTTAACACTTGGTACTAAATAGTACTACCTGGTACTATTTAGTACGAGGTGCAAATTTGGCCGTAAGGCGGTAATGGCGTTGGTTTGGTGCTTAGTAGAACCCAAAAACACGTTTTAACACTTGGTACTATATAGTACCAACTGGTACTGTTTTGTGAGAAGTGAAAATTTGGTCATGGGGCAGTAATGGCGATGGTTTGGTGCTTAGTAGAGCCCAAAAACACGTGGTACTATATAGTACCAGGTGGTACCATTGGTTTTAGACAAAATTTTAGTGCTGCCGGCACCACAGTTAATATTCAGTCAGACACCCTTTTTTCTACTTCCGATGCGAAAACATTTCAAAATTTTGTTGAATTTTCCAAAAAATCTTTTTTTCCCAGTCCCGAAGCGAAAACACTTCAAATTTTTTTCAAATTTCACAAAAAATCCTTTTTTTCCAAGTCCCGAAGCGAAAACATTTCAAAAATTTCTCAAATTCACCAAAAAATTCTTTTTTCACAGTCCCGAAGCGAAAATATTAAACGGTATCGTTGACCCGAAATGTCGTTGACCCGAAGTGTCGTTGACCCGAGTTGTCGTTGACCCGAGTTGTCGTTGACCCGAGTTGTCGCGACCCGAGTTGTCCCTGACCCGAAATGTCGGGACGCGAAAAAATTATTCTAAATTTCATCAAAATCTGGGGCCTGTCCCACTAACAAAGCGTAGCGCTGAGCGTCGCACTTCGGGTACTTCCCCTGTAAATTGAAAATTCTGATATACGAAGTTTTCACGGCTTAACATAACCTTAATGAATGCCGTTAATATTAGTCGTAACTATCAGTCTGTCGGGAAAATAACGGCGGATCGTCGCGCCTTGGAATCGCTCGTCATCGCTTTGCGACTGAAAGCCGCGGCTGGGGATTTGGTGCGCGATAGCGGCGAAGCGAGACATTTTGCTACGACAATCCGCCGTTATTTTCCCGACAGACTGTATTCAGTTCCCAAAAGTTTTAAATTATTACGATCTTTTTGCAAAAATCTACAAAAATTTACCAAAAAGGTTTAATTTGACAATCAAAATGACAGGACGGTTTGACAACGTGACTGACGCGTCAATCTGAAGACTTAAAAACCCGAATGAGCTTACGAATTGACTTCAAGTGGGTTTTGGAGTAAGTTATAATCGAGATACACATCCCCAGCCACATTCAGATGCTTGGGTAATGACTTTAGGGCGTCGTTTGCTTCATCCAGTAATGTGGTTTTTGTAGTTTCACAGAGCTGCGTATAATTTTTGATTTTTAATTTACAATATATAAGGATGGTGACATACGCATCAAATCGGGTGTCGTGGCCAGAAACCGCAATTTCTTGTCTTTTAGGCTTCAAGACAAGAAATGCGTAATTCTTGTCTCAAATTGCGTAACATTGCGCAAATTTCTGCTCTCTCCCTGTAGAGATTTTTTTCTTTTTTTCTCTGCTCAGAGGCCTAACAGACAAGAAATCGCGGTTTCTGGCCACGACACCAAATTTGACGCGTATTTCACCATCCTTATAGTATGTACTATTAAAGAGGGTGTTCCTAGAATTATGGAAAAAACTATTCATTAATAACTTTATGCTCAGTGGTAAAATCCGAATTTTTTTTTGCATTTTGCAGAACAACCTTGGAGTTTTTAGAATCAAAAAAATTTTTTCTTTTATCGACGGAGACTTCCGTAATTCGCCTTGAATTCGGCGGAGTGTTTTTTTCACAGGCTGTAAAAATGGGTTCATTTTTTTCTCCGCCGATTTCTCCGCCGAATTGCCTTTTTTTCTCCCAGTGGGCCGAAGACGTAATAAGTCGTATTTAGGCGCCATGCCACCAGGAATACCATACTTTTCGGTTTTAGCCGAGTTTGACTCTCCAAAGTCGAAGAAAAATCGTCCGCCGAGGTTGAGAAATGTCTCCGCCGAATGACAAAAGTTTGAAATAAGTGTCATATTGTATCTTCCGAATCCTTTCCCGCCCATTTTTTGTACACATACAACAATTTACAGCCTCATTTGTGAAAAAAACACTCCGCCGAACTCAAGGCGGATTACGGAAGTCTCCGCCGATAAGAAAAAAATTCTTTTTTGATTCTAAAAACTCCAAGGTTTTTCTGTAAAATGCAAAAAAAAATCGGATTGGACCACCGAGCACAAAGTTATTAATGAATAGTTTTTTCCATAATTCTAGCAACATCCTGTACTATAGAAATTGCAAAATCGGTCACCTGGGTATGGATGGCTTTTTTGATTGCATCGCTAAGATCGGCACTGAATAAATTGACAATCCATTGAATGACCCCGCCTCCAAGAGTCATGTGAAGTTGTTCCACATCAACTTCGCAATCATGCAGTTGCAATTGCGGATGTCCTGCATCGCTGTATACACTCAGTGTTGTAAAGGAGTTTATCCCAGTAACCAGGACTTCTACCCATCCTCCGAGATAGATCTTTAGAAAAGCATGGCGTTACAAACCTTGGCACTTACAGGAGTTATCCAATCATATACAGCTGACCAGTTTCCCAGTATTTTAATAGCTCCACCTTCAGAATTCCAACTCAAACTTTCAGGTGGCGTCAAATCGAATTTGAAGAGAGGCGACTCGAATTTTGGGATTTTCAGATCCGACACATTAACTGTCCCCACCCCAGGCCCTCCATTTATGGGCAGGCTAATATTGGGGAATTCAATTTTAGGAAGTTCCCTTGTAACCTGTATATGTACAAACTATCAGATCAGCCGAAAGTAGACATGGTATGTAAAAATTTAACCTACAATCTTATGTCCGATCGAACTAAAGAAACCGAGGCCTCTTCGTGACAATGCCAAGGTTACACTTTCATTGTTGGATAAGGCAAAACAACAGAAAGAAAATGATAATAAGAGAAATACAAATCTGGGGTTAGTCATTTTGATCGAGGTCACACGATCTGATATAAACAAAAGAAGGCCCTTTTGGTCTTGATACCGTTTCGTAACATTTTTTAACACAAAAAATGGGGATATTGATATTTTTGATAGGCAGAAAAATATTGCATCGTTATAACATCCAGTCTTTGCATAATGCCAAAAGTGTGATTGCAAAGATAAGATTTGATGACGATGTTCCGAGAAATTCAAATTTTGTACAGTGCAGAAGAAAAAAAAACATGACAGAAAAGCGTGGCCGAGCATCATGGTCGAAAAGAATTTGAATTCACCAGGAACCCCTCTTATATGTATTTATAACGTTTGTTGCAAAATTCTTTGACCAGCCAGCCAATGAGCTGAAATCACAACTAAATTTTTTAATGGCTAGCGAAAAACCTGAATCGGCTGGCCTAAGCGTCAAAATAGCTGTCAACAGTGTTTTTAACCGTTACTATTGTCTGTGAAGGCATTCTAACGCTAGCTAGCCGGTTCAAGGTTTGGCTAGCCATTGAAAAATTTTTTTATTATGCCAATTTTTTACACCTATTCCAAACATGTTGGGCCAAAACCCGGTCTTCGCCAAATGAAATCTGCCCCAAATTAAAGGTTGCGACTTTGTCTAGACATTGTAACCCATGGCGGTTCGGTGTGAGGAACTTTTGAAATCGCCTTCTTTGGTTTACTTCAGACTGCAAGTGGATTTTCCATGAATTGCCAATAATTGCCGTTTCTGCAAGGAAATGTTTCCAGCTTCTTGAATGGGATTAAAGGAAGGAAATAGTGACTGTGCTCACTCTTTCGTCATGTCGCGCTTCCTTCACATTGTCTATGTCGACGATTCGGCCAGATGTTTCTTCTTTAAATCGTGGGTTTATCTGTGTTCAGGCCTGGGGATTGAGTTCAATGAAGAATAAATAATAGCGGATTCTTTCCTTGTTATGTCACTTTCCGAGGTCATTATGATGGTCATCCACAACAGAACGGTCTCAAGTGGATTGGGGGAAAATAACGAAGTTTGTTAACCAGCCATGGCCGCGAAAAGGAAGAAGGGATGAACAAGACGGCCGTATTTACCTCTGATAAATTACATTTACCCTTGATTGGGATCCCTGGAGACTCTAGGGCTTTCGAGTTAATGAACATAGAGTAATGGCGTGAAAAAAACAGCGAGAAGGAGGTGGGGATTGTGTCCAGTCAGCTCGACGTGAAAGAGACGAGAGGGAACTCTTACTAAGTAGTAATAGTACTACTGTTCTCGCATTCGTAACAAACCAGCCTCTCTGACGAAAAAAAGCGAAAGGACTTGGAATACTTCGGCAAAAGAATGTTCTGTTTTTTGGACGTGTTTTGGTCACCGGCCACAGTGAGGACATGTCCTGGGGACAATGAACCGGCTTTGTCACCTGTCCCGGCCACAGTGTGCTCAACCTGGGGTTCGACTCTCTTGAGTTGAATTTACGAACGCTAAGCTGCTTAGCATTCCTCGGGACATAATTCTTTTTGTCAATTTTGGGAATTAATTTCCTTTGCAAGATGGCAATAGATTAGGATGAGGGCATTGTTTATGTCGTTTTTATATGGAACAAATTTTTTAGGATGTGGTTTCCGTATAGTTTCTGAAGTCACTTCGTAAACTCAAGGCTACCCTTCATTTGTTGCAGATTTCACTTGGGGCAGGTTGGGTATCGGGTCAACATTCATATCCAGTGTTGCGAAATTGGTCGACTAGCTAGCCAAAATGGTTACTCTATGTTCACACCGGAGGATAGGTCGCTCATGACCAAGCTCGCGACCTAGGTCGTGACGTCAAAATTGGTGCGAGAGTCACTTTGCTTATGCTTAGTCGTGACTTAGCCCGTGAGCTTTTTCAGGTATATCCCCCCAAAAGCGTTAAGATAAACGTGAAGAATCCATGATAAAATCCGTGTTTTTTTGGGGGAAAAACAAGCTAGTTCATGTCCTAGGTCGTGAGCTAAAGTCAGGATTAATTTCCAAGATCCCCAGAAAATAATGCTACTAGTTGTTCCAGACGGTTTTGGCGCTTTAGTTCGGTCAGTTCACAACCACACTGACTATTGTCCCGATCTAGGTCGTGAGCTTGGTGAAATCACTAAAAAGAAAGTGTCCTGACCATCATAGTCAAGCACTGAAACCGTTTTTTTTTTGATTACAAAATGTATCAAGGAGCGTTTGGTTACGGAATGTCTCCTTTACGTAGAAGAATTTTCCGGCGGCCATGTAAGAGTGAAGAATTCGTATCTTCATCTCATCCAAACAAGACCGATTTTGAGATTTTGCAAAGGACGCTAAATTTTCTTTTCCGTGCTTTTTTTCTCAAAGCGTCCTCATTTTTTACATTCTATTCTTTGCCAAAAAACGTAAAGAAAGCGTTTTTAGCGTTTTGATCTTCTTCACTCTTATATTTATTTATTCTCGTGAAACTACAATTAACATACATATCATTTTTGCAACTTGCATGATACGAACACGAGAATTTCTGTCAAAAATTGGCTTTGAGTTCCTTTGCGGGCACTTTGCGTGATTACGTAACAGCGCATATCAATTTGCGGGTGCTCAAATTTCTTGATTACGGTAATGTTGAGGGAGAGTTTATTTTTGGATTTTTTTTGACTCGCGGGGATATTGGGCCTATGTAAAAAGGAAAGGAGACAAGCCGATTACCTCAGAAATTATTAGGTTGCGGTTTTATTTGTTCACGACATTCCCGCGACCCGGTCGAACGCTGACCCCGGTGCAAATTGAATATTCATGACGTTGGCGGGAGTTGTCATTAGCACCAAGTGCCGTATCTGGCTTGTCCAATAAGTCATAGGGCTCGCAAAGGAGGGGAGGGGGCCTTCGTGCATGTCCCAATTCCTTTCCAAATGACTGCATATTCATATCCTCAAGTTTTGTTTAAAGACTTCAGTTCTTTCGAGAGCTATTCGAACGTCCATCGTCCTTTAATATTGCTAACAACTTCTTTTCAGATATGACATTGATTGAGTTGTCTGACTTAGAGATCCAGCAACTCAAAGAGCAGAACCATCGGAGAATAAAGAGAGTTGTGACTGCCGTGGCCATCACCTTGATGTTGATTTCTTTTATTTTGGTGGCCTTATCACTCTCGTTGGGGCCAAAAATCGATCAGTTAGGTGGGTTTGTTACTGTATTTGTATGCCAAGTCAATCAAACTGAATGTTTGAATACCCGTTCGTATCTTCATCTCACCATGGTTGTAATAACATATATATGTTTTCCTTTTAGTCAGCGAATCACTCGAGGCCAAATTGTCATCAAAAGATTTATTTCTGGGCCCGAAGCGAAATGAATCCTCACTCCGATAGACGTTCCTCTACCTTCTACAGACACTTGATATGAGACAAAACGGGTCGGGTATCTTACATTAGAAGAAATATCCGAGTTAATATGATACAAATAAAACCGGTAGCAATAACAATAAAGATAAATCTAAGTTGTAGAACTGTAAGAAGTTCAAGGCCTGTGCCGCTTTTAATGCAAAATGATCTCGTGTGAATTGGGAAGACCTGAGGGCATTTACCAAAGTGTATCCAAAATCGTTAGAAGGCTTTTCCTTGAGCATCGCTGCCAACTTCTGAGCTCTCCTGTTGAATGTTCGATCGTTGAGGATTGTAGAAATGGCTGTGGCCACCTTGTCTGGTGTCAAAGTAAGTTTATCCAACATTGTGGATATACCAAATCTCTGAGCTCTTTTTGCATTAATAAATTGATCCGCAAATAAGGGCATTAGGACAATTGGGACGCCTGCTTGAGATGCCTCCAAGAAGCTATTGTAACCTCCATGGGCAATCAATAATGCCGTTTTTGGATGGACTAAAGTAAACATTATTAAAAATATAAAAATAACCTGACAATATGCATTTTTACTTACGCATCAACTCCTTTTGAGGAAGCCATTTTAAAAGCTTAATGTTGCTGTACTTATTTGCTTGTGGGATGTCCATTTCCATTCTCCACAAGAAGGTTACCTCAGGGAAGCGTCCGAAGGCTTCTACAAATGAGTTTATCATCCGAAAAGGCATGTTGGTTGTGTTGGACACTGTGCCCAAAGAAAAGATGACGATCTTCTTGGACGAGGAGACAATCCTCTCCACTTCCGGAGGTAACTCCGCTCTTTGTGAAGGTCTACTAACTGATCCCATGAATTGGATACCATGAGGAAGAGGTCGAGGGAAGTCAAGGAATCTCTCCCCATTGATCAGAATCACACGCACTTTCTGGCTCAACTCCCACAAATCATCGGATCCGGATTCTTTGAAATCTGAAAAAGCTTTGCAAAACCGTAAAACGCAACTTACACTTCTTGAACATGTCGTTCTCATCGTATAAAAGGTTTTGAGGAAGATTCACAAAATCGAGACCTCCTAAATGCCATAAAACGTTGATCAGACGTTGAGTAAATGTCATCCGATCACTATAAGATGACAATGGATGGGGCACAAAAGACGGGAAAGTACGCAAGCCTGACTGAACTGCGGTGTAATCATACAAGGAGGTTCCGTGAGTTAGCCAAATTACCTGAATTCGTCACGCCATTTCACAATTATGAGTACTCCCTGCGTTCTTTGCATATTGGTCGACTGAATTCTCTTGTCATGCCGGTAACCCACATAAAAAGAAGAGATCTGATATGCATATTTCTTTCAGATTTCTTCCTTTTATCTAGGGTACCGGCACGATACTTAAAGGATTCAGTAGTCCGACACATGTCCGTTCATCATGGGAAGAAACTATTATGGGCAGATGTCATAAAAAATTAAAGACAGATGCCAATATGGGCAGATTTCTAAAACCTTTGTCAAAATCGTCAACACCTTTGTACCTCAAAATTAAATGTGTATTTGATATGTATATCTTTACTTTTTTCTAGTACTGTTAAAAAGTAATTTCTTAAATTTCTCTGAAAATACTCGGTTCGAGTGTTGTCGATGGTGCTGATTTCAAAAATCATGTTCATTTTTCTGATTTTTACTTTTTTCTCACTTGTTACTGTTATTCAATTTTTTTAATTTTTGCTAAAAAATACTTGATGGTTTTCGAGGGTGCTGATTATGAAAATTGTGTTATATTTTCAGCAAACCTTACTTTTTAACAGTACTCCTTAAGAAAAAAGTAAAGAAAACATAAAATACAAATGTTTACAGAGAGACCAGAGTGTTGAGGATACTTGACGATAAATGCTAGGCTTCCAGAAATTTGTCCATAATGGCATCTGCGCATAATCGACCGTAATCGGCCGGCATGTAAAGAACGCAAGGGGTACTTAACACTTTCTGCTACACTCCGTTACGAAATTACACCTACCCCATGGAAAATTGCAGTGTCAAAGATTTGGTAAGAGCTATGCAAGAAATGCGCAATTCTTGTCTCAAATTGCGTTACATTGCGCATTTCTTGCCTAGAGGGCCAGACAAGAAATGCGGGTTTTCTGCGAGGAGGTCCGAAAAGATGTATAACGCACGCGCCTTATATGTTCTCCGACGTGCTGAGTCTAAGTCGGCATATCAAATTTTGTGATTCTCGTTTATTTTTCTTGGTATTCTGGAGCCTAAATTGCTACGGTAGCTGCTTGTTGTAGATGATACCACGAGAAAATAATCGAAAAAAACTTTGCACACGCTATTTGATTTACTTATTGTGAACTAAGTATGTATGATGTAACAGCTAGCGTAGTTTTCCCGCCAAGAAAGCAGCTAAGTCAAGAAATTTTTTAAAATGAACATTAATCCCATGTACAAGGTCAGAGATGGCTCGCAAAGGCACTACGGGGATAACATGTAATGGAAACGAATGTAGTTACTTTCTAGTACCATAGGAACACGATGCAATGAAGTGGAGGAAGGTTAGTTCAAAATCCGAGCCAAATTGGCCAAAAATCGTCAGGGGTAGGTATTTTTGAAACGGTCTAAAGTATTGAAACAGTTGCCAAGTCGACCAAGATTTTTTCATCGGCTGATTTCATGCGGTATTAGGTTTTCGCCATGCTCTTTCGGATGGCATTAACCGTTTTTTGATAGCTCTTACCAAAACTTAGATATACAATTTTCCATAGGGTAGGTATACTCTCGTAACGAAGTCTTTAATAGCCTACTTCTTTAATATTTGCGAGTTTGGCCAAGGCCAAAGGGCATAAGTCATGAAAATGCCCTATGGCAAGATCAAACTTTTGATTCACGAAAGAGTTGACAGCTTTAGGATCAGTAGCCAGCATCTGCTCGCATGATTCCAACCTCATCTCCTTAAATTCTTGCCCCGTCCAGAAGAGATCATAAGTCGTTCCAGACTCGAACATCATAGCTTGGAACACCTGAAAAGTGTTAGAGAAGATAATCAAGTCACCTTCATTCCTTCGGCCTTCAAAGAATTTGTAAAACGAATGGGTATTCTGAGTTCCGTGACTCCTTTTGGCAATTTAAGCCCTCCGGCAACAACCATTCCCATCTCCATCTGGGTCCATAATTGGACTGAGTTGTTCTGCTGTACCAAAGAATTGGCTAGCCGGTAATTGAAAAGAACATGACTGTTCGTAAATCCAGGGACGATTTGCAGAACCTTGAAGGATTCGGAATAAGGAATAAGAGCAAGAAGAACACTAACATAAGACCACATTCTTTAGGGCTCCAAATAAGGGTTGCGCCCATTAAGGGCAGAACCGATATTATTGTAAAGCGATCCGTCTTTTTTATATCTTTCGTTACAATTAACTCCCTTCAGAAATTCTAGTGCTTTCGCTTCGTGATGACCTATCAAAGATCGAATGATTACAATGGCCATTAAAAATTATTAAAGAACTTTCCCAATTCATAAACTATATTCTCTTCGTTTTCTGTCGGCGCAAGGAAATGATTTATCACAATCGCAATCACAGCGAAAAGGAGGTCAGAAATATAAGGACAAAACTTCTTTTTTATGGCCCCGTCGAAAAGAAGATTTCGCAGCCAGCGCCCACTGTTTTCTGTAGCCTGTGAAGGCTCACCTGAGGCTTACTTATCTTACTTGTTAGTTTAGAGTTAGCTTACAATTAGGCTCAAGGGTATGCTTAGGCTTATAGCGGAGGTACCCCATGTGCGACGCTCAGATTTTGATGAAACTTTGCACAAATTTAGAATAATTTTTTTCTAGAGTATATACGAGAATCCTAGGTCGCGCTTTGCAGAAACAACCGAGATTTGAAAATCGAAAGTCGGCGAAAAAATGAGACTTTTTGCCGAATTTCGGCACGAAAAGTTTCATACCTATTTCTACCGTAAAGCGTAATGTTTCTACAAAAAAATAATTCTTTTGCACAAAACTGGCAAAGTTATGACCAAAAAGTGTTTTTCTCTCTAACCGCTCTCCGCGTTTTGTGTACTCTCTCAGCCGCAAAGATCGTTGAATATCTCGGCTGCGCCTGCCAAGCGCGAGCTAAAACTTTCAGGAATTGATATGTAGTCCGTGTGCGCAAAATTTAAAGAAAATCTGAGCGCTTTGGGTACTTCCCGTTAGCTTATCCGGTGAACTGCGAAAAAGCCCGGGCGCAGGCTGCGAAACCTTTTTTCGCCGGAACGAAGGGCTCGAGCCCGAGCCCCGAAAGTTTTTCCAATTTAAAAATATATTGACACTTCGTCGGATATCAATATGGTCGTTTCGTTTGAACAAAAAAATTAAAAAAGACGGATTATTGATGCGCATTCTCGTGTCTGTGTAATATGTTATAGCCATGTAGTCAGTATAGGACGACTGAAATCTGAGAATGGCTTCCAATCAAGTCCTCCCGTCAAATAGACGGACGATTAAAAAGTAAGTTTAGGCAATTAGAACCGGATTTATTGTTTTATTTATTATAGAAAAAAAGAAAAGACGAACCATAAAATAACTGAATACTTTCCGGTACGACGGAGCACCAGGAGAACTACGGAGCAACTTAAGGTATGCGTTTAGATACAATTTTGATTCATATTGTAGAGTGAAGAGAAAGAAAAGATTAGAAGTCTGATAGAAACCGGATATTATGAAGATTACCTTCGAGTATATGAGACCGAAGAGAAAGGAAGAGGAATCAGGGCCGGTAGACCTTTCAAGAAAGACGAATTTGTGGTGGAATATCGTGGAGAGATGTTGACAGCAGCTGAAGGAAAGAAAAGGGAACAAGAATATGCCCGGAGCACAACGATTGGCTCTTATATGTACTTTTTTCAACATCGAAACCAAAGATTGTGTGTGGATGCCACCGCAGAAACGCCGTATAAAGGCCGATTGGTGAACCACAGTTTTTTAAAACCGAATCTCAAGTCGAAAGTAGTGGAATTAGATAACTCTATTCATCTTTGTTTATTTGCCAAACGAGATATTGCAATTGGGGAGGAGTTAGTGTATGATTATGGGGAGCGCAGGACTCATGCCATTGCGTTTAATCCGTGGCTGAAACACTCCTAACAATATTCGTTGGGTACGAAAAGGGTCTAGGGTACTCCATGTTCACACTTCACCCATGACCAAGCCCACGGCCTATTTCGTGACTAAGGTGATTGTCCAAAGTATTCTCAAAATAACCAAACTAGGTGACTAGGGTGCGAGAGTCGCTTTGGCTGGGCTTGGTCGTGAATTAGCTCGTGAGCTAGTTCGGATATGTACCTCGAAAAGCGTTAAAATTTGATCATCACCGAGGGGAATACTCTTTTTCGTGGAAACGCAAGCTTTGGTGTGCCCTAAGGAAGGTGTCTTGACCATTCTAGTCAAGCATTGAGACCATTTTTGGTAATCTTATCAACTATCATGACCTTGGTCACGGCCAAGGTCAAGGTAGGGCCTAGGTCTTTTTCGCGGAACTTTTTTACCCGGCGAACCTTTTCGTCCCCCGCGAACAATATTAACTTAATAACGCTATCTCACAAATTACATTGTTTTAAATATGAATCTCTGTATAGCTTTAATAAAACTGACCGCATGGTGAATGTTATAAAAAAATCTTGAATATTCCAGTTTCGTATTTAATGAATGGTATGTTCCAAAGTATTCGTCAAACTCTTTAAATGCTAATGGAAAAAGTTTAGATGAATAGTCCTATACTCCATGTCATGGTTGTAGGATTTCATCACACGAAAGGAAGCCAGGTAGTTCATAATTAAGCTTAAAGTCACACATGTAGTTAAGGTCGAATATTGTTATCCAACTTTACAAGAAGAGGGCGGGGAGGTGCTTATGCCTCGTGTTTGGGAGAACTTACCGAATCTGGCAATGCCTGATGGATCCCATAACTCTCCAAACGGGGGCAGGTTTAATTTGTGGTAATTTTAATTCAAACAGATACGGTCTACTTTACTCTACCTTCGTCTGAGGATTCACGTTGTACGGTGTTTGGCATCGCTTGTTATAAGCACATCGACAGTAAAAAACTACTTCAAAAGGAAGCAGATGTGACAAGAAGTCATGTCCAGAAAAGTGTTGTGGTATTATCTCGGATTCCGTTGTATGGTAATTTGAGAGCAAAATTGGAATTAATTACCGAGGCATATTTTAATGAGAAGGACTTCACAAAAGTCGGGGTTCTAGAGCAGACCTTCAACAACCTCACAGACATGTTTACTTACGACTTGATGGATAATCAAGCGATCTACATGGGTGAGTCCGTGACCACGTTTCGTAAAAATTTACAGGGATACCCCTCTACTCTTTGCTGATGTCGTTCAAACATCGTACCTTAGAATTAGTGAAACTTCTGTTGTTAGAAAAAAAAATTATTTTTGACATTACCCCAACGAGCAGACTGAGCAATGTCCTCATGGGATTGATATCATTGTTTCCTTGTAAGTATCGTTACAATCATTGCAATTGATAAGTGTAGGTACTTTGGAGGACGGGTTGACCGAATGTGCCGTAACTTCTAAATCAGGCTGTCATTCGGAATCTCTGAATACAAATGACTACGGGTTCCCCCTCAGCATATTCACCAAGGCAAGTATTACTTTTTCAAACAATTCCTTGTTCTAGGGCTATCTATTTCATCCATATCTAAGTGTTAATTGGATAGAGCAACTACGATCCGATAATGTTAGAGGCTATTGCATTGGCGTGACAAACGGCATATTTCAGTCAAACAAGGATCTCTATGATGCGTATGTAACGGTAAGTTCTTCTTCTTATTGAAATAATGTATTCTAGATCGATGCAAGCGGGGCCGGGTCCATTAACATAAGCGATCACAAGCTTCAAAAGCTGGTCGATTTAACAACGCAGGACGTCCGCTTCATGCAAAATATTCTACAAGGTGTGGAAAACTCGACCCCATCAGGTAACCGATCCCTTTTCAAATTACCGTATCATTATCAGACTTCACAGGAAACGATGACTGGGTTCGAGTTCAGGTATACTCTTACATATGTTCCTTGCTTATTGTCGGAAAGAACGAAAAAAGCGAGCACTGTGCGGAATACAATTCAGAATTCTTAACAGCCTGGAGGGATACCCACAACTTCAGAGTTTGGAATGCAGGGAATCATGAACCGATGCCTGACGTTGTAGCCGAGTAAGTCGATTTTGTTTGGCTTCAATTCTCTATAGACATCCCTGCTCTGGCCCCATTGGTGCACAAGATTTTCTTTTGATAGTTGGACGGAAATTCAATAACAGTGGACAAGGAAGGAAAGTCATAAATACAATTAACTCGACAGCCAAATATATGAGTGAGCAGGGGAGTCGGCTCAAATCCTCGTTTTCCACATGGATAAGTAGACCAAGCCATTCATAACGTCTGAAACTGTTTAGGTCCCCAACATGTATATATGCCCTCAATAATTGTATAAGATACCTTCCCATCCTTCAAGTTCCTATAAAAAATTCTCGTCTAGTTTTACAATATTTATTCAAAAGGCTTGGTGTTATCGGGCCAGTCTTGTTTGTCTTCCTTTTTGGGATGCCAGGCCTCATTTCCGGAGAACAAAGCATTGTATCCATTGTCATAAACCTCCCCGTTACCTTGATCTTCATTGTTTGAGGCTAAATTTTCTTGTTGTATAAACCATGGAAATTGAAAGCCGGCCTCATTTGGGATGGGGTTAGCGTATCCTTGATACAACAAATGTCTGTGAAGATCATAATTCCGTTGTGTTTCTTGTTGGAATTGCAGCAGCTGATCGTAAATGTTGTTTCCTTGGCTGTTTTCGAAGTAAGTGGTGTCCATCAGCGAAGTTATTCCATTCAAAGGATCAGGAACTGGTATATCAACCGGCTCTTCTAAAATAATCGACGGTAACGGTACACTCGTATCTCCAGCAACGGGATTTGTAGATGCGATTCTGAGAAGTTTCTCTCGAAATTCTTCGACCAATCTATTTATGACTGATGGAGTCAGCCAGGAGGTGTTTGTGACGTCATTTTCTTCGTACTCCTGAAACAACTTCGTGCTATTTCTAATTTGCTTACCCTAAATTCAGCTTCTTTTTTGACCTCATCCGATGGGGAATGTTGGTCGACATCGGCGAATAAAGAACCACATTGCTGGGCGTAGAATTCGAAATCCTTTTGGATGTCATCTAAAACATGATCACCGAGCTTTCTATCCATACCTGAATTAATTACAGCGTCAGCCCATTCTGGGGGTGGGGAGGTTGATTCGTCGTTATTCTGACATTGGTCGTCGAATTTGTGAACCTCGGGCATCTCGAATTCGTGCTTCCAATGCATAGAATCAGACGACTTGGTCGAATCTGTCTGCACGGATACCGATGGTGTTACCTTTATCTTCTCAGTTACCTTCTGAACTTCTTGATCTTGTTTGCTCAACTTCTCTTTTCTTTGCTGCTTCGGTTCCTTGTTGTTCAAGTCCACGATTTCAGCTTCGGTCTTTTTCTTGTTGGCATTTCTTCTTCGCCGAACACCATTTTTGGTAGCCTTGCTGTTTTCGGCTTCGTCGTATTTGTCATTAACATTGATAGTGCCTGGGGCTTCATGGACATCATCCATGAGACGTATTGTACTGTTTAATTTCTCGTTGTTAAATAGCTCCTTGTTTGTTTCTTTTACAACATCGCCTCGTATCACCCACCAAACACGTTCGCTCACAAAAATAAAACAGTTGAACATTCTAGCAAACAAGACGTATAAGCAATTGTCGGTGCTCTGATAAACCCAGCGAAACTTTTCTTCATGCTTTCTACCGGTGACTTTTCTTAATCTCCAAAAGAATCCTCTGTCCGAGCAGACTGTCAGATCAGTGTAATCACTGCTATTGGATAACGGATCATGATGGAGTTCATTCATCAATTCGACTTGCTGGTGTTGCATTCCGGACAAGCATCTGTCACCTTCCAGATACGCACATGCACTGATACAAACCATGCAAAAACTGAAAATATTTAAATAATGCAACTAAATAATTTTTTAAACTTACACTAAAGCCATAACACAAGCATAATACATCAACCATTCAAAGGGTGGTCGAGGGAGGGCTGCATGACATATCTCCAACATCTCTGGAGCTATAGTAGCAACAATATCAAAGACCCATGGGGTTGCATTCATGTGGGTGTAAACCTGAAGAGTAGCTTCATTCACGCTCATCAGGAAGTCGGGAGTGTAAGCGATATCAATCGGTTTCGTTTCATTTGGTGCCAGTATAAAAGTATCGCAGTTCAGAACTCTGAATCCTCTATCCGAACAAGAGGTTCCACTGATGCTCATGTTTACAATCCAAAGCTCGGACTCGCCGACGTTCTTCAGAAAGAATGTGCGCTTCACTGTAAAACTGGTACCCAATTTGTGGGTCAATCTTTTGGGGTTGTAACATTCGCTGAGATGTGACATTAAGATGTCAAACATTAACTGTACTTCTCTTGAGGACTTCCCATCCATCTCTAATCCAACCCTGGAGCCTCTGCCGTATAACACGACAGGTTCTAAGGCCGTCAAATTGTTTCGGATCAATAACAAGGATGATCGGAGTGTGTAGTCGGACGGGAGAAATCCAACTCGTATCCTCACTTTCATTCCCGGTTTCAGAATCATGGAAAGTGTAAATCGTGGAACTTGGCGGTTTACAACTTGTTCTACTTCTTCTCTGAGCCGAGGCACAGGACTCCCCGGCTTCAAAGTGAACAGCTCTGTATCCCGAAGCGAAAACATCAATGTTTCATTCATTTCGACGGGTTCTGTTAACGGGTAAGGCAGCTCGTCCTTGAAAAACTCCAACAAAGCCTCAGCATCCGGATATATCACCAATGGAAGCAATTGGACGATAACTGGATGAATTGAAGGATTCGCTAAGGTCAGGTTCAATATCTGCAAAGGACAAAAAGAAAGATAGAACAAAAATATGATCTACCGTAAAGTTTCCGACAGCAGTTAAGGGGAAATGAACAGCCCGGTGACTGAAGAGTTTCGGCCAGCTGAGCTCGGTCTTAACTCCAACTTCCACACTCCTAAAACGATCCGTGTCAATGATGACTTTAGATTGCACTGTCTTGTCTGTTATTGCGTTCCATCTCATACGTAGGCGTTGATACAAATAACTATCAATTTCTGGCAAATTTGGGGGTAACTTCATACCATGGGTAAACCATTGACCATCTAAACGTTGACCATCTCTTAATATTCAAGGTTACATACCCGGAGAATGAATTGTAAATCCGCAATAGCAATCGTTTGTACACGCAGTTCCTTGGGTGAAAGTGATCGAACCTAAAGCCTTTACACTTTCAGGTGGCATTGTAAGATCATCTCCTTTCCCAATACTAAATGCAAAACGAGGGTCATCTGTTAATGTTGACATCGACATAATTCTGAGAGGCAATTTTGAACTTGAAAAAACCTGAAATTGTTATTGATTACTACTCCCCAGAAGAAACAATTTACATTGATCTCCTTTGTAGTCACTTTTCCAGGAAAAGATTCTCCTAGATCTATTTGTTTCTCCAATGATTTCAGAGAATCTTCCGTAAACTTAAACTCGATGGGAAAAACGAAGTCCTCAAACTCCGTCTGCAGTCGGATATGAAGATCTTCCGGAATCCGAACTTTTCCATTTGAGAACACAGTAAGATTGAAAACTGTGAATGTCTGAGCGGGCAGAACGACGTCCAATCCTGGTTCCCATTGAAAGTTGGTCTTGTCCAACGTATAAGGTCTTGTGGAATTCCCATCTGCCGAACTCAAGATATCTACGGTAATGTGACCTGGCCAAGGGTCCGTCAACTTCTTTAACATAAGTGCCACAGGGTTTGAGTTTATAATTGTAAAGTAAAACGATCGACGTTCTCCTTTTGTTATCTCACCCAAATCAAAACGATCCTTTTCAGGATTAAAATACGGAAATTCAATCTAAATGGAGATGAAAAATTAATTGAAAGGACCCACCTTAATATTCCCTTCAAAGACTAGAAGTTGAACCTTAAAAGCGGTAACATTTGATGCAACCACACAGTCGATTCTTTTCGGAGCTTCTGGGGTTGAGAGATAAGTCACCAAAAGAGCGGGCTTGGTCTCGTTCGGGGCTATTTCGACCACTGGACTGATAAGTTTGACACTAAACGTCTTTTTATCCTCTTCTTCCAATGTAACATCCCAATTCCCTAATCCAAATGGATATTCGTTGTTCAGAGAAATTGTCCTCACAACTGGGGGCTTCAACTTGATATAGAAAGAAGAATCTTTCATCACTTGGGAGATTCCACTATAAGTATATACATTTTACAACCTTTTTTACATACCCTGAAACTATCAATGCTGTAAATTTGACAGTAACGTTGTAATTTCCACCTCTACTTTCAGCTACAATCTCACCATTAACTCGATGTAATTGCTGAGAGGCATTCAAGGTGAAGTAATTAGTATCCAGATGGACATTGGCGATGGGAACTGGCTTTCCAGGTATATTCCTAGTGCCACCCCTAACAGAGATAGGGGGCTTTGAAGCATACTGCATATATAATCCATAGTTTGGATGTTCGTTCTTGACCACGTAAATAGACTCCACTTCCAGACCATTGTCCACGTTTGTAAAGGCCTCAAACACTTTTCTTTCCGAACGATCGCCATATTTGATCAGCCCGAAGTCAATCACATCCACAGTGGAGAAGATGCCCAGCTGCCGGGTTACCTCGAGATCGACCGCGATCACCAAGTCGAATGATTTCAAGCCTTCTGAAGAGTCGTAAGAGATGGTCTCTGCCTTAATCATCACAAAAACTGTGGAGTTTTGCACTTCGCCTCCGACGATTGTCATGTCTCCGATTCTCCGAGTTTCAAACGGAATTAGTTCCTAAACCAAAATCTACAATCCAACGCCAACCTACGGTAACATTTTCGCCTGTTGAAGTTAAAACCACCGATTTATCGCTAGATATGATTCGTGATATCCGTAATTTCTCAGAATAAGGGTTATGAAGATTAATGGGGAAGTCGAGTGATCCCTTAAAAGGAACCCTCGCTTCTACCTGATGTTTAAGTCGATATGGATTTCCAGTTGTACGTCCCGTAACCTCTAACGAGATTATCGAATGACTGATATATATAGATAACACAGATTCAACAAGGTCCTCATTTCGAGGCAGAAAAGTAACTGTTATGGTTACATTTTTTGAGGGCTGAATGATCTAAAAGTGGAAAACCGCAATGTCAAATGTTGAAGTCTTACTTTTGTAGCAGGAAAAGTGTAATAGAAATCCTGTGACACCGTAGAAATAGCATGAACTTTGACTTCAAATGAGTTAGGATTGACTATGGTAACTTTTAGCCTCCTTGGAATCCCTAAATGGCCTTCTCCAAAGTCTAATTTCCCCGGAACTAATTCAAGAGGTTGGCCCGGGGGATCAGCTCGCAAGTCAGGCCTACAAAACATTATTATAAGTGAGATGAAAAAATAAAAACATCGCATGCAAAGCAACTTACGGCTTGGCAAACCCCCACAGTTCCTTTGAAGAAGTATCTCGGAAATAATGGAGCTCTGAATCTGTCTGGACAAAAGCGTGGGAGATGGAGTCAACGGGGAATGTAGTGCCATCTGAATCCGACAATGAATTTGAGATGCCGAAGATCGACAGGAACACGATCTGGAAAATCCATCGCATTTCTAAAATATTTTGGCAAATTTATGCAAAATAATTTCTTTTTTTTACTACGAAATGCCAAAAGTTATTGGAAATAGGCGCAAAATGTCAAAAAGCGGGCCAATAATAAGACGATCAAAATTTTGGTGAATCTCAATGACGCGTCATGGCGTAAACTCTCCTGATTACATTACTTTTGGTCTAAATTGTAATTTTTAACAAAATTTGAAACAAAAAATAAATCTATAAAACGCAGTGATAAAGCTGAGCTGGCGAACTGCGGATGTCGCCAGAAGATGTCGTCCTTAGGCAGAGAAACGCGCGAGGAGAGGAAAGAGAGAAGGGTCTCCCGTAGTCGCCTTCTCTGATTCTCTGGTTCGTCGCCCTTCTCCCTTCACTGGATAGTAATTAAGGTTGCGCTCCGTAATGAGACATCGGTGGTTTTTATTATCAGTCTGTGGAGCTCTAAATGACGTTGTCAGGAGTTTACAAAGAAATGTTCCTTATGAATGACAGTGTTATTAAGAATTCTTGCATCACAGATCTCTGTTAGATTGGACATCCCTTATATTGAGAATGAATGACAAAACTTGATCTCGTCGTCATTGTCTACAGAAAACATTTAAAGGGTCATCCCAATTGGCACATAGGCAACCGGAATTCATATATTCATGTCTTTGAAACGATGGAAACCTTCTTTAAAGGAGGCATTTAAAGGACTGTGTGGAGATAAAAGTTCGCCAAGTTGGGTCGTAATGACAGAATTGTCAAAAATTGAATGCATACTAAAATAATATCTTCGTCCTTATCTTCTTGTGTTGTCTGCATTAGATGAACAATGATCTCTTCGTACGGTGGCGGCGGCAAGAGAACAGAGGGTACGTTTAGTCTAATTTATATTGGTTTACCTTGCTACTCTTCAGCGTTGCGACGCATGAGCTCGGCTTCATCGCTGAAACCGTCGGCCCGGGATTTCTTTCACAACAATCACGTCAGGTAATGTTTTTACTAAAAGAAGAAAGTTTTTTGTCACTTGTTGCGTAGGAACGATAGAAATAACCTCACCCGTTTCTCTTTCGTTTGCTATACCCGGTAAATTAGCGGCCAATTGGGGGCGAAGAAAAGGTGTGTTAAAGGATTTACATCCGGGGCAATCCTCTCGTGGCGACAATAATCCCTTCCCAAGGCGATGACTTTATGGGGCCCTTCCCCAACTCTGGTCTGTTCGCCGTAGAGACAGCCTGACTTAAGTTATTCCATACCTGAAATCTGACATCATCGGGAGTCGCTCCGACTGTAAACAGAAATGAATACTGCCGTCTTGCAAGGCAGTATCATGGCCACAACCCATGGTATCCATCGGTTGAACAGGCACAAGCCGCAGAAAGGCCTTATCCCTTCCACCGAACGCCTCGGCACTTTTCTGTAGGGCATAAAACTTCGTTAATCTAAAGCCATGAACCCTTTTTAGAACTCATCATAACAATGCAGCTCATGAAGAGAACACTGAGTACAAAAATCTTCTGCCTTTCACTTCCATCGAGTACATTCCTCATGCTGACGAAACTCCAAGAAAGGTATCACTTTAAAGTTTAAACATAAATTATTTTTATATATTGCGCAATTCACGATTAAATTTCAGGCCGTAGTAGTTGCAGGCCCCGACCATGACGATAAGTTCCTTCGGATTAACATTGGAGGGGCGTCCTTCACTTTCCTCACCTCTACTTTGTTGATCAAAAACACTGGCCTTCTCAGTTCTTTCGCCATGCAATCGCAAGACCAAAGACTTCTCATTGCCGACGCCTTCTTCTCCAATACTCGAGAGTACTATTTCGAACGACCTCCAGCCCTCTTTCATGTTATATATCAGTTCTACACGACAGGAAAGATCCATCAATCTCCTCATATCTGTCCTCAGGATTTGTTAGATGAATTTAAATTTTGGAAATTAGAACCAGCCAACTTATTGGATACCTGCGCTTGCCTCAGCGATGACCTCAGTGACGATGACAGTGGATCTGAAGAAGACAAGAGTATCGAGAATGGGGTCAGTGAATTCAAACACTTAAGGTTCGGTGGCCTAAGGGAAGAGATTTGGAATATCATTGAAGAACCCAACAGGTAACCAAAGGTGTATTTGACAGTTTGTGTGTGTTTTTTCAGTTCGATGTATGCTCAGATTTTTACCTTCTTGTCTGTTCTGTTTGTACTAATATCAATCGGCGGTCTTGTTTTGGGATCCTTACCAGATCTGCAAGTTGAGGTCCCGGTGTCCCAAAAAAACCGCACAACTCCAGGTACAATTTATCATCTCTTTCACAACTAGCATCTAGGACCGGATAGAAGCGTTGAAATGGAACCTCACCCGATCCTGGTCCAGCTGGAGTACGTTTGCATCGTCTGGTTTCTCTTCGAGTACGTAACCAAGATGTTGGTCTCAGCTGACCGATGGAAGACGTTCTGCCAGTTGTTAAACATTATAGACTTGTTTGCAATACTTCCTTTTATGGCTGACATGGTTCTTTTCTTCGTTGGAATCGATACTGAACAGCTTCGGGATTTGAAAGTAAGATTTGTCTTTCTCCGGAGATGACTGTTTGCCATAGGGGGCCTTGCTGGTCATCAGAATCCTCCGCGTTCTCCGAGTCATCAGAGTCCTTAAGCTAGGGCGATATAGTAGTGGGCTTCAAATGTTCGGAAAGACTCTGCAGGTAATCAGTAATCCGAATGCTCAAGAATATTGTTTAGGCCAGTTTTCGACAACTTGGAATGATGGCGATGGTGGTGATGACTGGAGTCATCTTCTTCAGCACTCTTGTTTACTTTCTCGAAAAGGATGAGCCCGAGTCCCAATTTATTTCGATTCCGGCAGCTTGTTGGTTTAGCATTGTAACGATGACAACTGTAGGGTACGGAGATTTGACTCCGGTCACTGTCGGTAGGTCTAAGATATCTCTCATCCAAATTAAATCAGGTGGGAAATTAGTCGCTACAGGAGCCATTGCATGCGGTGTGTTGGTAAGTCCAAGTATATTGGCACGTTTACTTTTATGTCATTTCAGGTGCTAGCCTTGCCGATTACAATCATTGTAAGTATTTATTTGCAATATATTCCACAAATTTTCTTTTAGGCCCAGGTTGCATTTACTTTGAAAAGGCGGAGAGTAAGCTAAACTGCTTGGCTTCGCTTTTAAAAAATTTCAGTTGAGCTAAAAAAGAGACTAGACTTAATGAAATATCACTTTCTTTTATAGGTAGACAACTTCATGAAGGTGGCAGAGTCCGAAAGGAAACCCGGCTTTGCCGAAAACAAACGTGTGAAAAGACTGGGTCCACGAGGACGCGTCACTCTGTAAGTATCCCCAAATACACATTTAAACATAGGTATATATTAACAGTGGTGTTTTATATTTTTCCAAAAAGTTGCCAAAATATAAATCATTTTCAGCCTACGTTTTATTTAGTAACCTACTTCAAAGCAGGCTCCGCCTAGTTGTACTAGTCTTTTTCGGAAATCTGCCGAAATTTCCCGGCAGCATTTTTCGCCCATATGCAAGCTAGAAGACACCCAGTGCGCAGGTCAGAGCCAGTGGCACTTCTAAGGTGTCGGCTGGCAGAAAATATGGCCCCCAAACTTTGTGAAAAAGATTTGAGCGGCGACGCAAGATCAGCAAATTTTTACACATTCTGAATCAGGAAAATTTTGCGATTTTTTTTTTGATATAAGGATGGTGACATACAAAACAAATCTGGTTTCGTGGCCAGAAATACTTATATATCTCGACCTGCAACTCCATAGCCCATAGAAGTACTTCCCTTGTCAAAAAAAGTAAAAATTTTTTTGCCAACTTTCATTTCATTGGTTACGCCACGGGCTGAGTTATGATTAAAACACGATTTTTCTAAAAGTCAAGCGCAGGTAAACAACCCTGGCTACACGAAAAATCAAACTGCTTTATTTTGCTTTAAACTTGGAAGACTGTAGCTACGTACCACTCTAAGAAACTTTCCCGTTAACTTTTTTTCGAAATCTTACTGTAATTTGGGTTACGGTAACATGACTCGTTTTGTCATAACTCGAGAACCAGACGTCGTAGCGAGACGGGGTCTTTACCAGTATGTTCAGCGTGCCGAAAGACGGCTTTTTGTAAGCTACACCAAGTTTCGAAGACGCCGGGGACCAATTTCCTCTACCCTTCGCTTCCTACCCTTCGCTGAAAATGAAAATTTGAATAGAATTTTTTCTCATTTTGGGGGGATTTTCATTCTGGGGTGAGGTCGGTTGACCGCTCTCTCAGAGCTCGGAAACTTTTCCGAACATGAGAAATACAAGTCGAAATACATGGAATCTTAACTTAGAAGTTCACTTAAAGTTATAAAAACAAGCTCCTAGGGCTTCGCTGACGTTTTCAATAAACGAAGTACAATATTTGTCAAACAAGAGGGTACCGCAGTTCTTTTTGAGTGGATTTTTTTATACAAATTGAGATTACATTTTCATTATCGTGGCCAGTTAGACCCAGGTGCATTGTAAACTCGTTTAATCTGGAAAAATATACGCTTGAACTGTAAAGCTTGTTTTTAGGATTTACTTTTGCTTGTTATGCTATTTATGACCTGCAAGATTTAGGAAACGACATGTAAATATTTTTTGAATGCTTGAAGTCCGTTTTCCTGCAACTAGTAGTAATTCATTTTCATCAAATTGCAAGAGTTACAAAACAAAGAGGCCATAACAAGCATAATAAACATGATAAACCTGAAAAAAATGTGAGGTACTGGCAGGCCATGAGGTATTAATCGAGAAGTAAAAAAAAAATTCTGAAGCAGCGTGGATCGAACCTTGAAAGGCCTAAACGGTCCATTTGACGGTCAAGTTTTATTTAGTTTAGATTAAATTTCAGATCTGTTTCGTATTTTATTCAAAACTTGAAGCTTTCAAGCTATAGCTGACCCTTGTTGATGTGCACCGCTCTTCGCAATGCGTTTTTACCAAAAATTTGGGTTTTCGAGAGCTCTGAGAGAGCGGCCAACCAACCTCACCCCATAATGAAAATTCCCCCAAAATGAACAAAAATTCTATTCAAATTTTCATTTTCAGCGAAGGGTAGGAAGCGAAGGGTAGAGGAAATTGGTCCCGGGAAGTGTCCGAAAAATTTGAATATTTATGCAAAAATTCAAAAATATGCAAATTTCTCGAAAATTTGACCCAAATTATGCTCATTTTTATTTAATATATCGAAAATAGAAGTCATAGCGGTTCCAACGGTGTAAAAAACTTGAACGTGCGAACCGAGCTGTCTGAGAACGGGCTGTTTGAAGTTGGGGCACCCAGTCACAAATGAGCAAAAAATCGGAGTAAACCGTATAAAACCATTGTTAAATGGCAAGAATGGAAAGTAAATTTTGTTGTTACATCGTATCGGTCACAATAGAGGATTTTCCACATAATTTTCATAAATTTGCATATTTTGGAATTTCTTGCATTTATTGTCAAAATGTTGTAAAAATATACCTTAATGAAGGATTTGGAAAAAAATATTGTTCGCTTTTGCTTAGTACCTTCCAACAGTCATTTTAATGTAAAAAACTCAAAATCGATTTTTTCCCATGTCCACGCCTACCTGGCGGCTGATGCACCCGTAAATGCAAGAAATTCCAAAATATGTAAATTTATGAAAATTATGTGGAAAATCTTCTATTGTGACCGATACGATGTAATAACAAAATTTACTTTCCGTTCTTGCCATTTAACAATGATTTTATACGGTTTACTCCGATTTTTTGCTCATTCATGACTGGATGCCCCAACTTCAAACAGCCCGTTCTCAGACAGCTCGGTTCGCACGTTCGAGTTTTTTATACCGTTGGAACCGCTATGACTTCTATTTTCGATATATTAAATAAAAATGAGCATAATTTGGGTCAAATTTTCGAGAAATTTGCATATTTTTGAATTTTTGCATAAATATTCAAATTTTTCGGACACTTCCCGGCGTCTTCGAAACTTGGTGTAGCTTACAAAAAGCCGTCTTTCGGCACGCTGAACATACTGGTAAAGACCCCGTCTCGCTACGACATCTGGTTCTCGAGTTATGACAAAACGAGTCGTGTTACAGTAACCCAATGTACAGTAAGATTTCGAAAAAAAGTTAACGGGAAAGTTTCTTAGAATGGTATGTAGCTACAGTTTTCCAAGTTTAAAGAAAAATGAAGCAGTTTGATTTTTCGTGTAGCCAGGGCTCTCCAAGCTTAGAAAAAACGTGTTTTAAAACAATGACTGTCACAGTGCGTTTTTTGGTTCATGCAAATTGCACTTTTGGGTTGCAGAAGTTTAAAAAATGAATTTTTCATTCAGTGAAGTTTACACTGCGGGGTTCCTTACAATATTTATATTTTCTGAAAACCGGCTTTTACTCTACTGCCATGCCAAATTGTAATTATTAATTTTAGCCTTCTAGCGCAAACCGCTAGCGAGGTATGGAGAGAAAAAGCGAGCGATTCTGGAAAAAAATTTTAAAACTCGCGGAGATCGGTTGTGTCCCAAAAGTACAGAATGCCGTGTTGCGTCACCGCGATATTATTCTCAAATAATTCAGTGGCGGGAAAAATAGGGAAGGGGGACCAAGATAATCTTCGCGGCACGAATTTTTTTTAGAATTTTTTGCCCAAAAAATAAACCCTGAAATAATTTCCCATTCTTTCAGACCAGAAAGTCCAAAAATTGACCAAGCTCAAAGAACGCCAACATTGAAACTACTAGCCACAAAAAAAGAAGACGAGCAAATAGAATAACAAATATTTATTGGAATGTTTTGGAGATACGTGAGGAAAAAGTTAATAAGTGTAAATAAAGTGACAACATAAGGATGGGATTAGTAATAAGCAGGGATACGCTCACGGATCGCTCGAGACAGAGTGCAGGAAAAGAGCATAGAGAACATCTGAATGATGAGCACGATAATTCCGCAGATTTCCACCACATTCCCGAATCCGTCCAATTTCGAAGAGATGACTGAGTAACAATCAGGCTGATCCAAGATACCGAGGGATTTGCAATCATCAGCATACATATATGACGTCTCTGAGGTCGCCCCGCAACATTTGAGAAGGGTTTCGATTGGTTTAAGTTGTGCCCTTAGGGCCGGAGTCGCGGTACTCTTTTGTAAAGTGTAGTAAAGCGCTGTCAGAAACCCGGTCTTATTTATCTTGAGATAGATCAAGGTAAACAATTCGATTACGAAAAGCACCAAAATAACAATGAAGAACTGAAACGAAGATTAATACAACATATTTAAAAGCCAATACTTACCATGGTCAAGAAAAACAAACTCTCGCAAGCGGCACCACAACATCCGAAAAAGCCAACAAAACAAAGCATTGCCCCGACGGCGACAAACACCCACAGAGATGCTTGATACTAAAAAAATTAAAACAGAGCAAATGTAAAACTTTTAAACGCTTACTTGCTGCAATTCCTCCAAATAATCGGAAGAGATTCCGGCTTTTGAAAAGACCTCACTCAACTTCGTCGTGAATTCTTGATCCAGATTGGCCCATAGAGAGAAGGAGAAGATAAGGGCGCCAAGTAAAAATAAAGCAAAGTTGCAAATGAACATAAAGAACTTTATCATCTGGTTTCCGCATCCGTAAACCATCTTGGATGGAATTACTCAAAATCTGTAAGATTACTTTCACTTTTAGCAAAAATGTAAATAAAATGGGCGAACTGATAAGCAAGATTAAAAAACGCTCTCTCCACCCATCCAGAAGCAATGAATTGATTATCGTCGAATCTTATGAAAGATCTAGGTCAAACATTACACGAACAACATAAACATGAGGCTCCGGAGCTCCGAGAATGAGCTAATTAGGTAACGAAAACAACGACTGTAAGACACACACCGGATATAGCACAACAACATTTAACCACATGTAAATAAATAAAAACGCACATGGGTTCATAAAAAACATTGTTTTGTGTAAGCTCGCGAGGTCGATTAGCAGTCCAGTTCACGGCTGTTTCACGCACAAGATGGTCCTTCGTTTTGTTAGTTTTTGAAGCGAGGGCGCAGCTCGCGGTAGCCGAAAATGACTGTTTTATAACGTAACTTTTAAACTATAAGTTACTTAGTACTAACAGTAGAAATAAAACTCGCCCATTATGGCAAACGCTAATTCGTCTTTGACACAATGACTTATTAAACACATTGCAGAAATGAAATCGGAGATCACTTGTCTGTGCCGCTAAATTTACCTTTGTTGGTGATACCGTACCAGTCAAAAATCAAAACGGTAACTTTATATGAAGAAGTGCATATGCAAACACATGATTCTGAGTTGACAGACACCGAAGACGTCAAAAAAGGTCGACTGAGCACGAAGTTATGACATCAAAAAATGCTGATTTCTGACAATTTTGAAAAGCTACAGTTAATCTTTGACCTAACAGCTAGAGCCAAAGACGCCTATTACCACAGAAAATACGTTGGCTTGGCTACATTTTGGTACACAGCATGGCGATATATGTTATCAAATGAACGGACTTGTCTGTGGTGGAAAGTTCCAATAATTGTTGAAAATTGATTTTGCATTGGTAAGGGCTTGCCATCTGCCCGAAAAATTTGAAGTTTTTAGAAACTTTAATGTGCATTCCTGTATTTACTGGTCTGAAAAGGTCAAGAAAATTGTTTTTTAATCTTTTAGTATCGGTTACAACATGTTGTAACCGATACTAAAATTGCAACACGCTTCTGATAATACGGTACAATTTCTTATTAAACATGTTCTATCGTATAACTTGGTCCCGCAATTTGCGCGCGTTTCATTCTTTTTTCGAAGGCTTTCGCGAAGGGTGCTTGTGAAACCGCCGTGGAGTCCAAAAAATATCTCAAAAGGGCTAATTTGCGCAGAAATCCCTGACTCCGGCTTGGGTCCTACCGCGAAAGAGACGTCATTTACATTTTTATTTTTTTTTGTGAACTTTGACGATGAATACGTCTTGTTTGGCAAGATGCCTGAAAGGGTTTGGATGCACGTCTGTTGTCCAAAATAGCAGCCGTTCTGTGCATCGTATTCCGCATTATGAAAATCACATCAGATTCAGCCCTTTGGATGGTCGTAAGAGGCCGGCTCAGGATGCTCTCGACCGCTTCAAACGTCTAAACAACGGTAAGTTGGTTGTCCGAGTGTGGAGGTGGGTATTTTGTTTTAGTGTTGTAAATAGTACTTTTTAGGTATGTGGATCAGAGCATTGCCCGGTCGGAGTAAACAACGTTACATGAAAGACGAAACTTGGAACAAAATCTCATTGGAGTACGAAACTTGTACGAAGGAGGAGTGCGAGATGCTGGACAAAATGGCAACGCCTTTTTGGTTAAGAAAAAAACATTATGTCAACGATCCATATGAGCCTTACAATGTACGACATGGAATTCGAACTCCTCGAGTCGATCACAAGTTTAGACTTATTCGGGAACGGGAGAAGGTGCTCCTCGATGACACAACTGCTTTAAAATACATGTCAGATCGTTGAGTTGTTAGGATTAAACTTGTTGAGTTTGAAGTTGGCGTTCTAAAGCAAAAAGTTATATCAATTTATACCTATTCTCGTCAACTAAATTTACTTTGTGAAGATGATTTTATTCTTTGGGTTCTGTGCCGCGATTGCTTTTTCATTATGGTGCCGGAGCAAGAGGTATTTTTGAGTTAAGATGTCGACTTATCTTATATGTTTAGACGTCAGAAATCAATCGCGTTCTTTCATCCGAATTGTGCTGATGGTGGTGGTGGAGAAGCTGTTTTGTGGACGGCAGTGGATGAAATTACAAAAAGGTAATTCGATATTTTTTGAGTTAATTTTGTTGCAGAAGACCCGATCTGTTTGTATGTATATTCTCTACTCTTCCGAAGTCCGATGCACTGTGTGAAAGAATCGATCAACGTTTTCAGTTTCAACTGCCGTGGAATTCTATCGAGTTTATGCCGTTAAAGTAAGTGTTTTGTTTTTTCCTATTATGTTTTTAGGAGCACTTGGCTTTTAAATCCAGGAAATTATCCTTATTTGACATTGCTTTTGCAATTTCTCGCTGGATTTTTCGTTGGTCTCGACGCGTTGCTGTCGTTGAATCCAGAAATCTTCGTGGAAACCACAGGTGTCCCCGCCACACTTCCGGTGTTTCGCATTTTTGGCGGATGTACGACAGTGGCGTATGTTCATTATCCAATGATTACAAAAGGTAAGCGTTGCCCTTGTTTACAAGGCTTTAAGAATTTTAGATATGATTAATCGAGTGGCCTCTAGAAAGGAGATGTATAACAATGCTGGAACGATTACAAAGTCTTTAATCTTGACAAATTTGAAGCTGTTATATTATTATGGGTTTAGTCTTCTTTACTATTTGTGCGGGCTCACTACAACAAAGGTCCTGACAAATGGAACGTAAGCGCATGCAGTTCTAGTTTTTACAACAATCTTCGAAATGTGTGTAATTCCTGTTTAGATGGACAAAGGAACATCTGGAGACTTTGTGGCCCTTTGAATCGACAATTTGTTACCCTCCAGTTAAAATAAACGACTTCGTTCAGAATCAAAATAAAGGAGAAAAGGCATTGGCTGAAAAGAGATTGAATGTCGTTTCTCTCGGCCAGATCAGACCTGAAAAGAATCATCGTGATCAATTGAAGACCCTGTCTTTGCTAAGAGAAGAATTTCCTTATCACAAAATCTGTCTAAAGATAATTGGATCGATTAGGAATGAAGCTGATCAGATACTGGCCGATGAGCTGAGGTGTTTTGCGGAAGAATTAGAATTGAAAGAAGGGACTGACTTTGAATTCGTCCACAATGCAAAGTTCTCGGAGATTTTGGAGTTATTGCAGGTACGGTTTCTTTTGCAGAATTGACATCTTTTTAGAATTCTTTATGCGCTCTTCACACCATGGTCGACGAGCACTTTGGAATTGCAGTTGTGGAAATGCTGGCGGCAGGCGTCCTGGTTGTTGCCCATAAGTCTGGTAAGTTAGTTTATCACATTAGTTTGTCGCTGGCATGTCACAATTACATAAAACAATTCAGCTGGGCCATTGAAGGACATAATTGGAAGTTCCGATAAGCCAGTGGGATTCCTAGGAGAAACGCCGGAGGGTAAATTATGTTGTCAGAAATACGATTGCTTTTAGATTACGCAAATCATATCAAAACGATAATTGAAAGTGAAAGGAGTGAGAGAGAAAAAATTCGGGCGGACGCACTGCAGTGGGTTTCCCAGAAGTTTGATGAAACCAAGTTCCGAGCGCAATTTTTATCTGTTTGTTGTTAATTAAACCATAATTTATTCGGTATTCGCATGATTTTTTTTGGTTTGAGCCAGCTCTGGTACCTTCCGCGATTGACGCTGTTTTCAATAATGTTTAGATTAGGAGATTATGCATCTGTATGCTTTGTTCGTTCTTCATAAGGATCCTACCTCAGGAAAAGCAACGATTCTTAAGAGCGCATCAGATGTCAGCAGTTTTGCATTCTTCTATCGAAAGAATGTTGGGGTAAGAGGATATTATTTTTTTGACTTTTTTTTGTCTTCTCGTTTCGCATGCTCTTTCGAAAATGGTGGTTTAATATTTCGGCTGGTACTGGGAAGCGTGAGATAAAACTTTGAGGGATTGAAACATGCCCCCGCCCTCGGAAAAAACTTCCCTTGTTAAATGAGTTTTTTTAGGAGTTCATGTCATTTACAAGCCGTCTATTGGCGGAGAGATCTGAAACTCCAAGCAGAAACTGTATTACCGAAAAGGAATACCGACTACGGTGTTTTGTTCGACCTGATAACTTGTGCGGAGTTTGTGTAACCGACCAAGAGTATGAGGACCGAGTTGGATTCGTTTGCTTGAGTAAGGTCCTGGACGAATTCGCACAAGCCGTGCCATCCTCGAAGTGGCCTCAGATACATAAAGAAGAGGAGTGCGACTTCAGTAAACTAAATGAACTGCTTGTCAAATGGCAAAATCCGAGAGAAGCTGATGCCCTGACGCGTGTTCAGGTATGTAATTCCTACTTATCTTCACGTTTCATTTTAGGATGAGGTTGAAGAGACTAAAGTAGTTCTCCATAATACAATGCAATCTGTTCTGGAGCGAGGAGAAAAGTTGGACGACCTTATACAAGCTTCAGAAAGCCTTTCCAATCAAAGCAAACAATTCTACACCCAAGCGAGGAAAATGAACAAATGCTGTAACTATGTCTGAAGTCACTTACTGACATTACATATGTGGCCATTCCTTATATTTTTATTTCTAACTGTATATATTGTGTTTTATAACTAACACTTTTAAACATATTCCGTAGTCATGAGTCATACAAAACTTATAATTTTGTCTCCCAAAAGATTTGATCGTCATCATGGGGTCGATATTGATATTGCCGAGTCCCGGAGCCTTCTTTCAATGTTACTAGTTTAAAGGAGTTGGTGAAATAGTAAAACAAGTCGTTGACTTCCTCTTCTTTCAGCCCTTGTTTAGATGCCTTTTGCATAACGAATTCTCTGATTGCGTCTTTTTGATCTTCCTTTGCCAAAAGACGGAGCTGATCGAAATCTTTTTCTGAAAGGTGGCTGAATATTTCGTTGTAATGTTCTGGAAGTGTAGCACTGAACATCTTTTCCAATATTCTACTGTAAGCAGACTTAATCATTTTGTAATCAGGAGGTGGCAGTTGCTAAAATCCGAATAAACATATTATAGAAGCGTCAACATACTTTCATCTTGTTCGTATAGAAGTTTTCCTCAGCAACTGTGTCGTTCAGGTTATTCCACGCGTTCAACTTGTCCCTTTCATCGTTACTCAGATGCAAGATCATTCCCTTAACCTTTTCCACAGCATTTTTTTGAGTTTGGAGAACTCTCAGCGCCTCGGATCGTTCATGTTCTTTACAAAGGTTGTTCACCTGAAATAATTACATAATCTGTATTTCATTGATACCATTCCTTTGAGCACAGTGTCTAACTGATCCAGTCGAGAATTCTTGACGAGTTTGTCGAACTGATTTTTAAAATCGAAATTTAATGTGAGGGCAACACGTATTTTAGCAAAGCAACTGTCACTTTCTGTAGGAATCGTAGAAGAACTACAACTTATAGGGGATAACAGACTTAATAATAAAATCATGTGCTTCGTAAACATACTTTCCGCAATAAAAAAAACCGGGATATGAACTTGACATCTCACCTTTATTTTCTGTATATCTGGCCAAGCGTAAAATATTGAGCAATCAAGTACCGTATTCAAAAGAGACACATGACACTTGAAAGGAACACTTGTCTGCTTTTTTAGATAAAATAAATATTTTTTTGGGACAATTGTGCTGTAATTACTTATAAGTTTTATAAAACAAGGAAAATGGGAAAGAAGAGAAAGCTCGATGAATCTGGAGATGTTGAGGCAACTTGTGCATCGAAGAAAGCTAAAAAGATGTTTAACGTAAGTAAGAATTAATTGAAATGTTTGTTTTTTAGACCGAGAATGAATACAGGGTTGAAAAAGTAAAAAATGAGGAAACAGAACTAAGTCTACAAGACCGAATTCATTTTATCAAATCACTAAAGGATGATCCACGAAGTAAAGGAGTATTATTCGAGACAGAAGAACACCATCATCATGTGTTTGGGTATCAGAATATTGGTCATCTTGAGTCCGTTCTTAGCAAAATGCATTCAAGAAGACTTCTGAAGCATTCAACACAGTATGTTCCAATATTTTCCTCATCTTTTTTTAGAAGCGGGGGTGTAATAGTTGCTTTTGGCAAGATAACGTTGTCGAAGAGCCAGCCAATCTACAACATTCATCCCTATCTTCACGTTGATTACCGAGTTCAGTGTTTAATATTGAAGTAAGTTTTTATTATGCAAATATTATTTTTAGAGCCAATAAAAATACGACATTCGAGACAAAGATTGAAGGCATAAATGGTTCGAATGCCTTCAGCACCTTTCTACAAGTGCCCGTCATCATCGAAGGGGTTCAAGATGAAGATGAAGTGGTAAAAGGGTATAATGTGAATGTAACATTCAAGAAATTCTCCTACGATGAAAGATCCTCAGTTATAAAAGCTAAATTGACTCATTAATTGTATTGTTATCGTTGATTGTTATGAATCTTCCAAATCCTTTTTATCCTTCAATTCTCGAACAACCGTTTTCTTTTCGGCTTCTGAAGCCATAGATTCGATGTATTTCTGGGCGGTTGGGCAACTTGTAACGACCTTCAGTTTGTTTTCTTTAGCATAATTGAACGCTTCCTGAAGTCAAACTTTAACTGCACACGTTGCGGAGATAATCGTTGTTATGACGGTACCTTACTTTGCATAATTGTGCGGTAATCCCCTTTCCTTTCAACTCCGGAGGCACCTGAGTATGGTAAATGTCAATCACGTTCGGTTTTAATTGACGATACTCTAACGTGGCTTGGTTCCCCTGAGCTATAACTAGATGAAATCATCTATTTGAACGTGCTTACCTAAGTCGAGGAAGAACTTCAGCCCCTTTTTACAATGGTTTACTCTTAAAGAGGACATGATTTTAGATTGTTTCGAGAAAACTATTGTTCATTTAAAAGATCAGCTTTGTCTGTTTGTCCGTCAGGTGGCTGAAAGTACTGGGCCAATAACAAACAAACAAATCAGGTCTGCAGTCAACAAATACATCCGCGGTAACGGCTTGGTCACATGTATGCATATATTTATTATATTCGTTAAGTATAAGTCCAAATATGATATTCAGAAAGGTCTTCTAATGGCCTTTGAACTCCTTTAGGACTATAAACATCATTTACCCAATGGGACAACAACATATGACTTTTAATCAATTGTGACACTTCGTCTAATTTCGCAAACGGATTGCCACTTTCTTTTCTACGTGATTTTCTGACTTCGTATGGGAGAAGATACGAAAGCTTTTTTTTTTTACAATTTCTTTGTCACTAAAGAGGTTGTATTCATATAATCAGATTTTAGATTTGTAGATCAAGCGTGTAATTTGAGATTTTTTAATTTTTATTCGGATTTGTAACTAATTTATCCAGTTCGCGAACTTGTAACTAATCTATCCAGCCTATGAACTTTTACCTTTTATCCTTTTTCAGGACATGGCCGACCTTGTTGTTCCTGAATCTTTTGCCGAGCGCCTTGAAAAGGTGAAAGGCGAGCCTCTTCGTAATCCTGCATCCCCAGAATGGTTCAGCCGTGAAGTGAACGAACAGTCTCGCGAGAAATTGGCCTGGGCTGCTCCATATGATGCCCGTTTCCCCCAAGTTCGTAAGCAACGTCAGTGCTTTGCTTACTATGTCGACTTCCACCGCTGCAAGGAGTTAATGGGCGAGGACTATCAACCATGCAAGTTCTTCCAGAATGTTTATAAGGATTTCTGCCCCAAGTTCTGGGTGGAGAAGTGGGACGAGCTTGTTTCTGAGAACCGTTTCCCCGCCAAATTTGACCGTTAAGTCAATGGAGTATCTAGATGATTACAGTGTTTTCATTTTGTGACCATAGTTGAGATAAATAAATCTTTTTTCTCAAAGATACAGATGCCTTTACTTGTTTTACTCAGTATAATATTTCGATGTTTATTTGTTCTGTAATTTTTTATTGGATGGGCGAACCGGTGAGATGGCCAGACGCAGAAATTAAACGGCGTGAAGATTACATGAGGTTCGGAAGCCAAGAGTTTGATATTAAGGACCCATATACGTGGAGTTTACCAGCCAAAGGAGCCGGTTTTGCTTTCGCGGTCGGATCTTTTGCAATCCATTACTTGAATTTGTATCAAAACAAAAGGTGGTATCATGGTAAGCAATAAGCAATGATTATTACTCTACAATTTAGCTCTGTACCCACGGATGGGTGTCCTGGCTGTTGGAGTTGCCATGGGCTATGGAGTTGGTCTTTTGAGACAAAAGTATAACATAAATAGAGATGCTTATGTGACTCACTACACCAGGCTTCATCCTGAAGACTTTGAAAGACTCAACGACAGTATGTGTTTGATATGTTTGGCAATTGATCTTATTGTATATCTTATTAGTCAGACTGATAATTATTTTTCTTCTTCTAGCATATGGACGACCACTTTCCGCTGTTCTGATGCCCTGGTACCCCAAACGGTCATTGTATCAGAAGTTTGAGAAGCCAGAAGAAGCCTAGGTTGTTTAAAAGTATTTTAATTGAGAGGAAATAAACGGATTATTCCATGACAGATTTGACATGGTTCCCGGGCCGGACCGAAAATTTAAAGGTTCGGCCCGGGCCGTTCAACTTTTCCTCGGCCCGCTAGTGTATTCCAATATGACAAAACATGGTATTAACTAGTTAAAAGGTTAAAAAGATGACAATTAGCTGCCGCTAAATAAATCGGTTATCATTTGTCCCAATTAAAAAACGTATTCATTTCTTCAATTTTATTGCAAGAATTTACCTCTTTGTAAGTAAGCTGAATTTTCCGCGCTGGCCCGTTTCAAATTTGCCTCGGGCTGGCCCGGGAGCCATGTCTATTCCGGACAGTTTCTCCTTCTAAAGCGTCGCCTTTGCACACAGCCTCCGTAAAATCGATATTTCTTTTTGGCTTTTTGTTTCTCTCATTCGGAAATTTTTATATAAGCTCAATTATGACCGACGAGTTTCCTGGTACATCTACAGCGTGTACAAGGTAGGGTGACTTTAATAATCACGTTTCCGTTTAGTGATAACAGTTTTTTGCTGGAGTCGGATTTAATTGATATAAGCCATGCCTCCACGTTAAAATGTAGCCAAAAGAATTTATTATTAAATATATCAGTAACTGAAGTGGACCGGTTAAGTCCGAACATTGAAAAAGGTATGTGTAAATGTGAATTAGTATTTAGTTGTTTAGTCGGCGATTTAAGCACAAAGAAAAGAAAGCGAAGGATATACGAGGGACCCAGGAGGAAAAGAGGGAGGCCCAGGAAATATCAAGATGGGAAACCTCGCTGCGTTGTTAGACCTATCAGAAGGGAGGTGGGGATGGATACAGTCCATCCGAAAGCTTGTGGTTGGGGTGCTTGTGAACACATAGCTCAATCCATACGAGAATTGAAACAGCATGTAGATCAAGTCCATCTTCCTCGTTTGATTACTTACAAGTGTGAATGGAGTAATTGTCTGCGAAGAGAACCCTTTAAAGCTATGTATATGCTATCCTTGCATCTGCGACGTCATACTGGTGAACGGCCACATGTTTGTACATTTCCCTTTTGTTCTCGGTCTTATTCGAGGTTGGAGAATCTGAGAACTCATCTGAGACAGCATAATGGAGAGAAGCCGTATCCATGCATGATGCCGGGTTGTGAAAAGACTTTCAGTAATGCCTCTGATCGAACGAAGCATCAGAAAAGGACTCATTCGGCTGAGGTGAGTGTGAAAAGCGAAGATTTTTTGATTATACAAATTTTCTTGTGATTCATGCTTTAAATTATGTCGTTTATATAATCTTTCGTTTTTAGAAGCAATACCCGTGTACGGTTACGGATTGTGGGAAGAAATATACAGACCCGTCTTCTTTACGGAAACATATCATAAAGAATCATGGAGAAGCTGTTTACAACCTTCTCAAGTTGATTAAAGTCATGCCGACCGCTGAGTCCGGCAGGGTTGAGGAGTCCTCGGAAGAGCCGGTAGCGAGTTCTCAAAACCCATGAAGCATATGAACTTAAATAAATATCTTTTCGGTTTAAGTAAAACATTACATCGTTTTACATTGTAAATTACATTATTGTTAAACTTTCCGTATCTCTGTACCATATAAGTTACTTTAGTTGTGGGAAGAAATTGTCTTACTCGTACAGCAACGATTCGGGAACTAGGATACAAAGGTCATCTTTTTCAACATAAAGTGGCTAGCCAAACACCGGGGTTGGTCGCTAATTGGTCCAAAGGACTAGCCAAGCACCTCGGTGATGGTTACGTTTTTCTTAAGTAGTACTGTTAAAAAGTAATTTTCGGAAAATTTTCTAAAAGTACTCGATTTAGGGGTTACCATCGAATACCCTTTAAATCAAGTGGTTTTCAAACAATAAAAAAAACTTTTTAACGGCATTTTCACCAGTTCGTTACCGTTTGGCTAGCCATTTTCTGTTGAAAAGAAATTTTTTTCGATTTTTGGTCGTAATCGCTGTTGAGTCTTTCATTCTGCAAAATTGATTTATAGCCTAAATAATAAAACACTGAATAACAATAACTAATGCGATTCTTGAGGCTTCAGTAACGCCGATCAAACGTCCGTTAACACTCTGGGCAAGCCTTTTAAACGTATCCTGGCTATTATTTCCAGGCTTGGAAATAGCCTCTTTCAGTCCGGCCACGTTACACCGTTTGTTGTCGCCATGTAATTCAGGAACCAGGAGGTCCCTTTAAATCGGGAGAACACGCGGGCCAGCTATGTTAGGAACTACTTGCTGTTCATGGAACTGTTTTGTCGACCTGATACAGTGGACGCTGAATTGTCCTGAATGAAAATGTAACCTGGAACGGTAACAGATGTTTGACCTCTCGGTACTCAAGGCTCTTCATTTGAGTTCATGTGGCCGCTAACGGACGCACTTTGGTTTTTCGAAGGCGGCCGATATCGTCAACGAGACACGTCAAAATCACTGAGTGAGAAGTAGCGGGTTCTTTTCTGATCTTGCGCCACTAGTATGTGAAACCGTCATGATGCTGCCGCGTCAGGGCCACATATAATCTCCAAGGAATACGGTACAATTATACAGGGTGATTCAAAAAATGGACATTTTCTTTCTGATTTGATTTCTCTTCGTTTTGAACATTTATCAGAAAAATGTACTTATGGCATGAAACTACTACGTTACATGAACATATTAACTGCAAAAATTCTTCACTAGCTGCAAAAGTTGGGGACATATGGTTGCTTAAAGTTGCCGGGTCAGCGCACCCATTCCCGCGACGAAATTTGGAAAGTTTTCGCTCCCAAATGCCTTAAAGCTGTAACAGAGACAGTTGCGAACTTCTGGAGAGTTATTAATAGAATACTATCAGAGTTTTTGCTTTTCTTTCAACTGAAGGCGGGTTTTCGTGGTAGGATACACCGACTTCAAAATTGTCCATTTTTTTGAATCACCCTGTGTAATGATGATAATTTGACCAATCAAAATGTTTTGTCAGTGTCTCATCCAAAAAATTTCAGCCGCATATTGACGTGAGCCGGGGTTAACTTAGGGTACATCCACATGACGCCTAGTGATGATGTCACTGTGTTTTTGAACTCTTATCGTGCGCCTGCTACCAATGAGGCCTAATTCTTGCTTTAATTGAGTCTCAGAGATGGTGGAGCTAGAAGCTCGGCGGATTATTCGTCTTCGCTGTGTTGCAGTTGTACACTGTTTTCTGCCGGAACATTTAATAGATGTGCTGCAGGCTTCTGGATTGGCCAGGGAGTGTTCCTTACAATTCGGCCCGAACGGCAGCCTTAATGATCCTCTGTCTTTCCCGGACACGTTTAAAGAGCTTACCCAGGGTGTTCTCGGCCTTTTGATCGACGTTACTGAAGCCTTAAGAAACACATTAGTTATTGTTATGCAGTGTTTTAAATTGGCTAATAAACCAACTTTGTAAGTACGGTTATGATTTTGGATGGTGGTACCTTCTCAAAATAATTTTATGGCACAAGATTTATGAGTACAATAATGCATATTCGTGTCAAATACGACACATTTAAAGTGACAATCACAAAAGTTACAGCAATTTTTAAAGTGCGGCTGTAGTTATGACCCAGACTGTAGTTTGCAAAACATACAAGAAAAGTTTTTTTCTTGAAAATGTAAAATTTAATTTATCATGTTTTTGAAGTCTACAGTCATGCCATTCATTAAGATGAACCTTTACTCCTACATTGCCCTCACCCAGTTACCATGACGTTTTTGACATAAAAAATATATATGAATATCAACTGGTCGGAGATAAGTCGGCTGAGCGACGGGTATTTTGCATAAAGATATATCTCGAGAATCGGGCTGACGTCCGAGCATTTCGGGATTAATCGTTTCTGACAATGGCCAAAGTTGTGTAATTTTTTCGAAAAATATCGCATTTTCTATTTATATTCGTGGAGATTCAGTAATTTATAAATTACTTGACCAATATTCAAATTTATTTTTGAGTTGGGAAACAGTGTCCTGTAGTCAAATATAGCAACACTATATCGGATTAAAAAGAACCGTTTGTTTCACCATTTCATTCCCGAGAAACGATCCATCAAAAATTCGGAAATCAAGTGGAAAAAGTGAAAAATTTGCATAAAAGAAGATGAGGTCCACAAGTGGCATTTATGACACGCGCTACCGCCTTTTGACAGCCCCGACCATCTTTGGCAGCACTAAATGAACAGCTGGTTTTTCGAAGCCCTCAAGACCGTATGTGCTCGACGGCGGGATGCTGATTGGTTCAGGGAAAAAGGGGCGGAGCCTGACTCCAAAAACGGCAAATTCCATGCCCCTAAGTTGGGGCTGGCTAGAGTCGGAAGAGCTGGCACAGATAGCCGAGGGAAAGGACTTGATTTCCCAGTGGATCTGAGTCCGAAAGGGGCTTCAAATTTCGGTTGGATTCGTGTAATGAACAAAACTTTTCCCCGGAGGGAATCCGTTCGGGGTTATTGTAGATGGAAGGCGAATGGCTCAACGTGACCGCTCCATAATTCCGAAGGATGAATATCTCCCCACGGAAGGTGCCCTGGATGTGAAGGCGGCTTCATGCCCCAGGGGCGTGCTCCGCCCTCCGGCGGTCTGAGGGTTATCCCAAAACGTTTCCAAAATCCCAGTTGGGCGCGGTTGCCGGAGGCACGAGTCACTATTTTAGTCGTGATTGGACGGTACCTGTGCCTCTCTTGGGATCTAATGATTGGACCCATTTCAGATTACGAAAGGAGATAAGCCATGTATCCGGTCATGTTCAACTTCCAAGACACCAGCCTCCTCCGTTCAGTTAAAGAGGAGTCCCTACTCAGGAACAACTGGCCCGTCCAGGTACTTGACACATCTCCAGGCAGGTAAGCAGGACTAGCACAAAGCCAACACAATCCCAAAAAGAGCGGCCAAAGGGCCGACATCCGACGGCCGTTCCAAGTTTTGGAATGAAATGGGCACGGCCTTGAGGGAGACCGATCCGAATCATCATCTCCCAGCACGGGGACCGTGGGACTATTCCAGCACGATCTCTCTCCTTCTCCCAACCCACCAGGGTCTCGCAAAACCCATCGCGGCCGCACCGTCCAATTAGCTCCGGAGGGGATAAGTGAAAGTAAAAGGTCTAATTCCCCCACATCGAAGGCCAGGGTCCGCTCTTTCTGTTATCGCCGCCATTTTTATGAACTAATTCGGCCTTGGTGAAAATGGCTGACCATATGTCGAGGAATCCGCGATTTTGAATTTCAGCGCCCAGCTTGCCCGAGCCCAGTTCGAGCATCCACCGCCATCCAATCTGAGGAAAAGCAACTTCTTTCATTTCACTGTCAACCTCTATGACCGCGCTAATCAACCCATCGAAATTGAGCATGCCAGTTTTGCTGGGTTCGTGGAGAATGAGAAAGAAGTTGATGGAGAAAACACAAGAAATGGAATCCACTACAGAGTTCATCTTTTATTTGGAAACGGTAGGGTTAATGGAGAAGGTTGTTGTTCGAGATTTGGTTAAGTTTCGAGCCACGATTACTTTTTATTCGATCGTACTGGATATTGTGGATTACTTGTTATTGAATTAAAGCGGAAGTTCTAATTCCGGTCCTTGTTACTTGGTCTGTAATTGACCGTAACTGGATTAAAGAACGAGATGCGCCTTTCCCGGCCTGTTTTGGAGGGAATTTGGTTTAATTAAGTCGAGTTGTAACTCATTAAATTCGGGGACCGGGTCGTAAAACATGGCCATGAAACGAGAAAAAGTGCCCGTAAGCATAAAAGAATTAAACACGAAAAAGCTGCAGAATACAAGAGATATGATATCCAGTTGATCCACTTAGAGAAAGTAAATTCGTAATCATAATTCCATCATGATTCACCTTATTATTTACAGGAATGCGGGCCGAACAAGATTTATATGTGCGGCTGATCGACAGCGTCTCCAAACAGGTGAGCGATCTCGTCGATGATAACCAAATGGTGTTCCCCATATGTTAGATGACCTCATCTTTTCAGGCGATAGCTTATGAGGGCCATGACAAGAATCCTGAGATGTGCCGTGTTTTGCTGACACATGAGATTATGTGCAGCCGATGTTGTGAAAAGAAAAGTTGCGGTAACAGAAATGAAACACCCAGTGATCCAGTAATCATCGACAAGCAAGTTATTTCCTATAACAAAACTATTTTTATAACCATTGCGCAATTCAATCATCGTTTTCAGATTTTTCCTCAAATTCTTCTTGAAATGCAATCAAAACTGCCTGAAGAATGCTGGGAATCCACGAGATATGAGGCGATTCCAAGTGGTGCTGTCATCTACTCCAAGGGTTGATGCAGACGTGTTGGCTGTTTCTGAGAATATGTTTGTTCACAACAATTCGAAGCATGGCCGAAGGGTTAAACGGGAGAGCGCTGAAAGTAAGCATGCTCTTTTAATACATTAAAACTTATAATTTGTCGGTTATCTAACATTCAGACCTTTTGTTTTGATTTAATTTCCGCATCCAATTTCCCAGAGATGTCCTCAAAGATACCATGGACTTTTCTTTTACGAGTGCGCGAGTTTCTCTCGCATCTGCTCATCCCCTTTTGTGAGGATTGTTGCCCCGGATGTCCCGTTTAATAGCCCTATCATAACTCCGAGGGCCAAATATGCAAATTATGGGGCTTGCTCTCTGGGTGATACATGGCTGAATTTTTTTGACAGCCGTAGACAAGAACACATGGATCTTAAGTCACACTGAATACGGATACTGTAGTTATAATCAAGCAAAACTATGGTTTAAACCCCTAGGGGCAAGTCCGGGCCAATTACCGAGAGTTTATTCGTGCCATTCTTACTGCAATTACCCGATATATACCTGAGAAATACGATACTTTTCAGTGGATCATTCGGTGAACGTCTCTTCAATTGCGCCTCCAATTATAAAGACAATCTGTCCATCTGAATGCTGGTGTCAAGGTGGAAGTGTAGTAGTGATCATTGGGGAAAACTTCCATGAGAATATGCAAGTCAACTTCGGATCAAATACTGTCTGGGGGGAACTGATAACACCTCAGGCAATGAAAGTCACAGTACCCGCTAGATCAACACCAGGCAATGTGGAGGTTACAATCAGCAGCAAATTAAAGAGTTCCAGAAGTATTGCTAGATTTACTTATGTCTGTAAGAAATTCGAAAAGTTTTTCTCTTTAATCAATCCATTTAATTTTTGCAAAATTATGATTTTTCAGCTTTAACTGAACCTAATATCGATTATGGATTTCAAAGACTTCAGAAATTACTTCCCAAATATCCTAACGATCCAGAGAGATTGCCCAAGGAAGTGATCCTTCGAAGAGCGGCTGATCTGGCCGAAGCTCTCTACAACCGATCTCCCGCCGATCAGCTCAGTCAATATGCTGCCAGTGCCTATTCCGCCGTCCATTTTGACTCCGGTATTTCATAACCACGGGAGGCATATTTTTTTTAGATTACGCTCGTAATTACTCACCTCGTGGACTCACGGGTTATGTAGCGTCCACCACAGCTAGTCAAACGATAGCTCCGAGTATGTATCAAAGTACCTATGCATCTGGAGTGGCAGGAACCCCTGGAACAGGCTTTCTGAATACGTCGACGGGTATGTGAGGGCACCCTTGTGCGTGTAATTCTCAGGTTCCCACTTTAAGCAAATTTTTTCAGGGTTCCCATCTTTTGGAGGTGTCAATCCTTTTAGCACTCTTCAGACGCTACAGAAACCGAGTACCTACTGAATCCAAATACCTCGTGCTCAACTGTTCGGTGTTGTTTATATTAAATAAAACGATGATCTCATTATTTTACTAATAAACTCGGCGATTCATTTCGGGAGAGGTGAGCGAGGTAAAGGGAGAGAGCGACGGATTCTTTCAAGGCCGGCTCTGGAGTCGGACGGTCAAGGCAAAAGCCACTCAACTTTTTTGGGTCCTCCCGGGTACTGTTTTGTGTTATTTATGTCGGGAAATTACTTCGTTTATGAAGGCCGCTTATTGTCGGTACTTTAATTATTATGAAACGGAGGGGACGTAATTTAAATTTCGGTAGGCCTTTAGCCAAAAACAAGTGTCCATTTTTATGATTACACTGTCCCTCTGTACATTCTGTTATCCGCGTGCGCCTCCTTGACCCCTCGCATGTATACATTAAGAGATTTCTTCAGAAAATCCTCATGAATCAGCGCGGTGAAGGACGTTCACAGATCTTGTATTCCCATTTTCTCAAGATTTTTATACCTTTCTGTTGGCGGATCCGACTCGAATAATTTGAATTCCACAGGCTTTAAGCAGAGCCCGTTCTTTTCGCGCGGTTCAAAAGACAAGGAAAACGTGTGCTGTTTGGCTTTAATCGTAGTCGGGGAGGTTTGGGGAATATGTGGGACCTTTAACATAGCATTCTAGAAATGACCGAGCAAGTCGAGTACCGCAGCACCATCACTCCGAGAAGTCCCTTCAGCCGGGGCATAGGGCATTTTGGGAGTACCCAATCGTTGTCGCTTCCGATGGGTGAGTGCAATACTTCAATCACTGTTTATGCTTACTCTAGCCTTCCTTTCATGGTTTTTTAGCCTCTGGCAACAGAATGATCAAGATGGTGGAATCGTTTGCCTCCGGGTATAGCAGTGGGTCTGCCTTCGGGTCAAGTGCCTGGGCTATACGTGACACCAAAGAGAAAGAAAAGAAGGAGCTATGCGAACTGAACGACCGATTGGCCAACTTCATCGAGAGGGTCCGCTTTCTGGAAGCCCAGAATCGGAAACTGACTCTGGATCTGGAAGGATTAAAGAAGAGAACTGGTAAGGGAACCACTGTCATAAAGAGTATGTTCGAAAAGGAGATAGAAGTAAGTGCACCAATAACAGAATATGGATGTATTAGAGTGCCACTAGTTTGATTGGGAACACGACGGACGAGAAGAAGAAGATGGGACAAGATTTAGCACAAATTGAAAAAGAATTAAAAGAATTGCGCAAGAAATATGAGAATGGTCTGAAGGAGAGAAAGGAGGATAAGGAGAAGATCGACGAATTACTCGTACAACTCTCGAACCTTGAAAGTGAAGTCAGCATTCTCAAACGCCGTATAGAACTATTGGAATCTGAAGTTCAACGCCTAAAAAAAGAAAACCAAAGGCTTCAGGCAGAACTTCATAGAATTCGTCAAGCAGTTGACAGGGAAACTTTGAATCGAATTGATTACCAAAACAAGGTTCAGACTCTTTTGGAAGAGATTGAGTTCTTCAGAAGAGACCACGAAGGTGAGATTAAAGACCTTCAAGCGCAGGCTGCAAGGGACACCACCGGAGAAAACAGGGAATACTTTAGAAACGAATTGGCCAATGCCATTCGAGAGATCCGAAACGAATACGATGCTTTGAATTCTACCAATAGAAACGACATCGAATCCTGGTATCGGGTGAAAGTCCAGGAAATCGAGACTCAAGCGGCTAGAAATAATATGGAACAAGGGTACCAAAAAGAAGAAAAGAGACGCCTCAGAGATCAACTGACCGAGGTCAGGAACAAACTTGCAGACCTCGAAGGCAAGAACGCAATGTATGAACAGCAGATAATCGCCTTGACCTATCAAGTGGAAGACGAGCGACGTCATTACGAAGACACTCTGAACATGAAAGACGATGAAATCAGAAAAGCCAAGGAAGAATGCCAGGCTCTTATGGTAGAACTGCAGATGTTAATCGACGCAAAACAAACTCTAGATTCCGAAATAATGATCTACAGACAAATGCTTGAAGGGGAAGGTAATGAAGCAGGTCTTAGACATCTCGTAGAGCAAGTGGTGAAAACAACAGGCATCAACGAAGTAGCGGACACAGAGACAATGAGAGTAGTAAAAGGAGAAACCTCCATTCACCACGGGTTCTCTCGATCTGCGAAGGGAAACGTATCCATTCAAGAAACCGATCCGGATGGCAAATATGTTCTTCTAGAGAATACTCATAGATCGAAGGAGGAAGCCATTGGGGAATGGAAATTGAAAAGAAAGATCGACGGCAAACGAGAGATTGTCTATACTTTCCCACAAGAGTTCGTCCTTCGACCCGCATCGACTGTTAAGGCAAGACCAATACCAATAAAATTTAAATTTAGTTTCAGATTTGGGCAAGAAATCAAGGAGGAATCCACAATCCGCCAGAACAAGTAGTCTTTGAAGGAGAAGACACCTTCGGAGTGGGAAGTAATATTACAACCATTTTGTACAACACTCAAGGAGAGGTAGGTACTGTTAATCTCAAAATCGCTCGTAGAAAGCCTTTGAATTATAAGGATGGTGACATACGCATCAAATCGGGCGATTTCTTTTAGGCCTCTAGACAAGAAATGCGTAATTCTTGTCTCAAATTGCGCAACATTGCGCAAATTCCTGCTCTCTCCCCGTGAAGATTTTTTTCTTTTTTTTCTCTGCTCAGTCAAGAATTGCGCATTTATTGTCTAGCGGGCCCAACACAAGAAATGCGGGTTTTCTGCGAGGAAGTCCGAACAGATGTAGAACGCACGCGCCTTATATGGCTGTCATTTGAACTCAATGGCAACCTGGTCAAACAATTTTTTCAGTAATGTGTTACAACTCTCGGTACTATTTGAACTCAAAGGCGGTATAGTAAAATTCTACCGCCACCAACAATTCAAATTTTGGCGAATTGTCTTTTTTAAAGGAAATTTGGCACGAACTGAAAAATTCTATTTGATCTTACCGTTTCTGTGGTGCTACAGGGTGCGGCAATTTTCGGCCGGATTTTAATTGACCATAACTTTTTTAGTTTTTGGGCAAATGTTAAAATTCTTTTTTCCCTGAATCCACAGACAACCCCATTTTGTTTAATACCAAATATGTTATACCCGTTCATTAGACTACAGTAAAAATTCGAGACAAAGAAAAAGCTCTAATTTTCATAGCTGACAATGGAATTACCCCTAGCGCGACTCTCAGATTTTCTTTAAATTTTGCACATGGGCCGAAAAATTGCCGCACCCTGTAATATCGCTATGAACTATAATATAATATATGCTCTCATTTTGGACCTTACATTATAACATACATATCAGTCTGTAATAAAATCAACCCATTTTGCAACATTGAATATATCAGTCTGTCGGAAAAATAACGGCGGATCGTCGCATTAAAATGTCTCGCCTCGCCGCTATCGCGCACCAAATCCCAAGCTGCGGCTTGCAGTCGCAAAGCGATGATGGGCGATTCCGAGGCGCGACGATCCGCCGTTATTTTCCCGACAGACTGATAAATAGGACCGGTACCCGATCTGCGCAAGGGTAGCCGGAAAATTAAAAAAATTTAAAACGGATGTCATTTTCAAATCCTCGCCATCGATTGCCTTTATTTATATTCACCATTTCCCGGTTTTCGGTTCGGGGTGTCTTTCGAAAGGTGGCAGACAAGTTTGGCACAAATTTTTGAGTTTGAAGGAAACACAAAAAATATGTGGGATACGGTAGGATCAATCCACATCCATAAGTTTAATTTTTCATTTACTATTCGCTGTGAAAGTTTCACTGATTTTCTCAATTTTGTCAATTTTTTAGGAAAGAGCAACGTTGACGCAGAAACAAAGCCAATCCAGCCATCACTGATATTATCACCTGTGCGACCACTTTGCCCTTGCATCAGAACTGACACTTTTGTTATAGCGAACATCTGCATAATATGGTATAACAATTTATTAAGTTTTTATTAAAGTAAAAAGTAAAATAATAATATTTGAGGCTAATCTAATAACGCAGCAACAGGTTTACTCTCCAGTTGGTAAACGGTGTCAAAGTACCCTGGAGGCATTGCAGAATTCCAACCGGCATGCATTTTCTCGTCATTATTTCTTTTATTTCTATTCTGCCATAACATCGACACATCCTGCAAAAAATATTACTGTATGCGAGTGCGGTTTAGACATAGATCCCGGGCCGGCCCCAAGTAAATTTGAAACGGGTCGGCAATTGCGCTTACTAGCAAAAAGATAAATTGGAGTATTAAAATTAAAGAAATGAAGAAAAATTCGGTCCAAACCTTTATGGACAGATTTCTGAAATCATTACAAATATCCTCAGCACCCCTGATCCTTTGCAAAAAATGTTTATTTTGTGTATTGTTTACTTTTTTTGAAGTAATACTGTTAAAACACGTTTTTTCTAAGCTTGGAGAGCCCTGGCTACACGAAAAATCAAACTGCTTCATTTTTCTTTACACTTGGAAAACTGTAGCTACGTACCATTCTAACAAACTTTCCCGTTAACTTTTTTTCGAAATCTTACTGTACTTTGGGTTACGGTAACATGACTCATTTTGTCATAACTCGGGAACCAGATGTCGTAGCGAGACGGGGTCTTTACCAGTGTGTTCAGCGTGCCGAAAGATGGCTTTTTGTTAGCTACACCAAGTTTCTAGGACCCCGGGAAGTGGCAAAAAAATTTGAATATTTATGCAAAAATTCAAAAATATGCAAATTTCTCGAAAATTTAACCAAAATTATGCTCATTTTTATTTCATATTTTGAAAGTAGAGGTCATAGCGGTTTCAATGGTGTAAAAAACTTGAACGTGCGAACCGAGCTGTCTGAGAACGGGCTGTTTGAAGTTGGGGCACCCAGTCATGAATGAGCAAAAAATCGGGGTAAACTGTATAAAATCATTGTTAAACGGCAAGAATGGAAAGTAAATTTTGTTATTACATTGTATCGGTCACAATAGAAGATTTTCCACATAATTTTCATAAATTTGCATATTTTGGAATTTCTTGCATTTACGGGTGCATCAGCCGCCAGATAGGCGTGGACATGGCAAAAATCGATTTTGAGTTTTTTACATTAAAATGACTGTTGGAAGGTACTAAGCAAAAGCGAACAATATTTTTTCCCAAATCCTTCATTAAGGTATATTTTTACAACATTTTGACAATAAATGCAAGTAATTCCAAAATATGCAAATTTATGAAAATTATGTGGGAAATCCTCTATTGTGACCGATACGATGTAATAACAAAATTTACTTTCCATTCTTGCCATTTAACAACGATTTTATGCGGTTTACTCCGATTTTTTGCTCATTCGTGACTGGGTGCCCCAACTTCAAACAGCCCGTTCTCAGACAGCTCGGTTCGCACGTTCAAGTTTTTTACACCGTTGAAACCGCTATGACCTCTACTTTCAAAATATGAAATAAAAATGAGCATAATTTTGGTTAAATTTTAGAGAAATTTGCATATTTTTGAATTTTTGCATAAATATTCAAATTTTTTTGCCACTTCCCGGGGTCCTAGAAACTTGGTGTAGCTAACAAAAAGCCATCTTTCGGCACACTGAACACACTGGTAAAGATCCCGTCTCGCTACGACATCTGGTTCCCGAGTTATGACAAAATGAGTCATGTTACCGTAACCCAAAGTACAGTAAGATTTCGAAAAAAAGTTAACGGGAAAGTTTCTTAGAATGGTACGTAGCTACAGTTTTCCAAGTTTAAAGAAAATTGGAGCAGTTTTATTTTTCGACCTGCGCTCGACTTTTAGAAAAATCGTGTTTTAAAAAGTAACAAATTCCCATTTCGTGGGAATTTTTCTGGTATTTATGGGGATTTTCAAAATGAGGAAAATTTGAAACGGGCCGAGTCGAGCCCTCCGGCCCGTGGGGGCCCGGGGGCTAGTGTGGTCCAACAACTTACTCTGTTTGGATAAATATTCTTAATGTAAGAAAAGGTAGGATTCGAATAAATGGCGTCTGCTATCGTAGTGCCTACGGGCATTTTGTCGGCTTCGGTTTCGTAATGAACAATCTGATTTCCTGGGAGTTTACAACTGATCTTCAGGAATCCAATTCTCATATCCGAGAATCGTATCAACATTGTTGGGGACATTACCGAATTCAACGCGTTTTCAGATTGCTCTTTAGAGCAGAAACCTTCGATCAGCCTAAAATTATTTTACATATTGGGACCAAAGAGCGGTTCTTCAAAATTGAGATCTTTGCGAAATTTTAAACCGCTTCGAATTTCTTACCCGTCTTGCCATTGCTCGTACATGTACTTGTTAACTACGTTGGCACATTTGTAAAACCATTCGAAGAAGACACAAGGCAAGGGACTCCCATCCTTGTTCTCCTTATGGGAAATAGTTTTGTTAAAGAAGTTCTTCCGACATAAAAGGCCATCCTCCACTTCCAGACGTCTTCCCAAGTGCTCCAGATTCTGAGGCGAGAGAGACACGGGCTCGGGAAGATCTACGTTCAGATCTCTGACATCCTGGGGTTCTTGAATTAAGGCTCCCCATTTCATCCCTAAGGCCTTTTTAGCACTCTCCCAAGTCACTGTTTCGGGAACGTGAGATAAAATGCCAGTCTAAAACGTGATTTTTTACTTTAATCTACACTCCAACCCCTTCGGCGAAGAAGCGATTCCAGAAGAGCGAAGCCTCGGCTTCCAAGGAAGAGTGAACCAAGGCCGCCACCGGCAACGATAACTTGTATCCATTAACTGTAACCATTTCAGAAGGTCCCAAAAAAGACTCCAGAAAAGGACCGATGTGAAGATGGAAGGCCAGGTAGTATCTAAGGGAGGATACCTTTGATCTCCTGGTCCCTTTTTTCTCGTCGAATCCAGCATCTGCTGCTGTTCTCTTCTGAATCGACTCTACTAATCTCTGAAAGAAAGTCAGAGTCAGGTTCGGAGCTTACAATTTTCTCAAAACAAGCTCTATAAGGGTAATTGGTATTCAGTCCCTCAGCGGTTCCAACTTGGAATGCGCTGTCATTGTAAATAAGATGGAACGTGGGGTCAGTGACGGCTGGTTGAGCGGGATTCCTTTGGATCTTTTTGGCAGTTTCTTCACTTATCAGATCCACTTTTACTTGACTGGGATGCTTCCGGGCTCCAATCGCTTCACCTCCCAGAAGTCTGACCTCCGTTCGACAAGGGAATCTGGTAGAACGATGACTGTCACTGCCTCGGCATTTCACAAGAACAGCTGGAGGTTGGATGGAGATTACCAGGCTCTGCCAAATAAACTGTCGGACATTCTGAACGACATCAGCCTTGCACTTGAGAAGCCTCGGAAGCAGAGGATTCTCAGAATTCAACAAAGAAATAAGACTTCCCAGGGTTGTCATCATGGCCACAATCTCTACACCGCATTTCTCAAATCTAAGAGATAAAATTAATTAGTGGCACCGGGCTCACTGTATCTCAATTTCATCCAGTTTTTGGTAATGCTCTTGCTGTACAGATCTGGGGCCACAAGTCAATTCCTTTTGTTTAATCAGCCAGATCACTAGATTATCTGCTACCAGGGTATGAATTACTCTTTGCATAATTACAGTTGTAGATTCGAGTAATGTAAAAAGATGCTCTTCCAACTTGCGAATATTTGAATCAAGTGCAACCACATTGGTTTGGAGGGTTTGTAATTCTGATCCAAAGGATGAATCGACTTCCATTGTCAATATGGATTGGAGGCCTTCAAGTGTGAACATTAAGGTAACACTCTTGAGAAATGGTAAAAAAGACTTAAAAGCCTACCTTGCAATTCTTTTTGCAGCTGACTGAATCTAGTTTGTTGTTGTAGGAGATCGTTTCGGGCCTTTACATAGCTATTACAGACAAGGCGGCAATTCTGAAAATGGTTTAATTCCACGTTTCTTCGGAGAAATACCTGGTTGGCCTGCTCGAATGTGCACATGAGATCTTCGTTATGTCCCATGATGAAACAAAGTGTAATGTAGTAGAAATCTACGATTTAAAATTCAACAAAAGAAACGCGAGTATACTTGGAATTATTTAGGGCGTCGAATGATGAGGTATCTGATGAAGCCGGGAAGACGAAGCCCGATAACATCTCCTGAAACCCCTTCCCTCTGACCTCCTCGACTCTCCGAAACAACGCAAAACATTTGCAAACATATTTTAATCGCATATTATTAACATTGTCAACATAAATAATATTTATGACCTGAAGAGAATATATAAATTATACTGGTCATTAATGGTTAAAGTAATCGATTAGGAACGACGACCGTTTTTTCCGTCGGAATGAGCCGTTCCGACAACAGAATCCTCCGTAGCAGGTGTAGTTGGGGGGACACTGGTTGTTGACGCCGCAGGGTCCAAATTGATCCTCAGGGGCACAAGTGCCTGTATTCAACCTGAAGCAATTACCAACACCCGGTCCGGAACAGGCGTATCCTTCAGGACAGAGCCGAGTTCCTCCCGCCCCGGCAATACAAGGACCCACAGCACTGCCCATGATCTGAGGGCAGCACCAATTATTGGCAGTATCACAGAGATAACCGGGCTCGGGACAGTTTCCATCAGCTCCACAAGGTCCACTCGAATCGGCTTCAGCACAGGTCGCGGTGCTGGCAGTGTTTCCAGCAGCCGGCGGTCCACAACATTGGTTGTTAATACAAGTGTACCCATCAGGACATTTGCCATTGACACAAGTACCAATAGATTGCTGACCATTGGGACATGCTAGAAGGAGATTATGATATGTGTTGAACAAACAAAAGACTCACCATTCAGTGTAGATGGACAACAGATATTACCAGTGGTACAAGTGTAGCCAGACCCACATTTCCCTTGCATACAAGCTCCGATGGCTTGACTTCCATCTAGACATCTGGGGGTCTGGGAAGTATTCGTGCAACACAATCCTTGATTACAAGTGAATCCAGTGCCACACATATTATTTACACAAGCTCCAGCTGCTTGAGTTCCGTCTGGACATACTGTAGCTGGGACAACTTGGGCACAGCAGACATTGTTGGAGTTGCAAGAGTAGCCCGGACTACATTGACCTGATACACATGCCCCACCTCCATTTGAACCGGCAGGACAAGAAGAATCTGAAAAGAAAAGAAACCATTCAGAGGCGGAAGACTCAGAGTGCAATATCAAGTGCGCAAAAACAAACAAGATCGCAGTGATGTAGTGGTGGGACAACATAGATTCGTTGTTTGCATGCACTGATAGCCCGTGGCGCACACACCGTTATTGCAAGTGCCATAGGGAGAGGCCCCATTAGGACAAGCTAAAGTGCACCAAGTGATTAGTGAGTGTAAACAGAGTGTGTGAAGAGAGGAAATTGGAATGCAGGTCAAACTCTTTTAGATTAAACGACCGCCTTACCGTAACTGAAGAACTGATTGCATCTTGGACAAGGATACGAGGACACTGAAAAGAAATCCGATTAGTAATTGAGACTATACAAAATTACACTAGAAACTGACTGGGTCGTTTCAAACTGTGATAGGAGGACATGTGAGTTTGGTCAGGGTAATTAGAGTTAGCTGCAGATGTGGGTGGCCTTCTGATCTCCGAATTCAACACTCGCCGAGGATAATGGTGATGCACAATATGCTGACGAAGGGGGGTTGTACTCGGAAGCGATGTCGTCGATGTTATCACTTCCTTTAAGGGTAATAACATGGGACAACACATTGTGATATGGTGATCGCAGAACAGGCCGGGTGGACACAGATTGGAACGCCCCGAGCAAGCTACGGTACTGGTGAAACCCGCCGCACAACTAGCTACAACCTTCAGAAACTGAGTTTATTTTCGAGGCTTACCACCATCTCCAGTTGCTTTAACCAACATCGAATTGAGCGCCGAGAATTCGGCCGGCAAAGGAGAGTCGGCCCAATCACTCTGGGGATGGGTTAACAAGGAATGGTATAGATTACTGTTGTGGTTAGTGTTATGGGTAGAATGTTTGTTAGAACCTGAGTTATGAATGTGTCTGTGGAAATGGGGGGAATGGGGGTGATTATGATCTGGGAGAATTCGTTTCGGGACAGGAAGAACATGCTTGGGCGGATGCTGCTTACTGGTCATGGGGACTCCCATTAGGGCTCCCGATCCTCCGGAAGAACAACAATATCCATTATTACAGGTACCAGTGGAACAAGGATTGGCTGGAGAACATTGGGCATACGTACAGACAACACCACCGTTTGATGGATAGGCATGCATCGTGGGTACTTGAGAGGCCTTACGGGAATGTTGTCTGATCCCTTTGGTAGATCCAAAGGCATGCGCAACACAGGATTGATGCTCAAAACTGAACCAAAATCCTTGTTGGCAATATTTTTTGGCCCATTTTCGAGTACTGTAGAAAAGGAAGGATAAGAAAAGTTGGGGGAAACTTACACTGGATTACACTGTAAATAACTGTTGGGGTCTTCCGAATTGGATTGAAGACAAGTCTCGGGGATGTTACAGTAACCGTTCTCCTGTGCTTGTAGCTGCTCTAATTAATTATGGTACTTCATTATTAGATTTTACACTTACCACAAACGATGGGACTGAGTGGGAGCTTTTCACTTTTCTTGGGATGCTGCTGGTAAGGAGAGACTACGGTAGGCTCGGCATACGGTAGAGTCCGACCTTCGTTCGGTCGACCTTTTGTCTTCACTACCCAGATTCCAACATCTTTTGAAGGACTAAAAACAAACGCCTATACCAACAAACAAGGTGATCATAAGCATTGCTACGACCGAAACTTACTCTTCAACATCGCAGTGAAGATAAAATTGAGTTTGTTTCCCCCCAATATTCACATCTGCAGATCCCAATTTGCAAGGACCACCGATGACTGGAGTTGATTGCGAACCACCGAAATCTAAAGAATTCCGTAACCGACTACTGTAGTAACTTACCAAGTAAAATGAACAAAAGGAGACTCAGACTTTTACGTATTCTGGTCATGGTCCCTGAATATAGAGCCGGATTATCAAAACATATCAAATTATTCAACATAAAAACAAAATCGCAAATGATTCTTGTAGCCACGACCCTCAGGGGATAAGGTTAAAGAGAGCGAGGGACAGCTCGTGTTCGCCACTTTCGCTGCCCTCTGGCCAACATCAAATGGACATTGTTTGCGCAATTCGAACCCGAAAATAACTCGCGCACGCATTGCTAGGAAAGTGTGATGAGAGGTTTTAAACCCTGGTTTGCAAAACCTGGTCGCGCACCGTGCAATAGAAAGCGATAGAGACGGACTGAATGGACATAACCTCGTCCGGCCAGGAGCAGAGTGGTCATCAAGACGTGAAAACGATAGGAGCCGTCAAACCTCAATTGAAAGGAATTAAGCGGATTAAAGAACCCGATTGATTAAGCCCGGGCCCGGGATCCGACCGTCTCCGAGGAATCGATGTGCTGTCGAGTGGACCGTCCACGAAAACGGTGGTCTACGTCACGGGAGCGCTGAAGACGGCTGGCTACTCGAGTTGAGTACCGGTCGCAAAAAGTTTCTGTTGGTCAAAGGCATATTTAGTCTGAATGACCGGTCACTAAGGCCCGAATGTTTGTGGACCCCGATCTAGAGACTGCGCTCTCAAGACGAACGCGTTTGAAACCGAGCTAAGTCCATTTGTTTTGCTTCTGGCGGCCACTCCAATCGCGATCGTCCCTAAAGTTTCAGCCAAAAGATCGGTCATGACCTGCGCGGAAGTCCGCGCAAACATTCTCCATAAACGCGGAATCCGTTAAGGACGTCCGCAAAACCGGTAGAAACCCCCGCCCCTCCCCTGATCATATCCCCTTCTGAGAGTCAATCCTCTTTATTCAAAACTAACATCGTCCTCTAAAATAACTTAATTATTAAAATGGTTAAAAGTAAAGCTACAACACTGCAAAAGTACACTTGTCGGATGTTACATATTTGAGACGACAAAATAAACACAACAATAAGACGAATTGCAGTCCAAAAAGGAAGTAAGAGAAAGTATTGGGGAAAATCAAGATCATAAAACACTATGAGGTACATCCGTAATCAGCGAGGGTTGGTTGTGCTCCATGTCCTTCTCCACCTTTGGTTCGGGAATGGAAGTTAGTGGAGTCACAAACACATCCGTTGACGGAATTGAAGAAAATACTGCTGGTCCCATATTATTATTCACAATACCAGTATCTTTGTGGTTCGCGGAAACCTCGGAAAGGACGTATTCGTCAATATGATTCTGTCTTGCGTAATCCAAAACGGTTAATCCATTTTTATCCTTTTTGTTGCAGTCAGCTTGGTTCTGAAAAGTTTTTATAACGTAATACTAACCTTACCCAAGACAGTAAAAGTAAGAATTCAGGTGAGTTTAATGTGCAAGCGATGTGTGAAACGGTTCTTCCGTCATGAATCTCGTCCAGCTCCCTCGGCCCACAATGAGGAAGCACACGAATAAATACATCAAAGTCTCCGCTTTTCACTGTATTCAACAGCTGAATTTCCGGGGGTTGACTGGATAATAACGGGGCCAAGTACGCTCTCTTCGCATACTTCTTCTCTATGAACGCCTCTTTCTCCAACCTAAAAAAATCCATACAAAAAGCATAAAACATACGTAGATGAACTCGGCGTAATCTTGTTCGCGGGATTCAGATTCCTTTCCCAGATCTCGTTGGCCTTTTTATTTCCAATCTTCTCCATAATCAACAAATAATCGCATGGCCATTGATCCAAATCGAGAGAACGTACCTTGGAGACATGGCTACCCATTTTTCTGTGGACTCCCGAACATCCTATACAGATCAAAATGCCAATATTAATCACTGCCCAATAAGGATTCTTATCGCCACAATCTGCGCACAATTCATTGCCGGGCATTACGAGTAATCGGTCAATGTCGTTTTTATTGGCAACGGGTCGACCGCTCTTGAACTGGGCACATTGGGAGCCGAGTGCGCGAGCAATCTGACTCTCGATGGCCGAAACCCATTCATCCCGCTCGTCCGGCGAATTCGCAACAAACTCTAACCGCCTTTGGTCACTTGTAACGATCTCGAATTCGGCGTCTTCATCAGCTAAAACAATATAAAAAATACCAAACATTTTTACCCTCTTCAATCGGACGAACACCAAACGTTCCAAGCCGTCGTTGTTTTTTCCTTTGTTTTACAGTATCATGTTCGCTTGTCCCTTGTCCCGCCGCTTCGAAATCACTCAATCCAGAAGAAGCATCCCCCGGAGTCATTGCTGACTGCACTCCGGTCTCACTTGCAATAGAAACCCGATCAGATGAAGAAAGCATTGTGGATGTAGACGTAGTAAGATTAGACGGTCCAAGGTTCTCCTTTCCTGGTTTGATAATATTTAGTAGAGAAGACCGCCTTTTCTGCATACTCAGCTTCATTGCTTTCACTCTGACCGTAGCTAATCCCAGGAAGACTTCTTTTACGTGAGGAGACTGCTCTTGGAACGCCTAAACATATAATAAAACAAAATTTGCAACAGGATTTACCTTCATACTCGAGTAGTAACACAATTTTCCATTCTCAAATAAACACACGTACTTCTTTTTGCTAGTAAGGCCTGCATTTCCTTTCTTATGGAGAAATCCTTGTTTCAGCGGTATAACTCGACCAAGGCCAACAGAATTAAGATCAATTTGAGGAGTATGATCCTTTCGCTGTAACAAAAGGGTACGTGAATGTCATAGAAAAGCCTACCGAAAACATATTTGAGATCCGTCGGTAGTTTTTTCGTTGTGAATTAGGAGTAAGCGATGGGTTTGGTAACTGGCTGGTTGATGCCACAGCTGGGCTAAGAAACGTGTTCTTCTGAGCTTCGGAATAATTAGTAACCGACCGAGTATAAGGTAAAAGCGGTGATGAGACTGAAACATCATATTGAAAACTTTAGAAGAGCAAATTGAAATGAATTTTTTTTAGGTAACCTTACATTGGTCCAGTGCTTCTACAGATGGGGCGGTTTGACTGTAGCTTCCATCAGAAAAAAATTGGGCAAAGTCTCCAACATGACTATTTCGGAATTTGGTACCCCCGATAACGGTCGCATGGCCATTCAACTTGCTAAAACCATCTCCAAACCTCGGATCGTACACGGGAGCGGCAGACATTGATCTTTGATGACTCATTAACTGTTGAGTTTCTTGCGAACGAGGATGTCTGCGTCCCTAAAATGATACATTGACTCTACTGATGGAAAAATACTTACAGATTTAGTGTCTCCGTACAACTGAGAAGTTCTTGTTGAACTCCTAGGTCTGTTGGTTAATGTAATTGGAGGCGGGATTGAAGAATTCCGAGAAACAAATTCTGGATTTTTCTGCAGAATTTGCAAACACACTAAACGAACTTTTTTAATTCAAAAATAACTCACCTTCTCGAAATACGTGGTCCACTTTGTGCCCGGTTGGGGAACAAACCTCAACGTAACTCCAATTCCTGTCTCGAGCAAACTTCTTCACCTCTTCCTCAGCAATGTTCCTCTGAACATATGAATTTTGGTTCTCCTAAACCTCGAAATACTTTTCAAATTTAAATATAAAACAATATCTGCAAAATAATTACTTACAATTGTACCGACCAGAATTGTAGGAAAATCCAAAGGATTTCTGTATCTACTTAACGCCTTCAGATAATTCAACGCCACCTCTAAACTTTCTCTGCTCGTAACACTGTATACAACAAGTGCTCCATCCAACCAATGTGTGAACTAAAAAGGCAATCGAATCGTCAATATGACTACTTACATCAACGTCGGGGGCTTCTTTTCCTTCGTCCCTAATTAAAAGAAGATGACTCCGACCCTCCAGTATAAGATCCTTTTTAAATCGCCCTCCCTCGGCTGACTCGCGGACTCTGTAGCCTCCGGTCAGGTATCGATGGATCAAAGGGGTCTTGCCGCTGTCCAAGGAGCCTACTACGCCCTGGAACAAATGAATTAGAGGTAATTGGGATGGAAGAATTGAGCCGACGATACATAATATTCTCAATCCCGAAACAGAAAAAATAACAGAAAGACTCACCAAACGCAAAACCGGGACGTTTCGAGTGAGAGTCCATTCTTGCGAGCGAATAAAGGCATCTAAAACACAGGAATGTCAGATTACCTCGAGTGAAAAAGCCATTATTGAGGCTGCAAATTACCTTCGATGAAGATCATCTGCTGTTCCAAATTGTTCCTGATGGCATCATTTTCAATGGAATCTATCAGATGATAAGCTCGATAAATGTAGGGATGAATGCTTTCGAAGCGTTGAATCTCCAGACGCACCTGATCGGTGGTGTTGGTAGGAGAATTCTTGTAATCCATTACCTTCTCAGATCATCTCCCTTGTATGAGACCAAAACGAAGAGGAAAACTGAAAGTCGAGATGGAGTCAGTTCGAGAAGAGAAACGCGCACATCCACCAGCGTTTACATAAAAAGCTCTTTCCCATTTATATTTCGCTTCAGAAACTATTGGTCAAGAAGGACGAAGTGTCACAAATTTATTGGCAAAATAAGTTCGGAAAATGTCAGTTTCTTTGGTCGACCAATATTGGAATCAATAATAATAACTGAAATCGAACGTCGACTGTCCGAAGATACTTTAGTTCTGATACGTCTTCCCAGCAGTTTTTTTGTATTAAGGAAACTCCACACAGCTCGATCCGATCCTCACACAAGATGCAACAATGACTTTTTCAAGTTTATCATAGGTGATAGATGATTTCACGGTTGAGATGCTTGCCTTTAAAGTGTGCAATTCTTAAAGCCTACAAAAGTATTGAAAAAATAAGATTTGGGCAAATTGCACTTGATTAAATTACGGGTTTATTTTTGTTTCATAGAAAAGTGTTGTCTCATGTCCACAGTTTGAAGAGGTTAGGGCATTAAAAACAAAGTAAGCCTGAAATATCTAGAAGGCTCGTATCAGCCGAGCTCCATGTATTTAATTGCAGCTCCTTGCTATGACGTCCATGTGTTTGCACTTCTTGGACTCTGGTTTTCCCCGCCCTAAGGACAATGAAATCAGGAACGCAGAAGTTTTTAATTCTATAAATGACTTCAGAATTCCACTCTCAGGCTCAACTTTTAGGATAGGCATTTAAAAAGCATGGCGGGAGTTTTTTAATTAAACCTGCCCCGCCTTTTCCCTGAGAGCTGGGAACTTGTTCTCGGTGTTTTTGGACGAGGAAAGAAGATTTTCCATGAAAGGCAACACCTTAATGGCTGGACCTTGAGGCAGAGACTCTTAACTTTTTGTCTTGCTACCCATTATGCCCCATGGTTTGCGATATTGTAGTAAACCAGCCAAGTTTGTAGTCCCTCATCCCTTGTTATTTTGACAGGCCTTCTCGCGTAGCTCTCGGTTCTCGTCGTCAAGGTATGGCTGTAATTCCGTCCTCCGTAATTGAGGAGTTTCTTCTGACAAATTCGTCGACCAGTCATTTTCTGGATGATAATATTGGTAATATAAGCAATTTGAGTGGCGATGAAGCCCTTCTTCATCAGATTTTGATGAAGTTCCAGCCGAAACAGAGCCCGTCCAGACTGATTTCGGTGGGCTGGTCTATTGCTATTGGGGCCTTCTTTGTGTTGACCACTATTTGCGGTTTGATTGGCAACTTCATGGTTATCCTGGCAATATCAGCTGATAGAGGAATGCGAAAGAGCGCTATGAACCTGCTCTTGTTGAACCTGGCGGTGGCTGACGTTTGTAATCTTTTAACGATTATCTTAGAATGGAGTCCGGCCATGATATACGGATATCCAGCCTGGGATTTTCCCGCGTTCTTGTGTCCCATGACGCGATATTTGGAGTGTTCTTTTCTGTTCGCGTCCATCTTGACCCAGTCGATGGTGTGCGTGGAGAGGTATGTGACAGTGGCCAAAATAAATTTTTTCTTCGCAGATTTATCGCCATTGTCTTTCCAATTCATGCTCGCCAATTCTGTACGAAACAGAATGTTATCTCTATGGTGGGAGTTATCTGGTTTGCTGCCTTTTCCTTCTCTCTACCGTATGCTCTCGCCCATGTAAAACCTCCGAAATGTAAGTTTGGAAGGTAAAAAATACAAAAATGGCCCCTCTACCGTCAGTGTAACATATTTAGCCATCAAATGCACAAACACATACGAAGCAAAGACGATTTGGGTGTTATATAAATGGTTTGAGTTCATGACCGCATACACAATCCCCTGCACTGTGATGGTTATATTGTATGGGAAGGTGGCTTGTGTTTTGTGGGCGAAGAATTCGATGTTACATGTTCCTGACACGAGATCGATGAGCGACGAGCGACAACGTGGGGAGCCTCTGTACATCAGGAGGAGTGTGATCAAAATGCTAGTGGCCTGTGTTCTTTTATATTTTATGTGTTACTCCCCTATCCAAGGTGTTTTTATCGCCGGGTAGGTCCGTAATTCGTAAATGGTCGACGACTTGCTTTAGTGCGATGTTTGGGCCATCTAGTCGGCCTCCATATCAAGTCGTGTTACTGTTGAATGCCCTGGCAGTGATGTGTAGCGCGTGCAATCCTTTATTATACACCTTGTTCTCGCGCAAATTCAGGACGAGGATGGCATTTATTCTGACATGTGGGAGGCATGGATCCTTTAACTCCAGGAGCGAGGCCTTGTATTCTGTCATCAAACTGAATCGAGTAGGTCAATTTGAGCTCGATTATTACTTTCTCTCTGGGTCGTTACCTTTCATTTGGGGCAGATCGGGTATTGGCCCAATACGGACGTATAGCCAATCTTGCAAAATTGTTTAGCCAGCAAGCCAATGAGTTGAAATTACGGCCAATTTTTTATAAATGGCTAACCAAAGTGTAGTATCATGGCTTTGAAGTCTCAAAAATTGCTAGCCCAAATGTTGGAATGGGCCTCAAACAGTATTAATTACACATTTTTTGGCTAGCTTTTTTGAGACTTCAAATCCATTCTTATGCTTATGAAGGGTAACCCTCCGGGACTTTTTATGTCCGCAACACCTCCAGCCTTAATTCCTTTCCCAAGATTTTGATTAAAAACCTTGTTTCCCAGCTAATATAATATAAAACAAGAATACATATTTTAATTAACACCGGTTTAGAACAAATCTAGTACCGAAAACGATAAGGAATTGGATCAATTTGAGATCCTGTTGCTGAAGGGGAACCAGCGTCGACGAAATTCATCAATTCCTTTCGAATAAGAAGGATGTAGATTATATGTGCATAATAAAAGTTTATTGGATTCAATGAAAACCCGGAGGACATTGAGGGAACCTATTAAAAGGACGGGGTTCTAATCTTTGGAATGAAGGCACTCGAGAACAGAGTGAAGTGGAGCACGGTGGGTCAGAGATTCAGGAAGAAGTCGGCGACGAGGAATCCGAAGTTATTTGCCCGGAGGCATTCAGCGAGCTGGAAAGCCCTTCTCGCAGACGGACCCGAAATGAACCATCAGGCAGAGATTCGAGGCTAAATTAAAGTTTTTATAATAAAAAAAGTAGTTTTTGCGGGGAATCACCGTTTCAACTGACCTTAATTCGGAAGCAATATCATCGAAGCGTTGGCAGGCATTAAGGAGATCCTCGGGGGAAAATAATTCGGACACTAGACTTCTGTTTACTTTACAATATGCTTCAGGTAATGAGATTTGACCGTTATTCTGGAATTGGTCATCGAGAATGTGGCATTTCTTACCTCTACACTTTCTAGCAATATATCGTTTACTTTTTTGGCTAGATTATCATAATAAGAAGCTGTATGGCCGAACGCGGACTTCATTACGGGATCACTGACGCCCAATAAAAGAAGATTGTTCTTGAAACTAATGGTCTGAAAGAGGTGGATGACGAACAGATTAGGGTGCTGACCTCTTCCTCAGTCATGTCCTCCTTGCTCATTCGAAGTCGTTCTGTAATACTTTTGGAGAGATTAACCATTTCTCGGGCTTCTTCCATTAGTCTACTCATGTCCTCAAACGCCTATACATTATTTAAAGCTGCATAAAACACGAAAAGTATTAAAATATTAGAAGTTAGGTTATGCGGCAAATTAATTCTAATACGCATAAAGCGTTAGGAGGGACATTTGTCAAAAGAACAGTGGCTTACCTGGCTGATAGTCTGATTCAGACGATTGTTTTGTTCTGTAAACTTCTTCTCGCTGACTGCTTGAGAGACTAATGACCGTTGACTTGGAGGACCCCCACCCGGATTCGCATAAAGAGTACAATTCCGAGAACCTCCCGAACTTGAACTGGAAGAAGTCCTTTTCCAAGTCTGTCGAGTCAAGGCGTCCATGTATTTCTTGTAAAACTAATAATTTACAGTACACAATGATGGCTTACTTCTTCTTCACCTCCTTGTCTGAATACAAATCGAAGAGAATTGAACCCAGAAGAGGCTACTGGCCCTGGTGAATGGCCTGCTCCAGCTGGTTTGAGGGTGACAATGATCTTTCCCCCTCTTCCAAACATCGACTTGTGATGTCTTTCTATTTTGTCGACTAAGGAGTGGTGTAAGACAAGTCTGCAGTCCTTGAGAGAAGTATTTAGTTTAGATATTATGCACTTACTGGATCAGTGGAATCAGCCCATATTACTCTCTGAAGAGTTAATGATGCCGTTCCCTGTTCGAAAGAGGATTGTTTCATGTCACCATCATAAATTCCGACATGCCCCGCCTGGATAAGGATCTCTTCCATCGACTCCCCTGGTGTGTACCAAGACAATCTGTCCATGATGACCTCTGTATAAAGAAAAATGAGTGTCTTGTTTTGATAAACACACAAACAACGCGGTTCTCGTTAAGTATTCTTCCAAGACATCACCTCCACAAAACGAGGGAAGAAGATGGCGCGGAGGTTAGGGACCGGAAATGGCCAAACGGCGTCTATCTCCTCCCTTACCTTGACTAAAACACGTCCAAACTTGACGAACCCGAAGTGTACGCGAAGAGAGGAAGAGGGATCTGCAATGCAGGAATAACAATAAGCCCAAAAAGGGGCAAGGCCGGAGACAACCGCGGCCGAAAAAGCCAGAGTTGAGGAGATGAGGTCTTCAGAGCCGGGAGAAAAGCAGCATCGGAAGAGAGGGCGCCAGAATCCCCTATTCCATGTACTTTTTGCACGCTACAGGAACGGCGATGACTTCGGGCATCCGTTTTTGAACAGTTCCGGCATCTAAAACAAACATGAGCGACACTAAGGTACGAGGCCGATCAATGTTCCAAATCGAGAACTTGGCCTTCTCCCCCATTCCAACTTCGTTCGGCCGCTCTCTTCTTCGCCTAGGGCCGGGAACACTTTACTCTTTCCTTACGGCACTCTTACACGACAATTTATCCCTCGCCACCCATCCTCCACTAAAAATTCGCCTCTTAAAAACAATATTAAAAACGCGCATGAACCTGGGAAGCAGGCCGATATCCATAAATATTGCACTTAAAATTCTCTCCAGACTTTGTGCAAGGAACTTTAAGGCCTTGGACGTTAGACGGACGCCTTCTTTGCCCCAGGGAGACAACTGTTCCACTAAAAACCAATCCCATAATATCATAAGACTCGAGTTTATAAACTCCAACTTGAATCGAATTATGAAATGTAAAAGGTCAGTCTTCATTATCACGGTACTGCCTTCGGGAATGGCTGTGAAGATTGTCGGCAACGGATTTGCTTTCGTTCATCTTCTTGAATGCTCTGAAAATACAACAAATTAAAGGCTAAGCAGAACGCACTTGATGAAAGTCGCATTGGTCTTGCTTCCTTCGTCCTGCGCATCTTGTTCTCGCTGCAACTCTGCACGTGCAAACTTTGCATTGTCCTTCTTGACTTCTTCCTTCCATTTTGCATTTTCCAGCATTACTTGGCGTTTTCTCTCCATTTCAGCGGCTTTTAACTTCATTTTCTCCTAATATTAACACATAAAATTACAAAATCAGGCTACCTTTTCGTCATCATATTTTCTCCTACTCCTCGATGAATTCCTAGCATCCAAATGATTCTCTCCATGTCGCTCTCTTCGGAGGTCATTTTTATTCCGGTCATCGTTCTTTTCCTTATTCCTTCTATCATAAGGTGACCTGGATTTTCTCCGTCGCCCATCAGGACTATTCGACCGGTTCCTCCTATTGTAATCTTTCTAAAATGTAAACGAATGTATTGACAAGGAAACTCACCCTTCTATGATCCTCATGGTCAGAGTTACTCCGTGTTCTCCTATCTTTTTCAGATGCATCATTTGATAAAAAACGGCCTCCACGTGAATGTCCCACGCCGCACTTGTCCATTGCCTTTCTCTGCTGATCCCGACTACTCTTGTCATCAGAAGACCTGTCACAAGAGGAATCGCGTTTCCTTTTCCTCGACTTTAGCCTGGGTTCTTCTTCTTTATTCTTACCGGTGTTCCGTTTCTTTTCTTCTTCAGATTCTGAAGAAGAATCAAAAGAACTTGATCTCCTTCTCTTATTTTTCTTGGAACTCTTCTTTCGTCCCGTAGATTCGTTGTCTGAATCTTTGCTGTCGTTTTTCTTCTTCTTTGATTTCTTTTTCTTCTTCTTCTGCAGTTTTGCAAACTCTTCCATCAGTATTTGTTTGGCCTTCATTTTAAACGATGGATTATGCAGCAACTCTTGGCGCCGAGTTTCTTCTCTGATCTAAAATACGATACGTATTTTGCCAACAGAATACCTTCATGGCAACCAAAGGATCTTCTGTGCGAACAACAATAGCTGGCAATGGTGCAGGGGTATCAAATTTCTTCTTTCGCAAAAACACTTCTTCATTTGATTCTTTATCCTTTTTCAGAGTATCAGTGTACAATTCAAAGTTCTTATCAATCTTAAATAAACATAAAAAACCCAAATAAAATTAAAACTTACTCTCTTGCCCAATAAATAATCCTCCCTATTAACGGACGCCTTCGCCCCTTCGTACATCCATGATATTGTCTTGTCCTTTTCGGCCATGCTATTCGCAATAGGTTACGAATAAACGTAAATTTTTGTTACCAAAAATTCAGTTTGCGCATTTTATTTTCTGTGAAATAGAACGCCAACATCAAGATTCTCTTGAACAGAAAATGTACGCTTGCACGAAATAAATTCAAAAAAAAAATATAAATATTTTTCACAAAATTTTGCAAAATTTTGTTTTTTGTAAACGAATTCAGTTATTTTATACTAGTCGCGGAAAAAAGTCCTTAGAATTTTTCGCGGCCCCCAAATCTCGTCGCACCCCGAAATGTTGATTTGTCGCGGGAATCGCGCGCGACAATAAGGCAAAATCAACAAAATTGCACAGTGCAAAATGTGTTTTCGGGTGAATGCACAGTGCGGAGTCGCAGAAAATTCTAAGGACTTTTTTCCGCGACTAGTATTCGACAACTTCTGGTTTTGCAAAGTTTCATTCCTAGCCAATAAATTTTTTCATTCTGAATTTCGGAAAATGTCCGATGATGAATTTGAAGGATCTTCTCAATCAGGCTCAGAAACGGGAAGCTCGAGCGAACTTGAAAAATCCGCAGATGAAGCTGATATGGATGAATCAGAGATCGACATGAGTCGCAACAAAACTGATGACGAAGATTCTGTACCTGTACTCCCTGAAAAGAAGAAACGACTGGTGGATACACTAAGGGAAAAGGCGCTTCTCAAAAATGCCAGTAAACCAAAGCTTGAGGCTGCTGCAGACTTCATTGATTTGGCAGATGAAACGGCCAAGGTTCCATGTAAGATGGATGTCATTCTTAATCACACGGTGTCTACTCCAAAGTCACAGCCAAGGCGAAGTAAGGGATTTGTTTTATTAAGGATTATGACCTATAGATTGGGCCTGCATGAAAGCCGAATTTTCTAAGAAGTTGGCAGAGGACAGACGACGAGGACTAATCGAACGAAGGAAACAATTCAACGAAGACAATGAACTGTGGGAAGATGAGGAAGAAGAAGAGTTTGACATTGATGATGAAGAAGAGGTACGGGTGGAAAGCAATCCTGAAGAGAAGGCTGAAAGTCCGAAAGCAGAGAAAGACGGTGATTCGGACAAAGAAGAATATAATGCTGATGAGGAGGGATCAGATCAAGGAGAAAATGATGGGGATGTCTCTGACGATGAAAGACCCTTTGACGATCAGGCTGAAAACAATTCAAGAGATAATGAAGAACTCGATGAAGAAGAAGAAGATGACCTCACGGTTTCAGATGATTCTCAAGTGAATGAAAAAAGGAAGGAGGTAGTAGAAGATATAGTCCGAGACGGTGGTTTAATCGATTGGGTAAGTATGGCTTCTAAATTAATATGTGTTTAGTCAGGTGATTATAATCACCCGATGGGTTCCCAAGAGGCCACCTTCTTTGTTGATGATGGCGTCAACAAAGAGTTGCTAAAATCTATTGCATCTGATGATTTGGTCCGAGAAATAGTATTCGGAGAACTTTTAAACGTGCTTTCTGATGCTGAGATATTTGAAATTGAAACGGAATTGGTGGGTTTCAAGACGGACGGGCCTTCAATTTATGATCGGATTATGGAGAAATTTGAAGAGGAAAATGTACCTAAAAGGTTAGTTTTTTCGATGATAAGATTTCACATGTTTGTTTTTTTAGATCTCGTAAAAGACGATTGGAGGAGATTTACTCAGATGAAGAAGAAATAAGTGAAAATAAAAAGGCCAATTTCGACGATGATCTTTTCCAAGTTGAAGATAATGAAGAAATAATCGAAACCTCTCAAGCAACGAGAGTTCAGTTGGATGATGACGAGGCATTCAAGGCAAGGACAGCAGTGGATAACCTTAGATGGGAAAACGAATCCGATGTATTCGAAGCCGAAGATGCGGTTGAATCACCAAGAAAGAAACGGTATGTAACGCTGTACTTATTACTATTTTCATAGAGATTTACTCGAAGACGAGGCCGAATTATCGGGTTCTGATGTAGGAAGTGATGTTGATGATGAGGAGGATATTGGCGATTATATGGCCGAGGAAGGGGACAACGACAAACTGGATATGGACGAGGTCAGGGGACAAAACATGAAGACTTATATGAAGTTGAGAAGGGACGAGGACGATCGATTTGTGGAGAAAATCCAAGAAGAATTCGATGTTCGAAAAGAAGATCAATGGGATCGAAGTTTCAGACAACGGTTAAGGGATTACGATCAGATCGAGCTGAATGATCTCTTCAAAGGAGAGGACCAAGACGAGAATGAGACTGATGACCCTGTGGTCTCTGTGAAGGCGCTTGATGCCGTTGTGAAAAGAGTCCGAGAAGGGGTTGGAGAATCTTTTGAGAGAAACGAATTACCACAACTCATCCTTGGGAAAGGTCTGTTTTAGTTACTAAATGAGTCTATTTTGCAAACCTTTAGGGGACAAGTCTTCTGCCAGTCTACGAGCACGGAATTCTTTGTTGAATCGCGAATAATTTTAATGTAAAGTTTTTTATTTATAATCCAGATGAATAAATTAATGTTTGAGAAGCCTACTTATCTTCTCTTTAATATTAATAACCAGCTTCTTTGGTTTGGAGGGACCCGGTTTGATTATCGTTTGACTAAAAAGTTTACCCGTTAAACATTGTACTTACTATTGCGTAGTGAAGGTGAAGATGATTTGGAAGATAAGTGCACCCATCGTGCCAATGAAACAGACCACGTTGTAAGGCATGGTGACATCAGGAGAAGGAAGTGTAATAACTGTGGGCTCTGAATAATACTTGGTCTCCGGGCTCGAAAGTAAGGTCACAATCGCTCCAGGAACCGTGATTCCATGATTTGCATCTGGGGGATACTCATTCATGTAAAGAAAACTCTTCTCGAACTCATATGAGACTTGGCAAATAGATCCTGAAGAAATTACGAATTTGATCTCAATCAAGGTCGGCGACTTCCTCGGAAACGCAGGAGTAGGTCGAATAACAGATTCTACGTCCTAAAACACGTTATTAGCGTATTGTTAACTGACTTTTCCATCACAAGTAACTGTAATTGTACTGAACCAAACACTGATCTCCCATGGAATCAGATGAGTGTAGAGAACACCATGGACATCATTACTTTTCAAAGTTGCGACGAAACGGCCTGTTAACAGACCTTTAAAACGGGTAAAGCCATATAACCGCAACGATGGCTCCTCTGAATACTTAGATCCAGCTAATTCTACTTTCCAGTCCCTATTTGTCGCGTTTACATCAAAATTCGATATGAGTTTACTGTCACCATCAATGGTTATTCGGCTTGTATCAGAAAAGTAACAGGTTGTTGTCAATGTAGATCCAAATATATTGCTGAATTTTATGTTTTTTGAGGCAATGGACTTCAAGAATGAGAATCTGACATCTCCTGACCATTGCTTATCCTGCCGGTTTACAATTATAGAGGCAGAAGTGAACTTTGTTTCATATAGATATTTAGGGGATCCCAATAATCGAGTGAATCCCGTCTAAAAAATAAAATATTTATTGTATAAAACAATCTCACGTTTTGGCATGGCAATAACTTCTTGAATGAGTCAATGTTTTCAGTGCAAATTCGGTCTCCAGTAAAAGCTCCGTAGTACAACTTCGTATTATTTCCATAGTAAACTGATGGCAATATTGGTTTTGCATATAACGTTTCTCCAACGGAAAGGACGGCAGTACACAACATCCCATTAAGTTGGGAGACCAATCTCCGCCAATAGGAGTCCGACCTAAAATTTAGAAAAATGTGGGTACTACTTACTCTTCAACATCCTCAAAAGAAGCGACGATCTGAACTCCGCTGACTTGATTTGGATGGATGGCCTGTCCAAATAAATCCGATCGCCAAAATCCTTGGGAAACAGATAATTCAAGACGGCTTACATAATTATCAGACAACAACTGATACAGCGGATTTAGGTACAACGCCGAGTCTTTCGAGATGTCTTCATTAAACTTGAATATTAATGCCGAATTCACCAGATCCGACTTTAATCTGTTTATCTGAACTTCTTCCTCGTAAAGACACCACCCTAGACGCAAACAGGACAAAGCGAATATCAAAGAGAACATGTTTTCCATCCCGGCATTTCTATTCCAAAATTCCAATTTTTTGGAAATTATTTTTTCTCTTTACAGAAAATAAGTCAGTATGACGCTTCGCGTTTTTATTAATGACAATTGTAAAAAAGATTGTAAACGTACTGTATAAACTTTTAAACTCTTTACAACTTATGTGTAGCCCACCTATTCCGAGAATGAGTGATTAAAACGTGTCACAATGACACATATTCTGGACATAAGCAAGAGCTCGAATTTTACAGATTCCCGGGCGCAGCTGGTGTGCGGCAGAATGAAGTTTTGAACTTACCTAAAGCTGATGATAATACCATTCCTCTAATAGCTGATTTATATCTGAAATTTGATCCATGTCCATTACAACAGATGGTTTGATCTGATTGCCTGCCTTCATCAAATTTCTTTAGGTCTGCTCTTGTCTTAAGCCTTTCATATAATACCTATATATATTACACCTAACCCTCATTTTAATCGACTTATATCAACGGCATGGCTGAGATATAAGAGTTATGCTTTATATTCTCTCAAAAAGTTGCAAAATGACTTAATTTAAATTCTAGGGATTCCGGGTAAATTCGGATTTTTTCGGTCATGATGCTCAGACGCGCGTTTCGGTCATATCGAATTTTTTGTGCTTCAGTGTGCAGAGCCCAAGACATGATAAAACTTTTTCTGAACGTTACATTGGAAAGGGTTATTCGTGGCCGAAAATTGGCCGAAAAAAATTTGAATTTGCCCGGAACGCCTTTTGTTTTCGGCTTTCAATTTTGTCTGGTTTTTTCCAAGTGTGTGGACTAGGGAGAAAATTTTTTGCCTAGTCCATGTGCGGCAATGTCGTAAAATTATTTTTTTTGCTTCACTTTGAAGCGCTCAATCAACAAGTACCATGATATGGGCGCAATTTTGAAGTAGGCCACTACAGCAGAGGTAGGCAGAAAATGAAGTATTATGATTTTGCAACTTTTTGGAAGAATAAGTATAAAACACCACTCTTATATGTGTACTTTTGTTTTCGCAGCGTTAATCTGTTTTTATGTTTTTGTATTTTTTATATTCAAATAACAAGAGATTTTAGGTTAATTGTAACACTATCTCTCTTGCAACCGTTTAAAACGGAAAGAAGAAAAGTTTTGCTGTAGTTTTAAAGTTTATTGCAACTTTGGAAGCGGTTCCTTTAAAAGGATTGCAGTGCAGTAAATCTTGGTTTGGGTAGAAACAATAAAAAAGGTCCCTGGAGGGTGATTTGGGTCCCAATATTTTGCGATGGGACCGTTCTCGCGACGGGTCTCTTCCGACATATATCATCGAATGTGGGGCATCCTCTCGATAATTTTGCCTTCGTTTTTTGCATAATATAGATGACGTCTCTAATCTCTATTCGATCTAAAAACTTTGGGAGCTGTCGAGGGAAGGGGCTGCTTTTGTTTGGGGTCGCTTTACGGGCAATTTGCTTATTTTGGTATCGGCAATGTTATCTTCCGATTTATATCTTCCGATGGCTTCCGGTAACATACAGCAATATGGGAAGGAAGACCTTCTCGTTGCTGGATGTCTCCCCAAATAACCTGCAATTAAAGCGCGCTCTGATTGAGGTGTCGCCCATTGTGTTGCTTGGGGCTGGACCCCTCAATTTTCTCATTAATATTTCTTGGCAACGCCGCTCCGACTTATTATAATGCGCTGACTTTCGGGAATCCATTCACCTATGTGCCCTCTCGCGCATCCGACCGTCTGTTCGGTGGGTGGTAGCCGCGTTATACGGGGACATTCATCACCATTCACCTGTCCTTTTTGTGAGTGTTGCTAATGCTTTTTGTTGGTTGGTCCCCGGGCTTCCGTTTATTTACATTTAAATCTCATTTCTGGTGGGGTTTGCATGTCCCCGCTTGTTGCATGACTTCTTGGCCAAGTTCGGAGAATTTGGAGGAGATTCGTGCCAAGGATCTTCTCCAATTTAATTATTTACCTTGTCCGAGACACTCTTAAGTCGCCGCAATTTGCTCACTTACAAATCCTTTTTAATTATTCATCAGGCATTTGAGATAATCGGCATGAAAGAGGACGGGAGGTCGCGTGAAGAGTTAGGGCGGCGGTTGTAAAGTCGGGAATGACCGCTGTGGCGAGATTGAGGAGCTCTTGATGCCGATGCTCCTCCTCGAGTGCCATCCACTTGGCCCTGCACTCGATTTGGAGATCAATTACGCAGGTACACATCATGCACGGACTATTAAGCCTCCGCGGAAACACAATGAACAATGTGTCCGCGAATTATTTAAATTGTTTCCGTTGCGAGGCGTGGTCAGATTCCGGTCCAGTCTTTTTTTTCTGAAGCAGGCCGAGTGTGGAGATGGCTATCTCGGGATGCCCATCTCGATGTAATCCAATTATATCTCTTATGCCTATGATCGGCGTGATTACCCTCGATGAGTGACGGTTGGGGGAGGGTTATTATAGCCTTTATTAGTTCCTACCTGGATGATTACAGGGTGTGTTCTGATCCCGGGCATCCCATCCATTCGGTTGTCAATCATGCGCGGATATGCGAAACTCCCAAATTGGTAGTTGTTCTGCCTCGTTATGAATGTCTTTCATTTTTTATGACATCCTCCGCTGATGGGCTTTAAAGACCTTCATTTGACTCCGCCAATCTCCAGAAAACTTTTCTTTTTGGGCGCTGCGGTCTCCGGAAACGTTTTATTAATTTGAGGCGATAATTACAGTGGACCTTTGTAATGCGAGGATTGCCCTTTTTGAAGGCTCTGGAATCCTCTTTTTAGCTATGTGGAGGGATGCAAGACTGTAATTTTACTGGCTCACAAGTAATCTGCATCTTTTGAATTGCGTAATCCATCCATAATAATATAATTTCCCTTAAAATTTCGAGAGACCCTGAGGGGATTTGCACTGAAATAGCCGCAGGGTGTGTTGTTAGATGATTGCGTGTATCGTCGAAAGGGCATTTATGAATGGTGGGGCTGTAACTGGAGCTTCTTGCACCTGCATCATGTCCATGTTTGGCCTGTTCCACGTCTATTTTTATTTGTTTAGCCCGACTGATTTCCGAGCCTTGGTACTATAGATATTATTTCTAGTTTAAATGTGTTTTCCTGTTGTAATCTGAACACTTCAGGTCTCGGATTGTCAAGATTGGCCGCTTTTCAAAGTTTGGGCGCCCCTTGCGCCTTAATTAAATTGTTTTAATTAAGCATGCCCATCCTTCCAGGTAGGGAAAGGTCGGAATAAATCACTTTTTATTATAGTAATTGTGCTCATTTTATTTTTCAACTGTAGCCAAGGTCGTTGTCCTGAGCATGCGAACGATAAAATCCAGTTTTGTGTTCAGCCGGTCGCCGAATATTCGAAAGTTTTAAATAAACATGTAAGTCAGGGGATGACGCGATCGGAAACGGGGCCAATCACATTACAGGGTGGGCCACTTGGAGCTTCCAATCTTATTTCAGGTATTTCTACGCCAATAATGCACCAATTTCTAGAAAATTTATTTCAAATTGAAGCTGAGACTGCCTATTTTTTGTGCACCAAATATGACGGGTCCACGTTCACGGAGGCCCCGTGAACGTGAACCTTTGACATTTTCATTCAAAAGGAAATTTTTGCAGTGATTTTCAATTGTGGTTTTCGAACTTTGGACATTATTATATAAGGATGGTGACATACGCATCAAATGGGTGTCGTGGCCAGAAACCGCGATTTCTTGTCTGTTCGGCCTCTAGACAAGAATTCTTGTCTCAATTGCGTAATATCGCGCAAATTTCTGCTCTCTCCCTGTGGAGATTTTTTTCTTTTTTTCTCTGCTCAGACAAGAATTGCGCATTTCTTGCCTAGAGGCCTAACAGACAATATTTCTGGCCAGGACACACGATTTGATGTGTATGTCACCATCCCTATATTTGCGAAATAAAAGTTGCAAAGTCCGCTGAAAATTTTTAAAAAAATGGTGTTCATGATCATACTGTGCGTCAAAAGCACATTTTTAGTCTCAGCGATGTACCAAGTTGAACGAATGTTTAAAAAAAGTAGTTTTTTAGGGCATTATACGACTTTGTGCCAAGGTTCAACAAAGTCCGAGCGTTGATCAGTGCGGGGTAATTCGGAGGCCCCCGCCAACGATTTTCATTAGGAAGCTTGGAAGCCCCAAGGCCCACCCTGTAGTTTTAAAACACGATTCCTGAGTCATTGAAAATAATTAGCCCAGGACATACATAGAAAAAAAATCGATTTATATAATCCAAAATCCTTCAACAAGATACCATGTTTTAAACCTGGAGCGACGATTGAGGAAGTTGACCATTGGGGAGACTGAAAATATTATTTTATATATAAGTGTCGAAGTAAGGGTAACCGGCGGCGTAGATTTCCAAAGTCATGTTCATTTTTTCTGATTTTTACTTTTAACTAGTACTGTTCAGCAGTAATTTTTTCATTTTTTAAAATACGTTGGATTATGGGTTTTCGATGATGCTGATTGCGAAAATCAAATCCAATTTTTTTGATACTTACATTTTTACATACAGGGTAATGTCAAAAAATTACTTTTTAACAATCAATTCTGCTCTGTCACAAATTTGGTGGTATAGTGGTAATGGGCGGGACTACCAATCCAGCGTCCCGGGTCCGATTCCGAGTGGGTGCAAATATCGAAAAACACCTGAATTCGATTTTAAGAGGGCTGTATGATTTATACGAAGTAATTTTAAACAATAATGGTATCTGGATTGGAGATTAAAACGGATTTTATATAATTTTAGAAGCTTAATACGATTTTGAGATTTTTTTATGTCCACGCTAAACTGACGGCTGGTGCTCTGACTCAGGAACCGTCTTTTAATGAGTAGTTGCAATTATCCCAATTCGGTAACTCCTATTTAGGATAACTCAACCAATGGACCTCAATTTGGAAACGCTTTACAATTACCCAAACTCGGGGGACAGGTGTTCAGGGAGTTGTGCCGGTGAGAAAAACATCCAATCCTTATTTTATTCTTTTTCAGATTAATCAGGGACTTTGAAGTTTGTGTGGCCGAGTATCGGGAACCCTGTCCAAAACATATTACAATTAATTTAATCGAGGCCTCGTACGGCTTCTTGTGTAACGAGGGATACGAAAGTAAGTGAAAGAAAACAAACTTAATTTCAATAATTTTGGTTGTTGCGTTAAGATTTCATTTACATGTTGTTTTAGCTTTTATGAACAGTGCCGAATGCCTGATGGCCTTGGATCAGCAGCCGGCAGTCAAGAAATGCCATGACGAAACATTGAAGGAAATCGAGAATGCAAACAGCAAATCGAATATCCGGATGGACGTAAAGTTGGAGTATATGTGCGGGTGAGTGTGGGCTTTAATTCGCATAATATTTTTGCAGGGCTCTCAACTATTTCTCGGCTTGCGTCCGTCAACATATCTGGCTGAATTGTGGCGTGGAGGCCTGGCATGTCATCTTCCGAGTGCTCAAAGATACGACGCGCACTCTGATGCCATCTTGTCTCTTCAACGGGGAGTCCAAGAAGTTAGATGCCGAAAAAGAATTGGAATTGGAGCGGTTGCAGGGCATCCCTCCCTCCACGATTCCTCCAGTGATCGTCCCCCAAGCCCGGGATCTTCCCCAATCGAAACCTCAGCATCCTGTGGATCAGAACTCGGTGATTTCCTTTGAGATCCACGAGGATTCGGATCAATTCACCGAACGGAATTATGCGCATTTGGACAGCGGGTCTTCCTCTCGATCTCAATCTCTGATTCTTTCTTCTTTTATAGGTATTTACTGGTTCTTAGGCTAATATCCAATATAATAAAATTCAGATCTATAAAAGATTATCAATCTCTATACTTCGGATTTTGATTTTCAAAATACGATGAGAATTGGGAAGCCAGAAAAAAAACAATAATATTATAAATACACAAAAAATTATGAATTCCGGATTTCTCAAAAAAAAAAATCCGGAACTCACAATCAGACAAAAAATGAAACTTTTTCACAAGGAAAGTACTTCTATGGGGTGTGGAATTACCGGTCGAGATATATATCAAAAAATTCGCAAAAATTTTCTGATTCAGAATATATATAAATTAGCTGCCTAATTTTGGTTTAATGACATGTTTTTGTCCTCAGAAGTTTTCTCGCGACACCATGCAAGTGTCTTTTTGACCGTGTTTTTACCAATAAAAAAATTTTGTTTTGTGCTAAACTAAATTCTGAAGCCTTGACAAGCCTTAAAATATCAAATTGGATTACAACTACACCTTAAAAGTAGTTCCAACGTAAAAAATGGGTTCTAATGTGGCAAAAAGAACCGAACCCGTTTCCCTCGGATTTCCAACCCAGCGCTCTAACCACTCGGCCACACCGCTCTCTTACGAAGGAAGAGACCGAGCGCGCTTTTGTTGCCGCAGATTTTTTTCCTCGAGAAAAAGATTTATTGAAAAAACTCGCTGATAGACCAAAATTAGGCAGCTAATTTATATATGTTCTGAATCAGAAAATTTTTGCGAATTTTTTTATATATATCTCGACCGGTAATTCCACACCCCATAGAAGTACTTTCCTTGTCAGACGTCCCTAAAGGGTAGAGAACAGTTTTTATGAAGAAGAAGATGCACTTTCCGAAAGAGTTTTTAGTTGTCGCCTACATCTAGGTTAGAAAAGGAAAGTGCAGATTCGACAAAGTGCAGTCAGTCAGTCGAAGCCGGTTCTAATGCCAGAGGCAGTGTTTGTCGTCGTTTCTTATTTTGTTTCTCTTGGATTCCAGTCTGGCCTACGATTTGTCTGATGAGGCATTTTCGGGAGTGATACTTTTTAGTACTGGTATGTGAGAAAGATTATTACGCAAGGAGTATTTTATTCCCGGTTAAAATTATATAAGACCTCGTCATAGTGCATTTTCTAGAGGTCGCCGCAGTCTCCATATGTCTCTTCCGTCAATAAAGTGCAGTAACAGCACGCCCATCCATTGCGAAACTTCCTTTTCTTCAGATTCCTGACCCGATTTAATTCGAATGACCACTACTGCTTGTCTATACTTGTGCACTTTTTGTGTCCGAAGAGTGCATTTCCAGGGCGTTTCTCTCAGCCGATCCCATTCATCTTTATTTGCACTCTTTTATAATCTCCTCAAGGCGTGGGTTGTCTAGATTCCGTTATATTATATTGTACGATAAGTCAATTTAAATGAAGTTGTTACTCCCAGACCGTTCATGTAACATGCTGCAATCGGATACAAAAGTCCCATTGTATCTGCGACTTCCAACTGATGAGATTATTCGATTTAATCTGGCTGAGGACCAGACCATCAGGGTGAGAGCTCTTAAGAATATGATTTCATTACTTTGAGGAACAAAATGTTTATCTTGAATTAAATATTTAATGTTGTACTTTCTGAAGTAGAAGGCATCAATTTATAACGTGCAGGGTTCGAGTAAAAATGGAAGGACCAAGAGACAGATCTTTAAACACGGTTTTTTTGCTGAATACGTTTCTGCCACTGCATGCTATAATTTAGTTTTTCTAGACCAATATGTATCTTTCTTCCACTTTGGAAAAAAATTCCCCTGCAGAGGGCCATTTCAATAGCAGTGGTTGCTGTGCAGGCTTTGAGGCAATCCAAGCAAGTTCAATTCCCGTGTTGGGCAAGAACGTTTAGCATTTTTGCGGTTATAATAGAAACATATCGTCATAATTTTGAAAAAATTCTTTCGGGATTTGTTTACTATGCCTATGCCCCATCATTTTGAAAAAACTCAAAATCAATTTTTTTCCGGGGACGAGAAATTATGGGTGACGCAGGGTCGGGTGGTGCAAGTTCGGATGATTCCTTTCGGGTGATCGCATTGATGCGAATTCGGGTGTCGATTTTTGGGGCGGGTGAATTCGTGATAAAGAAAATATTTTACTGATGGCTACTAAATATGACGTAACACTGTTAAAGTTTTAAATCTTTTTCCAGATTTATTCGGATTCCTGATGGTCGAAAACCCAAAAAACTTTTGACAATCTTATGCCCTATTCAGTAGCCAGTATAATATTTTCTTCGTCACCCGAGAATTCACAAGCCACTTTATGAAAATACCAATATGTATTGTCAGTCTGTCGGGAAGATAGTGGCGGGTTGCCGCAGTAGAATATTCGCAAAGAGAGTACGGTCGCGCACCAAATTTCCAGCTGCGGCTAGCCGTCGCAAAGCGATGATGAGCGATTCCAAGACGCGACGAATCGCCATTATTTTCCCGACAGACTGATATATGTTTACCGCTGACTAGAGGTTGGATTCAGCGACTAAAAACTCGTTTTTTAAATATAATTTTAATTTGTCATCACAAATCTAAACCTTTTATTTCAGCCGATTTATGATATGATGACCAGCCAAGGTCTTTCCCTGCTCGATCATAAACTCCTGCTTCAGAATCCGTATTGCGAATTGGAAATCAGCCGTTCTACAGCGAACATGACCCTCTACGAGCTGAATATCAGGCCAAACGAGATGATATTTGTTATACCATGCTGATGATTCATATTCCTGCCAAGAAATGGTTTCCTCTCAGTCTTTCCTCCTTATGGTCTCTTTCGTGCGATGATCAATATTTTTTGTAAATACGATGGAATTTATTATAAAAAGAGAAATCGGAACTTTTGGCGGTTTTATTTTTTTATCTTTGGAATTATGTAATGGGAATCACGACATTAAGAATTTTAGAAACTATTGACTGTATATACATCATAGAGCTGTATGAGTCGTGTACAACCAAACCTTTCCTGAAGATTTTAACATTACAACATACTGATGACGTAATGCATAGTGCAATCTCCTGGTTGTTCGTCATCAGAATTAATCATTTTTATTCATTTAAGAAATCTAAACCAAATTTTAAAATGAGTTGACTCAGAGGAGGAAGGGATCTAGGGAAAGACACACGTTATATAATACATCCCTCTCCATGTGGTCGGGTAAATAAAAACACGAGAGGCTGACGTTGTTTTCAAACCGAACTTCTGAGTCATTTGCAAGGTCTTCTTAACATTTTTTACTGATTTCTTGGGAGGGGGTTGGTGGGAGAGGCGTGATTCATCCCTCGCTTTCTCAATCTTATATAAAACAAGCCCCCAACCCGCAGGGTCTAAACAATTCGCTTTATTTAATAATGTCCTTTTTGGCCAAGGAATTACTAGTAGGTTCATCCAATATAACTTCAAATCTTTCCAGAAAGTCGCCAAGAACGAACTCCAGGATCGACTGAAGGAGAGAAAACCCGAGAAGAACCAAACGGATCGGTACGAACAGAATATGTATCCCAATTGTGAGTGTCCTTCTGTTTGTTTGCTTGCTTTTATCTACTTAAATAATCTTTTCTTGTTTTAGCCAATCAACCCTATGGATATCAACAAAATCAGCAAGGATACCCACAACAAAATCAACAAGGGTACCCTCCTCAAGGAGGCTATGGAGGACAATCCAGCTATCCCGGTCAACAACCCGGGTACCCTCCTCAGTCCGGCTACCCCAGCCAAGCCGCATATCCAAGTCAGCCAGGGTATCCACCCCAATCCGGATCGTCTACTTATCCCCCGAACCCCAATCCCTCTTCTCAATATGGCTTCAATGGGCCTCCAGGTAATCCGTCTGGCCAGATTGGTTTCGTAGATCCCGTATACCCAGCTTCATCGCAAGGTGTTGGGTACCCTCAGCCCTCAAATCCAGGCTATCCTCCATCCTCCGGCTATCCTCCTAATCCTGGTTATCCTCCTCAAACTTCCGGCTATCCTTTCGGGTCTTATCCTCCACAATCCCAGCCTGAAGGTTTGCATCAGCCATCGTATGGAGCTCAGCAGAAACACGTATTCGATTCCATGCAAAGGCATTACCCCGGCCCTGCTCAGTCAGGTAAACTTTCAAACATGTGATGAGATTTCCCAAAACATTTCTTATGTGACACATTTTTATTTGCCTTTAAGGCTTAAATGTTCCACCCCTCATTACATTCAGTAAACCTTTTTTTAAAGCGACGCATCACGTAAAAAGGTCCTTTCTATTTATGGGTAAAGTTCTTCGGTTTAATAACTCTCGGTCTCCATCATTCCAATTCGCCGTTATTTTTCGGAGAAATGCATGTCAAGCATCACTTACATTAGCGAATGTTTGTAATGGGAATGTTGTTGTGGGGACGGAAACAAAGGTCACCTTTGAGATGATTCACTCCAAGTCCATCCGTTCCTCCCCTCTTCCAAAAAATCAGCCTCCCTTCCAGTTCGAACGTTGTTTACTATCAAAGCCTATTCGTCTCTTCGTCCGGTTTAGCATTTTTCCGCGCACTTTATCCTTTTTTAATCCAATATTTTCCAGCCATGTACTCTAATCCTTCCATCAAGCCTGATCCCAGCTGCAATCCCCAGCACGATGCTGAGACCTTGAGAAAAGCGATGAAAGGACTTGGATGCAACAAAGACAAGGTCATCCGAGTTCTTTGTACACGTTCAAATGCTCAACGACAACAGATTGCGTTGGCTTTCAAACAACTTTATGGCAAAGATCTGATCAGTGAACTCAAGTCTGAGTTGAGCGGAGACTTTGAGAACTTGATCCTGGCCCTGATGGAGAACCCAGTCAAGTATGATGCCGATCAGTTGCGCCATGCTATGGCTGTAAGTGGAATGCTACATCAGCTTGTGCAATTCATTCAAAAGTAATTAAAAAAAATTTTCAGGGAATTGGAACTCGTGAATCAGTACTCATCGAGATTATGACTACTCGAACCAACGCTCAGATCTTCCAGTTAAAGCAGGTCTATAAGCAAATTTATGGTAGGGAACTCGAGCAAGACTTGATCGGAGAGACATCTGGCCATTTCAAACGTCTTCTTGTCTCTCTGTGTACTGGTGCCAGAGATGAAAGCAATCAAACTGATCCCCTTAGGGCCAATCAAGATGCCCGAAAACTCTATAAGGCCGGAGAACAAAGGTTGGGAACGGATGAGTCAGCTTTCAACGCCATCTTGGCTTCCCAAAATTATGCCCAGTTGAGAATGGTCTTCGATGAATACCAAAAGACCTGCGGCCATAGCATTGACCAAGCAATTGCCTCCGAATTCAGTGGGGATATCAGAGATGGATTGCAGGTAGCTTGACACATCCTATGCGTTATACTTGGAACCTTTCAGGCTGTCATTAAATCGATTAGAAATCGACCTGGCTATTTCGCGGAGCTCCTTTACAACGCAATGAAAGGAATGGGAACTCGTGATGGAGATTTAATCAGAATCGTGGTCAGCAGATCCGAGATTGATCTGGCGGATATTCGCAATGAATATTACAGAATCTACGGTAAATCCCTGGAGAGTGCCATCTCCGGAGATTGTTCTGGCTCTTACAAGGAAGGCCTCATCGCTTTGGTAAAAGGAAATTAATTCTCTTAACTAATGCTAATTAAGTTGTAATATTCCAATAAAAACCTCGTATAAACCTATCGGTATAAATCTTTTATAACAGACAAATCAACAAACCTAAGGGGATTCAAGAATCGTCATCGGGGAAATCTTCCGTAGTGACATGACTGTGCTTCTGGGGCTGGCAAGATATCAATCGCTGGATACCATCACCGATCAGATCGGTTATTTCTGCCGACCATTTCTGTACTACTTCAACGTCCGGGAACATGTGCTAAATGAGGGGGATAGAAAACTAAACAAAATTAACGTGCGAGGTCCGCCAAACGACGCGCCGAATGCGATTGTTTTTTCGCCGAGGTACGCGGAACTTTGCTTCAGTACCAAATCCGCGCGTCCCACCGCAAAAAACAATCCCATTGGGCGCAATGTTTTTGGAATCCCGCACTTCAATGAAAAAAGACAAATATGACCAACCTCGTATCTCAGACCAAGCCATATGTAAGCTGTTAAAATATCGTACAGATCTTCTAGATGAACAATATCAGCCAAAGTCTCGGCAGGACTGGGCGGCCATTCAATCATCTGAGCTAGCCAATCTTCTGTCAACGGAAATCCGGAAGAATATCTTCGGGCCATTTTTTGGAAGTACGTGCCCAGAGGGCCTTTGTTTTTCAGTGGGACTTTACAGAAATTGAATCTGACAGACAAATCAAGTGGAATATTGTCGATCAGCAAGGCCAATTCCCGAACATTTTCGATATCACAGAGGAAATAATCGTCACTGACCTGAAGAGGACTTACGTCAAAATACTAACTTACTGAACATAATGAAACAAAGATGTCCAAAAGATTAACAAAAGATGCCTTCGGCAGATGATAGGCGAACAACTCAATCTGCTCTGCTGTTGGAGATATCCCAACTTGTTCAATTGGAGTAACTGGCTGAGAAAGGACATCCTTGAGGAGACCGAGATCTTTCTCGAAGAAAGTGGTTACCTTCCCATCAGCATACTGAGTTCCGTATCTCCCGGCTCGTCCAGCTATTTGTAGTGCATGATAATTCGGGATTAATCCACTGCTCTTACACAATGAAAAAAATATAATCCTAGAAATAATCAAATCTGAGCAGCAAACACTCACCTTTTAATGTTCAAATTCAATCCCATTCCAATAGCATCTGTCGCGACAAGGACATTCGTTGCGTCATCCGGATCGTTGAAACGTGCTGCTTGATCCAATTTGGTCTGAGGTGGCATCGCTCCATATATAACAGCACAGGGAATATTAAGACGTTCCAACTGCCTTGTCACTGCCAGAATATGCTTTCGGTTAAAGCATACAATGCAATCCCCATCCTAAAGTTCAAATAGAAAAATCAGTAGATCCCATACCTGAACATTATTAACGTTCTTCAGGGCATGAGTGCTGATATGATAAGGAGATTTCCTTTCATATTCTCGGACCTCGACATGTTCTCCGATTGGATCAAGGACTTTGCAGACAATATCCAACGCAGCTGATTCTCCACACACATGAACTTCTTTGGCACAAACACCCAACAAAGCTCTAGTCCAAGCCCAGCCTCTCTGCGAGTCTCTCAACATTTGAATTTCATCAATAACAGCCACATCAAACTGCATCTCGAGGGATAACATCTCTACTGTACAAGACAGATGTTGGGCAGGCTCATGATTACTCGTTGCAAATTGCCGATCATCCCCTGTGGCCAAATCACAAGGAACGCCTAACTCATTGCTCTTCCTAAAAACTTCTGCTGCCAAGAGCCTCAGGGGTCCACAATAAACTCCAGTCCCGGCTTCGTTGAAAGCCTTCAGCGCATTGTAAGTTTTCCCGCTATTTGTAGGGCCTAAAAAGTAAATATTAATTCTATATGAGGATTACCTGCATGAAATATAATTCTTCTATGAATAGATCTAGTTCCCTCATACCAAGTGTGAGGCTGAGTAAGGTCTGATATGTGTTTTAGTTCTTCCAAAGCTTCCAAATGAGGGAATATCCTTTTTGAATGCTCCAAGAAATGAGGGAAGAGAAGGTCCACACTGTGCCCACAATCTCTGATGTCACTCAAAATGACTTCCAACATCGAACCTCTCACTCCTGGATCCAAACATCTATCTCTAAACTTCTGATAACATTTCATAAACAATTTATCGTTTATTCCATGAGATTCGGCTTCACTTCTAATCTCTGATCTCCGGCAAAACTTGTCCAAAATGGCTGAGATTTCTTGTCTTTTTAGGACTTTATGTTCGAAATTGGAAACCGAAGCATTTGGATGAGACGGATTTATTTCAACGGGAAACACCAAATCTTCAACTCCTTTTCTTGCTGTTAATGGTTTCTTTAGGGTTTTTGGCACGATAAATCTTCGCTTATCATTTCTCTAAAAGCAAATGTAAAGAAAAGAGGAAACTTACATTTTTATTGTTCAAGCCAGGTGTGAAAACAAAATTTCGGTAAGAAAAAAATGAAATACGGCGTCTACTTATTAGTGAGCCATACCTCACCAACATTCCTTGTCTTATCCACACCCGTGTTCAATTTTTTTTGCCAAAATAATATTTTACAAGGAAAGTACTTCTATGGGGTGTGGAATTACCGGTCGAGATATATATCAAAAAATTCGCAAAAATTTTCTGATTCAGAATATATATAAATTAGCTGCCTAATTTTGGTCTATCAGCGAGTTTTTTCAATAAATGTTTTTCTCGAGGAAAAAAATCTGCGGCAACAAAAGCGCGCTCGGTCTCTTCCTTCGGAAGAGAGCGGTGTGGCCGAGTGGTTAGAGCGCTGGGTTGGAAATCCGAGGGAAACGGGTTCGATTCTTTTTGCCACACTAGAACCCATTTTTTACATTGGAACTACTTTTAAGGTGTAGTTGTAATCCAATTTGATATTTTAAGGCTTGTCATGGCCTTAGAATTTAGTTTAGCATAAAACAAAATTTTTTTATTGGTAAAAACACGGTCAAAAAGACACTTGCATGGTGTCACGAGAAAACTTCTGAGGACAAAAACATGTCATTAGACCAAAATTAGGCAGCTAATTTATATATATTCTGAATCAGAAAATTTTTGCGAATTTTTTGATGTATATCTCGACCGGTAATTCCACACCCCATAGAAGTACTTTCCTTGTTAGAAATATTTTTCTAGCAAACTGCGCCCTACGAGAATGTTTTTGGCAGTTTCAAAATTATACGCAGCAGCACGCAGTGATTTAATTTTGACCGCTCAACACTTTAAGCAATATAGTTTCTAAGAATTCGTCCGGAAGTCAGCAGTATATTTTAGTACTCTGTATTTATTACTAAAATAGATATACTAATGAAAGAGCTGCCAAGAACAGTGGGTGGACATATATGTGATGGGCCTTTGCAGAGCGAAAGTTGTGTAATAATCTTACGATTCAGAGAAAATCGACATGGATTATATCAGTCTGTCGGGAAAATAACGGTGGCTCGTCGCAGCAAAATGTTTTGCCTCATCGAAAAAAGGGTGCAGTCGCGCTCCAAATCTCCAGTGCGGCTTGCCGTTGCAAACCGATGATGGGCGATTCCAAGGCACGACAACCCGTCGTTATTTTCTGGACAGACTGATATTATATATGGGAGGTGCTTTATAAATTTCAGCGCGCAAGTCCATCCGAACCTTGCGGATTTAGTCCGAAGTTAAAAGTTGCGCAATCTTACACAACGTTGCGCAATTTGTAATTGTAAAAATTTCTGCGTTTCTCTGTCGGCTCCTCCTCCCCTCCCTTTTTTGTGAACTCTTGGACTAAACCCGCGGGGTTGGGATGGACTAGCGCGCTGAAATTTATAAAGCACCTCCCATATATAGTGGGGTTGTTAAGTCGTCAATTTGGCACATCACGTTGTTATATTGGTGTAATCTTCGGTGTATATAAATTTGGTTGTCAAATTCACATTTTTTGGATTTTTTAGATTTGCCAAAGAATTGTAGGAATTAAATTTCAGAACCCTCCGGGTGCAAATGCAGACCCTTAGGGGTTTCTGGATACAGACCAAATTTCTGCCTTTTTCATGAAACGTGGCGGCCCGGAAATTGGGCGGGCGCACTCTTTCGGGCAACCACTTTCTGGAAAAATTTGAGGGGTCACATTTTGCGGGCAGCCTGCGACACTTGTGTGGCTTTTAGATTGCAAATACCAACTTTTGTTATATTAGAATACCACAACGGACCTAGCCGGGTGGGACCGAGGGTCATGATCTAATCAGACCGCACTTCGGCGTTACAATAATTTGAGTCCTTTAACACTCGTAGTCGGGAGTTTTGGGATAATAATTATGAAACCTCTAACCACATCTAAAAAATATCCAAAAATATATTGTACCAAACCGAAAAAACAGACAAGAATTAGACTTTTGTCATCGGCTGGACTCCAACTCGACCCGTCTGGAGCAAAAAGCGAGCGCACTGACGCTCGGGGATTTTCACTGAATCTTACCGGTCGGTTTCTTTAAAACGCATGGGCCAGGCAGAAATTTGGTACATGTGTCCAGTAAACTCCTCAGGTTCTTGAATTTGCTCCCGGTTTCGCTTTGAGATCGGTCCGTGATGAAAGTAACTTCCCTTGTTAGTAGCTTTACTCTATGAACCGCCTAAACGATTTTCCTCCCTACAACTTTTTAACCAATCTTGTTTTCCCATCTGATGAGTCATTTTTACCCGGGTATTTCCTTCGAATGACGAGGCCTCAGAGGTCAGAAAGCGGCAGTTGTCTGTCTCTTCAGGAGCTATTTAATATCTCCTGTTTTTAGTCTTCCCTTATTCTCTCGCCAAGATGTACCTCTTTATTTTTTTCTTCTTAACTTTTCTGACTGTAAATGCATCTACATTCAAATGTGTGGATGGAAGTTGTGTTTGTGATACCGATCAAGAGGTAGTCAGTTGTCACAACAATCATTCGAGAACCGAATTGCCCATGCCGGATAAGAGGTTGAGGGGATTTGTGGCCATTGGAATCACCAGAAATGACATCAGAACACTGCCTTCGGAAGAAGAAATCCTGAAAAAATATCCAGATCTTTTGGTAAGCCGATTACTATTGTTTAAGCATAAGTGTTAAGGGGATCGATGTATGCGGAAACAAGAATTTCGACACTTCCATCATCCCGAATTACAGTAAGATCCACATCTTGTCGTGTGAAGCCGAGGATGAGAAGACTTATGTAGACGAGGCTGTCATTCCCACCGTAAGTAGATATACATTTACGTATGTAAATTTTTCCAGGATGATTGTGATGTCCAATGTGTGGCTGCGCAACAAGTTGAGAACGCGAAGAAATATCTGAAACATTTGTATCAGTTGTTGTTGAAGAAGATCGAGGAGGTGAAGGAGAGCGATCTCTTCAAGGAAATGTCCAAGACCGCCTCATCCGTGGGTCGAGATTTCATGGAATTCTTGAGAAACCACACATAAATTGACATTGTATGATACGCAAATAAAGTTTAATAATAATTTTGATTTTGGAATAGACCGATTTTCTCCACCTGGTGGACCGGTTGTGAATTGAGACAGATTTGATGTCCTATGATGACTTTTACTGACTCTGAAAGTAAGAAAACAGAAAATGAAGCCGATGGATCTGCGGAGACGACTCCGTTCTTTTCGTCCGAATTCACCTCTACTGATAATGGACATGTGGAGAAGTCGAAAGGCTTGTCCTGGGTTGTGACCGGTCTCTTTTTATCCGGGGAATTGGCCGGTGCTGGAGTCATTGCGTTGCCTCTGGCAGTCAGAAATTTGGGTGAGTCATATAAGGGTGCAATTGTACATTCCCATAATCTTGTGGTTGTAATCTAATGCTGCAGGGGTGTATTTCGGTCTAATGTTCCTGCTCGTGTGCGCGGCTATGTGTATTTACACTTCGATGGCTCTGGGAAGATCGTTTCTGATCCTCCAAAAACACTGGCCCGTCTATCGTCATCATTGCCGAGATCCCTATGCTCAACTTGGATATAGATCTTATGGCACGTGGATGAAGTGGGTGGCTAAAAACTAAATTTATTTTTGAAAAACAAATGAAATTCAGGAGGCTGGTTGAGATCACTTTGAACTTTGGCTCCTTGCCGGCGACTGTCATCTTGATTGTGATCAGTGCCAACAATCTGGGTGATCTTATCCACCATTTTGCCGGATATGACTTGGATTATTGCTATTCAGCCATCATCATCACCCTGTTGGTGTCTCCGATGAGTCTTCTGAAGTCTCCACAAGATTTCTGGTAGCAATGGTCTTACAAGGTTATAATAAGATTTTTAGGTGGGCTTTGGTCATTGGTATGGTCTGCACAATGGCAGCTGTAACCTTGGCCATTTTTGGAATCTCGAATGACCTTACAGTATGCCAGGACACTTTTACTACGCCAAGCTTTCAATATACGTCCGCATTTGCGAGTTTGGGCAACGTTGTGCTGTCTTATGGTGGTCATGCTGCCTTCCCGACAGTCCAGAATGACATGAAAAGTCCTCATAAGTTCACATATTCGGCTGCTTTTGCCTTCTCATGTAAGGTTATATTGAAAATTAAAAAGTTTTCAAAAAACGTGAAGGAAAGTCGGAGGCCATAACTTCCGGCCTAGGCGGTGCTGAGACTTCGTATTTGGAGTATGTATTTTTAAGTGACATTAATTTTTATCTATGAAAGAACACGATTTTAAAGTGCAAACTGAGGTCGCTACGACCTCTTGCGTAGCAGCATTTTTTACCCCGAAAACCAGTGTTTTTCGGTTTAAAATGATCGAGAAATGTCGGATTTTTTGGATGTTTACGATAGACAGAATTGATGTTGAAAACACGGAAGGAAATTGCCTACACGTTGCAAATTTTGCAAAAATTGGGCCACCCTTCATTTGAGGCAAATTTCATTTAGGGCTTTTCATTTGAGGATTTGGGGAACATGGATCGGCTAGCCATAGTGTCAGAATGTCTTTGAAGCCTATATAAAAGTTGCCAAAAGGTTGGGAATGAGTTTCAGAGAGAAATAAAAAATCGTAAATCCGAATCCCCTGTGTAGACAAAAATTAATGTCGCTTAAAAATACATATTCCAAAAACTAAATGTCTGCGCCGCCTCCGCCGAACGTTACAGCCTTCGAGTTCCTTTCACGTTTTTTGTGAAACCTTGTATTTCTTTGAGAGTGGGCCAAAAAACGGAAGGAGTTTCCATTTTTGAGCTTACAGTTGTCATTTACAGTAATCACATGTCTCTACTTCCCGATTTCTCTGGCTGGGAATCTTGCTTATAATGAGAATCTCTCGAGTACCGTTATCAGAAACATCCAGATGGAATGGGTCCAGAACGCAGTCAACATCCTGATCACTATACATTGCTGTCTTACTGTAGTTCTGATCATCAATCCGGTCATGCAAACAGTCGAGGAACTCTTGCATGCGCCTCACAGTAATTTTATTTCTATATAAATAGAATAATCTTTCAGAGTTTGGAATTCATCGGATTGTGATTCGTTTCTCGATGATGGCTCTGCTTCTTTTCATCGCTGAAACATTCCCAGAATTTGGTCCATTGATGGCATTGGCTGGCGGTGTGTTTACTTCAACGACTTCCTTCGTATTTCCAGCGATGTTTTATCTGAAACTTAATGTTTTGGATAAAAAATTGAATGAAAAAAAGACCAAAAAATTGATGGAAAGCGCGATAGAAGAGAAACCTTCAGAGTCGGTACAGATTGTGGTCGATGAGTATAAGGTTGGGCTGATGGAGAGTCTTAGAAGGACCCAAATTATCCATCTAATACCTATCCTTTGCGTCATCGGTAAGTCATGTTTTATTAAAAAATTATTTATTTCCAGTGGTGGGTCTCTTTGTGATGGTAATGGCTACAGCATTTGCTGTCATGGACATCGCTACAGTATCTTTCCAAGTTCCTTGTTATCTGAGATGGATTGATGGCATAGGAAAGGTGAACAATTTCACCAAAGAGAGCCCCACGGTCTGTTGCGGACAGTATTCGAACATCTCTTTGGGCACTTGCACTCCTCTACATCCACTCAATCAATATGAACGAATAAACACTGAATAGTCCATTTTTATCCATATTTGAGGGCAAAAAAACTGTCTACCTTGTTAATCATTTTTAAAAAAATTTAAGGTTGAATACAAGTCACCCCCTTGGAAAAACTCTTGGTTATTTCGAGATCCACATCTGTTTCCCCTTGAATTCTTAATTTTTAATCCAATTTGGTCGCCGGCTTCGATTGTTTGGCTTCAAATCCATTTTTGCAGCTTGATTGGCTCGAAAAACAGGACCGAATTACAGAGAACGGCTTCCGAGAATCCGGTGTCAGCTCTGGGTGATGGATCATACCCAAACCAGCATAGGGCCCTGGGGACATCTTCAGCCGTCCCTCCGTTTTTTGAAGTCGCAAACGCCTGCGCGGGCTCATTTTATTCCCTTCTCATTTCTGGGCACATTAATGCATTTTCAGTTTAATGTGCCATGGGGATGGCGGTGACCTGCTTCCTCGTCCCAAATTCAAGACTTTATTATCTCATATGATTGGCGTCAACGTTGCGTGTTTGTTTGAGATTAGGGTGATTACCATATCAGAAAAGAAATACGATTTATTCCGGGTCAAGTTCCGTCTTCTGTTTGGTGTCAGTGAGTATCGTTGTTTTTGTGCGGGATATGAGAATGCCATTGTTGTGCTTATTTTCTGTGGATAATCGAAGTTGGCTCTGTTGTTTTCACTTGACTGGGAAGTAGGTGAGGAAGAGGGGATATGCCGGGAAAAGGGGAGAAGGTGATGACTGAAGCCACCCCTTTTATTCGAAAAAGGTCAGTGAAACAGTTTTGCGGCCGAAACCTGATCTCCTCTTCGTTTGGCCGGAGGGCGGAACCGCGCGCTTTTCCCTTTCGTATGGCCCCAAACGGCTCCCTAAACTGATTAGAGCGTGCCCGAGGGTCTAGTTCGCATTCAAATCAAGCAGCGGCCGGTTTTTGAGGCGTCGCCCTCCCCTGCTGGTCACTTCTGGATTGCGTGCAGGCGGCCTCTCAAGAGTGATGTTTTGGTCCAAGTTTCGGCCGAAAGAAAGGCGGACGCCACCTGTCCTTGTGGTGATGTAGCCCCTCATATTAACCCTCACATGTCGCCAGCAAATCTCAAGTCGGGAGATCCACAGGTTTTATATCCCAGAATTTTCTCACTTTTTGTCTCCAAAAAAGACGTAACATGACGGCTTCATAGCACTATTTTTATGCCCTCGGGGCTGAAGAGGGCGTAAAGAAGCCCCGGGTTCCATAGCTCCCCGCTGACTCGGTGCCGGAAAAGTTGAGTGCTTTACGGTTTTGACTGCAAAGCGTTTATTGCCAGCGGAAGCAATAAATGTGGTTACAATGACTGTGGCCTTGCTTGGCTGTGCCGTTTCTGTGAGGCAGGGCGCGATTGATCTGGACGTTTTGTTGTCCCAATATTACTGCGGACTTAGAGATGATGGATCGAAGTTGTCGTGTCTCGACTTGTAGTTGTTATGTCCGACCGGCACTCCCGCATTATTATTTTACGTCTTGTGGGTAACTTGATATCGCGCATGATTATTGGGAGCACGACGTGCCGTGTGTCCAAGTCGTTCCCACACTCAGACCCGGGATGCCCTCAAGGATCCTTTACAACGATTTAGCTGGCTCTTTTCGTCCCGCTTTCCAGTTTAACGAACTTATTTTCTTGTGTGCTTGACAGACCTATAAACACCCACCGCGTAATTAGGTTTGTTTGCGCGTTTCAATATATATGCATAAATTTTATGCCTCGTTGAGTGGCGGCCGAAGCCGAGCCGAAAGGCCTCCCTATCTAGGCATCGGCGATCGCATGCTCTGTTCTGATCTTCTTCCAATTTTTGTTTTATTCTTACAACATCTTACCGTAATCCCTTTCCCGCAAAGCCAGGAGCAATCGGAGGAATAAAAGACGAGATTACATGGGATTAGTGGCCATATTTTACCGTGGAACATAAATCCAGCCAACCAGTGGAGCGACTAATTAAATAAAAGCGAGCGAAGAAAAGGAAGGGAGCAGGAACTAAAGAAAGGTGATGCGAGAGCGCGGTTGTTTGGCCTACTGTAACACTCGGAAAAGCTCCAAAACGGTTCTGAAACGGAGATTTACGTGTTAGTATAGTAATGTGATGAAGATGAGTCTCCACGTAGAACGCAAAAACTCGCAAGAAGTGCCAGAGGGGAGCGGCCTGACAAAAAACGGAGAAGACACGGGGTTCTGAAGTGGATGGGTGGATGAGGCGGGAGGAGGAAGACGGAGACGTTTTATGGCATGTCAGTCAAAGACCGAAGAGCTGTACTATGTGGGAGAATCCAGAAATTGGAATCCACTGTCCGCGCATCCATTCCCGGCCCTGGAAAGACCTGGCCAAGGCCTTTTCGGTGACTAGGCGGGGTTTTGAACCGATTAGACGGCCTCGGCTTCCTTTGTTTTTTTCGGCCAAGTGGCAAAGTCCGGCGGTTCATTGGCTTTAAAGAGTTTTTGAATTAGCCAGGCCTTTAAGTGCCTCCCCCCTCTCTGCCGTTGTTCGACTTTCCCGAAACCTTGCATCATAATGATATTTCACCCATTGTTAAATGTCTACGCATTGTCCCTTCGGTGCCAGATTTTGTAGTTCCACCGGTTTGGGAGTCGTTCTTTTCTTTTTCTAGTAACGCTTTTACAAATGTAGAAAAGAGCTGGTCGTTAGTAAAAGCAAGTTTGTCCATAATTTGTTTATTCTCGTCTTTCGGGTCGTAAAGTTGCGTGCTTTATGTGTAATGTCACCATTATGATGCCATTTTGGATGTCGTTGTTTTTTTATTGCAACTTGAGTCCCCTTGATCGGCTTTATTAAAATTTTAAATTCTTACGCAACACGTTATCTCAAAAAAATAATGAATTCATTTTGTGGATCGATCTGCCTCGTTTGGTTATTAGTGGCCGCAGGTGTTTGGTCGGGATCACGCCCTCAGCCCGACTCATCAATCCTCGTTATCCCTTGGCTCCAGTGGTTTCCTACTTGGAGAGAACGGCGCGTTTTCTTTTTCCTTGTGGTTTGGCTTAAGGGCTCTGTTGGTTTGGATGGGTTGAAGCGGGACACAGAAGTGCACTTCTTTCTCTACCTTATACACAGTTCATTTGAGACGCTTTCAGGCTTCACCGACTCCATCCGCATAAAGTTTTGTGGCCGCTGTCTGACTGAGACTCGACTCGAGGATGGGCAGAGATTTAATCGGCTGAACCTCGACCTCAACAACTCTCGCCTTACCGCACACTGCCCGAGGCAAAGCCGTGTTTGCCTGTAGTCGGCCACTCTCAGCCCTCCGGTGGACGTCGCCAGCCCAGCTGAGCGGCGTCGTCCACCAGAACACCAAGCCCAATGATGGGCGGGGAGATGCTATATTATTTCGTCAACCAGATCAAGGGAATCAACCTCAGCGTCGACGATGACATCATCGACAAGCTCAACTATTACTATACATCCACTATCATCATAGGTAAGTCCGTTGCCTCGAATAACTCCGGGGTTTCAGTATTTGCGATCCTGGTGACCGGAAAACAATATGTGGGGCATCCAATCCAATGCTGGGTCCCGGCGACCTTCACCGAGCCCATGGAACAGTACACAGAGAATTACTGCTGGGTTCAGAATACCTACTTCTTGCCGCTTGGCGAATTTATTCCTTTCGAAAAAGCGGAGCGAGAGAACCGCCAAATTGGATATTATCAATGGGTGCCTTTCATCCTGGCCCTTGAGGCCGTCTTCTTTTACGTCCCTACCCTGGTCTGGAGATTCTTGACGTGGCAGACAGGTAAGTGGGTAGATTAATTAATTTCAACAGATCCTTTATGAGACATTCATAAACCGTGATTAAAGCATTCTTATGATGACATTGTAATATTTAGGAATCCATGTTCAATCCCTTGTAAATATGGCATGCGAATCAAGAGTCCTGGATTACGAATCGAGGCAGCGTGCCCTCCAGACGATTGCCACCAACGTTCAGGAATGCCTGCACATTAAAAACCAGGTATTCTGCGTAATAATATCATTATTGCTCCATGCTTATTTTCAGTTGGGCACAAAAAAATTAAAACTGTTGAATATTTTTATCTGCACCAGAAGCAGTGGCGCTGCAGTGACCACATTGTATATAGCGACAAAGGCCCTGTACACGATCAATGTGTTCGCGCAGATCATGTTACTGAATACATTTTTGGGAGCCAGAGATAAATTCTATGGTCTTGAAGTTCTTAGTGACATCTTGAATGGTCGGGAGTGGTCAGAGTCCGGTCATTTCCCTAGGGTCACGTTATGTGACTTTGAAGTAAAAGTAAGTTGCTTCCTCTTTGTTTCAATATGCTGCTTTTAGGTGTTGGGAAACGTACATAGACATACAGTGCAGTGTGTTCTCATGATCAACATGTTCAACGAAAAAATATTTTTATTCCTTTGGTGTTGGTACATCATATTGGGTACTGCGACGTTTTGCTCATTATTATATTGGATATATATCTCATATACTCCGTCTCGGTATGTAATGATACGTATACCAATATCAATTAATATTTTTAGTCAACTCAATTTCGTCGGTAAATATCTGACCGGAATTGAAGGCTATAAAATGGTGGATTCCCAGTCCTTGAGGCGGTTTGTTCATCACTTTCTCCATCAAGACGGAGTCTTCCTGCTTCGGATGGTGGCTACTCATGCAGGGGAACTCTCCTGTTACGAGTTGGCCAAGAAGTTGTGGACCAATTTCTGTGACAATAAAGAGGGCAAGATCCATGATGTCTAGCCCAGCCCTTTCGGCGATACGGGTCCTCTCTATTCGTGTCATTGAGGATGTTCATCTCTTTATTTTTGTCTGTGATCTGTTCCAAATCTCCGAATAATCGGTCCATTCTTATACTGCCTTGCTGAACATGTTCTCCATGATCGATTGAACTGATCTTCTCTGTTGTTTCACTTAAGCATTCCCAGCAATAAATCAGGAAATGTTTTATTAGACTTTTATCATACGATTCTTTTGTTCTAACGATAAGCAATCAACAAGATGAAGAACATATCTGAATTGGAAGGCACAACCGGAGAAAAGGAACGACGGAAATCTTCTTAGGGAGGGATAAAGAGACCAATTAGCAGGTGATTAGTCATCCACCTGTAAAGATGTTATTCTGCAAACTTTTTGAGGAGATCCTTGTTCTTATAGTAGAGGCTGAGACGGTCCCGGCCATACTCGGCAAATCCGAAACCGACTGGAGACAACTCGACTTGAAGAAGGCCCCAGACACCCCAGAAAAGATGGGATACAGCGATGAAAGGGATCGTCTCTTTCACCATATTCTCGGCTTGAGATCGGACAACAGCATCACTGGCATTCGGTTGGAGTTCTCGGATGTATGATGACATAAACTCGAACATATGCTCCTTGGTTGGGAATCTTTCTGGCATGAACTCGTAATTCGGGTGATCCTCAACGTCGTATTTTATGGTGTACTCCACAAAATGCGACGCAAAATCAAATGCTCTGAAAGCAAATTGGTGAGTGTTATACATTTAGACAAGTACCTGTAGTTGTAAGCGGCATATTCAAAATCAATAAGGACTAGACGAGGATCGGTGGGATTGAATGCGGTCAAAGAATTGGAGGGTTTCGTGTCCTCGGAAACTGATGGCATGCGAATATTCCCTGAACTGGCCTTCGGAAGGAGAATGTTACCTTCCTGGAGATCGTTGTGACAGAATGCTACAGGACTTTTACTCTTCGCAATTAATGGACTGAAAGAGAGTCAAAAAACGTTTTTGACTCTTACCGTAATGCTTCGATCTCCAACCACAAATCATCGCAGGTCAATTTCTTCGGAGTCCATTCCCATCCCTTTTCGGGCATTTCAAACACTTGATCCGGTGTGGTCACTCGCTTCAGTTGAGTAAACCATCTAAAATAACCCAGTTATAGCGAACGATGACATCGCTCCTACCGTTCCAAAGCATCGCAGATATAATCGGGCTCTTTCCAAATTGGCACTTCCAACTGATGGACCCTGGCGATTCTGCGGGCGATCTTCATGGATATCGATGGCGCTGAGATCTCATCCACAGTGAGAGGGCGGGACTATAATCATGAACTTGTAAGAAGGCCGTTGTTAAAAAATTGATTTAAGCATCAAGATCCACTTACAGGGATATATTCCTCTAAGCGGCCTCCACTGAAGATACCATAAAGTTTGGGACCCAGATGTCGCTCGGAAAGAAGCGTGAATATAACACTCTCCGCCACTAAATGGCTCTCTGTTTCGGGGTTAAAGTAAACTCGGAGCAGAACCTTATCTGGCTCGTTCCGTAGAGGAGGATGGTTCTCACTCAGGCGACACAGGAACAGCATGTTACTCATCCCACCTCTGCATAGTGTCAGTCAATTTTGAAATGTACGAGTTCTTACTTTACTCTGACAATCTTCAGATTATCAAGGGATACTGTCTTCCAAGCCCCACCCAGAAACCGGGAACACAAAATGTGAGTCTTCTCCTTGAACTCCACATGGGTATTGGGGTCAGCCTGGTTGTCCATTGTGGTCAGCAACTCCTTCATGCTTCTGCAAAAAACATTGAACAATAATGATGACTGTAACTGTCATAAAAAAATTATGGCTTACCTCAAATGTTTGTCATGTTGTATTGGCATCTCGTTAAAACTGAGTTGTCGACGCTGAAATCAGAACCTTTATTTTCAGAAATAAAAGTCTTTCAATTTGAACCATAAGAATTGGAAGAGAAGATTAAAAAGAATTATGGCCGGGCCTGATTTAAACAGAACTGCGCGTCTTTTCGGGATTAAAGCCCTTCGGTATGTCAACAAAGGTCGGATTTATATCCGCACAGATCCAATCCAAATAAATTATGGATGATTTTGGCAAATAAAGTTATGATCCGACCCATGATCGGGCCGGATCTCGAGATCAAAAACACTCAAGAAGCCCCGTCCTTTGTCTAGAGGATATTTGGGACTTCATAAAACCAAAGAGCGCCCATCAAATCGAAAATGACTGCAGCTGGCCCAGTCCCTTTTAGTCCAGAAAAAAGGCTCAGATTTATGGAACCCAAATTATCGAATTAACGGGATGAATGGATAATAAAACAAGAACGACGAGACGTGTCTTCAGCGGAGGCGGCACAGATCAAACAGGAAACTCGACACAGAAACACGAGCAGGTTTTTACCTGAGGAGAAGGGGATTCGCAGCCCATTCCTGACCAATTCTTGACTTGAAGAAGGGATTCCTCAAAAAGATCGTCGTCTCCCATGGATCCGCAACTACCTGTACGGCTTTCCTCCGCAGTCATCGCTGAAACAAAAGGTTATTTTATCCATAAACCGCTCTGTAAGGAAATGGACAGCCAGAGAAAACGGCTGGAGGAAATGAAAGCGCGGGGTTCGAGAGTCCCGACACTGGCCTCGGACACAGGCCAATGCCATGGCCCCGCAGCCAAAAAACCACTCACTCCTCCGACTTACGCGCCTCGATATGAAACGAACAAACCTCTTGACCAAGTCTTGTTTGTTCAAACGTTTCAGAGGATTAAACTCGTTCAATTAGGGTAAACTTAATTTCTCAAACTTAAAGAAGTTTCTTTTATTATGCTCAAATAATAAATTATAATCTCGGAACTTAAAAAAATGAAAGGATATGAAAAAGTTGAACCCGTTAACAATAATTTAGCAATAATTAGAATCTCAAGCATACTGCCAACCCTAATCAAAAAGTGCAATACGGCGTCCAGGTAAAGTCGCAGACCAGTTGGATGTGTATTGATAATACCGGAATGTTTTTTTGATCTCCAAACATCAAATTTTCCCGTTTGACAATGGTGTACTGGACAGTGTCAAGCCCACTTATCCTATCCCGTTTCCGGGACATCTTCTTCTGGGGTCCGATCATTGCGTAATCTCTCTTTCTTTCAGGTCCGTGTATATGTTTGAAGGTATTGTGTCGATCCGTCGTCAGATTTCTTGGCCTTTCAATATTGGACGTCAGATTTTTCTCTCTAAATGAAAAAGAATAGATATTAAGAAAACTTACTTCATTCTTATATAGAACTCGTCATCTTCCAACCCCCAACCCCAATACTTGTTAGACATTCCATTTACTTTTTTGAAGTCTTTCATGGTTAACATCAAAACACCTCCAATGAACTTCTTATAGTTGTATCTTTTAATTGGATGATAATCTCCCGAAGAAATGTGACGAATAACTCCCTCCCCTGGATATCGGTAATTGAGATTAGGATTCAGGGGTACAATATCTACATCATGCATCACCATGTAATCACAGCCAATTTTATCAGCCTCTAGCCATCCTACATTGATTAAAGAAGCTCGGTTGAAGCGATATGAGTCGGTTTGATTTAATACAAGAAAAGAATGTTTAACTGATTGATTCAGAAGGAATGCATCCAATTCGGGAATCAAAATCGAAAGCTCGTGTTCTACATTTCGGAAAGGAATCAACACACAGAGATGATGATCAGAAGGAATTTCGACCCTAAACGCAAATCACACAATTGGGAAAATAAATACCTGGGCTCCTCCTGTTGGTAGTTGACATTGGCAATTAGCCAGACACCAGCTAATGTGCAGACGATTAAATAGATTAACCGTCTAAACGACACCCTCATCGAGACATCTGAAAATAAAAGCGTCAGAAATGGAAATACACGACACTTAATCCGCCCGGCTGGAATTGAAACACCAAAACAGTTGATCAAATATTAGGTTGGATAAAAAGTTTTAACCATAATTTTCTCGGCAACATTTCGGAAAAACGGCTTATAAAAACACTTTCAAATTCTGCACATTAATGATGCTATGTCAGCGTCTTCTACAGCTTCTGAGGATTATACCAACACCACTCAGGAACCAGTAGCTGCCGACAAGGAATGTGACTTTAGTTGCTTCATATCCTACCTACCCTAATCGGGACACTAACGAATTTATTAGGGATAGAAAATCTCGGCTATGCCGCAAAACACTGAATGAAATTTCGGCATGCCCTCTATAAATTATAAAAAATGAGGAAAAGTAAATTCCATATGGTCGATTATAAGCTAAATCTAGTTTTTTCCGGTTTACTGCAATAAAAGCTTGGTCCCTGCATGCACCCGAATATTCAGCTGCTAAATTGTTAAAATACCTGAAAATTGCGGAAAGCAAGAGAAATAAAAGCGCTTGTTTTCGTGTCTAAACGCGGAAAAGTCGATATCCTCGTCTGTTTTTCTCCACCATCACCACGTTCTTTTTAGTTTCTGTTCCTATTCTTCGATTTTTGGCCGGGGGCCTCTTCGACCAGCGAGGTTGATGAGGGCTTTTTTAAATCTAACGAGTGCCTTTGTATTATTATTAGGAACCTAAACTCAGATTGTGGGCATTATCTCTCCCGCCCTGGGCAGGTGATTAGAGTTTTGAAATCCTTGTTTATTGTCAGTAATGGAAATATTATCCGTGTCTCAGGTTCGATTTCCAATAGTTTGTTTTCAGATATTATGAGTACAGAATTAGAATTGGCCGAACAGGCTATGTACGGCCCGTTCTTCGGATCGCTGGGCGTTACAGCTGCCATGATTTTCACTGCAGCAGGTTCAGCTTACGGAACAGCGAAATCAGGGACTGGAATTGCCTCTATGGCCGTCGCTCGCCCTGATCTCGTGATGAAAGCCATCATCCCGGTAGTTATGGCTGGTATCGTCGCTATTTACGGACTTGTTGTTTCTGTTATCATCTCAGGAAAGATCAACCCTGGAGGTCCTGACTATCATGTCTACACAGGATTCAGTCAATTTGCTGGAGGCCTGGTTTGTGGTCTTTGTGGGCTTGGGGCTGGTTATGCAATTGGAATTGCCGGAGATGCTGGAGTTCGAGCGCTTTCACAACAGCCCCGATTTTTTGTTGGCATGATCCTTATTCTTATCTTCGCTGAGGTATGTTGCGTTTTTTTAAATTTATTATTGCCGTTTAGGTATTGGGACTCTACGGTATGATCGTTGCTCTGATCTTGGGAGCAGCTTAAATCAAGAACATAATACGGCGCTTTCACTTTCCTCATTGTATAGACTCACCAGTCACTTAAACACATCGTTACGAATGTTTGTACGAATGAATAGAGATATTTAATATAAATATTTTGTCCAGTTTGAAGGGCTGCTGGAACAGTTTAATGCTGTTAGATATCTTTATTTAATGGTGTTATTTTATGTTTATTTTTTACTTAATGTTGATTTTAGATGATTCAATTGGTTTGGCGGCCTCGGTTTTTAAATCAGAAACCGATGACTTAACCACTGGTCTCCTGTTATCATGGCGATGCCTCTGCTTCTAATCAGTTTTTAGGAAAGGAGGGAGCTTGGTCTTGGTTTTTTTGTTCGCGCTTTCGAGATGCACTTGTTAATTAGCTTGCTTTAATAACCCTGGCCTAACCCATTAACTATTCAGGCTTTTCGTTCATAACCAGCTAGCCAGCCATCATGTCCTACAACCTTGAGATCGCTGAGAAGCCGGCATACGCCCCATTCTTTGGATACATGGGAGCTGCTGCCGCCCAAATCTTCACCGTGTTCGGGGCTGCTTATGGAACAGCCAAATCTGCCGTTGGGATTTCATCTATGGGTGTGATGCGTCCTGAATTGATCATGAAATCGGTCATCCCTGTTATTATGGCTGGTATCATCGGTATCTATGGTCTGGTTGTCGCCATGGTGCTCAAGGGTCGTATCAAGCCTGCCTCTAAGGACTACGATCTTAACATGGGTTTCTCTCATTTGGCTGCTGGCCTGACCTGTGGTCTCTGCGGCCTCGGTGCCGGTTATGCCATCGGTATTGTTGGGGATGCTGGGGTCCGTGGTACTGCCCAACAGCCTCGTCTTTTCGTCGGAATGATCCTTATTTTGATTTTCTCTGAAGTAAGTTGCGATGCGACACGACGGAAAGAATAAGAAACACACTGATTTCTATAACTTTCAATTTCAGGTCTTGGGGCTTTATGGTATGATCGTCGCCTTAATCCTGAGTTCCTAAGAAGTTCCCGATGTATGCAGAAGAATCACTTTACATTCCTTTTCGATTGCCAATCCCCAATCTACTACGCTCTCTTTTGGTTGGCCATGACCGTTTAGGTCTTCTAACATTCCAGTCTCTTTCTACGTTTTGCCATCGCACTCTATTTTTCGGTTCCTTTATTTGCATTTTGAGTTTCTCTTTCCTAATTGAAGCAGAGAATAGTTTTATCAGCATTTATTGTAGTCGTCATGTTTAATTTAAAAGGAATAAAGTTTATAAAATAAGCGAGAGTTGTTTTTGGCCGAGTTGTGCCTTGTCCAGGTCTTTCCAAATTTCATGGTTGATTTAAGGAAAGGGTGTTTCTATGAGAGAAGCCCCGCAGAATTTCCGGCCAAAATACCTTTCCCTGTAGCGTGTGCCCCCAGGGAGGAGGGAAGTGTTGACAGAAAGTTACTGGCGGGGACAAGGCGTAATTATGAATCCGAGCGATTCCGACCGGAAGTCTGTTGTTCCGTTCAAAGACATTTGGAGCCATTAGAAGGAAAGCCGATGTGTCTATTCTGTCTCCGCCCGGCTTCACTTAATATTTTAATCAGTGTTGGATTGCGCAGAAAAATAAATGGAATCTGGCCAAGTCGTAAACCGGGGCCAGTCACCGGCGTAGTATTCCCAAGCCATTTAGCGGATTGCAGGTTCGAGTTTCAACTATATTGGATGCTTTCCTCAATCCGGTTACTGACCCTCCATTTCCGAGTCTATATAATACTACATACAAGTATTTGCGTGTTCAGCATTCGATTCCTTCCATTCTATACCATAGTCTTTCAGATGCGGAAAGGTTTCGTTTTTGGGTCCTCGACACCTCGGGAATTATCCCATCAAAAGGCGAAAGATCGATCCACCGTGCTAGATGCCCTGGGACAAGGAGCAGCTCACGATGTCCGGCCGTTTGTTCGCAGCATTCACGCAGGCTAGTTTTTTTTAAATTTAATAGAAATCTTAAGTTTACTAAATCACGATTCAAAGCATCAGAGGTATATAACATTGTTTTCACTTCCTGCAATACCAGAGCTATCATTTGTGCAATCCGGAGAACTGCCGGTCTCCAAGTCCATCTTGAGCTTAACCATTCCGTCCATGATAGCACTTGGCTCACTTGTTGATGCCGTCAGAGTTCCGGAACTATTTAGTTGCTCTTCAATGTCGTTGAATCTTACAGATTGTTGTTTTTTGGGAGGGGAATGGCTCACCTAAAAATGTGACTGGACGTATAGGAGGCGATTTACAATTTTTTTTTATCTAGTCAAGAGCGGCCAATTCAGCCCAAAATTAAGTTTGGACTAAATTCCGGCGGGTCTTGTCCCAAAAATAAAATTTCACTCAAATTCCAAACCATTGACAAGATCCGATTGGAAAAAAAATTTGTAAATCACCGCCAATATGTATATAGAATTCGTGAAATAATATCTTACTTTGACGACAACTTTCTCCGCACAGATGATGTTGCTGCTCTCACTGCCTTCGGTATGCCTTACCATCTCCAGGTTCACTTGATTGTTTCTCCCTCTTCTCACTGTGGTGTATCGTCTTATTGTTTGTTGTGATTTGGACCACATTTGCTTGGCCACAGTCGGCTGCGTCTGCTCATCTGTTCCAACCAAGCAAAATGCCAATACTATTACGACCGTGACGATGGATACCAATGCCAGGTAGAGACCAGAGCCATACAATCTGATGTCATACCAACTGATTCCAATCCCCAGGATGAGCAAGAACATATTCACGGAGAAGATAACCAACAATACGTTCATTGAACCTTTCGGGCTATGTACATAATGCAGAGTGCCGTCAGTCCATATACCACCTGCTGATTTGGTCAATTATAGGACGATAGGGGAGACCAGGCTCACATCAGAAAGTATTGGAAAAGTAAAGGAAGTGCTGAACGGACGTCTAAACAAAACCCGCGGCTCTGAAAGCGCCTGAATTAACAGCAAACCCGAGGATTAAATATGGGCCTTCGCCAAACGCCTCGGGCAATCAACGACAAGCACCCATACGGACTGCTAAAACAACTATCCCGACACGACATTGCCATCCATCTTTGGACGGAAACCAAACCCAACGGATGACTGGGCCCAAATACATGACCAAGACATAAATAGTATATCCCGGGCGGACTAGGTAGAGGAACTCGGAATGAATTAAACACGCTCGTTAAGCGATAGAGTTGACTAGGACGTCATTAGGGCTTTTCTGCCTCTTCAGGATCAACATGGAATCTCCAAATTTTCATATATTCAGAGCTTTTCAAATATAATAATTAACTTTACAGCTCGCTCCGAAAGTTGTCCTCGCCGGCTCAGTAAACAATATGCATTTGGGTCCTCGACTCCTCGGGACTGGTCTCATCAACAGAAAGTTCCGCTGCAACATAGAATCTACGATGCTAAAGGGCCCCCAAAGATAAGGTCTCAGACAATTCACTCATTCAATGGATCCATGAGAAGCGTCGCTTCTTCCGGCATCCCTCCGAAGTCTGCGACTTCTCGGGAATCACGTCCTCGACAACCGAGACCAAATCTTCCGCCGGCACCTTCGACCAGTCGACAAGTAAGGCCATCTCGTGTTGACGAAGACGATGACGCTTCTTCCGAACCTGACATTAAAATGCATCAAGAAAGTCTAAAACAATGGGCCATGGAACAACCTAGTGTTAATGTCAAGCAAGACAACCCCCAAACCAGGCTTCAGTCAAATAATGTGAATAATCTCCAGCCGCACGGGAATCCAAAACCAGACTCCATTAAAAAGGTAGGACTGGCCCTGCTTATTAATATTAGAGGCCTCCCATTCTCAAGAATATATTAAGACGAAAACGTAAAAACAATTAATAGGTTACTTTTAAATAAAAAAGTTCCCAAAAAAACTCAAGTATTATGTAACCATAATTATTACAGGAGCCAACTGTAGTCAATCATGTACATGAAACGGAGAGCGAACTCATATTCGAGAAATCGGAGGAGTTACAAACTGCGGATAAAATGGAAACGGTACACCCCGTAGAGGACTTCCACGACTTTAGTAAATCAGTAATCAAAAAGAAAACCGACACTCAAATAGCTCAGCCAAAGGGTGAAAAAAGCGAGCCGTCCTCAAAGTAAGTGATGAATTTGTGTCAAAAAAGCATATGTTGTCTCCGATTACATTTTTTAAATGAATTGCCCAACGAACTTCATTTCAGACCATCCGAACTCCAAAACAATGGAACAATCAAGTCAGACGAGTAGTGATATTTCATTGATCTCGATATAAAATTTGAATAATTCTTCAAATAAACCCGTTCAAGGTCTCGGTAAAGTTGAATTCACCAAATTGAGCCAAAGATTGGCACATGGAATGTGGTAACTCAGCTCTGTGTCCTTATCGAAATGCGTATTATTTACATTTGTCCAGTCTCCACAAATATTACACATATGGCCAGTCTTCTCGAACTCATCCACCAGATCTAACATGAGGCTATCTTCTTCTAAGATGTTGAGAAGATTGGCCCACACCGCAAATAATATCTCACACTTGGATACCAAGTCAGATGATACATTGGGGATGGAAGTAGCGTTCTTGTGGATATTCCGAAGAACCCGCTGGATCTCGTTGAGAGATCGTACGAAACGAAAGCCTTGCTCGGTCTTAAACACCTCCACCGTAGCCGAATTGGTTTGTTTTACAGCAGAAAAAACTTCTGATGCAGCGAGTAGAACACTCTCCCAATGAGGGGCTAGCTTTTGCTAAAAATTATAAGTAAATAATTAAAACAAAACAGACATAATAGACAAAACAAGAATACTTACGTGATAAATGCATATATCCTCTGGATTTAATTTCGTCGACGGATAGAGCTCTAGATCCACATCTAAAGCCTTCGATTTCCAAGAAAGCTCACCTACTTTTAGAAGTGGACTGACCATCGAACATAATAAGATCTCCATCTACTTTAACGTTCTGTTCCGTAAACAAAGGGTGCACTGTTTTCAGAAGGTGACCATTGGGTTTAGATTTATTCTCGTTTTTCTTGAAATTCAATTTCAATTCCTTGGGTTTAATCGAAGAAAGCGTGGGGATGGGTAACGTCTTCATAAAGCTGAGGTCCGCAATCGTCAGATTCCGCTAAATATTAACATTGTGGCACCACCAGCGCTCAAAAGTCCCGACAATTTTCGCACCGTGCGAAAGTTCGGGTTTTTGACGTCGCGCCCGCAAGTTTGGGGGTTGCAAACCGGTTGTCGCGCGCAAAAGTGCACGTTGCTAGGTCAAAAACGGGAAATTGCGGCGACAAATGTGAAAAAGTGCGGATGAAAATGAAAGAAGAATGCACGGTGCGAAAATTGTCGGGATTTTTTAGAGCGCCTAGTAGAAACAGTAGGAAAACGTACCTGTGCAAGAGCGATCAACACTAGACAAGAATAAAACTCTTGTCGAGTTAGTTGTTCTGGATTCGACGGGCTGACGGATTCCCAAATAGCTTGGAGAACAGGTTCAGGAAGACCCGTTCTCCACATAACGGACATCACCTCTTTGTGGACAGGCGTCTTGTTCGTCGTATCCGCTCCACATTGAACTATAACATCCCGATAAAACTTAGGAACACTGCTCTCTTCAACCAAGGTCGGTGGTATGAGACCGCTACTTTGAACTACAATCTGTAAACTAAAACAAATAAATACACATACATTTTTTGGCAGTTGTAATTCTTTTAGCTCCAATCCCTTTAGCAAACCAGGAGAACCTTTTATTTGCTTGGTCCCACATTTAGCCAGGAGATAGTGAAAGATCAAGCATGTTCTCCGATGAAATGCATTGTAATTACGCGCGTACGCGCGCGCGAACTTCGTCTAATTTGAGAATCGGTTTCTTGAAGCGTTATGCCAATAAAAGTTTCGTGGCGAGAAAAATACTCGAAAGTTGCAAAAATAATATTCCAATTTGAAAAATAAATATATAAAAAAATAAATTTTGGTTGAAAATAGGGTATTTACATTAGGACAAGCTATGCCAAAGACATAAGAAATGTTACACCTTTGTAAAGTTTTTTTGTCGGACACTCATTATTTCTTGCACCAACATCAATGGAGTTTGTTTATAATTTCTGCGGTCTGCTTTTGACTTTCGTTTTGTGTTTAATATTCCCATCACTCCCCTTATTCATTTAATGTCGTCTTCGCTTTGAAAGAGTTCTCTCGCAAATTGTTAAGAGAATTGGAATTGGGTTCGTTTTCCGAGCAGTTTATCCAACTGTTCTTTCGATCTGATTTTATTCCATCTTTTCTTATGATTCACTTTTTATCTCTGCAGAACACTCATTATTTTTCCATACGTGATCATTTACAAAGATTATATTGATTTGAAGCTTTCTAATTAATCCTGGATTTTATTATCTTGCAGAGTGGTTCAGTCGGAGCCTCCAACCTTTATTTCTCCGCCATAAAAAAATTAAGTTATATAAAATTAAGGCTAAGACATCCCATTTTTTGTCTATTAAAAATGACGGGTCCATGCTACTTGATAAGGTAGGAAGCTCCGGGCGAACCAACTTGTATTATAGTCAGTAATTGGATTTATGCTTGCTTTCCTATTTTTCTCAAAGAATTCGGGTTCTCATTCGCCGCTTGGAAGATTTTGGAGAACGCGTGTCATTATACTGATTCCAATTACTGGAAAAACCAGCTTCGGCGGTAATTGAGTGAGAAAGTGCCTTTGACTTGCATATTGCAAACTTTCTCCTGAACTCGGCGCGCTTAGCTTTGTGATGGCACTTTTTTTGTTCTGTTTGGAATCCGCAGCGTATGTGACCCATTGAAAACAGCTCTTCCTCTGTCGGTCGGGGGTTTCTTCCCCGGCTACTTCTTTTGGGTGGCTGGCTTGTTGCGCGACACGAAAGTCAAGGAAAGGGAGAGAGATCGAGCTGCAGACCGAAGACGACCCTCCTCTCCATTCCTCGATCATTTTTAAACGTTACGTTCTTTGACATTTTAATATCGGCTCTGTTTTCTTTGTTAATTTATTTTTTATTAAATGTCTACATTTCAGTGGCCATTTGGCCAGTCATGGCTTATGGTATCAGAACATGGATGCCATTCGGTCTCGGACTTTTTATGGGTTCGTTCTTAGCATTCCTTCTCTACACATCAAATGATCTCGAAAAGGAACTCAAGGTTGAGTCTGTAGAGGATATTCAAAGATTTGTAAACTGGGAAGTCCGAGTTCAAAAGACTTTTCCGGTGGGAGGTGTCAATAGTCAGAATACGCAGAATAAGGTTTGTAATAACTTTTTTTCCTTACATCATCCGTTTCCTCTAGGTTGTTAGATCGCGATTTGCGGCAACAGAACTAGGCATCCGTGACCGCTTAATCCTAATCGTAATGGCCCAAAGTGCTCTTAGCGTCGCTTTAAATGCTTCCATTGGCCAGCATGTTCCACGAATGCAGATTTACGCTGATGCTTCCCGGATTGATGCAGATATGAGTGTTTTGACGAATCTCATTCCTTATCGACTGAATGGATTGTCAGGGCAACGTGCCCATGTCCATATTCTCAATTCTATAGCTGATCAGGTAACCTAATTTTGTGGGCTTAATATTAATAGGCTCTCCAAGATAACTACGACTGGTTCTTCTTCATCCCGGACACGACATATGTTAATCCATTCGAATTACTGCGGCTGATTAAACGACTAAACTGGAACAGACAAACCGCCTTAGGACAGGCTGACACTGATGGGAATTGCATCCTTGAAGCTGGTATCTTGCTGTCCAATACTGCATTCCAGGCTTTGTTACAGTATGTTCCCCATGTGGTTTGATTATTTCTTTAGACAACGGCATCTATGCCAAACAATCGTCGCGGCTTCTGATCAACAGGCCTTCGAGATGTGTATTCGGCATACCACAAATCTTGCATGCCAATCTAAAGATCAGGTAAATTCATTCATCTTATTATGGCCCTTGTTTGTTGTTTTCCCTTATTTATTTTATTGTTTAGGGGCAATCTCATCGATGGTGGCGTGTAGAAGAGACTGGTGAAACTGGATCGGCCATCCATGACCACGTACATTGGCTTGCTTCCAGCAGAGAATTTAACAATACTTTGACGGTATCTCCTTTACTCAGTGAACAAGACGCCTTCACTCTTCATGAGCACTTTGTGAATGTCGAGATTGGACGGATTACGTCTGAAATCAAACGGACTTCTCAAGAGATAAGGGTTTTCGAGGAGGAATTAGATGGAGACCGGAGCTGGCCCATAGGTATCTCCTCGATTACCCGGCCTCCTAATCGATGGCAAGTTCCAGTCTGGGAATATTTCACCGAACTGGACATCTTCAAGAACGAACCGACGCAAAACTCTCGACCACTGACAGGGAATGATGCCTTAGATATCAGGGAGGTAGTGGAAGTGGCCAGGAGGAAAGTCGAGGTCGATCTAGAAGACGGGAATGTGGACATCTCAGAAGTGTTTAATCCCAATATCATGGAGTTTGTTCAATTGAGACATGGCTACCGGGTATTTAACGCTAAGAGAGGGATGGAGTACATAGTGGATCTAGAGTATAAATGGTTGAGGGATGAGAAGCGGGAGCCTTTGGTAAAGCGACTTCACGTGTGCCGTCCGATTCATTTTACTGAGTTACTGCATCAGGTACGTAGTTCCGTGAGGGTTTATGCTTGATGTTTAGGTGCCCTATGTGAAGGAAGACACTGATATTACGATTGTAATCCCCATACAAACAGTTGAAGAAGCTGAGGCTGCCCGAGCTCTTCTCATCAGACATATCAGACTTTGTATTTCATCTTCATCGATGATCGACTCCCGTCAAACACGGATTGTTTTGGCCGTTCGGGCTATTTCTGACGTTATAATGCATCAACTGACAGACGAATTGACACATCTGAAGAGGAAATGCAAATCTTGGCAAACGGATATTGCTCTTCTTCCCTTAAAACCCCAAAGCCATGCTATGATTGAAGCCGCGGCTCTCGATGAAGCTATTGATCATTTCGGGCAGCAAATGATATATGTTTTATTGTCACCGTTTGCTGATTATCAAAGAGAACTATTGGACCGAGTGCGGATTAACACTATCAGGCATTTTCAGGTATTTTTATTCTATTTGGCTTACCTTGCTTCAGGTGTTCTTCCCCGTGCCATTTGCGGAGTTCCATCCATTGATCGTGAATGCAGATAGGATATTAAATATGGCCGAAAAGGAGCAGGAAAAGGCTGGCATAAACAATAACACCCAAATGTTCTTCGATCTTAATAATCAAGAAGCCCTGGAAGGGAGAATCAGATATTTACGAGATCTGATCCCTCCCACAATGGTAGCCCAACGCCAGCTGGTTGTGCACAAAGACCGTGGATTCTTCGATACCAACGATTTCAGCGTTGTCTCGTTGTATGGAACCGATTACATAAACGCCCGATCTAAGTTGGCGCAGAAGACAGATGACGGAGAAACAACCCGACTCCTGGATCTCTCGGCGATCTTCCTGAGCCAAGGAGATGTCCACATGCTTCGATCAATAGAACCTTCCTTGAGAATACGGTATCATTCACGGAAATGTAGCCCCGACCTGAGTCCTTCAGATATGGCGCGATGCCAGTTGAGTCAAAAACAATCCTTCGGCACGAAGTCGCAGCTCGCCCACGTGCTCTTTAGTGACCTTAGGATCATTCATAACGTCCCGCCTTCAAAAATATTCCAGTAGAACTGAGATTTCTAACTTTTACTAGATTTTCACATTCTTCCACGGGTTTATTTTATTTATTATTGATACGAGTAGTTGTATCTGTAAATTTTTCTAGTCCATCACAGTACTTTATCATTATTATCCCCTGTTAACCATGCTCACTTTATTGCCATCGTCGTTCGTTCACATCTTGCTTTAAGCTCAAACGTAATCTTAATTTAATAGTGTAACATTCTTTTTTTTAATTTCACTCATTACAAATAATTTAATAAAATTACAGAATATTTATGAGATCGACACAAGGTAAGAGGTGCCACAAAATAAAATTACCCATTTAAAAAATAATTACAATAAATTAAACTATGCACATTAGGCGTCCTTATTTTGTTTGTTCCATTTCTTGATACGATTCCATCTCAGTTCGGCTCTAAATTTATCATTTTCAATCCACGTCTCACTAACAGGGGAAGTACTCCAAGTGCGACGCTCAGATTCATAGGCATGAAACTTTTCGGGCCGAAATTCGGCAAAAAGTCCTAAATTTTCGCCGACTTTCGATCTAAAAATCTCGGTTGTTTCTGCAAAGCGCGAGCTAGAATTCTAGCATATATACTGCTCCACGAAATGATAGACGCACCCTGTTTTTAGCGATTATCTTCCTTGTACTAAATGATATCGAATAATGTTCAACAGATGAAATGTGGCAAATTAAACGAGAAATCATGTCCCATAGGATTTTGGAACAAAATTTTGCCTTGACTGAGATATGACATTTTTTAGACTTTTTTGGGGTCCACAAAATGATAGACGCAATTAATTTAAGGATTAAGTAATTTTTCGTTTATTTAAAAGAACTTTGAGTCAACCTGCTCTTATTGCACTTCCTCGTGTTCTCTGTAGTATTAGAAAGGTGATTACATTTATATCCGCCGTAATTCATCGACGCAATGGCCTTATGAGCCATTTCCGACCTTGTACATGAGGTAAACATTCATTTTGAAAAAAAAAAATTTGGTTGGGCTGTTTTCTTGGGCAAAAAACTAGCTAATACTGTTAGATTATACGTGTAAATCTCGCTAATGGGAAAAAAACAGCTTGTTCAAAGATCTCGGGTATTTTCTTGGCTTATAATCTTCAGCAAGTAGCTACCGTAATACACTTAGACCCCCGAAATACCAAGACGAATGAACGGATTGGCAAAATTTGATTTGCAATTCGAATTCAGCATGCCTGAAAACGTAATGCTGCACTCATCAGCCGTTAGAGAACAAATTGGGTCTGTAAACTCTTTCTAAAAAAAAGTTCACAAAAATAGGCATATTTTGGCCCATTTTTACACGTTTATATTTTAACTAATCATCTGCGGCACATAGTACATTTAAGCAAGCAATAAGTTGCTGTTATAGGTTTTTTAACATGCTGAGTTTGATTTTCTGAGCAAAAAGTTGCCATCGATGGAAATTTTCTGTACCCTTAGGGCCTTTGAAGGTTACTGTAGATGGTCTACGGTAATTTAATGGTCGATTAAACGACTTCAAACGGATCGGTATTGGTTTATTTTATGTCTTATATTTGCTACAAGTAATCTAAAATGGTTTAAGATGGTTTTTTGGCGAAAGCAAAATCGTTAATCAAATTTTTTTTTCAAACGAATTTTTACCTCATGTACAAGGTCGGAAATGGCCCATAAGGCCATTGCGTCGATGAAGTACGGCGGATATAAATGTAATCACCTTTCTAATACTACAGAGAACACGAGGAAGTGCAATAAGAGCAGGTTGACTCAAAGTTCTTTTAAATAAACGAAAAATTACTTAATTGCGTCTATCATTCTGTGGACCCCAAAAAAGTCAAAAAAATGTCATATCTCAGTCAAGGCAAAATTTTGTTCCAAAATCGCAACGGGACATGATTTCTCGTTTAATTTGTCACATTTCATCTGTTGAACATTATTCGATATCATTTAGTACAAGGAAGATAATCGCTAAAAACAGGGTGCGTCTATCATTTCGTGGAGCAGTATATCTTAGAAAAAATTTATTCTAAATTTGTGCCAAGTTTCATCAAAATCTGAGCGTCGCACTTGGAGTACTTCCCCTGTAAGTTAAACAGGGTGGACCACTCCGAACTTCCAAACTTGTTTCAGGTACTTGGTTTAGTGCACCAATGTCTATAAACTTCATATAAAATGGAATCGAGACAACCGATTTTTTGTCAACCAAATATGACGGGTCCACTTTCACGGAAGCCCCCGTACTAAAAATGTTGCAATGATTTTCGTTATGCGTTCAGTCTTTACCGGTTTCGAACCTACGCGCTCTACTCCCCAAAACATTTTTTAAGCGTGTTTTACTCCCACTGCACCACACAACTTTCGATCGATATTTCTCGTCGCACAGGCAAGTAGAAAAAAACGGATTCCTAGTAAAATTTATCTGCTCTTTCAGAAACGTAGGTCTCATTTGCGGATCCCACGGATCGTTTGGACCATTCGTTTGTAAATTTCACCGATTTCGGGCTCTAAAATTTGGAATAAAGATGTCAAAGGTCAGCACGGTGGCCTCTGTGAACGCAGACCCCGCACAGCGTTCTGTACTTTTTTGGAATGATTTCGACACCGATTTTTTTGAATTTTTCTAAAATAGCCCGCATTTACGCGGGTGTCGCGAGGGAATACTGTAAGATTGACATGTAAAATTTGCAGTGTTTATGGAGTAAAGAGAGATCTTTCCAACGATACAACTTACGTAAATTAATACAGAAAAAGAAATTTGTAAGCAGCGCTGAAAAATGACCGACTTTGGATTTTCGGCGCTAAAGATTTCCCTTAGGCAGATCTTTTAGGAGAAGTGGATGGTACCACCTTATGCGGAATTTAATTCTCTACAACATATCCAAAAACTTCAAAATTTTACTGCTTTTCCGTCGAATTATGCCTCAAAAATGCAATTTTTGCACTAGTTTTACCAATATTTAAAAAAAATTTGCACTTTAAGGGTAGTATTGCAAAAACAGAGTCGTACATATTGAAGCTTGCATGGTAGCTGAGCATACTGCTCAATTTTACCCTGTCATCTTTCTCCATCTTCAAGAACAACGGAGCTAAAGTTTGGTGCTTGGACCCAGCATAAAAATGCCCTAAGGGCGAATTTCAAAAATGCGATAGTGCGACTGAACGTAGAATAAGCGTTCAAACAGCCATGCTCAAAAGGCAACGATTCAATTCCTTCTTCTGTAACTGCTCCGAGAAATCCATGCAACATCATGTAATCATAAATGTGTTCATGAGGCCACCGATGTTTCAAACTATTCCGGAAACTTCCGACGTTGATTTTTTCCTCAAATTTGGAGTACCTGTAGTACAAAAAATTCTATGTTCAGTGGCAATATCGCATTTTTGAAATTTGCCCTTAGGGCATTTTTATGCTGGGTCCAAGCACCAAACTTTAGCTCCGTTGTTCTTGAAGATGGAGAAAGATGACAGGGTAAAATTGAGCAGTATGCTCAGCTACCATGCAAGCTTCAATATGTACGACTCTGTTTTTGCAATACTACCCTTAAAGTGCAAATTTTTTAAAAATATTGGTAAAACTAGTGCAAAAATTGCATTTTTGAGGCATAATTCGACGGAAAAGCAGTAAAATTTTGAAGTTTTTGGATATGTTGTAGAGAATTAAATTCCGCATAAGGTGGTACCATCCACTTCTTCTAAAAGATCTGCCGAAGGGCAATCTTTAGCGCCGAAAATCCAAAGTCGGTCATTTTTCAGCGCTGATTACAAATTTCTTTTTCCATATTAATTTACGTAAGTTGTATCGTTGGAAAGATCTCTCTTTACTCTATAAACACTGAAAATTTTACACGTCAATCTTACAGTATTCCCTAGCGACACCCGCGTAAATGCGGGCTATTTTAGAAAAATTCGAAAAAATCGGTGTCGGAATCATTCCAAAAAAGTACAGAACGCTGTGCCCCGTAACATTTGGTTGACAAAAAAGGGCTGTCTTTAACTTCAATTTTATAGAAATTGGTGCACTAAACGAAATACCTGAAACAACTTTGGAATTTCCGAGTGGCCCATTCTGAACCTGGTGATTTCTTAATGAGATATTAGGTTGATGCAAAAGGAATTGCGGATTTTTTAATTTATTCGTATTTTTTTATAGGATAGCTCAATTCAAAAATGGAAAAAGGTATATAGTAGTAAATTTTAAGAGGATTTTTTCTGTATATGTGCTATTCTTATAAAAGTTATCAAACGTTACCATAAGTTACCACGAAAGTACCCTAAACATGTTAGTATATTTTAAACCAATTTTTTTACATATTGTTTTGCGGCTTTATCCATTTTTGAAAATATTTTGATAAAATACGTTATATTCTATCAAAAAACAAAAAAACCCCCATTTTTGGCAAAGCGTTAAAACGCTATCCCAAAAATTCAAATTTCAGCAAATTTTGCAAATCGTGTCATATCTTTTTTTTTATAAGTCCAAAATAAAAAATTCTTTTTGCTTTCGATTAGTAACAACATTTTTAAGATTTTTGTGACAAAAAACATCAAAATCAAAAAAATTTATTTTTTTGACATTTTTTGACCAAAAAATAAAATTCAAGATTTTGATGTCTTTTTTCACGAAAGCCTTAAAAATGTTGTTACTAATCGAAAGCAAAAAGAATTTTTTATTTTGGACTTATTAAAAAAAAGATATGACACGATTTGTAAAATTTGCTGAAATTTGAATTTTTGGGATAGCGTTTTAACGCTTTGCCAAAAATGGGGTTTTTTTTGTTTTTTGATAGAATATAACGTATTTTATCAAAATATTTTCAAAAATGGATAAAGCCGCAAAAAAATATGTAAAAAAATTGGTTTAAAATGTACTAACATGTTTAGGGTACCTTCGTGGTAACTTATGGTAACGTTTGATAACTTTTATAAGAATAGCACATATACAGAAAAATCCTCTTAAAATTTACTACCATATACCTTTTTCCATTTTTGAATTGAGCTATCCTATAAAAAAATACGAATAAATTAAAAAATCCGCAATTCCTTTTGCATCAACCTAATACTTGAGCATTTCTTACTTTTTAATATCGCAGTCATTCCTCTTAGCCTTCTTTCGTTTCCTTCCGGGAGTATATTCTGTTTTGAAGCGCCCTTTTAGTTCTGTGACCCCAGACATCTGCAGTTGTCGTAACGTCCTTATCCTTGATATAAGAGTCTCCATTTCACCCAAATCATCCGTAAATTCATTAAGCTCATCTTGAGTTAAGACTCGTCTTAATTTGGCCAGAAAAGGACGGCATTCCTCAGCTCTCTTCTTCGAGGGGAACGCTTCTTCATTTATCACAATGTACTTGTTTCTCTCATTTACATTGGTCTTCACGATCTGAAGGAACTCGCTGAGAAGTTGGTGCTCTCTGCAGATCGAATGATTTGTTATTCTGCGTTCCAAAATACGATTATAACGATGAACTCGGGCGACGCGAACAGCTGTAAAAAAAGCATAGACTTCGAACTCAACAGCAGGACCTACCATTTCTGAGCTGATCAACCTCTGTGTCATGAAACTGTTCTCCATTCAAGAATATCTTGCAAATAAAATCCTCTGCGCCATTCCGGTATTCCTTAAGCAACATTAAGGAATACACATTTCATGCTTACATGTTCAAAGTCGTCCCTTCTTGGATTAAACGCAACCAAATTCAGATCTTCTAAATCAAACCCTCTGATTTGTTGTCGGTTTAAAGGAGGGATATCTCTAGTGAAGAAATTCAAATAGGGATTGCTCATTCGACGTTTTAAAATTTCGCTGACCGTGAGAATCGATCGGACTTTGAACTCAGCTAAAGGCCCTAAACGTATGAATAACATCAACAAATGCTCCTTACTCTTTGGCTTTCCTCTTTTCGGGGTTGCATGATGTCCAGTTGAAACCTCTGGGGTCAAAATCGGCGGTTTATCCAACTTTCTCCGTCCTCTTGACTTGCTTCGCCCCGTAGATCGCGGTTTTCTAGGGGAAATAGAGAGTCGATCCAACTTCTTTGATTCCCTTCTTCCCGAAAGTTGCCGTTCGGACTAAACATTATGAGAAACCGTAATACACTTACCTTTACCTCCCTGGTAGGAGATACATCCCACTTTCCTTTCGACTTCTTTGGCGACTGCAATGACTCTCGCCTCCTCAAGGGATACCGATTGTCATCGAGATCTTCCTCTGGTTCAGCTTTCTCTTTATCATCACAAGCTAAAGAAGTGTTGGACAATTTTCTCGGTGTTACTCTCTTTTTCCTTTTTGGTGTTGCCTTTTCGAGAACTGGGATGTCAGCCTCCACCTAAAGAAATAAAATACCGTGCCCAGTACTTGCCTTGCCATCTTGCGCAACCTCTGATAACTTGCATAAAGATTGTACAAGGTAACAATCGTCAGCTTCGTTTCCGACGGGTGGATTATGATCTATATGTACGCTTGTAAACTTGCATACAAGATTTTCAATGGTCTCTTTTTTCACCTTTACGCCAGCCAGTGACTTCGGAACAACATTATGCTTATTTGCTGACTGTTTTTGCGGAATAAACGCAAAAAGTTTAGCAAATTCTGAAAAAAAATAAGTTCGCTTTTTGTCGAAATTACCGTTTTTGATTTCCGCATTCGACGTAGGCTTGAAGAATTCTCCAGTATATTCGTCAGCATCGGGAAAATCACATATATGGATTTTAGATCTGAAAGATTTACATAACGTTAACATAAAAATGAAAATTCCTACGGTTGGATGTGAGAGAGAGCGAGGTGGCCAAAAATCGAACTCAAAAAGCAACTATCGAAGTGTCGTTTGGCCTCTTGCACCGTTCTCTGTTTTTGAAATTCTTCCCAAGCTACAGCCGGCCTAAAATTAAATTATGTTTGAATAGATGCAATCCTTACCAATCATGGATTTTATTGTTCTGCAGACACTCCAAGAGACTCAAATCTTCCAAAACTCCCCATTCATCGCCTTCGGATTCGCTATAAGTAAATACCGCCGGTCCTGATTTGTGTATAAGTTGAAAATTGTGTCCACGTCGATGAGAACCTGTCTCTGCTCCCAATCGGAAACAGTCTATACACATTATGACACTTGGATGAGCACATTCCGCACACTTAATATGTGCTACTCGTGTCACTTCATCAAGGCATATAACACAAAAGACACTTTGTGGCTTCGGGGCAATCTGCTTCTAAAAATAAAGCTCATGCTTAATAGAAGAAAAAATACCTTTTGTTGTTTCGCAATTGGACCCTCGAGGACATTGACTGGTCTCATATCAACGATTACGTTCAATACCTTTGAATAATCGAACGTATCTCGCTTACACGGTCGCATTTCAACGGGAAGAACAGAGTTCCTCAACGAGAGCTCCGACACAGGGAACTCGCAAACGCTTATAAGATCTTTTATTTACCTATAGGTAAACGAATTTACAAAGATTCACATATAAGTTTAAAAAAGGCCGAGTCTATTCTGATTTATACTCCCCGTACAATGTTTTGACCCCCCTCCTAACTCCGTCCAAAGTGTACTAATTCGGACCAAATTTGGTATGTAGTATACTCACAGGCTAGTAACAAAAAATAACATAGCAAGACATACCTTATAGTTGAATTTCAAAATCTAGAGGCAATTTTCAAAAATCACCTTGAAAAATCGAGGAAAATGTTTTGACCCCCCTTAAAAAACGTTTGAAATCGCCAGCAGATGCAACGCAAGCCTATTGTAATCGACGTCCCATACCTGAATACAGGTTAATAAATGGTTTTCCGTTGAATGCTTTGTTGCATTTGAGGATTCAACGCGTTAAACCGTTTTTGATGTAGAGCTGCCCAAAATTGTAAAAATCTTGCCCTAGCGCTTTTCTAGAGCTCTAAATTGGGTTTATATTATGTGCTTTAGACCTGTGTTTACCTTCTCCTTTCAATAAAAGTGCATGGTGGCCTGGCGGTGTAGATTCGGCAGATACCCTCTTGTCATCCCAGCCTTGGTGAGCCATTTTCTCTTTGACTCAAGGTCGAGATGTGGTCGTTAGGTCCTCAATGTAATCCTGAGACTCCTAGTTACTCTCAGTAATATAAAATGTTTTGATTTGACACGTTTTGTAATGGGTTTCATTCACCTTAATCTTAACTTTGCCGTTACTGTAAATGACCCCGAGTACTATTACATCCCCACCTACCATTTGGCGTTTCATACGTCTCAAATGAGTATGGTGGGTGCTGTAGGGTCTTAAATTAACTGGTCTATCAAATGGAAGCCGTTTTTGGTGGCTAAAAATCCATTTGAAAAACGCGGGTTTTTCGTTAAGGTGCAAATCGGCGAAGTTGCATCTGCAAACCATATGAGACCGTGTCAGCCGGAGTTTATTCTTTGTTTGAGAGTAACTAGGAGTCTCAGGATTACACTGAGGACCTGACGACCACATCTCGACCTTGAGTCAAAGAGAAAATGGCTCACCAAGGCTGGGCATGACAAGAGGGTATCTGCCGAATCTACACCGCCAGGCCACCATGCACTTTTATTGAAAGGAGAAGGTAAATACAGGTCTAAAGCACATAATATAAACCCAATTTAGAGCTCTAGGAAAGCGCTAGGGCAGGATTTTTACAATTTTGGGCAGCTCTACATCAAAAACGGTTTTACGCGTTGACTCCTCAAATGCAACGAAGCATTCAACGGAAAACCATTTATTAACCTGTATTCAGGTATGGGACGTCGATTACAATAGGCTTGCGTTGCATCTGCTGGCGATTTCAAACGTTTTTTAAGGGGGGTCAAAACTTTTTCCTCGATTTTTTAAGGTGATTTTTGAAAATTGCCCCTAGATTTTGATATTCAACTATAAGGTAGGTCCAGCTATGTTATTTTTTGTTACTAGCCTGTGGTTATACTACATACCAAATTTGGTCCGAATTAGTACACTATGGACGGAGTTAGGAGGGGGGTCAAAACATTGTACGGGGAGTATACTTATCACGGCGGTTTCAAAAAAAACAAGATTTCGTGAAAATTTTTGGAAAAGAAACGAATGAAACGCGCGCAAACTGCGGAACCAAGTTATACGCTACCTTGGTTCTTCACCATTTTTTCGAGGAATTAAAATCGATTGATTTTGCCTGAAAACAGAGTAAAAATATAAAAACGACATTGAGGTAATGTTTGAGTGCTATTTCTGTCTGTATTTCATCCTTATATCAGCTTGTCGACACTAAAAAAAGTTTCTCAAAAAAATCTTATTTTCTTGTTTCGAGATGCGCCCGACCCTTCTCGGCTTGCGGCCACATTTGATACGATGGAACAATTACACTTTCAACATTTTCGCGTTTTACAGAAATATGCCCCATAGGTTTTTTCTGGAAACATTTAAAAAGAATCTAGAATCACCACAGATTCAGAAAAACCACATTCGGACGGAACATTTTCGGCTCCGGCGGCTCGTTCAAAAATTTTATAAGAGCGATGTCAATTTTTGTCATAAGTCCCAAATAATGCTTCGATGGTCTGAACCACTACTATATTGTTATTCAGTAGGATACCCTGTTTCATTTTACCGGGACGTGCAGACTCGTCCGGAAAGCTCGAGGATTAAAATTTACAGTAAAAAACAGTCATGTTTGGCCTCCGCGAGCTGCGCCCCCGCTTAAAACAGCACAAAACGAAGATCTCGCTTTTCTGTTGTGTGAAACCGCCGCGGTGTGTTATATTTTTTTTAAATTGGCGCGTTTCCCTGACTTTCGCTGGGAGGAAACATTGATTTATTTATTTCTTCATCGCAGACATCTAGCTAGATTAGTCCTCGGGTTCTCTATCGTTTTATCGATGAAACGATTGTCTTCTGCATCTACGACAGCCGGGATTTCGGCCAAGAAATCCAAGAAGGATAAGGTGCTGAGATTGTTTTGCATTTTTTGTTTATTTTATTTCTTCGTGTCTTTGTCGAGTTTGTCTTTTTATTTGTAAGCCTCAAACTTGGGAATGAACATGAGCAAATAACCAGCTAACCTCTCTCTTGGTGTTATTAGAAGTCTCTTCTTTTACTGATGAAATTTCTTAAATCGGTAAAAGAGGCATCGTCTGTGTAGGAGATGGTGTTGATGTCCACTGTCGTTCCTTTAGGACGGTGGATGTCGAGACTTCGAAATTTATCTTTGTTTTACGTAGGCTTTTATTTTCAGAGCTTCACTCATGTCGACTTTGAATTCATTGAGAAATCACGCGAGTTTGATGAGATATTCGCTGGTCTCAATTACACACTTCAAAAAGCATCAACGTCAAAGACATCCGAACATGTAGCCAAGAAGTTTGACAAGTTTACCAACGAGTTTGAGTCTCTTCAGAGCAAGATTAATAAAATGGAGAAGGAGAATAGTATAATGTTCTCAATTGTGGATAGAGTATTGGAAGATGGAGATGTTTCTGGTGAGGATGTAATGCTGATCAAGGTAAGGTTAGACTTCTGTTTATATTGCCTCTTTAGAGCGAGTATTGCAACTATTGTAATCTTACACTGGCCAATAAGAGATACTTCTATGCCCATATGGTTGAAAGGCACACTCTTCACCTACATCGTTATATCGCTTGCGTGTTGTGCAACGCAAGGTGTACGGATATGGATGCGTTGGATAGGCACGTCAAGACTCATTCTGCTGATTCGATATGCAAACTGTGTAACGAGGAGAAGCCAGACATGTCGGATCATATTTTCAATGCGCATGGATACGACGGTGTTGGCTATCTTCAATTAGGATGTGATTTCTGCTCTTACAGAACCAACAGTTGCACGTCTTTACAATTACACTGCTTCTTATGTTCTAATAATCCAACCAATTCGAACTATACACCGACTGAAGAGGGTAGGTGGTATGTATTATGTTATACGAAAAGTTATAGGAAGTGACTAAGTTATTGCTTTTGCAGGAAGGGTGTGCAATTTGTGTCACCAGGTGTTTACCACGAATCTCCAGATGTTGCGGCATAAGGAATCAAAGCATCAGCATGGTCATGACGACGGGGGAAACCTCAGGAACTTTGTTTGTGAAGAATGCGGACAGAGCTTCTTCAGCATCCGATCTCTTGGAGGACATAAGCGAAAACATTCAAGGAAAAAAGGAGCCCTCGAGGGAATGGTGATACCAGCATCCGTCAACATTGGATTGATGCTAGAACCAAAGATACGGCTTTCGGACAGAATGGTGAATGATTGCAGAAAATTTGAAAAGCATGAATTAGAAGACATGCCAGATCTTTAAATACGGTGTATATTTTTACCACGGGTAATAAATTTTTAAACTATAGTTTGGTTGTCATGGAAATCATGGGGTTCTGGGAAATTCGTGGCGTTGTCGGACTATCCTTCATTTAAGATGAAGGTCTTGTTTAGAGAAACGGATCAGTCCTTGATTGGAAATGGGTCGATTGTATTCGACTGGAGACCAGGGGGAAATCATATTGCGGTGGGAGGGTAAGCAAGATCACCAGCTTACTTTTCGTTTTTTAGAAACAATGGCGTCGTTTGTTTATACGATCGTTATGGGGAAAGAACTGAGGAAGTAAGGGGTGGAAGGTGAGTAGGCGACTTATAGATTTACTCATCTCTCCGATAGTAAGATAGATCTTTTGCGATGGGATAGCGAAGGAGAGATCTTGGCTATCGCAAGTGGCCAATCGTCCGCCGTTCAATTGTACGAGTTGGCGACCCGACAAATAATAACCTTGGACATATCCATGGGTACAAAGTAATTTACTCTCTTGTTGTCTATTCTTCGTTTAGAGGTCTACCCACCTTTATGCAATGGTCAAAGAAACATCAGGTACTAATTATAGGCACAAATCAAGGCAGTATCCTTATATACAATCATTATTCGTCAAAGTAAGGTCGTTTTACTATAACATGATAAAATGTTTAGAAAACTTCCATTGGTCGGTAAACATCAACGGGCAATTATAACTGGAGATTTTGATGAAGACATCTTTGCTTTGGGTTCAGATGATTTAAGTATTACTGTAAACAACTTAGAAGGAGAGACACTAAGCACCATCAGTTGTACAGCCGAGCCGACCAATCTAAAAATAAGTAAATTCAGAAGAGTTGATGCCGAAAGAGACAAGGAAGAACTTTTTGTGAGGAAAAATTAATAATTTTACAATTATTTTAAGATAAGCTATATTGTTGGCCATCGAACTTTGAGTATTGTAACAGCCAATGACACCTCGAGTCCCATCAGTCTTCAATTCCAAGACAAATATGGCCAGATTGTGGACACTAGCTGGCACAACAATGGAATGATCATGATTGCATTCGAAATGGGATTCCTGGTTGTATTATCAGCACAAGACTGGAATGATGTTAACCACGAGTTGTTTTCTGTCCAAGAATTCACTAGTACAATTACTTGCTTGTATACCAGTCTTAGTTGTGAACGTTTATTTTCTGGAGCTGATAATGGCCAGTAAGTTAACCTTGAAATAATTTTGGCTATTCTTCATTTGGGGCAGATTTCATTTGCGGCAGATCGGGTATCGGGCCAATATTTATAGCCAATGTTGCAGAAAATCGCGTCAAGACATTTCCGGAATTTGGACACTTCCGGAACCGGGGAAAAATCAAAGATAAGGCTTAGACCTATCATCCGAATGGATTGACCGTTATTAACTTCGGAAATTTTTAAATTTTTTTTCTAATTGTTACTTTTTTTATGTAGTAGTGTTACTAACAAGTCATTTTTTTTGTAAGTCATTTTTTCAAATTTTTCTGAAAATATTCGATTTAGTGGTTTTCGAGGGTGCTGATTTCGAAAATCATGTTCATTTTTTCTGCACTTTACTAGCTCGCGATCTAGGTCGTGACCGAGGTCAAGGAGGTTGCCTAAAATTACCCGAAAATGGTCTCAATGCTTGACTATGATGGTCAAGACACTTTATTTAGGTCAGGTGGTCACCAAGCTTTTTTTTTGAACAACTAGTAACATTATTTTCAAAGGATTTTGGACATTAATTGTGACCTAAGCCTAGGTCGTGACCGTCATAGTCAAGTATTGAGACCATTTTCGGGTAATTTCAGGCAACCTTCTTGACCTCACGATCAGTCACGAGCTAGTAAAGCGCAGAAAAAATGAACATGATTTTCGAAATCAGCACCCTCGAAAACCACTAAATCGAGTATTTTCAGAAAAATTTGAAAAAATGACTTACAAAAAAATGACTTGTTAGTAACACTACTACATAAAAAAAGTAACAATTAGAAAAAAAATTAAAAAATTTCCGAAGTTAATAACGGTCAATCCATTCGGATGATAGGTCTAAGCCTTATCTCTGATTTTTCCCCGGTTCCGGAAGTGTCCAAATTCCGGAAATGTCGCGGAGCCGCAGAAAATATTTGCACGGATTTCAGAAATCTGCCCCTAATATACCCTTTTTGACAGACAAGATGTCAAAGTTTTGTGTGACATGTTTGTGAAAACAGAATGCTATACGGTGACGTCACCGTATAACATTTTCACCGCGGTGACAATTACCTTTCAGAGTGAAAGTCCGCAACACTTCCGATTTGGCTCAATTGGTTGAGATTATTGATGGAAATGGAGACGGGAAGCCTGTCAGCCGGGTAGCCTGTTCTGAAGATGGCACTCTGGTTGCTGTGGCTACGGAGACGCCAGCCTTGCTCGTATATCTTACCAAGATTCCGCTTGTTTATGCAACTTACCGTAATAAAGTTGCCATCCTGAGTTCTCTGACTGAGGTTTCCATTTACGAAGATTCTAATTCGGTAGGAGATAAAATACGGCATTTAAATTTTTGGAGTTTTAGACCAATTCGACTTCTTTCAATGCCAAATTAGAACCCTCTATATTAGCCTTGGGACACCGCCACATTGCAGTTGCCTTCAACAACCGCATCTGGTTCTACGAGTACAAGGGACAAGGTATGTAATGAATGGTTACTCTGCTCACAAATTTGTTTAAAGTTGTTACTTTCATGGTCGAAGAAGAATACATTACCACGATCAATCAGATCAAACTGAACAAGGAATATGTTATGGTTGTCTTGGATAAAGGGGTCCAATTGCATCCGGTAATGTCGTCATTGTGGCAGAAACATTTTATTTAGATTGTGAAATCTGATGAAGAAGATCATATTAAGATGTTTCCGGAGGACACCAAGGACAATGAGAAGCTTCTTCAGGCTGATCTCATGGATAAATTCTTCGTTTATTCGACGGATGTAAGTTTTTGAAATTTGCGATGTGCTTGACTGATTATTTTTGTTTTAGAAGAATCGATTACGGTATTTTTCGCTGGCAGATTGGGCATATTCTGCGGATTACAGACACAGTAGACACGTGACTTCTATCTTTGGAGAACCCAGTGGGATCCGTACTGTCTTCTTTGATGACAATTATGACACCTTCTTATACCATCCCTCAGATGACGAAGCCTACAGATTCCCGGACCTCAAAGCCAGTTCTCGGGTATGCTTCCTTCTTACAGGGGAAGTACTTCAAGTGTGACGCTCAGATTTTCTTTAAATTTTGCACACACATCGGGTATGGACTAAATATCAATTCCTGAAAGTTTTAGCTCGCGCTTTGCGGGCGCCGCCGAGATATCGAACGATTTTTGTCGCCGAGAGAGCACGCTAAACGTGGAGAGCGGTCAGAGAGAAAAGCGCTTTTTTGGCCATAACTTTGGCAGTTTCGTGCGGAAAAATTTGATTTTTTGTAGAAACATTATCCTTTACAGTTGAAATAGGCATGAAACTTTTCGTGCCGAAATTCGGCAAAAAGTCCTAAATTTTCGCCGACTTTTGATCTAAAAATCTCGGCTGTTTCTGTAAAGCGCGAGCTAGGATTCTCGCATATATCTTAGAAAAAATTATTCTAAATTTATGCCAAGTTTCATCAAAATCTGAGCGTCACACTTCAAGTACTTCCCTTGTTAGTTACATTGTAATTAAATGTAACTGCTAGTAATAAGGCTTCTAAAAATGCCCGTTCAGTATAAAGCCTGTTTCTGGGAAGCATTCACAGTCGATAAAGATTCGATGATTCTGACTGACTCCACAAATATCTACGCTTTTGTTGCCTCAAGAAACAGCCACGGAGAGCAGACCTTGAACATAATTGGAGTTGTCAAAATACCTGCAGGAAACATCCCTCTATCACTCTGCAAAGGCATTGTTACGTGTTACACCAGCAATGGGAAGTTGAACACCATATTATTGAATACTCACAAAAGCGATATAATAACTGAAGGGAGGAATCGTGATCAGGTAAGTTGAGGTGATCTGAGAAGTTATGATCAGTTGATGGAGTCCTTAAATCATTTCATTAACCTCAAAAGGTGGAGAAATGCATGGAAATTATGTGATCAGATGAACGACAAAATTGCGTGGGAGAAGTTAGGAGAAGCGGCGATCAGAGAATTGAATATGGAGATGGCAATCCGAGTATACAGACGGATGGGAAAGGCGAGTATGGTGATGTCTTTGGAGGAACTGAAGGACATTGAGGAGGAGAATCTGCTCAGTGGGCATCTACTCTCCTTATTGGGCGAATTCGAGAAGGCGGATGAACTCTTTTGTCTCTCATCCGAGCCTTGGAGGGCATTGGAAGTGAGTTATTTCGATTATAAACACAGTTGTAGATGAGAAGGAACATATTAGATTGGGATCGGGCTTTACAACTCGCCAATGAAGTTGCTAAAGACCAGCTTCCTTATGTTTCCTTGGAGTATGCAACTCAGCTAGAGTTTATGTAAGTCGTCTTACAATTAAATTAACATGATAGGGGGCAATACTCGGATGCACTGGGATACTACGAAGATGCTCTTCTTCCAGCAGATGAAAGCAATACAACTGTGGCCGAGCATAATAACACTTGTTTGGCTGGGCAAGCGAGGATGTTAACAAAATTAGGAGAGGTACAGAGGTAACAAGGCTCTATTATTACATTACAGGGTGTTTCAAGAAATTTGGCAGAAACTAATTGCGAATATCTTTGAGCTCTTGCTAGTTATCGCAGAAATTCTTTTTGTTTCTAAAACTTGATATCGGGCGGTTTTGTACTGAACAAAAAAAAAATTTTTTTTCGTCGGCGGAGGGGCCAGTTCTCGGCGGAGACATTTGGGGCCTTTTTTAAAAATCACACCTTATTACACGGTGGAAACTCTGTTACAATGGCCAAAATTATGTTTACGTTACACCTCCGTGGATTTTGCGGTATGCTTTTTTTGCGTTTTCGATTTTACGCAACATCCGCGGAGGCGCGGCGGAGACTTCAGATTTCGGCGGACTTTGTTTTGGGCCCTCGGTTTTTGCAAATCCATGTTGGAAAAAAGGTTGGGGCGATTTTTTGTTGTCATCCGATGCACAGATGGCACGCCAATTTATTTTCTTCAAAAACTATTTTTGTGAGCTGCGCCCGAGTTTGTGAGAATGTTGGTTGCCATTTTATACAAAGAAGGCAAAAATTCCGTTTTTGGTGAAAGCAACCGGTGAAAAGAGAAATTAGTGCAGAATTTTAAGTGTTTTCAGAAAAAAGGACTGTACTACCGCATCTTGGCAACTGTTGCGCAATAATTAAGGGTAAAAATTGAGATTTTTTCCGTTTTATTGAGAATCCTTTAAATCAACAAGAAAAATGAGATAAATTAGGAAAATATAATTAAGATGTAACATCAAGATCACCTGATCACCTTCGGCATTGGACTCGTAGATTTTTTGACTGGATTTGCTGGATTGACTTAGTCTTGACTGGTTTGAATCAGGGTTTGATTGAAACTGACTGGTGTTGTTGATGGCGATTAAAAAAATCCGGCACATGAAGAACTGTCGATCCCGTTTGTCAGCTCTTTAATTCGCCACGTATCTTTTTTTGCAATTTTTCCGCTTCTTCTGTGAGTTCCCGAAGTTTTTTCCCTGAGGCAGTTGCCACGGCCGCCCGTTCACGCTGACCATTCATCGAGGCAGTAGGAGTCCTTCTAGGAGTCAACGAAGCATTTATGATGTCATTTAGAGCGTTCTGCAAGCGAAAACACCAAAAAAACTCAAAATTTCCATTTTTTTGCCCTTAGGACCCTTATTTTGAATCCATTTTTATCAAAAAGTACGCTGCCGATTTCCGAATTTTCAACGGCATTTGAAAGCGCACGTTAGATTCTATGTAATATCTAAAAACGGAACCAATCTCAGAGAAAAAGCATACCTCATTGGTGGAAAAGGTGAAATTTCCATTATTTTGGGTTACTGTAGAATCGTCCTGGTCGGCGGTCAATTGCTTCAAGCGCCTTGGATTCACGCATCTTCTGGAGCCTCAGATCCCGCTGTCTCTTCCTGTCTAGGTTGACATTCCTGAAGGCGTTGATTCCGCTCTCAGATTGCGAGAATAAGTCAAAACTCATCTGGAAAAATTTAAAATTTCACAATTTTTGACTTGTAACACCCGCGGCTTCTCTGAAAGTTTTAAAAAATTATGCCCATCTGATAGAGCATGAAAAAATCTACAATTCTATAGACTCAGAAGTTAAGGTACCGAGCCTCAAAAAAAAGTTATGAACGAAATAAATTACCTTACTCCAGGGGTAAACATTAAAGATGCCGCCAAATATGGCAGAGATTTATTTTGTATCTGTCTTGAGTGTACATTTTTCGATTTGTCTGTTATTCTTCTTTACTTTGTGCAATTTTTGCGATGATTGACTTTTTTTCTGCCAAGATACGGTAGGTGTTTTACTGAGGGAAACACTTGACCAAACGGGCCAGGGAGACACTTGGCACGAATTATTTTTTTGATTTTTTATAGAAGAAAATAAATTGGCGTGCAGATGGCAAAAATTTTGCAAAACAAAAGTTTGACTCTTTTGATAAAGCCTCCGCCGAATCCTCCGCCTATGTGTCCGCCGGACCAAAAAATAAGAAAAATGATGTTGTTGTGATGGATTCTTGTAGCTGAGTTTTTTTCCCGGACTCCTAAGACTGTTCTGACCCTTTGATAAAGCCTCCGCCGAATCCTCCGCCGGGGAAAAAAGCGAAATTTTTGCATCTGTGCATCGGATGACAACAAAAAATCACCCCACACTTTTTTCCAACCTGAATTGAATGATCCAAAGACTCAAAACGACGTCCGCCGAAACCTGATTTCTCCGCCGTGCCTCCGCGGATGAGCGAAAATCGAAAACGAAAAAAAGCATACCGTAAAATCCACGGAGGTTTAACGTAAACATGATTTTGGCCATTGTAACAGAGTTTCCACCATGTAATAAGGTGTGATTTTTAAAAAAGGCCCCAAATGTCTCCGCCAAGAACTGGCCCCTCCGCCGACGAAAAAAAATTTTTTTTTGTTCAGTACAAAACCGCCCGATATCAAGTTTTAGAAACAAAAAGAATTTCTGCGATAACTAGCAAGAGCTCAAAGATATTCGCAATTAGTTTCTGCCAAATTTCTTGAAACACCCTGTATATTATGTGCTATGATTTCAGGGGTCTCCAAATAGCATCACAATTAGCTGACAGACAAATAAAAAGAGAGTGCGGGATAATTCTGGAACAAATGAGACTGTATTCAGATGCTGCCCAAATATTCGAGGTTGGGAAATACTACGATCGCGCGGCTGTGGCCTACATTAAGTCGAAAAACTGGTAAGAGTTGTAAACAATGAGAGACTACTGTAGCTTAGGATGCGGATATTGCCTATTGAAGAGCATGTAAAATCCCCAAAAGTTCTCACTCAATACGGAAAATTACTTTTGGCTGACAAAAAATACGAACGTGCGTATCAGGTATTCCAACGTGCCAGGAGCCATGATAATGTTGTTATGGTGCTTCTCAAACACATGAACCGAGTCGATGAAGCAGTTGAGATAGCCAGAGAAAGTAGAAGCCTGGATGGTCTCAAGATGATTGCAAAGTAGGTATTATCCGCAAAATATCACCATCTCACGATCAGGTTCTTCACTGACGTTGGAAATGACGACTCGGCCATAGAATTTTTGGTTCTTTCCCAATGTTTCCAAGAGGCTTACAATCTTGCCCTATCCACCAAAAAGATGGAAGTATATGCATCGGCCGTAGAGGATCATGGGTCAACCCAACAATTTTTACAATTGGCTGATTATTACAATGCTGTAAATAAGAATGCAGAGGCCGGAAGGTTTTATGGGCTTGCTAAGGAATACGAAAGTGTAGGTCATCATTTTCGGATATTATTTTTGTTAAGGCGATTAATCATCTCATAAAGGCTGGAGACAACGAGGAAGCGATCATGGATGCAGTCGACTTCACGGCTCAGTCAAACAACTCAATTCTCGTTGAAAAAGTTGTTCATTATTTAATGGGAGAACCCGAAGGAGTCCCCAAGGATCCCAAGTTTTTGTTTCATCTTTATACAAAGTTGGGAATGCATTCCAAAGCCGCCAAAATAGCGCTGATCATAGCCATGGATCAACAGAACAGAGGTTCTTACAAAAGTGCTCATAAATTACTGTTTACTATGAGGCAGCAACTAAAAGATCAGAAGATTTACATTCCCATGGAACTCGAGGACTGGCTTTTCATCTTGCACAGTTATATATTAGCAAAGGTACAGTGGTAAAGGTGTAAAATTTATACTTCACGCATTTAATTTGGATCGATCTGGATCTCAAAAACTAAGGAGGGCCTGAACTTTATTCTTTTTCTATAATCTACAGGGTGTTTCAGAAATTTTGGACAAAATAAGCTGCTTATATCTTTGTGTTCTTTGCAGCTATCAAAGAAATTCTTTTTGCATCAAAAAATTGACGTCGTTAGTTTTTAGAATCCCTAAAAAAATTTTTTTTTCGTCAGCGGAGGGCCCATTTCTCGGCGGAGACAATTAGGGCCTTTTTTAAAAATCACGTTGCATTACGTGGCGGAAGCGCCGTTGCAACGGCTGAAATCAAGTTTACGTTACACCTTCGTGGATTTCACGGTGTGCTCTTTTGCTTTTTTGATTTTACGCACATCCGCGGAGGCGCGGCGGAGACCTCAGACTTCGGCGGACATTGTTTTGGGCCTTCGGCTTTTGCAAACTCATGTTGGAAAGGAGGTTGGGGCGATTTTTGTTGTCTTCCGATGCACAGATGGCAAAAATTTCGTACTTTCTTTCCCCAGCGGAGGATTCGGCGGAGGCTTTATCGAAGAGTCAAAGCAGTCTTATCGTTAGGAGTCCGGGAAAAATCTCAGCTACAAGAATCCATCAGAGCAACATCATCTTTCAAAGATTTCTGATTTTTTTTTGGTCCGGCGGACAAATCGGCGGAGGCTTTATCAAAGGGTCAATGTGTTTGGGCTTTATTGGAATTTTCTTATCGCCTTTGTTGTTAACTCTTTTAATGGAAAGTGTCGTACGAAATAGTGCAAGAAATTGATGCGCTCAAAATATTATTTGGTCCAAATTAAATACGCGGAGTATATTTTTAGAGACATGTGGCCGCAGGGAATCATTTGAATGCGGGTAGACTTTTAGTCCGTGTGGCCAGGAATGTAAGCAGATTTGTGCAACGTAAGTTAGGAGATATGCAGCTGCCATTGTCTTATAGATGAAGTCCAGATATTAACATCGACAGTAATCACATGCGCAAAGGCCAATCTTCGGGGAACAGCATACGAATTGGCCACAAGGTTAATAAAGCCAGGAATGCGAGAAAAATTGGACAAGAAATACAAACGCACCATCGAGACTATAGTCAGGTTAGATTAATGGCAATGTATTTAAGCGTTGTTCAATTTCAGAAAGGCGGAGAATGTAGCTGATCCTCCCGAAATCATGACGTCATGCCCATTTTGTGGTCATTCGGTCCGAGAATTTGAAACTCTTTGTGATGGATGCAAGAATACCCTCCCGTATTGTATAGTGACGGTTTGTTTGCAAAAAATCTTCTACTTAAAACACGTTTTTTGAGAAGATCGAGCATTGAGAGCCAGGCTGTGCACACGAAACAAGATGTTACAGGTGGCTCTTGATATCAGTACCAAACAGTACTCGTGATAAGAATTACAGATCGCTTGAAAAAATTTGTGTTTTGGGTTACTGTAGGCGTACTGTAGCATTTTCAAGTTTTCAGTCTCGACAAACAGCGTGTCGCATCAACCCCGGATCTTTTTCATAATAATATTATGAAGCTAGTTCGAGTCCTAGCGGGACTCGAAGGACTATCTAACGGGGCTTCCGGACAAACTTTACGGTCGATTTTCTCGAAAACCAGGGCCCAGATGGAAAAATTGTTTTGGCTCTTACCGTTTTCGAGTATGGAGAATGAGAATATACCGGTCCCATAACTCAACTCAATTGCGATTTGAACGACTTCCCTCGTAAGCAAGTCCATAGTTGAATATATTTTTCTGCACTTTGATTTAGTGGCTGAAAAAAATTAGCAATATTATGCAAAAAAACTCCTGTTTCAACTTTATTTCCAAACAGTGCCCTTTGTTGATTACGTTTAAATTGAGTTAAAGCATTCCTTACATCACGACGACTCCAACGGTATACATTTTGTGTTTGAATGATGCGGGACCACACTTGAGAAATGCCCCAGGAAAGTTCATCATCATGACATTACCGTAGACCGAAATTGCAACCCTAATATGTTCTAAAACCGTTTTTGAGACTTTTTATACAATGGCTTAGGGCATTTACAGGATTTCGTGTATTTTGTCATTTACAACAAAAAAGAGACGAACAACACTGTAGTGATTAATCTCCCATACAAAAATAAAATACGTTACCTGTGTTTCCCACATCGGTAAGAGGTCTTACGCGACGTATTAAAATAGAAAAATTTAATTTTTCTAGGAAGGTCGTGAAGCTTATTGAATAAGCCTAGAAATTATCGTTCACAATTTTACAAGGTTCAGAAAGGGATCTCCTGGCTATTTCAATTCTGCAGTAGTATTTATGCAAGTTTACGTTGTGATGTTTTTTTACGTTAAGAAGTTCAATTCCTTTGACTATAATTTTAAAAATATCTTACAAAAATCGCCTAATTTTTCGAAATGTGGAAAGCATTTTTAATTAGATGAACCCTAGCGGACCTATGTATTACGGTCGGTAACTATTTTGGGTTACTGTAATGTCATGATGACTTAAGTTTCCATAGGCATTTCGTACAGCCCCGCTTTTGAGGACAAATTGGTACCGTTCGAATCGTCGTGATGTAAGGAATCTATTAACAAGGGAAGTACTTGAAGTGTGACGCTCAGACTTTGATGAAACGTGGCACAAATTTAGAATAATTTTTTCTAAGATATATGCGGGAATCCTAGCTCGCGCTTTGCAGAAACAACCGAGATTTTTAGATCGAAAGTCGGCGAAAATTTGGGACTTTTTGCCGAATTTCGGCACGAAAAGTTTCATGCCTATTTCAACCGTAAAGAATAATGTTTCTACAAAAAATCAAATTTTTCCGCACGAAACTGCCAAAGTTATGGCCAAAAAGCGGTTTTCTCTCTGACCGCTCTCCACGTTGAGCGTGCTCTCTCGGCGGCAAAAATCGTTCAATATCTCGGCGGCGCCCGCAAAGCGCGAGCTAAAACTTTCAGGAATTGATATTTAGTCCATACCCGATGTGTGTGCAAAATTTAAAGAAAATCTGAGCGTCACACTTGAAGTACTTCCCCTGTAAGCTAATTTAAAAGTAATCAAATATGGGGACTTTTTGCAAAGCAAGTTGAAAAAAATTAAGATTTTTTGCTTGTGCAAATTTTGCAGCAACTAAACCAAGGTGCAGGAAAATATATTCAACTATGAAACTGCTTAGAATCTCAGGGTCTGTCATATGAAAAAAATCCGGAGCCAATCGGACCCGCCCTAATCAAATACAGCAAATATGAAAATACACCTCCAGTAAGCTAAAAAATCAAAATTAAAAAAATTTATAATCGTTAGTCCAGGTACTACTAGTCCGTTCGCAAAGTCGCTGGAGTTATTTTCGCGACATGCACTCTTCGAAAACAAAAGTTCACTTTCCACTGTGCAATTTTTGGCTTTTTGCACCGTGCAATAGGCTTTTTCGGGCTGTCGCCCGCACCCTGACTTTTCTTGCACAGTGCACGTCGCCGAAATCAATACAGCGACTCTGCGCACGGACTAGTATCATTGGTGACACTATGAAGATCATGCTCTGAATTCTTGTTTCGTGCGCACTGGGTGTTCGACTCTCGCATAATCTGTTTTAATCTTTTAGGGAAAACATGTTATCGACTCCGACTTCTCACTTTGCTCATCGTGCAAAATGCCAGCATTCTGTTCCGAATTGCAGAAGTGAGTCTTTTGCGGGGGTTTTCCTGACAAGGTTCAGTCAATGCGGCATTCCGTCACAGGTAGAATTTGCACGAATTTATATTTTCGGAAACCACCTTATTATTTTACGGTAGGTGGAATTTTCGGAAACGTTGGATTGATGTGTAAAACCGTCAAGGAGTAAAGGGCAAAACCTCACTGTTTTACGTTTTCGACCATGGGGAACATTTTTACAATTGTCACTTTAATTGTAGGTGCAGCCTTGGATCACTTTTCAAAATGCAAAGGAACCATCTTAGATGGTCGTTTTTTGGAAATGTCCTTTGTTATGAGAAGCTTCAATCTGAACAAAACTCTCTATTAAATTTTTCTTGATTTTTGACAATGAGACCAATTTTGTCCACCAAAAATCCTTCAGAAAAACTTTGAACGTCTAAAATCTTTTCTGAATCGATAGTATGTGGGCGAAACGTCTAAACCCGTCAGGAAATGCGCCGCCCCTCCCCCTTTTTCCCTCACACCTCGTGACCCAAAACACTCATTCGGTCACATGGACGATCATCTTTCTTTTTGTTTAGATTGGAACGATCAGGGGAACCATGCCCCATGTGTCAATCCTCCGTGGGATCACCTGCGCCTATCAACATAAAACTCTATTTGAATATGGAAGGAAACAATAAGCAGACTACGTGAAGTGAACCATGGATACTAGCATTTTGTTACTGGGACCAAACCTTTATGATAAACACTGGTAGTAAAGCATTTATTGGAAACAAATAACCAGCGATCCAAATAACATGTAAAAATCAATTAATATTATTATCAACCAAGGCAAATTTAACAAAATCCCGTCTTTAAACTTCAGTAAACGTAACTAAAAGTAACTTCTCTTACTACCTAAATTGGACTCCAAATGGAATCGAGGATAAATTATGTACAGGAGTCTGTAAAAGATAACAGACAAATTTGGGGAGAATGTACAAGGTAAGGATCGCTGTCTTTTCATGAGATCTAGGCCACGAGCATGGCCTCTCCGGCAGCATCAATATATTGAAACTTTCCATCAGCACCTTCTGACAGAGTACGGTTTCTTCTGGTAGAACTAGAAGAAAGAAACTCAATAAAATCGAGCAAAGGACTCACTTTTTTGGCAATTTTTCAGTGAGGCCGTCAGATATCAAACCAGACTTTTTACACTTCTTGACCCAGACATCGCAAAGGGAATATGCCGCAGGAATATCAATCACGAGATCAGGAAGCTCCTTGAACAACCGAAGGAAACCAGGTTCAATGCACGATTCTAAGAGGTATCCGGTGTTCAACAGGTGCTGAAGAATATAAGTAATGGTAATTTCGCTTACTTTCAGAAGGCCTGCTAATTTCTCCATTGTGGTGTCCCGCATACGATCAAGTGCATAGAAACCCACCAAATAAACAAGTTCATGATGGAAATGAAGAGCATGAAGCTCCTTTAGGCGCTCAGAAACCTCGTCGGCATCACCACTAAGAAGAAATTCCCTGAGAATCTTTTCCATCTGATCCCGAAGTACTTCCAAAGGGGCATATGCGCCACAATCTTCAAATTTTCCTTTTAACAAGGCTTTATTGTTGAGGTACATATAAACTTCCAAGGCACAACTCCTGAAATTTTAATTTTGTGCGAGTTTCAAAATATTGCGTCATCTTACATTGCTTGCCGACTGTGATTCAACTTGCTTGTAATGTCATCAAACGCGATCCGGCCAATAACTCCATCAGAGATAAGCTTGGCAATCAAAGTTCCCAGAAATCCTCGGGCCTTAGGCATATCGTGGATGATCTCTTCCAATTCTAACAGAAGATCCTCAATGGCCGAAAGAACATTTCGATCCGAGAGATGGCCCTCGTCCAATAGAGCACAAAGCAATTTATATCCCTGAACGACTCGACCTTGATCGTAATCCAACGAACAGCGCATAACTTCCTTGGCCATACGGCTCTTCGACTCCCGGTCAAACAAAAGAACCGTCAGGTCTGCCTAAACCAGTATTTTGAAAAAAGTATAAAACAAGCTCACTAATGCACATTCAACGCTTCCATTGTTAAAGTATTCCTTCAGAGCCCCATGAACTTTCTCCACGTCAAAGCTGTACACATAATCAATATAATCTTCACTCAAATCCCCTCCATCTTCCACATCGGACTCATCAATGACATCTTCCTTTTGGTTGACATAGTCATCAAGACCATATTCAAAGCGGTTTCCATCCTTCTTCGAATAACACCCGCTGACGCCGCGAGACCTCGCCTTCCGATCAGCCTTGACATTACTCGTTTTCGGCTTGGCCGCACTTGGCTTCAAATCTGAGGTACTTTTAGAGCCTAAACACTGAATACTATATTAAAATACAGTCCTCACGGTTACGCGAGTTGATAGCAGCCGCTTTGGCTTCTTCAGCCGAATTATGCTTTTTCACAGGAGCCGGCAATCCATTCTCCTTTGCATATAAAGCCTCAGCTTGTTGTTCCGGATCGTCATATCTCTCTTTCTTAGACTTGAAGACCTTCTTCACTTTGTAGCCATTCGAGTTGAAATCAAAAGATTCCATTGAAGAAATAAAGTCTTATTCGTAGTCTGAAACAAAAACAATTTACAACAGTTAAAGCCACGCTTGACTTTTGGTAACTTGAGTGATAAATGATAAAGTAAGGACACCCACACCCAAGGCAACCAAAACGACCGGCCACCACGAGGTCACAAGCGCGGTTGCGATTGCAAGCGATGGGCGGTGCCAAATTCTTTCACTCGGGATCCGATTTAGCAACTGGAATATTTCGTGTTGAGACCCGGAAATTTCTCCAGAAAATATAAAAAAGGAAAGAAAAAATTGATCAATTCTTCTCAAACTCGAGAAAGTTGTTGTTAATCTATCGAGGAATGGTGGAGTCTAATTCTGCAGTGTCCCAATATGCCTGGGATAAGGCTCATCGTACACGGCTTTCGATCGAATCGTACTATGCACAAAGTGCACTTCAATGTGCCGAAAGGGATCGAAGAGCCAAGAAGTTGGAAACACAGATGACTGAGAAAGGTAATACCGTTAGTTTTATTCTACTCATGATGTTAGGATTGAGCGAGGCGGATAAAGAAGAGAAACGAAAGGCTCAAGGAACCAAGGAATCCGATTACTTGAGGCTGAAAAGAACGAGGTTGTCGGTTACGGACTTTAGATCATTGAAAGTTATCGGTAGAGGGGCCTTTGGTGAGGTTCGACTTGTTCAAAAGGAAGATACAGGTCACATTTACGCCATGAAGATACTTCGAAAGTCCGAGATGTTAGAAAGAGAACAGGTAAAAATCTTTAATGCTTTGCGATGATGTTATTATTTTATTTTTTAGACTGCACATGTCCGAGCTGAACGCGATATTCTCGCTGAGGCGGATTGCGAGTGGATTGTCACCATGTATTTTTCATTCCAAGACGAATTAAATTTGTATTTGGTAATGGAATTCCTACCAGGTGGAGATATGATGACTTTGTTGATAAAACGGGACACTCTGACCGAAGAAGAGACATTATTTTATATTTCGGAAGCAGCTTTAGCGATTCAAGCGATCCACAACATGAATTTCATTCATCGGGATATTAAGCCGGACAATCTTCTGTTGGACGCGAGGGTATGGATTATGTTAAGTTTAATCTTTGTTGTTTAGGGGCACATAAAGCTGTCAGACTTTGGTCTATGCACTGGACTTAAGCGAATCCACCGAACAGAGATGTACCGGAATTGGCCATCTCAATTGCCATCAGATTTCTTTGCCAAAGGCTTCGAATCCAAGAGGAAAGCTGAGACCTGGAAGAAGAACCGACGGGCGTACGCTTATTCTACCGTAGGGACCCCTGACTATATTGCCCCGGAGCTATTCCAATCAAATGGATATACGAAGAGTTGTGATTGGTGGTCTTTGGGAGTGATTATGTTTGAAATGTTGATTGGATATCCGCCTTTCTGTTCGGAAACTCCACAGGAAACATACAGGAAAGTGTGTAATTGGCAGCAGACCTTGATATTCCCTCCAGAGATACCCATTTCTATTGAAGCAAAGGCCGTAGGTTGTTTCATTCTAAAAATATGCGAGGAATGCTATTTTTTAGACGATAAAAAGATTTTGTTGTGAATCCGAGAAGAGAATGGGCCATAACAAGGGTATTGATGAGGTAAAGCAATGTCCCTTCTTCAAGAGAGTTGACTGGGATCACATAAAAGAACTACCTGCGCCCATCCGGATAGAAGTCAGAGGAATCGCAGATACCTCCAACTTTGACGACTTTGGAGAATGCGAGCCCATTATGCGTAAGTTTTGGGGGGTGCGGAGACAGAACTCTTAAATGATTAAGCCATTAACACACGATTTATGTCCCATTGAAGCAGCTGTGGACGCAAGAAATTTTCTATTTTTGTTTGTACATGACCTATGAGTGTATACAGGGTGTTCCAAGAATTATGGAAAAAACTATTCGTTAATAACTTTGTGCTCGGTGGTCCAATCCAAAAAATTTTTTTTGCATTTTGCAGAAAAACCTTTGAGTTTTTAGAATCAAAAAAGATTTTTTTGTTTTATCGGCGGAGACTTCCGTAATCCGCCTTGAATTTGGCGGAGTGCTTTTTTCACAACCGAGGATGTAAAAATGGGTTCATTTCTTTCTCCGCCGATTCGTCGGCCGAATTGCTTTTTTTTCACCCAGTAGGGAGAAGAAATGAAGACGTAATAAGTCGTAATTAGGCGCCATGCCACCAGGAATACCATACGTTTTGGTTTTAGCCAATTTAAGTCGAAGAAAAATCGTACGCCGAGGTTAAAAAATGTCTCCGCCGAATGACAAAAATTTGAAATAAATCTCATTTTGTATCTTCTGAATCCTTTCCCACCCATTTTCTTCACACATACAACAATTTACAGCCTCATTTATGAAAAAAACACTCCGCCGAATTCAAGGAGGATTACCGAAGTCTCCGCCGATCAAAAAAAAAATTTTTTGTTGATTCTAAAAACTCAAAGGTTTTCCTGCAAAATGCAAAAAAAAATTTCGGATTGGACCACCGAGCACAAAGTTATTAATGAATAGTTTTTTCCATAATTCTAGGAACACCCTGTCTATAAAAAAAAAAGTTTTGTCCCCCTTCTAACTGTTTTGATGTCTAGGATTTAAAACGCGTTTTGCCACACTTTGGAGCTTAGCCTAACAGAGGGCGGACATTGTTAAAATCGGTGTCTCAGAATTGAACGAAAATTGGTCAACTTAATCACTGATAGGCACAAAACATTCGCTTTCTTTGTTTTTGTCCAAAATTACCGTATGACGGCATACTGTAACATCTTTTTTTAAAAAAGATATGCCCTAATCGAGAAAACGAAGCGCCATTTCAGCGCAAATTGAGTTCAAGTATATGTTTTCGATCATGTAGAACATTTTTGTAATTGTCACCGAGAACTAAAAAGTACATCTAAACTATGTTACACATGAGGCAACATACCATTTCGGGTATAAAAAATGCAGTTTGGACGAGGCGCAGATTTTGAAACCGGAATACTAAACCTCAAGCCTTGTCTAACAAACCATAAAAATTTCAGAAAGATCAAATATATAGTTTTTGAGATATCGGACATTCAATGTCTCATGTGCAAGATCACCTTGCCCCCGAAAAAATCTGGCATTCTTAGGTTTTTGGCTAGGCGCAGATTTTGAAAGTTTCCAATACATTTTTATGACATTTTAGGAGGATACAGCAAGTTTCAGAGGAAAAAAATGAATAATTTTTGAGAAATCGACCAAAATACCTTGTTTTAGGTCATCAGATGCCCGAAAAAATCTGGCATTCTTAGGTTTTTGGCTAGGCGCAGATTTTGAAAGTTTCCAATACATTTTTATGACATTTTAGGAGGATACAGAGAGTTTCAGAGGAAAAAAATGAATAGTTTTTGAGAAATCGACCAAAATACCTTGTTTTAGGTCATCAGATGCCCGAAAAAATCTGGCATTCTTAGGTTTTTGGCTAGGCGCAGATTTTGAAAGTTTCCAATACATTTTTATGACATTTTAGGAGGATACAGCAAGTTTCAGAGGAAAAAAATGAATAGTTTTTGAGAAATCGACCAAAATACCTTGTTTTAGATCACCGGAACACAGAATCGTAGCCATAGGCATACATTTGACAAAACTTTTGCAGAGAGCTCGAATTTATTGGTGACAATTTGAAGAAAAAAACAGCAACACACATTATCTCGGAAAAAGAAGAGATACCGAAAAAAATTGTTCGAATTTTCCAGCAACTTGACCTAAAACAAGGTATTCTGGTCGATTTCTCAAAAACTATTCACTTTTTTCCTCTGAAACTTTCTGTATCCTTCTAAAATGTCATAAAAATGTATCGGAAACTTTCAAAATCTGCGCCTTGCGAAAAACCTAAGAATGCCAGATTTTTTCGGGCATATGATGACCTAAAACAAGGTATTCTGGTCGATTTCTCAAAAACTATTCACTTTTTTCCTCTGAAACTTGCTGTATCCTTCTAAAATGTCGTAAAAGTGTATCGGAAACTTTCAAAATCTGCGCCTTGCCAAAAACCTGAGAATGCCAGATTTTTTCGGGCATCTGATGACCTAAAACAAGGTACTTTTGGTCGATTTCTCAAAAACTATTCATTTTTTTCCTCAGAAACTTTCTGTATCCTCCTAAAATGTCATAAAAATGTATTGGAAACTTTCAAAATCTGCGCCTAGCCAAAAACCTAAGAATGCCAGATTTTCGGGCATCTGATGACCTAAAACAAGGTATTTTGATCGATTTCTCAAAAACTATTCATTTTTTTCCTCTGAAACTTTCTGTATCCTCCTAAAATGTCATAAAAATGTATTGGAAACTTTCAAAATCTGCGCCTTGCCAAAAACCTAAGAATGCCAGATTTTTTCGGGGGCAAGGTGATCTTGCACATGAGACATTGAATGTCCGATATCTCAAAAACTATATATTTGATCTTTCTGAAATTTTTATGGTTTGTTAGACAAGGCTTGAGGTTTAGTATTCCGGTTTCAAAATCTGCGCCTCGTCCAAACTGCATTTTTTATACCCGAAATGGTATGTTGCCTCAAGTGTAACATAGCTTAGATGTACTTTTTAGTTCTCGGTGACAATTACAAAAATGTTCTACATGATCGAAAACATATACCTGGACTCAACTTGCGCTGAAATGGCGCTTCGTTTTCTCGATTAGGGCATATCTTTAAAAAAAAAAGATGTTACAGTATGCCGTCACACGGTAATTTTGGGCAAAAACAAAGAAAGCGAATGTTTTGTGCCTATCAGTGATTAAGTTGACCAATTTTCGTTCAATTCTGAGACACTAATTTTAACAATGTCCGGGCCAAACTACGATTTGTAATAAAACGCGTTTTAATCATTTGTGGTTTTTTGGAACCTATTATAATTTTTCTTTGCATTTAGCACCAGGGAATATTCCAAGTTCGTCATCTCATCCAGTTGTTACCGATAAGGGAGAGTTTCTGCATTACACTTTCCAGCGATTTCAATGTCTGACTCAGATTATGAAACGGGACAATAAAAGTCAGGTATGTCAGCAGCCCGTTGTTGTTATTTACTTTTGCAGCCACAAGTTCCTAATTTTGACCAAAACTCAACACGAAGTCCGAACGAGTTTGCCGATATATCATAGTAGTAATGTAAATATTATATATACGTGTATATTTTGTAATTTTATATCGAATGTGAGCTAATATTATATTAATAAAATTTATTTATGGCTTATCAAATGTCATGTTATTACAATAGAGAGATCGCAGAAAATAAGTAAAATTGGTAGTCAGAATAGTAACAAAAAACATAGGAAAAAAGTATACTATCTTGGACTAACAACCTGTAAATCACTGAGGAAAAGAATAAGTGAAACCCGGAAGTGAACTTGTTTGCCAAAAATATGGTAGACATTGAATGGATGGCAGTCAGTAGGTAATCATAGTTAGCCATACATCTCGTGCTGAAGCTGAGCTCTGTGCAACATATGTCTTTCTGGCCGTTTTCGTTTGAAAAACCCGCATTTGTAACAGATAAGGATCAAAATGGCCAAAAGAGAAAGTCCGACGAGAACGGCCAAGAGCAAGATCCAGATATTGAGCTTATCCTGCTGGGAAGGCCGATCTGGATATGCATGGGTGATGGCTTGAGCAAAGTTGTTGGTCATGTCCTCCATTATCCCTTGTTTTGGATCTACTTCGACCACTCCGTTCGAGGTTATGGCTACATATTCGATCTTCTGGAAGTCACTGCTGAAGGTCTGATTCCAAAGGCGAGACCTGATCTCTATTAATGCTGACTCATCGGTCCCGATGTAGTCGAAGTTACAAGTTAATGGGTAACAGATCGCCGATTCGTCTTTACAATTCTAAACATTGAATTTTAGACATCGAAACAAATGCTTACTATATCAACAATCTTGACGGTCGCACCTGAGAACTCAGTGACATCTTTAGTTTTAATGTTTTTATTGTCAAAGATGGATGCTGTGAGCTGGGAGACATCTTCTCCTTGTTGATATTCTTTCGAATTTAACTCTCTTTTCTCTCGATGAAGTTTCAATAGGCCATAAGTTGTACTGTAAGCCAGTTTCATTGTCTCGTCCATATAGATTTCTCTGGGGTTAATGGCCCTAAGATTCTTGTCCACTTTACAAGTTCGAACTTTGCCTCTATACCGAATTATAGGGTCTTCAAGGGTATATAACACCCATTCTTCATCGTTTGTGTTCAACTTCAATGGCCAGTTTATCTAAAAAAATGACCAAAAATATAAACAAATCTTACTGTAACTGTCACATTTTTTGCGTAGAACGGTCCATGATTAATCACCGTATAGGTATGCACAACCTCTGATCCGATGTCCTCTTCATATCTGGGTCTATAGTTTCCCTTCGAGAACCGTATGATCGATGGTTTGGACACTCCAATCAACTCCAGATCGGCTTCCTTTATCAGTTTTACCTGGGCGCTCCATTCGTTGTCTTGTTGGTATTCTTCGATAGATGTGCTGTTAGCAGTGACATTAAAGATAAGTTCAGTGCTGATCCTTTCTGAGGTTCCCCGGACCAAATGAAAACTGAGATCAAAGTTGAGTTTCTTCCCCTCTTCCAATGGATTTCCTAGAGATAGAACAGCCAGACCATGCTCTTTTTTGATGACATCAATCCCATCCAGATTCTTGGACAGTCTCGGTTCGTCTAGTTCATCTTGGTTATAGGATACGTATAACTGGGCCAAGAAAGCTCGTTCTCCTTTGTTTTCGACCAAGAATCGAATTGTAATTGAGTCTCTTTCGGTCACTTTCGATGAATATGTTCCGTTGGCAGTTCGACTGGAAAAATTAAATTCTTCTATTGGCAGAAAACACTTACGTCATATTTAGCAGAATAGGTCGGATTGAAATGTCCGTATAACAGTCGTTGTCTTCACCACATTGTTTGTCGAAAGATGTCTCAAATAGCTTTGACGCCCTTCTCTCTCTAATAACCGGAATAACGCTTCGCATAGGTGACATCGTCATGGATGCTGTAAAGTTGAATTTGATTGGATTAACCCAGTCTTGATTAGTGTCAGGAATGTAGACCTTGTGCTTGAGTCTCTGTTGATATCCGAGGGAATCTCTTCCGCAAGGCCACGAAATTTCGTTGGCCTTGTTTTGAACAAAGAGAGCCCTCAAAGGGGCCTTTGGATTTGAAATAATCTTCAGTTGACAAGTGTAAACATCTTGCCCCAGGTTGAGCAAGTTTCTGATATTATTATTGTCTAGGGTAGATAATGATGTTGTCAATTCAAAACAGGTCTTGGAGCCTTTAGGACATCCCCATCCATCATTTATCTTGATGTATTTTTGAGAAAAGGAGTAGTCCAGTTCCACATCAACGACTGCCCGAGCTTTGAATACATAAGAGAGATCAGATGCATACGCTCCAACCACTACGTCTGGGAAGCCATTTCCGTCAACGTCCACCTTCCCATTAACAGCAGATCCAAATGTCTTCACCTTCTTCCTTGTGATGTTCTCCAAGTCACTTCCCAAGATAACCTGACTTGGTTCGGTATTGAATTGGTCATATTCCTGACCATGGAAGATGTAGACAGCCCCATGGCCATGGTCGGCAAATGGCGCTCCGACAGCGAAATCGTCGTAATGGGAGGCATCTCGGTCGATATCTCCGACATTTGCCAGACTAAGACCAAATTGGGAATAGAGACCTCGTCCTCGGAGGATGATGGGCTCCTGGAAGACATCGTATTCTTGGCCCGGGTTGACTCTTCGTCCTTTAGAATAATATAAGTAAACAGCTCCACCAAACTCAAGATCTTCTTCGAAATGAAATTCAAATGGGGCACTGACCAATAAGTCATCAAATCTATAAAAAGGAATACCAGGAGACCTCTCAGTCACTTACCCATCCTTGTTCAGATCGAGGACTTCTACTTGATAGCCAAACCCAGAACCTAATTGCCGACCATCCAACTTGAATCTGCTCTTATCTAAACCAAGAAGTTTCTCATCTTCAGGCCTGGCATTTCCATAAAAAGGGAGGAAGATGACTGCTCCAGTTTGACCGTATCTGGTCGCTCCACTGACAACAGTGAAGTTGTTCCTGTCTTTGGTTTCGTATGGAAATCCGAATAATCCATAGCGAACGGAATAGCCGAGGTAGTCATGAGAGGCAAGGACATTGATGATTCCCTCATTCTCTTTGCCCACCTCCATTGTCCATCGGTCCACCGAATCGGGGAAACCATCGGCTGTAAACATGAAGCGGCCGAACACCCCACCCGTCCATTTACGCGCTCCAGGCAATCCAGTTAATATCACACTCTAAATTTTCGGGGCATATACTACGTATTCAACTGTAATATCCATTCTAAAACGGCTCTTACATCATCCATATAGCCCGAGAATCCCTGTTCACATGCCCCATAGTCATTGTGCCGGTCCTTTTTGGGCAAAGGATGGCATGTGTTGATGACACTTGAATGGTTCAAGTCATTGCGCAGAAGATAGCAAACGCCATCTGTGTATGCGTTAACTCCCGTTCTTAATAAAGGAGCACATGTCTAATGAATTAAAGTTAATATCTATTCATAAACGAACCATTGCCTGCCCATTTGCACTGCCAGTAGATTGGACAACAAACCCTAACATCTGATGATTTTTTCCCTCAGGATGCAAGACCTTATTATCCAGCCTGATGGGGGCTCTAGTGTAGTCATCTTGAGTTGGATACTCAATTCTCAACTGCTGGCAACTTGTGTGGATCCCTTGTTCTGTCGGACATGCATAAACAGCCCCGGCTTCCTGAGTTCCTGGCTGTCCAGAATCTGCCCTCGGGGCACCTACTAGTAATCTGTAATGAATGAATTATTTCTGAGCTTGAGTGATTTATTTTACTTTCTCCTAAAGCACCGCTTGGTACCCTAAGCTATGTAATTAATGCCGAAAAAGTTTACATCCCTCAGAAGTGTCGTAAATAACAAAAATGAGGCCGCCAAAATAAGATGGACTTACAGCGGATGGCCTTGACGGAAATGAGCGGCTACGGAGAAACCGAAGTGAGAGCTGGAAGGACCCCAATGGACTGCAGCATGGTCAATATCCACATTGAATGAAGTTACGAACCTCAGAAGGAGGAATAGGAATACACGCCTGAACATGGCCATCCATCAAATTACCTCATCTGAAGACAAAATAAATATATTATTACATTTAAATGACTGTAAAAAGCCCCACATAAACGTGAAGGAAAGGTGTGACTCATATCTGATCATAATACGCTTAATTTTAAAATCACATAAACACGAGACGGGAAAGGGATGTTTACCCAAAAGAGGAAGAGCAATGAAGGCCTTGAGTAATATGCAAATGAATCACAACACCAACGGGCGCGTCGATAAAAAATGGCCGCAATATGTGGGCGATAGATCCGGTGACTGATAAGAAAAGGGGTCAGAGAAATGATTTGTGAGCGAGAATCCGATGGATGCAGCCTTTAGAGAGATTGTGGACATCGGATTGGTGAAGTTCCGAAACCCCAAGGTCCATTGGGAACGTCAAAAGTCGAGGACAAATCTACGACACGCGGCGACAAACATTTCCCATCTCTTTCCGGCTGCTCCCACAAAGCCCTTTCCCTTTTATGTTGAATGTCCACCTGCAGGACCTGGGGCTGGATGCTCTTCCTCCCAAGCGTTCCCCTTCCCTCTGACCAACACTTATTCTGCCACCAGGAAGCCGTCTTTGGAGACAATGCGAGGAATGGATGCCTTGAACAGGCATCCATCGGTCCTCTTTCGGAGGGAGTTCGACGGTTTTAAAAAGACATTCTTTTACTATCCCACTGTCGCTTTTCATTGGGAAAACGAAACAGTTTATGACTCACCCTCCAATCCTTAAAACAAACCGGATTTAATGACCCCAAAGAAACAGCCAAATCTGGACTTGGAATGAAGAAGAAAGTAGAAGGGTGCTCATCTCGCCTTCTCCTCTTCCCACACCTGCCCCTGCTTCCCGTTCAGGTCATTCCATTCCCAACGCCCGTTAGAAGATGTTGTAATTACTGCGAGAAAATGTTCAAAGTTATGGGGAATCATAAAAAAAGACGCATTTACATTGTGTGAGCGAAGGGCTTGTCCAAACTGAAAGGCCAAGACTCCTTCTTTTGGCCAAATAGCGCGCCCGTTTTGTGACCACCTTACCCTTACAGACATCGAGTGCTCATTTCGAGTGAGTGGACAGCTCGTATAAGTCCGAAAACAATATAAATCTCCCCATTTTCGCGCCATCCCATCTCGGAATGCAATAAACCAAATGGACGGAGCAATATTGCCCGGCCGAAACAGATCCAGTTACAATCCAATAACCGTTTAGACGCCTCGTGCTTTCCCGAAACGGAGTACAAGAATTGACATCTTGTTAAAAGATTTTTCGATAATCTTTTTATTGTTTAATTTAAGTCTTTGCCTTTTTTGCAAAACCATCACTATGTTACTACGTATGTATATTAAAACCTAACAAAGTAATTAACAGCAATTATTGTCATCTCGGGTTACGGTAATGGCGTCAATCTCATTCATCCATAGCAGGAAAACAAAATTTGTCATCGTATACTCCGCTCATTTAATTTGGATCAATCTGAATCTCAAAAACTAAACAAGGCCTGCGTTTGATTCTTTTTCCCATAATAATCTACTGCTATGAAAAACGTTTTTAAGCGAAAAATAATCACTCTTCACCCGATTGCTAAAAAAGCCAATTTTGCTCGCTGAACTTGTCGATTTTATTATCGTAAACGATGAATACGGATTCTACGGAGAAATAATGTTCCGCGTGTGTCAATTTTGTCCACTGTTTTTTATGGCATTTAAAATTGAAGGAGTTAACAGCTTTTGGGCATTTTCACCCCTAAAATCCGAAATTGGGCAGCTAATTTTTATATATTCTTAATCAGCACAATGGTCAACGACATTTCGGGCCAACAATACCGTTTAATATTTTCGCTTCGGGACTGGGAAAAAAGAATTTTTTGGTGAATTTGAACAAATTTTTGAAATGTTTTTGCTTCGGGACTTGGGAAAGGATTTTTTGGAGAATTTGATTTTTAAGAATCCCGTGCATCCAGTTAAAAACATAAACAATGGATACGATTTTCTTATTTGCTCGTCGCTTATAAACACTATTGTTTTCACTCCGGGACAGAAAATTTTTTTTTGAGAATTGATCCGAATGTTACAATTTTGTTTTACAGAGTAATGTAAAAATGTAATTTTTGGATTTTTTTCGTTGATTTAGGGGTAATTGAGATTCAGTTTTTCATTTGTTTAAGAAAATGGTGTTTGTAAGCAGATAAGAATCGTATCCATTATCTATGCCTTTAACTATAAGCATCGGATTTAAACGCAGACAGGAGTAAGAAGATAGTAGTCGTAATGCTTGTATGCAAATAATAAGTCTATCGCTCCATTTCTTGTTCTTGGCTTCGTCCAATTCCACTGCTGACGGTTAGGATAGGACGTATCATATATGTAGATGTGAACATCGAATATAGCACAGATTTTTTTCTTATAAAAGTTCAAAATTTTGTTCAGTTCTACAGGGTGTATACAGGGTGTTCCAAGAATTATGGAAAAAACTATTCATTAATAACTTTGTGCTCGGTGGTCCAATCCGAAAAAATTTTTTGCATTTTACCTTTGAGCTTTTAGAATCAAAAAAAATTTTTCTTTGATCGGCGGAGACTTCGGTAATCCTCCTTGAATTCGGCGGAGTGTTTTTTTTCACAAATGATAAATTGTTGTATGTGTGAAGAAAACGGGCGGGAAAGGATTCAGAAGATACAAAATGACATTTATTCCAAATTTTTGTCATTCGGCGGAGACATTTTTTAACTTCGGCGGACGATTTTTCTTCGACTTTGGAGAGTCAAAATTGGTCAAAACCAAAACGTGTGGTATTCCTGGTGGCATGGCGCCTAAACACGACTTGTTACGCCTTCGGCCCACTGAAAAAAAAATTTTTTGATTCTAAAACTCAAAGGTTTTTCTGCAAAATGCAAAAAAAATTTTTCGGATTGGACCACCGAGCACAAAGTTATTAATGAATAGTTTTTTCCATAATTCTTGGAACAGCCTGTACACAAAAAATCGTTTTTCCTGTCCGAAAACGAATACATTACAAAATGCGTCAGGTGCAATTTTCGGACCTAATCCCTTGATTATATACCTATAAAACGGTATCGTTGACCCGAAACGTCGTTGCCCCGAAGAGCCGCTGACCCCATCTGCCGTTGCCCCGAAATGTCGCGGCCCGAACTGTCCCTGACCTGAAAAGTCGGGACGTGTGGAGTTACCAAAATACTTGCCATGCTTATATGTCATATTATTGCATGTTGTATACAATCTGGGTACTTATGATTAGAAGTTTTTAAGCATTTTTTAAACCTTCTTATCGCCTTCCTTGTTAACTCGAACGAGCTTTCTGACTTCACAGTTATGTATCCAATTAGGGTCTTAACACATTACGCTTCTAAATAATAAACGGTGGTTCAGCCGGAGCTTCCAAACTTATTTGAATATTTCCCCGCCAATAATGCACCATTTCTATAAAATTTATATAAAATTGAAGCTGAACCAGCCCATTGTTTGTCCACCAACTGTGGCGGGTCTGCATTCCCGGAGGCGCCGTACTGACCTTTGAGATTTTCATTTCAAATTTTGAAGCCCGAAACCACGTCCGCAAAGCATATTTCGATTAGATGAGGTACCAAGTCGGACGCGGGTATTTATGGGAATTTTCGAATTACTTTTACATTTAAAAAAATGTAAAAAAAGGTGGAATTTGGTCATAAAAAATCAATGAATGTTGACACTTTGTCATAATTTGTTTTTTTTTCGTTCAAACCCTGGTTTTGAGGTCGAAATCTGCAGGGTGTTCCAAGAATTATGGGAAAAACTATTCATTAATAAATTTGTGCTCGGTTGTCCAATCCGAAAATTTTTTTTGCATTTTGCAGAAAAACCTTGGAGTTTTTAGAATCAAAAAAAAAATTTTTTGTTTTATCGGCGGAGACTTCCGTAATCCGCCTTGAATTCGGTGGAGTGCGTTTTTCACAAACGAGGCTGTAAAAATGGGTTCATTTTTTCTCCGCCGAATTGCCTTTTTTCTTCTCCCAGTGAGCCGAAGACGTAATAAGTCGTATTTAGGCGCCATGCCACCAGGAATACCATACGTTTTGGTTTTAGCCAATTTTGACTCCCCAAATTCGAAAAAAAATCGTCCGCCGAGGTTAAAAAATGTCTCCGCCGAATGACAAAAAATTGAAATAATGGTGCAGGACCGCACCGAACCCCGGGCTGGGTCCCGCCGCGAAACCTAACGCACCGTTGGAAAGTCAAGGAACGTGAGAGAATGGAATTGAGAGACGATCCGGAGAGCCGGGTGGCGGTCGGTTGGATTCGGACAATAGGACAGATTGACAGACGGCTGGCAAGGATTGTTCCGCCAGTCGACACTTTGGTTTTACCTATTTTGACATTTACGTGATTGTATCGACCCTTCCTCTGGATAAACGGGTTATTTTGTATTTATCGTTGGCATTGTTGACTCCTTTGGATAGTTCCGCTGGGGTACTTGGGATTTAGTGTGGCTTTTGGGACTCCATTGAACTCCTATCAGGGAGGACCTTAGAACCACTTGGCGACCGCGCAGTCGACAACACTTTGGCGACGAAGATCGATTGGCTTTTAGGTAAGTTTTATTGTTTTTGGTTGCATTTTAGGCTTGCTTGGCAGAGATCAGATAGTCCGACGTAAAACTCGGTTTATCTGCAAGAGGATTCACGTGGATTCTCTGGGGGTAAAAGAATATTTACCCAAAAATCTCGACTCTCGATCTAAAAAATCGTAGAGATATCTCGGAAGGAAAAGAATAGTTCCTAACGAGATCGGAGCTGACCCGAAAGAAACTAAGGGCACTCCAAGTCGATTCTCACCTCAAGAAACCAGGTGGAATCGAAGTGGGACTCACTGCTTGAGAAACCCACTCTTGTGCTACCTAAAGAAGAATAGGTCAGCGCAAGCCAACTCTGTCTCGAAAGAAACCAAGAGCAGAGTTGTAAAAACAGATCACTACTAAAGATCTGTGTGGTAAAAGAAGAGTTACCACTTTACGGACGGTTTCGATCGAAGAATTATCGAAATACGTCTGGAGGCAAGTGTAATATCAGAAGTATTGCCATACTCGAATTCATTGACAAATTCGAGTTATTATAGCTGCATCCAAGCTTTTTGAGCAGCGTGAGACGAATTTTTCGCGGTAACTATCTGGGAATTTGCGAGAATTTTGTGATTTGATATTGTTTTAGGTATCAAATCGGAATTGATTGAGAAAGCTTTTGAGAATTGTATTTACTTTGAAACTTTGTGCTGTCTTGTCAAGAGTTGCGTGTAGTACGTGTTCGTATATAATTTGCGTGATTGCGTTCGTGATTTCCGCGAAGCCATTGATCTAATTCTACTCTTTGCAGAATCGGAGACTCGAGTTGCCAAGAACCACAACTCCGGATCATAACCTTGACAAGTGGAATTGAAGTGAGTGTTTTGATTTAGTGTCTTGTTCTTTAGAAAAAATGGAGCAAGGGGACAGCAGCGAGGGTAGTAAGGAAGTCTTGGGAGACATATTGCGCTTCATGAAGGAGCAGCGGGAAAAATCTGATAAGACTTTTATTGAGGTACAAAGGCAGGCTGAAGAAGATAGAAAGAAAATAGAAGAGTTATCTCAAGCTGTTCAAACTTTATTAGCGCAAAGCGAAGTAAAGCAACCGCAAGACGAGAGTATTTCTGTTGCGCCGCGCCTAGAGAGTCCGCCGACTAGAACCGGGGGATCAGTTGCCGATCTTATGTTCATAGAGATGAGGCTCCCCACGTTGACGGGGAAGGAAAAACAAAGCGAAGTTGTCAGTTTCTTCTACAAATTTCGCGCGGGGACTGTAAATCACACCACGCAGGAGAAGAGGGATCTCCTTGAGGCCAAGGTAGCGGGAAAAGCAGCTCGATTGTGGGAACACACGAGCATGGCTTCGGAAAGTAGCGACTTTGATCAAAACTTAGCTGAATTCGAGAGTGAGTTGAAAAGTAGAGCGGCAGATCATAGGGATTGGGCTTCTATTTATCTCAAACCTTTCATCCGAGGGAACAATATGTCTATCCGCGAATACGCTGATCAGATAAGCGACATCACTATCAGAGCATTCGCGGGTGCACCTAAACATATACTCGAAAAACACATGATCTCGAAATTTATGGCTGGATTAAATCATAGAGAAGCTAGCATCGCACTCGCCGCGGAACTGCACAAAAACCTCCCCTTCGAAGAGATGGTCAAGATTGCCACCAATGTGTATGAATACAACAAAGGAAACTGGTATCAATCCCAGCAAAATCCATCATTCGAAGCTGAGAATTTCTTAAACAGTCATGCTCCAGCGCATCTAAGTGCCTTTTGGAACGGTCCGTCTCAAAATAATCGATCAATTCCTCAACCAACGGTTGAAAACGTAGGCCCAATTGCAAACCAGCAACAGGATTTTCACCTACCCGGCCTGCAATAAATTCGCGCAAGCCAGAGTCGGGTGAATCCATCAGCAGTTTTAAAGCGCGATTATTTTGTCAGTATTGCAATGGAGGAGAACATTTGGAGAAGGACTGTCACAAACGGAAGGATTATTTGAAACAGCTCAGAGAGAAGGCATTAGCAGCTCGAGTAAATTATAAAGCGAATAGAGGATCTTCAATCGTTCCGCAAATCATCTCAGCTGGTCCAGTGGAGCAAGAACCACAGGAGAATTCTGAAGTTAAAATTACGGCAAACTGCACGATAAACGAAATTGATAGTCTGAGAGAAAAACCCGAAATGAAATCATGTCAGGAACCTTTTACATGCTCAAGTTTTGAGGAATTGAGTACACGTAACGATGAACTCGAATCCGAAGATCTCGAGACATTATTCGCTGAGCCCGAGATTTCACATCTAGCCTCAAAAGTCCACCAACAGACAGGCTACACATCGGAGTTGTCAAAATCCGCGTTTATGAGTTGGAAACACGAGAAGAAGGGGATAATTCCGAGTTTTGAAGAGATCCTGGACAATTCCGTCTACGAAAAATGGTTTAGTACTACTGCCCTTGAGATCAAAGACCCGAAAGTCAATGTTGACATCCCGAAGGAAGATACTTTCGAGAGTTTTGAGAAGAGAAATCAACTTTTCGCAAAAATTGTGCCAAGAGTCAATCAAAATATTCAAATTCCTGGTAATTGCCTATATGATAATGTGTTCCTGAAGTCATTTCTCCCTGGTAAAGGCTGCAAATTTAAGTTCTTGGAAGAAAATCACAGTTTCAAGGGTGATTTCGACAAGAACAACTCGATAGAATGGTCGTATTCCTCGCGAATCGAAGGAAAGGGAACCAAATTTAAATGTTCGGAGATTTACGTCGTCCGTGCGGCTAACTTGACCGTAAATTGCTATTTTAGTATGGAAATACCGTATTTTGTTGTAGTATCTTGTATAATTTTAAAGGTATTTCAATTTTTGATTCGTAAATTCACTATTTACTTATTTTGTTCCGGTAAAACATCAACTCGTATTTCATTTTTAAATAAGTTTCAGGATCCCATAAAATATCCTGAAAACCCGGAACTTACTTTTTGAAGTCGAGAACGACTTCAGATGGTTAGGGGGGAGCTTGGGGGTTATTTAGGATATTTTAGGGATTTTTAGGGACTTTTATTCACTTGTAATCACTTTTAATTTCAGACTTCGACTACATTCACCGATACCAAACCAGATCGGACAAGCCCCAGGAGAAACCAATCAACTTCCCCAACGGCGCATCGACTTCACTGACATCGGGGACGATGCCAACTTGGTTAGGGGGCGAATGGTGCAGGACCGCACCGAACCCCGGGCTGGGTCCCGCCGCGAAACCTAACGCACCGTTGGAAAGTCAAGGAACGTGAGAGAATGGAATTGAGAGACGATCCGGAGAGCCGGGTGGCGGTCGGTTGGATTCGGACAATAGGACAGATTGACAGACGGCTGGCAAGGATTGTTCCGCCAGTCGACACTTTGGTTTTACCTATTTTGACATTTACGTGATTGTATCGACCCTTCCTCTGGATAAACGGGTTATTTTGTATTTATCGTTGGCATTGTTGACTCCTTTGGATAGTTCCGCTGGGGTACTTGGGATTTAGTGTGGCTTTTGGGACTCCATTGAACTCCTATCAGGGAGGACCTTAGAACCACTAAATTAATGTCATATTGTATCTTCTGAATCCTTTCCCGCCCATTTTCTTCACACATACAACAATTTATCATTTGTGAAAAAAAACACTCCGCCGAATTCAAGGAGGATTACCGAAGTCTCCGCCGATCAAAGAAAAAATTTTTTGTTGATTCTAAAAACTCAAAGGTTTTTCTGCAAAACGCAAAAAAAATTTTCGGATTGGACCACCGAGCACAAAGTTATTAAAGAATAGTTTTTTCCATAATTCTAAGAACGCCCTGTAGTCAGCCAGTTGCCGGAGTCGGAAGATGAAAGGGAAAAAATTCCAGATCTGACTGCGAAATATTGGATTGTTAAACTTTTTCATTGTTAAAGTACTTGTTTTGTTCGTTGTAGTTGGGAAAATCAAGAATATCACCCCAACCGTGATACCCGAGATTTTATATACCCACGTGGTGAATATACCCGGATCTTCCGAACCCTACAAATAAGGGCTGTTCCCGCTGCAGTACCCAACACGGCGCACAGCAACGCGAAATGGAAGAAGAATGTTTCCCGCCCACTTTTTACAGGGGTGGCAAACGGGCCTCTTTTTCCAAATTTCAGGCCCGGGGCCCGGCCCGGCAAAATCCCAGGCCCGGCCCGGCCCGTTTCAAAATTTGCCAGGCCCGGCCCGGCCCGGTGGCCACCCCTGACTTTTTAGTTTCGTCCTAACGAAGTGTCAAAATTGACAAAAAAAATAATTCCGAGAAAATCGATGGCGCTACTTTCGAAAATCGTATCTGTTTTTTCTGAAAATTTTAGAATTTTATCTTACAGATGTATTTTTTGAATTTTTTCGAATAATATTATATAGGGAATCCATTATATTTATGTCAAAATTATATCTAATTTTACTTGTCAAGCCCAGATATCAGAGTTACTCAACAAAAAAATCTAGAGAGTTACTATCTAACATTACTACTTAAAAAATTGTAAGATTTAGAAAAAATGAGTCTGATTTCCGAAATCATCGCCATTTTCAGAATACGACGATTTTTGCTCGTCGTATTCTGAATGGGTGAAACTTGACCCACTCTGGGAAAACTTGACGCTTTCCCAGTCAATTGTCGGCCATTTCCAGGATGAAAGAAAACAGAAATACTAGTCCAATATTCTATATTCGTATTGTTTGTATGCATTTTTTGTCGCTTCCACCTGATAATCTTCAATTTTGATTTATCCTTTTAGTTTGCTTTTCGTCTTGCCCAAATATATAGCATTTTTTCGTTTTCAAATGACGAGATTTTAGATAGTCTCGCAGCCAAGTTTTGAATTAGCAATGAAGTGAATGTTTTGTATTATTTTAATCCCCATTCATTCAGAGACGAACCGGACTTTCTGTTTGCAAAGTTTTTTTGGGGGACGGACTGACGTTTTTTAGTTCTGCCGGTTTAGGAATGGACAACGACGCGCTTTCTCTTTTCGGCCGCCAAAGCGCGCAAGGAAAAATAAAAGGCCCGGCTGGCCTTTTTTTCTTGGCGGCCGCTCCTTTTGCCGTTTTCAAATCGTTCAGCTTTTCAGTTATGGCGAGCCGTACAAAGCATCATAAACATCATGGTGGACTGAGGAAGAAGCCGTTGGTACCTAAATGGAAGGTGTTCCGAGCGAAGGACCCTGTAATGTCCGTGTTTATGTGGGGAGTCAATAACACGGTAAGGTAGTTATGATCGACTTTTAATATTTAGGTCGTTTATAGATATTAGAAATACACCAATGCAATGCTAATATTTTCATATCTAGATAACTGAACTGATGCACGTTCCACCTCCTGGTCTCCTATTTCCAGATGAATTCCGGGCTTTCTCCAAGGTCAAAGTGGACAATCACTTTTTTAACAAGTATGAGTAATATGAGTGTTTAATGATGAATTCAGGGAGAATATGCCCAGCCATTTCAAAGTCAAACACTATTGCCCGAATGTTTTTCGCAGCTTGAGACAACAATTTGGAGTTGACCAGAGGCATTATTTAGTAAGGCATATATAAAAACATTATTTATTTTTTTAGAGATCTTTGACTGCCATTGAGCCAGAGTTAGATCCACAAGAAGGATCGAACAACTTTTTCGTTTCGTTTGATCGAATGTTTGTGATCAAGGTGATTGATTCTGAAAGCGTGGCTGAACTTCATTCAATTCTTTTCAAATATCACTCATATGTCGTGGAGAGACAAGGAAAGACACTTCTTCCCCAATATCTTGGGCTCTACCGAATTACAGTTGACGGAACTGATAAGTATTTTCTGGTCATGAGGAATATTTTTGGGTCCAAATACGCTATTCACAAAAAGTATGACCTGAAGGGATCTACGGTTCAACGGCAGGCTAGCGAAAAAGAAAAGTCGAAAGAACTCCCAACATTCAAGGACAACGACTTCCTCGAAGAAAATCACAAGTTGACTATTCCTCCCGATGTGAAGAAACAGCTCTTGGATATATTAAAGAACGACACCGACTTCTTGACTAATCTGCATCTTATGGATTATTCTCTGTTGGTCGGGATCCATGACATTGAAAAAGGAATGGAAGAAAGTTTGGCGGAGAAGGAGATGGAGAACGAGGACGATAGTGGAGATGAACTTGCTCCATCTCCCCCAGATAGTCCTATTCCGTCTGTGTCTGCATTTAATCTTGATGAAGAATTCTTCGCCATTGTTAGTGCTGGTAAGTATCAAAGAGTAATGTGACATAAATCTTCGGTTTAGACTCGCCGCACCAAAAGAAGTTTATCTATTTCATTGGTCTGGTTGATATTCTGACTTACTATGGGGTCAAGAAACGAACAGCATCCGCAGCCAAGTCAGTTAAATATGGGGCTGAAGCTGAACATATATCCACAGTCAAACCCGAACAGGTAATTTGACACGACTCTGTAATTAATCTTTAGTATGCCCGTCGATTGATTGAATTCGTGGACAAGAATGTGGTCACTACTGGATCAGATACGTAACGTAAGATACCTGGTTTCAATTTAATATACCTTGCATTCCTTAGATTAATCTGTATATAATTATGATCTAATTCTAAAGTCATGCTGTTTTGGCCATTGTAAAAGTTCGTTTTTTCCGATTTTGTCATTGCCGGTTATTTTTGTGCGGCATTGTGGCCATCTAAACTCGCTTATAACCTAGGGCATCTTCACTGTTCACGAGGTTGTTTGTGGTCTTTTTAGCCGATTCCCAAGTCACGTTATATTTGGCCTTGCTTGATTTACGTTGCAACGGCCTAAAACCGGAAATATTTGATAATAAATTTGTAATTTATCGATTTAAAATTTCTGGAACCTGATTATTAAATAGACGAATTATGCAAATTAAGTGAAAAGAAATGACCCGGCTGTAGAGTATTCGAAATATACAAAACAAAGTGAGAAGATCGATGAGTAGTTAGGATTAGTTGAGCAAGGAAGCGGAGATGTTGCTAGATTAGACGGCAATGCTCCGTTGCCGGGGCTTCTCCCGAATTCGATCGGTCAAATTCATCTCCAGATATTTGAGGCTCTCATGACTGGCATTGGCTCGCTGAAATCTCGGCTTGGCGTGCTTTGAGAATGCAAATAAAAGAAGCACAACATTGACAGGGTTACAAAAGCAAACCAAGGGACAACTTTAAGAAAGGCACAACATGATATTACACCATAAGAGGGGAAGGGTAAACAAGAAAAAGAAAACACCAACAATTCTCAGACTCTGGTTCCACCATCAAGCCCCGTGCATTCCGAGTAAGCTTCTTGCAATGCGGCATCATATATCTAGAATAAGGTTACAGAATCACCCGAAATTGTTAAATGGTGGCAAGTGCTGCAAGAAAAGGTGAGAATTAATTAAAAGATGACAACACCAACAAGAAACATGGAGTGGAGGTGGGAATAGTTGTATATTCACATCACTTATGTGCCTCAGACAACGGCCTCTCGGCTCATATACACCTGGTCTGTGAGGGGGGACGGTCGCATTACCTCGGTCGTTGAACTTCCGTACAATCCTCGTTGGATGTCATCGCTGTAGGTGTCATGAGGTCTAAACAATACTTTGGTCGCATTGCCGGCAACTTACGGTTGTTTGAAATTATCTTGTGAGTAATCGGTGTTGGAGTTGTTCTCGCCTGAAGTGAAAGTTATGGGTAAAAATTGATAAAAATACTTGGAACATTTCTCCAGAATTATGGTAATGCAAAGAACATACCTGTAAAACATAGCATCTGTTGCCTCATGCAGTACATAACAGATACAATAAGCACCAGTACAACTACAATCGCTCCAAGAAGAAGTAGTACCCATGCTGGTAGTTGGCCAATATCCGAACTACCGACTCCTAACAGATCTCCCAGAGGCACATTGATCCTGAAAAGTAATCATTATGAAGCCATTTCTCCTACTGTTTGGCTCCATGAGAGTTTTGAACTTTGAGGAAGATGGATCGACTCTGGTCATCTTCATGAACCGGTGATATTCTGAGACGAGCAATGGCACAGTAATGGGAGCTACTGTTCTGAAGGTTGGCCTCGAAGTGGAAGTTCTGCCATCTCTGGCCAACAAAGATGTCATTGTTATCGATCGAGAATACTATCTCTCTAGGCGGTTGAGGAGATGGGTCAGCGCAATAGTGGACAGTGACAACGGCCCCTTCTTCGTATTGCTCAACGGTGGGCTCAACGTCAGAGGCCATCGGAGGACCTTGTACTTGCACACTAATAGTCCTCTCGCCCGGTACTTCCAGACTTGGTGAACATTCAGGAATTCCTTGAGATACGATTGAACAAGCCGAACACCAATATTGACCAGAATAAGAATAATTGCTCACTCGGAGTTCACAGATTGAGTTCAATCGAACCACATTGGCAGGCAGAGGACCAGGGATCTCTTTATAGACACCGTTCAGACCTTGGCCACACGCTGCATCGACCACTTGATTGTTGGGATGACGCAATTTCCAATAGACAATAGGTCGGGGATTGGCTTCAACTGTGCATGAGAGTTTCACAACCTGATCCATGGCGACCTGAGGGCCGCCTTGGAAAGGGGGAGATGTCAGGACTTGTTGGAAGTTGTCCTGAACAGTTCTTGCTGCAGCTAAAAAATTATGATAGTCATCTCATAGCACTCATATTCTAAATCAGGTCTAAATAAGAATGAGCTTACAATAGGGATCAATGGAGACGGCTTCCGAGGACAGCCCATTCTCATCGAAAAGGCCGTTATTGGCCGAACATTGGATCGATTGACCGATCATTTCCACTCCAATGGACAGCTCGGGGCCATCATTATTAATCGTGATACCATTCTTCATCCATCTGAATGTTGTGGCTGGTGGATTCGCTTGGATTGAGCACCTCAGGGTCTTTCTTCTCCCTGGATTACAAGTGTTATCCGGCCCTCGAATACACTCAACATAAAAATGAAGTCCTTGGTTGGGTATAACTACAGGCCCTTGACCGTTTGCATCTACCACGTGGACTTGACGAAGATATCTGACCACGACTTGGGCCGGGGCAGAATCAATGAGTCCAGTTGAGAGGGCGGCTTGGCAGATAATCGTGGCCCCAGACCAGGATGGATTGGCTTCTACGTTTCTCAACGCGACAGTCTGTAAATATTTACAGGTAACTCTTCTTATTAATCGGCAGGGTGGAATGTTTGTATAGGCCTCGAAAGGTCAATCGCTCTCACAGGTCAGCTGATTGTTCCTTCAAAACATTCGTAATAGCTATGTTTCTTTCAAAGGATGTGAACTATAATAAACTCCTTGACTTACGGGGAATCCAGCCGTCCTTGTCATATCCTGGGCTGAATTCAGAACATTAACGATGTCCGTGATGTTCTTCTGCGGACAGTCTACGCAAACAAAGCGTAGTTGACTCACGGGATGGTCAGAGACACAATAAATAGTATTACTGGAACTTCGGCCGACCATTGTCCACACTATTTCATTTAGTTGAGTTGCTGATGAAACTGGGAATGGCTGCTCCGAGATCTTGACTTGTGCCTGCATCTGGGCAACGACTCCCCCGCCACTCAACAGGCATATTACCCACAACGGGATGACCAGCATCACTTGCTGGACTGCGCGAAACAGGTGCTGCAAACAACAAAAAGTGAAATGAAAACACAAAAAATGGTGGACAAGGTCCAGCGCGCGGCCTGTAACTGAAGACAGCGTCGGAGAGGAGTCTCGAACCGTTCAAGAGGACGGCGAGCGAATCCCCTCGGCTCGTGGGTCGCCCCGCGCTCTACCAAAGCCTGCGTAAACGCCACTCGACCACCTTGGCAGGGCGCAAGGAAGGGGAAGGTAGGGGGCACAGAGACCACAAAAACATTAGCATGAGAGCGATCGCGTCTGAAAGAATGGGAAAACGAGGAGGGGGAGTGCCTGCGCGGGAGGTCAGACATAAGAGTGCAATGAGAAAGCCTGCTCTCGACTCTAATTAGGCCGGGATCTGGCTGGCTAGCCCCTTGATCTGCCGCCCTTGGCACTAATCCCGCTAGTCCGCATGAAATCGATTAGCTGCAAAAAACTGAACAGACGAAGGAATTGTGCATGGCGACAAAGAAAACGACGAAACCCATTTACCCCAAAAATGGAAGTCGCGCGAGGGGCTAGCCACGGTGAAACCTGGGGAAACTCAACTCGAAAGGAGAAGGGAAACCATGGGGGTGGTAAGACGCGACCAGGCGGGAATCCGGAGGATCGTTGCGCAACCATTCCCCTTATGTTCGCTTCATAAGATGATTATATTCGGGTTGAGTGGCAACACAGTAAAACTGAAATGTCAGAAGAAAAGAGATGGGTATCCAAGAAGAGGGGGAGGACTTCATATCAGGGTTATGATCTAAATGGAACCCTGGTGACCGCGGAATATTTCCAAACAAATTGAGTTAAGAGTTTTTTTTGTAAGGTGTAGGTTTAATCAAAGACCTGAGTGATTTCATAAATATCCCTCCGAAAAAACATGAAAAATTTGTTGTAATATTTTTATTCAATTTTTTGGTTGATAAATCAACATAGCGAAACCGTGATCTTATCGTGCCTTCCCGAAGATTACTTATAATTCACGAAATGAAAAATACTCGAACCTAAACGTTAATAAAACGCAACTTGGGCATTCCGAATATTCTTCTAGCGGAATAAAGGTTGTATAAAACGAAGACACGCGTCGCTGAAGGGATAACTTGCGAGAAATGACACTTAAGACATCTGATTCCACGCAAAGATACAAAAAGAAATTAAAGAGAGCGCCTGTAATCTCGGCAGCTTTGAAGACTCCAGGCTAGCTGAGCTGACCTTCTTCGTGCAGCCGCAAGCGCCACTCGGAGCACTTCTTTGAATAATAATTGACATAGCAAAGTGATCCTCCTCTTTTTTCGTGGATATTTTGAAGAGAGGGAAGAGCTCGCATTTATTGGAATACGTTTCGATAAATCCATGGAAAGGTTACTTTCTCCAGAATTATGGATTTACAAGTGGAAACGACCACGCAGATGGAACCACAGTTCAAATTCAGTGATCAAATGTCATGGATAACTTTGGAACAAGGCTCCGTTACTAAGGCGCGCCGTTATGAGTGTGAGACAATGCATCCTGACAAAGACTCTCCGTCATTCTGCCATTAATGGCATTGCGCGAATAGACAATGGAACTATTACGAAAAAAAAACTGTCTGATCTCATGAGTTTTATCATCATTTCACAGTCGTTTATGTTTTTTGTTTTCAAGCTGTATTTCTGTAAGCTTTTTGTTTGAGAGTAAGGAAACCGTTGGAAATATTACTATAACGTCCAAAATAACATTTATATTCAAGATGTCGTCTATACCCAGATCAGATGCATAGTAAAGTGCGATGTATGGAGATTGTACTATTCCTGAAAGGACCTCTGACTCAGAACCATCAGCCTCTGAATGACCGCTTTCGATTTCTTTTAAGACTGATTCGGGATCTCCACATTCCCTTCCATGAGACAGCCCCTACTACAACATAAAGTAGTGGTTTGTAGGTCAAAATGAAAGTGACCCTTTTGTGTTGCTTATCCCTGTCCTTAAGTCCTTATCTATCAGCTGTTCCAACGCCGCTGATCAACCTTCATGAGGGTTTTATTGGTCTTAATGACAGATTCATGGAGCCTCCTTACTTTAGTAAGATCTCTTTTCTAGTATTATAATTTTATTTTATAAGAACCCATTGCCAAAAATAAGGCTTACACCTTGGAGATTTTCATGGGGAATGTGGACGAGTTCGATTACATGGTGGATTACTGTGTGGCCAATAACATTCGTTTTATGGATAGCTACGGGTATGTTTGCTCTGCCCCAGGTGTTTTACTGATTCATCTCCCGAATGACCATCGGGAAATTGGATAAACGATAAAAACGAAAAAGGAAGAGCTTTCAGGTGTTTGCGTCCAGATAACGTGTTCTCCGACTATCTGGAGACCGAGCAGTATACACGCCCGGGGGCTGTGAAGAGAACTCTTGTCCACTTTTATCCCCAGGATGTGTTCCTCAACATCGAGTGTGTAATCACCGTATTTTCTTGCAGTGGATGTGCTGAGGTGAGTTGCTATTATAGTTGATAATGCAATTCCAATTTGTGTTGATTTAATTAATTTTTGATGACTTAATTATTCTTCCAGCATTCTTGTCACACTCATCCGCGGATACGGTATCCTAACTTCACAATGCCCATCAGATGTAGTTACCCGGTCAGTCAGCCCTATGCCCTCCCTCCCACTCAACCGTATCCCATCGTCCCGCCTGCCCCTCCAGCCCCCTCTCCCCCCTTGCCTTACCCTCTGGCACCCCCTCCCATTCCAGTGCCGGGCCCTCAGAGATGTGAAAGATGTCTTTGGGGACTACCCTGGTGGTTGTGGCTGATCTTCTTCATACTTCTACTGATTCTCCTCTGTCTGATTATCTCCCTGTGTCTATGTTGTCTTCTCAGAAGAAGACGAAGAACACGACTTACAGAAAACACAGTTCCGCACAAAGAGATCTACACCATAGAAAAGGGGATTCAGGCCGAGAAACTCTCTGATTCTAGTGGACTAACAAGAAGAGAGTTAGATCGGCATGGAAGTGTGCGGTTAATCAACGAACACCCATCAATAAATAACAGAAGCAGAAGAAGTTTGAGTGTAGATAGACACCATCAGAGAAGTGAAGAAACACGACGGGAAACTGGAGAAGAACAGAGAAGATTGGAGCAGATGAGAAGGGATGAACGGAGGGATCAGATGGTCAGAGAACAAAGGATGAGGGAACAGGCGATCAGAGAGGAAAGAAGTCGAGAGCAAGCGGCCAGAAGGCATGGTAATGGCCATAAAAGAGCAGGAGGGGCTGCTTATGACAACCATCAGTTTGACGTATACGAAGAAGATGGAATGGAGCGAGTAGTCACTGAATCTCGGGTATTTTATGGTATGTTTAGTGTGTCTGCGAAGCTGGGATAGGCATTATTTGAATGTCATGTAATTTTAGAAAATTATCCTCCAACCACGCAGACCACGGAAATCAGCGCGGAAAGAAGCGGGGAGAGTTATGTCTCCCCTCATCCGCCATCAATTCATCTTCAACTACAAAGGGAATTACAAGACAATCAGCGAATGCGGCAACGGAGAGAGCCCTTGGAAGAATACCGAGAAGATGGGGAAGAAATAAGGAATGCCCGAAGCTATCGAAATCGACCAATCCATCATTCGAACGAGGCCCTCAGAGAAGAGACTGTACGAACAATGCGACAGTCCTCAGTAATATAAGAACTAATTATATTATATAATATATTATGTATTGTTTGTAAAATTTATTGAGAATAAGACTTTGTTTTGTATCGTTGATAATGCATGTTAACACCAGGATATAACGGAATTCCCGCCACTCTAAACATAGTCCAGACGGTGGTACTTTCCACGTTTGTTACGGAGGTGTTCGGCCGCGAAAATTATATCTGAAATGCATGCATGTGTATTAAAATGTCATAATTCAAATGCAAACTAACTTTGTTTCTCTTCTTCAGTCAACTCAGGAGGGGTAATAGTAACTTCTCTGAAGGCGGGACGTCTGATGCATTTGTTGATGGTCAAAATTAAGGCCACAGAAATGGCTGCAACCAAGGAAGCCAAGGCCCAATTTATCCCATGATAATGTTGGTAAGTTCCTTCAAAATGGGCATGGAGTCTGGGGGACACATCCCCTTTCAAATTCTCAAATAATTTTCGATAATCGTTACATCGAGTGTAAAAGTCTTCATTTAAAGTCGGCCTCTCGTTCAGACAGTAATCACATACTGTATCTGTACTTTCGGAACAAGCCTTCTTGATGTACATGGTAGGACCACAAGTTGCACATCTTTTGCAGTCATAACCATCGAAGAAAGTTTCCTTAATTCGTCAATTATTTACATTGATTACATTTTCCTTACTTCATCGCATTCTTGGGAAACTGATTCTTGGATACTGTAGGCCAACTAAACATTATGTTTTTATTTCCAAATCATTAAATTTATTTAGATCACAATTACACCGAGACGTTTTCTATTCATTTCAATTCACGTGCTGAGTGTTCCATATATACAGAGTGAAGACAAGTTTATGTTATGTACACAAGATGAATGTAGAGGGAAGAAAAAGTAATTTACAAAAGGTTTTACACCTGTACGACCTACCTGACTACAGAGAATAACAACCGAAAACAACTTATGGAGCATGTCTATTGATCAGAGAGAAGTGATAACGCCTCAAATGGCAGGGAAGACGCCACCGGCGATTCGTTTCCCTCTCTTTTTGAGACCCAAGGCCAGAGCGATTCAAGGAAAAGGCAGGTGATTCAGAAGGCGGGCTCACAACTCGCCGCTCTGGAGCTCTGATTGAGAGGTGACCAGTTCGTGACCGTCTTCATTGCTCTCGGCCGTTGTGGAGATCGTTGTTGCACTCCCTCTGCGTAGCCCGGGCTCCAGAAGATAACGTTCCAGGTTGATGATGGGTCTCGTGTCTCCCGGACGTTGAGTGACATCTCGCCATGACCTCAGGGTCCGTGTGCACATCAATCTTTGGTTGTCGACTCTTCTGGCTTTCCGCAGTTTGAATTGTTTTCTCTGGGCATGACAGGCTGATATCAGTGATAAGAAGAAGGTCGCCATGATCAGAAGGAAGCCGAAGCCAAAGGTAATAAAGGCCTCAGGTCGCAGTGCCTGGACCTCGGCTCTGCTCAGCATACAAGCCGCCATAGAAAGGAGAGCAATCGAGCCTATAAAAGTTGAACAAAAGAGAAAGAGGGCTTACAATTACACAACTCCAGAATCGTATTTACTTTCAACCAGATGAAGAATCCAAATGGTGGCGCCATAAAATGTAAGACCGAAGCGAAGGAAGCGGTTGTAACGACCACAAAACAAAAGGCAATGATCACATAAAAGTAGTTTGCAACTGTCGGGGAGATGCAATCGATAAGGGCTAAAGAACAGAACGTAGTAATCCCAGCAATCATGGACTTACAACTGTGATTGTAGCTGTAAATTAAATGTCTGGTATTGTGTTCGACAAAAGAGCCAAATCTGGCGGGCATCCAGAAATGTTTGGAGCCGATGGAATCACAAGGAATCAGATTCAAAGCGTTTAATTCATCGCTTTGAATCTTTGAAAGGAACTCATCCCAAGTGTTATTGTAAAGCGATTCATTCAGAGATCGTGTGTTATTAATGTCTTCATTGTTTAAGAGAATCCAGTCATTGCTAACCAGTGCACACACAGCCTGAACCTCTGAATACAACAATCAACATTGACATACCAGAGTAGCCGCGAGAAAATTGAAGATTGAGGAGACTACATTTACCTCGGTGGAATCGCAGAGCATCAGAAGATGGCCCAGTCTCATGGAGGCGATCTTCTGCAAGTCGAACGAACGCAATAAAGCCTCCGGGAGAGAGAAACCGGCTGTCGGTAAAAGGCTCGGAACAATTTTCTCCGTCGTCTCTTCGCTCCCTGCAATCTCTCGCTCTGCTCTTGGCAATGGCGCTTCTCTTTTGCGCGCTTTGCAATGGCCATTTAATAATTTCTTTTCTTTTTATTGTTGTCTCTGCAGAGCGTACTGTTTGTTGCATTACGAATTTTTACAATAAGAAAAATTATTTTAATTCTGTTGCAGGTACGCCGAATATGGGCGATGGCAGTGACAATGTCAGGGTAGTTGTCAGATGCCGGCCATTATCTGAACAAGAAGTTCGTGGGGGACATCAGGCCACAGTCAAAGTGGATAAAATTGCCAAGACGATCTCCGTCGAAAGTCAAAATGTAAATTAAAAAATATTATTCGTAAGAGTTCCATCTTCAGGATTTTACGAAAACTTTTACATTCGATCAAGTATTCGATTGGAACTCGGACCAGATAACCATCTACAATTCGGTGGCAAGGCCGATAGTTGAGAATGTTTTGAAAGGTTACAATGGTAAGGGGTATAAGTAATTTGAATAAATTTAAATAAAGGAACCATTTTCGCTTACGGACAAACTGGAACAGGGAAGACATACACAATGTCTGGGGAGGATGGGAATCCGGAGGAACGGGGGATCATCCCCAACTCCTTCGCCCACATCTTCGACCACATCTCCAAGTGTAATCATGACAAAACGTGAGGAGATTCATAACATTTATATTAAAATCTTAGATTTCTGGTTCGAGTCTCTTATTTGGAAATTTATAACGAAGAAATTCGAGACTTGTTGGCCAAGAACCAAGATCATCATGGCCTGGAGGTGAAGGAAAGGCCGGACATCGGGGTTTTCGTCAAAAACTTGTCCAATGTCACCGTTTCCAGTGCTGATCACATGTTCAAGATCATGCAGTTTGGGAATCTGAATCGTCATATTGGAGCGACTAATATGAATCAACAGAGCTCCCGGTCGCATGCATTATTCACGGTGACTATTGAGTGTTCGCAGAATCTGAATGGACATCAGCATCTGACTCAAGGAAAGCTCCACTTAGTGGATTTGGCTGTAAGTTTCTCGTCTTTTTTTTTATTTTGTTGTTCCTAGGGAAGTGAACGTCAATCCAAAACTGGAGCCTCGGGAGATCGACTGAAGGAGGCGTCTAAAATTAACCTTTCTTTGTCAACGCTTGGCAATGTCATCAGTGCTCTTGTTGATGCCAAATCCACACATATCCCATACCGAAACTCAAAATTAACCAGGTTATTGCAAGATTCATTAGGTGGAAATTCCAAAACGGTGATGATAGCTAACATCGGACCCGCTACCTACAATTACGATGAGACAATCAGCACATTAAGATATGCAAATAGGGCCAAGAATATTAAGAATGTGGCCAGAATTAACGAAGATCCGAAAGACGCCATGCTCCGCAAATTCCAACAAGAAATCGAACAACTCAGAAAGCAATTGGAGAATGACGACGGTACGTCTCAAAAAGAAAAATTAATTTTTGTTTAGAAGGATCAGACGACAGTGAATTTGAAGACGAACAACCCTCAGAAGAGAGGAAAGGACATTACGAAGATCGAATAAAACATCTCGAAAGTGACATAGCCGACAGAAGAAAGCATCTGGATGACGTTCGGAATATTGGGGACGATGACAGAAGACGTCTGGCCACGGATTTATTGGCCAAAGAAAGGGATCTCAACTCAATAAGGCAGGAATATGATACCCTACAACAAAAACTAGCTGCCATTGAACGAAAACTAATTATTGGAGGCGAGAATCTGCTTGAAAAGGCCGAGAAACAGGCACAATTACTCGACCAGAGCAACATGTTAGTAAAAAATATAGATTTCTTTGGTTTAATGCTAACAAAACTTTTAGAGAATTGGAACAGGCTAGAGCAACAGAAAATGACCTCAGAAAACGGTTGGAAGATCGACAGGCGGAAAGATTAGATATCGAGGAGAAGTACAACAGTCTGCAAGAGGAAGTTATGGTCAAGAATAAGAAATTGAAAAGAGCTTTCAACCATTATCATCAGGCCAAAGCAGAGCTCGAAGACATCGAAACAGAGCACCAACGGGAAATGGAGGGACTTTTGGAGAATGTTCGGGAGCTCCAAAAAGAATTAAAACTTTATATTGCACTCATCGAAGCCTATATCCCCGAGCAATTTGTGGATCTGATCGAGAAGTATGTCTGTTGGAATGATGAGAATGGAGAATGGCAACTCAAATGCATAGCGTACACGGGTAACAACATGAGATCTGCTGCTCCAATAAGCTCGTTCTCTCGGGTAAATGAGCCCCAACTCAGACCAGTATATCTGTCTTACAACGACTTTGTGGACACCAAGGTTGAGGCCGCCATCGAGAATCCACGATTTCGCCCCAAGTCCGCGATGAAGTCAGTTTTCGTATTTTCGATTTACCGTAATTTGAATGCTTTCAGAGATCGGCAAACCGCAAAAATCATGGCTTTACTGGATTAAATCTCGATGAATACGGTGAAAATATTTTTACCGTACAAATAAATTATTTTATATTTCGGGGATTTTATAACAGTCATAATTATAACCGCACTTTAAAAATGATTGTAACTTTTATGGTTGTCAGCAGAAAGTGTCATATTTGGCACTACTACGCACGCATCAGTGCGCTAGAAATGATGTACTAAAAAAATATTTTGAGAATTTTTCGTATTTTGGAAAAAAGCTGCAAAAACCAAAATTTTGATACTTTTTTGTGGCAAAATTATAACCGCACGCACGAATAACTGATGTTTAACTTCGCTTCCTGAGGTTATTACACGGCTGGCTGACAAATCTTGTTCTTGAATCGGAAAAGAGCAGATTTTCGCTCAGATACGGTAGAATACTGCTTGTCGTGGCGATATAATTCACGAACCAGGAGGCCTCACAACTTTTTTATTGCGATTGAATCTTTAAATGGTTCCAATTCCATGGAAAATGTTTGATTTGTCATCATTTCTACAGTAACCCAAAATGATGGCTTTCAAATATACCGTTTTGAAATCAATGTTGGTTTTTGAAACTTTACTGATATTTTGATTCGAATATTTTTCGTATATCAAGAATACTTGTGATCTAGTTTATCCCATCAAAAGTTACTTTAGATGACAACAATGTTGTTAGTGTATGTAACTCAGATTTTTTAAAAAATATTTTTATAAAATTATTATTTAAAAATACTAAAGAGTTCTCAAAAAATCCAAGGTTTGATCCATAAAGCATTTGTAAACTTGTGTCTTATATAAATAAATAAAAAAGTTGCGTTTCCCAGGATCTGAAATCCGATCGTTCCCAACCTTCGCCAACCAAATTCACAAGACTTTTTGGGCCATCAGCTACTGCTTCTCGCTCCTTAAAAGGTACACAAACTCAGTGTTTCATTATGAAAATATATTGTTTGAAAAGTCTTTTCGTATTAGCATCAAGTTGAGAGTATTTGAATCGAAGTAAGATGAGCCTTTGTTGGCCTCTCTTTATTTTCAAAATTCTACTCTTTTTTTACGTCATTTTTAAAGCACTGTAACGTAATCCACAACCGGAGATAAAGATATATTGAAAGTTCCGTTCACTCAGTAACTTTTGCTTCAGTTACTTTTGCCTTTATTTGCAATTAGATATTCCCAAATATACTCTGACTCTTGTTCAACCTTCCACATCAGAAGGCCTTTGTTTGGGCTGAATAATTTATCCGCGATCCCCAGTCCTCATCGTTAAGTTGAATCTAAATTTAAAATCAAGTCTATCATGGGATTGTTAATTCAACTTACTTAAGCCGAGTTTCATCCCAGGTCTAAGTGAGGAGGGGGCTGGATGTTCCGGGCACTGTAATTTAATTACCGGAGGGTAAGAAGAGACAGACAATCTTCGCTGTAAACAGGGTACACAAGCCCGCGGACCTACTGGATTTGTTACTTTTTCCGAGGGTCTTTACGAACTACAATCAAGGCCCGGAAAGTGTAAACCGTACAATTTGAGGGCCGAATAAGGAGCCTTTCGTGCACCTAGGGGAATGTCCAAGTATAATGTCGCAAGAACCGGGCTCTTTTTGTGGTCTCCACTCGTTAGAACGCATTCAAAACCAGGCCTCTGATATCACGAAGGGTCTCGGAGATTGGAATGACCTCCTTCATGTGGGCGGTTACTGCCTCAGGGCATTTCCATAACCCTATCATCTCGACGAATGCAGTTGACAGCTCCCGATGTGGAATAAGACATACATCCCATCGAATATTAGGAGTGGATGGGCATAGTTTTGTGTTTATTTAAACCATCTGAAGCCGCGGAACGATGCTCGTTTCAAGTGTGAATGGGCGGATGGGGGATTTGTGTCGTGTAAGGGCCGTAATGACTTGTAGGACCATCGATTTGCTCTTGCTCCGTCTCTGGATGTGACGTTTCCCCTCTCAGACAATATTCCCTGACACTAAGAGTCATCTATTTTGGTTGTAATCCGATTTTATCTCGACCTTATTCGCCCTCCAGTCATCCATTCGTGAAATCGCACGATTCCATTTTTCAAGTTGTAACTCAGTTGTAATGAAATTTCAGGAAATGGGAAACGAATCTTCTTCGGTGTCTTCGACCAAGGATGGATTGACAGACGAGATATTCGGCCTCAAGAAACGACGATATGCCCCCAAGAACAACAAGAAAAGAGTTCTTCTGGAACAGAATCAGAGGACGAGTTCCGTTGACAGGTAAGTGAGAGGACGATTCCTCCAGTTTCTAGTCTCATTCCCTTTATGATGACAGCTCTCTCATGACCAGCGTTTTATTTCTATGGCCATGGGACACTTAGATATCGTATACTGAATTATTTCAAAATAATTTTCATTTCGATTAATTATTGCTTAAGGCGATGGTTTATGATGATTAAGAGAAGGGGAATTGTTTACTTTAGGCAGACGGAATTAGGAAATGCAAAAACAGAAAGGAACTTGTGGGTATTCCGTCCCATTCCCTGGCACTTGTTGGCTTATGTTACATTCCGTGTTCTCACACACCTTCACATCCCTTCTTTTCGGGATAAGCATTCCTTCAGGGGTCCCTGCGGCTTTCTGATCTTGTATCTCTGTTTATTGTTTTATTCAATCATCCCATTTACGTTTTCACACTCCCCGAAAGAAACTTTATTTGAGGTTGGAGGCCGACTTCTATGGCCACGGCTTTTTGGCCCACCAACCAAAACTCTTCTTTCTTTAGAGTAATCACATTATCTTTGCACGTTAAAGTTGAATAGAAAGTGCATTATTTGTGGTCGTGGGGAGCAAAGAGTTTGTAATTTCTAGTGGTAACTGATAATAGTATAGCATGAGTGGAATTGATATGAAAGTGATTGTAACAAATAGCCGTAATTACAGTGACACCGGCTCTTCCTTTATTGGTTGTGGGACAGCTGCCAAGGCCGTGCTTCGCAAAACCTCAGCTCAAAAAAGTCACAAGACTTCTGTAGCCGAGGCTGTCACCTCATCTTCTCCTCCAGATCCACAAAATCCAGCTTCACAGTTACTCCGGGTTCCAGATTTCGATACTCCATACATAGATCCCAACTCCAGGAAAATCTCCTGCCAGGAAATGACCACTTTATTAGATCCTGATGCCAATGGAGCTGGAGGGAGAAGAAGAAGCCGCTCCCTGTGCACCCAGCAAATGCAGAAAGACTGTGCGGTAAGTGATATAATAATTAGATGACTATATGAAGTTATATTTATTTATTATAGGCAATACAAAACTCCCAAACCAGTTCGGGAAGTTCGACGTCAAGAAGATCCTCCAATGGAACCTTGCCGACACTCGCGCGGATAAGGATTCAGCATTGCTTTAAGAGGGCAAAGTGAGTAAAACGATGATACATTTTAATATTTTCCAAAGAAAGTAGCGTTAACACTTAAATGTAATCAATTTCGTTATTTTTTACAATATCTGCAGGCCCACTATTGGTTCGTTGATTTTGAAACGAGCGTGTGCCCTGAGGCCAGAAATTAAACCTTTTTTGGGATCCCTGCCGCAAGACCGGGTCGAGGAATTGGGGTCCAATCTATACAACTTTGTCACCGAATGCGTTAACAACGTTGACAGTGCTGATACGGTAAGAATTCCTTCGTTTAAAACAGCCTTCAGATAACGGAGATCTCCAAAGACTTTGGGCGAATCCATGTGCAATTGTGTAACTATGGATTCCGTCCGGATTTCTTTTCAATTATCGCCGACGCTACCATTGCTGAATGCGTCAGACTCGATGGAGGTGCACACAAAAGATGCGAGACATTACTGGCATGGTCACAATTAATGCAGTCCATGTTCAGCAGTGTCCGAGATGGTTATTATGCCGAGATACGACAACAAAGGAGGTCGTCCTTGCCCCAACATCGTCTCCTATCCAAACAAGGGAGCCATAATGTGAGCATAGACATCGAATCATAATAATGTACATCTATTTATGAAATTTGTTGCTATAAATATAAATTTGTACCTTTTTATAAAAGTGAAAGCTTTAACTTGGGCGACAACTGGTTGCTCTTGGAGTCATCCGCATGCTTAAGATATTGCTTAGAGTTCGGAAGCCCTCTTCTGGTAATCCAACCAATCAACCCAAAAAAATAAAAAATTTACTTGAAATAAAGTTTACAGAGAATAGGTGATATAAGAAACGTTTAAAAAGAGAAAGTGTTGCACAAACATAAGAACAGTGACAAGATGGTCTAAGTTTTTGATGATTGATAGCCAATGCCGAACCGGATATCTTAAGAAGTTAGTCGTAGAAAAGAAATAAGTTTGAAATGACAGAGCTTCCTTCCCCTTGTGGAAACAAACGACAAATTTACATATAGTATGAATACTTTGAAAGCTCACTCCGTATAGACATTGTCATACCACGGCTCACCCAGACATGGTACGGTTACAAGTACAGAACTTAGGATGTGAATATTTAAACACGACGTTAGTGTAACTACGGCAATGTAATTACAAAGCAAACGGATTGGTAACAGGATTAGGAGTAGCACTGCTATTGGATCCACCAGTCCTTTGAGAATTCATCATTTCGTTTAAGGAAGGAGAAGGTTTCTGTTGAGCGCTGAACGGATTAGTCGCATTCGTTGGCGTGGTGGAGGTCTGGAGAGCCGATACGAATGGATTGCTCGCTAAATTGGATGTTTTTGTCTGGCCTTTCAACTCCATAGATGCATACAACTATAATCCTTACCTGGCTTTGCCTGAGCGGTTGATGGTCCCATCAGATTGTCCAAATTGACCAATGATGAGTTCTCGCCCAAAAAACTTTCCGGAGTCTTCGAATTCAATCGGTTTTGAGATATAGGAGTAGGAGTGGAGGTGGGGGTAGCCACGGCCACAGGAGTCGTTTGTGCCTCGAAAGCAGCCCAAGGGTCTCCGTTACTTTGAGCCGATGGCACTGGGGCGACAAGAACGGGAGCTGGGGTAGACTGAACAGGATTCCATGGATCATTTTGAACTGGAGCGGCGGTAGTGGCGCTGCCGAGCAAAGCCTCCACTAAAGCATAAAAAGTTTAATTACAGCAAGCGCAACATTGTATACAGAGCCATTCGGCGTGAAAACTCACAGGGATCAACAGCAGTTTTATTCACGGGAGACCATGGATCCGAATTGGCCACATGCGCCGATGAAACGACGGGAGCCCATGGATCATTGATCCCTGAAGTCCCCAATCCGCTTGGTCCTGGAGCTGCAGAATCACCAAGATTGAGTGACAACAGATCATCCAAAGCACTCTCGGGGTTCTTCGCTTCGAGTTCTTTCTTCTTCTTACTCTCTTCGAGGGCCATCTGAAGTCGGATAGCATCTCCTTTCCGGAGTTCCTCTTCCTTCTCACACTCTTCTCGTGATAAGGCCAACGCGATCTGGAGTTGCATCTCTTCTTCACCGATGCTTGAGGGCCTGGCCTCTTCCAACTCCGAGTCTAAAGAGGAATAAATAAAAATAACGGCAATCTTACCAACAACAGCACCCGTGTCATGCCTTCTTCCTCCCCGTACCGTCCCATCCGACGCTATACCCGATCCAGTCTGAGCAAATCTCTTCCTGGTCATCTGAAACCGTGCCCGTTCATTCTTGAGGCGTTCCTCGTCGTTCAATAAGGCCATCATTTGTTTCGCCTTTTCCCGGACATTCAAGCCCTGATCCCTATTCTCCTCGATATGTTGGAAGTCCTTCAAAGTCTCAATGCTGTATATGTTTTCTTTACACTGTTGGGCCACCTTATCACTCCCACATTTAACCAGATAGTCCAAGAGGACCAAGCTCTTATATACATGACGCCAATTCTTTCCATGGTCGTTCAACCGCTTCCAGATCATGGACATTATCTCCGTAAAACTCATCGGATTATGTGTTAAATCGGCAATCTCAGACATCAACGCCGTGGTTGGCCCCCAAGGATCGTTACTGAAGAATTACAATTTAAATATTACACTAGCTTAACAAATACAAGCTTAATTTATAAACAAACCTCGTAGCTTCCCGAACTTTGACTTGCGCATCGGTAAAGTTGTAGGCCACGTTTTTGACTTGCCGTCGTAGAGTCGAGATTGACATCGTCTAGGATGAGCTTGCCACTAAAATAAGGTCAAATCAAATAAAATCGCCCGAAACCACTCGCTCAAGGTCATCTACAGATCGCGAATTAATTGAAAATCTGTGAAACCGAGGAAAGGGAGGGGGACACTGAGCTTCAAACCAGTAAGGGAATCGCGCTGATGGCTGGTCACCGAAAAAAGAAGCAAAAGGTCGCTTAACACGAACAACACTGATAACCCAGAAAGTTGGAGAATCATCTACAACGTCTGCTTCAACCCCGAATGAAGAGACGATTGGAAATCCGTCTTTTTCGTCGCGAATGCTTCGAAACGACACCCTGATATTATCTTGTTCACCAAAACTCCGTCTAAAAGGCTTCCTTGAGCAAGGATAGAAGTCTACCACTTGCAATCATGTTTAAATAATACTAGTCCTTCCGGAAAGTCGCCGGACTGATTTTTGGGGTTTGCACTGTGCGAAAAAAGTCAGGGTGCGAGCGACATCCCAAAAAACCCTATTGCACGGTGCAAAAGGCAAGAAATTGCACAGTGCAAAGTGAACTTTCATTTTCGCAGAGTGCATATCGCTGATTTCCGTCCGGCGACTTTCCGGAAGGACTAGTATCATATATGTACATTTCTCATACTTTTTTAGAATCAGAACATAAAATAAGAGAGGGTAACCTAAATGTAAGCAAAACTTAACGATTGGAAATTTGAAAACGGCTGGGTATGCATAAAAAGTCACAGATTCGCCATTTGCTCGCTGCAGCAGCTCACCTCTCACAATATCGATTAGAGCAGACAGCTGCAGCTCTTGAAGAGAACAGCGGAAAGAGTTGACACGTGCGTCAAGTCTTGTCCATAGGCAGGAAAAACCAGGGGTGGTCAGCAGACCCTATTTTTCCGATTTTCGGCCCGCGGCCCGGCCCGTCTAATCACCGGCCCGGCCCGGCCCGTCTAGTCTTTTTCCAGGCCCGGCCCGGCCCGGCCCGTGACGGGCCTAGCCCGGCCCGGCCCGGCCCGTGCAGGCCCGTCTATAGAGGGTTCTGCGAACTGCGCCCAGGCTCGGGATCTAAACTGAGGCAAAAAAGGCGTTGATCTAGCTAGTAAAGGATCAATGTGATAGTTTTGTGGTTCTATAATGGAACTATAGACTTGTAAACGTGTTAGAACTTGAGAAACAGCAACTATAACAACATCAATTAATTTTCCCGGCGCGAAAACAATGAATGCCAACGGTTTGGCATTGTAATTTAGACGGGCCGGGCCGGGCCGGAAAAACCCCAGGCCCGCGGCCCGGCCCGGCCCGGCCCGTGACGGGCCCGGCCCGTTTGTAATTTTCCATTTTTGAGGCCGGCCGGCCCGGGCCGGGCCGGCCCGGCCCGCTGACCACCCCTGGGAAAAACTCGCTGATGTCATCCATCGTGGAAAGAATGCTTTTGATAAGACAGGAGTGGTACAGGTGTAACTTTATAGAATGAAATGGATTCTTTCACTTCGAATAATGTCAATGGATTACCTGTAATAACAGGCCAAGTGGTGTATCCATTTCAGTATAATTTATTGCACGGACGAAAAGGTCCCCTATGTTTGTTGTGCTATGCCATATAACTTTTAATCGCGCATTATGAAGGTTGACCTTACGTTGACTTGATAATGGGTTACTTGTCTTGCATGAGAGCTTCTCACCTTGAAATGCGAGCAACACTATGCCAAGAAAGTGACGTGTTCGAGAGTGACCATTCCTGCTGGCTTTTCTTTTTTCGCGGAATCTTTTCTTGTTGGAATCTACTAATTTCTGTTGCAGGGGAGATGAACATCTTTCGGTTAGTAGCAGATGCGTCGCATCTTCTGGCCATTGGGATTCTTTTGGCCAAGATCTGGAAGACGAGGTCTTGTGCAGGTAAGGTTGTTCTCCATTTCATTAGACGTTTATATTTTAGGTATATCCGGGAAATCCCAAGTGCTGTTTGCGATTGTCTTCATTTGCCGATATTTGGATTTGTTCACCAACTTTGTTTCGCTTTACAATTCGGTCATGAAGGTAAGTGAAAACCGTTTTTTTGGTAATTTACTTTTTAGTTGTTCTTCTTGGCTTCATCAATTGGAACCGTTTACCTTATCTATTTCAAGTTTAGAGCAACTTACGACAGGTACGTTTTTCGAGACTTAATTTATTTTTTACTGCGTTCAGGAATCACGATACCTTCCGAATTGAGTTCCTGCTTGTTCCGACAGCTATTTTGGGTCTTCTCATCAACCATGAATTTTCAATTATGGAAATTCTGTGGACCTTCTCCATTTACTTGGAATCCGTTGCCATCATGCCTCAGTTATACATGTTACAGACTACCGGATCCGCCGAAACTATTACTGCTCACTATCTCTTTGCTCTTGGATCTTATCGAGCCTTGTACATCTTCAACTGGATCTACCGTTATTATAACGAAACCTTCCTGGATGTAATTGCAGTCGTCGCTGGGATCGTGCAGACCGTTTTATATGCCGACTTCTTCTATCTTTATGTCACAAAAGGTAACTTTAATCTCAACTGCACTGAATTACATGCTCTTTTCAGTAATCCAACAAAATCGCAACATCCAATTGCCAGCCTAATTAGTTGTTTTTGTCTTTTATTTATTAAATCTTATTAATACATTATTTTTCTAAGTGAGAACGGGATTTTTATTGTATCACATTATTTATTTGATTGTTTTTAAGCTCATTCTGGAGGGGAGGAACCACGTTTAAAGCAAATTCACCTGCATGATTGTTGTTGCCAGAGGGACGGAAGAAAGCGACCACTACTTGATAATCATTTAGTGAGTCTGCCAGAACTTCACCCGTCTTGGAGTTTTTGTGAAACACTGGGGGTAATGTCGATGTTCCGATTCCTATCTATATTTAATAAAACGTGTAATTAAGTATCTAGTGTTGTTGCTTAAGAGGTCCTTACTTCTTTTGTGTCTTTCCAAACTATCTGAGTAAAATAATTTGTACCACTCTGCCACCCAGGAGTCTCATATTCATACGCATTACCTTCCTTGTACCAGTAGTCGCAGATATCCCTTGGACTTAGAGATCGTGGGAAGAATGTAATATTTTCGCCAATGTCTGATCCTTAAGTGTAAGGTTAGGTGGTATGGAAGAGCCTACCTGGCTTCTCCCGGTAAATAAGATGCCTTTCGTTGGCTAGAAAATCCGCCCACTTCTTAGCTTGTAAACAAAGGTCAAGGTTTAGGGTGAGATCGGGGACTCCATGCTAAACACGTCCAGTTTGAGAACACTACTTACTTTGCGACGATAATAGTTGTTCGCGTCTACAAATTGTTCTGCAAAAAGATCATCAAAGGGGAGCTGGTCAGCCATGAAGAGCACTATTGAAGAGGCCGTGCTTTGCCTCGATCGTCTAAAGAAAACGGCTTTAGACCATCCAAATTTGATGCACTGAAGCGCGTTTTTTATTTTTGTCTTAATTCGTTTTTCTCCTCTTGGCTGACGCGAATTCGGCAAAGATAAACACCCTTTGTCTGATTATCTTGTCATTCTATAGCCCGAGGGCAGCAAAGCATCCAATGCCAAAAGGTGGCGGCCGCGCTTTTTGGGCCAGATATGATTCGAGAATGACATCTCGATGATGCATCTCGACAAGAAGAGCTCTCCTCCGACGGGTCGAGCATCTTTCAAGAAAAGCTCTACTGCTTAGTGCTACACATTATAAATCCGTAAGGATATTTCAAGCCTCGAGTCAACAACTATTTATTGGCAATGATCAGACAATTACTGTCGTGCAACTGTAATACCATATCTATTTTAATTTAAAAGTTATTTACTAGACGCATACTTGAACTCATACAATTACAAATGGTTTGGCGGTGCTCGGAATACCCTCGGGGAAAAGCCATATCAGGGAGCAAATAAATGAGTGAGGATGACAAAATAAATAAACGAAAGAACACGGCATCTATCTCTTGCCTTTCTTTCTTCATGGTGAATAAACTTCAGCGGACGGAAAAGAGTTTTTTGTGGCAGGAAGCTTCTTAACGGACGTTGAAGGAGAACAAGACCGCCTCCGAGATGCACGTCGTAGTAAAAGCGGTATTCTTTTGGTTTTGTCAGAGAACAAAGCATTGGAAAAGACTCTAGAACAGTTTAAATTTTCGTTTTAGGTTCACACGCTTCCATTCGGGTAACTTGTAGAACTCGATGGCAGTCATCTCGAAGATTTCCTCGAATTCATCTCGATTTAAATGTCGTTCCAAATGTTGACGATCCACATCAGAGGGCAGTTTCTTGTTCGTTGTTTGGAGATCTTCTAGTTTATAAGTTTTAACCTTCTTGTTCAAGTCGGGCAATGAAGCGCGGAGGTTAGTTCGGATATCGCCGGTGGGAGAAAAGCTCTGATCGTTTTCTCCGGCGGACAGGTTCAAAGATTCTGAAATGTGTGTATTCAAACATTTATTACAACTTCGAGATAAATCCTTACGGTCCGAGAATGTAGAATTCATGGTGTCTCCGTAAAAGTAACCCTCTGGTAATGTTGCGGCGCGTGTTCCCAGGGTTCCGCCCTTTCCGGGAACGTGGAACGAGGGGATAATGGTCGTTGCTGATCGATCTACCCCATCAATCCAATAGGCCCAAGGCTTGGGACGATTGGCGTGCCGAGATGGTGCTAGAATAAACAAATTCTTCTACATATATGAGGAAACAAACTCTTAAGAATTAAAATGCAAAATATCGGGAGAAACATAAGTTGTCAGACTTACAAGCGTTCACCGGAGTGTCGTATCGGAACCTGAGATGGGGCATCTTCCTGCCCGAGGGGGTCCGTGCTGCATTCCGCGGATCCCAATGTAAAGGAAGTCGTTGTTTATTCTTACTTTCCTCGATGTTTTGTTTGATAACATGGGCAATTGATGAATCTCTGTCGAGATTCTCGAGGGCTTTAACATTCTTTTCAATTTTATTTACATCGACTTTTGTCTGATCACCGTAGTCGTCTTCATCATCATCATTTTCAACGGAGGATGAGGATAAACGACGTTTCAATTCTAATAAAAAAATTACGTAAAGAAAACGACAAATCGCAACAGTCAACTCAAACTGTACGTACCTTCAACCGCGTAAGGGTAAGGAGGGGCAGGGAAGTCTTCTCGTTCAATGGGCGGGATTTCATCAGGTTCGGGCTCTCGAGCTCCAGGATAATGGGCCAATTCGATGGGTTCTTCGTTATCCATATGTGGAGATTTGGCTCGGGGAACAGACTTTGACTCAAGGTCTTCCGCTAATCGCTGCATTCCTGTTTTCAACATGGCCATTCTCGATTTTCTGATTTTGATCGGTGCTTGTGGAGTGTGATATTGGGCCGGTGGAGGGGGATGTGGAGCGATGGGATGCTTTAGATACGTCTGCTCGGCTTCTGGTAACATGTACATGTAGGTGACTTGTTGCGCTAAGGCTTTCTGATATTTGGGTTGAGACATTTTGGATGGTGATTTTGTTAGCTAAAACGTGAAAAAGATTATCACCAAGAAAACAAAACAAAACCCTCTACCATACGGGTAATCTGGAGGCCCAATTACTACCCTATATGTCTTTCATTACTACAATAGGTTTTTAAAACCGGTAGCTATGCGTTTGAAGGGGGCAGGGGGCACAAAGGGGTGGGGCCTGATCTATTTACTATAAGGATGTGTACGAAGGAAGGGTACGGCGCATCCTCAAAGTGCCGTCCTTGAAGTCCTGCTTAATGCACTTCACTCTTTCCTGTCTTTTTTGGCTTTTCCTTTCCCACCATTCCCTTCATAATCAAACTAATCTGCAACCAAACTGACCGCCAAATTATCGGTGGGGAAATCCTCGCATTGGGGATGCCAGATGTCGTTCCCTTGGATGTACATCTCTTGACCGTCGCCAAAATGATTTCCACACCGTGTACATCGAGCACAAGTCGGATGGAATTTGTAAGTCCCGGCCTAAGAAATAATACCTGTTTAGGATGACAAATAACACGCGTTTTTAACTGCCGTTGCAAGTTCTTACCTGCAACACTCTCCCAGCGATAAACTTATCGCATTCATAACATCTAACACCATGTTTGTTATTGTAGTCTCGGATGCACATTGGCTTCCCATCAAATGCCATATATTCTCCTTGCAGAACAGCATCACATTCCGCGCATTTGAAACAGGAAACATGCCAGCTTTTGTTCAGGGCTTTTAATACTTGGCCGCTGCTTAGGAGATCTCCACAAGCCGCGCAAGCTGAAGATAATTAAATTAGAAAAGCATGGAATATTTCCAGTTTTGAGCAGTATTGGTCTACTGTTTCCTAATATAGCTTTTGGCTAATTCCTTAAGAATTGAAGCGGGTTCATTAAGACAGTAAAGACTACTCGCGTTACAATGTAAATAAACCATAGCACAAATTTCTAATTTACTGACCAGTGGGCGAGGACGGGCTTGATAATCCCTTATCAGTGGGTCTTCCATGCTCGGCATTTATGGACAAGGGCGTATTAAGACTTCGGTAATGAGTGGGGCAGAAGTACGAACCATCTGGAGTTGAGTAGAAGCCCGTGTCACTCAGAGAATCACCACAAGCTAAATTGTGAATGCAATCAAATATTAGATGACATACCTTTGCATTTGAAGCAATCAATGTGGAAGTATTTATCCCCGTCCGCTCGCAGAATGTCGCCCGAACATTTCTTTTTGCAGATTTGACACTTCTTTCCTGTAATTGCAAATATGATTAAAAAACTCAGAATACGGTTGTTTATTCCTTAGTCTTTAGTCAGCATAAATCAGAATTCTCTTGATGTGGCAGACAGTTTTCGTATTTACGCAAATATTTTCTTATCTTTCAGACAACACCTTATCTGTGACACGTGAAGGCTGCGTGCAAGAAAAAAGCTGACAAGAGGATTATCACTCGACGGAAGGAGGAAGGAACTTACCCATTCCTTAAGATGATAAGCAAAGTAGCAACAATATTGGAGGAAAGTTGATTGCTTGCGGGAAGTCTTGAAGAGAGAGCGGGGAGAACGGGTTGCGAGAGGGAATCGCCGCTGGCAAGGACCCGAGTCCCCAGCACTGGCCTGGTCGTTTGGTCTTTATGCCAGAGACACACCCACCACCACCCGCCTGGATTTCAGCCTCCAGCTGTCAGTCAGAGTGCGCGTTTGGCTGAGTGTGTCCAATGGGGCCTGTTCCGGGCACTGACCCTCGATGCCGGCGGAAATTCTCCAAAACCCGACCCGGTCTTTGTTCTTCACCGTCTGGTAGATTCTTGACTCGGTTTCGGTCTCCCTCTGAAGCCGTCCCGAATACTTCCGCTTTTCAGTCTAAATTTAAAAGATTTAATTTGGAGAGCAGAAAACATAAAATTATGTTCAAACTATGTCGGATTGCCGCGCGTTATACAATTTTACATCACCTTAAAAACCAAAAAATCCCCCGACTGTCGGTAAAGTCAAAACCGCGATTCTAAAACCCGCATCGCAGCGATTACAAGAAGCCTGGAATATTCAAAAAAGCCGGTAATAAACAAAAAAAAAAAGAAATTCTGGAGAGATTCCCCTCGTTGCTCTTGCAGCCTTGATCCACGGGACCCGGGGAGGGGGGGCACTGGGAGGAGAACGCAGAGGAGCGATGAGAAAAAGGCATGGGGAACTAAGAGCGAAAGGGATCAGCCGAACGAGATTTGTACGAATTCGGAGTTAAATTACTCTGTCAATGAACCAATACAACTGACAACTGCGCAATAAGCCCTCAACTGACTTTAATTAAAGGGAATACAGAAATTGCGTTGGAGGAAAAGAGAGGAACGGGACATTAACAGCATGACAGATGGCTGGCGCGTTCAGAAAGCAGAACGCAAAACATCGTGTTAGACTCACGAGCTGAACAGAGGAATATATTTCCGAGCTTTTTGTGTATAATTGTGGATTATTCAAATTTTATTTATGTGTCACCGTATTTTTTACCGCAAGCTATTTTGTGGGTTAGGCATATAAAATATTTTTAATCGCTGATGTCTCTATATGTACTAAACCTTCCAAAAATTAAGCTTTAATGAAATCCATGCAAGGAATAGTGTGGAGATAAGGTGCGGAAGAAGAGGAGAGAAGTCAGAGTAATAGAAAACAACAATTTTTTTGGCCACCGACGCCGTCGTTTAATGCACCCCTCTTCTTTCCCCACTTTGCCAGAGTCCTCGTTTCTTGTCGCTTCACGCAGATCCGGATTAAGAGAGTCGAGAGTTACTTCCCTCGCTTATCAGTCTTTTTTACTTGTTCCCTGTTCAGAGAGACATGAGTGTTTTATACAAAGTGCGAAACAGAAGATCTATTACGCAGGGTCCCGTCCCTCCAATGTCAAGCGCTTGGATTTGGCACTATTAAGCAAGAGGCTCCTCAGCCTCATCGAACGCCCTCCCTCCCCTCCCCTCACTCGGCCCTTTAATTTCCATTAAAAGGTAGTACAAGTCAGATTCCAAGATAATGTATTAAATAAAACTTTTCCAACGTCTGTTTTTGAGACGCTGCAAATTTTCTGTTCTTCTCATGTTAGCTTTGCATGTGATCAGTCCACACAGAACTAGGGATTTGCGTTTTTCCTTTTCTCTCAAATCCACTTTAATGTCCAATATTTTTATTACATAAATGTTCCTTTTTGCGAGAAATTGACGGAGGTTTTAATTAAACGCGGTTCACTTGATTGTATCCGGGCTTACTCCCTTTTAATTTTAAACAGTAGAAATAAAGTGAGATCCTTCATGGAAGAAGAGGGTACTTCTTCGAATCCGTTATCAGACGACATCCATTGGAGGTTTTCTCAAGTTAAAGGGATCATAGAAACCGACGAACAACCGACTGATGGTATGTCTTCATAAGTTATAAAAATATTCTAATAAGAATACTTTCTTTAAAATTGTTATTTTAAGTAGACCTAATATCATGCGTGGAGTTCTCGGACGACGGAGAACTACTGGCAACTGGAGACAAAGGTGGACGAGTCGTTATTTTTCAAAGGAATCAGGTCCGTTTTGCACATGTTGCTTACTTTATGTTTAGTCGTGGAATTATTCTGGAAACAGAAGCAGTGAATACAACGTCTACTCCACTTTCCAGTCACACGAACCGGAATTCGACTACTTAAAATCTCTCGAAATCGAAGAAAAAATCAACCAGATAAGATGGCTGAAGAAGAAAAATGCAGCCAACTTTATCATCTCCACGAATGGTAAGATAAAAAGACAAAACAACCTGTTGTTAGATAAGACTGTCAAGTTGTGGAAGATCTCAGAACGCGAAAGGAAGGTGGCCGATGGCAGTTACAATATCCAGAACGGATCCAGGATACGGAATGAAGACCTCATTCTACCCAGGCTCGAACCCATGGAGCTGGTGGTGGAAGCTTCGCCAAGGAGAGTATACGCAAATGCCCACACTTATCACATAAACTCTATTAGCATAAACGCCGATCAGGTATATATTAGAACAGTTAATCAAAGTGTTTAGGAAACATTTATCTCCGCTGATGACTTGAGGATCAATCTGTGGCATCATGAGATCACAAATCAGAGCTTCAATATCGTCGATATAAAGCCCGTTAATATGGAGGAATTAACCGAAGTCATCACTGCCGCACAATACCACCCATCCGAAGGGAATCTTTTCTCCTACAGTTCTTCCAAGGGCATTATTCGACTTTGTGATACACGAACTTCTGCCCTCTGTGATCACGCTGCAAGAGGTAACCATTTAACTCAGGACCATTAATATAAAACAACTTTACAGTTTTCGAAGAGAAAGAAGACCCTGCAACTAGATCCTTCTTCTCCGAGATCATCTCATCCATATCAGACATCAAGTTCTCAAATAATGGCAGATATATAATGACCAGGGATTACCTTACAGTAAATGTAAGTGATTTTCTCATTTATTTGACGTTTTAGGTATGGGATCTGAATATGGAAAACAAGCCCTTGGAAACATACTATGTGCACGACTACTTAAGATCAAAATTATGCACTCTATATGAAAATGATTCCATTTTTGACAAATTTGAATGCTGTTGGAGTGGGGATGACACGTATGTTACAAACATTTAGCTAAATCCATTACTGAAATTGCAGGCACATTGTCACCGGATCGTATAACAACTTCTTCCGTACATTTAAACGTGGATTTGGAATCGAATCGACCTACGAAGCCAGCCTTGATCTCTGTAAATTACCAGCTATGTATCGGCAAAAGAAAAACAACAGTGGATTGATGGGACGCAAACGGAAGGAAGACATATACATCGACCATCTCGACTTCTCTAAGAAGATATTGCATTGTGCATGGCACCCCACGTCTAATATTGTCGCTTTAGCCGCCACTAATAACCTTTATATCTTCGAAGGTGTTCCCGTCTCTCAATAAGGCAAAAGATCGTTGGTATCTCCGTACGGGTTCTCTTTGTTATACCAACGATTTCGACTCTCAAGTGTCCGGTGGATCTCTTCAATCTAACAGCGACCATTTCTCTTATCAAGCCTGGAGCTTATAAAAACTAATAATTTATTTCGAGTAATACGATTTTAGTCATGAACCAAGGTCGACTCTTGTCATGGAATTTGTGAAATTGATTCAATTCAAATGTTTTATAAATAAATTCGGATAGTGGGGACTCTGCCGTTATAAAGCTCATTTTCGTATTTTGTAGTGTTGTGAAAGCGTTAAGATAAAGCTAGCTGTTGCTGGTTTCCATGCGGAGAGGAGATGCCTTTTCCCTGACCACCCCCTTTGCTCCTTCCTTCCCTTCATTCCGCATCCTCTCGTTATTTCGAAAGACCACCGTCATTTCCCAAACGAAAATTTATTTTTTTGCCTAAAACCTGCTAGAAAAAGGCTGATTTCCACAGGTTTTTCGTTTTTTTAAGACTTCGGTTAAGATTTTTGTTCAGATTCTCGGATATTTGCCCCTTAGCATGTTGATGTCGTCAAAATAAAATTTACTTTTGCATCATGCTCCTAAGATTATCGATTTCCCTAGTTTAACCTCTGAGAACACCTAATGCTCATATGCCTTTGTGATTTTACATGAATCACAACGTCTTGATTCTTTATTTCTCTTGAGTCGTCAATTTTTTCAAACGGGGTTCAAACAAACTCAATTTCCGGGTAATAAAAACACAATCAAGGTGGGTTTGTGTCTTCTACTCGCGACGGATTCTTCTATTCCTACACAATTATCATAAAAGGTTACCTATAATCATGAAAAAGTCAAGAATGCGAGAATAATATAAGCTATAATTTTTGCTTTCAGGTTTAGTATTTTGTAGCCAATCGATCTGTGCGATGGCTTCAGTCTAAACTCCCAAGGGTGTCAACGAACATTGTGGTAAGTAGGCGGGCGGCTTCTTAACCAATCTGCGACCCCCATTTGCACAACTGTCTTTTCATTTCAGGGCGACCAGTCCGCGGACTTTCACGTTTCCTTCATTTCCTCTTTATCCATCGTTTTATTATTGATATCAATTCCATTATATTGACGTTTCCGTCCTTTCATTTCTATTCTTCAATATATTTTCTAAAATTTATCCTTGTTTCAGAGATACAGTCACTCACGATGAACTCCTTCAACATGAACATGGAGGTCTCTTTCCCCACAACTGATGAACAACAAACAACTCACCAAGTACACCAACAACCTATATACAGTACTCGGATCCTACAATATGGACAGCCAATTGGTGCCCCAGTTACCATGGGAGATGGCTATCAACAGCCTGGACCCTCTTATCCAAGACACCTTCCTGGGGTCCAGTCGGCCAGCTTCTCCGCTCCCATTTGTCAAGTAGGTGTTACCATCACTTACAAAGTCATCAAATTCCACCTTTTACTAAATCATTGCAGGGATCCCAGTGTTGTGTTTGTTGGGCCTAAACGCGATTACAACGGTGGATTCGAAGAATGTCAGAACGCCGGCGAGATCAACTACGCACAATGGTTTGATGACACAGAGATGGATGTCGTCATCCCAGGCTGGGAGTCCACACACTCACTCAATGTTAACATACCAAATATAACACCAGAGACAGTCCCTCAATCCATATACCCAGAAAGGTAGTAATAATTTCAGCTCTTTCCTCCATGTCCTTCTAAACTGTACTTATTGTTTCCCTTCAGTGATCAGACCGGCTTCTCATCGCCAGGCAGCACTTACTCTTCCGGAGAATGGAGTACAGGCGGAGATTCTACGATGACACAAGAAGACATACTGGAAGAGATTCAGCGAGAATGCGCCGAGATCGAGCGTCACTCTCATTCGCCTCCTTCTACGTCATCAAGGGTAAGATAAAACGTCCGAGGGATAAATTCCGCCTTAGAAATTGAAGGTTCGACGTTCTCACAAACGCACAGACATCAGCAACGACGACCGAAAGAAGCAATTGAACCGCGTCGCCGCCACCAGATACCGCGAGAAGAAACGCCGAGAAAAAGAGCAGCTGTGGGTCGAGGAAAAACATCTGACCGACCGCAACCGACAACTTAATGAGACCGTCATCGACCTCAAGGCCGAGATCGGTTACCTTCGCAAGCTTCTCAAGGACATGGAACAGCGTTCACGCTCTGCTTGATCTCTCATCTTTCTCTCTACTATCCGCCGTTATTTAATCGCATCCAGAAATAAATGATTACCTATCCCACTAATCTTGTTCCTATTTGTGAAGCAGACAGCTGCCACTCTAGTTAATGATTATCCCAAAAAATCTGATTCCTCTGTTGTAACATTTTACAAACCAGAGACATACCAACGTTGTTTTTTGACCGGAAAGTTTAGTTTTGCAATTGAAACTGCATCGTATGGTCGAAAGCGTTCTCCCTACGACGAGATTCACTTAAATTGACTATGGTGCTCAGAATATAAATTAAGAGTGATTCCGCCCAGGGGACGTCACGAAAAGGCTGTGTGAATTGATATTAGTGATCTACGGGCCCCACCGCAGTTGTCGCACCATCCCGGCTTGAAGAGGTTTCCGCGCTTTCTTCTTGTTCATCGCAATCCAATCTTTCCGATTCGCGCAGGAAGTTTTTCGGTTCCGCCATAGCGGTTTTTTCAAATTTGATTCCATTTTCCCGCCAGAGGAAGCGCCTCGGTCAGACTAGCGCCCACCGCCTCGACTCCTTTATCGCCGAGATCTGCACCTGAGGGGCTGTAAACGAGCGGTCGCCCCCCTCCCACCCCCTGCCCTTAGCAATGCCGTTCTTCCTTTTACTTCTCGAGAGTAATTCGGAATCATGCTCCATTTGCTGGCCGGTCATACCTATTCCTTTTCTTCGCACATCATTAAGCCAGCGCGGCGACTCGACCTGGCCAGAGGTAAAGGAGACATTCGGGCCCTTCGAGCGGTTAATTTTAATTCCCCGATCCCATAAGCTTCTTGCTCTCGCCCACCAACAAAGCAGCCGTATTCTCCGTCTTCTTTATTGTACATAGAAAACAAAGACCATTTCCCTCGGATTAGGGATATAATTGGGTGAGCGTCATCGCCTTGAGATCCCCTATATTACCCTTTATATTACTCACCAAATTTACTCCATTTGCCGCGTCTCTCCTTTTCTGAACGACTTCTGACTTATTGTTGGTCGTTTGTTATTCAAAATCGCTTCCCTTAGCCAAGCTAAAAATGAGACAATTATTACGAAAAAAACGCGTTTAACTTATTCTCACAAGGTTATCACAAGCTTTGAACGATTACGAAAACATAGAACGTAAGTGTTATTTTTATTATCTTTCTAAAAAATTACCTGTGGAAATTTAAGAAAACAACTAGCCAATATAATTCCTCAAGATGAACGCTAGTGACATGCCGCTATTACCAATAGAATCTAGTTTGTTGCTTTCCTTGTTTATCTTGTTTACTCTTTTTCACCATGTTTTTTGTTTTCTCCAGAAAAGTCGTCGCGATGACTCAATTTTGGCTTTGTTATCGTTATGTACACTTTTTTTCTGCGAGCAGACTCGGAAATTGCATTAGTGCCGTCTTTTCCATGTTATTTTACTCTTTTTTCAGACCTTTTTCTTTTGATGGTAACGTGACAGAGGTCGGATACCTAGCATAATATAATTATGAAGCCGAATAAATGCTCATTTCTGATATTATTCGGGTTTCTGTGCGTTTCTACCTCAATGGCCTTAAATTCGACTCTGGAGTACAACACGGACCAGATCAAACGAGATGGAATTAACGATCCAGCCATGAAATATTTTTATTTGTTTAACGACCTTGTTATCAATCTCTTCTCGAACCGACCGTTTCCTCAAGAAATCCTGATTGATCAGGACTTCATCAACCTTGATGTTGTCAAGTCTACACGTAATAATCACCATGCGGTAAGTTTATTTGGTCTTAACTCATCGCTTTGTTTTGTTTCAGTGGCTTTTACATGAGAAGTGGTGGTTGTTAATGGAAATTGTTTTAATTGTTGGATCTCTATTTTTTACATTGGTTTATATCTTCTACAAATGTTGCATGTGTTGTTGCGGCTCAAACAAAGAGGAAGTTGATGGTCGTTTCGATGGCTGTAAAAGAAATTTCCTCAACTTGATCTTTCTGGTCTTGGTAACATTAAATATCTTTGCTTCTGTGGCTGTTTTGTTGTGTTCACAGTATGCGACACTGTCCGTGGAGAAGTTCCCAAGCGTTCTCACATGGTTTGGCGATGATTTAGAGATGTACAAAAATTACAACAATCAGGTATGTTTACTTAAAGTTATGTTTTATGCCGTTTTTAATTATTCCTTATGTAGTTAGCTGATGAAATCATTGAAAACGATTGGAAAATCACGAAGGATGAACTTAAATCAAGTCTGCATAATACGGGTCATTTGGTGGTAACTCGTCTCTATGATAAGGGGTCTAAGGACCTCATTTCTCAACTCAATAAGATTGATTCAGGTAATTTTTGTTGCTGGGGCAATAATATTTTTTTGCAGCTACTGTGGAGCTGATAAATTTGAACAATGACCAAGACTTTCTCGATCTGATAACGTTTCTTTCGGAAAATAACACTCAGATTATCTTGACCAGTGAACAGACAGTAAGCTCGATTTTATTGTTAACGTAATATGTATAGAATATGATCAAACGATTGCGCAATGTGTTACCTAAATTGAGTCAAATATCTCAATTGAAGTCATTGAATGAAACCATTGACAAATCAGCGATGAAAATACAAATGAATATTAATAGATATGTGGAAGGTGAGTGACTTAGTGTCATTCATATGACTAAACTATAAAATGATTTTAGACATCTCCCAACGAATTGATGAGGAAGATAGCACGATCCAGGATGTTCAGCTGAAGATAAAGAAAGAATTGGACTCCCTCGACTTTACTGGAATCCACGAAGAGGCCAAAAGATTGAGTAAATTGTTTGATGATAACAAACAGTACTTCAACATTGGGTAAGTCAGTTCTAATCAGGATTAGAGACCTTTCTCAGATGGGCTCTTTTCCTTGGTATTGCTGCCGTTCTTTTCTTCATCAGTTTGTGTTTCTTATTCGGTGTTTTCTACGGAATATGTGGCCGTAGAGCCAGTTATTACAATGATGACTGCTGTGTTAGGCCTACTGGGGGCAAGTTTTATGGATGGTGAGTTTAATCGTTTAACTTTTTTAGCTTAGGCTGATTCAAAAATTTCCCGCCACACAGCGTTGTCTACTTTTTTGAAATGAATCGGACACGGAGTTTTTCGATTTTTTGGTGGTCGACATTTACCGAAATATGCAGGGAGAAATTTTTGCAACTTTAGGTGGTAGACTGAAAGAATTTGCTGTAATTTGATGACGCGATTTAAATAGGATAAACCGACACGACCCAACTTTTTGGCTAAGGTTTAGCTGCCTTTACGGCTATTCCAGACGTCCGACTAGAATTTCACACATACACGAAAAACAACTTCTGGAATGCATAAAAGCTTTCAGTAAAAATTCCAACCTTTTGTATTAGCGGGCCAAACAGCACAAATCGGCCTGACTCGATTGCCAATTCTAAACTGAATTTGTAATCAAGGCTGAAAAATGACCGACTTAGGATTTTCAGCGCCCAAAAGCGACCTTAGTCTCATCTTTTAGGACAATTAAATGAACTTTTTGATCAGATACAAAAAAATGGGGACAAAACCGTCGTGGGAATAAAAACGGGACCAATCGCAAAAATTACATTTTGACGTATAAGTCGACGGAAAGGGCAATTAATTTTTTTCACTTTTGGATATGTTGTAGAGAATGTATGCTAACAGGATGCCTCCGGAAATTTTAAAACAAAAATCTCAAAGTCAACTTTTTTTTCTATCTCCACGGCTGATACGTAACCAAAACCCGTGTTTTAATCAATATTTCAGCGGAGTATCTATGGCCATTCTTGTTCTATTTGTTCTGGCCGTGGTGGCCTCTTCTCTTATGTTGATATTTGCAAATGCGACTGATCTCATCTGTGACACATGGGAGCATCCGGAGGACCGCATGGAAATGATTGATCTCATCGACCGGATCACCTACGAAAAGCTTATTAATACTCGGACGGAGACAGATATGCTTGCGGAAGTTTTGGGGAAGAAAACGAACATCAAGAAGCTGATCAAGGGGTGCAGAAATGGCACCACCTTTGTTCAGATGCTCGGAATCCGCGATCGTTACAAAAGTTTCTCGCTTTTCAATGATAAGGTTGATGAGTTCTCAAAGTTGGGGGACAATATCCGCAATTCATTTGAGTCCGATATCGAGAAAGTGGATCTCAATGTGACCGAGATCGAACATAATATCTCTCAGTTGAAGGCTCTGTCCACCATCAACCTGACTGTATGTTATTTGTTACTGTGTCTTGAATCAACTTTTGTAGGAAGTCAAGTCGAACCCCATGTTGAAACCATATCTGCCGACAATTGAAAAGATTGACAAGGCCTTGAAGAAATTGTCATCTCTCCCCAGCCATGAGTCCCTCGGTTTTGCTCAAAATACATTGTCAAATAAGGAGGAACTCTCCAAATTTCTGGATGCAGTGATTGTCGAGGAGACTAACTCTGTCAAGGGAATTGTCACCAAATACTTTTCCCAGCTTCAGGACTCTCTCGAATCACAAATAACAAGTTGTGAGCCAATCTCTCACATCATGGATAATATGAGAGTGGCTGTCTGTGATCATACTCTGGATCCCTTGAACGGAATCTGGATGTCGTTGGTGATCAGTGTAGTATTATTCATTCCTTTAATAATGATGGCTAATACACTCGCTCGGCTTTATAATCATGCTGCACCTTTCACGAAGTAGTAGGTTCTCTTCTCTCGCTTTATCTTACCTGTCCTAGCACTGTTCATGAGCCTCATACAGAAGCCGCTTTCACTACTGACGATTACGCAATGACGATGAATCCAAACAAGCCGTAAGTTGCCTCCTTCCAATCACTCCTTCCTTTCAAGATCATATGGGACTAGGAATTACGGTTATCAAGATGTATATCCCCCTCCATATCTGAACGACCAATACCGGTATCGATATTAATTATACGGTTTTTTGTACATTTCGCGAATATTCGTATAATAAACAAAGTTCTATATTTCAAAAAGTTCTATAAACACCCGGAAATGGACTCAATGCATGACTATGATAGTCTTTTGGAGGGGCAAACCTGAACTAGCTCACGAGCTAGGTCACGACCAAGCGTAACCAAAGTGACCCTCGCACCCTAGTCTAGTTTGGCCATTTTGTGAATATTTTGGACATGCACGATATCGGACTCAGGCCACCTGAAATAAATCTTGCGTACTACCCAAAAACATCTTCGTTACCGTTTTACGGCTCTGCGTCCTCTCAGTTTTGAGCTATTTGACGTTATTTTAAATTGCTTTAATTGTAAATAAAAGAACTAGGTTGCTGGGGAATCAGAGCAAACGGCGTTTGGATGATAGATGCGGTCATATCCATGTGTGGATTCAAAATCGAAAATGTTAAGGCCTCGCTGATTGACTGAGTCGTGAATCGTGTCACTTGATGGGGAAAAGATATCTCGAAAGATGGACAGGGAGTATTTCTAATTGGAAGTTTGGATCCGAACGGTCGTGCACCGTGGAATGGGCTTGAATAAATTAGACCTACTTGCTTGGTTAATGTTCATGGTATGCCTTGTTTCACAGAATTATCATTTTTAGATTTCTGTCAGTCTAGCCACGACCATAACACCAAATTATACCACCGTCAGTACCGTAAGTTCGTTTCGGTTAAATTTTACATTCGCAGAATTTCTACGACTCCCTATTTTTAGCTCTCTGGTGACGACAGAGAACGATTAAATCTGGTCCTTTTACTGGTGGTCAACGGAATTCTTCTGATGTTGGGTGCTTTCGTTGTGCTCCTTCTCCTTACTTGTCAGTGCTTATATCCAAGCATTGTAAAATATGCCAAAAAAAATGGATACGACTTCAAAGCGGGCAAGGTAGATGGACAGCAGCCATTATGTATGACTGTGCTATGTTTCAGATTGACAAGGTCGACTGTGCATTGGCACCACGCATGGGCCCCAGATTCCGTCCATGAAATTAAAAATGACTACATTTTCTAGCGCAATAAATTGTTTCTAAGGATTTCGTACTCATCAACTCGGCTCTTAAAAAAAGTTTATTTACATAAACGAAGCGAAATCTTGGGGTGCCTTACTGAATATGAAATTTGGAAAACTTTGGTTGATTTCAATGAAATTTGAAAAAATAAAGATGTATGAGATTACACAACAGCATTTCAAGAGACAAAATCAAATATTGGGGATTAAGCACCAGCACTAAAATTATCGACCTGCAAAATGCTGAAAACGTTTTTTGCAGTACCATGTGTTATAAGCCTACAAATTTTCAAAAAGAGTCCTTAAAGGAACCTAGGTAGTAACAGTAATAGAAACCCGGTTTTCATACTCACAAGGGAAGTACTTGAAGTGTGACGCTCAGACTTTGATGAAACGTGGCACAAATTTAGAATAATTTTTTCTAAGATATATGCGGGAATCCTAGCTCGCGCTTTGCAGAAACAACCGAGATTTTTAGATCGAAAGTCGGCGAAAATTTGGGACTTTTTGCCGAATTTCGGCACGAAAAGTTTCATGCCTATTTCAACTGTAAAGGATAATGTTTCTACAAAAAATCAAATTTTTCCGCACGAAACTGCCAAAGTTATGGCCAAAAAGCGGTTTTCTCTCTGACCGCTCTCCACGTTGAGCGTGCTCTCTCGGCGGCAAAACTCGTTCAATATCTTGGCGGCGCCCGCAAAGCGCGAGCTAAAACTTTCAGGAATTGATATTTAGTCCATACCCGATGTGTGTGCAAAATTTAAAGAAAATCTGAGCGTCACACTTGAAGTACTTCCCCTGTCAGTCTCACTTCGAAAAAACCCTCTTCACAAATTCGAGAACTGACTTTGTGAATCATTCATATGATTTACCAACTGAGAGAAGTTTGCGATTAAATCACAGCTATTTACATCCATCATGGAGTCGAATAAATGGAACGTGTCATCCAGTAAACTTTTGGATGGGGACATAAATTCCGGATGGCCTGGTTCGTTCAGGATTTGGTCGAATGTATTGCTGGATCCGGGAATCCCTTCCAACCGCTACACAGTAAATAAAATAAACAGTTTTAATAAGAAAAATACAACAAAAACAAAACATACTGGGTAACTTTGCATTTCGAAGAACTGGCGATCCTCATGAGGGTCATCATCGAATTCCAAGGGTTGCTCGAAACACTCAAGTTGAACATGAACAGGCTGTTGAGCCGACTCTGTGCTGGTTGCAAATTCAGCCACAGAGACACTTTGCCCACCAATTGGAGAAAAGTCCGTGGGCATTTCTTTCGAGGTAGACGGAGAGGGGCTTTGGCGTGGCTAAAAAAATATTCAGAAAATAGTTACAGAAAGAAATCTTACCATATTTGGAGCACCTTTTCTTTTCTTATTATCCCGTCCGGTCTTTCGCAGCATCGCAAGTTGTTTTACAAACATATTTCTTTCATTGTCAACCACATTCCCTTGATTACAAACTACTTCGGCCAATCTTTTATTGGGCTGTCGTTTCGATGGAAGGCCTTCAGAACTCTCCGAAAATTCCTTGAATCGCTTGTCCATCTTAAGTTCGGCAAAAATATCATCACATTCAACAAAGAGTTCATTCAGTTTCTCGAAACAATTAACGCGTTCCGTGTCACATGCAATCTCATATCTCAAAGTTATCTTCTCGCTCTCATTGAACTGCAATAAGACGTATTAAAGTCATCAGGGATATACTCAGATTAAAAGAAACCCGATGAGTGGTTCAACCAACCGTATAAACCACGTACAAACAAAAAAAGCTGCAGGAAGTTGAGAGTGTGGCAATTTGTTCTGTCGATTCCATTTTTAAAAATATCACCAAAGTCCAGATATTCAGCCCGATCTTCTTTGTTCTTCTTTCGAATCTGCTTTAACGAATTCAAAGACGGAATTGTTTCTTTCGCAAATCTTAATTCGACCAAGCTCGGCTTAAAATCGTCTGGAGAATACAATCGAATTATCGGTCGAGATGTTATTTCCTAAACACGACCTTATACAAAGACATTATCGGACTCACTTCTCCTTCGCAAAATTGCCACTTTTGTTCTAGAAAATCAAATAATTGAGATAAAGAAGCCCCACAAGGAATATTCACATTAAGAATAGGATTAACTTCACATTTCGTATTCACATAATGTTTAGATGTGTACGAATAGGGCGTCAAAAATACCGAGACGGTCTGAGGCGCACGGGCATATTGTCTTAAGGCTAAAATTATTACCAATAAATAGTAAAGAAAACCTACAAGGAAAGTATTTGTGAAAAGCAACACAAGAAGGCGTTTTTATTGTTATCGAACTTCTTTTTTGAGGGATTTTGAGGACGGCAGATCCAGTTAAGACTAAAGACTTAAACTTCTGAGGCTGAATCACTCCGTTCGAAGTTCGTTTCTTCCATTCTAACGCATTCAGAACAATAAATAATTCTCTCGCCCCATGCGGAGCCCCATCCCATTCCTCATCAGTAATACCGGCCTTCTCTTTGTACATCTTGTAGGTATTGTAATAGAAATTCTTAATTTGATCCTTGTCTCGAACGTACTTCTTCTTTTCAAGATAATACGAGATTTGCTCAAAATTTTTTCCGTTCTGAAACACGTATAATACTTAAATTATCCAAATGACATTCAAAACGAAGGTTTGAAACACTTACCTCCTTCAGGGCTTCATAAAATATAATTATTTCCTCAATTCCCCACTGTGTTGCTGCTCGTTTCTGCAGCTTCTCTTTCGGTTTTCGAGCTGACTTTTTTGGGGACAGTCCCGCGATTGTTGAACACGATGGCGAAGGATCTAGTGGTTCATCAGCACCAGACTTGGCAGATCCAGGAACGAATAATACATTCTTCCGTGAAATGGACGAATCTGCCTTTGATACCCTCGAAAGATGCGTTCTACTGTTAGATTGCATTCCATGAAAGGCTTTATGGACTTTTAGCCAAAAAATTTTATAAAGTATAAATTTCGGAGGAAAAACATCGGACGAATTTTTTTACACAACGGACCCCCAAGCTGCGCCCAGGATTTAGAATTCGCCGGTGACATCTTATACGGAGTAACATCAAATTCCGCAATAATTCGCTCGGACCTCTAAGAGTGTAGACACAGAATATTATTTTCAGGAAGATCCAATATACCCAGTATCAAGTTTCTACAGTGACATCCTTCCTTTGAGAAACGCTGGCGTCAGTAACCTCAATTTGGTCAACTGTTACAGTAGAAAACAGCTACCACTGGCGTCCGCGAGCTGCGGCCCCGCTTAAAAAAAGAAAAAAACGAAGGGCCACTTTTCTTCTTCTTCTGCAGATCTTCCGTTTAGAGCAGCCGTGGGAAACATATTTGGGAGATGTCGGCGATTACACCACGTAGAGCGAAAGAAATCGGTGCCTTTTTCTTGTTTTTGGGAGGTAAGATCGAATTGTACTTTCTTACCTATTTAGGAGTACATTATGCATACTACAAGATCCAGAACAACGACAGCCTTGTCCCGATGCAGAATAGACAGGAATTGTTTTACGTACAGTGGATCAAGGATGCCTTTCCATCGCTTAAGGACAAGTTTGGTGTGAAGAAGGATTAGATTTAGGACTCATTTTTTTTGTTTATTGGCACTAAATATGTATCTGACCCGCATTAAAATTTATTCAAACCGCCTATAATCATTCTAGTCCTCAAGGAGGAGACTTTGTCCAAACTTAACCTTCTCGCCGGCTTGTATCGCGAATTTAGCGGATCCTTGTGTTTCGAATATCTAAATTATGTAAGAATGACCCATTATTATTACCAAAACGATTGTAGATCCAAGTCTAAATTCGCCAACTTTTTCACCGGTGTTGTATAATATTCCACTTGCCTTCGTCGATTCAAACTCCTCCGTTTCAAGAGTTTTTGCGTTCCGACTTTCTTCTAGTTTCTGTTTCTGATGTTATAGGTGATGGGGTAACTTACTTTTTCTATAGAAATATCTCCTACATTTGTGGCGGCAACCGCAGTCATTGAGAAGAATCCATCCTTCCAACCTCCATTGAGAACCATTCTTTCATTCAAGCAGAATAACAGGGGGATCTTCTCCAGAATTGATGGTCTGACAGATAATAGATGTCCTAAACCAATAGAATTTTAAAGATTTTTACCCGGAAAATGAGTTTGTTGGTGGCAATTCCATGTGGCCGGAGAGTGAAAGGCGTGGTAATCCCCTGGAGCCAAGTAAATGACTACTTGAAGTAGTTTATTATTCGGCTGAAATTGAGGTTGTGTTTATTCTCCTTAAAATACCTTCAACTTCAAAGACACAGGACCAAGAAACTCTTGAACATCGTAGTCATGACCCTTGACGTATTCGACCCGTCCATCTTCGATCTCTCCGATATGCAGTACCGTTCCATCAGCGGGGGATACCTAATTTATAATACAAACATCAGTTCACTTGCCATTGGGGCTGCACTAATGGGTCTCGCTGTTTCCAATAGCGGTCGATTGAAGAACTCCGCAAAGGATTTGTATGCCTTAAGGTCGGGATGGATCGTCTCATCCATGTTGCAATTATAAATCCGAACATACAAACCATATAAAGGATTTCGTAAAATTGTAGGGATGTAGAGAGTTGAAGCAAAGCCTGTGAACTTGGAAATGGCGTTTAATGGCAGAGATGTATAAACCCGAATCTAGAAAGGCTTAAACGACGAAGTTTTATTTTACTTTCCAATCCGAATAATAATGTATCGGGTCGACCTGAGAGCGGACATCTGGCCATAGTACCTTCGTTGTGTACAGCCCCGTAACAACAGTTGTAGACCCGAAAAGATACAACTTCCATTTTGACTTGGATTTCTGGGGTCCAGCACTCAAAGCCCTCGTTGATGTAAACAACCAAGGAATCCAACGCCTTTGCATCTACTTCAGTTATGCACCCTTCAAGCCTCAAAATATAGAATGGATAAGAACCATGCTTAGCCCGCACTAGGTTATTGAAAAAACAAATTCATTATAACGGTAACAATTAACAACAACATAATCATCCAAGTTTCATCTTAAGAGCAGTTAACGTGATTGGGATCGCTTCCTCAGTCCTGATAATCCGACTTCCTTGATCGGGGAGAGAGTTGATGTAATAATTAAAGAGACTGGCTGGATCTTCGTCTTCAATTTGCTCATCGCACTGTACAGCTTGCTCCAAGCCTTGTAAACCGCCAAAAACTATCAGAATCTTGCTAAAAGAAATTAAACGGTAAAATAATGCCACTCACCATCCCTCCTTTTGCTCGAACTCGACATCTCCAATAGCCTTGCCTCGTTCCGATGTGCCTACATACACGTCATACTTGATTGAGAACACATCATGAAGGCTTTTGGCAAGCCTGACATTGTATCCCCAGTAGACGCCGGCTTCGTTTCTGATCTTCTTTGGACTAAAGATTTTCCCTCGATACCGTTTTCTCTCTGGATTGGTGTCTGTTAGATGTACAGTGACTCTAGTTTTTGGGGGCAACACAATTCCATCTTCTAATTGCAATTCCTATAAACGAGGAACCTTATGTCTTCATTAATCTTACCTTGTCCAGACCGACATCACAAAAAGATCCTTTTCCTTCTTTTACTATCCTGTCCAAAACAATGCCTTCGCGATAAGGAACGTGAAGATCATTAGCTCTCAAATGATGCATTCCATCCAACGGATTCAGAATTCCAGCAAATTTCAAGGGTTTTTGTACAGGAAAGAGAGCCTTTCGAAGATATTGAGGGCATTCCAGAAACTCCAAAATTCTGGCCAAATGGAAATTACATTCATTGTTTTTGTCGGTCATCTTTTCTTCTCCAGTCCATGATCCAGAGTAATAAGCATTTAGTTGGCTAAAATTGAACAAAATAATCTTGATCAGTCCTACCTGTCCGTCATTCGTGCCGTTTCATCAAATATTACTACTTCATCAACGCAAAAAACAGATAGACTTCTGGCAATCTCACCCGCCAGATACGCTTTCAGCTCTGGACTCTGGGCATTATTCAATATTGAACCAGGCAAAGCGACACTCAACTGGTACCATTTCTCTAAAAAAAGGTAATAAATTTGTGCTTCCTTTACTTTGCGTTTGAATATTTGTGTTGAATCCACTAGTTGGCTGCATTTCGATGGCTTTTTGATACGACTCTTTGTTAATAGCTGAACTTAGTAATTCTTCCTCTCTTCGACGTTTCTTCTCATTCTTTTCTAAACGCAAATTAAAAAAACAAAGCAAAGTACCAACTTACTTATACTATAATTCTTCTGCTTCTTTTTAATATCGTGCTTTCCTTTCAGCTTATACATCATCTTCATACGATCATGGCTCTTAGACAAGTCGTTTTGCATTTTTGTGGGTTGTAGGGATATATTCAAAGATATATTATATAAGGGTAAAAACTTTTTTCCGGTTTGGGACCAATGCACGCCATTTTTTCTGTCCGATAGATTTTTTTCATTTTCCGACTCGCGCCCGAGGCCAATGCGCGAGTTGAAAATCCTAGGGCGCAGCTCGTATCTCGGGGGACAAGCACGCAACGAAAGCGTGTTTTCCGAGCTGCGCCCTACCATTTTCAGCTAACTTTCAGTTAGAACATTGACTCGGGAGCCAATTTCCTCCACAGGGAACTCGGATTTGCTCATAAGTACGTTTTTTTACTTATATTTACATGATGTTTATATATGGCACGTTACTTTTAAATTTCAGCGCGCTATAGCGCGCGCTAGTCCATCTCAACCCGGCGGATTTAGTCCAAGTTCACAAAAAAGGGGAGGGGAGGAGGAGCCGACAGAGAAAGGCAGAAATTTTTACAAAGTGAGAATTTGCGCAACGTTGTGTAAGATTGTGCAACTTTCAAATTTGGACATCCGCGGGGTTGCAACCCAACCGGTTGGGATGGACTAGCGCGCTGAAATTTATAAGTAACGTGCCATATATAAGTGAATAAACGTAAATATTCGGGGAGCGCCGCAAATAATCTGAAATTTACTTATAAGTAAATCTAGGGTTTTTTGTTTTTGTATACCCACCCTTCGGATTATTCAGGGTGGGACCCTCGAAACTTCCAACCGTATTTCAGCTATTTCTCCCCCAATAATGCACCATTTGTATGAAATTTATATCAAATTGAAGCTGAGGCACCCCATTTTTTGTCCACAAAGACGCGAGTCTACGTTTCCGGAGACCCCCGATTTTTTCACTGCAAGAAAATAATTATTTGATAAGAAAAAATGGTAAAGGTTCATTATTCTGGCCACAACTTATAACTTTGCGGAAACTGATCAGAATTATCAGTCTGTCGGAAAAATAACGGCGGATCATCGCGCCTAGGAATCGCCCGTCATCGCTTTGCGACGGCTGCCGAAGCTGAAGATTTGTCGCGCGATAGAGGCGAGGCGAGACATTTTTCTGCGACGATCCGCCGTTATTTTCCCGACAGACTGATAGCCCAAATTTAGCGTGCAGGCTCAATACATCGTTTTCAATGCCCGGACGGTGAAATTAGTTAGCGACCTTACCCTTCAAAAACGCCTGCAGCCTGTAATTTTATTATACGATGAAACATGTCCGGAACTAAAAGTATTGCCTCCGTATAGAACTAAATGAGTCGTCGTAGGCTTCGTAGGTACCTTAAAACTATAGAGCTATTATAGTAATTCAGTGCCAGCTAGGTCGAAGTCTTTTTTCCTAACTTTAGTTCCCAAACTTGGGCACAGTTCGCAGAGAATTCAATGGTGACATTTCGTACGATTGCGGTGAAAAAAATCTGTCGAGTTTCCCTCTGTCCAGCTTCCCCTGCAGGGGATCCCCTGTCCAATTTCCTTCTGCCGGGTTTCACTCTGTCCAATTGTCCAATTTTACTATGTCGAGTTTCCATGAAGCCGGTTTTTCGGTGGAAAAATATTTTTCTCGGAATTACACTCCGCGCCAAAAGTTTTGACCCCCCTTCTAACTCGGTCCAAAGTGTACCAATTTAGACCAAATTTGGTACATAGTCTACTGAAAAATTTGGTACATAGTCTATTGACAACCCATTTGTTTTTTTTTTTGACTAAAGGGCTAGATGTGGTCGTTAGGTTCTCAATCAATGTAATCCTGAGACTCCTATCTACTCGCAAACCAATAATAAATTCCCGTTGACACGATCTCATATGGTTTGCAGATGCAACTTTGCCGAACTGCACCTTAACGAAAAACCCGCATTTTTCAAATGGATTTTTAGCGACGAAAAGCAGTTTCCATTTGATGGACCAGGCTAAGGCACCCGTCATACACATTTGAGACGTATGGAACGCCAAATAGGCGGCCGGGATGTCGTCGTGCTTGGGGGCATCTACAGTAACGGCAAACTAAAGATTAGGGTGAATGAAACCCATTACAAAACGTGTCAAATCGAAACATTTTACATTACGGAGAGTAAAAAGGAGTCTTAGGATTACATTGAGGACCTAACGACCACATCTAGCCCTCTAGTCGAAGAGCAAATGGGTCGCCAAGGCTGGACATGACAACTGGGTATCGGCCGAATCGACACCGCTAGGCCATCATGGACTTTTTTCGAAAGAAAAAGACTAATGCAGGTGATTACACGCCAAAATCACATAATGTAAACATAATTTAGAACTTTTGGAAAGCGCTAGAAAACGTTTTTTACCATTTTGGGCAGCTCTACATCAGGTTGTAAGTAGACTATGTACCAAATTTGGTCCAAATTGGTACAATTTGGACCAGCGCATTTCCTGAACCTTTTAGACGTTTCGTCCACACACTATCGATTGATCAAAAGATTTTAGATATCAAAATTCTTTCGAAAGAATTTTTGGTGGACAAAATCAGTTATTAAAAAATTCAAAATCTGACTGCGAAATATTGGATCTGCACGGGGTGCCTCATTGTAGGCTTCGAGAAGCATGGATTCGGTTCTAATAATCGTGAGAAAACAAGGAGACAGCAGAAGGCAACATCTTTTGATAAATATTGATCCAGATGATACAATAAGTTGTTTGAAGAAGAAGATAAGGCGACATTTGGATAGTGACGAGGAGTGCAATATCCTCTTTACTGGTAGACGGTTGGATGACGCTATGAAAATCAGAGACTTGAAATTGGGTCCTAGCACGTAAGTTGTAAAACCCATAACAAAAAATAACTTACAGATCGCTTACTGCAACTATGAAAGCCTCAGAAATTGATGGATTCGAAATTGTAGAAAAAGATTACAGTTCCGACAATATTGTGAAACCCCGGCCTTTGACAACTTTCAATGTATACTGCAAAAATTGTGCAGGAGTTCAGGCAGGAAAACTCCGGGCCACTTGTAGTGTATGTTCGTCTACATCTATTCTGTTCACTCAAGAACCAAACAACCATGAAGACTTAATTCTAAGGTAATTAAACGTATAAAATGGACAATGCTTGCTTTAGCAATAGGATCACTGTAAGATGTCTTGACTGCGATACGCAAACGACTTGTAAATTTGATTTTAAATGTGGGGAATGCAACGAACCTTCAACGTTGCTCTATCACATAGTCCCCAACCGTACCCGCAACGAATGTGTGATATGCGGCGAGGTGGAAGGAACAGTTTTTTCATTGCCTTGTCAACATATATCATGTATTCCTTGCATCACCGCCTATATGGAACAAATAATGCGACAGTGGCTATTCGTTTACAAAAGAGATGTAGGGTTTACCCTCTCATGCCCCATGGTCGACTGTGCAGGTAAATAAATACGAACAGTAGAAGATTCTAGTGGGTCTTTTAAAGTAACGATGAAATTATAGCTACAGTGACCGACCCTCATCATTTTTACGTTTTGGGAAACGATTCTTATCGTGAATACCAGAATAAAAGTGCCCAGAAATACCTGGAGATGCAAGAAGGCTCAATCTACTGCCCCTTTCCCGAATGCAATGCCGGCTTCTTTGTCCAGCCAGATTCTATGATTCCAGAATCCGATGCCAATTATGTACTATGTCCTGAATGTAATCGGAAGTTTTGTGTGAAGTGTAGGAACCGAAACGAATGTATTTGCGGGATCGAAGATCAGTCCATCACTCTGGTCAATGCTCTTAGCAAACCATGTCCAAGATGTCGAGTACCTACAGAACGGAATGGAGGCTGTGCTCATATGAGATGTCTCAATTGCACATTTGAATGGTGCTTCTTATGTGAAAGTGCTTGGACTGATGGATGTCAATGGGACCATTGGTTCGATTAGGAATCTCCTCGTTTTATTGCAATAAATGTATATAAGCAGTTTAACGCCACCGTTATTTATTGTAGACAACGTTGAAATGAATCACGAATATGTGTTTTATAAGATACCGGTTTTGTGATTGTCCGTTGTAAAAAAGATACATACTGTCTTGAGGAAATATTTTTTGACAATTGAGAAAATTGGCGGTTTCGTAGAAAATCGGAATTTGAAAGTTTGAGTTGGCACTTTCCCAGGAAAGTTTTCGTCCGCGAATTTTTAGGCGCTTTTTTCGGGAGTTTTAGAAAATATGAGCTTATATTATAGTATGAGGGTGTTCCGAACTTGAATAATCCCTCTTTAAAACCAATTTTAAAGTATTGTAAGATCACAGACGACCATTACGAATAAAACTAATCGAGTTCTGCCATTTATTTTTAGATATAATACATTGCTATTGTTAAGTTTTCATGCAGGAGTGATGGAATTAAACCCATGCGAATTTGATGAAAGCAACGTACAGGAACAGTATCGTCCTCCCGAGACCGAACTTTATGGCTGGAACGTCGAATCAGGGTCAAGAGAGGTTTTAAAGGATTTGGACAACCAATTGTATGTTATTTACGAGCGGATCGGTATCTAGTTACTTCGTCCTAGACGTAAATTTAAAAATGGGAAGCTGATTTTGACTTCATGGCGGTCTTTTGTCTCAAATAACATCTACTGCTTTAGTATTAGGTTGTTTTAGGTATTTAAATTTAGGAATTTAAATTTTACTCGACTATAAAATTTGTTACCTAATTTATGCGTTGAATGCAAGAAATAAGTTTTTCTTCAAAAAATCTCAAATTTTAGTTGGGTTAGATGATTGAGCTATGTTAATAAAATCCCCGTCTGAAGTTCTTGGTATGTATATCATACCAGGCGAGTAGCGATGGAATTGTTTCGTTTCCATTGCTCGAAAGAGGCTGTGGACGCAGTTTGCCGCGAGTGGGAGCTCCCTCGCCCCAGTCAAAAAAGCGTCGTCTCTTTCTCTCACTAGCATATAACATATCTTAATTGTTTCAGCACCGACGACATCCTCGATTGCATTGTACTTCCTGAAAACACTGACTCTGGGTACTGCGACAGCACCTTCTTGGACATACCATTGATTCCAAAGTTTGAAGAGGACTACCAATCGTTATATCAGAATTCATTCGTGGGTCATCATTTCCAAGAATCATCATCTCCTTTCATATCATCGGCCAGGCTGAATATTACCCACGAGTATCCGAACCGCGAACAAGTGCTGGGGAGTTCACTTAAGTTGCAGCCCTGGGAACCGCCAGAAAACTACGAGGTAAAGGATAAACTGATTTCTTGTAGTTTAGAAGTCATCACGAGATTTTGATTACATAACGAAAGATCTTCCAGGTTCCAAGTTTCAGCATTCCTTACCCTGAGATGTATGAGAAGGGTTTGCGAGAAAAACCTGACGATGATCATTCTTCAGACCTCCTCAGTTATTATTCATTACTAGCCGGTGACATGAGTTCAAGCCAGGTGACCTTTGGTGTAGATGGGGATATGAAACCCAGTTTCTCGTCAATTTTTGATGCTAGTACGTTTGGATCTCCAATCCAAGAGGAGATAAAATATTCCCGGAAGCGAGCCAAGAGGGTACACAATGCTCCATATGATTTGAAAAAAATGGTGATCCCACGAAGTCGAAGAGGAAGGCAATCAAAGGATGAAGATCTCGCCAGGGAGTTTGGACTACCTGTTTCTGCAAATGAATTGTGTTTGATGAGTCATATTGATCTACAGAACCTACTGAAGCGAGATGACTTGACCGATGATCAGAAAGAAATGATGAAAAAATTAAGAAGAAGAGGTAAGTAATTCGTTTTAAGACTTTTGTTCTATTTTTAGGTCGAAACAAGATTGCTGCTAGAAGATGTCGGGCAAAACGATTAACGGGTGGCCTACTATCCGGTGAGGAAGGTGGGGATCCGGAAGACGATGATATAATGGAAGATTTTGATGAAGAAGAAGAGGAAGAAGAGATCGAGCAACCCGTTATCCCCAAATTGGACCAGAGTAGTCATGGCCGAAAACGAAAACCGACTGTCAAGTTGAGTTACTGATGGGGTTTCAGTTGTAATTCGTTATTGATACGGGAGAATCCCCTATGTTATTGTTCATACCTTCGTTACTTTTGAAATTTGTTAGCGGTATTAAATTTATACGAAAACTTTTGAATGATTTTGGATGCGCTTTGTTGTTCTCTGATTGTGTACTTCGGCATTTTATGTTTTCAGTAATGTTATTCTTGATCTGTTGATGTCATCTCCCGTAGAATTGGGTAGGTTGGAGTTTGGTGCGCTGCCCTTGATCTCTTTGCATCATGCGAATGACGACCTCATTGTCTCAGCTTCATACTCACGCGATGCAATTAATCGGTCTGGATCAGTTTTTTTGTTTGATGCCGAGATGAATAAAGTCCTGGAAGAGCCTTTAAGCAGTGCATCTTTCCACTGTGATTACGCCGCTGATAAGGATGTTGCCGTCATGAAGTTGGCTGATGGGAAGATTGCTTTATTCAATGTGAATCAACGAACCCTTTCCTACGAAAAGGTAGACAATGAAGGAATAATGATTACTGACGTCTCTTACCAACCCACAAATTCAGCCATTGGCGTATTTAGCGATGCAAAGGGCCGTATTACAGTCTTTGACAAGAACTCTGGAGTCAAAACGCAACAACGAATCGTCCATGAAATATATGGGAGTGAAGTGCCGGCATGGTGTTGCAAGTTTTTGGATGAGAATACATATGCAACTGGAGGAGACGATTGTTTTTTGAAGTTGTTTGACATCAGATCTAATGAAATGTCAATGGTTTCAAAGGTACATGATGGTGGAGTTGTAAGAATAAGAGAAGCTGGACAGCAGTCAAAAATACTCACTGGTGCTTATGACAATCATCTTAGGCTATTGGATATTCGAAACTTAAAAACTGCCGAGAACAATGCCAAGGTAATAAGTCTGTCTGTTATTTTTATTTTTTTAGTTGGATGGTGATCCCTGGGACTTCAAAGTATGTGAGAATGGGATGATACTTGTGGCTGCAATGTATTCCGGATGGTATTTTTTGAATAAAGACCTTTCCGTCAACACACACCATGATCTACCTGATAGTTTAGTTTACGGAGTCGAATGCATTCCCTCTTCCAAAGGTGTCAAAGTCATTTGTTCTTCCTTCACTAATGGCTCTGTCTTTGTGTTTGAATGTAATCATATCAGTGATGAGCGTTCCATTCCTTCGTAATTCCAGTTTATTACTTGTTGTTACTTTAATGGTTGCCCGGATTTAAAGCTTTTTCTGATAAATCCTTGTCACTTCCAAGTAAGGTTCGGGAAATTCGAGCATATTCACCACGCGGTTATATACCCGAAATCTCGGGTATTTACGAAATTAGCCCAATATAATACCAATACATACGAAGTCGTTTGCAATTTATTCATTAACATAATCACGTGTATGGTGATATTCTTGATTTTCCCAACTACAACGAACAAAACAAGTACTTTGACAATGAAAAATTTAAACAATCCAATATTTCGCTGTCAAATTTGGAATTTTTTCCCTTTCATCTTCCGACTCCGGCAACTGGCTGACTAGTTTTCGACCTCAAAACTAAGTTTTGAACGGAAAAACAAATTATGACAAAATGTCAACATTCATTCATTTTTTATGACCAAATTCCACTTTTTTTTACATTTTTTAAATGTAGAAGTACTTTGAAAATTCTCATAAGTACCCGGCTTCGCGGGTATTTGGGTATACAGGGTGACAAAGAAAAAATGCAACTCATATTTTTGGCCATATTTTGTCTAAAACACCAAACTTAACCAAAGTAACGGTGAATGTCAGTAACATAAAGCATGTTAATAGTATGCTCAGCCAGTTTTAAGGTGGCTGTTCTTGGCCCCGAGATAGAGCTCAAAACGTGACTTTAAAATTTGGGCGATTCGCCGAAGGTTTTTTTGGGGAAATCGGTCCCGTTCTTCCCGCAGCGATCAATTAGCGGCTCCAAACTTTTTTGGCGTGAACTAGAGGTCCTGACTTTTAACACGGACAACATAGTCCACCGGATTCAGATCCAGCGAGTAGGCGGCCATTTCGCAGACCACATAAAATCGGGAAAACAGGTCCTTTCCTGGCTTTGCGTCTTTTTTGCTTTATGGATGATGGCGGAATCCTGCTACGGTGTCTGTTTTGAACCGCCAAAGTGCTACTGAGCCCACGGAATCACGATGGTGTACAAAATGTCGCTGGTAGACTTATCGGGGTGGTTATGACCCCTTTATCCAAGAAAACCAAGGATATCACGTTTTCGACATTTTTTGAGCCGTGCTTGCTTGTAGTGTTCCGTGAGGCGCTAAGCTTTTTGGAGCTTGTAAGGCTTGCTCTACGTTACATTGATAACCATTCGTCGATTCGCTGTTCTCTTGGTGCGGTCTCCCGGGCAATTTTCTTCATGGACACCATCAGATTTTGCTTCACTCGCTTTTTGATGATCTCAAGGTTGGCAGAAGTCTTCAAGATGCGCTTCCTTCTAATTCCTGGATACTTACCACCGTGGCCAAGCTCGTTGAGTTGTTTGATGGCTTTTCGTATGTCAGGTTTTCCCATACCGACCAATTTCGCAATCTTTCACTGTCCTTTTTCTTCCCGTGACAGGTTTAAAATCGGGGTCCCTCTGTTTGAGACTCGAAACAAGCATGTTAATCAACCGATATGAGTATGAAAATTGAGAGTCTAGGACAAAAAAACACGGAGAGTTTAATGGTATGAACAATATTTTCCTAAACCTAAAAGTTTTCGCGGCAGGACCCATGAAAAAAAGTTGCATTTTTTATTTGTCACCCTGTATACCCCTTCCGAACCCTACTTCCAAGTATGTAAGGAACTCTAAAAAATATTTAGATGAGAACGCTGTGCACTGTGAATTTTGTTGTCACGTAAGGCGAATAAATAATCTCCGATCCAAGTTATTTTTTTAATTAAACGATTACTTTGTGATTTATATGTACAATAATATATTTTTCATTAAGAGGATAGAAACATTACTCAACTGTTCCGGGATTAGGGAGGATATAATTGTATCTTTTGTAACTAAACGAACATAGAAATTGGACGACTATCAGTCAAACAATGACACGTATTAGGGAAAAGAGTCCAAGATTGGAATGCCAGAGGTATCTACGACCGGGGACGGCCTTTTCGACTTCCAATTAGGGCCAATAACAAATAGAAAGGGAATGGATGGAGGACAGACGCTGGGGGTACACGACATTAAACTAGATCTGTCTGATTGACTCTTATGTGAGGTCGCCAAAGTTGGTGCCAGTCAGAAGATCGTCGAATCCTCCACCTCCCAAACTCTGATTATTGAAGAATTGCATGACGGTATTCTCCTAAAGCATAAGCGGATGGTTTCGTACTTACCCAAATATTCAAGATGTCTGTTACTGAATGCATCGGGGCCTTGCTCAATTGCTCATGGATAGCGTTTTGAAGGTCGTCGAAATAGAATGAATCTAAACGCAGGATGTAATCCTATGCCTTTGACCTACCCAAATCTAAAGCAGCACGTTCAACAGTGGCTAGTTGGTTTGGATAATTCCGTGGCACTGAAACCCGAAGATTCGGGATCTGTTCTCGCTCTGCAACGGAAAGGATGAAATATGCAAGAGAAAACAAAGGTTATTTTGTGATTCTACTTACTCAACGCACAAACAACGATGAAGTACATTCCATCATTGCTTGGTTCCACAGATATATAAGAAATGTTTTGATCAAAGTTGGCAAATTCGGTCCGTGCTTGCTCAGGCAACTTCATGAGGACTCCTCCGCCCACACCCATCTCTGTGGTGACCTGAGCCTGCATTAGATTCCCATCATAGCCTCGGGGCATCATATTCGTAGCATCCATCGGTGGACATTGTAGTTGATCATCGTAGGTCATGTTCATCTGACTCGGCTGACTGTTGGGGATCATTTGGTTTGGTTGGGAGCTCATGGGTAACGGTTGGGGTGGCATGTATTGATAAGGCTGCTGATACGAGGAAGGCTGTTGTGTCATGGGCTGGTGGTGATTTTGTTGCATAATTCCACCAGTGGAGTACATTTTGTGATGTGGAGGTAGAGGATATGGAGATGGACGACCGGTCGAAAGAGGTTGGGGAGTTGGCTGACCATATACTGAAGAACTAGACGCATAGGAACCGGGAGGAGCATATTGGGAATGGTTCTGGGGCATCATATTGGGGTTAGTGGCAGAACCCTGAACATTTTGCGGCCAGGGATTCTGTTGCCAATTGGAGGCCATCGATGTCTGTCCGTAAGCATTCATCGGAGGAGCGTTCACCATCATCTGGTCGCCCATCATGTTCATGTTCTCTCTGTATGGCTGTTGTTGATGGCTCAGTTCCCTTTGAACGAAGCTCTCAATGCCCTTAATATTCTCTTGACTCATGAACTTTTGGAAAGTAATTCCCTCCAAAGCAAATTGTAATTTGGTCGCCGACTCCGGATTGGCAATTTGTATCATATTTCTGATGGTGTTGGTGTATTTAGAGAGAGTACGGATCTTTTCTTTATAGGCTCGAGCATCTTCCGGCCTCTTGAAGTGGCATGCGATGTTAGGAGGCAGGTCGTAATCATTCAGAAGGCCTGGATGCACTTGGTTGGGATATATCGGACGTCCCGTGAGCTGATCAGCGGGACCATTAGGAGTCCACATCCTCTGTTGCTGTTGCATCATCTGCTGTTCTACCGAGTTTGATTGGCCAAGAGGCACAGCTGGCTCCATTTTGGTAGCCATGGAATCGTATCCTTTTGGCGGAATGTTGTTGTATCCAATAGGATTCTCTGGCATAGGGGCGCCATATTGGTTTCCGCTGGGCATTCGTGGGTTGTTGTTATCTAATCAGAAGATATAACGTAGGAGATCGAACTTACATTGACCATAATTGGCATACTGATTGGGAGGGGGATTCTGAACTGGAGGCATCTTCATGGGGTTGGGTAAACTGGATGTGATGGGTGAGCTCATCTGAGGCTGAACCATATTATTAACTGGATGGGAGGTATTGATTACCGGAGGTGGCTGACCCAATGGTGGTGTCTGGAATCTGGACCCATTTTGAATGTCAAGATTAAGACCTCGTTGATGTGTAGGACGGGGATCAGGTGGCACCTGCAATTAGAAGACGGTTATATGGGGCAGTTTAATTATCATCGCGCATTTAGTTGAGCTCACCTGAGGTCTCATTTGAGGCTTGTTGCCCAGAACATTGTTGGCCGTAGCCGTCTGACCGGGAGAGGTTGTGTTTGCTTGGTTGTTGCCATTATGAATTACAGTAGGCACCACTACAGTCTTCGAGTTGCAGTTTATGGCATTTATGACCTTGGCAATGGTTCTCATATACTCATCTTTACTAACACACTTTTGGAAAACATATTCCTCGACTTGTCTGGCATCCCCAGGAACCGGAAGGTTGGGGGCATTCTGCCGATTCCTCGCCAGTTCAGGTTCCCTGAAAAGGTATAAAATTAAGTTCTCGCGCCACTTACAATCTGTTGATGACATGATCACGGAAGTTCTGGGACGGCCAGTCGTCGTCGGTCATGGTTTGTTCGAGTTTGGGCCTGGAGGACTTCCAATCGGTGGGGGTCGCGTCGTCTGTCGCTCGACGTTTCCTTTCTAAAAACCCTTCGATAAATGACGTCCCAGGCAGCGACACACTACAATTGCATTGGTAGTGTAAAACGGGGAAATAGCAGAGAAATGCCGCCCTGGCTTGATAAGAAGCGCAGGCAAAAAAGGGGAGGGAGAAGTGGTGTATGCATCAAGGTGGCGTTGTGCTATAAACCAAAGGAAATAGAGGGAAACAAAAAGAAGAAGAACGTTCTCAGGTAATGAGGTCTCACGCAGGCAAACTGCCAATGAGTCGGCCGATGCCACCAGACCCCACGGGCATGAACACTAAGCGGCCGACATCTACATCCCCCCTTGCTCGCCCCGTTCTCGGCTGCCTCAGGGCCCACGCAGCGTCCCGTCTGCGAGTGTATGTGTTTTTTCGTCCTCGTATAGCCGGGCTCCACGTTTCCCGGCACCGCCACAAAAACCAACAAAAGAGGGAAACTCGAGTTAAGTAAGACTAGTCCAATATTTTCACCTGGGAACATAATATGAGGCGACACCAATTAAGATCTCCACTGCCTCCGAAGGAGACTGACACGATTTGTAGTCACAAAACGCCATCGGGTAATGACTGCCATGCGGCTATGTATCCTAAGATGTCTTAATTCAAACAAGAATCGTCTGATGCATATCTTCAAACTAAGCAGAAGAAATGCTAAAACTACCGGAGAGTCAAAGCGACCATCGACGGTATTATCCGAACACACTCTCAAAGAACGTGAAACTAATCGATAGAACCACGTTAAAGAGGTAAATGTGATAAGAAAACTAACAAAAAGCAAAAGTTTTATCGAAAAAGTTTTAAAGAAGTAATGGAAAACAGACGAAGAGGCACCAAGTAATCAAAATGTCATCACTTTTCGTCTATTTACAAAACCAATTATCTGCTGGCTGAACTAGACCTGTGATTAATTTACAAACTAAACCGTAATTATTCAATTACTCGATTAGACATGTACAATCATAAAGATGGAGGCAGTTCCTCGAATCTCCTGGCATAGGGATTAGGGGATTTGGGTCAGGAAGACATTAATGAGACCCCGGTCCATCTTTCTTTTGTGTGGCTCTAAAAGGGAAATGCAACCCGCAACAAACTCGTTTCTCTCCCCAACAGATAGTGGACTTCTGTCTTTTTGTTGCTGTTGCTGAAAGTCGTGCACTCTCTCTTCTCAGTCCATTTTCACGTCTGCCTGCCGAAGAAGAGATGGGAGCCCTTTTTCTCCACCATTCATTCATTCAGTGCGAAAAACATTTAAAAAACGAAAAATAGAGGGGAAGAAGGGGAGAGAGGAGAGGGATAGCGGAACAAGTCCAATGGATGATCCACATCTTACAGCTTGATTTACTGCATCAATACCTCTCTTACAGTTGAGAGGTATTGATGATCTTCCCCTTGCATGATATTATTACTTAAAGACAGGAAAAGTGAAAACTTGCAGCCGAGAGTTTAAGACAGTGACAATCATAAACAAAATAAATTGATACACAAAAGAAAATGCACAAACTGACCTCCTATTACAGGCGAACTAACTTGAGTTAGAGGATTGACGGGGGGATTCTCTGATCTCAGGCTCAGGGAGTCCTGCTTCGCAAAGTTGGAGATCTCCGAGCTGCTCATTGACTATAGTTCATAACCCAGTAGAATATCTGAAAAAAGTCGACATTACTTGTTATGATATGGGATACTAATCAGCGCGTGACATTAAAAAACAAATAAATTTTAGACGGAGATGGGCAAATGGAAGGGTCGCAAACTCAAAACGGACAGACAACTGGTGGATCACGTATCATCGAACGCGGCGCGACCCCAACTCCCCAAATCAAGATGTTTCTCGTGTATGCAAAAAGCGGCAGCAATGAGAAAAACAAAACCCAACGTCAGAACCCCCGTCCGTTAACCCCTAGGACAGATGAAGGACAATAAACGCACACCACATATATAACAGACGACGAACGAAGCGTCCCCATGCTGCCACCTAACTCAACACTTTTTTATATTTTTTTCACCCCGAAGTCGTTCTCCCTTTTCGTGTGCTATTTCTGTAGGTCTTGGAGCTGTCTTGCTGTTCCCGAGAGTCTGTTCATCTCTGCTCTCTCTCTCTCTTGACGGCGTGCGTGTTCTTGTGCGGCTGTCGCTGACACATACCTCCACAAGAAACAAGAGAATCACCTTCTTCTTGCGCCCTCTTCCTTTTACCGAATTTTCCAGTTGTCAAAACATGGAAAGGTTTTTCCGTTTCCATGACGCTAAAAAGTCTTGTTATTAAGTCCGAAAGCAGATGAATGACTTATTACGGGGTTGTCTTATTATAACATGGCAAACATACTTCGAAGTAACCCTTGTAATCCAACAAGTTGTCGTATAAAATGGCGAACAATAAATTAATACATTTATTTATTTTAAAAAAAGTCATAATGTAACCGTGGTGCAGTGATGACTGTTATGAAGAGCCATACCCACATTTAAGGGGTTCGCGGAATGTACAAATATTGGATGATCGAGTGATAACGCCTGCACTCTAAGATTCTCGGCTAAATTCTCGCCGTGTTCTCTGGGGACTATCAAATCATCTCGGGTTACGGTAAATTCAAAGTGAATTCTCCAGAACAGTTTAACTGAAAGGTCATAATATTGAATACATTGTAATTACCTGATTGTTCTGTAAAAGTGGGTACACTTGTCAACTGAATTGGGACTCGGAAGTGACAAGACTTCAAAAACGCTGTAGTTATCTGAGAATAGTTGTGTCGCACAACATTGGGTGCTACAGAGTCCGAATACAAACATTCTTCTACTGTTTCTAATGAAACCAGTAACTAAAGCGAAATTGATTTCCTTATTAATGTGTGCTTACTTGAATAGACCGTGGTTTTCGTTCTTCATGATCGGGGAATTCGACCATTCCTTGCACTATATCCCCCAATTTAAAAGGTCCAGCATTTAGATTTACTGTAGCAAAATGATCGCCCCCACTAGTGACATCGAAAATGACCGTCTTCCTTGATGAAACTGTCTTTTCTTCTATCCTGGCCATAGCTAGTGATAAAGGAAACATTCTACAGATCAAATTGAGAAGTTAAAGCAATCCTTACTCATTGCCATCTTTCTGGACAAACGGATTCTGAACTAAAGGCGATCTAATTTTGTTATCCACGGTAGAGTTCAAGACCCGAATGGGTAAAAACAGAGTTTGAATCGGCTTGTCGACCCTCTGAATAGCTACTTGAAGATACCAGTTGTAACGCACATACTGTCCCTTAAGAAACGGGTTGAAAAAATCATTTTAAGAAATTAGAGAGCGGTTAAACAATTATTACAAACATTCAAAGCATTACCTTAAAAGTCGGCGGAAACCCTAAAGGCACAAACATTTCCCTCTCACGGACTTCTGAAGTTGCTTTAGGAACACTCCAATTGCACAAAATAATGTCAGGCTTGCTTGAAAAGATGGCCTCTTTTGAGGGTTTCACCGAGGTCACATCAGCTTTGGTATTATTCAATTCCAGATTTCTGTTTCCTTTAGGAAATATCCTATCACAATGCATTTGAAGACAAATCCATCCCAAAACATCTCCATTTTCCTTGTCAAGGTTGTTCAGGAATATCTAAAATACGAGTTAAAATAAAGAAACGCTCGTCTACCTTTACACAAACTGTTTCTCCAGCCAAATAACAACTGCTCTCCCGGTCTACACATCCAGTAACCTCCAACATACTACAACTAGTAATATCTTTTCAGACAAATACAACGTGGTCAAGTCACCAATTACAACAATTTTGTGTGTTTCCTAGAAATCTTTATTCTATTCTTAAACAGATACATTCAACACTTTCTGTTCGTTTTGTCTTCTATTTATAATATTCTTCAGATAGAATTCTCCAGCTCGATATGAAGACCTAACTAAAGGGCCTGAAGCAATATACAGGAACCCCATTTCGTCCCCCATCTTCTTGAGCTCATCGAACCTTTCCGGGGTGACCCAATCCTTGACTAGAAGGTGTCTTTTGGTTGGCTGCATATATTGTCCGAGTGTGAGAGCTTCGACTCCAACGTCTTTCAGGTCGCGCATGGTCTCCAATATTTCTGATTCAGTTTCTCCTAATCCTAGCATGATTGAACTTTTGGTAATCAGTAAGGGATTGGCCTTTTTGGCATGTTCCAAGGCCTTCAGCGATTGATCGTACTTGGCTCGCGGATCCCGTACTCCCGGAGTTAATCGTCGAACAGTTTCGATGTTATGAGCATACACTTCCAGTCCAGAATGAGCCACAATCTCAATACAATCAGGTTTTCCGGAAAAATCGGGGACTAGGGCTTCCACTAAAACTTTGGGACATTCTCTCTTCAAATGGGAAATCGTCTGAGCAATGTGGGAAGCACCTCCATCAAGTAAATCATCCCTAAAATAATACAAGTAAACGGGTGAGAGCGGCAAAAAACACCACTGACAAAAATTACCTATCAACAGAAGTTAAAACAATGTAATCAACTCCCCAAGACGCGACAGCCTTTGCAGTGTTCAGAGGTTCGTCAGGGTCCAGAGCACCAGGGCTTCTAGCAGTTTTAACGGAACAAAACCGGCATCCTCTGGTACAAGTGTCACCCATCAACATAATAGTAGCTGTGGACGGAACATCCTCCCCTCCTCCCCAACATTCTCCGATATTTGGACACCGTGCTTCTTCGCAGACGGTTGCCAACTTCAACCCTCGAAGCTGTTTCTTCAACTTAAGCTGCTTTTGGTCTACTTGTGTCATATCCCTCTTTAGCCATTCAGGTAATCTCAACCTTCCATTTCTCGTTTTCTTTACATTCCCATTTACAAAATCGGATAAACTTGGACCGTCTGGAAGAGCAGGTCTGGCCAAAATTAATGAGCTCGTTCTGAGCGCAAGACGATTCGTAAAATACATACCCTTCAAAGCAAAAAGTAGCAAAGCTTCAAATTCTTTAGATACAAAGTAATCAAAACCTGTCATAGAATATAAGACAATCAATTGAGTACCGTTTAATCGGGTTTAAATGTAAATTCAAAGCTTTTATTGAGGTTAGATACAACAAAAAAAATGAAAAGTGTATTCGCCGAAACAATTACATAAATAATACTTACAATGGACCCAATACCTTGCTTATCTTTAAAGTGATAAAGTAATAAAAACGATAAGCAAAAAATATTGTGACACCGGCAAGGACCACCCAAATCATGTAGAAGATAAAACTGGACTTCCCCACTGTAGCAACCTAAACCAGAATAAAGAACAACCAAACCTTAACTTACAATTACACAAATTGTTGTTAGAAGTGCAATAAGAGCTCCAAAAAAGTAAGAAAACGAACGTACACGTACATAATTGGCTCCAACCGAGGACCTGAATAATATTTGTATTTGATTTACAATAAATAATTACCTCTTCTGACAATGTGGACATCGAGCAATACAATTGGCCAGGGTGTTAAACATAAATACTTCCTCACAATAAAAACATTGCACTCGGGCTGTTCCCGCAGGAGCTGGAGCTGTGGGAGCGTGATTAGATGGGGGTTGGAGGATGATCACACGGCCGCAATGCTGTCTCGGACATGCTATGCGATTCGAAGATACCTTGCAAATCAGCAAGCAATTGCATGGACATCGGACAAACTTCTTTCCGCTCGGTGGTCCTCGAATGGGGGTAGCTTCGTTACATTGGGAACATCGCACGACATGCTGCATGGAGTTCTTATCATAGGGGATATTATTTTCGCATACTCGACATAAAACTGTGGGCACTAAAAGGCATACTTTCATCGAGAAACAATAAAAACAAAACACTTTAAAAAATTCATAATATTTTTTTTTAAACTCACTTCCGTTAACCCTAGTATCCGATTCATGATGTTGTTCTTCATCAACGGTATGAAAAGCTCCGTTTTCTTCCCCCGCACATTCGTTTTGAAGTAGAGGTTGTCGAGAGTCATCAGGATTCATGATAACTCCATCGCTTTGAGCTTGAGAATTCTCTTCCTGACTCATTTCGGAGCCAAAACAATTCTCCGACGAACAATATCAATACATAAAGCAAGAGAAGGAAGCTAAAAAAAAATTATTAACATCATTTGAACCCGGGCCCGGGAACTTGGTTTAGAACACGCTCTAAATTAGAATCCGAAAACAAAAAACGTGACGAGACTGAAAAATTGTTAGAAATCAAAAAAACCCCATCAAATGACATCAAACAGCGCGATAAACGTCGACAATTTTGGTCTTACTTCTTTGGTAAACAGGCAAAAAATGAATAATTTTCGGCTAAACAAGAAAATGATATTATCTTTTAGCCGAAAAAACATTATCAGGATGACACTTTTTATAAACATTGGGATGAGAAGGAATGCCACGGATTTTTCACTTCAAAAAATTTTTTTTGACAAAAAATAATTATTTTGATCAATAGTGACATTTCGTACGATTGCAGCGAAAAAAATCTGTCCAATTTCACTCTGTCCATTTTCCATGATCATTATGAAGCCAATAAAACAAGCTGAGGCGAAACTATATTATTTTATCTTACATTTGTGGTCTAAGTGGTGAATCTTTCAATGAGAGTTGAATCTCCTTTTTTTTATCGTTCACTTGTACTGATTTATGTCGGACCGCGTTCTTTATAAGATTTATAGAAATTTTTGTCGTTCTTGAGACGGATGATTGTACGCGGATTGAGCTTTCTTACTGAACTAGATCGGCATTATGTTTCTAGTGCTTGATGTCAATCACTAAGGAGACGAAATTACCTTCTGATGAAGAGCTGACCGTTCCTCAGGAGATTAACATCTCGTCGACTTACCTCAAGGCAGTTGCTCCATATATGGCGTATCGATGTGAAGAGAAAATCAAGGCAGGTTTAAAGATTCTTTTGATTGATTTTTTAGGATTTTATGCTGAAGCGGAAAGAAGTTGAAGATCCTAGAAAGACTTTGAAGGAAGGTGCTGCTGTTACTGCTTGTGGTGTCGACTTCCTGAGATCCTTGAAGAAGACTTGCAAGCCAGAGACTGACCGTTATGCTGAATGTATCGACAAAAGCTCGTCGCAACTCTTTATTGCTTATTGTCATCAAGATCAATTGGTTTTGGACAATTGTATAGAACAGAAATTAGGTATCACTCGACCAAAGCGTGGACACTTCAGTAAATTGCATGTTCACAATCCAGGTTATGAGGCTCCCAGTAGGTTACCTTATTTTTTGCCACTGACTCCTTCTTTCAGAAGAAATTAAACGCGATTATAAGGCAGAGGCCTCTAAAGTGTTGGCCGAATTACCGAATGACAACCCGGAATATCAAAGAAAAGATTTCAAAAACTTTAACGAATGGAGAAAGGATTTCCTTCGTGTGTAGACAACTACTATTGTTTCTACGATTTATTGCCTATCTGTTGTGAGATCGGATGTGTAAGAAAGCATTAAAGAAGGTATTAGGAAGGTCACGTCGTTGTTTCCATGGCTGTTGTTTCTTCGACAGAGGGATCAAAAGACCTAGGGTCACATATCGCTACACGAATGTTGTCTATTGCTATGGCGGCCTTCTCTGTCGAACGGTCAAGGTTATGTGCCACCAAGTAGAACTAAAATGTTGACTCAGATTATACAAAAGCGGGCTTTTATTACATGACTAGTTCCTGGGGGTAGTTGGATGTGAACACTGTTCCATTTGAACGCGTTTTTAGATGTAAGTGATCGAAGGATTGGAGGGCATTGGATAAAACTTGAAATTGTTCTTAGAGGCTTTGTATAACGGGTACCTAGACATAACCTGATAGTGGATGCGTGTGTTGGTCTAAAATAAGGGTTTTGTATTTGCGACTGCTTTCTTGCCTGTAATATTGGAAGAGCAAGACGTTGATTCCTTGTGTCAAATTGAACCTTGGACTCTCCAGAATTGCAAAGTCCCCAGGTCCAAGGATGGCACTCACAAACTGGCCATTGGTTGGGGCTAAATTAATTTAGATTGTAACGGTAATATACTTACTTGGCCTTAGATCAGTATGTCTCGACAGCGGAAACCCATATCCCTTATTCCTCAGAGTCCATGGGACTTTTGTGAGACCATGGTTTAGATAATGGCAAGCGTTGTCTATGCAAGTGTAATTCGATTCACAATAGACTTACCATTAAAGTCACAGTTTAATAATTTGCAGTAATCCATAATTGGTTCCGGCGTGGTAGTGACAAATCTGGCAGTTGTGGTGTATGGGATGGTAAACGAATTTTTAGGAGTCGTCTTTTGTACCACCAAACCGGGCCTTACATTTACTGTGGGGACAACGACGTACGACAATGTCGTTATTGCAGGGATTGTGGTAGTGGACCGAGTGGTGTACTCAGTGGTCTCTTCGCTGATGTCTTCCCAACTTGAACTCTCTCGAACCTTACTTTCTTTTGTCGTTTCCGTTTCTACCACAGGCTTCGGTGTTATTAAACCGAGTTTTCTAAAATTATCTGATAAAATCGTATCCTTCCATTATGGGTAGATGCCGTAAAGGATAGATGTCATAACCGTTATGGGCTGATTTCTGAAATTCGTTGCAAATATCCTCAACACCCCAGTATCATCGTAAGAAATGTGTATCCTTTTTTTTCTTAAGTAGTACTGTTAAAAAAAATTTCATTTTCGAAATCAGCACCGTTGAAAACCCCTAATACATAAAACACACATTTTTTATACTGATGGTGTTTGCAGTGATTTCAGAAATCTGTCCATTACGGACCGTTGCCGATAAAATATATCCTCGGATAACTTACGACGTTACAGGACGGGATTCAATTGTGGTTGTATGTGGAAGGGGCTTCACGAAAGGCTTCTTTGTGCCACCGACTTTCTTTTTATTGTTGTTGACTCGCTTGTCAATCAACTCTGAGCTCTCTAACAGAGTTGTATTGCAATCTCCGATGTATGCAATCTCATCCAACACTAGATATGCATTCTTTATATTCTTTTCCCAAACCGGAACGATGTTCAACTGGAAATATTTCGGAGATAAAAGTCGACTTACAGTAAATGGTTCTAAAATATCATTCGAAAATTCGAACACTGCCAGAGCCGACTCATCCTTCCGCGTGCCAGTATCTTGTTCGACGCATTGTATTTTATTGCTATCAAGATTGTACCCTAGAGCGCAGACTTGCAACGTTAATTTGTTGTTGGCCCAATACCGAAAAAGTAACTAAAACGTTGGAGTAGGATCAGTGTTGATAGCTGCGGGCGCTTACTTTTCCTGACCCCGTTTGGCACTTCAAGGGATCGCTCGAGAACATTGCTGTTCCTTGAATGACAACAGCAGCTGGGTATGCCGGAAGTTCGGTGCCTTCTATAGCACTCTCTTCCATACTGGGAATTGCCCCTTTTTCAACAATTGCCCATCTCCCAGCTTCAGGGCCCCAAAAACAAGGGAAATTAAAGGCAAAATCACATAGAAGGTCTCCCGTGTCCTCAATCAGACGACCCCTCCTCCTGTCGAATAGAGGTTGCGTCTTATTGCCAATGATTAATAGGTCAAAGTCAGTGTTTTCTTCCGTAGAAGTGGTTGTTCTAGGTGTAGTCATCAGCCTAAAAGATTGCTTAAGAGCGTATACCCTTACCAAGTAGTAGTCTCTTCAGGAATTATTTCTGTAGTTCTTTCACTTATTGTAACCGTCGTAAGTTCGGTTGTTGCTTCTTCTACTGTAGTGGTTGTCGTTGTATATTCGATTGTCGTAGTTGTTGTAAAAGGAGTTGTGGTCACCTCAATCCAATTTGTTGTCATCGGGGACACTGGGGGCACGACTATTCTGTTATCAACAATCGCCGACTCGGGTCGTGGAAATAGCGGTCCCCTTGTGGCCACTTGCTCTAAGGTATTTCCTTTACAAAATTCCGCATCGTATTTTATCTCGTCCAATACGATGGCTCCAGCACGAGAGTCTGGTATAATCGCTATCTGAAGTCGGCACATATAATATAAATAGATTGGTCTAGTTTTAGTTCCCCAAACTTTTATGTATCCAAACATCTTGGACTTACATGGAATGGCCTATCAATAGCGGGAATCTTGAGAGCCACCTTGCCCGGTTGTACCCTCGACTCCAACATTCCAGTACAATTAAACTCTCTCATATACTCATCCAATAAACATATTTGCAAGTCGGCACTGCCTGAAATCATAACCTACGTGGACAAACTCATTTAGTAGACTATAAAAAAAAATTTTTTTACCTATTGTCCAATATGTAAAACTGAACATGGCTGACTCTATTTGACAGTTTATCCTTTGTGATGTAAAAATGTCAGAGTCAGCATCATGGATTTCGAGGATTGCGAAGGGGCCTGAGGGTAAGACCATGGTCCCGGTAGCCGCCAGCCAAAGTAATGCGTCTGGTTGACCCTTGGCCAGTTTCCATTTACTAAGTCCATGCCCAACCGAACCCCAGCGACAAGCCCGGCTGAAATCGCAATCAAAGTTGATCGCTAGGTTTGACATGTCTCCCGGGGCCAACACGGGAAGCTCTACCGTCGTTACAAACAACCCGAGCGCAACTTGTAGGATCCGGGAAACCAGGCCTCCTGGCCCGTCCTCTCCATTGGCCCGGAACCCTGGGTGCGGGTCCATCAGAAAGAGGGCAGCACTGCGTGACGATGACGCTGAAAACGCAACAACAACTGAAGCGGTTGTTTTGAAAGGGAGAAGGAGTCAACTGAAGAAAGGCGACTTTTTAATTCCGATCGAAAATGGATACCGCTCGAGGCAGCGAAAAAACCGGCATACACGAGGAGAAAGAGACGTGGGCACAACCAACAAAGGTTGGGTAAGGTCAAGGCAGCCAACTTCTCGGTTGTCTTCAAGATCGCCCATCATGCACGAACTCGAAACACTTGACTTTCACCTTTTCATTCTCCTTCTATGGGACCGCGAGCTCTTCGATTCTCAAGTGGAAGAACAGGAGGATTTACAACAATGTGCTTGAAATGCTTACATCGAAACATCTAATCTTTATTCTAATATAATTTCGTTAATGTATTTTAAATAATTTTGTTAGTCTAGCTATAACCAATAGAAGGCTTGGCCTTTTTTCTCCGTGGGGTGGCATTGTAATCTGTTTCCGAAGCCATTCTCTTAGATAACCGGGTTACCGTCTCCGATTTGAGTGGGCAAGCTGACGTTGAACGTGATATGGATGAAGGACTTCCGTGATGTGTAAGTTTAGCTGAGGCGGGGGCTGCTCGGGAAGTAGAGGAAGTGAATGTTCTGACAAGAGTAGATACGGTCGGCCGTCGAATCGGATTATATACAAGTGAAGTCTTGAGAAACGACTTTATTGGGTCAACGAACTGGAAGGTGAACTTGAGATTATTTGAGAAACCCACCATGTCCTGAGGTATACAGTCCCTAATGCTGGTCCTGTTCAGAATCTTCCCCTCAAATATAAAAACTCCATTCCTGTCGAAATAAGGTTGCTCTGGCCTATTTATTGACGCTGAACTGGGTTCCAAAACAATAAGATGAGGAGAAATATCACCAAGTAAGGAAGCGATGCTCGTCATCTACAGTTTTAAGACGTATTAGTTATACATTTCATGAACAAAAAAGTACGAGAGACAACTTACCACTTCTGTATCCGTGTCACCTTTGAAAAGGATTTCTTTCGTGATCATTTCAGCGGCCAGACAGGCCAATCCCCAAATATCTGAGGGCTTTCCGTATTTTCGACCGAGCAGAAGCTCTGGAGCCGCATAATTTGGCTTCCCCTCAGGAAAATGTAGAGGTAATTTACATTCCCTTTCAAGACATGAATAGGAAAAGTCTACCAGCCGAATCTGGAATGGCTTCTCCGATGTTTGAACAACATGTTGAGGACAAACGGATCCATGTACAATTTTTAAATTGTGGATGAATTGAAGAGCACAACAAGTTTGTCGTAAGATACTGCAAATCTTCTAGATAAAGTTACCTAAAAATTGTTCCGTAACTTACGGAAACTGAAAATTGAATACCATGGTCGAGCAAACTTCGTATAGACCGTGAGCACTTCTCAATAACAAAAACGTAATGCCCTCGGAATTGGAAGTGATTTAGAATAGAACAAATAAAATTCCGAGCACATAACTCAGGAAGGGAAAGACTTCCTTTCTCCTTGATCACAGCCGCCCAGAACATCTTGATTTCTTTTTGCGCACATATCTTTGACCATTGTTCGTTACGGAATATTTTTGCAACTACTTTCTGACATCTTTCATGATCATAAGCAAGAACAATCTAAACAAAAAAACTATCCCAATCATGAATAAAAAAATACCTGTGACATTCGGCCATTCTGAAGTTCTTTCAAAATTTCATATCGATAATACAAATGATCGTGTGGCAAAATATAGTATCTACCAAGGACATCGTCAAAGCTTTTGTACTTCTTATAATAATTCCTGATCTTGTCCTTGTCTGCAGCAGATCCAACGTGAGAAACTAGTTTACAACTTTTAATTTCACGCTTCTCATAGCTGTCCAAACATTCTTTGAAGGTATCCAAAGCCATTGAGGGAGTCATGATTGAGTTTATCCGGGTATCTCGTCGTTCTGGAGTCGGCGGGACTCCGCTCCCTATGGCAAAGACAGCTTTCTTGAAGAAAAAACTGTCCTTATTCGTGAAGAAATAATTGGCATCCGCTTCCTTCTCGACCCAGCTTTGCTTCTTCCGATCATATGACTCGGTCGTGGTCGCTGAATTCGCATCTTCAATGTTCTCCAGGCTACGACAGCTGGAATATGTCGCAGTTCCCGGAATTGAGTCCAAACTTTTTTGATCACACATCCAATGCACCGACAAAATAAACTAACTGTATCTACAATCTAAACCGAGCTAACGCATGCAAGACGAAAAAAAAATTTGCGAGCTGCGCCACGTCTTTCCCTAATGCGTCAAGTTTCTCTCTCCGAAATTATTTTATTTTTTGCGATATTCACGGTTCACATCGTTCTTTCGTAATTGGAAAATGTTTTTTAACGGGGCGGCGCTATTATTGATTGAAAAAAAGAGAGAAGAAGCGCCGAAAATTCTAATTTACCACAACCTAATTTACGCAAAAACCATCGGCACACATACTCATTGAATGATATTTTCTGAAATTTCGATGGACTAAGCTCCTTTAAGAATCAACATGACATCTGTTATCATCTTAGCCTTTCCATATTCATCTAAAACATCATGGGTGTTTCTGTTAAAGATTCGGTCATATCTCGCAGTTCCAACGAAACATGGGTATACCCGATATGCCAGTTGATGCAGAAGAATTCAGAGAAAATATGTGTTCAGTTTCAGAATTTTCTGTACGCGAATTTTTTTCAATCCCCGGATTATGTTATACTAAGAGGTGGTATCGCCGAATATCAAATTAATAAGATTATTAGTATTGTTGACGCTTCTTAAATATATATTCATGTATTTTTTGTTAAATATGACGCTATTTATGCTGTTACACATCACTTTATGCATGTGGCCACAACAAAAGGAAAATTATAGAAAATGCACAATGCCACATTTTTTTGGCAAAAAATGTTTTTGTGGTGCAACCGACAAAAATTTTTAGCTTCGCAAGCCAAAAAAATTTTTAAGGCATTACGCCAAAAGCTTGTTTTTCGTCGCGATACAAACCATAATTAGCAGAAAAAAACGACGCAAAAACACCACGTTTGATGAGCTTGGTAATTAAAATCTTTCTAGTTGCATGTATGAAAATTGGCACTCTGCGTTGGCGTAGGGTACCGAAGAGGCCTGGGGGAACATCTTGTGCCTCAGGGCAATATCGGGTTCAGAATTGCATTTTGCAGAAAAACCTTGGAGTTTTTAGAATCAAAAAAACATTTTTTCTTTTATCAGCGTAGACTTCCGTAATCCGCCTTGGATTCGGCGGAGTGTTTTTTTCACAAATGAGGCTGTAAAAATGCGTTAATTTTTCCCGCCGATTTCTCCGCCGAATTGCCTTTATTTCTTCTCCCAGTGGGTCAAAGACGTAATAAGTCGTATTTAGGCGCCATGCCACCAGGGATACCATACGTTTTGGTTTTAGCTAATTTTGACTCTCCAAAGTCGAAGAAAAATCGTCCGCCGAGGTTAAAAAATTTCTCCGCCGAATCACAAAAATTTGAAATAAATGTCACATTGTGTCCTCTGAATCCTTTCCCGCCCATTTTCTGTAAAATGCAAAAAAAAAAAATTCGGATTGGACCACCGAGCACAAAGTTATTAATGAATAGTTTTTTCCATAATTCTTGGAACACCCTGTATATTAGGTTTAGAAGTATGACTTTGTCGTTTTTTGCGGCTGATATTATAATTTCAACCAAAACAAAAAATTTTACGTTAAAGCTTGTTTAATTATTATTACCACTACTAACTACGACATTTTCCAACAATTTGAGCAGCTTTTGAATACCATCAGTCAAAACGTTATTTTTTGTTTTGAGGAAATTTAGACACCGGGCCAACTTTTGACATTTTTGTGTTCAGCGAAACGTTGCTTCCTCAGATCGAGTGTCGTCGGTCCAAACAAGTGTTAGTCTGACATTGCGGCGTCCGGAGAGTATAGCGGGTGCGGTAACACCTCCCACCACAGCGGTTCTGGGGTGTTCTTGACCGGTTTTTCAATATGGGGTTTGGCGTCATCATGCAGCAAAATTAAAATTGGTCGTTCAGACCGCTTTAATCATAGCTATTCGTTCGTTGCATCAACTATTGTTCCTAACGGATGCCAGTAACCATTCTACCGGTTTAGAGCTCGCAGTAAAGAACATCTTGTTTATGTCATCTTATACAGAGCAAAACTTCCTTCCCGGTAATGTTGGACTGTGCGGTCGCTTCCGCTTCTGGTTGTCAAAATCTTTTTGTTCGTCTTTGGTCACTAAACGATACAAAAATGACTTCTTTTCTGGAAACATTTTATTAAAAGACGACCGTTAAGATACCAAGAAAAAAAATTTGCATAATTTAGAAGGAATTTTTACAAATTTATATCCAAGTATTCTGTACTACAAGCGTTAATAATATTTTTTTGGAATGGCATAAATTGGTCCATTGTGTCAAAAGTTATGGCCCAAAAAGTTCGGCCAATGTCCATAAAAAGTCACCAATCAAAAAGAAGAGAGGTCACTCCAGTTAGCACTTCTTTTTCTCACGCTTTTGTGTCATGTCGCTAACTCAAGTTAGTGCCCCTTTGAATCCTCCCCCAGGTTAGACAAACAAGGTTTTCCGATGAGATATCTAGTTTAATTTACAAATAACATAATGACAACAAAACGTGAGATCTGATATCCTGAGACTTCGTCTTCTTACACCTTTACTTGTTCTTCTAGTTTGCAGATTTTTGCCATGGGTGGGCTATCATTATCTTCCCCATGGCTGTTCTGTTCTTCCTTTGAAGCATTAGTACCGTTTTTATAATCGTTTTCGGACTTAACTTGTGTATTCATATGATTCATGAGTGTTACCTTATCATTTTTGCTGTCCTCTTTTGCCACGGTCGGTGAAATTGATGGTCTATCTTCATGCAGGCCTGAGGTCACTGCTAGAATAATATGATAAAGTTAAATTAATCTTACCGCGGCGGTCATCATTTTGGTTTTCACTAATGTTCCCAAAGACAGGCTTCTCGGATACAAAATTGGTAGGCCACATCATCATCGGGGTATTTACGAGACAATTAGGAAATCCGAGGAAATCTTTTTGAAAATGTATGACTTGTGGTTAAAGACCTACTATTGGTGCTGGAAAATGGGGGGATCCCATGAATAGAGGTTACATTGGGGGCCACGGAGGTGGATGGAAGTGCAGGTTCAGCGGCAGCTTTCATCTTTTTATTAACACAATTATGGAATTGGAAGGGATCTTCCCCTTTAAGGACTCTTCTTGCTTCTAAAGCAGCAGCCTCCCTGAGTTCTCTACATGATTGATCGGAATACCATGACATTCTTGGAGTATAGATGACGTTGGGAAATGCACTTAACGATTCGTTTTTGGTATTCAAGTCTAAGGCGATGCCTCCAATCTGCCCATTTCTTAGGCCTGTTAACACATCCGATTCCACTAACAACTTTTCACTGATTATATTTACAATGTAAACGCCCTTCTTCATTCGTTTTAAGTTTTGCTATAATAATATTAAACAAATTCATTGTCTTCTTACCGCGTTGATTATGTTTTTAGTGTTTACATTCACCGGACAATGGAAGGTGACGCAATCAGCGTTGGCGAGGGCTTCTTCCAAGTTCAGGCACCGGTTAATGTCTAGAGCTTTCTCCATTCCTAAGCATTTCTATGAAATAATTAAGGTATAAACTTACCTTCAGAAATATTTGGGTCATAGAAGGTGATCTTGAATCCGAAGGCCTTAGCTCTTAGAGCAACAGCTTTCCCAACGTTTCCAAGGCCAACTATAAGAAGAGAACTTCCATGAAGTCTTTTGGTACCCGCTGATACCTCCTTCAATCCTTCGATACCTTGATTTCTCGAAGATCGAGCAAAAATATACGTTTTTCTATAGAGATTCAGCATTAACGAAAGCGTAGTATCCGATTGTTCCTCGATGCATTCTGCCTTCGTGTTACAGATTGCTATCCCACGATCACTAGCGGTTTCAATGTCAATGTTGCCAGTTGATGGCCCAATACGAATAATCGCCTTTAGACGTTTGAATTTCATTAGATCTTCTTTATCCAACTGAATCGAGTGATAAGCTAATGCCACAACGGCTTCGTTCAGTACCTAAAAGTAAAAAACTACAGTTAGTATAAACAAAATACCTTGAATTTTTTATAATAACCGTAAAAGCCCAGTTTTTTGAAGTACTTTTAACCTACCCGATCATGAATTTCTGAGGGATTCTGTGCGTCGCAAAAAGCAACCGTGGCGACATCTTTCAGTAAGGACATTTCGATTGCGCAGTCGCGACCATCGAGCAATGCTACCAGAGGTCTCATCCCGAACTGATTATTACCTACTGAAATTTTTTTTTAGTAACGGAAATTGAACGTTAGAGATGAAAAACATTCAAAAAATAATAATAAAATCATCAATGAGAGAAGACGCACAGCCGAGCAAGGGGGCGACGTTATCAGCTGGGCCAAGATTATGTTGAAGGTTATCAGTGGCATGAAGAGGGTGCAGCAAGAGCTGGGCGAGGGGCGACGCCTCCGACTCCCCAAAACCGGACACCGCACTGTTTCGGTCACCTGAAACGAGAATAAAAAGGTGTCGGGGTTGTGGAGTTGTAGCGTCATCCAGCCAAGGTTGCGCAAAAATTTTAACCGAAAAGGGACGAAATGCGCAGAAACGGCTCTTCTCCGGAGAGTCTTGGAATGGCTGAAATGAGTCCATTCGATCTCCCCCACCAGCCAGTCTTTCTCCCGCCGGGGCAAACCCCTTTCGAAAAATGGCGGCGGAAACAGACAATGTGAAGGAGCGTGTTTTCGGGAATCCATTTGCGGTTTGAAACGTTCAATCGACATAGATTAAGAATCTTACGGTTACAATTTCTAATAATCATAGTTATTAGCTCTACGTGCACTACTATACGTGAATGCTAACAAGTGAAATAGCTGGACTGAAAATCAACGCGTCCCGACATTTCGGGTCAGGGACAACTCGGGTCGCGACAACTCGGGTCGCGACAACTCGGGTCAACGACAATTCGGGTCAACGATACCGTTTAATATTTTCGCTAAGGGACTGCGAAAAAAGAATTTTTTGGTGAATTTGAAAAAATTTTTGAAACGTTTTCGCTTCGGGACTTGGAAAAAAGATTTTTTTGGAGAGTTTGAACAAATTTTTGAAATGTTTTCGCTTCGGGACGTGAGAAAAAGGATTTTTGGAGAGTTTGAACAAATTTTTGAAATTTTTTCGTTTCGGGACTTGGGAAAAGGATTTTTCCTATTTTTTCCTAAAAAAAATTTAAAAATAAACCTCAATTCTCCAAAAAAATCTTTTTCCCCAGTCCCGAAGCGAAAACATTTAAAAAATTTGTTCAAAATCTCAAAAAAAATCTTTTTCCCAAGTCCCGAAGCGAAAAGATTTCAAAAATTTTTCAAATTCACCAAAAAATTCTTTTTTTCCCCTGACCCGAAATGTCGTAGCGCCAAAATCAACACATACCACTTGAAGGCACAAAAGCAGAAGTCGAATTCAGTAGTGGGGAATCGTGTGAGGATGGGCGGGATCCTAAATTCAGGTCCAGCGACGTATGTTCGGTTGCTGATTTTAAAGCATTTGCAAAAGCTGAGGCCACTTGGTTTGGATCACCCAAGCCTAAGCGTTCATAAAGCTGATTCAAAGAAGGGAAAGGCGTTGTGCTCATATTCAAACATTTAGAACTGTCCAGCTGACACTTCTGTCGCCTTTTTTCCAAGGACTTGTTTTCTTTAGGTGGCAGTTGAATTGAAATCGGAGTATCATGCTTCAAAGCCATTCGTTAAAGCATCAAACACATAGAAAAAGCATAAATATACATAGATACATACACACAAACTAGTGAGACTACAAGATTTACCTCGGGGTCAGGTACGGGGATGTCACCTTCTCTTTTCTCGCCATCCTTGAAATGAGCAGAACAAATTCTCAGCTATAATAACCGCTTTTTGACCTCTATTGGTATGCTCTTTTTACCTGACTGACCACAGTTTCTTCAGTCCTACCAATTGCTCTAAGCCACCGCTGCCGAAGAATAAGTGGTCGCTTGGGGATACGGTAGAAGTGCCGGTTGTCTTCCTGGCCTCGGTATCTCGATCTAAATTTACAGTTCGGAAAACCACAGGTAGTCGGCATCTGAATGAACAAGATAATAGATGGGATTATACCACTTATCTGACGAAAAACCGCACACGACTTTCAAGCGAAGCAAATGAGCGGCTGCCGCTTGGGACGTGACAAGTATCAGTCAAAACGCCCAAAACCACAACCAGACCTGGGCCTGATGTTCTATATCTGGTTTCGGTGTACCGATGAAAGCAAAAAACTCAAAGTGACGAGAGTTGTCACGGACTCTCCTTCCTTGAATCCAATCTCTCTCGGCCATGTTGCTTAACCTAAGGCGGAGATATTGGTTGTTTTGGGAGGAAATCTCGGACCTCTTCTTCGTAAATCTTATGGCAGAGACGTGGAAGAGGAGGACATTTAAGTGCAGTTAAACGCCCGCCTGGTAGCGGTTGTAAACGGGAAACACGCTTCACAATTATTCAGCGCAACAGTGTCTGTGGAAAGTCACCTGAACCACAGGTTTATGTTTACACCCTCCGTTAATAAATGCCATCCCATCAAGGATTACGGTAGCCGTAAAAAGCAAGACCGACCTTGTGGCCTCACTCCATTCAGCAATGACAATCAGATGAGTAGCTCCACGATTTCCTGAATTCTATGGCGCCTCGATGACTTCCGAAACAACATCGTCAGACCGCCTCTTTTACTTGGGTAAACTGAATTCCGTTGGCATTGAGTCCCCTTTACTCTTCCAAATAGGTCCGCCGGATCGAAAAACACCGCTTGCGCGACTTTCGGCCCTGCATTCAAGACTTTTCGAGACTATATCCGCCGCCAATTCAACGAGTAAATTGCTTTGGATGGCCGATGAGATTTGTTGGGTAACTTCCTTTGAGGAGAGGCCAGCACTTTATCCGGCTCTTAACCAGATTTCCGGCACGGATGCACCTCTTATGCCGCCGAGGCCTCTTCTTTCATCTTCAACGATTCCAAACTTTTTGGTATGATTAGTCGCGTCCTTTTATTAGGCCTTTAGGCGGTGTTTTCATAAAACTTTCCGGCCTTCATAAACCCGTCCAAACACAGGCCAGACATCTTCAAACAATACTTTTCCTTGGAATCATACCGTATCTTCGCAAGTGTATGTGCAATGGCCTGCGGCTTCTTGCAAAGTTTGTTTGTTTGCAGTTTGTTTCAAAGTACTCAAAGGATGACAATTGAATAAATATCAATAAATCCGGCCGATAATGCACAACATGTATTAATTGTCGTATGGAATCAACAGAAAACACCATCTGTGCCCTGCGGAGGACAGATGACAATTGCCTGCCGACAACTGACATTTGATCGGTGTTATATAAAAATAAACATAACCGAATTATAAAAACTTGCGACTCTTTACCTAAACTGTTTGCTTTGCTCTTGCCTTAGATATCGAGGAGAAGTTGAAGTGTTAAGAATGAATAAATTCCCATTTATCGGAGAGCCGAATCTCTAATACGAAGACCTAACCGCTTCACGGTTATTTAATTTCGAGTAGTCTCTGCAGCTGTTTTAGGTCCCTCCAACTTTGTGACAATACATACGTGTTACGCAGTATGACGTCAGGCCAGCAACTTTTCGACCTTACGCCTTCCTTCTCCCTTTTCGCTTTTTTTCTTGATCCGCCTATCAATCTTGGCCTTTTGATTTGCTCCAGCAGCCGCACCAGTCTGGGTTAAAGCATTCATTTCTATTATATTGTTGTAGTTGTTCTCGCAGTCGTTCTATTATTTTCTTAAGAAATTCAAGATGGGGAACGCAAAATCGACCGAAGCTGATGGTTCTGGTGGAGAGGAGAAACATGAGATCAAGAAGAAGAAGGACAAGGAGAACAACAAGTAAGTACTGTACTTCAAGTCGTGATGAAGTAACAATTGGACTTAAAAACGGCATATACCAAAGGGTAGTTGGCAATGATCCAAATATAAAAATGTATAGACAGTGGTAATTTTAGAACCACTACTAGCAAAGAGAAAGGACTCACATCAGGTCAAAAGGAAATCCTCAAGTTTTCGATGGTGAATGCTAAAGAAGATCTCGGTCATCGCATTTACATGAGGGTGATGGACAAAAGGGAAGATTTTATGAACTTTGTGGAAGGCCTATCAAAAGAAGAACGGCGAGATTTAACGGATCATTTGAGGGAATTTCTAATCAATGTAGTCGACGCTGTAAATGATACTGAAGAAATGGAAAACCTCAGCAAGAGATTTGGAAGTCAACATGCCCAACTAAGGTCCTCTGGATTCAAACCAGATTTCTTTGTCGGAATAGCTGATGCGATGACAACAGAATGCGTATTCTTGGATGGAGCTACACATGGAGCTACTGAGTGTTTAGTGGCATGGTAAGAAATATAAAAATATTCGTTCGTAAAGCATCTTTTGATTATAGGTCCCAGTTGACAAGTCAAGTGTTCAGTGCTGTCAGGGATGGGTATTACAACGAATTGAGGCGTCTCCGCCGTTTATCTAATTCAAAGTCTATGGCTGAAGAACCAGTCGAACCAGTAAAGGATTCCGACGCCATCTCGTCAAATTATGTTTTTTTAATGTTTTTTTTGTGTAATACGCACGTGTCTTGAAGACGCAAGATCTAGACGGCTACCCTTCATTTGGGGCAGATCGGGTGTCGGTCCAATACTTACAGTCTGATTCAAAATGGTAGGAATCACTTTAAAATCTGCAATTCTCGTGACGGGGTTCACTTCGGAGATGAAACCTTTACAGATTTAGAGAGGAGGATTGAAAACAAACACAAAAAAAATTTTTTCTTATTGCACTTTAAGCAAGTTTCCCCAAAGTTTGGGTGTTTCAAAAAGGATGGAACCCCTGCTATTTTTGCTAAAAAACCTCCAGAGTGCCCGAAATTATTAATATTACGTAATACAACTTTCTGGACTTTATCGAGTTTAAAATTTTCGGATTTTCAAGGAACTTTCAGCATATTTTCTGAAGCGTTTAGACTTTTCGTCCGCACATTATTGATTGATCAAAATTTTATCCTACAAAAACTCTTTCGGAAGAATTTTTGTAGGATAAAATTGGTTCTAAAAAATTGAGGAAATTTTATACTCCGCGTACAATGTTTTGACCCCCCTCCTAACTCGGCCCAAAGTGTACTAATCCGGACCAAATTTGGTATATAGTCTACTCACAGGCTAGTAACAAAAAATAACATAGCAGGACATACCTTATAGTTGAATTGCAAAATCCAGGAGCAATTTTCAAAAATCACCTTAAAAAATCGAGGAAATAGTTTTGACCCCCCTTAAATAAAGTTAGATATCGCCAGCGGATATCGCCCAAACCTCTCGTAATCGACGTCTCATACCTGAATACAGGTCAATAAATGGTTTTCCGTTGAATCCTTCGTTGCATTTGAGGATTCAACGCGTTAAACCGTTTTGGATGTAGAGCTGCCCAAAATGGTAAAAATCTTGCCCTAGAGCTTTCCAATAGCTCTAAATTGGATTTAGATTATGTGATTTAGACCTGTATTCACCTTCTCTTTTCGATAAAAGTGCATGGTGACCTGGCGGTGTAGATCCGGCAGATACCCTCTTGTCATGCCCAGCTTTGGCGACTCATTAGCTTTCTGACCTAGGGGCTAGATATGGTCGTTAGGTTCTCAATGCAATCCTGAGACTCCTACTTACTCTCAAACAAAGAATAAACTCCCACTGACACGATCTCGTATGGTTTGCAGGCGCAACTTTGCCGATCTGCACCTTAACCAGAAAACCGAGTTTTTCAAATGGATTTTTACCGACGAAAAATGGCTTGCATTAGATGGCCCACGTAATTTAAGAAGCTACGGCAACCGCCGTATACGTTTGAGACGTATCGAACGGCAAATCGCCTGCGGGGATGTGATCGTCCTCGGGGGCATCTACAGTAACGGCAAACGCAAGATTAAACTGAATGAAACCCATTACAAAACGTGTCAAATCGAAGCAGTTTACATTACTGAGTGTAAACAGGAGTCTCAGGATTACATTGAGGACCTAACGGCCACACCTAGCCCTTTACTCAGAGAGCAAATGGGTCGCCAAGGCTGGACATGACAATTGGATATCGGCCGAATCTACACCGCCAGGTCACTATGCACTTTTATCGAAAGGAGAAGGTAAATACAGGTCTAAATCACGTAATAAAAATCCAATTTAGAGCTATTGGAAAGCTCTACGGCTAGATTTTTACCATTTTGGGCAGCTCTACATCAAAAACGGTTTAACGCGTTGAATCCTCAAATGCAACGAATGATTCAACGGAAAACCATTTATTGACCTGTATTCAGGTATGAGACGTCGATTACGAGAGGTTTGGGCGATATCCGCTGGCGATATCTAACTTTATTTAAGGGGGGTCAAAACTTTTTCCTCGATTTTTTAAGGTGATTTTTGAAAATTGCTCCTGGATTTTGCAATTCAACTATAAGGTATGTCCTGCTATGTTATTTTTTGTTACTAGCCTGTAGGTAGACTATATACCAAATTTGGTCCGGATTAGTACACTTTGGGCCGAGTTAGGAGGGGGGTCAAAACATTGTACGCGGAGTATAAGATGTTTTTTCCTGATCAGGAAGCAAGGCTTTGTCCCGGGTAGCCAAGAAAAAGCAGCCAAAGATCTTAACAAAAATTCCATTAGTGACGAAAAGCCAGTCTTGGTCAAAAAATAGCTTCAACTACGCTGACCCTCACACCCTAGTTTTGTCATTTTGAGAAAATTTTAGGCAACCACCTTGACCCTGGTTGCGACCTAGGAGGACGCGAGCTTGTGCCCTATTCTCCGGTGTGAACACGAGTACCCTAATCCCCGTTGGCGAGCCAGTCAAACAGTTTTGCAATATTGGGCCCGATACCCGATCTGCCCCAAATGAAAGCATACGTCAACAACACCACTTTATTTGTAGATTAGATATAGCCCGTGTAACTTAAGTCCGATCTTTCATTTTATTTCTTTTTTATGAGTCATTCAATTTCAGGTCAGGTGAGGAATCAACGTCAGCATCCCTGGAAGACCCCACCTCCGAAGAAAACAGGAATTCCCAGCTACTAGCACCACCATCAGTCACATATTGAATATGTACAAATTATAATTATCAAACAGATCTCGTATATTGCAATAATAAAGTTTGCTGCAGTATCCGATATTGTTGTGGTGATTTTTTTCAACTCTCTTACAAGGAAAGGAACTGTCGTGAGCTTTCAACATGAGACCCCTAAATCTGAAAGAGCGTACAAAATTTACGTTAGTTAGTAGGAATCCGTTTGTTCTACTCCTTATCAAAAGAATCAAAAAAAAGTTGCCGATTTTTCTTGTAAAACTAATCGAGTGTACTCCAAAACCCAATATGATAAACAAAAATAGTACGTTTATGTTTTTTTTATCTTTAAGACAAAAAAAATTATAAATCATGATACAGATATCACAGGATCGTCTAATTTGGCGAAAAGATGTGGCATGCCATGGCACAATAAAAAAGTAATTATCCAAATTTCAGCCGTAAGTCAAAAGTTATTGCCGATTTTCTGTTTCAAAAACCATGTTTTCCAACTCTAAAAATCGAACTTTCAAGCCTACAGTAGTCACTGAACTAGGGTTCGGAAAATTCGGGTATTTTCATCACGCGGGTATATACCCGAAATCTCGGGTATATTCGGGTATTTATAAAATTAGCCTAAATTGGTCCAATATATTAATAGTACCAATATGAAGTCGTTAATGAATAAGTGGCAAGTTATTCGTTAACCTAATCATGTTTGGAGTGATATTCTTTATTTTCCCAACTACAACAAACAAAACTAGTACTTTAACAATCAAAAAGTTTAGCAATCCAATATTTGGCAGTCAGATTTTGAATTTTTTTCCGTTTATTTTCCGACTCCGGCCAAGTAAATTTCAACCTTACACTCAACCTTAGACCAAGTTTCGAGAGGCAAAAAACAAATTATGACAAAAGTCAGCATTTATTGATTTTTTATGACAAGACTCGACTTTTTTTTACATTATTTGAATGCAAAAGTACTTTGAATATACCCATAAATACCCGAAAATTTCCGGCCTCTCGGGTATTTGGGTATATACCCGGGAATATACCCCGGGTATATACCCCGTCCGAACACTACACTGAACCGTTTTTCTGGGAGCTCTAACTTTTCGTCTAAAGTGAATATTTTTATTCTGTCATTTATTTATCGATTCATACTGTAAAATTTACGAAGGTTATTTGCTGTTTTAATGGATTTTCTTTCAATTTATTGCGATTAGCCAGACATTACTTGAGGTGATATCACACGAACCTGAAGGAGTTGGTCAAAAAGGCATTTGCGTGGTGTTGCGAGAAAAATTCTGAGGATTTTTTTCACCCTTACAAACCAAAATTAGGCAGCTAAGCTTTACACATTCTGAATCAGAAAAATTTGCGATTTTTTGATATATATCTCGACCTGTAACTCTAGGGCCCATAGAAGTATAATAGTTTCCTTGTAAGGCAAAAAAAAATATTTAACAGTATGCCAAGTATTTGTTTTCCTGGCGTGACCCGATGAACGTTCCGTTGTGTGTCGATGTGCTTTTTCCATTGATTGCGTAATGGGACGAAATGTCACACAATTATTGAGTAGACAAACGAAGTGTCAACTCTGGCCTACAGGATTTTTTCGCAAAGGTGTGTGCGTTTTTTGCTCGGATCGGACTCTGATGTTTTTCATTTACTGCGTCGTGGATTCACGAAGTGTCCGTATTATTATTTTCTTACAATTTCATTATAATAATTATATAGCTTTTTTTCGGTAGCGTGTTTCTACTGTCATACAAAATTTTTAATTTGTTTAAATTTTAGGTTAATCAGTACTTTGCTCTCACAACAATGCCTTCTGATGCGAAGAAGAAGAGAGATGCCGCTAAGAAAACGGCTGCGAAAGGCGGAAAGAAGCCCGCAAAGAAGGAAGAACCTCAAACAAATGGGACTCAAAATGGTACTAATGGTACTGCCGTGTCCACCGATCCAATCGTGGACGCTGCTGTCGCTCTTCTTGAACAAGTTGAGATTGACAACGCCAAAGCCAGAGCCGTTGCAGGAGCTCTCGGATCGCATCCAAAAAGTGTCAACTTTAAGATCAACCAGCTTACCATTACTTTCCATGGACGAGAAATTGTGACAGACACAACTTTAGAAATTAATCAAGGACATAGGTATGGTTTGATCGGCTTAAATGGGAGCGGTAAGTGCTGGCGATTCTTGTAATTTGCGTTCAGGAAAGTCCACACTTCTTCAAGCCATTTACAACAGAGAGATGCCTATTCCTGACCATATAGACATGTATCTTTTATCTAGAGAAATGGTAGCGAGTGACGAGACCGCTCTGAAGGCCGTTTACAACGTTGACCAGGAAAGAATTCGGTTGGAGGCTCTGGCAGAAGAATTGGCTGCCAACCCTGAGGATGGTTAGTTTTTATTTTTGCAATAAATTTTATTTTCTTTGTTTAGAAGCTCAAGATCAATTGATGGAAGTATACGAACGTCTTGATGAGATGGACGCTAGTCAAGCGGAGGTTAAAGCTGCCAGAATCCTCCATGGACTTGGATTTAGCAGGACTATGATGATGAAAAAATGCAGAGACTTCTCGGGAGGTTGGAGGATGAGAATTGCTTTGGCTCGAGCTTTATATCTGAAGCCGACCTTACTTTTGTTGGACGAACCTACTAACCATTTGGATTTGGATGCGTGTGTTTGGCTCGAAGGAGAGTTAGCAAGGTAAATATTGAGTTCATAGTGTGTTGTGGATCGAATCCAAAAGTATTTATATTGCATGTTACAGCTACAAAAGAGCGTTGCTGATTGTGTCGCACTCTCAGGATTTCATGAATAATGTTTGTACAAATATGATTCATTTGTTCCAAAAGAAGTTGATTTATTACGGAGTAAGTACATTAAATTGTTCTCATTTATTTTCTTGACTTGTACTTTGATGTATTTTAGGGAAACTACGATACTTTCATCAAAACCCGGGTGGAATTGTTGGAGAACCAAGCTAAGAGATACAAATGGGAGCAAGATCAGATCGCTCATATGAAGGAATACATTGCCCGCTTCGGTCACGGATCGGCTAAATTGGCCAGACAGGCCCAGTCCAAAGAGAAAACTATGGCGAAGATGATTGCAGGTGGGCTTACTGAGAAGGTGGAAACCGAACAGGTTAAGCAGTTTTACTTCTTCAATCCGGGGGATATCCCCCCACCTGTTATCATGATCCAAAATGTGTCTTTCCGTTATAATGACAACACAGTAAGTATGTCTAAAAATGACCAATCCGTTTTTAGCCGTATATTTACAAAAATCTTGAATATGGAATTGATCTTGATACTAGAATTGCCTTGGTCGGACCTAATGGAGCTGGTAAATCCACGTTCTTGAAGCTGGTTAGTGGATCCATCACTCCAACCGATGGACAGATTAGACGGCATGTACACTGCAAGATTGGGTTGTATCATCAGGTAAACAGCGTATTTCCAATCTTTAAAACTGAATTTTTAGCATTTGCATGAAGAGCTTCCATTGGATAAATCAGCATTGGAGTATATGTTGGAGTCCTATCCAGAAGTTAAGGAAAAGGAAGAGATGAGAAAGATCATTGGCCGATATGGAATCACTGGTCGCGAACAGGTTTGCCCAATCAAGCAGTTATCTGATGGGCAAAGAAGACGTGTTTCCTTTGCTTGGCTAGCATGGCAGCAACCTCATCTTCTTTTGCTCGATGAACCTACCAATCATTTGGATATGGAATCCATTGACGCGTTGGCTGAAGCCATTAATGCCTTTGATGGAGGTGTGATCCTTGTTTCTCACGACTTCCGTCTTGTTCAACAAGTGGCTGATACGATCTACATCTGTGACCATCAGACTATTACCAGATGGGAGGGCGATATTTTCTCCTTCAAGAAGCACCTGACGCAACAGATCGCTTCAGGCGAGAAGGAATTCGTAGAACGATAAGAGGGCCGACATAAAATATCAATGTCTGATACTTGTTGTTTTTAATTTGTTATATTTTGTCCGATTTACAGGACGAATAAATAAACAGCGATGAAGAAGACGTGGCACGGCATTCGGGAGTGACGATTGAGATTGGAACTGGTTTGGGTCTTCTTTGAAGACGCTCTCTGCTGATGGATCTTCGTTCCGTCGACCGGTTGCGAACGATTAATTAAAGAAAGGTCTAGGATGGGTAAGAGTTTATGGATTGAAACGGGAACCGAACTCCTTCCTCCTGAGGTGCCGTCAGCCTCCCCGACTTGAGTTTCATCCCAAGTAAAAACGGCGCGTCGCTCGGCTGAATCATTCAAGATGATGTGGTCGCGGCTTTGGCTGTTCCTCGTCGTCTACTTGGCCTCAGTCCAGTCAGCCCCTCGGGGACCTCTAACTGATCATTTCCAGAATTGGCTGATCGCCAATGGATATGAAAGTGATTCCTTTGATCGGCCCGATATTGGACCTAACGGTAGTTTTGGAGGAAGGGCCAGCCCGTCAGACAAGGTTGTTAACAAATATATTTTTTGTCATCAAAGTCCGTGTGTCTGTCTTTACGTTATTTCTTCAGATTGTAAATGAACCAGTCATATTTATTCACGGGACGGGAGATGCAGCTCTTCATACTCAAGCTCCCATGGCCACTGGGTGGTCGAGATCCATACAGTACTTTTTAGAACAGAACTACAGTAGCGCCGAATTGTATGCTACAACATGGGGAGACACCTGGGGCACAGGAAACGTCGTCGACAGCTACAATACCATGCATACATGCTCGTATCTTTTAAATCTGAGGAGATTTATCGAAGCTGTCATCGCCTACACAGGAGCCAAGAAAGTGGACGTGATTGCTCATTCAGTTGGTGTTGTATTTGCTAGGTAAGCTTATCGTAATTTTTCATATGTGATTCCCGACATATAGTGATGACTTTTTAGAACATCTACATTTTCTTTGCTTAGATTTTATGTGTATTTAGAAAAGTTCTGAAAGGTGGTGATTTAATTGCAACTGATGGCAACTGTCAACTGGGCCCATCCCTGGCCAAACATGTGGACACTTTTCTGGGGATTTCTGGCCCCAATTACGGGCTTTGTGTTTGCCAATTGGCCCAGACTGTTCCTGCATGGTGCAACGCCTTAGATGGATTGTATCCGGGATACAGTTGTGAGGACCAGGTAATCGGGAATACTTTTCTTAAACCTATTTTCCAGCTATTATGTGGCTATACATCAAGTTCATGCACCCAGAAAGATTACTCAACCTTCCTGGAAAAGTTGAATAACTCGCCGCAGAAAGAAGCTGACCATGTTTATGCGATGTGGAGTGATGGTAAGAGTTGTGTTATCACTGAAGATGTAAAATTTATTCAATTATGTGAGTCATTTCAGTCGACGAGGTAGTTATGCATCACACTTGGGGAAAACCGACCAGTCGAATACCCGGGATGAATGGCCGTTGGGTCTCCGACAGAAATGGACATGTGGCCATGAAAGACCTCACGGAACTCCGACAGTACGAGGCGGTTGTCCATCATTCCATTTAATTTATTTCCTCCCTCACAAATGAATCTCATGTTCAATAAATGATGCTACGGCTTTTGTAGTCCGCGTTAATTATGCTGCTCTTAACAAGGGAAGTCACTTAAGTCACGGATTGATTTTTAAAAACGACTGTTACAGCGACCGGGAGTGTAGGACGGAGATAACAAATCTGAAAACCGCTACCTCCACCGGCCTCTGGGTGCCGAGATAATCGACCAAAAAGGTTTGATCAAAAAAAGTTGCTCCGAATAGTCCTCCTTTCCGAAAGAAGGAAGGAAGAGAACCGAATGGTCCGGTGGTCTGGAAGCGCGCTTCCGGGCCTTGACCTTCTCAGGTTCGAATCCGCATGGGTCAAATAATTTATTCAACTTTTCCTGTAATCCAGTAAATTTACCGGTAAGATAAAATTTTTTATTTTTTGCATATTTTACGATAAAATTTCAGCGTAATAATTTGAATGCGAGTTCCAAACGATTAGAATTTTCCAGGTTGAAAATTTGCCGTAGAATAGGCGTAAAATCTAAAAATATATTGCATGAAAATTTACTAGATCGCAGCAACTGTTTTATAAATTTTTCACAAGTTCGAGATCCGCGCGGATTCGAACCTGAAAAAGTGAAGGCCCGGAAGCGCGCTTCCAGACCACCGGACCATTCGGTTCGCTGGGTTTCCTTCTTTCGGAAGGAAGAAATGTTTGGAGGAATTTGGTCAAACTTTTTGGTCGATTATCTCGGCTCCCAGAGGCCGGTGGAGGTAGCGGTTTTCAGATTTGATATCCAGATTCCACCCTCTTCATTGCAGTAACAGTCGTTTTTAAAAATCGATCCGTGATTTAAGTGACTTCCCTTGTAAGTTAAATTTAGGGTTTGGGGGTAAAGCTGAGCAGATTATACGAAGATGAGCCAAGAAATCTTGACTGAACGACGCGGGAAATTTTTGTTTATCACGTTAAATCGACCTGAAAAAAAGAATTCCATCAATGATAACGTAAGTTGATCCGTTTAATCCAGAAATGAGGCATTCAGATGTATCGGGAGATTCCACAGATTCTTCATGACGCCAACAATGATGACGGCATTATATTCACCGTGTTTACAGGTAGTTTTTGAAGCATGAAAACTACACATCTTTAGCCCGTGGTAGATACATAATAATAAAACCACTTTTCTTCATCTCAGCCGAACACTCCCCCTTTTTAAACTTTCCCCAATGAAAGGTGAACAAAACATAAATTTTGCGTGGCCATCCATTATAGGCATATTTTTGAAATTGTTGGAAATGTGCTCAAAACCCCTTTACCTTTGTAAAAAATTTGAATATTGCGTCTTCTTTACTTTTCTTCTTAAGTATGTAGTATTGTTAAAAAGTTCTTCTTATTTGCAGGCAATGGAGATTACTTCAGTTCTGGATCTGAGTTTAAGCTCGACTCTACACATGCGGAAAAGTAAGTAGCTTTTTCCAAAACGGAACTGGGACGATTGGGGAAAAAGACGATTGGGGAAACCGAAAAGTATTATTTTTCTTCGATACAAATATCGAAATTAGGATAGTCGAGGGTGCCGATTTCGAAAATGACATTCATTTTTTGATTATTACTTTTTTCCTTGAGTAGTACTGTAAAGTAGTAATTTTTTGAATTTTCTTCATAAATACTCGATTTAGGGGTTTTCAATGGCGCTGTTTTCGAAAACGACATTCATTTTTTCGATTCTTACTTTTTTCTTAAGCAGTACTGTAAAGCAGTAATTTTTCGATTTTTTTCATAAATACTCGATTTAGGGTTTTTCGAGGGTGCTGATTCCGAAAATCATATTCATTTTTTCTGGGTGTTACTTTTTTTTCTTAAAGTACGCGCGTCGCCATAACTAGGGAACACTTGGCCATTTTTTAAAATAAATCGCGTCGGGACCAAAATTAACTTGAAATCGTACGTGTGTACGGTAGAAAAATAATTTTTTCGCGGCTGCAGCCGGAAATTTTGTTGTTTGATATCGCGATGGATTTATCTCAGTAAGTTGTTTTATATCTATTTTCACTTGTTTCTAGAGCTCAGGGACCGTTGGAGAAAGTTGTTTACTATCTGTTCTTTGTGATTTTTTTCAAAATCTGTCGGATTTTCTTTCTCCTCGTGAATAATGCTATCTTATCCATGATTTGTTAGTATTATCGTCAATTTATTAACCTTCAGAATGCTTATTTTTGATATTATTATTCAACGCATTATATAAGTCTCCACTGGGGCATGTGAACTCTGCGACGGCACCGGCTTCATCAAGATCCAGACCACTTGATCATGCGTGAGATTCTATTGGAGCGAGAGGCGGGCCCTTCCAGGACCTTGTCATTTTTGACACGTTCGCAGAGATCCTAAAACCGAGTAATCAATGTCAAAAACATTGAACTTACTTCATGATGAGGTGGTCAGGGTTGATCTCCAAATTTTTCTTGGAACCGATATATCTATCCCATGTTTAACTAGCCAACAAAAGTCTGATCCTTCATGATTCTCTGAATCTTGACCTTTTTCTGCAAAATTGTGCTTTTCCTATTCGAATTCATGGAGTTCAAGACTTCCGCGGAGCATTTACTTTACATCGAACTCCTTCCGTTGCCGGACATCGTACTCATCAACGCACGTGAACCCGTAGATGACCTCGTCTTCACGTTTCTTGCCTAAAATTCGGACCGAAAACATTAGTTTTCGTTTAAAAAAAATCTAAAATACAGCTAAATATGCACGAACCACAAACGATTTATTTATACAAATTATAAAGACACTGATCCACGAATCCGACAATTCGTCAACAACGCAACAAATAATTCTCGGCTCCAGCCGCAGAAAAATTATTTTTCTACCGTACACACGTACGATTTCAAGTTAATTTTGGTCCCGACGCGATTTATTTTAAAAAATGGCCAAGTGTTCCCTAGTTATGGCGACGCGCGTACTTTAAGTAGTGCTTAAATAGTAATTTTTTGAAAATTTTCCAAAAATACCGAATTTAGGGGTTTTCGAAGGTGCTAGCACCTCTACTACATAGTATCAGATAGTACTATTTAGTACTAGAGGAAAATTTAACATGATTTTCGAAACCAAATGACATTCATTTTTATAATCAAAAAATGAATGTCATTTTCGAAATCAGCACCCTCGACTATCCTAATTTCGATATTTGTATCGAAGAAAAATAATACTTTTCGGTTTCCCCAATCGTCCCAGTTCCCCCGAAAGGGCAGTAACCCGGGACAGCTCGGGTTGCGACAGGTCGAGTCAGCGACACCTCGGGTCAACGATACCGTTTAATATTTTCGCTTCGGGACTGGGAAAAAAGAATTTTTTGGTGAATTGAGGTTTATTTTTTAATTTTTTTATTGTTAGGAAAATAGTGTTTATAAGCGACGAGCAAATAAGAAAATCGAATCCATTGTTTATGTTTTTAACTGGAAGGACGGGATTTAAACACAGACAGTGGCAGAGAGTGGAGTAAGAAGATAATACAATCATTTCGACTATAAACACTATTTTCCTAAAAAATTTTAAACAAGTTTTGCCACACTTTGGAGCTTAGCCTAACAGGGGGCGGACATTGTTAAAATCGGTGTCTCAGAATTTAGCGAAACTTGGTCAATCTAAGCAGCACTAGACATAGAACATTCGCTTTCTTTGTTTTTGCCTAAAATTACCATATGGCGGATTACTGTAACTTTCTTCCTTAAAAAAAGATGTGCCCAAATCGAGAAAACGAAGCTCTGTTTTAGCGCAAATCGAGTTTAGGTATACGTTTTCGACCATTTAGAACATTTTTGTAATTATCACCAAGAACTAAAAATTACATCTATATAAGCTATGTTACAATTGAGGGAACATACCATTTCGGGTGTAAAAAGTGCAGTTTTGAGGTGACGCAGATTTTGAAACCGGAATATTAAACGTCAAGACTACTCTAATAAACCATAACAATTTCAGAAAAATCAAATGTATAGTTTTTGAGAAATTGGACATTCAATGACTCATGTGCGATATCACGTTGACCCGAAAAAAACTGGCATTCTTAGGGTTTTGGGCTGACGCAGATTTTGAAAGTTTCCAATACATTTTTATGACATTTTAGGAGGATACAGCAAATTTCAGACGAAAAAAATGTATAGTTTTTGAGAAATCGGCCAAAATACCTTGTTTTAGGTCATCAGATGCCCGAAAAAAACTGGCATTCTTGGGTTTTTGACCTCACGCAGATTTTGAAAGTTTTCAAGTGTTCTTATCACATTTTAGGAGGATACGGAAAGTTTCAGAGGAAAAAAATGTATAGTTTTTGAGTAGTCGGCCAAAATACCTTGTTTTAGGTCATCAGAACTCATAATCGTAGCCATCGGCGTACATTTGACAGAAGTTTTGCAGATAGCTCGAATTCTTTGGTGCAATTTGGGGAAAAAACAGTAGCACACATATATTTCGGAAAAACAAGGGATGCCGAAGAAAATTGGTCGAATTTTCCAGCAACTTGACCTACAACAAGGTCACCTTGGTCGATTTCTCAAAAACTATACATTTTTTTCGTCTGAAACTTGCTGTATCCTCCTAAAATGTCATAAAAATGTATTGGAAATTTTCAAAATCTGCGTCAGCCCAAAACCCCAAGAATGCCAGTTTTTTTCGGGTCAACGTGATATTGCACATGAGTCATTGAATGTCCAATTTCTCAAAAACTATACATTTGATTTTTCTGAAATTTTTATGGTTTATTAGAGTAGTCTTGAAGTTTAATATTCCGGTTTCAAAATCTGCGTCACCTCAAAACTGCACTTTTTACACCCGAAATGGTATGTTCCCTCAAGTGTAACATAGCTTAGATGTAATTTTTAGTTCTTGGTGATAATTACAAAAATGTTCTAAATGGTCGAAAACGTATACCTAAACTCGATTTGCGCTAAAACAGAGCTTCGTTTTCTCGATTAGGGCACATATTTTTTAAGGAAGAAAGTTACAGTAATCCGTCATATTGCAATTTTGGGAAAAAATAAAGAAAGCGAATGTTCTATGCCTAGCAGTGATTAAATCTACCAAGTTTCGTTAAATTCTGAGACACCGATTTTAACAATGTCCGGGCCAAACTACGATTTGTAATAAAACGCGTTTTAAAAATAAACCTAATTCTCCAAAAAACCCTTTTTCCCAAGTCCCGAAGCGAAAAAATTTCAAAAATTTTTCAAATTCACCAAAAAATTCTTTTTTTCCCAGTCCCGAGGCGAAAATATTAAACGGTATCGTTGACCCGACCTGACGCGACTAGACATGGCTGGGGGGCCGGGCCGAAAATCGCGGCCCGGCCCCCTTCAAATTTTCTCGGCCGGGCCCGGGGGCCGAACTTCGTTTTGAGACTGAGAATTTTAGTCATTGGAGGCCTGGCGGGGGCCCCCGGTCGGCCCGGCCCCGGGGCCTTTCAAACTCGTTCGACCCGGCCCACTAGCCATGTCTAGTCGCGACCCGAGTTGTCCCTGATCCGAAGTGCCGTAGCGCCCTTAAAACAAGTGTGCACCGATTTTGATAAACCGGTACCCACCAAAAATGGAAAAATATTTTTTTGTGCACCGAAAATCGCAATTGCGGGAAAAAAGTTTATTGCTATGGCCACAATAAGAACGAAACGACCATGAAACTACGGCAGTCAGTGTCTGGAATTTTTAGACATTGGGTTTCTTGAGATACAATCACATTCTTACATTAATTTAGCTGTCATTAGTGGGTGACAAAAAATGTGATAACTACAAATTATTATAGGTTAACAGGCTCCAGGTCTCCAATTTATGTTGACATGATAAGTGAATTAATCGACCATAGGAAGATCCTAATTGCCTTGGTAAACGGTCCTTGTGTGGGAATTGGCATGACCATGCTTACATTATTCGACTTGGTTATTTGTTCGGACAAAGTATGGAGTATTTTCTATTGAATGACGAGTCTTGGTTAGATCTCGAAACCGACAAAATCGGAAATCGGACAAAACCGGAAAACCTGTGTGCGTAAAAGTTGGACGACCCGCAATTAAGCATGGCTGCAAACCGGGCCAGCCCGGCCCGGCCCGGCCCGGCCCGGGCCTGCGGGCCGGGCCTAAATCTCCAAGCCCGGCCCGGGCCCGGGCTTGGAAAATTTGGAAAGCCCGGCCCGGTTCGGCCCGGAAAAATTTTGTACTAGGCTGGAAAGAAACAAAGCAGGAAATGAAGGGAAAATTATGGCACATTTCGCAAAATGTAAAGAATAATTTAGCAAAACCTATACATAGTGCAACTGCCCCTCGACTATTTTTATAAATTACTAAGTCGCCATAAATTGTCTTACCATATGGTTACAAAAAATAGTAAAATTTTATGTATAGTCACCGAAATTTTAGTAAAAATATTTTATCACAGATCTTTTATCGGATTTGAAAAAACCTACAAGCGTATTGCGTATTTTTGAAAAATTTTCCTTTTTCTCTTTTTGCCAGCGTATTAACTATGAGGTCGCACTTTAGAATTTCCGAAAATTTTTTCAAATTGACTTGAATTTTTTTTTTATTTGGGCGAGTGGTAAATATGGTCACTTTACTTTCGCTATCAGCATTGTGTTCGAAAAAATGAAAAATTCTATCGAAAAAGCTTGTTTTTTCCCTTTTTCCGGGCAAAACTCAGATTTCAAAAAAACCGGGCCGGCCCGGGCCGGGCCGGGCCTGAAAATCCAAGCCCGGGGTCGGGCCGAGAAATTAGTCGGCCCGGCCCGGGCCGGAAAATTTTGGAAAGCCCGGCCCGGAGCCATGCCTACCCGCAATGCGCTGATTTCCGGAATTTGGACACTTCCGGAATGGCGGAATAATGACACTTCCGGAACCGGGGAAAAATCAAAAATAAGGCTCAGACCTATCTTTTGAACCATTTGAATACTTTTTTTTCTTAAGTAGTAGTGTTAAAAAGTAATTTTTTGAAAATTTTCTAAAATACTCGATTTAGGGGTTTTCGAGGATGCTAATTTCGAAAATCGTGTTAATTTTTTCTGCACTTTACTAGCTCGCGACCTAGGTCGTGAACGAGGTCAAAGAGGTTGCCTAAAATTATCCGAAAATGGTCTCAATGCGTTGGTCAAGACACTTTCTTTAGGTCAGGTCGTAGCCAAGCTCACGACACAATTTTCCGGTTTTGTACATTTTCCGATTTTATTATAGCGCCGTATTTTAGGCTACATTCACAACTCCGTTCACCAAACTCGGAATAGTGGCTGAGGGAACTTCAACTTTTAGCTTCCCTTCTTTTATGGGCCGAATCAGAGCCAATCGATTGCTATTATTCTCTGAAAAAATAGATGCCAATGAGGCAAAAGTTCTCGGGTTGGTGACTGAAGTGGTCCCTCATGCTCAATTCCAATCGTTCTGCGACAAACAACTCAAGAAAGCTTCGCAGTTGGCTCCGGGAGTATGTCACTTACTTCATGTTCGGCTCTACTTATAAACGTATTAAAAGTAATTTAAACCGTTTTAGGCCCTACTAAAAATAAAATCCCAAATAATGGATGGAGAATATCGGAAGGCTCTGCGAAATACCCATAAAGAAGAAGCCATTGCCTTGGAACAGAAGTACCGTACTTCGGAGATGTTCGAGTTTATGATCAATGCCATCAAACAGCGGAAGGCAAAGCTGTGAAGATTTTTTCCTCAATTCTAACAATGTTACTAACGTCGGGACTTTTACTTGCAGTCCCGATAATTATTGCGGCCCCGGAATCCCAACTTTTTTCCAAAATTAGCCCTCTTACGCAAGAAGGAAATAAAGATTTTTTGGCCGAGAGAAAGGAAAGGGAAGATGTACGTAAATCAGAAGTTCCTCGGACTTAACTCCCGGTTTTGTTTTCAATGCCCTGGGGGGATCAGACTCGTGTGCGTTGATGTGTATTTTGTTTTTACAGAGTTATCGGGTTCCCGGTAAAGAAGTTGTATCGGGAGGGTCCTATTCCAGTGTACCTCATGGCCTGCGGGGTTAATCAGATTTGGGTCTTTTTAAACGTTTCTCAAGCACCAGTCCTGAAGGGGTTTCTTTCGGCCAAAAAAGTCAAGTACGGCCATGGATGTGCCCAGACACGTAGTACCTCAAAAGTCCCACTCCTTGTCCCATTGCGATGACGACGAGCCATAGTAGGAAGCCTGTATGTTGTATCGTTCCTCTCGTTTAGTCGCCGTTCTTCGGCGTTCTCCAGTCCACAGCAAGTTCGGCCCTCGAGAAGTCCGAGGTTCAGAATCGTCACCTTCCACTCGAACAGACGAAGCAACTCCTCGGGCCCCAATCTGGATGAATTGTCCCAAATGAAAGAGCCCTTTCACCATGATATGACGACTACACATCCCAGGTTCGAGCTCACCGGTCCACCTCCCATGTTGAGGCGAGAATCAGCCACGAGACTCTTCCTGAAACCGGACGCTGTTTTCAAGGCTTACGAGGAAATGGAATCTGTAGAGCCTTGTCTTAGACAACATCGATCTGCCATTGCTGCACGCTTACGCTCACAGAATTCTCTCACTGAGGAAAAGGTAAAAGTTTGTTCTCGACTACATATATACTATATTAATATATTTCTTTTCTGTATATATTTTTTTAAAAGTATTTTAAAAATGTGCAAAGAAAGTGCGAAATCGTCAAATTGTTTTGTCTAAGTGTTATGACAGCCGAGACGTGACTTCCTGCACGCAACTCTAAAGTCGAAAAGTGCTATAGGAAGTGGGAACAAGGGAGTAGGGATCGGGAGATTGGGAGAGTCTTCCTTGATATCAACTTAATAGTTCTTAGATTGTCCCTAGGGACAAATAGTCCTACAACAACCGGGTTTCTATTTATCTTGGGTCACGCTAACGCTTCACAAAAGACTGCCGTATCCTGAGGGATTGTTCTTTTATCCCACTCTCGAGGTGGAGTCAAGAGCCTCGGGTCGGTGTTCCTTCCCCCTAGCGTTTCTTTTCTTTCAGGATGCTGCAAGCCTTAAGCCAGTCGTGTCATCACAGTTCAAATCCACCGGTTTCGAACCTGCGCAGTGTTTTTCTTCCCCTCAGGCAGCTGTAAGTTGTACTTGGGCCGCATCCAGCTCTAGAATCCATCGCTCAAGTTCGGTTCAACAATCTCAGACACTTCTAAAGCCGGACGAGGGCCGACGCCGTTGTTCTTCGGCCATGGAAGCGATTCGCAAAGAGGATCCGGAGAATATTTACGACGTTTTCAAACAGGTAAACACTTAGAATTCACAGTTTCGCTCAAAGTAAAAGTAATCATTTATTTAACTAAAATCCATTTTTGTTTATTTCTTGGGACGACAATTCTCTCGAGCTGTGTTAATTTTTTTCTGATCTTGTGTTTGGTTAAAATTAAAGTTGCGTGGAAAAACAAAGGTTTTGTTATCCGGGCTGAGAAAATTTGAATCACGAGTCTCTCCGATTACTGTAAATAAACATTTCAGTTGGGTACCGGGAGGTTTGGATTTGTAAAATTGGCTCAAAATAAGAGCACGGGCAAAAGAGTGGCACTCAAATTCTTCCCGAGAAGCTGCACCAAGCAAGTAAGGCCGTCTTATTAAATGATTACTTTTCGAAAGGCCGACTTCCTCAGAGAATACAGTTATTCAAAACAATTGTCGGCTCATCCAAATGTTATAAACAGCTTCGATGGAGTCTATCATACCACGAATGAGGATGCCTTTTATTTTGTCCAGGAGTTTTGTCCTCATGCCAGTCTTCGCGAAGCAGTTGAGTGTAGTGTGGGGGGTGAGTAGTGCCAGGAATACAAAAGACCTCATCTTTCAGGCATTGGAGAGGAAAAAACAAAGGTAATCATGATCTCCGTCTTGAATGCCGTGGAGTACATGCATTCGGAAGGCCTGGTTCATCGGAATATAAAGGCCGAGAACATCTTGATATTCGATGACAGCGACTTCTCTCAAGTCAAGATCACTGACTTCGGGTTGACCAGGAAGGTCGAGTCAACGGTCAAACATCTCGAGTACACAAATCAGTATCATGCCCCGGAGTTGTGTGATACCGTGGTCAATGAGATGTGTACTGTGTCAAAGGGTCTGGATGTATGGGCATTGGGTTTGTGATTATGATTTGCTTGTTCTTTACTTTCCGATGTAATTTACCTTATTCTGTTTCAGGAATTTTATTTTATTACTGTCTCAGAGGAAAACATCCTTGGCAAAAGGCGAGCATAATGTGCAAACCTTACTGGGAATGGGAGCAATGGATGAAACACAAGTTGTCACAACTGCCACGAAGGTACGATGTCTTCACGGAGAAGGGCATCAAGCTGCAGAAGAGATGTTTAAATCCTCGAATAAAGGACCGCTGGACAGTGAAAGATATCAAAAGATGTATGGAGAAAGAGAGGCTGATAAAGCCTCAGAAGAACGTCGGCAAAACCAATGTAAGCAGTTGCCTCAAAATTGTATAATACTAACAGGGGAAGTACTCCAAGTGCGACGCTCAGATTTTGATGAAACTTGGCACAAATTTAGAACAATTGTTTCTAAGATATATGCGAGAATCCTAGCCCGCACGTTGCAGAAACAACCGGGATTTTTAGATTGAAAGTCGGTGAAAATTTAGGACTTTTTGCCGAATTTCGGCACGAAAAGTTTCATGCCAATTTCTACCCCGTAAAGGATAATGTTTCTACAAAAAATAAAAATTTTCCGCACGAAACTGCCAAAGTTATGGCCAAAAAGCGTTTTTCTCTCTGACCGCCCTCCACGTTTAGCGTGCTCTCTCGGCGGCAAAAATCGTTCGATATCTCGGCGGCGAGCTAAAACTTTCAGGAATTGATATTTAGTCCATACCCGATGTGTGTGCAAAATTTAAAGAAAATCTGAGCGTCGCACTTGGAGTACTTCCCCTGTAAACTATATCTATATTAATCGTTTTTTCCTGATGTTTGAAGCTTCAGTCGATCGACGATTTTGATGACGAAGTAGTTGAGCGCCGAACTGGACGCAGTTCGGGAATTCATCACTGGATCTCGAATACCCTGAGCACAATGGCTGAGATAAGTGAACAGGTTGTCTCTGCGCGGAATGCATAGTACGAGAAGACCCAATCAACAACATATCATTTTCAAAGTATTTAATCTTAATCTGTAATAATTCTGGGTAATCTTTCAAATAAAACGCTATAAGAATAAGTTTACTCTGTGAAAATAAATATTTCCTAAAACCGGAAGGGTAGAGATTCATGGATAGCCATATTTATATGTTTGGAGATACCCGTGTTCGCATTCTAGTCGACGTTTTTGTTATTTACAATCATCGATGGGTTCCTTTACCTCCTTCACCTTGCTGTTATCTTCCTGGATCTGGAAGAATGCGAGAGGGATAAAGCTAAGCATAACAGGGATGAAGACCAGCCCGTGTATCATCCCCAGCACCATGGTCAACCAGATGGTCTTGAAGAAGGTAAGGATGATATACGCGTTCACAGTGTATAAGATCGAGATACCGGCAATTGTAGAAGCAGCCCCCTGAGAAAGAGTTATCGTATTTATAACCACCGCAAACCTGAAATATTGGCCAGCCAAGATGTTCCAAAGCTCCGATCACACGATCACGAACTTCACCATGGGAAGTAACAAAAGCGTAAACAATATGAGCTGACAAATCAACAGCAAACCCGATGCTCATGATGATGGAGATCATCGAGACCGCGTCCAGATGAACTCTCCAAAACGTCATGTATCCAAATACCCCGGCACTTATGGAAACAATCGATAATACAATCAGGATTGCTGTAAGTAATTTGCAATCATTAGTTAAAAATTATTAATTTAACGCTTGAAAAAGGACATACCCGATGGAATTGACGGAATCAATAGGAATGCTATCAATGTCATGCATAACAAAGATATGCCAACATTTCGATATGTAGAAGGCAGAATGATGAGATATTGATCGGCAAAGGGGAAAGTCTCCTGGTAGATCTCAACGTGGAATGGCTGCTTATCAGCTATTTCCCTCAGGAGTTTGGCCGCTAATTTATGTTGATTTGGTTCCACAATATCTTTCATAGCCAACTAAATGATAATCGATAAAGAAAATTTACACACCTGAAATCGGAATGCGATTATCTCGTTGGTAGTTTTGTTGAATACGATGTCCGTGTCCCATTGATTGCTACCCCCTGTGTATTTTAGCCACGATCGGAGTTTCTGATTCCAAATCCGATCCGTATTTTCAAGTTCAGCATTTAGTTGATCCAGATAATTTAAGTATTCGAGAAAGAAGAAGATGGTTCCTTCACGTCCCAATGTGTAGTCCGTATCTTCAAATGACCTTACCATAGCCATTAATTTTTCTCTAAAAACCGAATCGATTATAAAAATTTTTTAGTCATCAGAATTGTAAATAAATTAAAGCCTACCTTTGAATGGGATCTGTGAAGTTTGGAGGATCAAGAACAGCAACTTGAAGTTGGGGGCCAATCTTCCAGAACAATTTCAGATCGTTGAAATATTTGGCAATGTAATGGGAAGAGGTAACCAAGTTCTTCGGCTCAAGTCCTTCTTTGAAATTCACGCATCCTAATATGGCCACGACAATGTAGACAACATAAACCAATACCACAATTGTCCGGGTCCCCCTTTTCAGAAGGAAAGGCCCGTACTTATTACAGAAGAAGCGGTGTGTAACATTATCCGAGGCTGTGTGCCTCTTGCTGGTGCCTTCTTTTTTCTCCCTATCTTCAATGTAGATGGATTGGATGTAAGGCTCTGATTCAGGAGTTTTCTTCAGGTTAGATGATGACTTTATGGTCTCGTTCGCATAAACGGCATTTGTCTTTTTTGGCTTCCCAACTGGATTTACTTTTGTAAAGATAAAACAGTTCCGTTCAGCTTTTTCTACTTCTCCCAAAATGGCTTGGAATCCAGCAAAGAATGTCATCTGGTAGACATAGCAAAAGACCACAGAAGCAAACGCATACTGACAAAACACCTGAAAATAAATGGCATTAAAACTGATGACAAAAACAAGATACCTGGATTCCAGGAAGTTCTGAGGAGCATCCAATCAGAAACGACAGAATGTCAGTAATATTGGTGATACTAACAGCCACACCAGCATTCTCCATCATCAACTGCATCCTCTCATGGACCGGTAGACTCTTATCCACTTGATCCCAACAAGCATTCATAATAAACATGTCATCAATACCGATGGCAATGATCAGAAACGGGATGATTGTATTCACAACATTGTACGGGACTCCAATTAACATCATTATTCCAAAGGAGGAGATCAGACAGAGCAATGTGTTCAACAGTCCACAACAAGCCAACCAGGGCTTACTGTGAACGATATCGATTTCCCATTTACCTCGCTTCAGCGTGAATGAACAGACGAAACAGAAGATGGTCAGAGATGTAAAACTGATCACAAAGTTGGGAACAAATCTCTCCGCATTCTCGTTGATTCCGTCCTGAAGGGAATGGTAATGCGCAAAGCTGATTTCAATCAGATTGGAGTTGAACTCCGTTAACAAAAATTTTTCTACAGCGTATTCAAATGCCGTAGAGTACTTGTCAACGGAAGGCGGATCTTGCTTCAGGAAGTAGAAGAGCTGCGTAATCTTGGCTTCTTGAACAGTGTTGTCAGTCTTGTTTAAAACAATATCGCCAATCGCTGTACCCAGATACGCCGGTGTGTCCTACGAACATAATGCGAACATGTTTCAAGTTTTTTCACAGAATCTCACCTTATTTCCACCCTTAGGATACTTAAGGTCAATGACTCGCCCCACTTTGCTCATTTGACGGAACATTTCGATATGTTCGTTGGCTCCACAAGTCCAGTCATAACTAAGGCAAAGATCTTGGTAAGTCAGCACAAATCTTCCATCATCCGTGGGCACGGTGACATTGGACATGATCAAGGTGTTAAGGAGTTGTATTTCGTCCAATATCATTGGCCTGAGGACATTCTGCCCATCCTTGGCCCTTACTAATATATTTACAAACCGTTTGGCCTCAAAAGATTTCCCGGGCAAGAATTTATTTTCTTGTAATGGCCATAATTTTTCGAAAACATGCGACTCCCGCTTCCATCTGAAGAAAGGGCTTTGTTGGAAGTAGAATCAAACAACTTACCGGGCATCTTTTGGGGTAAAAACATAAGCCGGATCATCCTCACTCAACTCCCCAACCCAAAGAAAACCAAAGGACAAGAAGAAGGTGACCAGCAGGGGGAAGATGAACAAGATGACTCGATAGTTGTGCACAAACCCCCCGTACCAATGGAAGAACCGCCGGAACTGGGGCTCCAACGACGTGTACCTCATACAACCCTGCAAAGACACGGAATGTTAGATGCCGGAGGGCTTCGAAAGAGGATCGCCCGCGCGGCTTAAATCTTCTTTTTGTCCGAAGAACCTGAATTAGGATCAAAATTCGAAAGTGAAAAAGATTAAAGCGGTTGGCTGCTTCCGAAAGGCGATCTCCGCTCCTTCTACGGTCCATGAATTCGTCTGGAGATGAAAGCCGAGGATATCGCCGCCCCCCCCTCACAAATTCACAAAATTTTAATATTTTGAACACTGCAAAAGCATTCGTAAATCCATAGTATAGGAAGAGGTATCAGTGTGTAAGACTTAGGAAAAATAAAATAATCTAATACTTATTAAATAATATTCTAATTCAGTGATGACAAGAGAAAAAAAAAATTATGCAATATTACGTCGTATTTAAAAAATTAATCCGCATAATTCTAGGCGAAAAAATAAAATAACAACACGATCTTTGTAAGCCCTTCACAGCAATTTGAATTAAATTTAATGGCGAATGAGATTTGAAGCTGAAGGAATCGACAAGAGTGAGAAGACGAAACGGAAGAAAATGCTATAAGTGGCTGACATAAAGACATCATACAATGTAGGTCGCGGAGAAATGTGGGAAAGTCACGGTCCCAATTACCTGATGGAAATAGAACGTTGAGAACGGAAGATTTGTTTAGGAAGATTTCGGAAGAGGGCGCGCGGGTCAAGTCAAAGATTGTGCAGATTCATAGCTCCCGAAATTCGAATCAAATCAGGTCAGCGACGCTGCGAAGATGATCCCATTTCATATTATTTTTAAACGGCATGCTATCTTTGCAATGCGAGACATTCGTCTACGGATACGCACAGAACTTGACAGAAAGACGTAAAAATGTGATCAAAGTGGTTAGTCATGTTGTTACTGAAAAAGCATTATACCACCAAAGGCATACCAATAAAAAATTAACTCTTACACGTATGGTGACAATCCCATTCAACTTAGAATATCTCGATTCTGCAGATGGGATATTTTTTTGAAGATTCTGGAGACACAGAGAACAGAAAAAAGAAAATTCTCTGCTACCGACAGGTCAGCGCAGCTTCAAGAACAAACAAAAGCCAGATGAGAATCGAGAGCTTCGGAAATCCCCGGAAAGGAAGCGGAGACACGGATCACACCTATTACATGCACATTATGTTATCCATTCGAAGGACGAACGCGGTGTTGCAACTGCATAAAAGTAAAAAGCATAATACGAAAACGATCTGGTTCTACTGTACCCGGGCGGATGAGTAGCGTTGCCCCTCCTATTGTGTTTTTTGTGATGCGCATTCGCGCTCACCGATCGCAGTGGAAAGAAGAGCCACTAGCTCCGAAAACCGGTTGTGGCGGCGCCATTTTCTCCTCCGGCTCGGCAAAAAGGCTGGTCCGTCCGACTGAACAATCGCCGAGACGACCTTCAAGGTATTAAGACAACCTCAAGACCTATAGCCTCGGGGCAAGACTCTCGTCGGAGGTTGCTGAATGACCTTTCCAAGGCTCTCCACTCCAGCTTCGAGATTACTAATCTCGCAACTGGTTTTTCGGTTTTTAGCTCCGCAAATATATCTCGCAATTCACTGCCCATTACATCCACTGCATCCCACAATAACAGGTTTATGAGATTACGTAACAGATAAGAATTAGATCAGGTCATTTAATGGACTGGGGAGGCTCTCGGTTGACTCATTAGGCTCGATTTTACTCATCAGATTTCTCAATTTCGACATGAAATTGGATGGAGTGTTGGGTTCAGAGGCGACGAAAGGTTGGATACCTGAAATAAATTGATATACGTCCACTACAAGAAGACAACTTATCAATAAAAATAATTGCTTACCATCCCTGAATCCATCCAAATTGTGTTTCATTCCCTTCGTATTCTCGCCGAGGGCATATCCTTCGTCTTCACTCAATTTGTAATCTGGTATATCAAACCGTATTGTTTCTAAACCAAACTTATTGAGCCAATAAAAATTCTAAAAAATATTGAATGAAAAAGGTACCCGTAATCTGTTTCTCTTCCACAATCTCCAGACGACTCTTATCCAAGTCTAGGCCGGATCTCCTAGCCTTCTTGATGACTTCGCTATGACTTTTCTCGTAATCTACATCAGCTACTTTCTGCATATATGATACAAACTCAGGGGCAACATCTTCGCCTTCAACATGAGTGTAGCCCCTGATTGGCGTCAAATCGGATGTCTTTATTATCCTCTTTGTGTAAATCTGTTCGTCGCCAAAAAAGGGAAGAGTGTTGCTCACTTTTACACACCTAAACAATCGATTCTAATGGATAGCACAGTACATACTCATCGACAAATGCCGGAGGATATCCATCAGCCCCCATTTTTCTCATTCTTAAAACATAAACTGGCACTTCATCTTTTGTAATTCCAAGGTAATACCTAAGCTCATCATCGGAACATTCGACTTCAGACTCAAATGGATGATCAAATTCAGCTGGTTTGCTAAAGAAGTAAAAATTATTTTCCGAATGAAACTTACTCTTGGATAGATTGTTGCTTTTGATAGCTTTGACGTCGGCTCCCATCGTCTTGATCTCTATTTACACCAAAGCTGCTTCTGCTGGAGGAATATGATGCCTAAAAATAAACACTACAAATTATTCCACTTACATTGAAACGAGAGTTGTCATGCCTTCTTTTTCGACTGTCCTGCTCGCTGTTCCCCCATTTCAAAACATTCCTATTGTCAGAATGCCGGTTGTCAGAATGTCGATTATTCTGATATCCTTGAATATTACGATATTCTCTTTGATCGCTTCGTCTCGGTTCCCTTCGATTCTCATTTATCGGAGGACCTAAATTGGGTGGAACTGGCGGAGGAGTCATGAAGAAATTATAGTCCTGATAGGTTTGTTGAAGCCGAGATCGATCTTGTTGAAAGTGATTTGGGTTTCCATTAAATCGTCGATGATTCTGATTGTAACTCATTCTGTCAAATACAAAATATTCTTAGTGCTATAAACAATAGATGAAATACGACCACGATAAATTGTCAAGTTAGCTTTTTCTTTGGATCATAAGAAAAAATAAGTAAATCCTTTGCAACGGAATACCAAAAGAATTTTTTAGCTGCCAAAAAATTGAAAATTTAAAAATAGATTTTCCTGTGAATGATCGATCATGTAGAAGAAAAGCCACGGGCTGCGGCCTGTATTTGGAATTCGCTAGCGACATCTTATACGAAAGAAGACCAAATTTCGTAATTCTTGAGGGCTCTAAGAGTGCAGGCACGGAATATTATTTTCACTTAGATCCGATATACCAAGTATCAAATCTCTACCATCTCGTCTACCTTCAAGTTGCGCTAAATATCAGCTTTTGCCTTGTTTTGAGCCTGTTTTTGTACCCATTTTGGACCCCTTCTTTCTGTAATTTAAGACAGCTTTGTTTGTTGAACGTTTTTATATTTAGCCTCAATGATATAAGAGTGAGGAAATAAGACCGATTTCAGATTTTGAAAAAGACGCAAAATTTGCTTTCTCGAGCTTTTTTTCTCATGTCGGCCTCATTTTTCCATTCTATTTTTTCAAAAAAAAGTGAGGAAAGCGTTTTTAACGTACATATGTGACACTTTTTTTGCGAATTTTGGAATGAAACGATGGCCCGTCTTTGTCCCCGACTCGGTTTTGTCCCCACTTTTTTCGGCCTCTTTGTCCCCAGATCGGTTTTGTCCCCATGACTATATTTCATTTTTGAAAATTCTTTGACCAGCTAGCCAATGAGTTGTGAAATTGCAGCCAAATTTTTGAATGGCTATCCGAAGGCGAAGCTTTCCGAATGGCGTTGAAAAAAGCTAAAAAGTTGGAATGGGTGTAAAAAAGTTGCAAATGACAGCCAAATTATTAAAATGGCTAGTAAAAGCCTGGATCCAACCTTATGGCTAACTTTTTTCAAGGCTTCTGACACTTTGGCTAGCCGATCCATTAAAAAAACCGGACGTCATTCCTACGCTTTGATACCCATTCCAATCTTTCAGCTAGCTATTTTTTATAGCAAGTATGACAATTTCGTTAGCCAAAAAAGTTTGGCTAGACATTAAAAAAAATTGGCTGTGATTTAAACTCATTGGCTGCACAGGGAGCTCGGATTTACTTATAAGTAATTTTGCTTACTTATATTTACCGAAAACTTACTTATGAGTTAAACAAGGCGGGGCTTACTTATTTTCACTTATTATATTTACGTTTATTTACTTACATTTACGAATAGCGGTACTTATAAGTAAAAAAAAGGCGTGCATATAAGTAAATCCAAGTTCCCTGTGTAGCTGGTGAAAGAATTTTCAAAAATAAAATACTGGGGTCAAAAACGGCCAGGGGGCAAAACCGGTCGGGGAACAAAACAATAAAAACGGTGGCGACAAAACCGTCCTGGGGACAAATCCGGTCTGATGACAAAAACGTCAATTACGCATTTCTACCGTAAAGGGTAATGTTTCCACAAAAATCAATTTTTTTCCTCACGAAACTAGCAAAGTTATGGCCAAAAAGTGTTTTTCTCTGACCCCTCTCCGTGTTTCGCGTGCTCTCTCAGATATTTCGGCAAGGCCTGAAAAGCGCAAGCTAAAACTTTAAGGCATTGATATATGGCCTATGCCTGACATGTGTGGAAAATTTAAAGGAAATCTGAGCTTCACACTTGGGGTCCTTCCCTTTTGAGATTGTTTTGAAAAATATGAATGAAGTTTGTTTGCAAACCAGATGTGGATGTAACGAGGCCTAATTAATGGGTCTCATGAACGAGTTCATATGCTTTACATTAATTTCTCTCACTTTGTTTTCAATTACGCTGCACCAAATTAAGCATTCTTGCCGTTGCAAAGCGTTGGCCTGTTCTGAGGATATGGAGGCCAAGAAGCCAGAAGCGTGTAGTGTTTTTGTTGCTTTTTTATTTAGTGAGGAGGAAAGGAAAGGATGGAGGAACACGTCTTCTTTTTTTGATGGTTTACGAGGTCGGCCTCAGTCGTCCTGTGGACTGCACTCTCGTTCCTCGGGCGGGATAAACGCACCATTTCTCTCGTTTTGGCGTGAGCCTCGAAAGCGACACAAAAACCAGGAGCGCATTGGCATTGAAGCCATATAGTTGTAGTCAAGTTTTTCGAGCCCAGGCCTCAATTACAGTGTGATAGACCTGGCCGAGCTTCAACGGCAAGTTTAAAAGGGAGGGGGGGGGGGCGGAAATGGAGACCGAAAAAAGTGTTGGCGCCAACCCGCAGGCCAATACTTTTGTGTCATAAACGACACCTTGCTTAATCAGAGGCCACAGAGGGCTCTTAAGGCATCGAACGGACATTCTTCTTGGTATTTCCTTTAGCCAAACCCAACTCTAATCCAGAGAAATGCGGTGCCAAAAGATAGCTATGTAGATAATTGTCTTCCTCGCCTCCGGGGGTTCCTTAATCCTGCTCACTCATTGCGCGTTTCGAAAAGCCGTTTCTTTTCTCCGCGAGTTAGATGGGGTTTGTGTCCCCCATGGTCTTGTGGCCGTCGCTCTGCTCGATAACTATGCACAGGTGTTTCTCCGAGCTCGTCCCGATTTCTGCGCATTTCGGAAAACTCGGTGGTCGGAACGTTTTTCCGCCTTTTTCATGTTTTCAGACTTGGTTCGAGGGTTGGAGATCAAGCAGGATACGTGAGCCATTGACCTGGATTTGTAGGGCGAGGGGGGCTGAAGGGGCGCTCGCCGAGAGCCCACATGGCCAAATTTTTTCTCGGGCTTCGTCTTGTTCCCCCGTTTTCTCAGCTATTTTAACACCGTTTCTGTTTTTAACTGATTTTTTCAGCCAATCCAACTTTTTCCGATAATTTTTGGAACGACTGAAAAAACGGCGGGAGAGTTTCCGACCGAGGACCGCGATGTCTCTGCAATCGGTGCAATCGACGCAAAACAGAAATGACGTGAGTGCCGTGTGATCAATGCTTTTACAGCGATAAACGAGAGAAGAGCGACGCTGTTGCATAGGCTCTTATCAAAAGGAAAAAGAAAATAGAAGGGTTCCCAAAATGACGCGACTTGTGATCTAAGACTGTTCCCTACCATTACAAAAAATGGAGAAGGGTTACGTAACACTTAGTGATCATTAAATGTTTAAGCCTCATCAAAGGGCAAAGCCAAAAAAGTCCGGATCATAAGAGTAATAATAGTAGACGTCGGTGTTATCCTTAGAGCTAGTTGTATGCGCCCTAAACGGAACCGATCGGTCTCCCACTCGCCAAGAAGATGATGATATAGAGCGCGTCGCTTCCAGAGGAGGAAGGTTGCTGGAGCGGGGCATATCTGGGTAACAGAAAGAGAAAAAAGACAACAGCTTAAAGAAAGTCTTCGTTTAACCGAATTTCGAACGCCAAGTGGACGCTGAATCAGACTTATTTTTGCAGCATCAGCTGAACATCGACGAGATGATGAGCGAAGATGAAGCGCGACGACGGCGAGAACAGTTGGCCCGACGGCCCTCTTACCGAATGATTCTGAAGGATTTGGAGACCGTTGGGGACAAGCCTCTGAAGAAGGAGATCCTGGAAGAACCCAGCACCGACTCCGTCAACAACAGCATGCTGGGTAAGGACCTTTTTTGGGCATTCCTTCCTTCCGCCCCTCCCGTCCGCTCTCAGTCAACATCAATATTCGCGTGATTGCCAATCGGTCGGAGCTATAGGCCGGCGGTCTCTCTCTCGCTCTGCTCTCTTGTTCCGTCTTTTTCATTCCCTCTACGAATCTTATTCTCTTCAGCGCGTTATCGCCGGGTTTCTCCCTTTTTGGTCGAGTCGTTCCGTTTGTAGCGTTATTGTTGTCAAATTCTCGCCCCTTGTACCAAACCTTCTCCCCCTTTATCACAAACTTTGAGGGCTTTCCGCCTTCGGATTTGGGCCTGCTAGCTTATGCAATACCCGGATAAGGCCATACAGTAAGTGGCCTAATCCCGGGCCATAAGGATGGAGCCGTTTAATGTTATTACAAACACAGCCCTGCGTTTTTTCTCTCCTTTTTCTCGAAGGCTTCATTGGAAGGAAATGAAGCCCATATTATTTCTTTTTTTACCTGCCGTTGTATGTAGTAGTCTTTAGGCCACGGGTTGGGCGGTGAGGGAGGAGATTGCATGGCTTCATGTTCATGGATAGAGTCAATTGACTCGCTCCGATTAACTTTTAATAATTACGTTTCTCTTAATTAGCAGTTGTGGATACCGTTTATGATAGCTCTTTGCACATGACACCTCGCTCGATGTTTACACTAGTCCCTCCATTTGCAGGACCTCCAACCTCGGTGCATTTCGAAGTCCCGACCAGCACTCATTTAAACGGATCCTCAAATTCGTTGCGTGTCGGTTCCGGAAACAACAACGCGCCTATGCGCAACCCCAACGAGTGTGTGCCAGCCGATCCTGGACTAACTGCGCGTCTGATGAACACGCCCCGTTCAGCCGCTGACATCCCGTCCCAACCGCAACCCCAAATCCAAACCTCGACTCCCCTGCTGAGTGTGGCGGGGACCAACGGTCTCGTTCTCCCGGTGACAAACGATATTCTCAACATTAAAGCGGTTAATGACTCCCAGATCTCACTAAACACCTCAGGCTTTGGACAGAATGGTAAGTAAATACACTCAGTAAACCAATAATTCCTTTAGAATGGCAAACAGGTCTTCTGTCACAGTACGGTACAAATCACAGTCCCTTAACAGCGAATCTCGCAACTCGACAGGGATCGGCGTCTTTGACTTCACTGTCAGACAACGATGAAAGTAATCGGAAGCGACAAGTCAGACTACTCAAAAACAGGTATGGTTATCCGACATTTTTATGAGTCCTTCAAAATGAACAACTATCCTTAGAATTAGACGCTTTTTTCAGAGAAGCAGCGAAGGAATGCCGCAGGAAGAAGAAGGAGTACGTAAAATGCTTGGAGAATCGAGTTGCAGTATTAGAAAACCAAAACAAAGCATTAATCGAAGAGTTGAAGACCTTGAAAGACTTGTATTGCCGGAAGGAGAAGGAGATGTAATCCCCTTCTCTCTTGTTGCATCTCTTATACTAGTCATATTACTTGTTGTTATTTTTATCCCTCAAAGTTTCGAATATTTCTACCGATTTCCTTGTTCCTGATGTTCTCTGTTCGCCGTCACTTTTGGGACATTACTTTCAATGGATGGGTCGATTGCTGTAAGGCTTTTAATAATGGGCGCTCGGACCGCTAATAATCGTGTTTAAGTTTCATACAGTGATTTGATTCCCGTTTATCCCATCGTTTGCCACTGTAAATATTGATTGAATAAAGAGTGAATGTTCTCTTTATCTATTTTTGCAAAGCAGCCTCATGTTTAAGATGTAATAAAGGGCATGTGGAAAAGACAAGGCCTTCAGAAACAGATTAATATTTTTGCTGGCTTTATCTCGCTGAATTCAGCACTAATCCAACAATAATGATAATAAAATCCAAAGTTTGTTCATAAATAACTAATGAGAAGTGCTCTCTGGCCGAGTTATGAATGTATGGAGATTCGGCTGGCTCTTCTCCAACCCAAAAAGTGAGATGCCTGTGGCCTGGTATGGCATGCCGTGCGCCGGTGACAATGAAGTGATACACACCCCGAATATAAGATAATTAAGAATTCAGTTTGTTTTATATTCGACTTCGGTGCCGTATGAGTGTTAGGTTACTGTGGCAACCGACGTGTAGTTTAATGAAAATGGGGGACAGGGGACTTACTAGAAGCCAGATGTGAATCCCTGAAATGGACACGATCGAGCGGGAATACGTCCGCAACGTGTACTCCCGACTGGCTTCTCATGCATCGCAAAACTTCTTCGAGAGTGCCCATCAGAGATCATGGCCTCGGGTATCAGAATTCATCAGGAAGTTGGAAACTGGCAGTTTGATACTTGACATTGGTAATTTCCTATTGATTCTTTAAGATTTCGAGTGTAATTAAAATACTGAACCCTAATTACAGGTTGTGGTCCAAATAAATATCGGACAAGCAGACATTTTGTAATTGGAGTGGACAATTGCCCCGAGGTGCTGATACGATCAAACGACGGTAGAAGCAGGGATGTTGTTATCGCCGATGCTTCCAATCTTCCGTTCCGGTATGAGAAAAAGAGTGTATTATAAGTGAAACTTCAGAAGGGATATCGCGGATTCAGCTCTATGCATCTCAGTTTTACATCATCTCTGCAAAGTAAAACGTCGGAAAGAATGTTTAGCAGAGCTCGGTAGAGTAATGAAACGCAACGGCCTCTTACTAATATACGTTTGGGCCTTCGAACAACCCAATGGGACATTCCCATCTCAGGATATTCTAGTCCCCTGGAATATGCACGAAATTCCACATGCCGGTAACTACGACTAACACTGTTAACATTCCTTTACAGGGTGCCTACCAATTATAAAATTCCACAAAGATTCCACCAAGGAACAACGAATCATTGCAGTAAGTATGGTATAATTATGCTTAAGACTGAAATTTTTCTAGAATTCAATTCCCGTCCGTTTGCACGAAAACGATTACTCTCAATTCTTTAGCACCATTCTAAAATTTCTTAATCACAAAATGTCACGCATGAAACGAGAACTACCTCCAGCGATCCCTCATTTCTTGTTTTCCCAGACGTCGCGTCTGTTATCTGGCATAAATAGTTGGTCGCCCACATTGAACAGAAAGCTTAGAGCTCTCAGAGGGGCCACAATTCCAACATATGCTGAAGAATTAGCTAATCAGATCCTCGAAGATGGCATCGTTGAGGCCATGTCGACTCTTCGAAAGGTTATCTTCTACAGATATTATCATGTATTCAAAAGAGGAGAGCTCGAGAATCTCGTAGAAAGCGACAAAACAATTGGATTCTTCGTCTTAAAGTCTGAATACGAGTCCGCCAATTGGGCGTTGTTGCTAAGAAAGGAATAAATGATAAGGCTTCGAGTCGGCCGCTAAGATAATGAAACTGCGAAAGCTTTTAACCTCCCACGTCAAGCCAAATATCCTCGGAATCATTTGGGTGATGCTGGACGATGGCTGATATCAATGTATTCAATACATTCAGCTTCAAAAAATGGTCGGAAAGGTTACGAGAACAGAAGATCGAAGAGGAAATTCAACGACAACGAATCGAACAGGTACGTTCAATAATGACCGTGATGCTAAACGCATAAGAATCGAACTTTAGGTGGCCAGATTGCGCGACAAATTGGCCAGGGAAAGATCGATCAGAGAGATGGCCGATATGCTGAACGAGGATGATGTGGAGAAGTTAATAGACTTCCTTAACGAAAAAATGAAGGCCAACAAACCAGCCCCGAATAATTCGGTGTTTTCGACTGGAGGAGTTTGTAAGTTAACTGTACAGTACGGGACAGGATCCAGTTGTCAAAAGTACGTCTGATTTCCTCGGCGAGGCATTCCGAATGCCGCAAAACACCTCTCACTCTCTCGGTAAGAAAATAAAATTCTTGTGAAGAGGGCCTCTTCTTTCAAAAACGGCAACTTTCATCCTCACCTCAAAAGAACGGTCGGAGAGAAGTGTACGTATTTTGAGACATTCGAAATGCCTCGCCGAGGCAATCATAAGTAAATGGATCCTGTTCCGCACCGTCCCTTAAACGACAGTTTCAGTCACAACTACTCTTCTCAACATCCCAAACGCTGTTCCTGTTAATAACACAAGGATTACAGTAAAGGCCAAGGAAAAGCCTTCCAAGAGTAAGTCTCATAAAACCCACGTTTTCTAAACGGGTGCCATCGTGATGCTAATTTATATACTCTAATATTACTTACAGGACCTGATAGAAAACTCAGCTTTAACTATAACAGAAAATGGGAAGAGATGGCCCGAAAGGGAAAGGAAAAGAGTAAAATAAGACCCCAGAATCAGGACTTTAAGATTTACGACTTTAATTACAACCGACGTTATGGTGATATCGTGTAAACAAAATTTGAATAATAAAAAATATTTAAAGCAGACTCTACTGTCTTTCAGAAACTATTCTCCTGAAAAAGGCTACATTTATTGACTAGTCAGATTAGTTGATAAATACACAATTGCCGATGCAAAATGTAACCGAATGTCATTATCAAAGGTCAGAATCAACGTAAATAATAACTTCAAAAAGAAGAGAAAGCAAAGGAAATGAAGTGAACAACCTTTTCTAAAGCACAGGAGGGCAGAAACAATCCACAGTTACCAGCACGATTTTAACAAAAAGTCTCAGGACTTAAAAAATCCGAATAACCCGCCACTGCTTTTGCTGGGAGTCACCGTTCGATCTGCATAATCTTCCATAGCCGCTTGATGCAACTTCTCATACGCTTCGTCTCTCGACTGAAGCTGCTTCAAAATTCCCTCATCTTCTCTCTTCAATCTTTCTTTATTCTCTTCATACCTAAAAATAAATAAATACTAGATTTCCGTCTTATACTTACTTTTTTTTAATATCCATGTACTCTTTCTGGAATATGCTCATTTCCGTCCTTTTCTGGGTTAAGGAAGGCTCAAGTTGACTGATCTCGTTGATGGCTTCCCGACACTTGTCGTTTAAAGGGAGAAATTGTAATTTATATTTCACAGATTGGAAGAAATTATCTCCATATACGCAAAGGAAATGATCACGAACTTCCAATGAATTACAACCTAAAGAAAGTAGAATGAATAATGTTATAAGCAAACTCACCTTCCGACTCCAATGCATCAAGATAATGGAATGTGAGAGGCGTGTCCTTATCTTCGAGATAGAATTTCATAGGAATAAATTCTCCAATATGTACTCGAGGGAACGGAACAAAGTAAAATTCAGCAGTAACCGAGCTCTTTTTTTTCTGTCCTTCTCTTATCATCCTCACACCACCTAAGAAACGGAATAAACGACCAATAAAAAATGCTTACCTTCTTTGTCAAACAAAACCAACTTGAATTTACTGCCAGTGAAGGTTTTACACCTTATGATAACTCCATTCTGTTGCCATTCTGGTCTCATTTGAATCCTGTAAAAGTGAGCATCTTGTGTGCTGACGGCATCAGATACCCAAACACCTGGTTGAAGGCTTCTGGCACTCGTTTCGTCTTTTCCAGTACACAAATCCCTTGCCTGCCCCAAGACCTTGGGACCAATGACAGTTGGAATTGGCACCCCTAACTTGCTGAACATGGCACCAAAGAATCGGCCCATTCCGCCAAGTTCTGAGAGGTCAACTCCATCAAAGTCGTTAGCATTCTCCTTCACCCCGTACAAATCGTATTGTCTTCTTTTATTCGGATCAGACAAGACAGTGTAAGCAATAGAAATCTTCTTGAACGTCTCCTGAGCTTAAATATAAAAAGCATGATTTCAAACACGTGAAAATTAATAAAAATAAAGATCCGTACCTTCATTATTACCGGGGTTTCTATCCGGATGGTATTTCAAGGCAAGCTTCCTGTAAACATTTTTCACCTCTTGTTCGGTAGCATTCTTTTGTACACCAAGGATTTCATAAAAGTCGGTTGCATTTACATTGGCAACTGGAGAGCTGGACATAACCTGCAAAATCAGGAAAATGAAAATCGATAAAATTTCATGCTATCGAAAATTCAGAAACATTCAAACAAAGGTGCATCTATAAATAACTTCCAGAAAAAAACAATAACTAAAACAAGATTCGTGGTATATAAACATATACAATTTACTTTGAGAAACCAGTAATCTGTCTGCAATGACAACACGACCTATCTTCCGCAGCTGAGTCAGAAAAAAATAAAAGATCTGGAATAATTTTTCCCATCGATTTTTTGGAGCGACGGAATGTCAATAAAAAATGGAGCGTCAATTTATACACGGCCTTGAAGTCGGAGGATTTTCTGGGTCTTTTCTCTTCTTGGAATTAACTGATTCCTCATCTCGCATATATCCCGAATCTGCTGTTATAAACTCTTAAATTTTATATTATTTTAGATCTGGAAATGGTTGAAGACAATGTCGCCAATTGTCGGGAGATTTTTGCCTATTTCGACACAAAAGGAGACGAAAAAATCGCGGTTAGTCAAGTTGGAGATGTTCTGAGAGCCCTTGGCCAAAATCCTACCCAGACGGAGATCTCGAAATGTTGTGAACATTGGCAAAATCCAGGTTAGTTATTGTTTGGAGATTTATCAGCCTAGGGATCTCCAAAAAAACCGCTTACGGATTGCAACACATAGATGATTCATCCTTCCTTGTACCTCCAGTCCTTTGATCTAAGAAACTAAAAGAATATTTTAGAAACCCGGATCACTTTCGAAGACTTTGTGCCCATCTTCCAAACCGTTGGAAAAAATCGATCAAACATTTCATTCGAGGAATTTGTCGAAGGGCTCTCTCATTTTGACATGGAAGGTACCGGAACCATCAAAGTTGCTGAGCTTAGACATCTTCTCACAACCCTCGGAGAAAGGCTCAGCGATGAGGAAGTTGATCAGCTAATTTCTGGCCAAGGAGATCCAAATGGCCATGTCAACATTGCCGATTTTGTTCGCACTGTCCTTCAAGCCTAAGCCTGTTTATTTTCTATATTTATATTATTTATCGCATTATGTACATCTCTAAAGCCCAGTAAATATTCGTATCTATCCGGAGTTTGAGTACAGAAAGGGTTGATACTCCGTTACATGCATTTGATGGCTCGTTTGGAATTGACGTCTCGTTAAAAATGCCAGAGGGAATAATTGTGCTTCCTAAAGATTCCGAACTGAGATATGTGAGAAGAATGGAGGACTACGACTTCCATGAGCTGATTGGAGAAGGGACTTATGGCTCGGTTTACAGAGCCACCCATAAAAGGTCAAAAAAGAGCTTTGCTGTGAAAGTGATGAAATTATTTGAAGATGATGAGGTAAGACGGAACTGATTTGAATAACTTTTTGATAGGGGATCCCCAGTGCTGCTTTAAGGGAAGTTGCTCTTCTTAAAGTACTCAATCATCCAAATGTAATGAGATTGGAAGAAGTCCAACACGATCAAGAAAGCTTGTTTATTGTGGTCGAACAATGTGATATTGATCTGAAGAAATACTTTGACACCCTGGAGGAGCCATTGAGTCTTACGATTGTAAAAGATTTGACCAAACAAGTCCTCAGTGGACTCTTACATTGTCACCTGAAACAAGTATTGCATCGAGATCTGAAACCTCAGAATCTTCTTTTAAATTTAAATAACATGCAGGTAAAATTGGCAGATTTTGGGTTGGCCAGGGCGTTTGGAATCCCTGTTAGATGTTTTAGTAACGAGGCGAGTCGGTTGGTAATGATATAATCTTGTCCTAGGTAGTCACTTTGTGGTATAGACCTCCGGATATACTATTTGGTGCTAAATTGTACACATCCTCGGTCGATATATGGTCGGCTGGTTGCATTTTTGCAGGTGGGTGTCTTTTAGGTCAAGAGCAAAGTCATCTAATTCATTTGGATTCTAGAAATTGCGAATACGGGTAAGCCATTGTTCTGTGGGAACAATGTGACAGATCAGCTTCGATTGATATTCCGAGTAACTGGAGTCCCTTCAGAATATTCATGGCCTGGGGTCACAAAACTCCCTGATTACAAGCCGATTGTTCCATTTTCTCCTTCCATTACTTTGGACGAAGCTGTTCCTCGATTAGATGCCTCAGGACTTTCACTTCTCAAAGCAAGTTTTTACCATTTACGGTTTGAGTAGTACTTTTTTTAAAAGTATTTTTTGAAATTTTTCAAAAAATACTAGATATAGGGGTTTTCGAGGGTGGCAATTTCGAAAATCGTGTTAATTTTTTCTGCACTTTCCTAGCTCGCGACCTAGGTCGTGACCGAGGTCAAGGAGGTTGCCCAAAATTTCCCGAAAATGGTCTCAATGCTTGACTATGATGGTCAAGACACTTTCTTTAGGTTAGGTCGTCACTGAGCTCACGACCTTGGTTTCTAAAATGACATTAATTTTTTTTATCTTTACTTTTTTGTTTGATTTTTTCACAAATACTCGATTTGGGAGGTTTCAACCTTGCTGATTTCGAAAATCTTATTCATTTTTTCTGATTTGAAAGCAGCAAGGTCGAAACCCTACTTGAAGAAAAAAGTAAAGATAAAAAAAATTAATGCCATTTTCGAAATCAGCACTCTCGATTAGATTATTCTAATTTCGACACTTGCATCAAAGAAAAATAACACTTTTCGGTTTCCCCAATCGTACTTCTACCCAATCATCTTTTTTCCCAATCGTCCCAGTTCCATAGACCAAAAAATTTGAAAAACTTATGGGGACCCTAATAATATAATAAGGACAGAAACGCAATATTCGCACTTCTTGAGGTCACAGAGACAAACAATGAATCCCATTTTTTTGCAATCGCTGTTGTATTGCTCATGGCCGTTATTTCGAAATTTTCTTTTCAGAAGATGCTCGTTTGTAATCCTTCGGAACGGATCTCAGCCCAGTCAGCCCTTGAACACCCCTTCTTGAACTGATGCTTTGCTTGCGTACTGACTGTTATAAGATGCAAAGGTGGAGAAGATGCCATCAAAATGCCTTTTACTTGAATACGGTCTCCATAAACTAATCTCGTATTAAATTTGTCATCCGCTTATGTAATAACAACAGATGTTCCATTAGTTTTGTAAAAAACGGGGCTTCTGTCAAAAGTTCGAAATCAATCAGATAGCCTTTTGAGCCGGATCTGTGAGTTCACGTCATTTCTCACGTCTCCACGCACAGGTGTTCCTCCGTTTTATCTAAAGCCGCGAGGGCTGAGCTGATTTTATGCCGAGAGAAAACGTCCGGGCTGAGCAAACAACAGCTTGACTGGGCCAGTTCTTGCGTCCTTTTCTCTGCGCACTATTCGGGGGCTGTGTCTGTTAAAACGAGACGGGCTGGGGTCACCAATTTTTGGACGGCCATATTATTTTCCTTGGCCCCAAAAGGAATTCGGGACGTGCCCGCTGAGAATCGAATTAATTCGCAATTCTTGACGAGGATAGTCCCATCAAGATTATTTATCTAGATGTTTTAAAAGAAAGACAGCCGTTTCTCAATTAATTCCCAGGGCTCCTCGAGTGTTTAAGAACTAAAAGTTACGCGTCTGATTTAAGGCGAGAGAAACTCTTCAATTTAATTAACGCTATCACAATGTTCAGACGTTCCATGAAGGCCGAGGAGCCGCAGAGACGCGTATACGAAGGAAATCTATACCATTCAGCACCACAGTATCCAAATGTCTCAATCAGCATAAACCAGGTGAGTTTCTTTGTGTTTTTGTAATAAATGTGATGTCCTTTTTTCGCTTGAGTAATTTTAGTGATGTGTAACACTTTAGCACCCAACGCCAGCCTCATCTTCAGCTCCGAGTATCTCTCCTTATCAAGTGAGTAATGTCCGGACATCTCCCCCGTCTTCGGCACCCCCTCCTCCTCCAGTCCCCCCTGCCCCTAGGAACACCCTGCCATCGAATCCCAATTATCATTCGATCCCCAATCGTAATTCTAATTATGCGTATCCCCATGAATCCATTTGGTTTGACAAGTTCGTCCGCCGAGAAAACCGGGGTATGCTGAGATTATGCTTAATCGAGCTATTCTTGGCCGCCGTTGTCTTGGCGGGTGGAATCTGGTGTGCCCGGGACACCCCTGATTACTGTCCTTACTACAGTGCCATCTGGACATCGACCATCTTCCTCATCAATGCCGTGGTAGGCACTGTTGCTGCGAAGACCGGCATTCACAACACTTACATCGCCCATCTCATCTTATCCATACTTTCCATCTTCATGTGTATTATAAGCAGTGTGCTAGCTTTCAGGTAAGTTTTTTTTTTGTATTTTGATTCTACATTTAGGGCATTGGAGTAATGTAAACATTTAAATTTACGTGAGTTGTCGCTTGGCGGTTTGCGTAATTACCCAACTATAACGAATCGACTCCTTTGATGGGTGACATTGGGTCATTGGGTGATTAATTACGTCGTTAAGCGGTGCTGAATTGGGAGTGTTACCCACGTCGCGTAGGGGACACCTCGCGTATATCAAAATTTTATAATGAATATATGGCCAAGGGTATAACGTTGGGAGCAAAAATTGGCCAAATCTGTAAAAATCTGGCCTGGCTGTTGTCTGATACAATTTTTAAAACTTGGCCATACCTTGTGCGACCTTATAACTTGCTGTAATTTGGCCTAGCTTTTCAAAATCAAAATTAAGCCACATTTTGCAAAGCTTGGCCAAATTTATATGCCCACACGTTGTACTGAACGCTTCAGAATTCGGTCAATGTCACAAGTCCAGTGTTCCGGGTATGACGGTTCTCGGCAATTTTGTGATCACGCGAAATGGGAAAAGCGACACGCGTGAAGTGTCCTGAACGCGAATTGGGGGTTCCCTTTAAAATTATGTAATTTTTAAATTACTTTAAAGTTTAGAAAGAATTACAAAAAAACGATGATTTATAATATGAATTACAAAACGAATCTATTCTTAATTTTTCAGAAATTGGACCTTGATTGGGACACACCATCATCCCAAGGTCTCCCGGGACACTGCCTTCTGTCTGCTGGGAGAACATGACACCAGCAGGTTGTCGTACATCTTCACCAACATGGATCAATATGACTTCAAGACTTGTCTATTCTCTCTTAAGTTGGGTGTTGGAGTTAATTCTGTCCAATTTTTAGTGGCCACACTTCTGGGACTTCTGAATATTTTCTCAATGATATTCTGTCTGAGACGGGTCTGCAGAAGAAAGTAATTCATGTGGATGGTGGTGGTGATAATGTCTTCTTTGTGATCTCTTATGTCTAGAAATGGTGACTTACATTTGTTCACTTTTTTTGCAAAAAATTGTCCTTTTGTTAATCAACGGATTTAGTAACCCTTTTCTTTTGACAAATTTCTTCTTTGGTTCGTAAAAGGTCGTTTTAATAAAATTTTTATAAATATGATGAATGGCTGATCCTGTCCTCGCCCAGTCCGCCTTTATTATCAATGTCAAGGTTATCAGAATCGTCGTGACCAAGAGTTTAATCGCAACATAACTCGGTCAGGAGATCTCTAGTTTCTCGATCATACGATTTCTTGGTGATTTCGTATGGGATTAAACGGTTTTTCAGCAAACGGGTATTATTTTATTAGAAGAGATCCCGCAATAATTAATAGTACAGTAAATTCATTACGGGGTCGGGCCCAGAAGAGCGATGATGGATGGTTCCGGATTTTTGGGGCCCGAGAAAAAGGTGGAAGGGTTTGGGTATTAATGAAGAGCGCGCCGAAATGCATGACTCCGGGGTCGAGCCTCAATTCCAAACAGAATGGCCTCGGGCTTGATACATTTTCTTTGCTTCCATACCATTTCCTTCTTCTACAGCCAGTTGATTCCAGTAAAGTGATCAGTGTTTGGTTCGTCATTCTTTGCATTTCGGCTTCAGTCTTCACCCCAAGAGCGAAAAATGTCTCCCAAAGAGTTTCCGTAGGCCAAGGTTATTGTTGACATAGCCGTTTTTTGATACAGACACCTCCAAAGCACCTTTTGCTTTATGGTTCCTATTTTTAATACTTTGCCTGAGGGGGAATACGCGTCTCCCAAAAGCCGATATACTGTGATGGAATTAAAATAAAATCACCTGTAGCCGAAACCCCTCTTTCTTTTTACTGTATTTGACAATTAAAGTATAGAAATCATAAAAAGAGGGCTCTCCAATTCTGGATTTTATTTGTGTGGGAGTCCCCAATTGTCCCCAATATAACGTTTTCCCTCGACCACTCACTTCTAATTATGTGAACTCTGAATTAGGCACTTGTCCTGTGGTTTGGCGTGCGTTGCGGCACCAGAAAAATGCGGCCATCTTCACGGCCCATCATGCTCAGTCTTATGAAGAAAGGCCCGGCTTCATAAAGTCTGTCCTTTTTGTCAAGCTTCGAGATGATGCGGTTATGGCGGGATGTCATGCTGCCGGAACAATATAATATTATTTTATATGGTCTCCAAACGCATAATTAGAGCTTCCCCACGTTCCGCAAGCTTCCACAGTTATATATGTTTCAAGTTTTCCGTTAAACGTTTTGCACGTCTGCTGGAGTGGGAACTGCCAAAAAAGGATCATAACTGTTTTCGTTGAATTCCTCCACACATGGAAAGAGTTGTCGCGCAGCAACGCTTCTCATCGGAACATTCCAATTGACTTGTCATTTGTTTTTTCCAGACAGTTGGCCTCCAACTTTGCCTGAGGCGACGTGTGAAAGCGCGAGATTAACAGAGATTGGCAGGTGCCGGCCCCAAACTCCTCGGTCAAGCTTCGCCTGGCCGGTCAGTTGGCGTGATTTTTAAAGAGACGGGCCGGAAAACCAAAATATAAAACAAAGAGTGAAAAACGACTCGGTTCGTGCTTGAGGGGCTGTAATCGCCGTTTTTACCTCATTCAGTTTAATTCCGGTCTCGGTTCAGTCGACTGAAAGTCGGCCGAAAGTTTTGGTCCTTTGCCTCGCAGCACATTTTTCAGTCCACATTAATCCATGCTTGATTGGAGTCATACTCTACTCCATCTTTCCCTCCTCAAAAATTTCAGACCCTGCAGGCATAAAACGGGATGTAATTCAAGCTCCGCGAGCATTTGCGATGAATATCTTTGTTTTAAGGAGCCCCTTACATCAATGTTCGGTTATGTAATAGCAAGACCTGCCGTAATAACTATTTGCTTTTTATGGCTTTTCAAGTTTTAATATCGCTCATGTTACAGTATCACAACGACCATTTCAAACCTAAAACGGCATCGAGCCCCCGCTGACGGGTATCTGGAGGAGACTGCCCTCAGCGGTGGTGGAGTGGGGCCAGCCCTGGAGTTCGAGCAAGCGCCCCCTCTCAAAAAGGCGGCCTTAAATGTAAGTTGTAATTAGTAATTGCTGGAAAAAGTCGCCTTATTTCGCATTCTCTGGCTTTGCGTAACCTGAAATTCCAAATACTTTTTGCGACAGCTGATTTTTTCTGCACTGTTTTATAGGAGCTTTGCAACAGATCGGGAGGGATTTGTGCCCGAAGCCATTAATTTTAGAGTAGGGGCCGCCAACCAAATACTGTTCTTTTTCAGCCAATCTTCCAAGCACAATGTAATGAAATGCCGAGTTTATCGCTAGTCCAGCCAAATCTTCTTTTGTCAGCCATTTCCCAGGCCAATCCAATCAATCAAGCCGCACTAATGCCGATGGCCCTAGGGTCTCTGCAGCCGACTCTCCTCCCTTCCAATGTTCTCCTTCCTTCATTGTCGTATTCATTCCAAAACAATTTAGTCAACTCTCCTTATGCCAATTACCCCGCTCTTCTGACCCAACCAAGTGTCTCCAGTTCCCTGACCTTTGAAGGAAACCCGCTCTTGGCCTTCCCCACCCCGGACATCAAGGTTGACCCGTCTTGTAAGTTGATTAATTAGCTGCCGTAATTAACTCATTCTCTTCCAGCGCTTTATAATGTTTTTGTGGGCGATTTGGGACAAGATGTGGATAATAATTCCCTTCTCAGCGCATTCAAAAAATTTGGTCAGATTGCGTAAGTTATTTGGGAATACAGTATGCATTGCAAAATTGGGATATCATGCATATTACAAATTCATGGTTTAGAGAAGCCAAAGTAATCCGAGATGCCCAGTCGATGAAATCCCGAGGTTATGGATTCGTAACTTTCTGGAAACAAGAAGATGCCCAGAAGGCAATTGACGAGATGAATGGCCAAGTCGTTGGGAAAAGAGCCATCAGAACAAATTGGGCCACAAGAAAAAATAATGAAAACAAAAGAAGCACTACCTACGAAGAAGTCCTGAACGCATGTGATGGCGAAAACACTTCGGTTTATCTCGGCAACATTGGCCCTGAAGTGAGCGGTAGGTCCTCTTTGTTTGCATTAAAGAGATCGATGAACTATTAAATAATGGCGCAAATTTTAGAAAACGATGTCCGAGAGGTTTTCTCCAAGTTCGGAACAATAAGACAAATCAGGATGTTCAGTCCCAAGAACTATGCCTTCGTTGTGTTCGACACCAAAGAAAACGCGGCCAAAGCCATCCACGAGTTCGGCGGCCAAGAACTTCGTGGACACACAATCACCTGCTCCTGGGGGAAGCTCTCTGATCAAACGCCCAAATCTAATCCTCTTCTTGTATTCGCCAACATGAACAGATTAATGCAGCCTCAAATGAATGCCATCTCTCAGTTATATTCACCATTTGTACCGAACTGGCATTGAATAAAAATAATTTTAATTGTATTTGTATTGTAAGAGGATTCATAAACGATACGTGAGCTAAGAAGTAATTCCGAAAATTTTATACTTGTTACGTGAAAGCAAAGTTCGAAGTGGAAAAAACGAAACAAACTATAGGAATACCAGGGAAACCGAAGGTGAACAGAGATCGAAGTTGTAAGTGGTTAAAAGATATCCGAATAGAGCTGTGAGAGCAGTTCGATTTCTCTTTTTGAGTAAAGAGCTTTTCCAGTCAGTTTGATGCAATTAAAACAAGATGACCAACAGATTCGAGTGGCTTATGGAGTGTGCGTGGAGTGGCGTCCATGACTGCAGGTAACATGCCTCTCCGCACATGGTCAGTCAGCCACGAACTTGTAGCTGCTGCTGGGGGTTTGTTCCCGCCCTCGGTCGTTTATTTTTGATCGGGCGCCATCCCGACGGGAATATGCACGAAATCGGCGCGAATCCCCTCCTTTTCTCGGGAAGATCGTGTGTCCTTGGACGTCAACGTCGTGGTGGTTATGCGGTCAAGTCGAGTAGAGGTGTTTCGACTTTCGAATTCATATTTTCAGGTATGCCGTACCGTCTCCAATGAAAGCGGCATCTCATCACATCCCTTGGAGTCTTCTATTTTTTCTCGTCCTATTTGTAAATAATGTGTTGGGGCAAGGTGAGTACTCTTTTTTTTGTAATTGGCTCAATGGCCGTTAACCGATGCTGGTTTCTGAGTTCAATAGCTGCAAGCTAAAAGGGGGTTTTTTTTGCAGTAAAATACCGATTTTATTTGCATAAAGCACGCTTTTAAAGAGTTACGTGCTGATTTTTCTCAAGAGACGTAATTAAGATAAGTTTTAATAACAATACTATTTCTTTGAAGGAAATCGTATTTTTCTATTTTAGATAGACTTTTTTTATTAGTCATAATTTGTTTCCTTATTACATAACATTACGTAATATGTTGGTTGTAAATATCTTGAAGGAGATTGTAGGAAAATTGATTGGAGATATCACTGTTGATTTTGATTACTCAGTTACTTGCCCTCGACACAGTAATTGCTGGCCCATTTTCTTTTTATTGGGTCATCGTTTGTTTGCATGGAACGACCTTATAAAAATAATTGTGGGCGCTGAGAGGGTCACGTTAAGGACGGCATTTAGAATGGGAAGAGCGATATTATACCAGATCCGAGCGCATCGGGATCGCTGTTCGACCTTAATGATAAAAAGGGATCGGTATTCGGGAGCTGGAAGGGAGAGAACGGACCGCTAATCCCGGGTATCCGACTGAATTCCAAGCCCAAACAAAACAAATTCCAAACAAATAGTAAAATAAAAAATTAGATCCAAATTTGGAAAGATATTTGGGGGTAACCTTGGATTAAATGCGGTGAAGATAAGGAAAGATTCTCACGGTTCGCTTCCAAAATTAAGAACAACCCATTAATTAACACGTCAAACAACGACCTTACTATTATATTTTCAGAATGCAAGCCAGAAGAATTTAAATGTAAATGCGGTACTCCCAGATGCATCCCCAAGCTCCTAGTCAACAATAGTCTCGCCAATTGTGCTGATGCTTCAGATGAGATAGATCAATTAAATGGAGGGGCTTGTCCCGATATAACACCAGCTCGGAATGGACCGCTAAAATCAGACGCGATTCAACCATGCGTCTCCAAATTCAGATGCAACGGTGCCTTGGGGCAAGTGTGCGTGGTAAGGTTGATACTTCTTAGGCTACAAATACTTCCTAAATTCAAAAAATACGACCTTTTTTGGATTGCGACATTAACCTTGAGCCCGTGGAATGACGGTTAACTAATTAAAACCCACGGATTTCAGAGAATAAATGGATCGGAGCGATGTTTATGCAAATTCGAATACTTCCGAACTCACGGATCGAATCGCTGTTTCCCGATGAAATTACTGCCTTATGTGCTCGGAAGGAAGGACAAAAATTGCACCGACTTTTTCAGCGATCTCAAAGAAGCATACCCCGAATTCTTCAAGGAGAATTTAAATATTCAACCACTAATCTCAGGCGAAGCCAAACGGCAATTTGATATTCCCGAGAGGTCGGAAGACAACGAGGCCGACATCAACTTACATGAATGCGGCGTCCGGAGCATGTCTTGCACAGGTATCAATTATTGAAGTCGTCGTTTAGCAGAAAACTCTCCACCGTAATCCTGGCGTTTAGGAAAATACCGTTTTTTTTTATATCTTTGATAGATCACAAAAATAGGGCACTGACTGTCATTTCCTTTGTAGTGGGGTTGTCATTATGAAATTGGGATCTTTTCCAGTGAAATTTTCGCATTATCATACTTTGCCCCAATCGTCGTTTTCCTCAATCGCCCCAGTTCCGATTTGATGCACAAAATAATACTTTTTTATTTTCCGGCTGGCCATGTACGCGCAAAACCCTTATGGCCACTTTTTGTTTTTTTTTGATTTTTTTCGTCGGCGAAAAACCGAAACATTTACCGTAATTACGGCCGTAAGGATAAATTTGGATTTGGGTTACAAATTTTAGTCATCCCCCCGTTCCCTGCCCCGGGTATGTTTATGTGATCACTTTAATTAGAATTCCAGACCCGTGTGAATTACCGGAATTATTGTAGACAAAAAGTAAAGAAGTTGGTGAGAAAGTAATGTGCACGTAATGGTAGATAATTGCTTTTCTCGTCGTATTAAACTGGTTCCTTTCACAGTAACGACGCTGTTTTAGGCAAAGGCGAGATATGCGAGAAGGATGAAGAGGGCGTCTTCAGATGTAATTGTTATGGCAATGCAACAAGAGTTCGAGGGAAATGTCTCGGTAAGTTGAACGAAGGGTGACGTCATTCTTTAGAGCCCCAAGTCAACGAATGTTTGGATTCCGAGCTCAATGATTGTGATCGGAACGCAATTTGTATTGACAATCCAGAATCCTATGAATGTCTGTGTCCTCAGGGTTTCATCGACACATCTCCGTTCCCCAATGTTCGACCAGGAATTCGATGTCAAAAATGTTTGTAATCTTTTATAACCAACATGGTTTCAGTGATCAATGAATGTAAATCGCCTTTTCTGAATGATTGCGATGCAAATGCGGTATGTATTGATACATCGTTGAGTTACACATGCGCGTGTCCAGAAGGTTACACCGATCTTTCCGTTGGCGGAGCACGAAAACCAGGAAGGAAATGTGTTCGAGGTAGCTTCCATAATTGCTATTTAAAACATTGTTTTAGTTGGCAAATATTGCAAGGCCCAAAAGGAATGCGCCCCCGAAGCCCGCTGTACAGATCTCTTGGATGGATTCAAATGCGAATGCCCTGAGGGGTACGTCGATTTATCCCCTGATCCCCATCAAAATCCTGGTCGAGTGTGCACTTTACGTGAGTTTCTTTATCACTTTTTAAGCGGTTTATCTCTGTTTAATCCGGAATGATGAGTCAGAAGAATGCGTTCGAGGAACGGGTTTCAGATATCCGATCACTGATTAATTGATGAGAATTGTTAACATCAATATGATCGCATCTTTGAAGATCTAATTATTTCAGTGAATCTGGATTGTTCTGACCTTAGCTGTCCCCATCAAACCTCCGAATGTGTCGCATCTTCTTCTGGAGTCATTTGTCAATGTCGCCACGGCTTCGTGGACAAGAATCCCGAGAATCCGGGAAGAAATTGCAGTTTATCAGGTAAGGGGAAGACTGACAGGAGGTTAGAACTCGTCAAAGAAGGATATGCTGAGGTTAGACATGACGGGGAGGGAGAAAGGAAAAGGTTATGTCTAACTGGAAGAAAGGGATATTCAGAAGACTTTCATCTGTCTTTTTGACGCAGCTGAAAGGCGACGAAGCTCGCGCTTTGCTGTCGCGGGTGGGGTAGAAGTGGAGGAAAATGAGGCGAGGGCGGGTCCAATCAAAAAAGTGAGCAACGATACTCATTCCCTTTACCAACCGCGCAAGCTTTTCCGACTTTGTCGACTTCCCACAACAACCTGGCGGCGTTCGAAGAGAGGATCCTCCAACTTTGCCCAATTAAGATTCTGATTCTGGAGGCATAAGTCAAGTCGGTCGACTCTCTTTGTTGTTCTCCGTCTTCCTCGACGTCCCTTCTTACCTGATTAGGGCGTCCCACTGCCCCGATTAAGGAATCTGTTAGCGGAATTACTCGCTGGTCAGTAATTTCCTTTCGTCGTCGTCGTTGTAACGTTTGGTACCGGTCAGAGGAAGTCTGCATCGCCGGTCGAACGTTAACAGAATCAGTGTGAATGCCGGGCGAGTCATAACAGTCGAACTGGTCGCAGTCGTCGTCATCGGAGAGCATTTCTCGCCGTTTTTTGCGGCGCGTGCCCTCGTTCTTGTGATCAACCACACCCCCTTCCCTTTGCGATATCACCCAGAAAGATAGGTCGATCACTTAGTCTCTGCCGACCTCCGCTCAGATCATGTTGCCGGCATTTGGCCGTGCCTCGCCCTGGCTTTATCTTCTATTGTCCCTTCTAGTGGACCTCCCTTCAGCACAAAGTATAAATTTGATTAATTCAACTCATCTCGTTATCTTATCCTTCTTAACCTAAGTCTTCTTTAGGATCCAATCCTTGTAACGATTACTCTCTCCATGACTGTGATCCCCTCGCAGAATGCTACAGTGAACAGCCCGGCTTCTTCCAATGTCGCTGTCCCAAGGGATTTGTGGATTTATCAACGGATAAGAGAAATCCCGGTCGGAAATGTGTGCGCGGTGAGTTTTTTTGTATGTTCTTCTTTTTAATGCCTTTTTTGGAGTTATTGTGGCTAATTACGGTAGCCGGGAGAATGAATGGGTTTTGCAATTCGAGGGGCATTCAAACTTTTTATGATTTATATTTTTTTTAATTTAATTTTTTTATTTTACATTGGAGAATTACGAGGATATTTAACTAGGTCAGACATTAGGGGTACAGTAATCGGGAGTCGTTTTGTGCTAAGGAAGGCTTAATGTGATTCTGACATATTGTCCCTACCTGGGGATTGATGGTTTTATTTGTACCCTCTGATTCATTCGAATTGAGATCAGATGACTCAGCTGAATTACCTGGTTGTTTTGACCGTGGGATGTTCGGCCTTGTCTTTCTGGAAGATGGGCTTTTTGTTTCTACTAGACGACATGCAAACGAAGCAGCATGACACAATCGCTGATTTCAAGGTTAAATCCACCTTCTTCCCCTTTTACCGACCGAATTTCCGCGCTCCTACAGCCTTCAAGGCCGGCTTTAATGTAGAGCACAACGTAATGCCACCGCATAACGAGCCCGCATTGGAAAAAGTTAGGGTGGTGCCAGTCCGAATCACCGCCAGATATAATTTATCACTTCGAAACATCTAAAATTGCTCAAAAAGCGGAAATAATTGAATTGCGAGACCTCTTTCAGAAACAAATGAATGTCTTCTGGGCACTCACGAATGTGATCCACATGCCGAATGCATTAAAACCAGGTCTGGATACACTTGTCGATGCAATGCTGGCTTTGTTGACTCTTCAGTGGACAAGTTGCATCATCCAGGAAGGAGTTGCAAACAAGGTATCATCCGATCAAATCACGCACACATCCCTTTCAGGTCACTCTTGTTTAAATTCCGATTGTGCTCCTGAGGCAGAATGCCATCCATCAGCTACTGGCTACAACTGTCAGTGTGGATCTGGTTATGTAGATGTTTCCCACCAACATGGCCGTCCAGCTGGTCGAGTTTGCAGAGCTGTAATCAACGAATGTCAAGGGAATAAACATGATTGTTCGATGAATGCTACTTGCATTGACACCGCTGATTCTTTTACTTGTCGATGCAAGGATGGCTTCAGAGATGATAGCCAGAATCAGCAGGACAGACCTGGAAGAATCTGCACCAAAAGTGATTTATTTAGTTAAAGATAATTATTTTATTAGTTACATAACATAATGTAATCCTGTTTTAGCTGAATTACCCCCGGTTCCTGAGTGTAATGTGAATGATCCTATTAGTTGCGATAAATCCAAGCTGGAAGTTTGTTTATTCCGATCTGGAAATTACATTTGTGATTGTCCCTCTGGCTATGGAAGACTGCCAGATGGTCGATGTTTGGTTATAAATGAATGCAGCGACAACAGACTCAACAATTGTTCTCCGGATGCTGATTGTATCGACCAAGTAAGTGAAGTAATCTTGTTTTTACATTTGATTATTATTTTTAGTTAATTTTAATATTTTAGGCCGAAGGATTTTCATGTCAATGTAAAACCGGATTTGCTGACATTTCCCCTGAGGGTCAAGCTGGTCGAATCTGCAAGAAAAGAGTAAATGAATGCAACACTCCTCGGGAATTCAATGTGGATTGTGATTCAAATGCAGTTTGCGTGGACACAGATGAAGGATTTTCATGTCGTTGTCGCCCCGGCTTTGCTGATATATCAGAAGTTTTTAATCGACTTCCTGGCCGTCATTGTGTGGAGGCCATCAATGAATGTCTCGATGACAAGCTGAATGACTGTTCAGAGAATGCACTGTGCGAGGATGTGAAGGAAGGATATCTTTGTTCTTGCAAGTCTGGCTTTATTGATGCCTCCAGTAATATAACCCATTATCCTGGAAGAGTTTGTGTCAAGCCGAATGAAAATTCCTTCGAACTTCACGAGAGTTTCTCCCACGATTCTTGTGATGTCGCTAATCCAAAATGTGGTCAAAATGAAGCTTGCACGGATCAGAAAACAAAAGGAGAATTCGTTTGTGAATGTGCCAAGGGTCATTTCCGATATCAAGATGGAACATGCAGACTCCTCTCGGCCTGTGAATCTCTTAATACCTGTGATAAGAATGCTCTGTGTGTGAATGTGTTGGATAATTATGATTGCCAGTGTCGTCCCGGATATTTTGATATCTCTCCAGACTCCGAGAAAGAGCCTGGACGGAAATGCAAAGAATGTAAGCAGAGTTACCGGGAATGGAGATTCTAATTGACCCATTTTTCAGTGGTCAATGAGTGCGCGACCAACCTCCATGACTGTTCCCCATTCGCTGAGTGCTTGGATGCAACGAATGGCTACGCTTGCCAATGTTCAGAGGGTTTCGTGGATACGTCATCACAATTCGGTCTTTTACCTGGGAGAAAGTGCAGTAATGGTATGTTTTTAGGGGAGGGGATTGCTTCTCAAGTCTTTTTTACAGTCATATCGTTTTTTCTGACGATCACGGACGGAAATCCGGCTTTTGTTTGTAGTTATAGTAAAGAAGAGAAGGAGCGAAAGGGAACTGTCGAATTTTATTTCCCCATAGAATACTTCAAAGAAAGGGGAGTTGACCCATCGTAACACACATCTATGTCGTGACTGTAAAGCTTCTTATACAACCCTAGCATTTGAAACCCCTTGTAAAAACTTGAATTTATGTTTTTACAGCCTCCAACGAGTGTATCGACAAGTCCTTGAATACCTGCGATGAGAATGCGGATTGTATAGACACCCCTGAGAGTTATACATGTCAGTGCATCCCCGGTTACATCGATGTTTCCTCTTCTGCCAATCTGCCACCAGGGCGAGTATGCACTGTGCAGACGACTTGCCCCAAACAGAAGACTGACCTCGTATTTTTGGTTGATGGGTCCGGCTCTATTGGATCTTACGTCTTTAAACACGAAGTCCTGAGATTTGTCAGAGAATTTGTTGAATTATTTGAAATTGGATTGGATAAGACAAGAGTCGGCTTCATCCAGTACTCAGATCAGATCAGACATGAATTCGATCTAAATCAATACACAAACAAAGACGATCTTCTGAAGGCAATTACATCCACACAATACCTGACTGGACTCACCAGGACTGGTGCAGCAATCCAGCATATGGTGGTTGAAGGTTTTGCCGAACGAAGAGGGGCCCGTCCCATTTCGAAAGACGTCAGCCGAGTCGCCATTGTCATCACCGATGGCCGAAGTCAAGACAATGTAACCCGACCTGCCCAGGACGCCAGAAATGTAAATGTGAACATGTTTGCGATTGGAGTGACCGATCACGTGCTGGCTTCTGAGTTGGAGTCAATTTCTGGGGCACCAAATAGATGGTTTTACGTGGATCGTTTCAAGGATTTGGACACTAGACTGAGATCTCTGATCCAAAAAGCTGCTTGTCCAACCCCTGAACCAGAACCAAAGAGTAACGGAAAGTGTAATTCTTTGACTCAAATTGGATGTAATCGAGCTCTGAATGAGATCTGTGTGGATGAAAAGAGTGTGAGCAAGTGCAAGTGTGATTCTGGATTCCAAAGACATCCATTAACTCACATTTGTGGCGGTGAGCTCTGCAATCCTCAGATCCCGACTTCTTGTCCCAATCAGGAGATCTGCGAGAAGACTCACTTCGGCAATCATCGATGCATCTGTCCTCCCAACTTTGCTCGAGATATGAGATCCGGTGTTTGCTGTAAGTCATTCCGTTTTTTTCTAACTTGTGTGAATTACAGTATCCACCAAAGAGAAGCCCCAAAAACCGATCGAAATTCTCCCTCAAGTGGATTGTCAAGTAAATGGATGTTATGGAGAAAATGAGGAATGCCGGAAGAGTTTTGGTGGCCAATATGAATGTGAATGCGGGCTTGGATTCGAGAGAGATCCCCACTCTGATAAATGCATCATCCCTGGTTCTTGTGATCCTCTGAGTCCAATCCCCTGCGATGTGAGGAAGAACGAAAAGTGCCTTCTCCATTCTTCTGGGCGATATCACACCTGCCAGTGCGCTTCTACCGATAAACGTCACCCGGTCACCGATATCTGTCTTCGGAACGAGTGCTTGATTGGAGAACATGATTGCGATATAAACGCCCGATGTATTGACACCGATGACTCTTATCTCTGTGCTTGTCCTTCTGGGTTTATGGATAAATCTATTGATCCCATCCGTCGTCCTGGTCGTCATTGTGTGGCCGAGCATAACGAATGCCTCGAGGGTACCCATAATTGCTCTCCTGATGCCGCCTGCACGGATACCCCAGAATCCTTTGTGTGTAGATGCAAGCCCGGATACATTGATTACTCGCCCAATCCACATATTGCCCCAGGGCTTGTTTGTCGGAAACTGATCAACGAATGTTCCCGACCTGAACTAAACACTTGCCATCCCAATGCTGACTGTATTGATACGGCTGATTCCTACAAATGTAGATGTAAGGATGGATTCCAAGATCTGGATGAGTTAAAAAATCCTGGTAGAAATTGCGAAAAATTACATCACAATGAGATGTGCACAACCGGAAGGCACACTTGTGACAAGAATGCACGGTGCATAGCCCAAGGGGAGAATGATTTCACTTGTTCCTGTCCTTCCGGCTTTAAAGATAAATCCCCAGATCCAATCCGACAGCCTGGAAGAGTCTGTATTCCTTGTAAGTCTGATTTTGTTGGAGCATCTTGTTGATCTGATCGCTTTAAATGAATTACATTTTTTTAGTGATACCTGAGTGTGATAATCCGGCCTTGAATGATTGTGACTCCCCTGATCGGGCGCTGTGTACTGATACGGACGAAGGGTATCTCTGTAGATGTCGACAAGGATTCTTAGACATTTCGCCCAACATTGCTCACAAACCTGGGCGATTGTGCAAAAAACGTATGTTCTAAAAATGGTGGCCAAATTTTATTCCAATTATCTTTAGTCGAGAACGAATGTGTAACTGGCAACAACGACTGTGCTCGGAATGGTGGAATCTGTGAAGATACACCTGATGGATTCAACTGTAGATGTGGAATCAATTATTTGGATGTCTCTCCAGATCGCAGAAACCGACCAGGCCGTAAATGTAAACGATGTAAGTTCATGTTTAATTAGTCCTGTCTGTTGGCCGATGCAAAAGAAAATAATATTTTTTATTCAGTGGTGGATGAATGTTCTACCGGCCAAAACGATTGTTCCCCAGAGGCCACTTGCACTGACACTGAGGATTCTTATTTCTGTACTTGCCCGGCCAATTTCATCGACGTTTCTACTGATACTGTCAACAAACCAGGCCGTCGATGTCTGAAAAGTAAGTTTAATCCACAGTTAATTAGTTGTGATTTGCAGTGATCAACGAATGTTCCGAGAATAAACACGACTGTTCTCCTAATGCCAATTGCATCGATACTCCCGACTCTTTCCGTTGTGAATGTCGCGATGATTTTGTGGATGAAAGTGTGGATCCGACAAGACCTGGAAGAATCTGTCGTCCAGCTTTGGTGGATGAATGCCGTCTTGGAAAACACGATTGTCATCAGGATGCTGTCTGTCAAGATCTTCCGCAAGGGTACACTTGTCAATGCAAACCTCAGTTTTTGGACGAATCTCCGCATCGAATTACTCATCCAGGACGTCTCTGTGTCCCCCGGCCAACCCCCAAACCTGCTGAATGCAGGTTAGATTCCACGGAATCTTGTCGTTTGGAGTTGAATGAGGTCTGTCGAATCATCAACGGCGATCCGAAATGCGATTGTCCTATGAATTATCAGAGGGATAGTCAAACCAAGTCGTGCACAGTGATCAACGAATGTCTTTATCCTCAACTCAACGATTGTCATCCCTCAGCTGAATGTAGTGACAAGGTCAATGGATATGATTGCAAATGTCGTTTTGGATTCAAAGATTTGAATCCCAGTAAACCCGGCCGTTCTTGCCGTCCATTGGTCAATGAATGTCAATTCCCCCATCTGAATGACTGTCATGTAAATGCTCAATGCATCGACAAAGAAGAAGGATACGAATGTAAATGTAATGCCGGGTACAAGGATCGCTCTGTCCAGTTACCTGGTCGAAGCTGTCAATTAATGATCAACGAATGCGAGAAGCCTTCGTTGAACTCTTGTGATAAGAATGCGATCTGCACGGACCTTGAGGATGGGTATGAATGTCAATGTAAGAATGGATTCTACGATGTGTCCCCATCCATGACTCTCCCTGGTCGCGCTTGTCGTCAACTGATCAACGAATGTTCCAGCGAGAAGTTGAATGATTGTGATCGTACGGCCACCTGTACAGACACCAAGGATTCATACATTTGTGAATGTCCTCCCAATTCCCGGGATATTTCCCCCAATCCCACTTTCCCCGGTCGTGTGTGCTTAGTCCTGGAGAACGAATGTGCTACAAGGAAGCACGACTGCGACCCCAATGCCATCTGTCATGACAACGAGCAGTCATTTACGTGTGAGTGTCCAGCTGGATTCACCGATCGATCCCCCAATAAACTCAGTCGCCCTGGCCGTTATTGCGTTCAACTGGTTGATGAATGCAAAACTGGACGTCACACTTGCAGTCCTCAAGCCACCTGCAGAGACCTTGAAGAAGGATATACTTGCGAATGTAAGGACGGATATGTTGACAGATCTCCCAACCTCCTTACTCAGCCTGGAAGGGTTTGTGGAACGCCTGAAGTCTGTCCTTCTAATCATGAGTGCTCAAGTGCGGCTACTTGTGAGCCCTTGGGAGGCAACGATTACAAGTGCACTTGTATACAAGGATATCTCGACCAATCCCCTGAGGGCACTGAAGGAAGAATTTGCATACGTAACAACGCCTGCAGAGATTCACGATTCAATAATTGCTCCAGAAACGCGATTTGTTATGACGAGCCGAAAGGATATAGATGTGAATGTATTCGAGGATTCATCGACAAATCCCCGTCCGGATCCCAGAAAGGCCGAGTCTGCGAACCACCCCCGCCCCCTCCTCCACCTCCTCGACATCCTTGTCAAGACCCTGCCCTCAATGATTGCCATTCTACTGGTACCTGTCGCGCCACTGGTCCCACTTCTTACACTTGCCAATGTCTTTCTGGTTATGAAGATCGCTCTCCAGATGTCAGATCGAAGCCTGGCCGAGTCTGTGTCCTCACCGAGCCTGTTTGTCTCGATTCCAGCAAGAATGATTGTCATCCAGCAGCTATTTGTAGTGAAAGACAAGGAGCCGATGGTTACACTTGTAGATGTAGAGATGGATATGTCGATCAAAGTCCGGACAAGGTCGGAAGACCAGGAAGAATATGTGTGGAACAAGTAAACGAATGTCTTGACAGAAGTTTGAATGACTGTGATCCTCTGGCTGTGTGTGAAGATCTTCCAGATGGTTATACATGCAGATGTCCCTTGACTTCCATCGATCAGTCGCCTGATAAGAACAGACCTGGAAGGAAATGTTTTGCTCAAGTCAATGAATGCCTGAACCCATCCATGAATAATTGCTCCAGGTTCGCGAGCTGTATCGACAAACCCACTGGATATGAATGTAGATGTAAAGAAGGTTACCATGACAGTAATCCTCTCCATCCCGGCACAACTTGTCATTACATCATCAATGAATGTGAATCTCCAAATTTGAATGATTGTGACAAACATGCAAGCTGTGTTGATCTGGCAGGAGGTTACACTTGCAAGTGTAATTCCCCGTATCAAGATGAAGGAACTGCTGAATTGCCTGGAAGGATCTGTCGGTTCAACGAATGCCTCTCCAAGTCAACCAACAAATGTGATAAACATGCTGATTGTCAAGACACTGCTGATGGATATTACTGCACTTGTAGAGATGGATTCTACGACCAATCTCCCAATCCGCTAGAGCCTGGAAGAGTGTGTGTTGAGTTCAAATTGGATGACGAACCCAAGCATGTGAGTGTAAAACCGGTCGAGATCCTCCCCAGCAAAGACGTCACACCTTGTGGTCATCAACATTACTGCTCAAGAACTCTGAATGAAGTCTGTGTGGGTGGAAGCAGCTGTGAATGTAAACCAGGAGAAGCTCGAAGATCTTCAGGAAGTAGGTGTCAAGCTGTGGACGAAACTGAACTCACCTTCCGAGTTGTCAGCCAAGGTCAGCGTCCACTGTTCTACAGCAGTGAATACGGCTCAAACTCCAACGAAGCATACATCGAAGTCACCAAGGAGTTTCAACAGGACCTGAGCAAGGCTGTCGGCGGAACATCGTATGCTCCTCGATATGTGACCACGGATGTAAAATACATTACCCATCCGAAGACCTTGAATAGTTCTTGGAACGATGGAATTATTTTTGAAGCATCGGTGGATACAATTGCCTCCAAGAATAAGGTGGACAAATGTGATCTTTGGAAACAACTCATGGACTCTGTTGGAAGAACGAATGGCCAGATTGGTGGGGGCAGACTTCAAGTGGCCGATGACATTTATCTTCTTGATCCTTGCTACGAACAACCAATTGGCGATCATTGCGGATCACAACAATGTAACAGTCAGCTGGGGGAGGTCTGCATTGCTGACTCGGTTTGCGGCTGCATCAATGGAGAGAAGAGAGCCAGTCCTAAGGACAAATGTAGACCTGTCGAACATTGGAGTATCCCCATGTGGGTTATCAGAAGACAGCAAAAGAACCTCGTTTACAATGAGAGCTTTGCCAATCCTTTGGATAACGTCCATAAACAATATGCCAAAGGATTTGAGAGTGGAGTCATGCAGAGTTACCCTCACACTCCTCTTAACAATGCTTTTGTCACCGCCGAAGTCAACGAAATCATGGATCCGGCCAGAGTAAATGCCAGCTGGGACATGGGAATCCTTTACAATTGCACCATGTACTTCCGAAAGGGAGCTGTCGAGAATCCTCATGATGTCTACAGTATGCTGGTTGAGTATATAATCAACAGAAATAATTACCAAGTCGGACAGAGTGGACTCTACTTGAATCCTTATCAGCCAGATCCATTCAGTTCATGTTATCAAGTGAGTATTTATGTTTTAACAGCCTTGCTCATACATATTATTTTAGAACAATTGTCATCCCAAAGGCATCTGTGTGGAGACGGGTCTTCATTCCTATAGATGCGAGTGTTCCTCTGGATATAGAGATCTTAATCCCATTGATCCTGGCCATCGATGTCTCCCCAATCATGGCTACAACGAATGCGAAAGGCCCGAAGATAACGAATGTTCGGAGAACGCCAGATGTATTGATCTTGACCATCTCTACAAATGTGAATGCAATCCTGGATTTACTGACGCTGCTCCCAAAGGTGGTATTCCAGGCTCTATTTGTGTTTTGGATTACTGTAGTGACGTCAGCTATTGTCCAAACAACTCGACTTGTGTCAATCTGGAACAACAAGCAGAATGTGAATGTAATAATGGATTTGTGGACATCAGACATAGTGAGAGTCGGATGAGTATGGGAATGAGTGCCGACACGCTCTGTCTCAGCCTCAGGGATGTGGATGAGTGTGCTCTTGGACTGACCAACTGTTCCGGAGTCGCTGAATGCACGAATTTACCTTTGGGATACTCCTGTAAATGCCCCAAGAATTTCATTGATGGTAATCCAGCTGAACCAGGTACTATCTGTGCTGCGCTATTGTGTGATATGTGTAATCAACATGGAGATTGTGTTCACAATGCTCTGACCAAGAATGTGACTTGTGAATGTGCTGATGGATGGACTGGTGAGTTCTGTGAAGTCGCCGCTTCCAGTGTCCCCTTGATTTTACTCATCCTGCTCGCCCTGTTGTTCTTGTTACTGACGCTATGGTAAGTCTCAGTAACCCAAAAAATGTGCAAAAATGTCTTTATTTTTAGTTGTCTGCTCTACTTGTGTACCAAATGCCATTGCTTCAAACGTTACCGCGATCCATTAACGGCCTACCGCGGAGGTTTCTTTCCTTGGAATACCCTCGACCATTCAACTTCCAGTGAAAGTGGAGCTGACTTCAGTGCCTTCTCAGCTGCTGGAGATCTCTACCATCACGATCTTGGTATTCCTCGACCCAAACTCAAATCCTCCGGATCTTCTCATCATGTTCTCGAGGCCTCAAGTCAGGAAGCCAATGCCCATGCTCTCCATGATTATCTCGGAGAAGGTCTCAGAATTCCGCGAGCTCGTCTTGGAGACACTTCATCTCTTGGGTCTGGATCCAGTGAATACACCATCAGAGAAGAGATCGAACGTCGGGTTGTCACAGATATTACAACTACTGAATTAACCACAAAGATCGAAGAAGAAGCCAGCTCAGAAGAGGTTGTAGAGACCAAAGAAACCTCAGAAATCCAAAGGTTTGGAGGTGAGAGCTCACATTCAGAAGGCCTGAAGACAGAAGGCGCTAAATCATCTACATATCAAAGTTCTGGGACTACCTTTGCCGGAAGTGTAAGTAACTCTCAGAAAAATGTAATTCTTGCGACAGGTGACCATGAGGGAGAACGGAGCCGATGAACAGGAACGCGGAGAGAGCGTCGCCGAGTTCTCCAACGGCCACACCAAAGAATGGCGGTCCCAATACAAATCGGGTGACTACAAACACATGCAATTATGAGTGAATAATATATACTTCTATAATATAATAATCGTTTTCATGTCATCCAGTCTTTGAAGATCTCTCTTCTACACTGTCCACCTTACACTTGTTCCTCCTTTCGCTCAATCACACAGCCTTTCTTATCATCCCCATATTGCCATTGTATTCGAAGCTGGCTTTCTTTCGGTGAAAAAAAACTTTTATTTATTTCAAGGGATGTCATTGAAATGGATTAGACAAAGAGCCAATAACCGCACGATTCATGCTTGTGGACAGCGTGGATCGATTGAACGTAAACATGTTTTTACAGGCAGTTCATTACTTTATTTGATTCTGCAAGAATTAGTGGTCTGGTGGATAAATTGCCCGACCCGCCTGCGACTTTCATTATGGCCGGGTTGATGAGGGGGAACGGGTCGTTATGGTCGTATCTTAGCTTCCCTTGTCTTGCCTAATGACGGTCTGATGTAATCCTAAATGAGGGGATCCCCAAGCCCGACACAGTCCTCGTCCAAGAAAACAGCCAGATTCCGGAATTCTTTCGATTGCGGCCAACCGTGACCGGTGTCAAGGGACAATATCCACGTCATATACTCTCCCCCCCCCCTCACCCATCTTAATTCGGTGCTGACTCCCCCCTTTTTCTTCGTACTCGATACGGTGGCCCCGCCCTTTACTTTTTGCGAACATCAAAGGTTCAAGGGGAAGGTTCTTAAGCTGAATGAAGCCCGGGATCTGGGCATAATGAGTAGAGTCGCCGACCCCAGCAGTCTGCTGATGGCCAACACCAAGATTATCTGGAGTCTTCTAGGGTTTGTCTTTGTGGTTCAAGTTATAGAAGCGACAGTTGCACAGACACAAGTCGAGGTTAATTGTGGCAGAGTAAGTTCCCTCCAGGTTGTGGTCGTAAAGTTTCGACAGCATCCTTAAACAACGTTTCTGATTTGTAGCTTTTTTGTATTCTAACACATTCCGCTCGAAAAAACGTAAGATTGCATTGTAAGATATCATTTCCGGCATTACAATAATCTGCTACCTCTAAAATATCATCTTTATGGCGCCTACGTTAAAATCACGTCCATTCTTGTAATACAACCGTGAAATTGTAATTTCTTTTTCTTTCTTGTTATCAGAAATCATATAAAAATAAAACCTTGCCCCCGGGGATTTCCTTTCTTTATGACTTCCCAGAAACGCTAGGTCATCTTTTGAATGGAATATTTTTAACAACTCTGCGGATTACAGCAAAAAATTAAGCTCAAGTCACTGGTACCGAAATTGTTTATTTTTGTAACCCAGATTTACTTAGCGTTCCTTTGTCCTTAGGGAAATTAGTGGGGCTTCTTACAACTTAATGAAACCTCAAACGTGACCAGAGACTACTCCATTACTCTCCTTTCTTTCAGATTCTAGCCAACAACAATTTGGACAATGAGGATAAGCAATTACTCTGTAAGATCTACCAGCAATCATCATCCTTGGAGCAATTGGGAGCAATCGTGAGCGACTCTTTGGAGCGATTTATGGGAGAAGGTAGGCGGAGGGAAGCGGGAACGAGACCAACAAGGTCAATGGGCCTTGAAATGTTAAGATATTAATTACCGACTTCTTGCAGCAACGGCCTTGGAAGAGGAGGCGCGGCCCAAGCGAAAACACGAATATCTTCGCTTCGGGAAACGGAAACACGAATACCTTCGATTCGGGAAGAGAAAGCACGAATATCTCCGATTCGGCCGAAAATAATCTCATTGTCCGCTTCTTAACAGTATTGTAAAGTTGTATATCCACCTTGTCAGACAATGAAAGCCGCCCTGTATCCGAATGAATGATCTGAGGAAGAGTTTAGAGGTCTGTGTAGCCACTTTCATCCCTCATTGTTTTCAGTTATATTAGCTGCTTACTGTATTTATTTAATAACAAACTTAATTGTAAGAGTAATCTTGTAAATATTTACTTGAGAGATACAAATAATGGCAGTCGGTGGTGGTAGATATCATTCAATTTACATTCGGTTTGTGTACTTGTATCGTCGTTCTGGGGAAAAGACCTTATCCTTGAGAAGACCGCTCATGAAGAGTCCCATTATGGCCACAAACAAGACTGCGTTAATCCCAGCACACGCCTGAAATTAATTCTAATCGAAAACATCATAACAGGTCTTATAATTAGTTTTTTGTCGCTACAACGGGGCGTCTAGATTATTTGCACCTACTAATCAGGGGAATCGGAACCCCATTCTTCGACTAATTATATTACCAGTGCCAGATATCGGCTTCGATCAAAATATTTTCAAAAAAACCGGAATAACTTTGGATAATCTAGTTCTGAGGCTTGTGGATTCCGACTGTTGCGTAATCGATGACAAATCAAAACCGATAAAAAAAGAAAAGATGACTTGCCCCCATCCATCCGAAGCGATGTCCGGTTTCGATAATTGTCCTCTGGGCCACTGTTCCCCCAATTCCACAGACCAGCATCCATCCGATCACTCCTACTGAGCTGAAGACGACCTCCTAAATAATTCATGCCATTAGGATGACTCGTTTTTGTACATAATAAGTAGCACAACCCACCGCCAGAGCACTGTTTGTCGTCCGGATCTCCTCGTCTTCATCCTGACTTTTATATGACAAAAGATACATGATTAATGAAACCAGGCAGTATATGAGTGTAAGGGCTGATACGATGTAAATTATGACAATCTCGTAGTTGATCGAGATATACGCTGTCACGTACGACGGGTCCAATAAAACCAACGTTACAATTGTTAAAAACTGAAACAATGTTCAATAAACTTCCATTCTCATTCAGAATTACGTAATAAAATTATCATAGTATAAGAATTTACGTATTATTGCTAGCAAAGTCGCTGGGGTGATTTTTGCGACATGCACTGTGAGGACACAGAATTTCACCGTGCACTGTGCAATTTCTTTTTGCATCGTCAGTAGTCCTTTTTGGGCTTTCGCTTGCACCCTGACTTTTTCTGCACAGTGCAAACGCCAAAAAAAAAACCAGTCCAGGGACTTTGCGAACGGAGTTGTAATATGTAATATGTAGTGGCACAACTCTAAAACTTACAATAATGGCGCCTTTAAGTGCTGCTCCGCCCTTATACTGTACCGGGAATGCCATGAGCGCTGAAAATAAAGCGCCTGAATCAGTTCAAAAACGAAAGTGGCCGCAGCGATGGCCAGAGAGACCGCAACGAGCTATTCTCAGACCCCGAGGCGATTGGAAAGGAAAGGAGAGCAGGCTGAGTCATGCATACTTTCCCGTGTCTTCGGAAAAGCAAATACACAGCGCGGAATTTGAGATTACAGAAGAGGAAAAAGGTCAAAACGAGAGGTCCTCAGGGCAACATAGCCAAAAGAGAGATAGATGCAGATGACGCCCGACTATGGCTGGGTTTCTGATTGGAAGGCCCCTCTTTCTTATCATTAAAAACAATTCCCCATTTTTTATAACAAAGTATTGCGTACGAAACGAGAGGGCTCCTTCCTCACCTTACCCATGCTTATATTCAAATGTTTGCTTTGTCCGAATGGGATTTGAAAGCCGCCCAACCCGACGTTTCAACAAGCCCTAAGGGTTGGAAAGTCGCGTAATTCGAGTCAAACAAACTATTTGACCAGACATTTTTATCACATTAAAATAAATAGGACAAGTGGCGTACAACATAAGACAATTAAAAAAACGTCGAAATAATTCAATGACAATTCGAAGCGGAAAATATTGTATTTACACCGTGGTAAAAACTGTTTAGATAGTTAGACAGCCGGCGCAAAACGTTCCACCACGGAAATCGAGTTGAAGATGAAGGTCTTTGCCAGTCCAGGACAGGCAGGACGTTCCGCGACCTCGAGAAGAGAATGTTTCAACTGCTGGAAGGCCAATCGAGTGTGGGGATTTCTGCGAGAAGTGTAACGAAGCCAAAGGAAACGGTAATATAAAAAGATGAACATGAAGCTGGCCTTTCCTCTGAAAATAAACATAGTTGATAAACAACGAGCTTTGAGAGACAACAACATCAAGTTCCGCAATTCTCTGGTAATCCATCATGTTCTTTCCAACTTACGTGAATATCATAGCAGCCAGAACCGGGAAGAGGAAGATCTCCACACATGCTATAGTGGACAGAAGCGTATTCGAATATAGCTGTCTGAATTGGCCGGCAGCTTTGGCCCATGCTGCATTTGTTTGTCCAATTGCTTCAGATAACTGCATCAAGTACAAGGTTGTGTGGTACAAAGAGTATCCAGAGATGGGAAACAAGGCCACTGTAAACCGAAGTCATATTACTCTTAAAAATACTTACTTGTAACGGTCTGAGAATTGATAAAAACAATGGAATAAAGCAAATAATGGGCAGAATCCTCAAAGAAAAGTTGGGCCACGAATTCTCGACTAAAAATATTTCTGAGATTCTCCTTGAGACGTTGATGAAGACGGAAGGCATACGATGCCGCGGCTGAAAATAAAACATATCTTTACGCAAAGTCATAAAATACCAGCCATAATGACTTTGTAATAAACAGCTCTCCCAGATGTCAGGCCAGCCAAAAACAACAGATAATTGATTGTAAAATACAACGACAAGATTCGAAGCCATGCAATCGCTGTGTAGATGGGATCTCGTTTCAGAAAATCCTAAAAACACAAACGGGTCAATAAATTCAACTTCCAGATTCTCAAAGAAAAAACAAGCCCTTACAAAAAAAGTCATCCGTTGAACTCCGGAAGGTCGCGAAGTATGAGATGTAGATGGCTGCGAAGTGTCGGATGTAGCCGTATCATTGTCATCAGCTTCACGTATTTCCACCATCTCAAATACAACGATAAGTGTATTTATTTTTAATTGTTCCTAAGCAACCAATTTCTCGAGAGAAATCGGTGTAAAAAAGACAGGTAAAATTGTAATATTTTCGCTGGACCCAAACCAGTAGTCTTATTAAAATGCACGTTATATTCCGATTATTTATATATCACAGACGTATAAAATATGTACAAACCATTAAAGATTCAAAATCGAAGTTTTCGTATCCGTTTTCTAATATTATCCTTAATTTCCGTCCTCACCCTCAGAAATCGCTCAATGTCATATTCAGCCAGTATATTGGCCACGATCAGAACGTCCTGTTTCTTCAGTTGTAACTTCCGCCCCATTTTATCAACTGAAATTCTTTTGCCAATTTGAGCAAAGAAACAGAAATCAGCAAGAATAGAGAGGATGAATAAGATAAGGGATTGGTCAGACGGAAAAGCCTTGGCCATTGTCAATGGTTGGAGAAGTTGCCCTTCGTAGAATTGAGAGTAGAGTCGCTGATTGTTTAGGTCGACTATCACCTTCCTTGAGGATTTATCCACAAATTCAGAAGTTTTATCACGGGACACAGTAAATCCCCTCAATTGCGTCATATACCTAAATGCATGTTATAAAGATTAAATCACCACACCTGTCATCGTTTTCATCATTACACCATTCGGCATTCTCAAATACTCTGCTGATTTTAAGAGAATTCAATTTCTGTAGGAGATCAATTCCAGTAGACAATCTCTGTTCCGATGCTATGACGGCCATTTCTTCCCCAGATAACAGTGGATATAAACACTAAAACAGACACAAATAATGTGAACTTAATCTTAATAACTACCTGGATCAAGGTGGCTCCCAAACATCTTAAAGAATTTTCGTTTGGAAACTGTCTGCTTATTTTTACAATATCAACGGCTCCATTTGCAACCAAGTCTTCTTTATGCTCCTCTTCTTTGGTCCGTTGATAACCAGATTCTGAGTAGCTAGAGAGCACTGGATACCCAGCGGAGAAGAGAACCCCCGCTTCCTTCGACTTATGAACTAATAGGTCGTAGATGGCGCAGAAGTCTTGCTTGAACTGCGCTCCACTCTGAAATCAAATTTTTGCTATGTAAGTTACTTTACAGCCATGCTTACACAGGGTGCCAATTTAATGAAAGGAATCAGTTTGGACGATAACGGCTCATTTATAATTTCCAAGAAGTCCTTAAAGTCTTCAGGATTATGGCCACAATTGCAAAATGATGGATAGCACGAAACCAACTTATACATATCGAGAAATTGAAGATTCAAGCGCTTCGGAGTATTCCCGTTCACTTCTTTCGGGCGATAATCAAGAAGCTCCTTCAGTTGCTTTGAAACTTGCTGAAACAAAATAAAGCTTCATTGAATAAAAACTCACGCGAATTTTATTATTGCCCGATGGTGACAAGGATAGACCCGTTAGGGAATAATAGGAGTTCAGTCGTTCATGTTGCATCTCGTTCGCAACATCTATCATATTTTCCCCGTACGATCGAAACATTTGTCGATTGCAAGCCAAAAATGGCCGAAGAGCATCACCGACCAATCGATTGAAGTCTCTTCGAAGTCCGTAGCCCGGTTTCTCTGATGAAATAAATGCCAGAGCAGCAGGTCTCTAAAAATCAACACAACACGCGAAAAACACCTACTTGAAATGCTCTAGCCGTAATATCCAACAACGTTACATGTTGCACTATGGCGTGCAGATCCATAAGCTGATTATAGAGAAACGTTTGGGATCCGTGGGTATTCTCCGAACTCATCAACCAGATGGCGACCTGGTCCAAGTTCAAATGGGGTCCTACATCTTCAGGAAAGCATAAAAGTGGTATCGGTCCTTGCACCTAGATTTAGATTAAACAACAAGTTCTGAATTACCTGACAAAATTCGATTAAAACAAGAACTGAACCTTCGCAGCAATGAACACGATTCCAAGGGTCTGCTGGTAACTTCCCACATATCAAGAGATCTCTAAGCATGCGGAACTGGAAATGGGGAGCACGCCAATTTATTTTCTTCTACTACAAAAAATCAAAAAAATAATTCGTGTCAAGTGTCTCCCTGGACTGTTTGGTCAACTGTTTCCCTCCGCTTAAAACCTACCGCGGTCAGGGGTGGTCAGCGGGCCGGGCCGGCCCGGCCTCAAAAATGGAAATTGACAAACGGGCCGGGCCCGTCACGGGCCGGGCCGGGCCGCGGGCCTGGGTTTTTTTCCGGCCCGGCCCGTCTAAAATACAATGCCAAACTGTTGGCATTCATTGTTTTCGCGCCGGGAAAATTAATTTATGTTGTTATAGTTGCTGTTTCTCAAGTTCTAAAACGTTTACAAGTCTATAGTTCCATTATAGAACCACAAAACTATCACATTGATCCTTTACTAGCTAGATCAACGCCTTTTTTGCCTCAGTTTAGATCCCGAGCCTGGGCGCAGTTCGCAGAACCCTCTATAGACGGGCCTGCACGGGCCGGGCCGGGCCGGGCCTGGAAAAAGACTAGACGGGCCGGGCCGGTCAATTAGACGGGCCGGGCCGCGGGCCGAAAATCGGAAAAATAGGGTCCGCTGACCACCCCTGACCGCGGTATACCGTATCATGGCTGAAAAAGAGTTAATCATCGCAGAAATTGCGCAAAGTAAGGAAGAATAACAGACAAGTCGAAAAATGTACATTTAAGAGAGAAAAAAAATAAATCTCCGTCAAAGCTTTATTTGGGACTTATGACAAAAAATGTCCTAAAAACCCCCAGTTGACACAACCCTGATAAAATTTTTCTAACTTCATGTAAATTAGAAACTACGCCTAAGTTAAAGTCTAGGAGTAGTATTACTTACATCCAAGAACTGTTCAAATCGGACCAGTACAGAATTTGTTACTTTCAATTGAGTTCGACCAATTTTTGGCCTCAACATATTCCTGTAAAACGCGAAAATGGTGAAAGCGTAAAGGTTTCATCATATAAAATGTCGCCGCAAACCGAGAAGAGTCGGGCGCAGCTCGAAACGCGAAAATAATAATCTTAGAAAATCTCGCCAGTCCCGCGTACGCGTAAACGTCGACCACCAAAAAAATTCCAAAAATTGGCGTCGGATTCATTTCAGGTATGTACAGAATACTGTGTAGCGCCCTATTTTCATTTTTATTCTACCAAAATTTTAGTAATCTTTGTTTTGACGTTATACGGATCAAGTTTCAGTATTGTAAGTTTGTTTTTCAGATGCCATTGTTAGTCCTGACCGGGTATCCGTGTTCTGGAAAGTCGACTATTGCACAAAGACTCAAGGACTTCATGATAGAAAATGGAATTAAAGATGTTTCGATCCTAGATGATTATTTTGATTCTGAATACGAAAAAGTAGCTGCTCAATATACAACAAAACGAAGAGTACGTTTGTGTATGTAGTGATTTGATTTTTACAGGGTGGCGCAAAAGAATCCTGAACTAAAGATCGTTGAATAACGCAAGAAGTATGCGAACAGGGGTAGTCGATGTTTTTTTTTGGATTTTTGGCCCGTCTACTACCGCTGCTCGGGTAGTAGGACCCCTATAATTTAAGTTAGGTGCAATTTCTAATTTACAGCTCGTTAAAAAAGTTTCATAAGAGTTTTGTCAGTCTTTCAAAAAAATCTGTCGTGTACTTTGTGCAGTTATTCAACGATTTTTACTTCATCCCCATTTTTTTGCCCCTCCTTGTAGTTGACGGATCATAATAATTGCATGCGGTCTGAAGTCCTTCGTCGGCTTTCTTCAAATAACGCGACGTTCCTAATTGTTGATGCGTTAAATTATGCTCGAAGTAAGTTTGTAGCATATTATTCGATGTACTTATTTTAGGTCAGAGATACGAACTTTTTACCGTTGCAAAGAATATGAAGACAACGTTTGGGATCTTGTTTTGTGATACAGACGAGGCAACTTCCTCATTTCTAAATTCCCAAAAGGATGAACCTTATACGGAAGAGCTAATCAAAGACCTTGTTGCGAGATATGAAAGACCGAACTCGCGTTTGTCCGGAGAGAAGCCACTATTCGAGGTTGTTATTCGAAAAGGTTTAGAAGATGATCTGGATCAATTCTCCCGTGATGTTCGCCTTCCATTTGATGATATTTATGACTGTCTTATATTAGCCAAACCCTTGAAGGAAAATGCTTCCGTTTCTGTTTCTAATAAGACCAGCACATGTTTTATGCAAGAAGTGGACAAAGCTACTCAAGCTGTGACCAAGCAGATTCTGGCTAGTCAAGGGCAGGCCGGAATAGGTGGTTTGGTGGTGTTTCCTTGGGAACCAGATGTACATTATCAAGTAAAAAAGATAGTTAGTCTTCCTGTTTTGATGAGATATCGTACCCAGTTCCTGGACATGACAAGAAAAAGTCTAGTCCAGTCGGGGACTTCAGTAACCAAAATCTTTGTTGATTATTTGAAATCTGTAGTTTAAATTACTTGTTATTTAATGTTGTTAAGTAAAGTTTTATAAAGTCATGTAGTCATCTATAAAGTACTTGTATTTGAAGGAGGAGGGAACAGTCGCTTGGCAACGAGTTAAACTCGCGAGCTTGTACATTTAATTCACTTTAGCCGATTTAATTAAAAATGGAAACTGAAATTGCTATATCGGGGCCGATTCCACCTAAGAACCCGTATATGTTTGAGCCGGATCGGGAGATGATCTTGCCGGTAACCCCCTCCTTCATGCCCAACAACTTGTCCGTTAATTATTTTGAGCCCAAGTTTACTACTTACGCTTGTTATTGCAGTAAGAATATTGTAAGTTTCGTGTCAAAGTACTGCTCATTCTTAAATCTACCAAAACTTGAACTTGTCCTAGGTACAAGTTATCTCATGGGACATGCATATGGAGAACGTTACCATGGATTCTTTGCCATTGAAAGAAAGCGGGAAAGAAAAGCCACTTACTGTAATGCAATGTAAAATATGCACACCCGCTAATAGACTGTTCCCTGTGTTGGTAGTGGCTACGGTTACCAATGTGATGGTGCGTAAACCGTCGTTTTTTACGTTTTTTTAGATTTTCGAAATAAGAAATCTTAAGATTCTGGCGAGCACACCATTGGTTAATGTAAGTTGTTTTATCGGAAGAATGGATTTGATGTTTTTTCATATTGTTTAGGTTGATGAAGGCTCAAACCCATCTGTTAATGTCCCCTATAAGTTTGCACGAGGAATAACTTGTGTGGATAACATGATTATTATAGGTAGGCCATAATTAAACACAACGATGTCATCCTGAAATTTCAGGGAGTTTTACTGGGGATCTTCTAGTGTTTTCGTGTAATGGAGAGTCCAGTTTTAACGTGAAGACCTGCACAATTGAACACAGAGCCCCAATCGCTGACTTAGCCACTTGTGTTTATGACTTGATTACAGTTTCCGCAGATTCTTTGGGGAATCTGGTTGTTTGGGCGAAGAATATGAAGACAATCATCAAGCGAATTAGTACAGAGTAAGGATTTGGGCGTCTCATTTCATGTCTGATACCTTACATATTCTAGGCAACAGATAACGGCGGTAAACATCCTGAGAAAACAAATCTTTTGTGGAAATTTTCATGGCCAAGTTCTTGTTTATTCGATCCAAACAGGTGTCCAATTGGCTGAACTCAACATCCACAGTCGTCAGATCACATCGATCGCTGTTGCACCAGAGTCTGCTTATGTAATTTTTGAATCCCGACTAATCTTTAATACATTACTTTCAGATACTCACAGCAAGCGAAGATTGTTACGTCCGCGTGTGGAAGTTGCATTCAAGGAAGCCTGACAATTATCGAATTGAGTACCGATATCAAGACAAGACAGACAACATGGCGATAGTTGGTGCCCAGTTCTTAAACGGAAGAGGGAATGGATATGTTTTGGCCCTTTTCGAACATACTAAATTACCTATTTTTGTGATAAGAAGAACACCCATTGAACAGAATAATTAGACTATTAGTAAAATAAATTATTTTCATCTGCGCACGGCACATCGAGCACTATGCATCGTTCTTTTTTGATATTATTTTATGACAATTTCGTTTAATTCTGGGACACCGATATGTAGGGTTCGGAAAATTCGGGTATATTCACCACGCGGCCGCGGGTATATACCCGAAATCTCGGGTATATTCGGGTATTTATAAAATTAGCCTAAATTGGTCCAATATATTAATAGTACCAATATGAAGTCGTTAATGAATAAGTGGCAAGTTATTCGTTAACCTAATCATGTTTGGAGTGATATTCTTTATTTTCCCAGCTACAACAAACAAAACTAGTACTTTAACAATGAAAAAGTTTAGAAATCCAATAATTGGCAGTCAGATTTCGAATTTTTTCCCGTTCATTTTCCGACTCCGGCCAAGTATAGTAATTTTCAACCTTACTATAGAACCAAGTTTTGAGCGACAAAAAACAAATTATGACTAAATGTCAACGTTTATTGATTTTTTACGACAAAACTCGACTTTTTTTACATTTTTTGAATGCAAAAGTACTTTGAATATACCCATAAAAAAATATACGGCCTCTCGGGTATTTGGGTATATACCTCGTCCGAACCCTACCGATATGCCCTCGCGAGTCCGGGTTTTAAACGGAAAGTAAACGATGCCATAAATTCTGGCATTGTGCGAAACGAAAAATCATTTTCCTTTTTAGCCTTCCAGACTTTGAAATTGTGTCGAGAGGATTTATTCACAACACATATGTCTGCTCGTCGAGTAAAAAATATTTTAACAGGCGATTGGGTCATTAACTCTCCAGATGGGCGATTGAACCGGCCATGGAAAGGAGGTATGGATGACACTGACCTGGAAGAATTGGAGAGAAAGCGGAAAAATGATCCGCTGGCTCCAGGAGGTCTAAGGGGCGATGGAAGCGTTGTCCCTGACTTTATGTTCACTTACATATTCCCCAATGATTTTCCAGTCTTGGATGGACTTGAAACTCCCAGTGCTGACGAACTAAATGAAGGCGACCTTTTCATTACACGGCCTGCCATTGGTAAGCTGAGTTAGAGCAATTACAGTTTTTAATTAATTTAGGTAGTAGTCATGTTATGTGTTATTCCCCGGACTTCTACAAACATTTTGCTCAGATGAAACAGAACGAAATGGACAAGGTATTTGAGGGGTGGCTTCAGTTTTTCCAACAAAATAAGAAACTTGTTGATTATATTCAGGTGAGATATTTTTGCAATATCATTTTTACGTTTAGATATTTGAAAACCGAGGTCAAGAAGTGGGTTCTTCCCTTCCTCATCCTCACTGTCAGATTTGGTCCACAACTTTTCTGCCAACCACAATCGAGAGGATGCTCCAGAACCAAAGGGTAGGTCTTTCTGTGTGTTGAATTAGCCACTAGGATTATTACAGTAAGCATGGAAGTTTATTATTGGTAGATTATGCAAAAGCTGAATTGGAAAAGAAGGTCAGAATAGTTCAAGAACTAGAACACTTTGTTGTTTTGGTTCCCTATTGGGCGTATTGGCCTTATGAAACTATGATAATCGCTAAGCGACCAGTCCAACGGATAGATGAATTGTCGAAGGTAAGGATTTGTGAGATTTAAAAGGCGTTTTACAACACCTTGAAGCTTCGTCCAATTGTAAATTAAAAAAATTTATTGCACTTAATTTAATTTACACTTGAGACGCCGCGGGCTACGCTACGATTTGTAATGAAACGCATTTATTAAAAAAATTATTTGTAGGATGAGCAACAAGACTTCATGCGAGCAATTCGATTAGTTGCTGGGAAATATGATTCTTTTTTCGGAGTGAGTTCTTAATTACAGCCTAAAGTTTGGATTCAGTACTCTTCTCCTTATGTAATGGGTGTCAGAAATGCTCCGGTTGGAAAGTATTTGGATGAAGATTTATCTTTTTGGCAACTTCATGTCAACTTTTATCCTCCCTTGTTGGTCAGGGGACGGAGAAAGTTTATGGCTGGCTACGAACTTCTCTCTGAGGTTCAGAGAGATTTCAAAGTCGAGATTGTAAGGTTTATTAACTTTTATTAATAGCAATTACAGGCTGCCCAACGACTGCGTGATGTTGTTTTTACACCAATTGTTGAGTAGCAGTGAGGATTTAAAAAAAAAGTACATCCTTTTTATGGGATAATTTGGCATAGTTTATTTAATAAAGTTTTCGCTTCTGATTGAGTTGTTTTTATTCTGTTGGTTTGCAGTAATACCTTTGGGACTAACGCTTTATGTCATGCTGTAGAGGTTAGAATGTCATCAGGTGATGATATTTCGGACAAATTGAAACAGAAACTGAAAATACAGGTCTTCAAAGATTTGGATCTGATTGATGGGAAGAAGATCGTTGTTTGGCAAAACGATGTGCTGAGACGTATAGATCTTGTATGTTGTTTAAACCTGCTGTTATTTAAAGTTAAGAGAGTCAAGGTAATCTTTTAGATGATTAGTGCCAGTGAATTCTTGGAGCATAATGTTACACGTCACATTTTGCTGCCAATAAAGTTCGAGAAGGGAAGTGTACTTAATTTGGAAGGTGCTACAAGTGTCATTTTTGTGATTCCACCACAAAAAGAGAGTTTTCTGGTGCTCAAAGAGATTCTGTCTGCGAAGAAGACGGGCATTTTTTATCATGTTAGAGTTGTCTGCCGTGTTTCCAAACAGTTGTCGGATATGTTACTTGGGAATAAGGACCTGGAGAGGAAAGTCAAAAGTTTCGAAATCTGGCCGTTTTTCTGGTCTCCAAGCTTTGGAGATCTTGTTCTTAACACCTTTTCTCTGAATCCTATCAAAATATTTGTGGATGATGACTTCGAGCTGATATCGTTATGCTCTTCTGGGATCTCTGACTTGGGAATTATCCCGCAGATTCGATATAAAGGGAAATCGGCTGAAAAAATTGTGAATAATGTCAAGGGGAACACGGTAGGTTTCTTCTACATTATGTGTGACTTCATTTAGGGAAAGGGGGAAAACCTTTTTGATGAATTGGTGGTTATCGACCGGGAAACAGATCCATTGACTCCTTTTATGAATCAATATTCTTTCTCCGGAATCCTCGACGATTTGTTTGGGATTGATGTTAAAAGTAACACACTGTGATTTTAATTACTTCTGTTGCAGATAATATTAAAGTGCCTAAGGAAATGATGGAGAGAAAGGTTTTCTTAGAGAACGCAAAATACGCTGATGAAGGTGTAGACATTAAACTCTCAACGGATGTATATAGGGAGCTGATTCACTTATCTGTAAGGGATGCCCTTGCAAAAATCCGGAACATCTTCAAGGAATTATCGGTTATCGAGAATGTAAGTGCCTCCCCCTCCGTGAATGTCTGGTTCGATTCCCAAAGATTGGACCCCCAAAAAATTCAGGGAACCTCAAATATTAAACCCCAAGAATAGTACGAAATACACGCTACGGTATGTCAATAAGCTTACGCAATACCAAATCAAGAAATATGGGGAAAAATGTGGTCAGATGAGGCAGAAATGGCCGAATCAGAAAATTTGGGCTACCCTTCGTTGAAGCAATTGGGTATCGGCCAATATTTATATCCGATGTTGCAAAATTAGTTGACTAGCTGACCAACGTGGGTTACCCCGTTTTCACACCGAGGGTAGGTCAAGCCATCTGTGGAAAGTTTTTCGCGGCCGCGGCGCGCGGAGCCCCCGGAAAAATTAAGGCCGGTTTGGCTTGGGCAGAATTACTTTTGCGATTTAGAGCTAGGAAAATATTTGCGTTAAACTTTTACAAACGTTTTAATTTTGCTGAAAGACTTGTGGTTAAGACGCAAGAAATCAAAGTAAATAGTTTAGAATACTACTTTTCAAGGGCTTTCAAACGGTATATAACACTTGCTGTTTGGTGAGGATCAGTTTGTCTGGATGTCAAGACTTTTTGGCCCGCCTTATATCATAGAAAAGAAAACTTGCTCCAAAAAACGAAGAGCCGTAAGTTTTTAACAGTAATTATATACTTGTCCTCCAATGGGTGTTAAACTATTCTAGGGCATGGTCAGTCTTAATATTTCTATTAACTGAGCCTTCTCCTGGCTTCCCCTATGCATACAACGACGAATTGATGCGACCCAAAGTGTCGTCGACCAGAACTGACCGGAAAAGTCGTAGCGCCAAGTTTTTGGGGGTTCCCACTACAAGAGGTTGGGGGTCGAATTATAGGGGACCAATCTTTGGGGGTCCAATCTCTTTACTAGTCCTTCCGGAAAGTCGTCGGAAGTCGGCGACACGCACTGTGAGAAAAGTTTTCCTTGCACTGTGCAATTTATTGCTGTTTTCACCGTGTTTCGGCTGTCGCTCACACCCTGACTTTTTTCGCACAGTGCAAACGCCAAAAATGAGTCCGACGACCGACTTTCCGGAAAGGCTACTGTTCCTCATTTATTTTCTCACAAAACTTTCAGGCGCATAGTCAACTTAGCTCAGTCAACGACTTTAAGAAATACATGCCAGCGCTTCAGAAGTTGTCTCAAAGGAAGGACAAAGCTAGTGTCGCGCTTCATCTGCTTACTATTTGTTACTGTAGAAATGCACAATTTGGTCAAAAAACATTGTATGAATTTGAACGCTGTAAGTAAATGTATTTTATCTTTATAGTTCCCTGTTTAAGCGGTTCTTTATGGTGAAGTCAGTTCAGGGACTGCCTCTCCGATGATTGAGATGCTGTTACTCAATGGGAGTGAGGAAAAAGACACTATGCAAGCCTTGTCTCTGATAGTTGTCCAATCATTAGTTAACGGGGGTCTGCAACCAAAGGTTTGGGCCGAGTATCAGCGATTGATCACACAGGTAAGTAACGAATCACCAAGAGTCAATTATTGTAGTCATTCGGAATCGAAGCTGTCAAGTGGTGTTTGAATTTGGAACACACCGGGGTTATAAATGACGTAAATGACAAATCCTCCCGGTTTAGCTGGCTCAGTAGCGAACTCAAGAAACTTCGAGTGGCTATCGACCCGGAACAGGTAGAGCGAAATGACTTTATATTCACTGTAAAAATCCCCTTTTTAGGACATCAAAGCGGATCATTACTCGGGTTATGTCCCATTAATGGTAAGGATGTTGGAAAAGGGGATCCGGGATGGCTGGAAAACGTTTCAAACCATTCAGCTTGAGCAAAACTCACCCATTTACAACGGTCTCTCAATCAGACGAGCTCTCTTTGTGGTTGGAGGATTGACCCGGTCAGAATTGGGATGTTTGAGGTCCCTGGGCTTCACTGCCATCTTCACCACTAATATATTGCAATCAGATGACCTCATTCAGTTGTGCAAATTAAAGGAATAATTACGTCGGATGTCCATAAATATTTATAATAAATTGGGCACAAATATCTCACATCAATAGCAACGGAACCGTAATGTTTTTGGAGATCGAAACGAGAAAAAAATGATGAAACAATAACCGGATAAAGGGATTGAAATAATGGGAAGATCAAATTGATGGATATCAGACACTTTTGAGGGACCGCCCTCTGAGATATTCGTGTTTAGAGAGTTGAAAAACATCGGAACGATCATCTTTGTTGTATTGGAGGCAGCAGCGGATGAAATCTTGAGCTCCTGAACTGATCTTTGGGTTTTGAGGAAAGGAGACTTCACAAGCATTGAGGATTGTCTTTTCCTGCAGGATCTGCTGTTGAGTCCGTTCATGGCCGAAGGGCTAAAAAATCAATGAATAAAGATCACATGGCCGTACACTTACTCTTTTTCCATACAAACACTGATAGAAAATGACGCCAACACTCCAGACATCCACCTTCGAACTGATCTTCGGGGCGATTCCATGACCATACGATTGGAAAGTCTCTGGTGGGAGATACCTACAAATGGTTCGCAAATCCTACATAGGAACTTACCAGTACGTTCCAGCTCCCTGAGATGTGAGCTCAATACTCTCTCCGTCATCCGAGTTTTCCATAGTTTTGGACAATCCAAAATCCGTGATCTTTATCTCACCTCCAGCAGTCCCTGATTGCAGCAGAATATTCGCTGGCTTCAGATCATAATGGATAACGGGACTCTTTCTTTCATTCAAATACTTCAGTGCACTAACCACCTTAACAAAAATTTTTGTTAAAAACCGTGTCACTTTACCTGCATGATAATACTCCTGGCTTCCTTTTCCGGGATTTGTTTATGTTGCTTTAAGTAGAAGTCCAGGTCATTGCCGTCACAGTACTCAAGAACAGTGCAGAAAGAATCGTTGTCAATTGTGAAAAGATCGTAGAGCCGAACTATCCTGGAATGATTTAAAGACTTATGAATATCCTTTTCTCTCATCGCATGCTTCACATAATTGGCCTTCTTATCCTCCTTCCAATCTTTATGAACGTGATGGATCTTGCATGCAACGTACTGATTCTCGTCCAAGTCATAAGCCTTCCAAACTTCGCTAAACCAAGAATACACAATGGAGTAAACTTCCTACCTAAATCCTCCTTTCCCTAATAAAGACATCAAGAGATAGCGCTCGTTCAATAAGACATGGTCCTTGAATCGAGACTGCTCTTCGTATTGAATTCTCTTGTTCTCTTTGACATGCAGATTACGTTCTCGTTCCAACTTATCCTTTTCCATCAGAAGTTCAACTTCTTCTTTTCTGAGGTGTTCCTTTCGAAGACGATAAATCTCCTCTTGCTCGTATATCTCCCGAGAATTCATTTCTTTTGGAGACGGTGGTTTAATGAATCCATCATCGGTGACCATTTTTCCGTTCTCGGTTTCACTCGAGTTTCTTAAAATTAACAGTAGACAAAAAGTATAAAAGTAACTTACTTCTTAGCTTCCTTTGCAGTTTTCTTCTTCTTCAAGGCTAAAAGCGCATTATGAATGTCCTCCTTTTCCTTTTTAACCTTCTCTAACTTCGCAGTAATCTCCTCCATGGCATAACCATCATTCCACTGGTCCCGAAATTGTTCTCCAATCCTAGCAGGCTTAAATTGGCCTATTCTGAGTTGGTTAGCCAAATTTTTTTCTCGAGCCATCTTTCGCTGCGCCTTTGATTTCTCAACCAGCAGAACTCGGATAACTTCCCGATATTCATTCATCTTTTTCCTTTGGATTTCCATTTCTTTGGTTGAACTTTCCAACTCCTCTGAAAGTCGTCGAATTGTGTAGCTATAGTCGTAGCCTGGAATGTCACCTTCAAAGGTAGATGAGGTCTGTGGTTGGACATCTCCAAGATCTGTCGGGGCAGACAACGATAACTTCGGTTTAGGTATCGAAATCTGTAAGAGAACAGTTGAAACCGTGAACACGTAAAAAATGCCTTTTTGTCTGCGTACATTTAAACTCAAGAATTGTGAATGCTTTACCCACCTTTTCAGATTTGAAGTATTCGGATACCTTTTTTTCAACCTTTTTGGATGGAATACATCTTGGCTCTGCCTGTTTTCGCTTTCGGGAACCGGATTTTTGGAGTGTACTAGAATCGGAATTAACCTGCCGTTCATCGAAACGATCCTGAATGGAGGTGGAGCCTGTTACAGAATTGGACGAGTCAGCTGAGATTATATTCTGCGGGGTCAACGGAGGTCGGATTTCCAGATTGTTGCTGGTAAATGGCCCAATTTTTTCTTGGAGATTTTCTTCGGATTCCATTTAAAATCGGATCATTTGTACCTAAAAAAAGAACACATAAAATCTTAACATACCGAGACAAATATCACAAGAAACGTATTACCACCCAAAGAAATTCGCACACCAAAAAAAAATAACAGGTTTCCCTAATAAATTTACCTAAAATTTTTCAAAAACAATAATTTTTTTGTCTTTATTGCTTTCTCTTAATTTTTTAAATCTCTTATTCCTACTGCCCACTGGATTCTTTTACAAAAAAGGGAGTTGAAATCCGAAAAAGAAGGCCTCATCAACAGCATAAATTCACTTTTTTCCCAGAGTTTCGAGGCCCGGGTGAGCGTGTTTGGTTCATTCGCTTTCCCGCTGTCCGCCGCGAGCAATCTGATTAGTTTTTTTGCAGATAGACGCAAGTTATTTTACCTGTATTATTCACACTAAAGCTAAGTTCTTCTTAATAGTCAGAAAAAGAAAACACAGTAAACCATCCGGTTTTATAATGCCTAACCAATGCTCGGTAAATAACGTTTTTTTATGAATACCGTTAATATTAGCCGTAACTAGTTTTACTCCTTATTTCACCCGTTTTGATAAGGGGCGATTTTAGTAAAAATCTACAAAAATGTTCCAAAAAAATTCAATTTGACAACGTGACTGACGCTTTAAGTTGACGACCAGTCGGAAATGAAAGAAAATATTCACACTGAAAAAATAAGCGAAAATAAAAACTTTTGTATTTTTGACGTGTTGCAACAATTGACCGGAAATGCGGTAACTGAAGTCATCCAACAATTGACCGAAATGGGAAATGTACAAAATCATAATTTGGTCCCATCTTGATTTACCTCCAGATTTGTTTAGCCTACCTAATGTTGCCCCGTGTTCTCGCTGGCAAAACGTTTTTCCGTACTTCATTTTTTATAGTCCTACGATACAAGATCTCAACGTTGTTCACATAATCCTAAGGATCTTTTGAACACCAGGGAGGCAAGAATAGGCGCTCTAGATGAAGATGAGACCACCGTCCATTCCTCGATGAATAAGAATATACTGAACCGCGTGTTTTCATAATCAGCATCATCGAAACCCCCTAAATCGATTATTTTTACAGAGTGGCCACAACAACTCATATTTACAGCTTTATTTTATTTCACAGGGACCAATTTGGCATCATACATTTAGTGCAAAATTTGCATGAAAACCGAATTTTCGCCCATTTGGGGTCATTTTTAGAGTAGCAATCAAAGATTGCCACGGCTCCGGCTCCCGAGCCCAAAGTCGGAGCCAGGCTTCTCAGCGTTCAGAAAAGTAAAAATTTCGTGATCTTGTTTAACTGAAAAATACTCGGGAGGACGTGTTGCGTACGACTTACAGGGGAAGTACTCCAAGTGCGACGCTCAGATTTTGATGAAACTTGGCACAAATTTAGAATAATTTTTTCTAAGACATATGCGAGAATCTTAGCCCGCGCTTTGCAGAAACAACCAAGATTTTTCGATCGAAGGTCGGCCAAAATTTAGGACTTTTTGCCGAATTTCGGCACTGAAAGTTTCATGCCTATTTCTACCGTAAGGTATAATGTTTCTACAAAAAATCAAAATTTTCCGCACGAAACTGCCAAAGTTATGGTCAAAAAGCGTTTTTCTCTCTGACCGCTCTCCACGTTTAGCGTGCTCTCTCCGCGGCAAAAATCGTTCGATATCTCGGCGGCGCCGGCAAAGCGCGAGCTATAAAACTTTCAGGAATTGATATTTAATCCCTACCAGACGTGTGTACAAAATTTAAAGGAAATCTGAGCGTCGCACTTGGAGTACTTCCCTGTTAGCTACAAAAACGTTGGCTGTATGATCTCTGGCACTAATAACTTTTATTTTTAGCAATCAATATCAGTAACATTGAGCGTTGTTAATAACATGTCCAGCCAGTTTGAAAGTTGCTGCCCTTGGCGGCGATATATAGCTCCAAACGTGACTTGAAATTTTGGGCGAAGCGCCACATCTTTTTTTGGGAAATCGGTACTGTTCTTGGCGCAGGATTACTTCGCAACTCCAAACCTTTGTGGATTGAAAAATTTCTGAATAATTTATTAAACTGCAATCCAGTAAATTTACTGGTCAAATGATCAGGGTATGATCGGATCCGATGAGTAGGCGGCCATTTCCCACAAGGGATCAAGTAAAAAAATCGGTCCCACCCCTTCCGGCCTTGAGTCGTTTTTGCCTTGTACGCCGATGCCGAGTCATTTTAGAACGTCAAATTTGCATCGCGAAAGTATTTACTACTTGGGACCAATTTACTAATACATTGGAAATACATTCCACAAATACATTTCATGCAAATTTGAGAAATTTGGGAATTGGCTCATTTTGAGGGAAAATAATTTTGTTGAACGGCGGCGAGTCGCTGGCAAAATAGAAGAAGAAATTTCGCCAAATTTGGCAAAGTTTTGACAAATAAATACTTCTTAGTTATCGTATGTGGCTAATTTCACTCGACATTGAAAGGAGGTTGGCTCACCGCTCTCAGAGAGCTTTGCTTCAAAAAAAAGACGCAATAGAGGAGTTATAAACCTGAAAAGCACACTTAAAATTTGCACAAATACAAGAATTAAGTTTATTTGAAGTCATGAACAAAATCCCCTGGGGGTTTGGTGACCTTTTCCACAAATGAGGAAAAATTATCCGAAAAAAGGTATCACAATTCTTTATGAGTGGTTTTCTTCCAGGATTGAGACGAAATTTTCATTATCGTGACCAATAAGGCACATGCTTGTGTTAGAATCTTTTAATTGGAAAAATCCACGGGTTTCTTGAGTCCAATATACAGAAATGTACATGACAGTGATTGCAGCAAGCTTAAAGCTTCGTAAACCCACCTCTCCTCATATTTATAATTGTTATTGTGTCATTTATGGTTTGTTTGGAAGGATGTTCCCTACTTTTTTCAATATTTTGACGACTGATAACAAAAAAGATTTATGCATGTAAAAGTCAAGAACGAGGTTTTACAAATTACCTTGTAAAAAGTGATCACAAACCTAAAGAACTAAAATTTAGACGCGTCATGACCTCGGCGTGGTAAAAAATTACTCCACACGATATGTCTGGTGTAAAAAAAATGCGATTCATTAACTGAAAATATTTGATGACAACAAGGAGTACTTATTGACAAATTTCAAGTGTGCTTTTCAAGCTTATAATTCCTCTTTGTCGACTGTTGTAATTAATTTACAGTAGTAATCTGTGATAAACACGAAATCTATCCTTTATCCCGAGTCGATACGATTTCCTTGGAGCTCCAGAGCAATGTCGAGTGAAATTAGCCACATACGATAACTAACAAGGGAATGGTCCCAACGATCCGTGGGATCCACAAATGAAACCTAGATATTCTGAAAGAGCAGGTAAAATTTAGTAGGAATCCGTTTTTTCTACTTGCCGAATAAGTCTGTGCGACGAGAAATATCGTCGAAAAGATCCGACCAAAAAATCGAAAGAGAGAAAAGACGAACCGAAAGGCCTTGGAAGGCGTCACCAAATAGTCTAGTGGAAAAAGTTCCACGCACAAATCTTTTGGGGGAGGGAGGCTTTGGAAGTTCGAGTCCACCCGGAGCGGATATCTCCGGATTTGAACGTACGTGTTCATTACTGTATTCTACAGTTATACAAAAAAAAATTTTTTTTGTTTAACCTGTTTTACAAGGTTGTTTGCATCCGAAGGCGTGGCAATCACTGGTCATTACCTCTTTTTATGATGCCGCCAGGTCCGAAGTTCCAAAGAAGACAAATTTATGCAAATTTATACCTTCTGGGCAGAATTTGACAAAAATAATTTGGGCATTTGTTAAACACATGTCCACGGCCATTTTAAACCAAAAAACTCAAAATAGATTTTTTCGTAAATATTCACGGGGTCTACTGCACGCTGATGCAAGGACCCAAAAATTCTCTTTTCAACTTTTCTTGCAAAATTTTATGAAAAGGTGAGATTTTGGCAACATCCTTTTTGGGAAACCGAAAAAGATCTGCAAGATCCTACACAACCTTCCAGAATCAGTAGAAGTGTCTTGAAAATACCACTATGTCGACATCGGGCTTATCAAAAATATTGCCGAAGTGTCAGCTTTTCTTAAAATTTTGCAACAAACCTTGCAAAACAGGTAAATAAACAAAAAAATTTTTTTTGTATAAATGTAGAATACAGTAATGAACACGTAGGTTCAAATCCGGAGATATCCGCTCCGGGTGGACTCGAACTTCCAAAGCCTCCCTCCCCCAAAAGATTTGTGCGTGGAACTTTTTCCACTAGACTATTTGGTGACGCCTTCCAAGGCCTTTCGGTTCGTCTTTTCTCTCTTTCGATTTTTTGGTCGGATCTTTTCGACGATATTTCTCGTCGCACAGACTTATTCGGCAAGTAGAAAAAACGGATTCCTACTAAATTTTACCTGCTCTTTCAGAATATCTAGGTTTCATTTGTGGATCCCACGGATCGTTGGGACCATTCCCTTGTAAGAAGTATTTATTTGGCAAAACTTTGCCAAATTTGGCGAAATTTCTTCTTCTATTTTGCCAGCGACTCGCCACCGTTCAACAAAATAATTTTCCCTCAAAATGAGCCAATTCCCAAATTTCTCAAATTTGCATGAAATGTATTTGTGAAATGTATTTCCAATGTATTAGTAAATTGGTCCCAGGCCAACGGAAGCACGGCTAAGTTTTCTTTCTGAGTCAAGTCTAAAATAAGAATGTTTCGAAAGATCACATAATCTCTTTTCTCACATGTTATTGTTATTTATGTGATCATTTAGTTGCACGTGATAATGGCCAATTGTTCGTTTTTCGCGCTGTGAACGTTCTCAGTTCGGGTCAGCCGTGTCCTGACCAGCTGTTTCGAGAGCCCTGTGACAGGTAAGAGGGTTAAGTAGTACAAAGTAGTGCCTTCTGATACGAGGAGTGTCCTTTTACTCCGCCTTGAAATCATTAGTCGGATCTCGGTTTGGCCGTTCCTTAGTCGAGAGCTGACCCTTTAGTCAGAGCCAGCTCTTTTTCGCTCGTGTTCGTTCGTTTTTAACCGCCTGACCTTAGTTTTTGTTGGCAGAGATGCGGATGTTGTACGATCGACCGGAGGGACCACCGCCAGGGAGTCCTACTCTCGGCAACGATGATACCCAGAAGCAGATGCAGCGTCTCCTTGCTGACAAAATCAACTGCTACGCTTCCATCGAGGACCTCAGATTATTGCTTGTTTCGGGCGCCAAGGTAGTTTTGGCAGATTTTCGTCGTTTCCAACGCCTGCTACTATCATTAATGCATTAGTAATGATTTTTTCAGGCTGATGGCGTTGTCACCTTGGGGTTAACACCATTGCATTACGCCTGTCATAAAAATTACTTTGATGCTGCAAAGCTGCTGATTGTAAGAGGAGCCAAAGTAGAGGCTGTGGATGAAGTGGGATATTCAGCTCTCCATTTGTGCGCAGAGAAAGGAAGCTACACATTATTGAAGCTCCTACTTGATGTAGGTTTTAACCGATTTTTAACATATTTAATTACTGATACGAAGAGCACTGTGTGAACTTTCTAAACTTCAATTAAACCGTTTTAGCATATGGCAAATCCTGATAAATATCTGTCATTCGAGCAAAAAGATCAACCATATCCAATCAGAGATGGTGTCGACGAACCACTGAGGCTCGCCATCTATCAACGACATTACGAATGTGCGAAGATCCTGCTCGAAATGGGAGCGGACCCGAACGCCCGGTATTTTGAAGGTCCTCAGATTACTCTACTTGACCCAAAAGACACAAATTATTTTAAATTGTTAGTAAGTCATTACTTCTGCGGCCGGCCCCACAACATCATTTAAGCTCGAATATGGTGCTGATCCAAACGTTAAATCAAGGAAAGGGATTACGCCGTTGATGAAATCATGCGAAGGCGGGGAAACTTCCTTTGAAACCACTAAACTTTTAATCGAAAACAGTGCGGATATTAATGTCCTCAACTCGAAAGCTTCTTATCCAATGAGTGCGTTGCACTATGCCGTTGGAAGTGGTCATGCGCCCACCGTAAAATTTCTTCTTCAGGTAACTTGTATGGTCGTTCTGTGCCTCAACCAATTATTTTAGCATGGAGCAAGACAAAATCTGAAGCCAGATTCCGAATTGAACGGTCAAAGGTTTCCCCCGGTCCTCCACTTTGCCATAATGTCAGGTAACCTGGAGATTGTACAACTTCTCTTGGATTACGGTGCCACTCTCCATACTCCTGATGGCATTTATGGAAATGCTGTCCATTTGGCAGTGTGCTTCAGAATGGATGCCGTCGATACCGTTGAAATGATCGAGCTTTTACTAAAAAACGGGGCCGACGTTAATCGTGGAGTAATCAATCCTCATAATGTCTATATAAGATCGCCGGTGGAGGAATTTTTCCGTCGACTTTATAAGTACGAGATAGAGACGGGACACGGATACAAGAACTGGGTTAGGGTTGTGAAGCTTTTGTTTTCTTATGGAGGCATTTTCCAAATATCCCCAGCTTCGTTGGATGTCAGATCCATGGCCGTTCCTACAGCCAAACCATGGCCAAGTTATGCGGACAACCTTAACCATTATCTAATGAGCATTGCATCGGACGTTAAGGATGTCAGCTCAATAGAACCAGAGAATTCGATGTACATCTCGGCTAAACAAATTCATGATCTCAAAAGGTAAGCCGCTAGGATTGTGTATCAATAGTTATATATTCTAGTCAACCAAGGCGCCTTCTCGAACAATGCAGGACATACATTCGAGCCCGAATTAAGATCAACCCAAACACCGTTAAAGAACTGCCATTGGGGCCATTGATGCGCGATTACATTCTTGGAATTACTGGTTTGCCAGAAGAATGATGTACATAATTGCCATGTAAATACAACAAAACTCTATTTGCCGCAGTTATTTATGTAATAATTATGCCGTGTTACCTTATTATAATTACGGGAATAAACTATGATATAAGTTATTCAGATGGAATTATTTCAGATTGTTGATACAAATATAATTGGGTTATTAGTCAGGCGTAAGCCTTTGTAACATCTCTTCTTCCGGCAATGGCTGCCGTTTCCATCTTGGATTTGCCACAATAAATACAACTGTTGCGACATAACCAATAATGAATAGTCCAAAGAAATTAGACATGGCTTGTTGGCCACAAAACTCGCCTTCCTTTGTCCAGCATCTGATAATTAAAATCTTCGGAAAAACACACTTACGTATGTTTCCATGCTGCTCTCTCGCTGATACCAGCAAGTGCTACAACACCTACAGCAATAAATATCATCAACCCAAACAATTGATGGAATGGGAGCACGAATCGACGAACTTCTGGAGCAAACCCCGGGAAAAAGAAAGTCGCAAACCCAAGAACAAATTGGATACAATAGAAGATGACAGTACTCAATCCAATCCACGAATGGAGAGAATAAAGATTGGGAATCGGCGCAAGATTCCCCTGCGGATCCTTATGATAATCGTGGGAATCCCATACTGCGCGCAAAGAAATCACCGTAAATATAAAGACAAGAATGTGAAGCGTCAAGTGCAGCAACTTCGTGAATCTAGAGCCGATGTTTTCCTTAATAGACCAATTTACTTACCTCTTCCTCTCTTTTCTAAACACTCGATAAACCAGAATAGCCTCGCCATAAAGGAAAACGAGACCCATGGCCATAAAAGTAGGGTGATAATGGAATTGGCGTTCGGGATCGGTTGCCCAAGAGTACCCACCTTCATTATAACCGCCCATCCAAAGGACGACCGTCATCACCACACATACTCCGAGTAGCTGCGATATACCCAATGAATATGTGAACAGTTTGTTACTCTGGCGTTCATCGAGTATATTATACTGATCAAACAAGAACGACATAACTTCAGTACTCATCCATCCCACTAAAATAGGCGGAAGGGAAATGAGGGGAAAGACCGAGAGGGCTTCTCATGCACGTTACGTAAAGCCAAAGGAAATAAAAGCCGCGCTCACCCTGCATATTCCAGAGGCTTGGTCTCTTGAAAAAAGATGCATTTGGCAGGTCTAAAAACCAATTTGAATAACTGAGCCGAATGCAGAAACAAAAATTTACTAGTAATATCCACATATTTGCATTAATTATCACGCACATTCAGCTAATTAGAAAGCAAATAAATCTATCGGTATAAAAATCACTTAATCGGGCCCTTCTTCCACGTAGAATTTTAAAATGAAAGTCAGAAAAGGTTTTATATAGATTAAGTGAACAAGACTGGTAAGTCATCGTCGTTGTCCAAAAGACTTTTTGGGGCTTTCCCATCCTCTGGCGCTTTAATAGCGCGATCATCGGCTTCAGCTCTGTCCTTCTTCTTCTTGGCCTGAATCTTTTTCATTCTAAATTCGGCTATATGAAAACTTAAGATAAACATACCTAAAGAACTCTTCTCTTTCCATTTCATCCAGCTCAGTAACAATATATGTCAAAGTATTTTCGATCTTGGGAATGATTACTAAATTCGAGTTTCAAATCAAATCGTTTATGACATACCATGTTCAATGGCATTGACTCTCCTGTTAGTCGTTTTGATAGCTTCATCAAGAGTGATAAAGCATGTCTGAAGAGTGGCCAACTCCACTAACAATTCCACAGCTCTGCTGTAATTTTTTTTCAGCTTGGTGATATTAGAACCTCCCTTTCCCAAACCGGTAAGATCATAAGCGTCTGGCCCATCCGAATAACTTTCAAACACCGGTAAAAATACACCTGAAGTAACAGAGTAAAGAAGAGAAGACCTCTAAAAATGTTTAAACATAGAAACACATACCAACAACGTTCTCCTTCTTCATTCTAACACGATATTGTGCTTGTGATACGTTCTGGATAACTGTGTGAGAAAAATCGCCAGCAGTGAATTTAGCTTCTGCCAGTGAAAATGATGCTTCTTTCATAACGTCACCCATCAGTACCTTATTCTAAAAATAAATAAAATCAATACAACGCAGTAGGTACCTACTTCAACGATCTTCTTAAGGATCTCTCTGAATCTCATATTCAAGGCATCCGCTTTCTTTTTGAGCAGAGAGTGGCCCTTCTGAGCTCCCTTCAACCGGGTCTTCATTAAACTCTGGGCCCTGAATTTTTAAAATCATTTACCTCATAATATTTACATTACTTACATTCGAGATGGAAAGACGGCAATGCGATCTTTCCCGCCTCCAGACATATTGGCTTACTACAACACAATAATTTGATTTACAGTGCTTATCGTTCAAAACAAACCCGAAATCTCCGATTTCCACTTCTTCGACGGTCCGATTGAAAACCAAAAACCATTTAGCAATCCTGGTTTTCGTGGCAGGACCTTCATTGGAGGTCCTTGCCGTTGCAACAACGGCCGTTGGGAGTCAGAACTCTAACGTTAGACGGCGCGGTGATTCTCCGTAAACCAAACATCTAACTTTGGTGAATTCCGAACGACGTGAATAAATTCAGTCAGAATTTTGGATAATACAAGTTTTGCACAACATTTTGCCAATGACAAAAACGTAAAACAGTTTATCTTAATTAACGTAATCACATAAAAAATAAGGAAATAAGAATTGATCTGAATCCTACTTTACCCGAAGTTGTTTCATCTTTGGTAGCTTGAGCTTGTTGTTCTTCTTGTCTTCCAGTTTCTGCAGTTTTCGTTGTTTATCAGGATCTTCTTCTTGGAGCAACTTTTCTTTTCTTTCTCGGCTTCTTTCCTCTCTTCTAGCCTGAGCTGCCTCCTGGCGTTGTTGATGGGTATTCTTCAGGTATGCCTCCTCCACCGATCTCCTTTTCTTGTCTGCCTTGAGCTTTCCCTCTCTGCTAAGTCTGTACTTCCTGATCTTGTCGATCATAATAAACGTGAATTGAAGGACAATCCGTTCGGTTTCCTCGTCTGCCGACTCATCCAGGAAATAACTGAACGTTAAAGTAGGCGAATTCTCGGGGAACCGTGCCACAGAATCGCTAAAAATTAAAACCGCTAAAGTATACCAACAGATATAGATGACACACAATATTAACAGTAAAAGAACTTACTCAGGACCCTTTGGTCCAACATATTGGTCAGAAAAATGAAAGTAATCTACCAAATGTTCATAGCGCTTAAAGAATTGCTGAACAGTATTGTCTAAAAGAGCAGGGATAGTTTCGGAAACTTCAGCATAAACAAGGAAGTTGTTTGGCAATGGTATCTGGGGCTTCCTTTCAACCGCAAATGTAGACTATAAATAATTGATATGAACCCGTCCCAAGACTTACAAGGTCTGGATATTCTTTCACAAGTCTGATGATCGACTTCTTCAGTCCGAGTACCATTACAAAAGTATCCATTTCCTGAGGGTCAAGATCAATTCTATGAACAATTCTGTCAGCTCGGGGACTGAAACAATTGAGCACCAGGCCAACCAAGTCCTGTCTTTTGACAAGTTTGAGTTGACTCAGCATTCCTTTTACTCCAGCTCGACCAGAACACCATAGAGAGTAGCTGTATTCGGTATCTTTAATTAGACTTCCTCCAATTGGTTCCTGTGAAGTTCCATCGTCTCCGACTAATGAGAACTGTTGTCTGAGGGTAATAGCACTATCGGCGTACCATTTGTTCGCCAAAGCCTGATTCTTGGACTTCCCTAATAGGAAATTTACGGCATAGATAAAAACAATTACAAGGGCAACAGCTTCGACCTGGTATGAGGACCAATTTGAACGAAAATGAGATGGAATCTAAAACAATAAATAATTTACAAATGGTCTTACATCAGCAAAAGTTAAAGGGCTAATTTTCTTTTCAGGATGAGGTGCATTAAAGTCGCCTTGCTGTACTTCTTCGGTGGGGGCCTCAAATTCTTCATCCAGCGACACAAATTCTTCTTCCTCAAATACTTCCTAAATCATAAAATCAGTGTAATTATATAAAAACGACGTAAAATATATTAAAACATACTTGTTGAGGCTTTTTTACATCAACGTCTTCGTTATTTGGCCCACTCTCAATTACAACCGGAGCGTCAAAACTTTCGGCATTGTCAAATTCGGAGAAATCGTCCACGGGATCATCTGCTTTAACATAACACAACAGAAGCAGAACCAATGTCCACGTCTGCATGGTGGCCGACTACAAGTGCTAACGGACACTTTCTCGATGGCCTTCCCAAAGAATGGTCAGTTTTTGTGACACTTCGTTAAGCCCAAAAATCAATAGTGAGAGCTTTTTTTTTAGGAAATTTACGAATCTTTTTTGTTGTTCGTTGTATTATAATACAACAAAGTGGTATTGTAAGAAGTGAAAACAGAAAATAAAGAATGAGCAACGTTGAGTCAAACGGGACTTCCAACTCAGTAGGTATTTGATGGCTGTCATTGATTTAATCTTCAGGAAAAGTTGAAAATCGCTGCTAGAGGACTCGAAAACGCCATCGATGGAGGGAAAATTGATTATGAAGCTTGCCGGGAAGTTGTGGAAGCCTTGAAGAACTGTTCAGGTAGTTGTAAAGTTACAATTCAGCTTGTTATGGTTTTAGATGTGCCTGAGCCAATTTTGAAAGGATTGGCGTTTGTCGTCGCTTCCAACGTTGTTAACTGCAAGACCATTGTAAATGATTCCGCAAGCCGTATACTGTTTGCTTTATTGAAGAAGGATTTTGTTAAAGGATTGGAATTTTTCCTTAAAAGTTATTCCAAGGTTCAGCCTTCAATACCAGTAGACAAAACGTGAGTTGTAAAAATGCAGAGCTGACTGTTTGCATGTTAGATGCGTTTATGGCAAGAAGGATTACATTGTAGTTCGTTGGATTATCAGAGCTTTACTGGAAGCTCCAAAGAGTGTTCAATTGGCTGACGATATTTTGTTTTTAGCGGTAGGGTCAGCAAAATTTTGTACTTTCTTAGTTTGTTACCGTTTCAACTATAACCTACCGGCTTCCGCAAACGTTGCATAAGAAGGTTTTTGTTTCAGTCCGAAAGTGCTTGGATAAAGTAAGTTGGCTTAATTATTAAAGACTTGTATTTTAGTATCCCGTTGGGCATATTCTAACCCTTTTGGAATCAAAACTTTCCTCAGAAACCGATAATTGGAAGATTTTTACTGCATCCTGTCTTCTTGTTTCGGCTTCCACAGCATCGGACAGAATTCAAACGGAAGAAGTCAGGAAAGTTGCAAAGTTTTGGTTGAAGTCGTTTTCTGCCGTGTTCTTGCAAGCTAAGGTATATCCAGGAGACGACCTTTACCTGTTCGGTGATGGATATGAATCATTTTCTATTCTCAATTACTCGGAGTACGGCCCTGATCTGCAAGGGTCGCTGCGAAGGTTGTTCTTGAGAACCAGTGAAGTCGCGGTTCCTTTGTTGAAGATAATTTTGTCTAATACTTTCCCTGTGAATCAAGAGTTTTCATCATTTGTTGGTGAATTGTTAACAGGTAAATTGGAGCAATATTTACTTATCCAATTTAGATGTTGCTTCTTCAATCAACGATAAAATGCACGATGACACTGCATTTGTCATGTCTAAGGTTTGGATTCACATGGATCCAAAAATACGAACCCAAGCCTTCGAGAAATTCTTTGGTATGGAAATTTTTATAGAGTTATGGTTTTAGGAAAACAGAGTAAAGCCAAAGGAAGGCTGGAATACATGATTGCCATCAAAGAAGAACTGAATTTAAAACTGGAGAAAAATAAGAACGCGGAGGAATTTGTGAAATATTTGGGCGAGTACTTGGAGAAAGAGATCCCGACATGCAGTACGTAATTACTTTTCCGTATTATTCTTTTAGAGGCAGATAACGTTGTTCAAGTATACATGCAAGTGTTGCAAGCATGTGTGGGCTATAGTGATGATTTGAGAGAGAAGGCAGTTACCATTTCGACCAAACTTGTAAAAAGCCCGCTGCCAAATGGACAGTCTGCTGCTCTCGGGGCTGCTGTACTTACCGATGTGGGAGTATCTGATGATGTTATTTTTCCGATTATTACCGATGCTGTTGGAAAAACTTTTACTTCTCCTGCCGTTTCTGCCGATTTTGTGTTCAATATTTCGTTGCTATTGTTTTCCAAGTTTGAAAATGACAAAAAATATGAAGATTTGTTTATCAAGGTATTGGAACATGATGTTTACGCAAAGGAAAGATTTTTGCATCATCTCAGTGAATTCAGTAAGTTGGCTGGATTATTGGATATTTGGTTTAGACTTGTGTAAGGGGAACATGTTTGCTGAGCAATTCTTTCGATGCATTACCAAATTGACTTCTGTTAAGCTGCCAGAGCGATCTCCCCTGCTAAGCTTTGTCTACATTTTGTTACACTGGAAAGACCGTTCCTGTCGACGCACCGATAAAACTCAGTTGTTGTCCGAAGTTCCATTGAAGAAACTATCATGGGCATTGGAGTTACTAACGGCGCGTCTAAATGATTTTTCTTTGCTTGAGGTACGTCTATATCCCCTGAACTTAATCCACGGCTGCTGTAGACAACTACCAAAATTTTTGATGTTTATTTCCCGAATAACAATTGGAATATGTCGGATGTGTTTATCAACAGTGCGTTCTACAACTTCTTCGCTTCTGTGGAATCATATTTGAAACGAGAGACAAACGACGAAATTAAAACCGAATTGGTTTATCAACTGGTTTTGTATCTGAACAATAACTCTCATCGGAATGAAAAGGTTGTAACAGCATTGGCAGGTCATGCGGCCAGGGATGGAGAACTGAAAAATGTGTTGTTTGGATCATTGGGTTCCAAGTTAGATTTGCTTCTACAGTATCCCGACTTGAAATGTCGTCAGAGAGCAGTTGAATGGCTGGTTGGAATCGAGTCAGAAAACTCGCTCTTCAGGGACTTTGTTTGGACTTCTTGCATTGAATTCTGCAAGAAATTAGACATCAAGAAGCTGAATGAGGTTACCGAAATGGAAGCGGCAATCTTCTTCACTGCCGAAGGCACTCTCCATAATACACGAGTCATTGATGAGTAAGTTTATGTCGGGGTAAGTAATCTTATGACTTTAGAAATTCTGACGCCGGGTTGGATACAAGGCAGAACTTGAGGAAGGAAAACAAGGCTTATAAGTTTAAGGATCAGCTGGCTGAGATTGAGTTAAGAAAAGAATTAGCCGAAAGGAATAAAAAAGAAGGGAAGTTGAATGACCGACAGAAACAAGCAATTCAGAAGGAGCTTCTTAAAGAAACGGTACGAATTGTGTGAAACTATTTTTTGTGTGATGTAAAAATTATTTATGGGTTGCATTTTTAGACCTTGCGAAAGGAGTTGATTCCGTTTTTCGAGGGATTTAGGGATCTGGCTGATCTTCTTCAATCTGCCGTCAGAGCCGACCCAAATGGGGCTCTGAAGAATTATTACTTGTATCACGATGCTCTGGTGCCTGTTTTAAAATCTTATTTGGTGAAGGACTTGGCATTTGAGTGCCTCACTACATATGCGAATGTTTTCTTTGGTCACACTACAGACTTTTTGAGTAAGGGAATTCTAAGTAAGACAGTGATAATATATTTTTAGAGGAAAGAGCACTGTCTGCCGTACTTAGAGCTACGAATTCTGTAACATCAATCAAGGAATGGGAATGGGAGTCTTTACTAGATCAGATCTCGCAGATGACCAGTTCGATGAGCATGCTGTGCATGATGAACAACTTCTTGGAGGATGAGAATGCAATTGATGCTTTGGAACAACTTCAGGAGGAAGAAAACAATGAAGAGTTCTTCAATGAAGGACTGACTTTAGGGAAATTGGCCTTTGTTCTCCCCGTTTTTGAACGTGTCTACAAAGATGAGAAAATAGATGATCGGCTACGAAGAGAGGTGACAGGATTCCTGAAGTCCGCTTTTTCTATCGATTTCTTGACGGTAAGAAAACAGGGAAATTCATACAAAATATTATATTTCCAGGCTGATGAACGGTCTTGGGCCCCGTTAAATATCTTGAACAAGCTTTTGCTGGATGTATTGACGGATGTGAAAACCCGCGATTACTTCCCGGACGTCTTCAATCTGTTAAAGGATGCTTTGAAAGAACTGGACGAGAACAGTAAAGACTCTGCTGAGACGGCAAAGTTTGTGTCAGCTCTTATTGGACATCTGAGGAACACAAATGAATATGTGCGTGAGCATGTGGCACTCTTGCTGGTGGTTGGGCAGAACATCTTGATGCTCAATTTCATTAAGAAAGACGATTTTCCACAGATTGTTCCTTTGTTGATTGCCTCAAAGGAAACGCACCCGGCCACTTCAGAGGTCATGCAGTTTTTATGTCAAGGGCTGGAAATCAAAACCGAGCAGAAAGTAAGATTTTTAATGAGTTGTTTAATTGATGTTATTACAGTACCACGATTGTCTGATGGAAGAATTGAAGTATCCTCATGATTTTTGGCAACAAGGAGCTGCGGAATGTCTGAAAGGATTGTTTTCCTCTGATACCATAAAGAAGTGCCATACTTTATATGATGAGCTGTTGAAGGTATGACCAAAGTTTCTTCCATTATTGTTTAGATTGTTCCCGCTGTGCACGATAACGTCGGACGAGTGATTTATCCTGAAAGAGATCCTTGGGAAAGTCGAAGAGGATTGGCTTGTCTACTCAAGCATGTTGCTGATGATGAATGTTATGACACAAAGCTGTTTGACGAGTTTTTTACTTTTCTGGTGCCTAAGGGTATATCCGACCCGAATGAAATCGTTCGAAAAATGATGTATGAATCTGCGGCCGCTATAATTTCGCATGTAAGTTTCGTCAGCTTAATGTAAGGGAAATTTGTTTAGAATGGGGCCAACAAGGTAGATTTTGTTTTGCCATTACTGGAGAGGTTGCTGACGGGTGTGCCGGATACACAGGAAGGAGACATTTTGAGGAACGGATTGATCTGTTTGATGGGAACTCTGGCCAGATATTTGGAACCATGTTCACCGAAGATGAAAGCCATCTTTAGAAAATTAATTGAAGCATTGGCCACTCCGTCCAGACAGGTTCAAGAGTCGGTTGCTCTGTGTTTACCACCATTAGCAAAGCCGATGGGGGATGAAGCTGTCGAGGAGTTATCGAAGATGATGAGACACTTGCCGCAAACCAAAAACTTTGCCGAACGTTGCGGATTCGCTTATGGGATTGCTGGGCTAACCCGTGGTCGGGGTTTGGTTACCCTGAGAGACATAAAGTTCATCGAGTATATCTCAGAAATGTTCGAAGCAAAGGAGTCCAATATCCGAGAGTCAGCCTGCATTTTATTTATGACGATGAGTTTGTAAGTTTTTTAAATAGATTTAAAAATATTTGTAGTGTTCACGGGAAGGCGTTTGATCCATACATCTCAAAGATCCTGAAGTATTTGATCAGTGCTTTCGGCGACTCCTCCGAGTCCGTTCGGTTGGCCGCAAAAGAAGCTGGTGGCATGATGATGTCAACTGTCACCCCCGCTGGCGTCAAGATTTTCTTGCCGCAGATTCTTGCTGGTTTAGAAGAAGAAGCATGGAGAACAAAGTGTGCTAGTGCTGACTTCTTGGGAAGTATTTCAAACTGTGCCCCTCGTCAGTTGTCAGAATCTCTGCCGAAGGTCGTCCCGAGGTTGGCCACTTTGATGACTGACTCACACGCCAAAGTCCGTGCTTCTGGTGTCTTTGCTTTGAAGCAGATTGCTACGGTTATTACGAATCCCGAGATTTTGGCTATAAGTTCGCATATGATTGCCGCTTTTGTGGAACCCGCCAAGGAAACTACTCGGGCACTTCAGACAATTGTCAACACCAAATTCGTTCATTTCATTGATCCACCATCACTGGCATTAATGATGCCTATATTGAAACGTGCTTTGTTAGACAGGGAACCTGAAGGACGGAAGATGGCTGCCAACGTTGTTACCAATGTTTTTTCAATTGCCGATGAAAAGGTAGGCGAACTTCCTAACGAAGGATTTTGATTTGGTGACTTTTTTTTAGGATATAGCACCATACATGGAAATGCTGATACCAAATCTGAAACATTCGCTGCTTGACCCGTCTCCGGAAGTCAGAAGTGCTGCCGCACAGGCCATTGGGGCAGTGGTTAGGCACAACACCACTGGCCTTTTCACCAGTTACACTACTGATCTTTTGCCATGGTTGAAGGAGCACATGATGTCTCGTTCTTCTATGGTCGATCGTTTGGGTGCTGCTCAAGGTCTTGCTGAAGTTATTCCTGCATTTAAGAACGGTGTCGAAACTATCATGGACCATGCTATTACTTTCACCGAAGACGTGAACAATGAGGCCTCGATGAGAGATGGTTACATTCGCCTGTTCACTTATCTCCCTTCAACGATGGGCGAGAAGTTTGTGCCATATATTGAGAGAGTTATTCCGTCTATTCTGTCGGCGTTGTCCGACGAAACCGAATATCTTCGACAGTCTGCTCTTCATGCAGGACAGATTCTAATCAAAACATATTGTTCCCAGGCCAAGCAATTGTTATTACCTTCTCTTTTGGAGGGTGTCTTGAACGAGAATTGGAGAATCAGACACGCAGCGGTCACTCTCATTGGTGACTTCTTGTTTAATATCTCTGGAATCAGCAGCAAGATGACGTCTGATACAGCTACTGAGGATGATACGTTTGGAATGGAATCGGTTAACAAAACAATTGTAAAATACGTCGGACAGAAGTCGAGGGATAAGATTATCGTCTCTCTTTATATTGCTCGTTTTGATTGTGCTGTCCAAGTACGACAGGCGGCTTCTCATGTATGGAAACTGGTGGTTCCAAACACTCCAAGAACTGTCAAAGAAAGCTTGTCTTCGCTCTACGATCTCATTGTCTACTGTTTGGGAACCTCAACTGAGGATAGACGAATTGTAAGTCTTTCGTTTTTTTTACATCTGATTTTAGATGGGTCTGGAATGTCTCTCTGAAGTTGTTCGTAAGATGGGCGATCGTATCATGGAGATTCTCATGGGCGAAGTTCGAAAGAGCTTTGAATCCACCGACGAAGTCAACAGAAAAGGAGCAGCCGAAGCGCTCACGATCATTCTAAATTGCGCTAACTCTGAAGCCATTGAAGAGCACAGTAAGACCTTTATTAATATCTTCAGGATCTGCTTGCTGGATGCTGATGGCGATGTGAGACAGTCTGGCGCGGATGCATTTGCGGCCTATTACAATGTAGGTGGTCTCGACGAGTACAGTTTATTTGAAAAATTTTTAGAAGGCTGGAATAACGGCTATGGAAGAAATCGTGGAACCTCTGTTTAAGGAGTATGCTGCCAACCAATCTGAAGGAGTATTAGATGGAATCGTAGCCATTTTATCCGCTAATAGGAAGGGTCGTGTTTTGACTGTTCCATCCTTAATCAACAGGCTTCTGAACTTCCCTCGAAGGGCTCATGTGTTGGCTAGACTAACTGAAGTGGCCGCAGATACTATTGAAAGAAGTTTGATTGAGGTTTTAACTAAATTGCTGAAGGAACCTGACGATGAGAATCCTACTGTTTTCTTCAATGATTGTGCTAAACTGGTCAAGTGTGCCCGAAGTGTCTTCTCAATCACAGCCATTTCCAAGTTCCTCACGCAACACGCATCTGAAGGAAACGAATTGGCCGCAAAACTTTTGGGAGAATTGATCAAGAACACGGATGTCGATTATTTGGACGAGGTGCTGACTGTCTTTGTGGAAGGTATTATGACTCTCTACGTCTCACCTAACAAGGCCATCAACGTGGTTGGAGCAGCTACACTAACTAGTCTTGTTAATACTTTGGAACCGCGAGATGTCCTGGAGATTCCAAATGACTTGACTATTTTCTTAAATGCCGCTCAAAAGGAAGGAAAACCCTTAGAATTTCATGGATTGTCACAACCAGGAGGATGGAAGCCTTTCATTGACATTATTGGAATTGCATCACGGGCAGGTTCTCTCGAACAGAGAGACAAAGCAGTCCGCGTTGTAGCTGATTTTATGGAGGTTGCTTCCGCCGAAGCATTGAGACCAGTGGCGCCATTGGCTGTGGGAACTCTTCTCAGACTGCTTGCTGATCATTGTCCTCCAGTGTTGAAACTGAATTCGATTAGGATGGTCGAAATTTTGGTGGAGAAAGTAAGTTGCTTGCACTTTCTTTTAACAAGGAAAGTACTTCTAAAATTTTCAGAATATGTAAAAATTAGCTGCTCAATTTTGGTTTGTTACATGTGCGTGGTGTTGCGATAAAAGTCCTGAGGGTTTTTTCGCCCTTACAAACCTAAATTGGGAAGCTAATTTCTACATTTTCTAAATCAGAAAAATTTTGCGACTTTTTGGATATATGTCTCGACCTGCAGCTCCATACCCCATAGAAGAAATTTCCTTGTAAATATATTTTGTAGGTTTCTCAATTAATGCGCAACTTCGGACCTCAGCTTCTTGGATTTTTGCTGCGAATCATTCAGGAGACGGTAGAAGAATCATCAAATGAGATCGAACATCTTCGAAGTGTTACTGCAGGTGCAATTGCCAAAATATTGAAGAATCATCCAAGACAAGAAGTGGCGCTGATTGACACCTTCACGACTATGACCAATGTTGATTCGAACATCCAGTAGGTTATGAATAAGAGTTCAGTTTATTTTCCTTTAGGCCATGTATTCTTGAAGCCATAACTCAAGCTGTTTCATCAACTGGACCTTCTGTGAGTGATGCTGTGGTGCGCCTGATTGATGAATATGTCGCTGAATACCTAAGAAAAGGGGATGACAACGAGAACATCGACCCCGTTTTTATTAAGAACCTAGCCGGTTTATACGCAGCTGTGAAAAAGGTCAAGTCCGAAGAATCCGATATCCTGAATGGAACGGGAGGGTCTGATGTGGAAGGCCAATTCTGGAGCGATGCGAGAAAATATTTAAAGGGTTAATTGTTATGTTTTTATTAATTATTATAAATTTGTTGATCCGGTTTTTAAAGCATAATCGCCTTACGTATAGTTTTTATCTAACCATACTACGCTTCAATCTTTCCCTGCGATCACGGTGTGTTCTTTTTGAAAATCGGAGCTAGATGTTGAAGATAATTTACTACAATTCTTTCAAACGGCTCTTATCCACACTTGCGCCTTCGATTGGTCTCGAAATCCATGTGCAATTAAAGGCCAATTCCAAATTGTTTTCTGATGCCCCTGTTACTGATGGTGTGGCCTGCGGTAGTAATCAAACTGTGGCGTTGTTCGATTTAGGCACTCCTGGTACACTTCCCACAGTGAATGAAAACAGTGTAAAGGTCTGTGATTTTGCGCAACTTTATTTAACCGTTGTATGGCGAAGCCCGACAACTTGAATTAAATTTTAATTTCAGTTAGCTCTCAAAGCTTCAATGCTATTGAATTCGAGTGTATCTCATGAATGCAGATTTGACAGGAAGCACTATTTTTACCCAGACATGCCTATGGGATATCAGATCACTCAGAATGAGCTTCCTATTGCCAAAAGTGGCCATTTCGATTATTATGTAAGGCAATCGCGAAACAAAATGAAGCGGGCCACAATAAAGCAGGTCCAGCTAGAGATGGACAGTGGAAAACTGATTCACAATCAAGGATATGACTTAATAGATCTGAACCGAGCTGGTATTGGACTTATTGAAATTGTGACCGAGCCATGCTTTGAAGGTCCGATTGATGCCTCAGCTTTTGTCGAGAATCTCCGATGGGTATTGGCTGTAAACGACATTTCGGACTGCCAGATGCATCGTAAGTCTATAACACGTCATTAAAAAGACCAGGTGGACAACTCAGAGTTGATGCAAATGTTTCCGTCGCCCCTCCGGGATCTAAGGGAAATGTCGTCGAAATAAAGAATATAAACAGTTTTGTGGATATCGAAAAAACCTTAAAATACGAAATTAGACGACAAGTAGATGTCATAAACAACGGCGGGACTATTGAAACAGAAACAAGAGGCATTGTCGATGGGTAGGAGATCATCCTTACTTTTAACCCTTTGGATACAAATATGGACAACCGGCAACAAATGGTTACATAATGACCACTAATACCACTCTTTCCGCTCGGTAAATTCTTAGCTTCGGGCAAAATATCCTTTTGTCTCCAAAAAAATGTCCTTGCTAAACTGAGGTAGTTCGCTACATTTCAAGAGTCTTTACCAGATATTGCCACGGCTCCGGAGCCGGCTCTTGGCTCCGGCTCCGAGCAAAATCTGTAAATCACCTCCCATGTGTGTAATCATGTATAACCGGTTGACCCCATTCGTATCTAACAATAAAGGGTTAACAACCTGATTTAGGAAAACAGTGTCATCGAGAGAAAAGGGAGAAGGCCATGATTATCGCTTTCTTCCAGAACCTAACATTCCCCGAATAAAGATCGAAAAGGAGTGGTTGACACAGCTGAGAGAAGAACTCCGCCCGGCATCTTATGTTCATTACATCGAGAAGCTTGGATTCACTGTTGATTATACATTCGACTTACTTTACGATGACAATTTACGGAGATTTGTGGACGCCGTTTTGTTGAATATCCATTCAGAACATTCAAAGTTTGAGCCATTGTTACACGAGTTCCCAAAAATACTGGTAGAATGTGGGGGAACATTTCCACCGCCAGAAGGTAACTTTCCATGGGCCCATCAATGAATTTTCAGCAATGATATCCACCTATACGACACTCATCAAATATCTTATTGAGGCAAAAATCACCCGACTCACTTTCATCGATTTGGTGAAGTTTTACTTAACAGGAGACACGACTGCTGTGGATAAGGTAATCGAAGTGTTTCACGCATTATCCTCGCATATTTTTTGGCATTCACTGAATTCTTGATTTTTTGCCAAGTTTTCGATTTCGGAATTGCGTGCCTGGGGTTAGGGTTCGGAAAATTGGGGTATATTCACAGGGTATATTCCCGGGTGTGTTGCGAAATCTCGGGTATATTCGGGTATTCATACAATTAGCCCAATATAGTACCAATACATATGAAGTCGTTTGCAACTTATTCATTAACTTAATCACGTTTGGGCTGATATTTTTGATTTTCCCAACTACAACGAACAAAACAAGTACTTTAACAATGAAAAAGTTTAACAATCCAATATTTCGCAGTCAGATCTGGATTTTTTTCCCTTTCATCTTCCGACTCCGGCAACTGGATGACTAGTTTTCGACCTCAAAACCAAGTTTTGAACGAAAAAAAGCAAATTATGACAAAATGTCAACATTCATTGATTTTTTATGACCAAAATTCCACTTTTTTTACATTTTTTAATTGTAAAACTTTGAAAATTCCCATAAATACCCGAAAATATCCGTACTTTGTATGTTGGACATACAGTACACCGAACTTTTTTTGTGATGCTGACGTCCGATTTTTATAGATTCCACCGTCGTATGGCACACACGACTCTAAACCGTGGTAATCGTTACAAAAAATTTAAGAAATCACTGATCTTGCTGTTACAGTAACCACTTATCTGCGCACGACATGTTACAGTATGCTTAGGTCTAAATATTTTGAATTTCTTAGTGAAAATAGTTTGTGAGGGTCGTACAACATAGATAAAACATTAAATTTTGTTTTTAAAATAATCTGCGTAAAGTTTAGCCGAGAATAAATCGAGGTGTACTGTATGTCCAACATTAAAAGTGCCATAATTCCAAAACCACCCCTTTTATTTTCTTAAATTTTTGATATGTTGTTACACATATGTCAAGGTGTTTTTGAAAGGTTTCAAAAGTTGAGACAAGTTGAATGCCGGAAAGTTATATTGAACATGGTATCTTGACATTTCTCAAACCGGTCGAAGGCTAAATCCTAGAACAAAACTGTCAATTACAAAAATTTTTCCCATAAAAATCGAAAACGTATACTGGCAAGGTTTTCGGTTGTCCTACTCCAATTTTAGAAAAAATGAAATTTTTATATACCTTACCGGCAACATTAAAAGTACCATAACTCCAAATCCCCCCCCCTTTTATTTTTCTGAATTTTTGATATGTTGTTCCATACATATCAACGTATTTTTCAGAGGTTTCAAAAGTTGAGACAAATAGAATGCCGAAAAGTTATATTACACATGGTACCTTGGTAATTTTCGAAGTAGGCGAAAACTACATCCTACAGAAAAAGTGTCAATTACAAAAATTTTCGCCATGGTCGAAAACGTATTTTGGCAATGTTTCCGGGTCTTCTACACCGATTTTGAAAAAAATGATTTTTCGAAATACCGTATCGGCAAGATTCAAAGTACCATAACTCCAACCCCCCCCCCCCTTTTTTATTTTCGCGCATTTTTGATATGTTGTTACATACATGTCAAAGTGTTTTTAAGAGGTTTCAAAAGTTGAGACAAGTTCTCTGCAAAAAAGTTACATTCAATATGGTACCTTACAAGGGAAGTCGTTCAGATCGCAAATGAGTTGAGCTATGGGACCGGTATATTCTGATTCTCCATATTCGAAAACGGTAAGAGCTAAAACAGTTTTTCCGTCTGGGCCCTAGTTTTCGAGAAAATCGACCGTAAAGTTTGATCGGAAACTCTGCTAAATAGTCCTCGCTCCGAAAGGCCTTTGAAACAAGAGCCAAATGGCGGAGGGCGAGTGAAAACGCTCTCAAAATTCTTTTGTCCGGGATGCCGGGGAAGGTTCGAGTCTCGCTAGGACCAAACCCTAATTCACAAAGCAAAAAAAATATTTTTCCTTTTGCGTACTTTGGAGAAAATATTGAAATGCATGTCAAATAGGCATATTTCTGCGTTGAACTCAAAAATGAAGTGTTTATTCCTAAAAAACTATTTGATCTGAAATTATTGGGGTACACTTCACCACAAAAAACTAAAAAAATTTTATTTTTTATCATTTTCAATATCAGAGCTCTTTGAACATGCCTTTCCCGGTATCACGGACAAAAGAATTTTGAGAGCGTTTTCACTCGCCCTCCGCCATTTGGCTCTTGATCCAAAAGTCTTTTGGAGCGAGGACTATTTAGCGGGGTCTCCAGTCAAACTTTACGGTCGATTTTCTCGAAAACCAGGGCCCATACGGAAAATTTGTTTTAACTCTTACCGTTCTCGAATATGGAGAATCAGAATATACCGGTCCCATAGCTCAACTCATTTGCGATCTGAACGACTTCCCTTGTTAGTATTTTTCAAAGTAGTCGAAGGCAACATCCTACGGCAAAGTTGTCAATTATGAAAATGTTCCCCATGGTCAAAAACGTAGAACAGGAAGGTTTTGTGCTTTTACTCCTCCGGGTTTTTACACACGAACCCAATCTTTGTGAAAATTGTACCTACAGTAACCCCCGTATACGGTAATTTCCGAAACTAAAAATTCGTGCTGACGTTCACCTATCATAGTACAACAACTATGCAAAATATCAAAAGATCCTGAGTTGGTCGTTTTTTTGAAATGTCCGGCCCTTGTTATGAGAAACTTCAATCTGTAAAAAACTCTCTTTTAAGAACAAAGCAACAATCAAAAAATGAACAAAATTTTCGAGATTAATAACAATAAATCCATTTCATGGTTCAGGTGGTATTGCTAAGCCTCATGTTTTGTTTTTTCCCGGTTCCGAAAGTGTCACTTTCCGGAATTGTCCAAATTCCGGAAATGTTTTGACGCGTATTTTTCGTGACCCCAAAACAAAACTTTTGTCACAAAATGTTATATAAGAGTAAATTTATTTTAGAAAATTGCCGATGACAATTTATGGAGAATCACAGATCCAGAATTGGTAGGCAGACTAATATCTGATGCTCTGCAGAAAACAAACCCGGATTCTGTTCGGAAAGCCAAGGCTGGGAAGTTGAAACATTTCAATCGAATTCGTAATCGGATAATTGTGGATTCTCAAAGACGCATTGGAATCGACCAGATTGAGATGGCGTTGAAAGAAAGATTAGGTGAATTATAAAAAAATAAAGTGAGATCATCTTCAGTTCATTCTGTGTGCGTATCTTCGGAGCTGAATACTGCGGTTTACAATTCGCTCAATGAATTGTTGTTTTAATTGGGAAAATCCTCCAGGTTTGCTCAGAAGGCTCAAATCCATTCCTTTCGTTAGATCTTCCAGGTCTGGAAGGTCTTTTATCATCATCAATTCATTCAGTTCGCTTGGGGACAACGACGACGTTACCTCTGGGAGGTGGTTGTGTGATTTCACAGGGGGTTCCTTTGTCCGTGGTTTATCGAAAACATAAAGTGGCGCTTCTGTGGTCTCGGGTGGAGTAGAAGTCACCGGACGAATTAACAGTTTATCCCCGTTTTCGCCGGTTCTAAACAATTTCCGATGGATTGATTCTAATTGCTCAACTTCGGCGATTGTCAAATTTGAGATATCAAACCTAGGCCGCAAACGTCTACTTCCACTGGAAGATGTTTCTAGTTCCTCAAAATACGTCTGAGTTGTCGGCGCTTCGTATGCTTTGGCTTCTGTGGTCGGAAAGGAGTCAATCCCGTAAATGTTGAGACGACTCATCCTTTGTTCGACAGGATGCTGTCTTGGGTGATTATTAACGGGGATGATAGGAGCGGGCATGTTTGGAATTTGGTCTCGGCGTCCTATCAGACTAACCGGAGTCTCCGATTCCATAGCTGGAGCTTGAACAAAAGAAGGCGCTTGGGCGTTGTATCCATTGTTTTCATCCAAAGCCCGGGATCGGAGCCTTGACTCCACAGGAGAGTATCTGACGTCAGATGATGATGCAAACAGAGGAGTTGGTTGAGGCGAGAAAGAAGAAGAACCTGCAAACGATTTGACAACTGCAGGGATGATGGAGAGCTGTTTGAGGATATTCAACATTGCCGGAAGATTCTTAAAATCCACGGTCATGTCGACGTCTTTTTTCTTTTCCGTCGTGTTTTCTGAAGCCTCGGTGGTAGGCAAAGAAGTCGACGTTTCCACGGTCGTGGTTGTTGGGATCTCAGTTGTGGTTGTTGACGATGTAGTTTCCACATGAAGACTTGTTGTTTTGATCGTCTCCTCGGCGGATTCGGCCTCTGGTACTTCGGACTGCTCTCCCCGGGTATCCACTATCAACATCAATCCTCCGTCTTGGTTCAGATTTCTCATCTGCTTCCATTCCCTCCAGTCTATTAATTGTATTGATGGAGTCGTCGCTGAAAACACTTGATGAGCACGCTCTTAACTGATAAAATCCTTTCCTTCGGACACTTACTGGATGGTTTCTCGTTCAATTTTATTTTCCATTTGGCACTCGATACGATACTAAAACTCATAGTAGCCAAAAGCAAATAGAGCCACGTTTTCTTTCGACACGGCGATATTATAGGAGGAGCGGAAACAAAGCCCTCCGGCATTCTAAGTTCGCCAGAATTATAAGATTTAATATTTTATCGAGGTCAGGGGAGAAATCGGAGAGCAATTAATATTTTACTTTCAATTTCTTCCGAATTCTGTTCAAAAGCTTCCCGATCCATTACAAGACATCCCGTAATTATTTTTATTCATTTCGGCGCTTGGCTGTTCGGATGGTTCTCGTCGTATCTTGCCAGACCTTCCTGGCTGCTGGTCATCATCAGTTGTCCTTCGGTCGACCAGAATTTACATTCGGCATAAATACGTCCATTCTCTGAAAATATTAATTTGATTACACCAAAATCAATTCGGACTTACCGGCGATTGGACTCTTAACTTCCACATACATCCATTCATTTGTATTTACATCAGTATGGAAGTAAAGACATTGATCCAGAGAAAACAGCATGGTGGGGAAGAACCCCGCATTAATGTGATCCATTAGAGCACCCTCTATCATAACAATATCTCCCATGAATGCCCCCATTACACGATGATCGATCTGACTGTCTCCCGGAGAATATTTAGATCGCATAAATACTTTGTGGGTAGGACCACGATGAGGGGGATGTCGTGTGCGCATTGTCCATCGAGGAACATCCGTAGTTCGTATCTAAAATACAAATAGAAAAAGGATGACGAGGATGTGTTACATCAAAGAGATCCAAAAATAAGTGCGGAGTATTCTTCAGTTTCCACTGCAACAACTTTCGGTGGAATGGAGTTATAGAATTATCTTCCAATGCCTCCAAGATCCCATCTCTCCAAGTAGGAAGGGTGTCCGGATTAACATCCACACGAAATGGCTCCAAATGTTTGATCGCCGGCTTCTCCTCTACATGAAAAGAAGTGAACCCGGAACATAGAACCTTGTTTCCTTGATGAGATTCCACATATCTACTACAGAAACTCTTTCCATCGCGGATTCTTTTAACGTTCAGATGCAATGGTTGATTTACGGTGCCTACAACAACCAAATAATGCATGAAAAACCAAGAAATACCAGAATCTAGAAAGTAGGAATGAGTCGAATGAGGTAACATTCCCGTGGAGACGGTCATGCAGGCAGCTCTCAGTTGAAGTGCAAGGTTCTGTCCACCATAAATTGGATCCAAGTGCATTCTGCCTTGCAGTAGAGCATTACTCCTAAAATTATAAAAATTTTTAGTAAAGGTCAACATACGTAAAAGAGTCACTTCCATTTTTAGACAGAGATGTCAGACTTTTAACTGTTTTATGGAGATCTTTGAAATCCTGCTTGAATATGTTAGAGCTCAGTTTCAAGCACGATGTGATCACTAAAACAATAAAATATTACACTCAAGACGACCGTCTTACCCATTCCGTGTTTTAAAACATTAATGAAAAAATAATGAAACAGACCTTCTCATATTATTTCTCGTATGTAAAGTGTTCTGTCCACTTTTTTGACGTCAAATCATGACGACGCGGCTTATTAGCTGGCTGATAAGATCATCTTTGATTTTTTTTAAATAAAGGAGACATAATGTCAAACTGTTTTTGGACATACATAATGTCAATCAATTCAGAAAAATGACCTCGCGCCTCCAATTGTAATTTTTCTTTGCAATTCTTTTCCTTAAGTCGTGGAAATTTTACATTGTTTCTTTTATTATTTCCTCTTTCTTCTTTCTAATTGAACCGACATACTTGAGATGGGCCGGCGGGGGCGGAATCCCAAAACTGCCCCAACAATTGTTTAATGGCAAAAGGCCAGGACCGACCGAACCTTCAGGAAAAGAAATCGAGAAAGAAAAAGATTAATCTGCCAGCGGATAAAGAGGCCAGGCCAACCCACTCATCGCAATAAGTCCCGATCGACTCCATTTTATCCCTTTCATTCGAGTTTTTGATCCCCTGCCATGTCTGACGAGGAAGAATAGTAAGTTTCAAAATTATGCTACATGCATTCAAAGCGTACATTGCTCTAACCGGTGTGCTATTACAGTAGTGAGGAGGAAGTGATTGAGGAAGAAGAGGAGGAGGAAGAAGCCCCCGCTGAAGAAAACGCGGCCGCTCCTGCTCCAGAAGCTGAAACTGCTGAAGCTGAGCCCGAGGCTGATGCTCCAATTGAGGATGCTCCCGCCCCAGAAGAGCGCAAGACCAGACCTCCTCCACCACCAGAAAAGGAGGTCGATCCTTCCACCTTGACTGAAGCCGAACAGGCCATGCTGGCTGCCAAGAAACGGCATGAAGAAGAAGAGGCCGCTCGCAGTCAAGAAGCCGAAGCCAGAAGACAACAAGAGTTGGCTACTGTTGATGAAGAACTCCGCGCTTTGAAGGAACGTCAGATCGAAAGAAAGAAGCAGCGAGAAATCGAGGAAGCCGAGATGGCCGAACGTCGTCGCAAAGATGAACAGCGTCGTCGTGAGGAAGAAGAGGCCCGCAAGGCAAAGATTGAAGCCCAGAAGCGAGCAAAGGAAGAAGAGAAGCTGAAGAGACAACAGGTCATGGCTGGTGCCTTCGTTAACACCTCTGCTAGTGAGTGGCCGTTTAGATAAGAGGTTGTACCATTGAGGTCTGACTAAAAAAAATTTTATTTAGATATTGGCCGAAAGAAGGAGAAGACTGAAGAACAGAGACAAGAAGCCAAGCGTGCTTATATCGCTTCTATTCAGAATAAGCCTGACATCTCCAACTTATTGCCCAATGACTTAAAGGCCAAGATCAAGCAACTTCACGCTCGCATTTTGAAGTTGGAGTCTGACAAATACGATCTGGAGAAGCGTCATGAACGTCAAGACTATGACGTGAGTAACAGTGCAGAAAAATTTAATTTCAAAGCAAGGCCCGGGTATTTCCAAAAATCGACGCCAGAATTTTTAGAAAAATATTGAATCCTTTGATCTTTTGCATAGTTGTTGTACTAGGAGGACAGTTAAACATTAACTTTTTGAAACCTTCGAAAAATACGATAGGTTAAAACTTTTGTCGGTCATGCTGCATTGTTTAAAATGTCTTTTTTCAAGAAGTTTAAATTACAATAATGTTCGCCATGGTCGAAAACGTGAAACAGTGAAGTTTACGCTTTTTTTACGACAAAATTCGCGAAAATGAAATTTAGGTGTACGGCATGAACAACATTGAAAGTGCAGTAACTCCAAAACAGCGCCTTTATCTTCCTAAATTTGTGATATGTTGCTACCTGCATGTCACAGTAAATTTGGAAGGCTCCGAAAGTAGTCGAAGGCTACAGTGTACAATAATGTTCGTCATAGTGTAAAACAGCGAGATTTTGTCCTTTTATTCATAAGGGATTTTGTGCACTAACCCAACTACCGTAACCCCGGTTACGAAAATTTTCGAACCTAAATATTCGCACTGATGTTTAGCTGTCCGAGTACCACAACTATGGAAAGTATCAAAAGATTCATTTTTTTCAAATGTCCGGCCTTTGTTATGACAGATTGAAATCTGTAAAAACGCTGTTTTAAGTTGAAAGAATTGAACGAACGCACCAGCCAGGCCGCAAGAAAGAAGGCCATTGCTATGGGAGTGGAGGCCGAAGAAGCCGAAGCCAGCTCTGGTGGAGTTGTCCGTCCTCCTAAGATCAATGTTGCCTCCAAATATGATCGTCGGGTTGATCATCGTGGATACGGAGACCGTCGTGAACTCTTTGAACACGTAGTTTGAACTCCCTCAATATAAATAATTGTCTTACCTTTAGCCCGTCGTGAAACCAGAACCCCCTATCGCTCATGGCAGTGGACGCCCTCCACCAGAATGGGGCCGAAAGAACGTTGAAGAATTGGAACAGCTCAGAAAGAACCTGGAGCCCTTCAGATATCAAGAACAGGTCAAGGCCGAAGGTGAGGCTGCCAAGCCCCCAGTTCCGATTATCCCTCTTCAGATCCCTTCGGAATCTGAAGCCGTTGCTCCCAAAGAGGTATGAAGGTTTCTAAATTCCATCTATTGCGACCCAGAATGGGGTAAAGCGACTAAAACTCATCGAAAATTTTTGATTCAACGTTTTCAATGAGTTTAGTCTCACGGAGTCGTTTTGCCTCATTCTGAGTCGTAATCGAAAGATTCCAAGATTTCGGTTATAATTATTAACCTATTATTTTTAGTAAACTTTCTTCTTGACTACGTCCCCGACAAAATGTTTATCGAATAAATTTGATCATCATTACAACTGGGGGATTGCGTTAATTTTACGTTTTTAATTTTTAGTCACTGTGTAAGTTAAAAAGATTTGATTGCGAAGCAAAATCCGCGAAAGAAAATAATAATATAATTTTCCAAAAAAATGTTTTTTCCTGTCCCGAAGCGAAAACCTTTCAAATTTTATACAAGTTTTCCAAAAATTGGTCTTTCCAAATCCCGAAGCGAAAACATTTCAAATTTTGTTAAATTATTCACAAAAAATCTTTTTTTTTCAAGGTGCATTGTTCGTCCAGGTGCACTGTTCAAAAATGTCAGGTGCACTGTTCGCTCAGGTGCACAATTCGCCTGGGTGCGCTGTTTGAGTCAGGTGCGCTGTTCGGACACAACCCTTGGCTATAAGCCTTGTCTTCTCGGAGAGATTTTCCAATATGACCAATCATGTGTCATATTCCAATATGACAAATGTGAGATCGGTAACGAACAATTTAGCAAGAACTTTTTGCGCAGCAAGCACATTTGTTCCAACGAACACATTCGCTTGATCTACCCTTGCCATATTTTTCTTTTCACAAATAAAAAAAATCTTTTTTCCTTGTCTCGAAGCGAAAACATTTCAAATTTTGTACATATTTTCCAAAAAAATCTTTTTCCTTGTCCCGAAGCGAAAACAGTTAAAATTTTTATCTCATTTTAAATTTTTTTTCACAGGGGACTCGGATTTACTTATAAGTAAAATTTTTTACTTATATTTACCAATAACTTACATATAAGTTAAAAAAGGCGGGGCTTATTTATTTTTACTTATATTATTTACGTTTATTTACTTATATTTACAAATAGCGGTACTTATATGTAAAAAACGGCGGAGCTCGTTCATTTTTACTTATATGTACATATAGGAGCCTTGAAAAGAAAACTTTTGAGCGTCAAAGACGCTTTTTGGTTTCCGCATGCGTTGGCCGGACTTAGTTAGAAATATTCTAACTTTTTGGAGTGTGAAAGAACGTATCTCAACCTCGGATCGAATAAAGTAAGGTGCTTGTAGTCGGTTTTTTTCTTTTACAGGAGAACAGAGTGCTCAGATCAAAAGTCGCGAACGTGAGAACCTTCCCGAGCACGGAGCATGATAACGTCAAACTTCACGCAGTTCCAAAAAAATTGTAAAGAAGCACTATGAGGCAGGAATTTGGATGAAGAACTGTTTGCTCAAATTTGGTAGGTGTTTTTAAACTGCTTTCACATTTCATAAAACCAAAGATTTTTCCTGACATAGTTTTGCTATGTTGTACTAGGTCCAGGTGAAGCCTCTAGGTTTCAGATTATCGAAAAATTGGTCGTGGATGGTAGTAAATGTACAATATGCACACGATCCGGAAAAATGGCACTCGGATGATTCAGGTATGTTGAGAATATTCACCTGGACCTAGTACAACATGGCAAAAATTGGTGTCTCGAAATTTCATTGGCAAACTTGGTGAACCTAAAACTATTTTTTTTCGGGGTGGAGAAGCACAAAAAATTGTAGTAAATATCGTCGAACGACCTTATCTTCTTTATTTTTTACTATTTTCAGTGAATCCAGACGCAGAAATCCCCATAGAAGGTCCCACAAATGATGCCTCGCAAGGACGAAAACAGATGAGAAACCTATCCGGAGCACACAAGATGCGTTATCCACATGTATTTGTTGTTTCTGAGAATCGAAATAAACGTTTATAATATAATCTGCACTGTGCGTAATTCTGGGTTACAAATAAGTAAAAAATCCTTATTTGTAAATATAAGTAAATTTGGAGCGCGCCGAAAATAAAGTTTACATATAAGTAATTTCAGAATTACTTATATGTACGATTATTTACTTATATGTACGTTTATTTACTTATATAAACTTCAATTTCATATAAGTAAAAAAGACGTACATATAAGTAAATCCGAGTTCCCTGTGTTAATTTTTTTTTTTTTTTAATTATGCACAAACAAACTTTTTTCAAGATGTACTGTTCGCCTAGGTGCACAATTCGCTTAGGTGCCCTTTTCGTTAGGTGCACTATTCGTCAGGTGCACTGTTTGGACCGAATAATCACGCCAGGCCCCATGTTGAAAAACTGGTCAAGGACACCCTAGAACAGGTGAGGTGGGAGGCCCTACCCCACCCGCTATGCTCGCCGGATGCTGCACTTTCAAATTATCACTTGTTTCGACCGATGGCAAACGATCTGTGCCAGTAGCGCTTCGCTGAGCTCAATGATGCCAAGAATTGGGTTGAGTTTGGATGGCTTCAAAACAAACAAAATTTTTCTTTGATGGATTCGAAAGACGTGTGAAATTTGCAGTTATCATAGAGCAAAGAGATATCTTTCTATTAGCATTTTCTTAAAGTGCATGAACATTTGCACTGTGCATTTCGCTTTCTTCGCGCGACACGATCCTTTTCAAAACATTTTTGCACGGTGCAATTGTCTCAAGTTTCGCGGCGGCGCAATGGAAAAAAGCTTATGTCGCAGCGATTTTGTTTGAGAAATCAAATTGCACTGTGCAGTCGACCTTTTTCTTGCACAGTGCGGCGAGCGACGAAAAGTCCATGCACTTTATGAAAATGCTAATAGCCATGCCACTTACGACAATTTAAAAAAACTTAATTTGTAATCAACGCTGAACACGGCAATCACTCTGATTGATTATCTGGACTCGTCTCTTGGGGTCTCCCGAGTGACTACGTTTAGTACAAACTGGTATGCCAGTTCAGTGCAGAAAAATCTCATCTTCGGAGACTGACTCCCAAAAGTTACCCAAAGTTTTATGGCCCCTTTGTCCCTGTATTCATGATACTCACGGCCGTAGGCTTTATATTATTAATATGACCTCTTACTGGACTTGTCTCAAAATAAGGCCAAGGCTTATTCTTAGCCTTGCTTGGACGTAGGTTGTCTCGTTTGCCGTCTATGCTTCCAAATTTGTGCGTCTCTCTCATATATGCACAAAATGTCGGCTGATCACAAGTGCCACCCTTGAGCGACTATTTTTCCGCAATTTTCTGTCGGTTTCCTTGGTTATACAAGTTACAAAAAGCTGATGAAGGTTGAAGAATTGCAGTAATCAGAGAACAGTCATAAAGAGTACCTACCCTTTAGCAAAGCAATGTTTTGTTTTATGAGTTGCTTTGCAATATGATACGCAATGTGAACGCCATTATGAGAAGGGATTCGGCCGTCGAACGCCTTGCCTGCCGTTGGATGACAATTGTTTTCAACTTTTTTAGTCTCTTGAGAAACATTTCGTCTGCAAGTTTCGCTTATATTTACCTTATCTTTTAGACTTTATTGAGGAAATTCAAGACATTTTAGTTTAAAAATTGTAGACTTTCCCCAGGTTTTATCCTTTCATTTATGCTGCTATGACATTAAAATCCTAGTAGCTAAAGATAAAGACTTTTATAAATGGATGTTTTTGAGAGACTTGGACCGGTCAGTTATATTTAGAAAGTAGTGAGCATCAATTTTGATTGTCCAGAAATTGTTTTCCCCAGGGATAAATGGGCCTCAAATCGATCCCAGTCCTCGGGATGAGGAGGTGTTTCTTCTTCTTTTCCCTGAGGTGTTCGTACCTCCGGCCCTAAAGTTTTCAAACAGCCGTTTCCCCCTCGCATTTACACCCTCTCAAGTATTTTTGATTTCAATTTGAGGAGTTTTGTGATCTTGTAAATGGGTAAAAATGACTTTACATTGTCGTTTGGAGGTTATCTAGGTTGTTTAAATCATATACCGATTTTCAAGGGCAGATATTTTCGTTAGGACATTATAAGTACGGCCCGAGAGGGGGCAGCTGTCCTATGCCTTGTCCTTATCGTGCCTGTCACCAAAGCAATCGTGCCTAACTTCAATTCGTTTCAGAGTTTTTAAGGAGCACCCACTCTAATATCATAGCTATCTTTGTCGGTGTCCTATTTCCCCTTGACAGCTGTCTTTTTAGGTGTTGTCGCTTTTTTTTAAATCACTGAAACCTCAAACCACATCCTTTATTATTTTCCCTGAACTTCCTGTCATGTCTGAAGACGAACTTTTGTAAGTAGTTCTCGTACTCTTGTTTTTTCGTTTGAATTGTAGTTGGTTTCCCCTGATTTTAATAATAATGTACCCCTCTTACTCGAACTCTTCTCGTTACCGCACCGGCTCTTCCTTTCCATCATCGTCTTCGTATAATACAGCATCCAGGTCATCTTTCCACCCTTCTCTAAACTCGGGACCTTCCACCTCCTCTTCCGGCTTAACTCCCGGGTACCCAGGCTCAAGTAATGCTCAACGCTTCAACTCTCCTTTACGGCTACCTGAGACTTCACTTGCGCTCGACCGTTCTGATTCTCAATACTCTGTACTCGGGTTACCGTCTTTGCATAATGGTGCAGCATACGGTTCCCAGCCATATGGAGCTGGCTCTTATCAGCCAATGGGAACGCAATATCAACCATCTCCTGCAGCCCCGCAATATCCTCTGGCATATGGAGCCCCTCAATATGCTGAGCCAACGCCTTTACAACCGCCTAAGCCGTCGCCAGCAGAACGGTATTTTAGTAAAAGAGATTCTTCAGCAGACATACGGTCTACCATAGGGCAAGGCCAACGGCAGGATGACATTACGGCCAGTGTACCCTCCGTCAAAGACTCCTGGGCCTCTGGCTATCTGAAGAGAAGAAAAGAGGCCCGGGAAGAAGAAGAACGGTCTCAGCAATGGGCCATACTTGGAGGCCCTCCCAACGCCCAGCCAACTAGCTTTGAACCGATCCAAGAAAGATTACCCAGCAGAAGCCCCGAAAAAGAAATCATTAAGGCCAAGGAACCACCCACAAGTAAAGCCTTAGCCCTTCAACAAGAATATCTTCAGAGACTCCTGGCCGCGCATAACACAGTTGACGAGCTTCTGAAGAAGAGAGGGAAGCAAGGCGACGATGAATCCAAATACCTCAAGACCTACGAATGGGGTCGCGACCGTGAGTCCACTCCATTGCGTAGCACATCCAGCGACAGTGACTCGGGCCTGTCCCTGGATTCTTTACCAAGCCCCGAGGAGCCAAAAAGATCAACTCCGATTCGAGTAATTGCCAGAAGGCGGTCAACCATAACCCCAACTAAATTAATTTCAGCTGAAATAAACGCTGAAGCAGCTGACTTCGCTAAGGAAGAAGAGTCAGAGGAAGTAATTTTTTGTGTCCTTATTGCGATATACGACGAGACCGAAGCATCCTTTCCAGAATCAGTGGGTTCACAGGAAGAATTGATCTCTCAAAGAGCAAAACCGAAAGCGGTTAAGAAGAGACTCAACGAAGCCAAGCAACAGGATGAGATACGTCTTGTCATTCCAACGCCAAAGGATGCCAATTTTCACACCACTACAAAAACATGTGAGCCGGATGTTGAACTTAAGCACCCTCTCACAAAACCTTCTGGAACAGACCCGCCAGAGAAAGTAAACAGCCTCGAACCAACTGATAACGAAACATCTGTAAGCTATGATGACAAACAAAAAAGTGTGGAGAATACAAAAGCCGAGCCAAAAACATCGAAGAAAACTGTTAATACGGAGTCCAAAGCTCCTGAAGTAACTCTAAATGCTACCCCCTCTGCTCTACCAAAGTATGCCCAACTGAAGGTACCAAGTCATTCAAAAGCAACTACTGTAAATTTACACTATACCAGAGACAAGCCTGATCCAAAAAAGGCGCAAAAATTGGTCAAACAAATTTCGATTCAAGACGAAACATTGCTGAAATTCTCCTTACCAAAACATACAGAAGCCAAGGAAACAACGTGCATTCTTAGGAAACAGAAGGCCAAGAGTATCACCTTCCATGTCAAACGAAGAAGTTCATTGGACGAAGGGTGCAAGAAACAAGGATCTTTGAATATTCCCGATTACAATCCGAAAGACAGGAGCAACGAACAAAAAACTCCTGGGAAATTGAAGAGACAGCAGACAGAACCCGAGTTGGAAGCCGAAAAAACAAGAAAAGTTGGGCGACTTCAGCTGCAACAACCGGCTGCAGGGAAGAACGAAAACACCAAGAAACTTATTGTACCAAAATTGAAATTTAACCGCGAAATGGTATCTCAAAGCTCGACAGCGGCCAACTTTAGGAACAAACCTGAGAACCCCCAATCGGCTTCCATATCCGTTCAACATTGTAGCTTTTATGAGATCAGAGAACACTTCTCTGCACCCAACAAACAAAAATGCCTCCGGATTCATCTACGACTCACCAACAGTAACGATGAAGAGGAATCTACAAATACTGTTCAACCGTGCTCGGAACGAAAGCAATCCGCATTTTGTGAGATTTCGGATCCCAACTGGAAGGCAGAGGCGCAGAAAAGGAAGAAAGAGAGGGCCAAAAACCCAGTGACAACCTTCGCAAATGGAGAGAATTCAGTCAGGTCTATTCAGGATCGACTAAAAAAGAAGCAGGCTTATGCTAGAGAGATTCAGGATGTGAGAGGAAACCTAAAGAGAGTGCCTAAATTGACAAGCACCAAGCTGAATAAACCCGAGTTACTTAACCAGTCAAGAAGAGACATAGGGAAAAAATCAAAGAAAATGACAAAATTACAGAAGAGGGACGCTCTGAGAGCTACCAAGGATGAGAAACGTGATGACAAAAAGAAGTTTGTTGGAATCACTAAAAAAAGAGAAGACAACAAAGATGAAGTCGCAAATGTCAGAATGGAAAATATCTCCGAACCACGACATCCAACTCAAATCGAGGAATGGGAGACCAGATTGATCCAAGAGTTTAGACGACGTCTCCATATCCCAGTTCTGGAAGCAATCTACAAACGGATCTTCTGTTTCAACTGTACTATTTGTCATCTTCTTACAGGCCCCAAACCTCCTCCCAGAGCTAAATTTATTTCCCGAAGATTGCCTGAAAGATGGCCAATTCCTGAAGCCGAGAAAACTGAGTTAGAGAATTTCTTGGACGAATGGTATGACCAATTACAACTCCATCATTCATTGGAGTTGTTACGATCCACAAGTTCAGAGCATCATGTCGCCGTTTTGAATCCATTTGGCGTGACTTTAAGGAAAGTGAGTCATCAGAAGATGCCGGTCTTCCGTCCATCAAAGAAACCAAAGAGAAAATTTGTACCTCGCTGGAGGAGGAATAGGTAAATTATCATCCTTCTTGGTTAGTGTGCTGTAGATGATTTTTAGTTTTTGTTTTTATTAATTCGAAGTGCTGTAATAATATCATTTCAGAAGCGGCGAAGAACTTGAAGAGGAAGAGGAAGAAGAGGAGCCCGAGAGTGAAGCCGCGCCTCCTCCGGCAGCTGTTGCGGAGGATACCGCTGCTCCTTCCGCTGAAGGTGAAGAGGAGAAAGCCGTAGGGGGAGACGAGGAAAACGAGTAAGTTACGGGTATATATTGTGCCATATAATTATTGTTGCTATTGTCTCTTGAGTCTGTCTTTTTTATCTTTGTAATATTCGCCGCTACGAAACAAAAAAGGTCAAATGGAAGAAACGGTTTCTTGCTGGGATCCTCTGAGCAGATAATAAATCCTTTAGACCCCCACAAGATGACGCTGGTGAGGATGCAGCGCCAGAAGAAAGACGGTAGGCAGAAGTATGCGGATAAAGATTGTTTAAGGCCTTCAAGAGTACCTCCACCCGCGACCGCAGAGCCAGATCCGGAATCAATGACTGAGGCTGAACAGGCGATGCTGGCTGCCAAGAAGAGACATGAAGAAGAGCAAGCTCTAAAGATGATGGATTCCGAATCCAGAAGAAAAGCCGAGCTCCAGCAAGTGGAGGAAGAACTGAAGGTGTTGAAAGAACGACAGATCGAAAGGAGGAAACAGCGAGCCATAGAAGAACAAGAGTTTGCGGAACGTCGACGTCAAGATGAAGAACGACGACGGAAGGAAGAGGAAGAGCGGAAACAAAAGCTGGAGGCGGAAAGAGCAAGAAGACAAGAGGAGAAGATGCGGAAGAACATGATGATGGCCGGAGCTCTTGGCATGAGCGAGGTGCCTATCGGGGATGGACCCAATTTTGTAGTAAGCAAGAGTGGGAAGGGACTGCTTGGAAACGAGGAACAAAAAAACAAATTTGGACTAAGCAAAGAACAGAAAGAAGAGCAGAAGGTATGTGTTAATGAAAATCTATTACATCTGCCGCAGCAAAATTTTTTGGCCGCTATCAACAAGCCAGAAGATGTCAGCAACTGTTTACCCAATGACATCAAGGAGAAGATCAAGCGACTTCACGCAAAGATTGTTAAGTTGGAAGCCGAAAAATATGATCTAGAGATCCGCGAGGGCCGACAAGAATATGATCTGAAAGAGTTGTTTGAACGTGAGAAACAAGTGGCGCGTCAGAAGGCCCTTAAGGCAGGAGTCGAACCTACCGAAGAGGAAGGCAACAGCAGAAGACCGGTGAGTAATGACAAAATATTGTACGTTTTTAATGACAAAATATTCAGACCAAGAAGATCATTTTCTCCAAATTTGATCGTCAAGTTGACCGACGTTCTTATGGAGATCGCCGGGAATTATTCGAGCATGTAAGGTTACGTTACATCACACTTTAAGTTATCTCTTGTTAAGCCTGTCGTTAAACCTCCGCCCAGTATTGTTCATGGAAGTGGCAGACCTCCTCCAGAATGGGGAAAGAGAGATATCGAAGAGCTAGAACAACTCAGGAAGAACCTCGAGCCCTTCAGATATCAAGAACAAGTCAAGGCCGAGGGTGATGCAGCCAAACCTCCAGTCCCAGTTATTCCTTTGCAAGTGCCAACCGAAGAATTTGATCCAACTTTAGCTCCCAAACCAGTAATTAGTTAAAATGCCGACTTTTAAATGTTAGAAGACTCCATCTTTAAAAAATTTCTTTATAGAAAGCACCAGCCGCCGGCGAAAATCCTGAGCTAGAGATTGTTGAAGAGCCCGTCGATGGAGAAGCTGCTCCAGAAGAAACCGCAACTGCCTAATAGGACCCAACAACTCATAGTTTTCTTTAAGACCAATTTAAACTTTATATCTGATAAACATCTCAAACACGAAAAGAACATGTACAACATTATATTCTGTTATTATGGATTAATACAAATACTTGGCATTCTGTAACTGAGAACCCGGGTTTTTGCCAACAAAATTAAGAGCTAGGTAGATGGAATGAGCAAGAGGAATTAAACAAATCTAACAGCATACAAATAAACGCCATGGAAATGCTTTCTAACACTTAGAAACCGACTATGACATCGGATGCAATCGGTCGATCCCACTGCGCGATGCATTTGAGAGATTCCAATACGATCCATATAAGGACATCCGACCGCCCTAGAAATTTCAAAAAAATTAATTAATGGCCATGTTTGTAGGTGACAGAGTGAGTGAAATCGTGATCAAGTGCAGTGCCTCACGCGGTGGAGGATGGTGTGGAATGACGCACCGTTTGGTAAGGCCCCAGATCTGCAGGGAAGCCTCGACTCTTCTCTATGTTCTCTTCGTAGATCCCCTCATAATGTTTCAGAGAAGGGTCTCCTCTTAATGTATATGTTCCGACCGGTCGAATGTGATATGGTGGACCGTAGACCGTCCGAAGAGTGTGATGGGTCCTCCTGTAATTGCGATTTTGATGTGTTTGAATTCGTAAGCACACTTACCTCCTTTGGCAACACAATACAAAGGCAATTACAATAAGAATGACTACCCAGACAGCTACAATAGTAACTGGAATTACTACTGCCAATCTACTTCCGGCCATCTCAGCCTCCAGGACACGCCCCTGTTCGATCGAATTATCCATTTCCTCATTCTCTTTATGTGGGGATCCTGTCACAATCTTCGGTTTTGACGATAAGATCTTCTTGGGAGGCTGTAATGTAAAACATCATATAAAGAAGCAGGACTTACAGATTTTGTTGACGTAAAGACAAAGAGGTTGTTGTTGGTAGTGGGCATGGTCTCGGTCTGAATTTTGATGACATTCTTTGAGGATGGGGATTGTTCTGAGATCACTGTAGTTGTCTCAGTAGCTGTCGTTGTAGACTGTGTTGTTGCGGTAGTTGTGGATTCAGGAGTTGTTGGAGTACTGGTAGGGGCCTCGTCCTCCACTACCGTGGTCTCTATTGGTGCCTGAGGGAAGTCGTTATTGATGAATTCATGTGTAACTTCTTCAACGGACGTCACGACAGCTGGAGGGTTTGTATTGAAGCTGCCAATAATTGAAGGTCGGATTAGTTCCGGCTGGATTACATGGACTTTCCCAATCTGAGTGGGCTCTTCGTTTGGTTTTGATTTGGCCGTGAAGAGTTCTGGAACAACGGTGACGAAAGGTGGAAGTGGATTCTCGAACACATCTGGAGGCAGGGCCTCGATCTCTTTGCTGTTTAGTTGAACAATTGGTCGATGAGTGGTGCTAATCGTTGGAATTGGAAGAGTGGATGGTCGCTCTAATTCCGGCGTATTCTGAACATGAAGAGAGATTTGGGGACGACGGGTTTCGGCAGTGGCAAATACTGCAGGGACACGTTGAGTAGAAGGTTCAGAAGGAGGGACGATCGATGTGGAGGCAACCTCTGGAATCTCGAATTGATCATCGTCAATCTCGGTGGGAACTGACTCCGTGGGAATCTTAACCTGAGGTGTTGTTTGTTTAACCTCAGGGATCTCATTAGATTGCGTTTTCTTAATGAGAGGAGGTGACTCGGCGTCGCAGTAGGGAGGTTGCAGATCACTTTTCATACATTGATGAATCACATCTCGGTCAACACGATACAACCAGACACCGGGTTGTCTGACATTGCTCAGCTGACTGAGTTGTTCCATTCCCTCAGTGCCCGATCCGGGTAATTGAATTGAATTGCTCTTATCTGAGGTCATAATTCCAGCTTCAGCATTGGGAGTCCATGTTAAATCCTTATAAAGAAATTCCACGAAAGTTGAAGGCTGTTTCTTAGAATCTCTTCCACTGATCACCACTGTTTGGTAGGTATTGGTGGTTTGGGTTGAAGGAGTTGAAACATTGATGAAGGATATGATGATTACGTTATCGGCAATAAAACCTCCAGACTCCCCATTATCATTGACAATGTGTGTAGCCCTGGCCAGAACTCCATCCTCGGCGCTTTCCTTTACTCTAACATCTCCACCTTTGGAGAGATCAATAGGAGCGAAAAATGGAGCTATTCCCACAACATTCATGTCATCAAGACTATCTCCGGGAAGAATGTTAACTGAGTCGTCCACGGTTATCAATCCATTTGATGATATCTGAAGAAATAATCATTTAATGTCATCTTTTTTATGAATTACGCAATCATTGCGAAACGAACCGTTAATTGGCTAGTATCCAATCCGAATAATTTGACCGGTTTCTGCAATTGGATTGTTACTTTGGAGTTCTGTGATGGAGGAAGGTTTTCTCCATTGGTGGGGAACAAGAAGGAGTCAGACGCCATGCATTCCATCACTCCATCTCCACTGTATCCGGGTTTACATTGACAGAAGAAATGGCCGGGAGTGTTCGTACAAACAGCATCCTGATGACAGACATTGTTCTTTTTACATTCATCAATGTCATTACATCTGGCATAACCGTCACCTTCGTATCCATCCAGACATTGGCATCTTTGAAGAGGCTCTCCGCAACGGTCGTAATCAGTTAGGGAGATTCCATTCCGAGCACATTTCCGAGGTGAATCCATAGAACATTTGGAGAGTTCTGGAGAGTATTGTTATACTTTTCATTTATACTTACTTGTCTGACATTGCGAACCACTGAAACATTCGGAGCATTGATTGTTTGGACATTCCCCATTCACTTTATTGCAAGTAGTGTTGCCAGAACAATGACAGCATCCAATGCAATCGATTCCCCATTCTCCCGGTGAACATTCTAAACGGATGACATATGTAAAGTGCAACCTTCTCATAACATACCTTCATCACAAGTATCGCCCTTGAGCCCGGCTTTGCATCGGATGATTCTTTTTTCGCCCAATTCGAACATCCATTCCCCTGGAATTCCCGTGTTTCCATACTCCTCCAAGTACATGATATTCCCAGTGCCTGAAGTGGGTAGAGCGTAGAATAGACTGTCCTGTCCTCCATTAAAACCGGCCTGAAAGAAAGTCGCTTAATTGCTCGTATAAAGCGTCATTTCCCTATTCATTAGTGCAAAAACTGTCTATTGTTAGAGGCGTCGAGGAAACTGGTTTCTCAACCTGATTGCGCAATAACAAAAGACATGAAAGAAAACAAACCTCGGCACCTTGGGTCCAACCAATGTTATTGTAGATGAAATTGGCATAAGTGCCGTTATCAGTGACAAATAGAGCGGCCTGGAAGGTGTTGGTATTCTCATCGGGCAAAGGATTGGCTCCCAACGGCTGCATCTTCTCCCAGGTCACCAACAAGCATGAGATAACTTTTACACTCTTATCGTATTGATATCGAATTTCACTTTGTCCTCGTTCTAACACTCGACCAGAAGTAATTTCGCGGTAATAGACATGACCGCCATTCTCGAGCTTGTTCCGGTTCCAGAAAGGAGCGATCATAACGTAATTGCTCGGCAGAATATTAGAACGATGTGTTCTGATGGCTGTATCAAATGTAATGGCCCCATTACTGCCAATGTAGACTGTTTGATACTGTTTCCCATAGAATGAGATTGGTTTGGACAACTGCAATTTCTTGGTGCTGTCCAGAGAAACGGGCAGTTCTTGATCTCCGGCTTCGTCGCCGTACTCGAACAAACGACTTGAGAAAAGCGGCGCCGTAACCTAAATTTGATTTTTATTGATCAGATAATAAGTCCCGATAATCGCCTAATCCCACCAAAAAGATGCAAACCAGATAACAAAAAAAGGCTAACCTGAATGGTGACCTCCTTCGGCTGGCTGAGTTGCCGCCGATTCCGTCCCGTTCGGAGTAACTTGTCTTGTTCGGCTTCGGCCTCGATTCGGAGCCGAGCGGCTACTCTTTCAGGGTCCAACAACATGGCCACAGACCCACCCAAGAGGGCAATTACCACGCCCAAACACAAGACCACCTTCATGGTGGTCGATTCTGTTCACTATAACCGCAATCAGAACATATTATGTATAACAATTACAAAACCAAACAAACCCGCGGTCATAGAAAGTATAGGATTACCACCAAAAATTGATGACTAAAAGGCGGTTCATACAGTTGTGAAAAATTAAAAGTTCGGAGGATCAGTCACAATTATGGACTTTACAGACGTTAATCATGGAAAAGGAAACGAGAGAGTACCTCCGATTAAGGGGGGAGAGTTGCGCAACCCTAGCCGGGAGACTCATTACGGATGAAAAGAGAAGTTGTCGTGGGGGAAAGACATCAGGGCGGAGGAATGAGAAGAACTAAGTCAAGTGAGGCCGGGTCGGGATCGACAGATTTCGAGGAATTTCGGAGTAAAACCACCGGAATGATGGTCATGCTCCGCAGCATGGTCGCGAAAATACACGCAAATTAACGTGGATTGCATAACGTAGGCAATTAAACCGCTCGTGTTCCGCCTTTCCGCAAAAATAGTGCAGCCAGCCATGAAAGGAAGAACAACAAGAATAAGACGATTATGATCCAATTCTGGGCATCCCCTCGGGCGCTCCGTTAGATCAGAATGAATGAATCCTTTAAAGACTGAAGAAATGTTGCCCTCCAGTTCTCTTCTGAAGAATATCTCAACAAAAACATCTCAATTAGTTCGGAATACCCGATCCCGAATTATAACGTGTATACCCATTACAGTCATCGTTAAGGATACGAAAATTAACAAGGATCGTTTTATGAATTTGAAGACAAGGATAACCTCGTCATGGGGAAAAAGAATCGTAATGAGTTTCAGAAACATGGCACCAGATTGAGAATTTTTAATGGGAACAGAAAAAGGACACTTCATAATGATGATAATCATGATCAACAAGGCCAAATACAAGTGCGACAACGATCATCCATGCAACACAGCTCGAGAGCGGAGATGGTAGACTCTCGATCCCTGTGCTCACTCCCAAAGTAGTCGCAAACAAATGAATCAAAACTAATAAAATCCTGTGGAAATAGCCTCGCCGCGACGTCATGTGCTGAAGGCCGAATGTTCCGTTGGTCACTCCAAATATTTTGAGAAATCCGGCCGTGCTAAGACGTCGCAGAAGGGACTGTCGCGTCGAGAGACGGGAAGGGCAGGGTTTCGAGGTCAAGACTCGGAGCGTGCGCAAAGGGCGCAAAATAAAAAAAAAACAACAACGCCAATCATTTTTGAGGAACGTGGGAGAGGCTTCGACTCCGCGACAAGAGCAGTCCATTCTTGACTCCTGCGGCAACCCCTCCCCCTTCTTCTTTCTCTTCTGAGACATCGGAAGGCCGCGAACCCAATGAATGAAGACGCTTCCCGTCCTGAACCTGTTCGAGTACCTGGAGAAGGTCATGTAAAAAACAAGAGCGGTCAAGAGCTTCCTGAACCGAATGCCGACCATTCAAAAGCCAGGTCAAAAGGGCCTTGACCGTGAACTCGCGAGAAGGGCCACAGAAGGTCATCGTTTTGTTTCGGGAGTGACGGAATGACCCCTCTTAATAAGGCGCATCAAGAGCAAGGCGCAGGTCCGCGCGACAACAAAGGTTGGCCCTTAATCCGACAATATTGGGGGACGGGGTACGAAGGCTCGCAAAGTCGCCATCATATTTGGGAATCAGATTGGCATAAAGGCGAGAGCGGCTGATTTGGCGGAATTCGAATTTCGCCCAATCCGCTCGGGAAATGTTGACCGAGCGGGGGGACCGGCCTGGTAGGGCGCCGACCACAAATAAAGCCCGTTTTGGTCTCGCCACCTGCAGGCGATCTAACCGATAACCGGACCGACGGAACAGCTCTCGTCGACAAATCCACTTATCAAAACTCAACACACGCACTGATATCCTTCTTTTTCCCCTTTCTGACGACACGACCGATCGCTGTCGCTTTCGATGGAATTCACGCGATTAAGAAGGCCGTTTTATGCATTCCAAACGTTTGCAAACTAATAACGGAGCATCCCTGATCCCCACAAGTATCATACAATATATTCACTTCTAGTCCTACAGTACTCCCTTACTAAATCCGAAGCGTTAAAGGGGAAGAAATAAACTTTCCCCGGCATACACCACCAGTCTCCTCACTGGCAGGAAAGGAAAACTGAATCCACGCATTCCAACCTCAAACGATAACCTCAGGGTATCCGGGAATTCCTGGCTTATCTGCCGATCCGATCTTGCCTGAGGTCGAAGATTTTCACCCACACCCGGGCGACAAAGCGGAAAAATTAATGGTTTTATTTTTCAAACAAGAAAAGATTGGATCCACTCGTCTTCCAGAATCTCCGTAGCCGTGGCACGACGTTTCGGATTCGGACACAACATACGACGGACGGTGCTTTGGGCGTCTGCAATATCAGGATTTAATTGTAAAATGTGACATTTCGCCAACAAACCCGAAATCCGAAAAATTTAAATTACATAAAAAAACTGTAAAATTGAATTCGGGATGTTTTTTGCAACTTACTCGTAGAAATGTGACTCCATCTGGGGAAATCAAACCCAAGGTACGCTTTTCTGATTAATTTAAATAGTTGAGAACGTCGGGGAGCTCTGAATGGAGCGAATCCGATTAACATTATATGTAAAACAACTCCCAGAGACCAGATGTCCACTTCTCTTCCATATCCTTGTTCCGAGATGACTTCTGGAGCAACATAAGTGGGTGTTCCACATACTCTGTAAAGCGGCCCCAGTACTGTGCACGCCAATCCAAAGTCTGTCAGCTTGACCCAACTCTCTGACATGATCAATATATTCTCTGGCTTCACATCTCGATGGACAATTTGTTTATTGTGAATATATTCTAGAGCCGAGCATATCTACAACATGGTTTATTGGTGAACCGTTACAACCCACCTGATATGTCAGACAGGCGCAGTTTGCTTCTCCGGGGATTCCAGTTTGTTTTATAAACTCAAACAGATCCCCGAACTAAAATAAAACCCTTATTTCTGAAAGTTGTGATCTTACCGGAGCATATTCGAATACCAGAAAGAAATACCCAGGAGATTCGAAGGCTTTGAAGAGCTTGCAGATGTTTTCGTGATCACATTCCGCCAAGATGTTCACCTCGTTATAGACGTAATCCAATCGCCCAGACATCCGTTCCTTGTCAATTTCCTGAAATTTGGTTTTTTAATCCGAGTCAAGAAAAGAATCTCAATTTATTTTCTATGTTACCTTGACAGCTTGTTTGTTTTGGCCCGAATTCAACAAAAAAACTCTGGAAAAGTTGCCGCGTCCAAGAGTTGTGCAAGTTCCATAGTCTCGATAGAATGAAGCTCTGTTTGGAAGTACGTTCATATAGCTAGTTTCCTGTAACTATGATTACTCAGTCACTTATTAAATTTACTTTGTAAATCATTTCATTCTGATTGGCAGATCTTGCACTTTCATCGGAAGAGGGACTCTCCTCCTGATGATATACTTCCTCTCTGTTCGGATTCCGATTATCTCTGTCAAGGGAACAGCCATCTGAATGTGTTGGTTGAAGCTGTATTCATAAAATTAATCGTACCTCTAGAATGTACTATTGTGCAGGAAAGAGGGCGCTGAATTGTCGTGGTGACAGAGGAGTTTCTTCTCGATCGATTAGAGGATTGGGTGAGCCGAGTTAGTCTGGGAACCGGAGGGAGAGTCTGGACTGACCCGGCCACAGGTGGGTATCGCAGACTGACCATTCGTCTTCTGAAATGTCAGACTCACAGGGTCATAAAATTACAACTACTTACACTTTGAGCTACCGTAATCTCCCAGGAATGTGAGGAAGTTCGGCTGATCAAAAGTCAGAAGTCTTGGAGTTCAAGGACTCATCAGCAGTGTCCATCTCTTCCCCGAGGCATAAAAGGAAAAGGAAAGCGTTCCAGCCACCGCCGGTCCTGTGCTGGACAGCGGTCACTCTTGCCCTGAGGGCCGCCCCTTTCACGTCACAACTTATTTCATCAAGTTGTCATGACAACCTTAAAGGTCGAACCAATGCATAGACTGTTTAGAGCCCTTTCCACCGGACTTTCCGCTACTGGCCGTGACAGGTAAGTCGTTTTTTGGGCACGGACTCGTGGTATTGTCCCCAAAAAAGAGCTGGCCATTGTCCGTTTGCAAAGTGTTGGCCATCAGCCCACTGTCCAAGAAACTCTACGTTCCGGGTCAGCACCGGATTCCACGGGGATGAGGCCTCCGGTGTCTTCAGAATCCCTCAAAAGAACCTCCGATTCGGATGTGGTGGCACGTTGGAACATCCCCATGAGTGATACCGTGTATCAGATCGAGTTTGAGCATGGAACAACCACCGGGAAGAGGATCGTCAGAGTGAATGGACGGGTACGGAACTTGATTCGGACTCAGCCTCAGTTCAGGAGGTCGTCAGACACGACTGGCTGTTCAAGTTGGTGGGACGTGAGGTCTTTGAGATCAACGGAGTCCGGTGTGTAATCAACATTGAAGCCATTGGGATCTTTGCCTATGAGTACAGCATCACTGTCAATGGGAAAACTTATGAGAAATTCAAGGAGGAACAAAACAAATCCCTCAAAATGTGGCATGTTCGGCTTAACGAGAATGATATCCGTGTCGTTCTAGGTGAGTTAACAAGTTAAGCACACTGTTTCGATTTAGAAAAAGATTCGATGGAGGTCTGGGTGAATGGAGACAAAGTGAACACCACTGTAAGTCCGTGTTCAGATTCTCTTGGCATCCAATTACTGCTTCAAAAATCTCATTTCCGTTGTTTTTTAATTAGATTCAAAAACGCTTATAAGTGTTCTTGCAGGGAATATTCGTGGATGATGGGACCGAAACTCACTTTGAGATTGGTTCAAACGTTGCTTTCATAAAGACCGAAAGTAGTGGAAGGAGAGCCAAGGGAATTGTATACAAGCTCTACGTAAATGGGGATCTCATTGAAGCAATAAATTGATTTCTACGTCAAACCTACTTTACTCAAGACTTTTACTCCCTTGTTATTTGTGGACATTTATTACACAACATGTTTAAAATATTCAAGACCCGTGTATGCTTTTTAAGCTTTTTTAAGCCTCAAGTGTAACATCAAATAAAAATAGACCACAAATCGACGAAATGGGGAACCATTGGAAATAAATAGAGACCGGCTGAAACAAGATATCAACAAAAGAAATGAAGTGAAACGTCCTCAAATGTACAATAAAGTCAGTGCTATTGTAATATGTTAAGATTTAGAGCTTCTTCAAGAATAAATTCGGTCACCTGACCGAATGCAACAAAGTTGTAGGCCACCACATGATTTGGAACTCCTTCTGCATCTGGCTTCGATGAGTTTCCACGACGTTTTGGGGGCTTCGTTTCTTGGAAAAGGGCGGGACCAAAGACGATGGACAGAGAATGAAGATTCATCCGATTCTCGGAATCAAACTGGGAAACTCTAAACACAAACATGTAATCTGTGTGGTGAACGTACTTTCTGAGATGTTTAACCAAAGCGGACAACGTGGATTTGTTAGGCCCAGGGAGGGAAGAAAGCAGTTGATTAAACCTTTGAAGTCTCTTGGGATAATTCTTTTCCCCTAAACACACAATTATATTACTAGTCAACACGTACACATGGCATTCATAAATTCTTTGTTCAAATGAGACGGAATGACTGGCTCACTAAGCTCTCTAAGGAAGAGTTTGAGAGTTCCGGTAAGCACATGGATATCCTCTTCTTTCGCCAGCACGTCGTATCGATCTGTAGGTATTTTAATTATCGGAACAAAGAGTAATACCCACCATGATTTACATGTTCACGGATCTTTTGAATGAGGGATAGATTCCCATTTACCCTGTAGATGCCATCTGTTTGGACCCCTCTCGATTCAATAACTCTTATGACCTCTGTTAAAAATTTAGGAACATTGGCCTGATCATGCTCACACACAGCCTGTAAGGTTCTACCAAAGACCGGCTCAGCTAAAATTAAAACATACATAACTTCAGGTAATGCATACGTTTGTAGATTCCTTTTTCATATAAGGACTCCAAGGTCGGCCGATGTCTCAGGAATCTCAATAAGCGGTCGATGATAGATTCCCGAGTGGGGATATCGTTCTGGTCCAATCTGTCCCTTGAATTGGACGCCTTCAACTTGTTCTTTACCGACTGTCGTATGGATCCTTTCATTCCGAACCTTGATTTAGTTGTACTTTGTGCAAGAGTTCCAAATAATTCTTCAGGATTTGAAAATTTCCTGGATTCTTCTGAGTTGCACGGCTAAAAAAATTAATGCATATAATTATTAAATTACATTCTGTCTGATAACACTCTTAATCGCCTCAATCCAAAAATTAAATGCATCGATCCCATCAGTACAACTGAACAAAAACATTGCTGGATTATGGAGAAGATGGACGGAGAAAATGCTCCGGTGTCTTTTGTCTTTGATCTTATCCGAATCGACAGGATAAACGGCAGCTCCTCTCAAATCCAACACTTCCAGCGGAGCCTTAAAATGTTTGCTCTTCGACTAAAACCATACATTCACCAACACGGGAACTTACATCAGAATTCTTCTGTTCTTTATATAAGGATAATACCTTTGAATTGAGAACGGCAAAGATTTGAGACCACTTCTTTATCTTCGCGGAGCCTTCCAAGAACTCTGACTTATGAAGAAATCCCTCGAAGATAACATTCGGTATTGGTGCAATCGCTGGATTGGTTGAAACCTTCGGTTTTCGTATTTGGTTTGACCTCCTCGGTTCTTGAGAATCCAGAGTTTTGTCTCGATAACCAGATGACTCAGCCAATAAATTCTGAAATGACTCGTGTTTATTAAGTTTAAAAACTGTATTTTCCAAGATCCAAAAGTCACTCACATTATCCCTGGAATAAGGACTAAAAGGAGACTTCGTTTGTAAATTCTCTCTTTCAATGGAATGATTAAGTGGATCAGCAAAAGAACCGGTTAGAGAACATGGACTAGATACCTCATCGATTGACTGGCGCCTGGCATGATAATTAAGTTTAGGGTCCAAGGTAGAGATCTCATTAAAGCTTGAAATTGAAGCATTTCTCGAAGCCAAGGTCCTGCAAGACTTCGTTAGCGTCGCAATATTCCTTGGCGGCTTCCATTGACTTTCCTCGGTTGATGGGTTATAGAAGAAGGACCTAAAAGCCAATAAGAATAACAAAAGGTTAACTTGCCTTCCCCCGATAGTTTTGTATTCTCTCCATCCACTACTCAAAACCCTTAAAGGAGGTTCGTTGAAGTTTGGCTTCGGAGGAAATGGCTGCCGGTAAATTAGATCGGCTTTTTTCTGCAGGGAAATCTCGGCCAAATTAGCATACACCAGTCCATCATCATGTTCTTGATCACCTATGTTGCTCTGCGCAGGGGTCGTGTAAATAATATCACTTGAAGACTCCTTTTCATTTTTATTTGATGATCTACTTTCTTCTTGGTCATCTGAGCAATTGTCCAGTCCACTTACGGACCATTCTTTTAACTGAAATTAGACTTTTTTAGATAATAAAGATTGTAGACATAGTCGAGGACTCCACAGTTAAAAAAACATTAAAATACAGTTGCAAACTCACAGAAAGATCGTCTTGCTTTTCGGGACAGTAGAACGTATTTTCACTGGCTACAACTGCACAAATATTTTGTAAAACAGGGCCAGAATTGGAGGTCAAACTCATTTCATGGTCGATTGGATGGGAATGACGGAATTGGGAGGCTCGGGACGACTTGGCCGGACGAAACAGCCGAGAAAGGACCGAAGACAGTCGGTCCCTTCGTTGATTTGGACTTTTGGGCGACACTGAAAAACAAACGAGAAAATAGAGAGAACGCGAGAGCAATCGAACGCTCGAAGTGGACAGCGCTGGGCCATAGCAAATATGACACATCACTTCCAATAATCAAAACACAATCATGGCGCAATAAATGTTAGAAGGAGATGAGAAACACGCTCCTCGTCTTTTCAAGTGAGCTAAAATAATACGGATAATATGAATAAACGTCGCTCGACTCTGTCTTCGCTTCGGAAACCACGCGACGACGATAAATGGAGGCGAACAAGCTCATGTAAAGAGGAGAAGATCCACGAGAAAACCAAGAAAATAATTTCAAAGTACAAACGTCTAGAAAATCGGTCATCCCGACATGGTTTTGACGCATTTTTTATATTTTCGGAAATACATGTTGCTTGAACGTTATTAGCGAAGTTTGTTGGTGTTTGAAGAGGTTTGAAAAAGGGAGGATTCAGCGTGGGAACGGGATGACACAATTTCCGCATTTTTATTCATCCATTCCGGAAAAAGTTAAATTTTAAAAGTAAGCTTAAAATTTTGTCCCAAGTGTGCTTTGACATGGATGTCAAAAACTCAAGAAAATAAAAGGGGGTGTGGTCGGAGTTATGGTATGTACCGTACACGTAAATTTCATCTTTGCTAAAATTGGTGTCGAAAAACCGCAAACCGTTTTCGATCATGACCAACATTTTTATAATTGACACTTTTGTTGTGTATGTAGAATGTAGCATTTGGTTACTTTGAAAAATAGTGGCTCACCATTTTGCATATAACGTTTTTGCAGAGAATTTGTCTTAACTTTTGAAACTTTTCAAAAATACTTTGACGTGGATGTAACAACATATCAAAAATTCAGGAAAGTAAAAAGGTTTTGGAGTTACGGTACTTTGAATCTTGACCATACAGCACTGCGACTTAATCTCGTCTAAACTTTTTTTATTAGTAATTTTTTCAATTCTATTTTTTTTCAAAAAGTTAGAAAGCGTTTTTAGCGTTTTGCTTCTGAATAACCGGTGCAATCTTATTTCTTCACTCTTAGTGTTTCTTGACCGTTCTCCGCGGTTTGCGTACTCTCTCAACCGCAAAGATCGTTGAATATCTCAGCTGCCTCTGCAAAGCGCGAGCTAAAAATTTTTATTATAGGAATTATGTGGGGCCCGACGTGTGTACAAAATTTAAAGAAAATAGGAGCGTTGCACTTGGGGTACTTACTTCCCTTGTTAGATCTCAAAGAATTTCGAAGAGCCAAGTTTGGGTTCAATTCAAAATTTTTATTGAGAAGAGAAACGGATAGAATAATGGCAGTTGATCGTTCCGAATGTAGCCATCAGTGGGAGAATTGATAAAAATATCTTCGTGTCCCGTATCGACCTTTAAATGAAGAGTTTTGAACAGAGGCGATCCTGACTTACCAGCCTGTGTATAGACGTCTCCCCAATCCTTGTCCTTACGAGATAACGCGCTGGGTTCGATCCAATTTTTGTCCAGATAATCGAATGAAATTAGACCCTGAAAAACGTGCGTAGTATAATATCCAACTTTTACAGTGAATGCATACCTGTCTATACATATTAATTGCTCTCTTGGTGTTGTATCTGTCCATGAGATATGGTTTCCATGAATCCCAAAGAGGTCTGTCATAATAGGGATCCCGGTATTTCCGCCAGTATTGAGGGTTAAGATAATCGGTGTAGAACTTGTAACGTGACCAGAATCCAGGAACCACGAACTCTCCGCTGTTGGGGATGGGGTCGGTGTTGGGGTATCTTCGGGCATTGTATCTGTAGTCTTGCCAGTAGACAGTGGGGTTGTGGACAAAGTTGTCGGTATAATAATCGTCCCACTAAAATTAGTTATATTGAATGTAAGGCTTAATTCTTACGGCAGTACGATCTAACCGATGACCGTACAACGTTGAAGGCGCGTATTTGGCATCGACATGGTGATTAGACAGATTAGGGACCGAAGTTACACTGGAATAGGGTTGTTTTCTGATTGGAAACTTACCGTGAAAGGGTGGCTACCCCTTGGGTGGGGATGTCGCGTTCTCTCGGTAAGCATACCGATGATCTTGCATGAATTATACTCATGCTGGTCGGCCGGAGTGTGTGCTTGTTTTAGTTCCGACTGGCCTTCTTTCGGCCGTTCTTGGCCGCTTCTCTAGCCAACTGTCTCTTTCACTTCCCAGTGTTCCTCCACTTTCTTTCTTCCCACGCAAATCCTGGCAACTGTTATCAATACCAATTTTATTTTTTATATGGCAGTCATATAGATCAATATGCAAAGTTAAAGCAAGAAACCCTGAGGGCATTTCGATGAAAACTCGAAACTCGAGATTTAAGGTCTTGAAAGAACATTGTCATGCACAAAAGTTCGGTAAGGCGAATAATAGGCGCGACGATAGACGGTGTCAAAATAGGAATCGGTGATGGGACTGACAGTCTTGAAGTAGGGATAGTTGTTTAGATAACTGTTGTATCGCGTCCAGTAAGGGTAAGGATAACTCCAGTAAAGAGGATTCGAGATATTGTCACTGTTATAGTATCGCCGAGGGATGGAAGTAGTGAATTCGTGGATGGGAGAGAAGTAACGATGCTTGTCATACCAGTAATCGGTGAACTGAGATGTGAGGTTAAACGCAATTTACACTTACCAGAGTGTGATCTTTGGCATACGGTGTGTATTTTCTTCTGTAAGTGGCATAGGTGGGGTATTGAGGAAGATAGCGAGGACTTGCATGGTAGACTTCGTTCAGATTATCCACCGAGTAGGCCCGAGTCAACTAGAACAATACTTTTATCACTCCTTTAGAGCCTACCGCCGCCGAATTGTTAGCATTTACAATGGCAACAGATCTTGCGCGCTGAAGTCGATATTCACTCATTTTTGCCGGAGGGAATGAAACTGAGAGGGAGCTGGGTCAAGGTGCAAGAAAGATAAGGCCAGCTGACAGGTAAACAAACAGCTGTCGAAGAGAGAAGGCGTTCGCCAAAATGTTTATTCATCATCAAGATAAAATGTTTACATTCAGTAAATGTGATGTTGGTAAGGCGAATAGTAAGTGCCATAACGAAGATGGTTGTAGTAGATCGAATCGTGGTTTCTGCTTCGATGAAAGGGCAGGCCGTAATCAGTGATATAGTTCTTGTACGAAGCCCAGTACGTAGCGGGGTATGACCAGTAGTCGTTGTAACGGTACTTGGTGGGATAGGACTTGTACTGACTGTAGTAAGGTCCGTTGAAATGTTCGGAGTGATAAAAGTAGTCGGAATACTGTAATTTGAATCGTCACGAAAAATCTGAGCTTACAATTCCAAAGTCGCGCACATATGCTGAGGGGAAATAAGTGCTCTGATATTGTTGATGGACCCTTTTGGGCTTGGCCGTCTGACTCAGATCATTGCAAGACCAGGAACGACCCAACATCTACAGTAATTTGTATGCCATATTACTGCAATGAACTTACCGGTGAATTCACCGAACTGTGTCTAATATTGGAAGACGAATATGTCCGCAAGAGACTCATTTTGGGAATAGATTAGCCGTGAGAGAACGTCCGATCAGCCGAAAAGAGTGGGATGCTCTCCACCTGGGAATGTTCTTTCTTATGACATTTGTTCAGAAATTCCCCGTTTCGAAAGAAAAGTTTTATTTATAAACAAGCAATGTAAAAAGTTCCAGATAATGTCCTGGTTCGTGCAGATCATCGCAGTAAAACTGAAAATAAAGTAAGATTAAATAAGTAAATTGTAAGATACCATCGTATGTCTCCAAATTGTAAGGGGAATAGTAGGCTGCCCTGATGTATGAATCGTAATAGGGATCGGCCGAACGGTTCTTGTGATAGGGGAAGGCGTAGTTGTACCTAAAGCATCAGTACTTGCAATGTTATACTTACTCTCGGTGTCTATATCCACTGAAATATTGGTATGGACTGGTGAAATATTGCGTGTGATTGGGTTTATAATCAACAGCATAATGAGGACGAGGGAACTTGGGTTTGTAGAAGAGGGGAGTGTTTACTCGGTACTTGTCAGTCACGTATTCATCATGCTAAACATCCATGCAAGATATGGTCTTACTTACCAATGAGTAATCGTTGTAATAACGGTATGGATAACAGTTTGTAACTGGGAAATAAATTCCTGGGGACGATATCTAATAGGGAATCCTACAATATTACTCGGACTTACGTCAGTTCGGCCACTAAATGACTGTGATCTGCTGATATTGGCCATTGCTTTCTTGTAACTGACTCGGAAAAAGAGATAAGGGACTGACAAGACTTTCGAATGGCCAAAGCCCTCAGGCAAAGAACGTCAGCTTCACCTGGAGGGGAGAGAAAATAAAAAGAAACAGAATGTGAATATCTTTATTCTCTCGATTACAATGACATAACCCAGGATCTGTATGGAGAATAGTAGCTGGAACGGACTTCTGGTCGATAATACGAATCTCCATATCGCTGGGAATAATTGGGGAACGGAGTTATTGGTTTTCCGCTTTAAAATAGAGTAAATAATTAGCGGAATTGAACTTACAAATACTTTTTGTAGCGATTGAAATAAGTGTCTGGATAAGACCAGTAGAAAGGATAAGACGGAATGTAATCCCCGTAAGAATAGTATCTTCGGGGAAACATTCTGCGGTTCTCCATGGGGACAAACTTCCTGTAGGCGTCGAACCAATGGTCATCCACTTGCATCTGTCCCAGAAAGTAATTTACTGGGTAATCTGGACTGGTCTTACTGTAATATCTCCGTTCGATAGGAGGTCTCACGTCAGAAGTACTGTCCGATTTAAAGACCTATGCAAGAATTAATACTTTGCGAATACACTTACAGTCAGCGGTGCATTTTCTACTTTAATGTAAGCCACGGATTTTGATTTTTGTAAATTAGACATGACTAAAAACACGGCGGGTAGAGAAAGATTGACCTCGAATCTCAGCTGTTCTTTTTGGATAACTGAAGACTTGTTGGCTAGAGGCATTCTTTTGCAATAAACAAAATAACTCTTTAAGAAATGTTTATTCAATCATTAAGGACAATTTTAGAGACAGTGCAGATATTCATCTGGTATTGTTTATTTGGCCCGAAATTTCTACCGGATTCAAAAGTAGGCTGCTAAAATTTGATAAACAATTATTGCATAATAAATATACGACTACAATGTAGTGACTCCGTTATCGTTTTATAATTCTTGACTTACCATCATATAATCGAGATCGATAAGGCGAGTAGAAGCTTTGTCTAATGTAGGGTTTGTGTGCCGAATCATTGAAATGGCTGAGGTAAAAGGGAGTTCCGTAATCATGAAGATATCGGAGATGACGCCGAGAGTAAACAGGGTTGTAAAAGTGTGTCCGAGGGAGTACATAATCACTGTTAAAGTAGCGCCTAGGGTAATAACTACTGTAATATGGCTGGGAAAACCGATAACGGTCATACCAATAGTCCAATTCCTAAGATATTACTCTTTAGATCAGTTGTAATCGAACAAAAATAATTCAAATTTGTTTACCGTCGTATAGTCTTTGGAATAAGTGTGGCATGGGTTGGAGAATGTGTAATATACTAAATGATATGGCTTCTGTAATGTGAGGGAGGGTGACGAATATGTCCTTGTCAACTAAACAATCCGTTATTCGAAGTGAGATTTAAATGTACCGGGCCTGGTGAAGGTGGCAGTGACACGGACCGAATAATCGCAGATGATCTAGATCTAGTCAGGGAATACTCGGCCATCGGGAACAAATGAGTGGGAGAGACCTTTTCCTGGCCAAGACTCAAAAGAACCCTAAGGGCCAACAAACTCCAAATGTCATAAAATAAGTTTATTTCATGTAAAATAATCAAACGGTCCTTGGTTTGGAATATGAAAGACTCAGTAATCTAAAATAGTACTTACATAATATGTACATAATCACTTACAGTCATAGATCGTACTATAATACGACCTGTACGATGAATGATAATAAGATTTACTACATGGAGAGTAGTAAGATCGGTCGTATAAGGGCTGGTGATAATGGTTGTAGAATCCCGCAATGTATTTGTTGGAACCGTAACCGCTGACATGACTTCTGTATTGTGGATAGTACGCGTTCAGGTTGCCCCAGTAATAAGAATGTGTCCCAATGTAGTCGGTATTTAGGAAGTAACGAGGATAATACTTTCCTTGATATGGAGTACAATACTTGTAACGATTGTAAGCTCGGGTGTAATCCTAAGATTTAATATAAATATCACCATATTCTTCACGCATCGTATGTTAATAACAAAATGTTTTTTACTCACCAATGATCGATCTCTCTGATATCGTCTGACTGGATCTTGTCGACTCAAATAAGATTCATAATAAGGAGTAAAACTGGGCACCAGACTGGGACTAGAGGCCACTCTGCTTAACTGAAAACTCTAATCTCTTTTCTGGGGCACTTACTCGACCCGGCAACGATGACCTACTAAATGTCCTGGTCAGACTAAAAGAACGACATCTGGAAATACTATGGCCATATTCTGACATAGTCAGTGTCCAGTCAGAGTCTCAACTGAAGGATAAAGATCAAGACGAAGTGGGCAGGCCCTTCGTTTCGTCTGCCCTCAGGGAACAAATAATGCGGATATAATGGACTTTTTTATTCGTTTAATTGTTATAACACAAGAGAATTTATGAATTGTAATTTCTCGATCCTTCCGAGAATTGATCGATTCGTTCTTGATGACTGGGTCATGATCTCCATCTTCAATGCCAGTAGGCTAAAAGGATAAAATATTAGACTGACACCTAGAAGTATGATATTATTTTTAGTCAGGAAGCTTACGGTCAACCAGTGAGGAGGTGTATCGGTTGTAACTTCTCTTAACATAGGGATCTTGGTATGGATCGTAATGTCTTGAGCCGTAATATGGAGCGCCATAATTCACACTGAACTTGCTTATTGTAATAGTAAACCCACTTACTGATAGCTCCTGTACAAGTAAGGATAACGACCATAGTAATTAAAAGACGGCGTATATTTGTGATAGTAATTCTTTACTGCGTGATATCTTGGAATGGCAAATCTATATTGATCATACCAATCATCGTATGCCTGGAAAAATTGGGTGATTGAAGACAACACTTACAGCATTGTCATTTGAATAATAAAGGTATAATGGACTTGTTCTTGAATAGTAAGTTAGGTAATAAGGCTTGGAATATTGAGAAGGAATCGATCCAACGGATGGCGCATGTTGTAACTAAAGAGACAGTGATTTATTACAATATATTTACAGCAATTTAGTAACTTACCGTGTTAAGATTATCCCCGGGTGGCAGACTTTTGGCGTTACGGAGTGCGGCGGCGGAGCGGACGCGGGTCAGAGTATATTCACTCATCCCCGACCAATCTCTGTTCAGATTCTTCCTGATCTCCGTGCCCTCAAGGCATAAAGCGGAGGAGGGAAAACGGGCCACATGTTTCTTCCACGAATACATGACACAAAAAACATAATACTCTAGGTTTATTACAATTCAATAGACATAGGAGCGAAGGGGAGTGTAAACGGGAGTACTGTAATATTTGGAGAAGTAAGGGTCGTTGCTGCGAGAGCGATGGTAGTAAGGGTAACCGTAGAAGTCGTTGTCGAACCTGGAAACGTTTCAAAAACATCAATTAAAAACATACCAATACGATTTAAATCTGGGATAAAAAGAATAAACAGAAGTCCATTGATAAGGATCACTGTGGTAATACCGCTTGGGATAGTGGTCCGGGATGTAATGACGGTAGGGATAATAATAGTTATCGTACTGAAACAAGAAACATTACAATACAATTAATTATCTATACCAAACTAAACGATCCGGTATATCTGTAAGAATAAGTCGGATGAAGAACTGGATTCTGGGCAGTACTGGAGGGCCAGTACGGAGTATACAAGGAACTGGTGCTTATATGAGGGACCGACAAAGACCGAGATATCTGAATATAAAGATAATTGGATATCTTAGACCTACCGGAGGTGCTGGTAATGGAGGAAGGGAACTCGCCCTCACAACAACCCCAGATCTCGTATGCAACACCACCATTTTGGATATTCAATTTACAAGAAATTGTTGGCTAAACTCGGGAAGAACACCTGCGACTTTTGAACGAATCCGAGGCTTTATTTTAGTGGCACTTTGTTCATTTGCTATTGGGAGGGAAGGGGTGCGTCCTAACATATTTCTATGGTTTAATTTGTCATAATGGCTTTATTTATTGATTTTTTGTAAAATGTCAGAACATATAATTCGTTGCGTATGGTTGATAAGGCTCTGGATACGAATGATATCTCGTCTTAATCTCCGCCATTCCCTGGAACTGAGATCTTGGTCGATAATCCGTGGTAATATTGTTAATGTAATTGTACTTTTTAAAGTAATGTATAAGTGGCTGTTCGTTGTAACGGAAGCGATGAAATTTCATTCGATTAACACAAGAGGGCTATAAATATTCAGATTGATTCTTGAAACAAAATATTCACATTATGCCATGATGGGAGATTACGGTACGATCCAAAAGTGGGGACATAAGATCGACTGGTGGTTAGGCAGGGATAGATGTCCACATTTCTGACCTTTAATCCTACTTTGAAGGATTATCTGAACTTACTGGATACGCATACAAAGGCTGGAGATAATGGGACATCTTTTGAATTACTTAAGTTACAATTATATCCAATTTCAAAGTATTCTTGATTAATTTACGCTTTACAAATCACTATCTACACGTAGTTTTACTTTTTTATTTTTTAAGCAAGATTACTGTGAAATAAAAGGGCATTCCTTGAGCATTGTTACTAATAATAGTAGCGGTAGGCAACTGAAAATAATTAAAACTTTGAAAAGGAGAAAGAAAAGCTTACGGTCGTTTAAATAAGTACTGTAAGGGAAGTAATTGTAAGAGTAGTAAGGATAATACGAAGAGCGATAGTAACGATACGGGTAGTAATCGGACCTGCAAAGTAAAAGAAATTGTAAAACCAATTGAAAGTAAAGGATTGAATGTATAATAGATTTAGAGAACGTTGCAGCACTTACCAGTAGCTTCGATAAGGCGAAACATAGTCCGAGTAGTAATAGGGACGGTAAGAATAGTAAGGAAGACTGTAGTAGGGACTGTAGTAACGGTTACGCCAGGTCCAGTAATTGTCATACTGAATGTATAATAACAATCATTTTTATATTACTTACAATGGCTGAGAGATGACGATACGGATAATAATAGGAAGAAGAAGTCGAACGGAGGGTCGAGAGGGTCGGAACGGAAGTGCATCGACATAACTGCAACAAACTACAGTATCCCCGCCCAACTTACTGTACTAGAACTGGTCGGGAGTACAACTACTGAATGGGATCGTACCACCACCATCTTGCTCTCCTTCCCACGCTTTGGCCTTTGGATCAGATCGCTCTTATATATTGTTTAGACGTTCCAGGGATAAACAGCTGATGGATGGAGAAGATTTAGGGGTCATGGCCACAAAAAATTCAATAGTAAAGCACTAAAACGTACGTCACAACAACCCGTTACTTACAATCATAGCTTCTATTTGGTCGATAATACAAAGGGCGGTAGAATGGATAACGGTGGCTGCTGAAGATACGACGGTAAATGGGGTAACTGACATCATATCTAAAATAATTTATATGAGAATTTATTTTTTGAATACCTGTAACTTCCACTGTAATATGGGTAAAAATAACCATTGTAATGGGTCCTGTACGGAGTGTAATGGTTGTATTTGGAGTACCAATAGTCATCGTACTACAAGTAAAGTACAAATAATAAATTTGTTGAAAAAAGTAAAGATAACGGAAAGAAAAATTTACCAAGGCATGGCTGTTGAGTAAGTAATGATTGGAGATAACCGGGGAACTGGTCCAATAAGGATTTGATCTTACATTGGATACTGATCTCGACCTCAACAGCTAAATAAAGAATTTCCAGTAATTGGAAACAGTAGCAATAACATAACTGAAATCACTTACCGTAGGAATTGGAACGGCGGTGTTCGGAGATACCACGGAATTACTCCGCTGTAGACCCATCTAAATGCAAGTAATTATCTGTAAAGATTTAGAAAAATTTTAAGTAAAACGGTTGTAACCAGTGTTTCCGATCTTCAGAAAACATCAGTATGCAGTTTATATTATATATGTTCATGCAGGCAGCATGCAGAAAAATAATTTGCGAATATTTAATGGAAACTTGAAATTCTGAAGCATCTGAAGGGAGTGTAGTAACTGTTGGGAGAAAAGGGACGGTAATCATAACTAAAATTATTCATATTACACAACATTCCGCATCGGCCGACTTACACTGCGTTCATATAACCGTAGGAACAGTAGGATGGAACATGGAAATAACTCGGTTTGGCTCGATAAAAGGACCAGTAAGGGGTTATGTAACGGTATTTGTTGTACCAATAGTCATCATACTAAGGAGGAATAAAGAGAAAAGAGGGCTTACATAACTGTGACTAGTGTAATATCGATGAGCATAAGAAACTGGCTGACGATAGGAGGGCCAGTAAGTCTTATAAGTATTCAGAGAAGTGGTTACGCTCGGGAGGGAACATGTTCTGACCACCTGGAACACAATTTATAACTGGATTTGTTAAGTTTGTTGTAATCGTTGAATGGCTTACTTTAAAAGGGATATCGCTACCAATAGAATTGATGTCGTTATTTACAATAGAGCGGGATCTGATGAGCACCATCACGTCGACCCGAGAATGTTCCTTTCTTTCCCCAAACAGCCGTCCCCCGTCCCCGTTTTCCCCGGAAAATTGCCTTTATCTCCTTTTATCCCCTCATCTTCCTTCCCCTTGTCCCATGATCTCTTCACTCCCACTCAAAATTTTTTTATTTCTCACATAATTGTAAATGTTCATTGGAAAGTACGATTGGGGAGATAGTACGGACTTAGATAGTAGGTGTCGTAGTTGTTGCTGTTGTAGTAATATCCTTTATACGGATATCCGTCGGCATTGCTGCAAAAGTTAAAATAAATGCCAAGAACTTACTAGTAACTCCTGTTCTTGGGAATATAGGCTCCATTCCCGTAGTAACTGTACAAAGGAAAGGCTACTGCTCGATAGGAGTAGCGAGGGTACTTGTAGCTGTAGTAGGCATTGTGATATCTGTTCCGATAAGCCCAACAGACGTCGTACTGCAATGGAGATTACTGCAAATTCATCTAAACCCACCAAACTGGAATCAGCATAATAACGGCAGGGATAATATGTGCGGAAAGTTGGCCAATATGGCTTATAAGAACGAACATTTGGAGTGGAAACTGACTTTGAGAGCTGAAAATAAAAGGTTGGTGATGAGCAAGAGATATGACTACAATCAATTCTGTTGCTATAAATCATCGTCTTACCGGGGCAGGTCCCACAGAAAGAGTGGAGACCGAGGTCGACTTTAACAACACCATTTTGGGAAACGGCCAAAGAAAAGAGTAACGGCCGCTGTTCTGGATCAAGCCCAGGACCCTCAAGGCAGATTGAGGCGGATCTCTTTCGAACGTTTTTTCTCCCAGATACGTGAATATAAAACGAATATAACTTTTTCTTTCTTTACTTTCGATGCCTACATTTGATGTCATGAACAGAATAATGTATCTTACAATCAACGCAAGTACTTGTTTATTCAAATTTCAAGTAAAAAGAATAAAAAATTGGAGTTTTTAGAAGTCTTTGATCAGTAGTAGTTGTCTGAAAGTATTGTTCATACCACTGGAATGCACTTACAATCGTAGTAATAAGAGCGGTAAGGAGAAATGTAATTAGTTCTGTAATAGGAGTCATAATAATACGGATAATGGGATCGATTTCTGTAGTACGGATAGTCATAATATCCATAATCATACCTAAGATACAGTAATTTAAATTGTAAATAATTGTAATCAAGGAAACTCACAGATAACTTCGATAGGAGGGTCTATCGTAGGTGTACCATGGAATGTAGTCACTGTAATAGTATCTTTTTGGGTAATAATTACTGTAATAGGGACTGTAATAATAGCGATAAGGATTGTAGGTACTGTAAGTTCCGTATGGATAGTAAGTATTCCAATAGGAGTAATAGTTTGGCCAGAAGGGTTTGTAAGTTGAGAGACTCGGGACCGAGTAAGTCCGGGTCAACTAAAAAAGATTCATTTATCCAGTTCGATTATTAGAATTACGTTGTATTATCTAGTACTTACTAGGCCCGGGGACGGGACCGAACTTGGCACAATGGCCACAGAACTGGATCGAATCAAGACCATCTTCAGAGAACGATCGGAAACGACGGAAGCGAGGGCAAGAGAGAAAAGAATCCTTTACGTGGGTTGGCCCTTATTTAACACCTGTTCGCTCATCTGATTGTTTATTTACCACTCAACATTTACATACAAACTTTTAAAAGTCGTTAAGATATTTGAGAGTTCGTTGATGCTATGCATTGGGTTACCCATCGAAGATCAGTAATATCCAACTGAAAGAAACAATACAATCAAATATTAGTCTTACATTCGTAATGATAGGTTCGGATGGGATTAAAATAAGTGGGCTGTCTTTTGTAGTAGCCGTCGTAATAGTAGGGACCATAGTTCTGACTACGATGACAATACTCATTCCTTAAATACAAGGTGTTTACAGCACTTTTTGACTTACAGGAAGTTCCGATACCTCGGCCAGCACTTGCTGATGGTACTGAGGTAAGCCGAAGGCTCTGGGACTAACTGAAAGTAAGGTTTTCACGGTAAAATAACTTCAATCATCAGTATCAAATAAAATAAAATTTTGTTTTTGATCCACCTGCTGGGTATCTGGAGCCAGGGAACTTGATCGTACGGTACTTTGAGAGCGGGAACGGGGAAGAGAGGACATGATTTTGAGGAATGAGGCCAATCCCGAGATCCCCCTCTGCTTTTGTTTTATCTTTTTTTTTGTCTCCCAGGTCTCGAAAAATATTTATTTCGAAAAAATTAAGTTTACAATTCGAAAACTTGGTAAGCGATTCTTTATTTCTGCATGGACTTCAGTAGTACACATCTAAAAATTACAGTAAAATTAGGCATATTTGTATCGAAAAAAATGGAATTAAATGACTTACAATCGTAATTGTAAGATCTGGCTGGCCAATAGTAACTTCTAGGCTCCGAATAGTAACTCTTACTGATCAAAGGAGTGTAATTTACATCGCGATAACTTGTGTGATGACTAAAAAGATTAGATCAATGTGCATCATTGTAAATGATTCATATCTTGTATTACAATACCGACTTACACATAGTTTCTATAAGGGTTGGTCCGTCGAATAGCAGCAAGGAAGGTGTCCGTATTGACGGTATAGTAAGGTCTGGGAGTGAACCATTGAGTGTGATTCTCAACTCCATAGTAGCTGGTCTGAGGATTGGGTCTGTAGTCACTGTAAGCACCCCGGGGATACTGTTTGTTCCAATAGGAATGGTAATTGGCCCAGAAAGGACGGTAATTTGGGAGTTGGGGGATTGAATGGGTGCGAGTCAGCTGAAAGTGCACAAATTTACTGGTAAATGAAACATGTCGCTGCCAATTATCTTCAGGAAGTCACGACCATATGCCTGGGAACATGTGGTATGGTAAGAGGATAATTTTTGTATTGTTTTTAGTCAAATTTTAAAATTATAATTAGATTTTTCGATCTTAATCCACAAATTAGAAACTTACCGGAGTTGGATCTGGATTAATGGAAGCCGAGCCGATTAAGGCACAAGACAGAGACCGACTTCTTCTGAGCCCCATGGCTGATCACTGAGAAGAGAGAGGCCCCGTTCCTTGGCTTTAGGGCACAAGAGAAAAAAGAGGCCCGAACCTCCTCTTCCGAACATAAATATCTGATATTATCACGATTGTACACTTGGGATACATTAAAAGAATCAAATAATATTAGAATTCGTTTTGTTTATTACAAAATCCAATGTTTTATTTATATCCGACTGTACAGATACGTTCGGGGATTATACGGACTTTTGTAATGATTGGCGCAGCTGTACGAGTTGTAGTACCCTCGGCTGGAAGAGAGGTCACTGTAGCTAAAATTGAAATATTAATTCAAAAACCCTGCTCCCCATTCATTTACCGCATTTCGAAATTTCAAAACTCACTGTGATGACTTTGCGCTGGGAAGATACGAATACAAGGTGTAGGTGTAATTGGGGACATAACTGCTGTAATAGTAACGTCTTGGATAGTCATAGCTGTGGTAGGTGCTGTATGACCGGCCAGGGTAATACGTAAAATCATCAAACTAAAGAGATTCCATTATAAATCGAGTAAACTTGCTCTGCCAGAAGTGTGATAAGTCCTGGCTGGACTGTAATAATTGTCGTAACTTGACCATGTGGGCTTGTATTGGTTTACCGTTGGCAATGAATACGTACGTGACAGCTGGAAACGATTTCTATTCTCATTTCTTTCGCAACGATCTTTGATTGCTTCAAAAAAACTTACCGAATAAGGTCCAGATACCGCATTGTAAGACCTGGACCTGGACCGGTAAAGGCTGCTGGAGCTATTATACTTACACAACGGCGCCATTTACCAAAATTAACACTTCTAAAGACAAAGAAATGCAAAACGACAGCTGATCAAAAGCGGGGGAAGGACTCGTTTATTCACAAAAAAGAGATAAAGAATCAAGTCCAGGCGCTCAGGAATTTCCGGGGACGATGATAATGGGGCTGATGGTAATAGAGAAGCTCGGTCTTCGGTTCGTATAATCGCCTCCAGTCACAACCCACCTTGTCCAGGCAATTACGCGTGATATGGCCGTGGTCTAGCGAGCTGAAAGTCGTAATTCCGTTCCGATAAGCCCCGAGCGCCTTATGAAAACTTAACGCGAGATTATCGTAGAGACTGGCACGGTACGGAGAATAGTATGTGGTACGGTAATAGGGCTCATAGGTGGGTCCAGTGTAACGCGTGCGGTAATATGGATGACTGTAATCGTATCTGGAAGAAAGGAGATGCCGGAATACAAAAAGCTTACAGTTCACTGCGATAACTGGTCCAATACGGCCTGGACTTGTTCAAGTAATAACTCTCGTTGAAGCGATTCACTTTATCGTACAATGGAGAGAAATACTTTTGGCGATTGCTCCAATAATCTTCATGCTGCAATATTAAGGTACAAATAAACAATTGCTTGAGTGTTACTGCTTACCACAAGATCAAAATCTTTGTGATATCGATAGGGAAACGAGACCGTCGAAGCCGAATAAATCCGATCTGGGAGCTGGACTGGGGACGGCTTCACAAGATTTACATCAGCAGAAGAAGGGGCCTTACTCAACTGAACAGTTCGTTAAAATTAACCACTTTCAATGCAGTAATGACTAGTTCAAACCTACAAAAGAAGGCGCGTAGTTCTGTTCGACAAATGGTAATGGCCGTATAATCTCAGAGGTATCCGCACGAGAGATTTTGTAACTCATTTCGCTTTAACAACGCCTGCCGAACGTGTATATAATAACCAAAGAAAACGAATTAGACCAAGCTTTTTCGGCCGCCTTCTCGGCCGCTCGAGTGATCAAGTACTTTTTTTATTTAAAAGAAGAAAACGAAAGCAAAAGCGAAGGAAATGTCACGGTAATGGCATCGGCGTCCACCGGACTGACTCCCAGAGAACATTGCGTCTGTGAATCGACAATTTCTTGACCCATCCGAATAGATTTCTGTTTACATCTAAATACCATACACTGTTATTGAATATCACTTCAGAAAAGGGGACTCACCGTCGAAGAGACTTGGTCGATAAGGCGAATAATACGCACTTCTACTGTACCAATTGTAATAGGGATCAATGTTACGAGATTCGTAGACGGAATGACGAGGTCTCCAAAGATAAGGTCGGGAGTAGGGATACCAACCAAAAACAGACGGGTAATATCGAGTGGGTGACCGGTAGGAATTGTACATGGGGATGGGATTGTAGTAAGTACGGTAATAGAGAGGTTCGTAATGGGAATAATCATCGAGAAGTCTGGAGCCACGGTATTCTCGATGAGAAACAAACTCGGCGGACGGGAAATGATACAGAGGACGGGTGGTGGGACGGTTGTAGGGATACGCTCCAAGACTGACCACTGACGATGATCTGACCAACTAAATGAAGAAAGAAGATATCACAGATAATCTGAAACACACCGGAATTCTGGATGCTGAACTAGATCGTCGAACCATCTGGGCAGACCTGGAACGGGCCAGGCGATACTCGCTGATCGACATCGCTGAAGATTAAAGTTGCATTACTTTTCTTTTTGCTCAAAGAAATAAGTTCAATTGTTTCCAATTTATTTATTTACAATACGTTTCAAATTTCATTAAATAGTACAGAAATTGCTTCTTGGAAGGATGACGAATTAAAAAATAAAAAAGAAACAAACAAGGCTGGATAAACAAAACTTTTGAAATCTCCAGATCTTTTCATAGAGCTATCCCTTTAGCAAGATCAGGAAAGAAACAGCCGCCATTTGATTCGACTCTGCCCTCTCTTATTTCGCTTAATTCAATAGTTATAATATGGACGATAAGCCCCATACCAGGATGGAAGATAACTTGTGTCTCTGATCGAAACACGACGACTTTTGTAATAATTGGAGGGATATGTGTAATGATACAAATAGTTCTTATAATGACTCCAATTGGAATACGGGTATCCCCAGAAGTACGGGAACAAACTCCGATCGTAAAGGGGACTGAAGTAACGGTATTTATCGTAGCGATGGTCGTCGTAGATGTCACTGTAATCCCGGTAATTCCGATACGGATAATAGGTGTTCTGACATGAGAAGTCAGACGAGAGCTCGGGCTTGGGAGTTGCGAGATTTCTCACCGAGTAAGAGCGTCGGAGCTGCAGAAAATACAGGTTGCATAATATTGTAAAAAAGGGATGAGATCAGTGATTACGAGGCTCGACTTTGGATTTCCGGCGCATCAAATTCCTGACTAACGTAAGGCATCCCTTATTACTCACCGCGAGATTTTCGGCAATGAGCCGTGGTTCAAGCCTATAAAAACTCTGGGCCTTTCTAATTGCAAAACATGCAATGAGAGCAGCAGGTTTCCAAAAAAGCTTTGCCTGCGTCCAAAGTCTTACCGATTACAATAAGATTCACCTACAGGAGCCGACGCTACAATAGAAGGCTGACGGACCAAAGAAGTTGACCGAGCTCGCTGCAGGTACGCCATAGTGACGGTCCGGCCTGGAAGACAGTGGAAGGCCGAGCGGAGGCGTCTTCAGATATAAGAGCAGGCGAACACCTGTCCATTCACACGTATTCCACGATCCCCGATTTATTTTGTTTATTCAAAAAAAGAAAAAGATCAGGACCAGCGGGCGAAGTACTCTCGGGTGGCCCGATCCATCGCCGAAAAGGGCGTGTAGCGAAGAGAGGTGTCCCACTCGTACTGGGACATGTAATTCTTTAGTCTACGGTTCCAATATTTGCGCGACAAATCAAAGTCGTGACAATTGGGATCAGCGATATAACAGCGAGCGATATGGGGAGTAGTACGAATGTCTGAAGATCGGGTCGAAGAAGGGTACCACTGACCGATAGTAGTTCGTATAGGGGTTCTGGTAGTCGTATCTGAAAGCAACCTACAATGTCATACTTATGCTTACAAGTAGCTCTTGTAACGGGTCCAGTAGGTGTCGGGGTAGCTCCAGTAATAGGGGTTGGGGATGTGGTCGCTGTAGGCGTATCTCCTAGGGAAGAGGGATCGGTTGTAGAGGGGACTGAAGTAGCGGTATCTGTCATACCAGTAGTCGTCATACTAAAAGTTTTAAAATGTAACTCATCATCATGTTCTTTGATATGTCGTCCTCCCAACTTACCAAACTGTAATCTCGATAACGCCGATAAGGGAACTGGCTGGTGATCGTCCACTGAGGCTTATAACGATCGCTGACTCGGATATGTTCAGTCAAATCGGGCACCGAACAGGTTCTTGTGAGCTGGAAGAGAGAAGATGGGAAGCCCTCGGGCACTTACAAGAACATTTGGCCGCGAGCTGAGAGAGTTAGAGCGGACAATAGCCGCCGATTTGACCCTCGACAATCGATAATTGTCGCTCATACTATGGCCAAAACAAGAGCACACGTTCCTTGGCTTCTGGAGGAACGACGTGACATGTGCTTTCTTTCTTTTTCCGCCATAAACCCGGCCGATCTCTCCCCGGAACACTCCCACGCCAAAATCAAGACTAGGTAAACAGCTGTTTACATTGTTTATTCTCAAGTACAAAGTCAATAAAAGCATATCAAATTTAAATACGACGGAAACGGAAGTCAGGATCGAAATACCGGCTTGGGTCATCGAACATCTTGTAGTACTTATCCTCCGGGTATTTCACGCAGATTTGGCCATTGGCCACCACAAAATGTTGAGGATGATGAACCTTAAAATTTAAATTGCAAAAGTTTATTACATTCTATCTGGGTCCTTTTTTATAAATTCATTAGAACTAACCAGAGTAGGTTTCAGTGATGGAACGTGCTTGGCGTTCTCGTAGATGGCAGCTCTTCCCCATCTCAAAGAATAATCGCCATGACGGCAGATCTCAGCAGTCAAATTGGAGGTACGAGACTCCATTTAAAGAAACCTGATTGACTGATAAAACTGAGGGACTCTCCTCTTCCAAGAGCTGGACCAACTGTTATCTCAATGGCCAGAAAAAAGCCATTGAGAGAATTTCATGGCAAAGCTTGAAATTATGATCTTCCCATCCCATTTTTCCATAGTATACTTATTTACTTTTCAATCATGGGAGAACAGCTTTTGAGAGAGAGCCAAACACCGAGTGCACACGAAGGCCCCCCTAATTTCTGGTTGTGCTTTTTTGGAACGGCCACAGGAGGCAGGACATCGCTAACTGCGGTATACAAATTACCACCTTCCGGCCATGATTCGGCAAAAAAATTTGGGAACATGTTTTAATAACCTATGCTATATCATTATATGCCAGAAAACACAAAAAAAATCCGGCCCTAACAGAAGCTGACGCAGCGAGCCAAAAGCCATCTTTTAAGACATTTACCAAACGTAGATCTTTCCTTATTTTTATTTCACAAAGCAACTGCAACTGATACAAAAGGAGAAAAACAAGCAAACAGATCTTTATTAGCAACAATGAGACCTTTTGGATTCGAGCCAAAAGCGGGATGTAGAATGAAGACATTGAAGTTTACATAGGATATCCATATTCACCAGAATTATCTGGAACTCTGACGTCATCGATCTTGAGGATCATTCTGACAACCTGAGTGGCCAGTTGAATCTGCTCCTTCTTCGCATTGAAGGCTTCAAGAACATTCTGATTCTTCATATCACAGTCGCCCGTTTGAAGACAATCGATTCCAAGACGAGGATTCTTTTCGGTGATTTGTCTGGCTTTCAGAGAAGTCAGATGCTCCATTCCAGAAAGACCCGAGTTTTCGGCCAAGGCGTTAGGGATGCCTTCCAAGGCATCGGCATAGGCACGGTAAGCATACTGGGACAATCCAGAGACCTAAAATTAACAATTTAACTTGCGTCGTGAAGTGGAATAGACAAAATCACCAAAACAATCACCTTATCGGCAACTTCATTTACAGCAACGGAACACGCAATTTCGGGCGCGCCTCCACCATAAACGATACGATTGTCTCGGACAAGGTTGCGGACAACACAAATCGCATCATGCAGGGATCTCCGGGCTTCTTCAATCACCTAAAAGGATAAAAATTTCACAAAAAGAAGACCTTACCATCTTATTTCCACCTCTCAACATTATACTGACGGTTCTCTGGTTGGGGCAATCTTCGATAACCATAAACTGATCATTCACAGTTCCAAATTGGAGTTCTCTGACTCTTCCAGCAGTACCCAATTTCTGCTCAGTGAGCTCGGCAAATCGGGGCACAATTCTGCCGTTGGTGGCGATGGCAATCAGCTCAATATCAGGGCCTCCAACCCAACGCACAGCTGGCAAATCATTGTGATACAGAAGATGGGTCGCTTCATCATCGAAACCCCATTGGCAGATCACAAGACCAGCTCCGCTCTTTTTGACATCTTCAATCATGTTCAAGAAGGTCTTATGCTCGTACTCTTGAAGCTGTTTAAATTCTTCTGGAGTAGAGATGTCCAGCTTATGCTTGGTCTTTGGCTTTGGTGGCTCGAATGGGCAGGTCAAGATAGCAATCTTCACATCTTTTAATTCCTTTGGCATTTGAGGATGAGCAAATGATTTATCAACAAGAACACCGTTGAAGAACTGAGAATCCTCAAGGCGTCCTCCAGGCTTCTCCACGATCTTGATCAAATCAAAGTTGACGTCTTTCCGTTCTTTATCAACCACAGCCAGAACGGCTTTGACCGCCATCTCCGCGAGCTGACGTTGGCAGTTCTTCACACTAAAGAATAAGAATATAAAACTTCAAATTAAAATTGACAAAACCACAACTAAAGCTAAGTCATTCACATCTTAGATCCCAGAGAAGTTGAAGCAGCTTTCACAAGAGACTCGAAGTCGTATTCTGGAAAGGTCTCCGAGATTTCCTCAAGCCGTTCTACAGCTCTTCTGCATGCAAGGTCATAACCATCGGCGATTTGAAGAGGGTGGATGCCCTTATCAAGCAAAGGCATGGCTTGTTCCAGAAGAGATCCAGCTAATACTAAAAACAGAAAATTCCATCAAGGTATAAAGAAACATACCAACAACACCAGTAGTTCCATCTCCACTCTCATCGTCCTGGGATTGGGACAATTCAACCATCAGCTTAGCAATATGATGGTCAACATCCATGCTTTTGAGGATGGTAGCTCCATCATTTGTCGTCGTTACCTCGCCATCAGGATTTACAAGCATTTTATCCAATCCCAAAGGTCCCAACGAAGTCTTCAAGGTGTTAGCAACTTGTCGAGCAGCCAAAATGTGCGTCTAAACGGGCATGGAATGACAAAAAGCATAACTTACCTTCAGAGCTTCAACCCCAGTCAATCTTTTCTGTTTCTGTTGTTCTCGGATAACCATAAATGGCTGTCCCGTCTCATCGAAGCATACTTGGCCGGCCATTTTAGCCTGGAACTAAAACAATTTTATAACAAGATCCAGACTAACAGTTCAAAAACGGGATTGGGCAGCAAGCTTCGACGACCTTCCAGAGCCAAGAGAATTTCCATAGGTCTGGAATATTACGGAACGCCACTATCGACTTTTGAGAAAAATTGACGAAGTGCCAAGTCCTATTAATTCGAAAAAGTCTCGGATACTGTAACCAGTTAGTTATAACCCCGAATTCCATCATAATTAAAATTGGTGCGTTCGACGTTTAGTATAACTTGTATTCCCGTTGCGTTTTACAAGATTAAATGCTAAACGGCGTGATGCATTAGGACGTCTTTGACTGTGTTAAGCATTCTTAAATCAGTTTAATAAACAAAAAGAAAATTCTTATTTTTGAACTGTTTCAGTTTCTGCAACGTTTAATTGGACGGTAAGCAGGCATTTTGTTGTTCATGATTGACAGGTTCTCTCTTTCCTTGTTCAAAATCGGGTCTAAACAAAGCCTGATTCAGACCTCACTATTACAATATTATTTCTCTTTACAAGAATGAAACCAGCCATCCTTTTTATCTCTCTTTACTTTATTGAAATTGTTAGCAGTAGTCGTGGATGCAAAGATGAGATCGATAATGTGATCGGGATATACGAGATAGATGAAGGTACGTTCTTTTGCTACGGCGGCTGTGTATACAATGCACACAATTATTGAATTAACCGTGCATTCTAGGACCGTCTATAATTAATCTCAAAGGAATAAAGCTGGCGACATATGATGGTCAACGTCGTCCACATTGCAACAATGCTAAAGCCGAAGTTACGTTTCCCGGATTTGTGAAAGTAATCGAAGGAGAACTAATAGTTAATGAGAAAGTGGAAATAAGCAGTCTTCAACTGGTGTTAACAGCAGAACATAACTCACTCTTCATCGGAAAAGTCTGTAAAAATGGGAAAAGTGTCAATACCTTTGTGGATGATGACGTCTGGTAAGTATAAACATTTTTTACTTATTCTTTCAGCAATCTGGATCTATGCGAATACTCCAAAGAAATCTGTAATTTAATATCAAAACCAGAGACAATCTCCCTAAAAGAAAAGATCCCGAACTTAATCCCCATCCCGGAAACAGATTCTCCAGTGGAAGGCGAATGGAAAGGAGAAGTGATAGTAAAGAATGGAAACCAATATCTGACAAAGTTTAGACTAAACAAGGAAAAGGAATGGCTCAAAACGAAGATTGACGATCATGAGGAAGAGTATTATGACCATGGGGAATTGTGATCAAATTGCAACTTCTCGACGAGCGATCAACATCTTCAACTTGGGATTCCGCTTGATGCATTTCACTGCCCTCTCGTGTGTGACCATTGTAAAATCATAACCGTTCACCTATATGTTATTTTATGAAATAAAGGCATCCAACTTACTCCCAAGATCTTGTCGTGTTGTTTTAAACCAACTAATTCTGCAGGGGATCCATTCTCAACCCAAGTGATGTAAATTCCCTACAGATGATAAATACAATTTAAGAATGCTTACAGTGTCTGGATACTTAAACGGGCTTCGTTGTGGGTCTTGATCTATTCCACCACCAATTTTGAATCCCACTTTCTCCACAACAGTTCCATCTGGAGCTCTGACCTTCTCCTTCTCCAACTCAATCTCAATACTCAGGCATTCAATAGGTTGTCCCGGTCGAAAATGATTCATTGCAGCTGCGTGTAACAAATCCCTCTTTCTTCGAATACAACAGGTGATTCATCATCTCTCCTCTTGCAGCATTCGACTCGTTTTGGCATTAGAACAGGCCAGTAAAAATCCAATATTTTATGTGACATTTCGATCACTCTTGTTTTTTCGGAAATTTGTAGAGACAAAAACAAGATTTTTTCGAAGGATTTCTCTGACGAAGGTATTTTTCTCCCAGGATGTCTGGAAAGGATTTCTTGCCTTCTCATCCTTCTAGTTCATCGGGTATGCGTTCAAGGTCTGTTAGTGGCCGACAGACACCAATTTCAACTGCCGATTCCAACGACAATGATGATGATAGAATGTCCGTCAGTTCGTGCTCAAACACAAACACTAAGAGAGTGAACAGATTATATGATTTTGAAAAGGAATGCTCTTTAGAACAGTCTCCATGTTCGCTTTCTTCAGGTGAGTTGTTCATTCCTTTCTTATTTTGGCTTAGAATCCAAAACGGATCTGTCATTGATTCCGGTGATCTCTGATCAGCTTCTGAAGAATTGGTCGGATGGAGAAGGTGGTGGATTCGACAAGGCCGATGTTGGGTTGCTCGGAAAGAAAGCGCTTGACCTATTGTACCTAAAAAATTCTGCTGAAGTAAGTGTTGGTTGTTTTTTAATAAATTTGCATCTAGTCTCGCGCCGAAGAACTTTCTAACCGTATTCTTGCACTCGAGGCGACAAATAGAAGAATGAGAGAGAGTAACGTCAAGATGCAAGCTCGTGTTGAGCAAGAAGAAGAATATATCTCCAATATGCTTTTGAAAAGGATCCAGAAACTGAAAACAGATAAGGAGTCGATTGCTTTGAAGTACGAAGAAGAAGAGGAGCATCTCACGAATGATTTGACTCGGAAATTGAGCCAGGCAGGTTGAACTTCCATTTAAATTATCGTTTTTATTGCCCCCTTATAAATGCTTTCTTATAGTTGGAAAAGCAACGAGATGAACTGGTGAATAAGTTAAGCCGCGAGCAAACCTCCATGATGGACAACCTTGTTCTTAAGGTCAGAAAGTTAGAAGCCGAAGTCAGAGCAAATCAAAAGACCTTAGAACAGCTTCGCAGAGAAAAAGTAGATATGGAGAACTCCTTGGAACATGAGCAAGAAGCCCTTTTCAACAGTTTGAGTAAGCGGGTCGATCAACTGGAAGCAGAAAAGAGACATCTGTATACAATGTTGAACCCATCCCTTCAGGAGTGTTCTGGCACTGGCCCTCCAACCCCGAATGAGTGAGTATAAGATTGCTTTTTAACAATGTTTAGTTCTACCAGAAGTTCCGTCAGTGGATTTGTTGTTCCCGTGAATGCAACAGAAGACAATACCGAGATGTTGACACTTCGAAATCAACTGGCGAGGGCTAGAAACACAATCTTGACTTTGAGGCAACGGGTGAATGACATGGAGAAGGAGAAAAAGGAAAACCAGCACAAATTGCTCAAACTGGCGGCATTCGAACGAGATTTACCCACGTACGAAGAGTTCTGTCAATTTATTACCGAAGTTGCATCGAAATCATGTGCTTCCAATGACCCCGAGCACAGCCGGGCTTCTCCATCACACAGTGAATCCTCCATTTCAGTTCCCGGGAGCAGTAAGTTCAACAGTTTTTGATAATAATGTTTAGTGTCCGACCTCGAGAAAGCTGGCCGATCCCCAATATCATTTAGTTCACGGGATGTATCCATGGATTGTAAGTTTTCTCACTTAAAGGTTCATGTCATAGTTTTTCCGAGTTCAAGAGCCACACACATATCAGTTACTTAATTTTTTTTGTCTTTCGGCAATTAATCAGGTTTTTTCAGCCTTCGCAGACAGATTTGACGGTGATTCTACCCGTTGAGGTTGCGAGTTTTATAGTTTTCTGCTTCCGGTTGACTGTCGAGGACTTGAGATATATTGGTTCTTAATGTCATCGCTTTTATTTGTTATTATTTGGAGAAATTGTAATTTATTTTCCCGAGCCTGGAATAAACAAAATGTCTGAAACGTTGTTTGTTTTGGAATAATAACAGGGTGGTCAGAGGTCAACGCGCCTCCGAACGGAGAGAAAAGATGACTGGTCAATGCATTGGAAGCGTTATAAGGTTGAGAGTGCTGACGAGTGGTGCTGCCTGCCGCACGCCGCAGCAATTGTGGACTGAAAGAGGAATTGGTCGGGGAAAGGGGGGTGAGCGGGAAGTGTCTGTGCTCCATTGGACGGGGGAAAGAAGAGTGGTTTTCGCTGAACTGCGAGTCGCCACTACCCCCATCCCTTTTTCCGTCTTTCCCAGACTGCACTGTTTTCGCACTGTCGATGGAATCTATTTCCGATATTGAATCATGTGATGTTTTACTGTTACCAATTCACTGCCATTTGAATACCCAAACTTTTAGGACATTGGAGTTTACCATTTTGACCCTATTTAGGTTTTCTTTCCCGCTTTGGAACTCCAGCCTTCAATAAGAAAATTTTCCCGGCTGTAGGGATGGATTTTTGAGATGACTAATGGCAACGCTCTTGTACTTCAATTCAGTTCTATATTCTTTACGTTTCCCCCCTGAGGTGAAAACGAAAGTAAATTATTTTCTTGTTTCTGTGAACATTTTCATGACGAAACCCCGCCTTGTCTGGGTTCCTGAATCGAATCTGGCTGCTTTCTTTCAAGCTGAACACGCTCTTCGTCTTTCTACTTTGATTAAAACGTCAGAAAAACGCGCGTGGAACAAAAAAAGTGTATAATAGACGCTCGCGTAATAGCGCAATAGCCTTGGGCAAGGGTGGGGGAGAGATGCGCCCAGACACAAAGACGAAATTCGACACCAAGATCGCGTCGAGACGTCGCGTCGCGCGTCGAGTGATACCCGGAGGGAGAGGGAACGAAGACGTCAGTCAGCCTTCTCCACCCGTTCGTCGAGAGAGTCACGTCAGATCTGTTTTGTCGCGCCTATCAGCTCTACGACGGTGGGAGCGGAGCCCTGACTTGAATTGAAATCTCGGCATCTCGATACAATAATTCGCTGCCAATTCTTTGGTTACCCGGACCATCTCCTGCCAGGTTAACAAGTCGGCATTCGATTTCGGGTCGACTGTCCGGATATATAATCGTCATGTTCCCGTCGACTACTAGCCCTACTCCACAAGCCCTTCTTCTCGATCCTTTGAGCTTCGCTCAATTGGCAGCCGCCGCTTCGGCTGTTCCAGTGGCAAGCAGCGCCCCGTCCAAATCGCCCAGCAGTCTTCAGAACGCAAACCGCCGACGACCCAGCGGTTCTGCCCAAAAGCCTTACGCTCCATCGACGACTTGTCAACGACGTCTTGTCGCGGCAGCCACCGCCTCAGGTAATGGTCGCACCCAGCTTGCACTGATCTTTGTTTGTCTGTCTTTGTTTATTCTTCTCGTCTGGACTTATCAACGGGCGCGGAGCGGGCTTGTCTGGCTAAGAGGTTCTTTCATCTCGATTTTATTATACTGTTGCAACTGTGTTTACAGCGATCGTCACCGTTATCAGTGCGCTCAGGGATTGATAAAAGTTTCTGCGTGTTTGAGAACGTGATGCTCGTCGACGAAGAATCTAGTTGTCGGGGCGTATCCTTCCATCTCTGAAGGATTTCTCTTCTTCGCCCGGCGATCTTGTTCTAGACATTATTAATGCTGGAGGAAGAGGAACAGAGAAACGCTGTCGGTTTCAGCAACGTCCGTTTCCCCGCTCCTCTTAATTGAATGTCTTCCCTTTTATGGGAACGCCGGCGTGCTGGGAAGGAGCTCCTATTTTGATAGTTGATAATAATAGTTCGGTTTCATTTGCTGAAATGCGTCTTACATCGATTGTAATCTTTACGACTTTTTACATTAGAACAAAATTTCCAAAGAAAGGATTGCCGATTTTTTCCTACCAAAGCGGGTAATTTTAAACGCAAGCGAAAGTGAAGAAGGATAATGTCACTTTTGTCTGGGCGACACAATCACACAATAGCAGCCGTCTACGCACTTTTCTGATCTCCCCGAATGCGTCTGGGTGCGCTTGATCTTGGCGGTCGGTTGCGCTCTGTTGAGGGCTGTTTCCCTTCCCTTTCTCTCAGCAACAGGTTTTCCGCGATATTTTTTCTCCGCTGCACCTGTGCTATTCGTGTCGTCGTATCTCGCACGCACCCAAATCTGTCCTTTTTTCTCCTCTGAATAATCTACTCTTTTTCTACTATAGGTGTGAAATTATTGATTTTATGTAATCGTTACTTGCTAGCTTCTCTCGATGTTTTCCGCTCGAGACAAATTTTCTGAAAATTGTGATTTTTTATAGATAATTCACACTTTTTTTATATTTGATATTTTTATTATATTTGACATCAACGTGATGCGTCAGTCACGTTGTCAAATTGCCGTAATTTTTTTCATGTCAATTTGTTCTGTCATTCCGATTGTCAAGTTTAACTTTTTTTGGATTTTCAATTCCAAAAAAGCGCCGATATTTCCCCGACAGACTGATATCTGATAATCTTGTTAACACTGACGTGGTTACATTACGGAATTTTAAAATGATTCTTTTTCAAACTCCTCGATTTTAGGTTTGTACTCGAGATATTTGAAGATCAAAGTGTAAACTTGGTTTCTCCAATAATTATTTTAATTTCAGGGGTAATGGAATTGCGGGTTGGAGGATGCTTTCGACTTGGCCGCAAGATTGGAAGTGGATCATTCGGTGACATTTATCTTGGTGAAAATATTGTTACACATGAAGAAGTCGCCATCAAACTCGAGTGCATGAAAACAAAACACCCACAGCTCCACATTGAAGCAAAGTTATATAAATTTATGCATGGCGGAGTTGGAATACCTGTCGTTAAATGGTGTGGATACGAAGGAGATTACAATGTAATGGTTATGGAGCTTCTTGGGCCATCGTTAGAAGATCTTTTCAACTTTTGTTCCCGACGGTTTACCCTTAAAACGGTATTGCTTCTTGCAGATCAAATGGTAGGTCGATTTAGGCCTGGTGCACGTGGATTCGCAATCTCGCAAGTTTCTTTACTGTAAAGTTTCAGCTTTCGAGGATCGAATACATTCACAATAAAGATTTTATCCACCGCGATGTAAAACCGGACAATTTTTTGATGGGTCTCGGCAAACGGGGCAACCTTGTATATGTAAGTTTTCTTAAGTTCGTTCTACTTCTGGTTTAGATAATTGATTTTGGGTTGGCGAAACGATTCCGCGATCAACGATCTCGCACTCATATCCCATATAGGGATCATAAAAATCTCACGGGTACTGCGCGATATGCTTCTGTAAATACTCATCGAGGTATCGAGCAATCGAGAAGAGACGATCTGGAGTCCTTGGGGTATGTGCTCATGTATTTCAACCGGGGAAGTCTCCCTTGGCAAGGCTTGAAAGCGGCTACAAAAAGGCAGAAATACGAGAAAATTGCTGAGAAAAAGATGAGCACCTCCGTCGAGGAATTATGTCGGACTTTTCCCAGTGAGTTTACCTATTTTTTGGCGACTTTTTACTTTTCTACAAGTCGTTCTTCTTGTTTAGGTGCCTTTGTCGAATACATTGAATACTGCAAAAGTCTCAAATTCGAAGAACAACCAGACTACGAGAAATTACGGAAGATCTTCCGAGAATTGTTTCGCCAACGGGGTTACGAGATGGACTACGTCTTCGATTGGAATATGAACTTACCGTATGTTGGTCTTAATATTTGACAGCTTCTCAATTTCTTAACAATTCATTTGATATTATTTGTAAGGGAATGGATTCGTCTTAACATTATTATAGTCGTATCTAGTCATTTGTTTGAAACTTATAAATTAATTTATTTTTGGTATCGGTGTCTTTTTTTCCAGCCAGACATGGACGTCTTGTCTGGAGAAGTCTGTTAAGTCAAAAAGCCCTTCCTACACTTCCGAGGTTTATAAGTATTCACATCTCAACGTCTTGAAGTCACCTGATTTCCGTCACGTCAGTCTGCGCACGGTCCATTGATCCTACTATTATTTTAATGAGAGGTTTAGAAATTCCAATCGTGGTGCTCACAACGGAAGCGCGATAACTAATGGTCATGCGCGACAACAGGCGCCGGTCATTCCCACGGGGCATCAAAACGTGCCCGGAGGGCTAATGTTCCAACCTCAGCCGGTGTCGTTGCCCAGTGCGGCGTTCAACATGATGCGAAAGTAATGTAATAAACTTCCCTTCTTTGTCCCATTCCATTGCGCTTTCTTCAAGAGTTGTTTTCTACGGAACGGACCATATTATTGCTATGATGATTCGGGTAATGATTGTGTTATACAGTTCCTTTCGCATTTTAAGTTCATTGTTTGTTTGTAGATCTATTTTGGGCACTTGTTGACATCATCAACAAGACCCTAAGGCGACAAAACTTTTAATAATTTTGCAAAGTTTTGTTCTTTTTAATTATTTGTCATCATTTGTATTTTTATGGGTCGAGGCAACTCAAGCGCGGCCATCGGTGATTTGAATAAAGAAAAAAGAGTCGATTCGTTAAGAATGCGTTGCGTATTATCCAATGTTTAGGATTTATTGCTCTTGAGATCCTTAAAATAGGCATCACGGTAAGTGAATGGAGGAGATACTATCTACCAACGATTTGTCATATCTGGTCTTGTTCGCGACACTCACACTCTCTGGTATTAATATTGTCATCACGAACTCTTTGGCATCTCTCCAGATGACTGCTTGTTTTCTGGCTGAAGACGCAATGAGCCGGTTGGTGCGTTGACGAGAATGCCTGTCGATGGTTTCGTCCAAGGCGCTCTCGATGATCTCCAAGAGTTCTTGTTGCTGTTCGATCTGAAAGGCGTCGGAAGAGTTAGATCACATCACCAAACATTCATTATTTTTTAATGACGGATATTCGGTTTCTCTGTTACGCGGGTTGGCTCTTTTTAAAAATTTTATGCCCGGCCCATTTTAAAATTTGCGGGCCCGGCCCGGTAAAACCCGGTTAGGGCGAACTGAAAATTTTCTTTGATCTTACCGCCTGTGTGGTGCTAAAATCTGCTAGGAACTTCAATAATATCTTCGTAATCCTCTACCCGCTAGACCAACGCCTTCTTTGCTTAACTTTAGTTCCCAAGCTTGGGCGCAGTGAACTCCTCTATACAGTACCTACACGGGGAGGGCCGGGCCTGAAATACACTAGATGGGCCGGACCGCGAGCCGCCAAAAGTCCGTAAAAACGTGTCGCTGCCAGCTCTGCTGCTACTTCCGTGGCTTATTGTCAGAATTTTTTTTATCCCACCCTCACAGAGACTATATTTATTTACCAGAAAATGGGGATTACCCACCTCTTTGTTGGATTTGGAGACCTTTCCTGTGAGTGCCAATATAGGTAGGGTGTCTGTCTGAGTAGCGATGTCACTGAATTTGCTCTCGTCCTTGGAACTTTCAACCGAATTGACAGTGCTCGGAGAATCCACCGTAACCGTGAATCCCTCGTTCTGAAGTTCAAGGAAGATAATCAAGAAACAAAAAGGATGCACGGAATTCGATCCGGATGGACTTACAGTAGACAGTATTTTCTTGGATTTGGGGGATTTTTTGGGCGTTTGAATGTGACCGTTCAGGTCGTTCTTGGGGGACAGCGGAAACGAATGCATTGAATTGGATCGCCGGGGGCATATTACAGCTGAAAAAGGAGACATGAATTTGAAATTTCTGTGCTGTGACGATTATGAATGTGGTCGATTGTTGTGTGAATACTAATAAACTGACTAAAAATCAAGAAGGCGCGGAATGACTACTGATTTTTTGGAGAAAGAGGCCGGAGAAACGGAAATTAAAATTATTATTAAAGAGGCTTAGCCGTAGACGAAAAACGATGTCTGTATGGTATCCGAATTATATCGGACGAAAACGATGAAAAATTATTTACAAATGAACTCACTTTCTGTTCGTAACACTATCAACGGTACATGATTCGAGTTTGGAGTACGAGATTTACGAGTTTGAATATTTTTCGTGTCTGCAATTTTTAGGTATTATTTGTGCCCAAAAAGCACGTTAATTGACATATTCAGAGACTAAGGGGGAACTCACTCTGAAAAGATTTGGGTTGCCCGTTGAGTCCTTTGGGATCTAGTTGAGGCAGTATGCTAGAGATCCGGTACCCCTCTACAATCATATTGCCCCGTTTCCCATCGACTGCCTCAGACGTGGGAAGACGGACCATTCCTGACTTGTTCTCTCGGCCATTCAATCTGCAATAATCACATACAAATGTAGGAAAGCACTTTGTATCCTACCTTTTTTGTATCTTGTTTGCCCCATTGAGATTGTCAGATGTGGGATGCAATGGGGGGAGTTCTGTTGTGTTCCGAGGCGATCTACTGGCCACCCGTTCGCGAGGAGAGGTCCGCGGCGAGACGTCCTTGTCGATGTTTCCCATCTGGATATTACTCGTTGACGTGAGTACTAGAGGTCTGCAATGGAATACAAATAAGCTTGATCACAAGGTGAGTAGCCTCCTAAGATGAAGTTTAAAGGGAAAAGGGTGGTAATTAGGAGAGCAATTCCCTATCATAAAGAACTACGAGTTATCCTTACGTATGAAAATGTTTGTATCTATTCACTCCTTTAACGTCAGGTATATACCGAGCTCTTATCACTGCAGACTCCGACATCAGAGATCCCATCGGGTTGTATAACAATCGCATTGAGACCGGCCAACCCCGTTGTAGACTCGAACTGAAGTCCCTCAGGGCCGGCCGACCGGAGTGATACAGCGACGCGAAGGATGCCTTGGGAAAAAGGTCGGCTTTCAGCAAGAAGGCGATTTGGTCGGAGGCTGGCTGGTATTAAGAAGATGAGACAGGAAATACGTGATGATGTCTTGATTGCCATTCATGGGGCCCGACCCCATTTCATCTCATAAGCTGGCTTTCCTGAAACCGAACGACTTTTGTCGTTGTAAACAGTACGGACGAGACTCGGGCTTTCGACTACAAAACTTAATCAAAACAAAAAATTAAAATTAAAATGGGAATACGCAGAGCCAAGGGCATTTCCTTAATTATAGACCCGCATTGTATTAATAAGCAGGGAAGAAGAGAGTCGGAACTTTGAAAATTGGGTAATTGCTGGAGGGTTTTAATCGATGGCCCTGAAATCCGAAGTAATCCAGAGCCGCAATTAGTAGGTATACAGTTGAGCCACCCCCAAGACCAATGTAGTCTCGGAAAAAGACTGGGTATCGGCCAACTATAATTCTCCAATTGGCCGCCCGCAAAAAGCCAGCAGGTAAATGTTTGGCGTCTGTCAATTCCGTATTAGCACGCCATTAAAGAGATAGCGTCATGCATCCCTCTTAACTCCCATAAGCTTGTTGTTTCGCAAATGGCTTTGGATTTCTTTACGTGGAAGCCCCAGAACATCCACCCTGTCCTCCCGCTGGTGATTATGTCCACCCTGTACTCTCTACTGTTTATTTGCCATCATATATAATTATCATAATAACGTTCGCTCAACATAATCAAATTTCTATTTCAAATGTGTTGGCGGAAAACGCCGTCAAATCTGCTTATCATAAGTGGCCAACGAAATGCTCGCAAGGAATGGATTTGGGTTTACTTTTACTCGTATTCCTCTAAAGAGACTTGCCCTTGGCCATGGTGCTACCCGTTATTCAACATCGTCTGACAAAAATAAATCATGGCACTCGTAGAACGTTTATTCGAGGAGCCTTATGTACAAGTCTTTTGGGTTGTATAGCGAATTTGATCGGTAAGAAAACGCATTTCTTTGTCTTATTCTCTTACAGCCGGCCTAACAAACGACTGGCTTTACACGTCGGAAGTTCTACGGTACTTTGTCCATCCCAATGCGACTTATCGCGATGATAATCTGATGATAAGATGGTTTAAAAACGCCACCCTCGGGCCTTGGTATTTCTGTTTTCTGGATCGTAAGTGATGATTTTGATTCCCCAAAATTAATTTACATAATTAATAGCGATTACGCCATTCCATTGCAATGAAATTGACATGTTTTCCCAAGACGATCCCAGTGATGTTACCAGTTCCATTGAGTGTGAGTTCATTTCGTGTGAGTCCCATTAACTTACAAATATTCAAAAATAAAATTGGATTGCAGCATCCGTGCGGCCTGCCTTTTATTTTGTATACACATCCTGTCTGTTGGATCTGCTAGGACTGGTTGGAGTGTTTATTTGCTGCATGAAAGTGAAGCCATACACGTCATTGTTCATATCAACAACCATACATATTCTATCGGGGATTGCCGACTTTATGAGCATCATCATGTACATGTCTGGAGTCTCCAAAGAAGTGGGAAACAAGCTATTCCCAGCATCGGAGATGGATGATCCCCTGTTTTATTATTCTTACGGATATTCCTTTATTAGTTTCAAGGTTGGTTCTTTGATTTAAAGCGAGAAATTGTCTGATTTTAGATCGGATTTATGTGCACGGAGACGGCGGCGATCTTATTGGTATTGGTTTATATGTCGAAAAGGGATGAACGGACTTACAATAGGTACTGTATAAAGACGATTATGAAGAATGTAAGCGACAGACCGGCAATAAATGACCAGATGATACTGAATGGGCGTTATCATCAACATGCACGCATCAGTCAATTGCAAAGAGCCTCTAGGTAAGAAGCTCGAAATGAAAATATCAGAGTATAGAAGTGCTTCCATTGACGAGTCATTGAACAGTGACATGCTCAGTTTCAAGAAGTTAGTTAACAGTGAACACAGTACAGACTCGGTGAAGAGTCATCGCAGGTCGATGCTGGTAAGAGGAGGCTGGCTTTTATGATGTTATTGATATTAGTTGCAGCCCCCATTCATTATGCCAGCATTAAGCGCGCAGAGCGAAGGTTTCATGTGATAAAGAACCTTCGTTTCCCTGTTCCCGATCACCACTTCGAGAGCATCCTTCAAAAATCCGTTTTCTTCGCAAAATTGCGCAATTTAGAGTTTTTTTTGTTATTATTTTCGTTCTGATGATCTTGTTTTCTTTCAATGGGTGATGAGAAAGAGCATGGAGTCAATGCAGTTTTCGGATCTAATGTAAGTATTTACAATATCGTCATAAATTATTGACATTTTAGTACCTCAAGTACAACAGAAAATCGAAAATATTTCCTCTCTATGGATTTAAAGTTGAAGTGAAGGTGAAATATGGAGACTTCATAGTGAACTCGGCCATCCCTCCTATCCGTATTCCAATAAAACTCGTTACTATAAACAAAATAGAAGTCACCGAAGGCAGAAGTTCGTTGACGGTGGCGGGGAGAGGATTCAACTTGACCTTGTTCACTATAAAGGCGGCTGATCGAAGCATAAACGAAGTTGTTGAACGCCTTCAAATACTAGTATTACGTCAGCGGATTCCTCATTCAATCTTGGGACTTCCATTTGAATGGGAGATGGAATGTATGGATCGGAAAAACAAAACCAATCTGAAGTGCAACATCAGAAAAAAGAAGAGATCCGAAGATTGTTACGAGTTAAGAAGGTCCCTTTCCGAAATTAGTTTTCGTTCAAATCAAAGGATCAATCATTGTGGACTCCATAGTATGTATAGCTCTTTCCGGAGATCTGTCAGAAAAATACGCTAATAAAAAAGGCTTTGCGACAATTTCGGAATTGCGACAGTTCAAACTCCCAACCAAAATTGTAAATTACGCCCAATTTATGAAATGCACCCATATTTATAAAACGCTCCTAAAACGTACGAATTTATAATGTAGTTTGAGTAACAACCTTTGCGGCCGAGGGATCGCTCAAAACCTATGCCAGTCTCGCGTGCAAAAAATAAAAATTTTTGTGAAAACATTAACCTCCACGGCAGACATAAGAATCAAAACTGTCATCACAAATTGGCAAAAAAGTGCAATTTTCCCAACTTTTGCCCCAAAAATCGCGTCCCGACATTTCGAGTCAGGGACAGCTCGGGTCGCGACACTTCGGGTCAACGACACCGTTTATATTTTCGCTTCGGGACTTGGGAAAAAGGATTTTTTGGAGAATTTGAACAAAATTTTGAAATGTTTTCGCTTCGGGACTTGGGAACAGGAATTCTAGCGATTTACTTGTTATTTGCATACAATCATTACGACTATCTTCGTACTCCACTCTCTGGCACTGTCTATGTTTAAATTCCGTGCTTCCAGTTAAAAACAAACAATGGATACGATTTTCTTATTTGCTCGTCTCTTATAAACACTATTTTCCTAACAAGGAAAGTACTTCTATGGGGTATGGAGTTACAGGTCGAGTCATATACCAAAAAAATCGCAAAATTTTTCTGATTCAGAATGTGTAAAAATTAGCTGCCTAATTTTGGTCTGTAAGGGTGAAAAAACCCTCGGAACTTTTCTCGAAACACCACACAAATGCCTTTTTGACCAAGTTTTTACCAAATAAAAAGCTTGTTTTTGAGTTAAAGTAAACTCTGGTATCTTTACAAGCCTTAAAATATCAAATTTAATTTATACTACATCTTAATTAGTAGTTCCAATGTAAAAAAGGCGCATTTTCATGGTGTTGCGAGAAAAGTTCTGAGGATTTTTTCACCCTTACAAACCAAAATTAGGCAGCTAATCTTTACATATTCTGAATCAGAAAAATTTCGCGAATTTTTCGATATATGACTCGACCTGTAACTCCATACCCCATAGAAGTACTTTCCTCGTAAAAAAATTAACAAATAAACCTCAATTCTCCAAAAAATCCTTTGTCCCAAGTCCTGAAGCAAAAACATTTCAAAAAATTTTCAAATTTACCAAAAAATTCTTTTTTCCCAGTCCCGAAGCGAAAATATTAAACGGTATCGTTGACCCGAAATGTCGTTGACTCGAAGTGTCGTTGACCCGAAATGTCGTAGTGCCCCGAAAATCTGTCGTTGTTGCAAAGTGCGAGCTGGTAATTTCAAATGTTCAAAATCTGCCTAGAGGCCTAACAGACAAGAAATCGCGGTTTCTGGCCACCCGATTTGATGCGTATGTCACCATCCTTCTATGGACATTCCTTTGCTGTTATATGGCTAGTCGTAAAGTGGTTCCTTGTAAAATTATCAATTTATTATGTTGACACAATATACAGGGTGTTTCAAGAAATTTGGAACAAATGATTTGTTTATATCTTTGTGTTCTTTGCAGCTATCAACGAATTTCTTTTTGCTTCTAAAAATTGACAGCGTGCGTTTTTAGAATCTCAAAAAAAATTTTTTTTCGTCGGCGGAGGGCCCATTTCTCGGCGGAGAAAATTAGGGCCTTTTTTAAAAATCACAGCGTATTACATGGCGGAAACGCCGTTGCAACGGCTGAAAGCAAGTTTACGTTACACCTCTGTCGATTTTACGGTATGCATTTTTTTGTTTTCGATTTTACGCGCACCGCGGAGGCGCGGCGGAGACTTCAGATTTCGGCGGACGTTGTTTTGGGCCTTCGGCTGTTGCAATTCATGTTGGAAAAGAGGTTAGGGTGATTTTTTGTTGTCATCCGATGCACAGATGGCAAAAATTTCGTGCTTTTTTCCCCCGGCGGAGGATTCGGCGGAGGCTTTATCAAAGGGTCAAAGCAGTCTTACGAGTCCGGGAAAAATCTCAGCTACAAGAATCGATCAGAACAGCATTGTCTTTCAAAGATTTTTGATTTTTTTGGTCCGGCGGACAAATCGGCGGAGTTTTGTTTTTACCCTTTGATAAAGCCTCCGCCGACTCCTCCGCCGGGGATAAAAAGCACGAAATTTTTGCCATCTGTGCATCGGATGACAACAAAAAATCACCCAAACCTCCTTTTCCAACATAAATTGCAACAGCCGAAGGCCCAAAACAACGTCCGCCGAAATCTGAGGTCTCCGCCGCGCATCCGCGAAAGTGCGTAAAATCGAAAACGCAAAAAAAGCATACCGTAAAATCGATGGAGGTATTACGTAAACTTGATTTCAGCCGTTGCAACGGCGTTTCCGCCACGTAATACGCTGTGATTTTTAAAAAAGGCCCTAATTTTCTCCGCCGAGAAATGGGCCCTCCGCCGACGAAAAAAATTTTTTTGAGATTCTAAAAACGCACGCTGTCAATTTTTAGAAGCAAAAAGAAATTCGTTGATAGCTGCAAAGAACACAGAGATATAAGCAAATCATTTGTTCCAAATTTCTTGAAACACCCTGTATAATAACCGAGAAAAAAATTTCGAAATAATGAAAACTTATAGCTATATTTGTACGTGAATTGACTATTTGATTGTAAAAATACGATGCTAGACTTATTTGCTCGTTTTTCTTGAAACTAAAAAATTAACTAGATCTAATAAAACTTGAGTTCATACTTATAGGAACTACGGCCGGTCTGAACCAGCGAGAATCGAATGCTGTAAGTGAGGTACCAAAAGATTAAGATGTCTAATTCCTTCTCCTTTTCTTCATAGCCGGTTCGTCGTTCTTGTAAAGGCACACATACATCCATACCGAGCTTACATAAGCCGGCAAGTACTTCTTGACTGCTTCCACGTATTTCTTGTACACGTTTATCCCACATTTGGCCAATGGATTGTCAGGCTAAAAAATAGCTATACATAGACAACCTTATGGGGCACATATAAATGTATCCAAACTTTGGACTTACGGAATTAAAAGTTGAGCAATTTATAAATATTTGGTTCATATCGGCAATGAATCCCGTCGTATTTGCATATTCTCCACCCGAGAGTTTAGAATTGACGGTCGTTAAATCCATAGGCCTCGAAATAACACTGTAATATTCTTGGAACTTCTTGTCAACTGGTTTCCGGAATGGATCTGACTGTTGGGAATCGTCGAGACAGGCCAACATTACTTTTGAGCACGCCTATAAGCATTGTAATAACACAAGCGAATAAAAACCTAGAAAGAAATGTGAAGATACGAACAGACCAGTTTAATGTTGGGAGTCATTCTATCCTGCCTTTCCGTGATGGGCAACATCGGTTGACACATGGAACAACGCCAGTCATCGGGCAGTTGTGCCATTGGAGCAGAGCACCGGGGAATATGGCAGAATTGATGAAATACCCTCGGACAAGTCGAACAGCAGCCAAGTTCGCCAGAGATATCATCACAACCTTCATTACAACTGTAACAATAGTCATCCCATTCATCTTGAGGAGCATCCGGAACAGCCGCTTTCCTGCTCGTTTCTCCTTCATCATCTATAAAGGGTTCGATCACAGGCGTTGGCTCCACTTCTTCTCTTCTGATTCTTATTTTAAGGCCACCAGAAGTGTCGGGAACAGCTCTATATCGTCCAGCGGAAGTTCCACTTTTATCTGACATATGACTATCGTGTGACTTCTCTCGTAGCCTATGAATAGGACTGTTTTCACCAATTCTGACATTGGAATTTGGAGCAGAATTAGATGTCTGTGTTTGGTCGGTCAAATCGTTGCCTGAATTCACCACAGACTTTGAACGCCGAAGATTAGACCTTTCGCTCTCTTGGCTGTTTTCTAATTTCTCATTAATCCCTTCTTTTTTCATCAAACACGATGATTTAACCTTGTCTGAGGTGTTTCCGTTTTGTGTACCGGATATTACTTCATTTGATTGTGTATTTCGGGGTCTTTCGTCTTCCAATGTAATGGTAACTATATCTGCCGATGGGGTATTGCTTGCCTTAAACAAGAATAAAAAATAAAAAAAAACATACAGGTGAATTTGCAAACATTAATTGCTGCAGCTCAGAGTGACTGTTTCGAAGTAGATTTGGTTGATTTGGGGATGGAGGAAACATAAATCCTTGAGGACTATTTATAAATTGAGGAGATCGCATCTGAAGTCCATTTGGCCTCATTGGAGGTTGCATTGCTGGTCGGAAATTGGGATAAGCTTGACGAAGCCGGCCATCTAAAGGCATCGGAGCTTGCCGACTAGTGGATGGACCTGGCACAGCCATCTGAATTCATCATGAAGGTACTATTGATCCTGAACTTACATTATTTGTGTGCAATGGAGGGAATGATGGTTGATTGCCCTCTATCGCTTCGATTGGAATCGGCCTTATTGTTTCCGACGTAATTCTTGAACTTTGTTCCAAACTACGCGTTAGTCTTCGGTAATAATCAAGCTCTGATTCCAACTGAACACATCTTTCTCGCAATTCATCATCAGCCAAAGGTTTTATCAAACGTCTGAACTTCTCCTTGTCTACCTTTTCGTATTCTCGGCCATTAAAAAGTCGAAGTCCCATTTCTGATTGGTGCCCCATTTCAGCAGGATTAAGTTTGGGTGGAAGTACAAAAGTCAAAGGTTTATCGAAACTGGACCGAACGGTCTAAATTAAGAAAAATACGGTTGTAAAAGCACAGCACATACCTGTCGAATATTGTTCACGACAATAGAACCATATCCACTAAGGAATTGAACAAGGTTACTGGACTGGGGACTGTGCGAAAGATCGATCCGGACAGATGGAAGAGGCAAGATGTTGTCGATGTTGATCCTGCTATACTTACTTCTTCTCTCGGCATTCGTAGAGGCGTGTTTTATGAAAGACGCAAACGGGATAACATCTTGTGCCTTGAGAGTAGTAATCTTCTTCTCGAGGTTATTTATTGTAGCAACTCTGTTAGTTTCTTCTGCAATATCAGCCTCAACCTTCTTAAAATGAGACATATATTGATTCTGAGACATTTCCAAAGAATCAGCGAGATCTTGGAACCGTTGAATCATCAAGGACACCATTCTTTGACAATCAAATGCTAATTGAGTTCTCGAATTGTGGAACTCTGTCATTACCATCCGCCGTTTTATTTGCAGGTTTTGAAGTCTTAAACCAGATAAAAGAATAAAAAATAACACTTACAGGTTATGATAATACTCTAAACTTTTCTTGTCATTCTCAATTAGCGGCCTTAAACAATTGATTGCTTTTGTGTTCAGTTCAGCGAACGTTCCAATTGCATTTCCTTTTCGGCAATTAGATCTGTGCCCTTCCAGGCAATCCGTACATATTCTCTGTAAAAGAAAGTCAGAAATAAACTACTTCAGACTTACAGCCCCGCAAGAACACACAAAGTTCGCCATTCTGTCTTGATGTAGGAGATTGACGCATCTTGATATTAAAGGAACATAAGGCTTCGACTAAAATAGATAAATTAAGCTCGATGAAGCAGATAGAAATACAGCCAGAGGTAACACGTACCTCTCGGATAAGATGCTCCCGGTTATGACTTTTTATACACCAAGCACACATGTAGATTTTACAAGTAACGCAATAATGGGAAATCTTTTGTAAATCGAGATTTGTACAATTTGACGACATGCATTTCCTAAAATTCAAAATAACCAATAGATAAAAAAAACTTACGTCCTTTTCGGATCGGGAATGAATTCGTCGTAAACGACGTCAGCAGAGAATTGTTGGTTACAGACCGTACAATGCAAGCTCTTTTCAAGATTGGATCTTTGCGCATCTATAAGGAGGTATTAATAAAACTAATGGCAAAGCTAACATACCTCTGCACCGAAAACACAAGGAATGAAGACAAGGTAAATGATAAATTGGTCTGTCTGGCGTCAGAACTTCCTTCAGACAACTAACACACTTCCGTATTTTGGATGAAGATGGCTGGCTGGTCGAATCCCGTCCGGGTATCGACATTTTTGGAGCACTTATTCATCCACAATTATGCGCGAAACTCTATAACGCAAAATATAACGCGAATTCCTTAGCAAGCTCCAACCGACGAGAGACCGAGCTGCGCCCATGCTCTAAGGGTCATTTTATACGAGAAAATATATTTTTTGAAGTCGTCGCGTACACTGGACTGCGCCATTATCGATTGAATTTTTGTAGCACTTTGTACGGAAAAGGCGGTCTTAAAGATACGATTCTTTTTAATCCGATCATCCAGAGTTGAGCAATTTGGTAAACGATGAGTTAGAAAGAGCAGGCGTTTAGCTATCTGTAAGAGGTTCAACAATTTGTGTGTTTTATTCCATTTTTGAAATATGCGATTCCAAAAATCGTGAACTTTGCAGTCATCTAACAGGAAATTTTGCAACAGCTTGTCTTTCAACATTAAAACATCCTTGTCAATCATTATGCAAAGTTTCAAAACTTTTGTATACTCGCAACTCGACTTTTCGAGCCATTTTTCCTGCTACTAGAATGTTTGCAATAGTTTCCCGGCCGGGTTTTTGGCAAAATAGAGGAATTATTAACATTCCGCAACCAGAAAGAGCTTATCAGTCCGTCTCGGGAAAATAGTGGCGAGTTGTCACAGCAAAATGTTTCGCCTCGTCGAAAAAAGGGTGCAGTCGCGCACCAAATTTCCAGCAGCAGCTAGCCGTCGCAAAGCGATGATGGGCGCTTCTAAAGCGCGACGGCCCGCCACTATTTTCCCGCGAGACTGATACAATGTTAGTTATAAAACCGTCAAATACGGTGTTTTCAAAGGATAAAACAGGCCTGCTATAACAAGAAAAACTCACTGATCAAGTCTATATGCTTGGCTAAATTACAGGTTTTCTCTAGATAGGGAAGTGTACAAACTGACCATCGCCAAACGGCAAGTGCTATACACTGTTGAAAAGCCCAAAGCAGTAATGTATAGAAACCACTTTCAATCTTTGCAGAATGCCTTTCCGCGACGATACTGTAGTCTACAGTGGTCCATGTACTCACCTTGTGGTATACCATTTGCGTTTTGAAATAAAATTATCTTATCACATAACCGATATTGAAATTACTCAAGGGACAAATCAACCGTTTATAATTTTTTGCCATGAGGCAATCTGCAAAAATTGAAAGTAGTTTCTAGCACTGCTTTTTCAAGGCCTTTCTAGCGGTTATGTTATTTGCTTTTACTTGGAATTTGGTGATGGTCAAGTTGTAAATGCCATGATGCAGATACAACGGTGGAGCGTAAATTTAAATTTTTATTTAAATTTCCATTATTAGCACAACAAGACAAATTGCGAGTTATTGTATTATTTCTTAGTTAATAGTAGGTTTCTCGTTCCACCCATCCGCCCGGGTATCTTCTGATTAGATAACGACGAATTTCATCATATACGAAAATCAAGATTGAGAATGGAAGAGGCAATAACCACCAGGAGAAGCTAGAAATAATAGGGGTTATTTTGTAATACGTTTTCTTACCGTAATCCATACATACGCAGGGCCACATCGAGTCCCGGACAGTAACATAAGAAAGCAGCCAACGCTGTTTCGAAGAGTAATCCAAAGTTCATTGCCCAATTAGACATTCCCTGTTGAACTAAAGAGTTACGCCGAGTTTTCGAAATGATTAAATCGGCCCATTGGACGATCACGATAGACACAAAGTAAGCCGTGTGACAAGTGTGTTCCAAAATCTTCCTATTAGCATATGTCCACTCTTGGCCATAGTCGTCCTTCAGATTGTTCACTGCCATTGAATCCCATTCCGAACGTATTTGATACAATCTGGATGGATAGAATCCGTTATCAGCCATGATGCAGAAGTAGATGAAGAATCCAGATGACGCTTGAATCATTCCAATCTGACCGTATGCGAGGGAGATCAACCTTTCATTCACAAGTTTGTCGCGTAAAGGATCTCGGGGCCTTCTCTTCATGATATCGGATTCGGCCTCTTCGTAGGCAAGGGAAATTGCTGGCACCTGTTAAAAAATATATGATTATATTTTTGTACGTGTCCGTCCATAATGGGCAGATTTCTAAAGTCGGCACCATTAATTACCTATAGAAACACTGTTACCCAAGAAAATTTAAAAAAAGTACTACTTTACAGTACTACTTAAATAAGGAAAATTGTAAAAATCGTAAAAAAATTTATATCCTCGATTACCTGTGAAAACAATATTAATAAACAAGCAAACAGTTACTACTTTACACTACTATACTAGTTAAGGAAAACAGTAAAAATCACAAAAAATACACTTTTTTACAAATGTAAGGGTACTGAAAATATTTGCAAATATTTTAGAAACCTTATGCACCGTTGCCGACTACTATATAAGACAGAAATTAAAATTTTAAATGCTTTTAATCAAGATCGACTCACCATATCGGTACCCAAATCGATACATAAAATTGTAATTGTACCAAGAGGCAGAGGGATTCCAAATAAGATGTAGGTGAGGAAGGGAGAGATCTCGGGGATATTGGAAGTCAATGTGTAGGCAATGGATTTCTTGAGATTGTCAAAGATTAGGCGGCCCTCCTCCACGCCAACCACAATCGAAGCGAAGTTGTCATCCAACAATATCATGTCCGCGGCTTGCTTGGATACATCAGATCCAGTAATCCCCATAGCCACACCAATATCAGCTTTCTTGAGGGCGGGGGAATCGTTGACTCCATCTCCGGTCACAGCGACAATCTGACCTTGTTTTTGGAAAGCCTCTACAATCAGCAACTTTTGGGTGGGTGATGTTCTGGCAAACACAATTTCAGAATGTTTGTTGATTGTTTCCAGAAGTTGATTCGAATCCATGCCTTCTAGATCGGAGCCATGGATGACTGCCGCGGCTGCTTCGTTCTCTTCAACATCCTCCTTAGCAATTCCTCTTCTGATGGCGATGTCTTCTACAGTCTCCGATCCTTCGCTTATAATACCAACAGACTTGGCGATCGCTTTGGCGGTGATAGGGTGGTCTCCGGTGACCATGACAACCTTAATCCCGGCCGATCTGCACTTTGCAACCGCATCGGGTACCGCAGCTCTTGGTGGGTCAATCATACTCATAAGACCAACAAAACGGTAATTGCTTATGGGGAAATTGACATCTTCCACATCAAACTTGAATGTCAAAGGATATTCTGAAGCATCTAGACGACTGTCACAGAATCCAAGAACTCTCTCGCCCATTCCACCCAGCTCGAGATACGCGTCGTTAAATCGTTTCTTGATTTCTTCGGTCATTTCGACTTCCCCATCTTCAAGAAGAATGGTGGAACATTTATCCAGAATCCTCTCTGGAGCACCTTTCATAACCACCAGAAGTCCTTTGTCATCGTCGACTTGATGTATGGAAAGTTGATATTTGTTCTTGGAGTTGAAAGGAATCTCAGCCATCTTTGGGTTCTTTCTTCTGTACGCTGGTACATTTCCTACGGTAATCTCTGTGTATTTTAGCAGAGCGATTTCTGACGCATCTCCAGTGCATTCTCGTCTTGAGATGGGTACATTATCTTGGTCCGGTTTGAATTCAGCACGGTTGCATAAGGCGGCAACACGAAGCAGATTGGTCTCGGTATGACCAGGAACTCTTTTCTGATCTTCTGAATAGTTTTCGTTGGTATCGCATGACTTGATCTCATCGTTGAACCAAACATGGGCCACCGTCATCCTGTTCTGGGTCAGGGTCCCAGTCTTGTCCGAACAAATGGTTGAGGTTGAACCTAAGGTTTCCACAGCCTCCAGATTCTTTACTAGACAATTCTTTGACGCCATTCTTTTTGCAGTCAGGGTAAGACAAACGGTAACAGTTGCAATTAAACCTAAACGACACATCAGTTTTTAAAAAACATTAGGGGCTGGCTCACCTTCTGGCACATTTGCAACGATGATTCCAATCAAAAAGACAACAGCTGTTAACCAATGGTAGCCCAGAATAATTGCAATGAAGAAGAATGAAACTCCCAAGAAGACAGCAACCCCGGTGATCAGATGGATAAAGTGCTCCAGTTCCCTTGCAATTGGAGTTTGCCCACTCTCAATGTCTGCAGCCAAGTGAGCGATACGGCCCATGATGGAACGATCTCCGGTTCCGATAACTACTCCCTTTCCAGTTCCCTCAACGGCATTTGTGGAGAAGAATGCCAAGTTTCGTGTCTCCAACGGTCTTTCACTCGTGCATTCCGTCGACCTACTCTGCGGCTCTGATTCCCCTGTCAAAGAAGCGTTGTCGACTTTCAAGCCCATCGCATAGATGATGCGAACATCTGCAGGAATACGGTCTCCACCTTTAACTTCTACGATATCACCGACAACAAGAGATTCCGTTGCCATTTGGATCCTTTTTCCATCCCGGAAAACAATGGCAAACTAAGAAATTGTTACACTGTATCGGGGGACTTACAGTAGGCACCATACTTTTGAAGGATTCCATTATCTTGGAGCTCTTGCTTTCTTGGTAATATTGGAAACATCCCGTAATGATGACAACTCCCATCAATACAAGACCCAAGTAAAGATTATCTTTAGATGGGTTTTCTAATGACAGATAGTCCATGCCATAAGCAATGTAACAGAGGAAGGCACCTATCCACAAGAGCATGGCAAATCCTCCAAATAAATTTTTGCAGAACTTGATCCACTCGGGTGTGCCCTTCTGAGGAGTCAGGGCATTAGGACCATCCCTCTTGAAGACCTCCTCTGCTTGGGCCGATGTTAAACCATTGACAAGGTCAGTCTTCAGGCGGGATACCAATTCTTCCAGAGGAATCTTGTGTTCATCCATTTCCACTTCCTTCTTGAGATCCGCTAGTTTATCTTCTTTTTTCTTCTTTTTGTCATCTTGACATTTAGCTCCCGTTGCAACTATGGGAGTTCTTTCCACTACTGGGGCCGTAGATTTTGGGATGGAATCAGGAGGCTTGAGCGGGGACGTTTCTAGATCGGCCACCGCATTACTGGCCGTGGCCACACGATAACTTTCCGTTCGACCGGGCTGGTTTAAATAATCATAAGACGTTATTCATACTTACTTGGTCCATGTTTTATCGCAAATATCTGAAAATAAAGCCGGTTCCGAGCGTTTCAAAGCGAAGAAGGAAAGTGCGGTCCCGACTTTGGCAGGTCTTTCTCGGTGGGGGAGCTGTCCAAAAACGGAAAAAGCGCCTTCGGCGTTTTGCGCGGCATGTGGCTGAGGCCAAGCTCCCTCTTTCCATTTTGCTATTCTGCTTAAGCCGAGCATAAATTCGAAGGCAAAAATGCTGGAAAAGCAATGCAGCATAAGACCGAATATAACCAAGAAACAGAACACAGCAACACCAGATCTGTACATTTGTACAAGTCTTATTGCTTCAGAGCACCCTTCTCCAGGATGATTGCTTTGATTCTTGTTGTTTTGCCGACCTATTATCATGCAGATGTAAGCAAGATGCAAAAAGAGCACATCTTATTCACACATTGTCGGCAAGTTGCGTCACTAATATGACAGCAGAAATGGCCATGTTATCTTATCTCCGCTGATCTCCACTAAACGATCATAACCTTCGATTAACAGCCAGCCTTGGCGAAGTTGTCGCCTTATAATGTGTTCATTTAGATGTTTTGTCGACGAGCGAACAAGGTCATTAGGCCATTCCTCCTCTCATGATGGCAGGTATAGATTATTATTATGCGCTTGACATAATTTTATCCCTCTTCTTCCATCTGGACTGTCATTGTTTCGATCGCCATTTGGTCGGAACGACAAATTGTCGGCACACTTAAGCGGAGGAATAGGCCATGCGAGGCCATTCGAGACAATGCCTCGACGCTTGACCCAACCCCCGCTGATCCACAGCTGGCCCATCTTTGTTTGGGAGAGCGAGGGTCAGGTAGCAGCGCTGCCCTTCCCTTTTCTGGCAGTTCGGATCAAGAGCGAGCGGCGTCATTTTTGTTTGTTTTAGTCATATATATGCATATATGATATGTCATAATTGTGCTATCTTTATTTCATTTGTTGTTTATGTGTTTGAGTCCCGCCACGAAAGTATTAGCCGGAGTAAAAATGTTTGAAACAGATGATATATTTCCCAGATTACCAGAAGCGAAGGAAGAAAGGCGGAAGACAAGACTTTTGTCTATTGTTAGCGTCTTCTTTACGCAAAGAAAGTGTTGAGGACACTCCAGACTTCTGAAGCCAAAAACAATTTCTTTTTTCCTTCTTTGCCCTAAACTCACTTTGGAATTGACCTAGCTTTGTTTACCTGAATTTATTTCAAGATTCGCAGGTTGATTGACAGTGTCAAGATCACTTTTCATTTCCGCCCAGTTCGCGGTCTTTATTTATTTTAATTTAGGTAATCTATACTGACCGCGTTTGCAGGAGAGCCCATGAATATCTTTGTTTTGCTTTTATTTTTGATAAAAGCCGCACAGTCATGGAAAGTGTTGGTTCCAAATGCAATTGAGCACCATGTAGTGTTTGGCACTCAAGATCGGAATGTTCTCCGTTGTGCTGTCAGTGGATTGGCTCCTGGATCTTCTGCGAAGGTGGACTGGCAATTTGACCAAAGGTACGCGCGAAAGGTTCACAAACATCCATCGAGTGATGGGGCTCAGTTTTTGACCTTCAACAAGAAAGTGACCACTTCTGATTCTGGCCGATTTGTATGTGTGGCCGAGTTCGAAGGCAAAACCCAGGACTACGAGGTTTTTGTCAAATTTATCGGCAAGTTTCTTTGTTGCGTTCGACTTTATTTTTCAGATGAACCAAACTTTGCGGAAGTAGAATCTGTTCAGCATCCCATCATCAATCAAGACGCCAGAATCAGATGTCCAGTCACAAACCTTCCGGAAAATAGTGAGGTATATTGGACGAGGGATGAGTCCATTCTCATTGAAGATGATCAAACTTCCTTTGAAGACGACAGGAAAACCTTAGTTTTCAAAAATTATTCCAAAGATCTTGACGGAACTTATACTTGCAATGTCCCCTTTCTGGAACGAGTGACCACAAAAAGTATTGATGTCTCCGGTTATCGTAAGTGTTCTCACTTTTGCATTTGGAAAACCTTCCGTGTTTTGGCCCACTCAAATTTTTTGATTTTTTCGTGGGCTTGAGGTGGGGAACAAACAAGTAGGGTGATGTCTAGAGTGGAAAAACGATAATTTAATGGTACTGTTGGTGTTTTATTTATGAGGGAGTGCTTGAAGTGCGGCGCTCTGATTTTCTTTAAGAAATAGGTATGGAACTTTTCACGCTAAAAAGTCACATTTTTGCCAACTTCGAACGTAAAAATCTCGGTCGTGTCTGCAAAGCGCGAGCTAGCCGTCTTGCATACGTCTTCGAAAGAGATTTTCTAAATTTATGGCAAGTTTCATCAAAATCTGAGCGTCGCACTTGGAGTACTTCCCTTGTTTGTTCTTTTGCCATCATCATAAGGTCTACTTCACGTAAAACCGCGGTCAGCCAGGGATGGAAGACGGTCAGGGCTTTTCCAGGCCCGGCCGGTTTTTTTTGAAACGCCAAGCCTTGCACACGTCAATAATCGACACTATTTCTTGACCAAGATTTAATCGATGTAGCGTTTCGTCAAAAATATAATTTTGTAGAAGAGTTTTGGCTGCTTTTTCTTGGCTTGTTGGGACAAAAGCTTCCTTTCTGGTGACAAAATAACGTTCTAATTTTTCCTTGATTTTTTAGGACTAGTTTTGTCTAGGGTTCGGTCGGGGTATATACCCAAATACCCGAGAGGCCGGGTATTTATGGAAATTTTCAAAGTACTTTTGCATTCAAAAAGCGTAAAAAAAAGTCGAGTTTTGTCATAAAAAATCAATAAATGTTGACATTTTGTCATAATTTGTTTTTTGCCGTTCAAAACTTGGTTCTAAGGTTGAAATTACTTGACCAGTTGCCGGAGTCGGAAAATGAACGGGAAAAAATCGAAATCTGACTGCGAAATATTGGATTTCTAAACTTTTTCATTGTTGAAGTACTAGTTTTGTTCGTTGTAGTTGGAAAAAAAAGAATATCACCCCAAACGTGATTAAGATTAAGTTAATGAATAAGTTGCAAAATACTGATATCTAAAAATTTTTGGACAATCGAAAACGTCTAAACGGTTCCGGAAATGCGCTGGCTTGACGGTTGGCATTCATTTTTCGCGACGGGAAAAATTTTTTGATGGGATTTTATTATATTCCAGCTCGTTTGGCCCTGGGAATAATGATAGAGACAGTTTAATATTCCAGAGGCCCCCAGTATTACTGACTACAACTTACCAAACTTGGCTTTGGAAGGCAAAGACTCGTTCTTCAGCTGTCTGGCTGAAGGTATCCCACCCCCAAAAGTCGAATGGTTAAAAATTACTGTAAGTTTACAGCAGAGTTTCATTCTAAATAATCTCAGAATGCCAAGAACACCGAGCAGATCTCTTCTTCTCCCAAATATGATTTAAGTCAAGATGGAGTCCTCGTTATAAAGAATTCGTCCGTCCTGGACACGGGCGTTTACATCTGTTCAGCATCCAATGAATTAAATTTGAGAGACAGCAGAAACGTCACTTTGGAAGTTATCAGTAAGCAATAATACGCTTTGTGAAAATGAGTAATAGATGCACGACATACTAAGATGTCGAGCAATGTCATGTAATTGAGACGGCAGAAAATTTGTTGTTTATTCTTTTCAGCTCGTCCTCGGGTTATTCCTTTTGATGAGGTGATCGTGAGAGAAGGAGAAAGTGTTTCTATCCCATGCAAGACTTTTGGTACTACTGAATCTGTTTATTGGGTAACACACTCTGGCCTTAAAGTGGAACCTCTCACCGAAAACGCGGCTGTTGGCTATCGAGTTGAAGATAATACCCCTACCTTGGTGGTGCAGAACGTCCAGCGAAATTCTAATAACAAATTCCGCTGCATCGCTCAAAACAAGGCTGGATCTTCATCGGAAGATGCCCAGATTAAGGTGTTTGGTATGTTGCACTGTATGTAAAATACTGTTTCAGTCGAACCCACCGTAATCAAAAAAGGAAGTGAGGTAAGAAGGGCGGTCATCGGCGGCACTCAACCTGCCATATCCATCTCTTGTAATGTAACTGGAACTCCCACGCCAACGGTTAAATGGTATAAGGATGGGAATGAACTGGAAGTCGATGTCGCCACATACTCATTGGATGAGGCGAGTAATGAACAGGCTTCGACGTTATACATTCGTCCCAGCTCTTCCTCCAGTTTTGGAACTTACTTCTGTGAAGCGGAGAATCGCCTGGGAAAGGACAAAGGAGATGAAATCCGTCTTCTTCAAGTCTTGGATCCTGCGCAACCTGAATACAAATGTGATTATCTCCTTCCCACGACTGCCAAGTGCGAGCTGATCCTTGATGGAATCTCCGAAAGTCGTATCCCAACACATTACTCAGCTCACTTCCTAACACCCGTAGAGTTTGAAGTCCACAACCTTAGGCCCTACGAAAATATGGTCGAAATCGAGGGATTGAACACAAGCTCTAAATATACAGTCAAGTTTATGGCTCACAATGAAGTGGACTCTACAGGATGGTCTTCTCATGTCTACCATGTTGAGACGTCGGCTCCTCGAGCTCCGGATGCTGTGAAAGATGTGACTGTAGAATGTGGGGAGAGCTGTAAAATTGAGTGGACTCCCGGAAGGGATAATGGGAGACCAATCACTGCTTATGATGTCACCTTGTTCAGAGATGGATCGGTAAGTGGGAGAAAGTAGAATACGTAATTTTTTTATAGACAGCTGTGTGGTCCGGTATCTCCAACGAAACGTCTACTGAGGTATTCAGTCTGGATTCGAGAACAAAGTATGAAGTACGAGTCGAGGCTCTCAATGACATTGGAGCATCTGTTGTTACTACTTACAAGTTCGAAACACCAGGTTTGTTTGAAGTTTATTTTAGAATGTTTTAATGTTACTCATTATAGAATTTCCCCGTTCATCAGGATTGTACATTATGGTCTTTGTAATCTTCCTCATTTCGATCTTGCTGAGCAGTCTTGCAATCGACTTTGCCATCTACAGACTCAAAGGAAGGTCCCTGTTCCAGGCTGTGTACAGATGTGGAAAGAAGGCTGATGTCGACAACAAGGTCAACAAAACTGAGGATCAGTCTCTGCTGGTCGAGTCAGGAAAGGCTCAGGTATAAACTCATCATCTTTCCTGGAAATGCTCAATGGTCTCACCATTATTATGGGTCCTATTGTATAAAACTGCCTCATTCCTAACTTAGTTAAGCTTTTTTATTGTTAATAATTTCTTCGTTACACAAAGTAATAATTTTCACGATGAATAAACGGTTGCACGTTATCACCGTTCGACTCATTTCGCTAAAGTCTTAGTAGTAAGGAAGATGGAGGAGAGGATATCATTTGACAACTGGAGTTGTTCTAGTTATTCTTTCGGACTCAATCTTCGTATTACAGCAGAAGTGAATGGGAATCCGAACCAATAAGATCGGGAGAGGGCACGTTAATAGATTGTTCTACCTTCGGCAAAAACTCCTCATTTGCGTTTTTCTCATCTCATTTGCATTTCGTTTTTTTAGGGTTGCAATAATGACAAATTTCAAAAACGAAAAATTACTCTATGCAAATCCGAATTCAATCAGCAACTAGGGTTTAAGAGTAGGTTGAAATCTTGTCATTAAACCTTGACTGAAACACAGTACAGTGCGCTTGGCTATGGTGCTATAATGAAAATAAAAAGGACCGACGAAGCAATACATATTGGTTAAATTTTGACTCAAAGTTTACGATTAAGCGAATAAAGTATTTGTTTGATTTCGTGAATTCATGCAGAGTCTACTGTTAGTTCAGACGTCGCTATGCGGTGAAATATACATTAAAAGACCTTATTAATAAGACGGCGTTCTCCCCTCATATATTCCATCCTTCGATTCGGAAGGGAGAATACCACGGTTGTACCAAAAAAATAAAGAAATTCTCCTGCCTTCCTTCGCTTTCCCCGAGCCAGACACAGGTGAGGGGGAGGGGGGACGATGCGGGCCGGGTGGTGAGTGCGTTCCCCGGCTGGTGCGTTTCTTCTCGCCTGTCAGTCAGACGGGTCGACAGCCATTCTTTTTGCGTGCACCCTTTTATTCCTTTCCACGAAGGCTAACTGAGCCTAAAACTGGCTGTTTTTGCATCCCACGTCAGTCCCAGTCCTTCACTCCCTTTTTGGCACAGCGTGGATTATATCCTCCTTCCTTCTCTTTGTCTTCTCATTATTAACCTGAGATCGTGCTTTCAGAGTCTCATCTTATCCCTCCAGTAGTTCTCTTGGCATTGTTTCCGGCCCCAACATACTGGATACCATTCCTTTCGACCAGTCTTTCTTCGGTTGAATGTCTTCTGGACACCGCCGTTACTTTTTGGCTGCTGTGGGAGCGGCTTCATTGGCAGCATTCTTATACGTAATGGAAAGACGTAGGAGACGTGTAGTTCTCCCCAATCCTAATAATCCTATGACTTTCGGAGCAGCAGTTACACAGTCCTTAGACTCTGTATCCACACCTACCAATACTTCATCTGTTATCGACAACGGCTCATCCACTGCCGATGAATCTTCCACACCTTCAGAGAACTCTACTATTAATTCAGAACCTATTACTCCGAGTAAAAAACAGAACTCGGTTGAAGAAGTAGTCCAACGCAAAACCGAACGTCCCACGCAATCTGCTCGAATGACGTCAGAATCTGTGAGAGCGATGTGTTCAGAAGTTTTCCAGGAAGAGGTGTCCAAAGACAAGCAGGTTTGTTGGCCTTGTCTAGATGTTGTATCTTGGTCTGACTATAATCAAAACCCCTCTTATGTGGTTGCCGTTTGCTGGTTTAAGTCGGCGAAATCTCTATGCGCTCTTTTTATGTAGGGAACCTGCATTCGTTGCGAGACCAGGCAGGAGGATTTATGAAACAGATGAAAAGTTATGTAATGTTGTGATTACTATCCGTAAATGGCAATAAACCTTTTTGTTTTCGTTTCGTGATACTAAGATTTTTCGTTTGTTACTTTTTATATTATTTGAGACGTTATCAGATAAGTAATTGTTTTTTTTTCAGGCTTCCGAGATGACAAAGAAGGCGCAAAAGGTACCCTCGGTCTTGGTGGAACAGGTCTCGAATAAGATGGATTGTGTGAAATTAAAAGATACGGTAGGTTCATAAATTATTATTTAAATTGAAGCTTAGGACCCAAAGAGTTTGGTGGTGAATACTGAAGAGGGGAAGAATGCAGGAGAACTCACTCAATTGCCAGCCGAGACTGAATATAAGAACGCTGAAAGTCCCTCCCAATCGTCGACTAACAGCGAGGGATCCGCTGACAGTGGGCGAGCTACCGGAGGGCCTAACTGCAGTCCCTTCGATCAACATAACAATGACTACGAAATCTATCCAGTCTACGAGTTTGAGGTGCCCAACACACTGGTTGGTCTGATCATTGGCGTGCAGGGAAAAACCATATCTGTAAGAGCATAGAAATTACATTTACATAACCGATTACTCTTGTTTTACAATTGCCTTTTTAGGAATTGTGTAATCGTGCTCAAGTTCGAATGTTGATCCGGCCACATCATACTATCTCCAGAATGGAGACTCACCAGATCTGCTCCATCGAAGGGAAGAGACAGAACATCAACAAATGTCTCCATATGATAAGATATAGATTCCCTCAGAACCGATTCCCTGACCTAAATTTGAAGCCTGTTTTGCCTCCAACCATATTGGACGCACCCAAAGTTGTTGGTTCAGAACCCACTGCAGTAAGTTGAATAAAATTAGACTGCAGATTATACGAGATCTTAATAAAAAAGCGTTTTCAGCTAAGCTTACCAGTCGGTGTTCCATGTGAAGTATTTGTCTGCTCAATTGTGGATGCTGGACACTTTTTCGTTCAACTCCCGACCCATCCCACTTTCTCGTCTCTCTCCACACTTGACTATTACACCATGAATATCTACAGTAATCTTTCCGGCATTCCAGTTCTTCCAAAGCCCTGTACTCCAGGTGTTGTTTGCATTGCCCCCACCTGTAGTGGATGGTTCCGGGCTATCACTCTGCATCACAATGAGAACGAAGACACCGTTTTGGTCAGATTTGCTGATTACGGGGGCTTTGCCACCCTTCCGCGGACCGAATTAAGGCAGATTAGATCTGATCTGACTTCTCTCCCAATGCAAGCCATTGAATGTTATCTTGCCCATGTGCAACCATCTGATGGGACAGTTCATTGGAGTCAAGAAGCAGTAGATCTCTTCACGAAACTCTGCTCCAGCAAGATCGTTCATGCTGAATTAGTTGGTTTTCATCGAGAAAACAACATCCCCTACGTCAAACTATGCACCGTTGATGAAAAAAAGAATGTAAGTTTCGTCCGAATATCGATTTGTCTGTAAAGGAATGAATTTATTTGTAACACATCTTCAGGTTAAACGCGTAGATCAGGTTCTCCTTGAATTGGGCTATGCCAAGCCCGCTGATCCAGCCAAAATGATCGGCGTCCAATCTATCACAAGAAACGGACCAGTGGGAAAAACGAAGAAGACATATTAAACTACCATCTAGGTCCAAGAATTGTTACTGTTAAGGGTCCTCTCTGATTTTATTCTCGAAAACCTCTAAAAATTGTTTTGTTGTGCTTTGTATTAGGTTGGGACGAAAGTTTTCCCCTTAATTTTCGGGAAAAGTTATGGAAGTTGTGGAACTTCCTGGAAAGTTCTATCATGTGGCTATGTAAGGGTGACTTGATAGCATATAGACTGATATGTAACTTGTCCCCATAGCGCTCTCCAAACGTGGAAAAATTTCCGTCCCAAAGTTGCTGTTTCGATGCGTCAAATTTTAAAACTATCGCAGAATACTAAAACCCATGGAAGATATAACCAAAGTCTAGGATGTTATAGGCAAGGACGTCCTCTTTTATGGTGTGGCCAAGTATTGGTTCCAGAGGTTCAAAAAAGGAGTTAGACGACCAAGTTCTGGCGGCCATCTGAGATAGATGATGACGCCCTAAAAGGCTTAATCGTGAGCTGTCCCAAATTGCCATTACGTGAACTTGGAGAGCTCTTTAGGTTCTCCCATACTACCATTATGGACCATCTACCTCGGTTGGGAAAAATGTGGAAGTGTGGTTAATTTGTTCCGCACGAACTTTCGGAGTCACGGCATACACTGTTGCTCCTCATTTTTGTCGTACCGCCGCATGGTGACTTGGCTGACCAATATCATTACTGGAAACCAGAAATGGGTGATGTATATAAACCATACCCGCAAGCTTCAGTAGCTTGAACCCGACCATCACGGTGAACCAACCCCAAAACCAAAATTCACCCAAAAAAGGGCATGTTCTGCGATTGGTGGACTTGTATGGGAGGTATTTATTAGGAATGGCTCCCTGATGGTAAAACTGTCACTAAATAACATTATTATCGCCAGTTGGACCGCGTCGCCGAAAATGCTAGATAAAAGTGGAACAAATGTTCCTCCTTCACGACAACGCCTGCTACCACATTGCAAAAATCGCGCGCAAAAAATTCAGGGAGAATGCATGGACTTTGCTGCCCTACCCACACTACACCCCAGCCTTGGCACCTTCTGATTACCATTTGATCAGATCGCTAAGCTACCGTTTGGGAGATGTGCGGTACGATTGTTTGGGGGACCTCAAAACAGGTCTTTCTGACATTTTTTATTATAAATACCCCAGTTTTTAAGCTCGCCAATTGAATCCTTGTCGGAACGTTGGCAATACGTAGTGGATACCGACGGTGGATGTTATGTTTGGTTTCCCGTTACAACTGTCAAAATAAATTTGTTTGGAAAAAAAAAGAAAAAGGGGAAAACTTTCGTCCCAACCTAATACGTGGCCGCGTGTTCATACCGAAATTTTCGAGATCGGTGGAATTATATTTTCCATTCCCTGAACTCACTGGTTATCACACTCTCTTTTTCGTCGTTTCGTTCCTCTTCTCGTTGACTGTTGTACCTTGTTTTTATCTTATAATATATTAAATTCTATCTTATTCAACAGGTTTTTATTTAAATAAAACTTCAAATCATATTCGAGAATTTTCTTGTTTTCTTCTTTGGACGCTCTTTTTGAACATCCATCAATATTTACTTGAAAGAAAAGTTACAAATATTTGCTATCATCCCTTTTAGAAACAACGAAACTTGTGGTGTAAACACTTTCATTGCTGCGTTGGTCCGTAAATACTCTTATAATTTCCTTTTGATCAGTTTTAGTTGCGCAAGCGCGGGTTGCTCCTCAAAATATTGAAAATCGATATTAGGTGTACAAAGTGTCCAATTATTATTTTTTTTACTTTTCTCTTCCAGATCAGTGATAAAAAACATACTTTGACCTCTTGAGATGGCGTTACGTTCTCTTTTACAGACATCCCAGATTTCTCTGGGTCGCTCATCTGTTTTTTCTTTCCGCAACGTTAGGTATGCTCACATCTTCCGTGTTTTCATCTAACATGTATTACAAGCAAACGGCATTCTTATTATTTTTAAGTTTCCCTTGCAGTTCTGCTAGAACCATGGTTTCTGAAGCCTTTAAGAAACATGAGGTAGTCCCTGACGTTCTCACGACGGCCCCGACCAGGAAAGTTGATGTTTCTTTCAACTCAGGCGTCAAGGTAATGTCAATCAGAAATTTAATGAACTTTTTCAGGCTGAACTAGGGAATGTTTTGACGCCAACTCAGGTGCAAGATCCTCCAAAATTGTCATGGGATGCTGAGCCCGGAGCTCTCTATACACTGGTGAAAACTGGTATGTTTCTTTTTGTTTTCATGTACCTGAAAAACGGATCTTACATTAAAAGTATTTTGTTGGGAAAGATGCAAATCAATGGAAGGAAATTACAGATCCTGATGCGCCATCTCGAAAAGAACCAAAATTCCGAGAATGGCATCACTGGTTGATCGTGAACATTCCGGGAAATGACATCTCCAAGGGCGACGTTCTTTCTGAGTACATTGGAGCTGGCCCTCCACCTGAGACTGGACTTCACCGTTACATTTATCTTGTCTACAAACAGCCAGGGAAGATTGAAGACAAGGAACATGGAAAATTGGGTCTGTCTGGTGCCAAAAGAAACAACTGGAAGGTCGCTGACTTTGCCAAAAAGCATAACCTTGGTGACCCCGTGTTTGGAAATCTTTATCAAGCCGAGTATGATGATTATGTGCCAAAGTTGTATGCTAAATTGGGTTAAATATTTGAGTTACAATAGTTATTTGATGTTTAAATCTGCCAATCTTCTAGTACTTTCTGGCTGACTCTTTTATCTTGTAATCCTTCTAGGCGGCGTTGTAATAAATGCTTATTTATATTTGATGAAATGTATTTTTTCGTAATACATGAGTTTTGCAATGGGCCCAAATTTGGGATTCTTGACGTCCGAACTTCTTATCCGATCTCAGAGTTGTTTTCGGTATCGGGAGAAAAGCGGTTTAGGCGCAGGTTGGATGGAGAATAGCGTGTGCGTGTTTGTCAATTTGAAAAGCGGATTAAAGGCTGCCAAACCGCCGTAGGCCGGACTTTCAGCCTGATCCTTAAGAGATTCATTTGCTTAATTACAATTAAGCAATGGCTGATTCTAATCGAAGAGGCTAATGCCCCCAAATCGCTTTTCTTTTTCGGGCGAAGTTGGTGGGCCCGCTTTGTATTGCCTTTATTTCCCACCGAAACCTCGGCATCGTTTCCTCGAATGTCTGTGTTTCGTACTCATGGAGCATATAAATCTAACCATGGAAGTGGATACTGGCCCTCAGTCCAGTCGCAGTTCCCTGATCACCGAGTTCTCAGGTGAACTTCCAATCCGAGCGCAGTTATTCGATGTGAGAGGGATTAAGATAGCTGGATTTATGGTCAACGATCGACCTATGGTCTGTTTGCCTCAGGTAAATTTTCTCAAAAGCTTTGCAATCTGTTTCTGTTTCTTCAGATCTATGAGATTTTCTTGAAAGAATTGGTCGGTGGCCTTCACACAATCTACACAAAGCTGAAACGTCTGAATATTCATCCTCTGGTATGCAATGTCGAGCAGGTCCGGGCATTGAGAATGGCTGGGGCCATCCAATGTGGTGTGAATAGATGCAAATTGATAGACTTGTCCGACCTCAGCACTTTGTTAATGGATTGTGAAGATGCAAGGTAAGTTTTGTATTACAGTACATAATTTTCCTCAGCACCCGCCCTGGGCGACCTCCGAAGAAAGTGGCTTCGATCCCCGAGCTGCATCCAGAATCTCGGCAACTTTGTTCTTCTTCATCGTCGATGACTTCCTTCTCCAACAACATGTCCTCCACCATGTCTAATCTCTCTTCTAATATGGGTTCCAACCTCTCCTCCAATCACTCCTGCTCCCTCCAGATTCTGAATGAGCTTCTTCCCTTTAATCAACCCACTTTTGTCGTCCAACAAATGGTTGCAGCAGCTGTTGCGCAACAACTAAATCATCAGCATTTAAATATTGCATGTCCTTCTAATGCCTCGTCAACTTCGTTCAATCTTCAAGATTTGAACTTTGCCCCTTCCTTGGATGAAACTCAAAGTGGCCAAGAAAAGAGTGAAGAATGGCTGAAGGCAGGAAAAGATGACAATAAAATGATGACAGAGCCCATGGAAAATAACGAGTACAAGCAAGAAGAACCCTCCAGTCATGAAAGTTCTGAGGAAAAGGCTTTGGACGGCAGCGATTCGTCATTAAAGCCCTCAGGCAGAAATTCGGAGACTGATACCAGCTTTTACCGGGAGAAATCGAGTTCCACGAATGATCAGGACAGTGGATCTGGAGCCCAAAGCAGTACGTCACCTCGGAATGAGAGAGAACAAGGGAATGGAGTCCTTTCAAGTGTCGTCTCGTTGATTGACACTGCTCAGAACTCGTTAAAGAAACAGAGTGAGAGTTTGACTGGTAAGTTTAACATTATTTTGATTGATGGTATTGACGTTACAGATCTCATAGCCACTATTCATGGAGAGTTGAAGGAGTTTAGTCGACGGGATCGAATTTCGAGAATGGAAATTTACATGGAGCGTCAGAAAGCGGGTCAGTTTATACTCGTAAAGGCAGCCATAAAATTTGCTTATTTCAATTTCCAAAACGGAGATGACCGATATAATTTTAGAAATATTACGCATAGTCGCGGCAAAAAGTCCTTGGAATTTTCTGCGACTCTGCACATGAACTCGAAAAAACATTTTGCACCGTGCATCCGGCCCAAAAAGTGAGCTTGCACAGTGCATTTTTTTTGCCCTAAGCCGCGCGCGATTCCTATTTTTCGCAGCGACAAATCACTTCTTCGGAGTACGACAGTGAAAATGCAGTGCAGTGCCGCGGAAATTCTGAAGACTTTTTGGATGGAGATACGAGGTTTCTGTTGTTTTCGGGGAAGCTGTATATTTTATTAAAACCTTGTGTTTTCAGCTCATTATATGCGTCGTTATACGGCCCTCAAATATATTCATCACAATCGTTGTCATCATCACAAAAAACATCGTCATAAAACGGAGGAATCGACCCAGAAAGACGAGTAGAAACAAACCAGTAAAACAATAAACGAGTTCTCCTTTTTAAGTTTTTATACTTCTATGTTAAATAATTATAAGTAAGGGGCTGACCCGTTAATATTCAGAATCGGAATCTGTTTCCTCTGGACGGAGAAGTTTCCGTCGTTCCACTTCGACAGCAGATTCCGTAATATTATTTTTGTCCCCAGCTGAAAATGGGGTGTGAATGGTGATGACTTCATCGTCTGAGTCATCGCCATTCATCAGTTTTCTTTCCAGATAGTGTACTCGTTCCTTCAGTTTGCTCTCCGTATTTGTATGCTCCGCCATTAACCTGGCTAATCTAAAATTATTTCCGATCCTTACTTTGATCTAAAATCACCTTGTTTGTAATATCCTGACGGAGTTTTGTAACTCATCAGCCATTTCTTCTGCTGTTTTGCTTTCCACTGGAGCAGTTTCGTCGAGTAGATTATCTTTTCTGAGGAGCTCTCTTCCTTTATTGATCAAGATCTTCCTCGCCTCAGGGTATTCCCGCAAGGCATTCCACAAATCTGTTTTATTGAGTACAAATAAATCTGTGTATCCCAGGGATCGGACATTGGCCGTTCTTCGGTTTCCATTTTTGCTTCCTAAATTAATGAGATGAGCGATGAAAGTCATCATGTGTTGCGATTACTTTAGCAAAATGGGGTCAGAAAAAAGGCTTAACGCTAATTGTATAACAATGATGTTTAACGCCTTGGAGCTCTCTCCATTCTGTTTAATCTACGGCACTGGGCCAACAATCTAATTAAAAGGGATGGCCTAATACTTCCATGCATTCTAAAAGAGATTAAAATATATTTGTTTTGTCTGGCTTTTTATCTTTACAAAAATACTCACCTTGAATGTTTAGAATACTTAATTCTCCAAAAACAGCGCCTTCTGAGAGTGTAGCAAAGACCTTGGAGCCATCGTCCGCCACAACTTGCAGCATCCCTCTTTTCACGATGTACATCTCCCTTCCAATGTCTCCTTTTCGGCAAACAAAATCACCTGGGCTAAACACCTGAAGCTGAAGTTTGAGTACCAGTTCAGCGAGAAGACCAGCTTCGCAATCTTGGAAGATACGAACTTTCCGGAGGGTCTCGAAATGAACGTGCATAGCTATTTCGGTTTGGAGTTTATTCGGAAGAACTTCCAGGACTTGTTGATCGCTGAGACTTTGTTTGTTGGCCCAAAGATAATCAAACCACTTAATTACTCGGATCTCCAACTAAAATCAATGATTTTATACAATATTCAATAATAAAATGCGTTGTAAAACCGAACGGCGACAATCGGGGCCCGCGACTTTTGGGGCCAATCAAGTTAACGAATTGATGGGAGATATCGTAAAAGTAATTCCGGAGTGTTACAAGTCTGTTGCAAAAATAGTCAGCGTGTCTACCGTTTCTAAACACCCAAAATTTGGAAAACCTTTAGAAAAAAATTATTTTTTAGTGTATACATGTTTTCAATCCTCTTTAAATCCGTGAAGGTTTCGTATCCGTCAAATAAACCCTGACACCGCAATTGTAGATTTTATAGGCGTGTCTATCATTTTGAAACAGAGTGTATGTATAATACTCATACATTTACAACTGGCTGCTAAACGCGTACCGATACAGTGTAAACTTCACCGGGCCCCGGCTGCCCCCTTTGTCCCCCTGCAAAAACTATTCTTTACCTGTTTGCCAACCCTCCGTAATTCCATGTACTGTTTGATGGAATCCATTCGATTTTGAAAGTTGGTTCGTGCCGCACTCATATTCGATATCATACTACCTACGTTACCCACGATTGTAGCAAAGATCAAGACACCGCACATCAAATCGAGGGTGACAAACGCAAATTCGACGTTCTGGACGGGACCAGGAACTTCTCCAATGGTGGTCAAGATAAGAGTAGACCAGTAAAAACTGTAGATGTATCTTCTGGCCAAGCTGTCATCAATGCCACTAAATGATATAAAGCGTTTATAATGTGAAACCACTTACTCGGGGAGTGACTGTTTGTTCTGAACACCGTAGACCCAATTATCAGAACCGAGGCCTATAGTTTCTGATATCAAAAAATAAAAGCACGCATTCCAATGAATGATCACAGCGATATACCAAACAACCGCGCCCACTCGAAAGGCATTCGGAAATGAACTTCTAGTCTCAGTATGTTCCATAAATTTGACCAACCTCTCCCTCTTCAGCAGTCGATTGAATCTTAAAACAGTTGATCGTTTAAATATAAACGTAGTCATGTAATCCAATGGAAGACAACTAAAGATGTCGATCTTGAACTGGAGACTGTTGAAGTACAAAGTTCTTATTCGTTTAACATCTCTAACCAGAAGCCCTTGCTCCAGAAACCCTACAGAAAGCGTGTAAAACAAGCTTAAGGTACCTGTGTGAGTTCTTAAAAACATATCCATCAAATAAATAAGGTCGGTAAAAATATCCAGAGTCAACCAGAAAGGCAGCATCTTACGGGAATCCAAGTCGACAAAGACTGATCTGGCAATCACTACCTAAAAATAATAGTATCAGTCTGTCGGGAAAATAATGACCCCAATGTGAAATCGGCAATCGCGCAGCCCCGGTGAACAACGAACTGTGTTGGCAGCGAATTTTTGCACTTTGCCGGCGTGACATGTTCTCATTATTTTCCCAGCAGATCGATAATGAAAAGGTTTAAAAAAAACATGTTACATCAGAGAATGATGACTTACAATTAGATTGTAAACATAAGCCACTGAAACAACCGCTACCCAATAGTAATAATATCCTTCATTGGCATCAAAAACAAGGCTCTTGGAGATGTACTTGAGCCTTCCTTTCGTATACTCTCCGACTTCAGGGCCCTTTCCAACCATTGCTCCCAATCCGATCTTCTCCATGAAACTCTTGGGCTCTTCTGGTTGATCCGTGATGGCCCCGGTGAGTCCATTCATGTTGGTGACATCAGCCACCTTGTTGGAACGGCCCATTGTCCTAGCACCGGGGACTTCGTCCAGGAAATTAATTTACCTAATAGCCGAGAGTACTCACCTTTTTAATTCCTGGGCGGCTTAGGGTGGCAACCCGCGTGCTCGGGCCCGGCCGGCCATTAACAATATTATCGGAAGACAGGTCGTTAGCGCCCATTTCATGATGCGACAAGATCCTTTCGTCCTGGGCGGACTTTTTGGTGGGTGTCTAAAGCGGAATTAAAATAAAATTCTCCAGGATTAAGCATCTTCGCCTCTGGCACAACTTACTCTCGTTCTCGGCCAGTCCCGTAGTTCCAGTTCGGAGTCGACGGAACTTATGCGAGACGGTCTGATATATCGTTGAATCCGGGCATCGGTAATATCACTGGGCTTTTTTTGAGAGACCCGATATGAAGACAAGGCATGCACGGGTATTTTTTTAAATTCTTCGAAATCGCTGATGTCTTGTGGGGCTGGCGGTAGATTGGCGTCCAATTCAAAAGTTCGGGGCTCCATGGCTATTAGAATTCCCTGTTAGGATTACCTGTCCTCATTTTTATTTGAAAACGACCATTAAAATCACGGAAAATTTAAAGATTCAGTCATTCGGAAAATTCGCGTAATCGCAGATAATCAGAAAACGTATAATACCCCAGAACAATTAAAAGAATCTGTTTTACATTTCACAAACTTCACCTTTGTATTGGAATTGATTAGTCCCATTAAACGACAGTTATTATACCAGTTGCTAAGAAACGGCGCATCACCTTCTCACTTTACAGCGGCTCGAAAATAGCTTTATACATTTATTTGTCCCTATCATCCGTTTCAAATAATTATATTTTTAATTTGTCGTGAAAACTGGCCGTTTCTCGTTATTATTGGTGTTGACAGTCGTGTTCTCATCGAGGAACTTCTCCAAGTCTATTACTTTATCATTTACCCGTTCCATCGAATGGGAAAATCTATTTTGATGGATCCTCCAGGACAAGACAATAAAGATAATAAGGACGGGGACTGAAATCGCGGTAACCTTAATTAATTAGTCATATCCTTACCTAGCATCCCCGTAGTGATTAGCGCTGCTGTATAATACTTGACCCCGCCAAACTTAACATAAAATATGACTCCAATCTCCACTAAAAAAAGGAGCAGACCTATACATGTCGAGAAAATCCAGGCGAGTTCAATGTACGGACTGAAATTGGTATGAAACTCAACACCTTTTACGCTACTCACCTTAACCTGATATGAGGAGAGTCTTGAGTGCACCCTGAGGCTTCGATATAAGGCAGAAGACACGTTGAGATCATTAAGGCGAGTAGGTGGACTGATACCAGGAGGGTGGTTACCACACCCAGTAATATCAACAGGGGTCTGGGAGTTTCATCCTCGTATTGCAATTCGACAAGGGCAACCTACAAGGAAAACTATAAAAAATAACGAGGAACATACCATGGCAAAACCAGAAAGTAAGGCAGATGTCCTCGAGGACGCCTTGAGTTGTGCACGACTAAGATCATATCGATATTTCTCATGAAGCGAGAGCTCACCCCGATGTCTGAAAAAAGTAAACATTAAGTACAATATAAACGAACCTGGTCAAAGGTTCAAACTGGGCCTTATCCAAAGCGGTGAATCTAGTGGTGGAATAATTAGATGGTCCTGGTTGACTCTCCAGATGAGACACAGCTGATAATTTATGCTGATTCAGAGACCCTACCCCCAAATTCGGAAGCCCTGAGGCCGTGTATGAGCGAATGATAGGCTTGGATTGCGTGGAATTTGAAGTGCTAAGTGAATTATTATATGCCTTAGCAGTGGGATTCGGCCCAATCCGTTGGTCTGAATCGGGAACAACAAAGAATCTGGTCGGGGAATTTGGCTGAAGTGGTGGAGTTGTGAATTCCTCGTCTTCCGAATGCTTCGATAGCAACGATGACACTTCTCCGTTGCTCTTATTAGTGCGCATAGAAGAGGGCATCTCAAAAAGAACAAGAAACGCTCGTTTCAAAGTGAGAAATTGTTGTCTTGAAGCATAAAAAGCCTCATTCTCCACAAAATTTGAGAGAAAAAACGAACGGAATCAGAGAGCGCCCCTTCCCTGCAGGTCCTTGGGCCCATGGTTATGTTATCACTATCAAAGACTTACGCTTTGTTCGCTGCACAGACCACAATGTTCGTTTGCAGGTTTCCTGAGCCGATTCCCAGAGAGTTGAGATCGGTCAACGAATGATAATTGCTGCCTGAGGCCGGAATCTTGATGCCAGGCAGAGGTCTTGGCCTGCTTGGTGCTACTCGATGTGGCCACTTCACGTAGTGCCGACTTGCCGGTTGATTCAACGCTGGTTGAGCTGCAAAAACGTCCGTAAAATTGCTCTCGAAAAATTATTTTTTTATTTGCACAATAAATAAATTCCGAGCTGCGCCCGACGTGCGTGCAGTCTGCAGTGTTGCGGCCGATAGCAATTACCGTATTTTGAATTTCGGGACACCTACATAAACGGTTATTAGCCTGATAGCCGTAAAACCTTGTATTTACGCACACCCTCTGTCATTCTGTGTGAACTTTTGACACCGGTATTTTCCACTCATAAAAAGTCGTCAAGGTCACAAAAATACTAGTCTTCCGGAAAGTTGTCGAACTGATTTTTGGCGTTTACACTGTGCGAAAAAAGCCAGGGTGCGAGCGACAGGTGCAAAAAGCAATACATTGCACAGTGCAAAGAAACCTTTGTTTTCTCACAGTGCGTGTCGCCGATTTCAGTCCGACGACTTACCGGAAGGACTAGTAGTTAGACTTACTAAAACTGTGAGGCAGCCTGCAGACCTCGGAAGGATCGGAATCGGCCGTTGAAGAGAGCCGCCTTTCCTTTTTCCGACCTATTTCTTTAATCGAATGCAAATTCTGCTCAGAAACAGAACGTCTCATGCCCAGAGGGTCTCTTCTCACAATCGGTGTTCCTGTAAATACGTATTAAAATAAATAACGCACAACGGGCAATACCTCTGCGAATGGTGGTTTTCTGCTGATTCTCGGGGTCTGGTCGATCCGAATTGAAGATCGCCCCGGGCTCCTAAAAGCGGGGATGATTAACAATAAGGCAAATAATATTTATTATTGATCTGAATGCCACACACTCTCTCACTTTATGGTCACTCAGATTTTACGACGGAGATTGACGGCCTTTAAAGGTCAATCTTTTCTCAAATATTCGGACAAATGAGATCAAAAAGAATCTTTCAATTCTTATAATTCCAATCGATCTCTTGTGTGAAGACATCTGCTTCTCACTGTCAAGATGACTAAGAATCTGTGTTTAATTAAAACTGACGCTTCTGCGTCATATAATAGTAATTATTTTGAAGAGGCCTTGTGGACTAATTTTCATCAAATCTAAAAATCTCGTTTTATTTCCTTTTTCAAAGTCCTAATTACTCCAGCTTACCTGCTCGTTTTCGTTTTTTGTAGGAGGTTCAGTTGATGTACTCCATAACTGGAAACTGGGAATAAATCGGGCCATAGCGATGAAAAAGCAGCCGATCGGCGTCTTTTAATCTGTCGCTCTGTTACCGAAACCGAGAGCGGAGCAAGGTCACAGCCATGATCAAACACAGTGATCTGAACCTTCTACTTCTCTATATGGCCCTTCCGCGTTTGTTTTCTTTCTCTTTTCCCCCAAAGACTTTTCCGTTTTCGGCCGCTTTCCCTGAGGGCTTTATCGATTAAAAGAGTTTTTTCGCAGTCTTTTTCCAAAAAAAATTAATTCCAAATGTAAAAGTTCACAACATCATGTTTACGTCATCGAAAAAAGTTTTTGAGGAAAGGGTATTCCAGCCTTTATTATTACATTATTTTGATGTTTTGACATTTTTGGACGTAGTATTGTTGTTATTCCCCTTTTCTGAATGTCAATTTTGCATTCCGGGTGTATAATCTGGGGATAAATCATGCAAAACAAATTAATATCTTCGAAACCGGATGGGGAAATGTAATTGGGGCGGCGGAAGAACATAATGCTAATAAAAGAGGGCCTCTCGACTTCTTTGAGGGTCTCGGGTTTTGTTTGAGGACTAGCGGAGACTCTCGCGGCACCAAGAGACTCCTATTGCGGTCCGTCTTCTCAGTCTAATTAACAGCATGATATAAAACACGCAGTTTTGAATTCACGGTGTCTGCACGGTCTTCCCTCCGCAGCGACCTTGAACTAAGCCCTCCAGGTCATCATTGCCTGTCTCGTTTTGTCTCGCGCACACGAAGAGATTTAATGGTTTTACTTTTTACAGCGAAATGTCGGGTCGGAGTTGTTTGGTCCTGCTATGAGAAAGGCCCTAAATGGTTTGGCTGTGGATGTTGCTCTGCTTGGCATCGGCTGGAGCTCATCGGTGTGCCTATCAGCCCCCACGGCCCGGCGATGTTATCGTCAGTCATCGACGTAATTCGGTCAACAGAAGAGCTCGAAGTTTGTCAGACAAGTTCCATATCCATACTGTTTTCGACAGATCCGTCACAAAAGATCTTCCTCAAAATCTTTCCATTCATGTAAAGGTAACTGGAGTTATACAGGGTGTTTCAAGAAATCTTCCAGGAAAGCTTTCGCGAATATCCTTGAGCTTTGGGGCAATCGAAGAATTTTCCGATTTGAAATAGTGCGTTGTTAGAATACGTAACAGATTTTTTTTCTCGCGTCGATGTAGGGTCCACGCCGGATAGCAAAGGTTTTGTACACATTACAACTTAAAGTTAGCCAAAACTAAGAAGTCATTCCAAAAAATTGTATTTTAACACCGGGTTTTGCCCACACAAAAAGTTCGGAAAGATGCGCTCTGTAAAATGTAGGTATAATAGGAACACAATTTTTAGGATTTTTTGATTCCTCATGCCATGGAGTATTGGACAAAAAACTTAAGATTAAAAGGCGGTGGAATTAACGGGATTACACTGGAAAGGTCGGTATAATCCTTACGTATGTTCACAGTAATCTCTAATTTAAGAGGTTGCATATCACATAATGAATATCTCTGGGGCAATCGGCGTGTATGTACATTTGGATGCTTACCGGAAACAAAATGCGGAGAAGCTGTAATTCCCGACCATCATCTTTATGTAAGCATTACATCAAGATTTACATCATCAATATTGAAATAGAAGCAAGATTATTCTTTGCAGCCATGCCTGAGCCGTAAAATCGTTGTAAACACATCTCCGATCAGACAAGTAATGACCAATTTTATTTTGTATATCACGGCGTTCAACTCGACAAGATGTAATGATATGGCCACAGTTGCATATGCAGTCCATTGTCAACAAGACTCTACAAAAAGGTAGACTGTTACTTCAATTAGTTGAATTTTACGTGTCCGTCCACTATAGGTAGATGCAATTAGAGACAGAGTTTTGAAATCCTTGCAAATATCCTGAACACTCCTGTATCTCTGTAAAAAAAAGTGTATTTTATGTATTCTCTACTTTTTTTTCTTAAGCATTAGTACTCTTAAAAAGTCATTATTGGATATTTTCTAAAAAAAATACTTGATCTTGAAGTAGTACTGTTAAAGGACCACAAAAGGTATTTTTGTAACCGAAATTTCCTCGGCTAAAAAATTGAAAATCAGGAATTTTCGTGTCGATAAAATTCCGAAGAACAAATGTTCTCGATAAACCAAGATTTGAAGTTTAATTCAAAATTTTCATAAATTATACTGTGCGGATAAGGTCCCGATGCGAGGATGTGACTTTCTTTTTTTTTGACAGTTATGCGGCAATAATTTTTAGAATGCACACGATAATATGGGTAACCCAAATCAAAGAATTGATTTTTTCGCAAATTTTACCCTATTTTTTGTCACAATAAGCGTTTTTTTACTTTTGTCCCACATATTAACAAAATGTAAAAAATTAATTAACAAAATGTAAAAAATGTAAAAATAATTGTAAAAAATTAAAAAAAAGCTCGAACGAGCTTTCTGATTTATGTTCTCTTGGTACATTCTACTAAGCGTGCTCAAACAGATGATAATTATTTTGATTAAATAGATCGCTGTTACTGCGGTGAATTTTGCAGTTTAAGAAAATATTCGTAAGAGGGACACTATTTATGGGACAACCTAATACTACAGGGCGGTTTATCCGAAGCTTCCATCCTTATTTCAAGTATTTCTCCGCCAATAATGCACCAATTTCTATACAATTTATATCAAATTGAAGCTCAGGTGCCCCATTTTTTTCACCCAGTATGACAGGCCCAAGTTCACGGAGGCTCCCGTGCTGACCCTTGACATTTTCATTCCAAATTTTGAAGCCCGAAATCGGTGAAACTTAGAAAATTTTTGCAATGATTTTCAATTGAGTTCTTGTACTTGGAAAATATTGGACGTGCTTTTCGGTGCCCGCAAATGGACTTTTCGATGCCCGCAAATTTTCGCGGTTCGCGACCGCAAATTAAATCGAAATCTGCCCGCACTTTTTCTGCCCACAAATTATAAAAAGGTTATGAAACACCTGGAATATGGATAATTAGTCAAATATTTGTATAAATACGGTGTAATTAAGAACTTTACATATGTAAAAATGCATTTGACAAAAAAAGCTTTTGAGAAGTGTCTCTGATCCGTGTTTTCTGGGATAAAATTTCAAATCACGAAATGGTATCATGTTTTTGGACAAAGCTGATGAATATGGAGTCCAAATCAAGTTGTTATAAAGGCTGAACAAAACTTTTTTTTTGTCTAAACGAACTTTTCGATGCCCGCAGATCGGAAATTCGGGTCCTCAGACATTACCAATGTAAAAATCTTCATTTTTATCTTCCATAAGTCACATTATGACACTTTTCACGACCAGTGACACCTATTTTTCAGTAGAAAAGTTCAAATTTAAATTTGCGGGCAAAAAAAGTTTGAAAACTTTTGGATGCCCGCAAATCAAAAAATGCTCCAAAACCTTTCGTAAGCCACCGTAGTGAAAAAAAAATTGATTACTACGACAAGATTAGGCACTATGATCATTTTGTGGCAATTGAGGCCGATTTGTTTGCAGGAAAACGGATTTTTGACAGAAAAAATATTTGCGGGCAAAAAAAGTTCTAAAAATTTTTGAATGCCCGCAAATCTGAAAAAAGCTTCTAAATCAATCGAAAGTAGTTGTGATGAAAAAACGAGTTCCATAAGTCACATTATGACACTTTTTACGGCCAGTGACACCGATTTTTCAGTAGAAAAATCCAAATTAAAATTTGCGGGCAAGAAAACGGTTTCTTGGCAGAAAAAATATTTGCGGGCAAAAAAAGTTCCAAAAATTTTTGAATGCCCGCAAATGAAAAAAGGCTTCCAAATCAATTAAAACTTGTTGTCTTGGGTAAAATTGGGTTAATAATGCTACTATGACAAGTTTTATGACCATTGGCACCGATTCTTGGGTTGAAAAGTTCGAATTTAAATTTGCGGGCAAAAAAAGTTTGAAAACTTTTGGATGACCGCAAATAAAAAAATGCTCTAAAATCTTTCGTGAGCCACCGTAATGAAAAAACCTTGATTACTATGTCAAGATTAGGCGCTATGATCGTTCGACGGCAATTGAGGCCGATTTGTTGGCAGGAAAACGGATTTTTGGCAGAAAAAATATTTGCGGGCAAAAAAAGTTCCAAAAATTTTCGAATGCCCGCAAATCAAAAAAGGCTTCCAAATCAATCAAAACTTGTTCCCATGGAGTCATAGCATCTTTATTTTACATTGGAAGTAGTTGAGTTATCACTTAGAGGTTTGTTATTATGAATTTTTTCTCATTTTTGGGATAAAGCGCCTCTTCCTGCAGCGCGCCGAGGTCTTCCGGGTGGGTTTCCAGTAAACCTGATGGTCCGATCCTTTTCTTGTTCAGTGAAGTCATGGAGTCCTTCTTTTTTTGCAATAAAGACTGCGTGCTTACATTGAGTCGCCGATTTTTGCCCAACGGGGCAAGAACACGAATAATACGTACCACATTTTCGAAGCATGTAAAATGATCCTTTTAAGGCTTTGTAGGACTCAAGAGAATTAAAATTGGCTTGTTTTAAATCGTTGAAATTTTTCAGAAGATCAACGCTTTCATCGGCAGTTGATGACTGAATCAAGTAATACCGTCCTATATTTTAGGTTTTAGTCTTGTGGCCTTGCTTACCTGACTTAAACTTCAGGTACTTCAAAAAATTGGGATCCGCTCGCGAATTCACATGCATAACGAATGCTTTTCTTGCAGCTGACAGATCCACTGCAGGTTTTTCAGGAAGGTTTCTCTCGACCTCAAGAGATCTCGATACTAGTTCGTCTCTTAACAACGGCACCATATGTTTGAAATCTACTCGTTCCCTTTCAGTTATTGAGTCTTTAAACTTTCCATGGTAACTTTCAGCTCCATTGTTGGTGGAGCCGTGCTGTGTAGCACCCTCATAGAAACGATGCCTAAAAGTAACAGATAATGTACTGTATTCTTACTTTTTTTCTGCGCCGTCTGCCGTCACCCACGGCTTCACCTTAGAAGCAAATGTTTTTGCGCCAAGATCGTTGTACTTCTGTAGGACAAGCTGACCAACTTTCAAAAATTCTGTTTCCGTCTCTGCTCTTTGCAACATAGAAATATCGTTCCGAATTTCTTTTAGTAATCGTTTTTTGTCTCTTTTCGGAAGATGAGTTTGCGCAATTTTCATAATGGCCTTAAGTCAGCGTACACATTTTATCTTTAAAATCTTACATAACCCAATTTTTATCCAAGACAACAAATTTTAATTGATTTGGAAGCCTTTTTTGATTTGCGGGCATTCAAAAATTTTTGGAACTTTTTTTGCCCGCAAATATTTTTTCTGCCAAGAAACCGTTTTCCTGCAAACAAATCGGCCCCAATTGCCGTCGGAACGATCATAACGTCTAATCTTGACATAGCAACCAAGATTTTTTCATTACGGTGACTCACGAAACATTTTGGAGCATTTTTTTTTATCTGCGGGCATCCAAAAGTTTTCAAGCTTTTTTTGCCCGCAAAGCTAAAATTCAAATTTTCCACCTGAAGATGTGCAGCAGTTGTCTCGTGGCAGCTTGAAATTACACAAAAAAATGATAACAATGAAGATTTTTACATTCGTAACGTCTGAGGACCCGATTTTCCGATCTGCGGGCATCGAAAAGTTCGTTAAATCTAAAAAAAGTTTTGTTCAGCCTTCATAATAACTTGGTTTGGACTCCATATTCATCAGCTTTGTCCAAAAACATGATATCATGCCGTGATTTGGAATTTTATTTCAGAAAACATGCGTCTGAGACACTTCTCAAAAAATTTTTTGTCAAATACACTTTTGCATATGTAAATTTATTAATTCCACCGGATTTATACAAATATTTCACTAATCAACCATGTTTCAGGCGTTTTATAACATTTTTATAATTTGCGGGCAGAAAAAGTGCGGGCAGATTTCGATTTAATTTGCGGTCGCGAACCGCGAAAATTTGCGGGCATCGAAAAGTCCATTTGCGGGCGAAAAAAAATTCCTCCTATAAATAATTTTCTGCATTGCTCTTGTGTTCTGGGGTAACAGGCTTCGTTAATCGAAATTTTTAAAAATGCGAACAAATGGACGAGACTGTCTACATGCATGAGGACATCCACGCCGAAGATAAATAACATGTTGTGAGGCCTAGATCGCCCAAGAACAAAGCTTTTGTTTTCATTCGTTCGACTTGGTACCTCGCCGAATTGAAATATGCTTGTTAGGCACTTGGTACTTCTGTGAACCTTACTTTAAAAAAAAAATTTTCATCGAATCCGGCGACTTTGTTTTTACCGGAAATTCAAAAATTTTCCAAGTCCGAGAAACTCAATTGAAAATCATTCCAAAAAAAATCTAAGTTTCACCGACTTCGGGCTCTAAAATTTGGAATGAAAATGTCAAAGGTCAGTACGGGGGCCTCCTTGAACCTGGGCACGTCATATTTGGTGGACAAAAAATGGGGCACCTAAGCTTCAATTTGATATAAATTTTACAGAAGTTGGTTTACTATTGGCGTAGAAATACTTGAAATAAGGATGGAAGCTTCGGCTGAACCACCCTGTACATAAGAAAAGGAGTTTAAAAAAAAATTCACAGAAAAATTTCTTTTTAACAGTCCTACTTAAGAAAAAAGTAAATAATACATAAAAACGCTTTACAAAGATACAGGAATAATTTTTTACAAGGACACAGGAGTGTTGAGGATGTTTGAAAGGATTTTAGAAATCTAATGGCATCTGCCTAATCACTCTGCCCATAATGGACCGTTGCCGAATTTTATACCCATGAAATATAAAGAAACTCATTCTACGCCCCTTCAGGCCAATTGCTGGTAATGTTAATATCTGCCCAGCCTCCCTTTCAACTCGACCCCATGATCAGGAACTGTTAATATCTACTATCAAGCATGAGATTGCACATGCTCTCGTTTTCTCCGACGCACTTTTCAAAGATTTCCCCAGGGTATGGCGTTTCTAAGTTTCTTGCCGACGATCGGGGTCCAAAAAAATTAAAAAGAGGCCATAAGGTTTTTGTGTATATAACGAGCCGGAAAAGAGGATGACAAAATAAAAAAAGTATTTTGTGCGGTAACGTACAAAAAATTGCGTTTCGAATATGTAAACTTCGTCATCAGGCGGTTTATAAACTAAAAATGATTTTAAGAATTTCGTGGGGGTTTGAGCGCAGTTACAGTCAGAAATACCAGAGTTTTTGCTTTCGGTGCAAAAATAAAAATTTGGTCTTGGTCTACGGATTGTGTATGTGATAGTGGATATACATACAAAATTTCTAGTCAATGAGTTGAAATGACTGTCAAATTTTTTAAGGGATAGCCGAAACCTGGATCAGCTAGCAAAGTTAACGAAAAGGTTGGAACGGGTGTCATAAAGTTAGTTTGGATAGCCAAACTATGTATTACAATGGCTTCACAGACAATAGCCACGGTAGTAAACATCTTCGATTGCCATTTTGACACTTTGGCTAGCCGATCCAAACTCATTTAAAAATTTTTTATAATTCCTATTCTTTTCCACCGATTCCAACATTTTGGCTAGCTTTTTTTAAGTCTTCAAAGCCATTCTGACACTTTGGTTAGTCATTAAAAAAGTTGGCTGTCATTTCAACTCATTGGTTAGCTGGTCAAAGAATTTTACAACAATGGCTATACATCTTGGGGTATACCCGATCTGCCCCAATGTTGTAGACTTTAAAATTCTGCCACATACACGTAAAAACCTCACGGCCTCTTCTTATTTTTTTGAACAACGATCGTCGGCCAAAAAAGCTTCCGAACACTATGTAACGCAACATTCATGTGAGACCACCAAATAAACAAATTACAGAACCCCATAAGAACCATAAAAAGAGACTGGCCAATGAGAAATGGTCATGTTGTACAACGACGTCATCATGTAATCGCGTCTCCCAGAGTTGCAGAGGAAGTACAACGACATTTCAATTGTAGCAATCTTCTCGGCGCAGAATTGGAAGATCAGGGTGGATATGGAACTTCAATGGTACATTGGGAAAAGAGAATATTCGAGAATGAGGCCATGACAGGAACACACACTCAGAACCCTGTCTATAGCAGAATTACTCTGGCCCTGTTCGAAGACAGCGGGTGGTATGATGTGTCATACGAGTAAGTGAATAACGTATTACGCTTGTTATTTGTTCTCTAATATGAGGGAGTCGTTCAAATCTAAATGAATTGAACTATGAGACCGGCATATCAGATTCTCCATATAAGAGGGGTTCCGGTTAAATTCAAATTTTTTTCGGCTACGGCAATTTTTTTTCTTCAAGGCGCACAATAAGCAAAACTACTATCCATTGTACCGTTCAGGACGCGTCTTATCCTGTCATTGCTCTGCAAGTTGCGAGACATAAAAGTCGGTATGGCCGAAACGCGTGGCTGAGCATCACAGCCGAAAACTTTTTGAATTTACCCGGAACCCCTCTTATATCCTTAAACGGTTAGGGCTAAAACAATTTTGGCTCCTAGGTTTTCAAGAAAATCTACCATAAAGTTTGACCGGAAAACCCCGCTAAATAGTCCTCGCTCCGAAAGACTCTTGGAACAAGGGCCCAATGGGCAGAGAGCGGAATCGAGACGTTCTCTACAAGTCTTTCACGAAGTAGCTTCATTTTTCAGGCATGCGCATAAATATGCAAATTTTACATTCACTTCAATATTTTACCCAAAGTACGCATAAAAAGAAAAATCTGTTTTTTGCATTGCAAACATTCTGGATTTCCACACCAGGGGATCAAAAAAACGACCCGTCTCATAGCTCAACTAATTTTCGATTTGAACGATATCCCTAGTAAGTCGGTGTCGATAAATTTAATAAGTTGTTTTACATTACCCATGCATGTTTCGTTGCAGATCAGCCGAGGATTTCATGTACGGAAAGAATCTGGGCTGCGACTTTGTCCAGATGACTTGTGGAGAATGGATTCGGACGCGCCAAGAGCAGTAAGTGGACAACTGTGTTTACTGTCTGCATGTGGGATTTACGATATACGGATATATTTTAGAGGATTATCGATAATGCCCTTCTGCCAAGCACCTAAACATGACGGCCTCAGATCTCTAGCAGTAACAAGCTGTACAAGCGAGAGAAACGCTCTTTCTTTCTGCAACCTTATTCCTTATGAAGAGGAACTGATTCCTTATTATCAATACTTCGAACATCTCAATGGAATATCTGATGCCAAGGTTAGTTTCTATGGAGGCTCTGTCGAATTGGCCGACTACTGTCCGTTCTATCAAGCCTTTGCCTGGCGAGATCCGGCTGCTGATCAACCCTTCTTTCGGGATTCAAGATGCTCATTAGACATAAACACCCCAACCGTAGACAGTAATCCCATTATGGAAGTCTACGGCAACTCTTCCAAATGTTTTGATCTCCTTATTACGTGGACAGAAAGAAAATGTGGACGAGTAAAAACGTTTTCTCAAAACCTAGCAGGATGTTACGAGGTAAGAGAAGCCACGGTTTCATATAGCTTTTACAGTATACCTGCAAGAAAGGAAGAGTAAACGTACGAGTAGCAGGAAGTTCGTCGTATTACCCATGTTATCATGAGGGACAGCATATTCATATCAACCAGGTAAGTCGGAATAAACAAACTAGAGTCTTCAGATAATAAATGGATGGCTTCGACAAGGCATTATCGTATGTCCGTCATGTGACGAGATATGTGGCGCCGATGACGAACCTGACTTTTGTGGGCCTGAACAAGAGCCACCCCACAAATACATCGGGGACGAACCCTTAGTCGAACCGTGTGCCGCGAACTCTCAATCAATCAAACGGGTTTTCCTTATTATGTCATTCATCTTTCTCTTAAGGCATATTCCGGTTGTCCAAACATACGTGTGATCTCTATAGAATGCAATTGCATTTCTCATATCTAGTAATTTTTTATTGTGACCTCATAAAGAATAAATATGAAAAGTTGGGTCCTCTTTCTCATGATCTGTACACGTATTTAAGGAGATCTCAAAAACAGTCGAAGGAAATGGAAATGAAAGATGGCCGCGATGAGTAGACCTTTATATCCGATACCATAGGAACTCGGACTGGGACGGGAAACGCTGGCTACGTTTCAGTGGGGGCGGCTGAATTAACCTCCGAGTGGACGACGAGGCACTCCCACCAGAGAACATCGGTGGTCGAATGAAGCCGGCATTATCCTCATCGGGATTCTTTTGCATGGGCACATCCAAATCCACTGTTCTACTCGTTCCAGGTGCAAAGTAATGAGCATTCCACGATCTCATATCGAATCCAGAAGAGGCACAAAAGGAGAGAAATAATATGAACCAAGTGATCAACGAGCGCATGTCTACAACAACAAGTTTAGTAAACTGAAAAGTCGCATAAGAAGATAAACTGTCAGATTAAGAAGAAATCCACGACTTTTAAGCGAAAGTCATCACAAAGTCGGGGAGGAAGCCGAGATGACGTCAGGAAGTCTATTCAGCTACTACAACGGAAGGCCAAACGTTCCCACGCTCTAATGACCACTTAGCCGCTTTTAACGTAATGAATTTATGATGGTTTTAAAAACAACATCAAGAAGATGAAGGGTATATTGCAAGAGCAATGACCATTCTAACCTCATCCTTTTAAGCTGCGTTTGTAAAAACAGGGCGTGGCTTGGTAAAACAATAGCGGCTCCGCCCCACTCCATAAAAGATAGGCTTCATCGTTAAACGAACCCAAAATGCAACCTGCACAGACGAAAGAACACTGTCATTCATAATTGATCAGTACATGACGCCCCATTTGGTCACTGACTTCCGAGGAATACGGAAGTACAGCCCTAAAACAATTGACTCATTCTCCAGCTCAAAACTCAAGCCCCGGAAATTGAGTTAAGGACTATTTGTTTCGGTTATGAAAAAGGCCTCTGACGTCCAAGGAAATAGAAACACAATTTCCCCCAATCCCCGGAGTAAGGATGGAGAGACCATCAAAACTGAACAAAGGACGAGATCAAACCATAAGAGGATTTGGTTTCACAATGCAGATCATAAAGGCAAACCCCCGATCACCACACTACTGCAGAAGTCGTCTAAATTGTATGGGAGTAAGGCTTTTATGTTCATCTATAAAGCGTAACATTAGGAAATGACTCGAACCCCACGACCTGGTTCGAAAACAGTTTCAGTTCATTCTGGATTTCAACAAGTGCAAGTCCTATTTTTAGAAATGACCTATCAAAAGACCCTGGAGCAAATGGATGACGAGGAAATGCACACCGCCGTATCAACAATCTTTCATGCAAGCAATAACTTCAGGAGATCTCGAGAACAGAACAGTGCATTGTTGTTGTCTTGGTAGGTATGAATAACATTTTCTATGATTTATACTCAACTTTTACGACCATTTACAGAGGCGTATCTTGGGGGAGAAGGGGAGGGGGTACTCCTACAGGTTGGTAGTTAAGAGAGAACCAAGGTGTGTTTCACAAAAAACAGCCGCCCCCCAGAATCTTGGATTAGAAAAGACACGCCCCTGATCTTTTAGAAAATTGATGCATCCTATTTCAGGCTAGATACAATCCACGTGAACCCAAAGACACACAGATTCCTTTTCGTTCGAGACGAACGAAATGACGTTTGGCTTCTAAATCGCCGCCAAAAAGATTGTGAATGTTGTACAAAGACAGACACCCAAAACATCAAGATACCTACAGCGCTAGAAACGCCATCCATAAAGTTTAAGAAAGGAAAAACAGCTAAACAAGTGCAGGTAATCACAGTACAACCGTTACCTTCAACTTTGGATCGTTCTTCTCCAAACCCTGGAAGACAAAAGGAGCGCAAAAAAGAATCAAATTGTTGTCGTGATTGTTGTTCCGAATGTGCCAACATATGTAGTAATATCCTCTCTGGCTGATACAATTAATCGCTAATATCATTCTCCAAAGGTCTGATCGAAAATGTAGATGTCCAGAAAGATGCAGGCTTTAAATTAATAAAATGTAGAATCTCAGGCTCATCTCCGCTGACATGTCCTCCTAAAGAAAGGCAATATTAATATTTTTATGCAGGGAAATGTGATGATTACCTCCATCAAATCGAGTGGGTACTCGATCCTTTCCTGGGTTGCAGTAATTTGCAGATTTCTGATAAAGAAAAGCCTCCCTCGTACATTCCGATGGATTTGTGGGATTAACGGTCTCAAAAATTGTGTTTCGATAGAGTTTCGTATGTACATTCGATCTAAAATTGCGAAGTTTAATGGCTATAGTCATCATAAACATTAAACTTGCCGAGGCGTTTTACCTTTCGTTGAATTCTCCGCTTTGAGATCGCGAAATTTCGTTAACTGAAGAATCCATAGAGCTGGTTGGCTGTTGACGAAAGTCACCACTTTGGTTATAGTGTTCATCTTCCTCAAAAACGAACGGAGGCGCTGTACCAAGTATTACGCCCATATCGAACTGACGCTCGGCTCGCATCGGCTGCTGAGTGCAGATCTCTATGTCACAGGGGTCTCTGAATTCTAAACCAATATCATTCACTTGTCCATGCGCTTGACCATCGATACATTCAGTTTCATTCTGCGCAATATTTTCGTTACCAAAGTTTTCAAACGGCTAAAAAAAAAATATCTTTGCTTCTTTGAGAGCCCCAACATACAATAAGTCCAGTAACCTCGTCTAGCACTTCTTCATTTATCATTTCGACACTCTTAGGGTCATCGCGATTTGCATTATAATTTTGATTACGACTTGAAACAGGTCTAGCTGAAGTATCCAATCTCTGGTTATTCCCATTCACATCTATTTGATCACAAACGTTAACGTCAGATTGATTCTCCGCCATGTTCTCAATTCTCGGTGATGTTATAATCCTCGGTGGCTCTTCCTCTGTTAAGGTCACGTTTCTTTTTTCAGCAGATTTTACAACACCTTGACTTTTCTTTCTAGTAGCTGGATGACTCCTGGTTTGCTCTTCATATATCACATCGTTTACACCCATAACATTCTCTTCCATATTTTCCTCAGCGCCAAGCACTTCATCCCTCGCGGGGTGATTTTCAGGCGGCCTTTGAGTTACTGGCGCTTGAGCTTGGTCGTTATTCCAAGCATTCAAACTCATGTTGTGAAGTTCATCCGCTACGTTACCCCGATCTTGTCTCGGAAGAGCCTTTGATCTGGAGATTCCCAGCACCATCCTATCCATATATTCATCTTCATCCATCTGATCTTTGTCGAAGTCAATAACAGTGCGATTCCCCGTATTATTGACATCGGAAACATTGAATAGCCTTATTGATGTAACGTGTCCATCCCTGAAAAGTTGTTCATAAATACGATATAGTCTTACTCTCTCAAAGAAGGAATCATTTGACGGATTACATTGCGAGTCATCACAGGATCGACCATTCCTGTTGACAAGACAAAAGAAATGCTGCAAAGTCCACTCATGTCCACAACAACAAACAATGGAGCTTCAGACTGGGTAAAGTAGAACTTCATGATCTCATCATTTGAGGCCGCGAACTTTGACAGCATTAACAAGTCTTTCACATCTACCTAAAGTATGCCATGAAACCAAAAACAACTTACTTCGATAAATGATTCTTCAACCATTAAAGTCGCGTTGATCAAATCTCTCATTTGGACAGCGCTTTTCTTGGATCGAGATCTCAAAGATCGGCTACAGATCGTATGCAGAACAACCCCGAATAGAGAAACATAAATTCCAACCTGAAAATAAGGAAGTTAGTAATGCAGAGCTTACTTCTTTCAGTTTGCCCAACGTAGTCAGTACATTTCTGAATTCCCGTCCAAGAACGTTCATTACACTGGTCACGGACTCCGGTCTTTCGTCTCTCGGTAGGCTATTCGCATAGATCTCCCGAGTTTTCAAAACTAATTCAGTATCAATCCCATTTCTGTAGGTTATTCGTACCACCAATCCGTCAGCCAAAGGCTCCAGATCAAGCACAAAATACTCAATATTCCTGTGTTTGTCCATTTTCTTTAACATTAAAGCAATGTCCCGAACAGATATTGATGCGCAAGGCACAGTCGCCGGCCATTCGTAGGTTCTTACAGCTCCGAAAAATTCGGTACTGAAGAAAACATGTCCAGATGCTGTTCTTGAGATGTTGCAGTTCTTGATCGTGATCCCATTGATATCTGGGAAAAATAACAAACTCAAGCCGAATTCCATCAATGTGTGAAGAGCCTCAGTAAATACCTAAAATTTTAAATAAAGGAAGAAAATCTTACCGGAATATGTGAAGAGTCGATTAAATATCGGCATGGATATTTCAGGCCTTCTTCTGGATCTAGATCTGGGAACTTCTCCTCCAGATAAGAGATAACATCGACATCCTCTGTGAAGTTCATACCTTTTGTTGCATTCAAGCTAAGAATCGAAAATTTTTGAAAAACATTTTTTAGAAACTTTTTTAATCGCGATTTTTGGATATTTCGATCGAAAAGTAAAACAAAAATTTTTTGAAAGATTCGAATTGTGAGTTTATGTTTTCGCGTTGAGACTTACAAGGGATCGGCCTGTAATCCAGTAAATTTACTGGTATAGGAAAAGTCGGAAGTCTTTGCCTTTATGTTTGTCCTTTTTCATACAAAATTTTTCTCACAATCATAACGGGCTGTCTACGTAGTATACACTGTCGGTATCCACTACGTGTGGCCGAAATTCCGACAAGGATTCAATTTGCAAGTAAGCATGGCTGTAATCCGGGCCGGCCCGCAAGCCGAAATTTCCAAGCCCGGCCCGGGTCAGGGCCTGCAAAATTTTGAAAGTCCGGCTCGGTTGGCCCGGGTAAAAGTTCTTGTGTAATTTATTGAGCTTGGAAATTTTTATTCTGTGAAAAACGTCCTAGCCGGATTTTTGTGGAAGCCAGGAAACTCTTGCCATTCCATCTGGGGAAGACCAGACATTTTTTGGTCTTCTTAATGTAATCTTGCAATATTTTCGAGCGATAAACCGGTCGGAGGACAAAAATAAAAAAGTGTGGACAAAAACGTCTTGAGGCAAAACCGTCCATTACGATCTGGACCGCCTGTTTAAAGGCTTTTAAAAATGAATAGCCAAAGAGATTGATTGCTATTGTATTGGTCCAAAAAAGAGTATTGTGCATTTTTTCACCATGATCTATGCTATTACGTTTGTAAGTTTCACACGTCATAATTTTAAATTTGACCAAAATGACGGCAAGTTGACGCAATTTTATGCCATTTTGAAAAATTCTGTCAAATAAGAGTGAAGAAATAAGATCGCACCGGTCGTTCCGAAGCGAAACGTTAAAAACGCTTTCCTCACTTTTTTTTTTTAAAATAGAATGGAAAAAATGAGGCCGACATGAGAAAAAAAGCTCGGGAAAGCAAATTTAGCGTCTTTTTCAAAATCTGAAAACCGGTCTTATTTCTTCATTTTTAAATTAACTACAGTGGCGGACCTGATTCGTTGGCCGAAAACATACATTTTGCATCCGGTAAGTAACAAAAATGCAGCAAAATACCTCCTTCTCCAAGTAAAAAAAACTCCGATTTCAAAAGCGCGCCCACACTTTTTGTGTGAGAAAGGGAGTGAAGTTCAAAACGGAGTTTTTTTTAATTGGAAAGGGAGGAATTTTGCCCCATTTTTGGTACCTCCCGGATGCAAAATGATACGTTTTTTGCCACTGGATCAGGCCCCTCTGTAGCATAATTTTAAATAGGGTTGTTAGGTCGTCAGCTTGACGCGTCAGTCACGTTGTCAAATTGCCGTCATTTTCGTCATGTCAAATTGCTCTGTCATTTTGATTGCCAAATTTCTGTATGGGCAAGCCGTGTTCGAATTCTCAAGAACTCAAATTAAAAATGAGATCATTTATCTGGTCGTAAACTCATAATACAGGGTGCAAAGGCTTCTTTTTTTGAATTTCTCCGCCGAGACGTGTGTGCAAAATTTAAAGAAAATCTGAGCGTCGCACTTGCGGTACTTCCTTTTAAGTTGTTTCGGCTCGAAAAAAATTCTTCATAACTTTGGTAGGGCAAGGAAGATCAATTCAAAATATTTTTTTCAAAATTCAATCTGTGAAAATAGCAGAGCTCAGCTTCTGAAAAATCTAAACTTTAAGAAAAACGGCATAGTCTCGGCGGGGAAATTCAAAGAAAGAGGAAGAAGCTTCGAGTGGTCCAGCCTGTACACCGCAATTTGCATATGCATCTATTTAAAGATATTCCGTCGGAGATTCGTTATACGGAGATCCTCTTGTCGTACTAAGTCTGGTAGATAACATTGGTTGTTGTCTATATCCAAGTGATGTGATCATCAAAGGAATTTCCATTTCAATTTGGGGCTGAGCAGTAAATTGCAAGACATATGATAAAGATATAATACTGTGCTCCATTTCTGACTGATCCGGTGGAACACTTGGCACCGCGTAGTCTGGGATGGTTAACTTCAAGGTATTGAAGTTCTAAAGATATTACATCATTCTGAGGGTCGCGGAGAATAAATACAGGGTGCGGCATCTTTGTGGCCCGATTTAAATTGGCTATAACTTCTTTATTTTTGGGCCTTTTTGTGATGTAATTTTGTTAAATTTTAAAACTAATAGAGATGGTTGAAAAAATTGTCGATGCTGAGGTAGTTTGGCACGCTGAAACCCATTGTCATTTCTCCTAAAACCTTTCATTTTTGACTAAGCGGTAGTACTAATTTCAGTTTTGGAACCAGATCGACTTTGGGGTTATCAAAGTTGCGAAAGCCTTGGCACGTTGAGAATGGCCGGATTTAATCAAAAATGTAAGAAAAAAGAAAAAAATCACGTGATTTTCGGATTCAGCGTGCTAAACTACCTCAGAAGACACTTTTTTTTCAACCATTTCTATTATTTACATGATTACACCACAAAAGCAGCCATAAGTTATAATAAGTACAATTATTTATTGCCCGGGACCCGGCAACCTCGGTACTTGCCTTGCCCCGTAATGCCTCTGGCTTTGCACACCCCGTAGGTACTTATACCGTACGGGCTGTCGTGAAGCCTCTTTTGTTGATAGTTACTTACTGTTTCTGATCGACCTTTTACTCTGCCTAAGGGAATGTTATCCAATTGCTGTTCCACCAATTTACAGTCATTTACATGCTCATATCTACTGATTGCAGTAAATTGTGCTTTCAGAACAAGTTGAACGTTGCAGTCTTTGATTGTTTTCCTGGTCCCATTTTTTATATAAATCGCTGGCTTTATCTCCTAAATGCAATTTTATAAAATGAGAATTAAAACTTGCTTCTCCCAATTGATACCCAGTTTTTGGAAGACTGACTTTGATATGGATCGTGCCAAAAGGTAGAGAACATACTGTAAAGTCGACTTCGTCTTTGTAATCGATTGGTTGCATGACGGCACTGGGAATGTCATCAAAGTATGAGGTGGAGACCACAATGAAAGGAAATATCTCAACTGCTGTCGACTGTGTGCGTCACAAATGGTTGCTCAAGTTCTCTTACCTGCTCGGAATTTGTCATTAAGACGACTCTGACTGTGTATCGGATAACCCCGAACTGGCTTTCGTACGAACTTGGAGCATTTGGAGGTATTCCGACGCGGAAAGGGAATTGATGACGTCCGGGACCCAACGTTAATCCCTGAGGGCAAAGGTTGACTGTTGCATTGAGGTATTCCTATAACACCACTTAGGGGATACATCTGTTAAATTACTTTTTCTGTTTCGTATATCTTATCGGTATGTACATTGACCCATCCTGTTCTTCCTCTTCCACGTACTTCTGCGTAAAACTCTGTTATTGTAGTACAAGGATCAGCCGAATCCAAGCAAACTTTAGCTTCTAGGAACTCCCCTGAATAGGTTTTAGGTCCCGGAAGTATCAGATTGAGTAGCACCGTCGGCATCTGAAAAATGAAAATAAGTAATAACAAGTCCCGTGGCCATTAAATACAAATTTTGTATGCACCAGCACCTCTATTTCTTCAAAAAAATTCTTGGAAATATTAAATAAAGCACTTTACAGCTGGTGTCACTACTAATTTGGGTCGAGTTGGAAGAGAAAAGGTGGCATCTATTGGAAAGGCCAGTTTTTCCGTTTGTTTGCTCATCCTATTTCCTCGGCGTTCAGATGCTGGAGCTCACCCCGTCTTATTTTATTACCTAAGTTACGTTAGAGTTCACTCAGAAACAAGTAAATTGATCCAGACGTGTGTCTGTCATAAACAAAATGCCCTCAGGGCTGGACAAGTACAATGTTGTGTAAAGAGCCTACCGCATCCCAATGGTAGACCGATATTTTTTTGCTAACCATCCCAGTCTGCAACAGATTTGGATTTATATCAGTTTCATTCTCGAGCTCCATTTTGACGGGACGCGAGGGAAAAGTCGAAAGTCTTTTGACCGCAGTTTCAATTTTAAATGAGGCCTCTCCTTGGCCCTTTTTTAATAGCAAGGTGCCTACCTCTTGGATCGTAGTGCATGGCAGACTCAGGAGCATGGCGAGAACAGATAGGTGAAACGAAAGTGGAACTTCCCTCTCGGAATTCGTCTGGAAAGGCGAGAAACTCACAGCATCTTCTTCTACGCCGTCATTGTTTCGGCCGGGCTCTAATTCAATAAATCCAAACCAAAGGCAATATTTTTATTATCCCGTAACGAGTTTATGCTTGGTATGTCTAATTCAATCTTCTAATGTAACCTCCATCAACGCGATAGAGCGACAAGTACTGCTGGGGCATTCCCTTTGATCCATCAGGCACATCTTTCGTGGATGGGCGGGGCAGGTCATTTGAACTCGTCCCAACAACTCCGAACCGCATCTAAAAAAATTTTCTGGTAATGTTTGTCTTCAGCGGCGAGGGTAGAAACTACGGAAACCCTACTTTCGGCATATTACAATTGCCTCCGGCCTCTCACACACACATTCCTTGGTTGTGTCCGATTCTGGAATATGGGTTCCAGGTTTCGATCTGGGCACAATGAATATATTATTTGAATAAAATCTTGGGGGTTTAATTATGGTCTGTGGTGTGGGAGGGAACTGGGGAACGGGTCTTGGTTTCGGCTGAAAATTTGCCGACATTTTGGGCTTAAACTTTTCGCCTCCGGAAAAGTCTGATGGAATGTTTTTCGAGGGGATTTTCACATCAAGCCCCGTTTCCAACCTGAAATACAGATCTTTCGCATTAGTTAGTTAGTATAATACGTGTTACAAAGATTAACAAAAAGATTCCCCGGCATGGGACAACTGGTTTAAATTAATCGAAAAAATATAAATATAAGTCAAATGGAAAGAGGAAGAGTTCTTGCCACGATCAACGCTTTTTCATTTCTCATAAAACACGAAAAGCGAGAAAAGGCCTACATAAACATTTAAATAACAAGTGAATGGCCGGGACGAAGAAAGCTTTGCGCAGTGACCCCATTCCTTCACTTGATGCTGTTATTTTGTATTGTTTTTACATGAAAAGGGAGGAGGATTGGGTTATTTTGAAAGGGAATGGAGGTCGCCAACACTTTTGTATGCTCTTTTTCGGGAGGCCTTATCAGAGAATATCGGGGCGAGCAGATAACTCAGTCTTCTTCCATTTCAAATATTCGCGCAGCTTAACCCCGAGTTCAAGTCAAAACGTTTTTCGTCTTTTAATCGAATAGAGATCGCCGCAGAAGGAGAGTGGAGAGGAGGGCGAAGATGCGGAAATCTTTTAAAGAAACCACCTCTACGACATTCCTCAAACCAAAATTAAACTTCGATTAAGAACGGAAGGCTTCCTAGTGAGACGCTCAGATTTTCTTTAAGCGATGCACACGCTTCAGGCGTAGGCCGCGTATCAATTTCCTGAAAGTTTTAGCTTTTCAGATCAAGCGATTCAACGATTCTTGCCGCCGAGAGAGTACGCGAAACGCGGAGAGCGGTCATACAGAAAAAAATTTTTTGGCCATATAAGAGTGAAGAAATAAAATTGCACCGGTCGTTCAGGAGCGAAACACTAAAAACGCTTTCCTCACTTTTTTTGAAAAAATAGAATGAAAAAATTAGTGCGGCTTGAAAAAAAAGCACGAAAAGTAAATTTAGCGTCCTTTTCAAAATTCAAAAAACAGTCTTACATCTTCACTATTATACATTTCCAGTTTTGTGCGGAAAAAATTCAATTTTGTGGAAACGTTATCCTCTGCGGTAGAAATAGGCATAAAACTTCTCACACCAAAATTCGCAAAAATTTGTCACCTTTTTTCCGACTTTCGACCTATAAAAACCTGGGTCGTTTCTGCAAAGCGCGAGCTAAGAGTCTCGCATTTCTCTTAGAAAAATACCAAATTTTTTTTGCGATATCTGAGCGTCGAACCCCTTCAGAATTTTTAAAATTTTCATGAAAATGCGGTCAATAAAGTCGACTTCCAAGGTCAAGCTTTGCAAATTTTGCTGAATAAAAAGTCTGTGGAATCATATACTCCGCGTACAATGTTTTGACCCCCCTCCTAACTCGGTCCAAAGTGTACAAACCTGTATTTACCTTCTCCTTTCGATAAAAGTGCATGCTGGCCTGGCGGTGTAGATTCGGCAGGTACCCTCTTGTCATGCCCAGCCTTGGTGAGCCACTTGCTCTTTGACTCAAGGTCGAGATGTGGTCGTTAGGTCCTCAATGTAATCCTGAGACTCCTAGTTACTCTCAAACAAAGAATAAACTCCCGCTGACACGGTCTCATATGGTTTGCAGGCGCAACTTCGCCGATCTGCACCTTAACGAAAAACCCGCGTTTTTCAAATGTTTTTTTAGCCACAAAAAACGGCATTCGTTTGATGGACCAGGTAATTTAAGACGCTACAGCACCCACCATACTCATTTGAGACGTATGAAACGCCAAATGTGAGGTGGGGATGTCATCGTAATCGGGGTCATCTACAGTAACGGCAAACTTAAGATTAAGGTGAATGAAACCCATTACAAAGCGTGTCAAATCGAAATATTTTACATTACTGAGAGTAAATAGGAGTCTCAGAATTACATTGAGGACATAACGGCCGCATCTCGACCTTGAGTCAAAGAGCAAATGGCTCACCAAGGCTGGGCATGACAAGAGGGTATCTGCCGAATCTACACCGCCAGGCCAGCATGCACTTTTATCGAAAGGAGAAGGTAAATACAGGTTTAAATCACATAATATAAACCCAATTTAGATCTCTACGAAAACGTTAGGGCAAGATGTTTAACATTTTGGGCAGCTCTACATCAAAAACGGTTTAACGCGTAGAATCCTCAAATGCAACGAAGCATTCAACGGAAAACCATTTATTAACCTGTATTCAGGTATGGGACGTCGATTACAATAGGTTTGCGTGGCATCCGCTGGCGATATCGAACTTTTTTAAGGGGGGTCAAAACTTTTTCCTCGATTTTTTAAGGTGATTTTTGAAAATTGCCCCTAGATTTTGAAATTCAACTATATGGTATGTCCTGCTATGTTATTTTTTGTTACGAGCCTGTGAGTATACCACATACCAAATTTGGTCCGAATTTGTACACTTTGGACCGAGTTAGGAGGGGGGTCAAAACATTGTACGCGGAGTATATTTGGTATTTTCACACTCAGTCCTCTATATTCAGTCAGTTCATTATTCAGTCTCCCTTCGATTGGGCCCAGTTGAAAAAGTTTTATTAGTCATTTTATCAAAAAAATTCCGACCGGTTTATTTTCTAATATTCTAATAGAAGAAAGGGCCGCCTAACTTTGTTAGATATTGTAGAATTTTGTGATTTGAGAGGTCATCTAATTCTCAATTCTCAACGCTCCCCGATTTGATAAGCTCGGCTCAAATGGCTGAGCCGAGCTGACCGAAGTCCCAAAATGAGAAATCTGTTTTTAATGGCTCTTTTTCCTCCCGGCGACTTGTGATATGGAGGGATTTGTTTTTGCGTATCGCATCAATTTTTGATCTTTTCTTAGGTCGGTCCATTTCTCAAAGTTCCCAACTTTTGGTCCTTTACACTGAGTCCACGTGGCCAAGGAAAAGAAAGAGAAGATCCGAAACACAAAATACGCAACAAGAATTACAGGGAATTCATGTATTACAGTTCAGGGCAATACTTAGTAACGAGGTTTGTTTATCCGAAATAAACATTCGCCGGGCCCTTTTGTTTATGGCGATTTCAACGGGTTTAATTTGAAACTTTAAAAGTAAGGATGCAGATAATGCAAACGAAAAAGGTCGTAAATTTGGATGGGGTCGGATTAAGACATCCTGAAGACATATACGAGGAGATTTAATTGCTTTTATTTGCAAAACTGTTCGTAACGAAAGGCCGGTTTGCAACGCTGGGTCAGTCCAGGCGCCTGGCCCCATGTCCTGATAAAGGTGCCGCCCATTTTGATCGGCCATCGTGGCCTATAAAAGAATCATCCGAATATTATTCGAATCAAGTCGCTTCGATTTCAACCCTGCAAGATGGTCCGTTGTCTGGTTGGGTTTTCTGTTGTGTTGGCTTGTGCCTACGCCGCTAGTCTCCCAATCAACTTCCAACAGCTTCCCGAGCAACTCAAGGGTGAGTTAAACGCGCATTAACATTTGTTTTCATAATTAACCGCTCGTAATTTCCGTTTTTAATTGTATCCCTGTTTAGAAGTAGTTCCCGAGGCCGTTACCAAGTTCTACGCTGATCTCACCGAAGATGACAAGAAGATCTTGAAGGAGATCGCCGCCAACCACGCCCAATACGAAACCGAGGACCAGGCTTTGGAGGCCCTTAAGGGAAAGAGCGAGAAGCTGTACAACAAAGCCGTTGAACTCCGCCAACTTCTAAAGACTAAAATCGATTCTCTCAACACTGAAGCCAAGGCGTTCGTCGAGGATGTAAGCTTTAATCGCAATTGGATTATGATTCGTTTGTTCTTTTTTAATGGTTATTTTTTTAGATCATCGCCAAACTCCGCGCCCTTAAGCCCAAGACCGGTGAGAAGCCAGATCTGAAGAAGGTCCGTGAGATCGCCCAGACCGTCATTACCCAATACCAAAAACTCTCCGAGGAGGCCAAGACCAACTTGCAGGCCACTTTCCCCAACATCACCAAGGTCGTCAAGAATGAAAAGTTCCAGCAGATCGCCAAAGGATTGATCAAGACCGAGAACTAAATCTCATTAAATTTATCTAAAGCTTTATGTAATAGTGGATTAAATAAATAAATTGATGAGATTCGATGGCTGTCTGATGGCCCCTCTGATCGGAGTCGCGTTATTTATGTTCTTCTTCGTTTATAAGAGACCCATTGGACACGCTGATAGATTGATTGTCGTTCCCAGGCCGTGAGGATTTTGTCTTTCTGATCAAAAGACTAGGCCAGGATCTATAAACATGTTGGTTCGTGTAATTTTGTTATCTCTGCTTGTATTATTCTACAATCAGGCCTATGCCTTTTTCGATTACGGAGAAGTGGACAACCAAGTCTCTGGTGGGAATATTTTGCATTTATAGTAATTACATGATCAATCTCGAGTAGTTAGTTATAGTTATGAACATAAGTCATGGTTCTGTCTCATTTAACGATTTTATATTGTGTCCTAGAAATCGTGCCAAAAGAAGTCAAAACTTTTTACGATGGGCTGACGACTGAAGATCGGGCAGTTCTCAAGAAAGTACTCAGCAAAGGCAGCACTTACAACAATGTCAGTGAAGTCCTAAACGACCTCAAAAATGGTTCTTCTTCGCTTTATGACAAGGCTGTCGCTCTGGTCACCGACTTTAGAAGTACCATGTCCAAATTGGGATCGAATTCCACTAAATTCATTGATGAGGTGAGATAATAATTTAGATAATATTATTATTAGACTGTCCTCCAAATCCAAAGAGCCTTGGGAGAGACTTTTTCCATCCAGAAAGTCAAAGCCGAAGCCAACGTGGCTGTTGCTCGTTACCAAGCTCTTGATGACGCCACCAAAAACGAACTCAAGGAGGCCTTCCCTGTTGTCGCTACTATCATAAACAGTAAGTCTACAGACTCTTTAATGCCTCCTCTCTCAAGACCCCATATTTCAGACATTGGCGGCCGGATTGTTGGGAATCACAGCCAACTGAAGTAATTAATGTAATCTTACACCAGACATATAATCTCCTCGAGATAATCGAATAAATGTCTCTAAGAGTCGTCGATTTTATTTCTTTTAAATACATAGCAGGTAGTGTCATCAATGGTTTCTTGGCAGAACTCGTCGGTTGTTGTGATATAGGAGAATTGACCCTTTCCACATACGACATTAAACTGGTCTTCCAGCTCCTCCTCAACCAGGGTTTGAATGTTTCTTTTAAGAGTCAAGGTCTTTGTGCCCGTCTCCTAAATATGAAGTCATTTTTGAGTTATTTAGTAATCAAAACAGGAGATGAATTTAAGATTTTGACGGGACCTACTCTCTTAATTATATTTCGTATTTTTTCACTGTTACAAGTGTCATCATCTTGAGATTTGTGATAGTCTAACTCGGCCAAAGGTCGTTCGTCAAAGTCATAGTCATCAATTCTGGGCTGTTCGTTGTCCACCGTCGGTTTGAATCTTTTAATTGTTCTCTTCGGCCGTTTTTTGATTCTTTTTCTTGGCTTGCGTCGAACAGCGCAGTCCGGACAGCCTGAGGGCTTTTCTTAACGTTACATAACAAACAAGAACAACTTACTACCGGCAATCCTCTGCACACAGCTTCACAGCAATCACTATTATATGATTCTATTTGTTGGACCTCTGAATAACAAGTAGGAGGGGCAGGAAGACAGATTTTTGGCAATGGGAAGAGGCCGCATTGGCCAAGGAAACTGCCCAATGAAGACGTCAAAATGGGGAGCCAGCATAACAACAAAATATTGTACATACGACGGTCGGTGTCTGCCGAACAGCATTATAATTACTTATATTGTATGCAGTAGTAATTGTTCTCTAAACGGAAACGATTTTCGGCGCTTTCTGTAAATGGCGGTTTTTAATTCGGAAATGCCTTTTTTTGGTTTCGACAGGTGTTTTAAGTGCGACTCTGAAAGCATGTGCCGGACTGAGTGACGGAATCGTGAAGCCAGTCTAGGAAGAAAAGTTTTTCTGGATGAGTTGTTGTGGGGTCGGGGGTCGGGGAGGGGGCCTCCCGACCACGCCCAACAAATCTGATGACGGAACCGAGGCAACCGGTTTTGATACACACAACAAAAATTTATGAACATGTTAGCACATTCCCGTCCATTTGCCTTTCATGACTTTAAGGCGGCCGAACCAGATGAATTGGCCGGACCCGACAAAGTGGCTTCAGAAGGGGAAGATCTTGTTTCATTTCCTCTCGTCGATTGAATGACCTGTGACATCAGGGATGGGGAACGTCGGGCTTTGCTGTTTCCGGCTTCCTTCGCTTCGGCCGCTCCGTTCTTTTGTAGTCCCATTCCTGTGGCCAGGTGAAGTGTGCCCAACTTGTCTTTTGGCGGCATTCGGCTTTCAGTTACTGTGCTTGACGGGGCAATTGCATTAGATAGATGTTGGGCCCGGAGGGGAGATGGCGGTCCTTGTTTTTAATCGGCCCTTTTCGCAATTTAGCTACCTCAATTAATCCGTCGAAGGCCGCTCTGCACCTTGGACATGTCCAATCTCGTTCGTCTTCTCTTTCCATTTTAAGCGACGTGACGCTGAAACGAGAGCCTGGCTGACGCCTCGGGCCGACTACTTGAGAAGCCCTTTTGGACTAGTGTAAACCAACAGAGTGACTTTCTTGACTTTCATATCTTTTATGGCCCCATAGAATGGCCAAACTTTTTTCGCATTTTATGGCGGGTTGGCTGTCAATTAATTGGGTACAGTAATCACTTATTCAGGAGAATGGCGGGAACCATGGCCAACATGGTGGGCCAATCTAAGAACATGCTCACGAATTATGGCCAATCCATTTCTCGGGCGTTTGATGGGAATAAAAACAAAGATTACAATCAGAATGGGGGAAGTGCCGCCAATCCAGAAGGACAGGTTGCCCGCGAAGATGGTCTTTATGTACATGTGAATCCAATTCTGAAGGTAGAAAATGCCCCCACCTTCATTCCCTCACTATTTTCCAGGCTTTCGACAATATCGAGTGGATTAGAAAGTTTAAACGACGCTGGCAGTTGGCCATTATGGCTAATCTTGGTTTTCTGATTGTTTTCGGGATCAGATGTAACTTCGGTGCCGCGAAGAATTACATGGCCAGAGATTATGTGGATCCATGGGGCGTGAAACACGTAAGTAAAAGGAAGTAACTCTATGACAGATTCAGTTTAGCATGGTCAGTTTAACTGGACCCGAGGAGAGCTGGGGGTGATGGAGAGCTCTTTCTTTTACGGATATCTCATCACTCAGGTTCCTGCTGGCTTTTTGGCCGCCAAATTCCCAGCAAATAAGTAGGTGGAAAGAAAAGATAGTAAAATAAAGAGAATATATTTGAACAAATAAATATAAGTTCAGGATGTTTGGGATTGCAATCGGTGGAGCCTCTCTTCTGAATCTCTTCCTCCCAATGGCTTTCAAAAGTCGCAATGACGTCTTAATTGCCGTCATCCAAATTATGCAGGGATTAGTGCAAGGGATGGGTTACCCTTCGATGCATGGAGTCTGGAGACATTGGGCGCCCCCATTAGAGAGATCCAAGTTGGCCACAACCGCCTTCGCTGGCTCCTATGCTGGCGCTGTCCTCGGCCTTCCAATGTCGGCCTGGCTGGTCTCTTATGTTGGATGGTCAACGCCTTTTTATGTCTATGGTATGTTCCAAACAAATGATATGAGAATGTTTAGGGATTGCTGGAATTCTTTGGGCAATACTGTGGTTCTCTGTCACCTTTGAAAAGCCGGCATACCATCCAACTATTTCCACAGAAGAGAAAGAGTTCATCGAAGAGCAGATTGGCCATGTTTCTCATACACCTCCGGCGGTAAGAATTATTCTTGAACTAATTAATCCGTTGTTTGCAGCTGAATACAATCCCCTGGAAGGCCATCTTGACCTCACGACCAGTTTACGCAATTATCGTCGCCAACTTTGCCCGAAGTTGGACCTTCTATCTGCTGCTACAAAATCAATTGACATACATGAAAGAAGTGTTGGGAATGAAAATCAATGACGTAAGTAATCACTTTTCTGCAAAAATGTAGTGATTTGATCAAGACAGAGGTTGCCATAATCATTATTTTATTTACAGAGCGGAGTACCGGCAGCTTTACCTCACGCCGTAATGGGACTTGTAGTATTGTTTGGTGGTCAACTAGCTGATAATCTTCGATCCTCTGGCAGGATGTCAACTACGGCTGTCAGGAAGTTGTTTAATTGTGGTGGCTTTGGAGGGGAGGCCTTCTTTATGTTGTTCGTTGCGTATACCAAGAGTGAAAAAGTTGCTTTGATCTCATTGGTTTTGGCCGTTGGATCTTCTGGATTCGCCATCTCAGGGTTTAATGTAAACCATCTTGACATTGCCCCAAGATATGCGGCCATTTTGATGGGATTCTCGAATGGGATTGGGACACTGGCTGGATTGGCCTGTCCTTTTGTGACGGAGACTTTAACGGCCAAGGGACCCCATGGCTGGGTTACTGTATTCCTGTTGGCCTCGCTGATTCATTTCACAGGCATCACTTTCTACTTCTTCTACGCCTCAGGGGAATTGCAAGTAGGTGATTGGTCTTTTATTCTCTTTCCTTTACTCTTATACACATTCTGGGTCATTTCAGGAATGGGCCGAGCCAAAAGAAGGGGAAGAAGATGCTCCATTTAAGGCGAACGGAACCCACAAAACAAACGATCAGGTTTCTTATGGGGCGGCGGGGGAACAATCTATAGCCCTGGCACCGCTGCCTAACGTGGCTGACATTCAAGCAGGTAGTTGGATTGCTCAAATGTTACTATCCTTATACAATTTAATTATAATTGAGAGTTTTCAGAAAGAGGCTTCCCACCACCATTGCAGACCAGCAATCCCTTCCACGACACTTACACTGTTCGGAATGACTATTACCAATAGATTTATTTAGATGTTATTTTTAATGAATACAATCGTGTCCCTCGCCTGGCATCTTGGCCTCTAGATTCCAAGTCCCAATATCCAAAACCTTGGATGGGACCGGGCCCTTGGTTATATAACTATTGGGCAGCTCGAACTTCCATCGTCGTTGACACGGCTGCAACGAAAGTTATATAAAATAAGAACTTACCAGGAGATCATTGCAATCGTGGTATATCTTGAGATGAACATCGATGGTTGTGACTTCTCGGGTGTCCCCAGCGAGACTGAAGAATCCATTTTCATCAGTATATCCACTTTCCAAATCATCATCGGGATCGGGCCCTATAACCGATACTGAAACATAAATTGTACATACCAAAGTCGTCGTCCACCAATTTTACTCTCACATTTTTAGCAGGTTCTGTGCCACAAAGAAGATGTCCAATCACCTAAAATAAGCGTAAGAGTGACGCCACTTACCTTGTAACTTTGAACACCGGTAAATTGTTCAGGGATAAGTGAGCCTGAGCATAACACCAAGCCCAAAGCTAATGACAACACTTGTAAGAACATCTGAATCAGATTAGAAAAGCAGCATCATTATAAAGTATTCGGAAAGAACCGCTTCTAATAAAAATATTATAGTTATTTTACAATTTATTATCAGTGAATGCAGTCTCGACTTTCATCTTCAAGTTCAACTTCCAAATTTACAGAGCCAAGATTGAATACATACTCGGGTACCCGGTCAAAAGTAATGTACTTATCGGGGATTCCAATCACCCATTCTCGTTTACAAAGCTGTCAAAGTAATCACTTTACTTTATAGATGACTTACCGGCACATTCATACTACAAGTGTGATAAATTCTGACCTCAGGGTCGATGTTGGTCAACTCAACGGTGTCCCCTTTCAATTCAAAATTCCCGTCCTGATCTGTATATCCACTCTGAAGAAGATCGTCGGGATCGGGACCTAAGTGGTTTTAAAATTAATAAAACATTACTAGATCATTGAGGAGGAGAATTTATTGGAATATTTCCAAATTAAATAATCTTATCAGAACTAAATATTACCATCATCCTGGTCGAATAACTTGACCAAAACTTGAGAAGCGGGCTGGGTCCCACAAAGAAGACGTCCCTTAATCCAAGCACTCTGCCTGCGGAAGGAGAGGGCCAAGGGAAGCAAGAAAATGGACAGTAATGTAACTGTAGACACATTCATTTCGAAAAAGGAAAAGTTTTGAATTAGAAATAAAAAGGAGGAAGAAGGAGGGGGTCTTATCAAGGGGCACTAAATAGTAAACAATCTGATAAACGAGCGATGAGTAACACCGGATCCGGGGACATACAGCTCAGTGATCAAAGCGGCCAAAGAAAAAACGACGCCGAAGGCTAAGGAAATAAAAGCACTGATGACAAAGGGCAATTTGATGGGAAGGAATTTGGATGAGAGATGGCTACAGTAATCCGGTTCTCTTTTACGACGGTCGCTGACATAGTTGCCATAGCCAGTTATCCATTTGTTGATAAAGCCATGTTCAACCAAACGAAGGACACTTAAAAAATATAAATAAATACTGACATCGACTTACATCTTATTCATGGGATCAATATATGGAGAATCCAATTTCATGGCAATGGCTTGATAAGCAGGCAAAACATGCTGAGGGAGAAGTTGAAGACGGCAATCAGCCTTGGAAATGACATTCAAAGTGTCATAAGGTCCCACCAATAGAAAATAGGGATGATCTCGGACCATTTGAACCCCTGAAACACATTGAAGACAGATTCAAGTTGACATACCCTCATCAATTGTACGACTGTAAATCACACGATTATGCTTATTTATATAATCCCACAGACGTTTTACATCATGGTAAACAGATGCCTGCAAAAAAATTAAAATCAAATTACAAAAAGTGACATAAATTTTAATATTTTGAAAGTATTTAAAAATAATTACCTGAATCATGGATGTCCTGGCTGAGTTCTCATGGAGAACAATTGTGTAGTGAGAGCTCTCAATTGCATTCAAAACATCTTCAAACCCTTAACAATGAACATATATAAGACGTGTGCGTTCTAAATATTTACTTCAAACCTAGGTCAATGGCAGAAAGCCCGTATTTCTTGTCTGTATGCCCTTGATACAAAGTATGGCGCGCTTCTGCCTAAAATTCGGTTATTGTCCGAACAGTGCACCTGAATCAAACAGTGCACCTGGGCGAACCGTGCACCTGGGCGAACAGTGCACCTTGAAAAAAAAAGATTTTTTGTGAATTATTGAAGAAAATTTGAAAAGTTTTCGCTTCGGTACTTGGAAAAAAGGATTTTTTGTAAAATTTGGACAAAATTAGAAATGTTTTCGCTTCGGGACTGGGAAAAAGGATTTTTTTGGAAAATTTTAACAAAATTTGAAATGTTTTCGCTTCGGGAGTAGAAAAAAGGGTGCCTGACTGAATATGAACCGTGGTGCCGCCAGAACTAAAATTTTGTCTAAAAGCGATGGTACCACGTAGTACTATTTAGTACCAAGTGTTAAAAATGTGTTTTTTAAGCAGTACTAGGCCCCAAAACAACAACATTAATTAATTAAATTAATTAATGTTGTTTAATGTGAATTAATTAATGTCGATTTCTGCCGCCGAGAGAGCACGCTAAACGTGGAGAGCGGTCAGAGAAAAAAGCGCTTTTTGGCCATAACTTTGGCAGTTTCGTGCGGAAAAATTTGATTTTTTGTAGAAACATTATACCTTACGGTAGAAATAGGCATGAAACTTTTCGTGCCGAAATTCGGCAAAAAGTCCTAAATTTTCGCCGACTTTCGATCTAAAAATCTCGGTTGTTTCTGCAAAGCGCGAGCTAGGATTCTCGCATATATCGTAGAAAAAAATATTCTAAATTTGTGCCAGGTTTATCAAAATCTGAGCGTCGCACTTGGAGTACTTCCCCTGTTAGTCAATTCATATTCAGTCAGCTCGAAAACATTTCAAATTTTGTTCAATTTTCACAAAAAACCCTTTTTTTCCAAGTCCCGAATCGAAAACTTTTCAAATTTTCATCAATAATTCACAAAAAATTCGTCTTTCCCAGTCCCGAAACGAAAACATTTCAAATTTTGTTCAAATTTTGCAAACTTTTGAATTTTGAAATATATATGATAATATATTATACATGTGTGTAATATGTTTTTACAAAACCTAGAGGCCGGCGGCATGCGGATCGCAATTCACAAATAATCTTTAGCCTTTCCATTGAAGGGCTCGAAAATTTACAAGGGAAGTACCCCAAGTGCGACGCTCAGATTTTCTTTAAATTTTGCACACACGTCGGGAATAGACGAAATATAAATTCCTGAAAGTTTTAGCTCGCGCTTTGCAGGCGCCGCCGAGATATCGGACGATTTATGCCGCCGAGAGAGCACGCTAAACGTGGAGAGCGGTCAGAGAGAAAAACGCTTTTTGGCCATAACTTTGGCAGTTTCGTGCGGAAAAATATGATTTTTTGTAGAAACATTATTCTTTACGGTAGAAATAGGAATGAAACTTTTCGTGCCGAAATTCGGCAAAAAGTCCTAAATTTTCGCCGACTTTCGATCTAAAAATCTCGGTTGTTTCTGCAAAGCGCGAGCTAGGATTCTCGCATATATCTTAGAAAAAATTATTCTAAATTTGTGCCAAGTTTCATCAAAATCTGAGCGTCGCACTTGGGGTACTTCCCCTGTTAGATAGGAAAAATTGGATATACATACAACAATTTGATGAAGCGAGGTGAAAACAGGAATGTTTTAAGCGTTTGTTTTCTAAAATCGTCAATTTCCGCAAATGTCACACAGACAATAAATAAGGAGCTTCTGCCAGTGAGCCAGGTTTAAAGTAGAACGCCTTGTATGTATAATTATCTCAAAAGAAACCTACTTTTAAAGGTATGTTTATCATTATATTGGATATTTGGGATAAAAATAGAACTCCCTACGGCGGTAATGAACATCATAATGGATAAAAGATACAGAAAACTGATCACAACTCTCAAGGGAAAACTCTCGGTTTTTAATCTTACATCTGAAAGAAATACAGTTGTTAGAACAAAAAGTGCAATCTGATCAGACAGGGGCAACCGGGCCGGTCTTCGGCCACGGCGTTTTTTTCGGGAAGCGCTACAAACTCGTACCCTATTCACACCGTGTAGTTAATAAAAGAGAGTTCTTCGGCAAAATGACCTCTCAGAATTATAGAGCATACAGCCACATCGACGTAGAGTCTGGTAACCAGACGGAGTTAAAGTGGGAAACAAGCATCGAGTTTGGCCCGAAACTGAGGGCGCCAAAGGTCAAGACTCTGTAAACCCTCTTCTAGATCCCGGAGACCATATTTTCTATTACCATAAGATTAAACAATTACTACTTATTCAATCATCATGAGGGGCTATATTAACACTTTTTAGTTTTAATTCCCACCTTGTCCAAAAAACGCCGATAAAACGGTCATGGCTACTGTAACACAGGATCTGTTTGTATTTGAACAATAAATTGTAGAATAGTCACATCCCACATAAAATAAAAACAATATAGCAGCAGTCAGACATATTACAATCGCTGCAATAACCTGTAAAAACGAGGATTATGATTGACTGACTTATAAAACTTACGGCAACGGGGAAAATTGAAAAGACGTATGCATATCTCTGGTAAATATGTGCTTCTGACATCTGATATAAGACTCCAGTTGCTTCAAATAAAAAGGGATGGGAAAAAGAAACATTGGCATCAGTACTTGCTTGCAGAACTGCTGCCCCAACTACAATCTCAGCCTCGCTGTGATGAAGTGCAGAGAATGCGTCATCCCATCGAGTGGCCATGGAGTACCCTGCTCTCTTTACATTATATGTCAGATTCATCTCTTTGGCCAATTGTCTCAACACTTGCCATACAATCCCAGGACCATAACCCATCATCCTCTCATATTCTTCAGTATAATTTACATAATTCACAAAGGGAGGAACAATTTCGGGAACAACGACTACAACTTCCAGGTTACTCATAATTTGTAACAATGCCCCAAAGTCCCAAATATCTTGTTTGCCATTGCCCAAGCAAGGCCAGATAAAACCCAAAAACACGTTGGGAGAGTATTTTATGCAGAAAACAAACAAGTAACGGCAATGTACACGTGGTTTATGGCCTCAAAGGCATGGCGGAGGCATCGGTGGAGGAGGTAACTCGGATTCATCAACGACTTCCTCCTTAATTCTGATTGGACTCGCAGCCCTGGATGACCCCGAATCCAATTCCATATCCATCTGATCATTATTATCCATCGACGTATCTATAACCTCAGCCTTGACATGAAGAGGCTCCTGACTGTTCATGTAATCGATAGAAGGATGCATAGAAACTGGGGGAATAATTACCGGCGTCGGTATAGCTCCCATGTCAGCAAGAGGAACGTTAGGAGGGCATGACATCATATTCACTGGGGGAGGAAAAGAGAAAGGAAGAGAAGGTGCAGGAACTTCATCAGATGGCGCGAAAGTTTGCGGCGGAATATCCATAGTAGATACATTCATTGGAGGAGGCATCGGATACATCGTGGGCGCTGGCACTATGGATGTGGGTGCTTTGTCTGGTAATTGAAAGCTGGGCATGATATCCACATTACTCGTAGAAGGCTAAAAATAAACATAACCTGCATACAGCCAACCTCAGACGGTCTATAAGCCGGATAATGCTTAGATACAACTCGATCCACTTCCTCTGCCAAACGATCACATGCATCCTTATATGCATCGCTCTAAAACAACACAAATAAATTCTTTCTCGACACTCTTACCTCTTGGAAATAATTGGTTAAACTCTTGTACATAGAACCCTTTCTTATATTGTCCTTTAACTGCATTCTTCTTTCGGCTAAGCTCATCACTCCCTTTGTTGACCTATTCTGTTGTTCAAAGAGGACCTTCATTACACTGAACATCAGTGAACTTTGGACTTGAACTTGCTCCTAAATTCAAAAATAAACTAATAAATAACAGATTACCCACCAGCATCTGCAACTCGTCAACTGCAGACTTTTTGATGTTATCGAAAGCCCCAGATCTCTTCACAACCCGAGTAATTTCGGCCGCGGGTCCGTCCAGATCATTTTCCTTCATATCGGTCATTCTTGATGTTCGGTATCAGATATATATTATCCGGGAACAGTTTTGATAGAAAGCAAACCTCCCAAAAAAAAATTTTTTTTTCTGGCATTTACGGGCAGCTTGCGCCCTAAAGACTTAATGTTTGCAGACTGCGCCCGCAGTAATAAAACGCAATTTTTCTTCGGCGATCGGATGACGGATTGGATGGGAATTAGATCTACGAGGAGGGAAGAGGAAATCTTTAATGGCTTTTTTCTAACAAATTGTCCAGATCGAGTCGGAAAACAAGTCCAAAATCCCTTTCGGTTTTCTAAACGCATAGATTACGAGAACTACGAAAAACGAACCAATCAAACAATAAGCACTTGTGTATTCTACGGTATCTGTAGTTTATAAAAAACGCAGAAAATGACGGAATGTGTATAATGTTTATTGAATTTCAACGCCTCAAGCACAGACTACTGTAACATAAGCTTTTTTCTTTTGATAAACAAATAAAAGTTTTTTGGTTCCTCCACGGTGCCAGGGAGTCTGAAGAACGGCGAATAAACATTGAGCAACCTGACTGCAGAAGTCTGTCAAGGAGAAGGAGATTCTTTGATCTGCCGCTGGAAGACTGATGGCCAGTAATTTGGCCACGTCTGAGCTGGGAATCCATTTTATTTGGCCAAAATTCTAGTCGCGCCATAAAGTCCGTAGAATTTTGCACAGTGCATTTGTCCCTTTTTTTCGTACGCGCTGCTGTGACTTCCCGTTTTTGCACTAGCGACATGCACTTTTCTGCGAGCGCACCCCGCGACGTCGCCGAAAAAAATCTACGGACTTTATGGCGCGACAGTTTTGCGTAACTGGATTTTAAAAATTTTGACCATTGGTTGGGATTTGGACACCATTGGCTAGTGTTCTGGACCACTGGTAACATGAGCCTGAGGGCGCGGAAATGCGGTCTGAATGAAAGTTTTGAAAAATGCAAAAGGCACCTTTTTAGCCTTCGAGACTATAGGCCCAGAGGGCACGAGATGATCGAGAGACCCTTGACTCAAGTTGTTTCGCCTCTCGACGTCGGCGTACACAACTTGCGGGATCCTGCTGGATGACTTACAATTTGTCAGAGACTTGACGTCCGAAGTCATTCGCCGTTCCGTCTTAGCTGGGCATGGGAAACGGCTAGATAGACGGGCACTTCCGGGCGATAATTATCGGTTTGCCGGGCTGGTAGGTGAACCCGGCTCGTACCGAGGGGGTTCGCGGTTTGTTGTGTCGGGAACATGTGTTCTGGTGAGGTGATTAAAGCCCGCAAGTGTTCCAGGATTCATGTTGTCGGCATGAGTCAGTCTTGTTGTTGTGGTCCAAGCCCAATGACCAGGTGTCCGTAGAACTCACCCTTAGGCACTCGTAGGATCGATTTTCTCTTTTAGTTTATATTTACAGCTGAGGGATGCCGGAAGAGGGGGAGAGACATTAAAAGATGGCTGGTCCCGCTTTCGCTGTCATTAACGCCATCAATTTCATGTCCAAATATTTTCGACTTTTTTATTTATTTCAATCGGATGTGATTCGGCCGGTTTCCGTTGAGTTGGGGCTTCAACCCGCGCAACAGCTGGCCGTTTCTTTGTCCCCAAAAAATGCTTTGGCCACGGAATCCGACAATGGTTTCCAAAAAACAAATGAATAAACATCTTCGTTTTCGGTCGGACTTTCTTCGCTTTGGTTGATAGTGGCTGATAAAACACCTCTTTTTAGAAGATCGCCGAACTTGACTGACCCAAAGATCCGCCAACCCCTGCCTTGATAACACTGCCAAAATGGGTGTCTTTGACCGTAAGTTTGGTGTTGTTGTGTCTGTAATATTCCCGACAATTGTTCGTTTTATAAATATAAGTGCAAATAACATCTGTCTGTTATGACCCTCAAGCGGGCCCGTTTTATGATAGGGCTTTGGAACCACGTCGAAATTTTTTTTACACCTTTAGCACACGATTAAAAACAAGCTGGAATACTGTAAATTACACATATAATGCATGAATGTTACAGCCGGCCAGTATGGGCGAACAATTCGTTTGTTCGTCCTGTATTTGGCATCCATCACAATCACATCGACCGTCTCTTTGGCATTTTCTGAAGGTCATCTGGATATTAGCGTGCCCGGATTAGAAGCTCCTAGTGAGGGATTCGAAAGCTCCGTGATCAATTTGAACCTGCAAGATGCCATGAGGACCCTGAGACGAATGAAAAGAATGACCGCAAAACGTTTGTTTTTTCTTGGAGTTATATTCGAATACCTGACTTAGACGGACTCAGCCCAGCAATGTTCTTTTTATTTAAGTTTCGGCTTTGCACGGAATTCTTGTCCGAATCTGGCCCCATTTTCCTTTTTTTGGCATCACTTCTTGTCCCTCATCACGCCTTATCCTTTGCCGTCGGTTATTTACAAGGATACGAGAGTAGTGTCTTTCTGTAAAGATCAACAAAATTTAGTCCCCTGTCTTTTACTGTATCCCTACTTGTCATCCGGCTTCCTTTTTAGGAAAATGCGGCTTTAACGGTTTGGTAAGAGATACTTAACATTTTAATGGGATTTTATAACAGTTGTACAGTTTGCAAACCTTGATTTACAGCAGCCGAAGATATCCTGACTCTGGATAAAGCGACGGTCAATGAGGCTCAAAGGAAACTGAATGAATCGGACGGAGAAGCGCTGGGCCAAGACTCCATTTACTGTCTCCGATTGGGTAAAACCTTTTACAGAGTCACGGTGAAGGCGCTTTCTTTCGCTTCGCCCTAAGCACTGTCCGGTCCGTCCTTAATAAGATCTTTGGGAATACTGTATCATTGATCTACAGTAACCCGTTGCCCCTTTTTTACTCACAAACGACGCAACTCACAGAACCCTGGCTTGGAATAACTACTGATAACCTCGGCTTGTCCTGTCCTAGCATCGCCCGAGGGGTCGTAGATAGCGGTGGGAGGGTCTCTTAGGTGTGCTCTTTACCTGTGGTTGCAGTCGTGCGTGAAGCGAAGCCCAACAAGTACACGGTGCGGTCATCACGGCCGTCGCGATGCGAACCCGGCCGGCAAAATCTGTCATCTCCTTCCTCTCCCTCATCCTCTGAGTCGTCTCAACTCTCTCCTGAAGCTGGGCGACTGAGTCGTTCTGAGATGGAACTCCGTAAATTCCTGCGTTTAGATCCGACGCGACGTCAACAGCCCCGCAACGATACGGGTAAATGTGTGATCAGCGCGGACCAGGCCGTTCATTATTGCGGCTTCACTGAAGAAGGTAGGTGTCCATTGAGGCGATGTTGTGCTCGTGATGTGAGCAGTGACACCCTCGAATCGATCTTCTCTTCCGGCTATCTGATTAATGATAACTTACATTGTATTCTGGCTTTTAACATAGCTTTGCTATTTTTTGTTTGATCGTGTGCATTTTTGTTTGCGGAATTAGCGAAGATTTTATCGAGCTGACATTGAGAATCTTATAGTCACGGCTCCGATTATTCCACCACCGCAACAAGGAAAGTGTCATGTAACGCCGAAGAGTGGCAGAGAAATCTGTTTCCCGACCTACGAGACACTGGACACAACTTGTACTGACCCCTCTCCCAACGATCTTCACAGTGCGGGTCCAGTGCCTCCACCAGTTATCAAGCATGCTACGTATGTTTTAATATACTGTAATCAGAAATACTTTCCAGTGTTCGCGCAATGGCGTTTGTGGCTCCAGATGACCTCCAACGTCTGATTAAACAATATTACCGACAGAATCAACAGCCCATTCCGAAGGATTTGAATTATAATCTCAAGCCTTATCTGTTTGCAAGATACCGTTGTGATTATGGTTACGAATTAGTTGACGAAGTGGATACCGTATTCTGTAGTGACAGACAATGGGTGAAGACTCTTCCAGAATGTCGCGGAAAGGGCCCTTGTGCTCATGAAAATGGTGGATGCAGTCACTCTTGTATATCTCCAGACAATTCGACTGTCGAATGTAGATGTCCCAAGGGCTTGATTCTTGATGTGGACGACAAAACTTGTATTAGTAAGAATATTTGACTGACCACAGTACTTATTTCGGCTACCCTTCATTGGGGGTTTTTCATTCGGGCTTAGATCGGATACCGGCCGAATACTTATAGCCAATATTGCCACGCAAGGTCACGGTGGTTGCCTAATGGTCTCAATGCTTGAGCTTTTTCCCGCGAAAAACACGGCTTTCATCATGAATTCAGGATGTTGGCCAAACTTTAATGTTTTTGGAGAGCTCACGATCTAGGCCGCGAGCTTGGCCATGGGTGACAAAAACTCCTGCGGACACAAAGTACCCTAACCCCTGCTGGCTAGCTAGTCAAAAAACTCTGCAATGTTGGCTATCAGTGTTGGGCCGTTACTGCTTCAAATAGAATCAGCCCCAATGAAGGATTGCGAAAAAAGAAAATCCAAAGAGACGATCCATTCCGGAATAAGACAAATTGATGTGTCCCGTTGTTTGTGACAGGAAAATGCAAACATCTGAAACATCTGAAAAATTAAATATTTCAGAACCCGCCCCGAAGAATGAATGTAAGAATCTTCAAGGTTGTTCTTGCGAATCCATCAATGATCTCCAACTTTCCTGTACTTGCCGACCATCTGGAACTAAATGTTTATGTAAGTCTAAGGTCATATTGTCAGCAAATGTTATCTAGTGCAAAAAGGAGCTCCAAAAATATATTTGCATCCCCCACCGCCTTATCAGACGGAACCTGGAGGCAGTTTGAATATAACTTGTTCTGGAGTCGGATACCCATTTCCCGAAACCACGTGGACTAGGTAAGAACAAATTTTTGTAAAATATATGCATATTGTTTAGCAACAATGACCAATTATTTGGACAACAAAAAGACCCGACTTCGCCTTACAATTCTCAGATATCAGTCACCGACGTTGTGAAAAACGGATTTTTTACTTGTACTTCTACCAATAAACATGGCCAAGCTGAAAAAGTTGCGGATATTGTGGTAGCTGGTCCCGATGCCACCAATCTTGATAAAGTGGACTCTGATAGAACGAGTGTGGAGGTCCACTGGACTCCCCCAGATCATGTCAACCGACCAATTACACATTACACTATCTACTACACAAACAATCCTCAACAACCAGTAAAAAATTGGAAATCTGTAGATGTCAACGAACCCAACCGAAACTTTGTGATCGAAGATCTTCGTTCGGATACAGAATACACCTTCAGAGTCCGCGCAAATGACAATCTTGGGCCAGGAAAACTCTCAAATGCAGTTACAGCCAAAACCCAAGAAGCAGGTAAGCTCAATAAAAACTATTGTTTTTTTAATGGAACTTGCATAATATTTCATAAAACTTTAAGCAAAACGACCGGCCGTGGAGATCGTGGAAGGCGAAGAGCTGAGAGTCTCTCCAAACGAAGCCTTCACACTGAATTGTAATGTGATCAGAGGAGATCCGACACCAGTAATTGTATGGGAATCAAAGGGTCGTCCAATCAGTAATCCCCAAGAAGGAAGATCCATTGCTCTGCAACATAAAGGACTACTGGAAGAAACCAGTTTTCTCTGCGTGGCTGAGAATGAAGCCGGGAAAACGTCGAGACGAATCCATGTTGTTGTAACTGGGCCTACTGCTCCTGAACGAATCCGAGCGAATGTGGATGGAGATGATGTTGGATTACAATGGGAACCCCCAAGAATTACAAATGGACCTATCGAAAATTACGAAGTTCTTTATACAGATGACCCAGATCTTCCAGAAGATCAATGGAAATCTGTGAACAGTGATGGAAAGACATCGATTCTGATCCCAGATCTCAAAGAGCTGACTGATTACACCTTCAGAGTGAAAGGAAAAAATGCAAATGGAGTGGGACTTCCAAGTAGAGACTACAATGCAACAACATGGCTAAAACGTAGGTGTAAATCAACTACAAAACAATAATTTAAAGCACGTCCTCCATCTATAACGTTGAAACCTGAGAGTGATATTGAAGCCAAACCAAGTACTGATGAGCTGGTTATCGAATGCGAGGCCACCGGTGTCCCGAAACCAAAGATTGCGTGGTTCTGGGACGATAATCTCGTTTCGGATGGGGAGGTAACCGACGTTAAAGTGCAATTACATATAATTTTAGAATGATTTCCGCGTTTATGACGTCAGTAAAATGGATGCTTTGAACGTGACAAACAGCAAATTGATTGCCAGATCTACAACAAGGACAGGAAAGGCCAGATGCGAAGCTGTAAACAAAGAGGGGACAGACGAAAAGGAGATAAATGTAAAGATTCTTGGCCCAGGAACACCACCCAAAGACATTCATCCGCAACCAGAAGAAAACGGGATCAAAGTCGAATGGAAGGAACCAGATATCCCCAATGGAAACGTCAATGAGTACATTGTCTACTACAGCAAAGACCCTGACAGTCCTTTGGATCAGTGGCAAAAGGTCGCCGTGCCTGCAGATAAGACTGTTGCTGTTATTGGAGATAGAGAGGAAGATACTCCGTACGTGGTTCGGGTTCAAGCTAAGACCGACGATGGTCCGGGAATCATCTCCGAACCAATAGAAGTGACCACTGGCAAGAAACGTAAGTGAGGTTATCTTGCACAGAGACTAAGTTACATTCAGACATCCCGTTAACCACAAAATTGGAAGTCCTGGATCCCGTGCCCATTCCTGGGGCCGAAATCGTTGTGGAGCCAGGCCAGAAGATCAAGTTCCGTTGTGTCACAGAAGGCCGACCAACCCCATCTCTCTCTTATAATTGGTTACCTCTGGACAACACGGAGAGTGGAGAAGAACCCATTCACATTCGAACTAATCCAGTACCCGATGTTGAACATACATACCGTTCAGATGAAACCGAAACTCAAACATATACTAAGAGAAGACTTGTCTGCCAAAGCCGGAATCCTGATGGATCCGTGGATGACAGCGTAACTTTTGATGTCAAGAAGCCGGGAAGTCCACCAGTTTCAATCGATCCAGATGTAGCTGTGGATAACAAGGTGACGATTAAATGGAAGCCACCAATACATCCGAATGGAGACCTGACCGGATATAAGGTATACCTCTCAGCAGATCCTTCCAAACCCCTCGATCAATGGCAGACGTTCGATGTCCCAACAAGTGAAGATCCTCAGATACAATTCGGAAGAGGGGAACTCGAGCCGGATACTCCTTATCATGTCCAAGTCGCAGCTATCAATACTGATGGAGAAGGAGTAAAGTCGGATCCCATTCCATTCCAAACCCAAAGCGGTGCTCCAATCGACGCCCCCACTGATCTCTTAGCTACAGTAGCCCAAGATAACAGTGTAAATCTTTCGTGGACAGGCCCATCTCAACCGAATGGTCCCATCCAAGGCTACACTATATACCAAATACCTGCTGACGACACAACAAACGATGATAATTACAAAAACTGGCCTCAAATTCCTGTAAAAACAACTGACGACATCGGAAATATTACTATGGACAAAGATGTGTATCAGATCTTACCGAACAGGGAGTATCGCATCCGCATTACAGCTACCAATGATCAGTCAGAAGGTCCGCCAAGTGAAACACTCTCATATAAAACTGGCACTGGTGAAATACCACCAACAATAACCCTGAAGCCAGCGGATAATCCAGCCAAAGTTCCACCAAGAGGAGACCTTACTGTAACATGTTCGGCTACTGGCATCCCGGAACCAAATGTCTACTGGATCGTGGATGGAGAGAAAACGAACAGCAATGTTCTCCAACTGAGTGGTCTTATCAAGGACAAAGTAGTCGAATGTAAGGCCGAGAACACTGCAGGAGATGCCACTGAACCTCTTCGTATTGACGTCCAAGGTCCTGGAACGCCCCCAGTCATCACCAGTCTTCAATCCCTACCTGACCAGGAACTGACAGTCGAATGGACAACTCCAGATGAACCAAATGGGCAGATCACCAACTATATTGTGAGATATGGAGAAATCCCGGAAGGAGAGACCTCTCCGACTACTTGGGAAGAAATTACAGTACCCAGTAATCAAGTTGAGACAACGATCACAGGACTTAAACCTAAGGCGACGTACGTGGTTAAGGTCGATGCTGTCAGCGACAGAGGACGTGGTGTTGAATCCGACACTCAGCGGGCAAAGACCTTGCCAATCACACCCCCACCACCACAGGTCTCAAAGGTCGATGTTCATCCCAACAACACCATTGCCATTCAATTTGATGCTGTTCCAGATCCCGAGAATCCAGCAACCAAGATTAAGGTAAACAATAAATACATACAACTTAATCTTGCATCGTTTTAGAACTACAAGATCCATTACACTTCGGATGATCCACTGACGGAAGGCACGGAATGGAAGGAAATGACGTGGACCCATCCAGATGACTCTCCCACTGTTTCTATTCCTATTGATGGAGATAATTTCGAACCCAACAAGAAATACAACATTAAGATCACTCCAGAAGGAGAGATTACTGGTACCTCCAGTGATCCATTGCCATTTGAAACAGGAAGTGGAGGTAAGTTTGGTGGAAACAACAGTGGAAATTTCTGTATTGCACACCAACCACTTTGTTTCAGTTATCGCCCCAGAGAAACCAACGTTCAATGTTGACACCTCAGATAACAAAATCAAGGTTCCCGCTGGTACTGACTACTCAGTTACTTGTTCTTCTGACGGCAGACCCTCCCCAAAAATTACATGGGTAGATGCGGATGGGAATGTGATCAGCGAAGGACCTGTTTTGACTGTAAATGACATCAAGACAACAAAGAATGTGAAATGCCGAGCTGAGAACGTTGGAGGCACAGAAGAAACTCCATTTGAGATCTACGTTGCTGGCCCCGGAGATGCTCCTGAGATCACAAACATCCACGCCCATAAACCAAGAACTATTGAAGTTCGATGGGATCCCCCTAAGATACCCAATGGAGAAATTACTCGATACATCGTGTATTACACACCCTTGGATGATCAGGTATACTACGTATATATACTATTGTATTTTTTTAACGTGCGATATATACAATATTATATTTTCGTAACGTATAATGATTCAGGATCCTGCCCGACAAGTTGGACAAGTCCCCAGCAAGCCAATCTCTGAATGGTTGACCCATCATGTTGTCGGCGAGAACCTGAACGACGGAGAGAAGGAAACAATCATCAAAGACTTTGTCGATCCCGAAACATCGTACGCTGTGGTCATCCAGGCTGTCAACGACGACGGACCCGGCCCATATTCGGTACAACAGAACATCAGGACGATGTCTAAAGGTAGATTGTCGACGATTGGGGAAAAAGGCGATTAGGGAAACTGAAATATATTATTTTTCTTCAATGCAAGTGTCAAAATTAGGATTGGCGCTGATTTCGAAAACGACATTCATTTTTTTCATTACGATAGTACTGTAAAGTAAATAGTAATTTTTTGAATTTTTTCATAAATGCTCGATTTAGGGGTTATCGATGAGGCTTTAGGCGCTACGGCGTTTCGAGTCAGGGACTTTACCTTTACTTTTTTTCTTTACTTCAGGAGTACCCCTAATTTATACTTTCCAATTAACTATTCGGACCAATAGTTGTTGATGCATTTATTCAGACAAAATTTCTTTTATGTATTATAGCATCATAATTTTGATGTTATAATCAACATTATGATGTTACGGTGCTCATCGTAATAAAAATAAACAGTGGCTACAGGTGGTATAACGTTTCCCATACCTGACTGGCTTTTTTATAAACTTGTACGTTGATTTGTGAAAACGATACAAAAAGCTACTACTTTACAGTACTACTTAAGTCCAATAGTAATGATCAAAAAGATGAATGTCATTTTCGAAATCAGCACCATCGTTTATCTTAATTTCGACGTTTGCATCGAAGAAAAACAATACTTTTCGGTTTCCCCAATCGTCGCTCCCCGGTCGTTCTTAAATGACATACGATTTTAGCGCAAGAAGGGCCTCCAACCGATCTTCGAGTCGAACCGATAGACCAGAACTCCGCCGAAATCGATTGGAAAGCACCGGAGAATGTCGAAGAGAATCCGATTGGATACGAAATCTTCTACGTTCCGGCCAATAAAGAGATCGAGATCGACGAATTCGATTCTCTTCCAAAATGGACCAAGATCTCTGTTGAAGATGGCGATGCCACTTCTCATGTCCTTAAGAATGAACTCCAGCCGGACACCGAGTACGTGTTCAAGATCAGAGCCATCTACCCCAAAGGCCCTGGTGTCTTCTCAGAACCTTGTATCACCAAAACTTTACCTGAAGGTAAACTTACCATGCAGAATGTTCAATCCTTTGTTGTTTAGGTAATCCCCCAGTAATTATGGTATCATCTGGCGGTGAGGGAACCGAGGGAACCACAAAGATTGATCTTCTTCCCGGCTCGTCCCTTGTCGTTTTTTGCAATGGTACTGGAAGTCCATCTCCATCAGTGAATTGGATCCGCCAAGGCTCGATTCCAATCGATCCCAGTACAGTAAAGAACGAAGGATATGCAACCAGGTGGTCGCTGAATGTGGGAAACATCACAGAAGACACGACTTTTAACTGCGTTGCCCAGAATCCTCTTGGAAAAGCGAACTGGACCATCGATCTTCACATTGTAGACGGTAGGTTCAACGATTTTGAAAAAGTAGTTCCTATTGATCTGATGTGGCATTTCGTTCATTTCTTGATTTATCGATGTAATAATGAATTGAAATTTCAATGTTACCTTTCGTTCTAAATTCCCCGAAAATCAATCTATCGATTTTTTATTTCGTCAATCCCTTTGTTTTTCTTTTTTTTCGACCGTTTTTATTGTCTGAAAATATAAGATTCCGCAAACCAAAAAGTCATCATTTTCAAATTACAGTGCGAGATTGATTTTCTCTAAAAGCTTGCATTTAACAGTAATACAGGGTGGTTCAGCCGAAGCTTCCAACCTTATTTCAAGTATTTCTCCGCCAGTAATGCACCAATTTCTATAAAATTTATATCTGAGGTACCCCATTTTTGTCCAATATGGCTGCCCAAGTTCACGGAAGCCCCCGTACTGACCTTAAACATTTTCATTCCAAATTTTCGACCCCGAAATCGGTGAAACTTATCGTTAAAAAATTTTTGCAATGATTTTCAATTGAGAGTCTCGAAATTGGAAAGTTTCACCGACTTCGGGCTCGAAAATTTGGACTGAAAATGTCAAAATTCAGTACCCGGGCCTCCGTGAAATTGGGCACGCCATATTCGGTTGACAAAGAATGATGGGTCTCATCTTAAATTTGATATAAACTTTACAGAACTTGGTGCATTATTGGCGGAGAAATACTTGAAATAAGGCTGGAATCTTCGGCTGAACCACCCTGTACTAATTACTGAATGTTTAAATATTCGTGAACCTCGCCCTCAAGGGAGATGGCGCGGAATCCTTGACTCACTGGGAAGGGATTTCTGGAGCGGCCGGAGCCATCCCGGTTGCACATGCATAGAAGAGGGAGAAACTTTAATAACCTGACCTGTGAACACTTTTTGCAAGAACGTCATACTACTGTACCCCATACGTGCAGTCGCAACCATACTTCCTGACAATGTTTTATGGACTAGGCTTATTTTGTTTTAGATCTCCCTGAAAACTGGAAGAATAAGCTGATAACGGCCAAGAAGGATGGGGATGATATTGTTGTTGATGTAAATGACAAGGTCAAAGAGAGTTTAAAAGATACCAACACTTGGACTCTCAAGATAACCGACGATCCGTCAAAGCCAAAAGATGAGTGGAGAACTATCGAAAGTGACGGAAAACCTTTGGACGATGTTAGAGTGGATGACACGATTCCCGGGAAAACGTATTATGTTACAGTAACTGATCCCAACACCGGCCTGGAGAGCACGATCTTATCCTTTGTGACACCAAAGCCTGCTGAGATTGTGAATGTGGGAGCCAATATTGATGATGATATGGTGGTTGATTTCAAACCGGCTGTTGGTCTATCAGAAGTCGAGGTATGAATGACAATGCAGAAAATTTTTTCGTTCTAGAGTTACGACATAAAGTCATGGCCATCAAATGATCCTTCGAATGTGAGATCTCAACGAGTCGATCCCACCAAATTAAACGGAAACCAGATTCCTGATCTTCTCCCTGATACTGATTACAACTTCCAAATCGTGACCAACTTCAAAGATGGCAGTAAATTGGAAGGCGATCAAGTCTCTTCGAAGACACCTCCTCAGGGTAGGTTCATGGTTTTAGTATAATTTGCATTTCTGCAGATGTAAAATGTGATTGTTCCCATGCTTGTCGTCTGGAGAAAGATGACTCTGGCAAGTCCACAGTGAAATGTTATTGCCCTCAAGGCTATGAGTTGGAACAAGACGGAAAAACTTGCAAGAAGGTGGCTGACACGGAGACCAAACAGATTGTGGTTGAAGTAACTCCAACATACGAAGACAAAGCTCCTGTTAGATTTGACGATCTTACCGAAAGACATGGGGTTGATGGATCTCCATTACCTACCAACGAGTATGGGAAGCCGGTCTATGTCGATGATGATGTCACCAGTGTACCTTTGCCCACCGATTCTTTGGGTCGCGAGATTCGGCCGATCGTTCGAATTGATGGATCGAGGCTTCCAGTCGATTCGAGCGGAAATACTTTAAATCAGCTGGGCCAAATAATAGACAAGAATGATGAAGGACAACCGTTGGGACCTGATAATGAAGTCCTTTCTAAGAATCTTCATGGAGATTGGCTATATCCGGAGATCGACAACCACGGGCATCCTCTGCCTTTTGATAAGAATGGAAGGCATGTATATCCTGTAATTGGATCGGACGGGAATGCGCTCAGAACCAACGAGGATGGACAGAGGATTGATAGAAATGGAGAGCCTATTCCCACCAATCCCTACGGAAAACCTATTGGTCCTGACGGATCTCCGGTAAGTTTATTGTAATAATAAAAGAAACTTCTTCAGTTGCCGACTGATGCAGAGAAAAACTTCCGATGGAATGATGATGCGGATGACATCACCGATGAACCCCTTCCAACCGACGCCATGGGTCACATTGTGTATCCGATAGTCAATCAACGTGGAACTCTGTTGCCTCTGAATGACGAAGGACATCATGTGGATGAGAATGGAGTTGAAGTCCCAACCAACGAGTATGGGTTCCCGGTACACCCGCAGACTGCAGATATCCTTCCAAAAAACTCTCAAGGCCAATACGTGCTCAGCGACGGCAAGGAGGAAGCGGCCACTCCTGATGCTCAAGAGCAAGCTGAGGACGTCACTCCCACAGAGCGTCATGCTCCGATCTATGACACCTCGGGTGATGTTCTTCCAACTAATTACGATGGTGACTACCTCGATAAGACTGGTAATGCGATTCAAAAGGACAGTATGGGCAGACCGGTCGATTCTACGGGGAAAATTCTTCCGACCAATTCCAACGGTGATTTTGTTCTACCAGACGTCTTGCCAACTGATGCCAGCGGAAAACCAATTCAGGTGGTGGACCCTCGAGGACAGCCTTTACCAACTGACAACACTGGGAGACCCTTGGCCGAGAACGGAAGTCCAATTGAGATTAAGGACGGCCAGTATGTTGATGAAAATGGATCTCCTTTACCAAATGATCGTGCTGGTAACGTTGTCTTTGGTACGACCGACTCTTCGGAAGAAGAGCCCAAAGTATTTGAATATCCAATAGTTGATGTGAATGGGTATCCACTTCCTAAAGATGAGCACGATCGTTTTGTGGACAGCCGAGGAGAGCCATTTAGAAAAGATGAAAATAACAGGCCTTTGGGACCAGATGGACAGATTTTGCCAACAGATGCATCTGGGAATTATATATACACACCAGAGAAAACGCCCACAAACATTGCCGGCCAGCCAGTTGTTGTGAAAGGCCCAGACCACGAACCAGTCCAGACCGACGAACAGGGAAGACCTTTGGATTCTGATGGGAACCCGTTGTTAATAAGAGATGGACAATACGTAAACAAGGACGGAAATGTCTTACCGCTGGATCCAGATGGAAATGCTCTTCTCCTTCCGACCGACGACTCAGGAAAATTCATCTACCCAATCCATGATGTAAGCGGCAACCCCCTTCCCACGGATAGCTCTGGCCATCATCTCGCTCCTGATGGGGAACTTGTTCTCACCGATGCAGGAGGAAGACCTCTCGATTCTTCTGGAAAACTGCTCCCCACTGACAGCTCAGGAAGTTTCATTTATTCAAAGCCAAAACCTACTGACTCCACTGGTCGTGAAGTAACACCGGTTGGACCGGACGGGTTACCTCTTTCGAAAGACAATGAAGGTAATTACGTGAAACCGGATGGTTCTGTGGTCCCAATCAGTGACGATAACCAGTTTGTTGATTCCCAAGGGCATCCCTTGCCTATCGACGGCTATGGACGTGTGGTAATCCGGCCTGATGATGGTCTGCTGACAACTGAAATAACTCCAACACAGAGGCCGGCAGGACCCCCAGTTGACGCCTCAGGAAATCCTATCGTTGTTGTTAACAAAGATGGTAATCCGTTGCCAACTGACGCCAATGGTTACTACCTCGATCAGGATGGAAATCCGATTCCAATCAATGGCGATAATCAATATGCAAATGAAGATGGGTCTCCCTTGCCATTCGATCCAGAAGGCCGAGTTCATTTGGTCAATCCTGACGACTTTGTTGAATCCGCTGAAGCAACAGATGCTTATGGTAAAGTAGTTTATCCAATCGTCGATTCCGATGGAAATCGTCTGCCCAAAGACGAATCCGGTAGACATATTGACAAAAACGGAGAGCTGATACCACTGAATGACTTCGGGAAGCCGTTGGACATGCATGGTAATCCTCTCGGTCTGAACGAAAAAGACCAATACGTTCTTCCCAGTGATGTTCTTCATCCGGATACCGCAGCCGATAAGCCAATCCCTGCCGAAGACGACAAAGAAGATCATTATGCTCATGGTCCAGAAGGCCAGCCGAAAGTAACTGAACTGCCTACCGACTCCACCGACGTTAAGCCAACTAGTGAATCTGGGAAACCAATTATCGTCGTGAATTCCGACGGAATCCCTCTCCCCACGAACTTCGAGGGGGCCTATGTGGACCCTCAAGGAGAGCCAATACCCACAAATGCTGATAATGAATATGTAGGACCCGACAGTTCTCCTTTGCCAACTGACCAATATGGAAACGTTGTTCTTCCTTCGGGCGACGAAGTTGTTGCTAAGACACTGCCAACCGATACGTATGGAAAGGAAGTCCATCCAATTGTAGACCCACAAGGAAATCCCCTTCCGACTGACACCTCTGGAAGACATGTTGGTCCAGGAGGAGAACCCATCCCGGTCGATGAATACGGAAGACCTCAGAAACCAGATGGAAGTCTCCTTCCCCAGAACCCTGAAGGAGAATTTGTCTTCCATCCAATTGTTATACCTACCAGTGATAGCGGTAAACCAATCGTTGTGATTGGTGCAGATGGCTTGCCACTGCAAAAGAATGCGGCAGGAAATTACATCAGACCTGATGGAGTTCCTGTGCCAACAAATGCTGCCAACGAGTACGTCGGTCCTGACGGATCTCCTTTACCGACGTCTGGTGACGGAAGCGTCATCATACCCGCTGAAGAAATAGCCGCAAAAACATTGCCAACCGACAGTTATGGCAAACCCGTTCATCCAATGGTGGATCCACTGGGACACCCGTTGCCTACTGACGAAACCGGGAGACACGTGGGGCCCGACTCTGAGCCGGTCTCTGTTGATGACTCAGGGAAGCCAATTCGGCCGGATGGAAGTGTATATCCCAAGGATAAAGAAGGAAATTACGTTCTCCTGCCCCATGTGGTCCCAACTGATGACACCGGAAAGGCAATCGAAGTTGTTGGACCGGATGGACAGCCCGTTCCCAAGAACAGCGAAGGTCAGTATATAAAAGAAGATGGGCAGCCAATCCCGACAAACTCTGATAATGAGTATGTCGCCTCTGACGGATCTCTGCTACCCAAGGATTCTGATGGTAATGTTGTTATCCCCGCGGAAGAGTTGGCAGCTAGAACCCTTCCGACTGACAGTTACGGCAAGCCAATACATCCGCTGGTAGATCCACAAGGAAATCCAATCCCCACCGATGCCAGTGGAAGACATGTTGGTCCGGATGGAGAGCCTGTTGCCGTAGACGAGCACGGAAGACCAACTAGACCTGATGGAAGCTTGTATCCAAAGGATAAAGAAGGAAACTACATTCTGCAGTCTGATGTCATTCCAACCGATCCCACCGGAAAAGCGGTTGTTGTGATAGGGCCAGATGGAACCCCACTGCAGAAAGATCCAGAAGGCCACTACATTAAACCAGATGGAAAACCAATTCCAACAAATGCTGCCAACGAATACGTCTCTGCTGATGGATCTCCATTGCCAACAAATGCTCTAGGGGATGTTATCATTCCAGCCGAAGAGCTCGAAGGGAAAACGCTCCCGACTGATGCTAACGGCAAAGTCATTTATCCAATCGTCGATCTAGAAGGCAATCCTCTTCCAACTGATGATTCTGGTAGACACATTGATCCTCAGGCTAATCCGATTCCTGTGGATGACTCGGGGAGACCATTAAGGCCGGACGGAAGTTTGTATCCGAAGGACAAAGAAGGAAACTACATCTTACAACCCCAAATAATCCCTACTGATAAGAGCGGAAAGGAAATTGTAGTAGTTGGGGCAGATGGTATACCTTTGCAGAAAAATCCGGAAGGCCAGTACATCAAAGAAGATGGGCAACCCATTCCCACGAACGCGGTCAATGAATATGTTGGACCTGACGGTTCGCCTTTGCCGACAAGTGCTGATGGAAACATTGTTCTTTACCCAGAATCCGATCTTGAACCAAAGACTTTGCCAACTGACAAAACTGGAAGGGAACCACCTCAAGTTGTCGATGAAGACGGACATCCTCTGCCTACGGATGCCTATGGAAAGTATTTGGGTCCGGATGGTGTCCCGCTTTCTGTTGATGAAATGGGGAGGGTACTGAAAGAAGACGGGACACTTTACCCTCAGAATGACAAGGGACACTTTGTGGTTCCCACATCTCGAGGTCAAGGAGAATTATTATCAACTGAGCTTCCGACTAAAGAAATTACCGAGGCACCTCGTCCAACAAATAAGGATGGAACTCCTGCTGTTGTCGTAGGCCCTGATGGTAATCCCCTTCCAACCAATGGTCAAGGCCAATTTCTGATGGAAGATGGTAGTCCCGTACCAACCAATGCTGACGCGCAATATGTTGATCCTCAAGGTTCAGTGCTCCCGATTAATGCAGATGGTCAATCTGAATGGAACGCTGGAGAGGATGAGACCCCCAAAGTTCTCCCAACTGATGTTACTGGCAGAGAAATCTATCCTATCGTCAATCCGCAGGGCATTCCGTGGCCAACTGACGTAACAGGACGTCACGTCGACCACAAAGGAGAGCAGATTCCCTTGGATGACTTTGGTCATCCTATTGGCCCCGATGGAAACGTTCTAGAAAAGAATGATGATGGGCATTATGTTTTTAAGCCAGACATAAGACCTACTGATGCGACTGGTAGAGAAATTGTAGTTGTGGGACCTGATGGACAACCATTGAAGACGGATGACAAGGGTAAATTCCTGGACAAAGACCAATCACCCATCCCAACCAATGCCGCCAACGAGTATGTGGGTCCAGATGGATCTCCTCTCCCTACCACCTCAGATGGAAATGTCATCTTCGGCGCGGATTCGATACCTGAAGCCAAGACCTTGCCAACTGACGTTACGGGGAAGCTTATATACCCGATTGTACGGCCTGATGGGTCTCCTCTGGCGACAGACGAAACTCATAGGTATGTCGACGAGAATGGAGAATTGATCCCTGTGGATGACTCTGGAAGACCACTAGACAAAGATCAGGAACTACTACCCACCGATATTAGTGGGGCCTATGTTTTAAAGCAAGATATAACCCCAGAGAAAGACGACAGAGTTACACTCGAAGTAGAACCAGAAGGCCAGCCGAAGGTAACTGAACTGCCTACCGACTCCACCGACGTTAAGCCAACTAGTGAATCTGGGAAACCAATTATCGTCGTGAATTCCGACGGAATCCCTCTCCCCACGAACTTCGAGGGGGCCTATGTGGACCCTCAAGGAGAGCCAATACCCACAAATGCTGATAATGAATATGTAGGACCCGACAGTTCTCCTTTGCCAACTGACCAATATGGAAACGTTGTTCTTCCTTCGGGCGACGAAGTTGTTGCTAAGACACTGCCAACCGATACGTATGGAAAGGAAGTCCATCCAATTGTAGACCCACAAGGAAATCCCCTTCCGACTGACACCTCTGGAAGACATGTTGGTCCAGGAGGAGAACCCATCCCGGTCGATGAATACGGAAGACCTCAGAAACCAGATGGAAGTCTCCTTCCCCAGAACCCTGAAGGAGAATTTGTCTTCCATCCAATTGTTATACCTACCAGTGATAGCGGTAAACCAATTGTTGTGATTGGTGCAGATGGCTTGCCACTGCAAAAGAATGCGGCAGGAAATTACATCAGACCTGATGGAGTTCCTGTGCCAACAAATGCTGCCAACGAGTACGTCGGTCCTGACGGATCTCCTTTACCGACGTCTGGTGACGGAAGCGTCATCATACCCGCTGAAGAAATAGCCGCAAAAACATTGCCAACCGACAGTTATGGCAAACCCGTTCATCCAATGGTGGATCCACTGGGACACCCGTTGCCTACTGACGAAACCGGGAGACACGTGGGGCCCGACTCTGAGCCGGTCTCTGTTGATGACTCAGGGAAGCCAATTCGGCCGGATGGAAGTGTATATCCCAAGGATAAAGAAGGAAATTACGTTCTCCTGCCCCATGTGGTCCCAACTGATGACACCGGAAAGGCAATCGAAGTTGTTGGACCGGATGGACAGCCCGTTCCCAAGAACAGCGAAGGTCAGTATATAAAAGAAGATGGGCAGCCAATCCCGACAAACTCTGATAATGAGTATGTCGCCTCTGACGGATCTCTGCTACCCAAGGATTCTGATGGTAATGTTGTTATCCCCGCGGAAGAGTTGGCAGCTAGAACCCTTCCGACTGACAGTTACGGCAAGCCAATACATCCGCTGGTAGATCCACAAGGAAATCCAATCCCCACCGATGCCAGTGGAAGACATGTTGGTCCGGATGGAGAGCCTGTTGCCGTAGACGAGCACGGAAGACCAACTAGACCTGATGGAAGCTTGTATCCAAAGGATAAAGAAGGAAACTACATTCTGCAGTCTGATGTCATTCCAACCGATCCCACCGGAAAAGCGGTTGTTGTGATAGGGCCAGGTGGAACCCCACTGCAGAAAGATCCAGAAGGCCACTACATTAAACCAGATGGAAAACCAATTCCAACAAATGCTGCCAACGAATACGTCTCTGCTGATGGATCTCCATTGCCAACAAATGCTCTAGGGGATGTTATCATTCCAGCCGAAGAGCTCGAAGGGAAAACGCTCCCGACTGATGCTAACGGCAAAGTCATTTATCCAATCGTCGATCCAGAAGGCAGTCCTCTTCCAACTGATGATTCTGGTAGACACATTGGACCAAACCAGAAACCAGTTCCTGTTGATGACGAGGGCAGACCGATCAATCCTGATGGGAGCCTTTTGCCTCAGGACACTGAGGGGAGATACGTATTCAAACCAAGTGGTGTCCCCACTGACAGCAGTGGACGTCCAATCGTGGTTGTTGATGCTGCTGGAATTCCCCTGTCGAAGAATTCTGACGGTAATTACGTGGATTCAGATGGTGTTCCGGTCCCAACGAACTTGGCCGATGAGTTTGTTGGCCCTGATGGTTCCCCACTTCCCACCAATGCTGATGGAAATGTTGTTGTTGGTGTTGATGATGAAATTCAGCCAAAGACATTGCCAACGGATGATACTGGAAAGGATGTACATCCCGTTGTAGATCAAGATGGGAATCTTCTGCCCACAGATAGTTCTGGGAAACACATCAAACCTGATGGAACTCCTTTGAAAATCGATGATTTCGGTCGACCCCTACAGAAAGACAACGTTCTTTTTCCAACCGATAGTGCAGGAAACTTTGTTTATTCCGATGAAATTCCAAAGGTATACGGTGATGATGGCAAACCGGTTATTGTTGTCGGACCTGATGGTCTCCCATTAGATACAAACACTGGTGGCCAATTTGTTAGGCCTGATGGAGCTCCTATTAATGTGGAAAACGACCGTTATGTTGACGAAAACAAAACCCCGCTACCCATTAATGAACATGGTCAGGCTGTTTTTAGCCCAGGCCAAGAACCAGAGCCAAAGATATTACCAACAGATGATACTGGAGCCATTGTTTTCCCAATTGTGGATAAAGATGGGCATCCTCTTCCAAAGAACGCCGAAGGAAAGTACATCAATAAAGAAGGAGAACTTATCCCAGTCGATGAATTCTCTCGGCCTCAAGGGCCAGATGGCAAACTGCTTCCGAAGAACGGAAAAGGCCAATACGTTCATCCGGATTCGTTCCCTGCCAGACCAACTGATTCTTATGGAAATGCGATTCCAGTGGTCGGCAAGGACGGACAACCATTACCGATTGATGCAGAGGGTAAGATTTCTCATTTCTAGACTTCTTATGACGTAATATTGATTTTTTAGGAAATTTTGTGGGGCCGGATAACCAACCTATCAAGATCGATGACAAAAATCATTATGTGGACTCTAACGGCGCTCGTCTTCCCATCAACGACAAAGGTCAAGCGGTGTACGATGCAACAGCAAAGATTCTTCCAACTGATGACTCTGGAAACCCGATTTATCCAGTTGTCTCAGCTGATGGCCTTCCTTTGCCCACTGATTACACTGGTCATTATACCGACGACAGAGGAGAGATCATTCCTTTGGACGATTACGGTCATCCACTTTCTCCGGATGGAAGTGTCCTTCCGAAAAATGAACTGGGACAATATGTGCATGGGGAAGATTCTGTCGTCACTCTGAAGCCGACTGATCGGACCGGAAGACCTGTCGTTGTTGTCGATAAAAATGGAGTCCCTCTTCCAACAGATACCGTTGGAAACTACATTGGCGAGAATGGTCATCCAGTTCCTACAAACTCTGCTAACCAATACGTTGGACCGGATGGATCTCCGCTTCCAGTTGATCCAGAGGGCCGTGTTGTTGTTGGTGCGGGAACTGAGCCTGAAGGCCGAACTCTTCCAACCGATGACACAGGAAAAGTGGTCTACCCAATTGTCAGACCCGACGGTTCTCTTCTTCCCACCGATTCGACCGGCAGATATATCGATTCATTTGGCGAACAGATCCCCGTCAACGACTTTGGGAGACCAATCAACAAAAACACTGGCGAAGTACTACCCACCGATCAATATGACCAACACATCTTCTATGATGCCAAGCCAACTGACTCCTCAGGACGTCTCATACAAGTAGTCGACAAAGATGGAAACCTGCTCCCAACTGACGCCACCGGCCAATTTATATTGAGTGATGGATCCCCAGTTCCCACCAACTCCCATCTTGAATACATTGGGCCTGATTCATCTCCATTGCCTCTGAACGAAGAGAACAAGGCTGTCCATCCGGGAACTAAAGCCCGTGATGAGATCTTGCCAACAGACCATGAGGGGAAACTACTGTATCCAATCGTTCGACCTGATGGCACTCCATTGGAGCGAGATTCATCTGGAAGATACGTTGATTATTCTGGAGAGAGAATACCCATTGACGACTTTGGAAGGCCGATCGACAAAGACAAACGGCTTCTTCCAAAGATTGATGACACGACTTTTGTGTATGCTGGCGGCGTTGTCCTTCCCACTGATGCATCCGGAAAGCTGATCAGAGTGATTGATCCTGATGGACAACCTTTGCCTACTTCCATCGACGGTCTCTATGTTTCCAACGATGGAAATGTGATTCCAACTGACAACCAGGGTAATTATCTTGGTCCAGACGGCCTACCTCTTCCAATCTCTGACGATGGCACAATTGTGTATTCACATAAGCATCCTTTGCCAACAGACAAATCAGGAAGAAGTCCACTTCCAGTTGTCGATGAGAATGGTTCTCCTCGTCCAACTGATTTAACTGGCCGCTATCTCGACTTTAATGGAGTTCCACTGGAGGTCGACGAAAATGGAATTCCGCAGTATCCCGATGGCACACCTCTCAAACAAGACGATAATGGAAATTATGTTTATCAAGACCAGAGGTAACTATTTTTATTTCAACGTTAAATTATTTTTTCAGAGCGAAGGATTCTAAGCATTGCTACATGGACCGTTACGTGGAAATTATTTTGGTTATTGATACTTCAGAAAACGTGAAGATCCTGGAATACAGATTGATGAAGGAAACTATCAAATCGTTCCTCAAAGAGAATTTTGATCTCGGGGAAAACAAGGTTAGGATTGGTCTCATCAAATACGGTAGTGAAGTCGATGTCCCCGTGGCCCTCGGTGATTATTCGAATGCTGGGGAACTGCTTCGAAGAATTGGAGATACTCGTCGTTTGAAAGGGTCGCCCCAGTTGGGAGAAGCCCTTAGGGATGCTGTCAGTGAATTCAAGATCTCTGGAGCTCCAGGCTCATCCAAGGTTGTGATCGTCTTTAAGGGAGGAAGGGCCGCGTAAGTCAAATATACAGTAATCATGCTGTTGTCTATCCGTTGTATTAACAAGGGAAGTGTTTCAAGTGCGACGCCCAGATTTTCTTTAAATTTGAAAGTTTAGCTGGCGCTTTTATTGAAAGTTCTTTTTGGCCATATTTTTGACAGTTTCGTACGGTAAAAGTTATGTTTTTGCAGAAACATTATCCTCTATGGTAGAAATAGGCACTCAACTTTTTATGCCAAAATTCAGAAGAAAGTGTCACATTTGTGACGACTTTCGATCTAAAAATCTCCGTCGTTTCTGCAGAGCGCGAGCTAGGAGTCTCTCATGTTAGAAAAAATTTACTTAAATTTATGTTGTTTCATCAAAATCTGAGCATCTCACTTGGAATACCCCTGTTAGTAAGGCAACTGTAAATTGCTTCTTTCAGGGATGATGTGGCTCTTCCGTCGACCCAGCTCCGAGATTACACCAAAGCGGATGTTTTCGTTGTCAGTGTGGGTCAGGATGATGACGATGACAATGAAATTGTTGGCCATGATTCGAGCAAACTGTTCAAATTCCAAGAATGGAAGTCCATGGAACCGAGTGACCTCGGCCCAATTGCAGACAAGATTTGTGAACTGGTTCCTAGCGACCAAGCAGGACCTACAGCTTGGCCGTCTCGACCAACTCGGCCTTCTACTTCTGGTCTGCCAAGAGAATGCTCCACAGTGGAGTACGAAGTTGACCTTGTGGTTCTCTTGGATTCTTCCAAATTTACCCAAGAAGAATTTACAAAGACCCGTGAGAGCATTGGCACCCTGGTCGACGAATCATTTGATCTGGCGCCCGACGTTGTTCGTGTTGGATTCATCGTGTTTAGTGATAAGGTCAGCGTCCCAGTAGCTCTTGGCCATTACGAAGACAAGATCGAGTTGTTGGAGAAGATCCAGGAGAGTGAATTAATGGACGGAACTGCCATTGCTTACAAAGGGTTGGATGCAGCTCGGCAACAATTCAGACTTCATGGAAGAGGGGGTGTGTCCAAGGTTGTCCTGCTCATCACAAATGGCAATTACAGGTAAGAAATCTTCCGTGATTCGTTTAAAATGTACTTCAGAGGAAATGGCCAACAATTCGCCCAAGAGCTTCGTGACACCCATGGTATCCAGCTGTTTGTATTAGGCATAAACCCCAGTCAAGCGAGATTACCATCACTGCAGCGACTTGTTGGAGTAGAGTTCTCCAAGGAGAGATTGTTGTCCATTGAAAACATTGATGACATTTCCAACAAGTTGGACTTCCTTCGAACGTCCTTGTGTAGCAGGATCAGCCAGACCACCGTCGTTGAAGATGACTATTATACAACAGAATCTCATCGTACCACAAAACGAGACGTCACCAAGATTCCATTGAGCGAACAAAAAGAACCTTGCAAGGACGAGGCAAAGATGTCCATCAATATTGTAATTGATAGTAATGGAGGATCTCAAGATGAAGAAGTAAGGGATCTGTATCATGTGTAATTTAATGCATTTTCTAGCACGTAAGTGACGTCAAGTCCATAGTGCAGACCTTCCTGGATGAGCGTTATGCGGAGAAAGAAAAGGATGAAAAGCCACTGGTAAACTTGATCAACATCAACAGCAAGGATAAGAACATTTTGCACAGTAAATCTGGTGTCCCTGTCGATGATCTATTCGAAGAAATGAGTGATATATTTGACGACGCTGTGAAAGAGAACGAAGAAATACGTGAAAAACTGCCAGACTGCCAGCATTAACATGATTTATATTTGTGTTTATTGTAGTATTATTAATAAAAGTACCAGTGAAACTCATCGTAATGGACGTTTTTGTCCCCAGGACGTTTTTGTCCCCAATATTGATTTTTGAAAATTCTTTGACCAGCTAACCAATGAGTTGAAATCACAGCCAAATTTTTTAATGGCTTACCAAAACTTGGCCAAAGTATCATACTTGCTTTGAAGCCTCAAAAATAGCTAGCTATTTAAAAGGTTGAAATAGGTATCAAAGTGTAGGAATGACGTCCGATTTTTTAAACGACAAGCCAAAAACCTCGATCGGCTAGCTAAAGTGTCAGAATAGCTCCGAAGCCCCGAAACAGCTAGCCAAAAAGTTGGATTCAGATTTTTACTAGCCATTTTAATAATTTGGCAGTCATTTGAAACTTTTTGCCACGCATTCCAACTTTTTAGCTAACTTTTTTGGGGCTTTAACGCCATTCTGACAGTTTGGCCAGCCGATCTAGGTCTTCGGATAGCCCTTAAAAATTTTGGCTGTGATTTCAACTTATTGGCTAGCTGGTCAAAGAATTTAAAAAAATCAATTCTGATGACAAAAACGGCCTGGGGGGGGGCAAAAACCGATCGAGGGAAAAAAATAAAAAAATGGGGACAAAACCGTCCTGAGGACAAAACCGGGGTGGGGACAAAAACGGGAAAACTCATATTTTATCGCTTGGGATAAGAGAATAAGAGCTGATAGGTCTGTCGTTCTTTCCAAACGATGCTAAAACAACTCCAAATCAGTCTTTCTTATTCGAAAAATCCAATGACCTTTTCTAAAATTAGATCTGTGGACTTGGCCCGTTTTCTGTTAGACTTATTTTGTTTACTGAAAATTTCAAAACTAGGGACCAAACATTAATATTGCTCCTTGCAAAACACATTGTGTATCTAACCGTAACCAATAAGATTTTATGAATTGAAACTTGTACATTGTCCCATACGTTAATCCAAACGTACTTGTGAAAGGTCATGGGACAAGCGGAAGGCAGTTCTTTGAGCTTTTTATTGTCCGATGATCAAGGTTCTGATCTCATCCCTAAGGTGTCCTATCAATACATCAAGCGCTTCAAAAAAATTTTGTATAGAAATTTCCAAAATTTACAGAAAACACAAATTGCAATTTTCTGAAAATGTCTGGAAAATAAAATTTGCTTTCTTCTTTCAAGAAAGATGAGAGATATTATCCAACCTTTAAAGGTATTATTGTTTGATAAGGACACGTGGTATTAGTTTAGATAACAGAGTCTTCTCGTTATCTCAAATGGAATTCCTTTTATGCCGTACATATGATAAGCACGTGCAATTCATCTCTCTTCTTTCCCAACAAAGTTGTTTTCCAGAGTCCGAAGCAGAGAGAGAGAGAAAGGGGGATCTTGTTATCTTCACCATAAGAAACAAGCCATAGAAAATTCCAGAGTGTGTTTGGGGAAATGTGCACCCAGAATGTTTTGAAGAGCGTGCGAAAGAGTGCGGTCAAACGGAGAGAACCGCCGGCCTAAAACAATTTATTCTCTCGCCCCCAGGGCCCGCCTTCTCTTCACTTGCATTTAAAAGGCCGGGTTCTTTCCATCTGACTTTTAAAGCGGCTTTCTTGAAGACTACAGTACACTCCAAATGGTTATTACAACAAGCACTGCTATCCCCACAGTTCACTCCGAGATCCGGCTCAACTCCAATCGCACCTTGAGATATGTGGCACCATTCTTAATCGACAAGAACTACCTCACCGATGGAACGACCATAAAACGAAAAGTTTCAGAATGTAAGTAATCCTTACAAGCATAAGACGATCGTGTTTAGCACAAGATGATAATGAGTCATGGGAAGGAGTATTGGATATGTGTCAAGCCATGGATGATATAATCGAAATCGACAAAGAGAGCGAGTTGATGGCCGAGAAAAGTGTTCTCGAGATTGGATTCTGCACTGGTCTTCCAAGTGTTTTTGCATTGGACAGTGGGGCTTCTGATGTTACAATCCATGCATGGTCATCTACAGCCTTGGAATTCTATGTAAAGCCTACCATGAAGAGGAACAAGGTGCCCAAAAACATATGCAAATTCAATTCATCCATTTTGAAATCAACCATCCAGAGTCTTGGAGGAAAGAAATTTGACGTAATTGTAGCTCCAGAACTGCTTCAAATGGATGAAACAGACTTTGAAGAAGTCCATGGCATTTTAGATGCTGCTTTGAAACCCTTCGGAATCGTCCTGATCTGTTCACGATCATATTATCCTCATTGCTCTGGGAATATCCCGGCGTTCATGGAGATGTGCAAGATGAAAGGAGTTTTCGACGCTTACTTAAGGTGGTCTTCAACAAAGCCAGACCAGGATTCTCATAGAGTTATCCAACTCACTCGGACTCTGCGTTAACTGATCTCACAGCTCTACACCGGTTATATTGTTATGATTATAATCCACGACCTCCAAATATTTCTTTCCCTGTAAATATTATAATACATACATAAAAAACTATTATAGTTGCTTGAGCCGTATTTTACTCCAGATATTGCTTACTATTGTACACGTTTAAATTTGAAACCGGTATCAGACTGAATTTTGAGAAGAAAAGGACCTTCCTGGCCTGGGTTAAATGTCATCGGCATTATCGAATACGTGCCCGCAGGCACTGAGTTCAATTCCAGAACTGTGCAGCCGGATCGAAAGTCTCCAGAAGTGCATCTATTGAAGGGTTTATTCCTTCGTGAGGATATCTGGACCACCTCAAAACCCACATGAAATTGTTTGGGGCCCCTGAGATCAATGACCACTGTATTTTCATCACTTCCATCATCAAGCTCCAAGTGGAAGATGGGATTATTACTAAAAATAAATAACAAATAGTGAATTGAGAACGTGATTTAAAAGTTATTTTTCGGAAAACAAGTGACATACCGGACTGTTTCGCGAGATGCACCGTTTCCGCACCCTCCGGCAGTAATTCCCTTCCATTCTCCGGGAATTGTTTTCTGAATTTTCGGATGTTTAATCTCTGAACAAGAGAATTCTGTCGTGCTGTACAACCGAAGAGTGTAATATATGGTTGTCGACTTTTCGTACTGCAATCAAATCTGGCAATGCTATATTATTAGGGTCGATAAAAAATTTTGACCATTTTCTTGCAAGTTTCAAGTCGATTATTTTCTAGCTCAGATCTCCCATTATTTCAGTAAGTAAATTTACTGTAGTTTTTTTTATTTTTTCCATATTTTACGTAGATTTTAAACTTATAAAAATTAAAACCCACTGAAATTTCATCGCAAAATATGGAAAAATCGAAAATTTTATTTTACCAGAAAGTTTTATAAATTTATTTACAAGTTCGGACCAGAGATTGCCACGGTCAAAATTTTGGCTCCGGCTCTTAGCTCCCAGAGTCTTAGCTCCCAGAGCCGGAGCCGAGGCCAAATTTGCAGCTCCGGCTCTGGCTCTTGGCTCCGTGCAAAACGTTTTTTAAAAATATTTTTCCAAAAATAAAAGTTATTAGTGCCAGAGATCATAAAGCCAACGTTTTTGCAGTCAAGTCACATCCTCCGCAGTGTTTTTCAAGCAATTTGGTTTAACAAGATCACGAAATTTTTACTTTTCTGACCACTGGGAAGCCTGGCTCCGACTTTGGGCTCGGGAGCCGGAGCCGACCCCAAAATTTCCGGCTCCGGCTCTGGCTCCCGGCTCGGAGCCGCTTGGAGCCGGAGCCAAGAGCCGGCTCCGGAGCCGTGGCAATCTCTGGTTCGGACCCATGCGGATTCGAACCTGAAAAGGTAAAGGCCCGGAAGCGCCCTTCCAGACCACCCCGTTTGGTTCGCTGCCATCCTCCTTTCGAAAAGGAGAACTTTTCGAGGCGACTTTTTTGGTCAAACTTGTTGGTTGATTATCTCGGCTTGCAGAGGCCGGTGGAGGTAGCGGAAAAGTAGCCCATAAGTGACTCTTTTTCATAAGTAATAGTGGGATTAATCCGAAAGGAATCAGGGTGTACTAAAATGGGTGTATCCATCAATTTATATTTTGACCAGTAAAGCTCAGGCGGGGGGACGTAGAGTAAATCTTGAACCTATGTAAAAAGGATGCATCGATTGTTCTACAGAAGCATTGACATTCCTAGCCTCTCAACATTCTTAGATTTTAGGCGTACTTTTGCCTTAACACTTTGAGTCCTCATTGCTTAATTTCTTTTCTCCGCTGTTTTAGCCGGTGACTGGTATGTTACATGTTTCTTGTAATCTACTGTCCCCACCCTACCCAGAAAAAAGCCTCATTGAAGTCTCAGGAATTTCAGAAAATTATGGGCAAAACTTTTTATCGAGCGTAATATAAACTTACCTGAGCAACAACCAATGTGTACCTTTGGACTCCTGGGTCAGTTATGTTGAGTTGACATAAGTAATGGGGACTGTTTATTCTGGCCCCATCAATTAATGGCTTGGGTGAATCTAAATATTAAATTAAAAATTACAGTACTTACTTGGTAAATGTATTCTCTTCCCGGTGGGATACACAACCACTGTAATATACTCGGTGTTATACTCAAAATCTTGCTGGAATGCTTGTTAAACAATCATGTCGAATTTACCTTATCCACGATATGTCGCGTAAGTAAAATCCAAACAGCAGCCGCTCCAAGCTTGTTATTCACGTCCAATTTGTATTGAGGATTCTCACTTATTGAATACAAATCCTTAATGGGGCCTTGTCCAGCTGTCCAACATCTACAAATTTTTATACAAGGGAAAATACCACTTACGAATGTAAAACATAACTGAAGGGGAAAAGAATGGGATTCCAGTTGACATAAAAGACATCAAAGAAATGGCATACCGACTCCAAATCAATCCAGAAGACCCCATCATCAAATTGTTGAGCATCCTTGGGGTTGTAGTCGAGTGCCTTGCACAATTCTGGAGTCCAACTCTCCGTGTCCTTCTCCGAATATCGGCCTTTCCATCTAAGATGAGTCCAAGGGTTCTTTACAAGAAGTAATTTTTTGTTTTCAAACTTCCTTAGATCAAGAACAGCATAGGCATGTGAATCAACCAATCCAGATCTCTCGACCTCACTTACAGGCATCTTCCCTGTGGCCAGTGTAACAAGACATTGGCCTAAATTCTCAATAGAAACAAAAATAATAAATTGTTACCCTGATGATATCTTTGGAACAGTTTCTCAAATACAGTATCCTTATCCACTGGGTCAACCTTCGAATGCAAAGGAATCCGCTCAGGAATCCATCCAGTCAAGGCATTTAGATCAATATTCTGAATAATATTGTATTTACACATAACCATTAAGCACAAACCGAGTTAGACCCCGGGAAGTCATAGCCACCCATTACTTTCATGTAGGCCTTTTCCAACAACTGAACCCAAAACTCGTTCTTTCTCTGACTGTAAGAGCAAAGGAACTCTCCATCAGCACCCACTGGCAGCCGATCATCTATCAGGACCTTCCTCAAGATCCCATTTAGATATAACTTCACCATGTACTTGCCACATGGATTGTAAACAGGTATCCCTTTCTTATTTTGTGGGTATATAATGTTCGTAATCAAAGGCTTCTTGAATTTCCTCTCATACTGAGCGGAAACAGCTAATGAGGCGACGAAGGAACAATCGGACACCAGATTCTAAAGCAGAATAAAAAAGAAAAATTGATTTACCTGTTTTATGGTCCCAGAATTTATGTTCTCTATGATTTTAGGCTCTTGGCATAAATCGGGAAGGCGATACCAAGTTTTCAACCTGGCTTTCTGTTTCTCAGCCAATGCTAGCAACCCATCATGGTCGCTACAATTTACTGTATTATTGATCTAATGACCTACCAAAACGGCATTGGAAATGCAAATCGCTCTCTGATATCATCATTCAAGAATGGCATAAATGAGATCCCATTAATTTTAGAGGTAAATGCTAATAGTTTCAGTTCTTCTGAATTCAAACATTCCTTTCCTCTCACCTTCAAACTTGACTTGCTCGATGATGGCATAGGGTCTTCATCTCGAGGAATATCCAAGCCCAGAATTCCATCATCAGGAATATCGGGAAAGTCTGGTAGTTCTGAACTTGTAGATAACTCCTTCAATTTCTCTGCCCGTTCCAATGCAACTGTAGCTAGTGTTTGAAACCGCCGTTTGAGTTCATTATTTTGCGTTTTCTTTGCCTACGAATGGTATTAATTTATAGAAAACTCACACAATCGAGGCAATATTGGACTCCTTGTGTGTACAATGCTAATGCTTCCCTGTGGCTACCTTCTTCATCTTTTGAGAGGCCTTGTGATAAAATAAATTCAATCCTCTCTTCTGATGTTTGTTCTTCTGATTTTATTTTACTTGAAATGGCACATTCCTCTAAGGCATTTAAATAAAACACCAAGTATTTTTGAATTACCTTGAACTTTTATATTTTCTGCACGTTTTCTATATTTCTCAACGGTCTCAAACAGTTTTCTATCAGCTTTTCCTTGGTTTATGAGATCTGTGAGAGCTCTGGCAGCTTCCTAAAGTCACATTATTCTTTGACCTGACATCCTTACCAAATAGAAGTATTCTGCTGCTTGCCAATGCCCGGTTTTGTCGTAAGCGATCGCTTGTTTAGCATAATAATTTGCCACATCCATTGTGCAAAAAAATAAATCTTATTTTAATTTGTGATTCGTCATCAGAACGGAATTACAATATCGATTCGATGTCGAAAGGTGATTCTACCGTAACTAACCAAAACAGAGTCTGTTTCGTATATTTGTGAACCGGCATTCGAAAAAATACCCAACTAAAGAAATTTGTTTGGGCTTTTTGCATGAAACCCCTGCCTAATGATACAAGACTGTCTGACTCATCGGGCTGGATACTTTTCTTATTCATAAATGGGAAAGTTTCTTTTCTGTTTCCATAGAAAACGCTTAGACCTGAACGAACTCAGCTTAGACCCCGCTGTTAAACATTCAATAGTATTCTCAGCGTGTCTACACGATAGAGCCCATCGACGTAACATCAAAACGAATTTCCGCCTGATATTAATCGCTGAAATAATATACATATTAAAATGAAAAGCAAGTGTTTGCTTAAACTCTGCATTTCACTTTTTATTTCTCACAGGCCAGTTAGGGAGAATTTTTGCTAGTCTCTGTTCCCAATGCTCCATGATAAGTCTTCAATTTAAAAAAAATTGTGTGGTGGACTTCTGTTTTTCATGATCCATTTGAAAAGCCAGCCGAGAAATTGTAAATTGGCAATTGCTCTACTTTTTGCGCTTATTCTATGTAGTATTTACCTATTTAATAATAATCAAATTGTCGACGGGCAAAAACCCGTGACATTAATAAAGGTAAATGTCCTTTTAAATGCTTTTACATCTTTATTTCAGGTTTTATCGTCCAATCTTACTGCCACTCACTTCTATTATTTTTATAATTACACGGACACCACCCCTGTATTTTACATTTCGCCTCCATCAGATCTACACAGAACAGCTCCCGATATTGTTATCGCCATTCCCACTGTTCCAAGGAATAATGTAAGACACGGACAGCGCATTTGTTATTCTTTTACATACAGCAATCTTACATCATCAAGACCGTCGAAAACCTTCTTGCCCAATTATATGACGAGGAGAAGCACCGAATTGTCATCGTGATCTCATGTAATTATGACGTAAACCAAGAGAATTCGGAATATTGTGTTCAACTGGCATCAACCTTATCAGCGAGCTTTGATTGGGCCTGCAAACAAGGACTGATCGAGTTGATTTCTTACCCTGAATATTGGACTCCCAAAGAATTCCCCCAAGATCCACTAAATCCCTTTAACATCACCGATCCCCCAGATCGCTTCTATTGGAGAACAAAACAACACACTGACTTTATTTATCTGATGTCATACTGCTTGCACGTTCACCCAGCAAGCAGTTTTTATATTCAACTTGAAGATGATGTCTTAACAAGAAAAGGTACGTCCCGAAGTGATGAGTGGAAAGTTCGATTTTAATAAATGCTGAATCACATTTTAATCCAATTACTAATTTCTTTAAGGATATGTGAGCGAGATCCAACGGTTTATCCAGAAGGTGCAAAGCAAACCCTGGCTGACTCTAGAATTCTCTAACCTTGGATTTATTGGAAAGTTATTCAGAATGCAGAGCCTCCAACAGTTTGTCATTCACGACCTCCCACTCTACAATTTGATTCCCATCGATTGGTCATTCGATGAGTTTCATTTCCGGAGCTTTTGTAAACATTTGCCTCGCAAACCGTGTGTGCGGAAAGTGTACAGGGAACATAGAATTTCCCATCGTCCTCCTCTCTTCCAACACGTCGGCCTCTACTCATCACTGGCAGGGAAACAGCAGAATCTCAAGGAAAAACGCTTTAGCGACACTCCTTTGCCGCTTTTGATCGAAGGAAACAAAATTCAACTGGCCAATGCAATTTGCACTGATAACAGCGTGACAAAAGATATGATTTATGACATGTATTACAAAGAAAAGCCTTTGGAAATCGTCAATCCCTTGCCGAAACTGAAGTTGACACTTTACTTTAACGAATCTGCATCAATCAGCGGTAAGAACGAATCTGTATCAAATCAGCGGTAAGAAAAAAAGAGTTGCCGTTAAAATGATGACCATTCTACTCGGTTACCTTGTTTTAGCAATTGCATTCCGCTACCATTTTGAATCGTCATCGGCTTCGGATCCGCTCGGGGTTTTTATCAATTCCGATGTTCAACTATCACCACCCTTCGATGACTTAAAAAATGTGCAAATTAACGAGCTGACAATCCGTGTGCACAGAGAGATCGCTACTCTTGTTATAAGCCGTCTGACATTGAGGCGTCCCTGACGATAAAAATAGGCCCCGTCTACTGATAAAACGCCAATGACCTTTCTCTTTCTGATTTTCGAATCCTTTGAAATTTGCGGGTAACCACTTTATATGAGTAACGTGTAATTCCATTCCTTTCATTTTTATACCAAAATATGCAGATAAAAGAATTTTTTTCTTATAAAGAAGCAGGGTCGTGATATTAACTTGTAAATTGTGAATTGACAAGGAAAGTACTTTCATTGCTCCTACTTTTAGACCGCACATATTTCAAAAAATCCGGAAGATTGTGTTGATCAAGAATATATAAAAATTAGTTGCCCAGGTTCAAGTGTCGAAAATGCCCAAAAGCTGGCAAAATTTCTAGGCAAAAGGCGCAGGCATTTAAAAAAAAGCCAAACGATAAAAAAACTCGGTCGATCTGTTCCTCCGGAAGATAGCGGTGTGGCTAAGTGGCTGCGCCGAAGTTTAGAAATTTCGCGGTTGTCGCCGATAAAAAGCGATTCAGAAAATCTGTCATCCAAATTGCATATAACAACATTTTTTAGCCTAAATTTTTTATGGGTACTCTGGGGAGTACTACTAGTCATATACAACCGTTTTTTGTACCATTGGTGCATTCTAAACGTATTTCATTTGTAAACTTGTAAGAAATTGAGCGGAAAGGGGTTTATGTAGGACTTTAAGTCAACTTGCGCTTGATTTTTCACCCCTAAAACCCAAAATCGTGCTGTTAATTTTTACATATTCTTAATCAGCATTATTTAACGGATTTTTTGAGGTATGTCTCGTTTACAAGTAAGAGCTCTCATAAAAGTGCTTTCCTTGTGAAATAAATTCTTAATCATTTTTCCCGGGCCTGGGGTTTCTCCTGCGCAAATTTTTTCACCGTCGCCACAATTGATCGAGGAGCCACTTATCGCCTACCTGACGGGTTTATTTTATATTATATAATTTGGGCGAAAAAACTGTCGGCGAACAACTTTGGACAAAAAAATATCACCCTTCCGAGTTCTCAAGCCGAGAGTTCTTACTGTTTATTACATCAACGAAAGGAATCCTATGTTTTCCATAAGTCTAGCTCACTTCTGATACAAAAAACAAGAAAAACTATAAAACGTCTTGTTTCTGACAGCTTGTAAAAAATCCTTTTTCGCCCACACTGACTTGTAAATAAAGCCAACCTGACTGTTTTTTAGTTTTCCAGATTTTCATCCATTCTTGGATCTCTTGTCTGTTTTCATTTTACTACATATTTGAAATTTATAAAAAAATCTTTCTTTTTTTTAATTATCTCCAATTTCAGTAGGAAGAATGTGTACAATTGCCCTGGAAAAATTGTGCCAGTAAGTTTTCAAATCCATGGGTTATATAGATCTTGGGCCTATCATAATATTTCCAGAGAAGTAGAACGCCGGCAGAGCAAATTCATTGAGCGCCTCCGCGAGGCAGTGGCCATTCCGAGTGTGTCGGCTGATAAGTCGCATCGCGAAGATGTTTTTAAGATGACTGATTGGGCGGAGAAAGTGAGCGGGTGACCAATTAATTAAAATTATGATTTAGCATCTAACTGCTTTGGGAATTAAATGCAAGCAAGTTGAGAATGGAACGCAAAAGTTGTTAGATGGGTCCTCCATTAGATTACCTCCAGTTTTATTCGGCACGTTGGGAGAAGACAAGAGCAAGAAAACTCTCCTTGTTTATGGTCATCTGGATGTCCAACCAGCTGACAAGTCCGATGGATGGAACACCGAGCCATTCGACCTCACCGAAAACAATGGCAAGTTGTTTGGAAGAGGCTCCAGTGACGACAAAGGACCTGTGATTGCCTGGATCAACGCCATCGAAGTCCTTCAGGCCCTCAAGATCGAGATTCCAGTTAATATAAAGGTGAGTATAGTTTCCTTACTATATCGCTTTAGTTTGTATTGGAAGGAATGGAAGAAAGCGGATCAGAAGGATTGGATGAGGTGTTGTTGAAACACAAAGACACCTTCTTGCATGATGTAGATGCGACTTGTATTTCGGACAACTATTGGTTGGGAAAGAACAAACCGTGTCTTACATATGGACTGCGAGGCGTTTGTTATTATGCTGTGGAAGTTTCATCCCCTAAGCAGGACCTTCATTCGGGTATCTATGGTGGTACAATGTAAGATGAGCTTTGTTTTCCCATATTACTTGTTTAGTCACGAACCAATGAACTCATTGATCCATATTTTGTCTCGGTTGAGTGATGTGAACGGGAAGATTAACATCGAGGGCTTGGATAAGCTGGTAGCTCCAGTAACTGATGCCGAGCGAGAGTTATACAAGTCGATCGACTTCGACGTAAAGGAGTATTCGAGTGATATTGGATGCGAAAAATTGATCAGCGACTCTCCGGAGACTATCCTGATGAACAGATGGAGGTTCCCTGCTCTGTCACTGCACGGAATAGAGGGAGCATTTCATTCTCCTGGAGCTAAAACAGTGATTCCTTCTAAAGTAATTGGCAAGTTCAGTATTCGGATTGTCCCCAATATGGAGCCCGATGCTGTTCACCAGCTGGTTATCGCTCATGTTGAGCGTGAATGGGCAAATTTGGGATCCCACTGTAATATGAAGGTGAAGGCAATACAAGGGGGGAAGCCGTGGGTCGCCGACTTCGACAATGCTTTATACAGGGCTGGGGCCAAAGCTTTGGAGCAAGGTGAGTAATATGCCTTCAAAACGGTAATCCACATAAGTTATTTTAGTTTACGGAACTAAACCAGATTACACTCGAGAAGGTGGAAGTATCCCTGTGACCCTTACTTTCCAAGAGATTACCAAGAAACCGGTTATGTTACTCCCCATTGGTGCTTGTGATGACATGGCTCATTCCCAGAACGAAAAGATTGATATCAAGAATTATATTAAGGGTACCCAGGTTCTGGGCGCTTTCCTTATGGAGCTGTCTCAACTCTAATCCTGCAGCTGAAACTCTAATTTAATCAACAATAAATATTTAACACTTGGCAGGATTAGTAACCATGAACTGCCTTCTGAATGTCCGCATGTTCCCTTCGATCAACCAGCTCGAAGAAGGGCTGCATTGTGTCCATAATTCGACTTCCATACTTTTGAAGTTTGGTCGCCGTCATAGATTCCACTTGTAGAATCTCGGAGTTTGTTCGAGGCATCATCGCAGCCAGCTGCTCGAGTCCCTCAGAGGTGATAATCGACTAAACAACAGAACATCATTCGGAGATAATTTTACTTACAGAATAGTTGGAAAGTCCCTCTTCTTGCGCTAATTTATCGAAAAAAGTGATCAAGGCTTTCTTACAGCTCTGGAATACATCCACATGTCTCAGTTTGTACTTTTCTTTCAAAGCCATGGCTTCAGAAACGGCAGTCATAGTGAAAAGTTTCGGGTTGTTATCTTTCTTACCAACCGAAAGATGCGAATACACCTAAAACAACAATAAGGAATAACTTATAACATTCCTTACTTTTGGAGTCCTCGTCTTCAGGAATTTCTCTCCCAGATCAGTAATATAAACATAACAAATTTCCTGCCCATGAAAATTGGAGACTGAGATCTTTTCTTCCAGGAATCCATCTATTACCAATTTCCTCATGAATCTACTACAATCATCTTCAGTGAAACCTTCCCCTCGTCTCGATATCTCCATATTCAAGAAGCTCTAAACACAGAATAAAATTAAAAAACGCCTTACCTTCTTTCCTTTCTGGACTTTCTTGGCACTCTTCCCATTATAAATTTCTACCAATTGATTTAATGTGATCTTCTTCACTTGTTTTACAGACTTTAGTACCAACACGGCTTCTTCCGTAAAATCATAAGGCTTGTACATAGGAATGGATCGGGACATTTCGCAGATGCTACAGGGTGTACTGCTACCGTTACAAGTAGCCGAATCGTAGAACTAAACAAGTTTTATTGTCGCCACAGGCACTCACCTCCCCAAAGTGTTCAACCAGCAGTTTCCGGCGACACATGGATACATTCTCACCATAGGCCACCATATTATAAATGCCCTGAAACCTCTTCTTTTTCAAGGCTGGTGTTTCTGAATTGTCCATCTTCATGTGTCTAACATGGTCGTTATATCCATACATCAGAATGCAAACAGCGGGCAACCCATCTCGTCCAGCTCTTCCCGTCTCTTGATAATAAGCTTCAATTGATGCCGACATACTAAAATAAGAACCATCCTATTAACATTCAAAACAAAAGTGCATTCTCCAAGAACACAGTGAACGTAACAAACCATACCTGTGATGTATAACGTAACGGACGTCTGGCTTGTCAATCCCCATTCCAAACGCAATTGTGGCACAAATAACATTGACTTCTCCTCTCATCCATGCCCTCTGGATCCTGTCTCGATTCGCATCTCCAATCTCGGAATGATAAGCAGCAGCCGAGATTCCATTCTTGATCAAACTCTCGGCCACAGTCTCCGTATCCTTCCTAAAAACAAATCTCTTACTTTAAACCACTTACCGAGACAAACAGTACACAATTCCTGATTGGTTCGGATACTTGTTCTTGAGCAGATTCATCACCTTCTGGAAGGATTTCGGATTCTTAGGAACAAGATCGTAGATAAGATTAGGTCTGACAAAGCTACTGATGAATAATTTGGATTTGGACATCCTCAGAATACGTCGAATGTCTATTACGGCGTTTGGGGTAGCAGTGGCCGTCAGTGCGATCACCTGCACTTCATCAAACTCCTTGAAGTAGTCAGAAAGTTTGACATAATCTGTCCTGAAGTCATGTCCCCATTGACTAACACAATGGGCTTCATCAACAATGAATCGATCTAGTTTCCGCCGCTTATGGAGCAGACCAAACGCGTTCTGAAGAGTTGTGGATTTGCCGATCATCTCTGGGGTCACGTAAAGGAGCTTCACCTGGACGTCTTCACTTGTCAAGTCGGCGTAAATCCTATCAGTTTCTTGTCTTGAGAGCCCGCTCCTGAGGCAATAACAAGGTACCTAAAATCATATGAGTAAGAAAAGACCTTCCCCACCTTCCATTCTTGCAGTTTTTGTACTTGATCAGCCATCAGAGACTTGAGTGGAGATACAACTACCGTCACTCCTGAAGACATCACAGCTGGCAATTGATAACAAAGACTCTTGCCGGCACCCGTTGGCATCAAAATAAAACAATCGTGATTTTTGAGGATTGCAATAATTACAGCCTTCTGGCAATGACGAAAATCTCGGAAGCCAAAGACGCCATTCAGTGTTCTGTACATTAGGGATCGTGTTGTCTCGTCGAGATCTTCTGAAAACTAGTTTTGCATTTCAGCAAATGACACTCACTATCATCAAATTCGGACGTATTATCCTTCAAGTATCCTTTGAACTTCCCATGCATATCTAAACATCAAAATTAAGGCAAAGAAATGAAAACGTACCTGATCTTTGTTCCCCAAACATGAAAAACTTCTTCACGTCACCCTCAGTTAAAGATTCCTGAGTAAGGTCAGCTGAACCGCCATCAATCACAGCTTTTTCATTATTCGTCGGTAGAACTCCCTCCAAAGAGTCAGTCAACTCTACAACATCATAGTCTTGAGAAGGATTTACTTTGTCATCAGGTGGTCCATCTGCCAAAGAGAGGGTCACAGCCATCGAAAACGCTTCTTCTTCTGTGAAATCTCCATTCAGATTAATATCATTATGATAAAATGTATCATCCAGACCAGCAAGTTTATCATCTTTGGGTAATTCTTGTCTGCATGGAGTTACAACATGTGTATTTTTCCCGAGAACCCAAGTGTCTTGGTGTTCTATTTCTTTCTGAGATTGTACTTTCGCCTAAAATTAAATAAAAAATGGCATTTTTTGGTCCACGAAGTCCTCCCTAGTTTGTTTGTGGAATAACTCGGCAATGACTCTAAAGAATTTCTTTAACGTTACATTTTTGTAATCCTAAGGCTCCCGAAACATTTTTACCCTCCTAAAAAACGTGTACATTTCATCCAAAATGAATTTTTCTCACAATTTACATTTTCAAACTGCTGAAGCGATAAGACCAAATGTGACATGTAAATGAAACGATTTACACTACACAAAACTCCCCGGGTATATGAAATTGTACCAGAAATAATTGAGGGGATAACTTAAACACACTTTTTCAAAAATTCTGTGAACCTTTGCCGTGTTATTCCACAAACAAACTTGGGAGGACTTCGTGGACGATAACCTGTAAACCTCACCTTCTTCGATGTCGGCTCATCCCACACATCCCAAAAGTCGTCGGCAGTGGGGACTTCCTCAACTTTAGCAGGCTCAACGACTCCAGTCAATGGAATAAATGCGGGAACACTTCGAGAAACCTCTAGCGGAACAACGAACTCGTATCCTTCAAATTCACAGAATTCTCTTTGCAAGGTCGTCATCAAATTTACAAACCATAAAAAATATTTACAAGTAACATTTACTCTAGTAACATTTACTAGATTGCAATTCCAACAAACCCAACTATAAATTTCTTCAATGGCGGAATGCCAATCTTTTTCAGGCATTCATTGTTTTCGCGCCGGGAAAATTAATTGATGTTGTTATACTGTTTCTCAAGTTCTAAAACGTTTACAAGTCTATAGTTCCATTATAAAACCACAAAACTATCACATTGATCCTTTACTAGCTATATCAACGCTTTTTTTGCCTTACTAGGGAAGTGTACAAACGAACTCTCACCAAATGGCAAGTGTTATACACCGTTGGCAAGCCCTTGAAAAATGGTGCAAGGCACCATTTTCATTTTTTGCAGAATGCCTCAGGGCAAAAAGTTATAAACGGTTCATTTTTCCCTTAAGTAGTTGCAATATCTGCTATGGGGCAAAATAAATGTTATTTTAAAACGCTAAGTGGTACGTATTGCTACTAGGTTGGCCTTAGAATCATTATGAAGTTTGGCGCTCGCCAGTAAAACCATTTTACATATGATATTTACTGGTTTTAAATACCCATAAGGTGAAAAAACACTTTTCACTTCTTTTAAGCTTGAAAAACATGTAGGTTTGATGTTTTTAACCGTAATCGACCGTCTTCCAGAAAAATTAAAGCGTTTGTAAAACTTTAGCGCAAATATTTTCCTAACTGCAAGAACGCAAAAACGATTTTGCCCAAGTTGGGAATTGAACCTGGCTTGTTTTGGCTTATCAGCCGACTCCGCAACCACTGCACTATTGAAGCAACCCTCTCCGAGGATTTTTTCCTGTCCTAGAGAAAGGGAGATTTTTGTTGCAAAATGGCCTAAAAATAATACAGCTTACAGTATGTCGTCGCGGAAAGGCATTCCGCAAAAAATGAAAATGGTGCCTTGCACCATTTTTCAAGGGCTCTTCAATGACGTATGCCGCTTATCATTTAGTGAGGGTTCGTATGTACACTTCCTTAGTTAGTTTAGATCCCAAGCTTGGGCGCAGTTCGCAGAACCCTCAATAAACGGGCCTGCACGGGCTTAGCGAGCTCCAATGCTCGCAATGGAATAATATAATTGCAATCTTCATCTATGCCAATCACTTCAAGTACTTCCCTTGTAAGCCGAAGAAAAAAAGGTGATCTTTCCTTAAACATCATGGGTACCAGTTATATAAGGCGCGTGCGTTCTACTTCTCTTCGGACATCCTCGCAGAAAACCCGCATTTCTTGTCTGTGGGCCCGCTAGACAAGAAATGCACAATTCTTGGCTGAGCAGAGAAAAAAAAAAAATCTTCACGGGGAGAGAGCAGAAAGTTGCGCAATATTGCGCAATGTTACGCAATTTTAGACAAGAATTGTGCGTTTCTTGTCTAGCGGGACCACAGGCAAGAAATGCGGGGTTTCTGCGAGGAAGTCCGAAGAGAAGTAGAACGCACGCGCCTTATATGTAGTGGGACTTCATTTAACAATCAGAATATGTAAGGCCATGATTTGCCGCCGCGTTTGCAAGCAGCTAACAAATGCCTAGTATGGTATTTGTTTCGTTTAAATACATCCACGTTGGTCAGAGTTACACAAAAAACAAAAAAATCGACAGTTTTTTGGCAGCTACAATTTATGAAAATTTTTAATTTTGCTTCGAGTATTGGTTTAATAAGTTTTAGATTTTTTGTGAGACAACTTGAAGATGACTTGGCCTTTCTATGGTTATTGTGAGATAAAAAAAGTATTTTCACAAACAAAAACGACGCGTTATTTGCAACACAAAAAACCAGATATATGAGGTGTTAAGATGGCCCGTATTTTTCACTTTGATTTTACGCCGCCATATGGCGCGGAACTAAGTGCCTTTATCATTTTCACACTGATACAGCATCGCTAACCCACTCTGACGTCACACAAGGAATCCAGGGCGTTATCAATTTTGGCTTTATTGACACAAGAAACTTCATAATGTTTGAAGCTTCTGGCTTTGGATGTTGCAAATTCTTTCGCCGTGTGCAGACGCATAGCGCTCGGGCCGAACATGGCGTTGATTTTTTGTGTAGCTTCTGAAGGTTTTGTACTCTGTTTTTGCTCGTATTGAATTACGGTACGACTTTTTTTCCATACTTTTGGACTAGGGCTAAATTACCGTAGTTTGATCCATATATGGGAAATCATGCCTTAAAGGAAAGCTTGAGATCTCGGCTACAAAATGATGGGATATTGAAATTTTGTTGCTACGTAAGTTTTTTACAAACTTTAGGCTTTACCCCTCTCGAAGAAGGGCATTATTTATTGGACAGCCGAATACTTGATTCGAACGAAGAAATTCGATTAGGACCGAAATGAAGTCCGCCATAAATTGTGTCGGACATCCAAATCTCTAGATAATCTTGTTCAGGTCACTCGGACATTCGGCCGGCGTCTGTCGCCCGTTTTTTCCCATCCATCCCATTTTCCCATTTCTTCCTTCATCCCGCGCCTTCTTTTATTTGCAACAAAGCCACCACTATTAGCGTCTTTTAAACAAACCGCCGGCTAAGGGAGAGGAAATGGAGGTCATGGTGGGGCAAGCCCATCTATCGGCACATTTTTATTAAATTTAATCTGACGTAAAAAGCGATCGCAGCTTTACTTTCAGAGAGAATGATGTGAGTATGCAAAGCCTGGTAGTATTTGTAAGGGGCGTAGCACGACAGATCACCGGCTCGGTCGAGAATGCAACCACCAGTGACGTCATACAGGCCCTGGCCCAGGCCGATCATTATACTGGAAAGTTCACTCTCGTTGTGGTGGACAGAACGAATGTAAGACATAAAGGAAGGGTCAAGAGAACCCACCATTTCAGCAGGTTGAGTACTTTTTGCGCTCCGTTGAAGTACCATTTGAAGTAATTCGAAATTTGATTGCGCAACGGATCGAAGTCCACTTGGAGATGAAGGAAGTGGACCCGAGGGCCGAGTTGGTGCTGCCCAGGAGCAGATCACTGTCAAATGTTTTAGGGAAACAAAACCCCCCAGGTTTGTGCTTCTATTACCATTATTTACTAATATGTTTCCTTTCAGGTTACGTTTCTAATCGTCTCTCAACTCCCGAAGACAATCATATAAAACCTACCCAAAGTGAAAAAAATCTGCCCAATATAAATCTTGAATCGTTGAATATCACCCGAAAAGACGTGGAAAATATTATTTTAAGTCAATTGTAAGAATTACTTCAAGCATTTTGATTCCGCTTTCTAGAAAGAATATAGAAGAACAGAAAGAAGATTTGGCCCGTTTGAGTGCGGAGGTAACTGATAAGACCGACAAAGAGTATCTACAACTGCTACGACAAAGGGTAATCAAATATTTGATTCTTATTTAGATTTTAGAGAAATCTGAGAAAAACAATAGAACAATTAGAGGAAAGTCAGTGGGAAAAGAAGCGACAGATTGAAGAGGAGAAGCTAGATAGACTTCAAACTGCCATAGATGCTATGGCAATTGCTCTAGACAATAAAATGATGTAAGGAAATAAGCCCATAATCATAATATGATTGGAATATAGAGAAGAACGATTATATAACTCAAATTTTAGGGAATTAAACGACATCTTGAGGTTGCAGACACAACTCACTTACCAGATGAAAAGCTTGAAACAAAAAGACCTGTTTTAAACACAGGTATATGATAATTGTACATAGAGAATAAAAGATTATATAAACACTTGGTCTCGCTTTTCTGGATTTAAAACCAAGAATAATTGGTTTTGATCGCTCTTGGAAAGTATTTCGTTTGTAAATAGAATGAAGTCGTTGATCACAGTCGGTTCTGGCAGTTTCGAATTCAGATTGTAAAAAATATTTCCAATCTTCTTGACAGAGAACTAAAAACGTAGAGAAAAGTTTAAAAAGAATGACTCACCCAATGCCTTCCGTTAATTATCGAAGATAAGAAGGAATCCGAAGGGATATTGAAAACAAAGCCAATCACATTATCACAGTTGATGCTTGCCGCAGACCTGAAGAAATAAACTCGTCGGAAGAACCCTTACTTTCTACGATCGAACCAAACTCCTTCCAGCCCTCTGGACTCCAGACATTTTAGCAAAACGTTCACATCATAATTCCCAAGTCCAATAATCGAACGATGAGGATTGAACCATGTCCGTTCATCGAATCTAACCATAAGTTAGATAAAAATTATATATTTTTCACTTACTCCTCGCAGAATCTGTCCAATTCTTCTTTTTTGAATTCTTCCCGTTGGAAAAAATTATTCAAGGCATGAAGAAGACACAATTGTTTTCTCTGCTGTTCATGGTATAGCTTTTCCAAGTCGCTCATCCTTCCATCCGCAAAATATTTATTTTTTATCTTGCTAAGAGAACCAAATGTCACATTCGATAATTCGCATGGTGATTCGTCCTGAAATGAAGACAGTTGACAAAACTGATGAATAATCATAAAAAGTGTTATTTGTCATGGCAAGCGTATGTATCCTGCACGAAAAAAATTATTTGACGATATTACCTGAGAATAGGATTTGTTTACTCCGCCCTTATCACTCTCTTTACTCCCACAGAAAGGTCATCATTCTGCGCATGACGTAAAGTAACTAACACAAATTATTTACGCAGATTTTGGCATTTTTAAATATTTTTTTCCGTAAGTTCTTGGCAGTATTCTAATAATAAATAAACTTAATCCCCGCCAAAAAATTCCCATGCCTCCATTGTTGTATTGCATTTCATCTTTTCCCGATCCTGTTTCAATCGAATTGAACCACTAAATGCAAGTAAAGTTGTTTACGATGACGCTGTGGTAATTTACTTTTTTATTGTAACCTAACGTTATAGGCTGGCTGGAAAGTGTAGCGGCTTATGATCTTCAGGCTGGATGATAAGGTTTAAATCAACTGAATTGAATTAGTTACACAGAGCGGGCGTCTGAGTAGCCATTGCTAGAATATGTGGGACGGGGTTTGAGGAAGACTAATATGGTAATCCCGGCTTCAATTAGTGTCCTCTTCGTTCGTTTTGAAAACATTTCTATCCGAAAGTAGGTGCAAAAAGAGACGAGAGGGAATCAAAACACTGTTTTTGAATTGGGATATTTGAAGAGCTTCAGTGTCCTTATTAGGCTTCTGTTGGAGAAAGGGAGAAGAAGAACGTCGTCCTCTTCTCGGCCGGCTTCAGTCAGCACCGCCCTTGTTTTCCGCAGGAAAACGAGGTTTCCGCGGTTAGCCGTACGGCTTTGTCAAATCTGCTTCTTCGCTCTTCTGGAATGGAATGCGTCCATAATTTGTTTTTTTCTCCCTGTTTTACACCATTATTATTAAGAGCCGAGTAAACTGCCGCAAGGAAAAAGCCTCAATGCCGAAGCGAAGGTGTTGCCAGGTTCCGATTCGCTCGCCTAGACTGTACAAACGTTGAAATGACATCAGACAGCCCGTTCTTCTTTATCAAAAAGAGCAAATCTCCGTTTATGTCCGGACAGTTGAAACGCGATGTAACCAAATTTTTATGATTTTGCGCCCTTACAGTACGGTAGTCTTAATTTAAACGCCCGGAAAGGGCAAAAAACAGCAAAACTTGGCCGTAATATCATTTTATATGAGTATGTAATATCACTTTCCGAATCCCTCGAGCTGTTTATTACCCAATCCAAAGACATCCGAAGAGTACTCGTTGCCTTCAGGAAACAGTCAAGTGCGCCCCGCCCTCGATGTGAGTTGGATTCGGAAAGAGTCAGACAAGAACGGAATTAGGAAAAAGAAAAAAGGCAGTTGCTCACCCGCAATCAGTTAGTTGGACAAGATTCAGAAGCAGATGAAGCCAACCCGAAAGAGATCCTCCGTCTTCGCGGATGCCCACTTCTCGTATACAGTAAGTTCTTTTCGAATTATTTTTTTCTTTGATTTCTGGTCGTTGGTCAATAGTTATTGGACAATTTCCCCATTCATATTTTGTAATAAGGGTGCAGTAACCCCGACTTTACCGTGGATACGGTAGAAACGAGTGCACCGTCCTGGAATGCGTGGTGCAAGAGTTATGGCTTGCCGATGCTATTCTGGCAAGTGCATTAGGCACATGCGTACCGAATATGAAAACAAAATTTTAATAATTTTCAGGTTATGCTATTGGGAGATAGTTGTACTGGGAAGACTTGTCTTTTAATCAGGTTCAAGGATGGAACTTTTATGAACAACAATTTTATTTCTACGGTCGGCATTGATTATAGGGTAAGGATAAATAAGATTTACATAATCCTGCATTTTTAGAATAAACTAGTCGAAGTGGACAAGTTCAAAGTGAAGTTACAGGTACGGTGATTACAAGGTAAAAAGAAAATCGAGGGTTAAGATCTGGGACACGGCTGGCCAAGAAAGGTTTCGATCCATCACAAGTTCCTATTACAGAGATGCGGACGCCCTACTATTAGTATACGACATCACAAACAGGAGTAGTTTCGATAATATTAGAGTAGGTAATCTTTAAATGTTGTTGAATATCTTTTAGAATTGGCTAACACAAGTCCAAGAATATGCCAAGGAAACAGTCCAGATGACATTAGTGGGGAACAAGGTCGACCTAACCTCTCAACGAAAGGTCAAATATGAGGAAGCCAAACAACTTGCCAATGTGAGGACTCTATGAAACATATTTAATTTAGTCTTGGGATTTAGTACAACCAACTGCGAACTTTTGGCAGGGCCAAAACATGGAGAATTTAATCATAAGTAATAGTTTGGGGGTTGCGTAACGCAACAAAGCTCAGTCTCAACCCTGCGTTAAGCCTAGTTTAGGCGTAGACCCTTAGGAAATCGAACGGTCTGATTTTCACTATTTTTACTGCACTTGGAGGGTTTATCGATTCAGTCGTAATCGCGATCAGGCACGCGATTATGGATTCAAATACCTTGACATTACAATTTTATAAAGAATGTATTCAAATATTTCTCCGAGAGATTACAGATGACCTCTGAATACCGTTTGGCACTGCTGAGTTATTGCCACTTTTATTGTAAATGTATCCAACAATAACAGCTTTTAGGCTTACAATATCCCGTACATCGAAACGAGTGCCAAAACAGGACAAAATGTAAAAGAAACATTCGATTCTCTTGCCAGGTAGGTGTCACCAAACAAGAATATCTCTAATTTGTTTGTTCTCCTTGAATTTGAAGTTTTTCAGGATTTCCATGAGCGTTGCAAATGACGCGTCAAGCTTTGTTTGTTATTCCTTTATTCTAATTTTTACCCCACATTTTTTCAGAAGATTGATTGTGGCTTCGCATGGTCCTGAAGCAGACGCCGCCATTGTAAATCTTGCCAAAAAACAACCGGGTGCCTGGTACGATGGGAATGCCTGTTGTAGCCAAAGCTGAAGGTTTCATTCGTACAACATACAAAATTTATTTTTTTTTGTTAGTCCGTGTATTTTGATTTAATGAAACTTGTAAATCTTCGTTTTAATTAAGTTAATGCCCGGGGGTACTGTATCTTTGCCATCGGGAAGTGGCTTACGGATTACATCCAGTTAAAGAGAGGAGGAGGAATTGGGCAGGGGGCAATACATTAACTAATATATATCATAATCATAACAACGGAAGATCATGCAATGTGTGAGACCGGCAGAAGTAAAGACAAAAAGATGCCTACATAACACTACACAGTACTTCCCAAGCGATGGCGAGGAGGACGAAACGAAAGAGTTCGGCAGGGAAGAGACGGCGAGAGAAAAAAAGAAGGCATCGAGAGAGAAAGGGAAAAAGACCCCCGACCAGAGACACATCCACCATTCTGTGTTCGGAGGATGGGAGAAAGGAGGAGAAGAGGAAGGGGCTAGCGTTTTCCCTTCTCAACACAGCCCCTGTCAAATTTTCATAGTGTAGACATTTTTATCCATCGACGCATAGACAGGAAAGGTGTTTTGGATTCTGTCATCCCTGGCGGGCGAACATTGCGTCTGTCATTCTTTTGTCGATTGCTGTTAAATCTGTGACCCGCTGCGTAGTCTTGCGTTGTGCAAAACTTCAGAATTTTGCAAAATATTCTTTTTCGCGATATCTATGGTTATTGAGATTTTTTTATTGATTAGCTTTGTTTAAGGTTCAGCCAACCGATTGCGAGGGTTACCACGGAGCAGAAAACAGGAGTCCTAGCGTTCAGCCGGTCGTCTCATGCATGCCCAGATGATTGGAAAGTAGAGATTGGAGAGTGAATACGTATGTATGCGACCCCTTACTCTTACATTTTTCAGAGGTTTTGGATGCCCGGAGACGGCACCGCAAATCGAAAGCGTAAATCCACGCCGGTCGAACCGGCTCCGCAGAAAAATTCGAACCCCATCCAGGGTGCCTTGAATTATCCTGGATTGGTCGCCCAGAGCAATCACGGCTCTCCGACTTCTTCCCGTCAACGTCGTGGCAAGACACTTCTAGACGAAATTGTACTTGACGACGTGAGTTGCAGATCATTCTCATTTTTCCGCACGCCATGTATTTGTAGACAGTTTTTACAGAAAAATTTAACTTTTCTCTGCAGAGCCAAAATTGCGAGTCCAAAGCCTCGATCGGTGAGCGCGTCTCGAACGCCGCTGACGCGGCAGTCAAAGAACTAAGTCAGCCGCGGAAACGCGCCCTGGAGTTCGCCGACTCGTTGCCACCATCAGCATCAAACTCGGTTTCGACAATTACCCTCGACTCGGACACAACACCGGAGAACGGATCCAATCCAGCCTCTAGTTCACGCCGTAGTCTGAACTTTTCTTCCAGTGCTATGACAACAGCCACTCAGCCTCTCCATCTCGGACAGAATGACATGCAAGATTTAGATTTCCTGAATCAAGCAGTTGCCGCGAATGTCCAGAGAATGATCGGCGGAGTCCAGAACAACCTGGCCAACTCGCAACTCAACCTGGTGGTTCAGAACGCACTTCAACAAGGCTCTTCGCATAGTCTGGAGCCCTCGATTGTCCGAGGAAATGGTCCCTTCCATCACCAACATAATCTGTACGGAGGATCGAGGAACAATCTTCTTCTTCATTCCGTTGACACCAAGCCCAAGTTGAACATTGGTGGGCACCATAATGGAGTTTCAAATGGTTTGCATTCTAATGCTGGTAAGCAACTCCTCAACCCAAAATCCAACAGCAAATCCCGTCAAGGAAGCGATGGAGAGTATCAGGTTAGTTAATCATCATCAGAAAAGAACATTAATTTCTATTTTACTTACAACTGCGTGTTTTTATTTCAGCTTATCAAAAACGAAGTTCTTTGCTCTCCTTACGGTAATCAGTACGAAGTGTTAGAATTCCTGGGAAAGGGAACCTTTGGACAGGTTGTGAAGGCATGGAAAAAGGGGACAAACGAGATTTGTGCTATAAAAATCCTTAAGAAACATCCGAGCTACGCACGACAAGGACAAATCGAGGTGAATATCTTAAGTCAACTGTCCAACGAAAATGCCGAAGAATTCAATTTCGTTCGTGCGTTCGAGTGTTTCTCTCACAAGTCGCACACTTGCTTGGTGTTCGAGATGTTGGAACAGAACTTGTACGATTTCCTGAAGCAAAACAAGTTCACTCCGCTTCCAATGTATCATATTCGACCGATCCTGCAACAAGTGCTAACGGCCCTGTTAAAGTTAAAGCAATTGGAGTTGATTCACGCAGATTTGAAGCCAGAGAATATTATGTTGGTGGACCCGCAGAACCAGCCGTTCAGGGTTAAAGTTATTGACTTTGGATCGGCGTCACATCGCAGCAAAGCCGTCACCAACACATATCTCCAATCCCGGTACTATCGGTAAGGAGAATATTTTTTTGTACTAATAATCCTGTCTTCTGTCCTAATCCTTTCTTTGCAGAGCTCCCGAGATTATCCTTGGATTACCATTCAAGGAGTCCATCGACATGTGGAGTCTTGGCTGTGTCATCGCTGAACTGTTCCTTGGATGGCCTTTGTATCCCGGTGCATCCGAATACGATCAGATCCGGTTCATAGTACAGACACAAGGACTTCCACCTCAACAAATGCTGGAGAATGCCACCAAAACCAATCGATTCTTCCGTCAGATCAGAAATCCGACTCCGTATTGGCGTCTAAAGGACCCGGGAGAGTTTGAGGCTGAGAATTCGATTAAGTCAAAAGAGACACGGAAGTATGTATTCAATTGTCTTGATGACATTGCTGCGCTCCATGTGCCAAATGACATGGATAGCATTGATACAATGTGTGAAAAGGCTGATAGGCAAGAGTTTGTGGATATTCTGAAGCTGATGTTGTCGATGGATCAGGAGAAAAGACTGACACCTTCTGGGGGGCTTCAACACAAGTTTGTCAAAATGACTCATCTTTCTGATATGGGACGCACTAGATAGTAAGTTAAATATTTTTAAAATTTAACTTGTTTAGTCTCCAATTATCAACTCAAAGAATGGAAGTCTGTTATCGAACTGACCGTCATTCCTACACAACTCAGAGGAACAGAATTGAGAACGCGACACCTGTGCTCAGTGCTCCTTCTACTTTTATCCCACCTTCCACCACAACTCCGATGATTTCCAATAATGCAAACTCGCAGCAGTTGGCCAATCAAGTCGCCGCTCTGGCCGCCGTTGCTAATATGCCTGACCTGAACATGTTCCAGACCTACATTAATTCTCAACAAACCCAAGCGGCCCAACCCTACATTTATCAGCCTTTAACGGCTATATTGCCTTACGGTAAGTTGAATTTTTTAGTATCATCTTTTTAGGAAGACAACCACAATTTGTCGGATTTGCTGGTCCTCAAGCCGCCCCCACACTCATGTCTTCGTATATGCCGATGTTTGTGGATCCCTTAACGGGTGCTGCACCAAACGCGGCTCAACAACAACAGCTCGCTAATCTTGCCGGATGGCCTCAGGCGAATGGACTAGCCGCTCAGCCGGCTGCCACTTCGCTGTTTCCATGGCAGCCAGCAGCCGCTGTTTTCCCTCCGGAGTTTTTTCTGCAAGGCGCCGTACAAACACGTAACCCGGCCTTACCTTTCAATCCCCAGTTGTTCGCTCCGGCGCCGCAGATCTCCCAGACTTCGCACCCGCAGGCCAAACCCGCAACGAACGCACTCAAATGTCCCATAAATGGCAACGGGACCATCGACCCAATCCAATGGGAGATGGCCCTAAATGGGTTCATTGGCGGAGCACCCGCCTTCATTGCGCGCCCTTCTCACAACGGGCAGTTTTTTGAGAGTATGGACGTCTCGTCGATGACGTCCAGCCAACCTCAAAACTCGACCTATCAGCCGGAAATGCTGAATCTTCTGAACCCGGCTGGATCATCAATCCCCTTGAACGTCCAGAAGGATTTGAACTTTAGCCGGCCCAGCAACAATTCGTCGTCCTCCAGGACCCTCGACAGTGTCCAGTTGCCTTCAGTGAACGGTGATTCCGACACCGAGATATCTGGCTGTTATCCTTTTGTGCAGAGATTTATCCCCCAATAACTAACTACACTTTACTTTCATTCAGCGCATTGTTAACCTATACATTACATTACTCTACGAATCTTTTCTTTCAATTCGCTTAATCTTCATATTACTTGGATAACTGGGTTTCCTTCGTTTTTTGTTGTTAGTACAAACTATCTTCAAGCACTGAATATTGTTTGTAATTCAGTATGTTTGTTAAGGGTATCTTTTACCAAAAATATTATTGTAAAATCAAAAAATACAGCAGTGATGTCTTTAACGCTTGTTCCGAATACCAATTAATCTTTCTTGGGTTTTGTTGATACGATCGTGATAATATATTAAGTGACATAAAACGTTTATTTTCCACACCTACAATATAATTATGGTAATATAAAATTTTTAAATCCGGAGGTATGAGACCAAGAGGACTTGAAAGAAAAGGCACATAACAAGAACAATATGCACAAATATAACCGGAAACAGATCTGACGATTCGTAACAGACGCGACTAGAGTTGTTCGCTTACTTCTTAAGATTTCGGTCAATAACGGCAAGCCGCTGATCCAGAGCTTGGTTTTTCTTCGAGCTTGACTGACCGGTGGAACCATGTACGGTAATATTGTACTTCCGAAGTACGAAGTCAATGTCCTTAGTTTTGATTTCGTTGCTCTTCCTGACTGTAGCAGCTTTGACAGTTTCTCTGACTAGATCATCTACTAGACTCTCCATATACATCATCACACCCGATTTAACGTTTTCCTCAAGAACCATCGGCGGATCCATCGCTTGGGTGACTTTATCCAAAACTTCCCTTGTTACCACAGCATTTTTGCGATCTATGAGAGTATGAGACCGCGGCTTATCATCATCCATTTGACCTCCGCCCATTTGTCCATCTTTTTTCCCGACCTTTTTTGCTGGTGGCCTTGGGGTATTCTTGAGAATTTTGACAACGACTGGTTGTTTTGCCTTTTTAGGAAATGCTTCGCCGTTTTCGGATTCGGTATTATCCTAGAATGTAAAAATAACTGTAACGCGAATGACACTTACTTCAACCGGCGCCGTTTCTATTGAGCCGGAGGGGACACCATGATCGACGGACGGTCTTCTGGTAAAAGTCGGCTGTCCATTAAAAATGGGCCTTACAACCGTGTTGGGCTGACTGACTATCACATTTTGTTGAGCATCATGGCCAAGAGCCTGTCGCAAAGAATTGTTCGGTGTCGCCGGACGGAAGAATTGCTGAGATCGGGGTGGTTGCTGGTTTATTATCACATTTTCTGGCCTTGCACCCGGTGCTTGTTGAACTATCATTCGACTCTCACTTCTCGTAGTATTGTCTAAAATAACATGAATTACATTGGTTATACCTAAAAAGTAAAAGTAAAGTGAAATTATCCTTACATTCGTAAACGGATACCCTGCCCGTCATTTGTGGATTCCCTGGCCCTGGACGAGGCGGCGCATAACGTACTGCTTGTGCGACGAATGAACCTCTGCCATTAGGAGCTGTCATCCTCACATTCCTAACTAAATGCGGCCGGGGTTGTCCATCCTGAACCTAAAACTTAATTAATTAAAATCAAAAAGGCTCACATTAGATGGCTGATTGTATGCTGGATACTCCTCGTTATTGTATTGACTCTGCACGGACGAGGGCTGACTGCTTCCATTCGATCGCTGATGAGGTGAATCGTTCATCTACAAAGTATTTTAAGGTGGTTAGCGTAAAATACCTGCAGCTGCGGAGTCATCGATCGCTGACCTGAAGGTTGTGCAAAATTCTGTGGCGAAGATTCAACTGACTAAAAATAAATAAATAATTCAGGTAATTAAAAAACCAACAACTTACAACCTGCTGCCTTACCACCATCCTTGTCTGCCCATTGTACTGCATTTGTTGATAACCAGGAGAAGGAACATGGCCTTGAGGAGGCTGAGGTTGTTGTCCATAAGAGTTTTGGTTGTAAGAGGAATGTTGCATTTGCGGATTTGAGACCTTGTTCATCGTCCTATTAACGTTCGGAGTTTGCTGTCCTCGATACATTGGTGGAACTCCTTGAACATGTTCTAAAACATTAGAAAGACTATAAATAAATCCGTCAAACGCTAAAACAGAAGGGCCAGGTGATTTTTTCTCTGAAAAAATTCTTTACAAGTTTTAAAACGAAAAAGAATATGGCAAATACAAAACATTATAAACACATAATTGAGAACGCAAAGAAGATAAACAGATGCACATTCCCACCTGAAATCATTGAAGAAGAATGTCATAACAAGGGAGAAATTTACCTGATCGAGGTTGCTGTGAAGAGGAAGGTGAATCTGCCAGCATTCCCATCAACTGGGACTGATTCTGCTGGGAGTTATTCCCGTACTGACTCGAGTAGTTCTGTGGATTCATTAACGGGAACAATCGCTGCAAGCAACTACTTAGTCGAATCTCTTCATGCCCACAAAATCGCGTCTCTTTTTGGCTAGTGCTGTCGATTTTTTTCAAAGCGCGTTTATTCTATGGCACAATGCCAACGCGGTTTGTTTGCGCGTCGAAACCGTTATTGGCGTGGCGACTATTGTGATTATTTCTAATTAATGACAACTTTTTTAAGTTTCATACAGGAATACATTGAATTGCTTCTTACAATTCAATTTTTCTGTCAGTTTTCAGCACCATTTTTATTGACAGCAAAAGATGCCAATTTTGGAATACAAAATAATCTCGCGCAATTTGTAGAAAGTGCGAAGGGCGTATACGAAATCGCAAAATTTTCTGGCTTACGACTCACTGATCAGTTTGCATTGACCATTCGATAAACGTCAATTTTAGATTATAACTGTTGCGCAATTCTTTGTTATATATACTTTTACAATGAACCCAAAAAAAATCAAAATTCGGGCTGCTAGCAAAAATTAAGGGTAAAGACATACCGGATTACAACTATTGGACAACCGCAGATTTCCTCCCATCCCCGGAGGCGGGTAGCGCACCTGGCCCGGGAATTGCGGTCGAAATGCAGGATTGGGCTGATTATTCTGCATTTCATAGAAGTTGGACATGATGTCTCACATGGGAAAAGATCAGTGACGTTGTTGATCGCGCACTTTAAGGATTCATAGAGTCGGCCGATGACGAAACTCCGGGGCCAAGATTCTTGTTCGGTTTTGAGGCCGCAGTGATGGAGATAGATGCGGATCGGGCGGTTCCGACAACTCGAGGCAAGAGAACCGAGAGGAGGGAAACGTGGAGAGAAGAGACTCTACGCGTCGTCTGTTTTCTCCACCGCCGCTCGCTGTTCCATGCGTTTTGTCGCTTTCGCCGCCGGTTGCGCGCGTACGCAGTGGTCAGCGGGTTTCTTTAATCGGTGTGTTACTGAGGTCTGGGGTGTTTATTAACCCTGCTGAAATTCGAACTTCCTTCCCGATGTATCTTTGCCCATCCGATAACTATAACGTTTACGTCACTTTTACGCGCGCAATTGCCTTGCGTGTGCGGGTGTTACTGATCTTGAGGAGCGACACATGGCTTCCTTGGCAACGTATTGAAAGCACCTTTTTTGATATTTCTAATTATATTAACAGCACTGAGTATCCAGCGCTCTATAATTATTCAACCGTTTTTATTTTTAATTGCTTTCGAGAAAGTAACTTCACTGATTTGAGATCCCTTGATTTAGAATTGCTTTTTGGACGGCCGAGTTGGTGTTCTTTTTTTTTTGTTGAAGAGAAGAGAGCAGTCGGCTTTCTTCCCCCAGTCATGGCTGTCTCGTCGCCCCTAAGCGCTCTTTTTTGTTTTTTAACTCCAACCTTGTTTTAAAGTTTTGAGAATTCTCTGAACTTTTGTCGATATTTCTTGTAAATTCTTAACAAAATGAAGGGAGGAAGGGAGGGTTGTTACCGATGAAAGTTCCGGCTTTGTTTGTTATAATTTGTGACTAATCCAAATGTCTGCCGGGTTATCAATTGTTATAGTTTTTTTACATTTATAATAGTTTAATAGGAAGAGAGAACACGGTATCAACTCTTCCATGGGCGGTTGTTCATGTTATCCAACCGCAAAATACAACTTTGTTTCCATTAATCGGACAGTGACGACAGAGCGAAGCCGTGGCTTAAGCCGAGTATTTTTGAAAGACGGAGGCCGTGAAGGCCTCATTTCATTGGCCGTTGGACCGCCAGCCGGTCTGGCCACGGCATGAACGCCGTTACTTCCTTGTTTATGGAGTCTCGTGTTTTACTGCGAATGTTAAAGTTCGTCGCTCTTAGACTGTTTGTGCTCTTCGGGCCCGATCTCCCGCTCTGAATTAGCTTTCTGACCACTCGTCCCCAGTCTATTCATATCTGGTTTCCTTAGCGTCGATCGCATTTTTTTATATTTTCGGGAGATTTCTTTTGAATGAAATATCGATTAATTACTTATGAAACTGACTTATTTAGCCGAATTTGAAAATGCCGGCAGAAGACAATTCCTGTCTAGTGGCTAGGGCCGTTCCGGTCCCCGCGAAGAAGACCATAGATGTCATCGACTCGGAGGAGTCTCTGATTGAGAACATGAGCAAGATGTCTGTCAACCCCGAGAAGAAGTTATCAGCCTCGAAGAGGGTCAACGACCTCAACCCAGCCGATTTTGTCCAACTTCAAAACCTCAGATCGAGTGCTCTGGCTAGAAAGACAAATACTACAACTAAGTTCAGCAAGGACAGCGACAGTTTGTTTGATGATCTTCTTTTGAAGGATACAACCACTTTGATGAGCAAGATCAGCCTGAAGAAGGTGTCGGCCGAGAAGGCGACTGGTAAGGAAAACAGTGACAAAAAGGAAAAAAAGGATGAGAAAGAAGAGAAGGTAAATGAAGATAAGGAATCCAAACAGGATTTACTTTCACGAGGTCCTGTCAGGACGTCCAGACCAAACTTGCAGTTTCATCCTTATGGACAAGTCGGATTTGATCAGAACTCCCCTGGCAACTTCTACCCATCCGAATGGCAATACAGGGAACAGCTCTCCAATAGTTCGACTCCGGATACCTTCAATTCTGATCTTGGATATTCATCCAGCACGAGTCCATCGCAAGGTTTCCAAGTTCCCGCTGAGTTTGGAAGGAATGACTTGAAGGGATTCCTTGCTAACGCTGAGGATAGTGAGCTACCTGACGCCTTGTCTGACTTTATTTTAAAATATTCTCGAAGATACACAAACATCCCTCAGACTCATCATAACATGGCTGGAACATCAGCTTCAGTTTCGCCGGTCGAACTCAGCCCGAAGTTTGGGAACCGACCAGGATCGGTAGAGTCGAACTGCGATTCTCCCATGAGTGGTGTCAGCGCTTCTCAGTCATCGCCCGCTGCTCCTCATGGTGGGATTACTGGTCCGTCGACACCTCAAAGTGGATACAGAATGGGATGTGACATGGGAGGACTGAGAACACAACTTCCGAGCACCCGATTCTCTACCTACGTTAATAAACAAGGAAAAACAGAACCCCCACACCGTCCTGCTAAAGATGTGTTACGAAAATTCATTCAAGAAGTTCACAGTGACTCTCTCGATCAAGCTTGGGCTTGGACCTGTAAATGTCAGCAATATTACCCCGGAGCTCTGTGTTATCAGGATGGCGACAAAGATACTCTATTACACATTGTTACTCAACACATGGACATCCCGAAAATTTATGCTCTAGTTGAACAAATGTTGAAGATGGAATATTCGAGCCATGACAAACCATTCGATATGCCCAACAAGGAAGGAGTAACTCCTTTATTCTTGGCTGTAGAAAAGAGAAATAACATTGTGGTCGATTACCTTTTGGAGGTTGGGGCCAGTCCCAACACCCAGAATGGTCGATATGAAAGAGACGCCCCACTTCATTATGCAGCAGCCCGAGGAATGGTCGATGTTGTGAAGACCATCTGCTCTTACAGTGCGGCAAATCTGAACATGACTAATGGAATGGGATTAACCCCATTATTGTGTGCCATCAAGAACCATGGGGTTTTTGACGAGGAAAGCAAGAAAATCATCAACAATCTTGACATCATCCATGTACTCCTAAAGTATGGAGCCGACCCCATGATCTCAGTAAGCGTATTCTACTTAGGTTTTGTTTCCCTACTGAATTTGAATTAATAATTTTATTTTCAGGACTCCACCAACGGAAGAACTTCTATTCATTACGCTGTTGATCGGCTCTCAACTGACATTATTGATGTAAGAAAGTTCTTCCCAAGCAGTTCTAATGACCATACTTAAGGTATTCAAAAACAATGTAGAAGAGAGTGTTCTGACCTTGCTTGTAAATCAGACCGATAACAACTGTGAAACCCCTCTAGAGTCCGTCCAATGCCTTGAAGCCGAAGAGACGCTTAAGCAGAAACTCGGCTTGTCATTGATCATGTGTGGCGCGAACAGCGAGCTGCCATCGCCCGATGATTACAATTGATGGAACTGTTCCTTGTTGGGGACATTCCCGGTGATACACCCTGGTTGGGTGGCGAGAATCAAGTCGTCCTACCGTCTATATATATAAAATTAAAATAAATAATAAAAAGTATTAAAATTTTGGAAATCAGTTAATAAAAAGTAAGCTCTAGGTAAAAAATCTTGCATGGGACCCCATTTTAGAAACCTCGACCATTTATTGATCTTTGTGATATTGTAGAAGGAGAGTTCATACCTTCCTCACAATGGAAGTCACTTTTTTCGCAGACGGACTTTGGAATGAAACCTAGTATAGCACGCCAATTTGTATCCACAAAAAAATGGAAAAAAATCGTCGAAATCTACATATTTTTTCGTTGGATCTTCTTCATTTTTGCACAGCGTTTCGAACATTTTTTCCGCCGCCGATCGGTGTCGAAAAAAGGAAAAAATGAAAAGTAGTGCTTACAAGTCGGTGTATATTTGGCTAGCCACAATAGATGTAACTAAACTAAAAAGTGGTTATTAGACTATAAGAGATTGCCATTCCACGTATATAAACTACATCATCATACCTTATGTTAATGTTGAGAAAATGATGTTCGAAAATTATCAAAAATTCAACCTTCAGGTAAAAAAAGTGTACTTTCCAGGCCTTAAACATACATTTTTTTCTTCCATCGTATACAGAATTTCAAGAGCTACAACATAGACAGACTCAGTCATTTTCCTGGGCCTTTAAACTTACAGGGGAAGTACTTCAAGTGTGACGCTCAGATTTTCTTTAAATTTTGCACACACATCGGGTATGGACTAAATATCAATTCCTGAAAGTTTTAGCTCGCGCTTTGCGGGCGCCGCCGAGATATTGAACGATTTTTGCCGCCGAGAGAGCACGCTCAACGTGGAGAGCGGTCAGAGAGAAAACCGCTTTTTGGCCATAACTTTGGCAGTTTCGTGCGGAAAAATTTGATTTTTTGTAGAAACATTATTCTTTACGGTTGAAATAGGCATGAAACTTTTCGTGCCGAAATTCGGCAAAAAGTCCCAAATTTTCGCCGACTTTCGATCTAAAAATCTCGGTTGTTTCTGCAAAGCGCGAGCTAGGATTCCCGCATGTATCTTAGAAAAAATTATTCTAAATTTGTGCCAAGTTTCATCAAAATCTGAGCGTCACACTTCAAGTACTTCCCTTGTTAGTTATGACTCAAAAGAGGCTAATTTTGGTAATTTTGGCCGTTTTTTGCACTTTTTTTTACTTATTTGCACTTTAAGATTAAAAAGTGAAGATATTCTATATAAAACGGATTGTCATGATCATTGTGGTCATCCATGCCAAATTTCAACTTTCTCTGACGCTCCTGAGTCGTTGAATACGAACTTGAATATGGAACCCAAGTGTACTATTTCTATTGAATAAAATCACTTTAAGTGCTCCAAAATCACTTCTTGAGCGAAAATATGTTGTATACGTACACTCTGTGCCAACTTTTTGTCATCAAGCCAAAATATATCTTTTTCATTTCGAAAGTTGAATTCAACAGACAATTCTGACCAATGCCAAAGTGTGAGCTTGCAAACACTTACTGAAATTACCCGTAAATTTCAGTAAGCTAAGTTTGGCCTTTGTAATCGCGACCTAAGATTCATTGCGACCAGAAGTGCTGTAATTAATGCCAGCCAAGGATTTCATTACTGTTTTCTTACAAAGTTGAAGATACGAAGTTTCCATGTTGACGTTCGTATTCAACGACTCTGGAGTGTCAGAAAAAGATGAAATTTGGCATGGATGACCACAATGATCATGACAATCCGTTTTATATAGAATATCTTCACTTTTTAATCTTAAAGTGCAAATAAGTAAAAAAAGTGCAAAAAACGGCCAAAATTACCAAAATTAGGCTCTTTTGAGTCATAACTAAGTTTAAAGGCCCAGGAAAATGACTGAGTCTGTCTATGTTGTAGCTCTTGAAATTCTGTATACGATGGAAGAAAAAAAAATGTATGTTTAAGGCCTGGAAAGTACACTTTTTTTACCTGAAGGTTGAATTTTTGATAATTTTCGATCATCATTTTCTCAACATTAACATAAGGTATGATGATGTAGTTTATATACGTGGAATGGCAATCTCTTATAGTCTAATAACCACTTTTTAGTTTAGTTACATCTATTGTGGCTAGCCAAATATACACCGACTTGTAAGCACTACTTTTCATTTTTTCCTTTTTTCGACACCGATCGGCGGCGGAAAAAATGTTCGAAACGCTGTGTTTTGGATATTTTATACTTTGAAGAATGGGCTTTCACAAACCGTAAAAATTTTCAAAATCGGATACCTAATTTTTGAGAAAATGTCGATTTAATCCTTTTTTCAGAAAACAAATTGGCGTGGATGTACATTGACTTTGCAATATTCATGGACATTACTTTTTGAATTCATGTTTGAATCACCATTAAAATGCCAACGAAAAATCTAATAATCACGCTTTACCAATCGCTAAGCGGATTTGCGTTTTTTACGTGGCGCACTCCCCCTCTTCTTTTGCCCTCCTCTTTTTATTCAGTCTCTCGCTTTCGTTTTATTTTTTGGGAAAATATTTGCCACGAAAAACACGAACTTTGGGGAATGTTTTCTTTTAGTAACCTTCAGTGATCAATATGAATCTGTCTTGGGCGGAAAAATTAGCGAAGAATGCTTTATTAACAGCCCAGAAGAGGATCGACTCGGTTTTAGACATCAAAGCTGAGGAAAACGAAGAAGGTGAGCGACTCGAAAAGCAAGTGGCTCAAGCAGAAGACGGACCTGAAGACGAAACTTCGAATTCTCCTACGGCCGAGCTTAGCGAAAATATAGAAGAGGAAGGTGAAGAAGAAGAACCGCCTTCAGAATATCAGGTATGTTTTAGCTAACTTTATTTATCTTGTCTCTAGGATGCAACCGAACAAGTTGAACCTTTATTCCACGTTGATCTTCCTGAGCAACACGAAGAGGATTGGGCGCAAAATTTTTCCCCTTTGGCAGTAAATAAGGTTTGTGAAAACTTAGAAAATGTTTTCTTTAATTTTTTCATTAGGTACCTAAAATCTTTACCTATAATTTTAGGAAGATATTGTTGAGGCCGAGCCAAATCCGATAAGAGATGCTCATGGTGAGCCAAGCACGTCATTGATTCATTATTCGCCGTCTTCTAATTCCCCAGACGAAGAAGAATGTCAAAGATCTGAACCGAATGAACCTCAAGAAGAAACAAATCAGATTGATTTATCTTGTGTGAAGGATACGGACACGGTGAAGGAAGAACATAGAGAGGATGTTGTTACGGTTGCTTCCAGTGATATTGTCGTAATTAGAAACGTCGATGACTGGTAAGTATTGTGTGCTGCTTACCATGTAATAAGTTAACAGGGGAAGTCCAGCCAACACCTGCGATGCTCAGATTTTAGTGCAACTTGGCACAAATTTAGATTTATTTTTTTAAGACATGCGAGATTCCTAGCTCGCGCTTTGCAGAAACGACCGAGATTTTAAGGTCAAAAGTTGGAAAGAATAATCCACTTTTTCCCGGATTTTGGCATGAAAAGTTTTTTTGCCTATTTCTACCGTTTGGAGGTAATGCTTCCACAAAAAAATCAATTTTTCGATTCGAAACTGACAAAGATGCGGCCAAAAAGTGTTTTTATGTCTGACCGCACTCCACCTTTCGCGTATTATTTCGGCCGCAAAGATTCTTGATTATCTCGACTGCGCCTGCAAAGCGCGAGCTAAAACTTTCAGGAATTGATGTGGCCTATGCCCGGTGTGTGCAAAATTTAAAGAAAATCTGAGAATAGCACTTGCATTAATTCCCTTGTAAATGGATTTTATTTTGCGTTGCAGGTCTTTAGCCAGTGGAAGCCATCGACGAGCTGTGAGTGATCAGATGTCTATCATCGGCAATAACGGTTTTAATCATGGAGATGGCTACGATGAGACTCTACATGAGAAAATTTCAGCTTTGGAAGCGAAGATAAAACATAGAGATCAACGGATTACTGAATTGTCACATCAGAATGAGAAGTTGAAGATTCAAAACACAAATCTCATCCAGAAAAATAAAAGCATAAACAATAAGTGAGCTTTCGGCTTTCCCTTTTTATAGTATTTTTAGGCTGGGCGCGGAATCGAAGCTTCAGAAGAAGCTAGCCGAGAAAGAGAACGAACTCGCTGAGCTTATGGAAGAAGGTAAGGACAAATGGGAATTGAATATGCTCTAGGTAAAAACTTATCCATTCTGAATGGAAAACAAGCAAAGGAGTTGAAGAGGCTGAAAGACATCGAGAAGGACTTTGAAAGCCAAAGGAATCTTTTGCAAGATGCTATGGATAATATTCATACACTAACTGATGTTCAAGAACGATTAGAAAGTAAGTAGTTCACTTCTTATGCCCATTTTGGTGCTTAGGAGAGAACAGTAGTTTGAAGCAGAAGCTCGGTGAACAACAGAAAGAGTTTGAAGAACTAAAAACTAATCTCAATATGAAAAAAGAAGCTCAAGAAGATTTAAAATTGGCGGAGCAGCGATGTCAGAGCCAAAAATGTCAGATTGCACAGCTTGAGCAACGGGTCGATGAACTAATGACAGCCCAAAGAGAAGCGGCCGAACAAATAGCAATATGTAAGGTTGATAATATAATTTCAATATTATTTTAGCTAATGCACCTCTACATGCGAGGATCGAGGAGTTGGAAGCGGAGCTGAAAGAGAGCCATAGCTCCAAGTATGTAATCCAAAAGAAACTGCGATTTGCTGATGAAAACATTGAAAATCTAAAGAAGAAAATGACCGATGAGATCACCATTCTCAAGCAACAGTTAACATCGTTGAGGAGACAGAATAAAGAATTTGAAGATAAGGTTTGCGAACTTCAAAGGTAAAATTTTCATTCATAAAATCTATTTTTTTTAGGGAAAAGAGTGATTTGATTGAAGAGATTAGTAATCTGAAAACCTTATCCAATTCTATGGAAACTGATCTTCTTGAAGAAATAAATGGCTTGAAGAATCAGCTATATAAAAAAGAAGAGGAAATTGCTGATCTCAAATGCGAGTTAATATCTGCCCATCAAAACCCTGTCGAGAAAGCAGTTATAATACAACAAAACGACCCGGTATGTTGATTCATGTTATTCTATTTTCTTTTAGGATATTGTGGAGCGAATTGGAGAGTTGGAAAGAGAAGCCAGCAATCTCCGAATAAAGTACAAGGAACTGGAGGAAGCTCACGATACTCTTCTATTAATTCATGGTGAAGGAACAGTGAAACTAGAAGAATTAGAGCAGGAGAATCAGGAGATCAAGAAGTTCTGCAAAGAACAGACATTACTATTGGCGAAACTAAATGATTGAGTGAAGCGAATGGCTAAGGGGGTACCCCTTAAATTTGTATGTGATATTTCTAAATCGGTTGTTTTTACGGGTTGTGAAGTAAGTTATTCTGTAGATGTACATAGTAATATATTGTACGAGCCTGTGATCTTACGGGGAGTCTTTCTTTTCCTAAATGCAGTGATTGGAGTCTTGACCGGTAGTTTATTTCGACCAATTATTTATTGCACTAACATAAACTTTAAAAGGTTGTATTTTGGCTTAAAAAAGGGGATTATTGTGTTGTATTTTACATCGTTTCCTTATAGGCTCGTCAGATTGAGGGTTGTTGCAGATTTCCTGAGATTTGTAATAGGCAATCTCCTTCAAGGTTAAAGACCTCAGCCAAATAACATAAGATGGGCGTCCTAATGTTATAACTGCATCCTCGGTACAAAAGTTGAAGGATTGAATAATCAAATGATCGACCCGACCAACCCTTTTGAGTCTGAAATATGTAATATTGTGGACACGTTGAGTAAAAGTTATCAAAGTATCAATCAACCTACGTGTATGTACCCGCGTCCTGATTCAACATTAATCGAAAGAAGAAAGCCTTGTTGTTGACCTTGTAAAGGAAAATGCAGTGGCCAAACCCTGTAATCAAACTTATCGGCGACTGAACCATGGCTGTTCTGAGATGTCTTTCGTTGTAGGTCACCCCGATTCCTTTGTAATCTGATCCAATTGCATTTAAATTGATATCAGAATCAGAAGTGTCTTGGTGAAGCTGAATCCAATGTCCGCTTTCATTGTCAAACATATGGATCTCGTTGGAATCAGACAATTTGATCAGTTTCCTGGTGTCTGGATCCATAAATCCACCGAATAATGTAAACTTGGCATTGCCGGGTTCGGGAGGAACTGTCACACGGGTTCCCGTAAAGGTCTTCTGAAACCATTGTAATAAACTCAATTAGTCCTGCAGTTGGCCTACGTCATTGTGATTTAAGGAGATCCGAAGAAGCGGAGTAGCACCTTGAATCATTCCTCGGTCATAAATATAAAGATCATTACTTCCCGAACATAAACGGTCCGTTTCTGGATGAAGGTCATACGTTTCCATAAGCTGCATGACCTCATCTCCATCTGATGACTTGTATCGTACATAGTCGGTATCATTAACCTCTAGTTTGATCACTTCTATTTTTAACTCATCTTTGTTATCCTACAAAGACCATGTTCAATGACAGCATTCTTACAACGCATCCTGTAAAGAAGATGTAAATACATCTCTGTGGTGATGTGGTAAAATAGCTATACACAATCTCTTCGAACTTCAACACCCATCTTTGCTTCCAAGAGTTAGGCAGGAACAGATTTACAGACCAAATTACAATACTGTTGCCATTTCTGTAGTGAACATACAATTCCTTATCGATTACTCCGATGGGTCGCACAGTGGATCCTCCGATTTTGGGTAATTCAATCCTCCAGGGCTTCATTTCACAAGTAATCCCCGATCAATCCCCAAGGAAAGAGATAAGAGAGGGGCAAAGACCGGAGAGGTGGATGACCAATTGTTTTTGGGACAAACTATGCTCAGTTTTTGAGTATAATATGTACGGTGTTTTTCTTTCATTTGCGAGTATCAAAGGGATGAAATTTATTAAACGAAAATCTTTTCCACAAGCTCGCAAGCTTACATGTAGTAAGCTCGGTTACCCACCCTTTCGGGACAGATTTCGAAATCCTAATGCCAGTTCAAAATCGTTTTTTTTTGTGGAAAAGACTGGAGCTCCAGTCCTTTTCTGGAGGGAAGAAAAGGATTGTTCCGCAAAGCTCGACGGAATAAAACTAGTGCGTCCCTTCGACGGCTAAACGAGGAGTGACGCACCGCTTTATTCCGATGAACATCTCCAGCCGCGCAGTCAAAATGCTGGCGAGCGAGAGGGTGCATTGCGGTAAAAATTCGCATTGCATTTCCAATTTATAACCGCTGAGATTGCAAAATATAGAGTTGAGAGTGTAGTGGAGATTTCTAGGGGAACCGGAGGGTTTGCCCAGCTGGCCAGGTGTCCCAAGCCTTCGATCCTCTCTCCCGCTCCCTTTTTTCATAATTAAATCGAATACAACGCCTAGAGTTCATCAGGTGATTCATCAATGCCGACATTTCTTGTGACAATTCTATTTTCTTTATCAGAAAATTGGTCGCGCTGATTCATTTTTCAGACTTATTTTTAGGCTTCGTGGAAATTGGGCAGAGTGAAATTGGACAGAGTGAAACTCGACAGATTTTTTTCACTGCAATTATTTCTGTCCAACTTCACTCTGTCCAATTTCCACGAAGCCTTATTTTTTTATATATTTTTTTAGTTCTTCAAACTTCGACTGGGTTTTTGAGCCCGAACATGGCGCAGGACCCATCTGAATGCTGTATTCAGGTGTTTTGCCGCGTTAGGCCTCTAAACGAAAGCGAAAAGAAGAATGGATCTGCATTTGTGACCCGATTCCCCTCAAAAGACTCCATCAATGTCGGGGTAAGATGAGTTATTGATTTTGTGACATTTTTTAGGGGAAAACATATACGTTTGATCGTGTATTCGATCCTAGCTGTGACCAGGAGACCGTTTATAAGGGATCAGCTCATCATATTGTACAAGATGTTCTTAGTGGGTATAATGGAACTATTTTTGCATATGGGCAGACTTCCTCCGGTAAGACTCACACCATGGAAGGACAGATGAGCGTGGATGAAGCGGATCCTAATCATGGTGTAATCCCCCGAATTATCAACGATATCTTCACCCACATTTACAATATGGAAGACCAGGCTTTGGAATTCCACATCAAGGTCTCGTACTTTGAGATTTATAACGAGAAGATCCGAGATCTTCTAAATATTTCCCAAACGAACTTGACGATTCATGAAGGCAAAGATCGTGTTCCTTATGTGAAAGGTGTTACCGAGACTTTTGTCAGCAATTTTGTTGAGGTTTTGGAGATTATAAAAGAAGGACAAAACAATAGACAAAAGGCAGTTACAAGTAAGAATGCTCCAAGGTATTAATGTATTCAGATATGAATGAGCACAGTTCTCGATCTCACAGTGTTTTCTTGATTCAAGTTGATCAAGAGAACAAACAACTCCAAAAGAAACTTTCCGGAAAACTTTACTTGGTCGATCTGGCTGGAAGTGAGAAGGTCAGCAAGACCGGTGCTGAAGGAACAGTTCTTGAAGAAGCCAAGAATATCAACAAGTCCTTGTCTGCATTGGGTAATGTCATCTCGTCTTTAGCCGATGGAACTGTAAGTACATATTTTGTTGATGAAATATTTTTTCTAGAAAGGGCATATCCCCTACCGAGACAGTAAACTGACCCGTATTTTACAAGAATCGCTTGGAGGAAACTCAAGAACAACCATTGTGATCTGTTGTTCGCCCGCATCCTTCAATGAAGCGGAGACGAAATCAACTCTTATGTTTGGGCAAAGGCAAGTGAAATTTGTTTGTGATAATTTTTCTCAGAGCTAAGACCATCAAGAATGTTGTTGTGGTTAACCAGGAACTGACTGCTGCTGAATGGAAACGGCGATACGAACAGGAAAGGGAAAAGGTTACACAGTTAAGGAATCAACTCAAGTCACTGCTAAATGTGGAGGCTGAATTAAAGAGATGGAGATCTGGAGAAAAGGTTCCTGAGTCAGAATGGTTCAGCGTTGATGCCCTTGAATCGGCCGCTCAGGTGGCCATGACTCCATCGATGAGCGAGTCCATGATGTTGCCCACGATGAGAGTCGCTACTGCTTTGGATCATGAACAACTTCCAGTTGGTCCGATGACTGATGATGAGAGACGCAAATACGAAGAACAGAGACAGTTGCTCTATCAACAGGTTGATGAGAGGGATGAAGAGATTATGCAGGCAACCAGATTGGCTGAGCAACTGAAACAACAGATTGCGGACCAAGAAGAGGCCATCAACCAACGAAAGGCTGAATATGAGAAGGCCGTTCAAGAATTGGCTCAAGCTCAAGTTGAGAACGCGAAAGCCCATGACGAAGCCGAAGAGTTGTTCTCGGCTCTTCAGGAATTGGCATTGAACCTTGAGCAAAAGAAGAATGAGGTTGTTGATTTGAGAAAGGAGAATGAGACATTACAAGTAAGTTTTTTATGTCTTAAAAATTTTTCTTTAGGATGACATTTCAAAAACCCGAATGGATATTGTGAATGTGAATAGTCAGCTGGATGATATGAAGGAGCAATGCATGGTGCAGAAACGCCGCATATATGAAGACCTCCAAAGTATGATCACCGAGCTTAGCAGCCTTGGCAATTACAGCATGCCAGCGAAGGTCAGTTACCTGTTTTTTATGTATTATATTATCGTTTGATTTCAGTTGTCTGCTGAGATGGAGTCGGATAAGCCTTTCGTAGATGAAGAATACCTTGCTCATGCTCGTATTTGTGTTTCCAAGGTCGCCAGCGACTTCAAGGCACATGCTCAGAAATTGAATAGTTTTGAGAATGGTGCTACGGATGCCGGAAAGAAATTGGAGGAGACCCAGAAGGAGCTCAACTCACTTAAGGAACAGATTCAACAGAATCAGGTTACCCGTTCCTCCCATGAACAGAAGATTACTGAACTGAAATCGCAAGTTCAAAAATTGGAGGAGGAAGTCACCACCTTGAATGTGAAACTGGCGGGATCAAATGGTGGAGACTCGTCTAATGCTGTGAAGGAATTGGAAAATCTGGTTCAGAAGAAGAATGAACAGATTCAAGAGATACAGGTAGCGTCACGTTGGTTTATTGATTCTTGTTTAGGATAAGATGCAAGCTGTTCAGCTTGAAAGAGATCAACTTCAACGTGAATTCGACAACTTGAAGAACGAGGAGATTGAGAAGGAGAAGAAACTTAAGGATCTCTCCGCTCTTTCCGACAAACGAGAACAGACCCGTCAAGACCTCAAGGGATTGGAGGAGACTGTTAATAAGGAACTCAATTCATTGCACTCTTTGCGCCGGATGTTCATTCAAGATCTGTCCCATCGTATGAAGAAGGCTCCAACTGCAGCTGATGGGGAAGATGAGTTCTTATCTAGTCCTGCCCAAAAACAGAAGATCGCCTTCCTCCAAAACAACCTCGATCAGCTCACTCGAGTCCACAAACAATTGGTCAGAGACAATGCAGAGTTGAGGAGTGAGCTTCCTAAACTGGAGAAACGCCTCAGGGCATCTATTGAACGGGTTAAGAACCTCGAGACGGCATTAAGAGAGACTAAGGAGAATGCCATGAGGGACAGAAAGAAGTATCAGTATGAAGTTGAGAGGATTAAGGAGGCTGTAAGGCAACGGAATATAGCCAGACGAGGCGTTCAGATTGGTATGTATATGCATTCCTTTACGTATTTGTTATAATGCTTACTGTTTAAAATGAAATTTTCAGCTAAACCAATCCGACCTGGCCAGCACTATGTGACCACGCCAATGAAGCCAACTGATGGTGAGTAGACATCCCTGTAGAAATGCTGTGATTAATAAATTTGAGGAAATTAACTTGTTTTTCTCTATCAATTAACTCAGTCCTGGATTTCAGCGGAATGAAGCGCTCAGTCCACTTAGATGGTCCCCACGCCTGATTGATCAGAAATTCAAAGTTTTTAAATTATTCTTTATGTCCATAAAGCTCTTTTGTTATGTCCCGCTTGATGCCGGTCTTTTCCGTTGATCCCCTAATTGCTGGCTGTGACTCTAACGATGTATAATAGAAGGATCATCCTTCTTCTGAAGCCTGTGTTACCCTCGATCATTCCCTATTCTTGATTTATCTTCTTGTCCCCACATCTCTTACGTGCTTAATCCGCCCAATCAACGGTAATATAAATGTTTTGAAGTGAGAGTTTCGCTTTACTGATATGAATTCTTAAGAAAAAAGGTTTCCGTCAGATAGAAACGACGTCATGCTTCGATCGGTGATGTACTATGTATAACTATGGAATCTTGATCTCATCGGGTGCCATAACTAATTAAAATTCCAAGGCCTTTTTAAGAGCTTGAATAAAGTTACTATTCTTCGAAATGTAGAAACGATAGATGAAACTGTTTGGACGTATTAATCGTTGAATACTTGAGATTTTGTTTGGTTTTAAACGTCTTTCAGGAGGATAATAATGTCCTTGTGGAGAAGCGCCGGTCTCACGTATTTGAGATACTCTCAGATTGCCAGTTCAGTTGTCAGAAGTTGTGCCAAAGTAAGTTGTGTTTAGTCGCTATACTTCATTCTGATTCAGAAAGGTGATACGAGAGCTCCTGCAACTCTGAAATTGGTGGAATGGCAGAATGGGAAACCCGTAAAGGGAAATGAATGAGAGAAACAACTTGCAATCAGCTCATAGGAAGTTTTAACAACATCTGTCATAATTGTTTTGAACGTATTAATCAAAGTAAATGATTAGCATGAGGTATTCTTAACGGGAGTCGGTGGTTGAAGACGGAGTGATTGACAGCCTTGAAAGGAAGGGACGAGAGGAGGAAAGAAAGTTCGTTAACTCTTATTCGTTCCAAAGACACGCCGAACCGGCGGCCGGTTTGATTTGACCCCGATTCCCTCATAAATTAGACTGACACGCGCTTGGGACTCTTTTCTTTTATTTCAATCTTGTTATAAACTTTTGATGTGGGCTCATCTGTGACGCATGCTAGAAGTTCGTAATCGTTTGGATTGGCGTTGTTATCACTGTGGAATTTCTCTTTGGTGTCACAAATGCTCTTAGTTTTATTTGTGTATCTTTTTGTATACGGAGTCTGCGGTTGTGTCCTCTGCCCCTTCAGAATCCCGCCGTATCCCCGACCATTGGATCAATTTCGGATTCCATCTATTGAAAAGATTCTAGATGCGTCAGATTCTGTAGTCACATTATGTCGAAACAGCACCAGGTAACAAAGATAAGGTGATATTACGCTGAAACCAGACTTGATCTAGTGTCTGCATCTTGTCGGAGCGACGTGAACCACCTGTTCTGCTCGTTGAAAGATCTGGTCGACAACTATAAGACCGAATGTCCAGGTTCCGAGTCAGCAGAAGCTTGCACAACTTGTCGTCGCAACCTGACATCACAAAAGAATAGGAATTCTTGGGTAAAAACATGTAAGAATGCACAAAAATGATAATTGAATTTCAGGGATTGATTCTCTAGGAAAAATGCCGTCCGGCATTGGTGATGGAAATTATCATTGGCTTGGTGATTACGAGCAATGCAAACATCTTCAAAGGTATCCGGTAATTGTAAATGGCAAGGTTCATTTAGTGCGGGAATATTTAATGGAAGATATTGTTTGATTGATTTCGCTGTGCCTGACTCCGTATCCACCTTGAAATGTGAACATACCGAGCCCTTAGAGGTATCTTTGGGTGCTTGTCTGCCTTCTAGTTGTTCCATTCCAGAGGATATTGAACTTGTTGAACGTAAGCAAGGTCGCTGATACATGTCACGATGACTTTAGATGTGACTGCACTTAAAGTAAACATTCGATGCGAACCCCAGGAAGAATGGTCGCTGCCTTCGCTGATTTTCTTGTATGTTGTCCCCAGAAATTAACTGACTTATGCTATGATTATTTTACAGTTTTTCCATCGTTGGATGGGTAGTTGCATTATTTCTTGCCACATTTGTTGACTGGCTTGTTGTATTATCCGAGTCTTCGACCATTAAGAAGATTGTGCATGCACTATCGTTGCAAAGGAATACTCAAGAATCCTTGAGAACTACTCGCACACAAGATCAGCAGTTATTTGCAGTCCAAGGATTACAGGTTCTGTTTGTGATCTTCTTGGTGTCTGGCAATGTTTTCTATCTTGCTATCCCATATTTGGGTGAGTACAGTTTTATTTTTTGAAATAAAAACTCGTTTAGAGAACGTTTCGTATGCATATGATCTCTCAACTTCATTCTTCTATCAACCGATAGTGAACTACAGTTTCTTTGTGGACGGCCTTCTTGCTTTAGGGGCTCTTCGGTTGGTTTTAAAGCCCAGGGAAGAATTCAGAACAGTGAATGGGATCGTGTTATTACTCGCCAATCGATTAATTCGGTAATATTTTTTGCGTCCCGACATTTCGGGTCAGGGACAGCTCGGGTCGCGACCGGTCGGGTCAACGACACCTCGGGTCAACGTCATTTCGGGTCAACGATACCGTTTAATATTTTCGCTTCGGGACTGGAAGCGAAAAAAAAGAATTTTTTGGTAAATTTGAAAAATGTTTGAAATGTTTTCGCTTCGGGACTTGGGAAAATGGATTTTTTGAAGAATGTGAACAAATTTTTGAAATGTTTTCGCTTTCATTTCCATACAATCATTACGACTATCTTCTTACTCCACTCTCTGGCACTGTCTGTGTTTAAATCCCGTGCTTCCAGTTAAAAACATAAACAATGGATACGATTTTCTTATTTCCTCGTCGCTTATAAACACTACTTCTCTTAAAAAAATTAGAAAATAAAAACTCAATTCTCAAAAGAAATCATTTTCCCCCAGTCCCAGCGAAAAAATTTCAAAATTTTGTTCAAATTGTCCAAAAAATCTTTTTTCCCAAGTCCCGAAGCGAAAACATTTCAAAAATTTTTCAAATATACCAAAAATTCTTTTTTCCCAGTCCCAAAGCGAAAATATTAAACGGTGTCGTTGACCCGAAATTTCGTTGACCAGAGGTGTCCCTGACCCGAAATGTCGTAGCGCCTTTTGTTTCATAAGACGCGATTCGAAATTAGCTGGACGGTAGCTTAAATGAAATTACAATTTAAGAGTGTGGCCGGCCTACTTGTTCATTAACTTCTTCATTGCACGCATCTATGATCGTCTTGGAGATGGCCCCATGTGGTCTTACAACGATCTTTCCAAGAGATGTTCAGAGAATTTACTCTCTAATATACTCCTTCTAAACAATATTCTTGGGACTAAACATACTGTAAGTGTAACTTACAAGGTAACCTTCCAAGTAGTGTTTAGACGGGGGCTTTTTATTCGCTTTAAAAACCCAACTCTTTACTTTTGGGTTAATTATATTGTACATGAAGAGCAAGATAAGGAGAAGGGCGATTCTCTGGGCCCTGCTGACAATCCTCGCCGTCTCCGTCGTCTACAATTTTACACTGTCATACCGAGAAGGCCTTTATTCTACTCTTATCCCGACCGAGAATATTAAAGAGTAAGTTAATTACAGGTTCTCGGGAATATTATATTATGGTAACTGACTTGGCTGACGCGGCAGTCTTTTTTATTTCAGTCTGAAGGGATACGAGGTATTTGTAAACCGAATCTACATGAATCCGTTGGGAAGATCAGGGCCTTATATTATCAGCTTGATTATGACAATATTGTATAAGGAATCACAGAGAAATACGTTCAGTCAGGTATGTTACTTTAGAGTCACCCTACGCAGAAGGTTTCACATTCTCTAATTCCCTGAAGACCTAGACTATCGAAACTGCCAATTTCAGATGCGAGGATCGGTCGTCTTCTGTATGAATGTGATCGGCCTCTTATTAATTATTTGGACACCATTTTATCTTGACTCTAGCCATAGCAGCATATTGAACGCTATCTATTCTAGTGCTCATCGCACAGTTTGGGCCTTCTTGGTGGTCTGTGCAGTGTTCAGTCTGAATCACATGAGCAAAGGGAATGGTAAGTTTGCAACGATCGGACAGTGACTGTCGTTTACAGTATTCCGCGGTTTATCTGATACCTTCGCCCAACTTTTTCTCTTTGTTTTTATAATATTTCCAGCGCTGAATGCGATCCTCGGATGGAGAGTGTTTCTGCCTTTGAGCAAGTTGACGTATTTGGTGTTTCTGATCTCGGAGCCCGTCGCCCTCTCATTGTTCGCTTCCCTCCATCGCCCCACATACGCCACTTCTCTCTCCACGGTGGGTCGCAAGAATTAGGAAAGGGAGAAAAAGCTCCGGGATTACTGTAGCGTCTTCTTTCAGCTGCTGACCTGTTTGGGCAGTGTCTATGTGTCGTATGTGATCGCCTTTCTCATCGACATTGGAGTGGCACGACCAGTGCGACATCTTCTGGAAGCATCCATTCCGTGGATAAAATCGAACCGAGGCTGAAGTATGGGTCAGAGAAGACCAATAACACTATTATTTATTCAAGAAATTTATTTTCACAAAACATTTAAATACAATTTGAGAATAAAACATCGAGATCAAAAAGGTTACAGAAGATTGTAACTAATGATTAACACAATCATGCTTGCCTCAGGCATCTAACCGAAGAATTGCTGAGAAGGAAAACAATTCGGAGTTGGGTAATACGAAGACATGGCATCGTATGCGGGATACTTCACATCCAGCATGTCGATCTTGTTGTCCGTGTAGTTGGGCGCCTGAGGGAACATGGGATGGGCTGTCGACCAGGGATTGAGGGAGTTATCAAGCATTGGCTGACTGAAGGCCGAATGGGAGAAAGGCATCTGATTCGCTGAAGAAGGTAAGGGAATCATGGGAGACGAGGTGGGGATGGTTGTAGATAACGAAGGGCCTAGACCCGGCCCTAGACCCAGTTGTTGGTCTTGGGCTTGTCCGTTCATCATGCTGAGAGTGTTCAGCGTCTTTAGAGGGTCTTCTTCGTTATTAATCATTCCATTACTGACTGGCTCCACCGAATTTGGGGTGCTTATCCCAGTGGAGTCATTGTCCTCATCTGACGTTCGACTTCGGTTTCCTTCGTTTGGTCCCCCTCTTTTTTGTTTCTTCTGTTTCGATCGTCGGTTTTGGAACCATATTTTCACCTGAAATGATTAAATTAAAAACAATACTTCCCAGTTTCCCCTTGTTTATCGTTTTAGATTACCGGACGCTCCGATCCTCAGGTAACATGTCTCTACGGATATATAGATAAACAAAGGCGCCCCCTTTGTTCCCAGAATGTCATTACCCGAAGCAATCGGAATCTAGTTGACGCATCTTGACCCCAAATAAAAAGAGGCCCCTACGTGGACACGACCCAGAAACATCCTTATAATGATGCAATTCGATGCAACAGCTTCCGTACTTGGGTAACATATGCTAGAGCGATGGCCCCACGGGGAGACACGGAGTCATCAAAACGCGTGCCATTCAAGGGATCGGGGACTCATCAAATTGTGACAGGTAACATGCAAAAAACACAAAGGCCCCCAATCCCTTCCTGCTGTCACCGCAGCGGTTGTTTGAAGGCCGATCGATCCCAGAGATAAGGCTCCGGAAATTGACTCACCTGAGTTTGGGTCAGGCCAAGAACATTCGCTAGCTCGGCTCGGTCCGGTAACGTCAGGTACTGGGTCCCTTCGAACCGCTTCTGAAGTTCCTGGAGTTGTTGAGCTGTGTAGATTGTACGGGGCTTTCTCGACTTTTTGCCTTTGGAATTGATGTGGACTTCGGTGCCTTCAATGATCCTCGTTTGGGATTCACTACCCGTGAAACCTGAAACTGACAGTCAAAGTTCGAATTTTGGCCATAATATATTTTTAAACATAACTTTTCAGAAAAATAAGTATTATATACGAGTAAGTAAGTACCTGATGTCAGTAGGTATATTTTTTCAAATTATGAAACTACTAGCCCAAACTTACTTTCTGGCGACGTACTGGCTTGTTGATAGTATTGAGGGGCGTATGGCGGTAGATTACCTGGATAGAAGCTGTTGAAGACTCCATTCGTCATAAAGTTCTGCTGAGCATAATAATTGTTGGCCGTTTGAGCTGCCAATTGTGATTGTTGAGCTTGGGAGACAGCTGGTAGAGTTGCCGGGGATGTTGAGGGGTCAAGAGGGTTGTTGGAAAAATCTTGGAAGGGCTTCTGGTCGTACGTAATGTGCGGTTTCTGTTCGATGAGGTCACCATAACTGTCCCGAGATCCCGGGTGATTCAGGTTAATGGGCTTCGAGTCGCAAGTTGACTGAGGTGATGTCATCTCCTGACTGAAATCGCTCAAACAATTATGTGTAATAATTAGTCACGGACAAAGCGATCGTCCGACACTTAACCGACGCCCCCGCGCCCGGTTATTAGCCGCGAATAACCACCAATTTCGAAAATCCCCGCGATCCTGGGCCCTCTTGGCATTCCGGATTCCAAGCCTCCCCTCCCCCTGTTTCCTCTAATCTCAAATTATGGAAAATTAGGGGAAAATTGCAGAACCGCGACAAGGCGCTTCAAGACGCCATAAGACAACCATCTCCTTTTTTGGTTGGTCGTTTCGTCGTCAAGTTGGGGAGCCCTTATTCTTCTTTCTTTCCCCCACACCATCAAAACCTTCCTTCACCGTCAATCAAGCCCCCTCCTCCTCTGCTCGGCCTCTCTAAAAGTGGGCGGAGTCTACTCTCCTCTTCTGTATACGGACAGGTCGCGAGAAGAGAAGACGGAGAAGAAAACGCTGGGATCCTCGCCCGGTCGGTCGGTAGAGGTGCAATTCAAAAGCCGGGTATTCTGAGGATTCCCCCCCCTTGACACACACGACGAAATAGAACACGATCCATGTACGGGCAGCCACCGGCGAATGACTCCGCTCTCGTTTCACGCATACGGTAGAGCAAGAGGCGGAGTCTGAGAGGTGTCTAAAGATTGGCTGATAGAGAAAGAGCCAAACGCCTCGAGGTCTTATTGTATGTCTACAGGCCTCTTTGATCAGGAAAGTTTGCAGTTTGTCCTGTACTCTGGATATCATTCCGTCTTGCATGTCTTTTTTTGCCCGCACACACGACGATGACGGATTTGTGGGTGATAGACGTGCGCCTTCCGGAAGCCTGGCCTCGCCGCAAAGAACGGAAACGATCAAGAGTCTGGAGAACGGAAGGGCCTGAAACGCCGCAGGGATCTCGCCTTTTTTGTGCATACATAAAGAAGAATGGAGACCGAAGAAGGACAGGGACAATATTATAATTGGGCCTTCAGGATTGGGGACGGTCTCTACACCCGCACTGCGACAAGGGAGCCGCCCCAAAACCTCCAAACTGTAATTGACAAAGTTACTATATCATTAGCAATTGATTTCCAGTCAAAACGAATACAAGGGCTCAGTCCGAGGAAGAACGGCGTCAGGAGGCGGTTGTTTAATACCCTCCAGAAAAGAAGGATTACTCTACTCTACCTCTGGCTCCCGGATTCATGTTCCCATTCTACTAGACATGGCTTGGGCCCTTTATCGCCATGGGGGTCGCTTTCATTCTTCTTTTAAATCATGGGGTTGCTTTTACTGTTTTACTCGGGCCTGTTCTATAGGGTAGAAAAGTTGTCAGTCTTAACTAAGTTGCCGGATGTTACCTAAGTTTTAGCCAAATCTTACCTGGGCAGATGTCGATTATAGAGATACGTGAGACCAAAGCGGACGATCTTAATTCAGGGCTAATCCAGTGAGTTTGTAATCCAGAGGTCAGCGGATCTGTCTACGCACATGTCCATTTCTTTACATGGCCTTTTCCTCCCTTTCCCTATTCGCATTCGTTGCGCAACTCTATCAGTTTGATCTCGCGCCTGGATCCAGGTGAAAAACAGCAGCTGTGCGGTTCTCCCATCGCCGCGCATGCCGACAGGACTGACATACGGTAGACTATAAAATGAGTCAGGCTTTACACTGGACTCGTACAGAAATACGTAAGCTGACTTTCAAATAAATTCCCAGGTTGACAGTTTCCAGGCCCGAACGGATTCGAGCCTTCAAGTCAGTGGGGTGGAAGTGATGTACCTGGAAAGGAAAGCGACAATGAGCTTGGGATCCCATAAAAGGGATACCAAAGTTGAGACCGGTTCCGGGTAAGGGGATCCATTTCGAATTAGTTTTTTTATAGTTTTTTGTGACTTGAGAAGAATGCTTATTGTAATTTGAGATTTTTTTTTGAAATTTGATTAACTTTCTTACTAATGCAAACTTAAGATTACACTCAGCAATTTCAAGACTCCTCTGACAAAATTGGTTGAAGCTGAGGATCTTCTCATACTTGAAAGCCCAATTTAATTCTCTCGACATTCCCCGTCCCGGTTACTCAAACAATCCCCGAATTTCTCCTTGATCAATAGATTTATGAAGGGAGTGCATGATTTGTCGGCTCCAGAACAATGTCCGACCTCGCGACTGACCTTGGCTGTGTCGATGGAGTTCCCTGCGCCGTTTCCAGTGAATGGCCAGAGCGTCGAATTCCATAGGGTCCCAGGCTCCCCGCTGTGAACACATGTTTCCTCAGTTGGGGGTCAGCGCTACAGTAACCCTATGGATTTGGGGAGTAAGACGGAAGCCGGGATCTTTGTCTCGCCGCCGGGCGTCGAGACTCGGCTTCCGTTTGGACATAGTATACCGTTTAATAGCCCGAGGGGATCCCACCTGCAGCCTCCCTCCCATTTGCTGGCTCTCATGAAAATTGTTTTTACCTGTCATCTCGATTACCGTAGGATACGACTGTCAAAATAAATAAGATTCGATGAAAACAGTAATTTTACAATTAATCCAAGACTACTCGACCGGTGTAATAACAAGACAAACAAGAGTGCTTCACATGGCCAAGCGCACTTTTGGTTACAGTAATCGTGTCGAAAGTGCCTCTCTAAGCTCGGGGCAAGTGCGGGTGATATTCGTTCGGTGGGCATGTTTCAGACATAAAATCATTTATTCAATATATAAGGTAGAAATCCGAAAAAGAACCCATAGAATTTTTATATTCCGAGCGTTGTGGCACTCGCCAGGTCCATCTAATTGCTCTAATTACCCGTTGCGTATTTCACGGCCCGAGGCCTAATCTTGGCCCTTGGAAATGCCCGGATATGCCGCTTCTTTGACAGAACTCCTTAATAGGAGGGGTAAACAAGAGCGCTTACCGCAATCATGTACAGTAATCCTCAAAACAAACAAAAAGAGCAGAGGGAAAGTCATGTCAGAGCGACGTCCTTGAATCCACGACCTCAGCTCTCCCTTTACGGAAACCGAGGCCGACGGAAAAGTAGACTTTTGTGGATGTCATCCCATCATACCGTAGCATCATATTCTCCCAAAAATAGAGCGAAGACGCAGTAAAAGGAAACCGCCGCGACAACATCAAAAGTGAACCGGATGGTATTCAGAGAGCGCAGAGAAGACGATCTACTCGGATCAAATTGTAATCGACCGAATGCACACAGCCGGCGATTAAAAGGGAAAGATTAGGCCACGAGGAGGATCCAGGGTGACCAACCAGGGATTATTTGACATACTGTCCAGACATTTCCATTCCCATTCACACTGTCAGCTTTACTCAGCCCATAAAAGTCCCATTCCTCAAAGATGAAACTTATACGACCGCGCGTGTTATACCACAACAAGTGAGTGGAGCATCCGTCCGAGCGGAAACTACCCGACTTGATTACAGGTCGGGAGCTGGCCTTTGATGTATCTAGTCATTGGCCACTGCGAGTCTTACCTTTACGACCCCACCTGCCTCGGCTGAAGAAAGGAGATGATCCCGTTCGGTTACACAATATTGGCCCTAAATTCACTTTTGCTTCCGCTTTTTTGGAGACTATAATATAATTGCTCGGGAGTGTCCGTTTAATCAATTAGAAGAAAAAAATTGACAACAGGTATTATTAAAACCCCCTTTAGATTTTTACAAAGTCTATCTTTATTAGTAATAACAAGCCCATACTTTTTTTTATCATATCACAGAGATCCGGTACCTCGTTCACTCTTCTAATATATCTACGACCACACATCTGCCTGAAAGTTGCGTTTTCTCTCCAGATCCTTGAAGAACTTCTGAGCTGCTTCTTCATTTAGTTGTCCAACTTCTCGGAATATTCTCAAAAGAGTAGCGTGGACATCCCTGGCCATGTTACGAGCATCCCTAAACCATCGAATTATATTCAGCCCATATTATTTTCCAAAAAAAAGTAATTCACTTACCCGCAAACATAGATATTGCCTCCTCTCTGTATAATGGACCAAATATGTTCCCTCTCGGCCCAGATCAAGTGCTGCACATACACTTTTTCATTCTTCAGACGGGAATAAGCAACATGAGCCCGATTCACGATGCCTTCTTTAACAAAATCGTCGACTTCATCCTTGTAAATGTGATCATGATCTGGATGGCGACAACCAAAGAACAACAACATCTCTCCAATCTCCTTTCCTTGGTTCTTGAGGGCACTTCGTTCTTGGATGAAGCCCCGGAAAGGTGCAAATCCAGTTCCAGGACCTATCATGACCACAGGGATTGCTGGCCGGTGAGGTAATCTCATGGTAGATTTGCGGACGAAAATGGGGACGGCGTCTCCAACATTACGATCAGCCAGATAATTTGTGCAGACTCCTTTAATCTCACGGCCCTTAATGTTGTACTTAAGGACAACAGCAGTAACCGAGACAATGTCCGCGTTTATCTTGGGTGAGGACGAGATACTATAATATCTGGCCTGGAGACGGGGCATCATTTCCAGCACTACTTCCATAGGAGGTTTGCAAGTTTTGAAATCCAGTAGAATATCGACCACGCTTCTTCTTTCCTTGAGGACATATTGAGCGTACTCTTTCTAAAAGAAAGTAGTCGAATAACCTTCACTTAACGTTTCTTATTATAATAATCATTCTTACCAAGCCTTCTTCTGAAGCAGTGCTCAGTACAATAAGCCTTTCCTTTTCTTCCGGATCAGAAGTAAATTCAGCAAAAGCCCTAAGGACATGAGACTTCACAGGAGCCACAATGTCGACATAATGAGTTAAAGCAGTACGGTATGTAGTGGGGCATGGGAAGGGATGACGTTTCGAAGCATCAGCTAGAAAGAATAAAGTACCCGTGTTAAAAACATTTCCATTAATTGAAAACATTTCTACCAAAGGTAACACATACTGTCCACATTAATCAATTTGAAGATGGTTTCCAGATTCACGTCCAAGATTTGCCCTATCTTGTCAACCAAAGAACTGTCATTCGTTGGAAAAATTCCCAGATGATCACCGGCTTCATAGCGAATCCGGGTTGAATCCACTTTGAACTCAACATGAAGACAGGACCTTTCACTGCCACCGGCATGAAGTTCTCTTTTTTCAACAATCTCAGACAAGAAGGGATTCTTCTGATCGAAAGGACTAAAAAAATTAAATTAAGAAGAAAATTCCACAGATATGAACCTACGCTCGCTGCTTTTCGTAGGCTCCAATACGACCGTATTCACCGGTAAAGATGGCGGCGGGAGGTGTCTCAACAATCTCCAGTCGGTATTGCCGATCCAGGCCGTTGGTCTGACTCAGTTCCCACCCAAATTGTTCGGCTACTTTGGGCAAGAAGGCTTCCCTCCATCTAAAATATAAAAGGTACACCACAAGTTACTTTTTATATTGAGTATTTAGATATGTTCGAAGAGGCTCTCACCGCATAAAATCTTCTTCCAAGTTGGCATCATCATCCCCAAGACCCAATTGGAATATCCTCTTTGCTCCAAGCTCCTCAAATCGTTTGTCCATGATTTTTCCGGCCTCATTGTAATGTTCGTATGTTTTATTTCCCAGTCCGAAAACGGCAAAATGAAGACCTGAGAAGTCGGGATCATTATTATTTAGATATTCGAATAAACCCTGAGCATTATCAGTAGGATCCCCTTCTCCATAAGTGGCCATACACGCAATTAGAAGAGGATTTTCAATTTCTGAAGCAAATAAAATAAAATCTTTAAAACAATGTATACATCTTGTTCTGTGGACAAAAAACCTTACGAGTAATCTTGCAAAGCTCTTCAGGCTCGATTTCCTCAGGATCCATCACCAAGGCCTTCTTTCCATAACGAGCGAAATCCTTGGCCAATCTTCCCGCTAATTCCTCGGCGGTTCCCGTCTGGGATCCAAACAGAATTAACACTTGACGATTTTCTGATTTCATTCGCCCCAAAAACGACCGGTCGACTTTCTGCTGTTGCACATTCAGAGACTTGGAAGCTGCAGGTTGAAAGTTGAGAGATTGAGGGGATTCTGTCCGATAGTAATTCCAGTAAATGTATGCTCCGACGACAGCAAGCACGGAGAGGACGATGAGATCGGTTTGGTCAATATAGTCGTAAATCCAGTCCATTTTGGGGAGAAATAAGTGAGAAAGCCCTGAAAATGGAGAATTGAGAGTGTAAAGTTATTTAATCAACGCGTCAGACCACGTAACTTAATGTAGGGTAGATAGAAGCATCAAATCAACAGCAAAAAGTCGATGGAACGCCAACTTTTGTATCAAAAGAGGTCTGTTGGGTATAAACACTAGGTCTCTGTCATTTTGTAAGTTCTCATAAAGAACTTACAAAATGACAATCGACACGTAAAAAGTTATTGCATAAGCTCTCGAAAAATATAAAATAGCAGAACGCATTGAATGATTCCTCACTTATCTTATCAATTACTAATTCCCTATCTTTTTTCAGACACTCATATGAGTTATTAAGTCTAATACTGGCATACAAAACAGACTCAAGTATCCCCACGCTCTTGAATCCCACAACTCGCTTCCCCATTCTTGAACTGTCTGTGAAGACTAACTCCAGGGGGGTTAAAAACTGTCTGTGTGAAAGGTGGCTTCGTCTGAAGGTAGCTCGTTAACCAAAGGCTCGAACACCCTTCCAAAGCAGACGTCTAATTCAATAAACCCACAAGCGAACCACAAAAATTATAAAGATGCCACCTTAAATAACCTTTCCTTCGACTTAAAACACGCAATTATTAAAACAAACTACGGTTAAGACGCACCGTCAAGTATATCATCACAGTATCATATAACCTATCCTAACGAGGTTAGAATAATGCGGAACATTTCCATAATCCACAGAGGGGAAGGGAAGAAAGAAGTTAGAAATGAAATGCGCAGTCCCGAATGAATGACCTCCATTTATCTAATCATCCAAGTGATCACATTTTATGTTTTGGAAACACAAATTAAGCAATAAGTTCTCAACATAAGACTGTCTGAATGATAAAGACCTTCTTTGGCGGCGGTAACAAAGCACGCACGTCACAATTTTCGCAATTCACAAAAATTTTCACGTAGCTTGTTGAAACCTCCGGGCGCAGTCTGCCATTTTGAAAACCAAAGAAAGATTTTAGACATGATAACCCAAACAAGCTCCACAGATTCACTTAGTTTTTTGTACTTTATTCCACAAAAATACACTTTATCATACTAGTCCGTTCGTAAAGTCGCTGGAATGTTTTCGGCGACATGCACCCCGCGAAACCGAAAGTTCAGTTTGCACTGTGCAATTTTTGGCTTTTTGCACAGTGCAATAGGCTTTTTCGGGCTGTCGCCCGCACCCTGAGTTTTTTTTGCACAGTGCACGTCGCCGAAATCATTCCAGCGACTTTACGAACGGACTAGTATGACAAAATTATATACCTTAATTGTATGGATTTTCTCGGAATTTTTAGTGACCTTTCTTCTCACGGCACTTGGACATGGCACATGTTGTATTCAGGAGACAAATTTCGCATCTTGGATGTGGCGCCTTGCATACAGTTTGACCAAAGCCGACCAAAGCCACATTTAAAGCTCTCCACTGACTTCTAAAACATTATTACGAATTCAGACGTTTACCTGGGCACCAATTCTTTGAGAGCATCATCAGTCCCCTTAGGGGTTCTGGTCTTAACCCACTTCAGCATGTTAGCAATGCGATGAACATGAGTATCAACACCAATGAATTGATCCGAATCGAAGCAATTTACCATAACCAAACTGGCAATCTTGTCGCCAACACCCGGAAGGGCCATCAATTTTTCGTAGTCATTAGGGACTTTGCCGTCATATTGTTCATGTAGTATCTTCGCGCATTTATGAAGTCTCTCTGCCTTCTGAAAAGTTTAATGATTAATAAAAAATTTTAATGGACAAATTATGCTAAACTTACGGTCTTTGCCAATCCAATGAACGAAATAATTTTCTGAATCTCCTCCACCGGAGTCTTTATAATGTTCTCAACTGTCAGGCAATGTTCTTTCAGTTTCTGAACAAGCAAAAAAAAAACAACAACACCATAATTAAAACAAATACAGACACTGACTTACGGTCATTGCAATCGCAGTTTGTTGATCCTTGACTCGAGGAGACAATATCAGAGCCGTAAGAGTTTGGAAATGTTGAGTGTCAAGGTCCGCGCTCTTATCTGCAAGCATATGGCATCCAATAGAATCAACGGGCGCATCGTTTCCTTTCCGCATCTCCAGAATCAAAGGGAAATCTCTCTGGAATCTTTTCCTGCCGTCGGAAACTAAGTCCTCAATGTCTTCTTCACTCCTTTCGAATGATTTCTGAATCACTTTCGTAGAGTTCTTATTCTTGGCAACCTTTATTTTCAGAGGAGCCATACTTTTCTCTGATTTCTATGGACTAATCCCTAAAATTTTAAGGGTATTAAAATTCTGATATTTTTTCTGTCGTAATCGACCAGTCTACATTTCACTACAATGGATAGTGAAATGCATTTTGGATACAAAGACTTTTGTTTCGAGGCCACTTTTTTCCGAAGAAAAATGGCAGATTTTTATCTTTTTTTCTGATCTTATAAAATTTTTTTTCGTTCCAAAAGTCCGCAGAAATGAATTTTATGTGGTTTCTATTTTGGTTTATGAATATAACTGTTTTAGCGACCAGGCTAGGTAGTTGTCTCGGCAATAAGCAGGAAATTCTTTCTCAATCAATATTTGAGGACTCTCGCGTCGTTAAGACGAGAAAAAGCTAATTGAAGAAGAAAATGCAGCCATTATATTAGAAATTGTCCAGTTTTGTTCCATATTTTTACGGCGACATGAATTGTTATTATAATTTTTCGATAATATTTTTTTTGGTTTCGGTACGGATATTTTTTAGGACGCTTCAGCAATATCAAAGGTCTTCTCTACCACCACGAAAACGTTGTAACTTCAGACGTCCCGTCGACCGTCAAGACGAATTCGCCGAGACCTCAGGTGGACGGGAGGCCGAATATGGTTCGGCTGACCATGCCCACCCATAATATTCCACACGTCTGGTCCGACAAACGATGTAAGAACCCTAACAAACGGAAGTGTGGAGTTTGTGGAGGGACCATGGGCTTCTTTTCTACTTACGAGAAATGCCGTAGTTGCAAGTAAGTTATTCTTTTACGTTGGATGTATTGAGTCCGTTTATAATAATATTATTTTAGAATATGTGTACATACCGAATGTAAAGCTAGAGTTCAAGACAACTGCGGATTAACATCAAAGCATTTCAAGGAAATTCTAACTCATATGGTGATCTCAGCGCGCCAAGTAAGTCTATTGTCATTTTTTATTCACATCTTAGGATAACTGGGCTTCACCAAACATCGGAACATCTAAATCACTGAACGATATGCCCGTAATCCAATATAATGATTCTCAAACGCCGACAGTTGCGGACAGTTCTTCGTCAACGAACAGTTCTGCTCCTTCTACTCCTGGTAGGTGTAATAAAATTTTAGGTAACCCTTGTAATATTTTACGAGAAAAGAAGCATGCTATCTAATTGTAGCTTTTATAAACCAAGTAGGCCCGGTCCCGACAATTGCTGTTCATCCTCCACCTCCTTCCTCTGCTTATGATCGGCTTACTGCGCCTCCTCGGACGGCCGATCTTCCCTCCAGATCAAAACAATTTACGTTTCCCGATGTTGCCAATTCTTCTGGCAATGAATCTGATTCAGCCCATTCTACTACCAGTAATGGAACTATTAATTTCGGTGGACATAAATGGGATAGAAGGGCATGGAATATGTTTACCATCAGGCATGGATCAATGTCATGGAAAGATGTAACAATCCCAATGAAAGATATAAAAATTAACAAAATCATCGGAAGTGGAAGGTTTGGAGATGTACGTTGTTTTTTTACAGATTTGGTGATGAAAATTCACATTTTAGGTATATGATGTTGAACATTTCGGCACAGTGGCCATCAAATTCCCCCGCATGGATCATGTTGATTTGGACAAGAGAATAGAGGCTTTCAAACAGGAAACGGCCTGCTTTCAGAATGCAAGACATGAAAATCTCATCTTCTTTGTTGGTTACACTATGGATGTGAGCATGCTAGGGGTTGTCACCGAACGGATTCGAGGACCTTCTTTGTATAAAGTTATTCATGAAGAAAGCTTGAGCTACAGAATTGATTTCAACGACGTTATTGATTATGCAAAACAGATCTGTCAAGTGAGTTGCTTTCAATTTTCGATTTTTGACTTTTAGGGCATGTCATACTTACATACCAAGAATATTGCTCATAAGGATCTCAGGACAAAAAATATTTTCATCGAAAATCGAAAAGCAGTGATTACAGATTTTGGTTTGTTCAATGTAAAACGACTGGCTTATCCGAAATGGTAAGTATATTTTTTAAGGGAGGGGGGGGCTTTCTGTACTCGAATGGAGATGTGTTTCAGTACTCACGGGTTTCTGGTACCAAAACATTGGATTTCATATCAAGCGCCAGAAGTTTTAAGAGCCCTTACGCAAGATCTCGACCCTATTTACTTCAACGAGAGGACGGATGTGTACTCCTTTGGGTATGGATTTACTTTCTTTATTGATTTTGGTTTAGGACAGTGTGGTATGAGCTGATCGCCAGAAAATTCCCATTCAACAATGTTCATTCGGATTCTGTGTTCTGGCAGATTTGCAAAGAAGGAAAGGCACCAATTGGGAAGGTGAATGTCTGTCGAGAAGCCAAGGTCCTGCTAATGCATTGTTGGGCAATGAGACCGCTGGACCGGAAGCTGTTTGTAGATCTTTTGGAAAGCCTCGAATTGATGCCAAGGAAAGCGCTAAGAAGAAGTCCCTCGTTTCCGGTTTGTAAAAGTTTCGAGTCAATATTCTGATTATATCGTTGATTTATTTTGTAATTTACAGTCAGCTTTCTAACATTTCATATCAGTGTTTTCAAAATATAGCCCCAAGATCAGGACTTTCATCCTTTTCTTCAACGCTCAACTTTTGTAGCATTCTGTATTATGTAGCCAAATATCATGTGTAGGAAGTATGGAATATGTTTTATCGGTGGCGGGCGGTTGTTTCTTGTTGTGTTCGCAAACCTTGGTTGGTAATAAACGCTATCACTAATGTTCTCAGACAGAAAATCGCGCATCTCAGTGTCTTCAAACGTGCCTATGGTCTCACAATTCTTTCCAATTTTTTCGAGTTTTGTCTGCATTTTAACATCATCAACCTGAATAAATTTTTATTGTTCTCTTAAGTTATTTTAGGCAAGTAAGGCATCTGTTTTGTATGTGATAACCGTAGACAAGAACTGATAAGTTAGAATAAATATATATCTATAACCCGAGAACTAAGATCTCAAGTTGGCGTAGAATCGAGGCTCCGGTCCTCCCAGATCACCAACGAAACGTTCTTGGTCGGATGGCCTCAGTCCACATGGCCGTCTAAACTCTTGACCTAACTCGTGGATCCATTTATTGGATACCCATTTGACTCCCAAAAGTACGGGACAAGCAGCATGCCGAGTGCGGAGATCTCCCTCACCGCTTCTGTAGAGGTTGTACCAGAAGAGAGCATCGTTCTTGGAAGGCATTACAGACGTCTTCAATTCAGTGAATACAGTTCCGCCTCCAGTTTGTGGTTGAGTCATCTGTATTACAATATTAGTTTTCAGGGGACTAGGATAGGGCTCAGTTAGTAGAAATAATAAGAGTCATCGGGTCCTAGGATAGCTTATCACAGAGGTATCCACGTGCCCTACGCCCCCCGTATCGATCGACTTTGACTCGGACTGTCGTCGACCCGAAAAGTCGGGATGTGGTTTTAAACATCAAAACTTACATAGAAGAGGACGGTTGCAATACGATTTCCAGTACCGAGGTCACTGAAGGCCTTGGTTTCTTCTTTCTAAATAAACAATTATGAAAAAGTACAGTATACTTACTCTGGCAAAATCGAAATGAGGATCATAATGCCCACCAATTCCATAATTAGCAATCTGCAATTCTTCCGCAGTTTCTTGTTCCAGATTTGTCATCAAATCAATTCTTTTATTCACTCGGTCAACAACTTCATGTTCGGTGGCCTTGAGCCAAGCGCTGAAAGGAGATTTGAAAAGTGTCCACGATAGAAGAATACTCACCTTTTACTGATACGATAAGAAGCTGTCTCCAACTGACCGGTCTCACTGTTCTGAACGGTTGCTCTAGCAAGTTTGGGAGACGCCAAGGACTGGATTACACTAACCTCGTCGTCACTCATTACATCACGGAATAAGACTGCCAGAGGGTTATAGCGAAGTATTTCCACTTTGAAAGGCGCAATGATTAAGAAGGGACGGTCTCGTTTGTAGTAACAGTACAGTTGCGAGGTTGCTTTTACACTCTAATTTTATTCAATATTGTGTTCAACGACTCACCACTGGAACTTCATTCCGGCATAGTGCTTCGTATATATTCCTCTCAGCAAGCTCGAGCCCGTCGTTAGGTCTGGGGTTGGAGACTCGGCCTGGATTCTTCCTGAAGTCGCTTCTCTTCACTCCATCAGCCGCCAATTGATCTTCGTACCATTTTATGTTACCCTTGGCACGAGGATGTTCGGGCCATAACTTGTAAAGACGATCGGTAGCAATGAGCGCATGCTTTACATTCCCTTGCTTAAAGTATGCAAAGGCCAAATATTCGAGGATATCGTGTTCGCCGATGGTTGGGGGGTCTTCCTTCTTAGCACGCTCTAGAGCTTCTTCCATCCACATTAAGGTGTGGTAGTAATCCTCCGCATTGTACGAGATTCGCCCCACATCGAATACCTCCTGAGCTGAAACATTACTTTAATTGGAAGCCGTATACACTCTACCTGTCATTCCTCTGCTTGTTTGTACTTTCCCGACTTTTCCATTAGCCAAGTCTTTTGTATCAAGTCTGTAAGTGTCTTGTAGTCTTAGTAATCCCACAACTGCGCCACTCAGGTCTTCTTGCTCTGGAAGATGGGCTCTTCCAGCATAAGAAATGTTCTGTATAAACTCCTCCGTTCTGTCAGATCTCATCTTTTCTTGAAGTGTCTTCCATGTGTCTGATAATCTTTTAATCATCCTGAAGGCATTAACTGGATTTGATGCGTATTCCATGTTTTTCTCAACATTCGAATTCTTGGACCGATATTTCTGGACCATCCTAAGAATAAAAAGTTAGAAATTGCAGTGGGATTTTACTTCTTCAAGTTCTCTAAACGATCGTTTTCAGATTGAATGTAGTTTTCGATTACTCTCGGTATGTCCTTTTCCATCTGAAGTAGTCGTTGAAGGTCAGCCATGGATGTGAAAAGATCAGCTCCTCCATGATGTACAACGAAAAGGCCCAGGAGAATTAAACGAACGTTCATCCTATAAGAAAAACCCGATTGATTATTCAAAAAGGCAAAAAACCCGCATAAAAATCGCAGAAACATAGTTATTCAAAGATCGTGGCCATAACGCTTGCCGAAAAATATTGGCCAGCAGAGGGAACAAAGAAGGGAAAGAAACGGGGAAATCCTCCCCGAACAGAAGGTGTGGGGAGAACGTCTTTCTTAGTGTAAAATCTCCAACGCGATCTCTTTCTTGCAGCGTAGAAGAAAGGAGAGTAAGTGGAGGGGTACCTTCCTTTTCTCTCTGTTATCCAGCGTTTTATTAGAATTTGCACGCAGAAAGATGGAGCGAAATGTTTCGTCAAGGGTAAAACAATGACATAACATTGACAATGATGTAGACTTCCTCAATGACGCGAAGATCGCTTTAATCAGCGGACCTTGCGCGGAATCTTCTTAATAACTTCGAACGCAATTCTTATGGGGATTTCGTTGAGGGTTGACCTGCGAAGGCAATATCACCGCAAATACTAGTTCTTTTACTTTACAATTTTTTTAGCAAAACAATCTTGTTAAACAGTTTTCTGATCACAGCTACTCTCTATCTTCTCCATCTGACCCCAATTAGGCCCAATCTTGATTGAAACGGGGAAATCAATCCCGAGTAGGGAAGTCGACATCAGTTTCTTGATGAGCTCGACGGATTCGTGGATGAGATCCCTTTTGACTTCACAGATTATTTCATCATGAATCTGAAGGACCATTCCTCCCATTGATTTTGGAAATGAAGTTCTTATATTGTTTAAAGCGACGCGGAAAGCATGCGTAACTGATGACTGAAAAATAATAATTAAAAAACAATAAAACTTTTACCTGAATAATATAATTTGGAATCCTTCTTTTTGCCTCTGTTGATCTCATTGACGCCAATCCAACGCCAAGACCCCAGATATTTGAAGCGTAACGTCGTTCCAGGGCAGTCTGAGTGACTCTTCTCAACCAATGATCCACGCCTTTAAAATAAACAATCTTTTATCCAGAAGTAAAAAGTAACCTTTGAATACAGTTGAGAAAACAGAAATCAATTGTTCGGCTCTTCTGATATCAATATTCAAGTCCAAGCTCAAAGCACTAGCTCCAATGCCATAAACGATAGAATAGAATAACTTCTTGGCAGTGTCTCTATTAATATGTATACCCTCTTCCCTTAGAGAAGCGCTCAAATATTCAAAAGGATCAATCTCGTCATTAATAAGACGAGCCAGTGTTTCATCTCCACTCATCGCCAAAATCATTCTTAATTCGAGTTGGGAGAAGTCGGCCGAGATTAAAACACACCCGTCTTTGGCCGTGAAGACACTCCGAGCTGACTGTCCATCGATAATCTTTCGCTTGATTAACATTTGAATTGGGGGATTCTCGATTCCGATTCTCCCGGTGGCATGAGAAAGGGTATTGTAGAAACAACGAACTCTCCCATCTGGGTCGCAATGTGAGGAAATATCTTCTAATTGCTGTAATTAAAAACATTATATCAACAAGAAGTTGTTACCGTATAAGCAGTGTAAGCGTTTCTTGCGCTGACAATTAACTCGGCGATTGGATGATTGGTACGACTTAACTCATCGACGGATCCCGGAGCTCGGGAATTCTGATCCATGAACACATTACATTCGGATAAAACCTAAGGACAAATTTAGATTCATGATTCAACCTACTTTCCTGGTAGACGAAACCTTATAAACGTTGAATTTCTGGTCCGTAAACTTCCAAATCTTCTCTTCTGTCTTTGTCATCATAACCTGCAGGGATTGTCGAAGATGATATACTTGCTCCAAGTTCAATGCTATGCCATAATACGACATATAAATGGAGGTCTGCACACTTTCATTCCAGATACTCGTCAATTTCATCATATGATCCGAGATTTTTTGAGAGAGGATAACATTCTTGATCAGGCGACATAAAGGATATATACAGGGTTCGGCTAACGTTTTGTTACAAAAACTGAGAATAAAAAAGCCGAAGAGCAGAACTCACCGAGATGCAATGTTAGCAAAATATGAGCCAAGACCTTCAGGGTCTGGATCCAAACTTTTGTTTCTGACTCTCAGAATTGATAAAACACAATGAAATTTGCTCAAGAAGGAAGTCCAATTTTCTTGGATAAAAGATACTGATAGGAAATGATGTTTACACTGGTAGAATAACAAGGACAAATCCTTTGCAAAAATGGGGACAGTGGATGAAAACAATTTCTCCAACTCGTCAGCAACGTTCTCGGAGCACTTGGAGCATTCTCAAAAGTTTATACAAGAATAAAAGTTACCTGGGGTATCAAAATCCATTTCCATAAAATATTCATCGTCGTTTAAAATTTGTAAATGGTCTTCCACATAATCCAAGACAAGGAACTTGGCATTGGAACACAATCTCTCCAGACAAGATCTAACAATATTAACGTATCGATCATACTTACCGTTTATTTAAAATGAGAGAACATATTGTACCCTCAGTTTCCATTGACCTCTCACTTTCGTTTATTGTAAATTCAAAAGTCTTGTCCGAATCTCTGAACATGATTATATTAATTACTAGATAAACAGTTATCAGATTTTCTTACCTATTTTTTAAGAACTGTTCTGCATTAGCAACCAACGTTTGAACAGCAGTTTTACAATCGGTTATTTGTCCTTGAAGCCATTCATTCTTATCGCCTTTCTTCTCACCTTCTCTAAAATAAAGCCCATTATATTATTATACATGAGCAACAAGAAATTGGAACGGGCGCGGGTAATTGAGGTCAGCAGTCTTAATCACCGTAAATAAGTCAAGAGCATCTTGTTCCCAGGTCAGACATAGCTCTCGACCTCTTGCAGTATGCTCTGTCCTCGGGAATTAATTATCCAAATACGGGGATAATGCGGCCACAACATTGCGTAATGACCGGATGTTCAGCACATAACAGAATGATTGTGCATGAAGATAAAAGTTAAGAGAGCATACTTAAAAGGAATTGTATGCCTCAAGATCTTCTCCAGAATAGGCGGATCTGTCATCGCCAACTGTCTGACACTCTCGATCCCTTGTTCAACAAAAGCCAAGGCCCTGACTCCATCGATTCCAGACAAATGCATAAGATCAATGACGTCAGTGCTTATGGTCATTTCAACTTTCTGACCAAACGATTTCATTAAAATATTCAAATAATGCCATCCAAGTTGATCAGTGATGGAGATGACGGTTTCTAAATCAGGATTGTCGTGTTACTCACTCAAGTAAACCCCAAAAAGTCACTCACTCAAGTAAACGACTGTCTGTGTCTTCAACAGATCCAATTGCATTTCATCCAATCCGAATTCCCTCAGAATCTCGGCTTCAGGCTTATTCGCCATCAACTCTCTAAGAACCAAAGTAAGGTAAAATCGACCATGGACCTGTAAATGGCATTAGTAATTATAAGAATATGCTTACTTCATCTTCTCTATGACCGAACGATAATTTAAGACAAGACGCGTTGGTGATTCCCATCTTCTTTGCTGAATCTCTTTCAGTGGGTGTTAGTAATTTCTCATAATACTTGAACAAATTAGTAAGTTTTAATCCTTTAAAGCCGATTCGATTGGGTAATGGAGTAATCTGAACTCAAATAAAACTACCTGAATACCAACCCCACCAAATATAGCAGCTGTAGGTCCGTTCTAAGGTCAACTGATGCATTGGCTTTCACAAGTTGTTTGTAGATAAACTGCCCTTCTGATGGAGTTAAGAAACTAGATGAGATGGCAGACCCGAGCTGTGTAATAGCCACTGTAATCTCCTCATTATCCTCAATTCCAATAAGTTGACTCTGACGAAGAGCTTCCAGAATCTCATCAACAGATCTGGAGAGTCTATTCTGACAATGGGAAGCAATTCTGAAGGCATCTTCTTTCGTCTTGATTAATCCAATTGATATACTCTAAAAAATGTAAATAAAATGTTCCTTTACCAAAGCCGCGTCAATTGAAAAAATTTTTACATCAAGTATCAGATGGGTGTAGTCACGGGGCCGTGGAACAAACTTCTTCTTTTTCAATTCGCTTAAGGTTAGTCGTAGTTGACTGATATCACTGGCCACAAGGTATGAATCCCCTAAATTAATTATTGGATAATTGGAAGGTCGCGTTGATTGGCTAATAAGGATTCCCCTGGAACAAGACCACCCCCTGCCTTCCCGCTCTCGAGTAATTGCGGGATTACGGTACCGAGTCCGTAAGAAACGGGAGGAGTTGAAAGGCGAAGAAGAAGAAGACGGAGAAGAAAATACAATTGCCTCCATCTCTTCAGTTGGTCGTCTCGAGGCCAATTCGGTGGTAACAGCCACTTGTTCTATCAGCGCTTCAAATTGAATCTCCCCACCCCCGATGTTGCCCAGTCGCAGCGAAGCCGAAGGCAACAACCGGGACTTGCTCAGCATCCCCAATTCTCTGCATTTTGCCAGTTCATTTCCATCTGCATGTTACAACAATGCTCGCACAACCTTTGACATCAACAATATTCTCGGATTGGGCAATATTTCCGTTGGCATGCAGATGAGACCCAACGCCAACAACACCAGCGACGGGACGGACTCGGCTGCCCTCCAGCAGTCCTACCAGTTCATTCCAACCGGTCAAAACTACTCTCAGTCCTGTTTTTTGGAGCAAAACAATCTGATTGGAACGATGCCTCCAGTCACACACAATACCGTATTCCCTTTGGATATGAACACCAACAACTTTATACAATTTGATTATCAAAATGGAAATTGTGAAAGTAAGAATAACCTGGATTTCGTTTGCATAGATCAATCTTTCAGGCTTCAATAATTTAATTCTGGATGAGAGTTCTACGTCAAAAAATGTCAACCGAAGTAAGGATGACTGTCAATCCTCTGGATCTTCAGCTCCAACAGGAGGAATATCTAAGAGAAAGAAGCGGAGACATCGAACAATCTTCACACAATATCAATTAGATGAACTGGAGAAGGCGTTCAAAGTAGCTCACTACCCGGAAATGACAGCTCGAGAACTCCTGGCACAAAAAACGGAACTTCCAGAAGACAGGATTCAGGTAATCCCACCGAAACTCATAACATTCCTACCTCTAACACACATTATACATTGCCTCATTCTTAGGTGTGGTTTCAAAACCGACGAGCCAAATGGAGAAAGACGGAGAAAACCTGGGGAAAGAGCACGATAATGGCAGAATATGGACTATACGGAGCCATGGTGAGACATCAACTTCCGTTGCCAGAGACCATAGCCAAGAGCACTGAAGGCGATCCAGAGAAGTCTGCCGCTCCATGGCTATTAGGTAAGTGAAAGGAACCTTTCTCTAATTCTCATCAATAATGATAATTAAGATTCCTATTGCAGGAATGCATAAAAAGAATATTGAGACCAGAGGTCAATGGGATGCGGATGGATCAGAAGACGAGGAAGATGTTGAGGAAAATAAGGAAAAGAAATCACTCCACTTCGACCACTTGAAGGCCAAAGAAGAACTGAATCTGGCAAACATTCCCTTATCACTCCAATCCTATACAGTATCCAATTTTCCATACGGCCCATAAAACTTGATATTAAATATATTGACAGGACTTTCCAAGTAATTGGCTCAATCAGTCGCCCCGAGTCGTCCAAAAACAATTTCCTGCATTAACACGTCGAAGGGAAGGCAACTCGAGCCAATCAAGGGTTGCCGGAACTCGACCGTGGGTATGTCGACCCCTATCCGCCCGAGTTGCGTCATCGAATTTCGGCGCGGGAAAGGCTCGGCTTGACCTTTAATGTCATTAAGTGCTCGGATGTCCCCAATTCTCAAGTGGGGCTAGCAGGACTTTAAAGCGGCCAATGAGAAGTCGGCACTCCCTAATGGGCAATCAAAAGAAACAAACGAATTTCACTAATTAATTCAAATAAAACCGACTTGTTATGTTTACGGCGGCAATTAATTAGACTCACCTCGGCCAAAGCCCCGTCTTCCGGTCCTTCCAATCATCTGGTGATAGGCCACGTAGTTCAGGGACTTGTCGAAGTTGTCAGCAAGGATTATCAGGACTCGGGAAGCAGGCAGATTAACCCCAGTACTTAGTGTGGATGTGCATACAATAACGGCGATCTTTCTTTCGCGATATAAGGTCTCGATTTTCTTTCGAATTTCGTTTGGGACACCTAACAAGGGAATGGTTTGAACTGTCCGTGAGCTTTTAACCTGAGACCCAATTCTGAAAGAGCGCACAAAATTTAATTTGAATCCGTTTTCTATTTCTAATGAATGGTCTTGGGAGACGAGAAATATATTCTATAGCTATGTACAAAATTTTTTTTAAACTTACTCAAGTGTTACAGATTTTTTGAAAAATTTCAAGAAAACTTGACAATTTGGCAACATCGTGGGGGCTTCGATGATGCCAGATGTCAATCTACTGGTACGTTAAAGACGTTTTTCGACCATTCCAGAAGGTCTTCCAGGATTTTGCATATTTTTTCGGGTTTCCGGAAAAGAATGTTGCCAAATTTTCACCTTTTCTTAAAATTTTGCAAGAAAAGTTGAAAAGACAATTTTTGGATCCCTGCGTCAGCGTATAGTGAACCGCCTGCATATTTACAAAAAAGCCGTTTTTTAATCTTTTGGTTTAAAATGATTGTAGACATGTGTTTAACAAGTTCCCAAATTATGTTCTGTCCGGAAGGTATGAATTTGCATAAATTTGTCCCTTTTGGAATTTTAAGTCTCACGGCATCATAAAAAGAGGTAATGACCCGGAATTCTGGATACATACGTTTTTGGTGATTGAGCATTCAATGTTTTGAAAATCAATTTTCCAGGATTACTGTAACATAAGTATATTATAACCGGTCGATAAAAATCGACCGTCCCAAGACCATTCGGCAAATAAAAAACGGATTCTTACTAAATTTTACGTGCTCTTTCAGAATTTGTGGGTCTTATGTTGAAAGCTCACGGACAGTTCACACCATTCCCTTGTAAGAAGTCTTAATTGTTCAGTTTTCTAATTAATCTAACCTGAATGATGAAAGGCGACACCAGTCTTGATGTAAGTATCCATAAATCCACATCCCGACAATAGATTGCACTCTCCAACACGATCACCAAGTACTTTAAAAGTATCATTTTTCTTTTTTGAACACTTGTCGATGCACATGGCAATCAATTTTGCAGTTTTTTCAACTAGAGCTTTTGTCCGGCAGAATACTAACACCGATTTCCATTCTACAAGTGACTCCATCACCAAACTGAAACAACGTATTAAGTCACGAAAGAGCCCAAGCAAAGTAAAAGTAAAGAAACTTACTTCAAAACCCCTGTTTCATCTGACTTGAAGTTGAACATTGGTTGTTTTTCCACAAGTTCTATCTCTTCTTTTCTCTGGCTGTAATATTTGTTATTTACGATGTAATATTCATCCAAATCCCTTTTTTCGCAGATGCTGTAGTCTAATATTGTTGTGTTCAAAAGGCCTTCTAATGGTGTTGCGTCTTCTACCGTCGCGCTCATTGCTATTACTTGACAAACGGTTTCAGTACTATAACAAGCATAAAAATCTTTACGAAAAACTTACCTGATGGTGTTCATGAACTTTAATTTGATTAACAAATCTTCAATAAGGGTACCTCTGTCGTTGTCAAACGTCATATGGACTTCATCGATAACAATAGTGGCTATAAAAGCACTGACGATAAACAAATGGCTTACAGAACTGATCCAAGACTCGATCCTTGATCAGTCGACTAACAAGAGAGGTTCCCTTTTCGATAGTACATACCACGGCATCAAATTCTTCACGTAAAGAGAGGGAAGCAGCTCCGAAATGGGCCTTGACAATCAATCCCAAGGATCTCCATTGTCTCTAAAACAATGTCCATATTTGGTAAGACTTTTATTACCTGTAGAGAAAAGAACAATTCACTGGCAGATGCAATGTATGGTTCAATAAAGATACACCGCTTTCTGCTTAGCAACACGTTAACACAGGCGATTGTTTCCGCAACTAGACTCTTTCCACTCCCTGTTGGAGCGGAGAACAGAATATTTCGAAGGGTCGGATAGTAGAGTTCGTCCTGATATATAATTTCTTCTTGGAATTTCGCCAAGTTGTCTATCTTGTATGCGTCGCGGAGCTTTCTCAACACAGATTCTCGGACATTTGAACCCATCCAACTTATTGCTAGTAGACAACGTTGTTGTTGATACAATCCTAACGTGAGATATATACAGATAACGTGTTACGTTAACGTTAAGATCGATCTTGAAAAGTTTCAAAAATCATATTTCCGTTTCAGCGCAAAATGTACAAGTTGGCATTCCGCAACAATCTTCTCCAAATCGAAAAAGACAGTATTGCAGAACGCCAAAATGTTTCGCATTTATTGTTTTCGCTACGGGGTCTTATCGCATGATCAGTGCAGTTATCAAAACCAAAAGCTGCAAAAAGATATATACAAAACTTTGCTCATTGAGTCCTTGTTTCAGCATACTCAAAATTTTATCTTTTCTGGTCACAGCAAAAACTTTAGAATGGTTCAAGAAATCATGCTTTTATAAAAAAAATTGCAATATCGGGCGCAGCTTTCCACCGTCCCAACGAAAATTCGGATGAGGCGGACCGAACTTGTCAAAATTTGCTGTTTGTTTATAGCACACTCACTTTGGCAGTAGAAAACAACAAAAAATGCTTCGGCGTTCCCTCCAAACGGCTGTCCTTCTTCGTCGCGCTATGGCCTCTGGAAATTTTCGAGTTGAGCGAGATACCTTTGGGGAGCTGAATGTTCCTGCTGATAAGTACTATGGTGCTCAAACTGCTCGGTAGGTATTTTATACATATGTGAAATTATTTTACCTTCAGTTCCATGATGAATTTCAAGATTGGAGGGCCCGAAGAACGAATGCCTCTCCCTGTGATCCACGCTTTTGGATACCTGAAAAAAGCTGCTGCTATTGTAAACAAAGAGTTTGGGCTTGATCAGAAGGTCTCAGAAGCTATTACACAAGCCGCTGGTATGCTTTTCTTGTGGGATGTATGTAAAATGTTTTAGATGATGTGATCTCTGGCAAATTGGATGATCATTTTCCCCTTGTTATTTGGCAAACCGGCTCTGGCACTCAATCGAACATGAATGTAAACGAAGTCATTTCTAACAGAGCTATCGAGATTTTAGGTATGTTTTTACAGTTGAATCGAATGGTACTTCTTTAGGTGGTGAATTGGGATCAAAGACTCCTGTTCATCCAAATGACCATGTAAACAAGTCCCAGTCTTCCAACGACACTTATCCTACTGCTATGCATGTTGCAGTTGCTTTGGAAATCAACAGAAGACTTCTGCCAGCTTTGCAAAAGCTTCATAATGCCTTGGACGCCAAAGCGAAAGAGTTTGATCCGATTATTAAGATTGGAAGAACCCATACTCAGGATGCGACTCCGTTGACCCTTGGACAAGAGTTCAGCGCTTATGTTCAACAGGTATGTGTGAGGAATGTTCCATGTATTAAAAAATTTAGATCAAGAATGGCATTGCAAGAGTAGAGGGAACATTGCCACGACTCTACGAATTGGCGGCAGGTGGAACGGCCGTTGGAACAGGTCTCAACACCAGGATTGGATTTGCAGAAAAAGTTGCTTCCACTCTAAAAGATTTGACTGGAATTCCTTTCGTCACTGCTCCCAACAAATTTGAAGCATTGGCTGCCCACGATGCTTTAGTTGAAGTCCATGGAGCCTTGAATGTTGTCGCTGTTTCGTTGATGAAGATAGCAAATGACATCCGTTTCCTTGGATCTGGACCTCGTTGTGGTCTTGGCGAGCTTTCACTGCCCGAGAATGAGCCTGGAAGTTCTATTATGCCCGGAAAAGTGAACCCGACTCAATGCGAAGCCTTGACAATGATCGCCGCGCAAGTTTTCGGAAACCAGGCGAGTAGCGAGGTTTATTCATTTACATTGGGTCTTAATTTAGGTTGCCGTAACTGTTGGAGGATCTAACGGTCACTTTGAATTAAATGTTTTCAAGCCATTGATGGTTAGAAATGTTCTTCAATCCATTAGACTGATTGCCGATGGATCTGTTTCTTTCACCGACAACTGCGTCGTTGGCATCCAGGCGAACAAGGAGCATATTCACAAACTCCTTAACGAATCTTTGATGTTGGTCACTGCTCTGAATCCGCATATTGGATACGACAACGCTGCTAAGATTGCCAAGACAGCTCATAAAAATGGAACTACCCTCAAGGAAGAAGCCATTAAATTGGGGGTTTTATCTGCTGAAGATTTTGATAAATGGGTACGCCCTGAGGACATGTTGGCTCCCAAGTAACGAGTTGCAAAGATATGTCGTCATTAATCTAATGTAGGACATAATTTAGATGAAATAAAAATTTGATAATCATGTTTTGGTTATTTTCCGTTTTTGTTTTTATCGATGAATACTCATACGGAAATTGTGCTTGTAAAATTATTTCATTGACAGGATGACATCCTTGGCGAAAAACCTGGTACCATTGACGAAGCTGAAGCCAAGGCCGGTAATCACATGGGACAAAGCTGAGAGGATAAAGGTCTGTGAGGACATCTGGCAAGACCCAAAGTCGGTTGTCCACCGTTTACCCATGCATTACCAGAAGAGATACTGGGCCAACATATTAGCAGACGCAACACCGGTCCATTATGAACCCCCGCAGAATAGGTTTATGTGGGATACAGACAAGAAAGTGGAAGTCGAAGTTCAGGTTGGTTCTTTTTTTAAATATATTTTTGGAATTATTAAATCCTATTAATTTAGGAGTATCCCATTCGTCCTCTGAGGATACCGGAGATGGAAAATGGTTTGTGGGGTGGTGAAGGTGTCGTAAAAGGGTATGTAGAATCTCGTCCCTTTGTCAGGAAGAAGATCCTTCCACGGCATTGGATTCCGCATTGGTTTTTCCCGAACGTTTTTCACGGATGTTTGTATTCTGAGATTCTGAACAAGTACATGAAGATCACTGTTACAAGCCGAAGTCTTGGTCTCATTCACGAAGCATTCGGCCTTGATTATTACCTTTTGCGGACCCCTGAAATTGACGTCAATTCAAAATTAGGAATGAAGTTGAAACGTCTGATCCTGATTACCCTGGCGAAAGAAGATTATTGGCTGGATGATACAGAAAAGCACAATTACATCAAAGAGAAGTATAAGGAATTCAAAATACCGTTAGAAGAGGCAGAATGGGTGGGTCTAACATTAAATGAGGCTGCTCAGAAGCAACAAGACATTGAAGACAACACTGCTCAAATCCCCGAGAAATACAAATTCGAAGAGGAATTGAACCAAAAATTAAACGAGGGTGAAGATTTAGCAACAGAAGAAGCTGAATTTATCCCGAAGAAGTCGAAGTCTATGTTTGGAGAACGGCTGGTCGGAGAATACATGAAACCGATAGAGGATCGTGTTCGCCGTTATTAGAAGGTTACTTTTTTGTTGAAATAAAGTGTTCCGTTGGTTTGATGACGGAGAATTCTTACTTCCGACGAATTTGAAGAGTCCATTTATTCTATTAATATTGTTCAAGTGGTCGAAAGGTTGTTTTTTCATCGAGGAAGACGCTAATCCATCATCGGTGCGTAGGATGATTTTTTGCGACTGATGATTATAAACGTTCTCGATATTCGATACCATGTGCTTCTGGGGGGAGCTAATTTTTTCTGCAAAAAATTGGTTGATTTTGGCCGAGTTTTCTGTAAGAGTTTTGACCTTACAGCTAGTAATTCTAGAATTAAACGATGTCGTGGTTATGAATTCCGACGTGTCTAAATTCGAAAAACTTCTCTCAATCATCCTCTTTTATGTCTGCTATCAGCAACTGATTAGACCCGGCGCCTCTACAGATTTTTTTGGCCGCTTGGAAGATTGATAAGTTATAAGTCGAGGGCGGTCCTATCACTTTTAATACCACGACACTTCTGACATATAAGTCGTTTCGCAATTCTTAAGCAGATATAACCACTAACTCCGCGCGTCGCGAAGGTGCAGATCTGCGGCGAAAATTCGAGAAATGGCGCCTCGGGCCTTCGGAGTGAGCAGGCTGGGAAGGGAGAGGCCAGAAGAGGGCAGGACAGGCGGTTGAATGACTCTGAAGCAACCCCCTCCCCCCTTTCGCGGCCAATTCATTCTATAGAACTGGAGGAAGGCCGAGGAATTGTTTATGCAGGTCGCGATTGTATGTATGTCGAGTAACAATTGTCACTAGAAAGTTTTAAGAGAATTTTCAGAACACTAAATGAAAATGGGAACCACAGAATCTTTCGATGCACCTCAGAACATCTACAAAAGAGAGCCTGCCAAGAGGTTTGTTTTACTTGAGTTGTAAAAGAGTTCAATTACGAATAACTGTAAAATACAAATTGAGATTCGTTTCAGAGTGTTTGTGAACAGAAATCTGAGATTGGATAAGATAAAATTCTTTGGATTCGACATGGATTACACTCTTGCAGGTAAATTAAATTAACATTAGTTAATTAATTTAAAGAATACAAATCCCCGGCTCTCGAAGAAATGACCTTCGGGCTTGTGGTTCAACGTCTGATTGACATCGGATACCCCGAGGATTTCAAGAAGTTCAAGTACAACCCGATCTTCCCCGTCAGAGGTCTTTGGTTCGATTATCTTTATGGGAACCTCCTGAAGGTTGATGGATTTGGGAACATTCTGGCTGCCGTTCATGGATTCAGATTTCTGAAGCCGTAAGTTTTCGACTTTTTTTAGTTTATTAATGATTTTTGTGCTGTGGTGACATCAAAATAAAAACGCATCAGTTGGTTTATGAGAGCTATTTACGGTAAACAAGTTTCAAAAGTTGTTTTCTAATGATGCCCTTAAAGATTTTTGATGCCACATATGAATCCTTTCAGCGGAAAGTGCAAATCTGCAGAGCTAGAGAATGTTTTCGCAGAGTGTAATATTATTAAGTAATGTATTTGTACATTTAGGGGTGAAATGGATGAGTTTTATCCCAACAAATTCCTGCATCTTTCGGATCAACGGGTCTTTGTCTTGAACACCTTGTTCAATTTACCCGAAACATATCTCTTAGCTGCTCTGGTCGATTACTTTGACAACTCTCCACATTATCACATGACGTCGGACAAAACGGGTGTAAAGAGTGGAGAAGTTGTAATGTCATACAAATCTATCTTCCAGGACATCAGAGGTGCTGTAGACTGGGTGCATTTTGATGTAGGCAATATTTTTTTGTAATTACAGGGTGTCCCAAAAAAAATGCATGTTATTTTTATGGCTACATTTTATATACCAAACAAAATTTAGCCAAACGAACGATGGATATCAGTAACATAGAGGATTATTGATAACATATCAAGCCAGTTTCACAGTGGCTGCCCTTGGTGGCGATATAGAGCTTCAAACGTAACTTAAAATTTTGGGCTCGGGGCCGCAGCCTTTTTCGAGGAAATCGGTCCCGTTCTTGGCGCAACGATTACTTTGCCATTCCAAACTTTTGTGGTGTGTAGTACAGGCAATGGCCTCCAATTGAAAAAAAATATAGTCAATCGGATTCAGATCCGGCGAGCAGACGGCCATTTTGCGGACGGGGTGAAATCGGGAAAATCGTTCCCATTTCGGGCCCTGAGTCGATTTTGCCTTGTGAGCCGGAGCTGAGTCTAGCAAGGACGCCAAATTTGCATTGCCGAGGTTCTGCTGAGTCAACAGAAGTACGGGAAAATCAAAATTAACGCGGCGCTAAAGTTTTGCCCCCTTGATCCGAGAAAACCATGGAATTCTTGCCGCTGGGAGAAATTCCGCCTTAGGCGATGACGGCCCGGATTTTGACGGTTTTCGACGTTAGCCGACATGCCGAGGGCCTCATCTAAGAAGATCCAATTGCTCAGGTGGTTGTGCATCCGCCAAATATTGAACCACGAACGAATGCGCTCACGTCGGTGAGTTGCGGCCCAGCCCTTGAGTTTTCGACATTTTTCGCGCCGCACGCATTTGCCGTCTACTTTAAAGATCTGAGCTTTTTACAGCTTATACAGCGTGAGGCGTAGCTCATCATAGACTATTCGGGTGACCGATCGGTCGCTGATGCCGATCTCCAAGGCAATTTTTTCTTGAAAATAGCGTTTTGCTGTTGGTGTTCTCCCGGTTGACAGAACCGCTGGCGGTGCGTTTTCCTTTACGTCCTGGACGCTTACTATCGTTATCAAGCTCCTTACATCGCGTGATTACTTTTGACACAACGTCCTTTCTATACTGGGCAAATTTACAACTTGAACGGCTCAAAAATAGTGACAAAATCGCAGTTCCTTTGTTTCACATTTTAAAAAACCATGCTACTTAATCGATATGAACACAAAACTGAAATGACTAGGGCAGAAAAGCACGGAGATTTTAGCAGTACAAAAATCTTTTGGCCTGACCTAAACATTTTCGCGTCAGGGCCCATGGAAAAAAACATGCATTTTTTTTGGGACACCCTGTAGTTTATGATTGTACTATGTGATGATATAATTTTTAATTTTATTTTTTCAGAGTGATATGAAAGATATTATCTTGAAAAATCTCGATAAATACGTTGTAAAAGATGGGCGAGCCGTGGACTTGCTGACTCAATTGCGGGCAGCTGACCGAAAGACCTTCTTGTTGACCAACAGTGAATACTCATATACAAATGTAAGCGAAGGTAGCTGATTGTTACTTTCTTTGACAGGGTATTATGACATATCTTCTGGGTGATAAGTGGACATCTTACTTTGATATTACTGTAGTCAATGCTCGGAAACCCTTGTGGTTTGCTGAGGGTACCGTGTTCAGAGAAGTGAACAAAGAGACCGGCGCCCTAAATATCGGGATTCACACTGGACCTCTGAGACCAGGCGTTGTTTATTCTGGAGGTATGCTTTTTTTTCTCAATCTATCCGAGATTTACGAGGTTTACTATGTTATTTTAGGTTCTTGTGATGCATTCAGACGTCTTGTTAAATGCCGTGGAAAGGATGTGTTGTATATTGGAGACCATATTTTTGGAGATGTCTTGAGGTCAAAGAAGACTCGTGGATGGAAAACTTTCTTGGTGGTACCGGAACTCACTCGAGAACTGACTGTTTGGACCGGCAAAAGGAGTTTGTTCGAGAGATTGGGAGAATTGGAGGTTTCTTTGGCCAATTTATACAAAGATCTTGATAGTAAAACGAAAGAAAAACCCGAAATAAGCGATATTATTGGAAGTATCAGAGTGAGTTAGTCATCCTAATCACAGAACTGCTTATTTAGAGTGTAACATACGAAATGGATCAAGAGTATGGCATTATCGGATCGTTGTTCAGAAGTGGGTCTAGAACAACATTCTTTGCCTCCCAAGTCGAGAGATATGCAGACATCTACGCATCTAGTTGTTACAATCTTGTCCATTATCCTACCTTTTACTTCTTCAGAGCTCCCATGAATCTGATGAGTCATGAGAGGACAGTCGATCATTACTCAACGATGCCAGGAAAGGATGATCCCGAGAACATTGGACAAAGAGGTGGGTGATTTTAATTTGGACTTTGATTTATGTCCATTAAAATGAATATGGAGCTAGTTCAGCCTGAATGACATGCTGTTCTTATCTTATATTCTAATTATAGTGCGAGGCTGGAGTCAGCTGTCCAAATCAGGGACTTTCTGTTACGAGGAAGAGGAAGAAGAGACTTCCTCCAACTCCGAGAATGATTCCGCACATGATCATAGTGGCAGTCAATCGCATCGGAGCGATAAGAAGGAGAGTCAAGCCGATCTGACGGCGGTTCTCAACAACCGTGATGTTCTCGTTCCAACTGAAGGGCATATCGACGACGAAGAATCTTAACCTCCTTCCAACAGTGCCTTCAATTCTCGCATTACTTGAAAACGGCTCTCAGGTGACCTTACTCTTACTTTATTTTGACTGTAAATCCCGTCCTTTCCATAGAGAGATACTGTGTATTTGATCACTTATTTCCCTCAAGGTGATTGTAAAAACGGATAATAAAGCTATAATGTACTCTTCGCCTCGTTTATGACGGCCTTGATCGTTTCTTTATTTCAAACCCGTTTAAATACATTTTAAAGCTCCGCCTAACAAAAAATATTTTTCCAAAACTAAAAGTTATTAGTGCCAGAGATCAGCCAATTCGTATGCAACACATCCTTCCCAGTATTTTTCAAGCAATTTGGTTTAACAAGATCGTGAAATTTTTACTTTTCTGAACGCTGAGAAGCTTGGCTCCGAATTTCGGCTCGGGAGCCGGAGCCGCACCCAAAATTTCCGGCTTTGGCTCCCGGCTCGGAACCGGAGCCGCTCAGAGCCGGAGCCAAGAGCCGGCTCCGGAGCCGTGGCAATCTCTGGTGGTTATATAGTAAGGTAATCAAAAAAAAAAAAAAAAAAAAATTAAATAAAAAAAATAATAAAAAATATGTTGCGAGGCTTCCGAAAATGACATCCATTTTTTCCGTAGTGGACGTTTTTGTCCCCACCCCGGTTTTGTCCCCAAGACGGTTTTGTCCCCAGGCCGTTTTTGTCCCCACCTTTTTCGAGCCTTTTTGTCCCGAGACCGGTTCTGTCCCCAGGACGGTTTTGTCCCCAAGCTGGATAGTACAATCAAAAATTATGCATTCAGATGTTAATGCTGTTGGATTGGTACACAGTACTGCTCAAACAACATGTTCTTAGCGCTTGGTACTGTATAGTACGAGGTGATACTGTATAGCACGAATTTGTTTTTGCACAAAATGAACTTTTGATCAGTATTGCGTTACAGCTTAATTTTTACCTCGTGCTATATAGTACCATCTCGTAATATAGAGTACCAAGCGCTAAGAACATGTTGTTTGAGCAGTACTGTGTACCAAACCAACAGCATTAACATCTGAATGCATAATTTTTGATTGTACTATCTAGTGTAAAATGCCTCAAAATAGGTGATAAGCTAACCTAGGACCATCTTATTATTTCTTTCAATAAACCTTCCCATGTATACAACGACGAACCGACACGACCCGTAGTATCGTTGACCAGAACTGTCGCTGACTTGAAAACTCGTAGCCCAAGTTTTGATGGTTTATTAGTCAACGGGTGAAGTTTCTTTTAGCGGGTTTAAAAGTGCCAAACTTTACATTACCCTGTTTTATGTCCGAATTGGTATGTAACTGCCAGTATAACATTGCTTAGATGTAATTTTTTATTTTTGCTCTTAACGGCAATGTTCTGCATGTGCGGTTGACCCCCTTTGGTTTAATCTGAGACACCAACTACATTAATTTCTGGACCAACTTAAGATTTGTAATATTAAAAGTTTTAACTTCAACGCCCTTTTTATCGTATATTTTGCTTTTGTGAATCATCGCCGATTTCTTGCCTTCTGACGCCCATAAATAAGGGTTCTCGGATGTCAACCGGCTGTGAATGTATTAGCTAAAGAAAGCGAAAGTCGAGATTCCGGATGGAAAAGCCAGTTTACCCCTCCCCTCCCACATAAGAAAGGAACTTTTACTTTCATCAAGTCTGACCTAATTATAAGAAGATAGTAATGTAATTTATTCCTTTTGAACAACATTTCAAGACACAAGTATGGCATCGGTTGGTGTACAAATCTGAGGCGAAAACGATTATTAAGGACAAGAAATGGCAATAAATTAATATTAAACAGTGTCTGAGGGAACCCATAATCCGAACAACAAGAAGATGCCCTCCTTTAACACAGAGGCTTTGCATTTTCGACATTCTGATCGTTGGCATCAACCACTTGCACATCATCCAAGGCACACGCCCCTTGGTTGGTTCGTGTATTCTCGCAGAAGAACAGAACCTGAAGCATGATTATGTAAAGTGAAACTGTAAAGACATAATTTTTATAAATATAAAGAGATCCTTACTTGTTTGGTGCCTCGACTACAAACAAAGTCACCAGATTTCCATTCTCGATCTCCTACTGTAACAAATCTATCGGTGTTGAAGGGGCACTTGTCAATCGAATCACAACATCCCTTCAGCTGAACTCCATGAGTTCCTTCGTAGTATTTGAATTTAATTCTACTACTCTCATCAATGGCTCCCACATCAGAAGCCAAGACCGCCTTCTCTTTGGGATACAAGAAACTGGCGGCGTAATAATCCCCTTCTGCAAGGTGAAAGTTGTAACATTATCCAGATAAAGGGAATAAAAATGTTCCCAAACTGGCAATAGTTTATTTACCTGGATTATCCTTAATACCAGTTACACGGTTCATGAACTGTCCTTTCACCACCTGGAACTTTGTTGAAAGACCATTCAGACTTTCACTGGAATGTTTGTCTACATACGAACAGATGGTGCCATCTTCGAAGTTACACTTGGTCTTTCTGCATGATTCCCCATCGAAAATCACAGGTCCATCAGTCTGAAGGGGAGTTCCCAGAGCCTTGGCTGCAGTGTTTCCATTCGAAAGGGAACTTGTTCTGACTGCTAAAAGTACAATTTAATTGGGAACCGATTAACAAAACAGCAGGAAGCAAGAGGTATGATCCACTTACAGTTGATGCTGATCTGGTCTCCAGTAGCGGTGTCAATGTTGGTCACGGATCCCCGGGAAACGGAGACGGCGGATGATCCCGAAGCCGCGCCAATTGCTGAAAGTTCGGCGTCGGATGAGCCGTCGACGTTAACGAAACCTTGGGAACTGCGTCGATCTGCCTGGAATCCATTTCGGGAAGAAGATTGACGGCTCTGAGTAGACTCTGAACTCTGCGACGACTGTTGAGGGGGAAGGGGACATTCAGATGGATCACTCTCATAGTCAATCTCAATGTCATCCAGAATGGCCAGAGATCCCTCTCTGTCCACAAAATTACTGGCCACGAACACAATCTGAACGGTGGGAAAGAAGTATTACTGAACAAACAGTGTGATGTATTAGCTTAGTAAACGCAAAGGCGAAACGCCTTGCGTAAACACTAAAAATAGAACTTACGTCGACCAAAGACGCCTTGGGCAATACCAACTCAGTTCTTTTCAAATTAGCATCCGAAGGGAACTCTTGGCAATTGAGGAGGGGATTGTAATCGACAGAATTGGGGAAACTCTCACGTTGGCACACTTGCAAGAGGACGTTGTGTGATTGGAAATGGGTGGCTCTGACCTTGATTGGTGAGCTGGCACAAGCAATAGCACAAGATACGAACTGCGCCTCATCGGATGGAGCAGCAGAAACAGCATGAGCCAGGAGATAGCGACCTTGCATGGTCATGTTTTGACGAGCAACAACGTCGGGGGTACCCGCGGCATGTTGCCAATCAATCTGGTCATCAGGAGTCGGGGCGTTCGCCCAACAACATGGTCGGCCTTCAAAGTCACAACTCAATGCCTCATCTTTATTAACCGGACCTCCACCGGCCGAATTGTATCCATTGGAGCTAAATTCGGTTAAGGAAACCCGTTGCCCTAAGGCTGGCCCTTCGCTTTCTGCCAGATGCGAACTGGCAATTGGCTCGGCTGGGGCAACATTCTCAGCAGCAGCAGCTCGGGGTAGACCAGCTCCAGCAGCCGCGACTTGCTGTTGGAATTGGGCCTGGCCTTGAGCCAATGGGGCGATGAATTGACGTTGGGCTTGGGCTGCAGCCCCTGAGTAATCTGGAGTAGCGGAGAACTGACGGGGAGCCGAACTAATACAGCCTGAGGCCGTTCCGACCAGCAATAGAAGTGTGATCGCCTTCATTGCCGGAGGGCAAAGTCGGCTAAAAATATAAAAATTAAGCTCACGGATAAAAACCCAGTCGTCCTTGAACACGAAAAGCGAAATCCGAATAATTAAATTAAAAACAAAGCAATTAGTTGCGCATTACCTTGGCAGTTCGAGCAGGGTAAGAAACGCCGGCAGAAAAATTGAGTGTATCTCGCTTAAGTGTGTTCTACGCCTGTAGCGATGGAGTAAGTTCTGGGCGCCGTCCGACTTAAAGAGATACCCCTCCCTCTTACGGAAACTCTGCTCCAAGGCGAAATCCATTAAAAAAGATGCCGAGCACGGCGGAAACCGCATTGTTTGCTCATTTGTTATGCCCGGACTGATAACTGACGGACTACCCGGTTTTAGCCTTTAATCCCATCAACACCTTCACTTTTACCACCAGCAAACAAGCACTCAATTGATCTCGAGAAGGGCATTTAAAAAGAAATCCCGCGCCTTCGGGATAGAATGACCTTTCCTGGATGACGGGACCAGTTCGCTCCACTTATCAGAATTCCGTCATTCACGCCGCCCCGAATGACCCTCAACGAAAATAAAACTTTACTCAAGACGCGACGAAAGGGAAATCCCTGAGGGCACAACAATGAGGTTACGACACCCCCGGGATACCTTACACCGCCGAAGGGAAGTTTTGCCGTGATCGAAGCGCCTTTTCTTTTCTCGGAAATGCCTCCGGCGCCTTCCTTTCCGATTCAACGTTGCTCCAGCTGAAGTTGGTTCCGAGCTTCGAACGGCGTCGCGCCGACTCTCAATTTTCGTAATAAATCCGTATATAAACCGTGGAGACCAAACAAACGCCGGGATCTGAACGGACTTGACAGTTGAAGTCTCACCTTGAAAGATTTCTAGCTTCGGATTGACTTCAGAATCTTTCTTACACAGCCCCCCTTACCAACACGCCCACTCCCATTCTTATCAGTAAGCGACGATAAGACCGGTCGTACTTGTTCCCGCGCGGCTGGAATCGCCCTGATCATGAGATGAATAATGCCTCAGGCTTCCGGACATCTTCAGATTAACCGGTCTATCGGAACGGCGAAAACATTTTACATTTATATACCATTTATTTAATGTCATGTCGCCAGAAAAGGAGGCTTTTCACGCATCTCGGAGCCCGGACTCGTGGGTTCTTGCGTAACGTCAGCAAAAGATCGTATCGATCCACATCTTTCCGAATATCCTTGGACAAAAAGAAGAACAGAATCTCGACTCCAGCCATCAATGTGAAACTGGTGTAAAGAGAGAGGGTACCGCCTATCTCGCCTGCAAATATCAATTCTTACATTAATGTAGCAAAATTGTATTTTTTGTAAATGTGGGAGCATCTCCATACAATGAAAATTAATTTAAACTACAATTGATGCATACTATAATATAAATATTAATTAATTAAGAGTTTCGGATTTGTAATCTCATTAATAACACTCGAAATGTTCGGCCAAAGAAAGAAGCTCCGCCCCGAAATGTTTAAAAAGTGAAAACAAAATGCTATAAGCGGGATGTATACCTTGTTTTAATGTAGGCCAGATAATACAGAAAGTAATTATTGTTTACCTTTAAGGGAAATGTTTGTAAAAACGGGGTGGTTAAATAATTTTGATTACCAAAAATAAAGTGCCATTCAGTGGACCGGTTACCGGCACGACTGTCACATGTTCTAAAGAATGGAATTAAAGTTTGACTTAATCCCGTCATCCAGAACCAGTCAAAGGTCCAGAAATACCTGGCCAATTGGCTGTCGTGTTTCGTGACCTCCTCGTTTAATATAGCACATTGACGTGTTTCTATTGTGGGTTCTACATTAGCAGTGACTTTCAGCCATTGCCGGTTTAGAGTATTACTCCTCAGGGCCCTGGAGGGTCGGCCTTCTCGTAACACTGATCATGTTGAACCTCATATTAGTAAATCCTTTGCAACACCCTCAACCGAAGCATCGACAACGACGATCAGGACCCCTAATCAGAAGATGTGGCAACGTTTTATTGGGTCACATTTCAAAGATTTGCGAGAATTGTGTTAAGGGCCAAACCCGTTCTGGTAAGACCAAAGAATTAATCCCTTATAATTAATCCCTTTTGCAGCCAGAGCCCTGAAAAGAGTTATCACCGACAAGATAACCGATGCCTGTTGTCGCCAACGATGTTCGGACGATGAACTTCGAGAGCGAGTTTGTTGCTAAGAATTCTGCCTTCCCTTCAGCTCCGTACAAAACCCCTGTTCTTTCCGTCTGTCAATTGTACACACTGTTTTTTCTGTTTATTTGTTGAATAAACTTACTCAATATCTGCCAACCTTGCCGCGAGGATACGGTATGTCTTCTCTGGTAGACATTACGTGCAGTTATGTCACATTGGCTCTCATTTCCTGTCCTAAAGACAAACAAGTTACCTAATGTTTTTGAAAACATTCATGTTTTGAGCAAAAATCAAACCAAAACATTTAAAAAGACCGCAAAATACTTTACTGACTGTAGTAAGTATACTTACCCCTGACTGCTGATCGAATAAGTAGTGTAACCAACAATTAATGATGACATCGCCCTAGTGTGACATTCGTTTACCGCTGGAAGTATCACTCTACTTTACATCTCGAATGAACTTTGGAAATATGCCAACCTTTAAAGATTCAAATTAAACGAACCTCTAGCGGCCAGCCCGAGGGTGCAGGGATTTTTTTCGTAAATTTCATCGTCTCCATTCGAGCTGAAACAATTTTAATTCTATGCCCTGACAATAAAGGATGGCTCATCTCCAAAATTACCCTGAATACAATCGAGTCCCGTTACAATTTGTGGAATTGGCCAAGAAATTGTACTTGTTCCACACGCAGAAGTTGTTTCTCCATTGTCGATCCGCATCCTCTTCCTGAGATAAAAATAGATGATATTTTTCCATCTTACTCCAGTAATCCCAGCTACTTCATAGGCCGTTCGTTTGCCTGGTTTAAGTGTAAAGGATGGTGTTCTGAATACCGGTAATCTTACAGTATTCAATGTGTCCGTTGAGTAGAAAATGTAAACCTTCAACAAACTCAGACTTGTTCAAGCGCTTACTTTGGATAGTTTCAAAGTGTCTTGAACGGACAATGACAATCGATAATATTCAACCTTTTCTGGAACGGTCTCTCATTATTTGGAAGTAACAGACCGCGTTACCTGGGACCTGCAACGCCCGAGTTATTGCCCCGATTACTTTTACGCAGTATCCGGTGGGAGTCCAAATACATGAAAATTGGCATTGGAATTGATTTCTATCTAGAATCACATTACACCTGGTCGATTACAACTACTATTTAACCTTACTGACTGACTAAAGCGAAGTTTGCAGCCCCGTTACAATCTCGAACGCTGGGAAAAGGAAACCCTCTAAAACATGTGCGGATTTCGATTAATTTGTTTGATTACCTTATAAGTTCGGAACAAAGCAGAATTGTGAACGGTTTAAAATGTTGGACATTAATCCGATAACTGACAGTCGTACTTCTGTTACGGGTCCATAGATAAAACAACTGAAGATACATCCCATATACAGCCAGGACGAACATGAATCCCGTAAAGACCCTTAGGCAAAATAAACAAACTTTATTGCAAAAAATAAATACCTTATTATAAGTTTGTGATTTGAACTCAGAAATCTGATACAAGCGATGGAAGCAAAAGTACAGAAGCGATTCCAAAATTGGGATAGCTTCTTTACAAGATATATGGATATTAGACCTTCGGAATGACTAGAAATCATCAAAAAGTGAAAACAATGGGTTCCCTACAGCATGCTGAACATAATAATAGGATAAAAGAAAAGAGAAGGTGGAATGCAATGTCTTATGGATATACGAAATATTCCCTCAGTTTGAGTAAAAAGAAAGTAAAAATCGGCAAAACAATATTGTCCCCCTTGTCTAGAGCGGCTTCCAGGATAGTGGAAAGAGAGTAGATAACAACGACGACAAGACCCATCTCACTCAACCCAAACAACGCTATGTGGGCCACAATCTGCCCGAAGAGCATCGCGGCTGATCCTTCAACCGTCTTCCTCAGCTTTACTCCCCATCGAATTCTGCCAAAATTGCTTCCAATCAGAGCAGCACAAGCGTCTCCCACACCCACTGTTATCACACCACTGTAATATGAGGGTCGTAGGGCATTCGAAGGCTCGCATAACATAAAGTCCAGTAGACTTGGGGCAAAAACACCTCCAATTAGGTGAATGGGGGTCAAAACAAGATTTCTGTTGTCTTGCCCATCCAGAAAAGGCAGCATGTTTGCATCCAAAGTATGACACCAAGGTTGCACCCGATGGACTCTCAAGATCTGAAACTTGTCGGCAATTCATTGCACATCTTACCTCCAGAATAATAAAGAATACAATCACAATATGACCACAAAGTACAGTAAAGGGAGGATCATAAAGGAACCCAGAAATGGCGACGGCAGATACTGTAACGTGAAAAAACTTTCGATGCGAAGTCGTCACTTGGTTCACAAAATATGCAGTCCTCACACAGAATGCAACTGAAGCGAACACATTGATCAACCAGAAGAGCAGAAGACATCTTCTGCAATCACATTTGGTATTTCAAGTTTTTTTATTTACCGCGTGACTGAGCCATCATAAACCCGACCGAGTAAAGCAACAGGAAGATGGATTGGGTTGATCTCCAATTTCCAGGCAAAGACAACCAAGGCCACAAAAACATAAAACGCGAGGACAATATTGTGGGTCCAAGGATTGAGTTGTTTGAGGGCCTTACATGAATATCCAAAGGCGAGACTCACTCCATACCCGAGTAGTATTATTGTGACGTCAAACCTGTTGTAAGGCTCTGCCCAGTCAAACATTCTAAGTTAAATACATTTTAAAAACCAAATTTTATAGCCAAAATATGAATTTCGTCCGAACAGATACCAATTAACAACGCACTCATGTCGATTCTTTATATCACAGATCATGTTAAGTTTGTTTACAAGCCTTTGAATAATTTAAGCAGTTGATATGTTGCAGTAGAATGATTGCATTAGCTCTGGCACATTAAATTTAGACAAGTTGCTCCAATTAATTCGCAGGGCTAAAAAATGTGTTAAAAATATTACAGTATTTGCCAGAAGAAAGATACGCTGACTTTACACCGGTTTAAGCGAACCTTGGCCCAGCTATGCCATATTCTAAGACTGTGGCAAAGTATTCACTTAACCAGGGGGTCAGCACTAGAGTGGTGCGACTAATCACGAGGAATATACGCCGAGAAAGAGCTCGAACATAAGGTGAATATCTAAAGATAGAGATGGCAATGACCTGAAGCAATGAGCCGCCGATCGGCCGGGTGTCAGGGAACAGACTGAAAGTTTTCGAGAAGACAAGAGGATGCCATCGATCCTCCTCGAGAAAGGCGGGGCCAGAGACTGACCAGATAGATCCATCCGAGAGTTAGCCCGAAGAAAGTAAGTAACAGGCGTGCCGGATTAGAGCTGATCACAAAGAGAGGCGCGGGGAGGGAGCGCATCTGTCCAGGGAGTGCATCATCTGGCCACCATTCCCTCACCCCCGAACAGATGACGTCTCCGGAATGTGAACACCATCCTTCGCCCCTCTCTTTGATGTAATCCACTTTACACCAGTTCGAGATGACCCCTGATATTAAAACAAATCGGTTCGGCCCTCACCTTTCCTCCGTTTGTTCGGACTCTGCTGTCTTTAGGTCCTCCAACTTCTTTTGCAACTCACCAATATTACTGTAACAATGATAGATCAGGAATCAATTCATTGACGAATATCTGTAGATTAAGCTTACCTCGTACGAACAACGGCCTGTTGTATATTCTGACTGATGTCCATCATGTCATTCAGTCTAAGACCACACTCCTTCATCCTCTGTCTGCGAGTTTTTATGGATTCAATGTGCTTCTGAATCTTCTCATTCATTGCTTTCTCTTCCTCCGAGCGAGGTTCCGGCAAGAACTTTGGAATCTCAGGGACTCGTTCACTACAGTCAGAGGGGAGTATCTCTTCAGCCAGGGGTTCATCACTTCGTTTGGCCAACCCTCGTTTCAGGAATTCTTTCTTCAGACGATCCCGAACTTGTTCAGCCCTTGCCAACGCCTCTTTTTCGGCCAATACTGAATAATATCCTTAACTTGTATTACTCAAAACCTACCTCTTTCTTTTGCAGCCATGGTTTTGTCTAACTCCGCCTCTTTCACATTGTTTAAGTGATCGATAACTTGTTTCTACAATTACTTTATATGATTGCAATCAAAAAAACTACCTGTTCCAACTTTTCCCTCAATTTATTCATCAATTCTTCGTTTCGATCATAAGCTGCGCGGGCGCTCTCTTCCACTTCATCGATCTCTTTCAAGAACTCGTCCAGAAGCTTCTGTTCTTCCTCAGTTCTCACAGGTTGCAAAACTGTTTCTTCTGCTTCCCTTTCTTTTTCTACTCGAGTCTTCTCCGCCTTATATTCAACAAAATGTTGTTGGATGATATCCTTAAGAACTGTCAGATATTCATCTTCCTGAATCTTCAATTTATCATAGGCTTCCACCAACTGGCCGATCAATGTTTTATCGATCTCCTAAAATAACTATGATCTTTATGATTGGGACCCACCTCTCCTCTTTGCTCCGCTTCCTTTAGAGATCCAAGCATGGCCAACAACTTTGTTTTTCCAACTCTAATCGACTTTAAATTGGCCACTACTCCCTCCCGTTTTGTCTGCTGTAATGAGAATTATAAAATTTAGAATCCGTTATAAAATAACTCACAGTTTCTGATATGGTAGACATTGCTGAGATGTTGATCAAAACTAAAACAGAGAGTAAAACGTAAATCAAGCCAAAAAAATATTATTATGATATTCAACAAAGGTCAATTAAAAACTTCATAAGCCCATTAATTTATTTTTTGGAGATCAGAAAAAAAATAACCGAGTGGATATTGAGCTGAAAATTATATTTCTTTCGTAAGATCTTTTGTGGTAGAGTAATACTTGATGTTCAGAGCATGCACAATCCTCAAGGCCGTCAGATGCTGACACTATAATTCAGGGTATTAGAACATCTCTCACAAATCATACCAGATATGCCTTGGACTCCGTCATCACTAAAACAAAGATAACAAAGCAGATAAAACGTACCGATCTCTCTGAAGAAATAGCAGTTACAATGTCCAGCATTCATACGAATCTTATTCACCGGATGCCAGCTAGTTTCGTTTCCCACTTTGAAGAACGAAGGCCTTCGACCTCCTTCATCATGGAAGACGGCAATTCTTTTACCATCAATGATTTTTAGAGCATTCCTTACTGTTCGTTTCCCCAAAACCTTGGTCCACCTGTAACAAATTTCAATATGAACGTAAATTTACCTGTAAATTCTTTTGATTTTAGATTTCATAGCCATCCGGTCATCCACATCATCAACACAAGACTTCATATATTCGTCAATATATTTTGGAAGGTTCGATTCAATGACCATTGCTTTACCCCCCTCCATCTTCGATCAATAAAAGGTTCTCCGAAATGAATAAACAAAAAATCAAGACAAAAAGAAATACGACAGAACGATGACGGATTTTTCCTAAAAAAATACTCAAGGCAAATAATTATAGTACCCAGCAGATGGTTCTTACACCGTTCGAGGCTTTCATTTTAGAAAATTACAATATAAAAAAAATATTTTGACCAAAAATTTTGGTCCAAAATATACGAGAAAAGGCGTCACGGTTACGGATTTTGTGGAAATAAATTCTTGAAAAAAAAATTTCTCCGAAAAGTTTTTGTAGAACAAGCCTGTGTTACTAAACTTAGTAGATCTAGATATATTATTGGCGGAAATGGAGAGCATAAAGTGATTCTAGATGCTGACGTTTGTGTGAGTTGCGAGAAATATGCCTCCAAGCTCAAAGATGGTTATTCTCCTTGCTATACTTGGTATTATTATCAGCTACTGGCCCTTCCTCCTTTTTGTCTCATTTATTTTGATTGCGGCAATTTTAGGGTGAGTCGTATTAGTCATATTATCGTTTTTAGGGGGTTACTGTGCCTTTGGTACCTTGGAGAGAAATGGAGGGACGAAGATAAGACTAACAATATCATTGAGTCTTCGAAATTCCGGCCTCATTTGCATGAACTTATCCAAGAGAGGCAGCCTTATTTGAGCGATCGGCTTGACTATTTTGTGGTCACCGGACTTCCTCAAATTGATGATCTTATACATCAGGTATCTGTGTCTTTCAATTTGTGTTACTTTTTAGATTATTGACAATTTGATTCGGACTTACATTTTTCCGTGGTATTCCCAGTTATCTAGGAATCGCAGTTTTCCAAATAGCTTAAAAAGATGTGCTTGTAGAACATTGACAACATTGAGCAAAAGGTAATTTTTTGTCTTAAGATTTATTATTTCCTAGGCTTAAACGGGTGGATTGGACTGTATTGTTGACAAGACATGTGGTCGATGATGTTGCGTCTCATTTTCGGTTGTTCCGATTGTCAAATGAACGACGGATGGAGCAAGATCGTCTTGTCAAGGAAGGACTTCTTAAGAAGTCTGAAGATCTGGAGTCCATCTTCTTTGATATGGAGCTTGAAATGGAAATGATGTATTGTCGAGATCTTATTTCAACCTCCACTGCCTATGAAAGTGGTAAGTAACTCTTACACTTTCCTTATTTTATGATTTAGCTTGCTTACACGACCTCACGGATATCTTGCTCTTCTTGCTCATGCCTTCCGAGGAGTTTCGATCGAGACCTTTAAGGTTTTTAATCAGAGAAATCCTTATCGGGCGCGTGCTTATTCCTTTGCTCAACAAAGTCTGTGATTCCGACTTTATCAACCATTGCATCATAGTTTTGGTAAGTATCTTTTATTAGATATTTATTATTGTTTTAGTTGAGTGATGTCAAATTAACCGCCGACGATTTCTTAATGATAATGCACAGATGTCGGTCAATTCAAGATCTTGAAGTAATTCTGGAAGCTGCATATGGAGAACGATCAGTTTTATGTTCCCGAGATAATTCTGCCAACATTGATGATGCTAAGAAAGAAATACAAGCGCTAACTGCTCTTATCGAGCTGATAAAAAGGAGAATGAAGCGGTTAGAAAATTCCCCCATGAAGACTGAAGCTCATACAGTCTTCCGGAAGAAGTCTACCGAATCTGATAGGGTCATTCTTCCGATTACTTTGGTTTTGACAAACAATGTAGCCGTTACGTATTTTTCGGATTATTTGGCGGAAATTGGATATCAGCATTACCTTGACTGTTATCTTGCAATTGAAGGTTTCAAATCCAGCGTAGCCCATCAATTAAGAGCGATGGCCGGAGGCGTTACTTCTGATCCTGATTTTCAAGAAACAATGAAAGAAGCTTCACTATTTTTGTATAACCAATACCTCTCGGACACTGTAAGATTGTTCATTATTAGTGATTTACCGTTTTAGGCTCCGAGAAGAATTCCACTGGAAGAAAGTTTGGTTAATACTTTTCTGGTCAGAATGCGGAACGATGAGCCGTCTGATAGTTGGTTTGATCATATTCAATCTGAGGTGAAGTTTATTTACTTGTTTTACGGTCTAGTTTAAGATTGTGAGCGTTTTGTCATCTGAGAGGGCGTTTTATAATGATTTTACTCAATCTTCGTTCTACGAAAAAATGTTATGCGATCTGGAAATAACGGACCTGGATGAAGTCAGTGGAAAATCACTCAATGAGGAAGTTTTTCTCACCCGCGACTGTAAACTGACAGTAGAAGTTGGGATGTTAGGAGTTGGCAGACAAAACAAGGGACCCGGTGCTCAATTTTATGCAGTTTACAGTGTAATAGTTAGAAGAATCGATAAAACGGGAGAAACTATATCATCCTGGAATGTAATCAGACGTTACTCGGACTTTTACAATTTCAATTCGGATATTCAAAAGAAGGTACCGTGCAATATTTCAAATTTATGGTTTTGTTTGAGTATCCAACTTTGAAACGAATTGAATTTCCGGCCAAAAAGACGTTTAATAATCTGAAGCAAAATTTTCTGGAGAAGAGATGTAAGGACCTCAATAAATATATGGAAGTAAGTCCATCTCAGTTATTAATGCTCGTTTTTCTTTTTACGGTTTCACCTTGATTATTTTTTTAGCAATTAACAAATACTTCGCTCCTCAATTCGACTCCTGGACTTTATGATGACTTATTGGACTTTTTAAATCAGAAAAAATACATAGGAATAAGTCAAAAGTTCTCTAAGAAGATTGCTTTGGCCATGGTAACACCAATTATCGACAAAGTAAAGGCTATTAAAACAGTGGTAACAAATGTTCCCGATCATGTCACAAAAATGGGCAACGAGATCAACAAAGCCGCATCCAACATTATGAAGGTAATTATTTTTAGTTTTCAGCCTTGTTATAAATCCTGTACTTGTTAGAGTGTCCCATAAGTTTTGCTGCTTTTCGGGGTTGATATTTGAAGTCTCATTACAGTATCTTAAACGACTGCAATCCTTATTTTTTGATACTGATAAAGCCGCCATCCCTTATACTAGTCGCGCCATGAAGTCCTAAGATCGAAGGTTCCACAAACCCCGTAATGCACTTCAGGATTCACACAATCTGATGACTCAAAAATCAGCAAGACTTATGGGACAACACACTAATACTTATTTTTTCCTAGAATAACACAACCTTGAAACATACAGAAATGGACTTCCAAAGAGTTGCTTCTTCGTTGGATCTGGAGGTCAGTGCTTTAGTTGTCGTATAAATTAGTTTTTAGGGTGACGATGAGAGTATTCCCCTTAGGGTTCTGTTGCTTTTTGTTAACGAACTGTTTGGTGTTGATGGCCGAAACCAATGGTTTAAGAGTCGAGTGATCGCTGCTGTCCGTCATTTCCTTCATGCCGCCTTTGGAACATCTCTAAATAAGTTGATTATCGACTTTGTTAAAGATAAATCATCAGAATTAAGCGTGGCCAAGTACTTAACATTGTTAAGGTAGGAGAATGTTGTTTCTGTTTTACGTATTGTTTTAGGAATAGCCTTAAAATAAAACGAGTGAAACCAAGGCAAAACGGTGCCAAAACCCGCATCTTATCCCAGACATTGATGTATGCAGCCATTCCACCGGAACTGAAATTTGTTTTTGGGACAACATCCTCGTTGAACGCGGTGGCCAATTTCAGTGAAATGATACATCAGAAGGCTTTAAATCGACGCTTATGCTACGTTCTGATAGAGAGGCTCTTGCTCACCCTATTCCCCGAGGGCAATTTCCCTCAGCTTTTATCCAAATTGCACTCCAAAAGTCCAAGATTTATAGATATTTAGGTAGTATTTTGTATAACATTTTTTATGCTTTTGTCATATTTTCTTCCCTTTATACCTTTAGCCACTGGATCCTGTCCCGCACTGTAATTCCTAGAAATATCATTCGATCTCTCACTTGCATTGCCATAATGCCAACGTATGCCTTATATTTAATAACTATACGCCTCAATGAAGATTTTTATCTCAATATATATTTATTTCGTTTTTCCGTTTGATGGGGCTGAGAATCCCTTAGGCCTTATCAGAAACCGGATTTCGATTACTCTTTCTCCATTCCACGTGACTCCTTTGTTTTTATCAAAGGCGTAGAAAGATGTGGTTGGAATTTCCATGCTGCAGTCATCGCTAGCCATCCACCATCCTCCAGATATTTGAGGACAGGATTTTGTCTTTGTGTTGAAAGTTTGGAAGGCTTTGTCTCGGGAAAAAAGGAGACCATCGATATCTGAAAATCAATCAGGTTCATTTATTTTCATGTAAATTAGACATGTCTTACTCTCAAAATAGGGTAGAAAGCCTGACATCCCGCCTAAAATTAATTTATATCCCTCCGTCTCATCGCAGACAACAAAGGAATCATACTTGGTGTACCTGACCCGCCCTTCCCGCGATGTTTTTGCGTAAACAATCAGCTCGTTTACACAATGACGACGGGCCGTCAGACTATGGATACGGTCGTTTCCTAGCCAAAACTCGGAGCTTGATGACATTACTCCAAATCCCTCTTTATATTCTTTCCATGTTCGATTAAAACGGATTTGGGGAGGGAATTTTCTTTGGAACAGGACAGTCCATCCACCTCCAAACAAATCAAAGTCACACATCACCGTGAATGAACATTGTGCGGGATCATGACATCTCATGTCATAAACAGTTCGTGTAGAATTCCCATTTAGTAGAGGGTTGTCAAGGATATGGTCAGCACAGTCGGCAGGCCATGTTGTGTTTACTAGACTATCTAAATTAATGCATACGAACATACCGGATCTCTGCGTATATTCATTCGATGATCCTGGCGTTGTATAAGCCTCTCTGTGGGTTTCGTCGTTGATGAAGGGGCATTGAGGGCCAGGGCAATCTTCAAAACAGATGTTTATTTACTACGTTCAGCTTGTATTTGTTTTACTTTCATCTGATCCATCACCGCAATCATCTTCGCCGTCGTTGATCCAACCTTTGTGGACGCAATTTTTGGTGGTTTCGCATTGAACGACGTTATCTTCTTTGCAGAGATTCTCCCCTGACATTGTGTAACGTAGACACCTAATCGGTACTTACATTTATGATCCACGCAATACTTGTTCATCTCGTGCTCCTTCACACACTTTCCGCATCTCGAGTTGCCCCTCTTTACTTCCATATCACATAAAATGAGATCTTCTCCACATTCTACATGAAACAAAATTATAAACGATTTGAGATAACTTCTTGAGTCCCACCTTCATCACTTCCATTAGCACAATCCAATATGCAATCCCGGACTGTGCTGAAAGGGATACAGTAAGTCGAATTGATATATCCACAATCAAAATATCCAGGCTCACAATTCCCGTTCTTGGGATAATCTAAACAAACCTAAAATTTATTCAAACTATTTACCTTCAGGCTTTGGACGTTCAAAAGCAATTGTAAAGTAAGCAAACAGTACTGAGCAGATATATAATAAAACAATCATAACAATAGAAATACTCTTGCTATGTCAAATGAAAATAAACAATGATACTTGTTTTTGCAGGGCACACAACAGTTTACTCTATTGTATTGCTTCCTACATGCCTCATTGACTTCTCTTATTGCGCAAGGGAGCCAGGTTTTATATTGTTCGTTCATAACCATGACACCAGTATCCAAAAAAGCAGAAGTGACATTTGAGAGAGTTCACAACTTCAACAATTATAATACTTTTTGGATTGAAATGCAATATAACGACATCACGACATTTGCGGAATGCAGAACAAATGCTTTATAAATTCTTGGTTTCACCTCTCTTCTCCAACATTGTATGACCTGCTAGCGAATAAGTTGAAATCACAATCAATTTTTTTAAATGGCAATAGCCAATCCAGGTTTTTGGCTAGCCAAACAAAAAATGGTTTTGGATGTTATAGCCGCTAGGGAAAAAAGTCGGTTAAGAAAAAAGACCCGCTGAGCAAAAAAGGCTGTGAAGGTCGGCCAGAAAGGTTCAGGTCGTGACAAAAGTCGAGGTGAAAGTTACCCGAAAATGGTTTCAATGCTTGACTTGGATGGTCAAGACACTTTCTTTTGGTCAAGTCGGTAGCAAGCTAACGGCGTAGGTCATGGCCGTAGTCAGTGGTTATGACCTGACCTAACTGAAATGACAGGGCCGTTGGATCAACTATATATAATACACAGTAAGATCGTTTTCAGAGGATTTTGGCCATTTTTGAGAATATTTTGGACAACCACCTTGACCTTGGTCACGTCCTGTCCTCTAGTGTGAACACCCCCGTTGGCTCGCTAGTCAACCAATTTTGCACATTGGATATAAATATTGGCCCGGTACCCCATCTGCCCCAAATGAAGGTTAGCGGTCAGAATGGTTTTGAAGTCTCAAAATAGAAGTTAGCCAAAAGGTTGGAAGGGGTGTCAAAGAGAAGGAGTAACGCAAAATTTTATACAAGGGTTTGGAAAATACTATTTGCCAGGTATCTATGTCCTAAGGCAAATTGGGCAGCTAATTTTTTGCCCTGTACAGTTTTTTTTTAAATTTTTCAAATGATATAGGTTTCGCTAAGAAACCAGGTAGCAAGTATTTTTTTGGGAAGTACTGGGCTTCAAACCAAAAGCATTAACGCGTTATGGCTTAATTTTTACCTCGTGCTGTATACTACCATCTCGTACTATACGGTACCAAGTGCTAAAAACATATTCTTTGAGCAGTACCGTGCACCAAACCAACAGCATTAACATCTGAATGCATAATTTTTAATTGTACTATACAGTATCAAGTTTTAATATGTAGTACCTCAACTACTTTGCAGTTTGTACCAACGCCATTTGACAAAAAAATGTGCCTAGCCAAAACCGACTTGGGGACAAAAACGTCATGGGGACAAAACCGGTGTGGGGACAAAATCGTCCTGGGGACAAAAAAAATAAAAAAATGAGGACAAAAACGTCCTGAGGACAGAACCGGTCTGGGGATAAAAAGGCTCGAATAAAGTGGGGACAAAAACGTCCTGGGGATAAAACCGTCATGGGGACAAAACCGGGAATGGAACAAAAACGTCCACTACGCGTAGCTACGTCTTGTGCTAGCCAATCCAACTTTTTCCTTTTTACAATTAGCCAAACGGCAAAAAAAGTTAGCTGCCATTTCTACTCACCAGCCATGCTTAGACTGTCAAAAAAAAAAAAAAAAATTTTTTTGCAACATGACTATGAAAATTCGATCTTTACCTGACTTGCCCCAGCTGAAATCTGCCCTAAATGAAAAGCCCAAATGAAGGCTAGCCATTATTCGTTGTTCGACGGTCACAGATTATGTATTATATTACTTTTATTTCTTTTTCATTTTTGTTTCAATTGCAATTGCGCATCAAATTGTAAGTAGAATTGAGCGCCACAGAAACAAATAATCGATTGTGACATTTCGTCCCAAGCCGGCTTTGGAAAAATCTGTCAAGAAATTTTCTGCGGAAGGTAACATTTCCAGCTAGAATTTTGATAAGGCATTCAATTTGATTTGCTCATATTGTGAAAATGGTCTCAGAAACGAAGGAAGATTTGGGAAAATTTACGGTGAGTATAATTCTCTTTTTTAAAGTTTTGTTTGTAGATTCCACAGCTGAAAGAAAAGCTGAAGCAGCGTCGATTGCAAATCAGTGGGACCAAGAACGAGCTGATCAACCGGTTGTTTGAGTCACTGCAAGAAGAGGAATTGCTGGGGGAGGGCGCTTCCGTTGCCCCATCAGAGATTGAAGAAGAATTGTTGGGAAATAATGACGTAAGTAAAGACAATTTAAATTTTTGCATTGTTTAGTCGAATAGTGCGCACCTAACAACTAAAGATGAGGACCTGCTGTTGGGATTAGAAGTGAATAAAAGCACAAAAGAAGCTGATCCAAAATTCGTTGAGAACCAAGAAATTCAGAAAGTTAATGAAGATGGAGACAAAAAATCAGAACAAGCCGTTGATACAGAGCAGTCAAGAAAGCGACCGTCGATAGCAGCTCCAGAAGGTGCTCTGAAGAAAGAGGAGACGTTCACAACTGATGCTAAAGCCCGTCGGGCCGCTAGATTTGGTCTTGCTGCTGAAACGGAACAGAAGCAAGACTCCAATGGAAACAGTAAGGAGAAGAAGCCGGAGATAAAGACCAGTGACCCGAAGTTACTAGCAAGAGCTAAGCGCTTCGGTTTGGCGATTGTAAGTTTTTGTAATCTCAAATTATTCTTTTATTTAGGAAATATTTTAAAAATAGCACATGCATGTGTGAAGTCTCTCTACTTCCTTCTTTTTTCGATCCTGGTTTATTGTCAGATTGATTGCGGGCCCTGTCGCCATTTCAAAAGGTTTCATTTATAAATATTTGTATTTCCAGGGGTCCGCCGATTCTTCCCCAGCCAAAGTTGCAAAGCCGAGTGTCGAAGATGATGAGAAATTAAAAGCTAGACGAATCCGTTTTGGTCTCTAACTATGCGATCTAAAGGATATCAAAAGAAAACAATTTGTTTCCAATTTTTGGTTAAGTTACTGTTGTTTTATCGTCAAGGTAAAATATTTCCTTTTTTTATGGAAGGATTTAATAGTAATAAATACTTCCTGAAACCCCTTTACTTGTTTATAAATGTTCGAATTCATCCTGTATTTGGTAAGGTAATATTGTTGTCTATTTTCCAATGTGTCGCCCAGGCGGGTGGCGTGTTTTTTGGTGGGGTTTCGATTCGTCCCGAGAGTTTTGGTTGCGCTTTAGAACTGCCAGGTGCTCATTTCTGAGTCATCGCTCCATCGGAAAGTCCCTCTATTCGATTATAAGTTTCGATATCTTGCTAAATAAATTCGGATCCTTCTCGATCGGAACTTCTTTCCGAACCTTTTTATGATCAATAGCTGTTACAACATTCCAAAACTCGCTTCCGTAACTTTTTCTTTTTTTTTGGTATTCTACAATTCTCTTTATGAATATGAATCACTTTTTCTATTGTTTCGTAACCGTTTCGCGTTTCGTGTTTATAGGACACCCAAAGATGGAGGTCAGAGGCTAAAAGTAAGTTGTTTTTTGGGCCTGGTTTGTCCACCTCTTTGTAAAGGTTGCTTGGATACTAAGAACTCTTTGGGTTTAGATGCGAAATATATATCTTTTGGTTGAAAGAGGTGATAATTCGTTGTCTCTATATAAGAACATTGTAAAATTAGCAGTTACCTGGCGCAGTGAGCTCGGCTTACGGGAAGAGACATCTGGGAATGAATCGGTTTAGGGCGCGAAAGAGTCTTCTACACAGGAGGCGAGAGAGAACAAAGGCCGGCTTCCTCAAGGACGTCTTCCGTCTTTTTTCTGATTTTGTGCCGTACGAAGACTTACCTCCGATTGTTGAGACGGGTTTTAGCTAGTTGTGTTTTGGCAAAGCTCATTTATTCACGAATGTCCTCAAATTGGGTAGAATAGTAATAGATGGGAACTCTTCAAGATCGTCCTTTTGTTTGTTTATAAGCATGGAGAATATAATTATTATTGCAGCGATTTTTTTCTCCGTGGTTAACTTCGCGCTTAATATTTGCGTGGATGTTGGTTGGGATCGCGGAGGTTTATGTTTGAGCCGATTGTATTTTTGTTCAGGAAAAGTTCGCGCCTTATTGCTATGGGATTGTTAACATTAAAGCAGACTTGCTTAGGTTATGTAGACGAGACCCTCATTTAAACGTGAGGCGACCAAATAATGTGGTTATTTATTCTTTCGATCAGTGCGTTAATCCCGTTTTTGCATAAAATAAATATTTTTTGCCTGAGGTGCCTTTCCTGGATTATTTTTTGCAAATTCACAAGAGTTTTAATTCCAGGAAAGTGCCTCTTATTCGTTTACATCAAGTAAATAAGATCCCTCGTCAGTCTGCTATTGAGAAACGCATGTTGACTGTCCAAATACCGATTCTATGGAACTTAATCCTCTTTCGGGCGAGGGCTTTTGATCTGCGAGCAATTCTCTCGGGTTGAGGTGGGAGTTAAGGGTTTCCCTCGACTTTTTGGGCGGACCTTCTGATATCCGTTGGCTCTCTTCCCAAGGTTGGTCTGAATCAGACTGACTTCTTTATGGCCCTGTGGCTCTTTCGGTCAGCAAGGCGATCGTGCTGTCTCCGCTCTCTTTCAGTTGTCTTGTCTTTAATTGACCATTTTTAGTAGACGTCTGTTTTGTTTAAGCGATTCTGGATCGGCAGAATTAGACTACTTTAGTCGCCGGGTCATGAATGCTGCCCAAGACTTTCTGAGACGATGTTGGAGTTGGTTGAAGCATCGTCTCTATCAACTCTGGAGCCTCCTTCTTTGGGTGTTTGATTTTGTTTGTTGTTGTGGCTGTGTATACGAAGAGGAGGACGATCCTGAGAAAGGAAATTCTATTGTTCAGGGAAAAGATAATTTGGGAACACAAAAGGTAGCCAGCTCAACAGGAATGGCAGCCCAAGTCCATAAGGTGATCATGGTCGGTAGTGGTGGAGTCGGAAAGTCGGCGCTCACTCTTCAGTTTATGTATGATGAGGTATATATTTTATACCTTTTTGAATTTGCCGACTGTACTTTTTAATCAATATATTTTTTAGTTCGTCGAAGAATACGAACCGACAAAAGCTGATTCTTACAGGAAAAGGGTGGTCTTAGATGGAGAAGATTGTTCTGTGGACATATTGGATACCGCTGGTCAAGAAGATTACTCTGCTATCAGGTAAGCCTTCTCTTAACATATTTATATGTCGACAAGGATTGCTTCTGGTGAAATTATACGTATAAGAATGCATACAGGAGTAAAGAAATACGAAGCAAAACGCTAAAAACGCTCATCCATAACTTTTTTTTAAATAGAATAAGCAATGTGGCCTACATTAGAAAAAATCACGAGAATAAATTTAGCGTCTTTTTGGAATTCCTAGAGTCGTTTCATATTTCTTTACTATTATATGTACAGAATATGTGTATGGAGATTGATTCCAGTTTCTGAATATTCTTTGTTTTAGAGACAATTATTATCGAAGCGGCGAGGGATTTATTTGCACATTTTCGATCACCGATGCCGAATCATTTGAAGCGACAAATGAATTCCGTGAGCAAATACTGAGAGTCAAGAATTCAGATACCTCTATCCCCTTTATTTTGGTAGGCAACAAGGCAGATATGGAATCGGAAAGAGCTGTTTCACAGGCGCAGGCACAGCAGAAGGCCGAATCCTGGGGCGTGCCATATGTCGAGACGTCGGCGAAAACGAGGAAGAACGTGGATTCAGTAAGAAATATCACCTTATTCCTTAATTACAATGATCATTAGGAGCAAACAGACATCGTACAGGCTGTATTATACTGACGCTCGTTTTCAGGTCTTCTACGACCTAATGCGTGAGATCAAGAGGGCCAAAGGTGTAACTTTTGGGACTACTGCCCCAGCAGATCAAACAGGGGCTAGTCGGAAAAGAGCAAGACGTTCATGGAAGAAGTGCACAATCCTGTGAAGAAAGTAGAAAACCACCTTTCCACTCTTTCATTGCCGCCTTTCCCGTCCATTAAAACATAACTGACGGGCCTCAGGTTGTTTTATTGCTTGTTTGTATCTAATGACACCACGATGAATAATGTCGCCTTACAGTCGAATTTGTGCGGGTAATTTGTCGACTTCGTTGTTCATCTAGATCTATTATCTTATCTTTTTGTTTTGTTTTAAACATCTAAATAAATGCTATATTATTGGTTCTGTTGTATCTTCTGTAAGGATTGGGTTCAGCTTGGCTTTGAAACTTTGTGCTTTTACAAACGATAAGCAAGTTACTTGTTTTTCAATGTCTGAAAATACGACAAATGCTTGTCTCTTGCGCAAGGAATCCAATTCTATTACATAAACACCGATATGACGGCACATATGGTTATGGGGATGGGCAAAGAAACTCAAAAATTAAGAAATGAAATTTAATCCCGACCTATCTTCTTATAAGGTAAAGGGAATGCCAAAACGGAGGCATCCTGCTTTTCGTGGGTTCTATTTAATTTGAGTTTTGTTTGCCCTGGAGGGGAATGGGCTGCTTTTGTTCTTACAATACGAAGATTGATTCAAGAAGTATTGGGGAGACGGTCGAAGAGGCGAGAAGGTCGGGTGAGTAGTGTGAGGCCGCTGAATCATGGCCAGGAAACTGGTGAGCTGGGCCGGGGCCCTCGGGGCGTTGTCAGCACCTGAAGAAGCAGTCCCGACTTCTAGGTTTGGTTCCGATGTCTTGCGTTGCCTCTGTTTTACACTCTAAATGGCATTCCGTCATTTAGCTCTCGGACCGGAAGCCCTCGAGACGGTGAGGCCGGTTGGCTGGGTGCACGGTACTTCTTCTCTCTTCACACAAAGGTTACCCGACTGCACTGTTCCCGTCTCTTTTTGTTATTATTTTTATCTGAATTCCTGGGTGATTCGGGGCCTTTAAGATCCTTGATTTCTCATCTTTTTCTTCGCGTTTAATGGCCCCATACCTGGTGTACCGGAAGCTGAAAAGATCGGTCGGCCGGATGATCCTTATCTCCAAGTCCTGGAATTTTTTTTACCCGATTAGTATGCGCATTCAGTCAAGTCCAACTTCTAATTTTTTTGTTTTCAAGTTCGGAAAGTTGCCAGTTTGGTTGGTAGTTAAGGAGGAGGGAGTCGGGGAAAGAAATTGAGGTTATGAATATTCATGACGGTAAAAAAGGGCACTAAGCTCACCTAAGTTTCAGTTTCCGGTAAATCCGTTCTAAAACAATAAAAAGTGTCACTCAGAACTCTCTTTAACCTGCACTCAAAGCAGTTTCGGGTGGCGAAACAAGGCTGTCTGTCGGTTTTCAAGTTTGGAGAGTTTCAGGTCGACACAACTAAATTTGCATAAAGGTAAGGGATGGTTCGGAAGAACGGTGGACCTTTTCTTTGGGTAACCACCGGAAGGGACGTACAAGTAAAGTAGCGGCTTATAATGAGGGACCATTTCTTTTTGTCCGACCTCAGCAGGTTGTCCCCAGAAGGCGTCGGGAAATGGCTTTTAGGTAGGCCAACATCCGGTCCCGGTCAGTTATAACCGTTTACTTCTGGCACCTTTCCCTTTGAAAGACACGGAAATGGATTTCGCACCTTTTTACTTCTTTGCAGGCAGATGGGTCCGGCCATTAGGCGCCTTAAATAAATTCATCTGCCTTCCGTACTCGGATGCACCCAAACTCTTTAGAGACGGTAGATTGCGTGTTCCGCGGACCAGGCTCTTAACTCCTTTGCTTTCGCTGCATGTTTATTATTCATCTCGTATTTCAAGACGCCTTACTTACTTAATGGGAACGAATATGATCGGAGGTGACAATAATACCTTGGCGTGCATGAGGTCAAGAACAAGGTTGCATGTCGGTCCTTATTTGCGAATGTAAGAGCGCCAAGACGCCGGGGGCCCATTCCATTAAATTGCAGCATTCACCTGGCACCCGTCACTTAAGACAGTGGTGTTGTAAGGCTTCGGTGTACTCCATATTTAACTCGCACGCGGATCGAGACAGTACATAATACTCCTTAATGCCGTACTCGTGCAGAGTTCTACCCTTGAGCGGATTGGCCACAGGTTTTTGAGACCGACGGGGGCCGGCTGTTTACTTGGGTTGTGCAATACCCGCTTACCATAAGACGGCCGTGTTTAATTTGAGAAAATGGAGCGGGCCGTCAGGCCTTCTCTCCGTGTCCCCTTTACAGGTATTAAAACGTCTCTCTTTCCTTTCCATTTACTCTGTTAACCTGACCGGAAGCCATAAAATCCTGTTAAATAATAAACCGGCTGTCCCAATTCCTTTGTTGCTCCATTGCCAGCTGATGTTCTAACCTATAAATTTAATAATTGACCCTCCGAGAGCCGGTGGCCAGTCTCAGGTTGTTTGGGAACCGTTTGAGTTTAAAGTAAAAGGTAGGGGTGATTGATCGCAACTCGGCAAGGCTTGGCCCGAGAGAAGACCTTATGTAATCCCCCAGGTGGTGGTGGATACAAAGCTCTGTTTTGAGTTATATCGCATAAGCCCGGAGGGTCATTAGAGAATCCGGTCACGAAGCCAACCTGCTTTTATAATCTGTGTTTCCTGCAGATTCTTCATTTTGGCGGCTTTTTAGGGCGCGCCACTCTTGACTCGGAATTGAATTGTGACAAGGACCTCCAAAGTGGGTCAAGTTCCGGCAGGTAGGCGCCTACCTAATAAATGAGTAGTAGCCCTTTCCTCATCGTATTGTATTCTGGTTTGTTGGAGAATGCACCGTTTTCTCTAATGTTTTTCGACAGGCGATTCGCGCTCAGATGCGGACAAGTTTAAGCGGTTTCCGACCGGTTTGTTTCAACGCACAAGATCTCCGTTTCTGCGTGATTGAGGCCGGACTAAAGGAGGTAGGGATCGGATGAGAATGGCTGCACTTATTCTTGAGAATATCAATCTATCAACTATTTTATGGCGGACTGGGTGTGGCGGTTATGGGATGGGTTGGCCTTGTACACAAAAGTGACTGTACCGTGGTTACCGGCCCGCCTCGAAGAAGGGTGCGTCTCCCAACCTAGTCAAACATCCATCGGCCCTCTGGCCATGAGGAATACCTGTGAAAAGGGTACAGCTGTGTCCACGGTCGTCGCGTTTTCTGAGTTTAGCCACCCAAATCCCGCCGCGTCCCACTTCTCGCTAGTTGCACCCTCCGGCCAGCAAAAGAGTTGTTATTTGACGGTTTTTGTTGAAAGGCCGGTTTAGCGTACTTGAGTTGTTCAAGTACTTATTGCTCGGAACACTCATGTGCTTGTTCTGTTATCTCGAGAGATCGCCCATAATTCTCGCGCCCAAGGCAAGGCCCAAACCGACCTTTCCCGCTTTTCGTTTGGGGTGGAGGTAATCTCGACAAAGTGTCAGTTGCACGGGTACTGTCACCGCCATCAATTCCCGGGCCTAAATTTATTCGGCCGCTTCTATCAGGACCCTCTTCCCACAATTTATGCGTGGAATCACCTTGACGACTCAGGTTCCTCTTAATACTCACGGTTTATTCCGAATTCGCGTCGAATTATATTTATAATGCCGTAGTCAAGGGGAGGTAAGTCTGTGGGACTCGGAAGAACCGTTACTTGCTGTAGAGCTTCTTGCCGGGTAATTGGAAGACAGCGCGCAAGAGCACAGGTAGCCCCGCCCCGTCTTAACTCAACCAATAGGGTAAAAGCGGCGACTTAAAACCTTCGGAAAGAGTCGATATGCTTCAAGGGAGTCGGGAGATAATACTTTTGGCTTCTGGGTTTTGCGTAACTTCAACCTCGACTACCTTTTGTTGACGGAATGGGGATTAAAAGATTATTTTATACCTGTTCGAGCATGACCTAAGGCCTTTTGGGTTTGCTGATTATGCACGTTTCTCGCGAGGCAACCTAGTTCTTTTACACCAGAGTTAGAATTCAAATATTAGTAACAGTAATTTATCTACTCATTTTCAATACGAAGAATTAATAATGGGTTTCATAAACTTAAGTTCGGAAATAAAATCTTTTATTTATTTATTCCATTAAGTGTAGCAATGAAGCCATCGACCTAGTTATGATAGTAGCCTCGTCCTTCTTTTTCACCGCTTTTTACGTCTGGCTGGGTTTTTCTCGTTTAAGAGGCCGAAGGTATCCTCTTCGGGTTTCGAATTGACATTATTATTTTTTCTGAAGGTCGCCGTACCGGGTTATGAAGGCATCGAGAACAACCGGGATCTTTTGTCGCCTCGAACTTGGATGAACTCTAAAGCGTTTACGGTAGATCAAATATGGGAATGGGTCACTCCATCTCTCCATCCATCCCATCCGTCTTCTCCCACTTGTCCGTTTTCACTCTCGTCGATGAAACTCCTTGAAACCGTTTTCGAGGAGTTGTGGGGGGTTTCTTTCAACTTGACTCCAATCTCTCTACATCGCCGTTTTCGTACACAATCCGTCAAAAACGCGTCTAATGCCCGGGCACAATTCAATTCTCTCTGGCTTTAATCTAGATTTAAGTTCGACTCCATTCGCACCATAATAATGGTTTTTTCATATCTCGGCGCGTCAAGTTAGACCGACCGAGTCTCTGTAATCAACCGGGCCTCGGGTTTCACTCTTTTTTTGCCTCGCCCCACATTTCTTGACACGCCCGGTCCCAGTGGAACCGAGGCCAAGGCTGCGTTGCGCCTTGACAACACCACAGTTAAAAGCGCATCATCTAGTTCATATCGGACGGCAATTCAAGCTTTATAGATATGGGGGTTACGGTAATCTGCGTAGTAAAAGGTTATGAGTGTGAAGGATGAAGTTGGAAGAAAAACTTAATACAGAAACTGACGATGTATTAGTAAGGTCGCCGCTGAATTCCTGGAAGAGTGTCCTCACTTTTCATGTACCTTGATAATGGTATAAAAGGCCACTCCTCAGAATAGTTTTTAATGTCATCACTCCCGGATCGGTGTAATTTGTGTTCACCTGTCCCGACGATTGGAATGGGTTTCCGGCCAAACCCTGAGGGTATGGAAATAAGTGCGTTAGGGTCAGTCCGTTGTCCCCATGAATTCACAATTAATTGCTTTCACCTTTCCCTCCGAACCTCTTCCAACTTGGGTCTCTCGATCAGTTTTATTTCGCCGGAGGGTTTGGTTGATAGGCAGGGCTGGGTAATATGCACCCTTTTTCGGTCTTTATCAGTTGCCTGCAGGACTTACCTGCCCTTTTTTCAAGTTTCAAAACGTCTCAGGAATTTCTGCATTGTTTATGTTCCGCATCGTTGTCTGCGTTATATGATCCCTGATTACCCCCACTGTGCGTCCCGGGTTCCCAATTGATCCCAATTATCCGCCCTCTGGTAATATGGTCTCTGCGGCCAAACTCTGACATTAACCATTTGTTTATGTCCGTTGGGTGGGTTGGAACTACTGTTTATAGGGAAAGTTTACTTCACTTTTCGAGAGAGGTGCAAGGACGGACCGATTGGCGCGACCCATCTGTTTAAAGCCTTATCCAACCATAACTTTTAATTTCAGAGACATTCGCAACTCGTTGTTTATTCCCGGTCTTTACTGTGTCCCAAGTTCCCGGCCCAATGAGTTTGGCGACTGCCTCCGGGGCTCCCAAAGCCAAAAAGTTCCGGTATTCGCCAGAGGTAATGACTGTCCAGATTTATAAACAAGCTCTTCGATTTTGTAATAAAACTATAAAAAGTATAATTCCAGCATGTGCTATTTGATATGAATCAAAACCAAGGCGAGGAAACGGCGACGGAAGCCCCGGCTATAAAGACTGAGTGCTCTGTAGCGGAGTCGTCATCGTTTGGTAATTCCCCACCTAATCCCAGTCGGAGTACATCTCCAAACGAATCAGCTCATGATGATTCTAAAAATCCATTTGAAGGCTCCAACGTTGAGCAGACCGATGAGCATAATCATCAGCCCTTTCCTTTCCAATTCCTCCTCGAACAGGCTTCTCAGATATTGAAGGTAATGGCGAACATTCAATGAGGTCATCGTTTTTTTTAGAACGTTAAGAAAGAGCACACCGAGCCCCCGTCTTATGGCCTTTCACAGCCTTCAATCACTGCCAATTCCATTAGAGCGCCCATTCCTGGTGCTCTAGCTGTGGCCGCTTCTCCAGCAGCAAAACTTTTCAGCGAGGATGACTGGTCTTGGCACAGGAATCCAGCGGCTGCGATTAGATCCGGTGGCACTAATAAACAGACTCCGGTCTGGAAGTATTTCGTGTATAATAAAGCAGAGAATCTGAGTAGATGCATAATCGGAGACTGCACGTACATGCTGAAGGGACCTCACACTTCCACACTGGCGTGTCATCTCAAGAAACATCCCGAGGAATATGCGGAGTTCCAGAAACTCAAGGTGAATATTTCGGCTTTTTCTCTCCGGAAAAGCTCGAATTTTATGTCCGAACGACTGACTTTTAGGTTGAGTATACGAGAGATCGGAACGTGGGTACGTTGAGCAACCCTGGCCAAAGGAATGGCAGATCCAGTGCCAATTCGACAAATTCGAATGGATCTTCGACCTTCATTGGAACACAAAACAGAAGCGGATCTTCTACTCCTTCAAATGTCAGCAATTTATTCAAGAAATCCGGGGAGCAAAACAATCTTTCCGGTATTTTTGGTAATTCAAATTTATTTGGTGGTAACTCCAACAACAGTCCGCAGAATAATTTATCTGGACGAAGCAAGCCAATGTCCGTCAAGTAAGTTTAGATTTAATGTAACAGTTTATTTCGTTTTTACAATTAAAATTAATTTATCCCTCTCTCACTTTAGTGAAATCCTCAACAATCTAAGTGCGAGTGCGGTCAGTATGGTCCCCAACAGCAGCACGGTGAATTCCCATTCTTCGATGAACCCTCCAATAAACCCAGTGTCATTTCTTAACGATAATTCGTGTAATCCTCTCCATTTTCTGAACTTAATCAAACAAGGTAGGTGCTCTGATTTCATCTCTAACAACACGTTTTGTGTCATCTTCAGGAAATTCCAATGCCTCAAAACCCAATCCCGTCGCTATAGTGCAACAAATCAGAAAATGGCCTCGTCAAGATCGCAAGCAGAAGGAGATGGAGCAGAAGATGGCCTTGTTCATAAGTTCGGCCCAGCTCCCTTCTACTGTTGTTCATGACTTGTGTTTCCGAGAATTCCTAGAGCAATTGCAACCAAAGTTCTATATCCCAGAAGAAGAAAGAGAGGTTGAGCAGGTAGATTTCCCTAAGCTGAATTAACCTGGTTACAGATAATTACGCAATTCTACCAAAAGACCGTCTCGAACATCAAAGCTCAGTTGGCGGTCATCAATAAGTTTACCTTGTTATTGGATATCCTCAGGCATAATAAGAGTCCCACCTTACTCGTGTCCATTTGCGTGGCCTTTTACTCACAAACCCGGCATAAAGTTGAAGTTGTTCTTCTGGGAATTCGAACTTTGACAGACACAACCTTGCCAGCTGAAGGCATCCGGCAATTGGTCAACGAGGTTGGTTCGACTCCAAGAGTGAAGGATTATTGTTCTTTTAGACATTATCTGAGTACGATCTGGGCCTTCATCAGGTCAGTCGGACGATTCTCAGCGGGCTTTCATTACTGCAACTTCCCAAAAACACTCCCATCTTCTCCAACCAATTGAGTTCTCATAAAGAATGTCTTGAACAAGTGGTCAATCAGATGGTAATCCAATCAGAAAACTATATACAAGTCTGTGAGAGTGTGCAGAATCTTATGTCACTTCTTAAATTCTTCCCAGATGCTGCAAACAGCATTAAAATGTTGACTGGTAAGAACTGAACGTCTTTAAGTAAAAATCATTCTGTGAATACATGGCTATATACATAAGTATATATTCAAACGATTTTAGGAGTAGAAGTGGAGGAAATGGACTTAAACAAGCCGTTGGAAGACATTGCAAACGTCCTAATAGATCACAAAGACGCTTTTTGTAGTGTAATTGCTCAATATTCGGAGCTGATGAGTCTTTTGGCTGTCATCGAATGGTATGTCAATATAACAGAGAGTAAACTCTTTCCTTCAGGACAACATTGGAAGCTTTCCTTCGGATAAAAAGATTGTTCAAAGCCCATATGCAAGTAATACAAGACAATAGTTACGCAACGATTGATCGAGTGGTGCCCTCTATTATGCAATTACTAATGTCACTGGAAAAAGATTTCGTCCAATTGGAAGACCTTCCCCAACGACTAGTCTCTTGCATCAGGGAGAAACTAGGTTATATTCTGGACCCATCCGATGACCACTTTGATCCTACCTTCATCGAAGCGACAGCTTTGAATCCACAACTAGTTGTTCTTTTGGATGAGAACCAAATTAATCATGCAAGAGAGGGAATTGAGAAACGAGTAAGTAATGCTATCGTAGTATATGATAATTTTTATTACAGTTGCAGGAAAGGATAAAATGCATAGAAGAATCGACAAGCCGAAGAAACGGAAAAGTGGGAGGCGTCGATTCGTTGTTGGCCGCCGTTGTGGAAAGGAAGTCCAGCGAGCTCTCATTGGAAACCAGTTCAGATGAAAGTCCGGCTTTCTGTGCTTCTTCCCTCTATCCCGATCTTGTTCAAGCCGCCAACCAAAGAAGGCAACAGATCAAAGTAAGGAATAGAAACGTGTTCTAAACTGTCTTTATAGGGTCAGAATAGAAACGTAAAGAATCATTATGCAGAAGCGATGGTTCAAGCTTATTTTGATGACGTTTTAAATAATGGCTGTTATCCAACTATCTTCGGGGCCGTGTCAGAAATTCCTCGAGAGCCATTATCATTCTGGCAGTGGGGCTCTGCCAAATGCCCGCCTTTAAGCGAGATGGCCATCGAATTGTTGAGTATTCCATCTTCCACAATTTCCCCCGAAATGATTGGTTCTCAATCAACAGATACTACTTTCATGACGTCATCGTTCGAACCCCAGCCTTTCGATTACATAAAGAACTGTCTAAACGAAGACAGTCTTGAGCGGGATGCTGTGATCCGATTTAACCGAGCTTTCTGGCAGAAATCCCTGTTCTGAACATTCCGAATCCCTGCTTCCTGTATACATATCACGGATATGTTGACTCTGTTCTTAGTTTGTACCTCGGGCCGACTAGTGACGGCCTCTTAGCTTAGACAAATAGCTTTCTTTCTTCTCTGTATGTACAATGCATTTATATTGTAAGGTGAAATAAATTAAACTAAATAAAAATTTTATCTCTAAAATGCGGATCACATCGACTTGGAACTTTAAAGATTTTTACTACAGGGTGGGGCATCTTTGTGGCCCGATTTAAATTGGCTATAACTTCTTTATTTTTGGGCCGAATGTCAAATGGTTTTTTTCACTGAATCCTCAGACTCTCCCATTTTGTTTGATACCAAAAATGTTTACCTATTTATTAGACTACAGTAAAAGTTAACAGACTGTCTTTCTGAAAATGGAAAGTTGTGTTTGACAAAAAACTTTTACTGCCCTTTCGTATGGCTGTAGATTCTCAAATTCAAAGCCTTGTGACGTTCTCAAATGAAATTTTTTGACCAAATTTTAGCCATAACCTTTGAAATTTTTCGAATTGCCTCTACTACGACTTCTGAATCGATTTGGGGAGGATAGGTTACCCCGAGAATAGGTTACCCACCGGATAGGTTACCCCAAAAAACACATAACTCGGAGGATAGGTTACCTCACCGGATAGGTTACCCCTTACCAAAAAAAGAAAAAAGTTTTTTTTTGAAATGTTTTCGCTTCGGGAGTTTAAAAAGAAGGATTTTTTGTGAAAATTGAAAAAAAATTTTAAATGTTTTCGCTTCGGGAGTTTAATAAGAAGGATTTTTTGTGAAAATTGAATAAAATTTGAAATGTTTTCGCTTCGGGACTTGGAAAAAAAGGTTTTTTTGTGAAATTTGAATAAAATTTGACAAGGAAAGTACTTCTATGGGGTGTGGAATTACCGGTCGAGATATATATCAAAAAATTCGCAAAAATTTTCTGATTCAGAATATATATAAATTTGCTGCCTAATTTTGGTCTGATGACATGTTTTTGTCCTCAGAAGTTTTCTCGCGACACAATGCAAGTGTCTTTTTGACCGTGTTTTTACCAATAAAAAAATTTTGTTTTGTGCTAAAATAAATTTTGAGGCCTTGACAGCCTTAAAATATCAAATTGGATTACAACTACACCTTAAAGGTAATTCCAATGTAAAAAATGGGTTCTAGTGTGGCAAAAGGAATCGAACCCGCCCCCTTCGGATTCCCAATCTAGCGCTCTAACCACTCGGCCACACCGCTCTCTTCCGAGGAAAGAGACCGAGCTCGCTTTTGTTGCCGCAGATTTTTTCCTCGAGAAATACATTTATTGATAAAACTCGTTAATAGACCAAAATTAGGCAGCTAATTTTTATATATTCTGAATCAGAAAATTTTTGCGATTTTTTTGATATATATCTTGACCGGTAATTCCACACCCCATAGAAGTACTTTCCTTGTGAAATTTTTTCGAGCTGACTGAGTATGAACTGACTGAATGTGAAAACTGGGTTTCTGTTACCTTACTGCCTTTAGGGATTCTTTTTGAAATTTGTTCGACTTATAACACTTTTAGACGTTAATGGTGTTGTTTTGGTGCCTAGTACTGCTTAAAAAACACATTTTTAACACTTGGTACTAAATAGTACTACCTGGTACTATTTAGTACGAGGTGAAAATTTGGCCGTAAGGCGGTAATGGCGTTGGTTTGGTGCTTAGCAGAACCCAAAAACACGTTTTGACACTTGGTACTATATAGTACCAACTGGTACTGTTTTGTGAGAAGTGAAAATTTGACCGTAATGGTGATGGTTTGGTGCTTAGTAGAGCCCAAAAACACGTGGTACTATATAGTACCAGGTGGTACCATTGGTTTTAGACAAAATTTTAGTGCTGGCGGCACCACAGTTAAAACTCAATTTCTGAGTCACTGAATCAGCCGCCAGTTAGACGTGGACATTCAAAAAAATCGGTTTTGAGATTTTTGTTTTAAAATGACCGGGGGCATCCTACTAGCGTATTACCGTCACATTTTTGCCCAATTCTTCCGTTAACCTACTGTAATTTACAATAGTATGATTTTACAGTAATCGGGTATTACTCAAAAAGTACGCATCGTAATTGGCTGAAATTGGTATTATAAAGGTTTTGGCACCTTATCATTACAATGGATGCCGAATTTTGGCTGTTGGGTTACTGTAACATAGTGAAACCTTTGTTCGGCCGCACAAAATCGGCCATAAAAAGTTTGTTTCTGAAAACCCACAGCCAATTTTTGGATATGTTAATAAGCATAAAATTCTGCTATATAAACGTTAAAAAAATGTGCAAAAAGTCATAATACCAATTTCGTGGTATAGTGGATTTTGGTCAAAATTTGTAATCGGAAGGTCCCGGGTTCGAATCCCACTGGACAAAAAATGTAACAGACTGCAGAGAACCTTAGGAAATCTATCCGGATGGGTTTGTTAGACACATTTAAGCCATTTAAGACTATATCCAAGACGTTAATGCAAATTTTAACAAATTTGTTGAAGGTAAAATAATCGTTTTGGTTTTATTGGATTTTCCGACAAGCTTAGTTGCAGAAAACCGGTAAAAATAAAACATATAGGGTTTTCGAGCATACTCAATTCAATCAAAGCGAGTTTTCGGAACCAAGGTTACTGTAACATAGAAAAACAAAGGTTCGGCCGTTAAAAATCGGCCGTAAAATTTTTCTTTTTGACGTCAAGCCGACAGTTATTCGATTTTCGGAATCACCGTAAAATTCTGCTCTAGAGACATCTTATACTGTATCTTAACTCCATTTTTTGCATGTCACAGATTTTTTATATTTGCACCGAAATTTTCAAGTCCATAAATCTTGTGCGAAAATAAGAAAAAAATTATTTTGAGTTTTTGGCCTGCAATTAATTTAATTGGTGGCTTTAGTTTGTCCTTGAAGTATTTTACTCTAATTCTTTCGCTAACATAGTTTTATTTACAATTTTAAAATTTAAAAGTAATTCCCCACAAAATAAAGCGTTGTAAATAAAAAAATCGTTTCTTGATTGTTTATAGAGCAGAATTTTACGGTGATTCCGAAAATCAAATATCTGTCAGCTTGACGTTGAAAAGAAAAATTTTACGGCCGATTTTTAACGGCCGAATCTTTGTTTTTCTATGTTACAGTAACCTTGGTTCCGAAAACTCGCTTTCATTGAATTGAGCATGCTCGAAAACCCTATGTATTTTATTTTTAGCGGTTTTCTGCAACTAAGCTTGTCGGAAAATCCAATAAAACCGAAACGATTATTTTACCTTCAAAAAATATGTTAAAAGTTGCATTAACGTCTTGGATATATTCTTACATGACTTAAATGTGTCTAACAACCCCATCCGGGTAGATTTCCTAAGGTTCTTTGCAGCCTGTTACATTTTTCGTCCAGTGGGAATCGAACCCGGGACCTTCCGATTACAAATTTTGACCAAAATCCACTATACCACGAAATTGGTATTATGGCTTTTTGCACATTTTTTTAAAACACGATTTCTGAGTCAGTGAATCAGCCGCCAGTTAGGCGTGGACATAGGAAAAAATCGATTTTGAGTTTTTGATTTTAAAATGACTGCAGGCATCCAGTAAACGTATTCCTGAAATATTTTTGCCTAATTCTCTCATTAACCTACTGTAATTTACAATTTAGTGTTTTTACAGTAATCGACTATTACAACATAACTACTCACTAGAAATGGCTGAAATTGAGAATACTGATGTTTTCGGGCATGCTCGTCATTGTGAATTCAGAATTTTGGCGATCGGGTTACTGTAACATACCGCAATGTGGTTTCGGCCGAACAAAATCGGCCATAAAAAATTTGTTTCTGAAATGCCGCAGCTGATTTTTACATATGTTAATCAGCGTAAAATTCTGCCCTAGAAACATTTAAAAAAAGCGTAAAAAGTCATCACCCCTTTTTCGTGGTGTAGTGGATTTTGGTCAAATTTAGTAATCCGAAGGTCGCGGGTTCGATCCCCGTGGAAGGAAAATGCGTAAAACTGTACAAAACCTCAAAAAATTGGTTGAGGTGGATTGATTGTGTATATCAGAAGTATGAAAAATTGTATCAAAGTTGATTTCCGAACTTGAAAGCATTTTTTTGATGATGAAACTTGGATTTTGGTTTCCGTGGATTATGGTGCAAATTTTGTCTAGGAAATGGCTAAAGTTGCTTATAATTAGGTTTTTTAGCCTTCTGAATTCAATGGAGCAGGGTTTTTGGCCATAGGATTACTATAACATAGACAAAACGGATTTCGGCCGCTTAAAATCGGCCGTAAAACGGTTGTTTCTAAACACACGCAGCTAATTCTTCAATTTTTGGAATCAGCGTGAAATTCTGCTCTAGAATCATTAAATATAATATCCTAACTGGTCGCACAAATTCAAAGGATTTTTTTCGAGCAGATTAGAAATTTTTCAGTAAAAAAGTCATCCGTGGAAATCGAAAAAAAAAATCTGAGATTTTGGTCTAGAAATGTTTCCATACGTTGATGAAACTTAGCCTCAAAATATTTTTGGCTAATTCTTTTGCTAACATAGTTTTATTTACAATAAAACTATGGCTAAAGTTGTTTATAATTAGGTTTTTTAGCCTTCTGAATTCAATGGAGCAGGGTTTTTGGCCATAGGATTACTGTAACATAGACAAAACGGATTTCGGCCGCTTAAAATCGGCCGTAAAACGGTTGTTTCTAAACACACGCAGCTAGTTCTTCAATTTTTGGAATCAGCGCGAAATTTCACACAATTTTCACCTAAACAATGGCTTATTGGTTGAATACTTTGTTTTCAGTGGTGACTTACTTTAAAACTTGGAAATTGTAAATAAAACTATGTTAGCAAAAGAATTAGCCAAAAATATTTTGAGGCTAAGTTTCATCAACGTATGGAAACATTTCTAGACCAAAATCTCAGATTTTTTTTTTCGATTTCCACGGATGACTTTTTTACTGAAAAATTTCTAATCTGCTCGAAAAAAATCCTTTGAATTTGTGCGACCAGTTAGGATATTATATTTAATGATTCTAGAGCAGAATTTCACGCTGATTCCAAAAATTGAAGAATTAGCTGCGTGTGTTTAGAAACAACCGTTTTACGGCCGATTTTAAGCGGCCGAAATCCGTTTTGTCTATGTTACAGTAATCCTATGGCCAAAAACCCTGCTCCATTGAATTCAGAAGGCTAAAAAACCTAATTATAAACAACTTTAGCCATTTCCTAGACGAAATTTGCACCATAATCCACGGACACCAAAATCAAAGTTTCATCATCAAAAAAAAACGCTCTCAAGTTCGGAAATCGACTTTGATACAATTTTCCATACTTCTGATATGCACAATCAATCCACCTCAACCATTTTTTTGAGGTTTTGTACAGTTTTACGCATTTTCCTTCCACGGGGATCGAACCCGCGACCTTCGGATTACTAAATTTGACCAAAATCCACTACACCACGAAAAAGGGGTGATGACTTTTTACACTTTTTTTTAATGTTTCTAGGGCAGAATTTTACGCTGATTAACATATGTAAAAATCAGCTGCGGCATTTCAGAAACAAATTTTTTATGGCCGATTTTGTTCGGCCGAAACCACATTGCGGTATGTTACAGTAACCCGATCGCCAAAATTCTGAATTCACAATGACGAGCATGCCCGAAAACATCAGTATTCTCAATTTCAGCCATTTCTAGTGAGTAGTTATGTTGTAATAGTCGATTACTGTAAAAACACTAAATTGTAAATTACAGTAGGTTAATGAGAGAATTAGGCAAAAATACTTCAGGAATATGTTTACTGGATGCCTGCGGTCATTTTAAAATCAAAAACTCAAAATCGATTTTTTCTATGTCCACGGCTGATTCAGTGACTCAGAAATCGTGTTTTAACGTTTATATAGCAGAATTTTATGCTTATTAACATATCCAAAAATTGGCTGTGGGTTTTCAGAAACAAACTTTTTATGGCCGATTTTGTGCGGCCGAACAAAGGTTTCACTATGTTACAGTAACCCAACAGCCAAAATTCGGCATCCATTGTAATGATAAGGTGCCAAAACCTTTATAATACCAATTTCAGCCAATTACGATGCGTACTTTTTGAGTAATACCCGATTACTGTAAAATCATACCATTGTAAATTACAGTAGGTTAACGGAAGAATTGGGCAAAAATGTGACGGTAATACGTTAGTAGGATGCCCCCGGACATTTTAAAACAAAAATCTCAAAATCGATTTTTTTGAATGTCCACGGCTGATACAGTGACTCAGAAATCGTGTTTTAATATTGTAGTCAGACACCCTTTTTCTACTCCCGATGCGAAAAGATTTCAAAATTTTGATGAATTTTCCAAAAAATTCTTTTTTCCCCAGTACCGAAGCGAAAACATTTGAAAATTTTTTCAAATTTCACAAAAAATCCTTTTTTTCCAAGTCCCGAAGCGAAAACACTTCAAAAAAAATTTTTTTTTAGGTAACCTATCCTCGGGGTAACCTATCCTCCGAGGTTACCTATCCGAAACTTGGGGTAACCTATCCGCTGGGGTAACCTATTTGTTAGGGGTAACCTATCCTCCGAGAACGTTCTGAATCCGGGTTTACCACAACTATCTTCCACCGTTACCGAGATACAACCGATGTTTGACATTTTTCAAGAAGTTTTGATTTTTACTACAGGGTGACAAATAAAAAATGCAACTTTTTTTGATGGGTCCTGCCGCAAAAACTTTTAGGTGTAGCAAAATATTTTTCATACCATTAGATTCTCCGTGTTTTTTTGTCCTAGTCCTTCTTTGCGGGCAAATTTTTTGCGGGCAGCCACTTTGCGGGCAGCCGACATTTGCGGCCAGCACCGGCATTTGCGGGCATCCTGGGACATTTGCGGGCAGGGTCGACAGTTGCGGGCAGCCTGGAAGATTTGCGGGCAGCCGACATTTGCGGCAACTGACACCTGATTGTGAGGGTAACAGGGTGGAGGTGGAAAAATTACTATGATATTTTGGAAATTTGCCGACATTTGCGGGCAACCGGCACTTGAGGATAACAAGGTGGAGATGATAAAATTACGGCGATATTTTGGAAGTTTTCCGACATTTGCGGGCAGGCAATATTTGCGGAAAGACGACATTTGCGGGCAACAGTTCCAAAAGTACCAATACAGTCTGTGTGATTGTTTTTTCCTGTTGCCCGCAAATGTCGGTTGCCCGCAAATGTCCCAGGCTGCCCGCAAATGTTTCAGCTGCCCGCAAATGTGACCCCCAAATTTTGCCCGCAAGCTGGTTGCCCGCAAAGTGGTTGCCCGCAAGTGTCGCGACGCCCAAGAGGGCACTTGGCAAAGCCAGACCCCCCATAAACAAGGTGATGGTCACTCTGGATGGTGCAGTATTGGTATCTCACAATGCAGATCGTTGAAAGTTTGCCAAAATGTAAATGCTGGGTACTGCAGTATTCAGATAGACAGCTTATAATAGAATATGCCTTTAAAGACACGCCGCGGAATTCCAAAAGTCCTAGGCGACGATGCGCAACACCACGTTGTAAAGACGACGCTCCAGGAGTTGAGTTAATAGAGATACGGGACTCTCCTTCGTCCGGAGTACTCGATATGCATGTCTCAAACAGATTGCTACCTTTCCAAGAATCTAATGGGTTTCATCCGTGGTAGGGAATTTATTATATCAATCAAGACCCTGTTGAACGGGCTTTCAAAAGTTTCATCGGCTCCGGAAGCCGGGGTTTCAAAGCCACTGGCAAAAAATGCTTTCAACGCGTTACAATAAGCGTGTTATGACACATGGTGATGATTTTGATCAAAAATATAAGGATGGTGACATACAAATCAAATCGGGTTTCGTGGCCAGAAACAGCCATTTCTTGTCTGTTAGGCTTCTAGACAAGAAATGCGTAATTCTTGTCTCAAATTGCGCAATATTGCGCAAATTTCTGCTCTCTCCCCGTGAAGATTTTTTTCTTTTTTTCTCTGCTCAGACAAGAATTAAGAAAAAAGAGAGAATTGCGCACTTCTTGTCTAGAAGCCTAACAGACAAGAAATGGCGGTTTCAGGCCACGAAACCCGATTTGATTTGTATGTCACCATTCTTATATCTTCGTTATTACGGTAAATTTCTTTGTACAAAAAATCTTTTGAAGAACGACAATATTTGTGGGATAACCTAATATTAACAATACTCTCATTTTGATGCGACGACCCGCCTTTATTTTCCCGACAGACTGATAACACTTATTTTCGCTTCGGGACTGGGAAAAAGGATTTTTTGGACAATTTGAAGAAAATTTTTAAATGTTTTCGCTTCGGGACTTGGGAAAATGGATTTTTTTGGGGAATTTGAACAAATTTTTGAAATGTTTTCGCTTTTATTTGCATACAATCATTACGACTATCTTCTTACTCCACTCTCTGGCACTGTCTGTGTTTAAATCCCGTGCTTCCAGTTAAAAACATAAACAATGGATACGATTTTCTTATTTGCTCGTCGCTTATAAACACTATTTTCCTAAAAAAAAATAAAAATAAAGCTCAATTCTCAAAAAAATCCTTTTTCCCAAGTCCCGAAGCGAAAACATTTCAAATTTTTTTTGCAAATTCACCAGAAAATTCTTTTTTCCCAGTCCCGAAGCGAAAATATTAAACGGTATCGTTGACCCGAAATGACGTTGACCAGAAGTGTCGCGACCAGAGTTGTCGCTGACCCGAAACGCCGTAGCGCCAATAAATGTAATTTTTTCTTGTTTTTGCACGCCTTTTGGTGTGCAAAAAAAAGGTACCCAACGCAATACTCCAGACCCCATAGTACTTTCCTTGTTAAATTAAAGCTGGGCTAAAAAATTTTTTAACTAGACTACGCTAACAGGGGTGTTTATTTCCTCACGTTCAAAGTGTAATGTACATCCAGAGGAACGACAGAAAAAAATTTATCTGAAAGCGTTCTCTTGGGTTTATAAGTCCAATTAAAAACAGGGCAGATGACAACCGAGAAGAAAGAGTAACGATTTGTTGATGTTTTGTATAGAAGAAGGGAGTAAAATAACCGAAAAAGTCTGATTGACTCGTTATTTCCAGTGTTCTATTTTTCTTTGAAAGAGGTTTTTCCGAAAAAGGTCGGCCTATCGTAAGAGCAAGGGTTATCAATCCATGTTGACGTCTTTTCTGATAAGAATGGCGCGAATATCAGAACTATGCATAATATCTCCCGGGAAGTCGGTTTAACCTTATTTGGAGCTTTTTATAAATGGACACCCTCAATGGGAGGGACAAAAAAATCGATGATGAATTCTGGTATTTAAGAGCAGCGACCCTTTGATGCATTCCAGTTGATAGAATACTAAAATTAAGGACAACGTTTATTCAGGGGGCATGAAGGGCATCGTCCTATTTCTCTTTCTCCTAGCCCCATCTTCGGATGCCGACCCCTATGATGATACGCACAACATTGGCAGCAGGGATTTGATGGTACATTTGTTTGAATGGAAGTGGAATGACATTGCTCAAGAATGTGAGAATTTTCTTTCTAAAAATGGATATGGTGCCGTTCAAGTAAGATTATGAAGATCTAAAAAACAACTTTATTGTCAGATCTCTCCACCCAATGAGCATATCATGATTAATGAAAACAACGATGTCCCTTGGTTTGTAAGGTATCAACCAGTTAGCTATCAGCTAAACAGCCGAAGTGGAAATGAAACGGAGCTTCAGGATATGATCCGACGCTGCAATGCAGTTGGAGTCAGAATCATTGTAGATGTTGTTCTAAATCATATGGTGGGAGTCAACCAGAAGGCGGGACAAGATAAACGATGGTCTTCTGGTGCTTCTCATTTCGATGCTGCCCAGGGAGTTGAATATTTCCCTGGAGTCCCCTTTAATAAATCTGATTTCAACGACCCGTTGTGTAATCACGATATCGAAGGCCCGGATTACCAACATAATGCCGCCCATGTCAAGGAATGCCGACTGGTTGGCCTGTTGGACCTGAACCAGGGAAAACCAGAAGTTCGCGAGAAGATGATTAAATATCTTAATAACTTGATCGAGTTTGGAGTTGCTGGATTCCGTTTTGATGCATCAAAACATATGTGGCCAGATCACTTAAAATTGATTTTGGACGGAATGAACAACTTAAGATCTGACGTAAGGCTTGATTACAGTAGAAGGATATCTCTATAGATCTTCGGAGAAAACCAACGACCTTTCGTTGTCCATGAAGTCATTGACCGAGGAGGAGAAGCCGTTAAGGTCGACCAATATCTCGAAATCGGAAGATACACTAACTTCAATTTTGGAGCAGCCGTTGCATCGGCGATTAGAAAAGAATTCGACGTTGCGTAGGTCATAACGCTAATTAGAAGCAATTTTTTAAAGCGAGCTTCGTAATATGGGAGACGGATTTCGCTACGGTAATAAAGAGTCTTTTAATGTACTAAACTTTATCGACAACCATGATAATCAAAGAGACGAATATCCATATGTGGTGACATATAAGAATCAAGGCCAATATGTCCAGGCAGTTGCATATATGCTTGCTTGGAATTACGGTTACCCAAGAATCATGAGTAGCTTCAATTTTTCGAATTCTATCCAAGGCCCTCCAAATAATGGACCGGAAGTACGATTCAGCATAAAATCTCCGCAATTCGAGGCTGATGATACTTGTAAAACTTCAAGTGGGTGGGTTTGTGAGCATCGCTGGCCTCAGATCCGACGAATGGCCAAATTCAGGGAAGAGGTCGGCTCGGCAACGATTTCCGAAATACGGACAGGACCTCATATGCTGGCGTTTGCTCGTTCTGGCCGCGGATTCTTTGCTTTGAACAACAACCCTGGGGAATTCATTGAGTAAGGATAAAAAGGAAACCCTAATGTGTGTTTAGACAAAATGTGATGACCACATTGCCTCCGGGTCTTTACTGTGACCTTTCATCAGGACTGAAGGCCCAGGGAGTCTGCACCGGGAAGTTTATAAATGTCACCTCGAACGGTAAGTTATATTTTATATTGTACTAAAACCGAACCTTGAATTACAGGTTCCGCCGACATTTATATCCCCGGACACAACTTCTTGGCCATTTCTCTCTCAAACAGATTGTAAAAGAACAATGTTTTGGAATAAAAGCTCTCGTGAAATCCTTTTAAGCCTAGTATCAGATAACTTGGAATTCGTTTCGAGTCTCTCTAAACACAAGTTAGGCCGGATCAGTCTTTTTTAAAGTTGGGTTTAGAGCGCATCAAACCAACTTGTCCAGATATTGCGGACAGACGAAATGGCGGGTTTCTTCTCTTCTTTCTTTTTGGGGTGCCAAAGGCTCCGGTTTTCATACGAGTTAGTTCGGGAACATCGGCACGAACCAAGCGAAATTTGTTTTCATGGAATTTCTCGCGCCATAAGGTCCGTAGAATTTGCACAGTGCGTTTTTTTTCGCGCACGATGCTGCAACGTCGGCGAAAAACTTCTATGGAACAACGAGTAGAACATAAGCGAGAAAACATCTTCAGCGAATGTTTACTAGAGTTCACGCTCTTGCTCATTCGCTTGGGTTTGTTTGGAAGGTCTGCCGATGTCGTCATTATAAGTATCCCCCAATTAAATTCATTAAATTAAAAGCAGACTACCGATTTAGTAGAGAAGAAAAGGCGGCCTAAGCTTTTCTTTCTTTCACGCTTTTGCCACCCAGGAATCTCTTCCTAAAGTTATTTCAATTTTATGACATGTTACATATTAATTTTACTCTGTTCACTCAATTTTATGTTTCGTGTATTGACTTTCCCAGGACGTTGTACTTGAGTTTTCAAGAAAAACATGAGCTAACATGAAGTTGAAGCAATTCGACATAACCTTTGACAACCCAGAAAAGACATACTTTGCCGGCCAAGAAATTTCCGGAAAGGTAAGAGAGTGAAATACAATTTACTTGTTAGTAATGAACATACCTTGCTAGAAATACTTTCGACTTTCAGCTTGTTTGTCGGGATCAATTTTCATTCTTTGAAACTTTTATAGATACTATTGGAATTGGAGGAGGCCAAACAAATAAACGAAATTCTATTGGAATTAAAGGGACGGGCCAAGACTTACTGGAGTAAACACTCGGGAAAGTCCAAAACGCACTGCACTCAGAGCGAACCTTACTTTTGTGAGCAATTCAACACCAAATTCACACACTCCTTTGAGAAGAAAATCAACGCAAAAAATACAGTAAGTAACCCTTAATTGACCAAAAAAAGCACTGTGATGTTAATCATAACTCAGCTCGTTACACATCGAATAAGATGATTTTTGGCTATCTTGTTGAGAATCGAATTTGACACACATAGACTAAAAAATTTTTGTCAATACGATCATGCAACCTGCACTTCTGGGTTGCAGAAGTTTTAAAAATGAGATTTTTTCAATTGTCATCGGGAAGTTTATACTGCGGGGTTCCTTACAATATTTATATTTTCTGAAAGCCAGTTTTTTTTCTCTACCACCATACCAAATTTCAGCCTTCTAGCTCAAACAGCTAGCGAGATATTGAGAGATAAAGCAAGCGCATTCCGAAAAAAATTGAAAAAGTCGCGGAGATCGGTTGTGGCCCAAAAGTACAGAATGCCGTGCGGACGTAACCATTAATTTTTTTATTCTTTTAGCGAATTTGGCGACGGAAATCCAAAAATTTTCCAAGTCCGAGAATTGTAAAAATTGTAAAAATTTGAAGTTTCACCGATTTCGGGCTCCAAAATTTGGAATAAAAATGTCAAGGCTAAAAGCGAGCAAAAGTCTCCGCCGAATACAATATGTTCCGCGTCGACGGAGAAAAAATTTTAAGAAAAAACGCCCATTTTCTTCTTTCTATTGCCAATATAAATGTATTTTAGGAAAGAACTATACCCAAAGGAATCCATGAGATCCCGTTTTCTTACACCCTTCCAAAGAATCTTCCAACATCCTTCGAAGGGGATTTTGGTTTTGTCAGATATACTTGTCGGGCCATTTGTGAACGGCCTTGGGACTTTGACATCGTTTCAATCTGTCCATTCACTGTAGTTGGAATCGAGGATATCAATCAGGACAACGATGTAACGCACTTTTTATCATTTCAATTGTTTCCGCCGGGTGGTGCACTTATATAACTGGTCTCTGTTTTGCAGGCCTTGGAACCAGCAACCGCATCGGAAACAAACAGAAAAGTATCTTTTTGTTGCCGTCGTCAAGGCATTATTCATGTTGAATTGAATCTTAATAGAACAGGATACACGCCCGGAGAAAATATTATTGTCAATGCCGTGATAAATAACGAAACACAGAAGACCCTCAAAGCTTCACAAGCGAAACTAAAGCAGAATGTAAACTACAAGTAAGCCCTAAGCTACGACTGGGCGTCGCGACATTTGCGGGCAGCCGACACCTGCGGGCAGCGGACGTTCGTAGGCAACAGGACAAAATACGGCGACTCTGCAGGTACTTTTGGAGATATGTCGACGCTTATTTTCTTTAGATTCTTTTTCTCAACCAAACTTTCCTCTTTTTCACAATCTTTTTATCCAGATGAAGTGTCTTGAATTATCATAAGTACAAAAGAACTGTATCTGATTAAATCGGCCGAAGTCGGTCATCATCTTTTTTATGATTTGGCTCATTTAATTCTGGCTGTGGATTTATGGGGTTCTGAGATTGAACAATGGTCTGCCTGTCGAGTTAGTCAATCTCCACTAGGCTTCCTATTCTAAAACTCGGATCAGCGCGTCGCCATCCTGAGGTTGCTCATCTTATTCCGTCTGCTTCATTGTCAGCAAGGATAACATACATGCTCATTGTCTTGCTACTGGTTGAACCTGTTTCCCAGCAAATATTGCCTGCCCGCAAGTGTTGGTGCTGCCCGCAGAGGTTGCCACCAAGTGTGCGCCCGCCTACGACTGATATAATTTCAAAAATTCCAGAGCAAAAACTTTTCTCGGAGTTGAATATGTGAAGAATGTATCTAAAGTGGTGGTGAAACTGGATAAAGGGGAAATTCCACCGACTTCTGAGTTCAGGTGGTCAAACCAAGTCATCCAAATTCCGGCACTACCCCCGAGACTGTCGAAATGCAATATCATCGACATAAAATACTGCATTGAGCTTGAAGTAAACTCTAGAATCTAAATTCATACTTAATATACCTAACCTTATAAATAATTTCAGGTTGATACAGTAACCGTACAGATACCAATCACCATAGGAACCATTCCGAAGATCTCAGACATTGTTGGAAAACTAAACAGCAGTGCAGCAGAACGCCTATTTCCAATTCAATTAACGGTTACCGATGACACCGGTAACATAATGGAACCCAAAGAGGACGCCGAACTTCTAAGTGAAGAAGCGGAAGCCCTAATCATGTCCAAGAAACGGGTCCGGATGCCCAGTTCCATACTTAGTGAGCTCTATCCGACTTTACCATCGCCGTACTACAAGTGAGAAAATCGTTTGTACCTAAAATAATTTTTAGGGAATCTTTCTTTGGTCTTGTCGACATTTCCGAGGAGAAAGAGTCAGTTCAGTATGGGACGACACTTTACGCACCTAAGTATCCGTTTTATAAGGATTAGTAATTACCTCTACAACTATTTATAATTGTAAAAACCTGATATACATATACAATGTTCAAACAATTATTCGTACTTCTAAAAGTTTTAAAGCATAAAAAACGCGAAGAGTTATCTGATCCAGTTCTAAAGCTCGTCTTATCAAAAGAAGGAGTACACTAAGAGCGAACCTTGTTTGAGATTCATATGTGGCTAAAACGAGCTTTCATCAATTACATACAAGACGAGGGAGGAAACCCTGCTGAAATTTTCCATCGTATAAAATGTCCCGCCGCTTTCGAAAGCTCGGCCGCAACTCAAAAAAATTCAATAAAATTATTTTTTAAATTTTTTGAGAGTCAAGGTCTAGATACTCAATTTGGATCAAACGGCGTGGTTGGCAGCGCCCCCTAGTTGTCGGTGGTCATCTATTTTATCAGAGATCAGTGAGCTTTTATCTGTCCTACAAAGAGGGCTTTGGGGGAATCCCTCCGTCTGACCAAAACACCTGCTTTTAAAATTGTTTTTACCATCAGCACAAATGTTTCCCTCATTGGGCCTTGGTATATATTGCCGAGTGCTGCAAATTGGTCAAATCCATAGGGTCACTTTGATAAGAGGCCGGCGGCGGACTTTGACTCCGGCCCCGTGGATTTGTCCAAAGGAGAAGAATGAAGTCAAATATTTGAAGCCAGACGAACGGTATGTCGTATGTTTCCTCCTTGGAATTTTTAGGGCTTATTTGGAGCAAGTTGCCCAACAAGAAAATTTGATTGCGGAACCGGAAGTTCTATATCCAAAAAAGACGGCATCTGATCTTGCTCGAACCCCAGAAGTTGAAGCCACATGGACTCAAGATTCAAAACGAGTTGGTTTGTTGGCCACAAAGATTGGAATGGCACCGCAATGGTAGGTTTTTACATTACGGTTTATCCCTTTAGGCTTAACGATGGTACTCGGGTGCTCTGCACACTCCTTCATGTTCAACAAAACCATGTCGTAAGTGCCGTTGACCCAGATACTTGGTTCAAACAAACTTCAGTGGGTAAAAGGAAAGCGTTTGGACGATTCGGACCAATGTGGAAGGTATTTGCCTATTTTGTACGTATAATTCTTAATTTTAGGTAACAGTGGGGGCCATTGACGCCAATCCGGCATTTTTGTCACATCCTTACCGTCGAATGTTTGATAAAGTCGGAATCCCTTGTAAGGACAAATTGGCATCGTTCTTAGTAACCGAGAATGCTGTTGTTTCGCCCGGAACCAGACTGGAGGTCAGGCATTTCACAGTTGGCCAATTTGTGAATGTGTCTGGGAAAACGATAGATTGGGGATTTCAAGGAGTAATGCATCGGTGGGGAATGCGAGGACAACCGAGTTATCACACTACCAAATCACACAGAAGAGTCGGAAGTATTGGATCGACTGGAGATGCAAGAGTTTGGCCGGGAAAAAGGTTACCTGGACATATGGGATACGAATGGAGATTAGCGAGTGGATTGGAGGTTATGAGGATCAATCCTGTTACTCAAGTAATCTATGTAAAAGGATGTGTGCCTGGGGATCATGGAGAACTTTTATTGATAAATGACTGTTGGAACGAGAAGAAGGAAGTGAAGGAACCCCCCTTCCCTACATTTGTTCCCGAAGAAGGAGATGATTTGGCTTTGTATAATTGTGCTGTCGACGCGCCCATTTCTGATATCACTGCTTATGATATCTACCATCCAAAATTGTTCAGATTCACCAGTCCTTCCATTGTTTACACTGAGGAAGACGAAACCAAGAGTGCCGCCAGGGAAAAAGGTCGTGCTAAGATTGCCAAGGTTAAGAAGTAAGAATAGAATTGTTGTTGTTTTTTTCCAATAAATTAGGAATTGTTTATGTCTCTTGTTCGCAGACGGTTGGATGCCTGACATTACATCACTTATATTCGTTATGAACTGGTTAATTATTATAGATTGTTTAGATGGCAAGGAAACCTGTTTCAGCGGCAAGATTGCCAACAACAGTCTTGCTACCTGTTTTTAAATACCTATGTCTTAAGGATCTCAATTCGTGTGCTAGGGTATGTAGACAATGGAATACAATTATAGAAACCGCGGTAAGGTGTCTTTCTTTCTGCGAAGAAACAAATTTTAGGACCGCGAGTTGTGGCATACTTTTGCTCTTGCCGAGATTCCAGAAGCTGGATTAAACGATTCTGATTTGTTTCCTAGGGGAACCTCTTTTAAACATAGACTTCGTGCATTCAGATATGCTTGGAATCCTCAAGATTCATCCAGGTAGTTTGAAATAGTCATATAACAGTAATCTGTTTAGAAACAACTTCTTGAGGACTAATGGGTTTACTGTTCATAGACAGCCCATTGCCCAGAGTACGGACGCGATCAGGGGGAAGATTGGAGTTTCTACAGGAGTTCATGCCTATAATATAACATGGAAAGGCCCTCTTGGTACTGTGGCTGTCGTCGGAGTCGCCACAAAGTGAGCTCTGGTTCCTTTTCTTTTTACTTGTTTTACAAAATAAATGCGAAAAACGGATTTTTACAGGCACGCAGCACTACACTGTCCTGGCTATGTTGCTTTACTGGGAAGCGATGACCAAAGCTGGGGGTGGAATCTGGTGGATAATACTTTGCTTTACAATGGGAACTGTGTTGGTTCGTATCCCCGTCTGAACAACCCGCCAAAGTATCAGGTTGGAGAGAAGATAACGATGATCCTCGATCGAGACACGGAGACCTTGTTCTTTGAGAAGAACGGCGAGTTCTTTGGCATCGCTTTCGAAAACATTCCTCCAGTTAAACTCTTTCCAGCCATTTGCGCTGTTTACGGGAACACAGAGGTCTCAATGGCATATGCGGGTACACCGCTTGCTGGTTAGCTGACTCATTCCGCATTCCTGGATTGTTTTTTGGATTCTCTTGGACTGTTTCTTTTGGTTATCATCACATGACTCATCAAATTCCAGGTTAAAAAGGGCTGACCTAAGGCCTTTATCGATCTCATTTCTCTTAATTTATTTTTTTATTTGCTTCTACCACTTCCAAATTGTACATAAACAAACGCATGATCTAGTCTACAACTTCAGGTCTCTTGTCCATGAAATACTTTTATAAAGCTTACAAGTTCCGCTTAAAACCGTACCTTTATTGGGAAATGAACGAAGTTTTATTGAGTTTTTTGCGATGAATCGAAGGGACGCGAATTCCAAAGCAGGGGAGGGGGACTTGGAGGGCCTGGCGACCATTGTCGCGCACACAGAATGGTGGTAGAAATTGACATTGAGCCAACTGATCGGTCCCCCGGTGAAACGAAGGGCGGAACCGGCCCTTTATTTCGCTGTCCGCACTCCAATTTTTCTCCCCCACCTTCCACTTCCCCCTCCCCAATTCACAGCTCCGGTTAGTTTGTAAACAAAAACAACACGGCATTGCTTTGCCTGATTCCTTCTCTGTCACTCCCAACAACCTTGTTGGACTTGATTCGATTTGATTGTTTTCGTCATGTCGCAAACCGCACTTATCACCGGCGCAAACTCCGGAATCGGTAGGTGTGCCTTATCGCTCGTCAGTTTCTCCTTTAGGCCTCCACACCCTCAAGCGTCTCTACGCCACTGGCCACTACTCTAAGATAATTGGAATTGCCCGCGATGCCACCAAATGCAATCAAGCCCTTGAGGCTCTGTCCAGCATCACTGCCCCAGCTGGCGAGACAACCGTAGAGTTCTATACAGTAAGAGCCTTTATGAGTCATGTCATGAAAGATTTTTTCAGTGCGATCTGACATCTCCAAGTCAGGTCCAGAAACTCTACGACGAAGATCTGAAGGGCATCGACAAGATAGATCTGATCGTCAACAATGCCGGAGTGATGGACCATCCATTGACTGTAAGCTTTTGTTTACTCTGCTAATTATTTGTTTAGTTCACTGATCATGGGATCGAATATCATTTTGCTGCCAATTACTTGGGTCATTTTCTTCTCACCAAACTTCTGCTCAACAAATTATCTCACGACGCTCGCATCATCAATGTAACCTCAGGCCACTATAAGAAGGTAAGGCCTTTCTGTTGGTTACTTTGAAAGAAAGTGTGTTTCATACTTAAAATTAATATGTTTTCTTCTGTTTACACGAAGGGGGAGTTTAATAAAACTCACTAGTCAGTCAGGTATATTTTAAATTTAAGATTTCCTTAGTGTAATTTTTTTAGACAAATAAGATTCCCGTGCTCGAGACTGTGAAGATCGTTGATGGAAAAAAGCCTCGAGGATCTCCCAAATTTTTCTACGCCCAAAGCAAACTTGCCCAATGCCTCTACACCCTTGCTTTGAAGGATTATCTGGAGGCAAATGGCCGAGGTTCAGTGAAAGTTGTGTCTGTCAGACCTGGATTCATCCGAGGCACCGAGTTGGGAAGATATCACAGCAAATTTATCAGGACTATTTCCATCCCTCTGGTTCTTCTTTTCTCCAAAAATCTTGAAAAGGTAAATATTCGATAGAAATAACTGCTTTCTGCATCCACTTGTTAGTCCTATTCTTTGTCTTCCTTTTTTCTTAATTTCTGAAACTAATTGTACTCCCCGCGCATTTTTAAGTTAATTACCACTGCGTTTATTTTGAGCATTATGTCACAGCAGGGGATCAAAGTTTGGTGGAAGTTGAAGGCTAACGTCATTTGGGGATTATCTTTTCTGACTTCTTTCTCTTGGCTGCCGAAAAACCTTTATTTTATGTGCAAGTTGTGAAGTCCAAATTGAGGCTTCGTTTAATCCATTCATTTTCAGGGCACGGATGGAATTGTTTTTGCTGCGACCGCTCCCTCAGGTGATGTCCAGTCCGGCAAATTGTACTGCAATAAGAACGTGGAAGAATACAACCGACTGGTTACTGAGGAAAACGCGAAGAATCTCTGGCAACTTAGCGAGAAACTTCTGAGCGTCTGATTTTTCTTCTCCATGTCCAGTAAATTTTCAGACAGGCCGCTCCAGCCAGCCTCTCTTGTTTTGTGCTCGCCCGGCTTTCTTTTCGATTCTCTTGACCTCCACAATAAATGCATACTTGTATTGCAGAATAAATTAACTGAATCTTTTCCATCTAATGTCATCAGTCGACCTTTTAAGGCGGGTTGGCCCAGGGGGGCGCATTTCCGTCGGCCAATATGGTTTCTTCTTCTTGAATCCGTTGTTGGCGCCAATTATTTGGCCAAGGTGAGAGGAGCCAATTAAAGCCGGACTTTGTGCATGGATAACTCGAGTCGGAGTTGTTATTGGGACATCAAAAAAATAGTTTTAATTTCCCGAAGATGGATGATGCTCTCCTTCAGCCCGCTCATCTTCGCCTCCTGGACCTCCGGCTTCATTTTCAGTACTGATTCCCCGATGAGTTCTGGACAAACAGACCCGCAGGCCGTTTCTTTAATAATGGTCTTTATTCGGCTGCTAGCTGGACGTCTTCATTCCAAAACATTCACGGGTCCATAAATTAATTCCCTGCATCAATTATGTCCATTTTACGGTAGATTCTGTTCTGCATTGGTGTTTTACAATGCCGCAAACTTGTCTTGCAATTGTCATCTCATTTGAAAGTCACGATGATTTTAGAAAATGCTTTCTTTTGAGAGGACGGAAACAAATCCGGGTTTTTGATATGAATTTTATTTATTCTGAGACAATGACCCGCATTTCTTACCTTTCCGGCGCGTTTCCTTCTATAAAATATTTAAATTCAACCCTGACATTTGGTTCTGTTTAATCTTTAATTTTTCTCAAATGTTTGGATTTCTAAATTTATTTCTGGACCTTGCGTATTGAGAACATGACCAGCAATAGTGCCCGCCCTCCGAGAACACCGGTCTTGGATTTGGGATTAATACGATTAGTGACTTCGTTCTGACTCGGTGGTTGCCTCAGGGTATGATGTTACAAACACTGTTCGAATTTAAAATGCCGTGCCCTGTTTTGATCCCATTTCCGGGGACGACCCAGTCCTAGGGTAATTAAAATATGTCTAAGCTCTCCCTCAAATCGAGAGTCTGGTGCTCGGGGCCTAATTTGGACATTATATTCGTCTAAACGGAGACTATTTTTTCAGGCACAGCCCGAGCCTCTTTACGCTTGATGAACCACAACCGGAGCTCGACGTCGATTCATGTGAATCCCCTCCAGCACCATTGTTATCTCTATTTCGGAAGCGATTTATCATCCTCTGAATGCATAAATCTGCTGAGTTTGATCATCCATTTGGACAAAAGCGGCGTCCCCAAATGTTTCCCCGAGCGGCGAGGTGAGGCATTTTTAGCAACGGATAAAGAGATTTCGTCGTATTTACCTTTTTTGGTCATCCAGATTTTAAGGAATTAGCCAGAGATTACCGTTCTCTTCCATGACTTTTCAAATACCAAAGTCTATTTTTAAAACCAAAAATGGGGTGTTGCTTGATTACAATTGTATATCAAATAATATAATCGGTTTTAAAAACTTCTAAATTTTAATAAGGCTTGTCTGCACGGTGCAGGTTAATTATGTTATGATTATATTTCTTACAGGCCCACTGGTCGAACACAACGACGATTACTACAAACCCTGTGCCGAGTATGATCATCAGATCACCCGCTATGTACTCCCTATTCTCCAAATCCTCTGTTTCTTCGGGAATGCCTTTAATCTCCTGATCTATCGCTTGCCCTACTTTGATGGGAGCAGTTCAGTGAACTTTCTAAGAGTCAAAACTATCGCCAATTTTATTTTTGTGGAGTCCAGACTGTTAGAAGTACTGCATGCTTTTACTTTCGAACCGAACTCCCAATTTGAGCCGTTCTATTGGAAGACGAAACCTTTCATTATCACCATTGCTAACATCAGCGGAACACTCTCTACATGGTAATTAACTATCTTCTTTGAAAGGATTAGAGAGCTTAGAACGCCCAGATGACATAATATTAACTGCATTTTGCAAAGATTTTTTTCAGGTTGACCTTGTTCGTAACAATTGAAACAGCGTTATGTGTCATCCTGCCATTTAGTTTCCGTCAATTGTGTACTCGAAGGACGACGATGACAGTTCTCTTTAGCTCTATAATTTCAAGTACTCTTCTACATTCGACCTTCTTCTACACTCACACAGTTCGGCCAGTAATCTCGGTACAATGGCCGAATGGGACCAGGAGTTCGAATGATATCCCCAAATGTTGGTACATATCACTCAGTTATTCGTTGCAAGCAGACAGTCCGAGGGTTCAGGAGATCTTTGAGAAGGTCTATTATTGGAGTCAGACCATGTTTTCAATCGTCATTCCAAATATTGTTATGCTTATTTGTTCCGTCCTTATCGTTACCAAATTCACTTTTAAAGTAAGTTTTCTTAAGAGTCTGTACTTTTCCTAATTGAAGTTATTTTTAACTGTCAAATTTGTGTTAAGCGGACAATACGAGACGCAGAGTTCAATTATATTATTCACCAAAAGCACCTTTCAGGAATTGGGGGAAGCCTTTTCCCAGCGTCGCCGTTGTGTAATTCGATTGACCGTTGCCACGACATTATCTCATTTGTTATTTGAAGGCCCGGCCCTTCTGACGTTTGGAGCCGCCGCCATTAAGGGAACAGACTCGGACCAACACAACCTCACAGTATGTATTCTGAACCACACCAACAACCTCCTCTCGATTATCAACGCTACGATTCCTTTCTTTGTTTTCTTGGCCTGTAATCAGCAGTTCAGAAACATGAGTACCATCTATTTGAAGGCCCAAACCGAGTTGCGACGAGAAAAAAGAGAGGCTTTGATGGCGCAAGCCTTAAATCGCAGTCGCCTCGGGGGCACAGCGAACCATTCCAAGGTTTCAAATCTTTAAAACACGTCTTTAAATAAACACTCGGGTACATAAACAAAGAGATATGTCACATAAAGATTTTCTGAGGTTCTTTTCGTTTCGAATTCAGCGGATGTAGTTCAGTTTCGTCGGCAATTCTGAACTTGTCGCCGTTCATCTGACGTATTCGAAGAGAAGATTCTAACGGGATGGGATTTCTGAGATCAGACGGCTCAAAATCGACCGGCCTGTGAGTACGCCGATGGATGACAAGCACCGCTATCGCAAAGATGACTACAAAAACAATGGCCACTGAACCAGCAATAGCCAGGGGAACGAAGAGGGGATTTTCCGCCTTCTGAGGAGCACCTGGACGATCCACAATTAACTCCTTTGATGGCTCGGTTGGCCCTACAAAGGTGATCTTCTCCTTAAACGGCCACTTCGACGGTTGTTGCTGTCTGCTGTACATGTTTTCCCTTGTCGATTTCTTTGCTTGTCCACATAAGAAATCGGGATAGTTCTCCTGTGTGTAACACAAACAAGATACGTTGACATTTTCTCCAAAGTCCGGCTTCATTTTCCGACAATCCAACTGATGGCAGTATTCATCCGGTTGTTTGAAGCAACAATCGCATCTGCGGGCACTTTAGATTATTGGAAGTCACTTACTCGTTTACCCGTCTTGTCTTTCTACTTTCGAAACAACGGGTCAGAAATTGGGAGCAGTCTTTTTTGTTGTCCAGTTGTCTGAAAAGGAAGATTGTAGTAGAAACGAACGCATTACCTGCAGATACAGACTGATGGGGCCATTCTTTTGTTGACCACTTTATAGGCACTCAATCTCGAGCAGAACATGTCTCGCCAGTCATATTCACATTTGCAGGGCCATTCGAAAACAAACATTTTATCCAAAGCCCGAAAGGCCGAGGCCACTGAATTCTGATGCAACAAATAATCATCATGACTTTCTGCAATTAAAATTAATCAAAATTCAGATTATCTTACCTGATGAACATTGGAAAGCACTTGGATTAGTGGACGGAAACAGAGAGAATACAAGGGAAATAAACATCAGCATCTTCTTCCATTTAATCTCCGAGTAATCAAGTCATCATAACTCTGAAGTCAATTCAAATGTCAAGATATTCGAGAGCTATTTCAAAAGTAATGGCCGAAAACCTCTGGAGAAAGTACGGCCAAAAAAGGAAGGAAGAAACGCTTCGAAAAAGTAATCTTAAAATGTAAATCTTCAGAAAACTGACTGAATAATTTAAAAGAGTAGTCAGGAATACACTTCCAAATGAACCAGAAGGAAATATGCAGTAATCACTCATCGCTTACTTGAATCCTTGTATTATCAAAAAATCAATTCATTTAATTTGCAATGACACCAAAGTAATTGAAAACGGTTACTGTAGTTCTAATTGCCATGCAGAATTAGACCTCATGCGGGGACATTAAAGGTTTTATGAGTGTCGTATGAAATCATCCAAATACCTGCTCAAAAAGTAAAGGAAAAGGATCCCTTCTCCCCCTTCCGTCCGAAACTGCTCCAAAATGGAATCCAATCCCGAAACGAGCCTTTTCCGACCGATTCAAAAGCATTTTGAGTTTTTTTACTGGCTGTTAATCTCTGCATGGACCACTTGCCGACGCACTCCTCAATAAGTGGTGTCCTGAAGTCGGAGTCAGCTTGACATATTGGGAGATGCTTGGTTCGCCCAAAAAATGTGAAAACGGCGTCTTTTGTCTTTCAGAATTATCTTTTGCCACACCAACACAATGCTTTCCAGACATGTGCTGTTCGGTCCAACATAAACACAGCCATAGCGCATAAACAATATTAATACGCAGTCTAGTTGCGGACTCGGGTTAATTGAAACCTCTTTTGAAAAAACTGTCTGCAAGTGGACGTATGACATTTGGAACCACTTCCGGCAAACTCACATGTTGCTAAGGAAAGGCCACCAAGAATAATTCCGAGGCATATAATAAATTGGTCATACTTTTAGGAGGAATTAACACGTCTGAAATTAAGCTGCTCGAAACCTTCTATAATAATAACCAACTTTTGTAGGTATGAACAAAAAAGTACAAAACGTGAAGTCAAGTACACTCGCTTAGGTAGCATAAACAATAATGACATTCTACAAACAGAATCTTCCAAGAAATTTTGAAGATTCTATAATATTATATTATCCTACGTATTGTATATAAATAATATGCATTTACATATTTAAATATAAATTTACATACTATTTAATTAAATAATTTACAAAGAAAATCTTCAAATGGCCAAAATTGCGCGAAAGCGAAAGTTGACACATTGGGTCATGTCTTCTTTTATTGGAAACAAAATTTTTTGGAAAAGGAAATAAGAAAGTATTGACAGATTTGTGCTTCTGAATCTGTTTAATGTAAACATACATGAACGTTCATCAAGTCCTCACTGGGGCTCTAAATTCAAACAATTTTTCTTTTTCAGTTGGATCCGTAGAAGGAAATAAATTTATTGTAAGTTGAAATAAATCATAATGTATTTGGTTTCAGGTTTGTGGAGTTGGTGTGAATGTCGTTATTCTAACTTCTAACTTTACACGGATTCAAGTAATACATTGCAATCAAACAGACTGCCTGGTCAGAGCGCTTAATTGTTGTTCCGACACTGGAAGGGTAAGATTAATACGAAAATATGAACTTTTTAGTTTGCTGTTGCTTATGGATCAAAGGTCAGAATTTTCGAGCCAACTCTTACTACAGACGGAAATGTAAGTTTGTTTATTAAATTTAGAATTTCCGTTAATTTAGATATTTCCTTATACATGGACAGAAACGCAAAGTATACAAACTGAAAAGCAAGTCAACTATCTGGAATGGGTGCTGGAAGGATTGCGATTACTTGTTTTGAGCGATAAAACAGTTATTTTATATCAGCATAGACTTCTGTCGACAGTTGTTAATCTGAATTCATCTTCAAAACATGTCGCTTTCTCCATAAACGACGATTTTGTAAGTGCAGCCGAAGGATTCAAGAACTTTTTTTTGTATTTTAGAGTTCAGCACATATCGAAGAATATTGGGAGAAATTGTGGTCAACGGAGCTCTCTTCGAAACCCAAATATGTCAAGTTCTCTTCTGATTCTACTATTTTTGCAACATGTGGAGAAAGAGATCGTTTTGTAAAGATTTGGTATCCACATGAACGTAAGTTGCTATAAATATTTTAAAATCCGCAACCTTTCATTCGAGGTAGATTTTATTTGTGGCAGATCAAGGGCAGTGCGAGGCCGAACATGTTAAAGAATGACTGTGGCGACTGGAAAATGGCTAGCCAAGCAGTTAGAATGATTGTAAAAGAGTAGGAGGGGCAGCCACAACCGTAATAGCTACCCAAAAAGTTGGGTGGTTGTAAAAAGGTTGACGTGTCAGCTAAATCAATTGCTAGCTGTTTTTGGGATGTGGATGCATTTCCAACACACTGATGAATATTCGGCCAATGCCCGGTATGCCCCAAATGAAATCTGCCCCAAATGAAGGGTAGTATCGTTATATTCTTTCTTAGATTCCCAAAGACCTGGTCAGTGTGATTTCTCTTACATTTATCTTCAACATCCTGGAGAAGTATATGGATTCGAATGGCGAAGAACTGGAAAATATGTTCCGAGGAAATGTGTGAGCAACGTCTTGATTACTTGGTGTTCTGACAACACGTCGAGGATATGGAAACAAACTCCCAGCACCAATGATACCGTGGAGCAATTACTAACAGCTGTCCAGGTAGTTCAACAAGAGAAGCCGAGCAGAAAGAAAGTATCAAATAAACACAACACTCTCAAGAAAGCGAGGACTCGACTTATCTCCAAGATCAACAAATTGATGTAAGCCCAGGTTCCTTTTTAGTTTTGTTTTTTAGGCATAACAAAAACAATTCACCGATGATGCCTCGGGTCAAGTTCTCGATGATTAACAGAAATGCGACGTTTGCTGATTTCGCCAATCCTGTGCACTCCCACAACGTCAGTTTCAGTTTGGCCGCGACGATCAACGCAGAGAACGGTAAACAGTAAAACTCTCATGAAAATGGCTTTTAGATTGTTTTCTCGTTCCATCAATGGATGGACGAGACACTCAAAGATCGTCGGCCTTTGCAGTTCATTGGTTAAACAACAAAGAGATGCTATTTTGTCATGGAGCCGAAAAGATTCTGGCCGAAGCTTTGTTTGGCGAGCATTCTGATAGTAGTGGTCATCGTTCCGGGACGGTTTCAGTTGAACTGACATCTCCTGTGGCCAATCCCGAAGGAACTCCAGCTCCACCAGATAACTTTTCGCTATTGCAGCCGGAGGGATCTGTGGGTACAGTATCCAATGGATCCACTGTTCTCTCAACTGAGATGGATGCTGCCAAAGATGTACTGGATGTGAAGATTGAAGGCTTGATTCAGCAATGGAATAAATCTACGGACATTTTATTTGCAGTACATCCGGTCGATGGAAGTCTTTTGACATGGTAACAATATTAGCTTTAATTTTGGAATTCATTGCTTCCAGGATGGTTGAGGGGTTGGACGATGAATGGAGACAATCCGTGGTCAGCTTTGCCAGCCGTTCTCCAAATGCGTTCCCCTTGACGGATGCTGCATCTTTGAATTTAGGACTTTATGTTTTTAGTCCTCACGAGGCCAATTTTATGGATCTTCAACGACATATGAATGAATTAGCGAATGATGGTGGGTGTATTTGACTGTGTATTGATTGATATTGTTATGTTCAGATGCCTTCCACTCTGTCAGCCTTCTCACAAGTCATGAAAACGGTTCCTTAAATCTTTGGCAACTTTGTATGGAAGATAACAAGTTGTACAACAACATCATTAATGTAATTCACCGGTATCGCATGTGTGGTCATCGTTTTCGAACTAATAACATTTCTCCTCACCCAATTCTCCCTCTTCTTTTGACTTCCAGTTCTCTACCAGCGCTTGAACAAAGTCCGGGAGAATCAGAATTGATTTTATGGAAGATTAATCCTGTAGGTCCTCTTTGTCAATCAGGCGGTGTGAGAGAACTCTCGAGAATAACAACTGTAAAGGACAACGCCTTCAAATGTCTCGCATGGGTTCCAGCTATTATCCCAAGGTAGGTAGTCATATTATAGATGGATAATTTATTGAGTTTGCAGTTTTGCTAATGGAACAGTATTCAATTCACCAAGTTCTTGTTTTATTACCTCTCGTGATGGCCATCTTGGAATATATCAAGCAGTATTGGATGCCAGAGGTCTGTTGGGAGAGTTGTTTTCTGGCAGTAGGCCCGAGTCAAGAGCAAGTTCAATCAGTTCGGAAGCTGAATATGACACTCCTGTTCAAACTGGTGTCAAGTTGGATGAGATGTTCAATGTGGTGTCGACACAATCCACTGGAAAGCCTGGGTGTATGATCTTCTTGGCAGATGTGGAAGCAGCAGAAATTGGAGATGATGAGATCTTACTGTTGCATGTATTCAACGAAGATCTCTTATCGGACTTTGACTACCATGGAAAAAGCGAATCTGGATTTAACTTCTTTGTCATACTAATACAGAAAACTAAAGAAGAAAAAATAACCTTGAAGATGTGGTCTTTGAATATCTCCGTCCAAAAACCCACTTCTATCACTCTGAATACAGGTACCTGTCCATTTTTTATTATAATTATTACAGGCTGCGGAAAAAAAATCGAAACTTATTTTTATAGCTATATTTTATTTGGAAATAATGTCCCTCTTCCTTAAACAACAAAATTTACCGTAATAATGGCGACTTATTTAATCAAAATAATTATCATCTCTTTTAACACGTGCCAAGATCTTTTTTATGCCGGTAGCTTCGAAAACCCCCGGTTCTTGGAGCCGATGAAATTTTCAAACGCCGTTTCAAGGGCGTCTTAATTGTGAACGGAATTCAATAAATACGTCATATCTCGGTGATGATGACGAATTTTTCAAAAAAAAATCACCAAGTGCTTTATTATCAGTTGGGACAAAAAGAAGTGAGAGTCAAATTCTAGGTACACCCTCCCTCTTCCATAGTTGGCGGAGTCCGTTTAATAGTATATTATGTAAGGGTCATTTGTATGCACATGAAAATTTTTGCATCAGGACCCATGAAAAAAGTTAAATTTTTTTGTCGTATTCAGTATTTTTAGAGAATCGAAAATTCCGGAGATTCTCCGTCGGCGGCCCTGAATTCTTGGCCACAGCGGCAGATGTGACTCCAACCGCAGCTCAATTAATCGTGAAGACGGTAAAAGTATACGATGATATTTTAAATATGCCATCCAACATAACCGTGGACAATGTCGTCACATCAGCAGGCCATCTTCCTTCTTCTAGCGTTTATCCTGCATGTAGAACTCCCTATCTTCTCTTATTATCCTGTTCTGATAGTAAGGTGAGATTTCTTCGATGCACTCAGAAAAAGGAAGGTGATCTTGAAACAACTTATTGCTGGGAAATATGGGGGATGATAAGTGGAATGGCTGACTCCTCTCTCTCGATTCCAGGTAACCTGCTGGGTACTGATTGATCGCTTTTCAGGAACTGTTTTCAGCATGGCTTCTGCTCATTCTGGTCGATTTGCTTGTGTATATAAACCTTTTACTTTGACGTCCCCGGTCGATATGTTGTCTTATTGCAAGAACCTTCATATTGCAATTTACGAATGTGAGACGTCAGGAGGTGTGGAATGGCTACAGGAAAAAAATGTTCGGCTAGAAGCTACACTGGCTACCGAAAGGAAGTTGTTGGACACTAAATTGTGGTGTAATGATGACGTCAGTCTTAAAGGAACAAAGAGTGAGTGGCTTTAGTGAAATGACGACCTGTTGTGTAGGTTTGATAAGGATTGATTGGGCCAGCAAAGAAGACGGGGGCCACATTCTGACGGTTGGAATCGGGAATTTGGTATTCTTCTTCACCCAGGTGTCTCTCGACAAAGCTCAGCAGAACGTCGCGGTCATGCAAGAGCAATCACGACCGCAGTTACGCCGTGATTCCTCTTTGGCATCAAGTGTAACCCACGCGAAGAGCGGACTGAGTGAATGGATTTGTATTCGTTATCTGGTATTAGAATCTGTGGATGGACTGGCCCCTTTACCCACAATAATGTCCTGGTTGAGAGATGGCCTATTTGTGGTTGGAATGCCCAGTGAAATGAGAGTTTACAGCCAATGGAATATGATCCCATTGAAAGCTCCGGGTCATCAAAGCCCCACTGAAACAAGCAAGCCGGGATGTCTGGTGAAGTCGGTGAAAGTTATGGGAATCCGACCGGTCGCTTCCGTATCTAATCTTAGCACCAGTCAGTCGCATTCAGTACTGGATCAGCTTTTGAAGAAAGCGTCAAAGGTTGAACTTAATAAATTGGACAAATCGGAACAGCCAAAGACTCTGGCTTCATTGGAATACATTGATTCATTGACCGATGAAGGTATATTTGAAGCAGCTCGGCTCTCCAATCCAATGCTTCCACAATATCATCCTAAACAGTTAATTGAAATGTTAAATGCAGGGAAAACAAAAAGAGTTAAAGCCATCTTGTTACATGTTCTCAAGGCACTTAAAGTAAGTCAAGTACTTGGAAAGTTATCGTATTTTTTAGCAATATCAGTCAAGCAACAAGACTCGGTTAGCTCGAGGAGCTTCGATTAGATTCAATTCCAGCAAGGATGGGGAAGACAACACCCAGAGTAATAATGTAAACCGTCAACGATCGGTGACAGTCTTGGATGATGAGGAACTTGAATATGATGAGTTGGATGGAATCCCTCCACTCCCTTTATACTCGTTGTTGGAGATGGATGAAGCTTACGATGGAGATGAAAGGGCCGCAAATATTGATGGGTCTAAAGATGTTTGTTGTGTCTAACAATTGTAAGAGTTTAATTTTTATTTTTAGGTATACGATTCATTGTTCAATGATCAAGAATCAGATGAAGATTTGGATGATGTCTTGGAAAGTCTTCAAAAGGCCGACTCTCGATCACGCTCTTCCAGGTCACGGCATTCATCCACTTGCAGTGACAATCGGCAAATTCAGAATTCATTTACATCCAGACACAGTCGTGTTTTGACTGAACTTCTTACTCACACTCATCTGCCTGGTCTCTCAAGTGTCGATCAAATGCATCTCTTAGCTGTGGCTGATACTCTTAGTCAGTTTTCTCCCAGTGTTATGGATAAATTGGTTCAAGTAAATGCTTGTAAGTTTTTTTTTTTTACAATCGAAATTTTATAAAAAAAATATAAATATTAATTTATTTTAGCATTGAAACCGGATCAGAAGTCAAATTTAATTGACACGGCGGCCTCTGGGTATGCAAGTTCTGGAACTGGAATTGAGACTGTCGATGAGTGTGGCCTGAGATTCCTTATGGCCATGAAACAGCATGATTATCTCCTTCTCTGTCTTCCAAGAGCTCAACGACAGAAGTTAAGACAACAGTAAGTGTGTTGGCTTTTAATGGTTATGTTGCTTCAGGGGAATGCCGATCTCACAGGTTATTTGGGCTTTCCATTCTGATGCCGAGAACGAACTTCTGAGTACAATTCCTTGTTATCAGAAAAGTCAGGAGACTTGGGATGGTCTTCGAAGTTATGGAGTTGCTTGGTGGTTGAAGAACAACACGACGCTTAGACTTATCATGGAGAAAGTGGCTAAGGCCGCCTTTCAAGCCCAACAAGATCCAATGGACGCTGCTTTGTTCTACCTGGCTATGAGAAAGAAAAACGTATTGACTCACTTGTTTAAGGTGCGTTTTTAGTTGTAAATATTACTGTATTTTTATTTTAGACTGTAAATGATAGCCGAATGTACGATTTTTTCCGGGAAGACTTTACTCAACAGAAATGGAAGAAGGCCGCGTTGAAGAATGCATTTGTATTGATGAGCAAACAACGATATCACAATGCTGCTGCTTTCTTCTTGCTAGGGGACTCTTTGAATGACGCCATTGAGGTATGTAACAACGAGGGCAAATCGGTTTTATTGCACTTTTAAAGACTATTCTCTCTCGACTGAAGGATCTCCAGTTGGCCATGGTTGTTGTCCGGTTATACGAAACGGATCCAGACAAACAAGCCCAATTAATGGAAGAGATGTTGTGCAAGAATATCTTCAGATTAAACGCTGTAGAACTTCATGATCTCAGCAAAAGAGACATGACCCAAGCTATCAGTCGGTTCCCAAAGACATCGACCGATCCTTTTGAAAGATCAATGGCCTTGTGGATGATTAAAGAATATGCAATGGCTGCTGCTGTACTTGTTGAAGAAGCGGCTCATGACTCGATTCATCGAGACAGCGATACTTCTTTGTCAGACATCTTCAACTTTTACACTTTCTTGCGAAGGAATCCGTTGGTAATCAGACAGAGAATCACAAATGCCGGGGTTCAAGTTGCTACAACTGAAAAGTTCTTGGCTTTCTCGAAGCATCTCGAAAACAGGGTGACCACGCACGAAAGGAGATTGTACTTTAGGACTGCCGCTCTCCATTTGGCTTCTGGATGTCCTTTATTGGCGTTGGATGTATTGTCCGTGCTCCCAACAAGAATGGTGACAACGGTCGACAAAACAACGTTCAATTCAGAATTAGAATTAGAGGACAAACAGGAGACGAAAGGAGGGGATACAGTGGACGCTCTTGATTGGTCAGCCCCAACAAATGTTGTTAAAGATAGTGAGCTGAAGTTGGACTGGGAAGAAGAGGAGGAGAATGAAGAAACGACGGAGATTGAGGAAGAGGTGAAGATTGCCAAGGTTGTGGATGATCAGATAGCTCAGTTCAGATTCGATTCTGATGATGACAAGCAGAATCATACGGATTCTCTTGACTTTATTGCTCAGCATATGAAGTTTGTGGCCGCATTGAAGATGATGGCCGATGAACTTTCAACTCTGGCGTCAGGGGCGGAAGTGGATGGCGGAGAATTACGTCACGATATGTTACAGTGGTTGTCAAGGGAAAGTTCGGTCTTGCGAGAGGTCTGTGATTATGCCATCGATGAAGAACTTCTCAACACAAATCCGTTTATTGATCCAGTTCTACGAAGAAAATGGCTGTTATCCAATCAGAAGTTGATAAGGACCTTCACATCTTACTGTATTCTTCACAGTGCTCAGAACCATCGGCTGACTTCAGTCTTGATGGAATTGATTCTTCTTTTATTGGAAGTCCAACAAGAAACTAATGGTTGTCCTGAATTGGAGGCTGTCCAAACGAAGGCTTTTCCCTTATTTAATGCCTCGATCTCAGCCTGCAGAATGTTTGTTTCTTCTCCTCTTAACTTCCTCGAAGACCAATGTACTGATCTTTTATTGACCATCTCTAATATCCGTCGATCACCTCCTTTCGGAACTCCATTTACGATGATCAGAAAGATTTATAATCTTTGTCAGGGATTATCTTCCTGTTTGTATCAGTCCCTTTCGTTTACTGATAATTTTGAGTAAGTTTTTGATTGCCGATGTTAACTGTTGATTTAGGAAACACTACCAAGCATACGAAGATCTCAAAGTCCAAACGGCCCCTCAGAGTTGGCCTGGAGTAGATTCCTTGGTGGCATTGTTGTCAGTTGGAAAGGACGAAGAAGCTCCCAACTTGAGGTTACTGCTTGTCAAGATCTTTGTTTCAGTCTCCACATCCCTCTTCTGTTATGCTTTGGCTGGATATGATGCAAGATGGTTATATCGACTGTGTGTGAAGGAAGTAGACGCCGTCGCTTATGGTTACATATTTGGAGGTGGAGGAGAGAAGATTGTTCCAACCGGGCAAGCACCTGCAAGACCTCCTCGTAAGGGTCATTTAGCACTGAATATATATTGTTTAGCCCCACCAAGACCACCTATGCCAGGGTCTGCCGAAAAAGCTCGGACAAATTTTCATGCCAAGGTTCTGGGAGTGAATGAAGTAACAAAGCAACCATTACAGAATCATGTCCTTTCCTGTTGGGTCCCACCGAAGAAAAGTCTGGTACAATTTTTTGCTGAGAAGGTATGGTAGTTTAGTACAATTTTAATGATTGATGCAGATTCCTCCGGATCCTAGAGCTCCGAATGAAGTTATTTTTGACTCTGATCAATCCGAATCTGACACATCCGATGAGGAAGATCAGTTTGATTTGGATTTGGAAGTAATGACCAAACCCCACAAAGATCCCACGAGTTATGCCTGGCTTCTGATTAGATATGCATGTATAGTGCAGCAGATTGAACGGCTCAAGAAATTCTTGCAAGTGGCTGGTTTTGAGATGCAAGGTAGGAACAAAAAAATACTGTCAAGTTATACTTGGGTTCAGAATTGGTCCGTTTGTCACCTCAGGTGAACAATATCTTCAAATTGTATACAAAATGGAGTAACCAACTCCAAAATCAGATCCAGAATTATCCCGAAGGATGTCCATTGGCATTCTTGCCTAACATGTACATAATAGACGAGAACACGCCTCTGACCGTCAGCTCAACATTAACTGATTCGTCCTCCCTTCTCAAAAAGTACAAATCCTTAGTGGAACCTAACAATACTCCTTTCGAATATGCTGGAAAAGGTGTGCTCTCAGTCAAAAGACTGTGGACGTATCTGGTCAGACAGGACAACTTATCCTCCCATTTTGTCCGGTATATCTACTCTGGGTCTTATTATGTGGTATGTATTTGCTATTTCATCAACAATGTGCACTTCGTTTCAAAATGATAGACACGCCATGTACTTACCAAATCTGGTCCAAATTGGTACACTTTGGGCCGAGTTAGAAGGGGGTCAAAACCTTGGGCGCGGAGTACAGGGTGTTTCAAGGAATTCCGCTGAAAGTTTTTGTCGATTTCTTAGTGCTCAGTCAAGATATCCCAAAAATTTTTTTTGCATAATAAAGAAGAATATGGGCGGTTTTTTGCCTATGAAAATCATTTTCTCCGCCAACGCGGAAAGCAGTGTATTCGGCGGAGACTTTTGGGCACTTTTTTGGTCATCACACCCTTCTTAAACGCTTTTTTGTGGTTTCTGGTGGTTGAAATGTGGATTTTTGCTAATTTTTGTGTTTATCAAGCGTTCGGCGAAGGTACGGCGGCCGCTCGCCGTATCTTAATTCAGCTACGAACAAGAAATGGCCAACACAATTCTTATGGTCTGGCAAGAATTCTCTGCAGGTGTCTTATACCCTCCAAAATTATGTCGCCAAGCCTAGGCAGAGGTTTAGCCATCGAGAAACCACTTGGTGCACAAGAAAACAACAGAATATTCTCCGTTTAAATTTCTCTTTGCCATGCTGTTTCAAACACGGTGTGCTCCGACTTTATCGATGTTGCAGCGACTGCATTACACCGTGCAGTCGCTAAATCGGATCGCATAGCGTTGTAGCCGGCCATCTGATCCATTGTGCAAAACATTTGAAGACTTTCTGGATGCTTCAGTGTCGCAATAAAGCGTTAAAAATTTGTGTGATGACCAAAAAAGTGCCCAAAAGTCTCCGCCGAATACACCGCTTTCCGCGTTGGCGGAGAAAATGATTTTCATAAACAAAAAACCTCCCACATTCTTCTTTATCCTGCAAATATCTTGACTGAGCGCTAAGAAATCGACAAAAATTTTCCGCGGAATTTCTTGAAACGCCGTGTATATACCATAGTCAAAAAAGCAGCCGTGTTTATCATTTTGAAACACCCAAAACTCAGAAAATCTTTTGCGAAGAGCGCAATTACTGTGCAATAAGAAATTTTTTTGTATAGGTTTTCTGCAAGATTTTATAGGCGTGCGGATAATTTTGAAACAAACTGTATAATCTTTAGACGGGCAAGGATAAGATCACTTTGGCGACGTTATCAACTACAAGTCAGGCTGGAAAGGATGTGAATGAACCATTGAGGATAATGCAAAGAGAAAGGGAGGCTATTGTCAGCTTTGCTTGTTGCAAAGTGAGGAATGGCCACGTTGTAGTGGCGACCAATAGAGAAGTGCAAGAATTGAATTTGGAAAGGATTTTAAATGAAAAAGAACAGTCATCCGATTTCTATCCATTGGGAAACTTCCTGAATAATCGGGTCGATCTGGATATTGCCTTAGGCGAGACTCCTCAGGATCGATTGAAGGACAATGATGACTATCAACTGATGGGATCAAACAAGGAAGCCATGAATAGTTCCTCCTTTGTAAGCCTAATTATCAAGATTTTTAACTACTCTCTTTTTCTATTTAGCTAACACCGTTTATTATTGACCGAAGCCGAGTAGCTTTGCGCAAGGTATTTTAGATGTTGTGCTGAGATTTTTTTGTGTAATTGGTGTAATAGTGGTTTGAAATAAGGTTATTTTTCTGTTTAATAACTTGAATTTTAGTTGAAAAAGCGGAATATAGGTGGGGTCCGACGCATAGAGACGCATCCTAGCCTTCCATACTGTAAGTTATCAGGGTTATTGAGTTATAGGCTGCATTCAGATATAACTGGAGCTTCTGATGGATCAATTTATATGTGGGAATGGAATGTGGATCAACCCATATTTACTGCTAGACAGGCAGCCCAATATGCAAAGGTCACGAAGTTGGCGTTTGCTCAGAATGGAAATAAATTCGCCTCAGTGGACGGGGACGGACACCTTTGTATTTGGCAAGCCACACAACAGACATCCTCCAAGAAACCGTTCTTTGTTAGTTAATTAAGGCTATGTGTCTTATGATAAATATTTTAGAATCAGAAATGTCACACAAAGTCAGCGTCTGATGTTAAATTCCTCGGCCAAACAAGTTCGGTCCTGGTGACAGCTGGGCAGAGTCAAGGAGATATGAACATCGCTTTATGGGACACCCTTTTACCTAATGGAAGGAATATGGTTTACGCTTTTAACGGCCATGTCGACGGAGCTACATGTGTATCCTATTTTCCAAGTTCTCAGGTAGGATTCTTATGATTTAGATTAATGTTTTTAGACCATTGTGTCTGGTGGAAGACATGGTGAGATATGTCTGTGGGACCTAAGACAACGACAGCTTCGAGCAACTGTCAAGGCGTTTGACTCGGCTTCAGTGAGGTCAATGTACTCTGACAACAACAGCAATCTTTTGTTAACGGGCTCGGCAGAAGGGGATATAAAAGTAGGTTGCAAAGAGTAGTATGTTGATGTCTTAGATCTGGGATATCAATTCTGTTCCCCAATTGTTGCATACTATGAGTGGAGAACATGCCGTCAAAGGTGGTTTCAGCCTCCGCCAAGTCGGTTCTTCAGCTGTTCAGGGTACTCAGCAATTGTATTTTGATTCCGAGATGAGACTCTTTTCGTGTGGAGCCGATTGTTCACTTAAAATACGGACATTGCCCTTCTTTAGCTAATCATTCCCGCTTATTTTAGTTGGTTTCTAGTCGTATTCTATAAATATTTTTATGATTCAAACATAAATATTTTTTAATAAACTGACATCATGACCAAGTCAAGTTCTGTGGGTGGTTATGGCCTTTGCTGAGATCATTTTCCGGCCTTGCGTGTATCTGAAAACGCCCGCCAATTGCAATAAATGGAGTTTGAATTCCATTTCGGAGAGCCCCAACCATCATCATGTACATCTCTTCACTGATGGTCTTCATCACAACGGTATTGTTGACAGGTAGGGAGTGCATGATGAGTGTTGTAATTAATACAAGACATCTTTTAATTAAGCCATTGCAGGTCCAAATGTCAGGGCATTGAAGAATGATATAATGAGTTGTGTACTCTGCCAAGTCGTGGCCGAATCGTTGACCCAGCCTCATCCTTCGGCCGCTCTTTTATTGGCCGATATGTACCAGCGATGTGGTCGGGTGGGGCTGATGGAGCCCGTCTGCGACCATTTGGTCGATCAGAATGCCAAACTCATGGTGCAGATATTCTCGAATGCGGGGCCTGCCTCGAGGCCCTTGCCTCGGGCTATTTGCTCCAAGCTGCAGTTGTGCGACCACTCCTAACGCTCTTTAATTTATATCATGATTTTGTCTCGTCTAATAAACTGAGGACATCGGTTATTTTCTTGCGCAATCTTGTTCTTCTGGATTAGCGGGGCCGTCTAATTGGTGTTAGTTAATTGAGAGGCGAGAAAAACCACCGAAGGCGAGACCGTTCGAGGGTCTGCGCTGTGTTTTCGGCCAACCCAAACTACCACCGCATATTTGTAAGACTAACTGCATTCCAAAGAGTCTGCGGATAAACAAGGGAATCGGAACAAGGGACCTTTGTTCATTTCTTCAATTCTCATGCACTGTGCAATAATCAACCCCCTCCTCCTTTTCAAACATTTGGGATTCATTACCGCACAGGGCAGGCTTTATTTTGTTTGCATACAACGGTAACTTGAAGCCATTTCTGGAGACGCCCAACTTAACAGAGGGGGCCAGGTCTTTGGAGGGCAACCTGAGATCTCCTTCTATCCTTGTAACCAATCCCGTCTGACGTTGTTCGAGCGGAGGTGTTATCCCCTCAGGCGCCGCAAATTTATAGTACAGGTGGCCTTTCCACAAAACCCGGGTACCTTGTTATTCCGCTGTTTTCAAGAATTTTGTCACCGGTCTGTGAATGCGGAACTAAGTAATGCCTGCTGGCTTTAAATGATTTTGTTCCCAATTTTATTTTCCATTCTGTGACAAGTAAATCGCCACAGCAAAAATATATGTGTACGCTGTTTTCATGGATTCCTAAAAATAGAATTCGAGTAATTCATGAGCAGTCAAGGTAATATATATCTGAGAAAATTAGAGATAGGGTCTCGAGATTAATCGTAATGTCAAAATTAGATCAGTTTGGCCCCTCGGCTAATTGCAGATAAAAAAGGGCTGAAGATTTGAGAGGAAAGGACGTTAAAAGTCGTAGGTATCGAGTATTGAGTAAATATTGTATAACGACTCTCAGAAATGCTGGGTTCAAATAAAAACGAATTTTGAGTTTCCTTCGGAAACTGATGCTTTAAGGCAAGTCCTGTAGGGCCCTGTCTGACGTGATTTCCTGGCGTATCATGGCTCCGACCAACCTTAATTATCAAGCTTAGTTTGTGGAGGGGGAAGCCTTGTTGCTTTTGTTTGGCCGTCCTCCAAGGTGCCGGACTTCTTCTCATAAAGTCTAAGGGGTTAACTCATCTCGCAGGGCCAAGTAGACATGCTCATTTCAATGAAGATGTATGTGTTTGTCTACTCCGAGGAAGAGGTTTACGGCTGATTCGGCACTCTGAAGGTGAACGGCTCTTTAAATCCGCATTCTAATTTTAATTAACGCCTTTCCTCACCGGGACCTGCAGCACTTGGAACGGGGCCAAACGGCGCGCGGGTTTAACAGTTCTAGTTTTTTACCTGCCGAAAAGCTCTGTCCTTTTTTTGTTTCGGGCTGTTTCCAGAAAACAATATGTTTTCGAAGAAATGCCCTCAGGGCCTTGGACGAGCATGACGATCCCACTGTTTGGAGATCATGTATTTTTCATGGCCGCGTCAACGGCAAAAAGTAGAAAGGTATAACTGCTTGTTCCTCTTCCATTCTCGCCATGTCTTTGTTCCAGTTTCTTGCCCTAAGGCCACGCTCCAATGCCTGAATTGTTGATTGGCAGTTGGCCCAAGACGGCGGTTTCGAGTCTGTTCTGGGATTGTAATCAGGGAGCCCCTGAGGGCATCAAAAAGTATTCTTGGTGTACAGGTGCAGTGGTCGTGATGACATAAGCTTGCTGATTATTTCGTTGACGGCCTTTTTGTTCCTGGCCTTTGTTTGCAGATCTTAATTTCTACGTTTTCTCGCCAATGTGAATGGTTCAAAGTTTTGTTTCCCATCGCCCCTACTTTCAGAACATTCTGGTTGCGGAGGTAACCTTTCTCTCGACGTTTCTGGGTTGGAGATTGGCGTTGAGAATGTGATATTCGCCCAGTGTCTGGAGCAGAACGTGGCGCTTTAGTCCCGCTTACCATGACGCAATTCTTGGATGAGGAAACTCTTCAATTGCAACAGAGGCTGTTAAATGCCACGGAAGAGGAAAAAGAGGTTAATTGGATTGCCTTTCTAATGCTCAATTGGTATTTCAGAACTTATTGCTGGCCCTGAACTCCAAGTATGAGATCACGGATGTTCTCCCTCCTCCGAATCATGAGGATCTCCATGTTTTGGTCATGGCTGTCGGGTATATGTTGTTGTTTTTGCTGGGAACTTGTGGAAACGTCGCCGTTCTTACGACGATTTATCATGTGGTTGGTCTTTAGATTTCATTACTTAATATTCATTGGACCAAGCTTTCTGTATAACTTTATTTCAGGTGAGATCTCGAAGAGCCAATTTGGATAACACTTTGATATACGTCGTTGTATTGTCATGTGTGGACTTTGGAGTGTGTTTATCGCTGCCTTTGACTGTAATTGACCAGGTATGAAAGGGGTTAATTGCGATGCGAATATCAAGAGCAACTGTATTGTCTTTTTATTTTCCAGATCCTCGGATTCTGGATGTTCGGCTCCATCGTTTGCAAATTGCATGCTGTTCTTGAGAATTTTGGTAAGATCTTGTCGGCCCTGATCCTGACAGCGATGTCTTTTGACCGATTTGCTGGTGTGTGTCATCCCCAGAAGAAATGGCTTCGTTCCACATCGCTTGCCATCTGTATTTTAGTGGGTGGGTGCCTACAGAAGTGTTGATATTTTTTGTTTAATTCTTATGTTTCTTTTCACGTAATCCTCCGTTCTTCTGATGACAGGTGGCGCAATTCTAATGCCGTAAAACATTGGAACCTCGCCTGTAAATGTTCGGAGACAATTCAATTAATTAAAGTTCAAATAAGCGAATACTTTCAGGCCTGGCTGCCTATGCCCTGGTCACACTGTGTCCTCTCCTTTGGAGTTTCACGGCCAATGAAGTAATTCTGTTCGAGAAGGAAACTGCTCCGCATAAAATAACCAGGATGAGAATCGAGAAATGCACGATGATGTCCATATCGAGTACGGTGTTCACCATGTTTACCGTATTCTTGTTTGTCTTGTGTTATTTGGTGCCCTTGTTTCTGGTCGCATTTTTCTACTCCCGCTTACTCAGTAAACTCAGACAACATGCCCGACAATTCACTGTAAGTGGCGCCCGAGGGGTCCCAATGTTGTGTTCATTTCAGTCAAGTCATATCCCTTTGATGCGCATATCTCTGTACACTCTGGCCGTCGCCTGCTTTTACTTCCTTTGTTGGACACCGTTTTGGATAGCTACGGCATTCGCGGTATATCTGGAATATGCGGGAGAGAAGGACGGAAATGTGCCGCCCGTCTTTGTGTATTGTATGTACTTCATCCATGCTTTGCCTTTCACTAACTCCGCGGTCAATTGGATCTTATATGGTGAGGAATGATGTAAAAAATATATGAAAAATGTTTAGGAGCCTTAAATAGTCAACTTCAACATCGGTATAGGAGTGGACGCAACGCGGAGACAGTGACTCTGGTGGCCAATGGGAATAGTCATTGTCCCACCATGAAGAGTGTGCATTCCATGAACGGACTGGTCTCTCCCAAGGTTAGATCACCTTAAATCTGAAAACCAATAATTGCTTTTTAGTTCAATGCCGTTGAATCTTCCCAATTTGATACTCCTCGGACGGCACTCCTTGCTTCGGATGCGGCCTCTTGTTTGCACATGTCCATGTCTAATGGGGGTACTCAGACTAGACCTTCCAGCTCAACATTCTCCATAAAGAATGATATGGTCGATGCCCACACACAGACAGAGCAATTGAGAAGAAGTTTCTCCAATCAGTCCTTGAATACTGGCTCTACAGAAGGAATGGACTTCCTGATTAAGACGACGGAAGAGGCCACTTTCCTATAGGCAACATACGATGCAGGTATTTTCATTCAATGATCCGGGTCTTCCTTTTCGGTTAATAAAGAGTTACACATTAATTTACATTCCTTTTATTATGTATAACATGAAGAGAGAAGCCAGAAAATATCCGCAATTATTTATGCAAACGATGATGACAAGAGAGCCAAAATACAATTGAGAATATTAAAAAGTAGAAGAATAGAACAGTTTCGATCGAAAACCAAAAAATAATATCTTTTCTCTTTATGACTACGAAAGAAGGTTTTGGGATGATATGCAGAAAGAAGCGGAGATAAATGATATGAACTCTATATGTCCTTCTTGACGCCGAAAATCCGAAATGTGTATGATCTAAAGGGGGAACAATAAAATAAACAATTACGACCATAACAAATCAAATATTCAACGGTTGAGCAAGGTGGCATGTCTTGAAGTGATGACGATCCGTTTAGGCGGTACCCAGAATAAGAGCGACAATCATGCCATACAGTCCCAAGACCTGTAAGTTGAAGTATTATTTAGACCCGGAACCGAAAGAGAAACCTTTAAATTGACCAAACTCACCTCAGAGAAAATGAGAATCAAGATCATTCCAACAAAAAGACGTGGTTGTTGTGCTGTGCCTCTGACACCAGCATCTCCAACAATTCCAATAGCATAGCCAGCTCCCAATCCACACAATCCACAAGTCAAACCAGCAGCCAAATGAGCAAAGCCTTGTGCAAGAGTGTATCCTTGAGAAGCGGGGACCACTTTTCCCTTGAGAACCATGGCCACCACCAACCCGTAAATACCGATGATACCAGCCATAATGACGGGGATGACTGATTTCATGATCAATTCGGGTCTCATCACTCCCATCGAGCAAATGCCCACCGCAGATTTAGCGGTTCCATAAGCAGCTCCAAACACAGTGAAGATCTGGGCAGAAGCAGCTCCAATGTATCCGAAGAATGGAGCGTATGCGGCCTTCTCAGCGGCGTCCAAGTCATAAGACATCTTGAGTTACGTGGATAAGGAAGGGGGAGTCGAGTCTGCAAATGATCACACCAATTATCATCTAAACAATTTTAACACGCTAATATCTTCAGAACCAAACCACTACTCGAGGCATTAAACGATATGAATAACAGTATGAGGAGGCTCTCTATGTATATCGAGGGATCCCACGGTAGAAGCACGGCCCAACTCAAAATCAAAGAACGAAGACCGAAAAACCGTCCGCGATCTCAGGGAATTGGAAGAGAGACCCGAGTGAAGAGCGTGCGATCTCATGGTGAGACTGCCACGACTACTGCGAGAGTAGAGGGTGCGCAGAGTAGGGAACGACGCCCGGACTCGAGGCAGTGTGTCTCTGCATTCGAGGCCGATCGCGACTAGAGATCATAATCCCATCGCGAGAGCGATGCGCGGTTTAGAAATTGAACTTGAATCGTGGTCAAAAGTTAGACATCCCCACTTATCAGTATGCAAATCAAGGTACTCCCTTCAGTTCAACCCCCGGACATCGGTGCCGATTACATCAATAAAAGCGAATAGAAATTAGATTACATAATAATTGCTTGGCTTCTAAACTGTGGAGAACGGAGTCCGAGATGATTCAGAGAAACCTTTGAATTGTATTGGAATTCGCTTTAAAATGTCGACGAAAAGAAGAGAAAGGATCGGCCGGCCGGTAAGTAACTAATAACTTGAAATGAAATCGCCCGCAGTCCATCATTCTGTTTGAAATTTTCCGTTCTTTTTTACTGTTTTCTACTTGAGACCCAGCTTTTTTTGGATGGATATTAAATCTGGAATGACTCATGGAAGCGGGGCTTGTTCATCGGGCCAGAAACAGTCCCCCCAGTCATGTTTTTGGAAGCCACTCAAAGCAAACAAAACTGCTTCAAGTCAGATGCAGATCGGCGATTGAGTTGCCGTGCGAAGGTCGCTTCGCCTACTCCGATTCCCCAATCTTCTTTTCCACGGCGATGGAAGAAAGGAAGAGGGAATAAAGAAGAAGATTCAGACAAACAATGACCACCAAAACCTTCCTTCCTGTTCTCCTGGCTGTTCTTGTCATTGATTTGTTATGTTTCACGTCAATTCTACCCCTTTTTCCATCTATTTTTGAAGAATACAGTAAGAATAAAGAACAGGTAACTTTTTTTTCGTCGGTTTAAAATTTCTAGTTCATTCTTGGCATTCTTAGTTATGTATGCATATATTATGTACATCAAATCTTTCAGGATTGGTTATACAGCAAATTCGAATCGTACGCTTCGCAACTGCAGAATTTCATAAACATCCCCGTTACTTCCCGCTACAACAATGTTGTCTTTGCGGGGATTCTGGGATCTGTCTTTAGTTTTCTACAGTATTTATCATCTCCATTTCTTGGGAGTTTATCAGATAAATATGGAAGGAAGTTAATTTTTATCATATCCGTTGTAGGGTCGCTCATTTCGTATATGGTAGGTCAACCACAAGCAAGTGATACTTTTTAGTTATGGGCATTTTCTTCCAATTTCACGATCTTCACGCTCTCCAGAATCACCGGAGGTCTCTCAAAAGCGAGTGTTTCTATTGTCATCACAATTGTAACGGATATTTATCCTCCCGAGAGCAGGGGGAAAGGAATGGTAAGATCAGAGATATTACGTCACATTACGCAACGAACGCTTGATGTTATTACGCAATCTCATCTTTTAGGCATATGTCGGGATGTCATTTTCTTTGGCATTTATGGCCGGCCCAATGATCGGAGCTTTCTTTTCAAGCAGAATCCATGGTGCTAACATCAACTTTTATCCGGCGTTATTCTCGATAATATTGACTATCATCGAATTGTTCCTCATATTATTTTACTTGCCCGAAACAAACAAATCAAAAGTAAGTTTGATAATTAAATTTAACTAAAGACTCCCTTTCAGTCGTCTGCAGAAAACTCAGCGAACTGGAAGGAGTACATAAATCCCCGATCTCTTATCACATTCAATATTTTGGGACCTCAATTATCATCGCAGTTACGAATATACGGAATTGTTTACTTTTTGTATTTATTTATTTACTCAGGATGTGAATTCACAATATCCTTTTTAACGCATCAAAGATTTGGGTATACGAGTGCTGATCAAGGGAAGATGTATTTCTTGACGGGTATTTTGATGATGCTTATTCAAGGTGAGTTAACCAAATATAAACGTATGTCTTTAGGAGGGTTTGTACGACGGATTCCAAAAGAAAAACAGAAGTGGGGAGTGATGCTGGGTGTTGCTACGATAATCCCAACGTATATTGTGATGAGTCTGGCCTTTTCCCAAACAATCTTTTACATCTCTCTCATCTTGTATGCCATAGGTAAGAGGGCTTGTCCATAATGTAATGTCTTCCTGCAGCGTCTGCGATGGTCGTCCCTTGTCTGACCGCTCTGGTGGCCAATATTTGTCCGGAGCAGCAGAAAGGCCTATGTATGGGGGTGTTTCGAAGTCTGGGTGCGCTTTCTCGAGCCTTCGGACCTCTTAGTGGATCAATTCGTAAGTGTTTTATCTGACAATTAGTTTCATGCTCCTTTTCTTCAGTGTTCTGGCTTCTGGGTCCCACTGCTGCCTACTTTGTCAGTGGGGTCCTTCTCTGTGTCCCAGCTCTTTTGTTTTACCGTCAACTTCTGAATGAGACCAAGAAAGCAGCCTAATTAGGAGATATCTAGACACATATGTATGTACATATCACATGTCAAAAAATTATTTGAAATTAGAGAAAATAGTGCAATACTTATAAAAAATGACTGGAAGTCTAATAAATAATTTTATCAAATCTGTAGAAGAGAGTATACTATACAATAATATAGGCGCGCTAATTAACTGCACAAATGGATGAAAGGAGAAGAATGTCAGAAATATTTGACGACGGGATTAACGCCACATTGAACTTGCGTTGCAGGTACCTTCCATGCATAATTAACGAGTTCAAAGTCAACTTTATATATATATATCAGATCGCCGCCGCGAAAATAAATTGTCGCGGCAAAATTAAATTGCTTTTCACTCGCGGTCGCGACATTATGTTCGTTATTTACCCGACATACCAGTACCTTTTCTACAACTACGCAATAGGAAATTTCCTCTTTCCTTGAGGCGATAAGAGAGGGAAGAGAGGTCATTTCCAACTGATTATCTTGGGTTAGTTGAACAGCGAGGCTGCAGATTGGCCCTTGTCTTTTATGGCGGGGGGAATGGCGGAAAGGCGCCAGTCCGCGCACCCTGCCTTCCCCCTTACCCGCGAATAATTCCCATCTTCCCGTTCGTATGATGATGCCAATTGTGAGGCAGCCAAGACTTTGCCCGAGGCCGCTTTCTTTTCCTTTCTTTACTCAAAATGACCAACGGCCAGTACCAGAGGCGCCTTTTCGGGCAACCCAAAGCTGTAAGGAACCGTTGGGTGGACGTGTTTATTGTCTTATATGTAGTTGGGCTGTCTCCGTTCCCAGCAACCTTTCGTTTTTCACTCTTCATCCCCGCGACCCCCTTTGCCCAGCCATCTTTTATCACTGGCTTGTTGGACAAAATGGCCCCTTTAAACGACCTGTGATGTCTGTGTTTAAATAGCTCCGCAACTTCATTCTCTCCCCCAAAGTGAGTGGCCAAGTCCCTGCTGGCCAAGCTCTCACGAAAGGACGCCGGCTTGCCCTCAGGGTCAAATTGCGCGCTTTGTTTAAGGCGACGTCTAAAGGGAAACTTTTATGCAGATTTGGCGTCTGGAAGTGCAAATACGCGGGGGGGGGATGGAAATCTCGAAAATCCTTTCTCTGGGATATTTAAGTGAGGTTTGAAGGCAAAGGGGAGGCGGTCAGGGAAATGGGCGCGTGGTTGATGACCGCGTTCTGGAATAGGTTGGAGGAAGGAAAGGATTTGTTTTTTATTATCCGTTCGATCCGCTGATCATCCGTTTGTTCCTTTGACACGATTAAATTATTTGGCTTGGGATGATCAATGGCGAGGTCCATTCCATTTGGCCATCAATTGCTCTTGTGTAAACAGACAAAGCCCGAGCTTCGATTTTCAAATTTGCAACCGTTTACTCGTTCAGAATATTTAAGATTAAAAAGTTTACAAGGTCTCAGGATACAGTAACCCATGAATAACAAAAACTGCCGGTTTTTTATCGGAGAATACTATTACTCATTTAACGACAACTCGAATACATAGAATCTCCAAATCCGTTCGTTCGTTTAAGTGTCCCTTTTTTACCCGCTGACAATCTAATTTGCATAATTTCTGCGGCCCCTTCTCAATGATCCTATCATGCCGTAAACTCAGGTTTTACAAGAGACAGCGAATTGTTTTTTAGAGCGTCGACAGCTGGCAGTGATGGAGGGGGAGAGGTCGTCGCTGCGCTCTCTCAAGCGCCGAAAAGGGGCTCTCTAAGTGTTGGCCAAAGCGTTGTTCCCCGGCTCCCTTGAAAAAGGTTTCCTTGCGCGCGTCGTGCCGTTCCGTTCTTCCATTTTTACTTATTCCGGTTTCAGTCCATTATGGCCGAGGACTGGGTCATCTGGCTCCGTCAGCTGATCCATCGAATACCTCATTTGGATTATCAGTTCAAGAGAGTGGACAATGTGTTTGTTTTCGACATCCATGACACATATTTCAGTGTAAGTTTTAATATAAACTTTTATGTTTCTTTCAGGCATTAACTTTGTTTTGCCTGGCGGCTTTAATCCTCGGTCTTTTGTTTCTATTCATCGTTGTCATTGTTTGGAGCATCTCATGTTGTACTTCCAAAGCCGCCGGCAACTACTCGAGACAATCAATCCGACGCCTCACATATACTTTATTCATTATGAACATCATTTGTTTGTAAGTCGTTTAATTATTTTGTTTAATCTTGGTTTTAGTGCCCTTCTGGCCGCTTGTCTTTATGGCAATGATCACAGTAATCGAGCGATGATATCCAAGGTAGTTCCACAACTACGGGAAGTTGACAATAATCTGGATGTGAGCAAACAAAAAGTAAGCGGATCTCACTTTAAAGATGAATATTCTTTATTTTAGTTGGATCAATTTGATAAAGCCAAAGATAATGTAAGCAGAGATGCATCTCAGTTGAAGTCATTGATCGACGAGGAAGAAAAAAAACCTGGAGTTAATAAAACCAAAGTTTTGGAGACAAACGCGGCCTTAGATAGGATAGTCAACCTTTGGAAGGACCTCCAGCAAACCGTCGAGGGAACCAAAAAAGTATTGTACGGCCTCAAGAATCTTAAAGATGCCGAAAAGAAAATTGATCGTATGGAATTCGAGCGGTATGTAGTCTTGGTTCTTACAATTTTTATTTATTCAAAATACATACTTACCGTAGTATCTTAGATGGATTATGGTGGTGACTCTCCTCTCTATCATGTTCGTCGTCCTCTTTGCTGGTGTTTTGGCCATCTGCAAGAACAGTAGAACTGGAGTTGTCGCTTTCAGTGGGCTTGGAATTGTCGTATTCTTCTTGGCCTGGGTTATTTTCTCGCTGGCCGCACCTTTAACAATCGTAAGTCATGCTCTTGAGACCGCTTATTCTTCAGGCTTATGCTGACTTCTGCGAAACTGGCCGTTCCTTCGTCTCAAATTACCTTCCCGATGGGGTTTACAATGTCCTCAGTTATTATGAAAAGTGTGTGGATGGAGGGCTGTACACTCAGAACATTAATGACCTTAATATCGACAAAATCGATACCCTCTTGACCGAGATCAAGGCCCAGGACAGCCAACTCGAGAGTGCCAGCATCGCCTTGTTTGGAGATAACAAGCTCGTTGCGACAGTCATCAAAGACATCGCCGCTACCACCGACAATGGCCTCAAGAACATCGGGACTGTGGCCACGCTCAGTTCGTGCACTTCCAATCACAACAGAGTTCATCAGATTATTCATGGGTTCTGCAGGGACGGATTGTAAGTTTAATTAGAAGTAACGATAACTTAACTACTTTCAGTTTGGGAAATCTGATCTTCTTGGTGGGAATCTTTGTCTTTGGAATATTCATGGGATTCCTTCTGATGGTTGCTTCCAGAAGTTGGTTTGCCTTTGAGCGAAAGTAAGTTTGGCTTTCATGAGATTACTCTACTTTTTAGATCTACTGATTACACTGAGGTCAGTGATGAGGATCCTTTCTATCCTCGAGCTGCCGAAAATTCTGTCTCAGCCGACATTTACGGTACTCATCTCGGAAATCCCCGCTTCCGATACGGCGGCAATTCAACGTAAGCTCGCTTTTTGTTATCTATACTCATTTAGTGACAATAACACCGAATCCACTGGAACCAACAGCGGGGGTCAAGCGATTGGAGAACAACACACGCCTCTTCTCGACCATTCCACCTGGAGACAACACAATGATGTGAATCCATCGAGTCGGTACTGCTAGACTCAGTATTATATTATACTTACAAATACAAACATCTCATGTTCTTCGTATATATTTAATGTGCAGTTATAACAACAGTATCATAATAAAATAACGAGACTTTTTCTTTCTTCATACATGGTGAGATTTTCGATGATGAAGTATTTGGACGTTATTATCAAAGAATAAGGTCTGATCACACTGTTCACAGAAGTAGGGACGTCTCCCTTTCTTCTCCGGCACTTCCTTTCCAGCTTCCTCAAACTCTTCTGGTTCCTCCTACAATACAGTGCGGGTCATAAATACACTTTAAAAATGATTGTAACTTTTGCAGCGTTTTCATAAATACGGAAACTTTTCAAAATAATTTTTGACACGTCATTCTAGTACACTGATGCACCTTAGCGCCAAATATGTCACATTTCCATTGGCAACCACAAAAGTTATTCTTAAAGTGCGGTTATAATTATGACCCGCATTGTAATACACTTATTCATATTTTGACATGAATGCTTACATCGACTAATTGAACTTCGTTTTCATCATCCACTCCTCCATATTTGGTTCCATCTAATCCAAAAACACCGCTTTCGACAACTTTTGGGGGGTTCACAAACCTTTTGAGTCTAAACTCACCTATCAATCCAAGCAACCTGACCTACGTAAATGGAGTTAGATGTTTGAAATATCTGAATATTTTCTTCCTCAACATCTCCGTATCTTCTTCAATCGAATTTCCCAACAATTTCTCCGATATCATTCTCTCCACCATCTCCCTGATCACAATTGCTCTCTCAATTACTTTGTTGGTATCTTCTTTGTCCCGGAAGATAAATTCAATAAATCCATCGCAACAAAATGATTCCGGAGAGTTAAATGAGACCTAAAATTATACAATTAGCTGATTTTTAAAACTAGTTGAATTGCAAGAAATCTTCAAATGCAAGCAAAAACAATTGAATTAGGGTAACCACTTAAATTTCGGCAAAACAAGACTAAAAATAAGGCGGGGGTGCGTGTATTATTGCATAAGAAGGGCTTGATCGTCTCCAATAATAGGCCATAGAAAATTAATTGATGGTTCGAAGAAGATCCGTCCTTTTCTTTATGGATTTCCAGAGATTCTGGCGTCAATGAGGAGTTCGGATGGATAATTGCAAAGGGTTTTGTGGCACAATGAGCGAATTGTTCTGAGCCGGTTCGATGATTATTATGAGCATCTTCGATTGCAAATTGAGGATATAATCCCATGCTAATAATAAATTGAACAAGAAGGGAACGATCGTGGTCCAACTTGTGAGTTCTGAGCTGTTGAGTAATCTCATTGTCATCAACCAGCACTTGGAACTCAAGGGAATTTATATCGTCTTGGGGTCCATCTTCTTAAAAATAATTGCGTCAAAACTGATCCCTTACCGTCATTCTGATCTAATATTGTGTCAAAATGTTGTCCTTCTTTCAGATATTTCCTTGTCTTTGTCTGATGCTGGGCTTTTCTCTTCAACAGATTTAGTTTCCTCTTCTCTCCCAACTTGATCTTCCTCTCCTTACTGCTCAGATTCTCCCACTCTTTGTCTACTTTTGTATTCAACAATTCCGCTTGTTCCAAGATCTGTCTGAATTGTCTTCGAAGTTTTACAATCTCGAGTAGTCGACTCTCTTCAATTCCACATTTCCGGCACCATTTTTTGGTGTCATCTCTTTTCCTTCTCAAGTAAATCCATTCTCTACAAATATATTTCTCATCCTTTTTCTATACCTGAACACCTTTATCAGAGTAAACGCGTCTCCAATATCAGATAACAGGCTGTTTCTGTTCTGTACAGTATCATAATCTCTGAACGATCGATTTGTAAAAGCGGATTGGACGGAAAGACCTGCAGCCACAGTCAGGATAACATCAATCTCGTTGGTTATTACGCCATATACAAGCATCTGCCAATAAATTATAATATATTTGAATGACTCACCTTTCCAATCAGCAAATCGACAGGTAAAGTGGCGAGGATTGTTCCCAAAGGAGTGAGTCTTTTGGAATCAACAGGATCAACAACTCCTTGGAATATCATGATTTCCAATGCATGTTTCAAGGCTTCCGGGTTGGGTTCTTCGAGGAAAGGGAAGTCGCGGACATCCATTTCCAATCCCATATTCAGAATCTGCATGATCAATGATTCCAAGGAGACTCTTTTAATCTCAGACGGAGTAAATGCATCCATCTTCTCCATCTGAGCTTGAGAATATAATCGATAACATATCCCAGGGCCCGTTCTTCCCGCTCGTCCTTTACGTTGATCAGCAGAAGCCCGTGAGATCCAGCATTCGGCCAATCGATGACTTCTTGTAGGAGTATCAAACTTCAGAAGGTTCACTTTCCCCGAATCCACCACGAATCTGATTCCATCGATAGTTACAGATGTTTCTGCAATGTTGGTACTCAAAATACATTTTCGGACACCTGATGGGGCAATATCAAAAACTTTGTTCTGCTCTTCCACGGATAATGTACTAAATGATAACATAATTTAATCGAAATATCCGTAACTTACCTATGCAACATCAATATAATCCACCGCTTTGAGTAATCAGCGTATTCTTTCAGGGCATCAGCTAGCATCTGAATCTCCCCAATGCCGTTTAAAAAAATCAGCATATCCCCGCGTTCCTTCCCAGCATATTTGTTATCGATCATCTGCAAGATAAATCAACATTATTGACACCTACTTGTAAAATCTTTAAATAAGGTGCTGAATCTATCTTGCAGGACTTCTTCTTTTCTTCGATATCGTATTCTTTCACAGGCATATATTGAACTTCTATTGGAAACAATCTTCCGGGGACTTGTACTACTGGTGCCCCTTCGAAGTATCCACTGAACAAATCAATGTTGATGGTAGCAGACATCAGAACCAATTTGAGATCACTTCGTCTCTGGATCAACATCTTCATCAAAGCCACGAGTAAATCGCCACCCAGATGTCTTTCGTGAACTTCGTCCAGTATAATAACGTCATATTGACTGAGAAGAGGGTCGGAAAGCATCTGTCTTACAAGTAGACCATCAGTCAGGAAGAGAAGACGAGTTCGATTTGTTTTGGTCTTTTCAAACCGAGTTTGGAAGGCGACTTCACTCCCGAAGATATTCAGCGTTTCATGAGCCACTCTCTTGGCCAGTGCCGTGCAGGCGATCCTCCTTGGCTGAGTGCATGCGATCTTCCGATAACCAGCTTGAAGAAAGTATTGCGGGACCTGAAACCAGAGAATGCAAGACCTGATATTGTTCCCTGCCAGTCTCTTCACCATTTCTCACTTCTCTATCAACTATTTCAGAGGCTCTAACGTTTATCCCCAGATCCCTTCGAGTCAGTTCGCTCTCGAAATCAAATACGACTGTGAGAGTGACCGGTCCAACCACTGTTCGGTAAGTCTTGGACAGCGATGACTCATTCTAAGATGCCTTAGAATGCTTTCTCTCTTGTCTCTTCTCTTAGCCTCAGGCACTGTCCTGAGAGCTGATACTGAGGAATGGACACCACTCACATATCCAGATCCTCGGTCCAATTACACAGAGTGTAATACATGGTCTAATTCTACGTTATGTGACCCTGATCATATTCTGACCGACCAATGGCGATTACAAATTCATCAAAATTTAAACAATCTAATGGAAAGTAAGTCCAGCAATGAAAACATCAAGTTTTCAGAGCTAAAACAAGTTAATGTTAAATATATGGACACAGCGCCCTTTCAATGTTACGATAATTCCACCAGTTCCCTCCAGCTTTATGTAATTTTGGCCAAAAGAATTCAATCGGCCAAAAATCATACAATAACTGAATTGGATCTGGTAGGTCGTAGTCGCAATAAAATTGCTCTTGCAGACAAAATTCGGAGATGGATTGGTGGATCAATTCGGATTAAGAGACCTCCCGTGTAAAAACTTTCTGATTTTTATTGGAGTTGAAGGTGCCAAGATGGCTTATGTGAGGACTGGAAGTGATCTGAAGTTGCCCACCGACCTGATGGAACATATTTTCAACAAATATAACTTATTCAAAGCCAAGAATTTCATGGAAGTTCTCAGTAAGATCGTAACTGAGATTGGAGAGAAGATTACTGCGGTAAAAGATCACTTTCTTCATATTTTTATTCAAATTTAGCCTTTCGATAGCGAAAAATCACCTGGAAACGGAACAATGGAATTCACAGAAGATGAATTGTACCTAAATATCAGCAGCAACGTCAGTATGGAGACTCAGACCATTAATATCACAGCTCTCAGACAATCGGCGATCACTCCGGAAATCCCAATTCCTTTCTGGGTGTATCCTTTGCTCACAATAACAACCTCATTGTCTACTTTATCCTTAATCCTCCTCCTCTTTAGCAGAAAACATAACAAGAAACTCCGTCGTATCAACAATATGATAGTCAAGAGATCTTCTCTGAGCTCAACCAAAGGTCACAAATCCAAAAATCCTAACGCTCATTTCCACATTAATCCGTCCCTAAATATAGTTTCACTTAAAAAAGACTCTCTATTTACTATTTGAAGCAATAAATATAATTATTAGACCTACCTGTGTACTTTTTCCACATCCAGTATCCCCGGCCAAGATGAGAACTTGATTCTGTGGGACAAATAATTATAAAAAATCGGGTTAAGCACATAAACCAAGAAAAAGAAGTCTTACTTCATCCAGAATCTTTATAATATCATTTCTACTAGCGGCAATGGGCAAGTTCGCTTGCGTCTGCCTCATCTGAGTTACCCTCCTCATCTTTTTCCAGTTGATAAATTCCAAAAAAAGCTTTATCACATATTCAAACTGTTTTATAGCTTCGTTTGGTATCTAAAGACAAGAGTCGTATAATATTCAAGAACTTACATCTCTTACAAGAAACCGGTCAACAACAGTCTCTTCCACCCTGAATCGACTGTCTAGACCTCGGTCATAACATCCTTGGACAACTCCCAAGTCATCCTTTGTGAAGGCTTTATTTTTATCCAATCCTTTGAAGAATTTTTGATCTCTAAAAACAAAGATGTGCCTAAAGTGAAAATTCTCTCACGTTTTCTTCTCCAATCCATTTATAAATGTCGTAAACTCCTGGTAACTAGTAGAAGTTGATGGAAACACCCCAGAATCCGTAAAATAAGTCTTTATTAATCGAGACTTATACTTCGAGAATGCGAACTTATTCTCGTCTCCCATCTAGCAGAAAAATAAAAAATATTTTTTTATTATATCGCAATGACATATTTTATAGAAGCATCGGAATGCCAACAAGTGTAAAAAAATAAAATTTGAATGTTTTTGGAACGAGAGTCGGAACTGTCTTTCATCCTATACTGCAAAAAATACCAAATTTAAATTTCGCCGTCCGGTCGTATTTCAGCTTATGATTTTTTGTTGCGCAGCGGCCTAAGGCTTAGGATGAGCCACAGTTTAACTTAGTTTAGGCTTAGACTCTGGGCTGGTTAGGCTTAGTAGCGCAAGTCCGCTTTGGGTTACCTTTGCAACAGGTACTCAAAAGTTGGACGGCGTAACACCAAACCAATATTTACTTGGTTGCAATAAGAATTGTGTTCAAGAAAGGAAATGTAGTGCCGAATGTGGCTTTCGAGCGGGTCTGTATGGGTTCTCACGCAATTATAATTAAATTATATTATACTGGGTGACCGGGTCGGCCCGGGGTCTAATGAGAGGTGGGCGGCCGAGATGAGCCAGTTGTTTTTGGGGGTCATGACCTAGACGCAACTGTTTCCAAAGTTTTATCCCTATTATATGTTGTTATTCCTTTCTCTTTTCCATTCCCAACTTTTGATTTCCTTCCTTTTTTCGATTATTTTTGATGTCCATTGCTGATATGGAGGTCGGGCTAACGAGTTCCGTTCGGCCGTTATTTTTTAAACTCTGATCAAAATTTGGTGATAATCGTATCTTATGCTGTGGGATGGTATCGCACGCCCATTCAAAACATCGCGATGTTGTAAACATCATCTTCCTGTAGTAATGTAATCTAATAATCAGGTAACTTCAGAAGTCACCATGAACACCCCTGACAGTGAGAAACGGAAAGCGGATCTCTGGCTTCAACTGAGTCCCGCTATCAATGCCTCTCCATCCACCACCAATGTTCAGTCTCCATGGGATCTCAACAGTGGAGGTAAGATCGCTGATCATGATGACTGGTCCAAGAGAACAACGCTGACTCAAAAGGTCATCTTTTGTAATGCACTCGAGGACTAATCAGGCCAGGGAATATAAGTCAGGGAGCAGAGATTAGAGGCGGTGTTTGGGGCTGCTGAATTTTAAACGAAAGGAAGGAAATTCCCAAAAAATTTCCAGAATATGAATAAAATTCTAGGATGGGTCAGGCGTCTCTGAATTTATCGCTTCACCAATCGAAACGTGGCGTTGTCTTGAGTGTTTGTTTTATCTTTTTTTCACGTTTTCCGCGGGTAACCGTTCCGTTTTGGGGGTGTTATGTGCGCGCTTTGTAGACCGAATTAAAATAAAATACCTGGCAGCCATTTTGCTCGCTTCGTGTGTGTCTGGGCCTCTCTTCGCGGGCCCTGATCTCTTGCGACAATCACGTTTCCACTTGAAACCGTGACTTGTATTTGGGGAGAGTATTGCGCTCTGTTCTGGCCTCAAAACGAAGTTCACCACACGTCATTTGAAAGCTTGTTCACAGAGAACTCATGGGTGTTTAGTGGCTTATGCATATTTGTGCCTATTTAACAACAAACCGTTGTTTTAAAAAATTCAAAAAATTATGAATTCTCTTTACTAATTTCGCGTGCTTTCAGATGATTTGCATAGTTTTACGTATACATTTTTTGGTATTATCGCGGCAGGCGTATCTTCTGTTTTTTCTCCCTTATCAACTTGCAATTATATACAATCATCGGTTCTCTCTTGTTGTTTCGCTTTTCGATCAATTTCTCTTCGCAGTTAGAGCTTGAACTTTTTCCAGGCGACCTTTTCTTCTTTCCACTCGAGCAATATGTACTTACTCAGTTATTATCTGATGTCAATCTTTGCCGAAATACTTGCGAGAGACAACTTTTATTTGCAGTTTTTCTTAATTGGAGCTTGAGGGCGGAAATCGCTGGATGTCGATTGGGTTGAGATGTTTTCAGCGGATTACTTGGTATACTTGAGACTTTTCTTGTGATCATTCTGTTGTACTAACCAGCCTGATCTGAGTAGGAATCGAAATACGAATTTTTAGAGAAATCTTTCCCTTTTTGAGCTTTTTTAATGCTTTGACACGCGTTTTCTTCCATTCTTTGGCCAGAATTCCTTAGGGGTGCACTTTGATAATAGTAATTTGTATTACACTGTTTGTGGATGTTGGTTGGGACTTGGCCATGCCTTAACAGGCAGGTTCACCTTTTTTCAGATGACTTTTGTTTAATAATTAATGCCTTCACCGTCGTATGCATTTTGTACGTACTTTATTATAAGCGTAATTACATGTAATGGATTGTAAACTCGTAATGGTTTCTTCTTGTTCATCCGTCTTTCAACCACGGACGATAATCAGTGTCATAAAGTGGCAATCTGTTTAATTCTTAACGAACCCACCTTGAATTCCCTTTTAATTTAGGAAATTAGTTTGGAAGAGTGACACAACTTTGGGCCTGAATTCTTAATCCGCGGCATTCTTATATAATTTTGTCTCTCTGTCCACGGCACGACTCTGGGTTCCTTCCCTGGCCGTTTCTCTCGCCCAATGTTAGCATGTTGTTCTTTTCGAGAGCGAGAGTCTGTGAGCCTGGGATGTCTGTCCTTCTCCTTTTTCGGGGCTTCACTCGGCCTGTTCTCTTCCTCGCCTTCCCCTTTTTTGACAACACACGACCGGCCAAAAGCACTGAGGCACGTGCGGCAATGCCGGTTTTCGATTTTGCCGCTATTCGCACTTTCTGGAGGAAGTCTTGGGAGTCGGGTTTCTGAATAAGCGAATGGAGTTCGGCCGTGGTGTTGAAACAATCTCATCTCCATTTCTGTGCCAGACAACCGAACACGCGCTGGTCCGTACGTCGAGCGCGTTTTTGATTAGGTGCTAGCAAGATTTTCGTGACTGAGCCAGCCATGATTCAACCTTTTACGCCGCTCTTGTGGCCTTTCTTTTTCTCTTCGTCGCTCCGTTTAAATCGTCTATTTGGGAAGAGACTGATAGCTACCGGTATATCGGGGAAGGAATTCACAGCAATAATTCTGCTCTGTAATCTCTGCGTCTTAATAGGTGTGGCCATGTACCAGGTCTATTTATCTTGGACATGACTTGCGGGCGAGGCAATCATCCAACGATGTTTTCCACATTAACCTGCTTTCCTCATGTGTTTTGTAGGCCAAGTTTGGAGTATGTTTTGCAATTTGGATTACAGATTCAGAGAGCTCTTTGGATTGGGGGAAAGGGGAGACCGAGTGGGAGAAGGACAGGGGCAACGGGTCATGAATGAAACATAAAAGCCGACGAACGGCATAGTCTCAGGCCGCTTTCTCTCCTCGCTATCATACATGGATATCACTTGTCTTCTTGACATAGACACGAGAGCCCAGCAACTTTTTACTGCTGTTTAATACGTTTTCCTAATTTTTTTTTCTGGCCGGGAGAGGGGGGGGGATATCTGTCCGCGGGTGCCATTTCAATACGACAGCTAATCGGTCGTTAATACATTCATTCATCCGTTGGGTGTCTTCTCTCTTTTTCGACGTTGTTTCTGTAGTCATGAACACTCTTTTATGGCAGAACGTGGTAGATTATAATGTTCCTTGTCGCGAAACTCTCCATTTACCTGTTTCAATTTCAAGTGTCCGTTTTGTGGGAGCTCGCGTAAAATAATTTGGGCCAACAGTGCACCTCCTTTCGTTATAAGAGGTCAAACTGGAGCCCCGGAACACCGCCATTATGAGCTCCAGTATGCTCGACTGGTTCTTGAGCACTCTAACGCCGACCCCCACTGCCACTGCGTCGGCAGAAAACTCTCGTAAGTCCAACAAAAAGTGGAACCAGGGACCTCGCAGGACAAAACACTCCAGGGCCGATTTCGAAATTTTAAATTTAAATCTTTTTGGTTCTTCAGAGATGCCGAGCACCGCTGAGATCATTCAGAAGTGTCTGAACGTGAACCCTTTCGACCTCAAGTTCCGGGAGGCCAATATGCAAATTAATGGTCAGAACGAACAGACTCCGGACAGTGGCGGTCAGATCAATCTCCCGACGACTCCATCTGGCCTTTCCATGCTCAAGTTACCCTCCACTTTGGCTCAATCTCCAAGCATTTTCTCCAATTTGAATGTTTTAAATGCGGCCGATCTGGAGAGCGGACTCAGAAAAACGATGGATTTTCAGCGAAAGGTCCAACAAGTAAATAAAAACAATCAAAACACTAGAACCTACTGTATTTTTAGTTACGTGACAATGCAAACTTGGTCAAACAGGAAGGCAATCGAACTCCTTGCACTGCCGATGTTCTGAATGCCGTGCTGGACATGAATATGAACCATCTGGGGAATGGGCCGATTACAATTCCTTCCACCTCGTCACTCGTTGCTGGTCTTGCAGCAGCAGCCCAAAGTGTGTCGACTGTCGCTACATCCGCGGATTCCATGAATCTGGTGAATACGATGACCTCTTCGGGCACTGACCCGATTGTCAAGGAGCTGAAGGCTCTTGATTCGACTCCTTCTACCACCAAGTCTGATGATTGCAGCGCCTCCACTTCTCAAGTCACATCTCAAGCAAACTCATTTCCTCCGACATCTGAATCTGAGGCTTCGAATACCGATCGGGGTTCGAATCTTCTGCACGCCAGCAGCATCTCCAACATGATCTCTAATTCAAGCACCCTTACCTTAAATCCTGTAAATAATAGTATGCCTAATCTGCATAGCAATTTCAATTCTAATCCTCCAACGACGACAGGGCCACCTTCTAATGGTCTTCTAAGTGCACGCGCCAGCCCTGCCTTGAATGTTTCGCCGCGATCGACGGTTCTGGAGTAAGTAGACTCATCCCGGATTCATAATCGATACCTTTTGCAGTTTGAACAAACCTCTCCTCAACAATGGCCTGGATTCCCTATCATGTGTGAATACTGATGCCTGGGATACCTTGAATGATATCAAGCCCTTGATCAACAAGCCCTACAGTTCTTATGAGACCCTTCACGGTCGATTGGAACTAAATACCAGCGCTGCTGGCAGCGATATTGGGTCTCAACCAAACTCGCTTGATGGGCCCAATAAGCCAAGGAAATACGCGCGATATCATAATCCTGGGTAAGCCTTTAAAAAATCTTTTATATACGATTATAGGGAAGTTTATGTGCCCAATTTTACTTAATTTTTCCGCATGACAATTTACTATTTTTCAAAGCGTGACACGAATATTTCTTAGCATTTTAATTTCATTTGCGATAAATATTGTTACAAAATTGTAGTAGAGGGTGAGGGTGTAATCAGAAGACAAAATATCTTTGCTTTTCGGGCATTTGTATCGGACTGAAATAGATAAGAGATGAGCATAATTGAAACTAACTGGTTACATTAAAATGACGTCATTGAAATCGTCAATTATTGCAATAATTTATCTGTTATAACTGTGGTTGCAGAAGTAATGAGAGTCACACGACTCAAAGTAGTGGCCGCGGTCGGGGAAGACGCTCTCTGACCAGTGAAATGCCTCCAGACGAAAGAAGGATGACAATTCTGGAGAGAAATAAGGCTGCTGCAGTCAGATATCGTAAGAGAAAGAAGGAGGAACACGATGAAATGATGACCCGAGCACAGACATTAGAACAGGATAAGGTGAGAGTTATTTCAACTTTTAATTTTACAAAGTTTACAATTTTTAAATTTATTTCTTTACAGATTTATTTGCAAACTCAGAACTCAGTCCTAAGGCGAGAAGTGGAGCGACTGACAGAGATGTTGAAGATCCGAGATGCTCGATGTATTTGCCGGAATGCCAGTGGCCTCCCTTTATTTAACGGAGCCGATCTAAACAACGATCATTTGGATTCGGAGTCCAAGAACTTGGCCGCCATGACATCCAGTGGCCTCGATCACACTCAATTCCTCCTTCAGAACAACTAGTCTTTGGATAATTTATCTTTTGTTTGGTTTATGATGCTTTCCGTCGCCATTCTTTGGGTGTTCCGTTCTTGCCACGGTGATTCTTTTAATCTTCTGAATTGGCTCTTACCTGGCGTTGGCTGTGGCACAGACCGTAAACTTTTTAGAGCATCTATAAAATGGCGGACGTAGATGTTGAAGCCATAAATATGGCTCCCGAATCTCTCTCCCTCCCCATCTGATAAGAGTTTACCCTTATTTATATAGTCGCACTGTTGTTGATACTCTGACATTCCGGTGATTCAGTCCCTTTTTGCATCATTTTCCTCATTTTCCCCTCCAAACTTCTACTTTTTACAATAACCTAAAGACGTGTACATTGTTTTCTAAATCTGACAGAATTGATTCTATCTGTTTTTATCTTTATCAGAATGAAGTTCTTCGAGTATTGAAAGGGGGAATGTGTGAGCGAGGAAAGGAGTGGGACCTCAGAATGGTCGTTGCCACATCTCATGCATCTTAAACAAGAAAACCCATTCCAGGCAGAGACAAACCCACAGTTATTCTAAGGTTGGATACCAGGCCGGGTCTTTTCACTTCGATTTTCTTTAAATTTGTTTCAAACCAGTGCTATTATGGTTGGCGTCTGCAAGAGCTACAATTCGATGATGGTCGGAATGTTAATTTTACTGCCCCAGGCGTTTCTGTTTCGAAATGAATGATTCGGAAGTCATGTGATAATAATTCTAAGTGATTTAGCCGGGCAGACAATGGATCACTCTTTTTTTCTGATCCATTTATTCGTCGCTTTCGGAATTTATGGATATGGCCAGACTCTAAAGGTTCTGCAACATTTGTTTATTAAAGGGGCTACTTAACTCGACCTCACACATGACTTTGATCTAGGATGATGGTATCGATAGGTTGCTTCAGATTTTGTGCATGAAAACCTTTGGTTCAATTAATATACACCATTTCTTCAACAGTTTTCGATCATTACAAACATTTTTTTGAAGGCTATTTGAATGTCGCAATCAAATTTGTAGCTTTAATAATAGCTCTGGCGTTTCTAAAAATAATCTTTTTTGATTTGATTCTTTATCCACTATCTTACTCGATATTCATTTTGATGATCAAATCAGAAGGATGTTTTATGTGCGACGAAGAATCGAATTCAAATCCCATTTCCCATGCACATGTTATGTGTTATATATATCCTTTTTTCTTTTATTTTGTCTGTTGGATGGATATTAGAATAATGGAGAATAGGCTCAAATTATGTTTTCAATCATTCCCGAGTTATTCGTGTCATAAAAGTTGGCCACAGATGGTGGGACGTCGATCTGGGGTCGTCTATTACCCATTTAAAATGATCAATTTGCAGCCAAGTGTCACTTTTTCAGCCCTCAGGGTGAAGGATGGGAGCGAACTCAGAGCCTGAGGAAATGAGAATAAACCCACGGAAATCGCGGTTTCCTCGAGGGAATCGGGAACGCTTCTTATTCGGATGATCATAGCCTTCTGACTTGTCCCATTATAATGTAATTGGTCTTTTTTTGGGTTGAATTAGTCCGCAGAGCTTCTAATGTTTTGGGGGGTCCCTCTTTTTAGGCCAGTCCAGACCGAGGATCGCCGACCTTTTTGGCTGGGAATATTCGTTTTTACGGTCAGCACATTCCCGAGCAGACTTCCAATTTTATGGTCATCACACGTGAAGGGCCAGCGACTTGCCCTTGGGGCAAGGCCTGGTTTTTATTTTGCATATGTTTTTTGGGGGCTCTGATTTGGGAAGTTTGCTTGCTTCAAAACTTTATTTGTTTACTCACAGGGTAAACAAATGGGGTGCAGAAATTATTTGAGGTTTTTAATCTGCGCAGTGCCCGGCCACCCTATAATATAATATTTCATCATTGAGACAGTCGGCTCGGAAGTGGCTCCGTCGAGACCCGAAGGGCGGTTGATTTATTTCCTGAGGCGCATTATAGGCTCTTATGTGGAAGTATTTGAATTTCAGAGGCCGAATGCCTTCCCCATTCTCTGATTATGGATATTATCCACTGGGGACGCGCAACAAAAATTTTTGGTTTCCAAATTCAGGACTGTTCATTTGCCGCCTCCGGCAGTTGTTTGTATTTGGTGACCTTCGAGCCTTTTATAGTCTTGGTGGTTTTCCTTTTGAAACACCGCTATCAGAGGCAATGACGAGGATTCAGGGAGGCCAACGGACCAGTCTAAGCAATGACTGAAAATCTTTTGGACAATCCAAAAAGTGGAGGCCTCCGGGGTGTCTGCAAATCCGCTCACGCAGACCTGTCGTGACTCCCATGAAATCGATCTCTTTTTGATTCACAGCACCTCTTTGGCATCATTTAATGCGGCCACATCTTCTGTTTCCTTCGTCTCCGTTAAGCGACTTTCGTGGCTTGAGTTTCAACGGCCGTGCTGTGCCGCCTTCATATCCGTCCCTTCTTTTAGCTGATTACAGGAAAATGTGTCCCTCCTATTTCCCTGATTCCGTCTAGTTGGAGGTGAGCGCGAGAACGGAACGGTGTGTCTTGCGGGTCGTTTGGTTTTGCGACAGGAAAGGAGAAACCTCAGCCAGTCTCAACCACCCAGCTCAGCGAATATAGATTCTATTCGAGGCGGTTCAACAAACCACGGACCTCTCCAAAACGCCGCCTCTTCATGTTTTGTTTCTGAAACATTGTGCAGGGACGCTGAAGGGACACAAACATTGGCTGGCGTCCCTTTATGCGGCAAATTACAGGCTTTTTAATTTGATTGCCTTGGCTTGTCATCACCTTTAACTCTACTGCTACAACTACGGTTAATTCGGGATATCTTTGGCTTCGACCGGGGTTCCGCGCCTTCTTATTTTGAACTGAATGAACAAGTCCTTCCCAGCAAATTATCACATTGTTTTCCTGCCATCCTCCACCACCTCCAATCTACATCCCCATGATGCCTTATCCCTTATGAATTCTACCTTATCGTATGTTGAAGAACCTACCAATTTACTGTACACTCATCCCTTTCTGGCCACTTTAATATCTCTGTTGGTGGTGTGTATGATCATCGCGACCTTGGTTGGCAACATTATGGTTTGTTTGGCAGTTATTTTGGTGAGGAAATTGAAGGCTCAGCCTGCTAATTTGCTACTGGTATCATTGGCGGTGGCTGATTTCAGCGTGGGTCTATTTGTAATGCCTATCGCTCTGGTGGTTATTTTGGAGGACAAATGGATCTTGGGTATGTGACTTTGGGAAAGGTCGCTTTCGATTATTGACACTGTTTGATCATGTATTTCAAATGATATTCAGGACCCTTGTTTTAGTTTCAAACAAACTCTGTGCAAATAAAGACCGGCCTAAGCCTGGCGGGGATAATCGTAGAGACCAAAGGGAATATCAAATTTTCGGTTTTTGTTTTAGCCACTCTTAGGTATGGGTAGGGAGGGCACCATCCCTCCAACTGGTTCCTCCAGGAATTGCCCGACTTTTCCGTCCGTTTTTTGTTTCGCTTCCGCCAAGATGATGAGGTAAACAATAGATAAAATAATTGGATTACAAGTGGCACTTCATTGGATAAGGGTTTCGTTTTAAGGCTCCAAAATGTATCCTTATGCAGCAAACGAAATTCAAGCCCAGAAAAAGTTATCTGCGAATCTCTAAAAATCGCTATTCAGGAAGGACAATATGTCTATTGTGGACGTCTGCGGACCTAATGTTGTGCTCCGCGTCAATTTTGAATCTTTGCATGATCTGCATCGACCGGTATTTCGCTGTGATCAAAGCCCTCACCTACTCAGCCAAGAGGACTCGTGGTCGTATTTTATGTTACATTCTGGTGGTCTGGGTGTTTGCTCTCTTGGTTAGTACAACTCCGCTAATCGTATTGCCCACTAATCACTCCGAAAACTCTTGTCAGGTAAGTAATTTTAATTCCTTTTCTGATTTGTTTGGCAGCAGTGTGCAATTTAAAGAAGGAAAAAACCAAAATATTATGACTACAGGTATCTCAGCATCAGTTATATCAAATATACGCAACAGTCATTTCTTTCTACGCGCCCTGTCTGATCATGGTCATATTGTACTGGAGGATGTGGCAGGCTGCAAAGTTATTGCAAAAGAAGGATCACATGAACACTAAATGGTCCGTGTCTTCTAAACAGCCAGAGGCAAAAACAAAAAGTAATAACGGCACGATGAAGAACGGCTTCGGGGAATCACCGAAACGGCATCACCGGCCTTCTGCTCTGTTGCACGCAGTCCGGGTTCCCTTGGTATGGAGGAAATTTGAATATTCAAATTAAATTAATTTACAGATGCATTCCAACTCCCGTAATCATCACGAAAGGACAGAAGACAAAGCCCGGAAGACCCTGGGAGTGATCATGAGTGTGTTCATCGTCTGTTGGGTACCCTTTTTCATTCTGGCTCTCCTCAAATCTCAGTATATCCCGGATGTTCCCAAATGGCTGGACGTTTTATTTTTGTGGTTAGGATACTCAAACAGGTGAGATTACATAAGATTATACAAGTTTACGTGGTTCTTTACGTTGTCTTTTCAGCATGTTGAATCCGTTAATTTATTGTAAGTACAACAGAGAGTTCCGGGTACCCTTCCGCGAGATGTTATGTTGTCGCTTCAGTACGATGCAAACTGTAATGCGGAATGAAAGTTTTCACAGCAAGTTTGGACCTCCAAAGTAAGCGTCATATAATGGATATTATGCACACGCGGGGTGCTCTTTGCATTCATATTCATTTCCTTTCTCTCTTTTCTTTTTATGTTTTATTTCGTTTTATTTTTGGAGTTTTGTAAATATTACTCATAATGCCTAACTGAAATACAAATTTTGCTTTATTTATTATATTTTAGTTTTAGGAACTGCAATCTATAGTATTCATAATTTTATAAGCATTATTGACCAACTATTTTTAGCCTGAGTGAACTCCGGACTTCCACAGTAACTTGTGCCGTCCCTGCCATGTCCGTGACGGCATTCCCACCTCCAGAATTCGAGTTAAATAACAATAACACCACCTTTTCACTTAATGCTGAAAACCGCGGCCTTGAGATTTCAAAACGGATAGCTCATATTTAAATCTCGGTTACAATTTTTCTTTCATTGTAATACTTATAGGCACGTAATATTATTACATGCCGTTTTGTTTTGATATTTATTGATGATAAAAAACCAGATTTACTGATGCTTCAGGGCGGTCTGTTGGTACTCATCCAGGCTCTTTAAGTAGACGAACGGCCTTACATCCACATTCTGGAAGGCATAGGTGAGAAGGACACCCGTTATCCACACTGTCCACTTCTGTTTCCTCGAGGTACGCCTGCAACAATGCATTATCAAAATAAAGATGAACATACCAGGCAAAGAGACGAACAATCAACGCCCAGGCTGTCGCATTCATGACGACAGAGAGTTGTTTCAGCCTAGAATAATATAAATAAGAAAAGATGAATCAGAGATCTCACCATGCGAGATTTGCCCGGGCCTTCGGGAGATCTTCGATCTTCTCTTGGAGAAGATATGTCTTCATACCCATCAGATAATCAAACAAATAACGATCCCAATCTAACTGACGGACATCAAAGTTGAACTCTTTCTTGTCTTGCTCACTCAGAGTTTCCCACAAACACAGAAGTTTCTTCGATTTGAAAGACCAGCCACGGGTTGTAAAGTAATGCAAAGTCTCGATCATCTTCCATATCCTTCCGTAGATTTTGACAAAACTGAGAGCAATACATAATATTGCGTATAAACCTTAACTTACGTTGGTTTTCGACCAGTCAAGAAACACAAAAAGTCGAGAACATGGGCAGGAATGTAATGTTTTGTGTAGAAGTTGAACAGGAACAGGGCTCTGCTAGAATGGAAATGAGTGGAAGGAACACGATAACATTGATCCAAGGGATATTTGAGGAAGAATCTCTGGATGTAATTAACCACTCTCTCCCATTTTACTGGATTCAGTTCTCCTGAAGAACAGTGGACAACAGGAATCTCCTGGCAACTCTTTAGTTGGATACGGTAAGCAGCCGCAACAATCAGGCAGTTAGAGACAATGTCCACGGGGATGATATCAGCTTTGGCAGTAGAGCTTCCACACATATTAGTCAAAAGGCCCTTGCCAACCTGAAATTTTAATATTTTTGCATTCATATTTACATTTTTCTTTACGATTGTTTTAATGTTTGGTGCCCCTTTTTAACTGATGCTCGTTTTTTGTTGTCATACGCGCATGTCCATCCGTATATGCTAATTACCCAAGTCGTAACTGTTGCATTTAGATAATGCAGACATCCCCTAGATAGGAAAAACCGACATTACAAATATCTTATCAGTCGTGCCTCGCTGAACTTTGTCTCTTTTTCTTTAGAGATCAATCGCAAGTCAGCGTAATCTTTGACCTTGTAATACCTACCCCGGCAAAGATGCCTGTAGGCCCATTCACATTGTCCGTCCATCCGGGCAAGGGTTCCTTCCAACAAGCACAAATGATGGACGGTCTCACAATAATCACGGGCATATCACCCGCATCTGTTTGCAATTGAGACTCAGCCAAGGCCTTAGCAAAAGTGTAAGTATTGGGGCGTTTCCCGAGGAGTCTCGGCGTGATCAAGTTGACCATCTCGTCGTCCATCCATTCCATGGCATCGATGATTTTCTCCGGATCTACGGGGGGTTTGTAGATGACTTCTTCTGTCTCTTTTAAGTCACAATTCGCATAAGCCGTGCTGGCGTGGACAAGACACTAAAAAACAAAAAAAAATAAACAAATAAGCGAAAAATAGATGTGAGGAAGTGCCAGAGGCCGCAAATGCCTAGAATCTAGATTTTTAAGATGACGTACCACCAAATTTTGCATCTTGTGACACAGAGCGATCAACCTCTGGGTTCCAATTACATTCATCTTAATGGCCACCTTCAGAACTTCATCAAATTTCACCGTGGCTGCGCAATGAAAAACCACGGAAACGGATTCACAGAGAAGAGTCTCATCGGCTGGGCTCAGGCCAAGGTCTTCGGACATCAGATCTCCATTTATGGGCACCAGCTTTTTGAATAATTCAACATCTTTTTCGCGAATCCGATGAAAGATTTGACTCTAAAAATTAAGTTGCATCAAATCATATAATAAACAAAAAATTTAAAAAGTAAAAACGATGGCATACTTTCAACAATTTATTGAGCCGATCTCGAGGAGAATGACCCTTCAGCCCTCTTATCAACAAGTAAATCTTGTTCACATTGGGAACCGAGTACAACAACTTCTCGACCAGGACCTTGCCCAGGAAGCCAGTTCCACCAGTAATCAAAATGCTGGAGCCGTTGAAAGTATCCGCTACAGAAAGCCCAGCATCCATGGCTGATCGACAGTTAGCCGAACCGCGAGCAGAAAGGAACAAGAATTTCTTTAGGGAGAATTCCTTCCCGTTTGTACAATCTTATCTTTTTCGTGTTTTAATCTGAACAAATAGCGTCGTACATTGAACTGGCCTGCCTGCCAGCCCCGCCGTCGGTCCCACCCCCTTCCTCAATCACACCATATCATAAAATTATTTTATTAAAACTTTAAATTAGCACCAAAATTCCAAACGATATAATAAAAACGAGGTTAGGTTGAGGTCCTTAATTCCTAATGAGTGTAGATCGGCGTCGACTGCCGACGAATTGATGGGGACACAGGATCTTACGGAAAGCCCTTCTGAATTCCAGATTCAGAATCCCATAAAGAAACGGGTTCAGGGATGAGTTGATGTAGCCCAGCCATACAAATGCTTGATGAACCTGAAGGAATGACCAGAATAAGTGAGGCCAACCAAGAGAAGTAAGTTAAGGCCAAAAGAACTCACCTTTGGATGGAGATAACAGGATTCACAGAACGGCAAAATGACATAGGCACAAAAGAAGGGGAGCCAGCAGAATGTGAAGACAAAAATAATTACAGCGATTGTCTTGGCAGCCCGCTTCTCTTTCGCAACACTGATCTTTTCCCTTTTTCTGAGCACTGTCGTTGTCAAGAGTTCTTCTGGAGGTTCAGCTGAGGGTGATATGGGCCCACTGTGCCGCTTCATATGCAAGGGCAATTTGATCTTCTTGGGAGGGGGGAGGTTGTGGGGGTTATTATTATGACCACTCTTACTCTCCTCACTGCCCTTGTTCTCACTGCTTACATCGCCCATCTAAGAGACTTTTAAACGGCCATTAATTTCCTACCGTAATCCCCGAGCATGCGTCTACAAGAGGGGCCTGTTCGGGAATTAAATTTCGAGAATCCGAGGAGCCATTTGCCAACTTGTACGTGTTCCTTTTTTCTGGAGGTGGTTGTTGGCTAATTCGCATCAGCGCACTGCGGCCTGGAATAGAAAAAGGCGAAGTTAAGACTCATTAGATGCCATTTAGGGAACGACAAATCTTCGCCCCCAGAAAAAAAAACAAATCCAAAGTTTTCTTCTGAATTTGACTCCAAATTATTCCGAGAAACGTCAGACCCACCTCGGTTGGTTCGAATTCGTTGCCGCGCAGACATAAATATCTTCAAATAAACAATCACCATAACTGCCAGAGGCAAGAAAAAGGATCCACTGGCCGAGAAGACCACGAACGCCTTCTCACTGGAGAGTTCGCAGTGATCCTTCAATTTTTGACTCGACCAGTCGTTCCATCCGAACATTGGAGGCACAGAGATGATCCCACTGGCTATCCAGACCTAAAGAAACATCACATTACCCATCAGACACCCCTTACCAGCAGGATAATTAGGCAGACGAATCGCGGAGTCCTCTTTTGAGCATAATTGATAGGGTCGTGGATGGCCCAATACCGGTCCAAAGCGATGGCACACAGATTCAGAATCGAAGAAGTGCAGAGCAAGATGTCTGCCGTGGTAAACAATTGACAGACTGTCACTCCGAGGAGCCATCGACCGTCTGAAATTGATTATTTCCGACAACTTATTTTCCATTATTTTATGACATTTGTTTTTAAAACAAGTGTGGTTGAATACCTGAGTGCAGGTTAACTAACTTTATTCTTCTGGGACCTGTTGTGATGACTATATTACTCAATACGAGGAATAAATGGACTATAGGGAATTCTAGCTCAAGATTGAGTAAATAAACCACGATTTGAAAGATTGAGCTTTACTGAGCTCTTCTCCCCATCCGGGATGCAGCTAAGTCAAAAGTTAGCTGGGCGTGAAGACGGCCGGAAGTACTCTGGAAGTGCGGCGTACGACAAATTATGCAAACTGGGACTGTTTCTTCGTTTTTGACGTTTTGGGTGGATTCGGAGTATTTCGTGGGTCAACAAGGTTCACAAGACATCACGTTAGTGCTTGCCAAAGCATTTGTAAAAAGAAATTCCGATACGAAGGACAAAAAAGGGATTTTTCTCAGTCTTTTTTTCTAAAATTTGGATCCTAATTTGGAAAGAAACGCAGATCCATAACGAGGTTTACAGAAACAAATGTGTTTAGGAACCCACCGAAATCAGTTTCCTTCTAAACATTCCCAATCTACACCACCGAAAATAGAGTCACGGGGCCTGGGCCTAAAAATAAATGCCGCTTCCTGCAACTCCTTGGAAATGACCTAATTGTATATTGTAAATGGTCCTTGACGCCACTAAAAGCCACTGCAGACGCCACAGAATTTGTAATTCATATCGACTTTTTTTGTTATGATTCGTTCCAGTTACTCCGTAGAAAAACAAACGCATGAATGAAATCCTGAGGTCTTCAGAAATCCCACTCAAAAACAACCATTTCCGGTCATGCTAAATACTTACTGGCAACGAATTTAACCACATGTAAAGGCATCACGATGACGGCTACGGCCAAATCTGAGGCGGCTAACGAGACCAGAAAATAATTCTGGACCTTCTTCAGAGGCCTGTAGTTGAACACCGCGACTACTACCATCGTATTTCCAATCACTGTCATTAGAATAATTACCTGAAACGGACATTAATTATCATCACGTTTCTATTGACGCCTGAGGGCATTTGTAACGGTCGTTTTCATTATCCTAAAACGTCTCGGTCTTTTCATTTCCTTAGCCCGAGGCCAAACAAGTTTCATGGGATCCGCAGCCTTCTGGGATTATGAATTTCAGTAGTCTTTTGTTCTTATCCTCAGGTCATCAGATACGTTTCGGAGCTTAAAACAGCAGCCGTATCGTCATGCAAAAACAGAACCCGGAATGTAATAAAGATCTGAAAAAACGCCCAGTCTGTTCTAAAATATGAATGAAACTTGACAGATTCTTAGCCAAATTCGGCTTTAATGATTTTCTTCGACCGCGTTTTGGAAACAAAAAAGAAACGGCGGACATACCACGTATGTAATGGCGCCCACAACGAGCTCAAATGTGGGGATAAACTCGGCCTCCTCGAAACTGGTACCCGACGTGAGAGAACTGGTTGTCTGCGTTATGTTGGGCAATGCGCTGGCATTAATGAGATGCTGATTGAGGGAGAATAATGTCCCCAACACCATGCCAAACGTGGTGGATGACGTTGGTCTCGCTCTAGATGCCCGCCCTGTATCCATGGTATGCCCGTGGAGGTCGCTGGAAGGCAGGCCGGCCAACGCGAACACCACCACCACTCTTCACAGTTTTGGTGAAACCTTGATTGGGTCTGATGTGGTCCAAAATGGTATCATAGACTGCACCCAAATTGCCAAAAAAGAGTTTTAAAATTAGACCGGATTCAAGCAGACTAGGTCCCAATTCTCAAAAGATGTACGGAAGTTGTGTGGGATCCCGTCCTGACGAGAGAAGGCAGATAAACCCCGGACAAAAGAAGTCGCGATGTAAAGATGTAATACCCGCACTGCGTGGAATAGGCTGATGACACGCGAAACAAAGATCCGGTTGAGTCGATTCAGACGGTCGTGGGGGATGTTGGGGCAAGCCAAACAAACCATTAAACACTCATCGCGAACTCGGCAGATGACCCTGTTGAACAAGGTCTAGCCGTTTGTTGTTGAACTCGAGAGAGCCGAAATAAAGCCCGTGGCAACACTGTCGAAGGAAAAGGGTAAAGACGACGAGATTGGTTGTGTGCCTTAGGCGATGGTGAAGGGAGGAGTGCGGTCTCACTCTAACCTTGCTAAACGCATCCAGTGGGGTCTGTATGGAGAAGAAATGGGGGCGGGACTTTTGCATTCCTTTCCCTTTCAAACAAGAAAAGCGATTTTTCGAGATTCAGGAGCCAAAGACTCGGGCTCTCAAATTCAGATTTGCATGACTAATGCTCCTAATGTTCGGAAAGTCTGAGTTTACTTACTATTATTAGCGGCTGCCTTCCCGTGACCTCTGAAGAGGGTATCAAGTTACATTGGCCTTACCTTGACCTCAATTTCTACCCAAGAACTCGAGGGCAGGAACAAAAAAAGGGAAACAGGTCACACCGACAGGATTGACGCTTTGCCGTGCTCCCACCAGAGGTGAATGTTGCACAATTTGGAGTACTCGAAGGGAAGCCTCAGCGTATTGTCCAGTCCAATTTGGCGGCCATGATTTTGCGTACATTAGATGACAGTTCGGCGGATTCGAGGCTTAATTGGCTTCATTTTTTGTTTTCTGGTTGGAACTTCCTTGAGAAAAGACGCTTCATTCGTTTTCTCTTCATAAGAGCTCGATTATGCGAAGAATGCGGCCCAAACCGCCGCCAGCTGAGAGAGGCAAATAAGGTGATGATGTTATATTAAGAGCCCTGTTTGCATCCGTCCAGTAACGCCTTTATTAATCATAATTTGATTATGGATTAATTAAGATGTCGTTTTGTGATATTTCGAAATGATTTGAGAAGTACCTCTAACATCTGCTGGTGATGGATGATGATATCTGGGAAGAGAGGGACAACAGCTCTCTTTATTTTTAAAAATTTTCATGGAATTCGGCTCTAGATTTTGGGATAATGGTAATTTGAAACGAGGAAGCCCAAAATGCAAATAAATAAAACATTACAAGTTGATTTCAGAGGAATTCTTTGAATATCAGATTCAAAAATAATTTGTTAAAGTGATACACAACGCATTAACGTACAACCTTTTGGTAAGCATGAACAGTTTATGTCCAAAATTCCTTCTCACGGGGTAAGAATAAATTTAGGAATCCATCTTAAATACGTAGATATTCGTAATAAACCCAAATATGTCATTGTTTGAGACCTCCAACTGAGAGATGTTTCCCACGGGATAGGGCTTCATAAAATGTTCTAAAAGGTTCATGCAACTTAAATAAAGGTGCTTTTATACATAAGAACTTGAAGAAGCAGAGAAAGAGCGACGATTTTCATAATTATCTTTCACCGAAACCCTATCAGTGTGTATCCCCAGTATTAGCAAATCGTTCCCTCCCGTATTTAAATACGTTTTCGTTTCCAAGAACCCTGAGATCTGGCATTAATCACGTGGGTTCAACTTTCCCACGGTATAACTATTGTCAACAAACTGTTTCCAACTGCAATATGAATAAAAATAGATGAGTCAGGAGATCAAGTTTCCCATAGTAACACTTGTAGAGGCAAAAGAAGCAAAGAGGATTAAAAACGGGAAGATCAGGTTTGTTTATGTGCCAAATTCCGAACAAGAAATTCAGTTTTCAACATCATTTCAAAGAGAAAGAGTAAAAATGAGTGTGTTCGTTCCTCCGGCTACCTACAGCGAGATTTCGGCCAGACGCAAACATTCTTCTGTCATCGTCAAATTCCGTGATGATTCGGATAACGGGAGTATTCAAGGTAAGATTAGCAATCATCAATGAAGCCTGTGGCTTTCAAGCTTGTTGAATCTCTTTGCATAACTAGGTCAGGATTTGATCGTCGATCGACTGATGTGTTTCTGGCTTATTGTTTTATTAGATTAGTGTGTTTCCCTGTGGATAATGTTCGCTTCGAACATAGTTAGGCAACCAGCAATGTCCGTCTATTCATTCTGCTTCTGAAACCAAATTTATCTAAACGGTCACCAATTACTGCAGAAAGGATGATACAATCAATGTCCTCTTATTTGATGAACGAGCATCGCTGGAGTCAGAATGCCCTCTCTCCATTGCGTAAGATTAGTTCGTATACATTGAGTGAGGGTCTCCTGTTCCTTCCTCCCCCCTCTCCAACCAATCTAACAGCCCAATCATTCCATTCCCCATCAACTCCGTCATCCAATCAATGGACTCTCCCGGTTCTTCAGACAAAGGGTAAGTTTAACAATAAGTCCATTACTTTATGCAACCTTTTTATTTTGACCCCTCACCTTATTGAATTATTTATGAACATTAGTTCCGTTATGACACAAAATTGTAAACCCTGTTAGGTGGTTTAGAAGTGGGATGCAAGGAAAGAGGAATAACCGAGTAGCGGTCTCCTTTGTGCAGACTCCCTTACCAGTGTTATCTATACCTTTGCCTAATATTCTTGACTTGGCCAAACAATCAAAGCCGCGGAAATCTCACACAGCTATTCAAGCGTTGCTTTGGAGAATAGTCGAAGGTAAGGTTGATGGGGTTTTACACTTACGAGGGCGGGAAGTTGCTCAGAATCTTGACTGATAATTATCTTTTTAACGTACCGATAATTGTGGTCAGGGACAGTCTAGTGAACTCGGGAGAGGTTCGATGAGCGTCAACGATACCGTTGTATAAGTGATCGAGGTTGCTCATTCTGGAAATCATGGCGCTACGACTTTTGGGGTCACGTTGAGTTGCCTTGATTTGTTTTTTTATACATGAGGGAGGCTAGGCTTACTTAGTTAGAAAAAATGATAAGATTGATTCCAAGAATAATTTTATCACTTATTTCGATGTATTTTAGATGGATTGCTATATATCCAGCTAAAAACTTAGGGATCTTTGTTTTTTTAGCAAGTTCTGGTTGTTTCTATGCTACAAGAACTCAGGCTCAAGAAAACTAGTAATAGCTAAAATTAGAGAAAGTGGTCGTATTGTGTCTCCACCAAGTCTGCGCCGAGCCTTCGCCGAACGTCTGCCGAGCATTCATCAGCTTTCACAGGTTTCGTAATCACCTCTTACCACCTTTTATTGGCTGTCCTCCCGTCTTAGGCCTTGTATCGATCGATTTGACCCAAACTGCCGGGCCATAAATTATGGACAGATTTCTGAAATCCTTGCAAATATCCGCAACATCCCCGTAATACGGTAAATTTTTTTTTGGATTTTCTTACAAATACTCTGGGTTTTTTGGCGGTGCTGATTTTGAAAACGATGTCCATTCCTCATATTTTCTGTTTTCCTTAAATAGTACTGTAAATTCTAATTTGCCTGTTGCTTGTAAAACGCTTTCTTTAAAAAATCAAGAAATTAATACCTTACACTTCCTTTTAAGCCAAATTGTAACATTCATAAACACAAATGAATATTGTATTCGAAATCGGCGCCCACGATTACCCTTAAATCCACTCTTTGGCAGCGGTCAATTATTGGCAGATTCCATTGTAGGCGTTTTCCTGGAATTTTTTCTAAAAATACTTGATGTAGAGGTTTTCGATGGCGCTGATATTGAAAGTGACGTCCATCTTTTCCCATAAAAGTGTAATTTTGAGAAATCAATGCAATTTGATAATTTTAACTTTTGACTTGATATACAGGGTGGGCCACTCGAAACTGACAAGTTTTTCCTTTGAATTTCTCCGCGGAGACTCCGCCGATTTTTCTAAAATTCAGATTTTTCTGGAGCTGAGACCCGCCATTTTCAGTCGACTGAATTTCCAAAAAATATATTTTGAATTGACCTTTCCATGCCTTCTAAAGTTTTGAAAAATTATTTGCAGGCCGAAACCGCTAAAACTTAGAAAATTTTTGGAATGATTTTGAAAAGTTGGTCATTTTTCCGAGTTATTTGGTGAAATTTTCTTTGTTTTACCTCAGATAGTTATCAAATATTGTTCCGAAAACAATTTTATTTAACAATCTGATTATTAATGCTTCTCTCCGAGTTATTATGCCCACCTCCTGTAACATCACAAACTTGCAGTGCCTTTGAGAGTCATGCGGAGATAGAATTGCGTATCGTGGATATGGTTTGTAAAGTTAAAACTTCAATCAGGCCGGGTTCTGAGCTTCAAGATGCCCCAGGCCTGACTCGATAACCATTGACGTCGAATTTTTCAATCTTTTTGAAATCTTTTTTTTTGAATGTTCGTGCCCTAATGGTAATACAAACAACCCTCTTGTGGCTTTCAACTTGCTTTAAACAAGTTTAAGGCGAGCACTAGCAACTTTCTACTCCACGATTTCCCCCAAAAAAAACCAAGAATTTTCCAAGTCCGAGAAAGTCAATTGAAAATCATTCCAAAAATTTTCTAAGCTTTAGCGGTTTCGGCCTGAAAATAATTTTTCAAAACTTTGAGAAGGCATGGGAAGGTCAATTTAAAATATGTTTTTTTGAAACTCAGTCGGTTGAAAATGGCGGGTCTCAGCTCCAGAAAAATCTGAATTTTAGAAAAATCAGCGGAGTCTCCGCGGAGAAATTCAAAGGAACAACTTGTCAGTTTCGAGTGGCCCACCCTGTAGAAACATTGAATGTCAGGAAATCGGAATGGAAATCGCTACAACGTTATTAAACATTAAAACCCATTCATCCAAAAAATATAAAAATCACGTAGAACTCACGTTTTTTCAAAGATATAGGGGCATTGATGATAGTCTGCCGGGAAAATAACGAGCACAATGTCGCTGCATCGATCTCGTTGCTAAAATGGCAAGCAATTTGCCGCTACACAATTCATTTTCGTGGCGGCGATGCGATTTTTGAATACGCAATTGTGGTCATTATTTTCCCGACAGACTAATATTAGCAAGGATTTTAGAAATCTGCCCGTTGTGGACGGAAAAAATTATGTTTCTGTTTCCCCAATTGTTTTTTCTTCAACGGTCGGTCTCCGTAAAAGTAGAGCAAGCAAGAAGCACATATTTATTTATCTACCGTCACCTTTATGAGGTATTACATTCTTTTATTTATGTCCATATCTATATAAATTAGCGATGTCACGCCCAAAAATATTTATGCCCCTTCTTCGCTCTTCTGCGACTTCCATCCGAGACGTTTTTTGACGATGAGTTTGGTGATTTCGAAGCATCGAGTCCCATCGGAGTAAATTCGTTCCGAGGCTCCGTTGAGTGCGAAAAGTCTTGCTCTCGCTTCATGTTACACTTGGGCCGCTTGTGCATTGCAAGACGATCCCCTTAAGTGTCCAGGCGTCGTCTTCATCGGCATCTGGTCGAGAAAAGGTAAAGGCACCCTCGGGTTGCCCTCATTCAAATCCTAATTCCAAGCGGTTTTTGGCTTTTGAAGAAACGTTCTTCTCATCCGTCAAATGCCGATGCTATTGCTATGAGTCTCATCAATTGGATCCGGGCCGTTTAAAAACAACCGTTGATTGTTTTCGCGTTCCATTTGCTTGGTGTCAGTCAACATTCGACTCATGACGCCTTAAGCGAAACCTAATTTGAATTTGGAATACCATTTATGGCCATGTTTGCGTACTAAGGCAACTCTCCAACGTTCTGACCTCCTTCAATGTTTCTACGCCGGTTCTGGAATGAGTGGGCCAAGAAGAACGACGTGGTTGCGTCCGGACATTCTGCCAACACTCAAGCGGCATGCTACAGTAGAAAGTATACGGCACAAAGTCTAGTCCCGGAATACGATCTGTTATCACCTTCATCAGATCATTATCGATTATCCAAAAATCACGAAGTCGACAAGGAGAGGGGTAAGGCTACATCTTAATACTTACTTTACTGTGCTGAAGGAACATATATATTACTGGGGAATTATTGATGAAATCGGACAGAAAACCCCCCATAGTGAGCGAATCTTAAAGTCTAATATGGCAAAAACAGAAAACGCGTCTTTTCTTGGAGAAAGTTTGTTTGCCCTTGAAGTCAAGCTAAGAGAAAGCGTGATTCGAATTAATTATTCAAACTAAGTTCTCTGCAAGGCCTTGGGTCTCTTGCAATTCACTTGGGCGGCTTCAAAGATCTTCTATTTTCCTGTTTTTATAAAAGCAGACGATCCTAATCAGGTTTCTACGTTCTTTCTGGTGCCACCAGAAGTGCGGCTATTCCTGTTTTCTCCAACTGTGAGGCCAGGCGACTGAACAAAAGGTGACTGCGCTTAGAGAGCTCTCAAGATGACTTCCATTTGTGGCCATCTGAAGTCCAGAGACGGTGTGAGCTCTTTTCCCCGGTGCCATCATGTTTTACCGGTTCTACAATCGGCGTCGTAAACTTAGTCTCGCGCGGAAACGGTCAGCGATGATATACTCACAGGCCTTCCGAGACGAACGCTTCAGCCCCGCTGTAGCACTCTTCGGAGCCGCAGGGCTCATAAAAACAACTGCCGGTATTCCACCTCCCGAGAACCGGCCTCCGCCCCTGGGTCTGAGTAAGTTTAATTCCTAATAGCTTTAATTATTCAGACCGAATCAATTCTTTGTTATTTCTAACCTAAAAGACCATCATGACTTTTCTTTCCTTATGCGTTTTAAATGAGTAAGCAAAGTTCAGCAAGAACGGCGTATGTTTGAGCGAATAGTGTCAGCTTTACGACCTGTTTGAAGCGAATAGTGTCAACTTCCGTGTGGCAGTCAAAAGTCGGGGTCTGGCCTTGGCTACACTTCATAAATTTATTGATTCCGTGTCTCAAGAGGGTGGTTTCAACGCGGAAAGGGGCAGCACACCTGTATTGGAGCTGAATGTTGCGTTTGATTTCCAGCTTATAACAACGTATGATGAGTGCTATAGCGCCTTTTAGGCCGCCAAAATTCCTTACTCACATTAGTCTGATTGATCAGAAGAGCCTTTCCGAAGACGATTCTTGTGATAATCTGGACGTGACAGCTTTATTCACTCTGTATGATGGTGAGGTTTCATTTAACTCTTTTGGAGTTCCCTTTTTTCATAATGAAGTGGGGGGAGGGGGGGGGCATCTAAAGAACCCTGTTAAAAAAATAGTTTTCCCTAAGGGTCAGAGGACGAGCTGAAAATTAATGGCGAGTTTCAGTGGGATTCATAAAGAATAAACTGGCAGCCCGTCTACAAAATGCAAATTCACAATACCACCATGTAGTTAATGTGGCACCTGTAAAAAGTCAATGGGCATGGTGATGTTCCTAATCATAAGTCACTTCCTCTCCCCTTTCTCGGTGGTCTTTTCCTTCATCTAAATCCAAAATCCTCAAATAGCGTCGAAAAAGCAGCCCGCAGCCTTTTTAGACATTGTAGCTGACCATAGGATGACTTAACGTTTCTCTTCTGAATCCTTCGCGCCCGGCCTCCCGATTCTACAACCAGACCAACACGACCTCTCCACCACTGTCCCGAAGTCCGGCCACAGGAAGGGAGTCAGTCAGAAGCGTGTTTTGGGGTTCTGCTGAGATTGCAAAGAGAACCGACTCGGTGCCATCACACAATCTCTTCTCTGTATTGTTTTGGTGATGCATTTTTCGGCCGGCAAAAGTTATGACACCAATTTCGTGTAATGGGTAGTAACGTCTGATCCCTTCCTTTATCCTTTTCTCCAATTTCGACATGTTCTTCTACTCGCCCAAGGATAATAAGCATGTAATTGTTCGTCGTCCAACTCAACATCAGATCCCGGGTTCAAGCTTCGAGAACAGACTCAACGCTCAGCTAGCCGAAGGGTTGATTCGGCCAGTCCAAGATGCTGCCGCCGCTTCCATTCGACAGTCCATTATCGACCTTCGACGGCGTTCACGTCCAATCTCCGAGGAAGTGGCTGATGAGATTATCACATTTCAATTGGATTCAAGAAGAAGAGCCTCCTTGAACTTGGATTTGAATGATAACAACACTCTCCCTCACTTCCTGACTTCATTTCATACAGATGCGAGTACATCCTCTCCAGTAGACTCATTGTATTCGTTTGTTGACTCACGTAGACATAGTAGGGCATATCCTCGCGCAGTTCAATTATTGCGAAGACCGACCCTTACTATTCAAGAGGATGGGCGAGTTATCATAGGTAACTCAAAAAGGAGCATTTGAGATTTGGGGAGCAAATATTCAATGTCATCTTTTTCAGATCATGTTACATCTAGATGGGATGGCGTCTCCCATGTGCCCGGAGGACTGATCGATGGAGATGATACGGCTACAATAATAACGGAACACAACAAGGAAGACGGAACGCCAAAAACTCCAAAAACTTTTATTCAACAATGCGTAAAGGTAAATAAAACAACATTTATAGTGTCTTATACTCTAATTCAACATTTTCAGTACTTCAAAATCCTCTTACCGCACGTTATCCTCGTATCGGTGCTTATAGGATACCTCTGTTTGGGAGCTTGGATACTAATGTTATTGGAAACCAGAACAGAACTGATGGCCAGGTCTAGGAAACTAGTAAAAGTCACTAATCTTATGACCAATTTTACCAGTGACAGCTGGCAAATTATAAATGATGCGCAGACAGGAGTAAGGGCAGTGCATCACTCGGAATGGGAACAAATATTCAAGTAAGTTACGTCTGCATAGTCATCACGACGCAATGTATTGCATAATGATGCGTCATGTTCAATCGTTATGTATATCTACAAGGATTGATTGCAGAGAATACATGTTGAGAATCTCCGAAACTGTGGATGACAGACGGCCAATTCGAAAAGAGTTACGCGATCCATCAAATCTGGACAACATGCACAACAAGTGGACCTTCCCGACCTCGCTTCTCTACGTTCTCACAGTGCTCACCACTTGTGGCTACGGGGAGGTCTCAGTGGACACTGATGTGGGCAAAGTCTTCTCAGTTGTCTTCGCTTTGGTCGGCATCCCATTGATGTTCATAACTGCTGCTGATATCGGGAAATTCCTATCCGAAACGCTATTAAAATTTGTTAAAAATTGGACTTTATTCTGCAGAAAGTTGAAAGTAAGTTGAATTCATAGTTTACACAGACTTGTCATACGATGATGATGTATACGTCCCCATCTTCAGGACTACTTTATGAAAACATTCTTTCCGCGCAAATACGTCCGCCGGAAGTCGTTACAATGTAGTGCCGATCAAATTGAAGCCCTGAACGTGTTGGGGCTGGACGGAGCCGAGGAAACACTATGGTTCCCAATCGGAGCATACGTATCATGCATATGTCTCTACTGCTCAATGGGTTCTGCAATGTTCATCAACTGGGAACGAAGCTGGTCTTTCATTCATGCCTTTCATTTTGGATTTAATTTGATTGTGACGGTCGGATTGGGCGACATTGTAGTCGTAAATTATGTCTTTCTCTCTCTAATCGTAGCATTCGTTATCGTCGGTAAGTGTAATGCCATCATAATTGGGGATGAATACTTTTCTTAGGACTTTCTGTGGTCACGATGTGTGTAGACCTAGCCTCCACACATCTGAAGGCCTACTTCACCAGAATCCATTACTTTGGAAGAGCAAAAAAGTTTCTTGGAATGAGTGAGGAATTGAAGGAAATCGTTGCGCTACTCGGAGCCATGAGAAAAAAGAAAGGCGGAAAGGTAGCATTAATACTTGATTCATAAGTCACAAAATGTACTTCAGGTGACTTGGAATGATGTCAGAGATTTCCTTGACAACGAATTACGTGATCGGCCATTCGAGCCTCATGAATTGTTGATGAAGATGAGATTCATCGACGAAACCAGCTCCGGGATGTCGACCATTCGACATAATAGTTTCCAATCCGACCTTTTACGAGACAGTGAATATCTCCGACGATTACATGCCCTCCGAAACGAACAACCAACATATCTATAAATGACTTTTGAAGTCACCAAACGACTTAGGAATAGAACCTACGCAATTGAAACGGAATCCTGGCTCGGTTTCTCTGTGTATCACGCTCAATCAGCTGCCGTCTTTTTAAGCGCTAAGCCTCTTGGATTTTATAATAAATCATATTAAGAACAAGTACTAATCCAGTTGTGTTTGTCGTGTTCGGTTAGAATGAAAATTAATACTTTTACTGGCCGAGTCGTAGTCGCTCATGCAAAACATGTCTGAAAACCTTTGATTGGGGTGAATAAAGGACATTAAGAGCTTCCGAGTGTGGGGCTTCGCTTTTCGGGAGGAACTTGACAGATCGTGCCCGGCATTCAGTTAATTTTGGCCCCCAATGGCTTTTCGGCTAAATTTTTTCTGCGGATTTAAACTGGAAAACAGCGTTCATTGTGAGCTCCAAACAATTGTGTGGAAGAGCCGGCTATATTATTGGATGTCTTTCGATTAGAATTGGACAGCTCTTTCTTTATACGGGTTTCTTAGTCCCTAAGGGCATAACCAGCTCCCAGTTATGTCTGAATAAGTTGATTTCGCATGGGGTTTAAGGGACGGTATGGGTGGTTGGAAACCACTGAAAGTATCCAGATTATGCGCTGATTCTTTAAAAAACAAGCGTCGACTAGAACATCCTGTGTGACTAGATGGGAACGTGGTCCTTAGAGTAGTCAAAAGTCCTTCTGGAAGGGTCGTGACTTTATGAACGGCAACTACGTTCACAATGCACTGTAACATGAGAATGGGCTTTAAGAGGAAACGGCTTGAGACGAGATTCAAGGCGCAGTCCCTTGCAGACTGCTTTTTAAACTCTTTTCCCATACACTCTTTTGAGTCACTTTTCTGGGACCATAATCGAATCGCCCAAATTAACGCCCCATTGGATAAGTTTCTTATCTCACATCTTTGTGAAAATTTAACACGTCGTCTTTGCCAAGATTCCTAAAGAAATGCCCTCTAACTGCGTCGTGAAGTCGTTTTTTAAATATTTGCCCTGGGGGTGTTGGCCCATCCTGTTTTACATCCGCTTTTTATATAATCCGAATTTGTAATGGATTTGTGTGAACTAAGTAATATTGTTAACTAATTAGTGGTTTTCCAACTTTTTAAGCCCTTAATGAACTCTACCCTTTATCCGGGTAGACAAGTACGAGCGGAATCGGTGGGATGCTGCTTGGGCATCAGCGAGCAAGACGCCCTTCTGCTCGACGTCCAAGGCTATCATCGCATCCGGCGGCGGTCCACCAGGAAGAGTATTCATCAGCAGAAGGCCATTAACTTCAACGAGTGGGCCAACAAAAAGTAAGTCATCTGCTTAAACGCGCGATGCCTTGGGGGGTGATTTGACACGCTCCGTTAGGGGCGGGTTGGGCATTTTAAAAACACGACTGGTCTGCACTTTGATTTTAGGGAGTAGACGGGATAACAGAGGTCGAGCGAGTAGAGGTTGGTTTGGCAACAATGCCGACTTTATAAGGCCGGCGCGGGTTCCCAACAAAGGACACCCCAATGCCCGACCCCGTCGTGCGCGTCTTTCTTTCATCCCTCAGGGTGAGAGCGTGAAAAGTCGACAGAAAACAAATTCCTTCCCGTCTTTGTCTCCTCAGCACCTTTATCTCCCAGGACAGCGCATCCATTCTGGGAGGGCCGTATGAAAATCCCGTTTTATAAGGCTTTGAATTGGAACAGGTGAGCCGGTGGGGGCCTCCATTCCTTCCCAGAACTTATCCCCCCAGACATGCATGCTTTTGAGAAGGAAATTTCTTTTGATGACTTCCTTCTTGGTATGCCTTTAATTCCAGGGGTTAGGGATATAAAGGGGGATTTGACCCGGCCTACCTCCAAAGCCGAAAGAATACTTTTGGTTTTATGAATCCGCCTTCCTCTATGCTTTTCTGGGCCCTCCTTAAGACGACCAGGTTTAGTCGAGCATTTCACTGGCATTTTTTTAATTAAACCGGTACATTTGCCGCGAGCTAGTTCCCTTTTTACGGGCCGTTTTTAGAAGGCCGCGCATATAAGAGACCCTAACAATCGTTTCTTTAACATCTTCTTCCACTTATTTCAATCTGGATTGGAATTGTAATGTGAATTCTTTACTGATACGTTGATGTTTGCTGGCATGGGGTGAGCACAACGGATACCGGCAAAGCTCTCTGAAGAGCGCGGTGCATATTGTTTTGTTTTTTGTGCATGCGGCTTTGGCCGCTCTCCTTTTCGGGCGGAAATTTTTTTCGAATCATTTATTCATGAAAACTGCCTTCTCGGATGCATGTACGACAACAGTTAACTGCTCGATTTGAGATCATTAGCCCATTTAATTCGCACTCTCGGCGATGCTTCCACTCGTTTTCAGACCCGAGGGTGACATTTCCGAGCTTGTCCTATATTCAATCCGAATTTATTTTTTTCCAGTGTACAGAAAAGGGGGGCTCATGTTGCCTCAAAAAATGCAAAACGTGCATGCATGGGCCGAACGGCAGGTAAACCGAGCGGCGACGTTCATCCGGAACGTATCCATGAGCATCTCGACGGAGGAAGAAGAACAAATGATTGAAAATCAGTGCGTAACTTAATCAAGTGTATTTCACATGAAGGGGAAAGGGCGACTAAAAGCAAGAATAACAGAGTACAGTATTTAAATTGCGTCAATGTTAGATCGAAAAAAGTTTTTGCAGAGCGCATTAGTTTAATTGGCATTGTGGGGGCAGCACACGGCCAAGTTTCGAATGGCATGCTGCGATATTTATGGTGGTGTCCTAATAAGGTCTGAAAGCAAAGCAATGCAACTCGCCTCTCCTCTGATGCCTAAGGCCTAAAAGCCGGGAACGAGGTCAGACCTAACTCAACGACTTCCTGACGCCTACTCGCTGCGTGTTTGTTGTTTCATTCATTCGTGATATGTGACCTCGTATTATTTTCCCACTGTGTCTGCCACAGCCAACCATAATTATTCCATGCCGCGCTCAGCTAAACGCCGGGGGCGACTACGCCGTTCTCGGTAAGGCAGGCTAGCCAAACATAAAGTGGGACAGGGATCAGATTTGTATTTAGTTAGCTGTAATGTGTTATATATGTACTTGTTGTTTACGTAGCCATTGTTTAGAGTGCAAGCATCCGACAACTACTTTTTCGAGCAATTTATCTCATCGCCGACGTCAGAGCCCGAGCCCTCAGGCAACGATGGTCTTACAATCGTCCGTCTCTCAATCAATGACGATCAGAAAGCTCTTGAGGTAAACAATCATTCAATGCAAGCTTGTCTAAATTAAAAATATTATATTTAGAGTTTGTATGTGGAAGCCCTTTATACGATCGTCCATAAAGTCGGGAAAACATCCACGATTCCGGAACAAGCGTTACTCAAATACGTTCAGAATGCATTCCAAATTGATGATAATAAACATGAAGAGTTGATGGACAAAGCCAGAGGCAGTAAAGTATGAAAGAATATTTTATTGTGCAAATAATTTAAGCCCCCCATCGTATTACTAAATGTTCACTTGCTGGAAGCGAAGGATTTGATTGCTAAGGATATCAATGGTAAATCTAAAACGTCATCCAATCTTCGGGTTACTTTAGGGTTCAGCGATCCGTTTGCCATGATGGGTGTGGTGCCTGGTCGCAGAGGAAAGGATGTTCCGGATGAAGGTGTAGACAGCGGCGTAGATGACAACCCCCCGCCACCCTCTCCTAACAATGCTACAGGTCAAGTGAGTCAGTCTACATCCAATCAACGTCGCCATTCCAATACGCGCCGCACCAGTCTCTCGGTATCTACGATTCGCTGTTTGATCTGACATTTCCCCTTTCCTCCTCTTTCGATTTCCAACTTTTGCTTCCGAGACTGTTTGCGGTGCCACTTTGACGTTTCGATACTTTAATATATGTTCCTTCTCTAATTCAAGTCGTTACCTTGTACACTTTTAGCAAGCTGTCCAAAAGCACGCCGGAGTTTTCCACCGTTTCGGCGGATCCTTTCGACGGAAACTGGGTTCCGGGTCTAAGAAGGGAAAGAACAGCGAGTCAAAGGCCATCCCAGCCAAGTTAATAAAAGCATCATCAGTTCAACACAAGACCCTCTTCCCCAAATGGAACGAGAAATTCCAATTTATAGTGGAAGATGTGGACACCGATAAATTCCATCTTGATATCTGGTAAACCTACTCATAAGAAGCTCATATTAAATTCTAGGGATCACGACGACGAAGAAAGTAGTGTTCTTGATGCAGTCACATCCCTTAATCAGATCAGCGGATTGAAAGGACTTGGCCGTTACTTCAAAGAGGTCACCCAAAGTGCAAGGGCAGATTCCAACGATCTTCTGGACGATTTCCTTGGTTCAATAACACTAAGAATCAAAGTAAAGACTATCGTGTTTTTATCTCACACTTATCTAGGATATCCCATCCACCGGTCTTGAAGAGTGGTTTACATTGGAGAAGAGGTCGGATAAGTCAGATGTATCGGGCCAAGTCTTACTTCGCCTCTGGTTGAGTACAAAGGAAGAGCGAATGAGTGAACAAGATGATGACCTACTTGACGTTAAACAACACATTGAGTTGATACGACAATTTGCATTACAAGAGATCAGATTGTCTGGAGTGGGTGCACTTCGTCAGTTATTTATTTCTTTTAGGCCCCAGTCAGTTTCTTTCAAGGGGACCTGCCCGAAGCAGCAAATATGATTCTCCACCAGCATGCCATTCAAGGAGATCTCAGCGAAGTTCATCAATCGATGTGGTAAGTAGCCTCAGTCTTCGTCTGAACTCACTTTAGCCAATGGTTAGCATACAGTGCGATGATTAACATTGGATTGTCGTACGGATTCCTGTATGAGATACTCCGAAACCTCATCGCTAAATGGCTACCACTTTCTCTCGACAAGGACGAAGAAAATATGTTGGCCGACTCTTTCCAGAGATTCGATGAACATTGTAAACAACAGATACTCGAGCACCGGAAGAACATAAACGTCGAGAAGAGGGTGCAATTAGATTCTTTCGGCAATATGATCCGTTGTATGAAGCTCTTGAGGGAAAGTCAGGTGTACCAAAAGGTTATGATCGTGCCGATTGGGTTTGAACAAGAGATTCTTGGTCTTCTGACTGTAAGTCATCAAAAATGACGTAACTTCTTCTAGCAAAGCGCTATCGATTTTTTCGAATACATCGTCGAGAAGGAAGACAGCTGTAATGTAGGTCCTTTTACGCATTTTATAACAAGATTTATCGCTTAACAACACCCAACAATAACATTCCAGAATCCGTGCAAAGAGCTTTTGAATATCCTCATTGGATTAAATCAAGCTCTCCGAAAGTCTGCTCAATTTGAATCGATAATCAAACAATGTGCTTTAGTAGATTACCTCCCACCAACATATAAAGAATTCGATAGACTTGTAAGGTTACTGTTATACATACTTAATTTATTACTGCATTTCAGTTGGCCGAGTATATTTCGACCGAACTTATGAATTCGAAGCCAAATTCACTTAAAATTGCCTTACAAAACGCCCCCGACACCGAGTCTGGACTCGTTATGATGCTCAAGATCCATTTCGAATACTGCGAATTTCGAGAATTTAGGAACAAAAAACAAAAACACAAACTAGACACAATTGAGTGGAACCAATCGTTCGATAAAGCCATCTCCAAATGGTTCGACCTGGCCAGAATCCGGGCCTTTGCCAGAGTTGACATTGCCTGTCAACTGGATGCACAAGTACAAATCCCATCCAACGAGATCAAACATACCAGTTCTTATATTGATATATGTCATGTAATCGAACAATTGATCAACACCTGGGATCGAATGAGAGTAGATGACACTCTTTTGCGGGTCGATCTGACAGAGAAAATTGTGCTGGCCATCTGCAAGATCGCTGAGTACTATGTGGATCGGGTCATGGCTCAACTTGCATCTGATGGATTTTGTGGGATGCTTCATCCAGTTCTTCCACCAGCCATGATTAACATTGTAAGTCATACGTAAAAGCAAGGTACCCGCGCAAATCTGGCTTGCACCCGCTTACTCTTTATCATTTTTTCACCCAATTTTGGGGGTATCCCCCTCCCCAAAAATACACCCCTGCATTAAAGTTTTTCTAGTTCTGTGCCGCAATTAATAATGCCGAGCAAGTCCGAAGGAGTTTAACTATCCAAGAAAAACTAAAATTGGATGAACTGAGTGCGCTTTACACAAAAGTTACAAAACAGAAATGTGAATGGAGAAAGAAGGTCGAAAAGGAAATCGAAAACTGTGAGAGGTACATCGGAGAACAAATCGACTCTACCGTCGACAGAATGGTACAAAGACAGGTCCCTCAACTCAAAAAGCATGTCTTTCATCTAGCTTGGAGTCCAGCTGCATGTCCAGTTGAACAGTCCTTGAAACCATTGACTGATATGGTATGTTTATCTGGCCGCAATTAAACTTTGTCACCGTTTCAGTTAGACACCGAACTTTCAACAGTGCATAGGATTTTGCTGCATAGAAATTTCGTGAGGATAATGTATGCACAGGTAAATACTCTGGTAAAACTGTTGCAAGAGTGCATTAACGAGAACCCCGGGTTAGAGCCAGGATTCTACCAACGATTGGCTGATGCCTGGAATATCATGATGGACTTCTTCCATGCCGGAGGAAAGGGAATCTCGATGGAAACATTCGCTTCCATCCCTGCCCACAAAGCCCTGGCCACTCAACTATGTCTCAATCAACTTCCGACGGTCAAATTGATCGACCGGTATTACCTAGACCTCCTTAAAATACAAAACGATGTAACGGAGTGCAAGTATGGGATCCTAAACGTCAGAGCATATTACAATTCCAATTCTCAAACATTGGTGATTGATGGTGAGGGTACCCTTTTTAAAAGTGTTCATTTTTTTAGTCATCGGAGCCAAACAAGTCATCCCGCTAGATTCTAACGGATTGAGTGATCCTTTTGTTGTCATTGAAGTTGTCCCCAGATTGAGATTCCCAGCCCTTCAAGTTGGTAAAACAAAAGTTGTCAGCAAGTCCTTAAATCCGATATTCGACGAAACTTTTGAATTGTAAGATTATTGGCTTTTAGTCGATATCATCGCAGTCATAAGAGGTCAAGTTTTACATTTCAGTACTGTACCTCCAAAGCTTCCATCATGTGCCATAATTCATTTCGTCGTGATGGATCACGACCTCTTTCGATCCAATGATTTTGCAGGAGAAGCATTCCTGGATCTGCATGAAGTGCCAGGATTTGGAACTGCAGGTGTTTCGAATACCCTGAAACAGTTCAACTTGGTATTAATACACTCCTCAACCAAAAGTAGGCCTAGTTTTGTTTATATTATGTTTCTAGATCAAGGAGCCCTAGATGTCCTCGAGAGCAGAAAGGAGGACAAAGATGCCCAGGAATTCGTGAGAGCACTACAAGTCAGCTATTGAGCGACAAGCCAAGACTAGTCAAACCCCGGTTACACTTCTATAGAATAAAAGAAAAGAAAAAGCTTCATTCCGCCTTCATTCGACCTCTAATTTGAACCCCTTAGGGATTGAAAATTGAAGGGGAGATACAAGGGCGGAGTTGCCTTTCCCCAAGAGTAACCGCAGGTACTTCGAAATGGCGGGTACTACTCTGGGAAACATTTCTATTCAAGTCCTCGAGATGTTTTATTTGTGAAAAGTGAGAACATCCGTTTTTCGAAGTAAAATTGCTCGCCTTTACATAACTCTCGTACTCGTAAATGTGCCAAAGCACAAATCTCGTTTTATAATCTTTCCGCGTAAACTTCAAAAAATGAGGAGAGGAAGACGTTGGAATCGACATGATCTCTTCGAAGACGATGACAATTCGGCCCGTCCAACGCCTATAACGGTGTGTAAAAGTAAACCCCCATATGGCCCTCAAGTCATTCCGCTCCATTGTGCACGACAGCACTTCTAATAGGCGCTAAACCGCACACACATTTTTATATGTCGGGGCCATGTATGTCCATAGTCACCTAGTTCCTTCAACTAATAACGGGGATTTCGATGACCGGAGACCTCCCCCGCACACCAGATCGGTAACAGCCTTGTCTACTTGTACATTAAAACTCTTAAAATCATCTCGGATTTCAGAAACTCAAACCCCAGCATATTGCTCGGATTGCAGCTTGGCATTTCGCTCTTTACTGTTTTGTCATTACTTATATGCTCATCGGCGCTTACATATTCCACTACTTGGAAGGAGAAACGGAAATAGAACGACACCGACACCATATCTTGGCAATAAAGTCATTTAAATCAATATTCATACAGAGCACCGAGAATAGAACCGTAAGTTTTACACCTATCTCAATTACTCCTTTAGAGGGAACAAATCGAGTATTCTCTCCGGCACTTTATGGAGAACATATCGACCCTTCACATCAGTATTGAGAACTACCTTTTGTTCGATAACCCTCAATCTACCGTACCAAAACGATGGACCTTTCCTTCGTGTGTTTTATTTTCCTTCACCATCCTGACCACAATTGGTTATGGAAATGTGGCGCCCACAACTCGAGCTTCTCAGATATTCACCATGGTTTATGGGGCATTTGGCATACCATTATTCCTGATAACTATTGCCGATGTGGGAAGGTTCTTCAAAACATTCATCATGTACATCGTACAATTAATTTATAGAAAGGAAATAAAAAAACAAGGTGAACGCAAATTGCTGCGTGAAATTGGTGAGGTAAGAATAGACCGGGTCACTGTTTTAGTGCCTTCTCACACATCTCTTTTCAGGTAATACTAGTCGCCATTTTGTTCTTGGCGTTTATAGCGGCCGGGTCGGCCGTACTTCCTTTATGGGAACATGAACTGACTTACTTTGATAGCGTTTACTTCTCATATATGAGTCTATCTACCATCGGGTTGGGTGATATTGTCCCCCGACGAATGGAATTCCTTCTACCGACGTTACTTTACATTACAATTGGTCTCTGGCTGACCACGGCTCTTGTTGAACAGCTAGCTGATGTGTTTAGACTTGTTCATTATGCTGGAAGACATGTTAGCAATGTAAAAGGGGTAAGTCTTCCGTGCTTACCTGAATATAGCCCATTTTGAATCAATGTCTTGCCAAACAAATTTCTGATGAAAGCCTCGCACAGAAAAATCGATATAAAAAATTTATTCGAGGCGACCAGTAACCCCGCGGAGAGCGTTCTCGGAGGATAGGTTACCCTTAGCCAATAGGTTACCCCGGCGGATACGTTACCTTAACGTCTAAAAGAGTTATAAGTCGAAAAAATTTCAAAAAGAATCCCTAAAGGTAGTAACAGTAATAGAAACCCGGTTTTCCTATTCAGTCAGCTCAAAAACATTTCAAATTTTGTTCAATTTTCACAAAAAATTCTTTTTTCCACTCCCGCAGCGAAAATCCCCTAGGTAGCCTATCCGGTGGGTAACCTATCCTCCCCAAATCCGCGGATAGGTTACCCCGGAGGACAGTTACCGGTTGGACAGGTAACCATTAAGGTTACCATTTAAAAGGCGCTACGACATTTCGGGTCAGGGACAACTCGGGTCGCGACAACTCGGGTCAACGACACCTCGGGTCAACGACATTTCGGGTCAACGATACATTTTCGCTTCGGGACTTGGAAAAAAGAATTTTTTGGTGAATTTGAGAAATTTTTGAAATACTTTCGCTTCGGGGCTTGGAAAAAAGATTTTTTTGAGAGTTTGAACAATTTTTTGCAATGTTTTCGCTTCGGGACTGGGGAAAAAGAATTTTTTGGTAAATTTGAAAAATTTCTGAAATGTTTTCGCTTCGGGACTTGGAAAAAAGAATTTTTGAGAGTTTGAACAAATTTTTGAAATGTTTTCGCTTCAAGAACTGGGGAAAAGAATTTTTTGGAGAATTGAGGTTTATTTTTAAAATTTTTTTAGGAAAATAGTGTATAAGCGACGAGTAAATAAGAAAATCGTATCCATTGTCTATGTTTTTAACTGGAAGCACGGGATTTAAACGCAGACAGTGCCAGAGAGTTGAGTAAGAAGATAGTCGCAATGATTGTATGCACATAACGATTTTCTTATTTCCTCCTCGCTTATAAACACTATTTTCCCAAAAAAATTTTAAAATAAACCTCAATTACCTCTAAAATAACTATTTATCTAAAAAATTAAAGAAATAACATTCGTACCTTATGTAAAATAAAATAGTAACATTCAGAACAAAAAAATCCTTTTCCCAATTCCCGAAGCGAAAAATTTTCAAAAATTTGTTCAAACTCTCCAAAAATCCTTTTTCCCACGTCCCGAAGCGAAAACATTTCAAAAATTTCTCAAATTCACCAAAAAATTCTTTTTTCCAAGTCCCGAAGCGAAAACATTTCAAAAATTTCTCAAATTCACCAAAAAATTCTTTTTTCCAAGTCCCGAAGCGAAAATGTATCGTTGACCCGAAATGTCGTTGACCCGAGGTGTCGTTGACCCGAAGTGTCGTTGACCCGAGTTGTCGTTGACCCGAGTTGTCCCTGACCCGAAATGTCGGGACGCGATTTAAAAAACAAACGATTTTTTAAAACTCAATTTCTGAGTCACTGAATCTGCCGCCAGTTAGGCGTGGACATTCAAAAAAATCGATTTTGAGATTTTTGTTTTAAAATGACCGGGGGCATCCTACTAACATATTACCATCACATTTTTGCCCAATTCTCCCGTTAACCTACTGTAATTTACAATAATACGATTTTACAGTAATCGGGTATTACTCAAAAAGTACGCATCGTAATTGGCTGAAATCGGTACTGTAAAGGTTTTGACACCTTGGCATTACAATGGATGTCGAATTTTGGCTGTCGGGTTACTGTAACACAGTGAAACCTTTGTTCGGCCGCACAAAATCGGCCATAAAAAATTTGTTTCTGAAAACCCACAGCCAATTTTTGGATATGTTAATAAGCATAAAATTCTGCTATAGAAACATTAAAAAAAAGTGCAAAAAGTCATAACACCATTTTCGTGGTATAGTGGATTTTAGTCAAAATTTGTAATCTGAAGGTCCCGGGTTCGATTCCCACTGGACGAAAAATTGGAGAAACTGCATAAAACCTTATTAAATCGACCAAGATGGGTTTGTTGGACATACTTAGGTCATATAAGGCTATATCCAAGGCGGTAATTTAAATTTTAACCTATTTTTTGAAGGTAAAATCAGCGCTTTGCTTTTATTGGATTTTCCAGCAAGCTCAGTGGCAGAAAACCGGTAAAACTAAAATACATAGGGTTTTCGAGCATACTCAATTCAACGAAAGAGATTTTTCGGAGCCAAGGTTACTGTAACATAGAAAAACAAGGTTTCGGCCGTTAAAAATCGACCGTAAAATTTTTCTTTTTACCGTCAAGCTGACAGTTGTTGGATTTTCGGAATCACCGTAAAATTCTGCTCTAGAAAAAATCAAGAAACGATCTTTTTATATACAACACTAAATTTTGTGGGGAATTACTTTTAAACTTTAAAATTGTAAATAAAACTATGTTAAGGAAGGAATTAGAGTAAAATAGTTTAAGGACACGTTTAAGCCGCGAATTCAATTAATTGTAGGCCAAAAACCCAAAAAAAAAATTTTTTTATTTTTGCGCAAGATTTATGAACTTGGAAATTTCGGGGCAAGTGTAAAAAATTTGTAAAATGCAAAAAATTGAGTTAAGATACAGTATAACATGTCTCTAGAGCAGAATTTTACGGTGATTCCGAAAATCCAACAACTGTCAGCTTGACGTTAAAAAGAAAAATTTTACGGCCGATTTTTAACGGCCGAAACCTTGTTTTTCTATGTTACAGTAACCTTGGCTCCGAAAAATCTCTTTCGTTGAATTGAGTATGCTCGAAAACCCTATGTATTTTAGTTTTACCGGTTTTCTGCCACTGAGCTTGCTGGAAAATCCAATAAAAGCAAAGCGCTGATTTTACCTTCAAAAAATAGGTTAAAATTTAAATTACCGCCTTGGATATAGCCTTATATGACCTAAGTATGTCCAACAAACCCATCTTGGTCGATTTAATAAGGTTTTATGCAGTTTCTCCAATTTTTCGTCCAGTGGGAATCGAACCCGGGACCTTCAGATTACAAATTTTGACCAAAATCCACTATACCACGAAAATGGTGTTATGACTTTTTGCACTTTTTTTTAATGTTTCTATAGCAGAATTTTATGCTTATTAACATATCCAAAAATTGGCTGTGGGTTTTCAGAAACAAATTTTTTATGGCCGATTTTGTGCGGCCGAACAAAGGTTTCACTGTGTTACAGTAACCCGACAGCCAAAATTCGACATCCATTGTAATGCCAAGGTGTCAAAACCTTTACAGTACCGATTTCAGCCAATTACGATGCGTACTTTTTGAGTAATACCCGATTACTGTAAAATCGTATTATTGTAAATTACAGTAGGTTAACGGGAGAATTGGGCAAAAATGTTATGGTAATATGTTAGTAGGATGCCCCCGGTCATTTTAAAACAAAAATCTCAAAATCGATTTTTTTGAATGTCCACGGCTGATACAGTGACTCAGAAATCGTGTTTTAAATGTTTTGCTTCGAGATAGAAATTTAAAAATATTGAATAAAATTTGAAGTTTTCGCTTCGATAAAAACAGGAAAGGACTTTTTGTTGAAAACAAACGTTTAAAACAGAGTTTTTTACAAACTGAAGCTTCCATCCACGGGGCCGAACATTGTTGCAACAACCATCATCAAGTTTCACGAAACTTGGCCAGTAGAACGGCCTGAGCATGCTGATAAAAAGCGTTAACGGGTTTTGCGAAATTTTAACCATTCCGGTATTACTGTAACATTTTTCCTTTTAATTATAAAGCGGCCATTGTCCTGACCCGGATGATGGTTCTATGAGTTCAGCACTTCTTGTGCAGCTGTTTTCGACCTTGGCCAACATTTTTCGAATTGAAACACTTTTTGTATCTTTCATCTTTCGGTATCAATGTAACCTTCACCATATCAGTCTGTCGGAAAAATAACGGCGGATTGTCGCATCAAAATGTCTCGCCTCGCCGCTGTCGCGCACCAAATCCCAAGCCGCGGCTTGCAGTCGCAAAGCGATGATGGGCGATTCGGAGGCGCGGCGATCCGCCGTTTTTTTCCCGACAGACCGATACTATATCGATTACTATCAAAAATTGAAAAGAGTATAACACGTTTTTAAGTTTGATTATAAAGATTATAAACACACTCTCCGTAAAATAAGACAAGAAAATTCAAAATAAAAACATAAGTTTTTGAGATACCCGTTCAAAGTTACTATGTTCAGTTACTGTAGGACTTAAATGAATATGAATATTTCAAACGATGCCATTGAAATAATAGCAACTTATCCTCCGTTGTGAACACGGAGTAACCCCCTTGGCTAGCTAATTTCGAAAATTTCAATTTGACGGTCAACATGACAGAACAATTTGTTGACATGGCGAAAATCACGGGAATTTGACAACTTGACTGATGCGTCAAATTGATGACTGATTATAATAACCCTAGGCGTACAGCCTCATTTTTTATTTTTGGTCGTGATTTCAACGGATGTTGATTCCGTTTAGAAAATATAGCCCTTCTATACTGGTTAACAAAATTATCTTTCCACCTCGTATCTCGGGAACGGCTGGGCCAAGAACATCCAAATTCGGCACAGAAACATCATGGGACAATCTAACACCACACCCAAAAAATCACATCAATTGATGCACTTTCAATGCACTTTTTATGCAAACGGCAGGGAAAGTTTCTTTCCACCGCGTGTAAATCATAAGCCAGAGGGTGTTATGGCATGATTGTGGTGTCGTTGTGATCGCGAAGAACTCCTCTTTCGATCCGTGTCACAATTTTACAGGAGCTTTCGTTTGTTCGCCCTTGGGCGTCTGCTCATCGTTTTGGGTGTGGTGTTAGATTGTCCCATGATGTTTCTATGCCGAATTTGGAGGTTCTAGGCCCAGCGGTTCCCGAGATACGAGGTGGAAAGAAAATTTTGTCGACCAGTATAATATTTTTTGAGGGTAGCAGTCCGTTCGTAAAGTCGCTGGAGTGAATTTCGCAACATTCGCTGTGCAATTTTCGGCTTTTTGCACCGTGCAATAGGTTTTTTTCGTCTGTCGCTTGCACCCTGACTTTTCTTGCACAGTGCACGTCGCCGAAATCACTCCAGCGACTTTGCGAACGAACTAATATTTCCACCTGGATCCAATCGACAAAATTTTATTTCCGGTAAGTTTTACCCAAAATACCGAAGATTTTCTAAATTTGCCAAAAGCTACCGTATAGCCGGTGGCTACAGTAACCTTTTCGCATAAACAGTGAATAACAGTTGTGACATAAACAAACTACAGTACCAATAGGTCGCTATCTGCTACAACTGCTGAGAAAACCCCAGCTCTATCATTTTGACGCGTCGAACGACGAGGGAAGTTATGGTGGCTGTATCACGGTCTCCAATGTTGTTGCAGATATGCATCATGCCGGCTTGGTCCGCCTCCCCATAAAAGAATAATTCCATAAAAATTGAGTGGCTCTATCATTTTCACCGTATGCCACTTGAGTTTTTCAGATTACCGTCTGGTTGGGAGGCCGTCGTCTTTCAATGGGTTCTCTGATCCAAACAGTTTGTCGTCGAGTTGGAATGTCCGACAATATAATCTCTCAGATAAACTGGGACCGAACAATAGACAAGGCCCTAAATGGAGAAGTTCCCCCGTGTGTTCCCATTTTTCCTTGGCATTTCGCCGACTTTATTGAACATGATCCTCCTCTTATCGACCTCAGTATTGCTTCCAATTCAAATGGCGGAACCTCACGTTCTAGCTCAGGAACTAAACTTCAACGGCAATTGTCGGCGCCTGAATTTGGCTTGAATCTTACAGACATCAGCCACATCGACGACTCACAGCCGAAAACGTTGCAATGATTACCTCTTGACTATATAAAACTTTATTAAATTATTAGAAATGTAAAAATAGTCCTAATGAATTAAGATAAGTGAAGGCTTTATGATCGATCCATGGCTTTCAGAAACAAAAAATACACGTATTCGAAAGGCATCTGTTTTCGGTTAATGTACAAATTTTGAAGATATGTGATGGTACCCGTTAGACCCTGTGGCAAGTGTGATGTCCGATCAACTCAGATTGACGAATATTGCCGTTTTCTTCTTGAGAAAAGGCGAACCCATCTAAAGAAGGCACACTGTAAGTGTGCGAAAAGCGAGGACTTACAGTTAGCCTGATTCTCTAGTTCAGCAGCAGAAGCCAGTCTTTGGTTAGCGCGGCTTAAAGTAGTTGTTTCAAGCTCACTTGTCCCGTTGTGCTCTAATTGGACTAGAGGAACCGACCTGGGATCTTGTTCTCTGGAGTCATCTCCAGTTACCGAAGCCCCTGAATTTAGATAAACCGCGAATCCGGAAAGTTGGGGCGACTTTTGCAATGGTAATCTCCTTCTTCCAGGGACAGATCCATATGAGTGATAACCCGAGGCATCCAACCCTCCGCCCCCACGAGAACCAGATGGTGTATTAGCATTGCTGACAACGGGCATATAATGGTTTGGAGCCCTAAATTAAAATACATGCACAGTCAAAATACCACTTACAAATTGTCCAATGTTTCGACGTAGATCTCGTTGCGCAATTGCCCCTTTTCTTTGAGATTAATAATTTCACGAGGTGATGGGAAGAAAGTCGTTTGCAAACTAAAGCAAAGTTTGTTATTGGAGTTATAGAACCTACGTTCTAATAACGTAATCGGCTAAGAGGGTAGTCGCTGGAATGAAAACAAGACCCATCCAGAAGACAGGAGACGTGTATAATATCCACGCCACTCCCCTCATGTCGGCTCCAACTGGAATCGTCGGCCATATGAATGAGTAGACGGTTAGGAATAAAAACCATATAAAAATCGATCCAAATGTGGCCAGCAATATTGCAAAAGTCCAGGTATCACATTCGAGGAGGCCTTTCAAACAAACGGTCACGACGACGTACTTAGAGAATTGAATGAATTATTTTGGAATGGGGCACTTACTGTATAACAGGCATTCCCAAGGACAAGCCAACCCCCAGATTGGCCGGATTCCCATACAATTTCATGAACAAAGAAAGTGTAAGACAGATAGAACAAAAGTAACGAGTGCCACAGCGATATTACAATCCATAACACGAATCTCTGAAAGAAATAAAACATGGAATTAGACATGTTAAAAGGCAAAATTTACCGGAGTAGAGAACGCCCTCTGTTGGAACAAGTTGTATAAGGAGGAATGTTTCATCATGGTCCTTGCCGATATCGGCCGATCAAAAAGACCAATGATAACGGGAGACCAGGCGGTAAAGAACACGTTGAACAAGGCAATTGTCCATCTAAAATAATGCTGGGTAAAAGGGCTTTTAAACTTGACATATGCATTCTTCTGAACTTTAACTAGAACCCAAGATTTTTCTGGAGCTGAACTTGAACTTGGGTTTCGTGATTTGTGGAGCCTTGATGGTTACCTCAATAAAAGCACCTACCTATCAAAAATAGTTTGTCCAGAGAAAGCGGAGAAGAAAGCGAACCACAATTCAATGATGTATAAGCAGATATTCTTGTAGAAGCTGTACAAAATAACCTTGACACTTCTCTCAAAGTTCCAAGTACCATGAACCAATAACAATCGTCTCAGGAAATGAAATTGGGCAATCGAGTAATCCGAAGCCGACGCCGCCCTGAGTCCTTCTTCTCCAGTGATTCCAACCCCAACATTGGCAGCTTGTATCATCGCAACATCGTTGGCACCATCTCCAATAGCAAGAACTATATGGTCTCCAAAGCTTCTAACCAATTCCACAACCTCCGCCTTCTGCATGGGGGTCATACGGCAACAAACAACAGCCCGGCATAACCAGGCAAGGGCCGCGAATTGTTGTCGAGCTTCTCCCACCATGGCGTGCTGCAGGGTGCCGCCAGAAATAACCAATGCAAATTCAATATTCATCTGCTGGAAATTTTTCGCGGCTTCAATGAATGACTCCAGCTTTGACAGAACTTCATCATACCCAGCTTTGTCCAAGATCAACAAACGCGTGTTCTTTGTACACAGAGCACTTGATTGAGCGATGTTAATGGCGGTTTCTCGTTTGTCTCCAGTCAACATCCATACTCTAATGTCAGCTTGCATCATGGATTGAATTGTTTCTGGTACAAACTAAATTTGCAATCTTTATTGTTTTGGCAGGGTAAATTTTGGCCCCGTACGGCCCTGTCTTTGGCAGGGGCGTAGTTAGGCCCCGGTCGGGGTCGAAGAAAAAAAAATGGTAAGCGGGAACCTCCCCTTACCCCCAGAATTTTTGGGCAACCCCTGGTGTTTGTATCGGAAAAAATACTTACATCTTGTAGTTTATCCTCGATGGCACTGGCTCCAACCAAGTACAAGTCCTTCTCGATCATTTCGGCAACTTCGGCCAACTTTTTATCCCGATCCTCCAACTCCAACGACGCCGATTCATATTTCTTGTTCCATTTCTGATATTCAGATTCTGAGACCTCACGCACAGCAAAGCATAACGTTCTGTATCCATTCTTGGCATATCCCATAAGGTGGTCTTGCATAACAACAACGGCATCCCGATCTTGATTCGGCGACAGACGCTCCATGATTACGTTATCCTTAAAGAAACATCACACTTTAATGAATGGACTTACAGCTCCTTTACAATACAGTTTGATCGTGCCATCTGGAAACTTCATAACGACACTCATCCTCTTTCGATCGCTATTAAACTCCAGGACATTTAACAACCTCAGGGTGACTTCGTTTCCTAACTGAAAACAAATAACGATTAATCCCGTGATTATACGACGCCGGCGATAAGATTGTCCAAACTTTTTGGAGCGAATAACAAATAGTCACCTACCACATCTGCAGAAACAGAGTCAGGAGTTCGCTTCGTGAAGACGAATCCCTGAGAAGCAGCTCCTTTAACCAGTGCTCCTTCATCCGGTGAAGATGCCTGATAAATAATCTCTCCGGTATCTGAATCTCTTTCAGGTACCACAGTGTGACAAACTGCCATAGCCAAAAAGAATTCGTATGGACTTGCCACACTCATTTGGTTCGTATTAAAATGACGAAGAATCTCCGTATCCGTGAAACTTTCCGCCGTATCATCTCCATAATTCACTCCACCCACAGAACATCGCTTGAATTTCATAACATTTTGCGTCAAGGTACCTGTTTTATCAGTCATCAAAAATTTGACCTGTCCAAGTTCTTCATTCAGATTGGAGGTCCTGGCATTAGCTCGACAATCAGTTCGAGGATCATACATTTCAATATCCTAAGAAAGAATAAAACAACACAAACAGACTTACATTATTGATGTATACAGCCTGCAACACTCTGACCAATTCTAATGTTATTTGAAGAGAAATAGGGATCAGATTATTGTACAGAATGAAGAAGGTCAGCACGTTGTAAGCAAAGTTTCCACGAGATCCTTGGGGAATATATTCTGCGTCCTTTAAATACCAATGGTTGTAAACTTCAGCTCCTGAAGCACTAATAAGAGCCAGCAGGACAAGAGCCACGAAGAAAACAATGATTCGACGATTAGTAAGGGTGTCAATGTTAGATCTGAAATTCTTATGCATAAAAATTATTCGGTTACCTTTTCAATGGGGCAGTTTTAGAATTCTGCAACAACTTCGCATCATGCCCTGTATATATTACGCATCCAATAATCCACTTTGTATTCTTGAGTTTAGATCCTCTCAACAAAAGTTGAGATAACGACAAGGGCCGGATAACGTCTTCTGTGGATATTTTGCCAGTGAATTCATTCAAGTGTCGATTAGGAGGTTCGCATTCGATAGTAGCATCAAAATTCTGAACCATCTGGATGTTAATCAGATGAGCCGTGGAGGGAAGGGCTTGTCGTATTTTAAGGTTAGTTTCTCCATCAAGGCTAGATGTTTCAATATATGCCATTCCTTGAGGTTCACTCGAAGAAAGTAAAATGAGGTCGGCTGGAAAGGCATCTCCAGCTTCAAGCTTCACTACTTCTCCAACAGCTACCTAAATACAAAACCAATAAACAACAAATAATCTAGTCCTTACATTTCTCCACCATGTTTCCACCCATTCATTCCCTCGCAGTACAAAAACTGAATAATTATTCACCATGCTATCCATTCGTCGTCGCTTCTAAAAATACGAAAACATAAATAAACTGCAGATTACTTACAATATCTTCAAAAATCTCTTTTAAAGCTGACAACGATAATATTATCAGAAACGGGACAGCAGTGGTTAATCTTCCAGTCGGACTCACATCAGGAATTTGCTGAAATTATTGATAATAATAAACAATAACGTTAATAAACACAAAAAACAAAAAGCGTTACCTGCAATAATGCTATCACCAAGAAGAAAACGTTGCTGTACCTCCGGAACTGTTCAAGAAGAAACCTTGGAAGGAATGTAAAGGCATTATATTTGCATGTACTAAAGACAAAAGTTCAGAATAGAATAAAGTATTACCTAATTTCATTGGAGCAAAATTTGTGTGACTGATTTCCTGAATTGACGATAATCCGTCGTGGTAGTGTCCTTTCGGACATATTCGACGTTGTACTGCCACTACTTTGACTCAAAACGCTGTAATCTCTCAAATTCAAAAACCAAAAACCATGGCACCAGTCTTCAAATAACCTGAAATTGATGGGTGAGATCGCTGTGTAAACAAAGGCTGGATAACACTGACAACATAATGAGCAGAAAAAAGAAAAAATCCACAAAACATTTAAAACTACTCTGAAAGAAATTGAAAACTGGAATAAACCTTCTATGAATCATATTGGACGCGTTCGCGTCAATTGAATCGTTATTTCAATACTAATTCCATTTAAATTTTGAAAACATATATTTTTAGAGCACTCGAGTAAGCTATTAGACACTAATTTACCTCCGAACAGCATTTCAGAAAAGATAAATCCAAAAATAAAAATGCCAAAAACCTAGCAATTTCGGGGCGAAAATGGTAAACGCGTCAAGAGCGACCAAACACCGGTCCGATCCCCCCCCCGTCAGCTACTACAAAAAATAAATTTACTTTCTCGCTAGACGACCATTCATTTCCACGACCTACATTTTGCTGATAGAGCGTCAAATTGGGGACAACATCGAGGACAACAAATGTTTTCTGATTCCCTTCGCGTGCGAGCAGCCCCAATCGATTTGATTCGGTTCTCCTTTTTTATCAATTCGAAAAATTCTCCAAAGTTTATTTATAACAAAAAAGAACAACAAAAATAATTCCTATTCCATCTTTCTCAGTCCTAACTTCTCCTCTTTTATCTTATCAGTCTCGGCTTTTAAAACGGTGTAACAAGTGCCGCAGACAGTGTCGACGGTGTGCTGATCTCCACACGTTTTGCAGGTCACAATTCCCTCGTTGTACATAAACAGCTTTGGAAACCCAAACTTGCGGGTCTTTTTCTTTGCTGAAATAATAATTATATGAAGGGCATGTGAAATAAGTTATCTTTTCTTCAAGATTAACCCAAACAGACTGACGACCGCAATAACAATCGAAAGGTATTTTCAATCTCATTGCCCTACGTCTCAATCAAAAACATATACATTCCAAAGAGAGATTTACTATCAAAAATCTCGTTAGATTTCCGACTTCATTCTGCAATTCACCTGTAGAAAGTCCATCAAAACTTACGAAGACAAGTTCTATATTTTGGTACCCCGAAGTCCGGCTCTGACGTCTTGAAGTATACAATGTAATTGCTGTCATTTGTCATACTTAGTGAATTAGAATGAGAGATACTGGCAAATGCAAGGTTCGGCAATGCTGGGCGCCTAAGAACCGTCGCGAATCTGAGAAGACTTGTTGCAAGTTTGGTAATCTCCTTGTACAAGGCCATTGTTTAGTGGCGAAGCGAAAAATAAATATAAATAGAAAAGTAATATCCTTACAAGACCTAAAAGTTTGCAACCATCAACAAATATAACGAATATTATACTTAGATCCAGACCTAATTTTTGGAATAGCAAAAAATTATTTTTTTTTTGGTAGAACTGCGCCCGAGGAAACTGCAGGATGGGAGGACAAATGTATACATACTTTCTGAGCCGACAACTTTTAAATTACTGCACCATTACTTGTAATGTATATGTAGATGTGTGAAAAAATGACCTATGTTCCTGATCGATTGATCGACACATTAAAGGAATTGTCAACCAAAAATTATCATTTCGTGGCTCGATTTTATTCCTTGCCAATTTATGTGCGAATGGGTACTCTATTATAAGTGTTTACCCTTGGCCACATTAAAATCCCGCAGTGGCCGATCTCCTTCTGTTTGTTTGACTTCTCTGATTGCCTTTTTCGGACTGAAGAAGCAGGGTCGATCGGTTGAGAACGGATTTCCGTGCTTGAGGTTTTAGTCGAGGCTAATTCCAAATAAAAGTAGCCAATTACCAGATCTCTACTTTCCCATTTGATCATTCCGTGATGAAATCGTTGTTGATGATTCCTTGTCTACGCTTAGCTTATGTGGGGAGTCTCATATTATAAAACCAGCGGACTATTGTGACATGCTAATGAAAGGACTGTAAACATTGCGGGAATAGGCCGAATATGTTGCGTAAGAGCGGGCTCTTGAGCCGAAGATGTCCTGTGCTTAATGGATAAGTCTTTGATGACGAGAGGCACTCCAGCCGAACAAGTAATACTAAAACTGCTCGGCTTGCGGTTTTCTCAACTGGGAACTTGCTAAGGAGAATGCGCGAGATTAATGTGCCCTCCAAGGACGGGGTAGAGGGGAGCGAAGGTGATCGCCAGGTGAAGGAGCGAGCAATTGCGGTGGTTTTTGTAATGAGGACTTAAGTGGAGAGGATAATTAGAGGGCAACCTTCCTAATAAACCCGAGAGGTCATGCTTAAGAAGGCTTGTTTTGCATAACTTATGCCAAGCCCCGCCCCTTTTTTTATCCTCAGGGTTTGGCGATGTCTGCAAAAGTGCCGAGGTTCGGGACAAAAATAGCACAAACTCTATAATTTTATGCCTCGTCAAGGTAACCCAAGGCCATCATGACTGTAATTAAGAAGGTTTCGCATAAAACTTCTTTCCTCGCCTTTTTTGTATTTTTTTCTATGCGCGTGCGAAAAGATATTATTCGCCAAGTCGATTGACATACAGTTTTAGCCAATGGTAAGATCCCGCGGATGTATTTCTTAATAGTCGTTGCTCTACTCCTGTGGGTTGCACCTTTTGAAATCACATCAGATTCCGATATTCGTTTCAAAATCTCGGAATCAGCTCCGGTTGGGACTACTGTGGGTTATGTATGGGATGATAGAAGATCCCATAAATTCTACACAATCTTTCCGGACGACCAAAGTGATGCTGACAAAGTGAGTTGCAACTTTTTTATTGCCATTGCCGAGGCTATACCCAGCTAGAGCGCACTTCTCGCGTTAATTCGATTTTCGTCCAGCCTCAGATTTACCGCTCCACTAGAAAAAGTTTGGTTTCCGTTTCCTTTATTAAAACATCGTTTGCCAACTTCGAACGGAAACGGTACCCGACTTGCCGGAGGCAAAACTCGTTTTCATAAGTAATTTGGGCAAACCGCGATTCTGAAGGGTTGCGTCCATAAGAAGGCGCAGAAAGAAAATCAACTTATAGCCGTGAATTGGACTGCGATTACTCTCTCTCTCACTCTGGAGAGAGAGAAAGCGGTAATCGTGCTCCATAGGCGACGAAACTAAAGGATGTGCAGAAAATACGAAAAATAAGGCACTATGGCAATTCGGGTCCGTGACAGTTAGAGTCGACGTCAACTCGGGGTGAGCTCTGCAGAGGTTCGGCATTATTTTTGAAGTCGCAGATAATATTGCACTTTAAAAAAATATTCGTCTTAAAATTTCCACAGCTTAGAATTTTCGAATTTTTGGTTATGGGCGCCCTTACACCTTGTAAACTTAAGCCTTTTCCGAGCTTACCACGTCACCAACCCGAACTCTCCCTGACCCAAAATGCTGGGACACGAGCATTACTTGCACGTAATAATCCAGAATATTGATAGGATTGGAGTTGGGTTTTATAAAAACATTTATTATTTTAGCTAATTGCCGTTGACGAGAACTCTGGTGAAATCAAGACGATCAGGCCGTTGGATCATGAACAAGAGACTGAGTTGGCTGTTTTATGTATTCCCAATGACGGATCCCCATCCAGAAAAGTCATTGTTCAGGTCTTGGATGAAAACGACAACACCCCAAAATTCATTGTTAATCATGTAGAAGTAAGAAAGTAGCATCCCGATCATTCCCTTTCAGATTGAGGTTCCTGAATATTCTCAAATTGGATCGGCCTTTTCTTTGCCATATGCCGAAGATCCAGACCATTTCCCAAATAATATTCAGAAATACAGAATCGTGGCTGGAAATGTGAATAATGTTTTTCGCTTAAAAGAGAAGACCGTCAATCAAAAAATTTACATTGATCTTGTCGTGAATGGACCACTGGACCGAGAGTACAGGGCTCAATACGATATTCTTTTAGAGGCTGTCGATGGGGGATCCCCTCCAAGGTAACCTCTTTCACATTTGTTTATGCTAATTGTGTTTAGAATTGGGAATATGTCGGTACGGGCTCATATTCTGGATGTTAATGACAATGCTCCACAATTTGATCAGACAAGTTACAATGTTAAGATCCCGGCCAACGTTTCTTTGGGCTACCCCGTGATTACAATAAAAGCAAAGGATGCTGATGAAGGCGATAATGCTAGAATATCGTATCAACTTTTGAATGTAAGTCAAGAATCACATTCAACCGGCTTCAATCTTGATTTTAAGGCCGATTTTAAAGGGAAAATCTACTTCCGAATAGATTCTGATACTGGGATGATCACGACTACATCTTCTCCCCTGCCACCGGATCATGTTTTTTCTTTGACAATAACAGCGTTTGACCACGGAATACCCCAATCGCTTGAGTCATCAGTTCATCTTTCAGTGGTTACTGTAGATGTTAACCCTTCCCACAATGTTGTTCATATTGAATGGTTGACCGAAGATGGTCGGCCTCTTCTGATAGAAAATTTGACGATCGGATATGTTATTGCTCGCGTATCCATCCACGATGTACCATCAGGATTTCAGTTATCCCTAACTGGAACTGAGGTCTTATGTTTGAAACAGACCGATCTCGCTCAAGTATACTTGATGATTTTGTGTGGCAAATTGGATCGAGAGAAAGTTGAGGAATACAATATCCATCTCGTAATAACCTCTGATAATGGGAAGATCATCTTTGAACATCCTGTTCACATCGAAGTCGGGGATATCAACGACAATCCACCAGAATGGCCAGAGGCTCCTTATCGGTTCGTGTTTAACCGGAGTAGTGAGGCTGGGCAACAAGCGTCCAGGAGATTAATAGCGAAGGACAAAGATACTGGCATTAATTCCGTCTTGCACTACTCATTAGAGGGAACTGAGTTATTTCGGATTCATCCTGAAAACGGTGTTTTATCCACAACGGGTCCGGTAAGTTGCACGCGAACATTGAAGATTTTTATTTCAGATAAATTGTTCGCTGGGAAACCACGTCCGTTTCCGCGTTGTGGCATCTGACTCCGGTCATCCTCAACTTTCAACCAGCACTGACATTCTTGTGGACATTGCGGACATTGACGCGCAGCCTCCCTTTTTCGAGAAGACTCTCTTCGAGGTGTCAGTGCGAGAAGACATTGATGTCGGGACTTGTGTCGTGAAGGTCAGTTTCGGGGGAATAAACCCCTGGGGGGCAGGGGATAAAATACATGAGTCATGGATAGTATAAATTATGTCTTTACTCATTGTCAGTTCAAATCCCTTGTTGCAGTTTTTTTGCGGGGCCCACTTCGAGAGCGCGTTCGCGACTCGGATTCGTCCATCATCTTAAGCATGTGCTCGCCTCGGCTCGGTCTCTCCGCACTTGGCTTCGTGAGGTCCATCTGGAATTTCATAAAATTATACGAAAATCCAGTTACGTTGTAATTTCAAGGGACTTGTTTGAAATTCAAATTCAAATAATTATGGATTTGCGAGACTCCGTTCTAATGGGATTACGGGGCTTACACAAAACATTAAAAGTAATAAGAAACACTGCAAAAATTATAAAACGGGGAAATATAAAATAATTTTTTTTGATTCTCACCTCTCCGATGGCTTCAGCCAAACTTTTATACCGCGTTGGTTTGCTTGTGGAACGGCTTTTTGGTCTATCCTTTTCGTCAGCTTTGCTTGTTATCCGCCCTCTGATATGTTTATCGTCGTCTTCATTATCGAATAATTTTAAAACAAAATCTTCACCCGTATTGTCAGATCTGTTGATTATTTTAGTAAGCAGTTTCATCTCGTCGTCTCTATTTGTAGTTCTATTGTAAGTTTCCTCTGCCTTTTCTTCATTCTGAAAATACAACTCTGCAAAAATAATGAATTGCGTCAATTACCGTATACTCGCTGGCTATATAGATACTCTCCCCTAATGTAGTTGTTGTCTTGCCGGGTTGAATATCCTAAAAATACAAGTGAAGTGGGCTGAAATACTATTTTTAAAACTTACTTCTTTCCGTAGACATATATATTTCTCGGGCATGACTAGAGTCGTAATCTTTGAGACTTGCCCTCGTTCGTAATATTTTACGGATCCCGGAGGACTTGCGTCTAGAGGTATCCGGATCTCCTTCCCCAACAAAACAAATCTCCCATTCTCCAGTTGGACTCCAGCTCTGAGCATTTCGCCCATCTTCATATGTGAATCTTGGAAGTAATTGAGTAAGGCATATCGAATTAAGGCCATTTCCCAGGTTTCAATATCAGAAAATGAGTTTATGAACTTGGAAAAAGGTGCGTTAAGCTCGATTCACATCACTTACGGTGGTTTGAGCAAATTCAATTTGAGGTGAGATCTCTGGATGATGTCCGAGGATCTCTTTTATCCCTTCCAGATGATTAACGGTGACATCGATGATCTGTTTGGGTTCATCGATAGACATCATCTGATGTTTAACCACCATAGTCATCATGTCGAACAACCGATTCATACTACTTGAAAGAGTTCCGGTCATGTTAGTCTGGCCCTACCTTGTGTTATCTAAATGCATTGCTGATATTTGCGCCATTTTGTCAAAGAATTGTCGAACCGTACTTTTTGAATAGATTTCCTGAGGGTAAAACATTTTTTCCAAGAATTTCTCTCTGAAGACGGTCTCCAGAATTAATCCAAGGACCTGTCTTCGGCGTGATTGTGGCACCTTTTGCGTCTGAATTACGTACTTTTACGTTTCCACATTTGAACTTTTTGGGGTAAAATAACTGCATAAGCAAAGAGCAAAAAACAATTGTTATGATAAACGGGCAGTTAGGGGAATGGGATTAACAATACAAACTAATTATCACTTACCGCCAACCGGTATTCCAATATGTAGGTCATTTCGCCAGTCATGTTGAGGAAAATAAACGGCATTACGCGCTGGCTCATGCTGGCTGTAAACGTAATTATGGGGTTTTACATCAAAAAACTAAGCAAAGCACACGAAACTCATAATTAAATTTATGATGGATGCAAAACAGTTCATGCAGCTGTTTCTTTGTTTCTATGACAACAAGATCCGCCTTCAGACGAACATGTTTTGCAGCAAAATAGTAATGATACAATCTTCAGGTAACGGCCACAGACAAGAGTTGCGGGGGCCGCGAAGAAGACCTTGTCTACACCATCCAGCAAAGACCTCATGATCTCCCCGCCTTCAGATTAGAACCCCATTCGGGCGAGTTATGTCTACTCAAAGATCTTGACTTCGAACAACAGCAAAGTTTCCAACTCACCGTTCTCGCCAGCAGCCAAAGTAGGTGCCACGGTCAGCATTGTGCAAGTGGACCGGCTATGAAAACAATCTAGCTAAAAATAAGTGTGAAAGTGTAAATGGGAAGGAGAAATCGACACGCAACCGTGTCTTTTTCTATCTCCGATGTAGAGAAAATAACTTTCTAGGGACACAAGCGAATAATGCACCTGTTGAGGCGATTCTAAATTATTTACACTACCGGAATCTCTCATCCCTCTATAATTACCTGGGATACGTCAAGAAGGCGTTAATTACACATCTCTCTTGCAGACCAGAAGACGGCAACGGCATTGGTGAATGTCTACGTCCAAGATCTGAATGATAATTTCCCGGAGTTTGCACCTCTTCATTATTATACTTTCATCAGCAAGGAACTCAAAGCCAATACAACCTGGCCGTTGTTACAAGTCAACGCCTATGACAAGGATAATGGCGAGTTCGGAGAGTTGGTCTACAGTTTGGTGGACTCTATGGAAAGGGCATTTAAGTTAGACCCGAATACTGGAATGCTTTATTATGCAAAGGAACTGGGTCAAAACATTTGGAAAAAGAAATATCTCGAACTTAAGGTGATTGCCACAGATGGAGGGCGCCTACAAAGCAAGGAAAGTGTAAGTTTCGTACAACATTAATAAAAAAGTTACATTTCAGGCCATAATTCACATTACTCTCAATGATTCCAAGTATTGTCCGTCCTTTTCTCAGAGGATATACGAATTCGAAGTTACCGAGGATATACTTCCGGGTATCGCATTTGGAGTTCTGAAGGCTGAAGGTGCCTCGATTGTGAATATAAAGGCATCAGATGACAAAGAACCCGACTATTTTCATCTGGAACCATCATCAGGAAGACTCTCCGTCCTAAGAGACATCTCCGAAAAAGAGGTTTATTACCTTACAATCGAAGCTATATCGTCTGCCGGTTGTTCCGGCTATGCCCAAGTCAAGGTTGTTGTAGAAGATGTAAACAATCACACGCCCGAGTTTGATGCAGACCATCTTGAAGTCACGATCCCCGAGAATTACCCTATCCACACCAACTTCTTCTCCGTTCGAGCTCATGACAAAGACCGTAATGAGGTAAAACGCTTGGTTAAAACAGAACAAAAAGCATTTTAGAACGGCCGAGTGACCTACGAACTCATGTCCAGTCATCCTCCCTGCCCAATTATAGTCCAGCCACTCACTGGGCAGACCATTCTAGCCGCTCCTTTGGATTACGAGACAGTAAAACAATACGAATTAGTCATCCGGGCTCAAGATCAAGGGATCCCGGCATTAAGTGCGAGTATAAATATCACACTTAAAGTACTCGATGTCAACGACAACCCTCCAGAGTTCAAGAGTAATCTTTACAAGGCCGAGGTGAGTGAATCATATTTAAAAACAAAACCGTTTAAATACTCGAGAATTATAGATAGCGGAGAACACAGCTGTGATGACAACAGTACTCAAAGTAGAGGCCAGTGATAAGGACAGTGGAAGCAATGGGAAGATAAAGTATCGGATAGTAAACAAGATGCCCTCGGCTTTCGAAATTAACGCTCTCACTGGGGAAATATTCCTGAAGAAGGCGATAGACAGGGAACAACATGCTGATTACTCGTTTGTGGTCTTAGTGGCTGATATGGGGACTGTAAGCAGTATATTCTAAAAAGTATATCTATTCATTTAGCCTTCCTTGGAAGCCAATGCGTCAGTGCATATTAAAGTTCTGGACATAAACGACAACAGCCCTAATTGCTCGACCATTAAACCCCTCGAAATAAAAGAAAATGAAATTAGAAATATTATTGGCAAAATCGAGGCCAAGGACCCGGATTATGGCCCCAATGGTACAGTGACCTATAGAATCCAGAGACATAACGAATACTTCGATGTGAAAGACAGCGGTAAGAGAGCGAAACATAAAATAATCTTGTACAGGTCATGTTACCCTCAAGAAAAGGCTTCCCTCAAATCTGGAGGGTTACGGTATCTTTGTCATCGCTGAGGATCATGGCCCTCTCCCACGAGCTGTAGTGTGTCAGGTGAGAATAAACGTGGTAAAAGAGATCTCTCACGTTGTAATCTTGGATCCCGTGGATTCGTTGATCAAATTAGACCCAGCTTGTGGAGTTGGCTGTCAATTGGCAAGGATTAATGTGAGCAATGTGCAGAGATGGGAACTCCAGAACAGTCACATTTCACAATACTTCAAGATCGAGGACGGAGTTTTGAAGATAGACAAGAACATAGAAGACGAAAATCTTTTCGTAACCCCCCAACAGGTGGTAGTGAACATGTTTGACCAGCAGAATAACCGAAAACAACTCTCGTTCACCATCAAGAAGTGGCTGAGGGTGGTTAATCACGAACATACGAACACAATCCGCGTTTCCGAGAGATTATTACCCGGCACTAAAGTTGTATCCGGAGGCGGGACCTTGGAACATTGCTATTATACACTGGAACAAAGCATGCGAGAGGTTAGAATATTCATGATAATAGCACTACATAAAAGTTATGATAATATAATGGAGGTATTTTTACAGACATTTGACTTGAATCCGATCACTGGTGACGTCTACTTGACAACTCGTCTAAATTACACCGAAATGCCCTCGTATAGCCTCAAACTGACTCGTCATAACATCCTGACTCCAGATCTGCTTCAATCCACTCTAATTGTAGATGTGGAAGATGAGAATCTGCATTCCCCCAGATTCTCCCAGCCTTCTTACCTCTTCTCAGTAATGGAGGATATTTCTATTGGCTCTGTGATTGGCCGGGTTTATGCCTCTCATCAAGATGACAACAAAACCCTGACTTTCAGAATAATCGGGGAGAATGATTACTTTACGGTGGATGAAAGCAATGGCGAGATTTATGTAAAATCTGGATTGGATTTCATAAAAGATCCGAGGCATCATCTGGTGGTGGAAGTCCTTGATACTCCATCCAATCTCGGGAACCGACGGAATAATAAATGTATTGTGATAGTGGAGGTGACAGATACAAACAACCACGCACCGCTCTTTGTATCTGCTCAGAATACTACTCTCATCTTGGATCCCATGATTTCCTCTGTCCCTTTCCATTACTTTGTGGCTACGGATGGGGATTCTGGGGATTTTGGGAAGGTCCGATACTCGATTGTGCATGGGAACAAACCACAATTCTTCAATTTAAATCCAGAAACAGGTAAGAAATATAAAATAAAGTCATTTATTTACAATATTATATAATTTAGGAGAATTATCGGTGATTCATCGACCAGATTCCTCGATCAAATTAACGGTGAGGGCAGCTGATTTGGACCCTATTTCCCCAAGATACGTAGACCAAATCTTCTCCATCGATGTCAAACAGTCTGATTCCCAGTGGTTTTTCTTTTCCAAATCTGTAAATGAAGTTACGGTAACCCCGGAGATGAAGAAAGGAGCGATTCTACTCGATTTTGGGAGAAAGATTAAAAGTAAAGAAGGGTTGAAGTTGACATTATTTTGTGTCTGCATATTTTTAATTTATATTAATTTAGGCAACTCTCTGTTCTTCAAATTGATACCCCAGACAGAAAAAAACTTTGTCATCGATGAGCTGAGCGGGGTTTTGGCTCTGAATACCGATCAATTTATACAAAAGTCACACAGTTTGGCAGGTGAGGATTAATTAATTTTTAAGTTTCTCCAAAATTTGATGACATATACTTATTTTTAGTATATGTTTTGGACAAGATAACCAATAAATCGGACACGACATCAGTTGTGATCAGGACCCCATCTCCCTCCAATGGCCCCAAAATTTCAGCGCTTACTTGTGGCCAAATCTCGGTTATCGAAAATCGAGATTTTGATGTCTTAACAAAAGTTGTGGCCACTATTAATGGCGACTCATCCGAAGAAATAAGATACAGTATTGTTGGAGGGTCAGGAGGAAGTCATTTCAAGATTGATGAGGTCACTGGAGTCATCTCAGCGACACGTTTGGATCGGGAGATTCAAGATGAACATATCTTGGTGGTTTCGGCCTCGGATCAGCAGACCCCCAAGAGAGTTGACGTCTGCACCATCACGATTCATGTTCTGGATGAGAATGATAACGCCCCCAATTTTCTCAAGAATTCATCGATCATATTTACAATCAGCGATAAACATATGCCTGGGGCCATTATTGGAAGAGTGGAGGCGACAGATTTGGACTCGGACCTAAATGGGAAAGTGTGGTACAAACTGAGCACTGATGAAAGTGGAATGCTCGACATTATGCCTCAAACTGGAGAGATCGTCTTCGCTAGGTGAGCTGGGCAAGGAATGCACAGTGTAAATTCTTTTCACCAAGGAAGCACCGACCTGCACTGTGCAATTGTCGTTATTTTTGTACTATGCAAATTTTCGTAACAACACAAATTGTACTGTGCAGTTTTCCATTCGCAGATCTTTTCAATGAATCTGAGATTCACGCGATCTTCCGTGCTGGTGAGGAAAAAAATTTACTCTCGCGCCGTAAGGCCTGCACAATTTGCACAGTGCGTTTTTGTCTTTTTTGCCTCACACGCCGCTGTAGACTTCCCGTTTACATTAATGACATGCACTTTTCTGCGAGCTCAGCCCAACGACGTCGGCAAAAAAATCGACGGACTCACTATGGGCGAGTAAAGACTAGCAAAATGTAAAATCAGCTGTATTTTTTAGAAATCTCCCATTTACAAGTCTCGGGTGGGAAGCTACAGTAATCGCGGAAGATCTTGGTATCAGCAAAACGATGCATTCCACTGAAACGATTACAATAAAGTGGGAGAGGAAGTCGATAAAAATAGATGAGATCGATGAGGTCCAGTTTTTGAGGCATAATTATACTGCTACAGTCATGGAAGGCCTTCCAAAAGGAACATTTGTCACCCAGGTAGGCCAAAATAAATAAATAAAAAAGATCTCAGTTGGAAAGTACGGATACCTTCATGCCGATCAATAAAGTGACCTATGGAATCATCTCCGGAAACCATGACACTGCGTTTGCTATCGATGAGTTGGGAGTTCTGAAAACGGCGCAAGTTCTGGACAGCGAGATCCGCCCTTTTTATGTTCTAAAATTGGTGGCCAAAGGCAATTTCCGAGTGCTTCCTGAGTGTTTTGTCACCATCAGAGTGATCAATGTGAACGATAATTCGCCGATGTTCTCTCCTCCTCTGAGTCAGCACATTGAAGAAGATCTGCCCATCGGATCTTTGGTAATGTCAGTCCGAGCTCGTGATGCTGATCCTGATTCCTTCCTGGAATACGCCTTATCCCCGCCCACAGAGTTCTTCCATTTGAATCGAATAACCGGAGAGATTCTACTTCTGAAAGAACTAGATTACGAGACTCAGACAGAACACGTGCTCAACATCCATGCCTATGATGGAGAGCACACTGTCTTCACAGAATTCACCATCAAACTCATCGATGTGAATGACAATGCTCCAAAGTTTACCAATGATCTGTTCGAGTTTAATGTGGGGGAAGATACACGACAAGGAAGCGCGATTGGAAGAATAAGTGCGATGGATGCGGACTCGGAAGAGTTCGGGAGACTGCATTATTCGATCATTGAATCCCAAAGTTTGATCGCTCTGGATGGGGATTCTGGAATCGTGACGTTAATAAAGCCCCTAAGGAAGATGGAGACCGTCTTCATGACTGTTCAAGTGAGCATTTCAGTCGTAATCACACGCTTAATTCCAGGCCCGTGACTTCGGCAGTCCCCCTTTGTTATCCCTCTCCACAATCCGCCTTTCCGGGGCTCCTCGAACCAACAGAAATCCCCCAAAGTTCCAGAAGAACGAGTCAAAATTCATGGTTTCCGAGGACTTTCCCTTGTATCTTCCCTTTGGCCACATTCCAGTTTCACAGGATTCCAATACTTTACTCGAATTTAATATTATCAGCGTTGATGGACAACCCCTGCCGTTTAAAATATTGCCAAATGGAAATATTTGTCTGACCAAGGCGTTGGATTACGAGAAAAAGAAAAGTTTTAACGCCGAGATCTCGGTCAAGAATGCATTTGAGCCAGAAAACTCGAGAAACACGGCCTTGTCCAAGAGCAATCTCTACATTTCGGTGGCTGATGCCAATGACAATGACCCTGTTATCGATGAGAAATCTAAAAATATTGTTGTTCATGTGAATGAGAGGATAGAAAAAGGAACTGTAGTGGCGAAGTAAGGACCTTATTTCATGATAAGTTCAAAATATTTTTTTAGAATTGAGGCCAACGATAAGGATGATGCCGATAATTCGAAGCTAGGTTTCTATATCCTGGCTGGGAATGACCCCCCAATGTTCTCAATAAATCAAACTTCTGGAGATTTAATATTCGAAAAGTGGTACGATGAGAGATTCCTGGAGAGTGGATCCTCCTCCGATTTGCAAGAGAGTTTATCAGTGATTGTGACTGATAACGGGGCCAATAAGAGATGGATTGCCACCGATGTAAAGATCGTTTTGTCCTTTGATGATTGGTCCGGCTCTGGCCCTATATTCCCGGTTCCGTTCTACAAAGTTTTTGTGCCTGAAGCTACTTCTAAGGGGTCTACTTTATTGAGAGTGAAGCCAGTCAACAGATTAGGATTACATGATGACTCTTGGCGATACGAAATAATCAATAATGACGAGATATTCTCGATAAACGAGACGACTGGAAGCATATATCTAAGTGGGGAGCTCGATTACGAACTGCATAATGAATATGAATTTGTGGTGATCGCAAAAGATCAAAGACAAAGGTCTGCCAAGATACCTGTTTACATAGCCGTCTTTGGCGTCGACGAGAACGCCCCTATCTTTACTATGCCATTTTATGAGTTTTATGTAAGTGTAAAAGTAGCAACGCTATAGTTAATATCATTTTAGGTGTCTTGGACAACGTTAGTTGGTCAAGAAATTGGAAGAGTCGAAGCTGTCGATGCAGACAAAGGAATCCACAGTAAAGTTGTATATTCATTGGACGACAAGCTTGTGAAATCAATCGTAATCGACCCAAATTCTGGAATCTTAACATTAAAAGAGCCTCTGGCCAGGCTGAACAATCATTCAGTTGAGGAAATCACCGTAATCGCCTCATCCAGTCCCCTCCAGTTCTCCAAATCGAAGATCACATTACACTTTATGGACTCCACAGATGTCTTATATTCAATCCAAAACAGCCTTCCTCATCTAAATCGTCTTATTCTGGGGATCGGAGCCAGTTTTGTCTTCTTGATTATCGTCTTGTTGAGTGTGATGTTATATAGATTCTGTCGGAAAAGAAGTATCATGAACAATCCCAAACGACACGTGTATTCTGTGGCCAAGGGAAATGTGGCCATGATGGCCAACGTGAACAGATTGTCGCCCAATTATTTGAGATCTGTAAACAGTACTGCACATACGACCATCTCTCAACCATGTTCCATCAAATCATACGAAGCCGAGGACACAACAACCAGGATTGATAATGAATATATTCGGACTGAGGAGGGGATGACAAGGTCTCAGATGGATTCGGGGATTGACCCAGACTCCCTGTCCATTGTGAGTGGCGTCACTGATTATCTCAGTCATGTGATGACAAGGACTTCCTTCACTTTGAATGCATCAAATGATCCTACCGTCAATCAGATCCTAAACGCGACTCTCCAAGACACTTCTTTTGAAAAAGAACCTGTCCTGGGTACAGTCCGGCCTACCATTAGTTTAGCCAGGCCTTCGTCAATACGAAAACAAGTGAGTCATACAATTTACCAGGGGCGTAGCTGAGGAATTGGTCTTGGGGGCCCTTTACCATTTTTTCGCTGACTCCTGGCCCTATCCCAGATACGCCCCTGCAATTTACAGGGTGGTTACAAAAAATGGAAGGTCATATATTGTCCATTTAACATCAATATCAGTAACATAGAGCGTTAATAGCATGTTCAGCTAGCTACAGAGAGCCTTTGGCTCCGTTATTGGCGATTACTTGCCGAATACAAATCTTTGCGGCGTATATCACAGGTGCTGACCCCCAATTGCAATTGATAAATATGTATAGTCCATCGGACTAATAAAGCGAATAGGCGGCCATTCCGCAGACGGGATGAAATCGGGAAAATTGGTCCTATTTCTGGCTTGAAGCCTTCTTTGTGCTGTAGTCAGAACGGAATCTTGTTGGAACGGTTAATTTGCATCGCCGAAGTGTTACTGATATGGACATGGAAAAATAACTAGTGCAGAAAAGCACGGTGAAATTTAATTGTACAAGAATTATTTGGCTGCACATAAAAGCTTTCGTGTCACCCATGAAAAAAGCTTCCATTTTTTGTGACCACCCAGCATATTTATTTTGGTTGTATATGATAACAGTTATTTTAGCTGAATTTCAATTTCCCGGACCTTCCCAACTTCAACGAAATTCTTCGTGAGAAGGAAGAAGAGAATATATTACTGTAAATACTATATGCATATCAGATGTTTATGAACTAGTCAAATTTCTAAGGGTCAACTAAAGGTGCTTTATTTTGATGATATAAATAAAAAGAATACACTAATGTAATACCTATCTTGCATAGATTCAAATAATTAATATGTTAAATGATAAGTAATGCAGTAAATTTTATATTTTATCCAATTTCATTTTTTAAAACAACTTTTTTTAGCAGTTTTAAATTCCACACCCCCCTGTCCCTTGTGCCGCTTTCCCACGAGAATTGTCTTTAATTTTGGGGACGACTCTGTCCAATAAATAAATAATCCATTAATCACAGAATTTGAGGAATTACATTGTTATGAGTAGATTTTATAGAGGTCTGGAATGAGGTTACATTGCTCCGTACATCGTTATAAAATTTGTGGTCGGTCTAGAGGAAGATGGGGGACGAAGATGGGCGAAGAAGAAGAAGACGGAGCTTCTTTCCGGGGATGCGCAGTGTTTGGCCAGGATGCCCAAGTATGTAGCACAAGCTGCTTCTATTGCTTTTTCCTCTTTTTTCTCCTTTTCTACTCTTTGGACCCCGAAAACGCGCCAAGACGACTTCCGCGGGCCGAAGCCCGGCCTAAAGAGGAATCTGGATAGACGCCCAACCTCTCTCCCATTACCTCAGCCTGAGGCTAAACGATTTGGACAAGACCGTCCCCCGGTTCTTTTCAAAACCCGGCCTTGTTCATTTCTCCGCACGGTGGTGTGCCTGATTTGACCGGCTCTGATTCCGTTTCTCTCCAGCCCCAAATTCAATTTCTCCGCGTTTTCACTGCGCCTGCCCGTTTTTAAAACATTGAATTCTTTCAGAGTTGACCATATTTTACGGATGAATAAGAAAAGTGACCGACCGTCCTCATAACCCGGTAAGGTTTTTTTTCGTCTCCTGATCCAATTTAAATCCGTTTGGCAGATCCATAAAACATAACATATGCCCTCTCCCTCTTCGTGTCGTGGTTTCAGGAGGCATTGTGTGTGTTAAGAATGATAGTTCGCTCCAAGAATTTTTATAATTCTCTTCTCTTGCTCTCAACCTACGTGTCGCGCTTGTATATATAGGTCTGTCGGGAAAATAATGTGGATTTGTCACAGAAAAATGTCTCGCCTCGACGCAGTCGCGCACCGCCTCTCCAACCGCGACTAGGCGTCGCAAAGCGTTGATGGGCGATTTCAAGGCGCGATAAATCCATATTATTTTCCCGACACAGTGCTCCGAGAAATGTACCGGAAAGGTTTTGTCTATTTCTTGGCGCTCGGTCAAGAGATCCAAAAAATTCTTTTTGCAGGAAAAAGAAGATGGGCGGTTTTATACTCCCCGCCATAAGTTTTGACCCCCCTTCTAACTCGGTCCAAAGTGTACCAATTTGGACCAAATTTGGTACGTAGTCTACTGACAGCCTAGTAACAAAAATATCATAGTAGGACAAACCATATTGATGTATTTCAAAATCCAGGGACAATTTTCAAAAATCACCTCAAAAAAACGGGACAAAAGTTTTGACCCCCCTGCAATAAAATTAAATATCGCCACCGGATGTAGCCCGAACCTTTTACAATCGATGCCCCATACCTGAATACAGATTAATAAATGCTTTTTCGTTGAATGCTTCGTTGCATTTGACGATGCAAAGCGTTAAACTAATTCTGATGTAGAGCTGCCCAAAATGGTAAAAATCTTGTACTGGCGCTTTCTAAAAGTTCTAAATTATGTTCACATCATGTGATCTTCATGTGTTATAACCTGCATTAACCTTTTCCTTTCAAAAAAAGTCCATGATGGCCTAGCGGTATCGATTCGGCGGATATCCAGTTGTCATGGTCAGCCTTGGTGAGCCACTTGCTTTTTCACTAAAGGTCTAGATGTGGTCGCTAGGTCCTCAATGTAATCCTGAGACTCCTATTTACTCTCAGCAGGGTAAAAAGTTTTGATTTGACGCGTTTTGGAATGGGTTTCATTCACCTTAATCTTAAGTTTGCCGTTACTGTAGATGCCCCTGAGTACGATGCCATCCATACCGCCCATTTGTCGTTCTATACGTCTCAAATGAGCATGGCGGGTGCTGTAGCGTCCTAAATTACCTGGCCCATTAAATGAAAGCCATTTTTGGTCGCAAAAAATCCATTTGAAAAAAGCGGGGTTTTCATTAAGGTGCAGATCGGCAAAGTTGCATCTGCAAACCATACGAGATCGTGTCAGCGGGAGTTTATTCTTGGTTTAAGAGTTGATATGAGTCTCAGGATTAGATTGAGGACATAGCGACCACATCTAGCCCTTTAGTGAAAGAGCAAATGGCTCACCAAGGCTGACCATGGCAACTAGATATCGGCCGAATCGATACCGCTAGGCCATCATGGACTTTTTTCGAAAGGAAAAGGTTAATGCAGGTTATAACACATCAAAATCACATGATGTGAACATAATTTAGAACTTTTAGAAAGCGCCAGTACAAGATTTTTACCATTTTGGGCAGCTCTACATCAGAATCAGTTTAACGCTTTGCATCGTCAAATGCAACGAAGCATTCAACGAAAAAGCATTTATTAATCTGTATTCAGGTATGGGGCATCGATTGTAAAAGGTTCGGGCTACATCCGGTGGCGATATTTAATTTTATTGCAGGGGGGTCAAAACTTTTGTCCCGTTTTTTTGAGGTGATTTTTGAAAATTGTCCCTGGATTTTGAAATACATCAATATGGTTTGTCCTACTATGATATTTTTGTTACTAGGCTGTCAGTAGACTACGTACCAAATTTGGTCCAAATTGGTACACTTTGGACCGAGTTAGAAGGGGGGTCAAAACTTTTGGCGGGGAGTATATGTCCAATGTATTCGGCGGAGACTTTTGGGAGCTTTTTTGGTCATCACACCAATTTTTAACACGAGTAAAATTTGAATACTTTCCGAAAGTTTCAGCGCCATAATAAAGTGTTAAAAGTTGATGTGATGACCAGAAAAGCACCCAAAAATCTCAGACGAATACACTGCTATCTGCGTTGGCGGAGAAAATAGTTTTCCTGGACAAAAAACCGCCCCTCTTTTTCTTTATTATGCAAAAAGGATTTTTTGGATATCTTAACTGGGCGCCAAGAAATCGAGAAAAACTTTCCGGCACATTTCTCGGAACACCCTGTACTCGGGAGTCTTACAAGGAAAGTATTATACCTCTATGGGGTATGGAGATGCAGGTCGAGACATGCATCAAAAAATTCGCAGAATTATGCTGAACAATGTTATGTAAAAATTAGCTCCCCAATTTTGGTTTGTGTTCATTTTAACTCAAAAAATTTCTTTTAATTGTCAAAAACTTGGTCAAAGAGCATTTGCGTGGTGTTGCGAGAAAAGTTCTGAAAGGGTTTTCACCCTTACAAACCAAAACTGGGCAATTAATTTTTAATATTCTAAATCAGAAAAATTTTGCGATTTTTTTTGATATGTATATCTCGACTTGTACCTCCATACCTCATAGAAACACTTGTAAAAAAAAGAAATCATCACCATCTCTAATTCTAAAAATGATGACCTTTTTGTTCTCCTATTCTCAAAGTCTATTAAAAATGCGTATCTTTGGACCAGTAATACTTTGTTTAATCTCAGCAAAAAGTGGAACCAATTTTGAAAACCGACTGCATTTGTGGAAACAAAAAAAATTAAGAAAAGCGATTGTTTTGGGGAAAGGAACAAGTATACTTAACCACTACCTTCGCTATAGCAAAAATAACGGTCTGTGGTAAAAACGGCATTCGCATCTTTAGAAACTAAAAAAGCACCAATTTTAGATAAAAACGGATATTTTTGGCATTAGAAATGGCGGAAACCAGATGTTCTAGCTTTGAATGTTTGACGGAATTTATATTACATGTTTGTACGCAAAAACGGTTACAAGTGAAGGCAAGATGGCGCTATGACTTTTCGCTAGTAATAAATTAGAAAAAGTGGACATATAAGGATGGTGACATACAGTAGCTGCCAAAAAACTGTCAATTTTTTTGTTTTTTGTGTAACTCTGCTCAACGTGGACGGATTTCAACGAAACAACTACCATTCTGTAGAGAGTTACTGATGTTATCTGTGTAGCGGTTGGAGCGAATTTACATTTTAGTGTGTAACAACTGTCGATGTAAAATTTTTGGAAAGACAAAAAACTGTCAATTTTTCCAAAAAAATTTTACCGCTTGCATACGTCGCGTCAAATCATGGGCTTATACATTCCGATTTTTAAATAAAGTCGCACTGTACATAATTAACCATCAAATGGAGCAAAGAAAGTTAATTTAATAGACCTTTTGGTGGTCCCAAGTTCGATACCCCAAAACATGACGTTTAAGAAAAAATCGATTTTTTTCTTTGACTTAGCATTAATGCAATGCCTTGCAGTAGAAGTTAGACAACCTACAATTAAAATATAACAATGATTGGGAGCCTAAATGTAAGTCTACGGACTCCACTTGACATTCAAGTTTCTCCCGTAATCGAGTTTCTGTAGAGACTTGGCCTTGTTGCCCCCGCCTTTGTACTAGTCGCCGCAAAAAGTCTTTGGAATTTTCTGCGACTCTGCACTGTGCGCGAAACCGAAAACACATTTTGCACCGTGCATCCGGCCCGAAAAGTGCTTTCGCACAGTGCAATTTTGTTGTTTTTGCCTTATTGTCGCGCGCGATTCCCATTTTTCTCAGCGACAAATCGACATTTCGGGGTGCGGCAAGATTTGGGGGCCGCGAAAAATTCCAAAGACTTTTTGCGCCGACTAGTAACAACTTGCTAATGCTTTATCAAAACATGATCACAGATGTCCTAGAAGCATTTTATGGGCATTTGTAGGACGGCGATGCAAGTCACACAAGAATTACGGAGGGTTATGTTGTCATTAACAAAAAAAATTTTTTGTGGAAACTTGCAAGTCAGCTTAAGACTTTAGAAACACGTTAGAGGGAGTGAAATTACGTTAGAAATGTCAGAAATGGCTGTAAATGTATGGGACAACATCTTGCTTGTCCTTGCGCAGCTTTATTTCCATCCTATGGAGAGTGAAAATCGAGACAACAATTTTTCTTCAAAAATTCCATTTAGGAGCTTGTTATTTTACGCGCAAAGTACGGGCCTGGCGCGGTAGCGGTTCTAAACTGTTCACTGTTAACATGGGTGTCTTCTGTCGCTTTGGAACTACGATTAGAGGTGTCTGCGGAAGCACCCGGGCTGAAGTTCCACGGTACATCTACTGCCAGAAAAACTTGAATGTCAAGTGGAGTCCGCAGACTTACATTTAGGCTCCCAATCATTGTTCTATTTTAATTGTAGGTTGTCTAGCTTCTACTGCAAGGCATTGCGTTAATGCTACGTCAAAGAAAAAAATCGATTTTTTCTTAAACGTCATGTTTTGGGGTATCGAACTTGGGACCACCAAAAGGTCTATTAAATTAACTTTCTTTGCTCCATTTGATGGTTAATTATGTACAGTGCGACTTTATTTAAAAATCGGAATGTATAAGCCCATGATTTGACGCGACGTATGCAAGCGGTAAAATTTTTTTGGAAAAATTGACAGTTTTTTGTCTTTCCAAAAATTTTACATCGACAGTTGTTACACACTAAGATGCAAAACCGCTCCAACCGCTGCACCATTAGATAACAGCAGTAATTCTCTACAGAATGGTATTCGTTTCGTTGAAATCCGTCCACATTGAGCAGAGTTACACAAAAAACAAAAAAATTGACAGTTTTTTTGGCAGCTACTGTACGCCTCAAATTGGGTGTCGTGGCCAGAAACCGCGATTTCTTGTCTGTTAGGCCTTTAGACAAGAAATGCGCAATTCTTGCCTGAGCAGAGCAAAAAAATCACCACAGGGAGAGAGCAGAAATTTGCGCAATATTGCGCAACGTGGTACTAGTCGCGCCATAAAGCTCGTAGAATTTTTTCCGCCGACATCGCGGCAATCGCCGAAAACTGCATGTCGCTAGTGCAAAAACGGGAAGTCGCAGCGGCGAGGGCGAAAACGCACTGTGCAAATTCTACGGACTTTATGTCGCGACTAGTATTACGCCTTAGAAACTAGTGGTTTCAGTCAAGTATGCATGGGGGAGGCTAGGAGAAGTCTAAATTATTGTTAGTAAAATTCTACAAGAATTTTCTATAATAAGTTCAATTTAACAATAAAATGACAGAACAATTTGACATAACGGCAATGTTACAAAACCAAAAACATCAACACCGTTTGCCTAATTCTCGTAGTGTATATTCCTCGTAGTATAGATCACCGCGTGCTTATAGTACCTCAATTACCTTCCAATTTGTCCAAAGACAACCGGCTTAGGGACAAAAACGTCCTGGGGAAAAACATTTTAAAACGGGACAAAAACGTCTTGGGGACAAAACCTTCTTACAATTAGGGGAAAACCCGGGTGGGGACAAAAGCGTATATTACATATACTTTGTTTTAAAAATGTTAAAAAAAAACGTAAAACCACACGGCTGCAAAAGTTTTGAAAAAGGGCCGCGCCGCGCCTACTTTCATGGGGCTGGCCTTCGGGTCCCCAGGAGCAAAAAGCCCGACCCGACTGATACATCTGCAAAAAAGTTTGCGTGTTGTGAGAAAACTTCTGACAATTTTTTTCGCTTTTGCCAACCAAAATTGAGTGGGAGATTTCTACATGCTCAGCATGATTTTGCGGATTTTTTTGATACATGTCTGCTTATAACTCCAGACCTCATAGAAGTATTTTCCTTGTTAGACACTTGAGAAAACCAAACGATTTGCATCCACCGCCTGAGACAAGAAAAAAATGAAAAGCTGAGTAGAAATCCATGACTGGGGATAATAAATGCACGAGACTGAGCCAACTTTTCCCATAAAAACATCGGGAAATTTTGAAAAAAAAACTATGAGCAGTATTTTTATGACTTCTAAAAACGACCCTAAAACAAAGACAACTGGTAAACATTGTCAGTCCTGCACGTTACCTGCACTAGAACATTCGAAAACATAATTTTACGAGGAATATAAAGGATACTCGTCCCAATAGCACTAGCCAGTGAATTACGAGCGTATTTCGATTATTTTAACGGCTGGCCAGAGGCAAGGGACCCGTCTCAGCGCTTTGTCCCAAAAGGACGGCACACTCAATTCCGGTTGGTCAAATTAAAGATTCATGAGTCGAATTAACCGCAGGCCAAACAAACCCGGCTACTTTAATCGGGTATGCCTTTCCCCGCGCTCCTCTCAAAGGATGCAGCCATCGAAGGCCCATCCAGCTCTGGCTTCGGTTTCCGTCTTCGGCAGCACTTAAAACCCAACTGCGCTCCATTAAACAAAGCCAATTATGTGCCGGTTCTGCGTGAACAGACGTGATTCTTAGTGTGGGCATTAAAATATACGGCGCTGTTTTCTTCGCCTTCTTGGCCACACTTGTTCGTCGTCGGCTTGAGTTAGACTTTTGAAGGCTTCTGAGAACATTTTTGGCACCCACACAACACCACACAGCTTCATATTCAGAGGAGCATTGTGATTTTGTTCTTCCGCCGCGGCACTCTTTTAACTTCGGCTTCCAAAAAGCCCGCTTTTACAACATAACCTTTCCTCTGCGGGCCCGGTGGTCTTTCCCCATCCTGCTACCTAATATTGGAGTCTCCTTCTTCATCTTCTTATGACCTGATTATTCAAAATCGTCATGTACGTCCGATACTTACAGCATCAGCATCACGGAACGGTGCAGTTGTTAATGATGCCATTGAGTACAGCACCCGGGTCTGGAAAGAATTCGAAATGGTGGGGTTCATGAATTCAAATCAATCTATGATAAATATCACTTTTAGGGGTGGAGATGGAGACGAAGATGACAGTGGGGAATGTGAACCAGTTCCATTGCCGATTCAAACGTTTTTGTGGCGACAAACAAAGTAAGTTCATTCGGGATTGCAACCTGATTTTTAGCCCATTCCTCGGTGCCAAGATTGGAAAGTTGCATGAATCGTCATGTGTGGTGAGTTCAGTGGAAAGTCAAAAAGCTCCGGTTTTGGCTTAAGGCCTCGAAAAATGTGCCGGAAATAGTTTTAAAAAATGGGTGAAAAGAATGGCCGTGCTGAGAGTCCGCTTCCTCTGGGATATGATTTGTTTAACACGCAGATAGATTAACCGAGTACTCTGTTTAGACCTTCGAGCGAGTTGTTGTCCAGAACATTCTTCACGGTCTCAGTCCAAGTCTCTCTGATGCCATCGGCTCCGTATCTAGATGGAGATTTGTGCGTGCCGCCTTTCCTCACATAGTTCAAGTGAGTTACCTCTCCTTTTCGTTTCAAATTCTGTGTTTACAGTGTTGCGGAGCGTTGCTTACGGTAAGAGCCAACGAAGACGAGAGTCTTCCAATGAGTGGATCTCTCGTCAAAATTATGTATATTTTACATTGGTTGATTCTGGATGCAGCGCATGAATGCAATGAAGTGGTGAGTAATCACCAAATAATTATAACTTTGTCATAGATTGATGCAGAGAATGTTGAAGTCTCGTTAAAAAAGCTTACTTATTCGATCCCATGTATTCAAATGTTTGTATATTTGATTGCCCCTCTTTGTCATGTCATCAAAGAGGAAGAGATTGAGAGTCACATTAGGCTGGAAAGCGGTCTCAGATTGTGGCAGGCGTTGTGGCAGGTAATTGCTAAGGCAATGAAACAAGCTTCTTTAGTTCCGTCAACCTGATGTATTATGCTTCTCAGCGCCGGTCAAACAACGCAAGAATCATTTCCCGCAACTTTCCAACAAGTCTAAGAAACCGGCAGCGCCAATTGCCCTCGAGCAAGGGATCTATTTGGGCGATGACCAGTTTAATACCCGGAGGGCATCAAACGTTCATTCAATCCCACAGAACCCCACCAAACCATCGACCTCAGTTCAGGAAGACAAGATTGAAAGAGTAACGGAAGAGGTTACTGTAGTTGAGCCAGAGAAACACAGTTATTCCAAGATTGTGAGATCGGTCAGCGACTACAAGACTAGCGACTTGGCATCAAATGGATGTAAAATGGCTATTCGAAAAAGCAGAACTGACATGTTTCATCCCAGTGGTATGCTTGGGTAATTATGATGTATACATACATACGTTTCAGATCCAGAATACAACGGCCTAAACAATATTGACGAAGCTATGCAATTCACGGAGGATGGGTCTTTTAGCGAGAGTTTCCATTTCAACGATAAAGCGCCTCTTGTACAACTACAAGAGATTTGTTCGGGGGCTTCGTTGGACACTTCGGACACTTACAATGAACCGGTAATTTGATGCTTTCATAATAATTTAGTATTCTAGGTGTGTCCGACGTGTCGTCAGAAGCCTTGTCAATGCGCACTTACGCCAAAAGCTCCATCAAAGACTCCAATCCAGATAAACAAATGTAAAGGTAATTTTGGCTTCCTATCAAGAAACTTTTTCAGCGGACGATGCAGATTCAGTTGGAAGTCAACAAACGGTAATCAACAAGCCTCTGAAGGTCGCACAAGTCCCTAGGACAACTCCTATCCTTGTTTTCAATGATCAGAAGGACAGCCTGTCTTCGGGAACAGATAAATCTGACACTTCTGTCGTCCATGATCTCAACGAAGCCACTTTTCTGGATGTTGGCACTTTAAAATGCCTCTTAATTAAGAATTGGTCTGAAGATGGAGTGTACTGGGCCACGAAGTATTTTTTGAACAGATTGACAGAGATAAGGCAACACCGGCTTATCTCGGAAGCCACAATTAGATGCCGTTCCAATTCTGTCCCGACTATAGCCCCTCGGGGATCCAAACATGACCTCTGCTGTCCTGAATATCTGACGTGGACCGATTTACAAGAGAGATCAGAGGTATTCCAAAGAACCATAGGATCGGATGAAAACAATGATGACATCAAAGCCAAGGTGGCATTTAATGTGGAACGGAAAGGGTAACCTTTTACGTTACTGTTGAAAAAATATGTTTAGGTCGGAGAAAAACGCAATAAAGTTACGAGTCGTGGCCGAGAAAAGACGAGTTAGTGTTAACACTCTTCCGGCAATAAAGCATGCATCCAAACACAATGGAAAACGTCGGAGAAATAAGTAAGACTTCTTTCTATATTTACATAACTGGTTTTACATCATAATCTGTCTTATTTGTAAAGAAGTGAACCCTGTATCAACATGCCAACAGCTATAAGTGTGAACACAATCAAGGATGAAGACAGCGAGAATGGAAAAGGCCGCTACTTTTCTGAAGCCCTTGGAAGCAGCTTGTTCATTCAACCAAATGGTTACATAAAACTAGACATTCTCCTTAAATCCCTGGTTGGCGTTGTTGAGCGATGTTCGGCGATTCGAATCCTCGAAATCATCCTTAACATTTGCGACATTTTATTAACCATGCCAGGTTTGGGAAATGTGACAATCTTCGAAGATGTGACAAAGATTGTATTGAAAGTATACATTCATCTTGGATGTCCGAATGGATGCAATGAAGGAATGAGAACGCCTCAAGCGGACTTTATGAGAATCAAACTTAAGAATCTTCTCTCTCAGATGAATAAAAGTGGAGAAGGATTACTGACGGGAATTCTGAAGTCGCAGGTAATGGGAAGTACATGCCAGTCTTTGTTGGACTATCTCCACGCTATGACGTCATTTTGTGAATTCGATCCCAGCCATAACCGGTCGCGATCAGCGTTGTCCCAGCGTCGAACGTCTTCTCTCAAAGAAAATAAAATGCCTTCCTATCGCAACAACTTCAATGAAGGAAACGCGGGAATGGAAGGAATCATCTTAAACACGCTGCTGAACCCGCTAATCAGCAAATTAATGAATAAAACAGCCGAGATCACCCTCCCAGAGAATATAGGTTTATACCATGATGTCCAATTATTTTTCGCATACGTTAACGAATACCATGGAAATCCCCTTCGACGGTCTGCTTTAAGCGCAATGACACCAAGGATAAAAACAGACGACGGAGACAGCGGATCGAGATCTCGAAATGACAGTGTGAGCACAAGACAGGGCCCAGAAGGATCAATCTCATCTCATCAGCGTGACAATGCATCGTTGAGACGAGGACTGTTGAAACGAAAAAATGAAAAAGTAAGTTTTAAACTTTGGACATTCTACCTTCTTTTATATTCCTGGTGCTTTATAATAAAAATTACAGCAGCAAGCGATGAATGCAGAGGAAAGCGAACCCGACTCCAGTCCGTCTACTCCAAGAAATCAACCATCAATGGACGATAATATCAGCAGCACCGGAAGCCCTCAAATATACCAGGGAGCAAAGAAAAAGTCTGGCGGAAAGCTGCATTTCGCCCTAAATCTACTAAAATCTGTAAGAAACGAGGCCTCAGAAGATGAGAATTGGGAAGATGCAAACAATCTAGATGACTCTGTGGGAGACGAAGTCAGCGCCACATTAGCGGTCGAATCCAAAAGCCGGATCTCCTTCAGGAATATGTCCAGTAAAATGAATAGCTTCAGACAACGGCAATCGTTATCAATTGACACCGGATACACAAATGAGGCTTCATTAGAATCCAACCCGCATAAAATTCTCACTGAGAAATTGTCAATAATTCAGTTATATCTACCATCGAAAAGAAATGTCAACATTTTTGATATTCGAGAGGGCGTCAGAAGATTTAGATTCCTCATGGAAACGTGTAGACCAGGTCAAGTCCCAGATGCTCCGCTTCTGGCTGCTCTGATGGAACTCAAGGCTCCAGTGATTAGCCGAGCTGCCATTCTTCTGGAATGTGCTAACTTTGTATATCGATGTAACAAAGGAGAATGGCCTGAATGGATGAGATCGAGTATGAACACGACCAATCCTAGAAATGCCAATTTGAGCGCCAGCAGTAGAAGTGTTATCGGTGGCTCACGGAAAATGGTGATTCTTCAAAGAGCGGCCGGAAGAAGCTTTTATGACTGGGGAATTCAGGTAAAAGCTTTATTCAATAATCTGATAAATATTTCAGCTTGGGGCAAGGTTACAACGTCTTCTTGAAAAATCAGTTGAACTGCCAAAGGATACTGATGAAAAACGTCGGTTGAAGACGTTTGATGACATTGAAGACTTCCTCGATGACGCTACCGTAAACGACGCCAGTGGAGAATACTGTCCGCCAGTCTTGCTCTTGATGGCTTCTCATCTTCTTTACCAGATAACTGCCTTCTTGAGGGAAACATTCCAACTTTTACCCAGGTCCAAAATTCCAAATAAGAGTACTGGAAGTACAACTGGATGGGAACGAATCATGTCTAACCGCAGATGGTCAATACTTTCAAACACATTTAATCCCCAGACTGGATCTATGCACAGTATCAACGATCTTCATCCTGAGAGAAGGGTCAGCTACAGCACCGCGGACGAGGACTCTTCTCCGCGAGGATCTCACGATTTGGGCGACGACTCACTCACAAACTCCGGATCCGATAAGAAAAGTAAGTTTAAAAAGTTAGACTTGTCCTTTGACTTGCCCGCGTTTGAATGCTTGCAATTATAATTTGCCCTAAAGAAAAACCGGAAGGTAACAGTGCCTTGTTGGCGTTGCATCGCTTTACATCAAGGGGGAAGTTGTTCTCTCGGGAAACATCACTCTCCAACAATGAGGAAATGGAATCGCCACATAATGTTCGTATCCTGCGCTCCCAGAATACTGTTGGCTCCAACAACAGCGGACCCATCACGACTACTGTCGTTGGAACGATGATCAGTGTGCCGGATTCAGGTCCATTGCTTCATTTGCTTTTCCCAAAACTTTCCTTCCACTGTGTCGTATCGTGTTTATGTTATCTGTCCGTCCTTTAAATCTTTTCTGCACTATTTTTAACTTCAGCAATGTCATCTTTTTTAGTGAGGAGGTTGGCACAAGGAAGACAACGGCTATTGAAAAGAGGATCTCCTTCCGGCGGTCCCCAAAGTTCGTTAGAATCAAGTAGAAAACGGAGAGAAGCGTCGTTTAGGTAAGATTGTTGTGTATCGAATAATTATTTTTCAGAAGAAAGACCAGATCACCAGCAGAAGCCGAGGAGGGTATTGCAGAAGCAGGTAGGTTGGGGTCTGATTTCTCTTCTTCTCTCTCCTCCTCTTTCTCTTCCTTCAGAGCTTCCTTCTTTTCTATCTGGTATCGTAGTTGCTGTGTTCTTCCAAAAATAGTTCCATCGGTCATAAGCGCGTTACAGTTAATTCGCCAAGCCCGTCGCAATCGTTTATGCAACGGCGTCGTAAGGCGGCTTCATTGCGTTGCAGTGCCGGTGTTCGATGGCATATGAGATCGATGCGGATCAGAGGATCGCCGTCAATCACAGATCACGGCTTACCGCCCACGTCTCCGCCAGCCGGAGCCCAATCCTTTAGCGAATTAAATCATTTTTCGTCAACCGAACCAAGTCCATACCAGTCCCCGATCCTAAGGAAGGAGAGTCGAACAGGTCGAGGTGCGTTCCTATCTTTGAGCTTATGCGTTTGCCTTGTCCGTTCCTTTGACACGCTTACCTGAGGAGTCTTTGCAATTTTTGTTGCGTATTCCGAATGTACAATTGCATTTATCTGTTGCATTGCCACTGTTTGTCAATCCGCACACCTTGCCTTTTACATGTCCGACGTCATATTCATGTGGTATGAAATATGAGTTCACTTTTTTTGTTTCCATACATAAAGGGCTTATTTACAGTGCCATTGAACGGAAAGTCGAGAGACAGTCTGAAACCTTCAAATATCAAACATTCTGTTACTAATGATGACCTCAATGATGATTCATACCCATCCCCTGAAAGAAGGCCTGGGGCCAACTCTGCGATGGGAAATACGACGACTGCACAACATCTACCACATACGTTAGAAGACGATGAAGAAGAAATGATTCGAAATATACCTTGGCTAAAGGTAATCTAGTTGGACTCTGACTAAACACAGTTTTAGGTTATGATCACGGTATCCAAAAAGTTTGACATTGAATGTACACACGACAAATACTGCTCTTTCTGGTGCTTCGATCGGGTTTATAGACAATGTAATCGATTAACGGATGCTTTGCATATGATCTATGCAGAGAACGAGAAGGACAAAAAAGTTGACAAAAGGATGCAATTGATCGAAACATGGCAAAATCTTCAGACCGCCAATGTGAAAGTAAGTTGATAAATTATAAAAACAAAATTTGCAGAAACGATCATCCAATCCGCGACGAGAGAGCGCCATCGTCCGTCAAGCAGGGATGGAAAGGGTCCCTCTGGCATTACGAGGCCTTCTAATCGAGAAACTTGGGGAGATAGAGGAAACAAAGAGTTCCAAAAAAGATGCCCAAGCTCTATCAGACACAACACCCATCAATCTGAGCGAACTAAATGTGAAACCAAGTATCATTAAGCATTACATTGACAACCAGCTCTTCAATGTGATCTATTCTCCTCTCTGGGCGTTACTAAAAGGAGCTGTTATTATGTCATTGGAAGATTTCAAGGACATTGCAGACGTCTCATGGTCGCTTCTTATTCATGCTGATGCCAACACGGTGTCATCAGCTGCGGCCATATTCATAACATGTGCGGTGAAATGTCCAGATGAATGTGTTGCCCTTATTAAGAACGATCTGTCATCAACCTCAGCCTCGGTTCGAAGTGCTGCCATCAACAGATTCTACGCTCTTTGGAGGAATAGATTCCACGTCTGGTTGAAACTGGAAGACGGGGCACAATTCGCCTTTAAAGTGCCTCCTCCAGGCATTGATTTTACTTTGCCGTCACCCCCCATTGGACAGAGTCAACAACTTGTTGTGGACCCTCCTTGGATGCCCCATGTTAAGACTAAGGTGGAAGAATTGAGTCTAAAGGAAGAAGAACACTCAACCAGTCAGACAATTATGACAATGACACGAACCAGGAGGAAGCAAAAGCAAGAGATGGTAAAGAAAGCCGTGAAAGAAGCCGAGGAAAAACAATGCGAATTAAGACAACAGTTTTCCTTACGGGCAACTCCAATCGTCCAACATGCATCCTATGAACCAGCTCTATTTGCACATATAAATGTAGGATCGCAAGCTCAACAGAATGCTGAAATCGATGAGTATGAACTGGGCATGACCCCTGCTCAACAGAATCGGCCACAAGTTCCCGTTGCCCAGCCATTATTCCCATCAGTTATTTTAAGTGTGGTTCCCCAACTTGTGGAAATGTTTGATGAAGTTCAAGTTGATCGAGATGGATGTTCGGTAGGAGAGTTAAGTCGACGCATTGCATGGGCTTGCATTGTCGAGGACTCGTCGTTGTTCTTGCGGCATTTCCTCGAGAAATTAACTCAACGAGATAAACAAGAGCATCTGTTTGCATTGTTAAGAAAACTGGTCCTCAGTTTTCGACCATTGCCAACCCAGACAGCGTACACTCTGCTGAACTACCTGTTTGGTTTCGTCATGTTTTATGTGCGAACTCCATGTGAAGGAAGTGACCGGTCAATGGGAATGGCCTTAAGCATTATATGGCTCTTGACTCCTTATGTTCATGGGTTGTATTTCAAGGACATGAAACAAACGCTGAAGAAGGAACAGTGTGATGTAAGGCAAACAAAATAATTCGAAGAGTTTTAGCAAGCCATAATGATCACGGCGAATGTCCCCAGTGCCAAGAAAATAATTGTTCATGGGCCAGATAGTGGTGATGGTGGTATTCCGTCGCAATTCCCGATTCACGAAGAGACCCAATTTCAGCAAATTTTAACCGATAGTCTAGAGTTCTTCAACATCTCAGAAGACGAGGTAGATCAATACTTTCTTGTGGACTTCAAGACTCAACAAATCCACATGCCTTCTTCCTATGTCCGGTAAGTTTCTTCGTTAGTATAACGTATAACATTTTTAGGGATTTTTACTTCTTCCATCGCTCATTCTATCCTCAATTATCGTTGGTTAAGCTAGATCCAGAGGAAGCCCAGTCTAAAATGAAGAACAACGCCTTTCAGCAGAAGTTGATAGAGACCGGGAAAGTGTTGCTAACCCATCAGGCTCTCAAATACAGCCCAGAAAATGTCGTCCCACAAAGAATATTCTTCTTACACGACGAATTCACACACTTACCAGCATTTCCAAGGAGAAGTTTGGAGTCTTGTTTTGGGTTCTATGAAGGAAAAATGGGCGATGAACTGCAGGCAATCGATTCGATCCACAAGTTTGTCTGGAGTCAGGTACGAGTACTGATCTTTAATTAAAATGTTTTTAGTTAATCAGTGATATGTTTGAAAAAATGGAAAACGCATTCATGTTCGGGGACTTACATCTGTTTATTAATGTTATCAATGGGATTCTGATAATGCACTGTGAAGACATACTGATCCTCAGACGATGCATGGCTACTTATCTGACGATGGCCATTCATTTCAATACACTTTTTGCGAGCCAGGTCAGTTTCTATTATAATTTTCTTCTCTTCACAACTTTTAAAGTTATTTTTACGCATTATTAGTCATCGCGCCTTGGAATCGCCCATCATCGTTTTGCGACGGCAAGCCGCGGCTATCGATTTAGTGCGCGACTGCATCCTTTTTTCGATGAGGCGAGACTTTTGGCTGCGACGACCCGCCGTTATTTTCCCGACAGACTGATACAAAAAGTCCTGATAATTTTTCGCCGTGCAGTTTTTGCACTTTTTTGATTTGTCGCGCGCGACGTAAGGCAAAAACAAAAAATATGCACCGTGCAAAAGGCGTTTTTGGGTCAAATGTACAGTGCACTGCAGTGCAAAGCACTTTTTTCGCGATTGTTGCAGGGACACGCCAAAACGCGAAAACCTGCACTGTGCAAAATTATCACGACTTCTTGTCTCGGGTAGTACTATAGCATGCGCTCGCTAGACCCGCGTAAATGCCGACCACAAAAAAATTTTTGAAAAAATGGGGGCTATGCTTCATTTGGGGCCGATCGGATATCCGGCCAATTTTTATATCCAGTGTTGCAAAATTGAATGACTAGCTAGTCTTGGGTTACTCCGAGTTCACAACGGAGTATAAGTTGTCGGAGTTGGGCGATTGGGGAAAAAGACGATTGGGGAAAAGTACGATTGGGGAAACCGAAAAGTATTATTTTTCTTCCATGCAAATGTCGAAATTAGGATAACGAGGGTGCTCGTTTCGAAAATGACAATCATTTTTTTGATTCTTACTTGTTTTCTTAAGTAGTACTGTAAAGTAGTAATGTTTGATTTTTTTCATAAATACTCGATTTAGGGGTTTTCGAGGGTGCTGATTTCGAAAATCATGTTGATTTTTTCTGAACTTTACTATTTTTCCTTAAGTAGTAGTGTTAAAAAGTAACTTTTTAAAATTTTTCTAGAAATACTGGATATAGGGGTTTTCGAGGGTGCTGATTTCGAAAATCATGTTCCTTTTTTCTAGTTGTTACTTTTTTCCTAAGTAGTACTGTTAAGTAGTAATTTTTTTTTAATTTTCCAAAAATACTGAATTTAGAAGTTTTCGAAGGTGGTGGTCTCGAAAATCATGTTAACTTTTCTTCTAGTACTAATTAGTACTATCTGATACTATGGAGTACCAGCACCTTCGAAGACCCCTAAATCCGCGTCCCGACATTTCGGGTCAGGGACAACTCGGGTCGCGACAACTCGGGTCAACGACACTTCGGGTCAACGACACCTCGGGTCAACGACATTTCGGGTCAACGATACCGTTTAATATTTTCGCTTCGGGACTGGGAAAAAAAAATTTTTTGGTATATTTGAAAAATTTTTGAAATGTTTTCGCTTCGGGACTTAAAAAAAAAAGAATTTTTTGGAGAGTTTGAACAAATTTTTGAAATGTTTTCGCTTCGGGACGTGGGAAAAGGATTTTTTTGTTCTGAATGTTACACTTTTATTTTTCATACGGTACGAATGTTATTTCTTTTAAAATTTTTTGGATAAATAGTTATTTTAGGGGTAATTGAGGTTTATTTTAAAATTTTTTTGGGAAAATGGTGCTTATAAGCGACGAGCAAATAAAAAAACCGTTATGTGCATATAATCATTACGACTATCTTCTTACTCCACTCTCTGGCACTGTCTGCGTTTAAATCCCGTGCTTCCAGTTAAAAACATTGACAATAGATACGATTTTCTTATTTGCTCGTGGCTTATACACTATTTCCCTAAAAAATTTAAAAAATAAACCTCAATTTTCCAAAAAATTCTTTTTTCCAAGTCCCGAAGCGAAAACATTTCAAAAATTTCTCAAATTCACCAAAAAATTCTTTTTTCCCAGTCCCGAAGCGAAAATATTAAACGGCATCGTTGACCCGAAATGTCGTTGACCCGAGGTGTCGTTGACCCGAAGTGTCGCTGACCCGAGTTGTCGCGACCCGAGTTGTCCCTGACCCGAAATGTCGTAGCGCCCCTAAATCCAGTATTTTTGGAAAATTTTCAAAAAAGTACTACTTAACAGTACTACTTAAGAAAAAAGTAACAACTAGAAAAAATGAACATGATTTTCGAAATCAGCACCCTATCAAACCCCTATATCCAGTACTTTTAGAAAAATTTTAAAAAGTTACTGTTTAACACTACTACTTAAGAAAACAAGTAAGAATCAAAAAAATGAATGTCATTCGCGAAATGAGCACCCTCGATTATCCTAATTTCGACATTTGCATGGAAGAAAAATAATCCTTTTCGGTTTCCCAATCGTCTTTTTCCCCAATCGTCCCTTTCCCCAATCGTCCCAGTTCCATAAGTTTTTCATGAACAAGCTCGCAAACTAGGTCGTGGCCGAGGTCAAGGAAGTCGCCTAAAATTACCCGAAAATGGTCTCATTGTTTGACTATGATGGTGAAGACCTTTTTTGGGTCAGGTCGTTGACTATGCTTGGTCGTGACTCATTTCAGTACAAAAAGCTGTGCAAGCTGACATTTTTGAAATTGCAAAAAATAAATAATTTTTTCAGGGCTTTTTCCTCATAATGCCAACGATTATGAGGTGTTACAGTCAGCGGCAAACAAACAAGTTGTTCAAGAACATAGTCGAGTTTATTTGCAAGCAATTCTACATTCTTCACCGAAAGCCTTTTTTACTTCAAATGTTTGGATCCATCGCGGATATTTGTGACCAAAACAACGACGATCTCGAGATAAATGCGATGCAAATAAAAGCCAAATACTTATTCAACTTATTGTTGGCAATGGAAGATATGAACGAGCTCGAAGATGAACTGGATATTCTCCCTCTAGTCCCCTACCCAAAGCCTTTGAAAGCTTTGGATTTGTGTTATCGCGACGACCCCAACACCTTCCTTCTGTTGCCAGATGCCATTGCCAGTTGTGTCACTGTTTGTGCATTTGCTCCAGAATCCAAGAGAAGTCATCAGATGTTGTTGATAATGCAAGCTGTAATTCCACATCTCTTGAATAACCTGGAACATGAAACGACAAGGCAAAACAACATTCCGTCGGCATTGAAGCAAGAGATTACGGCTTACACCACCATCTGCGTTGAGATGAGAGCATTGATTAACAGTTGCGAGACACTTTCCAGGTATGATCATTAAAGTCGAAGTTTGCATTTTGTTACTGCAAGTATACCAATTTCAGGGGCCCGACTCGAGCATTTGAAGCTGTGAGTGGTGGGAATGATCGGGGAAAATCTTTTATCGCAGAATCTCCCCAGTTCTTCGATCCCCCGACTGTCGCAGAAGAAGAACCGAAGAATAATCTTAAGGAAAGAAAGAATCAGAACACAACCTGGGACAATGTGGACAACAGTGAACTCCAAAAAGAACTCTATCGAGGGCCAAGGGAAGCCTTGCTCTTGTTATGTGCAATGTTCATCGAGAAGGCTGGGAAAAGGTTAAAAGAATTGACAAAGTTGTCGGTCAACTTGGAACACTTCAAGATCCCAGAGATGTTTGATGCTCGATGTCACGTCAAGATCAGCGACGTTGCTTTGTCCCTTTTGAAAGTGGCTCCTTATGATCTTACTACAATGGGATCCCAAGGACTTCAAAAGTATGTCTTTAATGACTTATAAATAACGAGATTTAAGGTATTTTTTGGTGATATTACCGGTTGTCGATTGGTCGGTGGAGACAAGCCGGTCGGCTTTGAACATTATCCTGCGTCGATTGGACAAAGCAATATCCAAAATCGCGAAAAAGAGCTCTTCGAGGAAGAGGGCTAACTGGAACGCCATCGCTAACTGGCTAAATGGGCTTTACCAAACACTAGTTGCCTATCCTTACATTGCCCATCTGCATCCTTTGAAAACGATGACTCAGATGTGTCTTAGACTGATTGCCGGGGACACCTTTTCCGAAGATCTGGTCTCTGCTCCAAATCTCTCGTCGACTACTAATAACACCATTTTGAATCCACAAATACCGCCGTACAATTTCTGTGCAATTTCCCTCAAGATGGCTGCATTTATGATGCAAGCCCTGGGGCAATTTGCATTTTCATTGGAGATTATATGCAGTCATGAAGGTCTTGGAGCCGCGTCAGAAAGGCCTGAAGCTGTGTTATGTCATATTCTGATCCCGTTATTCTTCTCAGCTGCAGCGCCAGGCAAAGAAGCTCCTCAATTTCAGGCAAAGGATATCTTATTTATATTGAACTTCATTCATAATACAATCAATCCGACTATCTCAAAGCAGAACACACCCACAAATGCAGGAACAACCTTGGCGTCTTCGTTGATAAGAGGGGCGGTCGCATCGCATAACACAGATGCATCAGGACGTCAAGGATCCATTTCTGTGACTGACAAAGGCCATATTGCTACAGTATCAACTCACAGAATCATTCGGGAATCCGTGGTTCAATCCGTCTTCCTAGCCTTGAAAGTTTTGATCGTCGTTTTTCATCGGCAGTTAACCGCACACTGGGTTAAAATTTCCAGAATAGTCAAAGACATCGCCTCAAAGAGATTGGGAGGTTCTTGTATGTACAATTTCATGGAGTTTGCGAGTCACCTGAACCTTCCAATTTCACTGATCATCGTCCCCGTCATCCAGCAAAAGCTGAATCAAAGAAATATCTCCGAACAAGAAGCGGCTTGGCACAATGATTTCAGAGATCGTCTTCTGAAGATCAAGAAAGTCAGTTTGGAGGACATCAAAGGTTATAGTCAACTACTTACCAGACTCCAGCAAGAACTCAATCACATGAAAGATGACTTCTCTTCTCGATTGGTCGAATTCCCTCGATCTCACACTCCCACCATCGGTGATCTTAATAGTGATTCTGGGAGTACCCAAAGTGTCTCTACTCACAAATCAGGACGTCCAAATGAATCTCGTCGTTTATCTTCTTCAACGGCGTTCTCTAAACTGAGAAATGCTGGTAAGAGTATATCCTCGACCGGCCATCAATCCATGAGTTCTGATGCCGGAGGGCATAATCTTCATGATGCGACAATCTTGGAAGACATTGAGGACGAGACTACACAGATGATGACGGGGAAAATGCAGAAAAGTCCATCCTTCCCAAGCACGCGACATCCATCACATGTCTTCAGGGCACGATCAATAACTGGTTTGGGGGTCTTTAGAAGCATGAGACGGAAATCGACCACAGGAAAAGAAGAAATGCTGACTTCAGAAGATGAAGCAAAGCCGTTCAGACTAAAGGATATGCATCATCGGAGAACCAAGAGCTGGAACAAGAAGTAGGTTACTGTAAGAACTGATTTTATATTTGCAGGCACAAGACATTGACCGATGATTCTGTGCTCATCTCTCCTTTAACAATGCCCCAGTCACGTATTCAGACAGCAGGGCAATCAATTGCCGAGAGTTTTCATCAAAAGAGTACTGGGAGTAGTGGAGGCGACAGACATAGAGGTAAGGCATCATTACTATACTGGGTTAAGTAAATATAATACTCTCTTTTCAGTGGTCTCTTTCTCCACCCAGGAATATAATAAGAGTTCTCAACCGAGTGAAACCGATTCAGACGAGTACTACATTACGGCCAAGCATCATTTAATTTAGGTTCCATTTATATTAGAATTTTAAAAATAAAAAACGGGTTAATTTGTAATAATATCTTGTGTTTGACTGAGATCTGATGATTACCCCGATACTGGCCTCTTATTCTCCAAATTATCATATCGACTGGCTTCGAAGGGCAGGGAATCCGTGCTAAATGTATCCATGTCTGCTTTGGGGACCTGCACTTCGTGATTTAGGGAGATCGAAGCATAAGGACTGTTCCGCTCACTAGACAAAATTATTGTTATCTTAGTCATTAGTCGATGGACTCACTTATTAGATGGCATATGGAGTTTGTAAAAGATCCTCTTCTCCATTTGCATGGACAACGATATACTTGAAGTGTCGAGTTGAGGCGGTTGATGGCTCACATATTCTACACTCCCACTCGATAAAGAACAGGAACTATGATTACCAACTTTGACAAGATTGCGGAAAGAAGATTTCATATTATTCCCAAGCTGCTTCAGATTCCTCTTAAAGGATGACATTATCGATCTTGCCGGTGGCTCCTCAGACCTCACTCTGCAAAAATTACAATCTAAAATAAACAATTTTTAATCATACCTCTTGTCCTTTTGTTTTATGGGACTCGGACTGAAGCCTGAGCAATGTCTAATCTGCGAATAATCAGCGTCTTCAGCACTCGTTATAACTCCATATGAATTCTCATTGGAATGATGCTTCTCCAACGTGTGATCTGCAATCTTTCTGACAAATAAAGGTGCCCACTTACCCAAAGATAACAGCTCGAAGATCTCCGTGTAATGTCGAATCATCAACTCAATACTTTTATTCTGGCCATTCATGTTATTAATGTGATCTCGAGTTGACTTTATCCTTCGACAAAATTATTTTTGCTCACATTTAACCTACTTGAATAAATTTGGGGACCAAACTAATGCCAGATTGGCGGCATCCATATTTGTAGATGCAATATTATCAGAGATCAGCTTCAAATGTTTCATCAGGAATGCAGTAGTACTGTAAAATAATAGAAGCAGTAACAGATTCTTACCGATAATGATTAGGATCGAGTGTGTTGAGGAATAAACGGATGCCTGAGATCTGTTCTTCGAGATTTTCGGATTTAATAAAGCCCTAAAATTAAGGTATACAGATGTATAATTAAACTTACAGTATCCTCTGGCAAAGGATTTAATAATCTGCGCGGTAAAAGACGAAAGTACATCTTCAAAAGACACGCTACCGTATTCACGTCCGTGGATTTATCAAATCCAAATTGCAATGATTTCTTGTGATCATACATTTCTCTAAAAAGTCAAAACACTTAATTACTATTGTATTTAACTGTAGGTATGACACTCCCGGACAAAAATTTTTGACGACCCATGTGAGGATAACTCGATAACTTTCAAACCTGGCATGTATAATACTTAGTCATTGCATGCAAAAACTGCCACAAATCTTTTTTGCCTTAAAATTTGAAACATGTAGCCCAATTAACAAATTAGCTAAAAGGGTGGTTAGAAATATACATGTATATATATGTCCGGAATTATTTTTTATATGTAAATGGATTAAACCTCTAACAGCCTTACTTCAGCTGGTTGATCTGAGAAGAAACACTCGATATTCGATAGATTCCGGTGGCAAGGTTGTTCTCAATAAATGTGACGCAATCATAGACGATACAAGGCACTGAAAGATACAAAATGTCATCAATATCGCTTACCCTTCTCATTGTGTTTTTGCATATGTAATCCCAAATCAACGCCGAAAACTTTACTGTGTTTAAGTCGAGTTTGTTTGAAGGAACTTTTTATTCGCGAGAAATAACTTTTTGTGGACTTAACAGGATCCTCGCTACTTGAGGGAGATGGGCTGCATGTATATTCTCCATGATTATTCGTCTAAAATAATATAATCTCGAGGAGAATAAAAATTAAGATACCTCAAAGAAGTTGAGAACGTTCAAACAACTACAAATCTTGATGTTCTCCTCAATCAAAGCGCTGAGAATATCAAAATATTCCGTCAAGGCTACCGTAATTTCTTCAATCGGCCCTTTTCTTCGATTTTCGATATCAAATAATCCGGTGGAAAGACAAGGGAGATTGCTGTACGTTCGCGTGAAGAGACAGTGGTGAATCTGCTCATCAAAATCTAACAACTCCAACATGGTTTTCTCGACTGACCTGAAGCAAAATATAAAAATATTGTGATTGTATTACTTACCACTTGGAATTGGTAGATTTCACAACTACAGTATATCTGTCTTGCTTTGGCTTGGATTCGGACAAAAAGAGGACCAGATTATTGATGAAAATTTGGTCATAATGGGCATGAATATCTCTGAAACTTTGCAAAAAAGTCACAGACATCACTTACCGAGCAGAAAAGGTAATCACGGAGGAACTTCGCTCACTCAACTCTGAGTCGTTGCAGTCGTCCATCTCTGACCTTCTGAAATGTTTATATTTTAAGCCCTGCGGACACGGATGCCAACTTTCAAAGCCCAGCGGCACATGTGTTCACAAACAATGTCATAAGTGGTGGGAAAGATCTCACTCTTGAAGAGTGCCCATCTCCGTAAGGTCTATATAAAGAGCAAATTAATGAGTCAATTGGCATTTGACGCAGTTACGCTTTAAAAAGTGAGAAGAAACAATAGATTTGGGTCTCAAATCCAGAAACGAGATCAGCTTACCTGAGGTTCTTCCCTCTTCTTTTCTCACCCGACCTGATGAATAAGTATTTAGCCGAGAAGAGCCTTATTGTGCGGGTGTCCTTTAGATAGAAATAAACCCAGCTGTTCCTCGGAGGGCGCCCGGCGCTTTGCCAATGATATTCCAAGGAAATTAACGTCGCTGTACATTTATTTTACATTGTTATGTTTTGAAAGGACCTCTATTTACAAGATGGACAATATAAGTTCGGTAAAAAACGGTATAAAAACGTTCGGGTAAAACATAAGCAACACAGAGTTTAGAGATCGTAGACAATAAAAATAACCACTTTGTGATCAATTAGCCAAATAGTCTGAACTGAGGAGTAATCACATGGACTTCACTTCTTAAGCATCCTGAAGTTTATCAGTACCTGCCCTCTCTTCAAAGGCTTCATCATATTTTTCCAAACTTTCTGGAGATTCTTCTTCAATCCTGTCTTCTTCCTTTTTCTTTTCTACAGCTTCCTGTACCTTCTCTACAGCATCCTTGCCATCTGGCCCGTCTTCATTTACATCTTCTCTTATTTCATTTTCTTCTTTGATGCAATTATCTTCATCATGTTCCATTGGTGGTGCCTCTTTGATGTCTTTACCTTCTCTTTCCCTCTTCCTCGCCTCAATATCCTTTAAAGCTTGAGCTTCTTCTTCTTCACTTAAGAATAATCTCTTCCTGTTCACAGCAGGACCCAACTTTTTAAGTAAAGTGCAGAGTTTCTCGATGTAACTGTGGTGTCTGTACATATATTCCATGGCATCCCACATCATTCTAGCCAAAACTAAATCATCAGTAGTGTCCATAGCGATGTCTTTGAAGAGGGGAGAGGAGAATCTAAAATAAGGCACCCTCTGATTGATGGCCCAGGAAGACGCTCTAGTAACGGGAGCTCCTTCCGTTGCTGTCACCTGCAATAAAAACAAGTAGTAAGACAAACTTTGTCATAAACACATTAGAAGCACGAAAAATCTTACGAAAGGTTTTTACCTGATCGACCAAGATTATTCCCAAGTTTTTGATGGCCACAGCAGAAGAATACGGATTACTGGACAAATCTAACTGGTTTGCATCCATGGGGATAGTGGGGATGACGCCAGTCCCGATACTCAAAATGCATCCGACTTCTACTTCTGAATCTCTTTTCTGTAAATACGCACATTTTTATTCAAAAAATCTTTACCTGATGTTTACACATTGTGTTCCAAGTCTGAATTTCTCCCATCAAATCCAAGGTTGGGTTATTTGAAATCAGACCTCCATCAATATACTTGTTATCGGCACAAGAAAAGTATGTTGGAGCTGCTGAAGTTCTACGCAACGCTCTCCACAGATGTAATCCCTTTGGGTTTGTATATCCCAATTCCTCGTTATCTTCATCACTTAAGGGCAGCCTATAATTCCGCATATATTCCAGTTGCACCGGAAACACGTCAGCTCTGGTTGTCGTAAACATCAGCCTAAAAATAAACGATCGAAATGAGCCCAAACCAACCTTGGATGTATCAAATCTGACATCAGGGTCTCCTCTCCCATCTCCACTTTTATAAAAGTCTCCAATATTACAGGCTTGTATGGCCTCACCCAGCCATCGAAAATCAAATCTTTAAATCTGAGGTATACCATTTGACATTGGCGTAAAGTTTTCCCTAAAAATAGATAATACCGTCAAATATATAAATAAGTTGGTGTTTCACAAATTTTTGAAAAAACGCCACGAACGAGCGATCGGAATTGAAGACGGGACATCTTTTCGGACATGCGGGAAAACCAGAAACCCAAACGCATGCAAATCGCCTTCCTACGAAAATTTTGAGCATGCCAATGTCGGAACCTCACAGTTTTTTGTCAGCATTCAATTCTAACCCTTTCTTTAAAAAACCCCAAAAATTTGTTAAGCACCATTGACTTATATCATTACCTTGACAGAGACCAGCTGCAACAAGGCCACCAGTAGAAGTTCCCGCAATCCAATCAAAGTATGGGAAGATGGGTTCTCCCATGACTCTCTCCATTTCTAGTAGTATCTACAATGACAATTACAATAAACTATTTCTTGACGTACCTGTACAATAACCAGCCCTCGAATTCCCCCTCCATCCAAACTTAGGATAGCGATCTTCCTTTTGTTTTGTTCCTTGGCTTTTATCATACCATTTAATTTCGATATAACCTCATCAAAAATCGCCTAGAAATGAAAATAATCTTTAAAAATACTCACCTGATGCTCTTTGTCATGAATTTTATTCCAAGGGTGATCTACTTGTTCATCTCGGTTTTCGATCTTTTCAATGGTGGCCAAAGATCGTGGGCTTGGCGCTACTGTGTTCTCAGATGAGACACTCGACCGGGATAAAAACCTGACAGATCTCTCGTTCACGCAGCCAGAAACACATCCAGATTTTGAATGGGGACACCTTTTGGCTCCACAAATCACTAAGGTCCTCAACATTTCCTCACTAACAAGTAAAATCGAATAAATATTCAACTTACTCATTTAATTTTGCCGCCAAATGTCTAGCGCTGTCTCCGTGATTATTAATTACATTTGGATCAGCCCCCAAGGACAGCAACAATCTAGTTATCGTAATTCTGCTTTTAGAAACCGCCACATGTAACGCTGTGTTTCCATTTCGATCCTGTGCATTCAGATCACACCCATAAGACACGATTGTAATAATCATCCCGACGTCACCACGAGAACAATACATATGTAAAGGGGTCAGCCCGGCTTTGTTCTTTGCATTCAGATCCAATTCTTTATGACGAAGGTTGAGAAGACCCAGCAGGGGCATTTTGTACATGGCCGAGTGCAAAACATTATTACCACTAGCTTCCTCCGTCTCGTTTATTATCCCCGGTTGTGCCTCCAAAATAGCTTTGATTACTCTAAAAAAGAAAATTAGAAATCAAAAATATTCTTACTCAATCGTCTTTCCTTTGCTTTGAACTGCTTCAAATAAAGGATTCTTGCCGGCAATCCGAAGATTGATCTCGGCGCCCAAATTAATCAAAAGCCTTAAGCAGAATGGGTTCGCATTTCTGATGGCCAACAAGGCTGGAGTCAGCCTATCATTATTGAGACAATTCAGAAGTTCTTTGGCTTCTGGACACGACCATACTATCTAAAAAAGCATTAAAAAAGAGCTAAAACCCGACCTCAATCATTTGCGTAGAAGCTAGAGCCGCATAATGCAAGCAACTGTTTCCATTGAGGTCTCTGGCTGTTATATCAGCTCCAATTTTGATAAGAAATTTGACGATATCAGGTTGATTTGATTCAATTGCCATCATCAATGGATATTGACCCTCGGGGGATGCCACAGGCTTTACAAGACTAAAAACCAAGTTCAGCAAAACGCTTACTAACTTACTCATCAGAAGTGTACCCCATCTTTTGAAGGTACTCATAGCCATCATCGGTAAAAACGTCTATTCTTCCACAAGCAATGGCAATGTGAACCATCCTCCAGAGCGGATGGAATTGCAATTTGTTAGTAAGATCTCTAATTTGTTTGCAAATGTCTTTTGAAAATCCTAAAATTTAATAAAAACAGTAATAGCAGACGTTTGCATACCCAACATTTTGAATAAAGCTCGACATTCTTCGCATCTTCGACAGAAATCCATAGCCTCACCCATGTCCTCCGTCCTGAACAAACTGAGAGTTTCCTTCTCCCCATGCACATAATGAGTGAACACGACATGATTTAGTACTCTCAGATTGGGAATATCCGGCCTGGCTGTACACTGAACAACCTTCAAAGTTACACTGTGAGTATTTTCTTTCGCATGGGGAGGATACACAGTCCTGTGTGTCTTTAAGAACTCTGATGGAAACACAACAACATCAAAATTGTCCGAAGGAATCCAATAGTCTTCTCCGAATATCCTTTCTCTTGTCGTAGACCATAATTCATTCAATTTGATCTGAACTTGTGCCAGAGAGAATAATCTAAAGGATTAGATAAACAAAAATCGAATAACTCACCCTGGTTTATCTAAGTCTTTTTTAAGAGAATCTGGAGAAGGTGGAGGCGTCTGTACAATTTCATCGGACTCCTCGGCAGTGTGATCTCCCACCTCGGCAAAAATATTATCCTCCAGGCCGCTCGCAAAACTCATTTCTAAAAAGCAAAATATAAAAATTCGATGTTTAAGTCGAATTTGTGGGAAACATTTCGAAAGCGCGTGATTCACATCGAGAACAAAGTACGAAATTGGAACAGCAAAAATTAAATCGGGAGATCACATCAGAAGACACATCCATTGTGCCGAACCATTCTTGCACTCTTAAACACGATAAGAACTTGTTTTAGACTATAACTTATATATTTCTGCGAAAAAAAATAATTTCCGAAAATTATTTTTATTTTTTTGTGACGAAGTATCCATCATTGATTTTAAGGTTAGAGTTTATAAAATTTATACTGTAAAGCCCTAAAATGTTTTTTTATACGTTTGATTACTCGAATTCTAACGAATAAGAATGCTTTATTATTCGTAAAAACCGTTTTCTTTTCGCAAAGTAAAAAATTTCCTTGTTTTTTGCTTTGACAAAAAGACAATGTCTTTGACATAAATAACCGACCATCACCTCGCTTTGGAAACCCGAATAACATTCACTGAATTATTATGAATTAAATCTCCGATTTATTTGTTGTTGCTGACCTGGAGCAAATTCAACTCTTTTGTGAATCATCGCCGATTCAAATTTTGGGCAGAGGGCGGATGACTCAACTCTGAATTTACAAAAAAATTATCCTGATCGAGGTGTTGAACAAGTTTATGAGCGATGAAAACTAAAAGACTGGAGAAAGATGAGGATAGGATAAATCTCTTGAACAAAGACCGATCAATAATTAATACGAATAATTTGATACTCAGTAGATACAACGATGACATTTGTTCGTCTGGATATGTTAGGACCGGGGAAATAAATGCGAAAAGTGAATAAATCAAGGTCCGTTCACCGGTTTCGGAGATCGCGAAAGATCTCTGGATGGCATGAGGGGATTGACCAGTGGAATTCCTGAGCTTTTAGTGCCTAAACATACGCCTTCGTGCTGGGGCTGCCTCGGGTGTATTCGCGATCTAAATTTATGTTTCCTTAGATTATTTTCTGCGATATTTTGGGTTTAATTTCAAAACGCTTACTTGACTTTTTTCGACAACAAACGACGATGACTGCAATCACCAGGACCACCAAAATAATGGTCCCAATCAAGATGGCTATTGACGTTGTGTCCAGACTGAAGGTTGAGGTACTTGTTTTGTCGGTCTCGGCAACGAAAACAGCCGGAGGGGGTGTTGGAGCGGGCTTATCCACGGCAGAATTAGGTGGATTAACTTTTTTTGCTTCCTCCAGTTTTGTCCTATCCTCGTTTTTTGCGGGTACACCAGACGTCTCCTAAATAATTTTTTTACTTTACTTATTATTAAAATACGAGTTGAAATGGTATTCATAAAACTTTAGAAATAATGTTTGATGTTTACATCTAGCAAAAATAGGAACGGACCTCAAAATCTTCGTCATCTGGGTTCTCCATGTGTGCACTGCCCTCCAAGTCATCATCGACGGCCGCGGGCTTGACCAGAGTAAAACTCAGTGCCAAAAAGGCAAGAAAAAGAGCCCGGTATTTCATAGTCGAGGCTATAAATTCAGATATAAAAAGTGGAAAGACACCGCGGAAGTGGGCAAGCCTCGATTGATAAGAGAAACGCGTTTATCAGCAGTAAGGAGAGCCCGATACCACATCAAGGGACACACGGACTGGCCAAGTAAAGTCCACTGACCTCGCAGGGACAGCCTTCATTTGCATAAAGGAGAAAGACGACAAAGAAATGGAGCCACTGGTTGTTTTACAAAAGGTCCGAAAGGTCGCTAAGAGCCTTGAAAACCGTCCTGGGCAAGTAATATTGGTATTTAAAAGAACGGATCTTTATCAAAATATGTGAAAATGTAAGAGGAAAGGATTAGCCATGAAATAATAGCACGCTCTCTATACGTTCCCGTTCCCACCTCCGCCCCTTGTTTTGCGCAAATGATTCTTTAGCCCAAAAAAGGATGACCAGAGACGTTAAACAAACACAGCCGGTCAGAGTGGAGATTTAGAACATCCCCGAAGACAGGTGGACCCAAATTATTCGAAGACGTAAGTGACCACAGACCCCCGAAGACCGCTCTTTCAGATCCAAAGCGATGATAAGAGTCGTCTTGTATATAACAGTCATCTGCGATTGGAAAGTCTCAACAACGCGAAACGGGAATTCAAGGCTGACCTGTCGGGATTCCATTATTTAAACTTTCATATACAGGGTGTCTTATTATAAAACCCCGTGTTACTTATGTTGATGGTTACTTTGTTAAATTTGGCCTGTTAAATAAAATATAGCCAAAAAAGATGAATTTTTTGAGACCCTGCAGGCCCTGTTACAATAAGAAAATCTTCGAAACCGTAATAAAATTCTGTATCAATTTGAATAAACCCATAAATATTTAATTAGCTTGTCCAAAACAATAAATCCCTCAAGGCTTCAGGTTGGACAAATACTGCTAAACTTTGGCTAAACAATGACGACAAAAGAAGAAGATTTACATGGCCAGCTGGAAACCTGCACTCCACTTGGCATTATTTTGATGACAAGAGCTCTCCTTAGCGGAAACTTCAACGGGGCGGCAGAACTTATTCTCAAAAAATCCGAGGAGAAAACAAAGGATCCCCATTCTCAAACATCCTGGCCGGACACTGGCTTCCATGTCTGTCCACTAAATAAATTAAGAATGGCAAAAGGGGGGATTGCGCGACTTAATCACACTTTGAAGGGCTTAATTGGGCGCGTTTTAATTAAATGTGATGGCCGGGAAGGATGGATGGAAAGGTAAATGAATATAATTGCCGTTGAAGACGCCCAGCCAGAATTCCCAGAATGGACCTATGACTCAATAATTTGCATGAAACAGCGGACGCCTTGGCATAAGTAAGCCATAACTATGGATGGAGTGCAGAATTCCAAGAGGGAATTGGCGTCGGGACGGGTCCACAAACTGTCCTGAACAAGTTTTTGATGGATAAGAATGGCCAGATGGGCCAAGCCTTTTAAAGAGCCAACCCTTGAAGAAACAGTTTGGCCTTTTGGCACACGAAATGACCCGTCCTGGGAGAAAATCCCGCCCAAATAGCGCCTTCTGTAATTCTAGAAACTCAGAGCCTCTTTAACCGATCAGCCTTGCGTGCATACATTAAGTGCGGTGTAGCGCTATCTCTGACCTTTTTTACCCGTTCGCTTAAGCAAACTGTCCGTCTTCAGCTGCAAAGAAAGGAAGGATTGACCGCTCTATATTCTCTTAATAAAGCGCCTCGTTCACTCACCAAACCAAAAATTTGCATGCCGTTTGATTAAAGTTTTATGGCAGACGCTGGATCAAAGAGTTCAATCTTTACGACCCTGATAAATTACAAGTGTTTACAGAAAAAAGGAAACAAAATGTAATTACGGCACAATGTAGTTAATAAGGTCAGGACTGACCTTAATAAGGTCAGGACAGAGGTTTCATACAGGAAGGACAAAATTGGGATAATTAGTCAAGAAAAACAACTCGAGCTAAGTGTTATCTATTGGAACAACTGCCACGAAGTCCTTAACACCCGTCTTCTTCCAATCTAAAAAATGATTTTAACACGATGGAGCGCTCAATTAAACAAAAAGAAGAAGTGTGGAAACAAATCCCGATTCTTTTTTCGTTCAGCTGAAGGGCGGCTTCAGAAGCGACATTAAGGCAACAGATTCCCTTCCAAAAAGGATAGACTGACAATTCATTCATTCGGTCCCGATAGTATTGGGTCGGACGGTTAACGCGCCCTTTTCTTTCTGTTCGAAATGGAAGTCGGTTTCCGTGTTCATAAAAGTTCTACTTGTATTAAATATATTTAGACGCCCAGCGGTCTCTTTATTCTCCGCTCAATACAATTATGGACGGCACATTTGAGACATCAATACGGACTGGTCACATCCACGCAGATCACGCGTGTTCTTGAAGTAGAATCTAAAATTGACACTGAACACAAGCCCATTCACAATGGAAACATTTATGAAGAGATCCGTCTCTCCCTTATAACATTTTCTTTAACATATTGCGACTTTAAATTTAAACAATTTATTGCAAGTTTAAAACAAACAATCTTATGGATTTCCTGTCTTTTTAATACCACCAGTGACAACAAAAGAACCCGGATGATGAGATCAAAGATTCACAAGCCAATTCACGGAAGATTATTATAACAAACATCCTTTTTCCTGGGAATCGACGGCAAATAAAACGTTTTAGTACAGATTTGAGGCATTGGGAGCTGAGCAAAAGGTTGAAGATCGGGCTAAATGGGCAGTCGACGGACGGGTCAGGTCTTGACTTTTCATTTTTAAAGGCCCTCTAGCAGTTAACGGGAGTGGAGGTAGAGTCGAATATGGGTCTGATGGAGATGATGGGAAATCTTGATGGCCAAAAAGCGATGATGGGTCCATCCCGACTTTCATTATCTCCCCGTTAATCGACCGAGGTAATTCTGGAGTGGCTGATAAGATCTGTTGAGTTTTTATGATCTGAAGTTTAGGCCTCCATTCATCGTTCTTAAGAAAATTCTGGGATGAGTGCACTGAGGGATTTAATGGGTGCTGGGGAATGGCAGACTCGGCAATGTTGATGTATTCATGTTGTTCCTGTTTTCGACGGCACATCTTCAGCTTCTTCAGAGCCAGACAAATCCTTTTTATGTGCCCTAATTTCTTGATCCCCATATCCTCGAGATCTTCGAAAGTCAGGTCCTCGACCTTCTTCATGCAGTCATATCCCTCTATTTCGAATAATCGAACATATTGCGGTAGTCCAATGGCCTTCAGCCACACTCTGAAATTGGTTTGTTTATTGTCAGCAGACTTTTATCACCGCTAATATTAGACTATTTATGTTGCACCTTACGTGAAAAATGTAAAAATCTTACGAGCTTTGCGACGTAGGGGACACACTTCTTGGCCATCCGTCCACCACATTCCAGTTCTGGATATCTGCGTGAATAATCTTCCGATGTCTGGGATCAGTCACCCCCAAAGCCAGGAGATCTTCAGCTATTAATTTTGAGACCGATGACACATCGAAACCTTGGAGAATAAACGATGACAGGTACTGCTGAAGGCCCAACTTCTCGAGCCATTCTCCCAGAATCTCTGAATCCGAAATTCCTTTGGCCAGCATTTCATTAACATCAATTGTATATGTCTCTTCAAGAGTGCCATAAACGTCTGCTGACGAAGATTGACGATTAACCGAAAAGCATCTTCGAGAGGGCGAATCGTTCGGATTTGAGGCAAACGAACTTGTACTGTGACTACTGGCGACATTTTCGTACTGCAAAAAAATGATGACAAAAAATGGTATTAAAACTAAAAATTATGACAAAAATATAGTCATAAATTATATATATATATATATTTGTTCACCTTTCCACTCTCAAAACCGCTACTGTTTTGGGAAGATGAAGTGGATCCGGTTGAATTTCGTCCAGATGTCACCCGTTCCGGCAAATAATTACTATTGGGTTGAAAGGTGGACAAAACACTGCTCTTGTTCGCATTCATCTCACAGCGACTTAATGTGCCAGCATCGAGTGAAGCCAGATCTGAAAGTTTTATTTGATATAAAGAGGCTGAAGGTTTTCCCATTTCACCCCGAAAGAGCGCCGTATGCAGATGCTCGCGGCCTCTCACGCCTTTCACAAGTGATGTGATCGACCTGTCATCACACTTACCAGAGGGATCAGCGCAACTGCTGGCAGCTCGCGACGACGACGGAGAACTCGAGGAATGACAGGAATGAAGAAGGTCGGGGAACATGGACCCCATGGTGTTGCTCAACTTCCGACTGCCGTCAGAGAAATTGCGGGATCGGCGATTGAAATCTGCCATGCCTGGAAGGTCCGGTACAACTGGAGCTTCGATTCTTTTGACTCGACGAACTGTCATCCGCGAGGCCGTACCGTGGCCTGAACTTGAGTCCGGATTTCTCATTTCGCCTGAAAATTAAATCAAAATTAATCATCAACTTGTACTATCAACATGATAAACGGCCGAATTACCTTGCTTGTTATCAATGATACAGACGATTTCCGGAGGGAAAACGCCTGATCGTGAGTAACCAAACTCCTCAAAAACAATTCCCTTCCAGAACACGGGGCTGCTATGGTCGATGATCTGGAATGACAACTAATATAGCAGGGCACTAAAAGTTTTCATCGAAAAATAGGAAATAAGGGTCTCAAGCTGCGAGGAAACAACATTTCTCACGATCCGGAACTTGATACCATAGTAATAATGGGAAAAGATATAGTTAAACATAACATATTTGCTGGGGAATACAAAAAAATATTTCCGGAGAGCCAGAGCGCAAAGAGAACACTCATTCAGTCATATCCCTCGCCCCTTCCCCTGTTAGTGACCAGTTCAACCTTGAGCGAACTTTTAGGTGCGCCTCTCGAAGGGAATTTCTGACCAGTGCCACCTGATTTCCCCTTTGTTTAGAAGTCTCAGAGACTGAATTTGCATATGGTTTATTTTGGGAAAGGCGCTAGAAGCGTGAAAATCCTTAAGCGGAAAAAGCCCCGCTCTTTCTGCATAAAATATTCGAATTCCTCAAATTAAATCAATGCGAGTCACGGTGGATGTTTAACATCATGATTTGTTTTATTGTTTCCTTCCCCAAATCAACACGCAAGTTCACGCTTAACATTACACACATTAACCCACCCAAATAAGTTGATGTTGGTAGAGAGACAGCGCGACGGGATTGAGGGGATCCTGGTAATCAATTAGGGCCTGGGCATATGTCCGATGAGGATGGGCTGCAATGAACGGCGCTCATCATAAAATCGTATTCAAACATTATGTCCGAAACATCCCTCCATCTGACCTCAGGCCAGACATAAAAATGTTTAGACTCGGCCTTTTACGATGTTTGGCTATCATACAAAGGCCATAAAGTCGAGAGTTCGCATAGAATAAACGAATTAGAGGGGCAGTGTTTGTCCGAAATCGCATAAAATGGGACGATGACGTTGGGATCTCCAATTCAGAAAGTAACGAACCCCTCAAGCAAAGTCATCCCCCAGATTGGTAACATTCCGCATAACTAATCCCGGGAAGCAGTAAAAGCGCGAGGAAATGTGCGCAAAGATCGGCGGCAATGGAGTTGGAGTGGATCTTATTCGATGTTCGGTTGCGCCTGTCCATTAGTTTGGTCTTTCCATATCCCCCTCCCTCCGTCCTTGGCGCGTTCCTTACCCTGTTTTATTAAGACATGATTTGTGTCTTATGCTAATTACTTTGAGTCGAAGAGAGGAAAAAGACCCACGAATCAATATGATGGCTCCAAAATTGATAAGAAAAACAAAAAATGTCTACAACCAAAGGGCAGGAGTAGACGCATAAACACGGGTATTTCCTTACAAGGAATCCCAGAAAGTCGGCTGGCCTTAAAACGGTTAATTCGCCGTAAGAAGGAGGGCGTTGACTGTCTGACGGACAAGTAACGACCGGGTTCGAATTTCGAGGGACGGTTGTTCCTGTCCTTCAAAGACCTTTGAAATTAGGTTTGAAGGTGATCCCCCAAACAATATGTGCTGCAAAGACGAAAGTCGAGAATTGGAAGCCTTTCTCTTTCTTTACGTCGCCCAATTTTCCAGCTGACCGAAAAACGAAACCATCCAGACGCGGTTGGATACCCGCTTCTTTGGTTAGCAACACCACAACTGGCACGTCTCACCAGTCGCTGGCCTCTGAAAGGGGGGCGAGCTGACAGGCCTGGGCCCTTCAAGGCGACGAAAACCGCGGAGCACTCAATCGCGATGTCGGGGGTTCTTTTTGTTCTAGGACGGTTCGATTATCCTGGGGGCCACTTATTTTGCATATTCATAGTAATCCCCACTTACTGCGAAGTAGCAGGCTCAGGTCAACGTTAAAAGAGTTGCGATATCCTTTGAGATCTTCATACAAATTCAAGACTGTTAAGCCGTCTCGATTACGGATGGATAAATCAATATTACGCTGAAAAGACAGCGTCATTCAATGAAAGAACTCACGTGTAAAAGGAGAATGACTATATCAAGATGCCTTTGTTCTACGGCTTCATGTAGCGCTGACCCACGCTGTGTTTGTAGATTAATTGGGAATCCTTTTTCGATTAAATGATGACAAATCTAGCAATAAGAGAAAGAGAAATTAGTACGTACTTCAACATGTCCATTTCTGGCAGCCAAATGTAATCCAGACGTTTGTTCTTGATTATTTTTTCCTATCCTATCCAAAATAGATTTTAAGACTCCGTTCTCGATTAGTCGCAGGACCATGGCAACTCGCCCGTACTCGCAAGCTATATCAAATCCGCTTTTTCCACATTTATCCTTTAGAGTAAAGTCAGCTCCTTCCTTCAAAAGTATGTTAAACTGGTCTACTTTATTGTATTTGGCCACCAAATGGGAAGCTGTGATCTGAGTGAAGTCAGAGTGGTCGACACAAGCTCCACTGTCAATTAAAAACTGAGTAATCTCACTATTTGATGACAGAACTGCTAATTGGAGAGCTATTTGACCTGTAATTAGAATGTCGATATTGTTGATTATATGTAGTAGTCTGACCGAAAAAGAGTTTCAATGAACGAAATCAAGAATGCGCGTGACGTAAATTCTTTTCGGAGATTTTTCCGCGACGAGAGCGACAAATCTGAATGCACAGTGCAAATGAACAAAAACAACCGTTTGCACCGTGCAAAACCGGCAAGAATCCGCGCGTGCGACACGTCGCTTTCTTTGTTTTTTCGGCGACGCGCTCCAAATTTCTCCGCGATGCAAATTGTGGTCTGGAATGCGTGCCATGGAAGGGTGCGGGGTGCGAAATTCTTTTTCTGCCAGAAAATAAAATAATTGTCTACCTCTTTCGTCCTCCTCGTCAACATCGCAGACTTTCTGGTTCACCAAAGACTTGACTCGATCTAGATTTCCCAAAATGACGGCCAAATGGAGGGGATGTCTGGTGCTATCCATAAATCCATCATCTCTGTTCTTAGTTCTTGAGATGGTAGTCGACAGTAAATCTAGTTCAGTCACATTAAAATCAATATAATTCTCACAAAATAAATCACAAATCTCTACATAACTCAAACAAAGGATTGTATGGTTACTGCGTAAAACGATGACTAAAAATACTCTGAAGGAGAGATGTAAAACAAAAACCAATCAAAGATTCACCTGTTATACTGGAAGAAATCTTTCGTATACGCAGCATAATCGGAGCGATGGAAAAGAGATTTGAATATCAGAAATCCGTTTGCTACAAGAAAATCAGGATATCTTTATTTCTGATCCGCTCAGCGCGATGGATGAATGGAGACCTTTCGCCCTTTGCCGCAAAACTCCACTAACTGTTCAATGTTCTTTCACAAAAAGAGGCATCCATTCAGTCCATTCACAATATAATACGGGAACGGGTGCCAACCAAAAAAGGCGATCAATCCACCAATTAATTGATACGATTCTCTTTTTGATCGCGCCGAAACCAGTCCGGGAATGAGTCGAGTAATCAGTTACCCGGTCCACATAAAACAAATAAAGGATAACATCGGAAGAATGCCTGTTATTCGATACCTATAACCTTACACTCTCCGTTACGTGAGGAAAGTGGACGTTGGGAGGGAATAAAAGCAGCAAATGACCTCAGGGCATCAAATATCATGCCCGTGGTGTCATCTTCATCTAAATCCCAGCAAGTATTCATTTTCTCTTTTATTAGATATATCTTTGCACCTTTCTCCGAGACATAAAATTCACCAAAATGCAGTAAATAAATACTACTCTTATGACTGACTATATATATTCATTTAGATCCCGTATTGAGGATCAACAGCCTTGGGAACCTTTTGAACTGGAACCTGATTAGGCTGAGGAGGTTGATTGACTTGCTGGGGATGCACTTGTTGGGGCTGAACAGGGGGAGGTTGTTGATGAACCTGCTGCTGGGAAGGCTGTTGATAAACTTGTTGTTGCGGGGGCTGCTGATATGCTTGTTGTTGAGGGGGCATTTGTCCATTTACGGGTTGGATTGGCTGAGAATTAACATTAGATACGCTCGTTAAAACCAATATTAATAACAAGCCCGAAAAAACATGACACACAAAAGGCTCCTCAACAAAACAAATCGACATTCGACCGGTGTAATCTTAATGGACAAGAAGTGTGCAATCTTTGAGAAGAAACAACGAACGCACAGAGCTAACCAGAGATGACCGCCCTTACCTGTTGTCCTTCGAATCCTCCTTGTGTTTTCCTATCTAAATTTGGGTCATAGGGGTCATAAGCATGCTCACCCCAACCTTGTTGTTTAGCATATTCTTCTTCAAACTTCTTGAGTTCATCTTCAGAATAGATGTCTTGATCTGCCAGATCTTTCCACCCTTCATCTTTATTATCATCAGTGGTCGCTTCACTGTCTTGAAGGAACTCTTGAAGCGAAATTAGCCTGTCATTGTTCTTATCCATCTGCTTTACAACGTGTTCTCTCATTCTGTACATCTCTTCAACTCTGTTTCAGCCATCAGAATACAATTGTGATACCTACTTTTCCCTTGGATCATCATCAGGGTCTGTCTCGTTATACAACTTCGACAATTCAATTTGGAACAAGGCCTCCAATTCATCATCATTCCAGTAACCATCTCCATTTAGATCATGCAGAGCAAAGAATGTCCTTGGATCAAAGTTATCCTTCTCCATCTAAATTTAGGTAACAAAATACAGAGTGAGGCAAAAAGTTTAAACTTTTTTCATGGGTACAGACGAGAAATTTTTTACGTGCAGCCAAATGATATTTTTACTATTAAATTCTCCGGGTTTTTCTGTCCTAGGGCTCAAAAATGTAACGAGCTGTGCAGAAAACGCCGCGCTTCCGTAAGCTCAGTAGCACTTTAACGATGCGAATTTGACGTTCGAACGCGTCCCAGCAGTATACTCCGCCCCGGTTCGCAAGGCAAAAACTGCTCATAATTAGCAAAAGGCCAAAATTACCCACTTTATTCAAACTGCCACCTACTTGCCGGATCTTAATCTTAAGGACCATGCATTTATTAAATTGGAGACCAGCATCTGTACCACACGTCACAAAGGCTTGTAGTCGCTAATCGCTGCGCCAAGAACGACCGATTTCCCCAAAAAAGCTGCGGCCCTTCGCCCAAGATGTCAAGCCACGTTTGCAAACGCGTTTGGAGCTCTATACCGCCGCCAAGGGCAGCCGCTTTAACACTGGCTGAACATTTTTTTCTCTATGTTACTGATATAGATTGTTACGTTTGTTAAATAAGATAGCTATAAACCTAAGTTTCAATTTTTTTGCCGCACCCTGTAATAATATAAATGAAACATACATGATCAGACTCTTCCCATACTTCTTCCAACTGTTCGCGTCCTCCTGGATGCTTCACCTTTTCGTGTTCCTTATGTCTTTTCTGGGCATCTTCTATTTTTTGTTTTTCTTTTTCTCTTTCATCTGGAGGCAGTTTGGCAAGTTTATGATCTTCTTCAGCTTTCTTTTTCATTTCGTATTCCTTGAACTTTTCTTTTCGTTGTTTATCAATCTCCTCCATATGAGAAACTGTCTAAAATAAAATGAGAGATTTTAGGTAACAAACCATATACTAAAATACCTTTTGGATTAATTTTCTCAGGTCTTCCTTGTGGAATTTTTCCCAATTATACACATCGATATGTTCTGGAACAGGAATCTTGCTAGGATCCCCATGTACCTTAATATCTTCATTGATCTGCTCTCGCAACCTTTCGATTTCTTGCAACTTGGCTTTAGTTAGCTCGCTGAAGACTTCGGGACTTAAATCGTCAATGTGATCGGCGATTTTACCTTCCTAAAAACAAAAATATTACCAAAACAAGCATCATACCTTTATGTCGTTCTCGTTCATTCCTCTAACCCGTTCTTGGAACTTGGGGTCACTCTCCAGAATCTTGATGACTTGTTCTAGGTACTTGGAATATGCGAATTCGTACATCTAAAAATATAACAGAAAACATAAAAAGCACTTACCGGCTTTTGCTGGTCATTCGCAGCCTGCTCGGCCTTCTGTTCTTGCTCCTGTGCCTGTTGTCGATTTGGCGGGGGTGCTGTGATCCCGAGCACCATAAAACCCAAGATAAATGCAAAATATTGCATCCTAAAAATATTTATTTGAAAAGACACGTGTTACATTTACTATATAAACAGATGTATGATGCGTCAACTTATCCATAAATTCCAACCAGACACTTTTTTATTTTTCTTTCACTCGATATTGGAGATGCGCATTTTTTAATTGATTTTTCAAAAAAATATTTTATTTTTTTTTCCTGAATTTTCAGGAAATTCGAATTCAAGGCAAAAGGTTTCGTAGAGCGAATATTTTGAATGTTATCTGCATTGGTGCCTCGATTATCCCAACTCTCCGTCCGAAATGTTTCTATGACACCAAAATTAAGGTAAGTTTTGATACTGAGTAATTTACCGTTGTTAGTTCTTCTGTATTCACCAAAAAGCAGAAAAAAATGGATCCTGAGATTGCCAAGGCTAGAGAAACAAGACGACGAAGGAAACTGACTCGAGAAATCCGAGAGATGATGAAGCACAGCAAGAAACCTAAGCCAGTTACAGAACTCACTATCGACGTTAAATCGGCGAGGAATATAGAGTTAGTAGAATTAGGAAAGGTCTAATTTAATTTAGTCAGAGGTACCGAGAGCCCGTGGTTTTGACTGAAGCCGAGATTGACCAGAGGGCTGTTATTTCGAAGGCCTACAATACGAGTAGGAATGCTCTTGTCAGAGATGATATCAAATGGATCCAGCGGTCTATGCAGGATCAAGATAATGCGTTGAAGCTGTTAAAGTTGTTGTCTCCAGACCTCTATGCCGAGGCAGTAAAATTGCCGGACACCATTCATATCTATAGTGGCAAAGGCCCGGTTCTGACGCCGCCGTTGAAGAATTACAGAAGCCCTGATGGAGATCATGAGGACACTACTAGGACTTGGGAATAGGCGATTGTTGTGTTTTATTGAATAAACTTTTTTGGAAAGTAAACAGAGAGTGAAAAGTTCGGTAAACTTGTTTTATGACGGAGGGGACTGTATTCTTGTGGGAAGCGAAATAGAAAGTGCTCTCAAGGATCGAAACTGAACAGATAAAGTCGTTTCATTGTTTCTATGACGTTTCTAAGTGGTTTCGGGGAGGGATACGTTGAACCGATTGAAGGAGCATCTATTTGTCACAAATTTATTTAAAAAATTTTTAAAATGGCCTTTGCTCTTCAAGTGGTAATTAAAGTTTTGAAGGTCGTGAGTAGTTGGCTACCTTCTTTTCGCTGTACCTGGATTTATTCGCCGCGTTAATTGGCTTGTTTTTCCCGTTATAATCTTCTTAAGTCAGCGGTTCGTATTATGTTTTGCTGCTATTCTTATAATGTGATTGCTATTGGAGGGGTATCTGGTAAGCGGTGATGGCAGCGTCGATAACGAGTTTTTTCACTTTCATCACCTGCCGGAAAGGAGAGTGTGGTTACTCGGGATCGATTGACCCATTTCTTAAGATGTCCGTCCTTGGCGACATCCCCGCCGAGAATCCAGGTTTCAGTGAGCGACGGACAGAGAAAGAAAAGAAGGAAAACCCATTTCCCGTTCGCATCCCTTACATCTGATTGAAGGCATCGAAGCGTGTTTTTGAAGTCAGATTCGTGTTGTGCGATTGAATGGCATTGGTCAGTCATTGTTACTTCCAATGCGGACTTTGTATATCCATCCCTGGGTTGGTGACTGCTGCCGGAACAAGTTCCGGCCACCAGTTCCGACGTTGCAAGTGTTTTTTTTTTACTGATTTTGACGTTTTTTGATTATGAAGCCGTTCGGAGTCTTTTTTCTTTCCGTTCGCTGATTTCGTCAGCGGAACGTCGTATTTGTCAACGTCTCCTTATTAATCGAATTTCGTTAGTGAAGTTTTTCTTATTTTGAATTGTAATATCTGTTTTGAAGTAGTTACGTAACATCTATCTACGGTTATTGTCACCTTTTCCACGATTTAATGCCATAAGGACGATTCGCTTCTTAACTGTCACTTATTCTCATCACGTTTTATGATTTTAAAGCGAGAGTCTCGTGGGGGCAGGTTCACTCACCTCAGTTCTGGTTCGCCTTCTGATTCCATCAGTTCTTTTATTGCCTGTCATTTTATACAATTAAACAGGAAACTCTGAAGAGTCTCTTTTCAGGAGTATTTTTATGAATCGGTGGCTGGGATTAGATGGTGCGGATTGAATATGGCCGCTTCGAGGATGCGGTCATATCCACCCGGAGGGCCTTGAAGCCGAGACAAGAAATCAGTGCCTTCTTGAAATGGCTCTGTTTTCTTCTGAATCTGATCATCTTCTTGATTGGATTGGCCATCTTATCTTTGGGTATTTATTCATTTATCAAAGATCCCAGGTCAGTTGCCGGCCCTGAGGACATCCTTTTTAATGCGTCCATCGTCCTCGGCATTCTCGGTATCATCATTGTCATCATTTCTTTATCTGGCCTTTTTGGGGCCCTCAGGGAGAATTGGACTTTTCTCAAAATCGTAAGTCAATTTAATTTAGCTATTGCAATCTATTTTTACCTTTGTAAATAATATTAAAATGCGGAGTTTCAATTACTTCGGAAATTGCGTAATTTTGAATGAATTTCTGTGCAAGAATATTCTCCTCGGTCCCTTGCTTTTAAGTTTTTCAAACTCAATTTACCCTTGCTTCTCAAATTATTGGACCGTGACATGAATTTTTTATGTCATCGTCTTGATTGTAGTCTGGCACTACATTTACAATACCAGTAACATCATTTTAGTCGGTCTGGACCGGGATTCTCTGGTTTGTGGTGTTTGTGATAGCTGTTCTGGGAACCTTCTTCATCTTTTATTCGGACAACAGCGACAATTTTTATATCAATACGATGCTCGATTATGCAGTAAAAAGATATCATCTGAACGGGAACATTGCCGATGCAATGGATTATTTGCAGGAAACGGTATCCGAAACACTCAAAAATGATTACAAATTCATTTATTTAGATGGAATGCTGTGGGATAAGGTCCTTGGCACAGGGATACCGAGACTGGCAGTTGAATGAGCAGTTCTACTGTAACGAAACAAATATATTCCCAGAAAGATGTGGGGTCCCTTTCAGTTGTTGCAAGAAGGCGATCCTAGCTGAGGGAACGGCAGGGAATCTGAATTCAGCATCAAGATCGTTGAATTGTTGGCAGAATGCCTTGAAAAGACGGCCTCATGAATTGGAGGGGGATCTTTATGTAAGAGGATGTATGGTTCCCTTAAAGCAGGCCTTTGAAAAGAATGCCATCATCATTGCCAGTGTGGTCGCTCTTATCGTAATCTTTGGGGTAAGTGTCAATTTAATAATTTCTCCAGATACAAATCTATATCCTTTATTCTTTGAGGATTTTACGAGGTTTGAATCAGTCATGAAAAACTAGAATTGAGTTTTACAACCCCGTGTTTTTAATATCTCTAAGAGGTGTTATTATATAGCCTTTGTCTGTTACGTGCCAGAATTTCATAGATCTGATATTTCGAAGACGCATTCAATCCTCCCAATATACATATAAGAGTGAAGACAGAAGATTTCGGAGGAAAATTTTGAAAATTTTTCGAATTCACTTTTTTTTCGATTTTGGAGTAAAAATTTTTTTTACTCCCAAAAATGCCAAAAAAAAAAGTAAACACGAAGTTTACTCCAAAATTTGGAAAAAACTTTGATTTTCGGGAGTAAACTGGGAGTTTACTCGCCGGGCACGTCGTTTTTTTCTGCTAATTATGGTTTGTCCCACCACGACTAAATTTATCAGTGCCAAAAAGTTTTGGCGTTGTGCAAAAATCGGAAAATTCACTTTTTATTTTCCGCAGAAACTAAAATCGACCAGTGCTAATCGGAGAGCAAAGAAAACATTTCGAAAATTAGTGGTATAGGAACGTAAGTCGCTATTTTCACTTTTTGTTTGATTTTTAGGAATCCATTGAAATCGGATGTCTAGTATAATATAAAGTTGAATTTTCTCGAAAAGTAGCTCTGAAACCTGGTCTGATTTTTTCTGCTCAACTTCGTCATATCTTCATGCAGCTCATGAGCTATCGAGAACCCCAAGATTGGGATCGAGGGTCAAGTTACCGGTCAATCTTTTGTTATTATAGGTCAACTTTAGCGTGAAATTCTGAGCTCAAGAAACGATTTTACAATACAGATTTAGCGCAAGTGGCAGCCGCAACACGCCAAATTTGCGTAAACACAATTATTTCGATATATCGATCAACCGTGTTGGCGTAAAACCGGTCGTGGTAAATCAAAGTTTGTGGCGTTTCGTTCCGATTTTTTCACTCAATAATGGAGCCGTCAAGCTAAAAAATCACTTTTCAATTACGCGCCAACGATGTGCCGGGGCCGAGAAATCGAATGGCGGCGAGTAAATCTGGATTTTGCTCGCTTCCAATTATTTCCTCAGCTCCTGCAGTCAGCAATGTTTTTGACTGGGCGGCCTCAAAATCGACATCCCAGTCACCTGAGACGAAGAAACGGGGAGAAAAAACGAAGAGAGCGAGAGAAACGCGCGCTATTTCGTGCTCTCTCTGCTTCTCTGCGCCCTCTCTTCGTTTCCCGCTCTTTCGCTCTCTCTCTCCTTTTTTTGCGCTCTCTCGCTCTTTCTCTCGAAAAAGAGAGAGAGAGAGAGAGAGCGCGAAACGGAAAGAAGGCGCTGAGAGGCAGAGACAGCCCGAAATAGCGCGCGTTTCTCTCGTTCTCTTCGTTTTTTCTCCCTATTTCTTCGTCCTAGTCAACAGTTATTGACCCCTCACCCAGTCGAGAATCGCGGGATTCCTGAATGGACCACAGTCAGGAAGTGTTGACTGTACGAAGAGTCAGGAACCCCGCGAAATTCGGCAAAATTTTTCGAAAGTTCGGCGCGACTTTTGCGCCCAGGGGTCAACTGTTCCCCGGGAGTAAACTCTGGATTTACTCGCCGGCACCTTCGGCGAGTAAATTCTGAATTTACTCCAAAAAAGGCGAAAAAAAAGTAAACTCGGAATTCACTCCAAAAATGGGAATTTTGAAAGCTATTTCGATTCCTACTCGCCGACCCATAAAATTTCTCGATTTTTACTCTCTTTTTCAAAAAAAACGTGAATTCGAAAAATTTTCAAAATTTTCCTCCGAAATCTTCTGTCTTCACTCTTATATCTCCAGAAATTTATATTTAAACGTTTGAGAAAACATTATGAACGTCAAGAGATCTGGAGGTTTGTTTTTTGCATCATCTGCTTGCTGGATTTCTTAATCCCCCCACCCAATAAACTGCGGATTTCCGGGTCTATTAGGTCATCAAATTTAGCCTTAAGAGGATTTGGAACGCAACGCAATCTACTTCTTTCAACACGACTTTTCTTTTCAGTGTCTCTATGTGTTCATGGAATACGTTCTGGCGCGACAAATCGAATACCAACATTATTTATTGGATCGGGAGGCGCGGAGAGCACAAAGAAGAGCACGAAGGGAAGCTCGGGAACGCGAACGTCGTGCGAAGGAACAAAAAGGAGCAGCTCAAGGAGAAACGGAAGAGGCCGAGGTGGAAGATAAGAAGGCCAAGAGAAGGAAAGAGAGCAAGGAAACCGCCAGAAAGCCGTCTCAAGCCTCCCAGAAATCTCCACATACTTTCGGACAGCAAAAGATCAAAGATCGGGGTGCTCAGATCCGCAAGAAATCCAAGCCCTCAGGCCCTGCAGTTGCTCCTCGGGTCGCGGAATGGGTACGGGAACAGTCAGATTATATGCACAAGATGAAGAAGTGAGACATTACAACATCATCTTCCCTCCAACTATGTACATATCCCACGCATAGATCTTAGACATGATATCTGATGTATGTGAGAACCGACCGAGGTTTCCGTCGACTCTCTGGCCATTCCAGAAAACCCCACTTAATGTGCGCAATTGTGCATTTTGTGTAAGGTTGTCTCTTTCCGGTGCTTAAGTATGATGATCTTCCCTCATCCTTGCCCCATTAACGAAGCTTTTGCATTTTAAAGTTGCCTTAGGGGATCAGGTGCCATCTCACTCTCTCTCATTGTTAACTGTTATGTCAAACGAGTATATCCAATGTCTTTCTTGATTTAATAAAGGAAGGAGATTCATTTAATGGGGGATGTTTTGTGATGATTATAAATAGTCTGTATTGCAGTCTAGCACCACATCAATGACCATCGGTCCATCTGAGACCGAATTAGATTAGTATGGAAGCATCTTGTATGTTTTGTAATTACGTACGGTTTCGTACAGCCAAAGCCCTAAAAGACTATCGGGCATTGTAAGTAGTTCCTCCTAACGCCAGATTTGTCATCACCTCTTATCTAATTTAATTTGTTTAATGGACAACTTCCAAAAAAGTCGTGAAGATTACCAAATCGGGGGATTTGAGGGCCTGGGCCAGAAAGCGGTTTATGTCGTTGTAAATGTAAAACCACGCCTTCGAGAGTGTTTGATGAAATTATCATTGGAATCGCTGTTGACAGCTGGACATGGGTGATAGGACACGAACGCTGGCCTTAATTATCTGCCTTCTGACGATGCACTGTGATGGTTGCTTCTTGAACTCGTGTCCCTATCGGAGGATCGGACGAAGTAATCAGCCAGCCAACGCCGTTATCCCCTCAGGGCCTTCAGTCGACATCACCGTCGAGACTTGCGGGATCTGTGGTAAGGGCTACAGTAATATTTTTTTACATTTTTCTGGTAATCCTTTAGGATTAACAAGAAAAATGCAAAAGTCTGAAGATCCCTTTTTGTGTCATCTGTGATTTTACTTTATCTAAAGACATCATCAGTTATCATTTTGTTGGGTTTCAGGCCCAAAGAATAATGGAATTTGTGTGAACGAGCGAGTTTGTTGTACAGTAGAAGAATGCAAAGAGGACACTGGTTGTCAGAATGTTCACGCTTGCCCTCTGCCCCTCTGTATAATCGACAACGGGCCAGGTTTCTGTGCCACCAACACCCTTTGTTGTGCTGATAGTAAGTCCTGTTTCACCCTCCGAAAGAGTGACATAAAGTATATAGATGACAATGGGGATGTTTTTTCTTATTAATGGGGCATTCAGAATGCCTGTGTGGACGAAGGCATTGGATTAGGAGGTAATCCATTGGTAATTTCAGAGTTCTGCCAACGGAATTTGCAATGTATGGTGGTGGCGTCAAAGCAGCTGAACCTCTGAATTTTTTTGGGCAACCCTTGTGGTGGCCTTGCGTGAACAAACGTCTTGGCTGACCTTCTCCAAGATCTCACGCATATTTCATTTTTTCTTCTAACAATAAGTCAGAATTTGTGTCCAAACGATTACTCAGTAAACTTTATTTTCCATTTGATATTGCCTTTCCCGCATCGCCGCAGGAGATCAAACATTTGACGGTCGAAAACTTGTCAATTCTGTAATAAAAAAGAGCTGTTGTTGTGAACGGACGAGTTTACTATTGAATTTGGGATCATGTTGTCGGAGAGTTTTATTCAGCTTTTAAATTCCCCGGAGCCGGGAGCACTTTTTGTTTTGGATTGGTTTGTGCAAATATTATATTAATTCTCCGGCCCCAATTGTTATTCGAATGCTATTTTTGTCGAGCTTTAAAACTTTTAAATTTCTTGGTCAACAATAATATTGGACTAGACCCATCGAGGTGTGCAAATATCCCCCTTTCTTATTGAAACATATTTCCTGAACTGGGCTTTCAGCGAATGCCGGAGGCAAAGTCACTTTCTAATGTGTTCGTCTATCTTGGCACTGTTTGCAGGGGAAATTATAGACGCTGACAAGGGATAATGGGTGGTCGGAATAGCCATTAGAGGGAACTGGAGGGCCCAGCTAATGTCAGGGGGCACATTATTAATGATATTTTAAGTGGAGACGTCGTGGTGGTGGCTGGCAAAGGTGTAAATCAGTTTTTCTCGCTCCAATTCCGTGCACGGACCTGACTCCAAAGAGTTTTCCTTCTCGGAACCAACATAAACATTCACTGGAATGTAAATACGTAAGAATATAGGCATCCTATTCCCGGCCATAAATTAGAAAATGCAATTATTTTTTAAATTCTCTCACATTACTTCAATTATTCACAAAATGCCGTTTCTTTAGTGGTCAAAATCCATCTGACGTTTGATGTAATTAAGCGCTGAAGCAGTGATTATCAGCATCCAGCCTGACGTGACAGGTAATTGGCCCAGAATTGACGTCAATTGCCGGTTAATTTCTTTGGCATTGTGTGGAAGAGACCCTTTTGTTAATTATCGGGTTTCGACTAGTTTAAACTTAACGTCCACGTCCGTTTTGGGGCCTCGTTGACGTTGAAGGGGGCAAGGTAGCTCAGTTTTCCCACTTTAATGGCCGTAAAAGTGCCTTTTTCATGTTTCCTACTCCTTTGCTGTATTACATTGGTGTGATAATGATGTAGGAGGTTAAAGGAATCCGAGATGTCTGGTCTAAACCCGCTGTAACTGAGCGACGATTGAACACACGGCCAGAGTTAACTTAATTTATATTAGCCCTGCATTCCCATTTACTATTGCGAGTTTGTTATGACTTTGGGCCTTATATCACTTTGTAAAATTGTTGGTCATCAACGCCCTTTCCAGGTCGAAGGATAGGAAGGAAAGGGGGACGAATGTGAAAAACGCTTGACCAGGTACTTTTCAGCCATTTAATTCCGGTCGGAGATTACTTCTAGGCCCGTATTTAATGCTTATTTAGAATGCTTACAATTTTAGGTTCCCATAAATAAAAAATTATGGCCTCATTTGCGGATAACAGTCGTAGTAAAATTTGGACTGCGGAAGTTTGTTTTCACTGAATAGTCAGATTAGTCAAAGACAGACCCTAGATCTGACAGGAAGGGGTTTGCCATAAACAGTCCCATTCTTCCTTCGATTGAGACAATTTCCTCTCCATTATTAATAATATCATCGTTTTCTAACTTTACTTTGCTTAGTACGTATTATAATTTGTGTTCCTATTTGAGATGACGCTTCTGTTTATTCAAATTGCGGGTTTAAATTAAGGATCGGGCCGAAAAAAAGGGTCAAGGTGGTGGAAAGGAGACCGTCTCAGCAAATTCTAGTTCAAGAATGCGCAACGGAATCTCGTCAGGCTAATGGAATTCCAAATTGGACAATGCGCGCTGTCACATATTTTAGATTAGCTTTGCCCTTTGTTCTTGGGCCCTGAGGGCGATTATGAACCGCGGGGTGCGGCAAGGAGGTCCTTTGAGGAAGAACTTTTATTTTTGATTTCTTGACTCTCTCCAATTGTTGTAAATGGCCAGGAAATGACAATGAGGATGACAATGACACCTCCTCTTGTTGCCCTTTCTTAATTCCTTTGTTAGGCGACTCCAGGCGGTTAACAAAGCCGACTTTTCTGCACTTTGCAGGCAACGGATCTGATGATAATTATACATTGTACTCGATTGTGGACTCATTTCGATTTGTTTGTCCCGTTACTTTTATTGCCAAGACCCACAAACTCTCGGCGCGGACAGCTGGCACATTAACCGAGGTCCCAGCAGTCCTAAAAGGCGGAATATCCAGCTCTTATTCGTTTAATGGCGCGCATAACTCTTACATATTAACCGCTTTATTTAACCCCCGTTCTCAGAGTTCGCATGACAGCCAGATAAAAGATGGACTACCTCATGGACGTGCTCTTCGGCGAGCACTCGTCCGCCCTGGACGTGGTGAGTTTCTATAACTTGTCTCTTTGGGGCCTGAAATTTAAATGACCCATTCTCGGGCAGAGTAAGCGGAAGAGAGGGAGAGGACTAGCCGATCAGTGCTCCTTGATTACAGTACTCTATTATTCCGCACTTTTTCGCATCAACAGAGGCGCTCCTCACTTTACCTGAGAGTGTTTTTCCATTCTCCTTTCTGTTTGAAGCGCTTCTTTACACCAAAATGCCTAGTCCAAACTCCAGGCGGCATTATTTTGAAGCTACATGATGTTTGTAGTGCTGAGCGGAATACAGTTCCTGTTGTAGACAGCTCTTACTTCCATTTCCGAATTCAATTTCCCTCCAGTTTAAGTCCTCAAGTTTCGAGTCGTGACTTCTCTGAGAAAAAATTTATTCAAAGAAACGGCAAGCTCGACTATAACGTATAAAACTTTGTGGCAGGGGTTTTTATGGCAAAATGAGGTCAATTTGATGCAGGGCTTGCTTTGGGACAGCTCTGGATGTAAATAACAATAAGGGCCGTTCTCCGAGAGGGGGGAAGATGGCCTAGCCCCGGGACTTATGACAAAGTACACTCAAGGAATACCTAAACGAGCTCCAAAATAAAACTTTCTCACTTGCCCCCCTTCCCAATGCAACACCTAGAAACCAGAGTTCAGCGCCCGGAGACTTGCATCTGGGCAACCGAGATGATCTCCGCCGGGTCTCGAATAACTCGCGTACCTAATTACGGACACATTATTCATGCTGATAAAGATCGGGCGGTTTTGTTAACGTCATGGGGACATAATCCTATTATATTCCGAGCTCTTCTCCCCCCTCGCCCAAACTTTACTCATGTCACTTATGCAAGTTCTGGCGATGCGAAAATATTTTCGGGAAATTTCCTTTTTCTATTCTAGACTTTAACTTACACCTGGCCTACCAAATTTACGAAATCCTTTTTTTGTCTTGGAATTTCTAAATGTGGGTTTGGCGTGATACGAAGATACCAACAACGGACAAGTTCAAGTCGCCGATTTTTTAATTTTAAAGTGTTAAATGACAAGCTGAGGTGACGGGTGGGTCCGGGGAGAGACTTCTCACTTCTCCAACGTCCTTAAAATTAGTTTTGGCTTCCTTTAAAGTTCTTCCAGGGGGGTCTGGCTTCTAGCTTCGTCACTTATACTCGCATGTTTCAGGTGATGTTTATGAGCATCGACGACATCGATCGTCGATGTCCCCGGGGCATAAACGCCAGTTTGGTCAGTGACACCTCCTGGCAATTGGCACCGTTTGATGACGCATGCTTAAATGTGAGTGTAAAGTTTCTTGTTCTTAAATTTTTCTCTTTTTGAACATGCTACTTTGGACTCTTATGTAATTTACATCTTTTCAAGCGTAGAATAACATACTTGATGCATGGTTTTAGTCATCCGAACGCCGGACTGGTTGAACTCTGTTGTTTCAGACCTTTTTCCAACGAATGAATGCCCATCTCAGGAAGTACAATGAATGGGAAGAGATGTTGTACACCTTCCTTTATTTCCTCATTTCCTTCTTCGCTCTTGTAGGGAATGGCGTAGTTATTTTGGCCGTAATACGAAAGAAGGAAATGCGGACCAATCGGAATGTATTAATAGTCAATCTGGCCCTCTCCAACTTGATGCTGGCTCTCACCACGATCCCTTTTCTATGGCTGCCTTCCATTGACTTCGAGTTCCCATATTCTAAATTCTTTTGTAAATTTGCGAATGCCCTCCCAGGAAGTAACATATATTGCTCAACACTCACAATCTCAGTGATGGCTATTGACAGGTAAAGAAAAAATAAAACTACACTCCCGGGAGGAACATTAACGTTTTGAGGGCATAGATAATACAGCTTAATTGCGTCCATCAACAAACACATTCCAGGTATTACTCAGTGAAACAGATGAATGTCGGTACGGTAAATCAGACATGTGTGAAGGGAATCATATTGTCTGTGATGATCTGGGTCTTCTCTTTCCTCCTTAGCTTCCCGCTTCTTATTTATTATGACACAACCATGCTGTATGTCTTCAAAGATGTAATGGTATACGATTCGGAGAGGAACACCACCCAATTGCGGAGTTATGGATGGAGACAATGCCGCTTATCTCCTGGGGGATCTGCAGCTGATGATGATCTCAACTCTATAGATGCTGATGCTCAAGCCAGGATGATTCAGGTACAGTATGCTTTCTGCTTTTTCTAATTGTAAATAATGAAGTGTGCATTTTTATGACGTTTTCATTTTCAGCTGGTAATGTCGCTCATGCAAGTGCTATTCCTCTATGTTGTACCTCTCGTTGTTTTATCCATTTTTAACGTCAAATTAACCAGATTTCTAAAGACAAATGCCAAACATATGAACAGGAATAGAAATGGGACCCTCAGACGGGAATCGGTCATGATTCAATGTAACAAGAGCAACACTTACGCAGTAAAAGAGTCGCCCAAGAAAACGAGGAATGCCTTATCTCTGGAGACCGAGATCTCGACCTCCACTCCCCCAACACCTCGAGTTGAATCGGCCACGCCAGCTGAGAGGGCTTCGGATCGGCGTCGGAATAGAACCACTATGTTATTAATAGCCATGGCCGGCTCGTATGCGGTTCTTTGGTTCCCATTTACTCTCGTCTCAATGCTCATCGACATGGATATCTTGTACCTCGAGAATGGTGCCGCGATCATCGAACGGATTGACCAATCATGCAAGTTGATCTCGATTCTCTCCATCGGAGTGAATCCTTTTCTCTACGGGTTTCTGAACACCAACTTCCGACACGAGTTTACGGACATTTTCAACTCTTTGATTCGTTGTTCGGCTAGCCAACGGCCTCAACGAAGCCGAGGGAACGTGTATGCGGCTATCCAGTAAGTGGAACCGGGCATTAATTTATCTTTTTGTTCATTCAGGCCGAACATGGGCCATAGATCGGCCTCGTTCTTCGAGAGTCTCCAAAGTGCCTGCGGGTCGATGTTCTCACTGAAAGGCCGGCCAAGTCTGGAACAGCCTAGCCTGAGGTGAGATTACTGTACGTTTTGTTTTCCGTTTCGGAGTTCTGTGATTTTTTTTGATGTAGCCCGGTCTTATGGCTTTTTGCGGGTTTATGAATTGTTTTATTACCTTCCTAACCCTTTTTCAAATACTATCCATTTTTATTATCGTCTTAATCTGTGGCCATTCATTTATTTTTGTTAAAAAAATTGCAAATATCTTTTGGTTAGATAACATTTTAATTGTATCCTTGCAGATCACCTGAATGCTCGAAAAGTATGAGTTCGGAAGGATGTGTTCTCCACGTTTTCGCCACAGGAGAGGCCCTCCGGCAAGAACATGAGCAGCAATTACTCTCAGTCCGGCCAAACAATTAAATTATATGAAACAGACTTTTAAATAAATAAACAGACTTTTATTACTTAATAAAGAATGGAAGAGAATAGAATGATAAGAAAAGACGCGACAAGAGAATAAGCGGAGGAAGGCTCCCGTTCGCGGGGAGTGTCATCATTAAAGTCATCATCGGGATCTCGAGGCCGGACTGGACGGCCGTGGGAAGAATAGGCCTGGGATTCGGGAGCGACTTTGATGACATGGCCAAAGTATTGACCAATATCTTCGTTTGCGGTGTTGCAATTGTGCCCTCTGCAACAACAGATTCGATCGATCCCAGCCTCTTCCAAAACCTCAACAACTTGGCGCTGAATTTCCGGATTGGAAGCATCTGAATGCTCGGTATGTTTGTCAATGCATTTGGAGCGCTGATGGGTGTGTGGACACTCGAATTGGAAGTTTGCTAAACATTATTTTTGTGGATCATGCATGGCCTCTTACCCAGTTTCCCCAGTTTTGATACACACATATATTCATCTTTATTGGACTCGGCCCAACGCACCAATGCACATCCCTCGCTATTACAGTATCCTATCTTGGCTGGAAGAGAATATTGTTCAAGGTTACAAAAGTGCAGTTCAAAAATTTAAATTATGTCAAAAAGGCAGAACTTACAATGTCCGTGGTATCCTTGATGACATCTGTGAGCTGTACTAATCGCCAGAACAAAGAGGAGAAAAACAATTACACAATCAGGGGAATTCATCGCTTCGAAATGACCAAACCTTTCAAGAAGCCACTTTTAAAGCCTTCAGGGCAAAAGGCTTTTATTCTGATTCAGAGCGATTCAAAAAAAAAATTCTGAGCCAATGTCTATTGTAACACCGGCCTTTCGTTAATTTAATCAGATGATGATACTACTTTCCTTTATTTTATTATAACGCCTAACAATCGAACAAGACAACATAACAATTCTAATTGGCGGTTGATTCATCCACGGAATCTTCTGTCTTCTCCGCCTTGTATAATGAAAATAACTTGGCAACCTGATAGAGATCGAGACGAGGCTGGGCGTCTACGATTAATTTTCGGGCATACTCGAGAGTGTAAGTCATATTACAGGTAATAACACCAACAATTCTCTCCTTCTCATCCAGGTAGAAGCAGATCCACCGAGGGAAACTCTCCTTGTCCTAAAAACAATCCACTATTCCCATGTCGTCACTTACATCAGACCTGAAGACAACGGTGTTTAACTTTGGGTCAGTTATTCCCACCCCTTCCAAGAACAAAGTCTCTCCAACTCGAGATCTGAATGATGCCCTTCTGGGTAGAACCTTCCTTCCTCCACTCATATTCTCCCCTGCACATCTCCCAGTGATCTCGGCATGTTCAATTTGTTGTTTTCTCATCCTTCCCAAGACGGGGTCATAGAAAGAGACCACATCTCCCGCGGCGTAGATGTCCTTTCTCACCATCAACTCAGAGTTCGCGAGAATCCCTTGATTCACATTATCCACCTCTAGCCTCGATTTCTCGGCAATCTCCACATTCGGTTTCCACGAATGACCATCAACAACATAATCAACAACAACGGTCACTGTGCCCCGGTCAGTGTTCAACTTGAGGTATACCATCCCATTGGGAAGTTTCTTGGCAGATTCCACTTTCACATTCCTTATCACCCTGACCCCAGCAGATTCGATGCCTGACAAACACTCTTCAGCCAATTTGGGAGGTAATACCTTGGACAGACAAAAACTTTCTGGCACTAATTGAACAACTTCAACATCCTCCGAAAAATGTTTGATGGAAAAAGACAATTCTGTTCCCAACAAACCACCATCTAGAACGGCCACTTTGGTTCCCGGTTTTAAGGCTTTCCTTAGGGTGATGTAGTCTTCTATCTAGATCAAACGTCAAGAAATCAGTTATTAATCTTACATTCTTGAAGCTAAAAACCTTTCCTTCGAGTTCATCTTTATCAAACGGCGCCGAAACAACAGGAGAAGCACCTAAAAACTTGGGAAAATTAAAAGCATTGCTTACCTGTCGCAATCAGACATTTATCGTAATAAATCTCTTTCCCGTTGGCCAGATACACAATCTTCTTGTCAGCATCGATTCTGGTGACCTTCGTTTTCCTCATTAATCCCACACATCCGTGTTCAAAGTCTTTCATTTTCTCTGGCTCAATGTAAAACCCTTCAGCTTCATATCCAATGTGTTTCTTGCGTCCTTTATAACCGATGTATTCAAGAGATTCCGGGTCATCTGGGTTTGCATTATGCCACCAGAGATCTAACCAGAAATTTTTATCAAAGCAATTATTGCAAACTTGCCTTTAGATAGGGCAGGCCGATTGTAGGAGGAATGGACCTCATCTCCAATGATCAACACCTTGGCGTCAGGATCTCTTGCGCGAATTGTTAAAGCAGCAAAGTATGAAGCCGTGCCTCCCCCAATCAGAACATAAGGAATCACGCCAGAACTCTTGTCCTAAAGATGCAGGACATCAGAAAGGAGCTAAACATACCTTAGATTCCGCAAAAGCCACCCTTGGTCGAGAAATGCACGCCTTCCTAAAGTCTAGAAAAAGATATATCGAAAATAATAGAACACAACATACCCAAGTCTTGGTTCAGACAAATTTCTGTTAACCCTACGGCCCCAACGCCTACAAACACTTTATTTATGAAAGACTTCCGCATTTTTGTATTTGAAACAGCGGACAAAAATAAAAATAATATTTTGAGATAATTCAATCCCCGAGCTGCGCCCAGAGTTTCCGCAGGTTACGAGTAGAATTATTATACGACCAAAAAGTAAAATACCGTAATCCTTGCGGAATTTTTAGTTAGCTCCATACATTGCAAATCACAAAATAATTTTAATTTTTTTACATCAATCAAGTAAACAACCACTGAATTAAATAAACTACCTTCTATGTGAATGTATGCACAACAGGAGTGTTTTACTGTTTGCCATTACGGTTCCATGCAATTTAATACATGATTATAGGAAAAATGAAAGTATTTGTCATTGTGGGAATGGTTGTCGCAATAATATAATAACATTTATCTTCCGTTCGGTCATTCGGCGACTCCACGGGCGCTCGCGTGTTGTTCATCTTGAAGGAAAACATGACTGAATTTCGCTCTTCTTTGCCTCTTAAACAAGTTCCTTGATGCGATTTGACGGATTCTCGGGATCTTAACTGGTTTGGGAGTTGATGAGAAGCGGCTGAACAGAACGCCCGCAGATGCCGTTCAGAGCGCAACCTGAGGGTGGAGGGTGATACCTCCGGGAAGGGAAGGATGAGCCCTTCCCATCATTTGTAGCGCCCTTTATGCAACCAGTTCAATGCATACAATAGGCTTCTTTTCAATGTCCTGTTGCGTCATGGGGGGACGTCTGGAGGTGGGAACTGGTCACACCAAGGCAGATCTACAAGGGTCAATTACAGAAGTCGAAGTTGTCTCGAACTCCGTTTTCGTTTTTACTTTCGTTCGGTCGCGGAGATTGCCCCAGATCGGGGCTAAGCGGCTCCGGTGACCGACGTGAAGTCGGGTTGTTTGCTGGGGTCGCGGCAGGTCATTTCTAACGTTGCTCTTTGCAGAATGCGTTTGCTTTTAATAGTAGCCCTGTTCTGTGGGTCCGCAGATGCCCAGGTGGTTAATGTGACCATCTTCACCGAATCCCAATGTCCATTTTGCACCAGACTTCTCCGAGAGCAGATTTGGCCATTCCATGCGACTCGGCCAGGAATTATGAATCTCCAAGTGAGTGATTAAACACTACTACTTTACCTTCCAGATTATTCCATTTGGAAAAGGTAACTGTGAATATACTTATGACAGACAACTGTCTTGTGCTTGTATGCATGGACCCACAGAATGTGATCTAAACAGGCTACAGAACTGTGCGATCTCTGTAAGTCACTACCATGACACATTGAACTGATCTTTTTAGTACTTCCCTCGTCGTCATCTGGGTTTGGTTACTTGCATCCAAGGTCTGGCTAATCTGGAGGAGGCCTTCACTCGATGTTTGAGTCGGCTGAGTCCTAAAAGTCAACAAAGGTTGATGGATTGTGCTCGAACACAGACCGGGGAAGTACTTAATTATTACTCCATGGTAAACACCCATCGAGCAGGTGTTCGTATCTGGCCCACTGCTTATGTAAATGGCCGTTTCTTCGATCGGAGTTACCCCATGGAAACAGAAATTTGCCGGCACACGGACTATTGTTAACAACCTGCATTACTGCCACCATCATTCTATACAAGTACCGTAATCTTCCTCTTTACTGTGCTATTGTTAACTCGTGTTGAACTGCCATTTCTGAGTGCAATATGTGTACTATTACTCTCTGTAAATAAAGGAATAAAGTTATTATGTAAGGGTGAGGTAATCTTTCTCTTTCTACGTCTCTGCGGTCATCCAGAAGCGCGGTTCCGGACAATTAACATAATGAAAAGGAAGATCTAGTTTTGATCGAAGCCCGTGTGCGACAACTACCTTTAATTGGGGACCCGCAAACGCCTTATAAACCAAGGCTAATGCAGACTTAAGAAAGTTAGTCATGCTCAGGCTGTGGGCGCTTCTCGCCGTGAGTGTCGTGCTCCCGGGTCAAGCTGTAAGTGTTTGCTTTTACTGTAATTAAATATTACTCATGACTCTAGTGTGTATCTTCGGGGGTCTGTGGAGGAAGTTCTTGTTACACTCCACCTCCAGTGCAATGCAATCCCAGCAGTTGTCAACCCGGATACTCATGCGGCCATTACGGCTGTGCCAGAAATAGAGCCCGTTCGTCGTTGACTCAAAAGGTAAACAACGAGTAAACTGGGTCATCTATTCGAGTTCAGAATGGTATCGTCGTTCCAGTCGAGGTATTTGTCAATCAAACCGTTCCCACTCGTAACATCTTTGGAGTTGAAAGACACAAATTTGTCACTCCAGAAAACAAAATAGATCAAAAGAAATACGATCAGCTTACGGTAAGAGTAAAAGTTTCGTATCATCATAATCCATTTCAATGCCGTTTAGAACCCTAACTACTTGTTCCGTCAATGTTGTGAAGATCGTCGACTTCCAGACGCCTGTCTTCATAAATGCCACTTTAATGTATTCAGTAAAAATGTCGTAAGTATTCCGTTCCAATTTCTGCTATATGAATATTTGCAGTTACAATCTATGTTCTTTAAAAACGATCCATGTCCGATTGAAGCAGCTGCTGATATTCAATATTGTGCAGCCCAAGGGAGAGATCATCGAGAATGTTGTCATGTAAATGGAGTTCAGGGTACCTTGGCTGGGGAGAAATGTTTGACTTTCTGTGATCAGAGACCGGACAAAGTAGTACAGTTAGACTACTCGTTCCTCCCATGTTACGACCGATTTGAAACCATTAAGAGATGTTTCTATGACGAAATCAAGAACCGAATGGAAGAAAAGCTGGCTCCACATCTGGAAAAGAACTGAGCAACAATACTATTGGCCCCTTTTACAAACATGTAACTAAAACGTTAAGGAATAAAAATTCCAGTGATTCAATGAAACCGAACATAAAAATTCTAGCCGAAATAAATCAATCTCGACGCTTTTTAATGACTTTAATTCTACAAAAATAGCTAACAATAAAGTCAGAGTAACTATGTATGTACAAAATATATTAATGCACCCGTGCATTCACTGCTGGGCGAGGCCGGTTGTAGAACGTGTAGAGAATGAATACTACCGTCAGCATTGTCAACATCACAACTCCTTTAGTATCCGTATATTGAGGGAAGTAGAGAACGACGAACCAGATGGATGCAAATTTAACTAAAATAATCGACAACATAAAAGTTCACTGATCTATCTTCGTAAACTAACAGGGGAAGTACCCCAAGTGCGACGCTCAGATTTTGATGAAACTTGGTACAAATTTAGAATAATTTTCTCTAAGATATATGCGAGAATCCTAGCTTGAGCTTTTCAGAAACAACCGAGATTTTTAGATCGAAAGTCGGCGAAAATTTAGGACTTTTTGCAGAATTTCGGCACGAAAAGTTTCATACCTATTTCTGCCGTAAAGGATAATGTTTCTACAAAAAATCAAATTTTTCCGCACGAAACTGCCGAAGTTATGGCCAAAAAGCATTTTTCTCTCTGACCGCTCTCCACGTTTAGCGTGCTCTCTCGGCGGCATAAATCGTCCGATATTTCGACGGCGCCTGCAAAGCGCGAGCTAAAACTTTCAGGAATTGATATTTAGTCTATTCCCGACGTGTTTGCAAAATTTAAAGAAAATCTGAGCGTCGCACTTGGGGTACTTCCCTTGTAAAATTAAACTTACAAGTGAACAACAGTGTGAAAAGGATACCCAGATTGAATCTGTTCATGAACATATCATCTACATTCTGATTCTGGACAACAGAAAAGTCGACAAATAACCGAATGATAGCTAAAAGAGCCCTTCTGAATTTATTTATTTGCCGTTGACCCCAAGCGGTATCGGCTTCTGCATCAACTTGTTCTACACCCTGAATCCATCGAAGAGTTGCAGAGAAGCCATAAAACATCATAAACGGTAACATGTCGGCGAAGTAAATCGAGACACGGAGAACTCGATTCATCCAATTTTCATTTGCCATATTTGTGACTAAAATAAGATCTCCGTATTTTTCTTCCTTACATATTGGGCGACTAGGTATACTTTCAAATCCAAAATGTCCTGCCCGTTGCTGCGATCTATTAGTACTTTCAGTGTTGTTATAAACAGTGTCTTGCACATAAGGGCGATTCCCAACATGGCAATGAATCACACAATCGTTATGAACACCGTAAGAACCCAGCGACCGACTGTCATCACGGAGTAATTGTCCCTTGTATATCAGTCTGACAACCTTTCCATCGGCCACTTGCAAAGAGAAATGTGTTCTAAACCATAATATAAAACCTTCAAATCCATACTCACTTTTTAAATTCATCGATTGTAGTAAGCAGATTGCACCTAACTATCTTTTCAGTATCATCCATAAACTTTAATTTTACCGTAGTATTAGCCTCCAATGGTTCAACCTCTTCAGCCACAGGTGATTCCGTAATTCCTGCAATACTGCGTAACACGGCGGCCAAAGTCACCTACCTCGGTCTTCCTCATTCTCTCCTGAATTAATTATCAAATTTGTTCCCTCGTCCGTACTCTCGACAGGCATCGCGTCAAGATGATTGTTGTTTTCCAAACTTGTGTTATCCAAATTTACTGTCTAAAAAAATAATTTTAAAAAAGAAAAAAGCAACTCACGTCGGCCGACCTTATTTCCGACAACAGATTAGAAATAAATAAATGGTTCTCACTGCTGAGCCGTCTCGCCACCGGTCGAAACAAAGATATTATTGTTGCTGCGGCTGCTGAAGCGTCGGTGTTTCTGTGCAGAATTTCGTAGATCTGCGAAATGTGACGCTCCACAGAAAGCGGCAAATTCACAGTTGTGATACTCGGCAACGTAGAGACCCTACTAAAATAAAAATAAATTGGAAAATCCTCACCTGCTTGTCAACCTTGTCGAAGACGGAGATAAAACAACAAGAGCGTTCACGCTCTCACTATTGTCAGAGTTTGGTCGATTGGATAGAAATGACACCAAATCCTCTATTTGTATCCTTTCGTTGTCTGCACTAACGATCTGCAACGGCTCAATAAGAAAACGACAAAATTATTTTACCCAAAAAAGTAGAAACACTTACTCTAACAACGCGTCCAGTTTCACTCCTGTGCATAGAAACAAGGTGCCCACGATACACCAATGGCGGTCGTCTTGATATTAACCACGCTCCATAGATGAGAGAAGCGGCCAATACAATAAGGAAGTAAGTTATTATCTAAACTGGTATAATAAAAGCAAAGCGAACTTACATATTCCTCATATACGATATACTCTCTACCAGCAAAATTGCTAATTAACTGCATATAGCAGGAAACAGGTTGTAGTGAACCAGTATTAAACCACAGAAACCGTCTCGCCCAGCGAAATTGATGTCCAAAAATAAAGTTATCGAATTTCAATGGAATGAACAAGTTACGGATGAAATCATGAACTGCCGAATACAAGGCACGGTTCTGATCAATTATTATCTAAAATCTATTGTTGAAAATTATAATTCTGTCGAATAAACCCGTGATCATATGATGATATCATGACATATTTTCTGTATTTTATTCTTCAATAGGGTCTCAGAGCGAAAAATTTCTTTTTGCGTTCCGCAATATGTGACAAAGACAAATCTTTAGACTTTTCTTGTAGATCTATAGATTAATTTACGACATGCCTGGTCCTCCTCCTCCGCCGCCTCCGCCACCGCCGTCTCTGGGTCCAAAACCTGTTTCAAAACCTTCATCTGCTCCTTCAGCTACTGCAGGGAGATCGGCCTTGCTCTCCGATATCCAAAAAGGAACAAGGCTCAAAAAAACTGTCACCAATGATCGATCAGCACCGATTGTCGGTGGAAAGACGGCAAATGCTCAACGGGAAGAGCCCGCAAACCCTTCAGGGGGGAATGATGTTAAGCCGAAAATGGCCACCGCTGGATTAGGCGCTCTGTTTGCTAATGGAGTTCCACGAAGACCAAGTGAAGCCAAGGCTATGAAAGCTGCTGGTATGTTTATCTATTTTATGCATTTATGTTGTTAGTGTTTCCTGACGGGCAAGAAATTTTAGTTACGTCTGCTCCAACTCCGACTCGTGGTCCCGAACCTCCATCAATGAATAAACCTACGCCTCCAAAACTGCCGGGGTAGGTTGACAGTTTCTTATGTATATTTACAATTTAGTGCTTCTTCTACGCCAGCAGCTCCAGCGCCACCTTCAAGTAGGCTGAAGCCTGTGATCGCAAACAGCGCTCCAGTTCCTCCACTGCCAAAACCCGAACCCAAAGCCCCGACCACACCCATATCACACATTCCCACTTCATTTCCGGCCATCCAGCACCAATCGCCAGTCCAATTTCGATCAAATGCTGAGGTGAAATCTTCAGAGGTGAGTTTTCATCCATATATTTATATATAGCTATATATTGTATATATTTTTTTGGATAACGTGTTTATTTAAGGCTTCTCGTCCTATTCACCGACCCGGAGCTCCACCCCCTCCACCTCCAAAAGTCCCACCAAGCAATAATCATGCTCCGAGAGCTACTCCTTTCCATGAGGCGAATCCTTTACCTGTTCGGCCCGCGCCACCAGTCCCGAAGAGTACTCCTGTTGAAGCAAAGGATGCTCCTCCTCCACCACCACCGCCCAGAATAGCATCTTTCATCGACTCAAATGAACATCGGTTCCATTTCATTCCCATACACGACCTTCCCCCGCCACAGATGTTCACTGGGTTCCATAAAGAATACCAAAATAACTATCGTCCTTCGCCAACTGCTTCATACTAAGCGCCTTGAAGTACATTTATCGTATCATTCCCGGTATATGTTGTAAACTTGTAAATATATATTTAAGATTGGATAAATCTGTCGTCAACTGAATCTTTAACATTTTTTTAAAGAAACATTTTTCCGGTGTTTTGAGGAAAGGGCAGTGATGGCTCAACGGAGGGACCTCACCTCTCGTCTTGTGGCGTTCAACTTTTCCGTAGACAGAGCTTTGCTGTTTTTGCAAGGGCTAAACGGAGCTGTATTTTCCTCCTGCCAACAAGATTCGAAAAAAATCTGGATACTTATGTTCATTTAGTCACAAACTTTTTTTGTTTTACAATCCCCATAGAGAGAAAAATGTCCGCAGAAAAAAAAAATTATCGGCGAAAAGGAATATTTTTCGTGCCCATTTTTGTGTCTCTGTAAAGCTGCATCGATCTCCAAATTTTAACTATTTCTGCATTCGTAAATTGGGTTATACCGCTGCGGACCTCGAGCCGTCTTATCGATTTTTATGAAAATTTCGTGTTTTTAAAACTGTTGTTTTATGAGATCGATACTTGTAAAAAATTGGGAAGAGTAACCTTATATTTCGTAAATTTATAATTCCAGGTTAGTATTATGACGGATTTCGACGGGAAATCTGACAAGATAAAGTCAAAATGGTCATGTGGTTTATGTACGTACAATAACATTGCTGGACAGTTGAACTGCGAATTATGTGGAACTCCACGATTTGGACCGAAGGTGGCCGAATCTGCCATTCAGAAGCAAGCCGAGTTGCTGTCGATAAAATGGACTTGCTCAACTTGTACTTTTGCCAACATTGAAAGTGCTGATAAGTGCGCAAAATGTGAAAATTCTAGACCATCGGGATCGGCAACAAGTCAACAGAAAAGTGCGCCTGAGATTACGGAAGTTCCAATAATTGAGAATGATGATTACTTGAACACTGTCCATTTTAATTCAGGTGTGTAATGTTATTACTCACCCATTAGTTTCTTCAAAACTTAATTTTTAAACTTTTTTAGAGATAGCTTCAAGTTCTGAGATAAAATGGAAGTGCCTTCGGTGCACTTATCTGAATTTCCCGAATGCTATGAAATGCACAATGTGTTCATGTTCAATCCCAAAGAGTAGTAAGCGTGAGTGTATATACTATAGTTTTGTTTATTTTACGTTTAGTTGTACATACAAAAAAATTTTTAGTAAGATCATCCGGTGTTCAGAAGCCGCTAAGAATATCAAAGGATTTGATCAAGTCCCACACATCCCCGGTCGTAGAAGCTCTGGCCACAAAAAGAAATCAGTTCTTGGTAACCGGCTGTCTTTCGAGATATATCAATTTTTATACTGGGCATGCCCTGAGGGAGGATCTTTTCTTTCGTTCGATTGGAGCCCTTGCCAAGTCCCCTCAAGTCGCGCTTGACGAAATTGTAAACTATTTGGTTAACGATGGGAATGTAAAGAGGGCCTTGAATTACTTTGAAGTAAGTCGGTAAAAAAATTGCCGTTTATTGTTTAGCATCTGGTAGTGTTGTCTTTTGCCCCAGAGTTACACGTACTGCCAGGTGATGACCTACTTGCGATAGCTAAGAAAGCAGGACATTCAGAAGTTGTAAAGATGCTGACGAGAGCTCTGAACGAGACAGACAACATGCCCTGTGCTGCGGCTGGTCCTTCGTCCGAGTTATTTTGTCGTATCAACCACATTTTCCACTTTTGTAGACCGCCATATAACCTTCCTTTTCGACCATATAATTTCAATATATTTAGACGTGAGTTTAATTAGAGCATAACAGGTTGTACCGTTCCTCCAATAGCTAATCTTTCATGTTTTAGTGCCTTTTCCGAAGAATGACTTCACCAAAAGTCTTCTACAGGAGATGTTGGAGAACAAGTTTGATCCCATCATGAGGCAATCCCTTCTTCGCTATGTTCAGATAGTTCCCAGCAAGACCCAGGACGTCAGACTGTCTACCATTATGAGTTGTCCTTCTACTTTATTAATGAAGAACCGTGGGGGAAACGAGAGTTTCTTCGATGCCATTCTTCAATCCATGTTTGGTGTTTGTGATCGGTACAGAGCATTGAAAACTCAGCTCCATGATCATATAATCAGCTATGCCTCAAGATATGAAACAATCTATAAAATGCAGTGTCTGGAAATGTCAACAAAGGTGGGATTGTCCATGACGAATGATGACATCGATGAAATGTGGCAGCATAATATGATTATTAACGAAGAACGACAAGTAGAAGCTGTGAGTTTTTATAAAAGTATTTATTTAAAACCACATTGTAGATCCATATATTTGCGCTTTCCCATTTACTTCAAAGGCCAATTATCATACTTCCGGTGTCGCCGATTGTGAATAACTCCAAGAGACCGGCCAATCTCCTCAGTATGGCCACCTCCAGGTCAAGTGCATATCATTTTTTGGAAGGATTCTATGTACCCGTTTTCCTCGAGACTGAGGTCGTTTCTCGATCGCCTTTATGTCTGATCCATGATAACGGAATGTTCTACAGTTGGATTACCAACGACGGTATGTCCTTTTCTGAAAGCTGGCACTTTGCATGTTTCTAGATGATTCAAATGCCACCCAGAACTTTGTCATCGTGAATTATCTCCGGACCCAATTTCACTCATTGTTCAGATTTGTCGATGAGAGTCACGAAAAGAGAGCTCGCTCTTTTCTTTCTCTTGTTCAACTTACACCTTGCAGTGTTGCGGTCAGATTGAACAGCCACGAATGTCTAGAAGAGGCCACCAATTTTTATTGTAAGTTTATTTTGATACTTACAGATTGCTTTAATTTTAGATGAATATTTTATGGCTGCCGAAAGAAGTCTTCAAGAGCAAAGAAGTGTAAAAGTTGTGGATGTAATTCATCGGATGAATCTATCAAATGACTGTAATCTAAGCATTACCAAAATGTTTTCATCCAGTGCAAAACGGATGTTGTCGCACAGATTTCCATATAATTATGTAAGTGTTACTTTGTCTATTCGTTAAATTTACATGTTATATCTTCAGGATTCTGGCAGTTCGAGTGAAGCGGACAGTGAGGATGAGGAAGATGAAACGGCCACCAAGATGGCCAAGGTCTCTAACTGCCCGAATTAACTCGGTTCAATCCGGCTGTCGGTCAAATCCTTCCATTCGTGCGACTTATCCTGACGTGTCTTATGTCCGATGTGGAATACGAGGTTCAACATGTATATACCCCTTGTTCTGTAATTGACCTTTATATTTTTCGTTATCTAATGGAAGTAAATGTAAACTTTTAAATATGTACTTTTAAGTGTAAACTTTTTAAATCGAAGGGAGACTGAATATGCACTGACTAAATATGAACTGGGGTGCTGACTGAATATGAAGGACCGAATATGAACTGACTGAATATGAAAACCGGGTTTCTGTTACTGTTATTACCTAGGTTCCGATTAAGGACTCCTTTTGAAATTTTTTCGACTTATAACACCTTTAGGCGTTAATGGTGTTGGTTTGGTGCCTAGTACTGCTTAAAAAAAAACATTTTTAACACTTGGTGCAAAATAGTATTACCTGGTACTATTTAGTACGAGGAGAAAATTTGGCCGGTAATGGTGTTGGTTTGGTGCTTAGTACAGCCCAAAAACACACTTGGTACTCTATAGTACCAATTGGTACTATTTAGTACGAGGTAAAAATTTGGGCGTAATGCGGTAATGGTGTTGGTTTGGTTCTTAGTACAGCCCAAAAACACATTTATAGCACTTGGTACTATATAGTCCTTGAAATAGACCAAACTTACCAAATTTCATATTCAGTCAGCACCACAGTTCATATTCAGTCCATTTCATATTCAGTCCTTCATATTCGGTCAGTTCATATAATTAAGCAAAAATTCGGCTAGCCTCAACTTGGGGCAGATTTCGAATTTATTTTCAGTGTTTCATTTGGGGATTTGGGGGACCTGGAATCGCCTACAAAAACTAATCAAAACGGTGTAATGGGTGTCAAAGGGCAGGAATGACAACCAAACTTTTAAACTGCTAGCAAAAACTGGTTGGCTAGCCAAAGTGTCAGAACGAAAAGTAGCCGAATATTTGCTTAATTTTCAACGTGTTGGCAACATCCTTCCCTTTTTTCAACGTCAACTCTGTCAGTTTGCACTTTAAAATTTTGTTATTTCGTAAGCAAAAAATAATGTCGCTGAAATATACATGTTCCAAAAACCAAGTCTTTGCGCCGCCTCCGCCGAAAGTTATAGTCCACGGGCGGTAGTTCACGCGGAAATTTGTGGCAATTCCGCTTGTATGAGGGAGGCCAGCCATACCTTGTACCCTGCATCCTGCTACCCCACGCAAACGCTTGCGTTACTCTCAGAATTTATAACGTTACGTATTCCGAAACTTCAACAATTGATCCTACCGGCATTGAAATGTGGCTGTTCGATTCCTTACAAGGGAATGGTTTGAACTGTCCGTGAGCTTTCAACATGAGACCCTCAAATTCTGAAAGAGCGTACAAAATTTAGTAGGAATCCGTTTTCCATTTTTGCCGAATGGTCTTGGGAGACGAGAAATATCGACAGAACGATCCGACAAAAAATCGAGAGAGAGAGAAAAGACGAACCGAAAGGCCCAGAGAAGCGTCACCAAATAGTATAGTGGAAAAAGTTCCACGCACGAAACTTTTGGCAGAGGGAGGCCTTGGGGGTTCGAGTCCACCCGGAGCGGATATCGTCGGCTTGGATCTACGTGTCGTAAGTGTATTCGACAGCTATGTAAAGATTCTTTTTTTCATTTATTCGAGTGTTTTACAGTTCTTGTTGCAAAATTATGCTTTTTCTATCGACCGAATGGCCTTGGGAGAAGAGTTCCGGCCGTTTTTTATCGACCAGGTTACAACATGCTTACGTTACAGTAATCTGTGAAAGTTAACTTTCAAAAAATTGAGTACACAATGGCCATAAAGATACATACGCAAAATTTTGGCTCATTATCCCTTTCTATGATGCCGTCAGACACAAAATTCCAAAAAAGACAAATTTGTGAAAATTTATACCTTCAAGGAAGAATTTGGGAAAAATATTTTGGGCGTTTGTTAAACACATGTCCACGGTCGTATTAAACTAAAAAACTCAAAATCGATTTTTTTCGTAAATATGCCTTGTTGGACCACACGCTGATGCAATGACCCAAAAAATTTCTTTTGAACTTTTCTTGCAAAGCTTTAAAGAAAGGAGAAAATTTGGCAAGATTTTTCCCTGGAAACTCGAAAAATTCCGCAAGAGCCATACAACCTTTCAGAACCGAGTATAAATGTCTTGCAAACACCAGTGTGTCGACATCTGGCATCATCGAAAATGCAGCCAAGTTGTCAAGTCTTCTTGAAATTTCGAAAAAAATCTGTAAAACACTCGAATAAATGAAAAAAGAATCTTTACATAGCTGTCGAATACACTTTCGACACGTAGATCCAAGCCGACGATGTCCGCTCCGGGTGGACTCGAACCTCCAAGGCCGCCCTCTGCCAAAAGTATTGTGCGTGGAACTTTTTCCACTACACTATTTGGTTACGCTTCTCTGGGCCTTTCGGTTCGTCTTTTCTCTCTCGATTTTTTTGTCGGATCTTTCTGTCGATATTTCTCGTCTCACAAGACCATTCGGCAAAAATAGAAAACGGATTCCTACTAAATTTTGTACGCTCTTTCAGAATTTGAGGGTCTCATGTTGAAAGCTCACGGACAGTTCAAACCATTCCCTTGTTAGTCCCAAACTGGATGAACTCAGGGGTTGAACCATACTGCTCTTCTCTTGTGGCACCAAGAGAAAACACTCCATTAGAATACACCACGATGTATGATACTGGTCCTCCTTCCACTGCTCTTCTTGCACCCCTTGTCTCTGTACCAATCATCTTATGAAGCGGTGCATTCGGCAGTGCCGAATACACCTGTCGCATGCGCGGTACATCCAGCCGTCTTCCACTGAATGTCGGTTCTCTCATCGTGTCCATTGTGGACCTTGTAAACACTGGTAGGCCAGTCATGAGCATTGGCGCATTCGCCATCACATGGATTCTTTCCTCAAGGTCCTCCACACTTGCTTGCAAGGACCCAACTGTACCCTGTAGCTCCCGGATGATCTCCAAATATTCAGCGATTTCTCTATCTCGTTCCTCCAAACGGAGTTGATAGTCAGCCAACCTGATTTGCTGTTCTTCAAAAATCTCCATCTGCATCCTTCCGGCCTCTTCATCATTGGGTTCTTGATCCTCATCCTCCATGCGTACCACCGGCTCCTGTGGATCTCGAGATTTTCGGTGCACAAAAAAGTGGACGCCCAAATCGAAAAATTGGCGTCGACTTAATTTTTTCAGCACCGAATTCCAAAATGCGGTGTCTTCGGTGAAGACTTAAGACTTTGTGCACTGATTTCGAAAAACAGAAAATTTTACCGGATTTCAGAATTCGGCCTTTATATTCATCGGTCTTTGCGGTCAAGAGAGTTGGCGAAATACGGAGAGCGGTCCGAGAGAAAAAAATTTTTGGCCACATTTTGACAGTTTGGCGCGGAGAGAAATGATTTTTCGTGGAAGCATTACCCTCTACTGTAGAAACTGGTATGAAGCCTTCCGTGCCACAAAATCCATAAAAACTTTTTATTTTTGCCAACTTTCGACCTAAAAATCTTGGTCGTTTCTGCAAAGCGGAGCTAGGCGGCTAATATATTCCCTATAAAATAATTATTTATATTTTAAATTTTTGACCAATTTCATCAAAATCACTTGGGTTACCTCCCCTGCAAGGTAACAATTCGTTTCCATGGACACCACCATGGAAATACTTCGTCGGTCTTCGTTATTTTATACGTATGAGTCTCTTGACAAATGTTAAACGACGGGTTTCTGGACTTCTGAAATCATCCCAATCGGAAGTTGCGGAACCCAAGATCTCGCCAGAAGAAAGGCCTGATGAGCAAAAATTAGAAGAGGCGAAGGAAGAGAACCCAAAACAGGAATCTGTATTCTCGGACGCCGTCTCAGATTCAATTGTTCCGGAAGAACCAACTCCAAGTAACCTCCGAGATGACGTATACATCCAGAGTAGACGTAAGTTACTGTAGGTTTGATTGGAGCTCTAATTAAAGGGAGTTTTAAAAGAACCACGAATGAGGCCCTCAGGTTAAGCACAATAATTGGAGAGGTTTCCCCGGACAAAGATATCCGGTATTATTCATCTGTGTATACGGCCATCAAACTGCAAGATATCTTTCACAAGATTGTCGTCCTTCTTCTGGGATGTCTGGCAGGTGTTACAATTTATCATACGGTGATTGCCTTCTTCATAATTGTTGATGAGAAGACGGTACTAGCATATCAACAAGTTGGGGCGCATGTCCAGGCTGCATGTTATTTTAGTTTCTCTTTGTTTGTCATCAGATGTCTCGACATGTAAGTTTTCACGTTGGATTTTAAATATTAATATATAATATGTATAGCATAATTTATATTAGAAAATCTTCAAATTAATTTAGGATAGAATCAGGAAATGGATTTAAAAACACCATGAAAAAGTTGGTATCGATGCAAAAAGACATCCTGGTTTTTATCATTGCCATGATTGGCTTTGTGTGCTCTACCTTGATGACCAGATACGAAGAAGAAAACATATTAAAAGATAGGCAATCTTTGATGACTTGGAGATGGTTGAGCGCTGGCCGAGCAGTTACAGCTCTGATTGGATGGCTAATGATCTCCCTTCAACGGGGATCTGATTGTACCCAACAACGGCTGATTGCAATTACGGTATGTTTCTGGGACTCGTATTTAATTATCTGCGAATAGAGAGAATACCAAGAAAAACAAGAGAAGATGTTGGAGAGTAGTCATGAAAGAGCACTATCATCACTCACCAACTCCCGCTTCGACCTCTCCCAAGACTTTGACAATCCAACTCACAACGTTTAAACACTGAGCTTTGCGACAAACTAAATAAATTCTCTTTTCCTCAGGGAATGAATCTTCTCACTTATAAGTACATAAAACTTTAATGATCTCAGAGGGAAATGGATGCGTTTCCGGGGAGGGGGTCGGCTTCTCTGATACGGAAATCAGGGCCACCGGCGGTTTCACTTTGCCTAATGGACAAAAGTTTTGGATAGATTCGTCTTGGGAGTTGCAATCGATGATAGAATTGTCCTTAATGAAAGTGTATGGTAGGCCTCCCATCCCGGGGATCTCTTGAGAACATAGTCATCCTCTTTTATTCTCACTTGAACAAGTTTTGGTCACGGGCGGAGATTAAGGGGGAAGGGTTTGGCACTTTCCCCAGAATTGCGGAAATTCGCATTTTGGTTGGCGGCCAAACGAGTTGAGTGTGCCTGTGGTAAGTGACGATGGAATGTGGCGACTAAGAGAGAGAATAAGTGGGTTGACACATCTGTCATGTTTACTCTTTGGCGGTTTAAATAATAGGACGGTTAAGCGGTTTGGAGGCTTGAATGCATAATCCGGTGCTGAATTTTGAGTAGTTTCCGGGTATTAAACGCTCATGCTGACTGATTAGAGTCATTCTTTCCGGAGATGGGGACTTGTTTTGAATCCAGGGTTCCCACCAACCTCCATCTCAATAGTCCCTCGGGTAACACGGAATCTGGATATTCGGGCTCTGATTCCGGCGTAAAAAAGGGATGCAAAAAAGTGAAATGGGCGCGTTCAATTGACAGCCTGTGACTTACCACAACGAGGCCAATGGTATGGACAAGTTCAATTCCGGAGGACAGCAAAAAAAGGCCGAGAAAACGGCCAGGGCTGGGTTTGAGGCGGGGCCGAGATTGGACTCATTGTCTTTGGACAAGAAGGCCATCTTCGATCAGTCCCCGCTCCGGCCTAGACTTGCCCATCATGTTCGTTGATCTCATTTTATCTGTCATTCTCCCCTGTTTGTAATAATCTTTGAACTTACAGTATAGCCTGCCCAATGTCCTGATGGAGGAGCCGGACTATGGGTTCGAGCTACAGCCCACTATTTATCCATCGCATTGTTCTGCAGTAAACAACACCGCCTTCGCTAATGTAGAATTCCTTCATTCGTATAGTATCATTTCATGGCCGAACTTCACGAATTGTCTCCCCAATTGTGGAATGTGTACCAATTTTGCATCGGACCAGATGTATTTGATCTACAACTTCTTTGTGATAGGCTTCATCTTGCCTCTAATCTCATTTTGCGGGATATTTGGAAACGGGTTCTCAGCTTTTGTATACAGTAGACCAGGTAATTAAAATAATAATATAGGATAATACAGTCTATCGGGAAAATAGTGGCGGGTTGTCGCAGCAAAATGTTTCGCCTCGTCGAAGCTTCGGCAGCCGTCGCAACGCGATGAAGCGCGATTCCAAGGCGCGACGACAAGCCACTATTTTCCCGACAGACTGATATGTGATTTCCTATTTTGCATTTTCAGCAATGCGAACATCGACCAATCTGTATCTATGTGCTCTTGGATGCTCAGACAACGCGGTTATAATCACAGCGTTGTTTTTGTTTTTCTTGGACAGCATTCGAAAGTATTCTCTGCAATTAACTATCGGCTACAATGTCTTGTCGCCTTACATTTACCCCGCTGGTATGATTGCCCAAACTTGTTCCGTCTACTTCACGTTGGTTGCTGCTATCGATTGTTTTGCTCAAGTAAATCGAACCTTTTACTTTATGAGTTCCACCACTACTTCGCTTTAGGTATGCTTGCCCGAGTCTTGCAAGAAATTTTTTTCACGCCCAAAGACCGTGACGATCCTGATATGCTCAGTGGCGCTGTTTAGTATCGCCTACAACTTGCCCCATTGTTTCGAGTCAGTTTTGGTAGAATGTTGGCATCCTCAATTTGGTGCCGCTTCCATTGAAGTTTGCCCCGCTCCATTTCGGTTCCATGAAACGTAAATCAAAAAGTTTTGTTATAAATTCATTAATTGTCATTTCCAGATACACCCTTGTATACTACCAGTACATGTATTCGATCTTTTTGGCCATTGGTCCATTGATTTTGTTAATCATTCTGAATACTTGTATCATACTTTCTACAATGGTATTCAAAACAGCTGATTGTGATCCCAGTGATAATATGGCATTGGTAATTTTTTCGTAGAATTAGCCTTAATCTTCAGGACTTTATAAGGCACAAATAATTGGTCACATTTACCGCTTTCTAAGAATAATTAGTTGTAAAACGCGTAAAAGTCAGGCTTTAAAACATAAGAAAATCCAAAATTTGATGGCAGTTCCTGACATTTAAATAAAGAAGATACATGAACTCATGAATAAAAATGCCACTTCGTTTACATATAGACACGTTGGGTGGCAACTCCAAATTAGGCTGACAGGAGAAGTACTCCAAGTGCAACACTCGCCATCAGATTTTGATGAAATTTGGAAGCTTTTCTAACAAACTTTCTAACTTGTAAGGCTTATGCGAGGCTCCTAGCCCGCGCTTTGTAGAAACGACCGAGATTTTTAGGTCGAACGTTGGAAAAAATATGAAACCTTGTCAGCAAAGTTTCATATTATTTCTATTGTTTCCACAAAAAATCAACGTATGACCGCCCTCCTCGTTCCGCGTGCTCTCTCAACTGCATGAATCGTTCAATTTGTTGGCTGTCCCTGCAAGATAGCTAAGATATTCAGAAGTCGATATGTCACCTATGTGGGACGTGTGTGCAAAGTTTAAAAAAACTTTGCCGCCTTGGGGTACTTCCCTTGTGAATTCACTCCACGAAGGATAATGATTCTAATATCCAAAAAAAATCTTATTCATTAATAACAGGAATACCATTGATTTACTAATTTTAGATTCTAGTCGTCCTTTTGTTTATTTCGTGCAATGTCATCGCCCTGCTGATTAATGTATTCGAAAGCAATTTATCAAATGTGCTGCAATGGAGGATCAATTACATCATCGACATCTCAAATCTGCTGGTCGTCTTCAATTCGAGCTTCAATTTTGTTATTTATTATCGCTTCTCCAAGCTTTTCCGTCGCAGTTTCAAGCTCAATATCCTGGGGCGATGCTTCGGGAAGAAGACTGTAATGTTTACTCATTACAACTCTCCCAATCAGAACTTAATGGCTAAGATTGAACCCTCCGGGAATACAATAACTACGTACAGGTATCCAGAACATGAAAGTTTCGAGTCATTAGATGAAAAATTGAAGGCTGCGGCGAATACCGAAGTCTTGATATAAATAAAAGTCATTGCTTGTACTTTGTTGTTTACAGTGTCTTGTTGAAGTGGGACGGCTTACAGGCAGCCCAGACATTTAAAGCTATCCTGACCTTCTAAATTGTTTATCGAATGGTCGAATACCGATGTTTCTCTCCCCAGACAAGACAACGTCCTTTTGTAGCCGGAACTCAAATCGATTCCGCAGAAATCGGGGGTTTCCACATTAGACTCAGGTTTCGTAAGAGTTCAAAAATCGCATAAACAAAGTTCTCAGTTTGGCTTAACCTGAGGTAAATATAGTTTTATGCGGGCTTTCTATTGTGCTCTAATATTGTGTCTGACGAAATTCGAAAGTTTATGACTTGGCGCACTGTGGGACTCACGAATAATTTCAAAAAAGCAACTTTTACGGTTTTTTACAGATGTTGGGCGTGAATTCTTGGGAGGAGTGCGCCAGGAGGTACCATGATAAAAATTTTCGCACCTTGAAAAATACATTGGTCCCCCCTTTACCATTTTTTCATTCGGCTCCGGTCTGCCCGCGTTAGATAAAGAAGTAATGGCCTCAGTTAAAAACATAATAAATTGAATTTCCTTATTCTCATCTTAAAACAAACACTTTTTTATAGAAAAAACGTCTAAACCCATCTATTTACCGACGGCCCAAAAACAAAAACAACGTCGTTCTCCAACTGATCAAGGCCGTTCGGTGTTTGATAGATGTTTTTTTTGCAGGTTTACGGTTTCCTTGCAAACAATATGAGTGGATTCCCTTACTCCATAACATATAACGCACTCGGAAAGGCGCCATTACCGCCTTCTAAGCATTGCCGCATGACTTCGGGTTTTTAATTCCACCCGGCTCGCTCGGTAATTTCTCTCCGAATATAAAAATCGGCGTGCGACTCACCTCAGGAACTCACTCACACGTACAAACTAGACCCCCAAAAAACGAGCGACCCTGGTTGCCGGTACGAAAAAGGAATCGCGCAGGGTACTTCATGATGATGAAGCCATTCACCCAGGTAGGGGAGAAAACAGCCAGCAGCCCCTCCCTCCTCAAAAAGGGGAAATTGTTGTTTTGAGGTCCCCGGGAAAACAATATCACGTCTGCACAAACATACTTTTATTTTTCATTCGTTTTGGACCGATAGATATCAACTTCCACCGCTCTAAATAAATTCTGCGCAAGCTCAGCCCAAATTCTATGTTTACTTAGATTATTTTCCTCGAATCTTCTTCTTCATCTTTTGGACTCAAACGTTAAGCTGTCAAGAATCTGGAAGGGTGGGAGGACACAAGTCCTATTTTTGATGACTTCAGTTTCATGCCGCTTCTGCTCGACATTATCCGGGAAATAATCCGCGCGCTCTTCCACTTCCGTCCGCTATTTCTATTTTGAGCGGCCGATATTTACTCGGCATCTATTTGTTGTTTGTAATGTTGCAATCTACGCTGCTCTCGGCGAGGAGTAGTCATGACGACGGCGCGAAGAAGGTATTGGAGAAAACACGTGAAGAGTGGGACCGAGATTAGTGCCGACTCTTTCCGAAGAGAGACTGACTCTCTTTGACTGTTTCCACAACAAACGCTCGTTCCATTCATCTACTATTCAAAACTTTTTCGGTTGAAATCCAGCGAATGGACATTTTTTAAACCCGCTCAATATTCGTGGCTATTTGGCCGGGGAATGAGTGAGACCGGCATTAGGCCGGTTCGTTCTACTGCCTTTGGGCCGCGCGATTAAAGGCGCAGTTTCAGTGGGGGCTTTTCCCGCATCTCCGAATACTTAATCTTCATGCAATCAAGAAGCTGAAACAGTGGCTTTTCGGGCACTCGCTTCGGTTTCTCATACCAGTCTCGTCTAAGTGCGTAGTTTTTCAATTACGAGGGCACGAACATGCCCCATCTATTCTGTGTTCCTTCCTGACTTCGAAGGGCACTTCACCATGGTCTTCTGTGCCGTAAACAAAGTTGTTTTTCTCTGCCTCCCATTCGGACCATGGTGTCTCCCGAGAAGAAGGGGGAAAGTAAAGCGACCTTCGGCCTATTTTTGGGCCTTCAAACCCTGAGGCAATGGCAAAAAAGAGATTCCATCCCGGGTTCATGTCATTTTATAAATTATTTTTACCTCCATGGGCTGTTTGTTTTTGTTTTTCCCTCAGGGTCTGTGGGTGACACATTTTTGACGGCTTGTTAGACGAAGTTTACGAGTGAGATGTGTCCCCCGGACAATCTTTCGCGGTTTCCTCCTCTTTTACCTGTCCGATCTGGGCGAAATGAAGACCTGAGGCATCGTTTTCCTTGCAGAACCAAGACATTGTTGTCTAAACTCTGGCCTTAAAATGGTTGCCGTTGAATGCTATTCGGTGGCCTAGCCAATTCCGGTTGCCCTCACTGCCAACATCGAAATAATCGACGAAAAAAAGGACAGTGCCAGCAGTGCCATAAGAAGGCACGCTTCTACATCACCCCGACACCGTGCTCTCTTACAGACGACTCTTGTCGAACCACATCCCATTCTTCATCCAGGCCCCATTCTCTGTCACCCTCTGTTCTTTTCCCTCGAGCCAATTCAGCACAATCGTCTCATACTGAAACATGTGAGTCGTGTGCAGTTCTATTCTCCATAGGTTTCATCCATTGTCTTTCTGATTACCATTAATTATTGTAGCCCCAAGACCTCAGAGTGTAACCCAACGTCCGCTAGAGCCCGGGCATTGGCAAATCCTTGGACCGGGAGCCTTAATCAAAGCTTTGGATCAGGTTCAAACCCTTGACATTCTTCACAATCCTTACAGTAATATAAACCAAGATCTTCGCGAAGCGCAATTAATAGGTGCGATTTTTTGGATTGTTTTGACGTGTTTTGTGATTATAATGAATGTAACCAGTAGTAATTTTGGATTGTTTTAGCTGGGATAATGGATGATCCAACCATAGATCCCAACATTGGAACCACGGTGATCAGCACCAACACTGACACCATCCATCGGACTCCGGATAGCCCCTCTATGAATGACTTTTTTTGGTAAGTTATCTTGGCTTATTAAACTTCCTTCAGGGATCCCGTGGGAGATACCAATTATGCCTCAGACACTTTTGACAGCGATCTTTATGATTACGATGACCGCACAAATGCTCGTCTTGGAAGAACGCAAGAAGATCTTCACAAATACAAACAGCGAATAGATGCAAATGTAGAACACCAGCGAGAATACTCTGAGATCATGAATGCGATGCATCAGAAGGTAAGAATAAAGTGCGTCAAACCATAATTGCCGCCTCTTACAGCTTCAAGAGTACCGAAAACATATTGCCAAACTGGAAGGAAAGTTGCACAAACCAATCAGTACAAGTGACGATTCCTCCTTCTTCCCCTTAGGAAGGGGTTATGACATTGGAGTTGGGGCTGGACCCAATGTAAATATTAGCACCGATATCTGGACAGCCGGCGGAGGGGGTGCTGGATATGGAGGAGCACGAGTTGGGGGTGATACCAACCAGAACTTTGATGTCATGATAAGGTTGGATGAGGAGAGACGACGGGCTGATGACTTCCGTATTCAGTTAGAGAATGAAAGACAAAATAATGAACAACTACAGATAGAGATCGACCGAATCCGTCGGGAATACGAGAGAGATGCAAAAGAGAAAGAAAGGCGTTATACTAACAGAGAACGGGTACGTATAATTAAGAAATTTAATGACTACTCTTGCAAAAAATAGATTAAATTAGACATCTGCAGGGCTACTGAAGTAATTAGAATTTTAATTTTTCAGAACCTGGCCCAATACCTCAGTGATGAACAGAAAAAGATGCTAGACCTCTGGACTGAGCTCCAACGAGTTCGCAAACAATTTGGGCAGTTGAAACAACAAACCGAAGAAGACCTGGAAAGACAGCGACAAGACTTTTCCAAGATCTTTCGAAACATTCAAAACTTCACACGAACAAGTGGAGGAGGAGCAGACCCTCTAACCACAAGCATTCATCTTGGAGATGGTGGAACCACATACAATCTGGACTCTGTAATCCAGGAGACCATCAGAAGAGTGGGCAATAGAGGAGCAACCTCCCCATACATTGCTGATCTAGACCTATTGGCTAGACTTAGAAAAGGGGTTGACAGTAACGATGACAATACGGAACTTTACAACGAGTTGATGAAAAAATACGAAGAGGCCATCGAGAGGAACATTGAGATTGAATCGAAGGGCGACGAAAATGCCCGCAAGGTCAGCGACCTGGAATCTGAACTTAGGCGAACTAGAGACCGTCTTGGTGAAGCTCAGAGCGCCATTAAGAAGATCCACAATATTGCAATCAACAGTGATCGCAATACCGAGAGTACCAAACGTACCCGTTCCCTGTCCCCCGGCGAAGCTGTAGTTCAACCCTCTGAAGCCATTCGGGCATTCAGGAATGTTCTTCGGGAAAAGGACAACGAAATCCAGCGCCTTGAACAAAAGCTCAAGGCCGCTGAAAAGCAGGCCAACGAATTTGTTTCCAAATTTGAAGCTGCTGATGAAGCAAGAAGACGTCTTGATAAATATTTATCTGATGCTAAACGAGATGTCGCCAACCTTCAAAAGCATCTCGACAGCTCTGAACGTCAAAATCGCCGACTTGAGGACCGTATCAGAGCAGTTGAGGCGGAGAAACAAGCTACCGAAAAGGCGAGAAATTACCTGGAAGAGGAGTTGAAGAGATTACAACAGTAAGCTAATCAGATCAAACATTGCATAATTGCATTCTATTATTTCAGATTGTTCCAAAAGAATACGACAGATGATGCAAGGAAAGCGCGTGAAGAAGCCGAAGAATTCGCCTCCAATATGGAACAAGATTACAAAAATAGAATCGCTGAGCTCACCAGCCGCATTGATTCGCTAATGAAAGATAACAATCGTCTTAAGGCGGAGATTTCACCAATCAAGGACAAATACCGAGACCTCGAAAATGAATACAACTCCCTCTTACGTCGCCTTGAAGAGAAAGGTAAGGTATTTTAAAATAAAAAAACATTTGTAGATACCCAACTTAAATACACGGAGGATCATAAAACAAAGATTCTGAAGGATCTAGAAAACCTCCGTAGCCAGTATGACGCAACTAGAACCGAATTAGACAAATATAACAGTGATAATGAAGTGTTGACTAACAGAATCAACGTCCTGGAACAACAGAACAAGGAGTTGAAGCAACAAAGAGACGAGATCAGGTGAGAAAGAGAAACTTTCTACTAATAAAAATTCCAGTAAACAGCGTGATGAACTATCTCGTCAACTGTTTGATGTCAAACAGACCATCGAAACCGAGAAGACAAAGGGAACCAACGTCGAGGAGAACATTCAATCCCTTAATGACGAAATCGACAAGCTGAAAGCACAAGTCGGGGACTATGAAAACCAAATTGTCATTCTTCGCAGACACAATGATGACCTGGATACCCAGCTCAAGACCGCACAGTCCAAGCAAGGTGTTATTGAAAACGATGTTCAGACAAGGATCAAAGAAATCACAACCCTTAATGAACTCAATCAGAGATTGCAGAAAGAAAAACAAGAAATTCTAGAGTAAGTATGAAATAAAATATTAATCACTCATTCCTTCAGCGCCAAACACAAAACCGAACAGGAACTCGATGCCTTCAAAGAAAGAATTCGAAAATTGGAAGCAGAAATTGATAAATTGAAGAAGGAAAATGATGAGCTTACCAAGAAGGAAGCCAATGCGCAAGAAGCCTTTTCCCAACAAACCAAACGAGTCAGCACTTTACAACTAGATCTCCAAGATGCAAGAGCCAAGATTAAAGAACTAGAAGGTAGAGTTCCAATACCCAAAAATTACAATATTCAGATAAATTGGCTCGGCTAGAGAAGGACTACAAGGACCGGCTGAAGAATTGGCAGAGAAACCGACAGTCCACCAAGTCAACTGATATTGGTGGAGGAAGTCTGGACTCTTCAACAACAGGGGGACAAACTGGTGGAGGAGATACAGGAGACCTAACCGAAGATATTGTAGCCGGAGGCAAAGGCGGAAGAGGAGCTGACGACAGTGGTGTTGGTGGTGGAACAACCACAAATGTTGACAGTACTTACATCACCAAATACGGAGGGTTCGGAGATGCTTCTTATCTGGATCCAGAAATCGTTGAGAGTAGGATTAAAGATATCAATGACAAATGGAAAATCGAGTTGGATAAAGTGGAGAACGAAAAAGATTCCCTTGAGTCCAAAATTCGTGAACTGGAGGATCAAATTTCCCAATTTAATCGAGGCGAAGAACGAGAAAAGAACGATCTTCTGGATCAGGTTCGAAAACTTCAGAATGAGATTGACAAATTGAAGGCCGAAATCCTTCAGCTTAATGACAAACATCAAAGTGAACTAGAAGACGAAAAGGAAACTTATCAAAAGGTAATGTATTTTGCCAATATCTTAAAATGAAATCGCAAATCTTATCTAATATTACCATTTAGACCATTGACGACATTCGCAAGAGCGAAGCCGAACTTCAAGACAAAATTAACAAACTTGAACAAGAACGAGCGGACTTGCTGAACCAACAAAGCGAATATGAAAAGGAGCGCAGGGAATACGACGAAAAGTTGACAACCTTGGCTTCAAATAACCAAAAACTGAAGGATGACATTGAAGACATCCGGACTCAGACCGAAAAAGAAATACAAATCTGGAAGACCGACGCTTATTCGGCGAGGTCCGAAGTTAAATCCCTGGAAACTACATTGGCAGGCTTGAAAACTCAACTGGCCGCAGCTACGGAAAGAGCTGAGACATTAAACAAAACCGTCAACGACCATGTCTCCAAGATCAGAGATTGTAAGTTCATTTCACCATCAATAACACAATAAAATTCAGTAACTTCTCAAATCCGAAAGCTCGAAGAAGAACTGACCGATGCCAAAGCTAATGCCCATTCCAAGGAAGTCGAGCTGGACAACGCTCAGAACAGAATCAGACAAATCGAAGAGCAATTGGCAGCCTTACAAGCCGAACATGCAAGAACCCGAGGAGAATTGGGTGACATCAACCGTGAATACTCGAATGTCGTCATCATCAGAGACGACTTGCAGAAGGAAAACGAGAAATTGTCCCGTAGGAACAAAGAACTCGAGTCCATTCTCAAAGAAATTAGAAACGGCACTGACCACCTCAAAAATGAGGTAAGTCAATTTCTATACATTTTATAAAGATGTTCACAGCAGTTCTCAACTTTTTTTAGGGCAAAAAATGGGTTGACATTGATTTTGTAAAATCACACTGAAAAATTTTCGTCCTGCAGCGATTTTCCAAAATCCGCACACCAATTTGTTCTTTGAAAAACTTCTCAAAAATCAAAATCAAAACACGACATTCAAAACATCCAGAAAATAAATCGATTTTGAGATTTTTATTTTAAAATGGTCGGATGCATCCTACTCGCACATTATTGTAACATTTCTCAAAAATCGGCCATTCAGAAGACCCACAGCCAATTTTTCCATAAAATTCTGCTATAGTAAATAAAAAAAATTACAAAAAGTCATAATACCACTCTTTCGCATAGTGGATTCTGTTAAAATTTGTAATCCGAAGGTCGCGGATTCGATTCCCAATGGACGAAAAATTTGACAAACTCTGTAAAACTTAAAGAAATCGATCAAGCTGTGTTGGTTAGGCATATTTAAGCTATAATATATATGACTATGTATATCCAGGCGATAATGTAATTTTTAAAGTATTTTTTGAAGATAAATCAGCTTTCAGTATATTTTCGAAGAAGGTCAGTTGCAGAAAACCGGTAAAACTAAAGTAGTTAGGGGTTTCAATCATAGGATTCAACGAAAGAGATTTTTAGGGAACCAAGATTACTGTAACATAGAACGGCCGCTAAAAATTGGCCGTGGATTTTTTTTAACAGAAACTTGATAATTATTCGATTTTCAAAATCAACGCAAAACTCAACTTGTGTGACCTAGAGGTTCCAAAAAGTTCTGCCATCAGGGGAATTTGCAAAGGACCCACCTGGGATCCGGTTCCGGTCACCTTTATATCATCTAGCGCCCGGAAAAAATCGAGCTGAAACGGAAAAGATTTTTCTTTTCTTGACATTTCAAAAAAGTACAGAACGCTGTGAATGGTAAAAATTGTTTACTTCGAGAAAGGGCAAAAAATCTACACAAAACAATTCAAGCAGCAGAAAACCCGTGGAAAACTTGGCTTGTCAGGCATAACTGCGAAAAATGGGACCATTTTTTTTGAATCGCTTAAACCCAAACCCTCTTTGCGCATCATTAAATATTGTAATTACAACTACCTAGGTGGCAAAATATACATTAAGCGTATTTTTTGCGGGGTCAGGAAATTATGGGTGACGCAGAGTCGGGTGGTGCAGGTTCGGGTGAGAACTTTCGGGTGATCGCAAAGTCGGGTGATGCAAAGTCGGGTGGTGCATATTCGGGTGATGGAATTTTGGGGTGGGGGAATTCTCGGGTGATGAAAAATATTGCACTGAAGGCTACTAAATATAAAATATTGTACTAATGGCTACTAAATATGACGTAATATTGTTAAAATTTTTTTAATTTTATGCTTTTTGGGGTTTTCGACCTTCAGGAGTCCAAAAATGAAAACCATTTTGTTCAAAATTCTCTGTGCGTATTACTATTGTCGTTTTAATTCTAAGTAAATATAAGAATTACTGTAAATTTTATGAATGAACCCAATTCTGTATTTGTTTTGGGGTTTTCGATCATTATCGCAGAAAAATAGTATTCACAGAAAATTTTGAACGAAATGGATTCCATTTTTGGATTCCTGATGGTTGAAAACCCCAAAAAGCATAAAATTTAAAAAATTTTTAAATTTTAACAATATTGCGTCATATTTAGTAGCCATTAGTACAATATTTTATATTTAGTAGCCTTCAGTGCAATATTTTTCATCACCCGAGAATTCCCCCACCCCAAAATTCCATCACCCGAATATGCACCACCCGACTTTGCATCACCCGACTTTGCGATCACCCGAAAGTTCTCACCCGAACCTGCACCACCCGACTCTGCGTCACCCATAAATTCAGTCACCCATTTTTTGCAGCATAACCGACTCCAAAATATTCTCCGTGAAAAGAGTAAACAACTTGACCATCTTCAACAACTCTCCAGCCAATTTGAAAACAAGATGAGCAAACTTCGCAAGGAACTTCAAGACACCTCATCGAAACTGATTTCAACTGAAAATGAAAGGAATAATCTCCGAACTGAGATCACTCGTATTCAACAAGAACTGACATTTGGTGAAGAACAAATGCGCCGAAAGACCGATGAGTACCAAGCTGCCATCGAGGACTGGACTAACGCCCATCGGCAAGCCGAGGATGCTAGAGTCAACGCTATTCAGGAATTGGAAACTAAAAAGTACGAGCTGAGTGACTTACAGTCTCGCCTGGACAGCACCGAACAACGACTGGCCTATCTTCAGCAGGAATATATTAAAGCTGACAATGAAAGAGATGCGTTGAGAGATAGCCTTCGCAGATTCCAGAGTAGCATCAGTCGTGTAATTAACATCAACCGATTCTCCAACATTGATGTAAGCTAACCAACATGTATACTCCCCGCCAAAAGTTTTGACCCCCCTTCTAACTCGGTCCAAAGTGTACCAATTTGGACCAAATTTGGTACGTAGTCTACTGACAGCCTAGTAACAAAAATATCATAGTAGGACAAACCATATTGATGTATTTCAAAATCCAGGGACAATTTTCAAAAATCACCTCAAAAAAACGGGACAAAAGTTTTGACCCCCCTGCAATAAAATTAAATATCGCCACCGGATGTAGCCCGAACCTTTTACAATCGATGCCCCATACCTGAATACAGATTAATAAATGCTTTTTCGTTGAATGCTTCGTTGCATTTGACGATGCAAAGCGTTAAACTGATTCTGATGTAGAGCTGCCCAAAATGGTAAAAATCTTGTACTGGCGCTTTCTAAAAGTTCTAAATTATGTTCACATCATGTGATTTTGATGTGTTATAACCTGCATTAACCTTTTCCTTTCGAAAAAAGTCCATGATGGCCTAGCGGTATCGATTCGGCCGATATCTAGTTGCCATGGTCAGCCTTGGTGAGCCATTTGCTCTTTCACTAAAGGGCTAGATGTGGTCGCTATGTCCTCAATCTAATCCTGAGACTCATATCAACTCTTAAACCAAGAATAAACTCCCGCTGACACGATCTCGTATGGTTTGCAGATGCAACTTTGCCGATCTGCACCTTAATGAAAACCCCGCTTTTTTCAAATGGATTTTTTGCGACCAAAAATGGCTTTCATTTAATGGGCCAGGTAATTTAGGACGCTACAGCACCCGCCATGCTCATTTGAGACGTATAGAACGACAAATGGGCGGTATGGATGGCATCGTACTCAGGGGCATCTACAGTAACGGCAAACTTAAGATTAAGGTGAATGAAACCCATTCCAAAACGCGTCAAATCAAAACTTTTTACCCTGCTGAGAGTAAATAGGAGTCTCAGGATTACATTGAGGACCTAGCGACCACATCTAGACCTTTAGTGAAAAAGCAAGTGGCTCACCAAGGCTGACCATGACAACTGGATATCCGCCGAATCGATACCGCTAGGCCATCATGGACTTTTTTGAAAGGAAAAGGTTAATGCAGGTTATAACACATGAAGATCACATGATGTGAACATAATTTAGAACTTTTAGAAAGCGCCAGTACAAGATTTTTACCATTTTGGGCAGCTCTACATCAGAATTAGTTTAACGCTTTGCATCGTCAAATGCAACGAAGCATTCAACGAAAAAGCATTTATTAATCTGTATTCAGGTATGGGGCATCGATTGTAAAAGGTTCGGGCTACATCCGGTGGCGATATTTAATTTTATTGCAGGGGGTCAAAACTTTTGTCCCGTTTTTTTGAGGTGATTTTTGAAAATTGTCCCTGGATTTTGAAATACATCAATATGGTTTGTCCTACTATGATATTTTTGTTACTAGGCTGTCAGTAGACTACGTACCAAATTTGGTCCAAATTGGTACACTTTGGACCGAGTTAGAAGGGGGGTCAAAACTTATGGCGGGGAGTATATATAAAAACGTCTTTTAAGGATATTTCCGGAGTCCACGGTGATCCAGGAGCCAGTGGAATTGGTGGTATTCATACGAATGTCACCACAAACATCTCTGGTCCCGCTGCCGCCGGCGATCTGACTGACGACGTTATCTTCAAGTCAACTCCTCTTCCACCGTCTGACGGAGAATTGGAAGAACCTCGAGGAGCCGGAGTTGGAATTAATATTTCCAGCATTGACAGTTCGCTCCAGAATCTGGTAGCTCGAATTGATAAGTTGCAGAGAGAACGCGTAAGTATAGTTATTAGGGGTAAAATGAGGGAACTTCTTTTGTAAAATAACTGAGTACTTTAGGACGAATACCGTGAAGAGCTGAACCGTCTCAAACAGAAGACCAACCAGGCCCACACCACCATAAACAAACGGGAAACGCACTACAAGACTGTTGAAGAAAACCTGACTGAGATTGAAGACGACAAACGCAATTTGGAAGTTCATTTAGCTCAAGCTAAACAACTAATTCGATCTCAGGAAGACGCAATCAAACAACGGGACGATGAAAGACGCCAGCTTAAATCCAAGCTGACAGCATCAGAATTGCAAGCAAGGGGCAAGGAGGCCCAGATCAGACATATGAATGAACAACTCCACAACCTCCGAACCGATCTCACCAATGCCCATGAAGAACTTCGATCTCTGCGGGACAAAGACGAATCCCTCGAATCTGGCCGCTATCAATTAGAAAGCAAACTTCGAGATCACGAAAGTGAACTGCAGAAGTTGTCCATCAGAATTACCAATTACGAGTCTGAGAAACAAAACCTTTCTGAGAGAGTAAAAGAGCTTGAAGGGCAACTTAAGCTTAGTGAGACCAAGAATTCCGACCTTCGAGATGATGCCGAAAAGCTGAGAAGAGACCTTCTAAAGGCTGAGGCCACAGAAACTGATCTCAAGAAATCTTTGGATCAATATTACAGAAATAGTGCTGATGTTCAGACGTTGAGAGATCAGCTAACCAGATTACAGAGTGAATTAAATGACGCCAATAACAAGAGACAAAGCCTGGAGACCGAGCTGGTTAGCTCTCGATCTGAACTTAGAGATTACAAACAACGAAACCTGGACTTTAATGGAAGAATTGGAGACCTACAACGGCAATTACAAGATGCCACTTTGGAAAAGAATCGTGCCGAGAACAGACTCATCGATTTGGAAAAGGTAAGGGAAATAGTCATCATATAACCCTTTACCTTTATTCTTTCTAGACCTTGGCCACTCAAAGAGTATCTGAAACCGATCTCAAGCAACAATTAGAAATCCTCCGAACAGAAAAGAAATCTCTGACGAAAGAATTGGAAGAGACCAAGACCCGACTACAGCAACTTGAAAGTGAACGAACTTCTTTGATCAGAATCCAGGATGCCTGGAAGAGAGAGAAACAGAGTCTGATCAAGAAGATCGAGCATGTAAGTTCATTTGTATTTACCAGGGTTTTTAATTTGACGGATTTTTTTCAATCTGACGTCAACTTGACGCCAAATTACCGTCATTTTGGCTAAATTGGAAAACAACCTTCAAACGCGAGTTTAACATAGGGTATGATGAATACCGTTTATATCATTCGCAACTAGTTTTATTTCTTGTTTCACCATTTTGATAAGAATGCAACTTTTGTTTCTAAAAATTCTAAAGTCCTACGGTTTTTAGGAAAAATCTACACAAAATTTCCAAAAAAGCTCAATTTGACATTTAAAATGACAAAACAATTTTGACATGACGGCAATGCGGCAGCGTGACCGATGCGTCAAGTTGACAACTTAACAAAACTAGTAGTATTTACATTACTTAACGTTATGCAACTTTATGTAATATTTTTGAAAAAAATACGTAATGTCGTCTTATTTTTCAGTTGGAAGGTGAAAAACGTAGAACCGACGCTGCAATTAGAGAAACTGCCCTGCAACGCGAAGCCATAGAGAAATCGCTGAATGCAATGGAAAGAGAAAATAGAGAACTCTACAAGAACTGTGCCCAACTACAACAACAAATCGCTCAACTCGAAATGGATAATGGAAATAGAATCATCGAGTTGACTAAAAAACAACGAGAAGAGCAAGAACGGCAGACCATCAAGATCAAAGCCGAGAAACAACAAATCGAGAGACTAATTGATAGTCGCGATAGAACTGCCAGACAACGAATCCAACAACTCGAAGGCCAGATACAAAGTCTTCGTGATCAGCTGGAGAATGAAAGGCGACGGCGCCGAGACATTGCTGATAGACAGATTGTGGGCGATATGGGAAGATTGGGAGGAAATTACTTCGGTCTCCCATCAGTCCACACTCGAGTTGGTGTGAATGGATTCAGTTCAGTTGGACCCACTTATCCCCCAGTCGAGAATATAGATAGCACTAGGTGAGAACGACGGCTGATTTTGAGGATTTACAATATTTTTTAGATTTATCCGCTCTACATTTGCTTCAAATCCGCTGACCCCGCCTCGAGGAGCCTCAACCCCCACCCGATCCCATGTCTTCTCAGGGCATGATGAGAGCTCTTCGTCCTTGGCTCGTGAACATGGATTCGATCAGGAACATCATGAACCTCAACGCTCTCTGGATGATGAACTGCCACAACTCTCTCTTACACGTGGGCTTTAGCTATCCTGGCCTAACTTTCTCTGATTTCAGCCCGGATGTAAGTATTTTCGAGCGCTGTAACATCGTATTTGTGCTCTAATCCGACTGTGACTGTCAACTGCTTTCCAGTCGTTTACTGCTTTCCTCTAAAAGTATTAATTGTCTCATTCGCTGCTGTAGATGAATAAACTTTTTAATTACTTTTACGTTTTAAAAGCGAAAGACAACATACATGATAACAGGAAATACAAATATATGATTAGGGCTTCCAGAAGAATGCCCTACTAGGAAAAAATGGAGCTCCGAATGGATATGACATTCCTTATATTAAATCACAACAGAAAAAGCACCCAAAGGAATTTTGTAAAAGTGAAAGCGTCGTATCTGAGGAGACGTTAACCAAGAAATCAGAACAGAAGAACCGAATATTAAGGACCCGATCAACAACAAGAGAAGTAGGGATTCTGAGTATGCACTTTGAGGACGTACATATCCTTCCAGGGATGACTAGGACGACTACTCGACTCGGCTACGGGCTCCGTTATGTCCCGCTGACCTTCTACCACTACATTAACAAAGGTATCCTCTACACTGGATACACTTGAACGAGATGTTTGAGCAGTCACACGTCGCTTTTTTCGTCCAATCTCTTTTAAATACACCGGACGCGACTAAAACCATGTAAAAATAAAATATGAGTAGTATTCTTTTTAGGTTAATTATTTGTGAAAACCTGTTCAAATAGATCTGTATACAAAATTAACTTACCAGTTCCAATTCGGCAGGTGTTTTATTATTCTTAAGAGCATCGAATAAATTAAGTAATTGTCCTCGGAATACAGAAAGCTGTGCTTCAATGGTCTTCTTCTTCCGGTATCTCTTGTCTTTCTGAAGAAAACTTCAATATCTGTCATAATCGCTTACCATAAACTCTGCCCTGAGGATGTCACAAAGTTCTTTGACCTTTTGAACATCTTCCAATAATGGCAAGATCTTTTGCTTTACCTCATCAGCAAAAGGTTGTGTCGCAAAAGGTCTAAAATACACGGACCAACAAAAAGGATCTGAAACAATCTCAATTAATACATTAACCACGCATAATAAATTAACATGGTCATTTAAACATACATGATCGTATCTCTCCTGGATGTTTGAAAGGGAATGCCAGTCCATTATCAATAGCTGCTATGTGGAATGTCCGTCGTTTACAGGGTTCTGGAGGATTGTTTGGCACAGATATACTGGCAGGGGGTACCATGTCATGTTCCGTTTCTTTTACTGTCGCATCATCCTGGGTAATATGGATAATGGTTGCAGGAGCTTCAACATCAGTCTTTGGTGGGCACGGTGCTTCTTCTGAGCTGATTGGGACTTCGCCTATTTTCACCAGAAAGTTGGCATTCTTTCGGTCTAAAAACAAAAGTTGAAGAAACTTTCTAAATTACCTGTGTTTCGCGTCATGTAATCAAGGACAAATAAGAATTGGAGTTGAATTGTGAGATCCTTCTTCTCCGCTTCCGATAATTTTTCTACGTTTAAGGTCCGCAAGAAGTCCTCACTGCTCATATAGCCATTTACAAATCGTTGAAAACTACCGTACTAAAAAATAACCGTAGAATTAATTTCAATTGTAAGCATTATATTCGGAAAACAAACCATGCCTTAGTTTTGTAAACCTGAGACCAATTGAAGCGATTCCCGAGATTGGGAAACTGCTGGGCGGCCCTCTTTCTCGCTCGGGCTTCGTATCTTTGGAATCGGTTATAATGGAAAACCTTGGACGCCATTCCAACCACCGCCGTCTCCGGGACTATTCCAATACCAAAATATTTATCGACTAGAAATGCCGCTGCTTCAGAGAGGAACCCCTGGTTGGGAACCAGACACCCGCGGCCGAAAGAACATGGAAGGAGCACCTTCTGGAGCCATTTGCCCCATTTGGGGTTGTTAATTCCATAAGGCTCTTCGTCTTGTGGCTTGAAAACACCTACTATTTTCTAAAACCGAAAAACTTTAATTGTTATGAGTCATTGCTTACCGATTCAGAATCGTGAATAAAATAAGATCCAGAAGATCCGCCGCTAATCAGCGTTGGCGGATTCAAATCAATATTTTTCAAGGCTGTAAATACCAGATTTACATAATCCTCGCCGATGTGACTATAGTTAAGTCTGCATTTCTCCAGAAGGGCGACTTCATCCATCACGTGAGATTCCGATTCATGGCTTTCGGAGATAATATTCTCTCGATTCCCCGTCATTTTCTAAACATCTCAGGTGATAGTGTAACATGAACATACCACTGAACGGCCTGAGCGCGGGACCAGAGCAGTAAGCTCGTCGACGTCTGTTTCTGAGAGTTCTGCGCGCAAAAAAGATTAAAAACACGCTCTCCAACCGGGGCAACGTCCCCATTTGGTTGTTTACAATAGAACGAATAACAAGTTGTGTCAACTCACCGCTCTCGCTCCTCACATTTGCCATTTCTTCCGAAAACTTTGGCTCACAAATCCATAAGCAGGTAGGTCATTTGCTCTGAAAAAAGTAGGGCGAGAGTCTTGAGGAACCTCCGTCGCTCGCCCGATCTTCCACTGATAAAACTGCAAATAACAAAAGGGAAAGCCCTGGACAAAAGGATTCCAATTGCGACAAAAAATTTATTCTTTAAACCAGTGGAGTTCCAATAAGTCAGTTTGCTCTCCAATTACCCGATTTAAAAGAAATTTACATATATTTTCTTTTTCCTTAATAAGATTTACATCCTGACTATCTGCGACTAGATCTCCCGACTCTGAGGAATGTGCCATAATCTCCAATAATTTTTGTGCAAATCCGAGATTCAATCCATAATCATCTCGAAGCAACTTCTGAACAGAAAGTTTAGAATAAGTAAGATTGTAAAACAAATAATATAGGTATTAAATATGATGACTCACCTCAACTGTCGCCACTGGGTCGTCCACATCGCTCCCCATTAATGTTACTTCTTTCTTCACTTCTTTTAGTCTTTCTAACAACAAATCGATGACGTATTCAATATTAAATTGATTAATCCAATTATGATTTATAGAAATGGTGATCTCCATGTTGTGTACTTGATGATACCATCCGCTGGGTACAAATACGATCTCTCCTCTTATTTGTTCGAATTCAATTCCACCAACTGATTTCCAATCAAATTTTCTTATATCTTCAATGTCCTCCAAATGAACATTTCTGATTTTTGTGACCGTTTTAGGTATCATTATCCATCGTTTTCTTCCACAAATGTTGGCTGACCAACTATATGAATTCATGACATCGGCATGAAATCCCGTCCTCCAAAAAATAGAAAGGTTTTTATAGGGAAACGAAAGTCTTACCATGTACTTGAGCCTCCAATATAACAAAAGCGATAATCCCCTCGAAAAATGTCGTTCTCAGCCACTTCCTTCTTATTATTAACCCAGTCCAACCTCAGAAAACTTGGAATCTCATACCAATTTTCCCTTGAATCAAGACACTAAAAACAATTGAATAGTAACAAAATCACTTACAAAGTGCCAATCCTTAAGATAAAATTGATAAGAATGATCATCTGACAGATTGCTCACAAATTCCGAAAAAGGAATACGTTTCTGAAGGCAGTTCCCATCTGTTGTTATGGGTACCTGAACATTTCCTAAAAACAAATACTACAAAAATGACGTGACACACCAAAAATCGTCTTCAGAAGCTTCCAATCGGGAGTTCCGCTCGTATTCACCCAGAATCTAGACGCTTTCCAGTTACGAATTGCATTGGAAATAATAACCGGTTCATTTCTTTTCATATAATAACAGAACTCAGATAAGATAAGGTTCCCCCCATCTAATCTATGAGGTAAACTTATCATTTTGAGGTGGCATAATTCTACAAAAATTGCTACGAAACTTCGCAAAAAAAAGATTTCCGAAATTATAAAATGGAGACAAGTTATACGACCAAACCTGTCTGAAGACTTTTTCGCAAAAAATATCTTGCAAAAACCGCAACCTTTCATCTGATTTTGTTCGAGTCTGGGTGGACACAAACCACTGAAAATTGGTCAGCAATGGCTTGAATGGAAAGAATATGCAAGATTAAGTTTATTTCAGGTGATTTGGATAAGATTCTGACAATTTTAAGATTTTTTGGTGTGGAAAAGTCGAAAATTCCACTTTTGAACAAATCGTATTTACACTGCGTTTTTTCATTAACGACACCCTAAATACAATAACTTACATTTAGGGTTGCGACAAGTAGAAACCATTCTCTGATTATTTTGATATTAATCATATCTTTTAATTTTACCTGATGCAGGCATCTATAAGAATCAAATTTGGCTAATGAAATGTAATTCGATCTTTTGTGGCCATACTTCATTTTTATAGGTCTTGTACAGTACACGGTTTGCCCACATAGAACAAAAAACGACAAAAAAGCGCCCGAGCCCTTCGCAGTTCGCGCCCGAGTCGTGAAAAATTCCGGAATTATAGGGTAAAAGTTTGAATGTAAAAGACAGCAAAGACTAACAGAAAGATAGAAAATAAGAGTAAAAATGAATTCTTGCACACTTCTTCTGTCGTATTGAATGTTTCCCCATCGTCCATGTCGAAACTCTGACTTGCCGTGAGCTTTCGAAAATGTGCAATTTTAAGGCGCTTTTTAGCGGGTCATATATGACTTCTTAGAGGTGATTTTCAAGATGTTTGATTTTTGTTAGTTACACGACTATCAGAACAGCATATCTTGAAAATTTCATGCAATTTGGTGAATTTTGAAGGGTCATTTTCTGGACCCCAATGAAGGGTACAAAAAGTACTTGGAAATTGATGTGTAAAACAACTTTACGTCGAAAAAACCGTTACAGCCGTTCTGCTCTGAGTGTCACTAGCATTTATCAAACCTGACTTGCATTTTCCACATTTATCCATTGATTTCTGGCATAGGTGTTCGGAGTGAGGGGTGTACGGAAGAAAAAATCGCAAAAAGTAGGCATTTTACAGTACTCTATAAATACTGTAGAACACAACATTGCGAAAATTTTTTAATTCTGTTAGACGAGGGATACACTAGAGTCAAATACTGGAAAGTTTCAGAATTCTAGCCCTAAAATTTAATTCGATTTTCTGGACCCCAATGAAAGCATCACCCCTTGACTACAATAAGTTTTGCAAAAAAATTTCATGATGGCTAGTGGATGTCGTGACGGTTCTCCCAAGCTGTATAACAAATAACTGCACTGCTAGATGCAATTTTTTATTGTACCGTGGGTTTTAACAGCTTCTGTCATGACCAAAATCCCGTAGATATGGTATCAAAAACATAATGCCTTAAAAATTATTGACAAAAATGTTCGATACTGTCCTGATTTTTTAAAGATTTTGACGTGAGAAGATAAACAGCATTGAGGCAATATTACTTATATGGTAACTGTGAAAAGGTAATCAGAAAAAAGAGTGTCATCATGGTGAAGATGACAAAACCATCGGGAAACTGGTAATGGTAGTAGAAAAAAAATTAATGTCCCATTATGATGATCTTTATGGAAGGGCGGCACACAGATTTAATATTTGAAGAATGATGATTGTAGTTATATTATTGTTACATAATATAATATTAATTTTATTACGGAGAATAATTTTATGATGCACTGAGTATTGTGATATTTCAATTTTTTTAAGCACAGAGGGCTGACAGGGAACGAGGGTAGTCCCCAAATGAACTAGAGATGGCGAAAAATGTGTTGATAGGGTGCAAGTCGAGGTAGATGAGTGTAACCAAAAAGCGTGGTGCATCTACAATATAAAAATAGGCAAAAATATAATAAAAATTCCGGTTTAATCCAAGAATTACGCAAAAAAAAAGTTGTGTTGTTGGCTACTTGGCCTATTCGTTACTTCGATCATATTTGTCTATTAACAAGACATTTCTAGTACCGGATGATAATATTGTGTTTATTTATGCTAATTATATCAATCACAATCTTCAGTAACGCTTAGAATGCCTTGCAAGGTGAAAGTCCCAGTTAGTTCTCTGAAACTTTGATCGTATAAAGTGGTTTTCGCAAAAAACAAGAAAAGTCTTTTCGGGCGTTTTTTTGTCGTTTTGGGCAAACCGTGAGTAATAGGCTTTATTTTAAATGTGTATTTGAAGGGGGTTTTGCAATTTCAAATCGCGGTTAGTTTTCAGATGGATTTATTTTAAGTACTAGGACCGCGTTAAGTAGAATTGGAAGGCTGAGATCGTCGATGGACAGAAATTATTATGGTCTATTGCTTCTATTTGGAGGTTCTATTTGATATGATATTTCCATAAGGCGCTTTTGATTATCGATAACTCTCAAGTTCCTGAAATTATATTATACATAAGCAGTATAACTTCTACCTAATGAGATTGTTGACTGACTTCTTTTGGGATTCGGCGACGATGGGACCTCGAGATTTGCATCCTTTAAAGTTCCTGAGTACATTGGCGATCATATGCATCTTTTCAAAGTTAACTAATGCACCGAAATACGTCTTATTGCCCTCATGCATGAATGTGAGATCTTTTAGAAGAAGGGGGACGAAGGGAATGATGGGGGGCTCCATTTTGGATACCAGTAATCTGTAGGCTCTGTGATTTCGAGAGGGATCCAATAACGCTTCAAACTCTGCGTATTGTCGTCGCAATTTTCCTGGCAATTTATCCCAGAGCTGGACTAGTCGACTCACAGCAATGTTACTTAGCCCGAGGGTAATCGCAAATAGGGACATAAGATCTTTGTTTGTTTTTGCGCTAAAATAATTTGATTTTGAAATTACACGTACTAAACAGCAGTTTTGATCAACTTCTTGAGGTTGGCAACTCTCTTGGCTGTTGTCGAGCTCAGTAATATTTCTGTAGTCACCCAAAATTGGACTTCATTAAATCTTCGCAGTAGAATGTCAAGATTGGCGGGTGATCGTCCCGAAAACTTATTTCGGCCGATCACTTGGAAGATGAGCTCAATTTCATCGGTAGCCTCGAACAGTTGACAATGGAATGTCATCAACTGATTCGCTAAGTCCGCAGAATTGTAGATATCAAGAACGCTGGGATTGGGGGCTTCTGAAGGACCTGCTTGGTTTGTCATCGAAGTCTGCAATTTTGTAAGCCAATTGTAAGAATACGACCGCGGCACTTACCAAGGTGTTCATTTCTTCTTTCGTGACAACGTAAAGACGACCATTCAACGATAGCATGCTGGTCACACTAACTTCTGCCGGGGAGTAGACAACCCGCTCTCCATTTGACTTGACTTCCACAAGGTAGAGATCGTCATGATCAAAATGAACTTTGCCTCGCGTTAGTTTTATTATATCTGCTGCTGATTTGTCCATTCTTACTGCCAATGTAATCATCGTAGCATCAGAAAAGTAGATGCATTGGTTGCAAATATCAATGGGTAATATAGGATTTGGAGCTGGAGCTTCAAGACTGTAAACTCCGCAGTCCAAGACGCAGGTTGGATGTCGAGATAAGATGATCATAACGTTCTCTCGAGCCCGTCTTATCCTACTTATCTGATGAACAATTGACTCCATATTTGGGAGGGAGTTGGCATCTTCGATTACAGAACAATACATTTCCTATACCATGATATAAGGATGGTGACATACAAATCAAATCGGTTTTCGTGGCCAGAAACCGCGATTTCTTGTCTGTTAGGCCTTTAGACAAGAAATGCGTAATTCTTGTCTCAAATTGCGTAACATAGCGCAAATTTGTGCTCTCTCCCCGTGAAGATTTTTTTCTTGTTTTCTCTGCTCAGACAAAATTTGCGCATTTCCTGTCTATAAGCCTAACAGACAAGAAATGGCGGTTTCTGGCAACGAAACCCGATTTGATTTGTATGTCACCATCCTTATATTAGAAATGGATTTAAAAAAAATACTTACTTCTACAAAACTGTTGGCTACAGGATCTAAAAAGAAATGAATCCCGAGGACAAACTCCCAGATAGTGATGAAGGTGATCACTCTTCGTTTGGCACTTAATTTTTCGTTGATAATTTCATTCGATCCAATCGAATCAGACCCATTTAACGTCGTCTGAAATAGGTATATTGGGGGGTTTTATCTAGTTCTCTTTTGGCTTTTTCATCGAGTACTTACAATATCTCCTCTTGTTGCGTAATAATTCTTGAGATAATTGCATAAAATATTGGAAGGCATAAAGATGATATGTGTAAGAATAAAGTCTTCTAGAAAGGTGTCTAAGGCTCCGTTGCTGGTCAATGCGTCGATTCTGGTCTCTAATACGTACTCGATCATTTTCTCCGGCAGTCCGGCCATAACCGAGTAACTGAAAGGTAAATGTGTATATTGCAGTTGTACTCACCAGCATTGGTTTCTGTTTATCGGTTGGGTCTCGTCGAATTTTAAGTTAATTTTCTCTAAAACCAATACATCCTGGCCATGCTCCTTTAGGCGTACTGTGTTTGCTTCCACATCTCGAAGGATCCTAAAAAAAAAGATTTACTATTTTTTTGCAAAAATAATAGTACGGTAACCATTTGCTCAGATAATGGAGAGAAAGTAAATATTACTTTACTATGAAACAGCGAGCCGCCTCGAGAAAAATTGCTCGCTCACCTGTTGAAGTTCTCTTTGTCGACTCTCAAGAACTGGGAATTGTCATCGCGGAGGGTGATTGTGGCTGCTCGGGGTGCGTCGTTCACCAAGGCGAGTTTACCAAAGTCATCACCTTCTTGCAGAGTGCACACCACACCCTATAAAATTATATGGGTCAACAGAAATGCAAAGGATAACACACATTAACCAGCAACAACACCATCATATACTTCCAGAATTGCGCAACAGAGACGGTTGCTGGTGATGAAATGATGAAGAATGAGCCCCATGAACAATAAGCGTCTTCAAGCACTTATTCTGGAGATTCTCGCGCGCCGATCTTTTTTCTCTGATCGATGGGTAGTCAGGAAACAGACGCAAGATCGGGCCTTCCCCTTCGCCCACGCCTTCCCCCTGCTCCCGTTCCTGTCCCCGTTAACCTCCCTAATTTATTCGAGAAACCGGACACACCTTTCCTGCGATGCTGACGTCCACACTTCCTTTCAGGATGATATACCAGCTCTGTCCCTCCGTTCCTTGATGAAAAAGCACTGTCCCTGCATGTTGATGTTGTTCGAATCCAATGACTCGAGCCAACTCTTTCTTGACCATTGTACTCAGATGAGACAACGCTTTCACGTGGAGGAGTTCCTCGAATACCAATTCCAGTTCTTCATTCGTTCGCTCATGAGGTCTGCAAATAATTAATAAACAAGAACGTAAATAGGTTGGATTTATGTTTCTCTTAATGGCGTTACTTCCGGAGCTCTCCAGACACAATACACTTACGGTTTGGTTAGGATGATCTTGAACATGGAATCCAGACCGATGGTGCTTAAAAAGAACAACATTTGGAGAAGCTCGTCGTCTAATGGAGGTTCACATCCGGGAGGAGGAAGGGCATAGGGATCAGGGACTTCGACGAGTTCACTGTTGGGCATAAATTGCATATTATTATAGGACAATCGGTTTATAAAATAGTCCTCAAACATGTCATTAGAGACGCTCCATTTGTAAAAAACATTTTGATCTCTGAACTGCTCTTCGTTAGTTACTAAATATTTTTTTTTTGACGATATGATTCCCTTACTATGGCTGATGATATGATGGTCTAATAAAGTCTGCCAGATTCCCACCATTTGAAGATGAGTGGGTTTTTTTACTGGATTGACAGCACATTGTTGCCATAAAGAGAATAACCATGACGTCATCTCGGCTCCAGACATTGCGTTGTAAAAGACCTCGGTCTTATCCTGGGAGATGTATCAATTCCAATTAAGACCTACCCCTCGCCTGAGATTGCGTTCTCGTATCAAATTTGGGGCCCTGTAATACATCGCTCTTTTCAACATGAGCCCAGCCTCCATTATCCGAGAATCCAGGGATAATGAAGTGCTGAGTTCAAACAGATTCACCGGAGGTTCCCAATTTGATGGAACAAATGGAATCGACTTGGAATGGAGCACTCCATTCGATTTGATTGTTGGTTCTGGCAACTCTGAAGCCATTCCATTCAGATTATATGGATTGATGGAAGAATTCAAGGCAGGTGGAGGAGGTCGGTAGTCAGAAGTAGAGACTCCATTAGTCTCTGTCATTGGGATTGGTACTTTTGGTAGATGACGGGGAGACGACTTTTCCTGCAGTACTGGGGCTGATGGACCTGAAGTGATTACAAAAGTATTTTGAAAATATTTATTTGAATAAGTACCAAAATTTATCAGTCATAAAAATTTAAATTTACCCGGTAACGGCGTCGTATCTAGGTCCTCCATCACGGTGATGTAAGGTTGTAAATGGTCAGCGTGTTTCTAAAACGTCTCAATCATAAACCGCCTGCAAACATTCCACAAACCCGATAAAGCGAGAGAAATTGGGCTTGGCTAAGTCGTACGAATTCCGCGGTTTTGTGGATTCGAGCCGAGCAACAGTGCTGGTAAAGGTTGAGTTCTCCAAACAAGGCTCCGGCTGTCAGTAATGTGAGATGCTGTCCCAGAAATCCAGTCTGAAAGGGCCATGGAATTATGGGGGACGTTTAATCAGGACATTAGTCATTTCCGGTGAGGTCAGAAGAGCGAACACTCACCTCGCGATCTGAAGGAAGATACAGTTCGACCTCACCTGAGAGCAGCAGGTACCAATAGGAGACGACCTCGCCTTGTTGGAACACTGAAATGCGAATTGTTTTAATTAAGCCACCTAAAAGGCCTCAAACCCCCCAGGGCAATGACAGGAAAGGCAGAGCCTCCAAACAGAAGCCAGGTTTTTTGGGTGGGAAATTGGTGTTCGTCCAGGCACTGCAGCTCCGGAAATATGCTCGTGGAATGGAGAGGTCAGAAAATGAAAACCCGGCCGAGCCGGGGCTGGAGCGCGGCATTTGTCCGTCCCAATTATAGGGATAACAGATGACAAAACTGGAGCTTTGCTAGAATCTGGAATAAACACCGCAGCCCACAAACAAGCACGCGTTCCATTTTTAAAATGCAAAGTCTTCCTGTGTAGTCAAATTGCCTAACGAGAAACTGAATATTGGAGTTTTTTGTGGCCTGGCCTTTCCCCGACAGAGACGGCTCTAAACTATCGATACAAAACTGGCTTTGTTTATTTGTCGGCTGAGTTAAGGTTTATCGACCCGGATGTAACGCTTTTATCGGGGGTTTCAGAAGATAAAATACGAGTGAATAGTGCACGAAAACCTGCTGCAAGAAGCGACAAAGGAAGTAAAAGAATGGAGTCGTCAGATTTGGATGGTTGTTGTACCCTTTTTGGACTTTTGAAAGACTTACATATCACCCCGGCTGCCACTCTGTCCGGCACATAGTCGCTGTTGGCTAACAGGTGCAACAACAGGGAATCGGAGAACTCGTTGAGCCGGCGTATTCGTCGGATTCGGGCCAGGAGCGTATCCATTGGTGGGACCGAATGCCAACCTGAAGAAGAAATTATAAATGAATAAGGGAAGGAAGAAAGGATACGTTCTAAACTCTTAGCATACATAAATATACTCGCATCTCTAGGACAACTGCACCAGCCCCATTCCTCCAGGGAATTTTAGGTTTGAGAGAGCGGGTCTTTAGTTCGGTGAGTAATTAGCCATAACAACATCCTCCCGCCACAACTCACCATTTAGCGATCACCGCAGTTATTAGGCCGACTGTCTCCGATGTGTACTGAAATTAGCTATTAGAATATTACTCTTATTCGAATCGAGTTTGCACGAAGGGCCGGGAAAAGGTCAAGAATTGCCGCTGGTGCTATTTACTTGGACCTCCCCGGAGGCAAAGTTCTGTCGGCGCGTTTCCACAACTCTTCTTTTTTTCCTCTTTTTTCTACACAAACATTGCCCTCTAGGAAAAAACGCGCCGTTATTTTCATTGTAAAAGGGCCGAACTCACCCTCAAGGCTTTTAGGTCTCCCCCTCCCTTTATGGCCGCCCAAAGAGAGATAGCAGAACGGGACGGAAAGAGGAAGGAATGGCGCCTTAAAAGGTTTGTCAATGACGCGCGGCGTTTTTGCAATTTTTTAAATGCATTTACCAATACATGGAGATGGATTGATTTGACCTTTTTAATTACCGTACCCTCTCTAATTCAACCCCCATAAAGGCGTTTCTTTTTATTTGTAGAATTTCCTAGTACGATGCCATTTTCTTAGTTTTGATTGATTTATTTAAATTCATATTTCTTCACATTCCCTAATGCCATGACAATCGAGCTCAAGCAAACCGTGTCTTTTTCGTTTGGAGGAAACTTCTCGAGGCCGCATGTGGAATATGTAAAAGCCAGTCAGAGCTTTAGGAGAATGCAGAGTGTCGCACGGCTACATTTTTATTTCTTTTTAAACGGTCAGTAATTTGTGATTCTACTGCGTGACACTTTTGTTATCTTGTTATTGCATCAACATTTATTTATTATAACAGAAACTCGGACCAAAGATGGCCTTGCAAGGGTTGTTTATTTCTTTGCTAAACATAAACACCTTTTTAAACGTATGCTGAACAAGATTGAATAAGAACATAAATTTGAGTCCAACCCATATGTCTTTTATGATTTACAAAACATTTTCCCGACCCTTTGATCATTTTCTGGGCGATCCCCGAGGGGATATTTTCATTTGACCACTTGTGTTCTGCTTAATCCGTCTTCGAAATGACCCTCTCAATCGTTTTTTTGGTGCCAGCACGTGACCAGAGGCAAAAGCTCGCGGTTGGTCCTCCTCTCGAAAACAACCAAAAGACTCGGGTTGTTTAGCAGGACGTTGTTTAACCCCTTTCTGCTTATTAAAGGCAAATTTTGTGTTTTTTTGAAACTTTTCCCAAAGCAGAAAACAAAGCGGCCTCCCTCTCGGACTGCCCCATCCACGATATAGGTCGCATGATTCGGAAACAGCTGACAGATTCTCGGACCGCACGGCCCTTTCCTCTTTCCACGTTCTCTCACGTCCCCCCGCGCGTTTTTTGAGGGCCTAAAAAAGTTGATCGGTCAGAGAGTGCAGATATATACAGAGCTTTCCGGATAACGGTGAGCTCATATTAATCAACCGGCGGTCGTTGTCTGTAAGTAGGTCACCCATCCTTAGTCGGCTGTTCCCTCTTTTCTTTCAAATTAATTCGCCGGCGAACATGTGACAAAGGGCACGGGAGCCGGGTGTCAGTAGACCCAGTACATGTGAACTTCGTCGTACCAGGATGTGTTATAGTGGGAAAGGAGGCCGGGCTCCTTCGCTCTCCGTTTATTGGAATCTGCTCGCTGCGTTTTTTAAAACCAATTTCTTGTTGGTATTATTCGAAAGAGTCGAGTATTCGTATTCATTTCAGGAAGGAGAGGTGGCTACTACAAGATGACAACTACGGCTCTGAAGATGGCAAATCCGATGAAGAAGGAGCTCAAGAAGACGTTTCAGGCCTACTTGCCTGAGGGAGCTCGGACTTATAACTGTGCTCATTGTAGAGCCAACCTCGCCGATCACAATGAACTCATCTCCAAGGTAAGTTCCGTCTCTTATTCAAAGGTTTTGTCGGATTGGTTTGTAATTCGACTTGTTTTAGTCATTCCAAGGAAGTCAAGGAAAGGCTTATCTCTTCAATTCAGTGTAAGTGCCCTTTGAGTTGTTGTTCTTTCCGAGGGTTGTTATCCGGAGAAGAACTCTTTACTTTTCATTTAAAATAGCGTTTTTTACAACGTGAAGCAAGCTCCGGACACTAATCTTTTGAAATTTTGCATAGTTGTTGCACAGGATGGGCCACTCAAAACTATTATTGGGACTTTTGGTATATACTCCGCCGATCTAATTTGGACCGACTCGAAAACGGTGATAGTTATGAACCCCACGTCTTCAACAAATTTGATCATCGGTTGATTCTATGCTCTACTGTAGCAAAATATCTCATCTGTCCTGAGGCACAAGAAAAATTTTTGGAGTTTTTAATTTCGGCTGTCGGAAAAGTTTGAGCGCGGGCAAAAAAATTTGCTTTTTTTATCACAAGTGGGATAAAGTCTGATAATTTGAGAAGCAAATTGTGATTCTCTGCTGATTCTAATGATGACTATTCTACGATTCACGCGGCGCTTAAGGCCCTGAGTTGGCTTTTGAAAAAAAATCCCAAAATTCTTGGATTTTGTCGTCACAGTGCTTGCGTAATCGGCTTAAATTTGATTCCGCTTGACCACTGTTCGTCATATATTGCCCAAATAGCCTTTCATTGCTTATCAAAAATCTAAACTACCATAAAAGCGGGGTCGGGACTTTTCGGTCCCCCCACTTTCGGTCCCCGCCTTTTCGGTCCCGCCGTTTGGGGTGGGAGACTTTTCGGTCCCCGTCCTTTCGGCTGGCGCCTTTTCGGTCCCTGGGCTTTTCGGGTGGGGACTTTTCGGGTGATTAGTAAAATACTGTAATATAAGATACTACTGATGACGTAATATTGTAAATAATTAAAAAAAAACTTTTTATTCCGTTTTTGGGGTGTTCGGCTAAAAAACAGATTCTTTTAGATAATCGACCGAGAAGAATCCGAAAATGAAGTTTATTTTTGCCAGAAAGTATTTGAAAAATTAATTATTAATTATTATTAATTAACGAATTACAAAAGAAAAAACGGAAAATAACAGTAATAACACAATTCGAAAATGATAAGATTACTAGCGAATGTTCTGAACGATTCCACCAAGGAAAATTAATGAATTTTCCGATTTAATGTAGGATGTTATGCTAATTTCATATAGAAATTCGAGTTCTTCATGGGCGATTTGATAATGTTATACTTTTATCACTTCTTCTATCTAATGTTATTTTGAAGTTTTGTATTGAAATGTCGCAGGGTGGGTGATTCTAACTTGAAACCCCCAAAAACGGATTAAAACGTATTTTAAAATTATTTACAATATTGCGTAATCAGTAGTATCGTATTTTACAATTTTTTACTCATCACCCGAAAAGTCCCCACCCGAAAAGCCCAGGGACCGAAAAGGCGCCAGCCGAAAGGACGGGGACCGAAAAGTCTCCCACCCCAAAAGTCGGGCCCGAAAAGGCGGGGACCGAAAGTGGGGGGACCGAAAAGTCAGTCTCCCCATAAAAGCAAGTCCATACATGGGAAGAATTAGCAATCAACAGATTTTCAAAAAAAACGTCTTTAGATTGTCAAACAGCGGGGCTGGATGCTCACTTATGAGCAAGCCAGCGACCTAGGTCGTGACCGATGTCACGACCAAAAGATTCTCCAAAATGGCCAAACAATTTAGATGACTATGGTGCCAGAGTCATTTTGAGCTCATGAGCTAGTTCAGGAATATCCGTGCCTTTGACTGCCACGCCTTACGTATTAATAGCAACTTATCCTCCGTTGTGAACATGGAGTAACCCCCCTGGGCTAGCTAGTCAGCCGATTTTGCAACACTGTGTATAAATATTGGCCCGATACCCGATCTGCCCGAAATGAAAGGTTGCGGATCGTTAGGATTTTGCCAATGAACAGAAAAGTTCAATTTGTGCGGTGACCGATGATGTTCGCTGCAAAAACAAATTAATGGCCAAAACAACGGTCTAAGGGTATTTGAAGTGCATTTCGGAGGGTTCCTTTGATTAAAGTATATTAAAGATTAGATAGAACTCTTAAAATTGATGAATTTATTTGAATTTTCCAATCTTATATTTACAGTGTTAATATCAGCTGTGGTCCGGCTGAGGAGCGAATTTTGTTGACTGGGCTCCATGAAGTTGCCGATATTTATTGCGAATGTTGTAAAACTACTTTGGGATGGAAATATGTAAGTTACAAAAATAATTAGCATAAAGTCGTGTAGGAACATGCTTATGACGCTAGTCAGAAGTACAAGGAGGGTAAATTCATCATCGAATTGATACACATGATTAAAGATAATGGGTGGGATTCCACTGAACGACGACGGAACAACAGCATCCATTGATAACCGAATATTTTACAGTAATCCTTACAACATATAAGTGTCTTTCCCTCCCCCTCCGAGTCCGTAGAAAACATTTACATCTTCCTGTACATATAGAGTTCACATTTGTATCAACAATGTTATCATTCCAATGTAAGTAGTTGTACATAATACCTAATAATTATGGCATTTAATTCATTTATTATTGACATAAAAATGCTTTATCAACCTAAGGGATGATATTAATCATATGATTTCTGGTAATTACTTAATTAGCATAATCAGATCGACCACATCGGCAATGCGGGCACGGCCATTTACGAATTCAATTTGATTGAGAACATCGTCTGTCTCTTCGGTACTCAGCTTTTCTCCTAAAAATATAGACGTGTTTTTGTTGATTACAAACCCAAATTTTCCAAAATATGACGAAGATCAGCTTGCTGGATATACCCTTCTTGATCCCGGTCAAAGTTTGAGAGACAAGCCATCATCCGATCGCGATCGGCTGGGCTAGTTTGTTTCTTCAGGGCTCCATAAATGGGAATAAACTCTTCGATTGCAACAGACGCATCTGCAAATTTATAATAAAGTGTGAACTTCATCTATCAGTCTTTTTATATTTACACAACTCACCCTTGGATGCCCATTGTTTTGTATAAAGGGCAAGTTGTTTTTCGGTAGGGACACATCCCAGAGATCTCAAGCAGATCCCGACCTGGGAAGAGAATTAAAATTGTAAAGAGATTACCTGACCGACAGAGATTTTGTTATCACCAGTACGATCGTAGTACTGGAAGGCTTCTTGGATTAGTTCCTGCTCGTCTGAAGACACGTTCATCTCTTCCAATTATGAATTCAATTCCCACCCCAACCAGGCTCCTTTTCCTGTCCGGATTCTGATTCAGCCGCCCTGAATCAGCTCCCATACCTCCCAAAAATGAATTCAAATGCTTTAAATTGCACTTTATACATACAAATGTGATATCACAGAATATACAGACAATACCTGTAGTAAAGGCAAGACAGTCGAGGTTGAGGTCATTATCAATGATTTGAGGTCTCAAATACGGGATATATCCGGATCTGAGGGGAAGGCCGAGATGTCTTTCTCTCGTTTTTACACCATAGAAATAGGGCTATGAATAGAATCAGGGCTATGGTGATTAGAAGCATGATGACGTATATACTGAAGGAAAGATGATATGCTCGTTGGGGGCGCCTCATGTCCACGATATCCACATGATTTGTTTGTATTTGTCGAGTTAAGGACACCTCCAAGGCAGGCTCCAACTGACGAGTTCGACGAGTTAAGATAATCTCCGATGTATTGGTTTTGTGACATACGGGGGGCTTAGATTAAACAATTATTTTTCGATTAAAATAAAAATTTTTAAAAGGTGTTATAACCTTTAACAAGAAAAACCTACCGAATAACCCTCGCATCCATCCCGGTCTCTCTGACAAAGGCTCACTTTGCAAGAGAATAACAGCGATTCCACATTTACAAAAGTAAAAACATGAGCTCTGACATGAGCCAGGATCTGATCATTCGCATATTCGATCTCGCCGAGTAGTGAACTGTCGGCAGCACATCCTTGGTTATCGACTATCTCATAACTCCGCTCAGTCCCATTAAAGGCCTTACAATCATGCACATATAATCCATAAGCACCACTGACATCTAGAAGGAGTAATTAAAACATATTCAGGTTACCATCGGATGCCTTGCATTCCCACCGATGATAAATAATCTGCCCAATGCTAGCTGATTGAAGGACAGGACCATTGGGAGAATCTCTTCTTATCGTATACTCACATTTGGGGGGAACAGCATCAAGGGCTATTGTTTTGCTTAGAGCCATTAGACTAGAAGAGAGTTTAATTAGGATGATAACTAACCCCTCTACGTCCAATCTTGTCTCCAATGTCTGCTCAATACGCCTTCTGGGAATAAAACATTGCACAATATAACTTTGGTCTTGATCTGTGATCAGCTCTTTGTGATGATAAATGTTGATCACAACGGAATTGTTACGCCCCCTAGGAGAGTTCTAAAATTTTTTTTCAAATTTGTTTTTTTATTTACCGAACTGATCGAGGAATGTCCACATTCGCCAGTCTTGATGGAGAATGTGACTTCTCTCATTATATTTGATCCTTCATGAGTTTGAGGGATCTCGATATAACATCCGTTTACTGTCTCATATCCCTTAGCTCCAATAAAGCCAGAGAAATATTCTGGTAATTTGAAAGTTGCCTAAACAAGTTAGTAAATTGATTAATGCTAAAATTGCGCAATATTACGCCAACTCTTACCGTCACACCGTCACTTCGGCACTGCACTTGTACATTCTCAGATGAATATGTTGATGATAAATGATGAGGTCTCTCTGAAAAAAATATTGTAAAATGTCTTTAAAAATTTTAGATTACCAGTTGTAGCCGGCTCTTCTTTATCAACGTTTTCTTCAACGTTATCAAATGGTCCTGCAGGAGCTGAAGTTGAGAAGACTTGGAGGTCATTGTTTACAACATGATGTTCTCCTTTCAAAACCGCTTCAATCTTCTTTGCCAGTCGTTTAGCCAGTGGTGTTTTCAGGGTGTCTTTTAGATCTAGTGGAGCCAAATCTGAGGCCTCAGCGATCTCTTTTAATCCGTTTGGATCAGCCTCTACAGTGGCTACGACCAGCATCGTGGTGTCATCTTGATGGGCCAATTCCACCGGGATCTTAATCTTATTTTGATCTGCTTCGTCTGTTATAAGAACAAGGACATTCGGAGCATCGGAACGATCGCCCTGGAGAAAAAAGTTTTAAAATAATTCCAATATTTGAAAGCAATTACTCTTGTCTTTGTAAAAGCGTATTTCATGATCTTCTCCACCGCCCTTCCCAGATCTGAATCTCCATTCATATATTTGGTATCCCGTATATCTTCCAGCAACTCAGTAATGCAATTGTGTTTCCTAAACGAGAACTCGAGTAATGGCTCCTCATTATATTGTATTAGAGATATTTGAATTCCATTCTGTCCAATGTTTTTGAATTGTCTGACCGTATCCGCGATCAACTTGAGCCCACTGCCAAACTGCCCCGATCCAACAGTCTTTGAGCTGTCCAAAAGGAACAGAACATCGCCCAGGAGAGCGTCAGTGCTATCATTGGGGATGGGGCATTCGTCATTGGCCTCAGGGATAGTGGCAATTACATTTTCGGTGGTCTGGGGATATAAATAAACATTAAGGATGATCTTACTGTCTCTATGGGGATCGGCGTTGTTAAGGCCGGCGGGGATGTGACGATGGTGTTGGCTTGCGTGGGAATCTCTGATAAATATTTGAATTCAAATCCCTGAAACTTGCCTGTGGCAGTTGTTGGGGGCCGTGGTTTCCAGGTGCGGGGATGTTCTCGGGCTTCGTCTCCATTCGCCGAATGCTCGGGGATAATCAGTTCCTGACCCATGGTGGTGGCTTTTGTAGAAATAGTTGTGTATCCGGTCTGTTCCACGTCTTTTTCATCTTCTGATTGTTCTGGAAGTTGTTTGGCATCTTCTTGATGCAGTTGATTGTCTCCTGAAACCGGCAAAGGTCCTTCTGTTAAGTCATCAAAAGGAAATGTTTCGGATTCTGGTATTGAATCAGGAGTGGTTGGTTCTACGCCTGGTTGAAGATCTTCCACGCGAACACTGATTCCAGGGGGTAATCTTCTTGTTGTTTCAGGGATGGATTCTGGAGTAGTGCCAGATTCCTCAGCTTCTGGAATAACGGTAGTTTTCTGGAATATAATGAGAGGCGGGGAGGTTTCCTCTTTAATTTGAACCTGTGTTGTGGTCGTTGTAATAGACGTAGTAGTTGTTATTGTTGAAGGAGAAGTTCTAGCCTCGGTGGAAGTGGTTGTTGGAGCATGTGTGGATGTGAGACTCTTGATCTTCTCCAACTCTAACTCTGCTTGTTTCCTTTCCTCGGGATCTGTGATTGTAGTTAGTGCATCCCCGATCAATTTCTCCAGATCTTTTGAACTTATGTCATCTGGGGTTGGTGTTGTCTGCACGAAATTCGTTTTGTTTTTTGTTTCGGACTTACGGTAACGTTGTTATTTTTGGCAATTCGATCGAGTTCGTCGAGGATGAGAGGTATGGCGGTCTCCAATTCCCTGTCCAATTCCCTTTCCAAATCCTTGTCAGTGATGTGAGAGCCATTGGTGGCCGCATAGGCTTTGACATGAGCCTGAAACGGAGTTCCAGAAGTGCTGCTTAAGACTCACGAAATTGCCAGGATTAGAGCCCATTTTCCGTTCATCAGACGCAATTAAAACGCCTTTCTTTGTCTCCAAATCCCGGGAAATCTGAACTCTGTCTTCTCCGTCCACTTGTGTAACGAGACGGGCTTCAGAGTACAAGGAGTTGGGGTCATGTTCATTGGCAAACACTTGAATTAACGTCTTTATAATTACTGGGTCTGGTTTTCGGATTGGCTGTGGGCTGGTCCCTAAAATAGGGTTTTGAGTTGCAGATAGTATCTTTTAATTTCAAACTTCTCTCATTGCATACGAAGGAACTCTTTTCTGAACATTTCTTTTGAACTTGCCTTGATTACTCTGGAAGTTCTGATTTCCATTCCATTGTTGATTCCCGTTCCACTGACCTTGTTGCTGCGACCATTGTCTTTGGTTTGATTGGCCTTGTCTCCATTGATTATTCAAATGTTCATATTCATCAATTACTGGTGGATTTGGAGGTGGTTGATACCCTAAGGGCACGGGTGTATTCTGATAGACGGGTTGTCTGTGTTGAGGTGCGTATGTATAGAAGGCCAAACGAGGCTAAAGTAATATAAAAATCAAGTTTATAAAATAATTAGAGTCTCTTGAAATGTCTGTTTCATAAATCATCCAACCTATAAAATTAATGGGAGAAAACAAGTTTGAGGTGGATATCTGATAGCGAAATAAGGAAGTAATTACTCACTTGAACCAGTCCGAATAGTAATAGGACTACCGAAAGTGTGGCCATTTGGCCAGATTACGTAATCAGCGACAATATTACGAAGATAACCCAAGGAAAGTGCGGGTGTCACCGTTTTTTCGAGCAGAGTTGAGGAAACGTCAATAGAAAAAGTTTATCTCAAGGGTTGCGTTGTGGTTTTTCATTGAGGCGGGCTCGAAGGAGTGAATTTTTGGTCGCGGTTGGGGCAAAATCGTTTATCCCGCGCACTTTTTCTCTTTTATGTCACTGTTAAGAAGTGAAGAGGCAGACGAAAAAGTGTTGAGCTTATCAGCGAGCCCTTCGAGACAAGGTGAGAGGAAAGGAAACACCTGAATCCGGTTCCAAACAGCGGGATTTCGGGGATTCTTGTTGTTGTTGACCTTCGTCCCAAGTCACAAAGCATCACGTAAAAGAGAGCTCTGAAGGATAAAGAAAGGAGCCGAAGAAATATTGGATGACATTTCGTTGACCATAAAACGATTCCTTCTCCATTTTGTCATCGTATTTACAGACAGTTACACACTTGTCAACAACTGGCCATTGAAATCTTCGTTAACCCATTTATGGTACGATCAGATAACCCCATGTCTTATTTTACTTTTTATCTGTTGCAAAAAGAGGACATTACTTGACGAGAATGTCGACGAACCGTAAGGATTGGACTTGGAGATGATTCTTTCTTTACTCCGCCTACTGCATTAGAGTCCAGGAGAGTTTTCTTTCCCCCGGACCTTTAAGTTTGTCTTTTTACTTTACTGTACATGCAGTGTTCATTGTTGATGCGGAGGGATCAATGTCCGTTTCCGTTGATCCATTTTATCCCGTTTATATGGCGTGTTCCTGTTTTTTTCACTCGTTAGTTTAATTCTAGGTTTACAAGGATGCGGACGGTGATATTATGCTTAATCTTGAGCGTTGGGTGCATCGGAATGGCTTCAGCTGGTGAGTTTTCACTTTTAAGAATAAAGGCCAGACATCTTGGTGAAACTGCATCAATTTAATACCATACTATTACATCCTGACCCTTAATTTTCAGCCTCCATTTACATCGACTCAAATCGGCCAGACTACGAGGAGAATCTGCAGAAAGTATATGACAATCGGCTTCAACCTTATGCAATCGAATATCTCGCAAAACGAGCTGCTCTACCGTATTCCGGAGGTATATATGGGAAGAGAGCAGCCCTTCCTTACTCGGGTGGAATCTATGGAAAACGCGCTTCGGTCCCTTTCTCGGGCGGAATCTACGGCAAACGGAGTGTAGATGAGGCGCCAGTGGATCATGTGAATGGCATCAGTATCCGTGCTATGCCCATCAACGGCGGCTTCTATGGGTGATTTGTAGAAGACGTGACTGGCCTGTCGTCACTCTCCGGTGGTCTTCCGTTTCTTCGATGCCGATCTCTTCGTATCTTCCTCTAGTTCCCTTCGGGATCTCGCCTTGTTAACTTTATCTATTTATTTTATGCAGCCGTGTACAATTTTTGTGACAAGAAACAATTTGTAACCCAGCAACAACGTCTTTCGAAGAAGTTTTAAAGAGGGTTTAAAAGTGTTTGCGGGTATGAATTCGAATTCAAGAAGAGCCTATTCTAGTTATTCACTACCGCCTATCAGTCGAGGTCATGACGCCCCTCTGAGTCAAGCATCAAATAGGTAACAGTATTTGACTGTTTTTGCAAGGCTGTTTTTCTTCGTTTGACCTCTTAACTCCAAACTCAAATTAACTCGATTCGCAGTTCCGTATTGAACTTTCAATGTTAAGATACGATCGGAACCCGAATGTGTTGGCATCATTGCGTTCGATGAGAACAGAGGTGGACCGAGCAGGACGAGGAGGGAATGACGTCAGGGTAATCTTGTACTTCTATTCCTAGTCAAGCGAATATTTAGTCCCAGATGGCTTCGGAAGCGAAACTAATCTTAGAGCGGGCCGAAAGGGAAATTAATAAGATTCAGAAGAGGCGGACAGAAGCCCTCATGAACGGCGATACTATCAACGCCGAGAGACTTGCCCGTCGAATCAACCAAATCTATTCCGCCGCGGTTAGAGAGGCTCGAGTAGATGCAGTCCGAAATGAGGTTAGCTGTAGTTGATGAGGAACTTAAGCAGTTGTAATTGTTGCCCGTGTTAGACTTGGTGACGTCATTCCTTTAGAGAACGAGACGTCCTCGGAGTTACGATCAGTTAGATACAATGGAAAGATTGCCACAAACAGAAGGAAGGAGCTTCAGAAGACGGCCAAGGATCGTCACTCCACCAAGAGATTACTATAAAGAATATGCGAGAGATAGGAACGAGGCCCAGACAAGTTATACAAGATTCAGATCTCCATGGAGATTACCATCTCCTCCGGAAAAACAGCAAAGAGATAGATTTCGGAGAACGAAAAGCCAAAGGAATAATCAACGACGATCACAGAGTTCCGGATCTGAAAGACTCAAATATACATCCAATTCAGAAGCTGCTGTTAAACATATGAAACGGAACAAAAGACTCAAAGATGTGAAACTTCCAAAAACGGCTGATGTCATCAAACAGATCCCGATGACTGGTCAAAGTCAGCTACATCCTATTCCTGAGCCAGGAGAAACAAAGTAAATTCATTTAGTATTTATGTCAACTTTTTTTAGTATATGTCCTCAATGTTATGAACGGAACGATGCCTTCGCAGTAGAGGCCAATCTGAAGCAGCACTGGTTGTATCATTGTCCTGTTCTCACGAAATGCGACTTCTGTGATCAAGTTCTTCATGTGGCCGAACTCAATAATCATCATATAAATCTGTGCCAATTTGTGAACAAAACCATGCTTCCCTGTCCATTATGTGGCTTGGCTCAATATGGAGGTGAAAGTAATCATCCTCGATGTCCAAGTAAGTGTTATTGCAACGAAATATTTGATGACAGAAACTCATCCCGAACCGGGCGCAGCCTGGTGTCCTTTATGTTCCAAGAAAGTTGAATCTCTCACCTCACCCGAATCATGGAGAAATCATTTAATCGGCAATTGTTTAAACAACCCAAGGATAAAGAGCAGATGGAATGGCAAGACGGCACCAACGTGAGTATAATACAATCTCAAGAAATAGCATTTCTAATGACAATATATTTATAATACAAAAGTTTTTAATCACACAATCGTTGCAGACAAGGAGCATCGCTATTAACCGGTCTACAATTGAATGTAGGTTGGATTACTCTCTTCCTTTACCCGTTTACAGACTGAATTTGATTCTGTCCCAATTAATGAACCCCAACAAAATATGGCCCCGGTCCCAATGGCTCCTCCGGCCGTTGGGGGAATGCCCTTAGGCAATGGGGACATAAATGGACCAATAACTGGAGCTCCCTCCCAATTTGGTCAACTCCCTCCACTTAATGCAAATCAAGGCTTTGGAATTGCCCAGAATCCGCAGCAACCAACGAATGGGCAGAATCTTAGAAGTGCATATAGAAAGCTGCAGCAAGAGAGGAAACAAGATTATGAGAAACAACAGGAAAGAGAGGCAGCGGAGGAGGAGGAGAAGGAAGAAGAAGATCATTAGGCTCAGATCCCATCGAAAGTATTCACACGATGCTTCGGGGGACCAGCTCCACTCTGAAAATAGTGGTTTTTTTTACAAAACTCTTCATCCCGTAAATAAAAATAGTTATGTTTACTTTGCGTAAAGTCGAGTATTTATCCAATCCCATTTGAACATTACTAGCGTGCACTCGATCATGTTCGGTAATGCTGTCCTGCTTTTTAAACACATCGATTTCTTGTCGTAAATGTGACAATCTCTCCTTCAATTCTCTGTTCCTTTCAATGTTTTCCATTCTAAAATAATATTAATTCACTTTTGTCTTCTTACTTTGTTTTCTCAATCTCGGCGCAGAGATCTTGGATCTCTCCATCCAGAAGAACCGTGCTTCCATTATTATTTATAGGTCCCTCGTCCTCCATTACATAAGAAGAGGTCATTCCATTAGAAGTCGATCTGTGGACATGATTTTCTTTGGCATTGAGGACCATTTCTGGAGTCTGGCTGAGCCGATGCATCGTGGAATGGGAGTGGCGGAGCTGGGGTTCAACGTTTTCGGTACCATACGGCGGAGCGTACTGTAATTTTACATTTTTTTGGAAATCGGAATGATTTGCCAAACAAAAAAAGCGTGACAAAGAATATTAAAAAATACCTGATCCAACTCGTTGATAAAAACCTGGCTTCTGAATAAAGACCTCTTCGGAAGGGACTCAAAATGATTATTAACAACATAATGTGGCTGCAACTGATGAAAACGATCGCCCTGTGAAAACTGAATTAAGCGGCAAAACAAGGAAACTCAGAGTGAAATCAGAAGAACTGAGGATCCTCACTCACCTGCTGCATCTTGGACAACATTACTCGCTGAACCTCGGCTTCAGCCTCGCTGCAACGCTTGGAATAAGCTAAGGTCTCTTGCTCCAACTTCTCCGTGGTCAGGCGATGACTTTCATCAGAAGTTTTTATAAAATCCTGAAATTAGATCTTTTCATTTTTTAAAATTTCATTTCACCTGCATTGTTGCCAATTGTTCTGACATGAAAGCGACTTCATTTTTGTATTTATCCCTCTCCGTCTCTGCCTGAATCCTCCGTTCCTTCTCCTTCATAAATTTTGCTTGTTCCGCCAATCTCTTCTGTCGCTGCTCTTTGGCTTGAATCTTCATTTGTTGAACTTCCAATAGATCTGGCTGCCGTCTTCGAAGGTAGAGATTGTGAGTTCCAATACATAAATCGAGGATCGACATGTTTATGGACATCTCCTGGGCTCGGAACTTAAGTTTGCTTTTGTCTACATTGCATATTGAGAACTAAATGTTTGGTTACAGTAATCAGCGTTCTCCTTACTTCTTTATTTTTGAATGAAATATTTTTTATTTCACTCCATGGGAAAAACGGCCTCGGGGAAAGACGATTGTGGGTTTCGTAGATCCCGATTCCTTGAGCTGAGACTCCCAACAAGAGATTCGTATCTTTTTGATTCTAAAAAAGTTAAAGTCATCATGGTGAACACTTACATAGATGGGGTAGTATTGAATGCCATACATGTCCAGGTCCTGTGCCACTCGAAGGTATTCCATTTCCGCGTCTTCTCTGTAAATTCATTGCTGATATTATGGAGAACACATACGTTGATAACCCCCCATTATTGGACCACCACTTTCTGAGCCTCTCTTCCCACATTTCTTTGGACATGTGATAATGACTGATTACTGAAGCAGGCAACAACTTGTCCAGCTCTAAATCCACATCATCCGCCACATCCCCACACATCGCCTGGACAGCATAAGAGGCTAATAACACTGCTGCTTCGGCCTGGCAATATAAATCTTCTTTGAGTATGCTCTGTTTTATTTGAAGGAAGAATAAATGCCTAGTAATGTCTTGAATCAGTTCTTCTTCCACGGATTCCGGATAGAACTTGACCAAGAAGTAGAAGTGATACGCGCCGGCCTCATCTTTGATCACGTTCTGCTCCGCTACCTAGGCAAATTGAAAGACAAATGCTAATTTACTCACTAATTTCTCCATCTGAAGCCAAACCGAGATATTACTTTTATTCAGAAATTGCAGTCCGAAGTACCATATCTCCCTGAGGCCAATTATTCGACACACCGCATCAAACAGTTGCCGCCCAGTCCAGTCCAACTGAAAAAGCAATAACATGTTTTATGCTGCGAATGTATTTATTACCTCAATGTTTATGGCTGTGATATCTGCATCCATGGTGGTTACCCGGACGGGAACAGCCTTCTTTCTTCGAGAAAACAAAGACAACATACTATATACATACTACGTCATTCAAATGATCAGAAATAATTCGATTCGAAGATATAAATAAAATAATAATTTGACCTCTCTGCAGCGAGTGTTCGCTTTTTCTTCGCCCAATCACCCCCCCCCTTTTTTCTTCTTCTTCTTCTTTCCGATTAGCCTCTTTTTTCTTGTTTGGATCAACAGGTATGCGACATTTCTTTAAGTAACTATTTCATAAAACATGCATGTCAAATTTTGATGGTCCACGAAGTCCTCATCACAACCAAATTTGTTAGAGGGGTAGCCAAAAATCTGGATCGGCAAGCCAAAGTGTCAGCTTGCTTTGAAGACACTTTTAGCTAGTTTTTTGAGGCTTCAAAATTATTCTGACACTTTCGCTAGCCGATCCAGGCTAACCATTTTTTAATGTTTAAATGGTTAGCCAAAACCCTAAACAAAATTGGTTGTGATTTCAACTTATTGGCTAGCTGGGCAAACAATTTTGCAACATTTGCTTACATACATGGCTCGGGACTTCTAAATCTCTCCGCAAGGGTCGAACCCTGCAAATTTAGTCCAAAATTAAAAGTTGACAAAAAAGGCAGAAATTCTTACAGAGAGAAATTGCGCAATGGTATGTCAGATTGCGCAACTTTTAACTTCGTACTAAATTTTCAGGGTTCGGATGGACTCTTGCGGAGAGATTTAGAGAAGTCCCGAGCCATACCGGAATTTATAAAGCATTTGTTCCGAATACCGCAAGTGTCACTTTTCCGCAATTCCTCAAATGTCCAAATTCCGCAAATATAGTACTTCACGACAGGTCGTGGAACACCCTGTACATCGATTTTGAAATCAAAAATCGGCGTTTACTCATTTTTTCTAATGTCCCGACTTGAAAACAACGCAATTTTTGAAAAAAAAAATTTTATCCTAGGACCCGATCAATCTTATTATTTCTACTAACTAAGCCTTCTCCAAGCCTCCCCCATGGCTACAACGACGAACCGACACGATCCATACTGTAAATTAAAAATCCTAAATATCAGTGTTTGAAGCCTAAATCCATGTAATGCGACGATATGACGAAAAACGAAGCGCCAGTTGAAAGGAATGCCATCGAAAGGAACCCCTCGTGGAGAAGAACCCCTTGCTGAGAGGAACCCCTCGTTGAGAGGAACCCCTCGTCGAGAGGAACCCCCGAGTAAGAAATGTTGGATATAGAGGTAATCGATGACGGGGATTTCGAAAATGATGTTAATTTTTTCTCTCGAGGAAAACCAGTTGAAAGCTGAAAGAATATACTAGAATAACATAAGGAAACATCCTTAACTTTCACCCCTTAAAAAAGTTACAGTTCATCTAAATTTACAGACATGTAACTTTTGAAAAAGGCCGCAAAATCGAAAAAGACCGATTATGACCCGAAGTCGCAAAAGTTCGTCCTTTTCAACAAAAAATCGCTAGCCAAGCAACAGGGCTAGTAGCTAGCTGGCCCACGTGGCTATCCAAGCACCTCGGTGACTGTTACTTTTACTGTAAACCTTTACTTTATAAAGTAGTAATTTTTTGAATTTTTTCTTAAAGTACTTGATAAGAACAACCCGACGGGGTTTTTTGAAATACTGTAGACAATAGATGGTTATTTTCAGTCTTAAAAATTTATTGTTCATTATTATAACAAACATGTCGCCAAGCCTTGGGAGAAGTTTAACCATCGGCGAACCACTTGATGCACCAAAAAACAATATTCTGCGTTCAAAATTTCACTTTGCCCTGCTGTTTCCAACGTCCGCACGTGCGCTAGGACTTTATCGGGGTCGCAACCACTGCAGTGCACCATGCAGTCGCAAAATGCGATCGCATAGCGCTGTCGCCGGCCTTCTAATATACAGTGCAAAAATTTTAAACACTTTTCGGGAGTTTCAGCATCATTAACAAAGCGTTTAAGATTGGTGTAATGACCAAAAAGCGATTACAAGTCTCCGCCGAATACGGTACTTTCCGCTTCGGCGGAGAAAAAACTTTGTTCAGGCAAAAAACCGCCCTTCTTCTTATTTTTACTGCAAACAGAGCTTTTTGGATATCTTGACTAAACGCCAAGAATCGACAAAAAGTCCGGAGACATCCTGTATTACGGTGTTTCTTTAAAGAAACACTTGACCAAAACAGCCGGGGAAAGACTTGACTCGATCAATTTTTTTCCATTTTTGCGTTTTGCCAGCAAAAAGATTTTTCCGCAAACTTCGGTCTTTTACAGACCGAATGACATGTAAATAAAGCAATTCCGCTTGTGGTGTTAAACATATTCAAATTGTTCGAGAGTAAGTCTTTTTCCGTTTGATTATCTGATCTTTAGCTGCGAAAATAGTTCCCATAAAGCCCGTGTTTCTAAGAGTAATACGATTCTCTTTGTTTTAGACATAATATTATTTTCTTCACTGTTTTCCAATATTTTGATTTCAGATGCTTCAATTAATTGAAGCGGCCAATATTCATGAACTTACGACACAGAATCCCTCAAATGAAGAGAACTCGGCTCCGTTGGTCAACGAATTCTTTGCCACCGTGGAGAATGGAGGTGTTCCCTTAATCCCGTTGATGCTAACTGCTGGTTACCTTAGGAATCATGATGGGGAAACTTTACTCATCACTGGCGCAAGAGTCGGCAATCATAGAGCTGTTGATAAATTCAGAGGGGAGATTGATGTGGATGACATAGATAACGATGGATGGAGTGCTCTTCTTTGTGCCTCACATCAAGGTCACGCTCAATGTGTGCGTCTTTTACTTGAAGCTGGAGCATCTGTGGATCAACCTGATTTGATGGGATGGACTCCCCTGATGTGGGCGTGTTATAAGAACAGAATTGATGCCGTTAAAGTCTTGTTGGAATTCCATGCTCATATTAACATAGTGGGAGAAGAAGATGGACTGACACCTATGATTATTGCTTCTGGAAGAGGATATTACGAGATTGTTCATTTGTTACTCGAGAATAACGCCGAGGTAAATGCGAGCGACAAGTTTGGAAGCACAGCTTTGATTTGGGCGGCTCGAAAAGGGTAGGTCTTCATCTTTACCAGCATCGTTGCATGTTAAAGTATTGTTGGAAAATGAAATTTTTAGATATTTGGACATTGTGGAGGAACTTCTCAATGCCGGTGCGGAGTTGGATGCTGTCGGAATGTATTCTTCCACTGCTCTGATGCTGGCAACAAGAGGATGTCATTTGAAAACAGTCGAAGCTCTTCTAGCCAGAGAACCAAATGTTAATGTTGTTGATTACAATGGCCTCTCAGCTCTTGGAATTGCCGCTCGTGAAGGATACACTCAAATTGCTCAAGCTTTATTGCATTCTTCTGCTTATGTGAATACTGTAGATAGGTATGGAAATTCGATTCTGGCCAGTGCGGTGAGAAGTGGGAATCTGAATTTGGTGCGAATGCTTTTGGATAAACACGCTGATGTGAATGCCAAGGATTCTGAAGGAAGAACCGCTTTACACTTGGCCATTGATAAAAGTTACACCGATATTGTACTTGTTTTATTGGAGAAAAAACCTAATCTGGAGATCAGAAACAAGGACGGAGATACCGCTTTACTGAGGCAAGTCAATTTCGCTGATTTATTTATTTATTTATTTTAGGGCTGTCAAGAATAGAGATGTCGCTCTGTGTCAAATTCTGGTTCATTCGGGTGCTAAAATTAGTAGCACTGACAATGTCGGGGACAATGCGTTGCATTTGGCGTTGAGAGCGAGGTCAAAGAAACTGGCGCAGATCTTACTGGTGAACCCCGGAGATTCTAAGTTACTGTATAGACCAAACAAACTCGGAGAAACCCCGTATTCGATAGATCAGGAGAGCTCAAGCCCCATTCTTCCCACAATCTTCGGACCGATTGGAGTTGATATGGAATTCAATAATCTACTTGGATATGAAGCTTATAGCGATGTTTTGGCCGATATTGTATGTGAACCCAATCTCTCACTCCCTCTCACTATCGGACTTTACGCAAAATGGGGATCGGGGAAATCCTTTTTGCTACCGAAGATTAGAGAATCGATGAGAAGTTTCTCCAGAAGTTGGTTGGATGGACTGGAGTTGTATTGGAGCTGGACTCTGGTGTTTACCTGCTTTTTTATCTGCGCCTTCTTCTCCTTCACATTATTTACTCTCTACGTTCTCATCGTTCACACTTTTGATTTCCTTTATCCCGTTTTGGTTGGAGGCGTTGTGTACGTAGTCGTCTTGGCATCGTATGGCCTCATTTATTATGGAAGTGAAGTCCGTTTATGGAATGGATCCATCAACCTCGCGCGACAGATTGCCAAGGTTTTAGCCAGGTTTAAGCTGGTTATCAGTATCCTGACTTTGAATACTCCCATGAGATCGGATAAGGACTTGATTGTAAGCCCTGTGGGCTTTTTATTCGCGGACGATCATCGACTCTCTTTCATTGGTGGAGAACAGGCACTTGTAAATATTGTTCTATCCCTGTACAATGCCGCCGAAGAACATTACGGCACCATCCCTGTTCGAATGTACGCAGCTTTGAAGGCACAGCAATCACATAATGATGACAAACTGCGAACGATTTGCGGAATCCCAGTACTCTTCAACATCGTCGTGATGGTAGTGTCTGCGATTATTTCCATGTCTCTCGTTCTTTACGAATATGGACATGTTAACGATCTTAACCATGATTCAAGCTATCTGATTGGCGCTGGAGTCCTCGGTTTAATATTTCTGGTGGCTGCTCTTCCCATACTCTATACCTTCACCATCAGACTTATTGTGAATCTACCTCAACGAAGAATAAAGTCGGTCATGCATAGATTACACAATCTTCCATTTGAGAGAGTAGTCCAAAAGATCCAAAATGAAGTAGATCTCTTAACCAACCTGATCCATTCATTGGATGCGTTTACGAATTCCCAAACACGACTTGTTGTCCAAGTTGATGGCCTCGACAGTTGTGAACAAAGCAATATGGTCCAGATCTTAGATGCGCTTTCTCTTTTCTTCGCTTCCAGACAGAATTCTCCTTACATTATCATCTTAGCTGCTGATCCTCATATAATTATTTCTGCCCTTCAAAAAAATCTTCGTGGGTCTGCGAATTTAGAGATCACCGGCCACGATTACATGAAGAACCTGATCAGTATGCCTTTCTATCTGCATCACGCAGCTCTCCAACAACTTCATCGTAAGAATCAGGACAAGGAGGTGGTCAATGGAGGTGGAATATATAACCGAAGAAGGTCCGATACCATTCGAAGTTCTCGTTTATCACTTAGGGAGAAGGAGATGATCATGAACACTGCAGGTAAGTTTCTTATTTATAATACAGATGAGGGTTTACTAGTGGTGGCTAACTTGCCTCGATTCCAGGACAAACACAATCCAAGGAGAATATGGTGAGCACATTCGGGACGAATGATCTCTCCAATCTGTTCCCATCCCATGATTACTTTGCCAATATAAATCCTCGTGTGATGAGGAGGATCGTGAACTCGATTGCGCTGACCGGCCGTCTTCTGAGATCCTTCGAAGTGCAATTCAATTGGTTCCTTTTGTATTCCTGGATTAGTCTTCTGGAACAATGGCCATTCCGGATGACTTATTTGGTTGGATGTGCATTGGAAGAGGAGGATGGAGAGATGACTTTACCTGATTTGTATGAAAAGAAGAAACATCGACTACCATCTAACTCAACCCTTTCTGATCTTGACAGAAATCCATCAGAATTTGAGGAAATAATGAGAAGAATGGGTTCTTCCAAGACCGAGCAGTTGACTATTGCTCATGTTAAGGCTTTCTTCCCTTGCACCAGCAATCTGGATCCCTATCTAAAGAAGCTCATCCATGAACAAAGTAAAGATGAATTCGGGAAGCAAGACAAGGATGACAAAGATTTCTCGATGTCTCAGTTTGAGAAGCAAAATGAAGGAGTCAAGTATTTATTCGACGACCCAAATGTTTGGTTCAGCATCACGAAGACCTTGCCATTGATGTCCGTAGAAGATGTCCAATATCTAGTCGAGAAGTTGAGGATTCCAACAGGGAGGATTGCGGAATTGAAAGAAAAAATAGGGCAGTTCAACTTGAACGGATTGGTACTTTATACGTGTAATCTAGATGACTTAAAACAAACACTTGATGTAAGTATTCGACAGAATGATAAGATTTCTTTGTAGCTACCTCTGGGAGATTGGGTTCTATTCAAGATTCTTTTGGAGATTCTTCGAGTCTGGAAACCTCAGGCAAAGAGACCCACTAATAATGACGCAAATGCCCCTAAGCAATTAAAAAATCACTCATCCAGGGGTCAAAGCGAAGAGAGAGTCGAGGCAAACAACTTGGTCAGCATTATTGAAGAATCAAAGAACTTGACTGATGATGGAACGGATTCTGTAAATAAAAGTATTCCGAGGAGGAGAAGCAGCAGCAGTGACAACAAAGACGGCGATGGAGACAGTTTAAAGTCGAATATGGGTTCTAATCGGAGTCTAATCAAGAAGGATGGTGATGAACTCGGCGAGTAATACTATTCGGGTACAAATAAGTCATACAGATTGTACAATAAATACAGAGCTTATTAAAACAAGGTTCGCGAGAAGATCGAGCAATCTCAAAACAGGGTGACACATTTTTACCAAGTTGGATCTACAAGTCTTGTGTCGTGTGTAACATAGTAAAGTGCATAGTTATTCAATCGCGAGAACACGGACGCAACAGATGGATCGCATTTCTACTGCCTAGCGAGAAAGCACAGAGGAACACTGGTGTGAAAGAGGGGATGTAACCGAGACACCGGAGTGGCTTTAACCCAAAAAATACACGATCACTGAGGGGAGAACACTACCCTCCCTAGGACAGTCTACATATATGTAGGTGTGTTCATAGAATAAGAGTGTCAAAACATTCCCGGCTATGAAAATTTTTTGGGATATCTGAATTACTGTAGCCACCATGTAAAAACTTTTCCCGAAATTACCTTGGGCCCGTTGCTACGCACCTGTTACGAAGTGCGTTGAATCTCAGCCCTGTAGGATCAACTTGGTAAAAATGTACCAAGGGCTCGAGCCTTTCGCGAACCTTATTTTAACGCAGAAGCCTAAATTCAAATTGATAAAATTTATTTGTTATTATCTACCCGTAAATAATTGTTTTCTGACAGGAAGACATTCGTGACAATATATTTAAATATATGTGTAAAATCGGTTAGTAACTCTATTTACATATTAGCCAAAGACTTTACACAAAATATTCGGTGGTATTGTAACCGGCTTTACTACACCTGTACATTAGCTAAAAATAATAAGGTTAGCTCTTATCATTCATAATTTCTTTCAAATCGGCATTGGAGGAGCTGGCAACTGGTTGGATATCATGGGCAATTCTGATGGGCTCCGTGTTCTCCACATTACTCGCTCCCATTGGTTGAGTCGTTTCTTTCTCCAAGAATTCGATGAATTTACTTGACAGTTCTTTGATATTCTGGGGCCCCTTAGGGGTACCTCGCAACAAACCCCATACTCCCCGATGTTGGAAACATTCTTCAATCTGACTCTTCTCCTACAAACAATATATTATTCATCTGAAAAGATTACAAACCTCTTGCGTGCAACCAATGATATTCGCCAACAGAATGGCACTTTCTTCTCTTTTGTTAGCATCACAAGTTACCGCGCTGATAATAAATTGCCGGACGACTGGAGGCACCACAAATCCACTCTCAATCATTTTATATTGTTGCTTTATCTCGATGGTTGGTTCTGGGGGAGGTGGAGGAACAGAGGCACCCTTCTCGTATTCTTCCAATTCCATCTTTAACTCATTGACAGTACTTTCCAGTTGTTTATTCTGTTCTTCCAACTCAACTACTTTGTTACTCCACTTCCCATTTTCAAATTCATTTCTCTATGACAGAATTTAGATACGACAAAATATCTTACAGCAAGCTTTCCTTCAAGTTCCCTGATTCTGTTCTCATACTCCATTCTCTCAACCTTGAGCTTCCCATCTGTTTCCACATACGCAGACTGGAGATCCCTGATGGTTTCGTTGAGGCCGGCCACTGTTTTCCTGAGACTTTCGTTTTCCCGTGTCCACCTGTCCATTACCATCCTGTTTCTGAATATTTTTATTGTATATTATATAAAATTCTTACTGTTCCAGATCTTGTTGCTTCTTCTCCAACAATGCTGACTGTTCTTCCAATTCCGCCTGTTTCTTCTCAATCTTACTGGCTGCATGCAGTTTGTATAATTCGGCTTCAGCGGTGTTCTCCGCAAGATTTTTGCTTTCACTCCGAAGTAGTTTGAGCTCTTCCTTTACAGCACTCAATTCCGATGTCAAGCTCGATTTCTCTGCAGTCAATTCTTCAACCGAGTCTTGCGCAATATTGAATTGACTCCTCAAATATTGATTCTCTTCGTGTAAATGGAGAAGTTGATTGGCACTTTGGTCCAGTCTCTAAAAATAATCGTTTTTAAACAGCTTAGACAATCCTATGTGCTTGATTACCTGTTGAACCTCGTTTTTAACAGCTGTAACTTCTTGTATCCTCCGTTCATAATCTTTGAGTCTCTCATTTACAGATGCAACGAGTCCCTTGAGTGAGAATACCAGATTCCGGATCTTATAATTTATGTCATCGTTGGCTTTCTCATCTACCACAATGCCATATTCCTCTCGCAAACCTTCACTCAGATCTCTGACCAACATAAAGGTCTCCAATGTTTTGCTTTCCAATAAATCCAGTTTCTAAACAGTCCAATCAGCAATGAACTTAAAACCAACAAATCTAACCCTAAACCGTACCTCTTTTTCCGCAATATGTTCGTTTTCCTTTAGCCGAACCAACTCTTCAAGTTGTTGCATCCTTTGTTGACTCAGTTCGTCGTTTTGATTATCATTATTCTTTACTTCAACCGCTCTGTTTTGCAATTCCAGCTTTTCATTCTCCAATTTCTGAATTAAGGATTCAGCATCAGCCAATTTCTTTCGAGTCTCTAGGAAGGCGAGATTTGCCTGGTCAATCTGCTGCTCCAACTGAAATACTTGTATTAATTTTATCGCGCAACTTACGTCACCAGTTGTACTTTCAAAGTTAAATTTCTGTTGATTCATCAGATCTTCAGTATTCTTGAGTCTCATTTTCAATTCAGAATATCCAAGCTTCTGCTTTTCGATCAGATTCTGAAGTTTAACAACAGAATCATCGGTAATATCCTGGAAAGATTTAGCGGAAGCAAATTGAAATACCTGAAGATTAACTGAGCTGTCTTCTGAGAGTAATTTGCATAAATTGGAGACATCTTGATATAAGTTCTCGTTTTTGCTTAGAACCTCTTGTGTGCTCTGATATCGGTCCTCAATAGACTTCTTTTCTACTTTAACTTCTTCTAGATCACGTAGGAGTTGTTCCACTTTATTCTGATCCAGCTCCAATAAAGATCCATTGAAATTTACCGTAAGATAAGACGGAGTGACAACGTCAGATGTTTCTGCCAGCGTTGATTCCAACTAAAAAAAGTAATCAATAATGAGATTCTTTACTCACTTCTTGTATTCTTGTTGCAAAACTGGCTTCTTTCTCCTTGAATGTTTTTCTGATTTCTTCAAGTTCAATCGTAGCCTAAACCAACCTGATAAACAGATAAAATCGCCTACCTTTTGCCGTTCGGCTTCCAGATCATTCAATTCTTCTCTTAGCTCGTCCAATTCCTTAGAAACAACAGGGACTTGAAAAACGTTTGTAATTTCAGGAGCTTTCTTCATGTAGGATTCAACCTCAGCTCCCAAAATTTGACATTGTTCTGACAACGCTGTCATCAAGCCTTCCATTTCTTTGGCCTTGACTTCACTCTTCTCAAATTGGACCTTGAATTGATCTCTTTCTTGCCTTAGAAGGTCTACTTGATTCTCAATCTCTTCAAGTTCGGCAACATTTACCTAAAAGAGAAAAAAAAATTACGAAAAAATCTTTTCAAGCTCCATGGACACAAATAGAACTTACCCTTGACTCGCGTGTGACAGGACTTGTAGATCTAGGTCTCATTGCTAGTTCCTCGGCCAACGCTCTATTCTAAAAGCGGAATATTGAGCACCTAAAAACATACCTGATTTTGGAGATCTTCTATCCTTGCTTCCGCCTTTTTCAAGTCATCCAAAACGGATTGATACTTAAAATCTTCCTGCTTTGGCTGACTTTCTTCAACTACGGCCTTCCGCTGGTTTGATTCTGATTCCTCCAACCTTTTTGCCAGGAAACTGAGTTCATCAGACAATGCTGCCTTCTCAGCTTTGATCAATTCCAACTCTAATATCAATTCTTTCTCATTCCTTTCTTGTTCTGGATCTGTTGATGTTTGAAAATCGCGTAATGCTTCGATTTCGTACTAAAAATAATAATAAAAATTCATAGTTCAGCTCACCTTGGCTTTTTCCAATTCTAATTCTTTTGCTGCAATTCGGTTCAACAAACTCTGTCTGGTCATTTCAACTTCTTCGTAAGCAGCTCTCACATTTTCAGTGAGCTCTTCGATTTGTCTGTTTTTATCGACCAGTTGATTCTGATATCTGACGAGCTCTTTTTCTTTCTCTAGAGCTTTCTGTTTGTGATACTAAAGAAAATAATCAAAGTTTTCGCTGTCTTACGTCTAATTCCGACGATGGATCAATGGGGGTTTCAGCCGCCAATTCGCTGGAAATCCGTTGAACAAAGTCGAAAGCATTATTACCAACACTATTCAGTTGATTCCGCCATCCAGACATTGTTTTGACAAAACCAAGTCTAAAAGAAATTTGTTCAACAATAATTACACGTAACAGCATGAAGGCGTAAAAAAATATTTATAAATAACGGAATGCCAATTAAATTTGGCAACGGAATTTTCGTGTCGAATCATTTTCATTTGGATTGTTTCGGATCAAAATTGGTACTACAGCAACCTTGGTGGCACAGGGTTGGCTTTAGCTAAATTTAATAAATGAACTGTGTTTTTGCATTCCAATCACAAAAAATGCTTCCATATTTCCAATAAAGGAACCTTGTGTGTATAAAATGTCGCCTTCCGTAGTTATTCTCGGGCGCAGGACTCTTTAAATATGAAAAGAATACTCCCAGCGGATTTGAAAACTGCCACGCAGTTAATTCCTCGGTCTTGTTGCGAATTTTGGAAACGGATTTCTGATAGAAATCGCAGAATACGCATCTACGGCATAAAGTCAACATGGGGTTGTCACGAAGACTTTGGGAATTCAGTGCTACAAAAAAGTGCGTTGCACGATCCTTTTCTATCTGCGAGATAATGATCACTCACAACGTCGTCACGTCATTATCATGAGCCCAATTGATTCAGCGATCCAATCAACCTGTATGGACTACAATGAAAAATGTTGCTGTAAATGTATTCCGTCATAAACGGACCTTGACCATTGGGGAAGATGACGATTGTTGGCGATTATGACCCAAAGTCGAAAAAAGCTCTTTTTTCAACAGAAAGTGGCTAGCCAAACAACAGGGCTGGTAATCAAATGATCCAAATGGCTAGCCCCCGGTGATTTTTTTTTAAACAATTTTTAAAATATTTCCTAAAAATATGTGTTTTATGGGGATTCGATGGTGCTGATTTCAAAATCATGTTCATTTTTTCTTGTCTGAACTTTTTTTAAATTAGTACTGTTGAGTATTAACGTTTTGAATTTTTTCGAAAAATACTCGATTCAGGGGTTTTTGAGGGTGCTCATTTCCAAAATCATGTTCATTTTTTTCACCGCCACCGAAAAACCCCTAAATCAAGTATTCTTAGAAAAAATTGTTTTTTAACAGTACTACTTAAGACAAAACTAACAATCACCGGTGCTTGGCTAGCCATTCGGACCATTTGGCAACCAGCCCTAGTGTTTCGCTAGCCACTTTCTGTCGAAAAAGAGCTTTTTTCGACTTTGGGTCATAATCGCTCTTGGATAATATTTTTCTTATTACTGCTTTACAGCACTACTAAAGAAAAAAATATAAAAACCCAGAAAAATGGACTCCATTTTCGAAATCAGCACCACCAAAAACCCATATATCGAGTATTTTTTCAGAAGATTACAAAAATTAACATGATTTTGGAAACCAACGCCATCGATTACCCTAATTTCGACACTTAAACATGCGCAAGAAAAATAATATTTTTCAGTTTCCTCAATTATCGACTTTCCCGATGTGAGAAGTGATAATTTTCAGTTCGTAACTTTGCGTAATTGTTGCATTTCATTTCGTATCCGGGATATTCGAATAATACCCGGGGATGGATCGGACGTTAATTACCGACCTCGGGATGCCCGAAATAAAGAAGAGGTCGTCGCTCAGTTTACAGACCCCAATTCGAAGTAAAGTATAACCAAAAATGAAGTTTCTGCGAGTTACCTTTTTATTGTATTTCGTAATTCTACAAACTCTTTCTCAAACTTATGAAATTCCAACAGTTACAGGTGAGCTGAGTCAGGGACTAATCACTTTTTCAGATGTGAGTGCGATGTGTACAGCAGATGGGATTACAGCGTCCATTTACTTTGACCGACCCTTTAGTGGGATCATCTATTCTGTGGGCTATGCCAATGTGCATACCTGTGTGTATTTCAATGGATTTATGTCATCATCGGTTTTATTTTCGATTCCCACTCGTGGTTGTGGAACGAGAGTAAGGAGAAATACTCACGAGGTTCTGGAAACGGTTGAGAACCGTGTTTATGTCCAGATGGACAAATTGACGCAGACCTTTGCGGATAAACAGTACTCATTTGTTTGCCAACAGGCGTATGTCTCGTCGATTAAATTGAGTAACGAAATCCGACGTCATCCAGTGAAAAGTCAGGCCTTTTACCAGCAGCCAATCTCTCCAGTCAGAGGATTCCCTCGACCTCCAGAAAATTTGGGAGCTTCGTTTAATCGACCGATTACTCCGATGATAGACAGAGATTGGAGATTGCATGATACGACCACACATCCATCCTTGTGGGAACATCAATTAGATCAGAAGAAAGAGAATATTGAAGACTTGGATCTGATTAATGGCCGAGAATCCCATCATTTAGATGACTTTGAGGATAATTATGTTACATCATCTACACAAACTTCCACAACAAGCAGATCTCATCCTTTTACATTGCCCATAATGGATGCGACTACGGTAATCCCGACCTTCCACAACCATGTGAATAAGTGAGGGATTCTTGAACGAATAAATGACTGAATATAAAGGACTGAATGTCCTAAGCGCGAGCTAAGACAGTCAGGCTGAGACTAAGCCCCAATCACGCTAAGCCTCAGCGCGGTATGCGAGCATTAGGCAAAAAAATATTCGAAATCGAATTTGAATATTGGATAACTATTGTTTAAGGTAACTTAATGCGACCGGTTAAGACTTTCCAAGATCGGAAATTTATGGGGAAATTAATACCAACTGTACTATAAATGGAAAATGCAGCACAAACCCTAAAAAACCTATATACATATATGTTCAGGTCCTATTTAGTTTTTCACATTCAGTCGGTTGGCGTTCAGTCATTTCATATTCAGCCTCGGTTCAGATTTTCTTTTACATTTTTTTCCTTCAGACTGCCATTTAGCGAAAATTCGCGGCTTGAGGCAAAACAAAAGACGGAAGATTTTGAGCAGATTAGTGATCATGTCATCATGGAGATCCTCAGCGGTAACGGACCTCAAAGCCCGCATGTTGATAAGGCTATCGAAATGGGAAGTGTCATCACATTGGTGACAAAGGGAAAGAAACTACAATGTAAGTACCAATCAAGTAAAGACATGTACCAAACTTACAGCCAATCGCAATTATAACATGTTTGTGCACGGTTGTTATGCGACTGATCAAAACAATACAGTAAAGGTGGAACTAATAGATCTAAGAGGGTAAGGCTTTGCTTTATCCACACAAAGGATAACTTGCATTATAAAATATTTTCAGATGCTCAGTGCATTCTTCGGTCATTGGCAATATGAAAAAGACGGAGAATGAGGACGGATCAGTTGTATATTTCTTTCCTCTAAAGGCTTTCAAATTCCCCAATGACAACGATGTGTTCTTCTTCTGTTCTGTTGACATCTCTGACAACCTCCAGTTCCCGGAGCCATGTGTAAATCAGAAAAGAAAAGCCCGATCTTCCATTATTCTACCCGAATCCGAAAAACGATGGTACGAATTCTACATTCACAAGAGTGTGGAAGTTGGACCTTCTGAAGCACCGATTCAAACAGTCAATGGTAAGCGAAGACGGCATTCACAACTGCTTTCACCATTCCAGGGGAATCAGAGGACGGCATGCCAGGAATGCTGATCGCAGCGATCTTCCTAGTCATCGCCCTTACCGTTTCTACGATAACAGTTTTAGCAATAGCTATTAGAAAGTACAGCAATCCAACCAAGAGTTAGCGTCTTTATATATATTTATATATTTTGTACATAATATGTTTACAATATATGGTTATGAAAAACTGTTTTAATTTAGTTGTAATAAGGAGTTGGAGGGGGATTTCCCGCGTTGTATGGAAGAGAAGCACTGGGATAATACAACGCCCCAGCCGGGATACTTGTGGCCTGAGAAAGCACCACTGGATTAGCCGGATACATTCCATAAGGAAGAGGGGAGGGGTAACCGGCAGGGTACACCACCGGACTAATGAATTGACTGTAATCAGGCTCACAAGTGGATTCAGAAGCAGTTGATGAGTGGGAATTCATCCGCTTCTTACGTCCATCACCGGTTACATTTGTGGGTAACATCATCTGAGACTGGGCATAGAACGGGATGGGAGAATATACACTGCCCGAGGGCATATCCACAGACTTGGTTCTTCTTCTCGGGTCAGTCTCGCCGAAGTCTGGGAACTTCTGGAAAGGCTTCATTCCACCATAACGGCTACTAGAGTTGCGACGGGGCTTCTCTGTGAACTGGTCGTTCTCGATGAGGCTCTTAAAGGGGAACGGGGGACTAAAAAAGACCATTAAAAGACACAATCAACTCACGCAGTAGCATAATCAGTTTTGGTGACAACTACAGACTGGCCGTCTTGAGTGACATTGTGGTCAAGGCCAAAGAATGCGGCAACTCTGTGCACAATCATACGATCATAAGAAGTCATATTAGGGAATTCAAAGACTTTCTTGGATGGATCTTCAAGAAATTGGCGAAACACCTGTTCAAGATGGAGAACATGCTGACGGTCTTTATGGTTCTTATGCAGAGTCTCCTTTATAAAGACTGTAAGGTCAATTCCGGTAGCATCTGTATATCCAGTAGAATCTAAACATCAACAATTAAAGTCGGAACAGTTTCACACTTACCCTTAGACAAGGAACTGCTCAATGCAGGTCTAGTTTGCGAATTCACTAGTCGAATTGGGGTCTTCAGACGATCGTCTTCCAAGGAAATCGCATCGCTGCGAGAAAAGGACTTTCTTTTGTCCTTGTGATCAATTATTTCATCAGTATTCATCTAAACTTGCATCCCTTAACAAAAGTAAACAAGTGTAATGACCGCACAGATATTACTCGGTGTGTTAACCAGCCTGAGCTCAGTATAAGTTCAATAAATAAATAACATTTAATTAAGTTAATAAATTACTATTTATCTTCAAGAACTCCTCTCTCAATTAATGAAGGCACTTCTACGGCTAGCCATGGGCCTAATCCAAGTGTCAGGGCATGGGCGATCCCGAATTTAGGGACATTCCTCGCCCATAAAGGCTTGAAATGGTCGCTGAGACAAATCTTTCCCCCTCGATACATCTTGGCAGTCTTTCCATCCAAAGAAGGAATAGCTATCTCTGGGGCTGTCTTCGGATATGTAACCGGAAGATCGAATTCAAAGTCAAATTCATACCTAAAGGAGAATGATAAAGAAAAGGTCACCTTACTTCTTCATGTTATGGAAGTACCAACATTTCCCAAACCACCTCGTTCCATCAGGAGAACTCTCTATATTAAACCAGTCAGCATCTCCCTGCTTATTTTTATTCGTCAACTCGATCAATGTTTGCAGCTCCTCGGCAAGTCTAGATACCCACATATCCCCATCCCTGGGCCCAGCATTCTTTTTGAAGAGAGGTATGCTCTTCAAGGTCTCTTTTGTAGACTCGTCCATTTCCCTGAAATATGAAAAACAATATAAAACTACAAGCACGTGAAATCAAAAAAGAAAAACACCATGTTTATGGTTTCTTTTTCTCGCAAACAGCCCCGGCGAAACGACATCGGACATTTCCCAATCGACTCGGACCAATATCTGTTTGAAAAGGACAATTTAGGTAAAACTATACCTCTTCAGATGATTACCAAAGCCGACAAGTCGGCTTATATTCCTCTTGCCTGCGTGAATTTATTTACAAATAAGTTTCAAAACACATAATAACAAAATGTAACGAAATGACACGCAAATTGGACAAAGTGTCACAAAATTGATTGGAAAAAATTGTTTTGGTTACCGTATTCCGTTTACATATTTATTTCCTAACCACTGTTTTTCCTTGCAAAGTGCTTTCGGCAAAGGTCAAAACATCCATAATCGGAGAGAATTCCTTCATCTAATCTCCTCTAGTATAATATAAATGAATAGTAATACAGGATTGTATGTAAATTGTAATATTTTGACGCAATCCGTTTTTCCAAGCCCCGAACTGTAAAAATAAGCCGCAAGAAAACTGGAGAAAACCGAAAGAAGTGCATTTTGCTCATGTTTACAATCGTCCTTGATCATCAATAACAAATCTTTTGTTGTTTAATGACTAAAAACGGGAATCTGAGTTATATATTCATTTGTGTTATTAATATTATTAAAAGACCCGCTTGAACAAAGAGGCCTTATCATCTCACGGCCTTAGATGGGATCTCTTCTTTCTGAGGTACGTTGGAGCGTTGTCGCTACAACAGAATCCGCCGATACAAGTGTAGCCATTGGGACACCGAGGTTCGGTCTGACTGCAGGGACCGTACTGATCCACAGGAGCACAAGTGCCAGTGTCTAATCGATAACATTGACCAGCATCTGGGCCAGAACAGGCATAACCTAGAATCACGACGTGTTATTTAAAGGAATGTGAAGTATAAGTTCACAATATATAAAACGGACCATCCGGACACAATCTCGTTCCTCCTTCTCCTCGAATACAAGGTCCAACAGGATCTCCAGCAATGTTCGGACAACACCATTGATTGGTGACGTCACATTGGAACCCGGGGTCTGAACATTGGCCATCAGCTGAACAGGGACCACTGGAATCAGCCTGAGAACACTGTATTAACAGATTGGTGGCATTGGTCAGGTTGGGCGGTCCACAGCATTGGTCGTTGACACAACTGAAGCCATTGGGACAAGCTCCATTCACACATGGACCTATTGAAGCAGTTCCAGCAGGGCATCCTAAAGCAATATTATTTAAATGGAAGATAAATTAACTTGCCATTCATATTAGAGGGGCAGCAAATGTTCCCTGTTGTGCATGCGTATCCATCACCACATTTCCCCCCAATGCACGCGCCAATAGCTTGACTTCCATCTAGACATCTTGGAGTTTGTGATGTATTAGTACAACATAATCCTTGATTGCAAGTAAATCCAAAGCCACATTGTCCATTCACACATCCTCCAGCTGCTTGGGTGCCGTCAGGACAAACTAACGATTACTTTTATTACTAAACATACCAGTTGCAGGGACTTCTGTTTGGCAACAGACATTGTTTCGATTACATTGATATCCAGAATCACACCGACCTTGGACACAGGATCCACCTTCAGTCCCTTGAGCACATCCTTAAGACGTAGTGTAATGGAAAATAATAATAATAATACTCACCATCCACGTTATTCTCGGTAGTACCGGTTCCGAGAGAACTCATGGGACCAAAGGAACCACTAATTCCTTCGTATCCATTGGAAGTGCCGTAGTTATTATAATAGCCACAGTTATCTGTGTTAGCATTACACGGATAGGAAGACCAAACTAAACCAAAATATTTTCAATCAAAGAACGACACGCTAAATATTCAAAACAGAGTTTACTTACTTCGATTTCTGGGTCTGTAATTGGAGATCAACCCTTCGTTCATGTTGTTGAAGTAGTTGTTATAACGATGCATCATCCGTGGGTAATTAATATTGTTATAACTCAACCCAGAATAGGAATTAATTGGACCATACGAACTCATGGTAGAAGGCATATTGTAAAAGGATGGTTGAGAGTTGTAAGGGGTTGCCGTGTTACGGTAATTGTGAAACAAAGGCCTTCGAGTTGGCTTTGACTCCACCGGCAGGATCATCGGACAGCAGAATTTAATCCCTTGTTCACATAAAAGTCCCGGCGGGCAATTGTCATAGGCTCCACATCGTATTGAAGATGTGAATCCGCCAATACACATGGCTGAGTAAAAAAGTACAAAAATTACTTCCAGAACCTACAAGTATCAGGTTTCGCACTGTCAAACATATTATTCATGTTATTTGTGGGCCCAGGCCAATCATTTTGCTGCAATAAGGGGTCTGTTGAATTTAGAGTTGACGGTTTCATGTCCAATGTCGAGCCTTTACTTCGTCGATAAATCTTGGACTTGGCCATTGCAAGGCCACAACAAAACCCATTGTTACAAGTCCCTTTCACACAAGGATGATTCAGGGAACACATGTTAAATGTGCAACTGACAGATGGGTTGGCATCTAAACAATGATTAGAAGTTATCAACCAGTCGATTACCGGTGCAAAGAAGCGCTGATAAGAGGAAAAGATACAAAATAATCATCCTTCCAGGGGCTGAATGGGATCTACACATCCGCACCGAGTACATTACACTCGAGTCTGTGGGACATTTCCGCGATCTCCAAAACCACTTGACGGCTGCGAACTATTTTTGGTCCGGTTTGAATTCGGGCTGGTTTTTGCGTCGATCCTCGAGAGGCCAATGATTTGCGGAGATCCGGGTTGATCCCATGCTCTCAACTCATACGTACTTATAATTACACTTGTCAAGTACATCAAAACGACAAAACACAGAAAATGAGAAAGGGCAGCGCGCTATTCCACGAAGAATTTGAGTCTTGATGTACATAAGTACCCATCGACGACATTTACCAAACTCCCTGTGGAGTTTAATGCATCTTTTTCATAGAATAAAGCACCGCGATTAATCACATCTCCATTTCTCTTTGTATTAGTTTACAAGTTAAAATAATTGAGATTTTTACAGTACTTTTTATATCCCACAATTTCTTTGAAAACATTTCATCGTATACAATGTCTTATTTTTAGTTGCTTTTATTTTTTATAATTTTTGCACAAATCGTCAAGATGTTTCCTCATTATCGACTGTTATGTGCCCGCTTGCCACGGTTTAACCATGTCAGGACATTGAAGAGAAGTGAGCTTTATTTTAATTTATATTGATTCGATATTCTAGAGAGCGTTTGGATTCCTTTATGGATTTTAATCTTTAATTTTAGTTCAAGAAGTGACGGAAGGAAACATGACTGTGGTTAGTCTAGTAGATGCTCCAGAACCATCCCGGAAGCGATCTTTTAATACTGACACACACAGTTGTGTGTTATGCTCGATTCCAAAGAAGGTAACCTTCAGCGACGTCCTGATCCTAGAACAATTTATGCGAGAAGATGGAACTGTCCTACCCAATCATTTGACCGGACTTTGCAGGAAACAGCAATTGTTAGTTGAACGGTGCGTGATGCAAGCACATTGGAGTGGACTCTTCCCGGATAGGACTCTCCCCGACTTTGATCGAACTGGATATAAGAGATTTAACAGGTATTGGAAGGACGATATGGACATGTACAGGCTGCAATCCAAACTGGAGCCTGGCAGCTGGTACTTTATCAAGCGATATATCACGAAGAAAGGAGAATTCTCGAAACCTTTGCCCAAAGAGTAGTTGTTGTTTAGTAGGAATAAATTGTTATTGGTTGTTGTAGATGAAGCATTGGGATGTTCGACACATTCATATACCTTCAAACAGACATGTTTTATTGATTTTGACCATTTCTATTTAGGGATGGTAAGACTTTTCTTGGCGTTTTTTCTTATCAGTGGTGTGAAATCCCAGATTAATTTACAAAAAACCGATGCTTTAGTAAAGGCAAGACCGGGATCGAACGCGACCTTGAAGTGTCCGGTGCCATATACTTCATATGATGAGTATGATTGGTATGTTGCTGGTCGGCGTATCCATATTGGGAATTGGAACAAAGGAGTTGTAAACCAGTTAAATAATTTCAACGAATCTTTGAGATTAGAAAAGGATGGAAGTCTCTTCATCACTGAAGCAAACAGGGATCTGGTTGAACAGTAGGCGCAATTTTTACAATCTATTGGTTTAGGTATGAATGTGTTTTCAAATCCAAGAAGGCAAATGGATTTGTTTTATTTCGATTGGATCTGTCCTATTTTTACGATGGTCCCGTCTTCTCTACGGTATTTTGGGGTTCTTGTTTGATATCCTTGATTACTTGTGCAGCTACATTTGCTCTGAATATCTTGTGGATTATCGTGCGGAAGGTTTCTCTTTGGTGGATCAATCGTTCGGGTATTTAATTCAAATTTGGATAAAATAATTTTTTAGAACGAATCAGTAGAGTTCGGACAATGGTGGAAGCAATGGAGAAGTACAGACAACGGCAAATAGACAGCTTGCATGAAAATTATCAGAAGAAAGTGCAGGCAATTCGCGATAATTATCATTCTCAAGTGGAAGAGATACGACAGTCTTATATGAAACAATCGGATCGCTTCAGAGACTATCGCCAGGCTCAGATGGAGACGATGACACAACATTTAGATAATATTCGAGACAATTATAACCAACAAGTATGGCTTTATGCGATTTACTTTAGTTAAACTTTAGCATGTATAACTCATGCCTATTTTTAGTTGAATCGTATCCGAGAATATGGTTCGCGACGGGCAGAACAATTGGTGGAAAGCTATGAACGGCAGCTGAACAGAATGAGGACATTTACGTTACAACATCGACTAAAGTTGATGAGGCAGTACAAGGTCAAACAACAGTACATAAACAGGCTTCTGGAGAACATTGACAATACTAATAATGTCAACGTGATATCTGAGAATGCAAGTTGTGTTTTACAGATTGTTGCGTCCTAATATTTTGGCTAAATTTATATTGTTTTAGGAGCAAAAGATCAGGGCTGTATTGGATTTACCAGAACACGATCTTCCATCCCAACCACCCTTCATTGAGATGAAACTACCAAATTCTGAATTACAACGTTCTGCTTCTTTCTATTCTCTTCCCGAATTTGTCTTGGATGACGATGAGATGAGTGGATTCAGAAGACAGTACCCTGCGATTAACTTCAAGCAGTTTAAAGCCAGCGAAATTCAGATTCCCTCAACAAGTGGGACCAAATCTTCGGGGGATTTAAACAAGGATTCAAATGAGGCCACAGACGAACCGACACCAGACTCACCACTTCTGGGTCCGAGTTCCTCCAAACATTGTAGATATTCTTCAGATAAGGATTAGATAGGCCCTGAGGGCATTCGGTTATGTTATTCTTACACATTGTAAATTAATATTTATAAGGGAACTGCGACCCTCAGATTTTCTTTAAATTTTGCGGGGCGTTGGCACATATTAATTCCCTTCCTGAAAGTTTTAGTTCGAGCTTTGCATGGACAGCCGAGATATTTAAAGATTTTTGCCACCCAGAAAGTACGCAGAGTGCTTTTAGACAAACACTTTTTGGTCGTATCTTTGCCAGTTTCACGTGAAAAAAAAAATATTTTTTTTGAGGAAATTTTTATGCCCAAATTTGCAAAAAAAAAAAAACACATTTTTTCTACTTTCCATCTAAAAATCTGGGTTGGTTCTGCAAAGCACGAGACAGGAGTTTCGCTTATGTCTTAGAAAAAAATAAATCTAAGTTTGTGCCAGGTTTCATCAAAATCTGAGCGGCGCACTTGGTGTACTTCCCTTGTTAGTTCTTTTTCAGTTTTTTTTTTCCTTTTTTCATACGGTATTTGACGCAATGTATTATAGAACGTAATCTCAGTCTAGTATTTTGCCATCTTTTTAATCTTATTATAAATATGTGATGTAATCTGTTATTTCAAATAGTTAGAGTTATCAAATAAATTGTTTTAGTAGCTAAAGTGGATCGACTGAGAAAGTTTATTTCTCTAATATTTCACTGGAAAGCTATGGTTTAATTGATCTCGGGTTGTAGGTCTCATAATGTTACCGTATGTCACTCATAAAGCGGGAATGGATGGTGTCGACAAGAACAAAGTTAATGAAGTCATCGCCAGACATACTTCAGGGAAATATCAGAGGTTCCAAAAACAAAAAGAGAGGGGAATGGAAGAGAAATTAAACGAAATGAAGAAGAAGTTGGAAGATCTGAGACCTGAAGAGATTGAAAGATCGAAAAGAAATGTTGGGTTAACTGAAATCTTTTTACAATTACAGTTTAGACCGAGAAGATCTTGGATGAGTTGAGATCGAGACGAGACCTGACCAGACTCTTCGTTCACGTTGACATGGACGCTTTCTTTGCCAATGTTGAGATGAGAGATGATCCCACCCTCAGGGCTGTCCCTATGGCTGTAGGAGGAAGCTCGATGCTGGTGAGTGTAATTTGGATTTGTCATCTGTATAGAGCACCGCCAATTATCTCGCCAGAAAAAGTGGCGTCCGATCAGCTATGCCTGGATTTATTGCCAAAGAATTGTGTCCATCTTTGGTTATTGTTCCTGTAAATTATAACAAATATCAGGAAGTGAGTAAAGAAGTTAAGCGTGTCCTCAGAGAATACGATAGTGCAATGTGTTCGTTGGGATTGGACGAAGCCAGTCTCGAAATGACCGAATTTATGAATAATCGGAAGGAACGAAAAGAATGGATATTCAAACAATACAGTGGAGAATGTGAATGTAGATTGCCAAGGCAAAGGGAAGATCTGATGGCGATGAGTAGAGATATTCACGAAGAGAAAGAGATGTGTGAGAAATGCAGCAAAGAACGGATAGTGATTTCTTCTACAGTTTCATTTGGATCGAGTCTTGAAGAAGTGATAAGGGAGATGAGATTGCGAGTAGAACAACATACAGGACTTACTTGCAGTGCTGGTAAGTCCAAGACCTCTTCATTATTATTGTTTAGGCATTGCTTGCAATTACAAATTGGCCAAGATTTGCTCCGATCTCAATAAACCCAATGGACAGTACCTTATGGAGTCGAGGGCAGAAGTGGTAGAAGCTTTTGTAAACAAACTTGGAGTGAGAAAGGTAACAAAAAGTAGATTTAATGCAAGAGTTCAGGTTCCCGGAATAGGTCCCACAACTGAATATCTCTTGAAAGGATTGGGGATCAATGTTTGTAAAGATTTATGTGATCGATCAGAGATAATCCCCTTCTTATTCCAACCAGCTACAGCCTCATTTCTTCTTCGATGTGCGGTCGGAGTATTTGGGGATGAAGATGAAGAGGATGATACTAGTGGTAAGAACTTGTGATTAGGATTACAAAAGATTTCAGAAGGCCGAAAGAGTATGAGTGAAGAGAGGACATTCCAATCATCTGCGGATCAGACATTTCTCTTGTGTAAATTGGAAGAATTATGCGAAAATTTGATGGAAGCAGTGTTGAGGCATTACAAAGGATGTCACAATGTTGGTGTGATTATGAAGTATGATGACTTTGAAAGGATTTCTCGACAGAAAACAGTAGAAGGAACAGTTGACACGGTTGATCTCTTCAGACGGCTAGTGAAAGATTTGTTTCTCAAAAATTGGGATAAAAATCGAAAAGTATGTCCCAAATTTTCGGGGAGACGACAGTTCGGGTCAACACAAAATCGGGAAGTTATGGGTGGCGCATACATGAATCCAAAAATGGAATCCAATTATATTAAGCCTTCACCCGAAAATTCCCCCACCCCAAAAATCCATAGAATATGCGCCACCCGACTTTGCGATCACCCGAAAGGGCTCACCCGAACATGCACCAGCCGGCTCTGCGTCACCCATAAATTCAGTCACTTGGCGAAGACTTATAATACAATGTGACCACTTTTTTTAATTTTGGCTTTTGCTAACCTTCGTTTTTCATCAGAAACGCGATTTCTTGTCTGTTAGGCCTCTAGACAAGAAACGCGTAATCCTTGTCAGGTAACATTGCGCAATATTGCGCAAATTTCTTCTCTCTCCCTGTGGAGATTTTTTCTTTTTTTCTCTGCTTTAAAGGCCTAACAGACAAGAAATCGCGGTTTCTGGCCACGACACCCGATTTGATGCGTATGTCACCATCTTTATATTATTGGAGTAATACATGTAACCTACATCAAAATAGGTGATAATATCCTAGGACCTGATAAATCTTATTATTTCATACAACGAAGAATCGAGGGGACTCAAAGTATCGTCGACCCGAACTGTCGTTGACCCGGATAAGTCGTAGCGCCGTTTTGTAATATTACGTCATTAATTACAGATTCGTTTGCTTGGAGCAAGATGCTCAAATTTTGTGGATTCGTCTGACAATCGACAAGGCACTCTGACTCAATATTTACAGAAACCCTCGCTCTCTTACGACGAAGATATCGAAGTTCTTACAGGTAAACTCCCACGTATGAATGACCTAATGCATACTTTATTTGTAGTTGTAAAATCCAAAGATCAGCTATCCCGCAAGGAACCACGTGATTCTAGCAATAAGTCAGCCAAACCAAGAAAATTTAAGGCAGAACCTAAGGCAAAGAAACGACCCGCCAAAACAACCATCGATAGTTTCTTCAAACGTCAACGGCCCAATCTTTCATCGGCTGATGACGTCGTCGTACTAGACTAATCCCTGTAAATATTATTTTTTTCTTAACCTTCTGCAACATAAACTTTTTATTTTTTATCAGTATCTGATAAAAAAGCCGGAATTGGGGGAGAGTCGGTGGTCGGGCGACTTAAATGGTCATCCGGTCATCAATCAGCGACAAATAAACTTTTCTCTCTAAACCGAAGACTGCAATCAGAGATGCCAGACTTTGGTCGTCTCCATCCCCGTCCATGAGACTCTCCCCAAAACAGCTGTTGGGGAAAGAGAAGGACTCCCCGTCTTTTCGAATTCCGTCCCCTTATCCTCTGATTTGTTTATTATGCGCGATTCCTTTCTTATAATATTTTTTTTGCTTCCACCGGGCTTGGACGATTTGGGCCGAAGGAAAAGCGTCTGGAAAGCGAAAAGTGCTTCTCCGTCTGCAACTTCGCCTCAAATAAAAAAATCCCCAGGCCTTTTTTGTCGGTTTTTTCAATACATACATCTCACACTTTTTCCGCCTTTTTTTATCACGTTGTATGTTATCACGGCGCCTCAAGGATTCTTCCCCTTGATCAGCGCCTCAACCCTTTCTCACCGAATCATTCTTATCTACAGGCGCACGGTCGTTGGTGCCTAGATGAGTACGAAGGCCCAAAAGGCCCAAGAGGCCAACGAAGATGCACTGGAGAACGAACTGGAGAATGCAGGGATCATCGAGCCGCCAGATGGGGGGTACGGATGGGTCGTAGTCTTCGCTTCTTTCTTGGCCAACATGATTGTGGATGGGGTAATCTTCTCGATTAGTGAGACGATTGTGCCTTTATGGGAAAAGGAGTTTAACACTACCACTTCCATGGCTACAGTATCGCCGTCCCTGTTAGCAGGGTGTTATCTTTTGTCGGGTAAGTCTTCCACTGTAGTTTTTTCCATTAAGTTCATGTTTATAAATTTAGGTCCCTTGGCCAGTGCACTCGCCAATCAATATGGTTGTGATAAAGTGGCAATCCTTGGTGCCATTATTGCTTCTGCCGGGTTCTTGGTCAGTGTGATGGTACCCGCACTACCAGTTCTCTACTTTACCTTCGGAATTGTGGGAGGTATCGGATACGGGTTGATCTTCTTGCCGGCTGTCGTCATTGTAGGCCAATACTTTTCTGAAAGACGAGCTCTGGCCACGGGTGTTGCAGTTTGCGGGTCAGGAATTGGCACATCACTACTTAGTTATGTAAGTTACTATCTATTATTAGATAAGCGTTTAGATTAATCCAATTGTTCTTGCGGCCGTTAACAACAACTGGAGGTTCTTTCTTGTTTTCATTGCCGGTATTACTCTCTTAACAGTCGTGTTTGGATGGTTCTTTAAACCTCTTACCCCATCCACTCAACAACTCGAAAAAGTAGGTGTCGTGATGGGATGACAATGAAATAACAGGTTACAGAGATCACAGAGACATATATTGGGAGACATGCTGAGGAATTCCACGAACCGGAGACCACTAACAGTCCCCATGTTGCTCACGGCGTTGCCATTGAGAGGTTTAAGAGTCCCAGTCTCTCTCAAAGTAGCAGACATCTGGGAGAGAATCGGCCTTTCCTCTCAACAATTGAACTCCATGCGCTCAAAACGGGAGTAAGTCGATTGAATTCACAATTTCACTCAAATTAAGGAAAAGAGCGCCCTCTCCCATCACGACCTTGCATCAGCTGTATCAAAGGCTAGTATGGCTGACCTGAACAGACCCCTGTCCAAGATGGATATCTTTTATCCGGGGTCAACTGCAAAGTTGGCTGAAAGGAATGGAAGTTCTACTTCCAGAGTACGGTCAGTCACGACAAATGTGGAGGCCAACCCCAACAAATCATCATTGTACTTGAGTAATATTGGACTTCCAACTGCTGAAGATTACATTGACGATAACAAGGGATCATGGCATCGGGGAATCTTTAGTGTAGGTTCCACCCTTCTCTTATACGATTGCATTTCAGCCCCTTAAATCAATGTTGGATACAGCTCTCTTGCGTTCCCCCAGTTTTCTTATTTTGGCGATTGGTGGTTTCCTGACATTGGCCTGTTTCTTTGTCCCTTTCATGTTCATTGGCCAATTGGCAAAGACAAATGGAGTCTCTCCAGAGCAGACCAAGTACTTGGTTGTGATCCTTGGTCTTGTTAATCTAGTCGCTCGTGTCCTTTGCGGTCTTATTTCCGATCATCCAAAAGTAGATCCCTTGGTTGTGTCCAATTGGGCCTTGATTATTGGTGGAATTGCGACTATTCTAGTGCCATTTGCAGATTCCTTCTTCCTGTTTGCACTGTACTGTTTTCCTTTTGCTTTCGGAGTCGGTAAGTCTTGAGATGGGGAAGAAACAAATTACGGAAGAAGATTATATTGGAATTAAATTGATATGTCGGGAAGAAGAAGTACAAATATTGATTCCAGCATGCTTCGCGGCACTTCGTTCGGTGATTTGTGTCGAGTTGCTTGGGGTCGAGAAGTTAACCAATGCCTACGGGATTCTGCTCATGTTTATGGGAGTGGCGGCGTTGGCTGGACCTCCTTTTGCAGGTAATCATTCATATTACATACAACGAATTATTTGATAAACAACACATTGCGTAATAATATTTTCAGCTCTCCTCAAAAACATGACGAATAGTTTTAACATGTCGTTCTATGTAATGGGTGCATTGATGACCTTAAGTGGTATTATCAGTCTGCCTCTTCGAAGAGTAAACAAATGGGAGATGAGGAAAAACGAGTCCAAGGCTGCTAATCCAGTGGAGTTGCAGCCCCTGAATAAGCAGACTTGAGCCTTATACAACCCGTGGTTAGGGGTTGTGTAATGCAGCTTTAATGTTTTTGTTATAAAGAATTCTATTGACTTTGAATGTTATCAGTTACAATACAAATTTAAGAACACATCATACTGTAGAAATGATTTTTCCAAAGATTTATTGCAGAAAAAATATGTACTTTATGCCTCCTTGGCTTGAAGGTGGACCTTACTCGCTCGGCCTGAGGGATCTTCGCTAAGCTGCCATTTTGGAATCCAAGGAGATACGGTCTTGGCGGCAGAATCCGAAGGATAAAAGTTGTGGAAAACGGATCTGATGTAGAAGGCTTCTTTGGTCTTGGGGGTATTATGGGGATACAATTTTGAAGCCATACTCATTTCATAGTCTGAAACAAGTTGTGTACAATATTTAACGAGAGAATCGATCCAACTGTATCCAACACCATCCGAGAACTGCTCTTTCTGACGCCATAAAACTTCTTCAGGCATATAAGGATCTTCCTGAAATTATGATTACATCAATACGACCGTTATTATATACTTGCCGGCGTGTCAAATGCCTTTCGTAAGACATATTTTTCAATCTTCTCCGATGTTGGCCTCCTGTCAGCCGGTAATATGGCCATCGCTGTTTCCAAAAAACTTTTATCCAAGAATGGAACGCGAACTTCCACTGAATTGGCCATACAACTTTTGTCAGCGCGAAGAAGATCAGCGGTAGATAGCAATCTTACTCGTCGTACGGTTTCTGTATGGAAATCCTCATCATTGGGCGCATTGTGGAAGTAGAGATAACCCCCGAAGATCTCATCAGAGCCTTCCCCCGACAACACCACTTTAATCCCATCGTTTCTGATCTTCCTGGACAAGAAATACATGGGTGTGGCTGCTCTGACTGTAGTAACATCATAGCTTTCCAAGTGGTATATCAGCTTGACTAGTGCGCATATTCCTTCCTCGACAGTAAAGCTGACTTCTGTGTGATCAGTTCCCAAAAAGTCGGCCACTTTTCTGGCCGCGGCCAGATCAGGCGACCCCGGAAGTCCCACTGCATACGTTTTCAACGGTTTTCCTTGGCGTTTAAGTTCTCGGACGGCGATAGCACTGTAATTTTAACGATATCAAAAATTTTTAATTGGGAATCATTCCTCAATTTGACTACTCACCAGATAAGACTCGAGTCCAGTCCACCTGAAAGCAGCATGCCCAAAGGTGCGTCGCTCATCAATCTTTTGATTGTAGCCTGTTGGAGACTCTCGTTGAGAAGCTTATAGTTAACCTCATTGAATTTCAAATCGGGCTCCATCCACATTGGCTCGTAATATCTTATGAGTCCAGTCTCAGGTGTATAATAATGACCTGGAGGGAATGTGGAGACGGTCTTGCAGAGTCCGTTGATCACCTTCATTTCACTCGCACACATAAATCGCCCACATTCATCGTATCCATAGTACAAGGCCTTGACTCCAATGGGATCTCTGGCCACGAAGAAGATGTTATCATAGCAAATGGCAAGGGCAAATGTGCCGTCAAGAAGGTTGCAGAATTCGGATCCTTTGAAAAGATCGAACAATCTGATTAGGATCTCGGTGTCACAAGACGTTCTGAAGGTAGTGTGAGGGAAATGGGTCTCTTTAAGTGCATGATGGTTGTAGATTTCACCGTTGTGGACTACCTGCAAGATATTTTTAGTATTGACACTTATATTACGACTATAAATAGGAGATGATGACTCACTTGTCTATCCGGGCCTGATCCTTCAATTGGGTGGAAGCAGCCAAGATCGTTGATGGCCAATCTCTCGTGGAAAAGGGTATTTCCATTGTTTTCGTTACGGTAATGGTTGCGCATATCAGGGCCGCGGTGGGAAATCAGCCTAAAATTCATCGTATCAGAAACAATCTAAGCAAATCTTACTGCACCTATTCTGATTTACACTCACCCTGATTGGATGTTGAGCTTGCACAAAGGAAGGAACGGGGTCTTATGGCCATTTTTGTAAGCCGCAGATTCACAGATTCCGAAGATACCGCACATAATGGAAAAGGACGAGGTTCCAATCCAAAGAACGGTGCTTTAATAACAATCTGATTGGCGGCTTATCACCAACAATTAGTGATTCCGTGGGAAAATCGAAATTCAGTTGGGGAGAGTTGGTGTCCTTCCTTTTCGTCCCTTGACCCCGGGTCGAGCGATAATAATGGGGTACGCGGAGTGTCATAAACTTATATACCCGAGATGTTGTTGTAATCCGGTAAAGAGTAAAAACAGATAAGATACGTTCTTTCAGGTATTTTAGCAAAAATGGATTGTTTTTTACATGCAAACAAAAATTGGAAAAGGACAAAGAAGGAAACTGCCGGAGGGTATCAGCAAAACAACTTTGTTTAACAAATAGTACTGTAGGAATAACAACGATATATTTTTGCACATGTCACGCAAAAATAAAAATACAACATGAAGGCCGACAAAAATCCATTTCTTAAAGTTGCGTAAGCTTTTGTAAACGAAACATAATAAAATCTGAAATTCCAAGTGATCATGCTGAGCATAAATAAATTGATAATCTTCTAGACAAGCCCCTCCCTTTTGATCCATTTATTTGCCTGAATCCAGTTTAATGTTGCAATATCCATTTCCGAAAGGACAAATATTTGAAAACTGTGAATATTCTAAATGATGAGAAAAATTAATATTGTCATTTTGCGGGTTTTCCTCAAATTTCGATTTTTTGTCATATCACTGCCACTCAATTTCCTGAGTGAAATGTATTTAATTCCCATTCAAGCATGTTATAATCTCTGCCATTTAAGTTAATTACGCAACCCCGGCACTCTAAAGCAGCGACCGAATTGGAAATTTAATCTAAATTTACCGCACTTTTTAACGGAAGGACTGGCCGAAGCTGGTGGGTGAGTGTCGAGAGTGCCAAGGCCTCCAAATTGTCGCGCAAACCGGAGTTGTCACGAACGTGAATTGGCTCCTTTCTTCTTCGTATGCAAATTCTCGGACACTTGTGGACACTTATTCCCCCTTTGTCTCCAGCTGGGAGCCAAAAAAATATGTGAAGGAAATTAATTCAGAGCGACAGAATATAAATTGAAAAACATTGTAATATTTGCATAAGATCCCGTTTCATCTCGAGGGTACCCTTTCGCTTTAATTTCTTGTCCCATCTGTCTATTAAAGATGAGTTCGGACCGAATGTTTTCATTTCCGCTCTGACACATTGCAACTGGACACCTAAAACACAAACAAATCGAGATGGCCAGATTTTTGTGGCCAGATTTGAACAAAACAGTGATCCGGAATGACCAAACATGACCTTCTTTGTCATCAAATTAAAATTTTAAAAAGCTTGTGTACACTTGACCCTGCGTATTAAAATTACGATGACTGATAATGCGAATTCTTATATATTATAAATTGGATAATTGGGGCCAGCGTACGGTTAATCACACTTTTCCTACGATTTTCAAAATGAATAACATGTTGGGGATGGTGATTCTGGCCTCTTTTGAGCTTTTAATAAAAGAAGAGCAACTTAAAGACGATGGACATTCCATCACCTTAACTGCCCCATTCAAATCGGAGGGCAAGGCGGCGTGGTGTGATAGGGTGAGTAACGCCTCACCGTGCCATTTGACTGTATTCTGGCCTTTCCCTCCGACCATTCTATGGCCCTCTTTCCATCGCCTTTACGAGTCGAAACTCGGCGGTTTTCGAGCGATGAAAGGGGCGTGGTCGAGCGTGGTCAGAACTCTTGAAGTGTTTGGCTACCGAAGTCCAGTCCGCAAGTGCAGAGGTCATTCTATTCGGGACTGGCATCGAGCCGCACTTTCTCAAACATTGGGACAGGTATGGCCATATTTAGGAGCTTCCGATCACTTGCCTTCCTTTGTTTGGTTACGGTAGGTCCCCCCTCTGTTATCGCCCATTTCTTGCAGGTTGTTTTTGCCGAGTCCAAGACCATCTTCTACCGATTTCATGACAAAAATAGTAAGTTTTAAATGTGATTAATAGTTCTACGGATTTTTTTGTGAAAAACGCTAATGCTTATAATTTTTTTTCGTTTGTTACAAGATTTTTTTTTTAGATGCCTCAATCAACAACTGTATACTCAAAGCCATGGACAAACTGCGACAAGAGACATGCCTCACATTCTCCAAGGTCCCAAAACCAGTAAAGGAAAGAGTAATTTCCTTTATTGAATCCAAGTAAGTACCGGAAATAAGTCAGTGATTAATTTTGCACTTTAGTCACTGCGCGTGGCAAGACAACAATTCTACTGTACACATGGCCACTCATTGTCTAAATGTAAGCGCATACCCCAACATGATTATTACTTATGTGAATTGTAGGACGATACTTGCACTAACATCATCAGCAAAGCCCTGACCAACGAGAGACCTCAGTATGGAGTTGTCAGACATTTAAATTTGAAATTTAATTGCACAGGTAAGAAAAACGACCGGTCGGCCTGATTAGCTGGCTCTAATTCGAAAATCAAGGGGCTGGAGTGGGGAGGAACAGGGCGGGGGCAGATGTGGAGGGATTAGTCCAGTCAGTTATGATCGCTTTGGCGGAAAGCGCGAGCAATTCGAGCTGTGGGGACAGCTGTTTTCGCAACCAATTTGTAATTAGCCCGTTCGAAATCATGTTAATTTATTTCTCTTATGTAAATTCGTGACCGTTTATGGTAGCGTATTAGTCCAAATTAAACGGGCAATCAAGAATAATTGGCGGTTCCTCCGGGGGATGGCCAGAGGATATAAAAGTGGATCGGGCAGCTGTCCGAGTTTCTTAACTTCATGCCCACTTAATTTCTGAAGCTTTGCCTAATCGTGAGGGCTAATTGAATCCAAAGTCAGTGCCCCGGAAACCCGATCTCATATTGGATGGACATAAAAATGGGTACACTCGACCCATCGGGACTAATCAAATAAGAGATGCGCACACCTTGTTGACCTTCGGCACGAGGAAAAACAACTTGAGTGAAGACTTCCGAAAGAAAGTTTCTTTCTCCTGCCGAGAGTCGAGAGTGAATGGCCGAGAGTGTATGTCCAGCAGATCAGAATGCTTTGTTTGCTCATCCTCCGGATTTGTCCAAATCTCTTCCCTGAAAAGCCAAATTCTGATAATCCCTCGTCCAAATAAAGGTTCGGGAGTCGCAGCGATTCAATAGAACAGGCCAAGGTATTAGAACCGTCGGACATTGGTTTGATCATACGCCATTAGTGGGTGACTGAATTTATGGGTGACGCAGAGTCGGGTGGTGCAGGTTCGGGTGAGAACTTTCGGGTGATCGCAAAGTCGGGTGATGCAAAGTCGGGTGGTGCATATTCGGGTGATGGAATTTTGGGGTGGGGGAATTCTCGGGTGATGAAAAATATTGCACTGAAGGCTACTAAATATAAAATATTGTACTAATGGCTACTAAATATGACGTAATATTGGTAAAATCTTAAAATTTTTTAAATTTTATGCTTTTTGGGGTTTTCAACCATCACGAATCCAAAAATAGAAACCATTTTGTTCGAAATTTTCTGTGAATATCAGTCTGTCGGGAAAATAACGGCGGATCGTCGCAGCAAAATGTCTCGCCTCGCCGCTATCGCGCACCAAATCCCAAGCCGCGGCTTGCAGTCGCAAAGCGATGATGAGCGACTCCGAGGCGCGACGATCCGCCGTTTTTTTCCCGACAGACCGATACTATTTTTCTGCGATAATTTTCGAAAATTTATTTTTGTTTTTTTTTTTTGAAGGTTTCAATGTCACGTCATAGTTAGTTATGATCATTACAACATCGTCCAAATCACCATAGAAATTTCCCACTTCAAAATGGTTTCCATTTTTGGATTCCTGATATTCGAAAACCCCAAAACAAATACAGAATTCGGTTTATTCATAAAATTTACAGTAATTCTTATATTTACTTACAATTAAAACAACAATAGTAATACACACAGAGAATTTTGAACAAAATGGTTTCTATTTTTGGATTCCTGATGGTCGAAAACCCCAAAAAGCATAAAATTTAAAAAATTTTAAGACTTTAACAAGATTACGCCATATTTAGTAGCCATTAGTACAATATTTTATATTTAGTAGCCTTCAGTGCAATATTTTTCATCACCCGAGAATTCCCCCACCCCAAAATTCCATCACCCGAATATGCACCACCCGACTTTGCATCACCCGACTTTGCGATCACCCGAAAGTTCTCACCCGAACCTGCACCACCCGACTCTGCGTCACCCATAATTTCCTGACCCCGCCATTAGTTGTTATTGGTCTTCAGTTTAATGCCGAGGCCTTGGTTTAAATCCTCTTTGCAATGTTCGGGAGCCTTTAAATCGCGAACAATGCAAAGTCGTTAAATGGGCATAAATGTCATTGACGGGATTCAAAAGCGCCGCTGTCATGGATCCGAAAGACAATACGCATTATTTCAGATAAATGCACGACCTTTTGCCATAATGGAGGTACCCTTCTGGAGGATTGCACTTGCAAATGTGGGTACGGGTTGACCGGCAAATTCTGCGAACAACTCAGTCTCAGCAGCCATTTCAACGACCCTGCCTGTGGCATCATTAGGGCCGAAAGCGAAGGAACTTTGTCACTGAGGTAAGCTAAAGATAATTTAATTTTTTTTATTTTGTGGAATCTTAATTTTCGCCCTCCTTAGCATGGTTTATTTTTAGAGTTTTTAAGTCGTCAACTTGACGCATTTCTTTGTCAAATTGCCGTAATTTCCGTCATGTCAAATCGTTCTGTCATTTCGACTGTCAAATTAAACTTTTTGGAAAATTCTTGTTGTTTTTTGCAAAAAATCGTAATAATTTACAATTTTTAGGAGCTAAATTTCTCCTTGTTGTCAAAACGACCGATGAAATAAGCATTAAAAATAGTTATGACAAATAAAAACGGTATTCATCACAGTCTATGTTAAACTCGCGTGTGAAAGCTTCGAACATCAGAATTTTCAATTCAACCAAAATGACGGAAATTTGACGTCATTTTGAAAAATCCTGTCAAATTTACAACCCTATTTATTTTTATTTCATAATTTTGGATTTATTCGTCCGTTTTGACGTTGCGCAACACATGATTTACGATGTTTTTATTTCATTCTAGTACTTACCCCGGCGAGAAGGATGGAAGAGCGTTCTGTCAGTGGCTTGTCAAACCCGCAAACCCTTGGGAAACCATCGAATTTGAATTTCTGGAGATGGATTTGAATTCCCAAGATCTCTTAACTAACTCGGATTGCGCTGACAGCTTCGTTGTGCTGGGATCCAAGGATATCAAGACACAGTAAGTTGAAGAGACAGGCATCCTAACAAAATGATGGCAATTAGTAATTAATAAAATACTATTCTTTAGAATCCCCTGTAACGAAAAGTTCAAGCAATACAAGAACAAACTCTACCGCTCGGATGGAGATTGGGTCATGTTTGTTTTGAATGGAAACTCGCACAACAAGAAATTTAGAGGTCCCTTGATCAGATATAGGATTGTTAACTCATCCAACAAAGAGATCAGATCATTCAGTCTGGATTCCTTCATCAACTCCGCCTCAACGATCGGTCTTGGCCTTATTCCTTTCGTGGCCTTCATTTTGTCCTTCTAAAGCAATATTCTCAACTCTTTTGCTCAACTCAGTCCCTTGTTCCAGGAATAATATAACAATCGTTGTAGATCTCTACTTATGGATTACTTTCTTTGTATTCAATGTTGCATTTTTTTTAATTATTACAGCTTGATGACGAAATAAAATCAAATAACCCTCAATACAGTATAAGTACGAACTAAGTGCTGATTTTCTTACTGTAAAATTTTATCAGCAATTGTAACAAATTTTAAAAAATCAGCCTGGTTTTTTACAGGCAGCTGAAGTAGTCTGACGAAATTTTCTCATTTATATGGATTATATACTCCCCGTACAATGTTTTGACCCCCCTCCTAACTCCGTCCAAAGTGTACTAATTCGGACCAAATTTGGTATGTAGTATACTCACAGGCTAGTAACAAAAAATATCATAGCTGGACCCACCTTATAGTTGAATATCAAAATCTAGGGGCAATTTTCAAAAATCACCTTAAAAAATCGAGGAAAAAGTTTTGACCCCCCTTAAAAAAAGTTAGATATCGCCAGCGGATACCATGCAAACCTATTGTAATCGACGTCCCATACCTGAATACAGGTTAATAAATGGTTTTCCGTTGAGTGCTTCGTTGCATTGGAGGATTCAACGCGTTAAACCGTTTTTGATGTAGAGCTGCCCAAAATTGTAAAAATCTTGCCCTAGCGCTTTCCTAGAGCTCTAAATTGGGTTTATATTATGTGCTTTAGACCTGTATTTACCTTCTCCTTTCAATAAAAGTGCATGGTGGCCTGGCGGTGTAGATTCGGCAGATGCCCTCTTGTCATGCCCAGCCTTGGTGAGCCATTTGCTCTTTGACTCAAGGTCGAGATGTGGTCGTTAGGTCCTCAATGTAATCCTGAGACTCCTAGTTACTCTCAAACAAAGAATAAACTCCGGCTGGCACGGTCTCATATGGTTTGCAGGCGCAACTTCGCCGATCTGCGCCTTAACGAAAACCCCGCGTTTTTCAAATGGATTTTTAGCCACCAAAAAGGGCTTTCATTTGATGGACCAGGTAATTTAAGACGTTACAGCACCCACTATACTCATTTGAGACGTATGAAACGCCAAATGGGAGGTGGGGATGTAATAGTACTCGGGGTCATCTACAGTAACGGCAAACTTAAGATTAAGGTGAATGAAACCCATTACAAAACGTGTCAAATCAAAACATGTTACATTACTGAGAGTAAATAGGAGTCTCAGGATTGCATTGAGGACCTAACGACCACATCTCGACCTTGAGTCAAAGAGCAAATGGCTCACCAAGGCTGGGCATGACAAGAGGGCATCTGCCGAATCTACACCGCCAGGCCACCATGCACTTTTATTGAAAGGAGAAGGTAAATACAGGTCTAAAGCACATAATATAAACCCAATTTAGAGCTCTAGGAAAGCGCTAGGGCAAGATTTTTACAATTTTGGGCAGCTCTACATCAAAAACGGTTTAACGCGTTGAATCCTCCAATGCAACGAAGCACTCAACGGAAAACCATTTATTAACCTGTATTCAGGTATGGGACGTCGATTACAATAGGTTTGCATGGTATCCGCTGGCGATATCTAACTTTTTTTTAAGGGGGGTCAAAACTTTTTCCTCGATTTTTTAAGGTGATTTTTGAAAATTGCCCCTAGATTTTGGTATTCAACTATAAGGTGGGTCCAGCTATGTTATTTTTTGTTACTAGCCTGTGAGTATACTACATACCAAATTTGGTCCGAATTAGTACACTTTGGACGGAGTTAGGAGGGGGGTCAAAACATTGTACGGGGAGTATAAAAAGAAGTGGTTGGAAAGTTATCAAAATCCTAAATCTTCAAAAATTCTCGCTGCGAATTTTGAGGTAAAAATCCGAATTTCTTAATTTTTGCGAGATAATTCGGAGAGAAAGGCGCGATGGAGAAGAGAATGGATGTTTTGTGCGTTCCCTCCGATTTCTGACTCACTCCAGCTTCCCAAACAGTCCCCACTCAAAGGTTCCGTTAATTTGAATATTGAATGTTTCGATTTCTGAGGAAACATAAACAGGATGCCCATCGTGAGACCCAGAAGCTACAAGAATCTTTCAGTTTGACAAAAGTAAGATTTTATAATTTTTAATTTTCTAGACGATGAAATAATTTTTTCTTGCAGATTAATTCCGATGGATTTCCGAGGAAGGTTCATAAATTTGCAATTGACACGAAAGAAAATCTCCTAGCGATTGTGACCGAGACAGGAAGAGTTGAATTGTAAGTTGAACTGAATTGTCTGATTTTTTTAGATTTTCGGACAACGATCGACGTGTTTTGTTGAAGAAACTCGGTAATAAACCATGTTTCGTTTCTTTCCTCGAGGGAAAACGAACTCTTCTGTTGGTTTGCTCAGAGAAACCTGGAACTTCACACCTTCCAGAAGCCGTTCATCTTCTTGATGTCGATGGTAATTATCCATGTTTTACACATAATTATCGCCGATCCAAAACGCAATCGACTAGCCATTGTTTATGTGCAGATAGCTTGTTAAGCGGTACGTTTGAAAGTCTGATTTTCTAATATTGGTTTAGGTTGTGGAACATGGATAAATAAAACGAAATGGGATCAGTTATGGCCGTCAAGTATGAGTGTGGAGCCTTTTATAGATATAGGCGAGTTTACTGAGAGCAACCAGAGGACGATTCGAAGACTTCAAGTCCACCAAAATGTTTTAATCGCATTGCTTAATAAGGATCTTGTGGTTGTGGTTGACATGCAGACTCAAGAACTTGTTAAATTTATTAGCTTTAAATATGATGTTCAAGTAAGTGAATGCTCAATGTTTCTCTTATTTTCAGAGCGTAATTTTCAATTCAGTGTCATTAATTTGTTACTTTGTGTCTCCGCAATTTGTTTGCGCTTTAAATTTGGGAAACTGGAATGTTAGTGGAAATGGACAAGTCTCAAACTGTGACTTTGAAGATTTGATGTATTACAATAAAGTGAAGGCCAAAAAGTAGGACCTTTGTTACTGTTATAAGCTTATATTTCAGTCGTTGGTTGACAATTTATTGCAATGGATTTCCGTCAGAATTTAGCCGTGATACCTGTTTGATGATCACGGATGAGTTGGAGAACAAGGTCTTTTCGTTCGCTGATGCTGTCTTGGATATTCAAATTATTTATGATAATCAAGGTATGTAAAGTTTTGATGTTTTTGTATTTAACAAATTTAGGTAATGCCACCATTTTGGCCGTTCTTCTTGAGCACGAGTTTGTTGCTTTTGACTTGTCTGATCCATACTTTCGCCGATTATCTCTGCCTTATCTTCATTGTGTCGATTTTTCTTCTGTCAGCACTGTTAAACTGCTTTCTGATATTCATTTTCCATACGACGACACATTAAAACTGAGGAGCAATTTGTTTCAATCAGCTTCAGAAACTGAATCAAACAACGATTCTTATTTTTTCTGCACTGGGTAGGTGTTGAAAATATTTTGTTCATTTTTTAGACATCAAAACGGCGATGTTGTTATATGGAGAGCAAAAAAGGATCGAGTTGACGTTTTGGATATCCTAAAAACATCAGATGTTTTATCAGTCGGTGATGTGTATAATAATGATGAGATTATGGAGCCAGTTGAATTGGAAGACTTGCCACAAGATGTTGTTAGTATTAAAGAAGCTGGAAGCAGTTTTAATATTGAAATTGACTGCGAGATCAAAGCACCGACGCAGCTTTTTAGAAACGATGACATTGCGATAAAGGTAAGCTTAAACTTGGATCTTGATTTTGTCTGTAGGCGGGCCTTTATGACGATCGTTGTGATGATGACGGATATACAATTGAAGTTATCCAAGCATCAAAGGAGTGGACCGTTGTTGGGCTAAATTGCGGGATTGTTTTATGTTATCCATTGAATGGAAAAGGCCTTCAAGAAGGGGAAAGTGCTGAGTTTATAAACGCAAATCTGGCAAATCAGGGGACTATAAATGAGAAACAAACAAAGATTTCACCGATTGCTTTAAAGAGGATAGGAATGACACCCTTGAGGTAAGAAATTTGCAAGTAAGGTATGCAGTCCAAAAGGTGGATGTGATTGAATACTGGACTTTAACGACGATTTGCAGAGCTTTGCTAACGATCTCTCCACAAACACCCATAAGATCTTTGGCCATATCTGATAACACGCATGTAATCGCCGTAGGATGCTCTACTGGAATTATTATCTACAATCCCATTAAAGAGACCGTTGTATTCAAACGAAATTTTTTGTCACTCGAAGACACAAAACTAGTGCTATCTGAAGAGAAACCGTTGACCAGACTAAAATCGATGAAACAATCGGTTCGACGGACATTCAGGAAGAAAGATGCATCGACCAGACAGAAACCAATGGTGGACCGGGAAGTTGCCTTCCGAGATACGAATTCTCCCTGGACCCATGGCTTCAAAAGCTTGATATTCTTTGAGCCAACCTCAGATCAAACATATCTTTATGCGGGGACTGGCAATGGAATTTTATTCATGTTTGGACTAAAAGAAGATATGTGCACTTTGTTCAAGGAGATCAGATTGGCTCATCGGGCCCCAGTTTGTTCCCTCTCTGTACTGATGGATCCTGTTCAAACCAAGTTAATTGTGTTCACAGAAGAACAGATAAGAAGTTTTAACATCGACACGCTCAAGTCATCCAACCTCTCGTATAAAATTACTGCGAAATGCGGAGTTAAGATCCGGAGAGGGATTGTTGTAAAAAGGAATGACTTCCCTTTTCTCAACATTATTTGCAACGACGGAACTTCAATTGCAATGTCAACAAAAGACAAAACGTCGAAGATATCGGAGAGATTCATAGATGTAAGTTCATATTTGTCTACAAAAGTAATCAATCCGTTGTCTTCAGCTGTCCGACAATGGTGCAATCCGCCTCTCCGATTTGAATGAAAATAATTTGATTACGGTGCCCAATTATGGAACAATTATAACGCTGTATAAAACTACATAACTCTAAAATCTAGTCAATGAACTTTTAACTGCAGCGGGTTTATGTTCATGAAAATTAGCTAATGTACGGGTTTAGAGAAAGTCATTACAATACTGGAAAACCAGTTACAATTTGAAGAGCAAAGTTATAATCTGTGGGAATTACACGTGTGGTTGACAAAATAAATAACCGTCGACCAAACCAGAGATCGGCCAGCCAAATAGATAAATGTCTTCAGTCGTCATAAGCTTCCTTTATCTCTTTCTGGAATGCCTTTTCGATATTCTTCCGCTTCAACTTCAGCGCTTCTGTTAGAAGCCCTGAGGCTGGAGTCCAGGGGTCATGACACAAAACTACTTTTCTGGGCATCTCCACTCTCTGTAATTTGGATTTCACAAAGTTGGAGAGTTCTTTGGTCACGATGTCAGCCGTCCTTTTGTTTTCACAAATTTCCTGCCAATCTCCTTTGATCCCGTTCTAAAAGTACAACAGAAATTTTAAAAATAATATCATAAACGTTACCTGCTCCGCCAACTTCTCGAGATTCTTTTGGTTGGGAACAACTAATGCAATCAGGAAGTCTCTCTCGGCATCTCCATATACACAGATGTTATCCACCAAAGGATTCGTCAGAAGATAGGTTTCTACTTTTCCCAATGACACATATTCTCCATGAGAAAGCTTGATGAGATCCTTCTTCCGATCTAAAAAATAAAGGCTACTGAATTGAGTACGTACCGATTACTCTCAAAGATCCGTCCCAACGGAATTCTCCGATATCACCAGTGGCAAAGTACCGCTTTCCATCAACGTAAATGAAATCTTCTTTGGTCTTCTCTTCGTTGTGGTAATATCCGAGAGCAATATGATCACCATTCAGAAGGATTTCACCCTGAGGGAGTTCATTCTTGGGACTGTATCCGGCCTCAGGCCATTCTCGCAGTTTGATTTCACAGCATCGCAATGGAGGACCGACAGATCCAGTGCTCAAATCGTGCTCTAAAAATATAATCAATCAAAAGGACGTTATTACCATCGGCCAAAGTGGCAGCACCGCACGTCTCAGTCAATCCGTAACCTTGAACAACGGGACAACAGAAACAGATATTCATGAATCTCTGTGTTTCGGCATTCAAAGCGGCACCTCCGGATAATACATAGCGAAGATTTCCTCCAAGAAGTTTGCTGATTTTGTGAAAAGCCAGCCTAAACCCACAATAACAATTACTACAATGCCAACTTACTTATTCATGACCAAACTAACGTAACCTTCTTCGTATCTGGCTCTCTTTCGCTCATAACAGATTCTGAAAACTTCCCTGAACAATGGAGACTTCGACTTGACTTCATCAGTGACTGCCTTAAAGATACGATCCATAACAGCAGGTACGCATGCAATCAATGTTGGTTTGAGAACGGCACAGTCTCCCTTTGTCCCTTTCTTAATTTTGGCAGCTCGATCGAAGAGGGTTTGGGCAGACGAATACCCAATACAGGCTCCTTTGCTGTAGATAACCAACTCCGCGGCGACCTCCAGAATATGGGCCAGTGGCAAGTATCCAATAAAAGTATCTTCCTGACTAAAAACAAAAAAAAATGAAGAAACCCAAAACAATTACCTGACTGTCAAAACACTTCCTTGACCAGATATACCAGCGATAATGTTCCTGTGAGACAACATAACTCCCTTAGGATTTCCGGTGGTGCCACTTGTATACATAATCATAGCCAAATCATCTGGTTTCACATCAGCCACAACATCGTCTTGGCCTTCACCATGATCTAAAAGTTCCTCGAAGGAAAACAACTTCTTGTTGATATCCTTGAAGCGATTCTTCTGTGCGTCTGAGGCCAACCCGGAATCACCAGTAATTCTATAATGCTCTTGGTAGTAGATGATGGTATCGATGGAGGGACATGAAGCCAAAGCCTTGTCAACTTTACTTAGAAGATTCCTCGTCGTAAAGATGACCCTGGCAGCACACTCTTTCATGGCGTAGGCAACAGCTTCATCTCCAAGAGTTGCATACACGGTGATAACTAAATAATGATAACTACATAGAGAACATGAATAAAAAATCGATAAATAAATCAACAAAACGAACCTGGAAATCCGCATTTAAAGCATGCCAAAGCAGATTGCATCCACTCAGCACGAGTCTCGGCAAAGATGATAACATGATCACCTTTCTTTAACCCAAATGAACTCAGACCGCGCGTAATCCTTTCGACTTTACTGTTGACGCCCGCAAACGTTTCAAAGTCGTATTGGCCAAGAGTAAGTTGCTGGAAGACCTTTCCGTCTTTTTGGATCTCTTCGCCTTCCAGTACCTGGCGTGTGCCCATACAATTCAACGGCCCGTACTCCCTAAAAATCAGTATTGATAAAAACGGGGCAATTACCTCGCATTTCGATCCCAAATATCTCCCAAAGTTTTACATCCGGGAAAAATATTAGAAAGAAGGTCTCGTCCAATAGTATCCACATGACGCCAGCCGCTCGAAGGATCACCTTCAACGGACGGACGAGCCTAAAATTGAATTAACAATTGAAACAGAAAAGATATTTACCTTGATTCTTTCTGATCGAGCAACTTTCTTCTCGGGGTCAGCAAAAATCTTGAAAGGAATGAATACAATTGCATCGTAGAAGAAGAAAAACACTTGTAGGAAAACATTCAACGCCCGGATGGCTATCGGACGCTCATTCTCGACAAGCTCTTGCTCGAGCCGACGATTTCCTGCGGCCCCACTCTTATGATCGGGCATCTAAAACAATGTCAATACAACTGATCCGAAAACAATATGAAAACGTTGAAAACGCTAATATATGAATCACGTACAAGAATATGATTAATGTAATGCTTTAACCCGATAAAGTGAAAATCTATAAAACACACGAATCTATTCTTTTTTCCTCGTTTCAAGGAACTCTTGGATTTTGGAGCCGATTTCGTCAGGGGATGGGAGTTTAGGGAGTTTGTAGTTTTGTTCCAGGTAGATGCCTGCATAAGTCCCCACACAAAGCGCAAAGAAATTACTGGCCAATCCCATCGCGTCGCACCTAAACAACAAGGTATGCAAAATTAATCAACGCTTTATTATTCGCCTTCGTGAATAATATAAACATATGCCAAATCGGATTCATGGAAATTGGGCTGAAAGGAATTGGGCGGAGTCTGTAAATTGGGTTGAGTGAAATTGAGCTGAATTCAAGGAACGACAGACATGTGTGCAAGCAATGTGCATAGCAGAGAAAAATAAAGTTACAAGAAATCAGCCCAATTTCCCTGAAGCCGCCAAACCGAGGAAAACGGACGAATAGAAACCAAATTTTCGAATAAACGAAGCACAAGTGAAAGAAAAAAGTAGCACAAAATTTGTATTAAGGTAACGTACTGGGTTTAAATAACCGAAAAAACTTTTAATAATTGATTGAGTCTACAGCAGACTCTAGAAAAAAACATATTTTTACACTATTTTGAGCCTCTTTATACCTAAAATATTTTTTTTAAATCGGACGGAGGTAACTTTTTGAATAATAAAATGGTGTGGCTGAACTAATTCGGGCTGAAAAAAGGAGGTCGTCGCATTTATAATGGACGGAAACCCAAGCAGTCCGTCCATGAATTAATCTACAATTTCTCCATATTTTCACCGATAAAACAACAAAAAACTCTGTTAAAAACAAGGTCAACTGCCAAAAACAACCAGATTTTTGGTTCACGTTGGACAAACGAAAACAAAACGTCGTCTTCCTACTGGGCCCTGGGTAAGAGAAAGAAAAGGCGCCCAGGCATCCATTATTTTGTCACCGTTCACTCTCTTTTCGAGACCAAAAAAGACACAACCAAGGGAAAAGGCCTCTTTTTTATCAGTCCGTCAGGAAACTAGTGGCGGGTCGCCGCAACAAAATGTTTCGCGTCTCATCGAAAAAGGGGTGCAGTCGCGCACCAAGTTTCCAGCTGCGGCTAGCCGTGCAAAGCGATGATAATGGGCGATTCCAGCACGCGACGACCTGCCATTATTTTCCCGACAAACTGATATTTTCCCGATAGACTGATAAAATTTTCTGGCAAAAATCAGGCCCGGTCCGTTTCAAAATTTGTCAAGGGGGTGGGCCTTCCTCCCCTTTCTTTAACACGAGCTACATGTGTCCAAAAACCTCCCCTGAAGGAAATTGGACAGGGGGGAAACTGGACAGAGGGAAACCCGATAGATTTTTTTCACTGCAATCTTACCAAATAGTCTTTTGCAGTGAAAAAAATCGTTTCCATGAAGCGGGCCATGCTTCTCCTTCTGGGCACATCGTTCCCCCTAGGCCAAAATTGATTTTTTAGCTTGACGGCGCCATTATTGATTGAAAAATTCGGGCATCACGCCAAGAAGTGAGAATACTAAAATGGGATTTATGTGGGGACAAATGATGATAACAAGAAGTTCAACGTGTTTACAGCTTCACCCAGAACCGAAGCTGTAATTGTTGAGTAATTCATGGGCTCGGAATTTCTCACGGAAATTTGAAAAAAACTGATACCACATTGACGTACTATCTCGACCTTCTAACGCGGAGAAAGCTATTTAGCCTGTAGAGAAAATCAGACCACTTTCAGTGCTACTTTTTGAGACAATTAGAGTTTACATTGTAGTAGGCAGATCTTTCCAAAGTGTCCCTAAAAACCGAACAAAAAGCAAACATAACGACTTACTGCGCCAAATGATGGGCGATTCGAAGGCGCTACGATTTCTTATTACTATCAGAACGCCGGGAAAATAATGTCGATTTGTCGCTTCGAAATGTCTTCGTCGCAGTCGCGCACCAAATCTCCGGCTAGCCGTCGCAAAGCGATGACGGGCGATTGCAAGGGGCGACAAATCTACGTTACTTTCCCGAGAGACATAAAAGTCGCCCGCTAAATGACTGCAAAGTTCAGAGCTTTTCCTGCTTTGAGGGTGAATAATATTCGAGATATTATCTCGAAGATCGAATCAATCACGCACATTGTTTGACATCTAACGGATATCTAAACGTATTATTCACTCTCCACCTGATCGCTCGCGGTTTTCTCGGGCTATGAAACGAAATGTCCATAAAATTAATTTGCCTATTATTACCAATAACAACAAAAAAAAACTACGGTGATATTCTACATGATATTGTGTATAATAATAATTTAATAATTTATTTGAAATTTTGTCGATCGTGTGTTGCGCAATCGGGATGATTCGATTTGTGGCCAAAAAACGGAATCATCTATTGTGGTAATGTAGAGTTTTAGAAAGAAGTCCAATATTATGAAAAAAAAATTATAAAATTTAAAACAGCTTTCACCGTGGCGGGATTCCCAGATTTCTTTGCTATGAAACGTAATCCTCATCATAACTAAACTACATCAATCTTTGATTTGGTGACCAACATCAGGAGACAAGCGGGCGAAATACAAAGTCCAGGTAAAAAAGTTGAAGGCCCTGATAAGAGCTAATCAAAACACTCCTTGTTTTAAGTATCGAAATCAGATAATTTCTTTACAAACTTCTGGCCTTTGCAATCTCCAAAGTTCTCATAGTTCACCATGAATCATTACTTTGGATCCAAAATAGAGGGTCTTCTCCAAATATTGCCGTAGTAAAAAAAATCTATTGTACGAATTAAAAACAAAGGCACAACAAAGGAAACTTTTGATGGATTCAAGTCCAGAGGGCTAATTGAATGTTTGGCCTGACCGGAACCTGAGGAAGAGAGAAGAGCGGTTTCGTTTTTTGGATACCTGTAGACGCGTGTTTTTTTGCCTTTAAAATCCTGGTTTCGTTTGTTGGAGGCCCTCCGGGTTGGATGGCATTATTCGAGATGAGCCAAGTGTTTGGGGCCGTTCAGGCTGATGGATGTCAGTTGTCGATCGGATTGAAGAAGAGAGAAGGGGGCCGGGGGCCGTGTCTACCTTTTTGCATACTCGCTTGTCGTTATTGCATATTCCGAGTCGGGCTCCTTTTTCTTGATCATTAGGATGACCTTTAGTTCGACCACATCTGGCCTCTAGATTCATTTGCGGCGCTTACGCAACATGGATTGGGGCATTACGAATGCAGAAGAGTACGGTCGGCCACAAATGTGCATGAATCAGATTGATCGTCCTTTCTTCCGAATATAACGCCCTCAGGTGTTGCGGGGGTTTGAAGGGAAACTGCACATTATGTTTCCCTTGATTTTATTATAATTTTGTGGCCAAGGGGTCGGCCGGTCACTTTCATATTCGAACGGCGATTTCCGACCACGCAAAGCGATGTCGTGAGGAGAGCACAGAGTTCCGCTTTAATATGCTTTATCCGCATTTGTGCGCTGAATAACAGGCCATTTAACTTGGAATGGAGCCAAAAATATTTCTTTCAGTTTTCATAGGATTTGCATGAGAATCCAAGATTTCTGGAGGGTTGTACCACTGGTACTCCTCCTGGTTTTCCTGATTCGGGCAGAGGAAATTGAGAAGGAACCCGTTGGCCAAAACTTGATTCTTCTGCTAATTGATGGTTACGGAGCCAGCCTGTATAATCGGACGGATCCAAAGCTTCAGAATGGCGCTCAAATGTTGATCAAGAATGGCGTCCAGGCCGAGTATCTGAAGCCAGTGTTCCCCTCCCAGAGCTATCCGAATTGGTTCAGCTTGAACACGGGTGAGTCTTTTTTCTTTCGTAATCGTAAATTATTTAAGTCCGTCAGTGTAAAGTGATTTGATGTGGCCGCGAAACTTTTTTATCTCCTGCCGGAACCCAATAAAACAAGAAATAACAAGGTGTATTTTTTCTAGGGTTATATGTAGAAAACCACAACTTCACGGCCGATTTCATGTACGATCCAAAGCGTGACGTCTACTTCCAGAGGGATGAGGGCGCGAATGACACGGACTATCAATGGTGGAGTGGAGGGCCTGACCCGATTTGGTACACAGCAGGAAAGAAGCATGTGGATGTTCATTGTTATTGGTATGCAAACTGTCATGTAAGAAAGTGTCGGAGAAAGAATACTCTTTCCAGAGACCTCATGGTGACATGATGGTTCAAGTCCCCAAGACCCGACAGCACAGTTTCAAGAACGAAAAGAGCTATGATCTGTTCGCATATCTGCCTCGCATCATGAAACATATCAAGAAATACCAAGTATATCGCCAACAACTGGTCTTACTCAGATATAACGGCCTTTCCAAAGCCCTCAGGTTATTTGGAGATGACAGTGATGCCGGAAAACAAGCCCTGGCGAGCGCAGATGCTCAGATCAGGAAGATTCAGGTAGAGTGACAAATCAGATGTATATTAATCAAAATAAGTGTTCTTTTTATTGGATGTCATTAATCATATTTCAGGAGGAAATGGAGAGTCATGAGTTATTTGATTCCACCAATCTGATTGTACTCTCGGATCATGGCTTGAAACGGATAAGTGAAGACCACCAATTCTTCCTTGAAGAATGTCTGACTGATATCACAAAGATCAAGAGAGTTGTAAACAATCTTGCTTTCACATTTGTCTATCCAGAACCGGAAGCAGAGGATTCGGTCTACTTTGAATTGAGGGTATGCGATCAATGGGCGGCGATGGGTGATTATGATGATGAAGACGAACCCTCGGTGGCTGTATACAGGAAAAATGAGATTCCTGAAAAATATCATTGGAAAGGCGCCAGATTCATTGCACCCATTGTACTAGTAGCCAAGCCTGGGGCTGTTATTCTTACTGTAAGTATACTATGGAATGAGTGTATTCGTGGCGAAGGTAGTCGAAACGTGACGTCAAAACTACATTTTTAGACTCAAATCCCTTCAACTGATGTCAGTGAAGCCCAAGGCCGAGAGCTTAGAATGATCGGAGGTTGGGATAACGAAGAACAAGATTTAAGCGGCATTTTTATGGCCCGTGGACCAGGTATATAAGTGTTTTCTCACCAAACAACCAATCTTTCAGCCTTCAAACAAGACTACAAAGCGAGTCCCCTCGACCTTGTAGATGTCTACCAATTGGCATTGAACATTATTGGAGTTGAGGCAGGCCATCCCCATAACGGAAGCTGGGAACATGTTGAAGAATTGTTGGCTGATGGCTGGGAAGATCGGCAGGTCGAGCCGGACGGAGAGATGGGCCTGCTCCCCAGTCTGACCTTGACCTTGGTGGCACTGATCAGTTTATGGCATCAATGATTCAGTCTTTCATCTCCTGTAAACCGGTGCCGTTGCATATATTATAGTCGCACACTGCCTTGCCATGATTCCACTCCATAACTACTGAATTCTTACCCATTGTTACACCTAGTATTATTAATACCCGTTGGTAGAGGACCTTAATTTAGAGACCTTTATCTTGATTGTTCTGTAATTCCAATAAGTATGTTGCGTAATAAAAATGATATGACATAATAAAGTAAATGATAATCGGATCGAGCATCTGACACTCAGCTTCCAGGTCGTGAATCCCAGCAATTCTAAAACGCCGTGACCCAAATCGCCTTTGTTTTAATGCGCCGACTCCCGGATTTCCCGTTTCCACCGAACAAAAATGAAAGAGCGCACTTTCAATCTAAGGGTGTAGTTATCCACTGTTTCAGGATGGCATATCCGCTTATATTATTACTGATATTGATAGGAACAGTAAACGGTAAGCAATAGATTGTCTGTTGCAACCTATTTTTTTCACAGGATATCAGGGGATTTCCGAGTAAACTCAATTCTTTCGCCCATATCCAATTTTTGTTTGTCCTGAAATGTGCAGGGCCCAGACAGGCACCTCGCAAAGTTTTTGTGTATTGTGGACGCCGTACAGTACAAAAGAAAAAAATTCCTATGGGCGGAATTTAAAGTTAAGTTGAGCGTCATGCGCGAAAAAAATTGAATTTACTTGGAACCCCTCTTATATGAGTCTTATGCGTCCTTGTATATTTTAGCCAAATACCGTCTCTGTCCCAATGACGGTCAGCCAAAGACACAAGAAGATGGCACCCTTATCCAATGTCTACCAGGTAACCAGTAAAAATAACAAAACCGTTACCTTCCTTAAGGACAAAATTCGGTCGACGTTTGCGGAAAAGGATATTCATGCTTCTTTTCTGGGTTTAATTACCAATGTTGTCCTTCAAATGAAGAAGAAGCAATCCCTTCTCACGCTGACTGCCCTCGCGGGGCCATGGCTGTGTTAGATTCATCGGGATACCCGGTTAAATGTTCAACCCTGGGCATCTATTGCCCCAAGGTATGACCGTATGAACACTAATCTCTATTATCCAGAAAGACATGTTCTGTTTTGACGGAACTGAATCACCATTCTGTTGTGAATACCCTCATAGAAGGACCACTGATGCACCAATACCAAGAGAAGCCGAAGAATTCTTTAAAGACGATGATGAACAGTTGATTGAGAATAAACAACACGGCGAGAATCAATCGGTAGATCAATTGGAATGCCCTGCAAAAAGCCTTACTATCCTAGGTGATGACGGGAAACCTCTCTCATGTCAACAGAACAACGAATGTCCTAGTGTAAGTCCAAGAAAATAATGCAATATTTGATGCATCTAAACCAATTTTAGAGCATGTACTGTTACGGGGAGAAGGCAAAGATCTGCTGTGAAAATGGTTCCGCAGCGGCAGTCGAACCAGCCAACTCAATCGCGGAAGAATCAACATCTACGTCAACAACCAGCACAAGTACACCAACAAGTACACAAACTACTCAGACTCCTACAACGACTAGAACTTCCACAGCTGCTGCGCCCGCAACATTATCGACGACATCAGATCCCCAGCAACCTGTCAGAATACATGCTGTCAGGACTGCCACCAAGGAGCCCACCTATAAACAACATCCAAATGGAGGATATAGTATAAACAGCCAACCAAGGATCAATCAAGAAGCCGAGAAGAAAGAAATAGCTCAACATTACCTACTCGAGCAAATAAAACGAGGATGGCCTTACGACGATCGATACTACAGACCAGAAAGTAAGTAAAAAAAATTAAACAACCATCATGAACAAAACATTATAGATATGGTAACGGTAAAACAGAACGGGTCGACTGCAGCTTTCGTACATTTCAATTGATATAGCCAAAACTTTAATAAGAAACAACAATAAACAAATTCCTATAAACACTTCTCTTTCAAAAGTTCCAACCGAGATTCCTCTAGCTGTTTCAAGGATGGGAAAGGGTGACCTAAGATTTAAAATAGTTAATTATAAAAACAAAGGCCACCCACCATTTATCTCCAACACTGCCATCCTCAAAATCTGAGGTCTCTCAATTCGCTTGTCCTTGTACATCATAACTCGCCGTTTGGGAAGTGCAATTATGTAAGTATAAGGTTCCTCAGTACTTCTTAACCTTGGAACAATATCATCAAACATCTTATTTTTTAATTTCGGTTCCATTAACCACCAATCCAGCATCTTGTTTGTGTATTCATCATCTGCGCCTCGATGAACAGAGAGTTGGATCAACTAATAAAATAAAATAATGGTAAGTAAGAAAGAGAAAATAATTTATAAAATCATCGATTATTCCACCTTACCCTTTCTGCGTAAGGACGTGCCTCTACGGCTCTGTTGTGTTTAAATTCCACCCTTTCTTCTCGAACAAGTTGGGTGATCATCCTTCGTAAGATCTCCAATCGTCCCCTTGGGGCTTCGAACTGAGCAGTTTTCAATCGCTGAGGGATATGGCCAATAGCCGCTTTTATTGAAGGCAATGACGGCACTATTTTCGCGCTCATCGTGCTCTCAGACGACGCAACAAGCCGAATAACAAACACAACAATTAATCCCAATTGAAAAGCGCTTTTTTAGCTAATCGTCTCAATTATTGATTGAAATTTTTGAACACTTCGTTACAAAAACACGGTCCAACAAATATTATCGCCTCTCACTTTTGAGGACATCGGGTGATTGGGTGAATAGTAAATAAGAAGGAGGGAATAGAACTCTATCTGCACCACCTAAAATAATTTTTGCAGTTTTTACAGTTTGCAAGATATAGCCACCTTAAGTATTCAACAATTGCAATCTTTCCCGTGGTCTAACCGACTTATAATAACGAAAAATCGCATGAAACTTGGAAGTCAACATTGACACATTCTTATCAAACAGTATGCAAAAAATCGCGGCACATTTACTACTCGGCTGAGGAGTTATCCATCAATCTTTCCCCATAACAAAAATCAGTTCCCGGCTTTTTGGCACTTTTTGGCATTCTGCAAATGGGAAAAATAAATATAAAAAAGTCATGAAGATTTATATATTTTATCAATTATAGTGTCTTTATGTAATAATTTAGACTTTGATGGTTCATACCCATGTCATTTGGCAACTTGCCGACGTCTAAAGGAACTTTTGGCTAGGAAACGGGACTTGGAAGGCGAGAAAATGGTTTTTATAAAAAAAATATTCTTTGGAAATTCTTTTATTTTGCAGAATGCCAAACTCCTTTCCATTTTCGTGGTGAGACAAAAGACTGCAAGCGAGATTAATTGTTGTGAAACGAACGTTCACAAATTTGCAAAAAAAAATAATTTTCTAAAAGTTTAATATGACGAATCGCCACTATTGGTTGGCTGAAAAAATAGAATCAATAAAAAAAAAATAAACCCGTGAGCGGCCGTAGAAGTGTTGTTACAACGTGATAAGAACATGGGCAACGCTGAGTCAAGGCCGGATTTTAAACAAGCTGTAATCGAGCTTACTTCCAAAGACTCTACAGCTTCCTTGGCTTTCTGGGATCAATTTTGGGTATCGGCCAACGCACAGACTCCTAAGGATGTCTTTGCTTTGATAACTCCGAATCAGATTGCGGAACTGAAGTCCCAGTCCCCGACTAACTTAGCTACTTTGATTCATCGGGCAGTTGATTGTCTGCGGAATGCTCGAGATGCCTCCGTGCCCAGTACTGATCATAAAAAGGTACTTACACTTTTATGCTACCTAAATGTAGTTTTTTCAGACTTATAAATACTGGTTATTTTAGGTGTTGAATTGTGTTCGACTTCTAACTCGACTTGTTCCATTTCTCTTCGAGGATTCAGAATGGAGAGAACTGTTTTGGTCTCCATTACCCTCGGAGGACATTCCATTAGCCAGTGTTCTCCTCGGAATTTTATCCGATCTATTGTTTTGTCCAGATTTTACCGTTTCTCCGTTCTCTAATCGTCCTGTAAGTAGTGTGAAAATGGTTTTATTGTATGTTTAGGACGGCCCCCAAACGTTGGATGGGTTGGATAGTTGCGAGTTTATTTGGCAAGCTGGCGTTGGTTTTGCCAATAAGACTACAATAAATTCCGTTCATGACTCCAACAGGACTGAGATTCTTCGACTACTTTTGGCTCTTTTTAGTGAAGTGATTTACATCCCTGTTACAGGTATTTATTCTGACTTTTATTTTTTACTCTTGGCCCACTTGTTTTAATTTCTTTAGATGAATCTCGAATGCGATGGGTTTCCCGGTTTTCATCAGCTGAGAATCGTCATGTTCTTCCATTGTTCACTTCTTTATTGAACATCGTATGTTCTTATGATCCCGTTGGGTATGGTCTTCCCTACAACTACTTACTGGTTGGTGACTCACGCGAACCCTTGGTACAAACAGCTCTCCATGTTCTCATTGTTTGTTTGGATCGCGATTCTCAACCATCTAATGACGAGACTGGATATGTGGAGAACTTTTTTGTCAATTATTTATCAAGGTTACATCGGGAAAACGATTTTGAATTTATTCTGAAAGGAATAAGCAGACTTCTGAACAATCCACTGCAATCATCTTACCTTCCAAACTCGACGAAGAAGGTCGGATTCCATCAGGAGCTTCTTGTTTTATTATGGAAATGTTGTGAATATAACCAGGTAAGGAACTGAAATTTTTTCATTGCATTTTTTTAGAAATTTATGTTCTATGTATTGAAAACGAGTGATGTCCTGGAGGTCCTTGTGCCGATCTTGTATCATCTACACGATTCCAGATCCGATCCTTGTAAGTTTTAAAGGTTATTACATTGATTTTGTTTAGCTCGTGTGGGTCTGATTCACATGGGGGTCTTCCTGATCTTATTGTTAAGTGGAGAACGGAACTTTGGAGTTCGGTTAAACAAACCGTTTTCATCCCGGGGCGTCATAAACTTACCCATGTTCACTGGAACTCATGCAGACCTCCTAATTATTGTAAGTTATACTTGTAATTTAAAATTATTCTTTAGGTGTTTCATAAATTGATTACGACTGGAAATCATAAACTTCAATCCCTCTTTGATTGTTTGTTGACCATCATAGTTAACAGTAAGTTTGTTCAACGAAAAATATATTTTTCTAGTATCCCCATACTTGAAGACCTTATCCATGACGACTGCTAACAAGTTGGTCCATCTCGTTGAGGCGTTTGGTACCCCATGGTTCTTATTTTCGTCGAAAACAAATCATCATCTTATCTTTTTCTTACTCGAGGTGTTCAATAACATAATCCAATATCAATTTGATGGCAAGTTTGCCAAATTTTAATTAGTCATTATTTTTAGGTAATGCTAATCTTATATATACAATTATCCGGAAGCGGCAAGTGTTCTATCAACTGGCCAACCTCAGTTCCGATCCAACTTCGATCCAGCAATCCTTAAAAGGACGTAGAGGAAAGGTTTCTGATACAGAGAAAGAAAAGGAGAAATCATCTCCTCAAACACTCGAGGAGAAGCCAACTCTTCAATCGACACTTGCAGCTACTCCTGAGATCAGTGTAATGACAGATAAAGGAGTTGGAATAGATGCCGAAAAGGAGAAGACCGAAGAAGAATGGCGTCCAACTTCTGAGTGGGTGGAAGGGTGGAAGAGTAAACTTCCACTGCAAACAATTATGAGAGTATTGCAAGTGCTGGTCCCTCAAGTTGAGAAGATCTGTATTGACAAGTAAGATGACTGTTATTTAAGAATTATTATGATTTAGAGGGTTGACTGATGAAAGTGAAATCATCAAATTCCTCCAACATGGAACACTTGTGGGCCTTCTTCCAGTTCCTCACCCCATTTTGATTAGAAAGTACCAGAGTAATTCCGGCACGAATCATTGGTTCCGGACTTATATGTGGGGAATAATTTACTTAAGGTAAGTTTAACCACTATGGAAAATTAATGTTTTTAGAAATGTCGACCCTCCAATTTGGTATGACACTTCCGTCAATCTCTTTGAAATCCAAAAAGTTAACTAGTGAAATGTATAATATAATATTGTAATTATACAAAAAATTTTTATTGTTATTATTATTTTATTGTAACTACAAACTGTTTATAACAAATTTAATTTATATTTTCGTATTAACAATGTGCCCGACATCTCACAAAAACATCTCATTTGCCATAATGCGGCTTACAAAGCAGAGAATAAATGTATTTTGTTGTTAATAGTACCTTAATTGACAGGGTCGTAAAGATCTCCGCTTCCTAATGATGGACAGGTTGCGGAGAAACCGCGTCGATTAGTCACTTAATTAAAGGCGTTCTCGGGTCGTTTGATTAAAGAGTCTTCAAATGTTTAAATTAAATTCAAATAGATTGTAATGAAGAGGGATAAGGGCCGATTTGAGTGAGCCTTGTATGATGGATGTTTGTTTAGTAAATGCTCTATAAACCTTTTTCTTTCGATAATCGTAATGATTTCGAGGACTCGAAAGTGGCCAGCCACTCGGCCACAAAATGTCGGAGAGAGTTCGCCCCCCCCCCTAGCTTTTTTTGGGAATTGCATCTCCTAGTGTTTTTTTTCTCGTCAGGCACTTCCCTTTACAACAGAAGCAAGCTTTTAATTTCGCCTAATCTTTTTTGGTCGGTGGCATCTTTCGCAGTTTTGTTTCGGCACAGTCATTTTTCGTTCCGCCCTCCTGATTCCCCCTCCCTCGCTTGTGGGTTAAGTGAGGTAAACCCGCTCTCTCGCCTCATAACTAGTCAATATCCAATTTCATTCGCTCACTCGCCGTCTTGTTTGATCTAAGCGTCCCATGGGGTTCTGGGCGATTCCCCGTCGATCTCCTCACCCATTATAATACGTAAAAACAGTCGTCGAGACATTAGATTCCGGCTGATTCACCCTTTTGTGTGCCGAACTTCTTTTGGTTCCCCTTCTTGACTTTCTCCTTTACTTTCAGACCCGGCTTTGCGGCTCCCGACTCAGGAATCGACCAATGCGGGAATGAGTTACAGCTACCTCTTCAAGATTGTCGTGGTGGGTGATCACAACTGCGGCAAGTCATGCATTCTATTGCGGTTCGCAGAGAACACCTTTCGGCAAGATCATATCAGCACGTTGGGAGTCGATTTTAAACTTCAGACCATTAAGTTGGGAAGGGATAAAGTCAGGTTAGAGCTTTGGGATACTGCTGGGATGGAAAGATACAGGTAATTTAGAAAGAGATATCAGACATTCAATGTTTAGAACCATCTACAACTCCTATTATCATTCAGCGCATGGCATAATGTGCGTTTATGACCTTACCAACGAAAAATCCTTTGAGAATCTGGAGACGTATTGGTTGAGGGAGATCAGGAAACACGCCCCCCAGAACGCAGTACTCTTATTAGTAGGGAATAAAGCCGATATGGAGAGTGAACGGAAGGTGGACTTTGACAGAGCCGAGAAGTAAGTGGTATTAATCAAATCAATCAGCATTTTTTGGAAGTCATTCTGAGTTACAAATCGATGTTTCAAAAATGGAACTGCTTATATTCGATTACTAAATAATGTTTCTTTTAGACTAGCCAAACAGATTGGAGTTTCCCTATACGAAGTAAGTGCCAAAACAGGAATCAATATTGAAGAAGCGTTCAATGATTTGGCCAGTACGATGAGAGAAAGATTGTTGGCGCAGAGCATGAACGGAACAGATTCCGATGACTCAGACCAACTCTCCTCCGCCTTTCATGTGAACGGTGTGATCACAGCAGATGAGAAACTCCTTAGCGGTTCTTTTCCTTCCATCCGTTGTTGCGGGTCTAACCCTTCTCCAACCTTCGTCTAATCTGCATAATTCGGGTCCAAATCTCTCTTTCGTATTTCCAGCACCTCTAGGTATGAGACAGATTAATGTAAAGTATTGCAATATTCGCCTTTTGTCTCGTCCCTCTGGGCTCTTTATGACCATGTATTACGCTCATTATCAGTTCTATGAATAATGTTTATTTACAAAACACTTCCCCTATATTACTCATATTCTTAACTGTTATCAGCTACATATTGTCACCTTTGATCTTGTTGTGACGTCACAGTTCTTTATAATCTCTGTTGAAAGTTTTGTTCTCATTTTGATTACTACAAACAAAGATGGGGTATTCGCATGTTGCCTTCCGCGCTCTTTTTATTAATCGGCGCTCACTTATTGATGGTAAATAGATGCAAGCTATAAATAATATACAAATAGAAAGTCGTAACTTATTTATGGCAAAAAAATTACCGTTTGGTATACCAATCGATAAAAAGTAACCATGTCAATCATAATGGGAGAAAGTACCGCTAATTGTAAAAAAAATGGACTCATATTTGAACAACATCACTAGTTGGATTTAACTCCGTTCTAATTTTTAGTAACCATGGATACCTGAATTATTTTGTAATGCAGAATGGAACGTTTTGAGCTCGTATAGCTTTCGTCGTATAAGAGGTCTCCCTAAAATATTCTTTCTTATGTGTGCGACGAGCGAGTATATTTATTGGTGGAGTCAGGCTTGTTTGTATACCAGTGTTAACAGTGTCTTTCTCTGCGGTTGTTTAGCACCCTTCTCACATTAACTGACCAGAGCAATAACATGAAAGAACGTGTTTGTTTTGATATGCAAGGTTGCGAAAATTGTAAATTGTAATAGAGCTTTCTTTTGGCCCTACTGCACCTTTAATGTAGCGTTTTTTCGCGCGTTAAAACAGGTTTTCGGAGTTGGCCCGCGGCCTTTCTTTCTACTATATATTCTTTCACCTCAGAGACCCGCTCTGTCTCAGAGAAACGACCTCTTTTCGGTTCCGGGCGTTTGACTCGATTAGAACATAAGATAATCAGTTCTTTGCAGAGATTTTCCGAATCCATGCGAAAAAATAGACGACGATGACCGAGTGGGAGACTGAGAGCCAGGAGCCCCACGGCATGGCCCAGATCATGCAGGCCAGAAGGGCGGCCCAACTGGGTGATTACAAAGCCATCAAGGATCTGTTGGACCAGGGTTTAGTCGAAGCTGGTGCTATGGACCCGGACGATTGTTCTCTTTTGCATTGGGCTGCTATTAACAACAGATTAGACGTACGTTTTTTGCAAGTTAGACGATTGGCGTGGTTTCGCATAGTGTAATATGACTTATTTTTTGTGTTTAGGTAGCAAGACTTCTAATTGAGCGAGGAGCGCCAGTAAATGCAATAGGAGGTGTCTTGTCATCAACGCCGTTGCACTGGGCGGCCAGACATGGCCATCATTCCATTATCGCTCTTCTTATCCAAAATGGTGCTGATCCTGAAATAAAAGACGGGGAAGGTTTTATGGCTCTTCATATTGCTTCCCAGTTTGGTTCCACACCAGTGGTAGCCTATTTAGTTGCAAGTGGTCAATCTCCGAATGCTCTTGATTCTACCAAAATGACGCCATTGATGTGGGCGGCGTTTAAAGTCCAAGGTTTAAATCCATTAAATGTTCTTCTTCAACTTGGGGCGGATGTAAACTTGGTCGACTCTAATTTCCATGATACTGCACTGCATTGGGCTGTCATTTCTGGGAATACGTACGCGGTGAAAGAACTTCTGAAGACCGGGGTTAAAGTCGAAGCCTTAAATCGTGTAAGATAGTATAATCTCAACGATTTTTTTTTAGCAAAATGAGACTGCCTTGGACATTGCAAGGCAACAAGGTCATCACGCAATTGTTCAACTACTTGAAACGGCTGCCCGGAAACGAAGACAGGCACCTACGAGCTTCAAACAACAATTATACGAGGACGATGTAAGTTGATTAGTTTTTATGCCTATTTTGTGTTTTAGGTATTAAAGAAAAGACTGATAATGTCGATCCCATTAGCAATATTCACAACTCTGTTACTAACCTTTTACTCAACCGTTGATCTCAGATTGAAGATATTTCTATGTGTTCTTTATTTTATATTTGGTTTATTTTTGAAAAGGTAAGACTGGGAGGATTTCTTACTTGTATCTTACAGTTCATACTTAAAATACAATAGGAGGGAATGCATGGACTACTTACCAGTGAGCATAGCCTCCACAGTAATGTCCTTTTTTGTTTTTACTTGGTTTACTTTTCTCAATGGCTTAATGCCGTGGCACACTCAGATATTCATGATATTTGTGATAATAATCGTGCCATATCTGTTTATCAAATCCATATATTCCGATCCGGGTATCATAAAATCAACTGATGCGGTAAGTTGTTTTATTCTTGCCTCTTTGTCTAAACGTTGTACTAGTTATTAAACTATTCTTTAAGGAAAAGCTCAAAGCGATAAAAGAAGTGGTCGAAGAGAATGTTTTTGGCCAGAACTTTTGTGTTACATGTCTCAGGAAGAAACTGCCTCGATCCAAGCACTGCAGGTAAGTGACTTTAATGGCATAAACATGTTTCAATTTCCAGAGTCTGCGAACATTGTATTGTGAGATACGATCATCATTGCCCATGGATAGCCAATTGTGTTGGAGGAAAGAATCACCGGTTATTTTTGGTATTCCTCGTCGGTACCTTCTTGGGATCTGGCGTTATCACTTTGAGTAGTATTTTGTGTAAGGAATTACCAAATTACCCTCAATCTGAATTTCTTCTTTAGACATGAGATCTGAATGCTCAGAATTGGAGTTTTACGAAGTGATTGGATGTGAGCCAGCGGTTTTGATGACTTCAACATTAGGAGTTTTGGCAACGGGGCTAATATTCAGTCTTCTTGTGATGCAATTATATCAGGTAAGTTATAGTTAAGGACTTCAATACGAATTCATGTAGATCGGCCGTGGGTTGACCACAAACGAACGACTGAATGCTCACAGATACGGGTATATGACTGTTAAGGAAGACAATGTGATCACGAAGAGCCCTTACGAGTAAGTTCTTTTCACAAAACAAATTTAGAGTAGTGTTTGTAATGCCTATCTTTTAAGCAATGGAATCACCGAGAACTTGAAGATTTTTTTGATGTCGAAAGAACTGGACTTTGTTGAGTTTGGTCCCACGAAAGATGGCTACATCAACGTGTAAAAAATGAAAACGATCAAAGCATTATGTACGGTGTTTTCTGTGATCTCTTTTGAATTAAACCGAAATTTTAAATGCGCAGTCTCAATGATTACTCGGGATTTGTTTGGTTTAGCTGCAGAGTGATGACTTTCCGATTAAGAAGAATAAAGTAGATATCTCGGAGGCCAGCGGTCAGAGATTAGTGTATCTCAACTTGTCGGATCTGTTAAAGATCATGAATGGATTGGTACGGAATTATTGAAAAGAAGTCTTAAATAATAACGAAGACTCGGGGAAAAACAATCAATCCCCGGGAAATGGATCGGTTTGATCGTGAGGTCAAAAAGAGAAGGGTTGGGGGGAGGCAGGGGCGAGAGGCCAATACGGCATTTGATGGGACGTCGCGCGCTCTCCTTCTTTTTGGCTTTGGTAACCCCCTCTCCCAGTGGTACCTCAGAGAAAAAGAAAGGCATCTGCCCATCCATGAGTGAAAATAAGACGCCGCTCTCCTCTTGTAAGCCTTCCTCTGAACTCGAAAAGCCGCGGAGATTTTGTTTGTGGGCGTAATCTACTGGTTTTAATTTGAATAACGCCGGTTCCGCCATTTTCTTTGAATAACGCACCTTTTTCCCCCACATCGTCAACTGTTTCTCCCAAAACATTGGCTCTTTCCGGCTATTGAATCTTGACCTCCAATTTTTTTTATCTCCTGAAAACACATCTGGACACTGGGCGAGTAGTGCAACGGCATCCATCCGAGGATAATTTTCTGAATCCCTTTGCTTCGATCTCACGTTGTTTTTCGTTTGTATACATCTTACTTTTTATTTTGCCAAATAACCTGGTGTTTCTATTTGTAGCGTCTTCTGTGTGTTAAGTCGGTTTCGAAATGGGATGCTAAGCATATTTTTTCTTCTCCCTCCAATCCGTTTTAATATTTTAATTCCTAAAATTAATGAAACTTGTATAATTTCTGGGAACCGTTAGTTTCTGCCCTTTTATGTGTTTTGAACGGGATCTGTCAGCCTTGGTTGATTTGTGTGCTTGTCCGCAGAGGCCAGTGCCGCTAAGACAATCCATTTCTGCGGCCCCAACTTTGTTTTTATTCATGGCCACTTTCAGAATGTCCGACCGCTCCTATCGACATCGACCGGGAGGTTCATCCAGAGGCCCTAGAAGTGTAATAGGTGGAGGATATGCCGTGGATCAGGCATATCTTCTTCCCAACTACCATTTCTCGGCCTTAAAGAATGAAGGAGTCAAGTTGAACATGCCGGATGATTGGGGAGAGAACACTACCATCATTACTAGTGAACAGAGTTTTGCCACTGGACTCCCTGACAAGATACATACGCCTCCAGAGCCCGCTAAGCAGCCGGAAAAGAGTTGTGTAAGTCTATTCAGCTCGTGTCTCATGTTCGTCTTCACCGTTTGGATGGTGTTCTCCGCTTTGGCGATGGTTGTGATCCCTGTTCTGCTGATACAGGCAGATTTATATGAGACTAAAGATATACAATGCAATCTGGATTGTACAGTAAGTTGTCGGCTCTTAAACCAATCCTAACTTTTACTTTCAGACCAACATTTTTGTTATTTTCATCTTTACTTTGATCTTAACCTATGCGGTTTGGGCAACCATGAAGTCAACGAACGCTGTTTTACCCCGAGTTCGGTTTCGTCGTATTTCTTTCATCTTCTTCCTGGTCTTCATCCTCTGCTCATTCTGGTTGTTTTATATTGTTCAAGCGCTTCTACGCTCTACTATCGATTATCTAGTCATCCAAAAACTTGCCATTACGCTCCTATTCGTATTGATTATTCTCCAGATCTTGTGGATTACCCATGATCGTCTTCGAAGATCGACGATGTTTAGAGTAACGATAACTCGAGATCCAGATGGTGAAGTTCACGTCGTTCAGTTGGGACAGACTTCTATCCAGGAGATTGCTGTCGAAATCCTTAGGTTTTATGAAACCAATTTCTCAAATTTCAATCTTCAAACATATCGATCTAGAACCGGGGCGGCTCAGAAGAACATTACAATGCCCACAGCCGGGTTTAAATTATATGATATCGATGGAAATGCATCTCAAGGAGTGGACGAGGAGGCCATGAAGAAGATGGTTGAAGTGGCTGCTAAACAGAGTGCTGCTTTATCTAGTGATTACTGTATGGAAGAAGGAGATCGGGAGAGAAAAATGAGACGGAAAAAGTATCGATTGTTACTGTCGACAGAAGAGGCCTTCGCTCAGATTAATTCGATGAATCAGAAGTTTGTAAGTGATGAGGTAAGTGAGCTTAATAAAGTCACTCTTGAAATAATTGAAGCGGATGTGTTATTCTACCATTTCAGATGAGTAGGTTGGATCCAATAAAATCAGCAAAAATGGTTAGTGGGGCAATTGGAAAGCATTTGCATCGTTATCTGAAGCACACTCACCAGCAAGCCGAGTTCCCTCCAACCATGGTACAGCATGACCTCGAGACTTGTTTTAGAAATCAGCTCTCTGCCAGGACCTTTTTGAGTCGGTTCTTCAGTCCTCAACGATCTCAAGCGGTAGGGTTGCCGTTACAACGCGTTGTAAACAAGCGCTATAACTTTATTCGCATTTTCAATAGTTATGAGCTGTGCTATAATTTTGTGTTGCAGGCGATTCCCGAGTCGAGGTGGACGATTTTATCCGAACGGATCGTCACTCAGCAGATCCAAGATGGCACTGAGTTTGTCCTGAGATGCCGGGACGATAACAGTGGCAATATCCAGCTTTATTGTACAGTAAACAAGTTCCCATTCTTCAATTTCACAGAGTCTCATTTCCCTCGTTCGTAACCTTTGCATTTCCGTGGTCTCAAAGTCGTTTTTCATCAATAATTGTAAATTATGAGTCCAGCCTCAAAAACGGGTCTTTCTAACTGTTTGTAGATACTGTTTATTACCCTTGTTTACAACATAACATTAATAACCACACACAATAAACGTTCTATGAAAATGAATATAAGCAGCCCGTTTATCCAGAAGGACTTATTTTTTGGTTAAAATCGGAGAAATCATGTTTTAAACGGAATATTAGGAATGATGAAGATGAGTGAAAGGAAACGGAGTCATGGCAAACCGAGAGAGAATGGCATTTGGATCAGTTACTGTCAGATTCCGGCGATACTGACATTGTCATGAGACATCTTTGTACTAGATGCTTCTTCTAATTCATTGCAATATTATCATTGGAATCAACGTGTTGAGTCATAAGCTCGCTGAGGAAGGGGAAGTTGTTTAGCCTGGATGCTGTCTCCTCCGACACTCCATACAACATATTCTGTCGTCTTCTTCCTGAATACGACATGCTGTTGTTGATGTGTGTCTTCTTGTGTCTGAGGAGATTGTCTTTCCGGTTGAACCTGCAAACAAACCCTCGTTATTACTTTTACAATTTTGTGTAAAGCGCCCTCGTTTTTATCATTGCGCAGTGATTTTTAATTCCGAAAATAAACTTTTGCGTGTTGTTGCGCAACTTCGGTTATTATGTCACGAAAGTTTACAAATTATATAGTAATTTCGAAACCAGAGCTCCACGTTTAAAACAATTGCAGAAATTATTCTATAGCCTCAAGATACTTACTGTTTCTTGCAATAAGGACACTCGTGAGGCCGGAGACCAGTATGAATGAATTGATGTTTCTTCAACAAAAATTTGTTGGCAAATCGTTTTTTACAAGTAGGCAGCATGCAGGCGAATGGCTTTTCTTGGTTCTCATCCGTTGTCCTTGATTCTGATGAGATTGGACTGAGCTGTGCGCCTGGTTTGGAATCCGCTTCATCTGGAGTGTCCACGGAAATATCCTCAGATCTGAAAGAATGGCGAGTGTTATATCCCATTTAATTAGGTTCGGCGAGAGTTTGTTAAGGAAGAGTTGAAGAGGGTTATCAAGGTAAGGGTGATCAAAGGCGATCCATCCATCTCCCATTCTTCCCGATGCCAACCACTTGCCCTAATTTAAGTCGAGAAAAGGGCCGCAGAAGAGAGAAACGGCAGAGAAAAGGGAGATTTGACAACAATATTACACTTACTCGGTCTCCTCACTTTGTTTTTGATTCTGAATTTGTTGATGAAAGTTTATAGCCCAGTTTTTCATTAATTGAAGGGGAACTGGATTCTGAGCATTCACCGGGAATTGAAGATGGGCCGTCATAGCAGGATTCCGAAGAAGCGGCAATAAGGCCATGAAATTGGAGGGAATAGTGTTGTTGTTGTTATTATTCAAAAGGTCACATTTCCTGTTATTCTGATTGGAGGTAGACGAAGAGTTATCGTTCGACATTCTCTCGTCTTCAGCGCCCTGAGAACTACTGGTACTGGTTGGTCGGCTTTCTGGTTTCTCCAACTTGGCTCCCAATCGATCAGTGATCCTTCGAACGGCTTGATCCAATCTGTTTCCCTCACTCTTCTTCTTGACTAGTTGGGAACCAAGAAGAGCATCAACATGAAACTGACTGGAGGATGGACTAGCGGGATGATTAGATTGTGAATGAGCGGCCTCGGAAGAGGGTGAAGACATTGCCTCCTCATCAGTATATTGGTCATGCTTAGGCGAAGAGGACTGAGGATATTGTCGTTGCGATTGTCTAAAATTACAATGGATTCCGTTATATTGCTTCAAAAATGAGTCAAGATTCCATTCAAAAAGTTGAAAGCGAGGCACAAGCTCGATTTTTGAGGCCATAGTATAACACTGATGCATTGTTGTCTTGAGGGAAAGCATTGTCGCAATTCCTATATTGTTTTCGCAACACAACGTTAATGAGAAGGTCGTGACGTTACTCCAAAAATTGTACGATCAGATATGACTAAATTCCGGCTGCATCTTAAATCCATCTTTCCACCACTCACCTAACAATTTGCGGCATTTGAGGATTACGGTAAGAGCGAGAGGAGGACGGAGATTGGCGGCGACCTGAGGAAAGAAGAGTGCACCTGAGCGTCTGTTTCTCTTTTTCCGTTTTTGAAACAATTACAATTTCCGACCTTTTAATGCGACTAATATTTCAGATCCTAATTATAATAAATATTACTACAAAAATGATTAACCTTGCCTCCTCGCTGCCCTCCATCTCCGTTCCCTCCGCCGACCTTATCTGCTGATCGCATCAGCAGTTTGTTAAGTACAACCACAACCTTATTTTAACCCTCGACTTGTGTGCTCAAGGTCCTTTCCATTTCCTATCACCTCTTTCTCCCGCATTTTAAAATCAAGAGGGAACATTACGGTATCCTTACCTTGGTAAAAACATCATATCATCGTCGTTGCGGTCGATTGCATTCTGCACAATAAGCCGGAACTGATGGATCTTGTTGAACAGATCATTGGACATCTTAGGAGCGCGTTCGTAGTTGAGGTTGAAGGGAAGAACGGTTAGATCAGATGCCGTAAAGATCGGGGATTTGGGGTTGTTGTTGACTAGATCGAATAATCTGATTAGACTCGGCTTCTCTTCCAATTTGAGTTTGTCAGGTATCAGGTCGAGCAGAGTCTGATAAGCAACTCGATGAGCGTCGGCCGAGAAGTAGTCCAATAACCTCTCCAGGTTGGCCTCGTCTCTGTAGTTATTCAGAAAACAAATCAGCGAGTTTACTACGACTGGCCGTTCTTCAGTCATGGCTGAAATATAGGCGTGATGATGATTATTATGCAACGACGTATGTAATAACACTTAATACATCGTAGTTCGGATAGAAAAAATAAAATAACTTAACGATTAAGGGTGTCAATAAACAGTTTTTGAAAAAGCACTTTAAAAAGCCGGATTACTCATTACTCTCAGGTCTTTCGCCTCGGAAAACGAAACATCATACGGTGCAAAAAAACAATCAGCGTGACAAATGGAGAAACTTTCTAACAATTATCTTTAATTCGAAGAATTTTGTTTTGCATAAAAAATCCCGTAAATCGTCAAAAGGAATAAACCCTCTGAAAAGCCGAAGAGATCAGCCTCAATTAGAAATCCAACGAGCGCTTCTGTAATTTTGGTTGTAAAGTGCATTCCCAGATGGAGTTGGGACCTGATAAAGAGAAAAGCCCGAAAGGATAAGGTGCAGAAATGGAGGGGACGATCCGAGAGATGGAGTTGAGGGGGCGACCGATCGCGGACTGTATGGCCGGAGCATTCCTTCTCCTCCCTTTATCCCGAAGGCCTCAGTCCGGCCTCCAGATCTCTGCTTCCGGCGTCGGGCGGCGCTTCGCCTTTGAGTTCGGTTGGCCGCCGGTTTATCAGATCAAGAGGAGTTAATGAAAGGATAATAGAAGGGTCCATAATAGGGTTTATTGTTATGGCACAGGGGAGTTTGTTTCTTAATAAGCGCCTCCTAATCTACTCTTAATTACTATGATGCCGACCTCGCACACCGTATCAGTTTTCCTGTGACTGGAAGGCAGAAGACGGACCCGGACGCCCTCCCCAATCGTTTTTCGCCAATTTAATTTTCGGGTCGTCCGCTCGCCAACGATCGGTGTTGTGGAGGGACGGAATGCGGTCGAATCGTGCGGAGGAATTGAGGGCTTGATGATGAAGACGGCAACGCCCGGAAAACCCACAACACTTCATGACGATGCTGGTACGGAGACGGAGAGGCGGGTGAGAAACACACGGAGCAGAGGCCGCGCCATCACGACGATTATCACTGCGAGGTGATGGATCGATCTCGAGCTGGGAGTGAAGAGGCGGAGTTTCCCTCTCCCCCACGGCGCCACCGTGGTCGGGAGGACGTCGCCGAAACTGTTTTCCTGATCAGCCACGATCGGGAGTCGCCGCAACTCCCGTCCGTCAAGTCCCTCCCACCTCCCGAAGCCGTCACGAGGCCGCAGGACCTCTCCTCGAAGGTTGATTTGTCACCGGAGGGGAAGCGACTTATCGTCCCTCTTAATGAAAAGACCGTTTGATTAGGGCGATCATCGAGGCTTCTCTCTTGCCCTGTGGCCTTGAAATCCGAAATGCGCTTTAAACCCACCATTGCCATTAAAAACACCACATCTTCGAAGTCGTGAGTTCATCCGCTTCCTCCATTCGACAAATCTGTATTTTAAAAAGTGCCGGACCGGAAGCAGGCGTTGCAACATCATAATTTTGCCATTAGCCTATCATCAAAACCGCCAAACACTTGCAGAAAACATGACTAAGAAGATAAAAAGCACCTTTTTACAAAACTATAATGACTTTATTGGTTCTGAGAATCATGCTTGTTAATTTAAAAGTGAGACATCCTTCTAGTTATCGACAATCCTTTTTTGGTATCATTCGCTGTTTGAATCATGATACAAAAGTGTTATTCATCATCGATGGAAGGTGAAAGCGCGCACTCCAGAGTCCACTCTCGAAACCCCGCGGCAAAGCCTCAAGATCTTATCGAAAGGCCATCAATTGCGGAATTTAAAAAAGTTTCCTCTCACGCTCGATTTTCCCGCCATTCGGCCGTCGATGAAAAGTAGAAGGTCGTTGGCGGAAAGGAGAATTTAAATTCACCCCAAAGTCATGATACTCAACGTTATTACAGTAAAGTAATTGGTAAGGTAAGGGGTAAAGAACTGAGGAAAGTGTTTCTCAAGTCGATTACAAATCAAATCAACAGTCCTTCCGAGAGTCTTGGGGTTGATGAGCGAAAAAATAATCGATAAAATTATGGAGAGTATCAAAAAATATTATTCGTTCAATACCTCTTTATCAAAATAGGTTTTACGATGACAAGAATAAATTATTACAAAGGTAGCAAGTCGCCCGTTTCAAAAAAATCAATATTGAAATTCCAAAACCTGTTTTCAGAATTGTTTGAAAAATATGTCATTAATGACATATTTTGCACTGTTAACAATTAAATGTTTTTACAACTGGTTAGCAGAATATTTTTCTTTGATCAACATTGCTTTTGACTCTCTACAATCCTGGGATTATTTTAGCAAAACGTACTCTTTTTTGGTTCATCAATGAGTGATACCTTTTTTTTGTGATGACGCATAATCTAGAAAGTATGGGATAAACACTTTTTGTAAAAATTGAGAACCATTCGGGAGATAGCCACGGTGAATCATGGGTGTTACACTCGTCCTCTCGCGTAAGTACGGGTTGTTTGCATTTGATGTAATTTTAGGCCTTCCCTTTCTTCTTCGAATCATCACTGGTCTTCCTCGAATCCTTTTCCACCTTCTTGTGGGAGTAATCAGAGCTTTCTTGCCTTGGAAGTACATTCCCCACAAGGATGTCAGTGGGCAAACTGTGTTGATCACTGGTGCCGCCAGCGGTGTTGGCCGGTTATTAGCTGTCAAGGTAAGACGTCTATTTTTACTCATATAAATTTCAGTTTGCCAGTCTTGGGTGCCGTCTGGTATTGTGGGACTTGAATGCCGAGGAAAATAAGAAAACTGCACGTATGTGTGTTCAAGAAGGAGTTGAGGCTTCGACTTATACAATCGACATAACGGACAAGGAAATGGTTGCGGAAACGGCTCAGAAAGTGCTCGAAAGATACGGATTCGTCGACATTTTGATCAACAATGCTGGAATTGTGACAGGAAAAAAGCTTTTGGATTGCAGTAACGAAGTTTTCGAGAAGACTATGAGTGTGAATGCCAATGCTTTGTTCTATGTAAGTGTCAATCGTGGATCGCATACTAGTCGCGCCAAAGTATGTAGAATTTTTTTCGCCGATGTCGCGGGGTGCGCTCGCCGAAAAGTGCATGTCGCTAGTGCAAAAACGGGAAGTCGCAGCGGCGCGGGGGGAAAAACGCACTGTGCACTTTTGCTTTTAACTTGCTTTAAACAAAGTTTAGAGAAAGCGTACGAAACTGTTTACTCCACGATTTTACCAAAAAAGCCCGAAATTTTCCAAGTCCGAGAAAGTCAATTGAAAATCATTCCAAAAATTTTCAAAGTTTTAGCGGTTTCGGCTCGAAAATAATTTTATCAGGAAAAAATTATATTTTTTCCTGAAATTCAATCGGTTGAAAATGGCGAATCTCAGCTCCAGAAAAACCTTCATGAAAATCGGCGGAGTCTCCGCGGAGAAATCTAAAAAAAGAGGACGGAAGGTTTTAGTGGCCCACCCTGTAGAATTTTTTCAATTTTTACCTTTGAATTTCAGGTTGCAGTTTTGCGTTAATTTTAGGTAACAAAGCAATTCCTCCCTGCAATGATCGAAAGGGGAAAAGGGCATGTTGTTGTAGTTTCCTCCATGGCTGGTCGTATTGGAATCAACGGGTTAGTGGATTACAGCACTTCGAAGTTTGCTGCTTGTGGTTTTGCTGAATCTCTTCATGCAGAGCTGGCCACATTGAACAAGAATATTAAAACCACTCTGATTTGTCCTTATTATATGAACACTGGAATGTTCGATGGTGTGAAGAGCTGTTTCCCTCTTTTATTGCCTATTCTAGAGCCAGAGTATGTCAGAGATCAGATCGTTGAGGCCGTGCTGACTGATACTCATGTTGTTTACATGCCTAAGTTCTGTTACGTCAGTCTCCTAATGAAAGAGTGCGTTTTTTTTATAAATTTATGTTCAACATCACATTGCCTTTGCTAAACCATGCATAGTATGATATTCAGATTATTCTCGGTAGACACGGGCGACGCCATCATCGAGGAATGCGGGGTTCACCTTCAGATGGAAAACTTCAAGGGACGTCAATAAGATCGTGTGAATTTTTATCTTTTCAGTATTGTGTATAACTACGACTTTGCTATATTTATTCAACCAATATAAAGTTTTATTTATTTCCGAGTTCTCTGTACCTGTTAATTCCCACAATGTTTTGCAAAATGTTCCGGCCGACTAATTTCCGGCCGGGCTTTACGCACACTCAACTTACAAATCTTCCAGTACTGTACCAACGAAACAAAAAAATTTCTCGTCCTCGAAAAAAATATTTGTACTTCCCCTGTGAGTTCGAAATGCCAACCTCCGTCTCACATCAGAGCACAAACTTGCAGTGGCCTTTGAGAGTCATTGAGCAGCTGGAATTGCGCATCGTGACTATGGTTTAACTTCAATCAGGGCGTGCTCCGAGCGTCAAGGTGCCCAAGGCCCGCCCAGCTCAATAGCCAATGCCGTTAATTTTTTAAATCTTCTTGAAATTTTTTTTTTTGAAATTTCATGCCATGATGGTAATACAGACAATCGTCTTGTTGCTTTCAACTTGCTTTAAACGAGTTTAAGACGAGCACTAGCGACTTTTTACTCCACGACTTCCTCCAAAAAACCAAAAATTTTCCAAGTCCGAGAAAGTCAATTGAAAATCATTCCAAAATTTTCTAGGTTTTAGGGGTTTCGGCTCAAAATTAATTTTTCAAAACTTTGGGAAGGCATGAAAAGCTCAATTCAAGATATATTTTTTTTTGAAATTCAATCGGTTAAAAATGGCTGGTCTCAGCTCCAGAAAAATATAAATTTTAGGAAAATCGGCGGAGTCTCCGCGGAGAAATCCGAAGAAAAAAGTTGTTAGTTCCGAGCGGCCACCCTGTATAATTAATTGGCCAAGTGTTCCCTAGTTATGACGTCACGCTTACTTTAATAGAAATAATTAGGTTGATCGGGTCCTAGGAAAGTTTTCACCTTTTTTTGAGATATTTTGCATGTATTAATATCCGGAAAAAAACTTACGGCTCTTCGCTTTCTAGAGCAAGTTTTTATCATGTTACGATAACTCAGGGTCAAGACGCAGACAAGGTCAAGACTCGTATTTGACTCAAAACAGTTATTAATAAACTATAATAAAAAGTGTGTGTTAGAATCATAAACGTAATTTTTTTTCTTCTATCGTGTGGAGAATTCCTAGAGCTGCGACAATTTAAATTTTGTAACTTTCCTGGGAAATAATATACATGTTTTATACGTATGTTTTTCTAGTGTATTAGAGGAGTGCTTGTTACTTTAAACATCAATTCGATTTTTTCTCGGGCACATTTCTGTAACTTTTTCATTTGCGGACAAAAATTTTAATATGTTTGTGGCTCTCGGAATTCTCCAAACGATAGAAAAAAGTTTATATGTTAATGATTTCACAGTATTAACACAGGCTATGATGCATACATGGAATGGCAATCTCTTACATTCACCCCGTCCTCGGCTACCCTGGGGCTGGGAAGTTTTTCAAAAAAAAATGAAAATTTTCAAAATCAATAAATTCGACAAGAAATTTGACCCGGGGCGAAAGGGCCGGGCTTTTTCCAGGCCCGGAATGCACCCATGCGTAGCCAGCTAGCTGCGACAGAACCCTGCTCTCTGGTCAGGAGATAATATTTTAAATTTGTCGCATCTCTGCGGTATTATTCATAACTTTGAGCTGTTACATTTATTCAACCAAAATAAATTTTTATTTATATGCGGTCGTCCGTCCGCCGCCTTTTCGTTTATTTATGCATTCGGCTCCGAAATAAATCAAACGGCCGTGAAACACAATCTCATAATGACCGCGGAATACTTGATGATTGTTTGCAAGAGTGTTTGGTTTTGGGATGAAAAGTAATCAGGGAAATGGGACCGGCGTCGTTCTCAGGAGCTTCATGTCGAGTGCAGAAACACGGCTCCATCAGATGTTCCACTTGGCCTTGGAATCCGAGGACTTCTCGAGCTGGAATCGGAGGGGCCTCTCCGTTTCCGTTGCCACCCGATATGTAAAACGATGCTTCACACAGATTTTGAAGACCCTCCACTTTCTTCATGAAGCTTCAGGCAAACTTCCCGAGAGAGGAGCGTTGCGTCAGCTCCGAGGTGAATGGGGGCGCAATTGGGGCTTTAATGACTGACCAACTACCCTAATGACCTGAAGCCCTAATTTCTGATTTACGGTTGATGTATGACGTAGCGCGAACTGCGATGGCCGAGGGGGAATCTGAGGCCCCCGTTGTCAAAAACTGACTTCCTCCAACTATTGACAGTTTCGCCTTCTAGTGCGGGCCCCGGCCGACGTTTCCCCCGCTCAAACCCTTTCCTCTCTTCCTCCCAACTAACTCCCGTAGCTTTTCCACGCCGCTTACCACTAGCGGCGGCCGCCTGCGCTACGCCTGCTCTTACTTTCATACTACTATGTACTATTGCTGACGACTACGGGCTTTTATCTTTTTCCCTCCTCTTCTCCCGGCTTTTTGCAGTGCCATGCTCCTATGGACAGTTATTGAATGCCCTGGATGGCATGGGTAAAACGAGTGGTTTCGCGCATGCGGTCATAGTGATCGAGGCAGAGGGACAGGTCAGAGTTCTTCTCCGGCTTTGTAGGCTTACTCGAGCTCTTCCAATATCATCACAATGCTCTTGTCCCATTTCTACCGTAATCCAGGGATTATTGGGCTTATTTATAAATGATGTGCTCTAATAAGCAACTTTTTTTGGGAGGGAAAGTTCTTCTCGGAAATAAGATTCCTACGAACCTCGGGCCCTCTTTAAGATGACATATACGCACTTAAGATGAACTTAGGGATCAAAAAGCAACGTTTGAAGGTTTGCATCGTATTTCGAAGATAAATCTTTTTGAGTGATTCCGGGCGATCTTGTCCTATTATTTATGATCATTGCTTCTGCGGGCTTTCTGGTCGTTTACAAGTGGAGAGGTCATGTCTTGGGCCCACCTTTAGTCGGGCCTATCCATGATGACATTATCTCTAATGAGGACGAAATTCAATCATTGGATTACACCCGAGCAGAAAACCAATTGTTTTTGGCGGAACCAATTCCCTAGTTTAATCAAAATGCTGAAATTGCATTCTGATTTAATTACTGTAGTTCCAAATGAGTTGGTATGCTTGTCATGTCCGGATTAATGGCCTATAAAGATTTAAGATGATTTATTTTGCCGTTTTGGTAGTTGTTTATCGTCTTCCGAGGAGGTTACTTTCGAGCCTTTAAAAGTTTGCGTCCCATAACTGGATGATAATTGAATCGGGCTTTTTTATTTACCGCCTATGATGGCATTAAAAACCTCTTTTGTCTTCATTATTCGTTTCTCGACAGTCATAAAATTCCCATATCCATAATTTTGGGACATCATCCCGATTGGTTTCTGTAAAACAATTTGGGAATATAAAGTCCGGACCCGGGTTGATGCGCGCTTATCGTAATGGGATCGGGGAGTTGATGGGTGGTCCGAAATACGAATCAAGGAACCGAGTTCAGGCCGGAATTGGTCCGCAGTATCATTTTTTTTAGCGAACGTGGGCTTGTCTTAAGTGCAGGAGGTGCTTGAAGCTTTAGGGCCTTGTCATTCGGATGTGCATAATTGCATTTCAGTTTCCGAGTTTCGACCAATCTGCCAACTTTTTTCTTTATTTCCAAACAGATTTGTCGAATTCGGGGTGGAGCGTTGCAGCAAAGGCGCTCTGATGAGCAAAATAGAGTCAATTATCCCTTCGAGTTTGGCTCTGCTATCCAAGTTTTGTGCAGAGTGCAAAGGGGAAGCGTTAGCGTGTGAATGTCCCCGGTCCCTGGAAAGGGAGTGCCGTTTCTCTCGTCTAATGAACGTGAAATTACCGGCTTGACATAACCTTGACAGGAGTTCGGCGTGACGAACAGTCCGATGTTGAACTGCGAGCATGTTGATGACAGCTCGCGCCTTGAGGCCTTTGGCCAACAAACTCTCCCCTCTATTCGCGTTTTGTCATGTGTAATATGTAAAAGAGAAGGTCGGTGGTTTGGATGAGGTGCCAAGAGTACACGGAGCTTCTTCTTGACCGATATCCGGCTGAGTAAGGAAGAGATAGAGTGGTTCGGGGGTTTGAGGCGCCAAATAATTGGAGTCGAGGACTTCGCAAAGCCTGAGGGCCGGGAAAAGGACTTAATTGGCTCTGTTTGGTCACTTTGAGCAACATTTTTTCCAATTCCTGCTTTCAAATCCGAGAACGGCGGTGGAGAGTTGTGGCTTCCTCTTCCGCGGATTGCTTTCATAATTTTGTGTTCCAAGAATGGCCCTAGAACCTACCGGATACGAATAATGAGTCGTTCTTGCCGTATGCTGGCGGCTTTTGTTTTCCATCTGATTTCCAATTCCTATGCGCAGACTCCAGATTTCGGCCTTACGGGTCTTAATTGGACTCTCTCCAAAGAGGAGGCAGCTTAAGCGTGCGTTAAGCCTTAACTCCCTCCGTCCAAATTTTAACCCAATTTTGGGAGACAATGATGTTTTGTGGTTTTAATATGAAAGTCATGGCAATTCCGAGGTACTGCAGTCGGCCCTAACTGGAATGGCGTGACAAAAAGATAAAATTCACCAAAATAAGGACGGGCGCGGAGGGAGAAGAGGGGGAGATGCACAGGTAATTGGAGTAGCACAGCAGCCTCGATTCCGGCCATCTTAATTCTTGCCTCCGGTTTCGTCGGCTCCCATTGGGACCCCGACGTTCCGGCTTTTTCTGTCGAGGTCTCGTTTATAAATAGTAAACGCCGATCTCAATTCCAACGATAGCAGACGTCCGAACCACCCCAAAATATATTATATTGCGCTGTCCCGATGATTAATTAGGGCCTTATGTAATGACACGTTCGCCGATCTCTGCCCTCCGGCGTCATTCCCAGCGTGCCCAAGATACCGTAAAATTCTGATGTCTTTCGTTTTTGTTTTTATTTTCTCCATTCCACGATACTTACCGACGGTTGGCCCAAAAACAAGGAGAGGAAAATCTTCTTCGCCTAAAAAATTGTTATGTTTACCTGCTTTTGGGGCTTGAGTCATGGAAATCAGTTTTCTTCCAGCTTATTTGATTATTTATTCCGCTAGTTTGGGTTCCTTGTATTAATTTGGCACCTCCCCCCCTTCCTGTTATTTTTTGAATACGGTGACTTATTATTAGGTTTGAATCTAAAGGCCCTTAGGGGGACTTCCTTGGTTTCACGCAGTCCTTTCAATTTTTACGACTCAAAGATTATTCGCCCGCATTACCGTTCCGTGGATGTCATGCTGCAATCTGTGCAATCGCCGTAGTTATCCGGGTTCCTAATCTCCGTTAGTCAATGTTTATGCCTACCTGGGAGCCCTCGTTACGCCTCATTCATCTTTTTCTTTCAATTGGACACCCATGCCTCGGTTATGTCGTTATGTGCTCACTTATGTCGTATGCGGGTGCCTCTTCGCGGCCTGCAAAATGTCCCGCCAGACCGTGGAGTCACCAAACCGGGTTTCAGCTCGAACGCGTCCATCCTGTGGCGGAATTGGCAACTTTAAGTCAAACTTCCGGCCGCGTAAAGAGGCCACCGAAAGGGGGGAGACTTTTTTCGTGATTCAAAGCTTCTCCAAACGTTGGGCGTTCACTGTGCTGCAGAGCGCGGGATTTGGTCGGATTAACGGCTTTTATTCTTATAATTTTCTCTTTTAATGTCATTCTTTTTCCCGGCCAATGTCACAGTTTGTTTCGGAAACTCATTATCACTGACGGATGGATGATTTGTTTTCGGCATACTTAGTTGGACCAGGTCACAAAATTCTCTCTTATGAGCGCTTAGAACATTTGCTGACTTTTGGCGGGCGGGGCGAAATGTGGAAGTGAGAGGCCAGGGGGGAGGTCGGGCACCGAAAATGCGACAATCCATTTTTCGAGCCTTTCGATTATTGCCTTAGGGTACAGATGGTTGCCCAACAGGTTGCGCAACGTCACTTCATTGTTCCTATTCCTGGAACGGGAGGATTTCTTTTCCGAGATTATCTTTTATTTTTAATCTATCCAAAAATACGATAGAGAGATGATAGAGCACGCTCCTTGTCTGTAGTCAGTCTTTGCGGCCTGTATGGTTCACATATGTATTAATTAATTTGTTATATCTATTTCAAGTTCTGGAGAGCTCTTTGCGTATTTTTATTCGACGGTTCCTCAGATTCGCGGCATTTCATAAACACATACCCCTTCCTTTTTAAATTACTCAATGCTTTCCCGACACTTTTTCCGTTTGATGAGGGCTAATCCCCTTATCTGGTCGTGTCTTATCTTTTGTCATTTCAGCCCCGTCCAATGTTACGGCGGTAACGGACACGTCAACCCACGTCGCAATGCCCAACTCCAGCGATCAGATGTTGGTGCTGCTGAAGGACGCTGTAGCGACGTCACAACCCACAGATGCAGCCTTGGCCCCGGACGAAGGCTTTGGTCTTTGGGAGAGCATCGGGATTGGGTCGATTCTCCTGATCCTGATCCTGTTCTGTGTGGTCGGCAACTTCTTCGTGATCATGGCCATCTTGTTGGAGCGAGATCTTCGATCTCGACCTCAATATTACCTCATCTTCTCGTTGGCTTGCGCTGATCTCTTAGTTGGACTGGTGGTCACACCCTTGGGGGCATGGGCAACCATAAGACGAGCATGGCATCTGGGGGTCACGTTGTGTGATTTCTGGATCAGTGTGGACGTGTTGGTGTGCACTTCGTCTATTCTTCATCTCGTCGCCATCGCTCTTGACAGGTGGGTGATATAGAGATAGATTGGGTGTTGAAAAAACGGGGATCCTGAACAAATATTGGGGGCTGCTAATATTCCCGGGGCCATCAAAATAGTGACGTCTGTATGTTTGATGGAAAGGCAATTATCTCATTGTTTCCAATAAAAATGATACTTGAAAAATAGCACTTAATACAACAAAAGAAGATTCAACGGGACTCATCCAGAATCCATTCGGAAACAAATTTACTTAAATTGTCTGGGAAATTCTCAGGTTTCTCAGAGCAAATAGCACACACACATGGGCTCTTGTACTTAATTGGTATTACATTTGCAGGCCCATATACAGTCTTAATATAGCCTGCGGAAACCACAGGGTTTGTGAAGTTTGGAAAAACAAAACTTTGTTTGTAATTCGACTACAATTTAATCGCTCAAATTGTAATAGCAGGTTTGCAGGTACTGGAGTATCACCGACATTTATTATGTCCAGAATCGGACCCCCAAACGTATCTTCTTCATGTTGCTCACGATTTGGATTGTATCTTTGTTGATCTCACTCGCCCCGATTTTTGGCTGGAAAGATGCTCAATTCGTGACCAGGGTTCGCGAAGAGCATGTGTGTTTGATATCACAACAAATCAGTTATCAGGTGAGTGAAAAAACGGAGTTTAATTAATGGGACGTCCGTTGCAGGTGTTCAGCACAGCAACTGCCTTCTACATACCATTATGTGCCATCATCATTGTCTACTACAAGATCATGAGAGCAGCAAAGAAGCGGTTTCGCCGGGAAAGAGATCGAAAAACAATCCACAGGAATGTGGAGGACCGAACGAAGCTCAGGACCACAAACAATGACGATGATCAGATGCGGATTATTGTAGGTTTTTACTTTCTGATATAACTACAGGGTCTTTCAAGAAATGTGAAGGAAAGTAGGAGGCTATAACTTTTGGTTGAGGCGGCGCAGAGAGTTCGTTTTTGGAATATGTATTTTTCAGTGACATTATTTTTTGCCTACGAAATAACAAGATTTTTAAGTGCAAACTGAGGTCGCTACAACCTTTTGAAAAAAGGGTCTTTTACCCCGAAAACCAGGGTTTTTCGGTTGAAAATGATCGAGAAATTTCAGAGTTTTTCGGTTGAAAATCACCAGGAAATGTCAGATTTTTTCGGTGGTTTCGATAGAGTTGACGTTGAAAAAAAGGGAAGGATGTTGCCAAGAAGTTGAAAATTAAGCGAAAATTCGGCTACTTTTCATTCTGGCACTTTGGCTAGCCAACCAGTTTTTGCTAGCAGTTTAAAAGATTGGTTATCATTCCTGCCCTTTGACGCCCATTACACCCTTTTGACTAGTTTTTATAAGACTTCACAGCCATTCTGGTGCCTTGGCTAGCCGATTCCATGTCCCCCAAATCCCCAAATGAAACACTGAAAATAGACCCGAAATCTGCCCAAAGCTGAGGCTAGCCGAATTTTTGCTTAATTTTCAACGTGTTGGCAACATCCTTCCCTTTTTTAAACGTCAATTCTATCGAAACCCCCAAAAGAATCCGGCATTTCTTGATGATTTTCAGCCGAAAAACTCTGAAATTTCTCGATCATTTTCAACCGAAAAACCCTGGTTTTCGGGGTAAAAGAGCCTTTTTTCAAAAGGTTGTAGCGACCTCAGTTTGCACTTAAAAATCTTGTTATTTCGAAGGCAAAAAATAATGTCACTGAAAAATACATATTCCAAAAACGAACTCTCTGCGCCGCCTCAGCCGAAAGTTATAGCCTCCTACTTTCCTTCACATTTCTTGAAAGACCCTGTAAATACCCCGAATTCGATGAACCAGATCCCCGGATTCCTCTTTGATCTGACTAATTAGCGATCTATTTATGCAGTCGCCCATTCCCACGGCCGTTCTCGTGCCTCAGGACATTTCCTACTCGACCAAAGCCATAAGTAACGAAAATGGTCACGTGCAGATTAAAGTAAGTCTTACTGTAGAATTCGATTATTGCCAGGTGAAATACGAAAGTAATACAAATTCGGAAGACCTGGATGACGAGCGCACTCCCATGCAGGTAGGCGATGGTAATCACCAGTACGCCGACAAACTCGAGAATGGGAATGGTAAGTAAATTAAGGAGTAATCGATTTACTTTGCCCTTTCACATCTTACAGGCAAGCATAAAACCTTTGGCAAACGGAATTCTAGTAGGGGGAAGCGGAAGAAACGGATAAAGGAGAGTGTGGAGACACGCAGAGAACGGAAAGCTTGGAGGACATTGGCCATCATCACGGGTACATTCGTGGCCTGCTGGACTCCCTTCTTCCTGGTATCTTTGTATCGACCAATCTGCAATTGCAAGATCCCAGCAGCAGTGGAGGATGTTACTTCCTGGTTAGGTATGAATAATCAATGTCTTACGAGTAATGTAATGCCTTTAGGATATTTGAATTCGGCGATCAATCCGATCATTTACACGGTGTTCTCAACAGATTTCCGAATGGCTTTTCAACGAATCATTAAACGAATCTGCTTTCTCAATGAATTCTAAGGCAACTATCCGGTCTTGAATCACAGTATGATCTTGTTTTTTTCTTATTTCAACCAAGTCACGCTGTGTTTCCACTTCAAACAATTTTCATCAGGGTATCTTCTTTTTCCTCATACGGTGTCAATTCGTGAAATCAAAGCTAATTTAAAGAGTTTTATGCACTTTCAATTTCAAAACGGGTTTTTGCAGTTTTACATAACTTGTTCAAGAGCACTAAATAAACGGTTAATTATTACTTTGTTCGCCAGTAGAGTACAGGGCGCGGTAAATTGGCAATGCCTTTGTTTTCGACCAAATTTCTAGATTCCTACTTCCCCCGAATCCTCAGAATTTCCCGTTTTGTTTGATACCGACCGCAACGATCGTTGAAAAACTAAACTTTAAGGAATCGATATGTGGCCTATGCCCGGTGTGTGTGCAAAGTTAAGAAAATATGAGCGTCGCACCTACGCGAGTCCCGAAAAGGTCCGCTGCGCAAAAAAGGTCCGCTAAAAAAGAGAGGAGAGGGAAGAGCTTACCACCCTGAATTCGAAAATGAATTTTTCCGGATTGTTACTTGATTCTCTTAAGTAGTAGAAGTATTTTTTTTGTTTTCACATGGGAAGTAAGTGCGCCGCTCAGAAGGGTCGATACTTATCAAAAAAAATCTTCAAAGTCGCCTCTTAACACTACTACTTAAGAGAAACAAGTAACGATCCGGGAAAACGAATGTCATTTTCGAAATCAGGATGGCCGATTTGGCGCTACGACATTTCGGGTCAGGGACAACTCGGGTCAACGACATTTCGGGTCAACGATACCGTTTAATATTTTCGCTTCGGGACTGGAAAAAAGGAATTTTTTGGTGAATTTGAAGAATTTTTGAAATGTTTTCGCTTCGGGACTGGGGAAAAAGTGTGCCTGACTGAATATAAACTGTGGTGCTATCAGCACTAAAATTTTGTCTAAAACCGATAGTACCACCTGGTGCTATATATAGTACCAAGTGTTAAAACCGTGTTTTTGGGCTCTACTAAGCAACAAACCAACACCATTACCGCTTTGTACCAAGTGTTAAAATGTGTTTTTGAAAGCAGTACTAGGCACCAAAACAACACCATTAACGTCTAAAAGTATTAAAACATTTCAAAATTTGTTCAAATTCACCAAAAAATCCTTTTTCCCAAGTCCCGAAGCGAAAACATTTCGAAATTTTTTCAAATTCACCAAAAAATTCTTTTTTCCCAGTCCTGAAGCGAAAATATTAAACGGTGTCGTTGACCCGAGTTGTCCCTGACCCGAAATGTCGGGACGCGGCCGATTTCCCCTAAATCCATTTCTTACTCAAAAAATTTTGTTTGTTGTCAGTTTTACTGTGGTCTAACAAATAGGTACAACATGTTTGAATAAATGGATCTGAGGATGCAGGCAAAAAGGAATGTGGACTTTTCGCTGAAAAACAAAAAAGTTATATCAGTCTGTAGGAAAAATAACGGCGGGTCGTCGCATCAAAATTTTTCGTCTTGTCGAAAACGGCAGCCGTCGCAAAGCGATGATGGGCGATTCCCAGGCGCGACGACCCGCCGTTATTTTCCCGACAGACTGATAGCCAATTCACATCCGGTAAAAAAATTGCCGCACCCTGTACAATTCCAGATAAAGAAAAAATCGACACCCGTACGTAACAAAAGCAGAGAGGCAGTTGCAATGGCATGACAATAGAAGGACATGAGTGTTTTGCAATGTCTGGGAATTACATTTTACGCAAAGAAATAGGATGATAAGACAGAGCAAAACACGTAAATGTCGAGATCAATAAACCGGAAAGACTTTCAGCAACAACTATTTTTGAAACCTTTGGAAAGAATCCAATCCTCCGGTACCCAGGAAGGTAGGGTCTCGAAGTCGCGGAGGATTCGAATAATCTCAGCGACGGCCTCTTCCAGAACTCCGTTCACTACTCGGAAATCGGTCAATTTACTGTACTCTGCACTCATCTGCGCCGAGTAGGAAATGATATGCGCAAAGTCCTGTTCGGTGAGATAGTTCCCAGAGAAGGAGGACTTGGCCCGAGCCTTCATACGCATCTGTTTCAGAAGCGAGAAATGGGGCGGCTCCACGAAAACAATAACCGGTTTGAATAAGGCTGACCGGAGAATCCGGAGAGACAAAGGATGGGCACAAATGACGGGGACCTTCCCTTGTCGCATCAATTGAAATACTGCTTGGTCCATCGTCCCGTAGAGATTGTTGTGTAATTCGCCGTATTCCACAAAATGCCCGGCGGCAATCCACGTTTCCATTTGAGATCTGCTGGCAAAGTAATAATCGACCCCATGGCGTTCATTCGGTCGTGGCGGTCGACTAGTGTGAGGCACTGGAGCGGCGTATTTGAGAGGATTTGAAGCAATTAATCGACTTTTAATGGAGTTCCGACCAACACACGGTGCCCCAATGAGGATGACCGGCCGAATTTCACCGGGCTCAAGGACATCAACGAATTCGTAAAAACGCTGAGAAATTGGCTCGAAAGTATCTAAAATGTCAGTCCAAATTACTGTTCTCCAATGTATGAAAAACCTTCAAAAGAGAGAGCGAACGAAAAGTGACGCAACGAAGACTGAGTTGCGCAATTTGTCATCGAAAGAGAAAGAAAGGCTTGTAAGGAATTAAGACCACGGGGTCCAGGCAAAAAAGAAAATCAACTCACAATTCCGACCCTTCATGAGAACCATCTCTGTGGGGATTAACCCCACTTCCAGTTTCTTTGATGCATCAAAGGTGCTTGTCGATGCTTCTGACGTCGTTGTTGTGTCATCTACAAACAATAAATCCAATATTATTCACAAGAAGCTACCTTCATATATGGGAGCAGTGATCAAAGATCCATGGCCAATAATTCGTGCTTGTTGCCAAAATGGATCACCAGTTACATAAACCTCGAGAATATCACCGTTTTGGAAGTTAAGTGCGGCTTCTTTACATGGCTGATACTGATCCACATATCCCATGTAATCGAATAATGCACGAACATAACGTTTTGATTTTCCGACCTTGGCTTTGGAATTGTCTTTTCCGGGAACCAACTTAAAGGTGACGACTCCATCAGGTGTGCTGTTTAATATCTCCAACACTTCTTCTGGAGATTTGAAGGAGACCGGAATGTTATTAATCTCTAATATCTGATCTCCAGGCTATAAAAACGGGATTAACCACAAATAATAATACCGATAAACATATGCAATACCAACCTGGATAGACCCACATCTGTCGGCCGCCCCTCCGGCCATAACTCGGGCAATGCAGATGTCGCCATTGGCATAGACTTTGATGGTTGCCCCCAGGGGATACTCGCCCTTTACAATATTTACTATTTTAATTAAAAGATCGTTTTCCGTCGAGGTCTCCTGCGCCGGAGGTAAATCCTCCGCATAATTCGTGATCTCATCGTACGCCAATAAAAGATTCTAAAACAATTCGAAAGTAAAACACCCCCATAGACTTCAAATTACCTGAACTAAAGGACTTTTCAACACTTTTGTCATGTTGGGTCTGACAGTTGTAATGCTCTCTGTTTTGGTGGCCAGTTCTTGACAAGTCTCCCAAACGCTGACATTTCTATAAAAATACGAAAAGTATGTACAAAAAAATTATAAAACATATACATGAAAGCTGACTTATGACATAAAAAACAATGCCATTATAGATTGTGCCTGTATTTTCTGACTGACAGATCTCCGAAAGACAGCAGCCCAACACCTTCTGACAAGGGACAACTCAAAAAGAAAGATAAACAACAACAAATTCGTACTTTTTGGAGGGATGTTGCTTCTTCGCATCAACCAATCGTTTGGCTTGATGGAACAAGGACTTCATCGTGTCCAGAAGATGATGAGTTATCATGTCGCGTGGATATGTGGGCCCATAAAAGTGGCGGAAATAGTATTGGAAGGAGAGAATAAAATTCTCCAGATCGGCCTCGTCCTCCATTCCCATGTGCCCTTGTCACATCGTTCGAAGACCGGGAAGAAGGTGTTGGTGGAGGACCTTGGTCACGGTTGCCGTTAATTCAATCACCCCCGCCTCGATGACAATTCCGGCATGGGGAAGACGGAGAAGATAGAGATGAGAAATCGGTTGGTTTAGACCAAGTCTGAGCGCCGAATGTGCCGTCCGGCTTTCCCTTCACACATAAACAGCCGTCCCAATACCACGACGTTCGTGTCTTATCCTCAAAACACATAAAGATAAGAAAGTGTCAAGACTCGCCCTCTCGAGAGGGAGACTTGACCCATTTGTCCTAAATTATTTTTTTCGACGGAATAAATTTCTTTCTCCCAAATGGTTGGTTTCTGCGTGGAAAGCCGTCTGTAATGACGTGTTTCTTATTTTAGTTATTATAGTGTGGATGAGACATATCGTGATAATAATAATAAGCGGCCCCAATTCCGTTACACTCTCATGTATATCAAGTTTTATCGGATTTTTTATTGTTTCAGGGATGTCAAACAAGAAAAAAGCGGGAACGGAAGTGCAGTCTACCCAGACTCGTATTGCCATTGTCAACACCGACAGGTGTAAACCTAAGAATTGTGGCCAAGTGTGCAAAAGATCGTGTCCGGTCGTCAAACTCGGTAAATTTTGGTTATTTCGATTTTCATTTTCTTCTAGGAAAACAATGCATTGTCGTTGATGCTTCTTCCAAGGTGGCAGAAATTTCGGAACATCTATGCATCGGTTGTGGTATTTGTATTAAGGTATTTTAATTTAAATTTTATGAAAATCTTTATTGTTTAGAAGTGTCCTTACAATGCGATCAGCATTATTAACCTTCCTAGTAACCTGGAGAGGGATACTACCCACAGATATGGGCCAAACTCTTTCAAGTTGCATCGTCTCCCGACTCCGAGGCAAGGGTCTATTCTTGGTTTAGTCGGAACAAACGGTATCGGCAAGTCAACTGCGCTGAAAATCCTTTCAAGTAAAATGAAACCCAATTTGGGAAGATTCTCGGTAAGAAAAGAGAAACTTTTTATTTTTGTTGTTTAGGAGGTAGTTCCATGGACCGAAGTTTTGAATTATTTCCGTGGAAGTGAGCTTCAGAATTATTTCACCAAATTGTTGGAAGATAAGTTCAAGTCTCTCATCAAACCCCAGTATGTCGATCAGCTCCCCAAGTAAGATTTATTTAATTTTTGAATCGTTTAAGAATTTTTTCCTTACACTATTCCTTATAGGGTTTTCGCTAAGAATGGGTTTACAAATGTGGAAGAGGCATTGAAAGCTAAGAAAGAAGTGGATAACTTTGATGAGATCATTGATCGTCTTGGTAAGAGATGCACTGTATCTATTTTTGCGTTTAGAACTACGGCATTTGTTCGACCGTGATATCAAAAATCTGTCTGGAGGTGAAATGCAAAGATTTGCGATTGCTTTGTGTCTGATTCAGAAGGCCCAGATCTATATTTTTGATGAGCCATCTTCGTTCCTGGATGTAAAACAGAGATTGGAAGCTGCTAAAATGATCCGAGAATGTAGTAAGGACGACAAGTAAGGGTTATTTAAATTATTAGACATCATACAGCGATTTCTACAATTGGATTTTAGCTATGTCATGGTAGTCGAGCACGATCTTGCTGTATTGGATTACATGTCTGATTATGTTTGCATTCTCTACGGGGTCCCTTCAGCTTATGGTGTTGTCACTTTGCCATCCGGTGTTCGGGAAGGTATCAATATGTTCTTGGAAGGATTCATTCACTCGGAAAACATGAGATTCAGGCAAGTTACGATAAAATTGTTGCCCTAATCTGATTTTTTAGAGATACGTCTTTGTCTTTTAAAGTAACAGATCAGCTTGAACAGCAAGTGATAGAACGGACAACGAGCTATGAATATCCGAGCATGACCAAGACAATGGGGACTTTCCAATTGAACATTGAAGGTGGCACCTTCTCAGATTCCGAAATTATTGTTCTGCTCGGTGAAAATGGTACTGGAAAATCTACTCTTATCCAGTAAGTGTTTTCATAGTTTTTTTTTGTAATTTTATTGGCGTTATGTAATCTACAATTGCTTTTTTTAGAATGTTGGCCGGTAAAATGGACCCCGATGACACTTCCACCGAAGTCCCTGAGCTTCATATTTCTTACAAACCACAAAAGTTGTCACCTAAATTTGAGGGATCTGTCCGATCTTTGATGTTGAAGCGCATCCCTGACATGCTGAATCATCCAACTTTCAAGACGGATGTCTTAAATCCCATGAAGATCAACGAGATTCTTGACCTGGATGTTCAGAATCTGTCTGGTGGTGAACTTCAAAGAGTCGCTCTGACAATTTGCCTAGGAACTCCAGCCAATGTCTACCTCATTGACGAGCCGAGTGCTTACCTGGATTCTGAACAGCGTTTGGCCGCTGCCAAGGTAATCAAGAGGCATATTCTCCATGCCAAAAAGACCGCCTTTATTGTGGAGCACGATTTCATGATGAGTACATATTTGGCTGATCGGGTGATTGTATTCGATGGTCAGCCCGGGAAACAAACCAAGGCTAACTCGTAAGGGAGTATATCTATATTATGTCTGTTTTTAGACCACAATCGTTGTTGAATGGAATGAACAAATTCTTGGAGATCTTAGATGTCACGTTCCGAAGAGATGACGAGAGTCATCGGCCCAGAATCAACAAGAAGGATTCCGTTAAAGACAGTGAACAGAAGAAGTCGGGAAACTACTTCTTCCTGGACTCTGCCTAAATGTTATTTATGTACACATCTGTGTACGATATAATAATCTTGTTCAGATGCAGTTAGCCATGGGTTGTTATTCCATCCACAGTTCTGGTTTATGCCGATTGGAGGGATGACATTCAGCTAGCTCTTCTGTGAAAAGATTGGGTTGTTTCTCGTGTTTTTTGTTGACATTTAAATAAAACTATTTGCTAAGCAAGGTGTGAATCTGTTCTTTTCTATGTCCGTCAACAGTCGTGTTCATATCTCGTCCAGTAATATTTAAATTGTCTGTTTTTTTTTGTCGGAAGACATTTCGTAACGGACTTCGGAAAGATACGTTTTGTTTTGCGATCGTCATTCTAACCAGGGAACAGCTTTGCAAATTTTATCTTCAGAGTGAGTGAGGTACGTGGGAAGGATGATCTGCACAGACATCGAATACGTGGCAGTTAACGGTCGATGTTTTTCCATTGAGTGTACTTGAAAAGGTTTTTTGTCGCGATCGCGGCTAATAATTCTCTCTTTTGATTCGAATTGAATTAATTTGCGGAGGTCATGAAGAGAAGAAGGATGGACTTGATCCAGTAGAAGTGGGCTTTCCACGCTTTTCTCTCATGATTAAGTAAATTCACTCACGATTTGAATGTGTTTCAATAAGAGCGGTGGGTGTGGTCATTGATTTGTCTTCTTTGAAAAGATCGCTCAGGGTTTACACCTTTCGGACTCGTTGGGAATATTTTTTTTACATTTATGAAGTCTTCCAGAATTAATGTTGGAATGCACTGAGCGTAAAGTCTTAGGAACCGTTTGTCTTGCTTATACAGGGTGCGCCAAAAATATTGGGACAAAAATCAATTCCGTGTAACTTTTTTCGGCTGGCCTTGGAATCAAAACTTTTGGCCGTTTTAGCAAGGGTAACAGTCTTGCTATACGGCAACGGTAATGCCAGGGTTGGGGCCTATTGCAAACTTGAAAAAATATTCAAAAGTTTTTGGGGGACCAAAATTTTCTTTTCAAGTGGATGACCGGGAAATCAATTTGGCCATTATTTCCGCTAAGGGAATGTAAGATCCTTCAAATTTATTGTGTATAAAGCACATGCTATTCACTTCGTAACAACGTATGTAATCATGGTTGACGACCGATATGGCGGCGCTGGTCGAAAAAACAAAAAAAAATCCCGAAAGTTCGGATTTTTATGTTTTTAACAATCTCAATACCACAGTATCGCCCGTGTTGCTCTAAAATTTTGTGGTTATAGAGTGTGTACATAGGGAATTTTCATACTGTAAAAGAAAATCTACACCTACAAGGGGACAGTTTCTGTATGGAAAAAACTTTATGGTGCGGATTGGAGGCACGGTTCTTCGAAGCTTGATATATTTTGGCAGTTTACTGCAAGTTGAAAAGTACTTGAGCGTAAAAATCGGCGTAATGCTGTACTCGGGATACATGCTGACACAACTGAATTACTTTTAGCGATCTTCAGTCCAAGCTCACTTGACGAGCAACCTTAGAGTAAATTCTACCGCTGTAGTCACTATTTCATCCCCCAGAGGCAGAAGATAAAAGAATAATTTTTCAAAGACGACTAGTCAGACTCTCGTTGTCCTTATAAAAGTATCTCTGATGCCTAATACGCTGGGAACCTTACATGGAAACTTCTACATAAAAATCTTTGATCTTACGGAAGTTTTCTGGAAAACGGCGCGTTTTTAGGCCGAGTTTGACGGGCTGTAAAAGATGTAATCGTCATTATAAGTAAAAATCATTTTTAGTGTATAAAAAGCGACCGCTACTCTGTCATATAAAGTGAATTTCTGCCATAGCATGCAACGGTAAAACTAGTGTTTCCAATTTTTATCCATTTTGGGGTCCGTGTCTCAGGGGCCTTAGTTGTGAGCACTTATAAAGGCAGAACAGGTGTCGTATACGACTACTCTGTCTGAAACTTTGAAGATAGGTTCTTGGGAGCATTGCACGTTTGCACAAGCGACCACTTTGCTCTTTTACCATTACAGCCCGCACGGCAAGTAAAAACATGAGTCCCAATATTTTTGGCGCACCCTGTACGAAAGGCCACTAATGTCCGTCCCCTTTTGGGGGGCGGCCGGAAACTGTATGTCTTTTTGTGGTTTCCAAGGTCCTAAAAGTCGTGGAGAGGGAAGTTCAAAGCCCGACTCCAACTCCTGAAAAGCCTTCGTCTATTTGTGTTTTTTAACGTTAAACGGATTCATTTCGCCATGCCCTCAACCCAATTATTCGTGCCGGTAACAAGGATGGTTGCGTCTTGCAACGTCGACTGTCGGGATCGCTCGTCTCATCTCGTTCTCCTAAGTCTTCGCAATTGACCTTCATTTCAACCAACTTCTCCAACGACAGCTCCTTTCTCATAATTGTTTATTCATATGTCAGACGCTTCTGCCGCTTCCGAGTTTTAAGGCTTTAAACGAGGCGTGGATGTAGGGCAAGGATTTAGAGGGGAGGGGGCGAGGGTGAACAATATCAGGTTTGGTAAATTCCCGTCCGGAAGCCTTTTTTGTGCGTGTCGCGTTGCTCACCTTAATTTTTTTAAGCGCTCGGAGTGCAATTCAGTGCAATTCTCGGGTGTTTCTGGAGAGATTCAAAAGTCCTTGTTTAAAGTAAGCTAGCCTCTGACACGGGAAGTCGTGGGGAGAACGGCCTCTTTAAAAGGTGTCAAACTAAATGCTATTCGTTGGGGGATCTGACTCCAAATTCCGTTAATTTCACGTTTCTCATCCCTACGACCTTTTGATGCGGGTCTTGACTCACAAATCCCCGCGACGTGTTCGCTTTTGTGTGGGAGGGAGCCCGCGCTTTTTGTCCGATCTTTGCTGATAAACGCTTTACGATTCGGAATGGTAAAACTCGGTTACCTTGCTCTCGACTTTTAAATTATTTGAATCGGGTTTTCGTCTTGTCTGAGAAATGAGTCAAAAAAGTGTTAAGTAAACATTTCCCTGCATGCTGTGAATAGAGACCCAATAAGTCTGAGGCTGCGACATCTGGAAAGGATAATCAAAGTTCCGTCGTCCCTCCATCAGACCCTTAGGCGAGGAAAATCCATGGAGTCGAAATCAAATTAATTATTCACCGTTTAGATAAAGACTTTTTCGCATTAAAAATTCCGTTTCCGAATGAATTTCACTCTTTTGGTGTCTCTCCTACACGTCTTCACTTTCAGAACAACGTTGGGGGACCTGGAGGTCACAGTTGTTGGCCATGTCACCGTTTCGAAGACGCTCCTTGGTCGTGAAGCTTCTTCTCTTAGTCCCCCTGGTCTGGCTCGGTGCACTTATCTATTTTAACGTCACAGATAAGGCAAGTTTTACGTGGTGTTCTTACGAATTGATGTAGTTTTTGGAATTGTGTTTGCTTAATTATCTAATATGCCTCTGACTTGTGACGTTTCAGCCAACAGACTATCAGGCCGAGCCTCATGTTGCTCCAAAAGTCAGAGAACTCCAAGGGTTCGGGCCTCCAATGGAGGTGCCCAAACCACACGAGGAATCGGAAAAGGAGGAAGACAATTCGAATGACAAAATCGTAAGCCTTCGAAAACGCAAAAATAATGTTTTCAGCCCGTTTTGCAAAAACCAAACAAGAAATTATTCGATCAGAACTCACCGATTTACAAAAAGGGAGATCCCACTCAAGCCGGAGAGCTCGGAAAAGCCGTTAAGGTTAATAAGAATGTAAGTTGCATTGTTTTTACATTTTTTATACTCAAAACTGCTTTGCCCAAGATTTGGGCCTAATTTTGGCTTTCCAAAACCACAGACGATAAAAACGGCTATAAAATTAATGGGTTTCGGGCCGTAATACACACCAGTTTGGATGGTATTTTGAAATTAAGAAGCGTTGGTTTTGACGTTGCAATCCACGTTTTTTCATACAAAATCGGTTTCAGGAACTAACAGTGGATGAACGAAAGCAATACGATGAAGGATATAAGAACAACGCTTTCAATCAGTATGCCTCAGACATGATCTCCATCCACAGATCCCTCCCTCCAGCTGCCGATCAAGAATGCACCACCGAAGTTTACGCTTCCGGACTTCCAGATACCTCAGTTATCATCTGTTTCCACAACGAGGCCTGGTCGGTTCTTCTTCGGACAGTTCACAGTGTACTCGAGAGAACTCCATCTCAATATCTGAACGAGATTATCTTGGTTGATGACTTTTCTGATATGGAACACACCAAGAAACCGTTGGAAGAATATATGGCCCAATTTCCAAAGGTTAAAGTTCTGCGGTTGGATAAAAGGGAAGGTCTGATCCGAGCTCGACTTCGAGGTGCTGCTGTAGCCAAAGGAAAGGTCCTTACTTACCTCGATTCTCATTGTGAATGTATGGAGGGCTGGCTGGAACCTCTCCTCGACAGAATTCATAAGAACTCATCGACTGTTGTGTGTCCTGTTATCGATGTAATCGACGATGACACCTTTGAATATCATTATTCCAAGGCATTCTTTACAAACGTCGGAGGATTCGACTGGTCCCTTCAATTTAATTGGCATCCAATCCCTGAAAGAGATCGTCGCGACAGGAAACGGGCAATAGATCCCGTGAGGTAGGTTAGAAAATGATTAATCTATTGTGCCGTTTAGATCACCAACAATGGCCGGGGGTCTTTTTGCCATCGACCGTGCGTACTTTGAGAAACTTGGAACATACGATCCGGGTTTTGATATCTGGGGTGGTGAGAATCTGGAGTTATCGTTTAAGGTAAGGTAAATCATATATTTTTTTAATAGAGGGATCGCATATATGTTTTTATTGTAGATCTGGATGTGCGGAGGCCGATTGGAGATCGTTCCATGTAGTCATGTCGGTCACATATTCAGAAAAAGGTCTCCCTACAAATGGAGAACGGGCGTCAACGTTCTCAAAAGGAATTCGATCCGATTGGCTGAGGTTTGGTTAGATGATTATAAGAAATATTACTACGAAAGGATAAACAATAATCTGGTTGGTCCCGTTGTGCAGTATTTGACTCTTGGTTTAGGGCGACTTTGGAGATATCAGCCAACGGAAGTCTCTCAGAGATCGTTTGGAATGCAAATCCTTCAAATGGTATCTGGATAACATTTTCCCTGAACTGTTCGTTCCTGGCGATGCCGTAGGAAGAGGAGAGGTAAGTGCTTTCAGCGTGCTTTGGGGTGTACTTTGTTTTAATTTCTCTCTTCTTCTTTGTCTGTCATCGTATTTTCCATGTTTTCTACGTTTCCTTCTCGTACTGTGCTTGTATTATCTGTGACTAACGCACCTTTCCCTTTGTTTTCTTGTTTTGTGCAAATGAAGCCTGGTTCGGTCCCTGAGGTCGGCTTTCTGATGAGTTACCGCAATTTAAGGGGCTTTTCTGTCCATTCACGCACATAGGATGAATACTTTTGTGAAGAACAATATCCCTACTGCTGATCCGGAGCTTTCACTTCCCACTAGAGGCCTTCGTTTTCTTGATTGGGGCAAAAGAAGGGGGAATTTTAAGCTATAATTAAAGCAGCGGGGTAATTGTGATACTTTAGGTTCGTAATGGGGCTGACCTGAAACCGAGCCGGTGCTTAGATAGTGCAGTCGCACGGCGTGCCAAGAATAAGCCAGTCTCTTTGTTCAATTGTCACAACCAAGGAGGCAATCAGGCGAGTTTTTCACTTGTTCTCACTTTCAGATCCGCAACAGCGGCGAGACGGGCAATGCCAAGTGTGTGGACAGTGCGGCCGATGAGGAACATTCGGGCAAACCAGTCGTGCCCTACACTTGCCATAGCCAAGGGGGCAATCAGGTACCCATAGCGGGAAGACCAACCCCATACTTAATATTCTCCACCGTTCGGATGCACTTTTTGCGTGTTTTATTAACATTTTCGCCCTGTTGGTTGGGTTACTTCAAAGCTACTTAGTTTTACATTTAATGGAGTTATTTTCTTATGTAACCTGTTAGTACCGTGTCTTGATGGCTGTGAATCTCCAAAAGATGTCTTGTACAATTTATGCCTTCCAAATTCCTTGTGGTGTCTTTTCCAATCGTATTTCTGTCTTGTTTTGTCTTCAACTGGGGGTCTAAGGATAGTATAACGGTTAATCCATGCTCATATAGGTACGGAACAAGGGCGGTGGATCCAAACAATGTTTAGATTGGGCGGCCCATGGTAATAAAAAGAAAAATGTCGGCCTATATTGGTGTCATAGTCAGGGCGGAAATCAGGTAAACCACAAGAAAGGTGCATTCGACGGAAAAATTACGGTTATTTATGTGCTAATCTCCTTGTTTTTAGTATTGGTTATACAGCAAAGACGGAGAAATTCGAAGAGATGAGAGCTGTATTGATTATGCCGGCAAAGATGTGATCATCTTCCCATGCCATGGAATGAAAGGAAACCAGGAATGGAAATACAATCATAAGGTAACGTAACAATCCTTGGAATATAAAGTTCTTAGTTGCATCAACTTCTCCATGTTGTAAGTGGCAAATGTCTGGAGATGTCAAGAGATGGCGCTCAACTCTTGATGAAGGCCTGCGACACCAGCAACCAGTACCAGCACTGGACCTTCCAGGAGTATGACGAAGACCGGGCCCGCCAATATGGTCTCATCTAACCAGCTCAGCTTTATTCACCAGAAACCGTGACCATCAACAGATCCGAAACATATTTTTATTACCGGTGAAATGGATATTATGACCGTGAACATATCATCATCATAACCTAGCCTCTTTCTCTTACCATAACATTTTTTCGTAACGTATTACACTTGAAATGTTCACCTTGAATTCCGGGTTACACTGTATCTTCGCCCTTTCGCTCTAGCTAGATTCCCGAGGTGTTGCAATCTGATGAATATTACTTGTAAGAGTCCTGCAATAACATTTGGGGTTACCGTCGCCTTCTTTTTACGATGTCGTATTTGCGACTACTTTGTGTAGTTATGTTGTAATACTCTCACAAACATAGACCCAGATTTTAGGGCCTCGGATCCCGTTTGAAATGTAATTTATTGTTTAATTTATTTTGTTGGCTGCCTTTTTAATTGCCCTTGTTGCGATTCGTGCCTTTCTCCTTGTTTTTGTTCCATAAATTGTAAAATTGACCGGTTCGATTAAGTCGTTGTAATAAAACGTAAGCTTTGCTGACCATTACGCAATTCGATTAAACATCCCTCGAAAAGAACGCTCGGATCAGAACGGATGAATGTTTAACGAGCCCTGCGGCGTTCCCCTACCCCACCTCGACTACAACGTCAGATAAGCCCGCGATAAGAGGGCGCTTTCAACATCGCCTCAGGCAATCTTCTCACCTTAAACTTGACGGTTCAGGGGTCGGGTGCGACATTTTACGAACCGGCTAGCCAAACTGGTAGCGGCCGACTTTTTTTGTTCTCGCGACGAGTTCCCGACCCCACCTCACGACCCATCACCCATTGGCTGGACGGGATTTTGTGTAATTCAGACGTTAAAACATATTGTTCTACTTTGGACGTCTGCAGAAAGAAGACGAGCCATTAACTTCTGGCGACCATGAAGACGGCAGTCTTCTTTATTCTCCTTATCCATGCCGTGTTGCCGGTTAAGATCATTCTGAATGGCCTGGCCCCACCTGAGATTGTCCATTCTCCGATCTCTACGAAACGTAAGCACCAATTCCATCATTACTAGGATCACGCTGGTTCTTATTTTTTAGCCAGATGCAAAGTGAGTGCTCCTCCTTTGGATCTTCTTTTTATCCTCGACTCCTCTGGGTCTCTGCGAAACCAATTCCAAGATGAGATCAACGTGATTCGGAGGATCGTTAAACATGTTACGATTGGTGAGGCGGCGACCCGGGTTATGCTAGTGCAATTCAGTGGGGTTCAACATCTTGAGTTCGACTTCAACTCTTTCAAAGACCGAGAAGATCTCCTTGTCGCATTAGATGTCCTTAGACATGTCTCCGGGATTACTCGAGTTGGAGGTGCTTTTGAATTCGCGTTGTCCGTAATGAAGCCAGAACATGTAAGTGAGCAAAAAATAAGTAAATACTGTTTAGGGCATGAGAGATGCAAGTGTCCGGAAGGTCGTTTTCCTCCTTTCTGATGGCCGAACTCATGATTTCCCTAAAGATTCAATTGCTGCAGATCAATTAAGAAACCAGATTCCTAACGTCTCCATTTGGGCGTATGGAACAGGAGAATATGTGGCCATGAACGAACTGATAAACATTACAAAAGTGAGTAACAATTGTCTCTAATTTTAAAAAACTTCAGGATGAGAGTAAGATTATTACAAACAAAAATCTCTCTCTAATCGAACCTTTATTCGATTTTTGGCATGGCGTGGAAGTTTGTGAAAAGATTCCGGGTATGTAAGAGCAACAGAAAAATAATTAAACTTACAGAATGTGTGAAAGGATCGGACAAACCGTTGGATCTGATGGTTATAATAGACTCTTCGGACTCAATTGAATCAGTATTCCGAAACCAAGTCAATTTTGTGATCGAAAGGGTGGTGCAGAACATAAACGTGCATCCAGAAGCCGTTCGGTACGGGTTTTATTTTATATTTTTTTCAAATTATTTTTGCCATTTTTTTGGCATTCTGTGTTACCGCAAATTTATTTATTCAAAAAAATATTGATTTTCCAGATTGGCATTGCTCACTTACTCTGGACGAGTTTTCACTCATTTCCTCTTCAATGATCTCAAATACAGAGATAATGAATCTGTTATACGATATCTGTCCGAGTTACAACCCATCAAAGGAACTACTTCTACACACGCAGCCCTCGAGCAGGCATTGGACATTTTCACAGCCAAGAGTCAAGGTACTAAGCTTGAAATTAACGAAGTAGTTGTATTAAATTTTAGATATTCGACCTGGAGTCCCCAAATTAGCGATTGTAATAACCGATGGTCGATCTTCCCGATCCCCAAGATTAATCTCCGCCAGGCTGAGAGCCGAAGGAGTCAATATTATTGCCGTTTCGATGCACCAACCAACCTTAGTGGACAGTCGAGAACTCGAGAACATTGCCGGCACTCAAGATCTGGTGTTTACTCCGAATAACTTACATGAATTCGAAGCCACCTTCCTACATTTTGTTGGATTCGGATGCCCAAATCTGGATTTGGGACCTGATGCAAGTAGGTGCATTTAAACTACTCTTTTTATCAGTCACATAATATAATTTGTGTTCAGAACCGAGAGTTCGTGGAGCCACCGATGTTGTTTGTGGAGCCAACTTCTTAAAGTTTACGGTCAGAACTCAACGACCAATGAATGGATTGATGTACGCCCAGGGATTTCATGATAAACAGGACTGTTTGCTGATCGCGGATGGTAAGAACAGAGAGTTGTCGATAACGCTGAGAGAAGGGACGTGCGGTCTCACAAAGACGGTAGCACCTGTAAGTACTATTACACCCTCATATTTTTTATATTACTTTAGACCAGAGATGGCTACTGGTTTAATGCGACGGTAATTCTGCAATTCCATCCTTTGATTGTGACCAGATCTGATCAAGGGTTGGATGTCAGTTGTTTCCATGCTCAGCCAGTTCTGGCCAAAGAATTTGAACAATCAGTGGAGAAATCATTAAAAGATGTTCAATGTACTTATAGATTACATCGATTTGGATTGAACGATTGCTCGGCGTTGGACGCTAAGGTTGGAGAGACCTTGTTCCATAAATGGGAGTGTGATAATTGTAGGAAATCTTGTTTTGGTGATCCTTCTTTCAGCGCCCAGGTATCAATTCCTTGTTCACGATTGCATTGCCCGTTCTGAGAGGCATACAGTATCAATTGTGGACTCTGATGGGTAAGATTATAATATAATTTTTAATGATCTTCTAGTTGTGAGGTTGATCCCCATTTCCTGGAGACCCCCAATTATTCCAAATTCAACTCCAATTCCTCATTACCAGTCGTATTTCAAGAGATGAGTGCCTTCAAGTTCCCTGGTGATGATAATATTCTCTTCCAATGCCTGGTTTCCTTCTGTGATATGTCATCGGAAGCTCCTTGCATCAAATCCATAGTAGGTTGAATGTTCGGTCTCTGTGACGTTGTTGTTGTGCAACTAAAAGAACATTACTTTAGCCTCCAAAATGTCGTGACATGTCCTCTTTGGACACCTCATTAGCGACGGGATTACGAAGAATGAAGAGACAAACAGTCTCTCAGAAACCGGGCTTTGCGTTGACCGTTCGGGTCGAGACTCGGACCTTAAATGTGATAGAAAACGAGGCCATGAGACCCATCCAAGCCGTGAAGTACTGTGATATCCGGCCTTAGATATTCTCCTTTCCGACAGACCTCAATGATGACGGAATCTCAATCATCCCTTGGGAATCTCAGTTAATTAAGTATTTAATTAATTAAACGGTTTAATAAATATTCTTATTTCTGCGTCGCCCGTCGACTCTGTCTGTACATACGACTGGCGTGGCTGATTAGATTCCAGATGGGATTAGAAAGGGCGACTGGGGCCTGCATTATGGGGAAGGAATCGGCGTCCGTTTGCTTGTAAAGCCGATGATCCAAGTTGGTGGTGAGGAAGGGATACTCGTACATATAAGGAATGTAGTCCTAAATTTTTTATAAATACCAACTTATCATTACTCACCCTGTCCGTATTCTTGGAGATTATGTAGAAAGGCCGAGGTTCTTTTCCTACCTCTTCAATCTCCCCTTGACATACCATCGACAAATAAAAACACCCAGCCACCAACACAGCCGGTCGTATCATCCCAACCCTTCACTTGAGGTATTAAGAGGATAACTAAACGAGTATTTAATTTATTCGGTCAACTAGTAATTACGAAGAACTTTCGCAACACGAACCCATCAGACATTAACTACTGCATACTACTTTATTTACAACCTTATATAATGGAAAGAAGACATCACCCGGGCTCATCGATGCATACGATACGGTTTCCGGGTAGAAAAACACTTTCAAAACATTTTTATTATATCCGGCTCGACTTGAAGCCGGCTTCGGAACGATCAAAACAGAAACGGCATCTGAGTTGATCATCGAAGACCCGGACGGCCAGGTCTCCCTGAGCTCGGTCGTCATTCAACGGGACCTTACAACGACCACAAACAAAGCAGCCCATGTGGTAGAAGAGGTTCAAGTCCGAGATTACCATCGCTTGGCCACGCCCTGAAGACAAAAGAGGATGCGAATGTCATCAATAAAGGATTACCCAGCTGGTATTGGCAAGAAGAACATTTTGTTTTACCGTGCACGGTGATTACATTCTCTTTTTCTCGGGGACGACTGTGCACACTCAACGAACGCCGTTTTTGCTCCGGGAATATCTTTAAAACATACGATGGGAGGTGTAATTAGACACCGGAAACTGCAATTACCTGTGGTCGTCGTGGATACACTGCAATCTTGTCATGTTGGAACGAAAGTGCGGGCTGAAAACGTCATTTTATGACACGGAAAGTGACGTGTTTCACGTGACAAAAAAGTTTTCCGGAAAAATAAAAAATCTATTTTGACTACATTTTAACACGGCATTAGCCACGGGTCAATGACCACTTACCTTGTCATCACATTTATTGTTACAATCCAAAACGGTGTGACTTCTGCCTCGGGGAATCGAGGAACGTATCGCCGATTTCCGCAAGAGATGGGCGCTCACACGTTGACTCAGCGACTCTTGAGGAACCCCATATTGATCATAGAAAGTGAAACTCGCCGCCGAGATTCCCGAGTCCATTTTCTCGCTAATCTTCTCCTTATTATCTAGGAATTTGGATTTCCAAATTGGGGTCCGTGGATTCCGGATAGTCACAGAATCCACAATCAGAGGCTTGGCTTTCTCATAAGAGCCAGATTCATCGGACTCCAGTTGATGATCGGTCTGGGAATCAGAACTTGTGTGAAGACTGACCTGAATATAGTCACGATTCAAAGTTCGAGTAAAAAAGCGATCAAAAAATAACAGCCAGAGGCGAGGGAATTCTGAATAGCCCTTCAAAAAGCCCTTTCCGAACATCACTTCTCTCGAATCCCGAGCATGGGTTGAAAGCCGGGTAAACAAATAACTAGGGGATAAGGTGGTTCCCTTCCCACTTACCGAGCCATCTTTGGATTTGACGGACGCTAAAAAAAGAGCTGATATTACATTCACTCCTTTATTCAAGAAGAGATTGACTTCAAAAGACTCACTTGAATTGTCATATTTGTGGATGTTTCTGATCTTACCAACTGGGCGCGATTCCAAGCCCCAGGGAACGACTTTATAATCCTCGTTCATTTCCTCCGAAGCTCTCCCTAAAACATAGTTTCTGACAAAAATACGCTTCGTTCTTGATTACTCATCACAAAAAACAACACAACGCCTTAGGCAATCTTTTGCACAACAATTTGAAGCCACTTTACTTACGGTTCCGAGCTTCGATGCGTCTTTCGCTACTCAGATCCTGAAAGAAAAAGGAGTTGCGTAATCAGCCGGTGGGATTAATTCTGTTCAGTTTTAAGCAAAATAATGAAGACGTACCGGATTGACGTAAATATTAAGAATCAAGTCCTTTTTCTTATCGTTCTTCAACTCATGTTTCTTCAGATCATAGATAGTTACTGCTTTTACAATTTTCTTCGTGACATTACCAACAGATTCGTCTTCACTGAAGTTGGTGTCCACGGATTCATTTCCAGAATCCGACTGTAGAGTATGTCTTCGGTTCAAAGACTTCTGGCTCACTTGGAAGGGCTTCTGCGGAAGTCGAGTTAAATCGAAATTAGAATAAACACCCGGATTCCATAAATCACAGACAGAATTGGGAGTGAAATCAGAGAATTTGAATAAAGAGGAAGATAACGAAGCCGAGGAATGGTCTCCAATCTGGACTATCGAACAACAATATTCACGCGACATGATGCTATGAAAACTTAAGCATGCCCGCAGAGGAACGCGGCAAGATATCCGTCGGATATCCAAGAAGATCAGCCCCCGAGATCTCTCCGCCTCGAATTCCGGAGATAATTTTATGCAGGGAAAATTCTGTAGATGGGGAAGCCTCGATAACGGTTTTATGAGGCTGTTCGGATTCAGCTCTTTTTTGTAGAATCTGGTCATCGTTAGACTCATGAGGGATGTGTGGTTTTGGAGAGATATTTGAATGGTATGAAAATTTCAAAATGAAAGGAAACATAACTATTTACGTAATCTAATATATTTTAGCTAATCACACATAAAAAAATACTGCATATTAGAAATTTTCATTTTTCAAATATTCGTAATTTTTTCCAATTTTTTAAAATTATTTTTCCTGCTGAAAAGGACTTTTTCAGCTATTGTCGAATATTCCCACTTTGTTTTTCTGATAAGACCTGTTGTTATGACAAGGCGAAATAATAAAGATTTAGATCTGATTCGAGGTCAGATAACCGATGAGAGGTTGTGTTTAAATGAATAAACAAATTTCTAAGGCGCTCGAAACGGATATCCGGATTTGATGGATTGCAATCAGAAATCCCGCAAAACATCAACAAACACAGTTCAAGATCTCATCAGAATATTTTGAAAACAATGTCATCAAAGTTTAAAGTGTCCTATCTCAGACGATGGACTTCGTTTTCAATGGAATGTCGCTTTAGGGATTCTAAACTTTGAACGTCATCTTTTTCTCTTATTACGTGACATTATGAAATGATCACAAAGTAAACCATTGAGTTTTGTGTGCTCTGCCAGTTTTGCTCACAATGTTCTGGAAATGTAGAATCAAACTATGATGCTACTACACCTATTATAATCAGCTATAACTAAAATACTTTCCATCACTATCTATCAACTTTTTTTTCATCCGCCAGCATGGTTTCAACGACCTTTTCAAACAATCGGCCGACAGAAAGCAAGACTGTTCGTTGACTTTGGGTTATCAGAGGCCAAGGGATGATAAGAAAGAGTACAAAAAGAGTAAGAGGGAACGCTTCTGGTATCTAGAACAATGTCCAAAACCCTCGCTCTTCTGGCCGTTCTGACCTCAGCTGTCTTTGCTTGTGATCCCTTCCCCAACGGGACCGATACAAAATTGAATTGGTACACTTGTCCTGCTTCCAACACACCAATCAAGAGCCTAAAGATCACCAACAAAGATCGTACGTTAAAAAAGGATTTTAAGAATATGAATTTGCAGACCAAGAAGTGTATCCAGTGAAACTGAGCGAGAAATTGTATGTCCATCTAAATGTAGATAATTCCGAAGATCATAACGACATCCGATTAGATATTGAAGTTCACAGCTGGGGTGGATGGACTGGCTGCAGTTGGCACAAGGTCCCTACCTTCGGATTACTGTAAGTGTCATATCAAATTCATAATAGATGAACCATTATTCAAGGAGTAACTTGAACGCATGCGAGCATGGAGTTCCTTGTCCAATCAAAGCCGGCACACAAGATCTGACCATAGAAATTGACTTCTCCAAATACGCGAAGATAATCAAGGCCCTCAAAGACGATGCTCCTTACCAGATTACCTACAAACTGACTGACCGAAGAACCACTAAGGTAACCTGTTCCGTGGCTCAGGCTCGCGCCCGAACCAAGGTTGAAGCCTAATCATATATGAAAATGTATATTTACTGACTAAACATAAAGTACAAACGTTAGTTGAATTATCTAAACAAAATAACTGTTAAATGTTAAAAAAATCGGTGAGAGATGCATAGACTGGCCCGTAAACAATGAGAGTACTGTAAGATTGCAAACAGGGGCTACTCTACTCAACATCCTTGTCTTCCAAATACCTGTATTCGAAAGTGAAGGTGTCCTTTTTGCGTTGAGACCATCGCTCGTAGTCGAAGTAGATGTATGCACCCATTTCATAGTCATCCGTTATCTTCACGGGCTCTTCATGCCGTTGAAACCACATGAGAAGTTTAGTATGATATCTCCAGGATAGTTTCTTGAGGGCTTTCGCTGCCAAAAGTTGGGCTTTTGATCCTTCCATGTAATAAAAGGTGAAGAACAATGCCTCCGGCGATAATTTGCTAAAATATTCCAAGGTGTCACTTCCTTGCAGCATTATTTGCGGGAAACTTCCGGAAGGGGGACACAAGACCTTTGGCAAGTGTAATCGAACTTTCTCTGAATCCATCGGCGTCGGTTTTTTCGCTGCCGCCGCGTTGACTAATGCTAATTGAGTCTCCAGATCCTCATTTATATCAATTTTACCAAGCGGACAAGCCCCATCTCCAGGAGTAATTATTGCCTAAAAAATACAAAAATAACCAATTATGACGACAAACAATACCGTTTGAGGTTCATTTGTTACACCAGAATTTTCGTCAAATTTCACAAACTCTCCTAATTGGGAAGTGTAACTGTTGATTACATTCGAAATTTCATCGGAATTGATCCGATCATCTTTCATTTTATTCTCGTCTCCAATCTTCATCTCGAAATCAACAGATCCGGGAGGTGTAATTGAAGTGTCTGGAGCGCTCTTTCCAGCAATCGCAGCATATGTGACTGGAGGAGTAGACGAAGAATGTCTGGGCGCATCTCCTACTGATCCTCCTGTCGGCGTTACAGTATTTGTCCGTTGGACTGGAGAAGGAGCTCGAGGAGGGGCAGCCGTGGCGGCATACGAAGGTTGGGAATTCCCAGAAAATTGTCTATACAAATTATATGACGCGAAGTGTAATACTTACTTTGAATTGTTCCATGCCTTTGTCGTCGCCGATTTTTGACTAGCTGGAGTTGACGCAGTTGTTGATGGTTGGGAAGGTGGAGGAGGAGATGCCGGAACTGAGGGTTCTCCACTTGATTGCCGAGTAACTCGAGCTGATAACGATACCGAAGCAGCCGGCGTTGTGGGTGTTGTGGGGACCGCCGTTGTTGATGATATAGATTTGGACCTCGTTTTTTCTCCACCCTGATTCCTCTCTTCGTGTGTTGGTGACATTGAATGATCTTTATGTCCTAAACAGGTAAACGATCAAACCATTAAACTTTACCTTTCTCTTCTTCGCCTATTGCGGGCATTCCAACAAGTCCACTATATGCTCCAAGATTTAATTCTTCGTAAATATCTGAAGAAACATTTAAAACAGTAGAGGAATCATCACTTACCATCAGGTTCCAGCGTGGTCGGATCGTCATCGTTATCAGGGTCTAGAGAGTCGACATACATCTCCAAAGGCTCCTTCAACTTGTTCACAACCTCCTTGATATTGAGTTTGTCATTCGTAATCAGTCTCATGCACAACTCAAGCATCTCCAAATCATACTTCACCCGATCAAGCTTGGTATTTAACTCTGCCAATGCCTAAAAACAAAAAATATCTATAACAAAATGGGTACTTACTTCCTTCTCCTGATTCTGATCGTTCTTTCGTCCTCTCTTCCTCCCACCATCGGAGGCCGAGTTAATCGCTTCGATCTTGGATTCGGTTATATCCACCACATCTTGAATCTTTCTTATCTGACACTAAACCAAACAATGTGAACGCTAATTAAGACAACTTACATTCAGCCAATCTAAGGTATCAGCTTTTTCTCTTTCTTTGGGATCCAATTTTTCTTCAGCAGAAAGTCCTTGTTTACTGTGAGGTTTTGTCTTGTTCTCCCGTTCTACATCTTTAAATGTTTCCATTTTGTTCTCAATTACTTTTCGGTAATGCAGTAGCTTGTCTTTATCCTGTAAATTCGTCCATTATTTTAATTATTGACGGCTTAATCCTTAGTTTAAAGAACAAACCTTTATATCTGAGCTATTCTGCCATCCTTTTATCTGGTCTCGTAACCTCTGTAACTTCTTGATCTCCTTTTTAAGATCATCTTGCAGCTTTTCTCTCTGATTATCAGAATTCGCTTCACTCATTTTGTCCATAATCTCTTGGAATAATTCCACGCCTTCGTCCACCTTGAAACAGCTCAACTCTTTATTAAAGTGAGACATACCTTTTTGAAACATTTCTCCATTTCATTTATCAATTTTCGTTTCTCCGCCATTTTTTATAACTATATTACAATACTACTTAAAAATTAAAATACAAATAGAGCTAGAAAATTGAGAGTTGCTTATTTTATTGACGACAAATATTAAAAAATTGGAAATGCGCAGCACGTAAAAACATTTAGCCAAAAAATTGACAAACAAAAATTAAAAAACGTTTTCGTGACAGGACTCTAAAATAAAAATACATTTTTCTTCGCATGATCGCAAGAAATTACAATTTTCAGCTTGTGGATGATGTAGATCGACAATGACGGAATTGACCGACGCTGAAGTGTTGGATTTACAAAGTCGTGCAGAGAATGAAGCCAAAGGACTTCAATGGGTGTTCACAGACCGGCTGAAGAAGTGCAGTTTTCAGAATTGTTGGAAGGTATTGCATACTCCTACATTACAACTAATTTTAGGGGTTCTCTCGGCTTGAAGTAGCTGTGTTGGTTACTCCCCATGTTGAGAATGCCGTTGTTTCGTTCATCTTAGAGCTGTCTTGCCCTCCATTATATCCAAAAGAGTAAGTGGTACACTACTAATTATAACTGTTTGATTTCAAGTCCTCCGAAATATAACTTCACCAATTTAAATGGGCTGACCAGAGAAGATCTGAATGATTTGATGACAGAATATAACAATATGATTAAAAATGCGAATGGGGTAAGACGAATCTTTTTAATTTCGTTGATGTTTAGGAAGTAATTCTATTCGAGTTGATCATAAAGGGGGAGTCATATCTTAAAGAGATTAACCAAAGGCTGGTTGGGACTTCGATTCAACCATTAAAGGTCATAACAAGCAGTCAAAGTCCTGTCAAATCTCCAAACTACAGCGAGACGAAGAAAGATGAACAAATTTTATCTCCAGTTCTGCCCGCAGAACCTTTGGTTCAAGTGAGGAAGGAAGATGAACTTCATTGTCTCCAAAATAAGATGCTTAGGTCATTGGGGACACTGGGAGAAGTTCAGAAAGTCGAAATTCTCAACAAGACTGGACAATTTGTGTGCATTCAGAGGGTGAACAAGCTGAAGCCGAATCGAGAGCCCTGTCATCAATATTGCTCAGAGTATTTTGCTTGGGATAACGTAAGAAATCTATCAATCTTTTGATTTCTTTAGAATCGTTTGATTTTTGTTTCCGAATTTGATTTGTTCTACGAATTGGACAATGGAGATAAGGCCAAAAAAGGAAAATTACAAGCGTTCCATAAAAACTTCAATACGTTTCTTCATAATGCAAAACATTCTACATTCCCAACAGATGAAGACCTCTTGTCTACTTATTTATTCTTCAAAGATACCTCCGAACTAGATAAAGTCAGCGTTTATAAACGAAAGATCTCTCTAGGACAATATTTGGAAATGGAATGTCGCCCTTTATCTGATCCAAACGTTATAAAGTATATCTCGAAGAATGCGGTAGTTAAAAGCAAATTTTTAAATCTTTTTTAGGCAACGGTTTTACCCAAATTGGCAACACAACTATTATGTGCGCTAAAGACTCTACATGACAACAAATTAGCTCATGGTTTTTTGAACAGGAATAATATCTGGATGACTAAAAATCATAGTTTTATACTCTCAGATTACTGGATTACCATTGAACTTCAACGGTTTTGCGAAGATTTCCATCGAATTACAACCAATTCCAATCTAAACTTATGCGTTCGTCCGTCGATTTCTCAGATGAGGCAAAGCGATACCACGAAGCTGGCCGATTTGTTGGAGTCCCTTTCATCCGAATGCAAGAATAAGGGAGATGATAGGATATTTGATCAACTAAAGTCGTTTACATCCAGCTGCCGAGAAAAGGAAATTGATCTCCAGAAGTTGATGAACCACCCCTTCTTGTATTCTGGTCGGTTTAGATTATCATATTTTATATTGCTCTAGATTTTTTGTCCTCTGATGCCTCAACATGGTCGTCTGAAGTCGGTCCAGAAATGTCGTTGACGTTATCTGGAAGGCTGGTTAAGGAGTATAATGTATTGGGATTCTTGGGAAAGGGAGGCTTCGGTCAAGTATTTCTCGCAAGGTTTGTCATTAGACCAACAATTAATATTTAAATGCCCGTTTAATTTACATTTTATAGGAACAAGTTAGACTCCAATGATTACGCTATTAAGAGAATAAATTTAACGGGGATTCCGAAGAAACAGGTCGAGAAGATCATCAACGAAGTCGCTGTCTTTTCCAAGCTCATAAACGAACACATTGTCAGATATTTCTCATCTTGGATCGAGTCCTTGGTCTATGAAACGCCGAATAATTTGGGCAGTAGCTTGCCAAGTAGGTGAACTAAGTTTTTATTAGTAGTTTAACATGAAAATTTAGACGGAAAGGCACCGAAGAAACCAAAGGAAGCCTCCGATTCAGACTCGTCCTCAGATTCTGAAGGCGGAGGCTTCTTTAAAGCGCCAAAGAAAACGCGAAAGGCTTCGGTTAGATCTTCCAACATCCTCGACCATTCCCAAGTCACTTCTGAATTCTCTGTGATCTTCGAAGGTGATGAGGATGTGATTGATGCTGAAGAAGAAGAAGAAGTCGATGTAGAGATGCCCCAACCAGAATTGCCCAAAGGAATGTCCAATGCTTTCTTATGTCTTCAGATGGAATACTGTAGGAATGGAACGCTCCGAGCTTTGATTGATGAAGGACAATTGTTTGAGAATGTGGCCATGATATGGAGGTTGTTCAAGGAGATCTTGTTGGGCATTAAATGTCTGCATGAATACAACATAATCCATCGCGATATTAAACCTGGGAATATATTCTTGGATGGAAATTGGACCGTAAATTTTGTCAGATTGATTTTGAAATATAAACGTATTTTTCAGGTTAAAATTGGCGATTTTGGGTTGGCGACCAGAGCTTTGGGAAACCAAAAGATTCACTTGAGTAAGGAGTCACCTGAGAAGCCAGGGAGACCCATGAGTCCTAATGGCGGGGATAGTATGACAAAGGATGTCGGCACTCATTTCTACATCCCCCCTGAAGCTAAGAGTAGTTCTTCTGGAAGCAAGATCTATGACACGAAGTTTGATATCTACAGCATTGGAGTGGTTTTATTCGAGATGATCCAAAAGCCCCCAGATACACTTTCCGAGAGATTGAAAGTCCTGGACAACCTCAGAAATACGATGTCATTCACGGAAAACTTTTTGAGTTACCTTCCTCGATCTCACCACAGTGCAGCTGATCAATTACTGAAATGGTGTCTTCAGAAGAATCCACGGGAAAGGCCGAGTGCTTCGGAATTGTTAACTTCTGGATTGATACCTCATATCACATCTGACGAAGACAACTTTCAGGTATTTATAGTGTGCTAAGTGACATTTTCTTTCAGAAAGTATTCTCTCAAGTTGTCAGAAATCCAAAACATCGTCTTCACAAGACAATTATGAAGGAGTTGTTTATGTCCGTCGGACCGTCGTATGTCGTCAACGGATATGATAAGTCATATGTAAGTTGGATTGTCCGAAAAATCATGTTAATCTCTTTTTTGCAGGGTAACATGTCTTTGGATTACATAAACACCCGGGATGAGATCTTAGACAAAGTTCGAAGTGTGCTCAAGTTGCATGGATTTGCATCCCTCACAGTCCAATCATACGTCCCATCAACGTCAGCGCAGAATAAGAGCGGTGCCTTGTTTATGTTGAACAACCCTTATATTACCGTTGATTTTGCGGGGTCTCTTTTGTCTTCTCCGTTCAATCTCCGACAGTGTATTGTCAGACAATTTTTACATTCAACGACCACGAAAGGAAAGTTTTTTATGGCTGATAAAGTTAACGTGAGGCCTAGAGAAACATCAGGTAAGAGATAAGGGCGGTCGTATACTTTTTTGTTTAGGACATGTTCATCCGGAGAGCAGATATGAAGTTGGTGCAGATATATTGGCAGTTTCATCAAGCCGGAATCTGGCGGTGTCAGAGCTCCTGATCGCCGTTACGAAACTCATGAATGCCCTGGACATTGAGAACTTCAAGTGGACCATATTTGTATCCCATTCAAGCTTAATCAAAGCTGTCGGGTGGCATTTTGGAATCACGGATGAACCGAACCTTGTCATACTTTTCAATTTATTGTATTCTTACAGTAGTGGAGGCACCAAAAGTAAGGGATTCTTTGATTGAAAACATACCTTTGTTTAGAAGATATTTTGAAATTCGAATTAACTCATCGCTGCAAGATACCTGAAGAAAAGGTGAAAGATCTAGTGTCTTTCCTCAACGGGAATTATGACAACGTGACGGAGATGAAGGAAAAGTGCAATATGCTGTTAAGGTCAAAGAACGAAAGAGTCAAAGCTTTTCTGCAAAAGGCATTCGCAGAGATCGAAGGACTGCTTAAACACGTCAAGACGTTGAATGAATCCATCCAGTTGTCGTTCATTCCTGGTTTTGTTTATCAGCCGGGAATGTTTTCCGATGGCCTTGTTTTCTCTGTAAAATGTTTCAACAATTCTTGGTTTACTGTAATGGCTGGTGGTAGGTCAAACGAGATATCCATATTTATACAACTCAGGTGAATACACGAAATATATGGCAGATGTATTTCTTGCCAATAGCCAGGAATGGAAGGGGGACACTATTGCTTATGGCTTCAATCTCTCCGTCGACGTTTTAACAAAATTTTTGCATAAAATTGGAAGATTGAGTCCAGTCTGTGAAGTTCTGGTGGCCATATCTTCTTTGGACTTCCTGAATGCATCATCCAAATTCTGTTCCGATCTCAGGAATTCGGGAACTTCCGTCGAACATTGGCCATATCCTGGGAGTTCCAACGATGAATTGATTGTAAGTTATTTTGAAGTCTGCATGGGAGTTGGGCGCATTGAATTCAGAGAAGGGTACACATGTGTGTATGCACGGCAGAAAAAAGAAGGAGCTCCCAATTTCCAGGCAGCCATTTTTGAAGGGTTTTTCTTCAAACTTTTCTTTCAGGAATACAGTGTAAATAAAAGGACAAAGTTTTTGGTGACATTCGTGACAGTAGACGAGGTAATTGTTCAGTTGAATGAACTCTTCGACTCAGCCTCGGATCAGACTGGGGGCTTTCGAATGATGCACCATCGGATCAGACCCAGTGAAGCCCTTCAAAATATATTGCAACTAAGGTCTCGGACAAGAAGATCACGTGCCCCGAACTCCGAATCCATTGATCAAAGCCCTGTCCAAACAACCTCGACTCACGCATCCTCGAGGAATGTGGACGTGTTACTCACGCCAACGGCTTTTTCCAAATTGAGTCATCATTTGCGAAAGAAATACAATGTCAGTTAGCTTTAAAACAATGTCTTTGGTTGTCGTTTGTTCATTTTTTTATTACAGAACCACATCATCGCACTGATGACTCCAATAACATCCAAATTTGAAAGCAAGACCAAGTTCCAAGCCGTTATTACAGATCTTCCGGCAGATATCATCAATCAAATATCTTTGGTCGATAGACATAATAATAGTCTTGATGCCGCAATGTTGGCCGTGGAGAACATTTCCAAACAAAATGGTCGATACAAACAGGAAATCCAAGAAGTGTGGGAGATAATGGACCCCTTGTACACAGAATCTCAGACTTCTGATGTTGTTTTAGCCATCTTTTCACCCCGATTGGCCGAGAATTTCTATCGCTTGTTGATTTGATCTCATTTGGTTGATTTGTTAATTTATCCGTTTGATTTCCAATCTTGTATCCGTCTAGTTTTATTACCTCCTTAATTTATATCAAGTATTTTAAAAATTATTCTTAATCAGAATTTATATTTATTATTACAATATTTGCATATGTTTGTTGAACTGTGATGACTTCAGTATCTACGTGTATTAAAAATGCGCATAAATTTTTTTCTTGATTAGACATGTGAATTTGAAAACTATGGAATGATTAAAACCAGGATATTTGAACTAGTTAACTTCGGGCTATCATGTTCAAGCTCGGGGCTTATGAATGAAAAAAGAAGGCCTTCTCCAGTCAGTTGTTTTTGAAGGCCTCTTGTTTTGCCGCTTTTTGCACGTGGTTTGCTTAATTCCATCTTTTTTATTTGTTTGTCCGAAAGGGCTGTTGAAACTTGTGCCGTCAGGATGATTTTCGAGGATTTCGAATACTCGTGATCTTGAGTGGTATTTTTTTACTGAAATCGGGTTGGATTTCCATAAGCCGTTCAACTTTTTCGGTTACCTGCTGCAAGGTCATAACAGTCTTCCTTACGCGAACTAAAAGCCGAGACCAAGCCTAATCGGCCGGAGCATAAACTGAGGTTAAGCCTAAGGCTTAGGGCGCTCGCTAAGCAGCAAAAAAATCAAAGACTGAAATCCGGCGGGATGACGTATCGAAGCACAGTCCCAAAATGTTACTTTGTGCTTTAAGCCGGTCTTACTCAGCGTCTTACCGAAGGACCCCTCCCTGCTGACGATCCTCCACTGCAATCCCTTAGAGTTTCCTTAATCCTTCGATGATCGCAGTGCGGACTGACGACGTCACGAACTGCTCGATCTCTCGCGAAGTTATCCTGGTTAACTCATTACTTTCATCTGAACGCTGGATGAAAGGAAAGGCTCGGCTCTTGTAATGGCGGGGTGAAGTTCGACTGGTATTGTGGGGGTTTTCCTTTGTTCAGGCTCTGCGCCCTCCCTTTTGTGTCGTTTCCATTTAAAAATAAACAGGAATCTCGTGCTTCCACAATTTATCTTTTTAAAGTCGCGTTTTGCAATGAACCTCAACTTCAGCTGATATCCGTTATGGTGACCGCCGTCTACTTTAATGAGATGGTCAAAAAGGCCAAGAAACTGACGTCCAGTCGGATCAAATTACTCCACTACCGGTTGTCAGGTAAATGCTTATTTGAAATTGGGTTCTTTAATCAATTAGAAACATTTAAAAAGACACCTTTCACTGTAATTTAATGATCCTTCTGGAAAAGGTAAAAAATATCGTTTCTCTCCCTTTTTTTAATTCAACTAAACAGGAGAACTTTCAGAAAATGATATCAAGATATTTAAACACGAATACCAAATCGAGGACGAGATCGGAAAAGGGGGATTTGGAACGGTTTATTCGGCCTTAAGATTAAGAGATCAAGCGCCTGTGGCCGTGAAATTTATTGAGAGGCAAAAGATATTTGAATGGGGACAGGTGAGATTAAAAAACCGCTTAAAAACCGACCTTTCAGATAAAAGAAAAACAAGTTCCAAAAGAGATCTTCATGTTATCATTGACCACTGGTATAAAGGGGACTGTCCAGATGTTGGAATGGTTTGCTATTCCGGATGGATTCCTCATAATTATGGGCAGACCGAAGCAGTTTATTGACTTGTACTCACTACTATCTAAACACGGTCCTCTAAGTGAAATGGTAAGGAATGCGACGTATAGTAATAATCATGAAATATTACTTTACATTAGATGGCCCTATTTATTTTCAAACAATTGGTAAATACAGTTACTGAGTGCTTCAAATTGAAAATTCTACATCGAGATATAAAGGTAGGCCGACCTAACGAGATAAAACTACGTTAATTTTAGGATGAGAATATTGTGATTGATTTGGAAACGGGTAACATACTTTTAGTTGATTTTGGAGCTGCTACGATTCTAGAAGATTCAAAGCCGGTCAAATTTCAAGGTGAGGTGATGCATTAAGTATTAGGATGTTTCAGGAACCCGGTTATACTGCCCTCCTGAATGGTATACTCTATCCATATACCTTGGGGCAGAGGCTACTGTATGGTCTTTGGGAGTGGTACTCTATTCAATGCTCAACCAACAACTGCCATTCCTAACCGAACGAGATGTATATACCAAACATTTGCTTGGGCCATTGCCAAAATTTACAGACTACTCTAAAGGTAATCGAAAGGGTAGTTGCATCACCTTATCTTTCAGACGTGGAAGATCTCATTAACAATTGCTTAACTCAAGAACATGACAAAAGGATAAAACTCAACGATCTCAAAGACCATTCCTGGCTTAAAAGACAGAATCTTCAATGGGAAAAGATATATGCTCCCAACTAGGTGGGCCCATCTTCCAGTCCTACATCACTATAGCTCCTCTAGCCCAAAAGATCACGTGTTCCCGGACAGTCCTAATCATATGTTTTTCACATCACCGCATATTCAGCCAAAAATTACACTTTTAACTTCTTGCAGACCGCCAGAATTAATGGAATGGGCTGATAAGGCGAGGGAATCTCTCTGACCCGACGCCGCAGATAGTACTCTTATCTGTCAACGCTCAGAACACCCGTCAGAGATTGAATTCTGTTTATTGTATTCTCTCCCTACAATTCGACGTCGCGGTTTAAAACGTTGAGACATTACGGCTAGTCGATTACAGAGGACAAATCGAGTTTGCGCAAAGGGAACACAACTTTGTGGGCTGATCAATCAACTGATTGCGGGCTCATCGATTCACTCGCCACTTTTCATTTCTATTTTTATTTGTTTTCCTGACTTTTGGATGTGACTTTCTGATGTCTTCATTGAATGATCTCGTGCAGAATAAAGAACTTATATCCGGAACGCTTTTTACGGCTTTTCTCGGCGGAATTGTCGTCGCCTGGCTTACCAACAGACGCTCCCGTATTGCAACCCCTAAGGGCGTCAGTAGGGACAGACAAGCAGTGCCAGTAGAGGTAGCAGAATTCGAGGCGTCTATGACTAAAACAAATATTTATAGGGTGAAGTGGGGCTCGTACTCAAAAGTGGCCTCTTAGCTGGTGAAAAGGAACGATGGATCGAGACAATTTACCCGGAGGCGACCACTTTGTATCAATTGTTTTTGCGTGGATTAGAGGTAATCCTGGAAATGATATTTACTAGAATCTAGGTAAGCGGGAATCGACGATGTCTTGGGTACCGAGTCGAGAAAGAGGCCCCTTACACATTCATCAGCTATGCTGAGACCTTTCGTAGAGCTCGAAACATTGGATCAGCCTTCATTTCATACCTTGGAGTAGATCCAGGGAACAAAACATTGATCGGAATCTATGCCCAGAACTGCCCCGAATGGACTATTTCTTGTATCGGAGCCATTAGATACTCCATGGTTACAGTTCCCTTATACGACACATTAGGTGCTGATGCAGCCAAGTTTATTGTTAAAGATACTGGAATGCAGTAAGTGACATAATACTGTAAAACATTACCCTTCAGGATCATCGTTGTTGACAATGGTGCTAAAGTTCAAAGGCTTTTGTCCACGATTGAAGAGACACCGTCTCTTAAACACATTGTAGTCATCAAAGAATCTGAAGTCACTTCAGAACTCCTTGAAGAAGGTACAAAGAAAAATGTCAAGATCCACACCTTCTCTCATCTCCTTCATGTTGGGGAGACAGATGTACAGCCTGACGTAGAACCCACACCTGATGACATGTTCATTATTTGGTAGGGGAAATGCCCGATTAATACAACAACACTTTAGTTACACAAGCGGAACCACAGGCACTCCAAAAGGAGTCGTTTTAAACCATAGAAACCTGGTGGCTAACGTGTCCGGAGTTATAAAGACTATGAGAGCATTTCTTCCGGAAACCGAGAGTCCTGATCAAGTATCTATCTCGTATCTCCCGCTGTCCCATATGTTCGAACAAGTTTGCCATTGGTGCTTATTTGCCTTGGGTGGGTCAGTCGGCTATTTCCGCGGAGATGTCAGACACCTGAACAGTGATATGAAAGCGTTAAAACCGACCATCTTCCCTACTGTACCCCGATTGCTCAACCGATTCTACGGATTAATTCAGGCATGCAAAACCAAATTTGACAAACAATAATTTATAGAAACAACTCCAAGACAAGAATCCATTGAAAAGAGCGCTTCTCAAACTGGCTTACAACAAGAAGTTATCTCATGTTAAAGCCGGTATTATTGAGAACGACAGCATTTGGGATCGTCTTGTTTTCAACAAATTCCAAGCCGAACTCGGAGGAAATCTGAAGTTCACTGTAACTGGATCAGCTCCGATCAGTGAGGAATGTCTAGAAGCCTGTCGAGCTGCCTTTGGATGCCATATTCTGGAAGGTTACGGACAAACGGAATGCACTGCTATGGCTACTATGACATGGCCGGGGGAGATTGTTGGAGGTCATTGCGGAGGTCCAGCAATTTGCTCAAATATCAAGCTGGAAGACGTCGCGGAACTCAATTATTTTGCCGTAAGTTAAAAAAATAATCGGGTAACCAAGGTTTCAGAAAGATCGAAAGGGCGAAGTGCTAATTAAAGGGCCTTGTGTTACTACCGGTTACTTCAACAACCCCGAGAAAACAGCTGAATTATTCGATGAACAAGGATACCTACATACTGGAGACATCGGTCACATTTTACCTAACGGAACACTAAAGATTATCGACCGTAAAAAACATATCTTCAAACTGGCCCAGGTATGCGTCGAAAGCCGTTTCCACAAGCGAATAAAAATGTTTCAAATATTTAGGGAGAATACGTGGCTCCAGAGAAGATTGAAAATGTTTACGTTCAGTCAAATTATGTCCAACAAGCATATGTCGATGGAGACAGTTTAGAACCCTACCTAGTCGCAGTAATCGTTCCAGAAGCAAAAGAACTAATTAAATGGTATAAAGCACAAACTGGAGAAGACAAGTCTCTCAAAGAAATCTGCGAGGATCAAAAGGTAAGCAATATTATAATATCTGCGAAAACTCGTTTCAGTCAGCTTTAAAACACTTATGATTTCAGGTAGTTGATCACGTTTTCGAACAAGTAATCGAAATTGGGAAGAAGAATAAATTGAACAGCATCGAGCAGGTCAAGAAGATCTGGCTCGAATCTGAACCTTTCAGTGTGGAGAACGGACTTCTAACACCCACTTTCAAATCAAAACGACCTCAACTTAGACAAAAGTATAAGCAAGTTTTCGACAAATTGTACGGAAAGTAATCGTGTTGTTGTTGAATAAAAATTAGGGAAAATATTCTTACCCAGAATAAAAAATATTTCCCCCAGGAAAGAAGATTTTGCAAGTAGTCGAACCCATTTTACCAATCGAAAAGGGACAGCCATTTCAAAAAAATGGCAGAGCCAGCTTTCGAACCCAGGATGTCACTGCTGCAGAAGTGACATACTGCGCAGGAAGTGGGGTCACTACCACTCGGCCAATTGGACACACTTGAACTTCCAAACAGCTTACAATGTTTTTTCAAAAGTGCGTAGTTTTTGTCGCGAGCCTTCCGCACTGTGCATTTTAGGAGTTGACCAACCTGATTCCGAAAATGAATTTTCCCGAATCGTTACTTGTTTTTCTCGCGTCCCGACATTTCGGGTCAGGGACAACTCGGGTCGCGACAACTCGGGTCAACGACACCTCGGGTCAACGACATTTCGGGTCAACGATACCGTTTAATATTTTCGCTTCGGGACTGGGAAAAAAGAATTTTTTGGTGAATTTGAGAAATTTTTGAAATGTTTTCGCTTCGGGACGTGGAAAAAAGGATTTTTGGAGAGTTTGAACAAATTTTTGAAAATTTTTCGCTTCGGGAATTGGGAAAAGGATTTTTTTTGAGAATTGAGTTTTTATTTTCTAATTTTTTTTAAGAAAAGTAGTGTTTATAAGCGACGAGGAAATAAGAAAATCGTATCCATTGTTTATGTTTTTAACTGGAAGCACGGGATTTAAACACAGACAGTGCCAGATAGTGGAGTAAGAAGATAGTCGTAATGATTGAATGCACATAACGATTTTCTTATTTGCTCGTCGCTTATAAACACTATTTTCCCAAAAAAATTTAAAATAAACCTCAATTACCCCTAAAATAACTATTTATCTAAAAAATTAGAGAAATAACATTCGTACTTATGTAAAATAAAATTGTAACATTCAAAACGACTCTCAAAAAAAATCCTTTTCTCAAGTCCCGAAACGAAAAAATTTCAAAAATTTGTTCAAACTCTCCAAAAAATCTTTTTTCCCACATCCCGAAGCAAAAACATTTGAAAAAATTTGTTCAAGCTCTCCAAAAAATTCTTTTTTTTCAAGTCCCGAAGCGAAAACATTTCAAAAATTTTCAAATTCACCAAACAATTCTTTTTTCCAAGTCCCGAAGCGAAAATATTAAAACACGATTTTTGAGTCACTGCGTCAGCCAGTAGTGGGGCCCGGTCTTACTAGGGAAGTGTACAAACGAACCCTCACCAAATGGCAAGTGTTATACACCATTGGAAAGCCCTTGAAAAATGGTGAAAGGTACCATTTTCATTTTTTGCAGAATGCCTCAGGGCAAAAAATTATAAACGGTTGATTTGTCCCTTAAGTAGTTACAATATCTTCTATTAGGCAAAATAAATGTTATTTCAAAACGCTAAATGGTACGTATTACCATTAGGTTGGCCTAAGAATCATTATGAAGCTTGGCGCTTGCGAGTAAAACCATTTTACATATGACATTTACTGGTTTTAAACACCCATAAGGTGAAAAAAACACTTTTCACTTTTTTTAATCTTGAAAAACATGTAAGTTTGATGGTTTTTACCGTAATCGATCGTCTCCCAGAAAAATTAAAACCTTTGTAAAAGTTTACCGCAAATATTTACCTAACTGTAAGAACGCAAAAATAATTTTGCCCAAGCTGGGAACCGAACCCGGCTTGCTTTGGCTTATCAGCCTGCTCCGCAACCACTGCACTATTGAAGCAACCCTCTCCGAGGATTTTTTCCTGCCCAAGAGAAAGAAAGATTTTTGTTGCAGAATGACCTAAAAATAATATAATTTACAGTATGTTGTCGCGGAAAGTCATTCTGCAAAAAATGAAAATGGTGTCTTCTACCATTTTTCAAGGGCTCTTCAATGACGTATGTCACTTATCATTTGGTGAGGGTTCGTTTGTACACTTCCCTAGTTAGGAAAAAATCGATTTTGAGATTTTTGGCTTAAAATAGTCGGTAGCACTTGTGGAAGAAAAGCTAAAAATATTTTTGCCCAATTTTGCCCGGAAGGCATATTTTTTTACAAAATACGTTTTTACACTTCGAAGCCTCTGGAGGCCGACGTGATCCGACCACAGAGATCAAACCTGGCATACAGGGGTTTTTGACACCCAGGAATCTGAAAATAGTAGCATTTTTACCGTCAGATTACTGTAACATGGTCATACTGTAATCCGGTCGATAAAAATCGACGATAACTTCTTTAGATCAAAAATGCCACAGGATTTTATTGCAGATTCGTAATCAGCATAAAATTCTGCTTCGGATACATGTAAAATATGTTCAAAATTCCGTGGCCCAACCTCTGTAGTATAGTGGTTGTGCGCCAGGATTATCAATCTGGCGACCCAGGTTCGATTCCCGGTGGCTGCAAATGGCAGAAAGTGGGCTATAAAAGGGCGGAAACTTGGAAAAAAAGGAAAATAAATTACAGAAAATTAATTTTATGCTACTTAGGACCAGTTTAAAAGTTTTTGCAAGAATTCCGCTTAAATTACGGTTTTTATGGAAAACGCCTCACAGCATTGATCGCCCCAAATGGCAACTAAAGAGTTGTGGTGAATCTACATAACGCTTGCTATCCAATGTTCATCATATCCGCCGAGGAATGCAATACGAAACAAAATAAAACAGTTATTTAATTTTCAGATGGAAGCACGCATGTTACAGTCCCGCAGTTTAGCCTCTGTTCCTTACCAACTGAGTCTCCATGTAGATTTATCATTAGAGCGTCCACGCGCTCCGTTTTTTGTGGGATACGCAAGACGGCCTAAGTTTTACAAGCTGTGTGATCCCGATGCTGTTAGGGAATCTTAATTGACTTTTTGTGAATCTTACATGACTTTTTGGTCAAATATTGTTCCGTTCGATAAACCTCGGCCGCAGCTCGCCTTCTTAAAATCCCGAATTTGAAAGAAAACCCAGGCAAGCAGAAATGGACTTATTTCGTAGTAGGAAGCCTCAGTAGCCTCTTCTGTAAATTTTAACCAGATTGCTCCACTTTCCGGCAAGCAATAAGGCGTTTTCCATAAAAACCGTAATTTATGCGGAATTCTTGCAAAAACTTTTAAACTGGTCCTAAGTAGCATAAAACTAATTTTCTGTAATTTATTTTCCCTTTTTCCCAAGTTTCCGCCCTTTTATAGTCCATTTTCTGCCATTTGCAGCCACCGGGAATCGAACCTGGGTCGCCAGATTGATAATCCTGGCGCACAACCACTATACTACAGAGGTTGGGCCACGGAATTTTGAACATATTTTACATGTATCCGAAGCAGAATTTTATGCTGATTACGAATCTGTAATAAAATCCTGTGGCATTTTTAATCTAAAGAAGTTATCGTCGATTTTTATCGACCGGATTACAGTATGACCATGTTACAGTAATCTGACGGTAAAAATGCTACTATTTTCAGATTCCTGGGTATCAAAAACCCCTGTATGCCAGGTTTGATCTCTGTGGCCGGATCACATCGGCCTCCAGAGGCTTCGAAGTGTAAAAACGTATTTTGTAAAAAAATATGCCTTCCGGGCATAATTAGGCAAAAATATTTTTAGCTTTTCTTCCACAAGTGCTACCGACTATTTTAAGCCAAAAATCTCAAAATCGATTTTTTCCTAAGACCACCGCTGGTGCCCTGACTCAAAAATCGTGTTTTAAACGGTATCGTTGACCCGAAATGTCGTTGACCCGAGTTGTCCCTGACCCGAAATGTCGGGGTGCGAAAACAATTTATACGACCCCGTTGCTTATAAAAATTATTTTCTTAAAAAATAAAAAAAATCAATCTCAATTACCCCTCACCAAGTACAAAATTTCAAAAATTACATTTTTACATGTAAAAAATTTGTAACATTCAGATCAATTCTCCAAGAAATCTTTCTTTTCCTGTCCCCAAACATAGTGAAATTTGAAAATATCAAAAACCAATCGTATCTTTCGACCGGTCGACGTGAGACTCTTGAAAATGGGTCCCTAAACTCTTACAATTCTGCGTTGATTATAATGGAGCTAAATTTTGTCCCGCTGTCTCACGTACACAACTTTGACACAAAAAAATTCCGTGATGACACAATGTTTACAGGCCTCGTAAAGGGGTATGGCCACGATTTTGCTGCCGTTGGAACCGTCACATGACAGAACATTATTTGGAGCAATAAAAAGGATGTAGATGTACAAGTATGCAAATTTTTCGAGAAAACTAATGAATTTTTAATTTTTTGGTAATTAAGAAAATTTTTCCATGCTTCCGTCAGTCCTAGAAAAAGTGTCAATAAGAAAGTTACTTATAATCATTCATTCTATAACCCTAAAAAGGTCCGGAGCCAATCAGACCGCTAATCGAAGAGAAACGAAAAATCTAAAAATGTTACAGTATACCTACAGTAACCAAAAAATTTAAAACTTGACCTGCCCATTTTAATATACGACTGACTATCTATCTATGGAAGGTATTACACATCCCTACTGTAACATCTTGCTTTTTGTGCACAGCTAGGCAACGACTCTCTGGCAAAACCTGTTTTAACGATAAGGAAAACAAGTAAACACCCGGAAAATGAATGTCATTTTTGAAATCAGGATGGTCGATTACCCCTAAATCTACTTCTTACTCAAAAAATTAAAAAAATTACTGTTAAACACTAATTCTTGTACTTGTGTAACGATCCGGAAAAATTCATTTTCGAAATCAGGATGGTCAACTCTCCGACCTTTTCGGGCCCTACGCAATAAATCGATTATGACATTTTGTTTCCAAAAATCATGTCATCAAAGATGACAGATTTCCTGGATAGTCAGCAGATTAGCCTTTGGCAATATTGGATAAGATATAAACGCCGGAACCAGCAATCTGCTCTTTTTTCGGCCGGACTGTTTACCGAAAATGGGGAAACTGGTCGGAATCGTGTTATTTCTGCTTGCGGGACGTTATGCCGCTTTCCCACTTGACGATTCCCATCGAAGTGAGTCCCGTATAGTTGGTTGACCTTGTTTTTAGCTGATTCTGTATCTTATGGTTTGCCTGGACATGTTTTTGATGGAGAAGACGAAAATTCAAACATTGTGAGTTTTTTTTGTAGTGATTTGTGACTCTTTTCCCATTTTTAGGTTCACGTTGAACCCCATCTTCAACCTCCGGCGCCTACTCACATGCCGTATCTGGATCTTATTGATCAGATGTCAACTTCTGATGCTCCATTGGCGGGAGATGTTTCGAATGTGGAACCTGAAGAAGCTCAAGCAACCACAACAGGTCCCGTGGATCCTGAAGTTGTAGTCCCAATTCTCCAAAAGGGTTCGCAGGAATCGTCTGAATCCAAATCTGCCGAACTTCACAACTTCCATCAGGTTTCTGTCGAGAAAGGCTCTTCTGATTCAACCGAAGATCGTGGAGGTTCGAATGAAGACATTGGTGAATTCTCGACGACTCAAAGATCTTCGAAATTCAGAAGTTTAAAGTCTGGAATGAGAAGTTTTGACGACAGCGATGGATTCGGGCCCATTGAGAAGTTGAATGACCTCCCACCTCAATTTGGACAACAACAGGGTCCACTTACTCAAACTGAGTCTACTGTTCCTCCGGTTGGGCAATCGACTTTGGGGGCGGTTGTAGTTGTTCCTGCTGAAGAATCCGCTGTTTCTACCGGTAAGATTTTTTATTTATTGACTGTATAATATTGAATTCAGATTCTCCTACTGCCGAGCTAGTGGTTGGACAGTTCTCGGGAGCCGAGACACCTGGCACAGAGCCTGTTGTAGAAGTGACAACAGAGCAGTCAACAACTCCACTGATTATTACTGATTCTCTTTTAACCGAGTCAACAGTTCTATCAACTGAGCATTCTTCAGTCTCTTCTGCAGCCCCTTCCACTGTCTTTGAGTCTTCCACGGTCCCTGTAACAGAAGTTACCACCACAGTTGTAGTACCAACGACCGGAGCCACGACTGAAGCCGTAGTCGATCCAATTATAACCCTTTCTCCAATCGAAAATCCAGAAACCTCGACCGCGGTTGAGTTCTCTACATCGCCGGTTACAGAAAGGACATCTGAGTCCACCTTGTTGTCAGAGGCAACTGTTACAGCTCTAGTTGATGATCCCGCAGGTAATTTTTATTTTAAAGAAAAAATATTTAAGATTTTTAGTTTCTTCTTCCGCTTCCTATGCCTTGTCCACTCAGGAATACACTTTACCAGAATCTACATCCGTTGCTTACGAACGCGGTTCAACTGATCCTACATCGACCGAGTCAAGTTACTCATCAGGCACTGGAAGTGGGGCTTCTCCCTATGTTGCTGAATCGACTGGACCGGTGTATGTGGATCCTTATGTCCCAACTGAAAGCTCCGGAAGTGGTTCTGGATCCGGAGAAGTGGTTGGGTCTGGGTCCGGAAGTGGATCAGGGTCGGGAGATGAACTCAACGATGAGTCTGGCTCTGGTAGTGGCTCGGGATCTGGAGATGGAAGTGGTTCCGGCGGTGGGGACCTTGGTGCATCTGGTTCAGGATCAGGTTCGGGAGACGAAAGTGGATATGGTAGTGGAATCCCCGAGACATCCGGCTCAGGAGATGGATCGGGAAACGACGGAAACAGTAATGGATCTGGATCAGTGTCCACATACGGCGTCGTGCCAGTCGAGGGATCTGGAAGCGGATCTACTCCTTCATACGCTCCGGTTGTGCCTTACGGCTCTTCTTCCTCAGTGTCCAATTACGGTCAACCCGGATCAACCCGGGCAGCTTCCACGGATCCAATTATTGCGTCGACTCGGCCTCCTTACATCGCTCCCAGCAAGCCACAAACATACGAAAAGATCCCCATCGAGAAAGTTTACTAATTGTCGGCTCTTCAATACTAACCGAATGTGATCTCAGATTGTCATGTTTAACTTGATTACTGTTTATACTCATATTATAACTTGTACATCCTCTAACAATCCCAATGTTAATAAACTCAATTCTAGTTTAATTGTAAGACTGGGAAATGACCAAGGATGTTTGGGACGACAATATATATTCAGGATGGGTAGGACGAACCGAGAAATTCCATCAGAGTGAGGTCGAGACTGACGTAAATTAGAAGGATTGGAATCCGAATGGATCCGTCCTCAAAGGAACTGGGACGATTGGGGAAAAAGACGATTGGGGAAAGGGACGATTGGGGAAAAAGACGATTGGGGAAAAGTACGATTGGGGAAACCGAAAAGTATTATTTTTCTTCCATGCAAATGTCGAAGTAAGGATAATCGAGGGTGCTCATTTCGAATATCGGGTTTATTTTTTCTGAACATTACTAGTTTTCCATAAGTAGTACTGTTAAGTAGTAATTTTTTAAAAATTTTCAAAAAATACTGGATTTAGGGGATTTCGAAGGTGCTGGTTTCGAAAATCATGTTCATTTTTCCTCTAGTACTATATCGTACTAGAGGAAAAATGAACACGATTTTCGAAATCAGCACCGTCGAAAACCCCTAAATCGAGTATTTTTTGAAAAATTTCAAAAAATTACTTTTTAACACTACTGCTTAAGGAAAACTAGTAAGTTTCAGAAAAAATGAACATCATTTTCGAAATCAGCACCCTCGAAAACCCCTATGTCGAGTATTTATGAAAAAAAATCAAAAATTACTACTTTACAGTACTACTTAAGGAAAAAAGTAAGAATCAAAAAAATGAATGTCATCTTCGAAATGAGCACCCTCGATTATCCTAACTTCGACATTTGCATGGAAGAAAAATAATACTTTTCGGTTTCCCCAATCGTACTTTTCCCCAATCGTCTTTTTCCCCAATCGTCCCTTTCCCCAATCGTCTTTTTCCCCAATCGTCCAACTCCGGTCCTCAAACACGGATATGAGAAGGAATGTTTCTTATTCATTCCGAAGAATGCAACATTTGCGCGTGATTCCTCTGGAATTGCTGGTGATGGTGATTAGCGAGGCCTACTAATAACGCAGCATTTGTGATCCCGTTAAACTCGAGTGGAAGGGTAGGGGCTTGTCTGTTTTCCCCTGGGGGCATAGTAGGTGTGGAGATGCCGCCGGGCTGACCATTCTCAGCAGTCATTGCTCCTGGAAACCAATTATTGACCCCCAAAAAGGAAGATGACCCAGAGAATGGGGCCAGAAGATCAGAAGTAGAAGTCGGAAGTGAAAGACTGGGGTTGGACCTTGAACTGGACACTGAAGGGGACGGGGAACTGGCTCCGTTCGAGTTGGGAGGCTTCGTTTTGAGGAGATTTTTGTAATCCGTTATCCTGACCTTTTTCCCATCGACCATACATGTTCTTTTCGGGCGTGGGCTGAAAGATTACTTCATTATAAAACGTATTATGACGCAGTCTTCTTGATAATATATCGTAATTAATATTCTTCTCTGCTATCTCTAAGTTGGTGATAATCGATTAGAGCTGATAAAATTGTTTTTGCAGGCCAGACCTACCGGTATCGATAATCCGGATGTTGTTCCATGTGGAGTTTCGAAAGACGGGATTGTTCTTCGTAATAAGGCTGCTTCTCCGCGTTGGACATGGCCTTCCATCTGGAGCCCAGGATCTTCGAGATGTTACTGTTGTGCATGTCTGGGCATGCCTTCAGGATCTTGCGTCGCTCGTCCCGCGCCCAGACCATGAATGCATTCATCGGCCGTTTGATGTGGTTGGGGCTTTTTGGCGCACTAACTCTGACGACATTGTTCATATTAGACCCTGAATCTGTTCTTGGAGTACTCTTTCCAGAAGAAGTTGGGGATTGGGTGGGATGAAATCGATTAATAAAACTCGAGGGAGAAGTGCTGGTGGTTGTGTCAGCATGATCGCTAAAAGAATTTTGTAATTCATTTGAAGAACATTAAAGATTACCTCAGAGTGCTGAGATTTAATGGGATTTCGTTGAATTTACTGGCCTCGTTGTTGTTATTTACAGCCTTATTCCGGTAATAGGAGAGGAAAGAGTTCTCCAGCACGTTCGAATGGCTCTCCAGATCGTGGGGTTTGACGGATTGGACTGAAATAGGAACTACGGTGATTGCATATTACTCGGGACGTAAAGTCTGTAGAGTTTTTTCGCCGGCGTCCTGCGTAAAATTTGGAGTTGCCCCACGGAAAAGTGTATGTCGTTTGGGTAAAAACGGGAAATCTCAGCGACGAACGCGAAAAACCAGGGGAAAACGCATTGTGCAAATTCTACTGACTTTACGGCTCGGGAATTAAAAGATTATAGTATGACATGACGACCTATTACATAACAGGAGTTCAAGAAAATTAAAAGGCTTACAAGAAGGAAAGAAAAAGTTTAGAGCTGGATTATTAGCCCCTAGGGCACTAATCATGTTCATCCATTTCTCTTGTTGACTCTGTTCTGTGATTTCCATCTTCATATTTTGTTGAGTGACATCATTTCTAGAGGTATTGTAATCAGAAGAGTTGTCGTGAGAACTCTCTTTATCCTCTGTGGATTTATCCATGGTATCTTCTTCAATCTCCTCGACTACTCTTGGCTCTCCCAAAACAATTTCTTTTACTGATTTCAACTGGAAATGTTTTAATTAGCACTTGATCACTTTAGAAGCCTACCTGTTCAATAATGTTATCAATGAGATGAGCTTTTCCAGACTGTGATTCAACGTTCTCGAGGGCGTTTTTTAACGCGCTCCCATCAATAATTACGGTACAGTAATCCTGTTCTTGTGCCAGGATATCCGGGATCTCGTTGCTTTCATTCGAAGTGCTGAAAAGACAAATAAAATATTGTACTTGGGATATCTTATAATTAATGGAAATCCTCAAGTTTTAATTGAAATCAGAGCCCGGTTAGAGTGCCCCATTGTTTGCCTCAGATTCGAATTTAAAAAGATGTCTGAAATTCAATATTCCGCGGATCAAAACGATTGTTTCCCATAAACAGAGGGCCGGTTACTGTAATGTTTTGTTGAATGACCGGCTGCCCTCTTCTTATCGCTGATAAACAAGCTCGGGACTCGAATAGCCGCGATTGTTTGCACAATTGTGTTGCTCCGTATATGGCCGGGACTGTCACGAGAAAGGTCATTACAAACGGGGTGGGGGATCTGCTGGACAGCCATGCCCTCAGGGGAGATCGGATCTATTATCTTATCAGAGGCCGCCTAATTCCCGAAAAGTCTTTGGAAATTGGGGATGAGAAACCGGCTTGGGTTAATCCACTGTATAGATGCAACTCATGTCAGCATATGACATCATAGAATCGCTCACCTGGTGTGTTGAGATTCTGAAGATTTTGTGGATTTTATGGTTTCAACTGGACTTGTAAATTCATCAGGAGGGTCTTGCTGTACATCCTCAAAGTTAACATTCTAAAAATATTTAAATTAGTTCAAATCCTACCTTAAAAAATTAATTAGCATAGAATGCTTACAATTCCAATGACGTCATCACTTGACTTTGTCATTAAATGGTCAGTAGACTCCATCTCTGGATATTCTTTTGAAGAAGTGGGTTCGGACAAGAGTCTAACAGCTCCTTCGCCTCCTCTTTCCTCCTCTCCGCCGCTCTCTGTCCACTCCTGTGAGGAGGGGGGCAACCTTGCACAGTACGGTGATAACGCCCCTTCTTCAGGGAAATGATTGACCAAACGAACCGGAGTGGCTTTGCGGCGACTTGACATACTGAAAACAAAGAATATTGATATTGCAGCGAACGGAGATAAGAGCCAGTTGAACCCGGGTTACATTGCAACAGATAGGAAACCGGGAAAACGACCCGGGCCCGGCCTAGTTCATGCACGGAACACTCAGGCAAATCCTCTCCGACTTTACAGTAAATAATCCGACGTGATTTTATTTTAGGCCCTATTTCAGACAAATGCCTCAATACGACGGCAAATGAACCCGAGGTGAAAACGGCCGCCAGATAATAGACAAACCACCGGTAAATGGGAGATAATGAAGGGACAAAACATAATCAAGAATGATTGCGCAACGGGACTACGGTAGAGCGGCTTTGTTTCCTGCACACATGGCCCGGGATGACATCAAAACGGGCACCGACCGGGGCATAATGGTCGGTCGGGGCCCCGGAGCGACAGACATTATGATCGGCTTGATTAATAAATGGCCAGGTTCAAAATCCCACAACAAAAAAGTTGTCCCAGGGCCAAAAAGTGGATTAAAGACGTTTCTTCTCAAATTTCGCAAAGAACCCGGCAACAGATGGGCACAAAGCTTGGCCATGTCGAGAGTCCAGAGCCGGACAATATTACCCCTATTAGACGAGAAGGAGACGTGGGAATAATGCCTCCACACGAATATTACCGTACACCTCTCACACACTCGCGAATTTTACATGATCCCCATTAATTATGGAACGCATCTGCTCCCACAGACGACTTGCATAACATCCATTACGAGGCCATTCAACCGGTAATTACCGACCCTCAGGGACATCAATCAAAAAGTTGGCGCAACAAAAGATAGGGGTGGACGAAACCGAGCAAGTTACTTAATGCGAGACTTATAAACTGCCACTTACTCCTTCCTCAAGCCGGCTCTGACAAATAATCCAATCTGGAGGAACAATAAAGAAAAGGATCCCACAAAAGACGCGCATTTATTGTTGGCCCGCTTATTAATAGACACCCATTGTCTCGGTTAATAAGCAAGGCCTCAGCTATCTTTTTCTATGGCCTGATCAACCAACAAGACCCCTCTGGCCTCGGGGATTCATAAAAGGCCAAGATTGACAAGAGGGGAAAGTAAATGTCACCATTCATTTGAAAGACTTCTTTCCATTAAAGTGCGGTTGAAAGGAGAAATAGGAAGCGCCCAACTTTATGGATGGCCTGAAGACAATGCCAGAGGGGAAATGGGTTGAGACTGCGGTGGGCAATAAGTACGATCATGTGCAAGAGTAGCAGAAAACATTGGTTTAAGCCGTTTATCCGCTCCATCCATTAAACGGAGAAGATACAAAGGGTTTCCGGAAACAATCAACATCCTCTTTCCGCGCATACCAAACCCGCGAGGGTCTGGTAGGTAGTAAAACTCAGCTGGCTGTGCCATAAAACGGCACCTCAGAGAAACAAAGCCCGCATTTATTGGACTTGTTTCATCGCCAAGTACCGATACACAAAAGAATAAGAGCCGTTAAATGGCTGTTATGAACGCCAGAATTTAGAGCGCTTCCTGGCCGAACTCCCTGCTTGTACTGTGTTTGTGTACGCATCCCGAATCGGGCGAGTTTCCCCGAATTAATTGCTCATTCGAACGTTAAATCCGTGAACTCTTAAGTGCGACGATTGCGCGAAGACGCGGCGATTGCGCAAAAAAGTGGACATCAAGGGGAAATAACCGGAAATGGCATAAAGAAATACGCCGCTCGCTGGCCCTGGGACCTGAAATTAGTCCGTTGACTTTTTATCGCATCTTCAGAGGGTCTTAATTCACTCTACTAAAAGCTCACCGAATCTGGAGTGCCAAAAATAAATTAGCATTATTTTGGAGAACATCAGGGGTAGATGACAAGGGCCCGAATATTAAACTTAATCCTTCCCAGTTAATAAATCTTTTTCAATTAATTTCAGTCTGCTAAAAATCTTGAAGATGAATCCAGATTTTAGAAAGATCTTGCTGGCACAGAGAATAAGGAAAAAATGAAAAAACAATATAGTGATACCAGGACATACAAAGGGAGCAGAGTTTACGTCGAAAAAAGTTATTTTAAGAATGCAATCAGCGTTTTATTGAACCACAAAACAAAGGATTTTTAGACAACACTTGGTCGGTAATCCGATCCAGCCTACTGACAAGCCCTGAGGGCATCTTCCGCGGCCGCCCTGGCAATTTGACCTCAGGCCGCGCTGAGTCCAATTAACAAAGGAAAGATTGAAAAAATAAAAGGAATAACGCTTGATTTAAAGTCGTCTCGACGACCCACTACCGTATACCCCGGCGATACTTTACGGCCAAATTACACGCATTGTGAGTGCACAATGCCTGAGGACCGTCCTCTGCGAACAAAAAGGAGTCGGTGTGCCGAGGCACGGACGGCAGGCGGAGAGAGGGGGGGAATGGGCCAACAACCAACCAGCTCGAAGCCAATGCCCTCAGGCAAAGTGTTTTGCCGCCGAGTGCTGGAAAACTTTTCCAAATAAATGATCCATTTTCTCGTTTGTTTCGGCGCACGGCCAATTTCGGAGCACTTGAAGGGGGATGAGCACGTCAGTGGCCGCCCCACAACTACGATCGCATTGATAACCTCTTTAAGGCAATTTCAGGATGGCCATGAGAGGATCCTTGGCCGGAGATTAGGCCCGCTGTAATCCCGAAAACAATATATTTTTGAGCCTGGAAACAAGGGAATTACGGTCCATGGAGAAATAAATATGTAAAAACAAGCACAAGATTTCCATGTTTGAGTTTTCTTAAGGACAAAAATCAGACAAGATGATGACAAAGGAAGGAAAAAACCCCTGTCAAGGCTACGAAACCCCCAGATCCCACACAATAACCTCGATTGGACAGCAATTCTAAAGGATTGTTGTCATGTAAATGATGGCAAGAACTCAATCGAATATTAAAGAGACGCCGAGTTGATAACAAAAAGATCGAGAAGGCCATATGAACCCAATGTTTGTGTTTAGATACCGGGAGAAGAGAGGTAATCAGTGGGCCGTAGTGCAAGTCTTCGTCAAAACTTCTTTCTTTCCGTAAACAATTGGTTCAGACACAAAAAATAAAATCAAATTGAAAAACAGGTACCCGCGACACGTGATCCAGGAAGGCGAGAGGGGGCTCGGCAACCTGAAACCATCTTCCCGACCGCTGCAACGCCTGCTGCAACGACCGGTTCAAGTCGATGGAAGCGGCGGATCTCTCGTCGACGTTCGCGGGGATCAGAGAAATGCCGACGGACTGTAAGCACGAACCTTGACCTTTGTCTCGGCGATCTCGAGCGTCTTTACAACTGGAAGCCGATCACTCTCCGATTGTTAGTTCAATCGAAAAGGAAATCGCCGATGCCCGGGCCTGATCGCTTTATCCGTTCATGTACGAAAGATGGGCGGAAGTCTTTCTTTTTGATGCGGAAATGGCTATAAAACCCAACTGTTAAACGACTATATTACATGAGCTACCGAGGCTATTGGAAAGGTTGAATATTTGAAAAGAACGTTGAATAAAAAGTTAATTTCCGGGTAAAATTAACTTAAAACAACATTGACAACCACTTGATGCCAACGATCAGACGGAAAGAATAAGAAGAGATGTCGAAATTCCCTTTTGTTCGTCGATAAATCAAACTGTAAACTCATTGGTGGTGACGACCTCCTCGGTTCGATTTTTTAAAGCGACCCCGGGCAAAAACGGAAGACAAAAGCAGCCGGAAAAAACCGGCTGTTCTTTTTACTTTTTTCGGATTCTTGCGCAACCATGGTCCAAATCCGGAAGGTCAAGACAAACTGTCCGTTGCTTTGTTTATCTAAGTTACTGCTGTAATTAAATTAACAAAAATGATTACTGTGAGCTTTTAATGCAATTATTATGCATAATTTGTACTGTAATTTTATGTTTCGACGAAAATATCACCAAAGTTATGGAGTTGATCTCTGTAAACCAACTAAGAAGACTTCATTATGGTAATCGTATCTATTCAAAAGCAGTCGTAAAAATTGTATATTGTAACCGACGACCCCGAACTCACCAATGTCAAGGGATTGTTTTCGAATCAACGCTATCTCTCCCGTTGAGTTCGGCAATTAAACGGGTTCGCTCCCTTTTTCTTGTTCCGTTGGCACTGAAAGGAAAACTGTACGAGGGAAAAAAGGAAAAGGAAAAATCGGCACGCAACATTCCCGACAATTAAAACAATAAAAGTAAACGATTCGGAGCAGAAAAGAAAGGCTGCTTAACCCAGATTACAACAAGTGTCCCAAGTCGAATCTCTTGACATGATTTCCATGATCTAGCGCCGGAAAAGGGGAAATAAAGGGGTCACTTCCCGCCCTTCCAGCTCTCGGCCAATTTTATGGATACAGGCAAGCCAATTGAACAAACAAACATGACCCGCCTTGAATGGACATTAAAGGAGAGCCTCGTGTCAAGCACGGATCCTGAATCAGCCGAATACAACACGCTTAAATGCATTGATACGAGCCCGGATATAAATCCGATTTGTTTGTCCATGGTGTTCTACAAAGAACTTGACGGGTTACTTGGGAAAGAAGTGTTGTTAGGACAAAGCCGCATGCCCTGCTTACAACACAATCCATAAAGCTGATCACCGTACAGATCCCGAACCAAAAAAACCGAGATTCGGAGAGTGACTGTCCCCTTAATTTGGTCGTTTTTTATTCCCTCACCTCTGGAAAATCCAGTTTTAGAAAAGAAGTTCCAAAAAAGGTTGTCCACGGGAAAAGAAAGGGGTCATTAGAGTATTTAAAATGACCGCTAGCGGACACTGGATCATTGTTTGTGAGTAGCGAGGAATCACTGTAGAACGGTGACTCTCATACAAACTATAAAACAGAATCACGCTCAACTTAACAATACTTTTTGCGCAGCATGATTAGATATCAATGCAAATCATTTTACAAATAATTACATAATACTTTCACATTTATGTATATCTAATCAAAAGAATTTTTACTAAAAAAATTAATTGATTTCACAAGGAAAGTACTTTTATGGGGGCTCCTACTTTTTGACGGGACATATCTCAAAAAATCAGAAAAAATGCGCTGATCAAGGATATATAAATCTTAGCTGCCCATTTTAGGTTTTTAGGGGTGAAAATGCCCAAAAACTGGCTTAATTTCCCTACAAAAGGTGCAGGCATTCGAAACGATAAAAAGCGCATTCGGTCTCTTCCTTCGGAAGAGAGCGGTGTGGCCGAGTGGCTAGTGCCGTAGTCTGGGAATCAAGAGAGGGAACGCCGCACGGGTTCGATATCCCTTTTGGGCCGAATCAACTTTTTTTGAAGATGAAGGTCGGAAAAATAAATTTTTGTGCCAAGACTAATTTATTACGTCTTAGAAACTCAATAAACATCATTTTAAGTCAAAATAAAAATTGTAAACCTGTGAAAAATTAAGCGAAAAGGGGTTCATATAGGACTTTAAGTCAACTTCCGATTGAGTTTTCACCCCTAAAAACCCAAAATGGGCAGCTAAGATTTATATATCCTTGATCACCACATTTTTTCTGATTTTTTGAGATATGTCCGGTCAAAAAGTAGGAGCCCCCATAAAAGTACTTTCCTTGTCAAAAATTTTATAAAATTTACAAAATCATGCTTCAAAAAATTCCCTTTTTTGGAAGGCCACTTCAGAAGCGAGAAAAGAGAATTCATTGTCAATGGAGGTAAAAAGAAATGCCGGTAAAAATGTCCTATGAAGGGAAGGGACCCGTTCCAAAAACTTGATTTCAACTTGAAAAAACGTCTAACAGTTTCGTAACATAGAAATTATTTTAAATTAGAATTGCGTATTGTTCGGTAAATTTGATCATTCAGTATTTTGATTGTTTTTTACATCATTAAAATTATTTCAGTAAATTTTTGTGATCTCTTTAAAAAATTGAAAAAAACAAAAGAATTAAAATGTTTGCAGTTTTACATTAAATAATTTGCATAATTTAATTTTAAGCTAATGCGGATATCAGTTTGAATTGGTTTCTGCTTGTGACTAACATAATGGCAGTCATCAGAAAAGACCAGTTTTTAATTCCAGAGTAGTTCTTTTAATCCACCGGCCTCCAAATGTAACTCCCTTGTTCCATTTGTTCCTTTGCCAATCCTTTTGAAACCCTCGATGGGAATTAAAGACTTGTGAACATGGGATAACAAACTGAAAGGCCTCAAGTTTGATACGTTTCCAGGGGATACGAATACTCGAATTGGTTCTTTTCTCCTGAGAAAATGATGGTCCTCTTGTTTTAAGCCCTTTTCATGCGCTCAAGGAATTCCATGGCCCACCAAAATGTTTTTTATCGTCGTATATTGGTTGTTACCTTCGTACGTTGCGGCCAAATATAGTGTCGGAGTCATTAGCACGGACCAAGTAAGGCCTCGAGAGTCGTAGAAATGGGGGTTTCTGAGCTTTAATTTGAATTTATTCCAGAATTGGGTCTATCTGGATAGGTTTTGTTTCGTCTCCAACGATGGTGTCCTCCAATATTTCTTCCAATATCCAGTTGTAAGTGTAATATAATCCAAAAAAGATGGTTTAGTCCCATGAGATTGAATCGATTTATTTGTATTTCGATACAGAAGACCAATGGAAAGCCGCTTACAATTCCCAGAAGGTAACATCCCTCCATTCACATTACTCTTTTATTAGACTTGCAAAGAAAAAGAAGATCTCCTTGATCCCAGCAATAATCAGATTGTCCATTTGACATCAGATGCTCCCAAATATGAAGATTCAAGTTGTAAGAAAGTAAATATAACTGGGGAAGAGTGGTACCAATGTATGGGGAATCGCTCTTTTTATTCACAACGACCGAGATGGTGGTATTTGGCATTGGGAAACTGCGATTCTACCAGTGGATTGTACTTGGAGTACTCGATTTTGATGACAAATGCAAACATTACTAACCGATGGTTTTATCATTTCTCTTTTGACGAGTTCTGTAAGTTTTTAGTCATCAAAAACATATACAGTCTATTGTATTGATGACATTATTTTATAATATTTTTCAGACGCCCTGCCTCTTACAATTGTTTTTATGGTGCTGGAATTGATAATCCTTGTAATTTCGATAACTTTTACTTGTAAGTCACTTACAATCCCACTCCTTAACTTTATTTAGATATCCTCAAGTCCCGGAACATGTTACATCCAACTTTCAAGATGTTTTTACACGCTCTAATATTTGATATAAGTTGTGTAATCGCCTTGTGGTTACATTATGATCGATATGCAGATGATGGAAGAGGGTTTCCGTTACTTAAATTTGTTGGAATTATGTTCAGACAGATCTCTGTGGTTACTTTTATCACTCTGTTATTGTTGCTCGCTAAAGGATATACGATCACAAGGAGGAAGATTTCTTTTCTGAGTGTAATGAAACTTCTTCTCTTCGTCGCGGCCTTCTTTCTGGGGCATGTGACAATGATGTTATGGGAGATTTTGGTAATTTTGTTAATCTCGTCGTCAATGTCTGGCTTTAGATATTTGACCCGGCCAAGGTCACATACATGTCCGAATCGCTGCCTGCCTATATCCTCGCCGTTCTTCGTATCTTAGCCTGGTTATGGTATATCCGGTCATCTTATGTTACAGTGCGAAAGTACCCTTTAAAAAGGCTCTTCTATATGTCCTTGAGTGTCCTGATGTCATTTTATTTTTGGTCCGCTCCCATTACCTTGATCATTGCCAATTTTGTATTGGATAATTGGGTCAGGGAAGAAGTAATGCTGGCGGTGGAATCAGCTGTGATGGTCTATGGGTTCTGCACATTTTTGGTATGTGATCACAAGCATTCTTATCATGCACTTAGGTGTTAACCAATCCAATGCCCAACAATAAGAACTTCCCTTATCACGTGAGAACAAATCAAATATCCCAAGACAATTACCCCCAAAGTGTATACGAGGTAAGATCCGATTTCTAGCTTTATTTATTACAACGACACAACCAATAATTACAAAAAACTTGTACAGGTACAATACTCCTCGGGTGGAATGGCATCTGCTGATTAAGAAAGAGAGATCACAAGAACCAAGAAAGGAATAAATAAACTGATTAGAAGATACGAGGTAGGAGAGAGCGAGGGCCTCAGGGAAAGACTGTGGGACTTCTCTTTGCCTCCGTCAGTTCCGTCTTTTGTTTTTCCCCAATTCGGGGAGACTGACCCCTGCGGGGAAGATGGCCGATCGTGCCCCGAAATTGTATTCCAACGAAGAGATCCGCGACATACAAGCACACTCCCCATCGGTCTCTCCACTCCCTTCGGTCGGCGGAGAATATGAGGACATTCCATAAGCTGTAAATAGATTGTAACTTCCTTAAACAGCACTCGTCTGTCATGTGATTCATGAAGCTTGCACAAACACAATTCTTCAGCAAAAACAATCGTGACTTCTTTTACCTGTACAATATTGCATACAATCATCGTTATTTGGTAGTCTGACAGTAGTTGTCGTCCCCCCAAAGATCTTTATGTTTTTTAAGATCCCTGCTTGACCTAAATCCAGAGATTTGAACATATTCGAACCTTTACCTGAGAATTCGTTTGCCTTAATCCCACTTGTGAATGTTGGGGTCTTCGCTGAGTCTGTGATAGCTGCCTTCAAGTAACACCGATTCTTGTACTTATCAAACGTATATCTGAAATCAATAAAATATTACATTATGAAACAATACATGTAGTAAACAATAATAGGGAGTAATCCATCAAAAGATGACATAAAAGACGGCTTACAATGATGTATTTAATACCTGATATAGAGCAACTTACGCAATGCAACAGGGATCGCGGGCACAGACAATACAACAGACATTCAGGTCACCGGTCTCGATCTCATCGTATGTCCCACCGTTCAAGGCAATGTTGGGAAGGAAGAAACAATTGGACACTTGAATCAGAGGATGGGCCCGAAGGACGCAACTTACTGGCTGATCGACCACTCAAAGGCCACGAACTCAACAATAGCACCACCAACAACTTGATCATCGCGAGGATCGTATCTTCGGGCTCGAAATGGCTACAAAAGAATCGAATAAGTAATCTTAGAAAATGGGTGATTTATCTGAAAATGAGGAAACTCGACCAATAAATTGTAAATTCCAAGAATGCCTGACGAAACGGGTGTCGGCTGGGGTCACACCTTGTAATCAAGGATTCAGAAATTGGCGGCTTTCATCAAAAACTCTTTTAGATAAGACTCATTTCCTTTCCTTTCCTTTTTTTCTTTTTCGGTTCGCTTTACAGCCCCATCTCTGCCGCCGTTGTAAAGACTTCCGAAAGTAGCGTGGTTATAGCCGGAGCGCTAATGTAGTAACTTGGGCGGAAGTGCGTTACAATCGGACCGAATTGGGATGTTTTAAGGAGAGAACGACGCGGGCGTTCAAGTCCTCCCTTTGGCGCTATTCTTGGCTCATATGACCCCCCAAATCCACCCACTTTTTTGCTCTGATTCCCACCGAAAACGGGCGGCCTAATCGGCCGGAATTCCATCCCCGAAAACTTTTTAGAGACGGCCGTTGAGACCCGTTGAGGGACACTGGTTATCACATGCTTATCGCCCCGCTGTATGTCGCATTCCAACGACTTTTAATTGTTTGGCTTTCTGCGACTGAACATCAGCTTAACATTCAGCGATAGGAGAATGCAAACAAACAAATCAATTGACATCCAGAAAGGGGCAAAAGTACATGTTATTGATCCGCTTATCGACCGGTCAGATCACGATCCTCTTAGAGTCGTAAAAGCCGATGATAAGAGCGGTACACTCGAGACAGCCTGGCCCCTTCCCTAAGGTCAGTGTGACTTCTTTTTCTCCGAAAAGAAGATATTGTCACCACAATAAGAATTATGTTATGTGATGAGTAATCGCTTCAAGAATGCCTTGATAATTGATTGATGGAACGAGAATTGATAGGAGTTCAGGAGATTGGACAACGTCATCCTTGCAATTACAGTAATACCTCCAGAAAACGAACGTCATACGAAAAAACAAAGTTCATAACACTTTCCAATAACCAAATACCTGGAAGTAAAAAGAAAAAGCATGCCTATTATACACATATATAGCGAGCTTCAGTACACTCCACAACCTAAATAGAATGCCACATTCTTTTGATGCGAATTCAGGAGGTTCTTTCGGCCTTTTCCATCGTTTATGAGAACGAATGCTCGGTTTTCGAGAGTCAGGATACAATCCGAGGACTGGTCTTGATCAGGGGGAGAAGGGACTTGAACATCTCCAAAGTGGACTTTCTTCTTCGAGGTTCTGTGCAGTTTAAACACCAGAAGTCGGTTCGTTTTATTCGACTCGGGTTCATTTTATTTCAGGGGTCGATTATATCATCGCATAATCACGTGAACACGACCATAACGCAGAAGATCAACAGGTTTGTCAAGGCTGATTTGGCCGACAAGATAAAATTTACTGTAGGTTGACATTTTTAATTGTTTTTATTGTGTTTTTGTTTTAATATATGTGTATTTGTTTTGCTTATATTAACTTCTCTTAAGATTCCCTTGCCGTCTGATCTCTATCCCTCGATTGATTCCAAATCGATTACAATTATTTATTATGTACAAGCCCGGCTGTACTTAAGTCATGAGAATGAAGAACTCGTCGGCTTTATTGCCCGAGGTCTCACGATCATTACAAAAGTCGCTCTGGATGCACTTCCCTCCAATTACTTCGCTGCTGAATCATGGAAATGGGAGAACAGTGTTGGATTCTGCCCTTGTTCCAATGGCCGCATTTTAGTAAAATTAAACTTTGAGAGAAAGGCCTTTCTTCCTGGAGAACATATTGTAATCAAAGGTAGATGGTGATAAAAGGAAGAAACGGTGATTTAGGGAGCATAAATAACGAGACCGGAAGACGCGTCGACTTTGCAAAAGTGATACTCGAAAAGGTCATTACAATCACCAAGGAACAGAACAAAGTAGGACAAGAATAAGACAGAAAATAAGTAACTTTAATGTACAATTTACTGGTATAAGAAATTTAAACATTGGACAATTCTAGGAAGAGGAAATAGTGTCCGAAGAAGTTGTTCTGACCCGAGATGAAGCCGTGGCAATGTTTGTCGAACCCCATGTAACCTTGGCCATTTCCAAGAACTTCTCTTTGCCATCCATGAGGCCAAGGTAAACATTAAGTCGTCCTATTTCTGCCACCTAATTGAATAGCCCCAGAGTAATCGAATTGACCGTCCATTGTAAACAGCACACGTATATTTACTGGTTTCAGTACCCCAGATGGGATAAGTATAAACCACTACAAGATATACATATCATACCGAGTGAACTGCGTGATCAGATACAATGGCCAAGAGTTCTCGGGGTCCAATATTCCTATTATTATCGGCACCGAGCCCCATAACGTCACCCATAATGTGCAGAGAGAGTGCAGCTCCACTAAGCTGATATACTACAAGGACAAAACTGAACGGAACGTTCCCGTGGGCGACGACTCTTCGCAGTGCTTTGTGTCCAGGAAGAATCTCAAATATATGAATATGTATCCGTATTTTGTGCATCTGGAGACTTCTTCAAAACAAAGTCGACGGATTCACAAATTGGCAACAGCAATTCGAGCCGAAAATAATTTCCTGGCAAAACTTAAGGCGGCTAATCCTCGAGGTATGATCTGAAAACTATAAAAAAAGTGGTAATTAAACCCTCATTTCCTCGCACATCCCCAATTAGTCATCATTTTTCAGGTTCGGAGACCCCTTCAATGATTTCGCCTTCCAGTTCATCAACTCCAACTCCAGGTCCAAACTAATTATCGTGTAACTCTTAAGCCGAATAAAATGTTGTTGTCCTCCATACGGCGCCTGAGGTGATAGGGAAAGGGGACAATTGTGCTGGGTGAATTAAAAGAAGCCCGAGGGGAAGAGTCGTGCACTCATTCGAAGCAGCGATGTGTGCATGTACGGGAGTGTGATATGAAGTCGAAGGGTGTTGAGTACTCTCCTCAGTGCCCACAACAAATTGAATTGACGCCGCAGCGCGTCTCCTTTTCCCCATCAGCATATACCTCAAGCCAAGTGTCGGAACATGACGAGCCGGGCCCCCAGATTTCGCATAAGTTCTTTTTTTTTGTCTGCTGGAGTTTTGCGAGAGTAATAAAATTAAACTCGACACCAGCCGGCCTGAATTAGTCCTCTTCTTATCGGCGCTGGGGTTAAATTGCCCTTCAAAATGTGGCAAAATTAGGCGGGTCTCTAGGCTAAATCACTTCGCCAGCTACGGTAATTGTCATCAAGACTAGTTGGTTCCGTTGGAGTTCTGTCTAATTCAGTTCCCCTTTGTCTAATCAAATCGGTAATGGCCAAAAAAAGGTCCATCTTGAGGTGTTATTGTTACTCTGCAAATCCTTCGAGTGCTTTTGGCACTTTTATAACAAAGTCTGACTATACAATGTTTTGTCGTGTTCGATCGTCGTTGACCAAACATATCAGTTAATGAGTTCCATCGTAATTTGAGGCCATGCCCGGCCAGATGTAAAGGCCGACCTGTCCCGCTTTGGATAGCCATGTAATAGCCAAATATTGGCCATTAATCCGCTCTTCAGAAGTTTTCTTCTTTTATATGCGGTTCTTTGTGCTCAGTCATGCGTTTATCGGTAAAAATTGGGCCGGCTAGATAGATTTGCATTCTAAAAATAACGCGTCATGTAATGTAACCTAAGGCGCGTTCATGAATTAGTTTTCTTTTACTTAATTTACTCATTTGGAGGGAAAATGGCACCTTGTTGAGGGGTCACAAAGCGATGGATCAGCTCTCGCCCACCCATCTCGGCCTACTGTATATTGGGTTGGGGGTCCTAGGGTTTGGTTGCAATGCCACCACGGCTTTGATGATCATTTCCAGACGGGTCTTCAGGCTCTCCGCCTACACAATGATGGCCAATGTCGCTTTGGCCGACGCGATCATGGCTGTGGTAGCCGGGATTGTCTGCGGTTTTGTGACAATCGCCAATGATGGAGAACTCCAAACCAACGGGACCAGTGAGCTTAACATATCATCGTCTTCTATGGAACGGTAAATCATTTCATTTTACAATATCATCGTTTTTGTTGTTATGCTTCCAGAAGAACAACTCGAGCGATTATCCCGACCCCGGAGCACTTTCTTCAGATGAACGTGGCCGGGAAAGCGGATCGCACTTCCCCTCAGGACATGCTCCAGGCGACTCTGGTCTTCCTCGAGATCGCGTCATGGATAGCCGGGGTCGTAAGCTATGCTTATCTGGGCCTCAACAGATGTGTCGCGATATGCTTTTATGGCACCAAGGCCAAGACTTTTAATCGGGTTTCTGTAGCGATTATCGCTTCTATATCAACATGGGCTGCGGGAATTTTGGCAGGTAATTTTGATGGCTAAACGGTACTTTTTGATGACTATATATTAATGCCAGCTAAATATGAATGAAGCAACTTTAATTGTAATCCGATTCCAGCATGTATGGGTACGTTTTCTTTCTCCGCTTCCGAGGGGCCTTTGGACATGTGGTCCGTAAGTTTCACAACCAAGAAACGGCCACCTTCTACTTGTTTTATTGTAATCGTCTTGTCCATAAATATAATCAGCGTGCTGATGCAATGGGTTTGCTCGACTCTGGTGCTGATGAAGATCAGACAAGTCAAACAGAAAATCAACAAGAATAAACTCAACCAGAACAGTGCAAATCGCTTCAGGAAACAGGTTCGTGCGCGGTCCCACGAGCAAGAAAATACGATTTCCTTTTGCAGGCCCGACTAACATTTCAATTCTTCTACCCGTCCCTGTTGTGCACCATCTCTTCGACCCTTTACTTTGCCAAACCTTACATGCGCGAACTTCTCTCCGAGCCTCATTTCGTAGTCCTGCACATGGTAAGTGAGATGGATGGGTTAAACATTTCCTAATTAGGGGCAATTATTATTCCAATTATCCTCCAATTGTCAAAGTTGTCATGCCCGTCATGTCACGGCTTTATTTACCAACTTGGCTCAATGAGAATTGTATTCTTTTTATAGATATGGCTTTCGAACCATTTCTGTAATCCCTTTATCTACGCGTACTTCAACGAGAGAATGCGGTTGACATACCACGAGATTCTAACCTGTGCAAGGGTTCGATATTACATCAGAAAACATCGGAAACAACGAGGATTCCAGAGGCAAAACAGTCGGGCGACTATGTCCAGGCAAGTCGATAGCAAATATAATTATATCGAATGTCTAGACGATCTCATGGAGCCAGATCAAATCGGATGTCGACGAGGTCAGCAAAGTCTCAACGGAATGGAAACTTTGTGAGAAACAGCCTTCAGATGCAAAGTCGGGACTTTGAGCAGTTATGTGAATTTATGATGAGAGTCAATCCATTATACGACAGTAGTGAAGGATGGAGAGAGAGTAGTGAGGAGGATGAAAACGAGTCCAATGGAAGACCATTGGAGACCAGAAGCGAGGGCCTTCATGTGCATCGGGAATCACGGTCCATCGTCCTCGATCTGGGCCGCCAGACCGTCGAACACTGGGCGCGATTCGCGAAGAAAGCCAGTATTTGAAATGCGATACAAAGTGCCTTAATAAAGATAGTTCCGTTCATTAATATATTAGTATACAAAAATAAGAGGCCAAACTTAACATCCGTGAATCAGACTAGGACGTCATCCAATGTCCATCAATCCCATCTCATGAAGATGACATTCCACGGTCGAATGATGACAACCAACTTCCGCAGCCAGCTCTCGTGTGGGACGGCATGGATTCTCTTCGATCAATTGAAGGAGCAAATCTAAATTTATCCAGACCACCGGTACCATACTATACTTGTTATCCAGATCGAAATTTCAATGGAACCAGGTGTTTACAGTTTGGGTCGCCACAGCCCCATTGAATAGCAAATATTTCAAAGGGCTTCCGCAGCAGTATGGCCAAGCCGGAATTCGTAGAAAATGAGAAGTCTGACCTCTTTTATTGATAACTTCAAGTTGAACTCTTCCACTGAAAGCGTAAAATATTATTTGAAGCAATATTATTTTACGCTTGTTGTTTGTTCAAATATACAAGTGCTTGATTATACATTCTAGATCGTCTTGCTTAGTTATTCTATTTACCCATAATTAGTGTATGACGATATATCACAAGATTGCCGCAAAAGGTTACAGCTGATATTGGGGGATTAACAATACAATATGTAATACAAACTAAGGCCTTAAAATACAAACGTGATGGCAAGGATTACATGGTTAGAATGTAAGGCGTATAAGATATAAGAATATAAAGACCGACTTTCAGAAACATTCGTTGAGACGATACCACTTCTCGAATGTTGTTGCACTGCTTAGGCTTTTCAGGGGTACGGAAATGTCACACATCTTGAAGTTATCCTTCAAAAGATAACTGCTAAACCAGACAGAGACATCAACAACGTAATCGGTTACATAGTTGAGGTCGTGGGAATGTAAAGAGTAAGTTAATTCGGAGTTGTACGTAGGATTGGTGGACTTCTGAACGACGGCGGTCTTCCTCTTTTCTCCTTTCTCGGACGATCTTCTCAAATATGTCTTCACATAAGTATCAGGCTCCGTTAATTTGTTTACAGGTGGGATATTTCTTGCATGTCCAACAAAGATCCGAAGTTTTTTATCCGAAGAATCCAAACAAATCCTGACGAATACTTCTGGATGCGAAGAACTGACAGAATCATCGTTCCGTTGACGATGCTGTTCTGGAGTCTCGTCACGGTAGATCGTATGGAAGAATGTGTAGACAAGATCACACTAAAATATAATTACTCATAAGGGGCTTATTTACATGCGAAATTTCCTTCGGGAAATCGAATAACATCTGGACAAACTGTTGGATTTCGATCTGCCTTTGGGCCGCGACAGAATGAACATTCCTCCGACCCATTAAGATCCCTCTTCCAAGTGACGGAAAGCCAATTCGAGAGAATTTACAACGAAGTTTGAGTTGCAGCTCATTAAACTCGTCGTAGGTTCGGTAAACTACATTCTGCACAGCCACATTCTCTCGTTTAATCAGGCATTTGTACATCTAAACCATAATCTCTTCATTCATTCGATATTTAAGTAAGGAAGTATAAGTCGTAAAGACATACGTAAACTTTTTCCGGAGTCTTCCATTTCTCGTACGAGCTGATCACAATCCGCGAGATACGACCTTCTTGTTGCATACTGTAAATAATGTCAGAAACAAAGTACTCGCCTACCTATAAGTCCCTGAGATAAAGGACATTTGATTGACATCTGTGATTCCTCCAAAGGCCGCAGAAAATGACGGATTCTGCTTTAATTGGGCCAAAGTATGAGCAAAGAAATTGAGGCGAGGAAACACACTGGTTAAAGTGTCTTGGATCATCCGAGTAAAGGTGATGGTAGCATCGACATCATTGAGGTGTAAGAACAAGTTGTTCTCAACAAATTGTTGCGCCGAAGTGTTCAGCCCAGGGATGTCAGAGCAGCACATCTACAAGATCCTCGAATGATAAAGACAACTTACGAATCTCATAGTATTCAGGAGTAAAGAAGAATGTTTCCTGATCAAATTGAAGGCTTGACAACACTCGTCGATAAAGTCCTGGAAGTGCTGAGTGGACACCAGCTTCCCTTGGTTGATCACATAAACCATTTCTGGAGTCAGAATGAACGGTACGCGATCCCTTTTAATGCTCCCAGCCATTTGCCAGTCTCCCATATATTTGCCAAAGTCAATATGGAATACGTGGCCATTGGTTGTGATCAAGATGTTATCATTATGTCGATCTCCGATACCCAGAAGATATGTCGCCAGACACCAAGCAGCGCATGATCTTCGAAAGTTCTCCAAAGCGCATCGATATTTGAATTCAGAGGGGTTATGAGTCTGAAGCCAGGTGTTGATGACGTCATCCTTGAAGACACCGGTTGCCCCAGCAGATACCTGGATCTCTCTTAAGGTGCGGCAACTGGGGACCAACTCAATGAAGCCTTTCTGAGGCCCCATGGGGAGACATCTGAAGAGGATTAAACGAAGATCCAATCCATTCCGATGCCATATATCATCCATGATCCCCACCAGTTGAAGGACGATCGAATCTTGCCTCAGGTCATCACCTGCTTTGAAGATTACACTGTAATCGATGGTCTCTCCTTTGAAAACAAGTCGTAGCGGCTTTGTTAACGAGTTGAAGTATCCGCAGTTCTCCACATTAATTGAAAGGCATCTAAATGCCGGATTCAATGGTATCCTCAACCTCGAAATTTCCATTTCAGCTTCAATTACTCTCAATTCTTGTTTCAACACAGTTTCCATAGACGGTTCTGGGACAGCTTTTATATGTTCGTTAAGTTTTTCGATCATTTTCAAGAAGATATTTTGTTGTTTTATGTCCTCAGCAAACTCAGGAATCCCCAGAGAGCAAAGTTTCCCTTGAAGAAGTTGACAACGGGCTTTGAATCCATAATTTGTTACAGTATCAATCCTCTGTTGGAGTTGCCTGAAAAAGGAAAATATAAATTCCAGATGTCATCCTTACCAATAGAATTCGAAAGCGAATGTTCGATCAAGAACACATCTTTCCAACAAAAACTTGGCCAATTCAGAATCTTCGTAGGTTTCGAACCGAAGAGCCTCCACAAATTGAGGTGTAAATCCAAAAATAAAAGCGGGAGAAGCTTTCCGAATCCACGCAATGGCTTTAGATCGTACTTTTTGGTCAGGGAAACTAAAACGATCAATTAGTAAAAGTATTAATTTAATAGATATTGCTCATAAAAGTATTAATTCATTAGATACTACAGTAATCTTACTACGGTAAGAGGAGTTCAACCGCAACTTCTGGAGGGAGATCAGTCCAATCGTCAAGGAGAGCATAGATGTGTCCAACACTTATTGAATCCCATGAGAAACAAGCGTGTAGAATCAAAGGTAATGCTCGAGGGAGTCCCCTCAAATAACATCTTTTAGACCAGAGGAATTCCTTCTCATCTTTGCTAATCATGTGGAAGGTGCTGTTCTCTACCGTATTATGAGCAAACTCTTGATCAGCCTTATTCATTGTGTTGAAGTCCTGCCATTGGCTGCAATTGTCATATAATAAGCTACTGTACCATAAATATAAAAAGTAAGGCCGCCGTTTATAATTCCTACAATTTGTTATAAACGATCGTATTGGGGAATCTGATATCATATTCGTATTCCAAGAAGGTCACTCTCAAAACTGCATCTTCTGGGCATCGGATAAGACTTTGAGGACCCCATGGCTGCAGAATGTTATTCGTCAAACGATTCAGCCCGAGTAACACAGTTCCAGTGACAATCGATCTGAAAATAGTGAACAATTAATAATAAATAAACATGCTTACCCATTCCTGTTAAAAACAGGGATTGATCCGGAAGCCAAATAATCTTGAGAAGGCGTTGCAGAATTGGTTTGGAGTTCGGGTTTCAGCTCGCCGATCACAACAAAAGAAGCATGAACTTCTCTCGGAAATTTGGAAATAGGACACTCAATATGGATCTAAAGAAATAACCAATTACGACCAACTTACCATATCGCTGAATACAATCGTATTATCACTGATATCGACCGCAACTCGACCGGTCGTTTTCTGAACTCCGAGACCATTAACTCCATGAATAACCTCTACCTCAATGAAGAATTGATGATATTTTGAAGTCCATGACAAGGGAATGTTATGGAGAGAATCGATTATAAACTCGAAATGGATGTCATTGCACTTCATGACCTCTTTTACTGGAAAATCCCGGGCTTCTGCATTCGTCTGCAAAAACTTTTAAACCCCAGAAAATAACTTACTGTAATAGAAAAGTCTGTTGGTGCACATTTACAGTAAACTTGGAAGAATGTAATGAGTTCATTGACTAGACGACTAATAGAATATTGCACTACGTCCGGAGAATTGGACTTTAGGAACAGATCGAGAGCATCGTTAAAGGAAGAAGATTGCGAGAAATTGGTGTAGGTTTGGATCAATTTGAGAGATTGATGGATATTATGTCGAGCAACTTTATCTAAAATCTGTAAAAAAAGCGGGAAAAAACTTACCAGTAGGTGCATTTTTACAAATCTCAACATTCCGTTTGAAAGTATTGACAAAAGAATCAAAATGGTCAAAATATATTGGCTTTGAGTCGATGGTTACAAAGGAAAAAGACGAGCTAAATCATAACAAAAAATTATGGATCAGTGTTTACCTTTTAGGACCGGATAAATTGACATGTTCGAGTGGTACAAGCTCTAACCTGACATCTCTATCATGAGATAACTCCAGTCCGACAAAAACGAATGTTCCGATCGCTTCATCTAATCCCAATGCCAACTCTACTCCATAAACACACAAAGAATAATCGGACAAAGGGATCGTCCCATTGTTTTGATCCATCATATCTTGAGGCAATGTCTTCAGCAACACTTCGGTAAGGATATCTCGAACTGTTGACGACGAATCACATGTGAATTCCAGCTTCTCATCGGAGAATTTGCATTTCTTGTTTATATATACAGTAAGTTTAATGCATTCGGCCATCGTTGTGGAATAATCCTTGACTGGAGCCAGAAAAGAGAATGTCGTGTTAATACGGAGATTGTTGATAAATTGTTCCAAGGATAAGCACTGAAAGGAGAAAAACGTAATTATTCAAACCATGGAATAACAACGGTGTGATATAAATAATAACTTACATCTTTGTAAAACTCGTGAACCGGCTCCTTGACATATTCTAAATCGTGCAGACTTGCTGGTCGTTTTGTTCTATCTATTCTCTTCTTTTCCGTCCTAACCGACTTCCCACGTTCTTCTGTATTTTGGTTTTCATTAACGACGTCTTCAACAACACCTTGGCTTGTTGACGGAATTTCGGATAATGCTCTCTGCTCGCGGATGTACAATGGGTCGAGTTCGTTGATACTTTCTATATTATAATTCTCCTTCATCCGGAACGGCACGGTCACTCCATTGTTGTTACAATTAGAAAACATATCCGAGTTTTCTTTCACTTCTAAAATTAAAGTACAAAGAAAAATCACCTACCAAAAAAATTAACTGGCCGTAAATTAGGTGTGCTTCGAGGAATAGTGGGAGCCGAAGCAGAGTGGGTTAAACCAAAACTGTACGGTCGGAAAAAAGACCTAAATTAGTGTTTGATTTCAATTAAATTAAGCGACATACGGTTGTGATGGATAATATGGAAGATTGCACAGATCTTGGATTTTGCTTATCGTCAGTCGCCGTTGGACAATCACGGGATCCTCTATGTCAATAAGGTCTCTCTCTTCCTGGTTTCCATTACTCTCCCCGTTGCAATGTGATCTAAAAAAGGTTTTATTACAGTCGAAAACTCACTTGTTCAAATCCAATATGAACTCTAGATCCGACCCTTTCGCCATCCACCTCTTCTCTCTTACAAAACTCGCATCATTCACTCACATACGAATCTGTGTTAGTCATTTTTATATTCCGGAAAAAAGATCTTTATCTGGGGAGAGAGTTGTCCCAGTGTCAAGTTTTTCCCTTAATAAACGCGTCAGACTGACACATTTATTTTCTCTCCTTTTGTATGGATCTCTCGCACGTGAGCGTTCACAACGTTAGAGCACATTTTTCACCCGCGATTGCGCTGATTTTTATCTCGGAATAAAATTCTTTGAAAAGGGAGGAGTTGATCTCCAATATTTTGTTTCACGTGTTGTGAATCACATCGGTTCTCGAGATTAATGAGGATTAATTGCTCAAATCTCGTTGCTTTTGTTAGCGGATCGTTTTTTTATTACCACAAGTTATTTTACAATCGTTTTTATCAATTGTAATTTTAATTGTTGACTTATTTCAGAAAAGTGAAGTATATGGAATGAGCAACTTGGCTTCTTCACTTCTAAATCGGTTACAGAACATTGTAGCCATTTCTCAACCCAGCAATCATGACTCATCCAGCAATCCAGGGTTATTGTTATCAACGCCGGAGGTATTTTAACCTTGAAATGATTGGAGTTTTTATTTTAGGACACGAAAAAGGTGGAAAAGCTGATGCGTTTGATGAATTCAGTTCTCAAACTATGTAGCGACAAAAAGTTGGGCCTAAAGAATTCACCGCCATTCATTTGCGACATTCTTCCCGAGATTAGGGAGCAAATGGTTAAAGTATTGATCGAGGATCCAAATGCCATCAAATCGAATCTCTACTTCAAAGTATTTGTTACAAACATCACTTCAAAGTGTAAAGAAGTAGGGCAATATTTACATTCTTTACTTTTAGTTTTTTTTTGTTACCCAAGAGTAAATTAATATTTTAGACTAGGGATTTGTTCAAAGAGGCTGGAGACAAGATGTATGATGAAACCTCCCAAGGAAGGACAAGGCTGACTCGGAAGACTTTGGTATTCTCGCATATGGCACATGAACTAAGAGCGCAATTTGAAGATGGGAGGTTCATCGGCAACTCATTTAGATTAACAAAACAGCCAGCTGATCAATTCTGGAGAACACATTTTGGATTCAGAACTATTGTGCCATGGGAAGAATTCAGATTAGCCATCATGGAGTTGAATGGATTCACAAACGAGTACCCGATGTATGCCTTGAAAGATACTATTGACCTGACCAGGAATGATCATATCACAAATTTTGAGTTCGACATATTTACACGGTTAGTATACTTTTTTCATATTTTCTTTTTGTTCATTAAATATATATGGGTTGATTTTTTAGATTGTTTCATCCATGGGATACCCTTCTGATAAACTGGCACACTTTGACAGTTCTCCATCCCGGATATATGGCTTACATGACCTATGAAGAAGTGAAGAAACGACTCACTCCACACTTAAATCGACCTGGAAGTTTTGTTTTCCGAATGAGTTGTACTCGCCTTGGGGAATGGGCCATTGGATATGTAGCATGCGATGGGAAGATCTATCAGACGATCCCTCAGAATAAACCCATTATTCAAGCACTAATCGAGGGAACACGCGGAAAGTAGTAAGTTATCATTTTTTGGCTACCCTTCATTTGGGGCAGATCGAAAAATAAAAAAAATCTTTTTTGGCCAGATTTTTTTGACGCCTTACAATCACATTCAGGACTTTGGCTAGCAATGAAAGTCTATGTTTTTATTATTTTTTTTTTTTTTTTGAAATGAAGTTTTCATGACGATTCTAAATATATTTTTCAGTTATTTGTTCCCCGATGGATGCAATAAGAATGTAGATCTACAAAAAGCCCTACCAGTAAATTCAGACAAGATGGTAAAGGTGACTTCAGAACAGTTTGAACTCTATTCTGAGATTGGATCGACCTTTGAAATCTGTAAAATTTGTGATGAGAGGAATAAGAATGTAAAGTTAGAACCTTGTGGACACTTAATGTGCTTGCCATGTTTGAATTCCTGGGTGGTACGTTATCTCTTTTTTTTTACTATTCGGTTTAGGAAAGTGCTGACAATGGAAAGACCTGTCCTTTCTGCCGATCGGAGATTCGAGGGACTGAGAATATTGTAATTGAGTCTTATCGGCCTTCGAAAATGGAGAAGAGGGTTCAGGATACCTCTGATCTTATTCGATTCAGCTCCCCTCCTCGGGAAGTTGCTCCAAATGTTCGAGAAGAGAGTAATCTCGTCAATGTAGACTTCTCCCATTCATGATTTATATCAAACTCCTGCCATTCGTAGTTATTGGGTAAATGGAAAAACGGGTAATGCCTCTAATATTTATTACTGAAACAATTTTTTTCAGCTTCACATTACTTAATACCAAGATTTTTTTTAGATTGTTATTAGTATTCATGTAATCTTATTAGCTTATATTGTTATGGCTTATAAACCCAAGGTTTTATTTTGGTCGTAAAAGCGTTAAGAGGAGGATTATATTGAAGCCGATAAGGGTGTTGCGTTATATTTATCACGGCTTTCAAAAACGCGGAACCATTTGACCTCCTTTGACGAATTATCAAATTCTCAAAAAAATGACTCGAAATAACGATGATGTATATTATTCCAACCTCTGATTATATTTTCTTCTTCTTAAGTATAGGTATCATAGGGAAAAAATAACTTATAACATTTTTGGCTCCGAATCTTTGGAGAATAAACTGGAAACAGCACTTATGAAACTGTTCAGAGATCCCATATTACTGTAGTCGATATATCGAATGATGGCAATATCACTTGGAACGTAGGCTCCTCGTTTGATGACCATTCTGGCTTTACTTTGGCCATATTTTTGTTGAAGGACCTGCGCGTATTTCATGAGATCGGAGACATGTACCATCTTGCCGCCCACATTAACCAAAGCAAATCGGGCATCTTTGATGGCGCGGCCAAAGTAATGGATCTTTCGGATGTATTGGAGACCCGCCAGATCGATACACATGGTGCTGGAGGAGTAAATATTGCATTGTTACTACACTTACGTGATGGCCAACCCGACAATGATATAAAACAAATCAAACATAAAAAACTCCTGCTTCAAAGGTACAATATCTCCGAATCCAACGGTAGTCATCGTGATAAAAGAGAAATAGAATCCTTCAAAGAAACTCCATTTCTCCCATCTCGCTAATAATATAGCCCCGACCATCATATAACCGAGTAAAATTGTGGCAATCAGCATTATTGGGATAGTAATGTAATGTTCAAGACCCAGCTGTTAATATTACCGTTAAATTTTATTCCGATTACCTGTGCCAATTCTTTCTTTTCTTCGTCTTCAACTTCTGATTGCATGCGGTAATCATTCTTTTTTCGTTTGTCTGTATATAATGTATACAACCAGATTATATTCTCTGATAGAAACTTTCCAATATCAGCTACTGTAATCAAAATCAAAGGTACTCCGAACAGGGCATAGAATATGCAAATTAATCTTCCATGGGTTGTGACTGGAGCTTGGTTTCCATATCCAATTGTTGTTAACAAAGTTGTTGTAAAAAAGATGGCAGTAGTAACGGTCCAACTGTTCTCTACAGCACTCTTATTACGTAGATGGACACCTGTTATAAAGTGGGTATCAAAAGCATCGAACAGAATTCTGGTACTCTCATCAATGTAAGTTAAGGCCAGGGCTTCGACTTCCCCTGGAAGCAGGAATACGTTTAAAAAAAGTTGTTCTTATTCACAAAGCATCACGCTTTACAAGAAAAAACATCTTGTTAGAAATCATACCCTTAGAAAGATTCCTTGTTTTCATCTCGTTCCAGAGGAAATGTAGCATCTCCTCCTTCTGTTTGTTAATCAGAAACAAGTTCTCTCGACGAATATTAACTTCATTTGGACTCTCCACCACATAAAATATCATCGCTCCACCAACAATGTACACACAGGAGATGAGAATGAGACCCACGTGGGGCAGGATGATTCTCGCGTACTTCTTCCATAATGACATATCCTTGGCCTCCTGAAGTCCAATCCTCCAATTTAACCGGGATTCCCAGATTTGGGACGAGCGAAAGAAGGCGGGCCATGTAAACCGAGGGGGATATATTATGTTCAAAAGGAGGAATTGACATTTGAATTCCGACTGACTCTTCCGGGCCGTAGTTATTAAAAACATAAGGCGTAAAAACTTGATTAATAAAAGAGATTTTGGACGAAATTTTCAGAGAAAACGCAATTTTTTGAGCGCACGGACCATTGTCTGGAAAGAAGGGGACCAACAAGCAAAGATAAAATGTAGAACTCACATGATCTTCGGACAACAACTTGTCCAGATCCCAAGGATTCGACCGGTTGATGTCGTTCTCAATGTCGTCGCCTTCGAACGGACTCAAACTCGAATCAGAATCCCCGTCCATTTATGGCGAAAGAGGCGTATCGGATGAATAAAACTTATCTGAGTGCAGCCAAGCAAGACTACCAAGTCTAACTCGATTTCATCCACAGCGCCCTTACTCGTACTCGATGATAGAAACCAAAAAAACTTTGCGAAATTCAGATGCCTTCTCCGAAATAATTGCCACAGCTGGCTTGGAATAGTTTTACAGAGTAAAAAACGAAGGGTCCACAGACTGCGCACGTTTCCATTATTTTAATTTACTCTCGACTTGCAGATTTCAACTGGGACTACTTACTTTACATCCATATTTTTAATTAAATTGGTTTAGCGGAGAAAAGGAAATGACCGCCTTGAAGGCTACTGATTGGAAATTTTTATTTTTCTCAGGTTTTTAAAACCGTTGCTGTTTCAGAAATGTTGAAAAAACATTTGGATTACGGTAGGTCACCTCAAAATGATGACAATTATTATACTGGGTGCCGGGACTCTGGCCAGAAGGAGATCTATTTTTCCGAAGATCCCCTGCGGCACTTGTTGTCTGAGATCCCCCTGAACTTGCTGACTTTATATAAACAATGTTAATGGATTGTTTTCTTTATGTTTTGACCCGAAACGTCAATGAAGAGAAAGGAGGCCCATCAATTTTCCGAACAAGGGCTTACAACAAGCTTATGCTTGTTCATGCCCGCAGGGCACGAGTTAAGGACGATTGTCGGGGATTGCGCGTTGCTTCATAGTGGCCCCAAAGGCATTTTCCAATTGACCCGTCAGAAGCCGTGTTGTATGTGGTGAAGAAGCATTTCCTCTTTTGGCACATTGCACTCCGCTTCGTGGACCGTCCGGCTCCAACTCCTCGGGGGCCAATAATAGTCGGGGCGCCGCAGCGGCCGAAAAGCCCTTCTTATCCGCAACTTCTCACTTCGCCTGTAATCAGGAACTCGCGGTGGTCGAAAATCAGAAAACGGATTGTTGTTTGTGTACTCGTTATGCCTGCAGGCATACCTCCGGACCCCGCATCCTCAGATAAGCCTGACCAATTTCCGTCTTTCATAAATTTGCCCGGGGGATTTACCACCATGTTATACTACCACCACTCTCAACTTGGCGTTTATTTTCTTGGACATTTCTTTGTTCTTTACCACACTCCAGCCACAGAGATGTCAATCAATGCCTAGGCCTCCAAGAATTCGGGTTTGGTCTCCAGTGTCTTTGTTGATAGATGGCGGCCTCGTTCTTCTCGTACAACCACCTTGCTCGTCTGTTAATTACTGGAGTCCATTGGGATTTGTGGGAATATATTTCGTTACAAACTTTGTTTTTGATCAGACACCCCGTTTTTGTAGAGACAAGTTTGGAGTTTCTTTTTTCTAGAAATGCGAAAATCCTGAGTCCGGCATGAGAAGAGCGGCCGATCCAACCGACCCAGTCAACCATGCCTCGGACGTCGCGGAACCATCAAGTCTACGAGTCTATGGATGAAGCCAGCGCCGCAGATCAAGTCCGAGAACCCCTATTACTCAGTCACAATGATGACTTTGCCAGACATCAGTCGATCGAATATTCATCTTCCAATAACCATTATGATCCTACCGAAAACGACATCTCAGCAGTCGACCGGGACTCGGATATCGAGCTCGAGAAGTACGAGATGGATGATCGGATCGGGGAGATCCCATCTGGATTTACTCGACGTTTTAGGAGAGAAGGCCTTTTCAATCCATCGATCTCAAGATCTCATCGAACCGAATCCTGGGAAACTAATGATCTATTGTCACCCAGAATGGGCAGACAAGTAAGGGAATTTCTCGTTACAGTTGACCTTTTAGTCATTCCCGGACGACCTACTCAGTAGCTCGTGCGATTCAAAAGATGAGATGGAGGAGGAAGAAATCGAGGAGAAAGGATTCAAGAAGGTAACAAGAAATATGAATTATACTGTTCTTTTCAGTATGCCAAACTGATCCTCCCTCATGTGGGCCTGGTCCTATTGACTTGTGCTTACACAATAATGGGAGCGGCCATCTTCTTTTGGGTCGAAAATCCAAATGAAAAAGCGACCAAAAGAGATCAACTAGACATAATCTTCGAGAAACAGGAGCACTTTGTAGGAGCTGTGTTAGATTTAGTATCCAAAAAAGAGAGTAGTAGGGTAGTTTGGAATGATCTGGCGACACAGCATCTCCATAATATGAGTGATCATCTCTTCATCGCATACGAAAAGTTCTTTCTGACGGCCAATGAGGTGAAAACGAACAAAACTCATGAGATCTGGACTTTCTCTAGTGCTGTCTTTTTCGCTGTTACAGTCGTTACAACTATTGGTAAGAGGTTGGCGTCGTAGAGTGACTTTGAATACGTAATTCATCTTCAAATTGTCAGGCTATGGAAACCCCGTTCCGATCACCCAGACGGGTCGAATAATGTGTGTGGTGTTCTCATTGTTCGGAATCCCCCTTACTCTTGTCACCATCGCTGATATGGGTAAATTCTTGTCGGAACAACTTGTCAAGTTGTATGCTCGGTATTTGCGGATCAAATATTGGTTATTGAGACGAGTGGAGCATCAGAAAGAACGAAGAGAAAAGGTCTGCGATGATTGCCGCGAGCACAGGGGATTAACGCCAGGCTTGAGGATTGTGGAAGAGACGAGGTTTGTCGTGACGTCAAAAGTACTTAAAATTGTGGCTCAAAAAAATAATCTTGTGTTTCAGGATACCTTCAATGGTTGTGTTTGCTATTTTGGTGATGTATACGGCCCTAGGCGGTGTGTTGATGTCCCATTTGGAGCCGTGGAATTTCTTTACGTCCTTTTACTGGTCATTCATCACAATGACAACGGTAATCTCTTCTCTCCACGCTCTCCTCCATCATAACATCTAATTGGCCCATTCGTTATTCGAATCCATTACAAATTCTAATTTTAGGTCGGCTTCGGTGATTTAATGCCCAAACGAGATCAGCACATGTATTGGATTCTCCTTTACATCGTTCTAGGTAATCGCTTTTCAAAATTACAACTCTTTGTGTTTGATATTGACTAACATAGTTGGTCTTAAGGTTTGGCAATTACAACCATGTGCATTGACCTCGTTGGTATACAATACATTAGGAAGATTCACTATTTCGGACGCAAAATACAGGATGCCAGGTCTGCGTTAGCTGTAGTTGGCGGAAAGGTAAGTAAATTTAATGAGTTATGTATAAAAAACTATAATAATTCTAATCATTGACATACAACCAATTATAGGTGGTGCTCGTCTCCGAACTGTATGCAAATTTGATGCAAAAACGGACAAGGAACAGCGCTCGCGACGCCTTTATCATCGAGAACTTGTACGTCTCCAAGCACATCATCCCTTTTATCCCCTCGGACATACGATGGATCAGATATATTGACCAGAACGAGATGCCTCCCCGTTCTTTGAGCAACTCCATCTCGAGTCTGGAGTTACAATCTTGTCGTTTCTGCCATTCCCGGTTCAGCATATCACATTCCCAGTCGCAGACGGCCCTTGATCAAACGACTAATCGGCCCACGGAGAATTCGAAAGAACCTCTTAAATCATCTAATTCTTGACGACCGTTTTTGGGAGACATTGTGTCACTTTTATTGTTTTTACAATCCTGTTTGAACATGTCAAATAATTGTCATTGTAGGTTGCAAAAAGCCTTCCCAAAAATATTTTTTTTTGGAAAATGAAGTATCATTTGAAAGGTATATTGTAGCATGACACATGACTTTATGCAATAATTTAAGTCCATTCCGACAAAATTAGACGCGGATGCTTCCAAATTCGGTCGTCCGTCTTGTTGTTATTATTTCCGAGATAAACATTGAATTTTATTTTCAATTTATGGTGCCATTAACACAAACAAAAGCCCGGCAAAAGTTAAACAAATCCCCGGAGGGCATATTGGCCTTTCCGGCTTCTCTCTGGCCTCGGCCAGAAGTTCGTGAGCGTCGGTTTCCGATGGGAGGAGGACTTCACAGAATCCACGAAATGCTCCGATGAACAGGCTGAGGATCTCATCGGCTTAGGTGGAGACCATATGAACACGTCAAGCGTTATCTTCGAGATCGCTGACACCCTCAGACATCCGGATCCCCATAAGGAAGGCATTTTCCTCTGTTTCAACCAACTTTTCCTGCCCTGTTTGTTGTCATCACGAGTCGTGAAAGTCTCCTGGTATTTCTCGGGAGGGACTAGTCTGGTCGATTGGATTGGTCTTTACAGAATAGGTAAGTTAGTGTATACAAAATTTCTCATTTCTTCAGAAGAGAATAACCCGCTGAATTACATTGATTACAAGAGTTTTGGTGTTTGTGGATTCTCGAAAGGGCAAGTTGAGTGGAAAATCACTTGGGATCACATGGAAGAAAACGACAATCACTCCAAAATCAACTTCAGGTAACCAACATTCAATCGCAAAATGATGTTTCAGATATTTTTCCGGCATATCTGGGACTGTGCGAGCAACCAGCGAAGATGTTCTTGTATACAAAGATGCCCATGTAGTAGTGAAGGCAATTGTCTGTGAAAACCTCGATTACAAAAATAAAGAGTTGCTGGTTAAAATCGAGTACAGCACAGGCTGTAGCTACACAACGGATGTCTCAAAACAGCCCATTTGGATGGATCTGGTAAAAAGAGTCATCTGGATTGTTTTTAATTTTTTCAGAATTTTTGTTTCCCATCCGATCGTTCCAAAGAATTGACAATAACGTTAAAAGAAAAGAGGAAATGCAATTCGAAAGTAATTGGAGAGGCCAACATCAGCATCGCCAATATTATACACAGCAATAATAAGTAAGTCAAAACTACTTCCAACTACAATTCAGGATAATCTCGGCATCTCTGCGGCCGGCAAATGGATATACACTAATGAATACCACCATCAGAATACACTGCGGTTTCGAACCGGCCCAGAGAAAGTCGGTACAAGGTCAGTGGCCACAAAGACTTTTTTCTGCCTCGAGGCAATGAATGCCAAAAAAGAATAAACCCAGAGATAAACGACTTTATTCTTACTTTCAGACACTATGCAATTGCTCCAAGAATTGGATTCCGAGGATATTCTAGATCTGCCCTCCAGTTCTAATAATAATTTTTCGCCTAAGGCTATGGAAAGATCTCTGTACTCGATGGAGTCAAACAAAAGCTCCAACCAAAATACTAGAAGCTCATCTTTTCTTCCGAAAGGTAATCATTTATATTATGCGCAATATAAGGCCATGTGATTTTTTTTTAGGTTGGGAAGTTAGAGTGGATCGTCATAATCGTCTTATTTACGTTGATCACAACCAAAAGAAAACAACCTGGAATCCTCCAGTTCTGTTGGAAAGAGAAATAGAGGAAAATGCAAATATCCCTATTAAGAGTAATCGGAGAACTGTAATGAATATGCCCAAAATATCCAAACAAGACCTCCCAATCGCCGTGAAATTCATTCAGTCATTCGATTTCCACAATAATCTTTACAAAAAACCGGTAAGTGATAGTTAAAGTATTGGGTCGTAAAGAAGATTCGTTCGGTTTTTTATCTGATTTGTTTTATAATCTAAATAATATAATACAAGAATTGTTTGCTGTTTGGCAAAAGGTATTTATTTATTTGATACAGCTTCTCCTCTACGAAACTGCGTTTTTAGTTTTTTTGATAATTTTTTTTCGGTCTCAAAAATGATTATCCAGAAGGCAAAAATTTGCGTTTCCGACACCTGCTTTTTTTCGCCGAGCAACACGTAGACATAAACAGCGCTTTTTGTATCGAATCATCACGGGAGATGAGAAATGGTGTCTGTAGTGAAGCAAAGAAGGGAGTGGGTGGCCCCAGGAGACAGTCAAGCAAGATCTCCACCCAAAAAGGCCATGATCTGCGTTTGGTGGGACTGGGAAGGCATGGTGCATTGGGAAATGCTTGAAAAGACCGCCACGGTCAACAAGGAGCTCTATGTTGTCCAGCTACACCGCGTGAATGAGGCTATTCGACTGAAAAGGCCCGATAGACAAGGCCAAGTCATCTTGTTCCACGAGTCATCTTGCTCCCATGTTGCACAAGTCGTCACCCCAAGAGCTTGAATGGGAGGTTCTTCAGCACCCGCCATCCTCTCGGACCTTGCGCCAACCGATTACCACCTTTTCCGCTCCTTATCAAACCAAATCCGGGGTGAAAAATTCTACGGTGAAGAGGACCTCAAATACTTTTTAGAGCCTGAATGACAAGAAATTAAATTTTCAAAAAAAAAAAACAAAAGACACAGTTCTGTAGAGGAGACAGAGCTGTATCAAATATGTAAACACTTTTTCAAACAACAAAAAAAATTGTAAAACAAAACAATAAAAAAACCGAACAAACTTTCTTTACGATCCGATAAATAAACAGCATTACAGGAAGCTCTGGAATTGTACAATCAAAGCCCATACCTCAGATATCTGCTTCAAAAGTTGAGAAGAAACAAAGCAGAGTTCAGAGAATTAGACACCAATAAAGAACTGATGAGATTCCTGAATATTTTCGCTGATACTACACAACCCTTGCCCAATGGATGGGAAATCGCTGTGAGAAAAGAGGACTCGCAGGTAAAATAATAATAAAATAGGCAATGTAACCAACACCTGCTTAGAGGTTCTTCGTTGATCATAACAATAAAACTATTGGCCTCCTAGATCCCCGACTTCCAATCTCAAATCCTCAACAAATACGGACTAAAATACGATCAAGGAGTGAACCGCCAAAGCAAAATAATGCGATCGTAAGTCAACAAAACCACAAATTTGACTTAATCAGGGCCATGACGTCACCCTTTTGGCATTGGACATCAATAGAAAGAGTAAAGAACTGAAGGCCCTGGTGAAGACAATGATGCCTGAGGTGTCTAGTAAAGTTTGCAAACAATTGGATTACATCAGAGTTCGCGGAGATCTCGGGCTCTTGCAGTATGCCAATGACATTGATTTCATAAAAGCCCTAAGGTAACCGTACAGAATAAAATCTTACAAACTCGTTTAGTCTTATGGAAAAGGCAGAAATCAGTGAAGCTAAAACAAACTTCGAACTCAAATCGGAGTACTTCTACCAATCCTTACAAAGAGCCGGCTATGCTCAGGGACCAGGAAAAATACGATTCAAATTACGAAGGAACAACCTGCTGAACGATGCCTTTGACAAGATCTTGGCAGTAGATGAATTGTATTTGAAAAGATACAAGATGATGGTTTCGTTTGACGACGAAGATGGGTAAGTTTGCAAACCATCACAGAAGATCACCAATAATATTTCAGATTGGATTACGGTGGACCATCACGTGAACTCTTTTTCCTATTATCAAAAGAAATATTCAACCCTTACTATGGCCTCTTTGAATATTCATCTACAGATTCTTACACCTTACAGATCAGTCCGATGTCAAAGTTGGTCGACAATTACATCCAATGGATGAATTTGGCCGGAAAGATAATCGGCTTAGCTCTTATACATCATTGCATGGTCGACACTTTCTTTACAACTCCGTTTTATAAGATAATTCTAGGAATGTAAGCAAATATAATTAATCAAAAATTTGATTTAGACCTTACACTTTGGAGGATCTAAAAGATACAGATCGAGAATTCTATCAATCCCTAAATTGGATAAAGAAAAACAAAACCGATCCTGAATTGGATATGACATTTACAGCTACTAAAGAAGTTGCCGGGAGAATAGGAGAAGTCGAATTAATAACTGGAGGGAAGGATCTGCTAGTAACGGATGCAAACAAGGACCAATTCATCTCTTTGATGCTCAAATGGAAACTGGAAAAGAATGTCGAAGAACAGTTGAAATCTTTCCTTAACGGACTCTTCTCTGTACGCATATATTGTAATCGAAAGTATTGTTTTAGGTGGTAGACAGAGAATTCCTGAGGATATTTGATCCAAACGAACTCTCGTATATTTTATCAGGATCTGTAGAAATCGACCTGAATGATTGGAGGAAAAATACCGAATACAAAGGAGGATTCAGCGACTCTCATCCAGTAATCCGGTGGTTCTGGCAATTCGTTTATGAAATGACAAACTCGGAGAGATTAAAGCTGCTTCAAGTAAGGTCACCCCAACATGTTTGTTTTCACTTCTCTTCAGTTTGTAACCGGGACAACAACAATACCACATGAAGGATTTAAAGCCCTTAGGGGATCTGATGGCCTCAAAAAGTTTACAATTGACCGATGGGGAGATACGACCAGTCTTCCTCGGGCACACACTTGCTTCAATCGACTAGATCTGCCATGTTACACTACTTTCACAATATTGAAAGAGAAACTACAAACCGCGATGACTGAAAGCGTCAGTTACGCAATTGAATAAAAAAATGGACGCGCTTTTCGCCGTCCGCAAAGAAAGTTTTCGCTGTCCGCAAATGAAAAAAAAGTTGCAGAAAAGTGCCCGAGAAGAAACCCAATTTGTTTTTAAAGTAACGACCACTCCTCTAGTTACCAGAAAAACAGATTTATAAAAGATGTACATGTTTTTGTTTTATTAATCACCGATATCATGTACAGTATTAACAGATGTTCTATCCAGTGTGCCTGGCTTCTTTGTGAATTACTCGGAAGTGAGAGCAAAATGCACTGCTAGACGTTTACGAGTAATATCCGAAACTTTCACAACAAATTTGATGCTAAACATTGAGTTATACACAGAGATTGTCACGGCTCCGGAGCCGGCTCTGAGCGGCTCCGGCTCCGAGCCGGGAGCCAGAGCTGGAAATTTTGGGTGCGGCTCCGGCTCCCGAGCCCAAAGTCGGAGCCAGGCTTGCCAGCGTTCAGAAAAGTAAAAATTTCGTGACCTAATGGCTTGAATAATACTGCGGAGGATTTGTTGCGTACGTTTTAGCTGCAAAAACGGTGGCTGTATGATCTCTGGCACCAATAACTTTTATTTTTGGAAAAATATTTAAAAAAAAAAATTTTTTGCACAGGAGCCGGGATTCGGAGCCGGAGATCTTTTTAAATTTTGAACGAAGCCGGGAGCCGGAGCTGCAAATTTGGCCTAGGCTCCGGCTCTGGGAGCTAAGAGCCGGAGCCGAAATTTTGACCGTGGCAATCTCTGGTTATACACAAAAAGATTCTCATTGGCGGACAGTGAAAACTTTTTTGCGGACAGCGAAGTCTTGCGGATAACAAAAAATTGTTCCATAAAAATTGTTTTAGTGAAACTAATGACGAGTAATGCAAAGTGAATAATTATATTCCCGTAAACTTAGCATACTTATGTTGACCTGATCATAAATTATCTCGTAAATACATTTGGCATTATTGTTCCAGGAAGGAGGATGGTTCCATTTCCCCACGACTGAATGTCAAGTCATCATGATTGGGTGCTTCTCGAGGACTGCTCTGCTCGAGAGTCTTGATGTTCTCCCCAAACCAGTGGGATAACCCGTCTTCCAATTGCTTAAGCTGTGTTCGCATTACTTTCAGTCGATTCTCGTCTAACAGCGCTATTTTCACCTGCAAACAGGTTGGGTGTCCAACGCAATATGCTTCTAATAAATTTTATGGAAATGGAGAGAAAAAAGTTTGAAACAGATAATCCCGTCAAAAACCGTGAAAACTAGAGAGAGAGGAACGTAGGATGAGGAACAGCGAAGATTAATATGACATCAAAAATAGAAGCGGGGGATCCAATTCGAGCATAAATCAGACAAAAAGTGGCCAAGATTCATATCCGAAATCAATAAAATCAATCGTAAAGGTAATTGGAACCACCTTCTCTATTACACTGACAATCAAAACCTGGAAATGGAAGAAAATGACTCACCCGGACATCTTCTTTCAGTTGTTCATACTTCTTTTTGTGTTCATTACATCTACTTTCCACATCAGGAATCTTGGTTTGATCAGCATCGACGTTCTGTTTTAAAGTGCTCAGCTCATGTCTATACACATCGAACTCCAATCGAGCCTTAAATTGAACTATATAGCCTATTTGTATTGACAATACCTGTTCATAAACCTGGATGGTCCACATCGTATCTTTGATAGTCTTATTGCTCAAAGTCTCCAACGAGGACACAAAATGTCCTATCGATTTAATTAAAGCATCTCCATTATGACTAAACGAGCGGAGAACTTCACTTCGGTCTGTCAGGGTTTGTTTGAGGTCGTTTTCTTTGAGCGATAGCTGATATAAAGACTCGGAAAGGATTCGTTGAGAGTTGTTAAGAGCTTGGATATGGTCTGAATATGTTTTCGCTGCATTAAGTACATCTTTATAGCGATTGTGGAGGTCTTTGAGGTTGTTTATCCGTTGATCCATGTCACTGTCCACCGTTTTTTCTACCTAAATTAAATAAGATCGATTTTCATAGGGCATTTACTTTTCCAAGTTGTTCGAACACCGATTGTTTTGTAGTCTTGAATCTATTTACGGTCCAGTTCTTGAAGGACTCTACTTTTGCCGCAATCTGGGCCATCTCCGGACTAAAATCAGATTAAATCACGGAACATTTCTATTACTTTGTGCATATTTTTGTCCGTGTATTGCCATTGATCGTATCATCATTTTGGTCCTCCTGAACTGGCTCCAACTCAGCTATTTCATTATTTGGAGGTGGCATGGATACTTCTGTAAAATCATAAGGAGTGGAATCATCCCTTTGAACGTTAAGACAAAATTCAAAATAAAAAAAATTACTTGTTTCCTTGGCATGTTTTGAAGGCGGCGCATCTTCAGACATCATTTTGCCGACACGCGTATTTGACGTTTCAAACTTTTTTTTGAAAAATTTATAAAAATTTTTTTGAGATAAAGAGTTTTAGAAATTTCGCGAGTCTCGAAACGAAAACAAGTTTGTTACTTGAAAAAAGAAATGCTTTTCTCCAAAAACGCTTGTGCTTGATCGATTTTAATAAGAAATGTCCAAGTAGAATTGTGTTTTGACCGTAATTTGTTTCCCATTAATTTTCAAACGCCTTTTGATATTTTCGTTTTACCGTTTGAAGCGAATTCCGTTTTTTGAGAGCAAATTGTCTTACTCATTTGTTTTTTTGTTTTAGTCCGGACGGTTGATTTACCTTCAAGAAATGGCATCGAAAGACGAGAAAAAGGTAATAACACAGATGAAGAAGAAGAGAAGGAAGAATAAGAATAAGGTATGCTTTGAAAAATTACTTTAGTTCTTGGTTTAGGTCCTCTGCATTTATTTATACCAGTTATATAGCTTTTTTGACGACGTGAAAGAAAACTGATTTAACCGTAGGAAACGTTACTGTGTTTATTATTTTTTGCTTCTTGGGATGTCATGAATATAAATTACTTTTCTGATTATTATAAAATGCCTTTAAGCTAAATTCCTTTGAAGAGATGCTTTTTATTCCAATTAAAAAGAGCTGCGAAACTAAGAAATAATTTTTCATTTTTTTGAATGCTTTTATTTTTTGAGTCTGGTATTTTCCTTTATTTGTTTTTTTTATTAATACCAAGTTTGAATTTTTTGTAATTTCAGAACAATACAAACCAAGCCGGAGGACCTCCGAAAATTGCGTAAGTTTGCTGTTCTTTTTTCCGATTAGCACTTTGCTCTTCGATTAGCGCCCCGAAAAAACTTATTAGAGCGTGAAGGAATGGGAGGGTTTGATAAAGTCGGAGTGAAATCCGAGGATCGGCCGGAAGTCGTATCTATCTTCTCCATGAATGTTTGTGTTCGGGAAGGCGGTTGCGCACTGGTTGAAGAGGAACAGGCTTTCGAGGTTGACCTCACCTGTGTTTGGCTCTCTCCGCACGCCTGCTCCCGTCGAACCAACTGCTCGTTCGGGTCTGCACTCTTTAAGCCCCCAGGGTGACTGACTGGCTTGGATATGTTTCGTCCCGTTTGAAATTAAGCTGGATGTTTGCGATTCTGTTGAGTAAATGGCTGGGTCGACGGACTCAGAATGCCGAACCAGAAGGGTCGGGCATGGCCGGGTCTCTCTACAACACCCCGCCGTCTTCTCCAGAGCCCCCAGACCGCGCGAAACTCTCGCTTACAAATTCCCTGTCGTCGAATGATTTTTTCGACGCCAAGACGGTCTCCATCGAAGAAGAGGCGTCGACTCATGACTCAGCTCTCCTACCCACTTTAAATACATCTGACGCCACCTTCTCCTTTGACTCCAATGACCTGCTCGCTTCGCTCGTTTCGGACTGTTCCGTCACATCGGAGTTCCTGAAACAGGAAGATCTCAGCCTATCCGCCATTGAAATGACACCGACGCTGCATCTCTATGTGAGCGCCTTCATCCAAGATATTATCCATCCGCATTACGATCTCCTCGAAATGGTTCGAGACGACCAGGTCGTTTTCGATGTTTTGAATTCAATCTGTGAGAGGGTCGAGATAGAACAAGTGGATAAAACGGACTCAAGTCAAGAGGATGAAGCCGATAAAGAGCCGAGTCAGGCTTCTTCCATTAAAATGGAGCCGGGCAGAAGTCAGGAGAGTACGGGGGAGGTTTCCTCGATGGAAAGTAGTGATGATGAAGGGAATATCAGTGAAAGTGATAGTGATTCTAGTGAAACTGAGTCTTCGGAATCTGAATCTGTGATCTCTAACCGGTGAGGAATCGTATGAGCAAAGTGTTATGAGGAATCCTTTTTATGTATTTTATATCTCATATTTTTAGGGAAAATGCGAACGGTGTCTCCAAAAAGGGTCAGAAGAAGCGTCATTCATCCGGTGGAGCTGTAGACCGATCTGCATCTCCAGTCCGACAACTTGAACACGAGCTTAACAGAATTGATCAGGATGGAAATTACATTCCCGAAGATGCTTATAATAGTTACCAAGACGATCTTTCGAGCTTGGAAGATCCTCCATCTCCAGCTGGAAGTGAATCGCCCCTTCCTTACGATGACCAGGCATTGGTTGATGTAAATTTTTTATTTATTTGAATTATTTGCGGTTTAGGACCCGGCGAATGGAGATGCCCCTGAAGAACAAGAGGACCCTCGTGACTACTGTCCCGGTGGTTATTACCCAGTTCAAATGGGAGAGGTCTTTAACGGCCGATATCACGTGATCAGAAAAGTTGGCTGGGGTCATTTCTCAACTGTCTGGCTATGTTGGGACACTCAATCAAAGAGATTTGTCGCTTTGAAGATTGTAAAATCAGCTGAGAACTACGCTGTTTCTGCTGCGGATGAGATTACAGTAGGTTGTTTTTATTCTGTATTTTCCCCTTATTTATTTTTGCAGATATTGAGCGAATGTATGGACAAGGGTCCCCATCCTGGCAAAAGCCGCATCATCGAGTTTCTGGATAGTTTTAAAGTATCGGGAGTGAATGGAGAGCACACTTGCATGGTGTTTGAGGTGCTCGGATGCACTCTTCTCAAGCTCATCATCAGAACTAATTACTCAGGTCTTATGCTGAATCATGTTCGCATCATTATCAAACAGATCTTGGAAGGACTTTCGTATCTTCACGACGAATGTAACATTATTCACACAGATCTGAAGCCTGAGAATGTTTTGGTTGAAATGACTCATTCTGAGATCAGGAAGATGGCTAGTGACACCATCATGCGGTTGAATTGTGGCCTTAAACCCGATATTACAGAGACTTGTAACATGTATAAGGTGAGGAAATTAGTTGCTCTAAAATGATTATTTATTTAGCCCGATGAGAAGAAGATGTCTAAGAACAAGAAGAAAAAGTTGAGAAAACGTAAGAAGAAGCAACGGGAGGTGCTTGAAAAACAGCTTTATGAAGTAGAAGGCCTAAACATCTCCATCACTGATGATCAAGGAGACATGGAGGCGTCTCAGACCGAAGTTTTGGAATCTTCAGCCATCCCTGACTATCTTTTGAATGATTCCATGCCTTCTATACCTCGAGTGACAACACTTAATCTCCCAAATACGGATAATTGTGAGAATTCAAATGATAAGTCAGGAAAGAAGAAGAAGGTAAGTAGTTTGTATATTGGTTTATATCCGTTTAGAAGAATAAGAAGAACGGGAAAGTAAAGGAAGAAGAATCAGAGACAGAGGAGCTCCAAAAGAATGGAAAGTATCATCATGCGCTATCTCATCTTATGGGAACTTCGCCATTTAATTCACCGAGAACGGAAGAACCTGAGGAAGCCATCGGAGAGGAGCCTCCGCTGAAAGTCAAGATTGCTGATCTTGGTAATGCATGCTGGACGGTAGGTATTTTTTGTTTTGTGATGTGATATATCTTCTTTTCTTATCGTACTTTTTGAAGACTCAACATTTCACGTCGGAGATTCAAACACGGCAGTACCGCGCATTGGAGGTCATCATCGGAGCCGGTTATGACACAAGTGCTGACATTTGGAGTGTGGCTTGTATTGCTTTTGAATTGGCCACTGGAGATTATCTATTTGAACCTCATGGAGGGCAGACATATGGAAGAGATGAGGATCATCTTGCTCATGTCATCGAACTTCTGGGAATGATTCCGCCTTCTATATTCAAGAAAGGAAAATATTGGCAGCAATATTTCAACAAGGTGAGTTATGAAATGATGTTTTTATTATATCATTGCAGCTCGGAGGTCTTCTTCACATTCCTAATCTCCGACCTTGGTCCCTACATGATGTCCTGGTTGAAAAGTATCAATGGCCAGAACATCATGCCCGGGGCTTTGCCGATTTTTTGGTACCGATGTTAGAATTTGATCCAGAAAAAAGAATTAGCGCAACCGAAGCCCTGAAGCATCCCTGGATTAACACCCCGATCTCAGAAGACCCTTCCAACTCTACTTATTATGTTCCCCAAGAAAATTTTTCGCCTCCCATGCCCCGAAAATACTCAATCTAAGTACTTGAATGTCATCTCGAGCATTTGATAACCTCCATTGACTCTTTCTATTGGTTTTTATGTCTGTGTTTGTTCATTGTAATTATTGATGAAGTAATTTGCTTGACCCGTACCCCATCCACGAGCTCATATTGCAGCGTCTGTCTTCGATTTCTTCTTCTCAGTACTGCGGGTTTTCATGTACAGCAGCTCAATATCTGTCGTCATAATGTTGTATTAGAGGACGTCGATTTGTTTGTTTTTTTGATCGGCGATAGATGTCCTTGCTGTTCATGGTGATAGGAGACCTTCTCTCCGAGAAAACGCCTTGAAGAGGGATGTCCCGGGGAGACCAGGTGAAGAATTACCGAAGGCGTAAACATCTTTTTGACCATGTTCCAGATCCTTCTCTCCCAACGACTCATTTCAGGGCCTTTTTTCTTTTTAAATCTTATGATAATTTTATTCTCTCTGGTTATTTGGTATGTATACATGAGTGTTTGTAAAGTATATTTTATGATAATGCATAATTGTGTGGGACATTCAAATGTCTAAGGTTGTACAACGACTTATCGTTGAATCTCTTACACGCGTCAGTGTGTCATGGAGAAGGTTCCCGATGCCCGGAAGGTCAGCTCGTCTTAGATTGGCGGCCTTTCTTCCCGATGATCTTATCCTCGTTTTTGGGACGTTCATCTCTTCATGACCGGTTTGTATTAGCGTTCGTAACTAGTCATTACTTTCATCGTGTTTTCCATATTCTTATATAAGTTTTCTTCTTTAATCATTGATATATAAATACAAGAATCAGAAAATTCGATTGATTGCTTTGTTTGGAGTTTGGTTGTAGACGTTTTTGCATTACTTTACAAGTATTTGTGGGAATTTCATATATAATACTTGAGGTTGAAGTTTAATTTTTTCTCACTTATTTCGATGACGCCGGCCAAGTTCGTCCGTTGACGCACTTGACTATGCGGGGGATCCTAATGGCAGACCGAGCCCCCACTCCGTATTCGATGCCATAGGAAGAAAACTCCGCCCCTTCTCGTCCACCCTTTGGCGGATTGGTTTGGCTCTCATCTGAAGTCATTCTTTGCACCAAAAGACTATGTCGTTGTGGGCGGCTAAGGGCTCGAGCAGACGGGCTTGGACCTCCTGGCTCACCTGCTTCTGTCTGATCATCTGTTATCTGATGGTTATGGTCACTGCCGAGTTTGAGAAGGCAGAACAGCCCAAGAGGGGGAACGCTCTGCTTTCGAGGTACGGTCGCGCTGTTCTTTCACGATATGGAAAACGTTCAGCACCCAACTTTTTCGAATCTGATGTTCCTTTTGATGGAATTGCAGGTGGGTTGGGGTACGGAAGTATAAAAGATGAAGGGAATTACTCAATTCGGGACGGATTGGACCTGGTTTAATTAAACGGGCTTACCATTCTGTTTACAATGCGGAGGGAATGCCTTGCACTAATTTCAGGCTGGGAGCTGGGATTGGGAGAGTAGGAAGGTCTCTGACGTCATGTCTCAAAAACTGACCTTATCTTTAATGTAATCTCATATTATTTTTTCTCTTATTATTAGAGGGTGTTGATTTGAATTTATTTCAAGAAAATTTTGGATTTATTTTCATTAAATTTATTTCAATACTTGTTCGAAAACAGTTTATCTCATAACCTACAAGGACATCTATGATGTGGTTATCTGTCATACTGTATTATCTTCCCTGAGGGTCTTGCAACTTTTGGGAGACGCTACATATTTTGGATAATTTGATTTGGAGATGGCTCTATAATCCAATATTATCTTATACTTGCGAATGCGAAAATATTTTTAGAGGAATGGTTGTTGTGCCGGCGAGCCCCGAATGACATGCTCCAGTGTTTGCCCACGCCCTTGTACCACTACTAATACCACTAACAACGGTACTAATACTACAACAACGGATCAGCCAGATTACAGCGTCGCCTGATGTCTTCGTTATTTATTTTATTTTTCTGGAAGTGCGGTGTCGGAAGTGTAATTGTAAAGAGTTTTAAATTGTATGCAGTGGACTTTATCAAGTTGATGTAAAACCTGTAACCATGTGATGAGACAACTTCACAAGACGTTTTAGAGAGAGAATGTGATTTATTAGAGATTCATAAACATTTTTACAGGTTTTGCAGCCAATCTTACACCAAAAAACATTACTTTCAGAGAGTTATTCTCGAAATGAGGTCCATAAAGTCTTTTGACCCCCGGCGGTTCGGCGGAACTAATTAGAAACACAAAAATTAACTCAGAACCGGGGCATGGCCCTAACTTCTGCCAGGGTCCTATCGATCTTGTCGAGGAAACGGTCGCGCGGTCTGGTCGTCAGCTGAACAAAATTGGAGCCAACGATCCGGGTGTCTTGTCGTTGAACGTACGGATGTTGTTGGTACATGTAAGGGGATAGAGGAGAGCTGTTAAAGTCTTTATAATCTACTAACATTTGTCGATCTGTTCGCCTCCAATCATCCTCCTTCTTTTCGTTATACGAATCATAGGCACCCTAAAAATAAAAAAAGGATAAAGTAAAAGCCTGATAGATGATATTGAAAAGAATCGACGCTTACTTTGTATCCTTCAGTTGAGTATCGAATAGGGGCGGTCGTACTGTTCTTGAGGGCAAAATATTCACTGGAGGTCTTCGGATTATAGACTGGATATTGACGATAACTCCGTTCCGTCGGAGATGAGATGCCCAATTCGGAATACATTCTTGGAAGAGCATCATCGTAAAGGATCTCATGGTCCACTGGAAGGATAAAAAAATTCAAAAAAAGCGTATGATAATAATAATGTTGCACTTACAAGAATCGTCTAACGCCTCCTTCCCCAGATGTTCTTCCATTTTGAGAAGGGCTGAAGCGCTGACCTTTGGATCTCCAGTCAATCCGCAAGCCCCTGCTGGTAGTTGACCATTACTCTGTTGATGGTAAGTATACGGCCCCGCATTGGCAGTAGTATGATTGGCGTTCTCGGATCCTGGTCGGAAGATACTTTTCACATAGTTTTCGAACCCCTGGCTTACAGGTCCTCCGGGCAAGATGTCTCGGTCGAATCTAGTGGTATCCAATTCCCGTGGGGGCTTCCGTTCGCGCCATCCCAAATATTCTGACATAATTTGAAGGAAATGAACAGGTCCACACGTGAATTCAAAAGGGAATAGAAGTTCCAACCGGCCGATCGGACCAGCTGCGATCTCTAGAGGGCGTTGAACAGGGCATTCGGCTGCGAGATTTCGTTTTTTATAACGAATGGAGTGGCAAACGAAAAGGCCTACGTTCGGATCGCCAAAGATCTGTTTGTCATTGCACCTCCATGCATAATTTCCTTGAAAAAACTTTTGTCAGAGGACTGTGCTCTGTGTGTTTCGCAAAACAAACATCATTCTGATAAAAGATATTCGATTGCCGTTATCATGGAAATAAAATTGTGGGCGTATTGCGAAATATTTGTTAATGAACAGCCACATGAATCACCGCAAGATTTACGAGACTGCCGTCAAGTGCGAGCAAATTGCAATTTAATAACTGATAATTTAGCACGGAAACTTAGCGTCAAAAGATTACACTAATTGTAAAATACCCGTTGGAAAGATTTTAGGATTTTTTTTGACGGATCAAAACATCAAAGGTATGTGAAACATTGAACGTGATATTATGAAAGATCAGAGTAACCTTTTAAGGTCTTTAAAATAACTTCACAAACTCAGCAGGAAACAATTAAAAAGGCATTGAGATCAACTCGGAATGGCAACGTTTTGAAAATGGCACAAGTGGCACAACACAAAAGAAGGATGACTAATAAAAAACGTTACAGGACGAGCAGAAGAACAAACAAAAGCGGAAGGTCTGCGCGTCGACCTCTCCCTTCCGCCTTTCTCTTTCAACTCTTATCTGTTCAGCACCAAATCAACACAAAAATTCGGCCGGATGCCGTTTATTTTGTCTAATAATTTGTATGAATGAACATCAATCCTTTCAAGCATTGCCAGGAATACATCCCGGACAAGGATGATAAATATATTGGATGCCTCAACTTTACGAATAGCGAGGATCCTTGCTGGTATCTGAAGGTAATCGCATTAGAGTTACGAAATTTCTAGGATTAACTTTTTACTTTGTAGACAATGGATTGCCTCCTTTATTAATTTTATTAACTTCAGGAGTTACATCGTGCAAAAGGATTTCGACAAGTCTCGTTGGCGGTGATTCCATTTATTCTGTCCAGTCTTACATTGCTTTTTAACGTCCTTTTTATTTATGTCGTCCTCAAATTGGTATTTCACAGGGGAAAAAGGTAAATCCTATATTCTAAAATTATGCGATTACTTTTACTCACAAGTCTATAAAAATAATTTTTTTACAGTTCTCGAAAACGTTACTCATTCCTTATTAACCGTGCCATCAGTACTCTAACTACTCAACTGCTCTTTTATGTTCTTTTAATTATTTGGAAAACTGGTGGTTTAATATACTGGACTTCTTTTTTCTTGTTGTGTCTTGGTGGAATCAGCGTTTTTACCCATGCTGGCACTTATATTGTGATGACATGGTTGTTATACGAGGCTGTTACTCGACCTTTATGGTATAAGACCAAGGTTGTGATGAAGTTTTGTTTGATTTGCATAACTGTAATTTGGTCGGTGTCGTGTATTTTATCGGTATGCTCTTTGAATATCTTCACTTTAATTAAAATTTATTTTAAACTTTTTGTAGCCGGCTACTTTCAGCTTGGTCTTGGACTTGTTCTGGCGACCTTATTCTACCCGGAAACCTCCCCATTCTTCTGTGATTACTATACTTGCCAATTCCCGGTATTCTTTTGTTTTGTGGTAGTAATCTCAATCTCCTACTTCTCCGTCATCTTCTTCTATGGATTTATGTTGATCAGAATCCGAATGAAACCAGAATTCCATCATTCCGTGGAAGGTGATATCACCGTGACAAGAAACATGAGGACTTTACGGCGGCTTGCCTTAAATCTAATAACCTTCAGTATCTGGAAGATACCTCTTTTAATTGTCGGCATCTTATCTTTGGCTGAATTAGACGATCTTAGACAACTTGGATATGACCAGAAGAGTTCTTGCAAAACATTCAAAAACGCAAAACTATATTACAAAGCAGAAATGTTTGGAAGTATCGCCTTATGCCTGTGGCTGTTAGGTGAGTAGAAAAAATTATGTCTCTTATTTTATGAAACTGCTTTTAGGGTTGGGAATGGACCCCATAATCAACATAATCATCGACCCTCCGCTCTGTAACTACCTCAGATACCGTTTCTGGCATTACGTCAACGTTTGCATGACGTTTTTCACCGACTCTAAGAAACCCGAGAAGACACAACAAAGCGAAGAAACGTGCTCTGGAGAGTTTTAGGGATCTCGACCCAACTTTTACGCGCATAAAAAAACGGATTTGACCCACTAAACCTATGTAAAAGTAGAGCGACTCTGGATTACTTCAGTCTTCTCGGAAATGAAACTTGTTATATTGCTGCTGTTTTCGTTTATTATTGGTTATGCCGTTGCACGGCCTAAAGTCGAGGAAAAGGATGAGAAAAACCCTGGTAAGTATACATTATATATTACTATAAATAAGTGTTTAATTGTTCGTTAATGAAAAATCGATACAACTGTAATTTTTTCCAATGTAATTTTTGTAATATCCGAACAAAAATATTTTTAGATAATGTTGGTCTGACCAAAATGGATTCCGCAGAAATCGAATCTCTCAAAAATGTTGTCGATGGTCCCATTCCTGAAGCTGTAGACAAAGATGGCCTGATGAAAGAAGAAGAACCTAAAGTGGTAGAAGAAGATGAGGAGATAACTACTACAACTCCGGCTCCAAAACCAAAGTCAAAGAAAAGAAGGAAGCATCGTCATCACAAAAAAATTGTGACAACTACAGCCATGCCATCGGAAGAATTAATGGAGGACGGAGAAGGCGATGATGACGAAGAAAAGGGGAAAAAAGCAAAGAAAGAAAAACCGGAAGACGATTGGAACAGTGGCGAGAACGCCAAGGATTTCCTCGACTTTGCGGGCCCCATGCCCGAATTAAACGACTTCGAGCATCAATTAAACATGAAAGAAGTCAAATTCAGCAGCTAGATTAATAATATTTGGATGTAATTACTAATAATAAAACCATATTATAGTAACCCATGCCTTTTCATAATATTTATTGAGATTCTACTAACAGATAGTCAAACATAAATAAGGAGATCGAGATTGATCCATTTTTTGTACAAATAAAGGAGAGTGGGGTCGGGCGAAAGACAAAAGATGAAAATTAATGGCTCTGAGCGAACAATTATTATAGAAAACGAAAAAAGGGAAGGACGGGTTCGGTTCTTGAGATCTTTCCTGTCACACCCGCCGTCTCTTTTGTTCCATTGTCAAGAAACCCGTAAAACAACAGCAACAAGGAATGCCACGTTCAAAACGTTCAGAAACGACGTCGTCGATCGAGGTCGCCGGCTGTCAGTTGGCGCATTAGTCTCTCGTTCAGCTCGAAATTTGTTTGCAGAAGCAGAGCGCGGTCGATCACTTTCACCTGAAAACATTATTGATGCCATTTGAGATGAAGGACATGAATTTTAAGCATTAAATATTACCTTAGGTTTGACCAACTTGAAAAGAGGATGAACTGGGATTGGAATCCCGTCCTTTAACAAGTCATTCACCATTCTCTGCAATACTTCTCTGGCCAATAAGACGGCGTCATCAAGTTCATTTTGCAAGAGAATTCCCGGTGACATTGTCGTCTAAAATTCTCTGTCATCTATATTAAATTAAGGCCAAAACCATCGCAAAAAATCATACCAATTTGATTCTGTCTAGAGAAATCTTTGGTCTAACCATCGAACTCGACAGTCTCATCTTCATCTGTGCATCCACATCAATCTTCATCTCAGCCACCAACTCCTCCGCCTTAGTTTGGGGATGAACAACAAGGATGGCGATCCGCCCAATCAAAGCAAATTTAATTCCACCGGAAGAGGCGGGATGGAACACAATAACAGGGGCTTGGAGAGTGTTGAAGAACAGTACCAGACGTCGGTCTGGATAGGTCTTTCTGAGAGTGGGGAACAAGTCTCCCAAACAGAACAACATTCCGGTAGACAGAGAACAAGTGGTCTTCATGATGGGACCAAAGTGAGGAGTTGTTGGATCCACTCTTGTTTTAAACAGGCCGATTCTTAAAGGACATTTCAAAGTATTAGTATATTTGAAAGGTTAAACAATTCGAAAAACTTTGACTCTTACGTATGCCCATGATACATTAAGGAGTTTGGCATGTAATCAGACACAATCATCTGAAGCATAGAGTCCTCATGGACAGATTCAGGCAATGGAGCTGGAACAGGGCCGAATGGTGTACCTCCACGGCCTCGCAACGAAACCTCACCACTACTCTCAATCTCCAAACCAAGATTGGTCACTTTGAGATCAGATTTAATCGTGTAATCCAAGAAGAGAGCATCCATGTGAGACTGAATTATAGAAGTATTATAACTTAACATTGTTTCACTCTACCACGTTGAATCCGGGAATTACTCCGGCATCGCGTTTCTTCCTTCCCCAATTCCCAAAGTCCATGTTGGGCATTGTCATACCAGCTCCCATATTAGGCATTCCAGCGTTTATATTGGGCATTTCCCATCCAGGTGACCTCTTCTTTCTTCCAAGACCAGCTCCAAGATTGAGTCCCATAGGAAGACCAATACCAGCGCCAAGATTACCGGGATAATAAGGGGCATTTCTTTTCTTTCTTCCCCATGAATCCATGCCTATCTCTGGGAATCGTAAATTTGCTGCCATATTTGGCATACCAGCATTCATGTTAGGCAATTCCCATCCAGGAGATCTTTTCTTTCTTCCCCAAGAGTTCATGTTCATCTCCGGCCACCTCATATCGACTCCCATATTGGGTGACATGCCTGACAATCCATTCATACTGGGCAACTCCCATCCTGGAGACCTCTTCTTTCTTCCTAATCCAGCACCCAGATTCATTCCCATGGGCAAGTTCATTCCAGCGCCCAGGTTACCCCATGGGGCGTTCCTCTTCTTCCTTCCCAGTCCAGCACCAAGATTAAAACCCATGGGCAAGTTCATTCCAGCGCCAAGATTACCGGGATATGGATGACGTCTTTGTCTTCGGGCCCTTAAACGATCGGCCAAGTCCTTAATCAACTCGTCATCATTAATATGGGCCAATGTAACTTTAGGTGACAGTAGTCCAAAACGATCGTTGATTCGGTCTTCAACGATAAACTCAACGCGGGCACAAAGGAAGCCTTCGAAGATGTCATGGGCCTCTGCTTCAAGCGTCTTCTGCGTCGATTGTAATCACAGTCAATGTTCCTACTTACCGTCAAGTCTTCATCCGGAGCTTCCGTCGTCATGGTCACGATAAAGGCCTTGTTAGCGACCTTGCAGCTCTTCAATCTGATGTTAGGAGCCCCTTGAGTGGTTCTGGTTGGAACTACTTCCAGATCCAGGGTGATGGATTCGGATCCAATTTTAACCGTTCCTTTTTCTTCCTGGGCCGCATTTGTCAATCTGGCCGATACTCTTCAAAAGAAATCATAATCAGTAACTTCAAATTGAGAACTCACTTTAAATCAAGACCAACAAATGACACGAGAATCGTATCTGGAGGTTGAATATCAGTTGTCAAATTGTGTCGAGAACTCTTGGCGTTTATCGTCATATCAGCAAGGAGAATTTTCTCATTTCCGACCTGTACCGTATTTAAATGCATAACTAATTGCACTTACATTCAGATTCTCGGGATTTAGAGTTAACGGGGCAGTAACAACTTCAGTAATTAAAGCACCGGAGAGTATTTGACTAACATATTGGACACCTTTCTTTGAAAGCCGGGCTTTTGTGCCAGCACCACCCTAAACAAAGTTGTGTAAACAAAAGCTGATGACTGAAAATAAGTAAAACAATACTTACAATATTCTTCTCATTGACTAGTAACTGAGGGACATTTAATTCGGCGTCAACTTGAGACCATACTAGCGGTATTAGAAGCCATATCTTTAAAAAATAAGTACTGTATTTTTTTTGGAAAAATCTTGATTTTTTAATTAAAAAGAACTTACATAACCACGAAGCATTCCAAGACTCCTGACACTTGAATGAACCCGAATGAGTCTGACAATTAAGGAGAACAATGCTCTTATATCAAGACCCGGTTGCAACATAAGAGGAGGAGCAAAATTTTATAAACGAAACAACAAAACATTGTTGACCCCTCAGGCTAACGGAACGTTCTGTCGTTGTCGTTGACTCTCCCTCCATTCAAGACGGTGATGGTGATCAGTTGTTTGAGCGGAGTGCGCGCTCTTAAAATCATTTTTTTAATTCTTTTTTCGCTTCAGGACAAAGAGAAACAAACGGGCTCCAAAAACACAAGCAAACGTGTTTGCGGGGCAGATTTTGATGCAGACTTGTTTCAGATTATACCTAATTACAAGTCTAATTGGGATCGAATTTGAAGCCGAAAACAAAAAAAATTAAAAATCATTCATTTTGGATGATTTTGACAAGTTACATTCGTCTATCTTCAAAACGATGATTTATAACACAGTTGTTGTTCTCAGACATTGAAAAAACAACAAATAAATTTAAGCTTGGAGCTAACTGATCGTTAAGACACAAGACTTGATTTAAAAAAAATACATCTGGAGTATTCAATTAAAGAGTGTTCAAAAACAAAGAGAAACGAGCAAATAAACATCTTAGAAGACTGATATCGATGGCGGCGGTATGACTAATCAGTGAATTAACCAATACATTTATCATTTATGTTGCGTGTAGTTCGCGTAACATCATTCGGAAGGGAACATTCGCTGGTGTCAGGTGTTCCTTTATCGTCACCATGCCCTTCTCCCGTTCAGCTGATCTCGGCAAGTTTTGAGTTTTTTGAGTTTTGTTCTCTTAGATTTCAAAGTTTCCCTTAGGCCGTTTTCAACGGAAAATACCTTTCCTATCACTCAGGTGTCCAATTTCAGTATGTGGGTTGATAAACACGTAAACGAAAGTTGACATAGGCCTATAATACATGCATGTATTTATTACATGTACCGTTGGATATGTAATATGCATATGTCGCATTTAAGAGAGACCATTGTTGTTATTTTCGAATTAGCATATTTGTATTGAAATCTGTTATTTTAAAGTGCCTGGAGATTAGAAAGATTAAAGAGTGTCAGAGACCATTGGTCTGATCACTCTTGGCCTTTTTATCTGACCCATCTTTCCACTTCCGCTTTTTAAAAATTCCTTGCATGTTTGTTTTTTACAAATGAGTTGCCAAAAGCGAACTTTAATCAGATCAATGTTAACGTTGACTCCATTAAAACTCCCTCCGCTCAGATCGCTCATCAAAAATGCAAACTGATTTCAATTCGAATACCGCGGCTTTCCAGAGAATCACATACCCTAAACCTGAAGGCGGGTCTCTTCTTTTCTCTTCTCAAAATTAATGATGTTCACAATCTTGTGGGGATTTGCGGGTGAAGAAAGGGACGCGAGACGTCATAATATTTATTTTATTTTACATCCAAACCAATCGATGGGCCTTTTCCGACGATTTAAACCGTATTTACGTGTTTGGAGCTGGTGCGCGAGGTCGTCCAGAAGAAAAAAAGGAGGGGGAGGCGAGAAGTAAGGGCGAAGGGACAAAAACTCAAGTAAAGAAAACGGTCCTTGTCTGTCGCTTAAAGTGATCAATGTCCTCCCACGGGCCTTGAAATCGAATTATTTCGGGACTATGTGTATTCCAGAAAAGTCATGTTTGATGAGGGTAAGGAGCGGAGGGATATCTGATATCTTTGTGTGCCCAATTTTTTTGAATTTTATGTGAGCTTCTAAATACTTTTTAAAGAAAAAATTTTATATTTGTAACCCAAAAAGTTTGTTTAAAAGAGACTTCGCCAGTTGTGGAAGGAGGGTCTGCCCTAGAATTTGACCCCCACTTTTTTCTGTCTCATCTGATGACATATGGGCTGTTAAACAATTTGGTGAATTTTTTTCGAAAAATTCGTCATCATGGCCGAGGTATGACACATTTATTGAATTTTGTTTAATGTGATATATTGTGCTAATTTATCGCCGAAACATCGCAGAACTGAGTACACATACGTTATAGGCCATGCTGAACAACTTTGTAATTGACCCCAAGTTTGTCAGGTTACTTTAACATACCGTAACGCCCATGCTTGATCAATAAATCTCGATTTTCTCGATTTTTTTCAATAATTTTCTCGGAATTTTTTTGCATTTTTGGAATCAGCATCAAATTCTGCATCGGATAGACTATATGCGCATCTCCAGATAGGTGTACAAAAATGTCGTGGCGCAACCGGTAGTGGGTCGGACTACCATTCAAAAGGTCCCGGGTTAGAGTCCGGGTGGAAGCAAAAATGCTCAAACGCGCTGGAAATTGTACCAAAACAGTTTCAATCTATTAGAACGGTGGTAAAAATAAATAATAATTAACATTGTTCCCTAAAAAGGCTAAATTTTGGATCTTACGAAATTTTTGAAAATCATGATTTTTGTGGGCCCAAATCTGCCGAAGAAATGAAAATTTTTTGTAAGCGATTTTTTTGTTTAGAAACAACGCATGGCACATAGAAAGACTATTCCTCAAAGGATTTCGTTCAGTTTTGCCCAAAACACCAAAAAAAATTCGTATTTTGGCATTTGATAAAAAATTGAAATAATGACTTTCAGGAGCCCTTACGCGGAATCGTTTCCAATTTTATAGAGCAGTATTTTGCGCTGCTTTCAAATATCTTTCTAATAGCCGCGAAAATTTTCCACAAAAAATTTTACATTTGAAAATTTGTAGATATTCACATATTTCATGATGTTACAGTATTCAATCTTGTAAAATTTGCTAAGAATTCGACTCCCCATAGTGGAAAACATGTGTATCCACGGTTGAATGACGTCACTTCGGCTTACTGGGTTCTGGCGGTGCTCTCCGATTAAAACGAAAAAGTTCAACTTTTTGGTGTTTTGGGCTAAACTGAACGAAATCCTTTGAGGAATAGTCTTTCTATGTGCCATGCGTTGTTTCTAAACAAAAAAATCGCTTACAAAAAATTTTCATTTCTTCGGCAGATTTGGGCCCACAAAAATCATGATTTTCAAAAATTTCGTAAGATCCAAAATTTAGCCTTTTTAGGGAACAATGTTAATTATTATTTATTTTTACCACCGTTCCAATAGATTGAAACTGTTTTGGTACAATTTCCAGCGCGTTTGAGCATTTTTGCTTCCACCCGGACTCGAACCCGGGACCTTTTGAATGGTAATCCGACCCACTACCGGTTGCGCCACGACATTTTTGTACACCTATCTGGAGATGCGCATATAGTCTATCCGATGCAGAATTTGATGCTGATTCCAAAAATGCAAAAAAATTCCGAGAAAATTATTGAAAAAAATCGAGAAAATCGAGATTTATTGATCAAGCATGGGCGTTACGGTATGTTACAGTAACCTGACAAACTTGGGGTCAATTACAAAGTTGTTCAGCGTGGCCTATAACGTATGTGTTCTCAGTTCTGCGATGTTTCGGCGATAAATTAGCACAATATATCACATTAAACGAAATTCAATAAATGTGTCATATCTCGGTCATGATGACGAATTTTTCGAAAAAAATTCACCAAGTTGTTTAACAGCCTATATGTCATCAGTTGAGACAGAAAAAAGTGGGGGTCAAATTCTAGGGCAGACCCCCATTTGAGCCTGCTTCAGCAACTCGCGAAGTGTCTTTTAAACCCATTTTAAAGTTTAGTTTGACCGAGTTTTCCGAAAGTCGCTCCAATCTTGCATTGTTTTGTATGGCTGAAAGCTGAACTCGGTTTAAACTCCATTCGGATTACTTTTTGAACGCTTCAAGCACATGTACAAAAAAGAAAAATGACTCAGCTGAGGTCCAAAAACATTTATTAAAATCAAAAATGCACGACCCTCATACAATGGGCCGCTATGCTGTAAAAACCGTCTGGAAATTCCATTTTTATATACAATCGATGGCCAAACTTGTAATCCAAACACGCTTTCGCTCCTTATTTAATTTTGAAACGGATTACTGTAAAATCGGATTTGGCCATAAAAAATTTTTGTAGTCCTTGTAAAGTTCAAGATGAATTTTTCGAAACGTTTTCAATTTAGTTGGGTTTTTTCGGACTGGTCAAAGACAAAAACGGCCAGTGTCGATCGATTTTCTTACTAACCAAAACATAACTTAACTCTCTGCACTAACTTTAAGGGTCAAGTGCTCGGGTACACAGTCATTTCTCTTAAATCCGACGCAATAACTTAATTTCAGAACGATACTCGTTGTACTCTCAACCAATGGGCGTAGATCTGACACCAGAGCCTCATAAATTTGTAATCGTACTTCTTTTTCTGACATTGGCGGGTTTCTCAAACTGGTGGTCTTTAGCTTATATCCATGATTTTGTCGGGCGGTAAGTGGTTCTGCTTCCCTTGCATGTATTGTATTTTAGAGAGCCTTTGCCCGACTTGGTGATGACCTTTATCCCAGAGCAAGCTTGGGCCCATAGAATCGGGGATATGATGGTATTTCTGTGTTCCACCATCATGATCTTGGTCATGATTTTGCATAAACACAGAGTGATCGTCGCGCGAAGGATCTTCTTTATCCTTGGCTGCATGTATTGGATGAGGACCATTTCCATGATGGCCACACAATTGCCCTCGGCCTATTCTAATAACGAAGAGAAGTGCCGGGTTCAGTTGAATGAGAGCGAGCGGACCTGGAGTATTTATTGGGGCCGCTTTCTGGAGCAAACAATTCACGTCGGCTTCCAGGTGAGTCACGCTTTTACGAATTTGCTGTCTTAATTACGTAATATTACGCGTTGTTTCAGGATGTTGAAAACAAAATGTTGTGCGGCGATCTCTTGTTCTCCGGGCATACTTTGGTTATGGTTATCAGTTATTTAACCGTGGATTATTATCTTCCTCGTAAATGGAACGTAATCAGTTATCTTCCCCGGTTCTTCATGCTGGCTGGGATGATTTGTATGGTCCTCAGTCGAACCCATTACACAATCGACGTCTTGTTTGCCTATTGGCTATCAGTCGGAGTTTTCTCGTAAGTTTGTTGACTTAGTCTAAATTTATGGTTGACAACGAACTGGTTACTTTACCCGTTTTTCACGTTTGAAAAAAGTATGACTAATTTTTCTCGGTTTTCAGTACTTACCATGTGTTTTGCGAAGTGGATACTTATCGAGAACGCAAGAACTCGATCCTCCAGAAGATTTTTGTGGTCAAGGCGGTCAGTTGGCTTGAGGAGAACATTGTACCCGGCCGGTGAGAAAATTTACTTTCTTGTTAGCTTACAATTAGAGAAAAATGTAAAAAACCTCAAAGCTTTAAGTTTTCCTGACAAATCGTGAGGAATTAAAAAATTACATTTAAAGGTTGAACAACGAACTGGAAGTTCCCTTCTGGCAATGCATAAAAAGTAAATGCCAAGCTAAAGGATCCCATCAATCTCATCCAACTACTGTGGTGACTGTTTGTGATGTATAGGCCCAGGAATCTACTTCGACATAAAAAGATCGACCATTATCAAGTTTAGTCTTTAAATGTCATCTTTCTTCATTCTAGTAGGTCTTCGGATAACGCGGTTGTAAAAGGCATAACTTTCAGGTCCTTTTCTTTTTGTACATACTTTACTGTGACAACTTAAAACGGGTAAAAAGTATAATACAAACGACATTTGTGGTTTTAACACTGTAAATAATATTATGATACCTAGAAATGCTTTACAAAACGATTATAATAAATTAAAATCTCATAAAATGATAACTGATATATAAACATAATTGACTAAATGATTGATATTTGATATCATGAATGACAAATGAGACTACGAAAGAAACCGGCGCTATCTTTATATAATAACAGATCATAGACAGGATGTTCAGGCGACTTCCCTCATCCATCCGGGCTTCTCGATTCTCCCATATTGGATGTCCAAGATTGTGTCGTAAAGCCGTTGCATCACATTGCCGGCAGTCATTGTGGGGATGAAGAGGTCTTCGTATTCATTGGTCTCTTTGTTATGGTAAAGAATCCGTCCTACTGGAGAGACGATACATGCTGTTCCGGCACCAAAGATCTGCTTCACCTGCAGATATAAACTTTTTTATAAACATTACGAAATGTTCGAGATCGAGCATGTGAGGTCAAAATAGAAACTACATCTAGACGGTTGTAACAATCGATTTCTAAACCGGCGTATGATTTATAACATACCCTTTTCTCTTTGATTGCACGTCTCACTTCCTCCATGGTGGGGTAACGTTCGGTGATTTTGAATTCGTTCCATTCTCGGCAGATGTCGAGAAGACTGTCGCGGGTAACTCCGGGAAGAATAAGGCCGTCGGACAAGGGAGGGGTCACCAATTCTTCTTCTAAAAGGATAAAAAATTAACAAAAACAATGGCAATTAGTTATATACAACTTGTTGTACCAACCTCCATTTTCGTTCGTCCAGTAGACCATAATATTCATAGTTCCGACCTCTGTTAGTTTCTCATCATCATCGAATAACCAGAGGACTTGTTGGCAACCCAACTCAGCAGCTTGCTTTCCAACCAATATCGTTGGGGCGTAGTTACATCCCATTTTGTAAGCACCAACGCCTCCAGGAAAGGCACGAATGTAACTCGAGTCGGCCAAGAGGGAAATCGGCTTCAATCCGGTAGGGTAATAAGCACCAACGGGACCAGAAAGAACAAAAAGTTTAGCTGAGTTAGAATGAGCAACTCCTAATGTGCCCTAAAAAAATCTTATATTATAAGCAATGAGAAACTGGGAGGTGACGGAAAGATATAGGGTATATAAAAGTTACCTCTGTTCCAATAAGAGTTGGCCTAAGGTATAAAGACCCAGTGGTTGAGTAGGGAACCCACTCTTTATCCACCCTAATCATTTCTCCGATGATCTTTATCAGTTCTTCTCCATCAAAATCCTGAAAAAGTAAGACCGTCAGATTATTTCATTGATTTGTTCCCTCTGGGAATTTGTCTATCCAAAATTTTAATTAACTTGGGCCATTAACTTACAGGCAAGGCTGAGCGAGCAGCAGTTCGTCTCATTCTGGCCATATTCATCTCGGGTCTGAACAATCGTATCTTTCCATCCACTCCTCTGTAAGCCTTCATGCCTTCGAACAATTGTATTGCATAGTGTAAAACCTTGGCTCCAGGGTGGAATTGAAAGTTGTGTAATGGAGATAAAAGCGGTCTATGCCATCCACTTTCAGCCGTCCAGTCGATCTCAACCATGTGATCTGAGAAACAGTGACCGAATTTAATTTCATCAACATTTTTCGGCTTTATTTGAAGTTGACCCGGTCCGGCAACGATGGTTTCAAGGTCCTTGTGCTAAAAACATAACTTTACGTCACCTGAACAAAGGTTTAGAAAAGTTAATTGGGTCTGCCAAATAATAGAGTTATCAATCGTCGGGAACGTCATTACTTCCGTTTGATAACCGCAAGGTTTGATTTCCAAAGTTTCGCGCATTGCCTTGGACGAGAAAACTGACTTACATAGAATGTTGAACCGGGTAATGTTGGCTCGGGCTTTGTAGAAGGGGCACTGTTCAATGTTCCAGCAAAGCGAACAGACCTGAATAGTCGACGGTAGGCAGAGCCGCGCAAATGCAGGATAGCGGACATGCTCGAACACGTCTGGAAAGTGAAGACGTTCACGTTCAACCGATAATCAAGTTCGAATCACGAAAAAACAAAGCGGAATTCATATAAGAATGATGAAATCGTGGGAATAAGGATCGCGGCTGCGCTCCGATCAGCGGCGTCGGAGAGAAAGATGGCGGGGTCAGGTCGGTCGGATAGGGCCGGGCGGGCCGACGTGGTCAGGTGCGACTGTTTCATTTAAGTAGACAACTGTTCATGGCCCCACAACTACCGTAGACCGGCCTGGGACGAGACTTTAAAGCCAGTTTAGTTGACTCCAGAACCCCGCCCCTCCACCACGCGATTCCGCTGACATCACAGCCAGCGGCGTTGTTTGTCAGAAGGCCTTCGAGGAAAAGAAGAAGGCGAAGAGACTTCAGCAAGATGATGACATGATAGCCACCACAATGCTCATTAACACAGATCAAACAGATCTTGTTTTATCACACAAATTGATAAGTAAGACTGTAAATGATGCAACTTGTAAAATTGACGTTTTTACAATCCTTATCGGTTTACAATCCTTTAACCGTTGAAAGTAAACCCATTTCTTGCAAAAAAAGATCAAAGACCAAAAACATTCTTACTGATAAAAATTTAATATTTTTCGATTGGAAAGAATGTTCCCGGCCAGATCAGCCTTCGTTTAACCCATCTCAAGGTTTTGTATTGCAAAATTTAAGAATGTTGGCGAACAAATTTCTACCACAGTTCATAAACTGCCCTGGAGTGATAAATGGATTCAATCAAGGCTTAAGTTTGTAGTTTATAACATTTGGAATCTAACAATTATTATGAATAGATGACAATTTTCTGAGCTTATGCATCTAATTTTTAAATTAAAATGTTTTGAAAATGGCAAAAGATGTTAGGGTTACGGCAGCCAAGAAAAAGTTAAAGCAAAGTTCCCGGCTGTTCTCAACTCTTCTACCGTAAACAATAAGATTCACACAGAAATGAGACCGTAACAAGGCCTTGAAACGATTAAAAATAACTCTGAAGTCGTGTTGATTATGAGAGCATCGTCAATGCGAGAAACCAAAGGTTAGTCGCGTATTTATAGTGGTTGGGGGCAATCAATCGTCGAACGGGCGAAGGAAGAAGATGATCACTCATCAGCCGATTATCCCACCCATCTTCCCAGGCCCCACGTGGGGTCAATCGGAAGCAAACAGAGAGGACAACAGTTGTCCCATCCCCCACCCGTGCTCGGGACGCATGCCCGGGACAGCCACCACGTGTTCATCTATCAAACCCGCTGAGCTTGATGCTCTTACAGGCGGAAGACGTCTGCTCCCTTAGCATACGATAAGTTGATAACTCTTCATCCTATCTTCAGAACAAGGAACGGCATGGCGTCATTCCAGGTTTACCCAAATAAAAGGTGTCGCCCACTTCTGCTGGCCTCCAAAAATTGTAAAAGTTTTATAAAAGGACATTTATATTCTTCAAATCAATGCGCGTTGTCTTTAGGCCATATTACCCACGGTTTTGCAAGGCATCATGCTCGGGTAAAGTGATGAAACAAACGACCTTTGCGGTGGAAATAAAAAGATCAAAACTTTTAAAGAGACTTTATTAAAAAAAAACCTGATGCAATATATAAGTTCAGACTAATCATGACGCAATATTATCAATGTCTACTGAAAGAGGTATAAGACAACTGTTTAGTCTATAAATTCAAGTCTTTGTTAAGCGCTCAAAAGACCCGTTAAATCATGACCAAATACTGTAAACTGGATATACGATATGTACATGTAGACAACCCAGGTGAAAAGATGGATATAGAATGTTTTGATCACAAAGAAAAAACTATGGCTTAGACTCTGAATGAAGTCGAAATTAGCTCATCTTCCTCACTGGACTCCCCATCCAAGAGACGGAGCTGCTCATTGAAGACCCGTTTGCGTCTTAGCGTGTGGGTTATACCATCGGAGGTCCTAAAATCAAGTATGAATTATATGAAAAAGCACAATTTCATTTGGGTCAGTTTTGATTTGTGGCCGAACGGCCCCAATTCAAAATCGGCTAAATATTTATAGCCAATATTGCAAAATTGTTTTACTATCGCGAAGGACGAAAAGGTCCGCTAAGAAAAAAACCAGCTGTGCAAAAAAAAGTCCGCCAAAAAGGCCTAGGTCGTGATTAAGGTCAAGATAGTTGCCTTAAATTACCCGAAATGGTCTCAATTCTCGACTAGGATAGTCAAAACACTTTGTTTTTCCCCAAAAACTCCGGTTTCATTACGGATTCATCATGTTGCCGAACTTTAGCGCCTTTGGAGGGGCATACCTGAACTTGCCCACGAGTTAGATCACGATCAAGCATTACCAAAGTGACCCTCGCACCCTAGTCATCTCGTTTGGCCATTTTGATAATATTTTGTACATCCACCCAGACCTTCTCCACGACCTAGGTCGCGTGCTTGATCATGGGTGACCTATACTCCGGTGTGAACACGGAGTGACCCAGGTTGGCCAGACTAATAAAAGCGTCAAATCAAAGGCGTACCTAGAGTATCGGAAGGCAAGGGCCGATAAGATTGCGGGGTGGAAGTGGTTGAACTACGGGAACGCAGAGCACGGTGAGGAAAGAACAGCCCATCATATGAACTAAACAAAACGAAAGCAATTATCACAACAGTCAGGAACATACGTGGAATGGACGGGAAGGAACCAGAGGTAGCATTTCTCTCCGAATATCTGTTGGAAATTACGAGCTGCCCCAATGTTATAAGCTCCTGGATCAGGGCCGTATTCGAAATGAGGAGGATTCCATTGCTCTGCAAAGATTCAATAAGCCAAAACTCTTCAGCATTCTTCTAAAAAAAGGAAAGAACTCACCGACGGTAGTTTTGTTCCTACAAACCAAGTAGATGTGGTAAAACAATAAACAAGCCATCGAAAGACCAAAGAGAAACGCCAGGAATGGCAAAAACAAAGCCCCAAAATTGCTCAACATATCCTGGGGCACGGGTTTTCCTTTCCAGAACATAATGAACGTCGATAGTGAGGTTGCTAATACGAACAGACATAATGTAACACCATATCCGAGGAATAGCAAAAAGAACTTGTAGTTGTTGTTGTGAACACAATTGTTGACCCAAGGACAGTGATGGTCGTATCTCAGCACACATCTTGCACAAATAGAACAATGGTGACTTCGATCAGGTTTGATACACTTGCATTGGGCACAGAATCGAGGACCTACAGATCAGATAGATGAATATATTACACTTACCTTCACTCGCAGAAACATTCAAGGTATTTATGTTATTTTGGGACACAAATCGAAACAACAAATCATTGCGTCCTGCTTCTGACTTCTCGGCCCAGAGATCTGATAAAGTTTCACGAGGAAGATAAAACTAAAGAGAAAGGAATAACCGATAAAACTCAACTTACTTTTGATGGAATTTTCGGGAGCGGCGAAAATACCGTGGCAAAGTAGGAAAACAGAAACAAGAACAACAAGACGTGAAAGCCGATGTATATAATAACCCGTGTATACCATAAATTCGATAATGCTGAAAATGTACAGCTAATACGTAAAACATCGAGAAAATGCTTTAAAGTAGCTGTTAGAAGACTTACATGGAACTGTTTGGAAGGTATATACGTAATAAGAGAGAGATACGATGACCATGATCACCACCACGGGCACGGCCCTCCCCACCTTTAAGATAAATTTGCATACTGGGGATTGGAGGAGATTCGAGGTCATTACCTGAAAGAAAGTGAAAAGGTAAAAGGATTAATACGCATACAATGTCACAAACACCTGCGTCACATTTTTTGCGGTTAATTATAAACGATTTACTTTTTGATTCAAAAATTTAAAAGAAGGCAATAGTGATGTGATAGCTAATATATTGAAAATTAGGAGAAAACGTTGAACTCGACTTTAAAACATGTAAATATAATGTGCGTAAATGGAAAAGCAGTTCCTTCATCAAAAGATGTGTAATATAAAAAAAATGAGTCACCAGGAGAGGAAGATAGAAAGTACAACAACAAAAAGAGTCCGGTCCAGCCCAGGAAAAACCCCTCTATTTTGAATAAACGTCATGACATTCAAGAAGGAAGTGGGAATTAGAAGATCTGTGAATAAATTCCAGTCGATTTCTGACAAAAAAGCTTTTTGCCACAGAATGCCAGAATAGCTATTTTCCCGGGGATTTTGATTTCGAATTTTACGTAGACGGTTTTTACAGTACATATTCTCAAACAATGGTGATAAAAAAGTTACATTTGTAGGTTTAGTAAAAAAAATTACTATAAAATATTGTCTATGTCAGGTAATTAAAAAAATTGTTCATTCCACTGGTAAATGGCCAACGGCTTTCAAAATTATTCTCCAGATTTAATCCGGGTGCCTTTGAGATTTCTTGTGAGTAATATTAAGTCTTATTATGATGATTCCATAGAAAGGGACTGCGATAATACCTTTCAGTTTCGAGATTTTCGTTGTAAAATCTGTTTTATTCCGTTTACAATTCCGTTCGTTCTTTGGAGTGTTTTGTGTCCCACAATCCACATTTGTATCCATTTAGATTTTACTATACAATATTTGGGTGATATTCTTGTCAATTTATGATTGTCAATTACATGTACATTTTTTAAACCTTGGCCATAGATAGATGAATTGCGTGTTTGTTGGAAAGTACTGAATAAGCACGCGTTTAGACAGTGTAAGGTGGAATTAAAGTTAATTTTTAGTTACTGCACAGATATTATCATTCTAAAAATTGTCATTTGGTATAATCGAACATAGAGATTAGCTAGAAACCGTGCAAAAACAAAAAATGATTCGGTAATTTTACTCCTTCTTATAATCTCCCCATTGTCCAAAGTTATTCGATTTAAGGTTGTTAAATCTTTATTAAAAAACATTTTAATTCCTCTCCCCAAGCCCGTGAGGCATTATTCGCTGACAAGGAGGAAAAATCCGGAGGCCATTATCACCGTAGGAGATGCCTCGGTTGACGTGATGTCCGTTCATCGAACCGAGACTCATTAATTGGTCGTTTCAGCGCTCGGCCTTCAGGATGAAATAAAGAATTCTCAGCGAGAAAGAGGACGTGACCCATTTTGTGGTCACTCGACAGTCAGAAGGGAGCTCGAACAAAAGAATAAGTGTCCAGTTCTCATACGTTTTGAGGGATCAGCTGGCGGGAGGGCGTGCTGCAGAGAGGGCGGTGGGGTTAAAAAGTCCGATTTGTCATTAATAGTTCCATTTCGAATACATTGTAAATTAATTTTTTTTTAGATTATATAATATTTGGCCATATAATGTAATATACATTTAAAACCATCATGAAATGGTAATATTTCGCTCTGAATGACCTAAATCCATTCACGTATCTCCTTTGTGCGTATGTCCATACATTAAAGGCCTTATCAGAACGCTGTAATTGTCTGACGTGAACGAGGAAATAAGTCCAGAGAGCCGCCGAATGGAGGCATCGTGTGGGCCAGTAACCGGAGTTCAGACAGCAAAACGACGAAGCCGCGGCCCCATTCCGGGAAGCCAGAGATGCCGCCGAGGCGTGCCAAATTAAAGAGACCGAAAAAACGGGGAAAGTGTGCGCTGCCCTCGAGGCCGGCGGGTTGGGTGAGAAGGGTGGAGGGAGTTCGGCCGCACGTCCCAGTCAAGAAGGAATGTGGCCACGCTTTAAGCGCTGCTCAGCTCCCCCTTCCTTCGCCGCTTCGAACTCTGTCACCGTCGAAACCCGAAGGGGATTGAAGCCGGCCCCGACCTACTTAATATTAGGTGTTACAGACATTTGCGCGACGACTTTCAAACGAGTTTTGTTTCGAGGACTCGAGTGTCTAGGCCCTGTTAATGTCGTCTTTGCATCGATCTCGAGTTGTGCAAACACGTACTTTACGCTTCCATGTTTGTCGTTTATCATATACTTTTAAACCCTTCCTTTCACTCACTTGGCCCTTGTGTTTACTCTCGTTTTGTTTCAGGTGGCGCTCATGAAATTGGCACAGGCGGCGACACTGACATTCTGCCTTTTCGTGTTCGGATGCGCCGGATCCATCTTAGCCCAGGTAACCAGAGAAAACCCATTCACCAAACGATTCCAAAATGCCAGATGTTCTTTTGACATACGTTAAATTCGATTCTAATTAATGCCTAAAGTGTAACAGACTATTCAATTAATCCGGTTCTTCTAATTGGCTTGTGTTTATAGGAGACCCTCTCCTGCGGTCAGGCCTCGTATCAAGTCAACTTTGAGCCCGCCAAGCCTCAAGTCGCCTCAGGTCCCGCCAAATACACCTTTTATCCTATTGAACTGTTGTTCGGGGCCAATGTTCAGATATGTAATCTGACCTCTCCTAATCCGCCCCTGGGTGAGGGAAAGACCGCAACCATCAATGGTCTCGAGACTCGCTTCATCATCACATATTGCGAGAGTTGTTCGAGATGTATCAGCAAACTGCCAATTCTCCACAAGATGGCTACTCAAGTGGCTACTGACGCTGGTCTGACTTCGATGCTCATCATTGTCCGCAACTCCTTCCAAGGCGTCAAACTAGACAACACTAATGTGAAGTTTGTGCAAATGGATGAGGAACCAGAAGTGAGTAATGTCTGCGAGCTGGTGGATTCGGTAGACAGTGATGCCCTAAGGTCTTTTTCGAAGACTTCTGTCCTTTTCGTGAGCATATCTTTCATTATTCTGATGGTAATCTCATTGGCGTGGTTGGTTTTTTATTATGTGCAACGCTTCCGTTATGCCCACGCTAAAGATCGGCTTCAACGGAGACTTTTTAATGCAGCTAAGAAGGCACTGACACATATCCCCACCAAGCCCGTCAAAGCTGGCGATAAGGAATTGGACTCTGATTGCCCTGTTTGCATCGATCCCTATCGAGCTGGGGATATCGTTCGTATGTTACCTTGCCGGTAGGTTTCCTTTTTCTCACAATTTTAATAATTTAACGTTTCCCCTGTTATACGCAACCATTTCAGACATGTCTTTCACAAAACTTGCGTGGATCCATGGCTCTTAGAGCACCGCACCTGTCCGATGTGTAAGAGTGACATCCTCAAAGCATTCGGTTATCACGTGAACGTGAGCAGTCGAAGGCGGACACAGTTCTCGGCTCCGAATGATGACCAGCATGTTGTTCATGTCGCAAATGAGGATCGTCTGAGTGTGGACGCCAACTCAACCACCAGTGAATCGAATGCGTATCCCTTCCCGGTAGTCACAGAGATCCATGATCCATTCAGTTTCACACCTTCGACTTCACCTCAGTTAGTTCAAGTCATGCATGCCACGAATGCCCGAGGATTCTCGATCATTCCTTTGACGGTGCACAGTGCAAATGCAACCACAAATGGGCCAAATTACACTACAGTAAATGCCACTGTTGAAAGACATGTCCCCTCGTTCAGTTCGCCAGTTTGTAAAAGTGAGTACTCTTACAACAAGTTCTGAATATTACAATTACGGCTCTGGGCGTAATTATTATAAAACACTTAATTATTATGCACTCGTAAACTCTAAACTCATAATTATAGGTGAAGCCAACTCCTCCACATGCAATACGGGTCGTCAGTTGCGCAACTCGAGCTCTGCCAAACGAAATCGAGGCCACTTTGTGAACCTTGTCCATGTCAGATCTCGCTCTTTAAGTCATTCCCAAGTCCCTGATCAACTGGAATCTGTAGTGCCCGAAGCAGTTCAACCTCAACGACCAACAGCACTCTTTCGGACAGGTCGCGGAGGCACAGACATCGAGAAACAAACAGAGGAATCCCCTCAAATCATGAGCCCTCCGTCTCCAGCGCCAGTTTCCCTTCCAAACATTGACCTAAGCTCACCTCCAGATCAAATATTGGTGCATAAAAAGTATTCCCCAGCCGCCGCTCATGTGAAACATGCCATGGTACAATCAGCAAAGATTAGGCCACAGACAACGGGCGGGGTGGGGGTCAGGAGACTGTCTGGAGAACCCAATTTGAACACGCCTTCCTCACCCACGGGCTCCTTTCACGACGCTCCTGATTCCAAACCCATCCAGAAAGACGGGATAAGTGTAGAATCTCTTTAATCTATGCTCAGCACATTCGCCTCACTTCCATTGATGATCTCAACCTTCTGAGCAGAACCATTTACTGGTATCAAAACGGTTATTCACAGTATATTCAATCAAAGATGTATATTTTCCTGTAGTCTATATCTTAGAAAGACGTGTTCTTTATGCCTACAACTGTGTTATTCCTTTGTGACAATAAAGATTATATTATTGGATACTAATCTCATAATGTGGGCACATACGAAACGGGTAATACGCCGTCCATAATGAAATATTCAAGGTAGTTACAAAAGTGTTTCCAATTAGCTTGTTTTCTCGGTATCTACATTTTTTTTACCTTACTATGGAGACTTGTATTACATTTCGAAAACCTCCGAAACAACAAAACAAGTCAGTTTATAGTTATTTACAAATACTTACAAGTACTCAGACAATAAAAAATCAAGTCCTATAATTTTTTACTTGCGCTGTTCCAACCGCTTTTTATATTCTTCTTGGAATAAACGCCTGAAATTGGAAGTCCGGGCCAGAAGACCATCCATCAGACCTGAGCTCTCGATCTTGTGACGTAGCTGAAATGTGCTCGTAACGGCCAATTTTGCTGCTCTTCTCATTGGCCACGAATCAGCCATCTAAAGAAGTCAAAGTATTTTCTTCGATAACACTACCTGTTGTATTACTCGTTCATCGTTAAGAATCCGACGAAATATTCTGTAAGGCATTCTACAAATGTAAAATGATATTAACCACTTAACTTAGAAATGTAGTGGGAATGTAACCGGTAGTACGACACCGAAAATAATGCAAAAAGAATTTAATAAAAACAAAAAACAACAAGATCAATTGGCTGGAGATTAGGATGTTGTTGGCTGCTGCGCAGCAGCCAAGGTCTGGATTTTCTTCTGTAAGGCTTGCACAATCATATCCCTCATAGCGGCCTTCTGTTGGACAATAGATCGGAGACTATCAACTTCACCACGGATGTGGTCCACCTTCCTCGTGTAATGATCAACAGCTCGATCTGCTGACATTTCAATGAAATACCCTGCTCCAACATCAACCAACACCTTCTGTGGATCTTCTAGTTTTCCTTTCACATATAACTAAATTCCTTATAATCAAGATATAACAAACTCACAGTGCTTCCCACCGGAACCATACAATCTTGTCCGTCCTTTGACTCCTTAACCTTGCTGGCAGCCAACTTAACATGTTCAAATGCAAGTAGGGCCTTCCTCAATGTAGCAATTGAAGTGCTCATAAACTCAATCTCGGCATCAGTTCGTTGTTTCAGGGCACTCAAGGTCTCAATAGGAAGGGTAGACAGATTGGCATTGATAGTATTGAGGTCGGCCATCCTTATTCTGCCTAAAATGTCAAGGAAGTCACAAAATAATCCAAGAAAATCCGAATCCCAATCAAGATCCAAGAAATGCGATTATTTTCTGAAGCGAAATACTACATGAATTATCGGGAAGACGAACTGAAACAATTGACTTGACCAAGGAATAAAGATTTTCCAAAAAAATTCCAATATTTTGAGAAAAGTTCTTTTTTGGTTTTCTACTCTTCTTGGTATTTCAGATTGAAAAGAAGAGATGTTTTTCCATTGAAATACGACTGTCAGAATGCCCCAAAAAAGATCTGGCTTGGTGGTGCCGGTCATTTTATGGGGATCGAAGCCGCCTTCCAACTCCATCACTCATCTCACAGCAGTGAATCAAGGCCAAACAATAATCTCTGGTGGGAAAGAAGGGCAGCTAGTCCAATGGACGGTCGATCAAGACAATTGGATCCAACCTCAGAGCATGATGATCGCCCATTCGGCTCCAATTTCTTGTCTGGCTCCGGCTTTGAAAGGTCCACATTGCTCGTATGTTTGTTTAATTGTTTGTTTTTCTTTAGGTAATGTGCAAAATTGAGAAAAAAAAGCAAATTAAAATATCTGCTTTTAGAAGGTATGTGAGCTGCTCCGAAGATGGTCTGATTTGTTTGTGGAACAGTAATGGAGCCAAGGTGGTTGAAAGTGCTTGTCAGCAATATGTACATAGAAAGATTGTGTCATATGTAAGTGTTGGTCAAACTATATCTAAAATCCTTTTCAGACATTCAGCAGTGATGATCATGCCCTACCAAAATTGTTTTGCATTGGTGATTATAGCGAAGTTATCATATTAGACGCTCTGGATTTGAATATTACTTGTTTTTTGAGATCACGGATCGAATCAGACTGGTTGAACACAATGACTCTTGTCTATCCGAATGAGAAACGTGAGATTCACTGTTGTTTATTCAGACCTTAATCAGATGTAGTTCTCGGGATAACAGTTTCCGGCGTCATCAAGATGTGGGGTCTTCAAGATCTGGAGAAGAAAGATCCGACTAGTCTAATATATGAAGATGAGGCCAAGCCGCTAGGACTCAAATCTGTGCGAGCGATTTGTTGTTCCAGACAAAATTCTAGGATGATGCTGGTGATTACGGCCACTTCGTGGCAAGTAAGTTGTCTTCAATACTATCTTTAATGTTTAGATCATTGATCCAAGTGCATTGCATCAGTTAATTGTATCCCAAACCGCAATCGAGGCGGTCAATGGAACAATCATTGATATCGATAGAATAGCCGTTGGTTTCGCTGATTCAACTGTTGTTCTTTTTCAACTTCCAAGAAGGTACCTAAAGTTATATTTTTGTGTGTGATGATTTTAGTCGATTGGTGGGCAAAAATGTTCGTGATAGATTTGGAGATCGTCCTGTTCCGTTAGGAAATATTGAACATCCATTTGTATTTGCGATTCTCAGAGGTATCAAAACAGCGGATAAGGTAGGATTTGAAATTGATTTTCAGTTCAATATTACTTTAGATTCCTAGTCGGGCTACCTTTTACTTTGAGACTAGAGCCAATGACACGGAGAGTAAAGTGGTCTACAGAGCGGACAACAAAGGAAAGATGAGTCTCTGGTCGATTCCAAAGAACTTTGATGCTTTGGTTGAGGAATTCATCAGGAAAAGGAATCCGACAGGTATTATTCAGCTTCATTCTATTGTTTTATTTTAGTTTACGATCCAACAACTCGTCAGAGTTTTGGAAGTGTTTGGGAACGTTTGAATCCGCCACCTCCTTCAATAATCAAAATGGAAGATTCAAAACCAATTACGGCTACCATTTACATCAGTTGTCAAGGGAAGTTACTTCTCGGCCGAAACGACGGGTCGATTGTGATGACCCATGCTTTTAGTGCTCTCAGTTCGCAACTGTTTGAGGCATCGAGTGGTATGTTTAGTTAACCTATTGGCGACTCTGAGTTTAGAAGTGCAGCATCGAGTACTACAAGGTCACACATCGGCGGTCCAATGCTTTTTGTATCCGTTCCAACAAGACGAACGATATGATCCGGAGATATTCTTGTCCGGAGGCCTGGATTTTGCAGTAATTGTGTGGAATTTGAGTACAGGAACTAAATTGCATCGGTTTTGTTCTCAAGGGGGTCCCATTTTGAGAATGTTGGTACTGCCTGAGAATTGCAATGTACGTTCAATTTTTATTATTTGATTGGTTTTTAGCCCCGATTGACTCATTGCATCTGTTCTGTTGCCGGAGATAACTCAGCGGCCCTGTTGAGCTTGAAAGAAAAGCGATGCATTCTCTTGGCCAGCCGACAACAAAGTCCAATTCAACAGGTGAAGTGGAGACCTTTGGATGATTTTATGTTATTGAAATGTGAAGACGGACATGTCTACGTTTGGCAGATGGAAACTGGGAATCTGGATAGGATTGTAGGCGGTGTTCTGGCTACAGATGTATTGGCTGCTTCTGATGAACAAAGTGGAATCACCGAGATTGATGACAAGGCTAGTGCCTCACAAGCCGTCAGAATGCTTAGAGCCATAAAAAACAAGAATATTGACGCGGTAAATACAATAAAAAGTATATATTGGTTTAGATTAAGCAAGTGGTGTCTAATAACGACTCCAAGAAACATTGGTTCGACTCGAGTTCCACTCTCCTCCCATCACCAATGGATATTGTCCAGCTGAAGAAATCATCGAATGACGTCCACATGATCCTGTTCAATGTTGATGCTCTAATAACTGGACTTAAGGCTACTGATGAAGCGATCGGAAAAGGAGTTCCAAATTCTGACAGCAGTTTTGATCGACGGCAATCTCTTTCGACACTAATCACCCGCAAATCAGAAGGCGCCCTCCAAAATCACTTGCCTTATAATTCGAATAATATGGGAACAGTAAACCGAGCAAATGGGGTTTCTACAGCCAAACGATGGCAAATGGAGACTAATCTTTATATGAATACGGCCAAACTGTTGGTTTCCCTGTTACATGGGTGGAATCTGGATGAAAATGTGGATAATATATGTGTGAACAAGTTGAAATTACAGAAACCTAAGGCTCCAATTTGTTTCGGGACAATAAGTAAGAAAGGTGGGTAAAATTATAGGTAGAATTGTAAGGATTATTTAATCTTTTTCATTTCAGGGTTTGTCTCTCTTTCGCTTCCCTTTTGTACTGGTAAAAGTGCTCCTTTCAACGATTTATCATTTCGCAACTTTTCCTTGAAGCTCAGATGGAAGGACGATCCCCAACTCACCACCATTCACTTACTTTCCCTCGTTTCCATTTCCAATGCGATGATGTCACTTAAGAGTCGTATTTTGCAAACCTCCCACTCCCGGCCTCTCCTTCGGAGGGTACCGTCCACCAAGTCTACAGATACCAATGAATCTGACTCGGAGGGGCATCTTGTAAGACAAGGATGGTCTCATGTTGCCTCAATGCATTGTGTGTTGATCTCAGAGCTGGTTAAACCGCCAGATGAATACGCCTCACCTGATATTGAACTAGTGGTGAGGAGATGGCATGACTCTTGCGTTGAGATCAAGGATGCCGCGCAGGCTCTACTGATTAGAGAGTTGTCTAGAATGAGCAAAGAAGGTAAGACTGATTCTTTCTCATATAATAGGTTATGTAAATAATTTTTTAAAACCACAAAAATCGACCGAGATTATTAAATTTCCTGTCTCAATATGCTCGACTCACTCCAGATGCGATATATGACGAACAGTGGTTAAGCTGAATCTGATTTAAACCGATTTACGCTTCTTAATCAAACACGCAACAACAGAATCCAAGAATTTTAGGAATTATTTTCAAAAAGTGCCCTCAGGACCATAAACACCACGTGGGTATCGGAATAGCATACCGTTAGAATCAGCAGAGAATCATGATTAGTTTCTCAAATTATCACGGCTTCATCCCACCTAGTGATAAAGAAAGACAAATTTTTGTTACCCTGATCCAAACTTTTCCGATCCCCAGGGCAAAGGAATATTTTGGTAGAGTAGAGCATAGAATCGATTGGTGGTCAAGTTTGTTAAGACATGGAATGCATATCTATCACTGTTTTAGAGTTTCAGACTGGCCCAAGTTCAATCGGCGGTAGAAAAAAAACTAAAAATCCATTTTTTTATGTCCACGGCTGGTTCAGTGACTCAAAAATTGTTTTAATTAATGGGGTTATAGGAAGACGAGCTCTCATCGATCACTGGACACCTTTCCTCCCCACTCTCTTGGATCCGTCGATATCAATATTCGGTTACCGAGATTCGCCGAATGGCCACAAACTTCCCTCGCCGCCTCAGCCCAACTTCATTGTTAATAACACCGATCAGAAAGTCCCTCCTCCTCGGCCTGCTCCTCCGATACCTCCAAGAAAAGGTGCTGTGGAATTGCCTGAAGTGAATTCTGTAGAGTCATCAAAAGAAAACGTGAGCAACATCACTTCGAACATAAATATGGAGAATGCGGATACTGTTGGTGGATTACATCAAGTGCGGAGGAACCAGGCGACGGCAGTGGTTCTTCTCGGAGTGTTTGGAGCCGAGTTCCCCAAGGAACTTCCTAATGTTGACCTGACTAGATCCATCAGTCATGCGTTGGTGGAGTTACTAGTATCAGAAGAAACTCCCTTGTTACCCGCACATTCAGCTTTGAGGAGAGCCGCGATCGATCTGATTGGAAGGGGATTCACTGTCTGGCAGCCCCACATTGATCTTTCCAAAGTTCTTCTTGGTCTTCTCGCATTGACAAGTATTGGCGAAGATGAGCCGGATCTGAAGGGGCCTATCAGTCCTGAAGTTGATTCCTTCCGAACAGCCAGACATGCGCTTTCATTGATTGCCTCGTCAAGAGCCAAGGCTTTGATTAATGCATTGAGTATGGAGGTAGCCAGATACAATTCTCTCACTCAACATCAGACTGTCCAGCAAAACATCTTCAGTCCATTGATGAAGTCGAGGAATGAAGTTTTAAGACTACTGGAACAACTTTCAGAGAAGCATTACAACGATGTGGCGGATATGATTACACCGGTATGCTAGTAGAAATATTAAGTACAGTATGGGCACTCGGGACTTGCAACCTTATTTCAAGGATTCCTCCGCAAACCCTGCACCAATCTCAATAAGATATATCATATTGACACTGGGACCATAATCTTTTGTCCACCCTTTCTGCTAATTTTGAAGATTTGTTCAGCCCAAAACTCAAAAGTTTTTGCAGCCGTACCGGTTTCAGTGGACATAGGCTCGCCATGTCCGGAGGACAAAAAGTGGTGTGCCTCTTCAATCTAACGTAAATTTCGTAGAAATTGGTACAGTATTTGCGGAGAAATACCTAAAGTAATGTTAGAAGCCCCGAGTAGACCACCTTGTGTATTATAATTTTAGGTGGGAGATATACTTGTTCATTGTTTGGATATAAACAGACTGAAGCAAAACTCTCTGGCGGAAATATTCCCTCCAATTGCAAAGTAAGTTTAGTCCGATGAATACTATTCGCGCCATAAAGTCCCGACACATTTACTGCCGATGTCATGCGGCGCGAAAATTGAAGTGAGCTCGCGCGAAGGTTCACGTCGCTAGTGCAAAATTGTCGGGACTTTATGGCGCGAGTAGTAAACGGTCGTTTAGATTCTATATGGTTGGATATTGTGGTGCCACCAGGAGAGTTGCCTTTGGTGGAAAGAACGGATCAATTGTTGTACATGATCTGAAGGCAGCCAAGGCACAAACAATCGCTGCTCACAAAGCCGCCATAACTGCGCTTTCCTTCTCTCAAGATGGCAAGTATATGGCTGCTTATAGCGCCCAGGATGCCAAGATCAGCTTCTGGCAATCGCAGCAAACATTTTTGGTAAGTGAACACGGTTTTAAATATTTATTCTTGTTTTAGTCATCTACAATCTTCGTTCGAATAAATAATAATTGATTTCATTGCAGGGCATGGGGCAGAATCAGATCCGCTGTGTAAAGACTCTGCCCGCCCCCTCTGAGTTCCCGGTTGTGAGCCCCGGAGGCACCTATCAGCCCTTCAGGGCTAGACTAGTCTGGATCAACAACAAGTCGTTGACGCTAATGCTTCCGAACGGAAAAGAAAACAGATTTTCGGTTTAAGTCTTACGGTAGATATATTTTAATATGAAAATATTTATAACCCTTAAAGGACCAGAAAAGGTATTTTTTGAACCGATTTTTTTATCGGCGTAATCAGGCAATTTCGTGGCGGGACCATCAAGGTATGTATGTGTTCTCGATTTTTAGAATGGAGAATAAACTTCTCCAGTGGATTTCAAATGGCCGATTGGCCCAGAAACCTTGATATACGTGCTGAATAAGATGTGCAGTCTCAGGAATTCTATCGAAAATCCTCATATAAGTGCGAAAAATTACCCAAAAAGCAAGTTTTAGCCAAAATTTTGATATTATCCATGGCAAAAGTGCATACTTCTGATAAAAACGGAGTAAAAACATGCTCTGTTCTGTAAAACGTGCATCAACGCCTGGACTACTCCATACAGTTCTTAACTAAAGCTCCGGCCCTAATTTCACTGATAAAAATTATATTATCCATGATCCCGGTCTAAAAAACAAACAAAAATGTAAAACTCTCACCTGTTCACCACGTTTCCCTCGACCATACCCTTAAACAGGTCCCGGATGCAGAATCTAATCGATTCTAATTGTCCAATCTTTATTGCTCATGGAGAGATACCTAAAAAAGTAACTGAAGGACAAAAAAACAACTTACATGAACGGTTTTGATGTTTTTCATCGAGTTCCTGGAATGACCCAGCTCATTCAACTTGTGAAGCAATGTTTTATGCCAATCGGCCATTAAAAATTCACAGGAGAAGTTTATTCTCCATTCTAAAAATCGAGAACACATCCATCCCTTGATGGTCCCGCCGCGAAATTGCCTGATTACGCCGATAAAAAAATCGGTTCAAAAAATACCTTTTCTGGTCCTTTAAAATATTTTGTCATCAAAAGTGAGATTCGACTAAATCTGGGAATCTATTTGGAGAGATTTGATCGTTTTGATGCGTAGTCGAAGGAAAATCCTCGATTTCCAATATTAGTTACCTTACCCTCGGTACTCGTCCTTTCACTTATTGTAGCCGCACCCGTGATTCTTTTCTAACAGTATGTTTGTTTTACTATTGCCACCTTTACATCTTCTCATGTCTTCGCTTGAACATCGCTAGATTCTACAAAAAAACGTTGTAAATGCTCAATTGTGATTCCATGACTAGTAAACAACACGAATATTAAGTTAATTTTAAATTAGTTGAGTTGGTTTATCTAATAAGGTGTAACTGTGCTTGTTTGATCATTTTAATGGCTTTATATTATCTTGTAAAAAATGCGATAAAATTTTAGCTTATGTTCAGATACCAGTTTGCGAATAAAAGAGATCCAATTGAGATCTAATCCGAATAATCAATACCCAAATTCAAGTTTCCCGATCCGAGAACGTGGACAATTCAAAGTCTCCAAAGTTGCGTCGAATGTCCTGTGCGATTTGAAGGACTTCCTTTGCCGTATTCTGGTCGATGACGTCATCCTCGGACTCGTCATCATCCATCGCTTTACAGTTTATATCAATTCCCACAGCTCCTCGGACAGCTGGTTGATTCGAGATTCCTGAGAGTTTTGAGCCGGCGTTGGAAATGTCTGTCTCGGAAACGAATTCGTATTCGTTTTCGTAGCCAATCGAATGGACCGACTTCCAGCGAAGACCATCGAACATCGTGGATCCTCTCAGGGAAGAGCAATTACTGTCGATGTCAGCATCATTTTCGATATCCACTGGCTTTTTTCGACGGCCAAGGCTTCTGGCCATAGCTGCCAATCTGGAGGTTCGCCCAGTTTTGGAATCATTTAGACTTCTGAAAATGTAAAAAAACCTTGGAATAGAAAGACATTATCCTACCTTCTGGACTCCATGAATTCGTTGTCCGAGAAAGCTGTCTCCGAATCAGCGTTATCGTATTCAGTATGGCATGCACTACTCATTTCTCTCTTCGAATTTACGCTCCTCATGCTATTAGAAAGTCCAGTTGGGAAGGGCTGATTGTTGGGGTGCTTCTGGATATTTATGTTGGCCAGCTCTTGCAGCATTCGATCTACTCGTTTACTGGTCGAATCCAGTTTTTCTATAGCCGGGGCATAATCAGCATGAGGTAAGGACACCTCTGAGGCAAAGGATGACTTGCTACTTAACCAATCAGGAATCTTCGGCCCATTTCGATTCAGTGGAAGACGTTTTTGTCTGAAATTACGAATTAATGGCTTAATTTATTTTTTACCGTCTCTTTCTCTTTTTGTAGACACTTGCTGATCCTCTAAAGTTTTCAATCTCCGAGAAATCAGAATATTGTTTGGCACAATCTCCCTTATACGCTTGACTTGGACTGGCGGGGGGTCTGTTCTGATTGGCTTTATCATACAACATCATCTCCGGTGTTATCCATTCCATATCCGAGTCCGTTTCTACGCTCATATCAATCGAATATAACTCCGATGAGATGGATGAATTCATTGATGTGAAGTCTTCCAGCTTCCTCTCAGTTGTTGTTGGTCGATTATGCTCGGCAAAGAAGCTGAGTGGATGACATTGGCCATTCTCTTTCATCGATTGTGTGGGCATTGTAGGTAGGGTGGTGCTCTCCGTTTTCTCTTCAATCAATCTGTCTCCACTGTGGTCATCTTCATCACTGCTCTCGGCCGAAGATCCCTCATCTCTATGGGGTTTGCATTCATTGTTGGAATTAATGACTCGGGCTCGGATTGAAGGAATGTTCACATCAGTTGTGATATCTCCGACAAATCCATAGCCAATTAGTCCAGGGGCGATCTGGATTGGGTTACGGTCATCCAAATTGAAGTTTCGTGGTCTCAACGCCAGATATATTTCCTCTGACACCAGAATCCGGTTGAAAGTCTTTTCGGCAGTTTCCATCAATTTATAACTTCGGGCTTTGGGCGCTCCAATTACTTCGTAATGGGGACGATTACCTCCGATCACAACCGAAAGCGCAGGTCCACAATCCATTCCTAAAACAAACGAAGACTGCAATGGAATTTTCCTCATGAAACAAGAGAAATAAGGCTTTACCTAAGCTAAATTTGATGTTCTCTTCTGTCGCGATCTCTTTGACAGCGAAAGAAAAGTTTGTCAACGAGGCCAACAGGTCTCCAATAGTAAATGGAGCATCATGGACATTGTTTTGGGCCTCTGGCAATACCCCAACGGCCACAATATACAACGAGCCATTGTTTCGTACTTTCTCGAGACCCGTGAAGCTCTCCACTAGTAGATCAAGTTCCCTTATCAGCTCTTGTAGCCTTTGTAATCCCAGAATTCCATGCCAGTCAGAATCCTCGCCGAACTTTACAGTAAGAATGCCCACACTCTGACAGAGATGGCAATAAGGGTCAGTTCGATTGAGATAATTGTTGGCGACATGTTCGGGCAGTTGGTTATTTAATTGGGTCTTTATTAGCTCGTTCACACGATCGAAACGCCGCATGTTTTCCATGAACTAAAAATGTTATTTGTGATAAGAAAAAAAAGATTAAACGGATCTAAAGTGTGCTCGGGGATTTATTACCTTCAGATGTGATATGAAGTCGATTCGGATCAACTTTTCATTTCTTCGGCTCTGGAGGTACATAAGAAAAGAAAACGTAAATAATCCGAGGACGATATCTGTTTGAATTGGCCATCTGAAAATGTTAAATCTTTGTAATTCAAATGAGGATTGCTTACCCCATGAATGCTCCAAATGAAGTATAGAGATATGCGTGGGTAAAGAACATGTGAATACAGAAGATACCGATCCCAACCGACAGCAAGGACAATAAGTAAATTGATCCAAACCTAATGAAAGAAGAAGCGGCCAACATCCAGAAGAGAATTGAGGCCACTGGATAGTAAACAACATGACAAGTGGAAGAGGAGTGCCCATCAGTTGGACAGGAGAAGATATTGACCACCACGCAAACATACATCAACACCAATACCAGAATAATGGTGATGTAATGACCAATAAAAGTCTGGGTCACAAAATGACAAAAATGTTCCAAGTCTCTGGCATAGAGCAAAGGAAGCAAGGATAAGGTCATAGCGATAGCAATTGTGAGCATGACGATTGTAACCAAAAGTCGCGGCATCACCAAACATTGATATCCACCGTAAAGAATCATGAGGATGATGCAGATGGTCAAGGCCGGGATAAACCATCGATCCAACTCAAAGTGATACGCCTTCTCGATGGTCTTCTCTCTGAATCTCATCGTGGCCATATTCATCCATTTAGAGGATTCAGAATCATCCAGAATTAGCTGATCGTTTAACGAATCCACAACTTTCTTCTTTCTTCTTCCATTCATTGTAATTGCATTCTCAGTATTTGATGTATTTTGAGAAGCACAGACATTAAGAAGTCGGTTAACTGCCTGAGGCAACGTAGTCAGCGACATTCTTCGCTGATTTGGGAATAATAAATTGGCCTGAGTGCTGACTCCATTCTTCGAAGACACCAATCTCCAATAGATGTATTTCTGGAGCTCGATTTGTTCGAGATTGTAATGCTGATCTACTATTGGCTTCATTTGACTCGAAACGAGTATGGTTCCCATGCTGGACAGGCGGGAGAGTTGAAGGGCCTCATCCATCGCTGGCCCCGTTACTTCCAAATGCCATTTACTGGCGCCGAGAAAAGCACTCGAAACGGATCCGCTGGCTAAGCCGATCTTCACTTTAATTTCTGATGAACTGGCTTCACAGAATCCGCTGAAAAAACGTCATTGGAACGTGCAACACGAATACGTATCGAGTGTTTTCACTGTTTGCATAGCAAGTTGTAAGACAGTGACTTTTTAAGTCTTACCGTATCATCAGATGGAGATCCAACGCAGCTTGACAAATCCTGCCCTCAGGGAACGAATCGTCTTCGGTTTTAATGGCGACCAGAACAATGTTAGACGAGGAAACCTTGATGAGGTCGTATTTCTAAAAGAAATATGAGTATTATGATTGCTGTTATCTAATTCTTACTTGAGCAATAATGGATATTCTCTGTTCGAATTCGGCGATTAATCTTCCAGAGTCTTGAAGGCTGATCTGAGACAAAAGGTCTTCCATTCCGTCAAATTGGGCGTATAAAACACTGTAAACGGAAATTAAAATGTAAGCCCTTTTAATCACAACTTACCCGGATTGTCTGTAACTAGTAACATTAACAGTGGACATAGTCCCCATATTCTCGTAGAGATATTTGAGTCCATCTTGAAGCTGATTCTTTGGACAAACCGCAGACAGAAGAGTCTCCAGAACTCCCTGTTGTTTCAAGGCTTCCAGGTGGGACATGAGAACGTTGCGGGAATTCAAAAACATGGCTCTACTTAGTCGATTTCTCATTGTATACAAGTAGATCCCAATTCCATTACTGCAGACATGAACAATGACCGTGGCTATAAGCTGAAAGAAATGATTCATTCGAGATTGCGAAATAATATCAGCAATTATGTACATAATACTTGTTGCAGATTTAAAAAAAGTTTCTTTGTTCCTTCCGATGACAAAAAAAAGATTAATGAAGAGTCAGTTGGCAAAAAGTTGAAGAAATTTAAACAAAGGTCAACGAGACTTAACACTTCATTCTTAACACACTCTTTAAAGACCTTAATTACTCACCTGTGATATGGAGAACGGCAACACCGGATGAAGAACGAATACCACCACTTGCGCAAGGGATAATGAAACGCAAATAAAAACAGTCCAGGCGAGATGGAAGCAAAAGATGGTGTACAATGTAAAGCAGGTGATGATCACTGGAAGCAACCCGTTCTGACCTCCGGATATCAATGTACAGCCAGTTGTTGTACATAACCACAGAGCAATCACTTTTAGAATACTGCTGTGATGCTTTTTAGACCGAATATTTAAAATGATGTTCAGAGCCAACGCGAATGAAGCCGAAGTTGTAGCTAGCAAAAGAACCCAATCTGTCCGGAAAAGATGACTTAGGGCCAATAAAATAAGAGTAGTAGTATATATACATAGGGCATAAACCATCAAAGAAACATTCTGGCCGAGTTGGTAGTCCTGGTAGACCGCTTCCAATGCCGGATCTCCAAACCGCCCCATCTTGAACATGGTGTCTAACATCTTCTAATTACTGTATGAATTGGATGGTCATTCCATAATTCATAGAGAACCATCCATTCGGCTCGGAAAGCCCTAAAACAAGTGTGGATCAGGCTGATCGCGAGTAAAGAGGCCCCCGAAAGTCTTGGCTGTTTGGCCGAAAAGAAGAGTGCCGCAATTCCGGAGGTCCAGTTTAAAGAAAAAGCAAGCCCGGCCCGGCCCGAAGAGGGCATTTATACAAAGACCCGCGTTCGAGACCAGTTGCTTCGAAGGGGAGCGATCGGCGAGGGGAAATTAACTTATTCTTGATCAGGTGTTGAGCCAACAAAACCACACAAAAAAGGCCGAAAAAGAAGGAGGGGAGCGGGACCAGATAACGGAGACTTGACCCGGGTTCATAACGAATATAAATATCTCCAAATCCTATACAAAATGAAGAGCGTTAAACGGAAGAGAGAGTAGGCGGATTTGAGTCAGCCCGCTCTCGGCGCAAGAGTAAGGGGAGATGGGAAGACTGGTAGGGGAGGAGGCGCGCATACTTCCACACTTACCTGACCGCTAAGTTCTCCTTCACTTCCCGACGTTTTGTCCTTGAGGGCAATTCCAGTTGTTTTTCTTTCCGGGGAACGACCTTGTTGCATAAAGGAGTCAATAATCTAATTAATTAGATCCTCAGAGTCCCGCAGATCTCTATTCTTCTTTCCCTTCACCCACCCGTTTCCTTTGATGAGGGGCAGTCTTGAATTGACCACTTATCTTTATGGTCAGTTAGTGAACCCTGCTCACCGCCGCGATTAAAAGGCGAAAGCAAAACCGAGATCGTTTATTTTTTGCGTAAATTATATACAAATCTTCAAGATCGAAGCCAACAACAAAACAAGGCAACAACAAGGTGAGGTAGACGGTGACTATATTTTGTAAAAGTATTGTAAAAAGATTTAGAAAGCAATAACAAGCAAGACTAAAGATACTAGATACCGGGGATTGTAGGTAGCAGTACTGCTTAACAGATTCCTAACTTCTAAAGGGGCTAATTGAGCTTCACATCCAAGTCGCTGTTTCCCATCAAGATCCACAAATTCCAGACATTGACTGGAAATACTCTCACAAAGAATCTGAAATGGAGATGGATTGGTGACACAAGCACAGTTGATACTGTTATTAACCAGACATATTTCGGTCACATTCTCTATGCCATACATGTCATGGAGGAAACTATTTCGAGCTCTGAGTTCTCGAGTTCTCTCCAGCCAGTTGCCAAATGAGAAGATATTACTGTGAAAGATCTCTATACTGTCAATCTGAGCGTTGGAAAACGAGTTTCCACTGGCTGAGCGGATGGTAGTTTCGTTGATTAGAAGATAGTCAACAGTTGTAGAAGTAAATGCCAGAGGGGCAATGTTATGAATAAAGGTCCCAATAAAGTTTAGATTATATAAATTTAGAAAAGAAAGACCATACGATTGAGAGAAATAGACATGTGAATGGAGAACATGAAGTTGATTCAGAGAGGGATCTACTGAGGCTATATCGAGGAGTTCTATTCGATATAAATACATAACCTGGATGGACGGATTCTCATTCTCACTCTTCACAATCTTCAGACGTTTACAATCTCCGATCGTGACTACTGTAACATTATCAGCCATCCAAAAAACGGGCTCCACAGACTCGTCGCTGCAAATACACTCTACAATCAACTTCCTTTTTCGGCATTTAATTCCTGGATGTGGTTCATAGTCTTTTTCTTCCACACAGACGTCTTCACTTGAGAGACAGCGATTTCTCTCGAAATTCCAGGCCATTGAATTGATACTTGACTTGAATAACATGGAATTGAATTCACAAGGTGATTCGGAGCAATTGAACGAGGAGTCGATCACATTCAGTTTGTTCACCATAAGGCCGTTAAAGCTGTCTTCTGAGACTACACCGCCAAACGTGCAGTTTTTAACCAAAAGTTCGTCAATCTACAAGAGGAATTGAATATAATTATAATTTGAAATAAAATTTATAATCACCAAAAAAACTGGTTTTACCATGGAACTTTTGAAGAGACTCTCCGGCAAGGAATTAATTTCATTCTGTTCCAGTATGAAGAGAGTTGAATTTATGAATCCAAACCCCTCTCCGTCGATGTAATTAATCTCGGATAAAGTCATCGTTAGATTTTGAACCTGACTTCCAGCCATTGAATGTTTTCCCAATGAGTTGATTGAGGATCCATTAATGGAAATTACGTTAAAATCATTTCTGCTGAAGGCATTTGAATCTATGGTATCCACTCTACTGTTGATTACATTGATCGAATCTATCTCCGACGCATGGATTCCATGTCGGTTTATCCTGTCAATGGACGTTAATTCTAGTGTAATTGAGTTGATTCCCTTTCCTGAGCTAATGGCATGGCTGTGCCAATGTGTAATAATTGATTCTCTAAAGGTAATGTCCTCGATATTCTGAGGAATTAAATTGGGAGCCCTCAGGAAATGACTGATCTTAACTTTGTGAAATTCGATGATGGATGTGTTGTAGAGAAGGGAGAGAATCAATCGGTTGATGACTGAGTTCTGCACCCTGAACCTCTTGATCTTCTGTGTGGGGATTCTGCTCAGTTTTGCAGTTCGTTTGGCTGTTAGTTTTACATTGCGCAATTGAACATCATAAGAATGAAGACCGACAAAGGTAAGATCGGTGGAATGAAGATGAGCTTTTTCGATGATGACCTCGTTGAAAGTTGATCCAATAAAAAGAAAATCTCCCATCTCTCGACAAAGGATCTTCTCTCGCATGTAAAAGTATGTTATGTTCTTCATATGAGCTGGAAACATTGAATATTATTGTTAGTAAAATGAATCTAGATCGGTTTTCTTATTCTACACGGGCCCTTACCGAACGCCCCAGATTCGATAAATCTAATGGCCGCATCTCTGAAGTAGATATATTGGATATTGGAGAGATTAGCAAACGCAATCTTAGAGATCTTCCCAATGCTGACATTCCTCAACCACAGATGATCCATATTGGAAAGTCCGTTAAACGCATAATTTGGTAGTTGGGGGATGTAAGAATCTTGGATTACAAACTGCCTGGGGCATGTTCTGATTCCCCTGAAGGCATGTGGATGGATCTCCACTTGACCCACAGCCATGATCTTGATCTGATCAAGAATATCTACGTTCTTGAAGGTGTCATTGGGGATCACCACCAGATCACACGAATGGATGACCAGGATGCGAGTGAAGTCGATGTGAGTGGTAAAGGCTGTTAATTTGAGACTTGTTTTGGTCATTTCTCGGGCCTGAGGACTCCAGGGCGAGTCATTGCAACTGCAAATAAAAGGATTTAATCGGTTGGTTCCTCTGGGAATTTTATAAATATACCATGGCCATGCGGTTTTCTGATTTGGCCCTGAGTTTTTTTCAATTGTCTTAGAGTAATGAGTGAACTGAGGCGTGAACAAAAACCCAGCTCTGCGAAAAAAACGCACAAGGTGGAATTGTCAGCGTGAAGCATAAAGAAGTACCAAACATAGAAAAGTAAAAACTTACGAACAAACCACGGATTTCTCAGTGCACGCACATCCATCCGGACATATGCATCCGACCCCATCTATTGTAAAAAGTAGGAAAAGGAGCACAGTTATCAAAGTCATTGTGCCATGGAGCGAAGAGAAGACGTCTTTCGGCCACGAAACCCTACGGCCACGAAGAGGTGAGTCTTTTTTATGCGCGAAACGCGTACTGATGACAACGTTTCTCGGTCTGCCCTGGATCTGAGTTATTAGATTAGAGGCGGGAACTAGCGCGCGCCATGCCAAAAGTCAAAAAGAAACGGCAAAATACCGCAAAAAATGACCGGAGGGACTCTTCCTCCGGGCCTACCAAATTACTCAACACTTGACTTGTTCACCCTACCAAATCAGCCCGCCCCTTTCCTTCTGAAAAAGGTCGTCGAACAAGATGAATGAGAGCGTGCTTGGCCCACGTTTTTCAAGACCCAAACTTCCACAGAATCCGCTTCATTCATAGGTTCTGAATCGATTAGAAAGCCGGCTACTACTAAAGGGGAGAAAATCGGATAAGGATTGACTAACGTTCCCTCGATTTAGCTGCATGGTTTTAAAGGCCTTATAATCTAAAAAACATCCGTCATAGTGGCCATAAACCTGGTCTTGAAGAGACGTTCTAAGGGGCCGAGATAGGCTTCGGAATGACCTTTTCTTCCCGCATCTTCGAAACGGCGACAATTACATAACTCTGCCTTTCCTGCGGCCACTTGCTGTGGCACTTAGGAATTAGAGTATGCAAATTCGAGAGAGATGTTCTGACCTTCGGAGCGCAATTGTCTCGGGCAATTATTAGAGCGTAAGGGGAATTGTTTTATTGTTCTAGTAGCCTCGACTTTAAATGACTTCGAAAAGGGGAGGAACATCGAATGTATCCGGCTATTTATGCCCCACAGGCGAGGGAAAGGCTTTGCCCAATAATTTCGCAACTTCTTGTAGGACAAGTTGTAGTACGCAAAAGCAGAGGACCCGACATAGTTTTTGTAGGTTATTAACCTGTTCTTAACACTCTTTTTTCTGGGAGTGTTCTCTTAGACCCTTAGCAAGCCTTTCTATGTATAATGTATAATTCCGTTGGGTACGAAAACGTCCGCTAAAAAAATGTCCGATGAGGTAAAAGAGATCCGCTAAAAAACAGATGGGGGAGTTGACCATCCTGATTTCGATAATTACAATATTTTTTCGGATCGTTGCTTGTTTCTCTTAAGTAATAGTGTCAAACAGTAATTTTAAAAATTTTTTTGGGTTAGAAATTTATTTAGCGAAAAAACAAAAATGATTTTTAATGAGAATTGAACAAAATTTTAAAATGTTTTCGCTTCAGGACAAGAAAAAACAATTTCTGTGCCTATCATGACCGTCAGCAGTGAAATTGGATGAACCCATGTCCAAGAAAAAGAAATGGAGCATACTCACAAAAAAATTCCAAAAATTGTATTCTTACATTACTCATGTAAAATTCAAATCAACTCTGCACAAAAAAATCTTTTTTCCCAAAATCCACTTCTTACTCAAAAAAACTATGTAACAATACTACTTAACAGAAACAAGTAAAGATCCAAAAAATTCATTTCCGAAATCCCAATCTCTTTTTAGCGTACCCTTTTCCCATCATCAGCGGACCTTTTAGGCACTCGCTGTATAATTCTCGTATAATTAATACTTAATAGCAAACGATTAACCATTCAAATAGCAACTTTTATTACATGCTGGATACCACAAAGATGCAGAATTGATTTGACCAATACTATTTATGTTTATTACATTTCCTTTAATCACCAAAGACCGTGAAAAATTATCCTTGCAAGTGTCAGAATTTTAGATGTGATTTTTGACAACGAAAATGCATAAATGTATAGTCCTTGTTTTAAACTAGGTCCTCTCTTTGGCGTCCGTTTTCCCAAAAACGCTACCCTTACCGTTGGCGCGCGTTCAACAAGCCCCGCCCACAGAGTATACGGGTCATATAAATAGCGATCGCGAAGACCTTTTCCCCATCAGTCGCATAGACTTCAGCTACGAAACTATGGCTCGTACCAAGCAAACTGCTCGCAAATCCACTGGAGGAAAGGCTCCTCGCAAACAATTGGCCACCAAGGCTGCCCGCAAGTCGGCTCCAGCCACCGGTGGCGTCAAGAAACCTCATCGTTACCGCCCTGGAACCGTCGCTCTGCGTGAGATCCGTCGTTACCAAAAATCGACCGAGCTCCTCATCCGTAAACTGCCCTTCCAGAGATTGGTCCGTGAGATCGCCCAGGACTTCAAGACCGATCTGCGTTTCCAATCCAGCGCCGTCTTGGCTTTGCAAGAAGCCAGTGAGGCCTACTTGGTCGGACTTTTCGAGGATACAAACTTGTGCGCCATCCACGCCAAGCGTGTCACCATCATGCCCAAGGACATCCAATTGGCCCGTCGTATCCGAGGAGAGCGTGCTTAATTTAGCACTGGATGACTCCAATCCAATGGGCTTGCGCTGAAGCTTCACTGATCCCAAACGGCCCTCTTTAGGGCCACAAACTTTTTTTTATTTATTGTTATCCATAATAAACTAAATTGTATTGACGTGTGGCAATAATGCATTTATAAATAGAAGCCGTCGCGAGCTTGAAACCTCAGATACACTCCGATTTCACACATCGATCCGCCTCCGATGGTCGCTACATGCGGCCAAGTAATTTGCTCGTGAATCAACAAATGCAGTGTGTGGAATCAAAGTGGATCAACTGATATAAAAGCACCGTGCGGTCCCAAATCTCATTATCAGTCATTCTTTGTCCCCGACTCGTGTGTCAATAAGACTCTATTTATTCTAATTTATGTCATTTATCTGAAACGGTGGTATAGGGGCCTCCAGGCCCCTTTCCAAGAGCCATCGACCATTGCATTAATAACAAATGCATCTCAAATACAGTAAAAATATATGGCAAAGGGGCTAAGAAGGTTGCAACAATACAAAATAACAAGTACATGAAAGCAGAGTTATCACTTTTGAGCTGCCACTTGCAAGATGACGGAAGGCATTCCTTGTAAGTTATCGGAAATAACGGCTTTAACCAATTAGCAATTGAAAATTGGAAATTCTCAAGTCTGGAAGAAGGTTGAACACATACAAAAAAATTGTGATATTGGCTAGTAAATTTTAGCATTCTTCAAGATACTGCTTCTTGGTTTCTTTACCGTTTAATTACCACTTGAAGGCGGGTGACTTTAATTTTCAATATGTATTACTTACTGTACCTTTTTCCCCTTCATCTTCTAATTTTTTTGTGTGACTTTTCTGTTCAACGTCTAAAAGGATCCGCGTTGTTCGGACCCCAACATCTTTGCAGGTCACTTTTGGCGCGCGCCAGAATTAACTCTCAATAACTCCGCCCCCTCAGCTGCCTCGCTCATCATTCCCTATAAAAGAGAACCCCCTTCTCTGAGATTCTTTATTGTGTTCGCACAACTCCGAGATCAATCATGGTTCCAAAGCCAACTGGCAAAGGCGCGAAGAAGGCTGTGAAGTCGACCAAGGTGGCCAAGACCGACGGAAAGAAGAGAAGAAAGTCGAGAAAGGAGACCTACTCCGTCTACATCTACCGTGTCCTCAAGCAGGTCCACCCTGACACCGGAATCTCCTCCAAGGCCATGTCCATCATGAACTCCTTCGTCAACGATGTCTTCGAGCGCATCGCCGCTGAAGCCTCTCGTCTGGCCCAGTACAACAAGAGGTCCACAATTTCGTCCCGCGAAATCCAAACCTCCGTTCGTCTGATCCTGCCAGGAGAGCTGGCCAAGCACGCCGTCTCCGAAGGAACCAAGGCCGTCACCAAATACACCTCATCCAAGTAAGATGGGTGCTTTGTTCAGCCTCGTGTTACCATTTTGATCCCAAACGGCCCTCTTTAGGGCCACAACTAATATACTCGTACATAATTGAAGTTGCAAAATAAATGAACACGTCTTTGCTTTATTGAAATGTCAGTGATCCCACATCTGTAAAAATAAATGTAACTTCAGTGTAAATCAAGTGAGAGCTCTTCAAAATGAAGGAGAGCGGTTATGAAGAAAATACATAAAATGTTTGATGATTAAATATAGGATACAGTTGAAATGACATGAAATTTGAATGCACCTTGCAGGGGCAAACGAAGATTTGCTAAAGTTTGTTGCGGTTAAAGATGAAGATCGAGTTGCCAATTACTTCAAAATCACTGATGCGGTGAGTGCCAGTTAGCTTTGCGATAAATATTTTACGACACAATTCTAGCGACAATCAATGAAGCAAAACTGTCTGGTTCACTAAGATTTTTATTTTTAGATGGGCCTTCGGTTGAAGCCTTGTTTGTGGTGTTTACTTGAGATTTTACTGGATAAAGTCCTCAATATGAAATCTAAGCGAAGGAATAGGTTTAACAAAACCGTTCGGAATTCCATTCCACTTTTCTGGCTCTCCGCCGACTTCTCGATGCTGAACCAAAGCGTATAATAAATATTATGCATTTAAAAAGTGGTGACTCTGAGATTTTTTTGGACGCTAGCTTTTTGATTTGGCGCCACACCAATGAGGTCACCGAAAGCCCCGCCCACCCGGTCTTGGTTGGGTACAAAAAGGCCGTTACCCAAATATTATTTCATACGATCAGCCGTACAACTTTCGATCAAGTGAACAATGTCCGGACGTGGAAAGGGAGGAAAAGGTCTTGGAAAAGGTGGCGCCAAGCGTCATCGCAAAGTCCTTCGTGATAACATCCAGGGAATCACCAAGCCCGCCATCCGTCGTCTCGCTCGTCGTGGTGGAGTCAAGCGAATCTCCGGCCTCATCTACGAAGAAACCCGTGGAGTTCTGAAGGTGTTCTTGGAGAATGTGATCCGAGATGCCGTCACCTACTGTGAGCACGCCAAACGAAAGACCGTCACCGCCATGGATGTCGTCTACGCTCTGAAACGTCAAGGCCGTACTCTCTACGGTTTCGGTGGATAAATGGTCTACAGATCCAAGCCCTCCACGTGACACTTCGTTGATCCCAATCGGCCCTCTTCAGGGCCACAAAAAAACTGCTTTATATTTGATGTCAGAAATAAATGTAAACCTTCCCCTCATGATTTAAACAAATATCTTTGTGACCAGTATGATATTGAAAAAGGAGATTCCGTCAATGTTTCGAGTCCCACTAACAATAAGTTTCCATTCAAGCAAAGGCGATATGTGTTTAATTTGGAAACCTAAGGCATTCGAATGAAATATTTGAACGTAGATTCATTGGTAACGTTGTTACTAACAATGAGCCCTGGAACCACATTACTGCGGACATGCAGGATTAGTAAAATAGTTGGAAAGTAAAAGTTGGCTCCTCCTTATTCCGCTCCACGTTTTCAGTTCTCCCACTGCCGATTCTGTTGTATTTTATTTGTTTTATAGTATCGAAACAGGCCCCAGATTTCATGGCCAGAGAAGTGGAATTTAATTTAAACTCTATGGATTGAAATATGTAAATTTATTACACTTACCCACTTTCCGCATAAAAGTGCATCCAGAATGTAATTTTTATGAGAGAGGAGCGTATACTGTATCCTATTCAAGCACTCTGCCTCCATCCAGTCCTTCAATAGGGTATACTGTACCGTATTGAAGGACTCTGCCTCCGTCAAGTGCCTCTCCCATCCCAAACAACCGCCGGATTTTTAATCTATTTTTTGGCGCCGAAACCTCAAACCGCGCGTTTCCGTAAACTCCACCTACTCCATCAGCCCCTATATAAACCGCTTCTCTCTCCTATTTCCTTCATACCATTTTTTGGTTCGATCAGCTCGCTCTCAATCGCTCAAACAATGTCTGGACGTGGAAAAGGAGGTAAAGCCAAGACCGGAGGCAAGGCAAAGTCCCGCTCATCCAGAGCCGGACTTCAGTTCCCCGTGGGTCGTCTCCACAGAATCCTTCGCAAGGGAAACTATGCGCAACGTGTTGGCGCTGGAGCCCCTGTCTACTTGGCCGCTGTTCTCGAATACTTGGCTGCTGAAGTATTGGAGTTGGCTGGAAACGCCGCTCGTGACAACAAAAAGTCCAGAATCAACCCCCGCCATCTTCAATTGGCCGTCAGAAATGATGAAGAATTAAACAAACTCTTGGCCGGAGTCACCATCGCTCAAGGCGGTGTCCTCCCCAACATCAACGCCGTTCTGTTGCCCAAGAAGACTGGAGAAAGTCAAGCCTAAGATGGATGGAGAACGTCACGGCTTCCTCCGAGCAATTCTGATCCCAATCGGCCCTCTTCAGGGCCACAAAAATTACTTTTAATTTATAAATAAATATTGGAACTCGAACATGCTCTCTCCAGTCTCTGCTTTAGTCATCCCACATCTAATTGGGAGTAGGATCTTAGGTCAAAAACAAGATCAATATAGAGAAAGCTTGTGGATGCAAATTATTTTTCGTTTTTTAGTTATTAAACATTTTGTACATTATACTGGCTACCTTGTCGGCATGTCTAATTCCCCCCCGTGTTCTACTCTTGCTCTTCCTTATTTTTGCGCAATCATGGAGACTTGTGAGTCTTCGTGCAATACCACAGATGATTGCACCTGGCTCATCTGTTTGTTTGAAGGTCCTTGTTGTTTGCTTTGGATTGACTTTCTGTGAACGCATGTAAACCGTATTTTATACCATATTTATATGATAAGTGAATAAAAATTTAATTCAATGACTGTTTGGTTCCGGTCCCGGATTCGAAGCGTAGGTTTCATGGAAGGCGAATGGCCCATTGTGGCCGAGTTGTTGCATGGCCAAGTCTTTCCGGACATTCTTCTCTTCCAGTCGTTTGTAATAAAAGAATTCGATTACCAAGATGACTAGAGATATCATGATGCCTCCCAGGATCAGAATAAAGACACCGCCAATGTTCTGGATGGAGATGCCGGTGCTCTCATCTTCCACATTACTACACTCTTGTTTCTTTGCGTTCTTGTGCCACCATTGTTCCTTCAAGGCCTCCAATTGTCGCTCATTCAATAGTTTGAGAATACTGTAACATTTACAGATTGTTTTCTGTGCCTTACATCTTGTTAATCTCCGGTCCCAAGGAACTCCCTTCTTGAACAGCCACAGCATAAGGCTTGCGAGAGAATTCTTGGCCTACTTGTTGTAACTTGCAATTAGTTAGCGTAGCGTACTTAATCTCCATGGCATCTCCAATAAAAGCGAAGCCACTTTCTGAAGTCAGAACTCTTTGGATAGCTTCTTCCGCGGTCTCCGGGAGTCTGGATTCGACCATAAATCTCCACATATTTGTATATTTATCAGAAACCGGGTAATCCCAAACAGCCAACTTGGCCCGATCCATCTCACTCATGCTTTCATTTAACGACATCTTTTTCCAGATACTAGAATAATGTCACAAAATATTATTCTTTTGTCATCAACTCACTCATAGAATTGCTCTTCAATCTCGGCCATTCTTTTGAAGTAAGTCTCGGTTCCCCCGCCTTTCAACGGGGCATATTCGACTTTATATTGTTTGGCCAAGTCATCCAAAGACCTAAAAATCATTGTTTCTTTCAACAATTTTGGTATATTAGTCGACAAGCTATTTATTACATTTCACTTACTGAATAGACTGTTCCAACCTGGCGACAGTAAGAAAAGCAGCCAAATTAGCAGTATACGACGCAATGATAATGAATCCAAACAACCACCATGTAGCCGCAACCAACCGACCAGATATATTCTTGGGGGCTTCTCCTCCTCCCTGAGGCGTTAATGACGTCATACAGAACCAAAGACATTCCTTCAGATTGAATTCCCTCTTCTCCGAGTCATCTTTGTACTTCTCCCTGTTATTTGTATACGAGTATGGACTGAATTTATCAAAGATCCATAACAAAATACTAGTAAAGAGATAGGCTCCAAGAATGCACAGCCAGACAGGCCATTCTAATACCTAAAAAGGTATTTCTTCCACCAATTAAAAGTTAGATCTTACCATAAGGAACTTGAACAAAGAATACTCGACTTCATCCCGCTTCATCAAGATTGTAGTGCCAACAAGGTCATAAAATGGGACAGTAAAGTCGATCTGAGTTTCTCTTTCAGCAATAACGGAGATCGGTCCTATGGCCATATCGGCTTGGCCTGAGATCAGGTCTCCGATCAATCCATTCCAGTTCCCCGTCGACTCCAAAACTCCAAACTTCCTGTCCGAAACTTCATAAATTTCGTATGAAAAATTTAGATGCTCTTGGATCTTGGCCAACAAGTCGATACAGTAACCTGTTAAACCAAATGTTTCATCAGGCCCGCCAGTCTGGACAAACGGTTCTTGCTAAAATGTTGTTATATTGTGAGCTACCGTATCCCTACCAGAATGGTGACCACTCGATAATGTGTGATATTTCTGACATCAACTCCCAACCCTCCAAACTTTGGTCTCAGTCCTTCCACAAACGTCCAATTTGCGATCAATTTGTTGAATTTGGCCTTTGGGAATCTTTTGACTCGGTCAATTTTGATTACAATCCCATTTGTGACCTGATAAAACCAATGTGAAAAGTGATGAGTAAAGGGTCCAAAGTCGTAATCCATACTTTCATCGCGCAACAACGCAGCTACTGTAGCATTAATTTGCACTTGATCTTCTCCGGAGTTGATCTCCAGCTGTTCCGAGTTGTTTCCACCCAACATATATCTCATTACTGTATACATTACATCAAGACAAAAACTGGTCTGAAGATGATTATAAGTCTGTTGAGAGAAGGGGAACTGTTTGTCCAGCTCTTCTGACATTAGGAACTCCGTAAAATTGGCCAATTCTTCGGTGGCCGTCGTCTTGATCACTCTTCCCCAATAAAGTTTGACTTCGGAACAGTTTTGGAAACATTTGAAGGGCATTGTATCTTTCGTAAATACCATCCACGTGAATTTCTCTTCTTCGATTTGTTTCTGCCCTAAGGCAACATATTTCTCAATGGTCAGAGTGTCGGTGACAAAAAGAAGGTACTTGGTCTCCTGCTCCAGTTTTTTTAGTTGAGCTGTAATCAAATCATCCGAATATTCTGCTTTCACGAGCTTCACATCCACATCCATGTTCTCGAAAGGGACCTCCCAATCATACTGTATTCCCCGAACTACAAGTTTCTTCGTTTTCAAAAAGTCGTAGTATTACTTACCGTAATGTTCACTGTAGAGAACGGTTATAGTTGATGAGATATTCATCGCCGCAATAAATTCAAGAAGCATATTATCAAATACAAGATAAGAGGGTACCAAGATGACGTAGTTATCAGTAATAGTTGTTTGGGGCTCGTCTGAAAAATGCAATTTCATAAGGTTAAGAGATCACGACGACCTTTGTAGGAGGCATTCCACGCAGACAATTGCATCTGAATAGTCGGTATATTTGAGTTCTGTGCGGCCACCAGCACTTCTTTACTCGATTCTGCGTTTACAGTCATACTAATTAAGAAATCGGATTCGGAGATTTGCTCTGAAATTACAGTAACAATATTTGAAATGAAAAAATACCCGCCAAAGAGGTGTTTGGCTCCATGTGAATGGCCGTCAACTCCATATCAGTTCTTAAATTGTACACATCCTTGTAATAAGTGAGAGAGATGTTCAACGTTCGAATCAAGGGACCCACCACGGCATCGAATTCATCATAGATAACAGCTATAATTGTAAAAGTTGCGAAGCAACTAACTTACTAACTCTTTGCGAATGAACTGGTAGAACGAATAAAAATAAAACCCAAAACATGGTGAATAAACGCGTTTCATAACAAATGTGGACGGCCAGGTCCTGTTTGGTCATGAAACCTGATACCTGGCCATGAAGAAAAAACGTCTTCTCGATAATTCCGAAGACATTTACATACCTTACGAACAGGAAATGGAGCATCTTCACATTAAAGGCTGCCTCATTTAACAACTTCCACAAATCAAATTGGTGATATTCCGTTTATTCAGCTACCCGTAAGTTAGTTACTGTAAAATGGCAATGTTAGTGCAACAATACAGATCTCAGACTTCGTGGGGGTATTTCTTCTTGATATAACACACCATTTCATCGAATATCGTCCAGTTCAAAGCTGCTGCCAATGTTCTCCTGGACGCACGAAGAAGATATCCGCGGAAGAAAAAGGTCCATCCATGTTCCTTGTACAAAATCAGTGTAGCCTTATAGACGGAGGCCGTTCTTTTGGGATACAATTGAACTACAGTTTTGACAACATCGAATGGCTGGGTGATTAAACAAGCGATGAATCCACTGATTACAGCACAACTAAACCTCGACAAGGTTGGGATCTCTGGAGAGTTATTCCATTCCTCAATCAAACGGAGCTGACGTCGATAAAAGACGAGGTAAAGCCCGGAATAAGGGGCATCGCGCAGTAATGTGGGCATCAAACCTCTCCATAAACCTAAACAAAAAAGTAATAGATAGTAACTTTCAATAAAGATCCCTTACCAAGCATTCCCAGATCTTTGTACACTCTCCTGCTGGCATCAAACATGGACTTCTCGTGGTAAACGCTGCTCTAAACCTGAATTATAAGTTCTCACAAGAATAAATTGCGAGAAGTAAGTCAAAACCACCATTTTCTTACTTCCAGCCTAGCCTTGATCATTGTAAATGGCTGCATTAAAAAAGCAATCCCCAATCTAGTTGTAAAGCCAGTCAAAAACAGTCCTCTCCCATCGTTATCATGAACTTTTAGCCGTGTGCGAAGACAATCAACGATAGATAAATACAAGGCGGCTCCTGGAGCTGCTCGCATCACAGACTAAAATTAGAAAAGAATATAATTTCGCGAATGCAACTAACAGGAACCGTCCCTTTCCACAATTCTAATATTCCGCGTTCTTTGACCACTTTTCTCGCCAACGACAAAGCACTTCGATCCGCGTCATGTTCAAGCTGTTGTTTTAAGGTTTTTACCCGATCAAACGGTTGTGTTAAAGTTGTTCTAGAAATATTAAACATACCCAAGCCAAACCTACGTCGATACTGTGCTGATCAATCCAAATCCCAAGGACAAGATTGCCTGTTTGTTATCCATGAACAAACCGGCCGGGCGCAAGGCGTAAGAAGGCTAGAAATGCACGATACTTCCATCAACTCATTCATTCCATCGCATAGACCACAAAAATCACAGTCCACCTGATCAAGTAAAACGGGAAGAAATATTTTTTGGCATTTCGTTCACTTTGGATTGGAGGAAAGGGTACTAATTCAAAAGTAGAAATTCGTGATGGTCATTTTTGAAAACGGTGACAAGGACGTAGCTGTTTACATGGTCAAAAATACGAAATAAAGGTTGTTCGACGTTATTTATTCAGACAGCGTAGAGAGATTTAACGCTACAACTCAACAATCTCAATCTTGGAGATAATCAGAGAGATGAAACCAAAAACTAAGAAGGCGATCAAATACTGTACATCATGCTGATGCAGGGAGCGAGTGATTTGGTTAGTTTTTTGCTCTTCTTTTGGCTCAGTTTTCGTTTCTTCATTTGCCTTCGGTTTCATTTCTTTTCCTTGTTCAATTGATCCTTCCTGTTCTTCCTCAACTTCCTTCTGTTCTTCAACTTCTGACTTTTCTTCTGGTTCAGAAAGAGATGGGAAAGATACAATGGACATTCCAAGTGTTGGAACAGAATCAATGTCTTTTTGGTCAATCAGTTTTCGAAGTCCCTTTTGTTCTGGAATAAATCCCGTTACTCTATTTAGTTCCGAATTGTCATATATAGATCTACACAAAAAACATACTTTTGATTGGAGAACCGATCACAAAGAATGGTTTGACAATGTGTGAGTATTCCAAAGCCGTGAAACACTCAGGCCTGTGAATTTCAAACAGTCTTTTGGAGATCCTATGAACCATCCAGCACAAGGATAAGTTGGTTTGAGCAGGAAGGGGAAAGGAGAGATTGATTCCCTTTCCGTCTTTCATCTTGTAATCACAACTTATTATCGCATAGAAGAGGCCTTCCGTTATCTTCGAGTTCTGGCCACACATATTGAACTCGTGATCCAAAAAATCGACTGTCTTTTCGTGGCCAAAGTTAAGTTTCTTGGCTTGGCAGCAGTTCTCAAGTAATTGATTCAAAGTCCAATCTTCTTTGGCTTGACCATAAGCTCGGAATAGAGTTAGAGTGTTAACAACACGGTCGTTGGGGACCACCATGATTTCCAACCAATAGGATTTGAAGCCGGCTTTGTTCTCACGGAAAACGGGGAAGTTTTGGAGGCCATTCATTTCGGATAATTGAAGGATATCTGAAGAAAATTGAATGTAAAAAGAAGTATAAAGACTTGCTAAAAGCGAAAATACGATGAAAACAAAAATAATATTTAAATTTGCGATCTACACAAACAGCTTTTAATATGGCATTACTCGGCACGTCTCTGAACTCCATGTCTGTAAATGCGCAGCCTAATATTATTTTTAAATAATATTAAAAAACACATTTTGAGGCTAAAATGTTTTACTGGCATGCCTTGGGATTGCCGTAAATAATTTTAGATCGAAAAGGGCGCGTTTGACCCACAGAAAACCAATGCGACTAGGTGCAAAAGATGAGAAAACCGCACTGAATAACGCGCTTTGTTGGCAGAGAATCTTTTATGCAAGATTACCTGAAGACAAAGCGTCGTTCTTAACAGACATTCTAATCAGCATGATCAATTTAAATTCAATTGATGTCATTACAAGATTAGTAATATCTTTAGTCAAAATGAAATAATATAAATTGAATTATGGTAATCAACAGCATCTTAAGCCAAGATTAATTGACAAAATGAATTAATTAAATGATTGAAATCATCACAAAAATTCTGAACATTAGGCTGTTTGTATTTTACACAGAAATGACTTCATTTTCATTGTATGTATTACTAATATTCACATATTTATATTATGAAATTTCTGCGGAAACGGCCTTGGAAAGAAAGGCCAAGCTTCTCGAAAGTTCAATGGATTTTGATACACTTCCATGCAAAGATTTCTACAGATTTGCTTCCAGGAAGTTTGATCCAGAGTTGAGACAAACCACTTTTGATGACTTGATCAAAAAGATACTAACAGATGAAACTCTCTCAAATCATGTAAGTCTCCTTTATGAATTATAATTGCATTAGATTGAATCAATCAAACGAGTCAAAGGGATCTACCAGCAATGTCTGAAAAATCCCAAAACTTTAATCGACATTGGGATGTCCACAAAAGCGCAAAATGCACAAACCCAGATAAACGTGACGTTTCCTGTTAAGGTGGCAGATGTTTCTGATGACACAGGTTATATGAAACTCCTATTCAGAATGTACAAAATATTATTTGAATATGGCAATGAGATTTTTATTCAAATTAAGGAGACTTTGGAAGCCGGATATCTGCAATTTAACGTTCCTGATAACATCTTGGAGGACAGTGAGAAAGAAGAGATTTGGTGAGATTACTGCAGAATTTTGCAAGTTTATTATGTTACTGTAATTTTTGGATTTTCAGGAAAACTTACTGTCAATATCAAGGATGTGATCCCAAAAAGATTGATTTTGCTTCATTTTATCCCTTTTCCGGAAAATATAAAAAAATGAACTTGACTGATGCTGATCATGAACTCATCAACGATGTGTTTGGTGCACGAATAGACATGAAATTCATTCGATTTCCGGTTGCCGATACGGTGGGGCAGAATTAGAAAAAAGTGATCAATTAGTAGGTAGAAGATCGAACAAAGCTGATCAATCAGCTGTTCGAAACTTGGCTTCACACCCCTCATGTAGCACCACCAGTTCCATGTGAATTTTATATGCAGTATACATATCCCTTGTACATCAACAAACTTCTGGTCGATTATTACAAAAACGATACAGTGAAATTCCAGAAACTTCACGATAACTTCTTCAATTTGGCGAATGCGATTGTCCAAGAGGCGGAGAATACTTTCAGATTCAGCAATGTCCTCAAGGATGACATGAAAGAGTTGACTCTGAAACAAGTTAATGGAAGTCGATTCGCTTTCTTTAACCATTCCATTTACGAAGATAATAATTTCGTCGAATGTTGCAATTTGATTACTGAAGTGAATCCAGCTGCTTCAGTGTATGTGAATAATCTGAGGCCACTCGCCAAATTCAATCATGAAAAGCAGGAAAAGTACTGGTATCTTCCACTAGTCAATGTAAGCCATTTTTATTTAATCTGCCACTTCCAGAACGATGCCGCCCATTATGGGAATATCAACGGTAACTTCTTTAACTGGGGAGTGTTCATGTTCCATTTATATGACAACGACTTCCCTCCCGTGATCACTATGTCTGGCTCGGGCTGGGTGATGGCTCACGAACTTGCTCATGCGTTTGGTTTGTCATGTTTTTAAGAGACAATTTTCTAAGACTGGAACAACCTAGCGATGTTAGACTCGCTTTAAACGTTCGTACTAGTCGCGCCATAAAGTCCTGACACATTTTGTCGCGCGTGTCGCGCGAGAAAATTGGAGTGGCTCGCGCGAAAGTGCATGTCGCTAGTGCAAAAACGGAGAATTGCCGCAACGGGTCCGAAAGAAAAACAAAAATGCACTGTGCAAATTTCTCAGGACTTTATGTATGTCGCGACTAGTATATCAAAAGTTTAAATTTAGCCAAAATGACGAAAATGACGCAATTTGACGTCAAATTGACGTCAGATTGAAAAAAAACAGTCAAATTAACAACCCTACTAACAATAAACAGGGTATTCGTCTAGCCTGTTAATTAGTCCGTCATCATGACATATTTTTCAAAAATAATTTACAGAGTGCCTCAAGATTTTAAAGCAAAAAATGGTATTGTAAAATTCCAGCCGATTAAAATTCTGGCGAATCGTAGCTTTAAAAAAAATTAAGCTTGCCGGTTTTTTGCCAAAAAGCTTCGTTAAGAATATTGGAGGTCGCCTCAGGCGCTTTTCGACAACGTTTGAACTCGTACAAGAAATTGCCCATAAAGTAGCCTTTCTAAAGTCATTGAAAACACTAAAAAACGAAATTTCATTTGCGTCAGCCTAATACGAAACGCCGTCTTACAAAAATCGTTCCTTAAATACATATTTTTAATCGCTAATCGAATCTTAGGTACCCAACTTCGAAAGACTTCCGAGGATTACGCGGCTCTTCTGGGATGTCTAATAGAGTTCTATGCCGATCAGTGCTTCCCCATTGATCCAACTTTTTGTGTAGATCCAATGGATACCATGGAAGAGAACTTTGCTGATGTTTTAGGTAGGAAAACTTCTGAATGTGTTCTATTGTAGGTGCAAAATGGGCTTACTTGGCTTACAAAAAGTGGGCCTCAGTGGTTGGGACTGGAGAACGACCACGCGGGGAGTATTTAGACACCATTTCGGACGACCAGCTCTTCTTCATCAACATGGTCCAGTCCATGGTCGATCTCCCAGGATGGAGTTTGTACTATCCCGGCGCTCAACATGCCCCCAGGCCAGTCCGAGTCTGGGGAGCCTTGGCCAATCTCCCATCTTTTGCCAGTGCCTTTACTTGTGAACCTGGGGATGTTTACAATCCTGGCTTTCGATGCTCGCTCTTTGATGGTCCTATTAAGGTCAACAAGAACTTAACCGATCCTCAATAATTTTTTAACCATTTTTGCAACTTTTTATGAAAAAATTTTGGTTAAATAAAAGCCGAGTGTTTATTGGGATGATCTAAAAATGCATTTTATCGTGGGCTCTTTTGTTTTGTTCTGGCTTTATATACGAATAAATTGTAATCTAATGAAATTGAAAGCCGAGTACATGGAGAAGCATCTAAATATCTCTTTCGATCCGTGTGAAGACTTTGCTAATTATGCGGCATACAATCTCAATTCGACTTTTATAAAATCATTGTATTTGGAGAAGGCCAAGCATGTTCTACAAGAACATTTTAGGCCAAATGAGGTAGGTACAAGGTGACATGACTATTTTTTTAGCCAAAATCGATCCAAAAAGCAAGAGAGATCTACCACAAATGTTTGAAAGACATGTCGGTATTCAATACTACCCTGAGTCTATTACAAATTGAAAATATAATTTCCGAGCTACCTGTTCAATTTCCCATCGGAATTGAGCAAATTAAAGACGACGAGATGTACCTCGGTTTGGTCGGCAAACTTTATAATCTTCTTTATTCCCATGTTGCCGGTCCAATTGATGATTACACAATGCATTTGGAATCCGGCGATCTTTTTATAACAGAAGTTCATAAGCCAGATTTTTCGGAAAGGAGTAGAGCTTGGTGAGAGCATTTCATTTTGAATTTTACGTTTCCTTTAATTTTGAAGGAATGCTTATTGTACTCTTCGGGACTGTAAAGAAAACAGGATTTCGACCTCTTTTTTGGAGACTATGAATGGGACATATGGCCCTCCAAATATTAGTATCATCGCTCTAAAGAAGTTGATCAAGACTATTTTTGAAGTGGATGTTCCATTAGATGGAGTCAGAATCTATTTATTTACACCAGTCGACGTATGTCAAGTTTTAGAAAACATATATTATGGTTCTCAGGATTTATCAAGATCTTCATTTCTGAACGCTTTATTTGAAAAGTTGTTAATCACGATTACAAAACCATTTGTTCCGTCCTCATGTGAGAAGATGACTATATCCGGGTTTTATTTGACCTATCAGAAGATGTTATACGATCATTACACTCACAATACGACAGCGTTTTTGGTCTTTAACGAACAGTTTAGATATTATTCTACAAAGTTACTGCAAGAGGCTGACAATTTATTCAGGTTTGGAAATGTTTTAAACGACAAAACCAAAAACTTTATGCTGGAAAGAGTTAAAAACAAAACATTTAAATTTATAAATCAACCATTCTTTTTGGAAGAAAATTACAAAAAATATGAGGCAGATGTTGGAATTGGGATGAAGAACATGTCGTACCTCATAAATCATTTGAAACCTTTGCTCAGATTTAATGCTGACAAAAAAATTAGACACTACAGTACTCCTTCTGTCTTTGTAAGCGGGATTCCTTACTATGAAAGTCCATTTTATTATATTATTTAGCACTTCTCCGCTCACTCCTCGAGAAGTCAGAATAATTATATCGGACTGAATAACTTTGAATTCCCACAATATGATGTTTCATTCCCCCCAATGCTAACCTTATCTGGCCCTGGATTCACAATGGCGCATGAATTGGGACATGCTTTTGGTACATTGGTTAACATAAAATCTAATAAGAGTGGTTTGAAAAAACATTTACCCTTTCCGGACGAGTCGGCACCTCCTGAAGAAATGAAAGAGGGTACCCTAGTGATGAATACTATAATAGTTACGCTTATCGAAACGTTATTTGGGACCTATGACAAAAAATGTCCTAAAAAATACCCCCATTTTACATAACCGTTACAAAATTTTTGTAACAAGCTGTAAATTAGAAACTGCCCCTAAATTAAAATCTAGTAGTCTTAGTACTGTTACATCCAAGAACTGTCCAAATCCGACTACTATTGAATCTGTTAACGATTTTTGAACATTGAATTTTTAGGTTTCGTGGTATGATGGACCGCACATGTTTGATTCCGGCGGACGACAACCTGATTTTAGGGTCAAAACTTTACCGAAATTAAAAATTCAATGTTAGTGGTCGGATTTGGACAGTTCTTAGATGTAACAGTAGTAGGACTCCCAGATTTTAATTTAACGACAGTTTTTATACTCCCCGCCAAAAGTTTTGACCCCCCTTCTAACTCGGCCCAAAGTGTACCAATTTGGACCAAATTTGGTACGTAGTTTACTGACAACCTTGTAGTAAAAAATATCATAGTAGGACAAACCACTTAGCTGTATTTCAAAATCCAGGGACAATTTTCAAAAATCACCTCAAAAAAACGGGACAAAAGTTTTGACCCCCCTGCAAAAAAATTAAATATCGCCAGCGGAGGTAACCAGGGGCCTGTTTCACTAACATAAAAATAAATAAAAGAGAAGTAGGGGGGAGCGAGAGAGCATCGAAAACGCGTTTGCGAGCGAGAGAAACCGGACGAAAAGCAGAAGTAGCTTACTTTTGCGGGAGTGACTTTTTACGTCCAAAACCGCGGTTGGCGGCAGTATTTTGGCCATAACTTTTTTTTCAGTTGGTCTAGGAACACCCTTCAAAATTTAGAATGAAGCTGACAGTTTCAGCTATCACCAAGATTATTTTCATTGCTGTGGTGCCAAAACCCGTCCTTAAAAAAATCGTAAAGTACGCGTGCTTTAATTTTTGAGAAAATCGACTAAATTTTAGCTTAAAATTCCCATAACTTGGGTTAAACTTTTCGGATTGAAACCCTCCAAAAAACAACACATAGAATTTTTTAAGTAGTTTTAGACAATATGTGTTTTGAATTCCTTTTATTGCCCGATGGACCGTTAATTTTACAGTAGTACGGCCAACCATCTCGTTTTTTCTTCTTCGCGGAATAAAAACGAATTTTTCTCACCAATTTTTATAAGAATAATTACAAATTTCATATCAGTGTGTAGAGCCGTTTCTTAGCTACATTATTTTTTTTGAGGGGTGGCGATATATCATAAACTGATAGAGTTACGGGCAATTAAATCAAGGTAACCTCCATTTTTGACCATAAAAAGTCGTTCCGAAAGGGGCGAACTTTTGATTTGAGGGCTCTTTTTATGACAAAAATGGAGGTAAATTTGCCATAACTCAGCCATAATAAGACCTACAATTGTCCCTCTAAAAAAGCCTCATGGAAAAAAAGATGGGCTATCGACTGGTATAAATTAAAGCGTCAACATTTTGAAATTGACCGAGAAATAAAACATTTCGCATCTTCAGTGTAAATGTGCTCTGTACTTCAAGCTATATAACTAATCTACTCTTGAAAATAAAGCAACGAAATTTGGATATGTTGTAGCCTTAACCGTCAGCTTTATTTGATTTTTTGAAGGGTGTTCCTACACCAATTGAGAAAAAAGTTATGGCCAAAATTCTGCGGCCAACTCCGGTTTTTGGACGCAAAAAGTCACTCCGAAAGAGAAGTAGGCTACTTCTGCTTTTCGTCCGGTTTCTCTCGATCGCAAACGCGTTTTCGATGCTCTCTCGCTCCCCCCTACTTCTCATTTATTTATTTTTATGTTAGTGAAACAGGCCCCAGTTTCGTTGTTTTATTTTCAAGAGTAGATTAGCTATATAGCTTAAAGTACAGAGTACATTTACACTGAAGATCCGAAATGTTTTATTTCTCGGTCAATTTCAAAATGTTGACGCTTTAATTTATACCAGTCGATAGCCCGTCTTTTTTTCTATGAGGCTTTTTTAGAGGGCCGATTGTAGGTCTTATTATGGCTGAGTTATGGCAAATTTACCTCCATTTTTGTCATAAAAAGAGCCCTCAAATCAAAGGAAGAGGAAAAGTTCGCCCCTTTCGGAACGACTTTTAATGGTCAAAAATGGAGGTTACCTTGATTTAATTGCTCGTAACTCTATCAGTTTACGATATATCGACACCCCTCAAAAAACATAATGTAGCTAAGAAACGGCTCTACACACTGATATGAAATTTGTAATTATTCTTATAAAAATTGGTGAGAAAAATTCGTTTTTATTCCTCCAAGAAGAAAAAACGAGATGGTTGGCCGTACTACTGTAAAATTAGCGGTCCACCGGGCTATAAGAGGAATTCAGAACACACATTGTCTAAAACTCCTTAAAAAATTCTATGTGTTGTTTTTTGGAGGGTTTCAATCCGAAAAGTTTTACCCAAGTTATAGGGATTTTAAGCTAAAATTTGTCGATTTTCTCAAAAATTAAAGCACGCGTACTTTACGATTTTTTTAAGGACGGGTTTTGGCACCACAGCAATGAAAATAACCTTGGTGAAAGCTGAAACTGTCAGCTTCATTCTAAATTTTGAAGGGTGTTCCTAGATCAACTGAGAAAAAAGTTATAGCCAAAATACTGCCGCGAACCGCGGTTTTGGACGTAAAAAGTCACTCCCGCAAAAGTAGGCTACTTCTGCTTTTCGTCCGGTTTCTCTCGCTCGCAAACGCGTTTTCGATGCTCTCTCGCTCCCCCCTACTTCTCATTTATTTATTTTTATGTTAGTGAAACAGGCCCCAGGACCTTTTGGAACCGGTGTCCCGTACCTGAACATGGGTTAATAAATGTTTGTTTGTTGAATGCTTCGTTGCATTTGAGGATGCAACGCGTTAAACTGATTTTGATGTAGAGATGCCCAAAATGGTAAAAATCTTGTACTGGCGCTTTCCAAAAGTTTCAAATTATGTTCACATCATGTGATTTTGACGTGTTATAACCTGCATTAATCTTTTCCTTTCGAAAAAAGTCCATGATGGCCTAGCGGTATCGATTCGGCCGATATCCAGTTGTCATGGTCAGCCTTGGTGAGCCATTTGCTCTTTGACTAAAGGTCTAGATGGGGTCGCTAGGTCCTCAATCTAATCCTGAGACTTGTGTCTACTCTCAAAACAAGAATAAACCCCCGCTGACACGATCCCAAATGGTTTGCAGATGCAACTTTACCGATCTGCACCTTAAAGAAAAACCCGCTTTTTTCAAATGGATTTTTTGCGACCAAAAACGATTTTTACTTGGTGGGCCAGGTAATTTAGGACGCTACAGCACCCGCCATATTCATTTGAGACGTATGGAACGCCAAATGGGCGGTGGGGATGGCATCGTACTCGGGCGCATCTACAGAAACGGCAAACTTAAGATTAAGGTGAATGAAACCCATTCCAAAATGTGTCAAATCGAAACCTTTGTGCATGCTGAGAGTAAATAGGAGTCTCAGGATTAGATTGAGGACCTAGCGACCACATCTATTCCTTCAGTCAAAGAGCAAATGGCACACCAAGGCTGACAATGACAACTGGATATCGGCCGAATCGATACCGCTAGGCCATCACGGACTTTTTTCGAAAGGAAAAGGTTAATGCAGGTTATAACATGTCAAGATCACATGATGTGAACATAATTTGAAACTTTTGGAAAGCGCCAGTACAAGATTTTTACCATTTTTGGGCAGCTCTACATCAAAATCAGTTTAACGCGTTGCATCCTCAAATGCAACGAAGCATTCAACGAAAAAGCATTTATTAATCTGTATTCAGGTATGGGGCATCGATTGTAAAAGGTTCGGGCTACATCCGGTTTCGATATTTAATTTTTTTGCAGGGGGTTCAAAACTTTTGTCCCGTTTTTTTGAGGTGATTTTTGAAAATTGTCCCTGGATTTTGAAATACAGCTATATGGTTTGTCCTACTATGATATTTTTGACTACTATGTTGTCAGTAGACTACGTACCAAATTTGGTCCAAATTGGTACACTTTGGGCCGAGTTAGAAGGGGGGTCAAAACTTTTGGCGGGGAGTATAATTTACAGCTCGTTACAAAAATTTTATAACAGTTATGTAAAATTGGGGTATTTTTTAAGAAATTTTATGTCATAAGTCCCAAATAACGCTTCGATAAGCGTAAATATTACAGTATTCATTACCAGGGTACCATCTTTCATTTCTTCAGGGAGGTGCCGACTCGTCCGGAGAGAGTTAATTTCAGGTTCACGGGTAGAAAACAGAAGCCGAGAATTAAACGAAACGCTCCACTGTTTTGAATCGTTTTATGAGAATCAATGCGATCCCATAAATTCTACAAACTGTGTCGATTCCGCCAAAACTATTGAGGAAAACTTTGCTGATCAGATGGGTAAGACAAAGTTTGAGAGCGAAAAAATTGATGCAAAACAATTGCAGCTGTCCATCTGTCGTATTTTACATACAAAAAATCATCTCTAATAAATGGATATGTAAATCGACCCCGAGGGAAAATCCTGGACATCCTGACGGACGACCAATTGTTTTTTATAAACTTGGCGCAATCTATGGCCCCACTGTTTGATTGGGATAATATAACATCCGATGACCGACATTCCCCCTCTTCGGTCAGAATTTGGGGTAGTCTGGCAAACTTTCCAGCCTTTGCCAATGCGTTTAATTGCCCGATTGGAACTAATTACAACCCGGAAAAGAAATGTAGTCTTTTCAATAAACCGATAAGTCCTGACTACAATTTAAAGGACATTGTTTAAAAGTACTTGAATAATAAATTGTCTTTTTATCAAATTTCTGGAAAGAACATCAACGGATAATTATGTCAACGTCAAATATTTACATTATTTGAATTATGCGAAACATAAGCTATATAAAAATTTAAAATCTAAACAAAGGCTCAGTTGAACCTACTACTAACTGACTATGAAAACAGTTACCATAAAACAGATAGTGTCATCAATTATTACACCTCGCATAACATATCGCCGCAGTTTGCACCTTTCCATATGAATGCGAACTGCGCCCTGAAACGGGTTGGAAAGAATAATTTCTTTGCAAAAATTTTCTGTGTTTGGTGTTGAAACAAGACCTCGGTTTACGGGTTTGTTTTTATTGCCTATTATTACTTTACGAATATGGCTTTACGCGTTCAGCACACCTTATTTATCTAATTTTTATCGATTTTAGATATGGATTTTGTTTGTTAAAGTGGATCCAACTTGGTCTCTAATTATCGCGGTTCTTCCACATAAATTGCAATGGCCAACAGGTCGTTTTTCCCTGTCATGCATAGTGGTATGTTCTGGAAATCCGTTTATCTCGATAACAGTAGATTGTGCTTTTTCCATTTTCTTTTTCTTTTTTTAGCTCCACAACCAACATCTCAATTTCCTTACTCAATGCTGCCGACTCAAATGGCGTATGACCCTAACCGGAGCGTAAGTGCACACCCTCCTCAAGCCATTCCCCCAGTTAATGGAAGAGCAGAAGAATTCGAATGGATCGAGTACCTGAACGAAAGCGGAAAGTCTTATTACTATAACAAGGTCACCAAGCAGACAACATGGGATAAACCGGCTAAGTTTAAACCCGCGGCCAGACCTAACCCAGCAGTTGTAAGTGGTTTTTCCTTAAATTCACAGTTTAGGTGAATAAGTACAATATTATTTTATTCCAGACGGTTACACCGAATAACGCGATTTGGAAGGAATATAAAAACCCGCAAGGCCGATGTTATTATCACAACCCGGTGACGAATGAGACGACTTGGACCAAACCCGAGGGATTTCAAAGTTGGTTTACATATGCTAATCGCGTAAAATTTTTTAGGAGAAATTCAGTGAAGATATAAAAATTTTGTATTATTTCAACAGCACATTATGTATTTCTCTCTTGGTTTAATAAGGATTTCTTTATCTAGATGAAGCCCTAGCTATCCCCGAGGATGCCCAACGTGTTCAACCTATTAACAACAACAATATACCTCCTGGAATGCAAAACGCGTCAGCTTCTATGCCGCAATTGCCCCAGACGCATTCGTCAACTAGTACCGACATCGATAAGGCAATGGAAGCCACCTTAAAACAGTTGGCTCCCCCTAATTCAACCGAATTGATTCCAGTGGAGACAACGGATCCAGTGGTGGTTAAACAGAGAGCATTCGAACGTTTCAAGGAGATGCTGTTGGACAAGGTACGTTATTGATTTCTGTTATTTATGTTTCAATTTTAGTACCAAGGAAACAAGATTAACACAAACCAATCTTGGGATCAAGCTGTTCGTTATATTCAACATGATCCGAGATTTGATCTGGTGAATAAAGTCAGCGAGAAAAAGAGAATTTTCAATGAGTGGAAAGCTCAGCAGCAGAAGGATGACAGGGTATGTGGTTTACATTCGTCTTTTGGTGTTTGCATATCTGGATATAATGTGTAATATTTTATAGGATGCTCGTAGATTAGCGGTCCGGAGAGCCAAAGAAGAACTTGAAAAATTTTTGTTGACCTCGGAAAAATGCCGTCCTTCCATGCCTTACCAAAGAGCTGATAAAGTGTTCAGAGAAGAGGAGAGGTGGAGAGCAGTGACAGAATCTGATCGAAAGGATATTTACAAGGATGCAATGGCCATGTTGAAGAAGAAACAGGAAGAAGAGCAGAAGTCTCAAAGAGAGAAATGCCAGAAGTTATTGAACGATCTGCTGGACACTCTCCCAGAAATCACTTACAGAACGACATGGGCCCAAACTCAACGAATCCTGGCTGCCAATGAGTTCTATCTGGAAAACGATGATCTCAAACAGATGGATAAACTGGACGCATTAGAAGTTTTTATGGAGTATATAAGGAAAGCTGAGAGAGAGCATGCCAAAGAAAGAGAACAAGAGGAAAAAATGAGAAGAAGGGAATCGAGGAAAGGCCGAGATGCATTTTACAACTATCTGGGCGAACTAAACAAGCAAGGTTGGTATCTAAGATGATTAGTTTTTATATCTAAATTTACTAACATTTTAATTTTAGGTATAATCAAAGCTAACAGCACTTGGCAGGCCTTATTCCCTAAAATTCGGAACGATTCTCGCTTCTCTAGTATGCTTGCTAACACTGGTTCGACTCCGCTGGACATGTTCAAATTTTTTGTGGAAGATCTAAAGTCGGAATTCGCTAAAGAGAAGAAGAAGATCAAAATTATTTTGGAAAATACAGGCCAAAATGTGAATATGGAGACTCCATTTGAAGAGTTTGAGAAGTGGATTCGGTCTGAAGATCCAGAGAAAACCATAAGTCATGCCAATTTAAGAATTTGTTTTGATCAATTGGTGGATAAAGCGGTGTCAGAAGGCAAGGATTATGTTAGGAAACCTTCGTCGGGAAAGGTTAGTTGGAAAAGTTTGAAAATAAATTATTGGTATTTAGGAGAAACGGAATGAAATGCCACCTTTGACTCTCTTCGAACAAATCTCTCCAAGAATTACGGTGCGTTCAGAATGGGAAGACTACAAGGATAAGATTATGGCCGAATTGGCTCTGTCGGACACCGATGAATTAATGGCCGAGACTGCATTTAATGAGTATATTAAGGCTCTGAAAGATTCAAAAGGAGATGGGAAGGATATCAGTGAAGGTGAGGTTAGTGATGAAGATGAAGAAGAGAAGAAGGAACCTGCGGAAACCCCTGTCTCTCGGTCTAGGTCTAAATCAAGGACAAGGTCGAGATCAAAAAGTGTGGAAAAAGAGAAAACAAAAAAGTCGAAGAAGGAAAAGAAGGCAAAGAAAAGCAAAAAGAAGAAGGACAAGAAGCACAAGTCTTCAAAATATGAAGATATTGTATGTTATTTTTCGAGATATTATTCCGTGTCCGTCTATTATGGGCAGATGCCATTACAGGGTGCGGCAAAAAAATGGAAACTTTTTTCATTGGGTCCTGACGCGAAAATTTTTTAATGCAGCACAATTATTTTCATACCATTAAATTCTACGTACTTTTCTCTCCTAGACCTTACAATTTCATGTCCATATCGGTTTATTAACATTCTTTTTTTGAATGTCAAACAAAGGGACCTCGATTTTGGACCTGTTTTTTAAGCTGTTCGAAGTGCTAATTTGCCCGGTATAGAAACGACGTTGTGCCCAAAGTAATCACACAATGCAAGCAGCTTGTCAACAATTTTAAGCGTCCATTAAGTGAAAGAAAACGCACCGCCGTCACTTCTACCAGCCGCGAGGTCATCAACAGCGAAATCCGTCGATTTGCAGAAAAAATTGCCCGCGAGACCGGTACCAGCGACCGACCAATCGGCCAAATAGCTAAAAATCAACCCAAGGTCTCCCCATACAAGGTCTAAAATGCCTAACTCCTCACCGGCAAGGTCAAGCCCGTACGCCTGAAAAAATGCCAAAAATTCAGACGTCGGGCCGCAGGTCCATGATGGGAGCGCATTCCATTCGCGGTGCAATGTTTGGCGGGTTCACAACCAACAGAACGCCAGAATCCGATCCGGTGAGGCCCTCTGCACGTCGGCTAACGACGAACACCGTCAAAAACCGGGCCGTCATCGCTTTAGGCGGAATTTGTGCCAGCGGCAAGAATTCCGAGATTTTCGTGGACCAAGAGGGCAAAATTCTAGCGCCGCGTTAACCTCGATTTCCTCATGCTTCTGCTGGCTCAGTAGAACCTTGGCAGCTCAAGTTTGGCGTTCCAACTTGACCGAGCGCCGGCTCACAGGGAAAAAGCGAGTTAAGACCAGTAATGGGACCGATTTTCCCGATTTCACCCCGTCTGCGAAAAGTGCGCCTGCTCGCCGGGTATGGATCCAATCGGCTATAATTTTTTTTTCATTTGGAGGCCAGCACCTGTACTACCCGCCACAAAAGTTTTGAATCGCAAAGTAAATGCTGCGCCATGAACGGGACCGATTTCACCAAAAAAAGCTGCGGCCAAATGCCCAAAATTTTAAGTCGCGTTTGGAGCTCTATATCGCCACCAAAAGCAGCCCCGGTGAAACGGGTTGAATATGTTATAAATAATGCTCTATGTTATTCATGATGACCGTCACATTTGCGGAATTTTGATTGCTAGGAAAAATATAGCTATGAAAACAAGTTTCCATTTTTTTGCCGCACCCTGTATATGCAGATTTCTGAAACCTTTGCAAATATCCTCAACGCCCTTGTATCTTTGTAACAACGTTTTATTTAGACTTATTTTTCTTACTAAGTTTTTGCATCGTAAGATGATTGACACCATCGAAATCTCCTAAATCAACTTAAGAAAAAAGTAAAGAATACATGAAATACAATTTTTTACTGATATACAGCTGTGTTGAGGATATTTGCAAGGTTTTCAAAAATCTGCCCATAATGGACCGTCGCCGATTTTTCGTCTTTTGATAGTTATAATATTTCTAAGTTTTAGTCGTCTGATGAAGACGCACGACCAAGAAGAAGAAGAAGATCCGATTCAGACAGTAGCGACCGAGTGAAGTCCAAAAAAGCCCGCAAAGAAAAGGTAACTTAAAATGAAGTAATAAAATGTTGAGTATTATGTTTGTCCTCGATTGATACTACAAATAAATTTAAAGTTACATTCTCTATTTTAATACTGTTTCAGCGTTGAGAGAAGGTGGAAGTGTAAGAAGAGATGAGTGCTTGGTTGTTGGCCGTTAATTAGAAGTAATTTAATATAATGTGATCTTGTCTTTGGTATGTGTTGCTCTTAATAATATTGTTATTGTTACTAAACCTCTTTCCGATAAAATAATATTCCAGGATGGATATGTGTGAAGAAAAAAAGGTTTTCATTCCTTTTGTTTATTTGTTTTCCTGTTCGAAGGTAGGTCCTAATTGCAGTAATCTTTGAGGATGTCCAGACAAAAGTTGTTGGTACTGGAGCAAAAGTCGGTAAGTACAGCAACTTGATCATCTTATAGCGGTTTTAACATATATTTCCGAATCCTTTAGATGAGTTCAGAACTCTTCTCCTTAATGCATGGTGCATTGGTTGTGGAGATACTTAGAGATACGAGAGGAGATCCGGAACAAACCAATAAAGCCTTGGATCAGATCGGATTTAATATGGGGGTTAAGTTGGCTGATGATTTCTTGGCAAAGATCCCCAAGGCTAGCAAATGCTCTGATATTGCACAAACGGCCGAACTGATAGCCAAACAAGCCTTGAAGTCATACCTAGGTAGGAGCCTTACAATTTGTTTTTACTGTTTTAGATACCCCGGCCACGGTCTCGTTCCAATCAGCGACTGTGTTTACCCTGGAGTTAGAGTCCAATCCCTTGATCAATGGGTTTGTGGAGATTCCGCCAGAGTTTTCTGGACTCAAATATTCGACAATTGCTGCTGGGGCAATCCGTGGCGCCTTGAATGCTGTGAATCTGGATGTGGAGACCGAGGTTATAGCAGATACACCTGATCCTACCGTCATCAAGTGTACATTTAAAAATATTATTCATGAAATATTACCACCTTCCGAAGACTAGTGAAATCGGTTTGCCGTATCACAAGCGTTATTTATGCGTGTTGTTTGTACAGGTATTGTGTCCCTTCACTTATGTGAGTTTTTTAATACAATTTTGTAATTATCATGTATAAAATAAAGTGACTAGTAAATTTTGCTCAAGTTTTTCTATTTGTCAAATGGTTGGATTACCATATAATATTTAATGGGGTTGCTAAGCCGTCGACTTAACGCGTTAGATAAGTTTTCAAATTGGTGTCATTTTCGTCATGTCATTGAGTTTGTTATTTGAATTGAACTTTTTTTGGAAGTTTTTGTCACAGAATGTCGTAAAGGACTTTAAATTCTTGGAAACTAAAATGTTCGTTTTTGTCAAAACGACCGATTAAGTAAGAAGTAAAACTAATTGCGACTGATATTGACGGTACTCACCATAGTCTGTATTTATTGCTAGCTCCCATTAAAAACTGATTTGTCTCAGAACTTTCGATTTAACCAAAATGACGGTAAATTGAAAAAAAACCCGTCAAATTAACAATCCTAATATTTCTTGTTCCCATATTTTTATATAATAATACTAAAATCAGAAATGTAAATAAGATGGGGTCCTTGAAAGTACAACCTCCAAGTGGGAAAACCAGGAACTTGACCGATGTTTTTCACTTCCTCAGGCTAAATTCGGTAAAGCCGAAGTACGATTTTGATGATGTCGATATAACTGGAGGAGGTAAGGCGATCTGGAATATAATATAAATTGGTTTGAAGATACGGTGGCCTTATTGGATGATGTAGAAAGCGGAACGGCCGTAGCCTTCAAACAATCGGCCAACGTGACGCCATCTTGGGTCAATGTTCTGGACGAAGTCAACTTTGAATTAACAAAGTAAGTTCGCATATTTTATTGTATTATCTTTTAGAATACGAAGCCGAAAACAAAAACTAAAGGAATCTCAACAGAAACATCTCCAGAGACCAGACTTCAGTGAGGACAGTGCTCTTGCCGAACAGGAGACCATCAAAGACCTAACCGATGACCTCACCGGAGTATTTACTCACACTAGGCGGCTAATAAAGTAAGAAAATTATCTTTTGTTTATCTTTTAGAGTAATCGAGGATTCTGACCGAGAAGTGTTTTCTTCATCTCAACATCTCAAAGAAAATGTGATAACAACTTTGTTATTTGAACTGAGCGCAGAATTATCGGATTTTCGGCAAACTCAATCCGCTTATATGAAGAAGCTAGACTCAAGAAAGAAAACTGTTGATCTTTTCTCTTTGGCGACTGAATCTCAGAACCCATATGAGACCAGTTTCCTTTCACAGGAGGCCCAACAACAACCAGATGATCAGGAATTAACCATTGATCAGATTCAAGCTATCATTGAGAATGAACAGTATGTAAAAGAAAGGGAAAGGGAAGTAATAAAGATCAGCAAGAGTATCCTCGAACTGAATACATTGTTTAAGGTAGGAACTTTATTTTTTTTTCAAATTGTCTTAGGACTTGGCACAATTGGTTATTGATCAAGGAACCATTTTGGACAGGATCGATTATAATGTAGAGAATTCTGTGCTGCAGATAAAGAGTGCTCATCGCAGCGTTCAGAAGGCCGAAAGGAATCAGCGGACCAGGAAGATGCAATGTATTGTCGTTCTCGCCTGTATGAATCTGTTTGTGTTACTTTTATTGGGTCTTCGACATTTCTAACGACATTTTTATTTCATAACAGCAAATGTTCTATGTTATAATTTATTGTACAGAGAGTTATTACGACTTGTAATTGTAGTCTTTAATCCATATATATACTAAGTATTAGAATTGCTTTATTATGTAGAAGTATCGTGCTAAAATTGAATAAATGACATTCCTCACCGCTGCGTTAGGTAGTTTTAGTTTGGTCGTAAACCATTATTACCTTGTCATTATTTATTATTTTGTCACTTGGAATATGTTTATAAATGTGTTTTAGATGGACCGTAATCCGGAGTTCAAGGTGCCAAGTAATGATAGTCTCATGTATCTTTCGATAGCGTTCCTTGGCACGGTTTTTACTGTAATTTTGGGATTTGCCATCAAGACCTGGATGGATGAGAGAGAAAGCAAACGGAGAAGGGAGATCGCAGCCGAAGTTGGAGGAGAATTTGGAAGAATTATTGCCGGAACTAACGCTCGAAATGACGACGACGAAGATGGGGATGATGACTACCTAGAAGGTTAGAGTTTTGAACCGTTTACTGGGGTCTGTAAAAGGTTTGTTGCAATGAATGCACTCCGCAACAACAAAATCCATAGTCAGTTCGAATTACGACGTCTTTTTTTTGGCGGAGGGGGCCCGGTTTAAGGGAAGATGAGCTGAGAAAATGAAAGGCAATTAACGGCCTCGTCCCGCAAAGAGTTTCCCTATTATCATCGTCTTTCTTCCTGTCGGAAGTTGTTGGATGTTTTCCTCCAGAAACGGGCCATTCATGCGTATAGTAGAACTTGAATGTGACATTGTGGCCACTTTGAGGGATAGTTTATGTCATTTATCCATGATTTACAGGCAGTGGCTCCGAAGAAGATGGTGTTCCACGAGATGCTTTTGAAAAGAAGGTCGGAAAGAAAAAGTTGGCCAAACTCCAGGCCAAACAAGAAGCCAAGGCGGCCAGAGAAGCGGTATCTTAATATATTTGTTGTAGATTTTCTAAAATTGTTTTTTTTTCAGATGCTTGCCGAAAGAGCCGATAAGAAGAGAAAGGAAGAGGAAGAAGAACAGAAAAGACAGAAAGAACGGGAAATAGAAGAAGAAAAGGAAAGGAAGGAGGAAGAAGAACGGAAGAAGTTAGCCGAGGAAAAAGCGGCCAGAGAACGTGAGGAATATCTGAAGGTAAGACTCAAATAATCTGGTGTAATATAAGTGACAGATGAAAGAAGCTTTCGCTGTGGAAGAAGAAGGATTCGACGAAGTCCCCGAAGCAGATGCTGAGAATCTTCTCAACCAATTTGTGGATTACTGTAGGACACAGAAAGTTGTAAATATCGATGATCTTGCGTCAATCTACAAACTCAAAGTAGGAGATGTGGCTGAAAGAATACAGACTCTGATTGAAACCGAGAGATTACACGGAGTTGTTGATGATCGGGGCAAATTTATTTATATTACGCAAGAGGAATTCGATGCAGGTATGTCTTTATGGAGAGCGCTACAAGAAGAAAGTCAGGAGGGAAAATGAATCGGAGGCATGAATAACATTCTGATCGCGATATTCTCATCCTGCATAGAAATTTTTTAGCCTTTTTCAAACAATTAAAACCGAGTTCTGTTGCACTTTTCCGACACTTGTAGTTGTGCAAACTACATTTAGACATACACCTACACCCCCTTGAAATGTTGTAAAATAAGGCACTTATTATATTGTAGTATCTTTGGAGTACTGGACTATTTTTAGTGGCGAAGTTTATCAATCAAAGAGGGCGAGTCACAGTCCAAGACCTTGTTTCCTACAGTAATCGTCTCATCAGTCTTATGCCAACAACAGCGGAGGCATAATGGTGGTTGAGAGTGTGCGTTTTTGCACCTCTTGACTGTTGGTTAATTTATTTAATTTCTTGTGATATACTGGTTGAATAAATTTTTATTGAGTTGTTGTTTCTGTTTTATATTGATTTTGATTATCATAAATACTTTGTTTTTTTATGATTTTGTCCTTAACTTACGTTTAGAAAATGAACGGTGACCCAGCTAAACGTGCGATTGAACAGCTCCGCCAGGAGTCCCAGATCCCTCGAATCAAGGTCTCTCAAGCTGCCAGCGATCTGGTTAAGTAAGTTGAAGTCTCTCGACGACTTCAATATAACTTTAGGTATGTCCAAGAGAACGAAAAGGAAGACTATCTGATGAATGGGTTCCCTTCGGACAAGATGAATCCCTATCGCCCCAAGAACAGCTTCCAATGCAAGGTTCTCTGAACATAATCATTACTTTCACTTTCGCAGTATTTCCAAAGTATTTATTGCTTTAAACGTCGTTTCGTCCATTCTGTTCGTTCATCTATAATTTCTGACTCTAATCATGAATAAATAAGCAATTTTGTTAACCATTCTTTGAATAAAAATCGATAAAACGAAGAGTGGTGGACAAAAACGTGTATTTCCAATTTTTATTTTCTATAAAACATACTATTAACAGGAAGTGAAATAACAGTAAACACATTATTCGAAATGGTTCTTCCCACCATTCAGTATCTGCATCAACTGATCCAGCTGGCCACTCACCGTTTGCACATTAGATTGAGGCGGATTGTAATTCTGAAACAGAGACTGGAACTGATTCTGAGGAGGATTGGACTGAAAGGAAAACCCGTTGGGAGGCGCTGAAGTTGTTGGAACGGCATGAAGCGGCCTGAGATCCACGTCCTCGTCTTCTGAATCCGAATCCAAGACAATAACTTCATCATCTGGTGCTACAACTGGTGCCCGAGGTCTAGGAAGCTGCGGGTCATTGGGCAACGTTGAAATCTAAGCGCAAAAGATTAATCAAACAAATTTACGTGACACTCACATTTGAATTTGCAGGCGAAGAGTGGATAGACATCGCCTGTTTGAAGCTAGTATTATCCTTGTCTTGCCACGACAGAAATCCGGGATTGCAGTCATCGGAGGATTTTCTGACGGGCCCCTGATTCATATCCTTCTGAACATTACACCAGAAGCCAGTGTAACTTGTAGAAGGCTGATTCTGAATAGCATCTGCGTCTTCACCGTCCGAATCAGAATCCGACAGAGTAATAACTTCTATAACAGCGCTGCTGCCCTGCTGGAATAATAGCCATTATATACCCAAAACGCACACGTGGTTCACAACCTTGTTTCAGGTATTTCGCACTTCCAGACATGAAAATGCCAAAGTTCAGCAAGGGGGCCTCCGTCAACGTAGACCCGCTATATTTGGTGGACAAAAAACGGTGCGCCTCAGCTTCAATTTGATATAAATTTTAGAGAAAAATATTTTCGCCCAGAATCAAAACCAATTTTCTACAGAAAATATAAAAAATATAATTATAATGAAAGTCCTACTTTCTCCCAGAAAGAAAATATTTAAAGATACTTCCAGATGATAGGTCTGGATGAATTCTATAATGTTTTATTCTTGAATATCTTTTTTGTTCCCGATGAATATAAATATGAGTTTCACGTATTGTAAATCGTGAATGTTCGTTCCGGCGCAGAAGATGACAAAGAAAGGCTGTCGATGTACACTTCAGTGCACTCTCCGATCACACAAAAGTAAAAATCACAAAAAATTCGAATTATTTTCCAAATCAGCATTGTCGAATAAACCTATTTTGAGTATTTCCTCGAAAATTTACTACAAACGCTACTACTTAATTGATTTTACTATTATTATGAAAAAGAGACCCTAAATTTTATAGACATGGATGCAATATTGGCGAAGAAACACCTGAAACAAGGTTGGAAGCTCCGGCTAAACCACCCTATATAATAATCTATGAATAAAATAAGTAAAATTACCGGGATTGGTCGAGGCGGAGGATCAACCTCGGCTTTCACCGGGAAACTTTCCGTTCCATTTAAACTGGTTTGATTACTCGAAGAAGGCGGTTCTTCGTCGCCTGAGTCGTCTATATCAAACACATCGGCCTTACTCCCCACCTTGGCCCATCTTCCATCTCTCATCAACTCAACTTCATTCGCTCCGCGATGGGTGTCGGTGATAATACCAGTGAAATAACTAAAAAAATAAATAATCACGTCACATTCAAACAAACTTACGAATCAACATGCAACCGACTGAAAAGAACTGTTTTATTGCACACGGGGCACTTCCAATTGGTCTTCTTTTCATTAACCGATATAAAATTGACGAGATCAAAACATTGGAGATGCTCGCAATCCAGAGACCGGGCGGGGAAGTTCATAACAGTCCGTCCATACTAAACATCAAGTAATATCTATTTTATGGAAACTTACTGGACATAACAAAGAGACCCGCACTTCAGAAACAGCAATGTCTGCATCTCCACCAAAGTTTCTTTTGATCATACGCAAGGTCTGCTCGTGTAATCGGGGCTGTTTCAGAACCTTCTCCTTCAAAAACTCTGTATCGACGCATCTCACTAGAACGGCAGTAAAGACAAATTTCACGGAACTGGAATGAGACCATCGGATATTGACTTTATGGAATTGAGTGAAGGGACGAAATGCCCCAGTGAGATCAACTGGCAAAGGAGGACGCCGCGACACTTTCTTTCTACCTTCCGTTACCGTTATCGGATCCTGAATATAATCGTGAATCACAATATTAAAGAACATACCGGCAGATGGACGGGAACAGAATCCACCTTGACATCGCAATGCTCTGGATAGAATATAGGCTGCCTCGAATGCATCTTCTCCTGGTAGAATCGACCATGCAACTGATAAACCCGCCTTCCATTTACTTTCTGTTCCATTTTTGCTGTATACTCCTGGGGAATTCTGAATATACATTCCCAATCATAAAACGAATGACCGGGACTCTTGGAAATAGAAGTTGGAGGAACCAGAACCTATAAAAGTAAGAATAACCAAAAGTTAGCAACGATTCCAAGAAAGTTTAGATACCTAAATATCAAACACAAAAAGAAAACATACCGATTCCGTAATAAAGAATGGGAACTCCTCAAACTGCAGATTCTTGACCTCCTGGACACTATTTGGCGATAAGACATTTCCAGGATCGTTCCCCATGCGAGGTTGTTTATTTCTGATAGGTGAACTGTACCCGTATCCCGGAGGGGTGGGGCTCCTCCTTCTTCTCGTAGTAATTGTGGTCGGATTCCTTGTGCTACTACGACGCATACTAAGAACAGCTTAAGGCTCACCCCCTGAAAGAAATATGAATATTTCGAAGAAAGAATAAAGGGTAAAAAATGGTCAAAAAATCGGAGTATTATTATATCCACCAAAAAAAATGCAGACAAGAACCGAGTCAACATACGTCAAAAAATCAATTTCAACGACGCCATCGACTAATTCTCTTACGGCGAGGCAATTTCTTTGTGAGATTATAGCAAGACGACTTACAACATCAAGAGAAAAATAATATATAAAACTGACCTTTCGAATTGCTATAATTTCGAAAAGCGACTATTACCTATTTCTTCATTTTTTGATCTCGATGGTATACGGAAACGTTTTTAATCGATCGTATTGAGAAGACCGTATTGGTGCTAAGAAAATGCAAAATATAGATCGCTGACCTTCGGTAATATATCACAACGTCAAAAATTTGACTCGATCGAGTCTAACTACCCAAAAACCACGAAAAAGTTGTGTTCTTTCCCGAAAAAATGCGCCAAAAACTGGAGAACAAGCCACTTTATACGCTGAAAGATGTCCGAGAAATCACTGGAAAGAAGGCTCGAATTTATATATTATATTTACATATAAGGATGCTGACATACGCATCAAATGTCGTGGCCAGAAACCGCGATTTATTGTCTGTCAGACAAGAAATGCGCAATTCTTGTCTGAGCAGAGAAAAAAAGAAGATATCTCCATAGGGAAGGAGCATAAATTTGCGCAATGTTGCGCAGTTTGAGACAAGAAGTACCCATTTCTTGCCCCCATTCTAACTGGGTCCAAAGTATACCAATTCGGCCCAAATTTGGTATATAGTCTACTCACAACATAGTAACAAAAACTAACATAGCAAGGCATGCCCTATAGTTGAACTTCAAAATCTAGGGGCATTTTCAAAAATCACCTTTTAAGGTGGCTTGTTCCCCGAAATTAAAAAAAAAAAAGTTTTTGAGAAAAAGTTCGGTAGATACCTTTTGTCATGCTCAGCTTTGGCGACCCATTAGCTCTTTGACCGAAGCTCTAGGTATGGTCAAGGCCCTTTCGGGGTGGGCCCTTTCGGGGTGGGCTTTTCGGGGTCGCCCTTCCGAGGTGAGCCCTTTCGGGGTGGGGCTTTCCGGGGTGGGCCCTTTCGGGGTCAAGGCATATACTGGAGTTTCCGGGTCCCGGAGCATAAATAATTTTATTTTTTTGAAACAACTGATTAATTTTATGACGTAATCTTGTAAAATTTTTGAAAAAGATAGAGATGGTTAAAAAATGTCGATTCTGAGGTGGTTCGGCACACTGAATCCGAAAACGTGCGTGGCAGAAGAGGTAGTTGGAACATCTGGACCGGGGCCAAGGGCACTTCTTCTTCGGAATCCGACCCTATGACTGGAGATAGGCTAAGACATTCGCTGACTCATCTCGCAGTTGGACGTTTTCGGATTCAGTGAGCCGAACCACCTCAGAATCGACATTTTTCAACCATCTAAATTTTTTTCAAAAATTTTACAAGATTACGTCATAAAATTAATCAGTAGTTTCAAAAAAATAAAATTATTTATGCTCCGGGACCCGGAAACCCCAGTATATGCCTTGACCCCGAAAGGGCCCACCCCGGAAAGCCCGACCCCGAAAGGGCTCACCCCGGAAGGGCGACCCCGAAAAGCCCACCCCGAAAGGGCCCACCCCGAAAGGGCAGTAACCCTTGAACGAAAATTGGTCAACTCAATCACTGATAGGCATAAAACATTCGCTTTCTTTGTTTTTGACCAAAATTACCGCATGGCGGCATACTGTAACATTTTTTTTTAAAATATATGCCTCAAGATTAAGGTGAATGAAACCCATTACAAAAAGTGTCAAATCGAAACATTTTACATTATTCAGAGTAAACACGGGTCTCAGAATTATTTACTTTGAGGACCTAACGACCATATCTAGCCCTTCGGTCAAAGAGCTAATGGGTCGCCAAAGCGGGCATGACAAGAGGGTATCTGTCGAATCTACACCGCCAGACCAACATGGACTTCTTCGAAAAGAGAAGGTTAATGCAGGTCTAAATCACATAATATAAACCCAATTTAGAGCTCTTGGAAAGCGTTAGGGAAAGATTTTTACCATTTTGGGCAGCTCTACATCAAGAACGTTTTAACGCGTTGAATCCTCGAATGCAACGAAGCATTCAACGGAAAACCATTTATTAACCTGTATTCAGGTATGGGACGTCGATTACGATAGGTTTGGGCGGCATCCGCTGGCGATATCTAACTTTTTTAAAGGGGGGTCAAAACTTTTTTCCCCGGTTTTTTAAGGTGATTTTTGAAAATTGCCCCTGGATTTCGAAATACAACTCACAATTGCCAAGTCTGGAGTTGATGTGTCGTAAGTACACAGCCCACAAAAATCAAAAAGTTCTTTCGTTTATTCATGTACATCAGGTCTATATTACTCGAATAAAGATCGTTTAATTTTATGTATTACAGAAGTAATGCAATCTTATTCCTTCCAAAGATTCCAGTCCATATGATTAACATGAGCATCATAATGAATATAAGTAAACTTGGGATCGTCAGCAGATAAAAGGCGGCAATCAATGGGTAGTTGACGAACACATCGAGTGAGAATAAAATCATGACAGAAAATAGAATTCCGAAACGCTTAATTCATTATATTCAAATGTAAATATTTAGTTGGTTACGACGTCTGAGGAGGGTTAACAAGGTTTAAGAAGTAAACATAAATTAGGGCTCCAGGTGGTTGGGTGTTCACCTGCTTTATTTCCTCATTTTTGGACACTTTCAGTATCGTTATGATGGGTTTGTTGAAATGTAGGAATGTTTTGTGTTTGTTAACAGTTGCTGCAATCTTTCCTTTGTAATCCACAGTATAGTTTTTTTAGAGAGGAACAGCAAATATAAAATTATCCAATTTTATTGTAAAGCTCTTGTAAGGTTATACAGTAATCCTCTCCACGACCGATCTCACTCGTTTCGGAGTCGGCGCATTCTCCACACATTCTTGTAAAGACATATCAGGGCATTCGAATCTGAATCGACAACTGAATCCGTCTTACTTTCCCTACCGGTGATAAAATGTAGTGTTGTTTATTTTGTAGCATCGATGGACAACCCCGTTCATCAAAACATCGCGTCCTAACTCCACAAACAGTTCATTCTCATCATCAGAACAACCTAAAAATAGTAGGTTACATAAAGTATTGCCATCATTTAAAGTTCTGTTGAATTCCTACCGATTACTTTTGTTTGCCCTTGATCTCCACATTGATATCTCACATGTTTCTCGGTCCAGATTTGACCTTCACTATAGACCTCATCTCCTTTCCGACAGCCGAGCACTTGATTACGTTAAATCAGAAGAAATGATATTTCACTTACAGTTTATGGTATACCTTATCTTCCCTCCGTCCATAAGCTCACAGTTATGTTTATGTTTCCCTATAATTCTAGATTCACCAAGAAAAATCACGTCATCGGTCCGGTTTTGCACGTAACATCCTGGAATGATTTTCGACCCATTATCCTAAGTTATACATACCACTTATTGCGACACCACCATCTTTACAAATCAATTTAAAAGATCCGTTTCTATAGCTTTCCCCAACGTCGTAATGGATACCGTTTTCAAAACAGGTGGATTCTAAATTATTACATTGTACAGTTAGAGTTTGATCTTACTTTGTTCGTATGTTACAGTCTCCCCATTCACATTACACTTATGTCTTATACCATTCTTCAAGAACGTTCGGCCAATTTGAATGACAGACATGTCGTCGCTAACACAAGCTGCAAGAACGTTGCTCACACTTATTCTAATAAAGTAATCGTGTAAAACAGTCTTACCGATGACTTCAGCGGTTCCATTTTTACAAGAATAATGAAAGTTCCCTTTAGTGAACGTTTGACCATGTTCATGTGTACCGCTGTCAGCAACAATGCAAGGTAGCGGTGGTTGCGGTCCTTCTTTTACTAAAAATCCCGTACATTGGCAGCACAATCTAGGTTACCTTGAGGGATAATAAGCCTGTTTTTTGAACTCTGTGGATCTTCTCCATGAGGGACCAATATTATAGCATTATCCGCCTCAATTACAGTATCTTTACAGTAAGAAAATAGGAAGAATAAGAAACTAGCGACCAGTCTGAGCATAAACATGCTTGACAACAAGTCGTTTTGACCACAATTTACAACGTTTAACTGTTGGGTTAAGAGCCGAAAACGTTCCGTTTAATGTGACGAAAAAGGTTGAAAAACTAAAGATTTCGCCGTAAAACGACCCGAATCACTGTTTTACAGGTAGGAGGGAGAAGGTAAGGCGAATGAAGGCAGAAATCGGTTCAAAAAAGTTACGTAACCCCGAATTTAGGTCAATTACAATTCAACTCCATACCGGAGCAGTCAATGGTTTGTCGTTTATTACAAAACAATATACGTAATATCTTATACAGCAGTTATAAATAAAATTGTTGGACGGTACAAAAATCCCAAGATATGACTTTTAGCCCTGAGAATCGGAAGAAATAGAGGCAATGATTACCAGTTGGTACCGATCTCGAGGGTCCAATTGAAGGTGGCGTAATCGTTCTCATCGTCGTCGGTGATCTTCGACGTCACAGAGTATTTGCCGCGAGACATCATGCCTGAAATGAGAAAAAAACGTAAATAAAACATCGCTTACAAAACAACTTTTTTCAAAGCGCACTCTTACCCGACGGTGCATTTTCCCAGGGAGTCAAAAAAGTTTTGATTTCTGCCGCGGGTCCATAAGATCCTATCATATAAGTTTCCTTGGCCACTCGGATGCCCAATCGGCTTACACGGTGAATATAACGCAACCCTGAGACAATCTCTCGTTGAACATAATACTCAAACCGCAGTTGAAATCGTTCTCCTTCCTTGATCTTCAGGGTGAAATCGGACTCTGAAACTATTTTCCATTATCATATTCACTTACGAAGAGGAATTGAGAATTCTCCGACTGTTCCATGATCGGCTAGAATTGCAATAGTCTTGACAATCACTCTGTTGGGGTTACTTGGATCGACCACGACGTTGTCAACAAAACTTCCCAACAATTTCTGTTTGTACCTAAAAAAATAAAAAATAGATAAAATAATTATGTATAACATAGCTTTACTACTATTACCGAAATAATTTATATAACTTACTTCTGAAGACTTTCGTCTTCGGCGTCGGCTTGAAGAATCTCCTTCAGCTCTTTCTTGGCTGGAGGAATGTATTTTGACTTAATCTCGTCGTCGGATTCATCAGAATGTTGCACATTTGAGGTCGATGCCATAATCTGAAAGAAATGTTATATCACGAGAAGCGAAGACAATTCCGAGAGGCACATCACGGTCGCCGTAATGCTTGAATTTCCGCCCAAAAGTCATTCCCCCGCGCCCTCTCTTATGAAAAACAAGAATGGCACTAAATCGAATAGAAAGTAAATAAAAAAATTCAGCAGTTCATATGTTCATGTGGTGGAAAGATGGACGGGGAGCCACGAAATTAGCGATTAGCTACACAAGATACTATAAATGAATGAAAAAAAGTGGGACCTAAATATGGAAAACTATCTGGTAAAGATAATCGATGTCCAAAGAATATATCAAACCTCCCCAAAATACACTTAAAAAACAACTTGACCACGTATATGACTAATCATCCCAAAAGACTTTGTTCATAAACACCCAAATGGAGCGACTCTCGACCGAATTATGAAGTCTTTCCCGCTCTTATCTCTTCGGACATTCACCGCGCTCACCTAACGATCTCCAATTCCAAGCTTAGAATTTTGTGACTCAGGAACCTTAAAGAAGCAAAAAACAAGAAATGTTCCCGCTGAGGTCTTGTTGCTTCCTTTTGAGAGGCCAAATCACTGGAGAAAATGTCCCAAAGGACCGTTTTGTCAAGGGTTTCCCCCTTCTGGCACTGGAAATGCCATCAGCATGTCTTTTGTTTCAACCAGAGAGATGCTGGCTGTCCACCACCCTAGTTCAATGTTAAAGTCAAAGTCACAATAAGCGTTTAATTTTGATTTTCGCAAGACGCGACAAGAATCAACAAAACTCAACGTGGACAAAATAAATCCTACTTCAGGAGAAGAAAGAATAAATTTTTCGACAGGTGAAGCCTTGTTTAGGTCAATTCAAATGGGCAAATCAAAAAAAAAGGAAACACGGCTTTGAAAGAAAAAAAATCACACTAATTTTGTCGCAGAGAGCTACCGGATCAAAAAAAGCTCAGAAAATGAGGAAAGCTAAAGATTCGACGTTGTTGTAGCAGTAAAAACCTAGATTTGAATATTTTTCGTTTGAAAAATAAATATTTTATTTTTTAGGGTCAAGTATTCCTCTAAAGTTGGGAGACTTGGCTCATGTCAAAGACAAGGGCAAGAATTCCCTTTTTGGCCAGAGGCTTTTTAGCTACTTGGGAAAACCAAAAAAATCTGTTTTTTTAAAAGTTTTACAGCCTTCTGTTTCTAAAAACTTTTATGGGTTTGTATTCGAGTTGATGATGTAATCAGCTTGTTGATAAGCTGATAGTATTTAAAGCGGTTTGGCGATAAAACCACGATTTCTTTCGTTGAAGAAAAAACAAATTAATTTGTTGTTTAAAAGTTGGATTCTTTTTTTAAAAGTTTTTACATAATTCAAGGTTTAACCTTGGGTTTATGTTAGAAACCGTGGCAATAAACCGCAACCTTTTAAGAGCGTTTTTGAAATACAATTCCCCAGATTCGTTTATCCCCTAGCCTTGTTTGCTATTTTTTTAACTGGGGGAACTTTTATCTTGCTTGGTGGCGGATTTTTTACTTCAGAATTCCAAGTCATTTCGCTAGAATCAATAACAAATGCACGTTATTCTTTGCGGCCACAATGAAAGCTCCTGCCCTAATTTAGTATTTTTACATTCCCGGTTCTTGCTTGACCCGAAACACTGTCTTTTTACGTCCGAAAAAAATAATTGTGTTTCCAGTGATGAATATACCATCCACATCCAATGCGGGAAATGGGTTGAGTTTTCGATCTAAATTACAATTGAAGACGGGGAATGTCCCGCCAAATCTGCTGATTGAACCCACAAAGAAACCAAAATGTCGATGTATAGGAAAACTGTTAACAGAAATTGCAGTATTGAAGAATAAAATAGCTAGCTACGGTAAGGGTAATCCGTATTGCGTAATCATAAATGCGTTGGATATAAGGTTTCTTGAATTTAGGTGATGAACTTCCCATTTCATATCAATCCACACGCTTTGGTCAATTGTTTTTCGATTTTGTTCTCAACTCAAACAACTGTTCTGATAAGGATTGCCAAGTGAATCAAGATGATATGTTGTGGTATGTTCCTATGACAAGACAACCCTCAACAAATCTAACTGTTGGCCATCAAGTTCTTCAAGTATTCAGAAGATCGAGTCCAAATAAGCCATCATGTTTTGATGACAATATAAATTGGGAGGAGACAGTCTGCTTAAACGTGATATTGCAGCAGGTAGACATGCAAAATGGATGATATATTACTGTTAATATTTAGTTTGATTACTATGTTACAGTAGCAGTTTGTATTCGAAGTCAGCCAAACAATCTTCAAATTCTGAAGAAGAATTGTCAGGTATTAATTTCTGTTTTACATGTCTTACAATTACAAATTACTATATAATGCTTTAGAGGGTATACCCGTCACCGTCCCGTCGGCGTATGGATGTAAAAGGTGAATGTGAAGAGATGACTTATCCCAAAATTTACTTTGCCATCGATAATTTTGAGACGGTTTTCTCGGATATCGTTATTACCGAGAATGAATGCGTTTGTGTTGAATTGGTAGCCAGAGATCGATTCAGAGATAAAGAAGCCGTTGTCTTCCTGGGGTCCATTCGCTTTGATGTGCTAAAAAAGCTGTACGATTCACGGGTAAGTTTAATACGGCGTATTGTTTGAATTTTAATGGTATAGTAACAAATAATAGCTTTCTCTTCTGTAGGGAAATTCAACTTGGACATGGGCGCAGAAATTAGTAACCGCCACACAACGCCGTCATGAATTTGTGAAGATGAGGGGACCCCATGGAAAAGGGTTCGCTGAAATGGCTGTAGCTCGAGTTGCATCACTAGGATTCGAAACCCCGATGAGTGAACGCTGCTATGACATGTCAGCATCGTGCGATTCTAGATGGAACACAGATCAGAGGCGGATGTCAGATACAAATATTTTTGGAAAACTTCTACCCAAACGGACAGCACTTACACCCGGTCCAGGGCAAGATGGGAGTGCATTTAGTTTACAGCCAAGAAACAGAAGATGGCAAAGTGATGCTGACAGCATGAATAATGACTCCGACTTTGATGCTAGAAGTGTTGTGTGTAAGTTTGATCAACATTTTTTTTTCATTATTAGCCGAGACAGCATCTCGCCCAATGACCACAAGCCAACAAGCTGATTCTGGAAGTAAATGGTCACTGAATAGTTTCGGCAATGCTCTAAGCTGGTTGAAAGAGAAGAAGGAAACGCCCGCACTAAATGCCTATCTTACTTATGTAACTCTGCCTTGGCGGTGCATTATAGATGGTAAGAAGTTTACTGGTTAAAAAGTCATCAATTTTAGATATGCTGTTGACCAGTCCTCGGAAACCAATATTGACCTTCGATTTAGATTACTTGGAGCAATAGTTAAACCTGGCTAACAACTAATTAAATAATCTCTATAGTTCTCTCGTGATCCAACTGATCTCACAATTTTCCTTTTTATTGAACTTAACGCCTATATTATCAGTCTACTTTCATCTTCAAGTCTTTTAGTTTTTATAAATAAGTGTTAAATGTTATCCGAAATAGCTGCAAGTTTATTTTGAGATAAATAGATTTACGTTATTAGCTGTAGGTTACTTCGAGTAGCTAATGACTAAGGTTTGATTCAAGCGAATACCGTAATGACAATTAAAATACATGTTAAGGTTGGAAGGATTAGAAAATGGAAGATATCACGCATAATTTAAAGTAATATAAGTTACAAGCTTTGGTGCTTAGAGGCCGTCGTCTGGTTTTTGTTTCTTTTCAGGTTGCTTGGGAGATGGTCCTTGGCCTAGCCATTCGGCCACTTCCTTGGCCTGATCATCACTTAACATGGGCTTTTCCATGGCTACAGTTCGAAGAGATTCAAGTTGAGGTTCATCTTGCGGGGCCTGTTTCTCAACGGATTTTCGGTTTCTATAATTATTTATAATCGGTGATTTTGAAATATTGCGCTTACGGATCAGTGTCCTTTGAGGTTCCCACTCCTTCATAAACTCCGAATGACTCCAATTGTTCTCGAAGTTGTTTTGCATCCTCCAATTCAGGTGTTTCCGATGGGTTTTCTCCATTTCTCTTGGCCATATACCTCTTGTACTTCTCGAAGCAGTTGTTGATCTCTTGGTTTACAGTAATCAGCTCGTCTGAAATGGAAAAGTTAACCGTCCTTAAATAGAGAGATAACTTACAAGTCACGTCATCGCTGTATTCGGAGTTGATGAGATCCACGATTCGGTGTTGCATACTCTGGAGAGTCTTATGCAGATCCTCAATCAGTTGGAGTTCTTCAGGAATTTCCTCCCCGGGGGTAAGATCACTCAAAAGATCTCGAAGTACGGTGATATTGACTGTAACAATATCAACATCAGCCCTAAGCTTAGTCAACGGATCCTGGACAGCTGCTGTGTCTCCGGTTTGAGGTTGACCGGGCAAAGGAGCGGTTGTCTAAAATTTAAATTGACATTGCCCTCTTTTTTACACACAACTACAAACAAAATACACAACTGAGAAAACAGAACATACGATTCTCTGTGCAGAAATAAAATTTCCCGTAGCCCCGGCTACTGGAACTGGAAATGTCTGGAGAGTGGCTTGCAAGGGGGTCGTTTGATTTTGGGTCGCTTGTGCAGCGGGTGGAGCTACTGGCTCAGTGAAAACGGTCTACAATACGACATCTACTATCACCAACACGATAAAAACCAAAAAGGAAAAGCAATCAATAAGCGCATGCTTTAAATTACAGTAACTTACCCTCTTCGGTGTGATTATGGGAGCCATTTTATCAAAGTCCGTGGCCGGAAACTCGACTCCCTTGGCTCTGAGTTCGTCGTAAACTTCACAGACTCCAACCAGAGCTGGGTTTCCACGGAAAGCATCCGCCCAAGACTAAAATAGATTTCTTTCGTTATTTCAAGCCTTACATCACCGAATTATCCACTTAAGGGTGATGACATACCTGAATAAGCTCTAGAACCCTCTCTTGAACTGCCTGAGGGGCATCATACTTCGCTCCGATCATCCTGACCAACTCATTTATGAATTCTTTTTGACAAACAAGCGCTTTGAATCTTTGGTCACAATTCTTAACACAAGTTTCCAGGATTGTCAATGTGTACATCACAATCCCATTATGTTTTCCCATCTGTGTTTCCAATCTTCTCTTAACGGCCCGAAGGGCATTCCTTCCTCCATCAATGGTGTAGTTGATGTAATCGCAGATCTCCATGTTCAGTCCCCAATTCTCAGTCTGAAGGCGGTCAGCATCTGTGGCCAATTCTAAAAGTATAAGGTGAATATTATCCAGGGATGACATCTAAAAGTCAACAATGAAACAGAAAATAACTTACCGATCTTCTTCCCGACCTCTGTTTCGAAGGGATTTCCCTGAAAGAAATCACTGACCTTGGTTGCTGCCTCGGCTACAGCACCTTTAGCCTGTTCCATAGCAGTTGTGAGCTGCTCCGAGACCTGATTGATACGTTCCTGGTTCGTCGACATGCCTACCGACCCGCGGTTCTTTGTTCTGTGCATATTCCACTATTAGTTACAATAATAAAACCCGAATTATAGGAATAACAATCCTACGCGCATATAATCTTATCAGTGGTAACCCAAATATGATAAAAAAATTGTTGTTCTTCAATGTTTTCATGCGAAATTTATCCACAAATGGGCAAAGCAACAAACATTGGCCTGCGGGCATGAGTGCGCTTTTTTGAGAGTAAAAGAGGAAAAGGGGGAAAGAGTAGAGTGGAATGGGAAGAGATGGTCGGGAGCTCAGAGAATGGGGAAGAAAACACTAAAATTGGAATAATTTGGGGTAACGAACGCCTCAGGGGGACAAAACTTTCGTTTAGTAAACTCCTATAAATATCAAAGAACTATGCACGCGATGGAATTTTCAACACCTTTTCGGTAATCAAAAACTGAAATATCAGAGGTTTGAGTCACGACTGATGAAATAAAAACATTCGCATCAGCTGTAGAAAGCAGCTTTTAGCAATTTTGTTAATAGATCGAGAACGGCTTATAGCCTACATTACCTAAAACAACTTAGCTTTCATAAAGGAAATTATTTTTATGGAACAGTATAACTCAAAATCTTTGTCTCCTTCCACTCTCGCGACTTTAATTAACTCTCTTTTTACCGCGGTCGGAATTTTTTCGGGGTCATTTTCCGCTCAGAGCGATTACTACTTAAGAATATATATTTGTTCGCGGTCAGATTTACTGGCATAAATAATGTAATACAATTACTACCAACATATATTAATAACCAATACCAAAAATTTATCGCGATTTAAAGTAACCTTGGAGGTCGGTTCAACCTTTAGAATAGAGCAAAAAAAATAATAGATACTTTATGACCAGTAAAAGACACTCAAATATTACTTTACAATGTTAGTCTGTACAATTTAATAGATTTAGACCGAAAAAAACAAAAATTAACCAGTGATGATGGACATGTTAAAGATAAAGGCACACGATGGGAATACTATAAGATTGTGGAAGCTTAGGGAGAAGCACCAGTCAAATCAGACTCGGATCTCCAGATAGGACTCTGATCAAGATGCCCGACCAAGGGATTCACTCGAAGATCGACCCGAATCTTTTCAAAATCTCGTGAAAAGGAGAGGATAAAGGCCATATTAAGGAGGGCCAATATCCATTCAGCCAATGCGGAAACACAATGCAGTTCATATCCCTAAAAAAAGAGAACAAAGTCAGCAATTATAATGTAATTACTGCTAGTAGAGAACAAAACATACTTCATGCATTTGCTTATGAGACCATGGCCGTGGAGTTGGATCATTTGGATGGAATTTATGAAACTCGTTGGCGGCTGCTACTCCATAATACACTGCTGAAAACAGGCCTCAAACAGTTGACGTATATTACAACTTACCCACGAAGAATGAAACTACACTAAACCCGGCTAGAACACTCCGGATATTGGCTGCCCTTCGACCCGCGAATAAAGGGCACATTAAATGAGAAATTATAGCTTGTAATACCATATAAAGACCGCCGAAACCAAAGCAAGTGAAGGCCCCAAACAAGTGAACTTTTACAACGGCCGTCTCCTGGAAGTTGGCCACGATAAACATTCCAATACCCCCGAAGGTCCCAAGATACAGTGCAAGCCCATTCAAACGTTTCAAAAATAAATTTGATGATCGATTGAGTTCAGCAATCAAGGAATACCTAAATTAGTCCCAATTGTTTTGGTTATTCTCAGGGTTTCGGTTGTAAAATAAAAATATTCTCACCGAAGATGGACAATTACTATCGAAAGAAGCGCACACAAATTGAGCAGCATTGAGAACACACAACTTTCTGGCCGATTATCTCCATTGGCCGAGATGTAAGGAAAAACGGGATCCACATCTCCGTGATAAACCGCAAAGCAGTACGTTGCTCCTGAAAATGCAATAAAGCATCAACATCAAGATATAGTCCGGATAATCTGGAAAAATCAACAAAATGACTCATGTTACCTAAAGACACACCAAAAAAATCAAATAACTTACCCAACATGGCCGTGAAGACAATGGCAAAAAGGACAGGTAGATGGCCGGCTCCAAGCCGACCCACTTGAAGAAGTCTCATGGCTCTCGGATAATCTTGAGTCCGAGAAAGAGCGGCGGCGCCTGAACGGGCCGCTAAATCAACGCTGTAAACGGTGGGCAACATTTAATCCATATTTAGCCAAACAAAATCACGACGGACAACAGCGGTAAAGACAATTATCACAGAAAATATCCGAAGAAAACAAAATTGGTCCAAATGGATTTGCATCCATAATAAAAATCATGTGGAAAGTAATAAACAAAGAAACAAATTGGCAGAAAAAAGCAAACAATCTGAAAATATGCCGAACAGTATAATGAAACTAGATACATGGCAGCCCACGTCAAGCACATAATTCTTTATATAAATTATAAAAATCTCCCTGTGGTCAGATCTGAAATTTTTTTTTCGAATTTTTCACGTGAAAAATATTTCTTTCTTGACCACAATTTGCAGAAAGCCAACGCCAAAACTATTCGTGCAAGGACCCCCGAAAATGGATCAACTGGATGCATCGATCATGAATTATAATACACTGCATCGGAACAGCAAGTATATTTTTCATAACACGAATTTTTATATTCGCTGTGTCTTTTGTTATCAAACCAATTGGTATTGAGTTTTGATAAAAACAAAACCATCCCACCTTTGCAATGACAAAGTAAATCTTCATTTATCAAGAAAGTTACAAGTTCTAAAATCAAGTAAAACAAAAATTAATGTGAGGAGGACCTGCGAGAGATTACGAGTATAAAGGACAGTGCACGCTGAACAGGGCACCTATACAATCAAATAAACCCATTTCTTGTGAAAACAACCAGTATGCAAAAGGCGGAGAAATGGGGTTTAGGATTACTGTAGAGTTAAACAAGAAGATAAAAACGAAAGCTCATTCTGATTGTCATCTGGAGGGAAACCCCGGAAGCAGTAAGCACTCATCACAACCAACTGCAACTCTAAAAAATAAAATATCTCTTCAAAGCCGTTGTAATGAGAGCATACTGGTGACATTAAACTATTGAGAAATGATTTCCGTAATAGAAATACAAGTACAGCAACATTGAGAAATGAGCAAAAAAGCCTTAGAAGGATAAAGGGCCAAAGATTCAAAAAAGTTTGCAACGGGGAATATTGGGAGGGCTGAGGCTTTATAATGGGATTAAAAACGAATCGGCTAAAATATCAGTGATAAATCTAACAACTACTGGTAACAGCTAATTCAGTTTTTGCTCCGCGGAAATGCACAACACCAACTGATTTTGTTTGATTGAGATTTCCGTCTAACAGTTACCTTGCTATAGATAATCTAACTAGGGATTGCCCAAATCATTGGGAAATGCCAGAGAATTTTAGAATTAAACAAGTTTTGATAAAAATTTCAGGGATGTTAGCCCGTTTAAACAAAACAACTAAGAAGAAAGACAAAATATGAATAACTTTAGATTTCAATTGCCTCTGAGGTCGGGGAAGTCTTTATCGGAGAGAGCCGGGCCATTGGTATCCACACTGGTCGCTTGACTCGACTGACTGTTATGATGTTGGCGTGAGCTGAAGTTTCCCCGCCGACGATCAGGCGAATTTTTGTTATGACGACGATGTTGTTGTTGCGGAGGAGGATTTGATTCAACGTTTTCCTAAACAAATAAAAATGTAATAAAAGCGTTTGTCTAACCTTTACTTCGACCCTTCTCCCATTGACAAGATGACTCTTCCCAGATTGTAAACATTTATCTGCAGAGACTTTGTCTTCGAATACAACAAATCCGAACCCTCTTGGATGCCCCACAATCTCGACTTGTTCAACATTACCGAACTTTTCGAAATGTTGCCTTAAGCCATCAACGGTGTGGTAATCCCAATGAATGCCTAAAAACAGAATAACATAATCTCAAAAGACACCTACCAGTCAAAGTAATCTTGCACCCTGCTGGGGGTTCGGCTTCAAGGAAGTGAGGGGGGTTGTTGGGAGTGAGAGGTAACATGTGTTCGCGAGGTATCGCCCGTTTCGGGTCGACTACTTTCCCATTGATGGTATGCGGCCGTTCTGCCATGGCTAATTCGGCCATCTTTATCGTCGAATAAGTCACGAAGCCGAAGCCGCGAGAGTGTTTGGTCACCGGGTCTCGGATCACAATGCAGTCCACTACCGTACCCCATTGTGAATAGTAATCGCGGAGCTTAAAAGGATGTTTTTTACTTTCCCGCACACTTGATTTATACAGAGTTACCAACGTAAAATGAATTATTCTTACTTGATCATCGGTTGTTTCATGGTTAAGTCCGCCGATGAATAGCTTTCTCAATTGAGTGGGCTCCTCCTGCATGAAGCCCATTTGAATTGGTTGTCCGAACGGAAGCATAGGTGGAACGCCAGCGCCTGCCAAGTCCGCCGGGAGATACCCGAAAATGTTGCCAGCTGGGAATTTTCCGCCCATTCCGGCCAAAGTTGAAGGATCAATCATCCACACTCCTTTCGGCACAAAATCCACACCGTTGGCACCCTTTTGCATAACTGAAAGCAGTAATGTATCAACTATTTGTTATACCCAGCTTTAAAAATCAGGAAAACATATTAAAAACAATAAAACAAGCGAATCTCTTTCACTTGTTTTCTCTCCTTAGGCTTTAGTCCCGCAAAAAAAAACTCTTGAAAAAGAGGATCGAAGACGAAAAGCGATCTCTTTGTCCTCTTCAAAAAATTTCAAACATTTCGCACTAAAAATCAGGGATTTCAGCGGTTGCCGACATGTCGGCAACTGTTAACTAATGTTCGGTAGGGGTATTGGATTTTTTCTATAAGTAAAGCTGCGGGGCAGTTCGGATTTTTGCCATACTAAGTTAATGAATACGTTACAAACGACTTCATATTGGTACTATATTAGGCCAATTTAGGCTAATTTTACAAATATTCTCGAAATTTCGGGTATATGCCCATGAGGTTAAAAACCCCGAACTTTCCGACCTTACCATAAACGCTTTCGGAGGCTGAATAAAATTATTTTAGTGTAAAACTATCACGTCTCTTCCCGACCTTAATTCTCCTTTCAAACATTAATTAACCCTTTTCATAAAAACTCGATTTATTCGATATATTCGTAGTGGAATCCTCTGTGGCCTTCATAGGGCTCGTCCTTCTTCGGGTGACTCACAATCAGAAAAATTACGAAATAAAACTACTGCTTTATTACTGAAATTTGTACGGAATCACCTAACTTTCTCTAAGACAACTAAGAAAAGATTTTAACAATCTTAAGAGTCGCTATTATAATAAAAGGGTATAAACCCCATTCATCTCCTTCCCATTACACTTCGATCTTCCCCAAAAACATTTACTTACACTACAAAACCCGGCGCTCTTTGGTATCCCTATCGTTCGTATAGAAAAACTGATAAACAGATGAAGCAATTCTGTAGATGATCACGGGCTAGCAAGAAGAAAGCTTTCACAAGAATTTATTTTAGGGTCAAGTTGTTCGTCCGAAAATGAGTCAACTGTCTCTCAATTTTGGAGAATCCGCAAAAATGATGTTTGAATAAGGATGTGAGAGCTCACTAAAGGCATCTTCACCTAAACCCATCTAAGATCTTTAATTTTGGATATTAAATTAGGAATTTAACTCACCCGGATGATAAGCAAACATCATTTTGAGTTTGGATCGAGGTTGGAGATCAGAAATCGGTGCGTACAGTGATGGTTTTGGCCAAAGACGAAATTGTTCTGAGCTCAAAACTTCTAGGAAGCCTTCTGACCGAGAACAAGCGGACGGATTGATGCGCTGAAAACACGAGACAATCAAACATAAGAGTGCATGTTCAGGGCAAAAAACTCGGAAAACGGTATTTTGACATAAAAGTTCACTAAAAACTGGGAGGGCACGGAAGCGGGAAGAAGAAAGGCCCAGAAATTAGACAAAGTTAGGAATACCAATCGTGAAATGCCAATCGGTGGTTGGAGTTTTGAAAAAAAAGCGTACTTGAAATGCAAACTTTTATACAACGGATAAGGCAAGCAACCATTGGTACACCCACAAAATCGCTAATTCAACTTTTTTTCCAATTGTCGCCCGCGAAGAAGGGAAAAGATTGGATAAATTATAAAAAGCCCTCAAAAAAGTCGGGCGAAGAGCTTATCAGTAGCCTAAATGTCTCTTGCCCGATACTGTACTGATAAATTTGAAGAAAAGAAACTCAAATTTACGAATAACAAGTATTGGATACGTCTGCGACGGTCTCTCGGCCATTCGCAACAATAAATGAAAAATTGAGGGGAGACATTTTTTGAATTTTGGGATTTTATTTTTCGATTCATCACGTATTTTGCAGATGGAGGATTAGGTAAATTTTATTTCGACTAGCTTTGGTTGCTTGCTTTATTTACTTGAAGTTCAATGTTTTCATGTCAAAAAAAATAAAAATTACAAAAAATTTACATTTTTTGCATTACTCTGTAATACAAGAATGTAAAATTCAGAAAAAACGAGCATGATTTTCGTAATTAGCGGCCTCGATTATCCATAAATCCACTATTTTTCGAAAAACTCAATATTGCATTTACTCTGAAAACAATGTACGAAAATACGCATTTCTTACAAAGTTAATAAATGAGAAATGACGTTTATTGGTGTAATAACTTAGAAACACATTATAAATGTAAGGCGTTTTGAGTATAATACGAGGCTGATCACAACTATAGCATATAATTTGGGAGGTAAATCATTTAAAAAAGTATTAAGCTGTGGCAAACTTGTCTGTGGATTCCATAAAATAGTTATAGATTTAGCGTAATACTTTTCGAGAACATGAGTTATCTCCCATTGTAAGACACAATCTATCTTATCATGAAGATGGTCCGGCAGGTTGGTCCGGATTTGGATTATTATTGTTCGTTGTCTGTCGTGTTCGACTTCTGGTTACCCGCTGTGTACTTGTACTAGTTCCATGTTGGAGCTCTAACTTTCGTTGCTTTGATGGCGGTTCCTGAGCATTGTCTTCCTCACTTTCACCCTCTTGCACGTGTGGTTCTGTTTCACTGTCTTTGTGGCTTTGTGGTTCTTCTTGAGAAGTGGAAGGTCGTTGATCGTCTGGGTCACTTGAAGATGGCTTTTCTTCTTCTGATAGATCTAAATTGTGTTAAGTTATCATCAGCCGGGAGAATCAGGTGTAATTTTTATCTAAAGTCATCAAATTTCAATTGAAAATCTTACATTTTACAAGTGGCACTTTCCTGTTTGTTTCCTCTTCACTCTTTGCAAATCCATTTAATCCATTGGGAACAACGGCTGTAGAATTGGCATCTTTATCAAAGAGTTCGTCCTCGGCATCAGAATCCGAGCTGAGTCCAGATCTTCCATCGGAATTGTCATGTGCTTGGTTCATTTGCGGGGAACTCTCGTTGGACGAAGCCAGATCTTGGTTAAGCATCATTCGCGGACGGCCCTCTGGATGGTCCGGAATGCCCAACGAATTGCTAGAGGGCGGACTTGTCATTCACTTGAAAAGTATTTTAAAAATTCTATGCAAATGTGGGCGATTATAAAGATCACACCGCTTTCAAAACTGGAGGCTTCACGAATTTTGCCTTCCGTACTAGTTTCTATCCGCTTTAAAAATAACTCTTTGATTAGCATAATATCTAGAAAAACGGGGTTGGCTTGTCTATTTTTGAATTGGGGCCTGTCATAGAAGTCAAACATAGCTGACTGGTCAATTGATCTAACGGGTCTCATCAGTGGCTTAACTTTCATACCAACGGACTAAAGTAACACCCTAACTCGCTCATAAAAACGCGCTAAATTGCTTGGAAAAGCAGAACAGAATGTAAGGACTATCATGTAGAGGAAAGGAAACGCTCATGGTTAAAGGTGGAAACCCTCAAGAAAAATATTTTGGAAAAAGAAGCGATCCGTCAGGGGAAAGGTCGGGAATTGTGTGCTGTTGTTTTCCTGAGGGCCGTCGCTTTTTCTCTCGCGCCAAACTCTTCTCAGGCCGGACACACGGAGCGAACGCTTGCTGGCTTTGTGTGTGCATGCCTTCCTCCCTATCGCTTTGCTGGTCGGGTTTTCTTTGGACATTCGTTCGGTTTTATTCGTTAATCTTTGGTAGGCCTGTAAAAAATAACTTGCAAAATTTTTGAAACTTACAAAAGTAAGGCCTAGAAGCGTACCAAACAGGATTCGAAGGTTACATTGCTTTCCAGTTCCTTTATTTGTATAACATTTTGATCATTGTTTCATTGGTATCTTATCCATTGTTTTATTGGTAACACGAGCATTACCATAAATGAATGCATAAAAAACAAGGGAAACAACAAACAGGGAAACGCAATGTCTTGCGTAACATTTTTTTTATTCTCATCCAAGCTTGCATTAGCATTCAGCCAATGTCATAAAATAATAAAACAACAAAAGAAATGGATTACATTAATGCATCGATCACATGCTCCGAGAAATTAAAAGAATTCGTCCTTAGTATTATACGTAGTCAGCAATAACAGCTTGATTTGCTGATTTGTAAACCTTGGAAGGCATTTGTTTTTTTACGATTACAAAAAGTGAAAACAAAACCGTCAACGAAATACTAATATAAGAACATTCAAAGTACTTATTAGTTATAAGAGTGTCTGTTATCTGTAATATAAAAAGCTGCATAGCATGATTTCGGCCTGAAGGTGGTCACATCTAGGTCAAAATCAAGTGATAAAAGTTTAGTGCACGCAGTTAAATATCTAATTAACCGGTAAAAAAGGGTATTAGAAAGAAGAAATCGAGCTTTCTTGAAAGTACGGGCTCTGGCCCTTCAATGAATAATAAGACATTGCAAATGATGGCACGTGGGGAGAGGTTTTGAAACGAGAAAGCGTTCGGAATTGATAAAAATCCAAGACGTAATGTTTTTCGACGCCAATTTGTTTCCAAAAACACATTCATTCATGAGGGTAAGGGCTACTGCAAAAAATACAGTCACTAAGGTGGCTGACCATAAAAATAGATTTAAAGTTTGAAAGCTTTAAGCTCGACCCGCTCAGTCTTGTTATGACATTCCCAGGCGCTCCGTAGTCTTATCAATTTTCGAATTTTCTCACCTCTGACACTTCGAAAGCGATTGCAACACTTTGCAACTTGAAATCTTCACGCGTTTTAAGACTCTGAGTTGTTACAAAAACAATGATAGAGAAGGGTCAAAGTGTTAGGAAAGAAAACTGACAAAATTAACTGGTCAATCAAAGTATTACGACATCAGCGCTCGAGACTTAAAGTAACGAGAGAATTCGCAGCGAATTCCTGGTCACTAAATCGCGACAAAGTAAGAAAAATATGGTTTGCACGAACTATGATATTTCTCTACTCGGTTTGGGTCGGAATAAAAGTGATTGGGGCACAAAGAACGGAGGGCAAAACACTCCAGAAAATTCTCTCAAAGAAGTCCCCGATTATAATCTGACGTTCATTTGGACATGATTCCCAGGCTCAAAGTGTCTGTATTTGTAAAAGAGAAGGGGTGTTCGTACGGGCCGGAAAGTTCATTTGTTTTGTGACAGTCTTTAAATTAAGAAGTGTTTCAAAAAGAATTGAGTTTTAAAGCCTGGGAAAGTGTCTATCTTCCAAGATTAAATTCAAACTTGAACAGTTGGGATGTGGGATCATGGTCCGAAGACAAGACTTTAATAAACGAGCCTTGAATGGCCTATGAGCAAGTTTAAAGTAATAGAAAACATGGGTATTTGATCACCTATCACTGAGCATGACAAAATGAAAAATAGATTGTAGGGATCATAAAATGAGAAGTTTTGTGACATTCTTTCTTACGATTAAATAATACCGTATATCCTCCAGATCCCCTACCGATAACTCTGTGAATCTTTGAATAAAAAACGTGTTCGATCTGGAGTTAAAGAAAACAGCCCATTCTCACTCTGCAGGAATCCACAATATTACACTAAACACGTCAAAGAATCCGAACATGTCAAGACAATGATAATCTCATTTCTTCAAAGCACAAAGACCACAGTTTAGCTCAGTTGAGAGTGTCTGGAGGCGAAAGCGAGACCTGCGAATGTTGGGTTAGATCGAGAACTTATTGTTAAACATCTTCGAAATGGTTTCGACTCAAACAATAAATCTGTTTTTTCTCCAGGGAAAGTATTTGAACATTTGCGCAACAACGGAAGGAAGCCGGCTTTGGCCGCGCAACAATTTCTCGAACGATGTTAAACAAAACTAAAGACAAGCAAAAAATGAATGACAACATAAGGTCAGAAGGGCAAAAAAAGATCTCCCGTTTTTTAAAAGGAATGTTGATCTAGAGAAAAGCTGATCGTAGCATATTCTCTTATTTACATTTCACTGCACCCATCAAGACCACTCCCGTCGTTTTTTTCTGGCCACATACGAGGACTATGACCTATTTACAACGCAATCTTTTGTTTGACTAGATAACTTTCTTTTGACCTGGGATCTCGAGGGGCCGGGTTTAAAGTGTTCTAAAATCGATGTCAAAGATAGTCAAGTTGAGAGGATTAAAACGGTTCATGGGTCAAGCTCTCGAACCCAATTGAACACAGTGCATATGTATAGATTACAAATGCTTATTGATTACGTAACTCGAATTAATATCAAAAAAAAATTGAAAAAAAAATCTTGAAAATCGGAAAATCTGAGTGTCTCGGCGGATATGTTGGGATCAAAATGTTCAGAAAAATAGGATTTGAAAGCCATGAGATCGGTGAAAAACTGAAAGTGTGGTCTCCAAACAACCCTGATGGAGGGTTACCTGTCCAATGCTGCACTTTAGGGGTGACTGAATTTATGGGTGACGCAGAGTCGGGTGGTGCAGGTTCGGGTGAGAACTTTCGGGTGATCGCAAAGTCGGGTAATGCAAAGTCGGGTGGTGCATATTCGGGTGATGGAATTTTGGGGTGGGGGAATTCTCGGGTGATGAAAAATATTGCACTGAAGGCTACTAAATATAAAATATTGTACTAATGGCTACTAAATATGACGTAATATTGTTAAAATCTTAAAATTTTTTTAATTTTATGCTTTTTGGGGTTTTCAACCATCAGGAACCCAAAAAGAGAAACCATTTTGTTCGAAATTTTCTGTGAATATCAGTCTGTCGGGAAAATAACGGCGGATCGTCGCAGCAAAATGTCTCGCCTCGCCGCTATCGCGCACCAAATCCCAAGCCGCGGCTTGCAGTCGCAAAGCGATGATGAGCGACTCCGAGGTGCGACGATCCGCCGTTTTTTCCCGACAGACCGATACTATTTTTCTGCGATAATTTTCGAAAATTTATTTTTGTTTTTTTTTTGAAGGTTTCAATGTCACGTCATAGTTAGTTATGATCATTACAACATCGTCCAGATCACCATAGCAATTTCCCACTTCAAAATGGTTTCCATTTTTGGATTCCTGATGGTCGAAAACCCCAAAAAGCATAAAATTTAAAAAATTTTAAGACTTTAACAAGATTACGCCATATTTAGTAGCCATTAGTACAATATTTTATATTTAGTAGCCTTCAGTGCAATATTTTTCATCACCCGAGAATTCCCCCACCCCAAGATTCCATCACCCGAATATGCACCACCCGACTTTGCATCACCCGACTTTGCGATCACCCGAAAGTTCTCACCCGAACCTGCACCACCCGACTCTGCGTCACCCATAATTTCCTGACCCCGCACTTTAGCAGGTCTTTTTTGACTCCCAGAACAATTGGTCAACAGACTTTTGTCACAAAAGAAGGAACGCATTAAGTGGTGGATTGTTAAGACGACCTAATAGATTAGTCTTGTAAGAGCTGAGTTATGAGCGAGACCCGACTACAAACTCCTAAAAATTGTTGGGGCGGGTGTTCAGGATATCGATAATGGAGGGTGGGGGAGAAAAGACCAGGACATGACCCCCTTCCCGCTGACGTGAATGTTTTTGGGTCAGGTGTCCATGAGACTTTGGAACAATATCGTGGAGGTTAAGAATCATTCGGCTGAAGAGTTGGCTAAAATTTTTAAACTGTAAGAATCCTTTCCAAAAATAAGTATGTATAGGGTCAGGCCCGTACGTATTTTCTTTCCATTTAACAGTGATTTTTTCGAAAACGAGAAGTGTTTAAGACTTTCGTAAGAGTTGAGAGTTCTCTGAAATCTCTTTCAATGATAACAAGTCCTGTCAGTCCAATATCGGGAGGGGAGGGCGCCTGTTTCCAAAGTTCTTTCGCACAGAGATTAACCGTATTTTGTCGTAAACATATTCATTGTTTAAGGCATATGAATGAAAACTTTTCCGGGATGGCATGCCAAAGTAACGAATTTACAGGGAAGTACTCCAAATGGGACCAGATTTTGATGAATCTTGGCACTTTAGAATCATAAAAGACCGATATTTTCGGTCGAAAGTTGGCAAAAATGTGTTACTTATTGCAAA